TGGTCGCCCCAAATGGATGATGCTGCGGATGTCGGGGATGTCGACTCCCATCCCCAATGCACTCGTCGCCACGACCACTCCGTGGGGCATACTGCGAAACCGCTCCAACACGCCCGCCTTATCCACCTGGTCATGGTAATACGCCTCGCACCCAAGTATCTCCGCCACCGTTGTGACATGTTCGACGATATGCGCGTACACAATGGTGCGCCCGCCCCGCGATCGTCGGATGCGGTCCCGGATGAATGCTGCGATATGATCCATCTGGATCCAACGATATGGCCCCTTATACTCCCGCTCGATCATCGGACGCCACAAACGATATGCTACGTTGGTCCGGCTGGTTCGACCACGGAATAAGCTGACCTGCTCCTGGGACCATCGCATGCGTTGCCATAATCGGTCCTCTAAGCTGGGGGGCAATGTCGCTGTCAACAAAACCACCTGCGTCCGCGCGATCATCAATCGTCCGAGCTGCTGCATCATGGGCCGGAAATCGCGCTGCTGATTCAATACGATGTGGCATTCATCAATCACAATGCGGTCTAACCGTTTCATGACCTGGGACGAACATCAGCATGGATCCCACGCTCCGTCGATGCCAACCTCAAGCCCGATGCGCGGGCCCGACCTTATAACCTGGGTTTTAAGCGGACCTCTGCTGACCTCTTAAAACCCAGCTTATAAGCTGCGGGCGCGGGGGGCATCTCAGTTGGTGACGGTGGGACATGGGGACATCAACCCTAATCCCTGGGCCCCCGTTTTAAAACCGGGGTTCGAACGCATCCTTACAACCCCGGTTCTAAACTGGGGGCGCCGGCTGGGGTCTCGGATCGCGGGGGGACATACCTGCTGTCGGTTCAAAAACGTGATGAAATCCTCACTCAACGCGGATTCGGGCGTGACGAGTACAATGGCCGCCTCGTCGGGCGGCCGCCGGCTCTCCCATTCCACGCACGAGATGCCGGCCACCGCGCATCGCTGCTGCAAGTCCTGGCGTAAAGCAATCAATGGGACGACGACCACCGTCAGCCCGCCGCTGACCCATGCCGGTAACATGAACAACATGCTCTTGCCCCCGCCCGTCGGCATCACCACGACCACGGGGCTCACCCCATGCTGGATCGCCTGCATCGCGGGCCCCTGGACGCCGCGGAACTGGCTCTGGTCGTCGTTGGTCATCCGCTGCAATGCCTCCGTCATATTGGCCTCGTGGAGCTGCCATCGGCGCTGACGTCGATGGTCGTCCGCCTCGGCCTCCCATGGGCCCTGCTTGCGCTTGCCAAGCACCCTGGCCAAGCCGTCCTCGGCGCTCTCGAACCCTAAAAACCGATGCCAATCCGTGCTGGATAATCGGAACATCTCCCGTCGGTGCGCCGTCGTCCCAGCCTGCTCGGTGATCTCGCGGCCATAAATCATGCCCGCCACATGGGATGAATGCGCGGCTTGTAAATCCGCGATGTGATCCTCGGGTTCATCGTCGTCATGCGCTGGCACCTTGGTCCCGTCGTCCTGGACATTCTGGGGGAAAACGCTGGATACCCGTAAATACCGCCGGCTGATCCCAATGGCGATATTCCGGTACGCGGGCAAAGTCAATGCGTACCTATTCAGTAGTTAGCCATCAAGCTGGGCCATCAAGCTGGGCCGTCAAGCCATCAACAACTCATATAGCTTACCCATTCAGCCCAATCGTCGTCTCGCGCTTCAACGCCTCCCGTAATCGCTCCGACGTCCACTCACGCCCACTCGTTGGGTCGGGCGCCCAGATGTATGCGGCACGGGACTGCAGACCCTGAATCGTCTCGCGAGCCGTACCACGAGCCTCGTGCTGGTACGCCTGTAATCGTTCCACAAATGGTAACACTAACCATAAATACCATACCACCAGCTCCCCGACCGCGCGCGGCAAGTACCGATGGATGATCTTCGCGTCGTTGCTCGCATAAAACCCCTTGTGGTACTTCGTCGCGAATACGACCAGTCCATCCTCGATGAATACGTTGCGATGGGCCCCTTCCGTGTTGCGATGGCGGACACTCAATAGCTCGGGTGCACGGCCGGGCTGGCCCGCGGTGATGTGACAAACGATGGCGAGCTTCTCACGGAACTGGACCACGCTCTGCATGTACTGTTCGATGGCACGCATCCGGAATCGACGCTCGGGCCCGTCGACAAATCGCTGTTGTAATCGGGGCTCGCGCTGGATCCGGCGGGCGAGCCATTGGGCCCCGTCGATGGGCCACGGGGTGCGACTGTCGTTTAAAAAGCACCACCCAGGCTTGGCCTGCGTGGGGTCGTCCATGAGCTGCGCCCATGGGATGGCGGGTGCGCTCGCGGCGTCGCCAATCAATAGCTCGTGGTGTAGTAGCTGGCGTACGGAGCCGACCAACCCGTGAGTAAACCCCCGGAAATCACCCATGGTGAAGTGGATTTCCTTGTATAGCAACTCGTCCTGGCCGGACCAGCTCACGTGGCCGGTGGCCGTACTGCTATAATGGATGCGTAAGCCGTACGTGCGCAAATCGAGCATCCACTGCATCGGACTATGCGTCCCGCGCACCATGAATGTGTCCGTCAACAATCGCAACCACTCGCGAAACGGACGCGGTTTCCGTCGCTGCTGCTGACTGAATTGCATGGGCTCGGGCTGGCGATGTGTGGGTTCGAACGCGGGGCTGCTCGATGGTTCTCGTGGGCTCCGATCGCTGTCATACCCTTCGTCGTGCTGGCCGGAATATATATATTCGGGATCGTCCATCGGGCTTTCGATCGACCACGTACCTAACATCGGTCAATCAATCAAGCATCGAGCCATCGAGCCAACCTATGCACGAAGTCATCCATCACGATTCTTACTTACCTACTTCATGACGGTCACGCATGTATTGTAAAATCTGCTTGGCATTCGGATCCAAACGCAACGCCTTGTGTAATACCATGAATCGACTGATCTTGATTGTTTTGGACAAAATTGGGGGATAACTGTCCGCGTCGCGCCATCGATCACGGCCCTGGCCAAGCACGGCTAATGCGCATATCAAGGCACATTCGTACTCTTCCGCGCTAGCCCGCTGGTTCAATAGTTCAATGCAAAAGTCCATACATGCGGTCTGGATCGGAGTCATCTGGTATGGATCGTCGCCACCGTCTCCCTGGCTCTGGGTCTGGCTCGGATGGTCGAATGGGTCGGGGCTCCCACGCGTGTCCTGCGCATGCCGCCATAATGCCTGCCATGCCCGTCGCTGGCGGGGGGTGAATCGGTACGGCGGGCTCGGCCAATCGTGCTCAACCTGGGTGCGAGCGAAAAACATCAAGATCTGCTGCCACGGCTCGACATGCCGCTGGATCTGCTCCTCATCCATATATGCCTGTAATGGTTCGTGCGGGCTCTGGTCTTTCTCCGTACGAGCAGCCTCGACACGAATCAGATGGCCCGTCTGCTTGGTGATGCGCTGGCTGATCCGCGCGACCCCGTCTATGGCGTCCCAGATGGCCCGCATCGCCCCTTCTGGGCCCTGGGCGTCCTCTGGGGGGTCTTGATGGACTGTAGTATATCGCGGGGGGGGATGCCTACGAGCCGTTAGTTAGTCAAATTGGGGATTAATCGATCGACTATCAAAGCTGGGGCGTGGGCCCCATCTTAGAACCCAGGTTTTAAGCTCATTCCTTAAAACCCCAGTTCTAAGATGGTCTCTCTCTCCACTAGCCTACCCAACGACGCACGAATCAATACACACCTTGTAAATACACGGCCCACTGCGTCCGTCGGAGCCACGGGTTCGCCTCATCGAGCGGGCCGGCCTGGATCGTACGGTCGTCCGGGGCCTGCGAGTCAACGTACGTCTGTTCGAGCTGCTGGATGAGTTCATTGACCACATTAGCCTGGGGTGGCGGGCGTGCGGGTTCATAGTTGGGTCCGGGTTGTCGGACGTGAATGTAATGCGATCCAAGCCTCCGGTAAAAAACCCGCTGGCACACGACGCGTCGCATCGCCTGATCCCGGGCGTCTTGGCCAGCTGGGACTTCAGATGGCCGGGGCTTCCGACTATGGTCATATGGCGAAAACCCATGCTGGGTCCGCCAGTGCTTCCGGATGCTCTCCATTGTACGGCAAACGTACCCGCAAAACGTACATAAGATCCCATCATTGTAGATAGTCAGCCCGGGAATTAGCTTCCCAACGGACTGTGGTAAGTTGGTGGGTTCATCGCGGACGTTGGGCCATGTATTCACGATCTGTGTAAGTACCTCTTCTGCGACGCTGTGGGGGATAACATGCGCGCCCTTGGGCTTCGTTAAATGGCGAATAATCTCTCTGGGTCTAACGGCGTACTCGCATCGCCGGCAAATGGCGACTCCAAGCTCGTTGTTGGGCTGGAAAAACGTGTTGGCATTGATGGACTCTGCCATGGTATGTTGGATGCGAGATGCGTATATATATCTCAAGTGTGTGTGATGGACGTATATCTTCTAGTGGATGCTATCAATGACGGGTGTTGAATTCAAATCGGATAGCGCTTAAAATCAGCTGGGATATATGGGAGACCCCCTGAATGCGACCCCTGAATTTTCAGCTCAAACTCTGGACTGGGATGTTGGGGATCGCTGGTTGGTGGTTGACCTCTCATGGTCGATGAAGCGTTCTGCTAACCGCCGGTCGCCCCCCATCAAAATATTTACCTGATTTCGAATCCCTGCAACCACCCTTTCATGGGGCGATTGGGGCCTGAAATTTGGGAATAAAATGTGGGAACCAATGAACTCAAACATCACCAATTGTGAGCGTTGGGCGCCGACAAAAGCTCTACTGGGACGTTGATTTAATGTCTACTGGGGCGTTGGTCGGCCGTCCCATAGTTAAGGAAACCCTAAGCTTACGTAATCCTACTGGACCCATAAACGTCCCAGTAACCCCCGTTGGCTAGGGCCATCCTAGTCTATGGCAGATTGTGGTTCAGGAAGTGGAGAGGTAGTAGCACCCTTTGGATCAAGACGGCCTAACGGACTGTCAGGGCAGGGGTTAATGTGGAGATGGCTTGGTGGATTCGGACGAGTGTGCTCATGTAGACCTCTGCCTCGCTGCCGTTTAGGTTGGCTAGATGGTAGTTGAGTAGATGTCTCGGGCGAATTGGCTCGTTTACGCCGTTTAGGTTAGGTAGATGGTAGTTGAGCGGATACCTTAGCAGGATTAGGTCGCTTACGCTGGGGGGGATTGATAGGTAGTGATAGTGGGAGGAAGTGGTTTCGGAGGGGGACAAGCCTATTGGTAGAGTAGGCGACGATCGAGGCGGAGTCACTTGCTGCCGTAGCTCCTGTACTAGGGAGACCTGTGGTGATCTCTGACCTAGGTCGTCGGACGCTTGACCTAACCTCGTGGTACCCTTGTCTGAAGATGGCTGAGATGCGGATTTACTCCCTTGTCTAAGGAATTCATGCCACCGTGTAGACACCCACTCATATGCGCGTAGGAGGGACGGCTGGAGCTGCGTTGGGAACGCACCATCGAGGCCATAGTTAGTCGCCCGAGCAATCGGACGGTGTCCACTCTGCCACGCGAAGGCCACATTTAGATCTACATTGGGCCCCTGGTCATCGAAACGGTTAAACGGCTGGTGTACGTCCTGGACATGTTTGTCGGTCACTCCAATCGTAAGTTGCCGGTAGAGCTAGATGTTGACGCTATATCCCCAGATCAGGGCTGTCGCAGTCTTAAGGACCCGGCGGAGACAGGCGGACGGCTAGGCCTTTATAGGCTCTGCCTCCGAGTACGGATAGAAGAGTAAGGTACTAGGAGCTAGGGCCAATCCAGTGTTTGCTCGCTCTTACTAGAGCACACCCACAAAGGGGCGGATATAGGCGAGGTAGTAGAATACGACATGGCCTGCCCAGGACGGGAGAAAACGTGCCACGTAGAATTCCCAGTTGTTCGTTAGCTTGGCCTTATGGTGCCGAGTCAGATAGATAATAGAGCCTCTGTAGAGATAGACTCCCCTCTTAGTAGACGTGGTATTCTCACATTCTAGATTCATAATCTTAGGGGCACGCGGGACCTAGCCACCGGTCGTATATAGGATCGCTAGAATGGACTCGAGCAGCGCTATTGTCTTGTCTAGATAGCGGAAGACGGCCGGCTAATGCTACTTGCCCTCTTTGACGAGTCGATTTCGCCGGACGGTACAGGCCCGTGTAGGAAGCTCGAGGTATGCCTCCGTTAGTTGGTTCTAAGGATGCTTGACAAAGGAGAAGCCTAGCTATCGGTTTGTGAGGTCATCTTGTAGCCGGCTTAGGTCAACTGTTGGGAGCGTGTCGAACATAAGCTCCTGGCACTGCTGCTCTGCCACTATAAGGAGGTGTTCCGCTAAGGCCCGGAACTAATCCATTGAGAAGCCCTGCTGGTTGTGATAAACTGTCTGGCCATCCTCGCTCCATTGGAGGAGGTACGAAGGGGTCTCTATACGACCCATCGAGCGCCCTGCGTCATGGAGACTAAGGAACTCGCCTAACGCGGACTAGGAACCTGCAATCATATATCGAAGCCGCATGGGGTCGAGACGGTCGACGGCACGTTCCTTCGAGCGACGGGGGATCCCGAGATGGGTATATGCGCGGCATGGGAGGGTATACTCGAGGAATAGGAGCCGTTGCATGTAGATCAGGCGGGAGAGGACTAGGGTGAAATTCCGGGCGGGTTGAAACCCCTCGCTGCCACGGGAGAAGCCGAGTACTCCGCTAAAATAGACAAGTAGGCTAGTCTAGGGTCGTCCGTGGCTGAATCGGTCCGTGATCAGGGTAGTGTTTAGCTGAAAACAGAGCTCGAGGAACTCTGCTACTGCTAGACTTGTAGTGTGCTTAGTGGACGAGTCGTAGCTGTGATGCATCCCTTAGGGCCGAGACTGTGAGGAATCGTTGACCTCTAGTTCCTAGTCGTCATCACTATCCTCAGAGGCACTAAGGGCATCCGGTATTTCTCTATCCTCACTCTCTGTCTCATACATAGCTTCGTCATAATCGTTGTCAATGTTGGTGTCATTGTTATTGTCTTCCTTCTCCTCCTCCTCCTCCTCTTCAATATCACGGGCCCTATACTGCTGAGTTTGGGTGGTCTTCTAGAAGGCTTGATGGGTAGTCTGCTAGCCCTACTAAGAGAGATCCCTAAGCTCGGCAGTCATTAGAGGATCGTCCCAGATTCGATGCTCCCAGATCTGACAGAGGAGCGTCAGATATTCCTTCCGGAATCGGATACCTGTCAGTCGCTAGCGCTAGGAAACATCCATCCGGAAGGCCCGGAAAACAAAGGCGAGGAACCGCTTCTAGTACCGGCGGTAGTCCTAATGGCTTCGTTCCCGGGCATAGAAGCGGAAGGGGCGATTGTAGCACGGGGCAGGCTTCGTGGTCACAAGCCAGTAGAGGATAGATCGACTCGTCTGACGGGCTGTCTCTTCACACCGATCTAGCACATAGTCCATCGCAAACATCAGCTAGTGGAGACGCCCCTTATCGGGGGCGGGGCTGACAACCCGGCCCTCTCCATCCTATAGGGCAAGGAGCAGGTCTACAGAACCCGCAGATGAGTACGGGAGCTCCGCTAGACTCCGTAGGAGATCCCGCCGTACGCCCTCGTAAACTTGAGGCCAGCGGGTCCGCTCCATCCACGGCCCGGTTGCCTCCACAGTCTACGGGCCGGTCGTAGTAAAATCGGTAGTAGCCTCCTCGGCCTAGCGCCGTGCCCGCTCCCGCTGGTGGACTGATGCGAGATGGGCATTTGTAGCGGGGTCCTCAGCCATAGGGCGAATGGCCTGTCCCTGGTGGACCACGGTCTAATACTGTCGGGACGAGCTCGGGGACCAAGTCTGCAGGTAGACATCGTTGTATAGGTCATTCGCCCGACGGTGGGAGGCGCGCTGCTGCTGGAGATGCTCCTGGGATAGGTGGCGGCCGAGAAGGTCGCGGCTGACGGTGCGGTAGGCGCACTGACGGCATGCATACCCCGTGTATAGCCGTAAACGAGCATCGGCCGGAGAGCCGTCGGGACGAGGGGCAGCATGGGAAGGTTCCTGGAAACGGATATGGTGGCGTCGTAAGGCGACAGTGAGGCCCTTCCGGAGAGGCAATGGCACGCGATGCTTGCTATGCAGATGCTGGGTGACCTGCGAACCCCGCGGACAGAGTGCGGATTGGCACCGTTGGCAGAGGATGAGGTTCTCAGACTGCTCCCAGACGAGGCCACACGCAGTGAACACTTCGTCGATCGACTTTGGATCCGCCATCGCTAGCGGGTTGGACAACGGGCTCGAGCAATCCACCTACATGGTGCCTAGGCTAGGGACAATAATGGTCCACTACGGTAGAGAGGAAGGCATAGTAGACGGTTCTCCTTTAGAAAGTCGTCCAGTCGAGGCAAATAGGGGAAGATAGACGCGAGGGAAGGATCAAACGACTAGTAGGGTACGCGACGCGCATAGGGAGAGTGGGTCTTCTTGCGGGGTGGACCAATTAGGTGAGCGAAAAGATGGAATCTAATGGATTCCGCGACGCGCATAACGGGGGCCAGGCGGAATCCAATGGATTCCGCGACACCCCTTACCACGTAGGGCTTGCAAATCAGCACCTTATATTCTGGAAGATAACAAAATCGCTCCATCCCTACTCCTATTATTGATCAGATAAGGCTTCAGGACGGAGAAGAATGATCGCTTTAGTAGACAGGCGGTCGACTGGCTGTCTAGTTGGCATAGGATAGAGTCTATAATAGAGAAGTAATGTAAGTGATAGAAAAGAAAAGGCGTCTTTACGATTTTGGTTATTTCAAATCCATATGGTGCATTTATTGGATGATCAACAATAAGAACGAACGCGTCGCGTCACGGTTCCGTCTAAGAGGCATACCGGTGGGGCGCGGAGAGATCTAGGACCAATGGGTGCATAGAGAAGTCCGGACCCTGGGCACGGTCCTTTGAGGCATTATGGATCAGGGCGATACAGAAGAGAAGGCAGATGCGGTTTAGTGCCACTGAAGCGTCTCGGATAGCATCTTCTAGTAGTGGCCTAGGAATGTGGGTGATCCGAGTGGCGGCGGCGGCGGAAGTTGTAAGTCTATACAACTGTTGACTCACTTCTTCCATTTGCTGCAAAAGGTCCACCTGATCCTTAGTCAAGATGTGGGCCAGTCGGATTGACTGACTCGGTTGGGCGGTGCGATGCACAAAGCAGAGAAGCCGCTTCTAGATTCGTCGATATCGCTGGTTCGTATATGGTGTAAGATGGTAGAAGACGGGCCGATGGCTGGGTCGGCGGTAGGCATCATCCACGAAGCTATTCATCCGGGCTTGGTCAAACATATTAATCCGGTGGTCGGCTATTGACTAGAGCGCCTGGTCTAGAACGGTGTCTAGGCTTCCTATCCACAGCTGCAATATAGGTTCCTGTATAGGATTAGGCATATATGCTAGAGCAGCGAGTTCCGTGAAGGTATAACCGTGGAGGTAGTCACGCCATCGAGTCTTTTCTAGCTAAGGACTATATTCACTATAGTCACAATCCGTCGTGATGATTTGGTTATACTATGTCTCCTTCTCCTTATACTGCCGGATCTACTCATAAACTTAGGCGCAAATAAGATCGACCTGATTACTTGCGGGCTTAAGAGGCGGAGCCACCTGAAAGAATCGACTCTAGGGGCTAGAGACAAAGAAGCGCTGGCAATAAACCTTTTCCTAGAGAGTCTAGTCGATTGATCGACCCGGTTTTAGGCTATCCGCTATTTTCCGTGGTCGACCTAGACGACGGGCTAGTATAGACTAATGGGTCCGTAGGTGTTTCCGCATCTTCTCCTCTGAGCGAGATACAAAGGGATAATGCTTGCAGCCTAGTCCATCTTCGACTAGTAGGCTAGGCAAGGCGGAGGACGTTAGGGGTAGGAGTGGTATTGGTTGCTGAAAAGGATCAGCTAAAGGAAACTCCCTTAGCTGTTCGTGTAGCCGAGACACCGCGGTAGGACTATCGAAGCCCGGCCATTCCTTCCGGTGACCTTTGAGATAGGTGTGAAGATGGGTAGGTGCCACAGCACGCCCGCAGGGCTTGCAAATCAGTACCTTATATTCTAGAAGATAACAAAATCGCTCCATCCCTACTCCTATTATTGATCAGATGAGGCTTCAGGACGGAGAAGAATGATCGCTTTAGTAGACAGGCGGTCGACTAGCTGTCTAGTTGGCATGGGATAGAGTCTATAATAGAGAAGTGATGTAAGTGATAGAAAAGAAAAGGCGTCCTTACGATTTTGGTTATTTCAAATCCATATGGTGGATTTATTGGATGATCAACAATAAGAACGAACGCGTCGCGTCACGGTTCCGTCTAAGAGGCATACAGGTGGGGCGCGGAGGGATCTAGGACCAATGGGTGCATAGAGAAGTCCGGACCCTGGGCACGGTCCTTTGAGGCATTATGGATCAGGAAGTCCTTACCAAGCAACTGCTAGATACAGATGAACGAGGCTTTTCAGTTCGACCTGAGTTCTACGTGGAATGGCACAAATATTACTTCGTGAGTGAACAAAAAATTCTACTGCGACCATTGTGATTAAGTAGGCATCCAACTTTATCAAACGCTGCCCAAAGCTACGTATACGATACAACCGACGTATATCATATCAACGTGCAAAACAGGAAGATCGAAAGGTTATAAAGCCTTGGTTTGAGACTGTACGCGAAGCTATTCTTGAACATGGCATTCATGAAGATGATATCTGGAATTTTGATGAAACTGGCTTCGCAATGGGGCTCTGTTCGACCTCTAAGGTTATAACTGCGGTCGGGCGTAGTGAAAGACCTCGTAGGGTTATTCAGGGGAACCGCGAATGGGTCACAATCATTGAATGTGTGAGCTCAAAGGGGATATCTATACCCCCATGGACCATCTCAAAGGCAGGATCTCAACATGCTACTTGGTATCAAGAGCATGCTCTTTTCAATAAGAGCTAAGTTATCGCAAGAAGTCAGAATGGTCAGAATGGCTGGACAACAGATATAATTGGCCTCTGCTAGCTAAAAGAGATATTTGAACCACATTCTAAAAACTATTCAACTAGTGCAAAGCGATTGCTTATTCTTGACGGTCATAGTAGTCATCTAACTACAGAGTTTGATACAATCTGTAAAGAGAATGCTATTATCGACCTTTGCATGCCTCCTCATACCTCTCATCTTTTACAACTACTTAATGTTGGTGTTTTTGGTCCGCTAAAGCGCGTATATAGAAAACTAGTTAAAGAGATGATAGTAGCTGGCAATAATCATATCGATAGGGAGGATTTCTTGTCTCTCTATCCACCTACCGGCGAAAAGGTGTTTATTAGAGAGAATATACGTAGTGGTTTTGCAGGTGTAGGACTTAACCCGCTAGATCAAGATTTAGTTCTTGAAAAGGTAACCTTTCAACTTCGGACACCAACACCACCTCTTATTGAAATTGAAGGCTTAGTCTCCTCTACTTTTCAAACACTTTAGAATCCTCGCCAACTCGATCATAAGGTACGCAGTCTACAGAGAAGCCTTTGAAAACGAATGCTTTCTAGTAGTCTAGTATCTCATATTCAACATCTTGAAAAAGCTGCACAGATGGCAATGAATATGAACCTTCTTCTTCGACAAGAATTCAAGGTTCTATAGGGTGAGAATAAGCGAAAAATGCAAAAGATGGCAAGGAAGCGTGGTAATATTGGTGATGATTCTTTTTAATTTGTACAGGAAGGTCAGGATCGAGAGCAACAGCTTGATACGCAGCCTAATGAGCCGGCCGCTGAGACGACACTAAAGCCTCGCCAGCGAGCTCCACGACGCTGTAGTGGCTGTAGGATTACTGGTCATACTATAGGAAATTGTCCTAGTAAATAGCTATTGTTTTGTTTTTTATATGGTCTAATGTGATACATTTGTGGTTGAAAAGCTTGAAATTTTACGGTAGGCGCCACGAAATTCGTCACTCGGTGGTTGATTACGTTAAGTTGTTCTGTCCGTAACGAAACGTGTGGTGTCCCTATCAATTCCTTGCATCAGCCCGTAACACGCGGAGAGGTTCGTAGAAGGTAAAGAGGTCTATAATCGAGCGAAGACTCCGGACTCTACCCTTACGAAGACAAAAGGATCTAGGATTCTAATTGTCGCCTTCTGAAGAGGAGAGACGCGATGATCATTGAAAATGAAACCACTCACTCCTCCTCGCGGTTCCTATAAGATCCATCGAACGCGTGAGTCACGTCGCGCTAATCATCATCTAATCTAATAGATCACAAAGCGATTTATCGGACCCGCCTCAGTGGTTGGCGGAAACCCCCTTTCCCCCCCAAACACCAGTTCGCGGTGTGAAGGGCTCAATCTAGGAAGAAGAAAACGATCACTCGATTCAACTATTCAACAAGTTAGGCAGCTGGGAACGAGAATAATCAACACGATGAGGAGAGAGAAAAAAAGAAGAAGATGAAGGTGAAGCCAGACTAAGTACAGAGGGAGAGACAAAGAGAGCAAACGGGGTCCCGTGATATGCGGTCTTCCTTCAGATCTTCACACTGGATGGAATCTGCCTGCATGTCAGGTCAGACCTTGACACGCCCCCCCCCCCCCCCCCCCTCGGATTCCTTCGGGACACGCGCGCGGCCCGTCGCGGGCGGATGTGGGAGCCAGTCGAAGCCGGACTCCCCGGGGATGCCGGCGGGGGAATCAGATAGGGGGCAGAGAGCGACAGGCAGATTCAATAACTTTAGGGGGGGTCAGTGTAGGAAGATTGCCAAACCGATATTGTGCCCAGTTCAGACTCGATTCCGGAAAAGTCCACAGCCGCTCTCCGACATCAGAACCTGCCGCTCCTGCAGCAACAAACATTGGGTGTATATGCTCCCAAGTTGGATGAGCCTTCCGGGCGTCGCTGGTTTTCATCAAGGTTGACAAGCATGCCTGGCGTTTCTCTGGATTTGCAGTTGCAGCCCGTTGTAATGCATCTTCAAAACTGGAAGTGTAACTGCCGGGGAAGTTAGCGAAGGATACATTTAACTGGCTATAATATTTACGGCATGGCCCTGCTACTTCCTCTCATAGCGCGGTAGTCATGAAGATTGTGGACAGCCATACCAGCGCCGATTATGAGAATACCCTCGTCTCGCAGACTTTCGAGTGTCTGTCCCATTTCATAGTGTTTATCTAGGTCTTCATTATCATATAATGATACCTGTACGATGGGTACATTCAAGGGGTTTTCTTTGGGGTGGAAGGCTATTAATATAAGCATCAGAAACTTCATACATGGAAAATACAAAGCAAAGAAAGCCAATAACATACCGGCAATAAAACCCACCCAAACACCGTGATCGAGGCCCCGTCTCACTCTGTCGACCTCAATACCAGCACCCTCAAGCTTTCGTGCCACCTTGTTGGCAATTTCGGGGCTTCCCTTGTTGGGATAGTCATATTGATAGTAGTGCGGGGGAAAGCCATAGAAGTCATAAATGATGTTTGTGTCCTCGTCGACGTTGATTTCGATCCGGCTCGGACTTGCTTGCCAATGGGCTGAAAACACGACCACTGCCTTGGGCTTTACTTTTGTGGTGATCTCCCGTCCGATGGCTTGTAGCTTAGTGTAGGCAGGGTGATCATGATTTTCCATGAAGTTAGGGCCACCGATTCCAAGGAAGTAGACCGGTGTTCGTGCATGGCCATTGACAATTGAGGGATCCGACATCACGTTTGTGACACCTGTTATAGCAGATTGTGTATGACTCCTGATGTACCTCTGGACAGAGCTGAAAAGAGCAAAGAATAATCCTACCGCGGTAAATGCGAGATATTTGTAGTTTGGAAATGCCAAGGACATGTCGATATCTCCGACGGTCCAATGCGAAAGGATCATCAACCATCGCCTCCTCTCCGGGCTTATAGCATTATTTATTGTCACAGAAACTTCGAGTTTACTGATAGGTTGATAACATGTAAACGATTTTGTAAAAATTGCGCATCTCAAATCCAATGCGGTATAGAGAAACAAGGAAAAATATAAAGGGCGCAGACTTGAGACATGAGCGCGCGCGAGGACCCACCGGCTCCAAAGGTGGATTATGCCGCGCGCAGTGACCCACTCATTCCAAGGTGGATCATGCCGCGCGCGAGGCCGAGATGAACTAAGAATTTAAACTACAAAGAAATTCTAAGTGAGAATCCATTCACCCAAAGTGACTAAATTGCGGATTCCGGGAAAGAGTATCAATATATAAGTGGAACGTATTCTCGCTGCAAAGGTGTCTTACATCCACTCTATCATTCAAGAACTCCAGAAACAACTTGAATATCTATCACCAACCATGTCAACTAGCCAAATTGTTCTTATTCTGGGAGCTGGGCCTCGGGTCGGTGCCTCTGTTGCTGAGAGCTTCGCCCGTGACGGTTACCAAGTCGCTATTGCATCGAGAAAAGGCAGTGGAACTCGGACTGTCGAGGGTTATTTTTCTCCACGCGGACTTCGCCAAGCCTGGCTCAATCCCGGAACTCTTTGATGCGGTCAAGGCTGAATTCAATGCTGCCCCCAATGTCGTGGTCTATAATGCAGCATCGCTCACGCCTCCAGCGGATAAGGAGTCGGCACTGTCGATCCCGGCAGACCGTGTTACGTCCGATCTGAACGTAAACACGGTCAGCCCGTATGTCGCAGCCCAGCAAGCTATCATGGAGTGGAACATAATGTCGGACGAGACTAAGAAGTCGTTCATCTATACTGGGAACGTCATGAATGTCTCAGTTGTGCCCGTGCCCTTGATGCTGGATCTGGGCATGGGCAAGGCTGCTTCAGCATTCTGGATTGGTGTTGCTGATCAAACTTATTCCGCGCGTGGATTTCGGTGAGAAGTTCCAAAGTATGACATCAGTAGGATATCTCTGACAGTTTTTTACTGATAGATTCTTTTATGCCGATGAGCGACATGAAGACGGAAAGTTCAAGGGGATGGCTCTCGATGGAGCCGCGCACGGCGCTTTCTATCCTCAGTTGGCTAGCCACGAGGGCAATGTGCCATGGCATGCCACGTTCGTGAAGGGCAAAGGATATGTCCAGTTCAAGTGAAATTTGTGATCTGGAAAATATGATGGGATAGTTGGAAGCTATAATTGAATCGATTCTTTTCACGCTTTCCCTGCTTGCTATATTAAACAAGTAATACCATATGACCTAGACTTCTAAAGCACATAGCGAGGTCACGACTCGTGACATCCCCTACATTCCTATTGCACCAAGCATTTTCCATGATATCTAGTGCCGTGCGGATTGTACCGAAGACACTCGATGGTTGTAGACTTTGTACCATCGCTCGTAAATGAGGTTGTTGTGCAGGCTCTGCAAGACAGCCTGCTACGCAGAAGGGCCATACCACTGTCCGCAATAGTGCTGGTGGTGATGTGTGGTTGGTCAACAGCGTCATAATCTCTTTGACGTGATAACGCACATCGGAGCTGGCAGGCTGCCACCCCGATACAACAATGCTTAGATAAAGAATCGCAGAATGAGCCCACAGTCGTGTTATCCAGGAGTTCTGGTTGACGGATGATGTTGAAGCCTGGTTGTATGCTGTGAGGACATCCAGAAAGTTTTCCTCTTTCATCCTAGAAGTATCGCGGTTGGTGTCGACTCGAATGAGATGAGCTTCTAGGGACTGTTTGATTTTTGTTGCCCGTTGAACCAGACATATGACATCAAGATTACCGATTCTTTGACAACGTTGTTTCCAAGCGTCAAGCGCAGCAACCTCGCCGATCTCTAGTAATGCCCAGTTTTCACACCCGACGGTAGCCTTAAGGTTGATAAGGGGTGCGATGTCATCTGTACCTTCAAGAAGGTAGCGGTGATACTCGTAAAGTTTTGGTTCCTCTTGAAGCACTGTGCTGGCAATAATATCGTCAAGTATCAAAAGAGTGGATGAGAACTGAAATGCCGCCTGTTCAGCGCTTGGGACATGGATTTCCTGGCTAGGAAAAATCCACGCTGGTGGACCAAGCCGACTCAAGACAGCATTAAATTTCGAGTGGGGCCCGGCAAGCTCAGCAGGGCTAGCAGTTTCGAGAATCTGTCTGAACAGCGCCAAAGCGGCATTCAAATGGATTTGATAGTTGCTAAAGCTTAAGACTGCAACTTCAAAACGATGGAGCTGCATGATACTAGTCATGATTCGAGCAGCCCCATGCAGATGCTCGGTGATGTCTGAGTCACCTATATACTGTATTGATTTTCTCATCATCTCAAAGGCATCTCGCGTCTTGGCAAGCACCGCCTCAAATGGTGCATCGCAATCGGAGGACCCCTGAGTTAGGGAGAAGAAATATGAGCTCTGGCAAAGAGTTGCTTGTTGTATGACCGGGCTGGTGGTCGTCATCTCCAATATCCACGCTCTACCACCTTGAAGGATAGATGGCTGATAGAACGGGTATAAGAAGGGAAGCAAATAATCGAGATAGAACATAAGGAGTATGGTGTCCGACCGTCCCGAAGATAAGCCCCGCTCAGCGCTATTCTGAACAAGTATGCAGCCAGTCCTTCGTTCAGGACATGGTTCCATTTCACTGTCGTGGGCTTCCGTGTGAGATAGGGGCACATCAAGTGTTGAAGTAGTCTGCAACACGCGTAGATGCTGGGGAAGCTGATCACTCGCGGGGGCTTCAGTAATCGAAAGGCGACCGTCAAAACGCTTAATCAAACGCTCCCAACGTCGTTGATGGGCGTTTTCTTTCATCTCGCGCTTGAGCTTTTTTCCCATTTCCTGTTGTTTCTCAGCCCCATCCATCCACTTCGGTTTCTCCGGGCCATTATGACAAGTTATATGTAGCGCAGCGCAAATATCGCATATGGGCTGCGTTCCATCACACTTTTTTCGTCGAAGTCGACAAGTCCAGCAACCATTGGAGATCCTTCCAGTACCAACGTGGTATGGGAAATAAGGTGAACTCATATTTAGAATCCGGGAGAAACAGAGGATGGCTGAGGGTTTAGGCTTGCCCAAACCCTACTGGAGTCAGGCGGATTGCGGACACGTTCACGTGACCTGAATTATTCGACTTACCGTGGTAATTAGCCTTGCCCAGCCAGTGCTTCAGGCCCACTGTGGCCGGAACCAACATACAGACCGGATAATGCCTGGCATTTCTTGGCTTGCTCTTTCCGTTTTAGTGCTCACCCTTCGCTCCCTCAGTAGAACTGAGCACGGCGCTGAACGCCCTGATCGGCTCACGGAGCATGACATCATCAAAATGGTCCGCTCACTGAGCACTCACTGACCGCTCACCTGAGCGGCCTGATCCACTCACTGATCGCCCTGATTCGCTCACTGATTCCGCCCTGAGTGAGAGAATCGGGAAGCACATTGCGTTCCTATTGGGCTATCGCTACTCTTATGCTACAGTTGACTGGGTCGCACGCTAAATCCAAAGGGGAAAGGGAGAATCCTAACAACGGGTTGGTCTGTGCATATCGTGGATTATCATTGGTCAATGACTGGACCTTGGCGCGAAAGACACCAACATCCTTTCTTGGTCTCTCGTTCCTCGCCGCAAGACTCCCTTTGAGCACAGCTCCAATGTGTTGACGAGAATTTGGAATCACGGCTTGGCTTTTTTTCTCGATTCTGCGATATTATCTGTATCGTCTCATTCTCTTTCGATAACGCTTGTCTGACATTCTAATTCTTATCGATGGAATCTTCATTAGAGAAATATTGAAAATTGTGTACATGACCACCGCTGTCAATCTATGCCTGTATTTATTGCGACCTTCTGGTCATTTAGTGCCAAAGATCCTGCGATGGACTACTGACAACAAGCTGCTTTCTCGAAGAATATGCACACTGTATATGTACATTCGAATAAGGAACACGACATTTGATACTCTGAAACGATCAATATAGAGTATCAAAAAAAGGTATGCAGGAGGGTATAACCGAAAGGACATTATGAAGATGACGAACTCTTCACTCAATATGTACGGTAGATATGTTCAAACACAGTTGGCCAGCTTCAGAGTGACTCGAAGAGGCTGGGGATGTCCAACGGAATAGTTTTAACGTTCGAGACAGTAGGGAATTCGAAGACGCTGGCGGCAGGGACGACGTGGAGGACTTCGAGGGCCATGGTAAGGCTCGGAATATCACCAGGAAACAGAGCAGATCCGTTACCCTATAAGATTTTGTCAGAAAATTTCATGGGCCACAAGGGAGGGTGAAGCGAAAGTAAAGGGGCAAGTATTGAAATGGATTGGGATGGAAAGACACTTGGATTCATCAAGACATACATTGTGAATGTGGAAGCTGAGAGCTTTGCTGAAGAATCCAGCAACCGAAGATAAGGCAGAGGTGGTAAAGGCCAGAGGGCCTTCACCCACAGCTCCCAAACCGTCCACACCGGTCAGTTCCTGCAGAGGAATATTGGCATAGCTCATACCACCCATAGACGAATCTTCGCTCATGGGCATGGTTAGGACAGACATGGATCCGGAGAAAGAGCCATTGAAGAACGAGTTGATCACGGCAGGCCCTTCGAAATCGGATCGATCAACCGCGATTTTCAGCACATATTGAGTCAATGTCTCAGGTTGGGTATCCATGGACCGCTTGGACACGGAAGTTGAGGAACCGTACAGATTGTTGACCAAAGAGGTCACATGCTGCTGCAGCTGGGTGGAGGACATAGTCCAGTCCGGAAGCTCCGGGTAAGTATAGCCAAAGGTGCGGGTGGAGACAACCTCACGGCTGGTCCACATCTGAGAGCCTCCCGGCTTGTAGAAGGGCTTCAGAACGTAATCTTCAGTGTAGGTCATGCCCTTGGCGCTACCCCATAGGGAAGAGCCGAGGGTGAACGAGTTCACAAACATTTGGTTGTTAGGGTGAGTAGCCTGCCACATAGCGATGAGGCGATCGACGTTGGCATGGTGGAGCATGAAGACAGGATCAAAGGCCGACCAACCCAGGTTAGTCATATGGCCCATGGGGCCGCTGCATCCAATGTCGACGTGAATGTTGTTATGAGGGCTCTCAAAGTTGTATCCTCCCTGGCTGTCGGTGACCATTTCAGCATAGGAACCAGCCCTAGTGAAGACATTGTACTGGGAGTTGTTAGCGGATGGTTTTGCAGCGTCGTGATAGATACGGGACACTAACGACAGCGCTCTTAAGGTAGGAGGCATCTTTGGCCAGATTGGTGTCAACAGCGCTGGGTTGAGACACGGCCTTGCTATTCGTGGTGCTCGGGCAACGCATGGTGTTCGGATACTGGCCGATGGTGCCACCAAAGTAAGGGTACTTGAAGGGCCAGTTCTGGAACTTGTAGCTCTGAAGAGGGTTACGGATCGTCTTCTTGCCGGTCGGGGTATTCACGGTGATCTGGCTTTCGGAGAGCACCTCAGGGATTTTGGGGTTGACGGCCCAGTCCCAAAAGGGAATGCGCAGCGACTGCGCGGCATTCACATATTTGGCCTTCTGGGAGCCGGTGTATTGGTTGGCGATTGTCTGGGCGTGACGGATGACCTCTTGCTATATAGTCATAATGTCAATATCGGGACCAATGCATTCTTTGGCCTTGGTGTGACTTGGAGCTCTTGACGTACCTCAAACAACGCCACGTAGGGTCGGTGCCACGAGCCAAAGAGGACCTCCTGTTCGTGTGAACGGGTTAGCCAGGGGATAAAATTTAATACAATTATGGATATCGTACGTTATGAGGACAGTAGCCAGTGACGGCGGCGCCCTTGACATTTCCGACGCCGTTCCATGACTCAAAGGGAAGACCATGGATACCTATAAATCGCGGGTCAATACAGGGCTCGCAGTGTAGTTGTCGTTGGAAAGGTTTTACCTAGGACTTGGAACCAGGAGTTTTCCTGATCCTCAGGCATAGCCTGGAAAGCTGCGATGGCCTGGATGTAGAGATCCCTAACATACATAGCGATTAAGCAAGGTTTGGGGGCAACACCACTTTAAAGTGACATACCAGGGCGCTCCACCATTCTTCTGCAAATCGGCAAAGTGCAGTCGCGAAGGTCGCTCGCCAGTTTGAGTATTCACGGCTGACGTGACGCCAGTGATGGGAACCGGGGCAGAAGAACTGGCTTGCTGGGCGACGGCCGTCCATGACATCCAGGACAGGCCACAAAGGACGCTGAGGGTGTTCAAGCGACCCATTTTCTGTTGGGGTTGTCTCAAAATCTAATTCAATTCGAAGGAGGGCAATAGATATTAAATGCATATAACAAAATGGGAAAGGTTTTTGAGCAAGAGAGAGAAAAGTGCTCCGGGGGGGTTGATTTGCCCTAGATAACGCGCACTTTTACCGAGCGACTAGTGGTGGTCTGAGACACGGCGGTTAAAGCAATTTTAGACGAAGGCTCACCCAACTCCAACAGGGGCTTATTGACGTATGGGTTCCCCATCGGCACCTGTTACGTAGTTGCGGGGGGGGGATTTAGCGTTAAGGCGATTCCCCATAACAGTTGGCGCCGTAACGAGACACAAGATGTTGATAGTCACGAGAAGGTACATGCGTCTAAGTGCTAGGAGCACTTTGCCCAAGCAAACATTGAAGTCGGCCTCGCCGCTGATTAGGCCCATCCAGGCCTGAAATCTGATCGTATTTGTAGATGCCAAGGAACTGTGGTTTCATGAACATCGAGGTGAACCAATAATGTTATCCCCTTCACCGTCCGCGGGAGCATTTTTAGCGTGAAATTTTAGCGTATAGCACTAGTGTAGCAAAGATGCGCTCTTATTGGCTAGTTGCGTTAGAGTCTGGTAAGTAGGAGTACTAGTGTAATTATTAAATTACGTAGTACAAACTTCTTCAATTTGAACTATGGAATTCATGCCAACATTGTCCTTTTACACATAGGGCTACATTGCACTGTAAGCACCCAGATTTTGATCGTGGTGCTTGACGTAGGCCCGGTAATTTGCCAATATTTCTCTTGTATACACTCTGTACAACAGCTCGCTGCCCAACTAGCTGAAATCGATAGTGGTTAGGCTCTGGAGAGGGCTCTAGCTTTTGCACTTTGCTTGTAATTGCAAAGCTAAGGGGCTTTCTACAGAGCTTCGTTCGAAAATCTAGCTGATTAGGCCTAGAACCCTGTCGTTGTTGCTTATGAATCGGTTGAATTCTAAAAGCATTAACGACTGCAGTGCCAAGGAAGAAGTAAAAAAGTGAAAAACAATTACGTTTAGCCCTGCGATGAGTCTCATAGGAAGCCCTATATTGATTTGCAATATCTATGCCACCCATATAATGATTGTAGTCATTAATAGCAGTAGGGATTGCTAAATCCTTCTCAACTTCATCCCCAAAAGGGGCACGTGCAATCGTGGCATTTGTAGACATAATTACTGGCCGCTTCCGCTTTGTAGAAACAAAGGTGTCTGTCGAATGAATAGTAAATAGTAGTAATACTATATTATTATCCTGCCAAGCGAGACAGAGGATGTCCTAAGCTTCTGAAGCAAATAATTTACCCTATGGGATAGATTTGATATGCTCTTTTAGCTCAATAAGTTGATTTGGTATCCCACTCCTAGTGTTATAGGACCTTCGTACGAAGTCTTGATATTAGTATACTCAGCTGAAGCTTCGTGACTGCTGACCGCCTTTTCGTTCTGCCATGTTTACCTCCATGTCATGTTTTCCCCCTTTTCTCTTTCTTTCTTTCTTTAATGAATCCTTCTTGTATATAGGACATACCATCAATTGATACAATTTGATTTGCTCGCTAACACCTAGGGCGGGCTGTACCACAAGCTCCACATTTTAGAGCGCGTAGTTCTTTAAAAAGGGCAACTGAATTTAAATAATTGTCCATATAGACAACATAAGGGACTGAATCGACAGGCGAATGGATAGCTGAATCGAGTTGATGGCTGAATCGACAAACGAATTCCGGGCTAATACTAAGACTGCGCAGAGATTAAACGGCGCTCAATCATCGACCCAAATTTTGGTCCAGGGCACCCGATCTTACTAATGGAGCTCAGGGGGTCCAAAAATAATTGCCCCCGCTCCCCGGCCCCGGACCCACCTTTACCCCCACCACTCAGCGCCGCCGGCCCCCCGCCGCCCTAATGCCACCGGGCCCAAGGTCGTTTCCTCCTTGGGTTAGGGTGAACGCTAAGGAAGATTCTAGACCTTGGTCAGCTTCTACGCATTTAAATACTCGTTTGATTGAGCCAAAATCATCCAAATCAAGTAAATTGCATTTCTCATTACATAAAAGATCGCTCTCATATTCATCCGCGGGGCATAGGAAACCCAGTAGTAAAAAGCCGTACTCAAAGCGAATATAATTGCCATCAAACAAAGAGGTTTGATAGAGAGACCTGGCTCTCACCAGTGAGAGCTTGCGCACTCTGCCTGATCTCAATGCCATCCTTGAGAAGCGATGGAGCTGTTTTCCTGCGGCTTTGGAGTGATACTAGTTTCCCGCTGCTTTGTGCTAGTTTCCCATGGCTGTGAACTAGGCTCTGCAGGCTTCAGACAGTCATTCTGCTGAATAGCTCGAATGCAGACCTTCTGGTCGATCAGCATGTTATCGCAATGAGGGTGAATCGCAGGGTTCAATTTGAGAAAGCTGGCCAAATCAAGCCCTGGGTGCATATTGACAACGTCGTTGCAAGTTTCTGGAGGAGCTCGGACCTGAGGTGAATACCAAGCAATGCCTGTGCATGGTCAGCAACTCTCTTTCATGAATGATAGACTCGCACGCATTTCAGGGGTCATTTACAGTCTTCCACTTGTTGAGCTTCAGGCTCGACTGTCGGCATTGAAGCGCTCGCATTAACGGCGGCCGAAAAGACCAAGCCTAACGCCACAAGAGCAGTTCGAAGAGTTATGGCCATTATGTTCGGTCGGGAAACAAATGTTTTTGGGGCGTGAAAAACAACAAGGCAATCGAGTCTCTGTAGTGAGTAATTATTACGCTGTATCTACTTTCTTCAGTCAGAGCGCTTCATTTATAATGGGCTGAGCGCGTTGACATCCCTTGCCATCGTGGCATTCCATTGCATTGTTGATGGCCAGATGTCTTCTTCTTTGGTCAGAACGAACGCATAAGTTACAAGGGGCTGAGGGCCATAACATACATACCTTGCCATCGTGACATTCCATTACATTGTTTGATGACCAGGCGAGAGTAAATGCAAAAATAATTGAGTGATAAATCAAGTCCTTAGGTCGGCTAGTGGGATAAATTATTTTGGGATGATTGCTCAAAGCCACCTTTGTAGTCCGATGCGTACGAATCCCAGTTTGATCTCCGAGAGCCCACATCGAAGATGCTCTCAAATGTTTTATGAAAAAGATAAGAGGAATTTCTGATAGGGGTAGAAATGTGACGATCTATGTAAGGTCCACGCAGGCATGCGAGAGAAAGAAGGCTTTTCACTGGGGGGACAGGTCGCGTGGACGCTTACTATGTATTTTCAGCGAGACTTGCTCTTCTCTATATATCTGTTCTTATTCATACCCCCATCTCTAGGACACAGTCAAACAATGTCTTGCATGGACATTTGTTGGAAACGATGAATGTTATTATGAACTCATTTTGATTGTCTTCATCTGTGTCCATAACTGTTGGACACCTGTACTTGTATTGTACATATAAGTGGTGGGTGAGTTAGTGCTACTCAACATTATTCTCTTACCCCCATGGATGCTGGTGCGAACAATAGTGAGATTATATTGGAGAGGACGAAGAGCAAAGCTCAACACACCCAGACAACTAGGTGGAGTGACGACGGTATAGATGAACGGTCAGATACTGAGTTGGCATCGAACGGATTAGCTCCTGATGAAATTCAGATGTGGAAAGACTTTCGGATCGAGTCTACAAGATAATCTATGACCCGACCGCAAAATCAGTCTTTTGTCCGATCTCGCTTGAAAATTCTCAGCCATTGAGGTATTAGTCATGCTCGCCCCCGCTAAATTGCATCGCGAGCACTAGATACAAGTATGGTACCAGAAATGTTTTAAATTGTTGTTTACCGTGCCGAAGTTTTACTTTAATTATACCAGGATTTGGTATTTATTAGTACAGTAATTTCAGCATCATCAAGTAAAAGCAAATTTTAGTTATGTAACTTAATTATTTTTATTATATGGTATATTTATAGGTTTTGCTTTTAATTACATCAAAATCTGTAGTAAATTTTACTATTAAAATAAAAATATTTTAAATTAATCATATTAAACTCTACATTTTTATTAAAAGTTTTAATTATTAAAACTAGAAAGTTATTCAAGCTGTGGTAAGGTTTTTCGCCGATCATCGAATTAAATAACATACTTCACTACTGGTTTCAAAAACGGTCTAATAAGAACAGGGTAAAGATGTAACTGATCATAAATGCCAACACGAGAAATCAGGCAGCCGCCGCGCTGTGGGCCGGGGTACAAAGTTTCTGCAACAACAGTCAGCGCTAAGCTTTGTACTTTGCCTCCCGAGTCGGGCAAGAGGTTTGGGAGTGGGTCCGCAGCAGTCAAAGGGGCAGTGCTGACGACCATAAACCCCATAAAACCAAGCAATTTTCACCAGGCATCGCTAACACCCTAATTCTTACTCTAATTTATTCTTGTTCGTTGTACTCCACTCCTTTCCTTCGGCCATGGGAAAACTTGTCAAATTACTGGGCTCAGGCATCGGGCTCACTTCTGAGGCCATCCACGCTGCCCGTTCGCGGTCCCGCTCTTCTTCGGCCCAGCCTCAGCCGTCATCATCATCTGCTGCTGTTGCCGCCGATCCAGATGCTTCAGATCGCAGCCCGAATGAATATGCGGAAGTAGACGATGCCACAGCCCAAGAGATGGTCCGCAGTGGACGGGCCGTGCTAGCCGTCTATCCCAGCGACGAGAAGGAACGCGCATCTAAGTCCAAAGCCGCGGAAGCGAGTTATGGATCTGAGGACGACGATTCCGAGTCAGATGAGCTTGAAGAACTCAATGGCGATGAGGCCGCGTGGGAACTGGATGAAATGGCGGATCGAGTGAGGCCCCCGACGTACGAAGAGTTCGAGGCTGCGGATTCGGCGGAATCGGAGGAAGTGAAGGTTAAAAAGGAGGAGGAGATGGTTCGCGCGCTGGTTCGGATGGCGGGGCCGCCGCCTCAGCCGATCAGACGTATTCCTTATCCTGTTATTATCCCGCAGCGGAGACCAAGGAGGAAAGATCGTGGCTTTGTGAGGGCGTATGCGCCTGTGCTGGGTGATTGCGGTGTTGGGCAGGAGGTATTCTTGAAGCTTCTAGAAAGTTGGGATAAGGCGAGCAGGGTTTGTTTCGCTGCTGTCGAGGATCCTGCCAGGTGCATTTCTAACCGTTATTCTAGGCTTCTCCATGGATTGATGTCGTCTTCGTAGCTGCGGGTATCGTGGGCTTTGTCCCCGAGCTTGCTGCCCAGATCACGAGTGCTGTCGTGCAGGTCATTGCAGGAACAGCACGTGAGCTGCAGTCGCGCTCACGCAGGAATACCTTTCTCGACCGGGTCAATCAAGATATCTTCATGCCACGCGGTCTATATGCCATGGTGATGGCATTCAAAGATGAAGTCCCTGGGCGACAGAGTGGGCCCCTGTCCAAGCTATCTGGAACCCTCGGACAGACCCTCTTCAAAAGTGAGAAACTTGATATCAATCAAACGGCCGCTAAATTTAGCAATCCGGACCCAGATCTGTCTAAGCTCAAGAAGGGCCTAAGGGATATCAGGTTGACCAGCGGCCAGACCCATGGAGAGATTGAATTGCCCGAAGCAGCAGAGCTTGTATTCCCTGATCTAGACATGGCAGCAAATCAAGCATTGGATGGCGATCGCAAGGGCAAAGAAACGAGGACGCGCGAGAAGTTCAAGAATGCCGGTGCATGGGTGCAGGATTATCTGGACAGAAAGGGGCAGGCTGCCTTTGTAAGAGACGCTCCATTTAACAATCCTTCCTGTTTGTCTTTTACTCATATCACCACAGGAAGCCGAGCATCATGGCTCCTCTTTGGCTGTGACCTCGTCTCAAAGGACACAATTTGCATCGCGGTATAGTGACCCCAACCACCCGGCAAACAGTGGCTCATTGATCTCGCTCATCACCGGTGGTTCTATCAACCCAGACGCAAGACGGCAAGCCAGGAGAGCGTCCAAGCAAGAACGACGAGGACTCAAACGTGAATATAAAGATGCCACGCACGTGGCTCGAGGTCGATCTCCTCGTGGTCCAAGAAGGGTCAAGAGCAAGGGAAAGCGCAAGGGTATTGTCAAGAAGGTTCTCACGCAGGACGTTCTGTATCTTCTTGTTGTGAACCTACCTAACCAGCAAGAAGTCCAGAATTCTGTTGCTCGATTGGAGCATACTATGGCACAGATGGAGGCCTCTTCGGCCTCTCGTTGATGACATTTAGCCTAGCAAGCAATATAGAGTAGAGTTATATCAGGATTTCTAATAGCAACTCTTTCGACGTCGACGCTAGCGGTATTCTCAAGGTCAGCGCCAGCAATAAGGCCACTGGGAAAGAGGAGTCGATGACAATCGCTAAAGACAAAGGTCGTCTGACCCCAGAGGAGATCGAACGCATAGTAATAAGAGCCAAAGAGTTCGCCAAGGACGATAAGTCGGTCAAGGCTAAGATCGAAGTCCGCAACAGACTATGAATTGGCTCGAGGACAACCTTGCTATTGCTTCTGCTGAGGACTTCGAGGCTGAGAACTTCGAGGAGCATGAATAGCAGCTCCCTAGTGTTGCCTTCCCGATCATCAGCAAGCTCTATGATTCCGCCCCGGAGGACGACGAGCCGCTCGGCCATCAGGAGCTTTAAATTTAACTCTTGTGGCCATATCTCTACACTCGTTTCCTTTTCCTCTTAGTAGAACCGCGGGCGGGTTAGGGCGAGGTGTTTTAACTTAGTCGCACCGCTTGACCGATTGTTGGCTCGAGAAATACTATGATACCTTTGCATTCCACCTATTATCTGTAGATCATAACTATGTAACCGCTAAACAACAACCTCACCCATCATATCTTCCATCTAATGATTGTCCTCTTTATCAACCCACTAACAATAAAGATGGCCGCTGCCAGGTGGATTCGACTAGTTACAGGCTTTATGGCAAAGATTTTGGGGCGGGCAATATTTGGATAGTGAGAATTACCAAACATATGGGGGCAATATATATTTTACAACGCAATGTTCAATCCGGGCTCGTGAAAGCTTTGTCGTTACCGCAAATCCTTTATGGAAAAGGGACTTTCTGTCGTAAAAGTTCTGGAGAGATCTCCCTGTTAGAAATATGCCGATGACTCGCGCCCATAGGAGTATTCAGATACTATTCGAACTATACTAACTACCAGATGTCATCATAAAGAAGCTTTCCAGACCTTCTCGAGAGGGCCACATAGTACCAAAGGTGTTCTCCGTGTCAGTGTCTAAAAAGCCTCTTTACCAGAGCATTTGCCAGCAACTATGGCCGCAAGGATATACGAACACCCTAACACCCCCCAAGCAAATAAGACATAAAGAATCAATCAACATTTAGAAGATGAACACAACCTGGGACGGGGCGTAGCATTTCCCGTACCTACCTGAGGATATTCACTAGAGCGTGGACATAATGCGCAGATGAATAATCAAGATACACATAGCCTTAATATACTTATTGCGGTCGAAATAGACAGTGCTAGTGATGGCCTCAATGGTAGTTGCCATTAGCCGCCCAGGGAAAATCCCATCTGCGCTGACTCTTCATTTGTGGCCCAAGTATTCTGTGCATTCGTCATGTCGCCTTGTTATCCCACTATCACCCAAACAAGGGATGAAAGAACAAATACTGAGGTTTCTCACGAACGGAAGCTTCGTCTTCATAACCAAACACATAAAGAACGAGCCTTAAAGTAGAGTCCCCAATAAGCGTAAGCCGCTTATTGCCCTGGCTGGCTATTGTGGCCCCGGCAGCTTCTGGGGCCTTCACAAGAAGAGATTTATCATGGAACTCATAATTGATAAAGATTTCCACGGCGCGGATGAGTTCAGCTGTCGTAAATGAGGGTATGATGGTGGATTGGGGGTAGATCTGGATCCGAAAAGAGGAGGATAGAAGATGAAGAGGGCTAGACAAGATACGGGATTAGAAGGACGTAAAAATGGGCCCCGTCTCTCAAATTTAGCTTTGTGAGATCTCGAGCTTTTTACGTTCATAATGAATTCTCCTCCTAGGAATACCATAGAACACGATACTAGACTATCTGATGCCCGTCTCGATTCACTAGTCATTGAATAACGGTTTTAATTCTAGCTGTTATGAATCCGACCGTTAATAATCTTATAGGATTCCCGACTACTCCCAACGGTCTTCGCTTTCGGTCTCGGTGTTCTTTTAAATGCAGGCCACGTGTTTTCGCCTTGATCAGTCCAGAAGATCAAGCACAGCTGTTATGGGGAAGATGAAGTCGCAAGATCAACATGCTTCACGTTCAGCAGCAGACATTGTAGTGACTGTTCTTAACGTCCAAGGCAAGGTACGACAAACATATATGCCTTTGCTAAGTACCTAAGGAACAATTTCCTGCTCGATGAGCTGTTTGTCCTTCTCATCCAGCTTACGATCAGAGTTCAAGTCAACATCGGCAGTTTCATCGCCAAACAAGGCATTAATCTCCTCCAGCGAGATACCCTTGGTCTCGGGGAAGTAGAAGAAAGTTGGAATAACGAAGAGAGTAGTGCCGACGAGGAAGATGAGATAGAACCTGGATGGGCAGTCAGCGAATGCAGAATCTCACAGAAAATAGACGGGTTACTTACTTCCACTGGATATTGGCAAAGGCCGTGGGACCAGCCTCGAGATAGATAAGCAGGGAAAGGAAGTAGCCGGATATTGAGGCTGCCATGCCCTTGGCACGGATGTGCGTAGGAAAGATCTCAGACACGTACACACTACATTTATGGTCAGCGTTGCCTCTTGAGATGGCTTGTGACATCCGAGCTGGGTACTCACTAGGATGTACCGTCCACGTTGTACGAGAAGAAAAAGATGTGCATGAACAAAAAGGCCACGCTGGCAATGGCTGCAGGTCGAGTTGGGTTGGCTTGGTAGTGGCTCAGAGCGACGCATTCGCCGATGAGCGCAAAGATGTCACCAATCCAACCGATCTGCAGGGCGCGGACTCGGCCGATCTTGTCCAGAGTAAACGCGTTGAAGTGGTTGCCGGTCAGAGCGAGCGTGATCTGATCACGTCAGCATATCTAGTAGTTGTACCATACCATTCAAATGCGGGAGAGACTCACCCAGCAGGCGCCAAGCAACAGCTGTCTTGAGGTACCAAACCCCAGCTCAGAGTAGAGAATTGGGCCGTAGTCTGCACGGTCTCAGTCACGTACACAACCCACACAGGATGAAGACTCACTATTGATAACCGTAGTGCCGGTCGTCTGAGATGCAAACATGACGATGAAGCCTATGATGAGACGCTTGCGGTATGATTTCTTGGTAAACATGATCTTCCACGACACCTCGTTCTCCTTGTCTATGTTGTACTGCTGCTTGATCTGCTCGAATTCGCGGATAGCAAAGGTGTTATCGGGGTCTTCCTTGTCATGGTGGAGCTTCTGGATGACGGTGAGAGCCTCGTCCTGACGCTGTCGAGAGATGACTAGTTTCCATTGTCAGCAAGACAGCATCGCGCAGAGAAAGAGCGAGAAATTACTCACGCCAACGGGGCGATTCGGGGAGGAACAAAACACCAGTGGACAGCAGCAATGGGGGGATGGCCTGGATTGCAAGCGGCACCCTCCACTGCGCGCCGTTGGCATTCACAAAGTAGAACCCGAAACCGACCCACGCGGAGGAGCAGTAGCCGTATGTGATGAGGACGCCGTGGATGCCGACCATTAGGCCTCGCGAGTGCGGCGGTGACACCTCGGTCTGGTACAGCGGGATGAGGACAAGCATCATGCCGACGCCGAGGCCAGAGATGAAGCGCACGAAGATGAACATGCCGAGGTCAACGGAGCCGGCCTGGAGCGCGCCGCCGATGGTCGCGGTGATGCAGGCGGCGAAAATGGCCCGCTTGCGGCCGAGTCGCTCCGCGATCCACGAGGACATGAGCGCGCCGAAATAGCCTCCTGCCGTGTAGAGGCCGTTCATGGCGCCTTGGATGGCCGTCTTGTTGGGTCGCTTGTCCATCTTGAAGTAGGCACTGGAGGTAATTCCGGTCATTATGTCACGATTCCGAGATGCCTTGTACGGCGCAGGTGAGGCAGACTCACTTGAACGAGGGCTGGGCCAGAGTAGTCGAGATGATACTTGCCGAGTAGCCAAAGGCCAAAGAGCCTAGGGCCACGAAGACAATCACCGCGATGTTGTAGAGATTCTTCTTCTTCTTCTCCGCCATAACGACGGTTTTACGGGCGAGAAACACTCTGTGGCTGCTCAAAAAGGGTGGCAAAAGACGAGAACCTCTTCACACAGTCTCAGAGACAAGAGGGGTGGAAGAGAGGCATCGTGTATATCGATCTTCGGGAACGCGATTCGGCCTCGGACTTATATAGAACCACGGCAAAGCACCAACATTTCCGGGGGCATTTTCCGGGGGAGGGAGCGCCCGGCTGTCTGGATCTGGGGAGCCGCACATGCACGTGGGGTAGCGGGCATCAAGTTCGGGGTATTCGGAGGATGCTTTACCTAGTCTACCTTGGGCATCTAGCTCCCGGGCGGAAGCGTTTTTCCCGAAAGGGAGTGGCTTCTCCGCACGATCTAAATCATGCCCTCGATGGGTGGAGCGCGATTATGAAGCCTTGGAAGCCTCGGAACACCTCCGAAGACGCCATCCGCGAACCTAGAAAGGTCCGTAGGCGTTTCATCGACGGGGTTCCGGATCCAGCACGTGGGTTATTGTTTGACCCAACTGAAAATGTCTTGCGGAAGACCTCGATCGGTTAGGTGATCCGGTCATCGTTCGGGTCTCCCTGTTGCTGGATCGAGGACTCTGTTTTGGCACTATTGGTTCCGCCATGAGGCTTCTTCATCACGAGCACGGAGAACGGTCTTGTCATTAACCCTAACTCTATGCCCTTCTAATGACCTGTCCGTTCAATCCTGATTCTTGTCCTCGCTTCTCGTCCCTCGGCTCATTCGTCATTATATCCGAGCCCGTTTCTCCAGCTAGTCGTCTTGGTATCTGCCCGGTCGACGACTACCGTACGGAGCAGAGCTCGTCCGCATAGACACGGCGAGACAGACTTGATTTGCGAAGAGGCTGAACCCTGGATAAAAAGAACGGTGGCGAGACAAGACTCACATTTTCCGAGAAACGGGCAAAATTGTTTACCAAAGTCTGAGCCTGACATACCCTGCAACGATGAGCGGCAAAGTGAAACCAGCCTCACGGCCGGCTTCATCATACACTCTGACAATCATCTTTATCGGTGTCACTGCGCTGGTATTCCGACCACTCATCGAGCTCTACAAGTTCAAGCAGACCGACCTGACCAGCCGTCTGACGCAATGGTCCAACCATAGCCGGCTGAACAGCGAGCACTGCAAAGTGCATTACGAGGCCAACGCTTGCGAGGACATCCAGATCCACTTGGCGTCAAGTACGGCCTTTGTGGCATGTGGTGACCCTGCCGAGAGAGCCTTCTGGTATCCTCCCTCGCTGGCGTACAATGCGACCGGGAGGACGTCGTTTGTGGAGAACCTGTTCAAGTATGATATCAAGACCAAAAGGTCGACCAAGCTGAGGATAGAAGGGCTCGAGGGGGATTTCGTCAATCATGGCATCGATATCTATGAGTTCCCTGACGATCATACCAAGGTATGCAGTGATCGTGAATTGCTTGGTGATATCTGGCTTGACATGTCTTGCAGATTCACATCTTTGCCGTGAACCATCGCCGCAACGGAGACTCCATCCTCATCCTGTCACACAAACTCGGCTCCGACAGTGCGCAGGTCGTTAAGCAGGTCGTCCACTCTGGTATCAGGAACCCAAACGGTGTTGCGGCCAACGGGCCATTGTAAGTATTCTTCTGCCAATATACAATATACAAGACCAAGAGACTGACACACACGAGTGACTTCTTCATCACCAACGACCACTACTTTACACCGGAGACCATCGGACGAACCATCGAAGACACGTTTGGCCCTTGGCCCTGGGCTACCGACGTCCAGTACTGCGATGCTAGTAGCGAGGTACTGTTCAATTCACCCATTTCGTTGACCCATATGACTGACCTCATGGTTTAGGCCACGACGTGCCGAACGGTGTCTCCCAGACAGCCAGGGTACAATGGAATCGCTATCTCTCCTGATATGAAGAAGCTCTATGTTGGCGACTGCAAAGTTGCAAAACTCCATGTCTTTGACATCACCGACTCAAAACTGCTGTCACCTGTCGCAACTATTGTACGACTTGAACTCACTTTGTGAACAGAGTTGCTGACTTGCACAGGATCTCGGTGCCGCAGCGGACAATGTCCGCATTCTTCCGACGACGGGTGATCCCATCGTATCAGGTGAGGCAAACCAAGGCTCTATTCTCATGAACTATCCTTGACCGCTATGATAGTCTTTGCGAGCGTCGAGAACCTCCCCGCGTATCTATCCAATGTCCGTGGCTTGGGCAAGGACCTGCTGGTGCCATCCGCAGCTCTCCTGCTTCGCGAGAAGGAAAACTACAAGCCCGAGCTCATCTACTGGGACGACGGCTCCGCGCTCAGCTACATGACTGTCGGTACCGTCGATCCCTATAACCACGTGTTTATCGGAGGAAGTGTGTTGCAGTATGGTGGGTTTGCTGTGTGCGACCTACCCAAAGATTTCTTAACATCATGATAAGCCGAACAAAGTCGATATAGATAAGACGAATAGATGCTATGTGATAGACTTAGTAAAGCGCTGTAGATATTGAAAGATGTTATTAATGTTCAGATGCATCAAAAAAGTGGCTGCGCTACAGTGGGCGGTTAAAGTCTATATCCCAGAACCCGTCGTTCAACCAAGACGTCCACACAAGATCGCTGTCGAAACCCAGAGTAGTATTTGGCGTAAGATTGGTCTGCATTGAATCTGCACGCCCTTGCCTCGAGTCCGGGGACTCCAAGACGGTGACTGTTTGCTTGGAGGTTGAGTTTGTGGTGCCGGCGACGGCGATACCAATGGCTACTGCCAGTAAGCATTATACTACCCATAAAGACTCTGCTGTGTTAACCTACTGGAATCAGAACACTGTCCACGACTCGACGAGTGGTGGCGTCCATCCGCCGCTCTTAGGAGCCGCTGGATCATCTTGCGATCAGTCAGGGGCACGGAGCTGTGGGGGTCGACATTGAACTCTCCGGGGTCCGTGTCTTTGATGCCCTGAAACTTCTGCTCCATCGCCGTCAGGATCCATCCTATCCCTCTCCAGTAGACCATGAGCGACTGCAGCGTCCGCAGGCACACCTGGTAGTTGGCCTGGCAGTTGTGCTTCTCGATTGTCTCCATCATGATGGGCTGGGCGATGGATATCGTGGGCGGGACCCTGAGCTCAGCGATGAAGACGAGTCCGGCCATCTGGACAGCCTGGTCGATGAAGGGACTGCCGAGGATGGATTTGGCGTCGACGAGCTCGGCTAGGCTGAGGCACGAACTTGTGGTCCAGGCTGTGGAGATGGATATTTGGCGGCTCTCCAGACAGAGCAGGTTGTCGCCGCGCTGGTTTTCCTGCCCAAAGCGAAGTCCCGGCCGATGCAACGCAATCATGACCTAGAACAGTGTCAGTGGTAAATCGTCGAATCGGTGGCGAAAGAACTAACGCTGTTGAACCACAAATGCAGTAGCAAGAATGTGCCTCCCTGGCCCTTTGCAGCATGCGCTCTGAAGTTGGGCACGTCAAAGGCCAGCAACGGATGCATGCGGGTGTAGTAGGCGACGAGATCCTCCCCGTAGGTTATGAGGCGTTCCCTAGTGCGCGGCGGTATGTCGATGGACTGCTCCGACAGGGTGCCAATCTCCTCGTTGACGAGGCCCTGCATCTGGATGATGCGGACCATGCCGGGGAAAGGTGACGGGAGCTCGCCCGAGGAGTTCTCGATGGCCATTTCGGTGGGCATGCTGACGTCGACGAATTCTCTTCGCGTGGTCAGCGGGCGGCCTGTGGCGAAACTGATGATATGGTCAAGGAAATTGACGGCCCAGTAGAGGAATGGCTCGTCGGTTTTTCCGCTGGCATCGAGCGGCAGCGTATCGTGCTATAGAAGCGTTAATCTTGAAGACATCTACGTACGTACGGCCGTTGACGTTGAGATCTCACCTTGTGCATACCCAGATCTTCCGCCATTCTCACTGCCATTCCCGTATACATCCACAGCCCAGCATCATGGCACGTTGCCATCTCCATCCACGCAATCATCAGTATGCTCTCCACGACCTCGTAGCTGGGCAGATTCAGCAGCGGCACAAGCAGAAGTTTGGCCTTGTTGGCAAACACCTCTCCTCGAAGATACGCAAGCTGTCCCTCGAATATGCTGAGCGTGGAGAACCGTGCTGCCATGGCGCACATGCTATTCAGCAGAATGGCAGACACCTTCTTCTCTTTAACACTCTCGACGAAGCCATCGCGCGAGTGGAAGGGGAAATGGCAGCCATAGTAGTCGAAGAAGGTGTCGAGCAAGGGATACAATAGCTCTCGAGCGGGCGTGAGATTATCCTCCGGGTCGAAGAAAAATGTCTCCAACTCGACCTTGCGTGGCGTCCCCTGCACATAACTCTGAGGTTGTCCAGGTACGGTCGCATCACTGGTCGGAGGCGAGAGCGGCTCCTGGGCATCGGAGGCAAACTTGACCTCGGTCATATACTTCTTGTACCCGGGTGCTATGCCGGTAGGGCCGAACCAGCGGAAGAAGGGAATGCGCACACCCCATGACCGGTCGGGCTGCTGGTCGGTCGGTGGACTCTGGAGCAGCGCGACAGGGTCACTGATGGATTTAGCGACGGTTGGAGGCACCGTAGGCTTAATGGGTAGCTGGGCAGCTGTAAACGATGGTGCTCGTTGTGAGGGTTGAGCAGGTTCCTTGGCTAAGGCTGAAGGAGCTGTGTCGAAGGAAAGCTTTCTTCTTTTGCCATCCGATGCACCGGCGACATGGACAGGCTTGAAGACGAAATTGGGCGGGCTGTTGATGTCTCGATAGTGGCATGTGTGACCGCCATTTTGACAGCCTGTAGTGAGTCAGTATGCCGCGCAGACTTGACAGGAGCTCCATTTTCACTCCGCTGTGTTGAGAGGAGACGGCAGAAACGCACCTCGGCACACGGGCTTATTGCCGTCGCACTTCCTCTTCCTTGAGCGACATGACCTGGAGAGTCAGTCACATCGTGTGTCACAGGAACCGGAAATGATGACTTACTCGCAGGCAATCGACACCTTGCTCTGAGACTGGCTTTGCGAGGGTCGCTGCTCCATGGCGCCCAAGTCGGTGAGTGTCGCATGTGGTTGCTGGGTGGAATGTGCGGGTGCCTCAACGTCTATAGGCTGCGCCAAAGTCCAGCCCGCAACCCATCGTGGGGGCCTTGTGGGCCCCCACGAAAGCCCAACTTTGCACAAAACCTTAGTATTGGCATTCATAAAACAGCTGAACCACTCTAATAAAACACTGTTATTTACCTACGTTCCAGTCACCAAATAAAGAGCCATTGTATTTAGCCTATAAGTCTATGAAATTTGGGGAAATATAATTGTATACCAAGTTAAGCGGGCGGGTAATAGTTTATTTACTGTTTCGATATGCCACAATCATTGGGTGATAGTAGTAATGTAGGAAGGTAAAAAGTTGCAAATGAAGTTATGGGAAAATATATAGCACATGAAGTGCATTATCATATATAACTCCGCAGAACTTTGCTAATACTGTAGTACTTATTCTATTGATATCACACGCGTCTTAACTAGTTAACCGGATCACAGTAATGCTGCATGATTTGATGCATCATGTATACACTGTGAATATATTTGTCAAACGTGCGGTTAGCCTTAGGAGCAATTTAGGATTTAGTCTGCCCAAGAACTCTAAGGAGGATAGGTAAACGTGTTTTATGTACCGGACCCGGTAGACCAATCACTTTCTCTTCAAGTATCCTCAAGGTGACGTCGGATGCACAGGTAAAGCTCAGGAAATAAATTGGCGAATTAATGACGCAGAAGCGGGTATATAGTTCTAGCGAGAGTCCCTTGTAGGGTAATTATCGATGCCGCAAATAAATAGAATCTAAAAACTGTTTACGTCACAGCTACATCTCCTTGTAGAGACATCCTATTGGCGGCATGCAATAACCAACAGGTTATGTAAGAGAGCCTTGTGCATGATATGATCGGTGCTCTATAAACCTTAGGTTATCGTGAATTGAATAGAATATGGTATCAAGAAAAGATGGATTTTCATGCAGCTAATATTATGTATGAAGCAGGCAATATAAGATAGGCAATTCTGAATCGTAATACTTAAATACTCCCTCTGAGAAAACCATCAAGAAACATCAAGAAAGATATCAACGTCGCATACCTCCTACTGCTAACCGTAATCATTCGTAGATGCGGCAGGCACTGCATTCTGTGCAGTAACGGAGTGGTCGTAGAGCGGGCCGTCCTGTCTGGGATGGCGGCGAGGTGTCACTGGCATTCGGTTGGGTTGAGAATCCCGTGTGTCTTGTAGAGATGGCGCTCCTTCATACGGGCCGGGATCCCAACGCGACACACGCAGCAGACGATGGCGTTGTGACTCGCCTCGTACTCGAAGAGGGCGCGAGACTGCGGTTGTCCGGTGGCCATCGTCGTCCGATCGACCAGGCTCGTACCGCCTACCTACGATCATGGTGGAATCGGAACCGGGTCAGTGACTCAGGGGGAATCAACGGCGCGTGGTTCGGCGCGTGGTTGAGCACGTGGCTGATCGTTCGTACGTGCAGGGGCCCCCAGATTAGAACCCCGGTTGGATGGGCGGGGGGTGGGGGAAGCGGGGACGAATTCTCCCTGAGCTGGAGCTTGGCTGAGCCACGCGCGAAGCCGATACATCGTATACTCGACGATCCCGTTCTGTATAGATCGATCGATGGCCCACCGGCTAATGGCCGACCACTGCCGCGACGCGCCCCACCAGGGAACCGGTCGGGGCCAATGGCCGACCGATTCCGGCAGAACCCCGAGGCCCAGCCCCCTCGCACCAACGTTTTCTGTTGCGGGATCCTGACCGCTGCGCCGGGCCTTCGCCTCGAGCGAGAGAGGTATGCAAGACACAAACACCACGGCTAATGCAGCCCATCTTAAGAACACCGATTCCTACTTAGCTAACTATCTTCTCCCTTTAGCGATTCTACAAACAGAAGCAAGAGAATATCTTCACCATATATATATAGATCAAGCACTTCCTTTAGCGTAAAAATTTACCCTTGTAGCAATTTAATATAATATCTCCAATACGTAGGAGAGATCTGGAAAATTGTGGTTTTTATATCGCTACTCAATATCATAGTCCACCTTTATTACTAGAGAGTGATTGTGGCTAACCGTTATACTGTTCACATATTTCATACTCAAATCCCTTTACTGCCCAGTCTCTGCCTTTGCATGTCTTACAAATTCGACATCGGGAAACTCCGTGCTCGGTCCATCCAGAAATTCGGGAGGGGTCGCATCACCCAGCACATAGGCGAAGAACTGGATCGTATAGCGCCACACAATCTCCTGCAGACGGCGGCTATTCACCGTGCCGGTCAGTTCCTCAGGTATGACGGCGCCGCGCAGACCGAGCAGGTCGGCCAGCAACGGCAGGTCGGTGTAGCCGTAGTGGACCGTGTTTTTGGGGCGCACCCACGTCTTCCAGCCGCGCGCATGGGCCCGGTAGAAGGTGGACCAGTCGGCGGCAACCGGCGGCAACGCCGCTGACTGCAACATGAGCAGCGGCTTGCGCACGGTGCCGTTGACCACAGGGCCGTAATAGGGGCCGTCAATGTTGGCGGCAGCCAGGACGCGGGCGTCTGAGGCAGCAACGTTGACGGCCGTGCTACCACCAAACGAGTGGCCGTACATGAGGGCGCGGAGCGGTGTGGATGGGAAAGCGGAAGTTGAGTTGGGGTTGCGGCTGGAGTTAGAATAGCGGCCGAGACCGGCCACACTGCCACTTTCAATGGCGTCAAGTACGGACACGGTATCAGCGATCCGGATGGCCTGTAGAAAGTTTTGACCGCTGTGGGTGCTGTCATATGCGTTGGTGGCGGCGCTAGGGTATGCAACATAGCCGTCGGGGAAGACGACTGCAGCGGCCTCGTAAGTGTGGTCGATGGCAACGACCGTATAGCCGGAGCTGGCGGCGGCCTGTAGGATGGATGCGTAGCCGTTATGGGTACCGCCGTAACCGGGGCTGAAAAGAAGCAGCGGCCCAGATGGGGAAGACGTCGGGACAGGTCGGGAGCAATTGACCAGCTTCACTGGAGCGAGGATCGATGATACATTTGACGCGGACGTGTTTGAGAGCAGACCCTGGAGAAGGGCGGTGGCGACAACGGGTGGAGCATATAGGATTTGCGACTGATGCTCGAGTGGACATGTCAAAATGTCGAGGAACGGCCGGTAGACAGTGACCATGAGGCGGCGAAGCTGTGGTGTCGGCGCAAGTGGATCTGGACGCGAAGTCTTGATTTCATGGTCGTAGATGGAGACTGGGTATGGACCAAGCTGGGTGGCTAGGACGACATTAGATTGGGGACTAGAAGTTGTCATTGCCGGTTCAGCTGCCCATGCTAGAAGAGAAAGAGCAAGAACGGCGAGCAAAAAGTGAAACCTCATGATGGCGGTAATTGTAATTATGAGAGTAAGTAAGCAACGCTCACACCTAGCAGCAGGCACGGCTGTAGTTATATACTGTGCAACTCGTTATGGTAGGCGTACAGTAGCCAAGGCCTTGGCGCTATGCCACTTGTGCCGCACTGTGCTCTCACGGCGTAGCCAGTATTATATTGCAGCCTAGGAGGGTATGGATGTCTCTTCCTTACCGGTCAACCTGGCCGTCTCGGTAGCAGCCTCCTGGCGCGTTGGATCCTGGAAGCTCTGATATAGTAAAAAAAGGTACCATATTCTTGCATAGGGGGGTCTAAGTAAAGCTTTTCACTGGCCGCTAGCAGCTAGTGGAGCTCAGCGAGTGGAGCTCAGCTCGGTGTTTGTCGAGCTAAGCTGGATTAAAAAAATATTTGAGGTACAGGTTGTAACATCAAAAGTGGGTTACCCCATCGCCGTTGAATCGCCGAGAATAGCTATGGAGACCATCTCGGTCTTTGATAGTTTGGAAATGCCTGGTTCGTCCGCATGCTGCATCAAAAACAAAGTCCATGCAGGCTTGCTTACTTCCTCCAATAGTCCAATTTTTCACGATGCTAGCTTCCGCTGCTGCGCCCCGTGTCCGCTTAAGCAAGTTCAAAGGGTGTTTAGGGTGTAGTCGTTGCCGTCGCATTGACTGCGTACTGGGTTGGAGTGGCGTAGGTGTACGCGGTGACATTACAGCTGTAAGTCAGCGACGCAAAATTGCTTGCAAGGACGTCATCGTAGCCAAAGGGACTGGCCAGTTGCAAAGCAAGGCCACCCAACCAGCAGTCGGAGCATTGCTAGTCAGTAGTTAGAGTTTGGTTTGACCATTATGCGATTAGAGGATTGCAGTATTCGCCAGCGATACTGTCCGTTCTGCAAGACATTTGATACGTGAACAGATAGTTATCCACGATGAACGTAGCTGGATATGCTACGTTCTCTACCACGATCACATCAGTGCTTAGGGAACAAGCGGCTGTGATAGCGGTTCTAGCGTCTTCCAGAGAGGTATAGCAGCTGTCGACACAGACTGCGTCGACCTGATCCGTTGTCATGACGCCATTGCTATCAGAATGATCAGTGACTTGTTTGGAAGGATGTATATCTCTTGGTATCAAAATCTACCTTTCAAAAACAATCCCGAGATATGGCGAGCAAGTAACATTAGTCGCCAAAGCTTCTTGACACGATGTAGTCAGCCCAGTATAGTTGGTGAACATCTGGGTGCCGGTGAACTGCTGTGCCCACGACAGAGGCACACCCTAAACCCGTAAATGACGATCTTGTAGAAATAACCAAATTAGTAGCGTTTAGACTGTTGCTAGTAGGTCATGATATGAAGCAAGAAGCAGCCGCTCTGTCCTCTTTTTTTCGTACAGCTCTCTCCGCAGCGGTTTCTGCAGTTGGTTTTCTGGACGGTGCCTGCATCATGGCCATGCTGGTCCAGTGGTCAGAGATACTGTTATTCCACTCTCGCTGATCTGACCGACTACCACTGGGTCGGTGGAAGCTCTGGAGAGGACTGTGCCAACGCCGCCTGTGCGTCCACCGAGCTGGCCATCTACCGAGCTAGGTACGGTGATCCCAGATCGAGCTAAGCGAAAAGGGAATCAATGAACATCATCCTACGATGGACTTTCCCAATATCTTTAGGGAGTTACTAAAAACACACCCCTCAGTACTAAACACACACCCCCCACTTTCTCTACCATTTCATTCTAAATTTAGCGTGTAAATGATTACGACCAGGATACATTGTATTATTACTAGTAGCACATGATTTATTGACTCTACAGTATTTATTTTGAAGCTGGAAATAGACCCCTGGAGTTGGAATCCTGGAGGGGAGAATTTTGGAATTTTGGAATTTAGCGGGTCATGTGGTATCACATAACCCACAACCCTCCCTCCCATACAGTATTCTGGCTACCATAGTTAACCGAGGTCAAAATACGACGGAAAGAAGTCCCTCTCGTGCTAAAAAAAAGTAGTAATAATATAACGTATCCTGGTCGTAATCATTTACACGCTAAATTTAAAATGGAATGGTAGAGAAAGTGGGGGGTGTGTGTTTAGTACTGAGGGGTGTGTTTTTAACACATCCCTATCTTTATAGTAGTACGTACTAGTCTTGGCCTATAATATTATAGATACTATGGATATCTCGCCGCTCTTATTCTAGAAAGATAATCAATATCACTACCTGGCGCTTGCAAAGCTCGTACGAGATGTCTATTCTATTCCTATAATAGGTGCCGGTGTTGGTCTGTTATCTAACGTTGCTCTTGATACTTATTATTACCCTGTAGGAAAACTAAATGCCACAAGAAGCTATTGAGCTTCTTTTATACTTCGAAATTTCAGACTTAGGATGAATAAGAATCTATGTTCGATACGGCATGTATATATATTGACCATTGGTCCTTTTTTACAGGTCCCCCGCCGAGATCTACCGTGGCCACAGTCCCACGCAGGTCGCCCTAAACGTCTGGGCTTAGAGTATCACCCGCCCCCGTAAGACCTCAGTTCTTAGGGCGACTCACTGTGTAGGGTTGATGCAGTGGTGCTGACTATCTTTATTCAGTTGCTTGCTGCTGCCGCCGCCACCACCGCCGGTATGCAGTACCCCTATTCGTTCAATACGCCCCGACGGCCAAAATTTGCCCGCCCCCGTGGGCCTGAATGCTACCGCTGTAATGCTCGAGGATGAAGCCGCCTCTGCGGCGCTTGCTGTCCCTGTGACTGACGCTACGACGTTCAGCTCTTCCACTAAGACGACATGGTCGCGCTAATGGCCACTTTAATGGTTCAAAATAGGCCAGGGGCGGATGACAATCCAATGGATGGCGCGACACGTATTACCACGTAGGGCGTCAGTTTTGCGGAGTTTTGTGCGGCAATTATGTTCCGGCCGTTCTAGGCGGCAATTTACTCCTTCACTGGCTATATAAGACAGACCCCTCCCCTTCTGCCTGTCTTCTCGTCGATATAAGCAGATCTTTTCGTTTTATCTGCCTTAATAAATCAAGCGATCTAAACGAGTAGTCGAGCGCAAGTCCTGCAATTCTTGACATCAACAGAAGGGGAAGTGCGACCTTCCGTCTCGTATCGAAGAGGAACAAGGAAACTACTCAAGATGGGCCCAGCAAGAAATCAAGTGCCATACTGAAAGCTCGGACATTTCATACGTACACAAGCGCCAACCCCTGGAACACCGGGGTCCGAGCCCATCACTGCGCGGGCTTTGGGAGCGTCGTTCCCCAGCCAACCTTCCAATTTTGGCCCCGGATAGGAGCGAAGAGCTCCTCCAGGGTGGGTTTACTGCCTATCATTGCCTGGTCATATAGGGCATCGACAAGAGCTTCGAGCGTTTTGCGGTTCGGCTCGATGCCGTAAACCCAGGCATCACCTCCGAAGATCTGGTCAATTTCATCGACTTCGGCAGCCAGCCACGGCAGCATATATCTTAGAGCATCCAAAAAGCGCATACGAACCCTCGCGACCTCCTTTGCATCATTGAAAGCATTGAAGAGACTTGACGGCAGCCAAGGATACTTGTCCACGAGCTCCCGCTTCACGACCACCGTGTGCATAATGGGGAAGACATATTTCTCCTTAAAGTATGTCTTCTCCACGTCCTTAAAATCAGGAAATAACCTTTTGACATGCTCCGCGGTACGAAAACACGGCGGAAGGTCCGCTCCGATCGTTGCAGCGATATCGCCGTCCTCCAACATCTGGCTCAGCGACTTGCCGCTATTGTTCTGTGTAATGTTCACAGGCTCTACCAGGGGCATCGCTGCTGGTTTACCATATCCTTCGGCGCTCACAAAGGAGCCCTGGACCCATTGGATGCTGTCGAGATCGACGCCATGTTGCTTGAGCACTGAGCGAATCCAGACTGCGGCTGTCATGGTGTAAAGCGGCACCCCAATCTTTTTGCCATTCAAATCCTTCGGTTCTTTGACAATAGTACTGTTCACTACAATGTATCCATGCCGAAATGCTCTGGATGGAAACACTGGTATCGCAACAAAATCGCGGAGACCCATTGCGTATCGGCAAATATATTCACTGAGACTGAGTTCGGACGCATCAAACTCTTTACCCCCGGCCATCCGATCAAAGATATCTCGTGGGTGATGGAGAGCCAGGAAATTAAGATCAATGCCCTCTGGCACGACCTCACCTGACTGCAGGGGCTGGAAACGGTCGTACAGCAGACCTGCAAAGGTGATAGGAACTTTGTGGGACCCCATGGCTGAACGTGAACTCGCAAGCGACACACTCGGACTGTTGAAGGTCATAATTGAGCCTGCCCAATTTATTATACCCGAGAAAAAGTCCCATCCGTCTCATAACCAGCTATTTCGCGCCATGTCCCACGTGAGCTTAGTCCCCGTTCCCAACGCGGTGCAAACCGGAAACTCGGCATTTTCGTTATCTCCCCGTGCGGAGCTCCGGCCACCCCACATTTTTCTCCTGAACCTAATCCCCGCGCCCCGAGTGGTGCAAAACCGAAAATTAAAGCTTTGTCGTTATCCCCGCGAGCCCTAAGGTAGTGCGGAGCTCCTACTAACAGGTAGCGCAAACTCCAGGATTTGTTGAATACCCCAGGTTTTTCTCTTAGCGTCAATTCGAGGAAAGGGTTGAGTCTTCTGCCAAGGATAATGTTACCATACAGCATTCAGGCCACCAACACAGTACACATTTATTTCGTATTAGTCAAGCGCACCCCTCTATTGCATTGTAAGCAACGCTCAGCTGGAACCCGACAAGACAGATGATCGAACTTGAAAAGCTGCACTGGTCTCCCCACCTTGTTATCTTTTACACAATCGTTGTATAGTCTCGAATTGAGTACCCTTTCGCAAAGACAGGGTTCGCGAGATCACCATGGCCGAGGAAGTCGAGAAGGTTCAGCACCCCCATGGCGAGTTCGCCGATCAAGACATTATCACGGGCAGGATGTCCAATTCCGGTGTCGTCTTAAGCCCTCAGCCCACGAATGACCCAAATGAGCCACTGGTAAAATAATAGCTTCAAAGAGGCGACCGAATTGTGCTAACAGACATAGAATTGGTCACAATGGGAGAAATATGCGACATATCTCGTGCTCTGCTGGTTCACATTCCTGGCGTTCATGAACTCTTCTGCGTTCACGGTTGCCGTCAAGTCAATTGTCAAGGAATTTGGCAAGACGCCGACAGAAGCAAGCTACTTGAGTAAGCCTTCTACACTTCCAATCATTGCCCGCGGTCTCGTTTCTGGCACTAACGTGCTAGTAGCATCGCTGCAAGTACTTGCGATGGGGTTTGGTGCTGCGTTTTGGGTGAGATTCCCTTCGAATCTACAAATTCACCACCGCTATTAACCACCTCGCTGCAGATGCCAATGTCCAGAAAAATTGGCAAACGTCCCGTGTACCTTCTGTCAATCCTCTTCCTGTGCGTCACCAATATCTGGAGCTACTTTTCTAAATCATACGGTAATCTTCTGGCGTCGCGACTGGTCGGGGGTTTTTTGACCGCTGCTTCCGACGCCCCTGTGTCCAGCGTAGCGGCGGACCTTTTTTATTTTCACGAGCGGGGCCGTACCTTGATGATTTTCAATATTGCTATTTCGTCAGGCGCTTTTCTCGGGCCCTTCATTAACGCCTACATCACCCAGTACTTGGGCTGGCCCTGGATGTGCGGTGTAATGGCCATCGTTTCGGGTGCGACCTTCATTCTCGCAGTTCTACTTGTCAAAGAAACGGCCTATATTGTTCCTAATGGTGTGCGAGATCTCGATCGATCCGCTGAGATGTACTCGCCAAAGAAAAGCTGGGCTGCTTCAATGTCCCTAACCGCCGGCATGGACCGAGATGCATCCTTCTTCAAATGGGTGTTTGAGACCGTACAACTCATAGCCTATCCTCCTATCTGGTTCAGCGGACTGACCGTGGGACTGTTTATCGGGTGGTGAGTTTTGGATATGAATCACAAGAGATCAATTACGCGCTGTTGCTGACTATGGATACAAGCAATATTGCGATCCAGCTCACAGCTTCCCAAACCTTTACGGCTCCACCCTACTCCTGGCAACTTCATAGCGTTGGACTGCTGTCCCTCGCGGGCTTCACGGGTTCTCTGATCAGTTTCTTCTTTGGTGGTTGGCTCATTGACTGGATCGCCACTCGTGCTACCAAGCGCCATGGTGAGCATGTAGAGCCGGAGTATAGACTTCCGGCAATGATGATACCAGCAGTAATCGGACCAATGGGTTTGTTGACCTTCGGACTAGTGATTGCTACAGGAAAATCTTGGGCTGGTGCTGCCATCGGATATGGCATGCAAGGATTCGGTGCGACGGCTGCTGCGAATATCGCCGTCACCTACGTGGTAGATGCCTATCGCCCAGTGAGTGGAACCTTCCTTATAGTACCATAAAGTAATTGGATAGCTAATGTAGTATTGATCTAAAACAGGTCGCTGGGGAAACCATCGTGATCGTATTCGTTTTTCGAAACGTTATCGTCTGCCTTATCTCCACTTATATTTCCAAATGGTTCGAAAGCCAAGGGTTGAAGAATGCCTTCGGAGAGCTAGTTGGCGTGGCTTATATTATCCTGTCATTCACTTTGCTCATGTATTTTTTCGGGCCCCGTCTTCGGCGATTTACTTTGGCATATGGCCTGATGACCAAGTATACAGAGCGCTGAGGGTAGAAGGTTTGTCTAGCGTGGTCAATGCCTCTTTGTCCGTGCAGTCTTCGAAGGCTTAATTCATAGTAATCTGTTTATGATCAGCTAGCCGGATTCACAAAAAAAAAACATTGACATATTATCGCTATGCTAGATGGTTTTGGCGAGTTGTTTCGGATAGTGTCTTCTTTCATGAGTACACCGGGGATGTAAGCATTCTTTTGTCTTTGAAGACTGCGTCTTTCTTGGGCTCTATCTCCGCACCATAAGAAAAAGGTTTCTCAGCCCATAACTAGATTTATTATCTGATTTGGAATTCCTCCAGCCGCGTTACAGGAAGAATAGGAGGAAATTCCGCTGAGTCATCCTTAAATGAATTGTGTTCTCCGAATTTCCAACACAGTCTGGTCTTGAGGCTCATTTCGAGGCGGGGAGGTAGATGATTCTGTCAAGAATTAGAATTGCTACAGATCACATACAGGAATTTTACCCCTCATCGATATTTCCTATTGTGTATTCGTCATTTATTAGTTAGTACACCCTCTAAATTGTTGAGCATTCCCAGATTTATCTGAATCAGACATTTACTTCTTCGTGATTTACACTTCCATGTGGGACCCTCGTACGTCTAGATTTCGACAGTATCGACCATCTATCCAATAGTTAATTAACCTTATATGACATACTGAGCTTAGATTTCCGATTCGTCGTATTCAATTCAAGCATTATGTTAAATTCAATGTTACGCGCCACGAATATTAATGATGTAAACTGAAAATCTGTCAATTATATAACCGCTTCTAGTTTAGGATAGGTGGGGGGGCCTAAGACCAATGGGAGTGTAGAGTAGTCGAAGGGAGCCCTGCCTTCTTTGAGGCATTATGGATTAGGGCAATGGGTCAAGACAGTGACCTGTAAACAAACAATCCCCGTGTGGCCGTGAGGTGATCATTCTTGTCTTAAGTGGTCGGGAAGGAGAAGGGGGGGGGGGGGGGGGCGGAATAGGGTAGGTAGTCCTTACCAAAGCCACGCGCTGTTTACTTGTTCGTGAAGGAGCAGTCAAAGTGTGGAGAAAGTGCGGAGAATAGAAGATGAGGTTCGACATGTGTTCAAGTTGGGCTTTCTTAACCCCGAAGAGCCCTGTGAGATTGGCTGAGGTCGCGCTCACCTTTTACCTTAAGCAGTACAATAGGCAATTCCAATCTGTACGTTATTTTAAAGCCTCTCGTCTTGAATTGATTGGGTTTGAATCTCAGATTAAAGAAATCCAAACCGAATTCAATTGAGCTCTAACGCATCTAAGATTTGTGTCTCGGTTCAGCGCGGCCCGAGGAAGGCAAGCCGAAAATTGGGTGCATGGGCTCACAGCTCCATATATCTGAATGGAATTGCCCAGCATGCGGAATTCAAGACAAAGACCATTCAACCAATTCACTCCATACCCGCCTTCGCCTTCGCCGCCACATAATCCTTGTCGAGATCTCCGCTCCACACCCACGCCATGCGGTCTTTCAGCTTCTCTGCCGCGACTGGGATGCACTCTTCGAAACTTAATCCCTTGAAATCGGGACCCTGAAACTCATACACGTCGCCGGCCTGGCGCGACGTGATCTGTGCTTTTTGTGCTCGTGGGAGCCGCACCGCTTGATACAGTGCCATGTAAGTAGAGAGACTAGCGCTTGGATTGCGCAGGAAATCTCTTATTGCGAGGCCCAAGACATTGGCATCTTCGATTGCGTGGCCGGCGCCAGACCCTGAGACAAGGGAGTTAGCATGAGCCTAAGTAGGACTATGCCGCGGTTATCAATAGACATACCTTGATGAGGGAGCATGGCGTGCGCAGCATCGCCGCTGAGAACAACCTTGCCATCCATATAGCACCAATCGGATAACAGCTCCCGGTCGTTCAGTTTCCATTTGCTCACAACTGGGCTCATAGACCGGATTATCTTCTGCACCTTAGGAGTCCAACCCGCGTACTCCTGTTCGAGGTCTTCTCGGGGTGCAGCGCTCTTCCAACTCTCTTTGAGTCCGTCTAGCTCATCCTCGTGTTTAGTGACAAACCCTACAACATTGAGCAGACGGCCCTTGGAGATGGGAAAAACAAGGAAGTGCTTGTCTGGTGCAAGCCATGAGACGGTCAGCGATGGATATGGCCACGACTCTGCGAGTTCGGTGCCGGCAAAAGGAAGGGTGCCCCGGTATGCGATGCGACCAGAATAAGTGGGTCTGTCGACGGCGAACTGGGATCTGATTGTGCTGTGTATGCCGTCGCAAGCGATGACCAGATGTGCCAAAGAAGAAGATCCGTCCTCAAAAATGATCGAAACTGTCGAACCGCAATCTTCAAGTTTAACGGCCTTTTTACCAGTCTCGAGCTTTGCACAGCCTCTTTTGCGGATCTCGTTGTATAGAACTTCCAGAAAGTCCGCCCGATGCACCCACAGCTGGCCGATACCGTCGGCCAACCCATCCGAGTTGGCTGCGAGCACGTCGACGATTATGTCGTCGTTGTCATAGCGTCGGGTACTGCGGTGGCAACCGTTGCGATGCCCAGAGATGGCATCAACGGCCTCATAGACGCCGAGATTCCTCAACACTCGACCGGCTTGGATCCCAATGCCCACACCGGCGCCAATCTCTCCGTATTCAGGAGCCTGTTCGTACACCGTTATTTTGGCGAGCGTCGGGCTGTACTTTGCAATAGACAGAGCGACCGCAAGTCCACCAATGCCACCCCCAATTATGGCGACATGGAATGTCTCCGAGGAAACGAGATCTTCAATAGCCATTGGCATAATAACGGGACAAATAAAGACGAAAGGGCATGTAGAGTGGATGTAGCTAGTCCTGCCGGAAATCAAAGGAGCTCGAACTATCTTTTGTCTTGTTTAGTTTATAAATTGGTTGGCCTTGGGATTTTTAAGAATTCCACGGCCTACCATCCCATTGGATGGTAGCCGGTAACAGGGCAACACATATTGCTGCTGTATGAACCGGGGAGCTTCGGTGGTCGGGGAGATTAAGGGTGAGAGTCTACCGGCTCTGCATTTTCGACCCAGTACTCGTCCAGGTCATTGCGCGACGAAAACGGTCACGAGACCAGTGTTGTGGCACATGATAAAGATACGCGGATCCGTGGGCTGCCGCACGGAGACGGACGCGGCCGTAGGCGTCGACGATCCTGAGAACCGTTAAGAAGAGGCGACTTGGCCGACTGCTTACTTGTGTTAGTGGAGGATATGGCATGAGGAGATTGATTTCCGGTACAGCTCAGAAAACCTCGGTTTCTTTGTCCAATGACATCCTGGGCCGTTGGCGACGGCAATTGGGCTTGGATTTGTCGAAGTGGTAATAGATCCGATCAATAGCCTCGGCCTAAGTCTTAGCTGACAGCAGAGGGAGACAGAACTGGACGGAACCTGGATAGACCTGTAAGCATTCAAATTTACAGATAGCATACGGCGTTATACCGGGACTGAAAGTATTTTTCCGGGGAGCATTTCGGCATCAGTGATATCCCCCGGCAATTTCTCCACCTCTGGCACGCGTCGTAGATCCGACGCTCCACCCTCCTGGAAACTCCCCGGATCGAGAGGTGCTGGGCGATTTGTAGGACTCTCATGTCTCCTACACGTTACGGAAATTATTCGGAAAAGAAAGTTGGGGTATGCGACAGTAATCCCGGCTGCCAATATATTCAAGGCTATCATCTGCCTAGAGGGCTCTTTCTACGAACTTAAACCGCATGCGGTCAGTGCTTTACTTCGTGGTAATTACCCCGGTATTTAAAAAAAATGTCCTACTCCCATCCACATGAATTATTCGGTTTTATTATCTCAGCTCCAACCTCTTGCCCTTTCCTGTTTCTTCTTCTGTCGCGTTTCCTTTTGACCTGCAATCCGGAAGAGACGACTACGTCAAATTTTTGATTGTTTGGCTCAAGGTTATTCTTGAAATCGTTCTCATGGCAGAATTTGAGAAAGTTGATAGGACGGCTTCCCAGGAGATAGAAGATGTTAAGGCGCACCATCTGTCCTCTCTGAAGCTTGATTCTCGTGGCATACCCCTTGTCCCCCAGCCAAGTGACCACAAGGACGATCCCTTGGTACGTACTTTCTGCCTTTTAAATAGGGATATGTGCAGAGTTATGTTCTCTCTTCTGATTATATATCCAGAACTGGAACAAGAGATACAAGTATTATGTATTATTCTTGCTGTGTCTATTAGCTTTCGTCGTCCAGTGTGAGTAATCATCAATCTCGGCATCGCAGTCTATTTGCCTTGAATAGGTGGCTGTTAACACAGTCGATCTTCCTTACAGTCGGCGCAGGAATGGTACCCCCAACGTTTGGTACGTTGGCAAAGAAATTCGATGTAACGAGCCAGCAGGCCAGCTACCTTACAACGGTGTATATTCTTTTCACCGGCATCATTCCCCTTTTTGTCACTCCTTTTGTGAATTGCTTCGGTCGAAGATCAGTCTACCTGGTAAGTGATTTGTGTCACCAGTAATATCACTCTACTTACAAAAACCCTTATCAGCTCTTTACACTTATTGTTGTCATCAGTAACATAGGCTCTGCGAAAGCGACAACCTATGCTGGAATGATTGTGTCTCGTTGCTTCGTTGGCGTCGGCTCAAGTGTCACTCTCGCCTTCGGAGGTGCCACAGTATGTCTTGCGTCCGTATCTGGATCCGTTCACAATAATATCTGACTAATCTTATCTCCGGTAATAGATCTGTGATATGTTCTTTCAGGGTGAGCGTGGAAAGTTCATTGGAATTTATGCCCTGGCGTTGACAAACGGGGTATGTTCCTCAACCCCCCCCCCCCCCTCCCAAAAAAACATTTGCTGCAAATATACTGACTCTGGATTTGATAGCCACACTTTGGTCCCATTGTCGGCGGTTATATTGCATTGAATTTGGGATACCAATGGATTTTCTATGTACGATTTCTTGTTCCTTTTACTGGATTAACGAGCACAGAACTCGCTGACCTGTCATACCAAGATCAATGCGATTATAATAGGTGCTATCCTCCTCCTATTCGTCGTGTCCTTTCCTGAGACGTTGTTTTCTCGCACCGAATTCAGCAACCTCGAGAACCGCTCGTACTGGCAACGCTTTACCTTCAGCGGCAAGGTTCTTGACCAACCTGTCCGACTCTTCGATTTCCTGAACACTTTCAGAATGCTTAAATACTGGGCAATTATTATTCCCTGCGTCTATTACATGACAGCGAATACCTACGGCTCCCTGGTTTTCGTCCTGACCGCATCCGATATCACTGAAGAATTATACCACTTCAATACCGGTCAGACTGGCCTCCTTATAGGTGTTCCTCTCTCTATAGGCTGTCTGATCGGCGAGTCATGTACAGGATGGTTTTCTGATTGGTTAGCTGCTCGTATCGCCAAGCGTCACGACGGCTATTACAAAGCGGAAGTCCGTCTCTGGCTGGCGCCCCTCGCTCTCTTCCTTCCAATAGGCCTGATTATACATGGTGTCTGTGTCCAGGCCAAACAGCCGTGGATCTCGCTGGCAGCTGGAGAGATGATTGCATCTATTGGCGTACAGGCTGCTACCACACTAACATACTCGTATTGCATTGACTGCTATAAACCGCAGGCTGCCGAAGTTTCTACGATAATTAACCTATTCCGCTTCGTATACGCATTCACGATCGGATTCTACGCCCTACCGTTTGCCGAAAGAGTCGGGTTTGGAAGTGCTTGGGGGACTCTAGCCGCCATCAACTTTGCAGCTTGGCTGCTCCTGTTGATTTTGATTTTCAAGGGAGAATCCATTCGAAGTCGCCAGGGTGAGCCCACCTTGCACAGGGATTTGTGAGAGAGATTGAAACGGGAGTGGTACTGACACAATCCCATAATTTACTTGTCCCATGTGTCTATGTTTCTTTTAAAGGACCATAAATTTGTGCTCGATTACTACAAATCTTATGACTCACTGTAGGTACAATAGTACTGCTATGAACCTCACAAGTCTTCGGTTAGTGACGAGCACCGCATGATGTAAATACAGAATCAACCCCATAAATCAGAGAACCTGGTGTCAGTAGTATAGCCGCGTCCAAGGCACATCGGAAATGCCTTGCTATAAAAACGTATCCACCTCCAAAACCAAACCCATCCCCTTAGCCTTCACAATTAAACCTCCATCAAGTTTGCCCAACCAGTACTGTAGAACATATTCTCGATCTCCAAGAGGCTCTCACCAGACATTGCAAAATCGCCAATTGGGTGGTCATCCGACCGCGGAGGAAGTCCAAATCCATTGGTCGCATTGGCTGCAAACAAGGTGAACGTGTCGCTAGGTCTTCCTTGCCCGGTAAGAGCAGGAGTATCGACAGACGTGCGACTCGTACATGTCTCTCTTCTTCCCTGTGATATGGAAGCCAATCTCGTTTCCAGTTTCTGTAGTGAGTGTAGATACCGGAAAGCGAGGGGTTGCGAGTGGTCCCCGATTTCTTGGAGAAGGTTCATGCCCTGCAAAATGGCTTGATCGACGTCCAAAGCTCCGTGCAAACCTACGTCTTTCGTACTTTGAGGACTGAGCATCTTGAAGGCTAACATGACACAAAGAGAAGTGAATATATCTCGATAAGATCTGAGTGTTATGTCAAACAGTAAGAAGAAAGGACGTTGAAACTTACTGTGAGACTTGTGCCACCTAGAATGCAACACACGGTGTTGTGATAAGAGTTTCACGTGGTAGATTGTATCACAAGCTGCCATGAAACATTCCCGAATGCAAGGGTACATAATTTGACGCTGAAATCCTTCAGGGCATCGTCGCGTGACGTATATGAGTAGGATTTGGCGGTGGATAAGAAGGCGACAATTCAAGAACCTGATTCATAAATGAGCTTTGAATTATACAAATCGTAAAAGATTAGTGATGTTCTTCACCTCATAAACAACGTGCTACGTTGGCGCTCAAAGTGCCAACCCGGAACATCACCGTCAGGCTGTAGGTGGGGCGGAAGACTTTGCTGCCAAGCTGTAAGATCCCCGTCCAGCTCAATAGATATGGCCAAGAGTTTCGGGATATCCGTCAGTTTCTGTTCAGAAAAGTCTACCAAGCCCCTGTTGTATAGTCTCTTGCAAATCCGCTCCAGAAGACGGACCTGGACTATGACCTGGGTCAGGAACTCCAGTTTGGATGGCGTTTGAGGTGGCTGGGTTGGTGGTCCTTCGGTGGAGTTCTCAAGATATTCATCATCTATGGCCAGGGGTAGTCCGACGGTGATATCAGAGCCGTCATAGATAGTAGGTGGGCGTCCGAGCTTCATGCTCAGAATTCTATCGATGACGAAGCAGCCCCACCAAACGCGCTTTCGAATCTCTTTTTCGATCACATTCGAAGTGAAGTTGTCGGCATTGAGGTGGAGCCCAAGGCCCTGAGCCAGACGGTTGGCTAGGCCGATCACAGTCCAGGAATATTCGAGTTCCAGCGAGCTGTGCAGGTATTGTCCCATGAGGAGTAGTGACTGCACTATGTCGATCGTCCCGGGTTGGAATAAGCTAGAAAATACAAGAATCTTTGCACGTCTGAAGAAGTGAGAGTCGTCAATCGAGACCCGATTGATTACTGGAGCATGGTGGCTGCCAAAGGTAAATACCAGATTGACAAGCGCAAACCATGCAAGGTTCTTCTCCGTAGTCTCCACTCCACCGTGGAGCCAGAGACGCTCATACCGCTGCCGAAATGAGCCCTCGTGCAAGTACGTATTGAGTGAATGGGAGAATTTGAAATACGCATCGACTAGCTGATCTGCTATAAATCTGTTGGGTAAACTGAATATATCGTCATTTCCCATGCCCAGAGCCATGCCCTCGAAAAAGGGCGTCAGTAGAGAGGAAGTGGCCAGAGATGTAGCCGCTTGAGTGGCGACAGTAGTTGGCTCTCTTGATATGTCTTTGGCAGGCGAACATACCTTAGTCATGAAGTCGAATGTTGACGACTCACCAAAGTATTCCGATGATTGCCCTGCCGCATTCATCGCGGCTGCTCGACGAGTAACATCCAGTGGGGTACTGGTCGGTCCGGCTCTGGTGTTCATAGTATGGCGTGAGTCTGCCGGCGGCACGCCATTGTGATGAATGTCTCTATCTGCAAACCCCGCTACTTCCCGCTGCTGGTGTTGGCAATGAAGGGGATTGGCAGAAGTTGTACCAGGATGTGTCGGGGGAAGAAGATGATGCGGAAACTCGTGTAACCAGGAAGATTGGGTCGAGCCGTTGTCATGAATACCGGGCCTTGTGGTTGGAACTGGGGCTGTCATGCTGTGGCCACCCACAGATTCAGAAGGAAAGCTAGCACATCAGGTCTGCACAGGATGACATCCTCATTTGAAGTAAAGAACTCTGAGAGTACTTACCAGGTCTGACTTTGGCTCGGACTACTTTGACTGAGACCTTGGCCATTTACACCTTGTGCCACGGCAAGCTGCTGCTCCAGCAGACTGTTCCTGGATTTGAGACTTTCAACATACCTGCAAGATAAAGGAGATCAGTATTGATTGATGAGAGTTCTTCTGGACACTGTACTCCTGAGATACACTTGCACGAGACTTCTGCCCTGAATACAAGCATTGAGATCCACGAGTCTGGCACGCGCCACACACTGGTCGCTCTCCATCACATCGATTTTTCTTCGCCCGACATCGGTCGCATACATAGATTGCGCGCCTGCGCCTAGTGACGCTCGGTCGTTGATCCAATCTAGGGCTGTCTTCAATCCCGGCATTATTGCCGCCGTTCGATGGCATCATCAATGATTCTAGCGCGGATATTCGAGGTGAATGGCGATCAGATGCAGCTTCTGTCAGAAAAATCATGTATAGGGGATGGAAAAGTGATAAGACGTGAGAAGCGGCAACAGTCGAACAAGGGGAAGGTGCGGAGAATCAGAGCGGAGTCAAGAACTAACCCCCAATGAAAAGAAGGCGCTGGGGCCTCCCGATCATACTCCACGAAGACATCTGTCAACCGTACGGGCTAGTTACAATACGTCCGGGATCCGGCGTGTCTTCCCCAGGGCGGGGGTGGCCCAGGGTTTTTGGCTCCGTTCTTTGGACTCCGGGGAACTCCCGATGTTGCTCACGTGGTCACGGGGACGATTCGTGCTTAGTCGGAATTCCTCATAGTTGGGAAGGGCGCAACTCGCCCCTTCAAGACGGACACACATGTGCTCTCACATTTCACCAAATCACGACTTTGGACAAGTCTTTCACCACATTTAGATATATACAGGGTATTAAAGATGGCATACTTGCAGATTGCCCTCAAAATAGACCTCTCCATCTATTTCCCTTTGACTTGACTGCTGCCGGGTACACAAACTCAAATTCCATTACAATCAAAGAGGCGAGATAACTAAATGAAAATAATTCGCATGGCAGGAGATGTTTTACGACTACAGATCCTGATGCCAATTTGGCACGCCTTGCCGTTTCCTAATAGCCTCTCCCTTCCAGATCAACAGCAGGAGAGGAAGCCAAGTCGCAAACTGCACAGCAGCAAACGTGCCCCAAGCCACGCCATAGCCATCGTTTTCGCCAAATGGAAGCGCGTAGAAACCGATGCTGAAGGCGAAGATTTGACGGAACAGATTGACGAGGGTTAATACTTCGGGAGCCTGCGGCTTGTAACAGTCGCTAACGTAAGTATAGGTCAAAGTAGTGGCGGCCTGTACTCCAATCGATGCAACCACCATACCAATCGCGAGGCCAATCCATGGCGTCCGTTCACTAACGCAGACGCCGTGGATAACAAGGCCGACCGGGAGAAACAGGCCTAAAAAACATAGATATAGTCGCGCCTCTGGCTTTCGGTAACCGTCATGTTGCCGGGCGTAACGGTTAATCAACCAGTCGGAGATCCACCCAGTGCAGGCTTCACCAATTAGACAGCCGATAGTCAAAGGCACGCCGAGCAGAATGCCGGTCTGCGAGGTGTCGAAGTTATACAACTCCTCCGTGATGCTAGACGCGGTCAAGACGAAGAGGATGGAACCATACGTATTGGCGGTCATGTAGTAGATGCAGGGAACCCAGATGGCCCAGTACTTGAGCATCTTCAAGTTGTTGAGGAAGTCAGACATATGCAACTGCCGGTCGAGCACCTTGCCTCGGAAAGCCAGCCTGTTCCAGTAGCTCAGGCCCTCCAGCTTACTGAATTCGGTTCGTGAGTACAGCGTTTCTGGGAATGACACGACGAAGACTGCGAATATCGCGCCCATCATTATGGCGTTGACCTATTTTAGAAGCAGAAGGTTAGTTGATAGTCACCAACTGACTTGAAGGTAAGGTCTCCATCCTCACAAAGAAGATCCATCTCCAACCCAGGTTGAGTGCAATGTATCCACCGGCAATAGGGCCAAAGTGAGGCTTTGAAGTAGCTGTGATTAGCATTGTGGTTCGGAAAAAATATAGTCGTAGAAAGTATCACTCACTCCATTTGTTACAGCCAGCGCATAAAGTCCGATGAAGCGTCCACGTTCGCCTTGGAAGAATACATCGCAAATCTACGCCAGTCTAAATCAGCCAGGGAGTTTCATTGTCCATCGAGATAGTATATAACGTACCGTAGCGCCCCCAATAGACAGAGCAACGCTGGCACCAACGCCCGAGAAACATCGAGCAACTATTATTTGAGGATAGGTAGAGGCATAGCCTGAACCAATATTGGAGGCAATCGCGATCAAAGTAAACAGCTGTACGGTTGCTTTAATATGTGACTTAAACCTTGACGAATTGAGAAAGATCAGGTTCGTACCAGGTAAGCAGGTCGTCTGCCATACATATTGACATATGGTGTAAGAAGTAAAGGCGTGACACCACCGAAGAGGGCATTCGAAGTTGTCAAGTAGCTAGCTTGCTGATGGCTCACATTGTAGGCTTTGGCAATGGGAGAAAAGGCTGCCGGAATCATTCCCGCTCCAACTGCGATGTAGAACGTTGAGCTTTAGTGCAACTTTGGACAAGGCAGACACGATGGAAACCAAAGGAGAAGGGGAAATCACATTGCACGATAAATGAAAGAACGCAAAGTAATAACAGAACATAATATTTGTACCACTTTGGCCAGTTCTGCAATGACCCTTATTAGAACGAGCAATTCGTCCGTTCGACACATTCTTAAAGAGCTTCTTACCAAAGGATCATCTCTATGATCGCTCGGTTGAGGCACTAGGGGTAGTCCATTTGAGTCTAGTTTTAAGTCGGACATGGGGACTTTCATTTCTCCCATGGACTCGATCTGTTCGGTCTCCATGTGGGAGGATGAGATGTCCTTGTCAGTGGGATGCGGTGCCATGTCGACGAATATGGCCACGACTGTCCGTCTGACAGGGAAGAGGCAACAGTAAAGGCACTTGCACTAGATTCAAAAAGGAGAAGAGATGAAAGTGGTGGGCATCTGCCTTCTGACCTGCATCTTCGGACTGGAATCCGCAAGGGAAGCTTGCCTTCATTAAATAGTGGTTGGTGTCCTATCAGAACAATGAGTCTGCGGGGAGTAAACAAGGGGAGAAATCTGACTACCTAGGCATTGGTAAACATTATTAATTCATTACAGGGATTTACATGGAAACTCTATACAGCCCTCTATAGGAAACCGACAAGGAAAGAGACAAATAGACAAGTAATACAGAAGCACTGCGCTGAGCGCCTCCTTCTTTTTCACGTTTTTTGTCGTTCGATAGCAATAGATATCTTCTTTTCTGCTCCCTCACAACATCCCATACACTCGTCACCTAGGCGACGGCAGTTGATTGCAGTGAATCGGTGAATCAAAAGCGAATGAGCGTGCCAAGCACAACCGCTGTCGGGCGGACAAGAGGGGGCTGCTTCGGGGTGTCCGGCTCCCTTTTTCGATAGCACAAACTTGGCAGCGGATAGCTAGCGAACAAGAAGACCAGGGTAGACCGGGGTGTATCCGGGGAAAAGACAGTGAACGCCTTGGCAAAACGTGGAGATCTAGCCAAGTGTGAAGGTTTAGCAGGATAATAACACTACCGACCTCAAGCCTCGTCACCCAACTTCTTCAATCATCCAATGTGCTCACCCGCGCCATTGCCTTGACTGTGAGCTTCCCCTGCGCGTTGTTGATCAGCCAGTCTGAATCCAAAGTCCGTAACTCCGCGATCGGAGTAATTCGTACTGAGCGGGGAAGACATTGGCCTCCAGAATATCTCCCCGTGAGGTTTTATAGGCGGGGAGGTTGTATACGGAGTACGTATGCGGAAGTAAGAAAAAGTTAGTATTAACTTATTATACAAGGGTGGCATTAAATAAGCGTCATTTGAAACTCTACAATCGGCCAATTTTCCACGTATTTAAAGAAGATCTTAAGACGCAAATGCTTGCCTGGCAATTTCTACTTCAACCCGCCTTCCGCAGAACTCGTGTTCTAAGATGAGTAACAACCAAATCACAGAGACTAGCCAGGTCTCAGAACAACTACTTTGCAAATATATCCATGCCTGCCACATTCTTCACTACCATGGCCTTGTGGACGCTTATGGACATATCTCAGTCCGCCTATCCTCATCCACTTTCTTAATGTCCAGATACATGGCACCGCCACTTGTTGCGTCAACAGAGGACTTGGTGATATACAGGGTAGAAGACGGAGAAGCAGTGGCATCTGGTGCCCCCAGAGGTTTGTATTACACTTCAGGAAGTGTGCTACGAAACTGAGAAAGAAACCAGGGTTTTCAGAGCGCTTCATCCATTCTGAAATTTACAAAATCTACCCCAAGACGCAATCAGTCTTGCACTCACACTGCCTGGATGTGGTACCTTTCTCAATATCTTCCATCCCACTACAGGCATGTTTCCATAGGGCAGGTTTTCTTGGTCCTACAGTTCCGGTCTGGGATGTAGCGACTGTCTACAGAGAGCACCCATCTTACAATCAGGATATGAAGGTGACAAATACCACGCTGGGTTCGGATTTGGCCAAGTCACTAGGAGCAGCAGTCAACGGCCAGCCAACATATCCTATTGTGTTGATGAGGGGCCACGGATTCGTGGCGACTTCTGACATGCTGGAGATGACAGTTCTAAGAGGTATCTATACTGCTCAAAATGCTAAGGTTCAAATGGCCGCTGCTGGACTGGGGGGACAGGTTCGGATCTTGTCTGAGCGCGAGGGTCGCGAAACTGGGAAGACCGGAGTAGTAAAACCCTGGCCGCTTTGGGTGGTAGAAGTGGAGCAGAACTCGATTTACAGGAACGATTTATCGACAAAATGGAAATAAACCGTGGTGATAGCAAATGCCTACATCCCAGCGAAACCCACTATCAGACTCGAGCTTCTAAAACTCTACCATAATGGCCATTTGGCTGGGGAACCTGAGACCTCATACGTTGGAAGTTCTTCTAGAAACGCATGTAAAAGAGTGTTAATGAGTACATCCGTACATGTGTCGTGTGTTAAGATATTACTCAGTAAGAGACATTAACCATAAGGCAAGCTAGAATTGCTACTGGTTGCTTTGGCTGCGAGGCAAGAACCATCTATACTTATCAAAGGGCTACCCCAAGTACTACACAACGTGAAAAAGGTTGATGCTAACCTGATAATCATGGATAGGTATAATAAATACCTTGAACTCTTTACAGTACCATCCACAATGGAAGCTGTGGGCTTTGCGCAATTTTTCCATAAAGAGGTGGCATTACGCTCTAGTGCACTCGAGGGAATTGGATTAGACAGATGTACACTCTTTTTAGGACGAAAGATTCCCCTTGCTCTTCTGGACATGGGAACTATCCTCTCTATTAGTAAATTTTAATTAGCACTTGTGTCCAACTCGTTTACTCAGCCACAGGTCGTTGTTTTGCAGATGATGCATGCTGCCGGTTGCGTGTATCAGCCCGTTTGGTAGTAGCTCGACGACTCGAACTGTAACTGGGGAGTTGTTTTGTCCTCCACGGTGTTGCGCTTGTACTGCGTATAGCTAGGTCTAATGTCTTATTACCACAGAGTTTAGAGCTTTTTAATTTTTAAGAGCACAATATTCGGCTGGGGTTTTATCTCCCCGCTCCCCCAATCCGCATCCTTGCTGGAGCGCTCGGCACTTTTCTTATTCGCAATGCCTCAAATGCGGGGAAAGGAATTGGCCGATCGCCGCCTCACACTCGGACGTTATTGTGCGACAATGAGGCCAAGAAAGCCCGTCGGAAGCTGGCAATAGACTTCCTGCGGCAATATAAACGTGATGGATAACCCTAGTCTCTCAGGTGACAGAGAACCGCTGGCATAATTAGTACTGCAAATCTATGAACACTTTTGTTATAGCACATTTCATCGGACAGTGAGTACGATGGATACCAAAATCAGCGAAACTCAGAAGAATGAGGAGTTCTCTTCTGAGACTCCTAACATGGTCTATCAAGAATCCATTGTCGAGACGGGCGAGAACCACCACTTATCCGGCGAAAAAGGCTCAAACAGGGTGATGCCGTCGAGGCGATCGGATCATGTGGACGACCCTCGTAACTGGCCCCTTTGGGGCCGGGCCTGGGTCGCCTTCTTGGTCTCGGCGATGGGTTTCATGGCCCAGGTGGGCTCCTCGCTCATCAATCCGTGTTACACTATCATGGCGGAGGATATGAATATTTCGGTCGAGCAGGCATCGTACTGCACAACCGTTTTCATGCTCTTCTCCGGGTTCGTCCCCATGCTCATTGTGCCGTTCTCCAACATCTACGGCCGGCGAAACCTGTACCTGATCTGCACCGTCATTGCTGCGGCCGCGAACATCGGGTCCGGGGCTGCGAAATCGTACGGCGCCGTCATCGTCGGGCGCGTCTTCTACGGCATTGGTGGCGGTATTCCCCTTGGCATTGGTGCCGCCACCATCTGCGATCTCTTCCCTCAGTCCGAACGTGGCTTCTATATGGGTATATACACGCTCTGCGTCAACAACGGTCCGCACCTGGCACCCATCGCAGGGGGATACATCGCCCTGAATCTCAGCTGGCGCTGGTGCTGGTACATCCCCGGCATTATCCAAGCCGGCTTTGTGGTCATCCTGTTCTTCACTTTTCCGGAGACGCTTTTCTCGCGGACCGATTTCAGCCGCCTGGAGAAGACGTCGTATCTGAAGAAGTTATTTTTCCACGGCAAGGTTCTGAGCGGACGCAGTGTCGTCTTTCCTAAGGACTTCCTCGCGCCGTACCGCATGTGCAAGTACGTGGCTGTCAGTCTACCGGCCGTGTACTGGGCGACGGCGAACACATATGGCAGCGCCCTGTTTGCTCTCACCGGGTCAAGGATCGCGGCGGTACAGTACGACTTCAACGTCGCGCAGACCGGCCTGCTCATGGGCATCCCACTGACCATCGGCTGCATGATCGGGGAGACAAGCGCCGGCTGGGTAAGCGACTGGGCCCTCAATGCGTATGCGCGGCAGCATAACGGGGTCCGCAAGCCCGAGATCCGCCTGGCCCTACTGCCCGGGTGCTTGCTCCTGCTTGCCGGCGTCTTTCCGTATGGGCCACTCGTGCAGGAGAAGAAGCCCTGGATAAATCTAGCCATTTGCATGGGTGTAACCGGCGTCGGAGTCCAGATGGCAGCGACCATGGTGTACACCTACACCACCGACTGCTACAAGCCGCAATCGGCAGAGGTTGCCGCCATCATCAACGCGTACAAGTCGAGTGAGTTCTACCCCGGCAATGCCCTACGTAATGAGATAGGGCCCCCGCTAATCTTGTGACCAGTATTCGCATTTACCATCGGCTTCTATGCCGTGCCGTTTGGAGAGACCGCCGGATGGAACGTTTCATTCCCCGTCCTCGGAACAGTGAATGGGCTCTTCTTGTTAGGGATTGTTTATCTCTGGTTCAACGGCGAGAAGATCCGAATGAAGCAGGGCCCGCCACACATGCACGATGATCTTTGAGAACTGCGTGCCTTCCGAGCTGCTGACGAAAACCTAGAGTACTCCGTGGGACCGCGAGCAGATTTTGGAATAATTTGACCTCTAGAGATGTGCTCGGGGATCCAAAGTAGCTACTTTTTAAAGGCTATGTCTGTCTTAACGAGGGCATGCAGTCTCTTCTTGTTCACCCGTTTATATGGTCTTCGGCGGGCGTTACGAGAGTTCTGTTCCTGCTCGTCCCATTGCTACTAGGCGAACCGGCCAATATTTGCAATTTGATGACACAAATCACAGCCTGAAGATCATATCCCTGTTGTAAAATCAACGTAAGTATGCTGATGTATCCACTCTGCTATAATCCTACCACTAGTACGGAGTAGCGGCGGCCATAGTTGTATACGAAATCATGAAGTTTTCTAAATTCTACTTCCAAGACTGACCAAGCTCCGTGAATACTGCACGATGTGACGGCCAGCCTCTTCTGGCACCGTCCTCACATTTTGACCCATGATTGTTGGTGTGGGAAGCGTTACTGCGGGAGAATAACCATCAGCGCAATCAAGAGGGGATATGTACGACCAATGATGGGAAAATATAGCTACATTGAACGCATTTAGTAACACTATGGGATACGAAGTCAGGCCCCAAGCCTTCGGCAGAACCACCCCCTGGTGAATGCTGCGTGTGGGGCCTTCTACCCGTGTCAGGTACGATCTCCATCGATACAGTAGATGTCTCAAAGCGCGGCGCAAAGCTTAGCTCCCCGCGCAAGGACGATACCGGCCAAAGTCCCTCCGCACGAAGTACTCAGTATCGGACATACATACCATGCTGCAAGTCAACCGCATATTTCATACCGGACGGAGACAGGAGCTCTCGCTCTATTAAAGCCATTGTCATGTGTATGATCTCCCAAAACTTGGGGATCGCAACTGTACGGACAAGTATATCTGGGCACTCTCTCTGTCACTGCTGCCGCTTTCGCTGCAATTTCAAAGGCAAACGATCACTTGGGCGAAGCACTTACGCATCAACATCAACATCAACAACTGTCTATATTTACCCACCAGTACCTCTCCAAACTTTATTGTTGAAGCGCACTGGACGCAATGGCACAAGTGTCGCGGATCGAGAAACCCATCAGCGATGAGCTCCTCCGGAAATACGTCGACGGCTGCCACATTCTACACTTCCGCGGCCTCATAGACGCCTACGGCCACCTGTCTGTGCGTGTCTCGGACAAGACATTCCTGATGTGCCGCTACATGGCGCCGGCGATGGTGGCGACGCGCGACGACCTCTGGCTGTACAAGGTCGCGGACGGCGAGGGCGTCAAGGAGGACACGCCGCGCGGCTTCTCGGAGCGCTACATCCACTCTGAGATCTACAAAGCCTACCCAAGGGTGATGGCAGTCGTGCATTCGCACAGCCTGGACGTGGTGCCGTTCAGCATCTCACCCAAGTCGCCGCTGCGTGCGTGCTTCCACATGTCGGGCTTCCTAGGGACCAACGTGTCGGTGTGGGACCCGGCGACCGAGTACAAAAAGGACCCGCAGCTGGTGCAGCACATGCTAGTCCGCGACACGAGGATGGGCGAATCGCTGGCCAAGGCGCTGGGTCAGGGCGATGACGGGCTGCCCAAGGAGCCTCTAGCGCTCATGCGCGGCCACGGTTTCGTGTGCACTGGCGACAGCATCGAAATGGCTATTGCCAGGTCCGTTTACACGGCGCAGAATGCGCGGATTCAGAAGGAGGCTTTGGCCATGGCCGGAGGAAGGAGCGATGACATCGTCATGTTTAGCGACCAGGAGGCTCACGATGCCGGCCAGTCTACCATCTCGGGGGCAGTGAAGCCGTGGCCGCTGTGGCTAGCCGAGGTAGAGAATAATCCCTTGTATAAGAATAACATATAGCGATATTATCAAGGACAAGAACAAGCAGGCAGAGGAGGTTGCACCAGTGACTTTTTGGTGACATACCATTGAAAGAATATGCCAATGTGATGTGATGCTATGCTGCGTTGTATTTTGTCAGAATAATGGCCGCCAGGTAATTTATCCAGCTGCCGCATCTGTCCGCTTACACATCTGCGAATTCCCCATCAGGGAACTGTGGCCCGATGTGGCCAGATCTCACTATGTAGAGTTTTTCTGCTTCTCTACTATAAATATGGACATAATAGCTAGACCTGAATATCATCGTTTTTAATCATTGTCACATGACACTATATAGTAAATTTACTAGTGAATACGGAAATTCAGACTCCGACATATTTGAGTTGCGGGGAGAATTTTGCGGGGAGAATTTTGCGGGGGGGAATTTTGTAAATACTGTATGTGTATAGATGACTAGAAATGGTCCAAGACCCCGGACTACTCCGCGCTCCGGCGGGGAACTTGCCCCATACATAGAACCATGCATGAACCATAATCACTTGTTCATCTCATATCCACAGCCTGTCCTGTCCGCGACCAGGCTGTTTCACGCGCCGGCCGGGTATCGTATCGCTAGCACGCGGCGAGGTGACTCCGGCCTCATTGCGTCTTCCCCGGGCATGAGCAAGCGAAGTTGCATTAGACGGCCCTGGGGCACCAGTGACAAGTCCTATCTTTCCAGCTGGTCTGCTAGTCTCCCCGCTCATGATTTTCATGCGCTTTCGGGGAGATTTTGGAGCTGCGAGTCTATAAACGCTGGAAAGGCTATGTTAAAGACTTATAGGAACATGTAGGTCTACCAAACGACGCCGATTACGACTTTCTTCTTGCTACACTGTACACAGAAAGGCAGCCAAAAGAGCCCTATATAATTGAAAGAACACTCAAGCCCTTGGTCCGACTATCTTTTGTGTTTATAATCTTATTCCCACATTTCGCATTCATGAACAGTCAGGTTTTGATCGCTGGTGCCGGGCCGGTTGGGCTTACGATGGCTCTCGAGCTCGGCAGGCGTGGCATCAACGTGCTGGTCGTCGACAAAAGACCAGGATTCGGCAAATTGCCCAAGATGGAACGCTCCAATGCGCGGACCATGGAAAACTTCCGCCGCATGGGCATATCTGCACCGATCCGGGCTGCTGGCCTTGATAACGACATGCCCATGGATGTCTTCATCTGCCTAGAGAACATTGTGAATCCACCTCTCTTGCATCATAGTTATGCATCAGTCAATACACTACGCGCGGAGTACCAGGCGACCACCGATGGCTCGAAAGCAGCAGAGCCATACCAGCTCATCTCACAATATACACTTGAGCCTCTGTTATGCGACCTTGCTAAACGCTATGACAACGTCCAGATAGTCTTTAACCACGAACTCGTTGACTTCACTCAGGATGGCACGAGCGTCACCGCCCAATTGCGCCTTACCGATGGTTCTATCACCAAGGCTCTCACTAATTATCTGGTTGGTTGTGACGGCGCCTCCAGTACTGTCCGTGAACGTCTCGGCTTTGTACTCGAAGGCGATTCGCTACTTGAGATGCGGCAAGCACTTTTCTACTGCGAGGACCTTCTTCAGCGAATTCCAATCGGAGTTGGTCGGCATTACCACATAGCCGATGATACAAACTCATTTATCATTGTACAAGACGATAAGAAACACTTCTCGCTACATGCTACCGTTGACAGCGATGATAAGATGGCGCCGTTATTTGAGCGAGTTGTCGGTTTTCCAATCAAGTACAAGCAACTCTACGTTGGCAGATGGCGGCAACGACTCATGCTGGTTAATCGATATCGTGACCGTCGTGTCTTCCTTGCAGGTGATTCAGCTCACCTTGTTATTCCGACGGGCGGACTTGGCATGAATACTGGACACGCCGATGCTGTCGATCTATCTTGGAAGTTAGCGGCGGTCCTACATGGCTGGGGTGGGCCTAAATTGCTAGACTCCTACGAGGTAGAACGTCGGCCCATTGGCGCCCGCAATATTGCCGCGTCAAGGCGAGCTGCCGCGGGCCGGCGTCAATGGCGAAAAGAATGGCGCCCAGAAATTACTGAAGATAGCCCTGCTGGTGAAGCAGTGCGGAAACAAATCATCGCGGTAGCCGAGCGCGAGCAGCGCTGGAGTAACGACCTTTACGGAATCGAGCTTGGATATCAATATACAAACTCTCCGATTCTAATGGGGACCGATGAGGGTAACGACATGGCCGACGTCGAATCGTGCTTTGCGTATCAACCAGTTGTCCAGGTCGGCTACCGCCTACCAAACACCTGGATGAGTGATGGGAGATCTATCCAGGATGTCATCGGCGATGAATACGCGCTCATTGTGAATGAGAATCAACCTCCCCGCTTAGACCTACTGGAAGAGGAGTTCCGGCGTGTTGGTGCTGCGTTTTCTGTCGTTCGGCTGGATACTAAAGAAGCTGGTGCTGTCTACGGTAACGACTTGCTGCTGGTTCGGCCCGACCTACACATAGCTTGGCAGGCTGCTACGCTTCCTGGTGACCCCACTCGTCTCGTGGCGACTATCACCGGCAATTATAGCAAGAGTTCTTGAGGGAATTTGTTGAGCTACCATATAAGTAGCGACATCAAGGAACACTTGAATACTCTAGTCCCAAAAGGCAGCTTCCGGTGTGGTCGTTCATAGCTATCAGCAATCTCTCTGGTGATGTTGGTGCAGTGATGCAAGGATTCGAAGTAGCGGTACGTCGAAGGCTGTAACTATATAGGAGTAGATACCCGGAGCGACCCTGGCATGTAATCTTTAGCTCGCTGAGCCGAACGGAATCTCTAAATTAATAAAGAGCCCCATCTGAAATCCACCTTAAATCTGGATATTCTATTCAATCCCTGTTACGCTTTGAATTTTAGGCCAAAATTCGAATGGGGAGGGGGTGGTTTGAAACATGAAAAGTAATTGTCAGTACCCACGGCTATAGGCCATCAGTCCTCAGCCACAAAGCCCAACTTTGAGTAGGGTCATATTGTTCCACAAGATTCCCAAATCAAGGAGTTTGTTTGTTGCTGGCGTCAACCGTTTGTTGCTAGCGCTGGATGGCCTTCCTAAAGTAACCTAGCCTCTCAGCCTCTCAGCCCGCGTATTTGAACCGCCACCAATTCTCCAGCCTGGCTTTTCTATAAATGCAGCATAGAGGGAATCAGGATGGATTTCCACTTTGAGAGACAGACCGAGTCCCAGCTCCCGCAACTTATCCTGTACTGTCAACTGTGTATGCAAATTTTCTCGCAAAGATGCCAAACACGGGTAAACCCAGTCGTGACTGTCACCGCTGTCGACAACGACGAACTAAGGTGCAGGAGTTCTGTGCAAAAGTCGCTAGAAGCATACCCAATGAATATTATAGTGCGACTTCAGACTCTGGGATGTGGCCACCCAGTGCCAACGGAAAGGACGGGTATCGGGATGAGCGCGACCACCAGTTTCGGACAGAGAGCGTGGCCTCGTTTCTTTCGAAAAGAAAGAAAAGTCTGGGTAAATCCAAGAACCAAAATTCAGTTCTTGTATCTCTGGCCAAGTAAAAAAAGGATCCAAAAATATGCCACCCAATTCTGCTGACAACCAACCGGGGGTGGTTTTCAACGTTGGTCTCCAGCTCTGCCAGAGCCCAGAGCCCAAGAGGGTAGTATATAACTAACACATCCTTCTGTCTGCGTAGGTCCCGGCAAATTTGGAGCCCCAATACTCCATTGCCGAGTTATGGGATGATCACTTGATGCCCTTGGTCCTGAATAAGTTCTCCTGCGATGACGTTAATGGCAACCCTAAAACCATCTTCAAAGCCGTCCCACGTGTGATCTCCATGACTGACAAAGGCTCTGCCCTGTACCAAATCTTGGATGCAATCGGAAGAGTGAATATCGCCAACATGACAAACGGTCCCAACGCAAACTCACAACAAGCCTATGCCTACGGAAACGGAATCCTCGACGATGCAGACACGATGAGATCTGAGTAGGTGTCTTTTCTTGAGTATCTACGAGGTATCTCTATTAATCTATCTACCGCGTAATTAACTAACATCTTGTCTTGTAGCTTCTTTCAAGCTCCGACTTCAGCTTAGATGTCGGGTCTCCGGGATGGTATATCCACACTCAAGAGGTGATAGCGCTGCTCGATCAGAGACAAGAAAAAGCGTTTATAACAGCAGAGAGTCGGTCTATATGTTTGACTGTATTCAATACTGTAGTAGGTTCTAGTATTTATCTGCTTCTCAAAATTTAGTGGCCTTATTAGAAAGGGGCTACCTCAAAGCTTAGCCGCGGTCTGCACCATCGAAACGATAATTTTGCTCAGCTAAGACTCCTCGGAGATCCATTCTTATAGCAACACTTCTGACAGCTAGCCAGGCCACAAAGGCTAGCTAATCCCCCAATGTAACCTCCACGCCCACCCTCACTAGCATATTTAGTTTCTTCTACGGACTGGCCTTCCTTTCCCTTGTTTCGAGACTGGGGTGAACATGTCGCAGTATGCATACTTGTCAGAATTCGCTTTCAACTGAAGGCGCACAGGCAAGAAGCTATTTCCGAAAGAAATGTGACCTGGTGCCAGGTCAAGAAAGAAAACGGACAAAGAATTCAATCTGGGTGCTATGGTCGACGGGAGATACAAGTTGAGAAAGGAAAAGGAGACAGAGGAAGAGTCTCTACTTATCTACAACACTCTATGTCCTGTGTCACCTGTCAAACGCAGTTCTCAAAGGTAGTCTTCAAAAGCAGTGAAGCAGTGCTGTCAAACACTGATCCGTCATGCTTGGTCACAAATACTACACTTGTATCTCAGTTCAGAGTTTCAACTTTGGCGAGAGTCAGGGTAAATGACATCAACCAACCAACCAATCAACTGTAGACGCATTTATGAGGAGATTTATTGGAGAAAATCCAATAGGTCGCCATGACATAGCATTTGCAATTGTTCAGAATTTGCAAATCAGGTTAGAAGAGAAATATACAATGCTTCGTTTTGCTTATGTCTAGATAACCTATCTTGTACACGAAATCTATTCTAGTGTGAGAGACTCATTAGAGAATGGAATCAGGCAAGGTGTCAGATCTGGTGATTCCTGGAAGGTTTTGTCGAATGGCCACATAGGGCGAGAAATACGTTGATGACCAAGGCGAGGAAGATCCTGGTCAACACCACCGGGCGTCAGAGCCAGCATCCAGTCAGTCGCCATATTGAAAAGTTCCGGCTCCAAATACCCAATCTTGACTATCACAACATCAGCCGACCGAGGTTGGAGATCGAGCTCAGTGAAATCCTTCTCGTGGTGATAAGGCTTGCGAAGTTTGGTTATAATGACATACACGCTGCCGACCTGAAGCACCGCTTCAACTACAGCATCTCGATCTCCATGTTTGATCGCATAAACAAGTCCTGTCATGCTGATTGGGCCTTCGTGAATATTGTCCACCTGTGCACCAGCAGTGACGGTAACTGTGGCTCCTATGCCTGCTTCGAGGATTTTTTCGATAGCCTGCACTCCTGGAATGCTGGCGTAAATTACTTTGGGGCCAGATGACTGCTGGAACTCTGGCCGCTCAAGCACTCTCGAAAGGCTCCAGGTAACATCGCCCGCACCTCCGGCTGTAGGGTTGTCACCAGAGTCCGAGATGAAATAAGGTCGGGCCATCGAGTTCAGAGCAGTGTCAATACATTGCGTGAGGGATCCAGTCGGTGCAACGAATTCGAATCTCTCACGACTATCCCAAAAGTAGTTTGCAAGCTTTCGAGCACCAGCATTAACCGCGTCGGTGTCCCATCCAGTCACCATCACGACCGCATGGTTGCGAGGCTCATCGGCCCAAGCATATCCCACCCAGATAGCAGCATCCAGGACACCAGGCATCGATTCAACTTCAGGCACAAGGGCGTACAGTCCCTTGGCGGGCTCTAGTCGTGTGGATGTTTGTTCTCCCGGAAGCAAAATAGGTATCGGCACCCATGCTTTCAAAGGACGGGCTGGTAATGAGCCCCCCGCAGTCAGCAAATTGACTAGGTTTCGACAGGCCCGCTCTTTAGTGTCCATCGCATCTTCATGGGGTGCCATGCGGTAGCAGGTGATGAGGTCTGTAAGGTGTGCCAGCTGCCTTGAGACATTTCCATGAAGATCCATTGATGCCGACACAATGACCTGCTTGCCGATGACTCGTCTTACTCGACGGAGAAGTTCAGCTTCAGCATCGTCTAGACCTTCCACGCACATCGCCCCATGAATATCGAACCAAAGACCCTGTAAGGAGGTTGAATTGCATATCTCTGTCAGCCGTGTGATAATTTCCGCGGCAAGCTCTTCGAATGCATCTCGTGTGACAATTCCTCCGGGAAGGGCATGCCCAATGAGTGCGCCACGCCAGTCAGCCGCCTCGCCAAGGGGTGTACCAGGATGGATGAAGTTATACTTGTCGACGACCTCTTTATCGCGTCGAGGATGGAATGCAGGTGCGAGGGTACGGGCCGGAGAGAACCCAGAGGTTTCGCAGGCAAGTCCCGCAATGGCGATGACTGGACGGCCTGACATGGCATGCGGTGGCTTCTTTGTGTGACTTCTTGAAGTGGAAGAAGCTTGGGGATTATGCATATTTCTTTAAATGTGCAGCTCATGCGGATGGGCCAAGGTTGCACCGAGGTTTGCGAAGCTTCCCCTTAACATAGCTTAGCGCGCCCATAGATCCATGCAACGTCGGTTCAAGCCGCCGGCTATTTCAACCCCGCTTATCTGTCGCCCACGACTCATCCGATAAATTAGCGTCACGTCTATTGTTACCCGGGTTATTTCTTCCCGACAATAATTATTAGCCAAAAAAAAGACCAGATCGTTCTTGAAGCTCAGCGTGAAGGCCGTTGCATAACATTTAAAGAAGTAGGCCGCGTGGTCACGACCGGGGCCTTTTGTCAAGAAGGGGAAGGGCCCACGTCTAACTGAGAAAACAACACCCGGTTTTTGGCATGTTTGACAGGAGATAGGTCGGGTGCCGCCCTGTCCCCAGGACTCAACCCCGCCGATCGGCAAACCCACGATGGAACGCTCCTATCGGCAGATTGCTGCGATACTATTACCAAAGAGCAACTCAGAGGGGCCACATAGTCGATTTCCACGCGTATATATAGGCGGGCTGGATGTAGACATGACTTGGTCAAATTTGACAGAACTACGCCCATCATGTTGAAGAGGTCTGCAACGGGGACATGGCTGCCCGCATGGGTGCCGGAGTCTACGTTGACACTTTCATTCCTGTTGCTCATTTGCTCGATCGTTCAATCTGCGGTAGGCACAAAGACCCATAACTTTTCTTTATGCTGTGACCGCTAACACAAGTCAGACGGGTGGCTATGACGGATCTATGTTGAACGGCCTCAATATACTGCCATCATATAACGACTATTTCAATTTGAATCCTGTGACGACTGGTCTGAATACAGCATCGGTGAACATTGGTGGGGCTCTGGGTCCTTTGGTTTCTGGAGTGATCACAGACCGATTGGGCCGGCGCCCAGCAATCTTCTGGGGATCAGTGGGGACAATTGTTGGAATAATTCTTCAAACGGCTGCACAGAACATTGCAATGTTTGTTGTGGCCCGAATTATCCTTGGATTTGGAAGCGCAATAACCGGTGTTGCCGGAGGGATCTACCTCTCAGAAGTATTCCCGAGCCGGTGGCGTGCATGGGGGTGGGACTATTGAATGACTTCTACTAGTAAGCCTCTGTCATTCTCTATAGTAAATCACGGAATCTAACGCACAACGCAGCGTTGGGGCGCTTATTGCCGCCGGCATCACTCTCGGCACAGGGCAATGGCAATCGACATGGGCTTGGCGAGCACCCTCCCTTTTTCAAGCCATTTTCTCCCTGCTTTGCATATTGACTTTGCCTTTCATGCAAGTTCCTCTTCTTCCTCCATCTTCGTCTTTGTCAGTCTACTGATAAATCCACAGTCCCGAATCTCCACGATGGCTTGTTCACCAGGGCCACTATGAGGAAGCCAGGTTATCAGTTGCACAAACAAATGCCAATGGAAACCTCTCAGACCCCGTTGTTCTCGCGATCTTCAAGGAAATTGTGGATACATTAAAATGGGAAAAAGAGGCGGGGCATAATATGAATCCTATGGAGATTTTCAAAACTCCCTCGGCGAGAAAGCGTCTTCTCATCGGCATGTCGGCTGGGCCATTCTCCTGTATTGCTGGCAACATCATCGCATCGTATTACTTTGGCAAGGAACTTGATACGGCCGGCATCACCAACTCTAACGACCAACTCAAGGCAGTAAGTTCCCCCTGACACCGACTAGGTTCCAGAGTGTGACTAAAATGCAACAGAACGTTGTTTTAGATGTTTGGTGCCTCGCATGTTGCCTTATTGGAACCCATCTCGCGTCTAAATGGGGGAGAAAACCAACTGCAATGCTCTCTCAGGCCCTTCTCAGCACGTGTCTATTCATCATTGGTGGTCTGTCCAAAATGTATGCTTCGAACCCAAGCGGGGCCTCCAGCGGACTCGTTTACGGAAATGTTGCTGTTATGTTCCTTTTCCAAGGATTTTATTCAGTCGCGTGGACTCCCCTCCTTTACCTTTACCCGCCTGAGATTATGAACTACTCCATTCGTGCCAATGGAGTCGCATTTTCATCATTCGTGTTAAACGCTTTTGCGTATGTGCGCTGTCTATCTGTGTCATTATTCGCGCTAACATCAATAGACTCGTCTTTACCTTTATCATGCCAATTGCTCTCGGAAATATTGGATGGAAAATGTACATGATCAACGCGTCGTGGGATGTTGTCATCCTGGGTCTTATTGTAAGGCTTGCTTCATGTGATATCATTTCCAATGCTCACCCATTTAGGCATATTATTGGGTGGAAACCAAGGGAAAAACCCTTGAGGAGATCGATGCATTGTTTGAAGGCGAGAAGCATTCTTCTGTGCCAGATGTTGAGAAAATTCAGAATGGTGACAAGCAGATCGATACCACCATTATCGAGGAGCAGCTGACCGCTGAGCTGGACCCGACGAGAGCCAAGGTTTCGGGCAGTGAGGTTGTCTCTTGAAACTTAAGTCCTAGGGCTATTTTTATCTGTCCTACAATCACATATGCGACGACGATATACACCTTGCTATATCTAAGCATATTACACATGAGGCTATTAAGTTGTTTTCTCTTCTGGTATTCAATGGTGTAGCAATAGAAAAAAATGAGAATGCCTCTAAGAAGACAACTTGAATGATCCACTGAATTGACGGGATACTTTGCCTCATGACTAGCAACGATAAATAGTTCTTTACAAAGGCGAGCCTCAGATCAGTTGGGACATGAGAGACTATTGAAAAGATACCAGCCTATCCCAAAAACCAAGCCTCTACGAGACAGTGGGTCTACTCGCTACCACCTTGCCTGACGCTAGGAAACATTAGGAACACCTGTCCGCATCTGTCAGTTGTGCTTTCCGCCCCTGTGTATTGTCCTTTTTCCTGCCCACTGTTTTATTTTGCCGTTGGATTTTTCGCGTAATCCCACGCCCAGATCCCCATCACGGCTTTTCTCTAGGTCTGCCCTGAAGCCCATGGATCAATTCAACGTTCCAGAGAGCCTTCTCCTGGAGATTGCTTGCTTTAATCAGGAGTCGGCAATTAATGCTGCAAATGGAGGGGCCGATCGAATTGAGTAAGTCTCTACATTTTCGCCGAGGCAATTATAAATAGGCGGACGGTTACCATTATGTAACAGAGCTTTTCAAATTCTTCGTGCTTTGTGCGAGCATTCGATCTATTCAAGCTGTTTAACGCATCTTCAACACTTTACGAAATGCCTTTACTGACATGCTTCCAGACTATGCAAAGACTATGAATCTGGAGGTCTCTCACCAGATGCCGCAACACTGATGGCACTGAAATCTCAACTTTCAATTCCTATCTATGCGATCATTCGACCCCACTCAAATGGCTTCTGCTATGACAGCGAATCTTTTGAAACAATGAAAGCAACTCTAAGCCTTCTGAAAACCCTCGGAGCTGATGGATTTGTTTTTGGAATTCTCGGCCCTGTGGTGCAGGGCGAATCCCTCGATACATATTCATGTATTGATATTGCGAGAAACAAGGAACTGGTTCGGCTTGCAGATGACAGGCCATGTACTTTCCACCGTGCCTTCGACTGTATTCCGGAATCCCAATGGGATGCGGCACTTGCCGATATAGCGAAATGTGGCTTTTCTTCGATCCTTACCAGCGGAGGTCCATCGCGAGACAAGGCAATCGACTGTGCCGAAAAACTAACCGATCTTACTCGTCGGCTGGACTCCTTGAGATCTCGTGTTCCCGAAGTATTTGAACTTCCTCGTATCATCATTGGTGGTGGAGTAAGATCTAATAATGTCCGGCTATTATGGGAAAAGTCGCATGCAAGCGCATTCCACTCGAGCGCTCTCGTTTCCTCGAGTGAAATTGTTGCAAAGGATGAAGTAGAGAAGCTCAAAGATAGACTGAGAAATGTTACCTGTACAAATTAATGGTGTGGCTTAGAATAGACGAGGGTTGAGAACAGGCCATCTTCGAGTGAAAATGGAAAATATAAGGACTCGCTGTCATCTGGACACGACATAAGTGTACATTTAGGACATAATTGGAGCAGCAATACCTACTCATGTGATCCCTAGGTTGTTCGTTGTCGCGTTTCACATTGTGGGGAAATTGTGGGAGGGGCATCTGCCCTGTTTAGCAAAAGAGCACAATACCAGGGCAAGTCTTCTCGTGATACGAACTATTTACTTTTGGTTCTAGAGGAAGATTCATCGTCTTTTTAGTCTAGATGCCTTGTAAAGGTTTAGCATTGAATGAAATCATAATAGTAAGCAAAATAGCTATACTGTACTACTAGAATTATAAAGACTAGGATCCCTACGACCAGGATCGCTAGGGCAATCATACTTCTGAATCGGAGCACTCTAAAAGCTATAAATAGAGAGATTTTTTTTTCTTATATTTTAGGCACTTATAGATACCCTACTAAATTAGACTAGATGATTTCGAGAGTGAAATTAGGCAAGGTTTAGCTACTATAGGGAAACTTTCTAAGCCACATATAGAGACGCTCTGAACCAAGCAGTCGGAGAGGCCTTGGGGCACATTGGACGCAATTCCTGGATCAAGCAGAAGAGGGACACTTGTGGAAGGTTGGAGTCAGAGAGTTCGCCAGTAATGAAGATAAAGCTGAGGCCTCTATAGATGCATTCTTCCCCAAAATGGATGAGGTCCAGGATGACTTTCCAGCTACAGCCCACTAGGGGTCCCGTGGAACCCCATCACCGAGCTTGAAATTTTCAGAACGATCATATTTGCCACGGGAATTCACGGTGCCAGGTAAAGACGGTCTGTCAACCCTCGTCTGGAATCATGTATGGAAATATCTAGCCAAACTCAGCACGCGGATCTTCACGGCGTCCATTGGTTTGGGACTGGAGACGTGTCAAGATTGTGGGGCCACGGAGACCCGGAAAGCCAGACTACTTGATTCCTAGAGCATACTGCCCAATCTACCTTCTCAACACATTGGCTATGCTGTTGGAAGGAGTGATTGTCTGACGTCTATCATACGACAACGAAGTACACGATTTACCGAAGAACGCCCAGTTCGGTGACAAACCAGGACAAACCACGGAACAGGTCCTGCTAGTGTTGGCTAACGCGATTCACCGGGCCATGGTACAAGCAAAAGGTAGTCAATACCTTGGCTTTCGACATGACAGGTGCAGTTAATGAAATTAACCAAAAGAGCCTCGAGTCCTGCCTGCGAGCTATAAGTATACCGGCTGTAACCAGAACTTCTCATCAGTAACCACCGATTCGCCAATATTGGATCCGATAATTCTGAGGCTAAAGTGGCTCCTCTAGAGAGCTCTGGGTTAGCCCAAGGGTCAAGCCTCTAACCCATTCTCTTTGCCTTCTTCCACTCTGATCTGGTGGACCAGCCAGCCGACTTCCACGGAGGTTCGTTAGCCTATATCGATTATTGTTTGACGCTGACTCGCTAGGAATCCTTCTATTAAGGAGACTATGCCCCGATGTGGCAGGTCTCACCTATAGAGTTTTCTCGCTTCTCTACTACAATGATGGACATGATAGCTAGACCTGAATATCATTGTTTTAGGTCGTTATCACATGACTATCTAGTAAACTTATTAGTAAATATGCAGATTCCGCACTTCCACAATAAGCAATGGTCGTGAGTACACGTGGTAAGAAAGCGGCCCTGGCCCGTTACAAGATGAGCTTCATATTCGCAAAAATCCACATTCTCACAGCTATTGAAAAAGTTCATCTTAATCACCGTCTGACATAATTTGAGGACTTTCCAACATCAGGACAGCCCCACAACTTCGTAGTTCCAGTTGCAAGTGGCATTGAGACTCTGAGCCTGAACTTGCTTGGTCCCAGTTGCCGACGCAACAACATTGTTCGAACTATCCAGCACTTGAATCATCTGTCCACCGCCAACGGCAAGCCCCAAAACACTATTATAATTCAGCCCTTTCTGACCCGAAAAGCTCCCAATAATATCGCTATTACTGTATACCTTGATCGTGTAGCCAGCAGAAGGCAGGATGACGGCGAAATTGACGGTATCTTGCGCCGATTGATAATTGGCAATAGAGGAAGAGCAGCTGGCACTGGTCAAAAGCGTTCGATACCAGAGTGCACCAACAGGCGCGCTGCCTGGTGGAGAGATGTCGGATATGTCCGTCGCACCAGCCTTGTAGGCTTTGATGAAGGGCGTGATTACTTGCAGCCATCCCTTATGGTCAAATCCATCGGCGTAGTCGCCAATCTCTGTGCCTGCAATCTGATCCTGCCAAAAGTCTCCCACGTAATGGCTCTCGCCAGCATCATTCCATGTGATGACTTCCACAAAATCGGGTTGTAACTGTAGCGCCTGTTCCATGCGCTGGGGCAGGTTCACGTCGCCAATGCGGTACCAGTCTTGACCACTCCCGAGGTATTTGAACTGATGAGATGACATGGCTGTATTTGAATCTTTTGCTTTAGTTTCGATATGCACTTTGCAGGTTTTTTAATCGGAGCTGACTCACGCATCATATAGACTTTCCCAGCACTATGTGCCTCTTGTAGAGCAGCCGAGTCTACACTATCACTGACATTCGCAGGAACAGTACCTGGTGATGGCCATGCAGACTCCCAGCTAAACACGCCGCTCAGAATAGGATACGAACTGAATACCCCGGTCGGATATCCAGAGAAATCGTCAAAGTCGGGAACAAAGAAGGGGGTTATGCCATAGGTCGAGATGAGAGGCTGGATAAAATCAGAGTCCCATTCAGAGTTGGAAATGGTACCTCCTGTATAAGTGCTAACGAAAGCCTGCCCGTTGACCTTGTAGTATGCACTTTGGGTAGCATATGGCGCAAGGAAAGCTGCAAGTTGGCTGACGTCCAACCCCCAGCTCATATCGAATGAAATGAATAACTTGAAGTTTTGTCCGGCAGCAGCGGCAAATAGATAGTTCAATGCATCAGTGTTCCAAGTGTCGGAAGCACTAATAGTATGGGTATTGAGAGCAAAACCATCAAAGCCGGCGTTCATAGCGTCTTGGACATCGGTCACGGCTTCAGCGGAAGTCATGGAGCCGACCTGCTGGCAATCAGATTGAGTTCAACAGATAATGATTATTAATATCAACATGCCATATAGTGTGCAAACACAGACTTGGTACTAGTAGCCTGTGTCGACGTGGTAGTGGTAGTGGTTGTAGTTGATGTCTTGGAAGACGTAGTGGTGGTAGTAGTAGAAGTGGCGGTACCAGTCCCACTAGACATCTGCACCTATGTGTTAACGATGAAGTTCACAGGTCGCGTAGCTTCAATAAAACTAACTAGCCGCGCCGTCGTTGCGCTACCAGCTTGGCCTGAAGCAACACACGAGCCAGCGACAGTTGCCGTGGACTCGTAAATGCCAATGAGGCCAGCTTCACAGCAGAAGTCATTTCCCTGGAGGCCTTGCCACAAAGACCAACTTGAGTCAGCACATTTTGGAGAGCCCTCTATAGCACCGACACAAGCTGAGTCTAAGGAAATGTCAGATTCTTCGTCTGTGTCCGAGTCCGAGGACTATGAGGGATGAGCAGGGAAAATAAAAACTCACTTGAAGAGCAGCAAGAAGCTACTTCATCTGTCTGCGCCGCAAAGCAGAAAAGACCGGTAGGACAGCATGCGCCTCCACCGCAAGAATTGGTTCCACTGGAGCAGGTACTGGACTGCAACGACCAGCCCTGAGCAACAGAACGACGGCTTATTACAGCCGCGGCACTCAGCAATGGCGTACAGAGCCCAAGTAGAATCAAGTCCAAAGAAGGCATTGCAAAACAGGTGCTTTCGCTACTCAATCCTTCGGAGTATTTGTATATTTTCTTCTTTCCTTTTCGTTCTTTGTCTTCCCATGGACTATCTATCACCATTATATATACACCACGGGCGATCTCTCAGCATGGATGTATAACCAACATGAAGAATTCACCATAGCTAAGCCCCACAGGGAATAATGTGACAAAATGCGGGGTCTAGTGTAATGAAACCTTCGCCAAAAGCTTATCAGAGTGCCGAATGCCCAAGAAATCCTGCGGAAACAGGGCTGGAGACAACTGGCAAGTAGATGGGAAGCCAACACTCGCTCCAATTCCCGACTTTACTTCTGCAAGCCCTCGAGTTACTCTAATAGACTATCATCAATTATGTATTCACTGGATCATCATGCCGAGAAAAGCAGCGAGATTTACAACGGGTGTCTATTCCAAGGTAAAAATCTGCGTCTACAGACTCATTTTCTCGCTGGGATTCCTCCGGTCGTTCCTCATTGTCTCACAGTGTCGCAGTGTGGCTGAACTAGCGGGCAATCTAGCCTCGTTTCGAGATCCCCGCGTGACTTTGATGAATCCCCTCTTTTCCCCTTTTTTTCTACAATCACTACTGGCTAGTCTTAGACATGGACTACTCTTTATTTGGAGATAGCGTTGTTGAACCCAAGTCGGAGGGCATCTAGCTTGGCTCAGGCAAAGCCCCAGCCCAACTACTTCCTCTGGAGACAACGTTGAGTTGCACCGAAAATTACAACGAAAAAGGTGCATCGGCCCACCCACACGGCTACCTCGGCCTTGAGTCTCTCCTCATTTTACTGGATTGAATCTACCGGAAGCGAGATGAAACATGTAAGGTTTGCCTCAATCGTATTTCCCCATATTCTCCCCACAAGAATTAGAGCGATCATACGACGAGTGAGCTCTTCTTAACCTACACGATCGAAATCCAAAGAATCTCTTGCTGTAAGTATGATCGCCTCCTCGACCTCTATGTAAGGTGCGCAATTGTGAGCGCAGTGAGTCAACGATATGGCGTGCTGTAGACTCAACCCAGATCTTGGTAGTCAAACCTGCCAAGGCAGTATGGGTAATGTCTCGTTGCCGACCCGCTGCTCCAATGTCGGGAGACAACTACATCACCATTTCCTTGGCTGAGTTTCGAGTAAGTTTTTAGCTCTATTTAGACATGGAGGCACTATTAAGACTAATAAGTAATATTGTGCACTACTACGTCAACTATAGAGCTAATGGCTGTGCAGCAAATCCTGTTATTAACTTGGTCAGAAATGATCGCAAATTTGATCACCAAATAAACGCAACATGCCATTTCACCCGCCCCACCCCCGGGATGGTGGTTCCTCGAAGAGGAGCCACCACCTTGCCAGCCCGGACGCTGGAAAGCCGGACCCTCTCCGACGGTCCGCGGGAGGACTGTAAAGTAGTATGAGCCCAGGAACTTGAAAGACAAGACAGCAGTGGCGGAATTTCAAAACACCAACTCCGAGGCAGGAGAAAAGCAAGGATACACGATGGTGGTGGGGAACGAGAAGAGAAAGGCGGGCGAGGCAGCACCTGGTCAGGAACAACAGTGAGGTCGAGATCGTGTGAATAGGGTTGGACGGATGGATGGATAGACAGATATGACGAGGAAGGGAGATACATAGCATTTAGTTTCTACTCAAGCATCTATATCTGCGAACAAACATGTATGATAGAAATAGATAACATCCTCATTCCAGTTGCAGGTAGTTTGCAATTAAAAATCACTCCGCTCTTCGCCATAACCATCGTAGTCTCCAAAACCCAAGTCTCTACTATCCAAGTCGCCATCATCCCAGACTCCATCATCCAAATCGCCATCATCATAGTCGTCATCGTACCATTCGCTATCATCCAAGTCTCTGGTATTGAAGACGTAATCATCCTCACATTCATCATCCAAGTCGCCTTCAGGATCTATACCCTGTTGTTCCAAAATCTTTTTTATCGTGCTGACATCATCCATGGTGGATTCTGCAGCCCTCTTCCTTAGATTCGCATGAAGCCTCAGGTAGGTCTCCAAATAGCCGAGTTTCTTGTCGCTCAACTGCACAAAAACATGAACCGAGATCCTGGTTTGCCTCGGGAGCCCACTCTTCTCTTCGGCCGCAGTAACACTGTCTTGTGCATTGGTGTATTCAATGACGAGGGATATCATGCCCTCGATTGCAATGTCGGCATTGGTCCAATCGTAATTCGCTGCATCCTCCACAGTTTTGACGGCCTCAATGGCTTCTCCAATGATATTGGCTAGATCGTTGATCTTTTCGTAGTACTCATCGGCTTTTGCGGTCAAAAACTCGAGTTCTTCCTGCACCACCTCCGTGAGGAATTTATTGATGCGATCGGCTGGCGCATCGAATAGCGCGTTTATGCTGTCTGCGACATGACTTCGAACCGCGTCGAGCTTAGCAATTCGCGCATTTGCTATATTCTCCAACTTGTCTAGACCAGTCTTCGTCAAGTGTACAATAGCGCTCGCCACGGTGGTTTCTAGTCCTCCAATTGCTGGAAGCTTGCTCGTCATCTCTTGGGTCAAGCTTCCTAGTGTCTGTTCGAGTTGCCTTCTCGTCTCGTCCTTTAGAGACGCGATGAGATTTATAGGGAGCTTCGAGATATTGGTGATGGCCTCCTGCGCCATATTCTTGACCCCTGTTACCGTGGATTTGGCGTCTGACGCTAGGGCTGAGAAGTCGCTAAGAAGGTCTTTGCCAGCCTGCACGTAGTTATTAGCTGTAGTAACTCCTTCTATAACGGAGCTCCCAATTTTTTTGGCAGTTGACGTGATCTCGCTCAAGGCGCTCATCCACCCTCGTTTTCTAAGTCCAGTGCTCATTGCAGATAGGTCACTCGTTTGATTGTGCTTAGACAGCTCATCGCTCCACTCAAACGGAGACAGCCGTCCATCAGGGGCGTCGTCGATTATGATAGCGGATTCGATAGGGGCGCATTGAACGATTGAAGGGCCCAGAAGTGCTATGGTACAAAACACCAACAGAATGAGGAATTGAAATCGAATCATGGCGACGTGTAGGATCGTCGATTGGGATTCCGAGGTCGTGTACAAACCAGACGAAGCCTACCGCGGTCGACAGGAAACAAGTTCACTAGTATTGCTGTATTTCGAAGTTAGAGCAGTTCAAAAAAGGCAGCCACTGGAATTAGGCAGAGGTTTCCTAACTTTTCACAAAACAAATCCGGCCTAGATTCGACGCATTTTGGGGAAAGTTGGCCATACCCAAATATATACCTGGTCCCAAGGTAAATGATAATAATTTACGCCCTCTTCTACAAAGTTAGATGGTAAGAAGGATTTCAGCGCTAGTAAATAATTAGGGCCGGGTCCTTACTTTTTCAAGCTTAGGGTTGCCGCATATAGGATGCAGGAATGATCAGATCAGACCGAAGCTTAAGCTATTAACGGATAATCATTAACCGATAAGGTGGGGCAATTCCTGCAAAAGGATTACTTTGGCGTGCTGGCGACGCCCTGGATACTGCCCCCAAAAGTTGCTTGAGCTAGAAGGAAAGAATAGTCTGTCCACATCAAGACTCGGCAAGCGAAGGCTTTTTGCGTAAACAAAACCAAGGTAGGGTATCCAGATATTGTCTGGAAGTGCAAATTCCTTCAAATTACACTCAACAAAATAGAAGGGGTTGCCGAATACAGAATGGCTTATGGCCCCTTTTATCTCCGGCTGGATTAGTAAATTAGCCCCAGATAGCATCAGGAGGAAGATTTGAAACAGTGGATTCCGAATGCGTCGGCTTTTTTTTCTTTCTTTATTTCCCACCTCCATAGCAATCATCATGTCTCCGGCCGAGAATTCGACCTGATTAAGAATCAGGCCGGATAGCCTCTATATGAGCTCCTACAGCTGCATCCCAAGATCAACTCTATCCCATAGACGCGCAGGTACACAAAACCATCGAACTGGCAACATAAATCAACGGCGCCTTACACTAGATCAAGAGAAACTCTTTGTTCAAGGATAATTGAACACTATTCTCAACAATTGAAGGGCCAAGGAAATCTTTCCTAAGTTCTTTATCTCTTCTCAGGTGTAAGGTTTAGGAGAACCCGAAGATTGAGTACTGCTCCATTCTCCTAACAGAATGTGCAGTAGGGTCATAACAGATTATACATCCAATACATAGTGCAACAGAGTGATGTTGCCAAGTTTCTGGCTCACTGGATGAGCGTGTGGACATAGGGGACCGTGAGTCAGTCTCCTGTTTGAACCATTAGCCGCCACATCACGTTGACTTTGGAGCTTCCGTAGTGTTAAGGGTCTCGGGAATCCCGCCCCGTGACCCTCTCTGTAAGATACTGCTTCTGAACAGTCTCCCTTCCAGTTCTGTAGACAATCTACAGATTTCTCTTCTTCCATGACTTCCATCCTTTCCTAAGACGTAACCCTTACTTCCAGATCTACATTACCTTGTCCGCAAATTACCGGTGGTGGTAAATTTGCAATTATGGCTGATGACATATCTTGCCGGTAAGAAGTAGGTATTCAATTTGTAAATGCTGTTAGTCAAGGTATTTATATATAGGTTCTTTTCCCCGTTCGCTTTACGTCAATGCATACGATTAGTACGCGGCTATGAAAGTACGTGTATACTGGTGGTGTATGGTTCGTTCTCGGTACAAATGATGACTGGGGATATTCTGGGCTATATGCCTTTTCCGCATGGTCGCAAGTCATGTTGTGGCTTGCTTCGCAGGCACCATACTACAAATATGAGTGACAACCCCTCTGGCAATAATGGCACTTGTCATGATGACAAGTCTCTGCGGTATATTGACCTCGATACTTGTTGCCTAAGTGTGAGGAGTTATAGATGGCCAGGAAATGAGTCGAAAGAAAAGGTATCTGGTGCGTCACAGGAGCAAGTTATATGTGCAGAACCGTCTGATCCCGATCGCAAGACGATTCAGTCGCAAACAGTGAACGAGGTCGAAGTGCTGTAGGGAGAAAACCGTTTCATGAAAGAGACGATTGGCAAGTTCCCGAGATCTACCTTAGGATGCGAATTTTAGGAGCAACAATAGAATGTTCATAATTCTAATAAGGTATACCCAGCCGCTAGATCAAGGGTATTAGATAGGCTCATCACGAGGCTCGACTAAAATCTCATTCACAGAGACATACTCCGGCTGGCACAGAGCATGAACAATCGAGTTCGCCACATCAGAAGGCTCAAGGATCTTGGCACCGGAAGGCTCGCCAAACTTTTTGACAGCCTCCGTATCCGTCGACATATTCAATAACGGAGTGGCCGTATTACCGGGCTGAATGGCAGTCACACGCAAGCCGGCACCGGCCGTTTCAAGACGCAGTGCTTGAAGCGTCGCCTCGACGAAGAACTTGCTCGCTGAGTAGACACCCAGACCAGGGAAGACTTTGCGTCCGGCGTCGGAGGAGATGGCCACGACGTGGCCGCGGCCGCGCTCAAGCATGCCGGGCACAGTGGTTCCGAGGGCGTTAAGGAGACCCTTGCAGTTGACGTCGACGGTGCGTTCCCACTCGTTGAAGTTGACGTTCTTCATCATTTCGAAGTACATCACGCCTGCGCATGAGACAAGGATATCTACAGGACCGAGCTCTTCGCTGGCTGCCTTGACGAGTTCTTCGGTCTGTATCTTGCTAGTAACATCGGTGGATCGGACCACGCACTTGACACCGTACACATCGACCTGGCGCTTGACGGATTTCAAAGCATCTAGGCGGCGAGCACCAAGGGCAACGGCACAACCTGCCTTTGCTAGTGCAGCAGCGACGGCTGCACCAATACCCGATGAGGCACCAGTTACGACGGCGACCTTGCCACTGAGTGGTCCTCGGATGGTGGGCTTCGGAGCAAGAGCTTGTTGGCGGGTAGGTGCCCGGTGGAGCCATCCTCGAGCAAACCAGTGTCGGGTGTATGTCTCGAGCAGCTGGGCGTCAACCTTGGGGCGCTCGACCGCCGATCGGAAAGGTCTCGTTAAGGAGTTGTCAAGAACAACAATCCCGCGCAAGAACTCCACAGTTGGCATGCCACTACGAAGAATGTCGACGGTGAAAGAACCATCTCCACCCTTGGCCAAACCTCGCCTCTCAGTCCACAGTGACACCCACTCCTCCCATGGGAGTGGCTTGGTAGGATATCCAAGAGTGTTCAGGTTCTCAAAGACAGATCGAATGTTCACCGGATCGGGGTCCCCCAGGTGGAAGATCTTTCGGTCCGCCTGGGTTTGTGTGGCGAGGTGAACGATGCTCTTGCTCACAAAGTCGACGGGAGTCATCTCTGCCCTCCAGTCTTCGACATCTGGCGCATAGCCAAGTCTGATTGACTCGACAATCAACGCGGTCAGCAGATCCCATGCGTTGGCTGCGCCGGTGAGACTGTGACCACTAATGGTACCGCAACGGTGGATCTTCACGGGCAATCCGCACTCACCGGCCTTGAGGACAAGCTGCTCAGCAACCCACTTGGTTTGACCGTAACCATCAAGCAACTTTGTGGGGACGTCCTCGACATCGAGCGTGTTGTTCTCAGTCCAACCCTTCTTCCCAGAAGGAGGCAAGACACCATTTGTGGAAACGTATTGGACGGTCGCACCGCCCTTGGCTGCAAGGCGAAGAATCTCCCGAGTCCCGCCAACATTGGCAGCGCGTAGCGCCGCGTAGGGGTATACAAGGTTGACGGTAGCTGCAGCATGGACGATGACTTGGACTCGAGCGGCAAGATCATCGTATGCGTCAGGCGCCAAACCAAAGTGAGGTCTTGACAGATTGCCGGGAAGGACCTCGACACGCTCCATGACTGAGTCGCGCCAGAGGCCAAGGTCGAGAAGGTTGCGGCGAATACGAGCAACACCTCCAGCCTGGTCATCATCCTCGGGGTCCTTGAACCGGACCATACAGATGATCTTGGCCGAGGTATTTTCCAGCAAGTCATTGAGCAAGAAAGCACCTAGGAATCCTGTCACACCGGTCAACAGCACGGTGTCAGCCGTGGCGATAGACGTGAGTGTGGCATTTGAATGGGACTTGATCTCGTCATCAAGAGTCGCGTCGGCGAGCAAAACGGCAGGAAGATCCGCTTGCACCGCAGCAGTGTGCCCATCTCTGACCGCACGCACCGTGTCCAGATGACCGGAGAGTGTCACATTCTCTGCGAGTCGTGGAATTGAAACACGGAAACCGAAATGACGAGACAATCGGCCTGCGAGGTCTGCCAGCGACAAAGAATGACCGCCAAGGTCGAAGAAATTATCCTCAGGCTTCAAATTAGATTTCGTAGTTTTCAGGACATTCGCCCAAAGGGCCGCAATATCGTCAATGCTAATTGGATCCTTCTTCGCCGCATGCTCAATGCTGTTGGGGCTAGGGGTACGAGGCGGAGTAAGACTTTTGAGATCGACCTTGCCAGACACCTCGTGGGTGGGCAAATCCTTCATCACAACCCACAGAGACGGAATCATGTAATGGGCGAGATGGGGCTCGAGGATGCGACGAGTGGACGGGCTGTGTCCAGACTCGTTGACCTCAACCAGTGGCCGAGAGTCAGAGGCATCCTTCTCAGCGGCCACGACGTAAGCGCACAATTGACAATCGAGGCCATCGCCATGAGCGGTGACAGCACAATGGCTGACAGCTAAGTGCTGGCAGATTTCACTCTCCACCTTGGCTGGGACCACTGAGTATCCACGGATCTTGATCATGGAACCGACCCGGCCCGTAATTTCTAGATGTCCCGCCGGCAGCTTCCGTGCCAAATCCCCGGTTCTGTATATGAGAGCGCCGGGCTTAGTATCAAACTTGTTCGGAATGAATGCCTTGGCAGTCGTTTCTGGGAGGTTGAGGTATCCGCGAGCCAGTAGGTCTCCTCCAACAAACAACTCACCCGCAGTACCCGCTTCCACTTCTTTTTCATTCTCATCGAGAATGTACGTTGGAACAAGAGGTGGACCAACAGCACAGTAATGGGAATCCGTGTCGATCAGGTCACGGATATCGCCGCATGCGATCTCGTGAGTCTCGCATGCACTGTAGCAGTTGAGGAGGCGGGTATTGGGCAAGGTTCCTATTCCTCGACGGGCGAGATCGGTGGTCACAACCTCACCATTGAGCCAAAGGGTTCGTAGATTAGGCAGACGGGCGGCAATTCGTGGATAGCGCGAGAGAACTGTGGCCAGTAAGGTAGGTGTCATGAGAGTTTCGGTGACCTTCTTGGCTTCGAGCAGGTCGACCAGCGCCGCGGGATCGTAGCTTACTTCATCGGGAACACAAATGACCGTGGCACCTCTGAGTAGCGGACGCAGCATCTCCCAAATGAAAAATACATTACAGGCTACCCGGTCTCCGGGCTGCAAATTTTGTACCGCAAATCGTAGGTCGTATGAAAGTACGGAGGCTCTCTGGGGGTTGGCGATTCCCTTAGGCTTGCCGGTTGTGCCAGAGGAGTAGGAGACAAATGCCAGGCGATCTAAGTCATCCTCCGCGGGCATCAGGGGCAGCTCTGTAGTAATCTGATCCTCTTCAGGGTTCGGCTCGTCCAGGGCAATGGTTGGGTACTCGGCTTTCACTTTGTTGGCCTCAGTAAGGTTAGTGATCACGACGGCGGGCTTTGCATCATCAATGACATCAGCGAGCAGTCCCGGGGGATATGCAAGCTCCAAGACTAAGAATGCACCTCCGGCCTGAAGAGCTGCCAGGCACGCAATCACGTAGTGCGCGCTACGAGGCAGGAGCACTCCAACCAATGTGTCCCGGCCGACCCCGCGGAGGCGCAGGCGAGCGGCAAGAGCTTGGACTTCCTTGTCGAGCTCCGCATAGGTGTATGTAGCATTCTCATCCTCCAAGGCAACGGCGTTGGGGGTTGTTAGGACCTGCTTTTTGAACAGCGAGGGCAGGTCCAGCCCGGTATCGATTATTGGCATGTTGTTGAGCTCTCCGAACGAGAGGATGTAAGGTCGGACACGGGACTTGAAATAGCTAGATCAACGAGTCTAGAACTGTGCGGCTTCGACGCTACAGTTGCAATGGAAAGTTTGAACGGGAAGTTCTGAGTGATGCTATAACAGCAAGAGATGACGCGACGAGAGAAACAGTAAACAAGGAAATGGCCACCTGCCATATTTCTTGATTGTCATCCCACCATTTTGTTGAGAGCCACATGACAGCAAGCTATGATGGAGACTAAACATCGAACTAAACTCCATGCCGCCCAGTGAAAGAAACACTTGGAATCTGGTGGAGTTCATCTCCCTTATCAGGGCCAATCGATCCCGCATCCGCCAAGATGTCATGCATTGATTTCTCCGCCCTCCCGATAGCTGCTATGCATAATTCCTGAGCGACAGACACTTCTCTTATTAAGTATAGATAGTTATAAATATGACGATACCCCAGGGAAATCGCCACTAAATACAGTTCAAAAGTCACTGGCAAGAAGTGCAACTTGATCTTTCTCCAGGTGTGGATCCGCCCCACTGTCAGACCATTTGCATGTGAAAGTCCCCTCTCCCCAACGCTTTCTGTGCTGTTCCTATTTACTAATCTTATGCTTCTGGCTTTCTAACTAGTGGGTTAGTTGGTTGACTAGATTGAGTGTTTTCTACGTCGATGCCTCGTCCGTAAGGCGAAATATATCACATGAGCGACGGTCATATCCCGGAGCCGAATCGGGCAGAAAATCGGTGTTCCCCCTGAGTTACCTGGACCACCCTTCTTACAAATTTCTACTAGCGTAATATATAGAGTGCACTTTATCGACCGTGCAATACCCTAAGGTCCTGCCCCGTGTGGTATGCCATTTCGCAATCTAAAGTAAATGTTAGTGAAGAGTTTGACGCTATCGAGCTTCTCATTGAATTTGGGAGTAATCATAGTGATGAGAATGCTAAGACGTCGAATTCCCCCTAAAGCTACATTTACTACTTTTTAGGGTCACGACGATGGAGCTCATCGGCTAAACAAACCACTAAGAAACGGAAGTCTTCGTAGAGCGTAGTTGCCCATACGGTAGGAAACATTACCCCTGGTCGGGTTAAGCCATACGTTCTCTAATTGGAATGAATAGGTGGATTAGTAGCTAGACACAGGATTTGGGAATAAGAGCAAGATACACTAGCCTACCTATTACGCAGCGATCTAGGATGGTTTTCGCTAGATCGCAAATTGCTCTACTAGCGCACTAAAGGTTATATATACGCATTATAGTGAGATTTTACTACATCTATATACTATATGTGGGAAGGATAGGAAAAGCAGCATTAGGGGACTTCGACTATAAGAAATTACCTTAGGACGACGAACTATAATACCAATTATTCGCTTGATGTTATCATAGCCTCTCATCACCCGTTCTAGAGCGATTGGTACTATCTCGGCCAATGGTTTCCTGGAGCACAAGCCCTGGAGTTAAATTGGACATGGAGCTGCCCTAAGTACTCTCCCTAGGCCAGACCTACTGGTCTTCCATATTGTTTCTAACTCGATTCACGTCCGTCTTGTGTTCAAGTATCCTTTTTCTACCAAGGCCTATCTAAGGGTTGAAGGAACATTATAAGCTCATTTTTGCAGGTACGCCAAGGTCTTAGAGTGCCGGTATTCCCTAACAGCTTTATTTATTGTAGTAGTTTCCGCAAACATAACAATCCCCTATGCCTGGTGTGTAGATCTTGTGAATGATCGTGATTGAGCGGTCAACATCAGTCGGAACGTTTCACAATTCTTGGCAAGAAGCACCAACTGACAAACATCACAGCGTAGAGGGCCAGACAGATTGGGTGTAAAACTACTGTGCCAAGCTGCTGCGCAAGGAGGCCGGTGATAAATGGAGCAAAGGCACCGCCACTGCTTCCCATTGCGCTGATAAAGCTCAAACTCGTCGTTTGAATGTTGTGAGGGAGCAATTTGCTGAAAACCACAGCTCCACAGGGGTAAATCGGACCCAGAATCAATCCGATGATGGCAACTGCGACCGCCTGTCCAATGATATTCGGGATAAACCATGCGAGAAATTGAAAGCTAATAGCGCACAGGGTAAGCACGGAGACCGACAGCTTCTCTCCAATGCGACGGGCTGGGTAAGAGAGAGCAAACCGGCCGAGAGTAATGCCTGCCCAGAAACCGGAGCTAACGTATCCAACATGAGCCGGGTCTCCGTCTCGATAAGCTATCAGGTATGAGACTATCCAACCAGATATCGATACTTCGGCACCTTGGTACGCGAATATGAACAACGCTCCCAGAAAAGTCACTTTGCTTTTGACGGCCTTTTTCAGGACACTTTTTTGGGCGGGCCGCTGCGCCTCGTCTTGGACAAATACTGTTCCACGAACACCTGGAACAGCTTGGCCATGGAGCTCTTTCCCAAACCCTTTGAGAGCCCAACCTGAGTAGAAGAGATTAAAGACAGCCAGAGTCAGGTTAATGAAGTAGAAGTACGTCCAGTGGATCCCATGCGATACCAATGCAGTAGCGATCAGTGGAGCAATTGTTCCGCCGATGCCATAAGATCCGTGAGCAACGCCCAAGGCTTCAGTCCCATTTGCCATGTTAGCCAAAAAGACATTGTTCAGGGAGATGTTGATGGACATGCCGAGCCCGATAAGCAAGTAGCTCACGACGACGACTGAGAAGGGTACTTTGCAGGCAATCAGGGTGAATGCTGTCACTAAGAATGCTTGACATATCATGGACGTCTTCGAGCGACCAAGTCGACTATTAATCGCATGAGTGAGTGGTGCAGCCAAGATGAATCCTAGGGCGTTGGCGACAAAAACCAACGACACGGTCGAATATCCGATGTGATAATCCTCCTCCATGTACGGGATCAATGCACCAAGGGAGCTATCCCCCATACCGTTGGCCAAGAACATCACACAGGCACTCACAAACCGCCATTTATTCCTCGGAGGATTCAAAAGACTATGTGCCACATTTGCCGTAACACGACTAGCCGGGTTCTGTGCTCTTTCGTGGTCACGAGGTGAACCGAAAGATGCTGGAAGACTCTCCACATCTGTGGAACCTAGAGATATTCTAGCCACCCTAGGTAATGATGGTGAATATTCTCTCGTAGGCGAGGATCTGCCCAATTGGAACTCGTCCAGTTCAGGATATGTCGGTACGGAAGCTACACCATGCTGACCTTTGCGAGCTACAGCCGCTAGATTCGCAACCTGGGGAGTACTCTTTCCCTCAATTAAAGTATTAAACTGGGCGGCCATGACTCCGAGAGTGTCTTCTCAGGTGCTTTTGAACTGTAGTGAGGAATAGGGCTCTGTATTAGTTAGCTTCCACCCTGAGCCCCATCTCCACAAAATAAGTCATTGGATGTGCACATACATGGCGTTGGCAGAATTTTGGCTGTATGAGATTGGTATCGAAAGCGGACTTAAGCAATGGAAAAAGAATTAAAAAACAAAATTAGTCGTCGTTATGATTGCGACCGTAGACGTTGCTCTATTAACATAGAGACACTTTTGCTCATGTGGATCCGGACTTTCCTAATCCAGGCGGCGGAGTTTCCGCTTTAAGATGTTCACCGCTCGGCGACGGTGCCTTCTTTCCTTACCACGCAGGGCTACCGATAACCTGTTCATCATCAATCCCCAAGCATAAATATTGACTGATGGAGCTGACTTTCTTGGTTAGCTGTGATGGGAGTAATATCAAGCGAAGACAGTCACGGCGGGCCTGTGCCTGCTGTCGCCAGAAAAAGGTATCGTCGTTTAAAACTGCTTCTATTACGTTCGAAGTGGCAAATTGACAAGGTTAGAAACGATGTTACCACAACGACCCCAGATTACAGACATCCACGGAAGACCAGCCACTGAATGTATCTGACACAGTGTGTGTCTCGGGAGCCAACTTTGAAGGTCTAGAGCAACATCTAGCGACCGCAGACCCAGCTACAACAACGAAAGACGAGCGACCACGTGCTACTCTATTTCGAGAAGATGAGGAGCAAATACTTAGTAGTCCCCGCATCTCTGATGCACATGAAGCCGCAGCACAAGAAGAGTCACCTGCTCGACATTTCGCGTGCGACTCAAACCCTGTTGTAACTTTTTTGGAAGAGGAAGGGTCAAGATTGCAAAGAGGCCGATCTCAAAGAGGAGATGTAGGAGGATGGTTTCGCAATGAGGACACTATTCCCCAGCAGGAAGGGGCCCACAGTTCTTCTCTATCGATGCCGAATGGCCTACACCAGCAGAAACTTGTCGGTCTGTTGCCCTCGAAACCCAAGCAAGAAGCATTGATAGACATCTACTTTCGTCGAATACATCCGATACTGCCTCTTGTGGACGAAGCCGATATTCGCGCTCAATTTCAAGAGGGCGTACTATCTACTCAGCTTACCCAGTCAATCTGCCTTGTTGCATCGAAGGACCGGAGTGCAGCATCTTTCCTATGTCTTGGCCAAAATTCAACGGTTTTGACACTCGAAAAATTCAGCGATCTTCTCTATCAGGACATTGTCCTGAATATGCCGAGAAGAACCGGAAGAACAAAGGTCACCTCTATACAGGTTTTGGTGCTGTTATCCCTTCACGAATGGGGACCTACTGGGTTTGAAGATTGTTCTTTACACTTGGTTCAAGCCATCCATCATGCTCAGACGATAGGTCTACACTTAGTAAGGCCTGATGACCAGCAAACTGCCCCGTCCCTTAAGGCTCTTTTCTGGTGTTTGTGGAGCCTTGACAGATGGAATGCTGCAATCAATGGGAGGCCAGTTATGATCCACGACCAAGACATGGGCCAGAAAGTGGATGACATTCTTCCGCTATTTAAATCGCCATTTCGCACATGGCTTCGCCTCACCGACAGGCTGGGCGAGGTAATTCGATTCTACCGACCAATTGTGGACGGAAATGATGAAAAAGAGCTTGATCTCCCAAGCTTCGAGGAACTAATTGATAGTTCCAATGCATGGGATATTCCTATAGATTTGTTCGGTACTGGAATCCCTCGAAAAATAAGTGTGAGCGTTTCTGACTGACAGTGACAAGAGTCCCTAGATATGTTTTACCACGGGGTTATACTTCTCTCAACACATTCAAAAGGATTGCAGGGCCGCTCACGACCGAGGATATCGAGAATTCGTCAAAGCCATTCAACCTTCTCCATTGCATCACTCATCCGCAAGCAGAATGTCCAAGACTTTCTCCCTGTGCCTATGACTGCTTACGCTCTATCGCTTGCCTTCTCGATTACATATAGGCAGTTAAGGGAAGAAAAACTGCTTAGTGCTCGGCAAACAGCGAAAGAGCACCTTGACTTGTTTTATCAATGTCTTAGGACATTAAGTTCAACGTGGTGGTCGGCTGCTATAATGACGTGCTTAGGGAATCGTGTGTTGAACGACACCGAGCGTGGAAGGAATCCGGAACGAGCCACTCGGTCAGAATGTCACCAAATACGATCAAACTCTCAGGACATGATAACCCCTTCGTTCGGCCGTACGCAGGCATTGGAAGAGAATGAAGAGACGTACATGAACGTGTCCTCCATTGATCAGCGCCAAATAGGATCAGATCCTTCAGCCAATTTTCACGATCTCATCGACAGTCCTGGTATCATGAGTGGCAACATTGAAGATTTTGATGTATTTTTTGACAATTTTCCTGACATCAACTTTCCCAGGTCTTCCGATCAATTCATCCTGGATTTTGATATGCTCAACTCCTGACCTGATGATAACCTATTGGCCACCTGTACTAAGATGTATTGTACATCGTTCAGAAAAGCTTAGCTGATAACTCCATGGATCTGCATTGGTACTGTCAGTCCTTAGTCTAGGTGGTTGTTGGCTGTGCTATGTCCTGAGCAATTTCAACCTAGCTGAACAAGATTTCTAATGAACTACCGACGTGTTGCTACCTTTAGATGGTTTTTTGACTGAGACATCTCTTTCCCCTTCCAATGAATTTGGCACTCTTTGTATGGCTATCTCCCATTTTTCTCTTTTGTCTGCCGCTTTTCACCAAAAGGCACTATTTTCCTTTGACAGGATCTATCATACTATTTGGGATGTCCAGTGGAGCAACAACTCCAGCCTAATATCTGATAACAGCCAATTCTCCATTATTAGACAAGCTTGCCCTGGTACCAAAGGGTGTGGAACGATTTTGCTGATGGATGATGTGATATTAATCTCAGAGATAAATGGGGTGTTCTAGCGAGAGAATTAAGGGGGATGCTTTGTAGTGTTTTTGACGAAATTAATGTGGTTGAAAACTCGATGAAATTCGCTAAATATAAGCGCTCTAGTGTCTTGGGCATGACAATCAATTAATAGTTATTGCCCGCCCTCTAAAGGGATCGATTACTAGCAATCAGTAAGAGTATATAAGCCAGTGAGATGGTTATTCGGGTGGCGAAGAAGGGTACCGGAGGAAAAGATGTGGCGTGAACTCACTTCTCGCGGGCTACCGGAAAATTCCTATTCAGGATTCTGACCGCTCTTCTGAGAGGATCTTTCGAGCGGACAGATTAACTATTAAGGAAAGTCCGCCCAAACTTAGCCTTGTGGCTGTTAAGAAGTCGCCTGCTTAAGAGTAGGTACTAGGAATCAATCAGCCTGTGGGAATTTTATCAGATACGACTCAAAGCTTAAGAGACGGTTCCGTGCTCTCTTCTAACATCCTTTCGATGTTCAGCAAGTTCGACAAAAACATATCATGTTACGATCTAAGGCATGGATTACCCTGCACAGTATATAACCAGAAGCCTCTTGCTTGAAGGTTCTAATCATATCTTTTCTCCATTATCAGGCTCGATCGTTCATGCATGTTCATCTCAGCAGAACAGGAACAGCATACGGGGCCCGGTTCGTCTATAACCGGAAGATTGCTGTTTAGCCTATCACATGCCGCTTCGATAATCAGTATCAAGGTGAGGGTGCGGGGAATTTTAACCATGTAAGGCAACCCGAAGAAGTTAGTGCTTATCCTCTTCTAACATATAATGCTCACAGACCGCGTGACCGATTCCTAATATCAAATGGCCGCGAACATATCACTTTTGAAAGAAGTCAAACTTTAGCTACATCAGAAACTCCTGGTTCGTTTACATTATCGGCCGGAAACTATGACTTCCCCTTTGAAATACATCTCGGCAGTGCTGCCGCCGAGACTGTCACAGGACCCGATCATGAATACCATACCTACAAGGTGCAGGCGATCATAGAACGTCGCTTCAGCAACGAGTTTATCATCTCACGGCCCCTCAGAGTCTACAAAGTATTTGAATTGGAAGTCGACCGTTCGTGGCCAAGTTCTACTGAGGTGGGTTATAACTTATTTCTGAAAGATTTGAAAATGCAATAACTCAAGGGCTACAGTCCATCGAAAATCAGTGGAATGGGAATATTCACTGCAACATTTCAATACCTCATCGAAATATCCCCTTCGGCTCCACTTTCCCGGTCGAAATCTCACTCGCATCATCTTCAAGGGACATAGAGCTAGTAGCGGTAACAACCCAAGTCCTTGAGAGACACAACCTCAAAATTGTGGCAACCGCCGCAGAGTCAGTACGACATAATGTTCATTTCTTGACCTCGAGAAAAAGCCATATTGTCTTCAGTGAGAGGCATGACTTCACGGTCGATAATTATAAGATGTCAGCCCCAGAGCGTTTAGACGGTGAATGGCGAATAGCAAGACCTGTTCGTCTGCCGCAGACGTTGGACGCCTGCTCACAAACCATTCGTTCGGAAGCTGTCACGATCGACCATCTCTTAACCACTACCATTGAATTCCGGAACTCAAGCGGGTGTATATCAACGGTATGTCAACAAACACGACACCCCACTGAATATAGAACAAAGGGCTCACTTCTGACCAGATTACGAAATCATTTACATTCAATATTTTCATGTCCCCGATTGTCGTCAGGGAGGATGCAACTGTCCACGGCCGGAATATCCAACATTTCCTAAGAAACAAAAATCCACCTCCTGCCTACGGAGACCATGTCAACGATTCAACCATTCTTGAATCCTCGGAGTTGTCAGTGAATAACGATTGTGGACCTCCAGTGGCAACCAGGGTGAATATTGGGCGGCTTCCCCACGAACAAGCTTATGGCTGGGAAGTCTTGGAAAATGTGCCCAGCTATGAAGCAGTTGTTTGTATGATGGTCAGAGGGACTTAGGCTCAGCTAGTTTTATTATCTCATACTCTAAGGCTACATGTGTGACAGTGTTACATTCACTTTAAAGAAGGTTCTGGTATGCGTACATGGCATTACTAAGTCAGGTTTCTCGTTTAAATAATTCTTATCTTTATGAGGAAGGTACCATTCCTGGTAGTGATGTTTTTAGTATATGTCAAGAATTGGAATTCCTACAGGTCACATACAGGGATTTTACCCTTCATCAATATTGCCTATTGCGTATTGATCATTTATTATTTAGTACGCCCTCTAAATTGTTGGGCATTCCCACTTTATCTGAATCAGAGATTTATTTTCTTCGCGATTTGCAATTCCATGTGGGATCGTCGTTCGTCCAAATTTTGACAGTATACATAAAATCGTGGGAGTTCGCAGTCGGACCAAATGCCGGGCCCTAGCGTTCTACTTGATAGTTGATGAGAACCTGATCCTGGCCATGAAAGCCTCGCTATTACCCTCGCAACACATACCTTTAGCTAGACTCATGGAGACCAGCGATTAGTCTTGTCACTAGTTGAACCCCACGCTTGTATGACAATTTCGTACCTTTGGTAGATTTCACTGCCTAAATTCTGTATTCCACGAGTAGCGTTTCGACTGCCTCAACACTTCCTAAGGGGGTATATGACTCGTTATTAGGGGCTTCACAAAGTGAGTAAAAACAGCTCTTAAATAATTAAATACTGCTCATTTTTCAGGCCTCGACTCCTTGATCAACTATCTAATCGAGAGAGGTTCGGTATACATGGTGGTTATCGTCCAATAATAGGAAGGCTCGCCTTATCGTAGTCTCGCACGAGAGCGTGTGTTTTTATATTACTATTAATGAATTAACAGCGGGCTTACAATTAGAATACACATTAATTAGATACAATGACCCTTTTGTTGTTGAATTTATCTCCTTCCTTCCCCGACGCCACGTCTACCATCCATCTGGCACAGCTTTCACGAGTGATAAATAAACCAGCTCCTGACTCAGTACTGTCGAAGGTTTTCACGGGTTTCTGACCACTTTCTTTGAGCCCCACCGGTAAAGGAAGGGTCCATAGGATTTCATCTTCACAGTTTGCCTCAATCTCATCGTTAACTGCATTATGATCCACATAGGATCTGGACACATTGCTATACTTCATCATGAAACGTATAATGTAAGGCGTCACTGTGTAGCTTTCACCAGCACCAAGGGCGTTCATCACAACCAAACGGGGCTTGCGTCCTTCTAGGTCCTGCTTCTGTGCGCGCAGAGCTCGAGTAGCTTTGCAGGTTGAATCTGCAATCAGGCGGGGAGGCCCAATGAATTTTCCCCAAGGGTTTTGACCAACTCGCTGGGCATTGAGAAATACAAGCACTGCATCAACTGTGGTACCAGCGGCTTTGAAAGCACGTTGCATATCCTCATCTGATAGAGAAGAGCCCTCGACGACGGTGAGTCTAGCATGTGGCTCTATTCCATGGGTCTTGCGGGCAAGAATAGTGACTGAGAAACCTAGAGAAAAATAAGCAATTTTGCCTTCTAATTTTACGGTAAATGATCTACCTTGTTCTAGTGCATACTTATACGCATAGACACCGGTTCGTCCCGTAGCTCCTAGAATAAAGAGATGCATTCCCTCCCTCTGATAATTTTCCTCAACTGAAAATTATGGTGCACAATGAGGGGGCGGAAGATTGGTTTTAAATATTTAACGGAATCTAGAGCGCCCGCTCCTTAATTTAATTGTCAACGTATAGGGTGACAAATTTGCCAACATCAGCTTCGTTAATATTATGGTTGCCACAGTTACTCCAAGACCGCAGGGCAGGGATTGCATATCCGGCCGACTTCCGTCCATGGCTTACTATGGCTTATCTTTTACTGGCCAATCAAAACGCTATTAGTAAGCTGAAAGAACATCCGAGCGCCGCGTGAACAGATAATCCCGTAACGTTCAAGAAAAAGCCGCTCTACACAAACAAGTTGGGCTATTCAAGCAGAATACTATTTGACACCATGAGTGTCTTTATCGAGCTAGCTATAAGAGACCTTCGTTCTCCAAGAAATGAGACTCTCCAGGAGCGCATTTACAATTTAAGGTTGAATAGCCAGAATAAAAGCGGTTCATAAATCCTAAACACAAAGTAGGCTACGCTAGTGGACAGTTAGGTTATTGCACCTGTCCGCGAGTATTTAACCAGCGGGATATCTTTCCACTCCCCACGAAGAACTTGGAACGCTATTTATCGAAGAGCGGATTACTGCAATTCAAGTACATACCTGTGAACATTCGTACAGTAAGTTTAAGAGATTCTTCTGATTTGTCGCGCTACGGTGGCCCTTCGCATCTATCTGCATTGTCAATGACCTCAAGAAAGGGTTCCTGATGGTTGAAGCCTTTAGGTGGGACCTTTCTACAAGATTTTTAACTCCTTGTGGGAGAAGTCTTTTGACTGTTCGCCATGGCTGCCACACTTAATATCGCGAGCCTCAAGCAAAAAAGTCTTGACTTTGTGAATCTGATCGGCAACGAACATGATACGACCTCGGCAAAAATTGTCAGTCTTCTCGCTAGGGAGTTCGCAGTACAGCATGCCGAGTTCCCTCCCTCAGAGGGAGGTCGCGATGCCTTTTTGGCCAAGCTAGGAGGCAGACTGAAGCTTGCCAAAGGGCATGCAAGCATTGAGGTGAAGCGCGTGGTTGCAGAGTTGTTCGACGACGGGTCGAAGGGCGGGCAGTCCTGGGTCTATAGCAGGAAAAACACCCCATTTGGATCGGCTGACAGCGTAGGTGGCTACTGAACTAGGCCGACGGAATATGAACTGACAAGAAAAATTCATAGCTCGATATGATTACATTCAATCCAGAAGGTCAGATTATCTTCTGTCAGGACCTACACAGTCCCAAGTGTGGAACATATTCAAGCTTTTTCAAATGGCTCGTGGAATTTGTGTTTGGGATACCAACTCACCATTCATACCTAGTCACTTCACAAAATCCCATCCCTAGCTCCTAAGCTACTTATAGAGGGCATTCGATGCAATGTGCTATTAAGAGTATTTAGGATGTATGTGCTCGTTCACGTTATCATCTTTGCGTCTAAAGGGGTTACATAATCAACATCCTTGCATTTTGACGGACATGCTTAGAGAGTGATCAAATTAAACCATCTGATCAATCCTGGGATGGTGGAAGGACAGTTTCCGAAGTAACTTGAGGACCTAATCTAATCACTTTGGTTGGTTTTGGGTATTGAAGTGCGGCAAAGATACCCTTTAGAAGATGGTCATATTTTACCAATGCTGCTGAGATGAAGAGGAGGATTGGAAATGTTTTCAAAGGTAGTCAGTCTGGGGTGAAGCCGATGAGTGCCTGAATAGTTGAATTTAACTACCGTGATCATCCAGTGAGATGGGGCAAAGTGGCATTTTGAATTTTGGAACTCTTACAACAGCCGTTTTGCACGAAATCACTTCATACAAAAGACAGTTCTATTAAACCCCATCCCAAAGGATACTTCACACCACATAGAGATCTCGAATTACTTGCCTTCTTTTCATTCTAACGTCCTGCATCACCTATGGTCTATGACCAGTTACCACATCCAAGGCCAAGCGTGCTCTATATTTTTGGAAACAAATCCCACATGTGGCTTCTTGAGATACATGAGGATAAACTTCAAGTACTGGCACAGGCCTTGGTGGAAGGATGGCTATACGGTCACGCCGGAGTCAAAAGCATCGAAACTATCATAACTCCGGTGTGCCTTGGATGAGCGCTCTTATCAGCGGCTTATCGCGATAGGATAGCCGCGGACAATTACCGCGCCTCCGCACATCGCCTTCCTTTTTCTCCCGCGTTTCTTCAAAACGGAACGGGACCAACCAAACGACCTCGATGCCCAGTGACTATGCATGTCCCGAGCCCGGCTGTGGGAAATGCTTCCAGCGACCAGAACATCTGTCGAGACATCGGCTGAACCGTACGTTCTGATCAGAGGGCCTTTCGCATCGGGACAGAACGAGATTGACCAGTCCGCAGACTCCCCCAAGCAAATATATCAATGTTCTTCGTGCCCTAAAAGATTTGTCCGGAAGGATTTACTGCGTCGACATGAAAAGCGCCACGAGAGAGGCATGTGGTTTCGAAATTCTGGAGGCATCGTCTCTTCAGCGCCTACGCGGCAAACCTCGGATCTTCACTCTCAACACTGCAGCATTGAACCAACATCTCGTTCAACTGCTGGAGCGGAGCAGTTCTCTGGAATGCCCACGGCTTCCACGATGAACAGCCCGCCGGGGGATCCTCCCAACATGATGGACACCGTCGTTCCCGATGGAACGGTGACTTCGCTTTTTATGGACCCTTCTTTTACTGGCTCAGATCCATTGCTGGACTTCGAATGGCTTTTTGACAATGTTCCAACAGACTTCAGTGCTCCTGCTGATGGCAGAGTCCCCGATATTATTTCACCGGGTCATAGTGCTTCAACAACGGAGATGTCGCCCCCTTCATTCCCCATGCAGTCGCAAAATATTCGCCTGCCAGCTCCGGCCTCGCCATATTCTTTTGAGCCTTGGGTAATTGTCCAGGATCGATTACTTGATGCCCTTAGTACCCTTCCTCATGAACTCACCGCCTCGTCTTTTTTCTCTCCATCCAATCTCTCCCACTTCTGTGACCTATACTTCGAGAACTACCATCCCCATTTCCCTATCCTACACAAATCGACTCTTGATCCTACTACGGCTCCACCCCTCCTCATGTCTGCCATTGTGACACTGGGATCTACTTTGTCGAGCGAACCTGCTCATTTTGAAGTTGCTGTCAAGATTCATGACTCCCTGCGGTATATTATCTTCAATGTAAGACCACCATTGTGTGCGCCTTGGCTTAGCATATTGTATACCACAGCTAATTTGCCTGAAGACCCCAGATTTTGAACCGCCTGCTGCGCTGTGGTGTGTTCAAACGCTTCTGCTGATCCAAGCACAGGAGAAGATGTTTTCTACTAGAAAGCATCATCAATTGGCACATATATTTCACGGGGCTATAATAACTGTACGTATCTCTTACATTCTCGCTGGTCTGTCAAGCAACGCGAATGACTCAATGGGCTCATAATGCGCCATCTACAGCTTATGAAACGAGGCGTTTCGTATGTCTCAGCCCATCAAGGGACTTCAGACCTGGAGCAGTCTTGGCGACATTGGATTGACATTCAGTCATCAAACCGTACGGCATTTTTTGGCTTTGTTATGGATGCGCAGCATAGCTTTATGTTTGGTCATACCTGCATTCTCTCAGTTCAGGATGTACGCCTTCCTTTACCGTGTCCCGATTATGTTTGGGAGTGTAATAACGCTCATGACTGGGACCGGATGATGCGGAGACTTCCAGAACCACCAGGCTTCTTGCCTGTATTGAAGAAGCTTCTGGCTCGCACCCCAATCCCGCCGCACTGCAATGCATATGCCCGTCTGATTCTCCTTCATGGATTGTTCAGCGTTACTGCCCATTTAAAAGCCAGGGATTCTGCCACTCTGGGTGTTGGAGGCGTTCCAGTTGGTGGTTCCCCTCGGTTGAGCCCTGTCGATAGCTGGAAAGAGACACTAGAGAAAGCTATGGACACATGGTCATTTTGCCTAGTCTCACGAAGCTCGTCATTGGCACTGGAAGCATCCAAACCACTTCATCGGATGGCATATGTTGCCATTTATACCGAAATAACGGATATGCATATCCTGGCTGGGGCTCCATCTCTTCTGGGAAATCTTCCCTCCGAGGCTGATCTGACAGGAGCAACCTCTCGGGTTTGTGCCTGGAGTGAAAGGCCAGAATCGAAGAGAGCTATCTACCATTGCCTGCTTCTTATCCAGGAGGTCCTTTTTACGGGCAAGGTGTATCGAGCTGCTCACGACAATCTTTCACTCCGACCATGGTCTCTATATCACGCTGCACTTATTCTTTGGGCGTATGGGTTCATGGCTAGAAAACGAGCTCCTCTGACCGACCGACAGGCTTCCTGTAGTGCCGAGGAATACTTGGTTCGCATGCTCATGCTTCTTCGACATGATTCCGAAGATATCGTACATGTGTCACAACAGACCCGTGAGCTTCTAAAAACTGTTCGGGAGTGTTTGGAGGATTGTCGGTGGGAATTGCTGCATGAAGCATATGATACCTTGGGGAAATTGGTTGAAATGTCATAGTGTGCGGCTACGTTTAACCTGGATTTACTATTATGCCCCATCAATAGCTACTACCTTTCATTTCTGGCGCAAAGTCCTGAAAGATAGCTAGGAGTTATTGCTCAATGATTTTCTAGGTGGTTGAGGTCTGTGTGTCTTCCTCTCGTGGTTGGGTTTCTGGCTGAACAGTAACTAGCTAATTGGTCGAGTGGCTTACAAAAAACCATCATAATAGAGACCTATATTATCTCATTCTGCTCTCACTCCCCCGACGCATGAACATCAAACCCCATCGATACGCTACGTTCCGCAGTCAACATGTATCTGGTACGCATCCAGTATCTAGAGCCCAAATGGCAACTCTGAGCTTATCGAGGTTATGCCATCTATCAGAACCAAGCGTAGCATGAAAGGAGTCCGATTGTAGGCAGTTGAACGCTCGATATGACGTGTGATTGGTTCCCTCTTGTGAAATACTGAATCCATACACATCTACCGGGTATCCATTCAATGTTTTACCGATACGTGTTTGGACTGAGTTACACCGCACATAGACGTAAGTCCCGTGAGGAAATTCAAATACCCTAGGTCGGGAACTCTATTTTCTGGAGCAGTGGACATCAAGTCCTTTGTTTATGCACTGTGTTCGCTGCTTACACATCCTTCCACTGTCTCGATGTAGCTGACTTGTAAAAGGCATCGATCACCTTGAGAATCTTCACATTGGTCTGAAGATCGCAGCAGCCAAGCCCTGGCTTGGTATCGCGGACCCGAGCAAACAAAGACTCAAGCTGCTTTCGATAGCAGCTTGGAATGTTTGACGTTCCGTGGGGCTTTTCTGTAGATAGTTTACTTGGTCCTGCCGCAAAGTCTCCCCGTGCTTCGCGCAAGTACAGCGTCGCCACAGGATAGTCCGGGATCACATGAAGTGAACCGTTGGTGCCGTAAATATCGATTGCCCATTCATTGCACCACTCGGTGGGTTCCCAGGCTGTCAGGTCTAGCACAATTGTCTTGTCCGAGTATTCCATGATCCCCGAACAAACATCTTCATAAAGCAATGTTCCCACGCCAAACTCGCCCTTGTGAACCGTCCCAGTGAATAGGTCCGGGATCCATCCAACTACCGGGTGAGGTGGTCGCTCCGGTAGTTTTCGGATCGAGGAGACGACGCGGTCGGGTGCACCAAACAGATCGAGCACATTCTCGAGTGTGTGGCAGCCCTCTGTTTGCATGATTCCCCCGAGGTCCTCAGGGATAGCTTGCCACAGGTCCATCCCCGCGCCCGACGGGCACCCCCCATGGAAACGTGCTGTGGTGATATCGCCCAACACGCCGTCATGGATCACCTTGCGTGCAAAGGCGAGTGATTCAGAATAATGGAGCTCATATCCGACCTCTACGGCCAGACCGGGGCGTTTCTGTTCAATCTCCTCGGCCAGCCGATAGAAATCTTCCGGAAGTGCCGCTCCAGGCTTCTCCAAAAAGAGGCCCTTGAATGCGGCCGGGTGGTTGATGGCAAAGCGAGCCCAGCGAGGAACATCGGGATCCAGAGCATGTATCATCACCACATCGGGATTGGTGTCAAGTAGCGCCTCTGGGGTATCGAAGCGGGTCAGACGGGGGAGCCGTTTAGCCAGTTCTGTGGCGACCCCCGCGTCCTCCTCATAAAACCCTGAGAATTCGAATCCCCCCATTTGTTCTAGGACGGTAAACCGATACATGACATGGGGATGTCGGGTTCCAATGAAGGCGATCTTGATGGGAGGCAGACTGCCATCCAACGTCCCCTCATCTTCGAACGTGAATGAGATCTGGCGGACGTCCATGACTAGGTTGTTGCTGTGGCTGGTTTAGATGGAAGCCCTGATGTCAGGTATTTAAAATGGATCAACGCCGACTCATAAGTGGGCCGACCGACTTGCCCACGCATCCCACGCAAATCAGATAAACTATCCCGCGCAACGCCTGGTAATCGGTAAGTCGTCTCCACTTGTCTGGGGAAAGCTTGAGGTGCATGCGACATTCCCGTACCAGGTTGCCACTAGGAGAAAGTAGATATAAGAGCCCCGACCACCATGGAGTAACAGCCTGCTCCTTTAGAATCTCTTTATTGATATCTCTGTTCACGTTGCCCCTACACAATGGGCGACCTGGAGAAGAACACTTATCCAACCAATGAGAATGACACCACGGCCTCCCCTGACACGGGTATCGCTGACATGGGGGAGTTCCATCCTCCGCCAAGGGGATATCGCATTGCGGGACTGGTGACGCTTCCCGCATATCGTTCACCCATTGCACAGTGCTTGATCATTGCTTGTGTGCATCTTCTCGTGGTTGGCATGTTCAACGTTCTCTCTGCCCTTGGAGGTGGTGGCCAAGTCAATCCCACGACCAGCAACAACGCCAATACAATTCTTTACAGTCTATTCTGTGCCTTCTCCCTTGTTTCGGGCTCGGTGTGCAACTTCCTGGGCCCCAAAATCACCCTTGCGACAGGGGGCATTGGATTTTCGTTGCTATCGGCTTCGTACTGGAGTTACAACCACAACGGAAATGAGGCCTTTGTATACTTTGGAGGGGCAATTTGCGGGATTGCTGCTGCGTTCCTTTGGTAAGTACACTTGACGTTTTCAACAGGCACAAGAGGATTATCTGACTCCTACTTTCTACGCCTTCATCCAGGACCGCCGAGGGATCGATGATCATGTCTCTTCCTCTCGAGAAAGACAAGGGGAAATACGTGGGCATCTTCTATGGCCTATCGTTTTTCGGTACAGTGATCGGCGCTATCATTCCCACGGTGGAAAACTGGGGGGTAACGACGGCTGGAAGTGTCAACGATAGTACCTACATTGCGCTGTTTATCTTGATGATCATGGGCAGCGTTGTCGCCTGCAGCGTCTCCAATCCGTCCAAGGTGATCCGCTCAGATGGCTCACGCGTGGTCGTGCCACGTCAGACGACGTTCGTACAGGAGCTGAAGAACGTGGCTCTGGCTGTCAGGCGAGAGCCATGGATCATCCTATTCTTTCCTTACAGTTTCGCTGGATTGTGGTATATCCCCTACCAGAGCAATGACTTCAATGGCTATTTCTTCGACCTACGGACCCGTGCCTTTGGCAGTCTTTGGTTTGATTTTGGCCAATTTGCAATGGCAGTCATCTCGGGACTGTTGTTGGATTTCAAGCGACTCGGTGGTCGACGTCGACGTGCCTTTATTGGCTGGGTTTTTCTTTTTCTACTGATCAACGCAGTCTTTATCGGAGGCGTCTTCCCAGCCCGCCGCTCCCAACGTGGCCACCCACTTTCGCATCCTCTGGATGTGGAAGATGCCCAAGCTGCGGGCTATATTGCCCTGTACACCTTCTACGGTGCGGTAGATGGGGCCTGGCAGACATTTGCGTGGTGGATCATGGGGACTCTATCGAATGACCCCCTGGTGCTGTCCATCTACTCAGCATTCTATAAAGTTTTCGGCGCCATGGGCGCTGCTATCGTCTTTAACCTGGACGTCAGAGAAACTAGCTATCAGGCCATGTTTGGCAGCTACTGGGGATTGCTCTCAGGCTCCCTAGTCTTGGTGTTGGCATTGATCTACAAACGTGTCGAGGACACTCTGTCACTGGAGAGAGGGGGGTCTGCCGAGGTGGAAATGAAAGAAGTCAACCTGGATACTGATTAGTTACATACTCAAAGTCAATTACTTCACAGCAAAACACACATTATAGGAATGTAGGATGAATATTAGAAGACGAAACATCGTTGTTTGCACCCAGGACTCATTTTCTTTTAATGTCTACGTATATCTTGCTCTCCGACGTTAATTACCCTCCAAGAGATCAAGGGGCGCTAACGTGTAGCACAATTACAATCCAGAAACCCTCACTCATATACTCTAAATTTAAAATGAATGAATAAATCAACCCAGAGGAATGTTCTCGATGTTTTTTTCTACACCAGCACATTATCCGGCGAATTCATGCTTCGGCTGCCCTCGAGCATCAGTGGGCTTATATCGGAACATATGGCCTCCTTCGTCGTCTGCCCTCGCATTGGGGCGACGATCCTTCCCACTTGCCACATAGATAATATCAAAGTTCTTGCCGCCCCAAGTGGTACACGCTGGGTTACGAGCCGAGAAAATGACGTCTTTGAGATGTCGGCCCTCCGGGCTAAATACCATGACCCGGTTCGAGTCAAACATCGCAATCCACAGATTTCCATTAGTACTTTGATCATTGTTAGTATGACTCTGGATCCATCGAAAATGGCATTCACGTACTCGACAACCATTCCATCTGGCTCGCCAAACGAGGTGCGGCGATCAATCAACAGTCGCTTGTTGGAAATGCCACCGGATTCCAGGTCAAAATCATAAGCCCATGCTACCATGGCCACAGAATCGTGGAAATACACTGGATGACGCGGTGAGCACTATTTGTTCAAAGGGACAAGCAGGGGAAATCTCACTGGTTTTATTATCCGGACTCCAGCCCAACCCATTCCCACAGATAATCCCCTGATCGATCATCAAATGAAGACTGCCATCCGGATCATATCGCCATAGCCGACCTCGCGGAGTGCCGTAGCTGGCCGGAAGGCGGTTTGGTCCATGCGCCATTGCCTTCTTATCGATCTCCGCCAGCCAAAACCGTCCTTTGGCATCGACGCCCCCATCATTGAAGCGTAACTCATCGCGTTGGTCGGTGGGGATGATTTCCTTCACCACGTCCAGCTTGCCGGATGCTTCGTCGATAAAGCAGACTCCTTGGTAATAGGCCGCAATATAGCCAGGTTTATTCTTCCGGAAGAAAGCCACCGTAACGCTGTCTTCCAACTCAATCACGCGCGCTTCCCCGACTGCATCCCCGGCGTCATTGATCGGGAGAATGTAGAGTCGGGGCGGCTCAGACAAACAGTCAACCCAGTGGAGGGTTGAATCGCTAGCCCGATAAATGGGCGCCTCGCCCAGAACCATGGGCTCCGTGCATGAATACCACTTCCTGCCACCGTCAATACACTCTAATCCAGCCATGTTGACGAGAGCGATCAGTGAATCAGACAGGAGTTTGATTGTTTGGACCTAGTTGGTTTTATTTCTGGCAGCCCATGCGGCGGGCGGGTCAAGCCCGCGCGGTCGATCCCCCTCGTTTCAATCATCCCGCGCAAGGTGGGATCGGAGTAAACGGGATTGCTGCTGCTATCAGTGGGTCTGATCTTTCTCCAGAACAATAACAGAATTTAGTCCACCGTTCACCCGGAGAGATCGGTTAAGCCTATCAATATTTGCAAAAAAGGGTTTTGAAAACAGCCATAGCACATGAATCTAGTAAAAACTATATATACAAACACCGCTCTTCTGCATAACATCGATCGCGGGTGAACCGTCTATCATGGAAGTACTCAGTAGCCGTCAAATTCCATCTACTGGTCTAACACCGGGCCTTTCAACTGTCGAGGGTCGAGGGCCAAGAAGCAAGTGGCCAGAACAAGCTATGTACGCATCGTGGAGATTCAATCCTAGCAAAATCTTATGCCGAACAAGGCGTGCCCGTTTCGAGGTCGAGCCGAGGTGCCGGAGGAGCTTGCAGACAGCGAACTGTTCACTCCGGTGCGCCGCAGGTGAAGACTCCGTGGACGGTGCCATTTTGGTATTCGGAGATCTATGAACATTCAGGTTAGCGACTCTCGTCTTTCGCACAGAGGCGGCATGTTCCAAACATACAATATCAGCGATGCTCGAGTACGTTCCTGCGCCCAGGGTCAACACGCCAATGGCAAGAATCAACCCATTGGCGGCCGCCAGAAGCAGGTTGTGACGCGAGGTCCAGCTCCCCTGCCGGATGAGCATGAACCACATCAGGGAGGGGAAATAGAAGGTGAAGCCGGAGATGAAGAGAGCAGAAGAAATCGACAGCAAATCCGAGAAGAAAGGGATAACTTCGGCAATCACAAATGCGACGATGGTGCCCGCGGTGATGACGGCCAACCAGGTGATCCAGCCCATCTTCGTGTTGATAAAACGGATGGTCGAGTTCTTGAAAATCCGACCATGGACCATACGACCAAACACGACAGTGTTGATCGACCCGCTGATGAAAATGACCGGGAGAGCCACCCCGAAGGCCACCCGACTCAACGTAGTTCCGGCCGAGAGCAGCGCGGGGCTCTGGACGGTCGGGCCGACAAAGGCATAGATAGTGGCCCCAGTGACGGTGTAGATGATCATCTCGGTGATGCCCAAGGCCCAGATGGACTTGACAAAGTCCGCCGGGGTGTGCATTTCGTCCATGAAGGCAAACTGGCACATGGCAAAGCTGTAAGCGAAGATGATGTTGGAGACGGCGATGAACGCGTCCTTGAAAGTGGTATCGGGCGCGGGCCACGCCGACCACGGCACGGCGCCTAGTCCCCCCGGTTGGTTGGTGGCCTCGATGCCGGTGCCGATGATGGTGATGCCAATGGCCAACACGATCGAGATAAAGTCAATGTAGCCCAGAATGGCGACCTCGGTGAAGCTGGGGGGGACCGCCAGCGCCAGCAGGATGATGGCGGATACCACGCCAAACACCACGCTGCACAGGCCGCTTTGGGTGATGTTCTGGAAGGCAATGGTGCCGGTCAGGCAGTGCGACCCGGTCAGGAAGATCAGCTGCAACGCCAGCATCGCAAAGATCAACTCGTAGCCAAAGCGGCCGAACAAGAGGGTGCCCGCGTCGGCGTAGGTGCCCACCTGGGGGAACTTCAGCTTGACCTGGCCGACGATGTAGCTGGTGTAGATGGCCACGATGCCGAGGCCGACGCAGCAGATGACGCCGGCGACCATGCCGAGCTTGGCGAAGGTCTGAGGGATGGACAGACTGCCCAGGGCAATGGCCTCGACGATGAGCACGACGGTCAAGCGCTTCCAGCCCAGACGGCTGTATTTCCGGACCCCGTGGTCGTAGATATTGCGCTCGGCCTCGCTCATCTCCCCGACGATGTCCCCGTCAAAGGGTGGCGGTGCCATGAACTCCTTGTCGGCGCTGGAGTCGGCCACCTTACTGGAGTCGTAGCCATTGTTGCTTGAATTTTCATCGGAGTAGCCCATGATGAGCGATGAGGGGAGTTGGGGGAGGTGAGGATGGGGGTGGACGAGCAGTCCTGTCGCGTGTGGTCGGAGCCAGGAGGTATATGTATCGAGGGTCAAGGGGATGCGTCTCTCGGACAGGATTTGCCGCCACGATCGGATCCGGATTGGATTCGTGCTGGACCGGGGCAAAAGCGGATTCGGTGACTAAGAGAGTCTCCAACACGTGGAGTACGACGCTGGTCCACCGGGATCATCCGGCCAATGAGGAAGCCCCTCGGGCCACCCGGATCGCTGTGATACGCCCGATGGCGGCGCCCCGATAAGAAGGTTTCGGGTGGTTAGGTAAAAGAATGTGACCTGGGGGCGCCGGTTCGGCCTAGGCTGGGGGACGATCGGGTTGGAGGCAGTGCTGCAGTACCCCACGACCCCAGAGAGTGTGTGCGGGGAGGAGGGCGGCTACAGGCTAGCAGGATGATGACGACGGGACTAAAGGGTGTACATCTCTACGAACGGGAGTCGATCGAGGAATGACGGGGGATGCGCAGCCACCAAAGACAAACCGAGCCGCATCATCCATTCGGCGGAGGGCCAATCACACCCGGCCAGCCCGAGATAAGCACCCAGCCATCGTCACGTGATGGCTTCTCCTTTCCTTCCTTCGCGTTGCCCGTTTCAGCCACCAGAACGCCACCGGGTCCCAAACGGGGCAGGGATCGATGGCCATAAACTCTGCTGCGAACCGACCTAACGGCCTTCTGGAACAAAAATCGCAGTCGTGTAGGCGAGCTGCAGCCCAGCGTGCTCGAAATTACGGGCACTGCCCGTGCCTGCTCGGGTGATCGTGGTCGCCAGCGAGAGTCGTAGCCGTTGGGCGGCGGCGAGTCGGGCCTGGATGAGGCCCGTCTGCACGCCCCGACCGCGATAGGATGGCAGCGTGCTGTCCAGGTACAAGTGGCCCACGCCCCCAGTCGGGGTGTCAACCACCGCCAAGGCTGCTGAGCCCGCAATCTCGCCGTCGATCGTCGCGAGAAACAATTGGGTGTCCGCCCGGAGGGTTGCTATCTGCGCCAGGACGCGCAGCAAGGGGGCCGACCGACCTCCGTCCTCAAACCCAGCGATCGACGCCTGGATAAATCGCTCACTACTGTCCTGCGCGCTGACCTGCCGGATGACCGGCCCGGCAGCGGTGGCGCCTGGGCGCGCGACGGGAATCTTATGGTTTTTGAGCGAGCACACATACGTGTTCAGGGTGCCTTGTGTGGTATACCCCATAGCTTGCAAGCACGATAGCGCGGAAGGATGCGCCCCCAGTCCGAGGTGAATTTCGGGATGCAGCCCAATAGCGGCATAGGTTGATTCCAGCTCGCGCACATCCGCTTCGTCAACGGGCCCTGGCGTTCCAAATCCCACGACTCGATTCATCTTGCCCTGAAATTCCGGGAGGGTTCGGATGACTGTCCCTGCTTTGGCCTGGTGTTCCGTCAGGATGTCGAACTGGGAGAACAATTGGCGGCACACATCGGCCTGGCGACAGAGATGGGTGACCTCCGCATGCTCACTTTCTTCGACGACTGCGGATGAAATCCAACACTGAGGGGCCGACATGACCTGCAAAAACGGAAACTGACCAGGAGATCCGATCGATGCAGTCAGTGTCAGAGAAGTGTACAAGACGATGACTCATTCCTCGTCGGTGAGGCTGTTACGGGGCTTGTACTGCACCGCCCCAGGCGAAAAGTGGCGTATCCGGCTCACTGCTTCTGGGTTGTAGACAGAGTCACAATTACACTCGCAGGAGGCCACCATCCAACCGGTGATATCCATCAGCCGCACCCCAATTCAGCCCTGCGACAAAAAAGAATTCTAGATTGTTTCGCCATGTAGATGTATGTAGTATCGTTCTGCCCCTGCCACTCTGCGACCGCACCTTGACGGAAGGATCTGGAACACATGGACCTCGAAGAGTCGGAACCACCTCGGAAGACAATCCCACGCACGCAAGCATCCCGGAATGGAGAATCAGGTTATCCCATGTGCCTGGAGTAAGGGATTGGACTCGGTGTTATGACCGTTCATGGAGAGGGTTGGACGTAGCCAACGCGACTAATAATCCCCCACGCCCAAAACCCATTGGTAGGACATCCAATTCATTACTCCAAAAGTCGCGCTTCAGCTGTCGGATAGACCACCAAAAAAACCAAACATCGGGGCTGGATGCCGATACATTTAGATCGTTCCAGATGCAGGTTAGGTGCCTCCGAGCATTGTCGGGGTGGGCATCCGACATAAAACAGATTGCCGGCATCGACGGAGGTTCAACATATAGAACCATCGACTCCTGCCTAATCCTGACAGACAATATTGGAAATCAATATCATGGCATTACACTCGACTGCATTGCCTCACCCACACATCCCACCGGCCGGGGTCTGGTGTCCCGCCGTGACCTTCTTCCATGCGGACACAGATACCCTGGATCTCTCAGCCCAGTCGCAATATTTTCACTATCTCGCGCAGTCGGGCCTTGCAGGTTTGGTACTGATGGGCACCAACTCCGAGGCCTTCCTCCTAACGCATGAGGAACGATCACAGCTGATCTCGACAGCGCGAGCGGCTGTGGGCCCTGGCTTCCCTCTGATGGCTGGTGTTGGTGCACACTCAACCAAACAGACCCTAGAGCTCGTTCAAGATGCCGCCACTGCGGGCGCGAACTATGTCTTGGTTCTCCCGCCCGCCTATTTTGGCAAAGCCACCAACATGAACGTGGTGAAACGCTTCTTTGCGGAGGTGGCAGCTAAGTCGCCCTTGCCGGTAGTCATTTACAACTTCCCCGGTGTGTGCAATGGGGTTGACTTGGACTCGGAAACAATCACCACGATTGTTCACGAGTCAGCTGCGAGGCGCCCGCAAGCTCAGTCTAATGTGGTCGGCGTCAAGCTCACCTGTGGGTCTGTTGGGAAAATCACCCGGTTATCAGCTACTTTTGGGCCAGAGGAGTTTGCAATCTTCGGCGGCCAGTCAGACTTTCTCATCGGTGGGCTTGCCGCAGGTAGCGCAGGGTGCATTGCAGCGTTTGCAAATGTTTTCCCAAAGACTGCATCCCGTATTTACACGTTGTACCAGAATGGACAGGTCGATGAGGCTATGAAGCTGCAGAAGAAAGCGGCATTGGCTGAGAATTCTATCAAAAGCGGAATCGCATCTACCAAGCATGCTGTTTCATGCTACTCGGCTCGCTTGGCAGGGATTTCAAGGGCGGCCGAAAAGCTGGCCCCTCGGCATCCCTACGAAGGGGTTGTCGAAGCTTCCAAGAAATCGATCCGGGAGACCATGGCCGAGGTGGCAGCGATCGAAGATGGCCTATGAAAATTGCCCTCCGCGTTCGGTGTACATAGTTTATGCAACTTGAGTTTCAGGTTACCTCCTCCGTCAGCGTTCAGATACCGGTTACCAAATGACAGACTGGTTATCTAGGGGATTGAACGTTGCAGCTAACCAGAAGATTAGTATCTAATCGTAATAATAGCGATCGTAGAACTGCCGCTTCTGGTTGTGATTATTCTCTCTTGGGTCGTACGCTGGATCGCTACTACGCGATCTTGAGTTGCTCACGGTTAGTTAACCAATCAACTTCGAGCCCCTTCTATTCTGCTCGTTATAGTTCTTCGCCTATCGGATACTAACCCCCTAGTGCCTACCTATTGGTGTTCCTTGGGTCTTGGGCTGTGATCGCAGCAGATGGTTGGACCATGAAATAGTAAGCGGACTTGCATACATCATTAGACTGTCATCTAGAGTCCGCTTTTTTCAGTTTTAACTGGAGCCGCGCGCCAGAATTCGACAAGGGTCAAAAGCTTGTCTTCCACTGTATCTTCGACATCAGTTCCAGCGTGCTCTGATTGCGAATAATGATAATAATAGTTATAATGTCTTGACAGTGAAACTACAACCTGGGGCCAGGTCGATCAGAATCACTTCCATAGCAAAATCCTTAACAGATCCAAGATCGATGGTTTCCTCTCTCTCACATAGTGCATATCAATACCCATCAGCTGGGACACAGCCACCTGCGCGGTACGAACGCCGTAGCTTGTGTCCACACAGCTGAAATGCGGAAGTTCCGCGAATTGTCCGATCAAGCCAAGATTGGAGGTGTTCTGAGGTATGACTGGCGGCCGGTCACTGAGGGAGCGGACTAGCAACATAGCGCTCATTCGTGGCATCACACGAGGAATGGTCATGGTATGTAGAGTTGGTGAAGAGAAATGTAGATGCCCTAACACTTCTATCGCGATTTCCGCCCCTGAGCAATCATACATCGGTTTTTCAACATAATTTCCTTTGCGCCTCGGGAAGAGTGCGAAGCCCCAGAAAATACGAATGGACTTTGGCTGCTGGCTGAAGACTGGCTGTGTCGGTATACAGCAGCTTAATTTCCACGAGCTCTCTTGGAAGGAAATGAATGTCCCAGCCTCGGTCACGTTGTGTGCGTGTAAATCGATATATTCGATAAGGCTAGAATCTGCTGTAGTAATTGTGAAAGATTCCAATATTGATTCTGACTCGCGGGTGCAGAAATTGTATGGGTTGCCAAATACATGGCTCCAGGATCCAATTTCCAACCAAAGTGACCAGTTATCATCGAGCTCATCGTGAGGCTCGAGCGAATGGCGTCCTGGAGGACAATCGTTCGTTCCCCTGGTCATGCCTGAGACAGTGGACCCCAGCGTCATAAAGACAACGTCATCTTTGCTAATTGTTTGCTGCATCCGAAATCCGTTCTGAACCATGTCAAGCTGCGAAATTGTCACCTGACCATCTTGAATAGTTGTCCCAATGTCCATAATCTTGGTATCGAAGCGGAAATCCACGCCAAGCCTCTCAAGATGGAGAAACGTAGGCAGGTATATTGACTCGTTCTGGTAATAACCGGTGATGTCCAGGCATCCCAGAATACTCAAACTGTGAAACTCACTAAGGTGTTGACAGAGAGCACGTCTGAACTCAATTGCACTGTGCCATGGCTGGAACCCAAACCTGGAGTACGCATATTTTATAAAAAAATTAGAGATTGCATTGAAGGACAGCTTAGAAGAGCTTCAGAAACTACATACTGGGCGGTCCAGATAGTCCAGAAGGTGCTTTGGAAGAAAGATGGGGGCAAAAAATCTCTGATCTGATTTCTTCCCAGGCGTTTCTCTCCCTTCAGCACAAGCATTACCAACTTAAGGCGGTGTTGAACGCTCAAATTCAACGAATTTGTAGGCATGTCATTCAGCACGTCGTTCTTTTGGACCAGGAAACGTGTGCGACTATTGCGCTGTTTGACACGCCTGGTCTCCGCCGATTTAATATCGTCCAACACGGTGTGCCCCAGGCCGCTCACTGAAGGCACCAAGGCAAGAAGCTCTGCTAAGGGGTTTCCGACCGGAACAGGTAAGCATGCGGCGAACTGATCATATCCATTGATGGGATCTCCGCTGTTGTGCAAAACTTGTCCCATTGAGATATGAGAATCCAAAATGTGCACCTTGGATGCAGGTACCTTAGCAGACTGCACCAAATAGAGCGCTGACGCCAAGGATGCAGTTCCACTGCCAAGAATCCATGCTTCAGTTTTGTCAGGCGATCGCTTGTATTGACCTTGGGTTTCGTTCATGTTGTTTTCTGGCTTAGATTCCGATGGATATCACATACTAAGATGTAAAAATCATGCAAAAAGTCTGTTCGCCATTCTTACCACTACGATTATATAGTACGATCACCAGAAGTTGACGGTAGACATAACTAATAACGTATGACCGTATTGGCGTCATAAGGCTGAAGTGGAGACCAATCAAGATGTATTCCTATGTCTAACACCAAGGAAGATCGAGCAGCTACCAGGGAATGAAACGATGGTAAACATGTTGAGAAAAGGCCTAGAATTTGAATCGGCCGACCATCCTCAACAACCTGGACAACTGTCCCGACCGAGGTATCATTCTTCTTACGTGTAAATTTTTGCTTCAAAAGTTTAGTGGGTGCTTATTGGTTGCTTAGTGATAATGCACATCGATAACTAGTCAACTAACTGAACTAACTGATTAGTTAGTTAACTAACCAACAACTAGGCCAACAACCTAAGATAACATGTATCACGGGATTTAAGGAGACCAATATTGGGTAAAAAGGGAGTTGAAGTGGCTACGTGCGACGACCTTCTGTGCGCCCGATTTGCCGTCACTTAGCCTTGTGGGGTGACAACATGCAAATACAGTGGGATTCTACGGCTAAACTTCAAGAGGCCTACACCTCTCGCCGTGAGTCTCTTCTAGTACTGTATTGCGTGCTTCTTTAGGTTCAAAGAGGTGTGGAGGCTAACTATGACTAAAGCTAGCAGTGATAGTCGCTAATAATGATTTTAAAATAGTAGGGAAGTTTCCTAAGAATATATAGAGCCATGAGAGATATATATTTTGGAGTTTGAGCGTTCTATGGAATGCAGACACTAAAAAGGGGGTCTGTTGCAGAGCAAGGGGTAATAAATTGCCTTCTCAGGCATGAACTTCCTCTGGCAAATGGTACACGGTCAGATAAAACCGAGTTAGTGCACTGTATGACCTTTTACCGACATGATTCTCTCACATTCTCTCAGGGATAGTCGTCAGACAGTGTGATCCTAGCAACGTGTGCTGAATCCTTGGTCTAGACTGTAAATGATGGTTTATTGTTCCTATGCTATAAATGCTGTATCTCCCCTTCTTTTTCTTTCTTTTTTCTCTTTCTCTTTGAAGCGGTGGCTTTAGGGAGAAATCGGGCATTATCGCTAAAGGATGACGCAATCGGTCGGCATTGAATCCGATCCAGAGTCAGGAGCAGTCAAGGTGAAAGATCGGCAACCATTTTTTAATTCCAAGGAGAAAGAGAGAAAAGGAGCCAATGTGGATGTCAATGAGCGCCAGCTTCCCACTGCTGCAACTGAGTAACTGGGGAAACTGGGTTGACTCCAGCAGACACATGGGATATCCACTTCCGATCCACTTGCGGGGGATGCATCTACATGATCACCATGTGGACAACAAAAAGTGGGTATCAAGAGGGAAGTAGCAGAGTCCAATTCAGTTCAATTTATGCGCATAAAAAGGAGGCAACGTCCACTAAGCCAATGGACTATCTACATATATCCTGGTGTATCCCCTGTATCCGGTTTATCGAACGAACTGAAATTTGGCCGGTAGTCGCAAATGATGATGGGTATCGAGTAAAAAAAAAGTCAAGGGCAATTTCAAGGGCATATACCTCTAGTGCACTCCATTGGTCAGTCCATTCGTCTGGCCATTCGTCTGGCCATTCACTTGTTCTTTTCCAATGCCGTTCTGAACGCCTTCAAGCTTGCTGGGCGGAACACCGGGCGGAACACCACTCGAAATGCTGCTCTTCTTGCGAAGAGTTGCGGTCCAGATGGCTCCATCATCAAGTAGCTCCTGTCCCATTGCCAAAGCCTTCGATGGTGCCTCACCCAGCCACTGGGTCTCAAGCCGGTTAATATTTTCTTCAATCTCCCAGGCTCGGCCACCCTCAACAAACATGGACGAGCCATTAAGGGATTGGTCGGCAAGCACGCCGGCAGCCACAGCCGCGACTTCTTGGGGACTGTTGGTTGGCAGATTGGCCTGCTTCCACTTCTGCTCGATCTTCTTAATGGTGTCGGTCTCGGTCACCCAGGGGCAGATAGTGTTAATCCGCAGGCTGTGCTTATATGGGGACGAGATGTAGCTGCGCAGTGAGCGCATAAGGCCCGTTACGCCATGTTTGGATGCTTGGTAGACAAACAAAGATGGGCTGTCTTTGAATCCGGCCGCGGATGAAAAGAGCAGAATGGATCGGTCGGCATCCGGGCCACGATTGTGGCGAAGGTAGACCGAGGCAATGCGCGAGACATACATGGAACCGAGAAGATTAACATCCAGTACCTTGTGGGTGGGTTTCTGACAAGACCGGTCACTTCTAGTGCCCCTAGCTTATATACCAAGTGCGATAAAAGGACTTAACTTACCTGGCGAACCGTCTGCAGCGTGAGACCGAAATCGAACCAGTTGCCAATCTCTACGATACCAGCCGCCGAGACAACGTGATCGATACGACTATAAGTCTTGAAGGCCAGGTCAAACAGACCCAAAACCGAATCATAGTTGGTGACGTCGGTTGCCTGGAAAACGACTCGGGGAGCCAGGTGTTCTTCCGCCGGATGGAACACTTCGAGGCACTTCCTCATTAGACGCTCACCAGTGATGTTGTCAAGGTCGCCAAAACAAACATTGGCGCCATTTTCTAGGCACTGTCGGACTAGACTTGCACCGATGCCATTGGAACCTCCTACACAGCGCGTGTGAGCCACAGCAGGATGGAGGGGTGGAAGCAGTGCGGGGAGTCAGGGGATGGTCTACCGGTGATCAGGACAACCTTGTCCAGAAGAGACTCAGAAGAGACACTGGGGATGTATTGCGCCATTGGGGAAGAGTATAGTATAGCAAGAACTAGCAGACGGAGGAGAGGCCACGTAGAGGAAATAGGTATTTAGGAAAGGAGGGCAGCGCGCGACCCGCACCGAGCATGAGATCGGTTATATAGTTTACCAATCAATTAATCCTCGGCGGAATGAGCATTGCTGAAAATGCCTCAGCATGCCGGGCCCAGGGCCCTTAAAGGCAAGTGACGCGAGTGTTCATCTCGGAATGGCATCATTGCCAAATGTCTAGGCAGGCCTAAACCACTGCTTCAGATGGGACATGGGAGAACGGTACCTCAGCCAACCGCCACTAGAAAAGTGTCGGCTCCATGAAGGGAAGGCAGCAACAAATCAACGGTCCTGGAGACGCACCGACTTTGGAATATTGATCCACCGTCCGGGGCGATCCACCCTTCGTATGCGGGGGGGGGCGCGGGCAATGACGGTGGTGTGCATATGTAGACGAAAGTCTCTTGAGCCAGGCCACTACTGGCCAGTAGTGGCACATACCCACAAAGGAGAATGGTGGTTGAGAATGCTCGGCGAAGCGGATTGAGTTGCCTGAATGGTGTTGTTGACATGCCGCCCGCCGGTGTTCACCAATAAGCCTGTCAAGGCCTTGTCAGCATTCGGTTTTTTCGGAAGGCTGTGCTCCGCCATCACGGCCGAGCGAGAGGGGGCTGCCCAGCGTGCGATGCCGAAGCTGGAGATGAGTGAATCATAATACCAAATGGCAAAGCGTGATTGTTCCCAATAATGCAACGTGATCAATTCCAACTATACATAAGACTCCCAAGCGCGGGATCGAATCAAAAACTATGCCAACCCGACAATGCAGACATTGAGAACCCCAAACCAGGCTCAATCCAAAATAAAATGTCTATCCCAAAAGACAACCTAAGCACATTACAGAGACCCAGTAGGTGATAGGTACAGAGAAGCAAGATCAGCCGCTTATCGCCGGGAGACGCAGCAGAGGATGCCAGACTTGCCCAGGAACCAGAGGGATCCAATGAAGCGGAACAGCGACAAGCCGGCAGTGGTCCATAGAACGGCCGAGAAGTAATGGGAGGTGCGGTCAGTCGATGTGTTCTGTGCAAGTCAGTGGACGGCGAAACATGGAATTGCAGAGAGAACGGGGATGCTTACCGTGAGACACAAGCGTGAGACATCCTGGCTCGTGATGCAAAGCGCCAGGACCAGATTACTGAAGATCCAGAGCAACACCAGGTTGGTCCGGAAGGCCTTGTACGAGTCATCCATATTCTTGTCTTCCTTCTCCTCCGGTTCCGCATACGGCGCGAGTGCCCGCTTCACCGTAGACTCGAACTGGCTGTCGATGTCGGCCTGTGGCTTGTCGACCTCTTCGATAAAATTTGACTTGGCGTCGTCCTTCTTGGTCTGCGCCGCCGGCAACGCGTCGCCCTTGTCGGATCCTTTGGTACCCCAGGAAACGTCGTGCCAGTTACAGAAGGCATAGACCATAAGCACATTGATCGCACAGGTCATACCCATGAAGTACGCCCACGAAGAGGTGAACATATGCCAGGGATCCATATATAGGAAACTGGCCACGAAGTAAACGCCATATGTGGAAACCAGTGCAATCAGGACGATACCTGCACTGGCGGAGCTAAAGAACGATGATATAAAGGCACTCACGCCGTCATTCCAGTGAAAATCCATGGTGCCACCGGTGAAAGCATTCTTGACCAAGTAGAATGACAAGACCAGGACATAGGCTTGGACAATGCTAAAATAGGCAAAAGAAAGTGTATAGGGCAAACGGGAGCTGCGCCAGTCAGCTTTCTAGGAATCGAGCGAGGAATGTATAATCTCATGGCTTACCCTTTTGGTCGGTTCCCTAGGGCCAGGATGAACTGCAGCATCAGGAAAAAGATGTACCCATACTTGAGGAAGTTATTGACAATCGGAGTTGCATCATTCCCGAAGGGCCATCCTTTGAATTTGTTGGCTTCGCTCGGCGTTCCCACAAGATCCATGATCACCGACGTGGTGAGCCAAAAGGAAGCTATAACATGTTAGTGGCTATACACTCAAAAAAAGGAGTAACGTAACCCTTACCCAATGAGAACCAAGTCATGATGAGACCGGCACAATTGTAGATCATCTGCACATGGAGGAAAAACAGCCGGATGATGTTGTGACCACTCTTGTAGATCCGACCAAAGTGCATGATGGCGTACAAACTGGCCGCAAAGGATCCATTCAGCCACCGGCGCCGCTGGCTGATGAACTCAGCCGATCCCTCCGGAACATCGGTCTCACCCTTGGACGCCTTCACATAGGTCAAATGCCACTTGAACCCGGCCTTAGCGACCAGTTCAAAGCAAAGAATACGATCTTCGGCAAGGAACATATTCTTTTTGAAAATGTTCATACCCTCGATACCCTTCTTGCCTAGCTGTCGGGAGAGTGTGTGATCACCATGGAAGTACTGCTCGAGGGGTCGACCCATGATAGCGCGGTAGCGGTACGCTGAGAAAGCACCCGGTAACACACTAACATACCCAAATGAGCTTTCCAACGGCTTGTCCAGAATGTTAGAGATCTTGTACTCGAAGTTCTGCGCCGCCACAAGGGGATTCATGAGATTCTTCCAACCCGGGCCCAGCATCGCATGGATCTCACCGCATGATCCACCCAAATTCTTGTCATTGTAGAATGATTCCCACAAGGCTAAAAGGGATTTTTTGCCTGGTTTCGTACCAGCATCAATCAGAATCACTACTTCAGGGTTGAGGATTCGGCTAAATCCATTAAATAACCAACGGTGGGAGTTGATCTTCTTGCTGTTCTTTTGCTTCATGCAGAAAATCATCTGGACCGGCGGGAGATTGGTCGATTCGTTACCTTGAGGACGAATCAACTGCTGGTTGGCGGTAACGGAGAGCTGGGTGGTGTATTCGAACTGTTACTCGTTAGTCGGTGATTTCCGACAATAGGCCAGAAGTTCGAGCATGCGATAGGGGAAGAGGGATCATGGGTTCAAAACGTACAATATGTGCGACGGTTTCTCGACCATCGACGGATCGCTTCATGATCCCATCTTGATAGACACCAATGGTAGCCAGCACGTCGAGAGTGTTCTTGTCACAGGGATCAATCCCATCGAACACCATACAACACACAATCTTCTGCCAGGCGGGTCCACCCTTGTTCCAGAACTCGGATTTTTTCAGGTTGACGATATCTCGGATATTTTGCATGACACCGTGCAAGGTCCGCGACGTCAGCACTTTATCTTCGTTGTAATAGGTGACGGCGATCAGCAACTCCGTGTGGCGGTTGTACATGGCGGGTCGCAAATTGTAGCCGTTTCGCAGGGTAAATTCATCCGGATCACAAGTGGCCGCCGTGTACCGCAGATGGGTAAATTCTTCTGGGAAGCCTTCTTCCGATTCCCGGTACTCCCTCTGGATCGCATTCTGGATGGCACTCGGGACCGGATAATCCACGCTCAGCACCGAGCCCTGCACCAGCTTGATTTTTCGAGTCGCGTACCGGCGCAGCCCGGAACCAGGTGCCTGCCGTTGCTGCCACGCTTCCGACGGGGTTTCAGACATGGGGGTTTGAACTCCCGAGCGGCGATTCAGTCCCCCCGCGGGTTCTTGATATGGGCCATCGGGGAAGATGGTGACGCCGGGATCATGCAGGGTATAGCGGCGCAGGGAATCCGTCGAGGCATATGGATCGTCATAGGACGCATTCAACGGGCTCGGTTGGCGGTAGAGCAAGGACTGTTGGCTCTCTGCGTGCTCGTTCTTTTCCTCGTAACCGTACGCCTGGGGCTTCACATACACAGTCGACATTAGTCTCGGGGATCTCTATACTTCGAGGTCGTGTCACTTACCTCACGATGAGGAAAGTTGTGGGAATACCTGCTACTCTCACTCGGCTGCGGCGAATGGGCCGACACGGGCGAGCGAGGCGAGCGGGGTGATGTTGGTAAAGGCGTGCCCATGGTGAACAGCTCCCCGGCGGGCAAGGATCCAACTATGGTGATAGACGGAGGGCCCAATCAGACAGAATCCACGATCTCCGACCAGACGAAGGAAGAAAAAGACAAGTTAGGCAGCCACCGGAGCTTCAATACCAGTGACAGGGCGTCCACGAATAGTCCATCTACCTCTTCGCAACGGGCCTCTAATCTCGGGGGGATACTGCGTAGGTGGCGTTGTGAGGAAGTTGGGTTAGTTATGGCTTGGACAGGGAGTGGTCTTGAAGAAAAGACATCGATCGTCCACAGGAGATTTTCATCAAAGCACAGTGGACTACATAGATGGATATTTTTGGACCCCTCGAGCGCTTTGATTGGAGGTACCGGACACTGATGAGGGTCTGCCACAGGGGGGATCCATCGTCTCCGGGGCTGTCGTTCGTCATCGGCCTCCTGGGCTGCTCCACCGGCCGTCCCTCGCCCTCGGGCGACCCAGTCTCCCGTTGAGAATCAAGAGTCACGACATCCGCGGAGAGGCCGCGAGGAGTCGGCCAGAGGTCAGATGGACCGGTGCACAATCGACTCCGTGATCCGACCGCACACTACTCGTCCACAATCATCCAGAATTGGCCACCAGGGCGGGTCGACGACGCAAGCCGCATTGGCCGAGGAGGCCTTCCGACCCATCCCCGTTGAGACATCCCTTCTGTGCGGATGGGGATTCTGAAACAACTGTGCCTGTCTGTGTCTGGCCACGTGAATTCTCCGAGTGGCGATGACGACAGGCAGATGAGGATCGGCTGGGATTCATACCGGCTGATCCGGTGGAGCAGCGGCGGGGTCACGTGGAGGAGTCCCCGGAGACCATCGTGAGGCCACCAGATCGGCTACTGCATGGCTGGATGGCCCGATGTCTCCGGCCCGAACGTATAGCCGCGCGGGATGCGGGGTAGAGAGGGATGGACGGCCAGAAAAGCGCCTTCTGCTGTTTGGGATAGCATCTCCTCCACCACCGATACATCATGGCGACCTCGAAGCCTGCATTCGACGCCCTCCCGCTCCGCAAGGATGGACCTCCCGGGAACGCCTGGGGTTTGTTCGGCGATCAGGACCAGCGTGGGATGCTGAACCTCTTGACTCCGGAGAATACTGCGGCGGCGGCGAAAGAGATCGTCGAGGGAGTGCGCGTGTCGACCGACTGGCCACTGGACAGCATGAAAACGCCCTGCTTCGGACGAGCAGCCCTGGAGCACACCGTCAAGAATAAGGCGCCCCGGCACGTCAATGACGATGTCCTGCTTTTCAATACCCAGAGCAGCTCCCAGTGGGATGGATTTCGGCACTTTGGTTCCCGGGAAGGCTTCTACTTCAACGGCTGCACCCTGCAAGACATCCAAACCTCCACACGGAATGGCATTCACGGTAGGCGAGCATCCATCTCCACCACTCCCTCGTTGACTCCGATCGTCTAGTGTGGGCGGCGAATGGCGGCATCGTTGGTCGCGGCGTGCTGCTGGACTACGCGGGGTGGGCTGAGGCGAATGGGACAGAAGTGAACTGCTTCCAAAGCCAGTCCATCCCCGTATCGGTGCTGCAAGAGGTAGCCGCCAGCCAGAACACCACCTTCCGGCCCGGGGATATCCTGTTTGTCCGCACCGGCTGGACACGAGCGTATGAACGACTGTCCCCGGCCGAATGCCAGGAGTTAGCGAGCCACGCCGCGCCACCCATCATCGGCGTCGAATCATCCGAAGCCACCCTGCGCTGGATCTGGGAGAACAGCTTCGCTGCCGTCGCGGGAGACCACCCTAGCTTTGAGGCCTATCCGTGCCACAACCGAGATTTCTTCCTGCACGAGTGGTTGCTCGCGGGCTGGGGCATTCCGATCGGGGAATTGTTTGATCTGGAGCGCCTCAGCCAGGAGTGTCGCAAGAGACGCCGATGGAGCTTCTTTTTCAGTAGCGTGCCCTTGAACGTACCCGGCGGCGTGGCCAGCCCACCGAATGGGGTGGCCATTTTCTGATGATGCCGTACCGGGATTGATATCAGGAGGAAGCGAGGATCATGATGGGTGAGGCAGTGCGTAGGCAATTCACTACTTCTGAAAAAGCAATTCAATGTTGAGACGTAGTGGCGGCCATAGCCTAGGCACCTCCGGTTCTCATAGTTATACTTCCTCCGTGATCGAGATGTCGGCCCGACGAGAAGGCACCACCCGCCCGTGTGGAGAAACTCGGGGAAAGCCCGGTGCTTCCTTCTCTTCCTCCCCCACATTCGTCTTCATCCCGGCTTCGTGTGATGCTGAGATGGTCCATGCCAAAGCTGGAGGCGGGTCGCGCCGGTCGGAGGATCCCTCGACGCGCCGGTCGATAGTAGCGTAGGTGAAGAATTGATCCCCGGGGATCCTGATTCCTTCTCCCGCTGATCGGATCGACGCAGATGCAACCGCTGCCGCAGCCGCAAGACTCGCTGCGCCGGAAAACCCCCACTGCCCTGCGCGGCATGCGTCGATGTGGGCAGGTCGTGCGTCTACTCCGAGGCTGAGAAGCGCGTCTCGATCACGGAGAGGTAGGCTAACATTTCCCTCCCCTTCCCCAGCAGTCCGACGATGCTGATACTGCGGGCCCAGCTACTACCGTCAACTGCGGTCGCAAGCCACAGGCACACAAGGTCCGTCTCGCTAGCAACCTGGTCGCATCAGTTCTGACGCGGCAGAAATAGACCGACCGTCGAACGTGCCCTCCAGTGTGCCCTCCAACCCGTCCACCCGCTACTCCGATGGCGAGGGATCATCCGAACGGGACGACTGGTGGTACAAAGGCACCGACAATTTGTTCTTGAATCGCTCCGGCGAACATCGTACGCCCACTTCCTGCGACTCGGAAAGCCTCCACTGATTTTGTTCTTCTTTCTTTCAGACTCTGTGGGCGCCTCATCCGCCACCCATCTGGCCAAGCGCTTAAACCCCAGCTCCTCCAATCTGGCGTGGGATGTGCGGCCGCTTTACGATGACCCTTCGTCCCTGCGACGGCCGGTGATGGGGTCACTGCCACAGCTGCCACCCTTCGAGTTCGCTAAGCGACTCTTTTGGGTCCAGTATGCCTACATCGGCACCATCTTTTCCCTTATCCAGCCCGTGGAGTTTGAGGAGCGATTAGGTTTAGTCTACCGCCAACCCCCCGATTTCTCGCATCGCGAGTCCTGCTTGGTCTATTGCCAGACCATGTTGGTCATTGCGTTTGGGCTGATGTACTCGGTCAACCAATGGTCGGGCGATGACGGGCCCCCGGGGTTCAAATATTTCAAACATGCGTTACGATTCCTGCCCGATATTCATGAAGAAGGGTCGATCTTCTTCGTTGAGGTGATCTGCTATGTCGCGTACTACATGCAGAATCTCAACCGCCGAGATGCCGCCTTCCTTTATGTAGGTCGTGTTTCCTCATGTTTTATTCTCTGACTACTAATGAATGGTGTTAGATTGGACTGGCATTGCGGATGGCAATCTCCCTCGGACTCCACCAAGAAGTATCCCATCCAGATATCAGTGAAGCAGACCGTAACCGCCGACGTCGAGTGTGGTGGTCGGTCTACAGCCTAGACCGGTAGCATCGCCCATACCCGAGTGGTTTACAAATGAAACTGACACCCGTCGGTTGACAGGTTGCTTTCTGTTAAATCGGGTAACCCAATCACAATCCATGACGAAGATATCGGCACCACATGGCCTGTAACAGTAGTGAGTCATTACGAGGCTGTCCTCGAGTACCGATTCTGATATCTTTACAGGAGGGAATGACATCCGACCCATGGCCGTCAATTGTCTTGACTCACTATACCCAGCTCTCTCGCATTCTAGGCCGGATTGGAGAAGGTTTTTCATATCCACGTGTTATCCTTGTGCCAATGCTGATGATTTGAACCATCTAGAGATCTACCGTAAAAAGCCTCGCTCCGGGTCCAATTTGATCGCTTCCGTTCAAAGTATTACCAATGACCTGTCTAGCTGGCTGCGACAGGTGCCGGATGGTCTGCGCATCGATTTCTCTGCACTCGACATGCACATCAACCGGGAAGCAGTGTCAATCAACTTGCACTTTTATTCTTGTGTCAACATGACTGCACGGCCACTGGTTTTCTATATCATCCAGCGTCGACTGGATGCAGGTATGATGGGGTCATCTACCGAAGATTGGAAAGATGGGCTGGCCCCAAACACCGTCGCGGTCATTGATAGCTGCATCACGGCTGCTCGGGCCACGACCTCGATCATAGAGGCGGCAGCGAAGCACAATCTGGTTGGTAAGTAGATGGAGCACCCATGAGAGACTTGTTGCCATTGACTCAATCTTCCAGCGACTTATGGTTACCTCGACGGGGAGTACATCTTCTCGGCGGCGCTGTTGTTGGTCATGGTGAACGCGGCGTTCCCACACGACGACACCAATGCGCGGGCGATGGAAACCGCACTGAATCTCCTTCGCAGCATGGCAGATCGCGGGAATACGTATCTTGGGTCGCGTCATTCCTTGTTACTAGAACTCCGGGCTTCCATTGGACCCAAATCCGTGGTGACTGCGGCCGAATCCACCAGTTCTCCTGTCGCAGCAGCCCCCGCGACGCCCAAAAGTGGGCAGCCGGCAAGTCTGGCGGGCGAACAACCGCCGTCCCCAGTCCCTCCCACCGACTGGCCGCTGCCAGGCCTCTCATCATTCAACGACATCTCCTTCCAGTTTGATCCCAATGATGACCCGGCACTCTGGGAAGGCGCGTTGGATCAAATCGACATTGACATGGACGCGGAGTGGATTGAGAATACGCTACGACGATAAGACTATGATAGCTGTAACAATGAAACGGGATATGGAGACTTAAGCATGACAAGCCCTTATTCAGTTGTAACGAATTAATTTATTCATGTTCCATGCATCATCATCACCACCATCCTCCTCTCTCGGCCGCTCCTCCCGATATACTATCTCGCCGGGCCGTTGCCGAGGGTATCGGGCCGACACGTGACTGGCCTCGATCCGTAGTACACCCACTGGAGACCAGATTGGGTGCGACTTGGTTATATATGAAAGGGCCCCCGCATAACTGCCGGGTTTGTCCATCCCACGTTCCTCTGTTTCTCCGTATCAGTCATGGCGGGCTCCGGCAAAATCACCATCTCCATTGACCGTGGAGGTACTTTCACCGACGTCCATGCGATTGTCCCGGGCCGTCCAGACATCATCTTGAAGCTCCTGTCCGTGGATCCCTCCCACTACCAGGATGCACCCACCGAAGGCATCCGCCAGATTCTTGAGCTGGCTACGGGAACCCCACACCCGCGTGGCCGGCCACTGAAACTGGACCGCATCGGCTGTCTCCGAATGGGCACTACGGTTGCGACCAATGCCCTTCTAGAGCGCAAGGGAGCCCGCTCGGTGCTATTCACCACCAAAGGCTTCCGAGATTTGCTCAAGATTGGCGACCAATCGCGACCGGCCATCTTCGATCTGTCCATGGCTCGCCCGGGAGTGCTGCCGGAAGATGTAGTCGAGGTCAACGAGCGAGTCCTCCCCTGCCACCCTGTCGCCGATAGTGAATGCTTTGCTGGAGCACGCATCGTGGAGGGTGTGACCGGGGAGAAGTTCCGCATTGTGCAAGAACTCGACCTTTCGCACGTGCGGACGGATCTCCAGCGACTAAAAGAGCAAGGGTACCAGTCTCTCTCCGTGGCCCTCCTCCACTCGTTCGCCTACCCAGATCACGAACGCCAGATCGGAGAAATTGCAGAGCAGATGGGCTTCTCCGTCACTCTATCGTCCAAGCTGCAGCCTATGATCAAGATTGTGCCCCGAGGCATGTCCGCGGCCGCAGATGCGTACCTCACTCCGGTCATAAAGACCTATATCGACTCGATCAATTCCAGCTTTGAAGGGGGACTGGAAAACCAACAAGACTGCCGCTTTGAATTCATGCAGTCAGATGGAGGACTGGTCGACTTTCGCAAGTTCAGTGGGCTGAAGGCGATCCTGTCCGGTCCCGCCGCCGGCGTGGTGGGCTTTGCTGCCACGAGCTATGATCCTACTGAGCGAACCCCGGTCATTGGATTTGACATGGGCGGCACCTCCACTGATGTGTCGCGCTTCGACGGTCACTTGGAGCATGTCTTCGGTTCGAAGGTTGCCGGCGTCTTGATCCAGTCACCCCAACTTGATATCAACACTGTGGCTGCCGGAGGCGGTTCTATTCTAGCATGGCGCAATGGCCTCTTTTATGTTGGCCCAGAGTCAGCCAGCGCGCATCCTGGTCCCGCATGCTACCGAAAGGGCGGCCCATTGACGGTGACAGATGCCAACCTCTTCCTCGGCCGACTATTGCCAGAGTACTTCCCTCACATCTTTGGACCCAAGGAAGATCAGCCTCTAGATACTGAGGCTACCGCTCGACTCTTCAATGAATTGACCCAGAAGATCAATGTCGAGCGCCGGCACCACTCCCAGCCAGAATATACCCCCGAGGAAGTGGCATTGGGATTCCTCAAAGTCGCCGACGAGTCCATGGCTCGGCCCATTCGCAACCTCACCGAAGCTCGCGGCTTTGAAACCGCATCTCATCACCTCGCTTGCTTTGGCGGTGCTGGTGGTCAACATGCATGCTCGGTTGCCGCCTCCCTAGGAATTTCACGCATCATCATCCACAAGTATTCGTCGGTCCTGTCGGCCTACGGTTTGGCACTGGCAGAGGTCGTCAAAGAGTCCCAAGAGCCAGTTTCGTCTGACTACCTGGCCTCTCACTCCAATCTGCTCCAGCGCTTCGATGAGATGGCGGCTGCCGCAACAAAGGAGATGCAAACCCAAGGTTTTTTGCCTGGTCAAGTGCGCCACGAGCAGTACCTCAATATGCGGTATGAGGGTTCGGACACAAGTTTGATGATCCTGCGGCCCGAAACTTCATCGGACTTTCTCGACGAGTTCCGTGTCCGCCATCGTCGAGAATTCAACTTCAACTCTGATCGGCCAGTTCTGGTCGACGATATCCGTGTCCGCACCATCGCCTCTTCTAAGGTACGCACAGAGCGGAGCCCATTGGCTCAGTTGAAAAAGGCCAAAATGCAGGATGTCACAATGGCACCCGCTAACACCATCTCGGCCTACTTTGACGGCTTCCCCAGTCGGGTCAGCACCCCTGTGTACCTTCTTGATCAGCTAGAGAAGCACACCCGCATCACCGGCCCGGCTGTCATCATCGATAAGACGCAGACGATCGTTGTTGCTCCCAACGCGGTGGCGAACCTGCTGGACACATGCATTGTTGTCGACCTGAAGGACGAGCTGATCACCACTCCTGCCGAAGCCCTCGTATCATCTGCAATTGATCCCATCCGCCTCAGCATTTTTGGTCATCGTTTTATGTCCATCGCTGAGCAGATGGGCCGCACACTACAAAAGACCTCGGTTTCAACCAACATCAAAGAGCGTTTGGATTTCTCGTGCGCCTTGTTCTCTCCTGATGGAGGATTGGTGGCCAACGCACCCCACGTACCTGTGCACCTGGGGTCCATGCAGTTCGCGGTGCGCTATCAACACCAGAAATGGCTGGGTAATTTGAAAGACGGCGATGTGCTGGTTGCCAACCACCCCAGCTGCGGTGGAACTCACCTGCCTGATATCACGGTACGAGATATGGCCATGCCGCATTTAACTTCGACGGCTAATCCTGTCTATTTAGGTCATTACTCCGGTGTTTGACCGGCCCGGAGGTACCGAGATCATGTTCTATGTCGCCTCTCGCGGCCATCATGCTGACATTGGCGGGATTCTGCCTGGATCGATGCCACCCAAATCCACAGAGCTGTGGCAAGAGGGCGCCTCCATCGAAGGTGACAAGATTGTCAGCAATGGCGTTCTAGATGAGGCGCGTCTGATCGAGTTGCTTGTTACGAAGCCAGCCCAGTATCCCGGCTGCGCTGGCGCGCGATGTATCAGTGACAACCTGTCCGATCTCAAAGCGCAGATTGCTGCCAACACGCGCGGCATCAGCTTGATCCAAGGACTGTTCACCGAATATGGGGTGGAAACCGTGCAGAAGTACATGTACGCCATCCAGGCGACAGCTGAAACAGCTGTGCGCAATCTGCTCAAGGGCCTGCATCATAAGTTTAATGGGCAGCCATTGGAGGCGGTTGACTACATGGATGATGGAACTCCTATCAAGCTCAAGATCACCATAGATGGCTCCAACGGATCGGCCGTTTTTGACTTTGATGGTACTGGCCCGGAGGTGTACGGCAGCTGGAACGCACCGATTGCTATCACGCACTCGGCAATCATCTACTGCCTGCGGTGCATGATCAATGCGGATGTGCCGCTGAACCAGGGGTGTCTGTCTCCGATTGATATCCGTGTTCCATCACCCAGCATTTTGTCCCCCACTAAGACCGCTGCTGTGGTGGGTGGCAACGTGGTGACATCGCAGCGTATCACGGATGTCGTGCTCAAAGCCTTCCGGGCCTGTGCTGCATCCCAGGGCTGCTGCAACAACTTGACTTTCGGCACCGATGCGAAAGTCGACCCTACAACGGGCGCGGTGGTCACCCCCGGATTTGGATACTACGAAACCATTGCAGGTGGCAGCGGCGCCGGACCATCTTGGAAAGGTGAGTCCGGTATTCATGTCCATATGACCAACACGCGCATTACAGACCCAGAGATCCTGGAGAAGCGCTACCCGACCATGCTGCGGCAGTTTACGCTGCGCGAGGGCTCAGGCGGCCAGGGCAAAAACCCTGGCGGCGAGGGTGTGGTACGAGACATCGAATTCCTTGCGCCCATGCAATGTTCAATTTTGTCGGAGCGGCGTGTGCACCGGCCTTATGGGCTGGAGGGAGGCCAGGATGCTCAGCCAGGTCTGAACCTGTGGATCTCGCGAGACCCTGAGACAGGTGAGGAGCGCCGGATCAATATTGGCGGCAAGAACACGGTGGCTGTGAAAATTCACGACCGGGTTGTCATTATGACGGCCGGTGGCGGCGGTTGGGGTGCGGCGGAGTCTACTGCTTAAGCATGGGGTACAGTAGGGTTTCCTTATGGTTAAGATGTTAATTTCGGCAAGCTATCAAGACTAGCATGGATAGACAGGCTAGACAAAGACTACAAAATAAAGACATCCATTCGAAAATTTCATTCATACATTCCCATGGTAACATAAATAACATATCGACGGGCATATCAGTCAACTTTGTTCCAGACACTTGGTCGACTCAAACCTTCATCCTCCAATCAGTAAGACTGGTCTCATCCGATCATTTAGTGTCTGGCCGCAACATGAGCATTCTTTCACACTTCTATCAGCATGAGTGATCCTTACGGAAGCATGTGTTTCTCCACGCGCATCGAGCTGGTCGGGGTGACCTGCATGGCGGGCATGGTGGTTCGCTTCATGGGCATCGACATCATCGTGGACGAGGACATAGGATGCTCCATATCCTGGTTTTGTGGTCAGTAAACAAACAAGTCTACATCCATATGCGTTCGTACTCGTGGGTAAAAATTTGTGGGGTGAATGATTGAACTCGCCGAGCTGTGCTGCGTGGGGCTTGGCCCATGCGGTATAGCAACTGCGGCGCCGACGAAGAAGGAACAGAGAAATCCTAGGCGCATGATGAAGTATAAGAAGAGTAAAAGGCGATAGAAGAGATGAAGTATTTCTGCGGACCAGTATTCCTATATGCCTTGGAGGACTCGGAGATGAGAATAAAGACAGAGGTGCTGGACAACCAGTTTATATACTTCTTTGGAGACTAAGGAGATCCCTTTGGAAGACCCTATCCTGCGAGATGACCATGTCAGGAGGGGTCGATCCATTACTGATTCTCGGGGTGGTAGTGGATGACACGACAATCATGATATCAGGGCAGGCCAGGGCGTGGTGAGAAGCAGGACAGGGTGGGCAAATCAGGCAAACCCCCCACCACAGGGCATTAACACAGATTCAAATTGATGTCAGTGGAATGCGAGCGCCGGGTCCCTCCGTGCTCAGTGACACACTGATCTCATCTAGGGCGACCTCCCACGCCCCTTGATCCACATGGCAAACCGGAAAACCGGTCAACGGTAGACCGAACACGGTATTCGAGAAGTCCGTTGAAAATAAAAACGTCTATTTCTTAAATCCACAGGACCAAATTAGGATATCACATAATCACTAGTCAGACTCAACCATCTCAGCGCTTGTTACGATACTGTCTCGAGCTCACCAATACGAAGCAAATCAAACCCACCCGGCCCTAAGCAGCCAAATCCAATGCCCATATATACACATTACACAGGGCATTGCATTCAGCGTCATTGATATGCGTTTCCACCGTTCCCGCGAATCCCAGGAGACGGAGTAGTTGACCGTAGGGCAACGAGGGATGCAGCCGATCCTTGATGGTGGCGGTGTGTGATCGCGTGAGGCAGAGAGGTGTATACATTTTGCTCGGGTGTTCAGTATGTACAGGTGTATATTATGGCAAAGTTGTTAACCGGATTCTTATATTGGCCTCGTAGTCTCGTAGAGTTTTTAAGTACCTGCAGTAGATATCGGCAGCTTTAAGCTGTTTGGAGAACTGGTCGAAGGAGGGCCGTTGGCCATGGAGGCCAACGAGATGGCCATGGAGGCCAACGAGATGGCCATGGCATGCTATGCAGCGCTTCTCGTGCCTGAACCGTGACTATTCCGCAATCTGGAACCGACAGCAATCGTGTAGATAGTCCGACCATCATCGTTGCTCTTGGAATTTCTTGGAATTGTTGCGGATTGAACAATTCAGGGTATTTGGCTGGCTGGGACATGGTACTCGTGTTGATTTTCGCCGAGTGACAATCAATGAAAAACTGCAGACTGACCAGTAGTTAGTTCTCCCACATCCACCGTGTTTTCCATGAGATAGTTAACGTAATCAACCACCGAGTGACGAATACCACCGAGTGACGAATTTCGTCGAGCGTACCGTTAAATTTCAAGCTTTTCAACCACAAATGTATTAAATCAGACCATATAAAAAGATAAAACAATAGCTATTTACTAGGACAATTTCTTATAGTATGACCAGTAGTCCCGCATCCACTACAGCGTCGTGGAGCTCGCTGGCGAGGCCTTGGCGTCGTCTCAGCGGCCGGCTCATTAAGCTGTGTATCAAGCTGTTGCACTCGATTCTGACCTTCCTGTACAAATAAAACAAGATCATCACCAAGATTACCACGCTTCCTTGCCCTCTTTTGCATTTTCCGCTTATTCTCACCTTGTAGAACCTTGATTTCTTGTCGAAGAATAAGGTTCATATTCATTGCCATCTGTGCAGCTTTTTCAAGATGTTGAATATGAGATACTGGACTACTAGAAAGCATTCGTTTTCGAAGGCTTCTCTGTAGACTGCGTACCTTGTGATCGAGTTGGCGAGGATTCTGAGGTGTTTGAAAAGCAGAGGAGACTGAGCCTTCAACTTCAACAAGAGGTGGTGTTGGTGTCCGAAGTTGAAAAGTTACCTTTTCAAGAACCCGATCTTGATCTAGCGGGTTAAGTCCTGCACCTGCAAAACCACTGCGTATATTCTCCCTAGTAAACACCTTTTCGCGAGCAGGTGGATAGAGAGACAAGAAATCCTCCTTGTCGATATGGTTGTTGCCGGCAACCATCATCTCTTCTACTAGTTTTCCATATGCGCGCTTTAGCGGACCAAAAACACCAACATCAAGTGGTTGTAAAAGATGAGAGGTATGAGGAGGCATGCAAAGACAGATAATAGCATTCTCTTCACAGAATGCGTCAAAATCTGCAGTTAGATGACTACTATGACCATCAAGAATAAGCAACCGCTTTGCACCAGTTGAATAGGTTTTAGAATGTGGTTCAAACATCTCTTTTAGCCAGCGGAGGCCAATTTCATCTGTTGTCCAGCCATTCTGACTTCTTGCGATAGCATAGCCCTTATTGAAGAGAGCAGGTTCTTGATACCAAGCAGCGTGTTGAGATCCTGCTTTCAAGATGATCCATGGGGGTATAGATATCCCCTTTGAGCTCACACATTCAATAATTGTGACCCATTCGCGATTCCCCTGAATAACCCTACGGGGCCTTTCACTGCGATCGACTGCAGTAATAACCTTAGAGGTTGAACAAAGTCCCATTGCGAAGCCAGTTTCATCAAAGTTCCAGATATCGTCCTCGTGGATACCATGTTCTTGAATAGCCTCGCGTACGGTCGCAAACCATTGTTTAATAATCTTTGGATCCTCTTGCTTTGCACGCTGGTACGTGATCCGCCGATTGTATCGTGTGCGCAGTGCTGGATGCCGTTTGATAAACTTATATGCCCAGTTGACACCAAGGGTCGTAGTAGGATCTCCTGTGCGCTCGCGAAGCAGGATCTGCGCCATTCCCCGTAGAAACTCTGGCCGAATTGAAAATCCTCGCTTATCTGCATCTAGCAGCCTCTTCGCAAGGACTTCTTCTTCAAGAGGGTTTAATTTATGACTGTTGGCGCGTGTTTCTGCGCGTGATTTCCTACCGTTGAGTCGACGGCGAAGCGTAGCTTCAGGCACACTAAATATCTCAGCAGCCTTTAATTTTGATTTGATTTTTTTATTTTTGAATGCAGAAATAGCCATCTGAATGCGATTTTCTTGAGATAGAGGCATTTTGTATAGTGGTGGTGAAAAATAACGCGTCAAGGAAATGATTGTAGGAGATGGACGCGAAATTCGTCACTCGGTGGTATTCGTCACTCGGTGGTTGATTACGTTAGTCCGGCAGCAACAGCTATGACATAATCCGATGAGTCAGCGGCTTCATCCCGGCATTTGTCCCGCGCCGCCCCTCCAGTCCATCATCGTTCTCTCTTTGCATCCTCGTCCCCTGTATCTGCTGCCACCTGCAGGCCTCTCATCTCTCTTAGCTGGCCTCCTTTCTACTGACGTCGGATCCGATACCTCCTCAGTTCTTCACCCCTATCTCTTGCCCCCATGTCTACCTCTGCCCGCCGGCGTCTCATGCGGGACTTTAAGGTACGCCATCCCACTTCCACTTGGATATCTTGCGATTATTGCAAGATTCTTTTGTTCCTCCAGAGTGTCTTCCCATGCTGCTATGTTCCCTTTGGGCTTTGGATTTCTTTTTTTCTCTCTCGCCTTTTAAGGTTCTCCGGCGTTCCCTGCTAACCCTCTTGATTCTTCAGCGCATGCAAACCGATCCCCCGGCCGGTGTCTCTGCGTCCCCGGTAGCCGACAATGTCATGACCTGGTAAATACACACCGTCTATCTGCAATGCTGCAGTTTGTTAACCGGCGACCTCCTAGGAATGCCGTCATCATCGGACCCGCCGACACTCCCTTCGAGGATGGCACGTTTCGTCTCGTGATGAACTTTGAGGAGCAGTACCCCAACAAGCCTCCCGGGGTGAAATTCATCAGTCAGATGTTCCATCCCAACGTCTACGGAACGGGCGAGCTTTGCCTGGACATCCTGCAGAACCGCTGGAGCCCGACATATGACGTAGCGGCTATCTTGACCAGCATCCAGAGGTATGGACTGCCCCGTGCGAAAGGAGAAAGCCCCAAACAAGTAACTCACGGTTGCATTCTAGCCTGCTGAACGATCCCAATACTTCGTCGCCCGCTAATGTGGAAGCGTCGAACCTCTACAAGGACAACCGCAAGGAGTATGTCAAGCGAGTGCGGGAGACGGTGGAAAAGAGCTGGGAGGACTAAGAGAGGTGGATGTACGGCACCGCACTTGTTTTGTGTCCCTTGTCCGATCTGGAGGAGCTGTCGGCCGCCTTTGGCCTGACCGATTGATCTGCACAGCGTGGGGTTCTGGCGCCTGGGTTCTTGATTTTTAAATTTGGTTTTTTTCTTTTTGTTCTCGTTCTCTTTTCGCGCGCATTTGACCCTGTCCATACATGAGCCTGATTGTTCCAAGAAATATCCTTGTCCGGCTATAGTAGGTACCTGTAGTGGGTGTCGATCAGGCGGTCGGCCCAAGGAGTAAAGTGTCAACAAACCCACTTTCCTCCGTTCTTCCCCTCCACTCCACGCATATTCACGTTCAGACCTGGGATACCGGAGGTACAAGTGTTGCTGTCGTGTGCACGTGGTCCCGCCGCTGAAACTGCCCCCTTCTACCCTCCTTTTCTCCCCTTCCCTCCTCCGCTTCTCCTTCCACCCCAATCTCAACGGTCTCCCTCCACTCCTCCCCCCGACACCTGATCGGGGGCTTGCTCTCGTTTCCTTTGTGTTCGGCTCGACTTCTACACCGCAACCATGGCGTAAGCTCCCTCGTAAGAGCCCGATGTTGACGCCTACTGACACAAGTGCCGCCTAACCAGATCCGCCGGGTCGAACACCATCAAGGGTATGCTGGAGTTCCGAGGACCGCTGGAACATCAAAACTAACCTGCTCGGCAGTGGTTGCTAGGTTTCGGCCGCAAAATAAGGTCGAGTTGGCGTCCGGGGGTGAGCCGGTCGTCGAGTTCGAGAACGAGGAGTCATGTATTATCAATGTGAGCCACCCCACGGCAAGTCTCTACGGATAGCACTAATGTCGGATCAGTCCAAAGAAGGCACGGGTGCCTTTACCTTCGATCGCGTTTTTCCCATGGACACCGCGCAAAACGACATCTTCGACTTCTCCATCCGCCCAACGGTCGACGATATTCTCAATGGATACAACGGTACCGTCTTTGCCTATGGCCAGACCGGTGCCGGAAAGTCGTACACCATGATGGGCTCAGATATCGACGACGACATAGGGAAGGGTGTCATTCCCCGGATTGTGGAGCAGATCTTCGCCAGCATCCTGACAAGCCCAAGCAACATCGAGTACACCGTCCGAGTCAGCTACATGGAAATTTATATGGAGCGCATTCGAGATCTTCTGGTGCCACAGAACGACAATTTGCCCGTCCACGAGGAGAAGTCGCGGGGTGTCTACGTCAAGGGCTTGTTAGAGGTGTACGTGTCCAGCGTGCAGGAAGTCTACGAAGTGATGCGCCGTGGAGGTACGGCCCGTGCGGTTGCTGCCACCAATATGAACCAGGAATCTTCTCGTTCGCACTCCATTTTCGTCATCACCGTCTCCCAGAAGAACGTCGAGACCGGTTCGGCCAAGAGTGGCCAGCTCTTTCTGGTGGATTTGGCCGGTAGTGAGAAGGTCGGCAAGACGGGCGCCAGTGGCCAGACCCTGGAAGAAGCCAAGAAGATCAACAAGAGTTTGAGCGCCCTGGGCATGGTCATCAACGCTCTGACGGACGGCAAATCATCCCATATTCCCTACCGTGACTCAAAACTCACGCGTATCTTGCAGGAGTCCCTGGGTGGTAACTCGCGGACGACACTGATTATCAATTGCTCGCCCAGCAGCTACAACGATGCGGAGACCATCTCCACGCTGCGCTTTGGTGTACGCGCCAAGGCCATCAAGAACAAGGCCAAGGTCAATGCCGAGTTGAGTCCAACCGAACTGAAGCAGCTGTTGCGCAAAGCCCAAAGCCAGGTAACAAATTTCGAATCGTATATTTCGGCGCTGGAGGGCGAGGTCAGCCTGTGGCGAAGCGGTGACAGCGTCCCCAAGGATCAATGGACCCCGGCTCCAGCCAGTGACGGAGTGAGCACTACTAAAGCTGAGGCTCGCACTCCAAGGCCAGGCACACCGTCACGACTTACGGAAACTGCGCGAGCGGAGACCCCGCGTGGTGATTCCCGCATGGGGGATCGCTCCAGTACGCCCAGTCTGGTGCTAGAGAAGGACGAGCGCGAAGAATTCTTGCGTCGTGAGAATGAGCTGCAGGATCAACTTGCGGAGAAGGAATCGCACATTGCCAATGTCGAGCGCAGTCTTCAAGACGCCCGCGAGGAATTGAAGGCCATGAAGGAGAACTCCGGGCGAACCGGCAAGGATAACGACAAGCTGAACACCGAAGTCAACGAACTGCGCATGCAACTGGAAAAGGTCTCATACGAGAGCAAGGAAGCGGCCATCACCATGGACGGACTGCGGGAGGCCAACACCGAGCTCACGGGCGAACTGGATGAAGTCAAGCAGCAGCTTCTGGATGTGCGCATGAAGGCGAAAGAAACCACTGCAGCACTGGACGAGAAAGAGAAGAAAAAGGCGGAGAAGATGGCGAAGATGATGGCCGGCTTCGACCTGGGCGGCGAAGTGTTCTCGGCCAACGAACACAAGTTGCAGGACCTCATCCAACGCGTCGATGCGTTGCACAAGGTCAGTGCCGAAGGTGAAACGATCGCACCCGACGATATTCTCGAGCTCCGGACGAGCTTGGTGGAAGCCCAGGGTTTCATCCGGCAGGCCGAGCTAACCGTCAACGACCGAGGCGAGTTCAGCGAGCTGCAGGACAGCCGCCGGGCAGAACTGGAGGAGAAGCTGGATGAGCTTCAGCAGGAGTACGAAGGCCTCTTGACCCGCACCCTCGGTGAAGGCGACGTAGATGAGATTCGAGAGCGGTTGGAGAAGACTTATATCAGCCGCAGGGACGCTGAGACTACCGCCGCTGATGAGCTTCGTATGGAGATCAAGAACAAGGACAAGGAATTAACGAAGCTGCGCCAGTCGCTGGTCGACACCCAGTCTCGCACGTCGACGAATGGGGCCGCTAGCAAGACATTGCAGCAGCAGATCGCCGAATTCGACGCAATGAAGAAGTCTCTGATGCGCGACCTGCAGAATCGCTGTGAACGGGTTGTCGAGCTGGAGATCTCGCTGGACGATGCTCGCGAGCAGTACAACAACGTTCTGCGGTCATCCAACAACCGCGCCCAGCAGAAAAAGATGGCATTCCTCGAGCGCAACCTGGAACAGCTGACCCATGTCCAGCGGCAATTGGTTGAGCAAAACAGCGGCCTAAAGAAGGAGGTGGCCATTGCGGAGCGGAAACTGATTGCGCGGAATGAGCGCATCGCCAGTCTAGAGAGCCTGCTCCAAGACAGCCAGGAGAAGCTGACCCAGGCCAATCATCGGTATGTTCTCAAGCAATTTGCACCTGTGAAATATCCTTGCTAATCCAAATCTTTTCTATTAGATTCGAGGCCCAACTCACTGCTGTCAAAGAGCGTCTCGAGGCCGCCAAACAGGGCTCAACACGCGGCCTGCCCAACATGGACAATGCGAGTTTTAGCTTCGGGGGCTCCCGCATTGCGAAACCGCTTCGAGGCGGCGGCAGCTCGGAGGCGCCGGCGAACGCGACGGTCGCGGGCGTACAATCACAGGAGACGGGCAAGCGCACGAGCTGGTTCCCTCAACGCCGATGATCGCCCTGCGGCTGCGGACCTGGCCATGGCGCTCCTCAAAGTCGACAGCTACCTACCCTGGACGCCAGATACTGTGCAGTTTGTGCTGATGTCGCTCGCTTTTGGCTGATCTTGGATTCTTCTCTTATGCCGTCCCACGAGTCTCTTCTTTTCCCCCTCGTTACTTATCTTCTGAACATTTTTTGCCGATATCGCCCCCGATATCTGGTGGTCACCCTGTTTTTCCTTTCCTTTCTCTTTCCTTTTCTTATTTTCACTTCCCGTACATTAGATCGCGTCCTGCGTTGCCAGAGACGGGAGATTCATGGATCTTCACTGATACCCGTGTACATCAAAACCTGGATAGAATGCAGATGCTGGGAGGCCCGTCTGCATCAGAGGAATAATGTGTTTTCCGATGTGATGTTGATACACTATATACGATATGACCCGTGGTGTCATCCATACATCATTCGGAGTAGTCTTCATGATATCATTAAGTCGTATGCCCAGTCGATAGTATGAGCAGAGATGTACACAGCACACACCCCACGCTTTGCAAAAAAAGAAGCACCAGAAATAATAAAACTGTCCACTGGAAGTATCTGCATCAGGAACTCCGCCGGAACCACAGACATGCAATGTCAGTCAAATACTTGTTTCTGTTTCTTTTCCTTCGTACTCCTCGTCCAATAGCGTCACTCGGACCCCATCCATGCCCATCGTCGTGGCGATGCGGTCCATCCAGTCGGAGGTGGGCGCCTCGCGTGTTTCGGGTGTGATTCGGGACTGAATTAACAGGCGGGGACGGCTCGGTGACCCGGGAGGTGTGAGTGGAGTGGACGGCTTGTCAAGGCTGCCGTGAGAATGGGAGCTTTCGGAGTCCTGCATTCGATCGGTAATGACACGGTTCTCTGCCTCCGCAGCAGCCCGCTGGGACGGATCCAGCAGGATGATGAGATAATTAAGCAACAACATACCAGAGCGAATGCCCCGGATGGACATGGAGGTGAATCCGTCGAAGAAGTGGTGTGGCATTGGCCCAATGAAGACTTCTGATTGCGATCCGTAGCCTGCGCGGAGGGCCGAGACGGACACACCGAACTCGGTGTGGATGCCACGCAGCGAGGCTCGCGTGGCGAGGATCTCGCGCAGCAACTCAGGGCGCTCGCGCTTCTGTACATTGGGGGCGGAGCTTGACAGGCCGCGCATTCGCTTCACGAAGCCCGGCACTTTAACCATCTCCCGAAAAGCGCGCTCCGTGATGTCGGTGTACACCGACGAATCGGGTTGCTTGGCATTATCGGCTGCGATCTCCTCATTAAGGGCCTGCCACTCGGGCTCCGCAAGGAAACACTCTTCCCCAGAAACCAATGCTGTTGTGACGAGGAGGTTGCGGCAGGCGATGTAACAGGCACGGCCGAAGCCATGCAGATGTGCCTGAGGCCCACGCAGCCGCATTAATGCCCGGATCCCCGTTACATGGTGTATCCAACCTTGGGCGTTGGTGCACGAGTGCATCTCGAAAAAGGTTAGAGCGATCGCAGCGGCTATAGCCTCGTCCGACTTGGCCGAGTCTATCTCACTGAGCAGTCCAGAGAGACCGCGGAGGGAGCGAATATATAGCTCGCGGCCAGCTTCCAATAATCGCGGGTCATTGTGCAGGCTACCGGTGTAGATGGTGGTCAAGCTGCGGATCGCCCAGTCAAAGGGGGAGTCAGAGCCGCCGTGTCGTGCGTCCACATACTCAACCCAGTTGATTGACACGCGCGTTTCGGTCACCTTGAAGTAACACGGGATGGCGGAAAGGACGAAGTTGATATACAGTTGTGTTTGCTGAGCGGAAGTGGCTTTGGCCGCTAGCGTGGGCGTCACATACTCATCTATCGACAAGGGCAGGGGCGAATAGCGTATATCGGTGCGGCCCATCCGAGAGACTTGTACGGCTTCCCGACTAGAGGGCGAGACGGGGGATTTTGAGGAGCCTGACGATACTGCTCGGGGGGATTGTGATCGATGTGGTAACACTACAGCCTGATGAGACTCGGATGTCTGTCGCGTGGTCCGACAGGGGACTCGATTCTCTGCGCACCGCGGACATGGAGATCGACCGTCACACTGCGAGCATCAGACTACTGTACGTCGTGGAGTTTAATGGACGGCAAGATGGGAAGGGCGTCCGGGGCAAAGGTTCAGGGACACCACCATCACTACCACCACCATCACCTCGCTCTCTCCACTTGGAGCCTCTGGTCGAGCTCCACCTGTCAAAACAGATGCTTTGGAGCCGGCGGACCCGGAGAACATGTCAGGGCAGATGGAGCCAGTGGGAGATTAGAGTGGCCAGCAGTGAGCGAGAGGCTTGGCGGGAGTAGGTGGGTTTCGGTATGTTAGGGAAGCGACCAACCTGGACATCCAATTGGGCACATCGCAGACAGCGGCGGGGCGCTGGGACCATACTGGTCTAAGGCATGAAGGGAGTACGAAGGTCGGCACCGGATGTACCGGCATTGGAATAAGGGGTGGGGGAGGGAGAGAGGGCAAGTAATGAACGGGGGGAATACGAGGGCGGGCTGGATAACTGGGCGTTATGAACGGGCCGACCATTGGCTGCGGTGGGCCAAGTCCCGAGGAGTTGGCGAGGATGGGCGAGTCATGCAGTTGTCGGAGCCATGATTATGGACAAAGAAGAAAAGAAAGGCCGATACATATATTTTTGGGGGATGGATAACGAGGGAGACGAAGATAAAGGGAAGAAGAAAGAAGGATTTGGCAGGTCACGGGACCCATGAGTATACACAAGAGACAATCATGCTCACTACTAATGCAACCACGAAACATCAGATACATATCTTCTCCCTCGCTCAAAACATCAAAAGAACGGGCAACCAATAATGCCTCATTGCGCCGCATTCGCCGACCTCAGCCCAGACACACACAGAGAGAGAGGTCATACCAGTCCGTCATAGAGCGACAGCGCACTCACGATCGTCTCGTCGCGCTTGCTGCCTTCCTTAAACTCCTCAATGTCCAGGCTGCCGTTCTCGTCCTTGTCCATCATGCGAAAGATCTTGCGTACCCGCTTCTCGGGCGTGTCCTCGTCCTCCGGCAGCTTCACCATCGACCCCACCATCTTGTAAATCGCCTCGACAATGGCCAGCATCTCGTCGTAGGTGATCTTGCCGTCGCCGTCGATGTCGTACAGCTGGAACGCCCAGTCCAGTTTGTCCTCCATCTTGCCGCGCGAGGTCACCGAAAGTGCGCAGATGAACTCTTTGAAATCGATCATTCCGCTATCGTCGGAGTCGAATACGCGGAATACGTAGTTGGCAAAGGAGGACGGATCGCCAAAGGGGAAGAATTGCCGGTAGATCTTTTGGAATTCCTCCTTGGTCAGGGTGCCTGAGGGACAGTCCTTGAGGAAACCTGTGCGCGGGGCAGGGTCAGCCATCGAAGCTTGCTGGCGATCAAATTGCATCGCATACCTTTATACCATTGCTGCAGCTCCTTCTTATCAAAGTGCGTGGATTTCTGCAACTCCTCGAGCTGAGTCGGGGACAACTTGGATTGTCTAGGATAGGACCTTCGGTCAGCACGGATTCGAGTCGGGTCCTGCGGGGAGGGGAAAGGTGCAGAGGGTGTATCGGACGATCCGGCGGCAACTTACGATTTGCCCATCGTCAAACAGCCGAACCAGTATGGGAGGCTCCAAGCTCATATACGTCGTAAAGCGCAGGTGGGATCGTCGGGGCGGGAGAGAGACCGCAAAATGGTGAGTGACGCGGGGTATCAACGGAGGGTGGCGCAGTCGGAGGTGAGGCCTGTGGTTGGCAGGAGAGGACAGCGTGGTTGATTGGATGGAGGGATGGGAGAGAACACAGAAACGAGAGAGCAATCCCGGATGCAAGGAGGTCAAAGAAGGAGTGAGGATGTGAAAGAGAGGGTTCCAGCACAGCCCGAGCTAAGGTGGTGGTCGGAGTGGCGAGTGAGAGAAAGTCCAGAACATTCGTGGGGAGCCCGAGGTGACCCGCTGGATGATTATGTATGATTTTTAACAGTTTCGTTTAAAACAATGCTGACTCTATATTTTGCACAATATAGTTAGGGAAAAGCCCATCGCCTACACACATACACTTTCTTTTTCAAGGAAAAAAAAGAAGAAATACAACACCGCTCATCGGGATCTCCGAGAACAGGCTAAATGCACCACGCAACCCATTTAGTCCACCTTGATCGATCCATAAATGCGGTGGATGAACGCCCAACTGGCGAAGACGCCGATGGATCCTACAGTCGGGTCCGTCAGCTGAGATGGCAGAAAAAGACAGGGGATAACATACCGGTCAGGATGAAAACGACGAATCCGATAAGCGCCGAGTAGCCCACGTAGAGCACAGTGCCTGTCAAGCCACCAAAGCTCACACGGGTCGCCCAGAAGATCAGCGCGTTGAGAAAGACATAACCACCGGTCATGCCTGCGCCGAAAAAAGCCCGCCAGTGCCACCGGTAGTTCTCCGCGCACAGCAGGAAGTATACCAACAGCACAGTCGTAGCCGCCGAGGTGATGATCATCAGCCCGTAGCAGAGGAACAAGAATCCAAACATGTAGTAAATCTTGTTGGTCCAGAGCGAGGTCATGATGAAGTACAGCTCTACAAAGATCGCGCCGAAAGGCAGGATGCCGGTCAGCAGGATGGATGGAATCGTGCGAAGGCTGCCGGACATCGGTGGCACCTGGCGGGGGATCTGGTTGGTCTTGGTCGGACCCTCGATGGCCTGCAAATGAGTGAGAATATGTATCATAGAGAGTGGGAGCAGTGGACACATACAGCCTGCCGGAATCCAAGCCAACTTCCAGCCACACTTAGGGGCACGCTGATCACAAACCAGATCAGCACCAGGGCTAGCATCGTGCCAAACGGCACGGCGCCGCTGGAGCCTTTGGCCCAGACGAAGAGGTTGAACAAGAAGAAAGTGCAGAAGATGAATCCGGGAATCAGAAGGGGCGTCATGACGATGTTCCGTTTCCAGGCTTCGCCGCCAAAGGCCTTGTAGACCCGTGCTGACGTGTATCCACTGATGCCGCCGAAAACGGCAGAGATCAAGAGAATTGCGGTGGCCAGAAAGCCACGGTTGGCGGGCGACAGAAGTCCGAGGAGTGCAAATACTAGACGGTGGGTATGAGTATGCATGGTGCCATTCAGTCAGGTCAACTTACCAACAGTGACACCGGTCATCATGAACAGCTGAGCGCCGTTACCCAGCAGGACACTGAGTAACAGCGGTGACTTGGGGCAACGGAAGACATCGCCGTGAACCAGCTTCCAGCCCGAGTCCTCCTGGATCCCGTCCTCCACGGCAGCCGAGGTGCCGTCAAGGTCCTCCAGGCTGATCATGTCCAGTCGATTGTAGCGAGCGATATCCTTCTTGAGCGCCCGGACTAGGATCATGCCGACCATGCCGACCAGGAACACCACAAAGACAGCCGAATTGATCAGGGAGAACCAGTGAATCTTCGGGTCATAGACATGCAGGTACTTGTCCCAACGGGTGGCCCACGCCGTCGGCGATTCCTTCCAGGAGACGCTGTACGTCCACGTCAATGGCGTGTCTGCTTCTTCATTCAAAGCCACGATGGCGCCAGGGGTGCCACAATCTGCGGTCCCATCTTCCAGGACCCGTGAGTCCGCACGAGACTCCGGATACACTAGCACTCCAACGACACGGTACTGATTCTGACCGCGGTATCCCACGCGATGGTAGTCAATCTCGATGTTGAAATGATTGTTCAACACGGTTTGTCCACTGTCATCGAGGTCGCCCAACGAAAAGCCGGGGTTGTAGAACTTGGTTTGTGTGACACCGTCGTAGTGCAGCTGCGCGGCCGGCAGCCCATCCACCAGCCAGTTGATGTTGTAGCCTTGGGCAATGCGGCGATTGGTAAACTTGGCGCTACGCGCGTCGAATTTCACTTCCCCACAAATGGCTTTACACGTCTCGTTTTGGGCCATGTGGAGGTCGAACGGAGAGGTTTGAATGCGGTCGCCGAACAGAATACTCCCCAGGGACTCCCTGACATCCTTGGGACCACCTTCTGGTTGACAGAATTGAAGCTGTGGGTGGTAGTAGTCATATGCAAACACGGAATGTAGCTGGTCGTCGCGCGACAAGCCCGGGGTTAAATGGTTGACAAAGAGCGGGACGGTTTGGCCCTCATTGTACGAGGTGGGTGCAACTCCGGGGAGGTAGAAGGCCGAGGAGAGAGAAGGAAGTGCCAGAAGTACTGACGGGAAGAGGGTCGCCCGATCGGTGAACCGCATCGTGGATGTCTCTGCACCGAGCTCTCGTCAGTAACCATCGTTTGTTTTCGCACGGTACTATATAGCAAAGAGAGACGCATTCGAGGTGGGGAGCAGTGATCATACAGTCAGAAATTGTCACCATAGAAGAGCCAATCCACGGCGTTCATCCGTCCAGAACAGAGACTAAACAAGGCGCAGCGAGGTTTGGATGAGGCTGAGGATGAAAGGACAGTTTGAAACCGGGCCCATGACGAGGCCGGGCACGTGATATGTAGTCACGTGGTGATAAGGATCTGTCTAAAAATTTCCCCGAAAGAAAAAAACACTTTGATTCTGCTAGAACTCGTTCAGCATGACAGCTTCAGCTCCGACGCCTGCGCGCGTCCAGAATCTTTCGAAACTACTCGAAGATCTCACATCTTGCCTCTCCAGCACCGTTTCATCTCTGCCCAAGTCCAGCAAGGATGCGCCGTCCGATGTCTCGATCGAACCACCACCAGACGGTATCTCACTACTTGATGCGAAGAGCGAAATTCTCCTCTCCTATCTTCACAATTTGGTATTCTTGATCATCTTTCAGCTACGCCAAGCTTCCAAAGATGACGCACCGGCGGATTCGACCGATTCGCTGCGGGACGACATCGTGAAGAGACTGGTCGAGCTCCGCGTTTTCCTCGATCGTGGCGTGCGTCCACTCGAGGGACGATTGAAGTATCAGGTAGACAAAGTGGTCAAGGCCGCAGAGGATGCGGAGCGGTCCGAGCGCGGGACTCAGAAGAGCAAGGGCAAGAAAGCACGCAAATCCGCAGGGTCGGACAGTGACGAAGCCTCCGGGTCTGGCGAGGAAGATGCCAGTGGCAGCGACGACAGCGAAGACGAGGATAATGAAGACGACATTGACGAGATGGCACATCGGCCCAATATCGCTGCATTCTCCAAGGTACAGGTGGCAGAGCAGCAGAAAGCCCTGCCCGCCAAGGGTGCCAAACAACCCAGCGATGGCATCTACCGCCCACCGAAGATCATGCCCACAGCTCTCCCTACGACTGAGCGCCGAGAACAACGCGAGGAACGTCGGTCGCGTCGGTCCAACGTCATTGATGAGTTTGTCACCGCCGAGATGTCTTCCGCGCCTATGGCGGAGCCCAGCATCGGCAGCACGATTATTGCTGGTGGCCGACAGACCAAATCCAAGAAGGACCGTGAGCACGAAGCTGAGCGAGCCGCATATGAAGAAACCAACTTTGTGCGCTTACCCAAGGAGACCAAGAAACAGCTGGCCAAACGCCAGGGTGGGAGACGCGATGCGACCTTTGGTGGCGACGAGTGGAAGGGCCTCACCGAGGGTGCCGATCGCATCGAACGCCTCACGCGGCGAGCCAAAGGCAGCGGGGCCGCGTTGGACAAGAGTCGCAAGCGGAAGGGCGTCGAAGACGGACCACGAAACGACGGGGCGAGTATGGGCCAGATGTTCGACAAGCGGCGCAAAAAGATCGAGGGGTGGAAGCGATAGAATCATGTACAACGGCGTTTATGGGCATAACCCTGCAAAGATTTGTATTTGCTTTTTTAAACCATGGATAATTCCCGCGTGTTGGGCTCTGGTGCCTGAGCAGCTTCGTCTCGGCAAGCCGAACCGGCTTTCGGCTTGCCTCCAGCCGCTGTGCATCAACAAGGTAGAAACGCGTTTGCCAGCAACCCCATGGATGATAAAATCTACACCGGTTTCACAAGAGGCCTCCCTCGATTTTTCCGCTTGCCTCTCTAGGCAGGAACTAGACATCTCCTCCGACTTACCCAAATCAAGGACGGTAGTCAGTCACATGTGAATACAGTGCATGATGTCATCCGCCGATTCGTGAATCTCGTTCTTGCTCAGCGCTGCGTCTTCCATCTTCGCGATCCCACCGGTTTCAGCATGGAGGCTCCAGGTCCGTCTGCATTTCTATCCCATCAACCAACGCTGACTGGATCCAACAGCGACCGAAATCTCGACGGTGATCCGTCTGCTCACCCAATCGCCGCCGTCGCTACAAGAGAAAACGATCAATCGCTTCTTCACACGCAATGCTTCCTTTGTGCATCCGTTCTGTCGAGTGCCCAGCTTTGAGGGGAGTCGGTGGTTTGTAGGGAAGATTTTCCAGTGGTACAAGATCTTGTCGCCCCGTATTGAGATCGAGGTGCACTCTATTGGTGAGTCGTAATTGGGAAGATCTTATCGAGATATCCAGTCAGCCTGACCCCATCCAGCATTTGACGAGGACCACCTCAAACTCTATGTGAATATGTCCCAAATATTCTCAATCTGGATCGTTCCCTTCCACGTCTCGCCGGTGACGCTCACCACCGTTTTGGACCTGACCACCGATGCGACTCACAGTGATGCTCCGACGAACGGCAACCACACGCTATACTATATCAAGAAGCAGGAGGATCTGTACCAGACCTCGGAGTTTGTCAAGTTCGTTGTGCCGCATGTCGGCCACTGGCTCGTCCTCGCCTGGCATCTGATCGCCACGCTCTTCTGCATTCTGGGTGTCGGTCTTCTGTGGCCTATGCTGTGGCTGGAGGAGAATGGGTATCTACCGGGACGCATTGCGAAGGGGGGGAATGTAGCGTATGACATCCAAAACAAGGTGTCGGAGATTAAGGACCAATGATACATACTTTACCTGCGGAACGATACAAATGCTTGATGTTCATTCATGGCCCAATGCGATGACGAATCGCCATCAATGTCTATTTTTGATTACATGCGTAATTACATTGCCTGAGAGCTACCAAAGTATCATCGTCATGGGCATCTGATCCTTATTGCGACTTGTGTTGCTTGCGCAATTCGTCGCGGATGTGGTTCTCTTGCTCCACGACCATCAATGGCAAGGCACGGCCGATGCCAAAGAACACAAACAGAGCCCACTTCCACCGGAACGGATTGAAGATCAGGACGAAGATGTACCAGTAAATCAGCTCGGCATAAGTGAAAAAGTCAAAAGCGTTGGTTGGCGCCAGTCGTTTCATGAATCGCGTGAAATCAATCCAGGTCTTCATCCAGTCTTCTGTGGGGCGAGTCAGAGGGTCGGTTAAAAACATGATCAGGAACCGTGTGTAAATGCCAATGTGCATATTGCCTACGGTGCCGATAGCACTGACAAACGTGCTGTTGTTGGCACAGATGTCCGGGTACTTGGGTGGAAAGACCTGGAGGTACCAGCTGGGTGGGCCGTATGGCTCTTCAAATACCTCGTCTGGCAAAAAGGTAAGCGACGGACGCTTGAAACCGGTTGCCATGACAATCAGGTCTCCAGGAACCAGGCGCTCTTGACCGGGGCCACCCTTGGGAACTCCCTTGGACCGATGGTTGAAGAGGATGCCGTCTTTCTCGACAGAGACAATATCGCCCCGCAGCCAGTGAGCCTTTCCTTCACGGATCTGATCGAACAGCTCCGAGTTGGCCATGGGCGTTTCGGTAAAAATGCCATCGTCCGATGGAGCAATGTCTTGGAGGTCACGGTAGAAGAACTTGCGCAGTAGCCACTCGGGAATCCACGAGAGTGAAATCTCTTGGCCGAAAATGTTCAATGCCAGTAACGACTGCACCAGAACGTTCCGCGGAATGATCCACTTCTCAGATCGGGCGAGCACGTCAATCTCCGCAGCGCGGGACTTGACGGCAAACTCGAGGGCTTCGATGGCACTGGCACCGCCACCGACAATCAACACTTTCTTTCCCGTGGCATCTTTGCCGTCGAGATTGGACGAGTGGCAGATCTGGCCCTTGAACTTCTCCTGGTCGGGCAGCGGGGGCATTTTAGGGTCTCCGCACACGCCAACGGCGGCGACAATGCCATCAAACAGACCGTACCGGCCTTCGTCGTCATTGATGATCCACTGGCCGTTCTTGGTCTTCTTCACGGAGGTGATACGGGTGTCGAATACGGTACGTCGTTCTAAATCATAGCGTTTCCAGAGCTGGATGATCTGTTCCTGGATCTGCTTCTGACTGGGATAGGCGGTATCGTAGTGCACTGACGGGTGGAAGCGATACATCAGGCTATGCACCTGCAATGCAGACGTGGAATTGACCCTCTAGATAGACTTGTGAGAACATTGGCCTCGACTTTTATTTGTAAAACTTACACTCCAAATACCTCCCAGGCCACGGTCTTTAGATCGGGCCTCGAAGATCTGCACATCCAGGCCATGGCCGACACAATGGGCCGCGGACGAGACGCCAGTCAGCCCCGCGCCAATGACAGCGACCCTCTTCCGGGAGACATTCGAATGGTCGCCAGAGGGGGGTGGAGGAACTGGAGAGAAGATGTGGGTGAGGACGGCCTGGAGGATCAAATAGAGCCAGGTGAAGATCTGGAGAAAGGGGTGCCGAATGGCAGCGAGGATCCCAGAGTGGGAGGCGGCGGCTGGCATGATGCGTGATGGATGAGGTGGTGCGAAGCTGCCATTTTGATCAATTTATAGTATTATCTGTCGTTGTCAGTGACGTGATGGGAGTGGAGTTGGTGTGTGGCCGAGATGATGTCATGTCTCTGATCTCGGCGTGCCGTGGAAGTTCCCTGTTGAGGTGGGAAACAAACGGAATAAACGGTGTTTGTTGCCTCAGGTACCCGGCCGATATTGGGCGGTGGGTGATTCTGCCACGCAGAGAGCCTATCCCATCCCACGCCCAACTGTTGACCCATTCATTCACTCCTCCGGTCACTCCTGAATAAACACCCTCTTTTCATCTCACCTCCAGCCCCGGGCCTGGATCGCCTCGCCATGGCGACTCCGGTGCTGGACCAATTTCTCGGCAGCGTCGCCGAGCTGGTCCAGAACCGCGATGGCGTCAAGCTGCAGGACTTCCTCCAAATCGAACCGCCGCTCTCCGACATCTACATGCGCATGATTGACGAATTACGCCAGCACTACGCCTCAAGTCCCCAGAAGGATGCCGAGCTGCTCCGCCGATGTGAGAGCCTGGTGCCACGCTCCAAAGGCAGCTCGTCATGGACGGCCTTCCCGACCTTCCTCAAGCTCTACCTTATCTTCCTGCGCGATGTCAATGTGGATAACCTGCTCGACACATACAATCTCCTAAAAGGACTGCTGAAGTAAGCCCCACTCTGCCTGATCCTGGCTCATGGAGCCCTCCTGTTGCACTGAATGGGGTTGCATCCGATCGCTGACACTGCTACGATTGCAGCCAGTGCGTTTTAGCTCTCGGAGACAGTCAAATGGGCGTTATCGTGTTGCATACCGTTCTCTACCTGTCCAAAGTGCTGGCGAAGTTAGCCATGGGGTTAGACCGCCGACCTGACTTGATTGCGAACATCTTGCGGATGGAGGGCCAGGCAGACCGGGAAGAGAATTCTGAAAAGGTGACTTTGGTGGAACAATCAGCCAATGTGGTGCGCGAGGCCTTTATCAAATGCCTCACTGACCGCACAGGCACCCCGGGACCGCAGGGGAAGCCTGAGGGGAAACGCGTGGGCATCTACCTCATGGCCAATCTGTGTCTGAAACTCCTTTTCCAATGCGGCAAGCTCCGCAACGCCGAGCAGATGTTCGCCAGTATCAGCGCTCAATCACCTCCTTTGACCTACTTCCCGGCTTCGCAGCGTGTGACTTACCTCTACTACCTGGGTCGTTACCTCTTCTCCAACAACCTCTTCTTTCCTGCGCAGATTGCTCTGCAGGCTGCCTACGACCAGTGTCACCACCAGGCGATCAGCCAACGACATCTCATTTTGACCTATCTGATCCCATGTAATATCATCTTGGGTCGCTTTCCATCTCAGACACTCTTGCAAAGATCCGAGGCGCAAGGTCTAAGTGAGCGATTCGGGCCGTTGTGCCAATTGATTGCCCGTGGGGACTACATTGCCTTCCGGGAACACCTCTCTGTTAAATCACCGGCTGCCGAATGGTTTGCACGCAAAGGAATCTTGCTTGCCCTTCGGAATCGTTGCGAGATTCTGGTGTGGCGTTCATTTACTCGCAAAGTTTTCATCCTGGGTGGTTTTCACGGGGATCCGCAGGCGCAGGCGCAGCGTGGGCCTCCGCCATTTCTGTACCTCGAAAAACTCGTCGTCGCGACTGAGTGGCTTCAGTCGCAGCACGGCCGGTCATCGAACGGTACCTCGAGGGCTCACAAGTCGTACGGATCACAGGTTATCTCTACACCAATAGACCCGGATTATGATGGGCTCACCGATTCGAACGGGATAACTACAGACTCTGAGTTGCTCGAAAAGTACGGCGATTTTCTGGCGCCGGATGGGCTCTTCGACGACAGAGGCCAATGGCAGGAGAATATTCCCGGTCAGTTGGTGGACGGTGACCCAGACCCAGATTATGAAGGATACCAACTGGACCCGTACTGGGAGTACGATGCCGCGGACCAATCGTCTCTGCTCATGCAGGAAATTGAGTCGATTCTGGCCTCCCTCCTGACACAAGGGCTGATGCGCGGATATTTGACCCACCGCAAGCCACGTTTTGCTATCCCCGGTGCTCGCTTACGGGGTGCGCTGCCCACAGGGTTTCCCAACGTGTGGCAGACGATATCGGCGCGCGAGAGCGAAGATTCCAGCGTACCTGGGTGGGTCCAGCCACCGGCTCCCACGGCATTTGGCGCCCCAGCAGCACTGGCTGGGGGTAGTCGGGTGGTCAATCTCAAGGGGGCACGTCCTGTGGGGGTTCAATAAAATATGGAGAGCAAATGTGTTTTTTACCCCAGCTTATTGTTGAGATTTCTTGATACCTCTTTGCATAATGAACGGAGTTGGATTTGGGCTTCATCGGCATTCTTCTACATGTATGGGTATATATTTTCGCGGCCAGACACATAGTAAACCATTCACTCTCGCTGCTCTGCCGAGTGCACCCTGACCCTCTCCCCAATCCAGAATAGTACGAGCAACGGGATCAAGGCCGCGGCGTTAATGGCGGCCAGTGTAGAAAAAGCAGCGGTATATCCAACCTTGGCTGAGAATGGCAAAGCGTAGAAACCAATGTTGAAAGCATAAACTAAGAAATATTGGTCAGTGATCAGGCATACCGAGTTTGGAATTTTACTTACCACACTTGAAGAAATTCAGGATCGCTCCGATCTCACTCGACTGCGCCTTGTAACTATCCGTGCAGTAGGTGTACACCATAGTTGTCGCAACCTGTGTGCCAAACCCGGAAACCGCCATACAGATCGACGATTGGATCCACGGGCGCGAGCTCTGAATGCAGAAGCCATATGTGGCCGTTCCAATGCACAGAAGCGTGCACAGAGGCATCAAAAACAACCGGGCCTCGGGCTTCTGGTACCCATGATGTCGCTTGGCGTACAGGGCGAGAACAAGATCAGAGACCCAGCCAGCGGAGGCTTCGCCCAACATGCAGCCGATAGTGAGGGGCACTCCCATGAAGAGACCGATCTGCGCAACGTTGAAGCCATATATGGTGGCAGCAATATGCGATCCCGTCACGGCAAAGAGCGCGCTACCATAGGTGTTGACGGTAGAGAAGTAGATAGCTGGTAGGGTCACTGGTGCATACCGAAGAAGCTTGAAGGGTCTCAAGAACTGCCAGCGCTCAATGGGTCGGTCAAGGACTTTGCCCCAAAACATGAGACGACCCCGATAGGACTTGTTCTTCAGACGGTTGGTGTCGTCATTCACGTACAGAGTCTCGGGGAGCGTAAGAATCGACAGGATAAAGACCGCGCCCTGGAAAATGGCAGGGACCCAGAAGCACCAACGCCAGCCCAGACTTTGTGTGATATATCCCCCGGCGATGGGTGCGATATGGGGACCATTCGTCACACTAACGGTGTAGAGGCCAACCCAGAGACCTCTCTCTTGTTGTCGGAATAGATCACAGATCTAAACTCGGATTAGTAGGGCGATATAGCAGAGAAGAGAGTGAACCCCACTGTCGCGACTCCAACCCCCAACGGAATGCCTGATCCGATCCCATTGATGATACGGCCAACGACGACGCCTCCATACCCTGGCGAAGCTGCGGACACCACCGCACCTACGGTGGCGATCGCCGAAAAGACCTTGTGAGAGATGTCAGGAACTTTCCATTCTCAGCGGCTGAAGGAAACATACCACGAAGAGAATCCGTCGGCCATAGGTGTTTGCGTAAGGAACAACAAACATTGGGGCCAATCCACTAAAGACGATGAAAATAGTCGTACAATAGGAGCTTTGTTCGATCGTAATTTTGAGATCCTCCGACATTTGGACATAACCAGGGTTGATCAGAGCAGAGCCAACTACAAAAGGGTAATTTCTTAGCCATAACCCCTGACAAAGACGACTTGCGCGACTAGGAGAACTCACATTGAGCCAAGAACCCGAGAACTGCCATAAGCAATGCGATATAGATCTTGCGCCATCGGGGCCAGTTCTAGGGGCATGTTTCAACACATCATTGTCTAACAGGGGGGACCAGATGGAGCTCTTACGAGAGGATTGTCGGCGTCATCTAGTGTCTCGTCATACTCAGGCTCGTCCAGAGCATAGCTCTTAGTAGCTGAGCTTGGACTGTCAGGTCTGGCCATAATGGGCGCGAGGATGGAACGATAGTAAGAGGGTTGTCCAAAGCTGTCTGTCGCGACAGAGCCTTCGCCTTTTATTAATTCTTCCTCCAGGATTCCCGACGGTTGGGGACTTGGATTCGGCCTAACAACCTAGCCTCTCGCTCCCCGCATAGATCCATGCGCCAAAAAATGCGAGCTAAATCTTGGGTGGGCCAATCAAAAACCGCACTAGCGGTTGTTCGGGGACAGGTCGGGTGTTAATACATTATCCGGAGATCCGGGGAACGGAACTGGGAGCCGGGGAGGGGCTTGGTGGGGTTTAAAAAGGATGCCTCTGCCATTTGTTAGCCCCGATACTTGCCAGAGTTGTCTATATGCTCACCATGTCTTCCGACGCAGCTATACTCCAGGAGCACTACCGCAAATTCATTACGGGATGCCACATTCTGCACTACCAGGGGTACGCATGACACGATCTCACTTATTACTGCATCTAACGATGATCGCTCAGTGTCTTGGACGCCTATGGCCATCTTTCCTTCCGGCATCCGCAGAAACCTGATGTGTTTATCATGTCCCAGTACATTGCGCCTGCACTGGTGTCCTCGAAGGATGATATGATTGAGTACTGGGTCAAGGATGCTGAGCCAGTGGATCCGACCCAAGGCAAAGGCTACTCGGAGAGATGCATTCACAGTGAGCTTTACAAGAAATATCCAGATGTGAAGAGTGTCATCCATAGCCATTCGGAGGCTGTTGTTCCATACACGATTTCTGGTGTCCCAATGCGTGCATGTTGCCATATGGGAGGGTTTGTAGGTAAGTACTATTCTCAAAAAGAAAGAGTAAAGAAAATCTCTAAAAAGCTCTCTAGGAACCCAGACGCCTAACTTTGATATCGCCCACCATCTCAAGCCGACAGACAAAAAAGATCTGCTGGTCCGGAATACTCATCTTGGTAGTGCGCTGGCTTCACACTTTTCCACCGGTGACTCGTCAACCCCCGAACATGCCGTAGTCCTCATGCGCGGCCATGGCTTTACTGTGCAGGGTGAAAGCATCGAGGAGGCCGTTCTGCGGGCTGTCTATACCCAGAAGAACGCCAGCATCCAGACAACGGCACTCTTGACTCGCGCGGCTCATGCGAACGGACAATTCTCTTCTGTCCCTGAGATCAAATACCTTGATGAGGGAGAGATTCAGGGAACTACACTGATGACCCAAGAGTCCGCATATAGACCCTGGGGCCTATGGGTCAAGGAGGTAGAATCTCATTCATTCTATGTGAATAAGGAGATTCAGTGACGCCTGTAGCAGTCATAGATATAGAATGTAGCTTGTAAATGAGAGATCGTTCTTGCTAAGCATGTGATTTACGTAGGGCAGTGGGAGTGACATGTTCAAATGGTGCTTCTTTGGCATGACTAAACCTATATTTCGTGTCTTGTTTCTTCAATTTCGCCTATACGACCCCGGTGTATCTAGGACTCTAGAAGGAAACGTAATTGTACTCACTTAGGTGTGAGCTAGCCCACAGAGTGCATTTCTACTAGTTTCAGTCATTGTTGGATTCAGTCTGCCGGTTTTCCATGCATATTGTACGAGTAGGCCCATTAGATGCAGATTCCAGTGGACACGACATTGCAAAAATCAGAGCAGCAGTCACTGCTGACTGAACAAGATTGGCCCGCTACAGGCAAGATATATATTAGACAACTTTATTCGAAAAACATAGGTATTCAAGTAGAACAGAGAACAGGACTCACATGCGACACAGCGCTTCTCAATAGTAGCGCCAGGCTCTGCAATAGCAACGGCCTGGCTAAGGGCAGCCAGAGTGGCGACCATGAACAAGCTGAGAACCTTCATGATGGAATGTGTTTCGCAGGAGTATGTTGTAAGGAGTAGTGTGTGGAATGAAATATGAAAGACCAACGTGGGGACCGTATGTCTTAGTTATAGGCAAGCCATTCAGCCTCTATCATGATAATCAATGGCATTTACTACTCGGTCATAATCAGTTCTCATTTTGCTCAAGTCGGTGGCCCCAAATGTTTGGAGCAGGTCCAGATGGTTTCGGGCCACCCCACCCAACACGGTGATACGTAGATGCTTTTCAGAATTCTGATTGGAAATGGTGGACTCGAGGAAGAAGGAAGGGGCGATTTGGGCCACAGGAAGATGAAGTCGCTTGGGGCCGGACGTAAAATTATACTAGAGCTGTGTTTTCGTAACACGCAAGCTCTGACTCCTGTAGTTAATTCTGTGAACATGGAATTGGTGTACTTGACCAAGACCGAGTGGTTCATCCTCGGTTCCAGGTGAGGTCTTCCTCGGAATCCTTCTTCTGCTGGTATCGAATACTGCAGCAACATCTCCAGCAAAAACACAGTATTAAGTAGGTACCTCCATACCTAACCAAATCGTTTTTAACATTGAGGCCAAGGGGGAGGGGGGAGTGGCCCCCAGCGGGCCCGATCTCCCGGTCCCCCCCTAACTTCATGCCCGGAACTCCAATCTCCATCAATGGACCATCGCGACGCCGTGCAGCAAGTGGCAACGCGTGTTGCTGACTTCCACCGCCGCCGCCAGCCATTCCGCATCTATCATGGTGCGACCAATTCCACACGCCCGTCTGGCCACGCTGCGTCCACTACTGTGAGCACCGCTGCTCTGACGCGTGTCCTGGAGGTCGATGGAACGCATCAGACAGCTCTGGTTGAGCCCAATGTCCCCATGGACGCCCTAGTGGCAGCCACCCGAGCGCATGGCTTGGTACCGCTAGTCGTCATGGAGTTTCCCGGCATCACTGCTGGCGGCGGGTTCTCCGGCACGTCTGGGGAGAGCAGCTCATTTCGCGAAGGGTTCTTTGACAATACAGTCAATTGGATTGAGATGGTCCTGGCGGACGGGCAGGTTGTGAAAGCGTACCATGACCGCGTCGCATCAGAATCCGAGATCCAGGACGCCCGATCCGATCTATTCTGGGGCGCAGCGTCCTCATTCGGCACCCTGGGTGTGGTCACACTCCTAGAGATCCGCTTGAAAAAGGCTTATCCCTTAGTGGAACTCCAGTATTACGCGGCCGCCGATATGGGGGCTGCTCTGCGCATTTTCCGGGAGGCCGCAGCAGATCCGGCCACGGAGTACTTGGATGGCATTGTTTACGCGCGGGACCACATTGTGGTCTGCGCAGGTCGGCAGGTGGAGCAGAGATCTACATCTCAATTACAGCACTTTGCCGGACGACATGATGATTGGTTTCACTTGCACGCTCAACGCATTGCCCCGAAGCCACTCGGCGATCAGCCTGCCCCGGCCCCAGTGGTGGACTACATCCCTTTGACGGATTATCTGTTTCGCTACGATCGCGGAGGGTTCTGGGTCGGCCGCTATGCCTACCGCTATTTCCGCGTGCCATTCACCTCTGTCACGCGATCCCTGCTCGACCGGTTTATGCACACTCGAGTCATGTACCATGCCCTCCACGTCAGTGGTCTTTCCCGTCGGTATATCATCCAAGATGTCGGAGTGCCTGTGCCTGCGGCCGCAGAGTTTCTGGATTGGCTAGACCGCCCCGAGAACTTTGGGCAGTACCCGATCTGGTTGTGTCCACTCCCTGCCGGTAGCGCAGGAGGGCTAGAAGGACAGACGGTCGATGCGAGTCCTCGCCCGGATCAGACAGTCCTGATGAACTTCGGAGTCTGGGGTCCCGCCACTACTGCGGATCCGAGCCGGTTCAGGTCTCAAAATCGCCGACTCGAGCAGAAAGTGCAGAATCTACGGGGGAAGAAGTGGCTGTATGCCCACACGTACTACACAGAGGAAGAGTTCTGGGCCATCTACAATAAGGCAGAGTATGATGCCCTACGCCATAAGTATGCCGCAGAGTATCTGCCGAGCTTGTATGACAAGGTGCGCGTGCAGGATGCGGATCTGCCCGGCGCTGGACGCGGGAAGTTCGAGGCCGGATGGAAAGGGGCTGTTAAGCGGGCACTGTGGGATGTCTGGCCCTGCAGTGGACTGTATGGGGCGTACAAAGCTTGGCGCGGAGGGGACTATCTCCTCCAGAAAGAAAGCCCTGAGCAGGGAGACCAGGAGAGGTAGAGAAGCATTGAGAAACTGTACATAACCACTGGATGTATATCTAGACCATATAAATGCATTTTCATCGTGAGCCCCCAACGCCAGAGGGCATCCTTGCCTCACGTGCAAAAGATCCAAAAAGAACCCCGAAAATGAACATCACCCTGTCTTATTCCACCACAATCCGCCCTTCAAGACGGGGCGAGATCCCTGATGTCCAAGCAGGCGTAAACTCGCCTTCACCATCCATTGGATCTAGTGTCGTTGGATGCAGCCCGGCATGACGCATCCATTTGCGTACCACTCGCCTCGCAAGCTGCAGTCGATACTCCTCTTCCGCGGAGGATTGCGCTGGCAGGGTGACGTAGTTGATCGTTGATCGTGGCGATGTGAGAATCTCCGGGTCCTCGTCCGAGTCTGAGTCCATGGCATCGCTATTGGTCCCGTTGGCCGCCGACCCTGCCATATCAGCCTTGTCGTCATTCGGGAACCTCCCATAATAGTAAGCAGCCTTAGTCGTCCGGTTCAACGTTGGCCGACCACCCAGTCGTCGGCCCGGCTTCTCGGACACGGGCGATGATGTCGCGGATGGTGGTTTCAGCCAGCCCTCGCCGTGTAGGTTACGGTGCACAGAGCACCAGTGTCGGTGGAGACTCGCACTCCAGCGGTGCCATTTGCCAAGCACCTTCAGACTAAGGAAGTACTGGCGCAGAATCGTGCTTATCAGCACGCCATTCTCTTCGCATACGATCTCTTCCGCCTCGCCTCCTTCGGACTGAATCAGCAGAGATGAGAATCCGTCCTTGCCACGCGCCATGTACCCACGCGTGGCCAGGACGTAGTTGCGTTGTAGGTGAATGGGCTCGCCTCCGATGCGAGCGAACGTGATGCGTGAACCTGGAGGAGCTGACAACGTATATCCAAAGGCAATGTTTGATACCTGTGGGAATCGTCCCTCGAGTGCGGGAAGTTGGCTCACTCCGTTTTCGAGCGCATCTAGGATCGCCTGGCCGCGCAAGCGCAGCAAGACTACCGGGTCTTCGAAAGGGAAGCAGTTCAGAAGATCTTTAAGTCGCAAAACACCCGGTGGATAGATCTGGTCGCCGCGGATGGTGCCACCGGCCATCATCGCGCAGTCTGCTGCATGGTAGAAACGCATCAAGTCGCAAACAAAGTTGCCAAGATTGGACTCGCGCTGCCGTACAGTTGTAAAGCGACCGTCAAGCGGGGTGACGGTATATCCGACCGGTTTCTCCAGCTTCGCCTGGAGGCTAGATGTGAGCCGGGAGACCATGGCCACCGCGGCGGGGTCTTCGGGGATCGAGCGAACCACGTCCCGACGGATGATATTGAAGTCCCACCCAGACTCCCCGTCTGGTTTTCGGAAGATCTCAATGTAGCTCAACTGCTTGAAATCGGTACCCGAACGTAGGACATGAGTACCATTGATGACAGTATGGGCATAAAAGTGATCATGCCCGCCAAGTATGATATCTACAAGACCAGGTGGTAGGTTTTTCGCCAGCTTGTGGTCGTTGGGTTCCCGTTGGTGAGTGACAGCGACAATGAGGTCCGCCCCCTGCTCTCGAAGAGCTGGTGCGAGCTCTCGGGCAGTCTGAGAGGCAGATTGGTAGATCAAATCCGGGGGAAGGGAGTTAATGGTTCCAAGCCTGGCAACATATGAGTATTCCAATCCTCAGAAGCCCACCACAGTGCTCACTGACCATTCTCTTTCTCCGAGTCCAATTACGCCCACCTTGAGTCCATTCGACGAAGTCAACATGCACGTCTTGCCACAGTCGGCAATTGGAACGCCTTGCCCCAATGCCGGATCGAGGACATTGGCCAGTAGCCAGGGGAACCGACACTGGCTTGATAGGTGCCGGAATTGTGCCACGCCAAAGTCGAGATCATGGTTCTGGGAATGTTAGTGCAGGCTGTGAGACATCCCGAGGGATCCGGACGATCGCCATACTCACACCCACACACGCCACACTGGTGCCTGCGTTATTCAGAAACGGGACCATGTGTCTGCCCTTGGTAATTGTGCTTTCGAGGCTCGGGTTGAAGGCATCGCCGGAGAAGAATGTCAGGATGTCGGGCTGCCCCGCGAACCGAGGATGTGAGCGGTAATAGTTCACGAGGGATTGGAAACGAGAGACACCACCGACGGGTTCTGCAGACCCAGGTCTACAAGAGACAGTTAGAAACGGCCCGCGTCGCTGAGAAGGGGGTGGTGGTGGTGATGGTGAGGCGCAGAGAACACATACTCGACGTGGTAGACATCATTGTAGTGGATCAGCCGCAGATCCGGGGAGCCATTTCGGCCGGAGGCATACGTGACGGAAAGACCGTCGGCGTCAATGTAGGACATGGAATTGCGACTCAAAGGGGGCGGAGGGAAGAAGGGAGCTAATGGAGAGGGAAGAGAGAAAGAAAGAAGGAGGGAAAGGAAGAGAGGAAAGAATAGAAGAATGGAGGGACATGCATGCGGCCTAAAAAACCAGGTGTCTTCTACATAGTTGTGAACTTAACCTAACGTTAACTAGTCCACCATAAAAGGGCAAACCATGCCATGCTATGCCAAACCAATCAATCAATCAATGAATCAATAGTTAAACGAACGCCGCACGCCATGCAAACAAAGAGGTATCTCCACGAATATAAGCTAAGAATTGCAATAGAAAGACAAAAAGTGCTGCCATCACAGCTTCTGTTCCGCTACTGTCCACCGGCGCTTCACCCCTGTGTCGCGGTCTTCTAAGGTCGGCGCACTCCCCCACAGGCCCCGTTGGGAGAGTGTCCGCTGCGGTACTTGCTGGGCCCATCTGGAGTCGCCAGTCAGCTCCGGGCCATGGGGGTCTTGGCTCTGGTTCGCGGTTCGCGGATCACCAAAGTTGGGCACAAAGTCTTCATCGGTGTAATCGTCCACTTTATCGGCCGGTGATGAGCTTGAACCCCAAAGGCCCGACGCACCCCGTGGACCAATTAATGAGCGTGAAGCAAGGGTCCAGCCGCGGGGACTGCTGGCGGACCCCGAGGTCGACCCGGTCGTGAATGTACCCGGGAGGAGAGATGGGCGGGAGCCCAGACGATTGCGGTATGTCGGAATCGGAGGAGGTGAGAGTGGATGCTGGGGAGCGGATGGAGATGCTAGTGATGCGATCTGGGATGGGTTGACGCCCGGACGCAGATGATCGGTGGACGCCACGAGCTGCAGGACATACTCCTGCGCGACCGACCCATCTTTCCGAGGACGGCTGGGCGAATCACTGGCACCGGCCGACGGGGAGGAAGGTCGGTCAACCCCTCGGTCCCGGCGCACTGCCATGGTGAGAGAGGCCGTCCCGATATCGAGAAAGGCTGAGCGACCACTCAGCGAGCTGATCAAGGCATTACAATCAGCGCCGTGGGTGACAATGATCAGAACCGTTTGTGGCTCAGGCTGAGCTGAACAATGTGAGAGTTTGGAAGCGGACGGCGAGTGCTCAGGGTACCAGTCCACCATCCGTTTAAAACCGGCGTGTACTCGTTCATGCATCGTGCTCCACTCCTCTCCATACTCCCCCCCGGTGCCCCAACTTTGCGGCGGGCGCATGCTGTCCCATTGGTAATCGATTTTGGTGCAAGCGTCTCGCGCATGCGTAACATACCCTGTCGGGATGGGGTCCGACGCGGAGACGGCATAACTGGGAGTCGGGGGCACATACGCGACATCAAGACAAGGCGACAGATTTGTGTTGATGCGACTCAGCGTACTCTGACCGCGGGCCGTCTCTACGGGGCTCCGCAGAGTATCACAGGTGCTGGCACGCTGTCGCGGACCTTGTTGGGACAAGGGCTGAGAAGAGCCGTGGCCCGTCAAGCGGTGGTCATCATCATGATCACTAGCCGGAGATATGGGATTTGAGTGATTGCTCCAACCCCCGGGAAAATGCCCTGACGTTGAACGAGCGGATCTATCGATGCCGGCCGCAATGCCATCGCCGCGACGCAGCAGTTCTGCCTTGGCGGCTGCAACCATGCGCTCGGAGCCGGGGGGTGGTGTTATTTGCTCGAAATAATCCGGAGAAAGCCATTCGCCAAGGACAGCGTCCACACGCAGGAGGCAGCGAGGTTCGATGGGGATGGTTTTCGCGGGGCCAGGGGTCGGGTTGGTCACTCCCGGTGTGTCATCACCCAGGCGATGCTGGTGAATGCCGGCACTGAGCGCGATGGCCGTTTGGAGACATCGTAAATACGGAGATGTGTGGATGATGATTCTGTATCGGTGGGACAAGGCCGATGAGGACGGTGCCGGTTTGAGATTCGACTGAGCCGAGGTCAGGGGGCTGCCCGAGGGCTCTACGCCTGTAAATTCCGGAGCGTGCAAGAGGCTCGCAATCCGAGCGCCGAGAGCGCGAGACTGAATCCAGCCACCGTAGGAGAGAGGTGGATCGTAGGGTGTTGGAGAGGTGAGATGCCAGTCCTTGTCCGCGGCATCAAGACGCGCGCCATGCCTAGTGGGGTCGGGTTAGGTCAGTCATTTTCTGCAAGGCACGGAAAAAGGAGATAGTTATGCGCAGTACCTGGCGATGAACACGATCGGCGGTGACTTAGCCATTGGGAAGACGGTCTCTTCGCCCGCTGACAGCTGTGACGTGCTGGTGTAAAGCAGTGACGTGCTCTTGCAAAAAATGTCTTGGATGGAGGATGCGGAGGGGCATATGCGGAGTCGAATGGTAGACTGCAGCAACTCACACTAGCTGTAGGGCAGCAGACATGCAGACAGAGGCAGCGCCAGCAAGGCCCATCAGTCGGGCAGCAAGACAGTCATTTTTATTGCCGGCGACGCCATAATAGAACAAGAACAAGAAGAAAAGAAAGAGGAAGAGCATGTGATGGAATGGGCTTAGGTAAGAAGAGGAATCGATCACCTGATGAGTTGCGCGGTCTATGAATAGACGATGGTATATACTTCCGGGTCACGGGGTATCAACCACGCACGGGCCACGGCCTCTGGAATGGCGCTAGGCCTGAAGGAGTGCAGCAACAACATCTTCTGCTGCTTCCATCATCAAACATGACGGTGGCACTGTGGATCTACGCGACATGTTGAGCCCCGTGGAGCTGTCGCTCGCGCCCTCCTGCGAAGACTGCCTGGACTGGTCTCCCGATGGCGAGCTGGCCATCGCAGCCGGAGACTCAGTTCAGATCTTGGTCCGTGTTTGGCAGCCCAGAGAATCTGATAACAACGACTAACGCGAATCTAGACACCCAAGTTTGGCAAGTACGGCAAGCAAGAGAATGGTTCATCGTCGGGGTGGCATATCACTCGGTTCCGGACCAATCTGTTCACCCACGAGGAATGGCCGAGCTGTTGGCCGCAGAACCGCGATAATTTTTCTATCGCGGCGGAGCAGTCCCCAAGTACCGTGCGCGCTCTCGCCTGGTCCCCACCGGGCCTGGCCCGATTCCGCCGTAGCGTGCTGGCGGTACTGACGTCGAATCTTGTCCTGAGCCTTTATGAGCCACTCGGCCCAAGACGGCAGTGGACGAAGGTGGGTATTGTGAATCATTCGCTCCGAAATTATTTTTCGCCCTCAGAAGATCCAAACGGCCTCGCGCTTCGCAAGTGTCTCATTCGCTCTTTTTCATGGTGCACACCCCTTCAAATGCCGGCATCGGACACAGACTCAGTGCTGGACCCTGAAAGTCGCTGGGGGGTTCAGATGCTGGCAGTGTCGAATGACCATAATGACGTGATTATTCTGCGGGTGCACAGGTCTGCGCCCTCCAGCTCCTACAGCATGGACCTATTGGGCCTTCACTCCCCAGAGGCCCAGGGGTCTCAGTATTCCACGTACTGTCCAGGATCCATCCTTGAAAATGCTCTTCAAATAAAACAGCGGGTTCTCTCCGTTACTTGTGGTCCATGGATTGCCTCACCGGACACGAACACGGACGACGCCTATGTTGCCACTTCCCTAGTCGTTGTGGTGTATGGGTCGCAGCTACGAATGATAAAGGTTATTGCGGCCCTCAAAGCCTCGGATACAGAAGAACCACCGATTTACAATGTGGCAGTAGACGTGACAGCTCACCCGTTGTCGTCGCTGACCCAACAATGGCATGAGCATCATTTTACGGGCCTGCTCCACTGGGTTCCAATGGTATGATTGAACTTCAATGTCTTGATATTTCGGGCAAAGTTGACTCATTCCTGGATCAGAAATCGGATTTTGCTCTCGTTGCAAGTGTCAATGCTGGATACTTCACAATTCACATACCTCATTCCGTGTATGGCGGCGATGAGAAAAAGCTCAATCAGACAAAGGTCCGTGACCACCCCCTTTACGAGTCGACAACCTCCGAGGGAGTTGAAACACAATCAAGACACCTGGAGTCTATTTCTGGTAAGCTTTGACCCTGACCAGAGTCGACATCGCTAATCATGAGCAGCCATGACCAGCTTGTCGAACGAGCGAACCCACACCTCCACTCTTCATCTTGGAACCCTTGGCGGGCTTTGTTGCAAAACAACCCTTGAGAAATCCAACAAAAAGGAATCGGCGCAGTTTCCGCAATGGAGCAAGACCATTGAAGACCTGCGGGAACGATTTGATTTGAATCACGACCTTAGTGGTTGGTCCGTGGCAAGGATCTGGGGATTGACATCACGTCGAGATGTCATCGCAGCCTTATTTACGCGACATGGGACGGACATGGTAGAATATAAAGTCTCGGCAGATGACCGAGCAATGCTCATCTTCTCTACAGAGGACGAGGAGCACGAGGAAGACTCCCAGAAGCTCTTCGCACCAACCATTACGCAACAAGAAACAGTGTCCGCTCGTGAGAAACGTGAAGTCGCTACCCAATTCGTGCTGAAGAACTACGATGATGACCATCCACACGGCCAACGACTCGTTTATGCCGCCGCATGTTCTGCAATTATAGAACAACAGAGCGACCCAACCCGATCTCAGGCACGGCAGGCTTTGGAGCTTTTGGCGCGGGTAACTGGGGCAGACCTGAGCGATGAAATTTCCAAGTCCACCGGCCCCGGCGCACAAATCATCCCCGCCAAGTCAGCCGATCAGCTCGACGGGCCGGGTGCACATTTGTTTGAGAGATGCGAGGTGTGCGATGCAGGAGTAGCGTGGTACTCTTCCCAAGAGGCTCAATGCGCAAATGGCCATCTTTTTGGTAAGTGATCTCATAGGAATTGCAATCGCCGGAGCTAACTCTCACTGACTAGTTCGCTGCGGATTAACTTCTGTGGCTATACAAGAGCCAGGAATGTCCAAGTACTGCTCCTGGTGTCACACTGAATATTTCGACGAGGAGGTCCTGGCTTGCAGCCGCGCCGATGATCTAGGACGATTGCACAGACTCATGTTCACCGCATTTGATACGTGCCTGTACTGCGGCGGCAAGTTTCAGGCGAGCATCTAAGATCGATGAGGGAAAGCCCGAGGAGAATTGCAGAATTGGGCACCGAATCATCAATTCATAAACTAGTTCAGACCAAGAAGTGAGCCTGCGATAGGATCCCATTCGTCATCCCATCGCCGCGCGCTTTCTTTTTGTGCGCCCACACGCAGCGATTCCAACCGACTGTTATCGCCAAACAGGAGAACCAATCGGTCAGCAAGCTCTGCAGAGCTGCCGAAGCCCATCCCGTTGCGTCCCTCGGTCACTAGCTCTGGCCACGCCTCAAAATGACTCCAGCCCACCACCGGCAGGCCGGCACCGAACATGTCTACCACTTTCATCGGCAGATCCACGCCACTGCTGCTGGTATGCAGGCTGACTCCCAGCGCCGCCGATGCCAACAACTGCGCGTAATCCGGTACGCTCAACCATGCCGTCCGAATAGTGACCCTTTGGAGCCTTCCGGCTTGTTCATGTGCCACGATCTGCTTCATGTACATGTCCTTCTGGGGACCCTTGCCAGTAATGATGGCCAACACGTCAGGGAGCTGGGGGTGTGTTGTGGTGGCCAGTTCCGAATATTGAAGAAGGGCATCAATGAGGATGGAGAAGTCCTCATCAGCCGTCCACGAAGTTGAGCTCACTAGAACCCTGAGAGTGCCTGCAGCCAGGGAAGAGCGCGTTGTCTTGGTTTCCGGCAGAGAGGCGAGAAACTCCCGTCGCACGCCAGGTTTTACTATGGGGTGAAAGTGACTGGCTGGCCGGTCATGTAACGGCAAGACAGGTGCTTGAAGTGCAAAGTCCCTTTTCAGAACCGCGGCCATGGCATTGGTCACGCAAAAATGCGCAGTGGCTGACTTGCAAAAGAATTTCTCGTACCATATCGACAGCTTTACGAGGGGGTGACTGTTACCTAGCTTCAAGGCCAGGATTGAATAGCCGAAATTGTGCCAGTCAATGACCAGTTTCGTCTGCCGGAGAAAGCAGACGATTGACGCAATGGCCAAACTGGGAATTGACGGTGGATTCTACCGCACCAGGCAAGTCAGTATGGTCTAGGAGCTGGTCAACCATAATTCCTTACCTGTACCAGCAGCCAACGTGCTGGCTTGGTGGTGTATGCTAGACACTTCCATAGACAAGCGATTTGAAACAACACCTTCAAGGGCCCGTAAATCGTGAACAGAAGCTTGTTGCTGGTCTGGAGGATAGCCGGATGAGGATGTAGCGGGACAATGGATATGTTGGGATGCGAGGTAATGTCGGGATGAGGGTCGGACTCTATATCCAAACGGTCAGTAGAACTCATAGCGTCAACCAAGCGAAGAACCGTACCTTTATACCCAATGATCGCCACCTGCCCGCCTCGGTTCGCAATGCTCAAGGCATGGTACTGCATGCGCGGACTGCGGCCAATATCTCCGAGAACGAGGATCTGAACGCTGGTCTTGGGCTTTTGCGGTCCATGTTGCGCGTCCCTTGTGGAAGAGGTGCCTGGCTGATACTGGGATGGAAGGAGCAGAATAAATAGGGTGATTGCGGTGGACAGGTAGAAGGCGACGCTGAGGACCGAGTCAATCATGGTATTGAGGGCACGGTGTATGTAGAACGTTAGGTTATCTGGCGTGTTCCGTGTACATCACGGCGATAAGGGCCCTGGACCTTACATCAGCACCATCGATAAGGCGCATCACGTGAAGCCCCCTAATAGCGTGCCCAGCTTGGCCTATCTGAGATTCTTGTGTTGGCCTTTTTGTTTCCCAATTGTCTGCGGCCGAGCCAGCCGGGTGTTACCAGCCCAAGATCCTTGACGCGCGACGCGATGCTGTGTGCCCCCGCCACTGCCCACCCCGTTCCCCCAAGCTCCTGAAGCTCCGCACCAATCTCCGATCATCTTGGTCTCCCTCCGCGCCCTCCTTCTGCCCACACCTCAACTGGAGACCATGTCGGCGGGGCCGACCTCGTTGAACGTGGATCCCTCTCCGCCATCCCATGCGCACACTCATAGTCACAGCCGAAGTCGCGGTCATACGCGTTCCCCCCGATGGGTGCCGCCACCTCTCTCACTGGCCCCCGAAAGCCAACCGCAGCCGTTGAGTAATGGGACCGCAGGGTACTCAAATGGGGAGACATCACAGGGGTCATGGTCTCAACATCAGCATGCTTCTGGGCACCATCACCACCATCATACCCACAGCATATCATCGGTTCCCGGCGTGGATAGCAAAGCGCTATCAGGTCATGATCCCAAGGGTGTTAATGGTGGCGGCATGATTTCTCCGGAAACGCCGATTCATACCTCTGACTCTACTCAGGACGTTGTGTGAGTACTATTAGAGCTGTCCCAAACGCTGAAAAAACACACGACTAACAATAGTACTAGCCATGAAGTAGTTACTGGAGCTCTCATCGCATTGCCATGGGTCGCGCTGTCTTGGTACTCCAGAAAGTACGCGCGCACATTTGAGGTACCCAGAAAAGAACCCTCGGCTACCGAGAATGTGCTTCCTGTCAGCATGATTGGCCAAGTTGGCCAGAAGACCTGCGCAATGACAGCTATCACCCTGCTCGTCTTTGGTTGCGGCCAGCTACTACGAATGAAACGGGAGAAAGGCGGCTCTCACGGCATTTCTTCTGTCCGATCAACAGCGATCAATGTGAAAACCGCACAAGCGGCGTTTCTCTTGATATGCTCGGTTGGACTGCCAGTGTATGCCGCCCTTAAGATAGGAGGATTCCTTGTTGCGTTTGCCCTGCTTCTCGCCACGGCAACTGGTATACCGAACCTAGTTCGTGGTAACTCGCCCAACACGTCACAGGAGCGCTTCAATCGAAAGATTTTGACCCTTGCATTGCTAGCGGGGGCTATGCTACTGAGTTTCTTTGGATTGAACCAACCGTGGGGCTCGTACCCATTCATGGGCTATGCGGCGTTGTTGGTGTCGATCTTGGTCATCTCACCTCCATTCCCATCTCTGCAACACCAGGGACCCATTTCGGAGCCCGGACTTGTTGCCCGATCCCTCACTGCACAGGCCAAACCACCCGGCTTAAATGCCTCGGCACTAGTTGTCACGGCTGATGCCCCATTAGCCGCTATTTCTGGAGCCGTTCTGGCGCTCCTGCTCGCACTATTCTCCCAAATATTTTCATTTGAGGTGATGCCTTTCGTTGGTCTCTTGATCCCTGCCAGTCTCTTTGCCGCTTCATTGGCGTTTTCTCTTCCTGCACGTCTTCGGTCTCCCAGCAAAGCTGGTTTGGCCATCTGCACCGGAGCCGCTGCTCTTGCTTGTTCTCCCCACTTCAGGGATGATTATTTTATGGTCTATGTCGCGCGCATCATTCTAAGTACCGTATCTTTCTTCACCTCGAGGATGGATGACAGCCACTTGCGTTTAGATGCACATTCACACAACCATACGCACCATCGTCATCCCAGTCAGTCTCATGGAATCGCGGAGTCCTGGCGATTGACGAAATGGATCGTCAATCGAAGCGAGCCATACCCCTTGCTATACAGTATCCTTAAGGAAAAGGATTCTCGCAGTATCTTTTTCTTTATGTGGTGAGTTATACTTTTGAATCAACTTATCATGGTTTTTCTGACGGAGATATAGTTTAAACTTTGCTTTTATGCTTGTGCAGTTGGCGTACGGCATCCTAACCGGATCTCTGGGGCTGCTGAGTGACAGTATTCACATGTTCTTTGATTGTTTGGCGCTTATCGTTGGACTCTGTGCCGCTGTGATGAGTAAATGGCCGCCCAATGCTCGATTCCCCTACGGATATGGCAAGGTCGATACTCTATCTGGATTTGCCAATGGCATTTTCCTTATGTGCGTATGACTCTCTCCTTGTCACTGGGCATCTCTAACAACCTGCAGGATCATCAGCCTGGAGATCATCTACGAGGCAGTGGAGCGGCTGTCGACGGGTAGCCAAATGCATCGCATCAGTGAACTCTTGGCTGTCAGTATTGCCGGGCTGGCTGTGAACCTGGTCGGTATCTTTAGTTTCGAGCACGGACATGCCCACCATGGACATGACCACGGCCACGATCACTCGCACGGCAACGAAAACATGCATGGAATTTTCCTGCATATTCTAGCAGACACCCTTGGCTCTGTAGCTGTGGTGATTTCGACCGTTCTCGTGCACTACTCTGGCTGGTCCGGATATGATCCATTGGCCTCGTGCTTCATTGCGATATTGATATTTGCCTCGGCTGTACCTTTGGTCAGCAGCACAGCTCAAACCTTGCTGCTTACGCTGCCAGCGGATACCGAGTACAATGTTCGTGAAACCCTGGCTGGGGTGAGCACCCTCCGAGGAGTTGTCGGCTATACCGTGCCGAAGTTCTGGCTCGATGATACTGCTACGGTGTCGTCCGACCACAGTCACGATCATGGTCATCAAAGCTGTGACCATTCGCACTCGCATTCCCATACTCATGACCCTGGCCACCACCATCACCATGATCATAGTCATGATGGACACGATCATGATCATGATCATGCACACGAACACAAGAACCAAAAAGTGCTTGGTGTGATCCATGTCATTGCTTCTCGCGGTGCGGATCTAGAAGATGTACGCCAACGGACCGTCAATTTCCTCCAGGAAAAGAATATGGACATCGTGGTACAGGTAGAGCGTGACGGAGATGGACGCTGCTGGTGCGGTGGAGGCAACAAAGGCATTTGAGTTGCATTGGAAATCAATCCGCCCCGGCAATGGAATGCTGATCAAATGATCCCCTCAAAGCCCGACCTGTTCCTGGGTCTTCCACTCCTCCGGACCAACTGTTACATATTGTACAGATGCACGCTGGGTGATATGCACAGGACTATTTGAGAGTCCCTCTGGCGTTTTGGGGGCAAACCACGAGCTAAATATACCCCCGTTCAGAGAGAAATGAATTTTTCCGAATACTGCCCTGTTGCTCTATTTCGCGTATCAACTTCTAGGCAGGGTTCAAAGTGTCTAGTCCTAATAGAATTGCCCCATGCCAACCGTTTCTAGGCCTGTTTTCAGACCCTGCAAAAAGTCGTGCGGCTGCGGGGACCGAAATTCAAATACCGGGCATAGATCGAGGCAGAACTGGACAAAAAAAGAACGCTCGTGAAGTCGTACAACCCCCGGCTGCACATGGCCCAATTCCTATCAGAGGTAGGATTCTCTGCGAATGTCTGCAAGACGGAGTGAGGATGGAAGCCATAGATTCAAGCCCATTAGCAAGACTAGCGAAGGCTAGAACTGGGGGTTTCGGCTTGCGCAGAGGCGCAAGTCACATTCGACGATAGTTTGTCCCACCACCCCTTTTCCCGAGGGTGATACTGTCCGACTCGGATGCCCGAGAGTTGCCTGGAAACCAATTGATATATCTCCAGGATGCTAATATCGCGCACCTACTGCTTCCCTTGCCATCGCACATCTGAACATAGCGCAGTGAGCTTGAAAGGCGTAGCTCCAATGTCATTCCCGGCCCCAGCTTCGTCCCACGCAGACGAGGTCCTGCAGAGCGGATATGCGAGAATCTTCGAGTCTCACACGGTCTTCCTGACGGGGTGCACAGGATCGCTGGGAGGGTGTCTCTTATACAAGCTCGCGCTCCGACTTCCCACGCGCAAGATATTTGCATTGATCCGGGACAAGCCCCAAACGGCAATTGACAAATGGCGGAAATCCATTCCCGACCAGACAGAGGCGATTCTAGCCTCGAAGAAAGTTGAATTCGTGATCGGGGACATTAAATCCGTCAATTTCGGTCTCGAGCCCGCTGTCCTCGAGCAACTCCAGAACCAAGTGACCCTCGTCATTCACACGGCAGCCAAGATCGCCCTCGAGGCGCGTCTTCGAGATTCCCTTGAGAACAATTGTCTTCCAGCGCTGGAGCTCGCGCGGATCGCGTCGAGATTCCGGAAATTGAAACTACTTATTCAACTTTCCACCGCGTACGTGAACAGCTTCCTTCCCGATGGTCCCGTGTTGGAACGACCGTATACACTAGCAGACGAGGACCCGGAGGAAGAGCTGGCGTCCATCCTGACGCATGATGCTTCTCCGCACGTCGCCCGGTTCGCCTCCTCGTACGGCCTGGCCAAGTACATGATGGAACGACTGCTCGTGAAACGATATCCGCTGCTGCCGGTCCTGCTTGTGCGACCAACGATCTTCGCTCCTGCGCTGCGAGAGCCGTATCCCATGTACGGACCGGAAGACTCGACGCCACTGACCAAGTTTGGACGGCTCATAATCGCAGACCGGGGAGGCGCACAGGTTTGGCACTCGACAGCTGGCTACAAGACCGGGGTGAACGTTATCGACGAGATACCCGTCGACTTCGTCGCCAATGCATGCCTGCTGCACGCGGCTGCGCGCACGACGGGAATCGTCCAGATCGGCTCCGAGCTATACGAGCCGCGTACGTTCGACGAATTCATCGAGCTTGTCATCTCTAATGCGCCGCCTGATATTCGACGGGAGCTGCCGACGTTTGTCTTCACGGAAGATCAGAGCGCACCGCAGTGCTTCGTGGCTGAGCTGGTGGCGGTCGCCTCGCGCAATTGGTTATTCGACTGTGGTCGGTCATATTGGCTGAAGCAGGTCGGGGGCCCATTGAGTCTACGGTCGTGCACGCACCAGGTCCAAAGCATGAATGTGGCACGAATCCGCCAGATCTATGACACTCTTGCGGAGAAGGAGAAGGCCCGTCTTTAAATGAAGTGCGCTGTATGGACGAGTGTGCCCGAGTTGAGGGCGTCATATAGTTGTCTTTACTAATGAATCGATGGGACTCGCTGTTGGACACGATCTTGGAATAACGAGTAGTTATACATCTGCCATATAGATGGTCCTGTCACAGTCCCATCTTCTGCTGGGGCCATGCCAATGCATCCTGCCACTGCGAACTTGCAGGGCTCACGACCTTCAGCAGCTCGGAAACTAACGCGCGCCCCGAATTCCGAGCCCACCACCGTTGCCCATCCAGTTCACCCAACAGCACTCCCCAGTGCATGAGAATGAGCAGGGGTAGAGGTTGACGTCTCCGGACGTTGTCTACAAACTCTTTATTGACGGCAGCAAGCCAGGCGAGGACATGCGCAGGGCTTGCGGTATCGTTAAACATGGAAAAACAGTAACGGAGCGAGTCGATGACTGTTTTATTGATCTGATGTTGTTCGGGGTCGGTATCCTCAAGAGTCCCATCATTCAGGGATGCCAGTCTCTCAAAGGCTGTAAATGCATCACTTTCTAGCTCGATTGGGTCGCCCTGCCAATTGCCCGTGGCCCGCGTGAATAGATTCAGTTTGATCCATGGTTTGCCGATGCTAAAAATGTTCTTCACGCCTTGCAGAAGCTCGAAGACCACGACAATATTCTCGGTCATGCCCTGACTCTCGTTCCGATCGGCAGTGAGTTGCGGCAAGGCGATGCCGATGACGATAGTGATGACTGCCTGCGCAAGCACGGCCTCACAGTTCAGCGGCGTGATATTGGTGACGGCGGCCCGGAATGGTGCGAAAGTGAGATTATGGTACTCGAGCGCTGTATCAATGTAGGCCAGAGACCCCGCGGGTGTGGTCGTCGAAGCGATGTGCAACGCGGCGAGGGCCAAGATGCCATTCATTAAAAAGTCATACTGGAGCGCCTGGCGTGGGACGTCAATTTTCCAGACGCGATCCTCATTGTCGGTCGTGCAGAGACTCTCATACGTCTCTGTGGAGAACTTGTGCATCAACTCCAGGTCCCGAACGCCGGATGTTGCCGGCAGCGCGACCGACAGACGGTTGACGGCGGGCTGTGGGGTGGCGACGGGGTGGACGCCCGGTGAGGGGGGACATGATGGGCCGGATGAGACCCAGCGCCCTGTGGGGGAGCTCTCAGGTATGTGCAATCAATCTCACGAGCAGTACAATTGGAACAAGGGGGTCCTCGTTCGTCACACTACAGTTGTCAGAACCAGCGGAACTTGGGGAAGGGGGGCCGGTGGGCTGACCTTCACGCGGCGGCGTTTGCACTGGTCGCAGCCCTTGCGGGACTTGGTATGAGCACGGCGAGGAGGCATGCCGGAAGCCGGATCTGCGGCCCCTGCGTTGGTCCATTTACTGATTCGGGGAGGGAAGAAGGAAGGAAAGAGGCGCGAGAGCGAGAACGAGGGCGAAGGTCATGTGACTCGGAGTATGGCGTGGGATGAATTATTATTAGGATGTTTGTCTGATCTAGATCATCCGTTGGAAAATCTAGAAGATCGATTGCAGCACAGGAGATGTCTATTCTTGGACCGACAGCTTGTCGGGGTTTATGGATTCGTGAACACAGCCAGGGATCGTTCTGAGGGAGGAATCAGAGGCTAGGTATTATTGCAACAGTCGCCGACTGAGTTAGGATCGATCCGTCTTATCTAGAGGGACAGACACCCGGATATGGGATGTTTCTCAGGCAGGTCTCGATGCTCAATGACTAATGTAGACGCAATTCTCCGACCCCGATCTCGCGTGGATAGCAGTGGAGCCTCGTGGGTAAGCGAAAACGAGAACGAACGCGACTACCAATGGATCACTGGCTCGCTTCTGCTCTTCGGCTCTTGGCAGATCCGGTCGGAGACATTAACCCGTCTGACAGCAAGGAAAATGTCTGCGGTTATATGTTGGGGCTGATCCGCCGTTGCGCGGGTGGTCAGTAACCGGCTTTCTTTCCTTCTGGACGACCAAACTCACTTTCCTATTGGGATTCGTCGCCATTTCCACCCAATAACATGCCAAGTTACGCGGACTGCTTCCAGGTCAGCCCTGAATGCCCGGTCGAGGCGACGACCTACGGCTACTACCCGAATCTGGGTGCCAATATCTTCTTCACCGTGTTCTTTGGTCTGGTGGGCGTGTGCCAGGTCGGCCTGGGTCTGTATTTCCGAACGTGGACATTCTCGACGGCACTATGCATCGGCGCGTTGATGGAGATGGCTGGGTACGTGGGCCGGATCTTGATGAATGGGAATCCATGGTGGGAGAGCGCGTTTGAGCTGCAGATTGTGTGTCTGGTGCTGGCACCGACCTTTATCGCCGCCGGAATCTATTTGACGCTGAAGCACATCATTCTCCGCTTGGGACCAGAGCACTCGTCGCTCAAGCCGCGGCTGTTCACCTGGATCTTCATCGGCTGCGACATCGGCTCGCTGATCCTGCAAGCGGCTGGCGGTGGTGTCGCGGCGTCGGCGGGAAAAACAAACCAGAAAATGCTGCAAGCTGGAGACGATATCATCATCACGGGTATTGCCTTTCAGGTCGTCACCATGTCGGTGTGTGGGTTGCTCGCGCTGCATTTCTTCTGGAATGTCTTTCACCGGGGTGATGGATTGGCCGGTGAGAAGGATCTGGAAAACAGCGGCGTGTCGACATCGCAGAGAAGGCTGCCCTTTATCATCGGCGCGATGATTTTGGCCTACTTCACTGTGCTGATCCGGTGCATCTATCGGTAGGCAAAACGATCTTTTGGTGGCTGGGACACTTGCTGACTATGTCTGAAGTATACCGGAGATGGCCGGCGGTTGGGGTAACCCCTTGATGCAGAGGGAGAACGAGTTCCTCGTCCTGGACGGAATGTAAGTGCTCTCCTGGATTTATTGAGACTGGATACCAGTCTAACATCACCATATCAGGATGATTGCCATCGCCACCCTCTCCTTCACCATCTTCCACCCCGGATTCTACCTCCCTTCGATGCGGACGGGATACAAAAACCGCACTTGAACTTTCCTCTCTCTCCTTTTCTGCATAGTTGGAGTTTTCTGGTTCTGCCCTTTAGAGCTGAGATGTTTGCCCATAGTCGCGATAGTGCATGTCTTTAGGCTGGACTGGCCAGATCCAAGACAAATAGAGCATGGTGATAGATGCAATTAGTTGGAAGAAATGAATCATATACCATACGAAGTAGAACCGAACGTGAACCAGTACATCACAAATGTAGTCAGACGCAACTCCAACAACCAAATGAACATAGACCCAGATCATGAGAGAAAGAAGTGCCCAGAAATGCCGTACAAATAGAAGGAAGAAAACACCCGCTCAGAGCGTGGCCATTCAATGGCCCGACCTGTCCACATCGCTCGCTCTTTGATGCAACAAGGTGAGTGAGACACACTGTCCACAGAGTGTGGCTGTGCGAATAGCCCGTTCACTCCTCGCCCAGACTCTCCCGGACACACCGACGCACCCGCTTCTTGAACTCGGCCGGATCCTCACGCCATAACCGGGCGGCTTCGACGTTGGCGGGACTCTCGTCGTTGGGGCTGGACAGCATGGAAATAACGGACAGAAGGATGGTCTCGGGGGTTTGCACGGGAGACCAGCGCTCAGCGGCAGACTCGTAGCCGTACTTGTCCTCCTCGGGCGGGTGCAGAATGGAGATGCAGACTTCACCGTTGGGGTAGACTAGATTCGGTAGTTAGTATTATGTCGATGCCTCCGAAGCGGCTTGTAGCCCACACTTCAGGCGGATGGCACATACTGTTCGGGTGGAAGAGTGGCGTCTCGAACTTCATCTTGGGTGGCAAGTGCGGGTACTCTGAAGGGAAGGACAGACGAGCACGGAAGAAACCCCCTACCAGAGGACTGTCAGTTTGGGGGTCTATGCCGAGCGGAGGACGTTCAGAACGATCTGCAGAGGGGCTGTTCCCGCCGATCAAAGGGTTGACCAGAGGGTTCAACGAGGTGGTTTCTCTGCCAGAACGCGGCCACTCACCTCCGTACAACTTAACATCATCCGAGATCATCAGCATCACCTCCCACTCGAAGACGTTGTTATCGGCCAGCCCACAGCTGATCCCCGGAATGTCCTTATCGGATTGCATCTGTTGCAGCTGGCGGGACAGCATACGGCCGGCGGGTGAGGTCGCCATGACGGGAGGTCAAGGCAAAGAAAGAGGCTGGGTCACTACTGAGAGCAGAAAGGTTTCCAACACGGTTATTGCATGGAGGATGATTGTAGTGCAGGGAAGAACTAACAGATGAAAAGAGTTGAGGGGGGGAAAAGCAGGCAAGGCGGTGAGCGGGGTCAGGCCCCGCCCAATGGGTTCGTTCGTTAGGGCTTGGTATACAGAGGAGATTCATTGCTAGTAGTAACTACTGAGCATTGTATGGGAACAAAGAATGGACAGATCAAGATATAGCATTCATGGCGAGTGACACGGGGCGATATAATCATAGGAAGAGGTCCAATCCAACTGGACTCTCCTCTCTCTTGCCATGGAGTGCCATTCATCCAACGGATCAGAGGATTGTCGGATGCCTACATGCTCATGCCCTGGGGATCCGAAGGGGCGCCAACAGCCAGGACACCAGGACCCATCAGCATCAGCTCCCCAACCAGGATAGCCCCAGCCGCAACAGCCAGCGCCATCTGGATCAAAACCGTCTTACCGATGACTTTGCCAAAACGGACGCGAGCCGACCAGTCAAAGGTAGCCCACGCATCGGTGAGGCTGAGACAGCCACTGCCGCCGGTGATGGCGGGGTTCACCTTACCACCAAAGGACCGGTCAAAGGGCACGATCGACTCATCCTCCTCCGGAAGCATCGACGCAGCAACACGGATGAAGATACCACGGGCGGGGATGGAAATCAAAAAGGCAAACAGGGCTGGGATAAGATAGACGGCCATGGTGCTGCACACGATTTTCATCGTAATCTCGTTCTTGGGGGTCTTAAAATCGATCAGACCAACAGCTTCGAGGAAAGCCAGCGGGAGGAAGAAGCCGGCTGCAGTGAGGATATCCTGCAGAGCCACCGCGGGGGCAATCTTCGGCCAGGTCCGGTAGCTGGGGATGCGCTGGTAGAAGGGCTTGGGCGAGGGCTCGGAGATGACGATGTGCACCCAGGCCATCTGCCAGGTAGCCAGGAGCATGCTGACGCAACACTGGACGAGGAACTGACCGAGGAACGAGTCACGGGTGGGGAGCAAGGCCCAGATGAAGCCGCCAGTGAGGGAGTAGACGAGGAAGATGCTAAGACCGCGGAACGGCGACCAGAACCCGCCTCGGCCGCGCAGATGCCGCACGGTCGTGCGCAGCTTGCTGGTGATGGGCTGGAGGGGGGTGGAAGCGGCCATTTCGGGCTCGTTCGGGTTGACGGGCTTATTGGGGTCGTCGTTATTATTGTCGATGCGGACGTAGATGTCGGGGTTGGTATCCTCGACCGCCGCCAAGGTGGCGACCACCATGCCCAGTGTATATTGGACCTGCCAACGAGATTAGCTGAGTCGGATCAAAGGGCACACATACTACATACCGCCCATATGGTCACACTGAGCGCGAGGATGGTCAGCCCGAAGATGCCGAACATCCATGGCGATGTCCGGGGCTGATTGTCAGACGGCTCTCTCTTCAGATGAACAGCGGCGAGCTCAGCGCCTCGACGGAAGACGGTTCCACTAATAGTCGACATGATGAATAGCGAGAAAGTGGAGGATAATGGAAAGGGAAGAAAAGAGGAGGGGGCCAAACACGAGTAAGTATTTATCTGATGCGCTGACGAGGCTGAGACCAACGTAATCCGCACCGCCCGGTACGTGCCGGATACTTGCCACACGCGGATGATGCACCCCACAAACCAAGTACCTAAGAAGTACCAGCTTGTCAAATCACGCCTTCCTCGGTCCTCACTTGGATGTCAATAACATACAATAAGAACAATCTACTAAATCAATAGGCAATCTGGAATAACTACCAATTATCTGCTATCCATAGTTCACTCGGTCAACGAAAAGACGCAGTGTCCATGCCAAGACAGCCCCCAAGGCAAACAGGTCAGAACCAACAGTGGCGGCGGGGCCGGCATCGTGTTGTTGCCAATGAACGCCGGTGGAGGGTCTCGGCAACTTCGGCCTGAGCCTCATAGGAGTAGTGGAGTCATATGAAAATACATAAACAATACACTGCCTCCAATTCCTAGCCCTGTACAATATGTAGTCTATCCTTCTATACAAACCAACCGGAGCTCGAAGGACCCGACACATCTCTAGAATAATGATATTCAGCAGCACAAAAGACCAATCAGCCGAAAAGAGAACGCTGCATAGAAACAAACGAAACGACGGATATAGAACCCAACAACATGAAGGAATCATTTAGTCGTCAAAAAGCTTCTTCATGAACTTGTGGGCCAGCTCGACACCGAGGCTATTCCGCATGGTCAGCAGCATGTCCAGAATCTGGAGTGCAGGAAACTTACAAAGTAGCTGCGTTGGCCGGCACAGCACGCGCCAAAGCTGGGCCAAAGCCGGGGAAGAAGGCCTTGAAGCCTCCACTGGCATACACGGCGCTAATGGTGCCGCCGATCGTCGGCTTGCCGGGGGCACTTTGCAGACGGGACTTGATCGTGTCGACGGGGAAGACCGGAATCCACATGGCAATACCGGCCGCACCACCGGCAGTCAGGACCGCGGGCAGGGACAGTTCACCAGTCACGTTGCCATTCTCGTCCTTGGGGGTCAGCGACCGCTTGATGTACTCGTAGGCCGCGAAGTAAGCAGCGGATCCCGGACCATCCCGCGCCAGGGTCATGGCGCTGCCGCGGAAGACACTGCGAACACCACCCTCCTTGTATAGCTGACGGACCACGTCCAGGCCGCCAGAATACTTGGGCTTCTGGCCCGGGGGCGGCGGGTTCTGGCCCTGGATCTGGAGGAGCACCTTGACGCGCTCGAAGGGAGCGGTAATCAAAGTCATGGGGATCGCGGAGAAGAAACCGGCGGCGGAGATCTGCGCGATCGAGTACTGGGGGGTGTTGTGCTTCACCGGAACATCCGACATCTTGCGGACAAGAGTCTTGCCCACGTCGTAACCCTGGAGCAAGGTGGTTAAAATCAGTGTGACATGGTGCGAGCTTGGTTACATACCCAAAAGCTGACGGCGACTATTCAATCAACATCATGTTAGTTTCAAGATCATTGAATTGGACGGTCCACAAGCCATTGGAGCGGTTGGTGCAAGCACTTACACATCGGAGTCACTCCTACCAACGGCGCTGACACACCAGCGTACAGTCCCTAAGCCAACAGTCAACAAGAGCCCCAGAGATCAATTGCTTGCGAGGAATGCATACACGCGCCAGACCCTCCCGGGCGACTGTTCTCTTCACCACATCTATGGCACCTGAGTAGACGCCCTTCTCGGCAGTCTGCAGGCGCACCTTCACCAGGTCGAAGGGGTGTCCCACCACCACGGCGCAGAGACCACCAGCAGCACCAGCGGCGAGAGAACGGAGCTGGACAATGGTCTGATTCACAGCCTTGGTCTCGACGGCCTTGATTTCATCCTTGAGCTCCTGCGGGGGCGAGGTGGAAGTCGACATTGTGGGCGGGATTGGGGAGGAGTCGGAGGAGAGGAGGGGTTGGAGGAAAGGCGAAGGCCGAGAGGGAAGGGAGGAGAGGAGAGCAGTGAGAATGGGAAGAAAGGAAGGAGGAGGAAGGACAAGCTGAGAAAAAAAAATATAATAATGAATGAAGGCCGAAACCGAGACTCGGTGTGCGCGAAGCCGATGTTTCCCTTGGGCTTCCCCGGATAACTTGGGCCTCGGCTCGGGAGGCGGTGAAACGGGCGCCGAGTGGTGGTACAGACAGATAGGAGTGAAATCACTGTAGCTATATCCAGTTCGATCAGAAATTGGGACAGAATGAGTGTCAATGACTAGGGAATGTTGCTTGCAAGTCGCAAGCAATAAAAGGTGGTGGTGATCCGGGTGAACGGGAAACTGAGAGCAACGTCTGCTGACGCTCCGTTTCCCCGCGGAAGACAGGGTTCGGACAAACTGATTAAGTCATGATTCCGGTGGCTCGAATTTTATTGAATATTCACAGGTATTGAGATACTACGCCGTTTGGATAATGTTACCTACTACACAGTAGTACTATTCTTGCAATGGTCAATCACATGGGAATCGTGATGTGGGTGGAGCATGACTTCATTAGGACTAAAAAGGGCTAGCTAACCCTTGTACTACATACTTTCTTCCTCTCCAATATTATCATTACTCTGCAATAGGAACAAAAGTGCTTACAGCACCAGCATCGCGGCCAGACCCAGGACTGCGGCACCGCTGCCGACGGTGGCCATGGGCATAGCAGCACCAGTGGATGTCGAGCTAGAGCCCTTGTTGCCCGAGCCCGAGCCCGAGCCAGAGCCAGAGCCAGATCCATTGCCACTGCCCGAGCCCGAGCCAGAGCCAGAGCCAGAGCCAGAGCCAGATCCATTGCCACTGCCCGAGCCCGAGCCAGAGCCAGAGCCAGAGCCAGAGCCAGATCCATTGCTACTGCCCGAGCCCGAGCCCGATCCAGATCCGTTGCCAGTGCCAGTCTGAGAGGCACCCGTGTTGGTCTTGGTGCCGGTCTGCATGGTGGTCCAGGTAGTAGCATCGGTTCCAGTGCCCGAAGTAATGGTGGTCTAGCGTCGCAGTCAGTAAAGAATCATCATATAAGATGTGCAAGTGTCTCACCAGGTGCTCATTGCCGGTCTTGGTCTCGGTCTCAGTGTTGGTCAAAGTGGCCGTGGGCTGGCCATTGGCGCCAGTCAACGTGGTGGTACCGGTCATGATGCTGGTCGTCGCACCACCAGCAGCGCCAGAGCTAGATACCGATCCAGATCCTGATCCTGAGCCGGAACCGCCTAGGGATTCATGGTCAGTTTAGGCACATATTCTCCTACGAGGGTAACGTACCAGGGCATTTGGATAGAGCCATCTGGACAGCCTCTTGCGGGCTGGAGCCAGGGCAGGCCTGGTCGGTGCAGTCACGAACACCCCACTCGTAGTCCTGGCTCTTGCACAGGCAGGTCATATCGCCGGACGAGCAGCCCAGTTCGGACGCCTTGGCATTCATGTTTGAGATGCACATGTTCTATATATTATGTTAGCACTACTAGTCAACCATGTTAGGATGCGCGCCACTCACAGCGCAGTCCGAGGTGCTCATATCGGCCGCGGTCACCATGCCAACAACGGCGAACAGTGCCAGCGCAACAGGAGAGAAGGACTTCATGGTGTCGGTTGTGGAAGGTCAGATCAGGATCAACACAATTCGATAGAAATTGGCAGCGGTTGGGGGCAGAGAACGCAAGGTAGACAAGACAGGCTAGGAATACGAAAAGCTAAGTCGTTTCCAGGGAATACTCATCGTTTATAAATGGCCAGCAGGGAAATTAGCTGGAATCAAAACACTGCATGCACCCTCCCTTTGTCGACGGAAACACTAGCACTTTCCCCAGACCGGAAAGACTGATCCATCAGAACCCACGGTTTACCCAGCCAACATTGAGGATCGACCGCGCGAATTGCCTAGATGATGCATGAGTGGGCGAGCTATTTCTCCTTGTTGTGCTACCCAGCCAACGTGGCTAGTGAAAAACTCCACGGGTCTGTTCCTGAAGGCCACATGAAGTCATCCACCGCAGACCCTTGCGGCAGATTGGCTCGGTGAAAAGCTGGATCGAGATCTGGAATAGGGATCGATCGCCCGGTCGCGATAGTTCGCATGTTAGTTGAGCGACAGTGCCGATGTGATAGGTCCGTCTCGATCTCCAGGATCCATCCAGCTCAGTTGGGCCAATATTATGATGGTTTGAGTTTCCAGGGATTTTCCCTGGGCTGTGATCAGTGAGGAGGAACTCAGGCCCTGCGGCGACCCCCCAAAGATGAATGATATTTCTTGTAGAGAGATAGACGAGTTGGCTGATTCAGGACTACCTGGGGTTCGTCTATGAGAAGAGCCCTGGGACGACACAAAGCCCTCATCCTTGATTCCAGGTATCCACCCGAACTAAAGGAGTCGAGGACAAAATACATAACCAGATGTTCGGTGGCGCAGGGTGATCGGCAGCTAATCCATTTCTTAGTTCGGCGATAGATCCAAAAGACGGACGCGCTATTGATCCAGCTTCCAGTCACCGCCAGTTGTGGCTGGGCTGAACGGCAACAGCCACAGTCCACATCGGAAGACTCGTGATCGGGTACTCCGCGATGATTATTGTAATCGTCAAAATATTAGATTTAATATTAAACGTCCGTTTGATTGGTTGATTGATTGTTGACAGACAATGCTCATCACGTGAGAGCTAGTCCTTCATTAATCAGCTACTAGTTGCTATCATGGGTGTCTTCACCTGGGTCGATTGTTAATCATTCCGGCCGGAGATAATGACGGAGATCAATCCGGACCAGTATGTTTGCGACTGCCTAAAGACGTATGAGCGGCGTATGGCTCTTCCTCTTAGTAGTAGCTGAGCACACCACTGACACGCCAGCACAGGCGACTTGTTTCTGCGTCATCGCCGGCGGTGCCAGCGGCCAAAGAAGTCAACCACGCGTCGAAAGGCCTGCGACGCATGCGTCCAGTCCAAAGCAAGATGCAGCTACACGCACCCAACATGTTCCCGATGTGCCACGAGAGCCATTCCTTGCGTCTACGCCCCCCAGCCCTCGGGTGTGATTGGCACAGGCAGCGCACAGCAGACGCCTGTCGATAGAGCTTCAGATTTTATTTCACCTGGAGGCAATCTAAACTGGGACCTACAAGGGATCGGCTGGCACAACAATAGTCTCGACTTGCCCGTGGATCTGCCTACGCCCTCGGCTCTCTTAGCTGCGGCTCAGCCGTCAGAGGCTGGCCAAGCCGAGCAGGACTCGGTGTACGATTTCATGCATGGAGAAAACCTAGTTTCTCCACCAGACCTCTTTAGCCGACCCTTGTCTAGTTCAAAAGCCTTGGACGCGGATCTCACTCCACCCGCAGAGTCAACCCTTCGTGGCTTGGTGCATCTGGTGTGCCAATACCCCCAATCGCTTCTTCGCGATGAATATTGTACTCCCTTCCTCCATCAGGGAATGTATGATGAAAACACCCCCGATATAACAACGCTAGAAAAAACCTCCATGGCCATTTGCTGCGGAGCTGCTATGGAGACGCAGGACGGAGCGCGCTTTACCAGACGCACAATGGAGGTGGAGCGACGTAGGTTGATTGATTCCTATCCAACCTACCGATGCATGCGGCAATGGGATGCTCTGCACGCCATGCTGGTATATGAAATTTTGGAACTGAATGCATCGTTACAACAAGAAACTGAAAGCTGGAAGCAGAAGCCGAACGCGAAAGGTCTTAAATCCCCCTTCCTTGCTAAAATGACGAAATATTATACCCGATGCCACCTCGAGGACCCCAGCGAAGATCTTTTAGCACCTTTAGGCGTGTCACCAATGCAGACTTTTGAGCAGTGGCGGGTTGCAGAAACATCCCGACGGACTATATTCTTGGCCCATATTGTACATTTCCTGAGCAATTATGATTTTAAGAGCGGGAAACAGTCCATATATTATGAGCCACTCGACGACAATATGCTCCGGAATTTGCCTTTGCCGTCTAGTCATACTCTTTGGACTGCGCGGAACGAGCAAGAGTGGAGTTATACCATGGAGTTCCAGCAAAACAATATCCCCCCGATGACCACTGACCCATCCGCCTCACACTCTGTGGGCGTAGCGGGCATGACCCTTCAGCATCTACTGTCAAAGTTCAATAAAGAATTTCTGCGGACGAGTTTTACTCGCAGTCCGGGTCTTGGAGGGTCTGATGAGCTACGAGATCTGATTGTCCTTTGCGCTCTGGAACAACTCACTTGATACGAACAAACTTGCCTATAAAAATTACTCAATCAAATATCCTCAATTAAACTTGAACATTTCTGATCCGCACTCCGCTTCCGATAGCTGCCCATCGGAGTTGGGTGGTCGCGACCATAAAACTCCGGCCGATATCGACTTGAACATCTCCGATCACTGACAAACCATGAATAACTCTATCACATATAAAAGGAGGTTGTTTCTGCAACATGCACTGCCGCTCAGATGCATTCGGCTGTCTTGATTTTTTTTATCTACTTACTATTACCCTTCGACATGATCTCCAAAATTGCTGCCACTACCGCTTCAGGCAATATGCATCGCCTGCTTGGAAGAATTCTGATCGGGCACAACATCTCGCCCAGAGCCGATGGCGGAACGAATGACACTACTTCCTTGGCTGAAGCTTGGGGTTTGCAGTCAGGCGTCTATACTCCACGCCAGCTGGTAGAGAGTTTTGCACCTTTGCTGGACGTCGTAGTCCACCAATTGGGAAGCGATCCACCAAATTCAAAGCCTTCTCGTGTTCGGCTTCTAGATAATCTCGCTGCCAACCTGGCTACCGATACGCGCGAAGCCACCCTCCGCCTCGCGGAACCCCTCGATATTTCACGAAAAGAAATGAAAGACCAGGCAGCCCGAATCGGCAAGTCGCTGGTTGAGTGGGCGCGCGAGTCTCAATCCAAATCACTTGACCCCAGCATGTATCTCCGCAGTCCCTGTGAGGGCCACTTGCTCATTCCGTCCAACGTGGACTTGATGTTTGGTGACCGAAGCCAACCGCACCTGATGCAGTTATTCAACGAGTACATGCACCAGATGGTCCTTCTTCGTGATGCCCTTCTCCCATTTCAGAATTACCAGGATGTCCTCATACCTATCGACGGCAAGACTGCGAGAGGTATTCGCCATTTGGAGTCTGCTAGGGCCCAGTTTCTCGCCGAGATGCTCACGAAGCATACAACCCAGAAGGGAGTCATGTCCTATGCCAAAACACTTTTGGCACCAAAGCTCTTTTCCACTGCCTCTGCTGGTTATGGCTTTCAGTATGCACATGGGACTGTTCTGCCAGCGTTCCTGGCTGGTGGTTCAACCTCGCTGCATTTGCTGCAGTATATTCCGGCGAGAATTGAACCCAGCACAACAGACATCTTATTCGACTATCGGTTCGAAGACTACTATTCTGCACCTCGGCATGAGATACCCGCAGGTATGCCAATTGACGTGTCTGCTCTTAGCTTCCCGGAAGAAGAGCCACCTCTAGTCGAGGATGTCTCAGTGGGTCTACTCCGTTTTTCAGAGAATGTATCTCAGCTTGAACTACGGATCGAATTTAAATGCGGGAATTGTGCCGCTATTGACCTAGGGCAAATTGCTCGTGGGCATCGGTACTCATACTTTGCACGGCAATCCAATGATCTCCCAGAAAGCACCGAGATCTTGAGCGATGCTACGATTGAGCCTCAAAAGACACCGGCATCTGTCATTGTTCACCGCCCCACTGACATCTTCAAGATACCCAACACAGGTCTCCTGAGTGCCAAAGCAGGTGGTGTCCATGTGATTCCTGCCGTTGATCCAGTTGTCACTCTGGCTATTCTGGGGAGGCTCTATCCTGAGAATGTGATATTGCTGCCTCGAAATGAGGCGCTATGTCAGACTGAAAATGCTGGTAAAGGCTTTGAGCCCATGTTTGTGATTTGGGGCGGTGTTGAGCGTGGTGGGCTGAAGGGTGTTTTTTGAAAAACTCGATTGTTTGAGACTCGATTTATACGGCTTATTATTTCAATTAATATGGATTCTCATACTTGTTGGATCTTGGGCTTTCGAGTCTACTAGATGCGATGACTTCGCTGATAATTAACTGAAGTAGGGTTCCGGAGTTGGCTGGTCGTTCACCGGAGTTCCGTAGTCGCAACATCTGCAACATATCTTGATAATAAATCCGTGGAGCCTAGATCATCCTACGTTCCTGATGAACGATATAATGTATGTAATCTAGGATTGATTTTCTCTTTTTTTTGTCCTGGATGAAAAAAACTGTACGTCGCTGTGGTCGCCGTGGAATGTTCGGTACAATCCGGTGGGTCCCGATCCACCGGCCCGAGTGCAAGAAAAAAGTTTTCACGGCATCCACAACTGATTTCATGCCCAATTGAAGGGCAAAAAATGACCGACGCAGGGGTCGAACCTGCAATCTCTTGATTCGTAGTCAAGCGCCTTGCCATTGGGCCAGCCGGCCAGTGTTGAAGTCTTAGGTTCAAATGGTGAATTGCATTGCAGAACGAATGGGGTATAAGTAAATACACGTGAGCCTTCTGCTCAGATCGCTAGATAGGGAAAAAACGAATGAAATGCTGAGGAACCATGCATAACCAAGCCAAAGAACGCCGAAAGATGATGTGATAACCGCCATGTGCTATGGCAGAGTGAGACATCTCTCATACCTCTTCCGAGTCAGTCTCATAAATATCAGGCATCCTCACCCGCTTCTTTTCGACAAAAATTTCATTATCAATGGATGAGACCCGAGAGCGCCGGCGGTGTCGGCGAGACCGTTGACTGCGCCGAGCGGACAGGGACATCCCAATCATCCCAATGACAAACCCGCCCGCGTAGGCTAGCGTACCCGCCATCGCACCGAGAGCAATGGGCAGCACGAATGCGCGCCAAGTCCGGGAATTGTGTAGAAAACGCGATCCAGTATGGGATGGTGAAGCGTGGAATGGTGAGTATATATTGTCGCCTTGGATCGACTTGGAAGCGGCATAGGGCGTAGACGTCGTATATGGAGAGTTCGTGGTGCCCGATGGCGGAGCATCATTCTGAGAGGAAGTCGGCACGTAGCTCAACAAGGAGTCTACTTTCGAATTCCACCAGTTCATCTGCCACGGCCGCGGCTTTGGCACCGAGTGAGTCTCGTGAAGTGCGCTACCGGGCCCAATCCCAACACTCTTGATGATATTTTCACCATTGCTAGACTTGAGAAGGTCCACCACTACCGCATTCGTCGTAACGGGGTTGCCGTGTAGGTCGAGCAGTTCTACACGGAGACGCAGCAAGCCTGCGGCCATACCCGAACCTTCTGTCGACAGCGGGCGCACATCCAAAGAATATGACAGGATACTGTCATCATCTAGAAGAGCTTCGTTTGAGTTGCGATACTGCGGCGCGTGTAGCCGCATAGACGCTGATGGAGGAAAGATCGCATCGTCGTTGGCGCAGACGATGCCATTTTGAACGGACCAGATTATTGACTAATTGGGTGTTAGTTGAATTTTGAGCAGCCTCAAAAAGAGCAATTATTGTGCCTACCAAATAGGACTTTGCGGCGCTTTTAAGGGAAGTGTCGTCGTAAGAAGAGTGGGGGAGATACGGGAGAAGTAATTCATGAGCGCTGGAGTCGGCGTTGGGCAGAGATGCGACTGCGACGCTGCTCAGGGAGAGAGTGAACCACCAAGCAACCCGCATCGTGTTCAGGACAAAAAAGAGAGAGAGAAAAAATGGACGGAGAATAGAGTTCCAATACGAGACCCGGGGGGTATGATTTGTTCTTAAACGAACCCACGGATTGAGGCTGTGATGATGGCCTGATTTGCCAAGCCCAAGGCTTTGCGCTACTAGGAGTGAACTGGGTTGTGGCAAAAATAGAACGAGCATCGTGCCTAGTTCAATATTTAAGAGCAGGTAGCCGGATCGAATCGCTGGTGCCTATTGTGCGGCTCTGTGGATACGAGGCTGTGACGGAGAACAAATGGGGGCCAGAAATCGTTTCTTTCGGGCCCTGAATCCGTTTCAGACCCTTTCTGTGATCATGGCCGGGAGCCAGTATCCGCAGCGGCAAATACGCGATCCGACGCCCCGATGATAGAATGATCTTCAGCCAGCTGATCAACAAACAGAAGGATCGCTGATCAGCCTGGGGTACTAGCCTCTATCATGCATCACCTCTGGGTGTGGCTTGGCTCCTAAAGCTGGTTGGTGAACAACTGAGGAGAAGCTCTTCACCGAAATGTGATGAGTTAGGTACAATTCAGTTCGAGGGGAATAACTAATTGGGTCTTTATCGGGCAATTCCGTAACGGAACTAGATCATCGCCGTAGCTACTGTACCCCAAAAATATATATAATCGCCTTTGGCCAGCACAGTAATTACACAGACTATATTTATCCAAAGCATTGACTGTCACAGCTAATCATAATGAATCAGGATGGTTCATAGTAAGGTGCCGTCTGCCAGAAGCGACACCGCGGATTGTTCGTGGGGTCGCGCATAGGATAAATAGAATGGCTAGCGATATTCATCAACTGCCCACGGCGGCCGTGTCGGTGGAACATCGGAGCAAGACTGGAATTAGGCGCGCCAGACTGCACAAAGCTAGTGAACCAGTCCTGCATCACCATTGCCACGGTGACGTTGGTTACAGTCGAGTCGGAAGCGCCTGCCCCATCGCTATAGAAGGTGTAGGCCACGTCCTCTCCATGCAGTGCCGGGGGAATGCTGAACTCGTAGGCATACGTCTGGTTGTGGAAAGCCCGGTTGATGTAGTCCGTGTTGCAAGTGAAGATCAACTCCGAGACAAGAAAAGCATCGCGCTGAATAGCGTTTGTGTATCCGTAGGTGCCGTCATAAATTGGAGGGTACAGCACCTGCGTGATGTGCTTGGTCACATTAGGGCGTATATACACAAATTCTTGCTTTAGTTGAGCCGCAAGACCGCTGCTGTTGCGACTGGCTGGCGAGGTAAAAACGAGCCCTTCATCGGCATTGTGTCCGACCATGACATTGAGATTGTGATCAAAGTTGCCCTCCAGCAGAAGTTGTCCGGGGAGTGCCGGAACAAAAGTACCATCCACGACGGGCCCATAAGTGTATGAACCATAATAGGATTTGGTGCCCACTTGATACGCGTTGGCAGCGATCAATTTCTTTGACGGCAGGCGGCGTGCCTCCTCCACACTAGTGACATTCAAGATGGACAGGAATTGCTGCAATATCTGTTCCTGCTGCTTTTCTTCCGGCATTGGGACCCAGCCGGGACTTTGAACAATTGCTTGTTGGAACGGCGATGGTCCTGCATTGCCACCGTAGGCCGTGATCTGATGCATAACTGATCCTCCACCGGCAGACTCTCCCATGATGGTGACTCGTCGGGAGTCTCCACCAAAGAGATGGATGTTTTTATATACCCAGTCCAGTGCGAAACGCTGGTCATGGAGCGCTGCATTTGCTGTCCCATTCGCCGTGAGACTTTTCCCAGAGAGCCATCCAAAAGCGCCCAGCTGTCAATGCATGACAAGTTAGATATCCTGGTGCACAATACTTGCTTTCAGACTTACCCGATAGTTCATTGCAACAAAAATAATGCCATCACCTGAGACTGTACTGCGGTGGACCAAGCCAGAAGCGTCCGACGAACTTTTATCTCCCATAGTATAGCCTCCGCCATAGATCCACACCAGCACCGGAGCTAGTTTAGAATTTGGAACATAGGATTTATTCTGGGCACGATCAAAGATATGTTTCGGAACAACGACATCCAAGAATAAGCAGTCCTCAGTGGTCCGAGGATCCAGCTTGGGAGGCGTATACGGATAGGAAGAGATGTTGGTTGACTGGTTAAAGGTGGTATTGTATAGGATACTTAGAAGGAATGGCTCCGCAATATCTTCTTCCCATATCGGTTCTGCTGAAGGGCACACTATACCAACAGAGCCATTCTGGACCTGTGAGCGGTTCGTCGTTGGCAGAGCGGGTGCCCTAAATCTTAGATCACCAAGCGGCGGCGCAGCATAGCGGATATTGCTAAAGTTGTAGAGGCCAAGAGAGCTCTGATCATACTGTCAGCCTTTCAAAAACTTGGTAAATTGAGAGTTGCGTGTACATTGAAAGAAAACGCCTGATGGAGCTCGTATCCAAGATCAACGATGGGCAATTTAGATGCAACACAGACCGACACCAGCAGCAAGAAGTGCAGTGAAAAGACCATATTGACTCGTTTGTTACACCGCTACAGGCAGTCCAGTCGGCCTCAGACCTTATATGTCTCGGGAGGGGTATGAGCGCATCTATGGAGCCAATCTATGCAAGCTGCAAGACTAAGACCAAGGCCATGTGAACTTTGGAGCGGGGCTCATATTAATTCAGCGAAGTTAGCCGGTATATTCAACTCTTGTTTTGGTATAAAGATCGAAGATGTCAGTCCTGGTCCGTGGCTCGCGCACCGAATAGTTGTGAACAAGTATTTTCTAGCGCTCTCATCAAAGAATTGTCACTGCGAATGCCCTGCGAAAAGAAATTGGCAAAGCAATATGGTGTCAATGATGAATTCGGCTCGATCCGAGGCCTGAATAGTGCGGGGTTTCGCGATCCGCTACCCATACGAGCGGTGCTTCTCAGACACACTGCGCGGGTGCTACGCTCAATCGGGCCCTTTATCCGAGCTCCGTACTAAGCCACATTCTACGAGTCCATGACTGGCACAGGCCAATACTCCTGATGTGGGATGCGGGGCCCATGGACCCACCAGCCTTGTCAAAGTGTTGCCTAGAATAAACGAAATCTGGTATCTAAATACTAGAAGGAATAATGAGCCAGAGAGAATTCTGTTCCTCAAATTTCGAGCGAGCTAGGAGCACAAATTTATACGACTCGTTGCAATTTCTAACGGTCCATCACTTCCCGAATCTTATATGCGAACATCTCGTTCGATGGCACTTCATACTCATTCTCTAGCTTCTGAGCGGATTCCACACCTGCTGCTGGCACGCGGTACTCAAATCGGTTCCCAGGTGCTGGTAGCTTTCCATCTGGGAGAGCGTAAGGGAAGGGAAGGTACTCGGGCATCAGTCCTAACTGAACCAGAACAGTTGCTTGGTCCCATGCAATATGCTCGTGGTAGAGCCGGTCTCCTCGAATGTTGACTACAGACGTGAAGGGAATCCGAAGAGGTTTGCCCGTCGGTGGAATCCCCGGGATACTAGATGTGAAGCATCAGCTTTATCTCTCGTCGCATAGACAGAAACAAATTTACTTACAGCCAAGGAATATGCTTGTCATGAGTTAAGCAGCAGATAAACTCGTCCACAATGCGGTCGGAACCCACCGTCCGGCTAATGAGTTCTAGAGTCGTGTCGTCCGGATTGGCAAAGATGAAGTGGTTCAGATAGAAATGGCTTAGCCGTGCTCGTCCAATTCCACCAGTCAACTGTTACTTTTTAATGGAATACTTCAATCAAGAGATGTTCCTGAAATACATACCGTGGGAACATGATTCACGTAAGGCTCCTGCACCATGGTAGCCATCGTCTTTTCGACAGAACGGTCGCCAAATTCATAGTAGGTATGCTCATCCCAAATCTTTTCAAGGTCAAAATATGGCCCGTTCAGATGTTTCTTGATAAATGCCACGCTCCGCGTGTGGGCAACTCCTGCGGTCGAGATCTTGAACTTTGGATGGCCGGGGATCGTGAAGGCAGGAGAAGAGATATCGGGATATACATGGACAACCTGAGTTTTGTCGCTCTGAGGCGGGTCTTCCACGGGCAATGAGGCATGCAGCATCGACATCGGGCGATCGGGGGTATTCCACGAGTCAAAGTAGACGGCCGACTCCGGGTTGTCGACAGCCAAGATCTCACACAACCCTTCCTCAAATTCTGGATCATAGTCACTTTTCGAGCCATACACTACAAACCGTTAGGTCCGAATGTTCCATCGATTACGAATCTCATACCAATCAGCCCGAATTTGCCCGGATCACACTCGGGGAGGGCGGCGAGTCCGTCCTTGGCTGTTTTGATCAAAGCCAACAGAGTGGCCAGGTCCTTGCTAGACTGCACATCGACAGTAATCTGCACCACTGCAAAGCTTTCTTCTGCCCACTTTTGCAGCGGCTCGGGATCAAGACTTTTGTTGTCTTGCTGACAGCCCGCATAGCATGCCGGACGTAGAAGAATTAGGCCCGGGCCATGCCCACATCGCGAGAGTGGCGGTTGCAAAGTGACATTCACTGCTAGTTCCACTGGGATGGCCGAGGGCAGCTGGGAATTCTCAGCCATTGTTTGGTTAGCGCTATGCAGTCAGGCCTCGGAGTAAATGCTGGTCAAACATCCAGCCTCTCGCTCACTGGGTAATCTAAGAAGCGGACACGTGACCCGCTGCTCTCCCATCCCCACGTTCCTGCTTCGCTCCTCCTGGCTTTGTTTCTGTCTTCCACGGTCCCGAATCCATTCAATCCACCGGGGGGCACAGCTGGGCTTGGGAAGAGAAACCACCATACTCTTCATCCGCTCCCCTTTCCTTGACAGCTTCTTCGTACTTCCATCACCTTCGCTCTGAGCTCTAAACAACCCGCAAAACAACTTCGAAGATGAATGCCCTCGTTCAATCCTCCCTATCCAGCGTCGAATCCAAGCTCAATGCTCTCCTGACAACTCTCACTACGTCTCCCGCCGCCGCAGGGGCACCAGCTGCTGCACTCGCCCTTCTCGATGCAGACGACGCACTATCCTCAGCCATTGAGACCCTGCGGAAACACCAAGAGAACTACGCAAAAATTTTACGACTCCGATCAGAAGCACAGCAATTGGAGGATCGAGTCAAGGGCATTGTGAGGGAGATTGAAGAGTTCGACAAGGAGGCCCAAACGGCATGCGGCGATGACGGAGAAAGCGACAGCGACTCTGATTCAACGGAGGACGACGACGAAGATAAAATCTCGGCGCCCAAAGGCATAAACGAGATTGACTACAAATTGCTTCTTGATTTTGCCCGTCGCATCAGCAAATACAACCATGAAGCCGCGGCAGATGCTGGCAGCGGTATTGGAAAGCGCCTGGAGACTCAAAAGCAAATCGCCGATCGAGACGTGACCATGGGAGGCACTAACGGAGAGCCGACAGCGGAGGAGAGAGAGCCGGTATCGTCGGTCACGAAGAACGCGACGCAATGGCTGGATGATTCCGCAAATGTCACTCGCGAAGTCTACATGCTCCCATATCCGACCGAGGAGCGTATACGCATGGGCTTAATGGGCCAGGTTCAGCTTGCGGCTGGCGAGGATGCTGATAAGGAAGTGGATCGATTGATACGCGAAGCTCAAGGACTGGGCGCTGCGGAAGGTCCAGCTCCAGCTCCGGTGGAGGACAGCACTCGGCAGGCAGACGAGGCTGCGAAAGCCGCTGTACACGCAGGCTCATCGGCCAGTGGGGCACCGAGAGCGGCTGCACCAGCCCAACCAAAAGCAAAACCCAAGGCTTTGCTTGACCTTGACCTTTACGACCCTGATGATGACGATATCTAAACTCCCTCAATGACCTGGGCATGATGCATCTTGAAATTCGGTTCTCACGCATTTGTTTGCCTGCTATATCCAACCAGCCAAGCTACGAATTTACATCTTATGTACAGAAGACTTGGCGGTCAAGCCCCGGAGCTTCTTGCCCCAAAAGTAAAAGGGGATGGCGCAGAAACACCATAGCGCCGCCAAACTCATGTTCATCATGATCGGCTTGACGAATCCACTCTCTACCACCCACGGAGTGATGAATTTGCTGAAGCCGTATCCCCAGACGTTCTTGTTGACGGTGATGGCCACGAAAACCGAGCCGGCCACCGGCTTGTAGCTGTCCACTGCATAAGTGCTGGAAATGGCAGGGAGCGCTGCGACCTGAATGCCCGCCGCGGTATAACCGACGATTACAATTGCCTGGTAGGGAGGTGAGCAAGTGAGATTTGCCATGGAAAGGCGGTGGGGAAACTTACTCGCCAGTCCCATTTATACTGGTATCCAAACGCGACAACGAAATTCCCAATGATGGAGATAATCACATACGGAATCATGGCCGGCAATCGCATCTCCGGTTCACGAATGCCGCCGTTCTTCTTCGTGGCTTTCATCGAGATCCAGTCGGAGAAGGGGCCATTTGTGGCCAAGCCGATGAGGGCACCAATAAGGATGGCAAAGTTGAAAAACCCGATTGTTTGGCTGTTGAAGTTGTATGGAGGTTCTGCGAAGGCTTGACTTTGCGTCAGGTTCAGAGTCAGGAAGCAGCTGGCCGACCACGACACGATGAAAGCAGCCAGCTCGACAATCGGGAAAGACAACAGCTTCCACGGGATCCAGAAGCTGATGAACGTGGTCTTGATATTATTGCCATCCAACTGCCACATCTTGAACTGCTTCTTTGATGGCCGTCCCCGGCCCAGCCATGGGTCTCGCTCTGTGGCATCCTCCACGTTAGTATTCTCCCGCTTGCTATCTTCGACTAGCTTCTCTGGTTCAGACTCGCTCGCAGCCGGGGCCGAAGCATTCTCCTCACGGGCAACCTCACTGGGGTGAACGCGGTGCCACTTTGTTTCGGGGAAGAGGAAGATCTGGAAAAGGAGAAGGACACCAAAAAGGCCGACATTCAGCCAGAAGAAACTACGCCAGCCAACGTGTTCGGCCATAGGGCCAGAGATGATCGGCCCGACCTGTCAGATGTCAGAACAGCCAATTCGTCTTAGATTGCATGAGCTCGTACCATGAGCGATCCGAAGTAAAATGTAAAGTAGAGAGTGTTGTAGGCCCCGCGCTCGTGCAGGAACATGATGTCCGCAATAATCTCCGGTTGTGCCGTCTAGTGCTGCGGTCAGAAAGTATCCCGAGCAGAAGCAAGTCGCCATACCTCGGCAGGGCCAGCACCGAAGCCGTTGAGAACACAGGCGCCCATGTAGCTCCCATAGGTGGGTGCGACTGCTCTCCAAACGTTACTGACGAGACATATCAATGTGGAAAAAATCAGGACGGTTCGTCGGCCGTAAGCCGTCTGGATGGGGACCCTGCACAATGCCCGATGAGCGAGAACGTCTGCGGGAGAGGTGATGGATGACCGACCAGAAGAAATTGCTGAATCCCAGCACTAGGATACAGACTCCCGTGAATTGCACCACCCCGGCGAGGTCTGAATTAAAGGATTCCATCAGCTGAGGAAACATGGGCGCCAGGGCCAACGGGCCCATTCCCTGCATGAACGAGGTGGCCGTGGCGATCGCCATTGCGCTCATTTTCCAGAATCGGTTCCAATTCTAGGCCATTCTCAGTCAGTCATCTCATTTTCATGCCAGACCGCACCTACTAGAGGATCATGGGGATCTTGCGACGGCTGGGGCACCAGCACGCGATCGGAATTGGACGATGATTTCACGAAATGATGCGAGCCGACATCAGCCATGATCTCCGTCCCAGGATAAATCGTCGTCCCCAGCTCCGCCTCCAGCCTGCATCAACGCGATTAGTGACCACGACCGTTTTCGCGACCGCTGGCGGTACATACTGACGGAGCGTCTGCATCGCGGTCGAGGGTTAGCGCGCGCGGTACACGCCCAGAACGACCGACTTACGTTTTCATCATAATTCATCTCCATGTTGGGCAACTTCAACTAGATGCGAGACGAGACCTGCTGTCGGTGCAGGCCCCTGTGCCTGGGGGCGAGTCTGTTTTAAATACAAGGGCAGCTCTGAGCGCAGGAGGTGCGGAATTGGGCCGGGAGTCGCGTCAGATCAACATTTGCCGGTCGCCAGAGCAGGCTGACAGCCACGAGCAAAGGCAAACTCTCTTTGTCCCACTCCCGGTGCACCCCTTATCATCACCGTCATGGCCAGTGCAATAGAAATCATGGAGCTGACACTTGCCCCCCCGGGTCCACATCAACCCCGGATTCTCCCCGCACCCCAGGCCAGCCTCTCACACCGGCCGCCCTCCCAATCTGACTTTATGAACTCGCCTATCATTGCCTCGCGGAGAGGGGTCGGTAATCCTCCACGGCATTTGACCGCGCTTCCATGCCTCAACGCGGCTTGACACCCATAGGCAATAGGCAATAAAACAGTCTGCCGCGGTAGCAGATAGTGTCACCATAACAAACGCGTGTTTTATCGGTGTCCCCAGTCATTTAGTCTATAGGACACGATCGAGCACCCGTCGACGGTCTTGGTTGTAGGTCGGGTGATGTAGTCGCTTGAGACGGGCTACCTGCCTTCAAACATCAACACGGTGATGATTTCCTCCTACAAGCTTCTACGTGCACTACATGTCTGTTTATTTGCCCTACACATCCGATACCGCATGACCAATGTAGGGAAATGAGCAAACCCTCCAAAAATAATGAAGAGTAACATTTGGTTAGATTAGAAAAATGTTGAGCAATAGGTTGTCTTCCCGAACGACGACCCGGCATTCGGCTAATCGTCGGGGCTGGTTGATTGACCCTCAAATCATCTCTCTGTTCTACTGCCATTGCACCTTGTCTGTGATCTGCTCAACTGAATTACATAAATCAAAGGATAGCGCCTGCCATTACTCACTAATTAGATACGCGGAAACACAGAAGGTTCTCGTCTCGAATATTTTGATCCCTTTCATTCTGGGCGGAATTATCGCCATGGTTGAACAAACCCCGTTTTTCCCTTTCCATGTGCATGGGATGTCTCTGTAGTGGACATTGATCAATCTCAGCACCACATTAATGACCCCGAACCCGAAACTACATCAGGAACATAGCCAGCATTAAAGTAATAATGGACAAGACACCCAGATCAGTTGAAACATCCAATTTTCCTGCCACATTCGTAGCGCTCGTGGTGCTAGGACTGGAGCTAGCTGTCTTGGTTGGTGACCCACTGGCAGTAGACGGGCTGTTGGTGGTAGTCATACTGCTGCTAGTGGCTGAACTGCTTGTAGCAGACATACTGCTGGAGGCAGTGCTTGACTGACTAGAACTCGGTGTACCGAGAATGCCGCCTTGCGCCGCGGATGGTACGCTGTCGCCATTTGCACTCGAAGCTGCCGACTTGAATGCATCAAGAGTGTCCGAGCCACTAAGGTTAATGAGAGATTTCGTTATTGCGTCTAATACTTTGTGACCACTGGTATGCTTACGAAGGGTTAATCACACCAACCATCCCGGCTTGACAATGTCCGACCTGGCCGCAGTAGAACCAGATCGGATTTGTATCATTAACGGTCAAGCTCCAAACGGGCTAAATCGTCAGGAGTGATACAAGTTGAAACAAGGTTCATGAACTTACCGATCCGTCGTGGGCAGATGCCATAAATCCACTGAAGAAGCTAGTATCGCTCATAGGATGGCATGGGTTGTTAAAAGCGGCCTGAACTACCGAGTGATCGCCTGGATAGAAATGGAACTCGACTACGCCACCCGAAGGAACGTGGATAGTGTCAGGATCAAAGGTAAAGCCGTCTTCGCCAACATCAACCATTTGAGTGGCACTTGATGTTGAGCCACTCGCTGTTGGACTTGCAGTGGTCGTAGTAGTAGTAGTATCGCTAGAAGTTCCACCACCACCACCACCTCCTCCTCCTCCGTACTGGGCACCAACAAGGGGCAGCCACAAAAGTGTGAGGGTACACACAAACGTTTTGATCATTGTTGCCACTGAATTAGATGCAAAATTCCAGGCAAAGGTTTGCAGGGAAAGCCCGGAGATCATTTCGGAGCGGAGGAAGGTTTCCTTTATGTGCTCAAAAAGAACGATACGCGTGCACTACCATAGGTGCCTCAAGTTTTACAGTGATGTTTGGAGGCTTTAACTGTAGCCACGGCACCATCAGCACAAGGAAGCTTAATGTCAGTTACAATTCCCTTCAGAAGCTGATCTCCTCCTTTCACGAGGGTCTAAGTTTTTGATTGCTTAGAATAGAGAATGCGTATCGTCGCCGTATTGGATCAACCACAAAACGACGGAAGGCAGCTTCGATCGTTAAATCCATCGCAACACCACAATGCTTGACCTAGACCGGCCGATTATACAGGATACCGGTTTGAGACATGGCTCGTCATCCCGCATTCGGGCCAGCTGACAAAGTCAAAATCATTTTCTGGAGGCGGAGCACGGAACAGCTCTGATAAGATTTTTGGCGCGAAGAACGCCCAGACCAACACGAGATTATGATGAAGCCAAAAGCTATTGGCGACCCTTAAACTCTCATGGTGCGATCGGAAAATCAATGACTTAACCACAAAATTTGCACAATTTTTTTTGGAAAATAATCGATTGTTTCGAGCTGCCGCATTTGGACATTGGTTGGCAAGCCATGACGCGCCATGCCAAGTGTTCCGGTAACCCTGACGGCTCTAGACCCACAAACTGCTTGCGGCATTTAGCTAGGACAATGGACACGTACCGCCTGTCCGGATATAACCTACGGCGATAGCGTGGATTCATATAATAAATTTGCTGAGGTATCGCGACAAGGCAATTACATCTCAGCTCTTTCTCCTGACGGATAAAGTGCACACGACCATCGCTTCGAAATGACGAGAAAATACAGTTATTTCTGGCTTTTTATGTCCGTTTCCACCCTGGCTCAGTTACAAACATTCTCGCCCCCCGGGCAAAGTGGAATCACCTATAGTGTTAATATACCCCAATCCACCGTGTCCTCCGGCTCGGGGCCGATTTATTTCCAACTGAAGTCCACGAGCGAGCTTCAGTGGTTTGCATGGGGCCAGGGCGCTCAAATGCAAGGAGCAAATATATTCATCGTCTATGCATCTAGCGACGGCAATAATGTTACTGTCTCCCCGCGACTGGGCGTGGAGCATGTTGAGCCACTGTATAACTCCAAAGCCCAATTATCAGTCTTGAACGGTAGTGGGATCAGCAATGGAGTTATGACCGCAAACATCCGATGCGATAGCTGTCTTACCTGGCCTGGTGGAAGTGAAAACCCGAGCAGTTCGTCGAGTCCATGGCTTTGGGCAGTGAAATACGGGAGCCCACTCAACACAAACAGCTTATCTGCATCAATCACCATCCACGACGCCGAGGGGATTGCTGGTATAGATCTTCAACAAGCAACCGGTGGCACATCTGACAACCCATTTACAAACTCGAACACTACGGCTTCAAGTTCGTCATCAAGTTCGATTTCGTCTGTGAGCACTGGGTCTGTTTACAGGCTCCGGAAGGCTCATGCTACTATTATGATACTGGTCTTTGTTATATTTTTCCCTTCATTTGCTCTCATGCTTCATATTGTTCCATATTCGAAGATTGTCTATGTTCATGCTGCTTTCCAGCTTTTTACTCTCGCTTTGGCAATTGCCGGGATGGGAATTGGCATCAAAATGGCAAAAAGCCTTGACTTGATACAGACCTATCATCCGATTATCGGAATGGTAACTGTCCCATGCCTTATCCTTTTTCAGCCTGCTATGGGCTTTCTTCAACACAGGTATTTTCGCAAAACCGGGGACAGGAGTGTGTTTGCTTACTTGCACCGATGGCTTGGTCGGTGTCTTATGGCTCTCGGCATTATTAATGCTGGTCTAGGCTTTCGCCTAACAGACATCGGCCTCTCGATTGCTCCGGTTGGGGCAGTTATTGCGTATAGCGTGGTCGCTGGAATCGTCGGAATTGTATACGCTTTGGTCGTTGTGCTTTTGCCTCTCAGAAAGCGCAGAAGATCTCATTCCTAGCAGTCAGTTATTGGGTTCTGCTTTTGTGTGATAGAGTAGGGACACTGAGTTTTACTAAATGGGGCGCTACTTGGTCACAATATCTAGTAGCCTTCACTACCACCGTTGTCCTTTCCTTTTCCTTGTCTCCTTGTCTTTTTCTTTTTTATATTATATATCTGTTATTTTACTAGTTCGGAATCAGTGAGTTGAGCCAAATAATGAATGTTCGATGGTGAATCTAGTTACGAATTTCTCCACGGTTAGCTATTAAGCAGGTAAGTTTCATAAAGTTAGCTGAACTAGCGAATTGGCATCGAGGCTCCATATTCTATTGAAGAGCTCTAGCCAAGTTGTGTCTCGGAAAGGATGGTGGAGATTGGCCTAGGTACACAATTATTGCCCCCTGGTACCCCGTAATGGCCTGCGAAGATATACTAGTTGCTCAATGTGCTTTTCAGGGCAGCGCTGCTGCTTGTAGGCACTGCAGTTATGGGGAACTGCGCGTTTTTTAGTTCATCTTTCCTCAGGATCGCGAGGGGAGCAAAATATCATCTTTGGTCGCCGCGTGTTCATGGTATACCAGAATGCAGAGTTTACTACCGACGGCGATGAATCAAGCATGCCAATGGAGTGATTGGACATGTCAGCTTCTCGGTCCGGAAACGATGAATGATATGAATGCAAAAGCGAGCTTGCCCAAGACAACTGGAACTTACCAAAACATCCAGTTGACGATCCAAGAGGGGGCTACTAAACCTAGTGGAATATTTCAGTTTGAGTATGAGCCGTGAGTTCCCATCACCTGAAAATGACGGGGAAAAAGCTCTGACTAGCTATATATTGTAGGAATGTTCGTTTCAACCTAACGATGATGAATACAAGAGAGGAGCGAATCCCTACAACTTCTTCATTCTTGAAGTAACCAAAGAAAATCAATAACAGGCTTGTTGCCATCAACATTGCTATCACTCGTGTACACCAAGTAGGATTCCAAAAGCTACCTAGGCTCTTTTCAAGCCTTATGGTTCGCTTCATGGCTCGCTTCATGGCTCGCTTCATGGTTCGCTACCTGTTGTGCAGCACCTGGCTCAACAGAGGCCTCAACATGCTCGGTCATCATCTCCTTCACATCCGTGAGGCATAAAATTCCGATGATCGCCAGCGCTACGAAAGGAATGACACTTGACCAGGCCAGTCGATATGCATGTGCATATTCCCAATGACTGGCATCACTGGCTGCCTCCAGAATTGTTGAGTTTATCCCGGGAACGCTGTCAAACCCTGTTCCAGCAGCAAATGCCGCCAGAAGTGCCGGTACACTGCTAGCAGGAAGACCGGCCATGGTAGCTGCCCTACTGACCGAAGGATCGAGGGTAGAACTCAAGTGGCCATTGGCGATTGCATCAAGAACCGCGGAGCCAAAAGCCCCACCGACAGCGCGGACAACCGCTGCAAGACCACTCGCAGTGGCTAGCAAGGCGTGGGGGGATGAGTATTGGATGATGGGGGTGATGAGAGTAAGTGGTCCGGCCTGTCCGAAACCAGTGAGGACATTTATACCCATTTGCGCATGATTTTCTGTTGGGCTGACGGTGGCATAGAATATGCTGGAGATTAGGAACAAAGTGAAACAAATGACGAGAGGGTATTTGAGTTCCTTGTATTTCGTCGCATAGGCCCTGATGCGGAAGCTATTAGTTAATGATACAGTCGGAAGAACATGAGAGGACCTACGATATAATCCAAGAGCCGATAATGGCAGGGATTTGGTAAGTCATTTGCCGGGTTGCATTATCCCAAGCTGTAGTCTCCCAACCAAGATTGAGGACTAGTTGAGGAGTGACGCTATTCACGGCGCTGTAGAACATCCATCTGTTAAAAGCATTAGCAGCCGACCAACCGATGGGAAGGAGCAAGATATAAATAGTCTCACCCTTCAACAGCAAAACCAAATAATCCCAACGCAAAATTGCGTCCACGTTTGAAGAAAGCATGAGCTACTAGTCCATCGACCCTGCATTTCCATTCTAAGTACATTTATCAGTAAGAAAGACTTCGATTTGTGATTTTTCATAGAGTCCTCATATAACATACCATAGAAACCAAATATTATAATTAAAATAATTCCCAAACAAAGCGGTGCGAGCACGTGCGAGCTCTTCCAAGGATATGAACCACTGGTCCAATCCAAGCCGAGCAATATGAGTGTTGTTCCCGAGACGAAGAGAGCAGAGCCAATGGGATCCAGGCTCCATATATACCCCTTGAAGCTCATCTTAGGATAATCAGAGCGACGGATGGGATTATAAAAGAGAACCAGACCGATAAAGGTGATTCCATGAAGGGCGGCTTGCAGCCAGAAAATATTACGCCAACCATGGACGCTCTGATTCGTGACGGCACCGGCACCAAGGATTCCGATACTAGAAGCCTTATAATTAGCTTTTGATCTCCAAAGAGTTGTATCTAGAGGAAAGCTAATGGGGGGAGGGGTGGCTGGAGGACTATATTTTCAAAGGCTGGCACAAAGATTTACTCACAGTCCACCACAGGCACCTCCGAAAAATGCGATTCCGCCAGAAATAGGACGATACTTCATGGGGAGAATTTCGGACGGGATTGCAAGCAGAAGTGGAAGAGTCGCTAGGCAGATCCCAATGAGGATTCCCCCTCCGATCAATGTGTTCATATCAGTTGCTCTTGCAGAGATGCAAGCTCCAACAAATGAGAAGATATAGGGTATCGAGAGGACCCATTTTCGGTCAAAAACGTCCGAGAGCCGGCCAACAATGGGTGACAAGGCACTTTGCATAACAAGAGGACCCTTGGAAGACAAGTCAGCGAGCAATTATTAAATAGTTTTAACTTCGATGAGTTTACCTGGATGATCCAGCCAGCCAGACCTCTAGTGAATAACTCAATGTTAGTAAATAAAAGTTGCAAATCTAGGACGCTAGAGCTGGGGAGCCATTGCAGACTTCCTTCTCTCTCAGACAAAACAGATAGGCTCGAAAACACTCACGGGTTTCCCAGATCGCGGATGATGAAAGCAATAACTTGTCCAGCAGCGGTCACGACAAAGACTTGGGTCAAATTGCTGTCGATTTACAGATTAGGATATGGCTAAATTGCGATCGGAGCTGAGCACATGCCCTAATATTATCATGAACACCACGAGCCAAGTCCTCCATCCCAGCTTGACGTGCTGATCATCAAGGTAGGTGTCAGTGCGAGTGAGCACATCATTGACGTGTTCAGTGGTCGTCACATCCTCTTCGGAAGATGGTTTGTCGACAACTGCGTCTGTCTGTTTCTCTGCATCCATGGCCATCGTGGACGAAGATACTAGGGTCATTTATATAAAATTGTGCTGAGAGTCTGGTTAGATTGAAGATACCCAGCAAACAGGGGTGTATGAAGAAACATCGCCTACAGGGTCAGGATGGCATAGACCCCAGCTGCAATGAGCGAACATATCGGCAAGTGTGTTCCTGCGGATATGCCGGGTCCGGGGTAGAAAGCTCCCTGGGAAATCAACGACTGGTTGCGGGGCCCCGTACTAGCTCCCCCTTGACCTTATCGGGACTGCCCCCGCATACCATGATTATTCAGGAAGGAAGAGAGAGGATAGAGCTGAATAATGGGATTGTTTTGGCCTGACATATCTGGCCCCCTGAGGGGTAAGTAAGGTGTTACTTCCCATTGCTCACAACCTTACGGTTGTTGCCGACGCAAAATTGCCAACGTTAAGAAGGCAAGTGTCTATAACGTGAAGGCAGCGCTTCTTTGACAAATGCCAAATATAGAAGACCACATGAGAGTCCATAGACGGCGTGGGAAATAATTACATTCAATTCAGTTTGCCATACCGTATGATTTACAGGTATTGGAAGGGGATGATCACACCTCATAAAATCAATTTAACACTACATGAAAAGTAGTTGTATCCAACTATAAAATGACACGCAGAAATTGATAAGCTCAGTCGTAGTTACTCTTTGCCTCCAGCCCTTTATAGACATAACTGTGGTTACTATCTCGCTGCTTGAACTCGGTAATGTGATGCCGGCTGCGCATGCGAGACCGAGTGTATTCGACGCTAGTCGGCGTTTCCGGTGGAGGATTCTTGCCTCGCTCCATCTCTTCTTCTGTAATAAGACCAAGCCGCAGGAGCTTGGGGCTCGGAGCTGGAAGAATTTTCGTGTCATCATTGAAAAGGGAGAAATAAATTAGACCCAGACGATCACAGTCTCTCTGGTCTTTTGGCGGAGTGTAGACGCGGTGAACGGTGGCCTTGACGTAGCCCTGTAGGAGTATGCTATTAATGACGGAAGAAAGGGAAGGCAGACGGCAAAAGAAAAAGAATAGACTAGACATAGATACCGGTCAACGTACCTTGGTGACATGCGACATGAGCTCACCAGCGTTGATAGTGACACCACCAGGGACTGGTTTCACCCACTTCCACTCCCCTTCCTGCGTGAGCATTTGCAGTGCTGCTACATTCTGCGGCCACAGCATTGTTATGCTGGATTGGTCACTATGTCCGCTGATCCCAAACTTGCGCGAGGCCTCATAGTAATCATCCGGGCGAGGAGGATGAAGCATGAAACGAAGCCAACATTCCGAGCGCTTTTGCCATTCAATGCGTGAAGTAAAGTAGTCTTCTGGAAGCTCCAGGAGGATGGCAATAAGTATGTAAAGCGGACGTGCAATCCGCTCATACATCTTTTTCATAAACGGGGCCCATTCGCTCTTGTACGCCTTGATCAGTTCGGCATCTTTCACATCTTTGAGCGCTGGAATATCTTTGTGAAGCTCATACTGTGAAATTTATCAGCTCCGAGGACCAATCCAATGTGTTCTCCTTCCGTGATGTGTGATACATACGGTCTCCACAGACTCTTTCCATCCGCTGTCTCCCAGTGCCCGAGTCGGCTCACGGTATCCCCAGTTCAGGTCATTACCAAGATCAATGGGAACTTTGACTTTCTCCTCCATGGGAAGCTTGAAAAATGCGTTTCCAATGGCTAGCATTCGCTTGACTTCCTCATCAGGAATACCATGTCCGGTCACAATCCAGAATCCTACATTGCGAATAGTATCTTCAAGCTGGGCGGCCAGGCGCTGCTTCTCACCAGGCTCGTCAAAGTTGGAAACATCAATCGTGACCAGGGGTGCCCAGTCAAGATCCTCCTTGGTTGGAGGTGGCCGCTCGTAGGGAGGGATTTCATATGTAGGCCCGATAGATCCCATTTTGCTATGAAAATATTGACGATTTCAAAAAGACAATGGTTACTAATATGACAGGCTGAGGAGAAACCCTGGCCAGCTATCTTGTATGATATAGTCGGATTACCTCGTCACAATTGTCACCCTTCCTTTGCGCTATTATTTATATCACAGCAGAGTGACGATGTAGAAGCTGACCGGCAGTTTTTTATGGTCGAAAATGCCGAGATATGTCAGTTGAATTCACGAGATCAAGGGACGGCATGTCTCACGAGGGGCCAGAAGTGTTAATAATAGCTTGAAACCGTGCCTACAGCGGTCCACACAATTTGTAGGAACGCCGTCTCTGGGAAAACCCCGACCCTAAGCGGCACCGCGATTTACCCCTCACCAATGACGGCATCCGATTGATCCGGGTTGCATCTATTGCGTTGAATAGAACAGATCACCTAGTAATATTAATTTAATCTGACGCTACAGGCATGATCCATCCATATCGGTAGTTAGCACTCCTTTTCGCAACCGACCTCATAGCGAACGCCGCTCTACTGGACTGAACTGACCATAGTTGAACCACAGTCCCAATACAGTAATACTGTGGGTAGTTATACTGTAACTTTTATTACTTCTCTATTAGTAATGTCTGACTTCAATAACTATTGGAGTTTGAGCCACAGGACTCATATTCCATTGCTCGATTTTTTGATGACAGTGTAGCTAACGGATAAATCGGCATTGGGCATTGAGCATAGAACCAGGCTGTCGGGTTCATTGAAGAGGATTCTGACCATTCATTCTGTACAGTATTGTGAGGAAAATTCCCTAATTTATTAAGCATCAAATGTGGGGCAAGTTGACTATCACAGACCTACGATGGGAAACTCGGTGGGGGGCACGCGGGGTAGATGCCCCGGACTTACCCCAGAAAGTGCCGACGGACTTGAACGCATTAAAATGCGAATGTTCGAAGCTTGTCTCTCCAAGAAATAAATTCTCTATATTCTCTCCAACACAAGAATTATCAATTCTGAGGACACACTATGTAGAATCCTTAAGCGCCTTAACATCTAGATTTGCCTCAGCCACTCTACGTAGTTGGAACAGTAGACATAACATGCCGATTATTTCACCAAAGTAACTCCATATTAATAATATGGAATGATATAGCTAACTTATAGTTAAAGGGTGGCGGTTGAGTCATCTGATTTGGAAGTTATTCATTTAACAACAGACATTATTACTGTCAAGGCATCGACGCCCAGTGTAAAGAGGACCTGCCGGGCCTTGGGAAATACAGGGAGTAGAACATCCGAAGAATAGACAAGGAGAATTTGATACCATTGATCGCGATGAAATTTCTGAAAACTGACAGGCATCACCCATCTAATTGTGTCTTAAATCTATTATGGCGCCAAATGAATGTATACAGAATGCTGTTTAGGAAACGGAAAACATTATTCGTGTCAACCCAAGGAACTCCGCGGCAAGATCATCGGCTCCAACAAGCCTGTAGCTTCTGAACCAAATATTCAGTAACCCAACCCAGGTCAGCCTCGACTCTGTGCAAGAGATCAACAATAATGTCGTGCTCTTCTGCATTCTCCAAGCACTGCCCAACAGCGTACAAGAGCACAACCATGTAAATGCGTACGCCGCCCTGTGGTCGTCCTAAAGCAATGCCGCAGATTTCCCGGCAGCGATATTCTACTTCTTTCGTCACTTCACGGTAGCCTTGTAATCGATCGAACGCTGTACTGGGAGCACTGACAACATCGGGCGGTCGATTGAGCAGCAACGCCATCCTCCCGAAATGGTAATGCTGCGTAGCGGCAGCACAAGTAGTCAGACTATGAAACACCTCTGGAAATGGGAGACTCTTTTCAGACGGTTTTGAATGATCTTTGGGGTGTTCAATGCGAATGCATGGACGAAAAGTCTCCGGTACACCTTCAAACCATGTCTGCAAATCAAAACAGAGCTTAAGCCAAGTGTCAACATCGGCGGCTTGCGTATTGGGAGATTCGGGGTGCGGAGACCCGGCCCATTGCGCCAGTTGTGACTGTTTCGACCTTGCCAGAAAATTGATCACTTTGTTGATCAGCCAAATCAAGCCATTGGCTGCTTGGTCCTCTTGAGACAAGGCGTAAATTGCAGACGTATTGATGTGGAACTTGCCATCCTCGGCGCCAATCGATATTCCTGCTGTGCGCCAGAGAAACAAATTGTCTGGATCAAGGTGTGTTGGGGAGCGCGTAAAGTAAGAACCAATATAGTCCTGACGAGCAAAATTCCAAAACGCTGCGCGAATACCATGGCAAAACATAGCTGACGGGGTCATATGCACACGGGTAAGAGAGTCAAATAGAGACTTGATACCTGACAATTGTCTAATTATGTCAATAGAGGAATAACCAAAAACTCATACAGGGATGCTCACTCGTGCCATTCGTCTCCACTGGTATCCATGAGTCGATAGAACGTCAGGAGCACAACGACCGCAAGCATTTCTTCCGTCTTTCGTAAAAGCGTGGCGGTAAATGGAGCACTGCTCGCCGGATCTAATCCGGATTGTGTAGAGTCAGAGTTCAGCCATCGACCAAGCATCTCAACAGGTGACCCCAACACAGCCGAGCTAGATACAGATGTATAGCCGTCGGAAGTGGCGGTATTTAGCTCAGAAACTGCCAGATAAAAGTAGTTTGCGGCTTTGAGAAACCAGTCCACCTGGGCCGAATTCGGATAGGTCTGCATGATGGCAAGACTTGCGAACATGCCACTACCCGCAGGCGATTTGGCGCCTTTAACCTGTCCTAAGTGCTTGGCTGCCAAAGCTGCAATTGCATATTTGAGAGATTGGTTGTTGATAGCCCGGATCGGCACGTACACAGCAAAGAACTTCCCACTGTCCGAGAGGTCCAGCCTATTTGAAAAGTTAGCTATTCTCTCGGAAAGGGAGACAAGATCAATTACCAAGGACCTAGCACGTCAGAATAATGTCGAATAAGGAAGGCAGTCTCATGCTCAGTGCCAGTCATGAGCTCCGAGAAGATGTCTTGGAACTCTTCTTTCTCACTCCGCTGCGACAGGCTCTCTGAACTAACCAGTTTTGTGAAATCAAGACGATTCGGAGGGGAATGTTCATGACTTGTCAAGGCACCCGTAGATGTGTTTGGCGAGGCCAAGCTATAGATAGTGCTTCCTGTCGATCCACTGCCTTCGCCTCCAAAAGTCGGAACACTGGAGTACAGTGACTGAACGGCGCCTGGTGTTATTGCGGGACCAGACATGTCCTTGTCCATAAGATTAGCTTGTGGGTCCGGTTTCGTCTCTTCTATCTGCGAATGCAAGGTCAAGCTGTCCTTTGGCATTTCCTGTGACTGCGTATTCCGTTGTTCATTCATCTCCGAATGCTGAGTTTGATTAGTCTGATCCACAGGCGCCAGGGAAGATCAGAACCTATTTGATCCTTCTTTACTTACAATACTTGGCGTGGATACGCTGACATTTTTGGGGTGTGATTCCTGGTATGGGGCATAGCGGCGTCTCACTGATGCCCCTTGGTCGATGAATTTGCGCATCTGGATATATCCTGGGCAGTCCACGCCGGCAGCGATGCACCGCTGGCAGCTAGGACGAGTCTCATCGCACTGGTGGCGGAATTAATTAAGGAGATAAAAACTTGTTATCGATGTACCCACCTTCAGATGTCTCTTTTTACATCGCTCGCAAGCCTTGTTGGATGGTACCCCAGGCATCGTGCTGGTTTTCTGTCCGGCGGGTGAAGTGTTGAGGTCACCGGAGTCGACCTCCGGCCTACGTCGTTAATGGCAACGCACCCAAACGCTGTAAGCATATCACGAGTGTTTCATTTTGCACACTGTCAGTATCACAGAGTTGCACACTATATTCGCGAACCAAATAGAGATGGCGGTATGTAGACCGAGCAAGAAGGAACGAAATTGGATGTGGGGGATGAGAACCAGCTCGGGAGCTGACCGCCCGGCAGAATGCCTTCATCGCGGATCGGTGTCGATCATGCACAACAGCCTCTAAAATGCTTCGGTCTTCCCATCGTCTGGGCACAAATAATGTTAGAAATTAACAACAAAGGCGAGACTATGATACCGCGAGGTATCTGTCTCGGGCACAGAGCCACATATATCATACCTCGATCGGAGTGTTCTTTTCAGGTGCTTGGACGATCTAAAACGGCAATCTGTGCGTCAACGGAGCTCGATGATGAAAGAAATCGAATCATATCGTACATTGTTTCCTGAGACGGCGGCCCTCCGCGAGGAGGTTTTCTCCAGGCTGCGGATCGAGCATACTCAAACGAGTAATTACGCATCTCGGCGCAGCAGTGCACTCCAAAGAGCTTAGCTTCTTTAGTTCATCGGCCTTCTCGCACAGTAAGTATCCCAAGACCGTTAGTGGGCAGGAGAGGCAAACCCTGGGACAGCATTGCCCTTGATCTCATCTCAGGGGACGGGTGTTTCAAACGGCAAAATAGATGAAAATTCCGACAGCACATTGATGCCGGGAACGCTCACGCATCTGCCCGTGTCTTTTGGCTCAGCCAAGCTTTTCCGGGCGCAACCTGTGAGGTCCGGTTGGCTAGCTACCGCAACAACCCTAAAGGACCAATTTCAAACCGTACGATTATTGGCCCTATTTTCAATTATTTGCGCCGGTCTGCCTCCGGGTAAATAAAATCAACTGGGTAAATTAAATCAACTGCTACACTGACAGAGGGTTACATGATTGATGCGGAGACAGCTCCACCTGCTAGATTTCCCCGCGACCGAGCAGTTGTTGATTCGCCATAACTATATAAAGATCGGCGCAATCAGGCACCTCGGGAAAATTCCCGGTGGTCGCTTTACTCCGACCCCTGCTAGGAATCCTGTTTGGGCATCTTCGTTGCACATCGTGTGGCCTTTGCTTGCTCCACGGCTGTGCGCCATGTGGGGGCAAGCAGCGGTACCTACCGCTGGTTGAGGGGGACAGGGCGACGCTAAAGTTATTGTGCCGCATCGTAGCCTCACGGCCACCAATGCGACATGATGAAAAAGTCCGCTGGTGTTGTGTGTCCAGGGCCGGTCAATTGGGGTGTTTCCCTGTCGATCGTCGGTGGAATGCTGCCCCGCGACTTTTCGCGACTTATTAGTTAAATAGTTAAATAAAGCTCGAGCCCCATTCTGGAGCACGGATTGTGCTTGTTCGCGAATACGGAAGCTGCGAGGCTCACTCTGACACCGTCCTGTCCAGTGTCTGAGCTCATCATGCGATCGTTGTTCCAGCCCCAATCAACGCCTCTGGGCGCAATTGCAGCGACCCTGTATGCCTCAGTCGCTCTGAACGTGCCGGGGGTGTCTGCGAAGGGTTCTGACATTCTGGACTATGTTGATCCCTTTATTGGGACGGCCAATGGAGGTGCGATTCAATGAGGAGAAAGCTGCGTCGGTCTCAAACTAATCTTGAACAATCGAGACAGGCCATGTTTTTGCCGGAGCGAATCTGCCTTTTGGTTCGTAGCCCAAGAAAATGCTGAAAAAATTGCTAGGACTGACTAGAATTAGGCATGGCCAAGGCTGTGGCTGATACCATTGGTGAGAATCAAGCCGGATTTGCCTGGGACGACCAACTCGTCTATGGATTCTCACACACACATGACTCGGGCACGGGAGGTGTAGGTTTTCCAGTTGTTCGATTGTGACCCCTTCAACTTTCTGACTCGTGCAACCAGTCGCCATCGCTGGGCAACTTCCCAATTTTCCCTCAGGCGAGCTGCCCCAATGACGACATCAACCAATGCAAGTGGCAGATGAACGACAGAGCGACGGCTTGGTCGAACTCATCAGACGGGGCCCAGGCACATCCAGGATATTTCAGCATTCTTTTGGAGAATGGGATTAAAGCCGAGATGACCACGACCAACCGATCGGCTCTATATCGATTCACTTTCGATGGCACGTCGTCTGAATCGCTCAGCCCCGTGATTCTGGTAGACCTGATGGATTTGCCGCAGTCACGCCAGAACGGAACTGCCCTGGTCGACCCATCGACGGGACGGCTCACGGGCAATGGCACATTTAGCCCAAGCTTTGGTATCGGCTCTTACGACATGCACTTCTGCGCGGACTTCAAAGGAGCTGATGTTCGCAATTCGGGTGTCTGGGTGCAGAACCGAGCAAATGTCTCCCAAAAGTCAGTGTCGCTTACTCCAGACGGAACGAACACACCGGCCACTCTCTCCGCTGGTACATTCGTCCAGTTTAACAGCCCTAAGGATAACACCATTCTGGCTCGCGTCGGCGTGAGTTTCATGAGTGTTGATCAGGCTTGTGCCAATGCCGAAAAGGAGCAACCGAACTTTGACTTTGAAGGCACACTATCGGCTGCCGAAGCTGCTTGGCGGGAGAAGCTGAATGTCATGACTGTGGATGCGGAAGGAGTGTCCTCTGAGCTTCAGACCGTTTTCTGGAGTGGGGCATACCGGGCTATGATCAGCCCGCAGGATTATACGGGCGAGAATCCTCTGTGGCAGAGTACCGAGCCGTACTATGACAGCTACTATTGGTGAGCTATGTCCACAATAACCTAATGTATGAAGCTAACACGAGCACTTTCAGCATCTGGGACTCTTTCCGCAGTATCCATCCACTCCTTACTCTGCTGGACCCTATCTCGCAATCCCGAATGATGCGCAGTCTGGTTGATACCTACCGACATGAGGGCTACCTTCCCGACTGCCGCATGTCTCTTTGCAAGGGCTTCACTCAAGGCGGATCAAATGCTGATGTCCTTTTGGCAGAGGCTTATCTGAAAAAGGTCCAGGATATTGACTGGGACACTGCCTACGAGGCCGTGGTCAAAGATGCCGAGGTGGAGCCTGCGAACTGGAACGTTGAGGGACGCGGTGGTCTTCACAGCTGGAAGAACCTGGGTTACATTCCCACCGACGACTATGACCCTTACGGCGTGGGTACGCACACTCGCAGTATCTCTCGCACCGTGGAATACGCCTACAACGACTTTTGCATCTCTGAGATGGCCAAGGGCCTCGGCCACCATGCTGACTACGAAAAGTATACGATTCGCTCTGGCAATTGGGCCCATATGTTCAACGCGGCCCAGACTTCCAGCATCAACGGAACCAATACCGGCTTCACCGGATTCTTGCAGCCTAAGTATACGAACGGTACATGGGGCTACCAGGATCCGATCTTCTGCAGTCCGTTGCTCGATTTTGACTCGTGCTACCTGAATCCCGATGGACATGAGACTTATGAGGGCAGCGCCTTCCTCTACACCTTGTATGTTTATGGCTTCCCCATCCCCCATTTTGCAACAAATCCATTGACCTGTCTCCCGCTAGTTACGCGCCCCATGACATGGGATCGCTTATCACGGCCCTTGGCGGCGCCAAGTCCTTCACAAACCGGTTGACCTACTTCCATGAGTCCGGACTGCTCTATGTAGGCGACGAGCAGTCATTCTTGACCGTCTTCCAGTTCCACTACTCCGGACGCCCCGCCCTTTCTGCGGAGCGCAGCCATTACTACATTCCCTCGCAGTTCAACACCACCGTGGCCGGTATTGCAGGCAACGATGACAGCGGGGCCATGGGGTCGTTTATCGTGCTGAGCATGATGGGTCTCTGGCCTGTGCCTGGACAGGACGTATACCTCATTACACCACCCTATTTCAAGGAGATTAGCATCCGTCACACTGTGACCGGCAATGTGGCGACGATCCGCAACATCAACTTCGACCCCAGCTACAAGAACATCTACATTCAGAGTGCTAAGAGGGACGGCAAGCCCTGGACTAAAAACTGGATCAGCCATGATTTCTTCCTTGATGGCGGCGTCCTTGAACTTGAATTAGGCTCGAGCGAGAGCGCGTGGGGCACGCATGTCGAGGACCTGCCCCCGAGTCTGGGCCATTATTCCTAGTGAGAACGGGTCCTGTAGCGGTATAGTGATTAAATTCTATACATCGTTAGTAAACATTGGAGGTTTTGTCGGTGAATCAGCTCCAGATTGTGTAGTTATTAGCAAATAGTAGTGATGGATCCTTACTGTAAAACCAAGGATCGAGGGGCAATTTCATCCTGTTTTCTCCCAGGCGGGAAAGGACAATCCTTTCCGTCGGAGGGATTTACGGGATTGGACCCAACAGTCGAGCGAAGCTCGGCTAGTAACCGGAGATTCGGCCAAGATATAGCCACCTACCGCATTTCTTCTTATTTCAGCGGCGAAATTGAGCCCCTTTTGGATTTCAGCCAAGACTTCGACTACTTACAGAAACTCTGGCGTGTTCTAACGGTAGTGGCACCTCCACCTCCAAGATCTAGAGACGCGCTTCCCAAAAAGGAACACTGTAATTCGCCAGTAAAAATAATGGACTTGGCTGGACGCAAAATATATAAAAAGCGGGCCTTAAGTGCATTTATCCCCGGCCCCTTTTTTCCCCTATAAGCATTTCTTTTTTTGAGCATCAGATTCTTCCCAGTCAGCCCGTATGCACCCTGGTCCATTGGCGATATCGTATGCAACATCTGTTACCCTCGTGCGGCCCTCCACAAAGCAATCGTCCTTGCCTGCATTATCGACTCTCTTCTATTTCTCCCCACGCGGCACTCGCCCACGCAGCAAAAGCCACTCAGAGCTTCTCCCAGATGGAAAGCAAGTTTGATGACACCCACGATGTCAAAGATGTGCCCGATGCGCCTATCTCTCAAGGCCAAATCCAAACAGTTAATGGTCTACATAGGCGACTCGAAAATAGGCACATTCAACTCATAGCCATTGGCGGGTCGATTGGCACAGGGTTGTTTATCACCATAGGAAATGGACTCGCTGCTGGTGGACCCGCCAGTTTATTCATCTCCTATGTTGCGTACTGCCTTGTGCTCGGCTGCGTGAATAATTGCATAGCTGAAATGATTGTTCTTCATCCTATGCCCGGAGGGTTCATTCGCCTGGCTGGAAAATGGGTCGACGACGCACTCGGCTTTATGGTTGGGTGGAACTTTTTCATCTATGAAGCGCTCATGATCCCCTTCGAAATAACCGCTATCAATCTCATCCTGAGCTATTGGAGAGACGATATTCCCGTCGCTGCAGTTTGTATAGCTTGCATCGTCCTTTATGGGTACGAATTCCCCCCTCTCTTCATCTCTGATCTACTGAGGATATTGTCCATTCTCTCAATTTCCCCTTGAACCGTCGAAACTTGCGATTCTTGAAGAAAAGAAGCTCATAACCTAGAACAGGCTTCTCAACCTTCTTGCCGTATCTGCGTATGGGGAAGCCGAGTTCTGGCTTTCATCGGGGAAGGTCCTCCTGATCTTTGTCACGTTCTTTTTCACATTTGTTACCATGGTCGGTGGTAACCCACAACACGATGCATACGGATTCCGGTACTGGAATAATCCAGGTCCTTTCGCAGAAGATCGGGCTTCTGGTAGCCTCGGTCGGTTTGAAGGCTTTCTGGCTACTGTATGGTCTGCGGCTTTCATAATCGTCGGGCCTGAGTATATATCCATGGCGGCTGCAGAAGCCAAGCGTCCTAGCATTTATATCAAGGCTGCATTCAAAACTATTTACTGGCGTTTTGCACTCTTCTTCATGCTCAGCGCTCTCTGCATCGGGATCGTTGTGCCTTGGAACGACCCCACTCTTCAAGCGATTCTGGCTGGGAAAAGCAGCAAGAAAGGAGGCGGTGCTTCTCCTTACCTTATCGCTATGTCTAACATGCAGATCGATGTTCTTCCTCACATTGTCAATGCTCTTCTTGTGACTTCAGTCTTCTCTGCGGGCAATGCTTTGACATACTGCGCCACACGCTCTCTCTATGGTCTAGCACTAGATGGACGCGCCCCCAAAATCCTGACCAAGACGGCAAGGGGCATTCCTATCTATGCTTTTGCCGTTGTCATGTGTTTCCCCTTCCTTTCGCTCCTGCAGGTGTCAAATAGCTCCTCGCTGGTCCTAACATGGCTTATCGACCTAACCACTGCCGGCGCCCTTATCGACTATCTTGTGATGTGCATCACTTACATCAGATTTCATAAAGCCTGCAAGAGCCAGGGCGTTGATCGAGCGACCTTTCCGTATTGCGGATATTTTCAACCTTATTGTGCATGGATTGGCCTCGTTGCCATGGTCATCATCTTACTATTCTATGGGTACTCAGCCTTCGACCCTTGGAGTGTCACGGGCTTTTTTCAAAATTATACCATGCAAATTGTCGCCCCTATCCTGTACTTAGGGTGGAAATTGACGCACCGGACCAAAATCGTGAAACCTGAAGAGCTCAACCTAGTTTGGGATCGCCCACTTATTGATGCTTACGAGGCCTGTTTGGTGGACAGCTCTGTGGGTTTCTGGACTGATATCGCTCGGTTACTCCGTCGGAGACAACAAAAGGCAACGAAAGACGTGAGCGAGTAAGTAAGACGCTTTCAGTGTCGCCGATTCTGCTGGTGTACTCTTTTTCGCGGATGAAGAATGCATCTTTATTTTTAGAGGATTGATGTCGACTCGACTATGAATACATATACCATTTGGCTTTCGTATAATATATCTCACCTAAATTTAATGACAACAGAAAGTTGACAGACTCTTGTTTTATATATCCCTTATATCTTGCGAAGGCAGTATCACTGACAATTTGCACAGGCAATAATCTGCAATTATAGACTTTATGAATCGGTTTCCTAGGGTACAATGAGCGATATAGACACAATTATGATCATTGGTAATCAAGTCTATAATGCCTATAAACCAATATCAGAGCTTGCTTATGTTTAAGGAAGCGTATATCCACCGTCAATAACGATGTTGGCACCGGTCATATAGCTGGATGCATCGGATGCACAGAAGACATACGCCTGTTCTTTTCTTAGTGAATGCTTCCTGGAATGATTTCAAACGCAAAACTCACGCCCTTCAGCTCATAGCACTCAGCCATTCTCTTTGCGGGAATCATGCTGAACCACTTCTCCCGCCACTCTTGGGGGTGGATATCCAGAATCTCAGTTGCGATGAATCCGGGAGAGATGCAATTGACGCGGCAAAAATCAACCCATTCCACTGACAGGCACTTTGCCAGTTGGACAACACCTGCTTTGGAAGCGTTGTACTATTCATAGTTAGCGAATACCCCAGCAATGAGTATAATTCGACTTACCGCAGCCTGCTTCTGAGGGACATTCACCAGCGTCGCGCTGACAGAAGCTGTGAAAATAACATTTCCATACCCCTGCGTCTTAAAAATGCGCGCCGCGGCTTGGGCAGTGTAGAAGGCTCCATCGAGATTGACCTTCATGATATCACTCCACTGCTCCGTTGTGTAGTCTTCGGCCGCAACATTCGAAGTGATTCCGGAGTTAACGACAATGATATCAATCTTTCCGAAGTCCTTGGAGATCTGCTGCACGACCGCTTCGATTTCGGACTGAACTCCTACATTTGCCTGGTACGCAGCCGTGCGAACATTGTTCGCAGATGCGATCTCGGCTGCGGTCGCCTCGGCGGTCTTGGACGAGTTGTAGATCAAGGCCACCTGCATCTTGTTAGTCCCGCGTGTCACACTTTTTTACAATGCTATGTGACTTACATGGGCACCTGCTTCGGCTAGTGCTCTGGACACCTCGAGGCCGATTCCACGGGCACCTCCTGATGATGACTGTCAGTCCGACTTCGAGGCTCACGGGATTCTGGCATACCGGTCACAGCGGCAACCTTGCCGGTAAGGTCGAACGCCTTCATGACATGCTGGTTCTGAGGCTGGGCGAGGACCATCTTGGTGAGAGTAGATCGGCGTGTAGAAAGTTGTTGTTTTTGTCTTTTGACTCTGTCCCTTTCTCACTTCTCCCCCGCACTCGCACCAAGTCCGATGGGGTGTTCCGGGCTCCACAGCGGACCATGTGGCACATGATGTATACGCAGATCGGAACAGAGGGCTCCGTTAAGCGTAGACAAGTATACGTATAATTCGTAGATGGCTCATTCTCAGGAGTGTTGAAATCCTTCTTACAACTATACCAAATATTCGTCCAATTGGCTATCCTGCATGCTCGCCTTTGCCTACCATCTCATTATCCTGTTTACTGAATATAGCACCACTGGGCACTGACAAAGGTCCATCAACCCCTTCGCAATTTTGTCGCTTTATCAAGTGATCATTGTCGAAAAGGTAAATGTACACTAGTCTCAAGGCTCACGGAATGTATCATTGCAACTCTGCATTTCGCGCTCCGAGTGTGGATCTCTCAAATGACTATTTACAAACCAGCGAGACTCATTGGTAACTCACTGCACGACGAACGCGGTCGAGTGATTCTTGTACAACACACTCGAATCCAAGATATCTCCCGTAGAGGACCGGATGAAGGTAACCTGTAAATGTTTTTGGTCCAGGAAGTTCAATGTGGCGTAGCTGTAATCATCCCCGTAGGCAAAGGCCGTGTAGGAGGGCTCACTGCCTGGTGAATCCAACCCCTCAATGTTGCCCGCACCTCCAGCAACAATGTACATGGGTGCCGAGGGATTGGTCATGTTGTGGGGATCCGCAATGCTGTTGTTGACCGGGTAAAAGCGCTGAGAGTTGTGCACATGGCCGAAAACGCCCACATCCACGCCGTATTTATAGAACAGCGATTCAAACGCATCTTGACAGGGCCCGCAGCTGTTGTCTGAGCCAGTTGAATACCATGGTCGGTGTCCTGCGACAATGAGCCACGGCGTCACAGACCTGTCGACGCTGGCCAGGTCGGCAGCCAGAAAGTCGAGCTGCTGGTGCGGAGCACCAAAAGGTCCACCATCAAGACCAGCTGAGCCATCTTGGCCATCCGGTGCCGACGGAAAATCTGTTTCGGTGTCGATCATGACGATGTGGGCCATGCCATATTCGAAAGAGTACCAGAAAGGCGGATTGGCGAGGGACTGCGCTTTCTGAGCGAGGGTTTGAGCCTTGGTGCTGGATGAAGAGGACCCGAACGCAGTAGGCATGGTGTCGTGGAAGCGATGCATGAAGTCGGTGAAGTTACGCTGGCCTTCGGGGCAAAGACCCGTAGTATAGTCAATCTCCTCGCAGTCGGCTTCGTGGTTACCGGGGCTAGCCATGTAGAGCTTACGGCCGGAAATGGGAGCAAGCTGCTCGGCATAAAACTGTTCCAGGATAGCTTGATACGCATCTTTCTCATCAAGCAGATTCTGGGGTTTGAGATACCAATCGTCGGCATAACCAAAATCCCCGGGATGAATCACAAATTCATAATTGTTGGCCGTTTTTGCCAAGCGCTGAATGGTGGTGTGGTTCAGAGAGGGAGAGACGGTAATAGGAGAGTCCCTCTTCTTTACAGTGTACCCATCCGCACCCTGGACGCCCAGGTCAATAACGACGCTCACGTTGAATGGCGTCCGATCACCGGGAGTCCGAGGACTGAGAAAGTGGCCAACGCTTGAGTTGGTAGACACAATCTTGTAGTAGTACGTCGTCGCCGGGGTAAGGCCTGTCAGAGCCACCACGTTGGACCAAGTGCGTGAGGTCGGATAGGTGGTGGAGGCAGACGAAGAGCATTGCACTTTAGACAAGTCGTTTTCAGAGGTGCCATAGCTCACACAGGTGTGATTCAACGGAGCATATGTGTTCCAGGCGACCGACACCGCTAAGGAGAGGTCAGGACCAAGTTATTTTCAGATCGACAAGATGTTGCTCACCATTGGGGCCGTGGATAGCCAAGCGTTGCTGAGACGGGGTGGTGAGGTCCTTGGGAATGGGCGGATAATCATAGGCCAGCACGCCGCCGGCAAGGGCCAGTATAGCGAGATAAATGGAGTGCTTCATGATCCTGTGAGAACCCTGAATCCTCCAATGTGGGAACGGGCAATCGTAATATGTAACAAATAACACATAACTAATAAATTCCGTGTCGGTGATGATTTATACTCCGTCATCAACAATCGGGCCAATCAGTGATAGTGAAAGACGCATGAGGTGAATCGCTTAGGCACGTGTCAGCCGCGGTGAAAAATCCAAGGTTCGGGTGGCTGATCTTTAACTGTTCTTGTGCGAGTCGCCGGAAGGCCGCCGGAGATAACTACACAGATCATAAAACGGAAGAAGAATAAGGAGAATATAAAATAATTGGATAAACAACAATCAGGTACGTATGTAAGCTAGCCATGTGGATTCTCCATATTCAAGCAATATCGACGCTCTGAAGATTATGCTGCAGGTCCGCAGTTTTCACATCCTGCAACATATACATATGATGACACATCATGTCAGGCTCTCATCGAGGCTCGTGTCCGCTGTTAGGACTGTGATGCGTGCTGTGAAAATCAGGAACACATTTTCAACATGGACATTATCACTGTTAGGAGACTTTTCGTGCTGATGCTAACTTGGCCAATTTAATTGAACTCTGATATATTGAACTTTGTACACGTAGATAGTCGTTCCCAAAAGAAGTAAAGAAGCTTACAATACAACACTCTTTCTTTCTTACAAAGTATAGCAGTACGGCGAGATGACAATGAACCAGATGCTTTACTTTCTCTCAAGATTGATCCAATCGATATCAATAGTCCACGTGTTATACATAATGACTGGAAATATAGCTTCGATACAATTTGCCCACCACAATCTGACGAGAATGACATGCGATATTCGTAATTGTGACGATTTGACAGCATCAGATTAGACCACGTCAAGGACTACCGTTTCACTCTGGCTGTCTAAGCTGTTTCGAAGCCACAACTGGTCCAAGCGCTTCGGCCGTGATTTCTTCCAGTGAGCTCCAGCCCTTCTGGTTCGTCCACTTCTCCAGAAGCGCCAACGGTTTGCTGAGGTCCGTGGATAAGTCAAGCCGAGCCATATTGGCAAGATCCGGGACGAATTCATGGTCCGGATACAGGCGACGCATGATGGCGAGAATATCATTCCAGTTACAATAGGGACCCCATGCTTGGAGACGCGCGTTCTTGACCTCAGAGTCCAGAACGGCGGCCACATGCAGCACGGCGGCATCTCTCACGTTGACGGTAATTACTATTGTCGTCCGTCAGGCCATCGTCAGGAGGAGAAAAGAGGACAACTTACATCCGGGAATGAAGGCCAAGCGCATGGTATCGCCGTAGTACAGCTTTTTCATCCACGCATAGTCGGTCTCAACATGGGTAGAGTTTAGGGGCTCTCCCAGGATCATGGCGGGGGAGATGACATTCACGGTGAAATGGGGGTTTTTCTCCTTCACAAACTCCCACACAGCCTTCTCCGAGGCCACCTTGCTGGCCGAGTACACAGGCCCAGCTCGCTTGGGCTCATAGGGTGGAGGCGCCCAAGCGAGCTGCGAAGCGGTGTCGTTCCACGTATTGTCATCAACATGGGTGTTGATGCCTGGAACGGCCATGGCAGTGGCAAGAAACGAGCTGGTAAAAACTAACTCTTTCACCATTGGTTCGGTTAGTGCGGCCTCCATAATTGACCGGACGCCCTTGACAGCGGGAGGGATCACGTTGTGGGGGTCTGGGTCGAAGCTGGTGATGGTGGCCACATGGGCAATGGCTGACATCCCCTTCACGGCGTCGTCAAATGCATGGTCAACTGCAAGATCCGGGACGAGACAAAGCTCAAACTCGTTGCGCTCAGCATAGGACTTAAAGAGGTTGTTGAGCCACGCTGCCCGGACCAAATCCCTCACGGTCCCTCGCACTTTGTAGCCGCGTTCCAGGAACTCCTTGACAATATGTGAGGCCAAGAAGCCGGTTGCACCGGTCACCAAGACCCAAGAGCCCTGAGGGACGGTCATCGATGGCGTAGACATGATGTTGTCTTTGGGAAAAAGAGGATTGGAGGCTGAGAATTGGAGACTGTGAAGGTTGATGGAACAATAGTCCTGTCTGGCGGAGAGAGAGGCCTTAAATAACCCTGAGTGTTGTTCTAGGCCTCTATCAGATCAGCAAAAATGACCAAAGGCGACGAGATCCCAACCCATGTACTCTTTCCTATATTCTATACTCTTTCCTAAATAGGAAAGAGTACATGGGTTGGGGTCTTTATTGGAACCTAGGAAATAAAGCATTTTGTCAAATTAACTGGAGAATTGATCGGCCACTGATTATCCAAATGATAATGTTGAAATGTGGTTAGAATCATAAGATAGAAGGTGTCTGACAATCGTACAAATTGCATAGTAAGCGAAATCAATGCACGATACCAAAAACCTCAAAATCAAAAGCAGTTTAGTTGCTGTACAAACTTTTGTCCATGGATCCACCATGATTACATACCAACACATTTAACTAACGGTAGTTGTCCTTGGCTGCTGGCTAGTGCCATTCATTTGACGCCACAAAAATGCACAAAGATGCAGTCTATAGAACCCTTCGTGGGCATTAATCATCATCTGGCTGCACAGATTAAACGAAACTATTTTTCAAGAAAAAGAGATGTGAATTGCATCTTGAATAGGCCTATTCTTTTCCTAAAAAGGCCAATTTTGAGCCAAAGCCTCTTCAACATCTGGTCAGAAGAAAATGCATATATACAGTTCTGATCAAACTAATCACCATAATCCATACACAATTGAGCTAGAAATGCACCAGAGACAATGTAAATCCGCTTGTTCTCTTCAATCAATATCTAGGTTGACCAAGCTCTCATTGACCCAGAAAGCGTTTACCAAGTGATCCCAGGTTCGAGGATTGCGGGCTTTTCCCACCATCTTCTGTAGTAGATTCGAGAGAAGATGCTCAAGGAACCCATTCAAGCCCAGATTTTGAGGCCCACCATTGAGCGAGACCATTTTGACCGCGCCTCCAATGTGCTGTCGGGACATCCTCGCGTCATGAAGAAACAACTGTCGATTGTCAGCCTCGAGTTACATCTGCTGAATCATTCTCCTACCTCATCAAAGGCGAGCATGACCACCGTGGCCACGGTGGAGTCGCTGAACGGCGGCATCTGGCGGGAGATTTTCTCTTGCAGAGCCCGCACGCAACCCAGCTTATACTGCATGGCTAGATTAAGGAACCGCTGCTGCTGCTCTGCCAGACCGTAGCTTTCGGATATATCGCGACACGCGGCGAGAAACAAGCCATTGAGAAGGCTGGCATTCCCCAGGGCCAGCGGAACCCACGCGGTGGTCATTCGCTCGCTATAGTCGATGGGGTTTTCCATGCAGCGCAGACGAGGAACCACCGCCCGCACGTCTAGGGTCAACCAGCTTAGTGATGATCGGTGGAAGCATCGCGGAGGCGACACCTACAATGATCGAGCAGGAAGTCTTCCACTGGTTGGAAAGGAGCCACAAAGCTGGCAAAAGGATCTCGCCGGGCTGCGGATAACAGGCTGATGGGCCCGACTGATGAAACAGTTGATCCCCCATCTTCCTTTTTCTTCTTCTCCCCGCTGCGAGCTCGACGCCGGGAGTGGGTCACGCGGGCTGCATGGGAATAAACAGCGCGACGTTGCGACTGGAGGTCCGCGGGATGGGGTATTTCGATGAACTGTAGCTGCGACATGTTGGTTTTTGATCCACTGTTGAACCGGGGGGAAAGACTGTCCTAAGCTTTACTCTTTACCTCATGAAGCCCCAAGGCTGCGTTATCTCCGAACCCCGACATCCCCGGGAATCAGCCTCAGCTTAAAGCCGACAATATTCGGTAAGCAGAATGGAATGGGATTCACATCCCCAAACTCAAGTGATGCCAGTTTTCGATACGATTCGATCCACGAAACAAAGCTAAGCCGGATACAAAGTAGCGTGCTTCGAGATAAGGTTCGGGAAAGAACCACAGTAAAGAGAATACATTGGTGAAACTGATTTCGAACCATCCTGTAGTCAGCGTCGTGCGGGGAAGAAAGACGACGACACAATAATGACAAGCCAAAATATTAAATAGCTAACTTCATCCACTGCCATTTTCACTATCATATATATATTTAAACAACATGAGTGTAGGAGACCAAAGTCCTATTTGTCCGGTCTTTATTAACGGCTAGCCAGGAAACAAATCGCTCTTTCGTCCTCCGCGCCGTCCAGGACGTCGTCTTCGAAGACCGTAGCGTGCCCCCGCTGAAAGATCCATGGGATGTGCGCATTCATGTTGCGCAGACAGGTATTTGTGGCAGTGACGTACACTACTGGCAGCGAGGACAGATCGGAGGTAAGTGATAGGTGTATGAGTTCTGGATAGGCGACTCAAATCGCATTTCTGCAGATTTCATTCTCCGGTCACCTATCGTACTCGGCCATGAGAGTTCTGGGACAGTTGTGGAGGTTGGTTCAGCTGTGAAGAAAGTCAAAGTTGGTGATCGGGTGGCCGTTGAGCCCGGCGTGCCATGCAGACAGTACGTTCAACAGCCAATACCCTTACATGATAAAAGATCACTGACCAGCTCTAGCTGCAACTACTGCCGCAGCGGCTCATACAATCTCTGCCCGGACACGGTCTTCGCAGCGACTCCGCCGCACGACGGAACACTGTCCAAGTACTATAGCACGCAGGCGGACTTCTGCTACCCGCTGCCGGCGCACATGGATCTCGAAGAAGGGGCGCTCGTTGAGCCGGTTGCGGTGGCTGTCCAGATTACCAAGGTTGGCAAAGTGAAGCCGAATCAGACAGTCGTCGTCTTCGGGTGTGGACCTATCGGGCTGCTCTGCCAGGCTGTGAGCAAGCCGTACGCCGCGAAAAAGGTCATCGGGGTAGATATCAGTCAGTCGCGGGCTGAGTTTGCGCGATCATTTGGAGCGGACGGTGTTTTTGTGCCGCCGGTTAGGCCCGAGGATATGGATGACAATGCATGGAGCGAGGAGGTGGCGAGGATGATGAAGGAACAGTTCGACCTTGGCGAGGGGCCTGATGTTGTGCTGGAGGCGACAGGTGCACAGGCATGTATCCAGACCGGAGTGCATCTCACCAAGAAGGGAGGCATGTATGTGCAGGCCGGGATGGGCAAAGAGGTGAGTTTCAACAACCCTTGCGTCACCTATTCATATACTGAATAACAAACCGAACGTCAACTTCCCCATTACCACGGCGTGCATTCGCGACCTGACCATCCGCGGCTCTATTCGCTACACAACGGGCTGTTACCCGACTGCCGTTGATCTGATTGCCAGCGGCAAGATCGACGTGAAACGGCTCATCACGAACAGGTACACGTTCGAGCAGGCCGAAGAAGCATTTGAGCTGGTGCGACAGGGCAAAGAAAGTGTGATCAAGGTGATCATTGGAGGTGTGGCTAGTTGAAGAAATTATGTTGATTGAGAGGTGCGCTTTACTATAGACATCAGTAGAGCATTCTTTTGGGTATAAAGACTCAAGGTTGGCCCCGAACAGAGGAACTTTCGCAGCAGTGGAGTCGCCAAGGGCCAATGAGTATAGGGGATTTATATCTAAGAGGACCATGTAATATGGAGATATGGACAATCATGGATTCAAATAGTAGGTACTATGGACAAGTATGCAACGAGAGGGATATCATCTATGTACTAAGAGAAGAAGGAATGGAACAGACTTCAGACAGATAGCAGAAACACCAAAACATCGCTCGCCAAAACGTTACAATGAGAAGAAAGAAAACCAAAGAATACAGCCAACTGAGATCAGGTCATCAAGAAGGAGTTTCAGCGCCGGCTGCCGGCGTCGTCGCGGCACGACGTCCCCAGCCACTGAAAAATCCGCCCGGAGTGGCGGCAGGCTTAGCTGGTTCGGTCGGGGTCTTCTGGGTGCTGCTCTGCGCCGTCAAAGATCGCCCCCCGAGGAAGGAACTGCGGTTCTCCTTGCCGGGTGTGGGAGTAGACGAGCCGATCAATTTGCGCAGTGCCTCCAGCTTGCCCTTGACCTCCTCTAGCTCCTGCTGCGCGACTGCCTCGGCCGTCTTCGCGTTGACTAGCTCCAGCAGCAGTGTCTCGTCGGTTCCGGGCTGGTTATTAGTGGTGGAGAGTATAGTCTGCAGTCCCAGACTGCTAGTCCGCTTGTTGAAGGTCGGGCTCTTCACCGAATTGGTGCGCACCAGCGTCAGCTCGCGCAGGCCAGGGGAGGTCGCCTCGCTGCTAATCTCTGAGGCGGAGGAGTACACAGCCTCGGCCGGAGTGGACGCCTCCGAGGCCGCGGGGCTCTTGAGAGCGCGCAGCTCCTGATTCGTGCGCTCCAGGCGCTGTCGATCACGGTATCCGTCTTGGATCCGGCTGCGAGCTTCGCGGAGCTGTTCCTTCATAGACGCATTCTCTTGCTCAAACTCATCCATCCGTCTTGTCAAGTCCCCACGCCGACTGGCCTCGATCCGGTGCATTTCCTTCCAGTGCGCCACATCGTCGTAGAGTTGGTGCTTCGTCTGCAAGATTTCTTCGCGCTTGGGTTCTATCTCGGACGAGGCAAACCGGGCCTGCGCTTTGGTGATGAGATCCGTTGGCTGTGCGTCCGAGTCCATCTCTTGGAGGTGGTTCAACATTGCCTTCGCCACCAGCTGGTCTTCCTCGCGCTCCTCGCGCTCTAGCTGTATTTCACGAGTGAGGTCTGCGTGCTGGCGCTGCAGCTCGCTAAGGGCCATGAGCAGGTCTTCGATCTGAGAGTGGAGATCGCGATCTTTGTTGTAGGACATGTTCGATTTGACGCGTGATTTTTGGCCGTCAATCGTTGCGGTCGACGAGGCCTCGGTCGGGGCCGTGCTGGCAACAGAGGCACTTTCAACGGAGTTCAGAGTCGAGGTAATGCTCTGTTTGGAGGTGGAGCGCCGGATGGTGCTCGGGGGGCGGGAAGGGGTTGGGTTTGGAGTGAGAGCTTTGAGGGAGTTGTGAGAGACGGAGGAGCTCGCCCATAGACGGCCGAGGAAGCGGGTGGCTGCGGCCTGCATGGTGGGGAAGGTAATGCCTGACGGCACGCCCTGGGACAGGTTGTAGCTGGCTTCGAGGGTCTGTAAACTCTCCTTGGTGACCAGGGGTGTCAGCGACACAAAGTCGTTGACGAGATCATCGGCGTTGAACGCGTAGATGTCCCACAAGCTGCGCGAGAGCAGCAGCTGCATCACATCTTCGAATTCGGTGCATGCCAGGATCTTCTTCTCATTGCGCTGCATGAGGGAGAGCGCGACACGCATCAACGTTTCGATGGCACCCTCGAGGAAGATGACATCGTAGATCCGCAGGAGCATGGGCAGTGGACAGACCACTGCAAAGAACGACAGGAACCACTGTGAGACGTAAGCCGGCTCCACGTTCAGCGCTTCCAAGTGCTCGAAGAGGGCGGGTCGGTGCCGTGCCAGGAGATTCTGGAACTGATAGACATGGAGATGAAGCCCGGAGAGATCGGGCAGGTAGCATGTGCGGAGATTGTAGTGGTCCATGAGCCTACACATGGGTTAGAGAATGAAATCTTCGGGGGGAAGCAGGCTATCATACCGAACAAGAACGCAGAAGGCTTCGGCATCTGTCATGTGCATAAGCAACGGACCCACGACAAATCCGAGGCCCTGGCAGTAACCGATTTTGGTGTCGTAGAGGCTGAAGCATTGCAGTACACGGGCTAGCATCTGCTGTCCCTCGCCTTCAGGATCTCGAAACATCTCGACATTGGGAAAGCTACGGCCAATGTCTTTGCCGATTAAGTCATTGTACGGGCTGCTTTCGCCGGTCAAACGGTGGAATTCCTCCAGGAGCGTGGCATCACGGGCACCGGCCAGACTCGGCCACACGACGCCTCGCAGCGGCGGGGGCACACCCCCTGAATTTTGTTCGATGTCAGGGTCGGGAGACGCTGCGCGGTCTGCGGGTAATCCGCCACCAGGGCGGCCCAGAACTCCAGCTCCGTCATGGGTGGAGGAGAAAGCTGGGAGTAGCGCAGCTCCGACCGGGTTGGCTCATTGATCAGGCGTTTGATCTGGTGCAAGGACTGGGAGCGGGACTGTCTCTGGTGTTGAGAGACATTGGGGTTATTGGCCAACCCAGATTTCGGGTTAGTCGCCAGGGCATTGTTTTCTTGCTCGAGGCGAGCCAGGAGCAGGGCCGTCGACTAGAGCGGCAGATTAGCCATGCTGCCGTTATTGAGGGAAGTTGGGGGGATATATCACGCACATCGTCTGACCCTTCTCCCCGAGGTTCTTGTTCCTCGGTTCTATCCAGATGCTCCCAATCCAAATCATCCAAGTCCGAATCCGAGTCTGGAATATCTCCTTCCTCTTCTTTCTCAATGGGTGGTGGGGTGTACACGGCGTTTGTGAGTAAGGTGGGAGCAAGCTCCTCGTCCTCAGTGCTGTTGGCCTCGGACTCGAGGGGAGAATCTTCTTCGGCGGAGGTCGGGGGAATATCCAGGGAGCGCCAGTCTGGCGGGGTATGTTCGGAGTTGGACTGGATATCGGACAGCGAGACGGTGACCATGGAGTCGGTGGGTTTGTGGGTGTGGGAAGCACCGGGCGACGCGGGCTCGGCGTCGTCCATCACGGCGTCTCGGGAGGGTAGATCAATTTGAGCAGTGGACAGGGAAGAATGGCAGCACAATCTTCATCGCCAGGTCAGGGTCGAGGAGAGCAGGGCGTCGAGGCAGATAAATAGTCGACAGGAAGTTCAGTCGAGGAAAAGCATTCCCATGAGCGTTCAGGAGAACTAAGGATGGAACTAACTAAACCCACCAAACTAGCCCCCTTTGGCACTTTTCTCCCCCTCCTGAACAACAACACAGTCTCGCCCCCTGCCCGGCGATCTTATGAGTCTTATTATTACACCGACTGTTGGATGGGAACTGCCGAACTATTATTCTTTCGGTTTCCTTTTGGTAATCGCGTTGCTGTTCTGGCATCCATGGTTGACTGGCGGATCCTCTCTCACCCTCATCTTCATACCATAAGATGTCATCACCACCGAACAATAATCAAACACACAGAGAGTCACTACCACCTTAGGGGCACCACCTCCCCCTCTCCAATTCTACTGGCCTGCAGGTACCAGTGCCGCCGCCAATCTGAGGCAAAGATGCGGCAGCCAACGGTCTGGTCACGCTGGTACTGCAGCGGCGACTAGTGTATTCTATCCTGCATTTCATTGGTGGTTTTCGTTTTCAGTCCCTTCTATTGGCCAGAAATTAAGGGTCGTGCTGGAAATTTGGTGACCCCATACGGGCCCCCTGGCGGCCCCGTTTCAGCTTGGAGATGCTTTCCATCCGACGCAGCAGTGGTGGCAAAACTCTTCCTAAGCTGGGGCGAGGGGCAGATTCCTCATCGCGAGAGGCAAATCGGCCCACGTCATGCTCAAGTAACCTTCTGGGGTCCTCAACGGTCAAGAACGACGAGAGGGAAAAAAGAGATCACAGTCGCGCGAAGCCCAAAAACGGGTTGGCCATGGTCCATGCATTGGTGTGGTTGTATAGCCAAACGCGCTAGTTGACTAGCGGCTTATCGGTATTATTCTAAGATGATTAACTAATAATTTGAACGCGGGCACATCTTCAGGTCTTAATTTTCGGCCCCGAGCCCTTTAAACTCATCGGATACAAGAACGTCGCAACGCATAGGCTTGACGGTCTATTTTTGCTCTTTTCTGGGGGTGGCAATAATCACGACTGCCCTCTATGGGATCATGATCATCAGGGAGATTCCATGACAGGAAGGGGTTTCTCTAGCTTCGGGCTGTTCCGAGTGAGATCCTGCCCGTACGACTAACGAAAGACCCTTGCCACCGCACAGAACCCCAAATTTGCGGGTGATCAAAGGCATCATACTCGGAGAATTTTTCAGCCCGTGATGTTTGGATGCCTTCGGTGGACAGGCGAACGCTGTGGGGGTGTTGGGAGGCATCATCAAATTCTAGCCCGTGATGTCTGGATGCCGTGTTAGCCCAGTTTTTGCTCAGTGTAGATGCTCGCTCGATGTCATAGCTCTCATTCAATGGTGGGGACCGGTGAGCTGCTAATTGCTGCGTCAGCGCAGTGCTTGAGTATAGATCGAGCCATGCAAGGAGGGTGCTATTAGAAGCCATGCAAGCCACGCGATCACATACATACCTCCCCGCATGTGCCTCGACTGGCAGTCCATCTAGTCAGGTCTCTCGTGGAAACGGCACGTATTACTCCTTCATTACATTTCTGGAAATGGTCAACTATGCATAGTTGTCGGCGGGTTGGCTGCAGGGGTCAAAAGAGCTCGGAACTGAACCTTCCATTTTTATTCAGTCGTCAGATGACAGGTTCAGATATGTACTAGACATCTGCGTAGTACTCGGTCACTGGCGCCAGGGTCGCGATATATAGATCAGTGAACCCCCACTATACTATTTAAAGTTGTCTTGACCGTCATGCGGCTCTGAATATTGGATAGTCACCCTTGTCTCTCTTTGGTTTGTCTTTTCCAAGTCTCCTTTCCTATGATTATTTCTATTTCCCCCGTTTGTTGTGAAATTTCCCAATTCGGATGGCACAACACGGGCGGTGAGGAAGAAGGATGATCCGAGTGGCCAATGCCATTCACCGCCCGCTAACGAAGCGTCGCGTTTCACGCTGCGACGAAACCACCATCTCTTCAACTCTCTCCTCTCACCTCCTTGCGACTTCGAGAGCAAGTGGGAGCGCCTGACAACTCATCTCCCAGTTCTTACTTCCTTCCTCTAACCGTATCGTTCGTTTCTACGGTTAGATTTGGCCTTCCGGCCCATTCCTTTCACCTTGCGCAGTCCCTTCAATAAATTCTTCGCCATGGATGACTCCATTATGGATGATTCCGTCTTTGAGGACGAGGGCGGCAGCTCCGACTTCGTCCCTCAGCCCGCACCTGTGAGCATTTCCACCTATGTGCTGCGTGATTTGTTACTGACAAGACTTTGCCGTATAGAAGGCCAAGGCCAAGGCTGCTCCCAAGAAGCCCGCCGCAAAGAAACAGACTACGCTCAAGACAAAACCAGCTCCAAAGAAGAAAAAGGCTCAAGATAGCGAAGATGAAGTGTCCGACGTCCAAATTTCCGATGATGATGCCGATTCCCTCCTCTCCCACACCCCTCCCAAGAAAGCCCAGAAGGCTCCAGCGGCCAAGAAAGGCGGCGGATCGAAGCCTCTGGCCGACATGGAGAATGAGTCTTTCGGAGACGGTGCCGCCGATAACAAGAATGCATCGGACAAGTATCAGAAGGTGAGCGGTCACGGCAATCGTGGTTGAACTAGCAACTGACAGCGGGTTCCAGCTCACGCAACTTGAACACATTATCAAACGTCCCGACTCCTACATTGGGTCCACTGAACGCATGAATCAGCAGATGTGGGTATTCAACTCCGAAACAGAGTCCATGGAGTACCGTGAAGTTTCATACGTTCCTGGGTTGTATAAGATCTTCGACGAAATCGTGGTCAACGCTGCCGACAACAAACAGAATGACAGCAGCATGAGCGAAATTCGCGTGACCATCAATCGCGAGACAGGCGAAATCAGCGTGTTGAACAACGGTCGTGGTATCCCGATCGAGATCCACTCCAAGGAGAAGATCTACGTTCCCGAGCTCATTTTTGGTCATCTGCTCACCTCGTCCAACTATGACGATACTCAGCTGAAGGTGACCGGTGGTCGGAACGGTTTTGGTGCGAAGCTCTGTAACGTGTTCTCGACCGAGTTCACAATTGAGACACAGGACTCGCGCCAAAAGAAGAAATACAAGCAGACGTGGACCGACAACATGTCCAAGATGGGCAAAGCGAAGATCACCGATGCCAAGGGCGATGACTACACCAAGGTCACCTTCAAGCCGGATTATGCTAAATTCGGAATGGAGGGCATGGACGATGACTTTGAGGCCCTTGTCAAGCGCCGTGTCTACGATCTGGCAGGTACGGCACGAGGGGTTAATGTCAAGTTGAACGGCACTCGTATTCCCATCCGCACCTTCAAGAAATACATGGAGATGTACACCAAGGCCATCCGCAAGGAGCGTGGTGATGAAGGTGCTCCGCCGAAGGATGAAATCCTCACCTGCAGCCCAGATCCACGGTGGGAGATTGGCTTTGCTGTCTCGGATGGTGCTTTCCAGCAGGTCTCCTTTGTCAACTCGATTGCCACAACCTCTGGCGGATCCCATGTCAATTACATTGCCGACCAAATTTGCAACCGGCTTGCGGACCAGGTCAAGAAGAGAAACAAGACCGGTGCCACGCTGAAGAGCGCTCAAATTCGAAACCACATCTTCATCTTTGTTAATTGTTTGATCGTCAATCCGGCTTTCGCCTCGCAGACCAAGGAACAATTGACCACGAAGCCAAGTCAGTTTGGCAGCAAATGCGTCCTTGAGGAAGACTTCTACAAGAAGGTCCTCAAGACGGAGGTCATGTCGAATATCCTGCATTTTGCGGAGAAGAAGGCCGATCAAATCTTGAAGAAGGGCGATACTGGTCGTCGCTCGCGTATGAGCAACCCCAAGCTTGTGGATGCCAACAAAGCCGGTACTCGGGAGGGTCATCACTGCACCCTGATCTTGACGGAAGGTGACTCCGCCAAGGGCTTGGCCATGGCCGGCAGAGCAGTCGTAGGCCCGGATCTGTTCGGTGTGTTTCCTCTACGCGGAAAGCTGCTCAACGTTCGGGATGCCTCTTTCGACCAAATCTCTAAGAACCAGGAGATTCAAAACATCAAGAATTTCATCGGTCTGCAGCACAAGAAGGAGTACACCGAAACCAAGGGACTTCGATATGGCCATCTCATGATCATGACTGATCAGGATCACGACGGCAGTCACATCAAGGGGTTGCTCATCAATTTCCTCCAAGCACAATTCCCCAGTTTGCTCAAGATCCCCGAGTTCCTGATTGAGTTCATCACACCCATCATCAAGGTCTGGAAGGGTGATCCCAAGAACCCGACCAAGTCCCGGTCCTTCTTCACAATGCCTGAATACGAGGCATGGCTTGAGACTCACAAGGATGAACGCGGTTGGGATCACAAATACTACAAGGGTCTGGGTACGAGCACCACCGATGATGCCCAGGTTTACTTCCGGGATCTTGATCGCCATCTAAAGGAGTTCCACACGATGCAGGAAAATGAACCGGAGCTCATTGAGCTCGCCTTCTCGAAAAAGAAGGCTGATGAACGAAAGGAGTGGCTTCGGCAGTTCAAGCCCGGCACCTACTTGGACCACTCGGTGTCGAAGATTAGCTACACCGATTTTATCAACAAGGAACTCATTCTTTTCAGTATGGCGGACAACCAACGTTCCATTCCATCGGTTGTCGACGGTCTTAAGCCTGGTCAGCGCAAGGTGCTGTATACTTGCTTCCGCCGCAATTTGAAGAAGGACATGAAGGTCGTGGAGTTAGCGGGGCACGTCTCCGGTATGACGGCTTATCAGCACGGCGATACCTCTCTCCAACAGACCATCGTTGGTCTGGCCCAGACCTTTGTCGGTTCAAACAATGTCAACTGCCTGGAGCCCAGTGGAAACTTTGGAAGTCGACTTCAAGGTGGCCAGGACTGTGCCTCTGCTCGTTACATTTACACGCGACTGTCTCCCTTCGCGCGTAAAATCTTCCACCCGGCGGACGAACCGCTGCTGACTTACAACGAAGACGATGGCAAGAAGATCGAACCTGAGATGTATCTTCCGGTTGTCCCAATGGTCTTGATTAACGGCGCCGACGGTATTGGAACTGGCTGGAGCTCCTCGATTCCAAACTACAGCCCCGAGGATGTGGTGACCAACCTGAAGCGATTGATGGATGGCGAGGAACCCACCCCAATGCAACCTTGGTTCCGCGGCTTCACCGGCGAAGTTGTCGCTGTAGGTGGGGACCGTTACAAGTTCAGTGGTATCATCAAGGAGACTGGTGACAAGGAGGTCGAGATCACCGAGCTCCCCATCCGAACCTGGACCCAGGATTTCAAGGACAAGCTGGAGGAAATCATTAAGGCCGAGAAGGTGCCCTCCTTCATCAAGGACTACAGAGACTACAATACCCACCACAAGGTTCACTTTGTGATCCAGCTTGATGAGAAGCATATGACGGCCGCGCTGTCGGATGGTCTGGAGGAGAAGTTCAAACTGTCCAAGACTATCGCGACAACCAATCTGGTCGCCTTCGATCCGGAGGGCCGAATCACCAAGTACGCCTCTGTCGATGATATCTTGAAGGAGTTCTTCACTCTTCGGTTGAAGTTCTACGAGCGGCGTAAGCAGCATCAGCTGTCGGAGCTTCAGAGGGAGCTAGATAAACTGAGCAATCAAGCGCGCTTTGTGCAGATGATCATCGATGGCAAGCTCGTGGTTTCCAAGAAGAAGAAGCCGGTCTTGGTTGCTGAACTGAAAGAGAAGGGTTTCAAGCCCTTCCCCAAGGTGTCCGACGCCGCGAAGATGGGCGAGGACCAACCGGTGGTGGAAGAAGAAGACGAGGAAGCCGACACCGACACTGAAGTATTGTCGAGCGCTTATGACTACTTGCTGGGCATGCCCATTTGGTCGTTGACCCAAGAACGAGTAGAGAAGCTGCGCCGCCAGATTGGTGACAAGGAGGTCGAGGTCGATGTCCTCATCAAGCTGACCAAGGAAGACATCTGGAAGCGCGATCTGGACGAGTTCATCAACGAATGGCGCTTCCAGCTTGAGGATGAGGAGCGCCGTCAGCGCAAGGCGGCTGGCTTGGGCCGCCGTGTGTCTGCCAAATTGGCCACGGGTGGTGGTCGCGGGGCAGCTGCGCGCAAGCGCAAGGCGAATGGGGACGACTCGGATGAGGACTTCGGGGCACCCAAGACCAAGAAGAAAGCAGCAGCCAAGAAAAAGGAGCAACCGACAAATAGCCTCATGAATTTCCTCAACAAGTCGTCGACCAAATCTGCCCCCGCCGCTGTCGATGGTTCTGATGAAGACGACTTTGACTTTGAAATGGAGGTGCTTCCTAAGAAGAGTCGTGGGGCCGCCAAACCGAAGCCCAAGGAAGAAGTTGTTGATGTGGACATGGAAGAGGTGCCTGCCAAACCAGCTGTGGATCCGATGGACTTGGATGATGATGTTGAGGAGACTCGTCCCAAGCCAGCTGCGAAACGAGGCGCCAAGCCCAAGCAGAAGGTCGAAGACGACTCAGACGATGACTTTCTCGAGATTGCCAAGTCGGAGGCATCTAAGCCTGCCACCAGCCGTGCCCGCAAGCCTGCCAAGTACACCGCCCCTAATGACTCGGACAGCGAAAATGGCGATGACCTGCTTGCAGATGTCGGCCAGATGGTCAAGGGAATTGGCGGTGATTCCAATGCAGAATCGCGACAGTTCTTTTCCGAGAAGTCCCGGCCTGGCAGCAGTGCCAGCCTGAAGCCCACCTCCAAAGCATCCAAGAGTCAAGACTTGGACGACGACGAGACGGACTATAGCAAGCTCATTCCGCAGAACTCTCCGCGCCGTTCGCTACAGGTCAAGTCCAAGGATGTGATGAACATCCCTGATGAAGACGAAGACGAAGATGATGGGCCAGCCAAGCCAGCCTCCAAGGCTAAGGCGGCGCCAAAGTCCAAGGCCGCTGCCGCTGCACCGAAGGCGCGTGGTCGACCCAAGAAGGATGCCGCCCCTGCCAAGCCAGCGGCTACGTCGGCATCGTCGGGCTTGTCGGCAGCCGCCAAGGCCTACGCTTCCAAGCAGGCCAAGACTCCAGCAGCCAAGAAAAATATCGTGGATGACTTTTCGGAGGATGACATCGACGCTATGGCCAACGACATTTTGGATTCCCCCGCTGGCAAAATCGATGTAGATGACGTCGATGATGACGAACCGCCGCCGCGCCGTGCAGCCGCAAGCCGTCCGTCTCGCCGCACAGCAACGACAAAGAAGTCGTATACCGTCGCAGCCGAGAGCGACGATGATGATGACGATGCGTCCGCGGATGACTTCGATGACGACGAGAGCGAGTAGACGGTCACTGACTGGACCGTGGGCGTTGGAAGGAGTGCGGGAATGCGCCGGTTTTATTTTTGCTCTACTCTGCCTTTTTATCTATCATTTCATTAATTGTATTTGTTGTCTTTTGTATGGCGACCAGACAGAGCCAGTCATTGTATGCAATTTCAAATGGTTCGATTTCTATATAAATTCCACCAACGTTCGTAGGCTACGCTCTAAGCTGATAGAAACCTGGAATCTTTGAAAGACTTGAGGAAGATGGCGACAATGTGGATAGATAACTTCTTTCCAAATTGAACCGGAGTAGAAAGTTTGAACGCAAAGGCATGTCCCAAAAATGCATACCACTAAAAACATGCAAATAATTCAAAGCGCAAAGTATCCCTGACCAAGCAACAGTTCTAACCCTAATTCCCCATTCAACGCCGTCCGTCTATGCGCGATAGAACGAAATTAACCGAAACACAGTCCATCCAAAGACGCCTCCGTGTATGAACAAACCAAACGAGCAGTCAACCAACACCTTATCCCTCTCATACCTCAGAAACTAGAGGTCGACAGGTTAGAGGGAAGCACGGCGTCTCTTCCGAAATCCGCTGGCGCTGCCGCGAGAGCGTGATCCAAAAAGAGAGCAATGAGCACCTTCTTTTCTCTCACCGTCAACATCGGTATCGCTAGCCATCGCCTCTTGCATGTGTAAGTGGAGTAAAGCATGGGCCGCCTTGACCTCTCGGGCAACGGAAGTGGGGGCCACACGACCACTGGTTCGAGTAGTAACGGTGCGAGCATCAGACTGATTTGTGCTGGGCTTCCTGGTGGTGTCCTTGTCAACGATCGGGTTACGATAGTCATCGTCACCGTCGTCGTAAAGAGATACATCTCCGTCCAGGGAAGTGAAGTCCGAAAAGGCACTCTCATCAGCATCTTCGGCAGACGCACCTTTGATCTCCAGTGCCGTGTCAACATCTGGAGACAGCCAGTCCGTCGGAGTGCGTGACACTTCTGAATATAGATTTGAGGACGAGGCGTCTGTCTCTGACTCGTCCTCGCTGATAGCCGATGGTAGCATTTTTCTGTGCTTGCTCTGCAGCGACGCAAGAATTTCCATCGGCGAAATGTGGTGGGAACGAGGAACAAAGTCCGAGGTGCGCGGGACGTTGACTGGAGTGAAGACGTTCTGGACAGGGCTGTCAGGGGAAACACAGTATCGGTCCAAGACTTTAGAGGACGAGCCGTAGTCGCTGCTGACACTGCCCGTATACCGGCGATTTGGAGGCCTAGGCATGATGTGACGACGGAGCATGCTCATTTCGGCACGAGCTGGGTAGTGGTTTGGATAGTCGTCGCGCCGTATGTACCGGGGGACGGGTCGAGACTGGCTGGTTGCTCTGGAGGGACATGGTACGCTCTGAAGCGCCAGCGAGCGATAGTAGTTTGCGGTCTCGGTGGCTCTCTTCACGATATCCTGGTCAATAATCATGCGGCCAAACCGACTACTGTCCTCTGGAAGTATGCACAGCGAAGGGAAATCTGAGCCGAAAAGTGGTGTCAGAACATGTCGGATTTTCCAGCAGAAGGTCGCCGAAATGGCTTTGGCTGCTTCAAACGGCATCCAGTATCCTAAAACGACAGCAAATCAGTAAATCTGAAGATTGTACAGGGATAAAAAAAAACCACTCACCTTGAGCAGCGAGGGCTCCGCCTGTGATGCTGTGGCAGATGTCTTTGAGACCGGGGTTGGAATTGATCATCTTGCCCGGAGTGGTCTGGATATCGGTGTTAGTGCGGTCAAGTGCCGAAGCTAGGAAGGATTTGCCTTGGAATAGCCATTGCATTTGAACAAATGCGTCGTCCGGACGAGGCCGATGTTATAGTCCCACATCACAGTCCACACCTTCTCCTCACCAGGCATCTGGAAGGTGTACTGGAATACTAGGGGATGTGTTAATTAAGCAAAGGACAAAGAAGTGGTATCGCGCACCTTCAAATGATTCTCTGCCAGTGAGCTGCTGAAAACTCTTCTTGTCACTGCTGTAGGGGATGTGTCGAGGAAATTCAGCGATGCTGCCCATGGTTGGATGAAGCTTGAACTCGCGCTGAATTCTCTCCAACTCGACATCACACTCTTCATACGGGGGATAGCGCAGCTCGCCACGGATACGACCACGAGTGAATATGGGAGCATCTTTGGCAAGCTTCTGCCTCTTTTCCAGAGGGGGAGTCGAAGACACAGGACGCGGAGTCCTCGCCAGCAACGGCGCAGGAGGAGAAAGTGGAGGAATTTCGGGAAGGGGATTTAGCAAAGATTTGATGGAAGCCATGGCTGGAGTATCCAAAAGGTAAAATGAATCTAAAACACTGGGTACGAGATGAAGAGAGAGCGAAAGTCCAGTCTCTCTGAGAGGTGGAAAGAAGAGATCCCAAGGTCAGGGAAGGAAGAAGATTAATGTTTCTTCTCGGCGGGTGAGACACGGAAAGAAGGCTTTTCTAGAAGACCCAGTGTTCATGAAAGAGAGTCCCAGCTAACCATGCAAGACAAGGGGTTGGTTGTGAAGGCACAAACCCCAGTTTGATACCGACTCAGCTTTGTTTAGGAAATGCTTCAGACCGTATACAGACCGTGTTTGTCCCCGATGTCTTTGTGCAAGACTACGCTGAATCGTCCTGGAAACGCGGTGTTTTCGAGGGCCTGAGGCTGTAGGCCCAGCGGTGAACCCTAGGACACTCAGTGTCTAGCATGCTAGGTATGGCCTCACCGGTACTTCGCCCAGGCATCACAAGGAGACGCAAGGCAGTTGACGTTGGACGAGGCCACACTGGGCTGTTTGTCTCTCTCCACGATGGGTTCCTGATGCGGCCAGCGAGCCGAGTCCTTGGGGAACAGCGTAAATGAGGGTTGGACTATGGACTGACCGCTATGCTGTGCGAATGTTGTCATCGATTCCCGTCATTCATTCCGCTGAAGAAGAGGAAATGAGAGACATTCAAGCCTCTGACCTTCGAGGCATCGCTTGTTTCACTCCTTGGCTGCAGTCACCCAGACCTCCAAGATCTGTCCCCTCTGGAAGCATGTGGATATCCTTTATCTTTGATCATCTCGTTGTCTCTTGGTGCCTCAACCCTTTTAGATCTCAATGCATGCAAACAGACTGCAGCAGGCGGCAGAAGATGGGCTTCTCAAGACTGGCCAACATGAAACCCCAGAGAGAAGTCTCAATATTTGCTTCACAGTATACCAAAAGCCCCCGTCCTAGTTGTGTTCTCATCGGAGTAATTGTCTCCCCTTCCTAACACGTGTTGATCGGAGGTTATTCAATATATCCCTTGTCAAATGGCCGGCTTCGGTTTCCGAAGCACTTAGGGCAATATGAGGGCCACCCATCACCCAATCAGAGCTTGAATTCCTCACTGTGGCTTAGAGTACGGGCATCAAAGAGGTCTGAGACCACGGCAAGGCGCAGGGCCACTTGCACTGGTAGGACGGAAGGCTGCAGCTTCACCTCTTAGGGAGACGACCTGAATCGGCGGTGGGAGCCAGTAGGAAGAGTCTGTATTCATTGAATGGTAGATAAACTTTTGACCTGGTCAAAAGATACTGTGAAGTAGCAGGGATTCATGGAGAAGCAAACTAATATCTTCAACGGCCCGAGCAACATGCCGTCATGAGAAGTCGTCTCATGCAAACCACGTATCATGACATTGTGGTACGCTGAGAGACAATGACGGGTCTGATCTGATCGCTCTGCAACTGCATGACCTTAGTCCAAGTAAAGCCTCGGTAAGATGCCTCTCAGGCCAGTCTCAGGGATTGCGGATCAGAGACATGGATGCTTGCCAGGAGAGATCAAAGGATCTTCTATGCATGCTTCTCTGCAGAGAATCGGCAGGTCTGTTGAAGATCCAGATCGCCCGTTTTGTCCTGTTTTGGGTTGCGTGGGCGGCCTTTTCCATAGTAACACCCTGGATTCCTTTCAACCAGTCCATTCTGCAATCCCCATTGTATCCACCCTCCGATGCAGTCGGGTTTGGGCTTCTAAACAGGCACAGGGGGTTTACCACCAATCGGCGTCCAGCCGGGACAACGAGGTTGCATGCACAGCATAAACGGTGCAGATATCGCGGGCGCTATACAATCCGTCCGGGCTTCTATGTTCTCTAAAGCAAGCCCAGTCGATCGTCCTGGAATCGAATGAGGTAGCATTGGATTCGGTCTGCGAAGATCCCGAACTTCAGCCGCGCGTCTGAGACCGATGGGCATAGGCCTAGAAAAAAAGGCTGGTTTGGAATGTCTAAGACAGCGCGACGATGATGGTTGGTCGATGGATCAGGTCCAAAAGAGCGGTAAGCCCATTTCCAGTGCGCGTCCGCTGGCATCATTTTAAGATGAAGGTCTCCGAGTCTCGGCTTCTGGAAAGGGAGTAGAGAAGCGGAATGCCTCAATATGGTTGCTGCTAAAGAGGCTCATTTCGTCTCGGCGGTCTGGTAGGTTTTAGAAAAACAAGAGATATTCCGCTAGTTGGAATTCTGAGGAGCGAGCCTATTGATAGACGGCTTGTATGATGCAGTTTCGCGACGCAATCCATGGGGCAAAGAAAAACGCTCCATGAGCGTATTGACAAGGTAGCCTAAAAGACTCGAGCCCCTAACAAATCTCTCAGTGTAGATATGCAAGCCTGGCCACGACTCCATTCGCTATGCCAATTGACACCCCCGGATTCAACCATGGCGTTTCTCGCACGCCCGTACGTCCCGCAGATCCCGAGGCCGTCCAACAAAAGCCCAATCAAGCAGCACAATAGCCAGATCATAATCGCCCAGCAGTCACTGTGCAACGAAGAATCCGGGGTAGCTTGGTGATAGAGAGGGCGATGCTGAACAGGGCAAGTCTTCGAAGCCAAGGAACAGAACCGTAACAGGCCAGCCCGAATTGCGAGCGGCGATGACACGGGCTTCGTGGACCGGGGTGAAACTCAACGGCGGGCTCGTACAAAGAGTGAAATTGAACGACCTAGGCGGATGGACCGAGGCTTCTTGCAGGACCCGGAATTGAACAATTGCCCAAGTTGGCGGGGTCAAGCTATTCCCGCAGTCATGGAGGGATCACAATGCCGGACGGGTGGATTAGTTAGTCCCCTAAATGAGTTGCCCTCGTACAAAGAAAACATGGACAGCTCCCGTGGGGGAGGTCTTTGCTTATATACTGGAAGGTCAGTATCACCGAAGAATACCTGATTCGTGCCAGAAAATGTTCCATTAGAAAAATATCAACCCGAAAAAATAGACAACAAGGAAAAGAAGACGGATAGACACATAAAGACGTCAAGAAGAAGTGAAGGTCCAAAGGTAAAGGTAACACAAGGACTACAAGAGATATGAAAGGGGAAAAAGTTCATCGCTCCAGAATCCTGCACTTTTCATCATCGTACACGCGAATCCATCCACCATCGGAGCTTGGAAAGAAATCCAGTTCTCCGAGAAGCAAAAAGTATGGACAACTCAAACAACAATCCAGCATGTCATACGGCATACTCATTGAGAATCAACAACCAAAAGAGGAAGCCGATCCCCTGGGCAGCCGTTGAATTCCTCACAGCTCAGTAAAGAACGTCCCCACACCTAGAACTGTGGCCGGAGAGCTGCTTTACACAGCCAAAAGAGGCTCACGCTCTTCGGTTGGGTGCTCCACCGCCTGCGTGACGGGCTCGGCCGAGGGCGCTTCAGGAAAGTCCTGCGTCTTGATCAGGGGTTCGGAAGCAGGCTCGAAGGCGGGTTCAGGCGCCTTCGCAGGGGCCGGAGCTGCCTTGGTCATCTCGGGGGAGGAAGTCTTGCGGTGGCCGATGTATTCCTGGGCCTTGGAGCTGTAGTCTCCGACATACTGCTTCATCAAGCCGGTAGCGTGCGAGGTGTGCTCGCCGGCGAGATCCTTCAGCTGGTTGGTCTGGGAGCTGATGATGGACTGAGCATTGTTGATCTGCTCGTCAATGATTTCCCGGTTGCTGATGTAGACAAGAGGAGCGAAGTAGGCGACATTGAGTGCAATCAAAGCCAATCCCCAGAGCGGAACGAAACGGATGAGCCAGTATCCAGTGAAGGCTGCCACGAAAGCCTGTAGACAATCAGAATCTTTCTATCACTCATGACAACCAAATGAAACGTACCGCAATCGTGTGGATGACATTTTCGGCGAACAGAATGCGCTGGAACTCAATCAAGAAGAAGTCTCCGAGCTGCTCGATGTCCTCCAGCACGGCCTCCACAGTTTCCTTGGGAATAGTGTAGTATCGGCGGGGACGGAACGAACTGGCAATGCCTTGCTTCAGAACGAGTTGGCCGGTAAGCTCGACGGCGGCGGTCACTACAGAATCATTAATCGCACATCCCTTCGGAAAGTGGTCACGCGACCAACTCACATCCCAATGACATGTACAGGAACTTGAACGCCCAGCGGAGGAGAGGCAGGTAGCGGGCGGCAAAGATGAAGCCGACAATGCTGGCGTAGGACACGGCGGTCGCGCGAGGTTGCTCCCACTATCCACAGAGGTTCCGTTAGCAGGGAGCCCCTAAAATCTGGAGCCACGGAGTCAACTTACGCTCAGGAGGCTGTACAGCAGAGAATGGTAGTCTGAAGAAAAAGTTAGTTTCGCCAACTCCCCCGGTCAAGCCTGTCGGTGTGTGCGAAAACATACGAGTCAAGGGTTGCCCGGTAGCGGTGGTGGTCGAAGGGGTCACCCGCGAGTTCTTCAAGTCGCGGAGCTCGTCGGTCGTCCGGGAGGCCTCGTTCTTGAGATTGTCTACAACAGGGCCTATTGGCAAGAAAAAAGTCAGACTATTGTACTGCCTCGATGACCCCCCGCACCGGAGGGAGTTCATTACCCTTGGTCACCACATCACGGATGCCTGAGCGACGGAGAAAGGATCAGGGGTCAGTCTGGGGAACACGGAGGTTTCGAGAGGACAACAGGAGGGAATATCACTACGGGTGGCATGTCAGCAACACTGTATTTGACGGTCGTGGATGGAGTCGGACTGCTGTGCTCCATACCTTACTGCCCGTGTTCGGGTAGCTCACATCGCTCGAGTCGGCCATGGCGAAAATGATTTGTGTTGGTTTCTTGGTTTGGAGAAGATCGGTTAAGAAATAGAATCGAGGGAACAGATGAAAGTGGAGGAAGATGGTTGTGTGGAGGGGATCGAGGGAAGGAAAACCGGGTTGTTGTGGTTTTTTGGGTGATGCAATCCAAGTCACATGTCAATGATGCTTAGGGCAGACGATGATTGGTTTTTTTCTTAGACAAAGATAAGAAGAGTCGATTCGGATTGACGAGTCTGAAGGGTTGGTCACTTCAGCTACTGTGTATTATTATTCATAGCATTTATCGTTCTAGGGCAACTCTGCTTCTCGGTGCTGTAGTAGGAACTTGAAGTATACCAAAATGTGTGCATGTTCAATCGCTAGGCCCACGGGGGCCGAATTCCAGCTCTCAACGATTATTTGACGGTGAAAACGTCTGTCTAGGTAGATTCCATTAATTCCGTCATTCAAATGTCTGTGATTTGAGCTATTTGAGCTACCGAACGTGCTTCTGTGCCGCTGTTCAAGCTTGGTGGATCACGTGATCGCGCGTTTCCTCGTTGGGTTGTCTGTTTTGATCCTCGACCATCCACTCCATTCCGCCCACACCTGGCGACACAACCACCCAACCACTCACCCCGACGCGCCCAACGCTGCACCGATGGTGGTCGACTTACAGTAACACCTTTCGCCCCTTAAACTATACGCCGACTCTCTTTCCCTTCACTGAACATCGCTGTCGGCGACCCGCGCGTTGTTTACATCATGGCCGCCGCCGGTACGCGGGCGCAGAAGCCCGTTGGCTCTGCAGCATGGATCGCAGCAGAGAAGGAGAACATGATGGAGCTGGTGGACCAAGAGATTGAGGAGGTGGAATATCCCGTCCGCCATGAGATGGAATGGCTAAATGAACACATGGCCGAGATCTTCTCCAAGGGCCAAGTGTGAGTTGTACCTACTATAGTCGGCAATCTTGGCATGCTGACCCTGTCCTTAGCAACCTCACGGATGTATTCAAGACACCAGGAAAGATGAGGGGCAAGACTCCTCGAACGGCTCGGAAGCGGGTTCCAGAAGAGAATCGATTGGTGAGTGTCGCGCTGCTTGTTGTGCGTTGCTGTCAGCTAAAAAATCATGGCAGCCCTTGAGTGAGATATTTTCCTCCACTCATAAGCAACTGGAGAATAGAGTCAGCCCGAGCCCGTTCATTCATCGGGTTGTCTCCAAGCCCGCAACCATCATGGCTTCGACTGCTCCCCGCAGGGACGTGCCGGAGAATGCATCGCAGCCTGACTACCCGAACCTCAGTCAGAACCTGAACTCCTTTCCAAAATATAACACGGACTCTGGTTACCATGGGATGGCGGAAGATGACGAGATGGTCCTGCCGACCATGCAGTCAGAGTCACAAACGTCTACCCAACCTGTTGAAGAACTTATAGAGCCACACACCCAGGAAAGAGACATGTCGGTTGGCCCACAGCCGACCGAAGACTCCTTCCACTCTGCCCAGGAGAATGTTCGGTCTCGTGGGGAGACTGTTGAACCCATTAATGTCGACCCGACACCCACACAGAAAGCTCGTTCGCCGGAGCCACAGGATCCAGATCTAGATTCGAACGCGACCCCAACGCTCAAAACATATTCCAAGTCGAAAGTCAATGCGGCTTTGGAAAAACAGCAAAAACAATCCCCGATTCCGAAAAACTCGAAGCAAAACGAAGCTAAGGTGGTATCTTCGCCAGAGAAGCCTTCAGCGATGCAGTCCGTGGCAACGCCTGGAATTCAACAACAGGATGATCAAATGGAAGAAGATAATGATTCAAACGAAGTCACTGTCCTTGACAACCTTGACGATATTGGCTCTCCGTCTGATGGTTCTACGCCCGAGAGACCACTGGTTCGGAAGAGCAGTTTAACATTCGCTTCTCTGCCGGCGCGTGAGCCTCTCGGTAAAAGCTTGGTCGGTCCGCGAATTTCTCGCACCAGCCATATTGATCTCGCGAAGCTGAACACTGCCGGACCTTCCAGCTATTTTGGCCGCCAGACAGGAGGCCATAGGATGACTCAAGCTGTGACTGAAGACAATGGCTCTTCAGGGCATATGGAGATCGACGATGAAAAGGAGGCCGAAGGCCATGATGACACGATCAAGGTTAGCCAGCTCCACAACAAGAAGTCGACCCAGACCCTACATGAGAGGATCAGTATGTTGGGCAAGCTCCAACCCTCGCGGTCCAAGAAGTCGATCTCAGCCATGCCAGGAATGTCTGGGGGTCAAGTTTCTTACCCAGATCTGCCGGCCAGCAAAGCAGAGGCAAAATCGGTGTCTTCAAGCCAGAAGGCTCGCGAAACCCCGGCCCCGGAACCAGTGGCAGACGAAGAGGGCGACTGGATTAAGCCCTTAAGTTCGCCGCAACGTCCAGGTATTCCGAAGAGCAAGACCACCGATGTCATGGAAAAGCTCTTCGATGTCGAGAAGCAACAATCAACCGGCCAGAAGGCTGGCACCCCCAGCACCACAGAAGCAGACCGTCCCAAATCGGCAACTTCGATATTTTCCTCTCCTCGGCAAGTTGGTAATCTGCAAAGCACATCCGCTGAGGCATCCACCACTCCCGGAGGTTCTCCCAGGCGCTTTGATGGGCCCTTGAGTGCGTCGAAGATGAGACTACAATCCATCATGAAATCAGCAAAAGGACTATTTACCAGCACCGGTGCTGTCTCGAGTTCGGCGAGGTTTGAAAGCTCTTCGCCCTTGCAAACTCGATCCCAGCTCCAGGATGGGCCTGGCACCGACGTTGGTGGCATGGATGAACACGAGTCTCAAGCGCCCCATGCTTCTAGCCCATCTCGGCATGAGGGCCGTCGGACGCGGGGCTCGATTGAGAAAGCAGAAAAACAGCGGCAAACGGAACTGGAGGAGCGTCAACGGGAAGAGGCGCGTCAAGAAAGGGCTCGGGAACAGGAGAAGCAGCGAGCAATTCAACTCAAAACCGCTCAAGACAAGTCTTCCATTGAGCCGGAAGATCGGGCAGCTCCAACTACTGGCAAGGCACAGGTCCAGCGCCAGCAGTCCCGCGAGCCTGAGTCAGTGCACGACGTTGCGTCTAAATCCGTTTCCCAACCGAAGAATGAGCGACGTCCTGTTAGGCCAACTCGTGAAGCTGTGCAAAAGCCCAAGCCGCAGCCAGTGTCTATCCGTGTGGGAAGCACGCTCTCCCGAATGCCCTTGCCTTCGGTTTCTTCCGGTGTTCAAGAGTCGAATCCTCCGGCACCTGCCCCGGCTCCTGCTCAGAAACAGGCGACTTTGAAGAAAAAGGGCAGTAGTTCGTCTCTTCACACGACCTCGTCGACGAGTAGCTTCAAGAGCTCTGTATCGAGTCAAACCCAAGCGCAACGGAAGGCTCAGCTTGCCAATGAGCGAAAGAAGGAACAAGAGGAGCGTCGCAAGGAGGAACAAAAGCGTGAGCAAGAACGCAAACGAACTGCCCAACAACAGCAGGAAGAGGCTCGTCGGCAGGAGATGCGAAGCCGTGCTGAAGCTGAACGAGAGCGTCGGGAACGCTCTGCTCAGGAAGACCCGCAGAAAGCCGCCCACATGCAGGCGATTGAAAAGCGGCGGCAAGAGAACGCTCGCAAACACGAGCGACAAGGCAGCCAGCAATCGATCAATGAGGTAAGACCCCGTCGGCTTCTTTTACATCGTCTTATTAACGTGTCTTAGGGTCCAATGCTTCAACATGAGAAGGCAGGTCAGCAGTCCTCGCAGCGGAATGATATGGGAGCCAATAGACCTCCCTCTCGGTTGGGCTATGGTCGAGCAATCAACCCCCCAGTACCGAATCCCGCCAAGCCGCCGAAGAGAGTGATGGATGAGGAGACGAATCACCGACCGGCGGTTTCCAAGCCCAGCAACGCCCATTCTACTAGTGATGCCAAGCGAAGGAAGACGGATGATGAACACAACCCCATGCAACCAGTGCGGGCTCCAATGGCTCCGCCAATTCGTAAGGAGCCTGGAAAGGCCTCTTTCTACGGTCATGGGCAGGCATCCATGGCTCATCCCTCTGGTTCTTCAGCCTTCAAAAATGCTCAACCACAGCGGCCCGCTCATCCAATGGACATGGCGAAAATTACCAGCGGCAAGATCCCATTCGCTGACCCGAGCCATGCGCCGCCCCCAGCTGCGTATAAGCAGTCAGCAGCCGGTTCGCAGCGCGCTCCTCCCGCCAAGCCATCGCCCAAGTACCCCAACAGCGATAGTGTTCATCTACCGGAGATTGCCACAGACAGTGAAGATGAGGACGACTCGGATTCGGAGATGTTCCCCGTGCCGCAATGGGCGCAGGCCAAGGAACTGGAAGGTCTCCTGCGGCAACAGGACGGTATGGAAGTCGACTCGATCTTCGGACCAATTGCGCCGTTCTCGCTGGAAGAAACATTCAAGGCGGACAAGAAGATCAAGAAATACCGCGACCGCACCAGCAGCGCGAACTGGTCGGGTCCGGATGGGCTCACGCAGGATGAAATCCGGAGAGACCGCGCTGACAGGCAACGGCTGCGGCTCAACGGGGGATGGTCCTTCAACCTCTGAGTTTGAGGTCAAGGCATATTGGGAGTTGATTGACATATCTTTCTTGGAGGTGTTTGTAATTGGACAGCTGTGATAGTTTGGGGAGTGGTTTGGCAATTGATATTTTGCTTGACCGGGCGTTTTGTGTTGGTTTCTCGTGTGTTCTATCTCTACACGACTTTCTGGAGTTATGGTTGCTTTAGACTACAATTGCATATGGCATCCGTGGATGCGTATAGTCTTTATCTCGTGGATTTACATGGATCATTCGTAAGAATATTCATCACTTGGAATGTCTGCAAAGATTAGCGTGACCTCTAATCGATGATAAGACACCACTCGGTCTTCTATGTCATCCAAGCATCATTGGTCTAGTGGTAGAATTCGTCGTTGCCATCGACGAGGCCCGTGTTCGATTCACGGATGATGCACTATCTTTTTGCTTTTGGGTTCTTCTTCGTATAATAATATTCTTTTTATTCACAGCTTTATCACAGCCTTTCTAAACAATTGAATATATTTTGTCCGATTTAAATTGGGTCGTCATAGTGATCGTCGTACACCGGTCCGCTCTGGATATATATATCTTCACAATATGGAATGTCGCACGGTTCTGACACCTGCTTCCCACTCACGGCGTTGGGCAATAGAGGGAAAATGTACAGTTAACACTAAAATCTAGTCCAGTGAAAGACCCAAGGCAAGGCACAAGCCATTCAGAACCCAACCTCGTAGAGAAATAGCCGCCATGAACCCTTTGAAAGCCCGGTGGAACAGCCCGAAATGAAGATAAAAATGCAACCAGGTACGATGTAACAATACTCTAGGTTATATGTACGTCGGCGAGCACTCCAGATAGAAGATGACACCCGAATGAAAGACAAAATAAAACAAACAATAGAAACCCCGCAAAAATCCTATTCCCACTCCGAATCCATCCTGGCAGCGCCGCTTTGTGTGCAATATGGTACAAGAATAAACTGCCTACCGCCACTGCGAATGCAAATGCATCACTCCGCATCTGGCTCAATGTCGCTTCCACCATGGAACTCCTCGTCCATTGCGTCCGGGTTGAGGTTCGCGGCGTCGGGCGCAGCACCCAGCTTGTCCACATCCTCATGAGAGATGGTGCGCCAACCCGATGGGTGGGAGGGGTCCTTTTTGTATTCGGACATGGGGAACTAAGAAGGCGCATGTCAGGCTATGCTACCAAAATGAGATCTGGACGGGACTTACGTAGTGGTCGTTCTTCTTCATGGTAACCACCCATGGAACATTGTCGAAAGTCACAGCACGGAGTCGGAAATAGGTGTTATCTGGGATCTTGCGCACTTCCTTGACGAAGGTATCCAAGTTGGGAGTCGGAACGCCGTTGACTGCGGTGAGGAAGTTGGTGGGCGCAAGGCCATAATGGTAAGATGGGGAACCGCGGCTCTGGTAGAGATTAGTACTATTCTGATGGACAATCGCGACACAGATCTTACCCTTGCGCTCACATAGATCTCGCTATGCAACTTGGAGATCTGCTGTCGCACAGCATGGTGCGGCTTCTGAAGAACGGCACCGCAGAAAACAACGGCCTGGTCGGTTTCGAGATCTTCTGTGGGCACCGTCGGGACCTTGATAAGCATCTCATGGCCGTCCCGGACAATCAATGCCTCCAACACTTCCTTTTCATACATCACATCCAGCTCCGAGACCCGGGTAATAAGCTGGCCATCCAGTGTAAGGATGATATCGGCCTCCTGGAAGTTTTCGGCATCGGTTGTAAAGTTTGCAGGTGGGCAGTCAACCTTGCGCACCATAAAAAGCTGGTGACGAGAAGGATTGGCCTGGGCCACCTTTTCGATCCATTCTTCCGAGACGCCCATAATGCGCGCCTGGCTCATCTGTACGACATAGCTCTCCATGTTCAGGATTCGCAGCTTTGGAGTGATGCCCTGCTGGATCTTGGATGTGACAGGGAAAAGTGAGGGCGTTGAAAACCCAAGGTGGTACTCGACATCCTTATGCGAGTTGGGGGTCCGTTCGCCGAGGTAATTCAACCACAATGCCTGCACCACACCGTCCTCGCCAATCAAGACACCATTGGTACATTGTCCGCTGAGGCCAGTGTCTACAGTGATGGCGTCGAGGTTTATGGCTCGATAGCGAGGGGCAGATGCATTGGCGGGAATCGACACGGTGGTGATATCGGTGACGGCAGTCTTGGCCACGACGATGCGGAAGTTCTGGTTAAACCCAACGAAGATGGTGTCCTGGCCCTGTTTGATGTACTCGGTGCTGAGCTTGGCACTCTGCACAGGCGCATCGACGAGACTGGGGTCATATTGGATGATAGTGTAGTTTTGGAGGGGGTGTAAGAAGACCACTTTAGCGTTGAGGATGACCGAGTCAGCGACAGTGATGTTGATGTCACACAGATCGTAGGGAACAATGGCTCTGGAGACAACCACCAGGCCCTTTGCAGCGTCGATCACCAATCCGAACCCTGTCTTCTTGGCCTGGGGGTATCCATCCAATTTCAGAGGCATAGTGCATGACACACGCACGAAGCTGCGGACTATCTCCGCTGCTGCTGGTTGACTGACCCCATCCAGCTGAATAAATTCTGCCTTTCGTGGAATGGGTTCTTCGGCAGGAATGGGGTCGGCGAGGTCTGAGAAGTCCCATAGTCCACTCTCGTCATTGCGGACCGCCAGACGCATCTTCTGATGCCAATGGCGATCGACATAGATGATACTCGTCCCTTTCGTGTGGAGATCCCGGATGTGACGGTATGAGATGACCACCCGAGCGCGGTCAGGAATAGTCTTCATCACTTCTACAAATTCGTCCAGATTGCGGGTTCGCCGCTTGTCGACCGAATCAATGATCCACCCTGAAAGCGTGTTCTCGAGCTTGAAGGAACCCGCCGCCTCGCAAACGTAGACCCCCTTGGTGGCAATGGCGTACAACCGCGACTGCTGGTACGAAAGATCGTGGAATGTGCCACCAGAAACGGTCACAAAGCGATCCGGGGAGATGGCATGGAGATCGCCCACTTGACACTCGACTTCGAGGTCTTCACCTCCTCGCTGAACCAGTAGTTTCACCGTTCCGCCGACACTGGAGTCGAGAATGTCGTCGAGGCGACCGAATTGCGTCAGCAGCTCTCCATTCACCTGCAGAAGCACGTCTCCCTCTTGCAGTTTCCCATCTGCTGGGCCCTCAGGCAAGATAATTTCCGCGGCGAGCATGTTGGTCTCCGTGGGGGCAGATTTACGAACGGCCGCCTCCCATTCGGGCGTCAGACCAAGGCGGCGACACTCATCGAACGGCTTGAGCAGCCACTGAGTTTGGATCGTGCCGCGAGAGACCGGTCGACCCTGGCGAATGCATTCCAGCGCACGCAGTGGACGGTCCAACGGCAGGAAGTAGTCCGTCGCGGCCCCGTCGGCCCGACCACCAGCTTGCAGAGCTATCGCATGGCCGTCAATATTGACCACGGGACTGCCGGAGCTACCGCCACTGGCAGCAGCAGCAGCTTGAATGTAGTTTGTGTTGAAATCGCTGTACCCTTCGCCATACTCTGGTGCATTGCGGTCCAACCGACTGATCACACCCGATAGAATGCTCAGCTTTTCACCCGCATCATTACCCACCACACGGATCTCCACACCGACCCGAGCTGCAGCGGGCTGAAGCTTGAGCTCTGTGAGCTTCATGTAGCGGATGGCGGCCGGGTCGAACTTGAGAATCCCAAAATCGTGCACGGGGTCGCGGTACACGGGACGAACGTCGCACTGCCATACCCAACGCGGGGACCAGGTCAATCACTAGCACAGCAGCCCAGATGGTCACGCGCAACTCACCTCTTCATGATTATCGAAGATACAATAACCCCAGAACGGACCGGCGCAGACGACGTGGCGGTTGGTCAAGATGTAGCCCCGCTCGGCATCGACTACGAACCCTGTGGCCTGGCTGCTCATGGAGAGGTCGGTATCAAAGGAACAGGTCTGGCAGAAGTGTATGGACACGACGCTCTTCACGACCGTCTCAATCGTCGCTTGCCATTCGGGCGAGTCTGCCTGTGCGGGCCCAACGGCCAACATGCGCCCTGCATCTTCCTCATCCTCCACATCATAGACCGTTCCATTCGCGGGGGTAGCGTCCGAGGGCGTCAGAACGGAGCCTTCGGGCTTTAAATGTTTCGCTGGACGCTCCGTAGCGCCGGCGATGGTGCTGCGCTTGCGCTTGGCGCCAAAGTCGGCATCCATTGTCCGGAGCAAGGTCGTTGGGCGATGTTGGGGAGGTGAGAGAGGGAGACGGAGGAGGAAGGACGTCGGACGCAGCGACCGAGCAGGAAATGATGCACAGGACACGGTCAAGGACAAGGACGCGAGTGAAGGAGCGACCCGGCGCAGACAAGAAGACATGCAAAAGTGAGCTAAGAGGGAGCTGCGGCGGGAAGGCGCTGATTGGTTCACCGCCTTGGCTCAGGTGTTTGGGTCAACTGATCGATTTTCTTTAGTTACTACATGTAGTCCCTAGTCCATCCTCTGCATTTCTAGACTACTGGGGAAGGTCCCGGAGAAGGTCACCCGGCCCACCATCCCAGAGATCAAATGGTGTAGGTGGGAGCGGCCCCGGGACGGGAAGGGGGCCCTTCACGCGATCTCACTGGATCGACTGGTCTTTGTAGATCGAGGCCGCGTGACGGGTACGTCTCCAGGGTTGCCTTAATCCGGGAACTATGGATCGATATTGATCGATATTTTTGATATATGCGGGAGATCCTCCCATATCTCCAGCCCGCCTCAGACGACGGACTCCGACAGGGGCGAAGGGCTGGGCCCGCCGTTGCCTTGTAGGCCTGGTGGTGTGAGCTTGGCTTGCGGTGTGCCCTCCGAGCCTTTGCCCCCGCGTGGGAACAGTTCGTTCAGTTTGCCGTAGAGATCGTGCACCGCGAGCAGGTTGGGGGGCGGCGTCATGATAGCGGGAGCTTGAGGTGCCACGCCGCCCGATTTCTTTGCGCGGTCGGCAATGGTCGCCAGGTAGGCCAGGTTGGCCTGCAGCCGGCGCATACACTCGATGTATTCCTGGCTCGGTTTCTGCGCCGCAGGCTTTGGCGCATCCGCCAACTGCTCGGAAGCGTCCTGGTTGGAGTTGTTGGACGCAGCCCCGGCCTTGCCCGCGGCTTGAAGGTTCACCACCTCCTGCAGCAACGTAGAGTTGATATCAAGTAGGGTCGTGACGCGGGCTTTCTCTCGAGCCTGAGTTTGCGCCTGCGCCGGGGACATGGGCTGAGACGCGGTTTGGGGGGAGGAAGTATGTGGATGGGGTTTTTGTTGGTTGGGAAGCATGTTGTTGGCCGAGAGCGAAGCCATGTTTTGCGAAAAGGTCTGCGCCACGGTGGACGGCGTGTTGGCCGCGGTGCCTTGTGGCTGCGGGAATTGGTTCATGTGTGCGGCCACCGGCGGCTGTGAGAAGGGTGCTGAGAAATTCTCAAGGGGTGCTGCTGCCATTGTTGTTGTTAGAGGTCAACGACAGATACATTCTCCAACCGACGGGCTGTACGTTTGAAAGTGACTGGCTATGAATATGCGCGGCTCCTCGGTCCCTTGACGCCTGAGCGACTTGCGCGGAGAGGAGGGGGAGAGGGGGGGCGAGGGGCTGACAAGTCGAAAAGGGGAACGATCACGTACCGGATGATTGTTGGAAACCTGAGGGCATCATAACTCCACCGGGACCGGGCTGCATGGGAATTGCGCCAAAGGAATGCGGTTGTTGTTGTTGTTGTTGTTGCTGTTGTGGTGTGTTGGGCTGATACTGGGGGATGGAGTTCGGGTAGAAAGGCATCTGCTGGTTCTGCGGGAAGCCCGCTGGGTATCCTGCATTGGGATCCATCGCGCAATAAGGTAGGGCAGAGGGGCCGGCAGATTGATTGTCACCCGTAATATCGTCGCCCTTGACGATCCTTCAAGGGCGATAAACAAAAAAAAAAAAAGACAAAATAAATGAAACACCCTCTGCTTCTTCCTCAGACTGGATTACGTACACCGCACAGACAAGCGATATACGAAGGGGGGTTTGCTTCCTCGCGGGAATCCAGGGATGGCGGATGGTCTGTATGAGAGAATCAGGATCGAGAAGCGAAAGCCCTCAGATGATTGGTGGCGGGCGCAGGATTGACCTTCTGGTCCGTTAGTCGAAGGTGGTTGAGGGTGGTGGTGGCCCGAATTCAGAGTGATCAGCCGTGTGGGCGGGCGGGCTAATGCAGCGATGACCCTCTCGGCGGGTGGAGACCCAGGAGGGATGCTAGCGGGGGAATTTAATCTGACCGGTGCACAGAAGAGGTGGAGGTGCAATCGGTTCCAACGCAGACTGTCGTTCGAGAACAGCAGCGGAACCAGAACTGGCGTGTGGAAAAGAGAAAGAGATGGAGAGAGGAAGTCACGGGATGAGCGATAGCTGGGTCACGGCGGAGTAAGATACAGATGGACCAGCAGTAGCACGCAGTATTTTACCGTTTGACGTTACGCCATCTGGGTTGGACATCCACACGTGACATGTTTAATGCCTGAGGCATCAGAGCCATCCAGTGCCACATTCCAGACACAAGTTGCCAGCATGGCAGATGGATGACGGGTTGTGGCAGATGCAGAGCGTCGAATTCATCCAATCTTGGTGCAGCTTTCTCCTTCCACCTGATTATTTGACTGCTGGGAATCGAGATAACCGTCACCTATATGTACTACTGTTTACGTATCCCAACGATACCCCAAACAGGCAACCTATTCGGAGAGAGATAAGGCTCAGAAATAGAGCCAAGGTCCAGAACAATAATAGCCGCTGGACAAGGATACGAGTGGCGGGCGTCTCTCTTACAATGCTCTTTTGTCCGTGGAACCTGTATCAACCGCTGATATTGGCATCTGGCTGGTCATAGATAACGCCATCCTTGAATTCACGGCCGTTGTACGGTGCACGTTCGGCACGCAGGATACTCAGGGCAGAGAGAATCGTCATGAATGCACCGAGGAGATGTTACCAGTCGCGAGCATGATCGACAAGCCCTAAAGCCAAATACCTCTAATGTGTCACGGACCCTTCGCGGAAGTGCGCCGAATTGACCCGGTTTTGATCGGCTCTTTCCGTGATCTGCAAAAAGGGCATCAAATGACAAGAGACTTGCGAGGCGACCAAGCGGTTTAGTGAGGGCTGTGGAAGGGGATGTGCGTACCCACATTCGTGCATCGTGGCAGAACGGGCGGCATGCAGCACGCTAGAACTGGAGCGTCGTGACGCCACCGCGTCGAATCGACCCAGCTTCCAGGATATGCGAGGCGTAGATCACTGCCCGGCACGACCACGGAGAGGGGTGCGCAGGGGTATTGAAGAGGACCCCGACGAGGAATGACAGGAGCCTTTTCAGCTAGCCACGAGAAAAGGGAGCTCGCACGGACTTAACCCAAAACTACACTGGGTGTTGTATGTACATCTTCAGTGGCATCCCTAGCTTGAACAGCATCGCGTACCGCTCAAGGGTGGTCCTGCATCGCACATACCAAACCATTGTTCTCCGGTCAAACGGACAACGATCCTGTGTTCGTATCGAGGCGCACGTATCCAGCGATGCCGCAAGAGGCCGCAGATACTGTGGGGAGACGGACTCGGTCGCCTTTGCCATCATTACCCACCGTGGGTTCGGTGATGTCAGCTAGGCTTAAAAATCCATTTTGGACCCCGAGCCATACCCCCCTGTTCCTAGAGTGTTCGGGCATGGTCGCCGATCGAAGATCCTATGTACATGTGTCCCCAACTCAATCTCACGCCCTAGGATTAGCGGGAACACGAAAGAAAAGGTGCCAGAGACCTGGAGCGGACGGAGATTTGACCTAGTAGGGAAGAGCCGGGCCCGACATTTTAGGCCCTGCCCTAGGTGTAGAGTGTACTTTTAATTTTTGATTTTCTATACGTCGAACGATTAGTGGAAAAAGGGGACCCACTCCAAGGATAGCCTTGCATGACCGACAGATGGCTGGCAGTAATCGGAGTACTCGCGCAAACGTCCTCCGAACTATCGCCGTAAAAGAACCGTCTGGACCTACCCCAGCACACGGGGTTCTCTGCCTCTACTAGAAGCAAACTAATCGAGAGCGCATGCGCCACACTTGAAGACAAATAGGGCAAAAAAAAATAAAGCAAAAATCGCATTGATTTGAAATCATTCCGTCAGTCCGTGGCAAAGCGAGCCCGGCCCGGCACTCCTCCGAACACATCTAACATCAACTCTGTGGTTAATCACGACATATAGCATAGGACTGGCATCCGTTTGGCGGCTTCAAGCCACGAGTTTCCCGGATCGATTTTGCGGCAACAGCTCGTCCACAGAACAGGATGAAATGCGAATCTCGAGATTATTTACGGCTGTACGGAGTATCTGCGCTGAAATTCGATTTCGGGAAAAGATTTCCGACAGAGTACAGTATGTATTGTTGTAGAGGTACAGCCTAACAATCCCGAAAATGAAAGCGGCTTACGCCTCTTGAATCATGTTGGAATGCCTTCACGACCTGGCATGTCTGGTCGAACTGCTTACCCGTCGTTGATCAACGAGACAACCACAGGAATCGCGCCGAGCATTATTGGTCATGAACCCCAGATTGGACCTTTCAGCCAGTCCGAGACTGCTTTTTCTACTCGGTGGTAATCTGGTCTCGTTATATCTTGGAATGGAGAAATAGCATACGTAACATGATCTCGAAACGGGGCAATGGAGATCTTTCTCGTAAAGATCTCGCAAAGCGGAAAGACACAGTGGCACTATCCTTGTATGGAATAGTCGTATTGGGAAACACAAGGTAACATTTGAGCCTTTTAACTTAGTACTGCTGTGAGAAGGGGCTTGTGCGTGACTGTCTCGGATCGGAGACCTGACTAGGCCAGCAACGAAACCCTAACTATCATTTTCAATCAGATCATCGCCAATAGTGTCATTTGACAGCTCATAAAGGATTGTACACGGAAAGTCAATCTTATCTATTCACCGAAAAAGGTGTGGCTGAAATTCCTCTTGGGGAAGAAAGTTCTAAAAAGCTGAAATTAGTGCAAACAGCGATGTTGATCCTGTGGCTGAGTTGGAGCGAATCATATCAATGTTAGTTTCCTGCCCGCTGAATGTCGCATCAGCAGTGCAATAATGTAGGAATTGCCATGGACTTTAGAAAGTTGGTATCCTAACTGAGGTACTATTCTTTCGTGACCAAGGAGAGCTTCACGACAATCTACCATGCACAAATTTGCAATTGATATGGATAGCCAGGTCTCATTTACGTGGAGCAGCGCTACTAGGAGCGGAGATTCGGAGGAAAACATCCAATTCAACACCACTGGTCCTAAAATTGTTCGTACATGCCACTGGACGGCATAGCGCATCCCGTATTTTTGCGAACAAAGCACTTCGGGGAATATTTATCCGAGAGGCGTTTCATACTGTGAATCGTAAAGGGTACAACAATCTAGAAGCGGGTCAAGGCGGTAGTTCGGAGTGCTTGCGATCTACAGAACGCCTTAGGTTTGGTTCCCTGAAAACAATTTTGGATGGGGAAACCAGGAGAAGGTATCGCGTCAGTATTATTGTGTATTGCCAGTCGATCACGGCGATTGATACTGGCTCCTTCAGGAGCGTCGTATAGATCTCTTTTTTACGACAGTTAGCAGCATCTGGGAAAGCAGCATATTGGCCATGCATGACATTGGACTTGCCCTGAGTCAATGCAAGGAGGTTGCAAAAATAAGACAGGACGTTTGAGTGACCGCGAGGCAGCCGATTCCAGGAGACACACTCGTGTAAAACGGCTAGCGCCGCTCGGCATTCCTGGGCCGTTACTGTACGACCTAGCACTGCCGCGGAGCATCGTAGCGCCTGCCTCGGTAGAGGATTAAAATCCTCTCTTTGCTTTTTGATCGTTCCAAGGTGCTGGGTTACATGATCGGTGCACTATTGGATCAGTTATCTGCCCTCCGCCAAGAAATCCCGGTCCCAACCCCACTTAGAGCTATTCGGCTCTTGTTGTTTCACTAGCCGGTTAGATTCCTTGTACTATTGTCCATAATGCAATAAGGCTCAAGCGAGGGACATACCGTTTTGCGGCATTTGCCAAGGCGATCCCTTGGTAGCACAACGGACACGCGATTTGGGGTTGCGTGGCGCAAATTCCAACTAGCTGACAGGGACGAACAAATGGATACAATCTAGATAGAACTAGAATGCTACCATGCTAGACATGCGGAGATTGTTTTATGTGGAGAATGGGTGGCGGCGAAAACATTGAGGACAAGTCAACAACGCAGTATGTAATAGGGCCTTCATGGACGTGCATTCATTTAGCGGCCCACGGGCTCCAGTACGCATCTGTGGCGTTCATCGTAAATCAGTACTTTTCTGGGTCCCACAAGCCTATTGTCCCCTGTCTAGAGCTGGGCATCCCCACACGATTGGCAAATCCCGAGGCTGAGCATGCCAGGGCTGACGGGACGGCCGAGTTGATAAATCTCAAAATCTCCGTAGCAGATCGATCTCGTGAGCTTATTGTCTGTGGACCCGACCGATGTTCGGTATTCCCTCTTGTTCTCTTCTTGATGCTGAAGCCTGGTCTTTCGAGCTCCTTCAACCGGGCTTCCTGGCTGTGAGTAATCTCTTTCATGTTGTCCCGCTGTGGCCCTGTGCGGGCTAACCGCTTCGACCAGACAACCAACCACCTGCATGCGACATTCAGCCGAAGCTCAGAGGCTCAGATTTTATGGTATCTTCGCCACTTGCTTGACCGCTTGGCCAGAACAGGCTGACCGCCAGTCAGGCGCCGACAACCGTGCCCATGCTAGCCCAGCAGGATCAGTTAGCCTGCACCCACTTTGCCCTCATATATCTTGACGCAACCGGCAACCTTCGTCTCAAGTCCTCACAGTCAATCGCCGATAGTTGTCAAACAATTTTATCTCCGAGGGTGACGGATACTTTCTTACAGGCAGTGGCCCTGTCAAGAGAAGCCTGCCCGTCACCTTGTCACAGTCAGTCTTCCACTTGTCACACCAAAGGTTTCCGACTGGCTGACAACTTGTAGTTGTACCGAACATCCCAGTCTCACCTAATCAAGAAATGAATAACGAAAAGGACTTTCGCCAATTCCAGAGGCCTCGTACATCCTATACTGGGATGAGCGCTGGGAATGGTTCGCTCATGCGGCCGTCAGTTGATTCGGCCATTCCATTTCAGACACCAGGGTGGCCCACTTATCAAGAGCCCTGGCCTTTCCAGCGTACTCAGATTCCTCAGCATAAAAGATCAAAGGCCTGGAATGAGGAAAGCAACACCACCAGCGACCCCAAAGTCGTGGTGTCCGTCAGGGACGCTAACCTGCTAGGCCGCTATTATAAAAAAGCCTTTGAGAACCTGCAACAGACAAATTGTCGAGTGCTTGCAAAGGCATATATCAAGCTCGTGGAGCCTCGCAAGCAGGTCAATTACCCGTACAACGGACGGAAAATCGTTGATGGAACTCCTCGGCAGCTGGATCCAAATGAAACAAAGCCGCCCTGGTGGCCATCTGGAGTAAGCCACCGAGAACCGGATCACTTACCTAAAGCCGGTAAGAAAATTATACTATCTTCACTTTTTGGCAACACAGAATGACTGTTGGCCAGAGCGCATTCGACTCTTGATCTATATCTTGCGCGATCTGCGCACCAGCCATGGGATCACAGCCAGAAAATTGAGGGAGGCTGATCAGCCTATTCGTCGTCAGATCTCCCCAACAGAGAGACTGGAGATCCTGGACGAGCTCTATCGTGTCCGACATGAAGAAGAGAAGTTCTTAGACGGAAAAACTGGTATGTGGCTCCAAATCAGCCAGCTGATCATTAGCTTATTCCCAGGTCTGCACAGACACACAGGCGATGGTCTGGATCTCTCTTTCAAACTTGCCCAAGGAAGCGAGCCAGAGTCATGGAGAACGCAGCGGAAACAATAGCCCGATTTCTGTTAGAAATTCGGCCGCAACCACGCCGCGTGACGCGCCAGAGGGCTTAACTGTCGGCTCTCCTCGTCATATGCTAGCTTATGCTGGAGATTCTGCAGAGATTTCGCCGATCCGACACGCCCGTTCTGGCACAATACCCCAAGTCAAACCTGGAAGGTCAACTGACCGGGTCCAGCCTAGCTTCGATTCTGTACCTGTGTCCATGACGCCGCAGGATCTGAAGCGAAAACGGGAAAGTATGCATGGATTTCCTCTTCACTCGCCTGGCCTTGCAGCTGGGGCTCACCATTCTTCTATGAGCCCCATTGAGCTTCAATCATTGCCGATCAGGTACTATGGCGATCCTTATGATTTTCAGCAGGGAGGTACCGTTGCGGAACCTTCGACAGCTGCGCCATTAGACGAGTCTATAGATTTCCCATATCATTTCGGCTACTAAGAGCCTCATATCTTGACTTTGACGATTATGTCTTTCCTTTGTCACGGCTTCTAGGTGTGGTACTCTGAATGAAGCGTTTTATTTTGTTGAGAATTTCCCAGATAGCGACCAGATTTAGAGCAGTTTTGGGTACTGTGAAGTGCATACGTTTTGAGATCTTAAAGAAAAAAGTAATGACCACAAACAGTCCATGCTTCATAGGGAGCCCCTTGATATGTAGATAGATAATCCGCTTGAGAAAGAGCAACCCTTCCCGTCACCTGGCTCGGCAAACCCTGATCCAAACCACCATCTGCTACTATCCCTCATAGACATTGTGAGTACCAGTTATTCGAAAAAGTACAGGTGTAACCGCTCGCGCATACAGTCGGTCCAGTCCAGCCTTCACCGCCACACTGTCCCCAATGTTGAGCCACGCTGGTGGAGCCGCTGGAGCTGCTGGTAGTGGTGGTGGTGCTCGAGCTTTTGGTGGTGGAACTGGAAGTTGATGATACAGTTGCCCCCAAAGCGGTCATAATACCATTGTAGGCAGGCTTCTTCACAAGGTTTTCGTCCCATGGACATGCAGCACCTTGGCCGGAGAAGGTGCTGGGCACCCACGAATACTTGTCTGTCCAGTCCCAGACGGTGACTCCAACGCATTTGGCAGTCTGAGCACACGCACCTACGGTACTCTGGTAGTCAACTGACTGCTGTGCGAGCAAAGCGGCGGTCGAAGGTAGCGTCATCCGGATATCAAGCTCGGTGATTGCGACCTCGACGCCGAGGGCCACGAACGAATCCATGTTGCTCGCCTGTGAACTCTGGCTGGGAGTGCTGCCGACAATGAAGTGGGATTGGAGACCAACGCCGTCGATCTTGGCTCCGTAAGCCTGGACCATCTTGACAATATTCTGTGCAGCTGTAGCTTTGGCACCGGCATATTCGATGTTGTAGTCGTTGTAATAGAGCTTGGCACTGGGGTCTGCAGCAGCTGCGGTGGCGAATGCAATGGGGATGTATGCCTCGCCGATAATTTCGTAGAACACGTTGTCTCGGTAAGTACCATCATCGTTCAGGCCTGAAAGGGATGTAATTAGTGTATGTCCTATTCTAGTTCAGAATCGAGCAATATCCGACCTTCGTTGACCACATCCCAAGCATAGCATTGACCCTTGTAATGAGTAACCACGTTGGTGATATGGTTTTTCATGGCTGCGAGCAACGTCGCATTGGTCCAAGTACCACTAGTGACTATGCGACACTTAGATACATGTTGCGCGACATGCCGAGGAATTCCTGAACTTACCCCAGCTGGGTAGTTGGTTATACCAGACCAGATTATGGCATCGACGCTGCTGGCCGTTGGCAATAGCCAGGTCGATAATGGCGTCACCCTCGGTAAAAGTAAAGGTGTTTTGTTCAGGCTCAGTTGCATCCCACTACTCGTGTGATATTAGTATTTATTTTCAAGGTATAACTGTACCCATACCTTTTGAGAATTTCCAGGAGTGATCTGGCCAAAATCTTGAGTGTTGTTCAATTCAGTCACGTAGGCCGTGTCCGTCAACTCCGGATTATCTGTAGCTGTACCAAAATAAAGCTTCCCAGTGGCCTTTGCAGCTGTATTTAGTCCAGAACCGTTTGCCCTGTCATATCCCGATGTCAGTTGACCGCAAATGAGGTCTCATATATCTCGATCATACAGATGAGGCAGAATGCTTGCGGCCAAGGCCAGTGTTGCAGCGAAGCAGCGAACCATTATGAGAAGCTCAGGTATCACACAGTAGAAAAAACGATTAGTGATGTGAAGAGGGATAGAATGCTACATGTTATTACTTTTATAGAAGAAACGCCGAGTCTTATTCCTCCGGCGCTACGTTTCAGCAGGACGGACTGATGGCCCGTGGCGTACAAGTCGCGGTCATCTTGAAGAAATACACGGACAGTAAGAGACGCAGACTGAAAAAGGTCGGAACTTTATAAGTAGTAAATATGAGCTCAATAGATCGGAATGGGTAGAGGAGGTAAAGATAGTCTTCTTATAAATGCTGATGGGGAAATGAAATAGAGAATGGGATGTGCTGCATCAAAAGTAAAGAGGACACGCAAACTTAGATACAGCTGAATTAAACTGGGGATTCAACACCGAGTTCAATACCCGGAGCGTCCTCCGCGCCGCTTCTAGCGCGCAGTCAAATGCGCCCTGACGATGTTTAATCCTCGTTTCCCCGCATGCGATAATTATTCAGTGGAATCATCAAAGGCTAAAATGAAAGCGCCTTCGGGACGTTAGGGACGGGTAAATTCGACAGGTCTCCACATCAACCCGGGGGCGAACATCCAGTTGATCCCGAACTTCTTTCCATCCTGCATGCAGGGCTGCTGCCATTGGATCAGGACTTTATTGCCTATAACCTATAGCCCGGCTCATGTCAGACTCATCCCAGGCTGACCCAGGCACGGTGGGACCTCAACTTCACACACCGCCCAAGCAGACGCAAAGTAAGAAACAACTCTCGAGTCGCCGCACGCTCAGCTGTCTTCCCTGCAGAGTGCATAAGTTACGATGTGACCGACGTGTCCCTTGCCATACATGCACGCGCTATCGCCGGGAGAGTGCGTGTCATCAGCACCCGGCCCCAGCGGCACGACTGAATCCGGTCTCGTCAAGACCAGCGGCCATTGCTCCTGGACTGAATCAGCACAAAAATCACACCGCAAATGGGAGTCCCACACTATCCCCTGAGAAAACTCAATTGGCTCTTTCGCAATCATCAGTTCCTGTCCTTATTCCCCTTTCTGGACCTCTATCATCGATATGCGACACAGTTAACGATTCTCTACACACCAAGCGGTTCTGGAGAGCGCAGCTAGCAACTCTCCTGCCACCACAGCACCAGTGCGACCTTTTGGTATCTTACTATCTCGAAAACGCTCATTGGCTTTTCCACGCATTTCATGTGCCTACCTTTCATGGCCAATATTCTAGATTTTGGTCCACCGGAACAGAAAAAGTGGATCTAATATGGCTTGCACTTTTGTTCACGATCATATCATCCACGGCGCTTATAGTGCCAGTGGAGTCTGCAGCACTAGTTGGTCTTGAAACATCGCGAGTACGCCAGCTCTCTCGGGTATGGCATCTGGCTTCTCGGCAGGCCCTCCATGCTGGGGACTTTGAATCCAAGCCGACTGTGATGCAGTTGCAAGTGTTTATTGCGACGCAATTGTATTGGCTGGAGACCAAGAATATAGAGTCTTTGAATTCGTGAGTATTCCCTTTGGATCCTTCCCGCTATTTGCTTACCTCGGCATATAGGGCATTTGGCCAGGCTGTCCGACATGCGCAGGCACTTGGGCTTGATACAGGTGCTCAAGGGTCTGACTACTTGGATACTGAGCTGCGTCGACGTATATGGTGGGATCTCTGGGTCACTGACACGTGAGAACAAATATCCGTATGTCAATTCCAGGCAATATGGCTGACTCTTACCCGTAGATTCCAGTCCATGTGCTTGGATCGAACGCCTCTTATTCATACACCTGCTGAGCGTGTACCACTGCCACAAAACTGCAACGACATTGACGTCACCCAGGCGTCGGTGAAACCGCAGCCAATGGAGGTGCCGACAGACACGAGCGCCTGTATCTGCCGGGCTCAGGCATACCGCATATTCCGCAAGCTATATCAAGACGGCGGCACCCGTTTATCCTCATACGAGTACATCCGGTCAATTGATCGAGAAATCCAGGAGCTCACAGCAAAATTCCCTTGGTACTTTCGAATTGGCAGCACAGAAGCCCTACAGCACCTCCCAAGTCTGGACGCAGTTGCCTGGTGTCATGCAATGCTACATATCAGCATCTGCCAGCAGCGGATCCGTATGAACAGACCATTTCTGCACGCACGCGTCGGGGAATCATGGAGCGTCTGCGCCATAGCTGCACAGGAGATGCTACTGCCGTATAGACAGATGCGCGAGTCAGATGTGAATAGGTTCCGTCAGTCCCAAAAGTTTGCCGTCCAAGGATACCAAGCGTACACGGCAGCGGTGACACTCGCTGCGTTCTTACTAGTGGAGAGATCATTTCCGGGCTTCTCGTCCGAATCAATGAGACAGGATATCGAGATGGTGATTTCGGATCTGGAGCTGCATGATATCGGCCCCATGGTCTCAGATGGGATCAAAATCTTACGCAAGATGCTGGATATGTTTGAACGCCGGGATGCGGGCGATCCGCAGATGCGCGAATCGCTTGTGCAAGAGATCGCTTCGGTGTTTGGTGGCGAGCAACCCACGCGCCGGTACTTGCGGCAGTGTGATATTGGTTATGTTTTGAATAATCAAACCACTCACAGTCACCAACTGGACGGACACATAATAACTGTGCCAGGTTTCTCGGAGTCGTTGCAGGATCCTGGTACTAACTCGGCCTACCATCAGACGGACTCGATACTGGATGATTTTCATCTCGCCCTGGATATGTTGGAATATGATCAATGGTGGGATTTTCTTCTGCCAGAGGGCGGCTTCCCGCCCCAATGAGCATATTCGATAAAAAATATTTCTATATACACAACACCCAGTGTTCTCATTGGAGGTACCTAACTTTCTTGCCTCTGCTGCTTCTGGCGCTGTCCTATCATCATTGCAGGCGACCATCGGCAATGTTTAGTATCCAGACACAGGATATCTGATCAACACATCAACGAATTGGTATCCTGCACAAGACGTTGCCATGTGCCTGGAATATGGCCGACCAAGGTTTTCCAAGGGATACCAGGATGCTTGAAGGGATTCGGTTGAAATCGCATGAAGTTTCATGTAGTGTTTCAGCCTACCTTCCGGGCCTTCATCTCGGAGATAAATGCGCTTGACTTGGAAGTTGGCACAACAAACACCCTGACCAGCTCATCAACAACCTCGACCTTGCCTCCAGACAGAATCTGCAGCAAAGGCAATTTCTTGCCCGCCTTGATTAGCCCACCAGTGACCGTCTCCATGAAGCAATCGACCGTGTCAATCGAGTACTCCTTCTTGGTGTCCCAGGGTAGCGGGAAGATGTAGTCCAAGTGGTTGGCAATGGAATGCATTTCCGAGAAGGCCTTGATAAAGTCCGACTCCGCATCCATAGGATACAAGAAAACAGCCGGAAATTCGACAGTGCTCTCTGGTGACAGAGGATCGGGGACCAGTTTGATCCCGGCATCTTCCATTTCGGGGGGTTGGTTGGTCTTGCGAGTCCGGATCTGGCGAGCGCGCAGTGCAGTGCTTAGAACCATCTTTTGCTTGCGTGCAGCCTCCTCCTCGGCCTTCCGCTTCGCTTCGATGCGTTTTACATAATCCATGCGATCTGCAATCTTCGACGCCACGGTCTGAAGAGCCTTATTGTTGGGGTCGAGTTCCAGGCCGCGCGACACAGCATCCTCCGCTTCGGCAAGCTTGTCAAGCTTCAGGAGAGCACTGGAAGAGCGGTAGAAGGCTTTGATGTTCCGAGGATTGAGTTTAAGGACGGCGGCGCAGTCGAGAGTTGTCGAGCGGTAGTTACCTGCATGGAATAGTCAGCAAATTCTGCTTGAAATGACACCGTCCAATCACCACATACCCAGCTCTAGATTGGCCAGCGCCCGGTTGATATGCGAGGCCTCCTCCAATTGGCGTAACAATTTCTTCTCCGCCTGAGCATCCTCGGGCTTCTCCCACTTGTCTTCCTTGGCATAAATGACGGCGATGCTCTTGGTGTAGAACTCCTTGGCATCGATCCATCGCTTTTCCTGAACGGCCTCGTTGCCCTGCTCCTTGAAGGTCTGTGCAACCTCGCCCCGGGTACCCTCATTCTGCATGGCTTGTAGCGCATCCAATAGAATGTTTTCCCCGTCTAAATCTCAGTCAGTCCCTTGTCCACAGCCATCGGGAAGCTAAAACATACGCTCATCACCCGCGTTTTCCATGTCCGTCATGAACAGTGGGGTCTTGTTCATCATGCTCAGCAGCTGCTCCTTGGAATGTGACTTGACCGAGGCCATGGCCGGCGGCATCTTGGGCGCGGACGGGTCATTCTCGACCTCTTTCAGCCTCTCCTCGTTGATCGGGAAGGGGATTTCGTTGGATGCGGCGAAAGCATCGAACCCGGGCTGCGGCAGGTCCTGGGCCACCTGCGGCGGCACCTCATTGAGGTTCAGCGACTCGTCGAAGTCGTCCGGGAGCTCCTCGATCCGCGACATGGTGCTGACTGGCTGTAAGATTCCTTATCGGAAAGAAGTAGGAAAAGATGAAAAATCGAGACAAACAGTGCAAACATGAGGGAGCCTGAGGTGAGTGGGGAGTCTGCCCTTGTGTGGATGCCTCAGGCTGTCAACGAGTCTGACTACGATCATGAATGTTGAGAGCTAGATAATAATGAATATACACAGGTTAATAATAATAGATGTTGTCAGCATACTCCCGACTAAAGCCCCAAAGTAGCCAAGCCAGCCTGCCCATGTTCACCCCCGGCATCGGCGAGCCCCCACCAACCCCGCAGCGTCCTCGGACTAAATACCGAGAAACAGATATAGTTGGGACCAAACGCACTGCTGAAGCGATTCCCAGAGACTCAAATACGTGGTGTACAAGTTATGGTGCAAATCTTCAACATTCTGGTCCTCCCGGGCGATGGCATCGGCCCAGAGGTGATGGCCGAAGCTGTCAAAGTTCTAAAAGCCTTCGAAACACCACAACGCCAATTCCAGCTCCGTCAAGAACTGATCGGAGGATGCAGTATTGACACGCACGGTAAGTCTGTCACTGAAGAAGTGAAACAGGCAGCTTTAGACTCGGACGCAGTCCTGTTCGCTGCCGTGGGAGGCCCGAAATGGGACAATGCGCGTCGAGGGCTGGACGGGCCCGAAGGAGGCCTGTTGCAGCTGCGCAAGGCGATGGACATCTACGCAAATCTACGGCCGTGCTCGGCTAGCTCACCGAGTGCGTCCATTGCGAAGGAATTCAGTCCGTTCAAGCAGGATGTGATTGAGGGCGTGGACTTTGTCGTCGTGCGGGAGAATTGCGGCGGAGCGTATTTTGGTCGCAAGGTTGAGGAACCAGACTATGGTGCGTGACATATTGTCTTTCTTTATCTCTTGACTCACTGTTTTCTAGCAATGGATGAATGGGGCTACTCCGAGGCTGAAATACAGCGTGTCACCCGTCTAGCTGCGCAGGTTGCTCTGCGTCACGATCCGCCATGGCCAGTGATCTCGCTCGATAAAGCCAATGTATTGGCCTCCTCCCGGTTGTGGCGACGAGTCGTGGAAAAAACGATAACGACTGAATATCCCCAAGTGAAGCTGGTGCACCAGCTGGCCGACTCGGCCTCGCTGATCCTGGCAACGAACCCACGTACTCTGAACGGCGTACTTCTGGCCGATAATACCTTTGGTGACATGATCTCCGATCAGGCTGGGTCTATTGTGGGCACATTAGGTGTGCTGCCGAGTGCCAGTCTCAATGGGCTGCCAGGTGAGAAGGGACTGACAACGCGACCATATGGCCTCTACGAGCCAACACATGGTTCTGCCCCAACGTAAGTGTGGTCATAAAATTTTGGTGAGTTTATTGTTGACATAAACATTAGCATTGCTGGCCAGAATATCGCCAACCCTGTCGCCATGATCTTGTGCGTTGCCCTCATGTTTCGCTACTCGCTCAACATGGAGACGGAGGCGCGGCAGATTGAAGATGCCGTGCGTAAAGTGTTAGACTCGGGAATACGGACACCTGATTTGGGAGGTAAGGCTGGCACTAAAGAGGTGGGTGATATGATTGTCTCTGCGCTGTAGATTGTAGATAAGTTACATGTCGCTTGGAATTTGGGACGTTATGCAAGAATCACTCGGATCTCGTAAACAGAAGTACAGAAGAGCATGGGTTGAATGAACATTGTTTCATAGCTCAGCCACGAAACTGATAGGCTGTCTCACCCTTTGTCGATCTGTAATCTCGTCACCCTCGGAGATAGTCGGCAGCTCTATGGCTATGACGAACAAAGCTGATCTCAATGGAATATTGCGAATTTCTTGTTGAAATTGTGAAACACACTTGTCGTCGAAAATTTCCGCCATTGATTCAGAATACAATACAAAAACAGGCTGGTTTATAGACTTCAATCATTGAATGTTGGTCAAAGTCCAGTATGCTGACATCTTCGAACGAGCAGTCCTTTTCTTTGTTGTAGCGAGGATCATAAATGACGAGCCTCCTGATGGCAGAACAAAGAACAGTAGGCCAGTTCGATTGCCCATGTTTCACTAGCAAGGGGAAGGAAACCTAACTAAAGAATCCAAGCATTGTCCAGCCCACCACCTCCGACAAAGGTCTCACTCTGTAACTGGAGACAGGGAATCTAACGTCAATGAACCGAACGTTTGCACATCAAAGAGCAAATTCGTTGAGCAGACACTATCTTGAGCTGTAATCAAAGAGACAAAAAGAACGCGTCTTTCTCATTTTCTATCTCATTTCTTTTTTCTCCGTGGTTGCTAGACTTCATTGTCATCAGTTTCAACTTTGCCACCCACTATCACTGTTCTATCCCTACAATTCTACGTTTTCTGAAAGCGTCGACCAACTACACCTTCTATCGCAATTGCGTCCTCTACGAAGATCCGAAAAAATCAAGAAATAAGCGACCATCACCATGCCTCCCGGCGGATGTCCCATCGCTGGGTTCAGCACGCTACGCCTAGAAGGTCTAGAGAAGCGGTCTTCACCGGAGAAGGCAGAGCTGGTGCACTCTATTGCCGACGACATGAGTGGAACCTTGATGTGCATCGCACAGCACGCGGAGGAAGGAACCCTGTCATCCAGACACATCGAACCCATCGATGGAGTGATTCGCATCATCCGCGACACCGAGGTATCACAACGACGGAGGCTGGAACGACGAGTGCGGCGACTACGAGGCATGCGACGATGGCTGCGTCGCGAGTTTCGGAAGATGGTCAAACGCGCAGATTTAGTGTCACGGGCTTGGAAAAACAAGGCGGCCACATTGAAGGGAAATATTCAGGCGCTGCAGATTGAGGTGGCTGTGATGAGGAGGCAAGGCGAGATGCTGCGGGCATGTATAGAGCAGGGAGAAAGCGGAGAAGGGGAAGAGAGCACGCAGAGCGAGGATGCCATCAAGAAAGATGGGGCCACGAGAGATTAAGATTCCCGGACGGATGAGGTCGGTGGAGAGGCGAACTTCAAGAGAGAATGAATGGTGCAGGAGCTGGGTTGGAATGTCCTGGGTTAATCTGAGTTCGACGAATAATAAACTGGTTTCATGTCCTTGAGCCGACTGTCGCGCTGTTGCGGGATCTGATAAGTCCGGAGACCTGCCGTTCAGAGTCCTTTCATTCCAGCAAGCGAGTCGGGTTAAATATTCCACAAGCCTCATTTAGACCAATATTCCGAAAGTTTTCCAACATACAGCCGAGATGTGTTATTCTGCCTGCGAAGAACAGTAGCTCCTGATGTTGTAGACAGCGCACAAGTGTCCAGTTATCAGGTTTCAAGTTCCGAGGCATTTGATCGGGAGATGACTTCATTGTGGACGAATCTCGGCTTTGCGCACAACGCGCCAGATTTCGGCGGCCATGTTCAGCCGAACATCGGCGAATCTCTGCAAGTCGCGGAAGCACCCAATCAGAACAATTATGAGTTGTGGAAGGCTGTGCCGCTGCTTATCGGAGCCCATGGCAAGCTGGACCTCGGCATTTTTGCTTTCAATGCGCGCAGACTATCTCGGCCCGTGTGGATCCACTCCGGTCTTCTTCTCCTTCATGTGCGAGGGACACGCCCATGCCCTTTCGGACGCACGTTCATTTTCTCTTTCTTTTTACTTCCTGTGATCCTTCATCTTGAATACTTACCGAAGAACAAGACTTGGAAACCAACAACAATCCGCGTCTCTTTTCACCTTCGGTAAAGAATCGTACCCTAGACCCGGTTCTCGGCCCGAAAAAAATGAGTCGCCCCGGGGACTATGAGGCTGTCCGCAAGGACATTGCTGCTCAACTCCAAAAGCCTGGCTACGACGATGGTAGCGCAGGGCCAGTCTTTGTGCGATTGGCATGGTACGTCGATTGTTGATGTTTGGTCGTGAGGAATATTTGATTGATACCATCCCAATAGGCACTCGTCCGGCACGTATGATGCTGAATCCGATACTGGCGGCTCGAACGGAGCTGGTATGAGATACGAGGCGGAGGGCGGCGACCCAGCCAACGCGGGTCTGCAGCATGGGCGGGCGTTCCTGGAGCCAGTGAAAGAGAAGCATCCATGGATCACGTACTCGGATCTATGGACTCTGGCGGGCGTAGTGGCGATCAAGGAGATGGGCGGACCAGAGATCGCATGGCAGGGCGGGCGGACAGACCTGGTGGACGACTCCAAGGTTCCTCCGCGCGGACGGCTTCCGGATGGTGCCCAGGGTGCGGAACACTTGCGGTTCATCTTCCACCGCATGGGGTTTAATGACCAGGAGATTGTAGCGTTGACCGGCGGGCACAACCTAGGCCGGTGCCACGGCGACCGCAGCGGATTCGAGGGGCCCTGGGTGACGAACCCGACGCGCTTCTCTAACTCGTTTTTCAAGTTGTTGCTGAAACTCGACTGGAAGCCGCGCAAAATGGCGACAGGTATGACACAGTTTGTGTACGAGGACCCGGACGCGGAGGAGGACGAGGAGCCGTTGATGATGCTGCCCACCGACATGGCGCTGTCGACCGATCCGTCTTTCGCGCCGTGGGTGAAGAAGTACGCCGAAGACAAGGACCTGTTCTTCGACCACTTCGCCAAGGTGTTTGCGAAGCTGGTTGAGCTCGGCATCAAGCGTGATGCCCAGGGTAGCGTTACCAACACCGACAACCGCCTCGGTGGCTATGTCTCTGCTCCCAAGAAGAGCAACATCGCCACGGGCCCTGCTAGGGCACGGCTCTAGGCTTGAGTGGCCCACATCTCTTTTTTGTGTTTGTGTTTGATTGAATTCCCCATTGTGTTGATAGATCTGGATCGGGCAGGCAGAAGGACAAGACGTGTAAATAGATGATAGACCTAGAGAAGAATACCTTCAATTTGCGATAGTGATCGTCACATATGCATGGAGAGATGTAGACATGCTGTTTCACATGGCCGCGAAGAGTCGAAGGAGATGGGGAGAAGAGGATTGAAGGAAAAGATGGAGAGAAAAAAGGAGAGCATCCGGGGTAGTCAAGAAGGCGGGGAAGCACACGGGGCTCGCCGAGGCCTTTCCTACGGGGGTGTTTGGGGTTCATCTAATAAATGGGCGCTGATTGGCAGAGAGCCGAATAGACTAGTAGTATCGGCTGGGTTTTACGTACGTACTTGTTTACTTCCGCCTTGGGGTCGTATTGAATCTAGGAATAGTGCTGCATCATATGGATGGTATCTCTCGCCCGAATGCCTTAGCGAAGATGCTGGCCTAAGCCTACATTCCTGCTACGTTCTGCAAAGTACCTAGAACCATGAAAACGTCACTATAGATTTGGCCATTATGTCTGCAACACCCACTATACATTGACCGTCAACCAATCCCATTCATAGCAGGGAGTAACAAATTGTGTTGTACACTCCTAGTTTCATTTGCAACTAGAATAACAAAGCTAAAAAAGGAAGAAATAATTGTGTCACGTGATATTCGCCCACAGAGTCCCCCGTCATCTGGTGCATCGCACATAATTACCCCAAATAAGTCTGTTGACAAATCCACATTTCAGCGTAAATCTAAGTATGTTTAACCGCTGGTGACTGTCGTGGGATACGTGGTGTCCTGCTTTATATAAAATAAATTAAAAATTAAAAATTAATATAATAAGTAACCAGAAGGGCAATCACTTTTATATATAACCTTCCAAAGCCAACTATATTTTCCCGGAAACACTGCAGAAGTATTTTCTAGATAAATCTCGCCAGCCAGTGGCCTACAATGCTAATATTTGATCGAATTTTCAGTCCTATGGCTCCTTGCTCTAATCCTCTAGCCGTGTGGTTGTAGCATCACCATCAATACAGAGCCTTATCACCGAAGTCGCGTAGTCTTGACAATCGCCCTGGCAGTATCAGTGGATAAGGATCTTATTCCTACTGTTTTCGTCAACAACAGCCCGAGTGGTCTAGTGGTATGATTCGCCCTTCGGGACACAGATCTCGGATCTTCAAGATTCTGTCTGGGCGAGGCCCCGCGTTCGAATCGCGGCCCGGGCCCACTTCTTTTTTTGTTTTTGCTAATTTCTAAGCTCGGAATTGCTAGTTTGACGTAAAGACTTTCTCGAAAGCAAGCAAGCAAGTGATTTCAATTTTGTTTTTTTTTTTATTTTTATTTATAAAAAATATGGAGGAGAGAACACATCCTGAGTCAATTAAAATTCTCTAAGCCTGCGCTCTTTCCTACTGCAGCATCCATCGGCTGCGCACGCGAAATCGATGACCCCCATGAGCCGCCTCAAACAATACGACCTCACCATAGCACAGGACAGGAAGCCGTCAACTCCCGGCTTATTGCAATTCCTTTAAATCAACGCAGAGGTTTGCAATTCGGAGTCCTTCATGTTTTAGTCTGGCCCTAGAATATGCAATACGTTAGTTATAACGCTGTTCTACCGCTCCGATATGTCCTTCCTTGATAACGACCATTTTGACAATAAGACTGTGCTAGCCAACTATTACATGTTTTGTCTATCTATAGCGGGCCGGGAGACAGTGCGTCTTTCTCCGAAGAATCTATCTGCGACATATGCAGGCCTATCATGCTTAAAACTAGACGCAATGGATCAAAACTAAGTTTCGAACACGCACGATGCTCACTTGGAGAATTTGGTAGACTAAGTAAGATGTTATTCATGCTACTTGCGCGTGATTTAAAAAAAGTTCTATAAAGAAGATAGAGAGAGAAAAAAATAGAACAGGCCCGAGCCGCGGATCGAACGCGGGACCTCGCGCAGGAGTGCTTAGGTTTGCCCTAAGCGCGAATCATACCACTAGACCACCCGGGCTGCTATAGGAGAAAGTTCTCTTTGAAAGATATAATAGTCAATAAGAGGAAACTTTATATTCAAAAGGGTAATGATTTCCAACTAGGGCTCCTAATAGATCTTCGCCCGCGAAAACCTCATAACAAGAATAGCTTTCTACCGATTACAGGAATTTTCCTAGCAAAGCACATCTCACAAGCCATAAATTGACGCAATTGTCCATGCTCAGACTTTTTTCAAGTTGTCTAATATGCCCTGTAGATTTGAAAAGCTCAACTCCGCAATGGTCTCTTGCCACAGCCTCTCAATTATCTGTTGACCCTCCGGAGTGTACAGAAATCCGGCAAACCTGAATTGTTGACACATTTAGCGAGTTCCATCAAGCGAACCATTGACTTACGGACTAATCTTCCAGCTCATGATGTAGCACCCGTGCGACTCCTTCCCCTTGAGAACTACGCCATCAATATAGGTCGAAGCGCCAACTCTCAAGGACCTTGCAGCGATGTGCTTCCATACTGTCATGAGCGCCGATCCCACAAGCGATAAATCGCGTGTAAGGCTCGTGTCTTTGACGAAACCGGGATCAACGAGATTGACGACCACATCATCAGCAGATACATAGTCAGCCAGCTTGCGGAGAAACATCATGCCAAGGAGCTTTGACGTGCTGTATCGATCCAATACATCAAAAAATATGGGGTCATCAAATGAGGAAAGGATTGGTGTGGCTGTTCGGCTGCGGAACTTGGCTTGGAAAGCAAGACCAGAACTGATGATTGATATCCGGCCAGGGCCTTCTGCGGATTTACTTTTGAGAACGGGTAGAAGGAGGACGCAGAGCAGCGTAGTCGAGATGTAGTTGACTTGGATAGTTTCTTCGTGGCCTGTGCCGGGTACGGGCTCGAACGTCATTTTCCTTACGCCGGCGTTCAGAATAGCGATGTCAAGACGTTCAAGCTGCTCGACCTGCGCAACGAATGCTTGTATCGAGTCGTAAGATGACATATCCAACTGGAATACATCTATGATCGTCTTGGGATACTTGGCGCGAAGAATGTCGGCTGCTGCTTCGCCCTTGGCTACAGAGCGGATGGCGATGATCAAGCGCGCAAGCCCTAGCGAGAGGAGTTGGTCGGAGGCTTCGAAGCCGAGACCTTGGTTTGCGCCAGTCACGATTGCCACTTTGCCAATAAGGCTGGTGCTTTCCGGAGGCCATGTGGGTTTGGCACGAAACTGACTTTTGAAGAAGATGTTCGGGAAAAATGGAGAAGAAATAGGCTCCATGTCCTTGGACAACGCCATGATGTTTCAAAGCCCCGACGCTTGTCGGGGATGTTCAAGATTCATGTCTAGGTGAGCAGAGGGAGCGGCCCGAAGCTCTATTTATCTTGCCCATCTGTTGCAATACTCTCACTTATCGCCCATAGATTTACATGTTCAGAACGTCAATGGTCACACACTAGAACGAATACGGCTGAAGCCATCCCTAAAGCGGCAAACAATTGAAAGTCTTGGCGTATGGTTACTCGCCGCCACTTCTCCACTCCCTCCCTGCCTGAATTTCCACATCTCAAGTACCATCCGCCATCAGGATAACTTGGCTTCATTGAAAGGTGATGACACCGCAAATCCGTCCAGGTGCCAGTCGGCGAAGAACCCGTGAGCAGTCAGCCAATTAAATTACGAAAATTAACCATATCAGCATCAACCTAATCTAGGTGAGGACGCAGTTGCTCAGGGCGCGCGAAGTTGATAGAGAGAACCTCCACGGTTGCACTCATTGATATGATGCCCAACAAAAGTGGATATAGTAAGCTTGATAGATGCGGACGTCTTTTGATTTGAGGAGTTTCTCACTTCGGCCCACTAGTGAATTTGCCTTTCATTATATCAACAGGCAGACAGGAAGCAGATCAAGAGACACGGAAACTGATCAGGAGTCATGTCATGCGTGGGAAGAATCGTGTCAAGCCTCGGAAAAAGTCTCGAACTCCTCTCCAAGGAGAGAAGCCAAACGGGGAATCTTTGGTAGCCAATGATCCTATCTGGCCCCCAAGTATCCCTAGACTGTTGTGCTCAAATTTCTCTACTATTCGCTTTGCCGATACCGTGGAGCCGTCCCTCATTGCAGATGCCTTGTTGTGTGAGTGTTCTTTTACATCTGTGTGTCCTACGCTGATCAAGGCCCATTATCAGTCTCCTCCATGTTTTCCAAGGCAATGTTCTTAGTAGATCAGTGCATCATTCCTGAAACAGCTGGAATGGCAGACGCTTGGTTCACGCCTATGCTCTTCGATGCAGCCTACTTGAATGCTGTTTGTTTTACTATCCAGACATACCTTGATGGTTACTTTGCACGGAGACGAAGTGCTGAAGCTCAGCGAAGAGATTGCGTATACTACGCGAAGACCATCAGAATTCTCCAAGAACGACTCGAACTCGACGGTAATAGAGTGAGACTTTCGGATTCCACTATTATGACCGTATTAGCTTTGTCGGGTCACGCATACACGGCGGGCAATTACGAGTCGGCAAATCATCATATCAACGGGCTGTTAAAGCTAGTCAGCATGAGGGGCGTCGGTACATTCACCCACAATACAAAGCTATTGATCGAAATCATACGGTAAGTTCTCGATAGTCTCTTGCGAGCTGGATACACTAAACAATTTGCGGGCTCCAGCTGCGACTTGGGCATGGCGATCGACAGAGGCTCAAGACCTCTCTTATTTGCCTCCAATAGTATCCCATGGACTTTAATGCTGACTTCCGACATTATGACTGTTCCTGGCGAAAAATACTCTTGGCGGCAGATACGTGGCGACCTGGGCCATATCCAGAATAGGCTCGACCCCGAATTGGCTACGGTGTGGGCCGCGATGTCAGAGTTCTGTGCTCTTATGAACGAAGCCGCGGAGAATACAAGGTTTAAGATATCTGAGGAGGCCTTCCTGCACAGCATGGGATCCATCATGTATCGTCTCCTCTATCAACGCTTTGAAATGGGCAGTCTCAACGAAACGGTCCGTCTGGGCCTGCTGGCATTTTCGTCTCCCATCTTTCTTCATTGGAATAGGGTTGAGTTGCCTGACCCTCAATTTACTTCCGCCTACCGAGAAGCTCTAGCGGCACTTGGCCGAATGGAATCTAACGTTGAACCTCGAGAGCGTCTATGGCTTTTGATGATTGGCGCCTTGTCAATGTACCATGAGCCAGATCGCGTTGCATGGTTCAGACCCTGGCTACGAATGGACATCAATCTGTGCGGCGTGTTTAACTGGAGTGATATGCGGGATTTACTAGGCTCTTTTCTATGGGTTGGGTTGGTATTTGACGCACTGGGTAAAGAGCTTTTCGAGTCAGTACTGTTGCAGTAGACATGTTGCAGAGAATTCCCACGAAAAATGTTACGTGTTGAATACAGTATTTTCTGTGCCCTTGTAAAAAGCTGTCTCCATTCTTAGACAAGAGAGATCAATCCGTCAGTGTACGAAGAGGAATCCGTTTTCGACTTCGACTATCACATTCTACTAGACCAGGCGTCAAGTCAGATGATGATCAGAGCAATCGTGAAAAGACGTCTATTATGTCAGCCCGGGTGGTCTAGTGGTATGATTCGCGCTTAGGGCAAACCTAAGCACTCCTGCGCGAGGTCCCGCGTTCGATCCGCGGCTCGGGCCTGTCTCTTTTTTGAATTTTGATATATATTTCTATATATATTTTTTACAACCCATTTGTTCTTATGACGATCGCAATTATTGCTGATCGATTGTTCCTGAAAACATCGCGACGGACAGGGCTGGTTCGCTGACTTTAAATCATCCGATTGTATATCTAGCTATCTGACATACGAACTTGTTACCTTTTATATATATACCTTTACTTTCCGCTTCGCAAGAACACGGAAGAGAGACAGAAGCCAGCTAGACCGATCGTCGCTGCAGTGCTTGCATCTACGTTTGTGCCTACACCAGCTAGCTTTATTTGCCTTGACAGTCTTTCCACGGCAATTAGCCTCGCTGTCTCCGCTTGACCTTCGCAACCACGTCGTGCAGGCGACCCCGTCCTCGAATTACTTAGTGTAAGAGATTCTTGATGGGTACTTGATCCAGGACAAGAATCTGAAATACACTGACAAGAAGGAGGCAAAGCGTTTCCAAGCTCTTAGTGACATCGGCCAATCCGACTATGGTTTGATGCCACTACGAAGCACCATGTCTGCTTACTAACTGTGTACAGTAATGTTTTGAGCAAGAATCCTTGTTGCTAATAATAGCCCGGGTGGTCTAGTGGTATGATTCGCGCTTAGGGCAAAACCTAAGCACTCCTGCGCGAGGTCCCGCGTTCGATCCGCGGCTCGGGCCTATTCTTTTTGTTGATAATTTTTGTTAGTCTATTTAATTCTTTATGATGGTTTAATTGATAGTAGTTAGTAGCAGTGGTAGTTGTTCTTGTATCCATCATATCCGATCTAGCTCGCTTGAAATATAGCATACAAGCAAGCTGCTCTCCATTCTCCTTGATGCAGTCCTTATAGCGGACAACGTTCACAAAGAATTACAACGGACCGTATCATATGATCTGTACCTCCCGTTCGGTAGTATCGACTTAGTTTTATGTATTTTTTTTTTTTACCTGGGATTCCGGGTCTGGGTAGAAACGCATCGCATTCTATAGCATGGCGAGAAAGAGATCTATCGAGTATACAAATCACGGAAACACCAACATGATGCAGCCAAACTCCGAAAAAACGTGCGTTTAAAAAAAGAAAAAGGAACATGAGATCAAAAATAACACAACTCACTTGGTGACCCGCTGCGACCGCCTTTTGGGTTTGGCCTGGGTCTTGGAGATGCCCTTGGGCTTACCGGTGGACTTACCGGTGGACCTGGTGATTTGCTTCTTTTGGGCCCCAGCCCTAGGAGGACTGCGATGCGACTGATCCGACTGGATAATGTACACGCGAGCAGGCTCGTAGGGAGCGGAGCAATCGTGGCTGACGTTAATATATTCCGGGATATCGGCCATGGACACATTCGAGGACGGATTCGAGGATGAGGGCAAGTCTAAAAACTGACTAGGTGAGAAGTAGGGCGTCGGAGCATTCGAGGGTGACGTGTGAACATCCTTCGGCGACTGCGCCAGCTCAGGAAAGTTCACCAGACTCAGACCATCATCACCTGGAACACCATCGGGCCACAGGTCGGGGTGGTTGGCGAGGAAGGATGATGGGTCGTCGAGGATCGAGTCGAACATGTTGGGGCTTTGGATTTTCTGCTGCAGAGGAGAACTATTCGCGTCAGGCATAGCATCATCAGGATTGTTAACATCAAGCAACATGGCATCATCGGCCGGGGACGTCGTGGGTTGTTGAGCTGATATGGATTCTGCAGCGTTCAGCAGCAGAGTGGCTAAGTCTCCATCGAGGGGTGAATTGGGATCTGGGATGAGGATGGGGGACAGTCCAGTGTACCGAGCCTCATAGTAGTTCTCACCGGTGCGAGGCAGAATGCGCGGCCATGGATCAAGGCCAGCCGAGGAAGAAGGTTCCGGTGCTCTGCGCCAGGGGGTGTGCTCTGTCAGGATCGGTTTGTTCTGCATCGAAGTACTCATCATATTGGTAACGGTCTGGGAAGCCACGTTGAGGACGTCATCGGAAGGATTCATGACCCGCTCGTAAAGGACAATCGGCAGACCCTCACGCAACCAATCTTGGGGCACACGAGAGTCCCTGTGGAAAGGCGGGATGTCACCCACAATGACGCCTGAGTTGTCTTGGCCGTCGTAGATGCGAATGTTGCCGGTATCCTCTTCACCTCGTTCGGCATCTGTCCAGTAAACTCGGACATGGTGATCTTTGTAGTAGACGCCGCCGAGCCAACGATAGGTGGCTACCTGGTGGTTTCCGTGCTCGTTCACATACCGAAAGGCAACAGCCTTAGTGTGGGAGATCAGCTTGATATCAATGCCGAAACTCATCACCAGTCGCAGGGGAAGGTCCTTGAACAGTTTGACCTTGGTGTCTCCCGTTGGTGATCCACAGTCTGGACATGGTCCACTGTGCTTGGGCCCATAGGTAGAGCGCTCGATAATTTCCGACACAGTAACACCGTACTGATCTAAGGGCTGGGATATAGGATACATGCATTGGCCTATCCTGTCTGTGGATATTGGGGCCAGGCCCTGACATGAACACGGAGTCAATAGCTCGGTGAAGTTGAATTGAAACTGGGCAAAGTTCCTTGTTGATTCCGCCCAAACAACCCAGACAGGGGTAGGAGCTCCAATAGTGAGACTGGGGACAATGGAGACCAGCTTCTTCCAAAAGGCGTCGCGAAGGTCAATAGATGTATAATCATCGTAGACATCCCAGTTCATATTGCAGGCTTCAATGAAAGCTTTCTCCAGTGTGGTGAATTGTGATTGCCAATCACCTTTGCGATCTGCAACAGTGCATCCAGCGTCGGCGAGGATGCCCAACGTGATCGCGGCGTCGATAGCACAGGAGCCGCCATTCCAGACCGGTCCCCGCCCGCGATACGGATAGGTGAGACCGTTCGGGTCGAAGAGAAGCTCAGGGGGCATCAACCTCACGGTTCTGGTGGCGGGAAACGTTGCAACCTGCATAAGGCGCAGGGTGTCCTTGTCACAGGCCGTTCTGGTAGGGAAAGGTGCTCGAGCTGGAGCGCTGGGATCCCGTTCAAGTTCGGAGTATGCGAATTTCATCACTGCGCGCTCCACTGCTTCGGTCACAGCCTGCATTTGAACACCAGGCAAACCTCCAGGTAATGTTCTAGACAAAGCTGCTGGAAGGTCTGCTGAAAGAGCTGTTGGTACGGTTGTCGGGATAGTTGTCGGCAGCAGTATTCCATTGGTGAGAGTAACCGGTAGAACCGTCCTTGGATCAGGACTTGGACTGTCGAAGCCGGTCTCGCCAACGTCGGGTAACGGAGGTATCTGAACACAGTTGTTAGAAACATGAGTGGACCTACCGGCGCGGTTACGTGTTGAATCGGGCGAAGGCGACGGTCGTGTTCTGCGTCTCTTGGCTGCCCGGGTTTCTCTCTGGGTGAATCCCGGGGGTTGAGTGCAGCGTGACATCTTTCTCTTCTTCGAGACAGCTGGAAGTAGAAATCGCTCGATGTAAATGTCTGGTAAGACAGACGGTGCATCTGCAGGTCGATGAAAGCCCGGTCCAGTAGCTCCCTTGAGGCTTGGGAGCTCTCGATGGTGTTGGCTGTAGGGGAAAGGACAAGGATTAGTGGTATATCTGAACAAACGGGGGCCAGAATCACGAGTAAAATCAAAAACCTCCGCCCAGTTGCGTGGACGATGCTCATCTGCCATATAGTAAAACAGTTTCCACAAGGCCTTGATGATTTTGGTGCCGGACGGGCGGAGGTACATGTCGAATCGAATTCCCCAGAACCAAAACTTGGCTAACGCAAGACAGTTCTCCTTCATGATGTGGCGGCCGATGCTGAAATCTCTGGCACACATCCCGAAGAATTTCAAATCCGCGGGTGGATCGGGCAGCGAAGTCATGTCGTAGAGTTTCTCTGGCTCGGGAGGAACATGGACATTGTCCTCACTCACCCTTTCGAAGAGTTCCGGGTTGTCGTCCAGGAATTGGTCCACACTCTCCATCTTGGATTAAATCCAAGGATGAACGGGAGGAACTGGGACAGTTGCAAGATGAGCAAGATACGCAAGATAGACAAGATTCAGAAAAGAACATAGACGATGGTGATGAATTCAACCGGGGGCTAACCGGGCTTTTAAGTATACATTGGTAAGACCGTCAAGGCCATGGCGGAGAATAAAGACAGTGCCGCAGAGAAGACTATCATATTGATCGAGTGAAAGAGAATAAAGGGGCCGACTCGGCTCCATGGCGTTGATGTCTCTCTTCGAAAAACACAGAACCCTTTGAGACTGTCAAAACAAAGACTTTGCAGTCTTTGTTTCTATAATTGACTTGTCAGTTCATAATCCTGGACGCTGGTGTCCAATAGGCTTCACGCCGAGGCTGAAAGTCGAAACAGACAAGAGAGACCCTCGTCAATGGGAATAAAGAGCATCAAAGGCAGCCAGTGAATATTGTCACAGCAGGGTCGACCAAGAAAACCAGATCCTTGTCGGGTCCAAGTATCAGACCGAACCGCGAGAAGCAGTTGGCATTTCTCCGTTGGGGATGATCAAAGAGTCCAGTCAGGATCATGGTCTGAGGGTCATTGCTGTAGACACTCTAGCTAACACCTTGTGTCCTGATAGCCCTGAAAAGAGATACGTATCCCCTGACATGACGACGTCGTCGAGTACATGGACATTCGAGTATCGAATATCCAGCGGGTAGCACAGGATCATGTGTCTGCAAAGTCCGGTCAAGCAATTCACCGTGGCAACTTACCAGCCATGTGCGGGAGATGCATTTTGGGTCCAAGATAGTACTTTATCCTGCTGATGCACGAGTCTCATGGAATCGGACGCCACGTTGGTTTCATCGTCGACCGTGAAAGAAGCACAAAGGCCAGTGTCGAGGGCGTAAGATACGGGTAAAATACGACAATACGAAGAGACACAAAACAAAAAGCACGTGACGTCTACATTAGGGTTAGCGCCGCACAAGCGAGCCGAGCCCACAACCGGAAAGAACAATCAGCGCTTGCCTTGACTTCCTCTTCTCCATCCCTCTCGTCGACAACACATCGCGATCCCATCGCGCCCATCGCCCATCATGTGTACGTGACCACTCTTCTCACCATGCTCTCGCCCCCTATGACCGCTCTCTGGATCTCCCCGGTCACAAGCGAGACCGGTCGCACCCATGCCACAAAATTGAATGTCCGGCTAACATGGATTTGTCGATGACTACAGCGCTCGTGTCCGGCGAGAAGACGAACTTCCAGTACATCTTGCGTCTGCTCAACACCAATGTTGACGGCAAGCAGAAGATCATGTACGCCCTGACCAAGATCAAGGGTGTTGGTCGCCGCTACTCCAACCTGGTCTGCAAGAAGGCCGATGTCGACCTCTCGAAGCGGTACGTGTGCAACAAATCCTTGAGGAATAATGCAATGTCTCCGAAGTTACGGAGAGGAGGGGATTGTGGATGGAAATGGTGTTGGGAGGGAGCTGGACAATTTTTTCCACCCAAAATTTTGTGTGGTGTGAAGAGTCGGAGACATTGCAAAAATTTCTCAACATTCCACAAAATAACAACCAGCTGACGGGGATATCTCACAATAGTGCCGGTGAGCTTACCACCGAAGAGCTCGAGCGTATCGTCACCATCCTCCAGACCCCGACCCAGTACAAGATCCCTTCGTGGTTCCTGAACAGACAGCGCGACATCACCGACGGCAAGGACTCCCAGGTCGTCTCCAACGGTCTGGACAGCAAGCTCCGTGAGGACCTGGAGCGCCTGAAGAAGATCCGCTCGCACCGCGGTCTGCGTCACTACTGGGGCCTGCGTGTCCGTGGCCAGCACACCAAGACGACCGGTCGCCGTGGCCGCACCGTCGGTGTCAGCAAGAAGAAGGGCTAAACTATTGTTGTCAGCGATTTTTACCGGGGATCTATTTTTGGGGGATTCCTTGACTGTCGGTGTGTTTCTGATGGGCATCCGGGGGACCTTTGCCTCGGTGGACTGGGGATTGTTGCCGGTCCTAAAAATGAAAATGAATCATACCACTATGAAATGAACCGATCTTCTTTATATGGTGTGTTGTAATCCACAGCCCTGTGTTTGGCCCGCGTAGTTGCCCTGTACCCACGTACTTGACCTAGGAAATGTCCCGTGTGGTTCATATGAAGGTTCAGTTCCCCTGTAGGACCCTCTACCTGTCTCAAGAGCAACTCGCTATTTCTGATTTCTGATAACATTCAACACAGATCTAAATGACTACACCCGGTCCATTAATATTCCAGATAATCTCAATTCAAATCAAACAGCTATATACTTCACGACATGAGCAAGCCATCAAGAGAGACGGCAAAGGTTTCAGATACTCTCAAATATCCCCAAAGGTCTTGTGCTCTAGCCAGTGTGTATGCAAAGAAAACCAGGCGAGATCAATAAATTCCACGAAACAGACAATAAGAGGCATTGATGTATAGGGTCTTAGAACCACTCGCCACCCAGCCAGCGGTTGAAGAACTCCAGGCTGGACTCGGGCTGGTCCATGGGGACCATGTGACCGCCGCCGTACAGGCGCATGAAGGTGAAGTTGCCGTGGGACTTGACCTGGCCGATCTTCTTGCCGGTGTGCTCGTTGTCCTTGATGACCAGGTCTTCCAGCTCGGCGGCCGCGAACTTGGACTTGCCGGGCCATTCGAGGGCCTCGGACCAGGCCTTGTTGCCCAGCCAGTTGCAGATGAAGTCGGCGTCACCAGCATAGATTAGGACTGGAATCTGCTCGAGGAGCTCCGGCACCAGGCGGTGGTAGGGCTTCATCCAGTCACCGTGGAAGAGGAAGTTGCGGTTGATGTCAAAGTTGCACGAGTCGTAGCCGTCGACCTCGGCACCCAGAGCCTTGCGCACCTCCGGCTTGTTGAGGTAGTCGCTGACATAGCCCATGCCCTTGTAGCACAGGTTGCTCTCGTCTTCGCACTTGCTGCGGACGTCGTAGACGTTCTGACCAGTGCGTTGATACGGGGCCAAGAGAGCGTTGTTGCAGTAGATCGAGGCCGGAACGCAGACCCAGGAGCTCTCGCTGTTGTAGCAGGACTCAATCATCTGCTGGCAACGTGGCAAGGCATTGTCCATGGACTGGCAGGAGCCCTCATCCAGAACAGCCGGGTAGCCACCGTCACCGCAGGCCATCGGGCGGTAGTACTCGTACTGGGTGAGGCCATCGGTCAGACCATTTCCGATGAGGACGGACTTGAGGTTGATGTTGCGCTTCTTGTGAGAAAGGATCTCGGAGGCGAAGACGGGAATGTAGTGACCGCCATAGGACTCGCCGGCAATGTGGAAGTCCTGAGAAGAGTATTGAGGGAACTGCTTGAAGAACAAGGACAGCAGGGCGTAGACATCTTTGCCGGCAGCCACGGTGTCGCTGACAGAGGACCCGCTGTAGGAGTAGCCAACGTTGACGGGTTGGTCCAGGAAGATCACCGAGGCGTTCGAGTTCCACGAGTAATCATTGTAGACTGCCTCAATCTTCTTGTTGATGGAGCTGGGGCCCAGCTCCATGAACAGACCGGTCAGCGAGGAGCAACCGGGTCCGCCGTTCAGCCACAGAACAACGGGGTCGTTCTCGGGATCATTGCGGGACTCAAAGAACCCTTTCACACACAATCAGTATTGTGTCATGCACACAAGGGAATAGAGGTAACTCACAATAGAACAGGTGCTTATCGTTCTCGTTATCGTCCAGATACCCACTGTACTGCTTCACATCCGGGTCGATCCCGAGGGCGCTGGGGTCCACCTTCTTGACACGCAGGTCGTAAGCCTCCAGCTTGCCGTCAATCTCACGTTCCTTGGCGCCACTCTCGCCAGTCACCCAGACGCTCTGGACATCAGCACCCCGCACGACGTGATCCCAGTGCGAGTCGGCGAGACGGGTGTGTGGCTTGGGCAGCGAGAGCATGGGGGCCTGTTCCATGGAGTCCGGGAAGTAGTTGGAGACCTCTTCCCAGAGCTGACGGGCCTCGTCGGACAGCGACTTCAGGCCATCCTGGATGTGCTCGAGAGGCTTGGAGAAGGCGCTGGTACCCTGCTTGGACCAGGTCTCCACCTGCTCCCTTCCCGCACCGAGGACCTGCTGGAGCGGCGGGGCAGCGGCGGAAGCTGCTCCAACCAGCAGCGTAGCGGGCAGAACTCTCATGATGGATTGGGGTCAGTCTTCGATTAGGAATAAAGATAATGAGGAGGTTGAGGATGATGAGGATGATGGATGGATGGGAAGTGGGAGGCGGCAGCACGATGACGCCGCCAGGCACTGGAGAAGTGGGCAGCCAATCAGCGTGGGGCTGAGTCATATGGCCCGCACTAGGCCGGATTAGGTGGATACTTGACCCGGTTGCATTTGCTCTCTGTCTTTCCCTCAGCTGATGTTGTCGATGATTACCTGCCGTCATGCCGATCAATCAACCCTCCAACCAGATCAAGTTCACCAATGTGTCCGTCGTTCGGCTGAAGAAGGGTATGGATGACTGGTCCCTTGTGGAATGCGTGGTCTGACTGACAGCCGCTGCTCTTCTAGGCAAAAAACGGTTCGAGCTCGCCTGCTATAAGAACAAGCTACTGGAATACCGGTCTGGCGCAGAGACAGATCTCGACAATGTCCTCCAAGTCCCAACTATCTTCCTGTCCGTGTCCAAGGCGCAGACAGCCCCGTCTGCCGAACTAGCCAAAGCGTTTGGTGCCGGCACCCCCGCAGATGAAGTGCGTCAGGAGATTCTGCGCAAGGGCGAGGTGCAGGTGGGCGAGCGCGAGCGCAAAGACATCCTCGAGCGAGTCGAGAAGGAGGTGCTGGATATCGTGTCAGGCCGACTAGTCGACCCCAACACTAAGCGCGTATACACACCGGGGATGATCTCTAAAGCGCTGGACCAGCTGAGTTCGGCCAGCGGACAGATGCAACAGCAAGGCGGCGAGACCAACGGGACGGACGAGGACAAGCCTGCTCAACCCAAGAAACCGCTGTGGACTGGAGTGTCCCCCAACCGGTCGGCGAAGAGTCAGGCACTCGATGCCATGAAGGCGCTCATCGCCTGGCAGCCAATCCCCGTCATGCGGGCTCGGATGCGCCTTCGGGTTACTTGTCCCGTATCGCTATTGAAGCAAGCGGTCAAGGCAGCCCCGGGCGCGGCGTCAAACAAGGAGAAAGAGGCCCCATCGGGCGGCAAAAAGACCAACAAGAAGGGCAACAAGGGGTCCAAGAAGGCCGCTAAGGGCGATGATTCAGACTTGGAAGCCGGCGGCTCCGAGGCAGAGGGTGCATCGAAGACGCCGGGGACGGTCAAGGACAAGATCACGAGCTACATTGAATCGATTGAGTCGCAGGAAGTCAGCGGGGATGAGTGGGAGGTTATTGGGTTTGCCGTTCCTGGAGCATACAAGGGATTGAACGAGTTCATCGGCAATGAGACCCGGGGAAGAGGACGTGTGGAGGTGTTGGATATGTCGGTGACACACGAGGACTGATTCGGAATGGGCGGTCTAGAAGCGATACCCTTGCCACCGAGGACATGTACATGAACGTGGCTATGATTTATGATACGCTACAAACAAAGACAACTGTTTTGTTCAGACAATAGTCTCGATTTGTTGTTTGCTGTGCACTATATCTGCAGCACAGACAGGGATTAACCAGCATCTCGTATACTAAGTTCTCCCGTGGAGTAAAAGAATAAGAATTATGCAGTGTTTATTGATATACCGATATTGTCGATCAGACAGTAGGGCTATATGGAAAGGTATTGTACATCAAGTTTAATATAGAGAAAAGGAAAGAACAATGCCGTGAACATCCAGGTCCCTAAAATATTGTCAAGAAACGAAAGTGCAGACCGCCTCAACAACGGAATGGGATCAAACAACTCCCACTCTACTGAGGTCAATGTTATCAGACCCGGTCACCAGCAGCACGAGATTCTTGCCGGGACCCAGTTCCCTCGCGAGATCGATGGTCCTGTTCACCGCGTGACTCGAGTCTAGGCCGGGCAGAAATCCCTCGTGGTGTTGAATGGTTTCAAATCCAGCCAGGGCATCCGCGTCCGTGGCGGTCGAGATTTCAATCCGGCCGCAGTTCTTCCAATGCGCGAGCTCAGGCCCCACGCTGGAGAGATTCAGGTCTGGTGAGATGGAATGTGAATCAATGATCTGGCCGTGGCTGTTCTGAAGCAAGTAAGTCCGCGAGCCCTGGAGGACGCCCACCTCGCCTTCTGTTAAGGCAGCTGCCTTTGCGGCTTCGACACCCACGAGGCGGATGGCGGGATTCTGAAGGAATGGTCTGAAGAGTCCGATGGCGCCACTCCCGCCGCCTACGGCGGTGATGACAGCGTCAGGTTGGCGACCAGCAGCATCTTGCATCTGGGCCGCGACCTCCTCGCCTAAGAGTCCCTGAAACGTTCGTGCTAGGGTCGGCAGAGGAGCTGGACCCACTGGGCTACCCATTAGGTAGTATGCCGTCTCGTGGTTACAGACTGAATAGCGCAACGCATCTGTGATAGCGGCGCGGAGCGTACCCAGACCCGAGGTTGCAAAGGCTGTTAGCACCTTAGCCCCCAGAAGCTTCATTTGGAGGATATCTTCCTGCTGGACGCGGCCATCGTCGGAGCCCATCATCACTACACAGCGCAGACCGAGGCGCGCGCACATGGCCGCCGTGAAGTTGCCATGCTTGGCCGATGCACAGTCGGTGACAATCTCATTGAAACCCATACGGCGTGCCAGCAGCAGCTGACCGACAATGTTGCGCGTCTTGTGGCTGCCATACTCGTTCTGGTCCTCGCGCTTCAGCCAGATGGTGGCACCCCCGGCCAGGTCTGTGAGCTTGCCCGCCACTTGCAGTGGGGTCGCTCGCGTTTGCTGAACACTAGCATACTCAGCCCAGAATGACGGGTCCAGGATGCTCTCTTCGAAGAACGAGCTGAGCTCGTAGAGGAAGCTCATGATCGACTCAGGGGCGAAGCGGCCCCCAAACGAGCCATATCCACCGAATGAAAGGTGTGGAGGCGCTTGGAGCGTACCATCCTCCTGCAGGATTGGGATGTATGTGCTAGTGTCGAGCGATGGCCAGGGAAACTTGGCCAGCACCTCGGAGAACGAGGAAGGACTTTCAGTGGTCGTTGAACATTCTGTGGGCTTAGTGTCTGCAGATGAGCCTGCAGTAGTAGAGGTACCTGAGCTGACAGTACCGGTCAAGCTGTCCAAGGGTGAAGCTGGAAGAGCCCTGACTAGAACAGGCAGCTGTGAACGTGAGCTGGGGCGCGGAAGACATGTTGTTTCAGTGGCATTGGCGCTGTGCGTGGCTTCTGAGACCGGATCGTCGCTGATGGAAGTATGAGGAGACGAAAAGCAAAGCAGTCCGCGCAGAAACCGGAGCATGATGAACCTCGTCTCCAGTAGATCTTGAAACCCGAACTTGAAGTACTTGAAAAGAAAGTCAACGATACTCGAGCAGGTTGGCAAAAAGCTGGGTTATCAGGTCCTTGAACTAAACTAAACGGCGATATCCTCGGGCATGTACCACACGTGCATTGAAAATGAGGGTGATAAGCGTTCCTCTTATGGAAAGAGGAGAGGATAAGGGCCGTTAAGGTGAATCCTGCTTAAATAGACCCTTCCCGGTGGGTTTCTTGTTCCAAGATAACGTTCAGGCCGCGTGCTGATGAGTCTCGCGGAGGGGAGTCTATTTCCATCCGGGCATACCCTGGAATGGACCCATCTATCCCAGTGGCGCGTCCAGCCAACCAATAATGCCCAAAGGACGGTATGGTTCGAGGAAATTTCGTACTTTTTCTCTTCACTTTGGTATACCAGCCATGACCTCATCTGTTCATGCCAATTGCTTTTGGTCTGAGCAAGTGACCCGTAGTTCCTACATATCTTTCCGACAGAATAGCCAATGGTAGGAGAAGTTGGAGTTTGGTGGCAAAGTAGAAGAGATATTTCATGGCCACTTGCAAGCTGTATAGATAGCACATAGCGTGTCATAATGTGCGGTGAGTATCGTATCATGCTATGGCGTCAAACTGTTCTCCACTTTTAGGTAGACGAGATGGGTACCTGACATTGGCAGCACAAGTCTGCCACATACTGTCATTCATGTTCAGCTCCTTGGATTGAGATTTAGATCTAGACTTGTAAAATTATGTTTTGTTTACTTTTCTTACTATACAGCGACTGACGAACTACTCTTTAGGCTGCGAAGTCGTTCCACCCCCAAGTGTATCCTACCGTCTATTATATTTAAGACAAATTGAAGATAGTTTGTGTAACAATCGAGTTATCCTAGACTTTATCTCTTGATCCATACGGTCTCTAATCGAATCCAGAAAGATGCCGAGTTCAATGCCTGAATAAGCCACCATACATCTGCCCCGTTCATGTTCTCAAGCCATGAAGCAATTGACATACACCGCAGGAAAATTAAAACGAGTAGCATACAACCGTGTCATCGCTACCACCCTCTGATGTTCAAGCCCGGACCATCGATTTAGGGCGAGATAGATCATGTGACTACTACATAAGGTTGTCGATCGAACTTCATCGGAGACTAGTTCATTCGGGGGTGATCCATGGGACAGTGAAATATGGCAGATAGGGATCGTGATCCGCAGCTTGATAGGGACTGACACTGTCTGGATAGATTGGTGCCTCCGGACTTGTTCATATCTATGTCGCAACATTGACAACATGCAGATAGTTACCGGTGCCGTCGTTGGCGAATAGCATAGCGGGATCATATGTTTTATCTTTCCTGTTATCTTCGTACTTCAATGAAAAATAATGATGCTTAAAGCCTTTTTATATAGGAGTGCAATCCCACAGTGAAAACGCATCTACTCTACACCTCTCATAGTCCGTAACCCGATGATCTGTTGCGGCATATGCATTATATCCCTAGTGGTTATAAAACACAGCTATATCAACGGTCTAGATGTTGTCGAATGAAAGTCACACTTTACTAGATATAAGCAATCAAAGGTATGCAAAGGTTTTTCTCGACTGGCACTTCATGTCCCTGAGAGTATTGGCATGCTTATTAAGACCCTTCGACTTGAACAAGGAACGAGGGTTGAACGCAGCGGCCTGAAGCTATACTGCAACGAGCGAGAGATCGTCGGTTTGGGAGCTTTAGAGAGGCAAAGCCAAAGCCATTGATAAACGCGAAGGAAGCCGCCAGAGTTGTAGAGAAAACTTCCCAGATCACCTCTTGACAAGGGGTCTATTTTGTTACAGCATAGTTTGCAACTCGATGGCATGAGCACTCGATCCCTATTTGCCATGCTTGTTTGAGACTGAAGTTGTACATATCGATGAATTTGGCGTACGTGTGCCAAGACTCACCTCTGCAGTATTCAGCGCTTGTTCTTATTCATAACGTGATATGATAACTGCATTATAATACATATTGTATGTCACACCAACTCATGCTGTTGAGGCGAAGACTCATGAGATTGGGAATTTGTCTCGGTGAAATAAAGATATTCAGGAGTAGCCGTCCCCAGCACGTAGGTCGCTGGTGTGTGAGCATCTTGCTGTAATGGAGACCACACTTCTCCCCGATTGTTGTCATCAGCAAAGTAGAGAAAGCCGGCCTTTGGAGAGTCGAGGACCCAGTTGAAATCGACATCGGTTGGCTCAACAGCCTTAACAACTCCGTCAGGCAGGTCGTCATAGAAGAGGGCTATCTTGGCCGTGTGGCATATTGTAGAGGTTTCGTAGGCATTGCTCTCATCTTTTGAAGAGCCAAAGTTAGTTAAAGTCACTGTATTGGGCGGGTAGTTGTAAGACTTACTCAATGGGACGCAGGTACCATCGTGATATTTCCCAATGGGAGTGTCGCTTATACCATTGCAGCCCCAAGCGAGGAGAAGTTGAACGAAACAGTAGTAGATATCATCGCCATATGCGGCTTTAACAAGAGTTGCAGCGCCCTCGTTGGGCTCCTTGATTATGGTGGTTGAAGGATCTTGTGGATCAGAAAATCGGGACAAAGCAAGGGTCCCACTGACCGCCAGAAACGTGGTAGCGGTAAAATACGTTAATAGCATTGTCGTAAGGGAAGAAGTAGTGAAGGTGGAGTGATAGAGAGGAGTGGAATTGCTCTGGATTGTTATTGTTATTAGGGCACGAGAAAAACGGGCGGAGACTCTTTTAATATGGTTGCTGAGTACTCCGTTTTTATTATTTACCCTTGCCCTAGTTATAAAGTGGATCTCAATAAGATTCAAGAACAAAATGATTGGCAATTAATGAAAGCTAGCGACGTGCTTTGGGGCCAAATAACGACATTCAACACATCATAGCAAGGGTCTTGGCACGCCAACTCCTACTTTTGGAAGCGCGCGCCTTTCCGGCCAAAGAGTCATTAATAAATGACTTCTATTTGGGGCCGCCATGCTAGGTCCTAGGGGCGACACATAGCTGACCTAATAGGAGGGTCCATTTGATGCCCCTGTGGGATCAAGTATTGGCACTTGAAGCGGCACTCTTCATGGTACTGCTTGCGAGATTCGCGTTACTCTCGATCTCTTGCACGACTGATGCTTTTTTGTTTCTCTGGGTAACACCAGCTATAGACGGTGAATTCATCCATCTTCAGATAGTACTCAGCTGTTGAAGGAACTTAGTGTTGGTTAGGTCCAACGGCCCCTGTTATTATTTTGAGTTTGCCGGCTGGTTAGTTAAAAACGGCCACCCCGGTGACCTCATGGCTAAATGTTTGTAAAGACGATTTTTTAAAGTCAGTTTTGTCTAGATGTGATGATGCATCACTAGAGAGGCTTGCTTCTCTTGCTATTATTATTCCGGAACCGTATTTAGGACAGGTCGAAATTTAACTGCCATGTATCGCAAAGACGAACTACACTCCCAGGGGGGCTATTTTAGCTCTTCCCTTGGTGATCCTCCTGTATACTATGAGCCAATAGATAACATTTCCTAGGTGCTGTACCGTATTAAATCCGAAATACACTTGTACACCTTAGACCTGACCGCGAGCAGCGCGTCTCTCTTAACGCAACATCCCGAATATGAACATCAATATCTTCCATCGCGAGCAGCAACTTGGCCACACCAGCGTGTCCTTCCCTCGCCACAGTAACTAATGATGTGACGCCTTCCCCCAGTCTGGAGGCCCAAGGATTCTATTCTGTTGGACTTGTTCATGCGCAAAGATCGCACCACGGCCCCTGGGGTTTACATCGACCCCATCGACAGAAGGCAGCAGTCGCACCACCTCCTCTTGGCATTGTTGAAAGACTTCTTTCTTCCGTGGCCGGTACCTGGACGTTGATGTTTGCCCCCATCGAGAGCTTTGCGCTCTGTTCGTTGGTTTCCATTCTTGGCAGCCCGGAGCAATGCAGTGTCTGCGGCATGACGCCAGACGCACCGGTTAGGGAAAAGGCAAAGTCGATGACATGTTTGTAGATGTCGATATTTCTTTTGGCGGTAATAAAGTCGGCTAAATAAAGGATCGACTCTGTTGGAAGGCGGATAATTATGATTGGATTTTCAGAGATACTTCCTGAGGTGGAAGGTGGAAGGCAAATCTGGACGAGGGTATGTGTATAGCGCGAAGTCGGTTTGTGAGAATGGCAAATCAGGGGAGGAAACACTTCTATTGTTTGAGAAGGATGGCATGGGGTATAAGGCTGGGCCTCAGTGAGGCAGAGGTGTCTTATACAATGACTGTCATCATCGCTGCCTGATGAGTGGCGGACAATCTATACGGCGCATTTCCAGTAGCCGCACAGGCATACTACTACATACAGCATTAAGGGCCAACTTAGATATGCAGAAGATGCAGATAAGAAATCACAGTTTTCGCCCAGAGCGGTACACGAATGATCATTGCCTTGTTCATCAATGCCCAGACTGACGTGCTTCTCTGTGGAGTCCAGATCCGGGGAAGATGCTTGGCCTGCGGGGGTTACACATGTCTAGACTACTTTAATTCTACTTTTATCCGTGAGCTCTATTTTGTACTTGCAATATCATTTCTATACAATCTATAATCTATGAAAAGATAGTTTAGATCGATCGCGGACTTGCGAGAGCCCAGAAAGGGACAGGCGCTGCTTCATGGGACAAAAAACCGGCAAACCAGAATTCTAAGACGGGTATAAACGCTCAAATGCAAATGCATGACAGACGTGTTTCCACAGGGGAAGAGAATCAACTCCTCGTCCTTGCACACAGACTGCAGGGATTGTGTGCCGATCGGACTTGGCCGACGGCGTGGGGTCGTTACTCGGATGTCCTGTCGAGGATTGAACGCCCACATTGTCCCACCTGGGGGATCCAAAGATAAATAAAGGAAATGCAGAAACGAATAGACATCGAGTGGGTAAGATGACGAAGACCGATCGCCAGGATGTGATGGAAGAAGTGAAGAAGAGGGTTTACGCGCAGATCTGCACAGCAATCAAGGCGCGTGTCAGGTCCTCCGGCGCGAAGGGGAGCTGCTTTCCTCGCGGTGACAGGCACGGCGAGATGATCCGGGGCGTCAGGGCGTACATGGCGGGCGAGGTGAAGCGGATAGACTCCTTAATCTGGGCAATCGGGTCGTCTGGGAGGTCGTAGAAGGGGGCTTTCTCCGGGACAAGGGTCTTGACCGAGGCGGTCGCTGAAGAACCGTAGCTCTCCAGGTCGACGATGGTGGAGGACTGCGAGACAGCAAACGACGAAGGAGCTACGCGGAATGTGGCGTCAGAACGGAGTGTGTCGGAGAATCGACGGGAGTCTGAGAGCAGAGATAACAACTTACCTGAGTCGGCTATCTCGTCCAATGAGCACTCGGCCTCGCCGCTGTCGGGACCATCACAGCCATCATGTCGATTATTGGTGGCGCAGGGTGAGAGAGCCAGGTCGTCGCAGGACCGTGATCGCTCGACACAGGCACCCTCAAAGGACCAAGCGGCCAGGCTTTTCTGGTGGGCCTTGTCAAAAGGGCCACGGAATTTAGACGGCGGGACCTCGTGGCGACGATAGTATTCGACCTTAGGCTTGTTCTCGGCACTGCTCGAGGAGGAAGGACGGAACACCCGCCTCACTCTTTCACGGAAAGGCATGGCGAAGACCACGGAGAAGAGAAGTCCGGGGGGGGAGGACGATCACAGATCAATTAATTGTGCGATGCAGACCACTCCCAGACGGGGAACAGCAACACGACGGACGGCAGAGATGAAGGGAACAGAGTATAACCATTCTCTTCTTGATGGGAAATTGAGTATACAAAAAGAGGACCAAGTTGCAATCGAGGGGGGGCGAGGGTTCATATGGGCCAGGAGATAAGGAGACCCACGCCTCTCTCTCTCTAACTGGGGAAGACCATCCGGGCCACATCCGGTGTGCAAGAACGGGGTGGTAGCAGGAAACCCACTGGATGCAGGATTATTGGTGCAGCCCGCCCTTCGCCTTCGGCCGGGACTGAGTGATATCCCAGTCCCCCAGCGATCTGATCTCCTGGCCCCAAGCCAGTTGAGTTAGGGCTTACAACGACCGACGCCTCCCCCCAACCCTATCGCAGAAACGATCCTCGGTGCAGGATTCAAACCGTGGCGGAGGAGTGCGAGGCGTGCTGCAGCGAAGAATTCCAGAAGTGCTCGGCAGTCCAATCCGATCGGCGCCACGGCGATGCCAGACCCGAACAGTTACATCATGGTTGGTTGGTCCCCTTTGACGACTCCCTCGCGTGTCTCAGTGCTTGTGTAGTTACTGGACCCAGGGTTGCCCACCCGCGACGTCAGCTCGCATCCACGCATCACCGAATGCCGGAAGGGGTGGATGCGGACAAAACCGGGAAGTGCCCAGTGCGCCCCATTCGCCCCCCAACAAAAGGGCCGCTCGGCACGCTGTTTCCGGTGATGATGGGCGTTTTGGATCATAGCACACCTAGTTAGCAGCAAACCATTCATCCCGGCCGGCTGGCCCAATGGCAAGGCGCTTGACTACGAATCAAGAGATTGCAGGTTCGACCCCTGCGTCGGTCAAAATTTTTGTTTTAGTTTTGGACACACGCGAGGAAAGAAGAAGATGCGTGTCGGTTCATTTTTGGGGAATATAATATATATCACATAAATGAAAATGTACTAACAACTACAAGAATCATCGTAAGAAGCGGGCAGCTATGACCCTCTCCCGTCCGCCACCTGCAGGAATGTCGGATCTTCCCCAGATCGTCTGAGGCTGACAGGGGCACGAACCCTATTACCCGATTCGGCATTAGTGCTGCACACGACAGGCACCGATGCGGAAATCTGTTGTGGCCAAATGCGATCGCTTGTTGATTGAATGCAGGAACGATGGAGTGGTGTATCGTGCCAGGAAGGATCTCCGCCAACTATGATGGATGCGTCCATCCGGGTGTAGACGTCATCCCAAACAAATACAAAAATAGCCATCAGCGGAACGAAAAAGAATAATAATAGAAGTCCGGCAGCAGATCCTAATACGAATTCATTCTGACCGTCGCTGTCTTCGCCATCTAGAACACACAGAACCACGGGTCCTGGGCAGCATACCGGATCGCCATCCCTTACTTGGCCCACCCATTCTGCCACCTAACTGTTCCTCTTCTCTTCTCTTCACACCTTCACACCTCACTCCCTCCCCCCATTCTCCCATCTCCCACAACCGTACGTTCCATCTCCCATCCATTGCATCGATGCGTGTGTCTGCGCCGTTACGCGCATTCTGTCGTCATCTCGATGTGGGCCTGACCTGACCTGACCTGACCTTCCCACGCAGAACTCCTTCCCACACCGACTACAGCACCATGCCTAAGAAAGGTGGCAAGAAGAAGAACAAGGGCGGCAAGGGCCCCGCGGCCGCCGCTGTAGACAAGGTCGCCGATACTGCAAAGCACATCGTGTAAGAACCTCCTCGCAAGAAAAAAAAATCTTTGTGTGTGCATGCCCTCCTAACTGCTTTGCAGCCACCCCGGTCATGAGGTCGAGGACAAGGTCATGTACGGTGAAGGCAAGGGCGATGGCGTCTCCGAAACCCCCGCTGCCGCGACGCAGACTGCTGAAGGCGCTGCTCCCGAGCTCAGCACCACAACGCCTGCCACGGCTGGCCCCGCTGTGACCGAGACCAAGCAGGCTGAAAAGGAGGCTGAAAAGGCCACTCCGAAGGAAAAGGGCACCCTGCAAGAAACCGTGGATAAAGCGCAGGCCTCCAAGGCTGGTCAGATCGGCAAGGTGGACGGAGGTGATGCCGAGGGAACTGGTATATCGCCCCAGACGGTCGTATTGCGAGTCAATTGATGCTGATTGATCATGATTTAGCTGTTCTCCCTGAGACAATCTCCAAGGAACCCTCAATCCCCGCCGAGACCTACCCTTCAACCTCTGAGATGGCCGCCGAGGAGCCCGCCACCTCGACAGCAGGCCCGGCTGGAGCTGCCGTGGGCACAACTGCCTCGAAGACCCCAGGGTCGACAGCAGTGGCCGAGAACCCGGTTGAGGCGGATGCACACGCGAAGCGTCCGTACGAGAAGCCCATCTTCTCATCGGACGAGACCAAGCCGTCCAAGATGGCCAAGCACGAGGAGGAACAGGCTCGCGCCAGCGCCGCTCTAGACAAGAAGACCCTGGCTGGTGCTGGTCCTGCTTCGACGGCCGCGTACACAACCCCGGAGCCGGTTCCGGTCAAGAAGGCCGAGGAACCAGTCAAGAAGGCCGAAGAACCCGTCAAGAAGGCCGAGGAACCGGTCAAGAAGACCGAGGAAAAGAAGGAGGTCAAGAAGGCTGAGGAAAAGAAGGACGGCAAGACAAAGGCTGATGGCAAGGCCTCGCCGCAAGCCGTCGCTGCTGCCGCTGCGGCTGTCTCTTCCTCCAAAGGGTCGGAAAAGACCGGTGCCGCTGCTCCCGAAGCGGAGCTGAAGCAGCCTGAGCCGGCGCTGAAGAAGGGTGATGAGCCCAAGGCCCATGCGCCCATGACGGATGCCGTCAAGGAGGATTCCGCCAAGGCGAAGGACGCGAAGGAGGCGAACGACGCAAAAGAGGAGCCCAAGAAGACCGAGGCCGCCGCCGCTGCTGAAGCTGCTGAGAAGAAGAAGGGCGGATTCTTTTCCCGCCTGAAGCGGATGTTCAAATAGACGGTTACTGTGAAATGCTTGATGTACGATACGCCTAGGCGATGTGAGGTGTGATAGGATCGGGGGTGTTTTTTGTTTTGAGTGTGGGTTTTTGTTAAAGATACACCAGTTGAAATTATATATCATAGTGCTTAATCACGTCTCCTCTCTGAGCCCTTTTTTTCACCGCTCCCCAAGACATTCGGGGCCGTGCTCATAGGAGGCGCGGATGGATTCTCGCTAGAGCAAGCTTTTCCTATGTGAGGATTGATCGACCAATCGTGCATTATTATTGTCTTATTCGGAGATATATACAGTTGATGGGGCTCGGACCAATTCAGAATAAATCCTGCGTCTCCTCCACCAGCGCCAAAAGCGTCGAAGCCAGACTCTGCGCAATCTTCCAATGACTGATACGATTCAACAGATCAATAATGCGAAACAACGACCCCGTAGCCAGACGCCTGGGCAGCAACCCACGCGTCTGATCAGCAAAGAAGCCCATCCCATCAACACCAGGAAGCAGCAACTCCGCGAAATGTAACGAATCTGCCGCTTCAACGGTGACAGGATCCCCTCCGGCCTCGGCATCGCCCGCAAAGCACATAAAACACGACCAGACCATGCCGCAGTAGTACAAGCACATGGGGACATGGATCGACGACTCTGCGCCAGCAGGCAGAGACTCAAAGTCCTTCTGGATCAGCAGCGCGTGCAAGAGACAGCGCTTCGCATCTGCGGACCGCACCCAGGATAGCGCGTAGGCACGGTGCCGCTGGGCTGCGTCGGCGCCGTCACGGCCACAGGCGCATTCTAGTGCGTCGATGTCGGCATGGAGGAGAATGAAGACCGAGTGCCATAGCATCATGAGGCAGACCCAGGACGGCTTGCCTTGTTGACTGCGGTGGAACTGGGTGTACCATTTTGTGAGCAGGTCGTGGCAGTTGGTTGTGCTGGTGGGTGAGGATGGCCAGGCGGTGTTGGCTTCGCGCTGTTCGCAGGCTAGAGCGCTGATTGATTCGAGCATCCCGGAGAGGGCGAAGTCGCCGGGCGTGGCGATGGTATCGTTGGGGCTTTGGGTGGTTGTGGAAGAATGCAGCGGATAGTCTGATGAGGTGCGGTGTGTCGTTTGTGTTTCTAGTACGAGTGTTTTCCAGTGGAGCGGATTGGGTGCAGTGAAGAGCTCGTTGGATGAGATTTGGGGAAGTCGATTAAGTGAGTGTCGGAGCAATGGTTCATGGTGATGGAGTCGTGCGAGTTCGGCGTCATGGATGTGTAGGCTCAAGACGATACTACAGGAATTAGCTTGTGGAAGACGTTTCATGGGTTAGAAAATATATAATTACCGCTTTTTCACTTCTGCCTGAATCCAGTGCATCCATGCATTCTCCAGTGCCTCGCCTGTTAAGTCGACAATATTGCATCCCGAGGGTTTGGGGTGGAAGAGCTTTGCTCTTCGCGCCCACTGAGTCGGGTTAGCAATGATTCATAAAGATGATAGAGGTGACCTCACAGAGACAATACTTCCGTGCCACATTTCGATTCCAGCTAGATCTTTGGGTCTCTGGAATACGTTAGGTCGAGATCTGTAGAAATATAGTTTCGACAAGAGCCAACTTACACCCAGCAGCAGACCAAAAGTCTGTGCTATAAGAACAGCCTGGAGAGCTATAAGAGATGACGACCCTGGCTTTACATAGGTATCCCACTGGTCAAATTAGCAAGCTGTAGTTAGAGATTTTGAAATAGATGGAAAATACCGAGGCCAGAATAGCTTTGTTAAGCCTTTCGAACATGCTAATGCCATGCGTGGTCGCTCGTGTCGAGCCGACAAATAGACTACCTGCTGAGCAGATGGAGAGTAAAAGCACCGAGTTCTGAATACCGGGTCGGAAGGTAGGCATATGTACCACAGGGAACAGAGGGTGAAATTTGGAAAAGTAGGCTTGGATACAAAGATCCTGTATTGAGGGTTAGAAACACTCCAAAAACAAAACGTGATGAACATACCAGAAACGGAGTCGAAGGGAGAATCCCATGTTGGACACGGGGCTGAAGGCGCTCAGCTAGTCGTTTGCGACAGGGTTCGTCGATGAAACTGCCCTCTTGGGATACAACAGGGGTCATCTGGCCCGAAAAAGTCTCGGAGAATGTATGCCATTTTCTTTGAATGGCATTCGCCCGTCCTTTGACGATATCGCTGTCCATACTCGATATGGACTGTTCATGGAGCCGGAGAATACTCGGTTCAGGTATTGACTCAATTTCGGGCGCAAAATCAGACGTCGCATGAAGCAGAGACAGGTTCACAGCATCCAAGTCAAAGTCATCTCCGGTGAGTAGAGTCTCCCATTCTTGGTCAAGCTGGTAGTCCCAGAGCGCGGGCTGTGGACTACCCTGATTCCTCCAGGTATCTCCTGCTTCTAAGGGAAATAACGACGCAAGCGGAGTGATTTGGGTACCGCAAGTGCTGCTTTCCTCATGGCCGGATAGATTTGGTGTCTGTTTGTCGAAGGAGGTGCTGTTTGGAGGGGAGGCTGGAACAAGCATATTGCCCATCGACCGGGAGTCTAGCTGGAGAGACATAGGTAGAATGGGTTCCGCGATTGGGACTTGTGGAATCAATTGCTCCGTGTCCAGATCACTCCCATGACCCGGAGTGGCAGATACATAGTGCAATTCCGGCTCTCCGCGGGGCTCATTGCTTGCTGAATGAGACCGTGAGTGTCTCAGGAGAGTGTCCCTGAAGATCAATGATCAGTATTAACAATAATAGCCAATACCATAGACACTTACTGTCGAGCAAAAGCCTTTTTACAGACGGGACAGTTAAACGGCTTCTCCTTGGTATGCGACCTGAGATGCCTCGCCAGATGCTCGGCCTTCTTGAACGCCTGCGCACACACAGGACACACACGTTCTTCCTTGGAGGTCTTACGTCGCCGTCGGCCCTTCGTTCCCACGAACGGCGATCGGGACCTGGCTCTGGTGTTGTGGAACATGGCAGCACATAGCAGTTAGATAGTGTCTAACGACATGTCCGGGGAAAGTGGCTTGGACGTCAGAATCTCCCCCGCAGTCGCAGTGGCGATCGACCTGGCGAGATCCATCGATCTGACACAAGAAAAGTGATGTCCGACGCATCCCCGGCATGCTCTGAGGCGTAAATCCGCCTCGCCTAGGCGATATGTGGGGCCTATTTTGCGGGACCTTCGGAGGTTACTGAACTGTTCAATTCCGTCTGGATTCTTTCTTGCTCTAACTAATAATGGCGGATTCGGTTCTTGGTCGCTCCGACGCCCTCGATCTCCACTTCGACAATGTCGCCGTCTTTCAGAAATTCTTTCCGGAAATATCCCACGCCTGACGGAGTCCCCGTCATGATTAAAGTGCCTCGTCGGAGTGTAGTCCCGCGGGACAGATGACTGATAATCTGTCGGACACTCCAGATCATGTCGCCAGTGCTGGTCTTCTGCCTGACCACCCCGTTGACCTTGGTGGTCAATTGTAGTTTCTGCGGATCGGGGATATCCCGAGCAGCAACGATGGCATGGCCAATAGGGGCGAAACCGTCGAATGATTTTGCGTAGCAGAATTGTCCTCCCGAGGCCTCTGGGACCTGGAAATTACGAGCAGACACGTCGTTTCCGGCCGTGTAACCAAGAACATAATCCAATGCGTCTTCCTCTGATACGTTCTTGGCGTCTCGTCCGATCACGACTGTGAGCTCGCCCTCGTAGTCGAGGAGCTCGTGTGCATCAGGGTGGATGTCGATTGCATCAAAAGGGCCAGCAAGAGCATCAGCAGGCTTGGTGAATACTGTAGGATACTTGGGAACCGGCAGCTGTGCAAAGATCGAGAATGTCAGTGCGAGCAAATGTGTGGAGAGCGAAGCCACTAACATTTGCTTCCTGGGCATGCTGCTTATAGTTCAGTCCGATGCAGAGTACAATCGGTGTATTTTCAATCGGCGTCTCGAGCTGTACTAGAATCAGTACAAATAAATTTAAACGTATCTACTGAGCCTTACTCTGTCGATTTGGACAATCTCTTCTGTCTGCTCCAAAGTCGTGAACGGTGCTCCCTTCAGTTTTCGGACAGTGTACTTGTTGTCGGTCACTGCAAGCAGGTCGCCATAATGGGCTTGAGAGCCAGTGGAGAACCGCACGAGCTTTTTGAAAGCAGCCATAACTAGAATGTACGAGGAAAATTGTAATCAAGTAGGTTCGGACATTATATACGCCGTAAGTGTGGGGAATATCGCGTGTTTATCAGATTGAGCTGGATGTGGGATCAATGTGGCCCTGCACGCTAGCACGACATAAAAGATGATGGAACCCGAGAAATCCTGAGCTCATACCCCGAAGTCCAAGTTTTCGAGAGAATACTATCTCCTCAGTCTTCCAACATGACCGCACCTGCAGTCAAGCCCAACCGCGGCGCTACGGTGCCAGACGTGGTCGCAGTGGGCGATGCTCAAGAATCTCAGTCGAGCTGGCTGAACAAGCAGAATATCAATCCAAAAACCCGTATTAATCTGGAGAAACTGTCTCACATGCGCTATCAGCATCCCAATCTTGACGAGATTAGCCAGTTTATGCTTGGTATATTACCGGCCACTCCTACAAGCTCGAAACGTCGATCTAACCTCCCTAGACTTTGGAATGCAAATTGTAAAACAGACAGAAAATGAGATCTGGTATCGAGGATATGGTTCAGACCACTATGTCTACTATGCGCGCAAAGGGCCCAAGCAGTTTTTGGGTGGTGTTTTCGAAGCCCAGACTCAGGAAGATTTCGATAGGTGAGTGTCATATGGTTTTTTGTCCTATTACTATCTGGCTAATCAGGTATCTAAAGGGCAACAGACTTGCCGACTGCAGGCTTAGTCCAGGATTTGAGTGATGCTCCTGGTGGAGGATCGTTGGTCACGATCACTGACCCAGAAGGATTCCCTTGCAATATTATATTCGGACAGAAGCCAACGGACACGCAAGTGTCCCACCAGGAGAAGATTGTGTTAAATTACGCCGGTGAAAAATCTCGCCGACGCGAGTTTAATCGATTCGAGCATGGCCCTGCGGCGGTGCACAAGGTATGAGGACCTCGCTGTTGACTATCCAGATTGTTACTGACTCGCTTCATAGCTTGGTCATTTTGGACTCTGTACACAGAAATTTAATGCGCAGCTTGAATTCTATACGTCCACATTCAACATCGTCCCAACCGACCTTCTATACATCGAGAAAGACGGCGAGAAAATGGTCGTGACCATGTTCGCCCACTTGGATCTCGGCGAAAAACACGTGGACCACCACTCATTCTTCCTAAGTGCCAACCCTGGGTGTGCCCATGTGCACCACTGCTCATTCGAGGTGCATGATTTTGATACCCAACAGCTCGGCCACCAGTGGCTGGCTAAAAAGGGGTACAAATCTGTCTGGGGTGTCGGACGTCATGTTCTGGGTTCACAGATCTTCGACTACTGGTGGGATACCACTGGCAACATTGTAGAGCACTATGCAGACGGTGATCTTGTCAACAACGAAACGCCTATTGGATATGTGCAGGCGGGAAGCGAGTCCTTGGCTGTGTGGGGCCCCGAAGTCCCCGCTTCATTTTTGGAATAGGAGTGTCGGGAAGGGAATATTGCGGGAGAATGTAATTAAAAATATCCATTTATCAAACAGTGTTCTGGTTCCAAACGCACTATAGAGAGAGTATGTGTGTGAAGGTTGTGTACAATGGCGCTCGGCTGCGAGGTCCCGTTCCGCTGTCGGAGCAACAGCCGATTACTCTCCCACTTTCTCTCTTTGTATTCTCTTCACACAGATTTTGTTTCGAAGTCGATCACCACGCAAGATACTGAGAGTAAATCCGTCCGGAGAACATAAAGTGCAGAGCCACTTGCATTCTGCTGGTGCCTCTTTGATCGCTCGCTGCTTCATCATGACCACGTCACAGGTGAATCCCGATGAAGATGATTCCAGTGTAAACTTCCCGAGAATGCGATTTCTGTAGCCATGCTGATACAATCTACAGAGTGTGATTCGAGGACGAGAAATCATCCCTGGGGCTGCTGAAGGAGAATTGGTTGCAAGCAAAATTGCACTGAGTTTCTGGGGTGGCGTAAATGCTGAGAATGGCATTGTTATTGACCAGCATCACCCACTAGCGGGGCAGTCAATATCTGGCAAAATTCTTGCAATACCTAGCGGCCGTGGCTCATGTACTGGCAGCGGGGTGGTTCTTGAGCTGCTGCTGAACGGCTGCCAACCAAGTGCGCTTATATTTGGGCGAGATGAGTTGATTCTGAGCATGGGAGTGATTGTCGCTGAAGAAATGTTTCAAAAGAGCATTCCTATTTTGCAAGTATCGGAATCGCAGTTTGACACTGTCATGCGAATGCAAAGAGTGCGTATTCGCGGAGGTCAAATTCAGTCTATATCAGCCCACACTGCCTTGGCAAGCTCGCACACTCCCCTTGTGCTTAACAGACAGCTTTCAGTCCCACCAGTACAATTGACATCACTTGACCAAGAGATGCTGGATGGAATTCATGGAAAAGCTGCCCAGGTGGCAATGCGTGTGATTGTCCGGACAGCACAAATTGAAGGCGTCACCGAGTTGATTGACGTGAAGCAAGCTCATATCGATTGTTGCATCTACACTGGCCCAGGCACCTTGAAATTTGCTGAGAAACTATCTGAATGGGGAGCGCGAGTCCGAATCCCAACCTCTCTGAATTCAATATCCATCGATCGACGACTCTGGCGTTCCCTAGGTGTTGGCCCAGAGGTTGGAGAGCCCTCTGAACAGCTTGCCCAGGCGTATGTGAGAATGAGTGCGCGTCCAACCTTCACATGCGCGCCTTATCTGCTTGATACTGCTCCAAAAGCGGGAGAGAATATTATATGGGCTGAGTCAAATGCTGTGGTCTTTGCAAACAGTGTGCTAGGAGCTAGAACTATCAAGTGTCCGGACCTTCTGGACGTCTGTGTATCACTGACTGGACGATCTTTGAATACTGGATGCCATATCACTTCAAATCGCAAAGCCCAAATCCATATTCACTTGGAGCCTGTTCACTGCGCAGATGATACCCTATTCCCGCTACTTGGATACCTTACAGGGGATACTGCTGCAAATCGAATCCCAATTGTGACTGGATTGGAAAATTCACATGCCACTATTGAAGATTTGAAAGCATTCGGTGCAGCGTTTGCGACAACCTCCAGTGCTCCAATGTTTCACATTGCAGGCATTACTTTCGAGGCGCGCAGTTCAGCCGACATAAATACACACTTAAAGGAGACGCCCAAGGTCACACTGACACGTGTTGACCTGATGAGGCAGTGGTGCCATTTCAATGGTATCTCACCGAGCAGTGAGACTAGCAACACATATTCCCAAGTGGACCTCATATCCCTAGGGAATCCACATTTCTCATACGACGAAATTGTGAAGCTTGTCCACCTCTGCGTGAATAGTCGGAAAAACAAAGGAACTGCACTGATTGTGACATGTAATCGAGACACATATGCACGAGCTGCCCAAGCTGGGAATATATCTCCTCTGGAGGAATTTGGCGTTCAGATTCTCACAGACACGTGTTGGTGCATGATCCAGGAACCAATAATTCCTCCCAATTCCCGCATAATAATGACAAACTCCGCCAAGTATGCGCACTACGGCAAGGGAATGACGGGTCGTGATATTCGATTTGGAGGTCTGTCACAGTGCGTGGATGCTGCTATATCTGGGCAAATGCTGGTGCGCCCACCTCCCTGGCTTCAACCCACACACAAATAGACTTAGAGAATAGATATGAACATAAATCGCTCTGGATCATTCTCATATTTTTTTTTTTAATTCATGGCTATCATCACTGAGGGGCCTACCTCGGAGGGACTATCTCTGTCGCGGACACATTGTTCCCACATCTTGGCTGCCACGTGGTAAGGAACCTACTAAAGGACTCTCCCTTATTGTTGATCAGTTGATTTGACCTAGCGGACCCTATAACTCAGAATTATACATTATCAACAACGCCGGTGCCAACCCGACCGCACCAGCACCATGGCGTCACAAGAGGAGGAGTGGGAGACCGTCGACGTGCTGATCTGCGGATGTGGCCCTACTGGAGCTATGCTATCGGCTTACCTTGGCAGACTGGGAGTTCGGAACGTCATTTTAGAGAAAGAAGCAGATATCACTACTGATCCACGCGGTATTGCTCTCGACGATGACGGAATCCGACTTATGCAGGGGCTGGGGCTATACAAACACATTTTCACTGAGATCGGCTCTCGTGAGCAGCATCATCCTACATTTTTGATTTCATCTACTGATATAGTGTCTTAGATATGTCCAAAATCCACTTTGTTAGTGGAATCCATTGCAACCTCCACGCGAAGCCTTTCCTAAGCTTCGACACAGCTTCCGTTTGTGAAACTATCTACCGAACTGGTATCAACGCTAAAACATATATAGACCAAAGGGAATACCGGCCACGTCGGCTTTGTTGCCCATAAGCAGCCCGTTCTCGAAAAGTATCTCCGCCTTGCTGTCAATCGAACCGGGGTTTCCGAACTAAGAAGCAGCTGCACTCTGACTTCGATATCTGAAGATAACGATTGGGTATTTGCAATATACAATGACGCGTCTGGCGCAGAGCGTAGAATAAAGGCCAGGTTTCTTGCCGCAGCAGATGGCAAGACGGGGTTTACACGAAAGATGTACCTGGAGCCTAAAGGGATCCGTTTAGAATGGGCCGAACGGTAAAAGTGGTTCCTTTCGATGGAAAATTCCGAGCTGACTAGTGATAATCAGGACAAAATATGAACAAACATGGGTCGCCCTCAACTGGAAGATGCGTCTTCCAACAAGAGAGACGCATCCCGAATTCCCGTTGTGGGAGCTTGGCTACACACCGGAAGAAGTGTACGACCTTTTTTTTCCAGCTAATTTCCGCTTTCTGTGTAATCCTCGCAGACCAGCTGTATGTGGCCGATTCGGTCCTCCCAAAGACAAACTGTGGCGGTTTGAGTTTGTTGTAGCCTCTGATGAGGATGGAATGGAGATGGCGCAGCGACACAATGTTCGAAAAATTGTGTTTCCTTATTTGACACATCCAGGGAGTCGCTATGGGTAAGTCTCTGGCACAAGTACAGTAGGATTTGATGGTTCGCTGACAGTTGATTATAGCCTTTCAAAAGATGTCGAGTACCCGGAAGATTGCATTGAGGTGCTCCGGTCAAGACCGTTTCGATTTTCAGCACGAAGTTGCGATAAATGGGCGCTTGGACGAGTGATTCTTTGCGGCGATGCAGCCCATGTATTCCCGCCATGTGAGATCTTCCATTTTCCAACATTAACAAGAAGCTAACAACTGTCGCAGTTGGTGGGCAAGGAATCGCATCTGGCTTTCGAGATGCGGTGGCACTCGCCTGGAGACTCGCCATCGCGTGTTCATCCGGTCCAAAGTTGGACCATGAGCGCCTGTTTGCTGGATGGTACCAAGAGCGCAAGCAACAACTAGACAAATCTCTCGCCTCAACAGTCCGCAATGGCGACATGGTCACTGGGGAAGGTCTCGTGCATATCCTGACCCGCGATTGGGGCTTATGGCTGCTCCAAATGGTTCCAAGCTTGAAGCACTGGCTCCAGCGAGGGCCCCGAGCCGCAGGCCCGACGCGGTATACCCACTCGCCGGATATGCCGTTCATGCCTGAACTGAACGGTGGATTCTGCTTTCCACAGACATATTGCGTCTCACTAGAGCCGCATGCCGAGGTGCAGTTTACCGACGATGTGATTTTTGCAGATGGAAAACAGATGTTCCAGCTCATCGTCCTACTCGACGACATTGGAGAGGCAAAATCTGCTCTGGATGACCTGAGGAAAATCAGGAATGCTAGTGACCGACTGTTGCTGGATGAGGCCACATTTTTCGTGCCGCGAACTGCATGTTCCACATCAACTCTACCAGATGCACTTGGACGTCGGGTATTCCGAAGTGCCACTGGAGAAGAGTTTACTCAGTCCCCTTTGTGCATATCTCGGCCAGTACCCCGCGGGTACGACGAGAGACTGATGTGGCGGATGGTGAGTGGAAAACGATATGTTCTGTTGAGATTCGACCGGTTTGTCTTTGCAGCGTGCAAGACGAGAGTTGAATTGCAGAGGGCCACTGAAAGGCTTGCCAGCGCTTTTGGACAGTAGTAAACAACCATTGCCAACTTGCATACAAGATAGCAGTAGTGTCAGTTAGTGGTATCCTCGACATGAGAGCAATGATCTGCCGGTGATGCCCGCGTTGAGCTAGTTTTTCTTGGCTGCCTCGTTTGCAGCTTCCTATCTGGAGCTCGGATGACGTTCTTAGCGCCAGCACCTTCATCGATTTCACCCCCTCCTTTTTGGAAGCTTTTGAATATATACCCGGTGAAGACCATTTCGGATGGGACTGCCCCACCTAAATGCAGATCTCTTCTTCGAATAGCCTTTCTCCTGCAATTTCCAAATCCAGCTCGGAGCTCGCCGATATACACTCCACAAGAATGAAGCAACGCATTCAAAGCTGTCTTAAAACGAGCGGCATTTCCAAGAAATGCTCCATTCATGATTCCCACTCTTGACAATTCGTAATGGCACGTTTTCTAGCGACTTTTTTGTTCACGAGCTATGTCGGGGCAAATTTAGCTTACAAGTCAAGGCCGGACCTCGCTGTTCCAGTTCTGAATATTACAATCCCTGCCACAAACGAAGCCTGGGACGGCCTCATCTTCTATACACCAGAGAGCATCTACGCTGACGATACCAACCATGGTCCAGCTCAGAGTGGCCCCTATATTTACACCGATAAGGGTGAATTGGTGTGGACAGGATTTGGATTCGTTGGCCCCAGAAGCGAAAACTTTCAGGTCCATACCTACCGAGGACAGCAAGTGCTGGGTATCTTCGAAGGTTCGCACAATTCGCCAATGGGCCACGGGCACGGCCATACCACCATCTTTGACAACAGATATCGACTGCTGAAGGAAATCAAGGGGGAGGACATAAATTGGCAGATCAGCACGAATTCCTGTTTTTCGATGACAACTCCGCCACTTTCACTGTCTTTGACCCCGAAATTCGCGACCTAACTCCATACGGTGGGACTGAGAATCAGTCATGGATCCTTGACAATAAGATACAGAAAGTGGACACTGATACCAACCAGCTCTTATGGGAATGGAGCTCTCTTGACCACATTAATCCCGCTGGAACCAACCTGACATTACAAAGTGGAAACGCCGGGCTCGGCGTGAACTCGAGCCAAGTTTGGCATTATTTCTACATGAACGCCTTCGATGTCGACCCGAAGACGAATACTTACCTGCTCTCTGCTCGAAGCATGTGTACGATCTTCAAGATGGATGGGAATACCGGCGATATAATCTGGCAGCTTGGAGGAAAACATTCTGATTTCTCTCAAGACTTCGATTTCTGTTGGCAGCACGACACTAGGATGCATCAGAAATATCTCCACTACGAAACCAAAGGATCCAAAGAAATCATATCGTTCTTCGACAACTCCGCTCACGAGAATCTAAGCGGAGGCCCTATTCTCCAAACTCGTGCTTATAGCGAAGGGAAGGTGGTTGAGCTGGATACTGCAAAGCGTACCGCTAGGCTGATTGCTAGCTTCCGGGCGCCGGGGGATCTTTCCGTCAAGTCCCAAGGCAATGTCCAACTGCTACCAAATGGGAATGCATTTATTAACTGGGGCTACGACGGTGCCATGTCTGAGCATAAGCCCGACGGGACGACAATATTCTTCACGGGATTGGACTCTGGAAAACTTGGCCCTGGATCGGAGAACTATCGCGCATTCAAGTTCGACTGGCATGCACTTCCGTTCGAGGAGCCGGCTCTGGTTGCTTTCAAAGAGGAAGACTCAGCCGGAACTTCTCTCTATGTTAGTTGGAACGGAGACACAGAGACCAAGATTTGGAGATTTTTCGAGAAGGCCGCCGATGGCCGGAAAACGCTTTTGGGCCAGACCAAGAGAACCGGATTCGAAACCACTTTCCGGACTAATAAACGGCCTAGTCAGGTGGTGGCTGAAGCATATGATGCCCACGACAAACAGCTCGTATCTTCGCCAGCTGTAAAGACCCGAGAATACAGAGCGCGCCTCCATTACCAGGACTAAGAGCTCTATTCAAGTTGTCCGATGTGTGGGCACCTGAAAGTATTGCTTTGGTAGACTATAAAGATAGAGCGATTAAGGATAGGTTAAACAGGATGAAGCGGAAAGCATGGGGTAATAATACGCTCCCTCGCTCAAGGACCCTTCTGTAGTCTCTCTAGCTCAAGCTTCTTCATCTGCTCTTGCTTTCTCACCCTCTCGGGCACAACAAACTTCCTTTTACCTTTGACCTTCCACCCAGGTAGTCGATCCTTGCCAAGGTCTCGGAGTGTCTTTTGCTCTACAATACTGTACTTTTTTGGGTTTCTGCGGTCGAAATCGAAAGGCTTCTTCAACGAGACCGGTGGGTTGGTGATCATCCGGGGGATCCTCAGACTGTTTATCGATGCTGAGTGAATCATCAGCGGATGCAGAAGAACCACATCACCAGTTTTGCCCGTCATCTCGTGAAATTCATGACACTCGTGGACAATATCAGAGTAGAACCCTCGCTTCGTGGGTGGGGGCTTTCCCCCACGAGGAACCATGTATGGCGATACTCCTTCGGGATGCTCGTACTGGCAGCAAATGGTAAGATATAGACCTGGTGAACAGGGGCGTAGTATACTTACTAGGTATTGTGCCATCCTTTTGATCGCGTCGGGGCAGACCATAGTACCGCCCGCATGATCCTGGATATCGCTGAAGATGGGAATGACCAATAACGCTTGCTCGGGCGAGTCCAGGAAGTGAACGAAGAAATCCCCATCGGCATGCCATCCCGGCAGATCAGCAGGCTCGGGCCACCGACCCTCCCACTCGTCTGTCCCGAGATTGACGATCAGCGCATCATTCCAGGTGGCCGAGTCTTTGCCACGCGGTCTTCGCCGCCGAGGAGCTCGCAGATGGCCGCCCAGGCCTTTGGAGCGAATGTCTTCACCGGCTCTTCTTTGTGTTGTGGCATGTTGACGCGTTCGCACGCCCACGTCGACTTGTCTGTTGGCGAGTAGCCCAGTCTAGTCCACACATCTCCTGTCCATTGTGCAGCTTTTTCCCGGGAGAAGCAGTCGGTCAGGCGCAGATATCCAAACCGCATGTAATGATCGATTTGCTCTGTCGAGAGCTTGTATTCCGCCTTGTGTGCCATTGTTGCTCCCGAATGAGATAGTTATACAGAGTCCGGCGCGACTGCCGATGTTTGGTTATACAATTGCCTTCAATCAGACAGGTCACGTGCCAAACAGTCGTAGTTGACATTGTATGGGTTATTAAATGTATTGTCCTGACTATATTGGGGATTTTTACTGTTTGGATGAATTCCTTTGCGGGGGACGCTCTGCGTAGGCTCTTCGGCTAATCGACAGAGCTTCTATTTTCGGCCTGGAACGGAGCGTACCCCTAAAGGATGCTAAAAGTTGGCATCCAAGATATTGAAATTGAAAGACATAATTTTATCAATCTGACTGTCCCATGAAGGTGAAAAGAAAAGTTGGTAAGATCCATGGATGTCTTAAGCCGATATAGTAACTTAAAAGGAATTAGCTTTTTAGGTCAAAATTCGGGTGCGAAAACTTAGCTCTCTCAACAAATCTTGTCGAGCTCTGTTATCAAATATGTAAGAATGACCGGACGCTCCTTCCTGCCTATTCGAACAGTAGAATTCACGATCAAGCGATGATCGCAATTGGTCTGGAGGGCCATTCATCTCCCCCATGTCGACCTACTCGGAAGGTCGTGCTCAGTTGGGAATCGCGCGGCACCCATAGCTCTGAAAATTGCCATCCGATCCTACAAAGGATGGTTCAGACTGTTTGGTAGAAAAATGAAGACCGCCTTGTGTTCACGATAGATCCCGCGCGGGGCTTATTCCTACCCCACGGGGCCAAGCGGATCCAGGTCGGGCCTCGGCTGCGCTGACAAGCAATAATAAGAACACAGCTTCAGCGTAGCTAGAGCTCCTACAATTGTGTGTACATCCATCTATCTCTTACTCCAGCAATGATGGCACCTCCCGTCCCCCGGAAACTATGGCAACACCCTTCCCCCGAGTCGACGCGAATGGCCCATTTCCAGCGCGAGCTGACCAAGACCGCGGGCCAGAGATTGGGCTCATTTCAGGAGATGTATCTCTACTCCATCCAGAACCGATCTGCATTCTGGGATTTTGCTTTCAATTACTTCCAACTCATCCATGAGGGATCCTACAGCCAGGTTGTGGACGAGTCCGCGCGCATGGATAGCGTGCCGGAATGGTTCGCTGGGATTCGACTGAACTTCGCGGAGAACCTGCTATTTTCGCGCTATGCCGGCGATAAGACTGGAAAAGAAGACGAGAAGATTGCCGTCACGGAAATTCGTGAGGGTGCGGCGAAGGACGCGGTGCATCTTTCGTGGGGAGAGTTGAGAAGGAAGACGGGCGCATTGATGCAGGCTATGAAGGCGAATGGGGTGAAGAAGGGCGATCGCATTGCGGTGTGTGCAGCGAACAGCATTGATACCCTGCTGGTCTTCCTGGCGTCGACTGCCCTGGGTGCCATCTTCTCATCCAGTTCAACCGACATGGGCGTCAAGGGCGTGTTGGATCGGCTGCTGCAAATTCGGCCACGATGGCTGTTCATGGATGACCAGGCTGTCTACAACGGGAAGACGATTGACTTACGAGACAAGATGAGAGATATCGTGCGCGGCATGGAGTCGGTCTCTGAGTTTAAGGGCATTGTCTCGCAGCCGCGATTTTCTTCCAGTCCCGCTGACATCAATCATATCCCCAAGACATGTACGCTTTCTGCCTATCTTGCAGCCGCAGGACCGGGGAATGATCGTCTTGAATTCGAGCGAGTCGCCTTCCGAGATCCCTTTTTGGTGGTTTACTCGTCCGGCACGACAGGCCAGCCCAAGTGTATCGTCCATTCTGTGGGAGGCGTCCTTCTGAATGCCCACAAGGAAGGAGGATTGCATAGTGAATTGAAGCCAGAAAGCGTTGCACTGCAATATACTACGACTGGCTGGATCATGTATTTGTCCGCCATGCAGACTCTGCTATTCGGGTCAAGGGTGGTGCTCTACGACGGCAGTCCATTTATCCCGGATGTCATGGCATTGGTGAATATTGCCGCGCAAGAGAAGTAAGTGAATGATTTTGGCATGGAATTCTTTTTCTCAACATCGAACAGGGTATCACATCTGGGAATATCTCCGCGGTGGCTCCACGAACTACAGCGTGCCAACCTGAAGCCGCGCGAGCTGGTCGATCTTCGCGCTTTGAAGGTGGTCACTAGCACCGGCATGGTCTTACGAGAGGCACTGTTCGAGTGGTTCTACGACGATGGCTTCCCATCCCATGTGCGCCTGAACAACATCTCCGGCGGCACTGATCTTGCTGGGTGTTTTGGGACTGGCAACCCGCTCGTCCCGGTGTATGTGGGAGGATGCGCGGGATGCAGTCTCGGCGTGCCGGTGGAGGTGTACGATTCGACGATCGAAGGAGGCCAGGGCGTTAAGGGGGTCCCGGTGGAAGAGGGCGTTCCTGGCGAGCTAGTGGCTACCGCTGCATTCCCCAACATGCCCACTCAGTTCTGGGGGGACGGCAGCGGGAAAAAGTACCACGACGCTTACTTTGCTCGGTTTGACAGTAGGTGCCTCTTGTCCTTTTGGAGACCAATGGCTCACCCCCTGTAGATGTGTGGACCCATGGAGACTTTGTCTCCATCCATCCCACCACGAAACAGCTCATGTTTCATGGCCGCGCGGACGGGGTGCTCAACCCCTCCGGCGTGCGATTTGGATCTGCAGAGATCTACCGAGTGATCGAAGGCCAATTTTCCAACGAGATCGCCGACTCAATCTGTGTCGGCCAGCGACGCCCCACCGATACCGATGAGCGGGTACTGCTCTTCCTGCTCATGAAGCCCGGGGTGGCCTTCACGGCCACTCTGGTGGAGCGAGTGAATCGGGCCATTCGTAGCGAGCTGAGCCCCCGCCATGTGCCCATGTTCACCTTTGAGACTCCCGAGATCCCGGTACGTTCCCTCACTCGCCGCCCACTGCCAGAGGCTGAAACACGCACTGACGATGTCCTTACACCGCCCCTAGACCACGGTCAACCTGAAAAAAGTGGAGTTGCCGGTGAAACAGATTGTGTCGGGCAAGATCATTCAGCCTTCGGGGACGCTGCTGAACCCGGGCAGTTTGGAGTATTACTATCAGTTTGCGGAGATTGAGAAGCTGAGTCGGGCGAGCAAGCTGTAGAGTTGTACCAACACACCAGAGGATAACGGACCAATCGAGATCTAGAACAGCCTAATTTCATTCGCACACCGCCCAACCACGGCGACTGGCGTCATCTCCCGAAAGGATGGCGCCGATCGTCTTCAGCTAAGCTTTGACCAAGCTTCGGGGGTGCTGCACAGTGGATGGATAGACCCAGGGTACGAACAGTAGGAGGAACGAAGTAATTAACTATTGTTCCACGGGTACCGTCTGTACTTTGGGCCCCAACACTTACTAGTGACCGTCGAGCTGCGTTCCACCGCGTCATCTATTGGTCCCCCGCCCGAATCCTTGTTGTTGCTCTTCACTGCCCCTCTTTCTTTCTTTCTGTCTTTCTTCTTCACCCCCTGGACTCTCTCCATTCCCTTCCTCTCTCTCTGTTATTCTTCCCCAATCGAATTGCCCCATTATCACCACCATGGTTCATCTCGCGACTGTCAAGAAGGACGACGAGGTCTTCCACCCCGCCGCCCGCCAGGTCGAGTCCATTGGCGGCCCCCCCAGCGAGGATGACTTCTATACCAATGTCTATGGCAGCCACTTTGCCGCCGACCACATGCCACAGCATGAGATGCCTGAGAACTCGATGCCGCGCCAGATTGCCTCGCGCATGATCAAGGACGAGCTGAGTCTGGATGGCAACCCCAAGCTGAAGTCAGTACCGCTGCGCACCGACCCGAAGAACACCCACTAATCCCTCGACAGCCTGGCCAGCTTTGTCACCACCTATATGGTACGAGGTCCTTGTGTCAGACAATCTGCGGTCGGCCACTGATAGCATGCAGGAAGAGGAGATCGAGGGTATCATGACCGACTCCTTCAGCAAGAACTTCATCGACTACGAGGAATACCCCCACTCTGCCGAAATCCAGAACCGCTGCGTCAACATGATCGCTCGCCTATTCAACTGCCCGACCGACTCCGCCGGCGAGAATGCCATGGGTACTTCGACCATTGGATCTTCCGAGGCCATTATGCTCGGCACCCTGGCCATGAAGAAGCGCTGGCAGAACAAGCGCAAGGCCGAGGGTAAGGACTTCTCGCGCCCCAACATCGTTATGAACAGCGCCGTCCAGGTCTGCTGGGAGAAGGCCGCCCGCTACTTCGATATCGAGGAGAAGTATGTCTACTGTACCGACACCCGCTTTGTGATAGACCCCAAGCAGGCCGTCGACCTGGTGGACGAGAACACCATTGGGATCTGTGCCATCATCGGTACTACTTACACGGGTGAGTACGAGGACGTCAAGGCCATTAACGATCTGCTGGTCGAGCGCGGCATTGACTGCCCTATCCACGTCGATGCCGCCAGCGGTGGCTTCGTCGTCCCCTTCATCCAACCGGATTTGCCCTGGGACTTCCGTCTGGAGAAGGTGGTGTCCATCAACGTGTCCGGGCACAAGTATGGCCTGGTATACCCCGGTGTCGGCTGGGTTATGTGGCGCTCGCCGGAGTACTTGCCCCAGGAATTGGTGTTCAACATCAACTACCTCGGAGCGGACCAGTCCAGCTTCACCCTTAACTTCTCCAAGGGTGCCGCGCACGTCATTGGCCAATACTACCAGCTGATCCGCTTGGGCAAGCACGGATACCGATCCATCATGGTCAACCTGACCCGCATTGCCGACTACATGGCCGAGCAGCTGGCCCAGATGGGCATGATCATCATGAGCCAGGGCCAGGGCAAGGGCCTGCCGCTGGTGGCCTTCCGCCTGCCGCCCAACCCAGACCGTGTGTACGACGAGTTTGCCGTTGCTCACCAGCTGCGGGAGCGCGGATGGATCGTGCCTGCGTACACGATGGCCCCCCACAGCGACAAACTGCAGCTGATGCGCGTGGTCGTCCGCGAGGACTTTAGCATGAACCGCTGCGACAGCCTGCTTCAGGACTTCAAGCTGGCCCTGCAGACCCTGGACTCTATGGACCAGGCAATGATGGCCAAGTACAAGGCGTAAGTATTTGGTTTCCTTTTCCCGCCCAATTGCACACGCTAACCTGTTTCCAGCCACATGGGGAGCCAGCGTGCTCATCCGCGCCACCATCGCACCCACGCGCACTACCAGAATGAGACGCACTCGCTGCAGGGCAAGTCTGGCAAGACACACGGTGTCTGCTAATTGACTGACTTTTTCTTTCGTTGCAAATGAGGTTACTTCTGGGCTGCCCAGCCGGAACAGCAGGTCAAGGCATGGTTGGCCGCCTACTGTTTTGAGTACCACTTGGTATACGTCTGTACCCAGCTCTGTTTTGTATGTAAGACGTGAACATAGGAAATGCCCAATATGAATGAGAAATGCTGTTTTTTTGGTTCAACCGTGACGTCATGTATACGAGTCGACCTTGTGTAAAAAGGGCAGAGAAATCCGGCTCCCTTCGCTCTTATTCTTTTCTTCATTATCATCATCATGCAGTGCATTACCATCGCCCAGACCCCGCACGCTCCTACCCGGGACTTGCCTCCCTCGACGACCGTTCCGGCTGAGCTGCCGCCGGCCAAGGAGATCAAACTCCATCCCTCGGCTTCTGGAGAGGAGAATGCGTCGCTATTCTTTGTGGGCACGGCGACGACGATTATGTTCGTACGAACCTTACATAGCCCTAAGTGACGGTCCTAATTGCAGCAGCGAATGGGCAGGGATCCGTCTTATGACCGATGTATAAACTTGGAGTCCTAGCGGCACAGATTCCGTGGCTAATGAGACACTGTAGCCCAACTTCCTGCACGCCGGTGACCATGTCCATCTCGGGCCCGGCGTGTCCAGCGTCCGCCGGACTCAACCTGGGGTGGATTTGCATGAACTGCCGAGGATCGACTTGGTGCTCCTCTCCCACTATCATGGGTATGTACCTACTTAGGTTCGCGCTACCCACGCAGCCATCAGCAGCGACTGACCAGGACAGCGACCACTTTGACCAAAAGGTCGAGGCCTCCCTGCGCCGGGATCTGCCCATTATCACCACCCCGCATGCGCAGGCGCATCTGACAGCCAAGGGCGCGGACTCGTTCACCTCCGTAGCTGCATTGGATCCCTTCGAGCATGTCCTCGTTGATATTGAGGGCGTGCAAGCCAACAAACGAGGCAGGCATCCTCGACTGCGCGTCACCGGCATGCCGGGGAAGCACGTCCCTCCGAACCCGATCGTGGAGAAGCTGAATGCGCTGGCCAATGCGGTAGGCTCTTCTGTCTCATCAATGTCTTAACTAACTGCTGTCAGATCCCGCCTACGAACGGCTGGATGCTCGAACTGGGGCACGGCACGCCTAACAGGGCCGAGTTCGAATGCGGCTACCGCATCTACATCTCAGGCGACACGCTGATGGTCGACGAGCTGAAAGAGATCCCGCGGCGGTATGCCGGGCAGCAGATCGATCTGATGCTGGCGCATTTGGGCGGAACCACGATTCCGTCGCCCGGAATGGCGCCGTTTGCGTTGATGGTGACCATGGATGCCAAGCAGGGAGTGCAGCTGATGCAGCTGGTCCAGCCGGATATCACGATCCCCATTCACTATGATGATTATGAGGTGTTTGCCAGCCCGTTGGTTGACTTTGTCAAGATGGTGGAAGCGGCCGGATTGCGGGGCAGAGTGGTGTATTTAGATCGAAGGGACCAGTATCGGTTCCGGGTGAGAGAAGAAGAACCATGAATCCTTTGTTGACATCGGGTCGAAGTTTCCTATATATAGATCGAACCGGTGCCCCGCCATCTGACGGACTCGGTCCCCCCTTGAACACCCTTGTCTTCCTCTTGTGCCTCTCTTCTTCCCTCCCCACGGCCACAGTGATGCCCTTGTTCAGCAGGAAGCCCAAGTCTCCTGCCCAGCATCCTTCGCCTGTCTTCCCGTCTTCCGACTCTCTGTCTGCCGACGCCCAACAACCCCAGCCCGACGAACCATACGCGCGCTACCCCACCGACATTGACGCCGCATACGAGGACAGGCTGGCCCCTTCCACCCCGAGGACCACTGTCGACCTTGTCTTGCCGTCACCTCCTTTGCAGCGTTCTCTCAGCCAGACCCAGCCCCACTTGAAGGATCGCGACCGCCCGACCAGCACTGTTGTCGCCCCTGACCACGCCCAGCCTCGTCGCCTCACAAAGCATCGTCCTCCATCCGCTCTTCTAGGGCGCAGTGTGACCGTCAGCGTTCGAGGCAAACGGATTTCACATCCGATTTCGCTTCCAACCTCCCCGCGTTTCCCTCCTTCACCCTCCCCTCCCTTTGACGAGGACCAAAGCGAGCATTCTATGCCACCACACGGCCGTTCACTTGAGGCCACGCAAGTTTATGAGCCCCGGTCAGCCTCGCTAGCCTACCAGCAGAAGCCCCAGCACACCTATCGGGGTTTGCGTCAACCACAACCGACCTACGCGGGCCAACCGCAATATCAACAACAACAACAACAACAACAACAACAACAACAACCAGAAGTACAAACGCAATCCCCGCAATCCCCCCGGCGCTCCACCGCTCCAGCACCGACCCAACGCTGCTCGAGCAATTGCGCCGCCCGTCCCCAATCAAGTCGGACCTCGAACGCCACCCAGCTCACCGGCAGGACCCTCCAACCCTGAGTGCACGGTCCCCTTCCCGGCAGACTCCCGAGCCCGCTTCCCCGTTACGTGCCCAGACTGTTCCTGACGCGATGCAGCAGGCGCAACAACAGCAGCAGCCGCCTCCAGGGACAGTGTTGGACGAGCGGCGCGCGGGCACGCCTTCGCAGGACTCGGGTCGTCGCGCCAGCGTAAATCCCACGATGCCAACAGAGGCGGACCGCAGAACGCCCACCAACGTGAATGCCAATTCGTCCAACGCGAGCCGGAGTCGTGAGGACATTTCGGAGCTGGATGTTCGTGCTCTAATACAGAAACACGACGAACTGCGTAAGTTGACGTCTGACCGTGTGCTTTCGTCGTAACTAACCCCGGAGAAGAGGCCAAATACTCCAAGGTCAAACGGTACTACTTCGACAAGGAAGCGCAAGTGCAGCACCTCCAGAACACAGTGGCGCACCAGCGCATGGCGGTGTCGCGTACCGTGCTGGACGACAACGAGTACACCAACCGATTCCAGCGGCTGGACGGCGCAATCAAGGACCTTGCCTTCTCGGTGCGCAAGGAATGGTGCGGTATCCCGCACTGGCTGCACGGCTATGTCACTGAAGATGCGGTGGACAAAGGAGCGAAAGAAATGACGGCGTTGGGACGCGCCGTGATCAGCCGATGGCTGGTGGAGGAGGTGTTCCAGCGACATTTCCACCCGGCTCTGGAGCCGAATCTGAGTCTGCAGCTGAAGAGCCTCGAGATGAACCTGCGGCGACAGGCGACGCATGCGCAGTCGGAAGAGGAACGCGAGAACATGGCGGCGCGACTGGCCAACTGGCGCCGCACAACTTTTGACGGTCTGGGTGATTCTCTCGTTGGCCCTGCAGCCGAAGCCCACCGTGCCGATCTTGTCGAACATCTGGTCGCGCAGCTTACTTCTTTCCTCAGTGGACAACTGCACGAATCCGGCCTACCGGGTTTGGAGGCGGGTGTGCGCATGATCATCGAGAACACGATCAATATCGCCGAGAAGATCCCGCTCGAAGCCCGCGACGTGTGCGTCGAGTATTTTCCTCCTGGGGCGCCCACTCAAGACGCGTACATGAAGATCGAGACCGGTCTGCCGCCGCTGGCGCACATCCCGCAGGCCCCGTCCCTGTCCGTGGAGCAAGAACACGAGGAACACAATGCTACAGGTGCACCAGTGGAAGCCGATTCGTCATCTGGATCAAACTCGAACTCTGGAGCAGTCGCCGGAGACCCTGCCTCGCCTGCGCACCCTCACCGCAAGAAACCATCCATGCTCGGGGCGTTAATGGGCCACCGCAAGCCGGCTGGCGGGCAGAGTGGTCGATCTGCGACTGAGTCGGACGACAAGGCCGAGAGTCCCCCGCGCATTCGGTTTGCGGGCTTTGTTGCCGTCGAGGTGCGCAATAAGGGGCCTTTGATGAATGTGTTGGCTAAGGCTCCGGTGTGGTTACTCGAGTAGAGCGGAGGATGGGAATACCTTGGGGGTGGTGTATATATATGGAGAAGGGACTGGATTTTAACTCCGATACCTGTGGCATCATAGCGCATAGCGATGACGACCACGACTGATACATTGATATCCCATGCTTTTTTTCACTCGCTGGCGGATGCTGACATGGTAAAGCAAGGTAGGAATAATCGAGTTTAGATTTAATTGATCTGAATCGGGCACACAGAGAAAACAACATATAGAGAGTCAACTCGTTACAGCGGCGGTGGCGCAAGATCCAATCCCTCTACACTCAGCTTAAACGCATCGCTACGGGAATAACTCCCCGCAACATCGAGATCCAATCGGCCGCGCTCGCAATCATCCAGATCGATCTTCGCAATGGCCAGTCCGTCGCCGGCCGCCACGGCATCCTGGGCGGGCACACCGGGCGACGCGGTGATTGCTGCTTCGGGGCTGTCGGCCGAGTCGTCGGTGCAGACTTCCCAGAGGGGGCCGGCGAGGACGTCGCCCAGGGGCGAGATGATGCAGCTGCCGCCGCGGCAGATGTAGTCTGATGATGCCGCTGTGGGAGTTAGCAATTGTATCGTCCTTGCAGGGCATATAGATAGGGTGTAAAGAGGAATAGACATACTCCTTCCCACCGATTGGTCACGCTCTTGTCCACCACTTTGACCCTGCGGCCAAACAATCTCATGCGGTCCCTCCGCCGTCGTAACAGACATCTTCCTCCCCCCAGCCTGAGCCTGAGGCTGGGCCTTCTTCTCCGCTTCAACCTGCGCCCTGTCCTCTGGGTCCGCCACACTACAAACCCAGCTGGGCAGCTCCCCTTGCCTCACGCACTGATTCGCCGAGAGCACAAAACACCTGCCCTCCGCGCCGACCGTCCGCATCAGCGGCAGCCAGGTATCGCGCGCATCCGCCGTGGGAGCCAGGTAGATGTTCACGTTCTGTGAGTATAGGCTCTGGCGCAGGAGGGGCATATAGTTCTCCCAGCAGATGGCCGAGGCGAGGGTCAGCGGGATGCCGTTGAGGGTGGTTGTTACGGCGCGGAGGGTGGAGGGGGAGCCTTGGGCCCAGATGAGTCGCTCCGAGCCGGTCTACGCACAAATCGTCAGGAAGGGTTGATTATAGGGAAGGCGACTGGGGCTACTTACCGGCATGACCTTCCTCCTCTTCCCCAAAATCCCACGCGACGGATCAACGTAAACAACAGCACAATACAAACTCCCACCTGCCCTCTCCACCAAACCCGTGACAATAAAAACCCCCGTTTCGCTCGCAACCCTCTCCAAAAACTCTCGCGTCCCATCGCCACGGTGCGACTTGCCGGGCGCAACCTCCAGATTCCGCTGTACCCAATCCTCGCCGGCCCCGGCGGGCGTATCGCCCAAATCAACCGCGGCCTTAAAATATGCCAGGAACTGTTCCCGGCCGAGCGGGTCGCGCGAACCCACTGCTGCACCGAAAGAGCATGTTCGTGGGTACCCGCCTAGATAGGCTTCTGGGAAGAGGAGGAGGTGGACGCCGCGTCGGCTGGCGAAGACGGTTGTTCGTTCCAGGGCTGAGAGGGTTTCGGGGGAGGGAGGAGAGGGTGCGGGACTGGGCGACTGCTACTGTAAGGAAGGGCATCTTGGGTGTGTGTCTTTCTTTTTGCTTCTGGCCTTGGATGTGTAGGGTAGTTATGAGGTGAGGTGAGGTGAGGTGAGGTGGGAGAGTACGAGCGAGTGGAGACCCGACGAGTTGGGGTTGCTGCTTTTAGCGAGGTTGTGCGGGGTCAATGGAGTTGGAGTATGTAGTTATGTAGTTGCTGTGCTTTTGTTCTGAATTGCTGAAAGTCCTTTGGAAAGACCAGAAGTATACTGTCGACGAGGTACGCATGTCGTGCGGATTGGGTTGCACTAGAAGCTCAGCATGACATCATCATATAGATCCATCCCCGGCATTTGCACCTAGTACGATAGTCTAGGATTTACAATAGTAGTCGGATCACGGTATAGGTCGACGACAATTATATTGGAGTAACTATAATAATGTACTTTGTCAATCTGTTCAACTGTTCACAAGTCCTTATGTTCATCAACACGGCATAACCAAGACCAGAACGAAACCCAGACCAGACCAGACCCAACACACCCTTAAGACACAGGCGCGCGAAAACCCGGGGAAACCATGAAGCAGAAAAAAAAAAAAATTCAAAAACTCATGTAGTAGCAGCGCCCGCCACACAGATGATGCAAAATTGGGACAAATAGAAAGAGATGCTCCCGGGTATAAGCGCCTTGCGATGTAAATCAAGAAAATAATAAGCCCGAGATGATGAGTGAGCCCAAGAATAAAAAAAGAATAAAAAGATGAGATGCTCAAACGCAAGAAGAAGACCAAAACGATGTCAATGCGTGGGTGAACATGCTCCAGTGAAGAATTTTAGATGGAGATGCCGTTGGCAGTGGCGGCCTGCTGCAGCACGCGAGGCCAGCGCGAGATCAACTCAACGTCGTCCAGCACGCCCTTGCCCTGGTTGCGCACGTACTGGGTGCTGGGGTCGACGCGCGGCTCCCAGTCCCAGAACGTCGGGGTGCCCTTGATCAGGGCCGAGTAGACCAGGCGGCGGCGGCGCTGCGAGGTCAGCACGTCCTGACGGATCTTCTCCAGGTCCCACTTGGAGTGGACTTCTTCCATGAAGAAGGCTAGCAGCTTCGCTGGGTTCTGAGTGGCGGGCAGGTTGCCCCGCTTAGACGGGCTGGGGGTGCGCGGAGGAGTCACTCCTCCCGGGAAGGGATACGAGGTCTGATTGCCGCGCTGAGGAGTCGGCGACACGCGAGGGGTCTCGAGAGGGGTGGGCAGGGACTGGGGCGCCAGAGCAGTGGCAACGGGCTTGACGGCCGCGGGCTTGTGAGACGCCGAGGGAACCGGCAGGCCGGCCACCAGGTTCACCTTCTCTTCGGGATCGTTGACCAGGTCGAACAGCATCGGCTCATCCAGGGTCGAGTAGATGAACTTCCAGCGGCCGCGGCGGATCATGATCAGCGGGGCCTGCGTGCCCTCGCCCATGTACTCGCCGTACACGGTGTCGGTCTTGGGGCCATCAGAGCCATCCAGGTAGGGAACCAACGAGACACCGTCCATGGGCAGCTCGGGGATGATGGGCGCGCCGACCAGCTGGGCGAAGGTGGGCAGCAGGTCCATGGTGGACACGTTCTCGGGCACGCGCTTGGGGGCGAATTTCTTGGGGTAGTGGAAGAGCATGGGCACGCGAGCCGAGTTCTCGAACCAGGTCATCTTGTACCACAGACCACGCTCGCCGAGCATGTCACCGTGGTCACCGGTGAAAACGATGATGGTGTCATCCGCAAGGCCGGTGTCGTTCAGCACCTTGAGCAGCTTGCCGATGTTGGTGTCGACGTAGGTGCAGGCGGCGTAGTAGGCGCGGCGAGCGGCCTTGATGTTCTCCTCGGGCATCTCCTTGCCCCAGAGATCAATGCACTTCAGGACCCGCTGCGAGTGGGCGTCCTGCTGGTCGTGTGGGATGGCGCCGTTCTTGGGCAGCGGGATGTCGACGTCCTCGTACAGGTCCCAAAACTCCTTGGTCATGGCGTAGGGGTCGTGCGGGTGCGTCATCGACACCGTCAGACAGAATGGCTGATCAGTGCGAGTGCGTACGTGATCATACAGGTACTGCTTCGACTTGTAGATGACTTCCTCGTCAAAATCGAGCTGGTTAGTGCGCACCACGGGTCCGGCCTCCATGACCGAGGACATGTTGTGGTAGTAGTCCAGACGGATTTCCTGTGGCAGGTCGGTTAAATTTACTGATCTTTCTCATTCGGCAGTTCGGGATTACTCACTGGCTCGTCCCAGTTGACGGACCATCCGTAGTCACCGGGGTAGATGTCGCTGGTCAAACGCTGCTCATAGCCGTGCAGCTGGTCCGGGCCACAGAAGTGCATCTTGCCAGCAAGAGCAGTGTGATAGCCCTCACGGCGCAGGTAGTGAGCATAAGTTGGGGTGTCGGCGGGCAGGTCCGCCGCATTGTCGTAGGCGCCAATCTTGGAGGGCAGCTGGCCGCTGACCATTACAAAGCGCGATGGCGCGCACAGCGGCGAGTTGCAGTACGCCGAGTCAAATGTGACACCTTCGGCCGACAGACGGTCCAGGTTTGGCGTCTTGATGGGCGAGTTCTTGTCGTGCAGCGACAACAAGGGTGCGGCCATCTGGTCCGCCATGATGTACAGGATGTTGGGCTTCTTGGTCTCCATGGTGGCGGTCTTCTTGGGGTGGGGATGGGTGACCAGAAACGGGTGGGAAGGAGGGAGAGAGAGATGGAAGAGAAAAAAAAAGGCCGGAGGAGGGCGAGGGTTGATATATGAACGAGGCCGACGTGGATGTGGGGAACAACTGAAAGGAAGGTAAAAAAAAAAAAAAATTGGAATGGGAAAGCGAACGATAGTCCGGGAAGTATAGACGGTATTATTGATCGGCCCCCGTTAGTTTATGTTACAAGTATGTTGTATGTATCGCCGAATAATAATAATCGTACAGTCCGAACACCTGGCAGAAGACTTAAAAAAGAAATGTACAGTAGCTCCCGCCCCCCCTGCAAGGGAGATCAGGGGACAATCTAGATGATCTGGGGCTGACGTCGTCGCAGCGCAGTTGAAGACGCAAGATAGCACCATCGTGCGGTGCGATGGTGTGATCTGATCGACAGGAGATTCGTCACGGTCGGTACCGGCAGTACCGTTAGTGTGGATAAGGGAGTATACCGTTCTTGTCATTCTAGATCTTCGGTGATTGCAAAGCAACTAGGCTCGGCAAATCGAACGAGAAAGAAAAGAGGAAACCGATAAGTAGCCTGGTCATGCGCTACAATGGAGGGGTCACTCGAACCCATTCGCATCGCGCGACTCAATTCCGAAGGCCCCAGGGGGGGGGCGGCCGTCGCCACTTGGCTTGGACCGCATGCGTATAGTTCGAGTTACAGCCGCAATACCGGCATGCAGACGTAATGACGGGACCATTTGGTTCACATTAAGGGCTATAAAATAGTCACTGCGGCAAATCTTGGGAAGACGTGGGGACAGTCGATGATCAAGCGTCAGTGCCGGAGTTGAAGACACTCGCCTTGTGGTGGTGTGGTTGTCCAGATGGTGCCTGTTCAGACCCTTGTATGGCGCAATACCACAGGATCCACCGGCTCGTGTCACGACTTGCCTGGTTCGGTTAGCCCGGAGGGAAGGCCCACTTGCTTATCTGGCCGCCCAATCAGGGGCCAGATAAGGGCACTATAGGCGAAGCGAAGGAGCAAATCTCTGTAGGAGTGGCCATGTGGAGGATGCTATACAACATAGTGAACAGTGCGATGGAGTATGTGGATGAAGACACGGCAGAGGAGAGAAAAATACTGTCATGGAAAAGGCATTCGGTAACGCCCCTGCCATCACCTCATCGCTCCGCCCGCTTTCTCATCTGCCTGCGAAAGCACGCCATGGGGGCGGTCTGCCCACCCCGGATTTGCGGCCGTGCAACAGCGTCACCGCTGTTTTGGCTCGCGGCACCATTCCATCCAGAAGGCCCTGTGTCACTCCACTCCGGGGCCACATCTTGCATGGCCGGGATGGTTTCACCCGATCTAGTATGGCGCAATCAAGGCTGATCTTCTCAGTGCAACATTCGGAGACATCTTGCCACTGATATCAGAGGGGGCAATCACAACACGGGAAAGGGGGTGGCCTAAGGGGCTATGTGGTCTGAGAGCAGGAACCTCGGAGATTCGTAGATGATTGTAGGGGAAGCAATACGGAAGGATAACCTCAGTAATTGGCTAAAAAAAAAAATACATTCTCAGGATAGCTCACTACCGCCGCTAAGCAATCCCTAAGCAAGCCCTAAGCAACGCCCGTTCCGAATTCCTAGCTTCGAACTAACTCGTAGCTGGAGCAGCTTCAGTGGCCGGTGTAGCCAAATGCTCCATGTACCAATGGGTGAGCTCCCGGCACGCCATCGCATCCTCGATGCTGTCATGGCCCCGGCGCCCCTCCTGGATCCGCCGGTCCAATCGAACGGCAGCTAGGTTCTTCAGCGAGCGGCCCGTCTCCGGATTCTCATGAGTGCCCTCGACATGGAACGTGTCGACCATGCGACGGTGGATCCACCGCAAGGCCAGCAGATCGGCCGCACCTCCGTGCGCCATAACGATGGTCTCGGGTCCCACAAACTGCCACAGCTGCTGTCGCGCCTGCTCACGACTCACAAGACATCTGCGCGTCGCTAGTGCGTTGTTGAGCATCTGCCAACTAACCCCGGAGTACCTGGTGTTGAGGTGCAGCATGGGCACGGTGGAATACACCAGCGTATCTAGCAGGATGTAGCCGGTGAAGTAGTCCACCGCACTGATCCTGATCAGTTCCGACTCGCCTTTTCTGGTGACGCCCATCTCGCAGTCTAGGGCAACGGCCAGCCGTGCGCCGCGCACGAACCGCGGAGTCTCGTAAAGTTTCCATTCATCCTCGAGACGGCCCACACTATCCTCTTCATAGGCTTCGTGCTGATCTCGCTCGACACATCCCGGGCTGGATCCCGGTTTCTGGCAACAGGTCCATTTCTGCGTTGCATCGTCACTATGTCTGTAACAAACGCTGGCGGAAAATAACTCACATTGTAGTTCACCCTGCCGGGATGGTTCTGACACGTGGGCTTCTTCTTGACTTTTTCGTTCTGAGCCTTCTCGCGTTCCACATGCTCTTCCTCCGAAATGGGCTCCGTGTGGACGGTCACCTCTTCCGTCTCGGGGTCGATGGTGATGACATACTTGACGGGAGACTTGTCAGAACTAATAGAAGAAGACCAGGAATCCTTCTGAGGAGATACCTGAGAAGAATCCACCTCGCTCTTCGGCGGAGTCGCCGGGTCTGCGGCGGTCCGCTGATCATCCGGTGACTTTTCCTTGTCCTGACCATCTTTCTTCCCATTTTCTTGGCTGTCATCTTTCTTCTCCTTCTTGTTCTTCTGCTTGGTCATGCGCTCTGCAAGCAAACATTAGCTGACTGTGTGGTTTCAAACGAGAGAGGAAACAAACTGCGACAGAACTTGCAGCGTCTCATTCGCAGGAGGTCACCCGAAGCAATTTCTGTAACCTTGTATCCCTCCGTTTTCATCTCCTCAGCGGACAGAATCAGCTTCTTGAGCTTGCTGTAATAGACTGGAGTTGGAGCAATGGAGCCCAGCTGGTTCCCTGTTACCAGGTGTCGGTGGGGAGGAAGTGCCATGCCGTCTTTATAGTGAGGATGGCTGAGATGTATGTGACGCAGGCGGGCTTGAGTCTGACGCTAACTGGTTCCTGTCTGGTCTTGTCTGGGGGAAGAGAGGAATATCATACAGACGTGATCGCAAGACAAGACCGAGTGGGGTGAAGGAAGGGATGAGTGGGAGTAGAAGGGTGAAGCGACAGACTTGGGCGAGTGAATGCGGAGAAGAGAGGAAGGAAAGAGTCTAAGCCCATTCAGGATGTACGGAGGCCAGGCTGTGAACGACCGGGGTGGTGGAAAGAACACAAAGAACGCGGGAGAGGGAAGGTGCAGTCAACAACCCACCAGTGTCGCCATGGAAATGTTTCAGAAAACGTTGGACTTGCACTCGCTAAGGGGACACTCGCAGTAAAATACATAACAGAACGGACAGTAAGTAAAACGATATACGCCGTGGTGGAAAACATCACCGATGCTTATCAGACAGATCCGACCATTCAGAAATAGTGGAGGGAAAAGGGAAAGAAAAGTAATTCATGTACGAGTCGATCCGTGTCAACGGGGGATGCTAATCAACTTTTATCGCACTGGTATCCTATCAGTCTCTGTTTGACCATCAGCTCATGGAAACATACCTATAAACCCGTCGGACGAAGGCGTATGCAGCCAGGAACCCGACGGTGCCCATCAACAGACCGTATACGGTGCAGGCGAGGAAACTGTAGCTGAAGAACAGCAGACTCGACACGAATCCGGTGACGTGGAGCCTGAACAGATAGAACCAGATACAGTATGCAAATATCCAGAATGCGCTACTGCTCCCAACCAGGAAGCTCCGCCACCACCAGTGGTAGTTCTAAATCAAAGGTCAGCTTCAAGATCCTGGGTGTTTTGGGGGGGGAGGCACTCACCTCGGAACACAGCTGGCTGTATGTGGCAATAACAGTCACTTCAATGACCGTGACGAGGAGGATTGCCGAGACCACGCTCAAGAATCCAAAGACATAGTAGTATCCACTCTTGTCCTGCCAGAGGTTCTTGAACACAAACAGGAGTTCAATAAACAGCACGGCGAATGGGAGCAAACCAGTGAGGATAGGTCCATAAAAACTCTGGAGATACCACGGGTGCGGCGGGATTTGTCGCGGAATGGCATTGGTCTTCAATGGGTGTTCCCACGGTGCCGCTCGCACGTACCCATACCAGCTGCCAATGTACACCAGCGGAACTTGGATGAGCAGCCAGAGCGCCAGCAGGCCGACAAGCGTACTGAACGGGATTGCCGTGCTAGAAGATTGGGCCCACACGAACAAGTTGAGGATGAGAACAAGGCAGAATGACAATCCGGGGAAAAGCAGCGCGGTGATGAGAGTATTCTTCCGCCAGGCTGCCCCGCCAAAAGTCTTGTAAAGTCGCCCCGAGAAGTAGCCGGAGAAAAGGCCGGCGAAGACAAAAAGACCCATTCCGACACTGACGAAGCCACCACGGAAGCTGGGGTTGAGCACTCCCAAGCAGCTAAGGAGAAGCAGGCCTGTCACCATAAACAGTAACTGCATACCCGAGCCGACCAGCGGGGCAAGGAGACCGCTGTAGGCAGGCGTCCGAAAGACATCGCCATGAAGAAGCTTCCAGCCGCTGGTATCCTCGAGGAGCTCATCGTCCGAAGACATATCTGCGTCGTGTTCCACATCTGCGTCTTGATCCAAGAGACTCTCTCCTTTCTTCTCTGCGTGCCGGCCAGACTTCCGCCTGGACTGCACCTTGAGCTTCCGCTCTTCCATGGCCCCATCGCCACGTCCTTTGATATCACCTTGGACCGTTCGACTCCAGATGACAAAGACGGTCACACCGAGCACTGTGGAGATAGTCAGAGAGTTGACGATCGCGAGCCAGTGGGTCATCGCGCCCTCTTCCTGGTTGGTGAAGTACAGGTCCCAACGGTTCGACCAGTCGATATCGTTCTCCTCGCTGAAGTAGACCGAGTACGTATAAGGGATCTTCAGCGTGGCGCCGTCATCTTCGTCGTCATCCTCAGGGATGTACGACGACCCGGGGTATTTCTCGCGTAGTCGGGCTGTGTTGGGTGCAATGTACAGCTGCAGTCCTTCTTGCTCCTGGTGGACGGCCTTGGGGCAACCGTCTTCTTTGCGGTTCTCTGCCGTGATACTCTTGGGGTAGACCTCGAATCCGACAATGACCTTTCCTCCCTCTGGCTGACTCCTCCATCGGATCAGGATGGTAAAGTGATTATTTATGAAGAATCGTGGGCGACTGGTGATCGGTGAGATGTCTTGATTACCGAGCTTGAATCCAGCGGCATAATACTTGCGGCTGCGGTCAACCGTCACGAATCTTGTAGCTCCTGGCAGGTTATCCGCAATCCACTCAACCACATATCCATCCCTGACGAGTTGGCGAGCCCATTTGACATCCGACCTGCTGATTTCACGGGTACAGAGCGACTGGCACTCGACATCCTTGCCCATCTCCAGCTCGAAATCTGACGTCATGATGCGGTCTCCGCGAAGCACCTCGCCAAGATTGAGCGAGATGCTCTGCCCAGATCCGAAGGGCGAACCACCATGTTTTCTGCCACTCGGGGGACAGACAAGGGGGAGGTCGAAGTAGGCATATTGCAATTGCGTGTGGTCGGAGAAGATTTTATTGACAAGAAGAGGAATCGGATCGCCATCGTTGTAGCGAGTGATTGAGTAGCCTGGAGAGAAAATGCCCTTGTCAGTGCTGCAGGTTCAACCCAGTTCACAAACACCTACCAGGGATATAGAATGCCCAGGCGTAAGACACAAACAACAACAGCCATAGCGCCATGTTAGGAGGGCGTGGTACCCGAGGACTCATTATGAATATCGAAATCAAAGGATTAACTTTGCTCGCACTGCCCAGAGAAGAAAATGGAGCATGCACATCAAACGGGGCGAGAAAGGCGGCGGATGGGACGAAGTCGTGTAGATCACTGACTTGTCGCCAGTCAGCCTTGTGTGGGCTGTGAGCGGCGATTCGACTTCGGGGCGGACGATAACGATAGAAGGTCTCGGGTATGAGTCCGGCGCAGATCTAGGAAGGTATGGACCTGGTAGCACAGGGAACTCGCACCGCAACCAAGGCCAAGGCCCAGGGATCGGGTGGTTCAGGTCGCGGGCCAACACCCCAACGATCGGGTGGAGAACGAGTGTAACTGGCACCGAATGCCACAGAGACCGAGATCGAGGAGATGGCCACTAGAAACAAACAAGATGAAGAGAAGCGGGATTGGGGGAAAGAAAGGAAAGAGGAGAATGATCGAGACCTCGTCCACCGTGTCAACAGGGTTATGTAAGCAGCATGAAAATGGGGCAGAAATAAGCATTGGCGCAGAGCCAATCAAGCGATAGTGGGGAGCGAGTATACGTAGTTGATCGATTCTGTATTGTTATTATGTGCATGGGAGGAATCAGTGAATGAATGAAGGGATTACTATTGCTGGGGGGAATGTGGCAGAAAATGCATAGCTATGGAGGGGAGATATATATCTGGTACAGCCGAGCCACGCTATAACAATACTGCTGCGGGCAAAGACCCCAGGCGAAAGGAACAAATCAATATCTTATCAGTTGTATTTCGACAATGTCCCAGTCAAGGAACTGATGTGCAAACTGACATATGTTATTTTTGTCGTGGGGTTATCAGTCGGTTGAATATCTTTTTCCAAAAGGACGATTGTCGGATAACCGAACGGGTATAGCTTATGACAGGCGATCCATAGTATGATGGTCAGCATTTGGAACCTATGCGTATTTAAATCCTCATCTGTATTGCTCTAACTGGCACAAGCTCTCTCCTCCACCCTTATCGTCTTTCGACGCCTCTCGACTTACAATGCCTCTTCCCCAACGAGCCCTGGGCCGAGATGGCCCCAAAGTCACTACCGTCGGTCTCGGCTTCGGAAGCCTCGGCGGATTCTATGGACCAGCTGGGACACTCGACGAAAAAGTGGCCCTTTTGGAGCATGCACATGCCGCCGGACTGCATTTTTGGGACATGGCCGACATTTATGCCGACAGCGAGGATGTCGTCGGTGAATGGATTAAGCGATCTGGCAAGCGTGATGACATTTTCCTAGCCACCAAGTTTGGGCTCCAGCGCCAGCCTGATGGAAGGCACTCTTTTCGGTCTGGTCCCGAGTACGTGAAGATTGCATGTGAAAAGAGCCTCCAAAGACTCGGGGTGGACACCATTGACCTTTACTATTGCCATCGGGTGGATGGGGTCACGCCCATTGAAAAGACCGTCGAAGCCATGGTGGAGCTGAAGAAGTGAGTCTAAACAATCTGCAAATAACATGCAAGAAAGCAATTACTAACCTCCCATTGTCCTAGCCAGGGAAAGATTCGGTATCTCGGTCTGTCGGAGGTCTCAGCAGTCACGCTGCGTCGGGCACATGCCGTCCACCCCATTGCCGCTCTGCAGATGGAATATAGCCTATTCACGCTAGACATCGAATCATCGACCTCGGAGATCCTGAAAACCTGCCGCGAGCTGGGTGTAACCGTCGTGGCTTACAGCCCTATTGGGCGCGGTCTTCTGACCGGCCAGTTCCAATCTCACACAGATATTCCCAAGGATGACTTGCGCTGCACATTGCCAAAGTTCTCTGAGGAAAACTTCCCCAAGATCTTGGAGTGGGTGCAGAGATTGAAAGACGTAGCCTGTGCCCATGGAAGCACCCCAGCACAGGTCGCTCTTGCGTGGCTGCTGGCGCAAGGATTAGATATCATCCCTGTCCCGGGTACAAAGTCAACCGCCAAAATGGACGAAAACGCGGCCTCTACGCTGCTTCATTTGAGTGACCAAGAAGTGCAAGGCATTCGGACTCTAGTGGAGCAAACGGAGATCCAAGGTACTCGGTACCCTGCTGCGTAAGTGTCTCTCCTTCTGGTTTTGGAGCTTTCTATTGATTGTATAGGATGATGGAAACTATCCTCGCAGATACACCGCCACTGTAGAGTACGAGAAATGGATATATAGATGTGCAGCGTACCCACTAACTACGACATTCATCTCAGGAGGGAAACAGCACCCAAAATCCATGAAAATAGCAATAATGGGCACAGAATAAAGAGTAGTACAGTGGGACATTTGGTTGATAACGAAATAGTGAAAGCTGTCTGTAGAATTAGAGTCGAGGAGGTTGAAAGCTGTGTGTGCACTGCATCCAAAGTAGGACACAAATTCCAAAGTAGGAATCGTACAGCTGTGGACATAATTTTGACAACAGCAAAAGCTGAGTAACAACGCCCGCTTAGTTTAGTGGTAGAACGCGTCACTCGTATAATGCCCGACATGATGAATCGGCGGTTCGATTCCGCCAGTGGGCAATTTTTTTTTTGTCGATAAATATTTTCTTCTCTTTCTAAATATGCTAGCGACTACTACGCGATGCACGCACCCTTTCTGCATAATTCAATTCGACTAGGCCTGCATGGCCGTTTGTACTATGCGTCCCGCCCCCAAGAAAAGTGTATGATGCTGCGCTATAGTCTATTGAATTCTCGTAGGAGGCCTTTCCGAAAGAATGTACATCAAGGTAGAAGAACGATTTACTGGGTCCTTTTCGTCGATCTTTCTTTGTTTGACTGAGATAGAGAATAGAGAAGGTATAGTTATCTTTACGGATGAACAGTGTAAGTTATAGGTTGAAGTGCCATGCGATCTATGGATTATGCTCAATTCCAGATAGTCGCGAAAAAAGATAACTGCTATAGAGACTGACCCAAACAATCAAGCTACCACCAGCAGATCTAAAAGAAGAGAGATATGATTTGCATTGATGAGGCATGTCAAAAGGGGAATGAGAAAGTCATAACCACTAAGCAGACCGTCGCTATCGCCGAGATAGGGAAACAAAAAGCGCAGGCCATGAAAATACACTGAGGGAAACAGGACCAGAAGATGGTCACAAGAAATGAAAGACACCCAAGGCAGCACCATGCGAGTACTTCATGACGGATGGGTCAGGAGATACTCCACGGCTCCTTGCACGCTACCACCGGCTCGGCGTAGCGCCTCAATGTTCCGCTCAAACTCATAGAATCCCATATCATTCAGCTGGCGGAGCTGCTCTGCATATCTCTCCTCTGGGGGGCGGTTATCTGGCGGTTGAGGGGCACCAAAGCCACCACCACCGAACCCGCCGCCTCCGCCGAACAAAGATGCTAGGGGATTGGCACCACCTTCTGCACCCTGACCTCCGCCCATCGCCTGCATCATTTGTTGGAGCATGGCAGGATCACGAAGGAATGGATTCTGTTGAGGGTTGAAAGGATTGATTCCCGCTTGGCCACCTTGACCAGCGTTGCCTTGACCAGCACCACCGAAAAGAGCGGGGTTGAGCAGAGAAGCAAACGGGTTCTGAGGCGGTTGTGCGTTTTGACCCTCGGTGCTAGTGGTGCCCTCGGCAGAGGTGGTAGTGGTGGCATTTTGAGTACCGTCACGTTGAGTGTTGCCAGCAGCGGTGGCGTCGGAAGTCGGGGGCGGCATTCCAAAAGGATTGCCACCAAAGAGTTGCGCGAAGGGATTCCCAAAGGGATTCTGCGCCATTTGACCGAATGGATTGGCCTGCGCATTCTGCTGCTGTGCGTTTTGACCGTCTTCGGGAGTTGTGTTTGTCACGCCAGGCGCAGGGAATGCGCTCTCGCCGCCGAGTCCACCACCGCCCATCGCACGCTGCATTTGCATCATTTGCCGCAGCGAGTTGGGGTCGGTCAACATACGGCGAAATTCTGGACTCTGCATCATCTGTCGTACACCCGGACCCATATCACGGAGCATGGGATTTTGGTTGATCATCATGTCGATCATGGCGGGGTTTTGCAAGGCCTCATTGAGGCTCGATTGAACTTGGGGGTTGTCCAGCATGTTCAGCATCGATTCGGTATCTGGGGGAGGGCCCATCTAAGCATTCCAGTTGTCAGTATACAGGTTCAAGAAGGCTAGAGATCAACTTACCCCGCCATCTGGGCCGAAAAGACCCGCGCCAGGCAGTTGAGCAAACCCAGCATATCTGGCACCCGTCAGGCCCGCGAGAGGATTGTTGCCCGTACCAGCAGCAAGATTGGTAGGGACACCAGTTGCAGGTTGGCCGGTAGTGCCGGCAGCAGATGCAGGGGCAGTGCTAGCCGACTGGGCAGCCGGGTTTTGGCGCTGGTTGCTGGCCGCACTCTTCACCAAATGAATAGTGTGCCCATCCTTAATTTTGTAGGACTCCAATGTCTCGTTATCCTTGAGTACTCTTCCAGAGTAGATCAAGCGCTGCCGTTCTGCCGGAGTATCCGCATACTCGGAGCTTGAGAGCTTCTCCTTGAGCTCCGACACCGGAGTAGAGAGCGGGAGGGTCAGAGTGAATTTGGCATCGGTAGAGGACTTGACAGTGAAGGTGATGGATGTATCATCGGCTGTGCCAGCATCGTCGGCCATGGTGGCAATAGAGAGGTAGAAGCACTTGAGGAGACCGCAAGTGTGGGGTTGGCGGCTCAGCGCTTAGGGAGGAGAGAGGGAAGATACTGTCAGAGAAAAGGCAATGGCCTGCCGAGGACAGCGCCCGGTAAGAAACAAAGAAGATAGAGGGGGAGAGGAATAGGAAAGAGCAAGGAGGAAGAAGAGGTGAGAGAGTGGACAGACTTATCTTTGCCGATGATGCTCCATGTGCTATCACCCAGCTTATATAATAATGCCAGAAGGCGGTCGAATCCGATCGTTACAGGTCAGGTGACACACCCTGCGCACTGGAATTTTTGCACGAAAGCTCCACAGCTACACCTCAACCTGCTTCGACGCGACACCCTTCTTTGCCTCCGAGTTCTTGCACTGGGAGCTCGCCCTCATCTGGCTCCGTCCAGCAGCAATGGGATATTGGTGCTAGTCATACCACCTGGACTGCAATCGCGTCGTGAACTCTGGGGCTGCTAACGCCGGGGAAGAAAACACTGCCCGCTGCCCGCCATGGCGACCACTTCGCACATGTTTATGTACTCCCTAACGATCCAGCCTCCCACTGCCGTCACACAAGCCATACTGGGACAGTTTGCAGGCACCAAGGAACAACAGATCGTCACGGCGTCTGGCTCCAAACTGACCATCCATCGCCCTGATCCGGCACAGGGGAAGGTCACGCCGATCTTCTCGCAAGATGTCTTCGGCATCATTCGCTCGCTGGCGGCTTTCAGGCTGGCTGGCAGCAATAAAGGTACGTTTGCATCGTGTCCCGGTTTGCGATTTACGAGTCCAACTTAGTGATTCTTCAAGCTTCCTGGTCCTGGTTTTCCGAGCCGGCTTCTTGAAGAAGAGGGCGGGAATCTGCCCCACCTGGCTAGCGACATTGATGCTGTCTGTTGTTTCTAGAACTATACTGAACAATTCTTGTATAGATTACATTATAATCGGGTCTGATTCTGGTCGGATCACTATCATCGAATACGTCCCTTCCCAGAACCGCTTCAACCGCATCCATCTGGAGACTTTCGGCAAGTCGGGGATCCGACGAGTGGTGCCTGGTCAATATCTCGCAGTGGATCCCAAGGGACGCGCATGCCTGATTGCCTCTGTCGAGAAAAACAAACTGGTTTATGTCTTGAACCGCAACTCGCAGGCCGAGTTGACAATCTCGTCCCCATTGGAGGCACACAAGCCACAAACACTGGTTTTTGCTATGATAGCCTTGGATGTCGGTTATGAAAATCCTGTTTTTGCCGCTCTTGAGGTAGACTATTCGGAAGCCGACCAAGATCCCACTGGCCAGGCGTACGAGGAAATAGAGAAAGTGGTGGTGTACTACGAACTCGACCTCGGTCTCAACCATGTCGTTCGAAAGTGGTCTGATCCGGTTGACCGCACAGCAAACATGCTGTTTCAAGTGCCTGGAGGAGCCGATGGCCCCAGCGGCGTCTTGGTGTGTGCGGAGGATAACATCACTTACCGGCATTCCAACCAAGATGCCTTCCGTGTGCCTATCCCGCGTCGCAGTGGACCCACTGAGAATCCGGAGCGCAAACGGACCATCGTTGCTGGCGTGATGCACAAGATGAAGGGAGCCTTCTTCTTTCTCCTCCAAACTGATGACGGTGACCTGTTCAAAGTCACGATTGAAATGGCAGAAGACGATAACGGGCAGTTGACTGGTGAAGTCAGTAACTTGAAGATTAAATATTTTGATACCGTGCCCGTCGCCTCGAACCTTCTAATTCTCAAAAGCGGGTTCCTTTACGTCGCGAGTGAAGCAGGAAATCACCAATTTTATCAATTCGAAAAGCTCGGCGATGATGATGAGGAAATCGAATTCAGCAGCGAGTCATTCTCGGCTGATCCATCCCTTCCTTGCGACCCGGTTTACTTTCGCCCCCGGGGTGCAGAGAATCTCAATCTTGTGGAAAGCTTGAACTCCTTGACTCCACTGATTGACAGCAAGATTGCCAATTTGACCGAGGAAGATGCACCCCAAATCTATTCCGTTTGTGGCACTGGAGCTCGCAGCTCTTTCCGATCTTTGAAGCACGGACTAGAGGTTACCGAGATCGTGGAGTCGGAGCTTCCCAGTGTGCCTTCCGCAGTGTGGACTACTAAGTTGACACGAAGTGACGAGTTCGACGCATATATCATCCTCTCTTTCGCCAATGGCACACTCGTTTTGAGTATCGGAGAGACCGTCGAAGAAGTCACCGATACTGGGTTCCTTTCAACAGCGCCTACCCTGGCCGTACAACAGTTGGGCGAAGACTCTTTGATTCAAGTTCATCCCCGGGGTATTCGTCACATTCTCGCTGACCGCCGAGTGAACGAATGGCCTGCCCCACAACATCGTACCATTGTTGCAGCAGCTACAAATGAACGCCAAGTCGCAGTTGCTCTTAGTTCCGGCGAAATCGTCTACTTTGAAATGGACGCCGACGGGACTTTGGCCGAGTACGATGAACGCCGGCAAATGTCTGGAACCGTCACCGCGCTCAGTCTGGGCCGAGTTCCAGAAGGCCGAATGCGCAGTTCCTTCCTGGCTGTTGGGTGCGACGATTCGACCGTGCGCATCCTTAGTCTAGATCCGGACTCTACCCTTGAAAACAAATCTGTTCAAGCTTTGACCTCCGCCCCATCCTCTTTGAGTATCATGGCTATGTCCGATTCAAGCTCTGGAGGCACCACTCTTTACCTTCATATCGGCCTCTACTCTGGTGTCTATCTTCGCACCGTTCTGGACGAAGTGACTGGTGAGCTCTCGGATACTCGGACACGTTTCTTGGGAGCCAAGCCTGTGAAGCTTTTCCAAGCATCTGTCAAGGGCCAGACTGCTGCCCTGGCTTTAAGCTCTCGACCATGGCTTGGATACTCTGATATTCAGACCAAGAGTTTTATGCTTACACCCTTGGATTATATCGGACTCGAATGGGGCTGCAATTTCTCCAGCGAGCAGTGCGTAGAAGGCATGGTTGGAATTCAAGGCCAAAACCTTCGGTATGTGCTACATCCCTTTTCTTTCTTCAAGCCTTTTGCTTTTCTCCCGATCAAATGATGAAACATCAAAACCGAACATTTTATGTGGATCAAATTTTTTTCCAATTGTTCCTACTGAGATCGACCTTCTTTCGCCCATGCTACCTGCAAGCTTTTGACCATTTGACAATCTTGCTGACTTGAAATTAGGATCTTTTCCATCGAGAAGTTGGATAACAACATGCTTCAAGAGTCTATTCCTCTTTCATACACTCCTCGTCGCTTTGTGAAGCACCCTGAACAGCCCTATTTCTATGTCATTGAATCCGACGCCAACGTTTTGTCTCCCGTTACGCGAGAGCGGCTCATACAGGATTCCAAGATGAGCAACGGTGATGCCGCAATCCTGCCGCCTGAAGAGTTTGGGTATCCCCGAGGAACCGGACACTGGGCCTCGTGCATTCAGATTGTGGACCCGATCACCACCAAATCGGTGGTTTTTACTCTTGAGCTCGAAGACAACGAAGCGGCGGTCAGCGTTGCTGCTGTCTCGTTTGCAAGCCAAGATGACGAGACCTTCCTGGTTGTTGGCACTGCAAAGGACATGGTTGTCAGCCCTCCCTCCTCCTCTGGAGGCTTTATCCACATCTATCGATTCCAGGAAGACGGCCGGGAATTGGAGTTCATTCACAAAACCCCGACCGATGAGCCCCCCCTCGCTCTTCTCGGATTTCAAGGTCGCCTTGTTGCGGGTATTGGCTCGTTACTTCGAATTTACGATCTGGGTGTGAAACAGCTTCTCCGCAAGTGCCAGGCGAATGTTGTGCCCAGAGCCATTGTGGGCCTCCAGACCCAAGGCAGCCGGATCGTCGTGAGCGATGTCCGTGAAAGTGTTATTTTCGTTGTTTACAAGCATCAGGAGAATGCTCTGATCCCCTTCGTGGATGACTCCATCTCGCGCTGGACCACGTCCACGACTATGGTCGACTACGAGACCGTTGCCGGTGGCGACAAGTTTGGTAACCTGTGGCTGCTGCGTTGCCCCAGCAAATTCTCCGAGGAGGCCGATGAGGAGGGATCCGGCGCCCATCTGATCCATGAGCGAGGTTACCTGCATGGAACCCCCAACCGTTTAGAGTTGATGGTTCATTACTACACCCAGGATATTCCCACCAGTATGCACAAGGCTCAGCTGGTCGCCGGCGGGCGTGATATCGTGGTCTGGACCGGGATGCAGGGTACGATCGGCATGTTTGTTCCGTTCGTCAGCCGCGAAGACGTCGACTTCTTCCAGAGTCTGGAGATGCAACTGGCCTCTCAACACCCTCCTCTTGCGGGACGGGATCACTTGATCTATCGCAGTTATTATGCACCTGCCAAGGGCGTCATCGACGGCGATCTGTGCGAGATGTACCTTCTCTTGCCCAACGACACGAAGATGATGATTGCTGCGGAGCTTGATCGATCCGTGCGGGAGATCGAGCGCAAGATTTCGGTAAGCTTTTCCCTTTTTGGATCGTGACATGAGGGCTAACTGGATTTGTCTAGGATATGCGGACGAGGGTGGCCTACTGATTTTGCAGCGTGATTCACTCCGGCGTCTGATGCTGGCGTTCTTTGCTCTGTCTACATGTTTCAGATACCTCCGGTACAGGACAATTTATTCTTTATAATGACGCGGCTGAGGAATAGCCGCCCGATCCTCTCTCCGGGCCGACCCCTGGTCGTTCACTCTTCCCCACCCTTCCCCATTTCTAGACGACGTCTCTTGCCTCGCTCGGTCTGCCGCTCTTCAATCGGCTAATCTTGAGCTGGATGCCGCCAGCCATTTGCTGGCGGTATGAGACAAGAGGGAGCGTGTATGCGCTCCGACGTTCTTTGAGTACGGTTTTATCTGCACTGCACCACGGATATGATCGTAATTTATCAGTCGGGACAGACCTCGTATAGATGACTCCTCACCGTAATGTCTTCCATTTCCAAGAAAGATGATTGGCACCACATCTAGTTAGTTCCGTCGAATTCAAGCGGCGTTCAAGGATGCGCCTAGTTTCGTACCAGGCTATACGCTCGATCATTTATAATCTCTCAACCTGCCTATCCTGCGCAAGTTTCCCACCTCAAACCCCTCGCTCCAACAATGGGTCACACTCTTTACGACAGCACCATCGCGGTGGCTCAGTCCATCCTCGGCTCCCTGTCCTACTTTCTCCACAAAGCCGAACAACACCCCAATGCCAGCACTCTGTTGGAGGCCCGATTGTACTCGGACATGTACCCATTATCCGACCAAGTCCGGCTTGTGACGCAGTTCTCCGAGAATCTCGCGGCAAGACTAACCAGTCGGGAGCCGGTGACGTTTGAGAGCAACCTCACGACATTCGCGAAATGCTACGAGCGCATTGAGACGGCGCAGAAGGCGCTCAGCGCGGCTGACAAGGACGTCGTCAACCAACACGATGAAGTACTCGGGACTACTAAGATTGGCCCAGAGCAGACGATTGAGACGACCGCCGCTGCGTATGCCACTACCCTTGCCTTGCCGAATATCTACTTCCATCTTGTTACCGCGTATGGGATTCTGCGGAAGGAGGGGGTGCCGGTGGGTAAGCGAGACTATTATGCTGGCTTCTACCCGGGTGAAGCCGCTGGCGGTCAGTAGAGGAAGAGAAGAGCCGTCGAATGAATGATGGATAGTTTGCGGCAGCAGAGAACTATGGCTCCAAGATGGCTAGTACCTGGAGTGGTCTTGAATCTCATAAATGGACTGAGAGATCCATTGTCTTCAATGGTTCTACCATAAGCTCTTCTAGTGTCCATCGGAGTGATTTACAGCCTTTAATTAGTTACTGGCATCCTGTACTACTCTTACTCATTCAATCGACTCAAAAATCTCTACTCCTGCAGTCTCTTCCGAGCCCAATGCCGAACAAGCAGCCTAGTACTCGGCACGGTTATGGCCGGAAATATCTGGGTCTCCCGACCGACGCCCGCTAGCCGGCTACCGTCGTCCCGTATTCCCACGGAGAAGAGAATTGGGCAGAACCTGAATTAATAATTCCATTGTTTGTGTTTCTATCGTAGTAAAGCGATGACATCCCCAGACGTCAACACGCCAGGGCAGATGCTTTGAAATCCAAGGGAACCCTAAATACGAAAGGTCCGAGCCCATGATTGGTCACCTTTTACTCCTGGTGAAGCTCGGACGGGGAATGGATGAGCGGGTCAGCGGTTCACAGTGAAACCCAAATCAGTCAAAGGGCGTGCAAGGGCGCGCATGTCGCCGTAAGGCGCGGTCCACTCCTGGTTCCAGACCCACCCCGAATTCTCGGAGAATTCGGCGTCCACGGCCGCCTTTGACCGGCCGTGTTGTGTTGAGGGATGCTTCTTGGGTTTTTGATTCTGTGATCGTCTGGAATCACAGAATCACAGTAAACATGTCCACCGCCGGAGCGAGATGATCAGGCCCGGTATCATAAAGCGGGGGTGGCTCTCGAAACAATCACCCTTAACGACAACAAAAATGTCAATCCAAGGGCGTGGGTATGGGCCCGCCAACCAATCACTCCGCCTTCTTGGACCAGCCCGACTTAGCCGATACTAGATCGCGCAAGTGCTCTCTGGCCCCCCGGCTGTAGTCTCCTCTTGCAGGTTTGCGCGCCTTCGTCATCGCACCATTTCCCCCAAGGTGCTTATTCCGCTGGCTGACGAATGACTCACGACCAACTGACGAGGATGATTTATAATAATGAGTACCATGATCAGAGATCGTCCAGGACGTGGTAGATTCATTATAAGAGGAAAGGAGCCTTGCGCTGGACTCCTTCCCAGTTCTCTGTTTGTATACACCATCACATCCACCGCGCGGTTGTTGACGGCCGGCTCCACCTTATTGTGGTCCTTGCCTCTTTAGACCCAACCCATAAAGAATATCGCCTGCGATCCTTGTATCCTTTTGACTTTTGCACTCGCGACCTCCGCCGCTCTTCAGTCGTTGCGTTTACAACCCAAACCCTAATCCACCGACGCAATGGCCGCGGTCTCGGTGCTCAGCCGGGGATCCAGCTCCCTCGATATTTTGAGCAAGCGCTTGCGCCCATCAATCGACATCCATCTGGAAGGCCAGACCCCCGGCCTGGTCAATTCTTATACCACCGGCAACCACATCGAAGGAACCGTCACCCTCAGCGCCGACGTTGACACTCGATTCGACGAGGTGGAGATTATCTTGCAAGGTAGCCCTTCTCGACCGACTCGTGCACGAAGCAGCAGCTAATACCCGTTTTCCAGGCTCATCGCAGACGTCGGTGGAGCGTACGTCAAGCCCGGGCCGTGCAGGTGCCCAACAGGTGTTTCTCAGACTGCGCCAGCCGATCGATGAGACCGAGTATCCAACTCCGCGAGTGCTGGAGAAAGGGCGTACTTATCAATTTCCCTTCACATTCGTCGTCCCAGATCGGCTGCTGCCCCAGGTTTGCAAACATCCCAAAAACAATGCGCACCTTGAACGTGCTCACACCATGCTTCCTCCGACGCTGGGGGATCCCATGCTTGCCAGCAACGGTAAGACGTTGCTGGATGATATGGCGCCAGACATGAGCCGGATCGCCTATATGGTTCGAGTCGCCGTGTTGAGGAAGTCTACGGGAGAGGACCAAACCACCAAATCGCTGGCTGGGTTCGCCAAGAAGGTTCGCATCATCCCAACAGTGGAAGAAGAACCGCCCATCAGTGTGACCGAGACCTCGGGGTATTGCACACGGAAGGAGAAGAAAGTCAGGCGAGGACTCTTGCGAGGCCGACAGGGCCGTTTAACCGTATCGTCTGCTCAACCAAAGCCCCTCCAACTCTCACCCAGCTGCGAAGTAAACGACATTGGGAGCACGATGGCCACGGTGCAGCTCCGATTCGACCCCGTGGGCAACGAGCAACCGCCGCGGCTGGGCTCGTTGACGAGCAAGCTCCGCGTGTACACTTTTTACAGCGCCGAGCCCTGGCAAGACCTTGTCGCTCCCGCGGGACTCGTTCCATTCTCCCAGATGAGCCGTGGCCTATACATGGAGAATGTACCGCTATCGACGATGTGTGTGGCATCTGCGCAATGGACGAAGCACTCCGACTCCAGCCGTCGCGACTCGATGCAGTCGACCGTGTCCGAAGAATCTACCGCCGACGGAGAGATTTACTACACGGCGTCGGTCCTCGTGCCCGTCTCCCTTCCCAAGAAGAAAGCCTTCATTCCGACCTTCCAATCCTGCCTTCTGGCCCGCATCTATTCGCTCGACCTCTCGCTGTCCTACCACCCGGCGGGAAAGACCGTTCTCACGCCGACAGTTTCCCTCCGTCTTCCGATCCAGATCACCAACCAGCCCAAGTTCTCCGAATCGCTCAAGTCGGAGCTGAGCGTGACCGTCACCCAGGCCGAAATGGATGAGTTTTTCCGCCCTCGCATTGTCACTCTCCCGAATGCAGATGCGGTCGCCGAGGTAGATCCGACACGATCGGAAACCCAGTCCCTCGCGCCGCCCGAGTACTCCGAGACGTACTCGATTCCTACCGTGGCGGAAACGACGAGTTGAGTTGATCTTCGTTGATCTTCATGCGGGTCCAACATCCAACAGAGATAATTTGACCTGAATGCGACGGAAGACCACCAAAAGTTTTTCCTTTTTTCTTTCATTTGCACGGTGTTATTTTGCAGGGACATATCTCATCTATTTCTTTTGTCTTCGATATACCCCGATTACATTGTTTCATTTCACGAGCGCGGTTCTCTCTTTATTTTACCTTTTTTTTTTAACATACAGTCTCATGTACATGTTTTTGGAGAATAGTATAATATATAATAATAAGCATAATTATATCCCCCGAGCAATGGTTGAGCGCCGTGTATTGCTCGCCAAGTCAAACCGGCGGGTTCGCCCTTAACCCGTCCACGCCGCCATGTGTTTGAGATCTCCCGACAGATCATGCGACGTCCTGACGCCTCCCGGGTGGTAACTATGCCCGCCACATGGGCCGGTCGCATGGCCTGAGTGTAACATCACGGAGGGTCGACCTCTGTATGTGGTCCTGCCATTCATCCTATCGTGAACGAGTACCATCATCGTTACATCCTCCAACAGTGCCAAGTTAGTTCTCCCGGAATCACCAGCACTCGACTATCGAACTCACTCGACTATCGGATTGAGGACCGACTATCGAAGGTTTGCAGATGACAATGTCACATAGTGGGCAACCACTCACATGACGCCGACGACCCTGGATCACAGTCAATACCGTTGCACGCGATACCCGGGGAATCTTCAGTCTCAGGTTCCGTCGGGACCTGGATTTCTCAACTGAGCCATTTGCGCCAGAGCGGAATGTGGCGCTCGCTCCCCTGAACTTGCCTGAACTCCCCTGAACTCCCTCCCCTGTGATAAATCAATGACTGCCCCTTTGGATCTGACTGTCCAGGCGGATGCGACACTTGGAGCTGCAGCATCGAGCCGGGGAGGGTGGGCTGGCGTCGAATCGTATGGCCCCATCTCCGAACAATAGGTCCAACAGAGCAGGTCACCCTCTAGGTAGCGCTGAGGCTGCGAGGGCTGCAAAGGACCCTGGATATGTTACAGCCGCCATGACTGGATGCCTTGGCGGATGGATGGTATGGGAAGTATGTAGGTAGAGGCCATTGTCCTGCTGGACTACAAATAATCCATGTTTCCCTGTCTTCTTCTTCTGCTTCGTTCTCTCCTTGACTAACTGACTCCTTACCTTCACCTCGCTGGCACGAGTACATCCACTCCTTCCACTCACCCCCTTGATGCTCCCGCGCGATTATGCGTTTCGTCATTCCTTTCCTCCTGGGTCTGGCGTGGCTCGTCAATAGCTCTGTCATTCCGTCGCGTGGAAGCGATGTCGTCGAGCTGGCGCCTCGCGCTACAAGTTCGGGCCTGCGCTCCGTGGTATACTTTGTGAACTGGGTGAGTTACCTCTTGTTCCGACTTTGGAGTCTAGTTATTGACCTGCCTTACTTATGCCAGGCCATCTATGGCCGAAACTACCAACCCCAAGAACTCCCCGCGGAACGGCTGACGCATGTACTGTATGCGTTTGCCAATGTCCGCGGCGACACGGGAGAGGTATTCCTCTCCGACACGTATGCTGATCTCGAGAAGCACTATCCCAGTGACTCGTGGAATGACGTTGGCAACAATGTCTATGGCTGCGTCAAGCAGCTTTTCCTGCTCAAGCAGAAGAATCGACAGTTGAAAGTGCTGTTGTCGATTGGTGGCTGGACGTACTCGCCTAACTTTGCGGCGCCGATGGCTACTGATGCTGGGAGGAAGTTGTTTGCCTCGTCCGCGGTTGAGCTGGTCAAGGATCTGGGTTTTGATGGACTCGATATTGACTGGGAGTATCCTGCTAATGAGACCCAAGCCGAGAACATGGTCTCTCTATTGCAGGAAGTTCGCTCGGTAGGTTTGAAAAAAAAACTCTCCTAGGCCAAACTTGCTAATTTTATCCTCAGGCTTTGGATGCCTACAGCGCAGCCAACGCTAGTGGCTACCATTTCCTCCTGACGGTTGCGTCTCCTGCTGGTGAGTCTCTCCCTGTTTGTGATGATTACCCTCTGACTAACGAGCCACAGGTCCCGCAAACTACCAGAAACTGAAGATGGCCGAGATGGACCAGTACCTCGACTTCTGGAACCTGATGGCATACGACTACTCCGGCAGCTGGGACACGATTGCCGGTCATAACGCGAATTTGTACAACTCGACTTCCAACCCAAGCAGCACTCCCTTCAACACCGACCAGGCCATCAAATACTACATCGCCAACGGCGTAAGCGCCAACAAGATCGTAATGGGCATGCCAATATATGGGCGATCGTTCATGGAAACCGACGGACCCGGCACGAACTTCACCGGCGTCGGCAGCGGGAGCTGGGAGGACGGCGTGTGGGACTATAAGGCGCTGCCGCAGACTGGCGCGCAAGAATTTGTTCTCGACCAGCCCGTTGCTAGCTACAGCTATGACTCCACAAAGCGCATGATGATCAGCTACGATACCCCGGAGGTGGCGCTGGTGAAGGCGAAGTACATCCAGTCCCAGGGACTGGGCGGTGGGATGTGGTGGGAGAGTAGCAGTGACAAGAACGGCAGCGCTAGTTTAATCACCACGGTATGGTTTTTTTCTTTTGCTCTCATTGTTGTCAATACTGATTTCCTCTTTCTTGTCAGGTTGTTACTCAGTTTGGAGGCCTCGCTGCTCTAGACCAGAGCCAGAACGAGCTGAACTACAACGAATCAGTCTACGCCAACATGGCAGATGGGTTTGCCTCGGGCTAGATCAAGGCTGTGATAATTTATGACAGAACATATCGGTCATATATTCCCTTGCATGTGATATTACGCTCGTTATGACCATTAAGTTTGCCAGAGACACGTATGATACGCTGATTGAAATACAGACGTTGAATTTTGCGTATATATTAACGCGGTAAAGCGTAAAGACCGGTCAACGAGTAAAGACAGAGCCCTAACTATCCTCTTCCACGATAGAGTTCATCGCCACCTCTCCATCTGTATCAATTTATCGATTGCTCTCATCTCTAAGCTCCTTCTCTCGTGCAGCATCATTGATTGACCCTGCAGACGGCGTCGAGGGAGAAGTGCTATCATCACCCTTATCATTGGCAGCACGAGCTTCTTTAGCACCTTCCTTTCGTCTAGTCAACCCGCGGTAGACCTCGCCCATCTGCTGGAGTCCACCATCAATAAGTGGGTAGAAAATGGCAACTAGCATTGTGCCCCAGAGCCAGATGATGCCGACAACCACCCAGGCGATAAAAAACTAGATGCATACCGGTTTAGTATTTCCTTCACAAAGCGCAAGCATGAAATAACCCACCTTCTTCTCAAACACATATTTCGACCCGTACATAGGCAACGGCCACAACACCCAGTGGCCTAAAAACGTAGCAGCCGCCCAGAAAGCCGCAATACGACCCCATCTCTTCAATTCCTGCGCATCAGTTGCCGCACTTTGGACTCCGCCTTCTTCAAGACGGGTCTCCTTGACCCCATGCGCCGTGGTCAGGTCATCCTCCAACTTCTCCAGCGCGAGCTTCTCTTTCTTGAAGTCCGCCCAGTCGTAGTTCTGCGGTTTGAACAGCGTGATCAGCACCGAGTAGGGGATGGGCGAGAAGCATGATGCCACTGTGCCGTAGACGCAGGGTAACACTTCGCCGGTTGTTGCGACAGAGACCGTGCCGTAGAAGTGCGATGCGGTTCCTAGCCAGACTGCGATTCCTGTTGCTAGCCCCAGCACCGGGGAGAGGATGGCGGCTGCGGTGCTCTGGCGTCTCCAGAGGATTGTGAATACCATCGGGAAGATTCCAGGGCAGGTTACCACGCCTAGTGGGATTGATTAGGGGGTTATAATGATTATGTATGGGGATAGAATTACGTACCGAGCATGTATAATGTCCAGCCCAGATCGACGCCAACATAATGCAGCATCGTGCTAAATCCAGCGGAAAATGCAGCGAAGAAGATCACACCAACGTGACTGGACTGAATCATATCGCGGTCTGTTGCGTTCTTCTTGAAATACTCGCGGTAGACGTCGAAGCTGAGAATCGAGCTGACGGCGATGACCTGGGCCGAGAGGGTAGATGTTACAGCCATGAAGGTGATTAGAAGCACCGCTGCGGCGCCGCCTTTACCGGCGATAGTCATGGCTGCGTACGGAAGTACCAGGCCGTTGCTGACCTCGGACGAGGTCATTCTCTGGAGTTCTTTATTAGCGCAGTATCACTTTTGGGGTTTATGCAACTACGCGTTACGCTTACTCTCGGATATGTTGGGAAGTCAGGTTGGTTCTCCAGGCCCAATGCCACAGAGCTCATTATGGTTCCCAATGCCCAGGGAATGGCAAAGTAGGCAACACCACCGATGGTATATCCCGGCACAACAGCTGCCGGAGAGGCCGAGAAAGCTTTGATAAAGTAGCTGGTGTCCATCTGAAGGAGCAGTTAGTAATGCTTTTTAGACTTGGGTCCCGGATTCTACTTACAATGACCAACCCGAAGTTACAGCAGCAATGGAGAATTCCAAATAGGATGGCCTAGTACGGGAATTAGCGAGTTTTTAGAATAAGGAGGATCAGTCCTAACTCCTTTGGACGTCATCGTCAAGTACGTGCCATCCTGGTTACCGGCAACCGGGTGACGCTGAGCCGCATTCTTGACGAGCTCGAATAGATTACCCACAGAACCGACCTGGGGACTCGTGAAGGCTTTGACTGAGAAATAACACGCCACAATGACAATGACGGCCGTATGGAAGTAGTCGGTAAGGAAACTGCAACGGAAGTCAAAAATATGTTTCAAAAGGTGGTTAGAGATCAACTCACGTAGCCTTGATACCACCGACAAAAGTGTACACCGTAACACCCACTGGGAGCAGGAAAGTTGCGGCAATAATATGCATCCCAGACCTGTTATCAATTAGCGAGATTATGCTCATGATATCAACAAGTAGCTTACATGGCCGAGATGACTGCTGCGGCACCGAGAAGCATGTTCGCACAGGCGAAGATATTGTTGATCAGACACAGAATCATGAAGACGATGTGGGCCGTTCGTCCTTTTGCAAGCAATTAGACTCGATCAGCAGGGCGGATCTCAACAACGTACCATATCGAATACGAACCACTTCCAGCGAAGTGTGTGCCTCTGGGATCTTGCGTTTGCAAGAAATACCCAGTAACGCAAAGAACACGATCATTGGGCTACAACCAGCAGCAAACCAAAAGGGACCAGCAACACCGTAGGAGTAACCGACGAATGAGGAACCAAGCAATGCAGTTGACCACAGCCAGGACTACAGAGGTGATAGATGTCAGTTGGTATACAACCGGCAGGAGAGGGATGGAACGCACCGATATCACAGCCGAGGCAGTCAAACCAGTTCGAACTGTTCGGTTTGCTGTCATGAACCTATTGAGTGTATGAGTATGTGCTTGGAGTTAGGGGTGCAAATAAAAATCTACATCTCAGTCTTCTTGTTATCCTCTCCGGTTGTTTGTTTCAAGACCTTGGTGATAAGCATCATGACTGGCCATTGTGAGCTGCGAAGGCCAATTTCGATATTTCTCAGAATTGTAACACATACCCAGGGCGACAATGATACCGACCACAAGGACAACAATATATCCAACCGCCTGGGAAAGAGGGGGCTGGACACTTGAAATGCCATCACGAACATGCAAGCCCGACATGACGGGCAAGTCTCTGCAAATCAATATAGAATGTGAGTGAGAAATATGTAAAATTTGTCCAATTTCCAGACAGTCGACGTTGAGACTTATATCGTGCCAAAGTGGCAATGTAAACACACGATCAACACTTGGTACCGAGTGCGTGGAAAGCCAAGGGCTCACGTATGCTTAAAAGCATATTGATTTTTCAATGCAGCACGCACCCTTACCCAAGAACAGGGGGGTGCAGGATCCCGAGCCACGCGAATCCATGGGGTCTGAGTCGTCAGAGCGAGTGAAGATTATGGATCCGCAATGGGTTGATTTATGCAAACGATGAGGTGCTCGAGTATTAAAATGATGCGGCGGTAGAATTCGGGTTTGAGTTTGGTTTTTGATAGGTTTCGAGATGGTGTCATATAAGAATTGTGAATCTTTTATTTGACGAATTTACTAAATTCTTTTATCAATTTCTTGCTGAACTTTTGAAAGAAATAGTCGACTATCGAACCGCCATCGTGATCGCCGCGAAGATTAGGGCAGGCCTAAATGGCAAAGGCTACTGACCACCCGACTGATATAACTGTCAATTCGGGATGAGCAGCCGACTAACAGCCTGACACCATCACTGATGTATCAGAAGCGAAGGCCTGGGCCATTTGTCCTTATCAGAAAGGAACGTGGGGGGCCTGGGAGTCTCCAGCCGGAACCCTAAAACATCACACCAGAGCAAATCTCACGTCTCTCGCCCGAGAAAAGACAAAAGAAGTAAAGGTCTTGCAGGGTAGCTTGCACATGCTCAAGCCTATTCTCATATTATCCAGTAAGATTGAAAGCTGCATTTTAATGCCCCTCAAGATCTCCCGGATCGCGCCATTATGGCCCACATTGATGCTATAGGGATTCTAGGTTGCAGTGACGTACACGGGGAATGCGGCAACTAAGGTCCTCGGCTATTGTGATACAAATTACTGAAAATGTCTTGGAGATTGTGGCCTTCCATAATCGAAATTTATTCGAGTGAGACGTGTCGAGTTCATTGCGCTAGGGTTTGGCTGTACATATCAACTTCACTGTTTCGAGCCCATCCAAACACGCCAGAGCATTCTCAAAGAACAAGACATAAAAGTCAATCATGGCTGCAAATGGGAATACATCGGGAGACAAGGCCCGCAAGTCGCTTATCCTCAATGCTTTCGTTGAGATGTGTAAGTACTCCTGCTTAGGATCGCGCCAGATTGGTATATTTTGGCATCTAACCCAGTTTACAGGCAGTGGCCATCAATCACCCGGCTTATGGCGCCATCCTGAAGACGAATCTCATAGATTCAATGATATTGACCACTGGACCGAGCTGGCGAAGCTTCTGGAGGATGCCAAATTCCACGGTATCTTCATTGCCGATGTATTAGGTTAGTAGCGAATCGAAGATTTGCTATGAAGTTGATCTTTAATACAACCACAATTTCTGCAGGAGGATATGATGTTTACAAAGGACCCAGAAACCTCGACCCAGCGGTTGTGTCGGGTGCTCAGTGGCCAGTGAACGAGCCGCTGGCTGTCGTTCCGGCGATGGCAGCAGTGACCAAAAACATCGGGTTCGGCGTGACGGTCACCACAACATATGAGCAACCTTACCATCTCGCGAGACGCTTGTCTACCGTTGATCACCTCACGAAAGGACGGTAAGGAAAAACCAAGCCCAGTCGCTCAACAAGATACGTAACTAACAGTTTATTACAGGGTTGGATGGAACGTGAGTGCCATTCAAAGCTTGACTGGGAACGTCTGAGGAAAAACTGACATACGTATCTAAAGGTTGTCACTGGCTACCTTGATTCTGCTGCTCGAAACTTGGGTGCAGCTGAACAACCTAATGTAAGCTCTGTGCCACCTGTTTTTGCCGAACAACGGTAACTAACAGTGCCTAGCATGACGACAGGTATGCGGTTGCAGAGGAGTATATCAAAGTAACCTACAAACTGTGGGAATCATCATGGCGCCAGGATGCCGTGGTCCTAGACCGTGAGCGCGGCATCTACACCAACCCAGAGCTTGTGCGCCAGATCAATCACGTCGGCAAGTATTTCAATGTGCCGGGCCCTCATATCTGTCAACCCAGCCCGCAGCGAACGCCGGTCATCCTGCAGGCTGGCACCTCCAAAGCCGGCAAGACTTTTGCGGCGCAGCATGCGGAAGCCATCTTCGTGGCAGGCCACAGCCCGTCCGTGGTGGCCAAGAACGTGGCTGAGATCCGCCAGCTGGCGAAGACGGAGTACGGACGTGACCCGCAAAGCATCAAGTTCCTGGCGCTTTTGTGTCCGGTTTTGGGCAAGACAGAGGAGGAAGCCCTTGAGAAATTCAAGTACTACCGTAGCCTTGGCTCTATTGATGGTGCTCTCGCTCTGTTCGGAGGCTGGACTGGTATCGATTTGAACAAGTATGAAGAGGAAGAGGAGCTCCGGCACGTTCAGAGTAATGCCATTCGGTAGGTGGATTTCTCACGAAATGACATCCACCAGAACTGACTATCTCCTAGTTCCGCTGTGGAGGGCTGGTCCAAGGCTACGCCGGAAGTCGCTAAATGGACCAAGAACACTGTCGGCCAGCACATCACCGTCGGCGGTCTCGGCGCCACTCCTGTTGGCACGGCTGCACAGGTCGCTGATGAAATGGAACGCTGGGTCGAGGAAGCAGATGTCGATGGCTTCAATCTGGTATGATAAACTGAACCCTAAAACCCATTCAACCCTAACTGGCTTGTTTCTCTTAGGCATACGCCGTCAAGCCTGGCTCATTCAAAGACATCATCAACCTTCTCATTCCTGAGCTTCGCCGACGCGGCTTGTTTTGGGATGACTATGCGGTGCCCAAGGGCACGTACCGTGAGAATCTGTTAGCGCAGCCGGGTCAGTCTGGTCCTCGTGCGGATCACCCGGCTTCGAAGTACCGGTGGAATGCGGGTGTCGATGCTGCAAAGGCCCCTGTTCCAAACTGAGTGTCAAGCCTGATTCTGTAAATGACTTACGAGATGTGAGGGCGAAGGAGGGACCAGAGGAATGTCGGCTATTTGTGTTTCTTCGATGTCTAAATTGCGACACTTATCCTTTCCTAGAAAATGCATATGTGATGAAGAAATCATGCGAATGAACGTACTTTTGTTCTAGAACTGAGTGCCTGTCTGTCCAAGGATCTATATAAACTCCGAAAATGCAGGGATCTTTTTACATGGCCACCAAAGATGACGGCAAACAACGAGACTCCTTCAAGTCAACATATCATCAAGTCTCTCGCCAAGGACACCCTCGATCTGCTTCACCCACCTCCGCACTTCTCTCTCCACGTTCTCGTCCTCATCTTCCATCAACTCGCTGATGTACGGCAGCATCTCCGGAAGGAGTGCAAGCCATTCTTCACCAAGCTGCTCCGTGAGCGCCTGCTCAGCCTTCAAAGCCGCAAGACGGGTATGTGGGTTATCGCCGCCAGCAGACCTAGCATTAGGGGCAGTCGAAGGACGCAGATATCTCATAAGAGCAGAGTTTAGCTCTTTATGATTATCCGTCGAATCGGCAGCGATGGCAAGCTCCGTGATGGCAGGCACCGCCTCGGAAATGACCAGCTTTGCCGTAGATGAATTGGTAGCGTGACCCAGTTGCGAGATCAGAGGCCCGGAGATACTGGCGAGATGGGAAGGAGATTGCCAGAAGTCATCTTGGTCATGTTCGAAGGAATTGTGCAGCATGCGCAGTGACGCCAACCAAAGGGGCTTTGAAGCTTTGTCGGTTGGACTGGCCACGCCAAGCACCTCAACCACGTTCTCGAGAATGTAGCTCGAGTAACCGGTGACGATTGACTGAAGAGTACCGAAGAAGACCTGGAGGAATTTGTAGAGCGTCGTAAGTCGTGCCAGTCGGCTCTGTTGGTCCTTCTTGGATGCATCGGTGGTGGCCCACTCCACAAGTTTGATAAAGAGGGGCCGGAATGTGCTGTCGTTGAGCTTGTAAATCATCTTAATCGTGACGTCGTTGAGTGTCGCTTCTACTTCGTCAATATCGGCAGAGTCAAAGACGGCCCGCTCGCCAAGTGCAACTTGCTCGCGACGCAGATCAAATGCTTTAAAGAGAATCTTGGTGAGAACATTGATGTTCTTGGCAATGGCTGATTTGGGATGCTTCTCGACAGCGACACTGAGAATCTGCAGAGCTTCATGGGTGGCTGCCGGGCCGGCTTCCACCCCGGGTTGCCAATTGCGCTCAACTGCACCCAGGGTTGCGCTCAAATCAACTTTTCGTGCCATCAACCGAAGAGCTTCTTGACGGCCCTCATCGCCGCTTTCTTCCATATCAGAATTGGCGGACTTGAATGAGAGAAGCAAAACCTTGTCCAAGTGAGCAGCCGAGATCATGTAGGGCAGATGGACAAAGAGGGCGGAGAAGAGAGAAAACACGGCGTCGTGCAGCCTGGAGTTCTCCTTTCCAGGAGCAAGACTGAGATCTAGCAAGTTCAGAGACTGGCTCAAGGCATCTGGAAGTGCAGGAATCATGGCCTGACCAAGCACCTCTGCCATAGACGCAAGACACAGTACACCCATGATCCGAATGCGGTCATCAGCTTGGCCGATACAAGATTCACTGGCGACAACCTTGGCAGCAGGGATGACCTTGGATGGATCTTTTCTGCCGTATTTGTCGGTGATACGATCGATACAAGCGACAGCGGCATGTTTGAGGAGTGTATCGGGCGATGATTCCACAATATGCACCAAGTTGGGCAGGAAATCAAGGACACGGATCTGAGAGACACTGTCACGCTCAGGGTTTCCACGCAGCCTAGTCTCAAGGAGACGGAGAACCTTGCGCCGAAGTTCATCATTTGGTCCCTGCAGAAGGACTTCAATCGTGTCCAAGAAGTCGACAAGAGACAGAGTACTAAACAAGGAGCCGAGAACCTCGCCGCACGCCTGACTCACAGACTTTATGCTTTGCACAGAGTCGCCAATGGCCAGAACTTGTTCCAAGATACGAGAGAAACAGCCGCGGACTTGGTCAGCATTTTCACCTTCCGATTCAAAGGCGGTTTCAATCTTTGACTTGAGAGACGAATGTTTGAGCAGGTGAGCCAACACGCGCTGCAGGTCGACAGCCACCTTCTGAGGGTCGCGCCCGTCATCACTTCCAATTCCCAACAGAACCCGTGAGATACCAGGCTTGGTCTTGAGTGCATCGCTGACGAGGTTGAGATACTTGCTGTAGGTCGTGAGCTCCACAACAGCACTGGCATCCGAAACTAGACCCGTCATGAGCGTAAGGACATCCTTTTCTGTCGAGTACCGATTTGCAAGCATTGCTAGCACCGCGAACAGGAAATCCTGAGTTCCAAGTTTGCTGATCAGAGCATGGAAAAGGCGGAGACGGCGGTGGGATGGGATGTGCTCAAATGCAGCAGTGAAGCTGAGGAGCAACTCCGACGTTCCAGATACAATGTCCCTCTTTTGGTTGCGCAACGACTGAATAAGCGCTGGGACAACCTGATCGATAGTCTGGTCGATCACGGACACCGAGTAGTCATCGTCCTTGCGGAGAACGCTGGAGCCCATGAATGTGAAGATCGGCATCACACTGTGAAGCACCAACTCGGGAGCAATTACGGATAACCCAGCCACGAGAAGGAGGGCGGCATTCTGTACTTGAGGGCTGTCGGTTGTCCGTACACAATCCACTACCAAATCAGCGCGAATAACCGATGGATTAAACTGAGGCTTCGCAGCTCCCTAGTCCCAGTTGTCAGTGATAGACAGGCAGAAATGAAAAAAGGGTCCTTACTTTCGATTTGTTAACAATAGCCAAAAGGCCTCCCAAGGTTAGACTGAGCAGATACGTCATGCCAGACTGTATCTGTGACTTGAAGTGATGAAGAGCAGCAAGGGTTTGGAACAGTCCGTCGGCCAACCCAGGATGAGATTCTGGTGCAGAGCTATCCACAATCTCGAGAATGAAAGTCATCTTGTTCATCAGCTTGCTGAGCTCAGCTTCATCCTTGACAGTCATAGCGACCATGTTATTCTGACTGGTGCGTCTCCGCTTGGGCGCAGGGCCAAGAGCTTCAATGTCTGTGAGAGACACAGGGATCTTCGTAATGAAGTTAACTAGGACGGGCCCCGGAAGCTCAACACTGCGAAGGACATCCCGGCAGCTGTTTGCTAACAACGAGCTATCTGTGGAAACTCCAAGTGAGATGTCCAGCAGTTTCTCAGACACGGAGAGTTGACCATCCTCTGGGATTTTGGTCCAGGCCTCCTTCATTCGAGCGAAACAAGCGGCGACAAATGAGGGTCTTAAGGACTCGGTGCCAGAGCTGACAGTCGACAAGAGGGAATTGATAGCATCCTTGTCTTTCGACGTGACAATGGCTGCCATTTGGTGATCCATATCAGTAACCGACAAGCGCTCCTTAGAACAAATTTCATCAACGGCCTTCTGATTCAAGTCACGCCATTTCTGTAGCAAAGGGAGGAGTTGTTGAGTTCGGGTTGTTCCAGAGACCTTATCGACACGGTTGATCACCGACAGTAAGACAAATTTAGGTGCAAAGGTTGGCATGTTGATCGCTTGCGAGCAGAGGAAGTTGAAAAGGCTTAGCCGAAGGGACTTTTTCAGCTCCTCACCACCAGACTCTTCATGCAATGCAGTTCCTCGCAAGGCAGCCTCCATGACTTTTCCAACGTGGCTCGAGTCGAGAATACACTCTTCCAAGGCCGGAAGCAGTACGCGCTCCAGCACTTTTGTTGTATCACGCGCCGAGAGCCACGGAATGTCGGCTGCGTTTTTGCCTTGACCATATATCGTATTATAAGCCCACGGCTTTTTAGAGTCGTCATCGGCCTTGTTGCTTTTCTTGTAGAAGGAACCAATTACAGCCAACACACCAGCTGTCTCGCGGCGGATCCGCTCAGAGGGATCTGAAAGTGCAACAACTAGGAAAGGTAGCAGCGCTTGGGGGTCAAAGTCACCAGGAGCCGACGCGAGAGTGGATGAGATGACAGTCAAGGCGGCAACCTTCGTTCCAATAGGATAAGGACCCGAGAGTACTCTGATGAAAAATGACAAGAATTGAGGGGTTTTTGTGGCCTCAGTTTTGCCCAAAGCTGGCAAGTTGGTGAAAAGGTCAAGCCGGTCCTTAGATTCGGCACCCAAGACAAAGGCCTGCACCAAGCTATCAAAGTCCGGAATCGATTGCGCACTGAGGAAAGAGGAGGAGAAAAGAGATTTCTTCGACAAAGATTCCAGAGCTGGGGTAAATCTGTCCACATCCTGATCTTTGTCCGCATCTTCCATCTCCACATCTGCGATTGCTGGTGACGGAACAATGGCCTCAACCACAGTTTGCAGATTGTGTTCCAGGGCAGGGACATTGACGGATGGCTCGGCCAGGGCTTTCTGGAAGATGGGTTGAAGAGATTCCGACCTGCTGAAGCCTTGAACCAACTCAGCGAGGCGTGTCTGATTGTCCAAAGATATCCCGCGAGTCTTGTCGGAATTGCTCGCTGCTTCAAGCACCATAGTCAAGGCATTGCTGAGGTCGGTGTCGCCAAGTAGTTTCTCGTCAAAAATTGAGGACAGTAAATTTAGTCGCGCATCGTCCTTTTGTTTATCGAGGTCGCTGAGACAGCTAGCCACTAATCCGAGCAAAAGCTGCGATGTTCGGTATTGCGAGGCGACCTCAGATAGGTTGTTGATAGCATTGTCAAGTCGAAGAATAGCTTTAAACACCTTTTTGGGGAGGATGGTCGACGGCTTTTGCTGTGCGAGAACAGAGAGACAGATAAGGCCGGAGCTCGTGGTTTCCTCTGTCCAGGAGCTCACCACGCTCTCCATGAGACTATCAACAACGTCGTCCGTGAGTGAAGCCTTTTGGGCTAGGACGACACTGATCATGTAGGAGCTGATGATCAATTCGGGGACGTTCTTCATCGTGAATGCGGAGCTCAGGACTTGAAGAACGCGCAAGATGATATCTTCGTGCTTCTGCTTCTCTGCTTCTCTCCTTCCCGAGCGAGCAGCATCAAGCATGGCAGCCACTGCCTCGGTGACGATCCCGGCCCAGAAAGAAAGTAATGCATGACTTTGCGCCTGCTGTCGGCACACCTTAAGGACATATTCATTCAACGCCGAGAAAAAAGGTTTGTTCGTAGTGGCACTGTGCACGAGAGGGTGTCTGGCCGGGTTGATCAGACTGTTCTTGTACGGGTAAAGGACTTTGAAAGTCGGAGTGAGGTCGTCAGGCAGAATCGAGAGCAGGTTGAGGAAAAGAGGGGTCGTGTGGTAGGGAAGGAAGGTTAACAAAACACAAGCAAGGTTGTGCTCGTGAACTCTGCAATTTTTGTCAGTTCCATCTCACCCCATCGAACCGAGACGGGAAAAGTCTGCCATACCTAAAACGTCTGACAAGCCAATCCACAGCCTTGACGGCGGGGCTCAGCTGTAATCTGCCTCCAACCAAAGCAAGAAAAGCCTCTATCACGGTGTCCAGTTCCTGATTTTGAGCCGCACTTAGTTGGGTACGGTCTTCGGCTTTGCTCTGTTCGCTGAAAATCGAGCGCTCAAACTCGGTGAAACGGGGGTCCAAGGAACACAGCTCTTGGAAGCCTTCATAGCAGATATCGAAGATCGTGTCGAAATCCTGCGACCCGGCAACCTTCTGGTCGAAGATCAGTGATTGCGAGTGCGAGATTCTCTGCGCTTTCAAGTCGAGCTCGTGAGTCGACTTTGCCGCAATTTGCGACAACTGTGCTGCAAGGGACGAGGCCATTATGGGTGACTGGTAAATCTCACAGGCCAGAGTCCATCGCTTCTGGGGTCGTCGCAGGTTCAGAAACTGTTGATCCGCGGGAACTTTTTTTTCTGCTTGGCGCAACAACGTTTCTCCGGTATCTATATCTCTCGCACTCCGCGATAACTAAACCGAACCCAAGTCGCTGCCATCCACCACGATGGAGGCCGGGGTGAGTGCAAATAGCCGATACTCTTGCAACTGCAGGATACTAACTCACAGTCAGAAGTCTGTCCCGCGGTTTGCCAGCTTCAAGCGGCCGCCGCCAGCCCCGCCAGAGCTCCAACGCGCGTCAGATCGCGATGGCGCGACCTCCGAACGAGACCACGAGGATCATCGCCACCCGAAACGTCGTCGTCGGGACCGTGAGGATCATGAGAAGGAGTCTCGGGAACATAGAAAAGAGTCTCAGCGATCAAGGGACCATCGTTCACACCGATCAGAGAATCGCACCCGCTCTCCTCACAGCAAGCGCCGTCGGTCTCGCGAACGTCCTGCGGTGAGCTCGGAAAAGCACCGTGAGCATGAGAAAGTCCGCTCCTCGAACACAATTGAACGACCCCGAGCTAGATCTCCCGCCGAGACGAACGACATTTATGTTATCGACCGCAAGGGCGACCGGGACATCATCACATACGGCACAATTCACAGATATAGCATACCTGAATATCACCGAACTGGCGCAGGATTTGTCATTGGAATTCCGTCGTCATACCGGATTGATCGTGACTTGACCACTCTCGACAAAGTGGTTTTGAAGCCTTCAGCAGAGTTCGCGAGGGCCGCCGGCTCAACCAAATCTCTGTTCAAGTCTCGTATTCGGACCACAGACCATGTCCGCATACGCCCAGGCTCTCTTTCCCGTCCTGCAGAAGATCTAGCAAAAGACTACCTTCCATTCAAGACCAGGCGTCGTCCCAAATACGCAGCAGGCGAAATCCACTCGGAAGATGAGCGGCATGCCTACCGATCCATCCTGGGTAAAGCGAAGCCTGAAGATATACTTTCTAGCGATGAAGAGCTCGTGTTGGGCTCAGAATCTGAAGGCGATGAGACTGCTCGGTCTGACCCGGATACAGAGATCCGACTTCGCAATGCAGAGCTTTCTCGGGCTGTGGAGAATCATCCTCACGATGTCAGCTTGTGGCTTCAGTTCATTGATTATCAAGACCTTCTTATCCGTGGTTCACGAGCAAAAGATCAGTCCTTAACCTACGCCGAGCGGCAGGGCTTGGCCGATATCAAGCTTAGCCTTTACGAGAAGGCTCTGAAAAAAGCCGGCAAATCTCCTCTTACAGTTCGCTTGTTACTTGGGCGATTGGAAGAAGGAGGGAAAATTTGGGACACCAAAACACTTGCGGCAAAATGGGAAGCCGCTCTCAAAGCGCACCCTGGGTTCATCAGTCTCTGGGTCAAATACCTCGACTTTCGCCAGACTGAAACAGTTGATTTCACTTATTCCAGGTCTGTGAAGATTTTCATCGAATGCCTGACGCTCAATGCATCCAACACAGCCGGGTCTCAGAGAAATCAAATTCAAGGCTACCTCTTTCTGCGTTTAACACTCCTTATTCGAGAAGCGGGTTTCCTGGAACTGGCTGTAGCTCTCTGGCAGGCGATTCTCGAATTTACTTGCTTCCGGCCGAACTCTCTCATCGAACAAGGCCATCGAGAAGAGGCTCTTACACGATTTAAGGAATTCTGGGAATCTGAACGGCCTCGCATTGGAGAAAAAGGTGCGCAAGGCTGGAATCATGGAAACGGTCTGGAGGTTGAATCTTGCACATGGAATCACCACCACAAAATAGAGACCCGGCGTATGTTCCCTTCTTGGGCAGAGACTGAGCGGGAGCGGATTGGTAATGGTCAAATGCCTGCTCGATCCTTGGATGCAGGGGATGAGGATGATCTCAACCGAGTGGTTCTTTTCGAGGACTTGCAGGACATTCTGTCCTTGTTTTGGGACTTAGAATCTGTGGATGAGCTGATCGATGGCTTTTTGTACTTCTGTCACTTACCCCATCTGGCAGTTGCTGAGAATTCACAGACGACCCGTCTGTGGAGTGGGGACAATTTCCTACGCAACGAATTTTTGGACAACCCTCTCTATCACCTCGAGCAGTGGGTCGCTCGCTCAGAAAACGATGCATCTACGCCCTCGATGTCACCATTCCTGTTTCGACATCACAGCTTTCTCCACACCACTAGCACATACTTTGCAGATTCCGGTTCGTGGTTTGCTTCATTTGAAGCATGGAAGATTGTCAGCTCAACCCATTCATCTATCATCAACTCGGAATGGGTGCGCCAGTCCCTCAGGTCTTTGGTGGAGACCAATCCTCAGGACGATGAGTTAGCCGAGTACTCTTTGGCAGTCGAATTTGCATGCGACGTAAATGTGGCGAAACGATACGCAAAACAGCTCTTGAAAAAGAGGTCATCAAACATGCGACTTTACAACTGTTTTGCGCTGATGCAGCATCGTTCTGGTAGTCTTTCAATTGCTGAGCATGTGTGGTCCACTACCTTATCAATGACTTCGAGCTTTGAGGAACGAGACCGAATTGATTGCGGCATTCTTTGGAATACCTGGATTTGGGAGTGCATGCAGAGCGAAGACGTCTCCCGTGTACGAAAGCTTCTGCACGCCATACCGCATAACAGCATTGATTTGAAGAAACTCGAGGAAAATGAATATCCACAACAATTCATCGCAACTAACTTCCTGCGGATCCAGAATGTAAGCACGCCTGCTCTGTGAAAGTGTAAATCGACACTAATTGTCTACAGTATCTGTCCAACGCACAGGAAACCGCGATCGGGTACAGGAAACCCCAAGTCTTTACCGCTTACAGCGACTGCCTTGCGATTCTGGTCTACTTCGCAGAAGCATTAGCCTTCGAAAAGTCTCTCAAGGTTTACAGTTCTGCTGTTGCCCGGCTCGCGGCCTTGCCTCTGCAGGAAGAAGGTGTCAAGGCTTTCACAGCTGAATTACTGCACCAGGCACGAGCCAAATTCATTTATTACCACATCAAACGACGCGGCACGTTCGTCCCCGAACAAATCCGCATCTTGCTCGAAGAGAGTGTGTCCCTTTTCCCCAGGAACACCATGTTTTTATCACTCCTGGCTTGGCACAAGTCTCGGTTCCACATATATGATCGTATGCGAAATATTCGAGAACCTAATGGAGGAAATCTCAACACCGCATTCGACAGACTTGACACCTTTGCGATTTCGCCCGTCGCTTCACAGAGCACTCCAGTCTCGAACCACCTATTTGCCATATACAACGAGCTGAGCCGCCCAGTAGTGGGAGGCTCTACGGTCCATTCTGTGCGCGCTGCATTCGAGAGAGCAATTGGTGACCAATCTCCACCCGGAGATACGATAGCCCGCCACAGTGCGGATGCCAGCACGGCCCGGTCGAACTTGAGCCTGTGGAAACTGTATGTTCTCTTCGAGCTCTACGTCAACAAGGATGCTCGCCGTGCCAAGCAGGTGTTCTACCGCGGTATGCGCTCATGTCCGTGGTCCAAGGAGCTCATCATGCTTGCCTTCGAACATCTGCGAGCAGATATCTTACAAGGCGATTCTCCGACTGGAAATAATCAAGACGGAATGAGTTTCTATGAGCTTTGTGATTTGTACAATGCTCTTGATGAACGAGAACTCCGCATCCACGTCGACATCGGGACCCAGCTCGAGGATATGTTCCACACGCTCAAGCGAAAAGACCAGGGCGATGTTGTCAACTCGGCTTTGGTGGCTCCAGTCCATCTACCAGATGACCTGGAGAGTGGTGATGAGAAAGTGTAAGCATTGGAGTCCCCGACTCGTTGAGAATACCCAGGCCCAGAGGCCCTTCTGTATTCTATCTACCCTTGTACATTAAACTATTAAATAAATCATGCATGAATGAACAGCAATGACGATTCAGCACTTGGAGAAGAAGAGCTTAGGTGGCATGCAGTGGTGCATTTGCAGGGATCAAAACTATAGTACAGGACACAGATATCGTCCATCATTTATATCCAACAACCCAAAGAAATAACCAATAAAACCAGCGCAAGACCGCAGAGAGACTCGTCAATCATGATGTCGTATATAAGGCTATCTCAGCAAAAGATAAACAGAACGCCCAGAACCTAGAAGTGCTCCTTCCAGAACTTGAACCGGACATTCTTAGTCGATGAAGACTTGGCTGCATCGTTAATCTGTCTGGCAGCAGTATTCGGACCACAGAAATACACTCCGATCTCGGTGGTGGGTGTATTCTGAAGACCCGAAATGTATTTTTGATTGTGTAAGCCGAGACGCATGGCCGTGAAAAGACGCTTGAAGTCTGGGCGGCCGAAGTTTGTCCGGCTGCGCAATTCCGTCAGCGGATCGAGGGCCTGGCCGACGGAGTTTAGATAGATATTGGCGGCAGTGTCATCGTCAAGACGTTGTGTAAGGTAGGTGTGGATGCGTAGGAACTCGGTACTACCCTCGTGGGCGGCTGTGTTGGCGGACTGGGCCTCGAGGGAGGAGAGAAGAGCCTGGAACCATTCAAAGGACGACGTGTCCTTGCAGACCCAGATGAACTCGACACGGCGCAGACGGCGTGGCGGGTTCGGGCTTGAGCGCAGGTGCCAGATATTTTTAAGGATGGAGGCCCAGGGCGTCACGCCGATGCCGGTGCCGATCAACACGGCGATTTCGTTCTCGAAGACATCCTCAGCCGGTGCTCCGTACGGTCCATCGATGCGGAGTTTGGGCATCATCTGTCCGTTCTGTAGGGCCACTTCGTACATGCCCAGCGGGTCTAGGCCTTCTAAATCCGCAGCCTGTGCCGGTCCACATCCGAGAGCATCACCGAGTGCACGCGTGAAGTCGCCTACTTGGCGGACGTGGACGCTGATGTACGGATCAAAGGGACACGAGGTGATGGTGAAAGGGTGCCATTGTGTATTGGACACATCTGGCACTTGAAGGAAGAGCCACTGTCCGGCTTTGTATTTCATGCTGGGTTTGTGGAATTGTATTTCCATGGCAGCTGTTGCGGCGTTAGCATTTTTCATTTCTCTTTATTTTCGAGGCATTGAACTGTCTTACCGTAGGGATGGCGGATCACCTTCGTGATCACAGTCTCCCGTCGAGATCGAATCTCGCGGTAGAGTCGCTCGAGCAGGTAAAGGCCGCCCGCCACCAGCTCCCATCTCCAACCTTCATAGCCTAAACAATGGTCCCAGAAGGGTTTTCCGGCAAACGGCGAATAAGGACTGACGGTATCTCGCACAAAGCATCCAGTGGCGTGTGTATAGAGGGCCAGCATGAATGGAATGAATAAATGGTGAGCATACCAGAATGTCTCGAATGCCTGCTGTCGAATGCGAGCGTGTGCCGTCGTGTACATGAGCATCATACAGAGGAGCATGACGTGGCCTGTAACACCACCGGCGCGAGCGAAGTGAATTTCCACCGCCAGTTCGGGTCGAATATGGTTTTTTTCGATGTTGTAGAAGCTATGGTGAATTAGCAATATGTTTCATCCCGGGGTATGGGTTGCATACTTGACATAGTGGGCAGCGGTATGAATGGCAGTGAACACCAGCAATGCATAGGCGACCTGACGGTGGAACCAGGCAGACTCGTCGAGCGGCAGCCATCGGATCTGAGGTCTGAGCCATCGCACGATATTCCGGCACATCGGAAGTAGAATCAAGGTTGCATCCACCGAGAGGGTAAGGCCTGCACCTCTTGAGATCCAAACGGAATACGTCAGGACGTTTAGACCAGCTAGCTTTGCATTCGTTGCTTGCAAGTACCTGCCACGGTGTTAGTGAGAGATATGGCAACTAAATGAACAACGTACCATCCTACGCCAAAGAGTCCAAAATGGGCTCCCCAAAAGAACAAATAGAACACCATTTTGGACCATGTCAGATCGTGCCGCCGAATCCATGAATCATTGGAGACGGCCATATTGTGGGTGGGGTTGAGATTCTCGGTATGCACGAGAGAAGATGTCGGCCAGCGACACGGATTTGGCAGATTAAGGAGAGAAGGATTGAGATGGTTGACCAGCAACCCGGAGCTACTGTCGATCGCCGCTTTATGAAGAAGTGGAGAGTAATTCACTTAGTTGCGATATCAGGAATAAAATGGCCCGAGATATTGTAGATGGACAGGTCGTTTGCAAATCGGGTTCTCCATGAATTGATTACTGCAGAGACAAAGCCGTTTCTTTCGATATCAGGGAACTCGCTCGACTTGGACTGTTGGAATTGGCGGCTTCGTGGTCGCTTCGTGGTCGAGGGATATTCGTGGGATGGCCGCCTTAAGGCTCGGTTCTGTGAAGGACTCCGAAGCCACTGGAACTGCAGATATCGAACAAAGAGAGCTGACAGTCACGGCACACAGATGGTCTGGTTATTGCTGTTTTCGTGGGATGATGCGCTTCGCGAGTCCAGCCTGGCAACGTTTGATGTTTCAAGATGCGGTTGCGCGGCTAGAGGCACTGTATAAGGCTCAGGATGCAGAGGATAGTCGAAACAATCATGGCTGGTGTTGACAGTGAAGTCGAGGGCTGATGTCAGGGAGACGAAGATTCCAGCGATGTGGTTTTTGGCTGCAGGGGTGCGAGGGGCCGATCTATAATTACATTCGCATTCAGCGGCCACAACAACCGAGCAAGAACGGTGGGTTCGGGCCCAATCAGACTCTAATGTCTGACGATGTCTGTGCTTCTAACTTTGTTCCTTTAGGAAACAGCCTGCTCGTGGTGTGATAGGTGTCGTTTGCTGGCTCGGGGAAATGGGAAATGTGGAGGCTGGAGCGGAGTCTACACCGGATTTAGTTCCTGCTATCAGTGCATGAAATGTTGTATTTTGTTGAATCCCGGTCGCAATCAGAACGTCAGGTCCGATCGCGCGAGAATTTGTTTCATGCACAGAAAGCATACGTCCAAGGGTAGGGCATGGATGCCCAACCTGATCTGATACCATCCCGACTCCGTACCGTCCATACGAACAACCCGACCATCGGAGAAAATGCTTTTGGGGGGAAAGTTGGCAGGGAGGCTGGTGAATGGTCGGCGCCAACTGAAGCGAGTGAGGGACTCGCAGTGTACGCTGGCCTATGAAATGCATTCTGCAAGCGCTGGCTTTTCATCACATCTGATCTCACCCTAGTCGGCCATCCTAACTCGGACGGGCTTAGCGTTACGGTTTGGGTCTGGCGTCCTGTGTCTTTAGAGTTAAGGTGCGTGGTCCAAATGCCAGAAAGATGATCTGTACAAATAAACCTGGATGTCAATGCCGATAGTTAGGTTGCGATATAATATTGTGCTGTTTACTCTTCCTCGAATCTCAATTCCTCTCGGGGGTATCCCAATCATAAGTCACAGACAAGGCCGCAAAGGCTGAATCGGGGATGAACTGCAGGAACGAGCCATAAGCAAGTTAATAGGGGTCCAGTGATTCGACGAGGTTCTAAGTCAGAAAGAAAAGAAAAACGGTACAGCAATATTCGAAATCAGTTCTACCTCAACACTCTCGTGGATTTTTTCCTAAAATCTATATTAAAACACGCCAGTGTGAATGTGGTATAGCCGTGAACACCCCACTTCGTAGAACAGACTTTGTATTTTACTTACCCTGGAAGAGACTTTGAAGGACATGTTTTATACGAAAGTGCTTTAAATGCTGCCTCCCGTGCAGTGTTTTACAAGCGAGATATCTCGATAAATACAAAAAGAACTCAACGACCATGGATTCAAATGGGCACTAGACATCCACTTCTCAGCTTGATCTTGTCATCCGCTGTATGAAGGCAGAAAGTGCTGATCTTCTTCGAAGGATGATATTTGCATTGGAGTCGCGATTTTCACTGAAGGGGCACCGTGCACCTCTAGTCGTAAGTCCAAGGTGTAAGTCCGTGAGATGTGACAAGAATGAAAGGTCGGAATAATATACTGATGAGAAACCTTGACCGGTATGAGCAAAATAGCAGAGAAGCAATCTGATTGCTCATATGTCCATTGAAGTGATGCAATAGAATGAGAAAATGTGGAGAGAATGCTGTCAGAAAAATTGATCCCCTTTCCAAAAATATCCTTCTTTTTCGCTGGTATATCGCAGTGGAAGGTCTTGGTGAAAAAAGTTGTAGCTATAACACGTCCTCTTAGGGAATGAACGCGAGGTAGCTCGTCATGTCTACCTTTTTTCTCAAAGCGAAGACTGAGACGAATTGTCTGGCGCATCGATCCATCCGTCTCACGTAGAGGAAGATGGAAAAGCTCGGGTGTTATAACTGTCGCAACCAAATGCCCCAATATTGAATTTGAACGACCCTTTCGAATCGCGATAGTCTGTTGCGGATAGCACTGGTTGCCACTGTACATTGAAGACGAAATCAAAGCTTGTCCAGCTGGCTTAACTCGTATTTTCAAACTTTTTTGCACCGTAATTTGCGATCCCGCAGATGTTAGGCTTTTGCGATTCAATTTGGCCTGAATCATATAGATTATCTTGCAAGCCGATGGTGCAAAGTCATCGCGCAGCCTGCCACCAAAGCCGGCTATGCTTGGATCACCAAAGCTTGGCGGAGGCTGCAGATGGGCTTCCCGGATAAATTCATTGCGGACAAAGTGGTTACAGGAAGCCCTAGCCAGACGGTCAGTTACTTCAAAGCCAAATTTGAAGCAATATATATGATTCTTTTTCAATAAATTCTGGGGCGGAAGAGCTGATTCGTCTATTGGAAATCTAATGTTCTGAAATTGACGGACAGTCTTCTCATTCCGTACAGACGTCGATTCTTCTCCTACTCCTAAGATAAGTAATCTTCTTGGTAGATGACAATAAACGAAACTCCACAAAAGGGGGTATTAACCTATAAAGCATATATCCAACGAGTCAAACCGCACGTCTATCTCGGATCGGATAGAGACTGATCCCAAGATCTTGTCTCCTGCATGGTAAGAAAACCGATACGATGTAATTGAATTTGGTGGATCGCCGAGAAATATATCCATCGAAATTAAGTGGTCAATATTCATAGTTGCCATGCTGCCGAATTTGGTGGCATCTGTTTTGCTTTGACGGTTGCTGAGTGATGACTCGGGCGGGCAAGGGGAAGCAAGTGTATGCAGAAGAAAATCCTAATTCGTCGTCGGAAAATAGTTATTCCGTTAAAAACAATATCGGCTTGTAGCCAGCGTTCTTGACCGGTCGCATTGAAAGGTTTCATACATAAGGGCAAAAAGGCGCGAGGGTGATGAACTTGGACTTTTGGAGGCAAGCCAAGCCTATGTCATCGAAATTTGGAAGATGGGCACATTATCCTCAATTTCTGACACTAATAGACTTGAAGTTTCCGTTTATACATTGGTATAGCTGATTTCGAATATTGCAGTAGAAAGGGAAATATTAATTAGAACCAAAAGAAGTGCCTGAGAGCGGGCCGAACAAAGAATACGAACGAGTTACACAGATTCATAGTTCCCTCGAGAACATCGGATTGCGCTACAGGGTACATACATAGTTCCGTCCAAAGGCCACGCACCTCCCACAGACTAAATATAGGCACCCTCCCCCGTGTGTGGGGATAATCATCTGACAATCGGGGGTGGCCAACCTTTGACAAGTGCAATGTGGGCGAGACGATCCGTCCTGCAGCTCGTCACGCCCAAGGCTGGCGCCAGGGCCGCTGATTTGCGTACGCCCGCTGCAAGATCCGCTCTGTCACATCCCCGTCCCGCCCAATCACACTAACACCACAGACCTTTGAAGAATATCAGCCGAGGGCACCATGCATTAGGTACTCTTCCAGCCACGAGGGAAACCTTTCTATCGTCGCAAGTCCGGCCACTTGAGCGATAACCACGTTTTCTCTTCTTCCTTGAAACGGCGGAATCTATCGAGAGATTTCCCAGAACTATACACACCACACACACATACACATACACGATGGGCCGGTTAATCAAGAACCACTGGGGGCGCCTAATCATCCTCACAGCATCAGCTTGTACGTTGGTGTGATTCTCACAATCCCATCTTCTATCTAACATCCCGCCCTCCAGACCAAATCGCCAGCGCCATCGAAGGCTTCATCTGGCCCAAAGTTTTCTGGGATTTCATCTCGCGCAACCTCGACGCCGCCGTCAGCCCGATTCCGATCCTCCAGATCCTCAACCTCGTTACCGGGCTGGTTGGCCTGGCGTGGGAATGGCCGCTCAAGCCCTTCGCGGGCTCAATACTACACCGCAGCATTGAATTTCGACTCATCGTCTACCCGCTCAGCGCTGTGTTCGCAGCGCTCCTCTACCAAGGCACCGATCCGGCGATTTACTATCTTGTGGGGATCGGGGTGTATTTCTGGGCGTATAGTGAAGGCGAGGTATGTTATTGATGCGTGCCTTGTTTTGAGAGGTTTAAAGCTAACGCTGGCTTCCTAGGTGGTGTGTCCCGAGCCGTGGACTTTACCGAAGAGATCGAGGGTGCTCAAAGCATAGCATTCGTTGTTTTTCCTGTCGGGGTACTATTGCTATACCCCTCATGTCTGCTAGATATCTACAAATGAATATAATTCTATAATGACTGGCTGGTGAACTACGCATACGAGCAAGAGAGATCAGGAGGATGAGTATTTCTCATTTGAGTTCATTATCTCATATCAGGTCCAGAAAGAAGCCTGTTATTTCGATGCAACTGAAAAGGAACATAAATTCCAGACCAGACAATCTCTCTTTCCTCGACTCATTCCGGGCGGTGTAGATATTGGTCATCGACCAAACCATCCGCGCGATGTCGGAGAGGAGATACATAGTAGATAGGCCGGGAATGTGATGCGATATGGAACACTCTTATCCGAGGAGGGATAAAGAATTCGCCGGAACAGCTTCCTCCATTCCTGTGAGGAATGGGGGATATTTAGCGGGAGACGCCCATAGCGCCCTTGGAGTCATTCTTGGAACCTTCGCGCTCGCGTGTCTAGCAGAGTAGGTATGCAAGGTTAGCACTCGGACGACACGATGGATGGAAGGGGGAAAGACAAACCGTGGAAGCCTGGTACTCGCCACCTTCCAGGATCTTCACCATGCACTCGTCCTCATTAGAGGTCCCGAACTCATTCTGCAGACTCGCGTTGCTGGCACTGTCCAGCACACCTTGTGCTCCGTGGCTGCAGTCCGGCGATGTTAGTAAAGAAGATTGCCTCAGGACCGATAAACCTACGAATGAGTAACGAAGATCTTCCACCCGTTCAAAACATCGCTCAATGGGATGCTGCGGTCCTTCCTCCACTTGTGCAGGATGTCAAGGTCGTCGACGAAGACGATGAAGTCGTCGGAGCGACCCTTGTAGAAGATCTTGGAGGTAGATTCGTTGGCACGAGGCATGTTGGGTGGTTCAATTGGAAGGAATTCGGGTGTGTTTGTCACAATGGTTCAAAACTGGAGGAGGGAGGATGTGGGAAGAGGTGAAGTGGTCGACGAGCCGCTTTAAGAAGCAGATGACAGTGGATGACGTCAGTGGGTCGGTCGGCGATCTATAAACAGCCAAGCTGGACAATGCGGGTTGCGAGCGAGGGATTCACAGGGAAGGATAATAATGCGAAAGTCAGAAACTGATCGTGTGCCTTCCTCGCACCTTCGCTGCGCCTTTTATGTCTTCGACCACGGCTCCGCTGCGACAACCGACGTCATCGTGTGGGAGCTCCCTGCCTGATGTGGAGAAAGGACAATTTGGCCGATCAAGGCCCAGTGGGCATTCCATTTGACTACGGAACGGCCTACAATTACGTCTCAGCCAAGGCATCATCGTACCACTCACTCCATGCCCCCACAACCCCCTTCGCCCCCCTAATAGTCCTCCTCCGTACCTTGGCCCAAGCTGGAACGCGGCCGCATCAGATTCCTGGGCGTCAGCGCACTCAGAAACGCCATGGGAGACCCCCACTTCTTGCGTGACGGGGACCACTCTGGGTTTCCATCCTGAGACCGACACTTCTCGCTGCGTGGAGAAGATGCTGGACCGGTGACTCTCTTGGGCGCACTACGGAACCGTGACGTCCTGGATCGCCCGAGAGTCGAGGTCGGTGTTTTGGGCAGCTCGTAATCGACATCCGACCCCGCGTGCGAGTCTTCTGCACATTCACTGCCGGCCAGGGATGCGGTGTATTCATCCAGCGACCCCGAATCGGCGACGGGCCCGGATCGAGAGGTGCTGACGGAGCTGGATCGCCTGGCAAATCCCGTGTGGAAGCTGAGTCGTCTCATGATGGAGCCACGTCGGAAGAGATCCCCTCTTCCAAGGACCATTCCGGGTAGGGGAAGAACATCGCGCGTATAGACTTCGGCGATCAATCTCTCCAGGCGAATGCGGTCCATCCGTCTGGCGGTCACTACCAGTGCGGAGCGGGAGGCGGGAGTCTTCGGCCGTTCAACCTCCCCGTCGACCTGGCTGATGGCCTCTTCAGAATTATGGGGGCAGTGCGTCTTCTTGATGGACACCTGTTGGACATGGCACTTCCGCGAGATTGCTATGGGATCCATGGACGATCGCCGGACCAGGGAAGCCGCGGCGTATTGAATGCGATCCAGTGGCACGAGCGCGATGTTCAGGAACGAATATTTCCTCGAATCCCACGCGCCCGGCTTGGCCATTTCTGCCAGCACTGCGACAGATTTCAGGGTCTCGGTCTTCCAGTATTTTTCCTCCGTCGCTGAGGAAGCGCTCATGACAAACTCGTAGTTCTCATCTTGATCTTGGAACAGAAGCTTCCATGAAAACAGGCACCCGTAGCAACAAAGCCCTAGAGAAGTTAGTCAATTGGTCACAAAAGAGGTCAGTGGGGAGCGTTTACCTCGTCCGTTCTGCAGCGTGTCCATCTTCAAATCCCCAATGTGGATACAAGCCACCGCTTCCAGCCGGCGGAAGTCGTCGATTCCTTTGGCAAGGAGAAAGTAGCAATTGAAGAGAACGCATACCATGAATTCCCCCATGGGACCTTCGGGCGCTTGATAGGTAACGTGCAAGACGCCGCACAAGATCATCGGGCCAAGCTCCTTGTAGATGTCCTGAAGCGTGTGCTATTCAAAGTGTTGGCCCAGTGTACCTGAATCAACTCAAAATCACATACCATATCGGAGAAATCGATCTTCCCTTGCAGTTGAATGGTCTTCTGGATCCGGTCTTTGTTAACGGGGTTCCCCGTCGCCGAGTTGATTTTTGTCACCAAGACACGTAGGCTTTCTAGGATCTGTCGGATACCATCATGGGAAGATGGGCAGTCACTGACAGGAGTGTGTCTGAGCAAATCTTGAAGGAGAAGAGGATATTTGCAGAGACGTTGGACGGGCTAGTTCTCTATTAGCGACTGGGACATATCCCAAGGTGAAAACTCAAACCTTGATGAGCAGATCGTTCAAGGACATCGACCGGTTTTCCTCCTGTTTCCGACTTTCCATCGACGTTACTGATTTTGATAATGCCTCGATACCCTGATCAAACACGGCCCAATTCGGAATCGACCGCCGTAAAAGTGCCACATCCTGCGTAAGCAGTTCATAGTTTCTGCAGAATTCCTCGTATACCGCAAAGGAAATGGACTATATTTCATGGTCAGTCATTCGTAGACGATGCACGGAAGCTGAAGACCAACCAGTTTTTCAATGTCTCGAGCAACCTCGAGAGCTTCAAAAGGCTCTGCCGAGAGCGCTTTCAGGCGCTGTTTCAACGATACTTTGAAGTTTCGCGTTCTCAAGGACCGATTCTTGAATCCAGGGAGATCAATCACACCTAAACGTTTATGAAGTCCGCGCGACAGGATATCAGGCACGCTAGCATCATCAGCGTTGGGTGCTGATGTGGGAAATGTGGCCTGAATCTGCGTGAGGAAGCGCTCATGGATCTCCCGGATCGACTGCACGTTGTGATAGATTTCGGGCCGAGTGTTGAAGATCGAGAGAATCTGTCCGAGCAGGAATATCAGCGCCAGGACCAAGCGGGTCGGTCCTTCGGAAACATACCCCAGTGAGCGCTTTCAGACCACGGACATAATCCGACTCCGTTGCCACAATCTCCCATAAGACCTGCCGACGTTTGGTCGCCCGCAGATCGGCGGCCTCGTCGATGCAGTGGCTGGAGGTTGGTCGAGAGCTGTCTGCGGAAATGCGAGTATCGGAGATGGTGCTCTGGCCCGCCGTGCTCTGGGTCGTCCCTCTCGATCTGGCCATGCTCTGGCTGGCGATGCTCAGGGTCGTGGTTTTGACAGTCCCCAGCAGCGACGAGTGGCCCGACAGTCTCTCCCAGTGCTGATCCTGTGGTGATCCATGGCGAGCCGTGGGGTTTGGCACGGAGAATTCCGCAGAAGAATCCGACCAGCCCTCCACGTATCGCTGTGGGATGGTAGGAGCCGTGTGTTTTCGAGCCCGAAAGCTGTCCACCCACTTCTTAAAGGGATGAGGCCCAGCAGGCTTCTCGGTCATGGTGCCGGCGGCGATGGTCTTGTTGACCAGGGCGACGTTTTCACTGTCGGAAGCATCCAGCAGCATGGACTCTTCCGCACCACACACCGGGGACTCCATGGTAGATAGCAACCGCAACTCGGCTGAAGTATGCAGCAACAACTCCCGCGAGACCAAGCAAAGACCACCAGAGCCATGACGACGGAGGAAGGCGCGAGGCAGTCGCGACCAGGCAGGCGATTTGAATCTCATCCAGGTACGTCATGATGGGAAGGCGCGAAGGTGTCACCGAACCTCCTGCGCCGGAGCCCGATCAGGCGTTCGTGTTTCATTGTTGGTGTTGGTGTGGTTGTTTGTTGAGTTCAGGCAAGTTGGTGAACTAGAAGATGCTTAGATAAAGAGAGAGCTTGCCCGACCCACACTTTCATCTTCCTCCACTTCTTACTCTTCCTCCCACCCGCGCAATGATCTGATCTGCCTGTCTCCTACTATGGGCATCCTCATGGACGACGACATCCACGCTCCCACTGTCGCCTCCGGACCCACGTCCGGGGGGCTGCCCCGCGCGACCTGTCGAAGCTGTCGATGGACGAACTGATGACGGAGAAGGACCGCATCGAAGCAGAATTGTCGGCGCTCAGCAGCGTTCTCGGTTCGGTATGAGTGAGGATTCACAGATGTCGCCGCTTGCTTGCTAATAAGCTGCTAGCATGGAGTCAACATGAACTCCTCTCTGACGACCTTTGATGGATATCCCCGCGATGACATCGACATCGCTCAAGGTGGGCTGCCATCATTCCCTCCACATCGCTACAGGTCGCTGAGACGTTTTATACAGTGCGAACGACGCGTGTGCGTATCATCCACCTACGTAATGACCACAAGGAGGTCATGACCTATCTCGAAAAGGGCCTCCATGCCCACTTCGCCAGTCTGCAGAATGCGCAGACCACCACACCCACTCCAAATGGCACCAGTGTGCCGGCTACAATACAAGCCCCGTCGGGTACTAGCGTGGCGGATGCGGGGGCACCGTTTGCCAAGGTCAACAGCGTGGTTTCCGGTAGTCCGGCAGACCAAGCAGGGCTCAAAGCGGGCGATACCATTCGCAGCTTTGGGAATGTTCATTGGATGAACCACGAGCGCCTGTCCAAGGTCGCAGAGGTGGTGCAACAGAGCGAAGGGGTAGGCACACATACTCTCTCTGATCGGAAGCCAGTGTTAACCGTCTGTGCAGCGTCCGTTGTCCGTCAAGGTGGTTCGAAAGGACGAGAGCGGGTCTGGGACTACGATGGAGCTGGATCTCCGGCTCGTTCCCCGGCGAGATTGGGGTGGGCGTGGTCTGCTAGGTTGCCATCTAGTTCCGTTGTGAGGAGACATGGGCTGGGCTCGGCGCAAAATGGGTTTTCGTCTCTTTTAGTCATGAAGAATATGATGCTATGAGTTGGTGTCCAATGTAGAAGTAAACAAGTGTGCTTGTTTACCAGGCACACAGTCCACGTGACCCGCTGGGGCAAAAATTCCATCCGCGCATTATTCACTTCTTCTCTCCTTCTTTCGCCTCACCCCCAACCCCCCTTCCCCCAGAACCGCTTCGCTTCGATCATCCAGAATCGACGACGCGCATCCTCCTCTTCGCTCCAGTCCTCGTTTTAATCTCGAATTTATTGTCTCATCGCCCACCATGGCCGATGCGCAAGCCCCACCCACCTTCAAGCTCGTCTTGGTCGGTGACGGTGGTACTGGCAAGGTAAGCGGATTTGGCTCCTGAAGCATCTCTCGATCGTCTGAGAGCGAATGTCCCATCAGAACGGCCACCCTCCGCCTCGATAGTGGATGAACAGCTTGTTTTCCCCCTTGCCCCGCGATTGCCAACAATCAAAATAAATATCTGCCCAACCGGCCGACCTCGCCAAAATTCCATCGCTAACGCATCCAATCCCGACCAGACCACTTTCGTCAAGCGCCACCTGACTGGCGAGTTCGAGAAGAAGTACATTGCCACTCTCGGTGTGGAGGTGCACCCTCTCGGCTTCACCACCGTATGTTATCTGCCCCGCCAGCCCCCTCCGAGCGGGGGCGCTCGTGTGAACTGTCCCGACTAACCTGATGCGATAGAACCTGGGCCCGATTCAGTTCGACGTGTGGGATACCGCTGGTCAGGAGAAGTTCGGTGGCCTCCGCGATGGATACTACATCAACGGCCAGGCCGGTATCATCATGTTCGATGTCACCTCGCGTATCACCTACAAGAACGTGCCCAACTGGCACCGTGAGTTTTTTGGTCTCCTCTGATCAAAGTATCCGAACTAACCCTATCTAGGTGATCTCGTCCGTGTCTGCGAGCACATCCCCATCGTGCTGTGCGGTAACAAGGTCGATGTGAAGGAGCGCAAGGTCAAGGCCAAGACCATCACCTTCCACCGCAAGAAGAACCTCCAGTACTACGACATCTCTGCCAAGTCCAACTACAACTTCGAGAAGCCCTTCCTGTGGCTCGCTCGGAAGCTGGTTGGCAACCCCCAGCTGGTGCGTTTTCCTCCCCCTGTCCCGTTTAAAACCAAACACTAACGCTGTCTCCAGGAATTCGTCGCTGCCATTGCCCTCGCTCCCCCGGAGGTGCAGGTCGACCTCGAGCAGCTCGAGGCAGCTCGCAAGGAGATGGAGGCTGCAGCAGCGATGCCCCTGCCCGACGAGGATGACGCCGACCTGTAAATGGGCGGTACATCAGCCTACAAAGTTTACCAACTTGGAGGTTGGGGCTCCTCAGCTTTTCTTTCCTTCCAAAGGGAATCCATTCGCTCCGCGTCGACGTTTTTGATTTTTGCCTGCAAAAGCAAAGTCTTTGAGAAATCACGATACAATGATGGCGGGTGTGTGCTAGCGGTGGTGGTGGTTTGAAATAAAAGACTGATGGCGCTGCGCACGATTATGCATTTCTTTTTTCTTACACTTTTGTTTCCCCCAAACACAACACTTAGTAGCTTAGACTCTTGACCATCTCAATGCCCCCAATATTTTGCCCCCCCCTGAAACGAAGCAGACGGTATAAAAAAGCAGTTTGCAAACAGACTGCAGAACGCAGAAAAAAATTCTTCTTTCAACAAGACTAGACGTTGTCTCTAATTCTTCATCTATACGTAGTGCCTCGAAAAAAGGTTCAGATCAAAATACAACCGAGATCAATTTCTATGGTTGTCTTAACGCAAAATCATCTGGCAGAGCGTAGAGATAGAAATGGGAAAAGAAAGCGTTCTATTCGTATGGACAGTTGGACATTGGACTGGAGCACCGGGGGTATAACAAAAAACAAAAGCAAGGGGCTATTTTCATCGGTGCCATATGCAACCCAAAAAGCAAAGACCTGAAACCAAAGCGAAAGAAAGATAAACCGAAAAGCACAGCTGCAACGAGGCGGCATGCATGCAAATCCCGGTAATGAACCAGACATCCTCGAAAGGACTGTGCTTAGTCCCGAACGCCCTTTAGAAAATGAAAAAGTTAGCAAGGCCCAGGAGAGGAAAAAAGAAAAAGGATGCGTCGAACATACGAAGAGATATGCTAGTTCTCTGTGATCCAACCGAGCGACGTTCATAGTACCACCCTCGTCGAGGGCACCGTCAATCAAATCGCGCTTCTTATCCTGCAGCTCGATGATGCGATCCTCAACGGTATTGGTGACGAGCAAGCGATGGACGAAGACATCCTTCGTCTGACCGATCCGGTGTGCGCGGTCAACCGCCTGATCCTCAATATACGGGTTCCAAAATGGATCAAAAACGATGACATGGGATGCAGAGACGAGATTCAGGCCCGCATTGCCCGCTTTGAGCGAGACGAGCATGATCTTGCAAGCCGGATCCTGCGAGAAGACCGTGACGGACTCAAGGCGGTCCTTGGTAGCCATGCAGCCGTCGTAGCGGGCGTACCCCCAACCGCGGCGCTTGATAGGGACCTCTAGCAGATCCAGCAGGGAGGTAAACTGGCTGAAGATGATAGTCTTCTCGTCATTGCCGCGGTCTTCGTTGGCTTGCAGGATCTCCATGGCTTTTTCAATCTTCGAACTGGGCACGTACGTCTTCTCCAGACGGCGCAGGTACTTGTTCTTCTCCTTCTTGTTCTTCTGGGCTGCGGCGCGGAGCTCGGCCAGGGAGAGTTTCTTGGGGTTTGAATCTTCTTCGTCTTCGGTGTCAGGCTCCGATCCTTCCGATTCAGGCCCCTCTTGTTGTTTCTCTGGTTCTGGCTGGTCATCGACCTCGGAGGGGGGCAGTGAGTCCGGGTTGTGGACCTTTTGAAATGAATATCCGTCCGTAATCGTGCGAGGATCGACAGGCCCACGACAGTTCTGGCATTTGATCAGAGTCTCGATATCACCCGGGCTGTCCGTGCCAGGACCTGAGAATCGAGCAAAACATTCGGAACACAGGGAGTGGCCGCAGGGAATGTAGATCACTGCGTTTTCCACGCTGTCCATGCAGATAGGACAAGTGCCGTCTTCTTCGTCTGCGTTATTCTTGAGCCGGTCGACTACGGTTTGACTCAAGAGCTTAGCATTGGCGATAAGATCTATACCCGGCACGGCTGTGGGCAGGTCGAGACCGATACGGAACCCCTTCAGAAGGTGAGCGTGGCAGCAAGCCTGTCGGAGACGGAGGAGAAGAACCAGTACATGGCTGTAATTTTTGCCCATGGTGCCAGCATCCAGATACCGCTCGATCTGGCCCTGTGTGTTCTTCTCCAACTCTCTGTACATCGCATCTTCTTGGTCGCTAAATACGACGTGGGTCTTCTCCACCACTTTCGGTGGTAGCTGCAAAATAGACTCGCCGTCGATCTTCGTTTTCTTAGTACGGCGAAGGCAGATAGCTTTCACCAAGACACGCAGCATTGCCATGACCACCTCAGGTTGACTCCTAAACGACCTAGGGCTGGTAAATGTCTACAGAGAGTGGTCAATATCTTGTCTTTTCTTGTGGGCGTAAGGGTGTAACTCACGAATTTAAATTTGTCGGGATTGTTGTAGGGCCGAATTTTAAGAAACTTGATGAGAGCCTGCAGATCTTCCAGGCGGTTCATCATGGGTGTTCCCGTCAAACACCAGCGGTAGGTAGCATCCAAGCGGCAGCATGCCTTTGACGACTTTGAGCGAGGGTTCTTGATGTTCTGTGCCTCGTCGACGATAATACGGTGCCATTTGCTAGACGGGCCGAAGAGCGATGACTGCTCACGGAGCTGCCTCACGATGCTGGGGTCCTTGCCCTCTTCCGAGGCTTTTTCTGCCTGAAGTATCGTCTTAAAATTGGCCACAAGTGTGCCAAAAGTTGTAATCACAACGTCGTGATTCTTCAGCTCTCGCCATGGAACGTGTCGACTCAGGTTATGGAAAATGAAGACCGACAGCTGATCCTTCCCCGGTTTGACATGTCGCATGATCTCTGCCTTCCATTGCTCCAGCAACGCCTTTGGGGCAAGAATTAAAGTAGGCCGACGATCAGGATCGGTGAACGGACGTGAAGCCATAAGAGCAATGGCCTGAATGGTTTTCCCGAGGCCCATGTCATCTGCGAGAATGCCTCCCTTGTGGGGACTCTCTTCCTTGGCCTTCATCCATTTCAGACCAATCTTTTGGTGCTTCATGAGCGTGACCTGGAGCGACTGGGGCGTCTCCTCGTTGTCAGCTTTAGTCGCTTCGCGGATATCTTTGATACCAGTGAGAAGGTTTTTGATGTCAACTGGGAAGTTTCTCTCTTCATAGCGCTCGACTATATCGTCTGAATCTGCATCGTCCTCTCCATTAAAGAACTCATTGCTTGTCACATCTTGGGCAAAACCAAGACTTCTTTCTGCTGCGTTCGGGTCCACGCCCAGCCACGGAAGATTTCTGGGAGGCAACAGTGGTGGAGGCATCCCCATATACGGACCCCCTGGGTGAGACATTCCAGGAAACGCTCCCGGCATCCCAAAAGGCAGTCCCGTAGACGAAACCCCAAACCGAGAACGAAAATGGTCCCCGGAGATTTCCTCAAAATCGTCATCATTATCGTCTTCGTCGAGTATAGTTTCATAGTGACGAGGTGGTTCGATGAGAGGATAACCGGGATCCTTCTTGATCTTCGGCAAATGAGTTCTGTCAGGGATATTGTCAAAGGAGGGCAGAGACCGGTGGAACGGAGGAGGCGAAACGGAGCTACTCAGAGAAATATACTCGTTTTCCTGGGCCTGGAGCATCCGAGCGAGTTCAGCGTCCTGCTCCATTTGGAAATCTTCACGGATGAGTCTTGCCTGGTCCTCTTCCTCTTTCCGAAGATTGGCAAGGACGGTGGACGGCGAGATCCTCTCCAGCTGTGCGGTCATTTCCACAGAGTCGGGTTCCATCATCTCCTCGTACGCTTCCCTGTTTGCGGCCAATTTTTCCTCCAGTGTCTGTCTGGTTCTTGAGGGCTGCGGTCTCGATGGATTTGTAGGTGGGTTGATGACCGATCGATACTTTGACGGTCCATGTTGATGCGGGGAGCTGCCTGAATCCTGGCGAGATCTCTTGCGAGAGGAATCACGAGACGATGACACCTGGCTTGGGAGAAGGTTGCGATCCTGAATGGCAAAGGGTGACGGCGCAGATGAAGGCCAATACGAATCCGATACAGGGCCTGGCCCTGGCATCCTAGAAGTTGGAGTAGATGGAAATCGCGGAGTGTGCATGCTGGGCAACGAAGGAGCCGCAGGAGATGGTGCTCTGGGCCTGGAGGAAGACGTAGCCGCGGGTCGGGGGGAAGGCCTGTGTGTATACCCTTCCTGTGGCGGTCGGGGAGGCACCGCTGCGGCCCCGAGGGCTGGAGGAGGCGTGTCCCGGGGTAACTCAACGCTCTGGGCGGAGGCAGGGCCATCGGAATCACCACCAAGTAGGGCAGCGACCTGCGCTTCAAGATTCCTGATGGTTCTCAGGATCTCCTCCGACTCCTCCGACTCACCCGGTTCCCTGTCTTGCAGGTCCTCGTAGATGAACTTTTGTAGGTCGATATCCTCGCAGAGGTCCTTGATCTTGTCCTCAGCGGACATGGTTCCCACGGCAGAGGCCATCTTTGGAGACTGGCCTGCCAGACCAGGTAGGGACCGATGGTTTCAGTTCGGTCCGGAGTGTGGTTGATGAAGTGACGGTTTGAAAGAATGCTGGGCTGGGCAGATCAACCTGACGACTAGCCAGTGGGTATATGACAGAAAACCGTAGAGAGAGTGAGACGATCGCGGAGAATCTGATAGGTAGGTCAGCCTATGATAAGCAAACATGGGAAGCCACAGGGAGCGCGGGCAGTTGCAGAGGAAGGAAAAGGAAAACAAAGCATGAGAGGTGAAGAAATCATCGTTTCGATCGGATGCTGAGCCGCTGAGGGGATGCTCGAGGGAATACATACCGAGAGAGACGGAGACGTGAGGTGTCCAAAGAGCTTCGTACGCGATAACGCGAGATGGCGGAGCCGAATCGTTGGGCAAAGCAGAGAAAGAGTTAAGAGAAAGAGAAGGGAGACCAGGAAGGAAGGCAAAAGGACACCATGAATCCAGCCGTGGCCGGCCTGCTCCCTGCTCGTCACCCCGATCGATCAATCAATCTTTGAATGTTCCCAAGAAGACGCGGAGGTCGATGTCCTCCCGAGACCAGGAACGCCAAGGCCGCGGCTCTGGCCAGTCATCCACCACCCCGAGAACAGTTATCAGCACCTTGGCCTATCCGATCCACGTCGTTTCACGCCGGTGGTTCGTCTCTCCAGGTTGTTGCCATCGTCGCGACTTTTATCTACACGTGACGGGCTAGACAAACGGTGCAAACACGATAGGGCCGGCCCTATCTCCGGATTGGGAAGTATATGCTCTTCTGTTCGTTTGCCATTTGGACTCCATGGACTGAGGAGTGGTGTCGGGAACAGAATGATCATATTAGTGTTGGTACACAGAATGTCCCACGGTCAACTGGAACGCTGGTGATAGATCAAATGGTCCCAGATCCATGGTCGCAGTAATGATACATTCTCTACAATGGCTACGAACCTCACACTCACTCACTCCGGGAAAATAGAATCATAATCCGCGCGAGAGGATCTCGCCTGCTCTCTGGTTATCCGCCATGGCTGGGCCATCTGATTATCATGGCAGGAGGTGGCAGCCGCCGCCCATGGCATTTCGTTGGCGATGACGTCGAGCACGCATCGTCATCCGGCTCGGGGGCCACTCCTGGGTCCCAAACTAGGTCCCCGGAGGAAAAAAATTGGCGGTAGGGTTAGCGCCGCGAAGGATACCGGATTTGTACGGGGCCTTCAGAGGGAGGAATCCATAAGAGTGATCCATCATGGGGGAGCTCCGCATTGGGGGCTTGTGGAGTCGGTTATTCTGGGGGTTCACCAAGTCCCTTAGTTAGGGGTTGTTGGGGTTGAGAGCACCCAGTGCAGCGGGGAATCGAATTGGTGGAGGGCAGATCGTCCATCATGGCACAGAAAGTAATACTGCACGAAGTGTCCTCGGCTGGTGTCTTGCACAAGAAGAATTAATTTATGAAGAATGTTGAGTGAAGCAATGTTCGGGGCCTCGGCACGGCACCGGGGGTTCACATGCACCGATGGCATCATAAATAACTGCGTCGCGGTTCTCACTTCACCCTGACCCTAACCGATTATTCTATCCACCCTGACCATCCATCATGTCGCTCAAGAAAGGTATCCTAATCCATCGTCGATCTCTGTGAAATCATGCGCTGACGGACGGCTAGATTCCTTCCCCTCCTCCGCCGCCTTTGACGCGATCAACCAGACGCTCCAGGCCGACGCCGCCGAGCGCAAGGATGCCGTCGACAAGGCCAAGGCCATCGTCGCCTTCAACCTGAAGAACAGCAAGGGTGAGGAGCAGAGCTGGTACCTCGACCTGAAGGAGAAGGGCGAGGTTGGCGAGGGCGCGGCCCCGAAGGGCGGCAAGGCTGATGGTGAGTTTTCTCCGACAGGGTAGCAGCGCTGTGTCTTCTGCTCCCATCACTCGGCACAGACCGTTATTGACCGCCTGCAAACTAGTCACCCTCTCCCTCTCCGACGAAGACTTCCAGCAGCTCGTCACCGGCAAGGCCAACGCCCAGCGCCTGTTTATGGGCGGCAAGCTGAAGATCAAGGGCAACATCATGAAGGCGACAAAGATGGAGCCCATCCTCAAGAAGGCCCAGGGCAAGGCCAAGCTGTAAAGATTAGATACCCGTTTTCTCATCGCATCGCTGTATATGAATGAATTCTACCTGCAGAGGGGTTTGCTTGGTCTTTCTATTCTGAAACCCGCGTAAATGGAAAATAGATCGATTCTAGAGGGAGCTCGGCTACTCTACAAATCCCGGACATGGCCCTGGCGCGCCAGGCGGCCCTGGTCAAGCACGACGAAGTAATCCGCGTCCTTGACGGCTTCGATGCGGTGCGCGATCGTGATCACCGTCGACAGCTCCAGCTCCTCCCGGATAATCTGCTGGATCTCCAGAGACGTCTCATGGTCCACCGAGGCAGTCGCCTCGTCTAAGATAACGATGGGACTGCGTCGCAGCACGGCGCGCGTGAGAGCAATCAGCTGGCGCTGGCCCTGACTGAGGTTTCTCCCGCCGGCCTCGATGTGCGTGTCGAGATGCCAGCCGTGCCGACTACAGAGCCGCTCCAGGACCTCGGCGCACTGCGTGTCGGAGTACTCCTCCGTCGGGTCCAAGTTGAGACGGATACTGCCGGGGAACAGCACGGGGTCCTGTGCGACAAAGGTGACACGCGTGCGGAGGGCCTGCGTGCTCACATCGGCAATGTTGATGCGGTCGACGAGGATGCGGCCGGATTCGGGACGGACAGCACTGAGAAGCGACACAGCCAGCGTGGACTTGCCGCTTCCCGTGCGGCCGATGATGGCCGTCGTAGATCCGCCGGGGATGCGCAGGGAGACGTTGGTCAGCGCGGGATCAAGATGTGCGGCGTAACGGAGCGTGACGTCCTCGAAGATGATATCACTGCCGTAGGTCGGCCATGCGGCGGGCGGGTCGATCGTCCCGGGGGACTCTTCTTCGATGTGGAGGAGCTCGTCGATTCGCTCCACGGAGACAAAGTCCATTTGCAGCTGGCCATACTGCTTGCAGAGGACATGTGTGGACTCGACGAAGTTGTCGGCAGCGATGAGCACGAATGCCACCAAGCCGGGTGTCGTGTTGGTGTACAGCGCCAGGGCAGTGAGAACGAAGGTCGAGCACGCCGACAGGACTTCGAAGCGGTATGTGAGCCAGCTCTGGAGAGACCAGTAGAAGTGGTCCATGCCTTGGAATTTGTCAGCCACGGAGATGACGCGATTTTGAAAGCGTGCTTCGGCGCGAAAGGCTCGCACGGTGGTCAGGCCGTGGAGCAGCTCGCCAAAGTTGGACAGTAACGGGCTCAAGGATACCATCTCCAAGCGTCGCAGACTCTGCGATGTCGGCAGGAAGCGTAGGAAGACGTAGACAAAAGCGATGGTGAGCGCGATTGAGAAAACGAGGAAAATTGGGGTTGCAGTGGCGATCACCAAGAGGGACGAGATCCAGATAATGATCTGGAATGCAATCACCTGGAATTGCTGGCTGATGTTGCCGTCTACCACACCGATATCCGACGTCAAGCGGTTCATCAACCGACCCATTGGAGTGACATCGAAAAAGCGAAAGGTCGCATGGCTGACTCGAATCATTACCTGCCGGAACAGTGCCTTCCCGGCGCAGTAGACGATGACGAGCATGAGCAGCTGGGCGACGAGGAGCGTGGTGGCTTGGAAGGTAATGATGCCGAAAAATGTCCAGAGCCAGGGACGCACGTCGTCGTGCGGAGGTGGGAGCTGGTCCATAGGGTTATGAGGCACGAAGTAAACATCTGCGCTCGAACCAGACACCAAGAATGGCTCGTGGTCGGCCAAGAAACTGCCGAACATCACGACCGTCTGGTCATAGGCCTCGCCCCATCCCTTGAGAAACCACGACTGTCCAACAGCCATGACCCGGTATACGGCCAGAACCAAGACGAGGGCGAGCCACCACCGGTACTTGCCTGCCCGGATGTAGTTCCAATAAACTTGGGCCTTAACACCCCATTCTGCTCGATATTCCTCCTCGATGAACTTGTCTGGCACTGCAGCTGCCTCGTCTTCGAGCGTAGTCTCTTCTTCGGCCTCGCCTTCTGCGTCTCCATTATCCAATCCTCCGATAATTTTAGACACGTCCTCTTTGCCATGCACTATGGCAAGCCCATCGCGTATCTCAATAATCTGATCCGCAACATGGCGAACAAGTACAGTACGGTGTGTCACGAGTACGATGGTGCGGCCCTGCATCAGAGGCCCCGAAAGGCATTTGCGGACAATAAACTCGGCAGTGTTATGATCTAGAGCCGACAAGGGATCATCCAGCAGCAAGACGCGCGAAGCACTGTATACCGCTCGTGCAAGAGCTACACGCGCCTTCTGGCCTCCGGAAAGACCGATACCATTCTCGCCCACGAAGGACAGGTCGCCGTGCTTGAATTGTGCGAGGTCGGGAAGGAGGGCGCAAGCATCCAGCGTCCGCTTGTAGCGCTGGTCATCGTACGGAGCGGAGAAAATAATGTTGTCGCGGATGCTCATGCTCTGCAGCCAGGGAGTCTGCGCACAGTACCCAACCATTTCATTTGGAAGATGAGAGACGCCTTCGAGTTTGTCGAGCTCGCCGAGAAGACCCTGTAGGAAAGCGGTCTTGCCTGCTCCTACTTTTCCGCTCACGACCGTCAAGCCCTTGGGGATTGTCACGTCAATGCTGCGAAGTACGGGTGACGTTCTGCCTGGCCAGGCGAAAGAGCAGGACTCTAGCTTGATCGGTGGTTCGTCGGTCGTCGGTTCGAAGGGCGCAGGCTCCTTGTCTGGTTCTGACATAAAGTCTTCGATACGCCCAAGAGCAATGTAAGCGTTGATGAGGGATGTAATTAGGTTGGGGATATCCCGAAGCCGGCTTTCAAGCATCGTGAAAAGCTGCAGCGCAGGAAATATAATCTCAATCCGCAAATCATGGCCAGCCAGGAGTGCATAAGAGTACAAAGCGAGAACGGGGAATACGCCGCTGGCAAAAGCATTGATGAAACGGATCAGAATGTTCCACAGGCTTGTAATTATGCGCATGTTCAGCTCATGCTGTCGGGCTTCCATGACCTGACGAAGCCAGTGATCTTGCCACCCATACCAGCGGAGGTGCCGAATGGCTTCCACAAACTGTGAAGTGATCTGCAATCTAGCGTCGGTCGCTGCCCGTCTCACGCGTTCCCATCGAAGAAGAGCCCGAGTAATCACGGCGTTGACTGCCTGGGCCACTAGCACGGCCAAAATTCCCAGGAAGCAGGATGGTCCGAAAAGGGTCCAGACAAGAGCAGTGGCAATAACCAGACCCAAGGGCGAGTCAATGAGGGTGTCAACTTCCCAAAATCGCTGAGCGATTTCATAGACATCCCCTCGAAGAAGGTTGAAAATCTTGCCGAGGGATGCTGCTTCTTTGGCCTGTGCCTGGCTTGATTTGTTTTCTTTTGCGAAAAGACGCCTCCATAGATTCTGCTTCGGTTGGACCGGGGATTCCTCGGTTCCTTCGGTCGCATCGCCATTGATTAGACCATCTGTCTCATTGTCGATACACGCTTCATCATCGTCCTGGATCCGCTGGCCAAAAATATTCTTCCGGGAAAGCGCCTTTTCATAGACCATCATCATCATCTCGCCTCTGGACCGTTCGTAGGCTCGTCGGCCGTACCATATGGTCAGCACTCCAGACTGCGAAGCAATCAGACCCGCAGCCAGCCCGAACGCAGCATAGGTCAAAGGGACTCTCTTGGAACTTGTCGGATCTTGCATCGTCTGCAGGAGTTGGTGCAGAATCAATGGCGTGGAAAAGTCGCAACACATCCGTACGGTCGCGAGAACGGAAAGGATGAAGATATCGATGCCATTCGCCTTTAACAAGCGACCGAGGACCGAGCCTCGGATACGCCGAAATTTCTCGTGGAGTCGGCGGTGCTGGAAATCAAACCCGAGCAGCCAAACGTCTTGCTCGTGCAACTGTCTGACGCGTCCCGTGGCAATCAATGGGGCCATCCAAGATACAGTGAGGAACTGCCACAATCTCAAGTTGTCCTCTGGACTGCGGAAATCACTGGAGGGCTGTTGGCCCACGGCACTGATATCCCGCAAAGGGAGCGATGGTTGGCGGAAGGGCATTAACAGGATCACAAAGCTGGCGGCCGCTGCAGCGCCTGCCGCAATATAGCGAGCAATGAGCTTTGATTTTGAATCGGAGTGACTGGCCAGCGTGATTTCCACGGCGAAGGTGCAGACAAAGTACGCCAGCATTGAGATCGAACATGATCGTGGGCGTTTGACCGTAATCAGAAGCCATGCTTCCGCCTGTAGTTTCTGTCAACACTGGCGGGCACCCACAAGACCTCCGAGAACACATACCCATGCGATAGTAAGAATAGTCGACGAAATATCAATCTCAATTAATTGAAAAAACTCCGCCGCAAAGCCAATGGCCGAGAGAACGAAAAGAACGATGGCCCATCGCAGAGAGTGCTTGGCTCCTTCGAGCGGGAGTGAATGATGGAACTCATGCTGCTCCGAGATGAATGGAACCGTCCATTTCGGGCGCCACCTCCGCAAGAAACGGGCAAGAAGGTGGCTCAAGGCGATCAGCAAGACGACAATCGCCGGCACGGATGCCAGGTAGGGCAGTGCACAGGGCGACAGCCGTGCATTGTCGGGGTCCTGTATCTGTTAGTCGGGGGATCGTTGTGCAGGAGATGGGGAATCAAATACCCAGAATGGGCGACAACCACGCAGGTGGTCATCTTGCATCAATGGAAATTGATTCATACTTCATGGCGAGGTGAAAGATGCAGTTTGTTCCTGGGGAATTATTGGAGGGGGGTTACTAGCGGGAGCCTTTGGTCCGACATTCTTCCGACTGGTCCGTTTCGTGTTGGGATAAGCTGGAGCATAGGTGGACTACGATTGACAACTACACGAAGTCACCTTGAGATCGGAAGGGCCGGTCTTTGAAACAATGTGTTTGTTCAGAAAAAGCCGAAGATGGTATGAGAACGTCTCCGCTCGGATTTTTACAAACTTAAGTTCCGATCTCGGACAACGTACGGACGACGAACTAATTGTCCAACACAAGCCCTATCCATCACCATCCATCCTAAAAGATAGCAAACGCATTCGGCGGACTAGCCACACCTCCCACAACCTGCAATCTTTCATTAGTGGATATTTCGAAAAGCAAGACCCAGCTCAAACATACCTTGAGGGGCATACTCGACAAGAAGAACGTATACCGTCCAGTAGCCTTACAATGCTCCGACAGCTTCTCCAGATCAAACATCTCCCCAATGGGAGTCCCCCAACCGGCCAGAATCCATTCGTGCAGATTAAATTCCGGGTTGGCATGACTCCCCCGAATCGGCGACCGTTCAAAGCTCGGGGCATCTCCCGCAACGGCTGCGAACTGATGCTCCCACAACCACCGCACCATCTCCTCCGTTGCCTCAACACCACTGAAATCTGGTGACGGGCGTTTTGGGAGATCCTCGCGCTCCTTCGCACTGAGCTTATTGTACGCAGCTGTAAACCCGCTGCGCACGAAGAAGATATCGCCTTTGCGGAAATCCAGTTTATAGTCTGCGGCTGCCTGCTTCAGGTTCTCGAGCGTGATGGGAGTAGATTCCAGTGCTGACACGGGAATGCCCTTGGAGGTGGCCCACTCTGCGTAGTCGAGGAGGATTCCTCGGCCAGTGACGCCTCCGTTCTCTACCCAGGCTATTCCTTCTTGTCAGTTGTATCAGACCAAAAGCGGTTGAGCGAACATACAGTGAAGACCAATCGCATCCGACTTCTCAATATCCTCCGTTGTATTTCCATTATAGAAGAGACGCGACTTTTGATGCGCTGAACAAACCAAGACACTGTCAGTACATATATCTTTTCGAATTTCTGCGAAGAACGTCACCCACCATAATGCCTAAACCCATCCCACTGGGTCGAACCCTGACTATTAAAAGTCAAGATATCGTCATAAACGCAGTTCGGATTCCGCAGAACAAGCTCTTGCTTGAACGGCGAGCGATTGAAACTCGGGTACGAGGGCATGCTGAGCGGCCAGTCGAGCGAGATGCGCACCCCTGATCGGATTTCCTTGGCTGCTTCCACGACCCGCTCGGGGGTGAGCAGGTTCAGCGTGCCGAGCTGGTCGGTTGGCCCGAAGCGACCCCAGGCATTGCCGCGGGGGCCGTTGGGGTTGAGCGGGAGGGCGTCGAAGGCGACGGTGGGGGGGTCTTGGGTGATGGTCATGGTTGTTGAAGTGGTGAGCGAGTATAGATAGGGCCAGGTGAAAATTGGAGAAAGAAGAGAGAAGGAGAGACCACTCGTTATAATATCAATCCTCCTCGGCAAGCCCTCGGCACGGTCACCGATGCTCCGTGGGAGTCTCGCTACGTGGGTATCGTTGATCGAATTTAACCCCATCAATAACCCCCACATCTCCACATCCCCCGGAGTCATATCCGCCGGTCCTACGTTCCCGCCTTTACTTCTGGCCTATGTAGTAATAAAATCCGAAAAGGAATCCGTTCTTGTGTATATCATCCCATAGGGGAGAAATCCTCTCTCAATATGTACATAACGAATGAATGGCCGCACTGCTGATCTCTTTAAAGGGTAAACATAGCAATCGTCGCGGCGTAAGTATCCAGATTGTCGCTGACCGTCGCCAGCGAGGTGCCAGACTCGACAATCATGTTGGTTGTGCCAACGGTGCTGAGAGAGTACACCGTGAGAGCGCTGGTTGTGCCCTCGATGCTGAAGATTTCGCTCTGGCAGTTCTCGGGGGTGGGGAACGTAGAGCAAGTCGTGCTGTAGTTGTCGAAGAAACTATAGAGACCAGCACCGTAGATAATAACGTTTTCACTGTTGAGGATGCGCAGGCCCAAAGCATCGCAGTTACCAGTGCTAGGACAGCTGCTGCTGTAGTCTGGATCGTTGATGGCCGAGTTGGTAGGGTACGGGCTGTTGGCCGCGTTGGGGCTGGGTTGATAGTATCTAGGATTATGTTAGTTGAATATGCATTATCATAGCCAGGTCACATACGGTGTTTCGGTTTGAAGGAATCCTCCCACAACGGCGCTTGCGCCTGAAAGCTGGAACTGATACAGCGAGTGGTGCTCAACCGCGGTGCCGTACCTGTAGAAATCAATGTCAGCGAATCATCTAGTCATAAAAAGGGTTCGCAATACTCACATCCAGACGTTCTTGCCTTCAATGAGCAAGCCACGGCCAGTGAAAACAGAGATCTGGGTGCTGGCCGCATTGTCCAGGTCGTGGTCGGCGGTCCACAGCCACACGTTCTCCATGTAGACATTGCTGGCGGAGCTGGTGATGTGCATGGACATGTACGCCGCCTCGCAGGCCGCGGTCGGTTGTGCCGAAGTTGGGCACTGCGCAACCTGCAGATTCGAGCCGGCGAAGCCTCCAATGCGAGTATGGACATCCCACATACCAGACCCGGAGTCCGCATCCAGATTCCACTCGATCAACACGGCTCCAGGAGCAGAACCCTGCGTGCTCACGATCATGTCAGACCACTCGACATGTCCGGATTGCCCGGACGTGCCAACCTGGACCACGGGCACGGGGTCGGTGATGCTGGACCATGCACTACCACTGGCCATGATCACAGGATAGGACTCTCCAACAATGACAGAGCCCGGCGGGATCGTGATCGTGCTGGTGACTTTGTAAACACCCTGATCAAAGAAGAGAATCTGACCGGAGGATGCGGCAGAAGTCAGGGCGCTTTGAATGGCCGCGGTATCGTCCGTTGTGCCATCGCCTTTAGCACCGGCGTCGCGAATGCTGCTGATGGAAGATGTTGGTGATGCGGCGTACTGGGGCTTCGACTTAGTATAGTAGGCGGATCCTCCGCTAGCGAGCAGGGCGCTCGGGCGGGTTGGAGCAGTAAATGCGCCCTCGAAGTTGGTGGGTCCATTGGGGGTATATTTATGGCCCTGGCCCCAGGCACTGATGGTGGTAGAACCACCGTCCAGAACCGTGCCGCTCACTCCGCTGACCGCAACCGGGGTGTTGTCAAGGGTAATGTTCTCCAGGATCAGACTGCCGTTGCTCGATGTAGAGCTCTCCCAAGCAGTAGTGACAAAGGTCTGGCAGTCCTGGATGGTGCTGTCGAGGATATTGACGGAACCAACTTCCTGATTGCCAGCACCGCCGTTGGCGATCGAGACACCGGTGGTGCAGTTGGACAGAGTGAGACCCTGGTAGGTCCAGCCCCAGTCCCAGATCTGAGAAATGGCCGTCACTGCGTCGGAAATCTGAAGATTGCGCATGGTGAACTGCTGGTTACCAACGTTCATCGCGTAGAGACCTCCCGTGGTCGTGATGTCGGTCAAGAAACCGCCAGAGCCTAGGTAGCAGTCAGTATTTTCTCAAGCCTAAATCTACCGGTGTCTCTCACCGTTCTCGATGAAAATGCCCTGATGTTGGGTTCCTGACGCAGCACTCATGGCGATCTCTACATTCTGGATACTCGTAGCCTGTCCAACTGGCCAATGAATACCTGTCGCGGCCGAGGAGCCCGGAATATCGGTCAGGTCAATCTTCAAGTTCCGGATCTGTCGGTAGAACACATTCGTTGAAGTCCAGCCTTGGTTGCCCGACGACTGGTATTGATCACCATCGATCACACCCAGGCCTGTGAAGCCCGATGTGGCCTTAAGGGTGGGCATAGCATTCGGGTTTCCGATCAGCTGGGTGTAATAGTAGTCAATGATTGACGTGGAGACCAGATAGGTTCCCTCCGGGAAGTAAACAATCGCCGGCGTAGTAGTCGAGGTCTGTCCGCCGTTCGGACCAAAGCGACCACCGGAGCTGATGGCAGAGTTGATGGCAGCCGTGTCATCGGTGACACCGTCACCTGTTTTCGACCGTCAGATTCGTCCCGCTCGGGAAAAAGAAAAACATCGATGAGCACTCACCCTTGGCGCCGTAGTCCATGACATTGCGGAAGACAGTGTAAGTGGATGGGTCGGAGTTAAAGGCCGCGAGACCCTGGTGCTTAATATCCGCCAACCAGTAGGACGCGTCCGCCGCTGTCGACTGGCTCACTTGCGTCTGCTGCTTTGTGGGCTTCATTGCCGCGAGAGCATCCTTGCTTGGACCATTATAGTTGATATATTTGGAGAACTGGCGCACCACCTGGGCGGTGATGCGTTCCACTTCGGGGATTTGGAAGATCTGCGCATTGGCAGAGGCCAGCAGAGAGAGAGAGAGAGCCGCGGAAGTAATGCGCATCTTGACGGGCACTGACCGGGAATCAACAGATCAGTAGGCAGGAAGAGGCAATCACCATTGACCGAAGCCCAGGACAGGCTTCTTATAAGTAGCCGCGTGTCGTCTTTGTTCGGACTCTAGAACCAAACAGGAAAAGGAAAATACTATGCACGAACGCGCATGATGATCCCCCAAAGGGGGATCTGTTTATTGCGCTCCACTCCCATTCCAGGCTATCCCGGCAGCGCCAAAACACCCGACCGCGTTGAATGCCACGCTGACAGCCACTCAGGAAGTTGCAAGTGACTCCAGACGGAGATAAATGACCGTCGAGGGTGGTATCTGGAGATCAGAATCCTGTGGCTTGTGACGCCAGGCGGGAGAGCCCTCATGATCGCGCGTCCGTAAAGAAACCTAGTCGGTGCCGATCTTACCCCAGGAGGCGGTCCGCCTCCCTTGTCTAATTCCATGCCTCCACCAATAGAAGGTTGGATCCTGCGTGGCCGCTAAGAATTAGCCTGACGGATCATATCGAATCAGGCAAGGATGCGGACTAGTGCCGGAGGCATTGCAACTGCACGGAGGAAATGTAACTCAGGGGCAGTTGTTCGGCTTTGTGTCCCAGCTGTTCGCCAGTAACTACTGTACCAGAGACAGGCGTCAATACCGACATGAAGAAGTGAGAGTGGGACTGGTCCGATGGATTGCGAACAAGAAGTTGGGTTGGGCAGTCGGACAAGGTAACTGCCGAAGGCTTCATCGGCGCTACAGGAAATAAAATTTAAGGATGTGATTTAGTCCGTTTCGACGCACGACCTAGACTCTTCCTTCTCGGGGGTTTCTTTTCTCGTGTGCCTTGCATCCTGGATCACTATTAATGCGGGTGGTCTACTACTGTTGCAGAAACGAGCCAGGAACCCTGTCTAGAACCGGCCTCTGAAACGGCCGTTCTATAGGGTCTTTCCCCCGCGTTACTACGCCATCCTTCTGATCTGGGATCCTTTTCCAGATCTTGGTGAGTCAGCTTATTCTTCATCCTGTCTATCCGTGAATCAAACTGGCGTGGGCGGAGATCATCACCCCACGGGTTGGTGCTCTGCCGAGATTTAGGGCTGGAGAAATATATATCTTCCCACCACCACTTGATCCAGCCATTTACACAACAATAATAGCCGGCACTTGCAATGCTAGTCTCCAGAGGGGCGGTAAATAATTAATAGCGCATCATCATCATCATTATCCTTTTAAAGAAAAACTCCGTTCTTCATTCGGAATGCCACTAGATGTCCTGGTACATACTTCAACCTGCTTACGATGTAGCATCCAGATCACATAATCCCGAGAGCTCCAATCTTCGAACCACTAGCTGATTTCCAGGCCCCTTGGAGCCCCTCGAGACAGAAGCAATTCAAACCACATGTAAGTAGCCGTAGACTCTGAGGTGGCATAGAGGCTCAATCACCCCCATGCGGCCGCAATTTCACGCCCGACTAGGATTGCCAAGAGCGCATACACTATGCAGTCTAAGCTGCAGCCCGAGAACCTGTTCTGTGCTTATCCCATCTCGTCCTCTGCTGACGAAAAGGGCGTAGTCTTCTTCCGCCCATGGACCGACCTAGTGACGTCATCTACAAGTGCCTCAAGACCAGCCAAACTGTTGCTAGACCTCACACTGCCCGAGAATGCCAGAGTGAGCTCGAGATGGCTAAGTCCGTCAATAGCTCGTTAACTAATAATGTATCGCATCAGTCAGCGTAGAGCCCCAATGCCAAGCCCGATCCACGTGACCTCCCCCGTGATTCTTGCCTCACGGAAAGAAAAAAAACACATCGAGGGAGAACCCATTCCGCGTCAACCTCAGGGCAGAGAGTCATCGAATCCAGGACCTGCAGCAACAGAGAGTCTTCCACTTCGTCTGCTCTGCTTCCGGACTCGACGCCTGTTCCCGTCGTGACCTCCCTCAACCCCCGGAGTCAGCTCGTGCTTCGCGCCGGGTCGCGAACGTGTCACCGCTCTGCCATCATCCCAGCGCATCACGGCGAAATCCTCAGAGACAGATTGGCTTCTGATCTCTCCACAAGCGACGTGATATATATCGCTTAATAGCCATCCACTCGGCGACTTCGCGCGCGACCTCGGGGAGGTCCCCCCTCCAGCAGCACCTCGGAGCATTATCGCCCTGCGGGAGCATCGTCAGCGAACGCATTACGAGCATCGAGGGAACTCGCCGCCAACAACGGTCTTCGATATACATACAAACTCACGAAACCCCGGTGCACGATATCCGCGGGACTACTCGGACTCGCCGTCGATAATTGAGAGGGGCGTCCAAGCTGCTCGCCGTCCATCGACTTTTGAGCTTGTTAGGCCTTGGCCGGAAGAACTCGAAGAAACAGACGGTAGATGTCCAAACGAACAGCGCAAGGCCCTCAGGGGAGCAAAGAAGACGAAAATCAATTTCATATGTCGGGTACTCCAGATGAGAAGCCCCAACGGGCCACGGCGGCCCAGATGGCCAACCGCAAGTAAGTAAAGTGTACCTTTCTTTCCGCCCTTTTCTGTCTCTGCATGGTCCCTACTATGGGGTGGCAGTCGTTGTTTGTCGGAGCATTGAGGCATATAGAGCTGGCGGGGGCGTGGTCTATCCTTACCCTAACCTTCCTATTTGGGACGTGTCTTGTTGCCGTGCCCGCCTCTCTACTTCCTTCCTTCTCTCACAACGACAACCAACCCGATTCACTTCTCTCCCATTGATTCACTTCTCTCCCATTGATTCACTTCTCTCCCATTGATTCACTTCTCTCCCATTGATTCACTTCTCTCCCATTGTTCACGGCTTCTTCTTCTCTGCTTTCTCTTGGTTTCCACACCCTCTTTCCTGTCTTCCTACCCTTCATGTCCAAATACCTCCGCCGAGCTCTCCATTCCCCCACCAAGAAGGAGATAAAGCGACAGCGCTCCCTCTCTCCCGCCAAGGAAGAACCCGACTCCTCTCCCACCTCTAGAGAACCTGATCCCTCCCCCACCAAAATGAACAAGAAACGCAAGTTGTCGGACGCTGACCTTTTCGGGGCTTCCCCCGCGCATTACAGAATCAAAGATGTTCGCGGCAGAAAGCGTGCGATGACTCCATCCACTGCACCTGGCAGCCAGTCTTTCGGCAACGCCTTTTCTTCTGCCCCTGCGCCGACTTTTGGTGGCAATCCTTTCTCCTCCACCCCATCGCTGCAGCCGACTGGCTTTACCTTTGGCCAGAGCCAGAGCTTCCCCGGTGCCAACGGCAACGCGTCTCCCGGTCAGCCCCAGCAAGATGGCTCGGCACCATTCTCATTTGGAGGTGCCACTCAAGGCGGTTTTGGCTTCAACGCTCCTTCCTTCGGTCAACAGACCAACTCCTTTGCTGTGAAGAACCCTTATGTCAACGGCACATCCGGCGGCCAGCCAGCCGAGCCAGCCCAGCCAGCCCAGCCTACTGGGTTGTTCAGCTTCGGCGGGAACAGCCCCTTCAACGCCCCACCTGTCACTCAACCCTCGGCTCAGTCCTCTGGCATGTTTGGAGCGCCGCAGACCACGAGTGCTCCGACTTCTCTCAACATGTTTGGCAAACCACCTACCACAGTCACTGGTATTGATTCCATGCAAACCTCACCCGATGCCAAGCCCAAAGCTAGTGCTCCAGCTTCTGCACCCGGTTTCCAGAATCGAAATCTCTTCGGTGCCACGAGTACTCCCAGCTTGACACCTTCCGTTCCATCGGCTCCTGCTGCCAACCCATTCACGAGCCTTAATGTTGCTTCCACGACCGCAAAGCCAGCCGAGACGCCGCCACTCAAGAACCTCTTCGGTCCTGCCGCTGCCGCGCCCAAGGTCTCAGAGCCGTCTCAGCCTACGGCCAACAATGTTTTCGCACCGAAGACAACTACTGAACAAGCTCCATCCCAGCCTGCGCAGGCCAAGCCATTTGGTTCTTCTCTCTTCGGTTCTGCTCCCACGACCGCAAAGACTTCTGAGTCCCAGCAGTCCGCTCTGCCTTCTCCTTCCAATATCTTTGCTCCAAAGCCAGCCGCTGAGTCGGCTCCTGCTAAGCCCGCAGAGAGCAATCCATTTGGAAACATTTTCGCCGGCGCTCCCGGCGCATCCAAGGCTCCGGAGCCCTCCACTCAGCCTGCCCCTAGCAACATGTTCGCTGGCGCTACGGCATCCAAGGCCTCAGAAGCCTCCACTCAGCCTCCCCCAAGCAATATATTTGCTGGCGCTACGGCATCCAAGGCCTCAGAAGCCTCCACTCAGCCTGCCTCTAGCAATATGTTTGCTGGCGCAACGACATCCAAGGCCTCAGAAGCCTCCACTCAGCCTGCCTCTAGCAATATGTTTGCTGGCGCAACGACATCCAAAGCCTCAGAAGCCTCCACTCAGCCTGCACCTAGCAACATTTTCGCACCCAAGCCAGCTACGGGACAGAACCCCTTCGCCAACCTCATGGGAGGAGGAACCTCCGCACCTCAGGCCACGCAGCCGCCGGCCCAATCGGCCCCGAAAAACTTGTTTGCACCGAAGCCCGCTACAGCACAGGCAGCATCTCAGAACCAGCAGCCATTTGGCAACCTATTTGGTGCCAAACCTGCCGCTCCTACAGTCCCTGCAGCCAAAGAAACATCGGCGCCTGCCGTTCCAGCTGCTCCACCCGCTCCACCCGCTCCATCTTTCCAGCTGTCAAAGCCTCAGTTGCCTTCCAGCATGAACGAAGAACAAGCTGAAGATGCCGAGTTGCTCTTGCAACTGCGCACCCTGAACGAGTCGTTCAAACAGGGAGTCAGCAAACGCAATGCCACGGATGATTTTGATTCACTCATCATGTACTACTTGCAAGTCCGTGAGACCTTGGGTGTGCCTGTCTTCCCCAACATTTCCGGAGCGGAAGCTACCGCGACAAATGGCCCTGTTGCTAGTGCCCAGGATGATACCTCTACTGCCAACGTTTTCGCAAACTCCTTCTCCGCCCCGAAGTCAGATTCAAGCAAACCGCCCGCTCTTGCACCTGTACAGTCGGCGAGTACTCCGAGCCCTGCCGGTCCTGCGGTGGCTCCTCCGAAATTTGAGAACAACATGTTTGCCAAGGCTGCATCGAATGCGAGCACGTCCGCATCTACCGCCAATGCAGATCCATCGCAACCTTCAGGTGCTACAACACCTGCACCAGCGCTTGCAATCCCGAAATTCGGAAATGGTGCATCTGGCACGGATTTCATGGCGCAATTCAAGAAACAGGCAGAGAAGACTGCGGCCGAAGAAAAGGCCAAACGCAAGGCTGAAGATTTTGATTCTGACGAAGACGATGAGGAGGAGTGGGAACGCAAGGACGCCGAGAGACAGCGCGAGAAGCGCGAAAAGATTGAAGCGGCATCAAAGAAGAAGACGAAGTTTGTTCCCGGCAAAGGATTCATATTTGTCGACGACGTCGACGAACCGGCGGCTTCAACCGAAGCTGCCAAACAGTCTAGTGCTCCGAGTCCTGCCGCCACGCCATTGTTTGGCAAGCCTGATGAGGCAAGCAAGATTGGTAGCTCCAATGAAGCTAGCGTGATCAGCAACGCCAGCTCCCGCGCAGCGAGCCCGGCTACTTCGATTTTCGCATCTGCCAACCAGCCGCTTCCCAACTCGCAAAACATCTTCGGCAGCCTTTCTGGAACCCCACAGACCTCTGACAAGGATGACGGCGAGTCTTCCTCTGGCGATGACATCCACGAAGCCATACGCAAGACCCCCAAGCGGCGGCCCTCTGCCGAAGATGGAGAAGCGGAAGATGATCGCCCATTCAAGCGAACCACGAAGTCCTCTGATGGTGCCACCAGCAAGTCAAGCCTGGACACCTCTCTTCCACCCCTAGCGCTGCCGCAGGTCGCAGTCTTTTTGATCGAGTTCAGACTCCTGGTCGTTCTGCGACGAGCTCGCCTAACCCATTTGGTGTTTCGATGGGCGGAAATGCCACCACCAACAATACTGCCAGCTCCCTGTTTACCGGTGTCAACACTTCGGGTACCAGCACTCCACTTTTCGGCGCTTCCCAGACTGCCGATCAAACCTGGAAGCCAAACACCCCGATCAAGTTCGCTGCTGAATCGCTTCCTTCGACCGAGAATGTCACGTCCGCGGACGTCACGGGCGACGAGGAGGAAGGTGAGTCCGGTGCTATCTTCAATCTCACGAATGCCAAGGCTGGTGAGGAAGAAGAAGATGCTGTCTACGAATGCCGCGCTCGTGCTTTTAAGCGAGACGGTAGCTGGAAATCCCAGGGCACCGGAATCTGCCGTCTTCTCGTCCACCGAGAGACCCATGCTGCTCGTGTTGTGATCCGTGCCGACCCGGGCGGCAACATTATCCTCAACACTCACCTGAAGCGTGACTACGCCTATTCCAAGGCCGGCAGCAGCGTGCAATTGATGGTGCCGCACCACAACAAGCCGCCCGAGCACTGGGCCATCCGGGCGAAGCCCGACAACGTCAATGAGCTCTTCTCCAAGATCGAAGAGATCAAAAACTAATCACATTTACAATCACCATCATATCACCATGAAGCTTCGGCTTCAATGATTTTGCATGCAATCTGTCGGTCTATTTCGGTTTGTCAAACCATCAAAATTCTCTCATCAGTGCGGCGCCCCTGGTGCCCCCCAGGAGCTTCGCACGTTACATTTATTGTTGGAAGTCATTGTTTGGAGTCAGGGGGGCATGTATTTGTACGAGCATACTGGCATTGCGTTTGCTTGCTTTTTCATTTCCTGTACTTCGAGAGGCCCTCGAGTCCAGCGGACCCGGATTTCTGTCCTGGGTCTGCTTGGGCTCGATGGGCTCCGCGAAGATGTTTTTCTTTTGTCGTTGCTTTCTGTCATTCCCATTTTCTGTCTGCATTCTCTTGGCCGTAACCGGGCTCGTCGCCCTGAGCCAGCCAAGTGAATGCACCGTTGTACTTTAGCTAGGGAATGGCAGTTCCGTTCAACGGATTTTACTGGAACTACAAGCACCCAAGCCCCCTACAGTAAATAATCCCCAAGAAGATAAGATTAGTGAGAAAAAAAGGTATTTTTATTTTGAAAGAAGTCCCCGACCAGACAAAAAAACCCCAACGTAATCATAGATGCGATGCTTCAAGACAGGACAGGACATGACATGAAGAGATTTACGCATCGTCAACGGTGGCAGTGTGCAGACCCTTGGGGTTCTTGACGTTGACAGCCTGGACGTGCGAGTACAGACGCTCCACGGCGCCCTCCTCGTCGTTACGCTTGCGGGAGATGCGCACGCGCAGACGGAAGGGAACACCCTTGATGCCGGCCTCCCAGACCTTCTTGTTCAGCTGGGGGTCGAGGCGGACGTCCTTGGTGCCCTACACAACCAGAAAAAATAAAATTAGGAAAAGACTGTAGGAGGGGAAAAGAACGAGAGTGATCTGTCTTACCATGGCCTGCTCGGCAAAGGCGCGGATCTCCTTGATGGCGCGGGGAGCGCGCTTCTTGAAGCTGACGCCGTGGCACTATATTCCCGCGAAGAAGGCGTAATTAGTCTTCCGTCCGAATGCCATTGAGTGGTGATTGTTCTGCTCGTGATGGGTGTGTGTCGTGGCCGTAGAGGTGGACTTCATCAAACTAATTTCTTCTTTGGGGGTTCCGGGTTTGTGTGTTTGTGTGCGTGGGTGTGTGGTTGCGTAGGTTCAGCAACCAGTCGACAATTCGGCGAGAGAAAATGCCAAAGACAAGACGAGTAGAGTCTCCGTGCGGGAAATCCCAACAGGATACAACAACAGGTCTTGCAAGCAAGTTCTGATCAGGGCAAGGTTCTCCATGACGGAATCATGAACAACCTTCCCACACACAAACTCCGGAATCTCCAGAAGTTGTTCTCTGTCCATTGGTTCCTCCAGATCACGACGAGTTCATCGCCGGCGCAGATGTTAGGGGACAGGAAAGGGGATCAACGTACCCGCTTGTGCAGGTTGATGGTGTACTCGCGCGACACCACGTCGGCGATGGCCGAGCGGGTCTTCTTGCCGGTCTTGACGTTGGACATCTCTGCTGGAAATTAGCAGGGTGTACAAAAAGAAAACGAGGCGGATATGAGGTGACTGACTGGAATGGGGGGTGTCGACGGTGGGCGAGAGGTGGTCGGTGTCGAAGCGGAAGTGCGATTTTTCGAAATTGAGAGTGTGGCTCGCTTAGTGTGGGGACGGGATCTGATTGGTGAGAATACACGTGACGCATTTGGTGCCTCAGGCAGATAACCGCCCAACTGGGCCCAGGTCAACTAACTAACTAATTAACTCACGAACTACAGACACCCTGGCTTCAGAGAATTAGATGGAACAAATCCCTTGGGCTGAAGGGGCTTTTGTTAAACCCCCACTCTAGGTTCATGCAATCACTGTATGTACAAGAGGGTCGTCATGATTCTAATTCTCCCCACTCACATCCGGATACAGATCAAACCGGCGCTGTGTATAGATCGGGATGCTCGACCGGATATTCTTGATCGTCTCGTTATCCAGATCCGCATATACAATGGTCTCCTTCTCGTTCGCCATGCTTAGGATATGGGCACCAGGATCGGCGACCAAGCTGTGCCCATAGGCATGGTAGTCCGCCTCCATGTCGCGCGCGGGACTGCACATGGCCACATAGGTCTGGTTATCGACCGCGCGTGCCCGACCGAGTAATTCCCAGTGCAGCGGACCTGTAGTGGTATTGAAAGCGCCCGGGTAGAGGAGCAGGAAAGCGCCCTTGCGCGCAGCGATCATGGCCGCCTCCGGGAAGCGGATATCGTAGCAGATGGCCAGCCCGACTTTGCCATATTCCGGAAGGTCGAGGATGGTCAGCTGGTTGCCTGGGGAGAGCACATCGCTCTCCTTGAAGGCGATCTTGCCGGGGATATCAATGTCGAAGAGGTGCGTCTTGCGGTGGGTGCCGATCAAGGCTCCCGACGGCGAGAAGACCAGCGAGGTGTTGTAGTAAGTCTTGGTGGTGGGTTCCAGTTCTGGGATACTGCCACCGACCAAGTATGCGTTGGCCTCGGCGGCGATCGCGGACAGGGCGTGGAAGGAGGGGGACTGTTCCTTCGTGGGCGGGGAGGGGAGCAGAGTCTCGGCGTATTTGGGGAAGTGTGCGGTGCCGTAGGGGGAGTTGAAGCACTCGGGCAGGACAATCAGACCTGCGCCTGCTTTGGCGGCCTCGAGAACCTTGCCACGGGCATGGGTGAGGTTGGCGGCCTTATCGGCGCCTGGAGATTGCGTTAGTTGGTTGTGAAAAGATGGGATGGCGCAGGGGTTCACGACATACCCGATGCCAACTGCACCAGGGCCAGTTTCAGGGGTTTCTTCAGGAAGGCAGCCATGGTGGTGACGTGGTGGAAGGAAAAGGAAGATGACAGGGTTAACTCCGCAACTCCGCAGGGACCCGCCACTATATAAGCCCCTCGCCGCTCTCAGTATGAAGATCAAACCCAGTACAATGGTCGGTCTTGATATCGTGCGCAAACATAACTCAGCCCTGAAGGACTTGGGGCCCAACCTGGTGGCCGTCTTCGGTACGACTGTGAACATCGATCCATCCCTTCTCTACATGCTGACTCCGGATTCTAGTCGGCGGCACCAGTGGCATCGGCGAAACCACAGCCCGGGCCTTTGTGAAACACACTCTCTCCCCGCGTGTCTATCTTATCGGACGCAATGAGAGCCAAGCATCCCAGATCATCGAGGAACTGCGCCAGCTGAACCGTGATAGCCAAGCCAGCTTCATCAAGTGCGACGTGTCGCGCCTGCACGACGTGGACGAAGCCTGCAAGACCATCCAATCCAAGGAGGACAAGGTCAATCTGTTGTTTATGAGCCCGGGCATTATGACGACCAAAGGCCGCGACGGTATGTCTGCTTTCTTGGAGGTAAATCCCCTCGCTAATCCATCCCTAGAAACCGACGAAGGCCTGGACAAGAAGCTGAGTCTTCACTACTATGCGCGCATGCGATTCCTGGTCAATTTGTTGCCGCAGTTGACCAACGCGGGCACCTCGAATCAACTCTCTCGCACGATCTCCGTGCTAAGTGCCGGCCACGAGGCAAAACTGCGGTTGGATGACTTGACGCTGAAGCACAACTACTCGCTTGGCAACTGCGCCAACCACGCCACCACCATGAACTCCCTAGCCATGGAGGAGCTGGCGGCGTCGCACCCAGCCACGTCTTTCATCCATGCATACCCCGGTGGAGTGAACACGGGCCTGCTTAATAACATGCTAGGCCGGTTCGGCTCGAATGCTCTTGCTTTCCTGTTGAGGCCGTGGTTGGTTCCCCTGGATCAGAGCGGCGAGAGACATCTCTACGCGGCTACCAGCTCGACCTATCCCTCGCGAGATCGCAAGGCTGATGATGCCGTGAGTGGGTCTGACGGGACTAAAGGTTCGGGGGCGTATCTGCTCTCATGGGATGGCTCCGTGACTGGGAACCAGAAGATCTTGAATGGGTATCGCAGTGATGGGACCCGGAAGACAGTGTGGGAGCATACGCTCGGGGTATTTGAGGATGTTTGTGGAAGGAAGGAGTAAATCGTCATAGCATCCATCAGAAATAATCGTAATCATAATCCATTTTGACCTTCATTTCAGCTGTATAGATCGGGCTATACTTGGCCGGTCACGTGGTTCGCCTCCCTCATTCGCTGGAACCCAAAGTTTGGTTTTTTCGCAGGAGGCGAATTCCCCGTCGGTAATAAATAATAGTCGAAACGAAGGAAAACCAGGAACAGACAGAGCGGAGTTGGGCCTCTCGATCTTCATGCAAAATCTTGCACAGACACCAGCATAGAATCCTCCTTCCTGCCTCATTTGCCCCCAGCCGCCCGCGCTGATCTGGCCCCCTCCCCATTCACCACCACCATGTTCGAGGACTTCTCCTTTACGTCGCCGTCGTCGCGCCCGCCACGACTCACAGTGGACGCCGATGACCGGATCATGCTAGACTGCGACAGCACGCTGGTCTCGCCGCTCTCCTCGCGATGTCCATCGCCGCAGTCTCATCGGTTTCGAACAGGGTCTCGCTCTCGCAACTCCTACATCCGTTCTCCGCCTGCCCCGACCTCTGTGCCATTTCCTTATGAGCCAAAGAGATTGTCTATCTCGACCTTGACCCAGAAACTGCATGAACATAGCCTTCACCCTGCACAACACTCCCATGACTCCCCCCCTGGCTCTGCAGCACTGCCGGGGTCAAGGTTCGCAGGGTACGTCCTCACGCCGCCAGATACGGACCACGACGAAGAAGGGCTCGGGATGAGTGATCACCTGTCTTCGCCTCTATCGTCCAGCGTGAGTCCCACATCTATGCCCCAGGACTCTCGGGATCAAGGCAGGAGAGCAGCAGACCGGTCACCAAGTGGTGGTGGCACCGGATTACCCGATCAACTGAACGTGCGGATTCAGCGGCAGCGCATCGCTCGGCTACAATGCAGTTCCGCGGAAATGGACGCCATTCGCCGAACAGTGCTAGCCGACGAAGACGACGACAACTGCCCCGGTGGAGACGAAGGTTACCATCCCAGCTCCCTGCCCCCGCGGTCCCCGACACGTCGACGAACGACCACTTCAGTGCGCAGCAGATTCGGCCCAGAGTCTCCCGTCTCTGCTTCGGGACCAGGGACTGCGACTTCCCATGCTCGGCGGAAGAGCAGTTCTGCTGGGGTCTTGCAGCCTCAGGCGAACCGGGTTGAGAAAAGTCAGAGTGCGGGTCCGTCTAAGCGCAGCGAGCATGGTCTGAGACGGAAGAGTCTGGTTAGTGCTGCGCTGGCGAATTTGGCGGAGTGAGTTGAGGGATGATCGGGAATTCATTTTGAATATTCATTGTATATATCTTCCGATTGATACCCGACTTTATTATAACATTGAAATATAGATTGTATATTTAGTCTCTTCCGTTCATGTCCGGTTGGAAATAGACTAGACGGCTCACGATGTGCCTCAAGAGTAACAGAGAGAGCGCATCGAAGGCAAGTAGTTCCGAACCTTCCAATCACAAATTATGCGTGGCCAATTTACTATTCTATGATTGATCAATTATTCTCAAGTCATTGGGTACGTCGAAGGGGAAGGGAGTTCCGCCCCACAAGTAGACGACATGTCATTTGATGCGTGAGAGGTAGTTATAAGGTGGTTTCTCCCTCGTCACGATGCGAAGACTACGTGAGAAATACGACGCACTTTATACCCTATAATGGACGTGGTGATTATTGGCTCCGGTATTATCGGCCTTCTATCGGCTCTCACTCTTACCGAAGCTGGGTACGCAGTGACTATTATTGCACGCGACTTACCGGGAGACGAGACCCAGGACTGGGCGAGCCCTTGGTACGTTGTGTCTCCCAGCCACTAGTTGCAGGACAATAAATCGGAAGCTAACTTGTGACTCGACAGGGCAGGGGCGGCCATACTCCCTCACCCAGATGCGAAAGGGCATTCCCTCCAGGTGGACACCTTCAAGTATTACTGGGCTCTGGCACACCGAGATCCTACTAGTGGGGTCCAAGTAATAATAATCCCAAATATCTCTCATTCATCTCGCTGACTATAGACCCAATTAACTAGGTGGTCAAAGCAACCGAGTTTTACGATGATCGAGCGGACGATTCGAGTATTTGGTACAAGTATCTTGTGCCGCACTATCGCCGAATCCCTACAGGCGAACTTCCGGGAGGTGCAACCGTAGGGTTCACTTTTCATACCATGACACTCAATCCCGCAGTATTCCTTCCCTGGATCAAGAAAGAGTTGGAGGCTCGTGGGGTACGGTTTATTCGCAAAGAACTCAAATCCATTGAAGAAGCCAAGAAGATTACGGGATGCGGCATCGTTGTTCATGCATCCGGTCTCGGTGCTTTTCATCTTGCAGGCGACAACGATGTGGTAGCTATTCGCGGACAAACAATGTTCGTGGAAACCGACTTCGATGAGCTCATGATGCTTCAAGGATCGCAATACACTTATGTTATTCCGCGAATGTATACGGGAGGTGCGATCTTGGGTGGGGTGAGTCAGGAAGGGAATTTAGCGCGCAATGTAGACGAGGATTTGCGACCTGATATTCTTGAAAGAACGAAGAAACTTTCCCCGGGGAGTTTTGATTCTGTGGACTTGAAGACAGACAATATCCAAAACATTGTCGCTTTTCGACCCGGGAGAAAGGGGGGATATCGCCTTGAAGGAGAGGGGAAGGTGGTGCACGCATATGGGTTCGGCAGCCTTGGATATGTGTACAGCTATGGGGTGGCCTTGAAAGTTCGGGATTTGGTGAAATCGTTGGCCCAAGGCAAAAATATGCATAGAAGTCATCTTTAAAGACAGAATTGAGGGACTAAAAACCCAATTGAAAAGGTACGGCTTTTGAATGCCAAGATTCCAATACTACGACACACTGTCTAACCTCAAATATCGACATGCGCAAAGTCCTTGGCTGACCTTGATCTACCAAAATACAGGACTCGCGCATTTTGATGGCATACGAAGGATCAAAATGTATATCATAGACGGACTTATCAATTCAGTGCTTTCAATCATCCAGGAATTAAACTTCAGCTCCTACTCGTACAGCACTCTCCAAAATTGGTACCATCTTACTGCCGACCTTTGCTCAGGCGTCTCGCTAGCGAGGATCTCTGGTAATCCTGAGACCAAGTCCACTTCCTCCTCATGACGAACCCAGGGCTCGGATCTGACAAAGAGACGATGTCCCAAGTAAAGAGCCAAGAAGATGGGAATACCAATGTAGGCAGTTAAGAAGTTGGAAATATTCCACTGGCCGCTTAGGAAGCTAGCGTAGCCGTTAAGAAGTAGAAGCAAAGTAAAACATACTCCACAAATGTATGACACATACGGCTGAAACCGCGATCGAAATGGAAAGTCAGACACTTCTTGCACAGCAGTCGCCTTGCGGAAACGGAGGTAGACGATGCACACACAAATCCAACTCTGAAATCCGCCAGTATTGATGAGATTCACGAACCAGTTGAAGACTATCGCTCCCGTGTTGGAAATGTTGAGATATGCAAGGCCTGACAGGGCCGAACAAACAGCGACTGCATTATATGGAACCCCGGATTTCGTGCACTTTGTGAAAAGCCGAGGCGCGTTTTCTGCCAAGGCCAACGAATATAGGGAACGGCTTGCCAGATACAGGAATGAATTTCCCGACGAGAGGGCAGAAATCAGAATAATTGCGTTTATAATGGAATCAAGAGCTTTGATGCCGGCGATTCGAGCAGCGATTGCCCAGGGAGAAGCGCCAGCACCAGATCCACCCCCTAACAGCTGGGGGTTGTTGCTTGGGATAATCATGCTGATAGCAATAGCACCGAGCACGTAAAAGATAACAAGACGATAAAAGTAGCGGATCCCCGCTTTCGGGAGGTTCTGGCGAGGATTCTGCATCTCTCCGCCGGTCACGACCAGCAATTCGGGGGCGAATGCGAAAGCAAACATCGAGAAGCAGGTAGTAGATATAAATGCGCAGAGTCTACCGGAATCTCCAGTCGTGATATACTCATTCACAGGACTTGGATGTGTCCAATAATGGAATCCCAGCCGTTCATGCTTTGGTCCGCCGCCCAAAATAAGTACCACCGCCATAATAAGCAAGCCGATGATACCCATTACCTTGACAGATGCAAACCAGAACTCGGTTTCACCGTAAACTTTGACCGGAAAGCAATTGAGGGCGACCATTAGGACCAGAAAGATAGAAATCCAGATCGCAACATGCACCCCAGGGTGCCAATACTGGACGATGAGAGTAGCTGCGGTGATCTCCGCAGGTACTTCGATAACAAAAACATAACAATAAAGCCAGCCTAGGGCAAATCCTAAGCTACTGGAGTGGAAGCGGGACGCGTAATAGGCCATCGAACATCCCGGAACCGGTAGGTAAGATGACATTTCGGTCGTTGCTGTGACGATACCGAACACCAACAGCGTGAGGAAGATATAGGCCGCGACTAAGAAGATTGGACCACCCATGTGCAGAGATTGACCCGATCCTACAAAGAGGGCTGTGCCAATTGTTCCGCCAAGGGCTATCATCTGAGCATGTCGGGATTTGAGGCCTCTCTGAGTGGTATCCCTTCGAAACGGGACGATATCGCCCTTTTCCTCTGTAAGGGCATTTTCTGCTTCCGAGGGATCCTTCATTTTCTCGTCCATTGCTGAAGGCCACCGAAGGAAAAGACAAGAAAAGGTATCCGGAAAGAGTCGTGGAACAGCTGGAAGAATTGTGACATGTAATAGGTGTTGTTTGAGGTGCTTCAACTGTTCCTATATGATTCTACTTATAATATCCCCAGGCCAACCAAGTAATAGGGTTTTGTCGCGGGGAATAGTTGGCTAGTGGGCCACTAAGCAAGGCTAGAGCGTTTGCTATTGGTCTGTCCGGGAATGTCCAGGAGGCTATCCGGGACGACTTGCATGGCTCGCGGAACAAGCTTCCTGATAAGTTAGCGGATCTATACTTGATAAGCATCTCCCTCTCTTGTGGATAGCGACCTGCCTCATAGGGAAAAGACAAACCTTTCTCTCTCTTTCTGAAACTTGACTACTGGCTTTATTAAACGATTCCTACCAGCAAACATGAAGAGGAAACATCTTGATATCGAGGCTTTGAAGTCAACAAAATAAAGGCCAAGTTTTTTGTTCCTTCAGAATATCCATCCAGGTCGGGAAGGGCTCACGACGATTGGCCACCAAATGCTCGTCCTGTCTTTTCCATAAAGCAGTCATGGTATCTTCCGCAATCTTGACAGGGGCAAGACCGCATCTTTCCTGTGATCGTTTCACTAGCTTTAATATAGCACACCGTCTTTCATTTGTCATGGCCTCGCAACCAGCTAGGAAAATTGGCCATAGTGTCCCAGGACCAGTGTGTTCCACCTCTGGTAACATAGCATGCAAGGACGTTAGAGCAGTAATAATACCGTCAACATGGCCTTGTAAAATTCCTGGGTGCACTCTTCGAACTCGCCTGTAGAAGAGAATCACCAGTGCAGAGTTAAAAGCTCGCAGAACATGGGAGTAAGGCGATAACGGTGCTTCTGATGGATCAAGATCATTGTTCCGAATACCGTAAGAGTGGATCACATTTTCGAGGCGATTACTCCGTTTTTGCAAAAAATTCCAGATCTTGGAGTCTATCTGCATTTCGGTGCCTTGTGCGGCGTTCATTTTTTCTAAAACGTTGGCCAACCGGATAGTTTGGGAGACTAAGCTTAGCCAAGTCTCCGAGAGGCCATAGGCTTGTTTTGAAAGAGTGTGCTCGGATTTTCTCGAGTCATGGAGGTGAATATCGGGGATATCCCTGTTCTGGTCCTTTGGCTCGTCGATGTTAAGGTCGTCATCCGAATGCTCTAGGTCGAGAAAATCGTCTAGACGGACATTATGCCCCGTCGTCGATGAACGACCATCAAGTCTCCTGGGTGGTCCACAGGTCCGAATTTGGTGACTTAGAGAATCGATGAATAAGTTTGAAGGGCCAAAGTCGTGGAGAATATAGGTGCTTTCACCCACGATGCGCAGCCACGAGTAGACATTTATTAGTAGGCGAGCCTTGTGCGATGTCTTGCTTTTGACTACTCCGCGCAGCCGCAGAAGTCGTTCAGCATCGATCATATAGCATCGCACGGCTTGGTGTTGACCGAGGAAGATCTTCATAGATTAATTTTCGTCGTCTCAGATGAGAAAAGAGCATGGGAATTGCTTACCGCTGATTCTATCATCGCACATATTGCCATGAGCTGGTCCTTATACTTGGCTTTAGCTGGACCTTCTGTCTCCTCACTTAGTGAGATGCGCATGTGATTCTGGGCCTCAAGATATGCTTGATTGGCAACTTGCTGCCAGTGGGTTATCGAGATTGAATCACCCGGCGTAACAGACAGGTACATAGCAGAGCATGAAATAAGACTGAAGAGATTAGCCTGTCGGGCATGGCTAACATCCTGCGACTCCATGACTGTTAAATCTGCAAGCGTTATTATTGCAGCGGGCAGATTCAATATGTTCCACGGTGCTTTCTTGCCAAGAGGAACGATAGTAAATTGAGATACAACGTGCTTTTGAAAAATCTTGAGCAGAAAGGAAGCATCATTGAGAATATCAATTGAGGCTACCGCGCTGTCCGAAGTAGTCTGTAGGATGTTTGTGCAATGTGTCTGTCGTTCCTCGTGACCCATGTTATGCGTTAAATCCAGATTTATTGCCAAAGATGTATTGTACATCTCGCTCTCGGAAACAAGCCAACGGGAAGAAGAGGGAAAATTTGGGCAGTTCATCGAGTCGAAAGAGAAATTGGACGTAATCCCGTACAAGTTATCATTGAGACCAAAGATGTCCGACCACTGTAATGAATCATCTGGGAATCCTAGCAACTCTTCGGAAGCGAAAGATGGATGAGCTGAATGTAGTCTATCACTGGAGGCTTCGGGATGAGATTGTTCGGTTGCCTTGTCTGCAGTATTGCTGGCGAATGAGCCCCGTGGTTCAACAAAGGCAGAAGTCAAATTCAGGACAGCAAACGGCCCAATCTTGATATCACCCTGTATAGGAAACGATGATGCTGATTTTGCTTCAATCTCTTCTAAAGAAGCATCAACGGATCCCGATAACAGGCCCCTGTTCAGGGAAGTGCCCATCGAAATCCTTGATTGTTCTAACGTGCGAATCAATACGTGTCCACACAGAACGTTTACCAGGAGTTAGAATAATGTACCGCTGTATAAATGGCGTCGTAGGCCATTTCTCTTCGTATGACTGCGCTTCTCATTTTGAGGTTCTTGCGAAGGAAGATGCCGTTTTTCCGGCATCCACCGCACCTCATCAGGAAATCCGTCACAAGTGAACCCCATTGAACGACATGTTTCACATGAAGGCCGTTTCTGATCGCACTTGACATGTCGACGTCGGCATGTCGTGCAAGCTCCTAGCCCATGCGTTCGACGAGATTTAGTTCGGCGAGTCATAGCCGGAGTAGACTAATTGGTGAGTTCAGGTAGTCCAGCATCAAAATCGGGGGAGATTCCGTCACTAGATAACAGAGTATTATATCTTAGCGAGATCGCGTAGTGTCGAGGCTAAAGATGAAGACGATCAGGTGATCGGAACCACCTGCCCGTTGTTGTGGGGGGACTGACACCTCGGCGGCCAGGCCACAATTTCTGTCATCGTCGAGTCTTCGCTGACGACAAATCACTTAAAAACGTGGTGCCAGCGTTGGGAATTGAACAATTGAACCAAATCCTACAAGGTGAAGGTGACGAAGCCTCGTCCTGCAAGTTACCTCGGGGTGCCTACCACTACACCACCGCTACTCGCCTTAGCTACAGTAGAAGTAGAAATATGTGCAGGCCAGAAGATACAACCGCTGTAAAACGAGTATTGGAAAGTATCACTATGCATTCTAGACACTGTGTCTTCAGCGGATGCAAGTTGACGAGACTCCTTTGCTCGCGTTATTACGGGCCACTATCTCCTTATCCTAATCCGTTCAAAATCAGTCCACGGAAGTTCATGCCTGAACTCATCCCATCCGCCCAACTTCCGGTACTCATTTTCTTCGTCGTCACCACCAGTCGGGTCAACCCACTCAAAAGGAAGTACCCCCTGCGCCGGCCACTCTGGCCGGTAAAATCTAGTCACATTGGAATCCAGTCCAATCCATGCCATGCGTGTGAAAGCATGGCCAGCACTCAGCATTTTTTGATGCGCGGAGCCTGTACGCACGCGAGTGGCGAGGAATCCGCGCAATCTTGGGCCAGGTACACCCTTCAGGTATCCCTCCTCACTCTGTAACTTTTTACCAAATTTGAAAATATCGGGCTTTACCAGGAGTACTGTTCCGATATCACTGGCAGATGTCTGATCAATACAGATGAAGTGCGGACACGTAGGGCCAAGTCCTTCGGACTTGTAAAACTCCCAGACGATATTCCAGATGTCTTCTTGCGTGGCGTCGTCTTTGCCGTCCCAGGGAACAAAACAGACGCCCTTAGGGACCACAGGCATATTCTCTGAGTCTGAGTCTACGTCTTCGTCGACGTCACTTTCCATGAGAACTTTTCGGATTTGTCGGTCCCTATCTTCTGGGACATCTTTAGTGAGATAGAAGACCGAGGCATACCCAGTGTCTTCCATTCCGGGACGTAGCTCCTTGTCATCATTTGCTGGTCGCCATGACGGCGGATTGTAATACCATGGCTGGTCCGGATCGCACACTCCCTCGATCTTTTCAATTTCAAGGCGCACAAAGTCTTCTTGCATGAATTTAAAGTGTTCTGCCCATTTTATTCTGGCGATAGAGCTTAAAGGTATCCGAATCATGTATGTTGCATATCTGATTTGAGAACACACTGCAGCAAATTGTGCTGAGCTTATGTGCTGGTCTTCAATAGGACTAAGGAGAACATTGAGAACTGGATCGCCAGGTCTCTGATCACCCTCGTGCTGTCGGAATTTCTCCCAAAGTTCCAACACCTCGCGGCGAGACCGAGCATGATGACGATCTTGTGATATGAGTTCGACTGACATCTCTTTTCGCCCATCATACTCTCTCTTAATAATCTTGTTCAGTTCTTCTTGTATGATCTTCTGGCTTCTTTGAAGCTCGTTTGTCGTTGTGGGAAAAAGGATAAAAAGGAGAAGATGCTCTCTACTCTGCTGGCGTTCCCACAAAGGCATCTTAGTAGGCAAAGCAGAATCCGATTGAGATATAACCTCGCCTACCAGCTCTGGTGGCAATTGGCGAGCTGTCAGAACTGATGCTACAGTATTGTAGTATTTCTCTCGCACTGTCGGCATAACAGTGCCGACGGTAAACATACACGCATCCGGATCATGAAGTCTCCTGCCACTTTGTATGCAGTTGGAAATCTCACATGTTTTCTCCTTTTGCAGGTATTCTGTGAAGAACTCCACAGTTTGAGGTTCAACAACCTCTTCTAGCAGCTTCGTCGAACACTTGGTTGAACGGTCGGAGAAGACATAAATTTCATCTTTTGGCTCAGTGCCAGGATGCGAATTCGGGCCTGACTCTGAAGGCGCGATCATAGATGTCTTTAGCCGGACAGTCATGGTAACCACCGAAATATGTTCCCTTTCCCCAGGACGACAGCAGCGCGTGAGTTGGCGTTTCGTGAGCTCATCCGCCACGATAAAACTAGTTCCTTTCTTAAACTCTAGGCCGGACCGAAAGGCGAGAATTGCCAGAGCATACAGATTGGCCTGGCTGTCCCGATGGGAGCTTTGCTTCGCAATGGACCTAAGCAGTGCCTGGGACGGAGTCCATGTTTTCAGTTCCACGCCACCAGAGCAAGATTCCTGGTAATAATGGATAAGTTTCAGCCTTTCCTCCTCGGTCAACTTCGCCAAAATGATCATCAGCAGCACTTTGTCGCTCGCCTTGAATATTGGCATTCGAGCGCCTGGTGCGAGTTGTATGGCTGTTGTGTGGTCGTTATCGGCCATTCTGTGCATGGGACTTGACAATCAGTAAGGAAGATAATTATCGCATCTCACTCCTCAGTGTTTGAGGGTTGGAGCCGCGAAGAAATAGTAATTGTGTTTTTGAGAAGTCCAGAAACCCTCTCTCCACTGCACTAATGACTGTACGTGGCCAATTTCAGTTGGTTATTGTCAACCGTGCACTTCGCCAAGGACTTTGCTCTCCACATACAGCCCCCGGCCGATATATGTAGAATATTGATGGAATCCTAAAGTATTCTGAGATATAATTATTGAGAGATCATGAATGAAAATGAAAAGAACCGATTCAGTGATCATGTATTCCATGAGTGTATCGATGCAAAAAACGAGTCCCTGACTCCAGATAGAAGTGAGGAAAAAGTAGTATACAAGAATAAGATAAAAGTGTATAGAACCAGCCCATATCCCAAGTCCGTCATCCCATCATCCCATCAGGCATATCCAAAAGCCATATCATATCATATCACATAAAAGAAGAAGAAGAAGAAGAAGAAGGGAAGAAAAGAAAAAAAAATCTAAGTTTAGTGACCCCCACGCCAGCTAAAAAACTTCCGAAAGCCCACCCGCTGCGAAAACGAAGCTTTCCGCTCACTGCCTCTGCGACTTCCCAACTGTCCAGACGAGGGATCGCGAGACCGGCGCTGCAGGTCGTCCAGCGCGCGCGCCGGGCCAGAGGCGCGGAGACCCATGTTCTCTGCCGTGGCAGCAGCTAAGACCTCGCGGATATGCGGATCCAGGAAGAGAGGGTCGTACGGATCGTAGAGGCTTGCGTAGCTAGATGATGGGAAAGGGTGGTATGTGTCCGAGTGAGCTGGTGTCGGGGGGACAGTGGAAGAAGGAGAAATAGCGGGAGAGAGTGCAGGCTGGGGCAGGTCGAAGAAGATACCGCGGTCTCGCTCGTTGACCTGGGCCCATTCGCCGTTGGCGTAGACGGGGGACCCAGGTTCGCCGATGTCACTGCCTCCGGAGTAGAGGGTTGGTTGGGAGCCAGGAGAACATGGCTCCCTTCTTTCGTCGTAACGTTCAGGGATGGAAGTCATGTGTGTATTATTGCTGTGTGGTGCGTCGCTGAGGAGGTCGTGGTTGATTTGGTCCTGTTCGTAGTAGTGTGCGTGGTTATCCTCATCAAGAGGCGGCGATGTCAAATCGGCCTGTTGTAAGTCGGTAGAATATTCAGACAGGGAACGAATCCGGTCATTCCCTGTTAGTGGCGACTTGGGCATGGGGTAGAGCCCCGGTAGAGAAGAATATAGAGACTGCGAGGAGTAATGCGATGGCAGCGAAGCGTCTGTGAACTGGGAGAGAGAGATGCGGTCCAGACCCTGCTCGAGAGAGAAAGTAGTGGACGAGATCCGAGAGTCTCGTCTGTTGTCGGAGAACATCGAGCAGCCATCAACATCCTCAATGAACGAGACGATGCGAGCCACATCCAGCGACTTGCGCGGGTTCAAGATCTCAAACGACGCCCCGCCGTGCGAGACGATCGCGGCTGCTTGGGTGGTGTGTGCCAGCATTTTGGGATCTTCCTGAGCCAGAGGAGAGTGATGAGCTGGGGTTTGGGCGGTTCTCTGTCGTTTCTCGCGATAAGTGTTCTGGGGGGACAAGAGTCAGCATTTGTCTTTTTGAGACATGTTGTTTCAGACAACTCACCACCCGCTTGCGGTTATTTGGTTTGGGACGCGCAGAATTGTCCGAGACAAGAGTCACCCGTGGAGCTAGTCCAGAGTCAGTAGGGGCCAGGTACTTTGTTTAGGAGGGCAACATACCAGGGATACTATCAAAGACCTCAGAGTCCTGCTCACTGCGCTGAGAGACCACACTATGAGAATACGACGGCGACAGCGGAGGAGTACTGGACGTCGCAGACGACACAGACACCGGATAGGAAGAAAGAGAGGAGAACGCCGGAGTGGACTTGTTCCAATTCAAATTCAGGGCCCGGGGCTTGCGCTTGAGAGTCCTCCCTGAACCACGATCGGCAGGATCGCCGACGCGCTCATGCGACTGCGACAGCGACTTGCGGTATTCGTGAAGGGACAGTGCTCCCGTAAAACCCTTGATGGAGCGAGGGGCCTGCCCGTTGTGAAGGTCGTCCGGACTAGACGAGCCGTCCAGCAGCTCGCTGGCATAGCGCCAAAGACGCATCGAGTCGTCCAAGTCGTCCGCCATTTTTACTTGCTTTTTTTGCCTCTTGTAACGGTTTGCTTCAGTATGACATTAAACAGGCGGTATGGACCATCTCGTGGGGGAAAAGTGATGCGTCACAGGAAGAAACTCCAACAACGCTGCAAGGGACGCAGTAGTCAAATCGACCCATCGCAAAACCGCCAGGTCCCATAGTTTTATGTAGGAACAGACCGGGACAGTCGGGACCGGTACCTGGGCAAGTCTGGAAGGCCTGGAACAGGAACGATGGGTCTTCTTAAGGCGAACCGGTGGTTCGACCATGAAGAATGGCCATTATGCGCCGGGCGGGACCAGTGGACGACGTCACCTTGCCATTTCCGGATGATCAGAAAAAAGAATCTTCTTTTAGAACGAGGCTGGTTTCTTATGTGTCGCAGGCTAGTGAATTAGTGAGTGAGTGTGTGGGGGATGTAAGGAGGGATCCGTTTTCACAGACACACTAGTGCAGTAGATGACCTGCGTAGTTAACTTGCGCCTGTAGCCAATCACCCAGCAGAGCAGCGATGCCGTCCAGCCCTCCGGATCGTCACAGCCAGTCGGGGCGCCGATCGAGCCGATCGAGGCATCACTTGCGGCTGAGCCAGGGGGATCGATTGGCTGGCAGGCGGCGGTGGCAAGAATCTCTCATCAGCAAACTCTCCACTTTCCGAAGAAAAAATGTCGGCTGGACCTCGGCGTTCCTGGGGATGAATGAAACAGGACTGCGCGGTCCAGCCCGTCCGGGTGTATGAATGAATCATGAGATGATGGGTGACCCTTGGGTATGGCAACCAGAAGGCCCCAAAATCATGGTGTACACACCTGCAGCGCTGATCCCGTGGCTGCGGTCCGTGGCTGCAGGCGTGGCTTTGCAGCCCTATGCACTGGGGCACATGGACACCCGGTGGATGCCTCAGCCCCCGGGATTCCGGTGGCGAGATCGCTGGATTGGGATACCTGCGGTTTTCTAGAAGGGCCGTGGAAGGGAAAGCTAGCATAGATCGTCCAATTCAATTTACGCTCAAGTGCACTAGAAGTATTCACAAGCCAAAAAGAAACAAAATTAACTCCCGAGGCATGATTCGTGGTGTGCACATGCGACAGATCCAGAGCAAGTAGTCAGTCGTTGCGGTCGTGGTACATTTCATGCGTCGTAATCGTGAGTGTCAAGCGATGGCCAGAAACAGAAAAGAAAAAAAAAGGGTATCTCCTTTAAGCTACAATGCCCATAGTCAATCAATGTCGTTTATATTTCTGGAACAACAGGTTAGTCAATCTTTGACATAATGCAGGGGAAACGCCACTCACATCTTCCATTTTCCGCCGATTGCTCGGGTCCAATGTATTACCCGCGCCGAGCAGGGTTTGGCCCACGGCCTTGGAAACACCAATGGCCGGACGCAGGATAACCGTGGGCGCATGCTTCCACACGGCTTTGGCGGCGGCTCGGGCGCTGCCACTTTCCACAACCTCCCCCGGCACGGCGACGATGGCATCGCGCGCCAGAAGCAGGTCTCGCTCGAGACCTGTGAACGCGCCGCGGAGACCCTGGACCACCCCGATGGGCTGGTCGGCATACAAGGAAATCCTCTTGGTTTCGTCTTCGTCGACTTGGTCTTCCTCCGATGCCATCGCGGCATTTGGAGAGGCCAGGAGATCCTCCGCGCCCTGGAGGACAGTCTGCGTGCCGATGGCCAGTTTGGCGCCCAGCTTGATCAGCTCGTTGGACGTGGTCTTGGCGAAGGCGAGGGCGCCTTTCTGGATGCTTCGGACGATCCGGCCGTCCTTTTGATATTCGCGCATGGGCACGACAACCAGGTCTCGCACGCCCCCGCCCACATTCACCAATGACCGGATGGGTGCGAGGCCGGCAAGAACGCCGGGGAGCTGGTTGCGCTTGATATCCGGCATCCAAATGTCGTTGAGCGTGTGGCCCAGCCGGTCGAAGCCCGAGACCCCGTAGATGATCACATGGCGAAGCACCATGTCAGCACCATCCAGCACGAAGAAGTTCATGAATTCTGTAGTTCGACCGGACCGGAGCCCCGCGTAGTCGACCCGCTTGGGCTTGAAGTCAAGTTTCACCTGGACGGCGTTCACCTCCACTCGTTGCAGGAATGGGACGTCTCCGGGGACGCTGGCGGACTCGGCAGATTCGTCGCGGAACTCGAAGAACCGGCTCATGAAGTCCAGGGCATCTTGGTCGACATGTAGTCGCAGCGGAAGAATGGTCGCCTTGAGAACAATCTCTGAAGCCGCGAGCTCAGGAACAGGTTTGACAGTCAAAATCTCCAGATGAATCATACTCGTCCCGCTTTCCTTCTCGCCAACCTCATGCATGTACGTAGCGAATTTCTTCCACGTGGACGTGGGTACATGGTCGTAAATCTCCAGATCATGGACGCGCACATCCAACGAGCTCTGAGTCTCGTCGGAACCCGGCGGGAAAACAACCAGATCCGCACACACCCCGCGCAGTTCGAAGGTCATCTTGTGATGTTTGCTGCGATGCAGACGCAACTTTTTCCTATGCATAGACGATGATCGACCCTGGCGGCTTGCGGTGGCCGTCACCGTTGTCGAAGTAGCGTAGCTCCCTGTCTCGCTTGCGAGGTCGTCAATGTCGCGGTTGATCACGCGTTGTAGCTCGCGCGGGTCTTTGTTGGCTGGGATGCCGATGTAGATTGAGTTGAACAGGAAATCACCGATGACGGACTCTTCTTCGTCCTCCGCGCTGGGTGACATCCGCGTTGTTCGCGATCGTCGCTCTGTGGCCTTGGTCTCGACCTCTTTGACTGCTTTGGAGATGGTATCTCGGGTCTGTTGCCAGTCGTAGCCGTCGAAGAGATTCCAGATAACATGAACATCACGAACGCGTACTCGGAGAGGGCTGCGTTGAAGCTTCGAGTCGTTTGAAAGGCCGTAAGTGTTGTGAGTGGAATCCCATCGGTGGGCGGTTCCTCCAACTGCAGATTGCCTTGCGAAATGGTCATCCTGGAACTCCAGTTCGCCGATACTGGACGAGACCTGATATTGAGAATGAAAACTGTCAAGCAGGTCCTGGGTTTCAGATACCCCCGTAGCAGCGGCAGGGCCGCCACTACTCGAGCCTCGTTGTACAGGATAGAAATCACTGACGTACTCCAACTCGTCTTCGAGAATATCTGGCTGGAGCGGTTCGTCAAGCTCGGAAGGAAAGTTAGGGTCTGCGGTGAATGCATCACCCGAAAATGAAGCGAGCATGTCGTGAAGAGGAGTGACCTCCGTCCGATATTTGACGGTGGGGTTCGGGGGAATTGGAGGCTGAAGACCATTTATAATGCTGATAAGAGTCTGCGTTGAATCTGCGCAGGTCTCGAGAATCAAAAGATCATCTCGTAGCTCCACATCTATTGACTGCACCCCTTCTTCGGAAAGACACATCAGCTTCACGACAGCGGTCGCGGATGAAATCGAAGAGACGGGAACGTAGCCTTGGTCGATGTATGCCTGAACTTGATTACTTTGAGTGACGGCTGAACCACGACGATGTAGGTTATCGGCCGTGCCGACAATTCCCACGTCGTCAATTATCATAAGCGACGCTTTTCGGATGTCCAGTTTGGCCTCTGATGATTCTTGTCCATGCATCGAGCCTCCGAATTTGGCATTCGTCAACACAACAAGGCCCTTTGCGGGGGAATTGCGAGGATTGAGGCCCAGAACACAGTCTCTGAAGATGACAGCCAATTTTACAGGTTTTGTAGCAGAAGTTGGTGTATTCACCGTCACTTCTGCGTCCTGGGAAGGCTGTAACTCGGCAATATTGGCAATAGAATCCACCATGCCACTGGCCAAGTCACCACTGGTCATGTTGCCACCCAGTCCAAAGAAAGCCATGACAGATGGTATGGTATACTCAACACGCAGGTGATGCAACTTGACTTTGAACGTGGGATCCATTTCATCAGGAATAAAACGGGCCATCAGAATCGGTGGATGCGGGTGAATCTGGGTGTGATCTTTGCTCGGCAACAGCGTCTCGCCTAGCAGCTGCTCATCTTCATTGCGGAAGACAGTCATTGTTCCGATCTGGAGGGCAACCAACGAAGGCATGGTTATATAGGCAACCTCGGGGTTGGCAAGGTGAACATTAATATCTCCAACTTCGCCTCCCACGTGAATCTGGCCGTCAAAGTCTCTCACCAGTGCCAGAATGAGAATACCCGGACGATCGTCCTCAGGTAGGTACTTCGTGACGTTGGATAACCGGCTCAGTTCAACACCAAGTGATGAAAGAGGGTGCAAGCCTGCAGTGTTTGAAACAACAACCTTCACTCCGGCCACTGTGATTCTCAGAACAGAGCCCTGCCGTCGCTGTCGAAGTAGTGTATCCAGCATGATATCATCGTCATCATCGTACTTGTCTTTGGACGGGGTGATCAGCGTCAGAAGACGATCGAGGTCGACTTCCTTCGGCGCAAACAGGAATTCAACTCTGATATTGCTCAGAGTGGCTTTGGCAGGAGCATCATGAAGATCATCATCAAGTCGAAGCGGCCCACTCAATTTCGCTTTGTCGATCTGCACACCAATGCCCTCAAACCGGCTGACAATCTTGACGGCAGTTGTAGTCAGGTTGAGATAGTGTGTTTCACCTATCACATCCAACACGATACCGCCTACCCGAGCATTCACCTTCCAAGGCGCGGATGCACTTTTGGCCGTGTCTGCTGGAGCGGGTGTCTCAAAGTGGACACCGCGATGCGGTTTCCTTGGGTTCGTTGGACTGCCTTTGACAGTTGACACGGATGAGATAGAGCTTCCCAGTTCCAAAATCGTGCTCAGCCCACCCATCCAACCCAGGGCTTCTTCTAGACGCTGTATATTGAGATTGAACTGGAGAGGCAGCGTGGAGATGCTAATCTTGGTTGAATCCGCTGATCTGGTTACCGAGAGAGAGATGTCTCCTTGTGAAGGCGTCTGCATATCCCGGGTGGACTCGCGCATTTTCAATGTCTCGTTGAAAGAGATGAGGTTGTCTGAAGCAAATCCGAATGCAAATTTCGACACATCAATAGAGATCTTTGTCGTCGACCCAGTGGACAGGCGAGCTTTCAGACCAGACATGGTCAACTGAAGAATGATGTCTTCAATGGAGTTTCCAGAAAGTGGCAAAGGTACACCGGCACGCTCGGAAGAGATTCCAGGAATATGTTCGATGAACTTGACAGCAAATCGGTGGACGACAAGATTGAGAGATGTTGCAAGCCCGGTTTGATCTGATGGAAGTTGCGGCTCTTTTGGCTTCTTCTCTTCAGGTCCCCCAAGAAGATGTAATATCCGTTGCCCAATCTTTGTCAAAAGCCATCCAGTCGCGATGTCAAAGTAAATTGTTCCCGAGAGCACTTCCAATGCCAGCTCATGCAGATGAGAGGTGGCTTGCTTCTCAGAGTGCTCCGAGAGCCGCGGTTCGGATTCATGGGATCCGCGAGAGTCAATGGACCCGCTTCGAAACCGGGTCGATGCATACGTCCTGGAAGCGAGAAGACTGTCTTCGATTGTAGGAGCACGGAGGCCAGCCGCGAGAAGTTTCGGATCACTATCTGCTCTCTGTCGAGCTAGCGACGGCGATGAATCGCCCGAGAGTCCTTCATCTGGAGGTGGAGACGGCAGCCATACCAATACCTTGTCAATATTGCAGATTGGTTTTCTTAATTCACTGGGTTTGCCGAAGGAGGGTGATGATCCAGTCGAAACTCTATCGGGAGAGGCAGATTGAGACTGGGCCTGAAGATCATCTGAACCCTGGTGCTCGTCGAGGTACGAGTTGGATGGAGCTGAGTGTTTGGGGGTTGAAGTGGTGCCTTCGTCTTGGTCGTGGTGGGCGGGCTCAGCTTCTTCACCGGGATAACTGTGGGGGGGTTTCACAACATCTTGAGAGGTTCTTTCCACATTGCCGTCATTGAAAGAGTCCCAACCTCCAGGGGTCTTTGGCATAAAGCTTCCACCAGGGCCTCCGCTAATAGCGCTCATATATAGACTCTGGGCTTCATCGTGTGAGAAAAATTTGGACTCGGATAGATCTGCATTTGGCGTTTCTGGTGCGGAGCCTGCACTGCCAGACCCAGAGGGTATCGAGGAGCGAGATTTGTGTTGTGGTAGGCTTGGCTGAAAATCATCGTTCATGAGGCGAGGAGACGTTGCAAAGGCCGCAGTTCCAGTTCCAGCCTGACCACTGTTCTGCGTGTCGCTCAATCGTGATCCATATATGCTATCACCTATATTTTCAGCATCTTCAATATCTCGGCGGGTATGTGATGGAAGACCATGGGAGTATCTCCCACTCCCGCGCGACCGCTCAACATCCAAATCATCAAGCTGGGTATCAATCACCGAATCCAAATACCCAGGATTGTCCCGAAAGGGATCATCATGGCCAAAGATTTGAGAGTCCTCAGGATATCTATCTCGTTCAGATTCCGAGCCCGCGTCCGAAAATCGGCCGTCATTAGAGAATGTAGACGCCTCAACACCGGGTTGTGTCGCGCTTCCAGCAACTAAATTTCGAGGAGGTTCAAGGATCGTTGACTGCGTCATAGCGAGAGCGGCCTCCGAGGCGGAAGAATCAGAAAACGAGGGCGAGGGAGCCCTGCTCGATGGCTGGCTGCCTTTCGAGCGCATTGTGGTAGTCGGAGAAGCGGGAGCCGCAAAGCGTGAATAGTTCGAAAAAACCGTCGGATCAGACACCAAGCTGACATCGATATCCACCAGAGAAACTAGCCGCATGCCTTCCCGCAGAGGAAGCGCCTCGTCTGGGCCCGCAGTGAATGCGGACACCCCATGCACATCGATCTCCTTGACACTCAGCAATCCCCCCACAAGATCCGGTTTCTCCTCCGCCTGTCGTTTTGAAGGCCGATCGGACTTCATCTCCATATCCAGACGCACGGCTACATCTAGGATTTTCAGTTGAAAGCGATCCGCAACACCCTTGAGAAACGCCGCCACAAAGCTGGGGAGCGATAGTGTCTCGCTACCAAGTCCGAGCTCCTCATCCTCATCGGCGCTGAGCGATGACGATGTGCGGTGTAAAACCTGCGACCGCGACGAAATGGCGGCTTGGAGCTCCTCTTTCTCTGCCTTTGGCTCGGTCTCCAGGAACGACTCGGCCAGTCCAGACGGCGTGGGAAGAACCTGTTCCGTGCCTGCCTCATGGATGCCTAGTCCTCGTGGATTCCCCTGATCTCCATGGGATGGCTCTTCAGGTACCAAGCGCGCATGTACATCGATCCCGCTGGCCTCGCAAATGATCCCGCTCGAGTATATATCAGCAGGGACCGTGATCCGCAGGAACTGCACGCGAGCAGCAAGAATCTCGCATGACGACGGGAGGTGGAGGAGGGTCGCTAGTTTCTGTTTGGAGTCAGCTTTGAGTAGACAGTGGGGATGATGATCACCATCACCCCGCCACGCCCGCGCAGACTCACCTCCAGCTTCAGGCCGATATCGCGTAACTCGACGGTGCTCCGCTGGCCCCAGCGGATGCCCAGGTTGTCCGGGTCGAGGGCGTCGGTGTCTACCACACCCAGACGCGACAGGGCATACCTGAGCAGCCGCTTCTGGAAGAAGGATGGCAAGAAGTAGGCCATGTTGAGAGGGGTAGGGAGCCAGGGGAGGCTCGATCATGCAGGGACCATCAGGGGCATCATCGAGCGGGTAACGAGGGAAGACGGAGAGAATGAGAGTGAATCAGTTGGGAAAGAGTGGTACATACATAACTAGAGAGGGAACGGGAAGGAGGTGTGCATGACGTTCCGCAGCAGCTGATAACGATAACTACGGGCGACTGACGAGTTACGGGGCGATCAATCACCGATCAGCACACAACACGCGTTTGGCTCCGACTTGCTCTTTCATTCCTCTATGATCAACTATTCATCCTCGTCAAATTCGGCAAACTCCAACACCACCCACTCGCAGAACTTCTCAAACTCCGAGCACCACTCCCGCAAGCGCGCCGCCTTGATCCCCTCGCCCAGAATGCCCTCGTGCACCTCCCCCTTCCACTCCGCCGTCGACTGGTCTTCATAACAGCTCCAGCGGATCGAATTCTGGACCATCATTGCCAGGCCCACCAGGTCCACATTATCCAGCCCTTGGAGAGCTTGCCAGAAATCATGCGTCAGTCCGTTTCGGCCATGTCCCAGGATCGCCGGGTCGTCGTTGCAGAGGGAGACGGGCACGCCGCGGGAGAGCAGTGCCGGGAGCGGATGGCTCTTGATGGAGCTGGTGAGACGGAGGACTTCGTTGGAGATCGGGCAGCATTCCACGAGGATCTTCTTTTCCTTGACGAGCTCGATGAGCAGCGGGTGTTTGAACAGTGAGAATCCGTGGCCGATGCGCCGGGTCCCGAGGAGGATGGCATCGAACAGATTGTGATCGGTCGCATCGCCGTCTCCCAAGCATTCACCGGCGTGGAAAAAGAACGGAATGTCGACTTCTTCCTCGAGGCATTGTTTGCGGAACCAGAACAGCGCCGGGACGAGATCCACCAGCGGCCGGCCTCGGTCCTCCTGCCCGACGAGATCGAATCCACAGATGAGGTCTGGAAACGCCTGTTTGATGGCGATGCACTGCTTCATGCTCTCGATAATCTCCTTATTGGAGAACCGCCGGATGGTCGTCCAGATGATGCGCGCCTCATAGAAGTGCTTTCCTTCTTCCGTGGTTTTGAACCGGGCCACTTCCTCCTCGACCACGCGACAGAACTCTCCATAATCTGTCTCGGGTGTCTCGTGGCCTTCTTTGCGATACTGGAAGAGAAACGCGATGCGAAACTCGACGTACCGCACCCCATCTGTCGCGAGCTGCGCCAACATGCGGCGGAAACATGCCCGGAAAATGGGCTCGTAGTTCACCAGGGAGTTGACGACGGGGAAGGTCTTCTCAAAGATGGACCAGATGGCATCGACGCCGTGGTGATGGTGGTAGGAGTGCTCGGGCATGAGCACACAACGGCTCTTCAGCCAGTCGCGGAAGCCGGCCTCTTGGCCCTTGGGGAAGGACGCCGCCGCTTTGGCGATCGGGGTAAATGAGGAAGACTCGTATCCCTCGGACCACACACTGGGCTGGTCCTCTGCTGGCATTTGGGATGAGAACTGGAAGTTGATCGGGGCCGACTCGTAGTCCTTGGGCGTAAGCAACGGCTTCGGCGCCGACATGTAGATACCGGGCGTCGCCAAGGCCTGGTCGATCAGGAAGTCGATGTCAAACATGGCATCCATGTGGGCATGCAGGAGCGAGCCCTTGGGCATCTTCTGGACAATCTGCCAGAGTTTGGTCTGCTCCATGCGGCCTTTGGCCAGGTTGAACATGACGCCCGGGTACAAAATCTCGTCGGACTCATGGGCGGCTGCGGTGTCTAAGCCGGTTGACCAGACCTGGCGGCGCTCCTGGTCGCGGATGTGCGAGACAATTTTGCACGCTCTGGCGGCGATGGGCGAGAGCGACTTGCGCAGGGTAAAGTCTGGCGAGTCCGTCAGTCAACATCGTCTGCCTCAAACCCTGCCTACATAGGTCGGACCTACCATGGCGGCGCTTCTGCTCCTCGGCGATCAGGGCATCGCGCCCTCGCAGGTATTGCTGGATGAAAGGGTCTTCCACTTGGGGAACACCCTGCTGCAGTTCCCAGTCTACGTCGCCCATATTGTAATTATGTAGAGAAGTGTACAGGTCACGTTGGAGGGGCAGATAAGATCCCCGCCTGGTCTGCCGTGGTCTGCCGTTTGCAACATTCCGCAGTTCACTGACTAAGTGTACCTACTCTTTGTGTTTACCTAGGTACCCGTCCAGGTAGTATCCATTATGCGAGATTTCCCATCCTTGCAACCGCCGCGTAATGGTACCTCTGTTTTTAGACGCAGCAGAAGAAATGGAAGATCGAGGCGACTTGGAGCGCCGGTTCTAGCCGGCACCCCGCCATTCAGGGCGGGTACTTTTATTCCCCAGGAAAATTCGGGAGGCGGTGGACGATAGATGAGCTGTTGAGCATGGGCTGGGATGAGGCTGATGTATGCATACCCTTGGGTGGATTAGACTGGTCACGATCCAGACGTCCTAGAGGAAAAGAGTACAAAAATAAGCCCCGAAAAAGTTACAACACGTGTTCAACTCGGGCGAACCCGGTAACTAACGCGGTGCTGGCTACAAGGAGAATCAAGCTAAGTAGGGGAGAAGTAGGTGCTGGTGTAACGAAATCTAGACTACCCCAACGCTAGCTGGCGGTAAATCAGGCGCCGAAAATAATAGCGCCACGGTGCCATTTTCCGTCATTGGCGCTCGCATTTTCCATCCAGTTGTCCGTCGAAACAAGGCCCAGCCAGGGCGACCCTCCGACTTGTGGGGTCCACCGCATCATTGCTCTCCTTCGACACGCTGTATCCTGATTGCGGGTGCCAAGCCTTAGCCAAGAATCTTGCTTTCCATGCGTGACTAATCGAACTATGACGTCTCAATCATGGATAGATTGGGTCGTCGGACGATGACATAGTGAACCTCAGAGGCCGAGGCCCAGGTCCTCAAAGGGATAAATAGCCCTTCCTGCCCCTCGTAGAATACTCTCATTCACTTCCAACAATCAATAAACCATCTATTCTCACTTCAACCGAATAACCAAACTACCTTCGTCACTATGGAGACCATCAAGGTACGCGAACAATATGCTCCGGAATGGTGTTCTTTGCATCGCCTTTACTAACGTAAAGCCATATTAGAACGCTGCCAACTACGTCTCGGAGTCCGTTCAGGGCACTGGTGCCGAGGCCTCCAAGGAGGCGAACAAGAACGTCGCCAAGGATTCCGGAGCCAACGTCAGCACTCGCGCCAGCGCGGCAAAGGATGCTATCTTCGACAAGAAGGACGAGAAGTCCCACGACGTCAAGGCTGATGTTCACAAGGGTAAGTCTCCCTCATTGACAGACACTTGTTGAATGTGATGCTAATCTCCACATTAGAGGCTGCCAAGCACTAAAGGAATCTTTACTGTACAATTTTATTAGGAATGAAACCAGAATTTGATAATTAGCAGTTTTGAAGCTATTAATCCTTTTCGCCAATCCTCGTAAACGTAGTAATTAAACCAACCTTCCGCCGTATTTCGTTGATGAATGGTTGAGATTGAGAGTAGCAGCTGGTAAGACAGAGGGAGTGTACTGGCCAGCGGAACGTCGTCATCGCTGCTCTAAGTGCTTTCGAGCGGCTAGTTACCCCCATATAAGAGTGTTGAGAAATGCTGCTGCTACCACGCTTGCACTCTATATCCCGAGATGCTAAAAACCTGTCTGACATTCGACTAGCGCTCTACAGCTTTCCGTCTTTCCACGTGCTTGTGCCCGTTTCGCGCTTACCCCAAACGAACACGTAGCTCAAGCGAATAGACCCGCGAACTTGTTCTAAACGCCGTTGTTGCAAGTGAGGCAGTCGACCTTGTCTAGGACGAGGGAGGAAGATGTTTGAAGTTGCTGGAACGTGGGTTTCCTTCATGTGATCACGTCGATTTTTGAACATCAAAATGCATAAAGCGGAAGAGCTTGAAACAGAAATATCTAAAAGTTCAACCAAGCTAAATGCCGGAGAACTCGCTTCACAGCTCACAGGTTGTCAGGATGTGAAGTGAAAAGGGATGCCAATAAACTGTGTCAGTGCGGAAGAATGAGAACTGTAATGCTTGGGTAACAGCCTCTACCCTAGAGAAATTCAAGGATAACGGATAGATCGCCTGAATAACTCTAGCATATTGCCAGGCTTGATGAGACTGGCTACGAGCCAACTCTGTTAGGTACAGTGTTGAAATCTGACAGCTATCAACAGCTTCTCTGAGTAGTGATGGACTCGACACGCGGCGACCCTGAAATATGACCGAGACAAAAACCGCTCCGATATGAATAACTAGATTCGCTTCGGCTCTCATGCAACACGGCTTGCGCAACATGGGTTCCTCAAAAAGAAACAATATCTGATTCTACGCATGATCAACTCGACAGTATGAACTTATTTGCTAGCAAGCCTTATCGGCCCGCGACGAGAGCAGGATCGACAATGCATGCGGGTTGAAAGTACATTTCCTTCTGTGTACCAAAAGATATTTGCACGAAAGGATATATTCATAGAACTGTGTCTAAGAAAATTCACCTGACTGATTTCGTTGATAAAAGCAGGATACATCCCCCTACGTCATCGGCCCATCATACCTATAAGTACATTCAACGAATAATCATTTTCAACCACATTTACGTACATCTACTCAGATTGTTAATCTGAGAGGATTTACAATTTCAAAGTCTTTCTCTTTGGATCTTTTAACGCTCGCAGATAATTTAACTTCTCGGTCATTCGTCATGTCCCTGAATACTGGTACCAGCGGTCTCACAGGTGTCGCCAACCTTCTCCCGCGCGAGAGCACGGACACAGCATCCGTCGATAATATTCAATCGACCGTCACAGGTCAAACAGAACCACTCTTCCAGACAGCGGATAAACTCAGTGAACCTTTAATGCCCGGTGAATTCCCTTCGGATGAGTCCTCTCAAAAAGAATCCGTTAATAACGAAATAACTTATTCGACTCTGCTTCGATTATTTACGGGCTGGATCTCGGGTGCATTCCCTCGTGCCGTGGACTGGTTTGAAGATACCATCAGGCATTTCGTCCACTGGTTCCTGCCGCCGCCCCAGCAGATCGAAATATACGAGGCTGCACTGAAGCGTCCTATTGCGTCGACGTTTATTGTCAGCCAGCTCATCTGCTGCGGAGTGCCCTTACTGGTATTATTGGCTGTGGTAGTCCCCGTCGCCGCTGTCGCTCTCCTTCTGTGGTTCATATTATCACTGCTCATCGGCGGCCCGATCCTGTTGATAGCGAGTATGATGGGTGTCTCCCTCTGGGGTTGGGAATGGATAACCTATGGATTCATCAAGTTCATCGACCAACGATATCTGGGCGGCATGCTCGCACGTTTCTGGTTGCCGCAAGGACAGACTCAGACCGAGAACGAAAAACACCAAGAAGGGGTCCAGACACACCAAGAAGGGGTCCAGACCCCGGAAGTGAAAAGCGATAAGTAAAGTTTTGGTCAAAGGTAGTACGATTGGACTCGAATCTGAATTCTGAATGCACATTACAAATTGTTAAAAGACAAGCTCTTGATTTTCTTTTCCCATTTAAAGCTTCTTGCCCGCCAACAGCAGTGTTCAGAAGACGAGGAGGATTGATCAACCCAATCCTTTGTGATCGGATGAAATTCAAACCGCTCTGGTCATTTCTGACCTGGTGAAATGGCGTGTTGATCCACGCGGTCCGGAGGGCCGTCCACGCCACCATAACTAACGATGGAATTTGAGGAAACTCCTTCACTTTCCATCCCTCTCTGTAAACGTAGTACCATTTCCAGCCAGCAGTCCCCACAGAAGATGATAGGTTCTCTGTTTGCCCGGTCCCCTAGGAAAGCGGTTAAGAAATTAATTCTCCCTAAAACTCGGTCAGCATAAGCTGTTAATTAAAAGACGAGGCGGAACAGGAGAATAAGGAGGGGTGAGAGAAGGGTGTCGGATCCTCACTCGCAATTCCAGAAGAAGCGCGCTGCCGATATTGCCGCTCTGTCATCCATCCAACCTTCCATTCATTCGACGTATGAAGGGAATTTGGATATGCTCATTAAACTTCCCGTTATCCAACTGGATCAGATCCGTCTCTGATGAGTCCGGCGGACTGCGACTGAACGTTATTCTGTATTTGGTAATATCGAGGAAGATATGCGTATCAGGCAAGGTCAAAGCCAATCCTTCTACATAGATAGAGAACGAGAACGTGATGGGTGTTAGGAAGATTATGTCTCGGTTGCTTCGACTACTGGGTCAAATCAACAATATCGAAAGTGGTGTGATATCGAAAGTGGGTGTGATACGGGGCTGGTGCAGATCAGGAACCAAGGCGCATCATCGGAAATAATTCCTTCACAATCTATACAAAGAACCACTTGGACCTCATGTATATATTATCTCTTGTGCTCCATCATGGATAAGACAAGCAATCATTCCTCTGATATTCCATAGCACAGGATTCGGTGCACCAACTTCTATGCAACATATTGGATTTTGGAATGATCGATATACGCGAAATGAGACATATCCTGACTAGATGATTTAAATTGAATTAAGCGCCGCAATCCAACGGGAAATTTTTATTTTCTAATACTTGTCTGAGCGACTGGGCATGGAAATAGGGAGATTCAAACTCACAGGAGTGCGAGGGTCAAATCGCCGGTGATGCGGGCCTTGAGCTCGATCTCGATATCCAGATTCAGCTCCAGCCTCAACTTCAGACCATCACCACTGCCGGATTTATTTTTCTGCTGCGGTACGGGGCTAAAACTGCGCTGTTCCTCGACCATGTTGGTCTGCTGGTACGGCAGCATCGCCTTGCCTTGCATCACATAGTCGTCGGCGTCGTCATCATTGTCATCATAATCGGAATAATCTTGATCGGAGGGATAGCCGTCTTCTTCATCTGAATAGGCCTCTTTATCATCCTCTTGCAATGGCCATCGTCGCCGTCGCCGCTTATTTTGCTGCTGGGGCACTTCTTCCTCGCCGTAGTCGTCACTACTGTCATAGTCCCCGCTGTCTGACGAGTAGTCATCCTCGTCCGGCATGGGAAATTGCTTCTGTTGATCCCGGGTCTTTTGAACGGTGGCCATGATGTACGGTGAATGCGTCTTTCAATGGCCGAGAGTGAGTAAGTATATCAAAAGGAGGACAGATAATCTAGGCACTGGTAGACTGTTGAGTGGCGTGGTGACGGAGGGGGCCAAACAAGTTTTGTCATCTTATTTTCCAAGGGAAGCCGGGGGATAGCGCCCGTGGCTCGAATCGAAAAAAAAAAAATAGCTATCTCGAATTGGCATCATGGGATACATCGGGATTAATCTACTTAATTGTTGCTAGTCACTGCATTGATTGGCCTCTGACAGGGATCGTCTTCTGCCGATCCAACGGTGGCCCCCCGGAGCCCCACCAGAGCAAAATGTCTACTGAAGTATGAGTACATCCTCACAGATACTCCAGACCCATGGGTGCCCCACACCCGAGCCCTGTCAACCTGCCTGACGTCGGGGGCAATACCTTATGTGCCGGGTTTACGCGGCAAAGGGTGGCTTGTGTGACGATATAAACGGTCGGACTGAGAAGCAACCGAGCATCATATTTGGTCATGCCAAGTTTGATCCTCTTCCCCAATCATATACCCCGTTCTTGCCCAACCTTCTCTCACTTATTATTCTATTATGGCTGATCAGAAGAAAACCCCAACTCCAAACCCGGACTCCCAGGCTTCGACACCCAAGCCTAAGCGTGCTCCCAAGCTCCGCAAGAAGAACAGTCCCGCTCAGCAAGAGCGAAGCTCGCCACCGTTTGAGCAGGACCACGAACAGGAGGAGTCTAAACCAAACACCGAAGGCAGCGAGACTAGCCAGCAGGGCGAAGACCAGGACCAAGCCCAGACTCAAGAAGAACCCCAACAAGAACCGGAAAAAGTACAACAACCCGAACAAGAACCAGGAGACCAGCGCATCAACCGCCGGCGCCGCCGACATCGTCCCCCTCCCCGCCCCCAGGAATCAGACACCGAATCCATCCATCGCAGTGATCTAGACCCCCAACCTCAGCCACGCCAGCGCACCCGACGAACCCGTCAGGTTGAGGTCCACCAAGGCCAGCAGGAGGGCGGACCCCTCGGTGCATTGGGTGGTGTCGCTGAACAGCCTGGCCAGCTGGTGCAGAGCACCGCTGGCAACGCCGTGAATGGAGTCACGCAAAACGCGGGCAACGCTGTCGGTGGCGTGTTGGGCGGTGTTAAAAAGGAACAAAAGGAGGAGGGCGGTCGAGACGAGCAATTGCGGCTGCGGCTGGATCTGAATTTGGATATTGAACTTGAGCTGAAAGCGAAGATCCATGGGGATTTGACGTTAGCTTTGCTGTCAGTATTTCTCTTCCCTTTCTTCCCCCTTTCCCCCTTCCACCTCAGCAATACTATACTCCTTTATATTCCTGGTGGCTTTTCCACTGACTGATGATTTAGTAATTGATTGGCCTTCCTTTGTAGAGGCCAGAAAATTTGTTCTTTTCATTGCGGCGGTTTGTGTGCTTTTTCTAACTGGAAAGGATTCCCATCCGTTGTTTTTAAACAGAATAGAAGCTTCAGTAAGTATTTTAATTCCCCAGGGAACTCCGAGGGGAGCGTGCCTATGTAAAATTAGATCACGAATATGCTACTACTCGAGAAGCTCTATAATAATTTACCGACGAGCTATAAGAAGCTGGTGGCTAAAAAGTAGGCATTTCTGGACGGGGCCTAGGTGAAGGACGTGAAGAAAGCAATCCCTATGAAGTGAATTAGACAGCACTAAGTTGGCGTCAGATCGCCTTGGCATCTATTGGGATTAGATTGGAATAATATGTTCTGTTACAATAGGTTACCTGACAATGTTCTTTAATATTAGAAATATGAATGTCCAGGGTCCCCTAAAACTAAATAAATAAATGCAATGACCAGTAGAACTGGGGAAAGTAGAATAGCTCCAATTACCGCCAAGACCATCAAGATCCCTTGCCAAGGCTTGGATAGAAATCGATGTGGACGGTCTCCATTAGAAGTATCCCGAAGGGAAAGGTGGCCTTGGATAGATCCATAATCTCCACTATATTGTGCTGATGGAATGTTTGTTGACAGCCGCAAGACGGGTTCTTGACCTTCCACAGGTGCAGAATCTCCAGTATTTGATACCTTTAGAGTAGCCGAAACTCGCACTGAAATAGGTGGTTTATCCGTAGATCCAGCAACAGCAGTATTAAGTACTTCTGAAACAGTGGAAGTTGGTGGTGGGTGCTTCTCGGTAGATCCATGATCATCTCTATCCTCTGACTTATTGATTTTCGGCTTCCTATCTCTGTCCGAAGATGACGACGCCGGTTGTTTATGGATTTGTGCGATACCCCGACTGCCAACATTAGATTAAGTAAAAATATAGTCTAAATGACTTTACCTTTTATCTGTGAAGTTTTTGCTTGGAGATTCCGGGCTAGATTCCATGATCCCTAGTTGTGTGCTTCAACAAATGCACAACCACTGTTTTATCATGATGCCAAAAGATGACATCCATAATATTTATTGGAAAAATCTGAAGTATATCCAGTTTACGAGTTCCGATTGCGGTCCAGGATGATCTCTTATGACGTGTTTGAGTCTACGCATCAGAATGACTTCATGAAATTGGCACGGGACCGGCTTGAGATTAGAGTTTGTTTCAGCTTCTCGAGCCCAATAATGGCAGTACTATATAACAGTTGTGCCAGATTGTCGGTGCTTTTAAAACGGATTCATAATTATTTGCGGCTCTTAAAACAGCGATCCCAATTCCAGCTCAAGGCGGATCATTTGAGATCACGTGAATTCAGCCCCACCCAAATCGTATTGTTTACTACACCTACAAACACAGAAAAGAAGAGGCAAAATCGTGCATTAAACATGAATGTGAGAACCAATTCATCCATTTTTATCTTTTGGACTGTCTGACATTTGTTAGGAAACTACATTGGACTTCCTTGTATGGTGTTTCGGCGTTAGCGGCGCAGTCGCCAGCAGAGTTCGCACATCAATACTCAACAACGGAAACGATGTGTGCAAGGAATTTCAAATTTCCAAAATATCTATTACGCAGATAGTAGGCGTGGCAGTAGGTGGCCTTACTTAGTATATCTTACATTGGCTAATTACACTCTATATCCTAGGGGTCTCTTTTGGCCATTCTCTCTGCTACCAGCCTCTTCGCACCCATCATGCAAGACATCCATTGGATAGTTCCCGCAATCTTCGCTACGAGTCTAATTTTTTCGGTGTTTACTGTTTTTAGTGCATTCAATGTTGCCTTTGTCCTGTCTTCAATTATATCTGCTGACAGTATTAGACTGTTCTTCGTTGGTTTATCCAAAGAGACAAAGGATAAGCTAGACTCGCGAAGAACGGTCAATGACAAAGGCTTAAGGTTAATTCTATTTTGGGTTGATCTTCCGCGGGTCTTTCTCAATCTATCGCTTTTGGTTTACTTAATTGGACTAGGGTTTCTTCAGGCCCTTTATTGGAAGGGACCTTACATCCCCAATGTCTTAGATGACACGGGGTCTGGGCTCTATGTAAGTTCACTTGAAACGTCGTCCTTGGAGATCGCTAATTGGAATCTAGATGTTCATTATTTTTGTTGTTACCGTGGCTGCATCTATAGCGTTGATAATTCTTCCATGGATTACGAAGTGTCTGAATGAATCTTTGGTAGTGAATGGGTTCACCAGTTGATTTATCACTCTACTATTTCTCAACTAATTGGAGCTTTCATACTACATCATTGCGCAAATTGTATAAAAGTCGCCTAGGAATTCATGTTATGAACACTACATGGAGAACTGTCGCTGAACGTGCTGTCGTCCAGGCTGATGTGTTTGAGTGAATAATTGCGGAATTGTGGGATAGATAGTTAATTATATAAAGTAACCTATAAGAACACCGAATAATTACGAGAACGACGATTAAAATAGATAGGACTCTGATCAACCATGTCGATTATCGCTGAACTCTCCTAATTCCGTCCGCGTTGACGGTCTCATGTTACCTGTGGGCACAGGTCATGTATTACCAAAGAGAGTCTTCATCAATTTGCCCATTTGTTTCAACTTTTCGAGTGGATCCCAAGTGGTAAAAGAATACCGCAGGAAGTCGTTAAATAGCATTAAGAAGAGGAAAAGCCAAAAGTATTGTACATAGCACTTAAGCAACCGCGACCAGAACCATGACCAAAATATCAATTGCATTCTGGCAACTCGTATACTCCCCCACATTCCGGCGCCTGCTTGCAATACCTCAACCGGACATACCCAAACTCTTACCGACATCGCCGAGACCGAGACCGCTGAGGAGGTTGTCGATTCCTAGACCCCCGAGAAGTCCACGGACAAGTCCGCCCAGGCCGAGTCCATCGAGAAGGCGTCCAAGAAGGCCCACTACCCCACTCAAAAGCAGACCCACTGCCGCAATGATCTGGAAGAGTGGTTCGGAGAGTAGAGACCATAGTGGATTGAGTTTCTTCTTTGCATGGGGCATGTCCGCGATACGCCGACGACCATTATCAATCGTAGTAGTGACAGTCTGGGAAAGTTGCTTGAGTAGTTCGGCCAGCTGGTATTCTTCCGATGTTGCCTCGTGAGATACACTCCGGGCTTTGGCTGAGGCTGCAATTTGGCCATCGGGATCAAGAGCTCGAAGAGCACCCTTGCCTTCCTGCAACATGTTCCCCGCCTCTTCAATGAGAGGCTTCACGGTCTTCACCAGATTTTCTTCGTCGAGTTCTTCTCGTGGTGTGCGATCGGCTTTTTCAAGATGCTAGTAGATTGGTCAGACACGGGCACCGATCGATGTGGGATACTCCAAGAAAAACATACATCGCTGATTTGCTTGCATAGCGGTTCAACCGAATCCAAAGTTTGCTGTACAATCGCCGACATCTTCTTCGCCAAATCTCGATCGTGTTCCTCTTTTTCCTTCTGTTCGATTTCCTCGGCAGACAAAGCGGGCTCTTCGGGCAGGTTTTCCAGTAGGGTGCACTCGCCGACCTTGTTCCCATCGTTGTCCACGATATAGCCATTGTCGTCAACGGTCTTGCCCACCAGAGATTTGAGATTGCCCTCGGTGAGTTTACCGATCAGATTGCCATCCTCGTCGCGTATTTCGCCCTCCCGGTTGACTTTTCGGCCACTCATAGGGCTGATATCACGCTCTTTCTCCTCGGGAGCCCATCGCTCGGCGCGACCTATGACATTTCCAACTTTGTCGACTATTTCGCCATCTTCATCCACGGCACGGCCAACAAGTCGGGCGGGATCTCCTTCCACCAGTCTCCCGACAACCTGGCCGGTGGAGTCGGTGATTGTTCCATCCTTTGCTGTCATCAGGCCTTCAAGTCCATAGAAAATGCCTTCAGGCTGTTCTCGCTCCGACTCCGGGATAAGTTCGGCGTTGCCGATTACTTTCCCGTCATCGCTCCAGATTTGACCTTCCGCATCCACTTGTTTGCCGGCCAGCTTCTTGGGAATTCCGGAGGTGATGCGTCCCCAAACCGAACCATTTTCATCCACGATGTTTCCCAATTTATTGACCGTCATCCCCTCCAGAATAGATAGGTCCTCTTCCGGTGGGTTATATGGCTCGGCCCGTCCTTTGACATTGCCTCGCTTGTCGACAATATCCCCATCGTCATCCACAGCGAGACCCTGTAATTTCTGAGGGTCGCCTTCTATGATCTTACCGACAATGCTGCCGGCTTCATCCTCAACAAACCCATTTTTCCTAACCACCAAGTCTCCGAACCCACTAAAGGGCAATATGTCTTCGCGTTCGTCCTCTGGAATGAGCTCAACCCGCCCAATGACCTTGCCATCGTCACTCCAGATCTGGCCTTCGGCATCGACTTTCCGGCCAGTGACTGCCTTCAGGTCACCCTCGCTAACACGCGCAATAGACACCCCATCTGGCCCTATAACGTTACCCAGCTTGTTAGGAGTGAGACCCTCCAATACCGAGAGATCAACGTTCTCCTCTTCTGGCTCCGACTCTTCCCAGGGCTCTGCGTGTCCCAACAAATTGCCTCGTTTGTCCAGAATATCGCCATCATCGTCGACAGCCCGTCCAAGAAGGTTCTGAATTTCGCCTTCGACAACTTTTCCCACTTTGTTTCCATTTGCATCACGGACCCAGCCTTCCTCTGTGACAAATATATCCTCAGTATTGGCAAATGGTCCATTGTCTTCCTCTTCCTCTTCCACGGGAACGGTCTGAGCCTTGCCGATGACATTGCCTTTGTTGTCCCAAAACTGACCACGATCATCAAGCTGTGCATCGGCTTGAAAGAGCTTTCGAGGATCACCTTCGATGAGTTCACCAACGAGTTCCCCGTTTTCATCCACAATTTTGCCAGCTTTGTTGCACTTGAGGCCTTCAAGATTGGAGATGGGCGGTAGTTCCTGGGCAGTTTTCTCGGGCTCTTCGATAGATTCTTGAGTTACCAACCGAGCTTTGCCTAGAATGTTGCCATCATCGTCGATGATTAGACCTTTGTCGTTCACGGTCATCCCGGTGACTTCCGATAAATCACCGTTATCTAGCACACCGAGGACGTTACCATCCGGATCAGTAATTTGACCTTCTTCATCGACCTGAAGACCGTCAAGGACAGAGAGATCGTCGAGTGCTTCTTGTCCGCCCTTTTTGGCCTCTTGTGTATCTTCCCGGAGTTTTTGTATTGCTGTCTCAGCGGCCTCCCCTGGTGTCACTTCAACTTGTCCTATGACTTCCCCATCATCATCTAGGACTTGGCCCTGCTCGTCAGGCACTTTACCGGTCAGAGTTGCCGGGTCTTGGCCTTCCGGAATTTGGCCCAGAACGCCACCCTCTTCATCGAGAATCTTGCCTTGTTCGTTGATCGTTCGACCTTTGAGAATAGAAGTTTCTGGCAGCATGGCGTCTGCTGAATCTTCAACCTCGCCAAGTTGCTCGCCGGCTTCATTGAGAGAAACAGGTTCAACACGGCCGACCACTTCACCATCGTCATCGAGAACTTCGCCCTTTTCATTCACGGTTGAATCGACCAAGTCCCCAGGATCACCTTCGACGAGATTCCCCACTACCTGACCCGATTTATTCTTGACTGAGCCATCTTTTGCGACAGGCAGATTTGCAAGGTCTTTCAAGTTCAAGCCATCTGCATCTAGAAATGACTCTGGTTTCTTTGCAGCATCCGCACTGAGAAGCTCCACGCGCCCAATCAGATCTCCGTCTTCATCTAGGATCTCACCATTCTCGCCAACAGTCTGGCCAGCAAGGTCTTCTGGCTCACCCTCAGCCAGTCGAGCGACTTCATTGCCATCGTCATCGAGAATCATTCCATCTTCACCGACCTCAAGGCCAGACAGAGCAGATAAATCAGTTGGAAGATTGGCACCCTTTGGGATCTCCTCAGTTTTGCTGACTGCTTCACCTGCAGCTGGCTGGGCCTTGTCCTTGACATTCTTCATGCCGGACTGAACGCGACTTGCTGCTTCTTGCTTTACAGGTTCCGGCAGCTGAGAATGAACATTCTTGGCCTTACTGGCGAAACCTGAAAGGGACGACGCGGCATCTTTACCACGTTGGAAAACCGATCTTGCTCCCGACCCAGAAGCTTTTGGAAGAGCTTTCGCTGCGTCTTCTGTCGGTTCTTCATCTTGCTCCTCGTTGGCGCGTTGCTCGTGGTCTTGTAGTTCGATCGTGCTATCCTCCATGTCGACTGAGTCTTCTAGAGGTTCCGGGTCTGCATGTTCTAACCCGTTTGTTTCAGCTTCTTGTGGAATTGGATGCTTGTCCGTTGGCTTTGGCACGTTATTGGCACGTTTGAGATTGTTCAGGCCCTTCGATCTAGGAGCTGGAGATGATTTCTTCGCGCTTGAGAGGTCTGACGAGTTGGTAGCATTACTGTCGGCTCTCGCAGCGGCAGGCGGCTTCCGCGCAAGGTTAGCAGGTTTGGGAGACTTCAAGTCAGGCTTAGTCCGGTCAGGGAGGGCGTTTCGAGAAACGGGACCCTTCTTTGGGACATTTTTAGTCGCCATTGGCTCTTCGAAAGAGGCGGCTTCTTGTCGCTGTAGTGTTGCTTTGTTTTATTGTTGTGTTTTCTTTTCCCACAAATATGGTACTTCGATATCGCAAATTGGTATTTGACAAATCGGAAGTTTGAAAGAACTCAATGTTTGTATAAGCTCGTTTACATAAAATAATTGGAGGGGTCCAGGTGTCTTTTATACGAATCTCATTCTATAGACAAGCCACCCACGTATTCATCCCTCGACAGAGATGAAAATAATGACCAAAACACAGACGGCATCATTACGACAATCGACCCAATCACTTTTTCGCTGAAGCGAAAGAAAAACTTGTTTAAGGGGATGTCTACCTAGGTTCCCAAAGTTGAGAGGTTTGGTGTCGTCACCCCCAGCCGTCAAATAACTGAGCAAAACCACGGGCCGAGTAGTGGCTGGAAGGTCTTGACGCCACACCTTCGCCACAACAGTGACGGCACCGTTCTCTTTAGTAACTCGACAAGCCACTTGTAATTTTATGATTAGTGGGCGATTGAATCTTGTCCATTCACGGAGACGGGTCAATGAACTATCCATGTATAAGGCTGAATTGTGGCTAATGTGCCACCACCGGATACTAGCCTCAGGTCGACTTCAATATCAAGATCTAGATCAAGCTCCAGCCTCACCACCCTTTCACGACTTTTCCACTCCGAACTGGATGGGTTAAATCATTTCCTGTTTCTGGCCCTCGCCACGCATCGTTGTCTATGGGCAACCGGGCCTAGTCGTTGAGATTTCTCGATCTAATCGATCGAATGATATCATTGTTGTAGATGAAGGCTGTCCTCTAAAGAGCCTACATACTTGACGTCACGAGGCGAAATTTCTCCACAAACGTAATGGTGCCGTCCTTTGGCTTCAGGCTAGAAAAATGCTATTCCCCCAATTCGCGAAAATCTCCCACTACCTCTTTTGTCTATGATTTATCATGTCTAATCCACTACCCTCGATGGCAGCACCAGCAGAGCATACCCAAGAGAAAATCAACAATAGTCGTGCAAGTGGTGGCACGTCTTCGCAAAAACGGCGACCGCCGAAACTCAGACCACCCAAGCTTGGAAAGGGGCCGATCTCTGAAGATAAACAACAAATTAGACGTGAACAGAGAGAAAATGGAGATTCAGAGAGAACAGAATCCAATTCTCCACAGAAAACGTCGGACAGCGTCGTCCAAGAGCAAAATCAGGACAGTACGAACTACGACCAACCTCTCGAGGAAGCGGAGCCAAACCCGCGGCCTGCCAGACATCGTCAACATCGATTGGTTCGTGAGGCGTCGATGCCATCCAGCGAGCCCGACAATCCTGGTAACCCGCAAACACAAACAGACGAAACTCGCGTCCAACAAGTGCTGAGCTCTCCATCTCAAAACCGAGAGGTTGGACAACTAGGACATACCGTTCCAGACGCAGATGGTACAGGTGTTAATCAAGTGACAGAAACAACTGAAGTGGTGAAAAAAGAAGAAGACGACGACGACGATCAGCTGAGGCTGAGGCTGGATCTGAACCTTGACGTCGAAATTCAATTAAAAGCCAAGATTCAAGGGGATGTGACCCTGCAACTCCTGTATGTTCTTAACTTTGCTATGTTGTCTTTAGGCTTTTGGAACCCTTCAATAATTTATGCAACTGCAGGCAATAGAGATCGATTAGCAGTGAAAGAATTATATACATTTCTGCAACAGAACGGCTGCTCGTCGAAAACAAGCAATCTCGGTGGCTACCTCAATTTCATGTACCTCTGCTGTTCCGGAATCTCCTAATACTATTAAGACTGGCCTGTAGCTTCGTGCAGGGTCGCAGTGTCTTAGTGTTGTTTTCTCAACATTTGACCCTAAAGAAACGAGGAATATAATAATCCTGTTTCACACAAGGGATGTGAAAAATAGCTAAATAAATTCAAAACACAGGTTCATCATTTACCAACACGGATTAAATAAAAATAATCTTAACTAAGATTTATGTTGTTACAGTGTGGAATTCATCCACGTTTCCACAGTGCTAGATTTGGAATTTCTCATGTACCCATGGACCTAGAGAATATAAGCTCAGTTTCGCCTGCCAACCGTATCGGCTCCTCCTCTTAACCAGGTCCCGTAGCTCTTGAAAAGCATGGGCATAGGGATTAAGAGTTCTGATACGCAACCTAGGACGGTAATCGTCCAGTGAACACCAATTCCGGCGTACTTGGGGTGGGATGCCACCACCATGCCAACCACCACTAGCTAACGCACAATAGTAATGCTTGCTAATGAGCTGGCCGCATGCTTCCCGTGGCTGTTAATAATGTACTCATAGCTGCTAATGTAAATTGATATCAGCACGGCGCCGAAAAGCCCACGCGCAAGAACGCCAGATCACATCTAGATAGTAGGAGAATTTGTCCATTCCACGAAGAATATAGATACTGGTAACAAAAGATTGGCAGTACTCGCTGGTCAAAACCTTGGACCGAATCCTAGGCGAACTATTCGGTTGACAATATGCTATAATCCCTTACGAGCTAGAGTCAGTGACAACCTTCATCCTCGTCGTCAGAGGAAGATCCCGACTGGAAGATCCAACGTAAAGGTTATAGCTCCCACTCTGGAGTAACCACTTCTGCGCAACAACATCCCAAGTGCTAAGATCGCGGCGAGTCAGCGGGAAAGAAACCTTGGCTGACTGGCCCGCTGGGATCATGACCTTCTCAAACCCACGGAGCTGCTTCTTTGGACCACCGGGGATTCCAACATAGATCTGGGCTACTTCAGCGCCGGCTTTGCGTCCAGTGTTGTGAACGATGGCGGTGACCGTTGCAACGGTGTCCCACAGATCTATTGCGCCACCTTGCTCGATGACACCGCAAGGATATGCCTCAATGCCATGCTTCACTGATGAAACCTTGAGACCGGAGAAAGAGAAGGTAGTGTAGGAGAGGCCGAAGCCAAATTCGTAGCGAGGCATAATATCGTGGGCATCGAAGTAGCGGTAGTCGGTCAGCACACCCTCGTCAAAGTTTGACTGAGGGAAAAGCCCGTAGGGAGTGACTGCACCAGCGTGGTAGTAAGTCCTGTAATCGGATTCGTTCTTGGCAACAGTGTAGGGGAGCTTGCCGCTGAAGTTCTCGTCGCCATAAAGCAGAGACACCAGAGCACGGCCGGAATCCTGGCCAGGAAGGTGAGCGAAGACGATTGCGGTCACATTCTCATTGTCTGCGAACTGGTCGACGAGACGAGTACCAGCGTTGTGGATAACGACAATCGTGTTGGCGCAGGTCTTGGCTACTTCATTCACCAGGGCATCAGAATAGTCGTCGTACGTTCCAGCACGATCCAAGCCCTCAGTAGCAAAAGCGTTGATGAAGACCAGGCAAGCATCCGATGCTTCCATCAAGCCCATCATGCCAGGTGTGTTTGCAGTGTCCCACATCACAACGGTATTGTCTTCGTAGGCACGTTGCTGAAGAGCGTCAAGGGGAGCACTCAAGTATGGTCCTGTGTTCGCACCAGAACCACCTCCGACGCTGAGCGTGCCGTTAAACGCAACCTGGAAATCATATGGCTCATTGATGATATTGGAAGAAAAGGCGCCACCAAATTGGAAGACAGCCGGCTCATAGCCAAGCTCCCAGGGGTTGCCGATCAAGCTCTGTCCATCAGGCATGTACTGATCAGGGGCCTTCGCGTCATATCCAAATACGGAGATCAGTTTTGGAGACTGGAGTGGCAAAGCATTTTTCGTGTTCTTGACTAGGACGTGACCTTCCACTGCGCCATCATAAAGCGTTGGCTTCGCGTCGCGATCGAGGGCATTCACAATCTTATGAGGCTCGCTGATGTTGTAGGGCATGCCGATACCAGGTTCAGGGTAGCTCGAATCGTCTTGGCCCATCTTATACCAAGCCGCGATAATTCTAGATTACATGTGAGCATTAACACCTTTTATCAAAAGCTATGATGGTACTAAATCACTTACCGAGTTGCCATATCATCCAGACGAGACACGGGTACACTGCCGTTGGTGATGGCTTCAGTGAATTTGTTGCCCCAGAAGGATAGGCCGTTTGGCATAGCCATATCAAGGCCAGCTAGAGCTGAAGCGACCCCGGAGTGTTGCGCATCCCAGTCAGTTACAACAAAGCCGTTGAAGCCAAGCTCTGTCTTCAAGATTCCATTCAGTGTTTTGCTGTTCTGGCAGCCATGAGAATTATTGACTCGATTGTACGAGCACCTGATCATAGATTAGTCCACCTCTTTGTAGGATTTATGCCACCTGACAACTAACATTATGTTTCCTGTTCCAGCCTTAAGTGCATCTTGGAAAGGCCAAAGGTACAATTCGTGCATCGTCTTATCATCCATGTTGCTCGAGAGTGACTCAACGGTTTGGTTCTCGGAGTTAACAGTGGGATTGCGATACAATTCTTGCTCGTTCGCAATGAAATGCTATTAATATGTAATATCAGTATTTTCTTTTCTGGCAAGCAGACGCAGTTACCCTTGGGCATAAACTGACCTTAACACTTGTAATCACACCTTGGCCCTGAATGCCTTGCACAGTGGCAGCCGCAATTGCACCACCCAGGTAGGGATCATTGGAAGGACCTTCGATAAATTAGGTCATGCAAAGCAATCATATTCTGGAGCACTAACCTTCCCAGTTTCTTCCGCCGGTAGTGGTTCTTCCCAGTGGCCCAACAACAGGTCCCAGAGCCACCTGAACTCCCTTCTTCCTGAATTCGCCACCCATATACCAACCACGGTCGTGGGCAAGTGACTTGTTCCAACTTTTTGACACATATGTTAGCTGAAAATACCCCTGGACATTAAATCTACCACAGCTCTCACCTAGCGCCGATATGGATACCACTGGGGTAGCTGTTCACAAAGTCCGTGTAGCGCACACCGTTTCCTGCATCCTGGAGACACAATCCAGTAAATCCAAGACGAGGGAGAGGCTGGATGATTCCGGAACATCCATTTTCAGTGGTAGACACGCCGTATGTAAGATTGTTCTGCAAACAACCCCATCAGCCTCGATGGAAAAGCGCAGGTAGGCTTCTGCAGTGATAGCAAACCTTCTCTTCCAAAGTCATCTTGGAGACCATAGCTGCAGCCTTTTCATAGGCTTGAGCCCAGTCACCGGATCCCGTGCCCTTTGCTGGGGACTGTTAGGCATGATGAAACCGGGCTTGAAGTAAAGGCAATTCAACTTACGCGAAGGGTACACCGGCTCCGACTGGCCGTAGAAATACGTATCGGAAGTAATGTTACTTTCCGCATGACTTAGTCCACACAAAGACAGAATGGCTGCAGCCAATCCGAGCTGCTTTGCAGAAACCATGGTTGTGTCCTGCGGTCAACTGTAACTTGGCCAGTATACTAGGAGTCCTTGAGCAACAACTACCCAGAGCCGGCTGCTCAAGCTCTATATATACTTTTTTCTTCGGAAAGGGACACCGACAACCGGTCTAGCACGGGTGATGGCCTGACTGGGCCGTAAACTCTGGACTCAGCATTTCCTCTTACGCTAACCCTGAACACTGGTCCAAGCACTATGGGCTTTCCCCACCCGAGAAATGATGAAGCCCAGATAAATCACCCCCGCATCCGTGCACATACTTTGGGATTTGATTTCGTGGTTGCGCAGGGACTTAGGAGACCTTTTTTGTACTTAGTGGCAGATTTAGCTTTCGGCCTGGGTAAACTTCGGGAGAAAGCCATCTCGCGTGCAGTGGGAAGTCATAGAAAGGTTTCCCTGATGCTTATGCACACTATTCAGGTATAACTGCTATAAGCTGGAATAGCGAGTATGATGGCCACGAACCGCGTTTTAGACTCTTTGGTATGAATCAATAGGTCTTCATTCGGAGCCAGCGAGAGGTTCCAATACAAACAAGGAATTGGGAGACTTGCAAGACCACGGAGATTTAGCGGATGTCCATCCAGCTAGTTCATCTCCCTGCACAAAAAGGTATCCATCAAAATCCGAATCCCAACCAATTACAGTGCAGAGGGAACGGCACGATGTGGAGGACGTACCTTGACGATTGTGCGGGGAGGATGTGGGGCTTACCGCAGGACATGGTGTCAAAAGAAGCACGTACGATGCCCCCAAATGAATGGAAGTACGAGTCACGAAGAAATAAAAGTAACCTCATTTCAGACAGATGACGTTCGAATCTGGGGGTGGGAAGGGCGCGAGTGTGAATACAATCTTAGCAAAGAAAGAGTAGTCATCTCGGCAAAGTAATTTGCCGTGGCAGTGCGTCCGTGTGCCCGTCAAGGCGGGCCTGGATGGGGGAATTGTAAGGTTGGCGCAAAAAAAGCTGCCGAGGGATCCTCGGCAATCGTTGTTATATAGACCATGACAACCGCCGCTGGCTAACGCCAAAGCCTTTTTGGGAATTGGAATAGCTCACTTCCCTTCAAATATCTTCAACATAGCTAGTCTCTGCTTTGGCAATCTCTATATCATCCGCCATTTGATCCAGATGGGTTGTTTCCCTTCCTAGCCCATTCAGTGCCGGCAACAATTGGACTGGTCTTGTGAAAGATCGCATCGTTCTCTTTGAGCCGTCTGCTGGTGCTTTCGGGATAAAAGAAGTAGATAAAGAACGAAGCAGAAGTTGAAGACAGCGAAAATCAAGTACCCCTTTCAGCCTTGTTTGTTCATTACGGAAGGACTCGTCATGACTGTCACGAAGTTCCAGTTCTAGTTAGACGATATGATGATGGCATTGCCTCGTGAGCGCAGGTGCAAAGGCAAAATCTCGGCATTATGTAGCCATGTCACGGCGAGGAAGCCTAGCGCGAAAAAGGTATAATAGAGGAAACGCTGCAATGATGCAAATGATAGATGAAGCATATGTCCCGGAACGAACGGTCAAGGATATGGTGAGGAAGCAGCATTCCATGCCGAAAGCGCCGATCATGAGACACCAACGTTTACGGATATGTTTGGCGACAGCGAAAGATGCTAAGACTGGGACCAAGTACTAAAGACCATTGAAACCAGAAAGCAGTGGTGAAAGATTGTGGCCTAGGCAGACAGAGTTCTGCAGCAAGTACGTAATATAATAGCCAATGCAGATCACATTATCATGAACATGGGCCTGTTAGACATATTTAGACAGGCTTGCCCGTAAGACGGAGCGAAGTTGGAACTTACCACCATCCAAGCAAACTCGACGGAGATTTTGGGTCTCCTTCTCATTATTGAAGAGGTAAATCCAATTGCTGGTACCATTACACTCTTCTAGCTCAATTTCCTGACTGGCCAATCTAATTTCTGTCGGAGCTCTTCATCATCCTCATTTGGTATCCATGCATCTTCATTAGGACTGCCAGAGCTTGATCTGATCGGCTGTGTACGAAAAGCCATCGCGGAGACCCTGACATCCAGGGCACTACGGTTGTTAGATGGCTGTAATGAAACAGAAATACCGAGTGCAAAAACGCACAAAGCTTCCGAGCTTAGCAATAATCAAAAGCAGATAGACATACTGCGCCACAACAGAAAATCTCTACTGGGAAGGGTCATTTCTCGAAAAGGATAGTGCATAGCTCCATCAGTAACTGATAGGGGCTCCAGTACAGATTAGCATGTACTGCAATGCCCCGAATTTCTCTCTTCTGAGAGAAGGCAACGTTTCAGCCTGCCAGACGGGCATAATAGAAGTGGTAAGACCTGCCCTTACTTCCACCGCAATCCTACCTTCAAGAAATTGAGCGCGAGAATACGCCGCCGTCTTAACTGGGGCACCAGCCAAAATGAAGCAGGTGCCAATCAATATCGGGTTCTTGTGACCGACTCGCTCGCTTAGATTCAAGGGTGATGATAGCCTTGACTCTCTGCCTAGTAAGAGCAAGGGTTAGGTGTAGTTGGAGGCTGAACACTATATCAAAACGCTGAGTAAGGGTAACTCAGGCGCCAAAAATGGTACCTTGGACGCTTTTTTTAGGGCCACTATTCAAGGCGTCACTGAACGGCCGCTGGCCGAGCGATACACCGATATCAATTCGGTCGCCAAGAATCAACTGCGCTCCAACCCACCTAGAGATCCAACAACGTTACTGGCAGTCGGGCAGAGTCTTCAGGATCGCCAGACAGCCAAAATCCATAATCTGCCCCTAAACGAATCGAAATGGATTATCCATCAGTTGGGAGGGCGTTCGGCTGAAGTTGACATTAAGTTTTATCGGAAGGTCGTTAGTCCACCCTTCTTGACATTGGTTGTACCTGGTTGCTTATTTGGGTCATGGACGAACACGCGACATCCCGTGTTGATCCCTCTAAGGTTACATACGGCCCCACCGTCGGAGTTCCCGTGAGTGGCCGATGCTTATCAGAGAGTTAGGGTTTGATGATTATTCCCCGCAAGAACCTGAACAATTTCCCAGTAGAGTTTATCACGGTCGCACTAAACTCGACGCCGTGGCTGAAGCCCCGAAACCCTTTCTTCTCTCTTCTCTCTTCCCTCCCATCCGGCTCCTCAACGAGCCAATTGGTCTGGTCTGCACCCGCAATATGTCCGACCACAACAATAACAAAGACGACGACCACGTCGCTCCCCAGTCAGAGATTGACCCAGCGCTCCAGCCCGAGCACCAGCACCAGCATGCCCACCTCCACCACACAGCCTTTGCCGAGCGCGGCCGCGACGACGATGTCATCTACACCAAAGACGCCTCGTTCGAGAAGGGGAATGTCCCGGACCCGACGCCGCTGGATCATACCCCCAAGAGCCAGAGCGACGACAACAAGGACGTCGAGACCGCGGACAATTACCCGGCCCAGCGGCCGTGGTACCGCCGGGTGCTCAAACACTGGCGCCATTTTGCGCACGCCGTGATCTGGCTGCTTTTCACCGGGTGAGTCCATTCTGATGGTTTCGGTGGGAACACGGATTGCCTCCGAGTCAGAGACTGATCGTACGTAGCTGGTGGATTGCCGGTCTGATTTTGCACCGATATGACCTCGGCTGGCTGATCCCGTTTCTATTGTACCTGGCCATCACTCTGCGCATTCTCTTCTTCTATGTGCCTATCAGCATTGTGACGCGGCCCATGCACTTCGTCTGGAGCCATACCGCCCACCCGTTCGTGCGCGTGATCCCAGAGAAACTGCGCATCCCCGGAGCGGCCCTGGTGTGCATTGGGGTCATTCTGATCGGCGCATTCGTCTCCCCCGAGTCAGCGGATAACACGCGCTCTAACCGCGCGGTCAGTCTGTTCGGGCTGGCCGTCTTCGTCTTCGGCCTGTGGGCGACCTCGCGCAATCGCAAGAAGATCGTCTGGCACACTGTGATCGTGGGCATGCTGGTGCAGTTTATTGTTGCGCTCTTTGTGCTGCGCACCGGGGCGGGTTACGACATTTTCGCCTTCGTGTCGGGTCTCGCGCGCGATCTGCTGGGCTTTGCGTCGCAGGGCGTGGAATTCTTGACCGCCGAGGACTTTTACACAATGAAGACTCCCATCACGCCCGCCTCCTGGTTCCTGGTGAGTGTGATCCCGGCAATTCTCTTCTTCGTCTCCATTGTCCAACTGCTGTATTACACCAACGTGCTGCAATGGTTCATTAAGAAATTTGCCGTCTTCTTCTTCTGGAGTATGCGCGTTTCCGGCGCCGAGGCTGTCGTCGCCGCTGCATCCCCCTTCATCGGACAGGGCGAATCCGCCATGCTGATTCGGCCTTTCGTTCCGCATCTCACTATGGCCGAGCTGCACCAGGTCATGTGCTCAGGCTTCGCGACCATCGCGGGAAGTGTACTGATCGCCTACATCACCATGGGTGTGAACCCACAAGCTCTTGTCTCGTCCTGCGTGATGAGTATCCCCGCCTCACTAGCCGCCTCGAAACTGCGCTGGCCGGAGGAGGAAGAAACCCTCACGGCCGGCCGCGTCGTCGTCCCTGATGACGACGAGCACCGCGCCTCCAATGCCCTGCACGCTTTCTCCAACGGCGCCTGGCTGGGTCTGAAGATTGCGGCTATGATTGGTGCCACGCTGCTGTGCATCATCTCTCTCATCGGCCTGGTGAACGGCCTGTTGACGTGGTGGGGCCATTACCTGAACATCAACGACCCGCCCCTGACCATCCAGCTGATTGTGGGATACATCTGCTACCCGATTGCTTTCCTGCTGGGTGTTTCTCGGGACGGTGATCTGGTGAAGGTCGGCCAACTGATCGGTCTGAAGATCATCACTGTATGTCCTCCCCACTTGTCCGTCTTCTTTTCCATCTTGATGTCTAACATGACGAACCTGTAGAATGAATTCGTCGCCTACCAAGCCCTTCAATCCCAAGAAACCTACGCCGACCTCTCGGACCGCTCCCGCCTAATCGCCACCTATGCGCTGTGCGGATTTGCCAACATCGGTTCCCTGGGTAACCAGATCGGTGTGCTCGCGCAGATCTCGCCCGGACGGAGCGCGGACGTCTCGCGCGTGGCGGTTAGTGCGATGATCACTGGCGCGCTGAGCACGTTCACCAGTGCGTCGATTGCTGGATTGTTGATCACGGATGAGAAGCAGTATTTCGGGACCAAGGCGGCGTAGTTTTGTTGTTTGGGTGATTAGTTCGTATGCATGCATATTTATTCGATTTCTACGTAGCGCTTCTAGCGAGAATAAATGGATGGTTGGAAGGGATGGATGTATATATGATATTTCCAGCGAATCATATATAGTATAACCATTTTGATAGGTCTTTGCCTGAACAATCACAAGGATCTTCAAGCCAGAAATGATATAATCACTTCAAGCTATATCTATACAGCTCACTAGTCCACAACAATTGAAGAAACCCCACAAGACAAAGCAATATTCTCCCAATATTCCTCGGATCCTGCCAAGTAGATCAGGAATCATGTGACTGATCAACTATCAAAAGATCGCCTGTAGTTAATCTAATCGGCCAAAAATGGGTTGGCGTCAATCCTACAATAATCAATCACCTCTCTTAGAGGCGTGTTGCAAAGATGCAGCAGAAGCCCCAGACTGGTTCTGAACACTTTGAAGGAACTGCCTCTAATAAAATTTCTCCTCGATCGACCAAGAGAGAGACACACGGGCCTTGGATACATCTCCTTGCTGGCGCGTGAGTCTTCTACCGTCCTCATTGTGACTGTCTTGACGTTCAATGTTAGTATTGGAGGGTTTGCTACCGCGATTACAACTTCTCCACTGGATGTCCTAAGGACGCGGCTCCAGTCTGACTTGTATCGAATTTCCTCACGAGCGTCCTCTCACAAACCACACCGGACGGTTCAGATCGTCGGTTCTATCTATCGAGCTGAAGGCTGGCGCGCTTTTTTCCGAGGGCTTGGCCCGAGCCTGGCAGGCGTGGTTCCTGCGACTGCCGTCAAATTCTACGTTTATGGGAATTGCAAACGCCTCGGGCAGACATCTTGGGCTCTGCTGAAGACTCGGCGGTCGTCCACGCCCAAGCGGCTATTTGCGCAGGGATAGCTACAGCAACCGCTACGAATCCGATATGGTTAGTGAAGACAAGGTTACAGCTTGACAAAACACAACCGCTTGGTGGTCCTCCACCTCGTCGATACCGAAACAGCATTGACTGCGTCAGGCAGGTCCTTCGTCATGAAGGCTTCCGTGGCCTGTACAGAGGATTGAGCGCGAGCTATTTGGGCTCTATTGAGACAGCGCTGCATTTGGTTCTATATGAACGTCTGAAGTCTACTTTTCGTAACTCGCTGGAGCCAGCCGAAGGGACAAGAACTGCTCTTTGGGATGAGTTGACTCACTGGGTCAGCACCAGTGGCGCGGCCGGTTCTGCCAAGTTCGTCGCAAGTCTAGTGACCTACCCGCACGAGGTACGTCGTCTGTACCCAGGAACACTTCATTAGCAACCACGCTGACCTTCTGCAGGTGGTTCGAACCAGACTGCGCCAGGCGCCAGTGGAAAATGGCGTGCCTAAATACACAGGTCTGGTGCAGTGTTTCCGTACGATCGCGAAAGAGGAAGGTATGGCGGGCTTGTATGGAGGCCTGACTCCCCATATGCTGCGCTCTTTACCTTCGGCTGTTATTACGCTTGGGGTGTATGAATTCGTGCTGAGGGTGGTCGGGACGTAGACATGGATATGCGGGCAACATTATTTGTACCATCATCGGAGTTGACTTGGGCTTGGTGTATACTAGAGAAGATGCGGTCTGGACCTATAATAAACCATCTCATACTCGGCGTTGGGGGGTGATTCCTGACTTATGGACTACATATAGTTATCTCGCGCTTTGATCAATATCTTTAGATACGCACTAAACCATAGGTAGTACATAATTGCAAGCGCTCACAGCCCATAGGACAGGTCGTGTGGATACTTGCCGAAACAAACTACAAGTCGGAAAGCTCGGAAGGACAAGAAACCATTCGCGGCATTGGATTTACGCCTGGATTGAAAAAAATGCGTGTGTGTAGTGTAGTGCAGGAAAAGCACGGTAACTCCTACAGACCAAGGAGAATAAAATAACAAAAACCAAAGGACCAAAAAGACTCCAAGCCTGACAATACTATCAGGCCATGATGCATATACACCGCATGAATATCCATCCTCCACGCCCAGAAATGCAGGAGAGGAAACTCGGTGTCTTCTATCCACTACTCGTCATCCAGGTCGCGGTGTCTGGCGAGGACGTGGCGCTTGAATTCCTCTTGGTTTGTATCCCAGAGCTCGGCAGCTTGAGCGTTCAACGGGCTCGCACTATGCCGCGGTTAGCATTGCATGACCTCCTCTAATGAGTGGGTCGGAGACGTACTTGTTCGGCTCGCCGAGCAGAGACTGCAAGCTGAGCAGCACGCTCTGCACATTGTACACGGCGCTCCACTTGTCGCGCAGGATATCCAGGCAGATGCGGCCGGAGAAGTCGACGTTGGGGTGGTAGATGGGCGTCTTGAAGAGAACGGTCGGAGGCGCGTAGGGATAGTTGTTAGAAAAGGCAAAGGACAGCTTGAGGATCAGGCCCTCGTAGGGGGTCTCGGTCGGACCGGTGATGGTGGCGGTCCAGGACAAGAGGTTGCCATCGGCGTCGGGGAAGGCAGAGATGCCGGGGGAGGGCGAGAGCATGAGCTGCATCAGCTCAGCCTGCAGGCTGTCCAACCGTCCAGTCAGTGAATTTGCAACACGCGAGCACCCGGACAAGCCTACCGCTTGGTTACGCTCTGCGTGTCATTGCGCTGAGAGCCAGTATTCAGCTTGGTTGCTTCCAGCGCATCGGGCGCCGAGTTCTGCGTATCCTCCATCGTGTAGTCCATCGAAGAGTAGGAAGAAGAAAGATTGTAAAAGGGCGATGTCTGGAATGTCGGGTCACAGTAGCACGAGGGTTGCTGTCTGGAATGACGACGGATCCGAACAAGCGCCGTGGTTGGGTTGGAATGACGGTCCGACCCACCGAGAAGCAACGTCGGGAGGCGCGAGAGGGAGGGAACCGACGGAAGAAGAAGGTGGGCGGGAAGGATCCAAGAGTCGTTCCTGTGGGTGCGTAGTGATGTTGGGAGTGGTAGAAAGATGGTTAGGTGGGAGAGGGAAGAGGGAAGAGTGAGTGAGTGGACTCCGACGGGGCCTTTGTTTACCAGGCGAAGCGCCCAGGCAACGGGAAGAGAAAAGGTCCCACCACCATTGGTGTCGATTCTTCGGTGGCTTCAATTGTGTATTCGGGGGATTTAGCATGGGTTCATGCTGGGCCATCAGTTCCTCATGGAATCCCCGTATGGACTTTCACTGACCCTTCGATTATGATGGGGTCCTGTCAACACACTACCCGAACAGGATAAAGTGGGCTCGGCACGGTCGCGCGTCACTTCGCCCGTGGCTTCTTCCTCCCCTCGTGTCGTATATGATTGATTGATTTCCCCCACGATGCAGCACTCCCAACTGGCCCCGCTGCCCACGGATGTGCCCTTCCGCATCGTCTCCAAGACCATCGGCCAGGGCGCCTACGCCTGGTAAGTCGACAAAGCGAGCGCGTCGCGAAACAGTCTAACCCTCCACAAAAGCATCAAGAAGGCCTGTCCACTAACCTCCGAAACTCCCGTCTTCGCCGTCAAATACGTTCATAAAGACTACGCCGCGCGTCATGGCAAGATTAGTGCGCGCCAGCTGCAATTGGAGGTGACTGTCCACCGACACGTCTCGGGCCACAAAAACATCATCGAGTTCTACCAGACCGGCGAGGACGAGATCTGGCGATGGATCGCCATGGAATTGGCCGAGGGTGGAGATCTCTTCGACAAGATCGAGGCCGACGAGGGCGTCGGGGAGGATATCGCGCACGTCTACTTCTCGCAGCTCGCCAGCGCTGTCAGCTTCATGCACTCCAAGGGCGTGGGCCACCGCGACATCAAACCGGAGAATATGCTGCTCACGGCCGATGGAAATCTGAAGATTGCGGATTTTGGATTGGCGGCGCTGTTCGAATATAAGGGGACGCGGAAACTCTCCACGACATTTTGTGGCAGCCCACCGTACATTGCGCCTGAGGTGGTCACTTGTAGCACCCGAGGGCAGACCAAGGGGGCCGGATATCACCCCGATTTGGTGGACATCTGGTCCTGTGGGATTGTGCTCTTTGTCCTCTTGGCCGGCAACACCCCGTGGGATAGCCCGACGGATGACAGTTACGAATTTCACGAATACATGGCGACCAAGGCACGAACCACCGACGAACTATGGCAGAGGCTGCCTCCGGCCACGCTCTCTTTACTGCGCGGGATGTTGGCCGTGGACCCGAAAAACCGGTTCTCGCTGGAAGATGTGCGCCGACATCCGTGGTATACACGAAGTAACAAATTCCTCTCGGATGAGGGCAAACTACGGGATCCCATCAATCTCGCGACATCCATGTTTGAGTCGCTTCACATCGACTTCAACCAGGATCCCCTGTCCCAAAACCGCAAGAACGCCAGACGCGGTTCCGACCCAATGGACATGGACATGGACGAACAGTCCGCGGGGCAGATTTCCTCCACGCAGCCAGAAATGCTAGGGGGTAGCATGCTGATGGACTGGGATTCTCCGCAATTGGCGTCGGAGGTGTTCTCTTCCACTCAGCCGGCGGGGAAACCATTCACATCCCAGGACCACTACCTGGCCAATCACCTCGAAGACGAGCCGTCCATGTCGCAGTTCTCGCAGCAACCCTCGGTTCCAGTGAGCCGCACGCAGAATGCACAGCGATTCCAGGATATCGTCCCGTCGCGCCCGATGACCCGCTTCTTCTCCGCATGGGAGCTGAAACTGTTGGTGCCGCTGATCTGCGAGGCTCTGCACCGGTTGGGAGTTCCGGTGCCGGCCATGCCACCCGTGGGGCTCGGCGACACGTCTGCGATGGTTCGCGTGGTCGCCAAGGACGGCCGCATGTGTCCCCTGCAGGGCAAGGTGCTGTTCGAGTGCGTGTCGGAGGGCCTGTTCGAGGTGGAGTTTGTCAAGATCAAGGGTGATCCGCTGGAGTGGCGGCGGTTCTTCAAGAAGGTGGCTATTCTGTGCAAGGATGCCATCTTCAAGCCGGACCAGTAAATAATATAATCAAATCTACAAGTACAATGTGTATTCTCCTCACTAGTCGAAGTAAACGAGCGGACAATGGATAAGTAAAGCCGAATCAGAGAAGTAACTAAGCAAGTCCCACCCCGGTAGTCCTAAAACGTCCTGGCACGTCGTGTCTATGGCTAATCCCATGCGATTGGTTATCTTAGCCATACTAAGAAGACCGGACTCCTACAGCATACCACCTACCCTGCAGAGAAGGTACATCCATAGCTGCCTATGTCCGGAGTGATGCCAAGCCAGAACTCCCTCCACCTCTTCAAGGACCTACCTAGAATATCCCTCGAGATTTACCGTATTTCGTGATGGGGTAATAATATGATCAGCACTAGATGTTTCTATACATCCCACGTGACGGACAATCTAGATTGGGCGCAGATCACAACAGGACTTTTGTTTCTTTCCTTCTTATTGTATCTTCCTCCTCCTTTTCCTCTCTTCCTCGCCTCCCGCCTGCCCTCGATGCTTCTCCATCTTTTTCTCCATGGACAAATTGCCGGTAGAGATCCTCACCAAAATCATCGACTGTAAGAGCCGACGTTTCCGTTCCCCCCGCACCTGTTGACCCCGTCGCCCTCAAGCTGATCAACAAGAAAAGACCTCACCCCGCGTGAGAAAGTACAGCTGCAATCCGTCTCCAGGAAGCTCTTTGGTCTCGCCCGCGACAATAACCTCTGGCGCCTACATTGCTACGAGCAGTCATGGTCCGCCCTGCTGACCTCGCGTCCCGCCGGCCGGGCCACCGAGAGCCTGCGCACAAACGAGCCGGCATCTTTGACCACACTGGGACAGACATCTCTGCGCGATCTGATTCAACCGCCGGCGCCCCATGCAGAAAACGGCGTGTCCGATGGAGCGCCGCGGGGTATGTCGCTCGGTGAGAAAGCAAGGGCGGCGATGGAATGGGATTCTTCGGCGGAGGGAGAGGATATCGATTGGTACTCGGAATATATTGCTCGACATGGACCGATCTCACTTACCTGGGTGCAACAGCCCCGGGTCCGGAATGCAAAGGGCCGACAATGGGAGCGCTGTGAGGTCAAGGGCATGGGATTACTGAAGGATTGGAGTTCGGCACGACAGAACAAGATCGTGGCGCCGTTGGATGACGGAAGTGTTTGTATTTGGGATCTGAATCATTCCCATTGCACGGATTCACCGACGACCAAGGGACGGGTTCTTGGGGTTAGCGAGCCGGGGATCCTCATGACAGACCTGTCGGGACGCAGCAGAGAGAATGCGGCCTCGAAGACGGCGCTCGAGTTTATCAATCCGGGCGAGTGCGTGAGCGTGGACTCGCTGCGCCAGCGGGCCTATTTGGCTGTTGGCAACGTACTGAACGAAGTCGATCTAACCACGCTGAAGGTGGTCTCGCAGCAGCGCTATCCCTGGTCGATCTTCGCCCTCTCCCAGGAAACGGACTACTCTGTGCCCTTGACCTTGGCCACCACACTCAGTCTTCAGATCTACGACTCTCGCCTATCAGCGATCGAAGAAGAGGAAGCCATCAGCTTGCGTTGTGAGAAGGTGGTGCCTCCCTTTGTGCCAGAATCGGGCATCTTCGCACCCCCAGACTCACCATTACTCAAACTCCAACCCAATGGCCAGCCACCGCACCGCATACGCAGCCCAGACCCTTCCGAAAAGGGCGCCAACTATGCTCCGCTCTTCCAGCCGGGCCCTCTCGCCATCCTCCATCCTCCCGCCCCGCATGTAAATTCCATTCTCCTTGCTGGCCGCTTCCCCAGCATTTTGTGTTACGACCGACGTTTCTTTCCACGCCTACAGAACACTGTTCATTCAGGCGGCCGACTATGCGGTCTTGCTTCGGTGCCTGAGCCCCGGTTTCCGGTCTTTGCGGACAGTCGGTATCCGGACTCGCACTCCGTGGTGGCCTGTGGCGAGTACAATGGCCGAGGGTCTCTCGAACTATACAGTCTGCGGTCTTCGTCGCAGACCTACACTACGAACGACAACAGCCCCTCGACAATGTCTTCCCGTCTGACAGCCGAATATAAAAATAGGCAGCGTGCCGCCAGTTCCAAGTTACTGTCCGTGGGATCTCACGGAAACCGCCTGGTCTTCTCCGACGCGGAAGGCAACATCAAATGGGTCGAGCGAGACGGCCGCTCGGAAGTCCGACGCTGGAATATCAACACGTCTACACCTCAATTCTCCTTTTCGCGCAACGGCCAATCCCTATCTGCTAGACCGGGCTCACCGCGCGGCCTCTGGCCCAGCTCGCAATCCAACCAAAACAGCGAAGTGGCCCGCAAGATCTTACCGACGGGTGGCAATTTGACCGGTGATGAGTTGTTGGTGTGGACCGGGGAACGCATTGGTCGACTCAAGTTCTCGATTCCGGCCGACTATGAGGAGGAGGTTGAAGAAGAAAATGAGGATGACTTGTTCATGGATGCCGAGGTCGACGAAGCTACACGGGAAGCGATGCGGCGGAAGCATCGGGATGAGTGGGAGGCCGCGCAACGGTATGAAGAGGGGATGCGGCGGGCACTAGAAAGACAAGCGGATGAGGTCCGGTGGATGGGAGCGATGCAATAATCAATCATTCATATAGACCGCATAACCAACTCCATCCTATATCTCTAAATCCCTAGCCCTAACTCCATACTTCCTCGGTCTGGCCTGACTCACCGCCCGGCTCCACTCGGCTCGGCTCTCCCCGCGACATCACGAGCCATTTCTAAGCCTTGGTCAGCGGTGACACTCGGTGGCGGAATTCGTTCGTATCGTTGACTGTGTGATTTTCTCTTCTCACATCCTCCTGTTGATCTGCACTCTTCTCTTCCTGCGAGACTCCAGCGCGACAGTTGTGGGACAAAATGCCGTCTCCGACAGAGCCCGTCCACCAATTCGACTCGATTGAAGATACCATTGCCGCATTTAGTGAGTGCTAGCCTCTCTGCAGGACAATCGAGCAGTTCCGAGAAGAGAATTCCGAAATACTGAGCTAACCGCGCACTCCAGAAAATGGCGAATTCATCATCGTCCTCGACGACCAAGACCGCGAGAACGAAGGCGACCTCATCATAGCCGCGGAGTCTATCACTCCCGCACAGATGGCCTTCTTGGTCCGATATACAAGGTAAATCCTTCCTTGTCACACACACCGTCTTCCTACGCGAGGATGTCCTTACTGATTACTTCAAAAAGCGGATTGATATGCGCGCCCATCACCCCCTCCTCGCCTCCCACCTCGCCCTCCCGCAGATGGTAGCCGAGAACGCCGACCCGAAGTGCACAGCCTACACGATCACAATTGACTCAAGCGACCCCTCCGTAACGACGGGGATATCGGCCTCCGACCGCGCGCTTACCTGCCGCACACTGGCCTCGCCATCCGCAACAATCGACTCTTTCCGGCGACCGGGCCACATTATCCCGCTCCAGGCCCGGCCCGGCGGCGTGCGCGAGCGCATGGGCCACACCGAAGCTGCGGTGGATTTCTGTCGGTTGGCTGGGAAGCCGGAGGCAGGGGTGATTGCGGAGCTGGTGGAGGATGGGCAGTGTGTGGAGGGCGTGCCGGAGATCGGCGGGAAGAATGGCATGATGCGTCGGGATGGGTGTTTGCGGTTTGGAAAGCGATGGGGGATTAAGGTGTGTACGATTGAGGACTTGGTGGCGTATTTGGACAGGACGGAGGGGGTAATCAATGGGAAGAAGCAAGCATTGGTTTGAGGCTTTGCGGGCTTGTATACTTGGATTTTGTTTTTTTTTTTCTGCTGTGTAGATCATACGCTCTGCTCTTGGGATAGACATTAACATGAAAAAAAATGAATGGTCAAAAAATTCAGAAGTGCATTGATAAGTTTATTGGGTATCTAGTCGTACGGTATAAATGTCATCCGAGTTTTTGGTTGGAAAGTCATGTCAGAAACGGGAATTGTTTCAACGCCGAGTCCATGCTGGGAGAAAAAAAGAAAAAAGGGTGAAAGGCATCACATCACCGCTTCAGATGAGAGTAGTCCCGAAGAATACCCATCATGTGCGTGTTGGTGGTCTTGCCGCTGCGCCGGGGCTTCTTGGTCTTCTTCTGCTCCACCTTGGGCCGCGCCTTCACCACCTTGTTCTTGTTGGTAGGCGTGATACCGGCCTTCTCCAGCTCCTCCTTGACATCCTGCGCACTCGGGATCTTGATCTTGTCCCAGATCTGCTTGAATTCGTCATCGAAGTGCTCCATCAGCGAGGGATCGTTCGCCCACACCATCTTGGCATGGTCATCCTTCTTGTTCCGGGTCACGAGCAGCTTCCCTTCCTTCTCCATCTGGTTGATCGCTTCCTCGACATTCGGCCACCCCTCTCGCAGATCACGGACACTCATCCCCGCCGCGGTCGTCTGTGCCTGCAGATGCTGCAGCAGTTGCTCGGGAGTGCGAATGTTGTGCGGGGGACGGAAGCTGAAGGTCCCCTCACCATTTGCGCCGCTCGGATCGAAATCGACCTTCTCGTGCATTTGTAGAATGCTCCGGAGGGCATGGATGTAGCCCGGGTCATTTTCGCGGTGCTGCAGGGAGAGATACGAGACGATATTGTCGAACTTGAGCGGCACGCCCTTGGTTTTCATGTGCTCGATCGCAAAAAGGACCTGCGTCATGATGTCCTTGCCCGTGCCGGTGTTGGCGGGCTGCGAGTAAACTATGTCGACATCGTGGCGCTTCTTCTTGGCTTCGCCGGAGGATGAAGGAGTCGGCGCAGACGAAGGGACTTGCGAGCTGCTGGCCGAAGCGTTGTTGACAACGCGCCGCTGTTGCGGCATGCGGTTCGCCGACTCCATCACGCTGGCGTTGAAGCTCTTGAGCTGGTTCTGTAGGTAGGACATGCTGGCGATGGTGGATCACAGATGCTCAAAGTCGGGTGAAGTGAATCGAGGGAGAGGCAAGTCCAGATACAGCTGGGCGAGAGCCAGGCGTGGCTTTTGTCGGAGCCAGGTCGAGCTCTCGAGGTGCCTAGTCAGTAGTGCGGAACATAAGACGGCAGCAATGATGAGACTGGAAGACTAAAGAACAGCCCGGGCTGATGGGAATTGACAAAAGGCAAGGTCAGAACAAGCGTTCAAGACGAGCCGCAGTCCACGTGACCACCTAACCGCATCGGGCAAGCTCGCCAACCCCGTCGCCGCGATCGAAACTCGCCCTTCGACACACCTCAACCCGCCAATTGCCCTCACTCATCTCTCACTTATTATTGGCGTGTCTTTGTTCCGTTTTCTTTCTCTCTCTTTCTCTTGCAACGCAATGTCATAGGCTTTTCCAGCAGCGCCTTGTGTACGTGTCTGAGAACGGTACACATCGCGCGTTGGACAGCTCCTGCTCTGCGCCGCGCCATTACACTCCCCAACACGCGCGGCCCAACAGCTCGCAGCTGTTGAAACGTCAACCATCATGGCAGACGCTGCAGTTGAACTTCCTTATCTATCCTCTCATTATGCTATCCCAGAAGCTACGCTCTCCACCCTGACGCAGGCCCCGACCGTGGACCTGGTCAATCAGCTACTGGCGTCCATCACCAAAAAGGCACATGAATATGATGAACTTAAATCCGACAAACTTCGCTTGGAGGTTGAGCTGGAGAATGCGGTACGCAGCAATGAATCGAAGATCAAGGGTTTGAAAGGCACCGTGGAGAAAGGTCACAAGGAGGTCGAAGATTTGAGGAAGAAATTACACGAATCAGGTAGGTTGGACCATTTTTGTGGCGATATAAACATCTCCATTCTGACACGATTAGAAACCACTCGTTCTGCTCTCGAGTCAGAGATTTCCACGCTCAAATCATCTTCCACGTCAAACGAGTCCGAAACCACAACCCTCAAGTCGCGCATCTCGTCTCTTGAAGCCTCGAATCGAGATACGCTGGCTTTACTTGAGTCGAAGTCTGCTGCTCATGATAAATTAGCCGAGGAGCTTTCGACGCAGCACAAGAAGACCATCGAGCTGCGGCGAGAGCTTTCCACCGCGGAACAGAATCTTCAGAGTGCGAACTCGGCCGCTGCTAGCGCACGATTCCGCGAGCAGAACCTTCAGCAAGAGCTTGACCTCACAAAGAAGAACAACGAATGGTTCGAGACCGAGCTGAAGACCAAATCCGCCGAGTACATCAAGTTCCGCAAAGAAAAGAGTGCCCGGATCTCCGAACTGCAGCGCGAGAATGAGGAGGCCAATTCGACCATCGACTCCCTGCGGCGCAGCGAGAACTCCCTCAAGAGCCGTTTGGACGAAACGGAACAGCGCTACGAAGAATCCTTGGCCAGCATCCAGCAACTGAAGGAAGAAGCAATCCAGGCTGACGAGTCTTCCCGAATTGAGCGTGATAGTCTCAAGCGACTTGCCGAGTTGCATGGATCTTCAGCGGAGACAGCCAAGAAACGCGTGCAAGAGTGTCAATTGGCGTTGGAGAAGGCCAAGGATGATGCAGCGGAGGAAATTTCGCGCCTCCGTGTCGAAATTGAGACCGAACACGCCGACAAGCAAGCAGCTGAGCGTCGGGTTGCCGAGCTTGAGATATCCGTCAGCCAGCTCGAGTCTGAAGGACCTAGGCTTGGATCTATGAGCCCTGCTCGTTCGCTGAATGGAGCAGGCCCTAGCACCCCAATGCGGCCCGGAACTCCCGGTAGCACCTTCTCTCCCCGGGCCTCTCGTGGCAAGGGCAATCTCACGTTGACCCAGATGTACACGGAATACGACAAGATGCGCACTCAGCTTTCGAGAGAGCAGAAGAACAACCAAGAGCTCCAGTCGACGCTGGATGAGATGATGCAAGAACTCGAATCTAGCAAGCCTGAGATCGACGAACTTCGCGCAGACCACTCCCGCCTTGAAAACGCGGTTGTGGAGATGTCCAACATTCTCGAAACGTCCGGCAAGGAACGTGACGACGCCACCAAGGAAGCGAGGAAATGGCAGGGCCAGGTTGAGGGTCTAGCCCGTGAAGGAGATATCCTACGCCAACAACTTCGGGATCTGAGCGCCGAGGTTAAGGTTCTGGTTTTGGAGGTTGCCGTCGCGAAACAGGGCGAAGACTATGACCGTGAGGAGCTGGAGAAGATCGCCCGCAATGAGATCGAGGAGTCAGCCGCCGACCTGAACCCAACTGGTCGCTTCATCAGCCGAAACCTCACCACTTTCAAAGACCTCCACGAGCTCCAGGAGCAAAATGTTACTCTCCGACGTATGTTGAGGGAACTTGGCGACAGAATGGAGGGCGAGGAAGCCCGTGCAAAGGATGTCGTCCGCCAACAAGAGCACGAGGAGCTGAAGGATCTGCGGATCCGTGTGCAAACTTACCGCGACGAAATTGCCAACTTGGTCGCCCAGACGAAGAGCTATGTGAAGGAACGCGATACCTTCCGTAGCATGCTCACTCACCGACGCCAGCCTGTCGGAGACCCATCCGTCTTTTCTCAATCCGTCCCACTCGGGGCGGCTCCTTTGGGTGCCAGCATCAGCAGCCAGGCCAATGATGCTCCAGATTACGCCGAACTACTTCGAAAGGTCCAGACTCATTTCGACAGTTTCCGTGAGGAGACCGCTACCGATCACAACTCCTTGCGACAGCAGGTCAATGAGCTCTCCCGAAAGAACAGCGAGTTGATGAGCGAAATCAGTCGATATAGCAGTCAACTTGCTACCGCTTCCCAACGCGCCGAGCTACACCAGAGCAACTTCAATATGCTTAAGACTGAGAACGGCGAACTCCAAAAACGTTGTAACACGCTTTTCGAGCAAGCCAACCGACAAGACGTTCGGACACAGCAAGCGGCCGAGGATCTGGTAGAGGCAAAGGGCCTGGCGGAAAGCCTCCAGCGGGAGAATGCCAACCTGAAAGCGGAGAAGGAGCTGTGGAAGAACATCGAGAAGCGGTTGATCGAGGACACCGAAACATTGCGGAATGAGCGCAGCAGACTCGACTCCCTAAACGCCAACCTGCAGACAATCCTGAACGAGCGAGAGCACTCGGATAGTGAGAGTCGCCGCCGACTCCAATCAAACATTGAGTCACTGGAGTCTGAACTACAATCCACCAAGCGAAAACTCAACGACGAGCTCGAAGAGTCTAAGAAGGCCACTCTTCGCCGAGAGTACGAGCACGAGCAGAGCCAGAAACGTATTGATGATCTGGTTACCAGCCTGGGCGCCGTACGCGAAGAATTGGTCGCTTTGAAAACGACAAGAGATCACCTGCAGGCACGCAATGATGAGCTGTCTGTTGGACTCCGAAGCGCCGAGGAGCGCCTCCAGGTTCTCCAAACTCGACCTAGTGGCGTTCCTGGCGCGACTGACGACACCACTGTGGTCACGCAAGAGGCAGGCGAGGGCGGTAGTCTTACCCGCGAGCAGGAGCTTGCCATCGAGGTCTCCGAACTGAAACGTGACCTCGAACTGGCGAGGACTGAGCTCGAACACGCAAAGGAACGAGTCGAGGACTACCAAGCCATCAGCCAGGCCACGGAAGAACGGCTGCAGTCAGTCACCGACACTCAGGATCAGTACCGTGAAGAGACCGACCGTCTTGTTGAGGAGAAGGACAAGAAGATCCAGGATCTCGAAACGCGGATTGAAGAAATCTCTTCGGAGTTGTCCAACACCAACAATGAAATGTCCAAGCTTCGTGAAGAGCAAGGCGAAGCTACGCGCCGTCTTGACGAGCAAAAGGCTACCTACGAGGCAGATATTACTCGACTGAAGGACGACAATGAACGACACGTCGCTGCTGCTCAGTTCCACCAGGAGGACCTGAAAGCCCAGGCTGAAATCGCTCAGCATGCGCAACAAAATTATGAAAGTGAGCTTGTCAAGCATGCCGAAGCAGCGAAGAACCTTCAGGCAGTTCGTGCCGAAGCCAACCAACTGAAACTCGATATCGCTGGGGTGAGGTCCCAGTCCGAGACTTACAAGAGGGACCTGGCCCAGAAAGAGGAGAGCTGGGTGGAGATGAAGGCCAGATACGAAAGCGAGCTTGCTGAATTACAGAAACGCCGGGAAGAAGTTCTTCACCAGAACTCTCTCCTGCACTCGCAACTGGAGAATATCAGCGGCCAGATCTCTTCATTGCAACGGGACCGCGCCAATGTCGCCGAAAATGAGGAGCAGGAAGGAGAGCAGATGGCACCAAACCTAGAGGGTCTCCAGGAGGTCATCAAGTTCCTGCGCCGTGAGAAGGAGATCGTTGATGTTCAATACCATCTCTCAGTGCAGGAGAGCAAGCGTCTTCGCCAGCAACTCGACTACACTCAATCTCAACTGGACGAAACACGCCTCAAGCTTGAACAACAACGTCGGGCTGCTGCTGATAGCGAGCACAATGCGCTGAACCATAACAAGCTTATGGAGACGATCAACGAGCTCAACGTTTTCCGCGAGAGCAGCGTAACGCTTCGCAACCAACTCAGGCAGACCGAGACTGCGCTGGCCGAGAAGTCTGCTCGTGTCGATGAACTCAACCAGCAAATTGAGCCTCTCGGGTCCAAGATCCGCGAACTGGAGAATTTGGCCGAAACCAAGGATGGCGAGATGCAGCTGCTTCAAGCCGACCGCGATCGTTACCAGCAGCGCATACAAGACATCCTCCAGAAATACGACCGGGTGGATCCGGCTGAGATGGAAGAGCTGAAGCAGAAGCTCGCGACCCTCGAAAAGGAACGCGACGAAGCTGTGTCCGCACGGGATACTCTACAAGCCCAGGCCACCGCATTCCCTGAACAACTCAAACAAGCCGAGGACCAAAGGCAGGACCTGAAAGCAAAGCTCACCGAACAATTCAAGGCGCGGTCGAAGGATCTGACTGGGAAGGTCAACAGCAAGCAAATGGAGTTGAATGTGGCCTTGCAGGAGAAGGAGGTTATCCAGGATGAATTGAAGACTACGAAGGAAGAGCTGGAAGAGCTGAAGAGCAAAATGGCCCAGACGCCAGCTCCAGCTGCCACTCCGACCCCAGCTGCCGCACCGACTGCGGCTACTACCGAAACGGATGCGGTCAACCCGACACCTGCGTCCCAGTTCCCGACTTCAACGACTCAAGTTACCACCGCTCCTGCTGATGAACAGAAGATCAAGTCTCTGGAGGAGAAGATCAAGTCTCTAGAGGAGAAGATCCAACGCCTGGAAGCAGCTCTTGCTGAAAAGGATGGTCTCCTGGCTGCGAAGGATGCCGAGCTGGCGGCCAAGATCAAGGAACGCTCCGACAAGCTCAAGGAAATGTTCAACAACAAGCTGGCCGAAATTCGTGCCGCCCACCGAGCCGAGATCGAGAAGCTGTCTGCTGGTGGTGAACAGCCTGCTGCTCCTGATACTCCGGCAGTGAGCGATCAGCAACAAGCATCGGCACCAGCAACGCCATCAAAGACAGTCGAGCTTCCCGAGTTGACCGACGCTCAAGCCAGAGAGCTTGTTCACAAGAACAAGACCATTCAGACCATCGTCCGCAACAACATTAAGGCCCTGATGCATCAGCAAAGAGAGAAGGAGAAGCAGGAGGCCCAGGCCCAGGGATCATCTGCAGGGGGCAACGGAGAAGCGACGGCGGAGTTGGAGAAGAAGTTCAACGAGGAGAAGGAGGCGCTCAAGAAGACGCACGAAGAAGAACTGGTCGAGAAGATCAAATCTGCTGTGGAGCTGTCCGACAAGAAGTCACTTGCCCGGATCAGCATGCTCGACACTAGATTCCGCACTTCGCAGGCCAAGATCGACGTGGTCCAAAAGGCTGCTACTGAGACTCCGCAGAAGCCCGTGGTGGAAGTGTGGGAGGTGGCCAAGATGGCCAAGCCCGCTCCTGCCGCCGCTCAAACACCAAAGCCAGCCGCGTCTCCTGCGCCGGCAGCCACACCACAACCTCCTGCTGCACCCTCTCCTGCTCCGGCCACCGAACAAACAGTCAAAGTACCCGACACGGCTGAAACCGCAGCCAATGGTGAGGAGCAACAAGAAGGCGGCGAAGCTGTCGCTCCTGCGAATCCATTTGGCCAGCTCCAACAAGATCAGCAAGGCAAGCAGCAGCCTACTTCTCTGCCCAGCAAACCACCTGCAGGTACCGCTCCGGGTATGCTACGAGCTCTCCAATCTGGATTGCCGGTTGCGCGAGGCGGACGAGGTGGACGCGGCGGTGGCCAGCAGAATCCCTTCGGTCATCAACAACAGCAAGGAGATCAGCAACAAGGCCAGGCCCAGACTCAGCAGAGTCAGCGCGGCAGTGGCCTTCCACGTGGCCGTGGCGGCCGAGGTCAAGGCCGCGGTGGAAACCAGAACGCCAGTGTTGCGCAGAGCCAACAGAACCCGGGTCAATCGAGTCCGACAGCAGCTCGAGGCGGTGGTGCCTTGAATGTGCAAGCGCGCCAGTTCATTCCACAAGGGAACAAGCGCACGCGCGAAGAGGGCCCTGACGCCACTCCTGAGAGTGCAAGCGGAGGCAAGAGAATGCGAGGTGGTGGTGGACAAGCTCGTGGTGGTGCTGGTTCTTCCTGATTTTCTACAAGGCTTCTTCATGTATCATTGTTACCATTTGTGTTGTATTCTTTTTGTGTTTTCATGTTTTTTTCACGTATGTTTTCATGTGGTTGAAGGGTCATGCAAGCCCTACTGCCATTTCGAGCATGGATCAGAGCATAATATCTATTTTCCTTTGTTTCGTGATGTTTCATGTACCCCATTCGCATCTGATCTGTTGCGGGGGTGCTGAATGGATGTATTGTCTAGTTCTCCATATCCAAAACTAATGGATCTATGCATTCCATTTAGAAAGTAATGTACAAAGGGGTATAAGCAGTAAAAGACATGAATCTCCGAACCAACTGTACAAGACAGCGACCAAGCTGCTCCGTTGCCAAGTACAGGAGAGATAGCCATAGCCATAGCCATAGCCATAAGCATAGTCTACCTCTTCTTCGCACCAGCAATCATCTTCCCCAATGCCTCCCTCTCCCTCACAAGGACCATCAACCGTGCATCCTCTATTAACTTCCCCTCCGGCGCAGACCCGGGCACAGGCACCTGGGCAACATGCGCCGCAACACGCACAGCGGAACAAGGAGGCCTCGCACTTCTCGCACGTACTCGCCGCTGACCGACCCCAGACCCCCAGACAACCGTCCACTCAGCGACGCGTCCATTTTGCGGAACGACGCAGCCCGCGCAGATCTTGGCGTGGGACCCAACCTCTGCGCCGCGGTGGATGGTCGCTAGACTGTCGATTGCGGCGGCGGAGTGGATGTGCGAACCCGGGAGGATGCAGGAGAGGGGGCCGATGGTGACGAAGTAGGATATACGGATTGGGAGGCCTTCCTCTGGCGCTGGTGTGTGTCTTGTTTGTGTGGTGGTGTCCTCGGTGGGTGTAGACGGAGACGGAGAGGCAGTCCTGGAACTCGACGCGCTGCGCTCTTTCGACGCCGACTCTGGCGCAGCGCCAATCACCGCTTTCTCGCTGATAATGCATCCATCTCCAATTGTGATCGGCCCCTCGTAGGAATAGAGTCGTGCGCGTGGGTGGATGACCGTGCCGGGACCGATGGTTATGGGGTGCGTCCCTTGGAAGACGGCCGTGTCGGCGATCGTGGCGCTGGGGTCTACTTTAAGGGGGGCACGAGGAGGGCCTTGCGGGTGGGATGAGGAGCGGTGGGTTGCTGAAGGAGGTTTGAGGGTGGCCATCGCTGTTATTGTTGTTGTTGTTGGTGGTGGAAGTGGCCGGGTTGGTTCCGCGGAGGTGAAGACTGGTGGGTCAAAGCTTGCCCTGCTGCAAAAACAGCAGGAACTATATCCATAGAATGTATCTCTTAAATTCGGTGTCCTTCATGTCTAGGTAGTATATTCGGGTATCTGGATCTAATCACAAGTAGTTACAATATATATATATAATAATAAAAAATCACTCCCCCTCCGCGCGCTGCTTAATGCCATTCCGTTTCCTCCAAGCCATGACCCCACGATCAAACTCATCGCGAGTCAGGCCATCGCGGACTAGACAAAATGTCACCCCCAGCTCAGTCTCAACATTGCGATTCCGTGCCTCGTCATCAAAGAATAGCATATCCTCATACTCGACCCCGCTGGCCTGCTGGATCTTCGCAAAATGCGCCGTCTTGTTCGCAGGGAAGATCTGGATATAATCAAAATGCTCCAGCGCGCGGGTCGTCTTCATCGCGTTCGCGGCGGGATTGTCAGAAAAGGAAGGGATGATATGCAGAGCCTTGAGCATGTCGCGCGCCAGGTCTGGGGCGTGGGTGCGCGATGCGAGCGCGAGCGGGATTTCGCGGCCGTTGCAGGCGTGTACGATGGACGAGACGGCTGGGTAGAAGGCGAATGACTCGCCCCAGCGGTCGACGGCACGGGAGTTGTTGTCGCGCGGTTTCACGGGCGCGCTGACGTGCGTGTCGACCCAGAAGGGCCAGAGCGTGTAGTCCAGGTCGAAGACGATGAGTTTAGGGAGCGGTTGGCCGTCTGTGAAGGTGGCTAGAGCCACCGAGGCGTCTTCGAGTGGTAGTGTGTTTTGGCGCTTGGCTTTCATGGCTGGGAGAGGTAGGGGATTTGGAGGAGAGAAAAATCGTGGACAGAAACAGGGAATCAGTTTGGTGGGACGACGGGGAGATGGAGCCGTGGGTCCCGGGCACGGGCCCGTCCAGGGGGATTGGTGGAATGGGGAAGTATAAGAGTGATGATGATAATGAGCATTGTTGTTGACTACCTAGGTATACGGCTTGAAACAAAATTAGAAGAAGTTAACAATATCCTTAAACTCATCCAGCAGCAGAGGATCGATATCGTCCCACTCAGCAGAGACCTTCATCGCCTTGCGCTCGACCTGCGTCGATTCCTCAGGAGTTGTGGCGTCCATCGAAGAAGCAGGCTTGACCCGTTTCTCATGCTGAAACAACTGCCCTTCCACAACATCCATCTTGCTAGCCTTTCGCTTAGGTTTGCGCGATCCGTTTGCCTCGGACGGGTTCAGCGCCACAACGTCTTTCGAAGCCTCAGGCTCTTTGGGATCCTTGAAGGTCTCCGGTTCGGATGTCAGATCATCCCACACATCGAAGAAATCCAGATCGTCCTGTGGCTTGGCAGGAGATTTGGGCACGGCTATTCCGACTTGGGGAGCAGTGGCCTTGGCAGTGCTGCGTACTTCTCCCATTTCCCAAGTTCCCACTGCCGATCCAGTTGTTTCGTTCCGTTCTTGAGCATTAGCGTTCGGCTTCACCACACTTGATCCCACTTTCCCCATCAGCAAGGACCGAGAGGGCAAGTCGTCGAAAAAAATGTCATCGTCATAGTCACTCGACATAGTTTCCGGCCGATGGTTGATGTTAATACCACCACACTCCGAAGAGGCTGGCAATCCACTCATCCTTTTCTTCTCAGACTTTCTCCCAAGCAAGGCATTTTCCGCATCTTGTTCCTGCTCCCTCAACCTGCTAGTCGAGTCTTTCTTGCTCATACTCGCCGACAAAGTCAATTGACTGAGACCGGCACTCTTCTGATTCGGAATAGCAGCCTGCTTCCTACTGCGTTTGGGCGGTTTCTCCAGGCCATCTCGGCAACAGAAGTGCTTGCAGCTATGCCACCATCAATTAGCAGACGAGATATAGAATTAGAATGAGAAGGAAGAAAAGCACCTCGTCTTGTCTTTGCATTTGTGATTGCATGCCCACCGCCCAGTGGGAAGTCGGATCGGCTCGTTTTCGTTTTCCTCGTCATCTAGCTGGACAGAACCCATGTTTGTGTTTGTCGGCCAGTTGTCATTTATGGCGGTCCATCCGTGGGATTTGCGTGCTGGGTGCGGCGGGCTGGGAGTGGGAGTATTGTCGATGAACATCCAGTCTGCACTGTCCCGCTGACAGCTTGACGGCTCAATGAGCTTCTTCGCTTTCTCAGGGCTCTGACTTGCAGCAAGGAAGTCGTCGAGTTCCAGGTCGTCGCCCTCGAAGTCATCTTTTACTCGATTACTTCGTATAGATACATCCCTGTTGTGGGAATTGTGTCGCGAGATGTCTTTTCCCGGTCCCCTGGCGTTCTCATCGCGTTTATACGGAAAGAAATGTGAAGGCACGTCAGGTCTGATCTCAGCCTGTCTCCAGGTCCCCGCTATGAACTGTCAGTATATTCCCAACCTCGTTTTGAGAGAGTATACGCACCGATATCATCACACATGACGTGACAAACAATGAACTGATCTGGGCTCTTCAATTCCGCAGAGAGCAGCGTTTGAAGTCCTTCCTGGAGCTTACTCGCACTTCAAGACCATCAGTATCCAGCAGCAGATCTGCATGAAAATAACTGACCTGATCCGTCTGAAGTCAATCATCCGTCCATCTGAAGTCTCAGCCAAGGAGCAGACATAAACAGGCCGACGCTGAAAGAAGACCGGGACCTTGTCGTTCATAAATGCCATGTCCACTTTGAAGCGGATTTTGACGGCGCCAATCTTCGTTTCCTATTTGTCCCTGGTCAGTGACAACTCCCAATACAGACCGATGATATCAAACCTTGTCCATAATCTTCACAGAAACCCTCAACTTCGGAAACTCCTTGAGTCGTCCGAGGAGCTTGCTCCCAAAGGGGGGGGTTCTTACTGAGAATCATCTCGATGCGATTTGCCTCTGTCGACTCCAGTGCCTCGATACTCGTAATCCCTGCAGTAGCCAGTCTGCGCACAGTAACAACGCCCACCTGCTCGATCTGCTTCATCTGAAGCGGCGAGTGATCCCACACCTTCGCGCCGAAGCTGCGTGCTAGGGACAAGGCATTTTGAATGGCGACTGAGTCGCCCCGCGCAATATGGCAGTCGATTACGCATCGGATCAATCTGTTGACATGCGCAAAGACCTGGTTCTTGTCCTGCTGGAAGGGGAACTTGTGCTTTTGGAGCTGGTCAGTGTCCGGAAACTCAGTCGCTCCCAGCTCGGATTGGAGGAGAAGTGTGATCTTGTGGCATGGCAGGGCGATGTCGACTTTGATCGGGTACCGGATGCCGGGGTCATTGTTGATCTCTCTGTATAGAGACTTTTCGCCTGCTTTTAGTCTGAGTTCGCGAAATTCCTCGGCTTGGGAGATTGCGGTAAGCTGGTAGTTGGGTTAGTCGAATCTTCGACAGTTGTATGTTATAAACTCACGGTCTGGGAAATGGTTGCCTGTGGCTTCAATGACAGAAGCGTCTTCATAGTCTCAAATCGGATGTAGTACCGCGCCATTGCTTCCCCGAACTGGGTTGATCGAAGAGCATCGGACTCCACCAGCCCATTCTCCTGAAGAAGCTTGATATCCTTCTCACAGATCCGCTGAAGCATCTCATCCTCATCATCCTGGTTCGCATCCTCCTTGAGCTTGTAATGCGTAGGATTTCGGCGCAGGCGAATAAACAAAAACGTGCCCGCAAGCCATTTGGCCGCCGAGTCCACGTCAGAGACGTTCCCCAGTCCGATTTCTGCGTTCAGGTGCTCAATCAGGTTGAGATGCAAGCAGCTTTCCAGGCTCTCAGATCCAGAGACCAGTTTCTCGTAGTGAGCCACTCGCTCCTTGCGGGTTAGTATCACTGCCGTGGCACTATCGTCGAACTGGGGCCGGCCTGCTCGACCGAGCATCTGCATCATCTCGAGATCGGAGTATTCTTTGCAACCGCCCTCTTGCCAGCCAACGGTGTTTTTGATGATCACCAAGTGGCAGGGCAGGTTAACTCCAACTGCGAGTGTCGATGTACAGCAGATAACGTTGATGTCGCCTCCCAGAAAGCCCTTCTCGACGGTATGGCGGTCTGCGGGACCAAGTCCGGCGTGGTGGAAGGCCACTCCCGCGGTAATGGTGGCTGCTTGTCAGTAAGCATTCAGCTATCTTATAGAGGTTGAGGGGATACATGCTCTTCAGGTCGTCATTGTGCGATTCGATACGCTTGCTTGGCCCCTTCCAAAGTCTAGCGGGCGGGTTGGTCCTCGTCCACAGCGAAACCAGTTCTTTGGCAGTGGCAACAGTCGAGTTCCTGGTGCAGCAAAAGATCATGATAGGTTTCTGAGAAGAGTGCATCCCAAGAACCTCAGGAAGTCTACATATATCTCACTCAGCACGAGACTCACGCTCGTCCAGAAAGACTCGACTCACTTAGAAGCACAGATCTTATCAAAAGCAAAATCATTTGCGGTCGACTGATATCCATAAACGAACTTCTGTAACTTGACCGGCCGAAACTCCTCTCCGAAATGCTCTCTGTGCGCAGGCACATGCTGATTCGTGGCGTCCTTGCCAAGCCATGTCGCGACGTCGTCTGAATTAGGGACCGTAGCGCTGAGAGCCACGAAGCGCACATTCGATCCGATAGTCTTCATGCGCGAGACGACCGCTTCGAGGGTTGCACCGCGAGTTTCCTTGAGGATATGCACTTCGTCAATGAGGAACAGTTTAATGAGCTGCATGAGACGTATGTGGTCTTTCCATTTGCGGGTCATGCTGTCCCATTTCTCGGGCGTTGTGATGATGACCTGGCTGTTCTGCACGCTGCGGAGCTGCGTGTAGTCTGTGTCGCCGGTGCACTCTGCACATTTCACGTCCAGGGCGGATAGCTTTTGGTTCCAATCTCGGAAGCGTTCTGCGCAGAGCGCTTTCGTAGGCGCCTGGTAGACAACCTTGAATCGCTCGTCTTTCAGGGTGTTGAGAAGTCTGCAGATAGCCAGTTCCATAACAACCGTCTTGCCGCTACCCGTTGGAGCGGAGAGAACAAGGTTGTCACTGGTGTTGTAGACGGCATGGAAGCATTTAGATTGGATTGCGTTGAATAGCGGGAATCTAAAGAGCGATCTGTGTGATTCGGGCAGGTCGTTCACGGAGACAAGAAGAATCCCTCGAATAGAGGGTGGGATATTGAGGAAAGGGACTTTGGGGCGTGTTGCAGCCTCTGAGCTTTGATGGGACGAAAAAGGCTGGGGAAATGACTGCATGGTGTCAGGTTGATAGTACTTGCGGGCAGTCTCAAGATAGCCCTGTTCCAGCGGACCTGCCTTCCGCATCAACGGACTCGATGGAGTCATTGATCCTATTTCCGACGATCTGGACCCTTGGCCTCGAAGAGGGGTGGTGCTAGAACTTGCTGGATTCTGTTAGCAACGAGAGTGGATGGGTTGAACTACCAGAGTCAAGTCACTCACGATGAAAGAATCTCGAAATATGCTGGGGAGCATTGTCGTGCCCAGTATTAGACTGGCACGATCCCTGAAGAGGCGTAGATACTGGAAACCCTGAGTTCCCTCGAGGCATCGTCATTGCTGGAGCTTCGGTTTGGGCTAGTAGCTCGAGATCTGCTTGCCCATCAGCGGACGTACACACGAGGGTGTGTGCACTTACCGAAAGCATCAAACTCATCTTCCTCATCATCGTAGGTATGAGGCATTGGATCGTGGGTAGACTGCTGAGAGAGCATGCGGAATTGTTGTGGCTGCTGGGATCCTCCGATGAGACTCTCGTCAATCAGGCCAGGCCTGGTGCTGTGGGTGGGAATGGCAAGATTTGGGTTATTAGGCTGCAACTTGGAGTTGGAAGGGAAGCGGTTAGACTTGGAGAAGCGATGATTCTTTCGCATTGTGATTGATGGGGGTCAGTCATTGAGGATGGGTGGGAAGAATGGGAGAGAGAGACTACGTGATGGCACGTGGACAGTATATGAGAACGTTTTCATTGCTTCGTATATATGTATGCATGACTGACATCCTCGAGAGGAAATCGATCAAGAACAAGTTAACAGGCAGACAGAGCATCAAGCTAGTCAGGGAGATTCTACCACACATCTCACGGGTCTATCAGATAGGTATTCAAAAGTCATTGAGCCATGAAGGAACAGCAAGGGTCCCCATTCATATCTGGACAAATTCCATGTCCATCCCTCCCTCTAATTCTTGTCGAGGTAGTTGCTGGCACTCACATTGCGACTGGAGCTGACGCGAGTATGGCCGGGACCCGGGGAGTTAGGACGGGAGCTGGACATGCCATCCGACAGGAATGGGGTGCTGGGGAGCTTGATGGAGAAGTCGTTGGGCGAGTTCGAGACAGGAGAGCCCTGCTCTCCCGTGGAATCCTTTTCGTAGCTGTCCACCTGGATTGGAGGTGGGCGGATGCTTCCAGGGCTGAAGCTAGGGTTGCCGTAGTAATGTGTGCTGACCAGCACCGCAGCAGCACCAAGGATGAACTATAAACAAAATGTCAGCGCTCGCCCGTATGAATGGGATGAATGCAGCTTACACTCCCAGTAAGCTCAAAATCAAAGAACCAAATGCTGCCCAGGATGCTCAAGATGATACTGCCGGTCGTGGCAAAGCTCCTGGCATCTCGCTGAGCATGAGTGATGTAGAAGCCCGAGATGAGACCACCCAGGGCTTGCAAGCCGATGGCAGACCACACGGCCCAATTATATCCCTGGAAGAAGCCATCATTGGCGATTTTCTCGCCATCCCGGAACACAACTCCAATGAAGAGAGCCGGGAAGGCGGAGTAGAAGGCCAATTGCACATTGCGAATCCAAAGAGACACGCTCGCAGAGCTATCCTTGAGCACTTTCTCAAAGTAGATGCTCGCAAAACCTGAGGCCACCGAGGCCCCAATAGCTGCGAGCAGGCCAACGGTCGAGTCCAGGTGTGGATCAGCCGTCTGGATATCGTCCTCAATGCCCTCATAGGTCGCAGAGCGTTTATGCATATTCGCCGCTACCCCTTTAACAGCCTTCCACTCCTCCAATGAGCGCGGGAAGTGCACGCTTGCACTCTCATCCTGGAGGGCCATCTGCTCGGAGTTGGCATCGGGGATCTGCACCAGCGCCACGCCCACCAGGAGAAGGAGAAGCAACCCCCACTTGCGGGCCCCAATGCTCCGTCTGAGGAGCATCAGCCCGAAGACAGCCATCGTGAAAAACTTCAATTGGAACGTCACCTGGAACGTGGCGGCCCGCAAGTTCGACAACGCAATGTACTGGAGGGAGTTGGATAGCACCTCGAACCCGGCGGGGATCGCTAGCTTCCAGGAGTCGCCTGAAAACACCGCGTTGGTCAGGGAGAAGAAGAGGGAGGTGGCGGGCATGGATGGTGGAGCGGTTTTGGAGACGTCGTAGAGGGCCATGGTGAGGGAGAGGGCGAGCTTGATCACTTCGTTCACGAAGACGGCGGTGGAGGTGAGATAGCGTTTGCCGCCGGCGGGGGGCATCACTCGAGAGTAATGGGATAACTGGACCAGAATCAGTTTCAGCTCCCGAGGAGAGATGAGTCTGGCAACCTACCAACACGAAACCCGTGGTCTGCACCGTCAGCTGCACGAGTACACAAACAAGTCAGTCAGCTTCGAGTCCCTCACGTATACACCGTGGAGCGGGCAGCACATACCAAGATCCACGGGGTATTCTTCGTCGTGGCCCGCAGCCACGACGACTGGCGTTGAGCGCGGTCTGCCATGGTGACAAGTTTTGTGTGTGGCAGGAGGTGGGTGATATTTCCGCAGCTCTTTGGGAGCACGAGCACAAGAGCCGTCGCAAGGCAATTGAGGTTCACTTCGGGGGTGTAGGGGGCGACCAGAGATGGATGACAATCAGAGCAAAGGGTCAATTCAAGGGCTGGTGGGTGGGTGGCCTGCCAGATCGATGAGCTAGACTGCCTGGGCCCCAACCTCCACTTCAGCTTTCGGCGATCGGTCAGGGCGAGGGAAGAATAATGACGTGGCTGGGTAAGGACAGTGCGGACCAACTGGGGGGGGATCCGAGTTATTTATTTTGTTCAAAGGAGAGTGAGATGGGAGAGAGAGCTATGCAAGGGAGGAAGGAGAGAAGAAGAAATCCGGGGAATCTGAAGAAGCTGGACGAATGGGCGGTGTGGATCACGGGCGTCGTTACGTCGTTGGTGTTATCGTTGGGCATGAGCTGTATGTCATTGTCTTATTATCGACTTGGAATTCATTCTAAATTCCTAGCAGCTATCGCACTCCTCCGGACCCCAAGAGAAGACTCCATGGCCCGCCCCCTGACGTCAATAGTCCCCGGCCACGCACTGCCCCTGATCCCCATTCCAAATGTCGTCCGCCATGGGGCCAATTTCACACTCTGCTAAAATAAAAATAGAAAACCACCATTGTAGGAAATGGATTTCCATTCGTTTTCTCCCAAGATGCAACAAGTAGCGTTCGGGTTAATATACGACTGGTTTAGTAGTCGTTTGTTCTTCCCTCGCGTCCACCGTCACTTATGCGCCTCGATAGGCCTACTTTCCAAAGGAGAACCGTCTACCCTACTAGCAATTAGAATTTTGCCAACCCTGTGACAGATTGAACACGAATAATCACTTTACGAATATCCGTACGAATATAATTTGCCTTTCTTGTAAATTATTCGTAAAAATCACGTGCCGAGTTTTGTCTCGATTACTAGATCTCATGTAGTCTAAAAAGCTAGTGTCCATTGAGTAGCTAGCGAGGAACATCTCCAGATTTGAGAATCTAGCTGACGAGAGGAGCTGCATGGTTGTCACGTGCGCCGCTATTATAGGCTCTGTGTTTGTTTCCCCGGTTTCTGTCTGGGGGGTACAGGAATAGCAATTGGGGGCTAAGGTTCTTTAGGTTGTCAGCCCTGATAAATCTCGCATCAGTGAGCACCACCATATATTCCCCCTCGGGAAGGCTTCGATGTCTTCTCTCTGAGCCAAGGATTAGCTCTGCAGTCATAGTATATCCAGTAACAAACCATGCCGACCGCGACCCCACAGCGAAAGTACACCAGAAGGTCCCGCACGGGATGCCGCACCTGCCGGTGAGTTTATATCGCTTTAGTATAGGAATTAAAGCCTCTGTTGTTCTAAGATCGATGCGCGTAAGTTATATCGTCTCATTCGCTCATAATCTCCCAGGTGCCAAGGAACCCAAACCATCTACCTAGTCGGCAGTCCGCTAGCCCAGCCACCGTCCACTTGAGGCGCTTCATCCATGCACGTCAGACTTAATCTTAATTCGAGAGATTCTGAAAGACGAGACGATCTAAATTGTAGAATTGGGTATAAATAGACCAGGTGTGTAGAAACAAAGAAAAGACACTGTCGGTGGCGAACAAAGGTCCTAATGCAATCAACCAAATGGCCAACAAGATAATAGAAGAGACGCCTGGAATCCGATATGCACGAAGAGTCAAGGAAATTCAAAAAGAATGGGTGGGCGATCGAGCGAGTACACGAACGCAGGTGTTGATACAGATAATGTGGGAAGGGGGAAACAAAGTGGATATTTCTGGAGAAGGCTCAGTGCACGGCAGCAACGCTGGCACGGTCGTGGTTCTGGTTCCAGTCAAAGTCAAAGGACCAGAGCGGAAGAGAGTGCTTGTGCTTCGGATCATCCTTATCATCTATCATGATCGCCTCACTGCTATCGGTGCGGCGGCGGGCATGCTGTTTCGGATCCTCCGGGATGGCGGGAGGCGGATGGTTTGGAGGCGGTTTGGGCGAAGGCAGCGGCGAGAAGCGGTGGATGGGCAGAGTCGGGGTGAGCGGCGAGGTGCCGCTGGTGGTGGCGGGCGAGGGCAGACTGCTCTCGGAGTAGGGCATGCTGAACCCGGGTGACACGATAGAATTAGTTTTCTGTTCAGTATCAGAACCCGAACTCTGCGAATAGGGACCGTCTTTGTCCGAGTGAGTTGCACCTTGAATCTGTGTGCCGGCATAGATGGGTGGGAGACCCGGCGGCAGGACGGCGCTGAGGCGTAGGAAGGATGTGTCGGAGCCACAGAATGAGTCGCGCGACGGCGCCGCCGAGATCATGGATGTTCGGTCGGGCTGCTCGCCATTGTAGTGGAAGATACTCGGCGTGATCTTGCCCTTACGCACGCGCATTGCTTCCAGGAGATCCTGTTCTTGTCGAGTCACCGCAATAACACGGCTTCTCCGGTTCATTTCTTTGAGCTCTTGCGGCGTGAGTTGTTTTGGCTTTGCCGGCTGGGTGATGGCCGGGGTGGCACTTGATTGCCGGGACGGGGTTCGTCGAGTCGAGTACGAGGCCGCACCGGCCGATGACATGGACGTGTTCCTGCGTGCTGATTGACTCGGCTGACTCGGTTGGATCTGAGCCGACCCGCGGCTGCTGGTCGAGGGTGCTCGCTCGAATCGTTTCAGAGTTGGGCTGATCATGGCATGTGCCGTCGAGGCAGTGTAAATCTCAGGCTCAAACTCCCCATAGGTAGCCACGCTATCCCTGAACTGCTTGTGGGCTGTAACAGGGTGATTCTCCGCGGTCGGTGTGTCGTCGTCATCTTCACCCTCACTCTCGGAGGAAGAGAGACAGAGAACACTCGAGTTCTGCAAGTCCTTGTTCTTCAAGGTGGTCTTGCTACTCTTCTTGGTCAACGAGCTCTTCACACTCCGCTTGTCATATGCTTCCTCGGGCGGAGTCATGAGTCGGTGACGGACCGAATCCATCCGGGAATTGGGTCCCAGATATGAGTCTTTACGCCGACTACTGGCAGAGGGACTGTGCGTTGGCCCTGAGTGGGCGCCTGTCTCCAGGGTCTCCAATGTACGTCCGCGATCTGCCCGCAATTGCTCGCGGCTGCTGCTGTACACGCTAGAGCGACTCAACATTGACCGCCGCGCGGCATATCGGTCGAGAGCGAGATCAATCTCACTGGTCCCGACTGTCCGCTCGAGAGGATGTTCAAACCACTCGCCATCTTTCGTCTCCGCGATTGACGTCAAATCCGAGTTATCTGCCGGCTTAGGGGCCTCGGTTTTCTTGACCCGACGCGGTGGTGCATCGGCTAGTCTGGGAACTGGCTTGCTTGTTGCCATACTGGGTCTGGTTGACGGATAGTCTGAAATTACCGAGACGGGGGACGGCGACTTGGTCATGCGTTGAGGAGAGAAAAGAGGCGGTGCCTGGTTCCGTGGCTTCGGGAAGAGGAGAGAGAGGTCAATTCGCGAGGGCCGCATCTTCCGTTTGGACTCTTTGGTTGGGGTCCGCGGCTGTTGGTGTTGGTAGGTGACCTGCGGTTCGGCATGCAGCCCATGTCGAACTCGGGGCTGAAGACTGGGGTCTTCGGTCGTTTTCGGCCGAGGATGAGACTCCTTCGAGCTGAAGTATGAGAAGAGGGTGGACGAGGAGCCGGATTGGTGTACTTTCTTGGAAGGTTTCGGGAGTGGCGGTGCCGCGTCGTGGGAGTAGTAGTCTTGACCCAGCAGTGGTGACGAGGCTCGGACACGAAGCTGGTGCGCCGGGGCCACGGCCTCTTGGGTTGAACGACTGAAGATGCTGTTCTTGCGGGAGCTGCCGTCCTGAGGGCCCATATAGCTCGGCCGTCGTGCGTTCCTGGGTAGCTCCCATCCGCCATGCCCGCTGTACACGGGTAGATCGGTGCCCAGGATCCTCGAGGCCTTGGACGCCTTCCGTTCGAGGTACCGCATGTCTTCCTGGCTGGCGTTCATTGTGGATGATGGCCGTCGCGGGTTGGCACTGGAGGTCCGAAGGGGTACATGGACCGGAGAAGGGTCACGGTGTGCCATGGGAAAGAGAATGGTCAATTGTCTATGAAATGGGGGGTTTTCGGGCGGTCCAAGTAGTGTTGGTGGTTCTTCTCGCTTGGGCGACCGAGTCGATCTACTCCACCGGGGGTTGCGACAGGGGCCGTGGCCGACACTCCACCACAAACCATGAAACCGCGGGATGAGGCGGGGAAGACGGGCAGATGTCTCACTCGGTCGTGATGATTGTTGGTATCGAAGAGACGAAGGGAACAGGTGTAAAGGGGAAGAAGCAAGCAGTAGACAAAAAGACAGAATCAAGCGTCCCTAAAGATATCCTGACAGGCGGCACTGAAAGGGGGGAGCGATGCATGGACCACACACTAGGCTCACTAGGGCTTGTTTCATTTCGACGGGTGGAGATGATGGGCCTCTCGCTTGCTGGCCGATTCCTCCCGTTTGATGGATCGGGCTAGTAGCCTCGTGTTGGATCCATGGCTGTCTGTCTGTGTGTCTGTCTGGTTGGCTGTGCCTGTTCCATTCTCACGATCCCTTGCGTCGAGGAACAAGCTTAAAGGCACACGTGTGACCGGCCTGGTGAGATTTCCAATCCGTCCGCCATCATGGAGTGGATGGGGGCATTTCGAATCTAGCGCACGGGGCTGCGCAATCCGATCGGTGGATCAGGAACTATGGAGTCCACCCCGATAGTCTCGTCCGCCATTATTGTCCGTCCCAGCGCAGATCCCCTCGATCGGGCCAGTCCGGTGGTCGCCAGCCGCGTTGGCTGGGGATGTGGCGCTGTGACAAATAAATCTCCATTGGCCCTGAGAACGGGAGACTAAAAGGGGGCACCGATCAACAGGCCCTGGTTTCCATAGCAAGCCATCCGACAGGCGAAAGTCAAATACTCCTGAGCCGACAGATGTCGTAGTCGGACTGCATACGACTCTGCGGGGGGACGGGATAAATTCAGATCGATCGGAGACTCCAACAAAACAGAAACGGCGGTGCAATAGAACCCGAGATGGTAGGAGATGTTGTGATTGTAGTTAGCGAATCATCATGGTAGGCGAGGCTAGTGGGTGATGGTCGGCAATAATCAATGATGTGTATCCAATAGCGTCCTTTTCGGAGAATGGGGATGATTTGCCTCCTAGGAAGTGCCGATCGTGCTAAATCATCCGTCCGGGGTCTGTGTCAGAATATGTAGGTCGAGTAACTACACTGGAATCGGATGAAACAAAGGAAAGCTTTGTATTCGCTTGTGAGACAATAACAGAGCGTGTAGGATAGTCTGGCGAGCAGGCCTAAGACTCATGAAAGCCGTTGTTTGTCTTTATCTTTACCTTTATAATTTGATCTTTTTCTCTCCATCTTCATCACGATGGGTATGGAATCCAAGATGCGAGGATAAAGTCTTTATCAATGTCATACTCGGACACCCACATGTATAAATTAGCCTAGCTAGGTGAATTGGATAGAGCGTAAGACTTGTAAGCAGGACGTCATCTACTATCCCATATTCAATTCATAAAAAAAAAGTTACCATGGAGGTTATCTTAGTGGATTGTAGGCATGCTTAGTTATTTTGCACTATTGTGATATAGCGTTCCTAGGGCTGTCTATAGAGAGTGTTGTCGTGGGTACAAGATCTGACAGGCGCGTGGTAGGGCACCATCGTGGAGAAATTCTCCACAAGATGCGCCGTCAGCAATTCGCGTAGGGCAGGCAAGGCTTAATGTGGTGTCGTGTCAATTCGCATTCACCAAAACGCACCCTAAAAAAGTAAAAATAACTGAGGGTAACATCCACAGAAATGGAAAACGCCCGAACGGGGGGTCGAACCCCGAACCTTGGGATTGTCAACATAACAAGACGTAAAAGTCCCACGCTCTAGCCAATTGAGCTACCCGGGCTGACATATACATGTGGGTGTCCGAGTATGAAACTGATAAACACTTTCTCCTCGCATCCTAGGTTCCATACGGCATCGAGATGGTGGTAGTGGTGAGAGAGAAAGATAGAGTCAAAAGACAAAGAAAGGCTTTCATGAGACTCAGGCCTGCTCAACAGACCACCCTACGCGCTTTGTTACTGTCTGCCCTCCATCCCGACTCTTTCATTACTGCGTCGCAGTTCTCTATCACTTCTCTGCTTATGAAGCTATTCCAAATCGCAACTTTTCCATGCATGCCGACTGTTTTAGGCCGAGCCATACTAAGGAGGGGGATAATTGTTACGACCATTGTATGGCCCCCTGTCATATCCTGTACTATCCCGCGGGTTCCGCCGTTCCTAAAGAGTACTATGCCGTATCCCGAAACCTGATTCCATCCGAAAAAGAGCACTATGAGCATGGACATATTCAAGCATTTCTCCTTCTGGTTTCGGTGAACATGGATGGGCCTTGAAGACTGGACAGCTGCGTAGCCGCTGAGCGACCAGGTAGTGCGCATGGCCATCGCCATGGGCTTGTGGTCTTTCGATGACACGCGCAGATTTGACGAACTGAGACAAGGGAAGGCGGTCTTCTTGGGATGCTCTGTCATTAAGACCATGCTGTCGTTCCCTTTGTCTCGAACTCCTGCGAAGTCTTTATCCGATCTGGCTCCACTATCCATGGCGAACATCTTGCCCCCCTCCGGCTTCTTCACCGGAACCTTCTAGGAGGTACCGGAAAAAGGATGGATGGATGAGAACAACATGTTCATGACGAAGCCAGTTCTCCATACTATCAGTCTTGACACTTGGATCTCGCTGGAGAGCCTGTGCTCGCCCGCCGACCTCAAAATCCAACAGTATGTTTTATAAGATTTGACGACCCAACAATTTGTTGATCGGATCTTATCTGCTTCCAGCCAATACGAAAAGTTGAAGCTAGGCGAAAGGTTACCAAAAGATTCCACGAATCATATCCCTGTGCCTCCTCCAATGCCAGCATACCCACCGGAGCGGTGCGAGCAGGCCCAACACGAATATGCCTTGCACCGGCGAGAATCTATTCCTGTTACCTCTCCAGGCTTGCTTTCAGACGGTGGAAAATCCGGCCAAGTGCAAAGGAACTGCATAGCATCCTTATTTGTGGATGTAGTGTTTTCTGAGTTAGGGTTGGGCCAATCATCACTATCTCTCAGGTTCTGCAGCCACGGCCTCCAGGATATCGATATTCAGGTGGCATCCTTATTGGCTATTGGGCACCTGTGCCAAGCTCTGGGTGCTATCATACGTCCCAGGGTTTATTTTGCAGGTACAGGATAGAGTTAAATATATATCGCTACAGCCTGCACTCCTTGCTTCACCGGATTCTATACTACCCAAGTGCAGATTAAGCTTCGTGACATTTTACCTCTAAATCTGTGATCATATTTACTTCCCATCTCTATAGATAAAAACTCATATCCACAACTCTACACGGCCGCCCCATCGTCATGAGTGATGGCGTCAGGTGCGCCCCCACTCCACGTGACCTGTGGCGACCAGGATCTGGACCGAAGCCGGTTTCGCAGACACGAGGAGGGATGGCGATGAAGTAATACACAAGGGACAGTAGGTGAACAGGCTGGTTGTGTGACGGTGTGTAGGTGAGCCAGGTTGGGCAGTAGTGAATCATTCTGACCACACCAGGGAGAAGAAGGAGGTGGAGTTGCCTGCGGCGTAATTGGGCAGTGAGACAGAAAAAGGAGTGCTAGGCAAGGAAGACCAAATCAAAATCATTTAATCGCAGTAGTATACCATTCACCATTCACTATTGTTCACATTTAGCACCTTTGGAAGAACCAAAAGTGGCTGGCCACCGAATGAATTGTTGTTGTTCTCCGCCCCAACTCCTGCTTCTTGCCTTGTCAGCCGCCACTGTTTCTTCTCCCCTTCTTCCTCTGCCTTCCTTGCTTTAACACCCTCGGCCGTCAACGTGTTTCCTCTTTGTTATTGTCTCACAACTCTGCCTTTCCTCCTCCCACTATGTTCTAGTCCCTCTCATCTCCCTCCTTTGGATGCTCGTACGTGCGTCTACCGTGCTGACGGTTGTGCTCTGCAAGCATCCTCGGATCACTCCGAACTCGCTGAGGCTACGGACACCTTTTTTGCCTTCTCTCCACAGTTGTCTCCTCATGAGTGCCTCTCCCTCTGAGAGCACTCCATAATGACTTCGAATCCCTCCGGCCCAGCCACCGGTCTGAACGCGTCGTCCTCCACCCAGCTCCCTCCCTCCCGTGCCACTCACGGCCTGGAATCTCGCCTTGTACCCTCCCAAAAACGTGAGATGGATGGGCAGGATAAAGACTCCTTCGGCCAAGGGCATCCGAATGACGCCCTAGGCCAGTTTTCCTTCGCCCCCACCACCCGCACAACCGTGGTGACGACAACCACCACTACCACCACAGCCTTTCCTCCTCTGATGATCAAACCTCCGCGCGCAGTCAAGGACCTAGACACCCGGCAGTACCCTCTCGCTTCGTCTCCAACCCCCGCCGCGTTGAGGAACCTCAAGTTCAAAATCGGGGACCGACCGATCGTGTTCAACGAGCCGGAAGACTCCGCCAGCGCTGTCCACGAGGTGAGTTAGATCATATTCTGTCTAGTCTCGGAGTACTAACGATATTTGCAGCTGAAGGAAAAGAACGACGCGTTGAAAACTTTGAATGGTCTAATTCGCTCCGTGAATTCGTTTACTTCGGAAGGCGAGAACCCATCCCGACGACTGGCACCGCCGAGATTGTCGACCAACGCTTCAAGTCTCTCTCGACACCGGCCCGTCTCTCCTATCTCCATCCCCGAGCCACGCCTTTCAGCCTTGCCCCGAACCCGCTCCACTCGAAATATCTCTGAGCCGATCTCGCGGCGTACCCGCACTCATGGCGGCCCTACATCCACTCACCTGTCGCCTGCTGGTTTGGTGACGCCAGAAACTGAACATCAAATGCCAGCCCCCGTGGATAGCATTTTTACACGGCAGAGAATCAACAGCGCGGCTTTCCCGCGCAGTGAGCCTCTGCTCGGTTCACCTCTCTCATCCGAGCTCGGAGCAGCTGGGGCTCCGCAACCCCCCAATGTGGACTCTTTTTTGTCGAATAGACAGACCAACACTCGCCGTGCAGGCTCTGCCTCGAGAAATGGACCAAATACTGAAGCCGAGGTGGACGGGGCAGCTACCAATGAATCGGCCTCGCAGCAGCCTGATACGAGCGCAGAGCCTGCCGTGCAGCAGGAGCCGGAACAACTAACTTCGCTTTCTGCTATTGAAAATGCTCTAGCGCAGGACATGTGTCTACCGAGCCCCAGCCTGTCTCCCGTGGCCGCCATGAATGCCATGCAGGTCGACTCTTCGTTTGAATCGGAGGGGCTTGATGTTGACACGGATTCCAGCCTAGATCATAGTATCTCCCGCTTCCCGAAAGCTCTCCGATCTGAAGAGACTGATGTTTCACGGGCCCGCAGTCTCCATTCGACCAGCGACCCAGCTTCACGTTCGACTTCTCTTCTGGATATGCCGAAGGTGCTGGAATTCTTTGATTCTGTGCCCGAGGAACTCAAAACATATCTCATGTACCAGTTTCTTCGTCGGTGCCCCAAGCCTACTCTGCATTTTGTGGCCGACATTGTCAATCCGACTTTGAAGTGTGATTTCCTGGCTCTTCTTCCCCTTGAACTCAGCCTCAACATCGTGAAATATCTTGATGTTCAGACCATGTGCCGTGCCGCTCAGGTGTCCAAGAAGTGGAGACACATTGTTAACTCCGATGAGAAGACCTGGAAAGAGCTTCTTGACCGGGATGGCTTTGTGCTCTCAGACGGAGAACTAGAACGAGCCATCAGAGAGGGTTGGGGTTGGCAGCTTCCTTGCGGTGTCGACGAGCCTGAAAAGAATCTTAGCTCACAGTCGTTGGTCAAAGGCGATCCAGAGATGTCTCCTCTTCTTTCTTCAAATTCTGGCCCAAGTGATAGGACATCTTCGTTGGGATCTTTGGGATCGACCCGGCGGTCTAAGCGCAAGGCAAACACTCGTGCCTCGAGTCGTAAACTTGCCAAGCGTAAGATCTCGTCAAGCGGGAATGCCTATCCTGAACCGGATTGGAAGAAAGACATTGCTGCTTCGGAGGCTCCTTACGCAGCAGCCAATGCAGCAGCCCTAGCTGTTCCCTATCCGGAGATCGGTCTTCCTTCGCTACGCGGCCTCTATCTGCACAAGTCTCTCTATCGCCGGCACCATGCCATTCGCAGAGGATGGATGAAACCGAACGTCAAGCCTCAGCATATCGCTTTCCGTGCCCACGACCGTCATGTTGTAACCTGCCTCCAGTTCGACACGGACAAAATCTTGACCGGAAGTGATGACACTAATATCAACGTGTACGACACCAAGACCGGCGCATTGAAAGCAACTCTGGAAGGCCACGATGGTGGCGTTTGGGCTCTTGAATACCACGGCAATACCTTGGTGTCCGGATCCACCGATCGCTCGGTTCGTGTGTGGGATATCGAGCGAGCTAGATGTACCCAGGTCTTTCAAGGCCACACCTCCACCGTCCGGTGCTTGCAGATCGTTCTTCCCACTGAGGTAGGCAAGGATGAGCACGGTCGTCCCGAGATGATGCCCAAGCATCCACTCATCATTACCGGGTCTCGTGACTCCAATCTGCGTGTGTGGAAGCTCCCAAAGCCTGGGGACCCTGTGTACTTCCAGAACGGAAGTCTTATGGATGATTCCGACTGCCCATACTTTGTCCGCGTCCTTACTGGCCATCAGCATTCCGTTCGTGCCATTGCAGCTCATGGCGATACTCTTGTTAGTGGAAGCTACGATTGCACGGTGAGGGTGTGGAAGATATCTACTGGGCAGGTCTTGCATACGTTGCAGGGCCACTCCATGAAGGTGTACAGCGTGGTCTTGGACCATGCGCGTAACCGCTGCATCAGTGGTGCCATGGACCACATGGTCAAGGTGTGGTCGCTGGATGACGGTTCCGTTTTGTATAACCTGGAGGGCCATACATCTCTTGTCGGCCTTCTCGCCCTGCAAAACGATCGTCTTGTCTCAGCCGCTGCCGATTCCACCCTTCGAATCTGGGATCCTGAGAATGGCCAGTGTAAGAGCATGCTAAGCGCGCACACTGGTGCTATCACCTGCTTCCAGCATGATGGCCAAAAAGTCATCTCAGGATCGGATCGGACTTTGAAGATGTGGGACGTGAGCAATGGCGCGTGCGTGCGCGACCTGCTCACCGATCTCACTGGCGTCTGGCAGGTCAAGTTCAATGACCGGCGCTGTGTTGCGGCAGTGCAGCGTGACAACCTCACATACATTGAGGTGAGTAACCTTAAACTTCTAAGAAAAGACTCATGCTAACGTCTTTGCTTCTAGGTTCTCGATTTCGGCGCTGGGCGGGACGGCCTGCCAAAAAGTAGACTGGGCAAACGGACAGTCGTCAACCGGCGCGGACGAGAGCTACTGAACAATGACAATGACGACGATTCCGACTAAGACCAACAATCCCAACCCTACAAGCCAACTGTTTCTTCCGAGCCCTACACCCGGCTGGAGGAGACAACCTCCCTTCCTGCATTTTTCTTTTTCTTTCCCTCTATCTCTCTCTTTCGGACAAACATTGCTCCCATTCACGATACCCATCCTCACGGCTCTTGTCTTCCATTGGGAACCCCTTTGCATAGCGCGGTCGGCATTGTTTGGTTAAGCAGCATTACACAGAACGATGGGGGAAACAGGCGTTTTAACTTGACATTGACATTGACATTGACATTGACATTGACTGCCTCTGATTTCTTACCAACATTCCCCCGGGCAAAATCATCCTCTCCATTTCTCCCCTACCCCCTGCATCTTGTCAAAAGGCTTCTACTCTTCTTCGTGCACAACTGATTTTTCCTCTTTGAATCTCGGTCGGATCGACGATGATTCGTTCTGGGGGTTGTTCATCTGTTCTGGTTTTATGCTGCTTAATAGATTACCTGTCAATTATTGTGCGTTTATTGTTTGTGTCCTCTGTATTTCTCTGGTGTCGTAGTCTTTTCCACTGCCAGGTACTCAGTCATATAGGCCGAGCTTGGTTCCAATGGGGAGGGATATATCGTCTCCAGATGAAAATATTCATTATATGCCGAGTATAGGAGTAGATATAGTACAATGAAAGGTGACCCAGTCCTGCTGGGATAAACGTGGTATCAAACACCAGTACAGATGCATCATCAACAGTATTCACAGCTCGTAGGTCGAGGAGCAGTCCAAGGATGGTATATTGTACAATAGAGCAACGGAACGACTGGAATCCTTAAGTCAGTATAGACAGGGATGTGTGCAAGACGAGAAAATGGTTCAATACCTTTGTACAGTGCACGGTTATCAACCCTGGCGTGGAAGAATGACCTCTGCAGGTCTATCTTCGCGCGGTCTCGTTCACGGCGAGAAGAAGCGGGTAAAAAGAGATATAGCCCTCTCCAGGCTCAGGAGCTACAAAGAAAGCACGATGAGAGCTTCGATGAGATGGATACGTACCCCATCTCACACTCACGAAGCTCACTTGGCCACTATATCCTCCCCAATCCCCGCCGCCGACAGAATCGCCCAGCGGACGGCATTAACACCCAGTGCCTGACCCGTGCTAGTCAACGTCTCAGCGCCAGCGGTGATAATCTCACCGAGGGCACCGGGTCCCTCGGAGACGCTGAAATCCGGCTGAACAACAGGTTTGAGATCACGGAGCATGCTCTGCAGCCGCTCAATGCCAGCGGACGACACACCAAACTTGAGTTTCTTCTTCTTCGACAGGACCTTGTCTACCTTGGACACAATGATCTGGTGCGGAATGGCATACCGCCGGAAGAGACTCAGGATGTCTGCGTCGGTTTGCTTGATGCCGTGTTCGCTGTCTATAAGCAGAAATGCTCGACGGAGTCTGCAATCCAGTCCGTCCGTCAGTTCCTAGGACGAGATATCAATAAAGCTCTACTCACTGCTTCCGACCCTGGAGGTACTTCATAATCTCCGCGCCCCATTCCGAGCGACTCGCCTTCCCATAACCCGGCATATCCAAAAGAACAACCTTATGCTCTCCGCCCTTCGTGCCCCCAATGCCAAACGCATTCATTTCTCGCGTTCGACCGGGCCTCGAAGATGTCCAGCAGATTTCCTGGCCCATTATCGCGTTCAGCAAGGAGCTCTTGCCGACATTCGACCGCCCCAGAAAGGCCACTTCGGGCTCCAGCGAGGAGAGCGGCGTCGTGCGGAATTTGCTGGCGGACCATAGCTTGATTGGCGAGTGGCGGGATGGTGTGAAGATCTTGTCGGCGAAGGCGAGTTGGGCCGGTTGTGGTGGTTGAGTGTCCCAGTAGTAGCATAGGTCTGTCGGGGTGAGGTCTTGAAGTTCGCGCGTGTTAGATGGTGGTGATGGTGGTGGTGTGGATGAGGATGATATTAAGGATGAGGAGAGGGCTCTTGTGGAGATAGGCAATCGAGATGTAACTGCAGCCGCTCTAGAGAGGAGCATGCTGGTCATGCTTGGGGCGCAAAGGAAGTCAGTGTCGTGTTTTGCACGGGAGAAGATCATCACCTACGAACGATAAGATAACCAACTCCATCACTTCCTCCAACTCCAACTCCCCGTCTCTCTCTCTGCCCTCTGGCGTCGCACACCATGATCAATGCCGTGCTTGTCTTCAATAACACTGGCCAGCCGCGTCTGACCAAGTTCTACACGCAGCTGGTCTGTCACTCCTCCGCCGTAGTCTTCTTCCACCCAGCTAACCCCGCCGAACAGGACACCCAAACGCAACAATCCCTCATCGCCCAGATCTACCATCTCGTCGCCCAGCGCCCAGCGAGCGCCTGCAATTTCCTTCCACTGCCCCCCTGCTCTCCCGTGGTGCCAGTTCCTCCGCCGCCCACGGCCCCTCCGATGCCCCAACCCAGATCACCTACCGCACCTATGCGACCCTCTCCTTCATCATGATCTCCACCTCGACCGAGTCACCACTGGCGCTCATCGATCTGATTCAGGTCTTTGTTGAAGCGCTCGACCGCATGTTCGAAAATGTTTGCGAGCTGGATCTAATCTTTGGATATGAGACTATGCATGCCGTTCTGGGAGAGATGATTGTTGGCGGCGTCGTTGTTGAGACAAATATCGAGAAGATTGTTGCGGGTGTGCGCAGCCAGGAGGGCTCATTGGGGAAGAGGAAGGCTGTCCAAGCGGCGAGTACCAGTTTGGGACGCGGTACGCTTCCTGGTCTGGGGGCCTGGCGGTAATATTGGCTGTAGCATGGCGTTTGGGTTGCTGGGGTATAGATTTGTCTTTCAGCGGGTCCTTTCTGGTTGTATATAGCACATTCACGCCATACTATCTACGGTTTATTATATGAATAGCATTGAACATCATCATCTAGTAGCGCCAAGTGATGATTTCCCTTTACGGAAAGGTATATCACATGACACTATCAACCCTAACCCTGATAGAGTCACATGACGCACGGCCCACAAGCACTCGTTCTTCTTTCCGTCGCTTCCTCTTTTTTCTTCTTTCTTTCTGTCAACCGCCCAGCCCGCGCACCCCGACAACCGACAACAATGGTAAGCACTTGAACAACTTCGTTCAGCTCTAGTGAGCCTTCGACTACACACAGCGACTATGTCGTAAGACATTTCGTCTGGCTTGAGATCGTCGTCTCGAAGCAATTCCGCCGATTGCACATCGTCTCGAAAGAGATGGTGTGCTATTGGTGATGATATGGCTGGAGGCATGAACCAGGGCCCGTAACACGGCTCCGGCTCATGCCCTCCCTAGAGTTAAAAGAAGATGCAGCATTTGGTGGACACGATCGCTGATCTTCTTTTCTCAATGATAGCCTCCCAAGTCTGGAAAGAAAGCCGCTGCCATGCCTTACCCCCAGGGTAAGGCTGGTGCTAGCAAGAAGCAGGCCAAGGTTCGTTTCTTTCCACTGGGAGTGCCCGAGAAAAGGAGGAGTTGCTAATCACCCCCCGCCGCAGAACCCGCTGATTGAGAAGCGCACCCGCAACTTCGGCATTGGCCAGGACATCCAGCCCAAGCGCAACCTGTCGCGCTTCGTCAAGTGGCCCGAGTATGTCCGCATGCAGCGCCAGAAGAAGATTCTGAACATGCGCCTCAAGGTCCCCCCGGCCCTTGCCCAGTTCCAGAACACCCTGGACCGCAACACCGCTGCTCAGACCTTCAAGTTCCTGGCCAAGTACCGCCCTGAGACCAAGACCGAGAAGAAGGAGCGTCTGCACCAGGAGGCCACCGCCGTCTCCGAGGGCAAGAAGAAGGAGGACGTCTCCAAGAAGCCCTACAACGTCAAGTACGGTCTCAACCACGTTGTCGGCCTGGTCGAGAACAAGAAGGCTTCCTTCGTCCTGATCGCCCACGACGTTGACCCCATTGAGTTGGTTGTCTTCCTCCCCGCTCTGTGCCGCAAGATGGGTGTCCCCTACGCCATCGTCAAGGGCAAGGCTCGCCTGGGTACCGTTGTCCACAAGAAGGTATGCAACCCCAACCATCCCCGAAGTGACTTATCTCTAACCGTCAACTAGACCTCCGCCGTCCTGGCTCTGACTGAGGTCCGCTCCGAGGACAAGGCCGAGTTCGCCAAGCTCCTGTCCGCCGTCAAGGAGGGCTACACCGACAAGTACGAGGAGGCCCGCCGCCACTGGGGTGGTGGTATCATGGGCGCCAAGGCCAACGCTCGCACTGAGAAGAAGCGCAAGGCTGCCGAGGCTGCCATCAAGGTCTAAGCATTTTCTTTGATGTGTGACCGGCAATGACCCCTTACCAAAAAGCGCTTTGTCTTTTTCCGGATGGGAACCCCAAGAAAGGTAGTCAACGGCTCCGAATGACTTGTTGACGGTTGAATTCCTGTTTAGCTTAGATGGGTGGGAACGAGTCGCGGCCTTTTTTTGGATCCTGTTCTAACCAACAAGAAAAAACTTTTTTTTTCTCACGAACTCCTCATATGGCCCTCATGTACCAACCTCCGCAGATACCCTTGAATGCATTTCACCCTCTTCAACTGTCTACTATGTAGATGTAGACATAGAATAGGTAGGCATTCATCATCTGCTCGTATCTTTCCCTCGTATGTGAACTCCCTTGGTCGAGAGTGAAGTAGACTTTCTTACACAATGGTCACCGTGGATGTTGACTGGTAGGACCCAACGCGTATTACGGGGCTGCTGCGAGTTTCAAGCGTAAACCCGCAAGTGGCACAGCTATGGTTGACTACCAGGATTAGCTTCGAGATAGACTGAGAGGACAGTAGACATCCCCTGGAGCACAATCGTTCAGCATCTCTTAGCAAGGTTCAGGATATACCTACTTAAATGTACACCTTCCCTTGACGCTGGTCTATGGACAAGGATGTGCGTGTTACTGACCATGCCGAGGCTCTTCCATCTCACTTTTCAGCTTTGTTTGTTGGATACGAAAACGACCTAAAATGGGAAGAGAGAGTAGTACGTACACGCATACACACCGATTGCTTATACCTCTACAAGTGGTATATACTCATCATTTCCCAGAAGTAGAGGGTTGTGGCTGGGTATTGGTTAGAGATGGCCCCAAAGCCAACAATGTATGATATACACTTGGTTCTCCAAGGAAAGACTGCAACGGAAATAGATAGCTTGTAATGCCTCAGCTCACAATTGGATATTTCTATATCACGCGGTTCCTGTTTTAGACAAGGGTGAAATCCATTTTCCAACTGGAAGAATAACTCAAGAGATGGTCCCAACTAAATATCTTGAGATACCACGCATTGTCTGGAAATGGTAATTCCCGATATACTCAATCCGGTGTCCTCAAACGGGATATCGTATCCACATCCCCGGATTGCTTGGGTATTGCTTAGCAAAGCAGGCAGTCTGACTATGAAGGTTGGTGCCATCCTAATTAGGAATGACGGCCCGTGTCTTACGTCAAACCTTCCATGCAGCTCCTATGCTGCGCCACCCTAGAGCCAGATCATATGGCTGAGACGTCAAGAGACCATCTGTGCTTAATTGTGATAGGCAGATCCGAACAACCAGAGTCGTGAAATGGTATGACGCCTGGCTTAGTAGTCGTTCTGCACATTCTAGAACCCGTCTGTTATCTGATCCAGGGTTTGCATTTTCCACTTCTAGCATGGGGTCATTTAAGCTTTCTGGGGGTAAGCTGTTTTAGTCTTTGAATGCTGTCAGTTATTTGGAACGCAGCTTTCTCTGGCTAACATGGCTGTGCCGAAGCTCTTCCATATCACGTCCCAACTACGTTCATTGGATACGAATACGGCCAAAAACGGTAAATGACAAAGTATACACACCTATTAGTATTGCTTATACTTCTACGTAGAAGCGGTATATATAAAAGGGTGGCCATCCACTGACTCCGAGGGGGTAGAATCCATACATAAGGAGTTCTATGCAAACAGTGTCAGAATCGTCCAAACAGTTGCAACAATGGTCAGAGCATCTCTATGTCTTCTTGTTCCCTTCCTTCTTCCTCTGGCTACGGCTCAGATTTACGGAGGAGGAGGAGGTGGTGGAGGTGGTGGTGGTGGTGCCACCACAACCAAGATGACTGCGACCACGACTAAGAGCAGTCCCTCTTCAAGCTCCACCCACTCTGTTAATGTTGGAAAGAGCGGCTTCACCTTTTCCCCGAATTCCATCACCGCATCTCCCGGAGACAAAGTCGAGTTCCACTTCTTTCCGGGCGACCACTCGGTGGTTGAAGCTGCTTTCAACAACCCATGCCACCCATTGAGCTCTAGCAGCTTCTTCAGTGGATTCTTCCCTGGTGGTTCTGAGTCGGTACGATTGTCATCTCAAGTTCACATTCTGAAGGTCTCTCTGACGTTTCCACTAGTCCAAGGTCTTCGTCCTGACCGTTAACAATACCAAGCCCATCTGGTTCTACTGCGCACAAGTTGGGCACTGCCAGTCCGGAATGGTTGGAGTGATCAACCCACCGTACGTGAGCCTACAAGTGGGAGCCATAGAATGAAAGACTGACCGTTATACTTTTAGTAAGAGCGGCCCGAATACCCTCAATGCATTCAAGAAGGCGGCGTCGAGTGCAAAGGGTTCCACCGTGCCAGCCCATGTCCAGGGAGGTATTATTCAGGCCGGTACCGGTGATACATCTGAGTCCACTATGGACAACATGATCCGTTCAAATGACGCACTGGGTGTGCGACCGTGGGCTGACCTCAGTGTCTTGTTCGTTTTGGCTACCATGGTGGCCATGTTCATGACGTAGGTTTCCGCTCTGGGAGATTGGGGTTGAGATTGGTCACAAACAAAACCTACATTTCTGTACCTAGAACGTTCGATTATTAGTGATGAGAATGCAGGTCATATCTGGCAAATGTCTGGCCTGTAGATAACTGTTCGATGGTAGTTCCCCAAACTAGGTTAAAGCTAACTACTCTATTCATAGCGCGTTCCCATTGCTTCCGTGCTCCACTCAGATGCATTTGCAACAGAACAGCAACGTTGCCGAGGTCGTTACAATTTCACGTGTTGAAGAATGGCAGAAGAGAAACCTTATAGAGAGGTATGGACATAAACACAACAGACAAAAGTGTGCGCCCTGTATATATCCCAGATAGTCACTGTCATGACGGCCACAACTCCCACAGCCAAACCACTACCACGCTCTATCCCCAAGGACCTCTCCGGCAAACCCATCCCGCAGAACCAGCGCTGGGCATATTCGCCCTCCTCCTTCACAAATGGCAAACTACTCTCCATCGCCGCTAATGCGGTGGTCATCGGTGCCTTCATCTCATTTAATGCATCCACTACCGGACACCAGTTGTACACATACCTCGACACCACGTACGGTGCCTACAAAGTGAACGTATGGGGCACATTCATCGTGACATCGGTCTTCTTCTGGGCATGGGCGGGGCTCTTTGCCCTCGCCGACTTAACAGGCTCTCCACGCTGGCTATTCCAATACAAAACGCAGCCCTTCACACGGGTCGCGGGAGCCGCGTACTTGCGCATCGCAGCCGTCTCCCTCCGCAACCAAGTCCTCGTAGCATTCCCAATGCTCCTCCTAAGCACTCACCTAGGCCACGCCCTGCACCCCGTGGCACCAGAATACCTCCCCAGCGCCACAACAACCCTCACAACGCTACTATTCGACGTCGCCTGCACAGAAATAGGCTTCTATTATATCCACCGCACCCTCCACCACGGATCGCTATACCCGCTCTTCCACAAACAGCACCACGAATTCACCGCGCCAGTCGGGCTGGCGGCAACGCACTGCTCCGCAACAGAGCATGTCCTGTCGAACCTCCTCCCCAACGCACTGGGCACATTACTAGTCCGCCACCACTGGTCGCAGGCGGTGTTTATCTTCCTGTTTCTGGAGTTCAATACCATCTGCGTCCACTCGGGCTACAATATCCCCGGCCTGCCGTCGAATCTGCAGCATGATTTCCATCATTTTGCGTTTACGGAGAATTTTGGGCCCATGGGCGTTTTGGATACGCTTCATTCGACCAATAGGAGGTTCAAGAGTGTTTTGGCGGAAGCGATTGCTAGGGCTGGGGGTAATGAGGAGAGAGCGAGAGTTATGGTGTTGGAGAGGTTGGCTAGGGCTGAGATGGAAATGTCCGACAATAAGGAGTGATGGCGGTTTTGAGACAAAGCGTGCATGTTGCATGGATATATCTGGAATAACAATGCACATGCCTGTAGTAGACATCTACAAATAGCATCTGGACAAGTGGACTAGGGCTTTGCGAAAAAAAAAAACGAATACGAGAAGATAACCAAAGGAGTTATACATCGTGGATTTAGTCAAACAGCACTGGGTGTGTGTGTACTCGATACAGAACCATCCCTTAATAAATCGGCCTCAAAAAGCAAACAGGAAGATAGCCAAAAAAGAGGGCGCTTTCGCAGCCCCCCCAAAATAAAGGGGGTGTGGTGTGAAATTACATGCGTGAAAAAGACCGACACAATCCTCAAAACCCCAGCCCGACGCTCCGAAGAAACAAGTAACGTAAAGAAAAGAGATGGCCACTACCGCTGGTGCCTCGGCATGATGGGATCGTGAGAGATCCAGGATAGGAAAAAGGGAGAAACATAAGCATATTTGTGGTCATTCCGTCATTAACGTTGAGCAGGAGGTCGTTGAAGTCCTTGTCGTGCCTAAACATCATGTGTCAGAAAATGAATCAATACAGAATAATAAAGGAAGTACATACCTTCATTTGTTCGATTCTCGCCTTAAGCTGGCTGGTCACTTCAGCTGCACGCTTCCAGTTCTCCGGCTGATCTGCACTTCGAGGCTGCTGTTCTTCATCGGTGGGGTTGCCAGAGCCCCGTGTTGATGAGCGTGTCGGGCTGCCTACGGCGGAATAACCGTATGTCGGGCTCAGCTTGCGCCGTCCCAGACTTCCATCCCGGGAGCCGAGACCTGGAGAGTCCACGCCGCCATTATTTTCCTTTTCCTCGCTGGGGCTGGCGGATGCGTAGCTGCGCGGGCGTTCACTATTGAACCGGGAGGCTGAGTGTAGACCAGAGCGCGGCGCAGCATGCCCGTTGCTGGCAGGCTCTTGGTATATGGCCGCGTCGGCCATACCCATAGCTTCGGCGGTGGCGTTGGGCGGGCTCATGGCTGTTGCACGGAGTGCTCGGGCCAGTTCGCGCTTTAACCGTTCGATTTCTCGCTGCTGTTTCTGGACGTTCTCCTCAGCGGCTTCGGCGTCACTGCGTGCCCTGACCAGCTGTGTCTCCTTGGCCTTGATGCTCAAGACGTCTCGCGTATGGTCTTCGATCAGCTGTGCGTTCTGGTTTTGAAGCTCGTTGATTTGCGAATTGAGCTTTGCGCGCTCGGACCTCGTCTCTTCGACAATCCGGCTGAATTTATCCTTCTCCAGTCGTAGCTCTTCCAGCTCGGCCTTATCGGCAGCCGACATGGCACTCATTGCTGGGGCAGGCGGGGCGGCAGCAGCTTCAGCGGACGCCGACGTCGGCTTCGCAATGGGACGGCCGGCAAGGCCACGTCCAAGACCGAATTTGGGTGCTGGCGGTGCTGCCTCTTCTGACGGGGGAGATACGACTCGTCTCTGAGGTGATGCAATACTTCCTGGAGCAGCGAGTTTTCGTTGAGGGGCCTTGAGGCCAGACCCTGATAAGCCCCCAGGTTTAGGGACACCACCGATCTTTGAAGGGATGCTTCTGGCAGCAGGTTTGGTCGGAGACTCAATCGCAGGAGGCGCCGCCGCTGCCGGTTTCTTCAGCCCCATGGCCGGCTTCTTTCCTGCAGCAGCAATCTTCTTGCTAGGGGCAGCGACCTTAGGAGCGACAATTGGCTTGGGTCGATCTTTGGCCTTGACTTCGGCAGTCTCGAAGTATTCCTTGATCTTCGTCTTCCGAATATCATCGAGTCCGTCAAGGTATGGATTCATGGCACGTTCCCCCAGGATCTTCATGAGTGTACCCAGAATCTCGGCACCTCCAGAACGAATGACTTCGGTGGACTCAGTGAGCAGTTTCGTGCCTGCACCGGCGATGGCTTTCTGCTCGGGCTTGGATGGCACCTCCCTTGTCGTGCGTAAGCACCCAATCAAGAATTTGACGGTCCCCTGCTTGACTTGCGGATTCTTGTGCTTCAGATATTCGAAAATATCTTCCAAGCAGTCTGACAGAGTTGTTGAGCCGAACACAGCATCCAACGCCTGGCCCAAGGCATCTGCCACGATCTGTTTCTTCTCCTTCAGACGTTCCAGCATCGGAATCATGATGACAGATCGATACTTGCCAAACCCCTTTCGCAGGCCTCTGGCTAGCACATCGACACAGTTGGCTGCTATCGTGACAACGGCGACGTTCGCATCTTTCATACACTTGGCGAGCGATCTCACAATCTCATCATACGGCCCATCTTTGATTCGAGGCACATTCAGGACATTATAAAGGGCATCCAAAGCGTCCTTTCGGTCCTTCCACTTGGATGAGGCGAGTTGATCTTGGAGGTCTTTGGGGACCTTGGGCAGGACATCCACGGGCTCCGCGAGATCCAAAACCTCGCCGTCTGGAGCATCCTCTTCGACATATTCTTCATCAACCTGTTCCATCTCGTCACCACCAGCTGGGGCCGCGCTAGCTGCAGCCATCGCATCCTGTTGTGCCCGAGTGAAGCGTTCTTGTTTTGGTGTAGGATCCTGCTTCACCTTCTCGAAAAGCTTCTCCAGGTCCTGCTGTTGCACTGGCTTCAGGTCGTTCCAAAAGACCGGCTTCATGGCCTCCCTTAGCCATCGGTAGAGTTCGACGGTGAGGCCTTGCGCTTCCGCTCGCACATTCTTATCTGCATGTCCGAAGACCTTGGGCAGGGCTTTTAGGGTTGGTTTCGGGTCGACAATCTTGCATCCAAAGTTATGGTAGAGGAGAGTCAAGGCCGCCAGCACCGCTGCGACCACCTTGGGCACTTTATGTGAGAGCACTGGGAGAAGCTCTTCAATCACGGGATCGGCCTTGTCCACTTCCACGCATAGTAATAGGGCTTCCTGCGCGCTCGCTTTGCCTGCCGGTCGTGCACATGAGAGGCCCTTTTCGGCTATAGGGCCAAGCGTCTGCCCGCGAGATCTAGATAAACAAAGTGTCAGTCAACCCATAGCAACAAGATCTCTCTCCTTAACGCACCGTGTACAGGCCTGGGTGCCTCCGAATTCCAAGAAAGCGCAGTAGGCCGCCAGACCCTCTATCTGCGCGGCGACGTTGGAGTCGGCGACGGCGCCTTTCCACAGACCGGGGTCTTGGATGAACGGGACAAACACTGGATGTGACTCGTCGGGGGTCTTTTCGAACTGGGCTTTTGCATCCTCGTAGCCCTCCTTGCGGACCTTCCAGTTCTGTGTATCTGGGTCAGCAGCAGCGCAGGCATCACCAGAGATATGAGCGAACCTTGTGGGTGAACCGGTCGGGCAGGGGGAGGGAGGAGAAATCCTCTTGGCCATCAGCCATGTCGACAATGCTGGTTCAGGGTCCGGTCGGCGGAGAGAGTAAATAGGCGGAATAAAAAGAACGTAGAAAATTACACCATGCGTCAAGTTAGGTATGAATTATGAGGCTCATGGATGATGCAGCGTGGGTGGGGAGTTGAGGAAGGAGAAGTGAAGATAAACAGACAATCGGTTCGGGAGTAAACAAGCGGTTGTTGTGGCGTGACCCCGCGGCCGAGGATCGTCTGGCACAACTACTTCAAAGTACTACACACTTGTATAAAATAGGCATGGAACAGATATTCTTGGTTGTTCTTAATGCAGTTTCTTCTACTACTGTCATACCGTTACTTTCCTAATTGACCAAGGAAGATGATAATAAAGGAAATGTATAGTTAGATAGAGTATAGTACAAAGAATCCGATATGCCGATACCAGACCGATCTCTTAACCAACGAGAGATCCCATGGATCTCATTCATACTTCAGCTGCTCCTCCTTAGGCTCCTCCTTAGGCTCCTCCTTAGCAACAGCTTCAGCCCGAGCCTTCGCTCCAGCCTCCACCCTCGCCGCCTCGGCAGCAGCAGTCCTCTCCAGGACCAGCCGCTTAACCCGTCCAATGCGCTCATTTGCACCGTGAATGCGATGAATCAGCTCCGCATCGCTCAACCCCTCGGCTTGGACCTGACCTTCCAAACCAGCAATACCCGCCAGATCAACGGGACCCCCAAGCCTCCGCTCCTCCCTGCGCAGATACTTGGCCGCCCACTTGCGCTCCCTCTCCTGGTCCCTTTCTTCGCGCGACAGGACAGGACGCCGCTCCTCAATCGGTGTACCGAAGGGCGCAACAATGCGCTCGACGACGTGGTGCACGCGCCGCGACTTGGGCGCGCCAGAGGAGAATTCAATCACATCGCCTTCGCGGAGGGAGTTGTTCGGGTCCGAGACGAGGAAATGCGTCTCCTTGGGGTAATGTTTGCGGATGTGTCGGTCCCAGGCTCGGTGGCGGAAGGAGACGCGGACGGTGCGGTCCATCCGGCCGACCGAGGTGACAGTGCCGGTGCGGCGGACGGAGGCGTAGGTGCGCAGCCGGGAGGGTGGTGTTAGGTCTGCCGGGGTGATGGGCGAGGATGATTGTGTGGAAGAGGTGGTTGGTTGTGTTGGAGGAGTGGTTTCTTGTGAAGGAGTTGGGTCGCTGGTGATTGTCGAGGCGGACCGGATGGTTGGTGTGAGGATAGAAGAGCGAGGGAGGAGTTGAGACCGTGCTGGACTCATGAAGGAGGCAATGGATGGGCGCAGGGGCAGAGTCGCCCGTAGAAGGCTGGGGAGCGCCATGGTTGGTGTTGTTACAGGAGAGCCGTGAAGATGCTGGAGTTCTCGCTGGCCGAGAATTTCTTGGTTAGGGCGTTTGCACTGTTTGCACTTCCTAGACCACCACCACCGAGAACAAAACTACGAGTATTATCCAGGGAGGAGTCTTTAGATGCGAATAATAGAACACATCTTCTGAGTTTACCAAGAACTGTCAAAAGCGAGCGGAGACGTCCATTGTCTAGAATCTAAATCAGAACAGCATGCGCATTCCTAACAAACCCCATACCCAGTCCCGGAAGCACAAAGTAAACAAGAAAATACATTTCGCCGCATCCATGTTCGTACCCAAGCCTCTAATAACGGTCTAGCCTACGCCTCTTGCTTGTTGGCAACGGTGTCGCCATCTGTGGCATCGTTGGCGACGGCCACTTTCTTCGACTGGAACTTCTCTGCCGACTGTGCGGATATCCGACTGAGTTCGGAGACGAAGGACTGGCCCCAGAATGCACTTGAAGAAATTAGTTGGATGCTCCTTTTTGTATAGTGGGGTGAACATACCTGGTGTACTTGGACACATATCTGTCCAGTTTGCTGAAATTCAGCGCTCGGTGCTCGTCGCTCATCGTGACGGCTTCTTGGTACGCACCCGCCAGCTCTTCCGTGTTCCATGGATTCACGATGATGCTGCCGTTGAGGGACTGTGCTGCGCCGGCGAATTCAGAGAGCACCAGCACGCCATGGCGTTTATGTTGCGTCGCAATGTACTCGTACGCCACCAGGTTCATACCGTCTCGGGTGGACGAGACGATGCAAGCATCCGACACGGCGTAGAGCGCAATGAGCTCGTCGAAGTTGACAGACTTATGCAGGAAGTGAATGGGCATGAATTCGATAGTCCCTGGTGATCATTAGAAATGTGCGTCAAAGATGGCAGAAAAATGCAGACTCACCAAACTTGCCATTAATCCGACCCACGAGCTCGTTCACCACTGCTCTCAGATTCTGGTACTCCTCCACATCCTGGCGGCTAGGCACAGCGACCTGCACAAGCACGACCTTGCCGACCCATTCGGGGTGATCGCTTAGAAAAACCTCGAGCGCATGCAGCTTCTGAGGCACGCCCTTGATGTAGTCAAGCCGGTCGACACCGACCATCAGCTTGACGCCTTGAAATTTTTGTTCCAGCATAGCAATTCGTTTCTGCACCTTCTCCTTTTTCAGGCCCTCCTTGAACTTCTCTGGATCAATGCCGATCGGGAAGGCGCCGCAGGTGATAATCTTGCCCTGGAATTCAATGCCATTGGGAGTCGTGGCAAGTCCCCTTTATTCCATTAGCTCGGGACAAAAATCAAATGCCGGTGCACGTACAGTAACCGCGAGCAACTGCTCAAGAAATGCCGGGTGTAATCGTAGGTGTGGAACCCAATGAGATCACAATGCAAGACACCTAGGAGCAGCTCATTGCGCACAGGCAGGATGCGATAGATCTCACTGCTGGGGAATGGGGTATGCAAGAAGAACCCAATCTTGACATTCTGCTTGCTAGAGCCGATTTCTTCGCGTAGCATTTCGGGAAGCAGCATCAGATGATAATCGTGCACCCAGATCAGATCTCCATCCTGGACATCCTTGGCGATTGCCTGCGCGAACAGCCGATTGGCCTCCTTATATGCGTCCCAGGCGGACTCGTCGAAGGTGATTTCGCCGGGGTGGTAATGGAAGAGGGGCCAGAGGATTGAGTCTGTCTGGTCAGTTTGTAGCCCGACGTCCAAAGAAGTCACGACTTACTGGAAAATCCATTGTAGTGTCGATCAGCCAATTCATCATCGATAAACACCGGCACGGCACCGTACTCGTCCTTCAGGCGCCGCTTGACCTCCGAGATCTCCCCCTCGGGCACCTCCAAACCGGGCCAGCCGTACCACTGGAAGGTTGTTGACTTGGATAGGCCACTCAGTCCACTGACCAGGCCACCGGAGGACATGGAAAAGTCATATTTGCCATCCTCGGAGCGCTTGATGGTGATGGGCAGGCGATTCGAGACGAGGAGGAGGCGTGCTTCAGTGGGGCTGGAGTCCTCAAGAGACGGCATGGTCGCGGGAGGTAGATGGGGCACCGGGCGGGATGGGGGAGGACTGGCGAGAAGGGATTGAGGTATTTGAAGGTGGTGAGACCCCTGTCGCGTTGAGACCGGTGAGCTTCAAGGCTCGTCGATGATGGGCAAGCAGACAGGATGGCTGGCTGCAGCCAAGAGAAAAAGCCGACGAGGTCTAGTGAGGCAAGAGCCAGACAGACAGGCAGCTTGTCAGGCTATGATAGGGGAATGGCAGGCATAGACGTGGGGAGCGGGAAGTAAGTCTGTCCGTGAGTGAGTGTTGCGGGAAAAAGACGTTGGAGCAAGGGCGGCGGGGAAGAGTGGTCAGTGAGGTCACAATTGGACTGTGGAGCTGGTGGACACTACATAGTATTTATGGAAGAGCAGAAACGCCTCGAGGGATAGACTCTGGTGAAAATAATCATCGTCTCCATTATTTATTCCTAGATCAATAAGACTACCGCAGGGGATAAGAACCAATGGACCACGAAAGCCACACAACACAACCTGTAGGCGGATGATTCACCACTACTCTAGATCTAGAACCCTAGTCTCGCTAACCAGAATCCGGATTCACCGTACAGCGCGACAGGGACAGCCCGGCCAGCCAGCCTAAAAGTCTCATTGCATGACGTGGGCCGTGATGTAATCTATACAACAGAACCCTGGAAGTGGTCGCAGGTATATCCAAATATAGGTACTTGTATTCAAGACCGACCGAGCCACAACAACTATCTACAGCGCAGACCGCTCCCCCAACCGCCACATCCCAGAGTCCCGATCATGCACCGTCCTCCCCTCGTCCTCCAATTTCATCAACACCTGCAATACGCCATGCGACGCCGGCAGATGCAGACTCTCCGGGACATCACGGTAGATAATCTTGACCAGCTCTAGCGGAGTAAATGGCTGTCGGCGCTCAGGCGATGGCTCATTCTCCTCGATGCTCAGCTTTCCATACCGCAAAACCCGCAGTACCTCGTCTTCTCGCTGCTGGCGGTGCTTGATATACTCCGTTATCCGGGCCGTCGCACTCTCCAGCACGGCACCGTGCCCGGGATATCCCCGTCCGGAGACACGGTCGCGCATGCGGTGTAGACTTGAGAGATATGTTTTGAGGTCCTCGAAGACGGCGGTGCCGTGGCCCAGGACATCTGTTCATCCAATTAGTCTGATGACCAATACTAAAACAAAGAAGGGAATCTTGACTTACTATCACCCGTAAAGATCGCATCCTCCTCCTCCAACACAAAAACCATATGATCAACCGTATGTCCAGGCGTATGAGACGCCGTCAGAGTGGCGCCGTCCACGCAGAAAACCTGTCCGTCTTGGATATCCGTCTGGGTGTCGTCGTCAGGCTGGTGCTTGAAGACCTGAACCTGGGGACAGATGGCACGTAGATCCTTGAGGCCATTGACGTGGTCGCCGTGCCAGTGGGTGATCAGAGCTTGGTGCACGGTGGCTTTTTCGGCGGACAGCACGGACTGGAGGTGCGTGGCCCACGACGGCTTGCCTTCGCCGGTGTCGATTAGGATTCGTTGGTGGCCGCGGCCGATTAGATATGTGTTTGTTCCTGGTGGGTGTCAGAGACAGGGATGGATGGTGATTATGGACGAGTATCAAATAATACCTTGTAGTGTAAACTGGTGATCACAATGTTAGCCCACGTAGTCCCTACTGGCCTTGCGATAATCCAAATCTACCTTGCCAGGATTCCCTCCCAGAATCCTCACCACCGATGCGCTGAGGCGCTCGACCTCCGGAAGCGGGACGAGCTGTGTCGCCATATCTGCAATAGAGTCGAGTCGGTACGACCAGGTAGTTGTATAGTACAGAGGAAAGATAGTGTATTGCTGAAGTTTCCCGTTGGATCCGCAGGCTCCAGTATGATGAAAGTCAAGAGTTCGTCAGGCCGAGAGTCGGTTGAACAATCACGACATTGGCGACATAGATGAAGCGGAAATCGTCTGGATTCCGCGGGGCAAAAGATCCGGGCCTCGGCTGAGCGGCTTCGATTAGATCAGCTCGATACTCGCTGCAATCAAAGGACTCCTAGGACTACATTGGAGATCTACAATTGGAAATTACAGGTTTAGAACAAACGAAAAGGTGTATGCATGCATCCTAACATACAAAAACAACGGAGAATACCACATAAAGCTATATCCATGGAGCCCACCCAAAAAACTGAGGGAATCCAACGCAGACCAAAAAAAATAAAAAATCAGGCGTCAAAAAGTTTTTGAGTTTTCCCAGAGCGCAAACTCCTCGAAAGGCGGACACATTCGTCAAACTGCCTCAACACACTCGGCGGGCTGAATCCCGCCCGCTCGCACCGGAGAGAGAGAGATATATAGTTTACAGACGCTGAGGCGCTTATTTGGCCGCATTGCGGGACATGGTGTTCAGGGCGGAACCGTCGTGGAACCACTGGATCTGCGACTCGTTGAAGGTGTGGCTGAGAGAGATGTCAAAGGCCTTGCTGCCATCCTTGGGGTGGACGCGCAGAGTCATGGGCTTGCCAACCTCCAGCTGGGTGCACAGGAGGTCCACCTTGTCCTCGGGGTTGATCTTGTCGTAGTCGGCCGGGTTGGAGAAGGTCAGGGGCAGCATACCCTGCTTCTTCAGGTTGGTCTCGTGGATACGGGCGAACGAACGGGTGATGACGGCGAGACCGCCCAGGTGGCGGGGCTCCAGGGCAGCGTGCTCACGCGACGAACCCTCGCCGTAGTTCCAGTCACCGATGACAACCCACTTGACGCCACGGGCCTTGTAGTCACGGGCAGTGGCGGGCACGGCATCGTATTCACCAGTGAAGGCGTTCTTAACCTTGTTGGCCTCGCCGTTCTCAGCGTTGATGGCACCGATCAGCATGTTGTTGGAGATGTTGTCCAGGTGGCCACGGTACTTCAACCACGGGCCAGCCATGGAGATGTGGTCGGTGGTGGTCTTGCCCTGGCACTTGATCAGGATGGGGATGTCAGTGGCATCCTTGCCGTCCCAGGCGGGGAAGCCCTCCAGGACCTGCAGACGGTCCGAGGTGGGGGAAACAGCGACGTTGACGGACGCGCGGTCCGCGGGAGGAGCCTGGTAGGTGTCACGGCCGGGGTCGTAGCCACGGCTAGGGAGACCATCACCAGTGGGGGCCTTGAGCTTGAAGTCCTTGCCGTCCTTGTCCTTGATGGTGTCGGTCAGGGGGTTGAACTTCAGGGATCCAGCCACGGTCATGGCGACGACCAGGTCGGGCGAGGCAACGAAGGCGTGGGTGGCAGGGTTGGCGTCGTTACGGCCCGTGAAGTTACGGTTGTAGGAGGAGATGATGGAGTTGGCCTCGCCCTTCTTCACATCCTTGCGGTCCCACTGACCAATGCAAGGACCGCAGGCGTTGGCCAGGATGACACCACCGTACTCCTCGAGGGTCTGGAGTTGACCGTCACGCTCAATGGTGGCGCGAATCTGCTCGGAACCAGGGGTGACGGTGAACAGAGACTTGGACTTGAGGCCGTGGTCGAGGGCATCACGGGCGATCGAGGCGGCGCGGGACATATCCTCGTACGAGGAGTTAGTGCACGAACCGATCAGACCGACCTTGAGCTCCTCGGGCCACTTGTTGGTCTCAACAGCCTCCTTGAACTTGGAGATGGGGGTGGCCAGATCGGGGGTGAAGGGACCATTGATGTGGGGCTCGAGCTCAGACAGGTTGATCTCGACGAGCTGGTCGTACTGGGCACCCTCGTCCTCCCGGAGCTGGGCAGCGTACTCGCGCGAGAAGTCACCAATGTGCTGACGCTTGGTGGCCTTCAGGTAGTCGTACATGCGGTCGTTGAAGGGGAAAATGGAGGTGGTAGCACCGATCTCGGCACCCATGTTGCAAATGGTACCCATACCAGTGCAGGACAGCGACTCGACACCGGGGCCGTGGTACTCAATGATGGCACCAGTGCCACCCTTGACGGTCAGGAGACCGGCAACCTTCAGGATGATATCCTTGGGCGTGGTCCAGCCAGACATCTGGCCAGTCAGGCGGACACCAATGACATTGGGAGCCTTCAACTCCCAGGGGAGACCAGCCATGACATCAACGGCGTCAGCACCACCGACACCAATGGCAGCCATGGCGAGACCACCCGCGTTGGGAGTGTGCGAGTCAGTACCGATCATCAGACCACCGGGGAAAGCGTAGTTCTCCAGGACGATCTGGTGAATGATACCAGAGCCGGGCTTCCAGAAACCAATGTTGTATTTGGCAGTAGCGGAGGCCAGGAAGTCGTAGACCTCCTTGTTGATCTCGTTGGCACGAGCAAGATCCTTGTCACCACCAATCTGGGCCTCAATCAAGTGGTCACAGTGGACAGTGGTGGGGGTCTGGACGGAGGGCATGCCAGCGGACATGAACTGCAGAATGGCCATCTGGGCAGTGGCATCCTGGCAAGCCACACGGTCCGGACGCAGCTTCAGGTAGGAAGTGCCACGCTCGATGTCCTGGCCATGGGGGTCGTCCAAGTGGGAATACAGGACCTTCTCGGCGTAGGTGAGAGGGCGCTGCAGACGCTTACGGACGATGTCGAGGTTCTCGGACATCTTCCTATAAGTGGGAAATGTGTCAGCAAGCTCGGGTCGGGTGTCGTGATGTCAGGGATCTCGTACTTGTAGTTAATGAAGTTACCCTTCTCCGCATTGGTCATCTCGACCTTCTTGTCGAGGGGGAATCGCCCACGGTAGCGAAGGCCCGAGTCCCGAGGAGCTAGACACTACTGTTAGTACTGGGGTCCTGTGGCCCTGCCTGCGGATGACCGCGCGAGGGACCAGCTGGGCGCTGCTTACCAGACGGGATTTCGGGGCCTGTCGTCATGGTGAATTAGTATTTGATCGCGTGGGTTGGTTGTTTGCAGGACTTACCAGCGCCCCGATGCGCGCAAGGCGGGTGGAGATCATGATGACAGCGCACTCTCAAAGCTAATAGCACATCCAAGGAGAGGCAGCAACCACCTTCACCTGTGGCAGCTACTTAATTATGGGGGAGGAGGAGTGAGTGGGAGTGAGTGGAGAGTGGGAAGAAGAAAAGAATGAAGGGGAAAAGAGAAGCCGTGGTGGTTTTGAGAAGTGGGAAGACCGGACATCGCTGTTACCAGGGCGATACCGTCACAGGCCGAGACGGGGTGTGTACATTCAAGGATATTTTCCCGCATAATTATTGTCGACCACGACCATGATCAAAGATTTTTTTTGGATCTCTCCATAGCTGAGAGACTCTATTCTGCAATCTCTCGATTTCTGCGCTTCCTACCGTCCCTTGTACCCTTCTCGAGAAATCGTTCCAGTGTAGAGGTCCGTCAGCATGTGACGGCCCGCCCAATCACGGAGGTGCCAATTCCCTCTCCCTCGGAGCAACGGCAGTTTCAACCTCTGAGCCCCAAGATGCCCCGATGATATAGGAGAATCGTAGTTGATCCTCGGTGATATTCACCGTCGTCATGGAACCCCTTCGCTCCTATCGTCTCTGTACTCGACGCTCGCCTCCGCGATCCTGTCCGACCTCCAAGGTGAATGCATGCAAACGTCATCGGTCAGTAATACGCAAAATTACACCACGGTAAGCCGGTGACCAGCCTGAGCCGAGAGCGTGCCGAACTTGGAAGCCGCTGGCCAGCTCCCAGACCAATCACGGCCAACCCTTTTCTAAGCCCCACACTCGGAAATTTCGCTGCGACTGTCTTCCTCCGGATATCGGTGATATCCATTTTCTCTTTGCGATCAGCTATCGATCTATCACCATGGGTGCACTGCGACGAGTCAAGAACAAGCGCCGGACGAGGTAAGTCGCAGTCGTCGCAGGCATGGATTTTTATGACATCCACTCACTCCAGCAGGGACTACGACCAGGTCCGCGCAGACCTCGACTCCCCTCGGCACCTGGCGCAGTACAAGGCCACCAAGGATGCCGAGGATCTCCCTGGCCTCGGTCGGCACTTTTGTGTCGAGTGCTCCAAGTGGTTTGAGAGCGAGTACAACTTGAAGGCGCACACCAAGGGCAAGAACCACAAGCGGAGGTGAGTGGAGAGGCATTGTTCGCACTGAAGCATCCTCGCTGACTAGCTGGCGGTGGCCATTAGACTCCGTCTGTTGCGCGAAGAACCACACTCCCAGAAAATTGCCGAGGCCGCTGTGGGACAAGGCATAATAGATAATGGCAAGCGGACGGAGGAAACGACGGTTGCGATGGAGGAGTGAGCTGCGATGGGATGAGAGGGCCACAAGACAAAATTTATACCCAGACATGCGACTACGTTGAAAATATCTTTGGTGCTACGATCCAACGTCTACATAGACACAAAAGTTTACTGCAGGTCTTGCCCGACCGGAATTATCTACATCCTGTCCTGCCTTCCAAATGTTGATATCGAATTTTAAGATCACGTGAGATAAAGCCATCGCGCCGAAACCGACAGTTGGAAAGCGCCGATATTCGGCACTGCACTATATTGTGCGGGATGGGAGGATAAATTGGCTAGGTTACATGCGGCATTCTGGCCGAAATGTATTTTTCTTCAAGTGGCATTGTTGTTCTCCGCAGATATGATTAATAGCTGTCTTAGTATCATGATTATTCCCTGTCTATCATACATTCAATTGGATATCCGACTGCTCTCGTCGTCTCGAACACGACTATTGCTGGCCCTGGGAGACTTTTGTGTCTCGGGTTATCCAGAAGCTCGCGAGGTATATCTTCTCATCCCGCCAGTTCTGCTGCTGTATCTGGCGGAGGATCCTGATATTCATTGTTTTGGACGTCCAATTCCGGCTTGTCCCAGTATCTCATCACCCGGCCGCCCTCTAGCTCAGCTTTCCCTGTATAAGCCTCAGCAACCGGTTCACTTGGCTGAACAGACTCGGTCCGCGGGGCGATCTTGCTCGCCCGTCTGCGCCGATGCCGCCAGATAAACCATATGGTTGCGAGTATAATCATCCCCAAAGGAAAACAGATTCCGATAGCAATTTTGGCACCAGTAGAGAGACCCGAGCTAGAGCCGCCACTCTTTTCAGAGTTGCTTGTCCCGGCGCTTATAGCAGTCGCTGTAGCAACACTCTCAGAGGAAGATGAGAGATCATTCACCAGAACGACTGGTGCAGCAAAAATGCTTAGTCCGTCGGGCCCAACGCCGTTTGTGACCGTCGTAGTTCTGCAACCGCTTATCGCGGCGCCGCTCATCCAGCCACTTGACGCAGTGACCACACCGTACTGGACATATGTCACCTTTGTCGTTGCAACGGACACGCAAGTTTGATAAGTGGCCCATGTGTATCCACTGTCTCAAAAGTCGGTGTTAGTGCATATGTTCATCGTGGAGAACTATAATACTGAAGAGAAAAACAAACGTACCCAGGGCAACATCCTGTTGCAGCTTGGCCTATCGACAGGTTGGCATAAACGCCAATATCGCTAGTGTGCCACGGGGACTGCGAGCGAGTGATGGAATAAACGGCATCCCATCCAATAGGGCAATAAATGCCCGGCGAAAATGCGCCATAGTAGTAATAGCTACCGTCTTCGTCGCCAATTACAGTTGTCTGCTTCCATCCTTCTGGATAGCAAGATGACGCGGGATATGCAAATCCATAGCTGCAAAAAACACCCCAAAAGGCACCCCCGTCGCCAGGACCTGAGGCCGCCGTATAGCAAGCAGAAGGGGCAGTGAAGACGGTCGTGAGAGGACCATAGTTTTGAGCCATGGCTGTGTGTTCGAACTCTGTTATTATTATCGGAGGGAGATGTAAGAGAGAAAATAATGGACGACAGTGGTCAAGGCCATTCCCTTTGCTTACCACGAGTCTAGCTATACTTAGATTCTTGGTCCTGGTTCTAATGTTGTACATTGCCAATGCCCAATCAACATCTGTCTATCACCGAAAAAAAAAGCCTTGGCATTTTCAGTTCGCGGAGAAATGCCTCTTCTCGCTCTATACTTGCCTAATTCACTAGAGTGAGTTCAGACGGTAGCATCTACTGCGTATGGAGCTCTTAGAGGTCTTCATGTAAGCTGGTGTAGTCATTATAGAGAGATCTAGAACCGATGCACATATAGCTGAGCTTTGGGCGCCGACGAGATCACGAACTAAATTGCCGATGATCATGTCCAATCTGTACGTAGTTGGTCACGCTGTTTAGCTATGTTCTCTGACTTGATGCTTAGCTTTTTCTTCTTTTATTTCATTATTATTGGTCACTTCTCTCTTTAAATAACGCACAGAATGAATTTCCCAGAACCAAATGTCAGATCAAGCCATCCTTCACGTTAACGCGTTGTCAACACTCCCCGCAATGGAAGCCCTGTCCATTCCCTCAAACCCAGGCATAAAACAAACTTGGTGCCATCTCATAATGTCCTAGATTCAGATAAAACCGTCTGATAACGAGTTATGTCCACGTTTGACTATTATTTACTACTGTCCTGCTAAGTCTTTGTCTCGAAGCCCTAACTGCCATTTTGAACAATAAATCCCGTCATGTGACACATTTACGTCATCCCATTTTGTTGATCCGACCCAGACTGACCCGAAGCACTCTTCTCTGTCTCTCCATGAATTGGCTTCGCACTACTACCCGCCAGTCCATCATGTCCTCACCAGCATCATGCTCACCATTCACCAAGGCTGTGGTGAGCTCGATGCGTAAACTGTACTGCACCAAACCCCACAATTGAAAAGAGCTTGCATCTAACATGGCTGCAGATACCCGGAGTCATTGGCCGACAAGAGCTTCGATAATACCGGCTGTAAGTCTACACCCTTTGTATAAGGGGGTATGCTTCTAACCAAAGCTCCAAAAGTGCTCCTCGAAGCTCCCTTCGATCCCTCCCGCCGACAGAGGAACTCCGTGCTCTTGACGATCGATCTCACCACGGCCGTTGCGGATGAGGCAATCCGGAGACGGGACTCTGCCGTGGTGGCGTACCGTAAGCTGCCATTCATTCTCCTGTTCTGTCCATGTTGAAGCTGAAATACTCCTCGCACAGATCCAATCATCTTCCGCGGGCTCAAGGCCATTACCCTCGAAAACACCCAACAACAGTCCCTCCTTCGATTAGCACAGTACGGTATCAGCGTCTACTCCCCACACACGGCAGTCGACACCGTCCCCGGTGGAATGGCCGACTGGCTCTGCGACATTGTCACGGGCTCCTTCTCTACCACCAAGCCGCCTCCAACCCACAGCCAGGTCGAAGCCGGGCTGTTCTACGCGGAGCCTGTATACCCAGAACCCAGGCGCGCCGCCCGCACGGGGTCTACAGAGAAGTCAGTGCCCCATAAGCGAACCACCATCCATCCGTCCCCACCACCGATCCCCGAGGGATTCGAGTCGGCCGGAGCGGGTCGTCTTATTACCTTTGAGTCACCGCAACCTCTTCCAAGCCTCATTGAAAACATCTCGACGGGCACCGGATATCCAGCCGGGATAACTATTGCGCTCCCGCAGTCTATCAAGTCGACCCGCGATGCCACCATCCGCACTGTAGGAGTCTGTCCCGGCTCCGGATCGGGAGTTCTGCTTGGAGGAGGCAGTGAACTTCCAGATTTGCTGGTCACGGGCGAGATGAGCCACCACGAGGCACTGGCAGTGACAGAGCGCGGCTCTGTAGTGATTGCGCTGTCGCACTCTAATTCCGAGCGTGGTTATCTGGGAACTGTCATGCAGCAAAAACTCGCCGACGACCTGAAGCGGCAATGGAAAGAAGATAGGGAGACGGCACTGCGGTCTGTCGCAGAGAGCGCGAAACAGGGCGGTGCGGCGCCTGCTTCCGGCGCTGAGAGCGTTTATCAGGACGAGATGGTTGAAGTTGCTGTCAGTGAAGCGGATCGTGATCCGTATGGGGTCATGGTTAGCCGTATTGCGCCATCCGTATAGGAGGATCATGATTAGCCCAGATTTATTCTTGTGATGATGCACAAGTAAATTTACGGTAGTTCCAAAAAAAAAGAAGCTCTTTGACTACTACTAGTTATCTACTCAAGACATCTGCACACCAGAAAAGAAGACCGAGCACCGAGGGGAACTTGACTTGTATTGGTCACGAGAATTGTAGGTAGGAAAAAGGCGTAGTGAACAGACGAGGACGAGAGAATCCTCTCCTCGGAGGAAGGACAAGAAAAAAAGGAGGGTAGAACAACAAAAGAAACAGGTGGTATCCGCAATCCCGTCACGGTAGTGTAGAAGGTGAGGGTAGTGTTGTGCTTCCAGCGAGAATGCAAGGCCAAGAGTAGGTCCAGTCAAGGTTCAAGTTCAAGTTTGAAGGGCGAACAAGAATGAAGCTGAAGCAACAGAAACGAAAAAAATGAGAAGAAACATCCGACTCAGTTGAATTCAATTGAATAAACCCGTCCAGCCATTCAACCAAAACATCACAGATCAATCAGACTACTACCTCCATGCTGCGACTGCTGCTGGCCAGCACCCCAAGGATTGTTACCTGGCGGCTGTTGTGGCTGCTGCTGCTGCACGAAGCCAGTCTGCTGAGGCACAAACTGCTGACCAAAGAACGGGTTGCTGCCCGTTTGCGCAGCGCGGAGACGGTCCGCACCATGACCGGCCGAGTTGACGAACGTACCCGGGGCAGTGTGCTGCGCAGGAATGCGCAAGTCGCCGACGTTGCCGAAGGTGTCAAGGCCTTCACCTGAGGCCAGCAGGGCATTCAGACGCGCGTGATGTGGATCTAACGGGGCCTGGACAGCTGGCGGCGGGGTGCCATTTACTGGTTTGGGAGCTTGGAAGTTGGCGATTGGGTTGGGCTGGGGTTGCTGCTGCTGGATGAATTGCTTGTTCGACTGGTTGAACTGGTTCGTTGCGCGGTCTTCGGACAGAGTGTTGAGCGAGGGTGGGCCTGTTGAATGGACGGGCTGTTGGAATTGAGTGCGAGCGGCGAAAGGATTGTTCGAGCCTGTTGGCATCGGCTTGAGGGCATCGGCCTGGGGCTGTGGCTGTTGGGGCTGAGTCGCGGCCCACGGGTTATTGCTTCCGGCTGCTTGATAGTTCTCCTGGGGCTGCTGCTGCTGCTGTGCGAAGGTATCCGTTCCCCAGGGGTTGTTAGGATTGAATGCCGTCTGCTGTTGTTGAAGGGTGGCCTGGGGCTGCAGCATCATGTTGTTCTGAGGCTGGCCGTACGGGTTCTGGTCAAGTTGCTGCTGGAACCCGTTCGTGTAAGGGTTCGCCATGCCGGTGGGCTGGTTCTGGAATCCGGTCTGCTGCGCGTACTGGTTGTTGAGGTAGCCCGTTGTCATGGGCTGTTGCACGTTGATCGGGTTGCCAAACCAATCCACTGCACCCTGCTGCTGGTATCCCTGGTTGTATCCCGTGGGTTGGACCTGAGCTGGAGTGTCGTCGAAGAGTGCGTGCGCGTTGCTCTCTTCCAACTCACGCTTCCGCAGCTCCTCCTCTTCCCGGCTGAGTTGGATCGCCTTCGCCAGATCCTCGTCATCGTTGTCGGTCGCCTCCTTAGTCCGTCGCCTGCGCTCCTCCTCCGCTTCAGCCTTACTCGCTTCGATAGCCAAGCGGTACTCTGCATCATCGTCCTCCTCGCCGGGGCGGCGTTGACGTCGTTCTCTGCGCGGGGGTTCGTTCCCATAACCATCGTCGAGTCCGCTGACACGGGATTTCCAAAGCTTGCGATCAGACCGTTCACTGCGCAGCCGATCTTCGTCAAGTACCAATGCAGTCAATTCCTTGGCGGCCACGCGAACTGCAGTCACAACATGATTAGCAATGCGACAAGATAAGCCGCCAAAGACAACTCACCATTCTGGCCCACATCCCGCCCTTCCTCGTCGACGTACTGAAACTCGCGCAGTGTTTTGATGATGTACACATTCTTGCGCGCCCACGTCACCACCAACTCCGAACCCTCGTGCAGACAGTAGTCCAAGACCTTCAATGACTTGAGCACGTGGCGCCAGTTTTTGCCTTTATCGTTAAGCCGCTTATCGATCATGTCCATGATCTCGTAGAACTCGTTCGGACTGTATATGGAACATCGCGTTAGACTCTTGTCGTCAGATAGTCTGAGTCAATCAATCCTACCTGCCGAAAGTCATGGCCGCAATCTCGGACATTTCGGTGCCCGTCGGGCCCCAGGGATCGTTACTCGTTGCTGTACGAGTCGAAATATTAGCATTTTGACGTCAGAACTTAGAATTATACGTCGATGTGGAAAGCAGGGGGAGGAAGGGAACAGGTGGCAACGGGAAGACGAAGTGTGGCGGCGGCCATCCTCGACACGAATCAACAGAACGGTCGCGCGACAGCACTAGAAGCCTGCCGCGGACGAAAACGTACCATTTCGAACCTTGACCTGTACCGAAGAATAGCCCTTCGTCACGTTCTTGACACTCCGCACGACCTTGGACATGGTGCCGGTGAGGATGAGGATGCGACCGTCGCGGCAGGGCTGAGAAAAAGAGCAATCGCAGGAGAATCAGTCCGTCTTGACAGGGACCGAAAAGGGTTAACGATGTCGTTGGCAAGGGTACACAGCCCGCTGTGGTTGGATTTGCGACAGAGAGAGTGAGTGAGGTTAGGCGCGGTCGTTGCTCATGCACGGCTCTTCTCCGAGATGAGCAGAGTCAGGGTGGGTCAAGGGACACAAAGACCGAGGGGATTGCCTGGGGGGGAGGCAAGAGAAGGCGGGTAAGAGAGGAAGAAGAGGTTGGGAGTAGAAAGAAGGAGAGGGAGAACCGAGAGGGAGAGAGAGTGAGTAAGAGGGGTGTGGCTGGACCGGGAGCCTTGGCACGGTGACGATGCGAGTGTCAATTTGTAACCAGTATTATTATTCTCGACGTTCTTTCGCATAACTATCGATGATTATTGTATTCCCAAATGAATGACAATGATGATTATTACTGTATTCCCCTTTTTCATTCTCTCTCTCACCATCTGCCAGTCTGCCGGATATCCGGGATAGTCTGACTCGGATGCCCAGAAGATTAACTACGCCCGACCTTCGACTACTACTATCGGGCAAACAGTGCGAACAGCGATCTACAGGGTCTTCTGCTAACGATTGTACGGGACAAACTCTTTGGCCTGTCACCGCCACAAGTGGCGACGTTGGGCCGCGTCAGACAAAGCACGGAGGACCGGAGGTGGCAGCAGGCAGCGATGTTTGGTATACCGATGGCCTTGGCATTGGCCGAGTGCGGCGGCTGACGCGTCTGCAGGTGTTGTTATGTACAGCAGAGACAAAAGTGAGAGAAAGAGTCGACTAGGGCTAGGCACATTACGTCATATGCACTTCTATACCATGTAGCTTCAATTCAGACCGAAATATATAGTAGAGAAATATCCCAAAAGGCGCCCATCAGTCATTATTATTTGGCTCCAGCCAGGCGCGCATTTTCTTCCATGCTGAGATACTTGGCTTCCGCGCCCCGGATGCATTGGATGTTGGCCCCAAGCTTGTTCAGCGTCTCGACGTACTCGTCGTAGGGATCCGAGTCGAAGACAATACCCCCACCGGCCTGTAGATACGCCACCCCGTCCTTAAGCATCATCGTTCGGAGTGCAATGCACGTATCCATAGCGCCCGGCATCTCGCTCGACCCATTCGCGTTGGCGATGTTGTACCCAAAGTAACCCACCGCGCCGGCATACACACCGCGCTTCTCGCCCTCCAGCTCGGCAATGAGCTGCATGGCGCGCACCTTGGGCGCACCGGACACGGTACCCGCTGGAAAAATGGACCGGAAAGCGTCGAACCGCGTCTTCTCAGGCCGCAGCACACCAGACACCTGCGAGACCAGGTGCTGGACGTGCGAGAACTTCTCGACTACCATCAGTCGGTCGACCTGGGTCGAGATGGGATCGCACACCCGGTTCACGTCGTTACGGGCCAGATCGACCAGCATGACGTGCTCGGCTCTGTCCTTGAGACTGCCACGAAGTTCATCGGCCAGCGCAGTGTCTTCCTCCAGGGTCTTTCCTCGTTTCACTGTGCCTGCAATCGGGTGCGTGATGATTCGTCCTCGCTCCTCCTTGACCAGAAGCTCGGGGCTTGCGCCAACAAGCTGGAAATCCTGACAATCGATGTAGAACAAGTATGGGGAAGGGTTGACGGTGCGCAGGTGCCGGAAAAGATTGAACGGGTGAAGCGACGTTGGCCGAGACAGTCGTTGCGATGGGACGGTTTGGAAGATGTCACCCTTGGAGATGTGCTCCTTTAGGCGCTTGACATGGTTCTCGTACCCCTCCTGGCCGATATTAGATTTGTATTCCTGGTTCGGGATGATCGGACCCTGCGGTGGCAGCGGCGTGCGGTCCTGCAGCAGCGTGTCGATTGCTCGTTGGATAACGGCCTGTCCCTGTCGGTAGGCGGCTTCGACTTCGGCATCTGTGTTGGGGATGGGGATGTAGGTGACGATTTTGACGACCTGGAAGAAGTGATCGAACGCGACAATGGTGTCGAACAGCATAAAGAAGGACTCTGGCACGCCCAGCGGGTCTTTCATGGGCCGAGCGGTCTTGGGCTCAAAGTATCGCACGCAGTCGTAGCCCACGTAGCCGATTGCTCCACCGGTCAGCGGTGGGAGGATCAGGCCAGGCACTGTTGCCACGCGGAATTGCGAGAGTTCCTCCTCCAGGATCGGGAGTGGATCGCCGACGTGCCCATGGCCAGGACCGGTCTTGAGCACTTTCTTCGGGTCTGGGGGGAGAGAAAAAAAGTCGTCAGCAACCAACCACACACTGATATCCAAGGTATCACCTACCTGCACCAACAAAGCTGTAGCGTCCAATTGTCTCTGTCGTCGCCGCGCTCTCATAGAGGAACGACAATCGGGAACTGCTGACCGGTCAGATTCGTCGCAACCGCCACCACGTGCACCAACCACTCACTTCTCTGCAAGCTTCAGGTATGCCAGCGTCGGGGTCAAAAGATCGGCAGGGATGGAGGCCGTGATGGGGAGCAGGTTCGGAGGAAATTGGGCGTTTCTCGACTGCGAAATGACTTCTCGCGCCGTTTCGAGCGACGGGACATTGGCGACCTGAGTCATATCCATGTTAGCCGGTCACAGCAGACAAATTGCGCAATGTCCATGACCTACAGGAGCAGATGCCATCGTTCCTGGAAACTGGGGATGTGACCAGGTGCGAGAAAGTCCCAGAGTCGAAGAAAGAAAGAAAGGTTGGGCGGAAAGGGAAAATGTGTGGGGAGGGAACTCGGTCTCTTTCCGGCTTCGGCGGGATTGGGATGCTTAGGATGCAACCCAATCATGAACACAAGATAAGAACCAAGAAAAGACGCAACCCTCGCAAGACCCAATGTAAGTGTAGACAATAATGCTGCTTCATGTCAGAAGCGAAAGCAGCCAGACCCTAAAGCAGTTTAGCGCGGGGATTATCGCGATAGTCGATAAACGAGACCCTCAGTTAAGCTACTGAATACGGCAGTTTCTATACAACGACCTCAACATGTCTAGCGACTCAGACCTAGATCGCGACTCCCTCCCCATTCCCTCCTCTCACCTCACCTGGCCAGCGCGCCTCTCCTACCTCGCATCAACCCTAACACACTTCCCCGAAGACAGCGCCTCCGCCCAAACAATCCACCGATGCCTCGACACCATCTCGTCAGTCCTCCAGCACGACACGCGCCCTGGATTCGGCCAGGAAATCGCAAAATACAGACCTCCGCACAGACACTCCCTATCCCTCACCTCTGGCGTCACAGCCGTGGAGCCCGAGTCTGAGTCCGAGTCTCCCTTGTTACATGTACGGAATGATGATGAGCCGCGCGCCGGTCGAGAAATGCAGTCGCAGCTCATGGCGCTGTTGCGCGAAGTGACTGCTCTGAATGGGGAACTGGATTCTCGGCGCAGAGAAGCAGGTGAGATATATGAGTTGTTGGAGGGGAGGTGTCGCGAGTTGACGAGAACGATTGCGGAGTTGGAGGGTGAGGTGGTCGAGTTGTAAGTTTTCTTTTTGTTGAAGGGATATACCTCCATTTGTAGTACAGTGGTGCTGATGTTGGATGCATAGACAAGCGGATTTAGTAGAGGATGCGGTTGAGTTAGAGGGCATACAGGGAACCGTGCATGGGCTGCAGGGTTATATTGATGCGCTAAGAGAAGAGCAGAGAGTGACTCGCGTACAGCGGCTGGATCATCGTGCGCGGCAAAAGGAGACTCGGCGAAACGGGAGTCGGAAGGAAGAGGAACTGGGTCATGCCGATGGTGAAATGGTGCTCGAAGGGATCGCGGCGTGGATGCGAGGATGGCGAGATGTCGAGGAAGGGTTCCAGGTCCGAGCACGAGCACGACAGCTGAACCGAGAACGGAGACAGGAGAGGTGGAGGGGAGGAGAGAAAATAAGCTACAAGAAAAGTAATGTAGTGGAGTTGTAGGTATTGATTGCACTTGGTTCTGGCGAGAATTAGAAACAAGAAAATAGCAGAGCCAACCTCCCAAACTAAACAAATCCGCCATCATCGCCGTGAATCCATGTCGTTCGCCGTGTCCGTCCGTCCAGGTCCCAGTCCCAACCAAGGCATGCCGCAATGCACCTTTTCTAATTCACAATTGTATGTCCACTGAAATGAAAGGGTCGCAAGAGAAGGTGTGTGCACTGGAGCCGAAGCGCGCCAAGTCTGGATGAGCTGATTATTCCCAAGTGCTAGATTATTCGGTATTATGAAACCAAGTAAGTTTGCTCGTTCCTTTCGTCGCCGGTGGTAGGGGAGTGAAAGGAGGAAGAGAGGTGTGATGAGGATCAATCCCCTCGAATTCATTCACGCAGCATCGCCGGGAGCGTGCGTAGTCCACCAAGGTTTCGTGTGGAAGGGTTCCAAGTTGTGGTTGTATTGAGGGGATCTTTGGTCAACAAAGTTGTAGAAAATATTCAGAAGATTCTTTTCTTGAATATCCAAACGAGCATATTCATGGTCACCGTTGCAGATTCACAATCGCCATCTGTAGATAAAATTAGCGCGGACCTTAAAAATGGTAGACCAGAGAGATGCACTGACCTGGTGTCCAAAGCCGTAGGCAAGTCGTTTTCCATCAGCATCCCACGAAAGCGCGCGATCACTGACGGCGCCAGAGTGGCCGTTCTGTCCATTCGTCGCACGGTCGGTTTCCTCTTTCTTGACTTCGCTTGAGGCCGGTGCTGACCAAGTCGCCATGGCATTACCCCCACGCTCGACATTCCAGATGAACAAACGATCCTTGCTCACAGCACCAAGAGCGTATCCATCGGGGGAGAAACCACCCGCAAGAGCAGGAGTCGACGGGCCCAAGAACAGTCGGTGGAGGCACCCGAATTGCTTGGCCTCCAGATCGACCTGCCAGACTTTGACACTGTCGTCGGTTGAGTAGGAGGCGAGAACGATCGACGAATTCCGTCGCGAGGTCTGTTCCTGAGGACGAATCTCGATTGCGGTGATCTCTCCCTGGTGAGCTTTGTCGATGTGCATGTCATGAGTCGGAATCCAAATTGAAGCTGTTTCAGAGCACGCCGCTACTGCGACCGAAGCGGAAGGCGTTTGGACACAACGAATGAATTCCCAGGCGGCATTGCTGGCACCAGATGTGAAGGTGTTGGTCAGTCGGATGCTCTGGTCGACCTCGCACTGATAGACAGATCCATTCCCACAGGCAAAGACTTGATTCCGACCACACCAAGCAAGATCGTACACGGGGCTGTTGATGCGCTGGGGCGGCGGGTAGACGTCAGGTCGGTGGGTGTCGTCCCACAGGGCCAGCTCCGAGGTCCTGTTGTCCGAAGCAACAACGATCAGTTGTGAGCCATCGGGGGCCCAATGCAAGCCGGTGATCATCCGTGGTAGTTCAGGTAACAAGTCCACAGCGTCGCCATTGACATCGTACATGGTGATGGCGCCGCGCAGTTCGCTGTATGTCGCGACGGCCAGTTTCTCCCCGACTGCATCCCAGGCGACAGCCGAAACACAAGAATCGCCGCCTTTGAAACTGATCAAGCTCTTGGGCACAGGCGCAGAGGACAGCGACAGCTTCCACAGGCTGCAGAACGTGTCGCCGGCGGTCACAACGACAGTGGGATCCCGCGGCCGCCACAGGGTCCGGGTCACATGATCATCAGCCACATCGAGTAGGGTGGTGTCCGGGGCCAGGTCGGCCGCCTTGGCTGGGGTCATTTGGACGCCGATGCTGCTGCCGCTAGTCAGGGTGAAGGTGGGCTCAGGAGGCACTTCATCGGCCTCCATGCTCACGTCGCCGTCGCCATCAATCTGTTCCGGGACAGGCGTGTCGGGCTTGCTCTCGTTTGCTTCGTGGGAGACATCCTGATCCATAGATTCATCGCCATTGGCATCACGGTCGATGCGGACCTTCTTGCCGGGAATGGGGGCCTCGGCTACATGACCGTTGACGGCGCTGCGGTCGCGCACAATTTTGGCCGGTGACACAGCCCGTTCAGGACCCACCGTCTCCCGGGGGGTCTCTCGGGGGTTTTCAGAGAGGTTGGTTCAAAGGGCTCCGGTCCGAAAAAATACTCGGATGGCGGGGCGGGAATGGTGTTGCCCTCCTGTAGATTTGGGATGAGAATTTTTTTCGTCGCGCAGAGGATTTCTCGATATCAGGAACATACCTTATCAATCGAGGATTCTAATTCACGGTACTGTAGACCCTTTTGGACCAACGATACCAGGGCGTGGGTTTTGATGTAAGGCGCGAAGGGGAGGCTCTGCGGGTCAGGAAACCACGCGCGCTGCAGAGAGACGGCGGCCTCGCCGTGACCTGTCGGATCGGGTTAGAAAACGAATCAAGTCAGACCATGACAGCGCGGTGGCTGGCACATGACTCTGATCACGAAAAGGTGAAACCAACCTGACTCCTGGAGATACCTAGCGATCGCGAGGTGTGAGCATTTAAGCGCGCGCATGCAGAGACATGACGAAGGGGGGGAGAAAACTTACCTCCATATTAGATAGTTGACGTGATGCGAGGTGAGGTCAAGCTGTGCCATGATGGATTACATGTGCGACCAGTCGGAGAGATCTGCGAGCATGCCCGGGAAGAGCGAGCTCTTTCCGGGGAGGATGGAAGAAGGCGAGGGATAAGCAACGGTCGATGTGGGTGGGTGCTGTGAGGATCGGAGCGACAGGTGGATCGGGATTCCGAGGTACAAAAAGGGGGGGGCCAGACCAGACAGGGTTGGGGCTGAGTTAGAGACTTTGAAGGATGGGATTTCCGGGGGGGGGAAGGGTAGTTGGATGTGGGTGTTGAAGGGGACCGGGTGTAGCGGAGTAGAGAAAAAAGAAGGAACAGTGATGTGGAGGAAAGAGAGAAGAGTCAAGGGGAGTGGAGCATGGCTTTTGGGCCCGAGTCCAGGTAGTTCTTTGTAGGGCGGAAGGCGACAGAGAGAAGAAGTGGTGGCTTGCGATGGAGGAACAGGAACCATCGATGCGGATGCGTCTCTTTGCTGCTCCACACCTGCCTGAGGTGTCGAGGGTGGCTGACTGTACTTTATTATTCATTTCACCCCCCGAGGCAATCACCACCTTCGCTTCCCGCCAGGGTGCATCACCATGTCGCTGCGGATCAACATCCCGCCCGCTACGCGCATCTTCCTCGTCAGTCTGCTAACCTTGTCCCTCCTTTACAACATCGCCCGCTGGCGACAGCTCGACTCCAGCACCACCTCATCTCCCATCGTGCCGTACCTGACTCTCGTCCCCTCGCTCTTCTACTACTACCCGTGGACATTATGTACGGCAACCTTCGTTGAGCAAAATATCTTTACCGTGCTCTTGAATGCGGCCACCATCTTCTATGGCGGGAAATACCTCGAGCGCGCGTGGGGTTCGCGCGAGTTCAGCAAGTTCATCGCGATCATCGCAGTCCTCCCGAATGTGCTGATCATCCCCATCTACTTGATCTGGGGTACCACCGGAGGGTCCACAAGTAGAGCGTATGTCTTGACACGAATACCATATACCTTCAATGCTGACCACCTCCATCAATAGTCTTACTCAGATCTGCGGTGGCATCTCCATCCAGGCCTCTTTCCTCGTTGCCTTCAAGCAACTCGTCCCCGAACACACCGTGGCCCTGTTCAAGGGTTTGGTCAAGATGCGGGTGAAGCATTTCCCAGCCCTTTTCTTGCTCCTCAATACCGTCAGCGGCCTCATTTTCGGGACGGACACCGCCACCATCCTGGCGTGGATCGGTCTCCTGACCAGCTGGACGTATCTGCGGTTCTACAAGTACCAGCCCGACCTTACCGGCACGTCGACTAGTGCTCTTGGAATTAAGGGAGATGCCAGTGAGACCTTTGCGTTCGCCTGTCTCTTCCCCGATGTGATGCAGCCCCCGATTGCCTTCGTCGCCGACCAGATCTACGCGCTGCTCGTGACGCTCAGGATCTTGGCCCCATTCTCCGCCGCCGACATTGCCTCGGGGAACCAGCAAGTCCTGGCCCGAGGAGAGGCCGGCTTGCCCACTCTTCTAAACAACCAGCGTGACGGAGCGTCAAGGGGCAAGCGGGAAGAAGCGGAGCGCCGACGCGCCCTGGCGCTCAAGGCTTTGGACCAGCGATTGCAGGCCGCTGCTGTGGGAAGAGCCCAAGCCCAACCCCCTTCATTGCTTGAACCTTCTGCACCGGTTCAACCGCGTTCAACCACACCGACCCCACAAGTCGCACCGGGACAGAGTATGCTAGGAGAGACCAGCTACACCCCGGACAATGCATGATTGCTTCGTGTTACACTTCTGGGTTTGGCCATTTGAACATACGCCGAGCATGGGTCTCCCTTCTGCCTGGCACGGCAGATGATGTATAATGTGCATTGCAATCTTGTCTTGAATTCAGATCTGGCTATACGCCTGGATCTTTGGTTCGCGCTGCCACTTCCGGGCTTCCTTGCCTCGAGTCCATGGGCAGCGTCTGTACGCCTCTCTTGAGTTTCAGTTCAATTCGCTATATACCAATTACAAGCGAGCGTGGGTTATTTTTCACAAGCAACAAACTCATTGTATAATGTTCCCAGTTAGGGCAATTTGCTGTATAAGAGTTCTATACTCCCAAGGCCCGTGGTCAATCACAATATATTCCAACGAATGCAGCCGAAAAGAAAGATGATCCAGAAATACAGAGTCATAAGGAAAAGAAGAAGATGCTATGCTACAGTTACAAATATGTTCCTCTCGTCTTCGACAGGAAATAGAACCACACCCAGACGGATACCCACTTAGGTCTGCTTGAGCTTCTCAACCTCACCCCTCGCCTCAGCAAGCATTCGCTCCTGATCCTTCTTCGCTTGCCGCATACTCTGCACGCGCACCTTATCCTTCTCCCCCTTAATCCGCATCTCCTCCAATTTTTTCAATGCCTCCGCATCCTCAGACGTAGTCGCAATCTCCTGTACCCCCGTCGCAGCCTGCACGCGCGTCCAGATATCCGTCCAGGAGAGATCCTTGAGGTTCATCACAGCCGTCTTCTCAGCCTTTTCAGGTGGCGGTGCATGGGCATCGGTTAGGGCTGTCGAGCCAACCAGCGCGTTGGCCGTGCTGCTGATCCGCTCGGCAAAGTAGATCGTCAATGTGGCGGGTACTTCTTGGTCTTGTGTTTGGCGCACCGTCATCGAGATGCCCGGGTTGTGGTATTTCAGACGTGGCATGCATTTGCGCCAGAAATGTCGCGCGCCGGCGTGGCCTTGGTAGATCTTTTGCGCGTATGTCAGGTGCAGCCGCGTCACGGCGGGGAATTCTTTTGTGGCGGATGTGAGGTTGGGGAGGATGGCGGCTCCGGTGCCGGCGCGGATGTCGAGGATCTGGGGATCGAGTTAGTCTTTTCTGCGTTCCGGTGTAACGTCGTTGCAATTTTGAGGCTCAACGCTGATGAGACTGTTGGAAACGAAGTTGGATTTACCTTCTATAAACAGCAAAGAAACACCGCACGTCAGCCAATGGGTCTTCTTTCTGCAGAGTAAGCCGATGTGTTGGGAGGACTTACAGCATTGAGCTTCCGCATCCGCCTGAATAGGTTCACCATGATGGCAGAATGTGTCGCAAAGGGACTCGCCCTTGTGCAAATAGATTCCCAGGGCTGATATTGTATGAATAGGGGAGAATCAATGGAGAAAGTGGCTCTGCATTGCCCAAGTGGTGGTCGTGATGGGAGTGTCGTGGAAATTGTTCCTGGCAGCGGCAGAAGTTGCGGTGCTGCCAGTCACGTGCTTTGACTCACAAATCGATCAAGCCGATTTTCCATATTTCAAGTCCCGCTCTCCACGCTGTGTATCTCGGGCGAAAGAGGCAAAAGACCCTTGACTCGAGAATCATGGCAGCCGCCGCAGCATCCGCTGCTGTGCTCGATCCGAGCAACGACACTAAAAACACTCTCAAACTCGAAAATGTTGCCCTGCCCCTCCCCCTCGGTGCGAATACACCGTAGCTAACAGCTCCCAGACCGACAAGCGTGACTCCCTGATCGCAATTGAGAAGAAGTACCAGGCCCAATGGAAGGACAACAAGGTTTTCGAGGTCAACGCTCCCTCCTTTGCGGAGGCTCCTCAGGGTGCCATGACTGCCACGGAGCTGCGTGAAAAGTACCCCAAGTTTTTCGGAACCATGGCCTATCCCTATATGAACGGTACCCTGCACGCCGGCCACAGTTTCACCGCCAGCAAAGTCGAATTTATGACCGGAGTGGCCCGTATGGAGGGCAAGAGAGCCTTGTTCCCGCTCGGATTCCACTGCACTGGTATGCCCATCAAGGCATGTGCGGATAAGCTGCGCGACGAGGTGAAGATGTTCGGGCAGAACTTCGAGGGCTACGAAGAGGATGGGGAGGAGCAAGCCAAGGACAAGGCTGCCCCGGCACCCACCCAAGAAGTTAAAGAGCAGGCTGAGAAGTTCTCGGGCAAGAAGAGCAAGGCTGCAGCCAAGACTGTGAAGATGAAGTACCAGTTCCAAATTATGCTGGCCATTGGCGTCCCTCTGGAAGATATCCACAAGTTCGCCGATGCTGCGCATTGGCTTCAGCACTTCCCTCCCCTTGCTATCCGTGATCTCGACAGCATGGGTGCCCGCGTCGACTGGCGGAGACAGTTCGTCACCACCGATGCCAACCCTTATTACGATGCCTTTGTTCGCTGGCAGATGAACCGTCTCCACGAGCTGGGCAAGATCATGTATGGCAGTCGGTATACCATCTACTCTCCCAAGGACGGCCAACCTTGTATGGACCACGACCGCACCGAGGGTGAGGGCATTGGGCCCCAGGAATACACTGCCCTGAAGTTGAAGGTCAAGGAATGGTCACCGAAGCTCCAGGAGCTGGTCAAGGGCAAGATTGAGGATGATGCCAAGGTCTACTTTGTCCCGGCCACTCTCCGCCCCGAGACTATGTATGGTCAGACGAGCTGTTTCGTCGGCCCCAAGATTAACTACGGTCTTTTCAAGCTGAAGGAGAAGGAGTATATTGTCGTGACCAAGCGCGCTGCTTGGAATATGGCTTTCCAGGGCCACTTCTTTGACAACGCTCATTTTCCCAAGTCCCAAGATGAGCTGCCGCTGGTCTTCGAAGCACCAGGATCTGCCTTCGTCGGTACTCTGGTCAATGCACCGCTGTCCCTGCACACTGAAGGTATCCGTATTCTGCCCATGGATACCGTCTCGGCCTCCAAGGGTACTGGTGTTGTCACCTCGGTGCCGTCCGACAGCCCTGACGACTACGCTACCCTGCTTGATCTGGCCAAGAAGCCCGAGTACTACGGCATTCAGAAGGAATGGGCCGAGCTAGAGATCTTCCCGCTGATCGAAACTCCAACATACGGCAACCTGACGGCTCCTACCCTAGTCAAGCAGCTGAAGATCAACTCGCCCAAGGACGTCAACCAGCTTGCCAAGGCCAAGGAGCTGGCTTACATGGAGGGCTTCTACAAGGGTACCATGCTCGTGGGTGAGCTTAAGGGCGAACCCGTCAGCATCGCCAAGGACAAGATCCGCAAGTCTCTGTATGACAGTGGCGATGCGTTCCCCTTTGCCGACCCCATGGGCAAGGTTGTCAGCCGCAGTGGAGATGACTGTGTTGTTGCCTACCTGGGCCAATGGTTCCTGAACTACGGCGAGAACGATGCCAAGTGGCAACAAGATACCCTGGATCACGTCGTGAACACCTTGAACACCTACTCTGCCGAGACCAGGCACGGATTCGAGAAGAACCTGGACTGGCTGAACCGCTGGGCGTGCGCCAGAACGTACGGTCTTGGTTCCAAACTGCCCTGGGACCCTCAGTTCCTGGTCGAGAGTCTGAGTGATAGCACCGTGTACATGGCCTACTACACCATCGCCCACCTTCTGCACGGCGACCGGTATGGTAACCAGATCGGCCCATTGAACGTGAAGGCGGAGCAGATGATCGACGAGGTGTGGGACTACATCTTCACCAAACGCGAGATCTCCGACGACCTGATATCTAAAAGCGGTATTAGCAAGGACGCTCTGCAGCAGATGCGCCGTGAGTTCGAGTACTGGTACCCCCTGGACGTCCGCGTCTCCGGCAAGGATCTGATCCAGAACCACTTGACTTTCTTCTTGTACATCCACCTCGCCCTCTTCCCGCCGGAGTTCTGGCCTCGTGGTGTGCGTGCCAATGGCCACCTGCTACTGAATGGTGAAAAGATGAGCAAGAGCACGGGCAACTTCCTCACCTTGAAGGATGCAGTGGACAAGTTCGGTGCTGACGCGACCCGTATTGCTTTCGCCGATGCTGGTGACAGCATCGAGGATGCTAACTTCGAGGAGGCTGTCGCCAACAGCAACATCCTGCGCCTGTTCACCCTGAAGGAGTGGATTGAGGAGGTTGTCCAGGATGACACTCTGCGTACCGGACCCGCCGACGCTTTCGCCGACAAGCTGTTCAACAACGACATTAACAGCATAGTCCGCGAGACCCGGAAGCACTTCCAGGAGTAAGTTTGTTTGACTCTTATCAGCTTAGAATTTGCTAATATCCGCCTAGCACGAACTTTAAGCTTGCTCTGAAGTCCGGTCTGTATGACCTCACCAGCGCCCGCGACACTTACCGTGAATCTGCGACGGCCGCTGGCGTGGGCATGCACCGGGATATCGTCCTGCGTTACATTGAGATGCAAGCTCTTATGCTGGCACCCATTGCCCCCCACTGGGCCGAGTACATTTGGCTAGAGGTTCTCAAGAAGGTGAATATCTCTTTTCCTATTGCCAATCTACCCCGTTCTAACATCCCATCAGCCCGAGACGATCCACAACGCCAGGTTCCCCGAGGTCCCCGAGCCCTCTCCTGAGCTGTCCGCCGCGCAGGCGTACGTTCGGGGCACCGCGTCTTCCATCCTGTCGTCAGAAGCAAACTTCGCGAAGAAGCTGTCCAAGGGCAAAGCGTCGACCTTTGACCCGCGCAAACCCAAGAAGCTGACCATCTTCGCGGCCAAGAAATACCCCACCTGGCAAGAGAAGTACATCGACCTCGTCCGCGACGCCTTTGACGCTCTCAGTGTCTCCATCAACGAGAAGGAGCTCAACGCCAAGGTCGGCAAGCTTGGCGAAATGAAGAAGGCCATGCCTTTCGTCCAGGTCCTGAAGCGCCGCCTGGTTCAGGGCCGCGAGGCTCCCGAAACTGTCTTTGAACGCAAGCTGCCCTTCGACGAGTTCGCTGTTCTCTCCGAGATGCTGGGTGGTCTGAAGCGTACTGCGGGCTACAAGGAGATTGAGGTTATCGCTGTTGATGAGGGTGGTAAGACCGGCGAAGTCGTGGGCACTGGCGAGAAGAGGGAGGGACTGAGTGCTGAGAATGCGGTGCCTGGGCAGCCAACTTTCCAGTTTGCCAACGTGGATGAGTAGATGATTTCGTTGTTTGGAAAAAGAGCTATGTTTGATGAGTTTATGTGTTTAAAATACAAGAAAGAATTTTCATATTGTTCTTTGCCGTCCCACGGTCATCTCCAGAAATATACCTTTTGATGTTCCTGCATAAGTCGAGTCCAAACTAGTCTTTCTCCGAGTTTAAGCTTGAACCAGATCAAGTCATTTCAGAGCCTGTCTAGAATACTTTTCGTATAAATCCGGGTACCATCTTCTCCCAACATCAGGGTGACTTAAAACTCGGTTCCGGAGAGTTGCCTCTCCAAACTATGTAGAAATACAGTTAGCCTCGCCTCCAGTCACTTGGAAAGGGCATTGTTGAACATACACATGAGTATAAGGGCGACAGGAACTCGCTTGCGACATCCACGTCTCGTTTCTCCTTATCATCCGAGACCGGAATGCGCTGCACAATATGCGCTGCGGAATCTTTGAGCTCGGGTAAAGTCAAATCTAGCCTCACGCCCAGGAAGAAGGGAATGCTGAATCGAGCTCTTTGTGTAGGGGCCTATAACACGATCTTAGCATTTCCTCAGGGCTGCCATAGGTTGTTCTTGACTGACTAGCACGCGGTGTGTGGTAGCTGCACAGACTCCGCCAGTGATAGCCTCGAAGCCCTGCTGAATGTTGACAACAAGGCTACCATCCACAGGCGGGACATCGATCCACTGTCCGTTTTTGTTCAGGACTTGTAGTCCGCCTGTATCGTCCTGGGAAAGGAACGTGAAGAGCCCTGTCGAGTCCTTGTGCGGACCCACACCCTGCGAATTAGGTGGACTCGCGGGATACTTGACAAACTTGAGTCGATCCATGTTACCTTTAAATTGGTCAAAGGTAGCGGGTGGTAGTGATAAACATTCTGCTACCAAGTGCATGAATTTCTGCGCCAGGCTTCCGGCCTTATGGAAGTACTCTTCGATCATCTCTTTGGAACCAGGGGCGTCTGGGTACTTGGAGAAAGAGGTCAGCGTAATGATTGAGCCAGGTATAAGATTCGTGCTTACCTGGTTGGGGCCTTCAAGCTGCTGCCAGAACGGATCGTCGTCCCTCCATGGCTTTACTCCAGGAGAGCCAAAATCAAATTGCTGACAGATAGTGTTATTACCCTTTCACCAGAAGATAATAAAACGATCCTAGAGGGCATACCTCGCGGAAATCGGTCTTTGAAGCGGTTGTTTCAGCACCCAGGCGTGTATACCCCAAAAATGAGGGCGAATTTATCATGTCACATTTCTCCTTCACTTCTTTAGACAGAGCAAAGAACTGCGGGATCCGCTCATGTGTGCTATGGATGAGATCCTTTTTTGTTGGTCAGTCGTCAGAATTGCATGCTGATCAGATTAAGTGAAGGTTATTATCACCTCAAGTCCGGTGTTCGTCAGGTACAGAAACCCCACTAGAAAGATAGCTTCGCGCAATTTGGCCAGTTCCTCCTGTTTTGTGACTGGATTGTTCAGTCGGCCGAAGTCCACCTTCGGAACGGACGAGAAGGTCTCTACCATTGTGGTAGGTGTGGTTGAAAACAATGCGTCGCTGGAACAGGCTGAGGATGAATGGTTATAGCCCCGCGCCTTCAAAGGAGCTGTCAAATACAGGGCGCGACTAACTAAGAGGAATTTATTGGGCTTCAAGCTGCCCGTATGGATGACCAGTGAGGATTTAAGGAGACTAACTAGTGTGGTTGCTCCTCACGGGAGGTCCATTTCCGGCGTTTGATTGTGATCTTCGGGATTTGCTCCACAAATCAAACGCCGAAGGGAGCTGACGTCAAGCGAGAATAGAATGCTACTAATTTCATGCATTTTGAAGTTTTTCTTCTACTTACCAGGACCGGATTTCATTATTTACGGATTCTGTCTAGAAGAAATGTCAACTCTTTGATGATGTCGATCGACGCGACGCTTGTTTCCTATCGTCCACCATTCTTTCCATTCACCTAGAGAACTAGGACAGAGCAGGAACGCTCAAGAATCATGGCTCGAGCTAAACCTCCTGTAGTAAAGGCTGCATGCCTTGCATGGTAAACAAGATGCTTTTACCCCTGTTAAATTAGTCAAATAGAGCTGACAGAAAATATAGCCGCTCGTCGAAAACTCGATGCGATGGCAAACAGCCATGTGGTAGTGTAAGCCCATCCTACCCTCATTTGTTCACAGTGACCAACCTAAACCATCATCGATCTGTTAGTGTGCCAGCAGGGGCCGAGACTGTAGTTACCAGCCCAGTCGTAGGGGTGGTGTCCGAAGAGGTGCAAGATATGCAGAAGAGCAACGACGTCGTCTTGAGCCAGAAAACCCACCGTCTTCCTTCTCTCCTAGCTCACCTCCAGAGATTACCGAGAGTCTAGGTAAGTGCCTCATTTTATTCTCAAGCCTGTCCTTATCTGACTGCTTTCTAGACCCTGCCTTGGATAAGATGATAGGATTGGTTTCTCCTTTTTCAGGTCTTCACAACCTTGATTTGTCCCCAGACAGTCTCTCAGATACACTGGGAGGCCGGCATTTTTGGGAACAGTTTACCCCAAGTACTGAAGGCCCCCATAATTCGGTGTCTGCTGCCGATGTAGAACAACCAACCGCTAGAGCATATCAAAGCGAAGCGGACATGTACGCCGAGAACCCCCAGAAAATCCAACTTACTAATAGCCATGAGACAGTGTCAATGCCTACTACTTGTATATTCACCTATATCTCCCATTATTGCCGCCATCAACAGAGCTGAAGCACAAAGATTCATATGGGTTGACTCAACTATCGACAGGATCAATCGAACCCAAAAAGACGGACTTGCCGTATTGGCCAAAGTCATCTTTGAGCCTCGCCTTGTCTGCCATCCTAGCTCTGATACCACCTTCTCAAGACTCGTCCCCAATGTCTGAAGCAAACGTTGTGCTGAGACGGTCGTACGCACATATGTTTGCCCAGGCGGCGCTGGCAAGTGCGGAAAATGAGATTGACAGGATTGGGCATATGTCAAGTTTGGGAGTTACCCTACCTCAAGAAAGAAGCCATTTGCATCCTCTAGTGCCTTTCCATCTTGATTCAATCTTGGCTCTTGTTGTCCTCACCATTTATGAGTACTGCCAGCGTGGCAATGTCTCCAGAATGAGGGCTCGAATCAACCAGGCTGTGACTACGGCCATGGACATGTCTCTTCATGAGCTTGGGTTGACTACAACAGAATATTCAGAAGCGCAACGGCGCGCTTGGTGGATGACAGTAAGTTTATATGAACGTTGTATGCCCTGCTGCTAACTGAATTATTAGATGTTTGTGATGTATCAGTCTTCCAATCTTCATCTTGCAGTAAGATCAGTCCCTAACCCGAGCTACAGGAGACTTCCTACTGACAATCAACGCAGCCACCGGTGATTACTGCAGAGGATCAACGAATTACGACCCCCTTCCCTCAGTTTGACATGCATCTAGAGGTATCCTATTATCTTCAAAATTAATGATCACCCCTTGGCTGACTTTTTATAAGCCCTGGTGCTTCATTATAAGGGTCCAGAAAACCCTTTATGCGTGTAACCAAATGGTTCGATGGCCGGAGCGCGTGACTGAGGTAGTCCCTCCACGTGATATTAGCACTGAAATTAGAAATCTGGACAACCAAGTTGTGTCCTTGATGACCGAATCAGATCGCTATCTTCGAACCGGATTTGACGAAGGGGATGAAGCTCTCGTGGCCGTGAATATGTGGAGAATCAGTAGGATTCTCATCTATACGTGAGACAGATGTCTTCAATCACATAATTTTACACTTGCTGATTATTTTACAGTGCCCGAATTCGCCTACATCGTTCCAAAGCTTTCATGGATATCCCATTGTTCTTAAACAAACACTGTGATCTCTCTTCGATCAACAGCCACGGCTTCTCGCATCACACAGCCACTCCTTCGGTATCTCGAGGAACAAAGTTTGATGCAAGTTTCCCGTTTACCGAACAAGAATCCTCTCATATTTGTCTTAAGGCTTCCCTCGTAGTTGCGAAGGGTTTCCGCGACTTGGTATATCCAAGCGCTTTCGGTGTAGACAATTCTGAGAGAAATCCTCTGAGCAGTAAAGACATATTTACAGGCTTAGGGGATTACAGATATCCACACACCATCCCTTACTTTGCATGCTGCGCCATGCAAAGCTCTTACGCTCTCCTCATGCTCGTCCACAAAGTACGTTCAAGTCTCGCGACTGATCGCCTGGGAACGTGTTATCATCTACTCAACAAGCCCGAGCCGGCTACAGAAGCTTCTGATGCTGAACGGTTAATCGAGGAGCTGCGTCATGGGGTTGAGATTCTCAGTGTATCTTTGGAACCAGATGTCGTTTTCGAAGGTGTTGGGAGAATGGGCCACGAAATCAAAAGCACATACTTGGCCGCGTTTTCAGATTACGCCGAGATTTAGATACCACGGGTGAAATTGTTAATATGATACTGAGATCTGAGGCTGGTGTCTTTTCAAAAGAGAATCATGGAAGTAGACGGTAATGTTAAGAATAACGCCAAGCTGAGGATGAACAATACGACTTGAACCATTGCTAGATAGTCAGCGGCGATAGCTTATAAGCAGGATCGTAAGTTCCCGGGTTGGTGCTGTTCGTCGTGCCATTCCAGCAGTATCGTTGGAAACACGCAGTGCAGCTCTCTGGGATAGCGGTGTTGGTGCGTTCAAGACTCCGACTCAAGATGGCACAACCCAGGCACGTCGGCCAGTCGGAATCGATGGTTGCGTTTCCCAGCGTGGCAACATCATAGCCGTTTTCAATGATGGCGTCACGCTCAGTGGTATTATATTGCAGGTCGAATGTGGATACGTTGGACTGGTAGATGTACGGCGCGTTTGGGATGTATACAACCAGCGGGGCAGCGCCGGTGACGTTAGAGCTGTTGCAGCCGAAGAAGGTCGGACGGCTATTCAACCCCAAGTTGATAAAGGTGTTCTGGTCCGGTATGGGCGGGAAAGCGAGGCCGCTGCTCTTGCCCAGCGGGCTCAGGCTGCGCTCGTACGTGGCGACCATGGAGGTGCCGTTGGGCCATTGTGTGCTCGTATCAGCGGACGAGTCAAGCGCTAAGACCAAGTCCAGTATGCGCTGCGGCTGTAGCAGAGGTTCCAGGGGGATGTTCTGGAGGTCTTCTCCACCGTCCACTAAGGTCAAAGACGTAGAGCTAGCGTACTCGGACTGGTTGCTGTACAAATAGAATGGGTTCGGGTCGTACACAGCAATATCATTGTTGGCCGCCCCTATCGAACCCAGGATCTTTTCAATAGAATTTTTCACTATATCAGACGCCTCGGTGTTGTTGATCTGCAGGAACGCTTGGTTAAATAGCGACGATGATGTCCCCATCACGAACCCGGCATTATCGAACCCGCGGACGCACTGTTGGCCTATGGGAAGCGCCCCGGCGGAGAAGTTGGACGCGAGAAACTCTAAAGGCACAAAGGCTTCCAAGGGACGATTAAACGTCCCAAATTCCCAGGGGTTGAATTCAAACACGGTCGCGTTGTCTGGGATAAGGATCTGCCCAGGAGCTCTGCCATCCGCGACGGCGATAGGCATGGGCATGCTTCCGCTCTGGAAATCCATACTTTGGGCAATGGAGGACCAGGTATAGCTGACACCACCTTCGGTATCGTTGATGAGTTGGTAGGCGAGCGCGCGACCCCTTTGTGGGCAGATCAGCACCAGTGTCGTAGAAGCAGATGGTTCATTCTTACCAGTAATCCGTGATAGAAACATTGTACCCAGCGTCCGACTTCCCGCTCACTGCATCCTGCAATTGCGAGTAGTACTCGAAAGACTTGAAAGAAAAATGAGTACTCTGGGTTGGACCGACGAAAATGGAATCCTGAAACTGCCACACCGTCTCGCTGTCTCGCAGGGACGTGATATCCGTGAAATTGTTGAGATAGACGGACCCGACCAGCCAACTGCCTCCACTCAACCCGGAGAGATATGTTGCCGACTGCAGGATTCCTCCCAGATGGCCCTGAAGACTCGAGTTAGGAGTACGAGAGTCAAATGCTTGTAGAGCACCGCCGCCGTTCATCAGTGCTCGATAACCACCACCAGACGCTGCAATCCCAATATTGGGTAGCGCAGATGCATTGTTAGCATTCTTCTCGATATAAGAAGATGCGTTTAGTGAACCGAAGTCCAATCGGCCCAGATAGCCGATCATCGCATCCACGGTAGCGTTTCGTCGCTGTTTCAACCATGCCGTTTCGTTCGTTGACAATGTCGACCCATTGCGGATGGATGGTCTATCTACAGGACAAGCTTTACCCTGCGGTGTGTACCCATCGGGAGCGTTGGGGAGTGCTTTTCTGTAAAGCGATGAAGACTTCACGGTCCATGAGTCTCGTTGCAGGATATTCCATTCAACGGAGGAGCTAGGAGCGTCCGGATGGCTGTACACCACGAGCCATGTAACCACAATAGGGAGAAGTTTCAGTGTCGCCAGAAGATTCATCATGATAAGATGAAGGCAATATAGGAACTGGTATGTTTGTTTCGATGTGCTTTGATCGGAACAGTGCGGACCGCTGCAAGTTCTACAGAGATGGTATTTATCTCCATCAATGCGATCTGACTAACAGCGGATCCGACCATGTCATAGATTGGCTTGTGTCAATGGGTGTAAGTCAAGGTGAAAGATTGGAGGACCGCAAATGGGCCATGGAGTGACTTCCATGGGTTAACGCTACACCGTACTGAGCAAGTATCGCTCTCACATCCTGGAAAAATTTTCGCAATTTGCTGAATGCTTCATTAAGAGACAGAATCGTTCGTTAAAGAAGAGCGTATTCACCATATAGAGTATGACGTAAATACAACGCATTGAGAGTTTGATGATTAAAGGTTGGTTTAGGTTTGCCCAGATAACCACTCACCTCCGAAGTTCAACCACGGAAGAAGCGGATTACCGGTCACTACAACTAAGCTGGAAGCTCGCTACCATTAGATGTACTTTTTTTTCTGGGCTCACTGCACCCATCTCGGGTTCCTATTTTAATCATTGTATGCCACTAACTACGTTGTCAAGCCTGGTATGATGACCTACCTGACGACGATTGGAGAATCGAAATCAGAAATAGGGCTTCGATGGCTAAAAGGGCAAATGATCCCTGTGAATACTAGTCTTACAAGGGTAGATTTGGACTACTAATTCTTGATGGCCATAGTAGTCGTTTGACCCCCAATTTCGATCGCTTATGCTCTGAAAATGACATTCAAGGTTTTTACTCGTCCACATATTTTCTAGCTATGGAAGACAACGATCTAGAATTTCTAGAGAAGATGGCCCCTTTGGTTTAATAGACTTCTACATCGTTGATGTTTCCTCTCCTGGTCCCGCAATGGTCGCGGGAAAGGCGGCATGAAAGTCCATCCAGCTGTCAATTACACGTCTCTTTTGTGAAACGAATCCTGTATGATCTCTATGAATTTAATATTTTCTACTGCGTTCTATCGTCTTATCCCCGACGGAGCCCGGAAGATAAAGTTTCGCTTTCCAAACAGATAAAGAAGAAAAGAAACAATGAAAACCGAACCACAGTTAGCCACTTTGTGTCGAATGTCCCGAAGTCATCATTCGTCGCCGTATACTTACAAGGTCTTCATGTATAGGATGTGACTTTCGTCCATCGACTTACTGTAATGGTGGTCTGGGCTTGGCGAAACGATATAGGGTAGCCTCCGAATTGCGCAGATCTGTGTTTCAGGATTAGGGATCTATGAACAAAATGCATGTAGGATCGACCCTACATGTGGATACTTCGGATAGAGCGACTATATCATTGGTAGGGGCCTGAAGATCATCAGTACATGGCAACGCTGCAGGAACCACACCCTGGAGCTTAGCCTTGCCTGCTCTTCCCTCGTTGGGTAAAGTGAGATCGGGAGGGGCGGGTCAGATGCAGTAGTGGACGGCTTTCCTTTCCATTTTAGTACTGGGCCCTCGACACTTCCTGATCGCAATGACATTCTACCAGTTACAGTGGAATATATCCGTGAAAAAACCACTCATGTTCAAAGCTCGACGGTCTTTTGGTTCAGAATTCCCTCGAAGCTATTTCCAGTGCAGCCCACATAGACCTTTGTTATTCAACGCGATCGTACCTGTCGCTACATACTCCATCAGGAAAGTCCAGTGACAGCTAAGACATTATTTCAGGCAGCAACATGCAAATCTAACCTCTTTTGGGGGGAAAAACCGGACATCCGGTTCATCAAAACTTTCAGTGGTTGCATCCATGTTCCTAGCACTCTCGTTGGCGGTGTATACTTGTTGATCAACTTTAAGGGACCCGACGTGGGCCGTCGGACACACGAGGCCTTCCGGAGTATTCTTGGGATTGAGTAAAGCGCCGGTTGTGAACGGCACTCAGATGTCGATCAAAATATCTTGATAGGCCCTCCCCACAGCTTGTTTCCTAAAGATAAGCATGCGCATGCGGGGCATGTTTCATCGATCTTTCCATCTTTCCAGTCAACGAATTCGAAATGCACCGATCGGCCTCCGCCGGCCGTAGTAATGTACATCAACTAACGGTAACAAATTGCACGCCTAGCGAACTTATACACTCTCAATGCTACCCCTTATGTTACATCGAGGCTGGTTTGTATATGAAATCTAGGCATGGCAGCATGCACATGTACTCGATTTAGGAGAAGCTTCGTCTCATTGTTTATGTATAGAAATACTATATAAGAGTGCTAGTTTCTCTACTGCCTTTCGGTTCTCATCCTCGATTATCCCAATTCTCTTCTTTTTCAAACCAATCTGGTCTTTTTCAAACAAAGGCTTCCAAAGGAACATTACTATATCATGAAGTATTCTATTCTTGGTGCCGCTTTGCTTGCGACCTCCGCTGTTGCAGCGCCTCTGACGGCTTCTCGCCAGGCGCGCGAGCAAGCTCGCCGTCTTCACAATGGCAAGGCGCGTCACCAGAGTCACCCGCCTTATAAGCCTGGTACCCGCCAGTTGCTTCACCCGAGCAACAGCCACAAGGATATCACCCAGGAGCAGTATGATTCCAACTGGGCGGGAGCTGTCCTCGTTGGAACCGGCTACACCGCAGTCTCTGCTGAATTTCAGGTCCCGACTCCTCAGGCCCCAGCTGGCGGTGACTCCAGCACCCAATACTGCGCCTCTGCCTGGGTTGGTATTGATGGAGACACTTGCTCCACCGCTATTCTGCAAACCGGTGTGGACTTTTGTGTTCAAGGCGGCTCTGTGACCTATGACGCATGGTACGAGTGGTACCCAGATGCTGCATATGACTTCAGTGGTATCAGTATCTCATCTGGAGACACGATCCGAGTGACTGTGGATGCCTTTTCCACGTCGACAGGCAACGCCACCATCGAGAATACCTCGAACGGCCAGACTGTGTCTCACAGCTTTTCTGGCGTCCAGGGCGACCTGTGTGAATATAACGCGGAGTGGATCGTCGAAGATTTCGAGTCCGGCGGCGGCATGGTTCCATTTGCGGACTTCGGAACTGTGACCTTCACGAACGCTCAGGCCTCTGATGGTGGCTCCACGGTTGGACCTTCAGGTGCTTCTGTTATGGATATCCAGCAGAACAGCACCGTTCTCACCTCTTCGTCTATTTCTGGAAACAGCGTCACTGTCCAGTACAATTCCTAAATCCATATGGCCTATAGCACCGGAAGCGAGATTTTCCGGTATGCACTTGTGAATAGCTTCAAATTCAATGTAAATAGTCTTTGAACTTCGGTTTATCTTATCTTCTATGGTAAGCCTGTGTAAATGTCAGCCGAGCGAGCTTAATGCAGCCTTGGTGGTTTATATGGAGCACTTGCCATATCTTCACAAATAGAATTGAGACACTCAACAACCCACCAGAGAATAAAGGAAGCAAGTATTAGGGCACGAGTATAGCAAAATACAAAGCAGGAGTTGTGATATAATATTGCTCAGGGCAACGCCAGTCGCTATGCTACAAATATAATGTACATCTGGGGGTTTAAATACAGAGGAAATCGAAGGGTGACGTCTAACGAGTCCCGCTAGGTCGACGAACAAGTCGCGGCCTCTTGCGCTTATCTGCCTTGTGCTTTTCGGCAATGAAGTCCCAACATTCCATAGGTGGCCGAATTCCAATGTTCTGCCCATTGGGACTGAATACCTCCACCTGGGGAAAAGGCTGGAAGTCATTCTCTGAGTTGGGCTTTGCACGAATCTGCACGCTGACTTCAATCCAGCCGCATCCCTCAATGAGGATATCGGCCGACATCACGCGGTACGGCAAGCGTCCTGGGGTGACACCTCTGTCTTTCACGGCTTTTGCGAGCGTGGTGGGTAGATTTGAATTTGTGATATCCCACTCCAGATCAAAGACTCCAGCCGAATGTATCGAAGATCCGGTGCCTTCTTTCATGAGCACTGTCCCCGGATAGGCGCGCTGCTCGGCCTGCATCTCAATTGCTTTATCCGTCTTGGTGATGTGCGACTCAATGGGCACGAAACAAGCTGCCAACATGGTATCTTCTGGATTAACCGTGGTGAGGCGCACAAGACCACCACCTAAGAGAAGAGATTGGCCGGGCTTGATTGTACGACGCTCGGGCTTGATGCGTTTCGACATGATCAAGTCGCGCTTATGTTCGTCACGGACGTGGTCTTCCAATTCACCACGCTCCAGGCCAGGCAAATCGATCATTTCCCCTCTACCTCGACCAAACGGAATGCGAATGGGAGAGACGGTGGTCCCAGGCAAGGAAGACACGACTGGAAGGACAGGATATTGATCTTCGGCCGGGACAGGAGGCAACAGACTATCGGAGTCGAGTTGATTGGAGACCGCCTCCTCTCCGCGATGCTCCTTCCATTCATCCATATTCTCAAGACTCTTCGAATCCTTCGGGAAACAAGCTTCAATAAAGCTGCTCTTCCCAACATTGGCCTTGCCAACCACCCAGACTCCCCCGCCATGCTCGCGGATTTCCTCCTTGACCTCTTTAGTCCACCAGCCTCGGTGCGCGCTAATCATATGCACGTTACCCAAACGCACGTCCTTTGCTGCCCGGCCCAGAGCCGAGCGAAGCACTGAGCGAACATACTGCATCTTAGAGTCCACTTGCTCTTTTTTGGCAGCCAAAAGATCCGAACGCGTAATGATAAATGAGATCGTTGGGAGTTTTCTGCCGCGAATGTACTTTTCGGTCGATGCCCGTCGGTTCAGACCACGCTGTTCCTGGGCCGCCAGTGCCCGGTGGATCCGGGGCACGAGTGACATGGGAAAGTCGGCGGCATCAAGAACGTGGTAGATGCGGTTATGCTTATGTGGCGACTCATCCAGGAACTCTCGAATAGCCATGATCGATGGCTTGGGCGTAGTGACTGCCTTGTTGTGATGCTTAAGGTCATGGCACCGGTCACAGATGTGGGAAGTGCGTTTTAACGTATTTGTCTCCTTCCGAATATCGGTTTCGTTCACTAAGATCTCATCTTTGTTTTTGATTAGCGTCGAATCAAGACTGAGAATAAACAACGACGTCCTACCGTGAATAGGAGCGGGGATTGCTTGCTCCCCGCCAGTCTCGGCTTCTGGTGAAATATATTCTGCTGGGACGTCTGCATCCTGACCGTCGAGGGAACGATTTTGAGCTGCTAACAACTTCCGCATCTGCTTTCTGCTCGCATTGTAGTATCCCGGTTCATCCGGCCAAACAGTCTGGGAGAAGGCGCCGCATCCAGGACAGCAGACAGGCAAGACCTCTGTTGCACGGATTTGTTCTTCGGGGATCTGTTCTTGCCGGAAAGGGGTCGTAAAGTTGTGATGCGATCTGTGAAAGAAGTGTGGAGAGTTTCCATTTCGAACTCTCAGTGGCGCGGCATTTAATGGGAATGCTGACGACGGTCGCAAGATCCTTGGGCTTGATCGCCAAACATCACATCGAAGGGCCCTTCTTATGGCAGCCCGGGAGCAGGACATGTCGGACAATGCAAGAAGAAGCTCCGTTTTTTCGCGCGATAAGAAAGTTGTTTATCGATAGCGTAACTGGTCTGCGTGGGCTACCGTAGCCGAACTACACTTTCGCCGACAATACTTCACAACAACCACGACACATTGCATTGAATATACATTCTGCATTTACTATTGAACACCCTTGACGAACACCTACTACCACTATATGCTCTCAATACAGTTTGCTCTCCCGATCAGAATATAGAGTGGAAAAGTCTCATAGGCGCCGCTTTTAACCATGCACCCCAGGTCGGATATTCGACCTTCGGGGGCAGGTCAACGTCCAAAGCACTGTCTCGAATATTGCTGAAGACATCAATGTCCTGCACCTTTATAAACCAGCCGCCACGTTCGAGTCTGGGATCCTTGTTGATCCGGGTATAGATCAGCCAGCCCACGAAGAGGAGAATGATCAAAGGCATGGCAAGGTAGTTCTCAAAGAATGACTCCGCGCTCATGGTTGCAACCGACACATAGAATTCGGCGATCAGACACAGCACATTGAGCGAGAGGCCGATCCAGCTACCAATGACACCGAACGGGGCAGAAAAGGCGAGCTCTTTGACATCGCGCCCGTTGTGCGCCCAGGCCTTGCGGAAGCGAATGTGAGCGAAGCAGATGCTTCCCCAGACGAAGAAGTCGGAGATACCGGAGAGCGCCAGCAGCCAGTCGAAAATAATGCCACCTGTGTTAGACGCCTCATTGATGAAGGCCAGGAATCCGAAGGCAATCTGCAGTGCAAGGCACCAGACAGGCCGACCAGCTTTGTCGACTTTGGCAAAGAATTTGGGGGCCATACCTCTCTGAGCCATGGCCTGGATGGTCCGGCTAGATCCATATGTCGCAGAGTTGGCCACGCTGATCACAGAAAGAGTGATAACTGCGTTCATGACAGATGGCAGACCCTTAATACCGGCGTTCTGGATGGAGACAACGAATGGCGAAGCCTTGGTGTTGGCGCCCGATGATCCAAGAAGATAATTAGCATTGTACGGCACGATCAGACCGACAATGAATGTTCCCAGAACGTAGAAGAGCATGATACGCCAGAAGACTTGCTTCGTCGCTTTCGGGAGAGACTTGGCAGGGTTTGCAGCCTCTGCCGCGGCCAGACCACTCAGTTCGGTCCCGCTGAAAGCAAAGGCAGCCGTCACGAAGACCGAGCAGAACCCCTTGAAGTCCGTGAAAGCACCGGGGACGTGCCAATAGTGAGCTCCAATGTATCCACCCACTGGTGCACCACCACAGTCGATCACGATCCCCAATATGATGAACCCAATCAGTGCAGTGACCTTGATCATTCCGAGGGCGAATTCAACTAGAATTTTGTCAGCAGTGACCCGCCGGGATAAGGAGGGTTTCTCCTACCTTCACCATATCCTCGGACACCGAAGATTTGGATGGCGCTCAGAACCACCAAGAATACTGCGATCCAGATCCCAACATTCAGATCCTGTCGCCAGAACCTTATGGTAATACCAGCCGCTGTGAGCTCAAAGGGCAAAATGACCAACCAGCTGATAGCATAATCCCAGCCGACGGCGAATCCCCTGTTCGTAATGATATTAGCGCCGGCCTTTTTGTTTTCCAATTCGACGCAAGACTGACCATGCTGGATTAATGAACCGGACACAGTAACTGAAGAAGGCTCCATTCTCTGGGTAGAGAACAGCCAACTCTCCAAGCGCATGGATGGTCAACAAGAGCATAGCGCCGACAATAAGATAGCAGAGGAGCTGGAAGTTTCGGTCAGTCTTTTCCTGAGTCTGTCCATTAGTCTGGTCAACATACCAGGGAACCCGGTCCTCCCTCTTGCAGAGCATTACCAGTGCCGACAAACAGACCAGCGCCAATGGCACCGCCTATTTTTTGGAGGGGTTGTCAGTCTTGCCTTGCACATCCGGATTGGTACGAGGTACACACCGATGGCAATCATTTGCATGTGGCGACCCTGGAGATTCCGCTTCAGGGGGTTGATGGCACCCTGCTCCAAGTCATCGTGAGGCGGCACACTGCCTTCTGAGGCCGGCTCGACCGCCAGCTCCGCCTTCTTGTCAACGTCTTTCTCAGAAACCGTCATGTTTTCCCTGGTGAATACCGGGTGCGACAGGAGATGGGTACACAAGGGGATGAGAGATCGGCCCCTGTTCTTTCGGGAGATATTGACACTATATAACCGCCACAAATTTCAACAGGGATTGCCCAGGTATCATGCCATGGCTGACCATACGACCGGGCATCCTCTACTCTCACCCTCTACTCTTACCCATTCCAACGTAGCCGGGACTGGGCTCGACCTAGCGGCCCCTGTATATGCGATCAGACAGCAGATAAGGCTTCTGTCAAAGTATAATGTAGATACCAGCACCAATCACGACGAGACCGGGGCGCGCTTTCCCAGCTTGGTTTGATCACTAGCCCCAGGATTGGTTCTTTATCGGTCCATGACTTTAGATACGAGGCCCGTGAAGCCGAGGGCTCGTTGGGGGAAGGCTCGGGCTATCTATTCCCCTGTCTGCTGCTATCACGACGGATCCTTTGGTTCAGATATCAGTGGAAACGCCAACACTTCTAGCTATAAGCTCTCTATCTTGGTGTTCCTTCTTTATGATGAGAGCTGATCCTGCGCGGCTTCGAGAGACTTTTGATTTTCCCGTGTATTGCGTGCTTTCCGGGGGAGATAAGGGCACATGCGTGAAACCTAGCTGACGTTTCTCCTCAGAGCCACCACGAATCAGGGACTCGGTTATAGGCGGCATTAAAGCACTCGGCCCCCCCGGGCCATAATTTGCCCCTTGCCTTTTCCCGCCTTCCAAACTATGTATGAGGTGGGGGATGGCACGCGAGAGCTTATCATGCGCCAACTATTCTGGAAACCCCGGCCCTCCCGACCCTCCCTTGGCCGCATCGTTAAGAGGGCAAAAAAAGCCGACTGGATATCTTATCTACGGCTGACGCCACGGGCAATATTGTTGTTGCGTGATATGATCTGACCGCGACAAAATAGTTAATATGGATAGTTAGTTCACAGTAAACCACGCTCAAACCCTCTCCTGCCAAATAGAAACGCCGTCGTAGATCGTAACCGTAATTTTGTTGCTAAAGCTCAAGCGCGCGCCTTGCCCTTGCCCTTGTCGGCAGATGCATCGATCTCGTCCTCGTCTTCGGAGTCACTCATAAACTCATCGTCATCATCGAACCCAATGAACTTCCTCGGGGCTGTCTTTGGAGCGGGCGCAGATGGGCCCGCGTGATTGGCTGCAGTGTCGTCGCCATCCTCATCCTCATCCTCATCCTCCTCGGAACTGGATGAGGTCGCTCGCTCGCTGCCCTCACTAGCACTGGTGCTCGACCCGCCTAGAATCGCATCCCGCAGACTATCTGTCCAGGCACCATCCTTCATAGCCAGCATTACCGCCTCCCGGGCCTTCTCATTCATTTCCTCTTTATCATCCATCCACTGCTCATCAATCTTATGCTTGCCACCGCCATTCTTTAGCTCGTCCTGACGCTTCTCCGCCATCTCCACCACAGCCTGCCATCTGCGCCGGCGTTCCTCTTTCTCCTTTTTATCCATCTCGGGCTTGACGGCGAGGTACTCCGCAAGCGCTTTGGCCTCATTGACGGTGCGGAGGCGTCGGCCGTCGAGGTTGCGGCTGGAGCTGTTGGCGTCACCTTGGTTGCGCTTGCGTTTGCTGGACATGCGACCACCGGCTGCGCGCAGTTGCGACCCGAATCCACCTTTGCCGCCGCGCAGGGGGACAGTGAGTCGGAGCGGGAGGAGTGAGGGGGTAGTTGTCGAGTCGCCATTGTGGATAGATAGGAAGGACTGGAGACTTTGAGATGATGGGATGAGCACTTTGTTGTTGGTCGTAGTAAGGGTGAGAGAGTGCAGTAGAGATGCGGATGGGAGGTATGAGGCGACTCGTTCTGTCAGGTCGGAGACGGTCGATGTCGAGGGCAGAGAAAAGGAAAGAGTCGACGGAAGCGACAGTCCGGGGAAGGACGAGAGGAGGATATTGACGGGTGCCATCGTGACAGACAGTTGAGCCAAGCTGTAGCGGATGGAGATTCTGGGGTGTTGGGATAACTGGAGGAAGTCAGTCCATCAGTAGTTAACCGACCATCGGCCATGACTCAGCGCATCACATGACCAGTGCCCAAATCAGTCTAGCGCGCGATTAGGGCAACAGCCCTGACTGTCACCGAATCGCACGACGCACTTTTGTCCTGCTCCACTTTGCTCGTCTCTTCAATCCCCCATCCTTTTCTGTTGTCAAAGCGATTCCACGAATTGCGCCAGGAACTCGCGACAATGTATGTGACTCTTGTGCTCCTCAGGAACCATCAACTAACCCATCGCCAGGCTTATCCCCAAGGCCGACCGCAAGAAGATCCACGAGTACCTCTTCCGTGAGGGTGTGCTCGTGGCCAAGAAGGACTTCAACCTTCCCAAGCACGGTGACATCGACACCAAGAACCTTTATGTGCGTCCTGACAGCAACCCAACACATAACCTCCAATGTACTAATTGCCTTGCGAATAGGTCATCAAGGCTCTTCAGTCCCTGAACTCGCGCGGTTTCGTCAAGACCCAGTTCTCGTGGCAGTACTACTACTACACCCTGACTCCCGAGGGTCTCGACTACCTCCGCGAGTGGCTGCACCTCCCCGCTGAGGTTGTCCCCGCCACCCACATCAAGCAGCAGCGCTCGCACGCTCCCCCGCGCGGCATGATGGGCGGCAGTGATGAGCGTGAGCGTCGTCCCCGTGCTCCCCGTGAGGGTGGCCGTGAGGGTGGCTACCGCCGCCGCGAGGAGGGTGGTAAGGAGGGCGGTGCCCCCGGCGAGTTCGCTCCCTCTTTCCGTGGTGGCTTCGGCCGTGGCCGTGGCGCTCCCCCCCTCCTAAGGGTAGTGACCTTGGTGTCCTGTCATCCTGTGCTCGGTCGTCCTGGGGATTTTCTTTTGAGGTGCGGTCCGGAGTAGGGTCCTCGTATAAAGGGATTTGAAATGGACTCACTGGGACAGATCCTTTTGTTTCTGGGAAGGATACGGGAAAAGAAACAAAATTTAGATATGATGCCACTGGTTTTATGATGTAGCTAGTTTCAATGGCAATTTCATGACTCGGTGCAATTCTCTATCTCGATATGTACATGGTTTCACTTGATAGACTCCACTCCTGGCCTGGAGATCTCAAGGTGAACTCTACACTAACTACGCAAACCTCTTCCGATCATACCGAACTACAGCCTGCAAAATGACCGAGGCTCCAGTCGCACAATCGTCTGCCGAGCAGAACTCCTCCGGATGATGGCTCAGTCCGTCCTTGCACGGGACAAAGATCATACTGGTCGGGACACGCTTGGACGTGAAGACACTATCATGACCGGCGCCACTCATTATGGGCCGCACCAGGGACTTGGGGTCTGCAGTGTTCGCATCCGCGACAACTGCAAGAGCCGACTGCTGCACACAGTCAATGCAGTCCGGGTGGAACTTGACAGCGGGCGAGTCAAAGTCCAGTGTCCACTCGACGCGACAGGGCTTGCCAATCCCGGCGCCCTCGGCGGCAGCAATGGCATCAAATTCCGCACGCAGCTCCTTCTCAACCTCGGCGACCAGCTCCGTCTCTGGCCCGCGGACATCGAGACTAAAACTGACCAGCCCCGGGACGGTGTTGACACTGCCAGGCTTAGCTTCAACAATCCCGACACTAGCCAGACACCCTTTAGCGGCAGCGACCTCGCGCGCGCGCACCATCATCTTCGAGAAAGCGTACAGGGCGTCCGCTCGGTGCTCAAAGGCCGTTGTCCCCGTGTGTGTGTCCCGGCCGATCACATTAACTCGGAACCACCGGTATGCCTGCACGGCTGTCACGACGCCGACACGCTGGCCAGCAGAAACCAAGTGGGGGCCTTGCTCGATATGCAGCTCGAAATGGGCAGCTATCGGCATCTGCTTGTATGAACATTTGGTGCTTCCCAGATAGTCAATCTTCTGCAGGGCAGTCTTCATTGTCTCCGGCGCGGACCCTGCTGTTGGCAGCGATGCTACCGTCGGCACCTCCTTGAGATCGTGCGCTTGAGAGAGTGGAATGCATTCGGCCCATACACCTGATGAGACCATACTCATTGGAAACCGGGCACCCTCCTCGCTATGATAAAGATTAGTCTTTAACTTTATGGCTGAAGTGAGGAGAAAAGGCTAGGTATCATACTTGGTCCAGTTCACGACTCCGACTCCACCCTCCGTCTCCAGGCCCATTTCATCCATGGTTTTGAGCGCCTCCACTCCAGACAAAACACCTAGGATCCCATCGTACCTCCCCCCGGTAGGCTGTGTGTCAAGATGGCTACCAATGAAGGTAGCAGGCACGTCCTTTCTGCGGCCAGGACGAACTGCAAAGATATTCCCCATCTCGTCGACCGTGATATCACATTTGAGGTCTTTCATAGTCTGAATAAACCAATCACGAGCACTCTTGTCTTCTTTAGATAGGGCTAGACGCTGCATGCCAGTGTCCGTTGGCCCGCTATGGCCGTGGTTAGACCGGCTTCATGCTTAGGATATATGGATTATGATGATAGGGTAACTTACTCTCCCCACCGGATCCCGTAGCCCCATTGACAAGAATGGTGCAAGTCTTTCGCTAGACGATCCTTGTTGACTCTCAGGGCTGTCACCTGGGCCTCAGATAGTTGCGTGGTAAACATGGTCTTCGATTGTGATCCGGAAAAGGGCCGGGAGGTGGTAAAGAAGTGTGGTTTCACGGTAAATGATCTGGCTGTGAAAGCCGTGCGCAGCAAGGGAGCGCGCATGGTGCCTTTGTAGGATAATTGCTCGAGAGAAGTAATTGATAAGAGAACAACCGGAGTCATGGGCGGGGTCGGCGGTCGAAAGTCCGTTCGATCATGAATCCCCGCATTAAGTAATACCTGTGGAGACGTTGGAGATTGGGGTAGGACGAATGAATAATAGGTGAAAATAACTTCAATCCATTCAATCCATTTGGACAAGTGCACAATCCTCGCAAGGCTATCCTCGGAAACTCCCAGCGGTGTTTTGGGTCAGTTGAACCCTCAACATTACGCATTCACCCGAACCGCCGTCGGTGAAAACGGTCCCGCTGACAATTATCATCTGCGCCGGCACACCTCGACCCCAACAAACCCCAAGACCAACGATGTTCAGATAGGGAAAGTTCGCTCCAATCATGCCCCAGACACGGAGTCGGGTCAAGCGGCAGCGGATCTGCCCCTGGTGCTCACAGTCGTTCTCCAAAGAGGAACATCTGGCCCGCCACATACGCTCGCATACGAAGGAAAAGCCCTTCGGCTGTGTGACGTGCGGCAAGTCTTTTAGTCGCCATGATTCCCTGCTTCGACACGCTAGGTCGCATCAATCTGCCAGTATCTCGTCAGAGACGCCTACCGGGCCTGATCATTCCGCCTTAAATATTTCTTATAGTGCTGGGGGTGATTCCCTCCCACACATTCCAGGGAGAACATCGTCCTTTGGCACCGCCACAAATGAAGCAACCTCCAGTTTATTCTCGCCAACTCAGCCCCGTGCTGTGCTCTCCAGTGACAGTGCACTCGCCCAGCCTCGTCTACCCGGTTGGCTGGAAACCATCGTTCAGTCACCAAACTTCGGCAGCCATGAGAATGCTAATTCCCAAGCTGCTTCTTTCGGTGCTCTCGACGGCATGTTTCAGGAGGATTCCAGCATGCAATGGAATCTCAACCTGGACTCTCAGGTGCCGACCTGGCTGGCCGACGAGGACTTCGACCTGAATGCGTTGAATTCCTCGGTGATGGCAACTACCATGTCCTACTTTTCGCCTCTCAATACCGGGAGCGAGATTGATCCTCTTATTTTTGCGGTTCAACCGCCAGATGACCCAATAATGGATCGTAAAGAAGATCAGGCTCGTCAGAGGTGGTTTACATACATTGGGACGCATGATCCGGGATATATCACTCCAGATGCGATTCCTGAACAAACAGAGGTGGACGAGCGGTATCGAGAGAACTTGTCTCAGCGGCTTCAGCAACGTGTTCCAACGGAGCCTCTGCCGTCCACGGACTTTTTGGTGAGTACTAACGCTTAATTTTTCACTTTTCACTGCTCACCAATGACAGAACCTCTGTATTCAAATGTACTTTACTAGGTTCAATCCCATCTTCCCGGTAGTACATGCTCCAACATTCCGCCCCTCAGCAAAAAGCTCGCTTTTGCTTCTATCCATCTGCTCAGTGGGGAGTCTCTTCGTTGGTTCGAACTACGCCGTTGCCCAAGGCTTGAGGATATTTGAAAGGCTCAACAAGGCCATATTAGCATCATGGGAGAAATACCTGTCAAGGGGGGAGGGGCGAGGCCCTCGCAATGACTCAAGCAGCCTTGATTGGGCAAACGTTCGGAATGCTATCAGGCAAGCCGAGAAACTTGCTCATCGTGCAAACCTTCCATGGGACGGTGGTTACTTGGGCGCGTCGATACAAGATGTTCCAAGTCCATCGGGCGACAGACCAAGTGCAAGCAAACTCTCTCACTCATACAGCAGAAGAAGTTTGGAAATCCTGGGCACATGCCGAGGAGCAGATTCGGGTTGCTGCTGGCCTCTATATCCTTGATTCTGAGATTTCTGAACTTTTCATGACACACCCGTTCATGCAACATGCGGAGTCGACGCTTCCTCTGACTGCAAGCAATGAGCTCTGGGTTGCTCCAACCGGCGCACAATGGAAAGCTACAATGAACAGCGAGCAGTCTGCCGCACGGCCCGATGTCCCTCTAACAGAGATATCAGACCAATCATCAGAGAAGCCTCGCTCGGGACTCGACATGGGATCATCAAGCAGATTCCGTCAGTACACTAAACTGCAAGGTATAGTCGCTTCGATAATGGAAAAGCGAACTTCCCCGGCTGCGTGGACCGACAAAACCCGTCATCAATTCGAAAAACAATTGATTCAATTCTTTGACCAACATCTCAGATCCAAGATAGACAGCGGCACCGACCCTTTCTGTCTAGAGGTATTATGGCATTCGACATTCATGTCTCTCTTCGTCGACTTCAATCGACTGGAGCTTGTGATGGGCCGCGATGGATACAATGAATCAGTGCCCCATCGGGATTATGTTTATAAATGGGCTTCGTCGCATGAAGGCCATCGCTGCGCTCTTCACGGGGCACTGATCCTGCGTATACTCCAGAGCATGACCTTGGGAGTGGAGCCAGCTATCCACGTACCGCGAGCTCTGTACCGCGCAGCGACAGTGTGGTACGCATACTCGGAGTTTGGCATTGATGAACAACATACGGGCACATCAACAGCACCCAGTATGGATTTTCCGGAGCTGGCCCGACTGAACGTTAATAGTCAGACCCTTCTTTTCGAAGCAAATGGCTATAAATCTACAAAGCCCAAGACGCAGGAATCTAGCACGCTTTGTGGATTGATTGATCTGTTGCGGAGGATTGGCCATTGGGGACTATCTAGGAAATTCGCTGAGCAAATAGTTTTCGTGCTACAGGGGGTTACGGAGCAGGAAGCCCAGGGAGCTCTCTTTTAGTTATCTTGTTGGATTTCCTGGATTACGAAGTGTACAATACTGCAATCCGATTCTAAAATATACTCCTACACGACACAAAAGCTCGCCATTCGTCTCTTATCCCTGGAGAAACGAGACCACACGGCTGGCCAATTGCCTTAGGTCTTCTTTGCTATTACAAGCAGCGAAAATAAACCGATCTGGACGCACAATGACAAAACGTGCCCCATTTAGCTCCTTCCCAAGGGAATAAGGGTCATAGAACTGCGGCGCTGGCCGTCCCTCACATAGCAGGGACTGCGCAAACTCGTCGCCAGAAGCAAGCCGGAACACATCATCATCTATCTCCGTGGAGATAGAAGAGAGATCCTCTACCAGAAATGTCGCTTCAGAAGCTCGAATCTCGCCATGGGATATATCATCAATGTCAGAAATGACTTGTTTCGCATCCGCCACTTCATCTAATGTTTTCACATAGACAAGAAGCTGAAACAGGCATTCTTTATGTGCTGCAAAGATCACATCATCCGTAAACCGGATCTCAGCATCTGCCTTATTAACAGCAGTGCAATAAACCTGCGGAAGAGACAAGCCCCCATTGAGCTCAGGCAGAAACGGCATTCCATCAGAATGCTTATACCGCACCATACCCTCTTTCCGCCGACCAAGTCGGAGATCATGTCTCCAGCTGGGGACTAGTTGCACAATCCACAGGTAGATATTGCGCAGGAAGATTTTCACGGGGTTTCCTTCTGTCACGAACCGTCCGTTTTCGATCGTGCTTGCTAGGGACTTTTCCAGCTGTTGCTTGCGTTCCATGTACCATGCTTCCAAGACTTTCTCGTGAGAAAGTAAACTCTTGGATGAAGTGGTGTCACGACAGAGGAGAGCAAGGCGCCAGGCTAGAGAGACGGCGTCGCGGAAGCCGGAGGCGATGCCTTGACCACCGACTATATTGGACTGGTTAGTCTCTGGGAGTACTTGGAGATGTTCCTAATTAGTGGACTTACAGGGAGGAAATACGTGTGCAGAATCTCCACATAGAATAATGCGGCCGCTAGACCATCTGTTGCAGCTGCGAGCTGAGAACCGGAATGGGCGGCATCGAAGGACCGTGATACAGTCTTCTGGATAAGCGATATCCTGTGAAAGACTTGCAGAAGTTAGTAAATGTTTTCAGGTACAAGAGAGGCCAAGAACTTACCCATATCGACTTCCCGAATGTGTGATATAGGGAAAGACTACCCTCTTCATCATCTCCGGTTCAGCCATTTCGTCACCATCCTCGTCTTTCAAAACCACAAACTCAAAGCGCCACAGCCTATCAGCCGGCAGTCCAAAGCGTCCACAAACAGATGGTCTGTTGGGATTGCAGATGAACCGGAAATTTAGTGGGAAAAATAGCTCGTAAACCTGCTCAGGTGTGTATCCCATTTTCCAAAGCGGAAAAGTAGGGTGGGTTTTCTCGTTGGGGAGATCAATTTTCCAGTTTAGAGCTACCCATGTCTCTTCATAAAAGGCGCTAATGCATTCTTAGTATGAAGCTGGCACGAGAAGATGAGGCGCCTACCTGTGGGCCTGGTCCATGGTTATCCCTCGTGCCTCGAGATATTGTTTTCTTGTGAATCCGGTCTTTCCATCGGCACCAACGAAAAAACGTGTACGAATGCGGTGCTCAATTCCTTGGGGATCGCGATACTGGCATATTACACCATCCTCGTCCTCGGAGAGGCCGGTCACCGAGCAGCCAGAACGTAGTTCACAAGATGGAAACGAGGCCATTGCTTGCCGTAGGTTCTTCTCCAGTGCAGGCTGTTTGTGGCAGATAAATCCTACATGTCCTGTTCCACCTTCTGTCTATTCATAAGAGGTCAGATCCAGATTTATAGTTAAAGGTTTTGTCTCTTACTGTCCCGTAATCCATTTCCATAAACGCCCTCTTATCCAGAACAGGATCTGTACCTCCAATGAACTTGAAAGTGTACATACCTAATAGTGATCAAATAAGTATGTTTGATGAATGTCTCTCTCCGAATGACACTCACAGGTTCCAATCTCTTTATAGATAGACGGGTACAGCCCTATACCCTGCAGCAGACGAATCCCATCTTCGTCAAGCGCGATACCTCTTGGGTCAGTTGTAATGTTTTCTTCTTTCTCTAACACGATATTGCGAATTCCCATCTGGCCCAAATACGCAGACAGCATGGCTCCCGTGGGTCCGCAGCCGCATATCACCACGTCAGTGGTTTCACAGTTGAGGTCGGCCATGATAAAGAGATACTAATTCAAAGCGTGCTCATAAACGTCTATTTAGAATAACTCTTTTTTTTTTTACTCGGCCTTTCTGATTGTTCGAGTCCCTCCACAATTGTTTGTGGGGAGTTTACTTCCCCGCGGTGACCCACTCGGGCTGCGGGACGCAAGTCTGCGGGACTTCCGGGTGGAGGGGTCTGTGGAGAAAAAGGATGGGGTCAATAATAAGCCGTGATATATGTTGTTAAAATTTTGCTAGAAGGACTGCCCAGAAGCATTGCAGCAAAGTTCAAGATGGTGAATGATTCAAACCCATATTAGTCCTTTTTCACATCGCTAACAGCATTCCCACAGTCACAAGCAGAAATTACCCGGGCAAACCACGGTGCCTCCATTCCTGATATCGACGCCATAGGCAGCGAGCAAGAGAGCATCGAGACATGGCGCCAAAGATGCAGCATCAAGAAAGAAAATCAGATTCGTCTGGTTAAACTGGCACATATGCGATATCAACACCCTGATCTAGACCAGATTACGACCTTCCTACAGGGTACGTTCTTCCTTTCTTTGATATTCATAAACTAATCCAAGTATCTAGACTTTGGTATGGTCGTGGCCAAGCGCACTGAGGAAAAGATCTGGTATCGAGGCTATGGGGACGACCAGTACGTGTACTACGTTCAAAAAGGGCCTAAGAAGTTCCTCGGTGGTACCTTTGCTGTTGAGGCCTATCAAGATCTAGAGAAGTAGGGCTGTGATCCTTATTATTGTTAATTTAGCCCTGACGTCCTACTAGGGCTGCTCAGCTGGATACCGCCGGCTCAATTCAAGAACTTGCTGATGCCCCCGGATGCGGGTTTATGGTCTCCCTGGCCGACCCGGAGGGATTTCCAATGAACCTGATGTTCGGACAGAGTCCAGCCTCTAAGGGCGAATTTCCCGAGAAGATCATGATCAACTACGAAAACGAGAAGCCTCGTACACGGCGATTCCAACGATTCGATCCTGGGCCAGCTGCTGTGCATAAGGTATGTGATTCCGCAAATGACGGGAATAAAAATTAATCTCATCCCAGCTCGGCCACTACGGTCTCTGCACGCAAAAGTTTGACGCGCTTGTTGACTTCTATACATCCACATTCAATCTCGTCCCTACGGATTTCCTTTACGTGGAAAAAGAAGGCAAGAAGCAGAATGTGGCGCTCTTTGCACATATCGATCGCGGCGAGGACCTCGTGGATCATCATAGCTTCTTCATGAGCACAAATGCCACCTCGCATGTCCATCACTGCTCATTTGAAGTACATGACTTTGACACTCAAGCACTGGGTCACCAGTGGCTTGCCCAAAAGGGGTACCAGTCTGTTTGGGGCGTGGGTCGCCATATCCTGGGCTCACAAATTTTTGACTATTGGTGGGATACCACGGGCAACATGATCGAGCACTATGCGGATGGCGATCTTGTGAACGATCAAACCCCTATTGGATATGGTCCTGCGGGGGATGAGTCGTTGGCGGTTTGGGGGCCTGAGGTGCCGGCCTGGTTCTTGCAGTAGGACATTGTATTGGTAAATCATGGACACTTAGAATGTCATAGTAAATGTTTTTTATTTTTAAATAGCGGTTAATTTGAAAGATACACCCATTAATCTAATATCTTGCTTTTTATGCTAGATTGATATTGGTATATCCACTTGGAAGTTTGTCTTGTTCGCAGAGATTGAAAGTGCCTAATGAAGTGTTTCGTTTCTGCCTCTAGTATAGGATGATCCATCCGAGCCTACAGCAACTCGTTACTCAAATTCCGAATATAAGTCCATTTTCAATTCTATCGCCTATAATTATACCTGTGGTCTAACATTGGACGAGCAGAATAATGCTCCGGGTCTATCATTTCAACGCAAACTCAGCGACTTTCATATCGAACCTTGTTGACCAACGTTCCAATCTGATCAATCTCCACTGAGATCTCATCACCATCCTTTAGAACCACTCTGGGATCACGGAAATAGCCAATACCAGCCGGTGTTCCCGTCAAGAAGATAGTACCCGCCTCCAACGTCGTACCTTGGGAGAGGTAAGAGATCTGTTTCTTGATGGAGAATATCATGTCCTTTGTGTGGCCATCCTGCACGGTTGCTCCGTTATGAATAGCCTTGATCGACAGAGCTTGGGGGTCTTGAATCACAGAGGGAGAAACGAGGACAGGACCTGGAAGGAATTTCGAGTTAGGGCATACTCTTTCAAATCCTCGGGGGAGGTCACGAACCGAGTGGACAGCTGCCATCAAGACCTTTAGAGAAGGACCACTGCGTGGTAATCATCTGCATTGTCCGCGCGGACACATCATTTGAGGCCGTGTATCCGAGAACATAGTCAAGGGCTTCTTCTTCGGGAATATCGCGACCGCTCTTGCCGATGACGAGACACAGCTCGGCTTCATAGTCGCTTGTTCCATCCTGAGCACATTTAGGAATGTTGATCGCAGCAGGATAGGGTCCTGCTAGAGCAGTCCGTGGCTTCGTGAATAAAATCGGGGCCTTGGGAAGAGCCATGTTGGCTTCCTAGGTAGTTGTGAGCTTCCTTGGATGTCATTGCGTTGAGTATTAGGTGCGCTACCTTTGCGTGGTCCATGTAATTCAGGCCCAGGCAGCGGATATAATTGCAATCCTCTCTTGAGACCGGGGATAGTAGCTAGAGCATGCGTCAGTATGCAACGTCTCAAGGACAAGATTGTCGGGTGCCTACCTGCTTGACGTGCATGATTTCCTTCGTAACTCGGCCGTCAAAAATTGTACCTTCGATCACGTAGACAGCAATCTCAACGCCATTGACACTGTCACGACCAACATCGCGAGTTGGGTCAACCAATTGGCCAAGGTGGACCTGACTGTCCTCGACAGCGATGAAACGAACAAGGTGCGTCCAGGATGGCATCTTGGAGTAAGTCAACAATAACCAGTACAGATTATCACTACGAAAGACGACAGGGGTGGATTTTAAACACCACTAAACATGACAGGAGTTCTGAATCCATCTTCTCCATGCGGGGCTGCGGGACAGAGAAGCAGGTAGAAGCTCGGATATACGGATCGATGGGCGAAAACGGATGTTGTGGGGCAAGGCCCCAGATCAGGGACTATGGGGCAATACTTCCGGTGTGGGAAGCTCAACAATTGCATAGAGCAATTCAGTCAGTATAGACGCTGCTACTGATCGGATACCTATTCCTTCATAATTTATCCCCACCACTTGGTCCTCAGCGTGATTGGGACCCGCCTCTTTGTTAGGTTAACTTCTTGACTTGTTGTTAACCAGTATCCCGTAGAACATTCCAAATATTCCAAACAAGAACAATAAACTACTGTACAGTACTTCTGGAAATTGGTGTCACCACCTACACTCTTCAGTTGTTTCTTGAACCCTAATGCCAAGAAGGTCTAATCTACTCTTGGCATGGCCCAAGAACAGCCCCGGTTTCTGGCATCTGCTTTTCCTTCTTGTCATGGCCCTCAATCTTCTCTTCCTTGACAGACTTCCACTCAATGAAAATCGCTCCGAGAACGGTCAAGCAAGTCAATGCCAGAGCCAGATAATATACGTCAATAATAGCATCATTATACGCACTCCTCACACCCTCAGCATACTTCTCCGGCACGATATCGATGATCCCCAGCGCGCCATTCTTCAAGACAACGCCCGGGTCTAGACCCGGCACCTTTCTAGCTAGATTCCGCGCCAGTCGACTGGTGAACATGTTCTGCGCTATCGACAGCGCCACAATGCCACCGAGCTCTTGCGTGAAGCTCAGCACCACCAGTCCGGTAGCTACCGCAGAGTCTGGAAGAACGGTCTGGACCGCTGTGTAGGGCTGTTGGAACGCCAGGCCGACACCAATGCCATACATGATTTGATATGGGATCCATTCCGAGGGCGGGGTTGTAGGGGAAAAGGTTGTGTAGAGGCCTGTGGCAACGGCCATGAGGATACTGCCCACGACCATCGCGGGAGTATAGTAACCGATCAGAGTGGTTACAGGACCCGCGACGAGAACGGCGAGGGCGAAAGGGATTGCGGTTGGGAGATACATCAGCCCGGATTCAAAAGGGCTGACGTTGCGGATTGCTTGGAAATAAATAGGGAGCTGTTGTATTTTCTTAGCTTTTGACTGTGGGTTTGAGGGAGGGGGTGGGCTCACATAATAGGCTGTCACGAAAAGAGCTGCAGAGTTGCAGAAGGTGAAAATAGCGCTGAAAGCGACGGATCGCTGGCACATTAGCTTCAAGGGAAACATGCTATCCTCGCCGGTTCGGTATTCCACCGCGAGGAAGACAAGCAAGAGGACTCCGGTCAGTGCCAAAAGAAAAATAATCCTCCAGCTATTCCATGTGTATTCCGAGCCCGCCCATTCCAAAGCAAGGATAACAGATATCGCCAATGGGACGAAAGTCGCAAATCCTGGTATATCCAGACGCTTCAGTTTTTCTCTGCTGGGTAGGTCGGCATGCTCCGGGCGTTGGATATTGTGCACAAAGAAGAACACAGACAGAATGGCCGCAACGCCCACTGGAATTATGATGTAAAAGCTGATTCTCCATTCTGAGTAACGGGCCACAGCACCGCTGATGACAGGACCAAAGGCCAGCGCAATGCACTCCACGCCGCCCGAAATAGCCGTGTAAATAGGCCGATATTTGAGGGAGGTCGTATTTGCGACGATTCTTTAATTTGTTAGAGATTGTTAAAGGTCTTTGTAAACGTGAGAGCTGGGAATGACGAACATGCTGCTTCCGGCAAAGACACCAGCAGACCCTAGACCACTCACGGCGCGTCCGATAATGAATGCGGTTGAATTGGGAGCTGAGGCTGCTAATACAGAGCCAATGATAAAGACGAAGAATGATATCATATAGGCTGCCTTCATTGAGTAGAAGGAATATACCTGACCATAGATAAGGACCGTAGAGCAAAAAGCGACCAAACTGAGGATTTGATTGTATTAGCAATGCACTGATGGTTCGTGCTGGAAATGCGACCAAGAATAGACTTACTATGATGTTCCATACCAGCCTATCTCATTGAGCGTGCCAAACTCGTCTGAGATCACTGAGGTGAGTGTTGCTACGCAACTCGAGTCCTGCAAGGATTCAAGTCAGCATATAGGACGGCAGAGAATGCATGGCTAGGATTGTTCAATAGATTGCATACATATCCGACAAAGAAATCGCCCGCGAGAATGGAGACAAAGAGAATAACAAATCTGACACCCCGGGGGCGCGAGGGATTCTCAATCTCTTTTTCACCTTTATGGGCAGTCGGGTTGGCAGGCACTTTCTCGTCTTTCGTGTGCCTTGCAGTCTGGTCTGTATCAATAGACATCATAATAGAATCATCATTCTCGGGGCTACTAGGGGGAAGCGTCATGCCCGTTCGATGCAAAGATAACCACGAGATCCGAAGTGAGCCAGAAGTGTAATTCTGGGGCGAAAGGCCCCGCCTGAAGTCGCCGCCCGCGTAGCGGCTGACTAGGGTCGCGATGACACTAGGCCGACTAGAGTATGGAGGCAGGCGTGAATCACCTGGTACTACCTCTTAACAAATAACGCATCACTATCTGTAAGGAGATTTCCGATCTCTCAGTTGGTTCATAGAGCCACGTGACCAAGTTGGATAATTGAAAACACATAATTAACTAACAAAAGTGAATTAATTAAGATACCCTGAAGCCTACAGTATACGGGGCAATAACGAGCGCTCCTCTAGGAGCGGAACAATGTAGTTCCGACAATCGTCCGTCTGTGAGATCGGGAATCTCCTCTCAGAGAGCTCTTACGGATCACGTGTAGTCACATGATGCCCCTTCTGTATTTACTTGCCAACTCCACTTCTAGTTTTACAATACAAGACTCCTTTGGTCTTACACGTTCAACATTTAATTCTCATGTGATCGATCTTTGTCCGCCCACAAAGCCCCTCGCGATGGTCAGCGTCCCTAGGGGATCCAAGGGCTGCTACGCCTGTCGACAGCGAAAAATCAAGGTCATTTTGAAAACCCAAGTCTAGCATAGCAGCGATTAATCAGTAGTAGTGCGGGCAACAAAAACCTCAGTGCCTGCAATGCGCCCGATCTCAGCGGCGCTGCCCGGGATACCAGCGGGCCCTGGTATTTGTCCAGGTCAACCCATCAGCGAAGAGAGACTTGGATCTCACCAAGCCATGGTCTCTTCTTCAGACCGGCTACCGTCAACATCTTTTGGATGAATTTCACACCCACTTTGTCCCTCAGACTGCACCCTTTAGTGGTAACGAATCATGGCTTACCCAGCTCCTACAAATGCCAATTCAAACCCAAGCTCTGGAGTACTCAGGAATGGCATTGTGCACTGCTATCATTGCTCGCAAGCAGGATGATTCGTCCTTGTTGCAGGAAAGTCTGCGTCTCTATACTCGTGGTCTTCGAGAGCTTCAAACAGCACTTTTCACCCCAGCCCTTGTTCGACATGACGAGACTTTAGCCGCATGCTTGACACTTGCCATGTATGAAATTGCGGAATGTCCAGCCAGACATGTTGCAGGGTATTACCAGCACTGCCGGGGGCTCTTATCCCTACTCCAAGCACGCGGTGTGGACGCGCATACATCAGGGTTGGGACATCAACTCTTTCTTGCCTTTCGAGTCCAAGGGGTGCGTTATAGTGAAATCTGATTTAGACGTTGTCTAACGCAAGAGCAGATTTTCTACGACCTCGGTCAGTTGGAACCAAGCTTTATGGCGCAGGCCGAGTGGATTGAGAAGCCATGGCAGACATTTGCTAAAACGCTCATCGATCGAATCATCGACTGTGTAGCACATATTCCACGACTTTTTCACCAACTACATTTGTTTGAGCATCTGTCACCTGAAGATCAGAGACTCCTAGGTTTGAGCTTAATGGCAGAATTCCAGTCTCTAGACACTACACTTCAAAATATCTATTCTACACTCAATGATTCTGTCGAGGGTCCTTTGTACTGGTCCGCTCTCTCTCGGCACTATGACCCTGCGGGCGACCCTATGAAGGGACCCCTTTTCCCTGTCGCCTTTCACTTCCCCAATATCAAGACGGCCGGGCATCTGATGATGTACTGGGCTACCTGCGCCCTGCTCTGGACCGGCTGGCATGAAATTTACGAGAACCTAGAACAACTCAACAAGAATCCATCGCCCCATCTTCCTCCCTGCGATGTCTTGCCAATGATTACGAATGTCTGCCAATCCGCCGAATTCTGTTTGGACGAGACAAATCAGCTCATGGGGGCGTCCATCGCGTCAACACCGCTAGCGATCTGCAAGGCTATCCTCTCCAACAGTGCACGCCACCAGCAACACTTTGCCTGGATCCAGGTGACCCTAGAGCGTCTCCAGACCCGCGAGCAGCGCATCATAAAGTATCTCTGACCCACTTGCACTAATCCCCTTTGAGAAAACACCTGCGAGATCACGTGATATATACACCAGCTTGGTCTATATGTGGTATTGGGACCTAGGCGCAATGAAGATCCTAGTGGCAGTGTTTTCTTTCGAGGAAAGGCCACTGGACGCCTATATATTTCTACAAACCCTCCCCCTCCCCCCCCTACAAGAACTCCATCACCATTCCTAGGAACAGATTGTGCCCACCACAACCATGTTGAACGGTCGGTCCAAAGTGAGCATTGCCCTGATTATATTTTATTTTCCTGCAGCAATTGCTGCGGCAACTCTGCTCTTTCATCGACATGGAAGACCACGAATGCCATGGATCTGTCTTCTAGCTTTTTCCCTGGGTATGTCCCAACCAGCACCAGTACTTTCCGTGTCTAACCATATCAGTTCGCATTGCCTGTGGGATTGTGGTAATCCTTTATGGCAACGATCCACGAAGTATCGGCCTAGCAATAGCAGCGCTCATCTTGTTAAATGCGGGACTTTTCCCTTTGGTGAATAGCACCGTCGGCTTCTTACGCTTAGTGTGAGTGCAACCCGCTGTGCAATAGATGTTGCCTATCACTGATCTATACAGGGCTTTCCATGACATGAAAAACGATCCCAAGTTTCGAAAAGGCTACATCGTGTCAAGGGTACTCTTCACCGCCGGAATTGTCCTAATCGTTGTGGGCGGTTCCCTTGATGAGAACGACCCTTCGACCGCGAAAACCCTGGTCAAAGCAGGGTATATCATAATGGCGATTTTTATTCTATGTCTTGTTCTGTTACAGGGATACTTTTGGCGCATGCTGGTATTTCTCTCTGCTTCCAGTACCAAGGTGAGCAGTCTTCCCCCTTCGTCCTATGCCAAAGCATACGCTGATACCAACAACCAGGTCATGCAAGGAATGGCTGCTGCCATTCCCTTTCTGCTCGTCCGGATGGTCTACATGTTTCTCTCTATCTTTCACCCAGACCATGAGAAGTGGAATGCTCTCCAGGGAGCTCTTGGCCCATATGTCGTCATGGTGCTTGTCATGGAATACGTTGTTGTGTGTATCTACCTGATGACAGGGTTTCACATCCCAGCTACCAAAGAAGGACCTGAGGGGTCTGCCGATATTTTGGTGGAGAGTGATGCAAGCTGAAGCCTGTGTAGGACGACTCGGCCACGAAGGCCTCGTTTGCTCCGTTTGTATTTTGTTCATATGACCCACGATCGCCATTTCTTTCGTCTTGTTTCTTCTCTCTCTTTTTCTCTTCATCAAATTTTGTCTTTGTCGATAGATGCGCTAGCAATTGATTGTGGCTTTGGCCCTCATCAGAGAGACCAGGGTAAATCATAGAGATGTCAGGGGGTGACTGTTACGGATTGACGGATTGTGAGGTAATTCAAGATTGATATACCGTGATGTTATTTGTTTGCTTGCGTATGCTGATAGTTTGGCTGTTTTGCATTTCCGTGGAAAATTCTAGATCTCATGGATCACCCATATAGCGTCGAGACATAAAGTCATGTATTAAATTAGTAACATACGGTATAGGTAACGACACAGGAATATCGATACTCCCTGACTACTTTTAATATAGTATAGTGGATCTTGGCATTAGGGATCGAGAAACAATCGAAGAGTGTAGGTGGTGACACTAATTTCCGGAAGCAGTGTACATCTTATGATCAATGTGTGTGTGTGAACTCGACTTGTAAAGATATTATAATTAGTTTAAAATACACAGAACATCTCACACCAATTTAAAACAATCTCCGCAGCAGAGCCACCTCCAGTGTTGATTATAGAGCCATGATACCAACAACTGCAGCCACAATACCCATAACGCCCCCAACTTTGAAAGTATGCATGCTAGCAGCATTGCCAGTAGTCGTAGAAGTTGGAGCAGCAGATGTCGAGTTTGACACAGTTCTGTCTTTTGAGGTGGTAGTCGTCAAAGAAGCCAGGTGTGACGTAGTTGGTGCCGTAGTGATCATGCTATCGCTAGCACTGGTGGCAGTTCTCGTGCCGGTCAACATAGTCTCCTTCGTCGTGCCGGTCAACGTAGTCTCCTTCGGCGTGGATGTCGATGCCGCCATCTTGCCATTAGGGCCGTAGCCAGGCAAGTAGCTGGGGGTCAGAGTTGCCGTGCCGGTATACAAGGGGCAGCCCGGCTGGTCGGTCTTCGGTGGTGCGGTTCCGCCGCCGCAGTCGGGAAAGGCGCAGATCTCGCCGCTGCCGGGCACATACCAGATCAGGCTGGCTTCGTGGTACTGGTCGGTAGTGAGGGATGAGACACAGCCGGATAGGACGGTACGAGCAGTAGTGAGGCCGGTAAGGCAAAAGAAGATGGGGAGGGCGAGGGCCTTCATTTTTTCTGGTGATCGTGTAACGAGTGAATGATGGTCAGTAGAGATTTGTTGGTGAGAAGAATTGGAGTACTTGAGAGGCAGGAGTAGGGTCTCACCCTTACCTGATCTTTCTCTACTATAAACTTTCTTGCAGTTAAATATGTCGAATAGGCCGGTCTAGCCTGCGCCATATCGGCGGCACTATCCGAGCTGAGCCACGCCAAGAATAGAGGCACCAAAGACTTTCTTCAATTGGTCCACTAACAAAATCCAGGACAGTGGATGAGTCTCAGGGTTTCTGATTAATTCTGGTCCAGTTCGCAATCGCGCGCCCCTGAGATGGTGGCAACGGGTTCATGCCATAGGGTTGTTTATAGCTCAACTACGTTTTGGGTGATAACATTCGAATCAGAAAATTGAACGAATTCTGTGTGCTAAAAAAAATTATAAACTATGCCTATGCACGCTGGGCACGCGCAATAAAGGCCGTCTTGGAAATGGTTTTGTCTTCCTTGGTGAAGACGAGCGGCTCCGAGAGGATTTCATACTCAAACCGAGCACCCAAACCCGCTCCCTCGAATAACTTCTGCATGTCCTCTCGCGAGAAGCCGTGCGTCATGACAGTGGCAGAAGCATCGCCGAAATCATGGCCCTCTCGTCCATGACCATGACCATGACCGTGCCCGTGGGCATGTGGAGTATGCGGAACGAAATCAATGATCAAGCATACACCACCCTTCTTAACCCGCGATGCAAGCCGCTTCAGGGCTTGATCCGGATGCTCGAAATGGTGCAAAGCCATGCTCACGGTTAGAACATCGAAATCGATAAACTCAGGACCCGAAAACTGGGCAGCCACAGACTCTCCCAGGAGGTCGGCTTTGTATCCAGTGACTTTGTTGGAGAACCCCACTGCAGTAGCATTGCGGTTGTATTCATCAATCATGTTGTCGCTGAGATCTATCCCAATGACTTTGGTCAGGAACGGAGCAAGTGCCTGGAGACCGGTCAGTAATTTTGTAAACTATACATCTGAGGTATTGAGCAAGAACGTACCATTGACACTGCTCCAGGCCCGCAGGCATATTCGAGCATTTTGATTTCCTGGCCCTTGCCTGCATCTGTATCGATCCACCGGTCACTGAGCCAGAGCCGGTGTTGTTGGGCCTGCTCGGTCAACGTCTTTATGGCATTGGCAAACCGATTCTGGTAGGAAGTAGCCATCTGACTATATAGAATAAGAGTCAGGCTGTGGCATGATAGAATCGTGTCGAAGACTTACTCGAAGTACTTCCTGTTGGTTTCTGTAAAATTGGCCATGACGAACGAGTTGATGAAGCAGTTGATAATGGAAGAGTATGTATCACGATATTTCTATGCAAGATCTAATGCGAATGAGATCCAGAAAATATGTTTGATATCTGAAAAAAGTGCGGTCAACTGATGAGAGGGGTGATATTTATATTCCAGGGTTGGCTCGGAGACATACTCGGACACTTCCGTAGGGAAGCCCAAATCTGCAAAAGACAGCGCAGGAAGGATTACCCGGAAAACTAGAGAGGATTAAGTCTCCGCAAATCTCGCGAGTGAACGAGGAAGTACCTGCCTAGCAGAGTATGTCCATGTCCATGTCCATGCTACTTGAAGTTAGGACAGACCGGTGTCATAGTCCCAACTCTCACCGCCCGCCAGCTCCGACTCCATCACCAAGCTCACTGGAACATCTGCCGTTCCGCATCTCCCGCATCAATTCGCCCTGTCTTGCTCTCTCTCTTCCTCTGTCTTTATCTCTCTGTATTTCTCCTTCTCTCCCTCTATCGGGTCTGATCACATCCCTTCCATTCCCGCCCTGACCAGCTCTCCGCCATGGACGCCTCCAAGATCCCCGATTTCCTGGCCGAGCAGCAGCAACAAGGCACCCCCGAAACGCAGTCCTACTTCCTCACCTTCGAAGACTTCTGGGAGAGGAAGCTATGGCATCAGCTGACCGACGCGCTGGTCGAGTTCTTCCGTCTACCGGAGAGCGCGCCGCAGCGGTTAGCCATCTTCAAGACTTTCGTACTCAGCTTCGCCGATCGGATCAACCAGCTGAAGTTTGTGGCGTTGGGGTTGATGGCTGCAACAGAGTGCGCTGGTAAGCTATTTAACAACACCCTTGATGGTGATCATTCACTGATGACATACCCTCCCACACAGACGACCAAGAACGACTGGCCTTCCTCACATCCCTGGCAGACCGAGTCGACAAAGCTGAAACACAAGACGCACATGTCTATGCGCTGGCGGACGTGGCCAACGTCAAGCTGCGACTGAAGGACCTGGATGGCGCACAGAAGGATCTGGCATCGTGTCAGCGGGTGCTGGATTCGTTTGACTCGGTCGAGACGGTGGTGCATGCCTCGTTCTATAAAGTAAACTCGGACTACCACCACGTACGCATCTCCCCACGCATACCTTATCTCTTCGAAACTAACACAAACACGTTCACCACAGGCCAAGCAAGAGTTCGCCTCATTCTACAAAAACGCCCTGCTCTACCTAGCCTGCATCAACCTGGAGGAACTGCCCGAGTCCGAGCGCGTGTCCCGCGCCTACAACCTCAGCGTCGCGGCACTAGTCTCCGACTCGATCTACAACTTCGGCGAGCTTCTCCTGCACCCGATCCTGGACTCGCTGACGGAAACCCCACATAACTGGTTGCGCGACCTGCTCTTCGCCTTCAACCGGGGCGACCTGACCGCCTACGACGTGCTGGCAGGCAACATCTCGAAGAACAAGCTGCTGGAGGAGCACCGCGTGTTCCTGTACCAGAAGATCTCGCTGTCGGCGCTGACGGAGATGGTCTTCCGGCGTCCGCCGCATGACCGCTCGCTTGCGTTTGGCGTTATCGCGTCCGAGACAAAGGTGCAGCCCGATGAGATTGAGCATCTGGTTATGAAGGCTTTGTCGTTGGGGTTGCTGAAGGGTTCGATTGATCAGGTTGCGCAGGTTGCGCAGATCCACTGGGTTCAGCCGAAGGTGCTGGATATGAAGCAGATTGATGGCATGCGTAACCGCCTCAAGGATTGGGATGCTGGTGTTAACCAGCTGGGTCATTGGATTGAGGGTGTTGGCAAGGATGTCTGGGCTGCATAGATACGGCTTTCCTTCTTGAATAACCACTTGTCTCCAGTACCTGGGCGTCTTATAATGAATGATGGGACTCTGGTGTGTTCATCTATTCTGTATGGCGTAGACGAAACTTGGTAGTGCATTCATCCCATCTATATTATGATACTTGCAGCAAAATACACTACAGTGATTCACCGATCAAAACATCGACGCCCCCAAGAGCACACAGCCGATCAACCACGCCGGCCACCAGACACACCAGACAACCACCTGCGTCCAGACCCCCCACACATCCCACCCGAAAGCCGCCTGCGTCAGAACTGTCTCCACAGACACCCCGGTGTACCAGCACACCCCCAGCAGAACACTCGGCGGAGACAGGAGATTCAGGCACAAAAAGCCGATGCCGGAAATAGTGGAGCGCACAGGCCTGGACGGGCTCTGAAGCCGCTCGATGAAACTGAGCGGGGCGCAGAGGAGCCCGACCATGAACGAAAGGGAGAAGTTGAGGGTTGCCAGAGTTGAAAGCGAGAGGCCCAACAGAAGCAAGGAGAAGGATTTGATCAGTTGGTATTGCTGGGGGATGATGGGGGCGGAGAGGCCGAGGCCATGAGATAGTAGGGCGGCCAAGACTAAGGGGAGGACGATGTCGACGATGACAAAGGCATAGGCACTGGTGGGGAGATACTGGTGCGGAAGCGTATTGAAGAGCCAGAGTGGAATAAGGCCCAGCAAGTGTAGTCCGACGACCAGGGTCAGTGGCAGAGCCAGATGTCTTTCAGCAACGCCGCTCTCCTGCAGCTTGACGTCCGCCACAGGCTTACCCGAGGTCACTTTCTTGTTAGATGGCTGTTCTCTCTTGTCCCCAGCGGTTGCCGGGGTGGTCGAAATAGTGCCAGAGTAGTACCCCGTGCGCATCCACAGCGCAATCGCCATGATGGTAAAATTACCCGCAATCAACATAGCGCTGGGCAGGTACGTGCCGATACTGACGAAGCGATTGGACTGCATAAGCAGATAGAAGAAGAAGCTCTGATGCAGGTGCTCTAGCAGATTATTCAAACTGCGGCAGATGCTCTCGATGGTGCGGCCCAGGGCCATCTCGTCCTCCCAGCCTTCCCCCTTGGGCTGCAGGGTGATCGCGTCGATATGATAAGGCATGAAGCTGCTGTGAGCGCCGGTGGCATACCCCAGACCCTGCTTAGCCATGCCACGCAGAATGGTTTGCAGTCGGGCCTGGTAGCTGTCGTCGTGCTTCCACATCTCCTGCAGACTCGATCCGATGCCCATCTGGTTGCTGGCGATGGCGACGGCCGTGTTGAACAGATCGAGATTGGGCAATTGGCCGTTCACACCATCGTACACGATGTGCAGGGACTGGAAGCGGTGGTCAAAGGGGTATTCAATCACCAGAGCGCCCTGCAATGCTCCGCTCTTCAATGGGAGAGGTTGTACAGAGGCAGGGTGCATGTCATGGTACGCATCGATCCACGCCTGTGTCCCAGATTTACTGTCAGGTGTAAAGACGAAGATGATATCCTTGGACCATAATGACCACCCTTAACCCAAGCGTCAGCATACACGTAGAACAAAGAAGGCCCGTAGTACTCACGCTTGAAGTACCGAGCCAATGTCAAGGCTAAGGTGACACCATTCAAATTGAGCTCATCATTGGCCGTCTTCCACGCCGCGACCAGCACCATTGCCTCTGTGGCATCGCCGCGCGGCGCGTGGATGATAGCGTAGACATTCTCGCCTTCGTGCGTAATGCCCGCAGAGGTATATTCGTATTTCTGCGTTGCAACCTTCAATCCCGCAGCTTGCAGAATCGACTGGATTTTGCTGGAGACCCTGTGTCCGTAATTAGGATCATTGCTTCCCAGCATGCAGTCCCCAGAACGTACGCTGGAGTCTGGCCCGCCTCGGCTGGAGGGACACCTTGATCACGTCCCTCGTTCAGCAGCCCTTCCAATTCCTTCTTGTATCCACGGAAGATATTCTGCTCGCTACCCGAAAAATACGCGTGGACCTGGCCCGGGAGAAGTGCATTTTCGGAGATGTAGGTTTGTCGGGAGTACTCGTTGAGGGGGAGGAGCAAGAGCCAAACGACGCCGACGACGATACAGGCAAGCGATAAGAGGTTTGGAAGACGGACAAAAAGGAGGTGAGGATTGTTCCGCAGATCGCGGATTTTAGCTAGCATTGCGAAGCTGTCAGCGTTTCGGGTTATCTCCAGGTGTCCAATCCGAGGGAGCGGACGGGGAGAGGGGAGTTATAGGCACGAAGACACTCACATTTCAGCGCCATTGAGCGATCAACATCTGGGGATGACTCCACATGCGGCGGCTAGCCCGCCAGGAGGATGTAATGAGTGAGTTGGAAAGAGGGAAGTGTACGGAGGATGGAAGTACATTTGTTGATGGAGATGGGGATTTTACGCCCGCCGACACAGACCAAAAGCGCACCCTAGTATACTTTTGATATGCAACACGCTATGCTATACTCCTTGTACTAAAAACAGACATGGCCAAGATATACAAAGGAAATAGAACAGGGATCTACCATATTAAGAGCCCAGGCGTTGCGTACCACCCAAATAGCTCATCGCGGTCGGGCGCTCGTTGTTGCCGGTCGCGTTCGACGAGGGCAGAACACCGTAGCGGCCGTATGTCTTCTGGTCGACCGAGATATAATGTGGCAAACGTCCCAGGAGGTTCAGCTTACCCTCGATCCACCGAAGGACCTTCTCAGGCGGAACAAAGATCTTGAGGTAACCGAGACCAACTGATAACAAGAAGTCAGCGATGCACTTGGGATATGGAACAGAGAGACTCACAGAGATAACCAACTAGAACGGCACAGAGATGGCCAAGGAAGCTGACATTGGACATGAGAATGGAGACAACGACACAGGCAAGCAGAGGCGAGGTCCAGGTGGGGATCTTATATGGGCCGAGACTGAAATGGGGGTTCGACTTGAACGTCCTGATGGATTCGGAGCCCAAAAGCAAAAAGACCCAGACGCTGGAGCCAACCACCGGGGTATTCTTGTGTAGAATAACTTTCTCGCCAAGAATATACAATCCTGCGGGGAAGGTTGAAAGGGCTGACAGACACAGGCTTAGCGAAAGGAAGATAAAAGTAATGAAGAGAGAACTTACGACCCATAAACAAGGCCACCGCGGTCAAGGTGCCATGTTCCGCTTCAAACCGCTCCAGCAACGGCGTAAGCGCCAAAATATTCAGCAAAACATGCCAGAAGCCCGCGTGGATGAAGGGGTAGGTATTAAGTCGGTACACTGTTGGAGCAGCCAGACTTGTCAGAGAACACAGTTGCGCTTTTAGGAGGGGAGTATGCGTACTTTGCGTCGGCCAGACTTCATCTGGGATTAAAGAACCCCATTTAACCACAGCCCAGACCGTTTGCAACTCGAGCAGCCAGAACACGACAATGGCTAGTAGAACCAGACGCGTAAAGAGCGGGAGTCGGACGAGGTAGGTGCGTACTCGGGCCGGGTTGAATGGCAATGGCGGCAAGGCAGCAGGAGTAGCCATGATTTTTTTTATTATTCTGTTGGTTAAATAGACAGCCAGAGAGTCAAATTAGGCGCCCCGGTCGAGGTGTATGGGGGTGCGAGGCGGGCTTCAGGTAAGACCGAGAGAGGCCGTTCGAGGGATGAGTTTATGCAGCGGGCAAGAGGGGACCAAAATGGCAGATTTCAATATCGGTAAAGGGTCACCAGGAGAACCACTGCTGACAATACCATGTTAGTATTTCCCGGGTTCAAAATCCTCAGGGTCGTTGGCCGCCAATCGAGCCGAAACCATCCCAGGGATAAACTCACCATGCGCTCGCGACTTGGCTGGGACGGAGAGACGACGATGACAACAACCAGAGAACGAGTACAAATCACGGGGCACGGTACTAGTGTACAGTGCAAAGACCACCCGGCAAGAGTGTGGTCGAGGATGGGGAAGGGAAAGCCCGGAGTCTTGTTCTGTTCTTCTCTTCGGGCGCGACTTGGTCACGTGGGATAGTGTTTATCTACTGGGTTTTATGCTGTTTATGTAAGGCTTCCATAGTTCATCATCTCTGCATCACCATATTTCTAGGTATTTACTATTTGCATCATCTACAGGTGCTGGTTGAACCATCCAACAGCCTGGCAGAAAGCCTGCTCCTTGGCGAACTTCTGCTTCTGGTTGTTCGGATCACCACGGACAGCAAAGCCGTGGCTGACGCCGCCGAAGAGGTTGATCTGCCAAGGCTGACCGGCCTTGATCAGAATGTCCTCGGACTTGTGACGCAGCTCAGTGGTGAAGATCTGGTCGATCTCTGCGAAGGGCGTCAGATCCATTCTATCGATTAAAGGGACAAAGTGCAAACTCACCAGCAGCCGCAATGGAAAGGGGACCGGCAATGCCGGCCAATTCCTCGTCGGTAACGAACGAAGGGTGCGCGGTGTAGCCGACGTCGATCTGGCCGGGCTTCAGGAAACGGCAGACATACTGCAAGGCTGTTAAAAACTTCACGGACACAGGTGAGAGAAGGGAACATACCTTGCCGCCGAAGCAGTAGCCAACGGCACCGACGTGCTTGACGCCGAGAGTCTCGCGGACGTACTTGATGCTCTTCTGCATAATGGGGTCGATCTGAGTAGTCGTGTGCTTGGGGAGCCAGTTGGGGATGTCGGCCTTGCCGGAGTCCATGTCGGCGGGGCTGATGGGGTCGCCGTTGAACAGGTCCGGGATGACAGTCAGGTAGCCATTGTTGGCAAACTCATCGGCGACGAGCTTGGCATTCGTGAGAGCGAGGCCGAAGATGTCGGTGATGAAGATGACGGCCTTCTCGGGCTTCTTGTTGTCCTTGGGGGAGACAATATAGGTCTCGACTGGAGAATTACTATGTTAGGGCTAGCTCTGAGATCATACAGAAGCACTTACCTCCGTCAATATTCTTCACTTCGCCGACAGGCGTGCCATCATGCTTGAAGCCAGTGGCGCAGCAGGCAGCGGGAGCGTTGGAAGCCATTTTGATTGCTTGAAGATGAGTAGTTTCAGAGAATATCAAGAGTGGCGAGGGGTTGCGCAGGCCTGCCCCTCTTATAAAGGATGTCCACAGGGCCCAAATCCCCCTGGTCCTTCCCCACTTGGTCACTACTACCGGTAGTGCTTAACAGCCATGACTTGAGGAATTTGGCAGAGGGTGAGTATGTGGTACCACCAGCCGTCGTTCCTCTTGTCCTCCATCTGTACTACTTTCTCCGGACAGATCATTGCTCCAAATTTACCGAGCAGCGTTCTGTGTCGCATCTTCTAGGCTTCATTTCCTTCTAAGCCACGGCTAATCGGCTCGGTAATGATTGAATGCCGTGACAAGAGGATATCGCCCCACTTGAATGGCAATTTTCTTCATTTGGCGCCGGACATAGAGTTTAGCTCCGAGTGAGTGATAGATACAGATGATGTCTTTCTACGACCCTGATTTGAATTTAAGTTACCGGTTTAAAGGGATATTTGGATTATTTCTAGAAGTGAGTGAAGTGAGAGGAGTCAATGATATACTAGTACTATATAGAATTATTATTTCATTCATGTCTGCATACATCCGGCCGAGTGATTTGCCCCACCGTCATCACTGCCACATTATCTTCGTATTTCGTATTCGTAGGAAGGAGTAGGTCAAGGATTCATAGATCCGGGTATCAAAGCGAAATAGTTCAAAAAGAAGAAGCATTCAGGGAAAGCGATAGCTCACATTGAGCTGGTCGCGCTTTACCGCCCAGGCCTTGAGGGCAATCACCAACACTTCGAGGGCCATGACGAAGGCGGTGAAACCCATGCCCACGGTGAAGGTGAACATCGCGTCCACCTCGTAGAACTCCATTGCCTCGATCACGTTGCGAGTCTGCATGACACCTTATTAGCACCCGACTCTCACTTCCCTTGGTTATAGTACTTACACTCAGCATGAAGATGAGGCCGCCAGAAATCAGGCAGAAAGCAGCCACGATCTCAGTAGGCGGACGCGCAGGCAGGTATGAGCTGGGCGGCTTGAGGAACAGCAGCAGGTAAGTCATGCCCCGGGCCAGAGCAAAGCCAACCAGCAGGTTGCCCCATTGCTTGTGCACCATGGTCGAGGTCATGCTGTCCTGGTGGTGCGATCCCATCATCATCCCCAGCAGCAGGATAATCAGAGCGGGCATCGGGTTCAGCGGGACCCCCTGCGACTTGGGAGGTTGCCAGGCCTCGTCTCGGGTGCCGTGCGCGGGCGGTTGGAGGAGGGTGCTGTTGAGCCATCCACGGATACGCTTGGATTCGAAGAGCATGCCACACTGTCACGCATGTTAGCTACAGTCTCCCGGGAAACAGATGATCCCCAACTTACCAGGCCACCGCCAAAGAACATCACAGAGATTGAGACATGCTCGAGGTCTGTAGGAGACCAGGACTCGCCCCAGCGGGCTAGGTGCTCGAGGAAGACATTCGAAGCTCCATACAGCCAAATGACAAAGGACTCGGTGAATTCTCCCGATGGGATCTTGGACTTCCACGATCCGACAATTGTGGCAGGGGGCTTCTTGTTCCAAGCCCAACCAAGATCTGCCCAGCAACCGACAAAGCGTCCGAGAGTCAGGATGCCGTACCAGAAGAAAATGCCACCCTTGATGAAGTGCGCCAATCCGTTGAAGACCTGGTTGCCTCGCATGATACCGCCGTAGGTCACAGCGCCAGTCGCAATGGCGGCGAAACCAAAAGGCAGGATTATGCGATCAATAATGTTGTACACCAGATTGAAGCTGCGCAGCACACGACTCGACACCAATCCTGGCACGCGCTTCGACAGAAACCGATCCACAACCGTGCTGTGGAACCAGCCGCGCGGAACGGCGGGTTTGGCTGGCAGGTCATCCTCGGGCTTCTCGAAACCGTCGTATTCGGCAGGCGACTCGCAGGACGGAGAGCCGGGACTGTGAATGGAGGACGAGTTACTCTCGGTGCCCTGGCCGCTGTCGCGAGACCAACGGTACTCGTGCAAAGCGCGACGGGGGTACATGTGATCGTGCTGGGCCATCTCATCGGTGGCCACAGGCAAGAAGGTGGCGCGTTCATATGTGTCAGCATGCGACTCGCCTCGGCCGGCGTACGCGAAGATCAGGCCCAGGATGGCCTGCACGCAAACCACCCACGTCGCAATCCAGCCAATCTTGTGGTGTGCGTTGTTCTCGTACAGATCTGGAGTCTGGCCATTATATATAAGACCCAGCAACAGTCCGAAGGCATTGAATACCAAGAACAGGAACTGTGAAGGAAGCGCAAAGCGCGATCGCGCAACGCTCAGCATGACAGCTATTATAAATCAGCTTCCGGTTCTTCCGCCAAGTCTTTTTTCAGCTGACAAAAGCACTGGTCAGTGCAACTTACCAGCAGGAAGAACAAAACACCAGCCCAGGGCCATCAGCGCGATGTGCGCTATGATGGTGCCAGAGTGCTTGCTGTACGCAAAGTAGCTCATCACGGCGTCGCTGTGCGTCTTGGCGGCAGTGGTGGTCGCCGGGGGCGCCGTGCTGGTCATACTCATTTCCATGCCCATGTCCGTGCCCATGTCCATTGCTTCATCGTCGCCGTGCGGCAGCGCAGTCGCAAGCGACACGAACAGGAAGGCCGCCGCGAAGGCAGCGTGAGACACCGTGTGCCGCATGTAGTAGAATAAAAGGGAAGACTGGAAATCTCGTTGAATTACTTTGAGAGGTTACACAGTCTGCGCGTGCAAGTACGAGGGTAGGTGAGAGAGTGTAGAGCTTCAGGTTGCGATGTGTGCAAGCTCCCGAAGCTCTACCAGGTCGTGACGTAACGATGGAGCAAACCCGGAATGCGAGTCCTTTTTTTACTCTTCCGAGTCAGACCAGCGAATCAGTGATCTCAAACCTGAGAAAGCTGAGTGACAAGGAATGGAGAGGTTCTTGTTTGGTGTGGTGGACAGCAAGGTCGAACAAAGCCGTAGGGCTGAGGGAAGTATAGAGAGGACCAGGTATGCAGGGGAGAAGAACAAGGGTATATAAGAGGGCCCTCTTCGGCGCCGCGGGGCCGGCTTGGGATGCCTTATTAACAGGAAACGCAGCACGGGAACTTCACTATTAGCAAGAATTTTCCTTTTTTTTTTACTTCGGTTTACTTCCATGCTGCGCTGATTTCCAATGCCTTCGGATCGGGCGGGGATAAGGCGGCCGAGCGGGCGTGGCGGTAGTGGCAGTAGTGATGATTCACTGACTGTTGTTCCTGAGCTCTAGACCTTCTGTTGTCATGCACCGCCTGGGTTTCTTTTTCCCTTGCATGAGTAGTGGTTGTCAACTTTGGTTCAAAGAAGATCGTTGTTACTGTTCTATGTGATACAATAGAGCCAGGCAGACGAGTACCTCCCTAAACGAGGTGTGTTATGCTCTGGTGATTCATCCGTTACAGTAGACCGCCGGTTTTCGGTCTCGATGTGGATCTGCAGTCATCTGCATTATTGTTGTGTTCCGGGCTGCCTGACTTGCTATCATTTCGGGTGTCTCGGGAACTTCTGACTCAAAATCTTGCTGGGCCATGCCGAATCTAGTAATAGGGTGGGTTCTTCCCGACATCTAGTACCCAGACCATCGCAGAACCTAGTCCTTTACGCGATTGATGCCGTGTGTGTATATACAACGCTATGCACCACCAGTCCTTCATTCCAATGACGTAGCCGATCGCTACCTCTTTCACTCACGGCGTCAAAGCTGCTGCCTCTCTGGCGGGGTTGCACCACCCTGCGTCTAGGCAGAAAGTAAAGTGAAGGAGACGAAGGACCAGCCTCCTCGTCTTTTTCTTACATACCAGCGGTCAATAGACTTTCGGACCCCAGTTTCGTCATCTTCCATCCCAACATCCCTGTCTCGGCCTCGCGCGCGGTCCCCTTCCGAGCCGCACTGTTTTGAGTTGTTGCGGTGGGGGCTCGCTCGTGCTTTAAATCCGACCCCCTCCGCACAAGGCGATCTACAGTACGGTATGATCGTCGGAGCGAAGAAGATGGTGTCTATGTTATGTAATATTTCCGTAGAACCCGGATTGTGTCCAGGCCAGGAACGATCTCAGATATATGTCGGGAATGTGCTACACAGGATATAATTATAGCTATATTCCTCCCAGTCCAGGGGGAAAGCTGCTGCTGTGCAACCATCTTCCTCTACATCATCCGGTCCCCCTTAATATTAAGAATTCACTAGCTAGGCCACCAACGCTAATACTGCGTACATGTACCTCTGTACAGCACATCCCGTACATAAGCGCTGATTTCTACAGGTCTTGTTCTTTGCCAAGACTGACCCGGGCCCGGTGCCAGCGGGACGATCTATCCGCGCCCTTCCGGAGTCCCAACCAGCACGCACTGCGCGCACGCACTGTGAACCGGTCGGAGACGGTGAATAAGGGTATCGTTATTGGCGGGATCCAGGGCTGCACTGGTGGAGCTATCATATGACTGATCTCGTTATCTCGCATGGGAGGGTAGCTTTGTGGAATGTACTTGCTTGTATAGTATACTTCGGAGACTCGAAAAGGGTGTGCTTGGACCGTCCTGTTCTATGGAACACAGGGGGAGAAATGAAGAACTATTTGAACTTACTTTCTCTTTAGACGAATATGTACGGGGGGGTACAGCACATGCAAGATACCTTCATCCATCCATCCATCCATCGCGCACTGATGATCCCCGTCCGATCCCTCAAGCTATCTTACCGACCTGAGGAAAAGCCCGTCTTGTTTACACATGTACAGGAGGTTGATTGTTCAGCTAAGTGGAAACTCAGTACTCGCCAACCATTAACCGAGTTTGATCTACACGCTCTTCATTCGCTGGGATGGGATTGCTGGCCGGCCCAATGAGCATCGCGCATTCGGCGATCAGCCCATGTGCATGCACTAGATACAAAATGCGCATAACTATGAACGAGGGATAATTTTGATGATGACATACCCCCGCCCCTTATTATTAGAGGTCTAGTGATAGGATTCTAGTTGGCGCTAGACACGCGAGTGTACCCTGCATGGGACAGGAATCTGGGTAATTATGAATGTAGCTATTTGAGACGAGGTGTCACACCGTTTGTTTTGTGTTTAGTTAGGGAGGATGGAGATGCTGTCAAATTTACTGCTTTGAACTATGCCATGTTGTTTCTGCTTTCATGGTGTTAAGTCTGTCATTTTTCTGATTAAGATATTGAACACTGATACTTCCACCTTCGCAAAGAATGCGACTAAACCCAGTAAATTAATGTCGAGTTCCTTCAACCCAATGTCCTCTAGATGTATACGCTGACATAATCACCACCCGGTACACCACGTGACCATCCACTCGCTTGTTAGGGCTGCAACGCACTTTCCCCAAACCCTAAGATCAGATTCGTGGTTCTTCCCTTTCTCCCTCAACGCCGACAACTTCCAACACCCACGCCCTCCAACCTCCTCCGCCAACCTCTCAAAATGACTCACGAGTCCGTTTGGTACAGCCGGCCCCGCAAGTAAGTTTTTTTTCCTTTCGATTTCGCATACGCAAGTCACTGACGGATCGCGATCAGGTACGGCAAGGGCTCCCGTGGATGGTGTGTACCCCTTTCGATTCCCCCCATATCCTCCCGATGGACAGACGCAGATGCACGGATACTGCTGTGAGAGAGCGATGATCTGCTGGTGGTGGTGGAAACAAATTTGATGAAAGGGAGGGAGAAATGAAGAGCAAGTGGCTAATGCTGGGTTCTGTTTAGCCGTGTCTGCACGCACCGCGCTGGTCTGATCCGCAAGTACGGGGTACGTGAACAATTCCCTACGCATCTGGAGATATTTTGGAAGGAAACCTTGGGCGCAAGTCGAGCAAGCGCAGTCATGGAAAATTGGCTTCAAATTGATGCAACTGGAGGCTAACTGGGTCGTCTTTCGCGTTACAGATGAACATCTGCCGTCAGTGCTTCCGCGAGAAGTCCACCGACATCGGCTTCAACAAGGTTAGTTACGCACTACAGGATCTCGGGGTGGGATATGTGGAAGAGAAGGGCATGGGTACAAACACGACCAGACCTGTTCGACCATATGCCTTCAACCTGGAGACCCTCTCGCCATTTCATCGTCAATCCGAACCCATCAACTAACACTCAAAAATAGTACCGTTAAAAAAACAAAACAAAATACCATGTGTCCACCTTCTCGATCCGCTCGCATCTACCATCCGTTTCGCGCCTAGTGCCCCGACGACGACGACTATGAGAGAACGAACTTCTCTGAAAATGACTTGGTGGCGATGTTGATGATGGGGGAGGAGACTTCCTAGTGACGAAGACGGACAACCGGGGTGATTGTGTTGTGCGATGTGAGGTTGTGGGAGAGTTCTCTAGACTCACGAGGATTTTGTCATGTTGAGCCTCGTTCTTATTTCTTGCCCAATTAACGATGGTTTTTTTCTGGGGTTTCTTCGAATGGGTATGCTGTCCGTGTCCATGTCCATGTCCATATCTGGCTTCGACTTTGTACGGCATTCATGCCTTGCTTGATGGTCTACAGCCTATTGTATCAGATCTATCATTCGTAGTGTATGCCAGACATCAGCTCCACCTGCTGGCTCATGCATCAAGTGGACTCTACGGACGCCTACAGTATACTCGAAGAATCAATCCACTCAATCGTGGCTTGCGTATAGATAAAAAGAAGCCAAACTGATCCAAAACAAGACAAAAAAAAGAAAAGATCTCGTCCTCCCCATCTTCAAGCCCAGAAGGCTACATCCTTACACACCACCACAGTACGCACGCCTAAGCGACAGAGCGGATACTGTAGAATAACAAATAGGCATCCTGGCGCAGTACATCCGAAACGCTAGCCACAGACACCTTATTGTCATCCATGAGCACCCACTTATCACCCGGCAGGCGTGTGTACGCGTAGTAGTGGCCGGAGTCCATGGTACCCTGGTGCACGACGACGGTGGACAAGTCATAGATATACCGGGAAGTATCGACGCGCTCCTTATCCTTGACTGTGTAGGGGTACATATTGAGCGAGACGGGGAAGTCGATGTGGCACTCCATCTTCTCGGAGTTGGCGGAGTTGGAGATGTGCTCGTAGCGCTTCAGCTGCATGCACAGGATGATGGGCAGCTTGTGGACCTGGAGGCGTTTTGACGCGCGCTGTGGCGTATTGCCGCATTTCTCGCAGTGGTACGCTGCGTCGGCGTTGAGGTCTTCCACGGCCGTGAAACTTTCTAGGCAGCCTGTGAGGGTGGGCGTGGTAGATGACGAGGAAGAAGGGGTGCGGCTGAGGCTGCGGCGTTTGGTCTGCAGCTTCACATCGAGACTCAGGTCTGCCATCGGGTCGTAGGTGTGCGTCGTTTGGCCGCACTTGTGGCACATGACGCTGCTGCGCAGCTCGCCGTAGAAGATCTTGTGGAAGAAGCAGTCGCATTTGATGCCGTAGTCGTCCGAGTGGCCGGGGGTGCAGGAGTGGAGTCCGTTGACAAGGAATTGGAAGTACTCGTGCGCGTCTTGCTGGCTGTATCCGGCCATTTCCCGGCTTGCTTGCCAGCCGTGGTAGAGAAGAGTCGCGGCCGAGACTGCGTCGGTGTTCTCGCCGCTGTTGAACTCGGTAAAGACGTGGGTGGTGGCACAGGCGATGCAGAACTCAATCTGGCAGGTGTGGATATCATGACCATGTGAGAGGAAATAGGCATTGAGAACGGGGTCGTGAAGAAGTGCCTGCAGGACAACAGCCTGGTAGCAGGTCTGGCCCATATTCCAGACACCACGAGCGCCGCGCGAGCGACATGGATTCTTCGTGGCATTGCTCCTGACATAGAGCTCATCGGCCTGGTCCACCGCCCAGGATGATTTGTCTTGCACAAAAGTCAGTCTTGACCAAAGGAACGAAGAGAGAAATCTTACTCTCTCGCTTCAACTTGCCACCCGGCCCGCGGAGTCTCTCCAAGCCAAAGTCGTAGATAAAGTCCACACACGATTCACAAAAGACATGGCGACTCCGAGACTCCATATCTAATCATGGTTTAGCAACTGGTCACTTTATCGAGGGGCCAGGGCTTACAGAATGTATGCCCCGTCTTCTTCGTGTGTGCTTTTCGCTCAGTGTTCAAGCAAACTTCCGAACAAGCCAGGCAGTGGTACTTAGGTTTCAATGACGACACGGTCCGCAGCCCAGTGGCTTGAACAGCGACGGTCTCGGTTTTGGAGAGCGGTGCCAGCAGCTCATTCACCTTGGTGAAGTCGCGCCTGAACTGGCCAGCACTTTGCTCCTTGCCCAGGATTAAGGCAAGATGTTCTAGGGACGGTCAGCCGGAGCCATTTTCGTATCAAATCATACATACCACAGCCGAATTCGGGTTCGGACAGAAGGTGGACGGAATCGAGGCTCGCCATGATGGAGAGATGAAAGTGCTGGTAATGCAATGATGGAAGAGATGAAGAGGATGGATGAATGGATAAGCTGGTAGATGAAAGAGATGCAATCAAGCGAATGCTGGCAGAAGTCCCAGACCTCTATCTATGCAAGACGGAAAAATGATGAAAATGGTGATCTCCAGGTCGGCAAAGAATCCCCGGCATCGGACAGGCGGGATAGTCTCAAGGAGCCCTGGATCGGGCCAGCATTGCACTGGACAATTGGATGTCAGCGATTGGTCTGCATTGAGTCGGGTAGACACGAGGGGGCAGTAGACGAACAGTCAAGTACCTATCCAGGAGGGGTGCAGTGAATGTCGTCGCTATAACTACCGCGCGCCACCTCTTCCAAGGGCTGCCTTCTCACTCTTTCTCTCTCTCGGTGCAAGTCCCGACCGCCTGCCCCTCGAGGGACCAAACGCCAGATGTGCAGAGGAACGAAAACGCGATGCCCAGAGGGTCTAGTTGACGAAGTTGGTGGCGGAGCGTAGTTGCCATCGGGTCCTTTTTTTCGCTGAGTCCGGGTTGCCGCCGATCGGTTTGGTTCGGCCGCCAACTGGCAGTGCGGCATACAACAATCGAACTACAATGATGAAATCGAACTACAATGATGAACTCAAAATCTCTATGCAAGGTATTGTTCATTAAGGCATGTCCCCTGGCTAATAATAAGAGCGCGTTCTCCGCAATGCGACAATATTTGTCGCTTGAGCGGTCCACCAGAGCCCGCAGCTGTTCCACCTCCGAGTCTTTGTCCATGTATCCAAGAACAATTCACCGAATCCCTCTCCCCCGCGGGAGCGCACTGGGTCGAGCACGGTGCCCGCTGGCACCGCGTGTTGAGTACCGGCTCGTCGCTGCGCCACGTGTGGTACCGCGAGATGAGCCCCGTGAGGGCGCGGAGAGTTTGGAGGTCTGTTTCGAGGAGACGGTGCTTGGCGGATGGTCGACAAAGGAGGTACCGGTCGATCTGCAGGTGGAATGGCGGGTCAGTTCGAAAGGTCTTCTGAACGGCGCGCGGAACTCACAGGAAAGTCATCTCTGCCTCTTCCGTCGATCGGATCGGATCATCTGCGTCTGAGTGATTAGCACGCATCATTCGCGCCCACTGCGCATAGCCTACCTGTCTGCGACTCGGCCTGCTGCGCTCTGCGAAACGAATCGGCAATCGGGGCCTGTGGTGGTCGTTTAGCAGGTTTGTTTTGATCTCCGCATCTCCAGATCGTACCTCGGGAAAATCCACACAGAACGCGTTCATATTCAGTCCGTACAGAAAACTAGCAAAACTCTCGCTGAAGCGCGTCAGACTCTCGTGCATCAGCTGCAGGTGCATGAAATTGGCCTCGAGGTCGGCCATCGAGTCGGCCAGCTCGGCGAACTGCGGCTCCAGCGCGTTGATCGGTGATTGCGTGTAGTCGGCATTGCTGATGCTGCCCGCGTAGCCGTGGGCTTCACGGAGGGATGAACGCGAGCTGGGGCGGAGGGGTGTCGTGGGCCGGGAGGAGGGGGCGCGGACGCGAGGACGATCGAGGAGCCGAGTCCATTTTGGGTGCGTGCGTGTGACGAGGGAGAAATGAGGAAAGGACGGAAGGGTGGAGATTCCGCAGGCTAGGTGGTGGTGGAATACGAACACCAGAACCGGTCGTGGTGCAAGCTCCGTACTAGGCGACGGGGAATTGGACCAAGTGGGCTGGGGAGTTGTGATCGGCCAGGGGTGCGTGATGATCCCCCGCGACACATAACCCTGGGGATGGGGAGGAAGGGACCGGTGGACGTCGGATTGGTATATGTAGTGCTATCGAGTCTCCAATGCGAATCCTTGACCATCTAAAAAAACAGTGTAGAAAGGACGAACCCCCGCAATATGAATGGAGCGCCGATCGTCATGGGTGCGCCACCCAGTTTGTGACGTGGAGGCGGTCTTCCTTCTTTCATCTTCCTTCCGACTGTTAAATTCCCCGGCTCAAGCCACAGCCAGGGATCTTTTCTCCCTCCCTCGCCTAATCTGCACATGCGCCCTGCCCACCTGTTCCGCCGCTGCAGGCTCAATTCCTCGGCCACCTCTGTCTCTGCCTCTGCTCGCGCGACCAACCCCAACCTCCGACCTCCGCGACACTACTCCACCTCGTCCCCAGAACCGAGGGAGGCATCCTCTTTTTGGATCACTTTTACCCTGCTCGCCATTGGAGGAGGCGCTGCGCTCCATAACTACTACTCCCACGACCCCCCGCCCGCTCTCTCCCGGCCGCCGCCACCAGAACCCTTCCTCGGAGTCATTGATACGCTCAAGAAGATGCCCGTGGAACCCGCCCCCGGCACCGTCTCGACCCTCACGGCCGAGCAGGAGGCCAAGCTGCAGGAATTCTGGGTCCTGGTCCTCCACGTTTTCGGCATCAAGCCCGACGACCTCGGGCCCGCAACCAAGGCCAATGCCGACGACAGCCAATCCACGACGACGAAGAAACCCAAGCGCCGATGGGGGCTCTTCGGCCGCAGCGGCGACGATGACGATGACGCTAAGAGCATGTCCTCCGAGCAGGGCATCAGCACCAGCCTGGCGGCCATCACCATCACCGACGGCGACGACAAGTACAGCCAGTCGAAGGAGTTCCAGCAGGCCCTGGCCGAGATGTCGCCGGAAGAGATCCGGACTGCGTTCTGGAATATGGTGAAACATGACCATCCGGATGCGCTGCTGCTGCGGTTCCTGCGCGCGCGCAAGTGGGATGTCCAGAAGGCGCTGATCATGCTGATTTCCACCATGCGGTGGCGGCTGCAGGAGGTGCACGTGGACGACGATGTCATGATCCACGGTGAGGCGATGGCCCTGCAGCAGTCACAGAGCTCCGATCCTGTGGAGAAGAAGAAGGGCGAGGAGTTCTTGCACCAGATGCGCTTGGGCAAGAGTTTCCTGCACGGCGTGGATCGCATGGGCCGTCCCATTTGTGTTGTCCGTGTACGCCTGCACCGGGCGGCGGAGCAGAGCGTGGAAACGCTGGAGCGATTTACGGTGTACACCATTGAGACTGCACGCCTGTTACTCGCGCCTCCAGTGGAGACGGCTGTAAGCCTTCCGTCCCCCCTCCGTTTCTTTGTGACTTCGCTAATAATCGCAACAGACCATTATCTTCGACATGACGAACTTCACTCTAGCCAACATGGACTACACCCCCGTCAAGTTCATGATCAAGTGCTTCGAAGCTAACTACCCCGAGTCCCTCGGCTCCGTACTCATCCACAAGGCACCGTGGATCTTCTCCAGCATCTGGAATATCATCAAAGGCTGGCTCGACCCCGTCGTGGCGTCCAAGATCCACTTCACCAAGAACCGCGAAGACCTCGAAGAATTCATTGCCCCCGAGCGCCTCCCGAAAGAGCTCGAAGGTGACGAGGATTGGGAGTACGAGTACAGCGAGGTCCAGACCGGGGAGAATGTCCAGATGGAAGACAAGGAAAAGCGGGATGTGCTCGTCAAGCAGCGCCACGACCTCGCCAAGGAGATCCAGGATGTCACGATTGATTGGATCAAGGCCAGTGGCAAGAAAGACACCGACGCGGTTGCCGCTGCTAAGCAGAAGCGCGAGGGTCTGGTTGAGCAGCTCCGCAAGCAGTACTGGGACCTTGACCCGCATATTCGGGCGCGCTCGCTCTATGACCGGCTGAATATCGTCCAGGGCGGGGGGAAGATTGAGTTCTATCCCGTTGCGGAGAAGAAAGAGACGGAGCCCACGGTCGATGAAAATACGGCAGCGGCAACGGAGACCACCGCATGATCTTTTGGTCATTATATTTCGGGATTTGTGTGCTAGTTGGATATGTGTTCTTAGGTAGATCTTGTACTCCATGCATTTTTTGTAGTATATACCGAATTGGATATTTGTGGCGGATTTGGACTTGATTTGGAGATACGCGGAACGAACCAAATCCTCCACAGTAGCTGTCATGATGCCACCAACAATTCCATTCTTAGCAAAAGGCCCGTCCTCGCTTAAGGTCGACGAAGATACAGACATAGTCAGAGAATCAAATCACATCTTCGCCTTAATCTCCGCGTGCAACGCCTTCAACTTCTCCATATCGGTCTCCTGAGTTGGCCACCCAATAGTCAGACCTTCCTTCTCGTTCGGCTTGGGGATCTATCGAGCAATGTAAGACTCATGTGTGCACAACATGCATACAAGGACAGGACACACCATATGGAAATGAACATGGTCAACCACCTGGTGCGCAATGCGGCCGTTATTCTGTAGGACATTGAAGTCCACGGTGCCGCTTGCTTGGGCGATTTTCTTGGCGACGGGCTAGGAAGGAGGGTGATGTCAGTTTCTGAGGCTCTAGGGACCTTGGGGGTTGTTGGGTTCCGGTAAATTTATAGCCCCGTAGCACCCAGCCCCTTTCACGGCTGAGCTGTCTCTCTACTATACACTTACCAGGATCTCCAGCAGGTCCTCGTCAGGAATATCGGTCAGCTTGGCGCCATGGAATTTGGGGATGACGAGCTGGTAGGATAGGTGTCAGTGACCGTCTTCTTCTCCGCCTTATTTTTGATTCGATTCATTGCATCCGCCACACAGGAATGACCACCGGAGCACAACATGTACTGCTCTCCAGGTCCTCGAGGTCACCGTGCGGGGGGAGGATACACAACGCGGGAGGAACGTACCGCATGTCCACGGCTCAGCGGCTGGATGTCGAGGAAGGCAAAGACCTTGTCGCTCTCGAACAGCTTGAGCGAAGGGATGTCGCCTACAGGTGGGGGGTGTGTGAGTGAGAGGAGAGCATGAGGTGGATGGGTGCTAGCTGTCTGTCCTCCCCCATGTGGAGAGCATTGGGGGAGGAACAGGGATAATAGACATACCCTTAATGATCTTGCAGAAGATGCAGGCGGCGGAGGACATGTTTCCTGGGTGGTTCTTGGGTTGTCTGGGGGAATGGTATGTAGGATGTTTGGTTTGTTGTTGGGGTAAGTGAAGTCATGGCCGAGGTGGGGCTGGACTCAGCATCGCATAGTAGGTTCGGAATCATTAGTACATTTGGGAGATACAGTAAAACCCTGGACGTAATAAATGAATTCAAGGACCATACTGGTACTCTCCTCTATTCCTTCAAATCATATTATCCCCCCAATTGAATAATACGTGCTTGGTGGACACCCCGAATCGAACCCGCCACTATCCGGCCCCCTTATATAGCATATAACCTGCACTTCTGCGAGGAGTGGGACAGACTAGTGCAGAACCCATTTCTTGCCTTTTACCAGAGATGGCCGTGGTTTGCCCACTATACTCCTCTTCTCAATCTTTGGACCATCACACGCGACATAGCTGTCGTTTTATTGTTTTTCTTTTTGCTTCTAGCATATTATACATAGGAAAATGAACGATTTTCTTCTTTTTTCCCCATTTTGGCTCGGTCGCAGGGTCTGTGGTGGTGGTCGTGTGCGTGTACGGTCTGTCAAATGGGCGTGTCCATTAGGGAATTTCTCCGCTTACCTTGCACAGACACAAACTCTTTAATAGATCCGGGGATTAAAAAATACATAAAATGCCATTCTGAATGCAATAGCACTCCCGAAGAGACTCCTATCCATACCTTCCGGTCGAATGATATAGTAACAATAACCACAGCCCATCCACCACCGCACATTTAGATGCCATCCGCATTCGGACTAGCGCCAAGTCCCGTGCTGCACTTCCGTCCTCACCACGATCAATCATCTCCATCCCGTCCCTCAACTCCCTCTGTCGCACCTCGTCTCGTGAGCCCCGACTCTCCACCCAATTCGAGGCTATGCAGAAGACCCGGGCCATCAACTCTGCCTTGGGCTCCCGGGCCTTTAGCCCAATCCCGCGAGTGCACCTTCAGTTCCAACGCCGCACTCTCCAGGATGTCGCCATCTCCCGCACCGGAAAGCCCCTTCTGAAGGTCCAGGGTGGCCGGTAAGGACTCAATTGCTTGCTATTTGAGGATCTTCGCTAATCTTTGATGTTGCAGGTCGTCTCTTGGAGGTACACTGATCCTTTTTAACCCTCGGTTGCATCCGTTCGATCTGCTCACCTTCCGATTCTAGGTCACACCGCGACGGTCTTTGGTGCCACTGGATTTCTTGGTCGCTACATTGTCAACAAGCTCGGTATGTGGAGGAGTACAGGGTCTTTTTGCTTTTGTTCTTCGACTGATGCCATCCAGCTACCCAGGGATGCACCGTGGTCGTCCCCTATCGGGAGGAGATGGCGAAGCGTCACCTGAAGGTGACGGGTGATCTTGGCCGGGTTGTTTTCATTGTATGGCCCAGTTCCTGTTTTGCCCGTCATTCTCCTAACCGATCCTCGTAGGAATACGACCTGCGCAACACCCAGTCCATCGAAGAAAGCGTCCGTCACTCCGATGTCGTCTACAACCTGACGGGCCGCCAATACCCTACGAAGAACTTCACCTATGCGGACGTTAACGTTGACGGTGCAGAGCGCATCGCCGAGGCTGTGGCCAAGTACGATGTTGACCGATTCATCCATGTTTCTTCCTACAATGCCCGTCGGGACTCGCCCTCCGAGTACTTTGCTACCAAGGTGCGTTGATTTTTTTGAACGGGTATGGTAGAAACAATTCTGACGAAACTAGGCGTGGGGAGAGGAAATCGTTCGCAAAATTTACCCCGAGACGACGATTGTGCGCCCGGCCCCGATGTTCGGGTTCGAAGACAACCTCCTCCACAAGCTGGCTAGCAATTCCAACCTGTTCACGGCCAACCACATGCAGGAGCGTTTCTGGCCTGTCCACGTAAGATGCACCCACCCACCTTCCTCTAAAATCTGCGATTAACAACCAGTCCAGGCGATCGATGTCGGCACCGCGCTGGAGCGCATGCTGCACGACGACTCGACCGTCGGCCAAACGTTCGAGCTGTATGGCCCGAAGAACTACTCGACCGCGGAGATCGCCGAGCTGGTCGACCGTGAGATCATCAAGCAGCGCCGCCACGTGAACGTGCCCAAGGCACTCCTCAAGCCCATTGCCTACTACCTGAACAAGTACCTTTGGTGGCACACCATGTCGGCTGACGAGGTGGAGCGCGAGTTCATCGATCAGGAGATCGACCCGACGGCCAAGACCTTCAAGGATCTGGGCATTGAAGAGCCTGCCGACCTGGCCGACCTGACCTTCCACTACTTGGTATGTACCCTTTTTCTGTTGGTAAGTGATATGCTAATTCCCCTACAGCAAGGTTACCGCAGTGCCTCGTACTACGACCTGCCCCCGGCCACGGAGCGCGAGCAACGCGAGGAGAAGAAGTACCTCCATGTGCTGGACGACCAGTAGTCTGTTTTTGTAATTGTACATAAGCCGTCCTAGACAATCTATTTTCCTTTTGTTTTGCCAGTGCTCACAGTCAAAGTGTAAAAGAGTGTCGTTACAATTTGTATCAAGTAAATCCCGGCCTGGTTGGCTCTGATACCGAAACTCCCGGGCTCCCCGCAGCGTCATGATCCATCCATCCCACCTCACTAACTCCCCCATCTACCTCACCATCCTCTTTACTTCAATCAACACACACGAAACAATGCCACCACAAATACCAATTCTCCTCCTCAAAACAAAATCCTCCCCCGAGGATGGCTACGCGGACTTCTTCTCCGCCCACGGCTACACGCCGACATTCGTCCCCGTGCTCGAGCACCGCGTCCACGAGTCCAATCTCGGAAACGTCCGCGCATTGCTCGCGGCGCACGCATTCAGCGATGTCACGCGCAACACACCGATTCGGGGATTCGGGCGCCGGAAATTTGGTGGCTTGATCTTTACGAGTCAGAGGGCTGTTGAGGCTTTTGCGGGGATTTTGGAGGCGGAGGGTGAGGGTGAGGATAAGGGTATGCCTAAATTACAATTCCTCCCCCAATGCCACGCATTCGATATTTGGGGTAATATTGGAGGATGCTAACACGGAGAAGGAGAAACAAAAGAGATCAACAACTTGGAAGAAATAAGCATTCCCCTCTACACCGTCGGCCCCGCCACAGCACGCAGCCTGGGCAACCTCGCAACAAGTTACCTCCCAAACACAAGCATCCACGGCGCGGAAACAGGAAACGGCGAGAACCTGGCCTACTATATACTGGATCACTATAATTCTCTGTACCCAGACATGTTCAACCGTCCGCCGCTCCTCTTTCTGGTCGGTGAGCAGCGAAGAGATATTATTCCGAAACTGCTTATGGAGAGCGAGGATACGCCGCCGGAGAAGCGGATTCTGGTTGAGGAGATTGTTGTTTATGAGACTGGTGTTAGAGAAGGGTTTGAGAGCGATTTTGGGGGGGTTGTTTCTTCGGTTGGGACTTCAGATGGAGATGGGAAGGGAAGTGAGAAGAAGAACCCGATCTTTGTAGTCGTCTTCTCACCAACAGGCTGCGAGGCAATGCTCCGCGTGCTAGGAATTGGCCCATTCGCTTCTACCTCCGCGTCACCCGAAACAGAAGTGTTCATTGCAACCATCGGTCCAACGACACGCGACCACCTGCGCCAGAAATTCGGCTTCGAGCCGCATGTCTGTGCAGCGAAGCCCAGTCCCGAGGGTGTGGGAGCTGCAATTGAGGAGTTTATGGCTCGGCGGAGTTAACTAATTAATTGGGGCTAGGTATTGGTGTTCATCATACATAGATGGGATGTCGTTTTTCTGTACATATAAAAGGATGGATGGGTGTATACTACCTACAAGATATGAACATGCGATAGAGCAAGACGGGTGTGCATGCGCTGAATTCAACATTTACATTCTCATCATGTACTGACTGTACTTCTGTACGGGGGTCCAGTTGCCTGCCTTGCTATCTCTAACCGTGTGTTTCATTTCATGCCGCAGTTCATTTCAAATCATGGCGGATCCTCTGCACACCACACACCACACACATGCCTAGCTCACCGCATAATCTCCTCGTAGATCAACGCTGCAACGTATTAGCACGAACCTAACACAAGAGAAGGTAAACATACTCTTCAACTGCTCCTTGCTCAGAGCATCCTTGTTCTTGTCGAAATCGAAGAATCCCTCGGGGATAGGCGGCGCAGTAGGCTCATCATCCGGGTCATGATACGGCTCCAGGTACGGGTGACGCAGGGCATCCTCGACAGAGATGCGCTTGGCCGGGTTGAAGGCCAGCAGTTTCTCGAGCAGATCCAGGGCCATGTCGTTGCTCTTGGGGAACAAAGCCCGGAAGGGAATTTTCTTCTTGAATGGCAGAGAGCGGATGTATTCGCGGGCTCGGCGGGATTTGATTCCGTAGTAATCTTCCATCGTCGGGGTGCCGAGCACGTCCAGGATAAGGGTCAGCTGGTGGTGGTCTACAATATTCATTAGAAGCGTGACGACAGAAAGAGGGCTGGCTGCGATACGTACAGTCCTTGCCTGGGAACAGGGGCTTCCCGCTCAGCATCTCGGCCAATATGCAGCCAACGCTCCACACGTCAATGGCCTTGGTATATTCCTTGAAGGTCAACATGATCTCCGGCGCACGATACCAGCGAGTCGCCACGTATTCCGTCATGAAGCCGGAGTTGTCGTCGGTGGATGCGGCCGAGCGCGCCAGACCGAAGTCGCAGACTTTGAGGTCGCAGTTGGCATTGAGAAGCAGGTTCGAGGGCTTCAGGTCACGGTGCAGCACATTGGCCGAATGCATCGCCTTGAGGGCGCGCAGGGTCTGGTAGATAAAGTATTGGCAATGGTCATCGGACAGATCTTGTGTCCGAATGACGCGGTGCATGTCGGTCTCCATCAGTTCTTGAATCAGATAGACCTCATTGAATCCCTCGTAGTTGCGGGGTCGTTGGATGTCCAGTATCGAGATAATGTTCTCGTGGTTGAAGTATCGCAGTAGCTTCATCTCGCGCAACGTGCGCAGGCAGAACATCGAGTGGTCGAACGGGGTGATCTTCTTGATGGCGACTTTCTGGCCCGACGGCTTGTGAATTGCAGAGCTGAGGACCGTCAGAGTCTCCCTCCCCAAATCCAGGGAGTGGCTTACCAGACAACACCGTATGCACCCTCGCCAATCACATCCTGAATCTCATATTGGTCGGATACATTGAATGAGATCTTCCTCGATCCTCCCTGTGGAGGATTCTGCTGGCCCATGTTGTTGGGTGTAGGGATCTGGGGGCGTGTGTCAGCGGTGGATATGGTCCTGGGCAAGCAGAAAAGAGCACGAAGGAAACGAGCCATGGGAATGAGGGGATCTCTTTACGGTGTAGACAAGCGACCAAAAAAGGGACCGTGGGCAGCTTGAAGGTACAATCGGGAGACAGGAGAGCTTACGTTCGTTCGTTTGCGCTGCGGGGGATTGGTCTGGTGTGTTCTGAGTCTGTATCCGCCTCGCGTTTGTCCGGCGGGAGATCTAAGAACAAGACCCCGGGAAAAAACGAAAGAGGAGGAGAGGGGTGGGAGGGAGAAGAGGTGATCAGGAACGAGAGCCGGGGAGGGTTTGTTGATATGACGGAGCCGAGAGGGGCGGGCGGGCGGACAGACCAGGAACCAAGACCGGGAAAAGGAGGCCGGGAGAGACGGGGTGTCAGCGGTGTGTCAGACGGAGAACCCGATCGGTGTTGTGTCAGGTGCAAAAATGGAATAATAAAAATCGGTGTGGTGAGTGCGTTGAGGTGGTGTCGGAGAGAGAGACAGGAGGAAGTGGAAGTGGGGGGGGATGTTGCTCGGGGACTTAATAGTAGTTAATTTGTTGGTGGGACACCCAACCTGGGGCAGCCCAGACTAAATTCGGTGTACGAGGATCTTTTGCTTGGACACGACTTCTATAAACCTTGATCATTCATTCATTCGGTGGGGGAAACGACCCGGCTCGTACCCTCTCGAGTGTTTCAGGCACGTAAATCACGGAATCACCCTCCCTCCGCCACGGCGCCAACTGTTTCGTCCACTCGCACCGGCGCTACTGCCGCCCAGTCACATCACGGCCCACTTGAACTAAATACGACAGGATCGCCAAACGGAAACGCATTATATTCTTTGACATCGCTCTACCCAGGTCCGTAGTGGTACAAGGGAGATCCTCCCCAAATGGCCAGAATTACTGCACAACCTACAAATTACATGGTTAGCTCCGAGAACTTCGAAAGGATCCAGGACGAAGGGACCGTACCTTTTCCCGCAGACTTCCCATCCACTGTGCGAGACTCATGCCTTGGTCGGCGCGGTCCTCTACCAGCATCGACTGTGCCCACAGGCGCAGGGCTGGCTCGCCGTCCTCGCGCACCACGTACAAGTGCGGCACAATTATGCTGCCCACGCCCTTGGACCGGTGGTCGGCACTCTTCTCGAGCACGGCCCGGACGCGCTGGTTGAACTCGTTGTCAATGTCCGGTAGCGTCTGCTTGCCCACCCGCAGCTGCGACTTGTCGGCCACGCCGAACACGTCCGTGATGAGTTGCGGCACGGAGTCGCGGCCAACCCACAGGAACTGGGTTTGGCCGTCATCAATGAGGTACAACCCGTAAGGCGCCAGGCGCTCTGACGACAGGTTGATGGCTGGGGGCAAGATGATCTCGCCCGTCTGCTCGTCCGGCAGACCCGCGTTGTCGGGCATGTCATGCAGCGAGTACATCTTTGGGTACATGTACTGAATGAGGAGCGGGAGAGGCAGGGTTGACAGCAGGCAGAGCGCCGCCGACCGCATATCCGTGGGGATCTGGGCCGATTTCCGTAGACCAAGCTATCGAGACTCTATTAGCATCAGTAGATCAGAGGAGAAACAAAGACTTACATTCTTGATCAAGGCGAGGAAAAGGACAGGCAATCCTCGAAGGTTGGCCGGGAACTGGAGGCCACCACCGCTAACGCTGCCCCCGGCAAGTTCCTTACGGTAGGTCTGCAAGAGCTCCACGACCTTGGTCTGTAGAGCTTCACGAGCTGGCTCGAGACCGCTGCTCAGGACCCGCTCAATGGCCCTGTGGCTGAAGAACGTGGTGATCGCCTGCTGGTCTGCCGACGCATAGATGTCTGCCAGGTTCTGGGTGGTAGGAAGGGCCAAAGTGAGCACACGGATGCGACGCTCGCCATTGCAGGTGGTGTGAAGGACGGCCGCCTGCATGCATACCACAGGTTTTGTCACGGTCTCATCAATGGACACCTCAACCACGTATGCCTGGTCGCGAGGGAAGGCAGGGAACGCACACAGATCTGAGCTCCGGTTGAAGAAGTTGCCGTAGAACGTGCTCATGCGCAGACCTGTGGTGGCACGCACGCGGAGAACGGCCTCCAGGCCGATCTCCGAAGACAAATACTCAGAGAACTCGCGTGCAAACTTGATCGCATCCTCGCTTCGACCGGCATTCCAACCCGGGTAGAAGTAGGTCTGTCCACCAGTGTAGCGGGGAAGATTACTCAAAGACGCCACATCCTGGTACTGAGACGAGAAAAGGAACATATCCACTGAGACCTGTGCCTTGGAGCATTCCACGGCGAAGCTCTTGTAGAACGAGTTGCCCGTTTGGAGGAGGCTGGACTCCTTGCTCGTACCTAGGACCTTCTTGTCCTCGCGCATGGTCAGCGCACCGTGGCCCACATTCGGCAGCGAGGCGCTCAGAACTGTCATCTTTCCACCCACGGGAGAGATCAACTTGTAACCGGCCCGCAAAGCGGATCCCATCGCGCAGCTGAGGTTTGCGGTGTTCTGGAACATCTCCTGCAGCTTGTCCAGGAAAGACTCAATGTTCTCCCGGCATTCGCTCAGGGTCACCAAGAGATCGCCAGGAATGGGCAGGAAAGGCTCTTCCAGGTCGCTGACAACGAGCATCCGAGGCTCCGAAGCCTCTGAGCCATCTCGTGGAATGCTGAAGTAGTGCAGGCTTGAATCCACAGCCATGAATCCCAATCGGGTCCGTCTGTCGGCGTTGGGAATGCGGTCCAGGCTCTCCTTGATGCATCGTGCACTGGTGGCCAAGAGACCGCTAGTCACGGAGGCGTGGCTCACATCGATCAAGAAGAGGTAGACGAGTGGCTGAGGCGGGCGAACCATATACTCCTGCGGCGCAACGAATTCTACCAAGCTGTGGTTCAGGTCTGCGCGCAGTGACCGATCGGCAGGCTTCTGGAGCGTAGAATCCCAGTCGAAGGCCTGGGGCACATCATTGGTCAAATTGCACATATTACAACGCCAGCGGTGGCCATGGTCGAGGAAGGTGACAAATGGGTTGATGTAAGAACGGCAGCGTCGACACCGAGAGATCACTTGGTCTGTGATGACCGGAACGTTGTCTTCGGAGTCGTGCAGGGCTCCGTATGGCTGGATCACGAGAGCAAAAGGCAGCTTCGACTTCTTCAACAGATTATGGGTCGTCGGCACGACATTCAGCGTGGACCGCATATACTTTGTGGGGCAATTGGCATCAGGGGAAGGGTAAACGCTCGTCTGTCACAGGGTCAGTATCCGATTTTTGGAGGGGGGATGGTCGAAGCACGTACTCCGGGCGGCAAAGTGATTGGAGGTGGAGGATAATCCAGCTCGGCCACATTGAACGGTTGCGAGAGGAGGTCTGTCGGGTACAGCTGGTTGAGCTGGACAGGACGCGCAGCCTGGGGGGCTGGCTGCTGCTGCTGCGGGGCCATCTGATGGGCATCACCCATGCCCATGGCACCGAACTGCTGTGTCATCTGCTGCATACCGGGGGCTGCTGGCGGAGCATATCCCGCCGCCGCAGGCTGCATCTGGCTCGGGGCTGCACCATACATGGGCTGTTGTTGGTATCCCTCAGCGGGCGGTTGTTGGGGATATTGCCCATAGTCACCCCCAGCTGTGGGCTGCCCACCGAGCGCAGCATTGGCACCGGCGCCAAAGTCGTATGCCTGGCCAGCGTATGCTCTCTTCTTCCGGGCGGCGGCGTGGCCGTGAGCGGCTTGTCCTTGCACGGGAGACTGCTGGTCCTCGGGCGCGGAGGGGCCATGGCCCGGCTGGGCATAGCCCTCCTGGGGAGGATAACCCCCCTGTGGTGCTGCCATGGAGGTTTGTGGTGGGGGTCGAGGACAATTGGGAAGGTGTCGAAGATTGGGGGAGGGGGGGTGGGAGGGGGGCAGGGAGTCACGGAGGTGGGTGAATTAACGTGTGGGCGCGGAGTGACAGCTTCCTATGTAGGGGATAGCACTGTCAGTCAGCCTAGCAGCAAGCCACAAACAGCTGGTGAGGATACCGAAAAGTGACACGCAGAAACGCACAAGCCGGGGAAGACCACGGGGAGGCGGTGATGATGAGTTACGGTGGCCTTTAGCTTGGGCCAATCAGGGGCCTCGCATGTGACTTGCTCGTACTATGTTAGGGACTGGGGTAGAGGAGAGATCGAGAGGATTGTACATGGACTGTCAATCGAAAATAGAGGTGTGTATATATCGATCTTTCTGGACCGAAATACAAGAAGCTTCCATATTTCTATCGGTGTTGCCACCTCATCTGGTTGGGCATTGTTCAACTATATATTTCCCCAACACCAACCAACACACAACAACTCGGCACCATCTATGCAGACATACGGTCCAACAACAAGTACATATTTCAGACCTAGATCCATTTATAATTCTCATCCTACCCAACCCAAAAGCACACCCCAAGAATGTGTGATCCCCCCCTCCCCTCCAAGTCTAGGGCTTCCCCGTTGCCCCGCCAACGACCGACACACACACCTTCAACTCGGCGAACACACGAGCTCCGACACACGTCGACAATTCCCGCGTCTTGCAGCCAACAGGTAGGTTAGGTAGCGATTCAATTCTTCGGGAGGATTTCCTTTATTTCTTTATTTCTTTCCATTCATTCATTCATTCCTTCTTGTTTGTTTCATCTGAATGAAGGAACTGCCACAATGAGTGTCCGAGTCGTTGCGCGTGTTCGACCTCTCCTCAAGTCCGAGCGCGAGCTCGACGTGATTCTTCGCACGGGTGCTACGGCTGGTACTGCCGACTCCAAGTCGCGTCAGTCGACTGGTGACAAGAAGAGTTCCCGCGAAGGCGCTGCATTAGCTGCGTTGAGGGATCGGGATAACCTGGTACGGATTCCAAACCCGAAAAACGAGGGCGAGGAGTATGCTTTCCAGTTCAACGCCGTCTATGACTCGGATGCGTCGCAGCAGGAGCTGTTTGATGCCGAAGGTACATCCTGCATACCCCTGAAAATACACCCGCCGTCTAATCAAAGCTACGGTACAGTTGCACCCACGATCAAGCACTTGTTCAACGGATTCGATGTCACCATCTTCGCATACGGCGTTACTGGGACCGGCAAAACACACACAATGCGCGGTGGGAAAACCCTTGCTGATCGGGGCGTGATTCCCCGGATGCTCAGTGGCATTTACCGCCGCAGTCGGAAGATCGAAAAGGATAGCGACGGAGAGACGAAGGTGCAGGTCTCTTTGAGCTACTATGAGATCTACAACGACAAGGTGTATGATCTGTTTGAACCGCCTGAGAAGCGCACACTGGCGGGACTGCCTCTTCGAGACAACGGCGGCAAGACCGTGGTCGTTGGGTTGACGGAGAAGCCCTGCACGAGCTTGAAGGAGTTCGAGGGGCTCTACGACCAGGCGAACACCAATCGGTCAACCTCTGCAACAAAAGTATGTTTGCTCTGCCCCGGACTTGAAGATCCTAGGACTGCTGCTCACAATTGACTGCTCTAGTTGAACGCACACTCCTCACGATCTCACGCGATCCTCGCAGTCAAGGTTACCGTGTTCTCCCCTGATCAGACTCGGGTCAGCACTGCTTCAGCCATCGATCTGGCCGGCTCAGAAGACAACCGTCGCACTGAAAACGACAAGGAGCGAATGATCGAATCGGCCAGCATCAACAAGAGTCTCTTTGTGTTGGCTCAGTGCGTTGAGGCAATCAACAAGAAGCAGCATCGGATCCCGTACCGCGAATCCAAAATGACTCGGATCCTGTCCCTGGGCCAGAACAATGGGCTGACAGTCATGATCCTCAATCTTGCCTCTGTCCGGTCATACCACCTGGACACGATCAGCTCGCTCAACGTTGCCAGTCGGACAAGGAAGATCGAGGTTCGAGAGGTGGAGAATGACCCAATGTTCAAAGGACCTGCAAGAATGTCAATCCGGCCTTCGATGGCAGCTTCGCGACAGCCTCTGCGCCCACTGACCGCTTCAGTCAACGTGAATATGCCAGCACCTGCTGCAAAAGACCCAACCAAGAAGGATGATGACAAGCCTGTGAAAATGTTCAGTGTCTATTCGGATCGGCCGCAGAAGCCTCATATGACACAACTTCGTAAACCTGATGGGTCGCGGCCCTCCCTTTCTTCTGATGGCCACACTTCTCGCATATTGAAACCTGCCCGTCAGACACTGGCCCCGGTTATGGAGCCTTGGACAAACAACGCGGAATTTTCTGCTGCGAAGATTGAGGAGATGGTTGAGAAGAAAGTGGAAGAAATCTTGGCGGTGCGCGCCGTGAGCGAGCAATCACGGCAGACGCAAGTTCGTGAGCTGAACGAGAAGGTCCAGCGACGACTTGAAATGCTGGAGCAACGTGTCGAGGGCACCGAAGATGCAAGGGCTGAGGGTCTCTCGTATCTACTCATGGCCAAGCAACACCAAGCACGCGGTGAAGACGCCTCTGCACTGAAGATGTACCAGCTGGCACTGCCTCATTTCCCACACAATGAGAAACTGGCGGGCAAGATTGCTGTTTTGAAGGAACGAGTCCAAGGCAAGACACGGGGGTTACAGGTCTTCACTGGCGCTGTTTCCTCTCCTGGCAAAGGCAGATTCGGTAGCATGCTGTCTCTCAAGAAGGAGCCCCCTAGGATGTTTGGAAAGCGCCAGTCGGAGGACTTCGATGCAGATTACGAGGAACACGCTGGTGGCGATGGATTCTCCAGTGATGAAGATGTCTCTCGTCCACGTCACAAAAAGCGCGCCACCGCAAAGTCATTCCCTCGCGGCGAAATTGACTTGGACGCGATGGACTGCGAAGATCCCTCTGTCTCACCTCGCACCATTCATCTGCTATCGATCATCAACTCTCGCGACGTCAGCCAGATCAAGCTGCTGAAAGGTGTCGGCGCCAAAAAGGCCGAGGCCATTGTCGACTGCCTCTGCGAAATGGACCAGAACCCTGATGTCGGCTTTGTCTCTGATCAGCCTCAGTTCCAGGTTAGCACTCTCGCAGAATTGAGCACGCTCAAGGGCGTTGGTCTCAAGACGGTCGAAAATATGCGGAATGGCGTGTTGGTTTGATATTCTTGTTGGTTGGTTGTTGCATTCAGGGCTTGGGCATACAGACTCGGGAAGGCTTGCACTTATTCATTGCACATCACCGTTCAGCGACGGCGCTGGGGCGTTTGGTGTTTTATATACTTTTCAATACGAGGGTTCTTCGTCGATGCTATTATTGTAGTCACACAGAATCAAGGAGAAGATGATTATAGCCCGTCTATTATATTATGTATTCAATATATCCTGTTCTTTCTATTTGACAAAAGCACAAAAACACCAACATAATGCAGCCAATTATCCTCTCAATCTACACTTTATTGAGCTTGAACCCACCCACAACAGTCCTCGCAGCGACAAACAAAATCGCGCCGGCGAACATCACCACACCACAGAAGACCTGCAGATTGGTATAAGATCCATGCAGCACGTTGGGAACGAGCGCACCACCAATGGGCGTACCCGTCAACGCCGCAAAAGAGATAACAGCAAAGAAAGTGCCGTTGCGAACACCCACTTCGCGCATGTCAGAGATCTGAGCGACGACAGCGGGGGCAAGTGACACAAACGCGCCGGAGCTGAAGCCGTACAGGGCGCTGAAGATGATAGCGGGCACGTTGCCGCGCGCGGGCAGCCAGAGCGCCAGCACCAGGATTGCAGAGAGGAAGGTGGTTATGATCATGACGTTGAAGCGGCCGATTTTGTCGGCGACATAGCCCGGGACTGTTCGACCAAAGATACTCGCTGCGTTCAGGATGGGAATCAGGTAGTTGGCCAGTTCCCCCGACATGCCGAACCGCATCGCCTGGGTGATCACAAAGGTGAACGGCAGGAACATCCCCCAGAAGAAACAGAAAGCGCCAGCAACCGTAAGCACGAACCGCAGCTCCGTGAGCGGCTTGAGGAAGTTGAGGAAATGGAACGGCTTGCGGCGATGCTGCAGCCTCGAGCGCAGCGTGAGATTGGAGATACCCAGCAGGGCCAGAATCAAGAATGCGCAGATGCGCATCGTCCATGCGAATCCGACCTTGGGAATCAGTTGGGTGACCATGATGGGGAAGATGACGCCGCCCAGACTCGACCCGGCGGCTGTGACGCCCAGGGCGAAGGCGCGGCGTTTGGCGAACCAGGTGCTGACGGAGTTGACACAGGCGTTGAAGACGGCGCTAGCGCCGAGCGGGCTGCAGATTCCTTGCGAGAGGATGAATTGGTAGTACTCTGTTGAGAGCGAGGCCATCATCAGGCCGAAGACGTGAAGGATTGTGCCCGCTAGCAGGATCCAGCGCGGACCGAAGTTATCGAAAAGTGTTCCGAAGATGGGGCCCTGATGAGTTGTTAGCATGATCGAAGTAGTATCAGAGAAAGAAGTACTTACACCCAGGAACATGACGAACGTCTCTAGTGAGGTGATCCAGGTTACGCTGCTGGTAGACATGTCGCTCAACTGGTGGCTCTCATAGTATGTCTGGAAGACACCAATACCTGAAATGAAATCAGCTCAATCCCTATAAAAGCTCGGCAGTACACTCACAGTTGATCCAGCCAAAACTAACGAACAATCCGCAGAATGCGCCGAGCACAACGAGCCAGGCCGTTGCGCCTCCGTCCGGCGGAGGACCTGGCGCCGGCGTCGCGGGAGTCGACATCGGGGCCACATCTTGCTTTTGAGCCTCAGGATCATTCCGGTCCTTTTGTTCTGATATCTGGGTCTCCTCCGGCTGCGCACCCTTTTCTGGGTCGCTGCTTACATGTGCGCTGAGTGCTGGAGTTGAATTCTCCGATGGGCCTGTATTGGTCGTGGCGCTGTCTATAGACGGCGAAGCGTGCCGTTGCTCGTTTTCCGCCATAGTTTGTACTGATTAAAGGTATTTCCGCGAGGGCTGAAGGCGTCGGTAACTGTCGATACTCAAGTATATCAGAATGGAATTCCACACAGCGCAGACTCGAATTATAAACTGCTATCCCTCACCGACATGGAACACATAGACCCAGACCCAAAAAGCAAAAAACAAACAAGCTTGTGCAAGGTAGGACAAGGGACGATCTGATGCAACTTACGGTAGCAAACGGGCGCGCAGCATCCAACCGTCCACAATCGAACGGGTCCCGAAATTTACTTTCGAGTTTAGGACAGGGCCGGCGGTGGCCTGATATAGAGCGTGAAAGAATGAAGAAAAATATGAGCGAGGAGAGGAGCAAGAGAGTAAGCTAATATTTTTGTACCCCAGCAGTACTTAGGGCTCCACTCTCGCTCTATCGCGCCAGGAAATTTCGCGTCTTCGGAGGGCGAAGTCCGAGCCGAGCAGCGAAAATCCGGGTGTGCTTTCTCCACTTTTTCCCTCGTGCTTCAGCGGAAAGAATTCCTTTGTTTCAAAAAAGCTATTATGAGCGGTCAGCATTATTATTTTCGGCCCATTTTTTGGCGGATGATCGTCCACTATAACAAGAGACTGAACCCGCGCCCTCGGACATAACATATTTAGCCCGAGCGCCATAATCCTGGGGATTCGGTGATTTCCTTAGTGGAAATAAATCCGAGTCCGGGTCCAGCCTTGTGTGCAATTCCCTGGCAGCTGGAGCGGATCCGTAACGATATGGAGACTAAAGCAGGCTACCGGTATTGTGGTTATTCTTCGGCTAACTGCATTTTTCCACCCACCGATGAGGTTTTTGTTTAAGACAGAGTATTGGCAAACGGATATACGTTGGTTCGGAGGGATCTAATTAGGGAATCCTGAGTGGAACTAAATACTTCTAATACCACCCACCACGCACGAGTGCATAATAACGCAGGACAACAACTTGATTTTATTGTCCCTTTCCTAGATAAGGTAGCAAGATTGGCCCATGCGGCTTATCAATCCGATGACGCTAGCCTTGAGATAAGACTGAACGATGTGACAACCCTGGCGCTTAACCCATCTCTCACCTCATCTTTCTCAATCTAACTGGCGGAGCCTAAAATGGCATGATACACTTGGTTTCAAGACATCCAGTCAATAGCCGCTGTTTATTTCTATACATCATCCTTTCATAGTTCACCCCTAGACACGAGGTCGGTTCGGTCCGCCCATGGAGCCTCAGGAATGTATGTATGGGGATTGTTTCATAGTTCGACTGATCTCTCGGCGTTACCAAGGGATCCTATCATCTTCTCACAGCAAAGAATCGGGCGTTAAAGAAGCACTTATTAATAGCCTGGCCAACTTGGGGCACAGTACTGACCTCAGAATAATAATAGGAAGGACTATTTGAAGTGGATATCTATGAAGACATTTGGATATATTTACGATTTACTATCATGTTTACTTGACTCTGCAGAATGCGCTTCTAGATTTTTCCAGTCGAGATATTGCGGACTATAGATGGAGTGTTTAAACTGCGACCTCGAACATAATTATATCCCTTTCATCCGGACCACCATCATCGATGGCAAAACTTCGACAGTCACCTACGAGGGTTGGGCGGGAGGTTTGCCAGCAGTACCGGCAAGGTCGACATCTTCAACTCCTAGATCGACGTCGGTTAAATCAACAACAGCCCGCGGTGAGCCTCCTGCCTTCAAACCATCTTCCTCTATTGCCAGCTACACTCCATCCCCCTACTCATCGACCATACCGCAATCAACTACAATTACAACCATAGCCACCACCACCTTCTTAACCTCAGCGACATCTACCACCACTTCCACCGAGGTTTTATCATTAACAAGCACCCAAACAACGTTACCTTCCCAATCACCACATTCAACACCCCACAGTTATGGTCTCCCAGAGGCCGCAAAAGCAATGATCGGCATCGGCGCCGTCTCAGCTGTGATTCTCGCCGGGTTCCTATCATGGCTATATCTGCGGCACAAAAGGCTCCAAAAAGCAGCCCGCCAGCGGAGAAGCGACCCATTTCCTTGGCTAGCAGGTCTACCAGAAGGCGACGATGACAGGCTTCGAAAGCCTCACGAGCTTCAGGTCCTCTCACCGCGGATCAAGGCAGCGGTAGAGCTTGGGCTCGACGGACAGAAGTATGAATTGCCTGGCTCGAGGACGTGGAAGATCTCGCGACGTCCTGAGGTGGATGGCTTCTTTTAGATCCTGCTCAAATTTTGTATATATGGTTTCATTTCAGGATTGTTTTCCTAGAACAATATGCCAAGTCAAATGCCGTCCGTGTAGGGAGATCATCATATGCACCGGCCCGAACGCTCTCGCCGGGTCACAACAAACGAGCCGAGTAACCCAGCATAGCTGTGGACGTGTGGATGGATCATTTGGTTTCAGACCAGGCCTTTAAATCGGAAACAACCAAGTCTCAGAATGAAACTGAATCGATTTCGGCGGAGAGCCGAGATCTCAAATAAAAGAATACTATACAGTACAGGCCAAGATATGCAAACCGGATATCAAATCCATCCCATCACCAATCAACCAACGCAGCTAGAGATAAACTCCTCCCGTAACAGCCAGTTCCGGATCTATCTATCTAATTCGTACGACCGACCTCTTCAATTTCCACCTTGCCGTCCCTGCGGATCCTCGCTACACTCTGGCTGGTCCCCTTGATTTCCTGGGTTAGATCCTCGACAGAACGTGCTAGCTCCGGTATTGTGTTGACGGCGGCGTCATTGCCCGCTGCTTCAGTAGCGGTGACGGTTACTCCGCGCTGGACGTCGGCGATTTCGTTTGCTTCGCGCGGGGCCAGAACATCCTTCAGACGAGGACCGCGCGTCTGCACTAAGATGGTCGTGGGGCCATCAAATTGCAAGAAGAGCTAGATGGAGATGTCGTATCAGTTAATGCAATCTGAAAGAGAGAAGGGGAAAATAAAGACATACCCTATCGCCCCAGATGGTCATGCGAGACCAGGTCCGAACTTTATGCAGGAAGCGCATCGTGGCCTTCCAAGTGTTTGAATCGGACATGTCCTGGATAAACTTGTTGTTCTGTAGGAGCCTTGGGAGTGTCTTCAGGCCGGGGACCTGGAAGTTCAGAGTGGTGGATTTGAAACGGTAGGGGCGTGGAGGATTAGATGACATTGTGTAGGCGACCACATTGCTGCGTCGGTATGGATTAGCAAAGACCAAAATTTAAGGGAAGATATGGCGCACCTAGGGTGAGCAATGTACTGTTCACCGGCCTTCAGCTCGATCGAATAGAGTTGTCCGTTGCCAACTAGCGCCATCAACCCTCTGCCAGTGACCTCGGAGCTACCCCAATGAGCCAAGCTCTGCACACATTAGCCCATAATCACAGCAAAACATCAAAAAGCCCCACGAACCAGACTGGTATTGATTGTCGGCCTGATAGCTAGAGACCGGCCTGTCCATGCTAACAGGGCTCGTCGCTGGGTAATCATCCAGTCCACAGAGCCATTGACATTCACGACAGCAAAGGAGGTGGTAGGGGATCGAACGGAGACAAGCGCTGTAACGGGACTGGCCGAAGAGATCTGGGGATTGATTAATGAGTTGTCCGTGTTTGAGACCAAGGATCACTCATACCTTCTGGTAGAGGAAGGGTATCCCCACGACGGACCTCCGAAACGGCTCTAGAACGCTCAATGTCGAAACCACCTTGGAACCAAATGTCAGTCTCGTATCCCCACATGCGACCAAGCTACATACATTGTCCGCCTTGCCACTCAAACCGACCAGAGTCCCTCGTCGCGTATACAGGTTCTGCGATGCCGAAAGCGATACAGACAACAGCGAGTATGGGGCGCCGACGACCTCGAACCGCGCATCTATAGGAATGGCATGTCAGTAATTCTTCCATTAATTATGAATGATCGAGGATACCCCGTGACTCCGCAGCACTGGGCGTGTTGGCCAGAGGTAAATAGTCCTTGACGGTGGACGGCTCCTCCGCGGGCGTTGCGCGAATTTGGACGCATCGCGACTGCTGCAAGGTCAGACGAGACACTCGTGCCCGTGACAGAGGCTGGACACCTCTCTGCAGAGCTGACATGGTGGCGGGGGGAGGGGAGCACGGCGAAGGGAGAGAGAGAGCTACTACGTCAAACAACGACGGAAAACCTGCCGGGAAATCGTGGATCCGAGGTCGCCTTCTGCCTGCTCTACAGTCGCCCCTCGTCCATTGCAACACCCTGAGGATCTGCGGTGACCGACGGAGACAATAACAGTGAACTATTTCCTGTTAGATCGCATTACTATTATCTCATTACCCTGCCCGATCACGCCAATCCCTTTCCTCCGACCCAGACGCCCACGATTCCCCCCGCCAAAGCTCTCGGAGACCTGACGCGCGCCGCTCGCTCATTGAGCTTCACCATGTTACCCTGAGCCTGATTAGACCCCTAGTCAAAAATCTTTGATCAGCAACCATGCTGCTCAGGGCAGCACGCTCACCATGCTGGCGCCCGGCCGCACGAATCGCACGTCCGAGCTTCGCCGGCCGGACACAATGGACAAGACTGGGCCACGGGACACAGCAGCTCCGGGTATTCACATCAAATGGTGGCCCTCTACGAAAAGACGTCAAAGACTCAGACTCGCCATCCGCAAAGAGCAGTCGCGCGTCTACATCGCCGGTGTCGCGACTAGCAGCCGCCGAACTGGTCCAGACCTCGAAGGAGGGCGATGGAAAGACAGCGACCAAGAAGACCTTGTTGAATGAATCGGCGATGGGTACGAAAGAGCAGAGGAAAGCCGACTGGGCGATCATGAAGGAAATGGCCAAGTACTTGTGGCCCAAGGTCCGGCATGCTGTCTCGCGAGCTCGTTGAACGAAATACTGATATATTCTGGCAGGGCGACTGGGGTACTAAGCTTCGTGTTGGAACGGCATTGTCGTTGCTGGTTGGAGCCAAGGTCATTTCCTCTGCAAATGGGTTATCTGTGCCATTGGCGCTGACATTTCCGTGTCTCCTCAGGTTCTGAATGTCAACGTTCCTTTCTACTTCAAAAACATCGTGGACTCGATGAATGTGGATTTTGCGTCTCTCGGCGGGACCGCGTATACAGTGGCCGGGTCAATGATCATCGCCTGTGAGAGATCCAATATCGTAGACAAGACACCCAGCTGACGGTGGCAGATGGCGCGACCCGCATTGGAGCAACAATATTCCAGGAGCTGCGAAACGCGGTGTTTGCCAGCGTGGCGCAAAAAGCCATTCGGAAAGTGGCACGCAATGTCTTCGGACATCTCTTGCGACTGGACCTCAACTTCCATCTCTCCCGCCAGACTGGCGGCCTCACCCGAGCCATTGATCGTGGAACCAAGGGTATCAGCTTCTTGCTGACCTCCATGGTCTTCCATGTGGTCCCAACCGCCCTGGAGATCTCTCTTGTGTGCGGCATTCTGACCTACCAATATGGTCTCCAGTTTGCTGCCATCACGGCAACCACCATGGTCGCATATACCGCATTTACCATCACCACCACGGCGTGGCGCACAAAGTTCCGGAGACAGGCCAATGCGGCCGACAATCGTGGAGCCACAGTGGCTGTGGATTCGTTGATCAACTACGAGGCCGTCAAGTACTTTAACAACGAGAAGTTCGAGGTGGCACGTTACGATAAAGCATTGAAAAACTACGAAGACGCATCCATCAAGGTGACCACGTCCCTGGCATTCTTGAACTCGGGCCAGAACATGATCTTTTCCTCTGCGCTGGCCGCAATGATGTATCTGGCTGCCGACGGGGTCGCGACTGGCTCACTGACCGTGGGAGACCTGGTCATGGTCAATCAGCTCGTTTTCCAGCTCTCCGTGCCACTCAACTTTCTGGGCTCTGTATATCGGGAGCTGCGCCAGTCTCTGCTAGATATGGAGACGCTCTTCAATCTGCAAAAGGTCAACGTGACAATCAAGGAACGGCCCAATGCCCAACCCCTGCAACTGAAGCACGGCGGCGCGATCCGCTTTGAGAACGTCACCTTTGGCTATCATCCGGACCGCCCGATCTTGAAGAATGCGACGTTCACCATTCCCGCCGGGAAGAAATTTGCCATTGTCGGCCCTAGCGGCTGCGGCAAATCGACCATCCTGCGCCTACTCTTCCGGTTCTACGACATCCAGTCCGGCCGCATCTTGATTGACGGTCAAGACATTCGGGATGTGAGCCTCGACAGTCTGCGGAAGGCCATTGGCGTGGTTCCACAGGATACGCCGCTGTTTAACGACACCATCGCTCACAACATCCGATACGGGAACATCGAGGCATCCGACGAAGAGGTGCGCCGAGCCGCCGAGCGCGCACGCATCAACCAACTGATCGAGCGCCTGCCCGAGGGCTACGAGACGGCGGTGGGCGAGCGTGGCATGATGATCTCGGGCGGCGAGAAGCAGCGCCTGGCCATTTCGCGGCTGCTGCTGAAGGACCCGCAGCTGCTATTCTTCGATGAAGCGGTAAGGTTTCTTTTTGTCCCCTGCTGCCGAGCCCTCACTTATACTTGATAGACTTCTGCGCTCGACACGTACACGGAGCAGGCGCTTCTTCAGAACATCAACAGCATTCTCAAGGAGAAGAGCCGCACGAGTGTGTTTGTAGCTCATCGGCTGCGCACCATCTACGACAGCGACCAGATCCTCGTGTTGAAGGAAGGGCAGGTTGCGGAGATGGGGTCGCACCGCGAGCTGTTGGAGCTGGATGGGATCTATGCGGAGCTGTGGAATGGTGAGTTCTGGTCTCATCGATGGTTTTTCCAGCTACTAATCAATGCACAGCCCAGGAATTATCACTGACGCAGGATTCCGACGAGACCTAAAGATGTAAACATTGTACTAGTCTAGATCAGCCTATCTGTCGTACTCTAACTCAAACCCGCTAGTGTGCACGTTGTGCCCCACTTCCCCTTTCTCTGCTTCTCCCGCGCTCACTTGTATCTCACTCCACTCACACTCTCGTCAACCTGTCATTTCCACTCGTTAGTTCCTTCTAGGGCCAGTCCCTGCTTCCGCTCTTTGTCCTCTGCCCCTCGCAGCTTCTCGCATTCCCAGTCACACGCGACACCACATTCCTTGCGTTCCAGCCTCTCTCCAGCCTCGTGTTCCCCAGACACACCTCGTGCAGGTCCAATTGACTTGTGCCACGGTACGGCAAAAATCCCCTGGAATTCAGACAAATGCCTCCGGTATTGACCACTGTCTTTGTTGTAGCCCAACCTCGTCTTGAACATTCTCTCCGCTACCGACGACCACGCGGCCCCAGTGTTGTGCGTTCCACAGTTCCTGCAATTGGGAACGATTGTCGCTCCTTCGCTTGGGTGTTCCATATATAGCTTCCATCAGGGACCACCGGCAGAGAATTATTATTATACCAACTTCTGTCATATTCCATCGCAAAAATGGGTCTGATCGATAAACTGCAAGCCAGTATGTCGTCTCCCTTCCTTCCCAACCTGCCCGCGGCCGTGGCTAATTGCTAATCCTCGACCCAGGACTCGAGCTCTACCGCCTCGAGCAGCGCTACACCCGCCGCAAGAACCGCAGCACCTTCACCACAGGCGCGCAGTATGTCGACGGCGAATACGTCTACTCCTCCAACGGTTCAAACTCGCCCACAAGTCCAGCCTCCAAGCACTCGACTGGGAGCTGGCGTCCGTCTGGATCGGGATCGGGATCGGGATCTGGATCGCCGCGGTGATTGATTTATCGGTCTCGTCTTTTTGGCCTTGTTCTCTAGCGATCTATACTATACACCTATACTCTCGACACTTTTGAGCGTCTTCTTGCGCCATTGCGTGAAACCCCTCTTCTCGCCATCTTCGCGACACGTTCCAGCGGAGATCTTTGCACAACTTTTACTCTGCTCTGTCGTCATGTCTCTCTCTCTCTCTCTCTCTCTCTCTCTTGTGTCACTCCGAGTCTTATGAATGGGTTTCTTCCTGGGGAGAACCATGACAGTTGAAAGCTTGAACAATCTCAGACTTTTGACTCTTTGGGAAGAGACCTTATGATGTCTCCTCGATGTCTTGGTGTTTGCACCCACACACTTTTTCATGGTTGTTCCTTGCCCCTAGGGGATGTTGTAACTATCCCCGCTCTACTTCGCTGTTCATATAACCATTAGGTATACTCTTTTGTTCTGTTCCTCTTTAATCCAACCTAACTATACATACTACAATATTCTGAAAATATAGGGTCTGGTTGTAGTTATGTAGTGATAAAAACCACCTGACTTGCTGGGGTATTGTTATTCATGAAATAAGACATGCCTCAACCACCGCAATATTCTCAATCAATGATACATACATACTCCCATTCAAAACAGACCACGCACAGACCGCCAAACAAGGCAACTGGCTTTCCCCTTTTGCCGTGCACTGCCAAGGAAGATAAGCAAGCCCAAAGATCGTTAGCTCTACTTCTTCGACTTCCTCCCACCAATACCCAGCCGGCCTAGATTCGGAAGCCCGGATTTCTGCTTATTTGGGTGCACCAGAAGCGGTGCTCCGGCCACCTTCCCCCCAGTGCCATCAGATGCGCCCCCACGGCCCCCGAGAGGAGATAGTCCTGCATTTCCACCGACGCCGGCAGCGCCCCGCGGTGCATCGGGGAGACCGGCTCGATCGCGAGTGCGAGTATGGTCCGTCGCGGCGGCGGAGAGAGCAGCCGTTAGAGAGGGGTTGTTGAGTGTATCCGTAGCGTCGAGGGGGTGGCGCTGCGCTGCGCGCTGGGCGCGCCGGACACGTTCCTGGACGGACTTGTATTTGTCAAGGAGGTCGACCCACCGGATTGTTTCGTCGCGTCCTTTGAGGCGTGCGCCACTGGAACGGTCGTAAGAAGACGATGAGGAGGAGGACGGCGCGGTCTGCGCCACGCTGCGTGGTCCGCCGTGTAGGAAGCCGATGTTGCTGACACTGTTCAGGCGGTTCTTGAGAGCTGCGAAGGCGGAGCTTTGGGGGAGGAGCATCAGGACGCCGTAGAGGCATTTGTAGAGGTAGGGGTATTTCTCTGGCTCGAGGAGTTGAAGGCGAAGATCTATGGAGAGTGAGTATCAATAGATTAATAAGGGAACCTCAAGATAACATACAGGTGAACACGGGTGATTCCAAGAGCTGGACCAGTTTGTCAATCTGGATCAGCATGTTGACTGTCATTTCGAGTTCGGCGCTGGACGGATGTTAATAAAAGTTGGGGAATATTGACCAAACTTCCTTACAAGACTTGGAGAAGGTTGTAGGCTTGTTCATAGGCCTGGGCAAGAAGACATAGAGAGAAAGTCGAGACAGCATTGTGGCACCAAGACCTGAACAGCGCAACGAAGAACATCTGGCCATCCTAGATAAGTGCATTAGGTTTGTAGTTGCAGTAGGATGAATAGGCGTACTTTGGTATCAAGATTCCTCAATCGTTTCCTCAGATCAGAGAGCTCCGGCGCGGTGATGAGGTTATTGTTCAGATTTTGGACCATGATACTAGCGAACTCGAGATCCTGCTTGAAACATAAGCGATTATATCCTACTTCACACAGGTCCCGAGACTCACCTCCTCCTTTTCGAGACAATCTGCCAGAGTGCGGTAGATACGTTCCGGACTCAGGTTCAAACAGAGCTGCCTGATAATCAAATTCCCGCGCACTTCCAGCAGGTGCCGATCTGTGGAGAATAGCTGCAACAAATTGACCATGAACGAGGTGAAGTAGCTGTCCTCGCTATTTCTCGAGATCTGCGACAGAAGCTGCAAATCCTTGGTCACGACTGCTTCCGCAGGATCGGATAGGGTTTTTAGGAGAGCTGGAAAGGTCCCGTCGTTGAAGGCAACTACTTTTTTTGGCGCTTTGCGATGTAACATGATGAGCCATGAGAGGGCCGCTACGCGGGTGGCTTCGTTCTCGTTCAAGAATTGAAGAGTAAGGGAGCTGACCGCAGCAGCATAGTCCAAATCGGCCGGCTGCACCGATACCGAAACGGCACTCCGCGGTGTCATAGTACCAGGTGCATCTTGCAATGTTGACTGCCTTCTTGAGTCAGGGATTGTCGATTCCGATGGTCTCGACCCAGGTATTGATGCCTTGTCCACACTCTCTTTGCTGGTCGTATTAGATAGGACCCTAGAGGGCATTGTTTGTGTTTCGTCCGTCGTGTCGTCCGATAAAGTAAAAATATACTCAAGGAGGGATTTGTTGACTTTGTTTGCTTCTTGCCGCACTTGATCCGAACCGCTAGACATGGCGGGAAGTACCTGAGTCAAAAGCCGTGGAACAAAAGGAAGGATATCTTCGGGGCTGATATCGAAGAAGGTATCGATCCAACGGAGTGCAGTCAATTGCATCTCCTCCTCTGGGCGAGGTCAACATGGTAACCACGGATAATTGAGAAAAAGACTTACCATACGAAGTATCGACAAAGCCAACAAGTATGTCCAGAATCTTCGGGTAATCGATTTGTACATCTTGCCCTGGAATCCAGTCTCCATCCGCTCGATCCCCTTCGTCATCAGCAAACTCCGACACAGAGTCATCCACGGCGATGTCATCTTTCGCAGCTTCTTCAGTAACGGGAGTTCCAGCCCTTTCGTCAGTCTTGATGCTGGCAGTATCACTTGCTGTCGAGCGTCTATGACTTCGTTCGCTCTTGCGGCTTTCCTCGATCCCTTTCTTCAATCGCGTGATCCTTTTAATTTCGGATAGAAACCGGTCCAAAAGATTTTGCGTGGCAACATTGACATCTTTCGTAGGCCCCCCGAGAAACTTGATCAATCCGTCTAGAAATTCAGGCAAATAGCTTACCAGCTCCAGATCGGGGATGGTGTCCAATAAGGTCAACCACGACACCAGGAAATTTCGTGTGAATGGACCAATAACATGTATGCGATCCTTGAGCAAAGGAATGAACTTTGCAAGGGAGAATGCCGTTGGCAGCTCGGTTTCTTCGACCGTGTCTGGATCCGCTGCCCCCTTCTCGGAAATTTGTAGTACCGACACATACGAGGCCGCCGACTCGGCCACAATATCTTTCACCAACCGGTCAAGGAGTTCTGCACCGTTCTTGACCGAGAGCTCAGAGTCCGACGCAAGCTAGACTGCCTATCAATACCCTCCCACGAAGAATGGCGATAAGCACCCACCTTGGCCAGCGCGTCAAAGATGTTGTTGAAGAACAGCAATACTTCCCCCTTGGCGACCTTGGCAATGTTGTACATGCTCTCGCAAGCATAATACCGGACGCGCGCGTCTTGATCCGAAAAGCAGGCTAGAACAGGCGGCACGATCTCCTTCAGGTACGGCGCGACCCCTTCCTAAGAAAACAGGACCCAGAAAATATCAGCGCACAATGTTCGACACTTGCCAACATTTCTTGTCAGCCACACTCACGGAACCCAGAGCTATGGAGGCCGCGGCCAACCCGATCAAACCGCCGTTTCTCGCGTGGGGCTGATGGACGACGTAGGCATAGTCGTGACAGAGCTGCTCGACAATCTTCTGGATCTTCTCGTGTTCACCTGCGAAGACGGCATCGCGTACGACCTTTTCGAGCCTGGAAAGGGAATGGTTTGATCAGCACCGTGTTTTTCGGACAGGCACCAAGAACGTACTCTAATGCCCCTTGTTTCCTCTTGTCGTAGAGCTTGTCGTTGAGCAGTCGCTGGATTGAAAGATCCATCGCTGCTCACAACACTGGCTATTTGGAGCTCCAGTTAAGCAAGGCCCATGGCGAAGAAGTCGGTGGGGATGCGTTGGCAACGCGGAGAGACCGTGACGTAGTCAGCAAGCTCGGGCCCGCTTTGGGCGGTCTAGACTACCGCGTGTTGATGTCCAGAGGGACAAGACAGCACAGCTACACTCACTATTAATCTAACTTTAGAATCAATCAGCACCATACCTTCTCCGGATTGAAGTCGTCAGTTCTCGGGATAATATATCATTGAAAAATGAGCATGGCGCTTGGCGTATTTAAAAGGATCTACTTCTAATTCGCCTAAGGTCTTGAAATGGTACTTAGAGGAGCAATAGGGGCAACGGTTAGAAACCATAGCAATTTGTGTATGATAGCCTTGTCGAGACAGTCGTAGGCTTTCTGGGCAACAATATCCAGGAAATACTGTCCCTCATAGCTGACTGAGGCTGCGCCATTCCGAAACATGCTGCTATTGTAGTACTCGTAAGGGTAAGGGTACACTAGGAAGTCGCTACCCGTGAAAGTTCCAGGAGAGTTTCCGTTCCGCTCAAAATACATCGATCATGATCCCCACTTCTTTCATTGTTAGCGAGTTTGGAGGGAGTGAGAACCGGCAAAGCTGAATCTCTCGGCAGCTCTCGGTAGAGATACCGACTGCCGAAAGGCTATTATGCATTGCCCGCCTTGGCTATACTTCGGAGAGATCATGGTCAATGCATCTGTTGGTCCAGACGAATACAATAGAACTAGTCGGAAGCGGAGAACTCTGATCTACTAGTGCTTCGCCATGAAGTTGATACTATGTAGAAGTCAAAATACCAATGGCATTCACTTTTTCCATGGGAGCTCAGGGTACCGAAGTAGAAAGAATGTAATTATTATGCATTTTATTGCAAGCACTGTGTCTAGGTACATATAGTTATCAGTTGTCGGATGTAGCTAATGGCTGATATACTGGAATACCGCCGAGACATCCCTCTCGCTCACCTCCTGCCGCAGCAGCAGATCCTGGATCTTGCCCAGTGGCCCCTTCTCGCCGTCGTTGACAAAATGATTCCAAGAGCTAGTATCCCCGTACAGCATGGCCGGGGCCTTGATGAACTGGGTCCCGTCCGGCTTGCACCGCTTGCACTTGAAGGTATCGTGAGTGTCGCTGCAAGTCTCGGGCTTGAACTGAAACAGCTCCCGCAGGGATTCCAGAGAGAAATGACGCTCGACATCTTCTGCCGAGTCAACCACACATGATGAAAGTGATTGCTTGTGTGACTGGCGCTGGAAGATCTTCTCCTCGATTGAGCCCGTCGCGATGAATCGATAGACGAAGCAGTCCTTCTTTTGTCCGTCCCGCCAAACTCGGGCCAGTGCTTGCTGGTCGGCTGCCGGGTTCCAGTCGGGATCGAACAGTACCAGACGATTGGCGCCGATAAGATTCAGACCACATCCACCGGCCTTGCTGCTCAGAAGAAAGACAAACTCGGGGCCGTCTGGGTCGTTGAATTTATCGACCAGCTTCGTCCGTTTCTTGATGTTCATGGTGCCATCGAGTCGCAGGCAGCCATATGCGCGCGACCGGCAGAGTTTCTCGAATAGATCCAGGGTTTGTGTATAGTTGCTGATGAGCACGATCTTGTCGTTGGTATCTTGACGGATACGTGCTAGCATGCGGTCAAGCACCATCATCTTTCCGGAATACCAACTCTTGATGTCTCGATCGCGACCTCGAGTCTCGGGAGGAGCGTAATCCTCTGGGTACGCGTCCTCGCATCCCGGAAGGTCGGTTGTCAGGTTGAGAAGATCAGGATGATTGCAGAGCTTCTTCAGAATGCCAATGGCTTTCAGAGGCTGACTGCCCTTGCCTCGCAGCAGGCTCTTGATGTCCGGACTCTTGATGAAATGGTTGTATAGATCGAGCTGAAACTTGGACATATTGCAAAACACGACATGCTCGTATTTGACCGGCAAGTATTTCGATAGGAGCTCGTTCGTGCGGCGGATAATGAACTTGTTAACAATACCAGAGAGTTCAAGCAAACGTTCGTCGCCCTTTTTCCGGTCCTCTTCGGTCCCTGCGGCATCCCGTCCCCGAAGAATGGGTAGTTCGAACTTCTTGCGGAATTCGTTCTGAGACCCCAGCAGATCCGGGTTGGCAAAGTTAAGCAGAGCAAAATACTCCGAGAGATCGTTTTGGATTGGCGTTCCAGACAAAATGACTCGGCGACTGACATTCAAGCTGTTCAAAGCAGTCCATGTCAAGCTTTCCTTATTTTTAAGCCGGTGGCCTTCGTCGCATAGAAGCAATCCAATCTGCGTATCCTTGAGTGTCTCCACATACATGCGCAGCGTCTCGTAGGACACGATGAGCACCGGTCTGACAATGCTGCGTCCTGAAGCAATCGCCCATTGCTTGAGCTGGGATATGAGCTCTGTTTTAGAGGCCTTTCCATCAATTGCAAATGGAATCGTGGCATCCTTTCCTAACCATTTTACTGGTTCAGGTTAGCGACATCTCCAAGCAGACACATCCTGCTACTTACCCAGTTCATTGGCCCAGTTCCCGACCAGACTGGACGGACACGCAATTACACATTTCTGGATAGTTGTTTTCCCAGCCTCAGGCGATTGTTTCAGCAAGGTCCACATTAACGAGATACATTGAAGCTGCTGTAGTCAGTATTGGCGGAATAGATTGGACGTAAATCATACCGTTTTGCCGAGACCCATGCCGTCCGCCATGATGCAGCCGTGTGCGTTCGCGTCAATCAGCCCCGTAGTACATCGGTAAAGAAACTTAACTCCCTCGATCTGATGTGGCCGCAGAACCTTGGCCAATCGTGGGTCGATCACAACAGGGACTTTAGGCCGGTCTTCCACCTTCTTCTTCAATCCAAGAATATCTGCCAAACTCTTGTGCATCAACGGTTCATCCAATTTCGGTCGACCATCTTCCTCTGGAGCCGCCCCCGAACCCTGTACCTGCGACGATGAAGTCACATCATCGACAGTCGGATCATACAGGACGATCGCAAATTCTCCACTCGGGTCATGAAGCGGCTTGACGACAAATGTCGCACCCTGGCGCATGCCTAGTGTTGGTGCGGCTCGACCGGCATTGTAGTCGTCCGTGGTCTTGTTAATCAATGGGATGCAGAATCTCTGCCTAAAGGCCGCATCTTTATCCTTCGGTTTAAACACGGGGAATTTATTCACATCGCGAGTTGCCAGAGCCAGTCGGTCCTCATTCGTATACGGCTTCTCCGCTCCATCGTCCTCCGTGCCTCCATCAGCGCCCGCATAGTTTACCTTGCGCCTTTTACGGGCTGGCTTCTCCGATGTTCGACTATATGTCGCCGAACCGGGGCACTTGAAGGGCTTCGCAAGTCGGTCGAGGGTGTTCAGTGACTTGCTGGGCTGCAACGGCGCGCGGACGTCGCCGTTGGCCGCGGCTGGTCGAGGTCGATACCTAGAGGGTCAGAGGAATCCAAATCAATAAACGGAAACCACTCACATGGACCGTGACAGATCAACCAAACTGGGGTGGTTCCAAGATGATGAAGGGATGTTGTGGACTATCAGACGCGTGTTTGCGCGGAAGGCGGCAACACCAAAGTGTCACGCCGACACGTGACCCTTGATCGGCCCTGGAGGGGCATCTGAGAGATCCCCGCTATTTAATAATTCTCTCTCTCTTCACTCATTATTAACATGTCGTCCGACTTCTGGGCGGGATATATCAGCGGTGCCCTTGGCATTGTCATTGGCAATCCGCTCGATGTGATCAAGGTCCGACTGCAGGCCGGCAATGTAGATGGCTCATCTTCTCAGTCACAGTTAACCCGTTTTGAGAAAGCCAGCTCTCTTGTTCGGGGTGCGTCTTGTATAACTTATATATCATTGAAGGGTGATTGACTGTGGTTCTAGGTGCTGCTGCCCCGATCCTTGGCTATGGAGCTCTCAATGCTCTTCTCTTCGTGGCCTACAACAGGTCCTTGGTTGCAATGGATAGCTCAGTGACCGACCCCACCAATCCAGTAGGTGTCCCATTATACAAAATATGGATTGCCGGCGCCGTGGGTGGCCTGGCCAGCTGGACTGTCTCGTCTCCAACCGAGTTCATCAAGTGCCGAGCGCAGTTGGACTCTCGCCCAGAGGTATCTTCATGGAAGGTCGCCAAGGATATTTACCGCACGCGTGGCTGGAGGGGGCTTTACTATGCTGGTGGCATTACTAGTGCGAGAGACTCAATTGGTTACGGATTCTAGTATGCAAACGTACCTGTCCATGCACCAAATGCTTCGGCTGTCTAACGGAACATAGCTTTTGGTCTTACGAACTTTGCAAGCGGCTCATGACATCCGAAGATGACGGCACACATCAGGCCGCTTTGAAGGTTCTTCTCTGTGGAGGCATTGCAGGTGTTGTCACTTGGGGTTCAGTGTTTCCTTTGGATATGGTCAAGACTCGTCTGCAGGCACAGACGATCAACCACTCCCCCACGGGAACAGCCACTGAAGGGCAATCTCTGCTGCAATCACAGCACCGGACAATGAGTACGATGCAGATTGCCCGGGAAACTTACCGCACGGAAGGTGTGGCTGCTTTTTATCGCGGTCTGGGAGTTTGCAGTATTAGAGCGTTTATCGTGAATGCCGTCCAGGTTGGTCTTTAGCTCCTACTCGCTACATTTGGTGCTGATTATTGTTCGATATAGTGGGCGGCATATGAGTGGTTGATGAAGAATTTCAGCGATCATTCGCGGAGCGCATCACAATTGTCTGACAAGAGTATATAGTTTGTGTATAGCGTCTCCATAGATCAATAGATGGAAAGTAGGAGAACGTAGTAGTTTGCCCCATGCGTTAAATGCCGCCAGCAACAACTTTGCCAGCTTGTAAGGATTGTACAATATTCGAGACCGGCCATCCAGTCTGAACTCCCCAATCTTGCACTCCCTGGATCACTTCGGAAACTTGGTTCTGGTCTCGAAGCCAGCCACCACAAAAGGCTATCGGTCCAAAGGCGTTGATCCACACTGCTTGAGACTCACTTGACAAAGCTAACGCACATATTTCGGATGTCCGATTCTCAAGGTCTCTAGTCAACCCCGAGAGATGTTGAATGTTTTCCATCGTGTTGTTTTGTGGCCGTGGTCTTGCTAAGAGCAAAACTATCATCGCCGTTTGATAGTACTGCCAGGCCGCGACTAATCCAAAGTCAGAAAAACCAAATACATGGGAGTATACGTACCATGCCAAGGATACAAAGTTCCTATGAACGGAAAGGCCCTTCCCATTTTATCCGGCAGCTTTACTATAATCGGTGCAAATGAAGTCGGCAGACGATCCTTCCAGGTGTCAAGATCCTGTTTGAGCGAGTTCCACCTTGACAGCTCTAGAGGGTCCGCATCATTTCCAAAACATTGGTTGATGACTTGTCCCAGAAGCACCGTCACGTAATTAGCAAAGTCATCATCGTTCTCAAGTTTTGGGGAGTGTTCATCCAGAAGTTCGATCATGAGCCTTCGCCTTTCGATCAAGGCAACTGTTATATCTTCTCTAAGATAGTTCCAGAATGCAGCACGGACTAAACCCGATTCCAATTTGATGGGATGGCTGGATAAGATGGAATAACAGCCCTCTAAGTGGCTCTGGGAGCTGAGGTTTACTAGGTCTTGATTAGCATTTTGAGAAAGGAAAAGAAGAGATAAAATTGGGCTCACGAGATATAATCTCATACGAGCGTAGTAGACAAATGGCTGCTAGGACTTCGCCATTTGAGACTACAGCCTCGATATTTTTTGTTATTTGAAGGAGAATTCGCACGCTTTCGAGGTGATAGAATTCCGCTTTATCCATATGCTCCGCGCGGCCAGATTTATGTAAGCTCACTGCTGAGAATGCCAAGATGGCACTCAAGAGGAGTGGGCTATGTCGAGCTCTCACGGGCACAATATCCATAAAGTGTCGATGGCGGTCATTCAAATCGTACCACGAAGCGAGACTAGTGGTGTAATGGCGGAATAATCGGAATACCTCGATATCATGCAGTGCTATTTCCGGGTTCTCTGTTGAAACAAACGGGGGCTGTAGTGGAAGTGTTGGGTTATTTTGTGGCAAGACAGGTGCTGTAGAGTCAGGCCACTCGCATCTGCGGTTAGCTTTCTGACAAGGTGAGCACGAAGGTCGCCCTCCATCACCTTCACTAATGGTCAGCTATTCTAGATAGTAATTAAATTCTCAGTAGACTTACATCGCACACGTCGTCTCCGACATTCTTGGCTTTTGTCCTGTTAGTCTGATTGTGTCAGTAGGTAAATTTGCCTCGAAACTGACCAGCCTAGGGCTAATTAGCGAAATCACAAAATCAAGCAAATAATATGGCACTAACGGTTTGTTAGAAACCTTCGAGGCATTGCATCTCGCTTTTCCTCTAAGCCTTGGGAAAAGGAAAAGGCGAAGTTCGCATTTGAGCGGACATTGTGGGGTGTGACATCAGATGGCAACCGGGTTCCTCCAATTAGGATAGAGATAAAGCGAGAAACGAAAGATAAAAGCATAACGAAAAGCGAGGAGCAGTACGTGGGATGCATGAAATAACTATAAAATGCAGGACAAGTCCTGCCGTTGATGGTTCTTTCTTCATAATTCTCAACAGGGCTGACTTACCGGTCTTTTCATCGCAATGCTTTCACGACTCTTGAGGCCATGTCGAACCAGATCAGCTATGGCTAAAGCGACCCGGCTTCTTAGTACAGCCAGAATCTCCCCCATTGCGATTAGTCCATCAAAAACCGAAATCCAAAGTGGGTGTCTAAGTCCACAAAACCTTGAAGTTGCCATGCGCAGTCTGCACCATGATGGTCTTGTCCTTGTGAATAATGTTGTTCCACATGATATGCTCGACCGATTGAACGAGAAGATGGTACAAGATGCCTACAAGCTCTACGCGCGAAAGGAAAACAGTCCGTTCAACTACAACCCCAACAATCTCCAGCAAGACCCTCCTCCGATGCGTGAGCACTTCGAGTCTGAAATCTTTCTAAGTAGGTCAATACAGAATAACTATTAGACGTTTCATTCTAATAATGCATTAGATCCCATTGCGACTCAGATTACGTCGACCGCATTAGGCCCACGCCCTAAATGGACCTTTTGTTCTGGAAACACTGCCATGCCGCCAACGCCCGAAAACCCCCCGGCCTCCCAGCCAGTGCACTCAGACGCAGACTTTGAACACCCAACCCACCCATTTGCCTATGTTGTCAACGTCCCTCTCATCACCATGACCCCGGAAAATGGCTCAACTGAGGTCTGGCTCGGGACACACAAGGATTCCAACTTGTATATTCAAGAAGGTAGACACGGCGAGCGGGCAAGTGGTCGGATCAAGACCGAAGAGCTAGAAAAGCGCCGGGTGATCCGTCCCCCTATCCAGCCAGTTGTACCCAAGGGCTCTATCATCATCCGTGATCTCCGACTTTGGCATGCTGGAGTTGGTAACCAGACGGATACAGTTCGAGTTATGCTGGCAATGAGCAAGTTTAACCTGCAATAAGAAGTTGGACGTAATTTTGCTGACGTTCAACAGTTCACTTCGCGCCGTGGTATCAGAATCCAATGAAATTGCAACTCGCAGATGATCTGGAGGACATCATCAAAAAGGAGCAGTCCTTGGAAATTCCCGTGGAATGGGCATCAACAGCCGCTGTCAAGGATCAGTATCTGAATAGGGCATTTGGCAACGCCTATGATTTTAGCCAAGGGATCAATTGAGGTGTATCTTAATGCTACATAAAATCAATTTCGCACGTGGCACTTCCCCCAATACTGTGGAGGCGATATTAGCTTAGTAGAAATTGGATTTGAATAATTTTCTATTCAGTCCCGTTTTCAGTAGAGGATGCCACGGGAAGCTTAGGGGTCTCTCCAGGATGTTAGGGCTTCCGCGACAGCCTTCTATGTCCATACCAGATGTGGCGAAAGCCTCATCTCTTTTTATCCAATAAATCAAGATTATCTCAAGATGATCAGAAGGGTAGCTGGAGGCTGATTGAAGCTCGAAACGTATCTCAATAATCATATTCCCTCATATAGGGATGCTGGGGTCGTTTGGCAAATATAAATAAAGAGGTAGAGTTGTCAAAAAAAGACCAGATTCAAATACCAGACTGAAAGCCAAGTCTCAATTCAAAATGATGTCCTTTTATAACATCCTTCCGGTCTGCGCTGTCTTCTTGACGGTCGCCGCCGCAGCCCGGACGCCGTGCATGCCCAAATGGAATTTCAAGCCCGGTGATCCGATCTGCGACCCTCCCTATAAGTTTTTCGATGCTGCCGACGCTGCTGCAATTTATACCGAATAAATGTGTAGGTTGCACCTCTAGACGTTATCTTACATGTCAAACAAGCTGACCATCTCATTAGGCATGACGTTGCACTGCATCCACCACAACATGAGCCGTCGCGGTCTCTGGGATGTCTCCAGCAAACCTCAGCCAACCCTTTGCTTAGTACTATGATATATGCCTTTTCCAGTAGACCGATCATTGGGCCATTTGATTATATTTTGTCTTAGGCTTTACCGGGACAAACAGATAGTTTAATTTTAATATACTTTGCATAACCGCCTCTCTGTAACAATAAAGATCTCTTACTTGCATGGCTATTCAATAAACATGCGCCTAATAGGGAACGGGAGTCACAAGTCCATAGCTTTGGTCCACTTTAACAAGACGACGCATTCTCTTGATGAGCAACCCCGGATGATGGAAAAGCAAAACCAGCAAAGTCAGCAACATCAAGAACGCATCAAACACATAAATAAATGCCTCCTTGGTATTTATAGTCGAAGTGCGTGGCGAAGCAAACTGAATAGTCCGCACGAGGTTGCGCAGCATCAACGCAAAGCACGCGATATACAGCGCAGACATATATTTGCGCCATTTGAGCTCCGGATTCTGGGCCACGACGGGTGTAGGCTGGTTTTGCAGCTTTCTCTGGAATTTGAAAGAAATCCATATGAACAAGGCGAAGATAACTAGCGAGAAAATCAATCCCGCTAGGACAACTTTCTTGCCAACATTCATGACTTGCGCATTACCAGTGACTTGTACACCTGCACCGCCGATCTGTGTACAGAAGCAGAGAATGTCATTGAGCACGAATACAAGTGTGAGGTATTTGGTCCGCATGCTCGATAGATGCTCTGCGTCGAACGAACGGATCAGCCGCCCTAGAGTCATGTATACGGTGGCTGCGACCATGAGGGGCGCACACAGAATGAGCATCTCTTGTAAAGCCCACGATTTGATCTCGATTCGGGACTGATGAGACCATGCTCGACCGTAGTAGCCGAATGTCTCGCCTGATAGAAGGTGAGGCTGTTAGCGTCTGATTCTGATAGCTATGTAGGAAATGGGCGTTCAAGCTTACAAACACCACCTAGGATCAGGGGAATAAAATAGGCAGCGCGAAATGGAAACATTGTCACAAAGTGGATGACAGTAAGCACGCCGAATAACCCCATGAAAGCGTATCCCGCTGTTGCGGAGGGTGTATAAGGATAAAAGTCCACATAAGGACTTGATCCGTTCGTGCCATTGTGGTAGACAATATCCATGTTGATATATAATATAGAGAATTGGTTTAAGAAAGACACGAAAGAATCGCTGTCCCTGTCTTTTATATCTTGAAGGCCCCCGGTTTTATGTGAATGCGATGGATCGACAATTGCCGCTTCGGGAAATTTTTATACGAATACTGGTGGGGCGAAGGAAAGGGTATCCACCTATTCTTAGGCAACGTGCATTGTTCCGACTGTTAATGGCTATATTCAGACTTATATTGAATGGCGCTGATATCCATATTCCAATAATAGGGAGACCATGGCCTGAAGAAACCATCGATACTGCATTGATAGCAGATCGCTCGATCGCTGCGACCTTCTTGACTCTGATAGAATGTCTAAATCCAGTCCCACGTACCAAAGGGATTGCTCCCGCAAATTCAGCATTATGCGTCGAATCCCTCACCAGGGCCTTCATGAACCTCGCGCGGTACCAGAACCGTCGGTCCAAAGTCCTGCAGTCCCTTTTCGTTAACATTGACACCTGTTCTAAACGACTCCATCTCTGCCTCACTCACACCAAATCGGTATGGAGCCCCTGCATAGCTTGAAGCACCCAGTTAGTCTATATCAGGTTAACAGAACTTTGATTGACCGATTTATTTTATGAGCTGCGTAAAACTTCTTTCTTCCTTTCTCACCTTCTCCTCTGGCCACTCAATCCAGTGCTGCAACTTTGCAGGCAATGCGGAGCGAACACCAAATACTATATGTTCATCCCAACCCTCCATAAACCAGACCGACTTCATATACTTCAGTAGCATCCCCCAGTGTGCAAGAATAATTAGCCCAACCGGCTCCTTCTGCTCCAACAGACTCACCATCTCCCCAGGGAGTCGATACAGCCATCCAATAAGCACCTGCATCAAGCCTGCAGCTCGAATCTGTGATGATCGCTTCACGTAAACCTCCCTCGCCACTGACAACAAGTCTTTAAGCGCTGCGTCATATATTTCGCGATCACTTTCAGCAATTTCTTTCTCCGCCAGGCTCTGGACTGTCTCGATACGCATAGTATACTCGTTCATCTCACTCTGAAAAAAGGAATCCATGGTGTCGTCTTCAAGTCCAGGCTCAGGTTTCAGGATCCCACTGAACACCTTCTCCCGATAAGACTGTACAATGAACTTCACTCCATGCATAAGAGTCAGCCATTCGCCGGGGCCATCATCACTGAAAATCAGGTATTCGCCGGCACGAGGTCCTCGTGCAAAATAGTTGAAACAGATCAACACCGCTGAGATGTAGACTTTTTGACAGTTGTCTTGGTTCAGCTGAGTTAATATAGAAGTGACCGAGCGGACACCAAAGGTGAAATGATCGTCTGCTTGCTGGATGTACTGGTCTCGGACAGAGGGGTTTTCATGACCCAGATGCAGAGCTGATATGGCCAGTATTAAATGTAAGATAGTGGGGAAGGTAATGCCCCATTGGACGATGTGATTCTGCCAAACATCTTCCGTTCTGGGATTGTCCGCCAGGGTGCCGAAGGTTTTAATCACGAAGTTGTGGAAAAGTTGTAGATCCGGGTAGGATACTGCGCCTGAGGGTGGTTGTGTCTCTATGGTCGAGATTTGGTGTTGATCCGTTGTTGAAGATGGTTTTGTTTTGTGTTTGCGTTTGTTGTCGGACGGGAAGTAATAGGATCGAAAATGGTAGTTTCTTTGTGGAGGTGTGCTATCCGAGGATCTCCTACCAGCCGCTGAGAAGGTACAGTCGATGTCGTGGTTGCTGCAGTTGGTGCATGTTGGTTTCCGTTCATCGCACTGTATAGGATGAGTTACATGTTTCCCCGTGTCTGTAATGACGAAAAGTGTATAAAAGGAGCAGATACTCACTTTAATCCGCCGTTTCTTGCAGTTCGTACATCCTAGCCGTGACTTTGTGTGTGACCGTCGTGCCCTAGATGGCGTTTCTGTAAGCCTATCCATCACAGAAGGACGTTACTGTCGTATTCGTTCCCGCCATTCAACTATGTAACTATGCCGTTGAGAGAAAAGACCCGAATACGACGAAATTTCCCTTTCCAGTCAGCACGTGACAGTCCCCGAATTTGTAATCCAGCCGAGTACAGCAGTCGACAGCAAACATCTCTGCCCACTCCTCCAATCTCTCTCCCGACCTCTCAATTCCTTCATGTTCTCCCGCGCCGTCCGCCCCTTGACCGTCCTGAGCAGAGGCTGCCGCTATCTTCTCACTCCCGCACCCGTCCCTACCCCGGGCATCATCCTTCTCCGTCACCGCGCGCTCCTCCGCCGCCATCAACGCAGCTATGGCGGACACTTCCGGGATCACGCCTGACTCTCTGAAGAGCAAATTGATTGAACAGCTGCAGGCACAGCATGTTGAGATTGAGGATTTGTCGGGTATGGAAGTCATCATGCCTTGCGTTTTTTTTTTAAGAGAAAGAAGCTGATTTGATTTTCTGGTTGCTACAGGTGGCTGCGGACAGGCCTTCCAGGCCGTCATTGTCTCTCCCCAGTTCGAGAGCAAGAACATGCTCGCGCGCCACCGGCTGGTCAACTCCGTGCTGAAGGCAGAGATCGCTGCTATCCATGCTTGGACGCCCAAGTGCTATACTCCGGAGCAATGGCAGGCGATGCAGTAGTGAGGTCTGTCTTCATCGCAGGATCAAAAGATACCCGAAAGAAGAGACCAAGAATATGTGCTACTATGGAAAAATGTTGCCATAACATAATGGGATGGGATTTGGCGTTGACTGGGTTGGAACTAGGTGGGATCATTGTATATTGCAAGTCATCGTCTGGGGTCCCGCGTGCGGACCCAAACAGAAATAGATTTTCTTTCTCCCGGTTATGCTATGTATGTGTACAGTAGATATCAATATACACGGCTTAACCGAGCACTTTCTCGGCAGTCGAGACTGTTAAGAGTCAGTCAGTATATCATATAACAACCTTGGAAATAACCAGGCAAAACCATACCATTCACGCCGGTGTTGTCAGGCTCCACGAAAGCTTCCTTGACTTTGCCGTTTTCCACCAGCAGCGCGTACCGCTTGCTGCGGTTGTTGCCGAAGATAGAGGTGCTGTCGAAGCTCAGGTCCAGAGCTTCGGTGAACTTGCCGGTCGGGTCACCCAGGAAGCGCACCTGCCGCAATTGTCAGTGCTGGATCCAAACACGATAGAAGTATATGCACATACACCGCTCTTGCCCGACGGGTCGAGGGAATCGGCCCATGCCTTAGTCCTGTTACGTACGACAGTTGCCGGTCAATGGATATCCAACGACTGGTTTTGTGGAGTGTTGCTTACACGAACGGGTCATTGACAGAGATGACAAAGACCTGGCCGGCCTCCTTGAGCTTGGGGTGGTTGATGTAGCCGGGGACGTGGGTGCTGGAGCATGCAGGGCCTAGACAAGAACACGAAGAATGTCAACACTGGACAGACGGAGCTTCCTTTTGGGGTGGGATTGGGTGGGAGGGTCACGCACTGAAGGCAGCAGGGGTGCCAATGATGACGCCCTTGCCCTTGATCTCCTTGGCCAAATTGACCTTGTTGCCGGGAGAGTCCTCGACCAGCACGTCCAGGTTGGGGATCGCGTCGCCCTTTTGCACGAAGGCAGGCGCGGTGTTGTGGAAGAACGCGGCCTGGGGGCGGGCGCGTGGGACGTGGGTTGCGAGTCGACGGGCGGCAAACATGGTGGGCAGCAATTGAGTCGATGGAGGAGGGAAAGGTGGGAGAGTGAGAGGTCAGTGAGAGAGATGGAAGGGCGTGGTGGATAATTTCGTCATAACCGTTCGGGTTGGCTGGACCTGACTCTTACTGCTCCTCGTTTTCGTAAGGAAAGCCGTAGACTGGATCGTGAGTGATCTATAATTAGTTACTTATGGACTTCGACTTGCCTCTTCTCTTTGTCTTTTCTGTTGGATCCTCGGACCATCATCTCCGTTCAAATCTCACCCTCCATCGGGCGCACTGACAGCACAACGGCGCTGCACGAGGAGCCGCTGCAGCAGTGGATAAGGATTCGCCATGTCATTCGATATACAACAAGAATAATACCTATAATCACGAGAAATACCGAGGAATATTATTATTTCTACCTATAATAATATTCACCATTCACCAACTCGGTAAATGACATACCGCCATACCGTATGTACCGATTGACCTTGGCTCGACCGCCCACCGCGAGCCACAGTCTCTGAACCCCCGTTCGTCAAGTCGGTTGTTCTTCATTCCTCTTCCTCCTTTCCCTCCTGGCCCCTTCTATCGTTTTGTCGAGCCTCTTCATCCCGCAAGGGCTTCCGTTATTTCCTTCTCGCCTTTTTTTCGCAATCCGTTAAATCCCCCCGTTCGGGGGTCGTTCAGCCTAACAGCCCAGTTCGACCGGTCGCGACCCGTCTAGCCCAGCATGGACGCTGGCCAGACCTCAGCGAATCCCGCCCCCGCGGGTAACTCCAGCGATTTTGTGAGTCCCATGCTTGGAACTATGGGGAAATCAATGCTAATCGGGTCTGGGAATAGGTTCGCAAGCTCTACAAGTGAGTGTGCACTCTCTCCCTTTTCCTCCGCTCCCCCTCTCTCAACCCGAGCCATGAACCCCTCGAACCTACACCGAGTCCACCAAATACTGACGATCCCAGAATGCTGGAGGACCCCTCGTACTCCTCGATCGTGCGCTGGGGAGACGAAGGGGATAGCTTCGTCGTCTTGGAGGTAAGGCAGAAAAAAAGAAAGAAAATCTCCGGTCGCACTCGGCTGACTTCGCTGTGTTCAGTGTGAGAAATTCACCAAGACCATCCTGCCCAAACATTTCAAGCACAGCAACTTTGCCAGTTTTGTGCGCCAGCTCAACAAATACGATTTTCACAAAGTTCGACAGAATAACGAGGAAAGTGGCCAGTCGCCATACGGACAGAATGTAGGTTCGCCATCGCGAGACAAAGAACTCGATTGACCCTCGATCCCCAGGCATGGGAATTCAAGCACCCGGAGTTCCGGGCGAACAGCAAGGATTCCCTCGATAATATCCGTCGCAAAGCTCCTGCGCCTCGCAAGCCGGCCGCACCCACCGAAGAATCGGTACCCACTCAACAGATCGATCTGCTCAACCAGCAGATCGTTGCGCAACAGCAACAGATCCAGCACCTTTCCGACCGCTTTGCACAACTTTCCGTGGATCATCAGCTCATGATGCAGGAGGTCTTACGCGTGCAAAAGACGGTTGTGAACCATGAGAGTGTCATTCATCAGGTGATGAACTACTTGCTGTCGGTGGACGCGCGCCAGCGACGGGACAGTAAAGCATCTGTATCGTTCCAGGGGCAGGGCGGTTCGTCCATGAGCGGCGACGAGCCATCATCGCCATTGCAGCAGGCGTCCAAGCTGCTGAGTGACATGAACGCGGAAATTCAATTCAATCTGACAGGGTTGGAAGCGATGAATGACCCTCAAAAGGCCGGTGCCCCGCCAGTGGTCTCGACACCCACGATGGATGCCGCTGCTCGGAATGGTGGCGTTCGCCCGTCCACCTCTGCGGCACCCAACCCGGCTCTCGTCTATCCCAAGATGGGTGGAGAGTTAGAGCCGGTGGTCTACCCCGTGGGCGCCACAAACGGGATTGACCCCATGTACAGCGAGCATGTCAACAACGTGCCATACGCGATGCCACCCAAAACAGAGATCGAGTCGGCCGAAACCCGCCGACAGTACCCTGACAACCGGAAAAAGAGCACCAACGTCGATCCAGGCTGGATGCGCAGCCCACACATTCTCTTGGTGGAGGACGACGCCACCTGCCGACAGATCGGTGGGAAATTCCTTTATTCTTTCAACTGCGTGATCGACACAGCCGTATGTCACCCACTCCACCTTCCAAAGAAGATTGCCGCTAATCCCCCATTTAGTTCAATGGTCTCGAAGCTGTGAACAAAATCCAGGAAGGCTCGAAGTACGATCTGATTCTTATGGATATCATTATGCCTCATCTAGACGGTGTATCGGCGTGCCACCTTATCCGGCAAGCCGACCGAACCCCTATCATCGCCATGACCTCCAACATTCGCAGTGATGACATCCAACTCTACTTCCAACACGGTACGTGTATAGTATCACGCACCCAAGGTCTTGACTGACATTTTATCCAGGCATGGATGACGTTCTTCCGAAGCCCTTCACCCGAAAGAGTCTTCTTGATATGCTTGAGAAGCATCTGGTTCATCTTAAGACGATGCCGCAAGGCATAGAAGCTGCGCCGCCTGGCGCCCCAATGGCCATGGCTGGTCAGACATCATCATCCCAATCCATTAAAGAAGACAGCTCTCCCGGCCAGTCGCCCGCCGGGTCTATGAACAACTGGCAATCCCCCAGCCAGTTCCAAGCCATGCAGACCGTCCCGCCCAACATGCCTCCCGTCCAAGGACAATACGTTTCGGCGGCGCCCGCCGCATACACTGTCGACCAAAACGGCGTTCAGTACCCAGCCACTCAACCGGTTGCCGTCCCTGCTGTAGGGACACCCGTCCGCCCACCGCATCGACGGCAGATATCCGAGATGTCCACAGCCGCAGACAACGGGAACATGGCCAAACGGCAACGCATGTACTCCCAACAACCGCAGCCGATGATGGCCGTGCAAGCTGGACGGCCGGGCTGAAACTTTTTTGTCGATTTCTGTCTATCTCACGATTCCCACTGTCTATATTTTTGAGGCCTTGATCGTACATTTTTGTTCTCTACTTCTTTTGATCTTTCTTTCGTCCCTACAGGTCATGGCGTTCATATGGCGGCTGGTTCCCATGTGGGTGGTGTTGCGAATGCTGTCGCTTATATACATGGAAGGATCTTTGTTCGCCTAGTACATACTTGAGACACAAACATAAAAACGTGTTTTTGATTACTAGTCTATCTGGTCCCAAGGACTATTACCTAAGTAGAGACAAGGAGAATTGTTGGCGTGGTGTACTTGTCTTCGCCCGGCTCTCCCATCAGTCTGGGCATTCGTTGTTGCTTTTCTATCATCCCACAAGAGATAGCCTATCTATTCCGTATTCCTTCTGTAATTCCCTTGTAACAGCATTTCTATTTCTGTCCACGCATGCGCGTGTCTCAGCCAGAGAAACCAAGCCAACCACCCCACAACCCGAGCCCGAAACTCGACAACGACTCCCGAGTCCGAAGATCAGCTCCAGCAGGTCTAGAACGCCCCCCGGTATTCAAAACAAACAATTTATTTGGACATGGCCGGGTCCAGACCTTGCGTGTTGTTCTGGACTCTTTGCGGCGCAGGAAGCTGTGGCGGTGAAAATCTCTTAGGTAAGACGGTGGCTGGGCAAGCTGGACGGTCATGTGATGATGCGAGGGACACCAGGACAAACAGTGCAAACTGAAATGACTCCCCGCCGGCCTTTTTTTGTGTCGCTTTCTTTGTCGTGAGTAACTAATCTCTCAGCAGCAATAACTGTCTGAGACCAGCTAGTCGCGAGTTTAGCAATGGGTCCCAAGCAAAAAGGTGGTGGCCAGAAGCACAAGGGGAACACCGCGGAGGAGGTGGAAGACACGCTGCAGGCTGTCGTATGTTTTTTTTGGCTTCCTGGATTCAGGCCGATGCTGACGGAGGGTATAGGTTCTTGCGGATACCTTCGAGACCAGATTCGAGCCATTTACGCTGGACAAGCCACGGGTATGTTAGGGGAGAAAAGCTTCGTGGGGTACAAAAATGGTTGACTTGGCCGATGATAGTGTCTTCTCCCCCTCGCCAATACACCTCTGATCGAATATACGCTCGAGTTCCTGGCCAATGCTGGTGTGGAAGAAGTGTTCCTGTACGGCGGGGCGGCTCATTCAGACCAGCTGGAGAAGTACATCAAGTATGCTTGGCACAACCCGGTTATACTGAAAGAAACGCAATCCCTAACCAATGAATTAATGAACAGTGCCTCGAAATGGAGAGCCCTCTCGTCGCCCTTCAGACAGCTCAGCTTCCTCAAATCCACCTCCACCTCCGTCGGCGACGTCATGCGTGATCTGGACGGCAAGCACCTCATCACAGGCGATTTCATCCTCGTGTCCGGCGACGTGATCAGCAATCTGCCCATCGAGGGCGCCCTAACCAAGCATCGCGCGCGTCGGGCAGCCGATAAGAATGCGATCATGACAATGGTGCTTCGCGAGGCAGGCCGGAAACACCGGACCAAGTCCACGTCGATCTCGCCGGTGTTTGTGATCGATCCCACCAAGGACCGGTGTCTGCACTACGAGGAAATCGACGAGCGGGCGGAGAGCGACCAGCCCGCGCGGCTGAATATCGATACGGATATTATTCTGTCGCATGCGGAGCTGGATATTCGTCAGGATCTCATCGACTGCAGTATCGATATCTGCACGCCTGATGTGCTGAGTCTGTGGTCAGATAGTTTCGACTACCAATCACCCCGGAAACATTTCTTGTATGGTGTGCTGAAAGACTACGAGCTAAATGGCAAGACGCTCCATACCCACATTATCAGGGAGAACTACGCTGCGCGGGTGCGGAACTTGAAGGCATACGATGCCGTGAGCAAGGATATCATCTCGCGCTGGACATACCCCTTGTGCCCGGACACCAACCTGCTTCCTGGGCATACGTACGATCTGCGCAAGGGCAGTCTGTACCAGGAGCAGGGGGTGACGCTCGCCCGGTCCTGCGTGGTCGGTCGTCGCACGGTGATTGGGTCTGGGACGAGTATCGGGGACCGGACGACAGTGCACAACACCGTTCTGGGCCGCAACTGCAAGATCGGGAAGAACGTCAAGCTTGACGGCGCATATATCTGGGATCATGTTGTGATTGGGGATGGTTCGGATGTCCGTGGTGCTATTATTGCGGATGGCGTCGTGGTCGGTAAGAAGTGTACGGTTGCGCCTGGCGCGCTGCTCTCGTACGGTGTCAAGATTGCAGATGGCGTGGCTGTTCCGAACGGGCAGCGGATCACTAAATCCTCACGGGATGGCATGGATGTTGCCAGTGACCCCAAGGTCGTTGGCGCTGGTGGGGAAGGCTATGAGTTCGTGCCTGGTGACGAGGATGATGAAGTTGACGACACCCCAAGCGAAGCCTCGTCGGGACTTGGTATGTTCCTTCTTTCGTTCTCACTGCAGGCTATCCGGCTAACCCTCCTTTTCAGTTTATCGCATGCCCAATCTCTCTCTTTCTTCTGCCTCGATCTCCACACTGTCATCCGAACTCTCAGAAGGATCCTGGCCACGGTCCGGCCGAAGCAGTTTCTCCAGCGGCGACGAGGAACAAGACAACTTCTACCACGAAGCCTCCGTCAGTGCATTTGACATGCTGCGCGATGACAACGCCGCAGATGTGGTGGTGCTAGAGCTGGTAAGCATGCGCATGACCGCCAATGCATCCGACCAAGCAATGCGACGGGCCGTGGTGGTCTCATTCATGAAACACATCCAGCAATTGATGGAGGGCGGCAAGGGCGCCGGCGAAGCCGTCCACGACGTGTTTTCCAAGTATCGCGAGGTCGTGGACCGCTGCTGTTTATTTGACCGCAACAAGGAAGCGAAGAAGGACCAGGTGGATTTGCTGCTTCTGCTACAGCAGGACTTGATCCATCGCCACAAGGGGGACACGGTGTTGCTGTTTACGGCGAAGGAGCTGTATGAGCTGGAGCTGGTGGATGAGGAGGCATATGAGCAGTGGTGGAGAGATGAGCGGTCGACTGTGTCGGAGGAGATGCGGACGGTTCGGGCTCAGGCTCAGCAGTTTGTCGATTGGCTTGCTGAAGCGGAGGAGGAGGAGAGTAGTGAGGAAGAGGAGAGCGATGAAGATTAGTGAATTTGCTACATATACCATATACGGAGACAGACATCAAGGGTCTTTGTTAGTTAGTATTTCATCCACCGCAGAGTGCAACGTCTTTGGAACCATACAAACCGCTCATCACGGGACTCCCCACTTGTTTCCGGCCCGACCCCTCCGCCCTGACCCGTGACGTGTTGTTCGACCGATCACCCAACTTCTCCAACTTCCTTCTCTCCAAACCCCAAGAGGCATTTCAGTGCCTTCCCCCGTTCCCCCCTTGTTCACTACGGCCCCCTCAACACGTAAAAGAAAGGCGGCCGAGGCGATTGCGGACAGTCAGCCCCCCTCCAAAGCCCAAGCCGCCACCAAGGCTGCTTCCGGCCCCGGCCTCGCCACCGCGCCCTTGGAACCGCCGCGCCCGCCCACTCCCACCCCTGCCACAACGACAACGGAGTTGACTGCGAGGGGCAGCTCCGTGAGTTCTGTTTCGGCAAATAAGGATATCGTCACCTCCGCCACGACCAGCATGGATTCAGATGATGATTTCATGTCTGACGTGTCGAGCCAGGATGACTTTTTGGACACTCAGGACAGCGACAATGACAGTTTAGGAGAGGGTGAGTACAAACTGCCCTTTCAAATGATCTATCGGGGAGCACTAGCTAACGATCTACTCTTCCAGATTTCGGTGACCTCGATGGCGGATTCTCCGACGACAAAGACCTGCTCACCCAAAAACGAAAACCCTACGAAGTCGAGTTCAAGGTACTCAACCCTGCAGATATTGAACGAGAACAACAAGCCCAGATTAGCGAAGTCTCCGCCATCCTGGGCCTGCCGCCAGAGTCAGCGGCCATCCTGCTCCGGTTTGGGAGGTGGAAGCGGGAGAAGCTAATAGAGTCCTACATGGACCACCCCGAGGTGACGTTGGAGGATGCGGGCTTGGGGACAAATTTTGAAGGCGCTGTGAAGATGGAAGCCATCCCGGGATTCATGTGTGAGATCTGTTGTGAGGATGGCGAGGGCCTCAAGTCGTACGCGATGCGCTGTGGCCACCGCTTCTGCGTGGATTGCTATCGTCACTACTTGGCCCAGAAAATCAAGGAGGAAGGCGAGGCTGCTCGCATCGAGTGTCCGGGCGAAAGTTGCCACCGTATCGTGGACTCTCGATCGCTTGATCTACTGGTCACGAATGATCTCAAGACACGGTAAGTTGGCTGGTATTTTGAAGAGTGACTCAGGCTGACTTTCATTTCTCCAGGTATCGTATCCTGCTTACACGAACGTACGTGGACGACAAAGAGAATCTACGGTGGTGCCCGGCGCCAAATTGCGAGTACGCGGTGGACTGCCACGTGAAGAACCGTGATCTGCGCCGTATTGTGCCAACAGTGAAGTGTGCCTGCTCGCACGAATTTTGTTTCGGCTGCACCCTTAGCGATCACCAGCCCACTCCGTGTGGCCTGGTTAAGATGTGGCTGCAGAAGTGTGAGGATGACTCTGAGACGGCCAACTGGATCTCGGCCAACACCAAGGAATGCCCACGGTGCCAGTCGACGATCGAGAAGAACGGCGGATGCAACCACATGACCTGTCGCAAGTGCAAGCATGAATTCTGCTGGATGTGCATGGGTCTGTGGTCGGAGCACGGAACCAGCTGGTACAACTGCAATCGATACGAAGAGAAGTCGGGGTCCGACGCCCGCGGTGCTCAAGCCAAGTCGCGCGCCTCGCTGGAGCGGTACCTGCACTACTATAACCGGTATGCGAACCACGAGCAGTCCGCCAAGCTAGACAAGGACCTCTATCTCAAGACCGAGAAGAAGATGACTAGCCTGCAGTCGCAATCGGGCCTCTCATGGATTGAGGTGCAGTTTCTGGACACGGCCTCGCAGGCGCTACAACAGTGCCGACAGACCCTGAAGTGGACGTATGCGTTTGCCTTCTACCTCGCGCGCAACAACCTGACCGAGATCTTCGAGGATAACCAGAAGGACCTGGAGATGGCGGTCGAGAGCCTGAGTGAGATGTTCGAGAAGCCCGTCCCGGACCTGGCGAACCTCAAAGTCGACATCCTGGACAAGACGGCTTACTGCAACAAGCGTCGCATCATCCTGTTGAGCGACACTGCCGAGAACCTGAAGAGTGGTACGTCTTCCTGTCTTGATATTTGACATACATATTGCTAACATCACCATCTTCAGGGGAATGGTCATTCAACGTAACCTGGTAACCTTGCTCAACTCCAACGTTTATCTTCCTTTCGTCTCGACGAGACACACCAGACCACTTAACGACCGTGAATGATTTGCCCGAGCACATTTACACTCTGTTAGCTCTCCATCCACTCTCCCTCAGTCCGACTATTTTCTTAAGACTCTTTCCCGTCCGTCCACGGACTCTCTGTGTTCTTACATGCCCCCTCCTCCTTGCCATCAATGCGGCGTCGAGGAGTTTTATGTTTGTTTGATTCTTTGTATGTCTTTCACACTCCATAGCCTGGTATCATTATTATTACATGCGTATTATTTCCTTTCCTATGGCAAGTACATAAGTTGAAGTTCACGTACATTACCTGAATCCAGCGTCGAGCAAACCACCTAGCGTCAGTCGGGTATTTTTGCCCGAACTCCTGTCGAGCCACCCCGGACCTCGGCTGCCTGAGCGGCCATTAGGACCCCTTGGGCCATGAAGAGGGCCACGCAGAAGGCGACAACTTCCACGATTTATTCATAAAGCCATACATCGAGAATGGTGGATATCTGAGATTTGCGCTTTAAACCTCCGACGGGCCAACCGACGCACGAGATCGCCACTCAACAAGGTCTGAGGATGGCAGAGACTTTCCTTACTCGGGAGATCATAGCGCAAAGCATTAAGAGCGGCCACCCATGACAATACCAACGCTTTGGAATCTATCAGAAGCCATGGTACAAGAGCATAGTGGCAAAAAGGCGTCGGTTATGACTACTATCGGGTACTTACAGTCCCATTTGGCTCAGAAAGGCACTCGGGGAAAGGCATGAGTGGTATCTAGTCGGTGTCCACTAACTGCTATGTACTGTATCTGGACAAAATTAACATGTTAGTATGTATGGAATACACCCTGACAGCATGCGCACAGCCAGTCCCTCTCGAACCCAGACGGGAAATTGAATGGTCCACCCCCGGCGCGGCTGTCCGAGGAGCATCCCCTGAAGCGGACTAGCGAGTCTAGAAGGTCGTGTGCGGTCGGTCTTATCAATCAGATAAAATTTTTCCCGCCGAAACCCGCGGTACCTGGGTCCGAGGTACCCTTTCCGCCGTTCTCCAGTAGATCAATACCTCGAACCCAGGTACCACTGTGGTGATTAACTAAGCGCCGATGACGGACCAGGTCTGGATCAAAAGGAGAAAGTCATGAAGAGGAGCAAGAGGAGCAGAAATGGGAGGAACATTATTAAGCAGAAATAATTTGACTAGTTAGTAACTTACCTGTAGGTGTATGTAGTAAGGGGATGCTCGGGGTTAGGGAAATTCCTCGGCAGGCAGGAGAATCACTAACTTGCGGATCTGGCGAGTTCGGACCTTTCTGCCCGTGCTCCAGCAACTTTAGACCAAAAAAATTATTACTATTTTCTCTTCTTCGTTGCTTCTCTGATTTTTCTTATCATTGCTTCCTTCTCACTCCATCATTGTTCGCTCTTTGCCTGTCCTCGCGCGGGCCTGGATTAGGAGACCCGCCTGCTTTTTTCTCCTCGGAGAAGCGACTTGCTCATTCCGCCAACTCCCACCCCAACACCTCCAACACCTAGCTACACGAGCCTAACCACCACCCGCGCGTTTTCACTGGCACTTCCAATCACGACGACGCCTTCTCTCGTCTTCGCTCCCTCTCACTCCGGCTGCGCCTTGAGCTAGCCCAGCTCCATGGCGACTCCCGACCAGATTGCGGAGCAGGAATATGAGTAGGTGACCGCCTCTTTTTTTCGTCATCGGTCTTTGGAGAGCATCGCGACAGGGCGCAAATGGTGCTTGCTCTGGAAATGCGCAGCTCATCTGCGGGCGCTTTTCCTGGCGAGCGCGTTTTTGCTCCCCTGTGGTTTTTGGTGTTCTCCGACCCGGTTCGACTGTGTGTGATGTGATGGATGTCCGAGCTAACGTTGTGCGCTCGCTCTTCTGCAGATACGAAACGCTCCCTTCCAACTATGGCCTCAGTCGGAATATGTTAGCTGGTGCTTTCGCAGGGATAGCGGTATGACGATTTCGATTTCCTCGAAGAAACGGGAGCTCGTGGACTGACCAGCGGCGGGGATTCAACAGGAACACTCGGTTATGTATCCGGTGGATTTGCTCAAGGTGAGTGCGTTTCTGGTGGCTACGTGGCATAAAACTGACAGAAAACTTCACTAGACTCGCATGCAAATCTTGCACCCTTCGACCGGAGGTCTCTACACAGGGTTGACCAATGCGGTGTCCACAATCTATCGCATTGAAGGCTGGCGGACACTATGGAAGGGCGTGTCGAGTGTGATTGTTGGTGCAGGTGCGCGGTGCTCAATATACTCCAAAAAACACAGGAGGCTGATTCGAGGCGAATACTAGGTCCGGCACACGCCGTGTATTTCGGCACGTACGAGCTCGTCAAGGATATGGCTGGTGGCAATGTCGACGAAGGGCATCACCCCTTAGCTGCCGCGACCAGCGGCGCTGCGGCCACGATTGCCAGCGACGCATTGATGAATCCATTTGATGGTGCGTTTTCCCCTTATTTTCTTTCGGGGGACACTGCTAATTCCCTCTACAGTGATCAAGCAGCGCATGCAGGTCCATGGCTCAGTCCACAGAAGCCTTCTTTCATGCGCCCGAACGCTCTATCGCACGGAGGGCCTCCAGGCCTTCTACGTCTCCTACCCCACCACGCTCTGCATGACCGTGCCCTTCACGGCCACCCAGTTTGTCGCCTACGAGTCCATCTCCAAGGTGATGAACCCCAAGATGGAATACGACCCTTTCACCCACTGCATCGCCGGTGGACTGGCCGGTGCCTTTGCCGCTGGAATCACCACTCCTCTAGACGTCGTCAAGACGCTCCTTCAGACCCGCGGCCTTGCGGAGAGCGAAGAGGTTCGCTCCGCCCGTGGTCTCTTCAACGCTGCGGCCATCATCAAGCGCCAATTCGGGTGGACGGGCTTCTTGCGGGGCATGCGGCCCCGGATTATTTCCACCATGCCGAGTACGGCGATCTGCTGGTATGTTTTCGTGTCTGATTGGTGTCATTGCGATCCCATTGCTAACACCGCGTTAGGACATCCTATGAGATGGCTAAGGCGTATTTCAAGCGCCACCTGGACTAGAATGACAAAAGACCGGCACATCACCACTGCTCGCTGACTGGGAAGCAACCCGTCGGCAGGTGAAGTCACCTTTCCCTGTCCACATGTTTCGATAGATATCCTGCTTTGTAAACGCCACACCTTTTTCTTCGTCTCTTCATCCGATCTCTCGATGCGACAGGGGAGGGAGCTCTCGCCTGGCCAACGCATTGAAAGCAAACGCAACTCCGGTGCCACTTTGACAGTGACCAAATCAACCAAACTCCCTTTGCATGTTTTGGCCTCCGCCTTGATCCAACCACCAAAAAGCGATTCTGGCAATGTATAGTTGTTGGGGGAGGGGGGATCACATCTGGTCATATCTCCCTGTTTTCGTCGTTGGGCGGCTGTTGATGCGCCTCTTGTTCTTCTTCCCATGCGATGTGTCTCATATATCGTTTCACCGGCGTTGGCACGCGAACTGAATCCTTGGGCGGGCTTGGGATAATTTTTTCTTGTTTCTTTTCTCTCGACCAGCAATATCTCTGGTTTTGAGTGTGCATGTACCCATAGATCCGTGGATAGATGAATTACTGGATAATCCTGGAGTATTCTATTTAACTATGAGCATAGCCTCCCTCTACTCCTACTAATCCAAAACGGTGGTCCATCTGCCCACACCGGCACTTACCGCATGCAGACAACGACGTCACGCCCAAACCCGCCCGGCCGATCATCCTCTTCTTCCTCTGCCCCCCGCGCTGAGCTGAATGATGCGCTCCAAGCCTTCGTCTTCGCTGCAGAAGACATACGACGAGTGTTATCTAGCGTGTTCCACCGCGGTCTACTTTGAGGGCCAGGTGAGTGCCCGTCGTGTGTGGAAAAAAGTGTCCCCGTCACTAATCGGATCCTCCCCGCAGAACAACGAAGGCGAAGCGCTGCGATCCTGGCGATCCGCTCTCGAGACCATCTACCACCACAATGCCCGTCGGGTGTCGACGACCTACGCCCCCAAGTCCGAGACTGAAAAGGCCCTGCAAGACTCCATCCGCAAACTAGAGATCCAATGCCGAGAACGAGTCGATCTGCTCGAGGCCCTTCGCGAAAGCAGGAAAGAAGCACCCGACAGCAGCTTCAACAAAGAATCAGGATCCGCCCTGTTGAAAAAGTTCATCACGACCCCTTCTTCCTCTTCCTCCATCAACAACAACCCCGGCTGGATCGGCGACGGCACCATCCCCGCCGTCGGCTATACCGATCTCTCCAAACCGGCCGCCATCCCTGGCCACCCGTCGCCGAAACAACCCACCCCCGAGTCACCAGGTCGATACGAAGACACCCCTCCTCCGACAGCAATGCCGCCCACTAGCTCACCTGCGCAACGGGCGAATTCCAATTCGTCCGGCAAAACCAAATCTCGTGGCTCCAGTCCCGAGCGGCGTATGCTGACTACGCTGCGCAGTGGCGACACCAAGAAGAGTGGGAAGAAGACGCCCAGGCGCAAGGAAACGAGACCGGCCGCTTCGAAAGCGGCGGGGCTGGCTTGGGGGCATCTCTATCGGCCCGCATTAAATGAGAAGACCGTTAGTGATGCGGCGTTGGCTTCGTCACGACAGAGTGCCGCAAAGAGCCCCAGTTTCCGCCGTGAGGCAGATCCGAAGTATACCTCGGGAGATGAGCTTTCCCCTTCATCCCGCAAGACTGTGCCTGTGGTTTCGGCGCCCGACCGCATTCCGGCTGCTAATTGGCGAGAACCTCGTTCTTCGCCTGGCCCGACATCGTCACCACGCCGGATGCCTATTCAGTCTTCTCCTCGCAGACCCCAGGCTCAGTCTTCTTCCCGCAGAGCTCCTCCTCCTCCCCCGCATGCATCCTCATTATCAATGCCAAACCCAGATGACTTCACTCCTCCGAACTCCTCCGCAGGGGCACCCAGACCGTCTGTGAAACCGAAACCTGTTGGGTTGAGGACTTCACTTCAACCACCGGGCGCTGTGGCACAAAACTCTAGGTCTGAGAGCAATTCTCGGCCCTTGACGCCCCGACTGGATCGCGAGGCCAATCTTTCGAGCAGCCAGCCACGGACAAAATCCGCACCTCGGTCTGGGAATGTCGGTCAACCAGCGCATGCCGCGCACTCATCGGGCAGCGGAGATGACATTCGGCGGGGAGTTGAGCACATGACGGTTTCGGCTGGGAATGGCAACGGCGTGCCTCGGCGCAAGCCTCCTCCAACGAAGCGTCAAGAGACACCGTCGTCCAGCGACCAAGATTCATTGGCCAAGCGGTCGACGGAGAGTGAGGCAGAGGACGGGGAAGACGAAGACGAGAACAACGATATCACGAAGATCATGCAAAAACTACCCAAAGCCATCGACCTGGCATCCGCACGGCAGATCCTGAATGACATCGTCGTGCGCGGGGACGAAGTGCATTGGGACGATATTGCCGGCCTGGAGGGTGCCAAAAAGGCCCTCAAAGAGGCCGTCGTCTACCCATTCCTTCGACCTGATCTCTTCTCCGGTCTTCGCGAGCCCGCTCGGGGCATGCTACTCTTCGGTCCTCCCGGTACCGGCAAGACCATGCTTGCGCGGGCCGTAGCCACTGAGTCCAGATCAACCTTCTTTTCCGTCTCCGCGTCAACCCTCACGTCGAAATGGCACGGCGAAAGCGAAAAGCTCGTGCGTGCACTCTTCGGCCTCGCCAAAGTCCTTGCCCCATCCATCATCTTCGTCGACGAGATCGATTCCTTACTGTCTGCACGATCATCCAGTACCGAGCATGAAGCCTCCCGCCGCTCTAAGACCGAGTTCCTGATTCAGTGGTCCGACCTCCAGCGCGCCGCAGCAGGCCGCGAGCAATCGGCCCGCGAGAAGAAAGAGGGCGATGCCAGTCGTGTTCTGGTGCTGGCCGCGACCAATATGCCGTGGGACATCGACGAGGCAGCCCGCCGCCGCTTCGTGCGAAGACAGTACATCCCACTGCCGGAGCAACACGTCCGCGAGCAGCAGCTGCGCAACCTCCTAGGCCACCAGCACCAGCAGCTAAGCGACGATGATATCCAGGTTCTGGTCCAAGTCACTGACGGTATGCCCTCATTTCTCTTTTCCTGTTCCATACTTTCTGACAATTCATCCCGCAGGCTTCTCCGGCTCCGACATCACAGCCCTTGCCAAAGACGCTGCAATGGGCCCCCTCCGGAATTTAGGCGAGGCCCTCCTACACACGCCCATGGACCAGATCCGGCCAATCAAATTCCAGGACTTCGAGGCGAGTCTCTACTCCATCCGTCCCAGCGTGTCTCCGGATGGATTGCGGAGGTATGAAGACTGGGCGCGGGAGTTTGGTGAACGAGGTGGATAGGTATTGAGATACGGCCGGTCCGGTTTCTGTGTGTGCGTGTCTTTTATTCTTTTGTTGCCCGTTTTCTTGCTGTGCCTGGTCTGGTTTTGGGTCCCGGAGCCCGGATGCGCAATCAATAAATGGTGCTATGGGCATAGCATGCATGGTTTGGGTCTCTTATAAGAGGGTGTTCTCGCTCTCTTTCTCTCATCTTTTGATAATCTTTCTTTTTATCCGACGTTTGACTCTGTACATTGTGATGATTGGAATGGAAAGGCATGAATAGGGATTATCCAAAAAGGTCCCTTCAGTCATAGTTCTGAGTAGAGTAATAGCCCTTTCATAGCTTCTTCCCTCAATTTATCCGGCGCAAGATAATTGACTTGGCGTGCGTCTGTCCAGTCCGTTCGTATTCCGAGTCCTCGGGCCCAATAAACGACCCCCACCATGCCGATCCAAGACACGAACTAAGCACGACTAGTACTTACCGCGTATATATTCCTCTCCCACTACTTCCTAGGGAGCCACTGAATCCATGCTCCTCTCATGGACCCAATCTCCATCGCCTCTGCAGCAGCGGGGATAAGCGCCTCCTGCTTCAAAATCGCCAGACTACTCTACGACTACGTGGAGGAGGTGAAAGAAGTCGACAATGTTATCGCGCTGTTCGGAAGGGACCTGCGTACTCTTTCCCGTGCGCTGGATAGCGTGCATGACGCGCTGAGTGATCATGGCAAGGAGCTAGCCGCTAGCTTGGGGAGTAATGCGAAATTGTTTGATTCATTGGAGGGGTGGTACGTCTCTTTTGTTCCTTGGCTGTAGAGTATTACCACTGACAAGACTGGACTGCAGTATACAAGACTGCGGAGAGACCGTCGAGAGAATCAATGAGATTCTTACAAAAGCGCAAACCCACGGATCCGTGGGCCAGTCTGTGCGTCGAGTAGCAACGCACCTCAAGCTCAGCGACAAAGCGCAGGAATTAGCGCTCTTACGCGGGAGGGTAATTTCTTTCCACACGGCCATGAATATGAGTCTGCAGATGATCCACGTCTGTCTTGCTCTGCACATCCAAGCAAGCACTGAAAGTAAGCAGGAGGACGTGCTCGATGGGATTGGCCAGCTGCAGAGGCAGATCAAGAGATTGACGCGCCTCGCGCAGAAGCAGAGGTCGGCCGATGATGAGAGCTGCACGCTCCCTGGTTCTGTGCAGAAGTGTCTTGACTCGGCTGTTGCGCTTGATACCTCGGCGAGCACGGTCGTCGACGATATGCACTCTGTTCTCGGGGCGATGACACAAGCACCGGAGGAGAAGATTGAGCGGTGGATGACCGATAGCGAGAAGTGGGAGGTTCCCGCGTTGAATACGAACAGAAGTGATGACGAGTCTTTTGATGATGAGAGTGCCAGCACGTTCCGAGGCACTGCGCCAACAACGCAAGCCACCGATCTTGACCCCGAATTCTCAGATCATCAGACAAAGCTCCAAGCCGCGCGCGATCTATCCAGCAGAGGACGCATCGAATCAGCCAAATCGCTCTGTCGAGAGGTGATCCACGACTCCGAGTTCACGGCTGGTGTGAACGACCCATCCTACAAAAAGGGCGTACTTCTCCTCGCCGAGCTATATGAGCATGCAGGCGACATCGACGAGGCGAACTCGTTGCGTGAGATCCTGAATCCTGAACAACGAGTCAAGATCCGGAATGACTTCAAGGCATTGCTACAAAAACGGTCTCTGAGCGCGTGCATGGAGTTCGTCTTGGTATGGGCCTGTCTGTTCTACGACAACGACCCGCTCAACCGATATCGGGAGCTTCTCAAGAAACTGCCCCTGCACGATGATTTCTCCGACTCGGTCGTTTCTGCTATTGTGGCTGGTGCGGGGAATAGTTTTCTCGTGCAGCTGATGCTCAGTCGTGGGACTTCATTTATGCGTCCTATCCCGGTGGGTGAAGGTGAAGGGGAGGAAATCACTGCTTTTGAATGTGCGTTTGACCTTGGACATCGACATATTGTTCAATTGTTACTTGAGAGCACGCCGAATCGCACCGGGGCGGCAGATCTTGACTCGAAGTATATCGTGCAGGCTATTACAGCGCACGATTATGAGATGGTGGCTCTTCTCTTGAGATACGGAGCCGATGCCAACACGATCTATACCGGCCCGGACTCTGAGAGGACCATACTGTGGAAAGCAGTTGACATATCCGATATCAGAATGGCCGAGCTCCTACTGAACAACGGCGCATCTCCCGATTTTCGTCTTTCAGACGGAAGTCCGCAGCGAGTTCTCGTGAAAGCAGTGCACAGCAAGAACCTCCCAATGACAAACCTTCTGCTAGAGCACGGTGCTCAGCGCGTTTACTACAAGTACGGATGGGGCCAGGAGAACGACGACTGGGAAAAAAACCCCCTCTCGCTGGATAGAGATGGGCCCGTTGTGTTCGCCATCGCGAAGGACTGGAGAGATTTAGTTGAAGTGCTGGTGACGGAGGAGTCGCATGTATTCCGGCGCGCAATACGCGAGACGATTGATCATCGCCGACAACCACTCCTTGAATATCTACTCTCGAAGAGCCCCATCTTCGCAGCTGTAGGTGTTGACTACACCGTTACGATGGGCGCAGTCTGGAGTCTGGAGCCATTACTGCGAGTTGGGGGGCGAGTCAGATACTCTCACCTATCGAACGCGGTCCAACAGGCCATTCCCCCCAAGCCAGAGATGGTGAAAGCCCTGCTAGAAGCTGGTGCGCCGATAACAGCACCAGACGACGACGATTGCCCACAAGATACTAATCGGCTGCTGCGGTATGCTATCAGAATGGCGCTGGATCCGGATATCCTGCCGTATAACATCCCGCCCTTGATGAAGACAATTAGTCTGCTCAGCAAGGCGGGGGCGAAGTGTAGTCCGGCGAAGAAGAGGAGTTTAAGGCTATCTGCTAGACGCAGGGAGGTTCTCGCGCTTCTTAAAGGGGCGAATGTCAAGTCTTGAATGTCCGGGGAGGGAGCATCTGAATGAATGCGTTGTTCCGACCTCAGGTACCTGAGGAGGTCCCTAGCGCATTGAAAGCCATGCGCAAAGACCCGATTATATATCAGGCTGCTTTGCCTAGCCATTTGTACTTATGGCAGATCCATCCGGCTATTGGCCCATTGTGCCTCCTGTGTCCCAGATTTCGAAAATATACTGATTCCTGGGCATTGATGATTTGGTCTCCTCTTTGGAAGGACCCTTGGACATTTAGGATATTGAGGATATGGAATGTAAAAAGAAACGAAGGCGAGAAGTATGTTTACATGGTCCCTAGGTAATTCGCGCATGTGAGTACAATTTAAATCTGGGAAGAGCAGTCCATCGTCGTCATTAGTTTTATCTATTAACGTACGACTCAAACAGGTCAATAAAATTCCTTGCCACGCACATAATAACCTAGCCCAAAAAATAGAGCATATGATAACTTTTTGATCACAATACTCAAAGACAGTAGCAAAAGCGAGGCAATTTGCTTGTTGATGAAATCCTTAATATTTGAACTCTCGTTGACCCGAGGGAACTGCTCGTCTGGTACGTCCTTTGATAAGAACTTACACAAAGGCTCCCACCCATCCCCAAGCTTGTACTCTAGCAAATTTTCTGGCTTTACCATCTTCCGCACTGTTGCATAATGTTTGTCGTATGTTTCCTTAGCGTTGAGCTTCGCCTCTCGCGCGCTGCGAGTACCAAAGAAGCCATAAACCACAATAGGCTGTGATACAAATACCGACAAGCCGGTTATTGGCGCAATGATTCGCTGAAGCAGAAATCCACGTATAGGGGAAAACAGAGTGTCAAAAAAGACATCACTAAAGCTCTTGTACCAAGCATTGAAAGGCCGTTGTACTAGTATGACCTTGGCGTTTGGGTACGACTCGATCAGCTGTGGAGCGAAAACACTAGCTGTATCGCTGACTGCTTGCCACTGGCCCAGGAAGCTGTCCCAGTCAGATCTGGTGAAAGGAGCTGGCATTGGTGTTCCGGCATTGCGGCTCAATACTGGAAAGCAGGCCCAAGCCGCCCTGATTGCGGTCTCCCATTGCGCTGAGTCTTGTATTTGCTCGGTTGCGTGATGTACGTGCTTGTAGCCTAGCCGGCGTAACGCCCAAGTCAGCGATAGGCTACCACTCCGAGGGAGTCCAAGCATGAGAATGCCCTCGCCTGAGGCAAGGCTGCCCTTAATTAGGTCCGGCGGTGGTACTGTCGACATAATGAATTTTATCTTGACGTTTGAAACACCTGTACTGTACGTCTCGGCTTCATCATTTTTCTAACTCAAGGGAGACGAGAAACTTATAACAAAGACGAAATACTGCAAAGAAAAAAAAGCATGTTCACGGCCCCTAGCCCCTAACGGAATTAGCCCCATGCAGCCGGCAACTGTTCTAGGTTATCATTTGGTCAGGCGTAGAAATTAATCATATATTACGTCATGAGGTCAATGAAAAGCTAACTAACCAAACGCGCGTTCCCTTCATTCAAGCGCAGATTATTGGCTTCAGACATGGATCCAAAATCTCTGCTAAGCTGCTCGAATTACATGGCCTAATTCTAGTGGCTTTATAAACAAGATAGTGAGTTAAAAATTGCAGGAAATAAGGCAAAAGGCGTAAATTCTGCCACGCTGTACAATTGTTCCAAAATCATCGTTTACCTCATTATCTTTCGAATGATCATGCCCGCAAGCTTTTCAAAACTGAGCGTATGTGTCGATATTAAAAGATCCCTTGCAGAGAGGGAAATTCTGTGCTGTCGGAATTGTGCAACCTAAGCAGAGCGGCTTTGATGTGACTGAAATGCTAGATATCGAACTAAACTGGATTCGGAATTTGCCATTTCCAGCCAACGAAACATCCCTTGCATCGCAAGCTCTGTGAGCGACTCTGATTTTATCAGAACGGGATTACCTTCGTCTCCGGCGCCTTGCCAAAATGGTGGATTTATCATCCTAGGCCCGCTTACCTTTACCCAGCATCCCGAAGATACGCTGCTCAGGGTAAACGAAAAAGGTCAGCCTTCATGGGTAAATGCATTCAGGTAGGAAAATTTTTATTTTTTTTTACTATAGCCAAAAGACTGCAGAAAAGTGCAACGAAAAGTAATAGACGAACGATGCGTATGTATTAACAATCTTTTGTGTTTGGAAACCTAAGGTATTAAGCGGCTTAAATTCTGCTGCTGACTAGGTCAGTATGAAGGTCTGACATCTTGCTTTGCCACGACTACATGACGATTATTCCTTTGCGTCTTTCTTAGAAACTGCAAGGAGGAAGTCTCCACTTTGATGAATGATGCTGATGTTCACAAACCTGGAAACGGAAATTCTAGGCTCGGGCGATCTGGCTTTGGCAATATTCTAAAACAGAAAATTCCATTTCGACTGTAATAAGTTGTTACGCTGCATCAGAGTTGCTAGGCAGAGTTTGGGCAAGATCTTATTGGGCAATACATAAAAATTTGCCTCTTCGGGGCTATATAAAATGCCAAATGAGATGAACAAGTCGATCTATATTTTCTCAATTGAATTTCTCATTGCAAAGCTCTTAAAATGGCCTCGAAGACGGATGAAGATACTGGACAGGTGATTTTTCCTGTGGGAAATAAGAAATTTCACACCGTGTTCTGGAGTTTTGGGGATCTAAAAAGCCGTCGACCGCTCATCTGTGTCCATGGTGGGCCTGGAATCCCAAGCCCTTACATGATGCCTTTCAAGATGCTGAGCCAGAAATACGGAATACCTGTTGTTCTGTACGATCAGATTGGGTGTGGGAAATCGGCCATCAGTTGCGGGGATCAGGAACAGCAAGACTTGGAAAGAAAAGCCTCCTTCTGGACGGTTGAGCTCTACATGGATGAGCTGGCCAATCTAATCGATTGTTTGGGGATTTCCGATTTTGATCTTTTAGGGCACTCTTGGGGTGGTATGCTCTGCGCGGAGTTTGCATCTAAACGCAAGCCTCAGGGACTAAAGAGCCTGATTATTGCAAACTCTCCAGCCTGGATGGGGGGCTGGTGCAATGCCAACATGGAACACCTGAAAAGAGGACGTATCTCAAGGGTGGCTGTGAAGATCATTCGAAATGCAGAACAACATCCGGGGTATCAAGAGACCCCTGACAGGATCTCACTAAATAGTGAGGGCTACCAGATGGCACTTCGAGAGTTTCAGCATACGTTTATTTGCCAGATGAATCCATGGCCTGGAGAATTCATTGCTTCAGTCGAGCAAGCAAAGGAGCACACCGCTTCGCATCTTGCAATGTACGCTTTGTGAATTGGTCAAAAATGTTCTTACCCAGGCACGCTTCTTCACCTATGTATCATCTTTCACCCATCAGGCCCTTGTTTGTTTTGAGACTCGTGCCACAAAACCCCCTAAGTACAGTATTAGAATCCTGCTGATTTAGCTTTGATTCAGGTGGGGCCCGGATTGGTGCATCAGCCGGGGAAACCTCCATGATTGGGACATACGTCCTTTTCTATCCCAAATTGAAGCTCGCACACTTATTTATGCTGGGGTAGACGACCCCGCCCAGCCAGAAGTCGTGGAGCCTTTTCTACGGCTTATCCCAAATGCTAAGTACTGGGTACAATTTGAAGGATCTCACTGTACTCATCTCGAGAAGACGGAAGAATGTATGGCTCTTATATACAGGTTTTTAAGCGATCAATAACCCTAGTATGTCAATATACCTTTACACACAGGTCTCAAACCCGACGCCCAGGTATATATATCTTTTTTTCTTTGTATTTTTAAAACATACTGATGCTTTTCGTTTTCCGTTTGTGCTTACTGTGGACTGGTCTTGGTTGCTCATGCGCATGTCAAATTATCAATGTCTACCCGTTTGGCTGTGTTCGCGAGGACTCAGCTTATAAGTAATTTGCTAGCCATCGTTGTGCAATCAACAATTCAATACTATTAATTCATCCTCCGTTCAATAAGATCCAATCCTGTCAGCTTCTTGATTTGGTTATCAAGCGTCCCAGTCGGCAAAACACTTCCAATCCGCGCCAGCCAAGCTTGAGCACCCCGCCATACAATGTATGGCGGTCTAGTCCGCAGAAGATCATTGACTACTTGGTTTGCCCAATTTTCGGCCGGTATTCCTAAATTCTCCACTTGAAAGCCACTGGTCGAGTTCTCAACCACGTCTTTGACTTCTCCGTATATTGAGCCCCTAGGCAAATTGAACGGCATGTTTTTCCGCTGATTCTCTTGAATTTTGGATAAAACGAACCCGGTCTTCAGGTCGACCACTTTGATGCCAAAAGGTTCAAGTTCCAATCGCTGCGTCTCAGAAAATGCTGCCATCGCAGCCTTTGAGGCGTTGTATGCAGACTGAAATGGCAGACCACAGACAGAAGCAGCTGACGTGTGGTTGACAATCATTCCTTTAGATTTCATTAAAAGCGGCAGAAAGGCTTGCGTAACAGCAATATAGGACCAGACATTGAGATCAAAAATCTTTTTGGCATCAGGTATAGAGATATCCGACATGGGCATGCTGTAGCCACCACCAGCATTGTTGACTAGGATATCAAGTTCAGGAACCTCCCGGACGCAAGCGGCAATCGAGCTATCAGAAAGAACATCGAGTTGAAGTGTTCTGATCCCTCGGGAAGTCATGTTTGTCATCTTGGAAGGGTCTCGCGCTGTGGCATATACCTGGAGGCCAGATTCATGAAAAGCGATGGCAAGGGCGGACCCCAGGCTGCCATCTGAGCAGCCTGTTATGAGAACTTTGCCATGATGCTGAGCCATCGGGAGGGTGAACGTGTCACAAAAGGCTCGAATCCGTTCAGGTATGGTGATAATGACGGATTTCAAGGGGGCTTCTCAAGAGAAGGACGAAGCTCTGACTTGAAGCTATCAGGAAGATTTTATTTCGCATTTATAATGAAAATTTAAGGTGACGTCAAGTAGTCAAATATGGAAGTCTACCAAAAATCGAAGCAAACGATCTAGAAGGTCGGTGTCATGACATAATACGAAGCCGAAAAAGGATAATGAGGAGCTTTGCTGGCCAAGTTACTACAGAAAACGCGGAGTAAGCCATCTAAAAATTAAAATCTTTCAAGATCGGTATTGACCTAATGGGCACATCACAGCTAAGGTTCTCGAGGCTCAGATGACCTATCAATTGATATAGGGAGATCACTTGGATATATCGTGATCGTGAATCTAGCTTATAAACATATTGCGGTCAGAATTTTTGTCACACCATGCGAACAATATTTGTGCATATTTGAATCTTTGCTTCGTGCAGTCACACTGTTTCGTAACTTCCTAATCACAAAATCTCTCTGGCTTCATTGTTTCAGTCTATTACGTCATTGCTACAAATGCCAGATCATTTCAAATTTCAATAACTCCATTCATCCAATACATGTATTAATACAAGGATTGCATGCAGGTACTCTCCGACGAAATATCCGAGAGTCGTAAAATGCACGAATGTAGCTACTCTCCTCATGTCATATTACCAGTATCATGCTCTTGGAGGTGCTTGAGATATTTGTAGGCCCTTTTCTGCTTATAAAATGCAGCTTATTAGGGAAATGCCCCAGAGAACGGACACAGCGGATCAATTTGTTGAACTCCGCAAGCGGCTACGATCTATCACATCAACGTCTATACAGTGTGTTGATGAAAGCCCTGCTTACCCGGGATTACTTTTCTTTGACCACGACCTTCGCAGGCCTATCCACTCTGACCTCGAGCTCTGGGATGCTCTAAGCTTGACCCTCCCCAATGTGTTACCGCAACGAGCCTTGGAGAATCTGAAGAAACGCCTGCCTAAATGCAACCCCTACGTCCTTACTCATTGTAATCTCAATCTAGGGAATATCATAGTCTCAGATGGACAGTCTGCCTGAATCCTTGATTAGGAATTTGCGGCTTATTACCCTTTATGGTACGAAAATGTTTCAGCATCATAGGGGTGGACCGAGGAGGATGTCGAGTGGAAAAAGCTACTACGAGAGCGATTCGATGCACATAGCGATGGACATGGTGATGCGAAGGATTTCTGGACGGATTTGCGCCAGCTGAGAAAGTATCCGGACTTGGATGAAACGGGTCAAGAAGTGTTGGAGAGATTGTTGGCTTCAGATTAGCTAAATAGTTCCCAAGTCAATGCATGCATATATACTATAAACCTATTCATAATCTATATACTCCACAGAAGTTATGCACTCAACTCAACAATACCCGAATCTCGCCCGTCGTTCGTGGGAACAACGAGCGGAGACTCCACCGGTCTTCTTCGTCCTTGTCTTCCTCTAGCTCCCCCTTCTCACTCACACCGACCTTGCTACCCGATCTACCGCTCAGCACGCTTGCACCAGTGCCAGGAATACCCACGTCGAGGGTCCCTCTCGCCTCATCGGCGGCGATGATCATGCCTTCAACAAACTCAAAGTCACGACAGAACGCTTCAACGGCATCTTCCGTGACGCTCTGCACGAGGGAAGCGCTCTGTACGCGCTTAAGGTGGTCTGTTGCGTCCATGAGGGCTGAAGGCAGGAAATCGTCAAGTTGTTGGCTGGAGGCGACTAGAGCTTCTGGTTGGAAGGCTAGGAGAGACGTAAGATCGGTGAGTTGTGGTTTTGTCGTGGCCTTCTCCTGTGTCTCTGGGGATTGATCTGGCTCTTTATCTGTGTCTGGATGGGCGTCCTGTTTCTTTTGGGAGAAAGGCTCCAATGCAAGAAGAAGGGCGTGCAGACCCGATGCGTTGAGGAGGAATTGGTGTTGGATATCCAGCAAATCTGTGCGGAGAGTGGAAAGGGCATTGGAGATAGGGGCCAGGTGCGTGGCGCTGGCGAAAGGGAAGGATGAGATGGTGGCGCGCGCGGCGAGAAGGAGATTGGTGCGAAAGATGGCCTGCGCGGTGGTGTTGGGGAGCTCGTCGGACGAGGACCGCGCCAGGGTTAGAAAAGGGTCGAATGCGGCGCGGAGAACGGGCGTGAATTGGTTCTCGCTGGTTGAGTCGTCTGCGGCTGGGTCGTCGGGTCCGACGGATGCTTCATATGTTTTCATGAGGGAGGTCAGGACCTCGAGGGCATCTAGCAGGAATTGCGGCACGGAGAGGTCGGCTGGCGGGGTTACTGCGATGGCGCCGTTGGACAGGGTGTTGACCTGGTCCTTCATAAGACTCTCGAAGTGGTTGAGAGTGAACTTCTCCAGGCTCTGAATCAGATCAACCAGGTTTGATTGCGAGCCGACCAATTTCGCAAAGGTCGTGCGGTAGAATGATAGGAGGTTCATCACCTTGTAGCAGGTTACGGGATCATCGTGGCCCTGAATCACCAGCTCAATTCTCTGTCGCAGGGACCGCGAGACGCCCGTGAGGTCACGGTTGACCAGATCGCTGAGAGCTTTGTGGCCATCGAACACCGCTTCTTCCCCTTCATCAATCCGAGACCAGGGCTCGCTGCTCAAGCCGGCTTGGATGCCGCGCGCAAGCTCTTCACCATCCGCGACGAACAATGCCTCCAGGGCTTCGCGCTCCGATACGGTGGTGGAGTGCACCCATGCCAGCATATCTCCAATATATCGCAGTGGATCGTGCGCGGAGAACTCGATTGGCTTGACGCTGCGATCACCAGAGCCCGCCCCATTAGCTCCCGACATGGCATCCGTCAGGGCGTAGTGGAATGCATCGGACAAGACATAGTCGCGGGCCTCGGCAAAGAAATCCAGACAGCTATGGAACAAAGTTGGCCGCTCAGCCAGCACCCGTAGCGCACGGCGGATGGAGCTGCTAATCCGGGGATCTTCCAGATTCAGCGACCGGAACTCCTTCTGGATCCACTTATACAGCTTCTGGTAGGCCCCGTTGAGATGTCGCGTGCTCAGCTCCATCAGCTCCAGGCCCAATCGCTGGTTCTCGCCGCCGAGGAGGTGCTCGCAGTCGTGATGCACCTGCTTGACGCGGGAAAGCACATCGAAAAATCGGTCATCGACTGGCTCCTCGGCAGAATTCAAGACAAACAGATCTTCTTCTGGGACGATGAAGTGTTTCGCAAAGGCGTCGAGCAGCCGCTGTTTTGTTTCGGTGTCTCTCTTTTGCGTCATCAGGACGGAGGCTTCTTCGAGCACGGGGGTGGTATCCTGCTTGGCCCGGCCGATATGTCTGCGCATCTCATCGCATGTTTGGTTCAGCGTGGAAATCACCGCTCCGATCCGACTCAATTGCTGTTGGGAAGCTGTCAGTCAGTGCAACGGATCGTGGGCTTGTCTCTCTTACCTCCGCCACCTTGCCAAAGTCGCGAACGATCTCTGCATTGCAATCGACCACCTCCTTTTGCACATCTAGCCGCAGCTGGCGTCTGGTCTCCGCGGTGTTATGGATGCCCCGTAGACTCAAGGTCTCGAGGGCGTCGCGGATATCGGAGTCCGCGTACGAGGCCGACAGTACGCTCGTCAACCGGTTGGACAGCGCCGTTGATCGTTGTGAGGGAGGCGACAATGGCGACGACACCTCCGACGTCGGGAGAGACGTTCCGGTGCCATTGGTTGCTGTGGATGGAGGGAAATAGCTGGTCATTGCTTGTCGACGGGGGAGGTGGAGAGAGAAAGAAAGGACAGTTGATCCACGCTTGGTCGGAGAAAGTTGGCATTATTATCTTCTATCTTATCTTCAACAAAACAACATCCCCATGGACAGCCCGCTCGTCTCGCCCGCCAAAGCACGTCAGGCTGCTATCCAAGCCAAGGACTGGGCCTATGTGAATTCTTGGCTGGGCCGCCACTATGCGCCCAAGCTGGTCCCCCAATTCGAGCGCAACGCAGACACCCTCCGCGTCCTGTTAACCCTGGCCGCCGCCAATGACGCGGCCGACGAGGAAGCCACTCTCCAGCACCGGGCGCGCGAAGAAGTCGTGGACGCATTCAGACGCCAGGAAGGGGCAGACAAGAATGACCTGCACGAGCAGCAAAAGAATGCCCTCCTCGACGAGGTGGAACTGTGTCTCGACGACAAGGGCCAACGCGATCTAGACGATCTCGCCGACTCAGCTATCATCCTGGGGAATACATTGGATCCAGCAGTAGGGGACGTGGGCCAGTCAATCGCCGAGCTCACAGTCGAGGAATTCGAAACCCAAACCCAGCTCGCCAAGGTCGAAACACTACACAAATACCTCGAGCGAGAACTCGCGCGTCTCCGCCAGGAACTGGACGAGCTGCGCACCGACTCAGCATACGAAGCCCCATCAAATATCCAGGGAATGACTACGGACTGGGCACGAGGCACGAAAATGCTGACGGCCAAGGTCGGCGAGTACCAGGACCGCATAGCGTCGCTGGAGCGAAACCAGCCGCAGGGCCCGACGATTGATGAAGTGATGGTCGACGAGGACGGTGTCATTCGTCTCCGCGAGATGGTCAAGGCGTTGGAGGGCCGCGTGCGCGCGTTCCATGACTTGCCCAAGGATGTGCCCGGGGCGCGGGCGCGGTATAAGCAGCTGGAGCGCGAGCTGGGCCAGTTGATGCGGCAGCGCGATTCGATGTTTGGCAGTCTTGTTGAGCGGTGATGAAGGAAAGATCATGTTACTACGAAAGATATACAATATAGAATTTACGAAAAGCAAGTTCCAAGTTGTTTGAGTGTTTCATTCACAATACTATTGGTACCTAATCACAGGAAAAAAAGAGGCGTGGTATCGTACACTCCTTCGCGAATCATGACAGTCCGAAAGAAAGAGAAGAATTGGGGAGCTTATTTCTCCATGCCGAGGGCATTCTTGACCTTGTCACCACTGGAGAGAGAAGTCAGTCACAGCTACAACGTACTCAGTCAGATTTATCAACGTACATGGAACCGGTGGCACCGCCGTGGGCCTCGTTGTCGCTGGCGCGCTGGGTCTTGTCGAAGGTCTCCTGGGCACCACCCTTGCTCTTGTCGGTCTGGGCACCGCGGGTGAGGCGGTCGGTGGTGTCGGTGAAAGTCTCCTTGACCTTGTCCTGAGTGGACTTGGTGGAGTCGGGAGTGATCTCCTCCTTGGCCTCTGTGGGTTGGGCGGTTAGTCCTGAGTACTCCAGAAGATACCACAGATAGATGACATACTAGTGCTGAAGTCCTTGCGACCGGCGTCAGACATGATGATGATTGGTAGTGGAAAAAGTTGGTTGAAGTTGGAAGTGGTTCTTGGAGAATGAGATGATAGATGAGGATGGTGGATGTAGAAGTGAAGAGCGATGGGTAGCACACAACACCTTTATATAGGCCGTTTCCAGACATGACGTGATGAACAAGTTTAGCTGTATACTCCAACATTCTGGTTAACCTTGGTTGTAGCCACACCAATCATGAGCTGTGGCGGCACCATGACGTACATGGTGTGACCTGGATCGGGGAATCGTGGAGGATCATCCGGATCCCTGGTCCAGATGCTTGGGTGGATATGATGGCGATGACCCGATGCTGCATGCAAAAGAAGGCCATTGCCACGCTGAAAACAGGATGACCGAGTGAATGCCTACTTGCTGCTCTAGACTTTAGCACCGCCATCCTTGGCTTTTCGATCGGGAAACCCCCATCAGGGATGTAGGAGCCGATGCAGCCAGGATGGTGCAAGCTGCCATGTCCTTTTGGATAGTAGTAGATGGTATCTTATCTCTAGTAGCCTGACGTGATGCGCAACTGTTGACCCCAGTCACATGACCCGGTCCAACCCGTTCGCGCCACCGAGGAGTCACTCCTGTCTGGACACACATCACCACCATGCGGCTCCATCTCGCCCTGCTCACTGTCTGACCGTCTCTATGACGGGTTTTCCCACCTAATCGCCTCCCATCACCGTCAATGCCGCCACCTGGCCCCGCCGAAACAACCTCCAACTGGGACTTCTCGGCGGTGCTGGACTTGCTCAACTCACCCGCCTTCACTGGCTGCTCGGCTCCGCCTCGGCATTCCGATTCCCCGGGGTTCTCGTCATTCCCTGAGAGCCAGCCTGGCCATGATGTTGGTCCCCCCACGGCCGTCAAGCCTCAGCGGAGCTACCCAAAACTCGGTGACTTGGATACCGTCTGGGAGTTTTTGAATCAGACCGATGCCACCACCCAACCTTGTCTAGATGAGCAGGGACCTGCTCCTGCGGTCACCATCCTTCAACGGCCTTCCAGCAACCATGCCTCCGGCGATGACTCCCACGCGAAGCCATCATCCGCGTCTCGTCCCGTCTCAAAAACGGCAAAGCCTCGAGTCTCCAAGGACACAGTCTCTGGTTCCTCGTCACATTCAGCCACCCGGCCTGAAGCGATCACTATTCTAAAGCGGGCTTCCGACAGCAAACCCATCAAACAGGATGCCTCCGTGTCATCACACCCTCCGCGAACTCCTCCGAAAGCGATCCCTCTAGCTGGCTCCTCCGACGACACCTCAAAAGTCACGTCGAAGACGCGAGCCGGTAGGAAAGGGACCAACACCACAAACTGCAATGAAATTATATCCTCAGAAAGCAGTGCCGAAGTAGATTCGGACTCTAGCACTGTCGTTTTCGACCGCCCTCTCACCAAGAAACATGGAGTGCTAGCGTTTGTCCCGGCCCAGGTGGGCACACCGGACGCAAAGCATACGGCCTCCGATACACCACCCTCTTCATACGATGACCCAGACTCATCCTTGAACTTTGACTCCTCCGGAACAATCCGAGTTCGACCCGTTGCGTACAAATCGATGACGGAACGGAGGATCGGGCTGATGACGAAGCTGCTCAAGGGATTCCCCGATTATGCCAAATTGGTGTCCCAGGTCGGACGGTCTGCAAGCCCCAGCAAGAAAAGTGCCGAGTCACGCCCGATCCATGTCTTCGTCGACATGTCCAACGTACGTTTCGAGCTTCCCGCCTGCGTTTCCCGCTAACACACCCTTCAAGATTATGGTAGGATTCCACGATTCGGTAAAAGCATCGCGGAATATCCCCATCGCCACTCGCATCCGGCGCGTGCACATGTCCTTCGCCAACCTCTCTTTAATCCTGGAACGGGGCCGTCCCGTATCCAAACGAGTGCTCGTCGGGTCTGATCGACTGCCTTCCATCAACGAGGCCGCAACCCTCGGCTACGAAGCCAACATTCTCAATCGTGTCCACAAGGCCAAGCAACCAAGCACCCGCCCGTCCAAGCCCCGCAAGGTAGTCTCCAGTGGACCTGAAATGGCCACTACCGCTGGAGAGCGATGGGTCGAGCAAGGCGTGGACGAAATTCTACACCTGAAGATCCTGGAGAGCCTGCTGGACACGGACGAGCCGGCGACGATCGTGCTGGCATCGGGCGATGCGGCGGAGGCTGAGTTTTCCGGTGGCTTTATGCGTATGGTGGAGCGCGCGCTGCAGCGCGGCTGGGTCGTGGAGCTGGTTAGCTTCTCGCAGGTCACGAGCAATGCGTATCGAAGGAAGGAGTTCCGGGCGAAATGGGGAAGTCGCTTTCGTCTGGTGGAGTTGGATGGGTATATTGAGGAGCTGTTTGACTAGTAGGAAGCTTTAACAAATACCTTTTCAAGGTCCTTCAACAATATATCTATACCGTCCTGTAGTTGTCTGTTAAACGCAGTTATAGTTGCTCCCACGTCATTGGCGGAAGAGACCCGCCCGCCACTGCTGCCTCAGATCCATCGTCCAACATTCATCCCGTTTATTTAAGCAGCTTCTCCCGCCTACATTTTTTGTTCTCGCTTGCATTGTATCTTTCTATCGGCCTTTGCTGGTCTGTCCTCGAGCTCGATTCGAGACCGTAGGGCGCAGGGTCCACTCAGATCATTTCTTCACTGTGCGGCAATCTCTCACCGCGGAGGAACTGAGCTCCGCCGGCCTCACAGCTGTCACCGTGAGCTCAAAGCCACAATCCAATCTCCGTCTGGAACGCAAACTAAGCATCCGGGATATACGATCGTTCGCGACTATGGCGCAGTTCGCAGACCAGGACTTCTTCGGCGGGGCGATTCGCGGCGTGGTGCCGCAGGGCTGGATCGATGGCAGGTCAGTATACCATGGCAATCCAGCCATTCATACCTCTCCGCAGGTCTTCCAAATATGACTCCCAAACTAACACCGCGCAGCACCCTCCGCGAAGTCCCAGATCACCAAGAGCTTTTCCTCTCACCAACCACACTCTCCACCCTAATCATCGAGATCAACCAGCGTGTCCCGCGCGACGACGCCCTGAGCCTTCTCCCCATGCTAGACCATCAGCAACCACCACTCGGCGGCTCCAGCACCTCCAACACGGTATCTACCGAAACAATCGACCAAGCCGCGGCGCTGTACCATCTCCACGACATATGTGAAGAGGACGACACGATGCAGGTCGTCACCCCGCCGCAGCGGGCACATCTCCCTCGTCTGTCGCCTTCTTCTTCTCCATCCTCTTCATTTCCCGCCTACAAAGGCGTAGTCTCATTTACCACGCCCGCGCGCCAACGACCTGGCGGGCGCGTCCCGAGCTCCGTGGACGGCGCGTCTCTCAACGGCGAGACGAATAATCTGCCGCAGACATCAAGGCTGACGTGCCACTATCTAGTTGTGCGGCTGGAGCCGCAAGCTACGGACCTGGTGGTTTTCTTGAATGTGCCACACGAGGAGTTCGATACGAGTGGTGATCCTAGGGGATTGTCGAGGGAGGAGGTTGTTGCTGAGGACTTGATTGAGACTCTGGTGCAGAAGCTGGAGGTTTGTGATTGGGGGCTTTTCGTTTAGGTTGGATCCGAAGTGAACTCTCTTGGGATATTGAATGGGCTGGAAGGGAAGACAAGGATAGGAAACAGGGATTGGAGCGTGCTTAACTAAATACATGAAGATAGATCTACTAGGTAACGAATAATATAACCAGAATCAAATCAATCAACAGTATATTTCACAGACTCAGTCAGATCTCCCCGTTATGTACAGATATTATTCCACAGACTCTGTCCTAGGCGACTACAAAGTCACCTGTCCCAGCTCCCTAGTCACATCGTCCATAGCCTTCTTCTGCGGAGAGGCAGAACCAGTATTCTTCCGCGGCGACATATTCCTCGGCTTCGGCTTAATCTGCACCAAGTGACCAGCACAGGCACCGCAGCGCGAGCGAGTGGTATCGATACTCTTCGAGTGTCGACCATAGGTAACTGTACAGCCCTCACAAGCCCAGACATACTTCCAATCAATCTTGTAGTTGTGCTTCGTCGTGACGGTGATCCTACCCCCATAAACAGGGTGATCCGACATGACATCCGAGCACTTGCGGCCCCATTGCTTGAAGCTCGGGCCGTGCGGGTTCTTGTGCACATTCGAGATCATGTAGTTGGCCAGATGGCAGTACTCGTGCGCGAGAGTGTTGAGCAGTCGGTCCTCATTGTCGATGATCCGCTCGGCCAGCTCGATCATGGCGTGATGTCTGTATCGTGGGCCATCGGACTCTGAAGACGAGGACGAGGAGGGCCGCATACGCTCGCCTCTCCAGTGCGCGCGGCCAGCGGTTGTCTTGAGGGTTTTGCTCCAGACGATCTTCACCCCGCCAGTCGACTCGGCCAGTCGACGGACTCCGCCATCGGCAGCCGCATCGTCCAGCACGCAGAGGAAGTCCTCCGCCAGCCTACCTTTCTTCGTATCAAATGACATCCGGCGTGCGCGCAGCTCTCGTTTCCGCTCTGCTTCTGCTTTCTTCAATGCGGTCTTGCTGGGCGTCTTGGTAGCCTTGATAGGCGACATGTCGGTCACTGGCTCGATGCTGATGATGCTCGAGTTTTTGGAGTTGTCTTGTTCATCTTCGCCGTCGGACTCTTCGAACTCCTGCAGCAGTTCGATGACGGAGCATCCGGAGAACTTCTCCTTGCGCGGAGAGTGCTGGTCGATCCAATCGTTGGTTTCCTCTTGGTCCCAGAAGGCATCGACGCTCTCGCGGTGGGGAGTTGGCGGGATGCGGGTTCTGTCTTTGGTTGGCGAACGCAGGCGGACTCGTGGTGGAGTGGTTGGTGGTGTCTGCGGTTTGGCAGTTTGGGACTGCGATGAGGATTCAAGTTCGGATCCTGATCTAATATGGGTTAGCATTGAGCTATTGGCTGGAGGGGTGTTGACAGTTCTCATACCCGCATATCTCGGATTCCAGTTGAGAGACAGTGTCATTGTCCCCATGCAAGCTCAACTGGTTCAGCTCTGGGGAGATGTCGGAGGTCTTGTGAAACAGGCGCCTGGATTTGGTGGTAGGTTCGGAGGGTGTTTTGGTAGGTTCTTGGGTAGAGGGTTCCAGGCGCAGCGAAGAAGGCTTGCTAAGAGCCTTGCGTAGCTCGGTGTCTGGATCAGGTCTTTTCCCTCGGATGAGCTTCCTCCGTGTACTTTGGGGGGCTGGTGATGGTGGCGGCGATGGCGTCCTCTCATCTTCGTCTGTCTCAGAGTCGGATGTCTCATGGTAGCTGATTTCATCGTTGTCGCTGACAACGAAGTCATCTAGCGAGTTGGAGCTGGTGTCGGCAGCATCCTCTTCTTCTGTTTCGCTTTCTGGTTGGTGTTGTTGTCTACGGGACGGGATACTCCTTGCTGGTGTCCGCGCTGTATTTCGTCGCCGTGGAACGGGTGAGGGTTCATCCTCTGTGAGGTCATTCTCCTTGTCATAGTCGTCTGTTTCCACCTTGTCCGACTGCCTTTGGCGCGGTCTCTGTGACAGAGGGAGCAGCAGCGAATTGACCTGCGCAGTCTTGAGGGTTCGCGCCTTGGGTCGCTTTGTTGGTGAACTGTCGTTGTGTCCGCTCTCGCCAACCCGGTCACTATCTGTGAAAATATCGAATTCACTGCTGGAACTAGTGTTTTGTCTTCTGGACGACACGGTTTGCGATCGACGGGGGGTGCTATCTTTGGCGTCGGCTCGCTTGGTGGCAATTCGCTTTTGGGAAGTGAGGCTATCGTCCGACGCAAGAGATGTCCGCTCCGTCAGGGCTGATCTCCTTTTGGAGTCATTGCTCTTTTGAGCTTTTGCTGTGTTGAGTCTCGCCATCTTTCAGGCTGCTGTTGTCCCGGTTCCCGGAGGGGAAGATAACGCAGATTGGCCCTGGTAGTTAATTATCGGCTGGAACGGGCAAAAATGAAGTAAGCTTATGCTTGGATGGCAGAGTTTCTGTCCCGGACGGCATTTCGCTATCGTTGGCGTGGGGGAACTGTCAACGCCGGGCTGTTGGCAGGGCAACCACCGTTTACAAGCTCTTAAATGTGTTCCACCAACCCAGCATAGGAAGATAATGAATTGTTTGAAAATGAGATATTGCTGGAGTAAACAACGAAAACGCACAGTAAATATTGTAATGACAAATAATCCCAATCGTGTTGTGGTTTGATATATATTTGTTATCTTCCCCTGTAAACATCGATCCACGTATTCTCATCTATGAAGAGAACCACACAGAGAAAATTAAAATAAGTATGTTTAATCTCTCCCTTCCCCTATAATTCATCCCGAGTTTATCTCTCATACAATCAGGATGAAACACAGGCACAAAAGAAAGGAACGCTGGACCTCACGCAGGGGCCTAAAGGTGTGGGCTGCCCGAAGCCCAAACCATAACACTACCTACCCGGGCTGTTCATGTAGAATTGTTAAGATTAATGACCATTTGAAGTAGTTTACGTGGCTAGCCTTTTAATATTAAATAATTGATTGCTTGTACTCATGTGGCTGACAAGTCCGTGTAGACGCTCCCAATATATATAAAACTCATGAGATGCAAAAATAACATCACCAGACTCCAGTCTGTGCGGTGCATTTACTACGGAACTACGGACAGTATATATACTCGATACAGCCTTAATCAGGAATCCAACTAGCAGTGACCACCACATGCTCCAACAGCCAGCCTGCACCATGAAAATACAAGTAGAACACAACGACAACCTCCACACATCATTGGACATACACCGCAGCAAGCCATCCAGTGACGTCTTTTCACCAGCGTGGTAAATGTCAGCATTCTGGAACCTGATCACCACGAAACACTGCACGAAAATTCGGAACGAAGAAGCTTGGCTGTGATCTGGCTCGGGGTTAAGGTGACGGTGTTGCAGTGTCGAGATTTCTTGGTATCTGACAGTGTATTCTACGAGAGTACATAGTCCCATGGTTAAGCGCGCAGATGCCCCGATACAATTGGTGGAAAGTGGATGGATGCCCTGACACACCGAGCCTCAATTCACTCCTATGCTTCACTCTTATACCGCCACTGTTGAACAAACACGCGATACAAAACAAGAAGAGGGTCGATCGTAGATCCGCACTCCAGATTAGGTATCATCATCAGAGAACGAGAGGCATAGCTCCGGCACGCAATCTCGCGAAGAGCCTAACCGCGGCCGCGCAATGATCGCATTGGATCTCAACGGAATGGCCATCTCCGAAGAATGCAACGTGAATCAGACTCCGAAAGCCCCCGTCGACTCTCGGATTGAGGCTCGGCTTCCTCGATTGTGTTGTGTCCATGGTGGAGGGTCGATCATTCCGTCGCCATGCCGCCAGGATCGACGGTCCCCTTGCCTCCCGCTGCATATAGGGGGGTGCTTGGTCGCTGCATCTTCTACCCGTCAGGGCCGGAAGGCGGATATGTACATTATTGTAGTTTGACATATACATAGCACATACGGACGGATCTTATCTGAGATGGCCGCGATGTCTCACACCGGGGTTGTCATTTTCCGCCGGTCGAAAGTCACATGTGTGTCTTGCCCTGTGTTGGCAGAAGCTACTCCAGCACTCAGTACAGGATCCGAGTCAAAAAAATGTGAGGTGGTCCTCCAGTTGCAACAGTACATATCACCACCCCTTGCCCCACGGCCCACAATCCCCCTGATTTTGAGCCGGGCAAGCTTGATCCCCCTGAAGGAGTCGGATCTGCACAGGAGTGCGCCGAGGCTTAGTTATCATCAGACCGGTGGAGATTAAAATAATCCGTTGACGGTGAGAATCAGGTTTTATGCAGTACAGTGTAAATTCAAGGGTTGGTCGCCCTCGTGTGCTGGTGGATGATGACATGGCGTCGGCATCCTTGCCATGGCGGTCATGGTGGCCGACGCGGCCGCGCCAACGACGCGGAGATCAACGGGAATAGCCAGTCCAACGGTTCAGCCACAGTCTGCGGACGCCATGGCAGATCGGGTTGGTGAGTTACCGGGTATTGAAAAGTGTGGCGGGCTAGCCCAATAAATCTGCTACACTAGGGCTAGCCCAGGCGACTCGAGACCCTGCGAGCAGGTTATTTTTGGCCCATCAGCCTCTCGTCTTTTTCCTGCCTAGAGATGAGAAAAGGACGACTAGTTACTGTCTCTCTCGCCCCCTGTTCCTGTATCCGATGTATCGTTCCTGCGCCTGCACGTCGGGCTGCCGGAGAAAACGCACGCTCGTTTGTGCCTGAAGTGCGCGTACGTAGACGATCCACAGTCACAGCTGGTCAGAGGCTTCTCGAACACAAGGAAAAAAAAAAAACCATCGTCAGATATCCACCGGCAACGACCGGACCCAACGGGTGGAGATCTCCTGGCGAGGCTTGTTGATTATTACCCGTGTTGATACACACCAAACGAGTACACCGTCTGTACCAGAGACATTTGTGGGATCGCACCAGTCAGCCACACGACAAGACAGATCCAAAGTGTAAGCTGGCCAATGGGAGGCAGTGAGTGGGCAAGACACTGGGCAGTGCCCACTAGTGGTGTGCGCACTAGCGCAACAGCAGTGTATTACTTTGTGGCGAATCCAGAAGGAACAGAGCAAGGAAAGGTGTCGATCGCATGGATAAGAAAAGAACAACCCCGGCGTTGTGTGGTCCCGGGCGGAGAGCCATGGGTCGAGGGTGGAAGAACCGCCCGAGAGTGCTTTTTGTTGAGAGGGGACAGTGGACACCGGCACACAGTAGTCACATCCATACGGTCGCAGGGACTTGGACAGTCGAGGTTGCCACTGGGCGAGGAATGAAAAACAATCGATAACCAGCGCAACCATCCCTGCATACTTGTTTCCGAAGAATAACAACACCAAAACACCGCGTATGGTACCGGTGGGGCTCGTTTCAGGGGAAGCAAGCAATGGGTACACAGACCAAAGTAACGAGTACTACAGCGCAGATAGTTGGACTGCGACAGTCGGACGGAGAGGAAATCCAGTGGTCGAGAGAGAGCGAGCCGTGTAGTTGGCCGTGGCCGCGGTTGAGGCCGTGGAGGAGGCCGAGAGGGAAAGTGGTGTGGCATTCGGTATTGCGTATGGTATGGGCCTGACCGTAAATTAGCGTGTCCTGATCCCAAAATAACCGCAATTTCACTTTCCCCCTTCCTCCCATCCTTCTCTTTTTCAGACTACTCTCGTTTTTGTGGTTTCGTTGCTGGAGGATTTTGTTTGTCTGGTGCAAGTCGCACAAGTCGCGATTGCCTCGTTCTTCTTCCACTCGTTACCCTCCCACTCCAGTACACGCTCTCTCTCTTTCCCCCCAACAACTCCTCCTGGGATCTTTGTCGTCGATTCGCGTTCGTTTCGTTTGGAGAAGAATCTTCCGTCTGTGTCGATGATCTGATTTCCCGACGTGCCTGGACGACGATAGTTTCTTGCATGGGTCGCGCTTGAGGTAAGATTCGTTGGCTGTTGGCGAGCGAGACAGGCGGCGGGGCTGAACAGCTGGATTGACTTGTTTCTAGAGCTCTTACCAGCGACTTGATTGCGATTCCTCCGCCATGTCGGGCTACGCAGGAGGCCACTATGAGGAGGGCTACGGCCATCCTCAGGGTGACGCCTACTACGGCGATGAACATGGACAGGCGTATTATGACCATAACGACTATGGCGATGGCTATTATGACGCAGGGTATGGACCAGACCACACCTGAGCGAGCCCCAAAATGCTGACAGCGCGCAGTGGCTACGCCGACCAAGGGTATGCCGATGGTGGATACTATGAAGGAGGAGCAGGTCATCAGCAGGAAGGCTACTACGGTGATCAGTACTACGACCAAGCCGGATACGACCAAGCCGCTCACGGCCAAGCTCGGCGTGGACACGACTCGGAGGAGGATTCGGAGACCTTCAGCGACTTCACCATGAGATCGGACACGGCCCGTGCCGCGGGTATGGACTACTATGGCCGTGGCGATGAACGGTACAACAGCTACGGCTACGCAGACAGCCAGTACGGTGGCTATGGCTACCGCCCGCCTTCATCTCAGATCTCCTACGGTGCCAATCGGTCCTCTGGCGCGTCGACTCCCATATACGGAATGGAGTACGGCAATGCTCTTCCGGCTGGTCAACGTTCGCGTGAGCCTTACCCAGCATGGACCTCGGACGCCCAGATCCCGCTTTCCAAGGAGGAGATCGAGGATATCTTTCTCGACCTGGTGAACAAGTTTGGTTTCCAGCGTGACAGCATGCGCAACATGTACGACCATTTCATGACCCTGCTCGACTCGCGGGCCTCCCGCATGACTCCGAACCAGGCCTTGCTCTCCCTCCATGCCGACTACATCGGCGGTGAGAACGCCAACTACCGACGGTGGTATTTCGCTGCACACCTGGATCTCGACGATGCCGTTGGGTTTGCCAACATGAAACTCGGTAAGGCTGATCGAAAAACGAGGAAGGCGCGCAAGGCCGCCAAGAAGGCAGCTCAACGGAACCCGGAAAATGAAGAGGAAACCCTGGAGGCCCTGGAGGGCGATAACAGTTTGGAGGCGGCCGAGTACCGCTGGAAGTCGCGCATGAACCGGATGTCTCAGCACGATCGCGCTCGCCAATTGGCTCTGTACCTCATGATTTGGGGCGAGGCCAACCAGGTGCGATTCCTGCCAGAATGCCTCTGTTTCATCTTCAAGTGCGCCGACGACTTCTACTCGACTCCCGAGTGCCAGAACCGGGTGGAGCCGGTCGAAGAGTTCACCTACCTGAACCAGATCATCACCCCGCTCTACCAGTATTGCCGTGACCAGGGATACGAGATCATGGATGGCAAGTACGTGCGTCGTGAGCGGGATCACAACAACGTCATTGGTTACGACGACATGAACCAGCTCTTCTGGTACCCTGAGGGTATCGAGCGCATCAGCTTCGAAGACAAGACGCGTCTCGTCGACGTGCCCCCTGCCGAACGATGGCTGAAGCTGAAGGACGTGGTCTGGAAGAAGGCTTTCTTTAAGACCTACAAGGAGACTCGTTCCTGGTTCCACCTAATCACCAACTTCAATCGTATCTGGGTCATCCACCTGGGTGCTTTCTGGTTCTTCACGGCCTACAACTCCCCCACTCTATATGTCGGCAACTATTCCCAGCAGATGAACAACCAGCCAGAGTCGTACAAGTTCCTGGCGGCTGTCGGATTTGGTGGTGCCCTCGTCTCCTTTATCCAGATTCTCGCCACGATCTGTGAGTGGCTCTATGTCCCGCGACGCTGGGCGGGTGCCCAGCACCTGCGCAAGCGTTTCATGTTCTTGCTCGCTGTCTTCCTTGCCAACCTTGTCCCCGGCGTGTTCATTTTCGGCTTTCTCAAATTGTTGAAGAACCCGAAGATCATCAAGCCGGTCGGCCTGGCTGTCGGCATTGTTCACTTTGTTCTCGCACTGTTTACCTTTGCTTTCTTCTCGATCCAGCCATTGGGTGGTCTTTTCGGAAGCTACATGAAGAAGAAGGGCCGCCAGTATGTCGCCAGTCAGACGTTCACTGCCAGTTTCCCCCGGCTGAACGGTAATGACATGTGGATGTCGTACGGATTATGGGTGTGTGTTTTTGGTGCCAAACTGGCGGAGTCCTACTTCTTCTTGACTCTGTCATTCAAGGACCCAATTCGCATTTTGTCGCCCATGCAGATCCACGCGTGTACCGGTGTGCAGTTCATCAAGAATGCGCTCTGCCACAAGCAGCCGCAGATTCTGCTTGGTCTCATGTTCTTCATGGACTTGACTCTCTTCTTCCTCGACAGCTATCTCTGGTACATTATCTGCAACACGATCTTCTCTGTTGCCCGGTCATTCTACCTAGGTGTTTCGATCTGGTCCCCGTGGCGCAACATCTTCTCTCGTCTGCCCAAGCGTATCTACTCCAAGGTGCTGGCGACGACCGACATGGAAATCAAGTACAAGCCCAAGGTCCTGATTTCGCAGGTCTGGAACGCAATCATCATCTCCATGTACCGCGAGCACTTGTTGGCGATTGATCATGTCCAGAAGCTGCTTTACCACCAGGTTCCCTCCGAGCAAGAAGGCAAGCGCACTCTTCGTGCGCCGACATTCTTTGTTTCCCAGGAAGACCAGTCCTTCAAGACTGAATTTTTCCCTGCTGGCAGTGAAGCCGAGCGCCGAATTTCGTTCTTTGCTCAGTCGCTTTCTACTCCCATGCCCGAGCCTCTCCCGGTTGATAACATGCCCACCTTCAGCGTCCTCATTCCGCATTATAGCGAGAAGATCTTGCTGTCTCTCCGCGAGATCATCCGTGAGGACGAGCCATATTCTCGTGTCACTCTTCTAGAATACCTGAAGCAGCTCCATCCTCACGAGTGGGATTGTTTCGTCAAGGACACCAAGATTCTAGCTGACGAAACTTCACAATTCAATGGTGAATACGAGAAAACCGAGAAGGATGCTGCCAAGAGCAAGATCGACGATCTGCCCTTCTACTGCATTGGCTTCAAGTCTGCCGCACCTGAGTACACACTGCGTACCCGTATCTGGGCTTCGCTTCGCTCCCAGACCCTGTACAGGACTATCTCCGGCTTCATGAACTACAGCCGTGCCATCAAGTTGCTTTACCGGGTTGAGAACCCGGAAGTCGTTCAGATGTTTGGTGGCAACTCCGAGAAGCTCGAACGTGAGCTGGAGCGGATGGCCCGTCGCAAATTCCGCATCTGCGTTTCCATGCAGCGCTACGCCAAGTTCAACAAGGAAGAGCATGAGAACACCGAGTTCCTTCTGCGCGCGTATCCGGATCTGCAGATTGCCTACCTGGATGAGGAGCCCCCAATGACCGAAGAAGAGGAGCCTCGCCTGTACTCGGCCCTTATTGATGGTCACTGTGAACTTCTCGACAACGGTATGCGGAAACCCAAGTTTAGGATCCAGCTCTCCGGCAATCCTATTCTGGGAGACGGCAAGTCGGACAACCAGAATCACGCAATCATCTTCTACCGCGGTGAATACATCCAGTTGATCGACGCCAACCAGGACAACTACCTTGAAGAATGCTTGAAGATTCGCAGCGTCTTGGCCGAGTTTGAAGAGTTGACCACAGACAATGTGTCGCCTTACACACCTGGTATCCCCACTCCTGACTCCCACCCGGTGGCCATTCTCGGTGCGCGTGAGTACATTTTCTCTGAGAATGTTGGCGTTCTCGGTGATGTTGCGGCCGGAAAAGAACAAACGTTCGGTACTCTGTTCGCGCGTACCCTGGCTCAGATTGGCGGCAAACTGCACTACGGACATCCTGATTTCCTGAACGGTGTTTTCATGACCACCCGAGGCGGTGTTTCCAAGGCCCAGAAGGGATTGCACCTGAACGAGGATATCTACGCTGGTATGAACGCCCTCCTGCGTGGAGGCCGCATCAAGCACTGCGAGTACTTCCAGTGCGGTAAGGGTCGTGATCTTGGGTTTGGATCTATCCTGAACTTCACAACCAAGATCGGTACCGGTATGGGTGAACAGATGTTGTCCCGAGAGTATTACTACCTTGGTACCCAATTGCCCCTGGATCGTTTCCTGTCATTCTACTATGCCCACCCTGGCTTCCACATCAACAACATGTTCATCATGCTTTCCGTGAAGATGTTCATGATCGTTCTCATCAACTTGGGCGCTCTGAAGCACGAAACCATTACTTGCAACTTCAACCCCGACAAGCCGATCACTGATCCTCTCGTGCCGACTCTTTGCGCTGATCTTGTACCGGTCATCAACTGGGTTAATCGTTGTGTTATTTCGATCTTCATCGTGTTCTTCATCTCGTTCGTGCCTCTGGCTGTGCAGGAATTGACTGAGAGGGGAGTGTGGCGCATGGCTACTCGCTTGGCCAAGCACTTTGGTTCCTTCTCTTTCATGTTCGAAGTGTTCGTGTGCCAGATTTACGCTCATGCTGTGCACCAGAACCTTTCCTTTGGTGGAGCCCGCTACATCGGTACTGGTCGTGGGTTTGCGACTGCCCGTATTCCGTTCGGCGTTTTGTACTCCCGATTCGCTGGTCCATCGATCTATGCCGGTGCCCGTCTTCTTCTGATGCTGCTGTTCGCTACCTCAACCGTGTGGACCCCTGCCCTGATTTGGTTCTGGGTTTCTCTGCTGGCCCTGTGCATCTCACCCTTCCTTTTCAACCCCCACCAGTTTGCCTGGCACGACTTCTTCATTGACTATCGGGATTACCTTCGGTGGCTCTCTCGTGGCAACTCTCGTTCTCATGCCTCGTCCTGGATTGGATTCTGCCGCTTGTCTCGTACCCGGATTACGGGTTATAAGCGCAAAGTACTGGGTGTTCCCTCAGAGAAAGGCTCTGGTGATGTGCCCCGCGCTCACATCACGAACATCTTCTTCAGTGAAGTCATCGTGCCCCTTATTCTCGTGGCGGTGACCTTGATTCCGTACTTGTACATCAACTCCCGGACCATGTTCTCGGATGACCCGGCATATGCTACGGACGCCATCGCTCGCATTTTAATCGTTGCCCTTGCCCCCGTTGCTGTGAATGCTGGTGCGGCCGGCCTGTTCTTCGGCCTGGCTTGCTGCATGGGACCTATCTTCAGCATGTGCTGCAAGAAATTCGGCTCCGTGCTTGCCGCCATCGCGCACGCCATCGCTGTGATCCTCCTGCTCGTCGTCTTCGAGGTCATGTTTGTCCTCGAATCTTTCTCGTGGGCACGGTGCCTGTCCGGCATGATTGCTGCGGCTGCCATCCAGCGTTTCATCTACAAGCTGATCGTTTCTCTCGCCTTAACCCGAGAATTCAAGCACGACCAGGCAAACATTGCTTGGTGGACTGGCAAATGGTACAACATGGGTTGGCACTCTCTGTCGCAGCCCGGCCGTGAGTTCCTTTGCAAGATCACCGAGATGGGCTACTTCTCTCTCGATTTCATCCTGGGTCATGTCCTCTTGTTCTTCATGCTGCCGGCTCTCTGCATTCCTTATGTCGACAAGTTCCACTCCGTCCTTCTGTTCTGGCTGCGTCCAAGGTAAGAATTTGCCTGCCCCTCCCCCGCCTTTTCTTTATCGGGCCCTGCTAACTCGGTTCCTAGCCGTCAAATTCGGCCCCCTATCTATTCCCTGAAGCAGTCCAAGCTTCGCAAGAGACGAGTGATCCGTTTTGCCATCCTCTACTTCGTGATGCTCTTCGTGTTCCTCGTTGTCATTGTGGCCCCTCTTGTTCTGGGTCGCATGAGCGCGAGCCAAGGCTTCCTCAAGCAACTGCGGGACGCCGTTGGCATGAATGCAAACGGCTTTATGTCCGGTACTAAAATGGGTCTTCTGCAGCCCCTTGACGCCGGACTCAATGATACCGTGTCTTATTACACCGGCAGTGGCCTTCCGAAAGGATTTCACTCAAGTGCCCTCCCAACGCCATGGCCCACAAAGCCTTCAAATCCATACACCGTCTTGCGTGTGTAATCATGATGCACTTCGCATTCCCGTGCAACTCACGTGGATTGTTTTGTACAAAGGTTTTCTGTTTTTAAAGTCTGCTGCATCGCTTGAAGTTCCTGGCGCCCAACATGTTGATCTTAATGAATGGCTTCCGTCTCTCTGGTTTTGTGTGGAATAACTGTATGCGCGGAGTGGTTGCGTGTTGTCATCATCCTCTCTCACCTTCGTTTCATGTTTCATTTCGCTTGTTTTTCTTTCTCCCAGACCTACCAGAATTCAAATCGCATTGCTTTTCTACATGTCATCAGTGTTCTTTCGTAGGGGCCTTTTTTCCTCCGTAAAGTATGGCAGATGCATAGTAATCAGATCCTCACGTGACCGTCTTGTTACGTCTCGACCGGACCACCCGCTTTCCCACGCCTCGTCCTCCCGCACTCCCTGCTGGTCAATTCCTCACCCATTCGACGTTCTCGACGCCCGTGTGGACAGCTTCTGGAGCGTACAGTTGCGCCACACGCGCCTAAAATCTCATCCGACATGGACCTCCACGAGACCCAACGTCTCCTTTCCGAGTACCTGCAGGAACTCGCCAACCTCTTCCATCGCGTTCCCGGGTCTGCCATTTTCCTCCGCTACGTGAAATCCAGCTATCAGGATGACCCAATTCGGTCAGCCGTGGAATTGTTTCTGTTCCTCTTCGCTGTCCGCTATCTGCTGGCACCGAAATACTCCACCAAACCTGGCGTCGTGCCCTTGTCCGATGATGAGATTGATGACCTGGTGGATGACTGGGCCCCAGAACCCTTAGTCGGCGAACCATCGGCTTTAGAAGAGATGGAGATTGAGAAACGCGTGGTTATTGTGGGGTAAGCATTTCTCTTTCTCTCCTTTTGACACTCACTAGAAAGAAGCCTTTGCTGACAACGGATTTGCAGCCCCGTCGGACCCAAATCCAAGCTGTCCAACGGCCGTACCGTGACCAATCTCGGGTCCTTCAATTTCTATAACTTCAACACGAACGAGGCCCTCAAGGAAAAAGCAATCCAGACTCTCCGGAACTACGGGGTGGGCGCCTGCGGTCCTCGCGGCTTCTACGGTAATCAGGATGTCCATATGAAGACGGAGGCAGATGTGGCGTCGCACCTCGGCACTGCGGCGTGCATCATCTACTCCCAGGCTTTCTCGACCATCTCCAGCGTGATCCCATCGTTCTCAAAGCGGGGGTGATATCATCGTCGCCGATAAGGGGGTCAACTTTGCAATTCGGAAGGGTATTCAGATCTCACGGAGTATGGTGCGTTGGTACGAGCATAATGATATGGAGGATCTAGAGCGCGTGCTTGCCAAGGTTACCAAGGAGCAGGCGCGGAAGCCTCTTACTCGAAGATTCATTATAACGGAGGGTCTTTTCGAGTCCTATGGTGATATGGCGGATCTGCCCAAGATTGTATGTGATGCCGTGGTTCTGTGGCAATGTTTGATGGATGGGTGCTGACCTTTTTTTTTGGACAGATTGAATTGAAGCTTAAGTACAAATTCCGCCTGATCCTGGATGAGACGTGGTCATTTGGTGTCCTGGGCCGCACCGGCCGTGGCATCACGGAGCATCAGAACGTCGATGCAGCCGAAGTTGATATGATCGTTGGCTCGTTGGCTGGACCCCTCGTTGCTGGCGGAGGCTTCTGTGCTGGCTCCGAGGAAATTGTTCACCACCAGCGTATTTCTGCCGCGGCATACACGTTCTCCGCGGCACTTCCAGCACTGCTCTCGACCACTGCCAGTGCCACCATCAACATCCTCCAGAACAGCCCTGAACTCATTTCGCAACTGCGGGACCTTGTCAAGGCGATGCGGGCTCAGCTGGACCCCCGGAGTGACTGGATGTATTGCACCAGCTCTCCAGAGAACCCGCTGGTCATCCTGGTCCTCAAGCCTGAGGTGGTAGCTGGCAAGAGACTGTCGGTGGACGATCAGCAATTCTTGCTCCAAGATATCGTTGACGAGTGCCTCGCGAATGGTATTCTCATCTCCCGTCTGAAGATGCTCCATGACAACGTCCAGCCGAAACAGGTCGTCCCTCCCGCATTGAAGGTCTGCGTGACGACCGGGCTTACCAAGAAGGAGATTGAAAAGGCCGGGACGATTATTCGGCACGCTATCACTAAAGTCATGACCAAGAGGAAATGAACTCTTCTTTGGCCATCGATTGGCCTTTGATGACTGTTTCACGCTCTTCTCTATGACCACAGCGCCCCGAGCCTCCAGACCTATGCCCTAATCCTCCTTCAACCTGTGTATTCTTACTTTTCTTTTCTGTCGATATGCATCTCCATAGCATGCTTTGTACACAGCACTGCTCCGTTTTCTTCGTGAGCGGCTATACCTGTGCTTGGCCCTAGATTTTTTAATACTATTCTTTGATTCCTTGGCTCGGGTCCAAGGGATGGCTATTTCCGTTGTTGGCTTTCATTCACACGAGATGCGGACTGTTGAATCTTGGTCCCCTTTCCATTCAAGGCCTGGTTCCCTCTCTGTCACATGCAGCGAGTGCGAATTCCTATGGCTGGCAATTCCCCTATGTACTCGATTGCAAGGGAGACCATTCCATGCAAGCCTTCAATCCAGAACGTGCAGTTCACACCTCCTTCTTGGTCCTTTGCATACTTCCCATCTGATTCTTGTCGCAGAAGAATTGTATAGCCCTATCACCAGCATTCTACCTCATAGGCTAGTGTGGTCTCCCGGCGACTAGCCAGGAATGAGCCATACCATCTACCTACATAACGCTAGCCAACATTCCTCGGCCTCCGTCCAGGCATATAGTATTAACCGCTGAAACAAATTGCTTTCCCTTCCCAGCAGCGCGGGCAAGGGCCATGATATTCTCGACGTTGAAGGTCTCAAGGGGGGGGGGGGGGGGGGGGCACGCCTCGATCTGGGCCGGCCACCTTCCTCTCATTCCACATGTCCCTTCAGATCGGGATGCACAGCTATGCTTGCGAATCGATCACCCTTGTTTACCACCAACGCTACGGTTTCACACGCAGCTCGGTGGCGTTCTGTGGGCCCATGATCGGAGAATGGGGTGGATGCAATAATAATTGATCATATTAATGCTCGAGATCTGCATTCGAGGTTGCTTCGTCAAGGGAATGAATGACTTCACGGTCACTTCTACCCTCTAGTATTGTGTCGGTTCTGATTCAGTAGCGGATGCTTTTCGGAAGGGATTGAGCGATTCACTCACTCTGCTGCAATGAGGCGTCTCTCGCAGGCACTCGTTGCCTTGTTGCTTGCTTGGGGCGTGCGAGGAGAGGCTGATGGTGAGAGCTACACTTTTATTTCGGTTTACTTGGCTAACCTATGTATAGCTAGTTACCAGCGCCAGGGAAGCCTGCAGCACAATGCACAGCTGAACGTCGTCCGCGAGGTAGTTGTTCGGGTAGATCAGAATGGAGACCCCATCGACGTGGGAACGAACCACCACGCCGCTGAGACTTTGGCGGCAGCAGAGCAAAGAAAAGTTAGTAAAGTATGTAAATAAGTTTCTGAATGACTGTTGACCTCGATCTTCAAAGCCGGCTGCAATTGTCCCATCAGTGCCGCCGATGTCAAATCCCGACTCGGATATCTCCAAGCCACCACATCCAGCCGTGCAACATGATACAGATATCACAGCTCGTACTGCTCCTATCCATGTCAATAAGAAGTCTACGCCTCATCCTCCCCCTCACCAACATCCACATGCGCCGGCCCATCCTCGTCCTCGGGAGCAGCGTCAATTCGGGATCTCTTACTCACCCTACAAACCCGATCGAAGCTGCAAGACCCAAGAGGAGGTGAACAAGGACTTCGACCGACTATCGCACCACTCATTCATCCGCATCTACGGCACGGACTGCGACCAAACGAAGACAGTAACCACCGCCGCACGACTGCATCACATGCGCGTCTTCGCAGGAGTCTACGATCTAACGGACTTTCCCCAAAGCCTGGACCCTATAATCGAAGCAGCAACCCTCCCGAACGGGAAGAAGGACTGGTCGATATTCCACACGATAGCAATCGGCAACGAGCTCATCAACGGCGGCCGTAGTTCCCCTGCTAACGTCGTGAGCGCAGTGAATACGGCGCGGTCGATCTTGCGGAAGCAGGGATACAAGGGCCCCGTCGTCACCGTCGACACATTCTCCGTGCTCCTACAGCATCCGGAGTTATGCATCGCGTCCGACTATTGCGCCGCGAATTGCCATGCTTTCTTCGATGCAACGCAGCACGCGTCCGACGCGGGCGCTTATGTACTCAGGCAGATGCACAGCGTTTCGGCCGCTGCTGGTGGGAAGCGCACGATGATCACTGAGTCTGGCTGGCCTCATGCTGGAAGAGCCAACGGTGCCGCTATCCCTTCACCTCAGAACCAGCGCGTTGCTGTCGCTAGTCTGAGGCGCAGTTTCGCGCACCAGCCTGAAGATCTGGTGCTCTTTACTGCTTTTGATGATCTTTGGAAGCCCGATAACCAGTGGACTTTTGATGCGGAGAAATTTTGGGGGATTCATTAGGTAGGAAGGGACTTGGTCAGAGAAGATGGCCAAAACGGTAAGGGAGGAAGGAGTACTAGGGCTGGTGGTGGTCATCGTGTTTTCTCTCCATTGATCAGTGCTGTAGATAGTTTTCCTTTCTCTCTTAACACAGTTCCGAGAAAAGATAGTATACGTATCAATGAGCATGAGCGAGTTAGTGTTTGATTTTCAAAATGAACCACAGCTAGGACAGCAGGAACAGATCTATTAGAGGTATTTTGTATAGTACAGTGATGCTAAAAGATGACAATATAATACATGAATCTTATGTGCAGAGGAGAGAGAAGATCACACCTTCAGCTTCCTCATCCAACCATCTCGCCCAGCGAGTTCCTGAAAAGCCTTTTGGTTCTGGGGCATGCGCCACCAAGAATCTTTGCCGGGCTTCGCCAGATCCCGCTTGCGCTGGTGGAGAATTCCGTGCAGTAGTTGGCGGGTCTTTGGGCTGGGCTTGAGGCCCATGATATCCATTTCATGTACAAGCGACACCACGGCGGGGAGATTGTTACAGTCAGTCCAATAGAAGGAGATCATTTCGTCGTGCAGGTCGGTGGAGGAGCCGAGGACGGCGGAGGTGCGGCCCTGTGCTTTGATAGTGGATCGGAATTGACTGACCAGTGGCGATGAAGGGAAGTGGGTGTTTAGAAGGCGGAAGGCTATGAGGAGAGTTCTGGGGTACAACGCTGCCACGACTGGTCCTGCGGGGACCGGGTCAGGGATGTCAAGCGGCCCAGACGAGGGGTTGGGAGACAATGTCATGGCTCCGTCGTGCGACAAGGGCGAGTCGCTGTCGGCGAATGGTGTTGCCGGTGCATCGTCGCCTAGATGACCCAGCATCGTGAAAATGCGCTCTTTGCAAACATCCCAAACCCCCATGTCGCCCTTGCCCTCCTCAATGGCCAAGAAAAGAGCCGTTTCGATCTTGGTTGCCTCCCGCTTCACAACCAGCTCAATGGCGTCTTTCACCGAGAGCATGATGTCTGCACTGTTGCCCGTCACGGGATCAGCGAAGCCGAGGTCACTGTACGTCAGACCGTCCAGCATGGGCTCCAAATCCTCATCCGGTAGCTCTGATGTCTCCACAGACGATGACACTTCCTTACCCCACGAGCGTCGGGGCTCTGACTCGGCTGCTTTCTTTGGTTTTGCTTCAAATTTCTTCATTAGCCGGCGGTCACTGAGTATGGACTCAAACATCACACTGAGGTGTGAGAGATCGCCAGGGCCCTCTTCGCTTGACTTCGCATTCTTTTGCGGTTGCTTCTTTTGGTCTATCTCGCCCGCACTTGGTGTAATACCAAGCTGTCCCAGCAGTTTCCCAAATGTGTCCCTTTCTTGGGGAGTCATAGCCTTCAGCGGTCTCGGTCCAGCTGACTCCTTTCGGCGTCGCGATGTTTTGGGTGATTGTGCAGCCGCGCGCTGGTGGATGTAGCTTTTTCGTCTCGGCGCTGGAGAGTCTTCAGCACCATCTTGGCTTTGGCCATCCTTGGTCACAGAGGGATCAGTATCCGGTCCATTATCCTTCTCGGAGGCCCCGTCGTTTGTCGAGTAAGGACGACGAAGTCGGCAACTGAGCGGCTGCTGATACGAAGGTGATATCGATGTTGCCAGCGTACGGGTCTGGTAGAGAAACGCAGCAGGGGAATGTAGAGTGGCAGAGATCCAGATCCTGCGTGAGACGCTCATGCCCGCGAGTGCCAGGCGTTTGTTGAAGTGAAGAAAACATAGAAGCCGAAATGACGCGGAATTGAAAAAAGGCTAGTCACGTGTCCACGCGCGGAGGCCTCGCGTGTTTAGAGACGGGCGCGATCTAACTGGGCTAACACATCCTCCTTTCTTTCAGCATACTCAACCATAACATGGAGGGTCTTTCGGAATTTGAGAAGCAGAGGCTGGCGAACATCGCTGAACGCGATGCTCTGCTCAAAAAGCTGAACCTGGAGGCGCAGTCTTCTGGTCTCTTTCCGACCCCCGTCAAAGATGGCGCCGTCAAGGCGAAGAGGAAGCCGACGCCGAAGCGGGTGAAGACGGAGGAGGAGACCCCCCTACCGTTGCGCAAGTCCTCGCGTATCCGTGGTCTCAAGGCTGATAGTGAAGTGGCCAAACGGAAGGCCGAAGAGGAGTACGAGATTGCAAAGGAAGTTGAACGTGCCAAAAAGATTCGCAGGACGGACTCATTTACAATGAGCGATATGTTCGTGGCTGGCCAGAAGTTGAGCGGTGACAGTCTCATCGGTGTGGATATGCTCACCAAGCCAGTTGCAACACCATACAAGAGGACCTTTTGCGCCGACGACATTTCGAAGACTACAGACAAAGACCTCAAGGCTTTGAGAGAGGAGATGAGTGGGCTAAAGCTGTGGGAGGCTTGGGATCCGCAACGTGCGTACTGGGGTTCTATATTCATGAGAAGTTACAATTACTGACAAGGAACCCTACTACAGGAATCAAAATCACGCCCGAAAGAGTTTACTCCATGACATTCCACCCCTCCGAGGGGAAGCCTCTCATCTTCGCCGGGGACAAGCTGGGCCATCTGGGAATTCTGGATGCGTCACAAGAGAAGCCAATTTCTGGTGTCAAGGTCGAGGATGATGAAGACGAAGAGGACGACGACCCGGATCCCGTCTTGATGACCATCAAACCGCACACTCGAACGATCAGTTCGATGATGATCCATCCCTCAAAGCCTACTCACCTCTATACGGCTAGCTACGACAGCTCGATCCGCGAGATGGATCTGAACAAGACAGAATCGGTGGAAAAGTACGGGCCAAAGTCAACCAAGATCGACGAGGCTCTTTCCGGTATCGACATGGCCCTCGATGATCCAAACACCTTGTACTGGACCACCCTGGAAGGCATTTTCGGGCGCTACGACACTCGCACCCCTCTAAGTGATAACACGGTGACTCGGTGGTCCCTCTCAGAGAAGAAAATCGGCGGGTTCACTCTCTACCCCTCGGACCCGCACTACGTCGCAACAGCCAGTCTAGATCGGACCATGCGGGTGTGGGATCTGCGCAACCTGTCGACGGATGAACCATCGCCCCTCGCCATGCATGAGAACCGGTTGTCCGTGTCGCATGCAGCATTCAACGGCGCCGGCCAAATCGCAACCTCGTCGTACGACGACACGCTGAAGATCTACGACCTCGGCGCCAAGGGCATCTCATCCTGGGCGCAAGGTCACACGCTCGCAGATGATTTCCGCCCAGACACCATCGTGAAACACAACTGCCAGACCGGCCGCTGGGTAACAATGTATGTACAGTACCTATCTCCCTCCCTACCTAACGTTGTCTTCCCAGCCAGCCCTAACTTGTGTCCAGTCTTCGGCCTCAATGGCAACTCAACCCGCAATCTCGCATTCAACGCTTCTGCATCGGAAATATGAACCGCTTCGTGGATATCTACAGCGCGTCCGGCGACCAGCTCGCTCAGCTGGGCGGCGAGGGCATCACCGCTGTCCCGGCCGTTGCGGTCTTCCACCGCAGCCAGAACTGGGTTGTTGGCGGTACGGCGAGCGGTAAGGTGTGTCTGTGGATGTAGGAGGTTGAACAAATGCATGTTACTATTCTGTGATTTTCTTGTCAGGTAGCGGTGGTCTTGCTGTGCTATCTCTCCTTAGAGGAGGGCTGTGTGGCCGCTCAACCTTTCCAGCCTTTTGAGAAATGCTGATTTTCACCTGGTATGTGGCTTGTTGAATTGACTCACGGGGGAAACAGTCCTCATGTGTCCTAAACTGGTTTCCCTCGTCTGGTTGAGCATCTTCTCATGGTCGGTTTAGGGTTTGGCGTTGCAGGAGGTCGATTAACTATGGGGTTTGGCTGGCTTTTTTTCTGTCTTTATTTCACCATTGTTTGCGACAATAATGTACAGCGAACGAGGAAATTCGTAGCCCCGCTATTTTACTGTTTCAAAGAACATTGTTTTCGACGAGGATCACCAATCCATTCCATCTATCCAAGAGAAGCATAGCTAAATGGAAACATTATTTACAAGCTACAACCACCCACAATGTCTCACCAACGCGGACAGAAAGAAACCAGCTCTTTTCCCCTCCTCCTACCAAGATTCCAATCCGTTTCATATTGAGTTTTGGGACTTTTTGATTTTGTTTCCTAGCGGGAAGTGTATAAGAAGAGAAACGGGCGAAAACCATGACGCAGGAACAAGAGCAGGAACAAAGAAGGGAATGGGAGAAGGGTATCAACACCGTGACACATGCTTTCACAGAAAGATAAGAAAGGAAAGATAACTAAAAAAGGAACTTCAACAACTGCCAGGTACGATGGTATGATAGGAAGGAGTTGGTGGGATGAAATTGTGGAGAGCATATACGTTCAACTCATGGACACATTGGGCAGCAGCGGAGAGGAGGAGAGAAGAGGAAAAGAGACAGGAGATGTGCCACGGGGAAGACGACGAGGAAGAAACGAAATCAGAATTCATTGCGCAGATCCTCATGGGAATGCTGAGACTGATCTCGCTCCTTTGCCTTGCGTCTCGACGGGGCAGGCACAAAGTCGAAGAAGCGATGCTTGGCTGACGACGTCTCCTTCGTCACGCTGGATCTGCGGTGCTTGGAGCCCTCATGATACTCGAGGGAGTACGTCGATGAATTCTTCGAGCTGCCTGTGGAATCGCGCGCATCGAGTCGCGGGATGGCGAAGGGCATACGGTTCTGGTCCCAGTTTGCGGACGATGAGCTTGGGGGTGTGTCCTCTTCTGCGTAATCGGTTGATCGACGGGGCATTGCAGGCCGAGTAGCAAAGTAGCCGGTTGAGTTGCGGTGACCACTTCCCGATATAGAGGCCGACCCGGAAACAACTGATCCGGCGACTGCGACTTCTGCGGGTGGGGTGGCTGGCTTGCTGTTTGATTCATCGTAAAATGTGGCTGCGCGCTCCATGGAATCCACGAGCTCTTCCCACTTGATCTCGAGGTTTCCGGTTGGCCGCTCTGCTTGCTCGGCGTGGCTCAGACACTCCTTCGTGCGTTGGTGTAGCTCCATGGCCATTTCGTGGAACTTGTGAAGGGCGGAATCCACCTCTTCGAGATTAGGGTTCCTGCTTGGGACCACGTCAAGCCAGACACGGATCAAGTTTGCGAAGCTTCGGGCATGGTCGATCAGGAATGGAAGGCTGGGGAACCCTTCGCGAGAGGTGGGCGGCAATCGTCCCAGGATCTGAACGGGAGTGGTGTAGGACGGCGTGACCATGGGAGTTGGCCTGTCTGCGGGAATGGCGCAGATCTGATCGACGAATTGCTTGAACTCGGAGCGACTGCCAGCCAGAAATTTATTCATGGGCTCCATCCACGGTTCTTTATTGCCGAATGTGGTCATATTGGCCAATCCCTGCAAGGCCTTAGCAACTAGGGTAAGGGAACGTTGAGCACGAGGACGGGGATGATCTGTAAACGATTGTTAGTGCATGTATGGAATTAACAAGCGCTCTATGCATACCTTTGAGAAGCCCGAAAAGTTTTGGGTTGAGAATAGCCGGGCAGAAGAACCGTAGAAAGAGGAAACCAGAAACGCTGCTGTAAGTGACCGTTCGCAGGAAGTCACCGTAACGATCATCTGCGCATGCCCTCACATGTCGGAAAATGAGTCTCAGCTCCGGAGGACACCGAGATGTAGATGCGGCGATGGATTTCCAAACGCTTGTGGTGAGAGCTATCAGGTTTCGCCAGTTGCGGTCAAGATCCTCGCTGCGAGGCACGCGGGCCGGGTCGACTTCACACTCCGGGTCACTTTCGTCAATATCGCGCAGTCGCTCTCCAATCGTCTCTTCCAGATACTCCTTGCCCAGTCGCCGCATGTGCAGATCCAGTGCCTTGGTTAGAAGCGAATTTCCGCGAAAAAGAAGATTGGCCTCAACGGTGGCCGTTCTCCCCATATCTCTCACCAGGACCTCGCGGTCCGAGCTGCCTTCCCGAGAGTCGTTGGAGTGTATTCTTGTCGTATACCTCAGTCGGCTGGCGGTGGATTCCTTCTGAACACCATCAATCTCGTCTTCGATCAATGCCGAGATCCATTCCACTGTCTGTCCGGAAACCTGGAAGATGTTCAAGAGCATCTCGGATAGCTGGTTGAGCTCCTGTGACATCATCTGCGCCATGTTGATGGTGAGACCGTTCGTGAAAGCATGCAGCAACTCGGACATCGGGGCGTATTCGCTGGACATTAGAACAACCGTCTCCTCAACCCGGGCCTTCATGAACATTTCTCCCACGGCCTGGTCATGGTCATCCAGAATCGGCCACCACTTCTCGGTGTCCACGCCGGCTTCCAAGTCCTCCAGTCGTAGGTCGACCCTTCCATATGTGGTGTCGTTGGTAGAAATCTCAATGTCATCCAAGCGTACCGCGTTAACTTCCTGACTGGATGAGTAGGAGCCATGTGCGATGAGATTCCAGTCTTTCTGTGTTGGGTTGAGGGTCTTGACCAAAATCGAAGCCTGGGATAACACGGGTGGCAGATCATTGAATAGAAAATCTTCCCGCCAGAAGGGGTTCATTGTGCGATATTTGACAGCAGTTTTGGCTCTAATTTCTCCATCGAGAAGAACCTCTGTATAATAGTCGTTGATCACCGAGGCTGGAGGGGGGTGGCTGTGAGATCGCGACTGCTTCCGACTCCGGGGAGGGTCATCCTCTTGAGACCGAAACAATTTCGCTTCCGTAAGTCGTAAGGTAAGTGTCCTCTCGATTCGGAACATATCTGCAGATGGAGGCTTTTCGGAAGTCTCGGCTTCTGGTGTCTTTTCCGGATCCTCCTCGACTGAGGCCGGGGATTCTGGTCCATAGAGCTCGGGGATCGTGAACGCACGCAGAAGCACAAACCAGACCTCGAACAGGACACGACTCTCTAGAGCGAGGTATATCGGGCGCATTGATGAATCGGACACGGGATGGGCAGCGTATTGAGGATGGATCGAAATGCAGAATTCATCATCGAGGACCGACGCATCCAGCTGCTGGATGGAACAGCGCGATAATTGCGACAGCTGAATGCATGCCACAAGAGAGACATCTGACTCCGTGTACAGCTTGAAATAACCATTCTCTTGCAGCGTGCAGCTGACCTTCTGCCATGACTGGGAAAGTGCTCTTTGCTGCCGATAGGTGGACACGCGCCGCAAAGATGCCGGTCGAGCTCCGGAGGCGGAAGGTTTGTCCCACAGGAGCATCTTACCGACTTTGATGATGGCCGCCTCCTTGGTCACAGAGCTCTCCGAGTTACGACGCTCGGGCACTCGACGGTCCCCGATGTGGACCGCTTGGGGCTTGGTCATCTTGTTCTGAACACCCTTGGGTCGGATGGGTTGCCAGCAAAGTAGAGCAGCAAGCCAGGAGTCGAAAGTCTCATTGATATGGGGTCGTAGTTGAATTCCGAGTCCCGAAGTGAAGGTGTGGACGCTCAGGTAGGTGGTCTGAAGTTCGGGGTCAAATAATGTTCGCACCTTGCAACCCCGAAGGTCGGGAATTAGTGTTTTGGCCAAAGCTGGTTCCCCCTTTGCCTGATAGATCAAGCTTCCGGTAGCGACGTTGATGGCACAGTATCCAGAAGTCCAGGAGCTCGTCGAGGCTATCCGAAAGGAGAGGATCCCATGCATCCTTCCACACGTGGTCTTCATGAGTTGGAGGATTTTCGCGGCATCGGCACTTGAGAGGGGGGAGGAGAAGGCAGCGTGATTGTGTGCGACGCCGGTCATGGGAGGTCTGCTCAGTCGCTGCCGCATGGCAGTTTCGTAGCTTGACGCTTGTATCGAGGGGAAGCCGATGGATGAATCCTCCGGCGCTTTGGGCTGAGAAGAGCTGGCCGTATTGACCGATCCGATTCGCGCCCGGGGTTTGAACGCGTGGGGAGAGATGTCGCTTCGTTGCTCCTCCAAAGTGGTCGTTCGCGACCGAGCGCGCTGGCTCTTGCCTGTTCCCGGGGTATCCTCTTCGCTCTGCATGTTATAGTAGTTATTGACGGCCCTCGACCGGATCGTGCTGCGTGGTGAAGGTGCACCGCTGCCCATGAAGAACTCCGCGTCGGATTTGGGGGAATGGTTGCCCGGATCGGAGCTCGGCGCTTCGGGCGTGACGGTTCGAATGCTGGCTTCTCGAAAGCTATCGGGATAGACTATGCCGTGTCGATCCCTCGAGGATGACTTTTTGCTGGGTCGTCGTTCTATGGGGCGGCTATATGCTCCTTGATGCAAGGAGCTCCGCTTGAATCCGCCCTCTTTCTCTTTCTCTGGCTCCATTCTTGCTCCGGCGAAGACTCCTCAAACGGCGATGTAAGAGTGAGACAACGTGGTCAAGCACGCGAGTGGGCCAGTCAACAAAGAGAAAGGTCAAGGAAGGACGCTCCAAAGCACACCCAGTACAACCTCCCTCAGAACAGTTGGCGAGATGATGGATGTATCCTCTGAGAACCAGTGTGTGCTGCGCTGAGATATTTCAGCAATTGAGAGTTGCTTTTGTCTGAAAGGCGGCTAGGAGTTCGCATGGAGTCGGGCGAAAAGATGGGGATTGGGGTCGCACATTCGGTCGCGGGGCGGGGAGGCGAGGGGCGAGCGGTACAAAGGGAGATGCAGGTCACCGTTTCGGTTGTGCGGGCGATGCAGGAGCTAGCGGTGAGAGTCCAATCCGTCGGCTAGCCGATAGCGCTGATGCCGCTGGGCGAGGTGCAAGTCAGTAGGGGTCCGAGGGAGCAGGCTCAGGAGGGCAGGGTGATATCATTATTGGTTCGAGCGGATGGATGGATGGATAAATGGATGTTGGAGGAAGAGGGGGGATGAGAGAGGAGGGAGACCACAACAAACGTACCTTCATCAGTCTCTTTTGAAATTGGGGGTTGAGATGATTATCGGGGGGAAAAGATGTTGTTTGTGTGTGCTGGGTAAGTGTGATGTGCAGATCCCCCGGCAAGTGATGCCCCTCCTCAGAACCGGATTCGGGGGGTGTGGATGAGGCGAGCCAGGGTGAGAATGGGGTGAATCAAGTGGGAAAGTGGTTGGGAATGAGGTGGCCCGGCGATGTTGAGAGACAGAAGTGAAGAGGGGGGGGAGAGATGAAGATGAAGAGGAGGGGGAAGTGGATTAAGCATTACTCCTACGACTTCCACCACCCAAAATCATCATCGTGAACCCTAAGCAGCGAACTCACTCACTCACTGAATACGATGTGCAGGGATCATTACATTATTATTAGCAACAGCTAGCGGCCCGTCCGTCCCTCCATTCATATGGAGGAGGTAAACGGTAGGGAACCCGCGACAAGGCGCAAAGTTAGCCTGGCTGTAAGGTACAAAGGACCCGACGCGCAGGGAGAACCTCTCTCCATGCTGCCTTTACCGAAACTGCCGACGCCAATCGGCCGGCGTGGCACCCTAAAAGTGACGGACTGGACGGACTCTGCAGACCATCGCGCTATGATACCTCCCCAGCCGTTAGTCGTCGCTAGCGGCAGGACCGGCGTGCGGTCCCCCTTTTCTGGCCAGAATCAATCAGCAGCAGCAGCAGCAGCATCGTCATCATCCTAATCTCCGACCAGTCTATCTATGGTGCGACGGGCGGGAATCCCTTTCGCCCGGTTGGGTGGAGCTAGCTCGGAGGCATTGGGAGACACCGCCCGCTGAAGCATGCTGCCCGGTCGCTCCTCCTCCGACTAAGCCATGATGAGCATTGTCGATCAGACCCTCTTTTTGCCCGACAGCGCGCTAGACGAGGGACCTAGGAGGGCGATGAGCATCGGATTGGGGGGTGGGAGGAGTCTGGATCGGGAATCAGTGACCGAGCCCAAGGAAGAAATCATATCATATCATGCAAACAGCAACATGAATCAGTTGGTGGATCGTTGGGCGATCATCAACTTGCGGGGAGGCGGTAAACTTAGGTAATGCCTCAGGCTTCTGTTTATGTCATGGATCCTCAATCACGCGGTTCATCCACTCCGGTCACCTGTCGTTTCTCCCTCACCACCCTGCCTGACTTGTCTCTGCTGGAGGATTTCAACGCTGCTCCTGCACCATCCCTCTCGCATGGCCCTTGGCTGATTTGCTCCACCGCTTCGGCTGACCAGCCGCTGCGATGAGTACGGTGCCGAACGACAACTCAAGATGATGTCCTCCAATGTACTCTCCCGCTTCTTGCCTCCGACGGGTTCGCCCTCCGTCTACGAGACTATTCGCCAGCACGACGCCGGTTCGGACTCCTCCGATGTCGAAGAGCGTGCGGGGATGGTCGATCAACAGGATCATTTCAGTGACGAGGAGCTGGAAGATGCGTTGGCCAATGCGAGGGACAGCGAGATCGCCAGTCCCAACGATGCTCTGCTCGGCCAGCAGCGCTCACGCAAAGGTAAAGCACCCGAAGAGACGGGCCCTCGATCACGCTGGCGCAAGCCCTCTCGTCCCCGCTGGATGACGCGTGAATCATCGACCGGATACGAGCTGGACGAGCAGGATGAGGATGTCCCCCAGTCTCTACTGGTGGAAGGACCTCTTGACGAGGATCAGCAGCTGAACCTACCTCCACCCCCATCCCATAATCTCTCCGACGCCTCCACATCTCCAAACCCGAGACCATCACCACAACCCAGCCGGCCACCCTGGGAAGCAGGAGAACCTCGTCAACCACCCGATCTCGAAAGTAGTCGCCCCCCGTGGAGATGGTCGACCGCGCAATACCCGAGCCTGGCCAATGCCGACCCCAAAGAGAAGGCTATGTGGCGGTGGGCCAACGTCGAGGATCTGGACAACTTTATTAAGGAAGTCTATATTTACTTTTTGGGAAATGGAATCTGGTCCATCTTCCTGGGCCGAGCCCTCAACCTTTTGTATGTTTCCTTTGTGTTTGGTTTGTTTTTTTTTTTGGGTCGGAGAATTGGGATGACTGACAGTCAAATCTTAGGACCTTTGCTTTTGTAGTGGGTTTCACGACATTTCTCTCTAACTGTATCGACTACCACAACGTCCGAGGGAGCAAAACCTTGAACGATATCCTCGTGCCGAGATGTACCGCCAAGATGTCCGGGACGTCCACGTTCCTGTTGTGGCTGTTCAGTTTCTTTTGGGTCGGAAAGACCTTCCAGTACCTACTGGATATTCGTCGGTTGAAGCACATGCACGACTTTTACTTTCATCTTCTCGGAATTTCCGATGCGGAAATTCAGACCATCTCCTGGCAGGAAGTGGTCAGCCGCTTGATGACGCTGAGAGACGCCAACCCGGCCACCGCGGGTGCGGTCTCTGCCAAACACCGAAGGTTCCTGGGGAGTCAGTCGAAGCAACGAATGGATGCCCATGATATTGCCAACCGTTTGATGCGCAAGGAAAACTACATGATCGCCTTGGTCAATAAGAACATCTTGGATCTCACATTACCAATCCCATTTCTCAAGAACCGACAGTTATTCTCCCGAACTTTGGAGTGGAATCTCAACCTGTGCATCATGGACTATGTGTTCAACGAGCAAGGCCAGGTGCGGACGCTGTTTCTCAAAGACACCCATCGGCGAGCCTTGAGCGACGGACTGCGACGACGCTTTATTTTCGCTGGCATCATGAATATATTTATGGCTCCCTTCATCGTGGTCTACTTCATGATGCACTACTTTTTCCGATATTTCAACGAGTTCAAGAAGAACCCAGCCGAAATCGGCTCGCGCCAATACACGCCGCTGGCAGAGTGGAAGTTTCGCGAGTTCAACGAGCTGTGGCATCTATTCGAGCGGCGGATTAACATGTCATATCCGTTCGCCAGCCGCTACGTTGATCAATTTCCCAAGGATAAAACGGTCCAAGCTGCGCGCTTCGTTGCCTTTATCTCTGGTGCGTTGGCTTCGGTGCTTGCCCTCGCCTCGATTGTGGACCCGGAACTATTCCTTGGGTTCGAGATCTCTCCTGACCGGACCGTCCTCTTCTATCTTGGCATCTTTGGTTCTATCTGGGCTTTTGCCCGGGGATTGGCGCCCGAAGAAACCGACGTCTTTGACCCCGAGTTTGCACTCCTAGAACTGATCGACTTTACACATTACTTCCCATCGAGTTGGAAGGGCCGCCTGCACAGCGATGACGTGCGTAAGGACTTTGCAGTGTTATATCAACTGAAGATTGTCATCTTCCTAGAAGAGATTCTGAGCATGATCTTTACACCGTTCGTGCTGTGGTTCAGCCTGCCTAAATGCAGCGACCGTTTGATTGACTTCTTCCGCGAATTCACCGTGCACGTCGATGGGGTGGGATATCTCTGTTCGTTTGCCGTCTTCGACTTCAAGAAGGGCACGAACGTGATGTCGCAGGGTCGGCGCAACTCCGGGAAGCAGGACCTGCGTGCAGACTATTTTTCGACCAAGGATGGCAAGATGCTCGCTTCCTACTATGGCTTCTTGGATCACTACGGCACCAATCATCCACCCTCCGCTGCTCGGCGACTTTTCCATCCGCCGCCCACGCTCCCTGCCCTCGGGTCACCCTCTGTTGCTGAGATGGGCGGCACTCCCGATCGATTTGAGCGACCGTTGGCATCCGCTCCGTTCGGTCCGCAGTCGATCGTCGGCGCCTCGAGGCTGCGGCCAGCAGCGACGACAGGCGACCATCGCTCTCCCGTGCCCTCTCTTCTCCTAGATCCACATCACCAGCCATCAGCCTCTGGATTCCGCCCCGCGGGCCGTTCCGCGCCCTACCAGCGCTCTCGCCTGTCACGATCGCGACATCCCATGGCAGATCCTATTGAAGATGACGGGACGCCCTCATCACAAGAAGCACACGATTCCAGCACGCGGCCGTCCGCCGCTGCAGCGGGAGCTTCTAGCGGCGGGGTCGGGACCGACGAGAGTAATCTGGGTGATTCGTGGCGCATGAATCCTCTTGGCAAGGAGGGAGACGACGAAGGCGAGAACATCGATGCCCTGGCTGGCGGCGCGGGCGTGCTGGGCTTGATCCAGCAGTTCCAGAAAGCTAACAGCGACGGCCGACGGACGGCGGGGGGAATATAGAGATACGTGTCTTGTGGCTCAGTCAGGTGTGTTACGGTGGGATCGGTGCGGCGTTTTGCTCCGCGAATGTACGACCTTGAAGGAGTTAGGGCAGACGCCACCGACTGCAGGGTCTAGTCGAACTCGTCGTACTCGGATCAGTGCCTCGATGCTGCTTTCTCAATAATCGGGTCGATCGCCGCAGCCTTGCTGATCGGCACTGATCGGGTGCCTTGCAACCATCCTGATAGTTCATATTTAGCAAATCCAGACCTCATGTCTGCCAAATAATAAGGATCGTTCATTCATAGTTCACAACTAATAATAAACAACCCACATGACTAACTCCGTCTCCACCGCCCGAGGTGGCAGCGACACCGCTCCTAGCGCAGCTCCGTCTTGGCCCCGACAACTCTTGGGGCGATTCTTTGCGAGGAGGGGACAAGTCTTGACTCGACCTAATAATAATTTACCCTTCTCCTGTCCTGTCACCACCATCCTTCCATCTATCCTTCCCACCTCTATCCGTTCATTTGATCTCTCCCTTTTTTCTCTCCCTCTTTCCTTCCTTCATTCCTCTATACGACGACCCGTCCCTCAACCCTCCCCCTGACGGGGTGCCCTCCGCCATGTTCCGCGCGCGCCGCTACCGAGTCCTTCTGATCTTCGCCGCGGCCTTTGTCATCGCCTTCTTGCATTTTGCAAGGTCGCGCGAATGGCCGGAGACTTCCTCGGTGCAGGGCGTGCCGGCTGTTGTCGATAATAGTATTCCTTACGTGCCGCCGAACTCGAATTTGGGGACTGCGCATGCGGCTGATGATGATCGGGTGTCTTCTGAGAAAACGGGGGGGTCGACGGGGAGCTCGGCTGATGGGTTCACGGGTGGTTCTACGAGCGGTTCCACTTTTGGCTCAACCGGTGGTTCTACTGGCGGGTCGACTGGGGGCTCAACTGGGGGCTCAACTGGGGGCTCAACTGGGGGCTCGATCGGTGGCTCTACAGGAGGTTCTACTTTTGGCTCAACCGGCGGCTCAACGACGCAGGACTCGACGCTGGACGCTGAGCCTGCTCCCAAGCTGCCAGGATTGACATCTGGAGGGGGGCCAACATCAGACAGCGGTACATCAGGGACGTCAGACAAATCGTCAAGCTCGGATAGCAGTTCACTGGCCGCGGAGAAAGCACCTGGATTTGGTGACAAGCTGCCGTCTTCGTCATCCTCCTCCTCATCCTCGTTGACAGGGACAGCAATTGGTAGCGACGCGCCGGGCGAGGAAATCGACAACGGCGGCACCGGCAGAAAGGAGGTGACGATCAAACCGGGCAAGGGACTGCCCAAGTCACAGTGGCGGTCCTTCGCAGAGAACTACCCCGTCTCCGCGAGCCAGATCATCAAGCTGCCGAAAGACGTCCCCAAGAAGCTGCCCAAACTGCAAGCCTCATTCAAAGACGAGTCCAGTTCCGACCAGCAGGAGCGCCTGCAGCAGCTCGGCTCGATCAGAGAAGCATTCAAACATGCCTGGGGCGGATACAAGAAAGTGGCTATGCACCATGACGAGGTCGGCCCTCTGTCAGAAACGGTTCACGATCCGTTTAATGGGTGGGGCGCGACGCTGGTCGATTCGCTGGACACGCTGTGGATCATGGATATGAAGGACGAGTTCTCCGAGGCAGTGGATGCTGTGAAGAGGATTGATTTCACCCGGTCTCCGAGAGACGATATCCCCGTCTTTGAGACCGTTATTCGATATCTGGGTGGCTTGCTGGGTGCCTATGATATCTCGGGCCAGCATTACGAGATCCTTCTCGACAAGGCCAAGGAGCTCGCGGAGATTCTCATTGGTGCGTTCGACACGCCGAATCGCATGCCTGTTCTCTATTACCGCTGGGCGCCGGAGCATGTCTCCAAGCGCCATCGGGCCAATGCCCACGTTGTCCTCGCTGAGATTGGGTCGCTGTCTCTCGAGTTTACTCGGTTGGCGCAGCTTACCAGGGATGACAGGTATTATGATGCGATTGCACGGATCACCAATGAGCTGGAAAAGATCCAGGACTCCACCACTATTCCCGGCCTGTGGCCCCTGCGTCTCAATGCACAGGGATGTGCCAACTATAAAACCTCAATGCCTTCCAGCAACGTTGGTTCCGCGATCAGCCAGTCGAATGACCAATCGTCCTCCTCTCAATCAAAGAGTTACAGCAACTCCGGGTCCAGCAGTTCTGGCTCTAGCAACGTGGGCTCCTCCAGCAATTCCGGCTCTAGCTACTCCGGTTCCACCAATTCCGGTAGCAACTTGGGCTCCAGCAATTCTGGCTCTAGCTACTCTGGTAGTAACGTGGGATCCAGCAACTCTGGCTCCGTCTACTCTCGAGATGCCTTTATCGAAGATGCTGAACGGGCCGCCGGTGCCAGTGCTGCCAATACTCTCACCGATCCTAAGGTTGACACAAAGGTCGCGACCAGCCAGACCCAATCATCCGAGGGTGAATGCAAGGACGGATTACTCTTGCCCCAAACCACGCGCGATAACAGCTACGGCCTGGGAGGTGCGTACGATTCGACCTACGAATACCTGCCCAAGGAGTTCTTGTTGTTGGGCGGCCTGAACGTGCAGTACGAGAAGATGTACAAGAAGGCGATGAGCGCCGCCCGGAACCATTTGCTCTTCAAGCCGATGGTCAAGGACGGGCGTGACCTCCGCTTCTTTGCCTCCACAATCGGGCTGGACCCCACGAAGAAAGCGACCCCTCGTTCAGCGGATCTCGTCTATGAAGGCAGTCACCTGTCCTGCTTCGCCGGCGGCATGATGGCTCTCGGTGCCAAAGCCTTCGATATCCAGGGTGACCTGGAGCTCGCGGGTAAACTGGCCGATGGCTGCGTATGGGCGTACGAATCGACCAAGACAGGAATCATGCCTGAGCAGTTCCGCCTGCTGCCCTGTGAGAAAGATGTGGCTTGCACATGGGACGAGAGCCGCTTCCAGTCAGGCGTGCAAAAGTGGGGAACTACTCAGGACTCGCACGCTCAGGCGCAGTTCCGTAGCGCGGAGAGCGAATACGGACAGCGTGTGAAATTGAACGAGGAGAGCGGTGTGGAGCGTACTGGAGAGGGTGGCATGGCCGTCCCGATGCCCATGCCAGGATCGTTGAATCCCCACGACGACCAGTCGTACAAGCGCGACGTGTTCGCAACGGGCCGACAAAATCCCTCCGAGAGCCACGATATTGACCCGTCTATCGATGACCGAGATACGCTTCGCGACACCTCTCGCGACAATATCCCCGACAGCAGTCGCAACCCACAAGTCATCTCCTCACAAGCGCAGGCCGAGAACGACCGCCGGCCAGCGGGCATGCTGCGGATCTCGTCGCCGCAGTATTTCCTGCGTCCCGAGGCGATCGAGTCCGTGTTCATCATGTACCGCACGACCGGTGACGACTACTGGCGCCGCAAGGGCTGGAAGATGTTCGAGGCGATCCAGAGGTATACGCGGACGGACTTGGCCAACGCGGCTATCAACGACGTCACGGCCGAGGAGCCCGTGCTCAAGGATACGATGGAGTCGTTCTGGCTGGCTGAGACGCTGAAATATTTCTACCTGCTCTTCAGCGACCCGAGTGTTGTGGATCTGGACCAATACGTTCTGTGAGTTCGGCCTTCTCACTATTTTTTTCCGTCCTATACTAACGAACTGTGATTGCAGAAACACCGAGGCGCATCCCTTCCAGCGCCCGATCTCGTAATCTTCTCTTTAATATGTCTTTCTTTTGCCCTTAAAAAGATATACGTCATGTACTGCATAGTCATACCAGGAAATCGCAATGTATATTTGTTCCATATTCTGTGGTTGTAGTGTAGGTCCATTCTTCCCCGCCTTCGCCTCTTCCCTCTTCTTCCTCCTCTCAACTCCAACAACCACCATCACTCTCCCTAACCTCTCCCTCAACCGGGCCGCCAGGACGGGATGACTGCTCGCACTCGCCACGTCCTCAGTCGCAGATCAAGCCCGGCGGGAAATGGAATCTGAGGTCTCGCTGGAGACCGAGCAGCAGTTCTGGGATGGTGAGTCTGCCTTGTCCACACCACCCTGCGCTGGAATCGCGCTCACTCAATTACCCAACATCCAGAACTCCAAGCGATAGTCTCCAAACCATGCGGCACTGAAGATCTTATTGATGACGCTCTGCGCGCTTATCTGGGTCTTACGACGCAGTACAAAGGTAGGTGAACCCCCCCCCCTCTCTTCCCTGCCTTCGGCCCGCAGGTGGGATTGCGCACAGACTAACTGGAAGATCGCGAAGATGAATACCTTAGTTCAGAGTATAATATCTCGCGCTGCTCCTACAAGCTCTTCGCGTCGAGCATTTTCGCCGCGCACGCCGATTATGTCCGCCGCCAGATTATCTACGGCCTCCTACAGGTAAATCTACCCTCCGGCATCCCGTCGCAAATGACTCTCACTCATTCATGTTGCTCTGCTGTAGGAAGATGACTCGAATACCCTACACTTAATTGCCTCATTCCTTCTCTTCGACGGTCGACAAAATGAACTAGCTTTCCAGATGATGAACGAGGAGGGTGTGTTCGCGCGTCTCCTCGAGCTGATACAGGCGCTACGCAGGGATGAGATGGACGGTGGAGCGGGTCTTCACCGGCTGCTCATGGATTTATTGTATGAGATGTCGAGGATCCAGAGGGTGAAGATTGAGGATTTGGGTGGGTTTTCCAAATGGCGTCGGTATGGTTGGAGAAATGCGAAGTTGACATACTTTTTGGGGGAGCAGTTCTCGTGGACGACGATTTTATTCGATGTTTGTTTGATCTCATCGAAAATCTTTCTTACGATGTTTCCGATCCGTATCATTATCCTGTTATCCGAGTTCTGGTGAGTGGTTCGATTAGCCCGGGAACGGTGAACTGGGCTGATACTTTGCGGCAGTTGGTTCTGAATGAGCAGTTTATGATCTCGGCGCATAATCCGGCGGACAATGAGCAGTCCTCGAATCAGTTGACCAACAAGGTGATCAAGATTCTCTCCGTGTATGGGGGGATGTACAAGACTTTTGGGGAGAATATCATTCTCTTGATCAACCGAGAAGGTATGTCCGTCTTGTCAAGTCAAGAGCTGAACACTAAGCCATACATACAGCGGAGACGTCTCTGCAGCTGCTCACGCTGAAACTCCTTTACCTCATTTTCACCACTCCCAGCACCTACGAATATTTCTTTACTAATGACCTTCACGTCCTGGTCGACATTCTAATCCGGAACCTACTTGATCTGCCCGAAGAGGCCGCTGCGCTGCGACATACCTATCTGCGCGTTCTGTACCCGCTCCTGGCGCATACACAACTGCGTCAACCACCGCATTATAAGCGCGATGAACTCCGAAGACTACTGAGCATTCTCGCCCGCAGCCAGAACTCGTACGGTGATGAAGCTGAGCACGAAAGGATTCTCCACTTTGAAGATGTCGATGATACCACGCGACGACTAGTTTCTCGATGTGCAACGGTCGAATGGCTTCGCAACGTGGAGTCGCCTGACAATGCTCAGGAGCCCTCCGGCCAACCGACTACAATCGATGCAGTGCTTGACGAGACCATCCAGACTGCTGAGATCGAGACACCCACTGATATCGGCCAGTCGCTGGAAGTAGCCGGGACGCTCTCGCGCACAAGCACCATCGCCAGTTCACCGGACACAGCCTCACCAACACGGATGGACTCGCGAGGCTCATCCGCGGCTCCAGGTCACGAACGCAAAGACAGCGTCGTGCAGCACCTCGGCATGAACCTCGAGCCCGCAAGGTCATCCTCACTTAGTGTGCAAGCTGTAGCAACGCATCGCGAGAAACCGGGCATCATCACACCTAGCCGTAAAGATGCTGCCCGCGCAGCCACGGATGCAACTGTGCCCACTATCCGCGCCCCCAAAATCAAACCGGAGCCACCTAGATCCCGTCGGTGGCGCGGCCGTCGCCTCGCCGTTGATGACGACGAGCAGGAGCCTCACTCTACGGGGACAAGCAGTGACCGCAACACGATCCCCGAGGGGGTGGAGATTAGTCCCACGACTACGCTCGCACCAACGACCCCATCCCCATCTTCTCAACCCGGCGTGCGACACAACTCAACTACAATATCGAACCTCGTCCCCCCCCGTCTCCGAGCATGCTCGGCGCTCTGCGTCGAACCCTCCACCCGCTGTCCCCCCGCCCCGTCGATCTGCCCAACCTACCCCGTCACCAAGCCATCACCGCCCCGCACCGCCTCCACCTAAGACCCGGCGCGCCGGACGAGCGAAAACGCTGACTACACCCACGGACTCGGGTGCGAGTGCTGGGCGCAGCGCTAGTGTTCCGAATGAAGTGCACGCTGTGGCTACTGCCTCTGTGTGCGCTGTTTCCCACCAAGATACTGGCATTGGACAGTCCCCCGAAAAAGAGGGGAGTGTTTTTTCGGATCCGTTCCAGCCTACCTCGCCGACATTGTTGATATCACCGGCTGAGAACAGTGCGGATCACGCTTATAGTCGAGACGGCGTTGCTGCTGGTGCAGCACCCGTGAGCGTTGAGGAGGCCGTGCAGAAAGTATCACTGCAGTGAGATAGGCCATTCGTGGCTTACTCAAGTGCTGCAAGGCAAAGAATTCTGAAGGGCTATGATATATCTTTCCCCAAAAGGGAAGGGGAAGGTAGCAGTCCAGGGTAATTAGTGTGTGGGAAAAGAAGCAGACCATCGAGCGTGGCCACTGATTCGTGACTTGGATTATTTTGAGCTTAGCGTGGGCATTGTTTCATTAGTGCATACATACCATGTCTTTGACTTGATATCAAGTAAAAAAATGATGCGTAGTACGCAGTTCGAGCAACGTAACTGTAGTATACCCAGGAATTGTATATCCTGCCACTGTCACCAGCCATCAATCCAAGGAGGGAATTGAATAAACAGACATACGAGATGAACAATAGAATAGAAATACAGAGCACCATCATCATCACCACCAGCTTACTATCTCTCCATCCATTTATCAGACAGATCAAATCTTCAACCCCCAACTCCTCCCAACCCCAACAGCCGTACTCCCCCAAAAGCCAACACACTCCCCAATGCCCTGCATCTTCGCGGCCAGCGCATCACGATCCTCAAACCGCCTCTGTACAAACGCCGTCGTCTCCGCCAGATCCGGCGTGGGGTCGCGGGTCATCACCACGTCCGCGCTGGCGTACACGGCCGCGACGGCCAGACGGCGCGTGTACCATGCCGAGTCGACGGATGTGTCACCCGCCAGCGAGAGGATGTCGGAGGATAGCGCGGATAGCTCGTTCAGGGAGAGGGGGATATGGGAGAGGAGAGACATCTGTGCCAGGGCCTTTTTTTGGGGATTGGGTTAGTATCCATGAGACCAATGTTATAGATACAGCAGAGAGAAAAGAAGGGAAAAGGAAGGAGGGGGGGCATTTTAAATAAAGGGGATATTAGAATAGAAATAAGAAGACTCACATCCTGCCAAACGTCCTTAACATCGCTGTTCATTCTAAGTCTCTCAAGCACAAGCGCTTTCACCCTCTCCTCAACACTCAACTCAGACACCCCCATGTCCGCCGCAATGCGCTGCAACAGGCCCCCTTCCTCAACCTTGGCGCGCAGCAGCCCGCGCCGACTAGCGAGCCAGAAGAGAATCAAGTCGAACTCGCCGCGCGGGAGGAGCTGTACCGAGACGTCGAGGAAGCCTGCATCGCGTGCGCCGAGGGTGAGGGATTTGAGGGTGAAGCCGTGACTGGGGACGTGGGCGAGGGATGCGGTGAGGATGGTGCTTTGGCTATTTGTGTAGGTGTGTGAGGGAGGCCGCGGGTGATGGGTTGAGTGATAAGTTCTGGTTCTTCTTTTTGGGAGGAGGGTGGTGGATTGGGAGGGAGTTGGTGTTGAGCGGGTGAGGCGGGTTGTTGGGAGGATGGATCGGTGGTGGAATTGGCGGGGATAGGGTTGTCGGAGTGGGATTGAGACGAGAGAGCGTATAGATCTCCCTGCCGAGGGAGCGACACTCGGACAATAAGCCATGGTTGAGGTGGTTGGTGGTTCGGTCAAGCGTGGTTGTCGGGGACAAAAACCGCGATGGAGAGCGGTGGCACGTGCTGACCCTAGATCTACTACAAGCCCAACCAGCCACTATACAATAAAGCATCAACGCATTTCAATTTAACTCGAGGCTCGATCTACTACAGTCTGCAGATCCCCCACGCAAAAACACAATCTGATAGTACTCAAACACACACAAAACAACATGGTGGGAATAAGGGAATCATCGACGAAAGATAGCAACGAGACAAAAGCGAGAAAGCCACGACAGGTCTGGGCATAGCGGAATAATGCACCAAAACTTTTCGGACGGGAAGATAACTACTACATGATCTGATCCTGGGTGATGCCGCCCGTGGGCTCAGTATCCTCCATCATGTCTCCGGGGGGTGGGTTTGCGTTCAGGTACTTGACGAAAGTGATGCCGAGGGGACGACCACCATACTGGTAGCCAGTGAATTTGGCTGCAAGAGTATTAGTGAGGCCGGGGATAGGACGGAAAGAAAACATACCGATCGCTGTCTCCGCAGTGTCTGCGCTATCGAACTGCACGACACCAGTGCCGCGCGAGCGTCCGTTGGGCTCGTACTGAATCTCGGCACGCTCGACCTTGCCGATAGTCGAGAACAGATCGATCAGGTCCTCATTGCAGGTGGACCAGGGCAGGTTGCGCACGTAGATGATGGCGCTCTTTTCGCCAGCCGAAGTAGCGTAATCGGTGAAGGGGTTCGGAGCCGCTGGAGGAGCGGCCGCATTGTCAAAGCCTCCACCAGGACCACCAGGACCGCCATGACCAAAGCCACCGGGAGGGCCACCGCCGGGAGGACCACCGAAACCACCACGACCACCGAAGCCGCCGCCGAATCCTCCGCGGCCACCACCAAAGCCACCACGGCCTCCGAACCCGCCTCGACCACCAAATCCACCACCATAGCCGCCGCGGCCACCAAAGCCGGCACCGGGACCGGCGAAACGGTCCTCACGGACCTCCAGCGGACGGCCCTGCCACTCGAATCCGTTAAACTGAGCAATGGCATTGCGCGCATCGTCGGGCGACTCGAAAGCCACAATACCAGAGCCCTTGGGACGGCCGGTGGGGTCGGTGTGCACATCGGCGCGGATAACGGCACCCTGCTGAGCTAAAAGAAAGAAAGTGTGGGTTAATACTTCAGCGCGGGGAATGGATGGAAGCATAAGGTGCTACAGTCATCGTGTACTTACCCGCTTGGCGGAAAAGATCCTTCAGGTCTTGCCAGCCAACGTTGAAGGGGAGCTACAATATGTCAATAAACAGCCCACAAGGTTTGGCACATGGGCGATGAGGGGAAACAAACGTTCGACACGTAGAGCTGTCGGCCACCACCACCGCCGGGAGGGCCACCGGGGCCACCACCATAGCCACCGCCGAACCCACCGCGGCCACCGCCGAACTCACCCCGGGGAGGTCCACCGATGAAACGGGGCTCGGCTTCACGGTCCTACAAACGGTCAGATCTGAACGACACCCAAATGACCATGACATACTTCGCGGACGTAGACAAGGCGACCCATCAGGTCTTGGTTGCTAAGCGTGTTGACTGCGTTCTGTGCTTGCTCCCTGGTTGCGTATTCCACAATCCTGTAGCGTGATTAGCAATTGTATTGTGAGTGATGTTCAGACAATGCTTACCCGCATCCCTACAATATCCGGACGGCCAGGCCCAGCCCGTCAACCCAACAGTCCATGCAAGATAACCAACAAGAAGCCAGAACGAAAAATCAGGGAGGTAGAAAAGGAACCAGCCACTCTACGCATTGGCGCCCACCTTCGACATTCCATTCGGAAGTAGTAATACATCGGCAAAGAGAACCTCTCCAGCTATAAACCAGTTAGTGGTTGGTCCACCATATGTTCCTGACGGTCTTACCCTGTCGCATAAAATCTTTGAGGTGATGCCACTTGACATCGTAGCTCAAATTGCCCACATAGACCCGACGGTCTTGCTGGGACGAATCGCGGACGGATTGCATCATATTTTCTTTGGCGGCGACACGATCGGCACGATCCTCGAACGTTCTGCCCGGCGCGTAACCACTGCGTCCACCGTACGGAGAGCCTGGCGGTCCACCAGCACCGGAAGCACTCAAAGGAGATCGCGAACGGCGATCACTACGACGGTAATCGTCACGGCTGCGAGAGCGGCTGCGCGGCGAGTAGGATCGACGGCTGCGACGGGGACTGCGAGAAGAACGACGACGGGGCGAACGGGACCTCTCACGCTGGTAGTGGTCAGAGTCGGGGTATGCAGACATTTTGATCTGTACACGACGATGCGACAAACAAACAAAGAAAGAAAGATGAAACTCAAATGGGGAAAGGGCAAACGAGGCGTAGACGTGGAATCTGAGATGTCGCAGGTTCCGGGCGGGTCCTCCAGGTCAGGTGATGCTCCACTCGAGAGACCCCCGGGAGTACAAGGACCCCGGTAGGCAAGTCAGGGCTGAGCGGAGAGGGGGGGGGGTTTGGATGGAAGGGGATGGAACAGGGCGGTTGTGTGTCGTCAGGAATGCGCCGACGTCAAGAACCCCCTATCCCCTCCCCCAACATCATCACCATGATCGGGCGCATATCTGATCGAAGGGCCCATTGCGCGCGCACTGACCATCCCAGAGCTCATGACAGCCCATCGCATCCACGAATGCGCATCGGAGGACAGGGAGGGAGACAGGGAGGGAGTGTAGATAAAACCAAGGAAGAAGAAAAGCGAACTTACTTGATGTGGCCGATAGACGTCGGCTGAACAGGGCAGTCAGCGGGAGAATAATATAGTAAGTAGAGCGACGACGATAAGGGGGGAGGGAAGAAGAAGGAGGAGGTGGGAAGGCGGGGAGGGGGAAGGAAAGGAGACGAAAGGATTAAGGCGTCAAGGTTGGGGGGAAACACGGTGATTGGATGGTTGGATGAAAGGAGGGGAGCTGGGAATGTACCAAGGGGAGGACCAAAAACAAGTAAATACGAAGGTAATGCGTGAAACAGGGGACAACCCACCCATGATTGATCGAGGGAGCGTGGAGGTAAGGAAGGTGGTACAGCGTAGCGTCGTGAGGACGGAGGACGATGGGGGAGGGAGAGGGAGAGGAAAGAAAAAGAAGAAGTGGTGGTGGTGGAGGGAGGCAGAGAGAGCAGAACGGAAAGGCGGAGAAGGTCACCAGAAGAGACAACCGTGTTGTTGTTTCGGTGGGAGTTGGTAGAGAAGAGGGAGTTGAGGCACAATGCGATCAGCGGGTGAATGTATCTCCACGGCCGATCTATATGAGTAGGTAGACCGAGGCATTATATTACAGTTGGCTGCTTATTACAGCTGGCTACTCCTGCAGGCACAGGCCGTATTTCCGTTACTCAATCAATCAAATGCCACGCCCTAATCATCCGAGGAAGAACCGTGTTCATTTCATACCTCCAACTAAATAGACAACAGAAACCAAAGACCGGGCGTGCAACACCCATCGAGGGAATCAAGAAGTACCGAACCGACACACATACACGCACATCCAGAAACGAACGCCGGCGACAAGGGCCTAGGATGGGAGGAAACGAGGGGACCAAAACGCCTAAAAGCAAGCTAGGCCGGATTGTAAAAGGCACAATAGGTATACACAAGACGGCGTGCAGCGCACGAGAGGGGAAATAAAAGACAAGAGAAGTGAGAAAGAAGGCGAGAATTATGCTGCCACGTTGGTCGGCGGGTAGCGGCCGGGAATCTTCATGTCCATCGTGGCCATGCTGTCGGTCTTTGGACGGAAGGGGAGCGCGCCGTCGCCCATGCCCGGGGATTTCTGGGCCAGGGACGATTCCTCGTCCACCGAGGTGGCCATGGTGTTGTTCGTGTAGTCGGTCACGTTCGTGTTGGTGGGCACGGTCGACACGCTCTCGCGGCGAGCCTGAGGCGGAGCCGAGTTCTCCCGCCGTCCAGACCGATCAACCATGCCGGCAGCCACTAGGGGGGTGTGGTCTCCATCCGATCGAACCTCCCGGTCATCGACGGTGGAGTCAGTCGGGTTGTACTTCCGCTGTTTGGCGGCAATGGCGGCCGGGCCGATCCAGTCACCGTAGTAGCTGTCGTGTCTTTCCACACGGGCCCGCGAGGATTCGCCTCCATGGGAGGCCGGAGCAACACCATCGACCGTATTGGGTTCGAATCCTCGTTGGGAAGAAGAGCTTGCCGGAGCTGCAGACCCGTCTGGCATCCCACCCGCGGCGGCCAAGACCTCCTTGTCAACGGAACCATCACCGCTAGATGGCGACAAAGGTGCCTGCATATGTCGATCAATTTGGACATCGCTGGGGAATGCACCACCGGGCTGACGGGGTGCAGAGGTTGGTCGCTCACCCGCCAAAACCATCGATCCGGAATACGGAGTGCGGTCGGCTTCGTCTTCTTCCATTGCTCCGTCACTGCTGTAGGACATGCCGCTCACACTTCGGACGTGGCGTCGGACAAAGGCATTGCGAGCCTCGCCCGTCTTGTTGATCAGGCTCTCAATGTCCTCATACCACGACATCATGGTCTCGTGCGACTCGGCCCGGAACACCCACGAGTGGCCCCGGTGCATCGCACCAGTCTGGCGACCCTTCAGCATGAACTTGTGCGAGCTCGAGTCCGGCTGCGAGTGCGAGCTGAGCTTCTGCTCTGGCAGGTACAATGACATCACCGGAGTTTGCCATGCCACGCGATCGGCCGACTTGAACTCGTGGAGGTGAGTCGGCGACAAGACATACCTGGTATGGCTTAGTGAGAGGAAATTTGGATCCAAAGGGAGATTACTCACCAGCCAGGAGTATAACTCTTGAGATACTTGCTCTTGCGCTCCAGCATCCCAGCTCGGACCTCTGCAGCGGCGGGGTGATCTCTGCCGGGGTAGACGATATTCTCCAAATGCCGTAGTGGGATGCGAGGGTCGACCAGTTCGTCGGTCCCGGCGACAAACGAGTTCCACTCGTAGTCCTGGGGAATTGAGATCGGGCCCACTCGCAGCTTCTCGATGGTGTCATAGGTCTCGTCGGCCTCGCGTCGGAGGATGCTGGCATAGGCATTGTAGGCCTTCTGGATCTCGCTGACCACGATGGACTCGAGCTCCCGACCCGAGTTTTCGAGGTTCAGGTATGCCTAAAAGGGCTGTTAGCTACATGCGTGGTCAGCTGAGGTGGGCGGACCAACCCGATGCAAATAGTTCTCCTCCTCAATCTGCTTCTCGACCTGCCGTTCGACACTGAGTCGCAAGATGAATGGATCACCTTTGCCCGCCGTCGCAGACGGATCGGTATCCACGAGACCGAGGGCCTCTTGCAAGTTGCGGACCGACTTGCGCGTGCCATCCAGCTCCTTCTCGACCGAATTCTTGAAATCCCCCGCCAGGTTCTTGATCTCCTTGGTCTTCTTCTGCAGGTCGCTGCGCAGACCCGTCAATTGGCTGATCACCTCCATCTCGACCTCGACGGCCTTGTTGGCCTCCGTGTACCCTTGGCGGTGGAAATCTCGGAGGATCTCGGTCGCATCGGCCAGCCCACCGGATTGCAGGAATGCGGGTGGGATCGCCTGGTTGCCGATAACATGGGAGGCAGATAAGAATAGCTTGGATCTGGTCTCATAGGATTTTTGGACTTCTTTGAAGAAGAGAATCAGATCTTTGAGGACCTTCCGCCAGGCTAGGAAGCAAGTTAGCAAGAGTGAAATTCATCGGGATGAAGTGACACACCTTGGAAGCGGTTGGACAGCACCTCGGTCGGGTTGCCGGTGGTGGGAATCGGGATGGTGAACGCGCTGTTAGCGTCCTCGGTGCCATCGCTGTATTTCTCACGGTCGCCCAAGCTCAGACTCCTCACGCTGCCGGCGCGCATACTGCGGCGACTGCCATTGCGTCGCAGACTCCCTTGCGGCTCAGGGAGGGCTTCTTTTTCAGGGTGCTCGATCGGGAGGGCACCGGCGATCGGGCCCGCGACATTTGCGACGCAGACCGCTGCATTCCTGCGCCGTCCAGCATGAGGGAGCTGCGCCGGCTGGCTGCGTCGAAGTCCTCCCGGAAGCGCGGGTTGTGGGCCATCTGGGGTTGGTCAGGCATCGAATTGCTGCCGACGTAGGAACTGGGTCTCGAGGATCGGGAGAAGCCGCGCACCGACTCGTGCGGCAGATAGTCCTGCACGGGCGTCTGGGGCCCAGCCATGGCAGGGAGAAACGTGGGCGACGCAAGGGAGGAGCGCGGAGGATAAGGATAGGGAAAGAATCAAAAAGGAGGCGGGGGGAGAGAGGGAATAGTTCAGGGTAAGCCGGTCACTAGTATAGCGCGGGGCTGGTTACCTGGCGAACGGATTTAGTAACTAATAGTATGGTGAGCAGGGGATAAATGCAAGAAAAGGGGAGATTGGAAGCTAAAAACGAAGATTTCCGGTACCTTCGTAGCTCGGGGTGAGAGGGGGAACGTGAGATAGATGACGTCTTCGAGGCCTGGAGTCGTGATGACAAGCCGGGAAGGCCGGAGAGGGGGGCGCGTTGACGTATGGAACCGGAAGTAATGGCCGGGCGGATGTCGTGGTTATAGTGGGAGTCCCTCGCATCGCCTGGAGTAGAAGCATCACCACTTGGGACCTCCCCAGGTCATATGTATCTGCCTAGGCGCGGGCTCACATGGAGGACACCCCTGATCGTCGCGATGATCGTGACGTTCGAAGGAACCACAGTTCTTCACTAACATCCCCTAGCGATTAGTGTATCGATCCAGAGTGCCGCAGCCAAAGAACAACCCTGGACAGCCTGGGGAAAGGCCGTGGCACGTTTTGCGCCGCCGTGGGATATTCGGTTGGCCGCTATGATTGGACGAGGCCCTATCTCGACTACCGGGGATAAATGTAAATATTATTTCTCGTTAACAACACCGTATACCCGTCATACACTAGCTCTACCTCTCAATGAAGGAGAGTAAGGCATCCTCCACTTACTTCCTACCGAAATAGGTAATTGTGCACCTATCACCACCTGAACCATCTACGTCTCTCCACACCGCCCATCAGAGAAAATGCAAACAGAAGAAAAATCGGATTGTCGGATCCGGCATGCTAGAGGCGACGGGGTAATTTACAAAGCGACACAAATAAAAGAAACCACTTTATGATGCGGGAACCGGCGATGTGGGGACCTCGATGCCGTACGCCTCCTTGAGCCGCTCCCGGCGTCGCTCCTCGTAGTTGGGGCCGTAGATACCTGCCGCAGGTCGAGTTAGCTCAGTTGTGAATCAAATCGGGGCCGCTATATGCAAACAACATACCCCGTCCTTCGCCCAGCTCGGCAAATGTCTGCTCGGCCGGAGTCCGGTAGTTCGTCCGCAGCTGCTGTCGGCGGTCGAACTCATCCACCTCTGTGTTCTTCTTGTATCCAAACAGGCTACCCCCTGTGTACTCGAAGGCGGTCATGGCGGTCGACAGCGCGACGCCATAGCCCAACAGGGCGGGGAAGGTGCGGACTAGACACGCATCAGCCAAGAGACCTTCAATTCTCCAAGACACCCCTTCACCCGGAGTGCATTCATCCGGAGTGACACAACATACCTCGCAGTCCCAGAAGAGCACCCGAAAAGAAGCCACCCAGGGCAACGTTGTACGGATCCTCCTTCTCCCGCAAGTTGGCCGAAGCTGTCTTCACAAACTCATAGGTACCCCCCATCGCCGCTAGAGATCTGCGTCAGAATTGACCCGCCACACTGTTTAGGCCATTCATTCATACCGAAGATTCCGATGGTGCCTCCACTGCGCATGAACACGCCCAGCGGGCCGACGTTCCTTTTGGTCAGGGTGTTCTGGACAGCCGAGGCAAACAGACCTGCACTGCCCGTGAGCAGAGTGGCCTTCAATGCCCCCGAGATGGCATCCTTGGGATGATAGTGGTGGTCTTCCTCGTGGTGAGCCATGACTGTGTGGGGGAAGAGACGTAGCAGGGATGGACTGAGGTGTCGTTGGGTGTGGATTTTGGCCTGTTTCTGCTGGCCCTCACCGCCTGGCTCACCGCTGGAGGGTCAATGGAGCGAGCTCCAGGTATACCGTGTGTTGCTGGTGCTTTGCCTTGTCTCTTCATTTTCTCACGCGTCTTCTGCTTTATTTGTTGGTCCAGCTGTTTCCCGTCTCCTGCTCAATGCCATACAAGTGCTGTACGCGACGTTGACCCCCCACCACCTCGCTCGCCCGGTGCTCACGGGCTCCCCGCTGCACCTGTTGCTCCGGAGCTCGTTCATCGCGGGTGGGTGGACTGCGCGCTCCGCTGTGCACACCCTGCCGCCTCTCGCTTCTCAGTACTGTCAGATTCACGCTAGACAGGAGCTTGCGGTTTCTCCAGATAGACCAACCTGACAAATGGCAGTTCCTCAGCGAGCAGGTAAGTTGCCTGGTGGAGGATGACCACCACCAGTGTCTGCAGCCAGAAGGTGGCTAATATGAATTTTCCCACCAAATATAGGCAAGACGGCGCCTCGCCTCGTGCAGGACATCCTACTCTACGATCCCGCACACCCTTCAAGCACTGGCCGGAATCTCCTCTCCGAAGTACCCCCAGTCTACCCCGAACGCTACAATGGAGCACTGGGTTTCTTATCGCCCTCAGCCTGTCGCCACAACTATGTGACGAAACCCAACCAGACCTTTCACACTCCGGAAGACCAGAAACGGCGTCCAGGCTGCATGTCCAAAGTGCATGCCATGTGTACCAAATGCCGTTGCCATGTCCAGATTGTGGTGAACTACACAAATGGCATGAACACCTTCTCCCAGAATCTGGAGGGCCATATCCATCACCTTGTCTACAAGTCAGGAAGACAAGCGGGTGGAAGTACAAGTGCAGAGGTCACTCCCAAAGGGCAGCTGGCAGAGACATTCCACTATCAGTGCTCCAACCTTTCATGCCCGGCCATCGTCTCCCTGCGAATCCTTTCTCCTCTCCTATCTCCTGAACTGGTGCATCTATTGACTGACCAGAATGTGATTCGCAAACGGGCTCAAGAGGCAATGGCGGCTCAGCCTGAGCGCCTGGAGGGCATGGCCTGTCCGAGCTCGGCCACGGTCCTCGACAACCTGCGTCTATATGTCAGCAATACTCTCAAATCTGGCCAGCCTAGCAAGGCCATTACCGCAACCAACAAGAGGTTTATGCTCAGCTTTGGTGTGGATGGGATGCCCTGTCAGAAACTGTTTGAGTTTCTCAATTTCACCTACCAACAGGTATGACCTTGCCTCCTCGTTATCTGGAGACGTCTTTATTAATATCATTTCAGGAGAACAATACCTGGCAACCTCCCCAGCCGGACCCCAGTGCGAAAACAGAGTCGCCCTACCAAGACACAGACTGTATCTTTCTCGATAACATCGTTCATGAACTGCTGGCTTTGATAGACAGCCGGCCTTCTTCGGAAAAGAAAGGATTCGATCCCCTCCCTCGGTCTGCCTCCGCAACGAACGATATGCTTTATGCAGTGGAGGCTCTTGACTGTTTGTGTATACTAATCCTAAATGCCAGATGTCATGGCTGATTGTGTTTTCAGATCCCAAATCACTCAGGGTCAATGAATTTGACATGCCACCCGCCCCGTTTGTCTCCATCCCTCTTAAGGCTAGCCAATTCTAACCAACTCTACAGATTTTATGAAGACTTGGGAGCCGTGGAAGATATGGCTTCATCCATGATTGTGGAAGCGTTCAATCGCCAGGTCTCGGTCGATCCGGCCAGAACACCGTTGTATCTCCGATGCCTCAAGTCGATTGCCACCCTTCGTGGTGGTGCTGACTGGGAAATCATCGACCAGGCTGTTCAGTTTGCCTACTCAGAAGGCAAATACACGGACGAGGATGTTGCGGATGCATACAAGTACTTTGGGCTTAACGGTGATGATCCCAATCTCACCGAGGACATCATCATTAAAACCTTCTACGTGTTCATCGGCTCCACGGCCCAAGCACAAGAAACCGAGGCGCGCCAACAACTGTGGCGGATCGGTCACAGCAGACGGAGCGAGCGCATCCAATCTGCGTCTGAAGATCGTGAGTCAAATCCACTATCACCTTTCGTGCATTTGCCAACGATTTCTCCCAGGCGTATCCAACGCCGAACAAGCACAGATTTACCTTGGAGTCGACGATCAAACCCCGGATGACTTTATTATCACCATGTACACGGCGAAGGTATGCTCTTTGGTGGGTTATGTCGTGTCAGTCTAACTGTATGGAAAAGGTCAACGACAACCCGACTAGCCGAGAATTGGCGAACCGCGCGGTCAACCTCATTGCTGAATCTAGAAATTCAGTTGCGCTGAAACATTTCGTTGACACTGGTGAAACCGTTGCGGGTGAAATGGACGTTAGCGATGCCTATCGCTTACTCCAGATTCCAGACCGGACCGCTGATGAAGGTGCAATTGTCGCAGCCTACACAATCTGCGTGGATGACAACCCCGAGAACGCCGAGAAATACAATTACGCCCTGAGCATCATAGCCAAGGATATGGATAGCCCGTTGCTCAAGAACATGGCTGGCATATCTACCGAGTCCAGTCGCAACTTGGCGGAGTGGCCTGTTGGTCTGCAGAACATCGGGAACACATGCTACCTCAACAGTCTTCTCCAATTTTACTTCTCAATCCGCCCCTTCCGGGACATGGTTCTGGATTTTGAGACCTTCCAGATGGACCTGAATGACCAAGCCAGCTTGGATCACAAGCAGGTGGGATCTCGCAAGGTGATGAAGAAAGAGGTTGAGCGGTCGTTGCGATTCCTTCGGGAACTTCGTACCCTGTTCAATGATATGATTACCTCTCCGCAGTCTTCGGTCACGCCTGGCCAAGAGCTCGCTCGGTTGACTTTGATCAGTCCCAGTAACGAAGCGGCCATTCGCCGCAGATCGACCATCTCTGCTGGAATGTCGCAGGGTCTCGGTGATATCGGTGGAGCGCCCATTTTCGGACCGCTTGGCCCTCCGCAGCCCATTCAGGCTCAATCTGCGCCCGCAAAAGACTCGATGATAAGCGACGTGGATAGTGAGGCGACCTTGGTTTCCGAAAACACGGCTGCGCTGCCAGAGGGACACGAAAAGGCGGAGCCCAAGTCTGAAGGCAACTCGAAACCCGATACCGATGACGCGAAGCCCGAGTCCCCTCATCAGCCCCCGCTGCCTCCGCGATCTTCTCCAGAGGTTGATCGACAGAAACAGTTGATCGAGGAAGTGGAGATCGGTGCCCAACAGGATGTGACGGAGGTGATTAACAATGTTCTCTTCCAAAGCCAATGCGCCATCAAGCCTCGAGATGTTGCCAAGGATGGCGAGCAGCTCGACCAGATCAAAGAGTAAGTGCTCCTGGACCATAAAGTCGTTTCTAACACGTGTATAGTTTATTCTACGGGCGCACCCGATCCTACATCTCCACTGAAGGTGGTACCCGATCTAAAGAAGAGTGGTGGGCTGATATCAAAGTCGATGTGGCCAGTGGATCGCGAGATATCTATGCTGCCATTGACGGAGCCTTCGATGTCCAGAAGATCAACGTTGAAAATGCTGAGGCGGAGCAATTTGGGTCTATCAGCAGGCTGCCTCCCGTTCTTCAGATCCAAGTCCAGCGAGTTCAGTTTGATGCGGTGAAGAAAAGTTCCTTCAAATCGACTAACCACCTGGAGTTGCTCGAGACCATCTATCTGGACCGTTACATGGATACCCAGAAGCCGGAGATCGTGAACCGGCGTCGTCAGTGCTGGGAGTGGAAGCGTGCTGTTAAGTCGCTCGAAGCTCGTCGCGCCGAGCTCCTGCGGAAAGATCTTTCCTCAACTGCAGAGAATGGTGGAGAAACAAGCATGGAGCAGCTATTCTGGAACACTCAAACTGCCCTTCAGGAACTCGATCAGGACATTGACTCTGACGGACCCTCGGAGGAGGTCAAGTCCACTTTGCCTAATGAACTCGAGCAGGTCTCTGGGACCGCAAAGGAAGAGCTCTGCGGTTAGTGCCGCCCCCTCAAAGAGACTGGCAAAGCTGACTCGTTATAGCCGTCGAGCAAGAGATCAAAGACACCCAAGCCATGATCTCCAGCCAATTCGCCGACTACCGCAACCTTGCGTACCAGCTGTATGCCGTCTTCGTGCACCATGGCTCCGTCACGTTCGGCCACTACTATATCTACATCTACGACTTCCAGAAGGACATCTGGCGCAAGTACAATGACGAGTATGTGACTGAAGTACAGAACCTGGACGAGATCTTCAAAAACGACAAGGACCACAACCCACCCACCCCCTACTTCCTCGTGTACGTCAACAAGAACATGAAAGATCGTCTCGTCGACCCCGTCTGCCGCGAAGTCGTCGAGTCCATGCCCGAAATGATGGATTCGACTCCTCCCACGACAACTGCCATGCAGGGCGTGCATGTCTCCAAGCCCTCGGACGACCTGATGGATCTCGACCCGCCGTCGTATGATGAAGCATCGTCGGGCCCCAGCGCACCAGGTATGGAAGCAGACGCGCACGCCCAACCCAAGTCCCAGTGGCAGCGCCATATGGCTGACAATGGACAATACTGGTAGATTCCGGCGACAACCACGATAATCCCCGCAAGCGAAAGAGTGTTGACGCGGCGGATGGACAGCTTACATGATTGATCCATGTTGACCCCCGGACTTTGTTTTTCTGTGTTCAGAGTTTGCATCGGAGCGATTTCCACAGGTCTATTTCTTTGTCTATGATTATGACTGTATACATACATCCCTATGTTGAAGATACCAAGCATGTTCGAGTTCTGTCAGCCTATCCTACACTACATGGAGGATCCACTACTGGGTTTGCGGCGGCCCGCCTGCCCGCCTGCTTGCCGCACGCCGTGCCGAAGCGTCGGAAGCTTAGTCAGCGGCTCTGAAAGAACAAAAGAGCAGAATAGCTGTAAATGGACGGACACGGAATATTTGGAGGTCAGTAGACGAAGGGATGGTGTCTATGGCATCTAGAGGTTCAATCTCAGCTATTTTATTAATAAAAAATATAGAAAAACGTGGTCGCATGCTCATCTTCAATAATCCGGGGTAGTCCCGTTCCCACCCGCCGGTCGGATAGCAGGGGAGAACGCATTGCCGAGCGCATCTTTATATTGCTGGGTCCGCCGCTTTCCCAGGATTTACTCCCCCATTTCCCTTCCCTCCCCATTCACTTACCATGCCTTCCCAAGTGGCCACGTGCTTGCGCATTGCGCGGCAGTTCTCCGCCGAGCCGGCCAAGCACCAGCGCTTCCTCGCGCGCACCTTCTCCAGCAGCGTGCGCCGATGCGAGATCAACAAGGTGTTCCCGTCTGCGGAGGAGGCGATCAAGGACATGAAATCCAACTCAACCCTGCTGGCCGGTGGATTCGGGCTTTCCGGCGTGCCGGACACGCTGATCAACGCCGTGCGGGCCAACTCGTCCATCACCGGCCTGACTGTGGCGAGCAACAACGCCGGCGTGGACGGCTCCGGACTGGGTCTGCTGCTGCAGTCTAAGCAGATCAAGAAGATGATTGCCAGCTATGTTGGCGAGAATAAGACCTTCGAGCGCATGTACCTCACCGGTGAGATTGAGCTAGAACTCACGCCGCAGGGTACCCTCGCTGAGCGCTGTCGCTCTGGTGGCGCCGGTATCCCGGCTTTCTATACTCCGGCGGCGTTTGGTACTGTCGTGCAGACAGGCGACCTGCCGCTCCGACACAACAGCGACGGCACCGTGCAGCTGTACAGCAAGGCCAAGGACACCAAGGTGTTCGACGGTAAGAGCTATGTCATGGAGGAGTCGATCAAGGGCGACTACGCCTTCGTCAAGGCCTGGAAGGCCGACAAGCTGGGTAACTGCCAGTTCCGGTATGCGGCAGCCAACTTCAACGGTGCCATGGGCCGCAACGCCAAGATGACCATCGTTGAAGCCGAGCATATCGTTGAGCCCGGCGAGATTGAACCCGCCGCCATCCACCTGCCCGGTATCTACGTCAAGCGCGTCATCCAGAGCACCACCGAGAAGAAGATTGAGAAGTTCACCTTCGCCAAGGAGGAGGGCGCCGACACCTCCGCACTGGGCTCCGGAGACACCGCCAACAAGCGCGAGCGCATCGTCCGCCGCGCAGCAAAGGAGTTCAAGAACGGCATGTATGCCAACCTGGGTATCGGCATGCCCATGCTGGCTCCCAACTTCGTGGATTCTTCCGTCGAGGTCACTCTGCAGTCTGAGAACGGTATTCTCGGCCTAGGCCCGTACCCCAAGAAGGGCGAGGAGGATGCCGACCTTATCAACGCCGGCAAGGAGACCGTCACTCTCAAGCCTGGCGCGTCTTGCTTCGGCAGCGACGAGTCCTTCGGCATGATCCGCTCTGGCCGTATCGACCTGACCATCCTGGGTGCTATGCAGGTCAGCGCCAAGGGCGATCTGGCCAACTGTAAGTTTCTTTTGCTCGTTCTTTACAACGCACTTTATTCTAACATGTCTCTTCAGGGATGCTCCCCGGCAAGATCAAGGGCTTCGGCGGCGCCATGGACCTGGTCTCCAACCCGGCCGCCACCAAGGTCGTCGTGACCATGGAGCACACCGACAAGAAGGGCAACCCCAAGATCGTCAAGCAGTGCGAGTTCCCGCTGACTGGCCCGGCCTGCGTCAGCCGCATCATCACCGACCTCTGCGTGTTCGACGTGGACTTCACCAGCGGCCTGACTCTGATTGAGATCGCGGACGGCGTTACCGTCGAGGAGGTCAAGGCCAAGACTGAGGCGCCCTTCAAGGTGGCCGAGGACCTGAAACCCATGCTGTAAAACGTGATTTCAAATTCTGAAGCGTGCATTCGGGGTTGGCTCTTTTTGCATTCATATCAAGTGCCTGATCTGAGCATCGACTACAGTTAACGACTGTACCATTGTATATAGCGAGTTATTTACACTCCCTCGATTCTGAGGGAGGGGAGTTGGTTTATTTTTATTGGACTTCATCTTCAAATTTGTTTCGTTCGTCTGGTATCAAGAAAAGACGAGTAGTGTAACAGGACAAAAAACAAGTAAAAATAGTATACATATAAGACAACCCGCCAAACCCCATCGCCTGCGCGAGGGAAGAACACCAGAAATGAAAAGATACATAGCTCATACACTATCCATCACCTCAACCGGAGGATCCCACCCACCCGCTTCCGTAACCGCCCAAACCAATCCCGGTTGGGCGCCTCGTCGAACTCGCGGATGAGATCGTCGTAGTGGTCTGGGTTGCTTGCTGGGTGCCGCAGTTTCGGGGATAGCGGGTACCGGCGCGCGTAGCGGTCATCTAGGAGGGAGGAGAGGGCGCTGACAGAGGAGTCTGGGAGTGCGGTTGGCTTGTCGATGCGCGACTGCAGATAGGACTGGATGGAGACGGAGGCCGGGCGGACATTATCGATGGGCCAGTGTTTGAGGAGATGGGTGAGGCGAGACGGGAGGGTCTGGACGGTTGTTAGTTTTTCAATGAGATAGTATTGGCTACTGTGTAGACATACCGTCGGTTTCGACATGGTGGCAGGTGGTGGATGGCAAAGGACGAAGCTGCGCCGGCTGATCTTTCCGAGCTGCCTGGATGAATGCCTGGCGCCTCAGGCGCCTCACCGCCCCCCGTGATTGCGCCGCCCTTCTAGCCATCTCGACTCTCTCATCTCCCTTCTCCCTCATCCCTAACGCCTCACCTCCATCACGCCCTCGTTTGTCCTTCCTTCCTCCCTTCTCCTAATCATATCGTCGTTTTTTTGTCTTTTGTTTTCTTTTCCTTCTGGCCTTTTTCCGGTCGCTCCGCCGCTCAGCTCGTCATGAGCTCGCAGCGCTATCAACGGGTATGATCACCATCACCCATCCGCCCCCTCCGCTGATCCTCATCAGCCCAAGAGAGAGAGAAATAGTGAAACTGACATAAATACAATCATCAGGTCAACGCCCACGATGAAGAGGAAGGGCCACATTCCTATCCGTTGAACCCAGCCCGGTCCGATCTCACCCCCTCTTCTCCGCCTCCCTCGTTCCGATCTCGTTCTGTCTCGCCATCCTCGAGACGTCTGCTACACGGCGACGACCCGCTCCGGAACGATGAGGACCAGACGCTGGCGGATGCCTTTGACGATGAAGATGGATCCGACGACGATAATGAAACCGACGATAGGCAGCTGTTGATGCGAGGAAACCCGAACTCCCGCTCAGTCGATGATAATAGTAATAACGGCTCTGGCACTCCGGCGTCCTCGTCCGATTCTATGGGCGGGCAGCAGGATCAGACCCGGGCTCCCGGCATTTTACGGCGGCCGACGATACTACCGTCTTTTAGTACGCCTGGCTCGGGAGGTAGTCGGTCAATTACGGCGTCGAATGATGGTGTCTTTGCCAACCTGTCCGCTAAGCCGGAACGAGGCGAGAAGAATGAGGATCTCCCTCCAGTAAGTTGAGGTCATATGTCGTGAAAATGTGGGTTTGCTGACGGTTTTGGTGTCTAGTCATATGAAGAAGCCGCTGCCGATGCGACGCCCCCATATTGGGAGACCACGATCGTTGCGCCCGGTATCTCATCCGACGAAGTCTACGTCGATGGACTACCTGTCGGATCGGTGTTCTCTTTTGTGTGGAACGCAATGATTTCCATGTCCTTCCAGCTGGTCGGTTTCCTGTTGACCTATCTCCTACACACCACCCACGCCGCAAAGAACGGCAGCCGAGCGGGCCTCGGTCTCACCCTTGTCCAATATGGCTTCTATATGAAAGGCGGCAATGACAGCGATGCCGACGGCGGAGGCGGGGGCCAATATGGAAGCACGCCACCCGATCCCAACAGCCACAGCTTCGATCCGAACACCGTTGGCGAGACCTCGGGCGGCGGCGGTGATGGGGGCGCCGTGACCGCCATCAGCACTAGCGAATGGATCTCGTACGTCCTGATGATTGTCGGCTGGTTTATTCTCATTCGCGCCGTCAGCGACTTCCTTCGCGCCCGGCGTCACGAGCAGCTAGTGTTGCAGAGTCCCGACCGTGGACTGGGAGTACCTGTGATCGCAGAGGGTGAGCGGTCCGAGACAGTTGTCTAGATCATTGCACTCTTCCATACATACGAGACTACTTTTTTATTCTTTTTGGGGCACACATGGAACAATGGACCTGGGAATATTGAGCGGCATCATCTGTCGCAGGCGTTGGGACGGAGGGAGTTCCTGTACCGACATCACCGGACTCTCCTTTCTTGCATTTCTAATTTTTTTTCCTTTGGTTTAAGCCATCTTGTTGTCCCTGTAACTACTTGGGAGATACCATGAGCGAATACATATACCGTCCCTTCTGCCCGATCGCGGGTATGCCCAGTCCTGTTCTCGATCCACGACGCGTACTGCGCCACCCGTAGGCAACCTTTTTTCCCTTTCCTCCTTCTTACTTTTGTGTGGCCACGCAAGCCAGGGAGATCTAAGAAAAGGCTTGATTTCCCTCATTGTTGACGGACTGACGTAGCTGTTCCACCCCTCGCGACCTCGGCCGTTGTTCCTATCTATCTGTCTATCCCTTCCACACACATACACATACACAAACACACACTCTCTCCCCATAGAAACCCCAACTGGATCGCGGCCAGTGTCCCATGTCGACCGCTGTTGCTGCCACTACCGCCCAGGGGCCTGTCGAGGCACGCTCGCTGTCGGCCGTAACGGCCATCGCATCCAACCCCCCGCCTATCCGCGCAATCCGACCCAGAAGAAGCTCGACCCGCTGGTGCTGTATATCGTGCGAGTTCCCGGGAGCAAAGGTAAGCTACATAGCTCAGCTGTGATACTGTGATGCTTGAAGTGTCGTAATGTGCCGGAGTGAACCCGTCTGTTCGTCTTATCAAGAAACGAGCTAACGACTGCCCGGACGACAACAACAGACATCTTCCTCTCCCCTCTCAAACCACCTACCAAATCTAGCATCTCGGCCGAAGCTATCAATGCATCCCTTTACTATCTCCACGTCGCGACACCGGATGACGATGCACTGCTACAGCAAGTGGAGCGCGAGCGTGAGGAGCAGGTACAGCTCAGGAAGGAGACGCTGGAGGCTGGAGGCGACAGGGATGATCCTGCGTACCGAGAGTTTGCACGGTTGAACAATGTGCGACGGAAGCCTGTGGGGAAGGTAGAGGCGGATGTGCCAGAGCCGCCGCAGCATCAAGAGCTGCCGCTGCCTCTGGAGGAGCATGCGCCTCCTCCCTCTCTACCCCCGCGACCTGCTCCGATGCCTACGGTCTCGGCGGAGAATGTGTCGTTCCCAGGGACGCCAATTACGACTGCGCAGACTGGGGAACAGTTGATAGCGCGGCGACCTCTGCCTCATCTACCGAACAATGAAGAGTCATGGTCTGGTGCTCCGACGACTGGCGACCCGTCCAAGCAAACCAATCGGTGGAGCACATTCGCCGAACATAGGCACGGTCTGAGGGAGAAGCACGAAGGGCCGGCGGCAGGCCGTCACAGCTTGGACTCCCACAGACCGCCATTACCACCCCGGCACTCCCACGTTCGCCCTGGTTCAGCACAGAGAAGCCCCGGGCAGTCGCCTACTCGACGTCAAACATGCCAGGATAGCCATGCCCCCACAGGCTTCCACATCACGCTCATCCGGCGCGATCCCGCAACCGGGACTCAATGGAACGTGGGGACCATCTCTACGCCGCGGATGAACCGCAATGCCATTGATATCGAGATCTCCACCCCAGGTTATAACCGATTCATTGGCTCAAATGAGCCGCTTTCTCTCGCCGAGGTGGCAGCTAATCTCCCCGCTGCCGCTGGCCGTCCTGGATCCTCGTCAAATATGGCTCCCCCAGCAACCCATCCAAGTGCACAGCCGTCCGCCCCGCGCAAGTTTCACCGCGAGCTCTGCGTCTCGAAACCCTTCGATGAATCTACCGCGCACGGCGCCGACTACGCAGATAGCTCGACAATGTCATCCAGGCTGAAAAGCGGCTACTATGTCTTCTCCTCGCCGTGGAACGGCACCTGCACCTTCTCCAGCAGTGTCAACGGCCGCAGTCTCAAATGCAAGCACATGATATCCGGCCCTGGTGGGAAGATGCCGGCCTTTGGAGATGCCGAGGCGCCTTCAGCCGTGACAGTCGCCGAGCTCCGCTTCAATACGCCCTTCCAGGCAGCCAATCTACATACCCACGTCAACCACGCCTCCCACAAACCACATCCACACCATATCTCGGTCTTCTCACAGAGCCAACACACCGACTTCACAGCCGCAGACATCACCACCACCTCACCAACAGCCCACTCAAAACGTAACTCCTTCTCTCAACTCCTCAACCCAAACACCTACACCCGCCCACGCGCCCAGTCGGGAACCTCTGGGTCTGCAGATACTACCAACAAGAACCATCTCCATCTCCACCGCCGCACATCCCTAAGAACGCCCCGCTTCCCGCGCCAGAACCAATTTCAATTTCCTTCCTCTCATTCGAATCCGCACCACCAGCCCCAGCACCAACATCAACATCATCACAATATGAGCACGAGCAGCGGCGGGCCAGACTCCGACGAGGACCGTCTCGATTTGTCTCTTGCGCGCGAGCCAGCTGGTGGTGGGATGCGTGGGAAGAGCGCGAAGTTGGGCAAACTTGTTGTTGAGGATGAGGGGATTAAGATGCTGGATTTGGTGGTTGCGGCTTGTATGGCTGTTTGGTGGCGCGGATATTATTATTGATCCTAGATGATGGAGGGATGAAATCGTTTGTTTGGGATTGAATTGGCATTGGCATTGATTGGCATGGAAAGAGGCGCTTTTATTTAAGAAGTTACTTGCTTGCATTTTCATCATCACCTTATGTTGAGCGAGCTTCTTCTTTAGCATTTATCAATTAGTTATAGTTAACTAGTGTTCAGGAGGGTTGTTTATTTCCCCTGACTCTGTTCTGTTTCAATTCCACTGTTGAACTTTTGCTCAATTCAAAATCCTCCGCTCCAACTTCTCTCTTTCCCTCCTCTATCTAATCCTGTGGCTCATCCTGCAGACATACAAATGACAAAAAAAGCCCTGCTCGATGAGTACCATCCAACGTAGATAGGCAGACAGACATAGACGTCGACAAGAAAATGACATGAACATGAACCAGCAAGAAACTGTGACAAATCGAAGCAACGGATAACGATAACAACAACAGTGAACACAGAAAGAAGGGGAAACCACACACTCGGGAAATGCGATCCTTGTCCTATCTTTTTTGTCTCAGAGGTACATAAGTAGTATCAATCAATCATCTCTTGTGGCTCATTCATTATATCGACAAGCAGGCCGGAAGGAACGCTGAGTGCTTTGTTTGATGACGAAAAGTTGGAGCAGAAACCCGGACAGAGGCGAAACGGAACGAGACGTGACAAGCATGAACATTGATATGCGCAGAGGGGTAGGGCAAAGGGCAAGGGCACGGGCATAATAAAAAAAGAATATATTCGCCAGCAGATATAATAGCAGACTATCAAACGCACAGAGAAAAAAAATCAATGCTGCACGTCCATGCCGCGCTGCAGCGAGGCCTCCAGATCGTTCGGGGGGCCGCCGCCAAGAACTGCCTCCTGGGGCTTGGGCTCCTCAGTCTTCCAGGCGTGCTGCTGGTTATCCGGGATAGGGATATTAGTCTGCTGTGCCATCTGCTGCTGCTGGGCGGCCTGGGCCTGCGACTGCTGGCGCACAGTAGCGCGGAAGCGGACAACTTCGTCGAGAATCATGCGACGCATCTCCGGGACGTCGTCGACGACTTCGAACTGGAAGTCAAAGGTTGAGGGGCAGGTGGGCTCGTCGGAGGCGTCGTGCCAGATGTGTAGGTAAGGGTGCTCGAGGGCTTCTTCGACAGAGACGCGCGACGACGGGTCAAAGGCCAGCATGCGGTCTAGCAGATCCAGGGCGTCGGGATTGGCGTTCGGGAACAGTCGTTGGAAGACAACCTTGGGCATGAAGGGGAGGTTGCGCACATACTCTTGGGCACGGGGGGATCCGATGCGTGACAGGGTCTCTTCGTTCGGCGTGCCCAGGTAGTGCAGGATCTGATTCAGCTGGTCGACGTAGTCGCGGCCCTTGAAGAAGGGTCGGCCGCCTAGCAGCTCGGCCAGAATGCAGCCCACTGACCACACATCAACTAGACAGTGGTGTTAACAATGGCATGGCCAGAAAGAAAGGGGAGACAACGTACTGGCTTTGGTGTAGCTCTGGAAGCTCAGCATGATCTCGGGCGCGCGGTACCATCTCGTCGCCACGTACTCGGTCATGTACCCGGCGTTCTCCTCCGGGTCGATGGAAAAGCCACGCGCCAGACCAAAGTCACAGATCTTGAGCTCGCAGTCCGCATTGACCAGCAGGTTGCCGGGCTTCAAGTCTCGGTGCAGCACATTGGCCGAATGGATATACTTGAGCCCGCAGAGGATCTGGTAGATGAAGGATTGAAAGTGTGCGTCGGTCAATGGCTGTCCCGAGCGAATGATAGCCGCCAAGTCACATTCCATCAGTTCTGTGATGGTGTTAGAGAGAGAGCATTCGGATGCAACAGGGCAGACTGCCTACCTTCGTAGAGATATGTTTCGTTGAAGTTATCCGGTCGGGGAATGTCCATGTCGTATAGACAAGTGATCTGGCACCGGTCAGCTTCCATCTATCCTCGAGAAAGACAAATCACATACATTGCGGTGGCCACGGAAATGCTGGAGCAGCTTGATCTCCCGCAGAGCCCGCTTGGCCAGGATCTTCTTGCTGAACACATTGGTGACCTTCTTGACGGCGACGCCTTCGCCGGTCTGATTGTTGGTCGCAGCACTGTTCACAGCGAGTGTTAATACTACCATCATCTCTTATGGTTATGTGACCGGGGAACCGCACCAGACAATACCGTATGCGCCCTGGCCCAGCTCCTTGGTGACAGTGTAGTTGTCGTTGACAATAAAGTCCTGGTTGAAAACCTTGAAGACCTTGCGACCTTGCAAATCCGCCATGGTGTCGAGTGTGATCGAAGTGTAGGGGGTGTGAATCGAGAGAAAGGGGGAGCCTCGTAGCGAGTGTGATGGGATTCCAAAGCCCCGCAGTATCGCGCGGGAGATCGAACAGGGGAGGGTTCGCTTCGGGCGCAGGCTACTGCACGGGGGGGGGCAGCAGATAATTTGAATAGTCTGGAAGGATTCGGGTCTGGAAGCGACAGAAATGAGGCTCAATCGAACCTGATGACGTGGAGGGAGGGGAGGGGGGAGGTGGTGGTGGTGGTGGTGATGGTTGGTGGGGAGCGTGAAGGGAGAGGGTGAAGAGAGATGGTGTAGTGAAGAGGCAGGAGAAGAAGAGGAGAACCAGACGGGAGAAGCAGCAGTTGCTGCGCGGAGTCCAGGGACAAAGAGGCCACAACAAGTGAATGAAAACAAGTCCAGAGGGGCTTTTGTCCGAGGGGCAATGGTTAAGTGGAGGCAGAACGTGGGCCAGCCTCGACCGGGTCTGAAACAAACCCTCTCGAGTCGTCACGACTACAAGGGAAACGATGGAACTACCGTACCTGCTACATATTAACAATTACAGATTCGTCCCTCCGATCGCGATCTCGCCGATCCAGCCCTACGAAGAAGGTCCGGTCCATGGATCCCGGAATTAGGGCTGTGGATCCCCGTGGTGCATTTATTTCACTTGTAGTTAACTAACGGTTAGCCCTGACCAAGAATTCTCCAGCCGCCGCTCCTGGCGCACTGTCCGGAGCGTGGCCCGCACCTCGTCCAGGGGGACCATGACACCCGGAGACATGCAAAGAACGAGACAATCTCATTCAAAACGATCTCACGAAAGCCTTGCTAATTTTGAAGTCATCCAAAACTCTTGCAAGGATCGCTGCCTCTTGGGTTATCACTCACCCATTTCCGTCCGTTTCCCCGCGTAGAGCTAGACTCTATCATCTATCGCATTTTTTTCAGTCGTTAGTCGTACGGGACATGGGAACCCTGTCGGGGGCAGAAGAGTCCACTGGTAGGTTGGAAAGGAGGTTTCTCCGTATACTGGAGTTACATGCCCCATCCTTGTACATATAAGAGCCAGATACAGAACCTCTCCTTCCAGCTCAGGAAGGGATAGGCCAGCGATTGATTTTGTTACTTGACAACGGAAGTTGAGCTACCAGTCATGTACTCCCTCACGAATTCTGTGCTCCATCCGAATCTGCTGCAACGAAGCGGGCCGAATTACAGGGTTCAAAATCTTCAAATAGTGGATCGCATCGCCGTGTGACTTGACAACAACACCAGCATCCAGCAACTCCTCAAAAATAATAGATCTGTGACTACAACGCTTCAGTGCCACAGCTTCCCAAGCCTGGAGAATAGGAGGTCGCAGGGTGAATTCCCATGTTCCTCTCCAGGTTAACATAGCAGGCTGCCCTTCCCCAGTTAGCTGTTATCTGAAGAGCATTGCCGATCCCTCTCGTCCATTCCATATCTCCATTAATTTAAGATTCGGCATTTTCATGGCCACCGCTGCCGCTGTCTGGAGCATGTTATCAATCTCAATTGGGCTCTCATCAGGTAGGAGCAGTTGTGAAGTCAGCGCAAGTGAAGTCATGCTGGGCCACTTCCAGGAAGGTTCACAAGACTGGAAGAAGCAGCTGGCATCTACAATAAATGATGCTGAGAGTTTCTCAAGCTTAAGACTAGGTTTGGCGACTGCCCAGCTGACACCAGAGGTCGGGGTTCGGATAGGGTTGCAACCAAAAAAACTACCCGTAAAAGCTGGTGGGTACTGTTGGTTGAAATTCTCGAAGAGTATGAGTCTTTGTAATTTGCTAGAAGCGAGCGATTCAAAAAGTGATCGGAAAGCTAGGTCAAAGATGAAGATTGGTAGATTGTCAGCGGCAAGCAATATAGCAATGAACACATACATGGTAGAGAATGATGAACTGACGCAGCAGTACTCACCTTGATCTGTATATCCCTGCTGAATATCCAACCATTCTCTCCAAGGCTCGTAGTAAATCTCCTGCAGTCTGGGAAGACGGGCAAACATCTGTGCTAATGCAGTTGGCTTCCACCGTCGGCGGTTCTGTTGACGTAGAAGCACACCTGTTATTACTGGGACTAGTGGCAGTTGCTGCCACCACTGGTTTTCCTGATCGTCATCATCAAATGGCCTTCACCCATGATTTCCTCAAAAACTTTGTCGATACCAGCCCTGGGTGGAGGGGAATATTGACTTCCAGCAATCCAACCATGCTGGTGGTCATCCAGTTTGACCAGCATTGACTGCTCTATGGATACATTTAGATCACACTTATCAGAGGGGATATCTGGCCCAAAGGTCAGATATTTGAACCAGTGCTCCGAGTCACTGGGGGAGTGGACACTAATATCAAGCAGCAAGTTGCCATTTGGCTCCCATGTGTTGAGGGTTGAGAACAGGTCCTGGAGTGCTGTGGTAATTAGGGTATTGTCTGTGTTGCTAATCCCCATAATCTCTGGATATTGAAGCGCACACCGGGTGCAATCATATTCCTCGAGTTCCAAGCAAAGCCATATGTAGCGTACAAGAGCCCGATTACGGTGAATAATTGAACCAAAGTCAGCGAGGCGTGACAACGTGATGTTGATTTGGGCGAAATTGTGCTGCTCAATAATCATCTGCCACTCTCGAGACACTGTAGCGAAGCCAGCCAAGCTACAGTCATCCTGCAGTAAGGCTTGCAGGACCAGAATACGGATCTCCGCAGGCAAACAACACCAAGACGTCTTATCAGCTGTCATTAATGACATTGGTGTCACTTTCATGAAGGATGGTAGGAAAGAGGGTCGCTGGGTAACTAGGAGTGGAACAGCTAGTCTTGCGTGACCTCGCTGCTGAGGGACGCAGATTCCACTGCTTAGCAAACGATGAGAATATATGAATCAGGGACGTACTAGGGGTAGTAGTGAATAGTAGTGTAGGTCATAAGTGTATAAGCTAGAAGAAGGAAAGATATCGGTGCAAAGACCATATGTTTTCGATACTAGATACAAGGAGAAAAAGAAGAAAGGGGAGTGGTGGAAGGCAGGGAGATAAATGGGGCGGGTTACATGATTTTTACACAGTAGATGGGGGCTCTTACCAGGGATAGCATATTCCATTTTATTCAGTTGCATCAGGCAGACCGCCGGCTCCCACGTAACGTTACTTAATTAAGCATGGCTCAGATCAGGCTCACTGATCTGCTCAGCGCGTTCAGAGTATCGGGCTCAATTCAGACCCTGATTACTCTACTACATTAGGTATTATATGTGGTATACTTAGTGGAATACACTAGAAAATCCGCATGTATCTCATTTGACTTTTCGTAAATCGGTAACACATATCTCCCTACAGCGTGTTCTCCCACCTATGCTCCTTGCGCAGTGCCCGTAGCTTGGCCCGCATCTCGTCCAGGAGGACCATGACTCCCGGACACAGCAAAACCGTCTCATGAAAGCCTTACCCTTTCATCTGGACTCCCCCAGAATTAATGATCGCTGCCTCTTCATTGAGCCCAGCTTCTTGAGTTCTGATCCCTGCCAGAGGACCCGCTCCTCAAGAGGTTTGCAAAGGTCGACGAACAGCTTTGCCATCAGGGCCAAATGCTGGGTGTCGGCCAGTGCATGGTGGTTGTGTCCCGAGAGTGGGTGGTTCTCTTCGAAAAGCAGCAGAAACAACACCGGTAGGGATAGAGGAAATCGCCGGCCTTGGTAGCAGGTCCTACCAATCACCCTGCTCACGTTCATACGAAACTCCATGAGGAGCAAACCGACATTCTCATCCCCGGGGAGAACGTCTTGAAAACCTTCAGCCTCCAGCCAGTCTCTCAAATAAGACAGGTCGAAGCCTCATGTCGCCCATGACAGGAAAGTGTTTCTCTTAGAAATATCGATTTCTCGGAATTGTCCAGCGACTCTCTTTGCATCGAGGGTCCCGTCCTGCGAGTATAAGGCGCTGGTATTCTTTTTATGCGCCTTTTGCTGCCAAGTTGACGGTGCAGGGAGTTGCGACGAGGAAGGCGCGATGATTCCCTTACTATATGTCGAAAGGCAGTTGAGGTCCCACTGCTCAGAAGCCGCTTTTTCGAACACATTTCTGAGCTCATCCATCGCGATTTTTTCTTCGACAAGGAGGTCCGGCGTCCAGGAAAGAAAGTGTTTATGGCAGAGTTTTGAGCCCTCCCATGCAGGATGAGGCAGCTCTCATGGCTGCACGCTTTCTGATCAGCATCTGCTTCCAGAAAATGAGACCTCAGAAACTCGTTGAACATAAAACGCCATGGCAGGATGCGCATTGGGGTTTGAACCCAATATGCTGCTGGCCTGAAGGCAATTTGTTTGAAAAGAAAACCTGTCTCGAACGAGATTGTCGCGCCATTCGGGCACACCTGCGTACTAAGCACTAGTCCTTCAACGAGCCTTCCCGGCCCTGGAAACTTGAGGCTGTAGTGCCGTGAACCTTCAAGCCGAGCAGCTGAATTACGGGAATCAGCAATGGCGTATGAGGCAACAATACTTTATATTTCTTACTTTTCTTGGAGATGTCTTGGTTCTTTGGCAAACGGTCCAGCCACGCAGCTGCCGACTCCGTAGTCGGATCACATTCGAAATCCTCAGAATTCTCGAGTTCCTCGTTCTTAGAACGCTCCCGAAATCTCCTCGGTCTCCGTCTTCTTCAACCATTGCTAACGGTTCATCCTCGACTTCAATATTCCTACCAGAGAGCGAATTCAAGACCTGTTGTTCTCCTTAAATGAGGCCCATCGGTTCTTTCGTTTTTACGTATCTTTAAAGGGGGGCATTCCCCCTCTTGAAAATGTTTCCATTGGGCAAAGGAGCTAGATGGTGACAACTTCCTGCAATCAGGAAATTAAAGCTTGGAGAGATGCGCAGTAAGAAGATTGACTATTTCGGTATGACCGGCGTCTTCTGCGGCTTGGAGAGCTGTGCGGCCGTTAAACTGGACAGGTTTATCGTCGACGATGGCATTTTCTTTAATAAGCAGTTTCACAATCTCGATATGACCGGCGCCTGCTGCAGCTTGGAGGGCTGTGCGGCCGGATTCCCTAGTAGGCTGAGCGTTGACGTTGGCCTTTTCTTTAATAAGCAGTTTCACAATCTCGATATGACCAGCGCCTGCTGCGGCTTGAAGGGCTGTGCTACCAGATTCCCCAGCGTCGACGTTGGCCTTTTCTTTAATAAGCAGTTCCACAATCTCGATATGACCAGCGCCTGCTGCGGCTTGGAGGGCTGTGCGGCCTCCATTCAAGGCAGGTTCAGCGTTGACGTCGGCCTCTTCTCTTAGAAGCAGTTTCACAATTTCGATGTGACCGGCGCCTGCTGCGGCTTGGAGTGCTGTGCGGCCGTTAAACTGGACAGCATTATCGTCGACGATGGCATTTTCTTTAATAAGCAGTTTCACAATCTCGATATGACCGGCGCCTGCTGCGGCTTGAAGGGCTGTGCAGCCGTAAAACTCGGCAGGTCCAGCGTTGACGTTGGCCTTTTCTTTAATAAGCAATTTCACAATCTCGATATGACCGGCGCCTGCTGCGGCTTGGAGGGCTGTGCGACCTCCATTCAAGGCAGGTTCAACGTTGACGTCGGCCTTTTCTCTTAGAAGCAGTTTCACAATTTCGATGTGACCGGCGTCTGCTGCGGCTTGGAGGGCTGTGCGGCCTTCATTCACGGTAGGTTCATCGTCGACGATGGCCTTTTCTTTAATAAGCAGTTTCACAATCTCGATATGACCGGCGCCTGCTGCGGCTTGGAGGGCTGTGCAGCCTTCATTCAAGGCAGGTCCAGCGTTGACGTTGGCCTTTTCTTTAATAAGCAGTTCCACAATCTCGATATGGCCGGCGCCTGCTGCGGCTTGAAGGGCTGTGCGGCCTTCATTCAAGGCTTCAGCGTTGACGTTGGCCTTTTCTTTAATAAGCAGTTCCACAATTTCGATGTGACCGGCGCCTGCTGCGGCTTGGAGGGCTGTACGGCCTTCATTCAAGGCTTCAGCGTTGACGTTGGCCTTTTCTTTAAGAAATAGTTCCACAATCTCGATGTGACCGGCGCCTGCTGCGGCTTGGATCCCAGTCATACTACAGATTGAAGAATAGGATTCAACATCCACGCCACTCTTAATGAGGCGATTGGACATGCTCGCAATTCCGTTCAGAGCTGCCCAGACCAACAGGTCAGCGTCGCGACCGATGTCAGCAAAGTCGCTTTGCCATCCATTGGTTTGCTCTAAGGTGCGAAAGATGATATCCCCATTAGAATTTGTCAAAACCAGTTTCTCCATTATAATCTTCGCCGCGTCTGCATGGCCATAGTTGGCCGCCAGGTGAAGACCCGTCTTGCGATCCCAATTAATTGCTGTAAGACTCTGTTTGTCGCATAGAGAACTAATTACCTGAGTCTTCCCATTAGAAGCTGCTAGGTGCAGAGGCACTTGTCCATTCTGATCTGAAATATCAGACGTGGCTTTCTCGTGTAAAAGCAGTGACACGCATCCCTGCGATCCCCGCCACGCTGCTCGAGACAAGGCCGTTTGGCCCGCCAAATCCTGAGCATCAATGTAGGCACCACTGTGGAGTAGGAACTGCATAATTTCCTGGTTGCCTTTCTCTGCAGCCCAGTGCAATGGCGTTCGACCAAAATCATCGCTGAGATTGACATCAATGTCGAATTCTCCGACAACGTTTTCCAGAACAGATCCTTGATTATTCTCCACCGCGCAATGTATGAGAGTTCTCCCTAGCCAATCCTTCCAACATCCAGAAGTGGGGTGGTTTCTCATGACTTCTACTACTCTCTCGACGTTTCCTACGCTAGCCGCCCAATGAAGAGCGGACATGCCATTCTCGTCTAGGATGATAGATCTAGGGGTCTCGAGAGGTGGCTGCACAACATCTTGTCGGTCGCTCCTCGATGCCGGGCCCATCATTGTAGCCTAGTGTTTGTCTCGGAGGGTATTGCGAAGGGTAGGGAGAGGTTTCCTTTCGTGGAATTGCGCTGGCTGCGGAATCAGAGAAAAAAGAGGATAATAGCACGGCTATCTTTCTCAGTAAAAGCTTATATTCGGCGAGTTTAACTAAAGAATGCCAGAAGAAGTGAACGAGTGCTCGAGTGAATGCGGAGTGGTATGGTATTCACTTGACACGTAGTTTAGCGCCAGCCCCCTCCCTGCTCAGCCCAGCTACTCCAACCAGAGTACAGGCGTAAGTACATACACAGTTCGCCAATTTTGTTTCTTGCGCTTTCTTTTGATCTTCATTGAGTAACAAACACTTTTAGAACCCTTCCATTGCTGCCAAAATTCATGGTCAAGGCGTCGATTGATTCAAAGGCTTTACGCGAAGCTTTGTTCGCAATCTCTCACCTTTTTTGTGGTTTTGTACTCGGTTTGTTATTTCAACTTCGAAATTTCGTCAAGCGCTCATGTTTCTGTCTGTTGTCTCGTTCTGGCCAATCTGAGCAGCGGCTCCGGCATATATTGTCAAGAATTGGAATTCCTACAGGTCACATACAGGAATTTTACCCCTCATCAATATTTCCTATTGTGTATTAGTCTTTTTAGTTAGTTCGCCCTCCTAAATTGTCGGGCATTCCCAGATTTATCTGAAATCAGAGATTGATTTCTTCATGATTTACACTTCCATGTGGGACTGTCGTACGCCCAGATTTCGACATATATCTTTACGTACACACACATCACAGCTTGCTGTTTTCCAGATTTGAACACCGATATCATAGCAGCTACACGTTTTATATTCGGCATTCTCATGCTGGCGCTTCCTGTGGTCGCAAGTGATGCTTCCACCAATGATGTTGGGTGGCAGGGCAGCCCCAATAATCGAGGAACTTGGGACATTATCCTCAGTTGTGGAACGACTATTTTCGCATGCACATGGAGTATCCAACATTTGAATGTACCAGCGACACAAGACAGCACCATCAAAAAGATAGTACGAAGCTGCCGATGGATGGTCATCACAATCTTGTTTCCCGAATTCATTTTGGCACATGCGTTCTTCGAGCTCTTGATGGCAATTGAGGCCACAAAATTGATTGAGGGAACTGGAAGCATGGCAGTGACATATCCGAGGTTAATCAAGGGGCTTTTAATTCGAAGTCATATGCAAAATAAGGACCCAGAACAGGGCAAGCATTATGATAAGCCAGAGTGGACACTCACACACTCATATTTCGCCAATATGGGAGGCCTTTTCTTCAACCATAAAGATGAGCAGGGACATACCGAGTTCCCTCTGACAGCCTTTCAATATGCCAGAGAGCTTGACCGTTATTCTTGCGCGCCAGTTTACGAAGACGAGATCAAAGACAAGGGCAAACAGGATTTCTTCGCCAAGGGAATTGCCACACTGCAGATAAGCTGGTTGATTTTATCACTTATCACTCGAAAGGCGCGGAGCTTGCCTTTCTCTCAATTTGAAACGCTCACCTTGGGTCTCGCGGTCTGCGGTGTGGCCATTTATGTCGTATACTGGTACAAGCCTCAAGGCGTTGGTGTCCCGATAAAGGTTGCAAAACGAGAAGGCTCCGTGGTGCCCCAATTTTCTAGAACATACGACAGCTTTTGGGATGTTCTTTCAAACTCGAGAAAAAACCCAAGTTTTCAGCGGGTCCACCGAATCAAGAATGACAACATCCCTCTCGCCGAGTCAGATAAATGGAACACAGCGATCATTGTCTTGGGTATATTGTCTGCGTTGTTTGGCTGTCTTCATATAATCGCATGGAATTTCGAGTTCCCCTCCGAGGTGGAGAAGCTCCTTTGGAGAATCGCAACTGTGATGTCGATTTTAGTTCCTGGACTTGGGTTGAGCACTCTTCTGCTGGCACAAATCACCACCCCGGATGGTGACCCCCGAGAGTTTATGCGCAATTGCCTCTATGTTCTGAGGGAATTGTCATGGTTCTATCATGATACCTGTGGCGTCTCGAGGGCAATGATAGCCTTGGAAAATATTTACAACAACCAGAGCTCGGAAGGAGAAAACGCACAGTGCTCATACAAACATATTCTTACCATCGCTCACACTGGAGCTCCACTTTGGATAGAGATGCTCAAGTTTATGAAAAAAGAAACCCCATACGAGAAAAGCAATTCAACTCAGGTGCCCGAGGAATTTCTATCTCAGTTCAGCTTTCTTGTCAAATTGTTGAATGAAGAAGGGCCAAAAAAATTGATAGATTGCGCAAAGCCTAACTTGTTCCCCCGTCGACTCTTGATTTCAAGCTGGGTGAACTTGTTCATTCTGTATGCCACCAACCTGGTCTACATTGCGTCCAGACTTATGATCATGGCTTTGGCTCTCGCGAGTCTTAGGTCTATGCCAGAACAGGTTTATATCACAACATGGACAAGGAATATTCCAGCCATACAATAGCTTGTCGTATACGGTGTGCGTGTTGTTCACGGTGATTTCCTAGACGTCGTGTCTTATAAAGGTCATGTGCTTAATCATACACGTGATAGGAACTTCGGGCCGCAACATCTATCTACCCAAGGTGTTTTCGCTTTAAGTGTACCGTGTTCCGTGGCTCAATCCAGATCCTGATTACTCTACTACATTATTTATGTATGGGATGTATTTGATGGAATGCAGTAGAAAATCCGCATGTACTTCATTTCACTTTTCGTAAATCGGTAACACACATCTCCTCTACAGTGTGTTCTCCAATCTGCGCTCCTTGCGCAATGCCCGGAGCTTGGCCCGCACCTCGTCCAGGGGAACCATGATGCCCTTGCTCTGGGTGTTTTGATCGTCTCTATTGCGGACATTCACCGACCGGGACTCCTTCTCTTGGGCGCCGACGACTGGGAGAGTATTGTTAGTATTTTTTATTTTCATAGACAAGAAACAAAGGGTCAACCTACCGAAAATAAAGTTGTAATATGAGAGCTGCCCATTGCGGATTTTCTTAGGGAGAGTGTTGCCGCTGATGTCAATGTCCACGTTTAGCTTGTCCCCGCGCAGGATCTGCTGCAGCTCCTCGGCGTAATCGTTCACGGTGGGCATGACCGGAACGATCAGAATCTGGCGAGGACTGATCCAGAATGGCCACTTGCCGCCAAAATGCTCGATCAGGATGCCCAGGAACCGCTCGAAACTGCCGATGATGGCGCGGTGGATGACCACGGGGCGGGCACGGCCGGGGCCGGGCTCGCCCTCCTTGGTCTCGCCCTCTTTGGCCTCGGACTTCTCATTGGTCATGTACTCTAGCTTGAAGTTGACGGGAGCCTGGTAATCCAGCTGGATGGTGGCGCACTGGAACTCCCGCTTGAGGGCATCGGCGATGGTGATGTCGATCTTCGGACCGTAGAATGCACCGTCGCCCTCATCGATGGTCCAGTCGTTGCCTTGGAATTTGGTCAAGGCCGCCTTCAGCTGCTCCTCGGCATAGTCCCAGGTCTCCTTCTTACCAAGATACTTCTCAGGGCGGGTAGAGAGCTTCAGCTTGAAGGTGAAGCCAAACAGGCGGTAGATGGACTGCAAGAAATCAAAGAGGCCTTCAATCTCCGACGAAATCTGCGAAGGCTCGCACAGGATATGGCTGTCATCCTGTACAAAACGGCGCACGCGGGTAAGACCACTCAGGGCACCAGAAGCCTCGTTGCGGTGCAAGACACCAAAGTCTGCGATTCTCATAGGAAGCTCACGGTAACTCCGGTCACGGTGACCAAAGAGACGAAAGTGGCCGGGACAGTTCATGGGCTTCAGAGCCCACTCCCGCTTCTCAACGTCCAGCTTGAACATGTCATCCGCGTAGTGTTGCCAGTGGCCAGAGGTCTTCCAGATACCCACATCGTACATGTTCGGGGTCTGCACTTCTTGGTAGCCTCGCTTGCGGTACTCGGACCGCAGAAGCGACTGGAGAGCGTTGACAATCTTGGTGCCGTTGGGGAGCAGGAAAGGGCATCCAGGGGAGGCTTCGTCGAAGAAAAACAGCTCCTGCTCCTTCCCGATCTTCTGGTGGTTGCGCTTCTCGGCCTCTTCCAGGAACTTCAGGTGCTCGGACATTTGCTTCTTGTCCGGGAATGCGACACCACGAATTCGCTGCAGAGAGTCGTTGCTCTGGTCGCCCAGGAAATAGGCCGACGAGTTCTATTCCAAGATTTTAGAAAGTTGGATCTGTTTTTTCATGGCTGGGTCACCTTACCTGCATGATCTTGAAGGTCTTGACCTTGCCGGTGTTCTGGATGTGCGGTCCTCGGCAAAGGTCGACCAGGGTTCCGCAACGGTAGACCGTGCTCTTCTCCCCGGTGACCAGCTTGTCAATGTAGTGCAGCTTGTACTTGCTGTACGAGAACATCTTCTTGAGGTTCTCCTTGGTGACCTCCAACCGGTCGAAGCTCTGCTTCTCCTTGAATATCCGCGATGCTCGGCTATCGAGCGACGACCAGTCGGCCTCTCGAACCACACGTCTGTGACCGTTCAGTAACAATTCGCAACATCTGCTGAGTGTGACTCACCCTTCCGGAATAGCCATATCATAGAAGAAACCCTGAGCAGTCGGGGGGCCGTGGGAAAGGAGACAGTGGTATTCGCATTCGCAGGCCTCACCCAGACAATGGGCACTGGAGTGCCAGAAGACCTCCCTGCCCTCGGGGTTGGTGAAAGGAATGAGAACGACCTTGCAATCGCGCTCCAAGGGGCGGTTCAGATCCCACAACTCCCCGTCCACCTTGGCAATCACCACATTGGCGCTCACATCCTTGGGCACATCTCGCAGGAACGACCCCGGAGTGGTCTCGAAGGCTTTGGCGGGGACGGGAGAGGGGTTGCCGTCGCCAATGTCCAGGGTGACATTGATTTCAGGCTTCGGGCAGGATTTCATATCCTCGAGATACTGCTGCCACAGTTCCTCAAACAGATTGTTCCGCTCGACAATGAAATCCGGGAGGGTGTCGGCGCTCGGTGCGGCGTTCTTCTTGTTTGGCGGGGCAGGCTCAGCAGCAGCATTTTCACCCTTGGCGGCGGCGGCGGGCCGAACAGGCAGGTCCTTGGGGGCCTCAGAAGCCATGATGTTAGTGCTTCAGCGACTGAGCAGGAAGGCGGGGGGAAACTGAAGAGTGGTGACTCAGGTACACAATCGACAGGACAATTCCAAACCCAAAATGAGCGACTAGGCGGTGAGTCATGTGACGGCCCACTGCCCTGGCGACTAGCGACACTTTACCCGTTCGAGATTTGCACCAGGAAAACTTCAATTCACCCCATTCCTTACCCCAACGCCAAATTAAACATGTCATTCCGTGGAGGCCGTGGTGCTGCCGGTGGCGGCCGCGGTGGTTTTGGCGGCCGTGGAGGTATGCAATCGCCCCCCGGGGTCGAGTTGTGGGAGGTCGGCGAGAGCTAACGAAATTTTTTTTCTCCAGGTCGCGGAGGCTTCCAGCAGTCTTTCGGTCCGCCCGCGCAAGTTCTCGGTAATTATATGCGAATGCTACGTGGTTTTTGGATCTAGTGCTGATATTCCGGTAGAGATGGGAACGGTCATGCACGCTTGCGAAGGCGAAATGGTCTGCGAATCGATCAACCCGAAGATCCCCTACTTCAACGCTCCGATCTACCTCGAGAACAAGGTGCGCCCCGGGTCAGACCCTGCAGATCGAACCTTTGCGCTAACCAATTGATGTTAGACTCCCATCGGCAAGGTCGACGAAGTTCTGGGTCCTATCAACCAGCTGTTCTTCACCATCAAGCCCCAGGAAGGCATTGTCGCAACTTCGTTCAAGCCCGGCGACAAGGTGTTTATTGGCGGTGATAAACTGCTTCCTCTGGAGAAGTACTATATTCCTCCCCGGTTCTGGTCGTGCCAGTACTGACATTCGCAATCCAGGTTCCTCCCCAAGCCCAAGGCCCCAGGTGGTGCCAAGCCCAAGCGTGCGGGCGGTGCTCGCGGCGGTGCTCCTCGCGGTGGCCGTGGTGGCCGCGGTGGCTTCTCTCGCGGCGGCGGTGGTGGTTTCTCTCGCGGCGGCGGCGGCGGCTTCTCCCGTGGCGGCGGTGGTGGCTTCTCTCGTGGCGGCTCGCGTGGGGGCTTCTCTCGCGGCGGCAGCGGTGGCTTTTCTCGTGGTGGCCCCCGGGGTGGTTCGCGCGGTGGTGGTTTCCGTGGTGGCCGGTAGAGAGGGATTCACCAGCACACTGTCTTCTTTTGGCGTTTGGGGGATTCGGGAGCTTTTCCAGGAATATCGTTCTTCTTGTGCATCCTGACACATCTTTGCCGTTCTGTGGCTGCAGGGACTGTAGAATATATCCAGTCACAAAAAAAATCAATGGTTGTTCAATATTCATTTCACTAGTACTCCTATGCGCCTCGACTTAACGACCGGTAGAACTACTACTCCTCGTAGTCTGTAACTATTCGTGGCTGTGTGTGGCGCAGGGCACCACCGCCTTCCAGACCTGCTGCCCTTCGGAATGACGTTGACCGCTTGATTGTGCGTCCGTCAACACTCCACACCAGACCACTCCATTCTACCCTCGTAGCACCCCGGTGGCCTCTATTGATTTCTCTATTCCTATCCACTTGAGCATGTCACGCCGGACATCCGCCATGGCACGCAGCGATTCTTCGACCAGTGGTGTCCCGCCTTCGGGCGACGGAGGTCGGCTCGCCAATTCCTTGTTTTCACCCGGCCATGGCTCACAATCTGCAGGTCAGGAAAAACAGAAGATGCTTCTTTCGTCGGAGAGGGGGCATTTCAGTTTGGTGAAGTGAGTCTCCTTCCTGTTGGTTTTTTTTTAATTTCTTTTCGATCTCCGTGCTGCCTAGCCTCGAGTGACTGGACTGACTTGATTCCTTCTCTGCAGAGCTCTCCACCTGGCGGATCTGGTCACGGAACTGAATGGTATGATACCCCCTCGGCCTTCGACTGGGCAATTAATTGACATCTCACAGGTTTCTGCGGAGGCAAGCACTTTTTTTTTCTTCTTCCTCTCTCTCTTCCCCGCAGGAGCAGCCTTACTGACCGCCGATCCAGTCATGTCTGTTTTCTCGTCGATGCGCTACTGTCTCGGTGACCCGTCGGACTACTGCTCTCTATGGGCTGCTCTTGCATTCATGCCGTTCGGCCTGTTCTTCGATTTCATGGATGGAAAGATTGCACGGTGGCGCAAGAAGTCGTCGTTGATGGGCCAGGAACTTGACTCGCTGGCAGATCTCGTATGTGTACTTGATCCCAGAACATGGTCGACATGGTACTGACGCTCTGGGTCTTCTTGTTTAGATCTCCTTCGGCCTCGCTCCCGCCTCTGCCGCTTTCGCACTCGGCATCCGCACCCCGCTCGACCATCTCCTCCTGGCCTTCTTTGTTCTCTGCGGTCTGACCCGTCTGGCTCGGTTCAATGTCACAGTTGCCGTGCTGCCCAAGGACAGCAGCGGCAAATCCAAGTTCTTTGAAGGCACGCCCATCCCGACGACTCTGGCTATTTCCTCGCTCATGGCGTACTGGGTATCGCAAAGCTGGACTCACGAGAACATTCCCTTCGGTCTTATTGCAGAAGGCTCCATTTTTGAATTCCACCCGGTAGCCCTGCTGTTTGTCTTGCATGGCTGTCTAATGGTTAGCAAGACGATACACATCCCCAAGCCCTGATCTCTCTTTCTTTCGAAAGGACCGGCAAGGATAAGAGAATACCTTATTTGTCTGGATCTGTTTTCCGTCTCTTACGTGGATGATACACGATGAAAATAGTTCAGTGAGAGAGCTAGCAAGCCGGGACACGAGATCTTCAATATACAGAAACGACGGGCGATTAACTATTGGGCCCTGCCATTATCAGCCTCAACAGCTACCCGCTTGTGGTTTCTTCAACTAGTTCCATGGTACACGTAGTGCACAGTCTGGTCCTCCAGGGCATCCTTTAGGGTTAGTAGATGTATGCAATATTGACAAGCACATCGCGGTGATGGATGAATAGCGTCATACTTTTCAGATATACCTTTCATCCTCCGGGTGTTCCGGTCAGTTTTTCCTCTCGAGTGTTACTGTTCGCATATCCGAGATCTTCTCAAGCCAAGGTAAGAAGTATCTACAGACTCAAGAGATACAGACTAAATTAAACATCACAGCCACCAACCAGATCACAATACACCATGACCATCTTTTACCAGGAGACGATCGCCGACAAAAACTCCACCAATTCCTCCATTCGCCAATGTTTCCATTGCGAAAGCGAACAGCTCGTCGAAAACGCTGCCAGCGAAGAGAATCTCAATGGCAACGCCGGAAGACCCTATCTGCGCTGCGAAGCATGTGGCAACTTCCAGTGCTGGCTAGATCCTCGCGGAAGCAGCATCCCAAACCCACTCTGCTTGTGCGGTTGGCCTAGCCGGCAACAAGTCGCTGGGAACGGGGCACGCAATCCTGGCGGTCTTCACTTTGTGTGCGAACATGGGCGCTGTTGGTTTCATGAAAAGGTGCTGGATCAGAATGGGAAGCAGATTGTCGTTGCCCAGGAGAGGTCTCCGACTGCTATTAAGCATATTTATGTTTGAGATGGGGAGGGAGGTGATACGTGCTGTTTTTCATAAAGAGGTGTCTCGTTGGGCCTTTTCGGGATGTGGATAAGTATGGCTTAGTATGGCTCTCTCTGTATCGCTGTCTCTGTTTGTGAGTGGAAATAAACGGCCTGCGAGCTGTCTATCCTCAATGGGAACTAATGTTCGGAAGGTCCGGATAGTTCCTAGACCTGATATTACGCATATGATTCCAACAGGAAACAAAACCATAAAGGTCTTGTAGATTTTGTCATCGGTCGATCATCTCCAGTCAGCAGAAACACTGATGGGTCTTGACCCGGATGAAAAGCGTTGCCTCGATGTGCGCAAAAAAATTCCCTTCGGTCTAGTCTTTCTATTTATTTCTCTTTTCTCGCAGGGTGGGGTGGTTTTCTTTCCACCGGTGGAGATGTGGGAGCGTTCTAGCCCTCGCCACCAACCTGTGTGTAGTGAGACAAGATCCTTCGAAAGATTTTCTTCTACGGAGTAGACAAGTCTAGACAAGATGATTACTGTGCGAGGATGGTATTTTTCATCGTCTATCTCAGCCCGAGGGAAATATGTAGTCCGAATTGATGCATGAGGGAGTGCCACGCATCTTCGGTCTCACTATTTGCACTTGGTGTCATCAAGACTAAGCTGTCAAAATCTATTCTACTTTAATATCTAACCTAACAGTAAATCCAGTCTCTTGGATATTAATCTAGTCGCCATGGACAGTGTCTGGTGCAGCATTGACGTGCAAGGGGGGGGATTCTGCAAGGCGCGGCAGGTGATATATATCTTTGGAGCTATATATTAACGCCACACTCGAATCGAAAGTGGAACATAACGTGGCACCCCTTATCGACTGCCTCATTATTGTTTATGAGCTCCAACGTTACCTCTCATAACCGTGACTCTATTAGTGTCTTCCTGAACCGATTCCTTCTGATTCAGCCTGGGTCTGTTCTCAGGCCTGTTATTGGCTGACTTCAAAATTTAACCAACATCGTCACCATGGGCCACACCGCCACTAGGAAAAGGCAAATTCTAGACTATCTCTACATTCATTATTGCCACCCGTGTCCATCTGTATACTCGTACACATGTAAACGCGGGATGACCAGTCTTTCCCCTGGAAAGGAGCGGGAGGGCCGAGCGCGGATCCATGGTACAGACAGAGTAACCGAGGGTGTACAACGATGTTTGTTGACGCTATAGCAAGTCAATAAAGAACAATAATCACCGTTGTTAAGCAGTCTATCGAGTTCTGTACTGCCAATTTCAAGCACATTGCCCTGCTTGGCGGTTGTCAAGCGAGTCCATTAGGGCTGTTTCGACCAACCCCGGACACGGGAAATGGGCTCCATCCACTAGCGATCCTTATTCCGCTCCGGGATTCGTTAGTGGGAGAAAGAACCCCAACGGTCTTCGTGTTGTTCACACCGGAGAGTCAGAGGCCTTTCAGCTGAAACGAACCTGCTCCCGTACGATTCCGCGCCAGGATACCTCGCGTGGCAATATGAAGTAATTACAGACAATCCCGCGCACGCCACTCTGGAGCCACCGCAGCGCCAGGGCGGGCCTAGCGCCTGCCGTAGTGTGTCGCGCTTGGCTCCAAGGGGAAAAACGATCGCTGGCCACCCCTGATGAGTCAGTCTGATAAGCATTGGTGATTGGCCCACTGTCGGATGATGCTGTGTGATGGGTTGAAAACAAAGGCGCCCAAGTACCCGAAACCTCTGGGACTGCAGATCCACCGCCCGTCCGTCAGGTACCTGCTACCTCTGGGGAGAACGGACCCCTGCTTCCGCTGACCCCTAGTCAATCTCCTTGCCCCTGCCTGACCGAATTTGATTCTCATTCTTTCCTTCATCATCATCATCATCACCACCACCAGCATCCCCACACTCGTTTCTTGGTTGATCGAACCTCGCCTCGACCCTCGGTTTGATTACCGTCACTCCTTTTTATTCCGACCCCTCGAACCTGTTCACAATTCGACTGGCACTCCTCCCGACACCGACCCGGTAGACCTGAACATCTGGCCTCGAATCCCTCGAAAAACGCGACGAATGGGTCGACTTTGAACCGCCGGAATTCAAACGCGGTTTCTCAACATATCTTTTCCCCAACAGGTTACGCGGGTCGTTTCCTGATTCTTTGATCACTGCGACTGTGTCCGGTGGTGTTTTTTTTAAATCCTTCCTGCCTTCCTTTTCGGCAAACCACAATGGGCTTCACCATGCGGACGGCCCTGACGGCCCTGACGGCCTCGACTCTTTTTTTAGTGGCAGCAGCGGAGCCCGTTGCTGAGCCCATCAGCGTGCTCGCTGAACGGGCGACGATGCAATATGTCGCCTGCTATGATAACAGTGAGGGTCTCACCAACCAGACCTCATACAATTATCAAAGCCAAGGATGGTGCCAAACCTACTGCGTTAATATGAACGCAGCAGTCTTCGCCATGACCAAAGGATCCGACTGCTTGTGTGGAGATGAACTGCCTCCCGCATCAGGAAAAGTTTCGGACAGCAAGTGCAGCACCAAGTGTGATGGCTGGCCTTCTGTTATGTGTATGCCTTAAAGCCTTCTAGTCTAGTCAAACCCTCTCGCTAACAAAAACAATTTAGGTGGCGGCACCAACCTCTGGTCTGTTTGGCTGACGGGCCTTGACACTAAAGTCTCCAGTGAAGGCGCATCAACTACCAGCTCCGGTAGCTCGCCCCAACAAACCGACCAGTCTGCGGCCTCGTCTGCACAACGGGAAGAAGTGACTGTGACCCAGTCAGCCGTCGCACAAACAGACAGTTCATCCAGCAGCTCGAGCAGCCACAACACAGCTGCCATCGCGGCCGGGGTAGTGGTAGGTGTGGTTGGACTTGCCGCGCTTATCGGCGCGGCATTCTTCTTCTACCGCCACAAGAAAAGCAAGCAGGAAGAAGAATTCGGCTACGGCGCAGGCGACTATGATTCCCGCGCACCGCCCATGACTGATTCTCGCTTTGACGGAACCTCCATGGCGCAGCGCCGCCAAAGCAATGGCAGCATCGATGAGAACCATGACTTCTCCCGCCGGATCTTGCAAGTTTCCAACCCGGACCACTACTAAGTATCCTGCAAGCCAGAAGGTCTCTCTCATCGCCACCGCTCCTCTACTCTTTCGTCTCCTAGTCGTCGGATCACATCCATCCACCTTCGACCGCCTCACCGCTTGATGAGCATTCTGTTTCTACCTTTTCCTCGGGTTATCTCGCGGCGTTATGATATCGAGCGACATTTGACTTGGCCCAAGTCAGTGTCCATACTTTGCTGGTTTCTTTTCTGGTTATGTCCTGAGTGTCCGCCGTCTCGGTCTCTGGCTGAAATGGCGCGTTTCTCCGGACTCACTCTTTTGGGGAGCATACCGTTTCGTCCTTTCCAGAGAACCCGACCTCGTTCGTGTTCTCCAGTGTGAGGGGATTATGACTGGACCAACCCTCTCGTATCCGAAAAGGCGTTTCTCCCTCTCTACATTATTTCGGCTCTTTCGATGGTCGAATCCTCTCCCTATGAGCGACCCGCTTTTTTTACTTACACGATTCTTTTTTTTCTATCTCCTGTCATCTTGTCTCTTTTTTCTCTCGTGCTTCCCATTCCTGGACAGATTTCCCCCCCCGCCGCCACGTCCCTTGAACTAGGACAATTCTGCTATACTAGCCGTCCAGCTGGCCAGGTCCTGGGATGGGCGGACTGTGTGGAGGAAAGATTTAGCCTGTAGTTACTTAATGCGCGAATGGACATGCACCTCATTCTGAGATCGGTGATTGTTAATTTAGGAGTAAATGGCTTCTAGAACTAAAGGTCTTGATGTGGGCGCCTTGGTATATGCACCTCTCTTCCAAACCTTGCTGTCCGGACAATTTTTGGATTTTTTCTTTTTAATTTTCTCATTTAGTTTTTTTTTTTGGATTATTTTCTTTTCTTTTTGGGGTTTCCACTTGACCCGTTCGGGGTCGCCATCTGTTCCCGCTATGTGAGCGTGGACTGCCTGTTCGAGGATATGCCAGTGGACGTGGGGTGGGCGCAGCGGAACCCCCTGGTGAGTCTCACACGAGAGCGAAGGGATGCAGAGTCGAGAGAAAACATTCTTTCGGGCAGCGCCGATCCATTGACTCCTCATCACTGGGGACAACGGTGAGTGGTCGTTGGCCGGACCCACGGCTACTAAGCCTCCTTCTCCACGGTGATTTGGGCTGCTCGTCGTCTAGGCGTCCAATCATTCCTCTGCCTCTCTTTTTTCCCCGTTCCTCTTGTTCGCGCTCATCTCGTTCCTGGTTGCGAGTGTTGAGTTGACCGACGAGTCATCTGATGAGGTTAGCGATGAGGATGATGGCGTCGACGACGTGGTTGGCGATGCCCTTGTAAGTGGCGCCGAGTTTCCCGGAGGATCGCGTTCAGTCGGTGTGTGTGCCAAGTGTACGTCCATTGTAGCATAAAAGGACGCATCTTGCTCAACTTCCGTATGGTTAACTACAATTATCAACGATTTTTTCTTCTGCAACGTCTCTTATATTCTATACCAGAGCGAGGCTTCTTTGTTATACTCCTATCTCTATATGATGCCTTCATCGCCTTCATCAAACATCAACCTTGACTTACATGCTATGGGTTTCTGGCTCGGTCAGGACAGCCAGGACACCGCTTCTTCCGTGCAGAACCAAGGTCCTGCCTCTTCTGCTTTGCTTGTGATGGATGGCCATCCATACAATGGATATAGTCAAACACCGCCAGAGCTATCGGGATTCAACACCATAGCCCCTTCCACGTTGGCTCAAGCTCCCAACCTCTTGATAATGAACGATAATGAACGACAACTACCGTCGCTTTACCACAGCAGATAGCACAGAAAATTTGACACGACCAAGCCCTGAGAATCCACCGACAATCAACAACATCCCTCCAGGTTTCCTAACGGAGCAGTTAGATGCCAACAAGCTCGAAGGCTCCACTGCTAACGAGAACCCAGCCTGCCCTGGCCCATGGCAATCAGACAGCACCGAGTATGTCCCAAGGGTTTCCATCCGTCACAATGTTGTTTAATATCTAATCTAATTTTTCATTGCTAGGCACTTCCCAGACTCACTCATATGCGGCTGGCAAGGCTGTAGATACACCCACCCTTTTTCGCGCGAGTCGTCTCTCCTACGACACATCCGAACAAAACATATCCCTGGAAAAATGTACAAGTGCCATGAACCGGAGTGCAATCGGTCTTTCAGTCGGAAGGATCATCTACGCAGCCATGAACGAATGGCTCATACACACCTGGTACATCAAGGCAACGCCGAGTACTGCTCCCAATGCCATGTTTGATGGATTTTGGGGATTTGCGTGATGTCTACAAGATTTGTTCATGTTGAGATACCTTCCTGTTTCATATTATTCTCCTAAAATTATGAATTCGTACATGATTATAATAACCCTTAGGGTTTAACATCGGACACATTCAAGAGCTATCGGATTCTAGTCTGCATAGAAGAGATAGGGATATTTAGCGCCATAGTGAGTTGAGAATATCAGTCAGACCTTTAGCACTAGATAGTGAATGGGATGGCTGCCCTGACATGTGCCCAGGTAAGGCCTCAACGTGACTAATATTCGTGCTTCTTTTCTGATACAGAACTAGGATCGTCAAGTGCAAGCTGGGAAATTGTAGCATGTAACTCGCGTATTGTGCCTGGGGTGTGGTGTTGCCGAGAAGCAGGTATGAAGAACCGAGTTCATCTGTTGAAAATATTTTTTCCTAACATAGGACACTTGGGAAAACCTGGCGATGCTGCTCGAACTCCTCGGCAGTCGTTACGACAAATATGGGAAAGCTTGTTCTTCCCACTCTTACGATATCAGGGACAACCGCAACCATGCCTGCTGCTACAGGGATTCTAGTCACTGTAACCGCCACGGCCGAGGCTTCCAGAGAAAACAAGCCAACATGCTCCGATTCTAACATTCTTGCCGTTGGCGCCGGTGTCGGAGTTTCTCTGGGAGCACTGTTGGTGGCATCCATCGCGATTCTGGTCTGGAGAGAGAAATCTCGTTCGAAACTACAGACAGACCCAGCAAACCCTGTCTCCTATCCAACAAACCACACGACAAATGGGAAGTTTAAAAATTTGAATTCTCCAGTAGAAATGGACTACTCGACGGCATACGAAATTGATGGGAATGCAAGGAACGAAATCTATGGGAACGCGAGGAAAAGCTAGATGATACGTAGGCGCAAGATTTGGTGGCGGCCATTCTATTGAAGTGTCGAATAGCCTCTGGAACTTTGGAGTGTCTCCGGTGAATGTTGCATACGGTCACGATGAAACACGTGGTTCCAAAGAGTCGCATGGATATCTTTACGAGACTGTTGGCGTACAGCAACAGAGAGTTGGTGGAGTGGCAACCACTTCGCGGGCGGAGAAAACGCATGCCGGTATTTGAGCGTGAAATTTGGGCTCCTCCAGTTTGAACAGGCTCGCTGTAGTGTAGTGGATAGCATATTTTTCTGGGGTTTTATGCCTGCTGGTAGTCATTTTGATATTACTTCTCGAGATAAATATCTCATGCTTCCTGAACTGTACGCCGGCGAGCGTCGTACCCAACTACCCGTTGATAATTCCGAGACATCTCCTGATTATCTGTAAGACAGGGTTTCTCTATAGAGCAAGTTGTTAAGTCGATCGTGGAATGCGGGGATGTGGCAATGATCTCCACCGCCTGATGATACCTTGGACGGTGGCGAGGTTTGTCTGACGTCCAAAGTTCTCACAATTCTCACCCCTTCAACTGTCACAACTGTGTGCTTAGAAGTATTTGTTTTGCGCTGTAGTCCGGTGTTCTGGCACGGGACTTTCATCTCGGCACTTGATATTCACCACAACCAGATATCAAAATCCTGCACCGGGCGCGCATCTACGTTGGTTCAAATACCGGGCCCGCATCATGCCTCGCAAGCGCAAAGCATCTATCTCAGCCGCCGACTCGAAGACAGAAGAGCCCACCGAGGATGCACCGCCATCGAAAGAGCCCAGGAGTGAATCCTCGCAGGTTCACACGATGGAGCCATACCCGGCATCAAAAGTATACCGGCTCATCGAGCCAGGTCCAGTTCTGCTCGTCTCAACAGGCTCACTCACTTCAAAAACCCATAACATCATGACGATCGGCTTTCACACCATGCTCCAGCACGACTCACCTGCGCTAATCGGTGCATGCATCGGACCCTGGGATGCAAGTTTCGAGTCGCTGAAAAGCCACGGCGAGTGCGTCCTCGCTGTCCCGGATGTCAGCATCGCAGAGAAAGTCGTCGATATCGGCAACTGCTCCGGCGATGAGGTCGACAAGTGGTCCACCTTCAAGCTGGACGCTGTGCCTGCAGAGACGGTGCAGGCGCCGCTCGTTGGTGGCCCAGGAGTCATCGCTAATATCGAATGTGTTGTTGTCGACCGCCGTATGGTCCCCAAGTACAATATGTGGGTGCTCAAGGCCGTGCGTGCTTGGTTGAACCCCGAGTTGAAGGAACAGGCACGGATATTCCATCATCGTGGGGATGGAACGTTTGTCGTTGACGGTGAGGTGTTGAATTTGCAGGAGAGGATGGTCAAATGGAAGGAGTTTCAGGATTGAGTATATCATGGAGCCATCACAAATGGTCTTTTACTGCTATCAGGCTTTGCAAACCGCTTTTGTTGTTCAGTTTCCTGATGAAGACAACTGACAAGTGCAACAAACACAGAGGCCTGATAGTAATAAAACACCATATGGATGTCAAACGGACCTAGAGCATATTCCTGGTTTGTGGACTCAACTGAGGCTCTCGTTGATGTTCTCTTCAAGCCATCTTGGAGTCGAGGCATTATTGTTGTCTTTACTAACGCTACAGCAGACTGGCTCTGGGCTGCCGCTAAGTCCAGCCACGGCCCCGAATCTCTCCAAGGCTGCCTGAGGAATTTCCCCTCCGCTCGCGCACCTCTCTGCACTCCGTCCGAAGGCCTCCTCACTTCAGAAGCCTTCATCACACCTCTGTCTTTGCACGTCACATCTCGAATGCCTCTCTCGTCATCTAATTCGCCATGACATCAAGTGTGGTTGGACTTTTGCCGACCGAGTCAGTCTGCAAAAGCCGCTGAGGTCATCGTCACATCTTGTGATTGTATTCGAATCAACTCTGGGATTACTAGCCAACAGGGATCGGCAGCAGTGCATGGGTTGCGGAGAAACACGATCACTAGCAACACTCCAATCAATCAGACCACATGTTTGAAAGTACACTGGTCTCCAGTCTAGGCCCGCACTTGAGAGCGCAAGGCAGGCGGGGGAGCAAGGATCGGGTGCTGGTTCGTGCTCTTTCACCCTAATCCCCGTCACAGCCGGTCGCATGAGATCATTCCCGCCAACTGCGATATGCATTCGGTCGACAGAGAGATAGCCAAAGGAACAGAACTGACTCGCGCCAGGGTCCAACCAGGTACCCGGCACGCTTTTCGTCATACATAGTACCGGTCTGGTTAGTTGCCAACAGAAGGAGGTGGCGAACTGTCAGCTGCTGTCTGTCTGGGCACTAAAATTAATGATAGAGACGGATTGAACATCAAACGAACACCACCTCGATGTTATTCTCCGAAGCGCAACTGAAACAACCGATCGCCAGCTCTCGCACCCCCGGCAGGTCGGCGAATGGACATGTACATGCGCCCGGACCACCGTCAGTTGAGAACGGTAGGCGCAGCGGACCATGCCGTCCCAAGAGTCAATGGTCCCCGGAGCTGAACTCAGCCAGTTAAATGATGTCATGGCGTCGGTGGCGACCATCACCGCTTCGGCAGGCCCACCAGATCAGTGCCCATGCGATGTTATCGTTCTATTCTTGGACACATGATGGCTAGCGACTAGCATCTTCCGGGTCGTATTATTGGTCTGAGAGCATTCATCGGGGTTCTAACATGCTGAAACTCGGGGACCATCATACCATGTCTATCTTTTGCGGCTTGATGCACGAGGTCGTTTTGGTCAATTCTGAGAAAGGAAAACCACAATCCAGCCTCCCGGGTCCCCATCGGTCGATGGAGTTTACAACAATGGCAATGATTCTTCGATGGCTTTACCGCGCTAGAAGTTGACTGTACCATCGAACGAGGCTGGGCATAGCCTTCAGCTTTCCCCGCCTGTCCCATTTCGTCCCATGGCACAGCCGTGACGAGCACTGCCCTCGCTTATCTCAAAAAAGTAGCTGTATACAGGCACAAAAGTAGTTAGCGATGAGCCAAATATGGAACACAAATGATCTTCAACGAAACGTAGTTCCCATGTGGCCGATGGGGCTGTGCGACCATGTTGATTGGTGCATGCGCCTAACTTGAAACCATGGCTTCTTAAGATTTACACTTGGGGAAAAGCGAGATCCGTCCGAGGTGATGGCTCGGAGTGTAGTTTACCAAAGGGTGAAAGAAGTATAGTGACCTACACTTTCCTATCGTAGTAGTCAGGAGACACTCTACTTCTCCCAAGGAAGACTCTCCTTGTAGTGGAGGGTTGCATCCATGGGCGCTGGGAAATGAGCAGATGGACACCATGACAGTCCAGACCGCACTAAAAGTCGAGACCGAGATAGGGCGACAGACACCAGAGTAATTTCGACACCATCATAATCTCATCCCTCATCTCCTGAAACACGGCTATTCCCCGCTGGCGTGCATCGCGTGGTCCAAGTGCGCAAATCTGCATCACCGATCCAGGGCGGATAAAAATAGCAGTCCCGCCCACGTGTCGCGAACCTGAAACACGCCATACATAAGTTCGCATGGGCCACTTTTTTTGTGATTATTTATTTTTATGGTAATGCACTAGTAATTCTCCATAATCCAAATTCGGGTTAGTGGGGTTGGCAAGTACCTAACAGGGATGTCTGCGTACTACTAACAAGGGGTACAGATGTCCCTGATCCTTCGACCACATGGTTGCTGGGATATTGATCCTGTTCATTTCATCCTTCGGCCGTTGGACACACACTGGAAGATGAAGATGATCGTCTTGGCGATAGACTATTGTCTCCCGGGTGGTATGGTGATATGCCCTAGACAGATGGCGATATGCATCTAGACGCTTTTTGTTTTGCTTAGTCCAAAGACCTCCTAGAGCTAGAAGTCATGTACGGAGTAAAACACGGCCTGTCAGGTCCAGTCGTTTATTATTAGCAGATGATCACTGAACCGCTCTCTCCTGCTATAATCTGCAGCAGACAAGCCACCCGAATCTGCCTTGTAAAATGATGTTCGTCTCCATCCCTCACCACATGGCATGGCCCTGAAGATCAGCGTCACACAGATCTGAAACAGGCTGCAACTCCTCTTGATGCGAGGACCTGCATGAAGCTATACTCGACACACAGCACGGCAGAATATCCAACCAACCAACCCGCCCGACCTACCACACGGTTCAGTATGTTATTCGCAGCACAGATGGGCCTTGATTCGTCCTGATCGGCAGGTGCTGTCGCCTGTTTCTGCGCCGTGGCCGTCGCCACCACTGAGCGCATGTACCCCGGAGTCCAACAACCTCGAGCCTGTGCTCGCTTGTCGAAAACACGGCTCATCGACAGCCCAGCCTCGCTAGGAACTATGACCTCATGACCATCACGTCGAGCCGTTCTTCCAACTACCCTTCTATTTTTGACGATCGAGCAATTGAACAATTCGAATGGTTGAACAAAGCCTTGAAGTATTACTAGTATATCGCCATTCAGCACACCCAAGCATTGATACTATTGTTGCGATCAGCGCTCAGATCAAGCCACGGCGCTGATCTTTGTGTGCTGTGTAACTACCTAGAGCTATGTAGTGGTGTCGAGCTAGTGTGCAGCGCAGTAGTAGTGCGGGAGAGTGGTTAGGTAGGGCGACACACCAATTGACAGCGGGTGGAGTCAATCGCAATTTCACTGCGATCAAATGACCGGCCCACTCAATGGAGATTGACAGTGCTAATTTCTTTGCCAAAGAATTACCCTGCCGGGACTAGCGGGCCAGGCCATCCATCCGCTAAACCTCGATTGGATAATGTAGAGATGCGCAAGGCAAGCCATGCGGCTGAGCAACATTAATATTGCAAGAAAGGGAGGAATCATCATCATCAATTGTGTAACTAATCTGCTAGTTGATTGGCTGAAGGACATGAAAATGTAGAAACGGTTTGGCTGTCGCACTGTTGTCCAGTACTTAGTGCAGTGACTAGCTTGACTCACGCTATCCAGTGGTGATTCGATGATAAAACAACGCTGGTTGGTCCCGGTACCCGAATGGATCCGCCTCGCCCTTCCAACTGCGGCTCTCTACTCCCTACGAAGACAAACATTGTAAATACCGTCGGGCGCAGGCGCTCACCTCCGACCGTCTCCGACCTGGTGTAATTACTGCTTCTTCGGGTATGGGTCTAACAAAAGCCCATATGGCCCGGCCCTGACTGTCGGGACAGACTATAGGCGGTTCGGCAGCAGGAGAGCCACCTCACGGACCGGTTTTGGTGGATTGCTGTCAAAGTCTACTGGGTCGATGGGTGTATCCACAACTCCAAAAGGCTGGCTGCACGGGCCTTTGGCTCATTGTAAGTGTGTGGGTCGAGAGCTCGATCAGCCCATCCGGGGGTGGACTCGGAGGAGATAGACATTGGAGAGGCCGGCCGAATAACAAATTTCTCCGAAGAAACTACCCTGGGTGGGCACTCGGGCCAGCGCATTACGGTTGCGGTAATTATAAGCTGCAGTGAATTTGAATTAGGGAATTTGAATTAGGGCGCAATTTGTCAGTCGTGGCTTGATCGTACATACCCTCCCGTACCGGTCGGGTCTTAGGGCTATTTTTGAGTACAACATACGTCGGCGATTCACTGAATCTCATCCTCACCCTCTCAATCTGAAGCTGCCAACACGAACCATATAATAACGGCGGCTCTTACTACTAATTGTTGATCCCATCGGCTTTCTTCGGCGCTGTCGAAAGGATTGTATGGTGATCTGCCCTCGTTTTTCCCGACGCGCCGGAACCGAATCCTGGCTGTTGTTTGTTGCAGGTCGAGGCTAGATCGGCGCTGGACAATACACCACTGTACACTCCGTACTGTTAGTCCCATACTAGTGCCCCCCATCCCTTCCCTCCCTCCCGTCTGCTAAAAAAAGGTCAGTGATTGACTCGCGAAGCTCTCTGCACGCATTTTCCTGCAGCGAACGCCGATGACGATGGTTGGTTTCGTGTTCCTGGCCTTGCAGACTACATGCTTCCTCAGGTCTACACTATTTTTTTGTGTTGATAGGAATTTACTTAGGAATGCGATAGGGCTCATTAAACACCCAGATAAACGCGCATTCTGCGGCTGCTCTCTTATTCTCTTATGTATACCGGGGCAATAGACGGTACTTTCGGAAGGCCGTGCCTGTTCCTTGTCTCCACCAACGGTCTACCAAGTGACCCGAGCGTCATCAGTCACGCATAAGTGAAATACCGATAGCAGATCCCAACATTGCCACTAACCAACTGGTGTTCCTTAATTAGCTTGCCGGTGGTCGTTGTGAGAATGATCCACAATAATTAATGAATGGAAACAAGCCAAAAAAAGAAGGATCATGTCCCTCCGCGTGAGCGGGGCGAGCACTACTCCGTACAGGAAGAGAGATAGGGAGGTGTGGAGAAGAAAGAACCGGAGGATATGTAATGTCATAAAATACCACTAAACCTATAGGGCAACAGTGGATCGTCATCATGCTGATCCCACCACGCGAGAGAGCAAAAGACGAGAAGACGATCAAACACACCCTGGTTTGTCAGTGATGAAGAATGATGTCGATGTGGCTTGGAACCAACAGCAGAAGGTATTGCGAGATGCTCAGTAGAATAGTAATAGTAGAATCTCCAAATATCCCCGCTGACACAGTGTGTGTCTATACCAACAACAATCTACTACATGGTGTACGCACTAAATACTACTGTAGTTAATGAAGTTGCGCCCCGACGATCGCGTCGCGTCGCATAAATATACCTCCCCCTATTTCTTACATACAATAGCCCAGCCATCCCTGCCAGGATCATCAGGATGGTGTGGTGGACGTGCTGAAGTGCTTCCAGAAGGCTCGGGGAACCAGGGGATGCGCAACTACGGTTTCAGAAGATTGCCACTCAGTTGGCCGAACTGGGATGATGCTCCTCCTAATCAAGCATGCCACGAGATGACAGGGGAGCTATTCTCCGGACAGCATTCTATAGATCCACATTGCGTAGAATTGGGTATAGTTCTGGGCGCGTTGGGCGTAAATCGCAAGCCTTGGGCGATGCAAATGCCGCCGAGAATGGGCTGGGTGTGTCTACGCCTATACACTATATACCGCATTATGGATGGACCAGCGATCCCCATCTCCATCCAGTGTCCCCAGAGCGACCGAACACCCAGTGACGTTGACGATCGCAGCGGTCGGGGTTTAGCGAAAAGAGACAGAGCAAGGGCTTTTGCTCATTCCCTCCATGGAGTAAAGGATCGGCGCACTGAAACAAGCTGCCGCAGGGTGAGCGTAGCCGGGCCAAGCCGCCAGGCTGGCCGGGCCACACGACGTCCTGAGGGTTGCCCCACTGGGCTGATTTGTGTTGGCCGAACCGGTGGTGGGCCCAGGTGATCCGATCTGTATAGAGATGCGAGATCATAACCACTGGGGAAAGAAAGGAAACGCCGCGCAGTGGATAAACCTGTTTTCTTGCTGTTTATAGAATGCACGATGCAGTCGAGAGATGAATCCTAGTCTCGTCCACAGCCTCCGGGATGCCTTATCGAGCAACGCTGACCCAGCCTCTTGGTAGCCAATCGCCGCCGCGTTAGCCCGAGCCTCCATTTGCTTTAGTGTGATCCTGCGCTCCCCAGGCAGTGAAAACAGGACAGGAGGGCGAGGAACGTGTAGGTTCCGAGGGAGCAGCCCTCGCTTTTCACTCGGTTGCCTGCGTACACGATCGAAGGTAGTATGCTCCGGCCAAAACCGAATGCCCTGGATGGGATGATGTCGGTCGGTCGACTAGCACCAACACCAGGGCTGGCCGGCCGACCACTCACGTCGGACCAACACCGCCCAATCCTGATCGCCGCGAGCACTACCCACCCGGTCAACCGTTGGTGTGCCTTGCACGCCTCGTTCCTCAGCCTCGAACGTGGTAATCTTTAGGTCTGATCATCCCGAGCGATCATCCCCACGTATTTTTGGAATTGATTTTTGTAATTTATTAATTAAAATGGGAATTAATTGATTAATTCAGAAATCAAAGTCTAATCATCCGTAGATCTGGAGGAACAGCATATTGTTCCTGCTACTATATCAATCCACCCCCATCCCGCTCTCACCTCTTCTTCTTCAGCCCGTCTGCAGCGACTGTTTCTTCACCTTGGAAACGGCCCTTCAGCCATTACATCACCTCCCCGTCCCTCGGTTGTCTATATAGATCCCCTCCCTCCTCCCACCCAGCTTCACTTCTCTCCAACCCACCCCCCAAGCAATGGCCCGGAGAGTCTCGAATGAACAACACAAGCATCTATCCAACAGCCACATCATCTCGCTGCTGAACACCCCTTCGGCCTCCGCCTCACCGTCTCCCGAACCCCGTCACCTCATTGCCCGTCAGTCCACCATGGTGGGCAAGAAGAACACCGCCATGCGCCGCCCAAGCCCTCAGTCCGAGGTCCCCATGCCCGTCACCTATACACCCACCACCCACCGCATCAGCAAAGCCAAGAAGGGCAAGCGCGTCCACGCCTGCGAATTCCCTGGCTGCTCCAAGGTGAGTGTCTACTGAACGGTCTTGATCTATTCAGCGCTGAACCCAATCTAGGTCTTCACCAGAGCCGAGCACCGCCGCCGGCATGAATTGAACCACAACCCGGAGGCCTCGTACCGGTGTACGCAGCAGGGCTGCAAGAAGGCCTTCCACCGTCCTGACTTGCTTGCTCGCCACATGGAACGACAGTGAGTAGCAACGGTCCCCGAACCAAGCATTGGTATACTGACGGACGCGCGCAGTGAACTCGAATCCCAGACCGAGCACTCCAGCGCCCAATGGGCACCCCCTAGCCAAGCACCCGCGCCCGTTGTTTCCGTCGAGGCCGGCACTGGCTCGCTCCTGGCTTCCTCTTCTCAGGCTCATTCCATGTCCATTGGATCCATCGTTGCCCCCGGCATCCACCCGGATCTGGCGAACGACTGCTCTCTGATGTGGAGCGGCATGGAGCTTCCTTTACAGCCTCGCCCCGTCAACATGTTCCAACACCACCTTCCCGAGTCCGTGGACGACAGTCCCTTCTACTCATCACCCGCTGAGACCTGCCCCTCGCCATTGTCCGACGCGACTTTCTCTCTCCCTCCTCACTCCAGCTCCTCCATCTCGTCTGGCTCGGTCTCCATCATTGACCAATACCATACCAAGGGCATGCTGAAGACCGATGTCACTTCGTCTCCACTGCAGATGCACTCTCCCCTTCGCGTCTGGGACGGCTCCGATGCGGGCCTGCCCCCCTCGCAGCTGGTTCCCATTTCGCTTGAGGAGAGCATGATTCAGCCGCCCATCCAATGCCACTACCCGTCTCCCTCGTGGTCGGGCACCGACTGCCTCCCCTACGAGGACAACATGAGCCACCACTACCCCCAGGCGCAGGCCGTGGGCTGGAAGCAGTCGTGGACCCTCTGAAGCACTCGGGGGACTGGTCGGACGCACCGTGTTGAGCACGGAGTCTCCGACGGTGATTATGACTCAATCGTTACCATTCTTGACACTCGCTTATCGGCGCGCCGTGGCTCCCGGCAGCACCCTCAAAGCATCACCGGCTTGGCCCGACGGTCCTGGTGAAAAGTCCGGTACCCACCCATCGCGTGGACGATGGGACAACCTGGCTCTGGGAACAACACCCAACCTTTACATTCGTTGTGAGCAAATGACGAGCGGCCTCGCCAGCCGAACTGAATTCGTCGCTCGGGGTCGTCCGCCGCGACTGGCGGAGTCCCCCAGCCTCTCCCCGCCGGGTGGAGAGCTTCGGACAAGGTCTCCACCGGTCGCTTCGGGCTGGACCCAAACCAAAACCGCGCGAGGAGAGATGAGCGCGTTGCTCCCTTTCTACTGGGTTTTTATTTTTACCGCACATTTTTTTTTTCCTCTCTCTCTTGTATCCTAGAATGGGGGGTTGGCAATATCCTCGGCGATAGAAATGTTTTTGATGTTTTCATGTTTTCCTATTGGTTTTTGGTTTTTTTGTCTGCGATTGATTCCGATGACACGATGATGATTTTATCTGCGCACATGTGTCTCGTTTTTTGTTGGCTCTGTTCTATGTACGGCTATACCCTTTTCCCTCCTGCTCTACTCCGGCTTCCTGTGAATATACAAGCTTCCCGCACTCTTCTGATACGATACCTTGTACATAACGCATACTTGATTGTTATTATTTCGATTCTAGACTTTCTCTCTTCTCCTCTCTCCCCCCACACCGCCAGCCGTGGTTCCTTTGATCGACCACCCACAACGGTCCGACAACGCGATCGCCGTGGTGTATTTCAAATCGCTAAACTTTGGCTACATTTGGAATGAATTTTACGGAGTATTCTTCTGTATGTGATTAGGTTCATTGTTTATCCCCGCGGGTATTTGTTTCCTTCCATGGACAGACCAGACGGACCGGTCACTACTCGCCCAGTCTCGGACCCAGCCGAGATACCCGACGATTTGCGCCTTGAACATCGCGGAGGTCGCTTAACCTTACGTGCTTCTTCCGCTTTGCCGTTTTGCCTTGCAACAGTTCCACGTCCTGGCCAAAGTTTTTATTCCGTTTCTTATTATGTATCATCTATCTTTAACTCTAATTTACGGCGTAAATACATCACGCCGAGCTTCTCCGGTACCCTCCCTCTGGAGTCTTGTTTTCTCGTCCCCTCCGCTTGGCACGTCCCAGCAGAGAGGATAGATGGAGTTGCTACTAACTATCGATCCACTCTTTTTCGCCCGCCCTTGTGACTTTAATTTATTTTACTTGTTTTCGCTTTTCTCATTTCCCCCTATTAGAGGGTCTTTCTCGCGCACTCTTCCTATCCTTCCTGCGTTTTCGCTGCTAGTGGACCCCACTCGTGTTAGTTTCTTCCTACCTGGCCAGGAATCCACTCGCTGGCTGACGGCTTTTCCGATCCTGCCTGCGGCTGTGTGAGGCTCTTTCGGGCGATAACGGCGGGTAATTGTCGGAGGAATTTGGGAAGGTTTACCGATGCTCTCTAGACACTTTTTAGTGCGCATCCTGCTGTTGTTCGTCAGTTCTAGGCTAGTTACAATGATGTGGAATCGGAAGACGTTGGGTATGCAACTAGGCTTATCGCCAACGTTATCGTGGGCTATGGTGTTAACCATATTAGGCAGTAATGCCGGAAACTTGGGTAGCAATTATTTCTGCATCGGTAGGATCAATGACAGTGAAAGTCTGTCCATTAAATATACCGAATGAGAGCTAGCGGTATACCGAAGCATGTTGTCTGTCGATCGCATGTTTAGGGGAGAAATAAGCATAATTCTTGTTGCCTTGGGTAAAATCCTTAGGTGTTAGTCTGTGTCGCTTCCACACCATGTGATTCGGATGTAAATGCCCATGGCTAGTATCCGACGTAGTCAATTCATATATGACTTGGGCGTTTGTGCTTCACCTGCATCTACTGCTTGCTCTCATTACCTATTTTCTAACTCTTAGCCCCCCAAAGTGCAATCTACTATCTTGCACCATGGATTCCCTGCCAAGCGACCCAACGAGCTCAGTTTTGAATCCAATATTAAATAAGGGGCAGCAGCGTTCAACATGCACAACGATTTAAAAGTCGGATAAATGCTGAGTCCTTTGACCGCTAGTATGCAGGAATTCTCCGCTCTAAGTAAGCAGTCGTACAGAAGTGGATGATGATGGAGATCACCGCCATATGAAACATGTCTGCAGGAACCTACATCCTGCATAGAGGCATTTTTTATAGCCCCCGTCTTCTCTCTCTCCTCCCACTCCCTCACCTGCACCTGTCCAGTTCTAAATTACACTCCAATAGGTCTTGACTATGTGGAATCGGTGATGATTTCTCGGACCGGACAGGCAACAGGCCCCTCACTCAGCATGCTGCATCATGGTATATCTGGACTTGGCATCGACACCCAGAGATTCAAGATTACCTCTTCCTACAAGTCACGAACGCTCTTCCTCTCGGAGCCACTTGTCGCGTTCAATTGATAACTGTTATCAAATTGTCGCCAAACTCGAAATCTGGTGCTGTTGATGGCCCATCTTCCCTTTAAAACTGGCCACAGACCTGTTCGGTGTTCGCTAACATTCTTTTTTGAATGCAGCTGCTACACAAGTCCGACCACAGGAAACAGGACTCGTCGCATGAAAGTATCTTGTTGAAATTTCAAGACTTTTTATGTTGAATTTGATAGGTTCTGGCCGTTTCTCTTTTTGGCCCCCGCCATGGTCGTCTTCTCCAAGCCGGGTTTTCCAAGCCTGGTATCGTAGAGACATAAACCTTTCCCATCTACAGCTTCCTCACGGCGGCCGACGGACCCTGGAGCCTCTTTCAGCGTTGCTTTGCCTTCGATTCCAAGGATGGCGCAGAATATGAATTATACAGTAAAGGTGTGAATGCAGATGCCGCATCAGCCGAGAGCCCCAAGTATGTCGCTCCTTCGCCAACATTTGATCAAAAAGCCTCCCCGTCAAGTCAATGGCTGAGGATCCATGTTTGCAACCATGAAATTCTTTTCCCGGAGTGAGTTGATAACAAGTTCCCCAAGATCCCTTACCTGACAACAAAACCTTCCGCTGCGTTTGCGGCCGAGACGAGACTAGCCAGCATGAGCTTTACAGTATGTTTTGCGATCGAGATGTCAGCGGTCTGTTTTGCTATTTTGTTTATTCAGCCTGAATACCACTCATCCGCAATTATTGGCCGATGTTTCTATGTAGTTTTCCACTATGGAAGAACGGAATCTCAAGCTAACAACTTGCTCCGTAGTCCGATAAACTGAGTTAATAGACCTGAGAGGATTGGCTTATATCTTCTCCGCTGTCTGCAAATACCCTAGAACCTTCTCGACAAGAAACTTCCGCGGCTCTGCTTGATCATCATTACTCAGCGCATGCGAAGCACCAGGCACCACTGCGCTGTGATCTTGATCCCAGATCTGGGACCCGGTGTAATCGGTAGCATTTTTCCATCTCCGTAGCAAGTCCTCCTTATCAACCCAGTCTGGGACTGCCTGGTCCGCACCCGAAATCAAGACCATCAGCTTGTGTTTCAACAGTCCCCGTTGTTGAACCATGCCAAACGTCTTCTGGAATTGCTCGTCGCTCAGATCTGAGCTAAACAAGTCGTCCTCCGACGGCGATTTGGGGCTTCCCGGACTGAGGAGACTCAAAAGCCTGCGAGCGCTAATAGGAGTATTGGACGGGTAGATCGAACTGGTCATCCACAAAGGTAGCAGAGTGTCGTAGGATTCCTCCTGATGAATAGCTTCCTTTGCCATATCTTCCAATTTCTTCCATAGCTCTTGAATTTCGCTTGAAGATCTGCCTTTAAACCCATGCTTCATGCACAAGGCAATTGCCTCCCGGTCAGACACTGGTGCTTGCATGATGGCTCCGTCAATTTCAAGACGCTTGATGTTCGCGAGTTCAGAGTCAAAGGTAGGAACACTTGGGTGTGGGTTTGGTCGGGATAAATAATGTAGCACGCATTGGCTTCCAGTGGAATGTCCCATAAGGACGACCTTGCCATTTCCGAATTTTGAGGTCTTGTAGTCTTTGATATATTGCACGCATTGGGCAATCTCAGTTGTGTCTCTGTCAAGATGCCCTAGACCCCACGACTGATAGGAAGATGTGAGATTGATAGTGAAAAGTGACCATTCCGTGGGTTGTAGCGCGCGGACAAGATCTGACATGTAGGATGTTGTTGCCATGCCATCTCCTAACCCGCCGATGAATAGAAGACTATGAGGTTGGCGAATGCTGCTGGAGACATATTCAAAAGTGACGAGAGATTCCGTCTATATGGTGCATGAGTTAGAATCGATTGATCCCTCTTCCCCATTTGGATGGAGACGTACATAATGATGCAGAATGCCCGGGAGACCTCCCTTGGGCCAGAATTTGGAGTACATTTTGGATTTGCGATTGCTGTGAAGTTGTGAAAGTGGCCAGAGTATCTGGAGAAAAGTGCGGAATTGACCTATGACTTAATGTCCGTAGAGCGGACCCATTATCAATCTCCGAGGTCGGCTAGATGTGGGCGTTCCTGGGTGGGCAGACCCTACATGCCTTACATCCGAAAGACATACCCACCTGAATGCGCTTTTTTTGAAGAAACCGGGAGAGACCCGACAGGTAGTGTAATACTGCTCTCATAATCTCACAAAATACAGTCTATGAGTACGTAAAAAGGAACCCTGCCAGAATTATGGCTTGGGTATGGTATCCATAGAATACGAAAATACTGTTAAAGGATGTAATACAGTCATAAAACATTGGTCTCGACTAGTAATTTACAGCGGATCTGATTAGACAGAGCGGATCTGATAAACCCAAAACAAAAAATTAGAAATCTCCGACCGCCAATGGCGTGTACTTGGCAAGCAGGAGAAAGCACCGTGCTGTCTCGCGATCTACGAATGTAACACACGAGATACATGGATATCTGCTGGGCCAGTCGACTAGCAGGAAAATGTGTGGCTCAGGCTGCAGCTTCAAAGACCTAGCTACACCCCACTTCGATATATCTGATTGCCGGAAACTTCCGATGTGTCAACGCCGATGGCATCGATGGTGCAGGACATTTTAGTACCTCCAGTTACTGCCTCTTGAAGACTCTGCCGAACAACCCGAGGTCGGTATCTTCAAACCAAGCCTCGTTTGCTTGTCACGCTGGACATGGTTGGGACTGACAGGGAAGAGCTCAATTGAGGGTCACTCGGCTAGTGCCTTGGCGTTGCGTGGGCCCGTGCTGTTTTCAACTCTGCTGAATCCGAAATTTAGTAGAGTACTGGTAATTCTTTGGCCGATCTCGGTGGAACTATACACAAGTATCAATACGCAGTAATTCTCCTGGCTTCGCGGCGCGCCTGCGTGAAGGAAATACGCCGACATAACATGGGCGGTCGTAACAGTTATATAATAGCACCCGGTACGAATTCAACTTAGTGTCGTCAAGCTGGAGCTAGTTCGACAGGTGGTCGCGTCCCAATCCTCCTCCCGATATCACCACGAAAGATCAACAGTTCGCCAGCATGGGTTTCCTGCACTTCGCTGACACGCAGGCGAATGGTGGCGGCCCAACTTTCAAGATCGGCGGCCTCGAATCTGATCGGGCCTCCACTCCGACAGGCATGCGAGAAGAGATTTTGCTTCTATCCTGGTTGATCGTACTCCTGCGCACCCAGGAAAGCGGCCGAATCTCTTATGAGTGGGCCTACGGCAGTCGAGGTAATGCTGTTGAGCACGAGGCAGTGAACCAGTGTCTTTCAACAGATGTAATGACAGACTTGCAAAGTACTGTCGGGCAGAGTGCAGCAACAATCTCTCGCCACATCAAGAGAACGACTACAAAAAGCATATTCAGTCCTGTGTCAATTCTCCTCAGCACCAGGTTCCTGTCCAGAAAATCTGAAACAGCAACAGATGAAGTGAGTGAGCCACCTCTGTTGATTCTAGATTTTCGCTAACCACAATGAGCGCAGGGTGCACTTCACCTCGAAGTATGCTTGAATGATGGGTGCCTCGAAATCCACCCAGTGTGGTACACTGAGAATATGTTGCCATTCACAGTGACTCGGTATATCGAAACACTGGCAGACACTATCAAAATGTGCATTTCAGACCCAAAGACGTCTATTGAAGACTGTCTTCGGCCAACCAACCATGATTTGGATCAGATTTGGAGATGGAATCATCAGCTGCCTCCCACATACGACTTCTGCATGCACGAAATGATCTTTGAACAAGCTCAAAAACATGGTGACAAAGAGGCAATCTCGTCATGGGATGGCAGCCTGACATACTCCCAAGTCGACCGGTACTCCACGCTCGTAGCATGTTCTCTCAAGGAAATGGGTGTCAAGTTACACGATTTCTTACCCGTGTGCTTTGAGAAGTCAAAGTGGACAATTGTTGCCGTGCTGGCGGTGATGAAAGCAGGAGCAACGCTTGTGATGATGGACCCATCCCTTCCAATTGTCCGTCTCCAGAACATGGCGAAACAAGTCAATGCAAAGACAATAGTGTCATCGAGCCAGCAGCACGAGCTGTCAAAATCAATTATTCCAGGCGGAAACTATTTTGTTGTGGAAGCGAAAACCTTCACTCACTTCTCGAACTCTCACGACGTTCAAAAACTACCGACTATACCACCATCTACTTTGATGTATATCATCTTCACATCTGGGAGCACGGGCACACCAAAAGGAGTCAAAATATCCCACCAAACCTACACCAGCAGTGCGATACCCCGAGCAAAGGCAGTTGGCTATACAGAGGATTCGAGGGTTCTTGATTTCGCCTCCTATGCTTTCGATGTCAGTATCGACAGCATGCTCTTGACTTTGGGTAATGGTGGCTGCCTTTGTATCCCTTCTGACGAAGATCGACTGAACGACATCAATGGAGCGATCAGAAAAATGCAAATCAATTACGCTGGCCTTACCCCTTCGGTGGCCCGGATCCTGGATCATGATGTTATATCATCACTCAGTGGTCTTGGGCTTGGTGGAGAAGCAGTCTCGGCGAGAGACGCTACCATCTGGGGTCAAGACACCAGAATCATCATCGGCTATGGCCCGTGCGAATGCACGATTGGGTGCACGGTCAACAGCAGCGCAGCTACAGGTAGAGACTATATCTCCATTGGGCCAGGAAATGGAGCGGCTATGTGGATTGTTGACCCAAATGACCACGAATCGCTCATGCCGGTTGGCGCTGTGGGCGAGTTGCTCGTTGAGGGACCCATTGTCGGACAAGGCTACTTGAACGACCCCGAAAAGACAGCCGCCGCTTTCATCAACGATCCATCGTGGCTCGTTGCTGGCCACAACGGTTACGCTGGTCGGAGGGGCCGTCTATATAAAACAGGTGATCTTGGAAAGTGGGATCCCGACGGCTCTGGCGGTATTGTCTTTGCCGGAAGAAAGGATACACAAGTGAAGTTACGTGGACAACGTGTTGAGCTTGGAGAGATTGAAAGCCAGCTCAGGGATAGACTGCCTGCAGAAACCACTGTTATTGTTGAAGTGATTGTGCCCCAGGGCTCTAGAGGCCAGCCCACTTTGGTGGCATTTGTGGCAGCCAAGTCTACGAAGGGACTAGAGAGTACGGATCTATGCTCACCTGTGCCCTCTGAGGAGCTGCGCAGCACGCTGTCCAAAGCCGATACCGATCTGGCTAAGGTTCTGCCACGATACATGGTGCCGAATGCATATATACTCGTGAATTATATCCCAACTCTGATTTCGGGAAAGACCGATCGCAAAAGGCTCAAGCAATTTGGTACCACAGTCGACTTGCGGAAGCTTGATCAACAGACGATGACTACCGCTACTCGGGAGATGAGTGACCTCGAAAAACGTCTGCGACAGGCTTGGGGTCTAGTTCTGAAGCTCGACGCGGAGGCCATTCGACCAGGCGACAACTTTTTCACACTCGGTGGTGATTCTCTGGCCGCAATGAAGCTTGTCTCTGTTTGCAGAGACCAAGGGCTTGAACTTACCGTCACCGGCACGTTCGGCAATCCGACACTCTCAACAATGGCGGGGATTGTTCAGATTTGCGAGACACAAGTACGCAAGGAAATTCCAGCATTTTCTATGATATTACAACCACTCGAGAGTGCCTGTCTTGAAGCGGCACAAGCTTGCGAAGCAAGACCAGATGCCATTGAAGACATCTATCTGTGCACGCCAACGCAGGAGTCATTATTTACGTTCTCCCTCAAATCGGCCAAGGCATACGTTGCTCAGAGAGTCGCGTGTATTCCGCCTGATATCAGTCTCGAAGCCTGGAAAAATGCATGGGAGGAGGTTGTTGCGGCAAGCCCAATTTTGCGTACTCGTTTGGTCCAACTTCAGGACCCTGGCCTTCAGCAAGTGGTAGTGAAGGAAAGCATTTCCTGGAAATATTCGAATAAACTGGCCGAATATCTTGATAGCGACCGCAACGAGAAGATGCATCTTGGGCAAAGCCTTGCTCGATATGCCCTTGTTGACAATTCGACGGATGGAAAGCGATACATGGTGTGGACTATTCATCACGTTCTCTACGACGGTTGGTCAGAGCCACTGGTTCTTGAACAAGTTCGCAGCGCTCTACAAGCTCAGAACATCAACAGGCAGACTCACATGAGAGACTTTGTCAAATACGTGCGCGACACGGACGAAGTCGCAATGCAGGACTTTTGGCGATGCGAGTTGAATGGTGCCGTCGGGCCTCAATTTCCGCGTCTGCCCTACAGAGATTACCTGCCCACCCCAGATGGATTTATTGAGCATCATATTCCTTTTGTGACAAGCGCCGGATTTCCTTTCACTTTAGCAACATTGATTCGTGGCGCATGGGCGCTCGTGGCATCCCAATATACACGAAGTGACGATGTTGTGTTTGGCGAAACTCTTACAGGTCGAGACATTCCGTTATCGGGAGTCGAAAGCATTGTTGGGCCTTTGATCGCAACACTACCTATCCGAGTCCATGTCAATCGAGCGACCTCTGTGGAGTCCTATCTACAGACTGTTCAGCAATCGATCTTGGCCCGTACTCCATACCAGCACATGGGAATGCAAAACATCAGAAAGGTTAGCCGAGATGCGCAGCATGCGTGCGAAGCTGGTACAGGCCTGGTTATCCAACCAGAACCAGAGTACGAGGGCAACGACCTCGGCTTTGACAAAGGAGATGTCGTCCGTGAAGCACTCCATTTCAATCCATACCCCCTTATGATTGCCTGTGGAATTCAAAAAGGAGGCTTCAGAGTCTGTGCTAGTTTTGATATCAACTTGGTGGAAGTCGAACAAATGAAGCGAGTTCTTGGCCAGCTGGAGGTAGCATGCATAGAGTTGGCAAGAGACTCCTCCAAAAGACTTGGCGAAATATCTTGCCTTCCCGCTGCCGAATTGAATCAGATTTGGCAGTGGAACCAGATCCCTCCACTACCTTTGGACGAGGCATCGGGGACGCTTCGAGCAGATGCGACCATAAAACAAGGATCAGTATACCCTTCGGCAGTGGTTCCTTGGGTGTGTGATCCGCGGAACCCATCTCTACTGTCTCCAATTGGCTGTGCTGGCGAGCTGTGGCTTGAAGGAACTTGTCTTTCAGGTGGAATTGTTGAATCTCCAGCCTGGCTTGTGAATGGAAGCTCTGGATGTGCTGGCCGAACCGGAAGAGTGCAGCCGACTGGTGATATGGTTCGGTTGCGGGACGACGGCAGCTTGGTATTTGTTGGTAAAAAGGAGAATGTCGTCCCCGTTCAAGGACATGCAGTGGACATCGCAGACGTTGAATCCTACTTCACACGACATCTTCCTCCATCCATTCGTGCAGCAGCAGCTATTATTCAACCATCATCAATGAGCGACATTCAACAGAAGCAGGAGTCCCAGTTGATAGCCTTCGTTGAGCAGCAAGCTCTTGGAGAAGATCGCGTTGAACTCATGTCATCCGAACACGCGATTACTTTGAACATGCCGAACCAACAAGAGGTAAAGACGACTATTTGTGCCACGATTTCAGTTAGCCTTGTTATTGCGCTGAAGAGACTCGACAAGTTCATCCAAGACTCCCTCCCATCACACATGATACCTTTTGCCTACGTTGTGGTCGATAAGATGTCTACCGCCACGGAACAGATTGATCGCAACTTTCTCAATCAGATTGCCTCACGGATTCCTCAACACACCCTTTATCAGCTTCGTGATGGATTTCATACGTGGAAGAAATCATCATTCCAAACAAACCTGACAGCCACAGAGAACATCCTGCGGTCTGCTTGGGCAAAGATACTAGGAATCAATGCGGAGCAAATTGATGTTGAGGACAACTTTTTCCGCCTCGGTGGTGATTCAGTGTTGGCTATGAAGTTGGTCTCAAGTCTGCGTGCCGATGGACATAGCTTGACTGTGGCAGATATTTTCCAGCACATGCGCCTTGGTGATGCAGCTAAGGTTTTGAAGGTGGATCAAGCATCGAAGGCAAAAGTTCAGTCTTACAAGCCTTTTTCAACGCTGAACTTCTCGGGAGTCGAACAATTCTTGTCACAAGCTGTCCGCCCAAATCTTGCCAATTCAAACTGGTCTATTCTGGATGTGTCTCCTGTGACAGAATCCCAAGCACTCGACATCAAAGCAACCATTCAGACACCGCGAACTTCTATACAGTATAACATGCTCTACTTTGAAACAGGTATTGATAGAAAGAAGCTGTTCCGTGCCTGCGATGATCTGGTCAAGACCCACGACATTCTGCGAACGGTGTTTATCAAACACGAAACGACTCTTTATCAGGTTGTCCTGGATAAGCTGGATATTCCTGTGGCGACCAAGGAGGCTGTTGGGGATATTGAGCAATATGCTATTGACCTCTGCAAGACGCACATTGAATCGGAGTTTCAACTCGGGTCATCTTTCGTCAAGTTTTTCCATGTAGATGGCAAAAATGGACAACATTGTCTCATCATTGGCCTATCACATGCGCTGTATGATGGCTTATCTCTGCCTAGATTACTTCAGGATTTGGAGAGCTTGTACCTTGGAAAGACAGTTGTTGACTTTGAGCCATTCTCATCATACATGGCGCAAATTTTGGACAAGAACGCCCAAACTGAAGCGGTCAGCTACTGGAGCAATCTTCTGAAAGGATCATCCCTATCCATTCTGGATGGGACATCAACGCAGGCCGGTGATAAAGGGCTATTCCAAGAAAAGTCTGTCGACATCCCCCAGCCTCTTGAAGATATAACCACGGCAAACCTGCTCACCGCAGCGTGGGCACTACTTTTGGCTCGCCGTCTGCAAAAGCGCGACGTGACATTTGGCAGCGTAACCTCGGGACGAGGTATTAACTTCGCAAATGTGGAGAATGTCATGGGCCCATGTTATCAGCTCACTCCAATCCGAGTACCCTTCGAATCTGGCTGGACAGCTATGGACCTCTTACATTTTGTTCAGACGCAAAGCGCCGAGTCTGCTGCTCACGATTTCCTCGGGTTCGAAATGATCTCCCAGAAGTGTACAGAATGGTCACCTGAAGCACGATCCTTTGACTCCATCGTCCATCACCAGGATTTTGAAGATTTCGACACGATGCCTTTTGCGGGAAGTAATTGCAAAGTGGACATTTCGAATCCACATGGCGATGCTCCTTGTCCGCTCAAAGCTGTATCGTTTGTCCGAGATGGACAAATGCATGTCGGAGTGGTTGGGAGCGAAAGGGACGCGAACTTAGTACACACAATTCTGGATGAATTGGCGGTCACTGTTCAAGAGCTCGCAGCTAATGGCCCCGAGCACCTGCTTCTTGACAGACAAGTTTTTCGAGTTTATTGACCACGACCCTTACTTTGTGGCATAAATAGAGGATGTATTTTGATTTATTACTTTTGTTGAGTTCGTATATTTTGCTCCAATTTATTCACTTTCCCCCCTGCCGATTATTACAAACGCAGAATTGCTTCCAAACACAACCAAGAAGAATGTCTCCCTCAATCTAGTTATATATTACCAAATGTTAACAAAAATTGACACTGAATATCTCATTTCACGTCGCCACGGTTTGATGCATGACGTTCGCCCGATAGCTCTCCGATCTCTCAAGCAATTCTTCATGCGACCCACAGTCCACGCATTGCCCTGCTTCAATCAAGAAAATGGCATCTGCCTTTCTGATAGTGTGAAGACGATGAGCAATTGCAATAACAGTTATTCCCTTAGCGGCCTTCTCCAATCCATCTTGCAGGAGCTTCTCCGACTCAGCGTCCAACGCGCTGGTAGACTCGTCAAGAATCAAGAGCTTAGGCTTTCTAACCAATGCTCGGGCAATCGATAACCTCTGCTTCTGACCGCCGGAGAACTGACTGCCATTTGGTCCGCACAGGGTCTGGTAGCCATCCGGCAGCCCTTCAATGATGTCGTGGATATTGGCAAGCTTGCATGCCTCTTGGATTTCTTCCATGGTCGCTGCATGTCCGGGTCTCGCTCCAAGGCCAATGTTGAACTCGATTGTTCCCTCGAAGAGCACGCTTTCTTGCGGCACCAAGGAAATAGTGTCGCGGAAAGCGATGTCGCGGTGGCTCGTCACGTCAACACCATCAATCAAGATAGCACCGGACTGTGGCGTGTACAGTCGCTCAACTAGGGAAATTATGGTCGATTTGCCAGCACCACTCGGTCCAACAAGGGCACAGAATCTTCCCGGCTGAATGTCAATGCTCAAGCCATTCAACACTTTCATGCCAGGCCGAGCAGGGTATGAAAAATGGACATCGCAGAACTGAACACTGGAGGCTATGGTGTCAGACAAATGAGAGGATTTGGGCTCACTCGTCGCCTCGAGGTCTTTTTCTTCTGAGGAGTCTGAGATTCTAGGGCTCTCTACATGTCCCTTCATTTTGTCCTTTCCAATTTCAATCAGGCTCAAGATGCGAGCCATTGCTGCTCGGGCGTTGGAAAGCTCCGGTGCGAGAGCAAACATTTGACTCCAGAGCAATGCACTGACAAGTAGGGAGAAAACGACAATCAGGAATTGTGTTTGAGTGTAGTCACCATTGATTATTTGTTTTGCACCCCACCAGTATGCAAGTGCGTTCACACAATTGCCGAGGAAGTAAGTAATCGCCTGCCAGAGACTTGCTTGGACAGTGACTCGAAGTGTTTCCTGACGAGGCCCTTTCAAGGAGCGTCGGTAGCTCTTGAGAGTTTCCTCTTCAAGAGAAAGGGATGCAATGGTTTTGATGGAGGCGATTGCTTCCGTGCCAATGTCGACAGACTTGGTATATGCATTTTCGTGACGTTCCTCAAATTTACCAAGCACTCGGAGCTCCATCAGGCCGGCTCCTAGTAGAAGAGGCACCAAAGACAAGCAGACCAGTGCAATCTTCCAAGCAATGATATGCGTTAGAATGATAGCTGCGATGAGGTTGATGGTAATCGAAAACAAAGAGCCAATGACGGAGCCGCTCAATCCCGCCAGAGCATTGCCGTCCCTTGTAATGTAGGAGAGTAGCAAGGCAGGAGTTCGACCTCTAGATTGGTGCCATTGGAGATCTTGTTCGAACAACGAGCGGAATGACAAGACTCTGACCGAGTAAACGATTTTCTCAGACACCCAGCCGAATCCTGACCAGCTGACCAGGTTTGCGAAGAACTCAATAATGGCAAGGACAAAAAACATCAGCCCATAGAAGTCCCCGCGGGATCGAATATATGAGGCGCTCTTGCAGGGATTCAAACTTCCAACGGTGTTGCCGAAAATGACTGCTTCGGCAGAGAAGGCGCCCCCGACAATGCTTGCGCCAAGGAGTGCCATGGCAACAATGAGAAGATGGGGTCTCAAGGCTGGAGCATATCCGCGCACTAGAGCCCACAAAGATTTGTATGGTGTCTCAGGTTCTTCCTCTTCTTCTGCAGAGTCGGTGACTGGTTCTTCACTGGGTGATGCCTGAGTTTTCTCAGCCTTGTCAAGATCATTAGATTGGCTGCTGTTCTCGACATTGATTTCTGTGAAAGAGGCTTGATCAGCCTTGTCGATGCTGCCCGTGCTGCTGGCTGTCTCGTTCTTCCCAGATGCAGATCCAAGAGTTTGCAACTTGACAAGATCGGCGTAAGCTCCATTCTGAGACATCAATTCGGCATGGTTTCCTTGTTCCACAAGACGTCCCTTGTGCATCACTATGATGTTGTCCGCACTGGTGATTGTCGAGAGACGATGAGCAATCGTAATCACAGTTCTGCCAGTAGCGATGTTTGAGATTGCGTGCTGGATCCGCTGCTCGCTTCTTGAATCGAGAGAAGCCGTGGCCTCATCTAAGACAAGGACAGCAGGATCCTTGACAAGAGCACGAGCAAGTGAAACTCTCTGTTTCTGCCCACCACTGATCAGTCGGCCACTCGAGCCCGCGATCGTTCCGTATCCATGTTGCAACTTGGAGATGAAATCGTCCGCATCGGCAAGCCTTGCTGCCTTCTGAACCAGGGTAACAATTTCAACAATGTCTGATCCCCGTTTCTCTGCCGCAGCCATGGCATCCTGGCCTTCTTGGATTTCGCTTGATAGATCAGCAAGGTCGGGACCAAGAAGTGCTGTCTTGAGATGTGAGTGCCTTGGATTGTTTGAGTTAATTAAGCCATGGGCGATATTCTCCAACAGAGAGCGGTCAAGAAGGGAGGGCTCCTGTTGTACCAGACTGAGGAAACTTCTCAAGTCACGAACATTGAGATCGCGCAGATCGTGGCCGTCAAAGAGGATTTGTCCCTCAATGGGATCATACAGTCTTGTCACCAGACCCGCAATAGTGGACTTTCCACTTCCCGAGAGGCCGACAATAGCGGTATGCTTATTGGCGGGTAGGCGAATGTTGATATGGTCCAGAACAGTAATCTCCGGCCGGGAGGGATAAGTAAATGAAACATCCTTGAACTCAAAGCCGCCTTCTGCCTCTGAGAGGCGAAGGCCTGAAGACATAGTGCTGTCAATGAGCGGCTCGCGGTCAATGTCTTCGCGCAGTTTTTGAAACGAGGCGACGGCTGCTACAAACAGGTGGAGAAACGGAGCAACTTGACTCAAGAGCAAAGTAGCTAGTACTGTGTTAGTACAAGGTTGTAACAGAGTTGGGAACTCAACCAACCTTCGACGAGAATGAAAATAACCGTAAAAGTAGCACCCACAGTTGTGCCTGCAGAGTCACCGCTCACAGAACTGGCGATGCGTCGACTTCCCTCCCAAAATGCTAAGCCGTTCGCACCATAAGCGATAAAGTATAAGAAGCCAGATTGTGTGCCAACAGCCGTAGCCTTCTTCAATCCTTCCCGCTCAGAGGATTTCAGAGCTTTAGAGAACTTATTTTCCAGCCGAGCATTTGCGCCAAAAGCCTGGACCACGACAATATTGTTAAGAGCCTCAGAAGCAATCGATGATGCAGTTGCTGCATAGTCCGACATGCGCCCAGAGTATTTTTCGATATAGTGGCTTCCAATGAACGACATGAGGAAATAGGCTGGAACCAACGAGATTAACATTCCTGCGATTATATCATCCTTGATAAACGCCACGATGTATGCGGTGACAAAAAAGGACAGACTCGCAAGCACAATTCCGGCTTTCTCAGATGTGCCGGAACGGATTGTCTGGATATCGCTGCTGAGTCGAGACGCGATTTCTCCCGTGGGTAGAGTGTCAAAGTGTGACGGCTCCTGTCGAAGCAAGTTCCGCAAATAGCTTTCGCGCAGTCTCTGCGCCAATCGGGCGCCGTACAGAGTCCAACATGTGAGGTGAGCATAAATCAAGATGAACTGGGCGATGGCCAGATACACGATCAGAAGAATCTTGCCGTTGATGCTGTTTTGGTAGTGGGTTGCATCGCCGGAGGTTTCATCTGTATCGCACGTCACGGCGTTGAAGTCGTTCAGGAGTTGACCAAACACAACCCCAATCAATGGAAATGGAACTCCAGAGGCGATTGCACATATTATTCCCAATAATAACATTCCGAGGTCGCTTTTCGAAGGATTGGCAGCAAGAAGCAGGCGGGGATAGCCCGCAAGCTTTTGCGTGAACGGCATGGCGGTTCGATTTGGTGATGTCGGCTTGCAGTTTTGTTATTGTCTCTATCGTGTGTTTGGGTTGAGCTCCGGCTGATTAAATATCTGCGACAAGCAGGTCGATATCGTGCGGCTTGAGGACAGCAGTTGGGCAACCACAAGAAAAGTTCAAGGATCTGATTAGGATGTCAATCGCTCCAGAAGCCGCCGTGGCTGGTGCATCGGTTGCTATGAGCTCGACGTTGGCAAGATGGCCGTCTCAAGTCCGTGAAATCTCGGTCAGATGCTGTTGGAGACGTTCACAAATGATTTCAATGATCAGCCGACATCGGTCTTGGCCTCTTGGGCTTGCGACGCGCATGTAACCCACCAAACTCGCCTGAAGAGAATAAATTCAGGAGCCCGACCATTATCTGATCCTAAGTGGGTCCCACAGTACCCGAGATAATCTCGTATCTCGTAATATACAGAAACAGGTCCAAGGTACTATGAATTACTGAATACAGCGCTAGGATCAAACGGGGAATTTTGTCGACGCCTGGTGAGGTCTTCTTGGCTTCCATACCCGTGGATACCCGCGGGCTCGATAGTTAGGAGTTAATTGGTGTATAGGAAAGCGATAGATGAGCTGAACTAGACACTAAATATCTCACAGTTTGAGTACAACACCCAACTCTATAGTTTGGCATTCCATGCCGCGCGATCAGCAGATTCCAATGGTTTCTCTCTTCCGTCCCAAAAGAGCGGACACAACTGAAACCACTTCTCTCGGCTGCAGATTGAGTGTACCGACCTCTTGTGGCCCAAATCGACGTATTTGCCGATGGTAAGACCCTGGGCATTTTCGTAAGACAAGATAGTTGCCCCTGTGGCCTTCGGCTCGCCCACGACATTCACAGTCCGGGGATCATCCAAAAAGCAGTAATGGATGCAGCTTGAATACCATGCGTTGACCCGATGGGAGCCACGAAAGGAGGCATCACCGACAAGAGAGTGCCGTCCACGATCGTAGTCTCCAGCGTCATAGTGGGCGCCATAATGATCCTCCTAGGGATAAATTGTCAGCATCGGGGGTTTGGGGAAACAAATAAAAGAATGAAGAGCATACCTTTGCCCAATACAGCTCATAATAGGAGAAGCGGGTATCATTGAAGCGGCCAAACAAGCAAAGGACGTGAGGATCAAAATGCAGTTTGCGCAGATACTCCCGATGTTGCTCCAGTGTCCCCGTCTCATTCCAGCCCTTTGCCACTCGAGGATCGTTCTGCCACATGTTGAAGAGCTTTAGGTGCTCCTCATTTTTCCAATCAACCACTTCCAGTGAAAAGTGCTCGTCAAGCTCGGGGATGTAGCGACTATAGGCAATGGATCCCGGGTATGGCTTGGGTCGACGGGTTGGATGCCGAGTATAAACGGGCTCTTTTGGAAACTTGTTAGTGATTTGGTAGTTCTCAGGCATGATAGGGTACTGAGCCACCGGCTGTCTCAGAGGACCGTCAATAGCGTCTCCCACGGCCCAAATTGGACGAGGGCCCATTGGAGAAGCGGCGCCTTGCCAGAAAGCGCTTCGGAGGATCAGCAAATCTTCAATCTGCATTGTGGAGTTCCCCTTCGCACTCCATGGCCTCGGATGTTGTATCCCCAAGCCGATAGTAAGAAGCTCTTGCTGGATGATGTCCTTGCCTGCACCACGCAGAACAAGCCTGAAATATTCGCAAGTCGAATGCGCAAGGTATATCGCATGGATCACATTCCAGATCTGACCCAGAGATGGAGTATTGTTTCCTGCCCATTCGAAGGCGGTCGATGGACTCCGACATGCTCGTGCCCAGGGACTGTTATCGGACTCAGGCGGGCATTCATTTTCGGATGGAAAAGACAATTCGAGCCACGAGAGGGAGTCGCTGTGGAGCGGTTGCGGCACAGGTCGACCATTCGAGGGTTGGCTATCTAATCTCAAGCTGAGCCTGGCCGGCGTGGATTCGGCAACGGTGTGCACTCGGTAGGCGGTTAAGAAAGGGTGTGGTAGTTTCACAGGTGGGTATTTGGCCTCCATCTTGTTGAATCTTGATCGTTCGCAATTCCACAAGATAGCGAGGGGACCAAGCAATGTGAAAGACAATAAAAAAAAGCTATCTCTGGCCGTGCGGAGACAAAGCCGAGGAAGGAGAGTTCGCACAGCAAGCGGCGTGCCCAGCTATTTGACTGGGGCTTTTACCATAATTTCAGTGTCAAGACTGTAGGACCAATAATGGCTCGAGTTTCTTTTCAGTCAGGGCATCCGTGGGCAGTGCCGATCCAGGGCCAAGCGCCGACGGCACCGACATCGCATGGCGTTTCCAAAACAGAGTCTCCGAGAATAATCTGGATGGAGAAGTGCTCTGCAACCGAATCCACGAATGACGTGGGTGGGCCCCTGTTTCTTTACGATGCCGTCGAAGATACATGTTTTCTTACCGAATGGTATCGTCACTATGTATGAAGTTAAGAGGGGCGAAACTGCTCACGAGAGTAATAATAAAATATTGCGCATCCTCCCTCAATCCTGGCGAAGTAACTATCCACATCCAACAATAATATCAATGCCTTTGAGATCGGAGCACTTACAGTTTCGGCATTTCAATGTCTCTTTCCCGGACGAGCGCATTGTCCAGGTCACACTGAACAGGCCCGAAAGACTGAATTGTATCGACAAGGCGACTAGCCGGGAGATCCAAAGCATTTGGGAGCGTTTTGACCAAGATGAAAGTCTATGGGTTGGCATCATCACCGGGTCCGGGAGGGCCTTCTGTACCGGTGCCGATCTCCATGGTATGTGCGTGTGCCTCTTCCACACTTTTCAAAATTAACGCGAGCGAATATAGAATGGAATGAGATGAACAAAGCTGGTGTGATCAATGATATGTCTGCTCCGGGACTTGCTGGGCTACCCCGTCGCAATGGCAAGAAGCCTATTATTGCTGCCGTAAATGGCATTTGTATGGGAGGCGGCTTTGAGATGGTGGCTAATTGCGACCTAGTAGTCGCTTCATCCGCAGCCATCTTCTCCCTACCTGAAGTGAAGCGAGGTATCGTCCCCGTGGCGGGATGCCTGCCGCGGCTGACCAGTATTTTGGGATTACAACGAACCACAGATCTCGTTCTCACAGGGAGAAATGTGGACGCGAGGACACTCTATGAATGGGGCCTTGTCTCTCGGCTTGTTGAATCCGCCGATGATGTTGCCTCTGCTGCAGTTCAGCTTGCTCAGGAGATGTGCAAAAACAGTCCTGATGCATTAGTTGTTGGGCGTCAAGGAATTCGATTGAGCTGGGAAGCAGGTAGCGTGGAGGATGCTGTATCTAGTCTAGCTAATGAGTGGTATCCCCGCCTGGTTGCTGGCTCCAACTTTGCTGAAGGAATCCAAGCTTTTGTGGAGAAGAGACCAGTTAAATGGGTGAATTCGAAATTGTGAAGCCTCACGGGAACATTTAAGGGCCACCTGCAAGTTTTTGATCAGTTATTCAAAATCATTTTGTACAGAAGTCTATGAGTAAATATTTCATGTGATGCTCTTATGAATCGACAAATCCAAGGAATGCTGTTCCATACCACCATCGTATAACAGCGTCAGGAAACATAGCGCTAGTATGTATGGTATTCCTAGCAATGTCGGGTAATTCCGAACGTATCCACTGGTGCAAGTCTACGCATCCAGGACCCACAGTGAAAAAGGATCCGAATCAGATAACTTTCTTGACTGATTTTTGGATTTTAGACTCAAAACGGAGAACCATTTTCTTTGTCTCGGGCACTCTCTTGCCGCCCTCGGATCATATAAGATTAAGCGAAATTTGAGACGGGGCTGTGCCCAGTCAATCTTGCAAATGTACCTACTGTGCTCAGAATGGACTCTATCAGGGCTAGAGCTGAAGCTCTATCTAATCAGATGATCTATGCTTTTCCCAGGATTGATAGGTATCGCGCCGAATAACAGAGCTTCTTTATATTAACTTCAGGAAACTTGGTTCCTGTAATGGCACCACTACTATCTTTTACCTCTTGAGGTCCCTGTATGAAACATTGAACTTGGGGAATGGAATAATGTGTCAAGAAAAGTATGCTGTTAAACTATGTTGCTAGGCAAGGGTTACTAAGATGCTGATCTTTTCACCAAATACGGAGATGCAGGACTTCGAGAGCATGGTTCTTTTCAATTTGAGGCTATACAAATTATATACATCTAAATCAAAGGGAAAGCATTTCCATCGCCCCTCGGATCGCTACCAGCACTGTGAACCAGCTTCCCCTCGTCATAATGCATACGAATAAGCTGACCACGACCAAACTGCGAACGCTGCCAGCCCTTCAAGACCTCAATCTTGTGGCCGAGGCGGCGCAGACCCTCGACGGCAGCATCACTAACCCCTTCTTCTACATGTACGGTGCGGTCCGTGCTATCGGACGAAACAGCAGCAATACAAATGCGCGGGGCATCTAGCGCTGCCTGTGGATGATATCCGAAAGCTAGCATGTTGAGCAGGACCTGCACGTGGCCCTGCGGCTGCATGAAACCGCCCATGACACCGTAGACGGAGTGGAGAGATCCGTCTGCGATGTTGGTGACTAACGCCGGAATGATGGTGTGGTAAGGTCGCTTGTGCGGAGCCAGCGCATTGGGATGACCTGGCTGCAGGGAGAAGTTGGCTCCGCGGTTCTGGAGCGTGAAACCGCAGCCGGCGGGGATGATGGCTGTGCCGAAGCCGGCATAGTTGCTGTTGATGAAGGACATGCCATTACCGGAGCGGTCAGTTACGGCAAAGTAGACAGTGTCGCAGTGATTGTGTGCGGGACTGCCATGGTCCAGGATGTCGGATGCGCGGTCTGGAGAGAAGAGTTTTGCTCGCTCCGCCAGGTACTCGCGGTCGAGCAGGCCCTGCGACGGCACCTTTTCCACGTCCGGGTCCGTCACAAACCATGCAGCGTCGGCGAAGGCGATGCGCAGACTCTCGATCACAGCATGCAGGTACTCAGCTGAGTTGTGCTGCTCGGCGCTGAAGATGGGAATCTTGCCGGCTTTCTCGAGTTCCTCCAGGATTCCCAACGCCATCAGCGCCACGATTCCCTGGCCGTTCGGTGGATGTTCCCAGACCTCAACACCCTCGTTAGGTCCGCCGTCCGTCCCAGGTGTCTGCTTGGACTTTATACCCTGGCCGGTAAATTTGAGCGAGATCGCGTCTACCTCCTGGCTGCCTGTCTGGGCGTGATGTGCCAGATCTTCCAGCGTCATGTATCCGCCGAGATCCTTGATCACCTTGACCACTTGCTCTGCGATCCGGCCCTTGTAGAAGCCGGACTTGCCCTCTGTGGCCAGCGCGCGGAACGTCTTGGCCAGGGTGGGGTTCTTCATGATTTCGCCGGCCTGTGGAGGGCGCACACCGTCCTTAGCGGAGGCGTCGTCCTTCAGCATCTCGCGGAAGTTCGGTGATGCATTTCGAATGAGACCTTCACTTGCAGCCCACTGTTCCCCTATTAGTATTTGCTCATTCGCGGGGGGAATATACTGACAGAGTGCGCCGAGAGCTCCGACACGGGAAATCCTTCCTCGCCCAGCTCGATGGCCGGCTGCAGGATCTGTGCGAGAGACAGCTTCCCACTACCAAACTTCTCGATCGTGTCGACCCATCCGGCTGCCGCGCCGGGTGTGGTCGCAGCAAGAGCACTGGTGAAGGGAATGCTGCCAACTTCACCGGGAGCAAGCTTCAGGTCCTTGCGCACTTGCTCCAGAGAGCCTTTTGCAGGATAGCGACCCGAGCCGTTGAGGGCGTGCACCTTCTTGGTCTGGGCATTGTAAAAGAGGCAGAACATGTCGCCTCCGATACCAGTGGACCCAGGCTCCGTCATGTTGAGCGCCGCGGCTGTGGGGAAAAACGAGATCCAGTCAGTCTGGGGACTTTTGCAATTATGGTTTACTTCAAAACAGAAGTCTATATAGACATACCAACGGCGACGGCTGCATCCTGAGATAGGCAAAAACCAAGTTAGCCTTCCTGTGCCTTTTTCTAGGATCTTCATTACCTACCGCTGCATTTCCGCCCTGGCTCAGAATCTTTTGGCCGGCCGCTGCCGCCAGTGGCTGAGTGCAGGACACAATGCCATTAGTGCTGTGGACGGTGCTGCGCCGGCTGGCGAAGGGGACGAAGTCAGCGTTCTGCTTGGCGTACACTGCTCCGGCGTTGAGAGGCATCGTGGGGGTAGCGGTGGAGAACGACGAGGGACAAAAAGGTGGGAGTGGAGGATGTCAGGCTTGTTAAATAGAGCTCCAACTTACCCCGCCACGCTGTTGGGGTAGGCTGTTATCGGGCGAGGGTGGCCGACACTATGCGTCAGAATCTTATTGACCTTCCTATATCGACTAGCAATTAAAGTAGTCGTACTAGGTCCCTCGTCGGCGATTTAGGGCTGTCCACTCTGGAAACCCTCTCACCGCCCAGGCTGACGGGCCGACAGCGGAGCAGCATCTCTCTTCCGGCATCATCCCACTCAAGTCCACACCCCCCATCCACGACCCAGTCTGACCACCTATAAATAATACGTGCGATTGCCGTATCTGATCAAAGACTGTCGAGCCTGATGGCAGCTGCAAAATGGTGGTCTTCGTCGACCTGGACCAGGACATCCTTGACAATGACAGATCGGCATTGTCCTTCCCCACGAAGGTGAACGTGGTGGCTCCCATGGCGGACCAAGCCGACATCCCAATCTCCCCGGCCCCGTCCATTTCCCCCCATAACTCCGGGCACGAAGACGGCATTTTTCCGGATAAGACGCAAAATCTCCCCGCGCATCCCAACTCGAACGCGTTCTCGGCAGCATTGAGTTGTTATCCGTGAGTGGTTCATTTTCCCCGCACCGTGGGTCCAGTACCCGCTAACTGGCCTCAGTATCGTGAAAGAAATCGCCCGCGCGGTTGATCTCAATACCCTCCATGCCCTATCTCGAACCTGTCGCCAGTTCCTCGTGAACCTGGCTCCGTTTCGCCAGCAGCTTGTTCGCGAGACCTTGCGCTGCGAAAATGAGTACATTGAGACGGTGACGGAGATGCTGGACGGCGGTGCTGTCTTGCCCGACAGCGTCAAGTCTGTGCTGCGCCTTTTGAGTCAGGGTAGTGGTGACCCGAGGCGCATGACCCGTGGTAAAGTGGGCAAATGCGCGCGCGACATGGTGGGTGAATGTCGACGGTGTGCAAAGATCGTCTGTCGAGTAAGCTTGCGCCTGTCATATTCTGGAAGAACCTAACATAAGAACCTTGCTGCGTTAGAACTGCACGATCAAGCCGCCTTCCCAAACAGCTCTGAAGGGTCGCATTCGCCGTCTGTGCCGAATCTGCGGTACCGCACCCTCTCTCACCATCTCTCCCTCACGCCTCCGACAGAGAAGGAGGATATTGAAATCATGGGGATATCAACCTTCGCGGGCAAATACTGCACCTGCGAAGAAGCCGTCTGGCTGTGTAATCAATGCGGGCAGACCCTACGCAGCGGTGATACAACCTATCGACGCGTGTGGGCCTGGCGCACACGGTACAGTACCTACCTTGGTGGCGGACTGGGAACCGGCATTGGCGAGGGTTGCCAGGGCGTCAAATGTGGGAAGGGCGAGGCATGTCTGGCGGCGCAAGAGATCGAGCTCGAGGTCGACTGTGAGGCCGATGAAGGCTCCGGCAGCGATATCAACAGCACAGGAAACAGTCCTCCCGCACAATGGCATCCATTGAATCACCACCATGATATCCCATCGACGGACAGCCACGATGATGAAGAACCGGGCTATTTCCGGCAGGAGATAATTGGGTTAGGTGGCGTGGTTAAACAGAAGGCCAAGAAGCGGGTTATGGTCGGCGCCTGCGTCGTGGAGTACGAAGATGAGCGCGAAACGGGGCGCTATCTCCTTCGCGAAGAGAGCGGGACGCATCGCTCATGGTGTGGTTGGTGTTCGCGGGTTATTCCTGCGAAGAAAGAAGCTCCTTCTATTTGACCGGAGCCGCCTTCTCGGGCGATAATTGCATGGACTAGCGCAGTTTACCTCCTTTTGATATTCGCCATGGCATCTTCACTTTCGATGCCAGTATATCTATTTCATCGATTGCAATGATGAGTATATAACATGAACATGATTTATTTTTACAACTTAATTTGAACAGCATCTCCCCATCACCGTCTATTATTCCCAAATATTGAAAATTGCAAAAAGGAGTCATATGAAACTAGACATAATGTTATTTTTTAAAGACATAAATAAAGAGGAAAAGGAAAATCAACCGCTCCTGTAATGCATCGCTCTACAGTCTTGAAAAGAACCATGCATCATCCTATAGACGGCCATATCATCGTCACACTCAGCGAACAGCAAATATATGTGAAAGACAAGTTTGAAGTAGAAAAAGGAAAAAAAATATCCAAGGTGCTCAATAGGCAGCAATTGCCTTCAAAATGCCTTTCAGCTTGGATTCCTTGGGCGGGGGAGACTCCTCTCTCCTATGGCGGCGGTGGTGAGAACGTGAGTTGCGGCTGCTCTGGTGCTGGTATGAGCTCTCCGACTTTCGCTCTCGTTCTCCATCTCGATCTCGGGGCCTGCTTGGCCCAGGTTTATCAAACTCTTTTCGGGATGACTTTTTTATTTCACGCTGCCGTGCGCCGTCATCTTCATGCCGGGAGTGCGAGCCGCTCGACTGTCTACTAGATCTTCTCTCTTCAGGTGACTCCCGGCCATGACTGCGACTGCTTCTTTGCCCTGTTGATGGGCGGCGCGGCTTGTCCGAGGCTGAAACAACAGCCTTGGTGCTGTTGATGCGCAGTAGTGGCTTGTGCATCTCCGACTGGCCCTCAGTCATGTATCGCAAAAAGGCACGAGGCCTGGCAAGCTGAGAAGATGGTTTCGAAGAGGACGATTTAGCCGTGGAGCGGGATTTCTCACGCACTAGGTCACTTCCGGTGTAATCAGATGGGCGACGTTTAGGTTGGACCTCGACAAGAATCACCCCCTTGCCTTTATCTTTCGAGGAACGTCGACCTGTTTCGGCGGTGACACCGCTGAGTTCGCGGTCTGCAGCTAACGCACGCTTTTTCGTTTCAGCTCGATCTTTCTCTTCGCGCTGCCGCCGAGCTTCCTCGAGAGCCTGTGCCCAGCTGTTGGTGAAGAGGCCGCGTTTGGATTTTTGGCGCTGCAGCTGGTCCTGTCGTCCTTCAGATAAAGTCTTGGAGTATCGTCGTCCGCGTGCGGCCGGTGTGGAGCGCTTTCTGCGTCGTTTGGGGGTACTTTGTCCGTCTTCTGGAGGTGGAGCAGGTTCCTCGATAGACTCATCTAGGGCTGGGTGCGCTTTAGCTGTCTCTTCCTCTGGTGCACCGTCGGCAGGCGGCGGTGCTTCATCGAGGGCAACTTCTTCAGTGGGGGCTTTGACAGGACTTGTATCTTCGGCTGGAAAACCTTCTTTAGAAATATCTTTCGCTTCTTCTGCAGCATCCTCGACCGGAGGGTTTTCCAGAGGGGGCTCTTCAGTCTTTGCAGGAGGGGGTTCAGTAACCATTGAATCCTCAGATGGTATCGGCTCCGGCTCCGGAGCTTCTTTGGGAGCTTCAGTTAGCTCCTCTGCCGCTATGGGTTCAGCTACCGGATGATCTTCAGCGGGTATCTCCGTGGCTGGAACTTCTGCAGGTGCTTCTTCAAGTGGCGTTGTTTCCGAAGAGACCTCCTCTATAGCGACCTCAGGTTCACTTTGAGCAGCATTACTTTCTTCAACAAGGGGTGGTTCAAGGACGTCAAGAGCCACGTCAGTTTCTCCGGGAGATGGCTCGGCTACAGGCTCTTCAGCAGAGACATCTTTTGCTCTCTCAGATGCTATTTCTTCAGGAGTGGCTGGGGTTGGTTCTTTTTCGGCAGACTCTTCCTTCTCGACGGGGGGCTCTTCATCATCTGCTGCCTCAGAAAGAAAGTCCCGAGGAACCAATTCGGCTGTCTCTTCGGCTGGAGACTTTTCAACGGCCAATGTCTCAACAGAAGCCTCTCGAACAGGCTCAGTTTCCGCTGATGCTTCGACAGCAGGTTCAACTGCAACAGGATCGTCGGCAACATGACTCTCTGCTGCAATTTCAGGAGCTGCTGGTTCAACTGCGGAGGTTTCCCCAGTATCAGCCGCCTTATCCATATCTTCATCGTGAGTAGCAGTGAGCTCGTCAGGTAGAGCCACTTCAGCTGGTTGTTCGTTGACAGGATGGTCTGTAGCTGCCATCTCAGCAGGATCGTCAACAGATGTTTTGATCTCCTCTGCAGTCACCTCCTCAGCAAACACTGAATCAGCTTCAGGCTCAAACCTTTCTGGTTCGGCCTCTATCACTGCAGTCTCCTCTGTAGAAATTTCCTTCGAGATATCTCTTACAGACTCAGTCTTGTCTCTCTCCGCCGCGGCCTCGCCCACAACCTCGGACGCAGAGGGTTCTTCAGCTGTAGATGCCTCAGGTTCCTGAACAAGTTCTGCGGAGAGCTGTTCCTCCTTTGTTGGTGGCTTGATATCCTCAGGTTCACTGGCTGTCGCGCTTTCCGCCGGACCTCCAGCGTCATCGCTAGACTTTTCAGCCTCCTCGCTTGCCGCTTCAGTTGGCTCTGGTGAATTTTGTGTATTTTCATCGGAAGTCGCACACTCGGCTGTTTCAGGATTGCTGGCCTCCTCAGTCTTCGACTCTGACTCTGGTGACGGGTCTGCTGCAGGTTCTGACGGGATCTCAACAGGTTTGGCTGTTTTTCCAATTTTGCCTTTCTTGACCTTCTTTTCTTTCCTCTTCTCTTTCTTTGCATTCTTGCCTTTTATCTTGGGCTTTCCCTCCTCTTTCTCGTCTTCTGGTACGTCAAATGTTACCTTGGGAGCACGAGGCTCTTTCGTTTGAGAGGCTGTTTGCTCCATATCATGTGCCTGCTCTGAAGTCGGCTGCTCCTCGATGGCTGGTGGACTTGCTTCTGCGTCACATTCAGCTGGCTCTGCAGGTGGGTCTTTGCTTCCAGCGAGGTCTTCCGGTGCCTCCTCGTTCTTCTCGTCACCGACCGGGGCAGCTGTGTCGTCGGCCGTTGGTGGACCCTCCCCTTCCTGACATTCGGCATCTTCAGCTGCTTGTTTCGCGGCTTCCTCTTTCTCCGCTTCTACTTTGTCAATCTCTGCCTCTGGGTCACACTCTGGGAAGTCATCATCTGCATCGGTTGTCAATCAAACTACAATTCCATATGACTTTGGACTTACCATTGTTGCTATTATCGTCATCCTTCTTATTTGCATTTGCCTCTGTTGCTGGTGTGGTACTTTCGTCGTCAGGTGCGGATGTAGAACCCTCGGCTGATTCTTCAGCAGGGGAATCTTGTGGAGCTTCTTCATTGCTAGCTTCTCCCTCTGCAGCTGGTGGGGGGTCATCACTAGTAGGTGGTCCCTCGCTAGGCTCTTTAGCTTCTGCCTCTCCAGAATGGGCAGTGTCTGGGGCGGGAGGTGTCACCTCCGAAGATTCTATATTAGGTGAATTAAGTAAACATGGGGCGTTGAGTATTGACGATGATCAGCACATACCTGCAGATTCCGGGCTTGGGTCCTCCGTTGGAGAGGCACTCGATTCTTCTACCGAAGGGTCATCAGCAGCAGGACTCTTTTCCGGTTCCGCAGCGCCATGGTTCTCCTGCTCCTTGCCCGGCGTCAGATGATCAGAATTGGAATGGAAGACGGGGTAATAGGCAAATCTCAGAGTGTCGCGATCAAACTTCTGGTATTGACGCTCGAATGTCTGATATTGGTAGGTAGGGAGCTTTGCGTACTGGAATGGCTCCTTCTGCTTCATCTTCTGCCAATACTCCCGTGGGCTCGAGGGTGAACTCGTCGGCAGCAGGGTTGGTGGTCGGGGTTGATTCAGCGCCGAAGGGGAGTCGGTGGTTGTTATTGCTGTTGTTCTTATTCTTCTTCTTTTTCCCTCTGGCAGGCATATCCCTCCAATCAATGACGTATCATATATTGAGGGCGCACGAATGCCAGATGGCGCACGATGACGGGAGGATATCGGAACAATGAGAGGGTGACAAGCTAGCCGTCGGCCTCGAGGCAAGGGAAGTCCTTCTCTGGGACAGCAGAGTAATAGGAGATTGCAGAGGGCAACGCCGAGCCGGAGCTCATGTATTCGAAGACGAAAAGGGAAAGAAGGATAAGCTTGCTTTCTGTGTGGTCATTGCGAGGCAGCGTGTAATAGTTCGTCGCCCACCACCCGGTCAGACAGGGCGAGAGCGGGTAGGAATTGGGCCCTGGACGTCACTGGGGAGGAACTCAATAACAATGGCTGCCCATTGGGCCACGTCGTCGGACTCCATCATGCCGCGGTGGGCCAGCATTGAAGATAGATGCGTGGTGAGGGTCGGGTGGCAGCATTCCCCACTTGCAGGAAGGTCTGCAGCAGCGACGGTGAGCCGGGATTGGCAATTGATACGCAAATAGGTCGGATGAGAGTGGATGGTGCCACCGAACAATTGATTCTTATTGCACTGTTTCTGCTCGGGCTGTAGACTTGTGCTGCCGTGCTCCAATGCCCAGGAGGTAGACGCCAGACGCATTTCTGCCCAACGCCCCCGGCAACGGCGGCAAATGGGGAGGGACAGGATGGTCGATTGTTAGTGTCAATTATGGACAAAACAGAGTTCCTGTGGACAATGTACACCCTCTTGCAACAATCCAGCAGATCCCCGACTGAGGGAGAGATCAGTTGAGATGGTGATCCAGACAAAGGATCCAAACCAGCCATGCAGTGGGCCGAGCATCCGTGCCTGATCGCCTCACCCGGAACTCACTGCTTACACCACCCATTTTCCCCGATGCCCGCCAACAGCGAACTGGGTATATGCAAGGTGTTCGATCTATAGATCGGTGCGGTGATTGGCGGCCCCGTTTCCTTGACATATCCTTCACCTGAATCATATTCCACGGATAATATTTTTCGATAACATATCCTCCTGTTCTCCTACCTCAAGCCGTCTACTACATAATCATGGCTGACTGAGATATGTGGTGGAGGAGGTAAAGTGCCTGGGTGCGTGGCTACCTGGTGGCCTGGGCTGTCTTTCTCTCGCGCATGCCCTTTGTCTGATCCGATCGTTGGGAAAGATAGTTGAGGCTGCATTACCGGAGCTACGACGGTTTCTCCTGAAGATGAGGTCTGCGACTGATGATAAATGAAACTGGCGTGCTGGGGAAGAATGAGACTGGAGCGGTGGTGAAAGCCCAATCCACATGCTGATCACTGATCTCAGGAAGAAGTGATGAGAAGCGTCGGTAGCCTTAGAATCAAGTTGTCTGCTTGATCTTGAACTCTCGCGGCTTTAGGATCTCTGATGGACCCATTGCAGTCCTTGAGGTTGGTTGGAAAGGTTCAGCCGTGCTGTTTTGTTTTTGTTTGCTTAGTCGTTGCCGGCCGAGTCACACCTCCATCAACCATCGCGAATAAAGTGGCCACCCCGCTATCAAGTATTATTATTTCCGTACTTCATTATCATAATATTCTATCATCTACGGGGTATTCGTCTATACCAATTAGCCAAAATGGAACCCCAAACCATCCTGATCACAGGCTGCTCGGCTCACGGCATCGGCGCCGCGCTGGCCCATTCCCTGGCCAAAAGGGGCCATCACATCTTCGCCACTGCACGCTCGCCCAGTAAAATCCCCTCGAAACTGGCCTCGCTCTCAAACGTGACGGTGGTGCCACTGGACGTCACAGACCCTACCACGATCTCTGCCGCGGTCCGGGCGGTGCTGGCTCACGGCCAGGGTTTAGACGTGCTGATCAACAATGCGGGCGCGGGTTACACTATTCCCTTACTGGATGCCGATCTGGACCTCGCCCGGCAGGTCTATGAGGCTAATGTCTGGGGACCGTTGCGACTCGTGCAGGGGTTTGCTGACCTACTCATTCAGAGTCGGGGTAGGGTGGTCAATGTGAGCAGCGTAGGAGCCGCGGTGAACACGCCTTGGATTGGTAAGTGAGCTCTCTTCTCTTCCTGAGATGAATCGAAGCTTATCGAAGTGAGCAGGGGTGTACTCGTCTTCCAAGTCCGCCATTACGCAGATTTCTGAGACATTACGGCTGGAACTGGGACCCCTGGGAGTGGATGTGGTATGTCTGATGGTTGGCACGGTCACGACTACCTTCCATGCCAATGAGCCGGAGGTGATATTGCCTCCTTCATCGCGGTATATGGCGATTAGAGAGACGATCTCGAATTGGGCGATGGGTCGGGCTGGGCCTAAGGGCTGCTCGGCGGAGGAGTTCGCGGAATCCGTGGTTAATATGGTCGTGAGCTCCAATCATGGAGGCGGACTGATCTGGAAGGGGCCTTACAGTACCATTATCAGATTTGTGCCTAAGTGGTGCCCCACCTGGTTGCTGGTGAGTTTCTGGCCTTTCGCTGAGGTCGATTCATTGTCTGGCTACTAACTAATACATTCTGGAAACTAGGATTGGATGATAAGCAATGGGCAAGGTTTGCAGGAATTGGCCAAGATAGCGAGTAAGAATTAAAGATGATTCACAGATAGTTGCTCGTTGATAACTGCAAATTATGATTCCATTTCGTATTCATATCATAGTCTGTGCTGCTTCTCCAGTTGAGTACATCCAGACCGGTCTCAGCCTTGACTCGGCCTCTGACTGCGTTGTGTCCGTAGGCCAATTTGTCGATTCCACCTACTATCTTATGGTATTTACGGCTTTTTTTCTTTGCCTTGGTCTTAGTTATCAGTGGCTTTTGAAGACCGACAGGCGACTTGGATCATTGATTTTATAGATCGCTATCAGGATCCTTTCAAGCCGATCTCTCCAACTCATAAACTTGACATATTGGAACTGTATGAGTTCGGCAGACAGTCAGAGAGTAATTCCGGACAAAGAAAATCCATCATGCGACAAACTTTTTGCACTATACCTCCTCTGTCTTCTTAAATGTTCGACCTCTGGCTCTCATATCCTTTACGTCATATCTGAATTCATGGCGCGTCAATCACAAGTTCCAACGTAAGCCGCTTGCTTATAGCCTCGGACCGCTCACCACTCCTTTAGTCTAGTTAGTTCCAGCATCTCCGGCTGAATTTGACCTACTAAGAGGGGTTCGCTCAGTCTAGCCCTAAAACATGAATCACGGCCACCAACAAAACCCAGAACAAGGTATTTAGCATGTTGTGAATGCGGGGAAAGGATGCTTGGCGGTGTGACAACCGGAGGCTAACTATAACCCAGTGATGTAATTGGTTGCTATAGGATGTAAACGAGGTCTATGAACGGGATCCGCTCGTCGATCTCTCACTAGTACCTCGCTAGTGCGGCTTGGACCCTTGGATGGGGGGTTGACCGAGTGAAATGCCGAGCCCTAGCCCCCGCCCTACCCTCCGCCCTAGCTCGTAGCTGTCAACAAGTTCGCGGGTAACGTTATGTGGAGATTAAATCGTTTTGTGAGGAATTTTATATCGACCTACCATTTTCAAGAGAATCAAGCATATAGAGGTGCTAGAGTGCAGCGCGAGCTGGCTAGTCTCTGCCGTGGCTGACGACAAGACATACATAAGAGTGTCTAGGCTATTAGGGCGGTCATTTCATATCCTTTATCTATAGTAGGCGCTCGCCTCGGCCGGAGCAGTCTCCCAGAATGTTAAATCCAGATGCTTCAGGCGGGGTAAGTTCCGTGCGCGCTATACCTATTGTCTTGGTCCAAGAGCTGCCGGACTGCACAACTAGAAGATCCCTATTACGCCCTTACTATAAAGGCTGCATTCTAGCCATGCGATTGTCTTTGAATAAATCCTGATTCGAAGTGAGTGAAGATAGTAGCTTGTCCGCTATCATGTTGTTTTCGCCAATTATCATTGCCTGCTTGCTAGCTGTAGGAAGCTCAGAAGCATCTCCTGCAAAATCCACGGCCTTGAATGATTCAATTCCCCAGATCCCGGACCATAGCATACTACACAACGTTGCAACCGTTCGCCCGAAAGAGGAACCGAAGCTAACTTCTACCACTACTCAACTGAATGACGAGTCAATCACAACAACATCAATCCCATCGGGATCCTCGCATGTCGAAACATCATCAGCTCCAGAGACAACTCACCATGACGCATCGTCATCCGCCGATTCCTCATCCGAGGCCACACCTGACTCCAACCTATCCGGTACACTTTCTTCGTTGGGGCAGGGCTCTCCGACAGGCTCCAGCGATGGCAGTATCGAAGATCTCGCGTCCGTTGTAAAGGATCTCGAAGAGCTGCTCACAGGTGCTCGTAGCTTGCTGAATCCTGAGCTTCTGAGCCAAGTGACTGATACCTTTAAATTCATCTCAACCGGTTTGGCACCTCCAGTTGATACCGAGCTCAGGCCACTCGTGATCAACGCGAACAAACTCATGACTGATGAGTTTATCGACAAAGTCAACACACTCATTGATAACGCCAACGAACTTTTGACCGGTCAATTCGTCCAAAAGATCGACGCACTGGTTGATCATGCAAACGATCTCTTGACAGTCCAATTCAATAAGAAAGTTGATAGTCTGATTGACAACGCCAACAACCTTCTGACCGTTCAGTTCAGCAAAAATGTGGATGCTCTGGTTCAAAATGCAAACAACCTTTTGACGGTCCAGTTCAATAAGAAGGTTGACTCTCTTATTGACAATGCCAATAGCTTGTTGAGCGACCAAGGCACAAAGGCTATCGAGAGCCTTGTCAACAATGCCAACAGCTTGTTGAGCACCCAGGTGACAAAGGCCATCGAGAGCCTTGTTAACAATGCCAACAATCTGCTGACCCCCGGATTCGTTGATACCACAAGCGGCCTGATCAAAAATGCAGGTCCTCTTGTCACTCAGGCCAATGATCTGCTCTCACCTAGCTTTGTTAAGCAAACTTCGAGTCTCATCGGTGAAGCCAATAGTCTTCTCACACCTAGCTTTGTTAAGCAAACTTTGAGTCTCATCAGTGAAGCCAATGCTCTTCTCACACCTGCTCTATCCAATGCACTCAAACAATTACTTGGAGATATCCTTCCGATGATACCAGAACTAAGGCAATTGATGCCTGAAATCAAAGAATTGTTGACAAAGTCAACTATCCATGAGATTGGGTCTCTTTTGACCAACGCCAACACCTTGCTCAGCCCCGGTTTTGTAAACCAGACATCCAGCTTGATCAACAATGTCGGCGGCCTCCTCACACCCGAAATCGTGAACGGCCTCAGTGGCCTCCTCGACGAAGTGACTCCTATTATTCCTGAGCTCAAACCTTTGATTCCCGAGCTCAGGCCTTTCATCCCGGAGATCAAACAACTGCTTCCTCAGGCGCTTCCTTTCCTGACACCGGCTACTATGGAAGACTTGGGATCTATGCTGATGAATGCCAACACTTTGCTCAGCGCCGACTTTGTCAACCATACATCTACTCTGGTCGGCGACGCAAACGACCTTCTTACGCCTGAGCTTACGAAAAACCTTGGTGGCCTTCTCGATGAAGTGACTCCTCTAATCCCTAAGCTCTACCCCTTGATTCCCGAACTCAAACCACTTCTCAAACCGGATATCATGAAGGAAATTGGGTCTCTCGCTACAGATGCGCTGCCCTTACTCAAAGAAATGGTGAACTCGATGAACTCGCTTTGATGATAATGAAATGTTTTGAAATATCGGATGATGATTTTTACGGATGTGTTAGTTTTGCGATTGCTCCGGTGTCAACTATGACGGCCTTCCTACAGCATATAATCACCCTCAAGCTTGAAGAAGACAGATTCTTGACTTAACACTTACCCACCCCAAATGATAGCTTTTTAAGTTTGTCGATTATTAGATCAGTTTGTCTAGGGGTTGCAGGATCCTCTACCAGGGCCGCTATGTTCTCGAATATAAGATATTAAACAGTTGTCAATAATAATGATGCTCTGGAATATACTTCGCAATGCCCAACGACATACTTCCACTCAGAGAAACAACATTCGAACCTTCATAAAAGATAAAGGGGTGAAAATAATGATTCTATTCATAATGGGTTATCATCCTCGACACGAGCATGTCAAGAACAGCCTTTCCGAGCAGAAGATGCAGAATAATGGACACAACGAGCGAAGTAAGAACTTAGTCGCTCCAGAAAACTCAGAATGAATGCCGCGTGCAGCCAGATATGGATATTGAATGCTCGACACCCTTAACCTTCAACAGGGAGAATATCGGGCCAGTATGACATGACAACCAACGCCAAAAATGATACATACTCCTGCGCAATTGCATGTGTTTCAAAGGGTATGAGCATGAAGCGGATGCAGAAACAAAAAGAGAAAAAATCAACGCATGTGTTCCTCCATTGTCTGCCGCCAGCGGGGTCCGTAGATCCTCATTGCGAGAATAACGGACGAGCTGAGGAAGCTGACAATTCCCAGAATGGTGAAGAGCCACCCGTTGCCGATGGCGCTGATGATCGGGGCCGTGACGAACGAGCCCACACAAGAAAAGATGTTGCGCATGAAGTTGTTGAGCGCCACGCCCTCGGAGGACTTTTTCGGCATGAATTCTGTTAGCATGGTTGTTACCATAGCGAAGATGAGCATGGAGCCCATGCCGAAGAAAAAGTTGGCGATCATCTAGGAGATACATCGTTAGTAGTGACATGACTTGGCGGTGTTGAGCGCTGAAACATACCGGGACGATCCAAATCACACCCTTCTCCGCTGTCCAGCCATACCAGATGAGCGCAGCGGGGTACATAAAAGCGCCGAGCCATGCGTTTTCACGCATGCGGTCCTCCGGCCGATAGATCAGCTTCCCGTACTCGTCATACCGATTTGCTTTCTTGGCTTCTCGCTGCATGATGTTGTCCATCCATTTCCCGCCAAAGATACTGGTGACCATGTAGCCCAACGAGTTGGGGATATAAAGACAGCCGACAATAATAGTCGAGTAGTCGTACGGTGACTTCTCAAATGTATCCTGCACGCTGACGTTCAAGACATAGAGCGAGCCGAAGGTGATACTGGCGTAGTACACTGTCAAGAGCACGGGAATATACTGCAGATAAAGGACGATCTTCAGCGGATCGATAAATATGATTTTCAACAACTTCAACCACCGTGTCGCAGATCGGACAGCCTTGGCGGATGAGACGCGACTGACGGACCGGATAACGGTGGCGCCTTCCTCTTCGTCGGTAGTTTCAGGAAGAACGGGCTTCTGCACTGCCAGTGTTTCCGGGAGAGCGAAGAGGATAAAAACGACCGTAAGAGCTCCGTACGCAGCCAGGAACCACATGGTACTCCTCCATCCCCATCGCTGGGCCAGCGCACCACCAAAGATCGGAGCCAGCAGGGGTCCGCACAGTGGACCGAGATAGAAAATACCCATCGCTCGTCCTCTTTCCCGGGGCTCCCACAGATCAGCGATTGTCCCCGCACCGACAGCTTGGACTGAGGCTGAGGCGCCACCGCTTAGCATACGCAAAACGATGAGCATTGCAATCGAGCTGGAGATGGCGCAGATGCAGTTGAAGATCGTGAAGAGCACGAACGAGACCAAGTAGATCGTGCGTCGGCCGAGTCGCTCGCTGAAGGAGGACCACCATAGCGGAAAGATCGACATGCTGAGCATGTACAGGGAGATTGACAGGTTAGTTATGGTGGTAGTTGTGTTCAGATCATGGGATACTTGGGAGAGCGAAGCTGTCTCGGGGTTAGTTGAATATATACGCCAGCGTCAAGATATCACCACTTACGGAAGAAAATCGAGCTTCCCATCGGCGCCGTGACACCAGCCCAGGCGACAACAAAAGTGATAAACCACTTCTTCTTGCGCGTGTATGTCTTGGGATTCTCCACTTCAGCCAACAAGGTCAACTGCCCAAACAAGCCTCTCCGCTTCAATCGCGAAACCTTGATCGGCGGCCCCAGTTCAGTCAACTGCCGTGTGATCGGCGGTTGTTCCTCATCAGGTCCATCTTTGCCCTCGTCGTCCACCACGCTGGAAGCATTCGATCGCGATTGCCCGTCATGGTCGACTTCCTTTTCTCCTTCATCTGTGGCGCGATCAGCCGTCTCCGCTGCTGGCGAGGGCGAAGCAGAGGTAATGGCGCTGTCTTTCTCTGGATCCTCGGCGCGCATCTTGGCGGATCGGCTTGCCGTGATTTAATCAATCAAGACTTGCCACTGACCAATAACGATATCCGCAGTGGGTGGTATCAATTGCTGTACAGATAAAGTGATACATTGGACACGGAGCGCGATTGTTAAAAGTCGGAATTACGAGCGACGCAGATGTGACGGAAAGAAACCCAGGGCAGGCGCGAGTTTGCGCAGGGAAACCGAGGCGTTTCGGTCCAGAGATGGACTGACGTTGGAAATTTTCCGATTAGTTCTGTAGAAGGTGGTTGCGTTAGAGTAGCATCCGTCGCGGTCAGAATTTTTTTCTCCTTTTGTTCCGACAGATGATGAAAGATTATCGGCAAGATCCAAATCGGAATCGCCGACAACGACCGAGGCCATCATGATCGGTATTAGTAGTATCTCCAGTGTGGATAAAAATCCGCCATTGCGGCGAGAGGGGTTGACGACAAGCTGGTCAACCAGTCATCGCTCAGCAATGGCGTGCCGGTCTTCCGTCGGCAAAAGAGAGGATTGGCCTGTTCTCCACTTTGTGCTGGATGTGTGGTTCATTGCGTATAGTGATGGATAAGCTTATGCGATTAACCTCAACTGGGCTGGGGGTTCTTGGTTTTCTGCAGGGTTAATCGGATCGGATGATCTCATGGCACACGAGCAAGGAGATGGTCGTGCACGAACTGGACGAAGAAATCGCAGCAAGGAGGTCGTGCTTAATAAGCCCTGCGGAATGAAATAAACAGAGGGAGACTGACCGGTCTTCCTTTTTATCATTTCCTCCCGTTGACTACCGAGAACATTACATACCTGCTGCAAGATGAGTGTCCCAACTGCCTCAACCCAAATGGACCTCAAGCAGGTCCAAGCCGTAATGGCCGAGTACCAAGGCGACCGCTATGTCGACGGCTGGGCCGCGCTGTGGAGCAAAGGCGACGGCCTGCCGTGGGACAAAGGTTTCCCCAACCCAGCTCTGGAGGACATCCTCACCCACCGCCAGGGCACCATTGGCGGCCCCGTCACCAAGGATGCCCAAGGCCAGACCTGTCGCCGCAAGGCCCTAGTCCCGGGATGCGGGCGAGGCGTCGATGTGCTTCTGCTCGCTAGCTTTGGGTACGATGCCTACGGCCTAGAGTATAGCTCTGGCGCGGTGGAGGCATGCAAGAAGGAAGAGGCTGACAATGGGAGCTGGTACCGGGTTCGGGATGAGAAAGTTGGCCGCGGCAAAGTTACTTTTGTTCAGGGCGACTTCTTTGATGAGGGTTGGTTGAAGGAGATTGGCATCCCGTTGAACGGGTTTGATCTGGTCTATGACTACACAGTATGAATACTTCCTCTCTATATCGAGTGTTTTGGTCTGACTCTCGATATAGTTCTTTTGCGCCCTGGATCCATCAATGCGACCCAAATGGGCCCACCGACACACCCAGCTGCTGGCGCCTTCGCCCACCGGCAACCTGATCTGCCTCGAGTTTCCTCGCCACAAGGATCCGAAGGAGCCAGGCCCGCCATTTGCCTCGCCCTCAGAGGCATACGTGGCTCATCTGAGCCACCCGGGTGAAGACATCCCCTACGATGCCAAGGGCGTGGTCAAACATGACCCGCTGCGCGAGCCGAGCGAGGGTGGCCTTGAGCGCGTAGCCTACTGGCAGCCGGAGCGCACGCATGTGGTGGGCCAGGGAGAGAATGGCGTGATCTATGACCGAGTATCTATTTGGCGTCGTCGTTAAAACCCAGATCTAGATCTATGTGGTTCTATTTATATCCACTCAAAAGATAGAAAAGCTTCATTGCAAGAAGCTTTCCCCTCAAGACTGCTTCACCAGCGCATTATAATGCTCGCCCAGCCCGTAAGAGTGCCGGTAATATGCCAACCAAACCACCCGCCTCCGCTTCTCCTCTTCATCTAGGCTCTCCCCGTCATCCCCAGACTCAATCTTCTCCATGCGCCCATCACTCTGCACCACATTAATCTCAACTCCATACGCCCTCGCAATGGCCTGCAGCTCTAGCTGTCCCCCCCATTCAGCAGTCAATTTGATTTTCCTCGTGTACGCATCAAGCGGCTCCTCCATAAACGGCTCAAAGTCCTCTTTGTGCTCCTCGATAAAATCCGCCGTCACCGCGCGCACGGCTCTATACCCATCATGCTGTGGCGATACGACAGTCTCGATGCGGGACTGCGTGGTTGGTTTGAGGATGATCCGGCTCGGGTCCGGACGCAAGCCTATCCCGGAGTCGTCGAGCTGTTTCGCGATGGCGGAGTAGAGGCAGTGGCCGTCGGGGGTCACTTCGATTTCTTTGAGGCCGAGCCGCTTGAACACTTTCTCCATGACTTCTTGCTCGTTGCCACGGTAGTTTGTTTGGGTCGCGGCCTCTTCTGCTGCCGCCGCGGAGAGGGCTTCCTGCTCGGCTGCGCGGCGGGCGAGGCGGGCTTTCTGGCGGTTGGGTTTCTTAGCGCTGCGTGTTGCTGTGGAGGAGGGTGGTTCTTCTGATGTTGCGGGTTCGGTGGATGGAGTTGTGTCGGTGGGTGGTTCCTCAGCTGGTCTGTCTTCTAGACTGAGATCCTCGAGGGCCTCGCTAGGGTCCACTGGCTCGCCATTGAGCTCTGCAATCTCGGCCTGTTGTCGCTCGGAGAGCTCGTATTGCATGCGCTCACACTCGTCATTGATGCCTTTGCGGGTCTTTTTGGTAGCGGCCTTTTTCTTCTGCGTGATGCGCCCCTGGAGGTCTTTTTGCTCCTTGCGGTGTTTGGCCTGTAGTTCCTCCATGCTGGTTGATGAACACAACAATCGACCGACTGACCGTCGCGAAACCCCGATCCCGCAGCCCTAACGGGAACCCCAAACGGGCATGGCTCCGGATCAACGATCTTCCCTGAGCCTCGGCCCAGACCGACCAGAAGCTCGGCCGTCGGGTATGTTGCGAGTATGTCTTAAATGGTTGGAGATTCTTCGACTCGCTTGAGATCAGATATTATTCACCATGGATTCGTCAAGTCTGTTCAACGTGCAGGTATGGATTTGCTCGCTCGATTTTGATTTCATGCCCGTACTAACTACCCTCACCAGGGCAAAGTCGTGCTGGTCACTGGCGGCGCCAAAGGCATCGGGCGCATGATCTCGGAGGGCTTCGTGACCAACGGTGCGACGGTGTACATATCCTCGCGCGACGCCAAAGCCTGTGACCAGGCGGTGCAGGAGCTCAATGCCCTGGGCAAGGGTAAAGCACACGCCATCCCCGCCGATTTCTACAAGTACGAGGACGTGAAGAAGTTGGCCGAGGAGCTGGGCAAGCGCGAGAGCAGTAGGCGACCTCTGTCGAAAACCGAAAAGGATAATTTCTAACTATTGCAGAACTGCACGTGCTTGTGAATAACTCCGGCTCCAACTGGGGCGCTCCATATGATGAGTATCCCTCTAGTGCTTTCACTCGCGTGCTCACCCTCAACCTGCACCGCGTCTTCGACCTGACCCAGCTGGTGACACCCCTGTTGGAAAAGGCGTCCGCGCCTACCGACCCGGCGCGCATCATCAACATCGGCAGCATTGACGGGCTGCGCGTGCCCTCGCTCGAGACCTTCGCCTACAGCTCCAGCAAGGCTGGCTTGCACCACCTCAGCCGGACGCTGGCAAACCACCTGGGGAAGCGTAACATCACGTGGGTGTTCTCTCTTTTTTTTCGCCCTTGTCTTACCTACTAAATATATCCTATCAGGTCGAACACCCTGGCCTGTGGGCCCTTTGAAAGCAAAATGATGGCCGCCACGCTCAAGACGTTCGGCGAGTCGATCAAGGCGGGTGTTCCGCTGGGGCGGATTGGGACGCCGCAGGATGTGGCGGGTGCGTGTCTGTTCCTGAGCAGTCGCGCTGGAGCGTATGTGAATGGCGCGACGATTACGGTGGATGGTGGGAGTGCCATTGCGGCCAAGATCTAGACGTATATAATCATCTCGTCCGATGTAAATACCGACCGTGTGCGGAGCATACCGACTAGATCTGGATGTGGCGTTTGTTGCGAAAGAGCGGTCTCGAGAATTTTAGTAAAAGCTTCAGCGCGAACAGAAATCGAATCGGGAAAATACTCGGGGAAATTCTCAGTATCAGCGATAAGCAACAGTGGAGGCAAATGACTTCATTGCCATCGACCCATCCACTTCCATTCCACTCCATTCCACTTCATCCCACTTCACTCATTCTTCACTCTTCACCGATTCAGACCGAGACTAGACCTATCTCATTCCGGAGAACAAGGATCCCCCTAACCCCAACCCGTGGATTTGCTTTCACCTCCTATAAAACGAACCATCCCCCTCAGTCATCTCCGTCGGGCGCCATAAGGCTGTAAACCTTACGTTCCACGCACACAACCTCGCTTCTGGAGCTACACTGACCCCCCCGTGTCGCTGGCACCACCCCCGCCCGTCTTCCGCCTGCTAGACCATGAGCTCGTCAAGCGAGCGCCAGCGCCAATCGTCCATCGACCCCTTCTCCCACCCGGACATCTATTACGGAAATGAGGACTCCCTCGCCAAACTCAGCGGCCGCGGCCGTACACTCTCGGCGGTAAGTAGTCGCCCTTTATTTTTGGTCGGCAGCGGAAAACTCATTCATTTTTGCCGTGTCTTAGAGCTTGAACGACTATAATCGCGAGGATATCCAGGACTTCGTTAGTGCGCTTCCGTCGAGACGCGGTAGCCACGGTACGTTTTGTTCTTGCTTGGGTTTTCGGGGCTGCGCTGACAGTGACGATGCGCAGATGTATCGTCCGGTCGCCCCCGCAGGTTCTTGATCGAGGTCGAGGACACACTGCAGGCTTTGCTGCAGCAGGAAGATACCGATCAGAATATGCAGATCACCATTGAAGATCTCGGGCCCAAGGTGCTGTCGGTCGGAACGGCCGCCTCGTCCGGCATCAACCGCTTCGACGTGCGGGGCACGTACATGTTGTCGAATCTGTTGCAGGAACTGACCATCGCCAAAGACTACGGCCGGAAGCACATCGTCCTCGATGAGGCCCGGCTGAACGAGAACCCCGTCGCGCGGCTCAACCGACTGATCAAGAACTCCTTCTGGAAAGCGCTCACTCGGCGCATCGACGGCTCCAATATCGAAGTGGCCGGTCGGGATCCCAAGGACTGGACCGATGACCCCCGGCCCCGGATCTACATCCCGCCTGGTGCTCCGATGCAATTCGAATACTACACGCGCATCGCCAAGGAACATCCGGAGCTGCGTCTGGATGTGCAGATGCTGGAAGCGAATATCACTCCACAGTATGTGGCACACCTGAACGATAAGCCGGGTCTGCTGGCGCTGGCTATGCAGAAGAAAGCCAATGATGCCACCATGGAAACGGACTTGATTGGTGTGCCTTTCGTGGTGCCCGGTGGTCGGTTCAACGAGCTGTACGGATGGGACAGCTACATGGAGTCCCTGGGATTGCTGGTCAGCGACCGTGTCGACCTGGCCAAGGGCATGGTGATCAACTTTTGCTTCTGCATCAAGCACTACGGCAAGATCCTCAACGCCAATCGCTCCTACTATCTCACTCGTTCCCAGCCGCCTTTCCTCACCGACATGGCGCTGCGGGTATACGAGAAGATCAAGAACGAACCCGACGCGAAGGAGTTCCTCCGCAATGCGGTCCTCGCCGCTATCAAAGAGTACTACAGTGTCTGGGTTTCAGAGCCTCGCTTGGACCCGGCCACCGGTCTCTCACGGTATCGCCCAGAGGGCTTTGGCGTGCCGCCCGAGACGGAGCCGACTCATTTCACACACATCCTCACGCCGTATGCAGAGAAACACGGCATGGCTTTCAAGGAATTTGTGCGGGCATACAACACCGGTGCCGTGAAGGAGCCGGAGCTGGACGAGTATTTCTTGCACGACCGAGCCGTGCGTGAGTCCGGCCACGACACCAGCTACCGACTGGAACGCGTGTGTGCAAACCTTGCCACCGTGGATCTCAACTCCCTGCTATACAAGTACGAAGTCGACATTGCCCGAATCATCCGCATCCACTTCAAAGACCGCCTCGAGATTCCCGAGGAATTCCGCACAGAGACAACTCAAAACATCGAAACCGAGTCCTCATCCGTCTGGGACCGGCGCGCCCGCCGACGCAAGCAAGCTATGGATAAGCTCCTCTGGTCCGAGGAGAATGGAATGTACTTCGACTATGACACCGTCAAGCGCGAGCGCACAAACTACGAGACGGCCACGACCTTCTGGGCGATGTGGGCGGGACTCGCGTCGCCAGCCCAAGCCGCAAAGATGGTCGAGAAGGCCCTCCCCCGGTTCGAGGCGTATGGCGGACTCGTCTCGGGAACAGAGGAGTCGCGCGGTGCAGTGAGCCTGGAGCGTCCGAATCGCCAGTGGGACTATCCGTACGGCTGGGCGCCGCAGCAGATGCTGGCGTGGACGGGCTTTTTGCGCTATGGATACCAGGAGGAGGCGGAGCGACTGGCCTACAAGTGGTTGTACATGATCACGAAAGCGTTTGTGGATTTCAACGGCGTGGTCGTGGAGAAATATGACGTTACGCGCCCGATTGATCCGCACCGCGTTACTGCCGAATATGGGAACCAGGGAACGGATTTCAAGGGTGCGCCGCGTGAAGGGTGAGTCTTTTTTTCCTGATCGCTATCTTTTTCCGGATTTAACTAACAAATACATCATAGCTTCGGCTGGGTTAACGCCAGCTACGTCTACGGTCTCGAGATCCTGAACGCGCACATGCGGCGCGCGTTGGGAGCTATCACGCCCTACGAGACGTATCACAAGGCAGTCGTCGCGCAAGATGAAGCGAATGCCGTACAAGATGAAGCCTATTGACCTACTGGTTTTGGTTTGGTGCTTTTGTTTGTTTGTTCTTGAAAGACGGCCTGGCGTAGCTTTAGAAAGAAGAGGTTGATGTGTTTGATCATACTTTACAAAATGCGAAAAATTACAATGGAGGCTTGCATCTAGATAGCCAAGAGGCTGGAAAATTTGGATTGTTTTGTTATTATTCCTTGGGACTACTGAAACTACTGCCGTTGCACTTCTGGATTATACTTTTGTTTAAAAGAATGAGCTGTCCGTTCAGCAAGAGATCCTTGCAAGCGCTACGTGCACTGCTTAGTATGTACACACACAATACACGTCGCTCTCAAGCGGTGTCAGCTGCTCCCTCCGGGCTTGGCCAATTTGATCAAGGCCTCCCCCCATTAAGAGCGAAGTTTTGCCTAGGCAGACTTGTCTAAACTTGTCCCCTTGGCCTCCTACAGTGGACCAGGCATATTAGGTAAAAAATAATAATAATCTACTAATGGGAGCAATCGAGGCAGCACCTTGTGCGAGGCTGAAGGTACTTCACCAACCTCATGTTTCTTTTCTGCTTTGTAGCACTGCCAATGACGGGAGTGGGGCCAAAGATAAAATTAGATATAGACTCGAGACCCTGCAGGACGCTTAAGTTAATTATTCATTATTGCGGGTATTTTGCAGGGGTCATAATTGCTCATGTCTCATGTGTTCATTTCCTCCCATCGTAGTCTTCGCTTTAATAGTTTCTTTTCTCGTCGCTCAGGCCCCCCACGAGAAATGTTCACGGAGGGCCTTGACACACTCTGTATTGATACCACAGCACCTGACTTTCGGTTATGCGTGCGGCGTGTCGTCAGTAAGGACAGGGGTAGTAATAAGGAAATTGAGAAACCGATGGAATTCCTGGTATCACGACGCTCAGAGATGGTATGTTTATATGTACAACTGCCAACCAAAGTAATATATCCCACATCAAGTAAACGCCAATATGCAAGCCAAATCTAGCAGTTGCGTTGCTCAAAAATTAGTTCATCCTCCTCAATGAATGCCGTAGAGACCTCGATGACTGGCCATTTTTGCCCTCAAATCCCCCAGGGACCACGATGACTTCCGAGACACCGAGGGACTTGTCGCCCTGCAAAGCCTCAACAATCAGGAATTTAGCATTCGGATCACGTAGATCGGCACTCGTTTCAAAGCCGGTCCGGCGGTGGTTATCCAGCAGAGTCCCCTGCTCGATAGTAGACGCGAAATCGGGCACGGAGTAGACGTTCCAGTTGTCGTACTCGGTGCAACCATTCCAGCTCATGTACACGTATATATCGCTCGTGTATTCGGAAAGATATTTGGCCACGGCGACGGGCGGGTAGTGCGGAATTGCATGCCAGGGGTACTTGAATGTACGGTACGCCTGCGCATGGCCGGAGTAGCCAAACTGGCCGGTCATCACGATGTTCCCATCACCGTCAAATTCCCTAAATTTAGGGAAAGAGCCATAACTTGCAAGCATGTGGGCTGTGTTGTTGTAGTCTAGCAGCTGGAGACTGCCTTGAGTCTTAGCTTCAGCAGGATCATGGTCGTGCGAATTGACGTGGCGGAATATACTCCCCGTCATCTTTTTTAGGTCGACGTGGATGGCGACGCCGGTTGATTCGTGCGTGGCGGTCAAGTCTCGAACGGGAACGTCGTTGTCGAATACCGTAATCACCATGCTGTCATCGGTCTCATTATACACGCGCATGTCGTGCTGCCAGGCGAAGTGGGCGTCGTTGGGGATATCACCTTCATTGCCATCGGCACCCTTCAAGGCGGTTAGCCACGTCGTTGATTAGAAAGAGATGACTCACCGAAAGCATCCAGCGCTTAGTTCCGTCGCGGTTTAGGTACAGCGCGGAGAAGAAGTAGCGAACGGAGACCAGGTAGCCGTGGTTGGTGTACTGAATGGAGTTGATGTGGTAGGCGTCCCATGGCCTCATCTGCGACCTACCATGTTCACCATTTGGCCCCATGTCTAATTTAGATTTTCCTAGGGGCAGGAAATCCCGGTGGTCATATGCGCTCCAGCTGAACAGGATCTCATTGGTTTTGATATCGATCTCATAGAATAGACAGTCGATAATCCAAGCTCCCGGGTAGCCCTCTGGCCGCATGCTAGTGTCGCCCTGCGTGAGGTTGATAGCAGAGATAATCATATTGCCTTCGGGTGTAATAAGATGCTCATGGACGTCGACATAGGTCTCTCGCTTCTTCCCATCTTTCGTCACGAATCCTTGGTCTGGGAGGGTGATGACATGGATCTCCTTGTACGAATTGTCGAGGATGTGGACGCGACCATATCCATAGCCTAGCATGTTGGTCTCGCCATCCCAGTACGTAATGACGTCCTCGCCGAAGAGCTTCTGCATCTTGAAATCCATGGTCTTCCTCCGCACGCCTTGCCATATCATCTCGCCATCGTTGTCGTATATAGTCGGGGCTTGACCTGTGTCGGTCTCGATATTCGTTCGGACATTGATGAAGATGCTGTCCGGGTTGTAATTCCCCGTCTTGCCCAGCATAAGGTGAGGAGGGGACCATGTCCCTGTCTCAAAGTGTTGGGCTGGCCAATCTGGTCCACCATGGAGCGCAAGGCCGCCAAGGGAGGACAGGAGTAGTCCAGATAGATATACGAGAGGGCGCATGTTGAAGACGGTATGGGTGTGTCGCTTGGCTTGAAAGGAAAAAGGAACCAGAAAGAAAGAAAATGGAAGCCACGTCCGGCCTCAGGAGGATTGAGGAGATTGAGTATGTAGCATCCAAATTAGTAGTATTTGAAGTTTCGTATAAGACACGAGCGAGTCATGTCCTTTTTGAGAGAGTTTTGTTTTTTTTGGAAAGCGAGTTTATTACATTATGACAATAATCAATGATACGCTTGCTCCCCAAATTAGCAAGGCAGATACAGTTTGACGGCAATACATACTAAATACTAGGCAAGGCTGAAGATCCACAGGTGGAGGCCGGGCCGCCTCAAGACACAGCCCACGAGACTCGTATTCACAACTGTTCATACAAAGCCAGTTCGATAAGGTCCCGAAATCATTAGATTTGGTAAACTAGAAAAATTAAAATAAACAAAATTGAGAGCCTCGTGCAGACTGGCGCTATAACCTGTCGGCCGAAGCAGTCGAGGTCCTAATCCAACTCAATAATCAAAGCAGACTGCCCAGAAATGGGTGGCGAAAGGCTTCCCAATATTTAGTTAGAATCTACGATATCACACACAACAGTGGTCTGAAGCGGGGATGTCCCTCAGTATCTCGAATGCTACCTAATCATTGGGGGCCGTTGGCCTTGGCAGGACACGCCCCCTGTACGGGTACATTTACGAGTACGAGTCGGATCTTCAACTTACCTAAGTGGTGTTCTCCAATCCTAGTCGATACTACATTACTTTACGGCCACGGCCAGTACATGAACATAGATGGCGCGGCTTGGCACGGCACTAATTGCTCGCGAAAAGGGGAGGACCGTCGGATTTAGTTGGTGATTTGCTCTGGTTGTATCAGGCCCGATGCGACGCCACATCCTTCTAATTTTTGATTTGGGAGATTCACTGGCTGATCTCCGTAAGGTTCCGTACTGTACCTGGAAATAGCTGTGATGATGGCTTGTGTGACGACTCACCTAGCAGGCTGCCAAAATTGACACTCTGCAGTGGTTAGGGGGAATTTCCTGGTCGAAAAAGGAGTTTGGCTTTGCCATTATTATTGACCGTTTTTGGACAGCGCTCTGATTCTTCGGGCTATTTGGGACCACCGTCAATTATGTGCTAGTGGGCTAGCGGTGACTAGTAACGGCTGAGCCACTCTGGCTTTCTTCGTTGGGGGCCGCCTCAATCAACACATACATCGAGGCTTTCTACCAGTGACATCACAACCCGTCAAGAAATATGTTCATATCTATGAACTTGCTTTTGAATCTTCTGTCGAATTGATTGATAATCTTTGTATATAGCAGCTGACAAGGTTTGGCTTTTTTAAAGTTGATACAATCTCGAAGGCAACAAATTAGGGCCGATGGTGTGATTTAAGGTTGAACACCCATAGGAAAGATTTGGAGTGAGTACATTTGACCGGCCGTTCTGCGTGCCCTTCACTGTAAGATATTAATAGGCCAGTTCTGCATCCGGCCATTGACAGTAAACTTCTGTTTCGAACAAACGCTGTCAATAAGCTTTTTCAAAATGCACCAGAGAAACAGAGACACTTAGTTAAAAAGACCCGGTAAAATCTAAATGAATATGTATCTTTTAGTTTTTGGCACCCCGTCCTTATACAGAAGTAAATAAGCTCTTTGCCTGTCAGTAACTCGAACAATATCCCTTAAAACTATCATGTTGTATAGCCAGCGTCTTAATTTCGGTTTGGATTCTGGATGAAAGACACCAATAACACATCAATAGGGGGGCAGTTTATAAGGATAGGGTAAAGGTAAGGTGCTCACACCTCGGCGGCTAAAGTCAACATACCATTTGGTATGCCATTCCCATTCTGCCTAACCACCATGCTGGGCATATGCCGCAGCGACTAGAGCTTATTATTAGGTAAAGCCTTCGGGGAAACGAGGGCCATTAAACACCAAGTAATACTAAAAGAACAACCAGATAGGAGAAGAGCCTAGCGATTTCTAGCCTTCGGATGTGAATGATATCTAATTGCAAGGCCGAGGCTTCGGCGCGTTTTGTCAATCCATACTCTATTATTGCCTTTCTATCTCCTGCAATATTGAAACAGAACTATGTCTTGATTCCTTACTTTTCAATCCTCGACAAAAGATAAGCGGGAAATGCAGATCCAATATAGATTTTTTACCTTTGCCTTGCTTGACATAGCCTGTTTGGGTACGTCTCTGGAAACGTTGGCTAGCAGGAAAGTCTATTTGTCTCTGTATTCCTCAAATCAAAATAGGGTTCATATATGACTCGGCTCAAGATGGTTGTATAATGCTCAACAAGACCGCCGACGTTAGTTTCAATTCTATCCTAAGTCAAGGGTGTCATTGCGAAAATATCCAACTCCATATCAATGCACACCGCACCCAAGCCAACCATCTCCTAAGAAACTGTAACCTTGTTGAGTAGCTATAGTATATTAAGCTTACTTACTAGCCACCTTGGCTCCTAGAAAGTGTTCCAGAAATCCTCAATCAGTCGGGCGACATTCGGCACTCTTTCTCTTACAACCCCATGTCCCACCTGTGGAACGATAAAAACATTCGGCATCCCGACTTGATGTAAGTCCTGCACACTGCACACGTCGTCCAGCTCTCCGAGGATGCAAATACCCTTTATGCCGCTTGATGATGCTTTGGCAAATTCAGCATGTTTATCTAGAACCCCACCATCTCTGAAAATGCCCACTACGCTTGCCATGTGCCCTTCATGCTGCCTCATTTGCCATTCTCGAACTGCCTCCGCAACTACTTCGCCTCGTCCCACTCTCTCCTTCCAATCTGGAGGGACAATTAAATGGCCTCCCTCCAGCAGCTCCAATATCCACGCTCGCGCCCGCTCCTCCAATCCCTCACCGCCGTGCAAGTAACTCCTCTGCAACTCGGTATACTGTGTTGCCTGCATAAGACCTGCGGGCGCAACCAGCACCATGGACGCGACACGTTCCGGGTGTGCGGCCGCGAAAGTCGCCGTTAGAGACCCGCCAAACGAATAACCGACGAAATGGGCATCTTTCCACCCAAGCTGCTCCATCAAGGTCTCTAGCAACTCATGAAAGAGCGCCGGGTCGTGCACCGCAAACGGTGTGTCCGTGAGCCCATGGCCCCACAGATCAACAAGTATACATTGAGCATATGGAAAGCGCGAAGACAGCGTGCTTGCCAGTGGCTGCAGGCCAATTGCGGGCGTCTGGATGCCGTGCACGAAAAGCACACGGGAAATCGGCCTTGTGCGATCTGTGGGTGCGAGGGACGGCGGGGACAGCTCGTAATATGCGACTCTGCCGTTTCGCGTCCGCAGATATGATGCTCGTGGGAGCAGGTTACCAAAAGTTGCGACGAAGGCGGTTTCAGACGGAGCTTGGATTGTGCGCTGCGCATCGCCGGACTTCACCGTCCCAGGACGAGGTAGCACGATCGAAGTGTTTGACATCTCATTCATAAATGTAAGATGATGGGATTCAGGTCACTTTGGCGAACTGAGTTGCTTACGAGAGTGAAAAGAAACTAGTAAGAGCTCGCCAAGATTTCCTCTCTGTTTTGGAAACCCCGCCTAGAACATTCTACCGAAATTTATGGAGACTGAAAGTAACCTACAGTGATACGATATAAATAAACAGCGTTGTTTGTAGAGTAATTGAATACCAATTAGGGCGGTTTAGGATACGGGTTGGGAAATAATTTGTGAGCGTACGAAGAGTGTGGGTTTCGACTCCGACTGTACAGTAATGTTCCAACTTTGGCGTTGATATCGATACTTCAGACTAGGTAGCATCTGTACCACCTTTTCATAAGCCTCGAAGATGCAGCGTTGAGAGATTGATAAAGTATTTACCTCTATAATCACTTGAAGTGCACCCAGTTTTCTCCCTAGCGCCTTGATAGTGGGACTAAGGATCAATTCGCAAGTGATTTATGGTGAAGCTGGTTTTGCACTTGCCTGTACCAGAAGGTCACGTTGATGCTCCTTTCTGGAATGCACGAAAGCCAGTTGGTGAAGCGATTTTACCTACGAATTACGACCTTTAATCATACTAATTAATATAGAAACACAGGGCACAGCACTACCACCGTTAAGACGTTCGTAAGCTCGATGTGTTGTTTACATTCGACTATCCCCGCATATACCCCTCACAAGCCCCCAAGCACAGCGAAAATAACCCGGCACCAAAGCTCCGAGCGTCAAAGCGGCTCGGTCAAGATCCGAAAACTCAAGACTAGGGATGCCGACTGTCGGAGATGCCAGAGCAAGGGGCCGCTCACGCAGAATGACAGCCATCGACAATAACACGGGTGTGGGGGAGCGAAGGACCCTAGTTCTCCCGAGGTCTGTTCTCGTGGCTGTACAGCCACCGCTTTTGCAGATCAAAAGTGTTTTACATTATTATTACTGCGGTATAGTTACAGCTATCGATTGCAGGACTGGCGTGAGCCGACCAAATTCAAAAGTCTGCGTTCCTACCCAACCCCTACATCCTATCTGCATGGAGGTTTGAAGTGACAGAGCGGTGGTTTGTCACAACACTATGTTCATAACCTACTCATATACCATAGCTTCACTTTCTGCCACTAGAGCTTTGCTGACACTCACAGACAAACTGTGGAGGCACAGGTGAGTCAGCAGGTCGTTAAGCCGAGGTCCAACGAGCTCTGCGACTTTGAGTCATTTTAGGACGTGATCACCTATCGGGCAGTGGATAGTCTAGAGCCGGGTTGAGGCATGTGCCGTGTTATTGATGGCGTCAGATTCTCCGGAAGAAATTTTGTGGGTTTTACAGTGTTTTGTGTTCAAAAATGAAGCAGAACTGCGCATCGTCGGTATAGATGCATTCTTTATATCCCATGCGCCCTCTAGTTTCTGTGTGATAGACTCTAGGGATGGTATTACCCACAGTAATCTATCCACCATCCCTTTGATCCAAATAGATGGCGCATCTGCCCTAGTATGCTCGACTAAAATACTCAAACAACTCAGATGTGGTGGGGACTATGAGTACCGGGGCATGACATAACGGTATCGATGACTCAGGCATCAATAAATTTTCTTTCCTGCTAGAGAAGAGTCTCTCTCGAGAGAATCAATAATTAAACTAGGAGGCTATTCTCATGTACATATGTATTTTCTCCAGCAAAGTAAAACAAAGCGATACTAATATATGAGTGCAATGCGACGCTATCTTCGTCGACTACCACTCGCACGTGAAAGGCAAAATCTTGTCATGTATTGTCACCCGCACATGCTTTTGTCGACGTCATCCGATCTCCGGCACTTTCCTCACTCTCGTTTGCAGAATTTAAAGACAGAGAAGTCTAGAAGAGAAGATAGTATATGGGATATACCGATATTTATTCTGTCTCTCAATGCTGAAATCGCCAAATAAGAGTAGTAGCAAATATAATATAACCCAGAATCGCCGAGCAGAGGGCCCATTCGACCGAGGATCCAGAGAGCCTGGATCCTGTCTTCCGAACCGCACCCGCATTCCGCCTTTCGGCGAACGAATGGTCAGGAAGAAAAACGCTATATGCCTAGGCATTGAACCAAGCTGAACTCCGGTGAGCCGAGAGATTACCGACCCCCTTCGGTGGTGACGCATTATTGTCTTTCTGACGACAATAAGTACCGCCGCGTGTCCCACTTGCTTGTGATCCGCGCTTTTTGTCAGAGTTTCAATACACAGCTTTCCTCTTTTCTTTCTCTTGCCATATTTCGCTTTGCATCTGTCACTGCCTCTAATACAGAAATACCAACATTGAAATCGCAGTAACCATGGGGCAGTTCGAGGACGAGGACCGGAAGTATCTGGAGGATGTCCAGGCCGTCAAGGACTGGTGGAAGGACTCGCGGTGGCGCTTCACCAAGCGGCCGTTCACGGCAGAGCAGATCGTGGCCAAGCGTGGCAACCTGACAATCGACTATCCGTCCAATGTGCAGGCCAAGAAGCTCTGGAACATTGTGGAGAACAACTTCCAGGTGCGTTCGAACATATTCTATTGCAGAGTAGACTACTGACAAGTTGCGCCGAACAGAACAAGCAGGCTAGCTTCACATACGGCTGTCTGGAGCCGACGATGATCACCCAGATGTGCAAGTTCCTCGACACGATCTACGTTTCCGGCTGGCAGAGCTCGTCGACGGCTTCGTCGACCGACGAGCCCTCGCCCGATCTGGCGGATTACCCGATGGACACGGTTCCTCGCAAGGTCAACCAGCTGTTCATGGCACAGCTCTTCCACGACCGGAAACAACGCGAGGAGCGCCTCACCACCCCTAAGGACCAGCGCGCCAAGGTGGCGAATGTCGACTACCTCCGGCCTATCATTGCCGATGCGGATACCGGGCACGGCGGTCTGACGGCCGTCATGAAGCTGACCAAGCTGTTTGTCGAGCGCGGTGCTGCTGGGATCCACATCGAAGACCAGGCTCCCGGTACGAAGAAGTGCGGCCACATGGCTGGCAAGGTGCTGGTCCCCATCAGCGAGCACATCAACCGCCTGGTTGCCATTCGTGCCCAGGCTGATATCATGGGTATGTGAATCACCGAGGGCCAACATCTCACGAATGATCTAACGGTAATTTCAGGAACCGATCTACTGGCCATCGCCCGCACTGACTCCGAGGCTGCCACTCTCATCACCTCGACCATTGACCACCGTGACCACGCCTTCATTGTGGGCTCAACCAACGCGAGCCTGCAGCCTCTTAATGACCTGATGGTTGCTGCCGCGCAGGCAGGCAAAAACGGAGAGGAGCTACAGGCCATTGAGGACCAGTGGACCGCGCAGGCCGGGCTCAAGCTGTTCGATGAGGCCGTCATCGACGCGATCAACACCGGGGTGCATGTCAATAAGAAGGGACTGATTGATCAGTACCTAAACGCTGCCAAGGGCAAAAGCAACAGCGAAGCCCGCGCCATCGCCAAGGGCATTACCGGCGCCGACATCCATTGGGACTGGGATGCGCCGCGCACCCGCGAGGGCTACTACCGCTACCAGGGTGGCACGCAGTGTGCCGTGAACCGCGCCGTGGCCTATGCGCCCTTCGCAGACTTGATCTGGATGGAGAGCAAGCTGCCCGATTTCAAGCAAGCCAAGGAGTTTGCCGACGGCGTGCACGCTGTGTGGCCCGAGCAGAAGCTAGCGTACAACCTGTCGCCCTCCTTCAATTGGAAGAAGGCCATGCCGCGCGACGAGCAGGAGACCTACATTAAGCGGTTGGGCCAGCTCGGCTACTCGTGGCAGTTCATCACCCTGGCCGGTCTGCACACCACCGCGCTCATCTCGCACCAGTTCGCCAAGGCATATTCCAAGCAGGGGATGCGCGCGTACGGCGAGCTTGTCCAGGAGCCCGAGATGGAGCAGGGCGTCGACGTCGTCACGCACCAGAAATGGAGTGGTGCCAACTACGTTGACAACCTGTTGAAGATGGTGTCTGGCGGTGTGAGCAGCACGGCTGCCATGGGTAAGGGTGTGACGGAGGACCAGTTCAAATAAAATCGTCGCGGCGACGATGACCTGTATACTCTTTTTGTTATTTCTGTTTTCTTAGGGATGTGGCGTTTGCCCCTTTTGGCTGTATATCGAGATCTGATGCCCTCGCTGCTTCGAGATTCGACATTCTTATTTGCAGTCTGAATAATGAATCCTTCATATTATGATCCACTCGGATAGTTTGTTTCTCCGTCCCTCAACGCAGGACCAACCGAGGAAACCTTGCGAGAGACGCACCGATCTCCACAAAGCGGGGATTCTGCAGCCGGGGGGTTTACCGCGGCTCTACGATGGGAAGGATTGCATCATGGCCACTGGACTGGATCCTGTCCGAGGAGGAGCCCGACGGTGGCGAGGGTGAGGTAGATCCGAAAATCTGGAGCAGTCTGAGCGGATGTGTAGATGAGGGAGAATTAAGAACAACCGAAGCATCAGGGTCAGCAGGTCACATGCGCAGTACAAGAATAACCATCGGTGCAACAGAAGATATATCATTAATATTTGATTAACAAACCTATACGACTGAATGATTGAATCCAGCCTTTTTGTCGAATTAGAGTGTAGTTAGCAATAGTCGTTGCCGGTTGAGCTCTAGGTTCAACACTCGGTGCGATCGACCAGCCGAGCGCATGTGGATGCGGAGGCCCACCCAGCACCTTAAGAACCGGCTCGGCCCATTCCCAGCAAGTCCTTGAGTGGTCGATCGATCCCCTTTCTCTTTCTCCCACACACCGACACCCATCATCATGGGCCTCCCCGAGCTGAAGTTCACTCCCACAGAGGAGATCCCTTCGCGTATTTCCACCGCTCGCAAGACCTTCCTCGAGCACAAGACCCGCGATGTCGAGTTCCGACTCGGGCAGCTCCGCAAGCTCTACTGGGCGTGAGTCCCGCCACCCCACAATCCACCTCACCGGGAAACCTCAAACTGACCCTGAACTGAACCTTTCCAGCATTAAGGACCATGAGGAGGACATCGTCGAGGCCTGCGCCCAGGACCTGAACAAACCGCGTTTCGAAACCGAGGTCGCCGAGAGCCAATGGATCCTCAACGACATCGTCTTCACGACGCGTAACCTGCACAAATGGGTCAAGGATGAGAAGGCTCCCGATATCGACCTTACGTTCAAGTTCATGAACCCCAAGATCCGCAAGGACCCGCTGGGGACCGTGTTGGTGATCGGGTACGTGCTCCTGGGCTGAGCAACAGAAATGCGCCAATGGAGCTAACCGTTGCTCAAATCTCTAGTGCTTTCAACTTCCCCTTCCAGCTGACCTTGGGCCCGGCCATCGGTGCCATTGCCGCCGGTAACACCGTGGTGATCAAGCCTAGCGAGAATGCGCCGCGCAGTGCTGCCGTCATGCAGAAGATCATCGAGGCGTCGCTCGACCCCTCCTGCTATCAGATCATCCAGGGAGGCGTCTCCGAAACACAGGCCCTGCTCGCAGAGCGGTGGGACAAGATCTTCTTCACCGGTGGTGCCAACGTCGGTCGCATTATCGCCAAGGCCGCCGCGCCGCACCTCACCCCCGTGGTGCTGGAGCTGGGCGGTATTAACCCGGCCATTGTCAGCAAGAACGCCAACCCGCGACTTGTGGCGCGGCGTATGCTCTGGGGCAAGACCATGAATGCTGGCCAGGTGTGCACGTCGCAAAACTACCTGCTCGTCGACAAGTCGCTCGTGCCCCAGGTGGTGGCGGAATTCAAGAAGGCCTACAAAGAGTTCTTCCCCAAGGGCGCCAAGGAATCGCCTGACTATGCGCGCATCATCAATGATACCCACTACCAGCGCCTGAAGTCCATGATCGATAACAGCAAGGGCAAGATCCTCATGGGCGGCACCATGGACGAGAAGGAGCGGTTCATCGAGCCCACCCTCGTACAGGTGGACTCCGTGGAAGACTCGCTGTGCAACCAAGAGAGCTTTGGACCGTTCATTCCCATCCTCCCTGTTGAGAACCTAGACGAGGCCATCAACCTGGCCAACGGCGTGCAGAGCACCCCGCTCGGTCTGTACCCATTCGGCTCCAAGGCCGATGTCGAGAAGGGTAAGTTGCTACTTTTTTTCCGCTGCTCAATATCATTTATTAATGCTCAGTTCAGTCCTGTCCTCCACCCGCTCCGGTGGCGTTTCCTGCAACGATGCCGCGCTGCATATCCCGACCCTCCCCTTCGGTGGTGTCGGAGAGAGTGGCTACGGCGCCTACCGCGGCCGCTCCAGCTTTGACGTCTGGGTCCACCGCCGCCCCATCACCTCCAGCCCCAGCTGGCTCGAATCTCTCCTCAGCATCCGCTATCCTCCGTACGAGGGTAAGCTAAAGACATTCAAAGCTAGCAGCGCTCTCGCACCGGACTTTGACCGGAACGGCAAGGTGAGCTTCGGCTGGCTGCGCTTTATCTTGACACTGGGTGGTGGAAGTGCCAAAGCTGGTGCTAGTCGGGCTGCTGTTGTTGCTGCCAGTGAGTAACGCCTTTTCCCCCATCCCTTACTCTTCTTGTGCTCGTGTCTATTTTCCTTATATTTGCTTTTCTGCACATCTCTGCCCTGCGATCTTCTCACGGTTATCATTCTCCCACCAGAACCTGGAGATGAAGGCAAAGACAAATAGATGGCCTCAGCTATCAACGTGCTAACATCTCCACCCTGTCTGTGGTGATGATTATGGTCCCTATATATCCCCTTATGGCCCTTCTGTCTATATGGCCATCATTTCTTATGTTTATATCCCCAACATGTCTGGATTTTGTTTTGATTCTCTACCACCCTTTCCCTGTACTCGCTTGCATTATCAGATACCCCCCTACTCATCCAACCAAGAAGAGAGAGAAAGAGCCATGTATCCTTTTAATTTGTCGGAATCAATGAATCTACCTCTTTGTCATTACTTAACTAATCGCGCGCGCGTATTCTAGTTGCCTACGTCGTCATGCACTTCCTCGAGCGCCGATCCTCGAAACTGTGAGTATAGGGAAGAGTTGGTTCAGCAAGTGAGAATATTGTTTGAGTTTGTGAAGGGCCGCTTTGCGCTAAAGATCAGGGTTGTCCTTGTGTATTTACTCTTTGTAGCTCATTCGTGTGTAATGTACATTGTCTGCACAAGGCATTCATCGATTACGAATGTAGGGTTGGGAAGATGAAAAAGATTGTATTTCTCTCGCAGATATCTTCGTAGCTCATGCTGAATATCCATCTACATATATTCCACGTTGTCTTCAGCAGAAAGCCACTAAATCAACACCGTCTCTCAACACCACGCTTACTCACACACAAATACTTCACCCCTTTGTACGGCTTGACACTCTCCCCCAAACCGCGACTGCGGCGCTGATCGATGTTCAGACTATCGACTCTGATACCCGAAGGAAGCCAGCCGCGCACGGAGAAGGAGACAGAAGCAGAATTGGGCATGAGGCTTGCGTTGAGTTGTGCTTTCGTTCGGCGCGGTGTAGGGCGTGCGGATGCGGAGGGGGAGAAAAAGGCGGGGAGAGAGGGTTGAGGTTGAGACTGCGAGTGTGATTGTGATTGTGATTGGGAGGGAGGCGTTGGTGTCCGTGGTTTAAATGGGTCTGGGGATGGTGTTGGAAGCTTTTCTGGGGGCTCTGTGGATACTTCAGTCGGGCCGTTGCCTGTGTCTTCGGAGATGGTGGTGGTAACAGCGGCGGCAGCGCGGGACGACTTTTTGGTGGACTTCTTTTTCTTCTTCTTCCGCTTGGTTGGGTCGGCGGATCGTGTCTTAGTGCCCGTGCTGCTGTCCTGGTCATGGTAGGAAGTCGGGGCCTCGTAGTAGCCTTGCAGGAGATTTGCATTGGCATCCTCATCCGGGCTTTCGTCTAGATCTTCGTCCGCCAGTGGGTAGCCCGCGACGGTGCACCGCAGAGTTGCAGTTCCAGAGATTGTGCCGGCTTCGCGGCCCGTTGGAACCCGCCACTCGAGAAGACCGCTGCCCGGCAAGAACTGCGCGTCACCTCGGCTGGCCTGCATGTCGGTGATGTGTCGTACGGAAGTGGAAATTGGGACGCTGACGACAACCTCCTCAAGCACCGGTCCGGTGCCATTGCCGCCTCCACCGCCTACGTTGCCCAGGAACGACGGAGTCGAGGTGCCGGATCCATTGCGCGCTGGGCCCGGGCGGGCAGATGAAGGTTGGCCTGGGAAGTCGGTGTTCAGGGTCAATCGCACCTCGAAGTCGGCGCCGGAGGGTCCGAGTGATTTGCGAATGTCCACTATGGCAGGGAGGAAGAGCTTCTCCATGTGGCTTGGCGGTTCGTCAATGTCCGAGTCTATTGGGAGGAGATCAACTTCATATCCTGCCAAGATGAACCGGCCGTCTGGCGGTATAAAGCTAAGCTCGCCCGGCCGTTCCCTCCACCGCGCCAGTCGGACACATGGGTGAAACACAGGCAGCTCTATCTTGCGAGCGATCCCTTGTTGCCCTCCGGGTGTTGTTAGGTTTAATAGCAAATCTGGGACCCCAGAGAGCTTTGCCGTGAACGCAATAGTTCCAGATACTAATGCAGAGAGCAATCGCCCTGAAGGGGCCATTGTCACAGACAGAGATTCAATGATGTCGACATATAACTCGTTGGATGTGTGCCGTACCCCTGGCCGGCGCCAGGGAATCGCAGGGCCTTGGGACGAACTCGCGGCCGCCAATGATTGCTTCAAGGGATTGGCAGTTCCCAGAGTGGGTGTCGATGTCCTAAACACAATCAGCCTAGTGTTTCCTATTACAACATCATACTGCATGCGACGTCACTCACCCGGGCACTCCGATCCCCCCCCAATAGCTTCCCCATCCACCCTGGGACTTCAACAACTTCTTGTAGCGCATTGGGCTCAGTATTACACACCACACCAGCATCACACATTTCAGTCAAGAGCTGCGCAACAACATCATAATTGGCCTCGATCCTGCTCGAGAGCAAGGGCGCGCCCACAAAATCCTCCAGCACATCGACCACCCGGTGCAGGAATTCCAGCACCAGAAGCGGCTCGGTGTCCACCTCAGTCAGGGCAAGGAACAGCAGGTTCGACTGCACGGTCGAGAACACTGTCACCGGCGGTGAGGCATTGGGGAGGTATAGTAGGGAGGGGCGCGGGGCGGCATGGGCAAGGTAGAGGGGCAAGATGGCGGCGGCGGATGGCGGGCGGGAGCGATATACATGCTCGACGAGGGGGGTGCTGGAGGAGGGTCAGTACACATTGATTATCAAGGATAGCAGCAGACATACTTGTCCTCGTCATATATGTAAACGGCATCGATCTCGCCGCTCATCGTGGCCAGCGTGGGATTGGAAAGTGTGCATCATCCGCGTTGTATACCGGGTCACGAGCGGCCCTTTCTGCCGCCGATCCCCGCCTTCGGTCTGTCGCATTCCCTTTTGCTTCGTTCTACCCCGATACATACTAACATCTGGGATACACACTCCCTTATCTTCAATGGCACCCTCTCCCCAGAATCCCGCCTTGGATGTCCCTCCCAAGGACGCCAAGCAGGCGCTGGCGGAGGACAAGTATGACGACTGCATGTCTTGCCGCGTGACCGGTAACCTTTCGCAACTGCCCTCTTTGTGATCAGTATGCTAATATCAAAGTGCAGGGTCGGCCGCATTTATTGGCCTCGGAGTGTACAGTTACTACACGGGCATGCAAAATCTACGGAAGCAGGAGAAGGCCATTATGGCTGGCCCATCAAAGTATCGAATGGGTTCACGACAGCTGGGGATTGCGACCATCTCGGCCACGCTCGTGGGCATGGGGCTGTACAGAGCTTTCAATTAATGGGGATGGTTGGATCCAGAGGAAGGAAGAATAATGTTCTACGGAGACGGAAATTTCATGTACGATATTGATCTTGATTTGTATGCCATCACCACTCGTGAAAAGCCGCCACACCGGGCACTGGGTATCATCTCAGCGGATGTCCTCTATATGCTATATAACAACATGCAAACAGCCAGTAAAAAAACACAACACACCGACACCATGGAAAAAGCACCTCTATAATGCACCCGGAAAGGACCCCCATGTGAACATCAAGTTAGGATATTCGTCATTTCGTCGACTTCGTATGCTCAGTCAAGGGAGCTACGTAAAGCGGCCGCGCTTCCCACCTCCGAACGTGTCGCGGCCGTTGTTTAGACCGGATAGGTCGAAGAAGTCCGGGACGGTGAATTTCCGTTTCGACCCCACTGCGGCGGGGGCCTCTCGTGTAGATGGACGGGCGTTCGGACGGGCGTGATTGTTGTGGCGGTGGTGTTGGCGAGTGGGTCGGGGCATAATAGAGACGCTTACGGGGCTCCCATCTTCCGTGGAAGTGGTGGAGGCGTCGGAGGACTGCATGTCCATATCCAGTTCCTGGCACTGGGGAAGAGTTGGTCCCGCGGAAAAGGTAAAGACCGTGGATCTTCCAAGCGAGTTTGCCTCGTGAGTCTGTTGGGCTGTGTCCGTTGTTTGTGTGGTGGTAGTCGTCGGATCTGGTTTCGGTGTTGATGCCGAAGTGGTCGTGGGTGCCAGTCGAGTGGGGGTTTCAGAGGCGTGCTGGGGTTGCTCTCTGCGAGGAGCAGCAGGAGTGGCGCTTCGATCACGCTTATCCGCATCCCCCCGTTCATCGTCGTCGCTGTTCTGGGACGTGATCCCATCACACTTCTCCGTTGCCCATTGTCGAACCTTCCACCCTTCTCCATCACTGAGGCCGAGGTTCTCCCGGTCAAGAAAATGAAGGAGATCCTCTATGGCTTCTTGGTAGCCGGACTGTTTCGCCTGGGCTTGCTCACCGAGAGCATTCTTATAGAGGTTGGTAACGGATAAGGCAGCTGCCTTGAATGACTGCAAGAGTTGCTCGGGAGGCTGTGGGCGGGGTGTTGAGCTGGGCAAGGAAGTGTTTAAGGACCTCATCGAATCCATGGTTGATGATGATGGGTTCGCCAGACCACCTGAGAGGTCTACTATATAGCGGAAAGGCACTTGATTGAGCTGTTGGGGAAAAAGTGGCGTTCAGGCGAGGTCGAGTCGGGAAGGAAGAAGAAAAGCGAAAAGGAAAACAAAGAAAAAAAGATAGAGGATCAAAGTGGGAGATCGCCAGCACGCAGTCTCTCCAAGACCGACTTCTCTGGGCCAGCGTTGCCTGTACACTCCGTCCAGGGGGCAAGAGTCAGGTAGTCGATGATGTGATGGGAATGCAGGTCATGCTCCTCTCTTTTTGCTCCTTCCAAACCCACCACCTGACTCGGCCTGATCGGGTGGGTCACGTGAATGGCTGACTCAACAAGGCTTATGTCATACGTGGGCGCGCGCTCGCTCATTTGTGCTGGTTCGGCGCGACTAGGAGGCGTTTTCGCTCCCTCAATTGTCCTGTCTGCGAGACTCATTCACTTCCCCTGTCCCCCTTCATATTCGCGATCCATCACTTCTTCGCAGGGCCAATCTCTACAACATCCTTGCGTGGTCCTGATCTTGTCGGTCTCGGTCTGATCGTTTGAATTCGTGCAAAATACGTGTTCGACTATATCCACGCCTGCGCTCGGTGCGCTGAAGGTGGAAGATGGCACCAGCACCCACCTCTAACTCGCCATCTCAGGCAGACACCCCCATGACAGACGTTAACGATGATGTCGTTCCGTCAGTCCCCGTCGATGCCCCTACGGACGCGCTGATGATGGTACGTGATTCTTTGACCCACCACTTGACTCTGCACCGCGATCGTTGCATGGATTTGCGCGCATGGCAATTTGTGCATGCCAGAAATGCTGACTCTATTGATTACTGCAGGGCTACCAAGACACCCCCGATTATACGGTACGAACATCCTTTGATAACTTGCCACAGGCATTTGCAATGTCAACTAACATATTCATCCCCCCACAGGACTCGGACACGAACCCCAATACCACTGCAAGCAGCGTTGCGGGCGATTTGGCTCCGCAGGATGCCCGGCGACGTCGATCCGAGGCCTTTCAGCTGAGAAAAAGCATTTTGGGCAAGAAACAAAGCCGCTTGGATGAATCGAAGGTGGGGAGAGCTATCTCTCGAATTTGCCAGGCCTAAGTTACTGACGATTATTGCGCTCAACAGGAAGATGACTCGATTCGTCGATTCCGATACCTCCTTGGTCTGACCGACCTCTTCCGCCACTTCATCGAGACGAATCCCAACCCCCGAATTAAAGGGATCATGGAAGAGATTGACCGACAAAATGCAGAGCAAGAGGCCAAGGCGCGCAAGGGGTCCTCGCGTTCCGGTGGTGCTGGCGGGGACCGACGCCGTCGGACGGAGCAGGAGGAAGATGCTGAGCTTTTGAAGGATGAGAAGCGTGGCGGCGAGACTACCACCGTCTTCCGAGAGTCTCCTACGTTCATCAACGGTGAAATGCGTGATTACCAGATTGCGGGACTGAACTGGCTGGCTTCACTGCACGAGAACGGTATCTCCGGCATCCTGGCCGATGAGATGGGTCTAGGAAAGACTTTGCAGACTATCTCGTTCTTGGGCTATCTGCGCTACATCTGCGATATTTCCGGTCCCCATCTGATTGCCGTGCCCAAGTCGACACTCGACAACTGGAGACGTGAATTCGCCAGGTGGACACCGGAAATTGACGTTTTTGTTCTCCAGGGTGATAAAGAGGAGAGAGGACGGTTGATCCAGGATCGCTTGGTGGATGAAAACTTCGATGTCTGCATTACGAGTTACGAGATGATTCTGCGCGAGAAGTCACACCTCAAGAAGTTCGCCTGGGAGTACATCATCATTGATGAGGCTCATCGCATTAAGAACGAGGAGTCTTCATTGTCGCAGATCATCCGGCTTTTTAACTCTCGCAACCGCTTGCTGATCACCGGAACACCGCTGCAAAACAACCTGCACGAACTGTGGGCCTTGCTCAATTTCCTGCTGCCGGATGTCTTTGGCGACGCTGATGCTTTTGACCAATGGTTCTCCAGTCAGGAAGCTGACCAAGACACCGTGGTGCAGCAACTTCACCGAGTCCTGCGCCCTTTCCTGCTCCGCCGAGTGAAGAGTGATGTTGAAAAGAGTCTGCTTCCCAAGAAGGAGATGAATCTGTACGTTCCCATGTCCGAAATGCAGGTGAAGTGGTATCAGAAGATCCTGGAAAAAGACATCGACGCGGTGAACGGCGCTGCGGGAAAACGCGAATCGAAGACCCGCTTGTTGAACATCGTCATGCAACTGCGCAAGTGTTGCAACCATCCATACCTTTTCGAGGGAGCTGAACCTGGCCCACCGTACACGACCGATGAGCACCTTGTGTTCAACTCCGGCAAGATGGCTATCCTGGACAAGCTTCTGAAGCGCATGCAAGCGCAGGGCAGCCGTGTCCTTATTTTCTCCCAGATGAGCCGTGTTCTGGATATCCTCGAAGATTACTGTGTGTTCCGCGAATACCAGTACTGCCGGATTGATGGTACGACGGCACATGAAGATCGCATTGCTGCCATCGACGAATACAACAAGCCAGGATCGGAAAAGTTCATCTTCCTTCTTACTACGCGCGCAGGTGGCCTGGGTATCAACTTGACCACGGCCGACATCGTTGTGCTCTTTGACAGTGACTGGAACCCGCAGGCCGATCTTCAAGCCATGGATCGCGCTCACCGCATTGGTCAGACCAAGCAGGTCGTGGTCTTCCGATTCATCACGGAAAACGCTATCGAGGAGAAGGTTCTGGAGCGTGCAGCGCAAAAGCTGCGTCTCGATCAGCTGGTCATTCAGCAAGGTCGCGCCCAACAACAGAACAAAAATGCCGCTTCAAAGGACGAGTTGCTAGGTATGATCCAGCACGGTGCCGCCAATGTCTTCAATACAAAGGGCGCTACTGGGACTACCAACGAGATGACGGATGACGATATCGAGTCCATTTTGCGCCGAGGCGAGGAGCGGACTGCTGAGCTCAACAAGAAGTATGAAAGCCTTGGCATCGACGATCTCCAGAAGTTCAGCTCTGAGAGTGCATATGAATGGAACGGTCGGGATTTCACCGACCGCAAGAAAGACATCGGCGTCAGCTGGATTAATCCCGCCAAGCGTGAGCGGAAGGAACAGTTCTACTCCATCGACAAGTACTACCGCCAGGCCCTTTCCACCGGAGGCCGGACTGCCGACCCGAAGCCCAAGGTTCCCCGAGCACCCAAACAGGTCGCCGTCCACGACTGGCAATTTTTCCCGCCTGGCCTGCAGGAGTTGCAGGACAAGGAGACCGCCCACTTCCACAAGGAGATCGGCTATAAGGCACCCTTGCCCGAGGGTCCTGAGGAGGAGCTCAGCGAACGCGAGGCCGAGCGGGATCTCGAGCAGAAGGAGATTGATAACGCCGTTCCGCTCACCGAAGAAGAGCAGGCCGAAAAGGCTCGCATGTCCGAAGAGGGTTTCTCCCACTGGAACCGTCGAGACTTTCAACAGTTCGTCAATGGATCGGCCAAGTTTGGACGTACGGACTACGAGGGCATCGCCACGGAAGTTGATAGCAAGGATCCCGATGAAGTTCGGGAATACGCCGAGGTGTTCTGGCTCCGCTACACTGAGATCCAGGATTACACGAAATATCTGCGGGTGATCGATCAGGGGGAGGAGAAGGTGCGCAAGATGAACCACCAGCGCAAGATGCTCCGGAAGAAGATGGATATGTACCGTGTGCCGCTTCAGCAGCTCAAGATCAACTACACCGTGTCGACGACGAACAAAAAAGTCTACACTGAGGAGGAGGATCGATTCCTGCTGGTCATGCTGGACAAGTACGGCGTCGAGGGCGACACCCTCTACGACAAGATCCGGGACGAGGTCCGCGAGTCGCCGCTCTTCCGCTTCGACTGGTTCTTCCTCAGTCGGACCCCTGTTGAGATCGGCCGCCGGTGCACTACACTACTGAACACGGTGGCGAAGGAGTTTGAGCCCAACGGGGACTCTGGCAAGGGTCGTGGGCGGGACCGCGACGAGGAAGAAGAGGAGGAGGCAGCGCCTGCGAAGAAGAAGGCTAAAAATGGAACTACGGTACGTGGCGCCTGCGCCTGGACACTAGTGTCTGTTGGAAGACCCCCCTAACTAATTATTGTTTCTTATCGCAGGCGGCCAAAGCTAAAGCCGGGAAGGGCGGCAGCAAAGCCACCTCGACCGCGACCTCGCGCGCGGCGAGTGTGTCCACGGCGCCCAAGTCTAAGAGCCGGAAGAGGTGAAAGTGACCCATTTTTCCCGTGTGGTGTGTGTACGTTGCCCAGGTGTTGCTGATCATGTTGGACGGGTGGGGCGTGCTCTGTACTTTTTACTGTGCTTCTTCGATCGGAGTTGGCGTTGGCAGATAAGATATAGTAGTTTGTGTAATGCGAAGATCCAAACAAGAAATGTTCCTTCCACCTGATGTGATAAACCGCCGATCCTCGTCACCAGGCGCCAACTCTTTGCCACGCGACAGGGACCGAGAGTCATCTGCAATGACGACAGCCTGGCTGACCCTTTTCCCATTCGAAAGTATCAACAACTGTACATTCTACGACGTCCGAAGCAACTTGTATAAGTAACTAGTCCTCCACCCTCCACACCACTCAAGTCCCGCCACCAAACTAATCAACATGTCCATCATCAAGTCCCTGAAAGCAAAGCTGTGCCGTGGCCGCAAGTCTCCATCACCCACCATGGCGACCAAGATCAAGATCATCCCGAACCCGCAGTACCAGAAGTCCGGCACGAAGTCGTACGTGCACCTGATGCGCAAGTACGGCTTCAACGCGACCAAGGATGGGCCCTATTTCATGGGCAGCACATTGCACCAGGTCGGAAGGCAGTATACCGACAAGCCCATCGGCGGCCGCGCGCATATCCGCCACGTGCTGCAGAAGAAGACCGGCGAGGACGACCAGGTCGGCGAGATCGGGGCGTCGGATGTCCAGAATGACTCGATGTACCTGGCACAGGTGGGCATTGGGACGCCCGCGCAGACGCTGAGTTTGGATTTCGATACCGGGTCTGCGGATCTGTGGGTAAGTGGTGATGCTCGATTGTGTGTGTCGATGGTGACTGACAACAGCCAAATAGGTCTGGTCGACTAAATTGCCGTCGGCGACCTTGTCCCAGCACAAGAATCATACCGTCTTCGACCCGACCAAGTCGAGTACCTTCCAAAACAAAGAGGGCTCCACCTGGCAGATCTCTTACGGCGACGGATCGTCCGCCTCGGGCACTGTCGGCAACGACAATGTCAACATCGGCGGTCTCGTAGTCAAAGGCCAAGCCGTCGAGCTTGCAGACACCATGTCCACGCAGTTTGCCAGTGGGACCGGCGACGGGCTGCTGGGACTCGCATTCGGCAGCATCAACACGGTGAAGCCTACGGCCGTACAAACACCCGTCGAGAACATGATCACGCAGGCCGACATCCCCAAGTCGGCGGAGCTATTCACCGCAAAGCTAGGTTCATGGCGCGACAAGAACGAACCGGACCAAGGGGCGTCGTTCTACACCTTCGGGTTCATCGACCAGCAGACCATCAAGGCGTCCGGCGAGGACGTGTCCTACGCGCCCGTGGACAAGAGCCAGGGATTCTGGATGTTCGAGTCCGCCTCGGCGACTGTGAATGGGAAGACAATTGCCCGTGCTGGGAACAACGCTATCGCTGACACAGGCACCACGTTGGCCCTGGTGGATGATAATACCTGTCAGGCTATCTACGATGCTATTCCGGGTGCGTACTACGATTCCACCACGCAGGGATACATCTACCCCTCCGATACGACAGCGGATAAGTTGCCCGTTGTTTCTTTCGCGGTGGGAGGTAAGCAATTTGCTGTGCAGAAGGAGGATCTAGGATTTGCCGAGGCCAAGGCTGGGTATGTCTATGGTGGGATCCAGAGCCGTGGTACTATGACATTTGATATCCTCGGCGATACGTTCCTCAAGGGGATCTACGCTGTAAGTTTTTTGTCTTTCGAGAGGTGTGACGTGGGCTGATTTGTTCTTTGTAATAGGTCTTCGACGTCGGTAATACTCGTTTTGGAGCTGTGCAGCGGAAGGAACTCCATCAGAACCTTACTCCGCCTCCTCAGACTCAGTGAGGGTTGAGGAATCAGGTAGAGAGGGGCATTTAGTATTCTTTGATGGTTTTAGGTATTGTTAGTTTTGATATCCTATTGTTCATCCTTTCGGATGATATACAATACAACTCGATGCATTTCTATCTCACCAACAAGCGTAGCAGCCGAACATGAGCCTGCTGTCACCCAAATGTATCGAAAGACGACCACATACGTCTATAGGCATATGGTACAACATAACCATGATCCTGAATGTATGGCGAGGTTGGGTCTTTCACGCCGGGGAGACCGTTTACGTGTGTGCTTTATTAGGGCACCAAAGCAGAAGAAATAGGAAATTCACGACGATGACTAGGGTAAAAGAGAAATTTCTTCATCTAGGACTATAAATTCATCCACTTAATTATCGGCTTGATGACCTGCGGAGATATGTTAGCATTTTCTGTCAAGAATTCTGTTTTAAACCTGAGCATACCTTGCCTGACCGTAGGTCCTGCAATGCCTGCTCCATTGAACCCGTGTCATACACCTTACATAGCTTATCAACAGGGAACTTCCCCTGCTGGTAAAGATCAACCAGCTTGGGAATGAGCTAACACGACTTCATATCAGTTCGCTGTACACAAGGCCCCAGTTTTGCGTGACTTGCGTGACTTACCGAAACAGGACTCGAGCACCCCTCAATAACACCCAGGACCCGTTTACAGGACATCATAAACTCCAACGGATGGATTTTGAGTTCGGCGTCTTTCGGAGCGACGCCAACAATAGCCAGAGTTCCTTCATGGCCCAGGGCCTTGACCGACGCTTCCTGCAGAGGCACCACGCCCGTTGTGTCGAGGACATGATCGACACCATCCGGGAATAGATCTCGAAGTCCCTGAACGAGGTCTGGGACCCTTGTGGTGTTGAGCGTGTGCGATGCACCCAGAGACGCGGCTAGCTCAAGCTTTGCGTCCACGATATCAACTGCGATAACATTCTCAACTCCCAACTCTCGAGCTGCGAACATAGCTGCCAAGCCCACAGCACCCATACCCAGAATGGCAAATCGGCTCGTAGTCTTCGGTTTCAAAACGTTAAATACCGTGCCTGCACCAGTGAGATACCCGCATCCCAGCGGCGCAAGAAAAGCCATATCATCGACAGTGAGCGCAGAGGCCCCAGACCCCGAACCGGACGGACACTTGACGACAGAAGTCTCCTTTACAACAGCCAACTTACTCAAGGAAGACTGTCCAAAGAACTGTCCCCGAATGGGCGGGCGCTGCTTATCCGGAAAAGAAATCGGCGACTTCGCAGCATCCATGCCGCGTGCTCCGCCGAAGTTGATATCCGTTATTTGCGGACAGAAGCCACATCGGCCCTCTTGGCAGGGAGAGCAGTTCGCTTCGAGGCAGGAACTGAAGCTCAGGAAGACCATATCGCCCTCATGTAAGGTTTTGTCTTTCACGTTGCCGCCGATTCGGCGGACGATGCCGGCGCCTTCGTGACCTAGAACAGCTGGGTAGGCGCCCACGGGGATTTCGCCATGTTGGACAGCTATATCCTATTGATTTGGGGTATCAATATGATATCGTCGATGTTGTGGGTTGATCCGGCTGACGGGTGTTGGAGACTACGAGTACATACCGTGTGGCACAGCCCTGTGTACTTCATTTCTACCAGGACCTCATTCGCCCGGACTTCGTCCAAAACAACATCTTGCAGAACAAACGGTGCCCCTGGCTCCTCGACAACAAATGCCTTGGTGGTGATCTGTTTTTCTGGGATCATGGTTGCGGGGCTTATATTCACTTAATGACGTACCCAATCTTCTTCCGCGCGAGTAGATTGGGGACCGATGCAAAATTAACCGTCAGGCGCGAGACGGGTTTTTCTGAAACCCTGGGCGCAGACATGAAGTGCCTTTATGTTCTTGCGGGTTCTCCGACCTATCCCCGCAGAGGCCAGCTCTTGGAAGGCGTTCACCCCACACCCAGCGATCTCCGGGAGAAGATTCGGGAGTTAGCTCTGCGGCAATCCAAAAGACGCCCCACAGGTATATGCAGAGGACCTTTGCCAGCATGTGCCTTCGATATCCAAGTATTACTGAGTTCTTCGAAATGAATAATAAAGGAGATCTGTTATATTGAAGCTGTTGAATATATGTCCGGCCCAATGAACCCCGTTCGCCACGAATGCAAAAGTTTCTGTTGTACACGCGCAAATATATTACAGTAAATGAAGAACACATTACCACATCTTTTGCTTCTTCACTGGTCCCGACACTGCAAGTCGAGTTTGCAAGAACATATCCATAAGCAATGCGGCGGCCACGCTCACATTGAGACTGTCGATACGGGCCGGATCGGACTCGACGCCCAAGTACACGCTGTGCCGGGCACCAGGGATAGTGACCGTCGCATCAGCATGCGACTTGATGTGAGCGCTCAAGCCAGACGACTCACTGCCCATCATGAGCACGCTAGGCGCTCCCCCCAACGGATGCCCATTGCCGTCCTGACTCCCGTCCATCGAGACGCGGTCCACGTGCGTTACGGGAACGCCTGGGCTCGGGGCATCAGCCGCATAGAACCGCCACCCGTTTGCTTTAGACCGTTGAATGAATTCGACTTCATTTCTTGCGTAGAGCATAGTCATATTCTCAGCCGCGCCGGCGGAAGCCTTGATCGTCACAGGCGATAGAGGAGCCGAGTTGCGACCAGCAAAGACAATTCCGTCGATGCCTAAATAATACGCAGACCGAATGATAGCACCCACGTTACCAGAGTCCACGACTCCGTCCAGAAGTAAAATCACTGGGAATCGATGTCGTGGTTGCTCCTCAGGCGTAGATGGAGCCGGGTGAAGGATGGGAATGAGATCGCTCGTGCCATTGACCGCCGCTTCCTCCCGTGTCTGCGGTGCCAGTTCAGCCCGGAAATGAGTATCGGTAATGGCAGAAACAGGCCGCAAGGACTGCACGGGAAGCTTTGGCAGAGGGGAGACCTCTAGAATGCAGCCGTTATGCGCACGGCCAGCACTCATCTGGTCCATAAGCTGCACCCATTTCGCAAAGGCCATCTTGATCTTGACATCCTTGGCCAGGGCCAGCTTTCGGATTTTGATTTTCGCCGGGCTTAGTTCCTCGTCTGCCCCCTGGTAGAGATATAGCTTGTAGAGCTGGCGCCGACTGCAGCGCAGTGCCGCCTCCACCGCGCCCGTACCGTAGATGAACTCCGATGCCGGCGTGGTGTAGGGTATCGAAGTTGGGATCTTCACTTCCGACTTCACGCGCTCGGGAATGGCGTCTGTGGGGTGATGAACATCCTGTCCCCTTTTCCTTTTGTGCCGTTTGACGGGCTCTGGTTTTGGTGGCCGGACATCTCGGTGTTCGCGAGGCAGGCCATGGAAACTGCCCGTCCTAATGAATTCGTCCTCGTCAAACCTGGAAACGTGATTCCTGGCGGGCTTCTGGAAACGCGATCTGCTCGGTGAGGATCTCGCGGACTCTGGAGATCTGGAGGGCGGGCCGCGGAGATTTTGCGACTTGCGAATGCCGCGTTCGATGGCGGAGGTTAACGAAGCATGTCGAACTGGAGTCCAAGACAGGGAGTCAATGAGACGTAGAGGGCCACGAAGGCCTATCCTTGGAGTTGCCCAAGCCATATTCCGGCTGAGCGTTGTTCCTCTCTTTCAGCTCACGAACATCCTTCAGACTTCAACGAGCGCGATAAGATAAGCCCGGACTATCCTTGATCCACCGCGTGTTTCTTTTTATACTCTTTCGTCAATGTATGTACTTCTCTACCTCGCCACTTCTCTTTCTCTTCCTCTCTCTTTCTTCCTGGCTGCTGACTTGAACCTTCTGAAGGTGCCTGGCCCTCAAGTACTCAGACCCACTCTCACTGAACATACTTCCTCTCATTGACCTTTCTGTATCTGGAATCACTTCCTGGTAGGGACCGCGTTTGCGGTTCCCTACCACCACTGCCGATTGTCTTGTCACTTTCAAATACTGCAAATTTCTCATCATGTCTTCTACTTCAGCTGAGTCCCGCACCGCCTGGCGTCCCTCCAAAGCTCTCCAGATGGAGACAGCGTTCGCTATTCATATTCCAGCAGTTGACAACTCCGAGGAGTACAAGTTCCTGCCCGGTCATTTTGCTATTGACCGTGTCTTGGAAGTGAATTCAACCGACGGTAAATCTACATACACTGTCAAACTCCAAAGTGGTGAGCGCGAGACGGTGAGTAATGCCCTTCGCAGTCCCCGTCGCTTGCTGATCGCTCATACCTCGCACAGATGTCATACTCTCAGCTATCAAACATGGATAATGGACCGCAGTCGCTGAGCGAGTTCAAGGAAGGATCAGAGTCCAATGAGGAATCAGACTCGAGCGATAATGAAATCGAGTCCAGTGACGACGAAATTCAAATCGTTGGAGCACGTCGTTTTTCCCGACATCCGTTTCCATCCACCGACGGTGCAGCATCTGAGAACGGAACCGAAATGCAATCGTCGAGATCTTCCAGCTCTCGGGGTCTGCTGCGCCATGCAACGACAGGCGGATACACTCAATTCTATGACCCTATGGACCTTGAAGATTCAGACAGCGATGATGTTACACCCGTATATGGCCTGCGCCGGTTTAGGAGAGAGAGATTAAACACCGCGCGTATCTCAAGTCGACAAAGGAAATCACTGCGGAAGAACCTACGGGAGCGATTGGAGGATGACCTTTCCGATTATGAGCCCGTGGCCAAGACACAGCAACAAGAGAAATTCTCCGGAGCGAGGGAGTTCTTCTACCAACGTCCACCTGGCGACGAGTTCAGAGAGTGGCACTGTCTGTATTGCTCCGTCTGCAAGACCTACGATGATCATCCCGAGAAGGGGCCTTTGGTATTCTGTCAGGGGTGCACATCTTCATACCATCAATCTTGCCTAGGTTTGCGAAGCGCTCGAAAGCATCTAGTTACGAAAATCCACGATGGTTTCATTCTCCAGTGCCATCGCTGCTTGGGAGTTGACAACGAACGGCACGATGTATGCCCTCATTTGGGCTACTGTGCAGGATGCAAACAAGGAGGCCCAATGTCAAAGCCACTGCGAGAACGTCTTACATCTCAAGAAGAACAGCAGCTGCGAATTGAAAATGGAGGCATAGATCCAATCACTGCTGTGAATATGTCTATGGTCAACAGCAAAAGCATCGAGAGCATCCTTTTTCGTTGCGTCGAGTGTCATCGAGGTTTTCATCTACATCATTTGCTGAAACAAGGAAAATCTGTGGCAGAGCGGGATAATATCGAGGCGTTATTCGCTCAGTTTAGCGTTCACTGGCAGTGCAAGGATTGCTCTGATGCCCCTGGAGACGTTGAAACTATCGTGGCCTGGCGACCAGCCAACCCCAAAAATAGCAAAGCCCTGTCTGGCCGTCTGGTTGAACTTGTGCCAGAGATCGACAAAGAATATTTGGTCAAATGGAGAAAGATGTCCTATTTCCGTGCCACTTGGGTCCGTGGCGACTGGCTCTGGGGTGTCACTTTCCACACCACGCGTCAAAAATTCTTCAACAAGTTTCCTAGGCCAATTTCAAATGCCGAAAAAGCTATTCCAGAGGAGTTTCTTCGAGTGGACATTGTATTCGACGTTGTCTATTCAGAAGCTGCGACTATGCCAGATGACAAAACAGATCCGTCGATGGTCGAACGCGCCTATGTCAAGTATAAGGGCTTGGCGTATGAAGACTCGGTCTGGGAATCGCCCCCGCTCCCCTTCGAGGCTCAATGGGACGATTTCAAACTCGCTTTCAATGACTGGATGTATCAGGATACCATTCGCCCGCCGCCTGAGATGGAGGACTGTCTCTCGCAGCTTCGAACACAGGATTTTGAAACAAGCCTTTTATTGGACTCTCAGCCAAAGCTCATGACGGGGGTTGGCGATCTCATGGGATATCAGCTAGATGGCGTCAATTGGCTCTATTACAAGTTTCTACAGCAGAAAAATTGCATTCTTGCTGATGATATGGGCCTAGGAAAAACCATCCAAGCCATTGGTCTATTTGCGACTTTGATAGAGCACAGCTGCTGGCCGTTTTTAGTCGTGGCTCCTAATTCAACTTGTCAGAATTGGCGTCGCGAGATCAAGGCCTGGGCGCCTAAGATTCGGGTGGTCACATACTATGGTTCTTCGAATGCTCGTCAGATGGCCTGGGACTACGAGATGTTTCCTGACGGCAAAGAACTCCGATGCCACGTGGTGATCGCCTCTTACGAGAGCATCATCTACGATGGGGCTAAGATTGACAAGATCAAATGGGCAGGTTTGGTGGTTGATGAGGGACAACGCCTCAAAAATGCCAAGTCTTTACTCTACAAGCGTCTTCACCACATGCCTCCGAAGCTCGGTTTCCGAGCGCTGCTTACAGGCACACCTCTCCAGAACAATATTCGGGAGCTGTTCAATTTGGTTCAATTTCTGGACACAAGCAGAAATGCGGGACAATTGGAACAGCAGTATGGAGACCTTACTTCGGACAACATCCGGGCTTTGCACGATATGATCCGGCCCTTTTTCTTACGACGCACCAAGGCCGAGGTTCTGCCGTTCTTGCCGCCTATGGTACAGATAATCGTTCCCGTCTCTATGTCTACTGTGCAGAAGAAGCTCTACAAGTCGATCCTCAGCAAAAGCCCAGAGCTGATCAAGGCAATTTGTCAGAAAAGCCAGTTGAAGAAATCCGAGCGACAGAACTTGAACAACATCTTGATGCAGCTCCGAAAGTGTTTGTGCCACCCTTTCGTTTACAGCCGTAATATCGAAGAACAGACGCTTCACTATGATCCAGTTGTTTCACACCGGCACTTGGTAGAGGCATCTGGAAAGCTTCAGTTACTTGGCCTAATGCTGCCGAAATTGCGTGAACGCGCACACCGAGTCTTGATCTTCAGCCAGTTTCTAGAGAATCTGGACATCGTTGAGGACTTCCTTGATGGCCTTGGAAACGAATACAAATACCGTCGCCTAGATGGTAGTTTGTCGTCGTTACAGAAACAGGCACAGATCGACGACTTTAATGCTTCCGACTCTCCTTATTTCGCGTTCCTATTGTCCACCCGCTCCGGCGGCGTTGGCATTAACCTTGCAAGTGCAGATACCGTCATCATTATGGATCCAGACTTCAATCCGAAACAGGACATACAGGCACTTTCCCGTGCGCATCGAATTGGTCAAAAAAACACAGTTCTTGTATTCCACCTGGTCACTCGAGATACCGTGGAAGAACGTATTATGCAAAAGGGCAAGACAAAGCTGGCATTGGACCACGTGCTTATCGAACGCATAGAGAATGAAGACGAGGAGAATTTGGAATCTATCCTCCGACATGGTGCTGAAACATTGTTCAGCAATGTTTCTGCAGACATCACATACACCTCCGACTCCATTGACAGACTCTTGGATCGAAGCCAAGCGGAGCAAGCAGACAAAATTGCCCAGGACACGACCACTACCGACCACTCTCAATTCAACTTTGCGCGCGTGTGGCAGAATGACAGAGGAACTCTTGAGGCTATAACCGAAGGTGAAGAGACTCCTGTGGATACAACCTTTTGGGATCAGATCCTCCAAGAACGTGAGCTCGCAGCAGCAAAAGAGGCCCAGGAAAAAGTGGAGGGCCTTGGTCGTGGCAAGCGCAAGCGAGCAGCAGTCAACTACAGTACTAAGGACGAACTAATCGATCTCCCGCCTGTGAAACAGCAGAAGACGGGCGACGCTGACCAGGAGTTCGAGCTAGAGGAGGATGAGGATGAGGCTGAGGAATCGGAGTCGAGTGAAATCGAGGCAGTGCCCGAAATCATCGATTTAACGGAGAGTGATCGGCCTCCGCTTCAAGTCAAACGTAAGGCCGTCACATTCCGTCTGTCTGGCCGGTTTATTGCCAGGGGTTCTCTTTACTGACCGACAACCACCCTTTTCAGCCCGTCTATTCGTTCCAGTCCAGTCTCCTAAAGCACCAATCCCTTCTAAACTACCAATTCCTACGGAGAACAACACCAACGCCACACATCGGCCTGCTTGTATCGTCTGCAGCCAGAAACATCTAGGCGGTAGATGCCCATTGAAGTTGGCTGGCGTCCAGAACTGTCCGCTTTGCGGTCTAGCACATTTCGGCGAACGTCGCTCTTGCCCACATCTACTGTCTCCAACCCAAATCCGTCGAATGATGGCCGCATTGTCCAAAAGTACCGAGGCTCCGGTACTCCTTGACTTGGCGTGGAAGTATCTGCGTGGTGTCATGGGTCACTTGAATGCACGTGAACGGAAGGCGGCTGGCGCTGTGGCTGCCCAACATCATCATAATCAGACCTCCCAGAGTCCCGTTCCTGTCAACTTATCCGTCGATCGATTTTTCGCTTCTCAATCACCCGTCTTCCAACATGTCACTACTGGCTTGACGACCGCAAAGCAGGATAGGCCGCATAAAATTTACACTTCGCCCTATTTTGCCCCGGCCTGCCAGGCGCCTGCTTCGAAGCCTCACAGTCCTCCGTCTTCTTTCCCCGCTGAGAAGGAGGTCTGAATATGTCCAATGGTTCCATTAACTAGCGTGAGATCGCGGAGCGGTGACTGAGACTTCGCATGGTAAGGTGGCTGATGATCAACTACGAAGACTTTTTGTGCGCGACGGAGTGCTATTATTCGCTTTCATTTTCATTTTCGTGAATGTACAAATACTCAAGGGCGGGAAAGGAGTGTTCCTGGCGTTCTCGATTTCTCTTCACGACTGATGACCACAAATACCCCTCCTGCGTTTCAATGTAGTTTACAAATACATCCAAAATTGCACCCAATATGCCATATAGATATGCCACAAGTAAAACTTATTTAGTCCCGATCGAGTACTTTGTCTATAAATTCGCTTCTTTTGTCATTGGGTGAGTTGGCAGCAAGCAAGTAACACGCATCTTTCGACCAAACTCCAAAGCGAGTTCGAAGTGATTCATTTATTTCTCAATATATAATTTACGAAATTGCTTTATTTTAGCCTTGGGGTTGAACTGTCAACTATTCTTGCTCAATGATGGTGTTGCGATATTCGGCGTGGCAAGCAATTAGGTCAAGCCAGGTCACTTGACCACTGCCGACAACGTCGAGTCATCTGGAGTATGGGGAGAAGGGCTTGTTTAGAGCAACTTCGTCACCATTATATGCTTCATATATATATGTAAGCTATCTGATGATAATGCTTCGATAATTTGATAGAAGCCTTATTTTCCCGCTTTGTACAGTATCTTCATTTACAACCGGACTGATCGCCAAGGGCACTGAACTATATATGATTGGACCGAACGCTCTTTTCGCTCGAATTTGTTTAATTTGTACATTTTTCGGGAGGTAATCTCTAATCTGAAAGATGTAGAATGTATAAAAGAAAAGACCACATCTTGAGATATTTTCTGCAGGGACCCGTGCAGCAGTCCGTGCAGCAACTGTTAGACCCGTTCCGCTTAGAGCAGAGACCCAAGATTCGCAAACGCATGGAAGACCGTTACATCGACTTTCTTTCCTCCAGGCAGACGTCTCTGCAGTATTCATGCATGCATATGACAATACACACAAATCGTATTGTGGGGTGGCTAAGTCGGGATTAGTCTATATCAACAAACCTAGAGCACTTCAAAACTAAACATTCTGAATTCACTACCTTTATGTTGTCGCCGCCCTAGATATTGATAGATGCTCTTTACAACGAATAGGCTTCCTGCATGAAGGCTCCATTATCTCTAACTAGTGAGAAGCGGTTTTGGAAAGTTCCGCTTTGATGCATGGGAGACAATAACGAGCATAGATGTTCACTGCAGGAAATGGGATAGTTGCCTCTACTTGAGCAATTCACCTTCGCTTATCTTCCCTCTTCTTCTCTTCCTTCTTTGCCCTCCCTCTTCATTCTCCCACAATCGCACTTCTTCTTCTTCTCAAGCCTCTCCATTCTTCACATTTTTACCTCTCTGTATCCCTACCGATTCATTATTACCTCTTGATAACACATCCGAGCTCCTGGCTGATCAGACGACGATCCTGTACTCATTATGAGCACTTCAAACCGTCCTACGTACTTCTGCACCCGCCCTACCGGCACCCTGACTCCACTCATTGCGATGGACGATCTGCCCGATCATGTCCATATTCATGGCGTCCCGCGCACTATAACTGTTGCGGAGACCCATGGCATGACCAGTTGCGGCATTTCGATGGCTCGCAATGAGGCCTGGGTTATTGAAGACCTCAATATCCTTGCGAATCGCACCTACATTACCTCGGAATCCCTTATTGAGCTGCAGCGTCTGCTCAACATTATGATCACTGACCCAAATACCACCCCGAACCTGCGTGCTGCTGCCCAGAGCTTCATTTACCGTGGCATTGATCCAACCATCCCCATCGAAGGCATTCCCAATGCCAACAACATGGCTGTGGCTCTGTCCAACGCTCCCGCTGTTCAGTCCACCGATGCAAATGGTGGAACTGGTGGCGGCAGTGCCACTGGTAGCGGCAGTGGAAATGGCAAGCACGTAAGTCTCAAACAGCCCAATATCTTGAGATGACTGCCTATCTGACTCCAATACTGCAGCACAACAGCAAGAAGGAGTACTGCTCGTACTGGATCCGCCACGGCGAGTGCGACTACCAGCAACAGGGTATGTATACTCACACGCTCTGTGCTCTCTTTTTCACTAACACTCAGTCTTGCAGGTTGCCTCTACAAGCATGAGATGCCCACCGACCTGGCCATGCTGGAGCGTCTGGGCCTTCGTGACATCCCACGTTGGTATCGCGAGAAGTTCAATGTCCACAGCCTCCTGGGCCAGGGTGGCCCTCGTGCTCCGAGCCTGACCAACGAGCAGCAGAGCAACGTCAAGGCGATCGAGTACAACCAGCAGAACGCCCCTCAGAGCCCGCCTCAAACCACCTCGCAGGTTATCACTGGGGATATCGTCGCCCGAGCCATTACGAGCGTTCGGAAAATCACCAATCCCCAGCCTGCTCCGGGCGCTGGAATGATGCAGGTTTCCACTGCTCCTCCAATTGCTCCATTTAATTCCAACCAGCACCATGCGCCCCTCTATGTCCATACTGGACAGCGTGCTGTGAGTGGACCTGCTTTCGCCAACATCTCGGCTGCCGGTCCTCCCCAAACCTATTCTGATGGCTCCTATCCTAACGTTGACCACTTGACCAAATTTGATCTGCTGACAGATCTTGATGAGGAGGGGCATCCTACTTACGACCATGGCCCTGCTCACAGCAACTATGGAGGTTATCCTGGTGGCGCTACTGCGTCGAACACCCGTTTCTTTAACAATGACGGTATGCCTCATCCATTTTCTGGCGGTAAGGATCCTAGACTCTAACAGATAGAGACACAGAACACTACACCCCCACTGTCTCCCAGCCCAAACATTGGGAGAAGCGCAACTGGCGCGGCAGGGCGCGTCGTCTGTGGGACAACGAGACGAACTCTTCCAACGGTGGTGTGCAGATCAAGGATAATCGTCTCGTCGACCCATTCCGATCCCGTCCCTACTACTACCGCCACCGCAAGGTCGGCACTCCCACTGATGGCGCTCAGTCCGTTGGCTCTCCCGAGCCTCCGGAGCATCTCAATTCCCCCATCAGCGAGCTAGTTGCCGATAGCGAGCCTCTTGACCAGAATGAGGTGCTACACCACTGGGGTCTGATCGGTTCCCGTCGCCAGCATTCGAAGCGCGATAGCAATGCCACGATAAAGCCTGGTTCTTCGGACTTCTGTCTCATGGATGGTTCTTCCACCAACTCCAAGTAGGCGGATCGGAACATCATCACAACACACCTGGGTGAATCTCTCGATGCATCTCTTTGCTTTTGTCAATTTTTGCCTCCATGTCGGGACATGGCTTTCTTCTCTTTCGACATGGGACCGGGTTGGTATGTGCCAGTTAATTAAAGAAAAAAATATACCGACCCTCTCTATCAAAACTGGCAACACCTAATGAGGACCCACCCAATACAATAACGATCTACTGGTGCATGGTGTAGCGATTTAACACATGAATGATGAAAATGGAGTTGACACGGAACATGGACGGCACTTGTTGAAAGAACGCTTATCCTTTTTTTGGCGGTGCGTTGCTCATGCTTGTTGAAGGAGGAACGGATCTTTGACTTTTTCTTTTGTTGATCTTCTTGCCTTTTTTTGTATCTTCTGCTTTTTCTATGGTCTTTTCTGCCCCTTGTTTTTTCTTCCTTGTCGTTTTTGTTCTTCCCATGTTGATTCCTCTATGTTTTGACGACCATTCACATGGCACAGGATGGAGGAGGGACTTGTCCAGGTGCTTCTTGTTCACAGGGAGATAGGATGTCACTCTTCAGGTTCTGGGATAGTGAATGAGCTACTTAACTGGCTGCCGCTGATGAAGGGATAGTTGTGTTCTTTGGGACTTGATTGGCCTTGATGTCTTGATTGTGACCCTATCTTGATACATCTGTCCTATTGACTGCTGGCTTGGCCGGGACTTAGGTTAACAACACAAAATTTTGCTCTTCTTTATTTAATTGTGTCTCTTTTCCTTGTAGATTGTAGTCTTGCCAGTAGACTGTAGATGCATCGGATACCAGGACTCCATGCAACCCTTGATTCCACTAGGGCCTGTATACTTGCATAAGTTTGGTTCAAGATTGTTCAAGCGTAAAAGCATTTACATTTATGTGCACACTTCCGGTGAACATGGACAGATATGATTGAATGAAATAATGAGTATAGTACATTTAACAAATGAAGCGGATAGACTTCCTGAGATATGCGCCAGCCGCAAATGTCTAAAAACCAGCTATCAAATACACAGCCCGTACACCTACAGCTCTCACCGACGAACCGGTCGCTGTGCACGCGATCCGCCAACCTTGACCGCGACCTTCTCACGTTCCGCATCAGCCTTGGCCTTTAAAGCAGGATTCAAAGACGGCAGGGTCCGGATAGCCTCTTGGAGAACAGCTTGGCCATCGACAATGGCCTGCTGCTCCTGCTCCAAACTCAATCGCTCCGCGCGCCGTGCCGCCAGCTGTTTCCGGCGCTCTTCGGTCATCTTCCACGATTCTGGGAACTGTGGCCGGACCTTGGGCTTGTGGTGACGCAGATCGAGTGGCACGTCTGCGAAGGAGTCCCCTTCCTTGGCCTCCTTGATAAGTACGTTGACCACATCCGCCAAATACCGCTTATTCTGTGCGCGCGAGCCGAATTTCTCGCAGGACATTTTCACAATGTCCGTCTGCGGGTTGTAGCGCGTACCCACTAACTTCAAGAAGGTCTGCCGCTGGGCCTCGGTGAGGTACTTGGGTGCCAGGTCCTGGGAGGCGAGTTCCACAACGACCTTGTGCTCGGCGGGATGTTGCTCGCCCAGGTATGTGGTGTAGCGGAAGCGGAGGATGTGGGTGTTAGGAGGCAGAGTAAAAGGTTTTGCGAGTTCTGTTCAGGTTAGCCGATTGCCGCTGGAATGGGAAGGGCAATTCATCTTACTGCTCAGCATTGGCATATCCCATGCCGTGATGCGGGCATATTCTCGCATCTCGCGGTGCAATTCCAATTCCGCATGGGCCATCGAGGTGATTTCGTCGTCGTGGATCTCCTCGTCGCCGTCCTCCACCTGGGCGAACTCGTCATCGTCATACTTGGCCCAGAATCCACGCTGTTTGGTCCGAATATCCTCGAACCGTAGATCCTCTTCCTTCTCAATGTCGCGGACTTTCTTGTCTAGCTCCGCAAACATGGCCTTCCGCTTGCCCACGTCGTTGAACTCTGCCACCATGTTGCGGTTCTGCTCATCAAAGGCGGCTCGTTCTTCCGGCGACATCATGTCATACATAGACCGCTCCCCTTTGGAGAGCCGATCGGGCGAGTACTCGGGCATTGAAGGGAAATCTTCTGCTTGAGGATCTGGGGGTGGCTGTGGCACGACCGGGTCTTCGGGCATAAAGCGGAAGGGAGAGGCTGAAAAGTAGCGCGTAGCGGTAGTCGTTGGGCCTCTGCAGGCCAGCAGACGAGCCGGGCGGCCCATTGACCGCAGTGGTAAGGCCATTGTCTGCGTGAAGGAAAGAACGACCAGCGACTGATGTTTTTCCGGGAATATAGTCACGTGGGATACACGATCACGTGTGCTCTGCGCTAACCGCTTGTATGATAGACTGTTATCAACATGTGACTGGCTGCACTTGTCTCTTCTTCTTCTGCTTCTTGTTCTCAGCATCATGGATGAAATGGACCACGACCTGAAGCCCAGCATGACCAAGCACTGCTTTGTCACCGTTGGAGCGACCGCTTCGTTCACGCAGTTGTTGACCCACGTTGCGACTGATGATTTCATCCAGGCCCTGCGACTGCACAACTATACCCACTTGACTATCCAGTATGGTCCGGACCTGGTTTATGTCTCCGAATTCATTGACCGCCACCAGACCGCCACTGCAAGCAATGGTGTCATCAAAGTCAATGGCTTCGATTTCAAAACGGAGGGCCTGGCTCAGGACATGGGCATGGCCAAACCCTGCCCTGCTGAGAACCGAGTCGGTGGGATGATTCTGACGCACGCTGGTAAGGACGGGCACTCATGCTAGTATTGCCCCAAGCTGATGATTGTGATAGGTACTGGCAGCATCCTCGAAGCTCTGCGACTGGGTGTGCCTCTGGTTGTGGTTCCAAACCCAGACCTCCAGGACAATCACCAAATGGAACTGGCCCGTGAGATGCACCGACAGGGGTATGTCGTTGCTGCTGCTGCCGAGTAAGTCGCCCTGTCATTCCAAGCTATGAATGCTTGAACTAACAACGCCCCAGGGAATTGTGTCCAGCTGTCCGCAAGGCCGAGGATCTCCGACTTCGCCGCCCTGGCTGGCCACCAGTTGAAAATGGCCGTGGTCCGCGACCTTATATCCGCGAATCCTTGAACGACGAGTTGGGATTCCTGGACTAAGCAGGATAGTTTCTCTAAGAAGGATGGTGTCTCTACGCAGATTGGTTCCTTCCCAGCAAGGTGGTTCCTTTCAATTTATCTCGACGACTTGATGACTTTATGACAGCGCATTGGCATACCAGGGCCTCATTCTAGCGGTGCAATTTAACAATTTGGGATTGTCTTTGACTTCTTTTCTCTCTGAATAATGCCACTTTCCCCTCGGTATCGCAATTGACACATCATAAAATAGTAGTGTGTAGAGTATACAACCGGAGCAGCATAATGGGCCATCCCCATTGGCCCAAGCTCCTTGTTGACACCCGAGCGCGACGAAAACCAACTCCTGAACTGCATCGACGCCCCATCACCGCCCACCGAAAACCACCGTCCATGTTTCACTAATCCTCGCCCAATCCCTCCTGTGATACTCAGCGCCCCATTCTAGGCCGAGTGGCCACCACACACTCCGCGCACCTCGCTCACCCACACCCCCTCTCCCCGCGCAATGGCTGAGGCAACCCTGCACAATGTGCCCATTGTCATCGACAATGGCAGCGGAACAATCCGAGCCGGGTTCGCAGGCGAGGAGATCCCGTCGTGTTACTTCCCCTCATTCGTCGGCCGTCCCAAACACCCTCGCGTGATGGCCGGCGGCCTGGAGGGGGACTCGTTCATCGGCCAGCGCGCACAGGATCTCCGCGGTCTGCTGAAGATCCGATACCCGCTAGAACATGGAATCGTCACCAACTGGGAGGACATGGAGTCCATCTGGCACTACGTCTACGAAAACGAGCTGAAAACCCTTCCCGAAGAACACCCCGTGCTCCTGACCGAGCCACCGCTCAACCCACGCGCCAACCGCGACATCGCTGCCCAGCTCATGTTCGAGGCCTTCAATGTGCCCGCCCTGTACATGTCTATTCAGGCCGTGTTGTCGCTCTACGCATCTGGTCGGACGACCGGTGTGGTACTGGACTCAGGCGATGGCGTCTCCCACGCCGTGCCCGTGTTTGAGGGATTCGCGATCCCCAACAGCATCCGGAGGATCGATGTCGCCGGCCGCGACGTCACGGAACAACTGCAGGTGCTGCTGCGGAAGGCCGGGCATGTGCTGCACACCAGCGCCGAGAAAGAAGTGGTCCGCATGATCAAGGAGAAGGTGTGCTACGTCTCGCTGGACCCGAAGCGCGAAGAGAAGGAGTGGATAAGCAGCTACCACAAATCGGATGCCAAAGCGGTCGACTATGTCTTGCCCGATGGACACAAGATCAAGGTCAGTCTTACTTGAATCGTTCAGAGAAAACATACTTATAGTTTGCATTATAGATCGGCCAGGAACGCTACCGTGCCCCCGAGATTCTGTTTGATCCAGAACTCATCGGCCTCGAGTACCCCGGCGTGCACCAGATTGTCCAGGATGCCATTGCCCGCACAGACCTTGACCTGCGCAAGTCACTATACCTGAACATTGTGCTCTCGGGCGGCTCGACATTGTGCAAGAACTTCCCCGACCGGTTGATGCGCGAGATCAAGCGACTAGCCGTTGAGGATATGAAGATCCGAATTTCTGCGCCTGCAGAGCGGAAGTACACCACGTGGATTGGCGGCAGCATTCTCGCCGGCCTCAGCACGTTCAGAAAGGTATGTTCGCAATCCAGCAGTACTATCGCACTGTGCTAATCAGGAACAGATGTGGGTGAGTGCGGACGAATGGCATGAAGATCCTGAGATCATCTTCAAGCGATTTGCTTAAGACTCCCCGACGGCAAATGGTCGGATCCATTTGTTTTCTATACTCAATCATCACGCGCCATCGCGAAATGGCGACACGCTCCAACCTCTTTTTCATACCTACACCCACTACCTCATGCATCATTGCATACAGCTCCATCGCAGCATTGAGGGCCATCACGCCATTCTCAATTCTATCCGAGTCGCTTGCGCACCCGCGACTTTTGATACCCCTCGTATTTCTTCTTCCCTCTCTCTGTCATTCCCCTTCCCACTCCGGCTCTCCATGTCTTATTACACGATACATTTTACTCTTGGTCTTTATGAATTGAAAATCTGTGCAAATACTTTCTTTTCTTTCATGTTTGGTTGAATCCGGATTTTTGTATACAGTGAGAATGACATTGCAGCTTGCACATAGATGCCATTGGATATACTCGAGACTAGTACATCCAATCACCACTTACTTCCGTACGGTACTTATGGTAGGGTGACTCGGTTTAGGAGATTACCAAGCTTAATCGTCTTGAGAGATGTCCACCCGCCACGCTGCAACTATAGGCCGCTCGCCTCCAAAGGCCTACGTTGTCTGCGCTTATCTCTTCCATATATCGGCAAGGGTATCTTTTGGGGGGGTAGTTTTCTGACGGGGGCTGCCATGCCATTCAATTATCACGGTAAAGGCGCCTTGTAGTACACGCTCATTTGCCTGATCGGGGTTAGCTATGAGAAAGTCCAATCTGAAGGGATTTGCGTAGCCCCCAACATGCCCCCAACATGCATAAGTTGAAGCTGAAGGGGGCTATAATTCACAGATTACACGATCCTGCATGTCTCTAGCACGTTTCGGCATTTTTGCTCACCCTATGAAGGGCTTGGCGAAGGATGAGTGAAACACGTATGGTATTCGCCTATATAATCTGCAAGATCCCCAGAGGAGTGACAATCTTGGAACATACACGTACAACCCGAATATTCTCGCTTCCAAGATTATAGTAATGTGACCACCCCTCAATAATATGGCCAGAAATTAATACTGACCGGGACTACTCTAGGCCGAACTCATGATGAAGTACTCGACTGCCCTGACCCTCGCTCTCGCCTCCGCGGCTACCGCCGACTGGTCCCTCTACTGCGGCGATTCTGTACGTTTGATTTAACATTATAATTGTAGACTGATAAGTACTGACTGCCCACGTAGTGCTCCGGCGGTACTCTCGTTGCATCCGGTTCGGATGGTCAAGGCGCATGCACCAGTCTCGACGGGACCTACGATTACTGCTATATTGAGGCTGAGTCCTCATACTCTCCAGATTGGTGGAAGGCGATCTTCTTTGAGAGTGCTCTCTGTGAAGTCAATGACGATGAATCTGGAATGCACGAGAGTAGTGGGCTGTTTAATGGCGGTTGTACTGATGCTGGCTCCTGGACTTCTTATAATGTCGTCGTTAATGCTTAAGCTTCGCAACTCGCCAGATTTCAGTCTTTCTTCAGTCTGTATTACAGGTCATTGTCTGCTTTCAAATGACCAAGGGCGTTATCTAAGAGACAAGAATGAGACGCAGATATCTGCCGCCGCCGGATAGCCAGCGTCGTTGTCATGTTAATGAACCTGAACTGAGGCATCGCAGTGTTGATATCTGTAAAGAGAGAGTAATAGAAACTTATGCTAGCCTAAATATAGTGTCTTCCCCAGTCAACTCTGATCGCTGGGGACAAAGACATTTTCCGCTGAGCGTGGAGTATGTCCCAGATTAGGATGGAGTTATGTGGACTTTAAGTTCGAATATGGGTCTTCAGCAAGCTTCACCCCTGAGACGAAATGCCTTTTCGTTATTCATCACCCGATCGACATTGCATTGGTGTGAGCATGGTATCTCGGCCCGAGGAAATGTGAGAGCTGTCCCCGCGCAGTCTTTGGATCATTGGAGATTACAAGTCCCAGTTTCTTGTGCCGTTCTCCGCAAAAAGAGGGGTTACTATTACCAGACTCTAACTTGCTAAGAACTCTTCTCTGTAAGAAGAATAAACCAAAAGAAAAGGTGAAATATATTCGAACAGGTTCATCATGGCAGGTAGGCAAGCAGAAGCAACATAACTACCGATTAAGATATAACTGTTCTTGTCTCGTACAGGAACAATCGCTGCCACGGCTCTAGGATCTCTCACCCTCGCTGGGTATCTAGATGCAAAATTTCACATTCGGAACGACATCAGGGCCCTTTTCTTGAGCAACAACCCCAGTGCCGGACAAAAATATGTTGCTCAGAAAGTCAAAGAGGACAGGATGCTGTTGTACCATGTTCTGGAAGACCATGCCGCAAACCCCGCAATTGCCAACAACATGTTCCTGATATACCCGACCGATGGTAGAACCTGGACATATAAGCAATTTTTAGAAGATGTCAATAAGGTCGGCAACTGGTTGTTCGAGGAGCTGGGAGTGCGAAAGGGGGAGATGGTCGCTCTCGATGGACCCAACAGCCCCGAGTATCTGATCATGTCGTTTGCGATTGACTCGGTCGGGGCAGTTCCATGTTTTATTAACTACAATCTGACCAGCCAGTCCCTAGAGCATTGTATCAAGGTACGTACCTTGTCAAGTTACAACAATGGATTGGTTACAAGTGATTTGGAATGTTGACTGGTTCTTTTAGCTGTGCGAGGCTAGATATTGTTTGGTGGACGAAGAAATCAGACATCTGACTGAGCCAGTAGCACCGAATCTCGAATCGTGCAGCATGGTTTATTACTCGCAGCAACATCTCTTATCACTGCCCTTTGGCACGACTCCACCCCCTGCAGAACAACGCAGCAATATAACTCCGACTTCGCCCAGGTTACTGATGTTTACCAGTGGTACTACTGGGTTACCTAAGGCACTCGTCAAAGCTACATCTTACGAAACCTACAGTGGCCTCAGAACTGCTCGTTACCTGGGCCTGAAGCCTACGACGCGCTTTTATACCTGCTTGCCACTTTTCCACGGGGCGGCGCATTCATTGTGCGTAACGGCTGTTTTACATGCCGGGTGCACTCTCATTCTCGGGTAAATATTCTCCAATCAACTATGGCTGACGACATATCCCTTCTTCTGAGGCTGATTCTGACAATATATTCAGAAAAAAGTTCTCTCATTCCACCTTTTGGCCGGAAGTCGTCACACACAAAGCGGATATTATTCAATATGTTGGAGAGCTATGCCGATATCTTCTTAATGGCAAACCGAGCCCGCTTGATCGACAGCACAGCGTGAAGATGGCCTGGGGCAATGGCATGAGACCTGATGTTTGGGAGCCCTTCCGACAGCGGTTTGGGATCCCTATCATCCACGAACTCTACGCCGCCACCGATGGGATGGGTACGATGTTTAATCGAAACAAAGGCGAGTTTAGCCGGCATGCCATTGGTGTCAGGGGCCTTCTTTGGAACATGATCAATGGCCCCCGTGAGAAGATCGTGAGAATAGATGTGGACACACAGGAGATGCTTCGGGATCCGAAAACAGGATTTGCAATGGAATGCGCCCGAGGAGAGGCAGGGGAAACCATTCATTGGATTGATCCCACAGCTCCGCTGGCAAGAGTTCATTTCCAGGGGTACTATAAGAATGAAGAGGCGACCAAAAAACGCTTCATTCGGGATGTTTTCCAGAAGGATGACATGTGGTTTCGGTCTGGTGATATGATGCGACAGGAAGAGACAGGCTGCGTCTATTTTGCCGATCGTCTCGGCGATACCTATCGATGGAAGTCGGAGAATGTCTCTACAAATGAGGTTTCCGCTCTTCTAGGCCAGTTCCCAGGAATCGCCGAGTGCAATGTCTACGGGGTTCTGGTCCCCAATGCAGATGGGAGAGCCGGGTGTGCAGCACTTGTGCTTTCGGAAGATGTGTTAGAGGATAACTTTGACTTTAAAGGGCTGGCAGATCATGCCTTGGCGCTGATGCCCCGGTATGCAGCACCTGTTTTTTTGAGACTCACGTCCGCTTTGGGGTATACTAGTACTATGAAATTGCAGAAAGGTAAGTTGAGACAGGAGGGCTGTGACATTGAAAAGGCCGAGGCTGCGGGGGATAAGCTGTACTGGCTGCCTCCCAACCAAGCCAACTACGTTCCATTCACATACGAAGAGTATAGCAAGATCCAGAAAGGACAGATCCAGCTATAGAGTCGGTATTTTACTTGCTTGTGGTTAACTTGATTTGGTAAATCAGCATTAATCCTACATCCTTTTTGTATACTCCTATCCCCATATTTCTTACCCAGTGTCAGGGCCGGGGTGTGACACTGCGGTACTGCTGTATACATGGGTCCTGGGCATGACAAAGCTGAACCTCGTCACAGTGATCCTAACACCTGGCTTGTGGCAACAGAAATACAAACAATAAAAATTAAAAATAAAGACCAGAAAAACAGGTTCAACTTACGCACATGACTTCGGTCTTCGCGCAAAAATATCACTCAATACTGATGTGCTCGGCGCGGCTGGCGCCGCATATCCCCGGCTACAACCGTGCCATCCACAAACAACACCAGATGTCGCCATTACCACGTCAGAATTTACGCAAGCGATTTTCTCCTTCATTCGTTACGAGACACAAAAAGAGTTTGCATGTTCAATAGTTACAGCCACCGAATAGGCAGCATGCAATAATCCATTAGGATGAGAAACCATAAGCTAGGAAGTAGTAGCTAATGGCGCGATATTGGGGGAATATGTAATAAAAGACATCATCCAAAAGGAAAACCAGGGAATGATACACGGAGACTCCGGGTGACGATGCGACAAGAAACCGAGAGCAAGAGTCTAGCACTAGTAGTCGTGGCGCAAGCGATCCAGCGGAGAAAAGGAGAAACCACCCGATATCCTGAGAACGGAAAAGTACCCGACAGACAGACGGACTGCGCGAGGATACGGTGTTGTTGGTGTTGATGTTGTTCCGAAATGGAAGAGAAAAACGCCGGGTTCTCATGACATGATAGTTGATTGGAGTGAGGAGATTTCAATGTCCAATAAAAGCAAAGCGGGATTAAAAGAGAAAATAGCAGAAAACTCGGTGAGTCAAGAGCTGAGTTGCAAGGTTGATCTTGTTCTTGTTGTTGAAGACATGATCGCCGAGAACATGGGTATTGGGCGATACACGCGGTGAAAAGACGGGGTGTAGTAAGGCCGGTGATAGGTCTTCGCCTGCTCTCCGCTTCTCCTCTTTGTTTTGTGTCTTTGTTCGGTCCGGAATGGGAGTGGCTCCCACACGGTGGCGAGACGAGGACGAAGAAAACAAAGAGAAGAGAGAAAACCCTGCTGAGAAAATCGAAAAGGTTGAAAAAGAACACGAACTTTTATGGGGGTCGTTATGTATGTCGTGGTCATCATGAAAAAAGGGCAACGGAGCCCAACAGATCGTAAGGGTGGTCGAAAGAAGAAATTTAGGCCATGCCCTTGAGCTTGCCCCAGCCCTTCTCCAGGCCTCTCCGGGCCTTCTGGGCAGCGCGATCAGCAGCCGAGCCACTACTGCTGGCAGTGGCAGTACTGCCAGCGGAGAACTTGCGGCTCAGACTGCTGCTGCTGCTGGAATCGTCAAAGATCATATTCCCCGCGCCGCCACGGCCGACGTGATAGACCGGCGCGGCACGGCGGAGGTCACGCTCGAGCTCCTCGTCGAAGCTAAAGATGGCGCGCTCGCCGGTGCTGTGGACGTTGCCGGCGCCCCCACGGCCCGTGATGAAGGTGGCTGGGGCGCGCGAGTCGAGACGGGTCAGCGAGGCAGGACCCGTGGCGGTCTGCGAATTAGTCGTCTTGGTGTTCTTCAGGCTGACGACGTTGCCTGCACCCCCGCGGCCAGAGTAGACGGCTGGGCGGGTGGTGTGCGGCACCGAAGGGTGCGGCTCAATGACACGGTAATTTGTCGATGGCATGATGATGGTGATAATAATGAGAGACAGTCAGGACTGCTAGTGAAGCACAGGCTATAATATCCAGGCCATGTGAGGCAGGGAGTGTGTTGCAAAGAATAGAAGCCAACTTGACCTTAAAAAATCTGTTGCCGTGACACACGGCGGGTCCAGGTTATATAGTTCAGGTTTCGCTGGGCCAGGCACACCCACGGGTCACACGCGGTGGAGTGGGTTTGCAGCGAGTATTTTTCATCGACCAATTCACGTCAGGAGACCTACCGCATGCGGGCTAGCGGGGCGGGCGTTATACATGGCTGCCGAGGGCACTCGCTGGTCGATCCCGTCTAGAACACACCCACCCCGACTCCCTCGCCCACGGTCATCTGACCCGGCGTACGTAACAGAAACACCGCCGGGCCAACCAGCATTTCCATTACCCCCAGAAAACCACAAAAACCACTCACCGCATCCACTCTTGCATCATCTGTTAACATCTGCATTCTGACATTACTCGCCATTGTCCGAGCACGTCAGGCGTCTATGGCATGTCGAGAGAGATGGCGACAACGAACTATACCACGATATCAACATCAATTGCGACAAAGCTCACGGACACAGCGAGAGTAACAAAGAATGACCCCATTGTGGCATCCTGCGGGCTCATCCATCCCCCTCCCAGTCGATCTGGTCTAGGGCTCTCGCTAGTCCCGCACCGTACCTGGCCGATCAATGAGGAGCACTGGCCTGCCGTGTCCATGAGAGGCTATGACGACAAGGGGGGTGGTCCCGCTCAGTCCAACCTTGGGACTGTCGAGTAGAAAATTCTGCCGCTCACGCGTGCTGAGTGGCCAAGAGGTCCGTGGCCGGGGTGGCCAGCCAATCACGCTGTCTGCTCGGCCATCGTCTTCCCCAGATTTTGATTTCTTCCCCGGACTCCCGACTCGCTTTGGGTGCGAATGTCCCTTACCCCATCGCCGCATTCTCTTCTCCTGGAATTGTAGCCGAGGAACTTCCGCTCAGCTGACGAAGATTAAGCATTCTGGACTACGTGTTCGAATAGTCTCTCCCTTCAGCCCCAGTCTCGGCATCTTTTGTTTGTCGGGGTGGGGGTTCGTTCCAATCTGCCACATTCCCGGAAATCCGGTGCTGAACCTGGTGACCGGCACTGGCACTGAGGCGAAACACGAGCGCAGTGCACTGACACGCCAACAACGTGTCTCGGACCAAGATTCCGCATTCTTCATCCCACGCTGCATGTCCAGCGTCATCACACGCCCTCGCCGATGCAAACTGGTGGAGTCGGTCGCCCAGGAACCAGGTTGGCTCACCATTAGATAATAGCGTCTCTGCACCGCGCCCCAGCATGACACATGATTATCGGTGCGATGGTCGAGACCACCGGCACGGCCTACCGGGAAGAAGGCGGTTCAACAAAAAAGGCTCATATGTAGTCCCGAGTAGTCAAAGCACGGCCCATCATTCTTGATTTGATGATGCAAGGGTGCTTGGAACAATCGCTTCAGGTGTATGCCTATGGCGTGATCAATTTTGCACGGCCTTTGCGGAACCTGGAGGACGTACGTGTAGCATTGAGAGGTCTGGGACCGGATTCGACATCGCAGATGCGGTCAGATGCATCACACATACCATAACGAAAAGATCAAGCACATTTCTATAGTACATACTGTGCACTGGCTCTGTCGATCTTTGGCTAACGTAGTAAATTTTGATAAAGAGTATTTTCATGCACTTACGAGGTCTGACTGACGCATGTATTACACCTCACGCAGATGATGAAGGCGAAGAATTCATTTTATCAGTTCCTTATGTCGTCTGCCTAATTGCAATGACTGGCGTATCGGAAACTGGATGGTAACCCGAACTCTGTAGGACTAGGGGTTACTAAAAATGGAAAACAACTAGCCTAACATAGCAAATTCACGCTACATCATTGTAACCTGCTTATTGCTGATTGCTGATTGCTGATTACCGACAGATGAAGAATTGGCAACTTCTATACCTGCACACAAATCTTTTCCACATCGTCTATTACCTGTCCGAGGTTCTTCTTGTCTTTTCGAGTCGGAACCTCGGTAAATGTTTCCAAGTTTTAGATAGACTGTACATCTGATCATTGTTATCAGAAATTTTGACTGTAGCGCTATAGTTTATTTTGGTGAGCGTGGTTGAAACGCAAAAGAATAAATAACAGTGACCTTGTCGGAATGCCAACAATTTTTTTCGAAATAGATCACAGGAACCGAACGCCACGGTTCTACAAAAGCTCTATGATGAAATCATAGTAGTTGAATTTCGGACCTGTAAAGTATATATCTCGAATTTTTCCATCCTTCTCATCAATCGTAGGTTTTAACGCATCGGTTTGAGATTTGTTTATAGTCATATTGATTTTCAATCGGAGGTTTTTTTCTTTTGCTGCCTCACGCCATAGATTCTGAAAAGAGCTCTCATTATGCAGAAAAACTGTTTTAGCAGCATCGTGACGAAGGGGTTCCTCTCCAGCCTGGAATGAACCAATTTGAGATCCCATAATAAGGCTGCCAGGTTTCTTCGAAATCAATGAGAAAATGCGGTCAATCGCAAGCAGTTGAGTATGCCGGTTCATTAGGTGGAGGAACATTGCAATGTGTATGATGTCGAAGGTCTGCTTATGTTGAAAGAGCTTACCATGGTCGTCAAAGAAATCCGCATCAATGAAGCGGTTGAACATTGTATCTTTGTCGTGAAAAAGCGCAAAACCAACCTCCAGAAGGCTACGTTCATAATCACAGCCTAGAAGTTGATCAGCTGGCACACCATCAAAGATCAATTTCCGGATATCCTGTCCGAAACAACAGCCGAGGTCGAGAAATGTGTGGCCGTTCTTAAGGCGTGACAGTAAGGCTGGATACTCGGGTAGTGCACAGAGTCGAAGTGTCAGAAACATGAATGCTCCGATGCATGGATATGGCATGATATCCCACGCCTCATCCCTCTATAGAGATAATTTAGTGTTGGTGGAGGGGTCCATTTGCCAATAACGTACGATAGAGTATATATGCTTTTCCATGTCATTTTTCGAAACACCAGCATAATGTTCTAGTAACTCAATGCTCTCCGGAGCCATAGAGGGCATTGTCGGATGGTACCACGAGACATCCCGTGATCTTACAAGTTGTTTTATATTCACGTTCAGATCCGACATTGCGACGACACAACTGCAGCCAAGGCGCAAATTATAGGATAAGTAGATGCATGAAATGGGTAAGTTAAGTATCCTGCTGTTGTTTATTTATAAAATAATTGGGTTATACAGCTAACACGGTAGCATACTTCGATGCCGTCAATATTCGTCATCGAATTACACTGCAAGCAAGAGGGCCAGAAAAAATATATAGACATCACGGGTTATTCGATTTCATTAGAGCAGCCACCAGTAACTTCGTATTGATGAAATGGCAAAGTTTGAAACCTTTTACTCAACGCAGTTAACGCCCCACTTAGCTTTCTGTGGTTCACTTCAAACGCATTTTGGGGGGGGAGCTTCTTGCGTTGAGATATGATGTCACCACACGTTGATCAAAACGAATGCATTTAACAAAATGGGATTCGCGTGTACCTATGTTCAATATTTAATGGCTTGGGAAGTTTCTATTGACTTGGAACTTAAATAAACGTCTCGCTAACATAAGGTTAATACTTAGGCTGAATTGTAATCGACGCTGTGATTTGTCTAGTTGTCTCGCAATGTCTCTTCCTAGAAAGAAAGTTCTGATAATCGGGTGTTCAGATGATGGCCTAGGCGGTGCCCTTGCTATCGCTTTTTAGGATGCTAGCCTATACGTGTATGCTATAGCTCGCGACCCTTCTAAAATGAGCGAGGTGAAACTACATAGGATCGAAATACTTACGCTAGATATATAGTCGTCTAACTTAGTCGCCGCCTACGTTAACAAAGTCTTTAGAAAACAATGCCAGTAGAGGTTATAGTATGCTATTTTCGGATCTGTCTATTCCAGGGGCAAAGAGGTTATTCGATCTTAACGTAAAGTCTTATTTTATGATCGCCTAGGCCTTCTTACCGTTACTTTTACTACTTTAGGAACGCAAAGACGTCTGTAACCACTTATAAATTTGCTATTATTCCACACACGTCGACAGCTTTTCAGGCTTGTTATCCTTAATTTGCCAAGATCCTAGTCCGACTTTTCTGATATCTTCTTCACGGGGGAGATTCCAAAGGAAATATCCCGTAGGACTCCATTGATGTGATCCAACTGTACTATTGTAAGCACAGACAGCCAATTTTGAACGGCAAGGATCAGCTAACACAATTGACCCTATCTGGACTCGTGTGATATCAATTTTGCGCTGGAGTGGCCGACTGGCTCAAACTCCCGTTTCCGCCATGGTTAGCCGTATGGCCCTAAGAAGAGCGCAATGGCGGCACATTTTCGACCACGGCAAGAACAGTCGACTTCCTGTCACTTAGGACCAACACGTCCGAGGATGACCAGAACGCGCAACCTTGGACAGCGTTACACCCGGCAAATTTGACCTGCAGCCATCCAATATTCGCCGTCCCGTAAGTCCCTGCATCCTTCTTAACCGCGTTTACTAGACGTGAGGCGAACTCAACAATGATAGTACAGTAAGCGTGGAGAACTGACGCCATTTGTTTACAATTTCGACTCTTTTTTGGGAGAATACACCTCCCATCTACCACCGCCTTTTCCACTCCCAGAACCTCCTCCTCCTCCTTCCTCCTGGTCTTGCTCGTCACTGTCTCGTTTTGTTCTTGTAGTTCTTCTCTTCGTAAATTTCCTAATCCTCATTCTTCCACCCTCGCCCCCTGCGCTGTCGCGTTCTTTTCCTCCCTCGCCTCCTTCCACCTCCGAGTCCTCATCTATTTCCTCATAAATTTCCTCGTCACATCTCCCACTTTTCTTCTTACGATCCCTTCTTCCCCCCCCTCCCCCTCCCCCCCCCCACCACCTTTCCCTCTTCCCCTTTCTGCTGCGGGAGTTGGCATAGAATCTTTGCCTTCGGTCTTCTCGCTCATTTTATCAATTTGTCTGTCAGAGGTATCTCGAGCCCAGTCCGAAATGCGCTCCCTACAAGAATAACCAATCCCGTTATCGGAGATCTCAGGCATAAGAGAATCCATTAAATCGATGCCTGGGAGCGACTTATAGCACTCGTAGTCTGCTTTATGATCCAATCGTGTCGATAATCTCTCCATCAGATCCGCCTCGAGATGCTGACCGACGGGATTGAGACCGTTCTTGATGTCGTCCTTACTCAGGTTTCTGGAGCTGATGGGGTCTTCATCAAGTGCAAATAGTGGACTTTGCGGGTACAATTTGAAAAGTGCGTGTGCAACGCAATGATCTTAATCAACAAGGGAAGGATTCCCAAAAATATTTACTAGTGTTCGATGGGGCAAATTCTGTGATGCTGATAAACCAAAGCGAATTCGCCACACTGGCACTGGAGCTCTACATTTCAGAAGTAGTCTTCAGATTTAGCTCTGTTGTGTCCAACCAAACAATTGCGGTCGGCAAACTTGCCCATTATGTTGGAATTTCTCTCTACGTGAGTCAATTTGACCATCTCCTTGTCGGGCGTATGGCCAGATGGAATGCGAAGATTGTTGCTAACAGTTACTGGCCATCGACATCGTGGGGGAGAAGTGGAGAGAGCTTTTCGCGAAAATGTATGACGTACGAAAATTTGTGGAGAGTCGAGCCGTGGATTTACTCATGTCGTTCTTGTCTTTACGGGTCTAAATTTAACGAAATGGGCGTCGATAGGGTGGCATCTTGAGCAGACAGCGTCGATGATACCCACATGTTGCACCAATAATGCTATACTTTTCACAAGGCGGTGAGCGTACCATGCCTTTTATTGCCCAGTCAGAACGATGAACGCATACTGACTCAACTAACTCGACTTAAGATGATGTTATGTGGAAGTTTAAATTCGGTTTAATTCCATTAACTAATTGCATTCGGAACACCTTCAAGAATATGGTCGACTACATGCAGACATGACCCCACATGCGGGTTTATAAAAGACTTAACGGTCGTCCGCAAAGAGTTTAGAACCATGCAACTCAGATCTTCCTCAAATTAGACGAACATTGTTAGTTCAACTACAATTCTTAAGATCCAGGAAGCATCATGGCTCTATCCGGAAAGGTTGCCCTCATCACTGGTGGAGTCAAGAACCTCGGTGCCCAGAGCGCTCTCCAGTTGGCTGGCGTCGGTGCCAACCTCGCCCTGCACTATCACTCCGCTAGCGGCAAGAATGACGCCAAAAAGTTGGAAGCAGAGCTAAAGAAGAAAAAACCCTCCATAAAGGTTGCCTTTTACGACGGCGACCTAACCTCTGCCGCGGCTGTAACCAAGCTCTTTCAGGATGTTCTCAAGGACTTCGGGCACGTCGATATAGTCGTCAATACAGTGGGCAAAGTTCTCAAGAAACCTATAGTGGAGATCAGCGAGGAAGAATATGATGCCATGTTTGCGTATGCTGCTTCCAATTACGAGCTCTTCTTTGGAGATAGAAGGTATGCTAACGAACTGAACAGGGTTAATTCCAAGACTGCATTCTTCGTTCTCAAAGAAGCTGCCGCCCACATATCGGACGGGGGTAAGATCATCACCATCGTCACTGCACTGCTGGGAGCATTCACGGGCTTCTATACGTCCTACGCCGGAAGCAAAGCTCCGGTTGAGTACTTCACCCGGTAAGTTCCCTGTGCTATCTTTGGAGAACAACCCAACCAATATATTGGCAGAGGAGTTTGCAAAGAGCTCCAATCCCGTCGTGTCAGCGTCAACAACGTCGCCCCTGGCCCAATGGACACCCGTAAGTCTTCTTCACGTGTTTCTACATACACATTCGAAAATCCACATGTACTAAAACATTCCATCTTCGTTAGCTTTCTTCTACCCCCAGGAATCCCCCGAGGCGGTGGCATTCCACAAATCAAGCGCCATGGATAATCGCCTGACTATGGTCGAGGACATTGCCCCTATTATTCGCTTCTTGTGCACCGAGGGTGCTTGGATTACCGGTCAGACTATCTTTGCTAACGGTGGGTATACTACTCGTTGAGCAGTCAAGAGCCACATCAAGGCCGTCACCTCCAGTGATTGCGTCTATACGTTCTATAAAAATCTCCGTTTGCGGGTTGATGGTGTGTATTGCCCCCGCTCCCCGTGCTAGTGTTAGCCTTTCGTAGGAGAGATCGATAGCAATTATCGCCTTAAGAAAATACTTCTCTTCCTGCACAAGAGTTTTGGTAGCCATAATAGCGGTCAATCCCACTCCACCCATTCCGAATACAGCAAGATATCGGGTTCCTCCTTATAATGACCACTACCTGGTTGCACAGTCTCCATCCCTAGCCCTCGTGCTAGACGTCTTAATGAGTATCAGAAAGCTGAAAAAAATACCAATTCATATTTTTTCATATTTTATGCACTACCCAAAGCGGCTTAGCCTATAGTCGCCGTTCTTATCTTGGCATAAAGGCTCTATAAACAATGGAAGAGTATAAGTGGTGACACGGATTCGAGATGTACTGTGTCTGTTATGCACTTCTTTTCTTTATTCTGTAGCCTATTAGCTTCCGTAGGATAGTTTTCTTGAACTTTAGAAGACTAGTATTGCATTACAAGATGACTGGAAACTGGCGAGGCACGATTTCTATGACTTGCCTCTCTTTCACCATACGCCTCCCTCCCATGGCTCTTCACTAACACCCTTGTCCCAGCCATTAGTCTTCCCATCCCAATATTTAGTCTTAATATCTTTTAGGTTCTCCATCTGTGTCCCATCCGCCCGTCCATCTATGGTATGCGCATTAATCCGGGTAAAGTGCACACTCTTGCCTTCATCTGTCTTTTCCGAACCATAATAATAGCAACTCACACCACAGTGAGGACAGAAAGGGTGTGTAACGGTACAGGAGCCGAATTTGTACAACGGAAGTGTCGGCTTCCCATCGTCGTCGCTGCCTTGCGGCGTCAGCAGCCGGAATGAGTCTTTTATCGGCGTCGCAATCAGCAATCCGACTTTGTGGCAGTAGCTGCAATTGCACTTAGCGAGCACGCAGTCCGGGTTTTCGGGGATGGGTTCTTTCAAATTGATGCGGGCTTCATATCTGATAAAGCCACAGTGACAGGAACCTCGATATAGTGGAATGTGCTGCTCCGGGGTGGATTGAGTATCGGGGTTGGCAGACATCATTGACTAGGGGGGAAACGCCTTTTGGGAGTTCGAAAAATAATGAAGGAAGAACAAGAGGATTCAGTCGGGATAGCTCAGCAATTGGAGGGTGTCAAAACTGCTTTGAAGCACTTTGAGGGCTGTTTTTTTGGGCGACAGAAACTCAAATCTAGGATTCGAAAGATTCAGGCGCCAGCGAGGTATTTATGCTCGAGGCCTTGGACCCCGCTCCACCATCCTTCGTATAAATTCAGCCTCATAAGGTCCATGCGTATCGTGGCTACAGCACGTGGCCATACGCAAACCCCAACAATCAAATTCACTTTTCCTTGTTTATAAACCAATATCGATCATTTGATATGTCTCATTCGTGGCATAGATATACTTAATAATTAACTTCTTTTCAAATCATATGCATCGCTTGGTTCCCAAGGTTGTTCCTTCTCCACTGACCGTATGAGATCTTCATGGGCAGGAGTACGGGGGGAGATGTCAAACTTCCACGGAACGGGGTGGCTAATCACGCCGGCCTGAAATTCAGGCTTGACGTCCACCTCCTTGCCGTTTTCGACTATTTTGGTGATATTGAAAACTGTAAGTGACTGAGCGACGCTCAGATATACTGTGTTGTCAGCTAGAATACGACCGGGGCAAATGCGACGCCCGAATCCAAAAACGATTCCGTGAGGATCCATTTCGGGCTCCCGGCCGTCAATGCTTAGGAAGCGCTCAGGCTTGAACACCATGGGGTCATGATATACCTCCGGATCATGAGTGAAGGCCCTGCCATGGCAGTTAGCATCAAAATACTAGCAAAGGCTGGGGAGGACTTCACCAAATGTTAGGCATAACCAAGGAACCCTTAGGAAGGAAGTAGCCTTCATATATATCATCCCCAACTGACATGTGAGGAATCCCCATTGGTGCTACAGGATGCCAACGGAGGACTTCTTTGACGACAGCGTCGATATATGGAAGGCTCGCACGATCCGCCACCTTGGGAAGTCTGCCAGCTCCTAATACTCGGTCAAGCTCGTCTTGTGCTTTGCGCTGCACCTCTGGGTATATGGTCATGGCCAAAAGAAATATTTCAATTGCACAAACAGTCTGTAATTCATCAGCTGGAACTGCATGCCAACCAGAAGCAAATCCTACCGTATCGGCCCCACCCGTATAGAGGGAAGCAGCAGTCCATTTCGCGACGAGCTCTTTCTCGGTTCCAGAGACTGGATATCCCTCTTCTTTGAAAAGATTGGCAAGGTAAGAAGGCTCATGTTTGCCAGCATCCCTACGCCGCCGAACAAAGTCATACGGCTTATCCGCAACGTTTTCAAGGTTTTTCTTCCATTCCCGTGCAATGCGTTTAAAGCTGGCTCCAGGGAACCAGGAAGGAACATATTTCACTACACTAGTTAGAGATCCACATAATTATCTACTAGATTTGTAGAACCACTCACAAGCCGGAATCATATCCACTAGCCAGGTACCCGGTGTCCCAGCGATGGAGAAATGCTCTAGGGCTTGGTTTGCGATATGAACGAGCGGGTCTCGCTTGTGCGGCTCAATCGTGTATCCATATGCAATTTTTAGAATGACAGCTCCCGCTTCCCTAAAAAAAACAGTTCAGCTTTCTGTCCAATGCTGGTTCTGCCTTTTGGCACGTACGTCTGGATGTGCTCTGCAATTCTTGCCTGATCATTCAACACACGAAACAGAAACCGGTGAGCCTCTGTCTCCTGCAAGGTGTTGTACTGGGCCACCGTTGTCTCCGACCCGAGGTAGGGTTGAATGGCTTTGCGATACGCACGGAATCGATCTGAGTATGTCTGCATTGCCAAAATATGCTCCCAGCCCACCCTAGTCAATGGAATTTAAGCGGTTGAAAATGGTAGTACTGCACTCGAGGACTGACAATTCTGATGCAAAGACCAAGTTTGGCCGCGAGGAATATAGTGCAGAGCGTTTAGAGAGAAGCTCTGTCGCGATTCGGGATTCGTTGACAATTACAATGGTCTGGCCCATTACTGTGATAGAACTGATAGGTCCTGAAAACACGTGAGTGTGTCAATTGAAGGACATAGTCCATACGGATTCACGTATTGCGCTCGTAGTGACCCTACCATAGAGGTCCTTGTGCTTCAACCAGTACGTCCAATCTTTCCCTCCCTGAGGCGGCAGATCTGAGATGTTACCGATAATTGGCTTCGGCGATGGGCCCGGTGGCAGCGGCCCATTAGCCTTATTGCGCGTGAACAGGACTTTGGTGGCATAGAGCAGAAGCGCTCCTATTATCAAGCTCAAAAGCAAAAAAGAGAAGGACATGGCGACCGCAAGGGGATTGGAGATGTGACCGGGTTGAATTGAAAGAAAGGAGCTACTAATTGCAAATGGCAATTGCTGACACTCTTTTAATTTCTTCCACCCGTAGGGCCATTGACCTTTTGCAGGAGCCTCTGAGGGGGTAAGTTTTCCCCCCTCGGTTGCCCACCGGTTCCGCACCACTCTACATAGCCCAAAAGGCCAGGGATGATGAATGAGATTGTACGGAATAGACTGCGAACTTCGCAGTGATTGGCAGACCAGACTTCTGGGATTGAGTGTTTCCACGTCATCCTTGTTTGTTTTGGACTTGGCAAATCAACCCAGAGCGCGTGCGGGGGTACGAGGAAGCCAAGAGGGTGGCCTGGAACGCCGACTTCTCAAATCTGGACACTGGCGAGAACATGATAGAGAGCAACCCTCTCTGACCAACTATCTTCCACGCTGGAAGCCAATATGCGCCTTATATGCTGCGCACGGGATGAATCCCCGCCGCGGGTAGAGCCGTTTTTCTCACGGTGGGTCAGCTTGCCATCGTGGCGCCATACCGACGCGAATGACAGTGACTATCCACAGAATCTCAAAAGTTTACTGCACACACCATACCGGTGAGGCCAACAGACAGTGCAACGATTCTGGGTGATGAAGCGGACCAAGCCCGCACGTCTCTAACTAGGATGTATCCGCTACAGATGGTGACAGACGCTAGAGCGACGGCTTGTTTAATGAACAAAGGATATATTGGTAAACAACAGGTACGTGATAGGTGAAATGATAGGGCACTGGTTTAACTTTTCATCAATGCTTTTACTTACGCTGTCAATAGTCACTCAGTCAAATGATTGTGGGCGAGAAGGAACTAATAGTATTGGCTAGACTCCGATAATCAAGTGAGTTGAGAATAAGACGACTAACTAGCATCAGGAGGATATATCCCGACCAATGCCTGTTGTGCCACGAATGATCCTTCCCTCAGGCTCCGGACCAACCGTGGCGTATTCAATCCCTTTGGTTCTTCAGCCCACTTTGAGCACTGCTCCCTCGTGCTTTATGGCCAAGATCCTGACGGTCAATAAATATTATTTGAAAAGAATATTTGGAATGGTCGCCCAGGGTTGTTCACGATATGCAGTCTCGACGATATTATCGTGCGATAATTATCGCAGAGACTTTAGTCTAACGATACGATATACGATAATGAAAAAACCTAACGATATCGCATCGTGAACAGCTCTAGGCCATATTACTTAAATGTGTCTCGCTGATTCTTGGTTTGAGAACGAATGTCATCCTTGACTAAATAGCTTTTGAGCTTGGTGTCTGAGACGGATGTAGATCAAGCCCGATTTTGCCGTGGCTCACCGCCCTAACCACTTTGAGCAGTTGACCACCAGCGAGTCTTGCCCCTTCTCCTGCTGCAGCTTCCACACTCAAGTTTTGCTTCATTTCTCTGCTGGAACGACTATCCTTAACTTGCCGTCGCACCTCGCTTCCTGATTGCGTCCTCCCAACACCGCCGCTTCTCCCGAACGGGATTTTCCTCCTCCCGCGTCGACAGCAAAGCCCGTGTAGAGAAACGGACAAGATGCCGAAATATAAGTACCCCCTCATTCATCAATACTTGGATCTGCAAGCTGACCTTCACTGCACTCTTCTGTAGGTTTCTTCTTTCTTCTCCCCGCGAACGACCGAGCTGTGCCGTATCAACCTGCCTCTGCGAGAGCGCAATGCGACAAGTCCCCCTATGAAACCAATCAACTTGCAATAGCAACCTATGTGAAGTTGGCAGAATACTGACGTATGTGTTGGATATATAGGCGACTACTGCGATGTCTACCTCACGCACGACTCGATGAGCGTGCGCAAGGCGCATAATTCAGGCCGAAACCATTTGCGGAACGTCGTGGAGTACTATCAGCGTACGTCTTTTGAGTGTGCCCCTCGCCATTTTTCTTGGAGGAATACAGAATTATTCTCGAACTCGGCTGACAGTTCGTTCACAGAAATCGGTCAGGAAAAAGCACAGTCGGTCATCGATTCGATCACCTCTTCCTACGCTGCTGAGGGACAACTTCCTCCGAATCCCGCCCTCGCTCCGCCGGGAGCATTCCCGCCGCCATTCGGCTTTCCTGGTATGATGCTACAAGCTTGCTTTTTCGTAGAAGCATACTGACCTAGCTTTCCTCAGGTCAACCAGGTCAAGTGCCTCCGCCCTTCGGAATCCCTCCTCCAGGTGCCCCCGGAGCTCCAGGAATGCTGCCTCGTAGGTTTTCTTACCCTCCACACCGTGAATATTTTGTCTGACACTCGCTCAATAGCACCGGGTAGCCATGGTCTTCCTTTCCCTCCGCCATTCCCCCCAAATGCCAGCGGCACCCTCCTACTGGAGGTTTCCCGCCACCACCCTTCCCCAACATGCCCCCCGGTGCAGGATTTCCGCCGCCGCCAGGTGGCTTTCCCCCAAACTTCCAAATTCCCCCTCCTGGTGGGCCGGGCGGATTCCCTCCCCCGCAGATGCCGGATCAGCACGGCCAAGGCCCTCCTCCCGGCGGACCTGGCTCACGTGGGCCGCCGACTGGTCCCCGGGGCTCAGAAGGATACGGTCCACCTCCGGGATCAGGAGACAGGTGGTGATGGTCTCTTTGTTTGGTGTTTCCTGTTTGGGCTAGGTGTTCCTGCTTTCTTTTTTCTTTTCGCTTCCGTCTCTATATCGTTTTCCGTTCTTGCACTTCTTCCTTCACTGAATACCCGCTCCTCTACCCGATGCCAATACTGGGAGAGAGCACTAACTGTGAAGCTTCCTTCTGGACTGCCTTAAGGACGGAGTCTGGTATGAATAGTCGGGATCAAAACATGACGTTTTCAAAGGCAAGGGTTGAATTGAGGGGGTGTCAGATGAAAAAAAAACATCATACCTACGGTGTTGAACTTTCCACTACTGCTGTATAATACATACGATCATCCCTTGACTACGGAATGGAAAATATTTAGAAAGCGTCTACTCGCAGTGCCATGTTGGCTGTTGCGACTGTATCAAAATGTAGTTGCAGGGAATTGCTATCGTAAGATCGATATTCCAATAGGTACTAGACTTGCAACTTTATCCTTCCTTCCCTCCTAAGGTTACATGTATGAGCTCCCCGTTTTAGCTTTGATTTCATGTGGCCCCTGGGGACATCACCGAGTTTTGCAAACGCCCTGGTCGGAAACATGGCTGAGAGATGGTTGTCCCTGCTTTCCCCGAAGGCTTGGAAATCATGCATGTATCGACTCCGAATGAGTCATGATCGCTAAGAAGGAATAATTAATACGGCCCAACGGACGAAAACCAACGGACGATCATGATCGCTAAGAAGTAATAACTAATCCAGCCCAACGGACGAAAACTAATGGACGAAAAGTAACGGACGAAAACATGTCCGTTGTTGCATCTTTGCTATTGATGAGGGGCTTGATTGGGTAAATACGTAGCATGACTTTCTGATTCCTTGGGTGGTTCCAATCATCGTTCTGGAATTTTCAGGGCTCGATCGAGGTCTTGGCTCGGGCCAACAATCTTGCCGATCGGTGCTTCCATCAACTATAACGGCGGAGCTAGGCTCTAAGCCCCTTTAATTCCGTTTGGGACCCCGGAAACGAAGAGAATTTTTCGTCCGGTGGTATCAGATATGATCAGTTCCAAGTCTGGGAAAAAGGGACCGCTCTTAAAATCCATGGTTGCCCCCACTTCTGGAAAACTTCTCTTCTAAGCACCCACATCCTCATTCCTGCGGCTCGTTCATACAGACAGTCATGGATAGCGAGGCTGCCTCCACGAAGGTGCCTAGTATGGCACCGTCGGAGAAGAACCTAAATGAGAAGGCTGTCTCAGTAGCATCATCCCGCCGCTCATCCACACAATCCCCGCCGCTGGAGAATATCAGAACCGCCGCTTCAAATGAAGGCCGCGGGGATGCCGCTCCAATCGAGCAGACCATCAGCCAACAGCGCCGGAATAACGAAGCTGGAAAGGATTATCCAACAGGTCTGAAGCTAGCAATCATCATCATCGGTCTGGAGCTGGCGGTGCTATGTGTCGCCCTCGACAACACAATCATCGCTACAGCCATCCCACGCATCTCAGACGACTTCCATGCTCTGAACGACGTGGGCTGGTACGGATCGGCCTACCTCCTCACTGTCTCGGCCTTCCAGCTCTTCTTCGGCCGCTTGTACACCATCTTCAACATCAAATGGATCTTCCTGATTGCTCTAGGCATTTTTGAACTCGGCTCCTTAATCTGCGGTGTCGCTCCAAGCTCCACGGTTCTCATCGTCGGCCGCGCCATCGCCGGCCTTGGCGCTTCGGGGCTTTTCTCAGGCGCCTTGATCATCCTCGCACATAACACCCCTCTCGAAAAACGCCCCCTCTACACCGGCCTCATCACCGCCGTGTACGGCATCGCTAGTGTGGTCGGCCCGCTTCTCGGCGGCGTGTTCACTGACCACGTCACCTGGCGCTGGTGCTTCTATATCAACCTGCCTCTCGGCGGCGTCACCGCCGTAGCGCTGCTTTTCTTCCTCAACTCGCCTCCTCAAGCACCCATTCAGTCCCGGACGTGGCGCGAGACTGTCGCCATCTTCGACCCGGTGGGAACCGTCCTGTTCCTACCCTGCATCATCTGTCTTCTTCTCGCGCTGCAATGGGGCGGCACGACATACCCATGGAGCGACGGGCGGATCATCGCGCTCTTCGTCGTCTTCGGCGTCCTCGTCCTTGCATTCATCGCAGTTCAGTTCTGGGCCGGCGACAACGCAACAGTCCCGCTCCGCATCGCGAAACAGCGCAGCATTGCCTTTGGCTGTTTGTTTGCCGTCTGCATTGGCGCTTCCTTCTTTATCATGGTGTACTACGTCCCGATCTGGTTCCAGGCGATCCGCGGCGCGTCGGCTATGCACTCCGGTATCGATACCCTGCCCATGCTGATTGCAGTCACACTCGCTAGCATCTTTGCTGGTGCGACTGTCTCGATTCTGGGGTACTACACCCCGTTCATGTATGGCTTCGTCGTGGTGGGATCCATCGGTGCGGGCCTGATCACGACGTGGACAACCGACACCTCGACTGGCAAGTGGATCGGATATCAGATTCTCTACGGTTGGGGAATAGGAATGGGTCTACAGCAGACGCTGGTCGCGGCACAAACAGTGCTGCCTTTATCGGATGTGCCAACGGGAACGGCGCTCGTTGTGTTCGCGCAGATGTTCGGCGGCGCGTTGTTCGTCAGCGTTGCGGAGAACACGTTCACGAATAACCTCGTCTCGGGACTCGAGGGGGTTCGGGGCATCGACCCCAAGGCGGTGATCAGTATGGGCGCCACCCAGATCGGATCCCTGATCAAGGACCCGGGTGTTTTGCATACGGTCCAGGTTGTTTATAATGACGCTCTCATGAAGGCGTTCCAGGTTGCGCTTATCATGGCCTGCTTGTGTCTGCTTGGTGCGGCTGGTATGGAGTGGAAGAGTGTCAAGGGTAAGAAGGCGGAGGTTGCACCACCGGCTTAGACGGGTCAGGTTTCTTTTCAAGAATGGAGTGGGCATCATATTCTTCGGTATAGAGTGGTTGGATATGTACGGTCTCGCTAATAGATCAACTCAACTCAGGAAGGAGCACGGAGTTTGTTTTCAAAGGTGTTTCGTCAAGTGGTGAAACATATACTATGTACTTAATAGCTTAATAGCTTAATATTCGATTTTGATCGTCAGTCACCTCTGGACCAGGGACTCCCAACTCTACACTGCGTAGAAATATGCTACAGATCTACCAACCAGCACTAGGATGCCATACGCAAGATTGAACAAAGCAGGAAGATTCTTATTTCACTGATAACTGTGAAGCCCACCAAACAACCAAGGCCGATCTCCACATCCCAAAATGCAACAGGAACGCCGAGCGGTAGGTAGTAGAGACAAGGAAAAGTACACGGGCCACAAGGGCCGTACGAGCGAGAAAAAAAAAGAAAACAGAAAGAAAAAAATAAGGAAGGTCAGGCGATAAAATGGGGTTGGAAAAGATATGGCTCACACCAGAAATGGCAGGCCAGGTAGAAAGGAAAGCGGAAAATGAATTCTACCGAGTCGGTGGCGGTAGACCCAGGAACACGACACAAAGGACAGAAAAGAAGAACGACGATACCGGACCCAGAAGAGAGGATGGCAAGTGAGAAGATTCATAGACCACCGCAGTCTCGCGCTAAAAACAACACATATCTTCATCTCAGAGGATTTTGGGAAATACCACAAAACAAGAAGACCTGAGACCACAGGTTTAGTGGTCGTACCCAGCTCCTCGTTGCCATGGGCTTGAGTTGTTTTGAGCTCTGTAGGTTGTCGTCAGCGCCGACGCGCCCACGGGGCCATCGTAACGAGGCGAGGGCGAAGCGGCCCGGTACTGGTCGTAGCCAGGAGGAGGACCGCGGGTGCTGGGGAAGAGTGGCACCGACGGGTCCACGGGCGACGCAGGAGGCTGGCGAGCGTCGTGGGGGTGAACGCTAGCGCCATTTCCACTGGAGATGGACGCATGGTCATCCTCAAACGGGTTGTTCTGGTATCCTCCCTTGGGCTCGTTGCGGGCAGTCGCACCTAAGGCATCCAACTCGGTGTTTAGTTGAGTTTGCGACTTGATGAAGGAGCCACGGTCATCCCGCATCGGCTGGTACCGGGTATCCGGGTTCTTCGAGAAGACGGCATAACCCGCAGAAATCAGAACAAGGATCAGGAGGACCAGAGCAAAGACTGCGTTGTAGACGAAGAAGATGACACCCATAACACCGGACACCATGCCGGGCGGGTTGAATACATCGGAGAAGACGAGAAGGAAGATCGCGTTGAGGAAATTGACCGCGGCAATCGAGATATTGAAGACGTTGGTCTTCTTATCCATCCATGGGCGGAGAACGGAGACACCGACTAGCATGCCTGCCTCAAGAATCACTAGAGCCACGGTCTGAACGACAGGGGCGGGCTGGCTCAGACCAATGAACATTCCCTTGATCAGAATGTAGAATAGAACTGGCACAACAAAGTAGTATGCCGTCGCACGGTACTGGACGTAGAGGAAGCCCCACTTGTTCAAGGAGGTAGGATCCGAGTATAGGATGTAGGCCGGGTTCTTGTGAAGCATCACCGAGCGCTTAGCCAACCGAATGACCTTCTGTGCCGCCCATCCAAGCACGATTAGCAAGGATAGGAACATCACCGCCGCCAAGACGACCTCAGCGGGCGAGTCCCGCTGAGTAAACTCCCACATGCAAAGAACAACCATTTGCGGGAAGCCAATCAGCGACAATCGGAATAGAATGCCACGAAGGACCACCTTCCAGCCATTCCGGAAGTCTTGGAACTTGTCACTCTGCATCTTACCATGCTTAACAAGCAATTCGCAGATCCACTTGAAGGAGGTGACGATGATTATGACAATGACGACGAAGACCACAAAGAAGATGAGACCAGTTAGGAAGACGTTGGTTTCCTCGATGTTAGCCTTGAATCCAACACGACCAATACCCCGGACAACGACGAGTCTTTGGGTGCCCGAGTTGTCCCTTCTCATCAGATAGGAGACCCCTCTCTTAGCGAACGACACCATAGTCTCCATCATCGGGTCAATCACGTCACGCTTGCGACGCTTCAGAACCTCGACCGAGGTGGTCGAAAGTTTCGACAGTAGAGTCGTGGGAGTTCCACCGGTGGATCGTTGATACCAGGTGCAGATCGTTTCGAGAAAGTCCACATGGATGATTCCCATACTCCACTGGAAGTTCTGGGTCCATGATTCCACAATCGGGGGCATATGAACGGAAGTCATGCCCATCATCGCCTGGCCCTGCATGAATCCGAAAAGGGAGAGCGCATTAGCCGCGACGTGGGCCGCCGTGTTGGAATGTCCTAGCCCAGAAGTGATGGCGGAGGCTGCTAAGCCTAGACCGGAGATAATGGCGGTAACCCAAGCAACTGATTCTTGGTAAACAGTTTTGCCGTTAGAAAGCGAAGCTTGCACACAGGCAATCTTTTCATTGGTTTCCTTGCTAAGAAGGACGACCTGCACGACCGCATCGAGATCGGGAACGGTGTAGGCAATACCTTACAAAGATCATTCGTCAGCATATTGGAATTTTGAGGAGCAAAGATGCATGACTTACTAGGAATGCCTTGAATTGTCGACTCCGGAATCGGGATATGAATGGGGGGAGGATTGATGGCACCTGCGGGCATCGGACACAACTGCACACCCTGGTCCTGGAAGGAGCAGGGATCGATGGTCTTCTGCACGATTGTGTAGCCATAGGCAGTGAGAGAAAGATCAGCCAGGATCTTACCCTTGACTGCCGACACGCCTTTGAAATCTACCTCCAAGGTTTTGTTTCCGGGATAGAACATCACGTGGAAGTAGGTTGCCGTAAAGTTGCTGCTCTCCATGCACACACTGAGCGCATCGGACTCGATGTAATCGACCGCTGACGCCAGCGGCGCCAGGAAGGCGACGAAGTAGGTGAGAAGCGATATTAACCGCATGATGGCGGATTGTGATTAGGGGTTGACTTGCGAGTCACTGGTGGGAGGGACGAGGAGGGAGGGGGGGGAGGGTGAGCGAAGAATATGACAGCCGGTGCCGGGTACTCCAGAGTACCACGTTGCGAACGGCCGGATGCGGAAGTCTCAGGATATGATGGGCTCTGCCAGTGCGGTGGGCCAGACCCGATGCGAACGATATCCGAACGGATCACACCACGAATCTGGAGTGTCTTTATTTCCCTTCCAAGTCGATGCTTATCGCGGGGGGTGATGGTCACTCTTTCACGGCGTCATCGAACGGCCGAGTCGAACAAAGATCGGAGTCGCGAGGTGGACAACGGACGCAGAGTATAGAACGAGAGTCGTCGGACGCTAGCGGTCCCAGGATGGGCGGGGGAGGTTACAGGCCTTTCTCGAAGCTGGTAGTGGAAGCGAGTGAATGGCGACGGACCGTCCGGGAAGGGATGGAAGGTCGCAAGAGCGGCAGATGACCAAGGGGGTGAGGGAGAATGGGCGAGCGTTGACACACGACGAGTATTCGCCAGGAGTGTCGATCAGGAGGAGCAAAGAAAGAGAGAAGGGCGAGCGAGGGGATAGACGGATGAAGCAGGGGCGTTGTTTAGATTTTGTTTGGGGGGCAAAAGTGAGGGAGCGAGAGCGAGTTGGATTGCGAAGATTGTCAGTCTCAGGCACAGGAATGTGTATTGCAGACCCGTATTTTTACCGAGGCGCCCCTCCCACCGCCAATCACCGTGGAGCAGCGCCGTATGGCATAGCGCCAGCCACAGACACCCTGGTCCTTTTTCTTCATTGTATCTTCTGGCTCGATCGGTAATTCCAGTATCTCACTGAATCATGATTATTCTGCTAAAAATGGCCCACTACGGCACTACGGTCTGGTATACGCGCGTCCTGGACTGGACCCCGGAAGCGGATGATGGAGCGTGGCGGGCTCGAGCGGGTCAGTGACGCCTTGAGATTTGCAGGCCGGGGATTATCTCAGCGGTACCAGAGGAACTGTGGTGGTGGGTCGGTACCATCAAGACCCGTTCGCGGTTGACATGGTCTCCACCCGGTATCTCTTCTGCCTGGTCTCCCGCACTGTTGGCATAACTAATTACCCTGAAGAGCGAGTCTTGAATCCTACAACTCGTCGCAAGAAAGCGGAGCTGTACAGATGCTGTCTGTGCGAGAGCAGTGGAGGATGAAGTCGCCTTCAAAGCAGATCGAGCCGACCGACAGTCAGTCCTATTAACTACAGAGGCTAGCCGTTAGCCTACCCGGGGACATGGAGTCTAGATCGTCGAATGGGTGAACGGATTGGAATATTCTTTGAGAACACCTCTGTGGATGTCACTAACTACATAAATCCACAAGATGTCTGACAAAAAATGAAGTTCACGGCCACCGGCAGTAGTGGTGGACCTGGTGGTACAGGGGAGTCGCCATCTAATTTACCGGGGACTTGCACAGCCTCCTTGGCGACTACGACGACGTGCGTGCGACTTCCTGCCGAGAAGTCCAGGCTGCGATGATACTCTACGCATTATTCAGGGGAACGCCATTGTCAGACGAAATGTCTCGGCCATTCAACCGGGCGTTCTAGAGACACGACGATACCTGCGTATAGAACATCGAATACACCACTAACTTACGAGGGGCGATGATCCGCGGCGGAGAGTGCGCGTCATGACGTCGGGCTCCGTGGTCGGACAGCAACACCGTATGGAGGGTCTTCACACCATGAAAATGATCCCTTTGTATCTTGGGTATAGCAGTCCCGAGGTGGTCGCATGATCGGAGCATGGATCAGGGGACTGACCTCAGCATCTGACCCATGGGTGCTCACGGGTTATTTTTGGCTCTGAAAATTCGGTGTCGCTGACTGTACCCCTAGCTCGGCCCGGATCAACTTGGGCCACCACTCCCCACCGAGCAGCATTAATAATAGTTCGATGCTCCTGTAACTAACTTTAACTAGAACATCTGTGGCTGAGCAAAACGGAATGCCTAACTTGGCATTATTGTCTTAGTGAGAACCGCCTTCTATTGGATAAGCGAGATTCAGATACTATGAGTGGAGAAGGTCCAATGGCCAAAGAATAATCTGTCTCAGTTAATGATTCTATCGTTCCAGCGGTTCCAGCGATATGCTGGTCACCAAAATTTCCACTGAAGGAGTGAGTTCATACATACAGTAGTCGGTAATTGCACTTTCTGGGTGGACATTGCCCCACATCATAGAGTAGTTCGTAGTATCGAGGGCATGAAGCTTTTCTCACTACGATCTCCCCCACTTGTGTTTCTTTCCCATGTTGAATATAGGATTTTCTTAACGAGGTCGAATAAACAAGTCAATAAGCTATCTAATTCATGTCCTCTGCAAGCTAATTGAATTGTATCGTAATATTGGTGACGGTAAACCTGCCACCTCGGGTAGCCATCGGCTCTGAGGTCACAGGGTGGGCCGCTCACTGAGCATATACGTCTAGAGCACAGTATAGCGAGTCGCCCTAAAGTAAGAACCGTTACATTGATTTAAGAACAAATTAGATATTAACGTTTGTCTCAGTAGGGCTTGTAACACCTGCTCTCTGTACCTGTCTCTCTAAGACCTAATTGCAGTGACCATTTGAAACGTCCGCGACCTCAGCTTCAATGACCATCTCATACTCCTGAGGGTCAGGCCAGAAGTTGACAATTTTAAAGCCAGCATCGGTTAACAGCCTCTCCCACGCACCTTGGGTCCGCTCGGAAGCTGACAGTAGCGACATCATGTTCACGTCCATTGTAGTTTGGCTAATGCTCGCTCCTGTTGGCGGAAGAACAATATCATAGACGAAGAGCTTGGAATATCCCTTTGCCATTGCATCTCTGGTATTTTCTAGCAGTTGCTTAGCTTTGTCGTCTGGCCAATCGTGAAGAACCGCGTGCATAAAGTAAGCACGGCTCCCTGCGGTGTTGGGTATTAGCAGGCAGACCCGATTTTCAAAACCAAGCTGTCACTTACCTTTCACAGGTTGCGGCAAGAAAAAGTCATGGGCCATAGCTGTGATCTTTTTATTGACCTGAGCATTGGCGATCACTTCTGGAAGGTCTTGCAAGACTAGCGATCCGGCAGGAATATCCGGATGCTTGGCATGCACATAGGAAATATCGATCCCGGTGTTTCCACCGACATCAACCACGAATGCAGAACCATTGTCCAACTTGGCACCATCCAGCAGTCTGTTTGTATCGTAGACCTTAGTCCACGGAGTCTTCCATGCTGTCCATGCCTCCATATGACCGGTGAAAGATTCGAAGTAAGCGGGGCTTTTCTGCAACCGTCCAAAGAAGTTGAGACCGTCCGGGTCACTGTCCGAGTGGTTGTTCACATTAACATCTGTAGGTTCCTTGTAGGAGATCTTGGCTAGGTATGCCGGCAGGTTATGACCAGCCGCAATGTATTGGTTTGTTCTGGTCAAAATGTCAATGTGGCAGATGGGCCTGATAGCTCGGAGTATACTTACGCAGCTTGAAGAGAGGCGCGAACCTTGGTACTCTCATCGCCGATAGCGTACGAGAACGGAGTCGGCTTGAATTTGTCTTCTGCTGTCTCCTCGACCACATTGAAAGCTGCCAGTAAGCGGAAGAGCCGACCTGTACACGCTTCGTGAGCCTTCACTAAACATGCTAGTGTGAGGATAAAGGCTTACGCAGCAGGTTTGTATCGATGTTGGGAGACGTCAACTTGACCAGCTCGTCGAGATTCTGCTCACCACCTCCAAGGCCAGTCCAGGATTTCCACAGGCCCAAGTCGATGCATGTCTGCAGTGCGGCAAAGACGACAGGATGTTCAAAGCAGAAGCCCCAAGCGCGCTCATAGGGGGATTCCACCCTGGCAAGCAGTCGACGTGCAGCGGCGCGTACTTGTAGCCGTTCGATTTCGTTGCCGCCAAACGCGTCGGGCTGAACAGCATCAAGAGCGGCAATAATTTCTTTAGTTTGAGCAGGCATATTGAAGTTCCAATCTTGAATTCTTAGGTTCAGAGGAAGAAAAATATCATATTCAACCACAAAGGCATGAGCTACGATATATATGCTAAGATTTGACCTTCCACTACAGGTTAATTCAAGGGTAGTGATGTTCAGAGGGGTTCCTTTAACTTAATGGCAAATCGTTTACATTATTAGGGTATCCAGGAGAAGCTAACGGTACTTTTGAAAGCCGAGCCCTCGCCAATACAAAACGCACAGCCCTCCATAAAACTTAAACCCCGCCAAGCGGCGCCGGTGTGTCAGCGCCATTAGAGCTGTCAATTTATAGCGTAAATTGGAGCTGTCAATTGCTTCCTCGGGGACATGTCTTTCCTAAAACGTTTGCCCCGGGAGCCTTAATGTGAAGAGTTCGTGTCTTAGCCGCGCTCCACGAGGTGGGATATACGTGCGTTAATATGTGAGTACTCGGGGCGGTAGCTTAACCAGAGCCCATTCTCACGAGCCATTGGGTTCACTGTCGACCTTAAGAGGTGGAGAGCTTCTCTACAGGCAGCCTTATCAACGAAGATTATTGTAGCAACTGCTATTCTCGGATTCCGGAAGTTTACCCCCGAGCGAAAAGTGAATTGTGCCTAGTTATCCCTATCCGGGAAACTGGGTCGTCCTTCGGCTATTCCAACGCAAGTCTAGACATCGAGGAACAAGGACCGAGTGGGGAGGAGTAAACATCCTGGCAGGCTACCTTGAGTTGAACGCCAACAGCATGAACTGCTGGTTTCTACTGATTCACAGATCTCTCAATTTCATTTGCCACCCATCACAACAAGACGGCCGACGATGTGTGCTCCTTTGGACTCAATGGGGAAGGTGACCGGTTAGTTGATGTATCAAATATTGCGAGCGACTTTAGCTGCAGAAATACCCCTTGGCCGTTAGAGCTAGGACCCGCAGGCGGAACTGTGCAATGTCAGTGGTTGAATTGTCTTATATTAGTCCGAGGACCCCCTCTAGACTCTGGTATTATCATCGCACGTTTCCTGTCAGAAGAGCTTCTGGTGGTGGGGCTGTGGCTTGAAATGCCCTTGTTAGATCCTTGTCGGCTCTACAGAGGACAATGCTCAAACCCCTAATTACTGTACTTTTGCTTCGGACAAGTGGAGGTAATAGTGTCATTTCACAGGGTTACTCTAGTTTCAGATAGTTCAAACAGGCATGTTGATCCTTGACACCTCTACCGGGAGTAATGCTAAACTCCAATTAATATACTTCGCCTCGGACAAGGGGGGGTTGTTTGATTTCCTAGGGTTTGCTCGAGTCTATAGTAGTTCAAGCAGACTAGACGACCATGGCAGGGAGGTAATTCAACTATTGTGTACTCCTGAATCTGTTGCGGGCCCGTTATGACCCCTAGCCGACTCTCTGGGGAGCTGTACGCAGACTACAGCCAACGTTACCTTAAAAGGATATGCACTGGCTGACAGGCACGAGGCACCGACAGGCACGAGGTGCTCGTGTCTCTGGCACATCATTACCATAACCGGCGGTGACAGCTTTCGGGGAAGTAAGCCGACGGGGCTAGACTTGATATCCCAGGATTGACGAAGGGGTTGCTTGAGTCCTTCGCAGCCTGGCTCTAACTGACATGTCAAATTAGAACGGTATAGTGTACTTTTGCTTTGGATCGGCGGCAGGAGCTGATATTGTTCAATGTACAGGACATGAGATCTTCTATAATAATACATCCAAGGCGGCATCTTCTCGTCTTGGTGAGCCCTCTTTTCCTCCACCACGGAAAACTCTTTCTTTCTAACCGTGAAATTATTGCCATTGCTTCCAACATGAGCGCATACGGCGGCTTAGGGCCCATGACCAATGCAGTCCTTTGGGTGGAGGTCGTTATCGTTATTGTCTTCGTGGCGCTACGGCTCTATACGCGAAAACAGATTCTTAACTCTGTTGGCGCTGATGATTATCTGGTTCTTATTGCCCTTGTGAGATCAACAACCGCAACTCCATATTGCATTTGGAAAGACTAATGTGCTGAAGGTTCTCCATATCACTTACACTGTCTTCGTCACCGTGTCGAGTGTTTATGGCCTAGGAAGACTCTACGCACAAGTCGGTGATCCAGCCACCTACTTCACAGCTGTCAAATATGAAGTGTTTAGCCAAGTGGCTGGTCTAATGGTGATCGGTGTCGGCAAATGTGCCGTCGGCGTCTTCCTCCTTCGAATTGTGCGAAATAAGATCCAGATTTGGTTCATTTGGAGTTTCCTTGCGGCCACCATTGTCATCACATTGTTCGCCAGCATTACTGTTGTAATACAGTGCTTGCCAGTGCAGAAGACTTGGAATCCAACTGTCAAAGGAACATGCTGGCTCGACTTTTCGAAGGTTGGTTTCACTGTGGGATGTGAGTGCCGCTACGCTGCCGCGGATTGGGTCCATAAAAGCTAAGCCTGTCATCTTCTAGCGTGGTTTGTCGCCGCCGACTTTGCTTTTGCGATTCTCCCATGGTTCGTTATCTGGGATCTCAACATGAAGCGCAAAGAGAAGATCACCGTTGCCTGTGGTCTTAGTCTTGGGGTCTTGTAAGACTAAATACACCCACCCCCACTCACTTGGGCAGACATCTGACGGGAATACTCTAGCGCTGGAATATGTGGCATCGTCCGCACCGTCGCTCTGGGAGGCTTGAATGCATCTGAGTATATCTGTATGTTCCCTCGACCCTTACCAACAGTGGTGGAGCTAACCCAACTCAAGATGATACAGTGCCAATGCTCATCTGGTCCGCTACGGAAAGCTGTGTCACGATCATGTGCTCATCAATTCCCGTTCTGCGTCCTCTCTACCTTCGCCTCAGGTACGGCAAGGATAGCCAGAACGGCTCCTCTGGTAACACATCCTACAAATTGCCCCTTTATGGCAGTGGTCGAAAATACGGCAGACTTTCGAAATATGGCAATGACATCTCAGCCATCGAACCGAAGATATCTTACCAGAAACCACCTATGCAGCATAAAACAAACAATGCTAGTGATGAGACTATTGTTCGGGGGGCTGCAGGCATCGAGAGGACGGATGAGGTTATGGTCAGCTGGGAGCGACCTGGGAGGAATGGCTAGAGAGTGTCAGGTCCGTTGATTGATGTTCTTTTGCCAAATTGTCTTTTAGCATATATAGCTTGGGTCACGGGGCCGTTTTTCATTCCTATCGTAAAGTGAAAGGAGTCATGCAGATGAGGGGCCTGCATATATTGCTGCAATATATATATCGTGGCGACCTATGATCAGCATGTTTAAGTCCGCCGAGTATAAACCATTCCGTTCATACAAACACTTAAAGTGATAATTTTCAAGTAGAGCCTTTTAATTTTAACACCGGTGCTTTGTACTTCTTCATTCAACGTTCCGTAAGATAGGGTGGATAAGCCAGATGAATACTTGTGTTGGAAACGATTTAATGCACAATAGGGTGCTCTTCAATGTAATAAGTTGTTTTAAAGGATCAAAAATCACCAAACCTTCGTGTTAATTGTGAAAATAATCTGATATTTACCCGAATTTGATCCACTGTAAAAATCCCATATTTGACACCCCTAAAGCCAGGCATGAAATATAATCTTCCTATCAGCACGTGATGTGGAGTTTTGCCAGCGAAAAAAAAAAGTTGTTCCGCCTGGACTTTCGATTCGCGATCGACTTGAGCGAGGCAATTTCCTCCACACACCCGACTTTTTGCATTATCACCTGGTTCATTTGACCATATTACTCCATTGCCGGACTAAATCCCACAATGGCCGGCCCTGTCGACGCAAAGTCGATCTCCAAGAAGCGGAAGAGAAAGCACGCCGCAAAACCTGCGACAGATGATGCCCCGAAGCCGGCGACCGAGACCGATGCAAGCTCACCCGCGACCGTGAAGAAAACTACTGCGCCTGTCACAAAGGCTGCGGTTGACAAGTCGGCCAAAAAGCGCAAAGTGAGCCAATCGCCTAGCGACGACGAAAGCGATGATGACGAGCACGCCGAGGAGCAGGCAGAGGCCAGCGACGAGGAGGAGGAAGTCTCAGCGAATGGAAATGGCGCTGCTTCGGATCTTCCTGCCATGAATGACGTTACCCTTCCTCAGACGGGCGCCGAGCTGCAGAAATTCACGGAGCTGAATCTTTCGGAGAAGACCATGCAGGCGATCAACGATATGGGATTCGAGACAATGACCGAGATCCAGCAGCGTACTATTCCTCCACTGCTGGCAGGACGGGATGTTCTTGGTGCGGCCAAGACGGGTTCTGGAAAGACTCTGTCGTTCTTGATTCCTGCCGTGGAAATGCTGAGCGCACTGCGATTCAAGCCTCGGAATGGTACTGGTGTCATTGTGGTCTCTCCTACCCGTGAACTGGCGCTCCAGATTTTTGGAGTTGCCCGAGAACTTATGGCGCACCACTCGCAAACGTATGGAATTGTCATCGGAGGTGCCAACCGACGGGCTGAGGCAGACAAGTTGGTCAAGGGTGTCAACCTTATCATTGCCACTCCCGGCCGTCTTCTTGATCATCTGCAAAACACACAGGGATTCGTGTTCAAGAACCTCAAGACCCTGGTCATCGATGAGGCGGATCGGATTCTGGAGGTCGGATTCGAGGATGAGATGCGACAGATCGTGAAGATTCTACCGTCGGAGGAACGCCAGACCATGTTGTTCTCTGCCACTCAGACCACCAAGGTCGAGGATCTGGCGCGGATATCCCTGCGACCCGGTCCGTTGTACATCAACGTCGACCACCGCAAGGAACACAGCACCGTGGAAGGCTTGGAGCAAGGCTACGTGGTCTGCGAGGCCGACAAGCGCTTTTTGCTCCTGTTTTCGTTCCTCAAGCGTAACCTGAAGAAGAAGATCATTGTCTTCTTCTCGAGCTGCAACTGTGTCAAGTACCACGCCGAGCTCCTGAACTACATTGACCTGCCCGTTCTGGAGTTGCACGGGAAACAGAAGCAGCAAAAGCGCACCAACACCTTTTTCGAATTTTGCAACGCCAAGCAAGGCACTCTGATTTGTACCGACGTCGCCGCTCGTGGCTTGGATGTTCGTTTCCCGCGTCCCCCCCCTTTCTTCTTCTGAACGCTTGCTCATTTCTTGATGATAGATCCCCGCCGTCGACTGGATCATCCAGTTCGATCCCCCCGATGATCCCCGTGACTACATCCACCGAGTCGGACGAACCGCCCGCGGTGCCGACGGCAAGGGCCGCAGCCTGATGTTCCTGCAGCCGTCCGAGGTTGGGTTCCTGAAGCACCTGAAGGAAGCCCGCGTGCCCGTCGTCGAGTTTGAGTTCCCCGCGTCGAAGATTGTCAACGTGCAGTCTCAACTGGAGAAGCTGATCGGCCAGAACTACTATCTTAACAAGGTACGTTTGGATTTGTCTTGGCTTTTTACAATACTAATTACTCCGTTTAGTCGGCCAAGGAGGGATACCGGTCGTACCTCCAGGCGTACGCCTCCCACTCGCTGCGGTCGGTGTTCGATGTGCACAAGCTGGACTTGGTGAAGGTGGCCAAGGGCTTTGGGTTCTCTACGCCGCCGCGGATCGACATCCAGCTGGGTGCTAGCCTGAGCCGGGACAAGAAGCAGCAGCAGCAGGGCCGGCGCACGTACGGCAGCCAGCCGAACCACAAGGGGCTGAAGTTCAAGCGGAAGTATGATGATTGAGTCACCAAAAGCATTTTCTTTGCGGCGTTTCATGGATATTTGAGTATAATGGAAGTCTGTACAACCTATCCGACATTCCTGCACACATACATACTTCGTAGAATAAAGCCATGTGGGCACGAGGATATCTCCCACGTGACACGCGCCAGCCCCAAAATCATCACTGTGATGAGTTGGCAGGCGCTGGGGCCAATTGATGGACGGTCGCCCGGGCGACCGCGACGAACCGGTTCTTGGTTGGTGCGGGTCGGACGGGGGCATGCGGTGTGACGGGCTGTGTCAGTGTCGGGATTCAGTTGTAGTGGGAGCGGATAGTCAGAAAGCCCTGTGTAGTAGACCGACTCCGGCCAGCGAACCACGGAACCGCAGCAGATCCCGTTTGTTTACCATCACAAGTACTGTTCAGGTACTCTTTGTATGGTGGGCCCCGCCCCCAGGAACCTGCCCGCTACCTCGGGTGCCAGCGCATCCAGCCATCTTCTTTTCCCTGCCTGGAGGCTGGGCAGTTGGACCCTCAAGCTTTCATGCATTCATCCATCCCTCCTTCTTTCTCTCCGTCTCTATCCCTCGCGTCTCTGTTCTTTCTTTCTTCCCTCCTTCCCTCCCCCAGCCCCGGCCCAATCGTCTGGTCTCATTGAATGTGAGGGATCGGCGCACCTGCTCGTTCGTCCCCCCCAGACCGACGTTGCTTTTTCCTCTCGCCTCTCCCCTATCTGTCATTTTCATCTCTTCTCTACACCATTCAGGTGCTTGCGCTGGTACGCCTCAACTCCCGTTAAATCTCAATACCCCCGGGGATCCTCTCAACCCGTCTTCTCCCTCCCTCTCCCCCCCTCCACACACCGCACCTCGTGTCGACCAGCCCGGGACCAACCCTCCTGCATCCCCCCTCTATCGGCTGCAACAGAGCATGCGATTGTGGGCCTGAAGACGCCGTCTCCATCATGGGGGTCGACACCCGCAAACCGATCCTACCTGCTCCCACGGAGTCTATTATCGATACCGGCGACAGCGCTGAGGGTACAGACTTAGCAACTGACCTTTCTCGCCGCACAGACAAGACGTCGTACTCTATCCCAGACGACGGCAGCCCGGTTACGGTCTCCACTCGTCGCCATCGGGACCGCGACGACTCCAAGCTGTCTCACTCGCACCGGGACTCGCAGACCTCTCTGCTGATCGAGTACTTCGAGGGCGGCAAAGGATCAGGCGCTGTGGTCTCCCGTCCCAGTGTGCGAGTTCGGGTCACACCCTCATCCGCTAGGAAGTCCAAGGACCGCCGAGAGCACATCCAGATAACGGAGTCCGGCTCCAGTCGAAAACCGTCATACACCCGGCGTATCTCGCTGACGCCATCGTCCAAGCAGAAGAAGCTGTACGAGGCGGATGACCAGAGCGTCAGCTCCTCCAATTCTGCCGTGGAAGAGGGCGACCAGTCCTCCCCTCGGCGTCCGCCAGTCGAGATCGAATTTGTCAACAACAGAGACCAGGGAAGCGAGCTTTCCACTGTCTCGCGTGACACCAGATACATGCCTGTCACCTCGGACGTCTCGACCATGCCCCCAGACAGCATGCTGGAAGGCGCCTCGTCGGCCGGTCCGCGACGGAAACGCAGCCAGAGCCTCGAGCGAGGTTCGCCCCGCGAAGACAAGGGATTGCTCAAGACGCCATCTCGACAAAGAAGCCGCAGCCTGAGCACAGAGCGGATTGCGCACCTAGCAGCGGAAAAGCTCAGCGGATCGCCTCAAGAAGCCTCCAGCGGCAAGCACCGAACCAAGAGCGGCAACAAGGATTACTTGGAAGCTGAACCAAAGCTATCCCGTCGACGACGCCATGCACACAAGGATGAAGACATCGTCCCCAGTGCCGAGTCGAGTCTTTTGAGCACATCTGCGGTCTCCTCAAACCGCAGATCCGACCAGTACTCGATTCGATCCGGTGCCTCCAAGTCCTCCATCAACAACCCGAAGCTACTCGAAACGGTCGAGGATGCCATCCGAAGATTGATTCTGCCCGAGCTCAAAGAGCTCAAGAAAGATCAGAAGGTCATGTCGAACAAGTCCAGGTTTGACCGCGAAATGACAACATCCTATTCGTCTACCAGTTCCAGAGATGAGTTGGGCCGACGCCTCTCGAAACATGCGAGCGCACCGGATGTCATGAAACCGAAGGTTGTCTTGAACAGGAACAGCAAAGATGAAGGCATCATCCTTGCGGGCGACTCTATCCGAAGCAAGGAGCGCAAATTGAGCAGAGGCAGCGAGATGTCTGATCCCGCATACCTGAAGGTGGCCAATCGACCTGAGCTCACTGAGAGTGACAAAATTCGACGACAGCGGAGCAAAGGTCTTCGCGATGCTCATGCTGCTGGGCTCGTGGCTACGGCTCTGACGGCAGCTGCACTGAACCATCACGACTCCAAATCCAGTCTTGATAAGAAGGAACGCCGGAGGAAGAAGAGCGGCTCTCGGAAGAGCAGTGGAAGCTTCGACGAGACCGAGCTGGTCTTCCAGAAACACAAAGTGCCTCCCATGCCCATGCGCAGCGAAATCGATTCGGAATTGACCCGCGACTCTCTCCTCTCCCAGCGTACAGAAAGTCCCACTCCTCGTAAGAAGAAGTCACAGGTGGAGGAGGTCCTTCGAGGTTCGCCAAGACAGCTTTCAATGTCTCCGAAATCCCGCACTCCGACCCGAGCACCTCTTAATACTCTGGGTATGCGTCACAACAACCAGTCGTCTCACAACATCTCGACTCACAGTGGCTCAGACCGTGACTTGCGTGCGAAGAGCGGGTCCCCTGGCATTGATGGTGGTGATTGGGCCATTGCTGCAGCCGCAGCAGCCAATCTCCTCGATGTTGCCCAGCCGGGACATCACACGCCAGAGGGCAAATATTTTGACGAGGGGCCTGGTCGAGGTTTGAGCCCAATCCAGAGCGTTGCTAGCGACCACACCGAGACACATGTTACGCATTATCAAGCCCAGCATGAGAAGCAGGCTGGTTATGAAGGCCGGCGAGATATTGAGCCCCGGCTTTCCATCGGCTCCCTTTCCTCGGCACCCAGCACCAACCTCGCTAAAGATGGCCAGGCGGGCCCTGCCTTCCCTTTTGAACGGTCACTTCGAGCCTCGGAAGAGGGCATGTACGGCCCTGACGACGACGCCAGAAACTCCATGCTCACTGACGCCGACAGCGACGTTCACTACCTTGACAAGATCAAAGAGGGCCAACATGTCGCCGACGGTGCTGCAGCCAACCCTGAGTTTGTCCATCCGGTGGGAATCGAATCAGCCGTTGCCTCCTTGATGGAACCTTCTGTCCTGGAATCGCCATCGACCCAATCTGGTAATCGGTCGCAGAGCGACCTGGTGGAACGAGGAGTCAGTCGCAGTCCGGAGAAGCCAGCTAGCGAGGGGTACCGTAGCAGTCCCCTGAAACAACGCCAGGATGCTTCCAGTCCCGATGATACTTCCTTCCCACGACGTATCGGAGCCACCTCGCCCCCGCAGAGTGTTACCCAGTCTATCGAAGAACTTGATGAGGCTGCTCTCCTTGGTGCTGGTGCAGCTCTTGCAGCCCGTGGAACGGAGAGTCCGGTGGGAGATGGAGCTCGCAGCCTAGACTCCGAGTCTGAAATAAACACGAACCCCTCAATCATCCAGGGTCCCATTGGCGACGTCACCCAGCGAAGCAGAGACCATTGGGCGTACGATTCTCGCTCCCCCGATCGAGTTCCCTACTATGAATCTGCTGCAGCCCAGGCCACTGGGCTTAAGAACCTGAGCTCCGAACAGCAGCGAGGACTCGATGCGGAATACTATCAGACCGCCAAAGACATTTTTGGTGACGATGGTGTGTATGGGCCAGACGACCATGCTGCGGCTCGACAGTTGTTTGGTACGCCACCGGGAGTCAAGGATGAGGGCTATGTTTCGGCTGCCAATCCCATGTCTCCAAGCATCGGCACTCCCAAGCAAGGCACTCGAGGCGTTGGCGGCCTGGATGCTGCGGGTATGGATGCATTTGGCAGCCCTGCTTCGGCAGATGATGCTTTTGTGCCCGGTCACCAGAGACACCTGAGTGGTTTCTCCCATGGTGTTGACTTGCCTCTTTATGATAGCGCAACCGGCAGAGGCATCGAGAGGATCCAGTCCCAGGACATCGTTGCTCTTATGGATCATGTAAGTTGACTTCCTCCGTTTCATTATTCTGAAATTGCTGACACACTCTTCCAGCTCACCGTTCGTGACGCGCAGCGTAATGCAAGAGATACCGAAATCCTTGTCACTCTGGTCCGAAGTGCAGCGGAAATGCGCACTTCGTTTGAGCAGATGAAGAAGTTCATTGCTCAGCAAGACGATCTTATCATGGAATCCAGCGACAAGCAACACGAACGCACTCAAAAGGCACTCGGTGGACCTCGGCCTTTGCCTCCCAGTGGGTCCAGGTCCCGTGGGCTGAACATGGAAGATGGCGAAGATATGCAGTCGAAGCGCAAGAGTGTCTTCAAGCGTGCGCTCAAAGGACTGAGTCTCAAGTCAGGCAATGACTTGACCAAGATTGAGGGCATGCTCGAACAACTACTGGAGGAGGTCGAGATGCTGCGGGCAGAGCAAGGCCTGGGCCCTCGCAATGGTGCTGCTGGCTTGGCAGGTCTTGACCGGGACGACTATGAGCCAACCGGTCCTGGCGCGACAACTCCGACAAAAAGCCCTGCTGATTATTTGTCCAATACCCCTCGACCAACCAATGGACAGCGCAGAGATTCGGATCGGGTTAGTCCTGTTCATCAGGAGGACGACGAGGACGTTGAGCTCGATGATGACGACGTCTATATGACTGAACATCTTCCTGTACAAGAACCAATTCGTCATGAGAGAGCTGGATCTTTGCCACTGCCGCTTTCCACGCCTCCTCGGAAGCCAGTGCCTTCGGGTGTTCGAAGCACCGAGACAACTCCCCAAACAGCCGATAAGTCACGGAAGCACAAGTCGAACAGCTCGTCGATCTTCCCCAAGATCTCTCGCTGGTCCAAGACCACTGCTTCAACCTTCAGCGACAACTTCCGGAGCAGCATGCAGCCAGGCCGAAAGGAACGTCCTTACTCGGAGGTGTCTCGCTCTGGGTCTGATCTCGCGGACGATGTCTATAAGGCTGACCATTACGATCCTCGCGGCGACGACCGCATCCGGTCCACGTATACATTGGACGACCACCTGCAGCAGGAGAACCGTCCGCCTTCGCCGTTGGTGCCATCACAGGTCTCTGAGGCTCCCAAGTATCGAGCACACCGAGGAAGCCTTGATCTCAAGCATCCTCAACCGCGACAGGGCCCCACCGGCCGATTCCAGACGCACCTGGAGTCCCAGGCTCAAACGTACGGGTCTCCTGTGTCCCCGACCTCCGAGCAGTGGGGAGGCTCAAATCCCATCCTGGCCGCAGTCCAACCAAACCAGAACCGCTACAGCGGCGTCAGCGGCGGCAGTCGACTGTCTCCCATTTCGGACACGGGCTTTTCCGAGACGAGTTCTCGCGCCACAGGACCGCCCCGACCCCCAAAGGTCAAGGATGAAGGACCTCTCATCCCTGAACGACCTCCCAAGGTCCAGAAGGATGAGACCGGTGCTTATGGAGGAGACCGTATAACTTCACGGGTATGTATTCCTTGTCATGCCACTTCATCCATCCAGATTTACGGTATTCAAGACTAATATCAATCCCATCAGAGTTCCGCAATGCGCCCCGTCTCCCAGCAAGCGACACCCCCAACCCGCAAACCAACGGGTCCTCGTCCCCTGAACTCCAGCGGCACGTACAGCCCAAGCAATATCAAGCGCACGCGCTACCGAGGTAGTCCGACGCAGATCGACTATGAGGACGACTATTGAAAACACACCGCGTTATGATCGATAATACCCTGGAGTGTTTTTTCCTCTCTCTTTCTTTCTATCTGCCTATCTAGCGATTTTTTGTTTCTTATGACAGTGATGACCGTACATCTTCGTGTTTTAGCCGTTGCCTTCCCGTCCGCCCCTTTTTCTGAGTGCAAAAACTTTTTTGAGTTACATTTCTTTTCTGTTAATAGGCATGGGGACGAGCGGGTGATCTATGTTATGTATCTTGTCTGGTGTCTATCTTTCTTCGTCGTTGACATATTTGAGAAGTCTCTTGATGTTACATCTTCAGTACAGACTTTGTTTTGTAGATAGGACCATAGAAGTTGTTGATAATTAGTGGGTTCCTGACGCAAGGCATTTCGTCCTGATCTACGTAGCACCAATTCCTCCTACCTGGTCAATGCATCTAAAGCGTGTCCTTAAAAGAGTGTATCCACAGTTCTCATAATGAGTAAAGTATAGCTCTTCAACACCAGTGCCTAGTCTATGAAGTAACACCCTCATCCATCCATGATCCACAGAACTACAAAACTCCACACGTCAAGTCGAGAAAGAAACTCCCAATCCAAACTCCACAATAACACCCCGAATAACCATACCATCCCGCCCCACCAAGAAACCACCTAACACTACATATCAGAAAACGGCCGCACAGAAGTAACCCCCCTCCCTCGAACAGAACACGGCGCAGCAAAACCCCCTGTCTCACTAACAGGAAACTTGCCCGGATAGCTATCCACCGAACGATACTTAGACGAGCGCTTCACCTGCAGCATCGACGAGTCGTCACTCGTACTAACCCACGACGACATCGACGGACGGCTGGGGTCACTGTGGAACGTGCGCAGTGAAGAGCCGGGGGACTCGCGCGCCGCTGGTGTTTCCGGATCGTGGTCTGAGAAGAGATGGAAGACGGGTCCGCACTCGCAGTCGCCGCTTTCGGCCTGTTGCAGGATTGAAGCCATGCTTGGGGGTGGCGGGAGAGGAACCGGCCAATGCATACCCGCTTCTTTCTGCTGGTGAGTTGGCGGGGTGACCACGACAGAAGGTCTGGACAGGTGAGGCGAAGAGATATACTTCCGGACAGTGGCGTAGAAAGAACCATTCTTTGGTTGTTCTCCGTCTCCGCTCCGTGAGGGAGGGGGAGGAACAGTAGTACTGGGATCGAGGCGGAAAGTGTGATTGTTCTCTGTTGAAACGGAACGCTCAGCCGCTGACTCGGGATAGCACTGCTGCATACAAGTACCGCTGTGCGAGACGCTGGACGGGGCACTGGATGAGGGGTGCAGGAACATGGTATTATTGCTGGAAAAGCGGCCTCCATTGCTGACTGGGATTACTGGACCGGGGTAATCCTCATGCAGTTGGCCTGTGGCAACGAGGACGGCGCGGCAGGCTGACGCTGGGACGATTTCTAGACAGAGTTTAATAATCTTGTTCTCTGTGTGGACGATGGATTGTTTGAGCGGTTGTCCTGACTGTGTATAGTCGCCGGTTCGCTGGGCGAAGTATGAGAGGCCGCGCAGGAGATGGAGGTATAGCAGGGCGCCGATGAGGGAGATGGATTCGGAGAGAGTGACGGTGACCGAGCCGGGAAGGGAATGGAAGAGTCGGCCTGCCATTTCGAAGTGTGGGTGAGAGAGAAACAGAGAAACAGTCGTTGTCGAGTGGAAGTAGATCGACCGGCACTAAACGGCCCAAACGAGGAAGGCGCGAACTCCACTTGATTGACTTTACCTCAACTTCATCCTGACTTCCTCAACGCAGTACTACTACGTGTCGACCACAGCCCTCCGTCTGTCTATATACTTGCCTCGTTATTTATTCATGCGGCCATCTCTTTCACCCCTACGGTCCATTCCCTCGTCTATCATGGCCTCGGCAGCGAAATGCTCCCATCTCCGCCCGCGGAGGTTCGCGCCACTCGATCCCGCTCGGGCATCCGATGCGCCGCCGCTGAAGGGGATTGTGTTTGATGTGGATGGTACTTTATGGTAAGTCTTTCTCTCTGAGGATTGTTTTGTATCATCACGCTCGGAACCAGATGCTGGGTTCACCATCGGTGGTCCATTAGCCGCCACCTCTTACTTTGGTAGTGGTTAATCCGCTATATCTATATTTCTCTACATAGTGATCTATAAGAACCCTGGACTGACATTAATGAAAGCCTTCCCCAGAATCATATGTTCGCTGAAATGAGGTAAGTCTATACAATTCCTCCGCTGCCATAACGTGGGTCTGAATGATTGCCAAATGAACACACACAGGAAGTATCGTACTAACCACCTTCTAGATCCGCCTTGGGCATCGACCGCTCAATCGACATCCTCCAACACATCCGCGACATCCCAACAACAGAAGAGCGCGCCGCAGCCGTCTCAAAAATCCAAGCCGTCGAGCGGCGCGCCATGCTAGATCAGCAGCCTCAGCCCGGTCTTGTGCGGCTAATGGAATATCTCCAGTCGCGTGGACTGAAGCGGGCGCTGTGCACCCGAAATTTCGAGTATGCATTCACTCAAGATATGAGACTGTCGGCAAATATCAATTGACATCTACCTCAGAGCACCTGTGATGCATTTAATCCAAAGCCACCTCCCGAGTCATACCTTCGTCCCGATCATCACTCGCGACACGCCTGACATCATCCCCAAGCCTGATCCCGCGGGTATTCTGCACATCGCGCAGGGATGGGGTCTTTCGAATCGAGCGGAGAATTTGATTATGGTGAGTATCAGTTTCTATCGCTTCCTCCCAATTCCAGACAGGATAGACGCAGCTGACTGACTGCTTCCTGGTATGTAGGTTGGAGACAGCATCGATGATATGACGGCCGGTCACACTGCTGGCGCGGCAACGGTGTTGCTGTTAAATGACCATAACGTGCACCTGCAAGAGCATGCGCATACGGATCTCTGTATCAGTCGACTGGATGACTTGGTTGATATCCTTGAACGGGGATTTGTGGGTGTGAAGGGAGGGATGGCCATGGAGGGCAACAAATCCGATGTTGCTGAGATTGGATCGGGTATATAGAACTGAACGAAACTGCATATCGCTACATTTCTTGGACGATTGGCATTGACCATGGGTGTATTTTTGCTTCAACACTGATCAGTGGTGTATTGCAAGTCTTGTTCTTTTGGGGGTCATGGAATCATGGAAGAGGTATTGTACAGTAGCGTTGACACACGCAAGCTAGAGCCCCAATGATAATCTACCATTGGTAATTCAAAAGGTCCGGTCTTGTCAATGAACCAACGTGAAGGGAATTTATCAGCACCATCATTTCCCTCTGCGTCCTCTGCCACCACCACCTCCGCCGCCCCGTGGAGGCCCGCGACCACGACCTCCTCCCCTGGATGGTGGGGGACCACCACCGCCACCGAAGTTGCGGTTATTGAAACCAACGCTTCCAATACGAATATTCCCGCGGCCTCTCCCGCGCGGCCCAGCAGGCGGCGGTCGTCGATCTGAGCGGAACATATTGTCGTCGTCGCTGTCTGGAGACGGAGATCGTGGGCCGCCACGGCCGCCGCGTCCACGGGGTCCCATCCCGCGTGGCCCTCTGCCGACAGGACCACCGCGTTGGAGGACAGGGCGGGAGTTAAGATTATTGATTGATTTGGGATCGGTACCCGTGAGGGTAAATGAGGATGTTGTAATTGGTCGGGAGAGAGATGGGCAATCGCCAATGAGGTGTTTCGAGCTGGCGCAGTAGGCGCAGGAGAGGGAGACCGAGACGGCGTTGGAGGAGAGGTCGAGGGAGGGATACTTCCATAGGTAGTCGCACTGCAGTTCCAGGTGGGCAGACGAGCCGCACAGATCACAGGGAACTTCTGCGGCCGAGCTTTTCAGGGCCGACGAGCACTGATTTTCGTCGTGACCGCGTTCTCGACACCGTTGGCATCTGCGCCATGTGGGACATGATGTGCTTTGGTGCTGGTTCCAGAGACCACAATGGACACACTTGTCACTGGTCAGTCAATCGTCCTAGCGCATATGGGGACAGGGAAATTCCTACCTCTTTGGTTGGACACACCTCGGCCAGATGGCCCTCTCGCAGACACTCGATACAGGTGATTGGCAGGTTCAGATCGATATCGTGAATGTCCCGATCGAAAAACAGATACTTGGCGTGAAGCTCCAGGTCCGCCTTGTCCAAGTCCATCAGAGTAGTTGGCACAGTAGGATACTTGCGCGAAAGGTGCTGGAATGCTTCTTCCTTTGACCGAGGTGTTGTGTGCGTAGATTCGATACCCAGCGCCGGCGCAGAAGGCTTCCCATTGGGATGTCCTCGATCAAGGACTAGAGGATGAGTGTAATCCGTGGGCCCGTCTGTGGAGTCTAGTGGCTCGGTGTTCAGCATGATGGAATCATCAGCTTCCGGGTCCGAGGACACCGAGTCCGCGGAATCGCTATCAGGATCGACCTCGCCGTCTTCCAATTCGCCGTTTTCCTGGGGTTGGTCTTTCATCTCTGTATCATTCCCTGCTGACGAAACAGACGCACTGCGAGTGCCCCAGTATGCGCCATTCACTGTATTGAATTGATCCGCCGATGCACTCTTGTCATTGTCCGGCTGAGCCGTCCGCTTGCCCAAGGTTGTCCGCACCGCAGTTTTCCTCCCCTGGTTCCAGCTAATAGCCGGAGCCGTATTTCCAGCATGGGGGTTTGCAGGTGCTTGGGTGTCCGAGTCTTCATCGTCGTTGTCATCGTCATCGCTCGACTCTGAGCTAGATCCGGAGCTGGAGGTGCTGTCGGGATCGACTGCCAGGGAATTGGCACTGAAGGCTGCACCCCGAGGAACAAAGTCGACTACCTCGCGGTCGCCCTCACGGCCATTTCTGCGCCGCTTCTTGGCGGGACGGAGGCTGTCATGCGATCCGTGGCGCGATGAGACCGCAGACTGGGGGTTTGAGCGGACACGCTGCGCGCCTACCGCGGCTGTTCGCGAGTCAGCGTCTTCGTCGGACAGGTCGGGCATCGGCGGTGGTGCTGGTGGAACGTAATGGGAGGAGAAAGAGATGAAGCGCCGAGATTCCTCAACCACCGATAAATTTTACGGGGCGGCACGCAGGCCATAACGGCAGAAGTGCTGGAAATACTACCCAGGGTCGCAATTCTGGTAAATAAATAAATATCGAAATCCAAAACAGTAATTAAGAACCTGGGAGCCTACTTAGATAATTATATCGAATCAAAATATCATTATAACCCTATCCATACTGGGGAATCAAACGCCGTCCGCTTCCTAGAGCACGTGCTTTGAGGCCTCAATCATCCTCATTCTTCATCTTCTTCTTTTCTCCTGCATCGTGTCCAGAAGATAAAGAATCTTCTTCCTCCCAACCCAGTTCTAGTCATATCTTATTTGTTGGGCCCTCTCTCGGCCAGACCCCCCCAGCCTACCGTGACCGCCCCGGCTCTCGGCCTCTCCATCACCCAGTCAGCTAACCTCATCATCCCCACGCTCCTTTTCCTCTTCTTCCCCCCGACCTCTCCCTCCCCCCCCAATATCCCTCCTCCCAAAATCAGTCACGCTGGCTTCCGACAATTCCGCCAAGGTGTCGTCCCTGCTGGTTCCCCGTGCCATCTCCTTCCCTCCGGAGGTTGGCACTGGCCAGCAGCGGTTGAGCCCGAACTCCATGTCCCAATCCAAGCAGGGCCGGCGGCGACGCTCCAGCAGCCTCATTTACCAGGAACCTCCCGAGTCCATCGAACACACCAGCGACCAGGCCGCCTTGCCTAATTTGAACGCGAATTGGGTGAATGCCAAGGGTGAGTGATGCACCGCATCGGTTGAGCTGGATGACCTGGCCATCCGGCAAAGCACCACGGAAAACCGACCGAATACTAACCTGGACTTTCGTACAGGTGCCTGGACCATCCACTTCGTCCTCATCGCCGCCCTCAAGATTCTTTACGATATCATGCCAGGTGTCTCCCAGGAGACCTCGTGGACCCTCACCAACATCAGCTACATGTTCGGCTCATTTCTCATGTTCCACTGGGTGCGGGGCATCCCCTTCGAATTCAACGCCGGTGCCTACGATAATCTCAATATGTGGGAGCAGATCGATAATGGCGACCAGTACACGCCCGCGAAGAAGTTCTTGCTCTGCGTGCCCATCGTTCTCTTCCTCCTCAGCACCCACTACACCCACTACGACCTCACCTACTTCACCATCAACTTCCTAGCCACGCTGGGGGTCGTGATCCCGAAACTTCCTTTCGTGAGTGCTCTTCTCTGTCTGAATGATGTTCAATCCGCTGACCTGCTGCCTTGCAGTCCCACCGGTTGCGAATAGGTCTATTTTCCGACATACCGGAGGAGTCATAGTTTTTACTGTAACCTTCTTCGTGTTAATTTGTTTTTTAATTTTTCTCTGACTCTCTATGTTGGTGTCTCTCGGTCTTTTTTGCTCCTTGAGCACGCTCGGCTTTCCTTTCGTCCTTGTCTCCGCAAGACCGAGGGAACAAAAAAAAGCCCCTTGCATTGTGAGGCCGGTGGAGTCGCAGCAATAATGGATGCGTGGCACTGACACGCTTCCAAGAACCCGGTCCTTTACCTCAGTCCATCCGCTCCCTGTCTAGATCTCTCAATATTCAAGCCTTGCATTTCTTAATCTTGTATTCGCTCTTTCGGTCGCTCTAACCATTATCTGTCCGTTTACTCTGTAGCTTGTAATAACTATGGTTGGCACTGCCAGCCCTGTATTACTTGGCTGCCGCCTGTCTTTGTTGTTGGGGTCTTGGCTTCTTTTCCGGCGGGTCCCATTGCATCATTGCGCGAGATCGAACCTTACCATCTTGTCTTGGCCCCAGTGCATCATCTATTGAGACAAGCATGTACATAGTGGGTAGGGCTGATCTGGTAGCAAATCTCTCCTTGTTCCCAACATAGAGTGCCTTTGCTAGATGTTACTTAGAATAGGTCGGCGTATACATAATTACTTCGGACCACCAACGCCTGACGCTAAAAATAGCGATGAACGTTGTCTAGGACACATGTCTCAGTATTTATCCAAATTTCAGAAAAGATGAAATTTTTGCCAAATCGGGATTGCCTTGTCAAACTGGCCGTTGGATCCATATGCATGTGCAATAATAACCTGGCCTTGTAGTCTCTGAGAGTGATTCTCAGCAAACAAAGTACTTCCATGTCTTTTGTGGGCCACCACCAAGACCATGAATGAAGATGATGCGTTCACGGTATAGCCTGTTAGAATGGGACTGTGTCTGTGCTAATTGGCGACAACTCACTTGACTGTTGATGGAGACTGAGATTCGGTCTCGCCGGGAAGTGAATAGAGCAGAGTCAGACCCTGATCGGTGATCTGAGCTGCCATATTTGGTTATTTATGATTGTCAATGTCTTTCTGGTGAAAGGTCTCATTATAAACCCCCTAGGACTCAGCTGGACGCAGCAATGCCCCGCACGGTTAGTTAACGTGTGATAGGTTGTATAACCTTCATTTAACAACCCTGCAAGCGCCAACAACACAAAAGGCGGTGATATGGCCGAGTTATTCATCAGAAAGGTCACTTACAGCATTGTATCCCCTTCCAGTGTAGTTAGGATTGCGCCTCTCGTTATTTGTTTGTATACATCACGTGACAATATACCTCCGCGCTCTTATCGATAAGGGTTTCCATATCCAGTTCAGCTTCTTCCACCGTGACCTCTTCCTTCCCTGAGCCGGCCATGGGCACCGCGGACGACAGCTCGTATCGCGCGCTCAAGCCACTCCCGTTTGAATTGGTCCAGCATACAGGCATTTTCTTTGAGGAGAAGCTCTGTTCGTGTACCCCACCCCACGAGAACAAAGTCGCCTTGCTAACGACTTCCTATCGCGAACGTCAGACACCCAAGCACTGAACCTCCTGCTAACCACTCTCACTTCTGGAACTGTTACCTCGGGAAAAGTGATATCTCCATGCCCGCAGCATCTCGCACTCGCAGCCACCTTCCTCGTTCACCCATCGACCACGACACGCGCCAGGTCCGCAGAAGAAAAAGAGGCTGCGATTGTAGCGTTGCGCCTCCTCCGCCTCACAAACACCCTAATAGGGCCTCGGGAGGCTAAATTTGGCATTGCCTTCTCCTTCACACATTTTGAAACTTCGCGTCATGGCGGCCGGCGCCGTGCCGTGGACGACACCCATGCTTCCACCGAGCTGGCAAGCGATGATACCAAGCCTCTGAATCTCGATTTGGGCCAGTCTGCGTCCTTGTGGTCTCGTGCTACAGATTTCTGGCATGCGGTCGGTTGGGCCTTTAATTGCTCCGTGCTGCACCCTGAGAGATGGGAACGATGGCAGGTCTGGCTGCAGTATATGTGTGAGGTGATCAACGATGACTGGGACGAGCGGGTGAAGATATTTACAGAGCAACAACTTGAGAAGAAGAAGTCCCAGGATGACGCTCCCCCAGGCCAGGCCAAAGGGAAGGAAAAAAGAGGCTCGAAGATGGATGACGGTCGTGCCGTTTTACGGGAAAGCCTTATTTTCCAGTACATCGTGACAGGCACCCCGGGATTTGGGCGAAACCGTCGTATCCTGAGATCTATCTTTGCGGATGGCGGCCCGACTTCTGTAAGCGAGTTTCGGGAAGTGTTTAGCAAGGAGCTAAAGCCGCTCAAACGCGACAAGGCCGCGAAGAATACCAAGAAAAGGGAGGTCGAGGTCAACATTGATAAAGACGAATATGGGGATTACTTGTCGCGCGGTGACGCCACGGACGAAGAGAACACTGCTACAGATACGAACAAAGACCCATCTCGGCCCGCATCACCCTCATCCAAAACGCGACGGTCAAAGCGCACTAGGCGAGGGACCAGGAATGCAGCGGATCCGTCGGATGACATGAATGCTGTAGAGAGCACTGAAGATGCAGAAAAAGTCGTTCGCACTCAACGCCTCAGCGTGTCTAATCTAGGGGGACACAACTCGCTCGCTCTGCGCCAGCGGCTTCTTAATGTCTTATCATTTGTATCTGACCAACTTCCAAATGATTTCATTTCTCTGAACGACCTCTACCACCTGTTCGTGGAGAATATTCGACCTCTTCCGCTCCCGGTTTTTCAAGCCATCGTGAGTCCATATGTTCTTCCGGGCTTTTGTCCAGCAACGCAAAGCACTCTCTGCGAAAAGCTCATGTGGGAGATGATCGAGAGCGCTGCTCCGGGTTCTGAGGAGCTGTATCTCACTCAGGCCAAGCTTGAGCAATGCTTTCTACCGTTCGGGGCCGCCACAGCCAGTACTGCCGACAATGCCAAGATATCCATTTTGCTCGAGTCAATGATCATTCTGCTAGCCAACGACAACACATTGTCGCCGAGTCCGTCTCTCAGAGAAGCACTGATGCAGGGGATTCAAGCCCGGGCGGATAAGGCGCAGGAAGAGATCCGGCGCAACCAGAATAGCCGCAATATGGAGCCTCTGGAGTGGTCCTGGCTGCTAGAAAGCGGTGAGAGGCTGATCCTTATGCTGGAAGAGGTGTTGCCCTTGAACCGAAACTCCGCATGATGGCGATTGTCTATGACAATATTTATGTATGACTACGACCATGACAACTTGATGATTTCGTTCAAGCATTTTCTCATCCACTGTGCATTTAACCTCTCCACAACATCGACAGCCCTAGAAACTAAATTGTGGGCCCAATAGGTGTTGATGCCCTATACCAACGGCCATATATCCCTCTATTCGTCTTCCATCGAGACTCGGCAGTCGTCATCCAGCAATGAGGTGACATATGGACCCGTAAGCAATTTTGCTACGTCGTCAAGCCCTTTCTCAAGAGCCGCCTTGATGTCATCTTCAATCACCCTCCCTCCATGATCCACTAGCAAGCGAACAATCTCCTTGTGTCCACGACGTACAGCTACATTCAATGCCGTACCAGACCGCGGGCTCATTGACACATTGGGCGTCAACCCCTTCTCCAAGAGCACGCGGACGATCTCCAAGTGGCCCTCTCTGCTCGCACTCCACAGCGCTCTAATGCCATAGACTCGGAAATGGATCCCATGGTCCAACAGCATCTGCACAACCTCATAATGTCCATTACCAGCGGCCGTTTCCAAAGGATTTCCCGCGACTTTCAGGTCGATGTGGAGTTTTGCGCCTCGGTCCAGGAGAATCTGCACGATCTCGCAATGCCCCTTCGAACAAGCTCCATCCAAAGCAGTGGACTCACGATCGACCTTGTCATTTATATCCCACCCATGGTCAAGCAGCATGTTCACAGCGTCTGCGTTGCCATCGGAAGCCGCCCAGTAAAGCGAATTCCTACAGCAGGTGCTGGCATGCATTGCCCATCCCCTGTCGATAAGGAGCCGCGCAATCTCAGTGTAACCGTTCCTTATGGCTATATCAAGCGCACAGCAACTGTCTACTGGAACGCTGGGCGAATGATGCAAAGAGTCGTGGTGTTCGCTGCCATCCTGCGGATGTTCCAGCATCTCTCGAGCCAGGGGGAGAGCGCCTACCCACAGTGCAGTGATGATACCTGGCTGGAGATAGCGAGGAGCTTTGTGGAGGTACAGCCAATTGTTTATCTCGGATCCATCGTTGCAGCAGAGAGTTCGGGCTGACTCGATAGTTGCGTTGGCGACTGGCTCGGGCTGTGAATTATAGTGATGCGGCCAATGAGTAGCTGAGTATATCAGGAATGTCATCTTTTTCTTAATCAAGTTCATTCTTCCGACATTATCGCAGTTCGGGATCCATTCCCCCGGCAGGTCAGAGGACGGCACCTCCAGTGTTAGGAGGAAGGATAAGGTGATACGAGAGAGCGTTGCGTGTGCGTCGCGCATGTCCACGCGGCCTTTCCAAGACGATCCCGTTGATGGCGAGTTGTCGTCTGATTTGATCAGGTACTGCCTGGCGGACTGGTTTACGAAATCCGATAGCATGGGTCTCATATCAAGTATGATTCCATGCAGGTCGTCGACTATACTGGTCCATTCTAGACGGGTCTCCGTGAGTTCGTCATAAGTGTGTCCTGTCGACGAGGAAGCTGCCGTGACGGGGTCCGACTCTGCAAATTTCAAAGCCAGCAGCACTTCCTGGTACGAAAGGGGCCGTTTAGCAGCAAGTATGATGTGCAGCAGATACTCGACACGTCTGGCACCATATATTGCGGATGCTATATCGAGAGCTTTATCATAAACGCCCTCGAGATCCCACGGCATGTTGTCGAATTCGCTCGAAGGGAATAAAAGCCCATCACGCTTTGTATTAGCAAATGTAAAAAGAACATTGGCCGCTGTATGAGTCCACAGCCAACAGCGATTGGGATTCTCATTCAAGATCCTGATGACGTGCGGTTGCTGATCTTCAGGAAACGACTTGGCTGCTTTCTCGATATAGGGCCCCATTTCATCCGCAATCTCTACAACTTTCTCATCGGCATCGAATAAGACCGTCTGATTAACCCCTGCAGCAGCACGCAGCCTCTCCAGATCCTCCAGCATCTCGCCTTGCAGCGGACCACTGGTGATAAGAACCTTGAACTTGGATCGGGTTTCCTCTTGCGGACGACGAGAAAGCGCGCGATAAACACGACAGACCTCACCGAGCAAGTCCCTCCGCTCCTCGGGCTCCATTTCGTCCACCCCATCCAACAGACACACCCACTGCCCAACCTGGCTAGCAGCGGCGCATTCCTCAAAGAGACCCCAGGGATCCCTGATAGTCTGCGCCCACCACCGCGGCGAAGCCTTGTAGATCACCTCAGATGGAGTGTAGCCAAACAGCTGATGCAGCAGCGCTGCGCACGCAGAATATGCGGTCATTCGGCGCGGATCCCCAGCCCGGAAGAAATAGTAGCAGACAGTCGTGTGTGGAGCAACAGGGCTTTCGATTTCCTGCCACCAGGCTCCGCCACGGTTGGCCAGGGATTTGGTGAGTTGGGATTTGCCCCGACCGTGTTGACCTGTTAGCCAGATGATGCTGGAATCGGGGCTGTCGCGCCATTGGAGTACTCGTGGGTCGTCGAAGAACCATCTCCCCGTGTTTCGCTGGGGGGTTCGGTGGGCGTGCTTGTTTCTGTCGTAATCCTCTCCTAGGGTTTCCATTACCCGCACCTCACGGTACCAGTTGTAATTTCTCATTGGTTGTGTTGGTTGGGGTGGCATGTCGAATGTGGAATTGGAGATAGCGGATTTCTTTTACTGGTCTCGTCTCTGCGGATTTTTGGTGGGTTTATTCTTCTCTGGTTTAGAAATAACCGGCCTTTGTGTACAGGCATCTGGCACTCCCTTCTATCCACGGAGTCGTTGAGTGAAGAGTCCAAATGGCAGAAGGGGGCGATTTTTGGCCCCGCTTCTTATATAGTCGAGGCTGCCTTGACGATGGGGCTAAGAAGGATTTGCTCCGGTAAGAGCCTCACTAATTCAATTCGTAATGACCTAAATTGAGGCTGGGCAGATATAAATTTCAACACCTCTATTCCAGTTCACTATTTCTCATGCAGCGAGTACCTAATATGTCCCAACAAATTATGTCTATACCCCGAGCCATGTTGCTCCACATCGAGAGCATTGCAATAGTGCTTCCAATTCGTGCACATAGCGTTCAGAATATCATGATTGTTGTATTCGATCTCATCTTCTCGCTCAAGGAGCTGTACAGCAAATCCCTCGGAGGTATGCCAGGCAATATGGCAATGCATCCACCAAGCCTGCAGCTTATCAGTAATGGAGAAAATGCGGAAAGATAGATAGGGCTTACCCCGGATTATTGGTCTTTAAAGCATTCACCAAATACCCACTAGCGGGCATCATGGCAACATCCATATGGGGGGAGCATTGACTAATTGCAGATCTATAGGACTGCTGATGTCAATAGTACCGAAGCTAGACCCGAGAATCCAGAAATCGTGACTGTGAAAATGCATGGGATGGTCCTGGGCAAAGGGAGATTGCACTGCGATATATGCCCACTCGTTGGCCTGCGGCAGACGTAGAATACTCTACGTCTCGGTCTAAGAGGTGTTGTACTCTGCAACATACCTTTTTGCTTCGCAACTTGTGTATAATAACAACACAGAGCTGCAGGCGCAGTTTTGGGGCGAAGCCTATCAGCGTCGTGGATACTTATGCACTGATGTGGAATTATGATGGGGGTGTGGAGGATGCGAGCTTTCCTGTTGTTGTTAAAGCAGCTGAGATGACTATTCATAATGTGTTCTGTTGGGTAGATAACTAATTCATCTAGGAGAATAATTTTGATAGATGGAGGTCAGTAAATTGGATACTTCGAGAGCTCCAGAAGAGTTGATACGATCCGCGCTCGCTTAGTACATATACCAATTGCTATTTACAGATAATAAAGCTGCCGCCTGATAACAGAAAAAGAACAAAAACAGACAAAGGAAGGCTGAGTATCCCAGCGAGAAATCGTAGAGGAATCATGAAAGATAAAAGGAAAGGGACACATAATGTGGTGATTCAACCACAGAGTTTCCAAAAGGAAACACAAAAAACAAATCAACTTCGCAGGTCGAGAGATAAAGCATAAGGTAAGGGCAATTTAGACACGGGCAATGCACCAAATTTACGGCGGTGGGCGAGGCCCAATGATCTGGCGCCTGGCACCACCGATACCGAGGCCCGTGCCACCGCGGTTCTGGTTGTCACCACCCAGGTAGCCATACTGATGGACATCCCAGGACTGGCCCGGTCCGGAGCCAGAGGTTGGATCACGCGCGCCGCGCTGGGCAGCTGCGCTGGTCTGTTTCTGGTTCTCCTCCCACTCGCGCTGCCGTTCGCGCTCGCGCTCCATCTCACGTTCCAGTAGGGATTTGGAGGCCCATCCGCCAGCGCGCGTGCTCTCCTGAGCAGCTTTGCGGCGGCTATTCTCAGCGTCGACCTCAGATGTCGTGCTGTAGTCCTGGGTGCGGTGGGAAGTCGGTGCAGGGGCTACAGGAGCTGGATTCGAAGCTAGGAAGCGGTCGGTACGGTTATCACGGCCACGGTTGGCGGTATATGCGACTGGGTCAGGCAGTGGGCGCTCTGGAAGCGGGCGCGGAGACGTTGCCGGCTCCCTTGGGGGTGCTTCTGGCGTGGGCACAGTCGACGATGGGACAGGCTGCGGTAGAGGCCGTGGAGGTCGGGGGGGGCCTGCTCCTCTTCGACGTCATCGGGTTCCTCAGAAGTCGATGGCATATCTTGGTTCTGCTGCCATTCCGTCCGTAGGAGCCGTCGTTCCTGTTCAAGGGAAGAAAGGTCGTAGCTTGGCTTGGCAGGTACCGGGCGAGGTTTGCTGCGGCTGCGGGCCTGAGACTCGCCGGTCTTTCGAGCCTGGATGTCCTGGCGTTCGCTTTGGTACTGCTGTTCCCGCTCCTTGGCCAACTGCAGCTCACGCTCGAGCTCCTTGATGCGCTGACTTTCCGGTGTTTCCTCGGGGGCCGCAGCCACAGCCTCACCGGTGTGACTGGCTTGGTACTGACTCAAGAATTGACCATTCAGACGGGCATCGCTGTGTCCTCGTCGGCGCTGCCGTTCCTGCTCCAAGCGTTGCTCGGCATCGTTCTCTTCCGTGGCACGTTTCTGTTCCTCCAGCTCCCACTGGCGCTTTTCTTCGTCCCAGCGTCTGCGCTCCTCTTCCATCTCACGGCGCTCTTTCTCCCTTAGGCGAGCTGTCTCTTCTTCCCACCTACGCTGCTCCTCGGCTCTTGCGTGGGCCTCCTGCGCGTCAAGCTCCCGCTGGCGTTGTTGTTCCGCTGCTTCCTTATCTGCCTGCTCCTGGCGCAATCTCTCCTCATCCTCGCGTCGGCGCTTTTCCTTTTCCGCAATGCTCGGGACAGCAGGTCCGGGGGTGGTGATCTGTCGTCGGGCACCAAAAGCAATGCCTTGGTTACCCTGGCTGGCCCCGCCCAGGTAGCCGTATTGATGAATGTTCCAGGCTGGGGCAGTTGTGTTCTCATCGCCTTTTTTAGCCCAAGAGCTGAGCGAGCCAGACTTAGAAGGACTCCTTTCACGACCGGAGGTGGTAGAATTTGCGTCGCTGACATTGCTAATGGCACGGGTTGTCCGCGTAGGGTACGACCCCGGACTAGACGAACCCGTCGCATCGGGGCTGACGATCCCCCGTTTGCTCTGGGGACCAACAGCCTGAGGGAATTTACTGGGCTGGAGAGCATTGGCTCGTCGGCTGAACGCTGCCAGACACTGGAGGACCTGCGCCGGGTCCTTGGCTTCGTAGAGATCGACCGTGAGGAAAACGTCGTGCGGGGGGAGATTCAGGGGCGCCATTTGACATGCGCGTAGAAAATGGGAGATATTTTCCATCTGAACGAAGGGCATCGGCGATTGTTTATACTTGACGCCCGGCGACACGGCGAGGTTCACGAGCCTGGTTCGCCGCGGGGTTAGTCCAGGTTTCCTGTCGCATCAATCGCGGTGGCAATTGCCAAAACTTACTTGCAAAGCGCGACACCGTCCTTGAGGCCCTCCAGCAGGTCCTGGGAAGGCAGTTTCTCGCGCAACACGTCCTCGATCCAGTCGCGAATCTCGGCCGCGGCCTGCGGGGTATAGCGGGACAGGCGCATGTTGCGCAGGTCCTTATCTAGCGAGGACACTGAAGCCATGGTGAGGATTCAATCAATCATGTAGCATATGGTGGGAGATATGGCTGGGTGCTGGGACGGTTTGGGCTATCCCGCGTCTGCCTGATCGGCGCCGACGGTGGGGGACGGGTAGTTAGGAGATCAGGGATGGACTGGGGAGAGTGGGAAAATCCAGATAAGTAGGAGCCAGCGGAAAAGGGATTGAGAGGAAGAGAGAGAATGCCAAAGCGACAAAGGAAGAAGAGTGAAAGTAAGAGAGAGAGAGAGGAAGTGTCTGTGGTGGCTGATGAGGCGGAATGGAATGTTTGGGTGCGCGCCCGATGACGTTTTTCTCCTCCACCCACTCTCCTTCACGACTCACACGATGGTCAACAGCCTGTGGTTCAAATGGAAGGGTCTACGCCTGCCATGGCGCAAGTCCTTCCTCGTCGGTTGGTCTCTCACTCATGGCTTAACTGAACTGCGCTAACCCAACGTTGCAGGCTCGGACCTCGCAGGGAACACCTTCTGGGAATTTAAGGATGTGGCCAACGCCAGCAAATTCCGCCGGATCGTTAAATTTGATCCCAAAACCCACTATGGGGATGTTCAAGTGTCGCGTGAGTCAATCTGTCCCAATGTAACATGCTTTCGCTAATGCGCTTCTTTCATGGCAGCGCAATGGCACCAATGGCTCCGCTACGTCCGCGAACACCCACCCAGCATAGAAGAACAACAGCAGGACCTCGTCCGCCAAGCCCAAATCAAGCAGCTCGCCCGTCTGGCCGACGAGCGCTGGGCTAGCAAGCCCTCGTTTCTCGATAAGCCTCAGGCGCAACAACCGAGTCCCGCCACCAACGCGACGGACGCCACGTTAAATCGCCCGGCTGATGAGGCTGCAAAAGGAGCCAATTCTACACAGACTGCATCCACATCTACCACCGATGCTAGTACGGACACTGCACCAAAAACAGGAGAGACAAAGTCGGCGACAAAACCCGTCTCCCCAGAAGAGACCGCTAAAAAAGATCCATGGGCGAAAGCTAGCAACCCAGGCGACAGCTGGCAGCCTGAATCATGGAAACCTACCTCACAGCGGTGAAAAATCTCGATTTACTTGAGTATACTCGGTTTTGGGACTTGGGGTTTTTTGGAGTGACTATCAAAAGGCCAACGCAAAGTCCATAAAACAGGCTATCCACATCGATAACTGATTATCTTGTTGCTGGTAGGAGTTTCAACCTCCTACCAGCGAAAAAGTCTGGGCTTTATGCAGTGAAGGGTGCCCGCACCTTGTCTTTGCCACCCGAGCAAGAGCATCAACTCGACTCGTCGGTGTACATTATCACATATTTAATATCAGGGCTACGCCCTATGTACTCTACTCAATCTACTATTGCTCCATAACTTCACCCCTTTATGATTTAAAAGCAGCTTACTGTAAGCTATGAGCGAAAGGTATAGTCTACAAGCAGAAGAGAACTGTGTTGGGCAACTCTAATGATCTTTCTCTTTTGTACTTTCTATTTATCAACTAAACAGCATACTTCACCCCCTATTTTGTGTTTCAGCTTTTATCCGCGTCACGCACTGCGAATCAAAGAAAATAAGCAGATAAAGAAGAAAACCAGAACATATCAGACGCATGATGAGAACAAGAATGAGAAGATAAGCAAAAGAAGAAGCAAATCTGGAGATCAATCAAAATAAATCCAAAGACCATGTTTTCATCTTCAAATGTAAACCATGCTATCCCTGACCGCACTTGCAAGCCGCACCTCAGGCTCACTGGGAGGATGAAGAGTGAACCTGTCTTGGCCAGTGGTGATCTCCTTGTTCGTGTAGTATGCCCGCACATATTTCCGAGCTCGATCGCAGAACTTGTCTGCGAGGAAGGCAGGAGTGCTGTAGCTGATAGACCGGGTGCAACGGCCCATCATGTAGCAGATGTTGTGCGTGAGAGACTCGAGTGAATCCGCAGGTCGAGATTCTTTCGAAACATCCCGATTTGTGAAGATTTCGTCGTGAATGACGAAGTAATGCGCTGGGCGAGCAGAGCCCTGCAGCGGAGCCTGGGCCTGCATGTAAAAGTCCCAGTCTCGAGGACGTGTAACACCTCGATCAATCACCGTGCCATTGATGGCATTCTGGGTTCGATCTTGATCGGATGCCGCGGTTGGATAAAAGCGCACATTGTGGCGCTTTCCGACAACGACAATCGTGATGTTCGGCTGCTCCTCAGGCTTGTACATCGACTGAGCAGCATGTTTCACCATTGGAAGCTCTTCCGTGAGCACCATTGTGTATTGTCCGTCACTGACACCATCTCGATAGATGATGATGTTCTTTGGCAGCTGGCCGTTGTTCGACTTCTGCCACATCTCCAAGCGGGAAATCACCATGTTCTTCAAGATCTGAATATTCTCTCGGCGGCGCTCTTGAATGCGCACCTCACCTGGCCACTGGCCCAGCCAGCTGTCAGTGCTTGCAACAATAGCTGCAATGCTAGGGAACGATTCTGGATCCGTCATGGAAGGATGGGTAACATCCAGTCCCATGATCATGGTCTTTCCACTCGCTATCAGAGGCGACTGGCTCGAAGAGTCCAATGCTTGGTTGACACCACCAAGTTTGAGATTGACTTTCATGGCATTGTTTGCCAGGTATTGGTCATTCGACTTCGCAAACTTGTCAGCCATGACACAGTGGGTCAATACTCCTGCCCTAGTCTCGCCGATCCATTTGATGTGGTCGAAGATGCGATCCTCGAGTACCGGGAGGAGAACGACCACAAAGCGATAGTCATTCGCCAATAAGGCTCGGAAAGTCTTCTGGGTTTGCTCCATGAAGTCTTTCATGTTGATCGACTTGTCTTCCTCGTTGAGCTTGATGGTGATAGTTGGGCCAGGAACAACTGGTGGACTCATTCGCATGCCCAGCTCATTCATCTTGCGCTGGAAGGCATTCAAGGCATCTGAAGGATTGCCGGGTTGGGAAACATCTCTGCCTCCCTCCATTTTTACCCAGATGCAAGTCCCCCTCTTGAGAGAGGCACCCTGGCAGAACTTCTTGCCCACGAGGTTCCATGAGCCATTCCGCGGAGGAACTTTGGATCCTCCGTACTTCAGGCTGGGAGGATTGAGGATCCGGCCGTACACCGTGATCATCTCTTTGTGAAATCTCATTCCCACTTTCATGGTCCCATTGTTGATACCCATCATGTCCAAGCCGTCAGTCATGATTGACTGGTAGTTCTGTGGGGGGCGCCGGCAGCTGAATTGAATCATGTTCTGACGCTGCACCGTGACATAGTCCCCATGGTAGGGCTGTCCGGGCAAGATGACACACACCTCAGCGGGTAAGTATATTGGCCGTTCCTTGCTACCAACATTGACCACTGGTCGGTCGGCATATTTCAGGACGATATTGTAGGCTAAGTCCAGTATTAGCAAATCCTGCCTCAATTACCGAATATCAGATAGAGTACTTACTTCGTTTGAAATAGTCCGCGACACTGATGTACTGCTCGTGTGTGTCTTCGTAGAACTTCACGTGGTTTGCGCAGGAACCAAGCCGGGGAACCTGTGGAGGATGTTTAAGTGGGCGACCGTTTTTATCTTTGGCGTCTCTGCCATCACTTGGGGATGCGAGTGCCCAGATGGATTTTGATCGGGGCTTCTTCTTGCCCGACTTCGTAAGAGTGGGCTGGAGGTGGGTGGCGTGCACTCGAAGACCCCGGATATAGCGATTGAACAGAGTCCGATCACGACCGAAGGTGCTCTCAAATTCCAAGATGATTTATGAGAGGCATTTCTTTATAGAAAGCCGCATGGTTGACATTCAGATTTAGGAGGACTCGTCCGCCTGCGAGTCTCATGCTAGAAAAGTAACCCCGAACAACTTGCAGACCTCCTCGAAGATCTGCAGCAGTCATTCGACTGTCAATCCAGAACCACCTCGTCCTACCACGACCAGTTGTGACGACTCCAGGATCCTGCGATGGGTGTCGACCCATGAGCAGGTTCAACGAGCGCACTGCAATTAGCTCCATTGCATACTCCCTCCGAGGATCTGTCTGACGAAGACTGCTCAGCAGCTCTGAAGGTCGCACAACGCCATTGTCCCTTAAGGTGACTGTAAACACTTTCTGGGGCCTAGAGGGGTCGTCACCGATCTTGATGTCCACAGGAACTATGGGCAATTTCCCGCAAGCGACAACCTCCGAGGCGCTGTCACTTGCAGAATTGCAAGAGAGGAGGTGGGGAAGCTGCATGAGCTTCTCAAACACCTCTCTGATCTGGCCTCTGAGGGCTCCCTCAGGGCGGATGGAGACGGAGTAAAAGAAATACTCCACATTGGGCTTGAACTCAACTTCGAAGAAGTTAGCCCGCAGCACGATGGGGCGGCCTTGAGTACCATAGCCGGGTCGATATGCAAGACCGTCCGTCTTCAAGCCCTGCATCTGCTTCACGGACTGGTCTTCCAACTGAGTGACCTTGGGGTCCGGCTTCTTCACCTCTCCGGTGGGCCGACTATATATGCACATGTTAGGCGTGTATTTGTTGGTTAAGGGTGTACAAACTTGCCCTGAGGCGCGTTGGCCTCCATAGTGGCCGTCTCTAATCGGCAGGCTCGTTTCTGGGCCTCCCTGCGGAGCGTGCGACATCGTCAAATCCCGTTTTTGGGGTAGGAAGATAAAAACGTATAATTTCGGCGCTGTCACCAGAGATTCTGCGGATGGTAAGTATCCAAGCAAGATTGATGCGCAAAATGAGGAATGGAGGCAGGACAATATGCAAGAGACAAGGATGCCGACGGTGAATTCTCCCGAGTAGAGGTAGCGTGAGATATGCTAAGTGTGAAAGAAGCCGCCTAGTATAAAAATGACAGAACGTGGAGACGTGTGCGTGGGTGAGTGGTATTGTATTTAATGCGGAATCGAAAGCGGCGAAATGAGTGAAAGAGTGATAACAGCAGGCAGGCGGTACAAGGCGAAGTTATAGTGAAGGAGAGAAATGTAGAAAATGACTGCGTAGTGACGACTGCGCGGACAGATTGGTGAGGTGAAGGTCAAAAGGAGAACAGAATGATACTGATCAGTGATGATGAGCGACATGTAAATGGAAAAGAGGGAGAATCAAGAGATAAATGATGGATAATCAGAGAACCAGATGTAGAAGCGGAAAATTAGGATAAGTGATGGTTAAATGGAGATTATTGCAAGAGAAAATAGAAAGTGAAACAAAGAATGGACTAAATAAGGTGGTGATGAGTAGGGAAATGAGGGCAAAGCGATGATCCGGATGACATACCTGGATATGGGGTTGACTGGGGTGGATTGAAGTGATGGGTAAAGAAGGGTAAATTGTATGCAAGAGTGGCAGATGTAGAGGTAATGGGAAAAGTCAGGGCGCACGTCGAGAGCGGAGGTTAGACCGGAAGTGGAGAAGAAAAAGAAACAAAGAAACAAAGTTAGAGAGGCAGTGTAAAAGCTGTAGATGTAGAAGTGGAAGTGCGAAAAAGTGTTTCGCGAAATGGGGAAAACTGGCAAGGAATGATATTGGCAGCACCAATATATAGAGTGGCACAGGAGAACAAATGGTGGATAGTCACCTAACTGCGGCAAAGATCGAGACCAACAATGCGTTTCGCAGGCTGCAGAAGAACAGCCGGATCAAAACAAGCAGTCTTAGTAGAACCACCAAAAAGGGCTTCCTGCAATAGACAGTCCCGTTCGTGAATCTAATAGTAGAAGGCCTGAACATGGTGAAGATATATATCTAAGTCTGGCTATAAAAGCTGATCCATAAACAGAATTGTGTTTTCTCTCGTGACAGCATGGCAGGGGTTCTTGTCCATATATATTGAGATTAACAATGAACAATTCTGTCGAAACTCATGAGAGGTCCGCCCCAATATTTTCCAGCACCTGTTATTTGGGGTTGAATGCATGGTTCTAGAGATTCGACCCCGTGGGACTCAGCCCCGTCAATGAGATCTGCTACTTCAAACGGTGGACATAGGCATGTGATGCCTGAGGTGCCCATAGGGACAAGGTTATACGTAGCATGAACAATGATTTTGTCGGTTACATGGCAAGAGGGCAAGTATAACCAGATTTGCAAATTTCATCACCTTTCAGCGTAACTAGGTGGTTCATCGAATAGCTCATATGAAAAGTGTAATAACCCGGTGAAACACGGGATAAACCAGTTGAACTGCTTCTAGTAAAAGGAACGCAAATATTCTCTAGACGATGTGTTTCTACTATGCCATGAGCCGAAGAGCTACACGATCCGCGACAGAGTTGAAATTTGAGCCTTGGGGTGACTCCTCCATAGCTCCACCAGAAAGGGAGAAAGCCACAAGTAGTAGAATCTACGTTTAGAGTTTCTAAACAGAGAATCCGCGCTCTTGGTAAATCAATGGTAGATAAACATACAACATAGATTTTAAAGAAAATATTGGTGACATTAGTAACACTCCTACTTCAGGTTTGTCACACAGGGTGAGCTGTTCCCACTCACCGAGCAACCTGATCGCTCACCTCTTTGCCACACCTAGGACTTGTTTTGATGATTGCAGTCTAAGTCAATCACTATTAGTAACAATAATACTTTCGAGGATAGCAAATGAAATTTATCAACTTCCTTGACAATCTCCGGACAGAGCACCTAAATTAGCTTTCATGTTTTACACATAACTAGACATAATCTCAAACCTTAAAGTCAAGGCCACGGCTAAGCCTATCTAGACAGGTCCAGCTTGCTTGCATGTCATCCCTGTCCGTCACAACAGAAATATAAAATATCTGACAATACAAATACGCACTGAACATTTGAAGTACGTGTCTCGCTAATACACTTTCTTTCATTTGCTAACTGCCCGTCTGAGTCCAAGTTGTTGCAACTTGCACCACTTCAACCCCTAGTTCATTCTTCTGCGGCCCTCCTGTCACATGCCTTTATATATTCCGGGGGTTAGGGTTCTCGGCCCGGAAGGATGCGAAGAAAGCCCTAAGAGCAGCTAGTTTTGCCGTGCTATCAAGGTGGTGTCCTTCCGCTTCCGCTAGTTTGTCGTGGTACAAAGCTTTAATATCCTCACAAATCGCCCAAATCCGCCTGCGGTTCGCAAGCCCAGGGATGTAATCAACCGGTCCTGCTTTGTATTGACTCTTCTTCTCAAGTTCCACAATCATCCTAGACAATCTGGCCTCTAACGCTTGTGATTTGAACGGGTCAATATCACGAACTTCCCAAAACCAAGGCATGCCAATTTCCAACCTTTGTTTCCAGGATCCGTATGGACAAGCATGCATTGAACATGACGCAGCCTTAAGAGCAAGAACGGATCCAATAGGAAGGAGGTCGAATATTGTTTGACGTAATTCAAAGGGCAGCTTGTCGAATATGTCGTGGGTGTCTTTTACAGCCCTAGACTCAGGGCTTTTCTTTTCCACATCGACAAGGAGTTCTTTAATCTCTTCTGAGTAACTCGCCAGCTGAGGTATCTTGACGGGATGCGTCACCAGGATCTATTGTTTTATCCCATAAGCAAGACACCACTTCACTTAAGTGAGCGTGAGTTACCTCTTCGCCCTTTCTACATTCCCAATATTGATCGCAGGGCGGCATAGGATCGCCGCAAGTCCACGCCAGTCCGTTCCCTCGGTCTTGACTCATCTCTTCACAGAGAGCATAAAGCACGTCTCCTCTTATCTTCTCATTCTCAAAACATCGGAGAAGAATGTCCTTGTAACAGACCTCATGAAAAGGGAAGACAACACGGTCTTCCATCCCCCGGTAACCATAGTATCTAGAGAAAATTAATACCGTATTAGGATAAGGGTAAATAAAACATACGCGCAGAAATAGGCATCATAGGGAACGTTAGGATCTAGTTCAAGGTCAGATAAGATCCAAGGCATAGAAGGTTGGATCTAAACCAACCGTCGCCTCGATCCGCAACGATAAAACCCTAGAATTGCCTGCTAGGATATTTAACTATTATTCATAATCAAATAATGACTCACAGCATCTTTACAATAGCCCTGGCCCGTGATGAAAGATCTATACTTGTTAGGATAGACATGTGGATCCATGAAACAGAGATATTACTGACTTCCTTTCTCCAGGGATATCAGCATTGAGACCAAGAGCGCGGAGCGTTTGTAGCCATGTAAGGTCACTCTCTCCAATGACTTCTCCGCTGTAGGTTTGATCGGTCTCGTCATCGGAATCAATAGAGAGGTTGCTTTCACTTTGGAATGTCGAACCACATATCGCACAATACACATCGAAGCCGCCCATATTCGCGATGGACGTAAAATAAAAATTGGGAAAGCGTTAATGTATTTATCGTTGATCTCGGCAGACTTCGATGAAAAAGCTGGCCTCTGATGTAGGCTACCATTCAGGAGAAATAGGCAACAGACGTTTCCTAATCCCATATTGGTTTAGTGTTTGCGGTACCTCGTATTCCGGGAATTCTACGGATTACCACATTTGGCTAGGTTGGGAACTGTCGCAATGCATCCTCAGCTTCCGCGATACGGTCCAGTAAACTGTAGTTCTCTACAGCAGCAACACGGCCTTTATCATGTAAGAAGTAGTAGAAAAGGGTTATCGTGGCTTGATTTTTGAGATCATCCACCCGAGTCTCGGGGTTACGGATTCGGTCCAAGTACCGCCTCCGCCTCCGCATTTGGCGATAACGGCCCTTCCATGGATATTTCTCATTGTGACTAAATGCGACACGAGGAAACCATAAGGGCCTTTTCTTCCAAACCGTGATGTGTAAATTCGAGTCAAAGGTCAAGAAGTGGTGCCCTGAGACGGAGGCGGTGGGTTGTTCGGGTGAAGGAGAGAAGAGGAAGATGCATGTTGATTTGCAGAAGGAAAGAGCAAGTGCTATCTCTAGCAGGCAAGGAATTACTGAATTCTGTGTATTTTCCTTCTTTACTCTCTTGCGAACTCCAGAGACATTGGCGATAATGGTATTCATGGCAGTTTCTCTCTAATAAATCCATAAAACGCAACTTAGGCTCACCATTTCTCTCAAATTGCACAGGATGAACATTTGCTAGCGCAGTCCTCTTGAAGAAGGCGATGCATATAACGCCAATCATGTACTCGCCATAACTCGAATCCTCTTGTCAGAGGCCCGTTAGTGAAAACCCCTAGATTAGGACCATGACTGTGCAACCGCCCCCATCCATTTAGATCAGACCGGAACTGATGATAGACGATTCTCGTCAATATTTACTACGGACCAGGGCGGGTGGATAAAATCAACTCTAGAGTCACGAGAAAGTCTCATGCTTAGACAACCATATATATTTGTCCATATTAGAACTTATCTAACATTTTGGGGAGGGATATAGCCCAGTGCAAAAAAAAACGAACCCGAAACACCAAACGAAGATCGCTAAAAATGACCAAAAAAAGGGACAACACAAAACTCCAAAGAAGACAGCGCAAAAAAACAAAATCAAGCAGAAATTAACAGAATACAGCCTCTAGAGCCTCGACGTCGCCGCCAGCATTGCGCACGGCCTTTAGCGCGGCCTCGCTGAGCTTACGGCGGCGATCACGGGCCTCCTGTTCCCGTCGGGCTTTGGTCTTGGAGCTGCCTGAGGGTGCCACACCAGTCAAGATCTTCTTGCTGTCATGGGAGGTAAAGTTCACGAACGAGACACTAACAGCCTTGTTCGCGCCCCGGGGGCTTCCCGAGGATTTGGCGGGCTTGGGGCCACTCATGCCCTGGGTGGAGAGCTTGCGGCTGTGGTTGCGGCGGTGGTTGGCTTTCATCCGGGTGTCTTTCGGGGAGGAGCCAGCCTTGGGGGAGAGAGATGGAGAGCGTGATGTGTGGACTTCGGTGGTAAAGGGGGTCACGAAGCTGTGGTTTGTAGAGACGTTGTACTGACTCTCCTGATTGTTGGAGATGGAATGCAGGTTGTTGGATGAGAATGAAGAGTCCGCGGCGGAGGGCATATCGAAGGACGGGTCGAACTGGATCATCAGGCCTCCTTGCATCATGTCATTTTGGTTCCCGACGCTTCCCATGGGGCGTTGAGGAGCCGAGGATGCAAACTGTGGCTGCGCGACCCCGGAAGACATTGGCGACCACCATGCCTGTGCGTCGTGGCTCTGGAGATCCGGGGTGAATGTGAGTGACGGTGTGCCAAGGGCGTCCGAATGCCACGAGGACAGGGACTGAGGATCGGAGGAATGTGATGAAGAGAAGATGTCATCTGTGGAAGGCGAGCTGGAGTTGGTCAAGGTTGAGGAGTTGGTCTGGCTCTGAAGGTATTGTTGCCGTGCGAGTGCTCGAGCGGAAGGTGATGGCATCGAGACGGCTTGTGACTGGTGGAAGAGCCTCGCATCATACTGAGGAGGCATTTCGGCGGAATCTCGTGGTTGGTTCAAGGCAGTGTGATCGGCGGGCATGTTCTCTTGCTGCACGAGAACATCCGAGGGCGGGGGAGATAGCGGTAGGCGGTCGTCCGAGTTGTGGAGGTTGAAGTTCTGAATGCGCTGGGCCCAAGCCTCAGGATATGCCATTCTCCCTTTCTGGAGGTTGGCCGAGCGCATCAAGCTTGGGGAGAAGCTTTGCTTGCGCAGAGGAGCGCGGCGATCAGTCGGGTCGCGATGACGGATGGATTTGGGCGTGAGGAGAGCACTTTTGGTAGCTTGCCGTCTAGGGGTAGCTGGGGGAGTAGACGGGGAAGTAGAAGAGACCCTGTTGGAGGGGGCCGGGCGAGAAGAGGATTCAAAGTTGAGATCTGAGATGGCGGAGGGATGAACAGTGTCATGGACGGCAAAGCCGTGATCGGCAGATCCGTCACCCTGCAGAGACCAATCTTGGCTCCAGGGTTGCGGTGACTGACGATGGCGTTTCGAAGTGGAGATGGGGGGAGAAAGATCGCCACATTCACTCGACAGGGAGTCTAGGGGGAAAATCGGGTCCAAGTCACTGGACAACGTCGAGTCTTTGTTGCCATCGGCTCCAGAGGTCTCCATGTTGACGTATTGGTTGAATAAGTCATTGAAGGAATGATCAAATGGTTGGGCGAACATCTTGCTTTGTCGTCCGTTTGCGGCGATGGCAAAGTAAGCGGGCAAGTTTGGTCAGCGAGTGCTCAAAGGGTACGGAGGTCGACTGTGATTGGCAACCACAGATCGGGGTAGATCTAGCGTTCGGGGGGAATGCGCCGGGAGATCGACGGGACAAAACGAGAGAGCGAAAGAGAGGGTGTATGGATTGTTTGACTGGTTGTCAATCAAGTAAAACACTGCAGAGGATGCAAAGAAAGCAAAGCAAACAAACAGCAGATCGGTGGCGCTATTTGAATGGTGGTGAGGCCTACCAGCCTCGGGATTTTCCCTACACATTCCTGAGGGCCATCGAGAGGAGGGAGGAATGCGTGCTGAGGGGCCTGGTTGGCTATAGACCTGGCCCACTGTCTCCCTCAGGAATGACTCCAGCGCTCGTTAGGGCTCGCAGGCCAATGACATGTCCAGAGAGCATGTGTGGCGCCCAGAGCTGCCACTGTTCATCCACACCCCCCAGAGAGGCTCCGCTCCGGATAGCCCCCCGGGAGAATGCAACCCTCCCTCACTAAACCCGAAGCAGCGAAATCAAACCGCCTCGGATGAATGAGTGTGGCGGGGAGTGGGAGGATCAGGTATGCGTAGCCAATACCCTCTCACGGAGATCGGCATAGCTCCAGGAAAAGAAAGAGCCGAACACCAGCACTGGTCATGGATCGAAGCAGTTTCCGACCCCTCAAATGGCCGGGGAAAGGAACCAGGACCAGTGATTTGACTGGTCCAAGAAGATTCTTGGATCCCGGGACAAAGAAGTGTAATACGTCATGACCCTATCGAAGGAGCTTAACTCGGGGAGACAGTAGGATCTGCGGATCTGCAGCGGCTGATGAAAGCCTGTTCTTTTTTTGATTCACCGTTCCATTAGTCAATGCCTGCTCACTCGCAGTGGGGATTGCGATGGTCGAGTGTCCAATGTCCTGAGGTGGATAAGCGATTTGGAATGTGTGGCCCGGAATGTTGAGGCTGGGCGGAATGTCACGCCTGCTCCAGCAATGCGCCGAGAAGCCGTTGGTATCCAAGGAAAAAGGAGAGAGCCAATGGAAGCCGAGCGCCTGAAGAACAAACCCTGACCTGCAGGAGATCGTCGGTCGAGTGAACTGTTTAGTCTCGCCGTGTTCTATATTTGTCGACATCTTCAGATCTCCAAGATCGAGCCGTGATCGCATGCAGTCAACCACGAGCCTGGGAGAAACTCAATTCCCGCTGTCCCGCCGGGGAATCTGGGGTGAGCTAGCGGCCCGGAGGGTGGGCTCTCTCGAGAAGGGCTATTAGCCATTTCCGTCAGTGGGCTCGGCATGGCAGGTAGTAGTGCGGTCCGTCAATTGTTTCTTTCTTTGTCCGCCGGGAAGGGTAGGTCTGCCCTGGGTGCAAGGCATCATGAGACCGCCACTTCGTCTCCCAATAACTGTCCAAGCAACGGGATGCTAACAAGATAGAGATCATGCGTGGTCCCCGACAGTATTACTGTTACACCAGTCCGCTTGTCACCGGGGGACGCCCACACAGCACAGTGGTGGGACGTGGAGGGTCTATGCCCCCGGAGCAGAGCCCACGGACCGAAGTATTGACTGTCTGAGGGCTGACAGTCAGCTCTGTATCTTCGTTGTCAGTGATCCGAGTAATAATCAATCCTGTTGCGCATCGTAGTTGTTTGTCCGTCGGGCAGAATAAGCCCAAAATAAGCAATCGGCGCGACTCTCGCTGAGTCAGAAATGACGGCCCTGCAGCAAAAAGAGACCAAGGCGATTTCCTTGCTTTCCTTCGCCTCTCTTCTTCTCCCTTGACTTGCTCTCCCGTCGGTCGGGTTGTCGTGTAACTCTTCTCTTGTCGCCTCTCTTATCCTCGCCCTTGTGCGCTCTCGTCCGAACTTCCCCCACGCCCTCCCTCCCGCACTGCCGACCATCCGCGCGCGGTGACTCAACTCTGCCCCTCCACAACCTGCCTCCCCCCACGCGCGGAACGTGAACGTCCGCTCGCCTTCTCCACGCCTTCGCTCGTCTTCTTCTCCTCTTTCTCCTCCTCTGCGACAACTCTTCCCTCCAACTCTCCCGTGGCGGAGGCGACATTCCACGCCGTTTTCATCGCGTCGCGCCAACCCCCCGCCTCCCTCTCCTCTCCGGCTTTCTGACCGACGTCCCAACTGCATGTACCTCCCACCAGGCCCGCTCGAGACGCGGGCAACCAACCCTCAAAATGGGTATTTCAAATGATCCCCGCGAGTCATGGGATTCTCTCACCTCCGCCCTCTCCGGCCTTGAAGTTTCGTTTTCGCAAGATAGCTGCTATGGCTCAGATGAATACTCGATCACGTCAAACCCTTCCGGCCCGCTCCAGTCGAGTGTGTCGAGCGTGTCGACTTGTCTCGCTGCACGTGAACCGGACCTGCACAAGTTTTTAAAGCCGATCTTGAAGAACTCTACCAGTTATGTGGAGCTTGATGCACAATCTGAATCGGGCTATGGATCGGATGAGATCGACTCTGATTACGAAGAACTGTCTGACCAGAAAGAGGACGACGAAGAGGATGATGATGACGACAATTATTCCGACTTCTCAGTCTGGGACGAGACTTCTGGGGAAGTCCCTGAGACCCAGGAGGACCACACCGAGTCTTTTGACGATTCCTTCATCGCGTTCGAGACCGTGGGCGTGCATTTTGATACCGAAGTGCAATACATCGACACTCCTGAACTTTCCGAAGACGACGACGAAACCTCCGGCTCCCAGATGACCTTTCATGAGATGATGCTCGCGCACAAATCCGGCTCCCAAAGTGTGGTGAATTACTTCAACGCCGTTGACCCTTCCGAGAATGAAGACGGCCACCAAGAGTTTGTCCGTCACGTCGCATACCAACCAGACGAATTCAGCCGCGATGCAGTCGATCTGGATCAGCGCCTCTTTGTCGCTTACATGAATGGCATCCACGGAATTGCCGACAGCAAATACAAAAACTATCTTCGCGCCCAGGTGGACAACATCCGGATGGGTCTGGACAGCGACTCCTTCGACTCGGACAACTCGGCCTGCATGTACCTCGAACTGATTTCGAATCATGTCAACAACATTTTTCGCAACTTGCTGGCTGATGACGAAGTCACCGAACTCCTCGCCCTGTACGAAGAACAACCGACCACCTTTATCCCGGCCCATCACCAAGCCTTACTCGGTAAAATTGAGCATCTGTTGCTTGATCGTCTGGCAAATGGACGTGTGGAAGTCTGCCCGGACGAGCTTCGCTTCTTGGCCGGCGGTGTGGTGCACGCCATCGGCGACTGGCAATGAGATCATGCAAGCCAGTCAGTCCATTTGAGTGGGCAGATACGACGTTACGATAACGAAATGAAAGAAAAAAAAGCGCTTTTTCGGGGTTAGCAGTGAGATTTGATAGCATTGACTCTGCAGCTCTGCATTTGAAAACAACAATCAATCTCGTGTTTCTATCCAAACCTCCATCTGTAGGACAAGTAGTACTACATACGTAGTAGGCGTCCGATCTAGGCCCTGGATCATCAATATCCGAGCGCCCAAGGATCAAGAATAATAGCCCCAAAGAAGCAATCCACCAGCCTCTCTAGCCTACACTCAGGCCGCGCAGGACGCATCCTTCAGCGCATCGAACAAACACAATGCCAGCCCCTTTCCGACCCGTCTCAGACCAAGGTCGTGAGCATCGCATTCACACAGACCAACTCGACGGCCTGCCCGCAAGGGGAGACAGAGAGAGGGGAATATGCTGGTTTATCCTATTTGATTCTCCGATGATTCAAGCAGAGATTGCGCCAACAACAAACATGAATAATGAGGTATCCGCGCGGTTTGTATCAGGTTGCGTTTTCTCCACTACGGACCCCCTGAGTCTGAGGGAGTCTTGAGTCTTATTTTGTCCCAGGAGCTGTAACCAAGGTAGGTAAGTTGAGTCTAACACCAAACCAGGAGACTGAAACCTTCCTGGCAGGCGCCACCAGCCCCAAACAAGGCATGGCTTGGGGGCAAAAGTGGAGAAATGCCGTTGAGACGTTAAAGCCACCGGAGGGTAGAGGGAAACAAGTAATTGGTCCTTCGTCCCTCTTGGCGTGGACATTTTGCCTCATCGGGTAGGGATGGCCCCTTCCGTGAAGGATGAGACAGGATTGTTTAAGCTAACGGCGGGTGGGGATCTGGTTGTCAGTGCTTTGATTGAGACCGGCACTCGTTACGATTCGGGTCGGAGAATTATCCACTGCGGGAGAGGCGTTGGCATGTGGTCTCGGTCTGGACGGGCAGGGAGGGCCGTGAGGTAGGTTCTGGGTGCTGGTTGAGGTCCGGGGAGGGTCTGTTTAAGGTATCTAGCCGTCTAGGTATGGGTTGCTGGTACAGCCAGGTTATTATTGAAATCGTATACTCGCCCCCACTCTCTGGGGGTCCGGCTTGGGGGCGAATATAGAAATGGAATAAGGTTACCCTGAAGCACACGCATCCGTCGACGGATTGAAAGACCAGACTAGGCTAGGCTATCAGGCTCTTCAATAATCTCCGTAGCAGTCCCTGCTCCACCATAGCCGTTTGTTTCTTCCCTAGTGCCTTTCCCTCCGTAATTTGTAGACCCCCCAAACCTGAAACGAAGCTACAGAGTAGGAGTGGATCAATAACAAGCTCGACAACGCCAACTTTAATTTCGGTTGATGTCGTCCCGACCCATTCATCCACATGACGAAAGCCGAACGACTTGTGGACCCATCACTTGGGGGTCCTTCCCGAATGGGATTGTATACAGTGCATGCCGCGAGGGAATGGTTCCCGGTGTACACAGGTGATGTATCATGTCGGACCGTACCTGGCCCCGCGGCATCAAGCCCGTTGTCGATCACACGAGACCTGGATATGATACAGCGCACATGCATGCAGCGGCCATCACGGTGCCAGCGGATCTGTATACATCAATGGACATCTCTCACCGTAAGTTGACCAACGATGTACATCATCCATACATCCATGGAGTGATCTGAGCGATTTCAAATAACTCGAGCGAATCGCTGCGGATATCTACAGGTCCTTCAGCAGTCTTGGCTTCATGGTGGAGTCGCCCTGACAGCCAGGGGAGGTGGAGAGGATCGTCCACCAGGACAAGAAAACCCTTGGAGATGATCATTTCCACATGCGCGACGACTCGGCACGATGGTGCGACCGCATCGCAGCGCCGCGGGTGGTTGACTGGTCAGATATCCGCAGAAAGGACGGTCATCCTAGTGATAGACAGTCCAGTATATCGGCAATAGGGCGATGGGAGAGCCCTACCGTCGATGATTAATGGTGTGAGTTAATATTCTCGACGATAGCGCCGAACCGACCCAATCATGTCCGGTCGGTATGGTGGAGAGTCGGCAGTGGTAGCGTTCGGGCAATCCGGTAGACAGGCAGTGATTGGGCGCCAGAGTTGGGGATGTCTGGGTCCGATCCGAGGCGGTCGACGAGATCTCATACTCCGATTCAATTCGGCATCCTCAGTGGTCAATCTGGTTCCCGTGGAAGTATGGTTCAGCCCCTATTAATTCGGGTTGCCCTGGCGCCACACTCCAATAGTCGCAGTTCCAGAAGGACCACTTTGCCCTGGTCAATGCTTGGGATCCAGTCCGCGTGGTTCTTTGGTGTGTCGATCAGCCACTAGTTGATTCTTCCCCCACCTCGTGCCCCCGAAAGGAACGGGGCAGTCGACCAGGGGCCGAATATTAGAGTGATGCTATCTATTCACGGTGGAGGCCAGTCTCTTCTCTTCCCTCCTTCTCTCTCCTTCTCTACACACTCCCTATCACCCACACCCATACCCTCGTTGACCCCCAGACATGCTGTGAAAGTCCACCGCTTCGGGTACGTTGAAAATCCACCGACTGGTCTTGCCCTCGTGCTACTCCAGGGGCGAAAGAAAATGCCCCCAACCCCTCTGTCCCTCACGGCCAGGCTGACGATGTCCCAGGATGATTTAGGATTACGTTTCCACCCAGTGTCCTCTTTCTCTTTCCTGGCCCCGTTTTTATCCAGGGCCGCCCCGGGCGCTTGATTTCCTACCGAGACTTTTTTTTATTTTTTTTTTTTTTTCCCTCCTGGTCAGCCTGGATATATACCCGCCAGCCGGACCAGGGTTGCCCAGCATGCGTCCCTTTAAAGCCTCCGACCTCCTGGACGCGGGGACCCGTTCGCGCAGCACCTCCGTCTCCAGCGACACGCACCTCACCCGAGTCAGCCTGATGTCCCCGCCGTTTGTGACGCCGCCGCCGGCCTTTATCTCCTCCTCTGCCGCTTCCGAGATCATCACCGCCGACCAGGAGTTCAATGCGGCCGACTTTGTTGCCGAAGACGACGAGGGCGCCTCCGTCGGCGCGACGGCCGTGGTCACGCCTGCGGCGCTGTCGCTGCTGAACGGGTTTCTCGACAACATCCTCTTCAATATCCTCGGAATCTCCAAATCCACCCAATTGACCTGCATTCGCCCTGCCGTAACGGATGTGCTGAAGCCCCGACTTGCGGCAGAAGTCGTCACGGCCGCCGATGACGAATTGAGCGAATACATGGGCGGGGCGGAGGACGAGGAACATGAATTTCGGGGGGGCCAGGAACCTGGTGGGGATTTTGACCTGATCCGGTCATGGAAACTCACCCGTCTCCGCTGCATGGTCTACACGCGCCTCGGCGACATGGAAGAGGACGACGAAGACGAGTTCATCGCCCAGGACAGCTTGGGAGACTCGCACGGCGCACCGCGCCGGTTTTCCAGCCATGTCGACAATATCACCCCGGCCGCAGCCATTTTCCTGACTTCGATCATTGAATATATTGGCGAGCGCGCCCTGGTCATTGCCGGAGAAACAGCGCGGTCTCGGTTGTCAGTCAAGCTGAACGATAATGGCAGCGAAGACGCAGACCGAACCAGCATCGATCGGCTCGTGGTGGAGGACCTGGATATGGAGAAGCTGGCGCTCAATGCAACCCTAGGCCGCCTGTGGCGCACATGGCGCAAACGCAGACGCGGAAACACCTTGTCTCGCACGTTGTCGCGCGACTCCTTCCACCGCCGGCGATACACCACGATGGGTGCCAGTCGCAAGAGCAGCATTTCTACCATCGAGGAACCGGTCACACCCAGAGACATTTCAGCCGAGTCTGATCCAGCTTCGATACCCCTGCCCATGAACGACCACGATATTCAAGAAATTGAAATTCCTGGTTACAAATCGGATCTCGACGCTGAGGTCCAAACCATGAAAGCCATTGTCGCTCACAAAGTGCGCCCGCGCAGTTTGATGGTTCTTCCCTCGCCGCTGCCACCGAACTCGCCGCTGGCGTCCAAGGAGCCGCCATCGAGTAACGCGTCTCCCGTGGACCCCACCAGCCCCGATCAACGCAAGGTGATCCGTCACGTTCGCTCAAGGTCGTTGCCAAGCTCCACATCCAGCCCGGTGGTGCAAGTCACATCAGGCAAAGAATCGCTAAAATCGCCCACTTCCGACAAGCAACAGGAGGCTGTGGAGGATGACGATGAATCCGCAGAGTTTGTGGACGCGGCTGAGTCCGCACCTGGCTTGGCTATTAGCACGCCTCCCGCAGCTGACGAGTTTACACCCGCTGAGAGGCAGAGGATGTCTGTGGTGCCCGAAGAGGAAGAGGAAGCGACTCCGCACCCGGACAACTTGCATGGGAGCGACATGGTAGCATCCTTGCGGTCCAGGGATACCGGCGAACCCTTGAGTGAGGTCTCATCCCTGAATGAGCGCGATTTGCGGACCAGTGATCAAGCGTCGATCTCACCTATAAGTGAAAACGGCAATGACAACTCCGAGATCATTGAAGGTCGGGGCACGTACGAAAAACCCAAACAGACTGCTACGGTTCAACGCCCGAAACGCAAATCCAGCAGGGGTATCACGCAGCCACCGCCGATCTCCGCAGAGGCTATTCTACCACCGACGCAAGGGGCAGAAACCACGCACCTTGCGAACGAGGCTATCAAGTCTTCTACAGACTATGATGGCATGGATGGTGATGTACATAAATCTCCCATGATGGCCGCCCTGGGACATGACCGGCAACCAGAGGAACCGCGACCAGATTCAACTTCGAGCGATTATTCACAGCGATCGCAGAGCTCCCGTCGTCACAAGCCTGCGCCGTTAATAGTCACGGCTAGCAACCAGAGCAGTTCGCGCCGAACCGACTCCAGCAGTTCGACGGCGACCGAACGAGCCGCTGTCCAGCGAATGCCTCGGGCATCGACATCCGTGCCTACCACCGCTGTTCAAGTTCGACCGAGTCGCTCCGAGAGCCTCAATCAGCGCCCGATGACCGCAAACTCGACGACATCTCAGGTGTCCACCAAACTGAAAGGGTTTATAAGCCGTCAGCCAGGCGACTCTCCCTCCCTTCGTCTTCGTAGCTCGTCTGACACGAGCCGGGCTTCTGGTGACACCGGGGACTCTGCTGCGGACGACGGCACGGACTTGGACAAGTTAATCAACAGTGACGAGACTATCCATTACACGCTGACTCCTCGAAGCGTGCGAGAAATGGGCTTCCCTGACCTGCCGCCCAAGCCGATTCCTCGGTCCGACACAGCGGGTACTTCAGACCTGGCAGATTTCCTGAAGAACACCGGTCCTCCCGGAAACGACATGCCCCGATCACGGCCCTCTGTCTCTTCCAAGACTAACGGTGACTCACCAAAGTACGTTCCCATTGCATCACGCATGAGCACATCTTCGGCGCGGGGGAAGGCGCCGGTCCTGGCACGAGACGCTCGATTGGGCGGTGATTCGACCCGGGACCTGGCCGAATTCATGAAGGCTACCGGTCCCATCGACGGACCGACCAGTGCCCCGTTGAAGCATAATATACCCAAAGCTTTGCCTGCCACGCCTGTCTCGTCTAACTCGAACCGACCTCGACTGCAGGCTCGCGGTGCAGACGATGTAGCGGGAACTTCAGATCTCATTGATTTCATCCGGGAAGGGCCACCTCGGCCTGGAGGCGCCCACCGCATTCCTCGAACGGTTGCACCCTTCCGGAACACCGTTGACTCGGACGACCTACAGCTGGATCAGGCCACGCGCAACTCTCTTGCGAGCACGCAGGATAGCTCCGTTCCCTCTTCCGGCTCGCGGACAGCACTCCTCGACTCCGCGAGTCGCCTGAAGGGCCGAATGGAGTATGCTGCTGCAAGTAAAGCTGCGGCCCAAGACGCCCCTGCACCTGTCCGCAGGAATCGTTTCCAGGCCGCGCCAGACCCTTATGCCATTGACGATGACGAAGATGACGACCTACTCGAAGAGCTGCTAGAAGCAGAAGAAGCAGCCAAGCCCAAGCGGCAGGAGGAAAGCCTAATGGATTTCCTGCGCGACGCTCCTCCTCCGCCATCGAGCGATCAGCCGCCCCAACCTCTGTCAATCAACATCCCTCAGAACAACAACCCCTCTTCCCACGGATTTGCAAGCGACTTCAAGTCCCGGCTGCTTCGTTCCGCTGGAGGAGATCGGACGGACAGGTCCCCGTCCACAAAATTATCCAGGACATCTCTTCGCTCGCAAACGAGCAACTACGCCGCCCCGCCCTCGAACTACACGACCAAGGTTGGCATCGAGCGAAACGCCGGCACCATGCCTACCATGCCCAGCACGTCTAACCGTACAACGGAGACAGGCGCTCTGGCCGACTTCCTTCGGAACACTGGACCCCCGGAACCAGTTTCGCCGCGGCCATCGTCGAGCTCGATGGGGAATAACATGAACCAGACATTCTCGCGCCTGTTCGTGCGTCGGAAGAAGGTTGAAGCTTAACTTTCTGTTTCTTTCCTTGCTTCCTTGAGCGAATTCAAGCCGTTGTGACGATTGCCATCCATCCGCCCTGATAATGTCCATCATTTTTGGCATCTGTTTTCTTTTAGTCCGACGATCTGTCCATCCTTCTTGTGTATAAATTCTCATGTCCTCCTCCCGACTGCTTACTATCTTTTGATCTTCTGCGTGGGCGAAGCCTGGTGGCACTTCTCTGTTTCCGATCTGCACCACTTCTGGTTAATTTTTTTTCTTTCTTTTTCTTTTCTCCTTCCCCAACGCGCATGCAACGTTCTTTCGGGGATGAAAACGATTATCTGATATACTCGTGTCCGTTCTCTCTGTCTGCGCTTTGACTGGGATGTCCTTGGATTGCTTTGTGGAATTGCGCTAGATACCAATTTCTTTCTCTCTGTTATTGTGTCTACTATTTGAGCTTGACGCAAGAAAGTACCTATTTGATCTGTTTATGACCTTCAATCTACTGTACTTTAAAACTCTAGTTACATTGTTCTTCATCAGTATTAACAAGGAATCCGTAGAAGGAAGAAGAATCCGCATCTCATAGTCCATAACACTGTATTCTCAAAAGGGAAGGCGGAACCCCCTGTCCTGTGATCCCGTGACCGTCCCCTTAGGTGGCATCAACAAGCAGCACAACATCAACTGCTTTGCATCCGGCACGCCATTCCACTCCACACACTCACAGCCAGCCATGGGCTCCTCCCGGTTCAACATGGGGTCCCTCCTCAGTCTTTTCCTTCTCGTCATCCAGATCGCCTCGGCCCTGAAATTCGACCTTTCCGCCTCCGCGGGCTACGGCAGTGCTCACGAGCGATGCATCCGTAACTTCGTCGCCAAGGACCAGCTCGTCGTTGTTACGGCTATCGTAAGCGGTCAGAAGGGGGATGGACAGAAGGTCAATATGCATGTAAGTGAATTGCTCACTGCGGAACTGCTCAGGTTTCTTGTTTTTGCTTCCCTTTTGTTTTTTTGGCACCCTACACGCAACGCGATAGCAACGACTAATAATGTTCCCTGAAATACAGATTCGGGATGCTATGGGCAATGACCACGGCAAAGCCAAGGATATTGCTGGCGAGACTCGCCAGGCTTTCACTTCACCGGGCGACACTGCCTTTGACGTGTGTTTCGAGAACCAGCTTGTTGGACGCAGTAAGATTCCCGAACACCCCAAACGGTCCCCTCCCTTTTTCTGACATCAGTTATCAACAGGCGGCGTCCAAAACCCCTCCCGCGCCATCGAACTCGATGTCGACATTGGCGCCGACGCCCGCGACTGGTCCAGCATCGCCATCACGGAGAAGCTGCAGCCCATCGAGGCTGACCTCCGCCGCATGGAGGAGACGGTCGCGGAGATTGTGACAGAGATGGAGTACCTCCGTTCGCGCGAGCAGAAGCTGCGCGATACCAATGAGAGCACTAATGAGCGGGTGAAGTGGTTTGCGTTTGGGACGATGGGTATGCTCGTGGGCCTCGGGGCTTGGCAGGTTGTTTACCTGAGGGCTTACTTCCGGTGCGTACACCTTTCCCATCATGTTTTCTGACTTGAAATCGTGCTGGTTACATTATTGGCTAACATTACTGCTTCTAGATCCAAGCATCTCATCTAGACGATTGCATTTTTTGTGAAGATTTTTTGGGGCAAGGGGTTTCACTGCAGCACACGGTGGGGAGTAGTTTTTAATGTCTCGTGGCATTCTGTTCCAACACTCATGATGGTCTCAATCGTATAAAATATTCGCTGTCCTGTCTGTCCTGGCTGCAGGCTGGTGGTCATAATCAAGATGTGCTATAATGTTCGAATTGCTCACCACGCGACCAGTAGTGTATGTAGCCGAGTCTCTGCTGGTCAGATTTGTAGATCGATAATAATTGCTGCTCCTTTGATACTCAGCATATTCTAAAATCATAATCTTATTTGGTCCATCGACATAATCACCCTGAGCTGCCTGTTTACTCCATTGCAAACAGTGCAAACATCGGAGAAACACGCCAATGACTCGGGGATGATGTCAAGCTCCAACCGAGCGACTCGCCATTTCTTCCTCTGGCCAACTACTGCACCCTCACCGAGGCCTGCGATCTGCTACAATGTCCATCCCGCGACTCATTCCACGAAGCCTCCTACGGCCATCGCCATTCGCTCCCAGTGCCGTTCCAGCATCCAGCCGTGCATTCGGCACCACGGCTCTACGCCTGCAGAATGTCAAGGTCAACGACCGCGTCGCTTCCACGGCGCCAGCACATCGCGAGAACCAGACCAAGAAGCAGCCTAATCAGTATGTGCCGAATACAACCTCCACCATGACCAAGGACTTCCCCAATGTCGGGGAGAAGCCCTCGCCTCCGGAGATGCTGAACTCCGTGGATCCGAACTACCGTCCAGCGGATCCTTACCCCGGTAGAATTGAGCATCTCACGGGTGGACGGCAGCAGAACGGCGCGCAAAAGCCTGAGCTTGGGGTTGGGGAGATGGAGGGGATTACCTTCAAGGTTGAGCCGCTGAAGAGGGCTGGGGAGGATGCAGCGACTATGCGGGCTCGGTTACTATGTTTGTTCACCCCCTGCGTACAGATCTGTCTTTATATAAAGATGTCGTGCCTCAAGCAAAAGGTGAAAGCTAATAAATAAAATCCAGACCAAAGCCGGAAACGCGGCATCCTGGAATCCGACCTGCTCCTCTCGACCTTCGCAAACGTCTACCTCGCGCAAATGACTCCGGCCCAACTCCAGGAATACGACCGATTCCTTGACGAGAACGACTGGGATATCTACTACTGGGCCACGCAGGACCCGCCGACTGCGGACGCGCAAGAAACAACAGCCTCTGCTGAGAAGCCCCAGGACACCGTCACGGAAACCTGGAGGCGCACTGGCGCCAAGAGCGGTGAATGGGCGCAAACGGTCGGTGCCTTCAAGGCTGCGTATCGGCCTGTGCCGTCACGATGGGCTGACTCGGAGGTCTTGCGGCTTCTGCGGCAGCATGTGCAGGATAAGAGCGCGGTTGGGTTTGAGTCGGCGAGGAATAAGAAGACCGGGGGTGGGGGCTTGGGGCGCATGCCTAATGTGCAGGTGTTTAACTCGTGAGCATCTGCGAGTGTATTATTATTATAGTTGTAGAAGAGAATGCCATTCCATATCCTCGACTTTGCAAGTCTATACTTAGGCTTGGCGATCATCACGTGACTGGACTCGCTTGTTAGGGCTGCCCACAGAAAAGTTGGCTTAGGGTTACCCGCTCTCTGCGATTTTCTCCAACGACATCTCGTCAACCCCATTACTCTCTCCTTCCCCCCTCCATCCGTCTCAATCCTCATCATGGCTGAGCAGCTGGTTCTTCGCGGCACCCTCGAGGGCCACAATGGCTGGGTTACCTCTCTGGCTACCTCTCTGGAGAAGTAAGGCGCATCCAAAATTACGGGTTGATTGCATTGAAGACTAACTCGGATGGCAATAGCCCCAACATGCTGCTGTCGGGCTCCCGCGACAAGACCCTGATCATCTGGAACCTCACCCGCGACGAGCAGGCTTACGGTTACCCCAAGCGCAGCCTGGAGGGTCACTCCCACATCGTCTCTGACTGTGTATGTTCTCGTCCCGAATTGCAAAAAAAAAGAGAACACAAGCGGCAGGGAATGGAAGCGGTTTTTCTGGAACTGGGCTGATGATTGGTCTGCACTATAGGTGATCTCCTCCGACGGTGCCTACGCTCTGTCCTCCTCGTGGGACAAGTCGCTCCGTCTCTGGGAGCTGTCCACCGGCAACACCACCCGCACTTTCGTCGGCCACACCAATGATGTCCTCTCCGTCTCGTTCTCCGCCGACAACCGTCAGATCGTCTCCGGCTCGCGTGACCGCACCATCAAGCTGTGGAACACCCTGGGTGACTGCAAGTTCACCATCACCGAGAAGGGCCACACCGAGTGGGTGTCGTGCGTCCGCTTCAGCCCCAACCCCCAGAACCCCGTCATTGTCTCTGCTGGCTGGGACAAGCTCGTCAAGGTACGCTATCTCTCTTTCCTTCCTCCCGAACCTGTTGCAGCAGCACCCCGGACCACATGATGTTTGCATATTCTACGTATTTGCTACTTCAGAGCCCTATTCTGGGCGATGAGACAATTTTTCACCATAATGCCTGATGGAAAACAAAGAGGAGGAAATTTTTCTTCACAAGAACACACATCTATCTTGTTGAAATTTTATGCTGACAAGCGATTTCACAATCAGGTGTGGGAGCTCGCTTCCTGCCGTCTCCAGACCGACCACATCGGTCACACCGGCTACATCAACACCGTCACCATCTCGCCCGACGGCTCGCTCTGCGCCTCCGGTGGCAAGGACGGCACCACCATGCTCTGGGATCTGAACGAGTCCAAGCACCTCTACTCCCTCCACGCCGGTGACGAGATCCACGCTCTCGTCTTCTCCCCCAACCGCTACTGGCTGTGCGCTGCCACCAGCAGCAGCATCACCATCTTCGACCTCGAGAAGAAGAGCAAGGTCGACGAGCTGAAGCCCGAGTACGTCGAGAAGGGCAAGAAGTCCCGCGACCCCGAGTGCATCAGCCTGGCCTGGTCCGCCGACGGCCAGACCCTGTTCGCCGGTTACACCGACAACAAGATCCGTGCCTGGGGCGTTATGTCGCGGGCATAGATGGAGTCTTTGTGTGTACGTGGTGGATTGATGGATGATGGGTTGACTGGTCAAGCGCTGTATGGAGGGAGCCTCTATTCTTTTCTTTTTTGATCTATCGACCTTGAATGAAGAGGGCAATTTAAAAAAAGTTCAAAAAATTACCCGCACAAGAAGAGCAAAATGGGCATATAGGTTGTTTTTGGGATGTATGAGCCACGAGCAATGAAGCAAGCACTCTGGGTCCGATGGGCCCGGTGGGTTTCTTGACATATCTAGCTTACTTCGGTCCGTCATGATAAAATCGAAATATCTAGATTCTTGTGATAGCAAAGAGATACCGTAGGTTGGGCGCGTATAGTCCGTCGATGGATACGGTATACCCTCCATAGGGAAAGATAGGTAGAAGCCCTATTCGGTCGAAAAGAGAGAGGCGTCCATTCTTGCTGGATATATATATCATCTTATGTTCATATCGTACACATTGACTACAACTATTTCTTTGAAACTCTTTCCAGCGCCGCGTCCGTCATGGCAATTCCTTCCTCATACTGAAGACCCTTTGCCAGCGACTGAGCCTCAATGTAGAGCTGGCGTGCCGCGTTCGGCTTGTTCTGCAACTCAGCCAACTCGCCGAGATTGTAGGTGGCCACGACGCAGGTGATGTCGCACTCTTCATCGCGCACAGGCGGCTGGATACGCGCCGCCACATCCAGAGCTTTCTGTGCCCACTGTCGGGCTGCTTCGATGGTCTGTTCCCGAGAGACCGGTTGCTGCTGCTGCTGCTGCTGTTTTTGCTGCCAGCTACGAGGCGGAGCCGTCGGCCGCTGTGCCTGCCCAGCCATGGCGCTGGCCACGTCGTTCAGAAGAACAACCTGCTTGCAGCTAGGCGAGTCGCCCTCTGTGACGCGGATCATCTCCAATGCGCGCATGTAGAGCGGCATGGCTAGCTCGTGCCGCTCCTTGGCCGAGTAGGTGGTTGCTAGCTCTGTGAGCGCTGTGGCAATCTCTGGCAGGCTCAGCCATGAATCGGCGTCGGATCCATCACTATTACCGCTGCCACCACTACCACCACCACCAACAGGGAGACCAAGCTTCTGACGGCGGTGCATCTCTTTCAGACACAGTTCCACAGCGGCGACCTGCGCAGCCTCCGCTTTCTGATCCTCCTGGATATAGTCGCTCGAGTACAGCTCTGCCAATTTCATCTCTATGCCGATGACCTTCTGGAGCGTCTTGGTGCGCTGACGAGCTTCAAACTCCTGCGTTTCCTTCAGAACCTTCTCTGCGTCCTGGAGCACCGCATCGTCAATTTGAACATTGACATTGGATGGCGTGGACTTGTCCTCCTTCCTCAATACGTCCGGCGCAGCAGTTTCCTTCTCGAGTCCTTCGACCCACTCCAGGGCCTCAGTCTTCGTCCGCTCCAGCACCTCAATAGCCGGCTTCATCAAACCCGCCTTCTCCAGCATCATCGCCACCTGCAGCTTGATACCCATAACCTCGTCCGAGAACGGGTGCATGCCCATTTCCAGCGCCATCCGCAGAGCTGCCTTGTACGCCTTCAGCGCCTTGGGCGCGTTGAGGTTGATCTCCGTGTAATACACCCCCGTGCGTAGTGCGTCTGCTACGGGCGGCGGGAATTTGCTGTACTGGGGAGCCACCTGCGTCAATTCCACGTAAGAGATGTAGGCGAAAGTGGCGACGCCGCCTACGACGGAGAGGATGGCTAGCGGGAGGAGAATTGGGTTCTTGCGCCAAATGCCTTTGGAAGCTTCGCGGAAGCTGCGTCGGATACGTTGCGCAAGCGAGAAGTGTCGCGGTCGTGGGAGGCGCGGTGTGAGTAGTGTGTTGACGTGAATGGTGTGTCGCGAGAGCAGCGTTGGTCGTGCATTGTCGGTGCATATTGATCGCGTCGTGCATTGAAATACGTTGGAGGCAGAGGCGCCGGTGCGCCTTAATGCTATTCGGAACATTAGGGGCTGTGTGATGGTGCGGTGAGAGAGAGGGAGGGTTTGGGAGAAATGAAGAAGACGATGTGATTTTGTCAGCTCAACTGACTTCCCGCCATGACGTCGCGACCTCTGGAAACCGAGTTAACCACCACAACAAAGCAGATGAATTAAAACATACCACCGCAGACATGTGTGGCCGCTATGCCTTGGGCGTCGTAGGTTTTGTTCTATTTCTCACACCTACACGATTGTACTAACCATCACCAGCGCTTGGCGTACATCCAGCGGCGCCTCCAGGACCACGGCATGCAAGTGGATGAGGCGCCCGACGACGACGAGGTCAGAGAGACATACAACTTTGCTCCAGGAAGTTTTGGTGCTGTCTATCGTGCCGACATGCATGAGCACGGACATCAGCAAGCGGACAAGGAAAGCGAAGAGTCAACTGAGGCGCCAAACGAGGATGCCCCCAAAGACACTAAGTACAAGCTCCAGAGTATGAAATGGGGTCTCATCCCTTTCTGGACAAAGAAACAACCGGACTATGGCTCTATGATGCGCACGATCAACTGCCGCGATGATTCACTGATCGAGGACCGTGGCATGTGGACGACGATGAAGCGGCGCAAAAGGTGCATCGTGGTCTGTCAGGGATTCTATGAGTGGCTGAAGAAAGATCCCGGAGGCAAGGTGAAGATTCCACACTTCGTAAAACGCAAAGATGGGGATCTGATGTGTTTCGCCGGTCTATGGGATTGTGTATCATATGAAGGTGAGAGTGCCTTTCCAACTATGGTCTTTCTATCTGACCCTTGCTCTGTGGAAAAGGCTCCGATGAGAAGCTTTACACTTACACAGTCATCACGACCTCTTCAAACCCGTACCTGAAGTTTCTTCATGATCGCATGCCCGTTATTCTGGATCCTGGCAGCGATGCCATGAAGACGTGGCTCGATCCTGGCCGCACCACCTGGTCAAAGGAACTGCAGTCTATCCTCAAGCCGTATGAGGGTGAGCTAGAATGCTACCCTGTCCCGAATGAGGTTGGCAAGGTTGGAAATAACTCGCCTGATTTCATTGTGCCTGTGAACAGCAAAGAGAACAAGAACAACATCGCCAATTTCTTTGCGAATGCCAAGAAGAAGCAGGACTCATCCCCTAAAAAGGAATCTCCAGAGACGAAGATTTTCAAGCCCGAGGAGTTCAGTGATCCGGTGCCTGGCGTCAAGAGAGAACATACACCAGATACCCCGGTTGAACCCAAGAAACCCAAGATCCATGCAACTCCCGCAACGCCTTCACCACAGAAGACGACCAAGAAGATGCGTAGTGCTACTCATAATTCTCCTATGAAGAAACCCGGCGGGAAGAAACAAACGGATGGGTCGCAGCAGATTACCAATTTTTTCAAGAAATGATAACCGCTTATGGATAATGATCGCTAGGAAATAATACATAGTCCACATTGTCCGTAGGAAATATAATACAAGGTTTTCCTCCACATCCTATTTCTTCTCAAGTTCGCGCAATCTTTGCACCAACTTTTCTCGAAGGAAGGGGCTCAATCCCAAACTAAATATTCGATTAGCTGTATTTCTTAATGGGGAGAAAAGGAGGACTCACATTCCATCCCGAGTCACAATTCTGTAAGTGCCTACATCGGATTAGCATGGTTCGAACACCGCTTCTCAAGAAAGCATACCACTCGGTTGATAGTTCCCGTCGCCGCCAGCAAACTGACCGTTCCCCTCCACCTCCAAGCTTCCAAATATATCTTCCGGCCTGCAAAGCGGTCAACCACTAGTTACTCCCCAAACCACACGGTGCATCTTACCAAGCAATTCTTCCAAATTCAGGCGGCCGCCGGTTGTCAGATATATGGATCCAGCCGCCTCTGCCCCCGGAGCCCGCACCGCCTTGACCGCTGGCTCCGCCACTAGAGTCACCACTTTCTGCGCGGCGTCTTCTGCCTCGCTGCCCAGTCAGCAGCACGCCGCCGGAGCTCAGGCTTGCTCCGGACGTTGATGCCATGACCTGCGCCTGCGATTTGGCATCCGGATCCTCGTGCGCATGTTTGGATACCACATCTTGGAGTGTGCCTAGGAACCTGGGGTTCTCCGTGAATGAATCTGTGGTGGGCGGCAATTTGGTCGAGACTCCGATAGCTAGCTCGTGATTGACAGGATCGGTTGGAAGTAAGGAGAGAATGTGGCTTCCATTTGAGGCGTCCTTGTTGGGAAAGACATACTGTTCGAGGTATCAAGATCAATTGAAGCTTCCCCAGAATTTCACTTAGAGGCCTCTTACTATGTACGGTTTGCCCTCCAAAGATGATACCCAACGAATCTGAGATCGCTTAGACAATGAGAAGGCCTGACGACCAATTGATCTTGCGGTGAACATTTCCAAGGGCCAGTGACGAGTTGGAGAGAGGAAGAAAGTGGAAGTGTTGTTGTCGAAAAGAGGCAGAACATAAGGCGGTATGGGAAACGGTGAACCAAGCAACCATTCACCGACCGCTATTGTTGCTCCATTGATGACTTCCATCTTCACTTGCGCCGGCAGTCGTGGTCAATTGCAATGGGGGAGTTCCAGGCTGCAACACATATGAGTTGCGCTTCTCCATCGTGATCTCTCTTTTTACACCTCTCTCGATCCACGCACCCTTGGACCATCAAGTTCTTACGCTTCGAGACGGTGCTTCACTCTCTGCTTCATTCATGATACCCATTTGACCGCCTCGGTTTTCCTTGACTCTCTCTGACCATGGCGACTCCATCGGCGAAGCCAGCTGCGACTCCCATCCACCTGACGTCCTCTCCACACCCATCCGGGCCCATCCCTCGATCCTTCGCGCATAAATCACCCTTGACACGAACGCCGTCGGCCTCGGGACCCTCTCAGCTACACCAGATCAGCACTTCTTCTCTGCAATATGCCACACCGCTCGCTGTGACAAATGGCGTGGACGATACCGTAAGCTTCAGCTCGCCCTCTGCACTTTTGGCTCTTGGCGGCTATAGCGGGATCAGCCCCTCGCCCGCCGTCAATGATGGCCTTGTCGGCGCGGGAATGCATGAGAATGACATCCATAATCTGGGAATGGGATTCAAGCTCCGTGTTCCCCGAGACAATGACGCAGTACAGCAACGCCGGATTGAAGAGGTGGTCCAGTGTCTACGTGCGCGCGTTGCGGGGCGAGGTGTATCGCGGGAAGGAGTTGAGCGACTCAGCCGGCTAGAAGGATTTGAGTCAATCTGGCAAGAAGACAATATCAACATTGCGGGGAATTTCGTCGACCTTGAAATTGAGTTTCACCCTGGCCATAATGCTGTGAAGGACGTGAGCTTGCGATATGCCACGCCAGAATACACAGAGGGCGAACGGCGCGAGGAAGCCACTGCGGTATTGAAACGCAACCTTATTCAGTCTCCGCTTGATGCTGAACGTGGATATTGGAAGCCGTCCCAGGGATTTTACGAGAGCCTGCAATGGCTTGCAAAACATGATAAACTCAGCCAGGAGATCAATTGCTTTGAAGCATTGGAGGGACTGGAAGAGAACTTCAGACGGATATGGGGAGAAGAGGGCAAGACAGCAAAATATGGCGGAGATCATGAGCATCTCTGTACGGGGGGTTATTGGTCGCCCAAGCATGCATAAGGGAGCTCGAATTGGACTCGGCTTGGAGTACTGGGTTGGGCAGGCCAAGGTCCTAGATGCAAAAGAACAAACCACATCCCCTGACGCCATGGTGATTGACCGACCTGAACACCGTGATCTGGATGATCAGCCCCAGATATGGACTATTATGCTTGAGTGCGAAGAGGGATATCCCTCACTGCGCATCTCGAAAGAATGGGTGGGTAGCGAAGTCTTCACAGCGGGCGAGAGAAACGACTCCCTGCCTTCAAATGGCGCCGCGGGGTCTGTGAATTGGCTTGATCCTCCACAAACGATGCGTCTGTTGCATGGAAATCACCCTGATCCGATGGCGCTTGACTCGGGCATGCTGGAATCGTCCGCTCCAAACCGTCGGTTTGTCGCTAAGCTTGACCCCCCACTTGACGTCCCTATACTCGCAGCCTCAGAGATTTATCGACATCTGGGTATGCAGCTACCCCAAGAATTCAAAATATTCACTTATGACGGCTTGCTCGTACCGGAGTGGTCGCCATTGTCATCAGCAGATCCCTCCCATCATCCAGGCCGGAGAAGACAGACGATATCAATGCACGCGTTTGACTCGAAGGGTGCACCGTACAACAAACAACACAGCTACACTTTCCAGGCATTTGAGTCTGTTGCTGGTCGTACAATCCGTGATCTTCCATTTTCGCATCCTCGACAGCTTGCAGATATCCTTCCAGTAAGTATTTTGTCCTACTTGGAATCGTTGATCAGCGCTGACTGGGGTCCAGATTCTTCGTCAATATGCCTTGTTGGCCAGTTTGATCCGAACCACCTTTCACTCTCCAAAGAAACCAGACGAGAAAGAAAAGTCTTCTAAGAAGCAACCAAAGAGTTCCTCACCTGCCCTGGAACCAAGTATCTTTAAAGGTACTAACGGGCTCATCAACTTAAGCAACGACGATCCCAGCGAAAGCAGACTAGACTCATTGCTTAGCAAAAATGATGCAGATGACTCTGAAGACGGGTCAATCAAACGTAAGGACACAATTGGGGTACGCAAGGACGACGTGAAAGTGGACGTGACTTTGCGCACACAACTCGGACACGCTCCAGCGCTGATGTTGCTTCTCACAATACCCGATGGAACCGATCCAACTTCCTCTGAATCTACCCAGGCTGTGCCGGAATCTCGCCGGATTTCGATCTGCCTTGAAGTTGGATTGAATGGCCGGATTTCGACGGTGGATCTCGCTGGGCTTCTAGACGAGGAAATTGCGAATGGTGGGGACGCTGAGATGCAGGGGGCGGACGAGACCGACTCTAGCGCGCAGGAGATGCGCAAGAAGATTGCTAGAGTTCTCGAAATCTCGCAGGATTTGGGTATTTTGGTAGAGTGGGTACTCCGCCGGCTACGAGAACGAGCTGGCGCATAAAGTCGATTGCATATCTTTTGTCGGATACGATTGCTTGACATGCATTTCGACTAGTTTCTTTCGTCAACCAAATATAGATAATAAGTCTCTTGTATCATATGGATCGTTGAATGATCAGCGTCTACCTCAATTATAGCTGCTTTGGCAGTCATCCTATCTATTGCATCTGAATCAAAACTTGTCGCTAACTCCATATGAACACAAGCTCTTTATATTTGACGACTCCTCCCTATACCGAGTCTGGAGGCTCAGTGGGCGTATGATTAGTTTCACACTCACTCTTCGGGGCTGCAGACTCAGTTTTCTTGCTTCGATCCAACACGCGGATGCCTCGATGTTTTGCAGCCCACTGTTTACCTTCTTCCTGCAGCCTTGCATCATCATCGCGCTTGAGACTGTGGCCGCGGACGAAAAATATAGTTATGAAGAAAGATGTACAGCAGCAAGCGATCATGAAATAATATATATTTTGGATACCATGGGCTGCTGGCAGTCAGTAGGAGAAACGAGGTTCCGGCATATGGGACTTACTATAAGCTTGTGTGGCAGCCAATCTCTGAGACTCCGTGAGACCTAGTAGGCGGGAGTTAATTCGCGTGGGATCCGAAAGAAGATCCGACAGGGTATCGGGTGAGATCAAAGACGAAAGCTCAGTCCTGCAGGAGTCATCAAAAATCAGCCACTTAAACGCTCGAATATATGCTGCTCAAAACCAACCGGGCTGTATTGTTCAATATTGCAGCACAGGCCGATAGGGCTACCGTTCCACCCAACATGCGCAGGAAATTCCGAGTTGAAGTGGCAACGGCCATATCACTTCTCTTGACACTCGCTTGAATAGCCACCAGATTTGTCTGCAGCGTCTGGCCGGATCCAATCCCACTGAGAATTTGATACCCGACAAGCTTTGCAATGGAAGTAGTTGGGGAAATGGTCGAGAGGAGTCCGCATGCAATAGCCCAAATGGCAAACCCAACCCAAATGTTGATTGTATAGTTGCCTGTTTTGGAGACTATAAAGCCGGACGTAAAGGAAACGATGCATTGGGTGACCACGAGTGGGAGAAGAAGAACGCCAGATCTGAGGGGGGAGGCGTCGTAAACGACTTGGTAGAATTGAGGGAGCTGTAGATCATCAGTGCCGTGATCTTGGAGATCGGAATAGGAAGAGGGTCTCACATAGTATAGATTGCAGTAGAACATAAAGCCTGTGAAAAACGCTCCACCCAAGGCGCCAGAGACGGTTGTGTTTTTGAAGATGTGCACTGCCACAGGAAATCAGCGTTGTGAGATCAAGAATGACCACCGGGAGAAGAATATGTACTGGGAATGAGAGGCAATGCGGCCAGTTTGAGTTCAATCAGGACGAATATCCCGAAAAACACGATACCTAGGACAAGAGGAGCAATAACACCAGCTGAACTCCAGGCATATTTAGTTCCGCCCCTGTTATGATGATATCAGTACCAACTTGTTTTGGGCATGAGAATCCCACGAACCAAGAGATCGGGAGCAAGATAAGAATGGCGGAGATCAACATGGTTGCACACCCCAAATAGTCAATCTTCTTGAGCTTTCCCTTGACATCTCCCTTGACCCGTTTTAGAGGGAGAACAAACGCAACAACGAAAATAGATATGCTTGTTAGGGGGATGTTGATATACTATTATTCCCGTTAGCGGGGAGATATAGAGACAAAGCCAGAGATACCGGAACTTACAAAACACCACCGCCACGAAACCTTTTCCGTGAACAGTCCACCTATCAGAGGACCCAGCGAGTTGGACAGCGCAACCACCATCCCAAGAATGCCCTGATAAGTACCACGCTTTTTGAGAGAAACCACATCAGAAACGACGATCATGACAGAAGTCAAGATGCCACCGCCGCCAATTCCTGCGATTGCTCCTATGGGCCAATGCCATCAGACGCTTTGTGCTTGGAATCTTGGAAGGAAAGAATAATTGGACAGTGTGACATACTGAAGACGATAAGCATGGTCATGCTGCGCGACACTGCACACAGAATTGACCCGATCAAAAAGAAGCCCATGCTGATAAGGAGAATGATTTTGCGCCCAAAAATATCCGATAACCGGCCATATAGCGGTTGGCAAGAGGTTGAGGTAAGGAGATATGCGGTTCCGACCCATGACTCGATCGAGGCATCGTTGAATACACGGCCGAGAGTCGGCAGGGCGGTTGAGACACTATTGACATAGGTTAGTATTACTCAATAGATTTTGAGAGAGCCAAATATCGAGGTACATCGTTTGGTCCAGAAGCGAGCCTGGGATTTAGAGTATGCAGTAAGCAATTTATTGCTACAAATCCCATTTCAACGACAGACTCACAAAATAGAGCACAGCTCAAGCCAGCAAAAACAACAAGCAATTGTTTCATCGGCAGCAGATTTGTCTGGTCTTGGAGCTTCGTCTTTTCGTTGTCACTAGGCGCCGATGGAGGGGGTTTGGCCTCGACCTGGTCCGGTTGATCTTGTTTTGCGATTTCAGTTTTTTCACACTTGGTCTCTTCCATAGCGGCTGGAGGACGAGGCGGTGGTTGAGATGAATGCTCATCCATTATGAGTATACAATTGAAACTCTAACTTTGAACAATACTCGGTTGGGAAGAATGCACTATTTGAAGATCGATGACGAGGAGAAAAAAAAGGCAAGACTTGGCCGGAGACTTATCCGAATCTCGGAGATAATTGCTATTCCTGCCACTATCACCCCACCGAAGCCCGCTACGTAGAAGATAAGTAAGGAGTGCTCGCCTACGGCACATGTTCCCGCACGCTTCGGAGTCTCTCGCTTTCGCAAGCGAGCCTCCGGTTCCATTCAATAGCGCTAGTCAATGGACCCACGGTCTCCCCGCATTTAATTTGCTCCCCGCGGGGACCTAGATTCGGGTATTTCAATTTAGAGTCTCTGAATGGTGGGCAATAACGATGTTTTCCATGAACCGGTTTATATAAATGACACCTTAGGTCTACAAGAATGGGAAAGGAAACCGTCGTGCTGATTCTCCGATTCCGCTGATCCAGCCTCTCAGATTGGATCAAGATGTTGTCTCAAAACGACAAGGACGCCGACATTGCTCATGTCGAGGAGTGCGGACAGAATTCCGATCCAAAGAATCGCATTGTCACTCTTGCCGCTGCTCAGGAGTTAACCTTGCAAGAAGCAAAGAGCATCCGGCAGACTATCCGGGAGGATCGAAAAGTTTTCATGGTCGTTGGTGCGGCCTTAGTAAGTACAGAACTATATCTAAGTGATTAACAAATCCATTAACTCCCGTTTGTCCAGGCCAGTGCTCTTATTCTGGGAACGGATACCACCGCTGTCAACTCGCTCGTGGGTTCTCAATCTTTCTGTTATGTTATGGGCGGCGGATACATGGACGGCAATAAATATGCTGTGCGTCCTGAGACTGTTTCTATGTCTGTACCTGAGGCAGCGAAAGTTATTGAACAGTGACTAACTAATGTAATAGTTGGAGTGCCATCGCTGCGCCTGCCCAAGTCATAGGTCAACTCTCCATGGGCTTCATCGCCGATTTTTTTGGCCGCCGCGCAGTCATCTTCTTCAACCTCGCTGTCATGATAGTTGGAGTAATCATTGAGTTTGTGGCACCGAATTGGAAAGTCTTCGCGGTAGCCAAGTTTCTGCTCGCTTTCGTATCAGGCCTCACGCAAGCGACAGCACCAATGTATATCAGCGAGCTGGCACCACGAAATGCACGAGGCATGATTATCTCATTGTTTCTGTTCATCGGTGAGTTGTCGTGTAGTTTAAAGCAACTGGGATCATTGATTGACTCAAAACAGGGAACTTTGGGGACATGCTCTCCGTCATCCTCTGTTATGTTGGCCAAGAAAGATGGCCTGAGGCATCAAATAAGTGGGCATATCGCATGCCACTGCTCGTCTGTCTTTGTTTGCCCGTTGCAGTACTCTGTCTGCAACTTTTACTTCTTTGCGAGTCCCCGTCATGGCTCATCATGCATGGTAAGACGGAGCAGGCAAAGAAGACATTAAAGTTCATGTACCCCAATCGAACACCAGAAGAGCGTGATATGATCTATGCAGAGTATGAGTATACTCTCGGTCAGGAGGCAGAACAGAGGAGCCTCGTGCGTATTATACTCTGCTATCAGCAAGAAGTAGGCCTTAGCTGACTTTTACTCGTTTTCTGCAGATGAAACAATCATCCTTCGCAGACTGCTTTAAAGGAACTGATCTGCGGCGGACTTTTTGCGCTTTCTTTCCACCTATCACATCATCACTAGCGGGCAATGTCTTGACAGGTCCGCAAAAGACCTACTTGTGAGATTTCTTTTAGACTTCTGATCTGAGCCATACAACTGATTAGTCTAGCTTTACACTCTCCGGTCAATCGAATTCGCTTGCCTCTACATGCATTGCTATTGCAATTGGTATAGTGGGCATTACTTTTGTCTTTTTCCTAAGTGAATACAAACATGCAGGGCGACGAAGGCTTCTTCTTACCGGTCAGTCTGGTCTTTTAATCTCGATGAGTAAGTTCTTACTGTTTCCTTTTGATTTCATTTGGAATTTATTAATTGTAACCCAATAATAGTTGGTATTGGAGTTACCGGTCTTACTAAACCCACACCGTACTCCTCAAGCACCGGCAAGATCATGCTGGGTTTTCTATGTGTTGGGGTGTTCAGCTCCATCTTAGGCCCTAATGGTTGTGGGTGGATTTATGTCGGTGAATCTGGCTCATTGCGACTTCGAGCAAAGACTGCAACATTAGGAACAGTGGGCAACGGAGTCGCAGGTGTTGTATATAATGTTGCTATTCCGTACATGCTCGAGACCAACCGACTGGGAGTTGGAGGTTCAGCTATCTAGTAGGTCCTGAACTCCTACGACCAACGCACCAGACTCACACTTTCTAGCTTTGCTGCATTTGGCGTCATTAACATAATCGTCACATTTCTATTTGTTCCTGACTTCACTGGTCGGTCATACGCGCAGATCGATGAACTGTTCGCCCGGAAGATTCCTGCGCGCAAGGTCAGTTGCTGATACGTCTATGATATATTCCTTTTTATATATCTGTTCAAAATGCTAACAAACAGATAGTTTCGCACTACGGTCTGCACGGGCAATTATGGACGAGATATCCTTGGCCAAAACCAGACGGTGGAGAGCGAAATGGGTGAGAAGGAACAGGACTAGCACCTCAAAACATTATATATCTGGAAACTTTGTAGTTGACTTAACTTGCGTTACTTCTGTTCTCGGCTTCTATAATTTTCTAAAATGTCAGAGAGGGTGCTCTCTCTAAGGAAACCATGCCAAGTTTTGGTCGCTGTAAATCCAACTCGGAAGCCAGATTCCTACCGTATAACTATAAAATATAGCTTCTTTTTTGGTTGATTTTTAGATAGGTAGGTTGCTTAATGAATGGGGAAGGGTATAATGAAGATCTATCAATAATAGTATGGAAAATGGACCAGCTAACAGACTCGCAGATTAACAGCGCCATGAAGTGGACCTCTTACTATAAGTCAACTCAGCGATTCGTCGCCTTAATCACATACTCCTCCGAGGCCTTCACTTGAGACTATTGGTTGGCACATCACCAAGTCCGCTGTGCTTGAAAGTACTCCTTCCAAAATGTTTCCCTTTCTTTGTTCTTTGCGTTCGGTATCATCCTTTGCTCTCTGCCTAACTCCATGACGTGACCTTCATCCTCTGCTGCACTGGGCCAGTGAACCAAGCTGTTACCATTAGGATTACCCGTCTTGATGAAATTGGCCCAGTACTCGCTGACTTGATTAGCCACTTCCCGGTCAACTTCATCGAACGGCTGATCGCGATCGGTCCAGAGTGAGTCAAATGCATACGGAATCTCGGCCGCGTGATAGGCACCGGTCTTGGACCCGTTGAAGTAGACGTATCCCTTGGCTTTAGGTACAGGATAGTCTGTCTTAAGTCCTCGCCTTTGCGGGGGTGCATGTACAAAGTGGTAGACAAAAACGGAGGACTTCGCGTACTGCCTCCACAAGTCGTAATGCAGATGTGGACCAACACGAGAGTTGTCCTGACACGCTACATTCCACTTTTGCAGGGCTGTTCCTTCATCGCCATACAAATCAAAGAAGCGACTGGCAAACGCTCCATATTTCAGCGGCGCAACTGATTCTAGATCATCATCGTTGAAATCGGGGTGTGTATAGTTGCCACCCTCGTCCTTATTCTGCCCATTCAGTAGAGGAACATCGTTCATCATTCCTTGCAGAAGAGTCTCCTCATATGTTCGGGGAAAAAGCCACCCATCGAGACAGGCTCGGTAGAAGGGAGGTGGCCCCCACATAGTCGTGTCGTCGCGGTGATTTCCCTCGAGCAGATTGTCCAATTCCATAGCCCGCAGCTCCGCTATATCAACTGCACCTTTCTCGGCCAATATCATTTCCCCTTCGCTCTCGGCTTGCGTTTTAGTGCGGTACGATGGAGCAAGACAGGAAATCAACGGATCACGTGGATGTCGGCATCCTGACTGGAAGATGGCGCGGTGGAACAGACCCTTCGACTGGGGACCGTATACATGCAGCCCAACACAAGCAGATCCAGCCGATTGGCCGCCGATAGTAACTTGAGAAGGATCCCCGCCAAATGCAGTAATGTTGCGCTGGATCCATTCTAGACAGGCGATCTGATCAAGCAATCCATAGTTGCCGGAAGCGTTGTGCGGCGATTCTGCTGACAGACCGGGATGCGCTAGCCAGCCCAGAATACCGAGACGGTAATTGAAAGTGATAACAATGGTACCCTTGGCAGCGAGGGAGCTACCGTCAAAGTTGTTGTCCGATCCAGCCCCCCAGAGGAACTTGCCTCCGTATATCCAGACATAGACGGGAAATTTGGCTTTGCCGACATCATTAGACTGTTCAAATGATTAATCTTCCGTTTCTATCAAAATGTACGATCCATACCTACATTTGCAAGCGTCCAGAGGTTGAGATTCAAACAGTCTTCGCTCATCGGAACTGGCTTCTCCGTCCAATACAGGGGCCCCGGCGGCAGCTGGGGCGCAATTGGACCAAATTGGGAGCAGTCACGTACACCGGACCATCCCTCGGCTGGTTGAGGAGGACGCCATCTGTTGGCACCAGCTGTCGTGGCAGCAAAAGGAATGCCCCGAAAGACCGTGACGCTGGGCTTGTGTACGGAGGGAATCCCCGCAACAAGCCCCGTTTCGATGGAGACGGGATCTGGGAGCGGCATGAGAGTGTGTCAAAAGCAAAACCAACAAGAAGGTCACATCAATATTACTGAAATTCACCTAGAAGACCGGCGGAGAGTCCAGTATAAGACTAGCGGGGTGCGTCGCTTCCTCGGCTGGACAGTGTCGCTTCGCTCCGAATCCCCCGCTCCTCCATTAACACCCCGGACTTGCTCTCTTCCCAACACAAATAGTCCTATCATGAGCTCGCAGCCAAAACGGAAGATCCGACGTGTGCGGACAGGTAAGATCTCGTATTTAATTTGGTATCATTGAATTGGATTGATTTGTCTCAGGCTGCATTACATGTCGCGCCCGAAAGGTCAAATGCGACGAGACAGCCGGAGGATGTAACAACTGCAAGCACCGGCAGCTGCTGTGTGACTATGTCACCTCTGTTCCAGGATCAGGTGCGTTTTTATCTTAACTCCATCATTATGTTCCAGCTAACTCGTAAGTAGTTGACACCACCGGGCCTCTCAGTCCACGTCGACTCGCATGCCAGCAATGTCGCATTGCCAGATGCAAATGTTCACATGGAAAACCACGTTGCTCTCGATGCTCATTAAAGCAGCTTGACTGCGCATATCCAGAACCAAGGCATGAAGCTGAAGTCAGCTTGACCCCTGCAGCCAGAAAGCGAGTCACAGCAGCGAAGGAACGCGAAGAACAGAGCAGTTTGATATCATCAAGAACTTTGGTGGTCGAAAATAGTCACGCCCAGAAAGACTGGCGTGCAGGAGACTCAATAAATGCAGGGCAGGTAGGAGGGCAACTAGCAGCCCTCAGAACAACACAGGTGAGCTCCACAGATGCTGATTCCTATATAAACTCTCCGGATCAAGCCTCGTCAGACTTGGTAGAAGCTCCAATTCGAGAGGTACATGGCGGTCCAGCACATATAAACTCTTTGGGCACCACATCTCTCCCTCCAAACGTGTCAGATTATGTTGACAGCTTCTTTGAACATGTTGCCCCGTATCAAGCAAACGGCTTCTTACACAGAGGAATGCTCAAACAGCAGCTTTGCGATGGATGTGCTTCAGAAACGATATTACTGGCTATTTGTGCCATCGCTGCACCGTTTTTGTCTTTGCAACAGCCGGTTACTCCTCAGGCAAACCACTGGGCGCAACTCTCCATGCAACGCCTCTATTCCTCCTCGGAAATAACACTTAAGCACGCTGTCGCGGCTTTGATACTATGCAAAAATGCATCCTACAACGGTGCCTTTAACCAAGCCTTCATGTTGGCCTCTTTGGCGAATCGCTATGCCCTCAAACTAAGGCTTTTTGATGAAACGGGATGGACGAGAAGCGATACTTCCGAAGTCTCCTGGGTGGAAGGAGAACAGAGGCGTCGTATTATGTTCTCTTGTTACTGTGTTGATCGTATGACGGCGACGGGGATGAGAGAGCTGACCTTTTGCCCAGCGGAGAGCATGAAGATTCAGCTTCCGTGCGAGGACCATAATTTTGAGTAAGGATATCAGATTATGTGGGAAAGTGCTTGAGACTAACGTGGTCAAGCTTCTGCATACCTTGCACAACGCCCATTCCCATTCTAGAAGGAGAGGAGGACTCATCCTCCGGTGGACAAGATTACGATACTGTGGCAATTATGGGTCATTATGTGTCCCTGGTTGGAATCCGTTATTTGATTCTTCGGTAAATACTCTCACTCCTCTATGGATATCTCTTGCGCTCATTTTCTTCTTAAGATATATGGACAGTTTCTCTCATTCTGATCCAACCGTCCCATGGCAGCCCGAGTCTGACTATCAGCTAGCGCTACGAAAACTCGCACAGTGGTCAAACAATCTTCCTCGGCGATTCCAACTGACACGAGAAAGTATCTTTGGCCGGCACCGCACGCCGCAACTGGGACCTTTAGTGATGCTTCATCTCTGGTGGGACATGCTACACTGCGAACTGTATCGTCTCACTCTTCAAACTCACTCGGATCCTCAGATTCAAACTCTTTTTCTTACTGCGCCTTCAGGATGGGTTGAACAGACGCAGGACCGATGTTTGTATCACGCACGAAACATGGTCAAAATACTTCATGGTCTGAAGAACGATCTGGGGGATGACGGGCTGATGATACTTGATCCAAGCTTGGCTATGCTATGCTATGCGTCTATGAAGATTCAGTTGTTGTACGCTGCATTGCAGGAACCCTTGAGTCTAAAGCGGAATTTGACAGCGACTGAGACTGTTGATGGGTTTCAGATCCTGCTGATGTTTGTGGAACGATTGTCCAGATATTTTAGACACAGTATATTGCTGGCAAGTACCCGATACCTAGTCCCTTTTCTGTTCAGATGTGGCTGACTTGCTACACAGCTTCAGGAAATGAAATACTCACTGCAGCAAACTGGTGTAGTTGGGCCGTGGAGGTAAGTCTTACTTGAGCCGTCTTCAGGGTCTTCAGAATTAATGATATATATGAGCAGTGAATCAGCCATACCGGCCAGTGGTATGCAGACACTTGATCATCCTTGGCTTGCTCGACTCAAACAACTTGATCATCAGCCGACATCGCCAGACGTGAGTTTCATTTACATTATTCAAAAACAGAAAGTACACTGATGTCGGGCAGCTGGGTATCTCTTACTATGGGATGAGCGAGTTTGAAAATCTTCTGTCGGAGGTTAATACAAGCTTCTTCAATCCACTAATGGACCTACCAGATTGGCTGAAGTGAAGGTTTTTTCTCTTATCTATAGATAGAGGGAAGTGCACTTTAATTAAAATAAAATTTGTGTGAAATCTCCATATAGTTTGTAGGTGACTTAGACACCGCTTTCTTTTTTATTCCTTACCGGGTTCCTTTGTTGACCAGCCCTGATCGACGAGAACCACCACGTGGGGTCGATCTACCCCCCAGGAGGCTGAGTGAGAGGACGTCCAACTCAGCCGCACAGCTTGCCTGGATGAAACAACTTGACGCCTATAGACACTACTGCAACACTGCAGTACAGCGTGCTTGGTGACGGGTACCCCAGTCCCGCGAGAAAGAAGAGATGCCACCTCTTTCTTCACTCAACCTGGCCCAGGAGCCTAAAGATGCTAATTTCATTACGCGAGACCAGTGCGTCGTCTATATCAAGTTTATCAACGCTCTTGGCCGCTTACGAATGGATATCGCCAGCCAAGATGGTCTCTTTGGACTCTGGGATGCAGATGCAGCTCAATTTGGGAACAACAATGAGATCCTCGCCCGGATCAGAGAGAAACGCTGGGCTGTATATACCGCACGCGCGGTTGACCGGTACACAAAATGGTGGGATGCATGTCTTCCCACGGCCAATCCGATGCCTGCAATGGCAACCATGCGCGGAAGCGCGTACGGCCGGATCTTATGTCCTGATAACGAGGTGGTATGGCAAGAGAAATACCTCCCTCCACTGGGTAAGCTACTAAATTTTTCTCTGTTGTTTGGATGCTGATATGTCACGCAGATGTGCTAATGGTCTGGCATACCCATATGCTCAATCCATGGGAATATCTTGAGGATTGTATCCGACATGGTAAAACGAGCACCTGGGCGAGCAGATTCCCCTGGGATATGATCAATCGCAAAATCAACGACCACACAATACAATATATTGCCACCGAGGAAGAACAAGCTCTCTTTGAGAGTCTTGTTACGTTCAAATGGGATAACTTGGATGATCCACTGAACAGCAGGATCGCATGTCCCGGTTGTGACAAACCCGTTACTGTTGACTGGACCGGTCGCAACTGGATTAAAGGCTGCTCTGACATCGATACTGCATTTGCGAACTGCACTGGTCTTGCCGACAAGAGCTTCCGGGTAGTCTGCTCGACTGCACATTGCCAGCTCTCCATTGACCATGACCGACTCAAACTGGCAAAGTTACACAAGGATATTCGAGCCCTTGTGCACGAGGATGTATCCCTGCGGGGATCATACTATAATCTAGAGGGCATCCTTGCAGTATCTTCTCCCAAGCACAGAAGAAACTCTCCTCTATTCCCCAGCGAGCTTTTTAAGATCCTTTCACTGGAGCTGCTGGCATTTACGAACCCGAAACAAGATACATGTCGCAAAATCACCAATCTGCACAGCTATCTAGAGACCAAGCTGCGCGATCAGCCAACTCTGGACCGTGCATACCGGGAAGTTTCTGTATGTGTTGTCGGCTCTCCAGAGAAGAAATATCTCAACCGCATGCTGTCACGGTACTGGGACACCGCGACCCCATTTAGTTTGGACCTTGTCGGTGCCGTGGTTCGGCAAGGTACATTTATGCAGCACGTTAATCGCCTAGGTTGGGTGCAATCGCCAGACATCTTCGCCACCGCAGACAGACTGGTAGATAAATACTCAATTTTCTTCAGCATCATGAAAAAGAACCCAAAACAGATGGCTGTTCCGACATTGGATGTGGATATCGCGTGGCATACACATCTCCTGTCTCCCGCAAAATACTACACTTACAGCAGCACAGCGGCGACGAAGCCCCATCTTTTCAGTCATGATGACCCTGTAGATCCCTGGCAGATGCATCTAGCATTTATCGACACGAGCAAGGAATACCGTAAAGCCACATCTGGAGCGATCTACAGCGAGTGTGCCTGCTGGTACTGCGCGACCATCATCCAGAACGGCCTATATGAGAGCTCCATGCCCAGTGCCTCAAAGAGGCGCGCCAGAAGAATAGCTGACACGCTGTATGAACAAGGAGATATCTTGTCAAATGCACGCTGCGGCCCTCATATTTCCGCTCATAATGCTATTGCCCTGAGCAATGTGTCCTCGCGTGCCCAATCCTATGCGCAACACCGTCCGGACTATGAGCAGCATATGGGAAATGTACGACAGTTGAGCATATCACGGAGTCTTGAAAAGGTCCGCCAGCGCCTGCAAAAATGCAAGATTTCCGTGAACGCCGCAGCTGCGGATCTTATGACTGCTCCGGTGTCTGTCTGGGGATATCAAGTGGATGTGGGCTTCTATGCGCCCTACATGCCAGATCCAAGCATTCATGCCGATCTGTATGCTTATGATCCCCGGATTGAATGCCCAGAATTACAAGGGAAGAAGGTAATCGATAACGAATGATGGCGAATGAAGCGAAGATGAGGTTATGAATTGCGGAGATGACGAACGGAGTTGGATAGAGCAGTCTATACGATAGGCTGATACTATTATAGATGTGTCAAAATAATACAGTTCGGCCCAAGGTCAGCTGTCAAACAATGTATACTGTAGGTTTCAGTATACTTCCAAACACTCAGATCATACAAGCTCTAGAGCATATGATATGCATTGGAAACTGTGGCTTCGGTAGATTTTCGCTATAATGATCTATTTAACCGGCCAGTCATGTCTGCCCAGCGGTCTATGAGGCACTATCGCAGCCAAATCAACCGGGCTCCACTGCGGCTTTTCTGAGAAAACGTGCGGCCTTTCTCCAAAACTATAGTGCTGTATAGTACCTGTAAACACCGCTATAGCGTGCCGCTGCTTCAGAATATTGACCCCTCAATCTTTGTTTCGGTGAGGCATTTTCTCCAGTATTTGCTTTTGACAGGATCGGGCAGGATGTACACAGTACATTCCCGGTGGCTCTCGGTGGTCAGTCTCTTGTCCCTGCCCGAGAGAAGCAGGTGTTTGTTTACAGCTGCTACAGTCTCTCAACTGTGTTGTGGCATGCCTGTCCCTCCAATCAGTCAACCCAGTTTGTCACTCACTAGCCGACCAACCAATCAGAGGCAAGCGATAATGCAATCAGTCGATCTGCGCCGGAGCTTTGAGCATGATGTACGCCGACGCTGGTTTAGCCTTAACTCTCACAAGATACTACTGAGCAGAATAAGGGGAAAAAAGTTGCTAATTTTGTCGCGTTGTGCGACTGTCTCACTGCTATTCTTATCCGAACACAAAATTTCAGTCAAACACGCGAGTATGTCCCGATCCGGCGGGCATAGTTAAGGCTCAGCCACCCAGTCACCGTCCGATTCCTGAATCTCCCGACTTTGAGCCGGCCACCATGGAAAAAAGCGTAGATCGAATTCGCCACCCGTTTTTGATTCCTGGATCGACTACTCTCCCCGGACCTAGAATTATTAGTTCGTTAGTTAGCTCCCGGGTATACCCCAATAATAAAGATTCTTTCCCTAGGACCAAAGGGGAAAAAACGAAGACAAGGTGCGCCGGTTCGGTTGGGCATCGTATCCATGGCCGGTTTCGGGGCTGCAGTGGTCGTGTGATTGGCGCGTTTTTTGGTTTGTTTCCAGAACGTCTTTTGCCACGCTCCACACCTCCGATCTGATGATATTGGATTTACATAGGATCACACATTTTTATAGCAGTCAGGAATAACTCCTGCCGGGCATGCGGTGGGATCCAACCCAGGCTAAGTGGTAACGAATCGCAGAATTGCAATTAGTAGGCAACATCCTTCAGGGCACGCCGGTGGAGCAGCTAGCCATCGCGTTTCGATCACGTCGCACACAGATCGTAGAGACGGTTGAGGCAGAGAGAAATTCCCCAATACAGGACAATGATCGCGAGAAACGCGCGAGCATGAGAATAGTGTCGTTGCTTAGTTTCTTCCTTTCTTCCGGGCGTGATTTAGCACCTTCTACCTCGGACCTTGCAGCTGATATGCACCGGTGCAGGGACCCTGACAGTCCCGTTGCTAAAAAGAATTAGCAACTCTTACGAGACTATCTGAGGAGATTTTAAGGTCTGCATGAGTCTATATCGTGTGGTCGGATCCCCAGACAGGGATAATCGGAGGGGGAGCGAGCATCCCCGGAAAGGCCCTTGACCAAGTCAGTCGCGGGGTGGTGTTCCTGGGGGGACGAAATGGCCAGGAACGAACGAGCAGGGCATGGTCTATCGCAGGCCAGCGTTATCGGCCCAACAGGAAAATCCAGATTGATCATATTACTGGGACCTATGACAAGGGCTGAATGCTGATTGGGCCCGACCCAGTTATCGTCTTTTAGGCAACTCGGACATGGTTCGGGTGGCGGGATGTGGTATTGCTATTACCGCGCACACGACTGGCGCGAGGTGCGCGCTGAAGTCTGGAGTAACTAGTCAAAACTGTAAAGGTGATCGGGCGATCGGCCGTGGACGTTGACTCGGCGAAAGGGGCGATCGTGACGGTGGTCTCGGCGACAACCGGCTGAGCAGCGTTTTGGATGATGCGACGATGATGACGACAAGCAGGTTTAAGGTGGCGGCGGAGAAGGGAGATCCCTCTTCGGCCGGGGAGGCATTCATGGGAATGTATTTTTGAGGGACATATTGAGTCAATAAGAGAGAATCAACGTGTAGTTGCTGGTTAGAAGGAGAGAGGAAGAGAATGAGGCATTAACGAGTTTCCCCAACGACCAGGAATGGGAATGGGAACCGAAATCGACGGACGGTAAAATACGTCGGGTGCGTACGGTATGGTCAGGGCTGTGTGGCGCATTGAAAAAGACTCACTCTAAATTTAAATCTTTATCTCTTCTCTTCCTTCTTCTCTTTCCTTTCCTTCCACTCATCCCCACTACCACCTTCTCAACTCTCTCTCTTCTAGAGATTCAATTCTCATCTTCCCCCTCCTCAGTTTTGCTTGAGACCTTGTTCTCTTTTTCAAGTGACCCGTCACGCACACACATCCCATAATCCTTCATTATGGTTCGTTGACCCCATGGTCCACGGCGGATGAACCCTGTGGACTTCATTCTGTTGCTCTGCATAGATCGTGTGCTGACCGTCCTTCGCTGCAGGCCGCTGAATCAACTGTCGTCTCCAACACGGAGAATGTGCGTTCGATCTCGCCTTTGAGTTTCCGCAATGGCCGTTGAGCCAGAGGGAAATACCCAATACTGACTTAATCCTCCCGGGTACACAGCTCATGAAGTACATGTCCCTCGACCAGCGCGGTCAGGTTCAGGCAGAATACATCTGGATCGACTCGATCGGTGGCACCCGCTCCAAGACAAAGGTATGGATGACTCTTCCCTCCTTGTCCGTTATCGGATCCTCATCGGCAACGCCCGATAAGCCCCGCGCACGTGAAGAAGTTCTAACTGAAAATTCCATCAGACCCTCTCCAAGCCCGTCAAGAGCGTCGACGAGCTCCCCGAATGGAACTTTGACGGTTCTTCGACCGCCCAGGCTCCCGGTGACAACTCCGATGTCTACCTCCGCCCCGTCGCTTTCTATCCCGACCCTTTCCGCCAGGGTGACAACATCCTCGTTCTCTGCGAGACCTGGGACTCCGATGGCAGCCCCAACAAGTACAACTTCCGTCATGACGCCAACCGTCAGATGGAGACCCACGCCAAGGAGGGCTTCTGGTTCGGTCTAGAACAGGAGTACACCCTCCTCGGTACCGATGGCTGGCCCTATGGCTGGCCCCGTGGCGGTTTCCCCGGTGCCCAGGGTCCGTACTACTGCGGTGTCGGTACTGGCAAGGTCTACTGCCGTGACATCGTCGAGGCCCACTACCGCGCCTGCCTGTACGCCGGCATCAACATCTCCGGTATCAACGCTGAGGTCATGCCCTCCCAGTGGGAGTACCAGGTTGGCCCTTGCCCCGGTATTGACAGTAAGTCTCTCTTGACAACAAATTTTAGCGGGTGAAATTAACTGTTTTACAGTGGGTGACCAGCTGTGGATGTCCCGTTTCCTTCTTCACCGCGTCGCCGAAGAGTTCGGCGTTCGCATTTCCTTCGAGCCGAAGCCCATCAAGGGTGACTGGAACGGTGCCGGTCTGCACACCAACGTCTCCACCCATGCCACCCGTGCCGACGGCGGCATGAAGGTGATTGAGGCCGCCATGAAGAAGCTCGAGGCCCGCCACGTTGAGCACATTGCCGTCTACGGCGAAGGCAACGAGGAGCGTCTCACCGGTCGTCACGAGACCGGCAACATCGACAAGTTCTCCTACGGTGTCGCCGACCGCGGTGGCAGCATTCGGATTCCCCGCCAGGTCGCCAAGGACGGCAAGGGCTACTTCGAGGACCGTCGCCCGGCCTCGAATGCCGACCCCTACCAGATCACCGGTATCATCGTCGAGACTATGTGTGGTGGCCTCTAGATTTTCAAATTATTTGGTCTTAGCGCTCCGATACCCTTTATCGGCGTGAAACCAGGAGAATTGGGACCGGGGGAACTGGCCTGGCTTGCGTGAGGGGTTGAAAAGCCCCCCATAGATTTTGTTATCTTCTCTCTATTTGCTTTCTTTTCCCGTTGACCTCATTTCTTGCCTGCAATTGCCAGTGCTGGCCTCTGGATTCCCATCCTTTGACTCTCTTGTTGCATTCCGCCGAACTCCTCTTGTTTTCTTCAGTACCAATTATGTGTGAACGTACAATAGCATAGAATTACACGGATTGAAATCCGCCTTATTACTGCATCTCATCATTCTAATAATACAAGGGCCTTTCCGACTTATTTACTTTCCAGCTTTGCACTCCGCCTCCACCATCTCCCCGTCACCCCAGACAGCAAGCCATGCAACCCACGCTGTTTTACCTCCCGCCTCCCTGCCTCATCAACAGCAGCATCAGCCTGCCTCTCAACATGCCGATACTTACCATCAACAAAGCGCAACAGAATCTCCATCAGCATCGCAGAGAGAATGCTCGCAATGAGTATCCCGATCATAACGAGGTTACTCTTGCGGTACTTCTGGCGCCCCGGAGCCTCATAGTCACTCTTCCAGCCCGAGTACAGTGCGTACGTGGTGAGGATACTGCCAAGGTTGCCCAGGCCCGACACAACGGCCGACGCCGCGGCTACACCCACTTCGCCGTGTCGCGGCTGGAAGATCTCCGTTGTCCAAGTCATGGTAATGGGCACTGTGGGACCGAGGCCGAAGCCTACGATCAGCAGACCGCCGTATCGGGGCCACGGGTTCTCGTCTGTCCCCGCGTAGCTTGTTAAAAGGAGACCTAGGATCTGGAGGCTTGTTGGAATTGAGAAAAAGATTGCGCGGTGGCGGTGGAAACGGTCTGACAGTGGGGTGACAAGGAGGATGGCGATGAGATCCATCTGTGTGTATGGTTAGCGGTGTCGATATGAGAGAGAGAAAAGGGAGGGACGGAAGACACATACAATCCAAATTGGCGCAGACAACAGACTCAGATCAACAGTACTCAAGGACGGGTTGATCGCCTGGATAATCACGGTGGCATACAACTGCGTGCCGATACCGACACCCACGACGCCAAAGTACATAACCAGCAGGGGCCACAGACGCCAGTCCATGAAGACACGCAGCAAGTCCCGCAGTGTCCACGCAGGGGCATGGTAGACACGCTTCAGATCATGGTAGTGCACGTCAGCGTCTTCTCCCGTCAGCGCCGGAGAACTGCGCGGCAGCCAGCGCATAAACCAGCGGCGCTCTGGACGGGCTTCACCAGGGGGCGTGGGACGGTCAGGCAGCCACCAGAGCAGTGCAATACCAACGGCGATGGTCACAACGCCGTACACAAGGAACATCCACTGGAATCCCACGTAGCCGCGCGTGCCGTCCATCTCTTGGAAGCCAGCGGAGACGAGTCCGACTACCGCAGCGGAGACCTGTGCTGCAGTGAAGTACTGACCGATGCGCTTGCCTGTGCGCGAGGGCGGGTAGAACAGGGTTAGGTAGTAGGCCATTCCCGGCCACATGCCAGCCGTGACGATTCCCAGGAGGAGACGGAGGAGACTGGTGTGTCTTTTGTTAGATACTGGATTTAGGAAAAAGAAAAAGAGAGCGGGTGAGCATACTAGAAACTCCAGGCAGCTTTCATGGCTGTCATACAAGTCCCGATCAAGCCTACACTGATCACGATCCGGCTCATCCATACATGTGGACTTAGCCGAGTCATGATCAGGTTGGAAGGGAGATCAAACACAACATAGCAGACATAGAAAAGCGCCAGGCCCGTCGAGATCTGGTGTTTGTTTAGGTGAAGCACAGAAGCAAGATCATGCCCGGAGTCCTCGTTCATCGTCTGTGCCAGTCCGACATTGGATCGGATGGCTGAGCAGAGGAAGTAGAGGACCCAGAAAGCGGGGATGATGCGGCGGTCTAGTTTTCTGGACGTTGGAATCGCTTTAGCTTTGGATAAAACCACCTTGATACAAATTGAAAGGAGAATACGCACCTGTAGATCCGCTCGATGTCCGCGACGCTGACCTCGTCGCCGGCCTCGACGTCGCCGTCAACGGCCGCAGAGCCTGTTGTCACCGGAAACCGTTCGTGAACGCCTTCGGAGACGAGTTGCTTGGTCGTCCCGCTCATAGCAGGAGGTTGTTGTTCGTCGGCTGACATTATGAATTATATATTGATATCACTCGTCTTGCTTCTCTGGTGTAGGGAGAGTAGCCGTGAAGATCTCAACCAGATGTACACCGTGCGTCGTCAAACACTGAGCACTCACTTTCCAGAGCTATATCAGCACGAAAACTTTTCCACTATGTCTTCATTAGCCTTGCAGGTGACTTGGGATAGACAGCTTCTATGATGAATGGTGATGGTACATCCAACCGAGGTCCATCAACATCCGGCAGGGGAAAAGAAAAAGACCCTCGGAGGGAGAAAAAGAACAAACCAACATACCCCCAGCGCATATGAACGCGAAATCCTTCAGCTCCTTCTCAAAGGCCAGTCTTCGAAACTGGTCACTCGAGCAGAAAGAAAGACGAAAAATAGATGGAGAAAAGCTCCTCCCGTTTGCAGATCTGATAAAGCGGCGAGCGGGGGGTCTTGGCAGAGCAAAAAAACCAAGCACAGTTCAACAAGTGACAGTAGGAAAAAAAAATTAAATGGGAGGAATTATGTAGAAAAGAACGCGCAATGCTCAGAAGGAACAATAACCGGCTAAGTCCATCCACACTAACAGAGCTGTTGAGAGTGTTGAGGTGACCGCGAGAAAAAAAAAGTTAATCGGAAAATCCTTCCGACCCTCGGCGCCCTGCGTGCGCCCAAAGGAGTGCGCGGGAAACCCCAACAACAAGCTTTTTGCTTCACCGAGGAAACCGGGATGTGTTTGTGACTCATTGTCTTGGTGTCATGCGATTGTAGAATTGGGGGTTTTTGGTAAGTTTCCTGCTTCTCAGGGGAAATATGCTTATTATACATGCTATCCATCGGGAAACTGCAGCATTCCTTATGTACCCTGGGTCTTGAGTTACGCGGGAGAACATCTTAGCGATGTCAGAAAAGGAATCAAATATCATAAATTGACATTGACATATATACTGAGATATTTTCTGATCCGAAATAATAGAAATAACCAACTATTCTCTGTGATGGAGACTATCAATCGCCGGTTCCGGTCGTTATCACGTGAATGATATGGGTGACGAACAAGTGGGAGGTGGATGTGCTATCGCAGCGATTGTGAGCTCGCTGGTTATAAAGAGATTGAGTAAATATCAGAAAAGATGATCGTTTACCTACCTAGCTTATATCTTAACGGAGGTCACGGATACCGCAAGCCCTAACAAACTTAGTTTCCCGTTCTATTTATCTACGTTGACACAATCGGGGAAAGTGTTGTAGCCTTAAATTCACCATAATCTAATCACTTTGAACTTCAATACACAGTGTGGATCTCAGGCAGTTCGAGTACAGTCGAGGCCCGTCTAGGTCAGGCCCCCAAAGCCGGCCGTCATCGTCTATGCAGGGTTGCCAAGTGGCAATAAAATGACAAAAGAGGAAACAGGAAATGACTGCATCAGCACACCGGGGCGAGCAGCCTTCTATCCCGAGGGCATTTGCCAATAAATCGGCGCACAGAACGACTTGAACGATCGGCAACGCAGAGAAAGATATTTATCATAAAGCCATTCGTCCGAGCAGTCCCAAAACTGCTGGACTGCACATAAAAAGTCATTCCGCAAAATTCAATGCAGTCAATCCCGAAAATTAACTGCTTTGAGACACGTCATCCTTGTGGTCTTCAACATGAGTGCCCTTTCCATTCTCCAGATCGGGATTTTGGCTGGCACGGCGGCCAGCCTTTTCGGAGGCATAACTGGCGCGGCGCAGGTGCTCTTCAGTTTCCTCGTAATTGATGAGCAGCTCACCGTGCTTGCCATAACGGTGAGGCTCATTTCGGGCGACTGAAACAAGGTTGAAAACGCTTGTGGTCTTGTGGAAGATGGTGTCCATCTCCTCCAGAGATCGGTAGGCGGTCTCGGGGTAGAAGAAGTAGACAACGGGGAAGATGAAGGCGTTACTGTTGTTGTAATAATGGTTAGCAATTGAAACTTGACAATCAACAGAGACAAAACTCACATCACGGCAAAGATAATATAGGTCCGGTATCCAATGGAATCGAATGCTACAGGAGTGATCATCACCACCATGAAGTTGAAAATCCAGTTACCCGAAGTTGACAGAGCGTTGGCAGGGGCACGAATACGGAGTGGAACAATCTCGGCGGGATATAGCCAAGTCATTCCCAGCCAGCCCCAGGCAAAGAACGTATTGAAGACAAACAGGAACACGGCAGCTGCAATGCCGGGCCCAGTCTGGTGTTTGAAGCTAGTGGTGATGGCTAGGACAGCCATAGAGATGGACATACCAGCAGCGCCAACCAACATGAGTTGTCGACGGCCCACCTTCTCAATGATGAAAATGGGGATTAACGAGGCAAGGAAATACTCCGTTCCATTGCAGGCCGCCAGAATTCGGGACATAAGACCGCTCATGCCGATGGACTTCTCGTAGATGGTGGCTGCATAGTATGTGATGAGGTTGATACCAGAGATCTGCTGGAACATCTGGTTCACATAGGCCAGAACAACACGGTGAAAGTGGCGGTTCTCGTCCATGGTCAACAGATCACGGAAGCTAACCTCTGAGGCGAGCAGGACAGCATCTTTGATAGCAGCGAATTCCGAGTGCACGTAGGGGTCGCTTTCGGGTAGATCCAAGATGGCTGACAGCACACCCATTGCTCGGTCCTCACGGCCCTTCAGGATCAACCATCTAGGAGATTCGGGCAGAGGAAGTACGAATATCATAATAATCAACGCAAAGAAGATCTGAAATGCAATCGGGAATCGCCACGAGACAGAGCTAGGATCGAGGAAGGAGAACCCAAGATCCAGCCAGTAACTGATGGTAATACCACCTGCGATCAAGGCACCTTCCACCATGACCAGTCTTCCACGATGATGCGACTTGGAGCATTCCTAGATAGGCGGACGTCAGAGCTTTGCTTTCAATATCATTAGTACTGCGCGTGACTTACCGATTGCCATGTCGGGACAGTGGAAGTGTTCATGCCATTTCCGATACCAGTCACGATACGACCAACAATCAGATGTGGGAGAGAAAAAGCAGTGCACTGGAGTGTGGCACCGACGACCATGATGATCGAGCCGGTGAAAATGGTCTTGCGTCGGCCCAAGTAGTTGCCAACCCAGATACAGAAGATTGCGCCACAGAAACAGCCCAGGTTGTAGCAGGCAATTGTGATACCTGGTAATAATGAGTAAAGATTGTAGATTTGCTCGAGTAGCCGTCGTACCTTGAACGGTAGACCTGCGCGATGTTTGCGCAGGACTCAGACCCTTCTCGCCAGCTGCGGTTGTGTCGATTTCAGGGAATGTAGTAACAAATGAGTTTAATGTGAGCAGCCCGCCCATAACACCCCTATTTAAACCAACGTTAGAATTATACCATTGGATACTCCTCCGATCACGTACTGGTCATATCCAAACAGCCTGTAGAGAGCATAGTCAGCATTTTTTTTGCAATCCACAGGAGCTATTCCAACATACAGGAAATCAAGGCCGGCAACAAGGCTAATGACAATATTGAGCCGAGTGCCCCGTAGCCCGAAATACGGCTTCATTATGGCGGGTTATCCTTGAACAACGGCAACTACACTCAGCGGAATTTGCCGATTTGATATCAGGAGACCACAAAGAGTCCAAAGAAACCCAATCCTGGCAAACAGAGACAGAAATCCGACAAGAAGGTCGGACGGAATGGGATTGGAATGGTGGCTTGAAGAGTGTTAAAAGAAGCGTCGCGACCAGGTCCGGGGAAGCAGCTGGGGTTTATGAACCCCGAGCGAAACGGGGCAGACCGAAATGCCATGTTTAAGGGACGGGGTTCCACAGCTGTCATGATCAGGATTTGAAAGGCGATTCGGGATCGAAAACAGAATCGGAATGAATTAGCGTACCAACAAGAAAAGGTCGTATTATTGTTACGTGAGATGGAGTCACCGGATTAGGAAATCGAGGCACATATCGGCCCATTATTGTTAGACCTCATGATTCTACTCCATTATGGTGGCTAGCGAGAATATCACTGGCGTAAATTTATTTTTTGTAATGAATACATTGCGTCCACAGAGCGATCCCGAAATGAAGCAGAGCAGAGGTTTGAAGGTGCAATTATAAATTACACGATCCACGTAACGTGCCCTACTGACTATGAACCGCTTTCGGCGAGCGATGACCCTATCGATGATGCAGGTCTCGCACAACTCGCACGGTCAGGTAAATAGTGGGTTGGTGAGCTTTACAGCGATATACTGGGCGCGATGAAAATCCCTATTCCCTCGTCTATCTTTGCATACTTCGCTTCGGGAATTCAGTAGAGATAACTATTTTAATTAAGAGCAATAGCCAGGCGATATACCCTAAGTATTAAACCTTGTCCATATTCTTCGCTCTCTGTTCGGCCGCGGTCTCGAGCGTCGGCGCAATCCGTATCAGTGCCGGCGTCTGACAGGGATCGGCACACCGAAAGACAAACCGCATCGTCGGGGTGTGAACCTTTCTTTTTCCGCTGCGGGTTTGCACACACGACATAGCCCTGTTAAGCTAGGCCATGACCTATCCATCCGTCTATCGCAAGGAACAGACTTTTGTTCCTGGACCGATGTCCATGATGGAATAATGGTCGTCTACAATCCCAAGTAACATTATTGTGCTGTACTGTTACAAGCAATGACATCATCAGGTACATCACGTCCACGGAAGCATGCAAGGGAGGCCGATCACTGGTCGGTGTCTAACCGCGCGAATATTCGCCGGTTCGGTGTCCCAGTTACGGGGCCGAGACTCGGTGTTCTCCGTGGATGCAGTGTTTCTCGTCGGAATACCTCTTTCGGTAGACAAGTTGTCAAGCATAAGAATGTGACTCTGACCCGGCAAGAACACTACCATGAGATTTTCTATGGATACCTCTTAGATTTTGCGCTGGCGACGTGGAAACTCTTGACACATACATATTCAACCATAGCCGCGCGAATGGTTGCCTGATCGGAACGAGTTGAGTTAGTGTCTCATTGTCACAAGATTGTGGAGCTTCAATTAGCTCATTCGATCAGAAAACCGGTGGAAAACCGGTGGCCTGATTTCTGCAACCCAATACCCCTCGATAATCACGGCATAGGCCCGGCTGGAATCTCTACTCTTAACCGATGTGTGGATGTATATCTGTTCCTAAGATTACACTCACTCGCGATCCGTTGATAAAGAATGCCCAGTCTCACGATCACCGGCCGAAAAGGCGCAATTGGATCTCAATCCCTTGAGGACTCCTAGTTAGTACGTAACTCGCGGAATAGAAATCTTCCTGCCCCTGCAAGACTCATCCAACTACCGTTAACAAGATTCTGTCGTAGCCAACTGCAAAAGTCGGAGGGTGTTAGAATCCCGATGTGCCCCACCATCCAAATCAACAGAAACATTAGAATGAGCGTATTTTATTTCATTTAGGTTATACATAATCAGAAAGAAAAGCGAAGCAAGCGAATGTATAGTGCGCGATTGCGTCAGGACATGCATACATAGGCCGAAGAAAGCCAACAAAAAACCGGCTCGGGCGGCGCGCCCAAGCCCAAGCTTAAACCCCAATCGGCAAGGCTAACAATTGATCGACCAACGCCGAAGAGCCGGAAATGCCGTGTCGGGACTTGACTCGCTGTAACGGCATCCCGTGTCTTGGGGTCCCGAATCAATTGCCAGCCGACAACAGGTGCATTTCTACAAAGGATCTGAAAAGTGAAGATAGTCGGGCTATGCTGTCATCATTTCTCTACGTAATGCATCCCGCGTGCCCCCACACTGGCTGCCCCGTGGGTATCGGTAGCGTAGGTCCACGGTGCCGTGGACTGGCAGTGGGGGAGGGCCGCGCAGACGTAGATTATTACTGTGGATTACTGTTACCCTACGCTCAGGACATATAGAGAGGCAAGAAATTTCAAATCGCAGGGCAAAGAACAGAAAAGGGGGAGAGGATATAGGGAAAATCAACAGATAGCAACTTCCGTTAGGCTCTCAAATCGTGATCGTAACTGGTCAGCATCTGTCCCATAACCAAGGAGATTTGTCTCCTATTTCCGGTTGAAAAAGAATCAAACTTCCCGAGTCTGGTATCAATGACCACGCCAGTAACCGAATCAAAGCTCCAAATCGAAAGCAGAAGTGGGCAAAAACAGCAGAATAGAGGGGGCAATCGCAGATGTTGAGGAAATCAAAAGAAAGGGCAAATCAGCAGAAGACTGAGCAGAGCGCGAGAGACACCACTATATGGCTGCGGCGATTGCGCAAGACATACGGCCTGCGCGGTGCCAGATCAACCATAATTCAATGCAGCCAGTCGTCGACCGCTAACTCCAGACCAAGTCCCGGTTTCCCACGGTCCATGAACCATTACTCCGTACGCTTGTTACCCCATACCTTCGTCGCTCCATATCTCCGTCAATCCGTGTCATCGTATCTTCGTGTGCCAATCACCAAACTCCACCCTGGTCTGTCGCGGGCTCAGTAAGGAAGGCTGAATCAGTCGCCGTGCCACTGTTCCAGTTGTCACCAGCGCCAACGGAGATGCTAGTCGGCTGTTGCTCAGGAGCCTGAGGGCAGTGTCGAATAGTGTGCCCCACTGGTTTATGATTAGCGGGTCGAGGGCATATCAAACTGGGGGTGTCAACCTACTTTCACCGCACTGGTTGCACTTGACTCTCGACCAATCCTTCTTCTTGGTGCAATCACGAGACATATGGCCAACTGTACACGAAGAGAGTCAATCGCCATCATGAGATCATAAGAGGTATCCAGGAGAGCTTACCTTCATCGCAGTTGCGGCAAGTCATAGTGGAGGGATCGCGAGGCTTGTCACATTCACGAGCAATGTGATCCTCCGAGCTACCATCTTGTTAGATTAACATTGCTTTTGTGACTTGGGGTACTTACCCGCAGTTACGACAAGTCCGAGCCTCCTTAGTTGGGCAATCGCGAGCAATGTGGCCCTCAGAACTGTCATTGTGTTAGAAACCAACAGTTGTTGTAGTCTTTGACACTCACTCGCAGTTACGGCAAGTGCGAGCCTCCTTCGTGTGGCAATCCTTTGCAAAATGTCCGACTAGGGAAGAACCATCAGCATATAATGTTTTCAATAGGCCTAACAGCATACTTTGGTTGCAACGACGGCACTCCACTGTGTTGGGCTCGGGGCAGTTATCCGCATCGTGAAGCTCTGATCTTGAATGAGAGTTAGTATAATAATACATCTTGGATGTCACAAAAGACTTACCCGCAGTTTCGGCACCCAAACTTGCTGCGGCGCTTCTCAGTACAGTCGCGCACACGGTGTCCAGTGGCATTGCAGTTTGCACACTTGATCTCGATATGCTCAACCACAACACGCTCCTCCTTGCACCATTTGGAAATGTGGCCCATTTCTAACTTGGTTGTTAGCAACTTGTCTCATCGATCGTTGGGGGTTCCTTCTTACCTCCACAGTTGAGGCACTTGGGCACCATGCGATCGAACGGAAGACCAGCGTCTGCAAGGTGCTCCAAGTTGAGTTCCTCGTTCTCAGGCCAGCGGTCGCGGAGAGTAGCACGCTGCGGTTTCGGGCCGTAGAAGAACCCGACGGAGTAGGTGCAACCCAGTTTGCCCTGGAGGTCGATCAAACTGATAACATCGCCAACCTCTTTTTGCTGGAACCAAACTATGTTACTGGATGGTCTCGAGACAAAAAGCCACAGATCGCTTACCAGAGCAATGAAATAGATGTTGAAATTGTCATCACGCATCTTCTTCTCGATGTCCACAAAGGTGGCGGCGGGAACGGCTTTCGAGTAGATAGAGAGAGCCTGTATACGTAAGTCAGTAGAGGTCAGTTTCACGAAAGGCGTCCAGGAATTATTACAGTACGGAATTCCTCGAGATCCCGCTCATTACTCGCCTGCTTCATCAAGGCCCACGCCTCCGTCGGAACCTTGTCAGCGACCAGGTTGAGGTCGAATTTGCGGGGATTAGTGCAGTCCTGCGTCTTGTGACCTATTGTCGAGCCAAACCAGGTCAGACACGCTCCCGTCAAATTCAAGGATCTGTTTTACTAACCCTCAGTCTGGCAGTTTCTGCAAACAGTGGGAGGCTTCTCTGGGCAAAGAGCAGCAGGGTGTCCCTCCTGCTTGCAGATATTGCAAGTGCCCTGGAAGACACGGGGATTCGAGCAGTCGACCTTGGTGTGGCTGTGTGTGCACGCATTAGCAGATCACAACTATTGCAGCAATTAATGGCTTACCCTTCCTGGCCACAGTTGAAGCAAGCCATGGACTTGGGAGGCTTGGTGCAGTCCGCCTTCTCGTGACTGTAGCGAACCCTATGTCAGTAAAACACTCGATTACTCTGCAATACATTTGACTCACCCGGGATTGTTGCAGTTGAAGCACCTCATGGGGTTGTTGCAGTTACGAGCGAAATGGCCAGGCTCGTTGCAGCTGTTGTTTTGTCAGAACTCGTCCGTTGTTCCTTGCACGCCGAAGAGAAGAACTTACTAGCGGCACCGGATCTCCATGTCACTCGCCTTCCCATCGCCGGTGTGCGCGCCAGTAGAGAGCTGGACAGGAGACACACGGCCAGATTCGCCGCCACTAAGAGAAGCGTAGGCACCGGGCATGGCATTCTCGCGGCCTTTGTATATTCTGTCAGTTTGAATGGGGGCTAGAGATAATGTATGGAACTTACCAGTCGCGCTCGGTCGCCAGCCAACGGTCTCGACACTCTGGGGCTTGTTGTCCTCGCCCCAACTGTCGAAGCCCTTCCTGGGGGACTCCAGACCCCATTCCATATTAGACATCGTGGGCTGAGAATTGTCTGTAAGAGAAAAAATGGTTGGTTCTGCAGACATCAGCATCTTGCCGACCAAGCTAGCAGGGCAAAAGAAAGCCAAGACTCCATCCTGCATGTACCTCAGAGAGGCAAGGTACACGTGGTCTGGAGGGATAACGGGGGAAAAGAAAGAGCAGAAGGAAACGACAGATGGGGCACGATGTAAATGGAGGGGTCACATGGCCCAAGAAAGTATTGGAGAGGGTATCCCGAGTTAGGGCACTTACTAGCACGTGCTTTTGAGTCTTAAAACTCCAGCCAAGATAAAAGATCGAAAGAAGATTGAAAGAGAAGGTCGAAGTTGAAGGGAAAAGAAGGAGAGGAAGAGGAAGAACGGAAGAGGAAAGGAAGGAGACTGAAGAAGTGTTGGGAGGTGCCTTCCACTTCGGGGTACTGTTGTTGGCGGGCAGCCACTGGCCAGGCAGCGGTACCACAGCGTTGACTGCGACATGGGACGACATCATCGCTCGTGAACAAACAATTGGATAGATGTTGTGAATGCTTGGAACAACCAGATCTATCTGCACGGACAAGAGAGATGATCCGCCCACCATCAGTTACATTGATCCAAGGCCTGATCAGCACAAGAGGAGTTCCATTGTGGCTTAAATACAGTATAATTCCGAAGGTCTGAAGACACTGCACAGCAGCATAATCATCACACAAAAACACACACGTACACACCGCGATCTGGTAGAAATACACACTTCAAATGAAGACTCTTCCCCGGAGAATCATCCCATGCACGAAGCCGATCACCTGAAGAGCCTGCCCAGCAGACCACCAGCCAGGTTGTTGACAATTCCACCGCCCAGGGCCCGGTTGGCATACGTCGAGGCTTGGCTGAATTTATCACACCGGGAGAAGGCCATGGTGTTGGTGACAGTCAAGATGAGGGCAATAGCTAGATCATGTTAGTCGTCGAGTGATACATGCCGAGGGGGAAGGATAGCTCACCAATGAGACTCAGCCAGATGACACCCACCAATCTCACAATGGCCAAGATGGCCAATCCAACCCACAAGGCCGGGGTGGCATACATGCTGAGCCAGAAGAAGCGCTTATCGGTGGTATTGATGGTGCGGACGTTGGGGTCGGAAGATTCGAAGACCCAGTGCGAGTCGCCGGTGGCGGTGTTGACCTCGTTCCACCAGCGCAGACCAACGAGTCGGCGGCCAGCAATGTTCTTCAGGTAGTAAAAGTCGGCAGAGAGGAGTAGGAGGGTCAGGATGAAGACGAGGATACTGGTGTTGAGGTGTTAGTTTGGAATTGGAGCTGTCGGACGGGTTGGATGATGCTTACAAGTTGTTAATGAAGAGAACGCCAAAGAGATACATCAACAGAGCACCTGGATTCAAACATTAGTCCTGACCCTCTGGTAGCACTGGTGACGAACCGATGCGGAAGCCCAAAAAGACAAGTAGCGTGATCGGGTGAGCGCTGAGGCGCCAGTTCAAGTCGCCGGATTGCGTTTGATCCATGGTGAACGAAACAGAGGATCAATGGGCCTGGAAGGTCGGCGGCGAGAACCACGTCAGTCGGTCGAAGCTCCAACAGAGATCTGTCCGTTGTTGATGAGTGGTGGTTTGGGCGGCGCGAGACATGGGGCGGCGTCATGGCGGTGAGGGGCGGCAGATTAAAGACTGATGCTGAGAATCAATCAATCCAGGGAGGAAGGTAGGTAAACAAACAATATTGTATATAATGAGCGGTGCTTGAGAGATGAACGGTTCCTCGTGTCCATATTCTATTCTTTACAATTCATGACCGTCGCTTTGCTCGGTGCCTTGATGCCGATCTTTGCGCAAAGGCGTACAAAGTTCACACATCTAGTGGAGCGGCATTGCAAAAGTCTCAGTCTGAGGCAGTGCGCACCGTCGTTGGGGAATAGTATCGTGCCACTGTTAGAAGGCAATTACCTTTTGGTATACTCCCAAACCGCCGGAAAATATCCTCGTACGTCGACCCCGCAGCGGTTTCGCTTGATCGACAAGAAGTCTGTACACATTCGCTACGGGCCCACGCGGAACATAGCTCCGGATTCCCTGCTTAAGGACGGGCACCTGCAGCACGGTGCAATCAACATTCGATCATCAACGTATAGATGGATATGTTGACGGTTTTCATTGATGGAGGAGTCTGTTAAGGGGTGAGTCACTCGGAAGAACAGCCCCTCCCGCCTGGACTATTAACCTTATTCAGTGGACAGCTGCGCGTGTGACATTTGTTCTAAGGCAATAGATCTATACAGCCAAGCCGTAGATATATAAACCCAGCGATCCTCTGCCTTGTCCTTCCATGGCCATCATTTGAACGCTCGACCTCTTCCTTTTACCTGTGCTTGCCATGAGAAATAGTTAACATGCGAGTTATAAAGTCCAATATTGGCCAAGCGACGGCTGGTATCGCGTTGCTAATGTCAATTCCAGTTGTCTCCGCCTCGTGCAGTCTTCCGTCGTCATATCAGTGGACATCGACTGGACCGTTGGCGAGCCCGGATTCAGGATGGGTCTCGCTCAAGGACTTCACTCATGTCCCTTACAACGGCCAGCATCTTGTGTATGCGTCGGATGTCAACACGGGAGGGTCCTATGGCTCAATGAGCTTCGGCCTATTCTCGGACTGGTCTGAGATGGCTTCAGCGAGCCAGAACGGGATGAGTTCGGGCGCCGTTGCGCCTACACTCTTCTACTTCTCCCCAAAGAACATCTGGGTGCTTGCTTATCAATGGTGTGCGTCTGCATTCTGCTACCGGACAACAAGTGATCCCACCAACGCGAGTGGATGGTCATCGGCACAGACGCTCTACTCCGGAAGCATTTCTGGTTCTAGCACCGGTCCTATCGACCAGGCACTCATCGGCGACAGCTCGGATATGTACCTTTTCTTTGCAGGAGATGATGGCAGTATATACCGGGCCAGTATGCCCATTGGAAACTTCCCGGGCAGCTTCGGCTCATCAGCGACAGTGGTCTTAAGCGACTCGACTGACAACCTTTTCGAAGCAGTGGAGGTCTACACTGTCTCGGGCCAAAGCCAATACCTCATGATCGTTGAGGCGATCGGACAAAATGGCCGGTACTTCCGCTCGTTCACGGCCACCAGTCTGAGCGGTACATGGACAGCGCAGGCCACAAGCGAGAGCGCCCCCTTCGCTGGTAAAGCTAACAGTGGTGCCACCTGGACCAACGACATCAGTTCTGGCGATCTGATTCGCAGCACCGATGACCAGACAATGGCCATTGATCCGTGCAACCTGCAGTTCCTCTACCAGGGAAGATCCACAACATCGAGTGGCACCTATAACCTTCTGCCTTATCAGCCCGGTCTGTTGACTCTGGCGAACTAGTACAGTGATGCACATCTTCGTGTTTGTTGGCCATGGCGAATACCCGAAGCGAATAAATATAACACTGCACAATGTTGAGGGCCGCGGACCCCTGCGACGGGCTCAGTATAAGGGTGAGCCCGCCAATTGGACCTTGCGATAGTCGAAAGGTTTAGGTAGCAATATGAAATTATATCTAGAACATTTTTTGCCTTCAATTACAAAATCGGTGGATGCAAAATGGCTGAGCAAACACAGAAGTGGTGGATCGCCGAACGAGACTAAATTTCCATAAGAGCGTTTCCAGTTGGGTTATTTTGTGTCTCCCGGTGCACTTTCCGGTGTTTGTACAAGCTGAAGTTCATAGAGTGAAGTGAATTGGTGCCAGTGAGGACGTAAAGAATATACAAACCTAGGAAATCTCTTCTACCTAGTAATTACATAACTTACAATCGATGTACCCTTAATGACGAACTCAGAATTGATGCCACAGTATATCTCCCAGATGCTGGATCCTTGACGTGGTTCAGTACACATTCATTAAATTCACTCCATGAACAATCTCAAAAGCCTTAGCCGCCATTTTTAGCTTGCGAAGTTCTCATATTTTAATTTGATCAATTATTTCTCTCTACCTCTTGGTCGTTGGTATATTATCTCCGTTGCGGTGCCCCGCAACGGTATGTACAAAACAAAACATTGTCCACATGCAACAGGAAGTGGAAAAATCCTCTCGGGGACCTCAATCCCAATATCAACTGCGTAAGCTAATGTATCATCCAACTTAATTTCTCTCCCTTTCAAAACCAGTGCAGGACGTCAGGTTCCTGTTCAGTATCACAAAAAGCTCTGGAGAGCCTGCTAGCAGCGTGATTCGATCGATCGAGCTGGATTTATTAGTATCCCACTTTTCTGTCAACTTTCGGGTTATCATCATGCGATGCAACAGCACACGGAGAAATATCAGCACATGCAGGATGCAGGGTTTTGCGAGATCGTCAAAGGGATCGAGCACAAGTATCTCGCTAAGCATGTACGTGGGACTACTAGTGGGCTCAGGGAACATCGCCAAGACCACCTCAAATGCGATCAGCCGATGCTTGACATTATTCTATATGGACTCTCGGAGATGCTTGGACCCACACCTTGATGGCCGGTTCATATACTACTACTCATTGGGCGCGGAGGTTTCAGACTCTCAACTACCAGGGGTGTTTGTAGGCTGCATCCTCAAAGCTCTCGAGGAGGATTCAATAGAAACGCTAGTGCCCTTAGAACGTGGCCGCTAAGCGGGCTAATCAAACGACCCGATCGCTTTCATCAATCTGCCTATGAGTCAGGGATTCGCCGCGGCAGGTACCAACTCTCTTCCCCGTGCCATTTGAAACATCACAACGACGAGTGTCTGTTCACTCGTATTCGAGTTTTTCCAATTGTTGCACTTACACGCTCGCCACCTCATCTTGCCCTGCCCCAATGACCGACACACATGCCGAGCCCAAGGCCACAGACAGCCTATCTCCTGTCTTGCGTGATTTTCCTCCCCCGCCCGATGGGGGTCTAAAGGCGTGGACACAGGCCGTGATGGGTCACCTGGTGGCGTTCAACACCTGGGGATACATTGCCAGCTTTGGCGTGTTCCAAGCCTACTACGAATCCGAGCTAGGCGTCTCTCCGTCGGCCATCTCATGGGTGGGATCTGTGCAAGTCTTTCTCATTTTTTTTGTCGGCACCTTCTCCGGTCGTGCCCTGGACGCTGGCTTCTTTCGTCAAGTTTACTATGCCGGGGTGGTCCTCCAGCTGCTGGGGGTGTTCATGACATCGCTAGCCACGCGCTACTGGCAGCTTTTTCTCGCACAAGGGGTCTGCACGGGTATTGGCAGTGGCCTGCAATTCTGCCCGGTAATGGGACTAGTGGCTACCTATTTCTCCGAGCGAAGAGTGTTCGCATTGGCGTTTGGGCTAGTCGGAAGCGGAACCGGGGGCATGCTCTTCCCCGGCTTGGTGAAGGCCCTCATGCCGAGTATCGGATTCGGCTGGACTATGCGGGTGGTGGGCTTCGTGATGATTGGCACCAGCATCCCAGCCACGCTTCTGCTCCAACCGCGACTGCCCCCGCGCAGGTCGGGCCCATTGATCGACTGGGTGGCCTTCAAGGAGCCCACTTATGTGATTTTCTGTCTGGGCATGTTTCTGAACTTCTGGGGGCTCTATTTTGCTTTCTACTACGTGGGCGCCTTTGGCCGCAGTGTCCTTGGCTTGACCTACTCAGACTCGACCACCCTGATCATCGTGACCAACGGAGCGGGAATCGTTGGCCGACTCATCCCCGCCTATCTGGCAGACCGCTATTTTGGCCCTCTTAACACCATCATCCCTCTGACTCTGGGGGCTAGCCTGATGATGTTCTGCTGGGCAGCGGTGCATTCGACCGCAGGCCTGTACGTTTTCGCCGTGCTGTATGGCATGTTTTCTAATGGCGTACAAGGCCTCTGGCCATCCACTCTCTCCAGTCTAACACCAGACCTAAGCAAAACTGGGACTCGCATTGGTATGGGTTTCACCATCGTGAGTTTCGCCTGCTTGACTGGCCCCCCTCTTGGCGGCGCTCTAATTGCGAGGGCCCAGGGTTACATTGGGGCCCAGGTTTGGGGTGGATTGACCTTCTTTCTCGGTGCTGTGGTCCTTATGAGCGCTCGCTTACTGAATACTGGAGCGACTATGAAGGCGAAGATCTGATCTGCGTGCGTTTCACACTGCGCAGCTGCGGACAAATTGAAAAGTCTCCATTAGTATATAGTTACCTATACATTCCAGCAAATACGCTTAATCCTGGGCGGTCACTGGGAAAGTCCTCGGGATAAAAATCTAAAATAAATTCAGAGTGGAAGGGGAATTTCTGGCAGCAATGTTCATTGGCGGCGTTAACATTTTCGGCGTTGATTTTCCCCCGAAACGGGACGGGCCGAGCACAGCCACCACCTTACGATCGATCATCATGATCTTTTGTAGGGAGTAACACGGCATGAATTTGGATTTAATCTCGAGGATATTCGGCTGATAGTTCTGAACAGACTCTTTAGCAACTTCCGGGTCCAGTACGAAGATAGAATTATCTCGTGGTGTTGCGATCCATGACGCCGCATACCTTGGCTGAAGAAACATTGACGCGGATGGCGCCACTCGAAGCCACTTCGTGTCCACCTTGAAAGTATGATGCAGGACGGCCGAGATAATCACCCTACACATAATCATAGCATGTCGCAAAGTCCAGTCGGTAAACACACGTTGTAACTTCTCGGCTCCTGATGGGTGATTGATTCGTTGGAAAAACTGAACCACTGCGGTGTTAACACTTTAAACACGGGCCCCTTGCCCCGCCAGCAATTAGGCGAAGGCCAGTCCTACGATCTTAAATTGGCCGATGACACAGACCTCTTAGTTCTTCACCTGCTCCCTTTCAGGAAAGGACCGGTCATTGTGGAATCGACTCGTTCCTGGCGTACAGGGGACGAACACGGGCTCTGGAAACGATTGCCCTGGAAGTTTGTCTCACTCTCTCGGAAATCTAAGCAACCATATTTTTGGCCACATCCTCCGGCAAGTTCAAGTGTTTCACTACTGTAAATACGCAAGGCTACATTGAAAATCAGGGACTCGTAAACTGTAGCGGGGTAGATAGCAATCTAAAAGTAGATTACTCTATTACCATGACTTTGAGATCAAGACTTTGGAAATGCATACGTTTCCTAAGATGCCTAGGTGGCATCGTAATCTTCAAGAAAACCCAGGTAAAACGAGAGATCGCCTACTGCTGATCTCATGTTACCTCTTACCTCTGAATACCAATCCCCGAGAAAACCCAACCTCATATCATAATACGTGAATGATAGAAATTGGATTTCGGAAGGGAAGTTTGTATATCAATGGCATCCGTCTGTTGTCTTGCAGCACGAAAGCTTTTTTTCTTGTGATATCTTCCTTGTCATGTGTACCTGAACAATTTGACGTGCTTCGTAGCAATTGGTGAAAATGGTCCATACCCTTCGCTTCCCACTCCTTTGGATATCACAAACATAGTCATTGTTTTTCCACCACTGCACTAACGGCAAAGGTTACATTGGTGGATATGCCTACATTAGTAGGTCGATGCGACGTGCAGTGTCTAGTCCTCGAGGGGCTTTGTACCATCATAGTCCTACAGCTAATTTTTGGGAACGTGCGCCAAACTAATATGGCATAGAACTTTAATCGTAGCGAACTCAAGCGAGGGGTATTTCAGGGGGTTCAATCTTGTGAAGTGAGCATATAAATAAGACACTTTAGGGGAGGCAGTGTTGCAAAAGCGCCATCACAAAAGTGCCATATATTTGCAATGGTCCAAATTCCATCCCAGATCTGTGCCTTCCCATCTACTTCGTCACCCGACGTGGTAGTGGTGGGAGGCGGTGCAAGCGGTCTTGCCATACTCCTTCAGTTGATCGAGCGAGTCAAAAATGGAGAAAACCTTGGTCAGGTGGTCATCTTGGAGAAGAGTGAGATTCCAGGTCCGGGCTTGGCCTATTCAAATGCCTGTGCCGGCACATTTCTAAACATGCACTCCGATACTATGGGATTGTACTTCGACAAGCCCCTACATTTTACTCAATCTCGGGCAAGTTTGGAAGCCGGCCCGTTTCCTTCCCGTGAAAGTTATGGCGATTACCTCCAAGCAACTTGGTCTCAAGCCATCGAGGATGCTCAGCAGGATGGGTTGAGCGTTTCCGTTATTCACCAAGAGGCAAACGACATCGACAGATTGAATGATGGCGCGTTATCTTTGACACTTGAAAATGGAACACAGCTTGTATCGCAGTCCGTTGTTTTGGCTCTGGGAAACTTTACAGCTCCCTGCAGCCCTCATCTCATCAATCTCCCCGGCTTTTTCTCGAGCCCCTGGCCATTATCGAAGCTGAAGTCAATTCCTCCTAGTTCCACAGTTCTTATCGTGGGTTCCCGTTTGTCAGCTGTTGACACCGCGACCTACCTTTCGGACAATGGCCATCGAGGTGCGATTACCTTCATGTCACGCAGCGGCCGCCTCCCTAAAGTTCAGGGAAACCAGACTCCTTACCCGCGTCGTTACGCTCTGCATGAACTTGCCAGACAGATCGAAGCGAGTCCGGATGAAGCTCTTGTTCAAGTGATGAGCGGTCTTATGGAGGAACTTTCGCAAGCTACAAACGGCGATTGGAGTTGGATTCTCGACAATGAGTCTCCTATGAAGCAGCTGCAACAGGATATTCAAGCTGCAAAGGACGATCAAACTCAGTGGCAGGCAGTTCTGCGGGGTACGGCTCCAGTCATTGAGCGGTATTGGAACTGCCTATCTTCAAAGAGCCAACGGCTCTTCATGGAGAGATATTACAGCCTCTGGATGAGGTTCCGTCACGCAATGCCATTGCAAAATGCACAAAAGATACTAAGGATGCTGGAAAGCTCCCAGTTACGGGTGGCCCAAGGAGACTCGGTATACTGGGATGGCACCTTCAAAGCGCAGACTTCTGCTGGGCTCATTGAGGCCGCATACGTTATCGAGGCAACCGGCCAAGAGTGTCGGCTCGACCGCATTCATTCCCCACTTATACAGTCTGCACTGAAGAACAATCTTATTAAGACTCATCCTAGTGGAGGAATAGCTGTCAATTTTGACAGTTTGTCGGCCTCACCGGGCCTGTATGCCATCGGGTCGCTCACTCGCGGTACACATTTCTACGTGAGTGCCATCGACCGTATTGCAGCACACGCTGCTCGAATTTCATACGCCTTGACGCAGGAGCATTGTGCCCGATCTTTGCATGTGGCTATCTTTTGCGGATCCGACCTTTTCTCTCAACTCATGACAAGCAATCTGGTTCCCCAGCTCCTTGCAGCCGGTCATGTACCCTTCATATACTTACCAAAGCACAAGGCCAGCCGCAAAGCTTCTCATTTTGAGCTCCGCGAATTAGCATTCTTCGAAAGAGAGCTAATACAAGAACACGTCATCCCTTATTTCAAGAATGAGAGTTCCGAAGGAGCCATACATAGAACAGTGCAGCAAATGCGAAATGCATATGGCATCCTCGTGGAAGAGGTACCTGATGTCAACAAAATGTCTTTTATCAAAAGCCTTGCCAAACATCGCATCGACGTGGGTCTGTCATTACGATGTTACCAGCGCTTCAAAACGGAGATTATACGCTACTTCTCCCAGCCTCGACGACTACTAAACCTCCATCCAGGTACCCTTCCCGCCTATCGCGGAGTCATGACGACCGCCCGCGCCATGAAGAACAAGGAAACTCACTTCGGTTATTCGCTTCATGATATCGACGAAAATTGGGACTCAGGCGACGTCATTGATATCCAGGAGCATCCTATCGACTATTCCAAGTCAATGCTGTCGTTCATGGAAGATGTATATAATATGGGAGTGAGAATGGCTATTGATGCAATCAATAAAATTGCCAGGGGGAAGGAGCTACCCAAAACGCCGCAGAATGCCGAAGTGAGTGGATACTACACGTTTCCAACGAAAGAAGAATTGGAAGATATCCGTCAAAGCGGGATTCGTCTGGTGGATGCTGAGAGTATTATTAACATCATTGTTGAGTCTTTCGCGCCGTCGAGGGAACAGCACAAATTCCGCACATATATCCTGAGGGTTGTCCAAGATTGGTACGATCGGAACTCAACCTGAATCCATAATTGGGAAGCAGTGATACGGAATTTTTAATTCAATTTGATTCACGTATGTCATATCTCATAGTACGTAAAAGCAGTGTGCCGCCAATCTCCTACCACAGACTGCGCTCAAATGCAAAGCATTCTCACGATCGTGAAGTCCGTCCATCTTCTTTTTCTCGGACAACTTTGTGAGCTCCTGAGCGTCCCGAATGTTATAGAGGCTAAAGATAAGACGAGTAGACACAAAAAGGAAGGCAAAAACATGCAACGGCCAGGATTCGCTGGTGGTCACTCGCCCAACTAAACTACTAAGAATACGAGGTAGAGATCATGAATACACGGATGAAGAAGGACAAAGTAATAGGTTATTGATGAATTAAAAAGCCAAAAAAATATGACACACATGTCTTAAGACACTTGAAGAAAACAACAGCACATTTTTGCTTTTCACGAATCAATTTCGAAATACCTTTCAACCCGACAAACCTTTTCAATAAACCATCTTCTCCAGTCCTCCCTTAGCTGTCAAAGTCAGTGCAAGATGATGGCCTTTACCACTCAACCTTTGCAGACAACGGAGCTACTGTTTAAGGAATTCTGGAAATGCTTGCTTGTTAGTTGCATACAAAAAACACGGCGGAATGAATGGCGAAAAAAGATATACTAACAAGCGGAGGGTAGACAACGGCACCATTGTTGCAGCAGAGCACGTCACGGTTGTCGCAATAACCCTCCTCCTCTAGTGAAATTTTAGCAAAAGGAACTGGATATATTTAGATAGTTTGGCCGACTCACCGAAACCGCATCGAGTTCCAGCAATGTTTTTAACAACATATCCGGTACAGCAGTAACACACTTGATCGGCAGCACCAAGGCTGGAGAATGCAAAAAGACCAAAAAGAGTCCTTAAATTCATATTTGAAAGCGGTGTTTTGTGGCGGAATCGAATATTTTAGATCAGTGGTCTTGATTAAGCAACAAGTAGGACGAGGACATCAATTGATCTAGAGACTTACCAACTGCTTTATTTGCAAAAATGTAAATCAAGAGATGGTCTAGGTCAGTGAGTGAGCGATTCAGCGGCGAGAGACCTTGCATCATCGGTAGCTCACGTATGAACTTAATCCGAGGACTGAAGTTGGTAGCAGCTTAAGGTCAGCTCCCTTCCCCCCTTCCCGGTCCTTGCATCAGTAATTAATACAACCCCTATTTTACTGGGTTTAGCGACGGACATGGTTGATCTGAAGATTTGACATTGGGTACGATCTACAAATCTGGTAACATTAAATTTCAATACAGGATAGATCTCTAATTCAGTCTGAGATATACGGTTGCTAAATATCCATTAGAACAGAAACCCCCGAACACAAAATGGTATAATTTAGATTCCCAAGTATCAGTACGAAGAAACTTCATTTTGTAGCATGGCTACTATGCCAATGCGTCTACTTGCCCTTCGTAAATTGACTAAACTGTAATCATACTTTGTTAGAAAAGGAAGGAAAAGAGAAAAAGGGTAAAACAACACGAACAGACAGAAACGGATAGACATTACACAACCAGTCCCGAACGTGTTTGTACTTAGGCTCGAAAATTGGATGTCGTTGAACAATGGCAAGGCAATGCTCGTTCTAGATCTATGAAAGCAAGAATTGACGACAGAGGGCCGTTTTCAGAAAAGAATATCTCTCCTTTACCACTAAAGTATTCACCGTGGCTTCACCTAGATCCCGACTCAAGACACGACCCGCGGGCCGTTGGGTCGTGCATTGTGAGAGCCATATTTAGCTAAGTGCATTAGAGCGTAAGCTCAAGAACTGTGAGGAAGATGGACTTGAGTTTTATCAGTGATAGTGTAATAAATTAGCTGCTTTGATTACTTGTCCTTAAATTCACCATAATCTAAAAAAAACGACTATAGATGCTAGAAAAAATCAAAGTGAACATACAAGGGAAATATGTAGAATTACAGAGGAAACGCACATAAATTTTGTTGTAACGAGGTTTCGTAATGCTTGTATTGTGTGACCTAGTAGGGTCGTAATCGATTATTGCGGGTTACCTACCTCGACGCAAAACCCGACTTATGAGTGGATTGGGTCTGGTTCGGTTCGGGTTGGAGATGGGTTCTCCCGAAGCCTAGTTCTGGGTCTGTTCGAAACCCGACCCGTCTTTCGGCGAGGTCTAGAAGCCTCCACCCAAGGGTATGTTCGTAATTTACTTCATCTACTATCGTTATTGATACGCATATTATCGTTGAAATGGAAAAGGTATCTCTTGTATCTATCTCAACTGGTTATCCGTTCATATCCGATTAGCGTTGTGAAATAAAGTTCGACTCGAGCTACTCAAGCATGAGGGAAACGAGGTCTGGCGGCAGTACGGGCGCACTACTTTATTTAGTTCCTACGAATAAAGCTCAGTTGGTGCCGCTTTTATCGATGTCTGAAACAACATGTTGAAGGAAACTCTCCAAAACGAACGGATGTCTAGCTCGAGTTAAGCTTTTGATAAAACTCATGGAACAAGCACTCGATGTGGACTAAGCGATTAAATGTATAGCGTCATCATATTTATTGCATGTCTAGATATAATGATATGTCCCAAGTCATCCAAGTTTCCAAGAAAAATTGGTTGTCATGGTACTACAGTGATCCAAGGATCATGCTATTTGTTTTCGGTCGCCAGCCTGCCGTTCTTCTTGTTTTGTTGATATTTCTATCAAGATGGTTTTCAACAAGGCAAACATACGAAAATATCGACTATGCAGGTAATATTGGCCAAGCCGATTTTTCAACAGGATCGAAGTTTGGACCCATCGATGCCGTTTACACTTGGGTCAATGGATCAGATCCTAGATGGAAAAGCGAGAGGGACTTTTGGTATCAACGCTGGATCCAAGAATACGATGGACCGGATCGGAATATCCAAAAAAGGGAGAAAAGTGGCTCTGAAGATGATGAGGGTGCTGCCTCTGAGAATCATTTTCGAGACAACGACGAGCTCCGATATTCCGTTCGCTCCCTAGAAAAGTTTGCACCGTGGATTCGTCAGATACATCTCGTGACGAACGGCCAGATTCCCACCTGGTTAGATTCGGACAATCCTCGAATCAACATTGTCAGCCACTCGGAAATTTTTGAAAATTCCTCACATTTGCCGGTTTTCTCTTCCTCTTCTATTGAAAGTAATCTGGACAGAATTCCAGGTCTCAGTGATAATTTCCTCTACTTCAATGACGATGTTTTTCTTGCTGCGCCGATCTCGCCAAGTGATTATATAACACCATCTGGTGTGCAAATCATATATCTGTCTCATCCAGTTCCACTAGGTGATGATGCATATCCGGAGTATTGGTCTGGGGGTAATCTTCTTACTCCAGATAGCACCGAACCAACATCTGGGAGGCAGTTCGATGACTACAGGCTTTTGGATGATGGGAACGGCGGAGTAAAAATTGAGCAGCTAGTAGGGAAAGCATTTGTCTCCTCGACATGTGAACTGGATGCAGTGATCCTGCAGTCTTTGTTTGACGAAGTTTTTAGGAGCAATCTTTCTCAGGGACATGGCCACATCAATGCTACTTTGCTCTCAACCCACCAAAGTTTCACCTTAAACGACGTTGAGGCGTCGAACATAACAAAAAGCATTCCAGAGCTAGACACTAAGAGCCGGATCAAAATTGCCGCACTGTTAGATGCATTCTCGCAGTGCCCCAATGACCATGATTTGGTTTCTGATGCAATCAGGTCTGTGATAAAGGCATTCAACGGTCGGTTTAGTCTATCGAAACATCTCCGGAGGGTCCCGTCTCACATGCCTCATATGATCAACAAGCAAGTCTTAACTGAGCTTAAAGGGATATTTCCACAAGAGTTTCAGCTAAACTCAGCACATCGGTTTCGACACCCACGGGACCTACAGGTTGCCTTTGCCTACTTTAATTATCTCATCAATCGGCCCTATTTTTTGTCTTCCACACTGTGTGGGTTGCGGGGCCAATACCTTGACAGGGATCGCGATAGCTCCCTCGAAGAAAATGATATTCGAACCCTCGAAAGCGTTCTGTATGGAAACATTTCACCAGTGGGCTTTCATGGCTCTGTTCAAATGTGTCTTCACAATGGCACTGGGTTCACAAACCAACTACAATTCCAGACCGAAGCAGGAAAGATGACAGGCGTTTCTGTCAAAGACGTGGAGCGCTGCGTCGATATGTCAAAGTTGCGATCACACTTTCAGAAGGAGAAGGGGTATAGACTGAAGATGGGAACCGATGTGACCTTTCATATGTTGGGAGACGACTACCAGACCACTATGGACCAATTCCAGTCGACAAAAGACCGACGAACAAAATTTATTTGTCTCAATGACGACATGAAAAGCCCATCAATTGAAGTGAGACTCGCTTTTAGGCAGCTACTCGAAGACATGTGGCCAGTGCCTTCAACCTTCGAGTTGCAGACCAGATCATAACGAAGGTTACAGAGCACTGTCGCACGAAGAATTCACCTCTCTATATCTTTTGTATCTTGATTTTTCCTTTCTGGAAGCAATCTGATCATGTATTCCTCTTGCGAGTCTAGGAGAGCCTGACTAGACGAATCAGATTATTGGAATTAGATGGCCCGTATCGTGCATGTCGACAAGTTAGTTACCATGCTAACAAATTCCACGAACCAGGCCACAGTACACGACAGAGATATGAGTCACGTGATGTCTCTCATAATGCTATCCTTCCGGCGCTTTTGGTCTTTGGAGATTACCATTCTTGATTAGCCAATCAGAGACCTTTCCTAATAGTATGACATGCATGGACCGACAAACGAGCCAAACAGAGATAAAACAGTAGTTATCATAATCATACTTATTTTTTGGCCACGTTTTAAGAACAAAGTCACTAATCCAGAACTGTTTTCCCTCGCTGCCACCAGCGACAAAAATATTAAATTTCAAATTGTTGTATGTATGACATACTCGCCCCCAGGTCGGACCCCAGACCGTTACGCGATTAACATGTTTTACTCCTTAAACTCAACTTCCTTTCCACTTTGCATGCCAATAACAGCATAACTGACAGGATCTGTAATACTGGTCAATAATTGCTCATTTGCGCCCATCCTGGGGTACTTACCCAGCTGCTGTAAGATAACTTGTTCCCCAGGCAAAAAGTTCACATCCCGCGTACACTTGAGCTCAACAGTAGAATTTGGAGAATGGTAGATAGTGATATGGTCAACTTCTCCGGTAACATATTCCGCTGTATCAGGCTCAATCATTCTGCCACCAACTTGAGCACCGACGTGTGTTCCCTCTTGTAGGGTGATAGGGTCGCGGTCGAAAAAAGCCTTAGGCATGATGGAAATTGGTGGTTCAGTCAAAAATGGAGGTCTTCAATTGGAAAGGAGATTAGTAAAATTGGGTGAACATCCTCTTGAGTTTCTTACACGAATATATCTTTGTCTCTCTATATAGCAGAGTGCTAATATACTGGAGAGAAGAATTAGTGTCAGACGACATCCGTCATTATGATGTCTTCGATTCTATGTCCTACTAGGTAGGATTAAATAAAAGACGTAATATAAAGTCATCACGTAATTCTAGATTACGTCTAGTTATTACGATCGATTATTACTAAAGAAGGTTAAAATAAGGTTAACGTTAACATAAGTTACAGCGGTAAGGGTAAGCAAGTCGCCCATGTACAGTAAGCGACCCGCCCACCCAACCAACTACTACTTACTTTAAGTCGATTCATCAGACCACCAAGGACATTAATTTCAATTTTCTACATATCATACCTATTAGGGCAATGCGTGCATTTATGCCAAAACGTCCTTTTATGTCCAACTTGATTACAGTCGCTGCATCACAGGGGGCACGTCTGATTGGCTGCGAAGCTGGCGAAGCTGACGAAGCTGGTTCCGCAGGGGAAGCATTCGAAGCTTTCAATAGCCTGGTTTGGATTATTAAATGCCTCCCTATCCTCATCAGTCGAAAGTTTTTCTGATTGAGCAATGCGGTTTTGCTTCTTTGTCTCACTTTCAACTTGTAATCACGAATTACTTTCTCAGAAATGCTGTGCTATGCATCGCGAGCTGGCACCCTTTGACAAGATCATTTAGGGCTCTGTATATAGGGGTAGGAGGCCTTGGTGATCGACGACTAAGAACAGCTTTGATTAACGAAGCTTGTTGCTCCAATTGTTTGGCATTGGCTGGCGTTTGGAGACTGTGCGCGCTTGATCAATTAGGTAGAGGGGTAGGCGTCCGAATTTGGACAGCAAGCTTTCATCGAAATTCATGTTGTGGTCACAAAGAGAATACAACAATGGATGAATCAACAATGATGATCCAAATAATTACGACCCAATCCATGGTTTATGAGCATACGAGGGTTATTGGCTTTGTATGACGCAAACCGAAAAGTGCTTAATTTTACAAACTCTAATCGAGGCGCGGGGATTTCTGACTGCACGTAAGTTGTGTCTCCACTGGAACTTTGCTACCCAGCGGATACAACCTCTCAGGATATTTTGAAAGTCGACATGTAGTTTGAAGTCCCATCAAAAAAGCTGTAGTCTCTCTCGTCATCCTCCTCGCTCCCTCTGGGACGCTGATACTCAGACCTGGTTCCCAAATTTCGTATTTTCTTCTTACTGGGCTCAACCGTGAGCAAATTACTCCTGATGGTGTTCTTTCAAGAAAGCTCCATTTCATTTAGTTTGGTGCTTTTACTCCTTGTCTACGTTAACTTTCCAAACTTGGCATTGAGCTCTGATACAAGTCATGAGAATCACCACGAAGAAACGGCAACGAAATCAAGCAAAAAGAGTCTCCAAAACTCTCAAACCTGTCCAACATTCTTAATTCACCTTCCTGAAGGCACATCAAGGTCAATTCCACAGATCCAGCACCAATTCAATTCTGAAACTCAATCCGATCGACTTGAAAGAACTGAAAGGCAAAGGGCCGTGAAAAGAGCGTTTCAGCATAGTTGGAATGGATATAAAAACCATGCCTGGTTGTGGGACGAATTATCGCCTATCACTGACAGCCATAAAAACTCTCTTGGGGGATGGGCAGCAACTTTGGTCGACTCCTTGGATACATTATTCATAATGGATTTAGATCAAGAGTTTGAAAAAGCACTTGAAGCCCTCCATGATATCGATTTTACTACTTCGAGAGTACCCAGTGTTAACGTCTTCGAGACGACGATACGATATCTCGGAGGCTTGATCAGCGCATATGACCTGAGCGAAGGAAAGCATTCGATCCTCTTGGAGAAGGCCCATGAATTGGCCGACTTCTTGTACGGGGCATTTGATACCCCAAACAGAATGCCACAGACGCGATGGCAATGGATAAGGTAGGTAACAAAGGTGTCTACTACGCCAAAAGAAGGTCCCTCTATTCATCACTTCTAATTAAGAACGTTTTAACCAGTACTTAGGACCGTATTGGAATCTTCAACACAGCCCAGTGAAAATACGCTCCTTGCCGAGATAGGTTCTTTGAGCCTAGAGTTCACTCGCCTTTCGCAAATAACAGGCGACTCAAAATATTTTGATGCTGTTCAGAGAATTGCAGATGCACTACATAGCATACAAAACCAAACTAGGTTGCCAGGTCTATGGCCGGTCTCGTTGGACACCCGTGAATTGCGGTTCTCTGACAGCTACTTCACAGTAGGTGGTATGGCTGACTCCACCTACGAATACCTCGTCAAAGAGTATCTACTCCTTGGAGACCAATCGAACCAATATGGTGAGATGTATATCTCTGCAATTGAAGGGATCAAGAAGCATCTGCTCTTCCATGGTATGGATAAAGATGGGGGAGACATATTATTCGCTGGGAATATCCGATTCGACTCAGAATCTGGCGAAGAGATTTTTGAGTATCAAACGGAGCATCTCAAGTGCTTTCTGGGTGGTATGGTAGGACTTGGTGCCAAGGCATTTGCTCGCTCAGCTGACTTATCTATTGCATGGGAACTGGTGAATGGATGTATATGGGGATACAATCTCATGCCTGTTGGAATTATGCCCGAAACTCTATATATCAGTGGCTGCAGAAAATCAAGTTGTGAATGGAATGAAGAGAAGTGGCTTCGGGATATATTCGGATGGCCAGAGGAAAAGGATATGCCCAGGAATTTACGTGAAGCTGCACGGTTGGTTATTCAGAACCATGGGCTACAATCACCAATACTGGAAGTCGTGGATCCAAAGTATCGTTTAAGGTAACTTGGAATGAATGATGAGATTGATCAAGGCACTATCATGCTGATAATTCTACACAGGCCTGAGGCAATTGAGTCTATCTTTATCATGTACAGAATTACCGGCGAAAAGTCACTACAAGAAGCTGCATGGCGAATGTTTCAGAACATTGAACAGTACACCAAAACCAAGCACGGCCATGCTGCGCTCGAAGATACCCGTGATATCTGGACAGCAAAATCAGATGTTATGGAAAGCTTCTGGCTTGCAGAGACACTGAAATACTTTTATCTTATTTTCTCAGATCCAAATTTGATCAGCTTGGATGAATACGTCTTGTAAGTATAGCGTCCCTGAATTCCTCAGCAAAACGGAGAGGCCTTGATCAGTCGGTTAATTACGTGATGTAGTAATACCGAAGGACACCCGTTCAAGTATACATATGGCTCTCCTACAATGTAGCATTGTGACTCTTTTGATTTACATCTTGGGTAACGAGCTTGAATCAAGTAATATTCATGGAGATTTATTTAATACTGTCAAGAATTGGAATTCCTACAGGTCACATACAGGGATTTTACCACTCACCAATATTTCCTATTATGTATTAGTCATTTACTACTTAGTGAGCCCTCTAAATTGTCGGGCATTCCTAGATTTATCTGAATCAGAGATTTATTTCTTCGTGAATTACACGTCCATGTGGGACTGTCGTACGCCCAGATTTTGACAAATACACGTCCTTAGGAAGAAAAAATATCTAGACCCACGCTAGCCACCCAAGTCGAATATTGCGGTATAGATATGTGCTTTACGATTCTCCGATTATTTACCAAGAAACGGCAGTTAATAGTCTACCATGGTTAGACCGGGTAGACTGCCGCTCACGGCTACCCATGCTTTCAACGGAAACGGTTGAGAACACGAACACGATCAATTTGTATTTGGAACCACAAAACCGATTTTACACCACCGGTAACCTTGTTTTCTTGAGTTTATGTAAACCTTAATCTGTTACCGTGTCGATATAGATCTAGGCATCCGTTAAACTCCGGAAGCCTCAGTGCACACAAAATGTTGCATGGCGCATTGGCCTTCAAGTGATTCCGGTCAATATCATGTCCTCGGGCTATTATTTGTATTTTCAGCTTTCATTGAATAGGCAAGATCTTGTACATTCGATTCATCACGCCAAAAAGCAGATAAGATATCTAAAATGATTACGGCCATTGCGAATGAAGGCTTGCCTGCTGTCCAATATCATCAATTAAGTTGGGACTCAATAGCCACTGCTTGGCCCACGGGTTCAGTAACCAGTGACTATTCTGATTATCCACAAGTTCAGCCTCAAGAAATACCACTTCTAGGAAGAGCGAAGCCAGTCATACTAGACTTGGAGGTGCTTAGGTTATCATCATCGGACCAAACCAGCCATCCTGATAGCTGGAAATATTATGTTCCAAATTCGCAGCCGCAAAACCATGATCCTACAGTCCACTCAAATTCTCATGTGATTCCGACAGTTCAGACAGACAACAATGGGGAACAATTGCACAACACAGAAATATTCTTACGGGGATGGCCTGACCAAGCCCTCGACACAGTTTGCGGCTGGGGCTCGAGCGAGCGGCATACCCGGCTAGTTCGGAAGAGATTCGCTGAAATACTGAACACATATAATGTGGGAACGCTTAACGATGCTGGCTGCGGTGATCTAGCGTGGATGAGTATGATAGATCTCGAGGGGGTCGACTATGTTGGATACGATATATACGAGCGTGCAAACTGGGCCGAACTACGACAACGCGGCTACCGACTGGACATTCTTGACGTCACAAAAAAAGAACCGCGCCCGGCTGATCTACTTATTTGTCGTGATGTTTTTATTCATTTGCCGAACGATATGATTCTCCCTACGCTGGAGCGATTCCGCCACTCGGCCTCGCTGCTCCTCACCACAAGCTATATCAGCGACCCGATTTTGAGTGAAGGAGGATTTTCCAACTTCAAGCGAATGAACGAGCCAAGTCTACATCACAGAAAGCTCGACTTGACTCTACCTCCGTTCAACCTCGGCCAACCGCTTGTTCGCATCCCCGAGGACTCACCCAACAAATATCTCGGACTCTGGGATATGACTCGCCTGCCAACGGGCCCGTACGCGATGAAGTCACTCTCTTGAGTCTCCTAACGCCCATCACCTGGTAGTACGCTGACCGTTGGGGGGTGAACTTCCCATAGGATTTCATGGTTGAATTCCGGATGATTGTTTTGAAGAAATCCAAGAATGGTGAATTCCTGAAGATGGGATTATTGCTAAGATACACTCACAAGGTAGGATGCCTGTCGATTAGGTAGAGAATCAGAGATGAAAGGAATATAGAACACGATATCTATCATTTCAGAGACTAAGTTTCGAGGAAGAGAGAAATATACACTGAAATTCACTTTATTGAAATGATTAGGTATTAACCTAGTCAAAGGACAGTAAGAGCTGCTTTCGAGCCCTAAAGCCTGCAATGTAATCAGGAACAAAGGATAGAGTATTATTACGGTGCTCGGCCGCTCTCAAACGTAACCCGATACAGCCAGGCCTAGGCCGGGTCTTCTGGCTGCAGCAGTCAAGTGATGTAGTCATCATCGAGGGTCAATGTTTAGTTTGCTGTATTTTTAACTATATGTATGGTGCTAAGACCCATATCATTGATGCTGATGGGCTCCCGAATTTATCGTGCGCTTTACCCACTGCTTCTGAGATGAGACTCAAACAGATCGTGCGAAAGGAGTTTTCATTCTATAACCACTGCCTAATCTTTTCTCCTAAGTGCCTATTCACTTTTAAGTGTCTCTCTATGTCCTTTCATACTCTAAGCATGGCCCGTTCTATTTTCTTCCTATGTGGACTGTTGTCGTTGGCCTCCGGAGAACCGGGTTGGCCGTATGAAACTTTTCAGACCGGAAATTGGCAACCTCCTCATCTGACCCTCCAAAAGATCGGTGAAACATATCCAGGGCACATCTTTATAGGCGTTCGAAAGTACAACAAAGCCGGCACTGCGCCAACAATCTTCGACAATAATGGTGACATGGTGTGGCAAGGCCCACAAGGGGAGAACCTGGACTTTAAGGTGCAAACCCTTTTCAGCCAGGATGTGATCACCTACTGGGATGGACAGCCAGGTGATATGGTGTTAGGCTATGGAGCAGCGCATATCCTCGACAACACATACAAAGAGATCTACACAGTCACCCTGTACGACGACTTCCAGACGGCTAACGGCTCAACATTTGACTCCTACATCGACGGCCACGAACATTACATTACACCCAATAATACCATGCTCGTCTCAGCTGTCAATTTCACTCAGACAAACACTAGCCATCTTAGAAATGGCAAGCCCAACATGTGGATTATTGACTCTCTGTTCTATGAAATCGACATCAAAACAAACAATGTCTTGTTCAAATGGGATGCACTGGAGCACATTCCGATTTCCAAGTCCAGGATTAGTATAAAGGGCGGAAGAAAGCCGACTGAGGCCTGGGACGCTTACCACATAAACTCGGTTACTACTACCAAATATGGATATCTGGTCAACTTTCGGCACCTCGACTCTGTTTTCTATATTAACAAAGATGGCTCCATCAGGTGGGAGCTTTCTGTGAGTATATATAATAATCATCATATTCTTTCTTGTTGTTGCTTATTCGGTGTTTATTCTAGGGTGGCAATGATGGCAGCGGCGACTTCAAGAGTAACAATGTTTACTTCGCATGGCAACATGACGTCCGCGTCCACAACGAAACCGATGAAAGCCTAGTACTCAGTCTAATGAACAACGATGCATTAGAGAATCGGGACACTGGCCCGTCAACAGGGCTGGTCGTCCACGCCGACCTCGTCAACAAGAAGGCATGGAGAACCTACGAGCTGGCAGATCCTGCTGACAGTGTCGTTAGCGCAACTCAAGGCAGCTTCCACTTCCTACCATACTCAGGAATAGAGCACATGTTACTAGGCTACGGATCGATACCCAAACTCAAGGAATACGATGGAGACGGCAACGTAGTTCTTAGAGGACAATTTGGCAACAACGCATATGCGGCGAATGCCTACCGGATATCTAAATCGCCATGGAAAGCTACTCCGTACTGGGATCCTGTTATATTCATCAATCATACAACCGAATATAAGACCGATATTTACATGAGTTGGAACGGTGCCACGGACTACGACAACTGGGCCATTTTCTCAGTCCCACCGGATACTTCAACGTTGCAGGAAGGCCAACGTCTGCTGGTTCCTGAGCGAAACGACTTTGAGACTTCTTGCGAATGTCTGCTAGTCCATGAGCGAAACGGCTTCGAGACTCACGTCACTCTTGAGTATGTTGATGCCAAGTTTATCATTGCTGTTGCGAGAAACGGCGAGAAAATCATAGGCATGTCCTCCGTTGTGGAATTTGCATGATGATATGCATCTCCGTTTGTTTGTTTCGTTGCAGGAAATAGAGACTACAAGGCCTAGACAAGGAAAGACGAATAAGGCGGCTTTCAAAATAACATTCCCTTCTTTCTCGTAAGCTGTAATTCAGAGGAAGGTTACTTATAACGTTTCAGACAGAAATATTGGACATTTATAAGCACATCCAGCATCCATGTTAACTAGAAATCAATTTTGGTATTTCTATGGAGGATAGGAATTTATTCCGATGTAGGTTTCATATCCCAACATTCCCGGCGGGATCACAGGATCGCTCCAGCATGCGTCATGAAAAACGGCATTACGACTATATTTCTCCTTGCATGTCTCATAAATCGATGGCTTATTGACTCAGACCTATTTATTTGCCTTTTGTTTTCTTACTAGAACGTAAAGAATGTCTCAATGAATTATTACTGCCATTAGAGTTTTAATACATTTTGCCTCCTGTCAAGAATGTGATCCGTATAATCCCCGCAATTGACATCTCATTCTCGAAATTTGCCTCTTCAATCTCCTGTTCTCTTCTTCAGGATCGCATTCCATGTGGTTATCTACTCATTTTAAAATATGCTCCCTTTCAAAGGCAAAAATGTAGTACAAATTTCTAAACGTGGCTCAAAACGAGCCTAACGGTTCAAATCCTAAAGTTTCTAATATCCATTGAGTGAGCACTATCTATTGGTCTGAAAAGATGTCAAACGAGGTTAAGCCTTAGACTACTAATATTATGAGACGTTTTAACACCCTCTTTATTCGATTTGACTTATAAATCGATAGAATTCCTCGTTTTGATTTTAGTCGTCTCGGTGAAAGTGACTTTTGCGGATTAAATAAGAATGCAGGCAATTAGAAATGATAGTTATATTAAAGCATACGACGAATCCGTTTACCAACGTCTCTTTTTTAACCCTTGAATTATATGTAACTAAGTGGTCACGCTAGCAGAAGTAGTCCGCGGTAAAAACTTCACTGATGCATTCCACGACCTAGAACCGTTCAGCCACGGACTTTTGTTAAAGAAAGACCTTGACAGGCTATTATCAATCTAGGGCACTCTGATTGCCATTTAGTACCTCCGCAAATGCGGTATTAGCGATATTTCCACTACTTTCGGAGCTTTCAGAAGCTAGATCACATTCCCAGGTCACTTCCGTAGAATTGCCTGACTTATAGGAATGACAATATTATGGAAAGTTATAGGTCTTAGTAAACTCTACTACGAGGTGGCTTCATTGCGTGTAATTTCCACCAGTAAGGACAAAGAGGCTGACGACGACTTAGACATGGCCGCAGTTTCGATTATATTTGCTTCGAGCAAGGTGAGCGACATATAAAGGTGCCCCAAAGCCGCGCTTAAGATACATACAGATCTAACAAGCTCTTCAAACAAGTTCAACACTCAAACTCCGAAGTTTCTAGTCTGTGAAAACACACGAAGATGAAGTACTCTATGATTCTCTCGACCTGGATGGTCGTGGGCCTCGTGGGCGCTGCGCCAACCACCCAGCCAAGTATTTAAATTTTCCTTTTGTGAATTTAGGAACACTTACGCTGACTGTGATTCAAGTCTCGAGCGGGATTGAGGAGATCGCAGCTCCACCTCCTTATCGACCTCCTTACTACAAGGATCATGACGACCACCGTCACGATCGCCATGATGGACATCCAAAGCGTGAAGACGATGATCACCACCATGATCGCAATGATGACCACCGTCACGATAAGGACCATGATGGACATTTCAAGCGTGAAATCGTTGAGCACCACGACGGTCACCACGATGGTCACCGCGACGACCACCATAAGGATCACCATGATGGCCATCTAAAGCGTGAAGTCGATGATCACCACCACGATCGCCATGACGACCACCGTCACGATCGTCATGATGGTCATCTAAAGCGTGAAGTCGATGATCACCACCACGATCGCCATGATGACCACCGTCACGATCGTCATGATGATCATCCAAAGCGTGAAGTCGATAACCACCACCATGATCACGACGAGGACCATCGTCACGACAAGGACCATGATGGACATTTCAAGCGTGAAATCGCTGAGCACCACGATGGTCACCACGACGGTCACCACGAAGACCACCATAAGGATCACTATGATGGCTTTCTGAAACGTGAAGTCGATGATCACCATCACGATCGCTACGACGACCACCACCACGAAGGCCACCATAAGGATCACTATGATGGCTTTCTGAAACGTGAAGTCGATGATCACCATCACGATCGCTACGACGACCACCACGACGACCACCACGAAGACCACCATAAGGATCACTATGATGGCTTTCTGAAACGTGAAGTCGATGATCACCACCACGATCGCTACGACGACCACCGTCACGATCGTCATGATGGACATGCTCACTAAGCCATGGCACTTCCACATCACTCTTACCGTCTTTAGAAATAAAGTCCAAGGGAGATTAGTTTAGTTAGTTCAAAGGTGTTAAATTCTGCTTTGTCGTTATTGTAGGCTATTTCGTCCTAGTACGATAGTCCTTTCTTTAGTTCCTAGACGCAGAGTAAAGCCCACCGAAGGGCATAGCTTCAGCCCTCCGTTAGTGTATAAGCTATAGATAATTATCCTTAGGGATCATCATCAGCAGTAAGTAGACCTCGCTCTCAACCGCGGATGACCCTTTTCACTCTCATACAGTCGCTTTAGTGAAGGTCGTCTTGTCTTCCTCTTAGCCAAGCTCCTATGAATATGAGATTAGTAGGCAGTACAGGTTATTAGCATCAGAGCGTACAAAGGGCCAGACACACGGAGGATTTGGTTCCAGGTGAGCAACGCTTTGAACGATCTGGTCGCACAAGGAGCGGCTCTATCAGTGATCTTGGTGCCGGTCGCAACCCATCGCGACAGCTTTGATTCCTGTCGCCAATATTACATTAAGAATATCTCGCTTAATATCATTAGGCAGAGACTATGAGGTGCCCGGCTCCTAGTTCGACGTTAAATTGATTATTTTATCGCAAGATGATCTCTAGAGTAGGCCTTTGCGCCTTACGATGTAGTCTTCCATAAGAGTCTAAGAGGTAATTGGGGTAGCGCGGGCCATATAGGTGGGATTGGAGAGTACCTAGGTCTACAATTGACTCATTCCTCTATTGGTAACTCTATTCAAGCATCGCGACTCAATTACGAAGTTATATATAGTCTGACTTCGGCTGAACTGCCGAATCCATTTGGTCAGAGCGGGGACCAATCAGGATGGTTGGGGTAACAAGATGGGGTAGACTCACAAATCTAACCTCACCCCGTATTAGTTAACGTTTATGAACACAGACATGTCTAATTTCCTCGGCCAGCCCCCGGAGCCTGCTGGCCCCTCAGCCACTTCAGCTAGCCGACCCTACGGAGATAAGAATCGTCGCGCCTCCAAAGCATGTTCCGGCTGCCGCACCCGGAAGGTCCGCTGCGACGTCCTGCAGACCGGCCGCCCTTGCACCAAGTGCCGCGTCGATGGCTTCGAGTGCGTCCTGGAGCAGCGCAAAAAGCGGCGCAGGCGTATATCCCACTCCACGCAGAGCTCCTCGGAAGCAATAGCCGATAAGCCGGCCAGGTTTAACGTCGCGACTTCGGCGCGCTCTTCATCTGCGCGGTCGCTCTCCCAGCACGCGATGCTTCACCAGGTGCCGCACTATCCCTTTTTCCGCGAATTCGCGCCACGTGGCCAACAGCTGCTGCTATCGACTCAGAAAGAGGATGAGGGAGAACAGAGAACCGTTGGGGAGATCGGCGGCGAGGGGGAGAGTCTGGCGGACGATGATCTGCAGTATTTGAGGCAGAAAGGGGCATTTGAACTGCCGGCGAAGAGAGCGATGGACGAATTGGTCGCCAACTACTTCCAGGTGTTCCACCCGTTCTTCCCCGTGGTGGATAAGTATGCCTTTTTGGAGAGTTACTACAGGACGGATTATGAGGGGATTTTGAATCAGAAGGGGCCGAGTTTGCTGCTGCTACAGGCCGTTCTCTTTACGGCGAGCGCGGTTAGTTGTGGCTAGATGTTAGGACGGACCAGTGCTAATGACTTGCAGACCATACCTGCGAGCATCCTGTTGGATAGTGGCTTCTCGTCTAGGAAACATGCGAGAAGCCTGCTTCATCGAAGGGCTCGGGTGCGCCTTAATCGCCATACTTTTTTGAATGATCGTAACTAACCTCAATCGCAGTATTTATATGACTTTGACGTAGAGGGTGACGATGTCACAACCATCCAGGCCCTCTTGTTGATGAGCCATTACTACCCATCCATGGTAGAACAGAAACACACCTGGTTCTGGGTCCACCAGGCCATTTCCCTTGCCCAAGGTGCCGGCCTCCACCGCGATGCCCGCCAAGTCCCCCAGCGCAAGCTCTGGGCTCGCATCTGGTGGGCGTGCCTTGTGCGAGACCGGCTCGTCACGCTCGGCACCGGCCGTCCTATGCAAATTAACAGCCTGGACTGCAGCGTTCCGATGCTGACGCCTGCAGATCTAGAGGAGGAGGGCGATAGTGAGGACGACCGCGCCGTCAAGGCTGTGTTCGTAGAGTTTGTGCGCCTATGCCAGTACATGGAGGGCGTGTTGTCCCTGCCACATAGCGTGGCGGCGGCTGAGGAGTCAGTGTTACAGCAGGTTGGGCTGTGTGAGACGACGTTGGCACATTGGAAGGAGAATTTGGCGCCGGTGGCTCGGAGGCGGGAAGAGAGGAAACGAAATTTGTGCACTTTATACAGGAATGTCCTGCATCTGATCTACAAGTGAGTCCCATATTTTGTATGCACCGATTTGATCTGGCGGCTGAGATTCAGGAAGTATTGTGATCATTGCCCTTTATCAGTATCACCGTGTCCTGGAGTATGGCGGTGCACAGCCGCCATCGCCAAAAGTTCAAGCAGCGGCCAAAGACTCCACTCATCTAGCTGTCGAGCTGATCGAGCTTGATCTCGTCAAGCTCTGCCCGACAATATGGTTGGTCCCCTTCACCCACCTCCTAGTCACATAATGCTCTGAACTGACCCAATATAGTGTCACCGCCATCCTACCACCATTGATTTCCCATCTCCTTATGATGCGCGCCTCTCGCGACCATCCCGGTAAGTCAGAGGACTTCAACAAGTGCATAGTATTTCTGAAGCAGCTGGGCGAGATATACTGGCACGCAAGCTTCTATAATGAGTTTTTTGAGCTCGCAGCTTCCCAGTCCCAGAAAACCACAGAGACGCCTAACGGTGAGCGAGACCCTCTGGTTACGTTCCTGAATGACCGCATGCCGAGGAGGCAGCGGTTTTGTAAAGTGTTGGAACCGCAGAGCCAGTGCCGAACTCGAGGGCGGACGCTAGTGGATAATGGCGAAAATGAGCAATCCAATATGCTAGCCTCGAACGAGGCCGGCCTGCCTACGCTATCTAGCTCGTCCATCATGACCGAAATGCCTGACTCGGAGAGGCTTGATACTGGAGATGTTACGTTGCTGGACCCTAGTTCTCTGCTGTTTGAGGACTGGCTGGTTGATCTTGGCTCTTTCCACAACATATTCCCGTCTGCCTAATTAGCTTAACTATCACTTACGTATAAACACTTGTACAAACACGCCAAATCTATCTTGTCAAGACCTAATCTATATGCTTCATAGTACACTGGCTTACAGCTTGGGCCCGTTGATGATTGCCTGCCCCTGCTCACTCATCCAGAACGTACCAGAGGGATACTCGTACTTTGCGATAGCCTCGGGCTTGTACTCGACGCTGTAGCCCGCCTCGTATGGTGTGACGAAATGCCCGTCCTTTGTCTGTACGGGGTGGGTCAGGACTTCTCGGAACGAGTTGATGTGCTCGAGGAGGCTCTTCTCTCCCGACACGCACAGATAATTGATCAGCGCCAGGTGCTGCGTGTACTCATTGAGGCCGACACCGCCACTATGGGGCACGACGGGAACATTGAACTTCTTGGCCAACAACAGGACGGCCAGGACTTCATTCACGCCACCCAGCCTGCAGGCGTCGACTTGGCAGTAATCGATCGAGCCGGCTTGGAGGAGCTGCTTGAACATGATTCTGTTCTGACAATGCTCACCGGTGGCGACGCCGATGCCGTGGGGCTTCAGAGCCTTGCGGATCGCGGCGTGGCCTAGGATGTCGTCGGGCGACGTAGGCTCCTCGATGAATACAGGCTTGTACTCGACCAGCTCGAGCATATAGTCAATAGCCTCGGGTACGCTCCAAACCTGATTAGCGTCTACCATGAGCATCCTCTCGTAGCCAATGGTGTCGCGCGCTAGCTTCAGTCTCCGTTTGTCGTCCGCAAGACTGCCGCCGACCTTGAACTTGAATTTGTCCATCCCCTCCGCCAGGTTCGATTTCATCAGTTGCACCATCTTCTCGTCCGTGAACCCCAGCCAACCCGCCTGTGTCGTATATGCCGGCACTGCCTTACTCACTTTTGCATCCTCTAGCCTGGCGGCCTTGGATCCCTCCTGCTGCTTCAGCAGCGCCAACGCCTCCTCCGGCGTGATCGCATCGACAATGTACCGGAAGTCGATGCAGTCGACAAACTGCTCGGGAGTCATGTCCGCGACCAGGCGCCACACGGGCTTGTCGGCATACCTGCCCCACAGATCCCACAGGGCATTGACCACCGCGCTGAGGCCCAGGTGGATGACGCCTTTCTCGGGGCCGACCCAGCGCAGCTGCGAGTCTGAGACAAGATGCCTCCAGGTAGCGCCCATGCTAGAGATGATGGAGGCAAGGGAGCGGCCAACGAGGCGCTCGGCGATCATCTCGGCAGCAGTGGTGCACAGGTTGTTACCGCGGCCGATGGTGAAGGCGAACCCGTGGCCGGAGAGATCGGTGTTGGTCTTGAGGATGAGGTATGCGGCACTGTAGTTGGGGCCTGGGTTCATGGCATCGGAGCCAGATAGGTCTGCGCTGGTTGGGAATCTGAGATCTGGATTATGGTTAGCTTGGTCACACTGTGGGTAGGCACAATGTCCTCACCATGCGCTTCGAAGCCTGTGATGGTGATATCGGCGGCAGGTACTGACGAGCCTGCAAAAGTGCCATTGGCGCGGTCCTGGGTAGCTGATGGCACCATCATGAGAGAACAGTTCCTTGTGATGTGTTCACGTCCTCGAACTGGGCCGAAACCATGAGTTCTTATAAATTTTGTCTTCGCCCGCAATTGCTCCGGTTCGCGCGTTCTCCCCCTCGGGCACTTCAGTCCCGACGGGGAAGACCTCGAGAGGTCCAATCGCAGCCCGTAGCCCGGCTGTTCGGCTGGAAGTGTGCAGTTTCCAGTCGCTGGAATCAATCAAATCTGGGGTCTGCGGGGAAGGAGATTCTCCAACTTCCCCGGGTTAGCGCTGGCCAATCACGGCCAGAGTACCGGTTCTTCGGCTCTTTGTCTTTTCTCTCATTTCGCTAGCACCCTCAGATATATAAACAATTCAGCTGCTGGTGATCCACTGTGCCTGAGAGGCTCCTGATGGAAAGAAGACACGGGACCGAACAACAGCCAACATGGTGAGAAAGGTAAGTGGCGGCGACTTCAATGCTGCAACCAATTTTAACAACCACCGAATAATTAGGAAGTCTACCTCTACGGCATTGCGCCGTGCACCGCCGGCTTAGCCTTTGGATATGTAAGTCAACACGGACTAGCCCTATGTATTGCCAAGATCTAACCCATGCGTGAATAGGACACCGGTTCAATGAGTGAGTGGTCTCATCAAGAAATTCTGTTGGACGAGGAATGACATTTCCGGACTTCCAGGCGGCATCCTCGCCATGCCCCAATTCCTGACCTACTTCAACCACCCGAGCAATTTCCAGCAGGGCGGTATCACCGCATCCATCCTCGCGGGCGCTTTTGCTGGCTCACTTCTCACCGGTGCGTTCCTGGCGGATCGGCTCGGCCGCCGGAGGACGATCCTCCTGGGCTCTGCCATCTTCACAATCGGTATTGCGATCTCGACGGGCGCGAACAGTGTGGCGGCCCTTGTGGCCGGTCGGGTCATCAATGGGCTAGGAAACGGCTGTTTGACCATGACGGTAGGTTAACATGCAGTGAGGGTGGTGCAATAGGAGCTGACTGCGCCTTCAAGACCACTATGTACCAAAGCGAGATCGCCCCACGGGAGTATGTATCCAGTCAATCCGACACAAGACGTATATGCTCATATGTTACAGGATCCGAGGTCGTATCATCAGCGTCTTCCAGTGTTGCGTCAATTTCGGTATCCTCATCGCCTTCTGGATCCAATACGGCACCAGCCACATCCAGTCCGAAGCAAGCTGGAGAACTGCCATGGGTCTTCAGATGATCGTATGTTAGCCCACCGAACGGACAAAGCAGGACCATGGACAGGCTGACCACGATATAGGCGACTGTCGCACTGCACATCACCATGTGGTTCATGCCCGAGTCGCCCCGCTGGCTCGTCCAGAAAGATAGACAGGAAGAAGCGCTGCAGGTACTTGCCAGAGTCCACTCTGGAGGCGACATCAACGACCCGTATGTCCAGGCCGAGATGGCCGAGATTGTGGCGAAGATTACTTTCGAGAAGTCCCACCCGCCGCCTAGCTACTATGATCTGCTGCTCGGGACACACAAGCGGCGAATGTGGCTCGGAATTGGAGTGGTAAGTCTTATTCTAGGAAGAATCGTGAAAGAACGTACTAATCTAGCACAGCAATTCTGGCAATCGATGACTGGAATCAATGTGTAAGCATCACTAACCTCCTTGTACGTTGGTAATCTGACACTTAACATAATAGAATCATGTACTACGCCGTCTTCCTGTTCCAGCAAGCCGGCCTCAGCCAGACCTCATCGTCCCTCCTGGCCAACGGTCTTCAAGGTGTTGTGCTTAACCTCTTCACTTACCCTAATATGTACTATATGGATACATGGGGCCGACGGTGGCCCATGGTCATCGGCGGAGTTGGCATGGGTATCTCCATGATGGTTATTGGCGTCCTCATGAAGACAACCGGTATGGCACTCAGTTCTAGTCTGCGGATTAGCCGTTGTTGTTAGTGCCGAGACTGACGCGCTCTTCATAGGAAATCCCGTGTATGACCAGTTAACGCAGAAGACAAACTTCCATTTCACAAGCCCGGCCGCTTCGCACACAGTCATCGCCTTTGTGTACATCTATGTCGCCGTATTTGCCATCACCTGGGCATGTGTCGCCTGGGTGTACCCGCCCGAGATCTTTAGTATGAGCATGCGTGGCAGGGCAACATCTATGACCACCGCCACGAACTGGTTTGTTGTGAGTTTTATCCCGGATCTCGGCCATGACTATTTTCTGACAAGATATAGAACTTCTGGTTCGGTCTTTATATCCCTACTGCTATGAAAGAGATCAGGTAACTAAACACCGCGGGGCGGACTTTATACTTCCTGGGATCGTCCACTGACTCTGCTCTTTTTCAGCTGGAAACTCTACATGATTTTCATGAGCCTCTGCTTCCTCATGTCCATTGTCATCTTCCTCTTTTATCCCGAGTCCGCCGGCAAAACTCTCGAAGAGATGGACTTCCTCTTTACCAAGGGCCGCTCGATTTGGACGTTCCTCGACCGCGAGGCCACCAAGATCGGCGCCCTTTTCGAGCGCGACCTGGCGCACGGCGAGGCTATAACTGTGTTTAACGAGGATGACATGGCCCTTAAGGCTAAGGTTGGGAAACCTGTGGATGGGAGCGACAGCGCAATTGAGACGGGGTTTGTTGAGGTGGTTGCCGGGGCAAATTAGGGAACAAATGGTTTGAAATTGTAATTGATAAGGTGAATTAGTGCTAAAGCTGTGAAGCCATGTGCGATTGTATTTGTTCATAGCCTTGATATATTGCAAATAATCCCACCTTAGCTACTTAGTGCACTTCCTTGAGAAATTCATACTGGAAATGATTGGTGCCCTGCATCTTAATCCGGTTCTGCAGGTGCCTAATTCTGTGCCTAGGGTTCCTTTCCTAAATCGGCGTACGATAAAACATGGCTTAAAGAGAGCTCATGTGGTCTGGTAATTGGCGCGGACCTGGGACCATTGCGAGTTTATAGACCTTACACTCTGTTTAAGGAAAGTAAGGTTGACATATAGATATTCAAATCCTGAAGGGATAATGTTGAGATCGCCCATATATATATGACGCGGGGAAATGCTTACTTGCTAGCCTATTGTTTTTGGTCTGGTTGATCTTACTGTAATCCTTGATCGATTACCGTGGTCTACATATCCAACTTTGGGCAGTATTAGACAAATATTTCACCTAGAAATTAAACCATCGCCCTTGAGCTTGACTCTGGGCGTCCCGTCCGGTTAGGGTAGCGTAGCCCCACCGAGCGGAGAAAATCACTACATAAGGAGGCGCCGATCTCGATGTGAATAAAGCCAAGTGCAATCAAAAATAATGAAGACCATTTGTACCTTGGAAAGTTCATCCGAAACAGCCTAATCGGCAAATCTCCAACAAAGACTAACTAAAAGTACCTCGTAGTTACATGCCGAAAACTAACTAAGTGGATTCGGGAAGGTCTGTCAAAGACGCGATCGCTGCAGTGATGTCGTGATCAGAACTGGACCATTGATCAACCAAATATGCCCCGTGCGTTCTCTATCACCTCTCAGGCACCTTCTAAAAATGAGTAGACTCGGCATTTGTGTGGGGGTTTTCGTTTAGCTCGTATCGTGTCATTCTCCACGTGGATAGCGACTGACCGAGATGATTGATAATAAAAGGGAAGCGCGCACTCTCGGTATTTGTCGTTATTATCGCTAGATATTTTAAAAACTCCCACTATTAAGGGACGCTCAACATGGATTCGTCACCGAAAGAGATTGAGGCCTCGACCTCAATATCTACGGGGTCATCTGCCCGGGACGATAATTACGACGTCTATAAACAGAACCAAGGTCTTGAATACACACGCGATGAAGAAAAAAAGTAATCCGCAAAATCGATCTCCAATTAATACCGCTGTTATTTGTGATATACATGTTGCAGGTGAGTGACCGTCGTTCCGCGCACTATTATTTACTGACTCCTCGCAGTATCTAGACAAAAACAGCATCAACTTCGCATCTGTGTATGGTCTCAAGGAAGGAACGGGACTAGTGGGACAGGACTACTCATGGCTCGGTGAGTTCTTTTCTGGGCGGCTCATAGAATAACAGCTAACCTGGCAAGGGTCCATCTTCTACTTCGGATACCTGATCGCCCAATGGCCCGCAGGACTAGCATTGCAGAAGCTCCCGATTGGCAAGTTTCTTGGAATTACCAGTATAGTGTGGGGAGCTCTGCTCATGACCACGCCGGCCTGCCATAATTTCGCTGGCATTGCAGCCAACCGCTTTATCCTAGGTCTCGTTGAGGCCGTGGTCAACCCCGGGTTTGTACTGTTGATGAGCATGTGGTATACCTCTACCGAGCAGCCTCTACGATTGGAAGCGTACTATTGCACAAATGGCATTGCCACCATGTTTGGAGGGTGAGTTCCACCTACCCAGTCTCCTTGCGACACCGAAGTAACCTGGACAGGTTGATTGGGTACGCTGTCGGCCATATCACCACCGGTCTCCCTCGGTGGATGTATGTCTTCTTCATCTTCGGAGCCATCTCCATCGCCGTTGGAGTTCTGGCTCTCGTGTTTCTCCCGGACTTACCTTCGACGGCAAAGTTCCTCAGCGAGCGCGAGAGAGCCATCGCGGTCGAACGAGTGGCGGTGAATAACCAAGGCGTGAAGAACCATCATTTCAAGTGGGAGCAGGTGTGGCAGGCAGCGCGGGATCCCAAGACATGGCTCTTGTTTATCATGGCTATTGGCGCCCAGGTGCCAAATTCGGCGTTGACAAGTGTATGTTTCTCCACTTCGTCTGAGAGCAATGACACTAACAAACCGTATCAGTTCACATCCATCATTGTCGGGTCCTTCGGCTTCGATACACTCGGAACACAATATCTTCAGATCCCCGGCGGCGCCGTCCAATTCCTCACTCTCCTGATCGGCGGTTTCATCGCGACCAAGTATAGTGATAAATTCCACTCGCGGAGTGCTTGCATGATCGTTGCCAACGCAACGTGTATTATTGGGTCTGGACTACTAGTTGGACTTCCCGATACGAACAAATGGGGCCGTCTAGTCGCACTCTGGCTATGCTACTTCCAAGGACTGGGGTTCAGCATGAGTCTGACTATCATCAGCTCCAATATCGCCGGATACACCAAGAAACAAGTGACCGGTGCACTATTGTTTACGGGGTACTGCATTGGCAACATTATAGGGCCGCAGACATTTATTTCGAGCGAGGCTCCTGGCTATCACAGTGCATATATTGCGTAAGTTGTTCTTTGGGCGTGGATTTGGATTCGTGGACTGACAGATGTGTAGGATGCTGGTTGGATACTCGGTCAAACTGGCTGCGGTTCTTGCCTTGTACATGTATATGTACCGGGAGAATAAGCGACGAGACCGCAATGCACTAAATGGTGAAACTGAGGACGACGGAGTTGAGAATGGAATGCTGGTAAGTGGAGGTGAATGATCTTGACTGTACAGGCTGGCTAACTAACCCGTGATCTAGGATCAAACGGAGCTCGACAACAAGGCATTTCGATATGTGCTATAGCATGATCGCGTACTTGAATACAGAATTAGCACAGGATGATAGAGAATATTGCCATAGTTGTAGTAGTAGTAGTAGTAGTAGTAGTAGTAGTAGTCGTGGTCGTCAAATAGCCGGAGTCGGCTTCTTCGCCGATCTGTGGAATTGCCGGCCCCAGCCAAGTTGCTCGACTCCCCTACTTCCGTCTCTCCACCTCCATCAATCTTCCCAGAGGACCGAAGATAACTACTACTGATTGACGAGAGTACCGACTTCAATCATGGCAGCACGCAACACTCTCCGCCGGTCCTTGCTCTACGGTTCGTTTACCCGGCCCGCTCAAGCTACCATTCATACCTTCCTTGCTCTTCCCCGCATTCATCACCACCTCCGATACCGTCTCTAACGAACTTGTTGCACGACGTACAGTCCCCGGATCTTCACAGCGCTTCCTCGACAAATCCCGCTCTCTAACCGCCGACTGTATCGCCTATGACCTCGAAGACAGCGTCACTCCGCACATGAAAGCGGAGGCCCGCTCGCTGGTGCGGAGAGCCATCGACCAGCCCGCGCCCTCGGGCATCCGGGAGCGAGCAGTGCGCATCAACTCCGTCGACAGCGGGCTGGCGCTGGGTGATCTAACCGAAGTGGTGAGCTAACAGCTTCGTCCCTTTCGTTATTTCTACCCTTCTAACCAATTTCCCAGCTCCAATCGCCGAACTTATCCACCATCGTCATCCCCAAAGTGAACTCCGCCTCGGACCTAACCTTCGTCACAGACGTGGTGAACCATACCCTCTCCCAGCAATCCACCACCTCCGCAGTCCCAAGGACCCCAATCTCCCTGCTCGCACTCATCGAATCTGCCAAATCACTCACAAACCTATCCCAAATCTGCGCCGCAACCCCCCTCCTCCAAGGCCTCGTCTTCGCCGCCGAAGATTTCGCGCTAGACCTCAGCATAACGCGCACGCCCTCACTAACAGAATTTCTATTCGCGCGCTCCGCAATCGCAACGGCCGCCCGCGCCGCGAACCTCCCCTCAACAATTGACCTAGTCTGCACGGCGTACAAATCCGATAAGGGCGATGGATCGCCTCCCGCCGCGCTGGAGGAGGAGTGTCGCGACGGAAGGAGGTTGGGGTTTAATGGGAAGCAGTGTATTCATCCGACGCAGGTGAGGACGGCGAATGAGATCTTTGGGCCGGACGCTGAGGAGACGGTTTGGGCGATGCGTGTTGTTATTGCGGATGAGAAGGCGGCCAAGAGTGGGCGTGGGGCGTGGACGCTTGATGGGAAGATGATTGATGTGCCTGTTGCGCATAAGGCAAGGGCGATTGTTACCAAGGCGGAGGCTTGTGGGGTTGATGTTTCTGCGCTGAGGGAGGAATGGATGCACCAGGAGCCCGAGTAGCTGGAGTGTAAATATACAGGGTCAAGTAAGGAGAAGAAGAAGAGAGCGATGGAATAAATAGTTCTGGATGTGTTCTGTTTCTTTTTCTCCTCTATCTGACTATGCCTGACTATGCGGAGAGCCCGAAGGATATATAGGTGAGTGAATACACTGCTGTGTTGAAAACAGTTGAGGGTAATGGGGCAAAGCTCAAGGATGGTTACTATAATGGGTATCGTTGCACAGTCGGTGTGCTGTCATTGATCCTTCGTCTCCAGATCCTCGCGCTTCAGCAGCTGAATCTTGCCCATGGTCAGAGTAGGCTCGCTGGCATCTCCCTCCGTCGCATTCCCAATAGTGCGGGCAAGAGACTTGTCATAACTGGTTGGGTCTATTCCAAGGATCCCGCCAACGTAGCCACCGCGCTCGCCCGGCACGCTGAACTCGCGGAATAGGTACCGCCATTCGTTGAGCCAGGCTTTGACGGCCTTGCCGATCTTGTCCTTGCCATTTTTCGAGTGATGTCCTGTGCCCGTGATAGCATAGACTACCCGCAACCCTTCTCGCGCGTGCTTCAGAAGGATTTTCTCTAGGTACTCAATGGCTTCCTCGGGATGGAGACCGTGCAGATCAACGTAGAGTTCTTCTGACGAATCGTCCAGGCCTGCATGGTGCAAATGCTGATTGCGTTCCTCGTACAATTGCCGCGCTGCTTCGCGATGGCATCTGCGCATCGCATCGTTCTCGGCTTGGCCACGGAGTGACAGGGCTTTCGCGGCGCGAGCATCGTTTCGGTTCCAAGCTTGCGCGGCACTGACAGATATGGTTAGCAACTGGTTCTTCTCATCAGACACTGGGGGAGGCAATACCTCTGCAGAAATTTGTTCCGCACGGTGCCGTGTCGGATTGCTTCGGTGCGGTATTTGATATATTGCTGGTTGGCTCTTCCACCAGTCTCGAGCCAGGGGATATTCTGCGGCGGTGGGATTGACTGAGCCGCTGCACTGTTTTCACGACCCTTGGTCTCCTTATTGTTCTTAAATTTGCCTTTTCCAGGAGCTGGCGATGGGGTCATGCGAACGACGTCTGCCAGTGATGAGGGTGGAATGTTCTCTCTGCTGAGATTCCCCTCACGGTTATTGTGCCCGCCTCGTTTCCCATGTTGTTTTTTCCCGGCATTCTTTGCGCTAACTGCGGCGAGAGTCGGAAACGCATCTTGGTCATCGACGGACGGGGCAGTGGGGTTGAGTTCTCGATTCTGATGGCGGCTGGTAGGACGGGAAAGATGCGTCATGCTTCCATTACGTTTTCCCATCCCCGGATGCAGCCCGGGGGGATAGGCTTGTTGCCCTGTAAAAGATGAGGGGACGGATATCGACCAATATATTGTCCACCCCAGGGATCTTCTGCTCCTGCTGACGACTGTAATGGTGGGAATGCGTCAGAGCCACTGTCGCCCTGAAACGGAGAGCCGGTCGGTGGCGAGGTTGGCCGACTACCATCCGTGACACTGAGATTGGATATCAGTGCGGACGGATCATGAGAGAATGGGCAGCCCTGGCCGGCCAGACAATTGCCCATGACCCAATATCTTTGTCAATTGTGTCAGCATTCAAGGTGAACCATCATTGAAAAGGCACTTACTTGCACACATGACTTGTTAAATCATGACTGAAGCGGCAGTCTGCACGCAGACATTGGCCAGTGGACAACCAGTACTTGCACACTATCGGGCTCCGATTTTGACCCGAGGGCGTGAGTGGGCGTGATTGATCCATTACCATAGACTTGCCCACCACCACACGACCGTCGTCGTGCTGTTTCGGGAATACGTCCACCTCTTGGTCCTGAGTCAGTGATGCGATAGTAGCGCCGAGGTCGTAGCTGTTTGCTTCTAGAGCCGCTTCGATTTCATCATTTGAACGTCGATCGCCTAGCACGGTGCGCAAGATATCGTGCGGGCTCATATCAGGCACAAACTCAGCCGCGGTAGCACTCAGCCCGGCAGCGCTGAGCCCGCCTAGTGACGAGGTCGTGCTGTTGGCATCGTCTGCGACAAGCCAGTCGACGTTGCTATCGCTGCCAAAGTCCCCATAGAAGTCGGACAACTGGCTTTGATCTGAAAATTCATACGCGTTCAGATTCGGGGAGTGGGGGATAGGTTGCGCAAGGGCGAGTCGGGGTGACGGACGTGGAGAAGTAAACGGGGAGACGGTCGAGGAGAGTGGAGGCCGGGAAAACGCCCCGCGGGAGCTTTGTACCCACGAGGTACTCCCGGGGCTGGTTCCCAGGTTGGAATGGGGCGACAAGGGCGTAGATGAGCGAGCCATCTGCCACGGTGCAGGCGAGGCACGACGAATTACGGTATGGCGACTAGGCGGGGGGGGATGAGTCTGGTAGGCTGCGGTTTCGATGCCGCCAGAGGATATCCAGCACCGCGTTCTCCAAGGACGACCCGGACAAGGTGGTGTTTGCGTGCAAGAACTCTTCCACCTTTTCCACCTGCTCCTCCTCGTCCAAGGTCTGATCCTGCAAGATGTGCAGGCATCTCTCGAGCAGCTCCTCGGAAACCATTGTGTATGCGCGGTGTCGCGCGTCGGAAAAGGGGATGGCGTGGTCGGGACGAAGGCGGGGTGAGAACAGGGACTGAGCGCCGCGGAGATAAGCAGCGGAGGCGTGAGAGGGATGAGAATATAATGCTCAGGGAGTCAGGCAGCGGGTCAGAAGGTCCGGGCCATGATCCCGCGATGATAAGCCGAAGTGGTCCAGGGATGTCGGGGGCGATCGGTCGATATGGGAAAACCGCAGTGGAAGCCGAGCGCACGCGTAAGGAACAGATCGCGGAGGCAGATTACATCGCATCGGCCCTTGGGTGTGCTGATCGGGTGAGGGAGAGGCAGTCGAAGTGGGTGGGAAGGGGGGAATCAACAGACGGAAGAGAGGGAGAAGGTGAAGTGCAAACAAAGAGGGGAGTGGGTGGAGCAGGGATCAACACTATACGGCAGTACCTCGTCGTCAGTGTCCAACCGACTCCGTATGATGGTCGTCGGACTCTGATCTCCTAGAAATAGTGATCGGTATTCTGTGATCTCAATTGACAGACCGCGAAAATCTCAGCTCCGCGGGGGTGATCAAATGAGAGATGCTGCGCCCTTTCCTCTAGTCGTCATCAACCGCAATTAATGACCTTGATTTATCATTGAGTCAAGAATCGGTTATGCGACAATAATATCTTCGGTTCTTATTTACTCGCTGGTACGCCGTACGCTCGGCAAGTTCCTGGCAGGCAACCGGATATACTCCCGCCACGTTCGCCAGTAAACCTGTTCCGCCCCCGGAAGCTCCGCTGACTGTTCAATCAATCATCTGTCCAGGATCCATCTCTTTTTCTTCTGCTGTTGCTTCTTCTTCTTTATTATCCTCATGTCCGACCCTGCGACCTGGGCTTTCCCATGCCCTGTGTTCTTCCAATAATCTAGCTGGCCATTATTCTGTCGCTCGCTGCCAAAGAAACCCGAGGTGGCCCAGCTCGCTCCCCAGATCCGATCTCTCCCCGTTCCTTGATCAACCACCAACCATGCCTGCGGACTACCAGTCCACCGCCCAGGCATTGGCTCTCCCGATATCCTCAGATTCTCCCTCTCCGGATGACGATGCCCAACCCCCTTGGACCCGTGCGCGCCGGTCCAGCGAACGATCAGCCTCCTTCCGCGACCAGCTGATCGCCCGTGGCACGGAGCTGTCCAATCGCGTATACGACCTGTGGATGGGAATGAGTCTGCTGCAGAAAGTAGGCACCGTCACGGCGGCGGTCGCAACTCTGACCTTGGGCATTGTGTTCATGGTCTTCACCGGCAAGCTGTTTATCTGGCTCGGCCCGGTCGCGGAGAAGTGGGAGAAGTCCGCGCTGGTTGGCTTCATCCTGTGGCTGTGTGTCTTTTTCGTCTCATTCCCGCCTCTCGTCGGCTGGTCCACGTTTGGAACCGTGCTGGGGTTCATCTTTGGGACGTGGAAGGGGTAAGCCACCTCCCGCGCGCAGACGTGAGCAAAACTAACCTGCAATTCTAACAGGTGGCTGATTTACGCGTCCGCATCCGTTCTTGGGTCGACCTGCTCGTTTGTCGTGTCGCGGACCATCCTGTCCAAGTTTGTGAATCGTATGATGGAGCGAGACACGCGGTTTGCCGCGCTGGCCCTGACACTGAAATACGATGGGCTCAAGCTTCTCTGCATGATCCGCCTGTGCCCGCTGCCCTACTCGATCTGTAACGGGGCCGTCTCTACATTCCCGACGGTGCAACCCCTGATGTACGGGCTGGCCACCGCCATCATCACGCCCAAGCTGCTGGTCCCCACCTTCATAGGCAGCCGGGTCCGGCTCCTCTCGGACAAGAACGAGGAGATGAGTGCAGGCTCAAAGGCTATCAACATCTGCAGCATCCTTGTCACAGTCTCCATTGGGATCTTTACAGGGTGGTATATATATCAAAGGTGCGCATCTCCTGCCTCGGCTACTCCGCCTTGTCGCTAACTTTTCTTCGTGATAGAACGCTCGCCCGCGCCAAGGAACTCGAAGCCAAGGAACGTGCCGATATTCGACATTCCCTCGAAGCGGATCATGCCGCACACCGGCCTCATGGCTCGTTTTCGGACGACTCAGATGTCAACTCTGCCGCCAAAACACTTGCTCGGGATGAGGAAGAACGCATTGGGTTTGGTGACTTGGATGATGACCATGTTGATCTGGAGCTGGGTGATGACAGCGATAGCGACCGCCCGTCTAGGCAATGGAAGACGAACCGGCGGTCGTACCATGACGAGTTTACGGATAATGACTCGGATGGGTATGAAGGGACCTCGGGCGAGACGTATGGCCTGCACCGACACATTTCCGATTAGAAATAATGACGATTGTGAAGAACAATAATAATCACTCTCCTATTCTATAGTCTCAATAAAAGAGTCCAACAATAGACTCAATCATGCAGTAGTCAATGTCCGGTAGGGGCGGACTGACAAATACGCCCACGGAATGCGGCAACTTCGCCGTCCGTCGAATTCTCTCTCGCTTTTCATCCGTTCGTTCATTCTAGCCAGGCAACTTGGATATTTCGCTCTGTCCCGACAATTACTGTGCTGCTGACTGCATGTAAGTTCCCGTGTGGCTTTCAGCCCTGGTCTCCCTCGACGGAATGGCGGACTATGGACTATTTCCTATCGGCCCCGAACCTCCCTCTCATGTCTATCTACCCTTGTCTATCCTATCGGCCCCGTACATCTGCAAATGATGATTGAAATTCTGATTTATTTTCAGATCATCTTCGATCTCGGCCTCACCGGAATCCTTCGGTCTGCACATATCGACTAGCGATGTGGACTCGATGGTTGCGAAGCCCTGACCCTTGATACCCACGCATTCCTCTGAGGTATGGAGGTCTATCAATGATTCAAAAGGGATCTCATTGCTAGAAAACACTGTTTCTATTTTCTATGGTTCACTTGTTCCAAGACTTGGGAGAAAAACGAATTCCGATCAGTTTGCGAGGTCCTCTGCATCCACGACATCCCAGATGGTGCCATACATCGATCAATTTGCCGTAAATGGCAATATCACGGCTGATATGCGAGGTTCATTGCTTCCATCCCAATCAGCAGAACAGCTGGAGCCACCTGTAAAACGGGCGCGGACCTCGAACAGCCCTCTGAACCAAGTCCCTGTCTCGGCGTCTATTGACCATCCAAAACTGCCGGGGGATGTCAACGCTACATCCTATCCGTACATAACCAGCAACGGTGGTCAGGATATCAGTGGAGCGGCTCGAGATTCATATGCCACCGGAGGCAGCAGCACGCCCCAGGAGTCGACTACGTCCACGTCATTCACATCCTCCTTTGACGCAAAGAAATCTACATCTCCTCCGACAACGCCGGCAAAATCGCACTGGACACCTCCCTTCACCTCAGGCTTGAGCCTGGCGGATAGTGGGAAAGCTGACTTTTCCAAATGCCGACCCCGGTCGTCGATTCCTTCGAGGCTTTCACCTGCTGTCTACGGCCAGCAATGCGTTGTAGCCGCATATGCGTCTCGACTGGATCCATATACGCTTCATCGTAAGGAGCAGGATGCTCTTCAAGACCACCTTTGCCATCTGCAAGTCACGCTCTACCTCAACATCCGAAATGGAATCCTACGGCTCTGGACCCGGAACCCTATGGTCAGCGTCACTAGGGAGGAAGCCTTAGGCTGTGCCAAGGACTATAGATGGATGAACCTGGCATCATTTGCCTATGACTGGCTTGTCCGGAACGGCTACATTAATTTCGGGTGTGTGGAGGCTCCAATACGGCAAGTGCCACCAAAGCGCGGCAGAAGAAAAGAGGGTCCTGTTATTGTCGTGGTTGGCGCTGGAGTGGCTGGTCTGGGCTGCGCACGGCAGTTGGAGAGCCTCTTCCGCCACTACCGTGATGCAGACACCGCGCCTCGTGTCCTCCTCCTGGAGGGCCGTCGCAGAATCGGTGGGCGTATCTACTCACACCCTCTCCACAGTCTTCAGTCAACGGATCTCCCTTCTGGCCTCCTTCCCAAGGCGGAAATGGGGGCGCAGATTATCGTGGGTTTCGAGCAGGGCAACCCTCTGGACCAGATCGTGCGTGGCCAACTGGCTCTTTCTTATCACTTCCTCCGTGATATCTCGACGATTTACGACGTAGATGGATCGCCCGTGGATGAGGTTCGGGATTCTATGGACGAAAAGCTCTACAACGATGTGCTTGATCGCTCCGGTTTCTACCGCCATAACGCAGTGATCGTTCCTACTGCTGAAGGTGACCGAGACATGATTGATACGGGCCGGGAGTCAACGGTGAATGATGGCCTGACAGTACGACAGTACGAAGATGCCAGAGCCGCCGGGACGATCGATTTGCTAGTCCCCAAGAAACGGGTTCGTCGCGGAGTCGGACACAAGACGGCGGATATCAAGTCGTCTGGGGATACAGATCTTGTCGGGCCATCCAAGGAGCATCCTGCGGCTTTGGCCTGCCAGGCAATGGGGTGGAAGCTGAATCCAGGTTACACTGTGAATAACACGCTTGAACTCGACTCTCTTGCCAAGGGATATCCGGCGCAAACCCTCGGCGCGATCATGGACGAGGGAGTCAAGCAGTATCAGCGCATGCTTCCGTTGACACCAAGGGATATGCGGCTGTTGAACTGGCATTTCGCAAATCTCGAGTATGCCAACGCCACGAACGTTGACCGACTCAGTTTGAGCGGCTGGGATCAAGACATTGGTAATGAATTCGAGGGAGAACATTCGCAGGTGGTGGGTGGTTATTCGCAACTGCCATATGGGCTGTATTCTCTTCCTACACAGCTTGACGTGCGCACCGGCAAGATTGTTTCCAACATCTCTTACAATGCAACTGGGACTGGAACCCGGAAAGCGATGATCCAATGTGAAGACGGCGAGAAGTTTATGGCCGACCACGTCGTGTTCACCGGGTCTCTTGGCATCCTGAAACAACAATCTATTACATTCGACCCTCCTCTTCCAGACTGGAAGAGTGGTGCAATTGACCGATTAGGGTTTGGAGTCATGAACAAGGTGATCTTGGTATTTGACCAGCCATTCTGGGATACGGACCGGGATATGTTCGGTCTTCTGCGGGAGCCAGAAAACCCAAACAGCATGGTGCAGGAGGAGTATGCAGCAAATCGTGGCCGATTTTATCTATTCTGGAACTGTGTGCCAACCACGGGTCTTCCAGTTCTCATCGCTCTCATGGCCGGCGACGCAGCTCACCAGGCGGAGCGCACTTCAGATGCCGAAATCATTGGTGAAGTCACCAGCCAACTGCGGAACGTCTTCAAGCATGCCACTGTCCCCGATCCGGTCGAGACCATCATCACCCGCTGGGGCAGCGACCCATTCACCCGCGGAAGCTACTCCTACGTGGCGGCCGCTGCTCTCCCAGAAGACTACGACCTCATAGCCCGGCAGATTGGCAACCTGCACTTTGCAGGCGAAGCCACCTGCGGCACTCACCCAGCTACTGTCCACGGCGCATACCTTTCCGGACTGCGCGCTGCATCCGAGGTAATCGAGTCCACAATAGGTCCCATTGAGATCCCCAACCCTCTGGTCCCCGAGAAAGTCAACAGCAGTGTATCGACAACACCCAACGGCACCACCACGCCGGCGTCCCAAAAGAAAAAGGCACCAAACACCACCCTCTCCACAACGCCAACAACCACAACCCCCCTGCCCGCCAGCACAACCCAAAACCCATGGAAAAATCTAAAGAGGAAGCCTATACCCAAGCCTTCTGGACCCAAATCTACGCCGAACTCGGCCCCGCACCTCCCCGCCCTGCAAAAGCAGGCCTAAACCCCTTCCTCCTCTACCAAAAGGACTACTGGACCACTTGCCGTGAGCAATGCGACGAAGCCCGCCGCACAGCAACCAAGAACGCGAACGCGCGTGCCGCTCGCGACGAGATCCGGCATGCGCTCGGCCAGATGTGGCGCAATGCCACGGCCGACATTAAGGCGCCGTACCTTGCGCAGACGGAGGCGAATCGCAAGGCTAATGCTGAGGCTTGGGAGAAATGGAAGGTTGAGGTTACCGAGTGGGAGAGGTTGACCTATGTTGTTAAGGATCGGTGGTGTGCTGCTAATCCGTTTGAGAGTTGGCAGACTGGTACCGATGTGTCTGGAGATGCTGCTGCTGGGGTTCAGAGCAATGGGGTATCTCATACTTCCTGAGTGTGAGGTGGAAGAGTCACTGGCTGGTCCAATGTTGTTTTTCACTACACTTACCTGCATAACTTTATTGATACTGATTTCAGCCATGTATGAATGAATGCAGTTTAACGTTCACAAACCGGCACCCACCATTGCGCCATTTAAATGGAGTTATTCTTTAGCAGTCTAGAATGAAGGCAAGCATTTCTCGGTATGAATTAACCCGAACAAAGCTCCTTCCCCCCCGTTTTCAGGATGTCTAAGCCTTTCGCACGACCTCGCAGGATCTGGACTTCCTCATGCAAGTCCTTGAATGTTGACCGGATACTAACGGTCATTTTCTCGGGATCTTGGCAGCCGATGTGGAGTCAGTCACCCCGGAATTCTGCCCCCAGGATTCACGGACCAACCCAAGGGTCATTTTCAAAAAGCACCAACCAATTGTAATTCTATTTTATCGAATATTAAATGGGTATGCGTTGTTTTAGTATGACACCGGTTGTTTATAAGCTTTGCAATATCGATTGGAACCTAGAAAAGACCTGGTTGCGATTATTGCGGGGATCCCCGTCATAAAAAGGAGCTTCTTCCCATGTGGAATAGTTCTAACATAGCGACATAACAGGCATTAAAACTATGGGCCATACTATTACATCTGAGCATGTTGAGGAGGGTCAAGACAAAGCCAGTCCTGGCCTGCTGCAGGACCCAGTTTACCAGGCATACATTTCGAAGAGCCCAGAATGGCATCATGAGATGAATCGTACCCTTCTTCGCAAGGTGGACCTTCATCTACTACCGTTTCTTATTCTCATGTATTTTTTGAACTTTTTGGACCGCAAGTATGGCATTTTCGTTCTCGCTTAGTTCTTTGTCACTGTGCTAATATTTGGCCCAGCAACCTGTCCCAGGCACGACTGGGTACATTGGAGAAAGACCTGGGCATGGTGGACACCGATTTCAACCTCGCAACAAGCATTCTATTTGTTGGATACATCCTCATGCAACTGCCATCTAACCTTCTTATCACTCGTGTTCCCCCTGCTCGTTTTCTGGGCATCGCCATGGCCATATGGCAAGTCTGTCCGTAATTGCATGTGTGGGATGTAAGGCTCATATTCTCACAGGGGAACTATTTCCGCTTGTCAAGCGGCCGCTCAATCCTTTACTGGAATTGTCGTAGCACGGTTCTTTCTGGGCTTCGTGGAGGCTCCCTTCTTCCCAGGCGCACTTATGCTAATGTGAGTTGCCCATTGGAGTAATAAGCAACAGATCATCACTGACGGCTGTATCTAGGTCGAGCTGGTATACCAGACAAGAGGTAGGGGCTCAGTCTATATTTTAATTATGCGTGTCTGACCGAATTAGCTGGTCCATCGTGTTGCGTGGTTCTATTCTGGTAGCTCCCTGGCCAATGCCTTCGGAGGTCTGATAGGCGCAGGAGTCCTTGGAACCCTTAACGGTGCACTAGGAGTTGCAGCATGGAGATGGCTCTTTATTATTGAAGGATGCATCACAGTTGCTGTGTCTATCACAGCAGCGTAAGTTTCTACATGCTCTTCCTCTCCACTCTTACGCTGACCATGTCAGCATATTTCTCCCTAACTACCCGGCATCCACTTCCTGGCTGAATGAGCAGGAAAAGGCTTATGCTCAATGGCGCCTCATGCATGATGCCAAAGAAGCAGACGACGCTACTTCTGTCAGCATTGTGGAAGGATTGAAACTAGCCTTGACCGATAAAAGGGTGTATCTCTTTATACTTCTTCTGCACACTTCACTTCTGTCTCAGACCTTCCAGTACTTCTTCCCGACGATTGTGCAGACGCTTGGCTATGGGAATATTGAGACACTATTAATCACTGCACCAGTCTGGATTCTAACATTCCTGGTCTCACTCCTGGTAACCTGGACATCTGGCAAAATGAACGACCGAAGTCTCCATATCGTTGGCTTGATGGTCATCAGTTTCATCGGGACCGTTATTGCTACTGCAACAACAAATACCGGCGCTCGCATGTTTGCTATGTTTCTGTGAGTCGTTTTCTCCCTGGCTGTTAGGGTTGGTACTAAATCTTCTCAGAATGCCCATGGGCGCCGTTTCGGCCTGTACGATCATTCTCGCTTGGGAAGCCAACTCGTTCCCTCGACCGCTAGTCAAACGATCGGCTGCGCTTGCCCTAATCAACCTAACGGGTAACGCCTCTTCAATCTATGGCAGCTACATGTGGCCGTCCTCCTCAGGCCCGCGGTACATTGCTGGAGGTAGTGCGACTGCTGCGATCTTACTTATAGTTGCGGGCCTGGCATTGACAATCCGTCTTTTGCATACCAGAATGAATAAAGAATTGGAAGAAGCTGAGTCCTCGCCAGATATTCGCCCTGCAGAGATGAACAAGCTCGACTCTCCACCACCTGGGTTCCGCTATATATTGTGAAATCAATTACAGTCTACAAATTTCTGGGCTTTCAGATTGACCGTCAAACATGGGCCACCAGGATTAGCAATAGAAGAAGTTTCATGATATACATTTTCCTCTGCCTTGTAATCGGAGTAAAAATGAATTCAGATTCACATCACAATCTAACTAGGTCAAGTAAACACTGTACCTAGTAGTCCCTAGTCAAAAGGTACAAAACTGGTCATTTGGATTCGGTCAAAGACCTCAGTAGTATCTTTAACGATTCTGATCGAGATTTCCTACTGGTGCTTAATTCCACGATGAACTTACAAATTGTCCCATTGGACTACTTCCTTCGTCTTTGCGGGGATAACCCCACAAGGACGTGAACCGATCCCCACAACGTCAAATAACCCACTGATTTGACGTCACATTACCGGTCGATTTCCGACAGAAAATGCCCGATAGTATCCGGCCAAAATTGAAACAACAAGTGGGATGATGAGAATGATGGTGGATATGAAAGGGCCGTGCAAGAGGATAGATCTGGTCTGAGCATCCATTCCCAGGCCCCATTTTTAACCCGGGTATTTGCGGACTTCATGTTGGGCTTTCAATACAGGACTCGCACTTTTTGTCATCACTAATGCGACATCATCCACCCCCACTCTCCGCCTTTGGATATAAAGGTAACTGCCCTTGGTAACACTAGATCGATGAGCTTTTTAAAGGTCAAACCATTGCACTCCGAGTCTCCAATATTGATTGACGTGAACCAAACAAGATGGACGCTCTACTCAAGCACCCTCCACATCTCTCAGTGATCACACTAGTTCAATATGCTGGACTGCTGCTCCTTTTGACGGCAACTGGTAAGTCACATTTTCAGTCATCAGGAGCAAAATACATGATATAGAGTGTTGATTTGACGACACAGGTATCTGCTGGACTTACCGCAACAGGGGCTTCTGGACTTCATCCTCTGCCAACGTGAAATGGATCCCCGGGCCACAGGGGAAGGCCTTCAAAGGAAATGCTCAGGAGCTCCAAACCAATGGTGCCGCTAGCTGTACAGCCTGGTTCTCTCTTTATAAGCGATATGGACCTGCCTACGAGATGACAGTCCCTTTCTTTCGCATGCATATAATAAATCACCCCATTTACCTCGAACACATTCAAAAGCACAACAGCAAGAACTACCTACGCGGAAGCTTTATCCGCAATGCTTTTGGACCACTCCATAGGACCGGAATTTTTATTGTCGATGGAAAAGAATGGCAATTCCAGCGCAAGTCGGCGACGCGAGCGTTCAGCAAGCGGAACTTTGAAACCCACATCACGAAGTCCCTTCACCAGTCGCTCGATACCCTTATTGGACTTCTGTCTAATCTGGCCAAGGAGAAAACGGAGTTTGACTTTCAGGAACTGATGGGACGCTTCATGTTCTGTCTCTTCCTTCGAGTCGCTTTCCATGAGGATAAGCTCGCCCTCGAGATTTTATCAGAAGATCCCGAGAGCCTCAGATCAGTGCCTGATTACATTGCAGCATTTGACCAGGCCGCCCTCTGTGAGTCATATTCCTCCCATATTCAAATATATCATGAGGTCTCATAAGCTGACTTTGTAGGCTTTGACCGGCGGAGACGTGATCCTCTGTGGAGAATCACCGAAAAGCTCTCCGGCGAGGACAAAATCACCAAACGAGCTACGGAACTATTCTACTCAAAGATTGATGATATTATCAAGAAGCGCCTTGATGCTATGCGGAATGGCTATACACCTGATCCAGACGCTGGAGTTGATCTCCTAGATCTCTTCGCCCAATCAACAACTGATCCATACAAATTGGGCGGAATGGTTTTCTCATTTCTATCTGCTGGCCGTGAGTTGTTGCAACCCCCCTCCCCCCAAAACGGGTCTTCCGCTGATAGCATTGCGCACACAGGCGACACAACAGCATACAGTCTTACATGGCTCATGAAGGAGATTTACCACAAAGAGAATCAGCATCTCGATGCCGCGAATAAGATTCGCACCGAGGCAGGGGAACTTGGTTTTACCAATGGCTACCTGAATTATAGTGATGCGCCGGTATGTCAACATTCTGGAGCCCTTTTAGTTGCTCTTTTTCAGTGTTTTGACCCACTCTCTTGAAGAAATTGCGCTTTGCAAATGCCATGTGGGACGAAACCGCTCGCCTTGACACGGTCTCTCCAGCCGGCCAGATGGAGGCAGCAGAAAACGACATTCTCCCTGCGGTGCCCGAACTCAAACTTCCCCCCCGTCATGTTAAAAAGTATGATCACTGTTCCCTTGTAGCTCCAATTGAGCTGATCCTAACGGTCCTTAAATAGAGGTGATGTCGTCAGCTACCAGAATTATGTTTTGTCACGGATGCCTGAAGTCTGGGAGAGGGACGCCTCCGTTTTCAATCCCTACCGATGGCTCAAAGAAAACGGAGAAAGCGTCTCTTACAGTCCATTCAGTAAGATACAACTCATGTTTGAAGTAGCAATATTGGTTTCGAGCTTACTGATGCTATGGCATGTAGAATACCACTCCTGGAATGCTGGGCCGCGCAGCTGTCTCGGACGTGCACTCGCGACGTACGAGGGTATCGCTATCAGCACTGCGATTCTCCAACGTTTTGATGTCATCCTAACAGACGAATCCAAGACTTATGAGCCGCTTGCTGCTCTGAACATGGTATGGTATTCCTTCCCCCATAGCGATTAGACAAAATGCTTATGAAATGCTTCTCGCTCGGCAGGGAATCAGAGGCGGTCTTCCAATGAAGCTCAGAGAAAGAACTTCTAAAGTCTAAATGATAATCATTGAGGGGGAGGCCGGGGCTATAATGATCTGAGGGTATCATGTATCTTCAGCGCACTTTCCGGCAGCATATGTTGGCTCATCATGGGGGTTTAGACGCAAATCGAATAAACAACTTAGGGCTCAATCCGGGGTAGAAAAACAATGACCAGAAGGATCACAAGATTGGGTCAGTTACTATACGCTCCACACATTAGCCCAAAGGGCCGGGTACTTCCGGCTATTTTTACCCAATTCGGCGATCCACCATAGTGAAGCGGAGTTATCCTCTCGACTAGTATCACAGGATCTTGAAACATCTCACTTTCATCCCCTTTTTCCACGATCCTGATTTGCGGAGATGCCGCATTGTTGATCTCCTTATTTCGAGCCATTAGAAACGGTCATCATGGCTGATACGACGTCTTCAGGGAGTGGTTCAGTCTCAGTAAAGCCCCCCTCACGTCAAACTTCCGGCTTCAGGAGAGTCTACCAGGCATGCGAGAACTGCCGACGGAAGAAACAGAAGTGTGCATTAGGAGACCCGGCCAACCCAAAACTACCTTGTCAAACTTGTCGTAGAGCCAACTTACGATGTGGTGGGTTGCATTGTTTATTCTCCACCTAGAAGCCTGTTAGCTCACATTAGTTCCAGTTCTTCCTGAGAGAAAGCGAAAGGGCCGCCCACCCAAAAGAGCAAGGGAAGAGAATGACCACAGACCTGATGCGGTCGCGATTGGCTCACGCAGTGATGAGTTTCACTCGCCTAGCCCTGCCCATAGCGGAGATCAAGTGTTTCAATCCGCCTGGCAACCATTTATGGGCTCCTCCGAGCCCGTCGTGGAGGCTGGAGATAATGCCCCGATCACCACATCCAAACCAACCAGGGATATCAATCAAAGGGATACTACAAGCTATGATCAACAAATCGCCAGTCATACATTGGCAACATTCCCCTTGAGGAACACATCTGACGCCATAAGACTACTGGACCAAGCGGAGGTCAATTCGGAACATCGAGTGCAGCACATGCTAGACGCGCAGCGGAATTCAACCTTAGGTGGCACGAAATTATCTGGCGAGCCGTCTTCCAGTACAGAGTTTTTCCTGCTTCAAGAAGGGCTTATCGACAAGACTACCCTCTTTAAGCTCTTTAGTTTTTATATGCGCTCGGTGCACCCCATCATGCCCTTGATCCCACATGAGAGGATGCAGATCACCCCGGAACACGTTTTGACCATGGCGAGTCGGGAACCTCACTTGATGGCCGCTATCCTCGTGGTAACAGCGTCTTTGGCGGGGAATCAAACTCTACATGACCTTTTATGGCAGAGAGTGCGCATCCTTTTTGCGGAGGTTGCCATCGAGGGGGAAAATGCATCTATGGAGGTGGTTGAGGCATTCCTGCTCCTCTCAGGTATGACAACAATGCTTCATGCAAGAGATCGATATTGATGTCGACTGTAGAATATCCCCCAAACATGGGCCATGGCACAGAACGAGGCGTCGGAAATCAAATGAGCTGGATGAATGTCGGAACGGTAGGTCTGATGGCACTCTAATCAATTCTAGTCGAAACTGATCCTTTCTAGGCTGTGCGGCTAGCTTACTTCCTAGGTCTTGAGAGGCTAAACATGCAAGCCGAAGACGTGGATGAAAAGCTTGATCATAATCGTCATAGGGGAAAAGTGGCATTGAGCTGTGAGAAACATATGTCATCAGCATGTTGGAGGTGCGCTAATACGTTATTCTAGACTGCTACTGCCTAGACCGGCAAATTTCCATTCGAGTTGGAAAGGTGTTCTGGCATCGGAGTGAGTAGCAATCTATCCATTCGAAGGCAGTCTTGAGCAACTTTGACAACCGTTACGGTGCCAATGGAAACAAGAGCTTTCCGTGAGCTTCGGATTTTAAGAACTAATCATGCCACATAAGGTCCTGGAATGACTTACCAGCATCAAAACGTTGATCCCGCTGTGGATTTTCCCGAGATGCGTCATATCCCGGGTATTCAGGAAGATTATGCCGCCTATTTGCAATGTCTTGTTCAAATGACGCAGGTATTGGGCAATGCTCACGACCTCTTGTATCCCTCGAAAAGCCGTTCAGTCGCTCTGGCGAAAGCTGAACAATATTATCAACACATTGACGACTTTGCAGAGAGTGAGAGCATGCCATCAGCGAAAATTTCCTATCATTGTTTATTAATCGAGCCTTTAGCTTTGTCGGCTTTTCGCAACCGTTGGCAGAATAAACCGTGGCGGACATATCCTATCAATGAGTGTGTCTGGGTATCATTTGTGAGAAATGAACTCTGAGATAAACCTGCTTCAACTAACAAAATTGATCGTTACAGCATCATCTCCGATTATATATCTACTCTTTCTCCTTGCAGGCGTATATGCAGCGGGTAATAAGTGCCAACGATGGCAATCGTCCTTCAAATTATTTCCCAACAGGTTTAATGGGCACATCCGACGGACGTTTTATTGTTGAAGCTATTAATGCAGCGGTACGGTGACATCTAAACGATTTGGTATCTCCTGCTGATCCTTCAGTATTAGGCCGATGTCCTTCGATTGGTCATTGGCAGGCTACAACCTTCAAGGGTTCGTTGAGCCGTTCCCATTCAATTATCGAGAAATGTCCAGTCTAACGCATCTTGCAGGCTTTATCGTACCTTCCTCTGCGCTTTTTCTCTTCTTCAGCCACGCGGGTGTCTTTCTTCTCAAAACAGTCGTCATTATTCCATTACCGCCGTCCCAGAAAAGGGCGATCCTTCGCTTGCTCCGAGCGCTCACACAATGTCTGTCGACAGCCTCCTCAAACCCTAAGCATCCTGCCCTCCGCTATGCATCTGCATTTGATAGTCTTTTGAGACGTATTTATCGGGATCAGGACTTTCAGACGCCAGATCCTAGTCCGGCACCCTCGCGCCGAATGAGTTCTGATGCCAGTGCGAGCTGCACTGAATCCCCAGTCGTCAATCCACTCCCAGACGAAAATGATCTGCAGACCCTACTTGGAAGCAGAGAGTCTTTCGTTGCAGAAAGGCCATTCCAGGACCTTGCTGCCGACATCGAAGCTCTCTACGGCCTGGAATCCACTGCGGACCTTCTGCAACCGGTTGTTGAAAGTAATGATCTGTCTTCCCATTTGCCTTCTTCTGGTCCATTTGCCGCACTATTCAGTGCCGATGACAGAGAGTTTTGGGACCTTTTCACATCTGCAAATTTCGATTGGAATACTATATACGGGTAGCTGAATTCGCCATTAAGTATCGGGTATTCATAGATTAACAAGTTCATCGATGCTGTTGCATTTTATTCTTCGCCGCGAGCTGAAAAGCCCGCACTGTCTTATCATCATCATAAATAAGACACCATGTACTCCATACATTCTGTTGCCTTAGGCCGCAATTTAGTACACCACCACACGGTATATAGGAATTTCGGTGCAAAAGGAGGGGAAACGATCAACGTCTGAGCTAGCAGTATCATTTCACCATGCGTCTATTTCATGACAAAACACTATCTATGCACGGGGAATTCGAAAAGTGCACGGGGAATTTGAAAAAGAGCACGGGTAAGAGGAACAGATCTAGATGTGCACGCGAGTATGGGTGAAAAAAAATCCACTCAGACGCCAAGAAAAATTCGCCAGACATATATAAAGGCGGAAAGAGATGAGAGGAAAATGCACAGGTTTACAGTAGAGGGTTGGACTTGTACTCGGCGGTGGCGCCCTTCGCGTCCTTTTTGACCTCGCCGTTAACTTCCTGCACGGCGGGCTCGACGCCCGAGTGCTCCACTGAGCCGTTGGGCTTCTGTTCATCTGGAGAGTCGCTTTCCGAGATGAACTTCTCGGCCTCCAGGGCGGCGATGCAGCCAGAGCCTAGATTGCCAGGTTAGTAAATTGCATTGAAACATGAAGCTTTAAAAAACGTACCAGCACTAGTGATGGCCTGACGATACCGCTTGTCTTGCACGTCACCGCAGGCAAAGACGCCCTCGACGCTGGTGTAGCTGGTGCCGGGCTGAGTGATAATATACCCGTCCTCGTCGAGCTTGAGCTGGCCCTTGACCAGGGCATTGGCCGGATCGTGGCCGACAGCATAGAACAGACCGTTGGCATCAACGATCTCTTCCTGGCCGGAGACACTATTCTTGATGCGGAGGTGGGTCATCAGGCCGTTAGGCTTGTTCTCGCCAATAACCTCGGTAGCGACGGTGTTGAAGCGAACTTCGCACTTAGGGTGCGCGAGCAGCCGGTTGGCCATAGCCTTGCTAGCACGCAGCTTGTCGCGACGCACCAGCACGGTAACGCGGCTTCCATACTTGGCCAGGAACATGGCCTCCTCGGCAGCGGAGTCGCCGCCGCCAATCACGTACAGGGGCTTGTTCCGGAAGATAGGCACGGCGCCGTCGCAGACTGCGCAGGCACTGATGCCGTTCTGCCAGTAGGTTTCCTCGCCGGGCAGGTTCAGACGGCGGGCATTGGCACCCGTGGCGATGATGACGGCGTCGGCGGTGCGCGCGGGCGCGCTATCCGGGCCATCGTTCCACTCGGTCCACATCTTGAACGGCCGCGACGACAGATCCAGTTTGGAGATCGTCTCTGTGATGATCTCTGTGCCGAACCGCTCGGACTGCTTGCGCATGTTCTCCATCAACGCTTGGCCACCCACACCGTCGGGGAATCCCGGGAAATTCTCCACGTCGGTAGTGGTTGTGAGCTGGCCGCCGGCGGCGGTGCCGTTGGCGAGCATGCCCTCATACAGCACGGGCTTGAGTTCTGCGCGCGACAGGTAGATGGCGGCTGTGTGGGCGCCAGGGCCGGACCCGATGACTAGGAGAAAAGTGTTAGTTTTTGTGTGATGGTTCAACCGGTGTGGGCTAACTCACCAACGACCTTGGAGTGAGCCATTCGGGCGGAAGTGGTGCTATTCACGCGCAATGGCGTCGACAGAGGCTGCGAGAGGGCCGAGGCGGAGGGGGCGATTGTTGATGAAGAGTGGTGGAGGCTGCGGCGGCAGGGAATCCGAGGGATCGGAGGGCGAAAGGGAAACGACGGAAGGTTGAAGAAAACAGCTTGGCGGGTGGAAAAGAAGGGCTTCGGGAAAAAACGAGGGTTATAAGCAAGGATACTGATTTTCCGTCGGTGGTGGGGAGGATTAGGTCATGGGCCGTGGACTGATTGATAACCGGCGGATGGCGTGTCCGGCTCGGCCTGGGTTCGGCATGAAATACCACGCTGGGCAATAATAATATAAACTAGGCAATATTATTATTCAACAGGCATCCTTATGGTTAGTTAATCAACATGCATTAATCATTCGCAGCTTCGAGAACATGTCACGTGCGCGGCGGTATTAGAAAGCGCGGCAAGCCTCGACCGCTGACTAACAACAACAATCAAACAATCAAACGAAGAGATTTGAACCAATCAGACCACCGGATCATATCAAAAGTGCCTTGATTTTATCCTACTCTCGATAAACGTAGCTCTCCCGGTTGGCAGCACTAGATCCACCGAGTTAAAGTTGTACTGAGCTCAGTAGAGTACGTCGCTTTCTACGTCACTGTTTTGGTCTCTGCCTTTTCACTCCCTTAGTCAACCTATGTATACAGCTTGTTCTTTAATAGTTTTCTGTCTCTTCTTCGGAGAGCATGAAGTGACTCTTCTTCTTGGTAATTCAGGTTCATTCAAGCTGTATTTGAACTAACTCTACGCTAGAGCCCGTACTGAAAATTAGCCGCATACTAACGCAGTTGACTGTTGAATCTGCGGGTTGGCTGTGAGTAACAGTAGATAGAAAGTCCTATATTAACGCTGGCAATAATGTCCCCGTACAAAATTTCCTCTTTCTCTGATTTACACTGCGAGAAGAGCACTAAACGCCGTAATCTCGTGATCCTCCGGCGTGGTTCGCCGCGTTGGCGCGCGTGTTATTGATCAAGTCATCATCGTCATCATCAAGTTCGTCCTCACTGGCATCAGCCTCTGCCTCGTTTTTCCGCTGCACTTTCAGCCATTTCTTCCATCCTTTGACCACCTGTGTCGGGGGCGGGTCATATTCATTGCCCTGGTAACGCAGCACCGGGACGAGAAGTTTGTAGGGAATCGTAATCCCAGACGGGTCCATAGGGCTGACCTCCAGGTTCAGCGTGATGGCCAGTCCACCTTCAAGGTCGATGAAGGCGCCCGCGCCATCATCTTCGATCTTGTTCTTCTTCTTTGACGGCTTTCTGCCGAGGTTGCTTGGCCGGCGGTGGAATGGGCCTGGGCGAGGAGGAGGCTGGTCTCCGCCGGGAAAGTAGCTGTCGCCATTTTCCCTTGGGCGTAGTGGGCTGTCGACGCTGGCGCGCCTCTTTCCGCCGGGGCCAAAACTGAAGGATCTCGTCGGTGGCCCCCCTCCCGCACGATTAGACAGTCGTCGTAGAAGACCACCGCCTGGTTTGTTGCTAGATTTGTCTCTGTCTCCCCCGCGTCCCAGTGACAAGGTCCGCTGGAGCATGCCGGGCCGAGGCTCCGTTAGTGGTGTCATGGGTTCAGGCGTCGCTGGCGGCGTGAAACCAGGGTGGTATTCTCTGATTGAGCACCAGTTCCGCCGAGGAAGTAATCGCTTGTTGTTTCGAGGCTTGCCATTGACATCTTGAGTGAAGATGGGAATGATGTCCTCATCCGTATTCGAATCCATATGGTGCACCGTACTGCGTTTGTTGAGCATGTCCGAGACGAGCTCCGTCTCGGGGATATCGGCGATGGCTGAAGAAATCACGTTGGGCATGTATCGATAGTCGCGGTCCTTGGCGATTCCAAGTTTAGAGCTCGAATGAAACTGTCCGATGGCGGCAAGGTGAACATCACCACTGGATAAACGGCAAGTTAGCACGTATTAGTTTCTTGTGGCAAAATTCTCTTACCTCAAGATTGTGACTCGCACAGATTTTTCTGCTGCTAGATCCTGGAGGTCCTCAACCAGCCATGTTCGTTCTGACTTGAGATTCTTTGCAGTCCAGTGGTCATCGAATAACTCTACATTGCCGCCAGATCTGTTGATAAGTCCACCCAGCATTCCAGATTTGCCCAGCGACTTGCGATTATTCATAAAATTCTTGAGCATTGCCTGCAGTTGATGTTAGAAATGGAAAGATTTAAACCGAAAACAAGTACATACCACTCGAGGATAAGCAACTGGAACACTCGAAAGTACAATCAGATGTTTTGTCTCTCCTCTCATGATCTCTCCTTGGCATCGATCCCACACACGATCACAAGTCGACTCGTTGAGAACTTCGTTATTCTACGAAGCATTGTCAGCACAATCTTCCCGCAGTTCTACTAGGGAGGCTTACCATGCGTTCGGTGCGGCAATCCAGACCGAGGAACGTAACCCCGTGGCCTAAAGACATAAACAAGTTTCGACTTTGCTGTTCAATGTAAGGACCGGGTTGAGCACCCAGAAGCCAACTGGGTTCGTCCGTCTCAGTCTCCTCTGGGACGCTGTGGTGTTGGAACAACAGATAGTACTTGAAGGCGATCTTGCCCAGCCCCGAAATAACAAAGCTCTGCATGAAATCATGGTGATAGGAGCCAAAGCCTTCAAAGATCTCATGGTCATTCCAGATATTGACCATGGGAATCTGGGAGTTGGCCAACGAGAAAAGACCTTGTGAGAACCATCGAGAATAGTTGTCCAAGTAGAATTCCTCCAGCTCAGAGCGGAAGTCAGGATTAAGAGGGGTGTCGTTCCTCTCGGTGACGTTCTTGATTTGCATCCATTCCTGGAAATGCGGCGAGTCTGTGACAATAGAGTCGTTGAATATTTGATCGCCTCCTCCAATCATCACATGGAATGGGCGAGTCTGGTGCTCATTGAGGACATCTCGCCAGAGCGGATCAGGGCCACAGAGTTGGTTGGAATCGACAGATGGCCCAAATCCATTGCCGCTGTGGAACATGATATTCATGGATTGGCCTGCAGCGGGAACCCAGAATCCCAGGGCAGGTCCCTGGTTGATTCGGTATGCGATCCGCTGTTGCGTTGAGCTCAGTTCGATCTCAAGGGAAAATCTCCAGAACGTCACATCTCTCGCGGCATCGGCGTACAAACGAACTCCTGAGATATCTCGGTAAACTTCCGCCGTTTCTCCGTCAACTGAGTGGATGCGATTGGAGGGTATTGGCTGCTTGGAAGCCTCGCTGCTGTAATCGATCATGCTGGGCGACATTTCGTAGATGCCATCATCGCTTTCGACGAATGACAGATCCACTTCCTCCTCGAGATGATCTACCGGTTTGACGTAGAGCGGTCGCCCGTCACGGCCAACTTTCATAAGACCGGCTGTCGGGTCAACATATTCAGGCGCCAATTGGACGCCCTCTTCGCCGCTGATTTCGACAGGCGGGGGAGGCAGGAGATCCATGGGCTGGGAAAATAGGCGTAAGGTGGGTGGAGTAATGTAAGAAGAGCGGGAATCTGTCGTGACAATCATGACAGTGCCTCGCCATATCTTCATGTCAACAGGCCCATGTGTTCCATCGACCTTGGTCTGTTTCATGCCCGTGTATCGGATCAATGGACCGCATTTCAAGAACAGCGGGGGCTGGAAAGTCTTGTGCTCGTTCACTCCTGAGTCATGTTAGTCACATTAGCTTGCAGGTATCGTGGGAGAGTGCTCTTACCTGATAGTTTCTGAGCTGGCGTCTGGTAGTTCTTGGGCAGAGCTCTGCTCTTTCTGCGGTCGGTCGTTCCGCCGCCTTCCCACCATGCTTTGCTGCGGTCGGCATCAAGATGTTGGAAATCAAAATCCGAGACCCCGAGACGAGCAACTTGTGGGTTTCTCCACTCGAAGATTGGGGGTGGTGTAGGAGGTGGCACATCAAAGGACACGGTCTGCTGCTTTTTCGGCCTGGGTTGCGAGTCCACACTATCCTGGAACGTTTGTGTTGGTGATTGATTTTCATCCATCCTCTCCTCGCTGAGCATGGGCGCAGCTACTCTGGGGTCTGCCTGAGAAATCGAGCGAACATTGTCGTCAGGCTTTGCCACTGGCACGCCCATTGCGACCAACTTTCTGGGAACACCGCCTGTTCTTGCGGTTGGCGATATGGTATCCTCCGTACGTGCATACTGTGGATCCTCAGCACGGTGAACAGCAGGATACTGGGGGTTCATGGACAATGCTCTGCTGTGGCGCACTGCCGTGCTTCCAGATCGCGGCTCAGGAATTATCTCCTTCCTCTTTGCAGCTGCGACAGCGGCCGCCCGCATGTTCTGCTCTGCCTGAGCCGCTGCGGCCATACTTTCCGCCTTCTCCCGCTCGGCTTTCTGGCGTGCTAGCCGCTCTCGAGCTTTCATTTCTGCTTCCTGAACCCGTGCACGCTTTTCCTCCTTGGTAATCCCAGTCAAAGTAACCTCCAATTTTTGTAATGGAGATCGATCAGACGCCCAACCACGCCGTTGTTCGGCTGTTGAAGCCGTGGTATTCGACCTACTAAGCGCAGCCGGTGCCGGGAATGGGGGGCTGGCTCTTCAATCTCCTCCATGGCCCCGTCATACCCTGGAGGCAGAGGTGCTGGTGGCATACCTCGGGGTGTGTTTGATTCTTCTGGTTGCATGGGAGCAGCCTGAGAGACTGGCTTGCGAGTTGTATAGTTCATGCTTCCGGGAGGTAGATCCCGAGCCCTGGCTGAGAATGACCGTCCCGGCGTCTGCCCCGCCGTCTGGGCAGCTAGAGGGCCCCTGGAAGATACGGAGCGTGTTCGTGGGACTTGTGGTGGCATCGCGGGACCATAGCTGTTCATGCCATATCTATGGTCATCGGAAGGATGGATCGAGCCGCCATTGGCGGCCTCGGGTGATCGACGCATTGTGGTCATTGCCATTGATTTGGTCCGAATATTCTATCGGGGTTAAGTACTCTTGTCTGTGATGGGCGTCGCGGTGCGTAGCTGCTTTGCGACACAACCGTTGGCGCAACTAGAATCGACCTGGTCAACCTCGGTCTCAACGCTATTGTTGGCAGGGAACAGATAAGGAGAAATTGAGGATTGCATACACCAGATATGATCGCTCTGAATGGCGCCTCGATTCAGCGGTGCCCAGTGGTCACCATTTCATTCTGGCCCAACCGGAGTCATGTACCTCCCAAGCGGGGGTGGCGGGCAGCGGCGGTCGAAGGAAGAGGGTTTCACTGTTGCGAGAACAATTTAGAGAAATGAAAAAAGGTCAAAAATGCAATAAAAGGGAAAAAGAGATGGACGATGGGGTGCAATGGAAAGAGAGAAGTCAAGATCGAGGAGGCTGGTCCCCAGCCACCGTTTTACTGGTTGGACAGCACTAACAGTCATGAGCAGCGTGCGTCAGCAGTCAAATCGTAACTATCCACCGAGGGTTATTATTATTAGCGGGACTCTTGCTACTATCACTGTTGTTTATTCCATTTTCCTATACTTCTATTCTTGCCCTGGTGGACCCATGGAACGGGTCGCCGGCCATCTGCAGAATGGGTCACGTGTTCTCGTATACAACATCCAGCATCGGCACCATTGGCAAGTACGAAAGGGATTTAGTGGGGGTTAAGTCAATGTAGCCTGTGTCTTCGTGCCCAAATCTCCTCCAATTTCTTCTCGCGCAGGTATGCCTCAGACTGAACTCCCCTTCCTGCCAAATTAGAGAGTTGCAGTACCTGGTGCAGCGTGGAGAAAGAGCTATAGATACATTAACAACTACATGAGAAAATAACTGTTATACACAAACAAGCTAACCCTCCGCGTTCCTCATCAAGAAAGACTTAACAAAAGGCAACTTGTTAATAGCATCCAGCCCCAAGCTGCGCGCCCAAGTGACGGGCCCGTTTCCAGGGACGTTGTACATCTTATGAAGCAGATCACAAGTGCCACCAATTTTAGCATTGGGAAGATATCGCTCCGAGGCGTAGTGCTCGAGCGTGAGCAAATCACCGATATCCATGCCGTGGGAGACAGCATACTGGATTGTGCGGGAGAGAGAAGCGACGTCTGCGAGACCGAGGTTGAGGCCTTGGCCGGCGAGCGGGTGGATAACGTGCGCGGCGTCCCCGACGAGAGCAATACGGGGGGAGACATATTGGGCTGCGTGGCGGAAGCGCAGGGGAAAGGAGGCAACTGTGCCCTGCTGCAGGCCGATGGCCATGGGTGGGATTTGGGAAGGGAGTGGCGTGTGCTGGAGGCGCCAGGATAGCTCGTCTTCGTGGAATGCGGTCTGCTCTGCGGATGTCGCACGATCCATGCCCATCATATACTTGAGGTCTGTCATGGAGAGACGGAAGGCTGCATTAACCATAGCCAAGAAGGCGGATGCCGGCAGCGATTTCAGGTACGCCGCGTGCTCTGGTGTCGTCGACCAGACGAGTGTGGCGTGGTTATTTGGCAGCGGAAGCAGGGCGATCGGACCACCCAGCGCAGGTAGGAACCGTTGATAGGCGGTGCGCATAGATGCAGGGACTGGCGGGACATCTGGCTCTGCAAGTGCCAGAGTCGCAACCACGCCGTGTCGATTGTAGTCCCAGCCGTGGGTGGGGATATCAGCGAACGAACGGACAGGACTGTTGATACCGTCTGCGCCGACCAGCAGCCTGGCAGCGATGCGGGATGCCGGCTTGGTACTCGCTGCGGATCCCGTTGGTGCGACGGAGAGAACAGGCCAGGCCGACAGATCGGGTCCGTCGGGGTGCTGGTCGGAGCCATTCTCAATGGATGCAACGGTCATGTTCTCAAAAACAGACAGGTTCTCGTCGCCCGAAGCAGCAATACGCGCCAACAATCCACGAATAAGATTTGCGTTCTCGGTCATGGTGGCGACACTCGGTAGGTCCTCGAACGGAGGCGTCTCCATAGACCAGTCGAAGGATATGCGCGACCCGCTCTCGCCATCCCACACCTGCATCTCCTGATAATCCTGCACGCGGTCGGTGTCCAAGTGCTCCCATGCACCGATACTGCGCAAAAACGACACAGACGAGGGCGTCAGGCTGCTGACCCGGTTGGAGAACTTGGTCGGCTCTAGGTCCCAGGATCGGGCTTTTTGGAGGTCCTGGCTTTCGACAAGGGCGACCCTGAGGTTCGATGTGATGGGTGATGCTCCTGTGCAACTCTAGTATTAGCGATCACTGCCCAGCTTCAATGTCTTTTGGTTGACGTTACGAAGTGCAGCCACTAGCCCTAGGCCTGCTGGCCCGCCGCCGACACACACCACGTCGTAGATGTCAGGCGATTGGGCAATCTGGGACCCGAATCGTCGGCTGCCAACGCCATGTCGGCATGACGGGCAGACATATGGCCGGAGGGCCCTTGAGGCTAGACGCATTGTGGTGAGCAATACTGGTTCAAGGAATCGGAGCTTCGGGAGTTGAGAAAGAAGGTTGGCGAGTGCAAACAAGACAAACACAATCTATACAACAAGCACAACTACAGCCAGCAAATAAAACATAGAGAAATAGTTTCGAACAGTAAAACGGAGCTCTCTATGTTCTGCGAGTGGTATATATTCAGGAAACCGAAGGTAGTCAACACATCTATCGCAGCAGAAATCGCTGGAAGCCTTGTTCTCCAGGTGCTGTGACCGATGAAATCAACATCCTCACCCCCGTATTGTTCGCAGCCGCGTCTCCTTGGTTTGATATCGAAATTGACACTCATGAAACGCCGTGTGGTAGGTGAGTGAGGCGGTCTGTATTGAGATATTTGGAATCAAAGAATGCCAGCGCACAGAGCAAACGTTTCTCTCCTATAAATATACTCTTCGAGTTAAAACAAGGCAAGTTTATGGCGGTCAATGATGTCCCCTTCGTCCACGAGCTTCCATGTGTTCCACCATGTATTCCACCTATTCCCATCGGCTTCTCTTTCCATCGCAACATATGTGGAGAGAACCTGGTGGAGCGCCGGAGTTAATCCGATTCTGGGAATGAATGGACGCAATTCCAGACCTATCTGCGACCCACAAAATGACAAATTACTTTGCGAGCAAAGATGTCTAATACAATCTTCATGATAATAGGCTGGGATTGATAGGATAGGTGAAGAAGGAGAGCTGACTTTAATACTCTGTTTACAATGAAACGATTCAAATGACTCTAATAGCAACCCCCCAAACACCAATCCCATCTACTAGGTACACAATTTTCAACGCTTGACATAGAAATATACTCGTTAAGCATCAACATGCTCCTCCACAGCCTTCTCTTGCACCTGAGCCCCGCGAGTGCGAGCGACGGGGGACTCATCGAAATCCTTCCGCTGGCTCAGCTTAACCACCTGCCTAAAGCTAGACTGATTGGCGAACAAGAAATCAATACTCTCAAGAGTCCGTCCCGCCGTCTCCGGGTAGAGGAAGTACACAATGGGAATAGTCGCCCAGTTGAGAATGCAGAAGACAACGTAGAGCTTCCAGCCGATATTCTGAATCCCCACGGGCGTGATTTCAACCACCAGGAAGGTGATGAGCCACTGCCAGATCACCGAGAGGGCCGCGCCGCGCTGGCGAGTGCGTAGTGGCAGGATTTCGGGCGGGTAGGACCACATGTTTGACATCCAACCCCAGGTGAAGAATCCCTGGAATAGGTAGAGCATTGTTATGGCGGCGATGCCGTTCGCTTTGCCGCCGGCCATGATGCAGAGGCCTGCGATTAGTTGGCAGGCTCCCATGCCGAAACTGCCGAACATGAATAGTTTGCGTCGGCCGACTTTGTCGATGATAAACCTGGTAAGATTGTCAGATGTGCTCTGTTTAAACCAATTCAGTGGCGATGCGATGGTTCTTACCATGGAATGAAGGAGGCAACCAGGAAGAAAAGCTGGAGACCACCGGACAGAAGCAGCGATTGACGAGAATCCAGCCCAACGCTGTGCACCATGACATAAGGTGCATAGTACGTTATAATGTTTGTTCCGGTAAATTCTTGCAAGGCTTGGGCACTGCACGCAATGGCAACACGCTGCCAGCCCATAATGCCGCCATCCGTGAAACAGTCTTTCCAGCTGCCGGACTCCTCGGCCTCGAGTTCAATAGCCTCCTTGATCTCGGTATACTCGAATTGAATATTCTCATCCTGAGGCTGACCGTCGCGCAGCAGACAGAGAATATCCAGCGCTTCCTCGGGTCTGCCCTGGCTCGCCAACCAACGGGGACTTTCTGTGACCGGCATCAGTATCACAATCCTTCCATGCAGCACCCAGACAAGACAAGACAAAACTTACCAGGCAGTAAAAAGCACATAACAACCAAAATCAGCGCAAAGAAAATCTGGAACGCAATCGGAAAGCGCCACTGGAACCCAGTCGTATACCCACTGCACCCATAATCAATCCAGTACGCAATAACAATACCAACAATCAGCGCCGACAACTCCATAGCAACAGTGCGTCCCCGGATCGGCGCGGGCGTGCACTCGCACTGCCAGACAGGAACCGCACTGGTGATACCACCCATGCCGAAGCCCGTCACGATACGGCCAACGATCATCTGAGCCCGGCCGTAGGAGGTGCACTGGATGACGGTGCCGATGATCAGCCAGACGCTGCCGACAACGATCAGCATGCGACGACCAAGTCTCTCGCCCCATACGGCGGAGGCTAGAGCGCCGACTAGACAGCCAAGCTCGTAGACGGCTACGATAAAGCCTAAGAGACTAGCATTGGGGTTGCCCATTGTCTCGAGGAAGATTGGGTCCGTGGTGAGGCCTGAGAAGACGCCATTGTCATAGCCTGGACCATTTAAGCGATTAATTGTTAGAGCCGTAAAGAAAGAAAAAGGGCAGAACCCACCGAAAAGAAGGAACCCCGTGGCGCAGGCCAAGGTGATGGCCATCACCAAGGGCATTCCGCGCAGACCCAGGTACGAAGCCATGACGATGGAAATGATCAGAAGCCAGAAAACACGGCATGAGAAATAATGGATCTCGGGAAGGCTAGCTATTTAATTGAGCACCCAGTCGGCCACCGGCCGAGTCATGTGTTGTTCTATCTCCGCATGAGCACCCCGGAGGTACGTACCCCGAGTTGGAGAGCGTGGGGGAAAAGGGTCCGATTCTTGGTCGGATAGCGTGGGGGCTGCAAAGCTTGTCCCAGTTCGTGCTCCGTGGACGACCTATGACTGTGAGGGGAATTATTCGGCTATTATAGCCAAATGGCATTATGGAGTAAGTAGTACCGTGGGTAGTATTGACTGCGAATAATATGAGACAAGCTAGCTTCCAGTCATGATAGAAAGAAAGAAAAAAGGAAACAGCCATTTGGTCCAGAAACCCCCAAAATTGGATTGACTTATTGGTTCGACTCTTCCAGCCCCATGTCGGGCTCGCTCTCCATCTCCGCGATAAACCGCTCCCACGTGGACAGCACACCCTGGTAGAACTCGATGTGCGACTCGGCGAAGCTGCCAAGGGAATCTCGGAACTCGACCGCTTTGATACGCTCGAAATCCGCCACTTCACGAACGACCTCCTCGTCGAACATCTCCGAGGTGGTCTTGGCAGACTCGACCTCGCGGGTAAGTTCGTCGATGCGCAGCTCGAGCTTGCGCACCCGCTCACGGCGGGATTGCTCGTGATCCACGCCGCGCATGTCCTCCATCTTGGAGCGGATGAAAGATGCCGGGGATGAAGTCAGTGGGTTGGTGGCATAATACGCAGCCGGGTTAGATGCGAGCGTGTCGCGCTCGGCAACGGCCTTGTTGCGGTAGTCGACTAGAGCTTCAAAGTCCAGTTGCTTCTGCTCCCGGGTTTTCAAGAGGTTCTTCAGTGACATGATGTAGGCCTCCATGTCCCGCAGCGAGCCTAGGTAGTTCTGGTCCGTGTGGTTCTTCAGTCCGGTCATCCCACGCGCCGTCTCCTCCACCGACGCGGCAAAAACATGCAGTGGCATCTCCACAGCCGGTTCCAGTGGGACGAGCTTCCGGAACTGCGTGGCCAGCTCTGTGTAGTCCGTCTCCAAGTCAGCCTCGCGCCGAGCGACCCGCGCCACAGTCTTCTCCACATGCGAGAGATCCTCATCCAACTTGTCTGCCTTTTCCCGCACCTCGATGAACCGGCGATCCGGTTTATGCACCTTAGTAAACGCGTTGACGAAAGTGTCCGTAAAGTTATCGAATATCCCCGCATTCCCGCTGTCGGAGCCCGTGCTCGTCGACGTCCGCGTCGAGTGCAGTCGCATATGCGCGTTCCAGTCCTGCGACTCCAGGAAGATAGTGAGCAGGGGTGCCCGCCGGAGCACCGGATGCAGGGTCAGGCGCTTCAAAAACCGGTGCAGCGACCACGCTCGTCTCGATGTAAACTCCGTCCCGAACCGGTCCCCGCGCACGTACTCCATCTTGTGCTTATCTGGCAGCGGAGGCACCGCGCATGCCGGGTATTCGCGATACAGCGTCTTGTATAGGAAGTAGAAATCCGTAAACCGCCGACGTACTTGGACCTCGGGCTTCTGAAATGATTTGAAGTCGGTCTGTAGGTAGAACGCGATCCCGTTAGCTTCCCTGTGTTCTTTCCAGAGGTTGCCGAGTATGACCAGGCAGCAGTGGCCGACGACACAGAGAGATCGTTACTCACATGTGTTGTAACCAGATATGAAATATATGCATCTTTCCCCGAACCCTCCTTGTGTGGCGATGACACGTCGCACTCAAGCTCCCCCAAGTCGGCCGTGTCAGCCAGCGGCCCGGCCGGGGCTTCGTAGTCGGAGCTCATTCTCCGCTTGCCATTGACATCGTGATCAAATGTATGCTGGTCTTCCGCATCGGTGCCTGAGGTCGTAGGCCGTGACTGGTCGCTGTCCGGATGCTTCCAGCTGACGGAGTCGAAGTCGTCTTGTTCCATCGTGGGGAGGGGGGAGGTGTTGGTCGACCGTGGTTCAGCCGACGGACGTCAGGTTATCTATCCCCAGCAGAGGTGAATGTGTCAGGCAAAACAAAGAAAAGAGACAGGAAGAACTGAAATGTGGGTTGTACGAAGCTGGGGTGGAGTGAGGCTGGGGAAAAGAGAGAGTTGAACTGGTCGAGGGCTGAGATAGACGATCGTCGTCCCAAGGCGGCAACGTCATCAGCCCCCGAACCATAATCCTATAATGCTAGTTTTCTACTGATACATTCTTATCAGAACAACATTTTATTTATCATCATTCATTCCCATATTGAAGAAATTCGCAACTTCTTTCTGTCATTCATGCAGCAAAATTGGATATACACAGATCAGCCCTTGGAGACCGGATTTACTCGATCAATGCTTCATACGCTCAACTCCTATCAACGAACAAAATGCAGCCAGATAACCAGATCCTAACGCTTTTCCGACAACAACCCAGTACCCGGCGAAGCTTTTTCGGCTGCGTCTTCATCCTCTTCCTGGACGTTAGCTAACCGGTCGCGGTACGGTGCATCGTCGTCGGCATCACTAAACACCTCTTCGTCGCTTTCCCCGGCGAACGCATTGTACAGCTCGCCGCCGCGACGCGTCCGGGAGCCGCCGGTCATCGGCTGCAGCTCATCTTCATCTTCGATCATCTCAAACTCGTAGTCGTCGTGTGGGTTGGTACGACGGCGCTTGAGTCGCGAGATCTGGAAGTATATGCCCAGACCAATGCAGAAGAAAATAATCATGCCCAGAGACGCGTAGATCCAAACTTGGGTCATCTTCGAGGCCCCGAAAGATGGGAGATACGGGGAGAGTTTGGATTGGTCAGTGGTGGTCGGGGAAGCCGTTGCATTGGTCGCAGGGCTTGGCGTGACAACATCCTCCACGGGGCTGGGTTCTGTTGTTGGTTTCGGCGGGGGAGGCTTCTTCATGGGCCGGTCGATGTGGTCTCCGGGGCCGGCGGGAGGGTTAGTCTGTACTGGGCCCGGCTCGATGCTAGTCGTGCCGACATGGGCCACTTCATAAGGATGGTCGTCATCATGTTCGGTGGGGAGCGGAAGCAGAGGCTGCTTGTCCGCGTCAATGGCCTCGCCCCAAAGGTTAAGCCGCCAGTCAGTGAAGACACCGGTGAAATCGTTGACCTCGGTGTCCTTGACGATCACGGTCCACACGCCCACGGCAGATTCGCCCCTAGGAACCCGGTTAGCCAGAGAAAGAAAGCAAAAAGGAATAATACACACCAGTGAGCAACGGACATGAAGGTCCAGTCGACATAGCCGACTGCCGCCTCGTCTCGGTCGCGAGTAACACTGAGATGGCTAACAACTCCCCCCGGGCTGCGCAGCTCGACGCTGAGGTCGCCGCGCCGAGTATGATTGACATTCATGGTCACAGTTACATGCTCCAGTCGCTCAAAGTTGGCTTCCTTCAGCTGGTCTTCAGTCACAGTATACCGACTAATCAGTCCTTTCTGGCCCTGAGGGATTTCGTGGTGCACCCGCTGCCACGGCGAGTTAAACCATGCCTGTGGCTTCACGAGCTCCCACTCGCGGGCGCGTTGAACCACTGCATATGCATCAACCTTCCCAAACCCCCACATGTGACTGAATTTGCGTCCAGACGGGGTGGTCTGCCAGCTGCCATCATCCTCATTGACAGGCACAGCTGTCTCCACGAACAGATGCTGAACATCACGCCAGGTCAGCTCCGGCCGCACACTCAGAACCAGCGCCGATGTGCCGGCAACCAGAGGCCCGGCTGCCGATGTTCCACCGTGCGAGTTAATGCACTGATTAACACCAACATCGGTGGTATGGATGGCCTCGCCGGAACCAGTGCTGTAGGTGACCACCAGCTGAGCCGAGCAAGCCTCCGAGTAAATCCCATGCTTCCCCTTCCAGTCGATGGCCCCTACAGTGATACTGTAGATGCTGTTGGTGTATCCGTCGAAATTGCAGTTGTCACCGTAAGGGGCACCGTTGCCGGCTGCAAAAACGAAAACCGAGCCTTTACCCTGTCGACCATTTTGCACGCCGTTGACCATCGCTCTGCGGATCAGAACACCCGGGCCTTCCATAGTGCGGCCGTCGTCCATCGGTCCCCAGGAGCAAGAGTAGATATCATTATGTTGGAAGCCATAGTTGAGGGCCTCGGCTTCGTCATGATCATCGATCGGTGCAGACAGGATCCGAATTCCAGCAACTTTGCTGTCATAAGCAACACCAACTCCACAGACATCGTTCTTCGACGCCGCGACCTCACCCGCACATCTAGTGCCATGTCTGTCATCGTCGAGTTGAGGGCGGGGCTCCGGGGAATGGGCATTGTAATCCCACGAGCCCTCGGGGTAGTAGTTTGGGCTGAGGTCCTTGCTATGCATGTCCAACCCGTCGTCGATAATGGCGGTGATGACCCCATGGCCCGTCACCCCTCCAACCACAGTCCGGTCACATTGAGTGAATGCTCCGGGCGAATAGTATTAAACAGATGCCACTGCTCTTTGAAGATCGGATCGCGGATATCCAGGGTCGACATGAGGTCTTTTTGGGCCGTAACCGCGGCTTGATCTGGCTTCTTTTCGGCTCGTGGTGTCAGGTCCACCGACGGCGGGGGTGGAGGAAGTCGCTTATGTAGCCGTTGTCTAGGAGCATCGAGCCGATGCGACCACAGAATCCCGTCTAGCGCATCTTCGTGGATCGCAGATCCGCTTTCCGATCGGCGCTTCAGCTGTCGTTTCTGCTTCAAGTCGGCCAACACGGAATCGAGGTTCTGGTCTCGTGGCAAGGAAAATGTATGGTGGCCAACGAGTTCTCCGATCGGACCTTCATGGCGTGCGCCCAGGAGTTGTGCAACGTGGGAGGGAGAGGTAGCGTCGTCGAGGTGGAGGGCGAAGAAGTCGCGTGTATCGGAGGAACGGGGATGCAAGCTGGCCGTAGCTGCGCCCAGGACGCCCAGGGCCACGGCGATGCTGCCAGCGATGCGCATGATGAATGCGACGAGTGTGTGGTGGTGGTGCGAGGCAAGTTGGCAGAGCTCGCTCTCACTGTGAAGGTGGTGGTGGACAGGAGGTGGTTGCCATGAACGGGTGCCTCAGCTCTTAAGCAATGGCAGACGGAGGAACGGAAGACGTCAGCGAGCAAGGTGGAAGCATCAGAGAACAATGTATGAAATGGGACTGCAACAGGAAGAAATATGGACGACAGAGATAAAGGGGGCTGAAAAAAGAAGATATTCAGGGAGGATGAAGGAAAGGAATCAGGAGAGAGAGTGGGTGAGGTGATCGTGTCGATCGGTCCGTCCTATTGAGTTCTTTGAGCCACCCACAGCCACTGTTAGTATTTTCCTTGTTGGTTTCACTTTGTCTGCCTGTCTTGCTCGAATGCTGATGCTGCTCGAATGCTGGTGCTGCTCGAAAGACCACGTTTGCCGCCGTGGATGCCTGACGTGGTCGAGGCTGCGATCGGACTGCGTAAAGTGGTACTTGGCTGGGAAGTACCCGTCCGGTGGTGATGCCTTGCATGGGTACCAGCCACGCATGTCACTCAGACCCCCCATATTTATATCGCGCAAGTAAAACCTCCATCCGAAGTCTGGGCTCTCCTTGCATTCGACATCATAATGAGACAACTCAGTCGAAAATAGACGAATGTGAAACACACTTCCTATTTCCAGATATATATCTTGAGCAGCGGATGAATTCAATAAACTGGATAACTTCAATTGAGCTTCCAGAGTTAATCCTATCCAGGACAGTCAACCTGAACTTGCAGTTATACGAGCAAGTATTATTTATTCTTCGAAATAGCCAAAAAGGCCAGAAAGTGTTTAATATTAATAGGGGCCAATGCAGTGGCAAAGTGTGAACCTCCACGATGATGCCGTATCTAAAGCAAGAAACCGGAACGCAGAAATGAACGCAACCCAACGCCAGAACCGCCAAGAAGAGGCGGCCATAGTTCGTCGATGGAGACTCGGGAGCGTGCCCGATAAGTGCTCAAAATCTACGAAAGAATGAAAAGTCAGCACTACTACATAAACAGTCGTAGACAAAGCAGCATACAGACCTAAGCAGTCCGTTGCGCCGGATCCTTAGCGGACTCATCCTGGAGAAGAGCATCCAAGTACTCGAGCGGCATGGTGGGCACAAGCAGCTCCAGCGCAGCGGTGATTCGCTCGTGCTTTGCCTCAAAGCCTGCCAGCCGCCTATGGATATTGTAGAGCTGGATATTTGTTTGTTGGAGCAAGTGATTCGTGACATCCATGCGCTGGATGAGTTCCGCAGCCCACCTGGGGAGAGGGGCAACTGGAGGCTGCTGCAGGTTGTTCGAGCCGCTGTTTATAGTCGAGGTACCGCCGAGACCTAGGACGGTTGACGTGGACGAGGGCATTGTTGCGAGGGTTGGCGGGTTTGTCAGGGTGGACTGAGAGCAGGACGGTGGTTGCGCTTATAGGGTATAAACTCGGGGCTGAGCTGATATCTCTCAGTTGTTAGCTTGCAGGGACCGAGAAATCTGCTGCAGATACCTCTACGGCCTTGCTGCAGGAGGTAGAAAGCTTGGGGAACGCAAGAAAATGGCTTTGCAGGGCTTTCTTACCTGTAGATGGGAGGGTATGGATGTTGAGAAAGGAATGAGAGTGGCGGTGTTGGAGGTGAGAAGGAGAGGATCAGTATACAACCAGGACAACAATCTTTACTCTCCGGTGTTTGCACGAGGAAAGAATGTTCTTCCCTCTTCCTCTTCCTTGTGGAACTCGGCTTCTTTTATCACCAGCAGATTGTCACCCAGATACCTCAACACAAGTATCATCCTTGCTCTCTCCTTAACTTTCGTGGGACCATCGGCCCAAAAGAATCGCCATCCTAACCTAAGGAAAGAGAAACTTAATGATGACTGTGCTGCTTTGGGAATACATGGCAAAGTGGAAGGACTGGGAGAAGACACCCATCAAGACGATAGTCAAAAAGATGAAGATGGTGACCTGGACGGCGTATATTAGCCTGGGCAAATATATTCTCAAGGGCTAAGTCGAAGAGAAGGGATATGAATCGGAGTTCGGACGGATTAAGAGGGATACGCAGGATGAGAAGATGCAGGAGGATTGGAGATACGGAATAGGTTATCAGATGCAATGAATTGGGTATTCGTGGGTTCCGCTACAGTCCATCGTTTCCACGCTTATATCCACTTCCCAGTCTTTCGCTCGTTTTGATTTTCCGATATTTCCCATCTCGCTCGCCGCTTTTATTGACGGATCAAAGGCCACGCTCGAATCATGCAGACAAAAGAAATCTATATTTCAAACCCCGGCCGCGAAAATCAAACGCCCGCGTCTTCGGTCTTCGGCGTCTCGCCAACCTGCATATCCTGCACCTGCTGCGTCAGATCCGAGACAGCGCCGGACTGTTTCCGCGCGAGACGGGCTTGCAGCTCGGGAATGAGCGAGCCGAGCGGGACTTCCACGCCTTCCTTCTCAGGGTGGCCTTTCTGCAGGCCCATCTCCTTGATGCGGATCTTGCCAGCGGCCAGCTCGTCCTCGCCCAGGATAATTCCGAAGGGGATGTCGCCATCCTCGACGGTCTTGAATTGTTGCTGCGGTCTTGGCTTCAACTTGTAGGAGAATTCGGCCTGAATGATGTGTTAGCGTGTTGTTTCAATTTTGAGACAGAAGTTGCTCATGCTCACCCTGATACCCGCGTCCCACAGTTGCTTGCAGATATCCATGCGCTCCTTCAGCATGCCGGTGAAGCCCTTGCCGCCAAAGGCCATGACGAAGACATCCACCTCGCTCTTGCGGAGACCCTGGGTGCTCTGCTCGCGCTCCAGACGGGCCTTGGTGATGGAGAAGATCCGGTCGACACCGAACGAGATACCGACGCAGGGGATCTGGGCCTTGGGCAAGAACATGCCGACCAGGTTATCGTACCGCCCACCGGCGGCGATGCTACCCACGCCCAGAGTGGGGTCATTGGACCGGTCGTCGTCCTCGAGGTTCTTGGCCTTGTCCTTCTTGCCGGACTGTTGCAGTTTCTTTGCCTCCTCAGGGGCATTCGACTGCACGGCGGGAGCAGAGCCCTCCGTGACAACCTCGTAGATGACACCGGTATAATAATCCAAACCGCGGGCTAGAGACATGTCGAAGGAGATCTTGTCTAGCACGCCGAAAGCATCCAGATAATCCATCATCAGAGCCATCTCCTCCAGACCCGCCTTGGCAGACTCATTGGCGAGAAGAGCCTCGTCCTTAAGGAGCGAGTTAAGCAGCTCGCGACCACCCTTGTGCATGACGTACTTTTCGATGCGGTCCGCCACCTCACCGTCCAAACCCTTGTCGACCACCATTTCCTTGCGCACGTCGGCCCACGGCATCTTGTCCAACTTATCAACCGCACTCGAGATCGGCCGGAGCAGTTTCTCCGGCACACCGCAGACGGCAAACACTCCGTCAAGAATCTTGCGGTGGTTGAGCTTGATGGTATATCGGCCCTTCCAACCCAGCTCCTCGAAAACCTCGCTCACAATGCGCAGGATCTCGGCATCGGGCACCATGGGGTCAAAGGCACCGGCAATGTCAAAGTCGCACTGATAGAACTCACGCATGCGGCCTTTGCTGACGGCGGGCTGATCCCGGCGGTACACCTTAGCGATGTGGTAGCGTTTGATGTTGCGGACATCCGTATTCATGGCGAGCCAGCGCGCAAACGGGACCGTCAGGTCGTAGCGGAGGGAGCAGATCTCGCCGCCCTGGTCCTGCAGGTCGTAGATGAGCTTCGAGTCCTCGCCATACTTGCCGGCTAGGATCTCGCGCAGCTCGAAGACGGGGGTGTCGAGGGCGGTGCCGCCGTGGCGCTTGAAGACGTCGGCGATGGTGGTGAAGATGCGGTCCCGCAGGAGGGCGTCGGACCCGGCCCAGTCCTTGGTGCCCTTGGGGGTCTTGAGGTTGAAGGTGTTCTTGTCCTTGGGCATTGTGTCGGTGGCGGAGCGAGTGAGGGAAGAAAACTGGCAGCGGGGAGGGTTTTGCTGGTGGGGGGTGGTGGTGGGGGCACGGAGATTCTTTTGATTCGAGACCGGCTGCAGTCGAGGTTGACTGGGAACGAGTCGGAGGGTCGGGCGAGAGACGCCAATGGAGTCAATGGCTCGTCGTGCAGCACGGAATGAAGGGAGAGGCGGCATAAACAGAAGGAAGGCCCGACGGGACTGAGTCAGAAGGTGCTGCTTCGAACAACAATTTTCGGTGGCCTGAGGCTTGCATCGGCGGAGCCAGTTAATCCGGGAACCGAAGACGTCGACACCTGGGGCTTCAGGCTCCCAGTCTTGCCCTAAACAGTTGCCGGAGGATGACAGGCATCACCCCCACTAACCTTGATTCCCAGCAGCAAATGCCATCCGCGCGTGATGGAACCATATCTCTCTTGACTCGCTTGTTGGTCCAGTGGTCTCCGGCCGACCCCCCGCTGTGACCGCTGCCTACGACCGTTATGATGTCAGTTGTCGGCGGGGACCGAGTGAGATCTCGATAGATTCCAGTCTCTCGTACTGGTGGATATGGTTCCATCCCTCTCCTGCACTTGTTTGAAAGAACCATGACTCGGTTAGGACTGCTGCATCTCCAAGCGCCTTGACTCCGGCAAGGGGGCATGCATCGCCATCCCGAAGTATCACAGCAGCCACCCACAGCCCCGGGACGCCATTGGCGGCTCGTAGCAGGCCGAACTTGCCTCCTCCTATCCCCTCGTATCCCCTCCTATCTCCCCGCCTATATTAGATACCGACAGACACATACAGCCGATCTTGCAGGCCCAGATGTAATTCATCCGTCCTGCATCCGGCCAGTTGGTCTCCACCGCCACCTGCCCCACACTCTCGGCAGTCATTGGCCGGAAGGCCACGCCAGTCGAGGGACGGACACATGGCCCGTGAGCGAGCGCGGGCCCTGGCCAATAAGGGGATTGCTAGGGGTGGTGGTCTGTCCGCACTGGAGAGGTTGAGGGGAGTGCGTCAAACGCTGATCTGGGGGAGAATAGCAGACAGCGGCCAGCGAGAGCGTGGCAGGAAAATCGGCGATTGGCCCAGTACCTGCCTTAGGCAGCTCCACCGTGCTAGACTGGATGGGGCGCGCGGAGGTTAGGGATGTTCTGGATGTTTCGGTACATACGAGAGAGTCAAAGAAGAAGAGTAATAGTCCGAGAGAGAAGTATTAATAAGAGTGAAAATAAGCAGACCTATAAGACTCGTTATAGGACCGGGCCTGCTATCTATAGTGCCTGGCATCCTCGCTCACGCCCCAGCTCCACCTCCGCTCCAGGCTCCTCCGCTTTGCCCGGGTCATCCCATCAGCTTTCTTCCTCCTCCCTCCCTCCCTCCCTCCCTCTCTCTTTGTCTTCTCTTGCCACCCTTTCTCTTCCCTCCTCTTTATTCTCACTCCGTCTCCTCTGCCTGTTCGTCAAGCCCTGGTACTCTGCCTCCCACCCCTTGTCTCACTCCCTTTCCGCCACCCACGGACCGCCGCCCGGAACCCTAACGGCAACCCCGTTCGTTTCAACCGTCTCTTGTCCGCTCAACCCCCACCCTCCTCCCCAGACACTCTCACGACTCCCATTGTTCTCCTTGGCGGTTTCTTCACCTGCCCCTCGACTATCCGCCCCCCGATCAGCGCTGTCACACCTCTTTCCGTCACATGTCTCCCGCTCTAACCAGAGCGTAATCGCCCGCGACTGATTTGGTCTCTGGCGAGTTATCACCCAATGCAGCGGAGTGCGACCAGCAAGAAACACTGAGTGATCATAATGGGGATCTTCAATAAGCCTCGGAACAATGTGGTAAGCAATCGCCACCGTTCATTGGCAGCCCTCCTGCTGTCGCACAGCAGGTCCCCGAGACGTCTCCTGAGACTTGGTCCTCGTGGAATAATTCTGATCAGGACCGCTGCTGACAGCTCACTTATCTAGGCTTCGCAGACGCCCGCGAGCACGGTAGCGCCCGTCAAGAAGGACCTGCAAGCACCGCAGATGACCCCGTTGGAGAAGCGGTTACTGGATATGGGTGCGATTCGTGAAGATGGCAGCGACAAGTTCTTTGGCATGGAAAACGTGGGTGATGGGTTCTGATTGAGAAATAAGAGTGCTGCTGACCTGAAGTGCGCCCAGTACGGAAACACATGCTACTGCAACTCGATCTTACAATGTCTCTACTATTCCGTTCCTTTCCGCGAGGCCGTGATCAACTACCCGCGTCGCACCCCATTGGACAGCCTTGAAGCGGCCCTGGCGAGTAATTTGCGCTACCAGAATCCTAACGCACACCTGGAAGCAGAGGCGCAGGCCGCGAAGCAGAAGAACACCATCCCAGCGCCGTCCGCGCGCCAGGCCGGCGTGACTCCCACCCAACCACAAAAACCCGAAGACAAGGATTCGCCGGAGTATAAGAAGAAGGTGGCACTGCAGACGCTCCCGCTTCTAGAAACCAAGAACAACGCGACTAGCTACGGCATGTCGGAATCTCTCTTCACCTCACTAAAAGATATCTTCGAATCGGTGGTGGGCAGCCAGTCGCGCATCGGAATAATTCGGCCACAGCAGTTTCTGGATGTGCTGCGGCGCGAGCACGAAATGTTCCGGACTGCAATGCATCAGGATGCACATGAATTTTTGAATTTGTTGCTGAACGAGGTGGTGTCGAATGTCGAGACGGAGGCGACGAAGCAGACCTCCTTGCCATCCGCGGACAGCACGGATTCCACGGAGCTGACAATGGGTAGCACGGGCTCGAAGTCTCCCAACACGACGAGATGGGTGCATGAGCTGTTTGAGGGCACGTTGACCTCGGAGACGAAATGTCTGACGTGTGAGAAGGTCTCGCAGCGAGACGAAGTGTTCTTGGATCTCTCGGTCGATCTTGAACAACACTCTTCTGTCACCTCCTGCCTACGCAAATTTTCGGCAGAGGAGATGCTGTGCGAACGAAACAAGTTCCATTGCGATAATTGCGGCGGTCTCCAAGAGGCGGAAAAGCGCATGAAGATCAAACGCCTGCCGCGCGTGTTGGCTCTGCACCTCAAGCGTTTCAAATACACCGAGGACTTGCAGCGACTGCAGAAGCTGTTTCACCGCGTGGTGTATCCTTACCATCTTCGCTTGTTTAACACAACAGACGATGCCGAAGACCCGGACCGGCTTTACGAACTTTATGCGGTGGTCGTCCACATCGGCGGAGGTCCGTATCATGGCCATTATGTGGCCATCATCAAGACCGAGGATCGTGGGTGGCTGTTATTTGATGACGAGCTGGTCGAGCCCGTGGACAAAAACTACGTGAGGAACTTCTTCGGTGACCGGCCTGGCCTGGCGTGTGCCTATGTCTTGTTCTATCAGGAGACGACACTGGAAGCCGTTCTGCGGGAGCAGGCCCAAGAAGACCAAGCTGCTGCCGCGGCCGCCTCGGAAAGCGATGCTACCCCGAAGCCAAACGGTAACCCAGTGACCCAAGTGCATAGTGCATCTCAGGTGCCAACCGATGATTCCAACCGTGTCCCTCTCAGCAAGATATTAACCGCGCCCAACATGCCAACTCACACCGAAGTCCCAGAGCCTACCGTGTCTTCGCCAGGACCCGCTCAAGTGCCGCTGCCACCGATTCCCGATTCACCAGCTCCTATTCTGAGCCCAAAGAAGAGTGACGTCCAGGCACGGAAGGAGAAGGCACGCGAAGAGAAACGCGAGGAGAAGGCTCGCAAGGCTGAAGAGAAGGAGAAGGAGAAGGAGAAAGAGCGGAATGAGAAGCTTCGCCGCAAAGAGTGGGAGATGCAGCAGCGACGTGAAGCGTCAGAGCTCAAGTTAGCTCTTGAGCTGAGCAAAGCCGACGCTGCAGAGGTTGGTGCAGAGAACGGATCGCCGAGGAAGTCATCCAGTTTTGGCTTCCTCAAACGCAGCAGTCGCAGTTTCAGTCACCGGCTGGCAAAAGATAAAGAACCACGCACGTCCACCTCGGAGCTGAGGAGTGCTCCAGTCCAGGAAGCAGAACCAGTGAAAGAAGAGCTTGAACCGATTGCCGACCAGCCGCCTGTGCTTCCGCCTGTGTCGCCACCTCCTGTGCCTCCCAAGGACAGCGTGCCACCCCTCTCCATCCCCAAGAATGGCTCTCGGCCGGAACCCATCATGACGAAAGAAGTCTACAACAGCAATAATGGTAGCCAGCACCACAACCACGAGAAGCACACCCCGCGTTGGAGGTCATTCAGTTTCAAGAAATCCTGAAAGTCATAATTTGCCTTCTATTTGGAAACATCTCTTTCTGTCTGTTTTGCCAGCTTCCCCCTTCCTCGAAGATACCCCTAATCGGAACGAACCCTGCACATACTATGCGCAACTTTGCTTCTTGCACATATCTACAGCGATGTGACGTGATTGATAACCTGCGTCTTGATATGTTATGATAAAGACGAGAGTTGTCTCTCCTGTCCGGCGCAAAAAGAGGCGTTTTCTGGGATCGATTACAATCTCTCCATCTATTCTCTATCTATGTCAGCTGAATGGGGATGAAACTACTCAGATGTACATTGGACTTCCTTTTTTTTTATAATTCTGTGTTTTATCAGCGAAACATTGTCCTCTACGTTTGCATGTTTGTGTGCTTTCCTGGCGTGTGTTCTTTCTGGGAGATTAGCTTGGACAAATATCCATCTCCAAGTTGGCTCTGCTTCTTTTAGACTCCTGTCTACGTAGTAGCCCTACGATGTATCATACGTCTACACAGATAGTCAACTATGTACTATAATCGCTTGTTCTGTATTAGACCACTTCTTCTCTCATTGCACCGCCTTTCTTTGTCTCTGTGGGTATATAACAATGGAAAAGAAACCCGCAGACTCAAACCAAGCCATCGAGAAAGTACACAAGGCATTAGAATAAGGTAGCCAGCCGCTTTCCACACATACGATCCAATACCTTAAACTACTATTGACTACATCCAGACAAACATCATTCCGCAGACTGAACTTGAACTTGCCTGTCTCTAGTTTGAATCTCTCCCGGTATGTTCCTTTCTCGTGTACATCATTACCGCGTGTCGTGTGATAGAATAGAGGGGTTGGCTGTAGGTGTATGTGTGGACAGATCGGGTCTGACGGGAAGGTAGAGGAAGCCGCTGAAGCGAAGAGGAAGCAAAATGCGATAGTTGAAGATTCCTTATATGAAAAGCGAGTAGAACCGGGTTTTGTTTCCGTGTGTGGTTGCGATTCTGCTCGATAGACAGAAGGATCCGGATAGGTGCGTAGATAGGACTGAAGATGAAGATGAAGATAGAGAAGAGGAAAGGCAGTTTTATCCGAGGATCAGCTCGTATGCGATTACCACGGTGTTGATGACGATAAGGGGTACTTGACGAAAGATAATGTGGTTAGCAAGCTGGTTTTGGGAAGAGATCCTTGCTTGCTGCCTGGTTGTTTCTGTCCGGGAGGGAGACTTGGGGCGTCTGCATGCTTGCTGCAGATTTTGTGGATTGGAAGAGTGAAGGAAAAGGAGGAGAGACTCACTTCGCATTACTGTGCGCACACTGGCGATCAGATTGACGGACTTGGCCTTGACGCTCGTGTTGTCGTAGGTCGCGCCGAAGCCCGGCTCAGCAGCCTGTGTGCGGCCCCATCCGACTGCAAGTGTGTATGTTAGATATGTATCATTACTCCAGGAAGGAGCAAAGGGGTTTGTTGGCAGGAAAAGCTGTGGGTGAAGGGGCAAAGGTGGACGTACTACGGGCAAGGAAGCGGTCTTCGGAGAGGACGGCGATGGCGTTGATGATGAGGATGATGACTAGGATCAAGTTAGCGATGAGCAGGGAGCAGGTAGAACGCATACACACCGTAGACAAGCTTGCCCAGCCCGAAGAGAAACATGGTTGGTGGTTGGACGGGAGTAGTGAAGGGGCGAAGAAGAAGTGGTTGGTCAGTGACGGAGGTGAGCAGGTGAAAGCCACCTTGCCCGCAACCAAACTACATACAAACAACTACAAACATCCATGGCAGCCAGTCAGTCCACCCCCATTTAGATAGTATATCCCCAACACAGCAAATACTAAATTCCTGAGCAGTCAAGGCGTTTGTCGTGTTTTCAACACTCATATCACTTCATCTCCTAGTGGCGCCTTACACCAAGGTCGAGGAGAGCTTTCACATCCAGGCTGTGCATGACATCTTTATAAACGGCCTACCTAGCTTTCCAGGCTTCGGATACGACGGTGGCAACAACACTAACATCGCTACTGATGCCTATGATCATTTTCAATTCCCCGGCGCCGTGCCCCGAACAGCCATTGGCGCTGCGGTGCTCGCCAAGCTGCTCAGCGTCGTGCCCGAGAGCTGGGTGGTGAACGGGGCGGACCAGCAATTCCTGGGTATGTATTTCTGGAATGAAACATCTCAGATAAATCTAACAAACACCCCATAGCTCGATTAATCCTGGGCTTGTTCAATGCCTTGTCCCTGGCCGTGTACACCCACGGCCTACGGCGCAGCTACGGCCGCGTCGTCGCGACCTGGTACATGGCCCTACAAGCCAGCCAGTTCCATCTCATCTTCTACGCCTCACGGCCCTTGTCGAACACATTCGCCTTCGGACTGACCACGCTAGCCATGCGCTTCCTCCTCCCCAGTGCCGGAGGCTCTGCGCCCCCGCCGCGCTCCTCGTCTCGTCTGGCACTGTTCCTGCTCACCGTCGCAGGCGTAATCTTCCGCTCCGAACTAGCTCTCCTCGTCGCCGCGCAAACGGTCTTCATGCTCATAACGGACCAGATCAGTCTCATCCCCGACGCTATCCCCGCCGGCCTGGCCGGGTTAGTTGTCGGCGTGGGCGCGTCCGTGGCAGTCGACTCAGCGTTCTGGCAACGTCTGGTCTGGCCGGAACTCAATGCATTCCTTTTCAATGTTGTCTCAGGCCAGTCGTCAAAATGGGGCACGCAGCCATTCTACTTCTATCTCTTTGCGCTCATGCGCCTGCTCCTCAACCCGCTGACCTATCTACTCGCCATCCCCGTCTCCCTACGCCAGCCCGCAACTAAGCGCTCCGCAACGGCCCTTCTCGTGCCATCGCTCGTCTTTGTCGTGATGTACAGCGCCCAGCCGCACAAGGAGTGGCGCTTTATCGTCTACGCTGTGCCTCCTTTAACGGCCTCCGCGGCCCTGGGCGCTGCATATCTGTGGAATCACCAGACGCGTTCGTGGTTCAATCGCATCGCTGCGTGGGCCATGGTAGCTGCTACAGTTGCGTCGCTCTGCATCTCGACGTTCATACTCCTCCCCGCCTCCGCGGTCAACTATCCAGGCGGGTATGCGCTGCGCCTCCTTCATGAATCCCAAGAGAACTCTACTTCATCCGGCAACGCGACCGTCTACCTAGGAAACCTCGCCTGCCAAACAGGCGCAACGCGCTTCCTCCAGCGCCCCGACTGGATCTACGACAAGACAGAAGACTCATCCGCTAAGTCCACCCCCGCCTTCTGGGACACCTTCGACTACATCCTCGTCGAAGCAAGCAGCGACGAGTCCTACCGCGATGCAGACGAGACGCTCCTGCGCGCTGCGCTTCCATCTGCGCAGTGGGACACTGTCGCTGTTGCGGAGGGGTTCGCTGGCGTTGAGCTCCTCAGACCCGAGGATCTTGCTGAGGGTGCCGTGGAGGGGAGAGTGCTTCGTGATCTGTTGGGGGAGTCGGCTGTCGTGGTGTACGAGATTTTGCGGGAGATGGCTAGGACGATGGTTTTGTGGGGATGGTGGGTTGAGTTGAAGGTTAGGCCGAGGGTAAAGGTGTTGATGCGAGTGAGATAGCGGTAGATGTAGATTGGGAATGGGAGTAGTGTATTGCAATATTCGAAATCAGATACAGAAGCGCCCGACTTCGGGTTCCACGCCGCGAACATAGAGATGCTCTTTCAAACCGTACCTTCGGGACCAACAATACTCGTGAACCTAATATGTCAAGGAGACCAATCCTCGAGAGCTTTCAAGGCAAAAGCTGTGCTAGCTCCTCTGTTTCCGACCTCCCGTTTCTTTCCCGGGAAGTAGTACATGCAAGAAGCCTCCCAGCCGCCATCTTCCTGTTGCATATCCACAAGCTTCTGGCGATCCGGGTAATTCTCAATACCCAGATACCTACAAGCAAGTACTCGCATACCCAGACAGTACGCATCACCGGGACTGCCAATCCTCTCAGCCACACGTTTTCGGAGAAGACACTTGAACCTTTCTTCGAGCGTTGGATCAATGGACTCGCGAAGAAGGCGCACCATATAATAGAGGAACCACTCAGCATTAGCGTAGTAGCGTGTACCGTTTATGTATGCCCGGTTCAACAGGATATTAAACATCCACTCTAACGTTATCGGCAATTCGTGACCGCGCCCGTATTTGTGGAATATAATCAAAACATTGAGGGTGATCACTGCGTCAACTCGCGGCCGTGATTTATCATAGTACGCCTGTGTATAAAGTCAGCTGTGTTGCCATTTAAAGTGAATTGAGGGATTTTTCACAACTTACATAGATGTTGCCGTCTTCGTCAACATAATCAAGCATGTCGTCTAGAATAGAGTGGGCCGTCGCCTCGTCAGGAGGGAAAGCTATCATTCCAAGTGATGTGGTGTCCAAGTCTGGGGGGTAGTCATCGGTCGTGTATTTCGGTTTCCCTGAATCGCGATCAGGCATGAAAATGAAAAAGGTCTTCAGATAACTCACCACTGAAAAAGTTCCAAAGTCGAGGCGGGACTTCAATATCCACCAAGCTCCTGATTATAACAATTAGCAAGTGACCAGGGGCCTTATCCAAGGGAGGCGTGCTTGTCATTCAAGATTTCTCTCATCAAGAGAGGTGCATAGTTTTCATCAATTGTTTCACCATACTGGGTGGTTGTAGGGAACTTCCCGCTATGTCTTCGCAAGAAGGCAAGCCCTCGCTCGATGGGGTTCCCGATAAAGTTGGCGAGCGATCGGGAAAGGTCAGAAGTGTCAGATGTACCCTTCATACCGAGACTGAGAGCCGCGAGCACATTTTCAGGACGATCATCGATGAAGAAGGTTTCATGAGGAGTCGCCCTCGTGGCTCGGAGGACTTGACGATAGAAACGCAAATTGGGCTTTCGGACGCCGAGTGCCGATGAGGTGAAGACGCCGTCAAAGATAGACCAGAAAGCATGACTCCACAGGCTTTGGAGCGCCGCATAGTCCTCGTGAGAGATGTTTGTCACCAGGAAAATGCGGATTTTTGACTGTTTGATGTTTTTAAAGACCGCAGCAGTATTCTCATCGTAAGTGATAGTTTGACGAAGATCACTAATCATCGCTGCTAGTTCACTCGCTTCAATGTGATGTTCGCTGGCTAACCGTGCGAAGCAATCTTCCTCGCTGAGCTTCCCAGATTCGTAGTCCATCCAGATTGATGACAACATGAGTCTTCGTAGAGAAATGGTAGAGTCCCCAGTCACAAGCGTCCGGTCAGTTGGTGCATGCATAAAGATGCCTCCAAGGTCAACCAAAATGGTCTTGGCCTTGAGATTCGGAATGTTGCTTAAGGTCATGTCTAACGAAATAGACAAAAAAGCTCATGGGAGTGTATTCGAAGTGATTGATATGGGAGAACAAGGTCTGAGGCCTCGATCATGTACTTTGTAGGATGTGGGAGGACAAGGAAAAGTAGCTATTTATTTAACCTCGGCGAAACCAAATAAACTTTGGAAGCAAAGGTAAACAGGGAATTTTCAAGGCTAGGAACAGACATACGGACTACAGCTGACCTGATTAATGATGCTGAACATGGTGATAATGGCGTGCAGAAAATATATTAAGTGGCGTTCGATCAGCAGAATGTGTTCGATATAGTGTGAATTGGAGCAATGACTCAATCTTGGATGGACGTATCACTTCGGCGGATGGCGATTAAAACTATAAACCCCACACGCATTGGAGAGATCAGACCGACAATTAGAGTGAATAGCGGTGAATAGCGGTGAATAGAACCGAAGAAACACTAAATCAACACTAAGCTAGCCGATTATGGAAAGTAATTGCGCAAGAAATATACGATGATATCAAGTCACAATTATGGCTGTGTCTACACTAATATGTGCTCTGATAAATCCATCGCTGACCATAACATGTTCTTCGTTACAAATACTTCAATGGGCTTTCTTTACGGTTTCTATCACATTTCAATATTAGTGAGTATTTCCACCTTTTACTAGGATAAGAGGCCCCGAGAGTCTGACTAGTGGCAGCTTATTTCATTCATATCATGGAGGATCATATCTAGGCGGCATCTTCACCCTCTGGCACATTATCCGGGTCCTTTCTTCTGGACCATATCGAGGATACCTTACGCAACAGCCTATGTCCGCGGGCATCTGCATATACGGATACAGGGTCTCCATGATCAATATGGAGACGTTGTTCGAGTCGCCCCAGATGAATTGAGTTATCGGAATGGCCAAGCGTGGAAAGATATCCACGGTCACTCGCGGAACTTTTCGAAAGACATGCGATTCTATCATGCATCTAAGAAGAAAGCACCTAGTGTTGTGGTCGCTCCTGATGACATTCACAGTCGGCAGAAGAAGGCCATTCTCCGAGCATTTTCAGAGCCCGCATTGAGGTCTCATGAGCAGATTCTGCGGCCGTTTGTCGAGATTCTTGTCCAAAGGCTTCAAAATTTGGGTGAAAGGAAGTCGGATAGCTTTGTGGATATGACTGAATGGTACAATCATGTCATGTTCGATTTTATGTCGTTCGAGCTGTTCGGCGAATCCTTAGGTTGCCTCGAAAGTGCAACAAATCACCCTTGGGTAAATATGCTGTTCGGTTCAATCAAAGCCTGGGCTGTTCTCAGCCAGGGTGCATATTTCCCAGCCTTTTCTTGGATCACTTACGTTGCAGCAATATTATTCTACGGCGATATTCTCCGTCATCGTAACAAAAAGTTCGCTTCTGTCTCATCCAAGCTTTCTGAGAAAAAGGAGTCCGAGTCGAGCCAGCCTACTTTTAGTAGCTACATACGGGCTGATAAGGACCCAAAATCGACCCTTTCCGCAGAGGAAGCTTTATCCAACCACAGTTTTATGATGATGGCGGGCAGTGAGACCACTGCTACCCTTTTGTCGGGTTGCACGTTTTTTATTCTTCGGTCTCCGAGAGTTTACCAGAAGCTCTCGCAGGAAATCCGAAACTCTTTTTCCTCGCCATCGGAAATATCATTCTCCTCGCTAGCGGACTTAGCATACCTACGGGCTGTCCTACAGGAGACATTGCGAATGTACCCACCGCTGCCTCTCGGCATGCCCCGTGTTGTGCCTAGTGGAGGCTCTACAGTATCAGGCAATTTCGTGCCAGAGAAGGTATGGCGACTCGATCATAACTTAAAATTGCGATTTACGGTTAACAAATTTTCCAGACATCTGTCGCTATCGCGTCGTGGGTAACGTATCGCTCCTCATCCAACTTCCAGGAAGCGCAGTCATTTCTACCCGAACGCTGGCTAGGTGATAGTATAGGAAGCCATGATATTAGTGATGCCATGCAGGCATTTTCGATAGGCCCGCGGGCATGTCCGGGGAAGCGGTAAGTAAAATGATTTTCATCAGGACCTTGGGTTAGAAAGTTGACCTGGTTTGTGCAGATTGGCATTTGCTGAGGCAAGCCTTATACTGGCCCTGATGATTTGGAACTTTGATTTAGAGCTGTCAGCTGAATGCTCCAACTGGATTGACCAACGTGCTTATATTATTTGGGACAAAGGGCCCCTTTGGGTCAAACTTACCCCATCTGCTTCAGAAAAGCTTGTGTCACCTTCTGTGTGATGGAAATGACAACACATTCTGCCTGAAATATCACCAATGACCCTTCTTCAAGTTGTCTATCCATCTCAGGGACGTCTCCTCCATCAGTCTATGTAATCCTTGAATCGAGTGCAGATAATGAAAGGCTGTAATTTCCTGGATATAAATACTCCAGCATTTTTCCAATGAGCGTAGAGTCTTTATTTTTTATACTAACTAGATGCCCGGTGTCGTGGATTCCCCGTGGCTTGTCAGTCTTAGTATTAACAAGATTCTATACCTAAGATTTATATCACCTTAAACCCGGAATAACAAGCAGTATGAAAGTATTGTGACTTTGAACAAATAAGCAGTTTATGGACCGCGAAATCTTAAGCTTGCAAATAATAGACAAATTGTTGTAGTCCAAGGTAGAGTGCTTCGTGATCTGCTGGGGGAGTCGGCTGTCGTGGTGTACGAGATTTTGCGAGAGATGACTAAGACGATGGTTTTGGGGGGATGGTGGGTTGAGTTGAAGGTTAGGCCGAGGGTTAAGGTGTAAATGCGGGTGAGATAGAGATACATATAGGTTGGGAATGGGAGTAGTGTACTGCAGTATTCGAAATCAGTTTATACTCCGTACTCTCACGAATTATTTCCCGAACCCTAACTTGATATAACGCTGAATCCAATTTTGGTTACTCTCTGTACCATCCCTGCTCGCCTGCCATTGTAATCGGCAGACAGTCACAAATGTTTTAGTATTATAATATAGTAAGCATCCATAGAATCGAGTCAAATCGTCCGTTCAAGAGGGTCTACTGCCTGAATCTATCTTAAGTCTTGTGCCGCGAGTCCCGGGCACTTGCTCTACGAATTGTCAGGCGGCCACAGTGGACGCAACTAAGTACGTGTAGTATCAGATCTACATATAATCTCCTAGAAATCTATTAATTCGTTCTTCTCCCGACATGACCAGGCCTAAAGCCTACTGGATCCCAACCAACCCTACCTATATGAGAACCCTCTCCAGCCTCAGGACAACGTCCTCATAAAATTTCTCGCCCTGCTCACTCTCATCCACCCCGAAACCTTCCAAACAAATCTTTACCACATCCCCAAAAATATCCCCCGCAGCAGCCCTTACCATATCGAGAAACCGACGCTCCCGCAATAATGTAACCTGTACCTTCTTCGTCACCCCAGGACGGAAATGTCCCTGCACATTCTCACCCTCAATGCCCAGCACCCGATGCAGCGGCATCCACAGCGCTGTCTCTAGGAACACAATACCCAGACTATAAATATCAAACGCTTTCTTGAAACCCCCAATACCCTCTGTCGCGACGTCGCCGTGTGCCAGCGGATGCCGATACAGATTATACAGCGGGGTGGTGTCAGGTCGCTCGGTCATCTCTGTGTTGTGGGCTGGGCGCGCGAGACCGAAGCCGCAGAGGAAGGGGGTTGAGAGATCGGTGTGGCCGGGTTCTGTGAAGAAGACTACGTTTTGGCTGCGGATGGCTTTGTGGATCCAGTTAGTGGAGTGAAGATGTTGCATTGCGGTGGCGAGGGTGTGTGCAAGGCGAACACGCGCGGAAAGGGACGGTTTCTCATCGTCATGGAAGAGATCGAAGAGCGAAGTTGGAGCGTGGGCGGATGCGGTATCAGTGGGACGACGGAAGACCAACCCGAACCGGTTGTGTGGTGCGTCGTTGAAGTAGCCGATGCAGGCGGGCGTGCGGAACTGCGTAGGCTTTTCAGAATTTCTGAGAAGGGCTGATAGCTTGGAGATTCGTGCTTCGGTGAACTGGTCGGGGTGGCCGTTTTGGAGCACTGGGTCGTAGTATTTCCATTCAATCCACGCTGGATTGCCTTCATACAGACCGACTGAGCGCTCTATCTCCGTTGTCATATAAGTGGCTGGGGAGGAGCGGAAGATGGTACAGGAATCCGCGTCTAAGAGCCCGTCTTCGCTGAGTCGATCACTTGAATTCGAATTGATCTCTATGTTCAGCGCCTTGAAGCGCGCCAGCGTCGCCAGGACTTCTGTCTCTCGCCGAGGTTCGGCGTTGTGCGTCAAGGAGAGCTGCATGTTGCCCGCCTGGAAGATCTGGAGCAGGTGGTCGACCTTGTTGTTCAGCTGAAGGACCTGCATGGACGTGCGGGTCTGCACTTGATGGAGAGTAGACTGCTGCTGCGAGTCGAGCAGGCTCTGCATGCCATCGTTAAGCACGCCGAGCCGCGCCAGCGCGGTCTCTAAGCGTTCGCGATCGAACACCGCCCAGCGGAAACGCAGTGGATAGCGTCGCATCCTCTCCATGCACCTGAGGGCTCTGGTTTCGAGTGAGCTTTTGACGTGCGGGAACCGCTCTTGGAACTCGAACTCCCCTGCCGCATTGTAGAGAGAACCACCTTGGCTGCCATCAACTAGGGATCGGTACGGGTGGCCGACATTCCAGAAACCCGCGAGGATAGCCTCTTGCTCGCCTAGCACCTGCTGCACGAGGGCCTCGTTCAACCGCAGGGTTGCGCAAAGGGAGTCATTCTGCTCGGTCAGGTTGGCCACTTCGGCCCAGTTCAGCAGTCGGTGTTGCTCTATTTTCAAGCGGACGCGCAAATAATGAAACTGAGATGGCATGCCATCTGCATCGGACAGAAGATTGTAGGCTGTTGTTGTGTTATCTTACCGTTAGCGAGTTGGTTGGCCTAGGAGGGGAGTAAGAGTGTACCTGGTCTGACCTTTTACGCAGCCTGCAAAGAGCTGGAATGTGAGGGCGATGGCCCCAACGCCGAAGCCCGCTAGCGATATCGGGTCCATCGCATCGCTAGTGATGGCTATGAGTGGCAACAGGTCCTGTTGAAACAAACCATCTCCACGAGCGTAAATGCCAACTAAGCCCGATGGGGCATAAACGTGGGGTGCGGCTCGTATTGGGATCCTCGTGAGATCGACCATCTTTGATCATTATGAGGTACACGAGTATGCACGACGAACCACGAGATAGCCCTAGGTATGGATTTGGACAGGGTCCCAAAGTATGTAGACGAGACCGGAGACGGGCTGGATTGGGCAGGTCGTGGAACATCCCACGTCGACTTTCACACTGACGAGACCCTCCCCCTATCACAAGGGCGATTCCTCGGCCATGGGATGAACGGAGGCGTGTTCGAGACGGTAGTATGTGGACAGACAGTGGCCTGGAAGCGACGATACTGTCGGCGGCAGATCGGGGTGCAAGACCTGCGGGAAATGGACATCCTGAGGAAACTCGATGGTCGGCACATCATCAAGCTTGTCGGGACATACACCCATGGCCCATTCCTGGGGCTGTTGTTGTGGCCCGTTGCCGTGTGTGATCTGGGGACGTTTCTCGAAGACGTCGACAAACTCTTACAGAGCCCTGGGACTGGGGACGTAGGAATTGACTATACAGCCACGATAACCCAGTGTTTACGCAGCCTAGGTATTGATACTCCTTCCTCTGCGTCCACCCGGCTGAAGCAAAGCATCGGGTGCACGTCCAGCGCAATCGCATACCTGCACCAACGGTCCATCCGCCACAAAGACATCAAGCCAGCGAACATCCTCCTCTCGCCTGCTGGACTCTGGGTGACCGACTTCGGCTCTTCCACCGACTTCACAGGCATTTCACACAGTATCACGCAGAACGGCGAACGCGGGACCCCGAAATACTTCGCCCCCGAGGTCGCCGAGTACGAGCCCAACGGGCGCTCGGCGGATATATTCTCGCTGGGCTGTGTGTTCCTCGAGATGATTGGGTTATGCAACGGATACTCGCTGGAGTATCTGAAGAGCCTGCGACCGAATAAGGACCAGTCGTTCCACGCGAACCTCGACTCCATCTTGCATTGGTTCAACTTCAGGGAGACCAATGTCAAGTCCCCGGCTGATCAGCAACTGATGGCACTGGTACGGGAAATGCTTGCTCGAGCTGCACAGACGCGCCCAACGGCAGAGCATATTGAGACACGCTTGCGGTTGATCAATACCTTGCGTAGGCCGACACCGCCGGAGCCGCTGTGGGGGGACTGCTGCGCGCCTGTGCCGCGGTCATCGGGGCAGATCCAGCCCCACCGGATATCCCCTGTGACTATCGAAATCGGGAATATGCATCAATCGAACAACGTGCGCCATGAATGGCATTTCTTCGTCTCTGCACCAGCAGTGGAGGATATCATCGCGGACGTACATTTTTTCCTAGTATGTATTATCCCATAGACCTAGCGGACGTCTCTCATCCTTCAGCATCCAAGTTTCGAACACCCCTATTCCGTGCAACATCTGCCGCCGTTCGAGATGAGTGGAGGAGGATGGGGCTACTTCACCATCAGCATAGTAGTCGCCCTGAAGCGAGGGTATTCATGGGTATCTCCCGATGCGACCCTCGGGCCAGGAGACCAGTCTCTTTTGACGCTTTATTGGACACTGAACTTTGAGCGAGAACTCAGTTATAGTCATGTTGAGGTGGGTGTTGCAGTATCGTAGATACAAGTGGGCGTGGAAGGAATGATCAACGAGGGCCCAACCCAATGTGACGAAGGAGGCACGTCTCCCCTACGCAGTTCCCTATCGTCCATTTACCAAGTCACCATCTGAACTCTATCCTGACCACATCACATAGGCTGCCAGGATCAGACAGGTCAAAGGACAGGACCAAGGTAGATTATAGAATATTACAAGTATAACCTGATTGATGGGCCAGCATAAATCAATGCCTAGAAGCCAAACTTGAGCTCATTGCTATTGGCATCAACTAAGTTTCTATCTCCACGAACCGAACAGTACTAGTTGAACTCTTCGTTAACGTCAACTGCATCCGCTGTGTATCACAGTAGTTTGTACAGACCACGAATCTAGAGTCTGCAAGTTGAACAGTCTTGTCTGGAATGCAACTTCTGTTCAAGGTTCGCTGTATCCTAGAGTTTAAGAGTGGTTTTCATGACACGATTCCTTCTCTCACGACTTGCTTCCCGAACCCTAATCCGAAACACTCTAATCTCAATACGGTACGGTCGTAGATCGTCCGCTTATCAGAAAAGACCTTGTATCTTACTGGAAGACGCGCGCGGCGCGCGCATAGGCCCCGAAACGATGAAAAGGAGAGGGTGGTACAGTAGATTTCGAAAACAGATGCCCCCCAAATCGACACTAATCCGTATTGGGTTAAAATAAGAACAACCCCTGCTTAGCCGAATTGCGGCTTCATTATAACGTATTAGAATTCAGCGACCAATGAGTCATTGTAAAATACTGTCAATGTCTAAGTTGGCCTGTTTTCAAACGAGCAGCCGGCCCGGTCAATTCAAACGTCGACCATCTACCTCAAAGGTCACCCACGAACTATGCCTCACATCGCCCACATCTCCCTAGTCGTCCGCGACTACGACGAGTCTCTCGCTTTCTACGTCGATAAGCTCGGCTTCACCCTCGTCGAGGACAATCAAGAGCCTAACAAGCGCTGGGTCACCATTCGCCCCCCAGGTGCATTGCCAGACGCGACAACTATACTGCTCGCCCGTGCTTCGACGCCGGAACAGCTAGCCGTTATCGGAAGTCAAACCGGTGGACGCGTATTTTTATTTCTCGAGACGGATGATTTCCAGCGGGACTATGATCGGTTCACTAAGAATGGGGTTGAGTGGGTAAGGCCACCGGCAACAATGGATTATGGGATCGTTGCTGTATTTAAGGACTTGTATGGCAACCAGTGGGACTTGATTCAGCGAGAGAAAAAATGTCCTGATTGAGATCATGCAATAATTCTAATATTCAAGTGCCCGTGCCCCGAAGTGGAGATGGACAAGGAGAGATACTGAGGTACTGTGCTGCGGTTGTAGGGTATAGGAGTTTCGTATAATATATAGTGTCAAGAATTGGAATTCTTACACATAACATACAGTGATTTTACCCCTCATCATGAATTACTATCAGTCTAGTATTAGTAAGTTCGCCCTTTAAATTGTTGGACATCTCTAGATATATTTTAATCAGAGATTTATTTCTTCGTGATTTGCACTTCCATGTGGGACCCTCCGTTCGTCTAGATTCCGACATATAGTATTATACGTAATGCAGTCGTTCTAGAATTAAGAAGGGTCTATCCTGAGAAAAGGTTTTGTATAGGTTAGCCGAATACGGATTAGTGTGGTTTCGGGTACAGGCCGAGAAACAAAGCGTGAGTGTCGGGAATCTGATTTCGAAATCTACTGTAAGGACGGAAAGTGTATAGAGAGTTTCGAATTCGCGAGCCGTAAGTCAATATGGAAAAGGCAAGGCGGAGGACGAACGGGCAGCGCGCGTGGCAGCAGCGGTCCTACGTAGACAAGCTCCTTTCTTTTGCGGATTTTGCGGACGCGCACGTACATGCGCGTTGATTAGTTCCCTTCCTCTCACTACGTTCGTTTCAGGGCACATGACGCTAGTGACCTTTGAATGATGTATTTTACGCGAACCTGCTATACACATGCTACCTCTCGTGCCTCTCCTAACCCACTGTCCACTTCAGCTCATCCATCGTGAAACGAAATCCTTTTGAGATGCTGCTTCGTTTACCAAATGAACTGCTGCAATGCATCGCAAAGGATCTGGAATTCGCAGAGCATATAAATGCGTTTGCTCGAACAAATACCCGCCTTTACAATCTCATAAATCCCTACCTTTACCGTTACGATGTACAACAACTTGGAAGTTCGGCATTATTGTGGGCTGCAGAACAGGGGCAAGACGCGACAGCTCAAAAATCGCTAGATCAAGGAGCTAATCCCCTATCTCTATCTGAATTCGATGAAACGCTGCTCGCGTTAGCAGCACGGAATGGACACGAGGCCGTGGTCAAGCTACTTCTTGCAACAGAGGGAGTCAATCCAGACTCCCAGGGTTCCGACGGACGCACACCCTTATCGTGGGCGGCAGAAGATGGGCATGAGACAGTGGTCAAGCTACTGATCGCTACGGAAGGCGTCAACCCAGACTCCCAGGATTCTTGGGGATGGACGCCGCTTTCGTGGGCCGCAATGAATGGCAATGAGGAGGTAGTCAAACTACTGCTTGCCACAGAGGGCGCCAACCTAGACTCCGAGGATTCCGACGGACGAACACCCCTGTCGTTGGCTGCAGAAAAAGGATACGAGGCAGTAGTCAAGCTGCTACTCGCCACAGAAGGTGTCAACCCAGACTTTAAGGATTCTGCGGGACGGACGCCCCTATTGTGGGCGGCAATGAATGGCAATGAGGAGGTAGTCAAGCTACTGCTCGCCACGGAAAGAGTCAACCCAGACTCCCAGGATTCTAACGGACTAACGCCACTGTGGTGTCGGACAAACTACGAGAATGGGAATGGGACTATAGGCAACTTCTACGCACGATGAGGCTGACAATGTAAATTGTTACGGAGGTAGTATTAGTGCCAGCCATGGAAACGAAATTGTTACGAGTTTCTATGGGCCTTTTCCATATCATAACAATGACTCATTTGTTTACTAGTAGTTAGTTAACTTAGCCGGTATGATTAACGTATTCCGTAAGTGAATGGGTCATGCAAGCGAGTGGGTCAATCCAAAACACCATGGTAAAGGTGGATGTTATTGAGGTTTTGATCCATGCTCCTCGAGAAAGGTGCTCCCTTGAACGCACTAACGTACCAGGACCATGAGTTTTCTCGAGGTGATACTTGATTGCCTAGGTCCTGGAACCGCTTTACATAGCGCAGCAGAACTGGGAAAGGCAGATGTTGTTCAATACTTGCTTAGCCGCGGAGCAGACACTACTATTCTCGATACAAAGGGTCGTACCGCTCTGGAGCGTGCAGATAGCCAGAACCAGACGGAAGTTGTCGAGATGCTGAAAAGTGCAGCAAACTAACATGCTATGTGTGTGCATCGTTTCCTGTGGCTGGATTCTATGAGAATTTCATGATTGCAGGACTCCTTCTCATTCTACAGCGTATATCTGTAATCTCCGCATGACGAATTGCATACTCAAGCATTTCAACCCGAGGATAATGACAGACGCAAACAGGGTATTGTATTATGTATCATAGAGAGAAAAAAAAAAGATATGTTCCGACAAATCATGTAGAACCAGATCAAATCTACATCCCACCTAGCTTCGCAAGCCGCTTCTCCAAATCTCTCACCCACGGCTCAATCGTCTCAACATTCTCCTTTAGGGCCACCTCACCCTGCCCCATCTTCTCTTCAACAGCAACCAACCCCTCACGCCACTGCCTAATCTCCTCGTCCATCTCAGCCTGTCGCTTCTCCAGCGCATCCAGATCACCAGCCGCCTGCGCCGCACCGGCATGGCACGCGCGCAGAGAGCGCAGACGCTCCAGGACACTGGGGAGTAAAGGGTGCAGAGACTGGATGGTCGGGAGAGTAGCGTAGAGAGCGTGGATCTTGGCTGTGTGCTCGTCGTCGATGGGGGCAGAGCCAGAGGAGGGGTCAGGACCGTCTTCCGAGGTGGACGAGGCGATCCGCGCAGCCTGAGCTGCTTTTGCGGCGTCGATGGCGCGACGGCGCGCGGAGGCGAGCGCCTCGGCGTCTGTTGTTAGTTTGCGGACGCGGGTTGAGAGGGCTTCGAGGTGTGGTGTTGTTAGACCCGGTACGGCGGAGGTGCCTGAGCCCGGTGGTGCTGCGCTAAGAGCAGTGGTAGAGGCTGCGTTCGTGCCGACTAGGAGGCTCGTTAGGGCGGAGATGCGCGTAGAGAGATGCTCGAGTGCGGGCAGGACGGGTTGCAGGGCTGGTGAGGAGGTCCCGTCTGCGAGGAATGGGTTCGAGGAGCTGGAGATCCCCATTGAGGACTCTATGAGGGCGAGGCGGGTGTCGAAGGCTGCGGCGTGGGAGATTATCCCTGCCGAGGGGGGTGCGGGTGCTGGAGATGACGTGGGTGCATCCGCTGGTGTTGTGGGTTGTTTTGGTGGTTGTTGCGATTGCGATTGCGAGTCGGATGCAGATGCAGATGCAGAAACAGCGGGACGGTTATCGGAGGCTAGCTTTTGAGAGAGCAGCGCGGCAGCTGAATGTGACGAGGCAAGATCACCCCGCGAAGAGGCATAAAGATGGTCGAGGGCACGGCTCAGTTCCGCGACGCCATCACCAAGCTTCTCCTTCTCCTCCCCAGACTTGCCACCAGCTGCAGCAGCAGGAGCTCCCCCTCTAACTTCTCCGCAGCAGCATCAGGCCGATTTTCCATCTCAATCCTAAGATCCTCAACCTCCCTCCTCAACCTAGCCAATCTCCTCTCCACACCCTCATCCTCACTATCACTTAGATCACCAACTTCCTCGGCGCCATCCTCTCGTCTCCGTCTCTGACGATGACGACGACTGTGGCTTTTACTCCGGTACGCGGACCGCTTCTCGGCAATGCTATCGGAGAAATTGGCCTTGCGGGCATCCACGGCCGCGCCCTCGAAGTGCAGACGCGCTTGGTCGGCATTGACGCCTTCGCGGTCGATATCGGAGGCTGTGTCGTCGTGGTCGGAGTCTGTGCGGATTGTGGTTGTCTTTTTGTGTGTCAGTTTTTGTTTGTGTGGGGGAGGGAGGTGCGTAAATAGTTAAACTCACGGGGACAGTGGATGCTCCGTCCGTAAGGTCGGGGGGATCGGTTTCGTAGATATCTGGGGCGGAGTCCTGGGTGGCAATGCATTAGGAGGGAATAGTTGAAGAGATATAGAGTGTAGTGTTCGCTCACCAGATCCGGGAGCCCGGCGTATTTCTTGTTGAAGGCCATGGTGCTGTCGTTGTTGTTGTTGGAGTTACCAGATTCAGGGTTGTTGATGGAGGCATGTCAGGTGACTGCGTATTTATCATTGCCTCAGGCAGTTAGGCAGCCATTTCCGCAATCACAAGCATCCACTTGCCTCGGGAGGAAAGAACACATGGGAATAATGACGCACTATTTAACTCTTCCCCTGTCCATCCCTTGCATCCCTTGAAGACTCCCTGTTCGCCCTCTGCAATTGCCTCTACTCGCGGCCTCTCTCCATTCACGCCCCTATACACGACTCTTAAACGAACTCCCCCACCACCCCGCATTCTACATACTCCCCCGCAACCAACAATGGCTGCTCCCGCCGATGTCACGATCAAGAACCTCAGTGGCGAGTGGGTGATGGTACGTCTACCTCCTCCCAGTCCCGGAATCCACACTAACTGTGTGACAGGACGCAACCCTGTCCGACCCCGCGGACCCAATTCTCGCTCTGGTATGTCCATACCTGTCGCGACTCTCCCTTTCCCCCAATACTAACATCCCCAAAGCAAGGAATGAGCTGGTTCCTTCGCAAAGCTCTCCCCTACGCAACCGTGACCCTACATGTACACTCGTACGCCGACCAAGACCCCGCCAAGAAAGGCGTGTACCACATCGACGTCGACCAAGTGATCACGGGCGGAATTTCCGGCAGCTCCGAGCACCGCGTGCTAGACTGGCAAGATCGCGAACACGTAGACAACATCTTCGGAACGGTGAGCGGGCGATCGCGAATGCTGCGCGGCACCGAGGTTGAGGGCACCGTGCGGCCCGCCATTGAATTCCAGACGAATGTCGGGGAGGCGGAGGCGGATGCGCGCGTGCAGAAGTTTTTGAGGGGAGAGACGCTGGTGGATGGGTCTAAGGCGGAGGGGTTTGTCGTTGATGACAATGACGAGGGAGATGAGTTTGGGGAGGGCAAGGGGTTGTGGATGCAGAGCTTTGTCGTGAATCAGGAGTCTAAGTGGACGGCGGAGCAGATTTGGGGGTTTGAGATTGTTGACGGGGAGAGGAGACATACGAGACGGGTGGCTGTTGCCAAGGAGGGACAGGTTGAGCTTGCGAGGTTGGTGTATACTTTCAATGCGAGACGGGTAGAGGGGGAGAAGGGTGAGGATGAGCTCGAGGTTGAGTACTAAGATGGTGGAGGGAGGATCAAGGGTTGTTGTTCGCTTGAGGGAGGAATCTTTAGTTGCGGGTTGCTGGTGTCTTGCTCCATAATGAAGCAAACGTAGATCATCCCGTTATGCCTTGGTGCGTAGGATATGTTGATGTAGGTACTAAAAGGAGGCGATTAGACTATGGAATCAAGTATGGATTGATCTCAAAAAAGCATATATACACACAGCGCAACGGACGTCTCGGTCGAGTCCAAGGAAAATGCATTCTTTTGATAATAATTTCAGAACAAGACAAAACATCATGAATAAACACTGCTTCCCACACTATGAGTGAGTCGGCATGACCACCTTCGCCTTGGTGCTCGTCGCATCTTCACTGCGCCAGTGGCTCGTCACCGTCTTCTGCTGGGTATAGAATTGCAGACCAGGCTTGCCATAGAAGGTATTCGCACCACCACCGGCAATACTCTTCTTGTTACCAGTGAAGGAAAACATCGGCAGCGGCACAGGAATGGGCACGTTGATACCCAGCTGGCCAGCCTCGATATCCTTCTGGAAGCGCGAAGCAGTCGGGCCTGAGCGTGTGAAGATAGCAGCGCCATTGCCGTACTCGTTCGCGTTGATCAGGTTGATGGCGTCGTCCAGGGTGGGCGCGTTGACGCAGACGAGGACGGGGCCGAAGATCTCCTCGCGGTAGCACTTCATGTCAGGTGTGACGTTGGTGATGATCGTGGGACCGACGAAGTTGCCGTTGGGGTAGTTCTTCGGCTTGTAGCCACGGCCATCGAGGAGGATGGTGGCGCCCTCCGCCTCGGCGCTGGCAATCAGATCCTCAATGCGCTTCTTGCTCTCCGGGCTGATGACAGGCCCCAGGTCGGCGCCTTCTTCGAACCCACCGTTCACGTTGAGGGCCTTGGCCCGCTCGGCGATGTCAGGTAGCCACTCCTTCGTCTCGCCGACCATGACCACCGTGCTGAGAGCCATGCAGCGCTGGCCGGCAGCGCCGAAAGCAGCGCCGACAATGGCGTTGAGTGCATGGTTCTTGTTGCAGTCGGGCAGGACGGCGGCGTGGTTCTTAGCGCCCAGGTTGGCCTGCACGCGCTTGCCGTTCGCAGAGCCACGGGTGTAGATGTACTCGCCGGCCCGGTTGCTACCGACGAAGCTGATAGCCTTGATGGCGGGTGCGTCGAGAATGAAGTCCACCGTCTTCGCGGACCCGTGGACGATATTAATGACACCCGCCGGGAATCCGGCTTCCTTGGCTAGCTCGGCTAGGATCATTGCCGCGCCGGGGTCCCGCTCAGATGGCTTGAGTACTAGGCAGTTACCAGTCACCGTTGCAATGGGGATGCACCACAGGGGAATCATGGCAGGGAAGTCTGAATCGTCAATCAGTCCTGTTTCGTTCTCACACAAGATATTCGCGGGTAACTTACTAAACGGGCAGATGGCTGCCACAACACCAAGCGGCTCTCGGTAGCTGCGCGTCTCCATATCCTTAGCCACCTCCAACACCTCACCGGTCATCTGAGAAGGGATACCGCAAGCGGTCTCGGCAACCTGCAGACCACGCAGGACATCGCCCCTGGCATCGGCAAAAGTCTTGCCCTGCTCGAGGGTAATAGAGGAAGCAAGACGGTCCCAGTTGGCACGGATCAAGCTCACAAACTTGAACATGATCTGCTGCCTGGCCATGATGGAGGTAGCCCGCCAGGCGGGGAAGGCCTTCTCGGCGGAGCGGACAGCCGCCTGCAGTTCCTCATCGGTGCTCTGGGGCACACGGGTGACGAGGTTGTTCGTGGCTGGATCGTGGAGGTCAATCCAGGTCGACGCCTTGGAAGGCACGAACTCGTTGTCGAGAAAGTTGGCCGTGTCAATGGGGTTGGCGATCGGCTGGTGGTCCGTCGGGTATTCGGTTGCGGTTGTGGCGGCCGAGGTGGTTCCGCCGTTGAGCTGCCGGGCTGTGGCGTGGAGTCGGCGGGTAGCCGACAGCGATGCCGGAGAGGAACCGGTGCGTGTAGCCATGTTTACGATGGCTGGAGTGGTAGACTTGGGGGTGGTGGTGAGAGAGCGGGCAGACACGGGCGTGCGGGGGGTGGCGGCGCGGAGAGCGGGGAGGGAACGAGCCAGGGACCGACGGGCGGCCATTATGAGAAGAGATGAGAAGGATGAGGCAATCAGAGGGAGAAAGGGGAGAGAGAGAAGAGGGTGTGGCGAAGGGAGAAGGGAGAGAGAGACTATAAGCTGTAGTGGAACACCCTTCCAACGGGATTTACCCCAGGGCCGACAATAACCACCGACTGTCCATGTTCCCCATGATTACATAACTCGTGGGGTTCTCGATAAGGGCTCGGCGCGAACAGCCAATCAGGGAGCACCCAGTGGCCGAGACAGGAACACATCGAACTAAACACAGCATATCACCAAGTACGGGGAGGCAGGACTTTCCGAATCGACTGCGGCGTAGTTAGCTCGAGTGGGACGGCGGTTGCATTATTATGATTCTACACTGCCAGACGGGGTGGCCGACCCACATCGGACAGGTGGCCGAGCATGATCATGGTGAATACGGGTACAGGGCAATGGAACTCAAATTCACGCCTGAAACTAAATACTACTACACCCCGAAAGAAACATCATCAACATGGAACGGCAATCGCTGTGTGCGGTTTTATTGGGTAATTCTTCTTTTTCCCCATGCTCTTCCGAGAACCAACATCCCTTTACTCGGCAGACGACCGAGTAGCGCGCTTGGTGGCACCGCCCTTGCCAGTGTCGGCAGAGGAGCTGGTGGCCTCCGCCTTCTCCTTGCCGCCGGCCTGCTTGTCCTTCTTGGTCGGGGCAGGAGCCGGGCTGCTGGCGCCAATGGCGCTCACGATGATGAAGACCATGGTCGCCAGGATGGCAACCAGACCACCGGCCACCTCGGGCACGGCCTTGACGGCCTCGACGGGGTTCGCCTTGGCCAGGACCACGAACTGGTCGACCTTCTGGAGAACGAAGTTGACAGGGTCCTCCTTAAAGCTGACGCTGGGGCCCTGCGCCTCGGGGGTCTCGGGCTTGGGCCGGGTGGCCTCCTCCTCAGCCTCCTCGATGGGGAACTTGATATCGAAGGTCTCCTTGCGGAGCTTCTCGGCGTCCTCGACGGAGTGGCCCACGTAGATGTTGTCGAACAGGATGTCGTTCTGCATGGTCCAGATCTCAAAGCCAATGGCGCCCATGGGCTCGAAGTTGGCCGGGGTCTTGTCCTCATAGTAGCCGGGGTTGGCGATCTTGCGCGGCGCCCAGACGCCCTTGTAGGCCGGGTTCTCGATCAGAGGAGCGGACCACTTGCCCTTGTACTCGGGGTTCTTGATCATGGGGGCGGTCCACTCGCCGCAGCCAGAGACCTCGCTGCACTTGGGGTTGGGGACGGTGGGCGGGACCCAGTCGCCATCCTCCTCATCATCCCAGTCCTCGGGCTTCTCGGCCTCGGGGTCGGGGATGCTGTTGGGCTCGTCCACCAGCCAGTCCGCGGGCATGGTGGCCTCGGTATCGACAATCTCGTAGGGAGCCTCCTCATCCCAGTCCTCGGGCTTGGTCGCCTCCGGGTCAGGAATCTGGGCCTCGTCAACCCAGTCGGCGGGCTTCTTGTCCTTGGGGTCATCAATCTCCTTCTCCGGGTTGACGGGCGGGGCGAAGTGCTCGAGGAGGTTACCCTCGGAGACGGACTCGCCATTGACCAGGATCTCAAAGGTCTGGTCGGGCTTGACGATCAGGGTGTACAAGGAAGTGACCTTGGAGGTGCGGGCGACGGGAGGGGTCTTCAGGTGCTTCTCCTCGTACTCGCCGGTCTTGGGGTTCTTGTGACGGAAGATGAAGTGGACCTTGTTGGTGGCACCGCACTTGTCGGGACCGAACATGATCACGTAGGGAGTGCCGTTGGAGAACTCCTCCTGGTGGAGCTTCTTGTTCTCCTGGAGGAGCTTCAGGTAGGCGCCACCGCAGACCAGGGAGTCTATGAACCACCGGTTAACCGACGAACCAATTGCGTGGATGGAGGAATGGGCGCGACTTACTCTGCGGCTTCACCTCATACTGAACCACGAGGGTCTTTCCCTTGTTGTCAATCTTCTTGGGGAACTTGGCTGAGATGGCGTGGTGGGCAGCGGCGTTCTTGACGACCAGGCCCTTGTCACCCTCCATTCCCTTCAGGACGGTCGGTTCCTCGACGGCCCACTCGCCGACGTAGGCCCAGTCCTCATCCGACTTGGGGTCATCCTTCTTGGCGTTGGAGGGCTTCCACCGGGACTCCCAGCCCTCGGTGAACTGCTCGAGGAAGGGGGCCTTGAGGGTAGTCGGCTGGGGGGAGAGTGAATGGATGACTCGATGCAATTGGCGGCTGGGGGTCACTTACGGTGAAGGTGGGCTTCTCGATAATATCATTGGTGGCATCTGGGGCAGCCTCCTCCTCGGCACAGGCATAGCCCATGAGGGAAGCCGAGGAGACCAGCGCGGACGTGAGCGCGGTGGAGAAGCGCATGGTGAAATGAATGAAGACTGAATAGAAACAGGGGACGGGATGGGAAGCGCACAGCACCTGGGGGAGAGACGAAGGACAGCGTGAGGGAAAGCGGAGAAGCGGAGGTTATATACTCGCGCGAACAGTGAGGTGGCCTCTTTGGCTGCAGGCCCAATCGGGTTAGCCTGGCCCTGGCGGCCTTCGATCTACTTCTACAGTTACACTCACGACTCCGACAGGTGGTATCAGAATCATATTCCAATCAATCATGGATCGTAGTTATGCACCAGTAGTAGTGACCATGACCATCGCGCTTGCATGATGCTCTTGGCTGGACCGCAATGATCCCGCTCGGCGGTCACACCACACCGTGTCGCAATGCGTCCCACCAGTGGTTCCCTCGCTCTGCTCCCATTCGTATATGACCACTACCATCTCCCATCGCACCATGTCCGACACCACCAACAATGACCATCTGGTCCAGTCCACTGACCCGGAGCACCCGGCCAACCTGATCCCCGACCTCTGTCGCAAGTTCTACAATTGGGGCTGGGTCACCGGTACCGGTGGCGGCGTAAGTACCGATTTTGCCGAGCCAATGCCAACCAAGGGGAGCTGTGGTCGCTAATCATGATCATCACGAACATCAGGCCTCCATCCGCCAGGGCGAGCACATCTTCATCGCCCCCTCCGGGGTCCAGAAGGAATTGATCCAGCCGCAAAACATCTTCGTCATCCAATGGCCCACCAAAAAGTACCCAGCCACCGAGCGCAACTACATCCGCAAACCGCTCAAGCTCAACCCCTCGGCCTGCACGCCGCTGTTCCTCACGGCTTTTGAACAGGGCGCCGGCTGCTGCATCCACACGCACTCACAATGGGCCGTCCTGGTGACGCTGCTGGTGGAGCGGGAGAAGGGTCCCGACGCCTGCTTTGAGATTAGCAGCATCGAGCAGATCAAGGGGATTCCGCGCGGCAAGGGGAAGGGCATGCTGGGCTTCTTTGATACGCTGCGCATCCCCATTATCGAGAACACGGCCTTCGAGGAGGATCTGACCGCTGGTCTGGAGGCCGCCATGAACAAGTACCCGGACACCTATGCCGTGCTTGTTCGTCGACATGGAATGTAAGTGCTGACGGTTGGCTTATGTGTTCGGCTCCATCTAATTGTGCTTTGCAGCTATGTCTGGGGAGACGACGTGGCCAAGGCCAAGACCCAGTGTGAGAGCCTGGACTATCTGTTCCAGCTGGCGGTGGAAATGCACAAGCTGGGCCTTCCCTGGGTGAAATAGATATGATATTCGGCATCACGTATGAGCATTTATGTGTAGATGAATATGAAAGAGTTCGGTATAATATATAGGCTGATTGCGGGTAAAGTTGCAAGCCAGTCCCAATTTGGCGAGATCCATGATCTCCAATCTATTCGCATTCGGCGAATGCGCGACACACCACTACGGTCTATACACCGACTCCACGAACTTCACCTTGCTGACTGATCGGTATATTCTAATGGGATATGAAACGAACAGGCTGGCTGTATATCATCTAGTTCGGTATACCCTATACCAATTTGGCATAAAGTGGACGTAAGAAGAATGTATCGGTCTAAAGCTATGGTACAGCCATATGCATAGACTGCCAGATCTGTTCCTCGCCATCCTTCCACTGCTTTCTCTACGAGCGTTTGAATGACCCTCACCAGCTAAGGCTAACGCAACGCAACGCATTAACGCCATGCATTCGGAGAGGATATCATACAGAAACATAACAGATCAAATGCCCAAACCCCATAGAATAGGATAAATAGAAAAGAATTCCAGGTACAATTGACTCATGCCATCTTCTAGTGAAATTTGGCTGCTTCCACACTCCGCAAGTCATCCACTTAACACTACAGCTTGAACGTAGCAGTCGTTGTGGAAACAAAATGGCCGTCCTCTATTTGGTCCATGGGATGTTGTTATGGCTCGTACTACTCGAGGCTTTGGAAATGGCCAACTGCCAGACAAAGTACATGCGGAGGAGGGCCTGCTTCCTGTCATATAGTTCCCCAAACAAACCGTCTGGGCGGTCAACGTTTCTGCCGTCTCCATTCCACCCTCCGCCCACTCCGCTTGACCTTCCCAGCTGTACGTAACCAACTCCCTCCCTCCCCGTCCAGCTCTTGATCTGTTCATATCATTCTCTTATTTACCATTGACACCCATTCTCACTCAGTCCATCCTGCCTGCTTCCGGCAAACGCCATGGATCTCGACTCTGGTGACTCCCCATGGGGCGGTAGGCAGTCATGATACCACCTCTCTGCTCACCAAGCTGACTCGCGTTCCAGATGAGCCCTCTCACTTCAAAAGCGACCAGGTTCCGTCGAAACCAATGCCTGAGGAGGAGGGTGTGTGATTTCTTGTCGTTCCATTAAACCACCAAATCCCTCACTAACAGCTTCATCTTACCCTGCAGCAACTGCCCAACTCCAGGCCGACAGCGGACCCGCCGTTCGTTCGCCGCCCACCAGACGAGGCCCGCGAGGCACGCGCAAGATCAGTGCCCAGGCCACACGCTTAGAAGCTGTCGATAACACCGTTGATCCGCTCGGCCCGCTGGGAGAACCACCATCCGAGACTACTCCGACCACCGACGAAGCCCCAGCACCGCCTCGGAAGGAACCGTTCGCTGCACGCGGTGCGCGCCCACTGTCGTCTCCCTCTCAAGCTTCTACTGGGGAAATGGGAGACTCGGTCCATCTAGAAGAGGATGGTGGGGGATTCCGAGGCCCCCACCCGTGCAATTGCCGGTGGATACTGAGGGCGCAAAGCGACAATCACAGCCCAGTGTCAGCGTGGAACAGGCCGCGAAGCCGACATTTGACATCAACGTGGGGGATCCGCACAAAGTAGGAGATCTAACGAGCAGTCACATCGTCTATCAAGTCCGGACAAAGGTACGGTGCATTTCTTCCGCGGAGAATGGTCAGTGGCTGACAGTTTCGGGGGGTATCTAGACCACATCCAAGGCATACCGCGTGCCCGAATTCGCCGTCAGCCGGCGATACCGCGACTTCCTTTGGCTTTATAACTCTCTACACAACAGTAACCCGGGAGTGGTTGTTGCGCCTCCGCCCGAGAAGCAGGCCGTTGGCCGGTTCGACACGAACTTCGTAGAGTCCCGGAGAGCTGCACTTGAGCGGATGCTGAACAAGATTGCGGCCCATCCGATCCTTCAACATGATGCGGATTTGAAAATCTTCCTGGAGAGTGAGGCGTTCACCGTCGATGTCAAGAACAAGGAGAACCGGGAGCCCGATATTGGCCAGAGCAAGGGCATGCTGAGCTCGTTCGGCATCTCTGTCGGGGGAGGAGGCAAGTTCGTGGAGCATGACGATGTAAGCACACTTCACCCGATCCCAACTGCCATTACTGACATCGGAATAGTGGTTCCACGACCGCAAGATCTATTTGGATGCTTTGGAGAACCAATTGAAAGGATTGTTAAAAGCCATCGATACGGTAGTTGCGCAGCGCAAGGGTCTTGCCGAAGCAGCGGGTGACTTTTCGGGGTCCCTTCACGCCTTGGCCGCGGTCGAGCTGTCTCCTGCCCTGTCCGCCCCGCTTGACGGGTTATCAGAGTTGCAGCTGCGCATTCGCGAGTTATACGAGCGTCAGGCGCAGCAGGACGTTCTAACGCTCGGGATCACGATCGACGAGTACATTCGCCTGATTGGCAGCGTTAAGATGGCATTTTCACAGCGGCAAAAGGCCTTCCACAGCTGGCATGCCGCCGAGTCAGATTTGCAAAAACGCAAGCACACGCAAGATAAATTGTTGCGCCAAGGCAAGACTCAGCAAGACCGACTGAACCAGGTCAATGCCGATGTGGCCGATGCAGAGCGCAAGGTTCATCAGACACGGCTTTTGTTTGAGGATATGGGTCGGTTGATGCGGAATGAATTGCAAAGATTCGAGAAGGAGAAGGTAGAGGACTTCAAGTCTGGCGTGGAGACATTTCTGGAGAGTGCCGTCGAGGCTCAGAAGGAGGTAGGTGCTTTTGCTCATTTCGAAGTTTCCGAGGGCTAACAACATACACTGCAGTTAATTGAGCTCTGGGAGACATTCCTACTGCAACTGGATGCCGGCGAAGAAGGACTTCCCTATTATGTTCCTCCATCGACCGCTGGCGAGAGCGGCGAGGGATCCGCCCCGGCGTCTGCTAGCGGCGAACCAGCCACCGTGGCCGCGGAAGATGAGTCGTGATATCTGGTTGCCCAGCGTTTCGGATCTTCTGTACAAAATACGAAGCTGGCTCCTGTTTTGGTCTGTGGTGGATCCTTCTTTTTAACTATCTTTGTGTCACGGTATAACTTGATGAGTGTCAGCGAGTTGTTGCGCCTTTGTCTGTTCCACTTGATAATCTTCATTCAAATACCACTGTTGCGATTGTCAAAAATTACTCTTGCGACGTAGGACACATCACGAATATACAAATAATGAGTATCTATTTGATGAGATAGTATCAACCCAATTGATATAGTACAGCCAGAAACAAAAGACAAAAAAAAACGGACACCTTATTTCTTCTTCCCAGACCCCGACCCAGGCCCATGCTGAGGCTCGTCCTGCCCAAACGAACTAATCAAATCCAACAAATTATCTTCCTCCTCCTGCTCAGCCTGCGCCTGCGCCCTAGCCGCCCTCGCAGCCTCTTCATCCGCTTTGGCATCGGCGGCAGTCTTCTCCCCCTTTGCACCAGGAGCAGTAGAGGCAGAGGCAGGTTCTGCAGCCGGCGAACTAGCATCCCAACTGCGACCAAAGCGCGCGCGGAACGCAGCCAGTCGGCCCGCCTCATCCTCTTCCACATTCATCAGCTTGCTGCTGGACGGGTTCCACAGGAGCGAGTTGCGCGTGTCGCGCGTGGAGCGGTAGACGGGCGCTGGTGAGGTGGTGCGGTGCGTGAACGTGCTACCGTCTGAGAGGGTAATGAGTTGCGTGAAGGTGTAGGGACGCTTCGGGCGCCGGAGGAGCGTTGCGTGGCGGCATTGAGAGCAGATGAAGGTTGTTGCGGCGCCGATGGTGGATGATGATGAGGATCCGGGGAGGAGTGGTGTTGTCGTCGTGGTGAGTGTGGCCGCCGAGCGGCGGAGGGGGATGTGCATTGACATTGCTGTCTGAATGGCGTCAACCCGGTAAAGAGAGGGAATATTGGGGGTTGGCAATGCGATTATTGCGCGGCGGAAGAGAAGACGGAGGCGTGAAGTTTGAGCCGTTGGCCAGAAAAATTATGTAAGCCAGCCCGTTTTGAACATTCTCGCGGGATGGGAGCTCCGACTCTTCGCTGGATCCTAATTGACAGAGTCTGCGATATGGATTGGCCGTGTCTGGACAGTGCTTGGGTTTTTGATCTGACTTTGTCTCTCTGTGCTATCCCCTGAGCCATCTCCTGAGCGTCTCTTAAGGGCTCTGCCCGCTTGATCCTCGGCGGGATGAAGCTCGCACTTCCGCGAGGTGTGGTCCGGAGTGAGTTTCACAGCTTATTCGCACCCCGCGGAACTTGCACTGATTGTCTGCTCTAGGAACACAATATCTGGACTCATGGACTCCTGCGTACCTGCGGTCTTGCATCTCCATCCAACCCCGTGTTGATTGTCGCCAACCATGGTGCTCTCGCCGGTACACCAGCGACGCCGTAGCGTCCTTACAAGGGACTAGAACCGCGCAAGAAACAAAACCCCCAACTACGAGCACACAACACACTACGGCCACCACGGCTTCCTCATCCTCATTACCCGATCAAGTCCGCCTCCTCATGCGCCGAGTCCCATACCCCGTGGCTATCATCACGGCCACCGATCCCTCCGGCCCGCCCGACACAAGCGCATTCCGCGGAATGACTGTCTCATCCTTCAATACTGTCACACTCTCTCCGCAGCCTGTGATCTCATTCAACGTGCGGCGACCCTCGGAGACATTAAACGCCCTGCTCGCCTCACGACGGTTCTTGGTGCATTTGCTATCCCCGGGCCCCGCGACGGCGACACTAGCTCGGGACTTTTCAAAGGGGAATACAACTCTCGCATCCATGCTGGGCGGCCATGGAGAGTTTGAGTTTGAGGGGTTGGCTGCTGATCCCGAGACGGGGAGTGAATCGGAACGACCGCTGCCCATTCTTCGGCGAAGACATGCTACAAAAACAAGTGTTGACTTCCCCTTCGTGTTTGAGTGCGCCCTCCACCCGCACCAGATCGATATTCATGATCATTCGATTATTCTAGGGACTGTTATCCGCACGATTCAGAGCGTTGATACCGCACTGGCATCCACCGAGGAGGGCGATTCGGAAGACCTACCAGACCGGCTATGTTTGACGTATGCGAACACCCGGTTTTGGAAGATGGGCACTCAGATTTGAATACCCTCTCTCTGGCACTGTACATAAATTATTATCTTTTGCACGAGGCTGTACCATATATATACAATTCCATCCACGACGCTATGCCGTACCGCTCTTAGCGCCAATTCCTCGAATCTTCTCATCTTTAAATTCGCAACCTGCTCCAACCAACCACGAATAAAAGCCATGGAGCCCGACAACGGTCTTGTCTTCGTGAATGTAGCCCATCCCGATGAAATCCATGCCAAAGACACGCAGCGAACAATCCGGAAGCGCGTCATGCGCGACATTGGTCGCTCGCGACGAAGACAGAAACGCCCCCCGGCCCTGACCTTCGCTTGGCAACCGACCAGTATCTCCCCGACTCTATCTCTAGAATCAAGTTCGTTGCCCGTGGAGCTAGACCCGCGAGCTCGCGAACTGATTCACTTCAGTATGACCATAACCCACACTTTCACCTCTCATTCAGAACTAATCGATATGCAGTGCACGCCGAAGCCGATTATCAATATCGCCCATTCCGAACAGTCTGGTTCACTATGTCTCTGCACGACCATAGTGCCTTCAGGCTAGCCCTGGCCAATGCAGCTATGTTTCTGGATGAGAAGCACCATCCCCAGACCTTCCGCTACGATCATTGCCATGAAGCGCTGAAGTACTATGGCCAGTGTGTTCGCCAGATCACCGACCGGCTTGCAGATCCAACAGACTGTACCAGCGAGGGTGTTGTCACCACAATCCTCGGACTGATCTGTCACGATGTTTGTTCTTCGCGCTCACTTTAGTTCTCTGTCTGTACGCGCTGATATTCTGGAACAGTTATACGTGGGCACATGGGATCGCTGGGCGTATCATATTCGTGGCCTGGAGCGAATATTCCAAATCAGAGGCGGGTTTCACGGTTTGAATGGGAATCTTCATCTCTTCGCTTACTGGTTCGATGTTATGGGCTCCGTTCTTCAGGACAGTCCGCCGCGTCTATCTGGGTATCCTTCTCCTTCCAGCTTTCCAAACAAATGGCGGAGTGCGCCTTTCAAAAGCATACTCAGTGAACTATACGTGCACTCTGAGGATCTCGCTCTCGCCATCAACCGAATCGCTGCTGTGTCTGATTTTGTGAATGCCTATTGTCGTCGACCCCGATTCTGGACACAGGAAGATGATCTCAGTCCTCTCAGCATGCTGAGTCCGGCTACTCATATATTACTGTCCCTGTCACGATTTGATGCCGCCGACAATTCAAATTGTTTTGAATTTGTTCATGAAATGACGCGTCTTGCTTTGCTTATCTTACTGGCGGGACTGAAAAGTGCTTATGCATTGGCAGCAGCAGAGATGGGCTTGCTTCAGAGCAAATTATCTCGTCTGCTTCGTGGAGACGTGACTGATAACTCTTCATTTATATTGCCCGGTCTGCAAGTCTGGTCTCTTGTGACTGCTGCATTGCTTCAAACTCCAGGCCCAGAAAGAAGCCTCTACGTCCAGGAGATCTCTCGAAGGATGTCTGCCATTCACCTCGCCGACGGCTCAGCTACAATCGATTTTTCTCGTCAGATAGTCTGGATCGAAATCCTTGGACAACCAGACACTATAAAATCTTTAATATCCGAGATTGACACTGCTCACTCCACAAGAACAAAATACAGAACACCATCACCTTGACGAATTCCAACTTAACCACCCGTGATACCACCACTAACAGAAATAATCTGCCCCGTAATCCAACGACTCTTCTCCGACACCAACAGCAGCACCGCATCCGCAATATCGGCGGTTGTCCCAACCCGCATCTCCGCCCTCGTCATAGGGACGAGCATACCGTCAATTTTCTCAGCTTGCTCTTTCGGCAAAGCACCCGTGGCAACAGGGCCCGGCGAGACAGTATTGACAGTCACGCCATGCTCACGGCCCAGTTCCATAGCCATTGAGTACGTCAGCGCGTCCAGGGCTGCCTTGGCGGACCCATAGACGGCGACGGGCGCCATGCCCAGCTTGGAGGCAATGGAGCCGATGTTGATCACCCGGCCGCCGCGGGGCATGTGTGGGATAGCAGCTTGCAATACGAATAACGGCGCATATACTATTGAGGAGAATATGGCGTCAAGGGATGTCCTCGTTGCTTGCAGGGCGCTGTGGGGTGCGCCAGCTGCGGCGTTGTTGACTGCCAGATATGGTCAGTTCGCTTCACTATACAATAAATATTTCTTCCGGAAGCCAGAGCGACCTGAAAAAGGACAATCAAAGCTCCCTAAGACGAAATAAGGCAGGGGGTTAGGGGTTTCACTCACCAACAATATCAACATGATCCACCCCAAACGCAGCAAGCGTCCCATCCACCAGCTTCCGCGCCCCCTCGACCGTCGTCACATCCGCCTGCACGACAGTAGCATCGCCCCCCTCGTCAACAATCCGCTGCGCAACGGCCGCTGCGCGTGAGGCGCTAGCATCCGCGACGTGGTTGATAGTCACGCGGACACCATTACGAGCCAGCGCGAATGCAATCCCGGCGCCGATGCCAGTTTCCCGGCTGGAGCCTGTAACGATGGCGACTTTGCCGGCTAGGGAAAGGGTGTCTGGGGCCATTGAAACGGAGGGGGGATGTCTTGATGTATGAGATGAGCTCGTAGGAGTTTAGACAAGGGATCAGAAGCATGGAATGGAAAGAGCTGAATTGCAAAATAAAAATGAATTGGAATTGGGAGGAATGGTAGGCATGAGGAACCTCCTCTATTTAAGTATCTTTTTTAGGCAGGCTCCTCGAGCTAGAAGAGCCGGTCAGGCGACAATTGGCCGTCGTCTTGTCGGGATGCTGGTTATAGATGGCTGAGGCGCGCTAGTCCCGATTAGAAAAACGGTGGTGTCTTAGGCGCATTTAGCTAAATCTCGCTAGTTCCAAAGCGGCTAGTTGCCAGCCAGAAAGGGAAATTAGTGTCCTCCTTCCAATATTATTATTGGGGGCGAACTTGAGCGCTCGTTACGATATTCGATTTGCTTTGCGAAATCTGGCCGGAGTTAGGTCTTTATTTTTGGTGTTAGGACGCAAAGGATGCAGCAAATCTAAATACCTGCTGGACTAAAAAGATATCCTGGGCAAAGTCCAACCCTAAATATACGAGTCAAAGTAGAGCAAACTTCTACGGGGGCAAGAATGTATATAGAAACAGAGTCTTATTTTGTATTTAGAACAAAACTGCCATTCATCTCGCTTGAAGCCGATCTATCCGAAAGATGTCCCATCGCGAAGTACCGGTGTCATCACCGGAGTAGGAGAGCCAAATTCATGGCCAACCCCATTTCCAGAGCGGCGAGTCGACAAGACATGACCAGAAGAACATGGGCAAGGCAAGCAACGATAAGCCGAGTAGATGAAACCAACAACAAGGTGGAACGGTGGAGCAGGAGCACATGAGACTGAGATGTTGACCGTTGGTGCAGCCAGACACGAGACTTAAGGAAGTCGGGAGTCTCGCACAAGAGCCACAGAGATCAGGTTAATGGCGTGCTGGACTCGAATGGCCACTTCCACTCCGACTACCGCCGCTGCCACTACCAGTTCCACTTCCCCGGCTTGCTGCACGTTGGAACGGGCTCAGGACAGGGCGACTGCCCTGGCTGAAAGACCCGTTTCCATCGGACCCAGAGCTCTTCCCGTGTTCGGCGAGTAGCTCGGAGAGATCAACCTGAAGAGGAAACTGGCTGTTGGCGTCGACGAACTCGGACCCGTATTGACTGCTGCGAGCGGAGCGATTGGAGAACGATCGATCACGGCTGTTGACATCCGACCCGAAATATGAGTTGCCGAACGGAGACACCGGGAGCTGTGGCGGGAACGATGCTTGGGCAGGACTCGCTGGCTGCGACGACGTGGCGTGAACGAGGGAGGACACATTTTGCAGAGGGCTCGATCGTGCCGGCGGGAAGCTAAGTGCCAGCAGGGACCGGCCATTGAGGGCAGTCGTCGTTGATGATTCGCTGGTCTCCGGGGGTGGGTTGGTGCCAGGCAAGTTACCCTCGGGTGTAAGGGGTCCCGTTTCCAAGAGCATCTGCTGCTGGTGCTGCTGGATGGACTGCTCAATGCTAGACGCCTGCTGCCAGAGGTGACTGATACGCATCTGGTGATCCTGCACGGAGTGGGTGATGCTGTTGAATTGCTCTTGGAAAGTGGCCTCCAACTTGGCATGGTCCTGCTCTCTTGCAAACTGCTCTGCCGCACGGCGTTCTCGTTCGTTCAACCCTTGCGCGTTGGCCGAGATGATGCGCTCGTACTGCTCGTTCAGCCGTGTACGGCGGCTTTGAAGGCGCTCCCGCTTTTGGATCGTCAGGTTCAACTCCGACTGCAAGGTTTGCACTTCCTGGTTGGCATCAGAGCGTGCAGCAGCTAAGTCCTCCTTGGCTGAATTGAGAAGTTCGAGCTCGCGCTCATATTCGGCCTTTTGGGTAGACCATTGCTCCATCTCTTCCTCCGGCACGGTTTCCAAGGTATCGAGTTGAACCTCCAGCACCGCAGTAGCTTCCTCCGTCTGTCGAATATTCCGCTCCAATTGGAGCGACCGCTGCTTTTGTCTGTTCTCATCTGTACCGCTTTGGAGACGATGGTTGTAATTCTCCAGTTCCTTCCGGATCTTTGAAATCACGACTTTATGGTCGCTCTTTGCCTTTTTGAGTCGAGAGCGCTTCTCATTTAGTTTGGCCTCTGCGTTAACAATGGAGTTTTTCAGCGTCGTCGTAGGGGAGGAGGGTCGGTAGGGAGGCTGTATGGGAGTTGGGACCGCAGATACAACTATTCGATCCTGTGAGACACAATAGAGGAGTAGACGTTGAAGGCGTGAAGCTTACCTTGCTCTGTGTCAGCCGGCGCAGGAGTCTTGACACTTATGGCACAGATTTCCTCGTTCGTATCGCTGCGAAGAAATGAGCAGGTGTAGGCACAGTTGGGTGCAAGCCCGGAGATCTCGCCCCGCCACTGGACCACACCCGCTCCTTTGGTAGTATCTGAGACCCTGCATAACGTTGCTGTGGCCCATAAAGCTCCATTGACGCAGACGTAAAACGGTTCCATTTCGCCTTCCAGGCGGCCGGCCTCGTAGGCACCTGAGACAGTTGGATCATCGACGGCGAGATCGCCAGCGGCAAACTTGATGGAAGAACTGTCCACATCCGTAACCCATACCAAGCCATCGTCGAGAGAGACACCTTGAAGGTCCTCCTCAGTCATTGTAACGCCACGAGTAGTCTTGGATAGTGTCCGCGAATGTTCGTATTCTCGCATGACCGTGACTTTTGTGCTGGCGAGGGCGGCCCAAAACGGTTGACGGCTTCGGACCTGGTTGGCTTGTCGTCTGCGTTTCTTTGCGGAGGTCAAACGATCCTTGCCCTCCTTGCTGATCATGAACTGGCCATCTGGCCCCACGAAAGAAGAGGAAACACTGGCAGCGGATTCGAGTGCAGAGTCGACCTGGGTTTGCGAACCAGCCGACGCTTCGGTGTCCCCGCGCTTGCCGGTCCGCGGTGGTACAGGCGATCGATTCTTAGCCATCGATCGTCTTGCCATAGCAGTACCCGCTTGTGCAAGGATGTGAACAGCGAGAAGACTCCGAATCCAACTTGGCGATGTCTGTCCTTCGGAGCGTCGGAACTCGGCGGGTAACAAGTGCGAGTATTGAGACAGGAGATCGGGGCTGAAAAGTTTTGAAGAAACAAGATGCCCCGTCACAAAATCTTGTACACCTTTGCTGCGAATGATGTGAAGAAGCAGAACAATCCCGACACAGAGGGCATTGCCCCCACCGTTCTTTCCGGACCCTCCGCCACCGAGCGTGATCGCGACTTGGACATGTGCGAGGTCGATGGCAAAGTTTTGCGCCCATGTCCACATGAATAGGCCCCAGAATAGTAGGCAGAACCCATCCATCGCGATCATCGTCCCCAGAGATGGCGTGCCGGCGGGACCCTGGAAAATATCGAAATTGGACGACAAGGAACCGGCGGCCGCGCCACTCGGGGGCATGAAGGTCAGGGAGGCGAACAAGAACTGAACGAGGGTGAGGACCATTGGCGGAAGCTGTAGGAGAAAAATCAAGATGGCGATCGTATCGTACATGGGACACGACTTGAGGATGGTCGAAGCGAGCTGCAGAGGGTTGATTGACGCGTTAGAGCCCGACCGTTTCGAGACTCCGTTGCGAGAGGCGTGGCCGGCGATAATGCCATTATGCGGCATCGCACCGTTTCCATTTGCTTGTCCACACGCCATATCCGCCGCCTTGCCGTGCCCATTTACCAGCCCACGCACACTGTCATCCACCCTTGTCCCATCCGCGCCTTTACTTGCCGCGACTGCCGGAAACGTCACCGCAGGGTCGCTTGTGGATCGAGACGAAGCCAGATCGAGGTGAGCGGACGCGCCCGGGCTTGCGGAACCGTTGCCAGGGTTGCCGTTCAGCTGGTTGCTTGACTTTTGCTTGGTTACTTTCTTCCCGGGACCGACGAGGCCATTGTCGTGCCGATTGTTCTGATTCTTCCTAGCCGCAGCAGATGAGCGTGGCATGGACGAGAGAGCCCGAAACCCAGGTCCGAGTCAGCTTGGCGAGATGAAGCCAAGGACTTGGACCAGGCAGGAAAAGAGGGCCGAGGAGGGGGCGGAAAGAGAAGGAAGGTGGGTGAGGCGGGCGATCTTCGGGAAAGGCAGATCGATGAAGGATGGACGAATGAGGGAGGAGAATGGGGGGTTTAGAGGAGAGAGAAAAGATGAAGGTCGGAGGGAGAGGAAAGAAGAAGGTGGAAGCAATTGATTGCGGCTGCGAAGCGAAGAGAACGGGTTGGTCACGGTACGGTAACGGGCCTTGCAGATCACTCTGATTTACCGTATGGCGTTACTCTGGTATAGATTCACTTTTTTATTTTATTTTATTATTATTCTGTAATCTGTTCTTGCAACTGGAAAATCCGGGTTGAATGACCCAATTCTCTCCTCTGCACTCTCTTCCTCACCCCGTGTCATCCCCATTGCGCGGTCCTGCAGGGTTTGTCGATCAGGAATGCTCCAGGCAAGGCCGATACGACATGATCACGATGTGGCCCTACCTAAAGCCAAGGTGCTTGCTGCCGGACAGCTCAGCAGTAGGGACTCGTCACCTAGACGATTCATGACAACTGGCTACGAGGTCGCCAGGTCATGCAACGCGGATAGCTGCGCATCGGCCAATCCCCGTCGGGCCCCCAATAATATTGTCTGTCGGTGACTGGTCCAAAAAAGGACTCTTAGGCAAACTAGATTTGAATTCAATCTCCGGAGTCTCGGCTGCTCGGTTTCATCCAGTTGGAAAGCGCGAGGCTGAGATTTGCCAGGGGATATTTGAAACGGTGCCCCCGTCTCCTCTGGTCCCTTTTTTTTCTGGCTCGAAAACAATCGCACGGTCATATCAGACCGACTCGACGATCTACCGTTCCGTGAGCCGTGTGCTGCGGGGTTATCCTTGCCTGGGATGTGCAACTCGATCCATGGGCTACTTCACGATGTGTACGGCACGATTCGTGGAATATTGGTAGACTAACTACAATTCAGAATCCCATGACCCCAGGATCGAATTGGCCCCAGGCTGGGGGATCTTCACATGCTCGGCAACTGATCTATCTCGCCGACACGGAAGTCCGCAACGGCGGTCCACTTGAATTTCTGCGCAAATCGGCTTGTGGACTATGAAAGTACAAGAGACATACTACAATCCATCCGACCGCTTTCTGTCTGGCCGTATCCAGTACCGAGAAATGGTGGGAGGCCTGATCGTATACACCGTATCACCATGTGTTCGGTGCGTCCAGGCAGATACCATCTATGAGCAATACGGGATTCAGTGCGAGTGGTCTAGTTCGCCGGGTGAGTCCAACCCCTCCTACACAGGATTCCGTACCGGGCGAACTATCTTCCAATTGCGCCAACCGCCCTGGCTTGGCATAAGGTTTACGTGCCGATCCACCCTGGCTTTAGTATAGATCGGCATCCTACCCGGGCTTGATCTTCTCCCGTTTCGTTCATGCATGCGAAATCATGGGATTTGTGTTTGGTCTGGTCGATCTAGCACGCCATTGGGATGAAAACACAGTCGCAAAATTCAAGGTCATGACCGGCCCCACGTCTGGTAACCACTACCAAGCCTTGGATCGGGACCGATAAATGGTTCAACCAGAAAGTTTCCGCCGGTCGATCATCTCGCTCTTCCTACTCGTTCCGGACTCTCCTCGACCCAGTAGTTTGCCTTTGCATCGGCACGATCACCGACACAGCATCCAGGGATCTCGATGATAATCAGTCCGCCCCTCCTTTCCACACTTTCCAAGGTGATGGCGACAGTGACAAACGGCCTGCACGGCGACGGTCCTTCTTTTCGCTCTTTTGCGTTAGTGTATGTACCCTGAACCCCCACTTAGCGGATCAAAATATCGGTGACGTGCCAGGGTTTTTGATTTTCCCTTTGACTACGTTACAGAAAAATTTTTAGAGTCCACTAGGATATCCCACGGAAAACGTGCTGCAGAATCCCAAGTGGACACATCGGCCAGCGGCTCAGACCGGGCCAAGACCGAGGTCGACCCATCCAGATCCTCGGAACCTGCTCATCTATATTTAGAGAGAAAAATACATAATAAAAAGAGAGGTATTGTCCGCATGAATAATCCTTGTAGGCTATCTAGCAGCTGCCATAAGGTCGGGAGAAAACGAGCTACGATGGAATCCTACAAATTTGAAACAAAGCCTGCTCCATATAGGTCTTAGACCATAGAATTTTTCTCTGACATACCTGTTACCTGCACAGTTAAGTTTGTTATCATATCTTAATACCAATTGACACATAATTGGATCCTCGCGAGCATAGAAGAGCCACATCAATATGCTGTTACGCACATGAATGACTCGCTCCATCGACCACTTACCAGCACCCTTGGGCTGGAAACCTCTCGACATATAAGATGATCAAGCTAGATTTGAATAGCTGCGATTTGTTACATTGGAAAAGGACATCCAACACTGTATCCAGGCAATCTTTCTCCAAGTGAATAGGACACTTCTGCTTCTTTCCTTTGACCTCAAGAGTCTGGCGCTGAGAAGCACTCCTGACGATCATCTCGAGAAGGGGCATGTTAGCCAATTGTCTAGCAGACCAAAGAGAGATATAAATCCCCAGCTCCTCGTGACAATTGACTGCACAAACTACGATTTCTCTCGGTGGCCAATGCGTCTTCAAAATATCCGAATATTGAACGGGGATATTGATAAAAAATTTCTTCGGCGGGGAAAGCTCAGATGGAGGCAGCGACGATCGAAAGATGCATTCCAATTTAACTTGTCTCTCTCTCCCCCTCAATGTCCTATTTGGGGCCTCGAAAATATCCAATTGTATTGCGTTCCTTTTCCTAGTCTTCCAGCTTCGATACCGTTGGATCCCACGCAACAGGACTATACTCGCTGGTCTCAAGCTCTTGAACCTCTTCGGGTGTCAACTTGAAGTCAAAGACATCAGCATTGGAGGCGATGCGTGACGGCTGTACACTCTTGGGCAGAGGAACGAGGCCCTTATCCAGACTCCAGCGAATGAGCACCTGGGCCTCCGTTTTAGAATACTTCTTCGCCAGTTTCTGTAGTGCGGGCTCGTCGAAACGATTTCCACGCACAATAGGGCAGAAGGCCTGAATGACAACGCCGCGCTGGGTACACCAGTCGAAGATATCCTTACGCGCCACCCATGGATGCAACTCGACCTGGTTAACGCTCAAGATCCCGCCTTTGCCTTTGCCACCGCGTTCGGCCTCCAACTCGGCTATATGTCGCTCAAGCTCGTCGAGGTGGTGTACACCGTAGTTGCTGACACCGATGGAGCGCACCTTACCAGCTTCAACGGCCTCAACAAGCTACGAATATGTCCTGTGTCAGCATAGGAAATGATCGCGAGAGAAACACACATACCGCCTTCCACGCGCCCTTACGATTCTCAGAGCCGCCCCAGGGCTTGTGCAAAAGCATCAGGTCAATGTAAGTGAGCTGAGATTCAGCAAGGGTTTTGTCGACAGTCGCCTTGGCCGAGTCATAGTTGATGTCCAAGACCTTGGACGTGAAGAAGATCTGATCCCGTGGGATCGATGATGCACGGATGGCCTTGCCGCAGCCGGCCTCGTTCTTGTATCCCGACGCGGAGTCAATCTACAGTGGTATCAAAGGCACAGATGAATATCTCAGCGACGCATGTTTTGGCTCGAGTTCGTGAACTGGGAACTCACATGGCGGTACCCGACTTTGAGCGCCTCGAGACAGCATTTTTCTGTCTGATCTGGAGGACTGTGATGAATTCCAGTCAATACCAGTAGAGTAAACATGAAAGGAACAGAAACTTACGTCTTGTAGACCTGTATTGAGAGGACATCGTCTGTCAGCCAAATGACGCATGCATCAGGAATATTGGCCGTACCCCGAATCCCAAGCGGGGCATCCCATGGCCGCTCGGCAGCTTGATCTTGGAGCTAATTGTAAAGGCCATCTTCAGTGTGAGATGTTAAATTGAATCGCCCCAAGGAATACGTAGCAGTTCAGGGTCTTTATGGTAACAAGATGACCCGTCGGTCTTTTGATTCGGCGTTAATCATCCATTTAAACCCCATTAGTTAGTCAATTACTGGTTTTGGCCCTTATCTCCTACAGCCGCCATTAGTCACGCCCTTCCCCCAAAAGCTTGAACGATATGAGATCATCAAGTTTAATGGAAAAACCTCCTTCAGTATTCTCAAGATTTTATTAATGGAAGGCCCATCCTTTTCAAATGAAGTTTTTGTGCCTACTATGATTTATCCTCAACGAACCAAATATTCGCAGGATATTACGTATGGCCGTAAATTGAGTATTTTACTATGTAGTTACTGATTAAGACTAACATAGCAGAACTTGCGGGATAGACAGCAGGATATGGTGGTGACATAGCATCATAAGAATGGGGAAAATAAGCCTTGTCCTAGTTGAGATGCTGAGAATGGAAACTGTAACCGGCCTCGTATTCACACAATCGTCTTGCGGTATGTCCCGACTATTAGCGTTCTGCCTAAAAACGGTAGAGTACGAAAAAATTGACAATATATTCAATAGAGTTTCAGGGTCTCAAATCCGCAGTGTGTGAGGGGCCCGTGAACGCTAATAAATAGTCAGCGAGGGACACTCGGTTTCGCTCGCGGGGTTCCATTCCCTGTTCAGGATTCGTCGACTACCCAAGCTTCTGGCTTGAGTTCCGACGCTGAAATACAACCGTGAGAATCTCGAGAGACTCACTGTCAGGCATGTTCATCTCTTTGCGTGGCAGCGTAGAAAAATCACGCAACGGATAGAACGGCACACTAATCTGCGGTCGGATGATGAAGATTGCGATCTGCGAAGCATAAGCTTGTCTTTATATTCTGTCCTCATTGTGATTGTTGATCTCACGTTCTACTTCCAACCTCTTGGGCGTTTCATTCGCTGAGTGGATCGTCTGTAAGTGCTCACAACCCCACTAAGCACTCTTTTATCAAGCCAGCGCCTAATGGAATGAGCGGAACGTGGCTATATAGCGCTTATTATTTAGCGCTTCAGCAATGGCGAACCCAGCGAAAAAGCAGAGGGAGGTCCCCGCCTGCTTTACTGATACCCACGGTGTGGTGACAACCACTATGAATGACCTGCCCGGCTACAAAGTCAAAAATGTCCTGGGTACAATCTACGGGATTACCGTTCGCACCAGGAACTGGGGTGCGGATCTAGGCGCGGTTGTCCGGTCAGCTGTCGGAGGCGAGCTTCGATTTTTCACGAATCTGATGTATACGTCGCGTGAAGAAGCTATGGAGCGTTTGGTGGGAGAGTGTATGAGCAGAGGGGGCAATGCGATCATTGCTGTGAGATTTGATGTTGCGAGTTTCGGGGCCTGTTCACAGATATGTGCGTATGGCACCGCTTGTCTAGTGGAGAAGATTGAGGAGGACAAGCAGCAGGCCTAGGTTTTGTATGAAGACTTAATTTAGCCTTCGGCACAGTCCGAGGATACTTTCCCATGGGTAGTATCTAGTTGTCAATTTGATGACCATTGTTATGATCGGCCTAGAAGGGTTTCAAAATATATAGCATTCGAAGATTCTTTTTGAACGATAATATACAAGGCCATGCTAAACGCAATATGGCAACAACATGACTCTTCTGGACAGATACTGGACAATGTCTCAGTGCGAGTCCAATATTTCTCACTTTGATGGGAAAAAGCGAAAGGCCACAAGCTTGCACCCACCAGGCGTAGACTCATCCGCTTCAGTAAACTCTCGAAATGGCTCAAAGCCCCATCTTAACAGAACTTTCTGGCTTCCACCGTTGCTAGATTCTATAATGGCAATGAGCTGCTCTGGCACCCGACCCTCATCCGTAACCATGGCTTTTTCAACCCTTATCTCCCGCTCTGTCCGGAGCAATTCTCCCCAGAACTGTAGCCAGGCTCCCAAAAACTCCGTGGCAAGACCTTGGCCCCAGAATTCCTTTCGAAGCATGTATCCCACCTCGGGCCAGCCGTGCTTGGCCTGGTAGAGGTGGCAGCCGCCTTGGCCGATAAGCTCGCCCGTGCTCTTGAGGCAGATGGCGTAGTTGAGAGTGGCTGTGTCGTTTGGGGGGAGGAATCGGTTCAGCACTTCTTTGGTCTTCTCGATATCTTTGTCGATGCAGCCGGCGGAGGTCCATTTCATTACTTCTGGTTGTGTTCGTAGGATGTACAATGCTTCCACGTCGGTTGGTTGGAAGGGCCGGATGAGCAAGTGGGTTGTTGTCAATGTGGGTCGCTCGCTGTTGCTGGGAAGAGGCAATGTTGGTAGTGAAGACCGCACAGTCACGAATTCGTCTGGTTCGTTCTTATCCATTGTGTTGCTGATGTATCTGTCTGGGAGAAGTCCAGATATGACGGGCGGGGCGCCGAGTATAGAGTGTGGGTTGACAAGCGAGCCGTGATTCGGTCCCAAGAATGACATATTTTGACTCGAAATTTGCTCTACTCGAAGGATAATGTGCAATACGTGGCTCAAATATATACAGTTCACAAGTCAACATAATAGACTTGAAACAACTTCCCACCCTTCTATCGCCAAAGCCACGGCCACTGTCACGACGCAGATCCCGTATCCTCCACGGCATCTGCGCGATCCCAGCTCTCAACCTCCAGAGTCCTAACGCGACTCTCAATCTCCAGAATCCGTTGTTGCCACTCTGCCTTAGCCTTCTCCTGCAGCTCCCACATCTTCACAAACTGATCCAAAATAAACGGCGGCAGCTCCGGCGTCTTGCGGTTCTTCTGATAGTCATAGGTCACGATATCTTCGTGGCAGCGCGCCGCAGGGCGCTGACGGGCCTCGGACAGGATCATGACCTGTAGCTGGAATGCGGACTCCGATGACAGCGATGAGGAAGGGTCCTTGACTAGTTTCTGGTAGACGGTGATTTTATCCGGGGAAGTCATGGGCTGTAGTTATTAGAATAGACAGAGTCAGTCAACAGCCTTAACCATCGCAACCGGGCTGTGGAAAAGACATCTCACAAATTTATAGTCAACTTTGATGCTTCGGAGAATCAGTCCGATGCCCGTAGAATTGAGCAGATTCGCCCATTCCTTCTTGTGCGCTGGGTCGATGTGGATGCCGATATTGCGAGTCCAATTCACGCGTGCGGACTCGGCGTATCGAACGTAAGTGACATTATTCACGTGCCCTGGAGTGTGTCCAAATCAGAAATCTAGTGGTCTATTAAACTGGAAGAGAACCAGCGCATACCCTGGTTTTATCCGTCAGTATTCATCTTATAGCGGCGCAGAGGGGTGCTTACCATTACATCCTAATAATCCACCAAACACCAGTAAAGTGTCAGTAACTAACTTTCAAGGAACGTGAAAACAAGAGAAAAAGAAAATCATACCATCTCCCCCCACACAACATTATGCCGAAACAGACTGCACCGCTTCTCATCGGTCAAGAACCCCTCGCTCCCGGCAATTAACTCGCGCCAATTCCTCGCTAGCTGCTGCAAAACCGAGCCCGCTTCGTAGACTCGCGCGGGTTTCAGTCCAAACATCAGGCACCGTCCTATGCGCCGCTTCATCATTGTAAGCCATCGTGGATCGACCGTGTGAGGTCTTGCCGGTGGGTCCGCGGAGCTGGTTGTCGGGGCGCGGGCATTCTGCGCTGCAGATGTGGTCGAGAGGATGCGGCGGGTACTAATTGGGCTGATAATGGACCGGGAGAGGTGTCGTGGGAGGGTTGATCGGGGTATCATTGTCGCTAGGTGTGTGTGGAGAGAAAAAGAGAAGAAGAGTGACTTGGATTCGAGTAGACGGAGCTCGGGCCATCGGATGGAACCCCGCGTGAAGAGTGCCGGTATGAGTATGAGGCAGTAATTGATATTTTACTCTAAAATAATACCGATCGAATGTGAACTTATATAATAAACTTACTAAATAACTGCCTGTGTGCATGTAACTATCACTGTCGAGCGTTACGTTGTTCCCCGTTCTCCGCATTTCCTACATATCGCCGACAACCACCGCCTCCAACTTCTCCTCACTTCCCTCCCGCAACGACCTCGGATGGACCAGCGATGACCAACCCAGAGCTGCGGCGGCAGGTGATCAACATCTACAAAGGTATGTCGATAGTCATGGCACCGAGACTGGACCCATACATTCGATAGGCTAGCTTCATGATGGAATAGGCTGACAACCCATCCGGGGGACATACAGAGCTCCTCTTTCTAGGCCGCGAATACCCCCAGGGGTACCAGTGGTTCCGGACCCGGCTCCATCGCGCGTTCGCAAGCCAGGCCTCGCTACGTGATGACGAGGAGATCCGGAAGGGGATCAGCCGGGCGGAGTTTGTGAAGAAAGGTTCGTTAGCTATGACTGCCACCCACTATATCTACAGCGATCGGGTTGCTAAATCGTTTCAACGTCAATCTCCAGAAATTGAAACAATGTAAGTCAAGGCTTTCTCTTTTTACTTGGTCTCGATGCAACTCGAAATATTCGTCCATGTCATTTTCTCTATATAATTGTTGCCCCGTTCTCTGAGATATTTCTGGGGTCGATACATCGGCGACGCATCACCACCGCCACCGCCACCATTCATCATAGATCATGGCATCATCTTTTTCTCTGTGCCTCTTCTGCGCTGGGTGCAATGGACGCTGACAAGCTGATCATCAAATCCAGGTATTATCTGAAACGGTATCGGGCGCTGAAACAGCGCTATGAAGATCCTTGAAGCGCACCACCACCACTAGCTCGGACACGTTTAGTCAAAACTCCCCTCATTCATCGAGATCGGGTTGAGGTCGTGCATGTTATTTCGAAAAACCCAGAATGACATGTATATAAAAATAGAAAAAAAAATTGGGGTATCACCAATATGAAGCGCACAACAATGGCCAGCTGTCTTTGCTTTCGTCCGCCGGAACACCGATATAAAGAGACTGTTTCTTTTTTTTTGTGTGTGTTTTTATTTCTTGCGTCCCCACCAGGCACTCACTTCCAGGCACTCGCCGCTCGCGAGGCCGCCTTTCTGGAGGAGGTCGGTGGTCATCGAGGCCCACCATCGGTCCCACTCGTCACGGCCCTTGCCGCTCGCTTCCATGAGCATGGGTTCGAGGCCCTCGATCATTTGGATGACCGTCAGAAGGGCGGTTTGTCGAATGGACAGCTGCTCCGCAGTCAGGGTCTTGCGGCCGCGGCCCTTGGAGTCCTTGCCCTGGCCCTCGCGCTCCCAGCGTACTTCGCCGAGCGGAATCGCAATGCGGCGACTGTCGACCATTTCCAACACGTCCACCTCGGAGTTGAAGGAGAGGCCGATAGTGGCGCAGGGCAGGGCGCTCAGTCGGCGGCGGTCGAACGAGTTCTCGATCCAGGAATTGTAGTCAATCAGGTATTGGTTTTGGGCGCGGGTGAACGGGGTGGCGGAGGAGAAAGTGTAGGTGGCCGTGGCATCGGCAATATCCTGGTCCTTCGAGGCGAGTTTGCGGGCCGGCGCGGGGTTGGGGAGCAGCGAGCGAAACACCCAGTCGGAATCCCACACCTCCAAGACGCCGCCGGATTTGAGCACTCGTAATGGTTCGCCCAAGCCCGAGGCTAGCTGCGCGGGGCTAGACGCGCACATGCCGGTATCTTTGATGAAGACAAAGTCAAAGTAGTCGTCGGGAAACGGGAGGCGGGGCCGTCGAAGGTCGTGACGTTTGAATTGCCAGTTCATGCCCTGTTTGCGCAGGTCGGGAGCAATGGAGACAATATCAATGCCGACAAATCCGACGTTGGGCTGGCCACGCCGGGCAAAGTAGTCGTGACACAAACCCGACCAGACACCCGAGCCGCAGGCGATCTCCAGGACGCGCTTGGGCGGGTGGTTGGCCAGGTGGGGATTGCAAAACGGGCCGCCAAAGACGCGCAGCAGCATCGCTGTACGTAGGGTCTGGCGGTGGATCTCGGGCATGTCGCATGGTAGTGGATAGGAGTTGTCTGGGTCCCGGAAGTAAGTGCGGTCACCCTGGCGGGCGAGCGGGTAGGACGTGTAGTCTGTGAGAGACCCCAGGGAGGACGTAGAGGTTGCCGCCAGGGCGGTTCCTGTCGAGCTAAAGTTGGAGTGCACGTCCGAACCGGACGGCGTGACGGTGCTGAAAGTGCTGCCCGTCCCTACCGCCATCATAGCATCCATAGCCGCTCATCGATCGGTGAGGCTCAGTGTGGTTTGCGGATCGGGTGCATTATTCTTGAGCGAAGTAATTGGAGTGCCTCATGAGCAGGGCGACATGGCCGAGGGAGAGAGGGTTTTTGTTCTGGACGGGAGCGAAGTTGGGGTCGGGCGCAAAGAGGTGCAGGGAAGAATCTTCTTCCTGTTGTTTCAGACTCCAGAACACTGACAACTCCTGGGAATATGCAAAGGAAGAAGGCAAACGCAGAGAAAAAGGCACACTATCGAGGGGGAGGAAGAGGGGGAGTTTTTTCGCAGGTTATTATTATTGACTGGACTAACAGTAGTAGGGTTAGTCAAAGTACTCGACAGACCCCTGGATCAGGCAGGATCCACTTTGGGCCAGACGGGGAGTTACTACGACATAGACCCCCGACGGCACGATACATAGTTCGATGTATATCGAGTTCACTAACTATGAAAGATGATCCCGTCGATGGAGATTGACCCTTCACACAGCCAACATGCAGGGCTGGCCCGATCCTGTGAGGGCTAGCCGAAGGGGGGGTGACGGACTATGGATCTTTGGCGGATGGTTGACATCATGAGTCTGCCTCGGGCTATGAAGATGGCCGGAAATGGACTACTCGGACAGCATTGGCCAATGCCTGGCTGTGGAGTTCTACCATTAAATTGCAATAGTTCACTGTAGAGACGAGAGCACATTCCGACTGATCTGGCCATAATTGCATGGCCCGGAGATCCGTCTGGGGCTAACGTGTCTGACGGGCCAGGCACGGCAGTCTGGACTTTTGTCCCCCTCCTTACCCTAGGCACTAAGGTCCCAACACCGAACAAAAGGGCCGTCTCGGATTATTCGGAGAGCTCGGTTAGTTAACTAGTTGGCGACACGATCCAATTTGTACCTTTGTTTTTCTTACACGTTCCTTCGGGGACCGTTTCGATGCTTCCCCGTCTTGGGCATTGAAACTAAAACTGGATTAGATTCACCACTACCGGTCTCCTAAAAAATTGAATTGACTGGTATTTGTCCACAAATTGATTTCTATATTTTCTCTATCAACTAGCCAAAACAATACTACCTACCCGTTACTCCCCGCGTTTCATGATCAGAAGTCTCTACCACTACTGCTACCCCCCAACAAGGTCCGCCACAATGGCATCAATATGCCCAGCTGCCATACTCAAATGGCCGGCCTGCTCAAAAAAGTGCGTCTTCGCACCAGGCATCAACTTCGCTGCCTTCTCCGCCATTTCAAATGGCGCATTCTGATCCAACATCCCGTGCCAAAGCCTCAGCCCATTCCCATCTATATCCTCCACCCGAAACCCCCAATCACTACTACTCAGCAGACTCAACTCCGTGGCGACAGGCATACCACCCTGCCGAAAGGCGCCGCGTAGCGACCCCACCGCCGTAGCCCTAACCCTTGCATCCTCCCACGCCTCACGCTCCGCCCCATGCCGTCTTGCCATGGCCCTATCCATCTTCTTCTCAAGCACAGTGGGATCTTTATCTCTCGCTTGCCGCCCAATGAACCGGTCTAGGAAAGCCGCCGTAATGAATCGCGGCACCCACCGTCCAACAGCGAGCACGATTTTCAACTCTGTAAGCATCCCCTTCACACCAAGACTGGTCGGGTACATTGCGCACACGAGCGCCACGCCGCGCAACCGGCCCCGGCCCTGCGCAGTGACGTCGGGCGAGCTGCTGTCGACGCGCGGGATGGCGTACGCACAGGCGAGGGCGTATGGCCCCCCTCCTGAGGTGCCGAGAATGGAGAATTGAGGAATGTCAAGATAATCTGCTATCGCGAGTACGTCGGCTGGCCAGTCTAGGAGACGACGCTCTGGGTGGTGCGTTGACTGATCCATGCCTGGTCGGTCGATGGCGATGCACCTCGCATTGTGCCGCTGGAGGAGCGAGGTGCTGAGGAAATTGGCTTCGAGGGAACAGCCTGGGAAGCCGTGGAAGTAGAAGATTATCGCGGGCGGTTTGGCGTCTAGATCAGTTGTAGTAGTGTTCCTCAGGGGCCCGCCGTGGATGGTCCATGCTAATATGCGGCCCGATGGGAGGGTGAGGGTTTGTTTATTCTCGGGGTAGTTGTGGTTCTCCATCGCGAGAATCGAAGTTCCCGTTTGCTGTGGAATTATCGGATCTCACGCACTGAATAACGGGTTCTTCATTTGCGTCGCCGACTGAATCTCGCCTCCCCATGCTTCGTATATACTCTCCCCGAATCGCTGGGGCCTGAAAGCAAAAAGCGCCCCCCCGCGTCCGGCCCCCTAACTTCTACGTGGTCATATCCGCCCACTCATCTTTCGGAAGAATGTTCTGCTACGTAGTTACGTGGCAGATACAAGGCAGTCATGGCAAGGTGACGTTGCTGGAGAGAGCAGACATAGAAGACGTTATAATACTTGAGCGAGAGATATTCCAAATCATGGAGTATGAAAAGCACCAATCATCACTCCGGGTAGGCTGTAAAGATTGGCCTGCCGACTGATGTATGATTCCAAAGATGCTCCATGATATCACAGAACTTGCGTAGTCAAGGCGCTGCTTGTACGTTACATGCTCAAAGTATGCATTGGGGGGTTCCTTGGGGAGAGAGAATTGATAATGTCATATGACACAGTGAACACTGGCAATTTGAATGACTCCGTCCACAGGGAGTAGCCTTGACTGCGGGCCGCCTATACTATATTATCGTTATAGCAATGTGGGTAAGTTCTACTTAGCGTAGGGCTCCGTGAGTCTGTTTACTCGCTTGATTGGGTAGCAATTTTCTATACATATTTGTCCCACGATTTACCCATGTCTTTACCTCAATGGTTTTTATTCTTCTAGCTAGAATTCTAATGTAGACTATCTATTCAAGCACCGTCTTGCTGTGTTCATTTGTCTTTGGATTGTACCGTTGTTTTGGTAGATGAGTGTAAGATACGGATCTATACAACTCATGTCGTTTGATTTTGTAGCTTGCATCAGCATCCACCTAATACTATTCATCTGATGGAGAATAAGACTCATGAGAAAGAAAGAGATAGACCTAGTCCGTAACTACTCGATCAGAATGAAGACATGATGGTGGGGTCTGTGGCTCGCAACCACGGGGAGTAGGGATGATCTTGACTCGAGACACCTTATCTAGCCTTGGCCCGCGGACATCGAATACAGAACTACATTACAATTACAATGTACCCAAATGAACAAGCCACACTCTATTCTCAACAGAAATTGCAGATAAGGAGGATGGCGGCAAGAAGATAGAGAAACAACATACAAGGAACAGAACAGACACAACTCCCTTCGCCGACAAAAAGAAAAAATCAACAGAAAGCAAGTTCGTCGCGGGCAAGAAAACAGTGCCCTGCGGCCTGGCCACCTGTTCCACCCAGTACAACACCAGCAGCAGCCCCATAAGCGTCGTGAATCCGTCACAGATGCCGTGAGAGATTAGGCGAGATGAAACCGAGATCTCGAGACAAAGGCAAAGACAAAGGAACAGCCCCAACAGGAACAAGAGGGAGGAAGGAAAAGAGTCAGATGGTGGGATGGGGGAGGTAGAGGAGAGGCAAAATCAAAGGGTGAAAGGGGAGGAGAGCGAGAGTGCCACGCCGGCTTTGACTACTTCCAACAAACCCAAAGGAGAGGGGAACACAAGAGCCAGTGCGACGAGGCGACGGGGAAATGCTCCGATAGCAAAACCCCGAGGAACACAGCACAGAGAGACACAAAAAAGCCAGGAGATAAAATAAAAAGACATCATAATCAGGGAAGTAAACGACAAAAAAAGAAGAGGAAGATGGACAGAAAAGAAAAGAATAAACACCGCAGGGAAAAGCAAAGCCAGAAGGGAAACCCGCCAGTCCGAAGATTCCGAGACAAAAAGGTTCAAAAAACACACACGCAGAAGCACACAAAACACCCCGTCTTCCGAAGATTCGAGAAATGCTCCAGGGTCCGCTTTAGTGCCGTTGCGGCCCAAAATCCGCCTCCACAACCTTGCCCTTTTTCCCCTTGACAGTAAACTCCGCGAACAATGCGACATGATCACTAGGAAAATGAAAATTGGGGAATCCCGGCACGCGCCGAAGATAGTCCTTGTCCACTTCGCCGAGAAGTGCGGACACGTGCAGCGTGTTGGATGAGAACCACACGTAGTCGAGGATGTCCTTGAAGTCCGGCGTGTAGTTGGTGAAGCTCAGCTCCCCGATAGAACCATACGCCGACCTCAGCTTGAAAGGATGCGTCATGCCAACCTTGCTGAGGTTGCCGTACAGTCGATTCTCGAGATCAGGATGATCCTGTGTCAGCCGTCCGTTGGCAATCAAGTTGTATGCAGCGGAGCCGGGAGACGAGTTGAAGTCACCGCACATGAACAGCGGGATTTGGTCACCACTGGTATACTCCATGGATGGGGCCGGTTCCACCTGAGGCTGGTTCTCTGCACCACTCTCCGCCTCGGAGAAACGGAACGCAGTCTTGTCCGTGCAGGCAGGCCACTTGGCGTAGTTATCCGAGAGCTTCGTAATCTCCTCCATCAAAATGGCCGTCTGGACAAGCTTGACATCTTTGAACGCGGGATCCCAGTACAGATGGGCATTCACAACAATGAACCGTGCGCCGGTTTGCCGGTTCTCCAAGAAGATCACAACGGCGATATGGTCCTTCTGCCACAGCCGGTTGTAGATGTCATCCTGACCTTTGGCATCGGGTCGCCGCACAGCTGTTTGGCCAAAGTTGATCAGTTGCTTATCCAGCAGGATGTACTTGCTTCCCTTGAAGAAAGTAGCGCAACCATCCACTGTCCTGGCGTCATCCTCTTGCATGCCCATCGCTCGTCCCCGCGGCCAGTACACGCCCTTGTAGTCATTGTATGCTAGCTGCTCCCGGAAGAAGTTATTGTAGCTGCCTTGGTCTACCTCTTGAAGACAGACGATATCGGAGCTGTGAGACCGCAATTCACTGAGGATCAGCTCTCGGCGGTACTCCCAGGAGAGAGCACGGGACGGGGTGTAGCCGTAGTGAGATTGTGTAGCGGAGGAATCGCAGAGAGTGTTGTAGGACAGGACGGTAATCTTCTCCGCAGGGCTGTTGTTCGAGCTCGCAGTCTCGTCTAGGATGACCCAGTCTCGATCGGGGGGAGGTAGTTGAACTAGACATTCCAGAGTCAGCAATCAAGAAAAGTAATAAGAAACCATAGCCAACCCACCTGGCATTTCCTCCCGCAGATATTTGATCAGAGCCTTGGTTCCATCCTTCATGATCTGAGACTTGAGTATTTCATTGAGCGGGTTGCCCTCGATGCCCAGAGTTTCCAGTCGGTAGAGATAACCCATCTCGTAGGGAAGAGTACGGATGTTGTTATCGAAGAGAAGAAGCTTCTTCAAGCACGAAAGCATGCCGATCTCCTCCGGGAGCTCGGTAAGATCGTTGCCGGACAGGTCCAGGTGGTTCAGTTTCCGAAGCTGACCAACGGCGGCGGGAAGCGATTTAAGCTTGTTGTGGTTCAGGTAGAGCCGTTCCAGGAAAACGTAGTTGAACAGGGAGGTGGACATGGCGCGCAAACCCTGCCCGCCAAAGTCGAGCGCGTTCCAGCCTTGCCGGGATGCCGACTTGGCTGGGACTATGCCATTGCGTCCATCCGCCCCATTCTCCTGCACCTCGGTCTGGTTCGGTATGATCTGGATGCCCTTCGACTGCTGTGCCATGACACGAGCATAGTAGTGAGGGGAGCTGGCCTGTCGGGATTCTGCTGCCAGCTGGAGCTGTTGCTGCCAGTGTTCGTTCATGGACTCATCTAGGTCCTCGTCGACATTGCCGGGCGCACCGTTCTGCAGGTGGGAGGGAGTAAAGTGTGGCGTGGTGGAGGCCAGGGCTCCGCCAGTGAAGTTGTGTTGGTGAGCGAGGCTATGGGCGGCCTGGGCATGGTGGCCGTGGTGATGAGGTTGCTGGGCATGGTGTGGGTGATGAGTTTGTGACTGGAACTTGGGCATCTGCATGCCAAATCGCTGGTGGGCCTGGCCACCATTCATCATGACATGCTGGCCCTGGTGGCTCTGGCCGTACATGGCGAAAGCGGATTGTGGGGGGGGTTCGCGAGGGAGAGGGAGTGTCAGGGTTGAATTTCAGTCGCCCCGTCGGGGAATTGGTCCCGTTTCGAAGGAGGTGTCGTTGCTGCTGCGAAGATTGCTGCGATTGTGTTTGGAAGAAGAACTGCCCGGCCCCAGGCTGCTGGAACCTGTAGGTACCATCTGCCATTTAACGTGGCAGACGTGACCGTGGCTGGTTTCCTTGAGGTGGAACCTCAGGGCAGACGAGTTGCGCTAGACTCGGAGCCGTGGAAGAGATGAGGAGAGGCGTAGCGGATGGGACACGGTCTCTGCTCTTCTTCCACATAGAGTCCTGAGGCAGGAATACCCTTTGAGTGTCACTTCTGAGCACAACTGGGAGCCGGTGGCCACAGTAGAGCTGGGAATCTGGCTTTCACAGCTGGTGAGTCGATGGGGGTTGGTTGGGATGGTGGGAGGTGGTTGGGAAGGGCGGGAAAGCGGGAAAGAGTGTGCAGTGAAAGACTGGGAGCCTGAGGTGAGGCAAAGTGCTAGTCTGATATATAAGGTTAGAATCACTGACACGGCGACGCACACATAGGGGGGAGACAAGCCGGCACAAGAGAGAAGTGATTGATCTGGTTTGCGCTGGGCGAGTTGAAGGCGGGAGTTGGCACGTGACGGGGGCGGTGTGATTGGGCCGCTGGCTGTGCCAAGGCTGGGTCCTGCCCTGTGACGCTTTCATTCCAGCCGGAAGGGTATAGAACTACTAGGACAGGCTATCGGACAGTCTATGGGATGATCCTAGAGGACAATCCTATCGGATACATTATGTTACAGTCTCAGTCAGTCGAGAGTCAGGGGAGACAACTTCTCCTCTCGGGAGATGTTGGGCTATGATACAGTGCCAATATGATACAGGGCCAAATGGTCTCACCAGGAGGCTAGAGTACAACTATAGTACAAAGGAAGATAGCAGACCACTATCCCCGGTCTTCGATCCGCCGCCACACTCCAACAAAGCCTCCACCAAAGGTACGCACCCCAACCTTGGGCCGGCAGACCAAGACAGCGTCTTCTGCCACGGCCGGGGTCTCAGGGGCATCCACTGCGCCGTCAATGGCATTGGGCAGCTCTTCTTCCGGCTCAGCCGCAGCAGCGCCATCCTCCGCATCAGAAGAAGCGCCCCATGACGCCGGATCAGCCCCGGATTTCTTGACGGCAAACCGGACGTCCCACAGCCGGCCACTGGTGAGCCCAGCACCGAGCTCGACCACCCTCTGTTGAACGAAAGGCAGCCGCTGCTTGCGAATCAACTCGGTGCACTCGCCAATCTGAGTGATGCTGGGCATGAACACGATCAGAAGGCCGTTTTGCTTCAGGACCGGAGCGACGTGGGGGATGCGCAGATGCGCCGACGGCATGTCGAGGATGGCGTACGACAGGAACGGATCAACCGCGGTCGCGCCGGTCAATGAATTCAGGATCCCGGTCTTTGTTCGCTGCTTGGTCTGTTGCGCAATCCAGTTCTCGACGTGGCCCACGTAGAAATCCACATTGCCCGCGTAGATGCCGCGGCGGAAGCCCTGGACGTTCTTTTCGGCCAGGGCCGAGAACTTGGCCGACACGTCCACCGTGTGGATGACAGCATTGCGCTGGGCCCGCCAAGTATCCCACTGCTGTTGGACTGGGGTGATGCCAGCCGACTCCGTGTCGGCTGCTTGCTCGTCCGAACCATCCTCGCCGGGCCGCCGGGGCCGGTCCTCCAAGAATTGTATTTGGGATCGCGTCGGTCGCGGCGGGGGGATGGGATTGGCGGCTTGGATGGCTCGCGCCAGGTGTAAAGTCAAGGATCCGTGGCCGGTGCCGGCCTCGAGGATCTCCAAGGGCGGTTGGGTCGCGCGGTCCGCGGGCGACTCGACGTGGATGTCGAGAAGCGACACAATCAGACTGGCGTCCTGCGCATAGATCTACTGGCCCGGCATGAGTCTCGTTTCATTTATTTTGGGAGGGATGCACCTACCGGGGTGACCATGCGCGGTGTCAGGGCGACGTATTCCTCCAACGTCGGGAGACTGAGTCGAGTCTCCGGGCCTGCACCAGTCAGTCGTCACTCCATTGATCCCCACCAACTCACATACCTCTGTGCGCCTGTACCGCACCCCAGACCGGGTTCCCAATGACCCGATCATGATCCAGATGTCCGCGTCGCAGATGGGTCTTGTCGCCCTGGCGCAAGGGTTTGGTCAACTGCGGGTTCTTGGAATGCACCAGCACCCGGTCTCCTTCGCGGAAGACGGCGAAGTTGGTATCGATGGACCTCGCCCGGATCGATGGCGCCGTCAGACCCAAGAAGCGCCGCAGCGACTGCAGCAGGGCCATGGCGAGTGTCGAAAGACCAGGAACGAAAATCACCAATGAACGAAATCCACTCCTTTGACCCACATGCCAATCGCTCCCGGTGAGAGCGAAACCGGGGCCCCTCCATGATTCTTGAGCAGTGTTGGATCAATTCTTTCAGACTCTTCGTGTATTGGATTATTTACTGACACGCTCGCTTTGTCGCCATATACCCATATACCGCCATAATGGGGTCGATCGCGCTCCCGTACATGCAGACAGCGCCCAAGCTGATCTTTTTCACCGATTTCGATGGCACCATCACCGTCGAGGACAGTCAGTGGCTCCAATGATCCTCTCCGAGCCCGTACTGACCTTCGCAGGCAACGACCACATGGTATTTCTATCTGGCTGCACCTGTCTCGCAGTGCACGCCATGCTGACCCTCATTCCAGATCGACAATCTCGGCTTCGGCCGGGAGAGACGCCTCGTGCTGAATGACCAGGTGCTGGACGAGACGCTGAGCTTCCGGTAAGCGGACATCGAATCTCCAAACGTCCCCATACTTATCATCTGGGTCCTTCTTCTTCTAGAGATGCCTTCCGCGAAATGCTCGAGAGCATCAAGACCCCCTACGACGAATGCATTGCAACCCTCCTGAAGAAGATGAAGCTGGACCCCTACTTCGCCGAGTTCTACTACTGGGCCAAGGACAACAACGTACCCATCGTCATCCTGTCCTCAGGAATGCGGCCGATTATTAGCGCCCTGCTGGAGCACTTCCTGGGCCACAAGCCGGCCAGCCACCTCACGATTGTCTCTAACGAGGTGGTGAGCCGCGATGGCAAGGACATCAACAGTGAAGGCGGTTGGCAGATCCAATATCACGACAATAGCCATTTCGGCCATGACAAGTCCCTGGAGATCAAGCCATACGCCGCATTGCCCGAAGGCGAGCGCCCGGTGCTGCTGTATGCTGGCGATGGCGTCTCGGACCTGTCTGCGGCTGCGGAAACGGATCTTTTGTTTGCGAAAAAGGGCAAGGGTAGGGCACCTCTCTTGGTTGAGCAGGGGGATCTGTATCGCTGACACTGTCCCAGATCTGGTGTTGTACTGCGAACGCCGCGGAATGCCCTTCACGACCTTTGAGAACTGGTCGACCATCCTCTCAACCACGAAGGATATCCTGGCGGGCAAAGTGTCGGCCCAAGAAGTGGCCCAGGCGCACAAGAGCCAGTAGAGTATGAATCGTTGGGCCGCCCGGGGGCACTTGGCCATGATGATAGTAATTATTCGGATAGAGCTATAGACGAGAATCGTACTTGCAAAGACTCATTTATTCCTTTCCTTCTGGTGATCAAACCTCCTCTCGCATGACTTCTTCGTCCTCTGCACATGAAGACCCAAAAGCGAGGCATCACTATTGATGGGGAACCTTGTGTTGGGGTTTACCTTGCGCTTGTCTCAGTCGTAGTCCAGACCGCCTTGGCCCGGGAGCAGCCATCCCTCGCCCAAGAGAATCCCCCAAAACAAGTGAACTCCCCCTTCACCCTGAGTTGACCTGCCCTCGGTCTTCTCTTTCGTTGCATTTTCTGATGGCTGGGTGGCCTGCACCATGCGACTGTGTCCACCCGCCAATCAGTTTGTCCTAAAGTCCCTGCTAGGGTGATCTCCTCATCATGGCTCGCCGGCTCGTATGGCTATCCCCATCTGGTTGTCGTCTCGAGACAAACTGACCGTCGTATCTAGGTCCGAACGGGCGTACAACTTGGTTTGCTCACCATCTTCGCCATCTGCCTGATAGTCTTTCTCGATAATCGATTTCGAGTCCTCCCCGCCTCCATCCATGGCCACCTCCCGACACACTTTTCCGGCTACGCGATCACCGACGTGACCGTCACCACCTGTTCAACCCTCAACCCCTTCTCGAACTGCAGACTCGACCCCGAAGTCTGGTACCGCATCGAGAAGGACCTCTACCTCCGCACGGGCTGGACCTCGAGCGCTTACATTCACTTTCAGCGGAAAAAAGAGGAGGAATTGTCTTCTTCGGACAAAGTCGTCGTCGATTTGAAAATCAGCCGTCTCACCCCGCAATCCGAAGGCAATAGCAAAAGCGAGATTGTTAACTGGGAGCAGCGGCCCGGGGGCATTTGGCTCAAACGCACCGCCGCCCGCCATGCTAGCGACTCACAAAACACCGTCACCTACGTCGATGTCCTGTTTGGCGCGGACGCCGTCGATCCGCGCCCTAACTGGGAAGTGAAAGACACCCCTCTGCTGCTGGACAGTAGGACGGAGGAGCTGGAGACTCGCCTCAGCATCCGTCGAGGCAACCCGGTCAAGCCGAAAATGCCTACTCCGCGGATCAATGAAAACGGCAAGTTCAAGGTGATGCAGCTGGCCGATATGCATCTGAGCACGGGCCTGGGGGCCTGTCGGGACCCTGTCCCTGCCGAGTCCGTGGCAGGCCAGGGATGTGAAGCCGACCCGCGCACGCTGGAGTTTGTCGAAAGGCTTCTCGATGAGGAGAAGCCGGATATGGTCATCTTGACAGGTGACCAGGTCAACGGAGAGACAGCTCCTGATGCCCAGAGCGCCCTGTTCAAGTCGGTGAAGCTTCTAGTCGACCGCAAGATCCCCTACGCGGCCATTTTCGGCAACCACGACGACGAAGGCGATCTCAACCGCGAACATCTCATGGCTATCTACGAAGAACTTCCCTACTCCATGTCGGCCGCCGGGCCCGAAGACATCGACGGCGTCGGAAACTATTTCGTTGAAGTCCTCGACCGGGGCAAGAGCACGCACTCGGCCCTGACCTTCTACCTCCTCGACACTCACTCCTACTCTCCCGACGAGCGCCAGTTCCGAGGCTATGACTGGATCAAGCCGAGTCAGACCCGCTGGTTCAAGAACACGGCCCAGAGCCTGAAACGGAAACACAAGGAATATTCGCACATCCACATGAACATGGCATTCATCCATATCCCGCTACCTGAGTACCGCAACTCCGACCTTTTCTACAAGGGTTCATGGGTGGAGGCACCCACAGCCCCTGGATTCAACTCGGGCTTCAAAGAAGCGCTCGAGGAAGAGGGGGTGTTGTTTGTGAGCTGTGGACAGTACGTACCCTGAACTTTTGTGTTTGTATGCAACACAAGCTAACTGCCACGCAGCGACCACGTGAACGACTACTGCATGCTCGACCATGATGAGGCCAACAAACCCTCCCTCTGGATGTGCTACGGTGGCGGAGTCGGCCTGGGCGGTTACGGCGGCTATAACGACTACGTGCGCCGCGTGCGCTTCTTCGACTTCGACATGGGTCCCGGCCGAGTGACGACCTACAAACGCCTCGAATGGGGCCAAACTGAAGCCAAAATCGATGAAATGATGATCGTCGACGCTGGCGCCGTCAAGGGTCCGGGCGATAGTGACACTGGCTCTGGATGACCGACCGTATTAAGCCTCTCTCTCCTTTTTCTCTTGTTTCAGTTTCTTTTTTCTATCCGCGTGTCCACTGCGAGTGGAGTACTGCTTGCATTTGTTCCTCGCACTTCCTGTCGTTTATCCGTCCATCGTCTCTCAGATACGCCGGCTTCTTTCTCCCATCCCACATTCTTCTACTATCACCGTGTACATATTATTGCCCCTTTCCCGCAAAAGGTCGGCGTCTCGGGGGTGGCCCCTTCTATGCTGTTTTCTGGAATCTTCCACTATGTTTCCTACTCTCGCCATTATACTTTGATCACTAGCGTCTGCAATTCGAGTCCGTCTTGACAGCATGCACGTCCGTGAATACCGTACTATGAAATCCTTCTTGCCACGGGCCTAGGCTTTCCAGTTGTTAAAGCATATATGTACAGCGTTGTTATTTGAGGTAAATGAGCGGCAAGTAAGTAACCTGGAGCATGCTATCTACGATCAAGGGTCAATTTCCTAGAAACAACGTGATGCCGTGACAGCATCCTTTCTTGATCCCCCGCAAGCCGAAACTACTACAAGGAATGGATGAAAAAAAGCGAAAATCGATTTAATTTGCTCAGCATATGATTACTATTATTCGAAAAATAGTCTTTGAGACTGCTTCGGTGGCGCAGTGGTAACGCGTTGCACTTGTAGTTAGCTGTAGTTAAGGCTTCAGTTAATGGATGATATGCAAAGATCCGCGGTTCAATTCCGCGTCGAAGCATGCTTTTTTTTGTTTTTTGGCCCCATCCGGGTGAATCAATAAATGGAGACAAGAACCATTGAAAGTATTCTCCCTCCTGCTATGTGTGAACATTTATTTTTATCTACTTGATGTCTAGTATGAGTCTTAGTCGACGACTTTTGTGATTCTGTGCATCCACTCACCCTATCTGTGGAACAAAGGCGGGGCATTCAAGGAAATCGATATCAAGAGAAAAGGACGGAGCAGAAATACTAGAAGTATATAGACTTGACAATCTTCTGAGCATGAGCATCACGCTCTTATTTTCCGGCCACGAGAACGCCACGGTACCGCATCTTGCCCTCCTCCAACGTCTTTAGACTGTCCTGCACTCCTTCCAGCGTCATCGGGAAAGTCATCTTCACGGGCTTGATGTTGTGAACGGCCGCAAACTCGAGCATGTCACGATGCACCTGTCTCGAGGATACAATTCCTCCTTGCACTCGGAGCCCGTTCACTAGCAATGGCATGTACGGAATCTTGAAGTCATTCGAATCAACCGAGAGGGGCGAGATGATGCCGCCGGGAGCCATGATGTTCAGGTAAAGCTGCCAATCCGGCTGGCTGCTGGTGGTCACGAGGAGATTGTCGATAGGTTTCTCGAGCTTCAACTCCTTCACGCCCTTGGTTGCATGGAATTCGGTGGCACCCAGTTTCAGAGCTTCTTCCTTCTTGTTATCTGTTCCGGAAAATACGACGACCTGGCAACCCATCTTGGCAGCGAACTGGATGGCCAGGTGGCCCAAGCCTCCGACGCCCACAACTCCGACACGCGCGGTCGGACGAACCTGCGCAACGTGGAGTGCGTTGAACACGGTCGATCCACCGCACATCAGTGGGCCGGCATCCTCGTTGCTCATATTGTCGGGAATCTTGAAAATAAATGCTTCACGCCACACCGCGTGAGAGCCAAAGGATCCCTGGTCAAAGTCCGCCAGGCCGTACATCTTGCGCTCCCGGCAGAGAGTTTCCCAGCCCGTCAGACATTGGCGACAATGGCCACAGCAATCGTGCTCGTATCCCCAGCCCACGCGATCGCCTTTCTTCAAGATCTTGGCGTCAGGGCCGGTTGCTTCCACCACGCCGGTGCCTTCATGGCCGAGAGCCATGTCGACATTCCGGTAGTGGACATCGGTGAAGCAAACGCCGGAGTGGGTGACACGAATGAGCACTTCGTCGCGCTTCAGGTCGCTTCCGCGCTGCACAACTTCTTTTCGAATCGTTCCATCTTTGGAACCTTTATATAGAGTGACATCAATGGGCATGTTGGATATTATCGTGAATTGGAACGGTATTTGGGAATTCCTGCTTCCAACTATTGGGGAGGACTCAACCGCCTTTTATACTCCTTTGGCCTTTTACGTCATTGTTCGGCCTTTCCGGCACGGAGCTAAGGCAACAGCTACTGTAGATTTGTAATCCATTTCGTGCAGTTCTTTGCAGCGAAAAAAAAGGGTTGATTGTGGGAAAGAAATAGTGATGCAACCTAGTGGACCCCCTTTTGCTGTTTACGGAAGCGATTGGGCCGCTGATATCATCACCCTGCGAGTTCGGGCAGAGAGCTTGATCGAGACGATCTGGTTCCCCCCTTGCCCTTCTGGTGGAGTACTTTTCTAAAGGTTAGGAAAATCTTTCCTAAACCGAGCTAAAGCCTTTGAAGACCTTAATAGTTCACTTCATGCAGAGCAAAACGATCTACATCAATCCAGATACATGTAGTTTTAAGCAGGCCCTTCACCGACTCACCAGCTTAGCTCAGCAGAAGGTGTTTAGATAGAGTGCTTGGTCACAGTAAAGTTGTACGACGGCTTCATGTCATGCTTGACCGGGTAAAGGTCGCTACCAAGCATACGCATGTCCCGAGCGTAGTACTCAAAGTTGAGGGCGTTGGCGCTGATGTCCAGGGTGACGAAGCCGTTAGCCGACTGCAGCTTGTCGGCACCGAGCCACTGGGCGAAGGGGCCGAGCTTCTCGCCATAGTTACAGTCACCAGCCTGGGCGTAGCCCGCGGCACCGGTGAGCACGAAATTGGTGTCCTGGTAGTAGTAGTGGGCCATGCAGTGGTCGTGGCCGTTGACGACGACGCCGTTGTGTTTTTGGACGATGTCCATCAGCGGGGCCAGCTCGGTGTAGTTGCTGGACGACGAGACGTAACCGTGGTGGATCTGCAGGAACTTCCAGTCGGCCTTGGACTCGGCGAACGACTTCTTGAGGAAGTCGACCTGCTGCTGCGTGGTCTTGTGGCAGGCCTTCAGGTACGGGGTCAGGTAAACCGAGCTCGACTCCTGGTACGTGTTGATGAAGCAGTCTGATTCCACCACGACGAAGGTCGCGGTCCAGTTGGAGCCAACCAGGTCATAGGTGTAGTAGGGCAGGTGGTCGTGGCCGAAGTACCAGCGGTCATCCATTAGGGGAGCAATACGGGTCTGGAAGTCGACAGCGGGCTGGCCCGGGATAACGTCGTGATTGCCCAAGCATTGGTACCACGGCTTGCCGTCAAAGGCTGTGCCGTTGTACATGCTAGCCCAGGCCTGGTCGAAACGCAGGATGCCCTCGGTCTCGAAGTCGACACCGCTGTCGTAGAAATTGTCGCCGACGGAGATGAAGGCAGAGCAGTTCTTCATCAGACACACATTCTCAATGTACTGGGCGGTTTTTTCTATCATGATGTGTTAATCCATGATCTCAAAGGAGCAAGAAAGGCTTACTCTGCTCAATAGTAGCATTGCGGATATCATACCGGTCACCCGGGTCGCAGTCGTTCTGGATTTCGCGAGGGATGGTGATGCCATCCGCGATCAGCTTCGGCATGATCTCGTTACAGAACGACAGCGGCAGAGGCTCCCAACCAGTCCAGCCATAGTCTAAGGGTTATTAATATGCTTGTTTTCTGTCCATTGCAGTGAAAAATACTTACCACCCAAGAGAGCAACGGTGAGGACATCAGCACCCTGCGGCGCAACTATGGAGTTCTTGGCGGCGAAGGCACTGACGGCCAGACCCAGAGCTAGGACGGCCCGAGACATGGTAAACAGATTGGCTTTATGCGTTTACTTTGCGTCGTGGTATCTAGAGATTCCTGGGCGGCTTGCCCTTATTTATAGGTTAGAAGTGACGGTCGAAATCACTCTCGGAGATTAAGGCACAGTTTCTTTTGTTCCTGGACCCTGTTCCTTGTATACTAAAAAGCTTAATTGCCCCACACAGATTGGATTTAGCTAACGGGAAGCTGCCATCCGCCCTCGTGGCTTGGCAACTGGGGGGATAGTCATCGCACTCAGACACGCTAGTCGTAACAGGCCACCATGTGTATTTGCGCAGCCCGTAAAGAGGGAGATTATTTCTGAATGCCCCTCAATTCCCGGCTAAGCGGCTACATTCTCGTCGTTGCTCTCATCGAATCTCATCTCGTCTGTGCGCCTGACGGCGGTCCGGGCATTTCTCTACCAACATTGGTGATGCTAAGCATCGTTGAAGGCGATTACAGGCGGGATCTTCCATCTCAGCCACGGCCCAAGCCCAAGCAGCGCTGGGGAATGGTGAGGTATCTGCCGCGTAGCAAGCTCGTATGAACATCTCCGGATTTTCCTTCCTAGAAGTACAGGAAATACATACAAACGTAATAGATGTACTTTAGTTAGTGGTCCTATGGTTCATTTTTCTGTCATTTTCGCAAGCCTAGATTGGTAGTTGAATGGTCATTATTAGATCATTTAGTGCACCGCATGGGCAGATGTCGAGAAGGCTGCCAAAGGGATGCCGAACAGATTTTCAAACACAGATAACTTATTGAATGGGGCGGACGGGGGATACATGGTTTCATAGAACTCCGGGTCGTCGATATGGAGCTCCCACAGGTTTATTCGCACAATGGGGCCATATTGGGCATGCAGCTCCTTAATGTGCCTGGTAAACATGCCCCCCCCCCCCCCGGATACCATATCTTATAGTATGTCTCATACCATTGCGTCGCAGCGGCCAATTTGGGACCGGGGAATTGTCGCGGTGGACTTAGATATAGCCGATAGAGGACAAGACCCAGCAGATGAAGTCCGCCAGCGAGAGCGGCGTAACTAATCCAGGGCAAAATAAATCGGGACAGCAGCATAGCGCTCTCTAATCATCAACTGTGGATTTGTCATATAAAGAGTTTAGGGAATGGTGCATTTTATCTATCTTAGGTAGCTGTTCATCCAAACCCGGACTAGGTCTCGAAATTTTTGTTCAACCCTCTTTGCTAAGGTCGCGCTAGCCTAGCGAGTGTTCATTCACTGTGAATTATATAATTATATAATAGCGTGCTTATCTTGCAGATGACAATGCGGTAGTGCCATATCAGCCATCAGTGCTAGATTTTGCTTACTTTGATTAGACAGGGATCGTTAGATGCTAGAGAAGATTACCAATGCTTGGAAATTTGGACCCTTATTACCAATGCTCGCAAATTAGATTGGTTAATCGCTCTTAGGAGCTTACAATTGCAACATCCAAGTATAGAGAACTCCAAGACCACGTCAAGAAGTGGGTTACCGGGGTTATTTAAGAAGGTGACCATTCGTAACAATAACTAAAAACATCTATTTGAGCAATATTCCCACACACACTAGGCGACTTTCTCTAAGGCAAAAACGCAAAGCACCACCGTCATCATGTCTACTATATTAATTTCCGGTGCCAACAAAGGTAAGGCAAACCCGCGGATTACTTATCTGTCGTCTTTTAAGTGTACTGATTCTGTTAGGAATTGGCCGCGGGCTTGTCGCCAAGTACGTGGCTCGCGATAACGTGACTGTGATCGCAGCCGTCCGCAACCCAAGCTCATCGGAGGCAACCTCTCTCTCACACTTTCCTACGGGGAAGAGTAGTCGGCTGATTGTTGTCAAAATCGACGCCACCTCCAACTCCGACGCCAAAGCTGCAGTGGAGTCATTGTCTAGCCAGGGTGTGTCGGCTCTGGACATTGTTATTGCCAATGCGGGAGTCTTCGACACAGCCGCTTTCACCACCGTTGCCGATTCCACTATTGCGCAGATCCAATCCCACCTAGACGTGAACGCTGTCGGACCTGTACGACTGTTCCAGGCTACACTCCCTCTCCTTGAGAAGTCATCCTCTGCTCGCTTCATCCTAAATAGTAGCCTTATGGGGACGATTGGAGGCATTAAAGACATCCCGATCAAAATTGCGCCTTACGGTGCTAGCAAGGCCGCGGCAAACTTCTTCGTTCGGAAAATCAACTTTGAACATGATAATATTGCGACCTTGGCAATCCATCCTGGGTATGTAGTTACCTTTTAACTCTTTTCTCTTGCGTATGGCATTAACTAATAATTTTGTATAGGGCCGTTAAGACAGATGCTGGAAATGACGCTGCCCGAGCTGTGGGCTACCCTGGAGCTTTCATTGAAGTTGAGGACAGCGTGAATTCAATCGTTGCTAAAATCGATGGCTTGACCAAGGAGAACGGAGGGGGAGAGTTCTGGGGATTCGACGACACCACTATCGATTGGTAGATACAAGAGATTTGGGCGACTCGCTTACCGATTACGTTAGGTTGTTGCTGTAGTGTTATCAAGATCGAGTTTATTGTTGATCCGCAATGAACCTGCCGATCTCGTACCGAGTCCACCAAGCATCGGTAGAGTATAATCGCCTCGCATTGCACTAAGCAAAGGAAGCTCCGAACTTGAGACCGCCATAGGTCGAGCTAATCCACTATATGACCTAGAGTTAGGACGTCCTAGATGGCCGATGCCGTTGATTGTAGCAAGCAATCTATACTATACATTCGCTCTCACCTGGAAGTGTTTAGGAACAGTTTGCCAAACCCAGAAACTATACAGTAGCCCCAGAGTCATATACTTTGCGAGAAGCCAGAATGGCAGGGGAACGACTACCAATTTCCCTATACCAAGATGACTACCTAGAACTCTAGTTGCCTTTGGCTCGCCAATTCAGTTACAAGACAGAGCAAGTCTATTATAATTAGAGTAAGTCACTGTATTTATACTGATAAAGAAATGAGCCTTGGCATTATGGTTCGAGAAACAATGAAAGAGTGTAGGCGGTGGCACCAGTCGCACTGTATCTACTCTCTGCTCTAAGGCTTACAGCTCCATGCTGCAGTCAAAAAGTCCTCGGTTTGAGTGAACTTGTACTCTGGCAGCAGTCTGTTCCACTCATCTGAAACGGCAAAGGCCTTTGCAGAAATAGCCAATAGAATTCCAGCAACACCGACCTTCGAAAACGCTTCAACCTGCTCAGGCGGGATTGAGGGATGATCGACTTTCGGTACCCATGAGGTCTGCCAGGTCCCATTTTCAAGGTCCTCCGGCTTCAGTTCCTCGAGGTGAAAGGGGAGGCCTCCTAATGAGTAGTATATCAGCACATTTCGTAAATTATCAAGTATATCCGAATAGGATTACCCACCGCGGACTTTCTCGCCGATGGCTATAAGCTGTCCGATGGAGATGTCGGTGCCTCTGATACCTCCGACAACCGGCCACTCAGCATCGAAATCAACGGCCATGGCTACTACATTGGCGAGATCATGCACTGAAGTGAAGGTGATTCGGTCGTCCTCACTGCCATCTATGACGATAGCTCGGCGGTTTTCAAAATCAAAAGGGGGTTCAAATAGGTGAAGGTGCTTGGTCGACTTATAAGGAAATGTCAAATAGTTCACGAACAGACCAGGTTGAAATAGAGTGTACTCCAAAACCTACAGATAATTTCAAGTGTTAGATTTTCAGGATCCTACAGAAGGCTCTCAGATCCCACCTTTTTGTCCCTGTTCAGCTCTTCCAGATATCGGCGCGTTTCAGCCTTGTAGGCGTACCAACTTAGATGTTCCAGGCCAGACCTGCAAGATGTGAATAGGTTAAAACCATTATGAGAGGTGAGGGAGGCTTACGTGGCCCATTCGCTGGGTGCAAAACGCTTCACTCCAGCTTGAACTGCAGCGTCGATAAGCCTTTTCTGGACGGGACTGGAAGGATCGTCCTGTTCAGAAGCGAAAGACAGAAGGGTGGGGACCCCATGCAGTATCTGAGTCAACTCTTTTGGGTCTTTGTAGTCTGTTTTAATCCATGTAATGTCTGGGGTGGCCTCTCCAGCCGGGGCATCCTGTAGAGACCAATTAGAAACGACTGATCAATGGTTATTCAAGAAGGGATACAAGCCTTTCTCGACAGAATCAATATATTGTGCTTCTTAGTTGCAACGAGGGCGTCAAGGATCTCTTGCCCAACATCTATTGAGATGTAAGATTTAGTAACGCTGCGGATTGTAGTGTTGTAAGTTACTGGCACTCACTGCCAGAGCCGCCAGCAATCGCAATCTTGACCATTTTCGCTTATTATTTGAACTTAAAAGTATCTTTCATGAGAAATTTATAGGCTGACCTATTTCGACCAGGTGAGTCGTTTCTAGATACGAGCTGCTCTATATAAATGCTTTGGCCGAGAGCTCGGTCGAATTCACCGACTGATTTGTCATGACCGAGGTTTCGGTCGAATTCAACAACTGTTTTGTTATGCCCGAGCTCAGGCGGTCCGTCACCATACACACTCTCTCATCTCATCGTGGTTTCAACATTGAAACCAGGGGGGCTTCAATCAAGATACTCGCATTACTGGTCCTGATGAGACGTCAGGAATTGCCTGGTGTGCATAAGCGATGAACGAAACGACTCACCAAAAAGCCAGACCTGGAGCCGAAAAAAGAAAAACCCGGAAGGGAACTCAAAGCTGTTGGGAGTGCAAGCGACGAAAAGTCCGTTGTATCTTCGCCCCTTCCGCTCATACCTGCAATAATTGTCGGAGACGCGGGAGTGCATGCATCAGCCAGGAGTATCCGGATAAGCCGGTTCCCTCCGTCAGCATTAATCAAGTAGAGGGACGGCTTAGCCGGGTAGAGAATCTGCTCGAGCAGTTACTCGCCGATACTGAGTCTACCCGCACTCTACAGTCCGCAAGTAGAGATCGTTCCGAAGCTCGCTTGACTTCGGTGACGCTAGAGCATAGAGAGGAGTCTCGGTCAGACATAGTGTCGTCGGCGAGCCGCACGGTGGTGAGTTTATATCAAGCTCGCCATATAACCTTCTTTTGACAATTACAAAGCACAATATTGATAATGGGATAAATGCCCGCTCGAGACCCCCTTCGAAGCCGCCATCGGTCTCGGACGGGCGAGCCCTAAGCAAATATGAAGAACTGGCTCGCGACCTTGTCGCGGCATGGCCCAGCGAGGGTGATATCAATATCATCTGTAGCCTCCCTATGGGTATTTCAACCCTAATGTTTTGTGGAGTATGCACGTCCTGTTCTACCTTTACCGGCCCGGCCCTATCATCCCCAAGGGAGATGCTACAGCCTCCCCAGCCGAGCAACCATCCGGTGCTAATTGCGCGTAAACTTCTGGTCCTCGGTGTGTTCCTGCAAGCAATCCCCCCTTCTTCTATCCGAGGCCTGGGCTACGTAGGTACCTCTATCCGCTCTATCATGCCCCGCGTCGTCCAGAGAGCTATCAGCCTCGTCACTACCAACGAAGAACTTATCGGCTCCGTCGAGGGCATTGAATGCATAATGCTCGAGACTATGTACCAGAACTACGCTGGAAACCTGCATCGTGCATGGATGGCAATACGCCGGGCGATTACCGTCGCGCAGATGATGGCTCTGCACCGCGGTCTTGCCTCGCCGTCGCTGAAGATCCTCGACCCTGAGACTCAAGTTGGCTTTTCCCCTAGTCAAACCTACTTTCGATTGGCTCAAATGGATCGCTACCTCTCAATTATGCTGGGCCTACCGCATATGTTACTCGAAGACCGCTTCTGCACTCCTCAAGTATTAGAAGGGTTGGATCCCAATGAACGCATGCAACGCATCCACTGCGCCGTTGCTGGGCATATCCTGCAACGAAAAAATGGCGACGAAAATGACCTGGTCAATATTCACGAGGAGGACTTGCTATTGCATAAAGCCGCAGCTGAGATGCCACCCCAGTGGTGGCTGATCCCGAATTTCCTGTCCAGCGATAGCGAAGATACAAGGCTCCTTCGTGATACAAATCGTATCATGGACCAACTCACGCATTATCACCTGCTTCTGCGGCTGCATTTACCTTATATGCTTTGCTCCTCATCTGACCATAGGTACGATCATAGCAGGATCACCGCCATCAACGCCAGCCGCGAAATCCTATCTCGCTATATAGCGCTTCGCACGTCAAACCCCGCGCAGTTCTACTGTCGCGGCTGTGATTTTCTCGCCTTTATGGCCATTACCATAATTTGTATGGCTCACATTACTTCTCAAAGCCAGTTCCAAGGATGTGGGGAACTCTCAGGCCTGGTCACTGGTGTCGAATCCCTTGTCCACAGCCGCCCAAGTGACCGCGGCTACATGGAGCGTACTCTAGAGATCATCGAATCTATGGCCTGCAATGATATCGATTTGATCGCCTATAAGCTTACCCGAATCATTCACCATCTGCTCATCATTGAGGCAAATGCTGCCGGGGGTGACTTGTACCACACAAGCTCATCTAAAGATACCGAGGGAGGGCTTGAGTATGACGGCCGGTTAACCAACAGCGGCAAGGCACTGCACATCCAGATTCCCTATTTTGGTGCCATCAATTTTGAACGCGGTGTCATCTCAAAGCCTGCTTCAAAAATACGAGCGCAACCCGAGCTGGGCATACCGGCCATGTCGGTCACGGATAGACTGCCCCCGGGTCAGCGTGTAGAACACAACCAAAATCTATCATCTGGATCTGACATCCTGTCCTCAAATACTCATCAGCTATTGTCAGAGCTCCAGCCCGAAACACAGAATGGATCCATAAGATTGAACAGTAACGACAGCCTACCCACGCAGCTACCGGCTTTTAATGGATTTCCAGGCGATGACGACGGTGACCTACAAGGCATTGACTTCTTCTTCGATAGCCTTTTCTGTGGAGCCGAAATAAGGAGAAATAGTTAGGGAGGACGAATACGTAAGAGGGGAGCGATGATCGGTGATTCTCCAACGCATATGGTGAAGTCGGGTTAAAGTACCACGAAGATAGATATTTTGTGGAATTCTTCGTACGTTAAATTTATATATAGTAAGCATTTGTAAATGTCCCGTCAGGGTACCCTCTCCCTGTCTTACTTTCACTTGGTGGCAATCTCTTTACTGAGTTTGCAGCCACAAATTTATTCCCAGCTCTGATAACTTAGCATGTAGGAAAACCATGACGGTTCATTAAGGTACCTGGCTTGTAGATGGGACGGGTCGGGACATACAATTCAATTGCTACTTCCTTGCGAGCCCACCAAATGTCCGCAGAAACTAATCCCGGCAGTCTACATATTCCAAAATCATTCCATCCAATACTGGGATTTATGTCCCGCGAAGGTGAACCATCTCCTATGAAATCGAAGAAAAATTCGCTACAGAACCTCAAGGCAACGATGTGACTCTTGCACCAACATGGTCTCTTCTCAGCCGTGCGTCATTCAGTACGACCAGATCCTCGACTCTCCCCTCACATCCTTGATAGCCTTGGAATTCATTCTGCCATACCAAAGGCGCAACCCTGTTGCCAGAATGGCGACAAAGTAGGCGCATCCAGCGCACGTAAAATTTCCTGTTGGATAGCCTCGATCAGCCTCTCCCGGTTTCCAGATCCACTGCGCAATGATTTGCCCAATGCCCGCAGACGAATTGTGCAGTGCGAGGGCGAAGGGGATTGTCAGCAGGCTGGGAGTGTTGCAAGCCACCCAGTTGGTCATCGAAGGCGCGGCGGGGAATGCTCCAGCTGCTGCTAGACACAGGCATCCGTATCGTTTAATATATGCATCGGGAGGGAGCAGCCCTGCAACCAGCCATCCTGTCCCTCCTGCCAGCGATGCTCCCGTGATGTGCCAGCCTCGCATGTTGAGACGGTCCGCAGAGTACGAGAGCGTGATGGCCACCACGAACCCCACAACCCATGGCGGCACGGTCATGAGTTGAGCCTGGATGGACTGGTATCCCAGGCCAGTGACGATAGTCGGGGTAAAGAACGTAAATGATCCTTGTTGCACCACGTTGGCAACCTGAATAAGGCATTGGGTCAACACAACGCACGCCTCAAGAAGAATAGGTGTGATAGACACGATCAATAAATATACTCACGTATGCAATGTAATGTGTCAGCATTCGTGGACTGAAGAAAGTAGCCAAGATCTCCTTGCGACTCGCATGGTTTGAAAGGTAGCCACCGCCTCGCTCCTTGAGTCTATCCTCAGCGAAGCGCTTCTCCGAGCCACTGAGCCACTTTGCCCGAGCAGGGTAGTCTGGGAGGAAGAGGAAGACGGGCAGCGCTGAAATGACGGTAATAATGCCCTCGATAATAAAGAGCCAGCGGAATCCTTGCAATCCAGATGCGCCGTTGACCTGCCCGATGCCGTATGCTATCGCTCCCCCGAACGCGCCGGCCAAGTTGCAGAAGGCTACAACCAGAGCGATTCGTACAGATCGCTCGTTGTAACGGTACCATATTGTGATGAGATAGCAAATACCTAATAGAAGAAGGAACATGGTCAGCCATGCGTCGAACGGAGAATCACTTTTCAAGTCTCACCAGGAAAGAAGCCGGCTTCACACTGTAGTAAGAGTCAGCAGTCAAGACATGAAAATCAAAATATTGCTGGATGGGAAACGCTTACAACTCCAATCAGCAACCGCAGAGCGAGGACGGTGCCGTAATTCTTAACACCAGCAAATCCAAGCGTCAAGATACCCTGTAACACAAAATTAATGAGAAACGAGGAACTCAAGTCGAGCAGGTTGATCTCTTTCAGAATCACATATTTTATGGGGCTGAGAATCTCTTCTCTGAACAACAGCTAGATTGATTTGGCTTGAAGGAATTTGGGGATGGGAGTGTGCTCAATCAACATACCCAGCAGGTAAGTAGCGTGCCTAACCAGATCGACGGGCGCACATAATGCTTCATGATCCAGTTGGAAGGCACTTCAAACACAGCGTATGCTAAGGAAAAGAGCGTCAGAGTGATGGAGTAATCCATGGCGGTCATCCCCGTCCGCTGCAGCAAATCATCGCCGGTTTCTTCGTTGAGAACCTTTGCATTGCCGATGTTGCCTCTATCAAGAAAGTTTAAGAGATATATCCAGCAGCATAATGGCAGGATTCTGATGTCTAGAAGTCGATTCAGGCGGCGGTTTTCCTCATCGTCGAGTAAATCCAGCGACGAGCCTTCTACGGCAGTCGCATCCTGATTCTGCGGAAACCCGTTTAGCCGTTTTGCCAGCTGAGGAGTTATAAAAGAGACGCATTTTCACCTCAAGAGAGTTATCCTCTAGATGCTGGGTTTGCTCTCCTTTCCCCATGTTTTCAGCTGCGACGTAGTTCCCGTTTGATGTGCTCCTTGAAAGCGCAGGATGCCTTATGATGGGAATTTATGCTGGGAGCTTTGATGGAAGAAGAATGGGATCAAACCAGAAAGAGGGGGGAGGGGGTCAACTGAACACCATCATGAATCTGATCATCGTGTGGACCCCGTTAGCAGGATGATCTGTGATTCGATGCTGTTGTTCCCCGGAGCTGTATATCTCCCCTGTTGTAGTTGGAGTACAACAATCCTTCGATATTTCCGGATAAATCTCCAGGTTCTCCGCATTGGCTCTACCGGAGTGGGGTGCCCAGCAAACCTAGTTTTGTCCTTAACCCCGCCTTCTGGGGTGATCGTGTTGGAGAACCGGTATTGACGGACGGATGGATGAATGAATGGATGATATCATTTACCCTAACCCCTTCACAATCAATTGGTGTGCAAGTTACCACTATGGTGTAAATACATGATTTGTGCGGGCCACTGTGACGTTGCAAGCTTCCTTCTCGGTGAACTTTGAGCCTCATCTGGTAAGGTTAAAGTCGACTGCAGCAGATATGCATGGGATTCAGGGACTTAAATGTCAGCTCAGTGCCTTCTTTATTCCCTTAGGAAGCTTGCTGCTCAATCATATAGTGCCGTTTCCATGCCCTAGAAAGGATCTAAGCCTACAAATAACACACTAAAAATATGAGGACCTGGGAAAATAACGCCGTAAATGACCGCTTCGGAAGCCAGAAACGGCTGCCTGCCTATTCACCGCACCGCATAACACCCTTAAATTTTTAAATTCGAAACACCATATGGCAAGATGGTCGAGTGGACTAAGATGGAAGGACGCCTTCACCAAGGCAACTTGGTGTCATCGACTCCCGAAAGAGGCATGGATGAATCCCACTCCTGTCATTCCCCCACGGTCACGACTACTGACTAGCCTCTCATCTATTTCTAGAAGAAGAGATCGTGGCTTCGCTGTAAAGGATATTCTCATAACTATTTTTTGGCATAGGACTGTCGGGCATCGTGGAGCACGGATAGAATGGCGTCGATTCCCTCCACGGTTCCGCGGATTGCGCCTATGCTTGTCGAACTGTAAATTCACCACCATTTTTCAAAAAGCACCCTCCTCTCCGCATCCTCCCCAAGAATTGGCCCTAGCAACCCAACCATTTGATCCGTCATCTGCGGCGGTCCACAAACATAGCACACCGTCTCACGGGGATCAAGTCTCCCATCGCCACCTACGACCGCAGAGCGCAGATCATGCTCACTAATTCTCCTGGGATGGATCGTCAGATCTGCCAACTGACCTGCAGACGAAGTAAGCAGCGGGGACGACGACGCCAGGTCCGTCAGGAAAAGATCTAGGGAGATCCGCAGGCGGTGGGAGTGTAGTTGGGAGCGAATTATCTGGCGCAGACGCGACAGGAATAGAATCTGATCTAGGGTCTCCTCGGACGAAGATGTCTCTGATAGTCCGCGTGGCAGTTTGCTGGAGTATAAGAAGTGGATGTTTGTTGGGTGGTGTGGTGGTTGGAATGAGTTGTTATTTAGGTGTGAGAGGATAGAGATGAGAGGACTGTTTCGGATCAGTTTCGTGGAGATGAAACAACTAGGAGGCAAGCCCTCAGCTCAGCACTTACTTGATGCCGACGCCACCGGCGATAAAGACTACGTTCTTGACAGTCTCCACATCTACGCCGGCAGGCGGCCAGACGAAGCTTCCGCCCACGCGGACACTTAGCTCCTTGCCTACGATTTCCGCCTTCGGCCGCCAGAGCCATGCGGCAGAGGGATTAGCGGGGGAGTCCTGGACGGCCAATTCCACGTAAGGAGCCCGTCCTTGCGGCTCTGTGGATGAGAGCGTCGTCTCTTCTTGAGGCGGGGCCTCGGGGGATGGCAGTGCCTGTGCATCTGCCGGCGTCGAGGTGATGGTGAAGCCTCCCGCCTGGGCAATCGATGGGATGTGAACATCGAGCCATTGGCCGGGCAGGAAGGTAAATGGCTGTTGTTGTTTGTCATTCTGTCGAGGGGTTAGTTTCGTTCGCCGATGCGGCTAGCCTGGAGACGAAACAGGGAAGGCAGCGGCTATCGAGGGACTAGGTGCTTCGGAGAATAATCATCATCCATGTCATGTATACCAACATACATTGTGATGAATGGCTAGCTGCAGCAGTCGCACCGACTGGTTGATCTGCTCCACATGCGACAGATGCACCGGGTACAGCCTGTTCTGGCGGGGCTCTGCCGCTGTGCGCAGCTCATGGGGAATGGAGTCTTCGCGAGACGAGATCATGCCGCGCGACAGGGACCGGGGGTGACGATGGGCCAGGCGGAAGAACGGCTTCATGGGCGATCGAGGTGAGTGGAAGTGGGAGGTTCGGGCACATGACGGACACCTGACTCAACACTTCTTTCACTTGCACCCTATACCGATCCACGATACGCCTACTCCCACCGCCGTAGTCCTAGTAATTCCTACTCACCTAATGAGCGACGCGCTGTGTGATGCAGGCCCGGCTCGTGCAGATCGGCCCATCCATCACACCGGCTAGTGTGTGACGACCACCGGCCGACGCTGCTCGTCCCGCCTCTCATTGGCAGCCACCCCCCGGTCGCTGGCGGGCACTGGCGCTTTGCCGCCATCACGTATTGGCCAGATGCACCTCGAGGAACCTCGTAGCCCATGCTGATTCGTGCCCCTCGTCTGCATCGGAGCCATGCCCTTCATGCATGCCCACGATGGGCTGTCGGCTCTGCCATATCTAAACGCCCGTCCACCCCAAACTCTTCCCCCCCTTCTCTGCCTTGCTGTCGACAGCTGAGAGCTTGGTGTTGACCTGAATGTCCTCGCCAGCCGGTCTGGCCCCTTCGCTGTGTTGTACATCATTCGACTGTCGGGCCCTTCAGCTGAACGGTCACCATCTTTCGAAGACTCCCATCCATCGTCACCATGCCGTTCTACTTCCCCAAGAAGCACCGGTATCATAAGTTGACGCTGTATTTCATGCTCGCCGAGTTGCCGATCACAGTCGTTATATTGACCTTGACGGGTATTGCATCGCACAACCTGTACCGCTCGTTATTATGGCAGGACGGCGCGGATAATGGTTTCAACAGCGCTCCCAACGAGGCGCTCTACGCCGCCGCCAACTATCGTCCATACACGGCTCCCATGGTGTGGTCATCATTGTGCGTCGTCCTCGATGAATCATTTTAACATATAACCGCGCTAACCCAAGAGACAGCCTCACCAATTACAACCTCGTCCTAGGAGTCCTGAGCACATTCATGCTGATCGTCAAGTTTCCCCTCCATCTGATGCGTTTGTTCTATCCTCCTCTGGCGGCTTTCATCCATTGCTCCTTGATCGTCCTCTATGTTGTCTCGGCACGGTTCCAAGCCGGCAGCGACATGTCCGATCCAAACCACCCCCAGCCAGGCCCGCCATGGTACATCACAAAGCCATGCAGCGTGGCCGCTCACGAATCGAACATCGGCTACTGTGAGCAAGCCAAATCTCTCTTCGGCATTACCTTTGTAATCATGTATGTTGGTGCAACAAGCACAATCTCCTCTCCTTTCCAAAAAAGAACTCCAGCTAACCCACCTTTCCCAGAGCCCTCTACCTAGTTGAGCTAGGCTTCAACATCCACTCCTGCTTCGTAACGAAAGAGGAACGCACGCGGATTGACGAGAAGAGAGAGGAAAAGAAGATCGAAAAAGAATTTGAAGAAGCCATCCTCAACTCTCCCGGCTTCGTTCCCATGAATCAACAAATGATCCCTCGCACACCGGGTATGGTCCCCGGGCAGCACTACCCCCACACCCCAAAATACCCGTTCAGCCCAGAGTTCGCCTCCTTCAGCCCCGGAATCCCGCCCATGGCCGCCGGTGGAGCCATCTCGCCGTATACCCCACGCACCCTGGCTTTCAACCGCCTCGGCGGCGGCAGCACATCTTCCGACCTGCCGCTGCGAGAGCACGCACACTCGTCGTCTAACGGCCAACAATCCTCGTCTGAGGCGATGACTCCTCATACCTCACAGGAGTCACAGATGTACTTCCCGCCCCCGCCGAAAAAGGCAATGACCAAGAGGTAAATGTGCTTGGCGTACGAATGTTGTTTTTTGTCTTGTTGTTCTCGCAAGTGATACCACCATTGCCTCTTTTCATACATAGCACTACTCTCCTTTTTTTTTACACTTTACATTCTTCCCGGGGATGGAGGATGGTGTTCTATCCCTTTTAATTACCTGCGACGCTTCTGCGTCTGTCTGTCTGTCTGGACTTGGATTGGAGTTTCCAAACATGAAAAATGCATACATCCCAACTACTCATCACCATCACAATGGGATTTCTAAGGTCATTCGCATCAAGGTATCTCAATCTAGACAATTGAGCACCACATTCATGCTATCTTCTTTATGGTCCTATTTTTAAGGGGAAATCGGTACTAGTTGCCTCATAAGCCCGGCCCCAGATCCACCATATATAGTTCATTCATTTCAATAGGGTACTATCTGTCCTTGTACCAAGACCAATCCCAAACACGACAACAATAAACATAAGTCAAGTCATTAAGTCATCAGCCAGGCTACGATGTGTATAGCATGGAACCAATTGCAATACAAAAACAATATGTGCTCCGCCCCGACGGAATCCCGTGGGGATATCTTGTTGCAAAACTTCAAGCCAATGTGAGAATAAGAGACAAAAACCATGGAATCAGGCTACTTCCTGACGCTTTTTTTCCTTCTTGGACCAGCGCACTAGAACACGAGTTTGTCAGTTCTGAAATCCCAAATACCGTCACGAATGAGAACCACTTACAGCCGCAAGCATTGCACATTGTCTTCGGTCCATTCGGACCCTTCCTCCATTCCGGCGAATCAGCAGTTCCACAGTCACTGCAGACATGCTGACCCTTCAGCCTCTTGCGTCTATCGCCTTCCTGCGCAGTGCGGGCTTGGTCGGCGGCCGTAGTAATGTCGATATCACAGTGGATCAGACGACCACGACGAACACCGGTACTGAGACCCTGCGATCTCTCGCCTTCTCCGTAGTGAAGACCCGTCATGACTTCGATGCCGTCGATATGCGACAGACTCTCCAGTTGGTGGAGCGGATCCGACGAGAGATAATCAATCGCGTTGGTATCTGAATCATCCGAATTATTGATCAAGGTCTCGGTCGAATCATGGTCGCTAGAGACCCCCGCCTGCGCCGTCGCCGAGGCATTCTGAGCGTCGACCAGCGGTGCTCGCTTGTCATCGAATCTCTGATACGCCATGCGGACTGCGGCGGCTTCTTCTTCCTCTTCCTCCCTTTTCAGCTTGGCAATTTGCTGCACCAGCCGCGCATTCTCGATCTTGTGTTCCAGGAATGAATCAAGCATCTGGGAGACCTTGGATGGATAGGGTCGGCACACGAGGAAAAACCCGGTGCAGCGACTCGAGACATTTCCAGCACCACGGGGCTGGTCATGCTCGTTTGCAACATGCGGATGCCCATAGGCCTCGAGGAGGTTGTACGAACCGTTTGACTTCCGGAAGCGCAAGTGGGTCCGGAAAGGCGCGTTGCTCGCCACGGCGTCGTCCAGGTCCTGCTGGAAAATGGCTTTGTCGTCGTCGTGGAGGTACTCAGTAAGGACGCTGCCCTCGAGCTGTTTTGCCACGCGGCTGGTAATTTGTTTCGAGGACGGCGACGCATAAGTGACCCGTCCCTCGGCATTTAGAAGGAGCAGCAGGTCTTTCATCTCGTCCAGGACTCGCTGCGTCCACCCTGGATCGATTGGTACATTCTGGTAGCCGCCGACCTGGGAGTCCTGCATCCCATATTGTCCGGTATAAGAGCCGGCCACGTTCTGCCGGTCCATTGATGCGGGCATTTGCATGCCGTATGACTGTTGGCTTTGCATGTCAATTACCGATAACTCAGCGGGGAAGTGATTTGTCAAGTTGATGTGTCTGGATAGTGCGGTGTGCCTTCGACGTCAGCGTCCTGGAGGGATCAAAGCGGGCAGCATCCGCGATGGACAGAAAATGGATATAGATTGGCTGTTGACGCCAGGGCGATGACAAGCAAGACGCAACTTCTGAGCCTGGATTTAGAATAAGCAGTAGAACCAGCTTGACAATTTGTCCTTTGGTCAGACGAAAAGGAGTGCAACTTAGACTGGAAGAAGAGTCAGGCTTGACAGGCGTCGGATAATACGTCACGTGCGCCCGCGTCATGGCGGAGAAGTTGATGGATCACAAACCAAAAGTACGCGTGGGTCATCCTTGATCGAAGACTGTAGTGCTGGTTATCATCCAACACAATGTGAGTGCGCTTCATTCCCGGGTCTGGATCATGATTGCTAACTGCTCGCAGGTGTAAGTGCAATAACTAGCGATTCTAGGCGCAACGAGTGCTGACAGACGGGTTTCCCGCGCAGCGAAGATCGACAAGCTCTCGATTCTGGGGTACGCTGGCACTTTTTTTTGGAACTTCACTCAAGCTTTGCTGATAATCATACTTTTTTAGAGTCCGTTCCTTCGATAACACGCGCAGCGAGACCATACAGTTCCATACACCCCTCACGTTGATTGTTGGATACAATGGTTCGGGGAAGACGGTATGCAAGACATGGCGGGAGATTGGACACACCATAGAACTCTAACACGGCCCAGACGATTATCGAGTGCCTCAAATATGCCACGACGGGCGACCTACCCCCCAACAGCAAAGGCGGAGCCTTCATACACGACCCCAAGCTATGCGGTGAGAAGGAGGTGCTGGCACAAGTGAAGCTGTCTTTTAAGGGCACGTCTGGCGCGAAGATGGTGGCCACGCGCAGCCTACAGCTTACAGTTAAGAAGACCACCCGGCAACAAAAGACCCTGGAAGGGCAGTTGCTGATGGTCAAGAATGGCGAGCGCACGGCGATCTCGTCGCGAGTGGCGGAACTGGACCAGATCATGCCACAATACCTGGGCGTGTCCAAAGCGGTTCTCGACTCGGTCATATTTTGCCATCAGGACGAGAGTTTGTGGCCGATGAGCGAGCCATCGGTACTGAAGAAGAAGTTCGACGAGATCTTTGAAGCGATGAAGTACACGAAAGCCATCGACAACATCAAAGCACTGCGCAAGAAACAAAATGAGGAGCTCGCTAAGTTCAAGATCATGGAGCAGCATGCCAAAGAAGACAAGGATAAAGCGGATCGTGCCGAGAAACGCTCGATCAAGCTGCAAGAGGAGATCGAGGCTTTACGCGAGGAAACACACCAAATGTCGCTGGAAATGCGACGCGTCGCAGATCTTGCCGACAAAGCCTGGAAGGAATCCGAGAGCTATGCCCAGGTCCTGGGAGCCCTGGAAGGGAAGCGCATCGAGGCCAAAAGCATTGAGACCACCATCGAAAACCTGAAGAAACACCTTGTTGAGCTGGACGACTCGGACGAATGGCTTGAATCGACTCTGGAGCAGTTCGAGTCTCGGCAGATTCAATATCAGCAGCAGGAAGAGGCCCAAAAAGAGAATTACATGGGAATCAAGGAGAGGATCGAACAGTCTCGGCATCGCTTGGGCTTAAAGCAGGCCGAAAATGGAAAATACGAAAACGACAAGGCCAATTTCGAGCGCCAAGTCTCAAGACGACAGACTATGGTCAATGATATTGCTCGCGATAACAACATCCGTGGCGTTGATGACAACATGGATCAAGCGAATATCGATGCATTCATGCAGAAGATTCGACGTTTCCTAAGAGAGCAGAACCAGACTCTGGACCGTGTGAAGCGAGAAACCCAGAAAGAGCTACGTGAGGTTCAAGATATTCTCAACGAAATTGGACAAAAGAAGTCCGCATTGCAAGAGAGCAAGAACTATGCGAAGCGGCAAATCGCGTCTAACGACAAGGAGGCAGCGACATACCAAGCTAAACTGGACGAAATCGAAATCGACGAGGGCGTCCAGGCTGCCTTGGAGTCCAAGATTGAGGATGTTTCTTCCAATCTCGAGCATGCAAAGGAACGAGCCAAATCTGCATCCTGGGACCAAGATATTCACGATACCAATGCAGAGATCCGTCGCCTGGAAGATGAGAGTTCGCGGTTGAATGCTGAATTGATCGATTCCACAAAGAAGGCCGGCGATCTTGCCCGTTTGGATCACCTCAAAAAGGAAGCCAAAGATCGGGAACGCAGCTCGCAGACCATGAAAGGAGCCCACGGTGATCGACTTGCGAAAGTCGTCGGCGCCGACTGGCAACCGGAGACTTTAGAAAGAGACTTCCAGCGAGCAGTCGATATCGAATCCAAACAGGTGACCGATGCAGAGCGAGATCGTGATGGCGTGAGCAGAGAACTAGAACACGTCGAGTTCAAGCTCAAGACGGCCAAAAAAACCTGAAGCAACGACAAAAGGATCTCGATGACTATGTCAAGGAGATACGCGAAGCTGTTGACACGGAGCCTTCCGAGTTCCCTGACATGCTTAAGGAAAGACAGGCGCAATACGATCTTGCTCGCAAAGACGCTGACCAATACGCGGGAATGGGCGAGTATCTCAGCAAGTGTCTTGAAGCGGCGAAACGAACCAAGCTTTGCCGAACATGCCAGCGATCTTTTAAGAACGAGGCAGAGCTTCAAAGCTTTCAGAAGAAACTGGAGAATCTTGTCAGGAAGGCGACGGAGGAAGCTGAAGACGACTCCCTGAAAGGCATTGAGCAAGATCTCGAAGCTGCCCGCGGTGCGAGCGCTGCCTATGATGCATGGGTTCGCTTGTCTGAGACAGATATCCCTGAACTGGAGCAGGAAGAACAGGAGTGTGAATCGCAACGTGATGAGCTCTTGGGTCGGTTGGAAGGGCACGACCGTACCGTCAGTGAAAAGTCTGACAGCAAGCGAGAAGTCGAAGCGCTCTCCAAGACGGTCAGCACCATTGCTCGGTACGATGTTGAAATCAAATCGATCCACTCGCAGATCCAGGAGCTCTCCGACAACCAGCAAAATGCCTCCGCCGGGCGGACCTTGGAAGATATCCAGGAGGAGATTGCCGCAACTGGCGAGAAAATCCGAGCTCTGAAGAAGACTCTCACCAAACTCACGAATGACAAAGACCAAACCCGTACCGAGATCAATCATCTCGAGTTGCAGCTGAGAGATGTGAGGAGCAATCTCGACAGTGCCAGATTCCAACTGGAGAAGAAGAGCGACTTGCTTGTCAGACTGGAGGAGTACAAGAAGCTGAACAGGCAGCAGCGAGAAGCAATCGAAAAGGCTGACCGAGATATCGAGAGTCTTACACCCGAGTTGCTTCAGGCGCAAGCCCGGTATGATGATATCAGCCAAAGGGCCGAGACCCGCGACCGAGAGCTGCAACAGGAGATTGGCCGGCTCTCGGAGAGCATACATCAGCTTGATCTGGCAAATGAGGATATCAATTCGTACAACGAGCGAGGAGGCCCAAGTCAGCTCGAGCGCAGCAAGCAGGAGCTTCAAGACATCGAAGTCGAGATCAACAATCTTGAAGCGGAGCAGGCCGAGATCACGCGAGAAATCAACAAGATCTCAGCCCAACTCAAGGACAGCGAGAACACGAAACGGCAATACTCGGATAACCTCACATATCGCCAAGCGAGCCGTTCACTGGGCAAAGTGACAGAGGAGATCGAGGAATTGGAATCGCAGAACGCGGAGGTCGACCGCAGTCGTTTCAAGCAGGAGTCCGAACGCCGAACTCGCGAGCACAACGCCCTTGCCGCCAGGCAAGCCAGCAAGATGGGCGAAATGAAGTCCAAAGACGACCAGTTGATGCAGCTCCTGGCCGACTGGAACACGGACTACAAGGACGCAGCCTCCAAATACAAGGAAGCCAACATCAAAGTGGAAACGACCAAAGCCGCCGTGGATGATCTCGCCCGATACGGCGGCGCCCTCGACAAGGCCATCATGCGCTATCACGGGCTGAAAATGGAAGAAATCAACGCCATCATCGGCGAGCTATGGCAGAAGACCTACCGCGGCACAGACGTGGACACGATCCTCATCCGCTCGGACAACGAGAACGCCAAGGGCAACCGGTCCTACAATTACCGCGTGTGCATGGTCAAGCAGGGCGCCGAGATGGACATGCGCGGACGCTGCAGTGCGGGACAGAAAGTCCTGGCTAGTATCATTATCCGACTTGCACTGGCGGAGTGCTTCGGCGTTAATTGCGGTCTTATTGCTCTGGATGAACCGACTACGAACCTTGACCGTGAGAATATCCGCTCGCTCGCTGAGTCTTTGCATGATATCATCCGTACTCGTCAGCAGCAGGCGAATTTCCAGCTCATTGTCATTACCCACGATGAGGAGTTCCTGCGTCATATGCAGTGCGGTGACTTTACTGATTACTACTACCGTGTCTCGCGCAATGAGAGGCAAAAGTCGATTATTGAGAGGCAGTCTATTGCTGAGGTATGTTGCTTGTATGTCGGTCTATTCCTTTACTAATCTCGTTGTAGGTCATGTAATGCCGCGTTATCATTTTTATTTCATTTCACCGGAGTTGAGCGTTCTGATTACTTGATTTATATTCCCCGACCAAGTTGAATGGAGCATATCTCGGCGTTGACAGGGCACCATGTTTGATGATTGTGCGCTAGCTTTTACTATTTGATACCGTTGCATCAATAAGACACAGTCTAATAGATATAGCATTCGTATCATCAACAGCCCTAGCCACTTACTACTCCCCAGCCATCAGCACATCTTCCTCGGCATCCTCCTCATCCAACAACGGCACAAACCGAAAGTCGACAAAACACACCGTCCCAACAGCACTTGCCTTAACCCCAGCCCCAACAGACCTCCCCACAGCAACACCCTGCTCATCGAGTTCGATCATAAACTGCAGACTCAGCACGCCCTGCCGATCACCCCGAATACTAACTTTATTCGCAACAGCCATCGCGCGCGCGGCTTTGCGCACCAGCGCAAACCGATAGCTCTGCTGAATACGCTCACCCATAGCTGACGGCGGAGAAACCAAGAACGTCTCCGTGACGGTGGGAGCGAGCTTCGCTCGCGTTGCGCGCGGACGGGTCGAGCCGTCGTCTGCGAGGATCTTGTGGTGTGCCTGTGTCTGCGACTGCAGCTGGCCGCCCTGACTTTGGCCTATTCCTCCACCGGTGATTTCATTATGCGTGTCGATGGAGAATTCCACTGTGGATTCACTGAATGGACCCCCGCGCCCGAGAGCGCGAAGTACGGCTCACGCGTGGCACACGCAGAGAGCTTGAGGATGGTTGGGGTGCTGGAGTCGAGCTCGGCGATGGCGTTGTGCAGCCAAGTCGAGCGCATGATGATTTTCATGATGATGGCGTCGCGCTGAAGCGGGATATCGGCGTAGTCTTCTTCGGGCTCGTAGGTGTTTAGCTCGCAGGTTGTTACTACGCCAGCTTCTGTCAGGGTTATGCTCAGCGGAGCGCCGTGCTGTGCGTATTGCAGGGTGCAAGTGCGGTCCAGGAGTAGGGCGGGGGCGTTAAATGCGCTTGAGGAAGCGGTGTTGTTCTGTTGGATGCGTGTGTTTCCAGAGGGATCGGATTCGGAGAGCTCGTTTAGGCCGAATATCTTGAGGGTTTCGAGGATGGCGGAGAGGGAGACCACGAAGTGTGGCCAGTTGGGATCATCGGAGGAGTTGCCGTCGTCCTCTCCATTCTGGTCGGGGTGCGTGTTGTCTGTCGACGGGTTGTTGAATGTGTAGCTGGTGAAAAGCGACTTGTCGAGGAATGCGAGGCCCTGGACTACACGGGCTTCTTCCGCAGAGAACCGGAGTCCGCCGGGGGTGATCTGGACGGTGGCTTTGGAGGCAAAGCCAATGCAGGAGAGCAGAGTATAGAGATGGTGGGCATTGTTGGAGACACCGGCGAAAAGGGGCTCCATGATGGTTGTGTTGTGGTTGAAGGTCCGTCTATGCCCAGTGGGTTTGGGAGAGGACAGAAGTCAATGAAATGATGGCTTGGGTATAGTTTCTAGCAGTACAGGTCCCAATGCACCCTCCGCTTATGGTACATGGAGGGGAGAGAGCTAGACGTAGACTCCGACAGCGCAGATGGTGGCCACCGCGCCGAAACTTTTCCCGATTCCCGATGTTAGTGTGTCTGTTGCAATTGTGTATCGGTGATGTGGTGACTGACCCCAATGCTAGTGCTGCTGGCACGCCTAGAGTAACAAGGCTGGAAAGAGACCGGTCTATTTGGAGAAGAGGTGTGAGGATCCCAGTCGGCCAATGAGTGTGAATATTAAGGGAACTCACTCAGACCAAACATGCACGTAGCGACCAGCGCTATGGAAACGATGTCAGAGGCGATCTTGGCTTATGGGGGGAAGCTCCAGTACCGATGAGGAGACAGTTGAAGCCAAAGGTGGCCTGGCTGGACTTGGGGATGAGAGGGTGGAAAGGAGATGTGGAGGCTGCCTCCCAGACTTCGTTCAGCGACATAATAATCGTGTCAATGGCAATTGAATAGTGTGTTAGAGAGAGAGAGACACGGAGAGATGAACCATTGTAGATGCTCCAGCAGCTGATCTGGCCGGTTCCACCCGGAAAATAGTTGTTCCCTCTCCGCACCAGGTGATCACCGCCATGCCAATCGACAATCAACCGCGTATCTTCAACTCTCGCGTTGTGCTCGGCCATCATGGCGGTTGACTCTCCCAAAAGTGTGTCCCATCTCGATTTACTTGTCAATTCTGCTCGCCTCAACTGACCTTCTTCTCCAACCAGGCTCCAAGCGCAAGGCCTCGGAGGAGGCGGCTTCCCCGGACTCTCAGCAGCAACACAGCAAGAAAGCGCGGACAGATTCCCCCGAGAAAGAGGTTGGTGTCGCCGCACAGAGTGAGATGGGATGTTTGTCTGACAACTGTGTAGGAAGATGGCCCTCTACGAAAACCACCACTGCGGATCGTCCCTTTTCCCGAGAAGGTGAGCCTCGCCCATCCAGTTTCACGCGCCACCAGGTTAACATCAAACAGCCCGCCGTCCTCGAGGAGCGCCGGGGTGACATCGAGTTTCGGGTCGTCAATAACGATGGATCACACGACAGCTTCATTGTCCTGACAGGACTGAAGTGTATCTTCCAAAAACAACTCCCGAAAATGCCCAAGGATTATATTGCCCGACTCGTCTACGACCGATCACATTTGTCGATTGCAATCATCAAGCACCCACTAGAAGTTGTTGGGTATGTACGAGGACACCCAAAATCGCGGGGCAGATGCTGACACAGCGACTGCAGAGGGATCACATATCGACCATTCAATAGCCGCAAGTTTGCGGAAATCGTGTTCTGTGCGATTTCTTCCGATCAGCAGGTCAAGGGCTACGGCGCACACCTGATGTCTCACTTGAAGGTAAGACTTGGGATGTAATACCACGAATAGAACAGGCTGACGGACTGCGCCGCAGGACTACGTGAAGGCCACGTCTCCGATCATGCACTTCCTAACATATGCAGACAATTACGCCATTGGATATTTCCAAAAGCAAGGATTCACCAAACAGATTAACCTGGACCGGTCGATCTGGATGGGATATATTAAAGATTACGAGGGGGGCACCATCATGCAGTGCACCATGCTTCCCAAGATCCGGTACCTCGAAGTGGGTCGTATGCTACTCAAGCAAAAGGAGACCGTGCGGGCCAAGATCCGCGCATTCAGCCGATCCCATATCATCCACCCGCCGCCCAAGGAGTGGAAGGGCGGAGTGGTCAAGATCGATCCACTGAGCATTCCCGCAATCAAGGAGTCCGGATGGTCACCGGATATGGATGAATTGGCGCGCCAGCCCCGCCATGGACCGAACTTCAACCAGCTGTTGCATCTGTTGAATGACATGCAGAACCACAGCGCCGCCTGGCCATTTACGCAGCCGGTCAACCGTGATGAAGTGCCGGATTACTACGAGGTGATCCTGGAGCCGATGGATCTGTCAACGATGGAGGAGAAGCACGAGAAAGACATGTATCCGACGCCGCAGGATTTCCTCAAAGATGCCTCGTTGATCTTTGACAACTGCCGGCGGTACAATAACGAGACTACGCCGTATGCGAAGAGCGCCAACAAGCTGGAGAAATTTCTGTACCAGCAAATTCGCAATATTCCCGAGTGGTCGGTAAGTAGACATGATTCCTCTTGATGAGTTTTGCTGATCTGTGTCCGTAGCATCTGGCGGACGGGCATTGATTTGATTTTAAAGGGATGGCGTTGGGGGGTTATGGCCCATAAATACCCTGTGGATAGCTGGCGTCCTAGATGTAATTGTTTGCCTACACTTTATTAAGTCTACTCCTCTAGTTCTCTTTATATGGATGAGGCTACTCCGTATACTTCCATGTTTTGACATCATGTGGCTGGATGATCTTCATATCGGACAAATGTTGATCCGCTGTTTCATCGTCAGGAGTTAGTTTAGTGACAGCTCTTGTTCGTAGCACTCACTCCTTTTTTCACCACTTCCGCCCGGCGTCTTCATTCTTTTACCTGGTCCATCCACTGGAGGGCTTTTGTTTTGCTTCTCTTCCCATTCGCTTGCTGTTGAGCGGCTGCCAGCCCGGTTTCGAAATCTCGTCGCGGTCAAGGGGCTCCCCTATTTCTCGTCAGCCACACCGCGACTGACTTGGGACCCAATTGTTTTGACCGGCTTCTTTCCTCCTACTCACTGCCATTCTTTTGCTCAGTGCAGCATCTTGTCTGCTGTCACTACCTGCTTTACGCTTGCTCTTCCACTCGACGCGCCCTGTCTCGCCAGTCACCCCTTTTTGCGCCCCTCCTTTTGACATTCATCTCTCGGAGCTGGAAAACGCCCGACTTGTGTCCACTACATTCCACACTCTGCCAAAATGGCGACCGAATCCTTCTCCGACGTGCAGCAGCGCAATCGCCTCCCGACGCTCTTTGAAGTCCTCAGTCGTCGGACCCTCGCTCCAGTGGATCTCTTTTCCTTCTACATTTATATGCGAGATCAGCAACGGTCCGTGGATTATCTGGACTTTTGGTGAGCTCAATCTCTCTTGCTGTGGTGATACATCTCTCATTCTGTATAGGCTCGATGTCTCACAACACATGTCCCTGTGCCGTCACTATGTCCGTGAATTGCGCCGCTCCGTCTTGGTTGCAACCCCCGATATGGAGAAGAATGACAGCAAACGCTCATCCGCGATGCTAGAGAACTTGGAGAACCTGAGGGATATTTCGCTGGGGGAGGCCGGTCCTTCTCGTCTGCGGGACGGATTCCAGGAAGACGAGAAGGAAAGAGATGCCACCCACCGGCTGTCCGCGTTCCTGCGCTCAGAAGGCAACGGTTCGTCTCACTCACCGCAGAACAGTCTGGGATCTACATCGGCGTACCGCACCCCATCCAACGACCAGCAGGCACGTCCCAGCACGGGAACTCGCAACAACGACCACTTCAACTCTCCTGGACACACAGTAGCCCGTCAGGATATCCGGGCCAGTGCCGAGAAGATTCTGTACACTTATCTGCTCCCTGGCTCCGAACGAGAAATTGTCTTGCCCGAGACCATGGTCTCAACCGTCATTAATCTTATCGAGGACGACGGTCGTGACGACCCCGAGGTTTTCGATCCAGCCAAGGACTATGTGTTCCAGGCTATGGAACGCGATGCCTTCCCAGGATTCTTGCAGGCCAAGGCTTTGGGGAACATCGTGCCCTTGAGTATCCTTATACGCTTGATTTTTGCTCTGATTGCCTTCTTTGGTGGGTTCTGGGGTGCCTTTTATGTGGTACTGCGGAATAAGCCCCGCGATGTTCGTTGCTGGGTACGTCCTTTCTTTTTCGCGGCGCCTTGGGTCAACTACTAACGTCGAGATAGGTGATCCTCCCATTTGCTGTTGCAGCATATTTCATCGTTTCGTACCAATACAAGATCGACCCTGCCATGGCATTCCTGGGCTATAGCGAATACACGTTTATGAACTGGGCGCCAATTCGCGAGCCCTATGTCCGCCGTCTCCTGAATAAGCGTGCTCTGGTGACGATGCTGGTCGTTTTCATTACGGCCGCGGCTCTGAGCATTCTATTTATCTTCGTTCCCGGCACCATGCTGTGAGAGTTCTCCACTTTCGAGCCTCCTCGGAAGTCGATAGTGACTTCCTTCCCGACGTCATTGGAACAAAACCAGCTCCGACGCCAGCGATACCAAAATCTTGCACAGCTACAAGCCGTCGACGGCGTTTTCAGATGGATACATAATGAGGACTTTGTTTGCTTCTGCTAACCATGCTTTTTCGGAAACTTGTCCGCTCTGAGGAAAAGATATTGCGCGGCTCATAATCTGCAGAGCTGCGGCTGATCCAGAGAGCATTCGAGTATTCTTCTCCCGTCCCCCGCCAGTAGGCGGTCACATCATCGTCCTTTTCTCTTTCTGTGTTGTCAATATTGTCTGTCTGTGGTCATATTATTCCCCCTTGCTGTTTAATTCTCTTCGACCAATACCCCCTTTCTATTTTCGGGTTTCCTTGTCTTGTATCTATGTTCGCAAAGAGCGCTTTTGCTAGATAGGGCTTTTACGATTGTCTTCCAGTCCATATACATGTATCAATTGATATTTCCTGGGTTTCATTCATCTCTTCAAAAAATGAGGGCAAGGCCCTTGTAGTTTCATGTGTAATAATCGCTGATTTGAGCCAACAAATAAAGAGTCGTAGAAGGTGCTGTGTGGTTATCATCATTATCAATCACTCAGGACTTTTTTCCAAGTACGCGCTTGGAATGCCTGCTCCCAGCGGCCCTCGACGACGACCCAGCACCCTCGTCAATATCCATGCCATCCGCACTGATATCCCAGAACCCATCATCCTCATCAACATCATCGGCACTAAACTCCCTTTTGTTGCGACCCATCCCCGCCGCGGCGGCGCCCAGCTTTCCAAACACCCCCTTCTTCCCACCCCGCCCCGATCCGGGGCCATTATTCCCCGCGTTCTCGGAGCGCTGCTTAACCGCCTCCTCCAAGAGCGTCTGGTATCTTTGCTCCTTGGCTCGCCGTTTCGCGGCATTGCTCTTCACTCGCGCTATCTCGGCCTCGAGGTCGGAGACCACGTCGCCGCACCGCGTCTCCCACTCTGTTAGCAGGCTAATCATCTTCGGCAGAGACTGCGGCTGCACGTCGCGGAGGGGCGCCACCGCTGTCACCTTCACGGTGGGCGGGTCAGATGCAGGGCTGAGGCGGGCTGTTATGAGGGAGGCGTAGATGGCGGTTGTGACGAGGGATTCGAGGTCGGATGTTGTGGGGAGGGAGAGCGCGGTCATGAGCGCGGAGTAGGTGAGTGGTTTCGTGGTTGTGGAGAGGGTGAGGAGGGAAAGGAGGCGCAGCTTGAGTGTTTGCTCACTACTGAGTTTGGGCAGGTTGGGCGTTGCTGTTTGTAGATGTTAGATTTGATAGCCATCCCACAGGAGGAGGGGAGATATGGTTCGGGACACACCTTGATACTCCTGCCAGGTGCCCCAGGCAAAGATCTCAAGCAGCTTCAGGTACCCGCGGTATTCGACCGGCGTTTCGGGGGATCCCAGGGCCTGGATGGTCGGAGTTTCGAGCAGCTCGGCGAACACGTAGGTGTGCGGGCTGGAGGTGGCATTGGTAATGATGTTGGCGATGAAGCGGGGGGAGGTAGCGCTGTTGGAGTTGGCTAGGTGGACGAAGGGCTGCAGAGCCTCCAGGGCTCGGGTGTGTGTTTGGTCCATGGCTGATGGGGAGAGAAAGGAGGAAGTGTGTCGGCGGATGAAGTGATTATTGATTGATGTCTGGGGTGATGCTTGTTTGCATAGTCTGCAAACACCGGATCTACTCTATTAAATTGCTGCACTTTACAATAATCAATTACTCCTTGACATAAACTGTTTGGTATCCTGTCTGGAACGGTATCAAATTTTGACTTCTCAGTTCAACTCCTTGCTTTTCCATACTAAAGCTTGTATATACATCCACAAAATAGAACCCAGATCACGTGGTAATAGTAAAATGTCACATGACTACCAGACGCTCGCCAGCCCGACACCTACGTTCTGCAGCAGTGCGAACTGATAAGGCCGTACTATCTTATCCATGATAAGCAATGGTCGTGCTTTGCGCCTCAGGCATGAATTCGTCACCCTCCAAAGATATTAAGGAATAATAATTTAGGCGTCTGCTCGTTATTAGTCTTAATGAAGTATATACTATGCAGATCTCTCTTTCTCTTTCTCCCTTGAATGGTTCATTTGTATCTCTTGAATGTTGGCTATACGACTGCTGACTGCACCAGTTTCAGCTGGTTCAGTAATAATCCCCTCTTAGGCAGCCATTTATTATCATTATTAATCTAGATTACTATTCCCTTCTATTTCTCTGCGATGCATACTTGGGTTTCCAACCGGCCCATCACATCAGCTGCATAGCGCCAGACATAGTGAGCCGGGGCCTGCATTCTTCAGCGCGGCACCCTAGAAATGGACACGATCCACTGTGTGGCGTAATCACATCCATCCCGTCGGCCTGGACAAGTATTCTACCTTTTCTTTTCTCTTCTACTCTCTGCTCTATTGTCCTTTCACCCTTGTCCCTGTCAAGGCGGGTGTATTTATTTGCTGGGGTGGCCCCTTCATTTCCTCAATCGGGAATTGATCTGTCGGGGTGTAAGCCATCCGAACTATCCGCCCTTTATTTGAAAGCAACTCCACCCTACCGATCTGATAAAAGCCAACACCCAACACTCCCCCCTCAACACACCCATGCGTTAGCACATCCTCATTCTCCCCGTTGAGCGCCTTCTCTCCTGTCGACATGTCTTCAGAATCCTCAGGCGCCGCGGGCGAAGGCCCTGTGCTTTCGCGACCACCCGCCATGGCCACCACGACCCTCAAAGTCGACGGGATGACCTGCGGCGCATGCACCTCAGCCGTGGAGGGTGCTTTCAAAGACGTCGCCGGCGTCGGTGATGTCTCTGTCAGTCTGATAATGGGCCGAGCCGCCGTCCAGCACGACCCCTCCATCCTACCCCCGGAGAAAGTCGCGGAGATGATCGAAGACTGTGGGTTCGACGCGGCGGTCCTGTCGACCGAGGAGCACACAAATAAAGCCAGTGCCTCTGATGGCCAGACAGCGCGACTCTCGGTGACCAACTTGGCGGTTGAGGGAATGACGTGTGGCGCATGCACTTCAGCCGTCGAAAGCGGGCTCAAAGACGTCCCGGGCGTCAAGTCGGTCAGTGTGTCGTTGTTGTCCGAGCGCGCAGTGGTGGAACACGATACGGATACAATTACGGCAGACCAAATAGCAGAGATCATTGAAGACCGCGGGTTTGGGGCACGGGTATTGGACTCGACATCGGCCATGAAGGGGTATGAGGCTTTGAATGCGCTCGATGTGGCCGACGACAAACCTGGTCTGTTAGTGACCACCGTCGCCGTCGGAGGTATGACCTGTGGTGCTTGTACGTCCAGCGTCCAAAATGCCTTGGCAGGTGTCGATGGAGTCGTCCAGTTCAACATTAGCCTTCTTGCCGAACGTACCGTGGTTGTGCACGATTCAGATGTTCTTTCAGCTGAGCAGATTGCGAGTCTGATTGAAGATGTTGGCTTTGACGCGTCCATCGTGTCATCTGAGGCGCAGGTGCCTCTGTCGAGGAAGACGCAACAAGTGAACCTGAGCCTTCATGGCCTGCAGGACGCCGCCTCTGCATCTGCGCTGGAGAGTGATTTATCACAACGTCCTGGAGTCAAGTCAGCGTCGATTAGCTTGGCAAATTCTCGAATAGTCATCTCCTTTGACCCTTCAATAATCGGCATTCGGACAGTGGTGGAAGCGATTGAAGCCAGTGGATACAACGCGCTCATGGTGGACTCAGATGACACAAACGCGCAGCTGGAGTCTCTGTCAAAGACAAAGGAGATTCAAGAATGGAGACGTGCATTCATTACATCACTATCTTTTGCGCTCCCCGTAACTGCTATCAACAAGGTTATACCGATGTGCCTGCCAGCAGTCGACTTCGGCAAAGTTGAAATCCTACCGGGCCTCTTCTTGGGCGACATCGCCTGTCTTGCTCTCACCGCTCCTGTACAATTCGGCATAGGAAAGCGGTTCTATATCACCAGCTACAAGTCTCTCAAGCACCGCAGCCCAACCATGGATGTGTTAGTGATGCTGGGTACTTCGGCTGCGTTCTTCTACAGTTGTTTTACCATGCTCATGTCCCTGTTCAGCGGACAACACAAACGTCCAAGCACTGTGTTCGATACCAGTACGATGCTCATCACTTTCATTACCTTGGGACGCTGGCTAGAAAATCGGGCAAAGGGGCAAACTTCTGCTGCACTCTCCCGCCTTATGTCCTTGGCACCATCCATGACAACCATCTATGAGGACCCGATTGCAGCCGAGAAGCTGGCCGAGGGCTGGGCAGCCTCTAAGGATGTCTCGTCAAGCGGGCCCGAGCCGGCACTGGCCGAGGATAGGTCCGTCAACCACAAATTCATCCCTACCGAGTTGATCCAGGTTGGCGATATTGTCATCCTTCATCCCGGTGATAAGGTCTCTGCGGACGGTGTGGTTATCCGGGGCGAAAGCTATGTAGACGAGAGTATGATCACTGGGGAGGCACTACCGATCCACAAGAAGAAAGGCAGTCATGTCATTGCGGGCACGGTCAACGGCACTAGCTCGATTGACTTCAAAGTCATTCGAGCCGGCAAGGACACACAGCTCAGCCAGATTGTTAAGCTGGTCCAAGATGCGCAAACCAGCCGGGCACCTATTCAGCGCATGGCAGATATTGTTGCGGGTTACTTCGTCCCCATGATCATTGGGCTTGGCCTGTTCACTTTCTTTGGCTGGATGTTCCTGAGCCACATCCTGCCGAACCCACCCATGATCTTCCAGTCGGAAGACGGAGGCGGCACGGTCATGGTCTGTCTGAAGCTCTGCATTTCCGTCATTGTCTTTGCTTGCCCCTGTGCCTTGGGTCTCAGTACACCAACTGCTGTCATGGTCGGCACTGGCGTTGGCGCGGCGCATGGTATTCTCGTCAAAGGCGGCGCTGTTCTCGAGGCTGCTACCAAAGTTACTCATGTTGTCTTTGACAAAACCGGCACATTGACTTCGGGCCGGATGAGTGTTTCCCAGGCACGAATCGAGCCACAGTGGACGGCGAACGAGCGACGTCGACAACTCTGGTGGCTCATTGTTGGTTTGGCAGAGATGGGCAGTGAACACCCAATTGGACGGGCCATTCTCTCTGAAGCGAAGCTCGAATCGGGCCACCCAGGAGAAGACGGGCTGCCAGGGAGTCTGGGCGATTTCGATGCATGTGTCGGCAAGGGCATTTCTGCACTTGTCGAACCAACCTCCACCGCCGAGCGCACTCGGTACCAAGTCCTTCTCGGCAACGCCGACTTTCTACGATCAAAAGACGTCGATGTGCCAGCATCGGCAGACCCCGACACTCGAAGAGAGCCAGAGTCTGCTATCCCTAAGGCTGGAAGCACAGTTTCTGGAATTACGCGGATCCATGCCGCAATTGACAACCAGTATGCCGGGACAATATCCTTGAGGGACAGCATCAAGGACACGGCGGTAGCAGCGGTGGCGGCACTCCACCGCATGGGTATCTCGACCTCAATGGTGACTGGTGACACATCCTCCACAGCGCTGTCCATCGCTTCAGCGGTGGGCATTCCCGCAGACGCAGTGCACGCCTCCGTTTCCCCATCCGAAAAACGCGAAATCATTTCCTCTCTCCAATCCACCGGTGACCGCGTCGCCATGGTAGGTGACGGGATCAACGACTCACCAGCTCTCGCCACCGCATCCGTCGGCATCGCGCTCGCCTCCGGCACAGACGTGGCAATGGAAGCTGCCGATATCGTCCTCATGCGCCCAGAGGACCTGCTCACCGTCCCCGCCAGCCTCGCCCTCTCGCGCTCCGTCTTCACCCGCATCAAGCTGAACCTCGTGTGGGCCTGTCTGTACAACGTCATCGGCCTCCCTTTCGCAATGGGCCTCTTCCTCCCCTTCACGGGGTTCATGCTGCCCCCAATGGCTGCCGGCGCCGCCATGGCGGCTTCCAGCGTCTCTGTGGTGGTCAGCAGCTTGCTCCTGAAGTTATGGCGCCGACCCTCATGGATGGAAATTGATCGGCTTGAGAAGGAGCTCCAGGACGGCACCATCCCACCCTCTGGTCATCGGGCCCGCTTTCATTCCCGCAAGTCTAGCTGGTGGACTCCTGCTACCATTCTCTCTTCTGGTAGCCCCCGTTCCCTGCGGAGCCGTGTCCAGTACTACGTGTCTGCGACTTGGTCGTTGGCTACTGGGAAGGGTCTCGGCGCCGCCGTGCGAGACGACGAGGGCTATGTCCCCCTGCAGACGGTCGAGCCGTCTGCTTAATCTTTTTGTTTTCATGGCATTCGGTATGGGTGTTGCAGTCTGTTTATGCTGTTCTCGGTTAGGTGTAGGACTGGAGCTTAGGGTTTGCTTATAGCGTTATTTTACGAATGGTTTATATCTCTATTGTTGTTACAATTGTTTTGCATGTTCAGAATCACAACAGAGGATGACAGAATACCCACTTTCTTGGTTGTCAAGAACAACAGTAAAGTTGACTGGTATCCGTGCTGAAATGACTCTGCTGTACAAACGTTTTATCACTCTGAGCTTTGGTTTCTCTGACCTCGCCGAGCTGCAGATCGACAAAATCTTGAGTGACAGCCAAAGGTGATCCAAAATGCTCAAGCTCGAATGATGCAGAAAAGCATCCTCTCACCTATCCTGGCGCTCATTGAGAAATATTGAAGTGACATGTCTGATCACATAGTGGCACATGAGACGGCCAGTGGTCTGATCGTTGCAGAGTACGGTTGGCGTTTATCGGATGCACGGGGAAATGGTGATATTTTGTGCGCGCTCGACCAGGGTAGGCAATAGTGGAGGAGAGCTACTTCTATGGCTAAAGGATTAAATGTAGAAAAGTGTCAGGTTCCCATAGAGTCTACTACCGCGGAAACTGAAGATCGCTAGATTCTTGATAGGTCGTCATTCATAATGTCAGAAAAACCCGACAGAAACCAAAGAAGCACAAGACCAAAAAGCAGACCGTACATCAGATGAAGGTCACTGTGCGCCTCATTTAATCTTTCTTCTCCGTCTCCGCTGACTCGGCTTCCTTCTCCTCAGGCTTTGATTCAGCAGAAGAAGCCTCTGTCTTAGATTCTTCTCCCTCTCTGGGTTTACTGTCATCAAGAACAATGTCGCCGTCCTTATCAGCGGTGGCTGAATCGCCAGTGTTTTGAGGTTCGGTCGCGCTCGAAGCAGAGTCGTTGGCGCCGTCGGTGCCCTGAGAATCCGCTGCCGCTCCATGATCGCCCAGGTTCATCTCCACGCCCTTTCCGTCTTGCAGACCCATGTCCTTGACACCGACAACTGGAGGACCACGGGCGTGTGGAACTTCTTCAGATTGGTCAGGCGGTGGGGAGGAAACGACAGCAGCAGCGGAATCCTCGTTCTCTGCGGCGCCTGTCGTGCCGTCAACCTCGGCATCTGGAGGCTGTGCAGTTATCGCCTCTCCAGTGGCTAAATACGTGATAGTTCAGTTAGCAAAGCCAGGCATATTGAGTATCAAAAAGCTGCAACCAAGAAGGTAAGAGAGAAGAAGAAACGTACCGTCCTCCAATGCACTACCGTCCTCGCTCTCGAAGGATGCATTCGTCAACCACGGAATAGGGGTAAGTAGTGCACCTCCCAGAGATTCGTCTCCTCCAAAGGCGTCAGTGGCCAAATAGGTACTACCGGCACCGCCTGCATGCAGAATCCCATTCGGCCCAGCCGTACTCGTCTGCGTCTGGAAGGGAAACACGTCTGCGCTGCTGGTCACAGAAACAACCCTGTCCAGAGCACGAAGATATGCCGGTAAGGTTCTATAGTGTGCCGTCGGCCGCAGGATCAGCTCCGCGAGTCTCTGGATTGTATGCGGGGGCTTTTCTGTGAAGAAGGAATTGATTGAGGACCGAATGGTAGTCAATAGAAATGCGAGAGGTGGTGGAAGCGTGTTGTTTGCTTGGTCGTTAGATGACTGAGGCTGTGAGTCCGGCATTCGCTCGCTCAAGGGAGGAGGTGTGCCCGTCTGAGGGGCTCGAGATGCCTGGGGATCGACCGGTGATGCATTTTCTTTGTTGCTGCTTGCGAGCGGGAAGGAATTCGTGGCCGCACTCTGGGGGGACTGTTGTGGGAAATACTGCGGGCCAAAAGAAGCGGCTGGAGGGACTCGCGGCATGGGAAACACGTTATGAACAATCTAAAGCACTTGGTCAGAAGTCTCGAAGGCGCGTCTGGGACGATTGAATCGCACGTAATCTAGTCGCTCGAGCAGCGATGCAACCATGCCAGCCCATTTCTCTCTGTCACAGTGTATCAGCATCTCCCAGCCACGGTGGAATCGCAAAGTCGCATAACATACACATCCATCGACCCGCCATTGGCGACTGCCTCGAGGGCGTCCTCATCTGCCATAACGAAGCGAGTCAGTGCGTGCTCTCCCTACGACTGCAGCTTTGCGATAGTTGTAATCATCTAGACGGGGCACACTCACCCAGCGACATGGTTCGTGCAGCGAAAAGCAGGCGATGGTCCGGCTGCGACTGCAAAGCTGGGGGCGATCAGGCGGTGAGACCTCCAAAGCTTATTGATTGGCCGGTGCTTATCAGATAGCGGCACGTGACAATCGCGAATTTTCCAGCGACGGAGGGGCATGATGCTTCCTTTCTCAACTCACCCCAAACACCATGTGGAACGCCCCCAAGGTTGGAATCCTCGGCGGCGGCCAGCTGGGCCGCATGCTCGTCGAGTCCGCCAACCGATTGAACATCCAGGCCAACGTGCTGGACGCAGACAACTCCCCCGCCAAGCAGATCAGCTTCCACGACGGCCATGTGACGGGCTCGTTCAAGGAACGTGAGGCAGTACGCCAGCTCGCGAAAACTTGCGATGTTATTACGGCCGAGATCGAGCACGTGGACACCTATGCGCTCGAGGAGGTGGCGTCGCAGGTCCGCGTGGAGCCCAGCTGGCAAGCCATTCGGACGATCCAGAACAAATTCGATCAGAAGGAACACCTGCGGAAATATGGGATCCCTATGGCGGACCATCGTGAACTAATCAAGAATACACCGGAGGAATTGGCTGAGATCGGGGAGCAATTGGGCTTCCCCATGATGCTCAAGTCTAAGACAATGGCATATGATGGTCGTGGTGGGTAGTGTCCATATTTGTGCACTTTGATGGCACACCACTGATGAATTTCCCAGGAAACTACCGTGTCAACTCAAAGGCGGATATCCCCGCAGCCCTGGAGGCTCTGAAGGACCGGCCACTGTATGCGGAGAAGTGGGCGTACTTCAAGATGGTTAGTCACTTTCCTATGCCCCAGGGCTAGCCGTGTTCTCACATTGTCTAGGAACTCGCCGTAATGGTCATCAAGACCAAGGACGATGTCCTCTCATATCCCACCGTGGAGACTGTCCAAGAAGACTCAGTGTGCAAGTTGGTGTACGCACCAGCACGAAACGTGTCCGACATCATCAACGAGAAAGCCCAGGCGCTTGCCCGGAAAGCGGTGTCGGCATTCGAGGGCAAGGGTGCATTTGGCGTGGAGATGTTCCTCCTGGAAGACAGCAGCCTCATGCTGTGTGAGATCGCGAGCCGAATCCACAACTCGGGTCACTACACCATTGAAGGCTGTGCGCTATCACAGTTCGACAGCCACCTGCGCGCGATCCTGGACCTCCCGATCCCAGCCAAGAGCTTGGAGATCCGCCAGCCGTCAATCATGCTCAACCTTATCGGCGGCGCGACAACAGACTCGCACCTCCAAGCCGCAGAGCACGCGCTCTCCATCCCTAATGCTAGTATCCACCTGTACAGCAAGGGCGCCGCGAAGCCTGGCCGCAAGATGGGCCATGTCACCGTCACGGCACCGACGATGCACGAGGCTGAGACCATGATCCAGCCGCTGGTGGAGGTTGTCGATAACATTCGCGCCCAACGTAGCGATGTCAAGACCCCCGCCGCGAAATCTGGGCCATCGCCGCCCCCGCCCCAGGTGGCTGTTATCATGGGCTCTGACAGCGACCTCAAAACCTTGGTGCCGGGTCTCAAGCTGCTGCGCGACTACTTTGGCGTCGAGCCCGCCGTCGAAATAACCTCTGCCCACCGCACCCCGAACTACATGGCTGAGTTCTCTGCGCAGGCCGCCTCGCGCGGTATCAAGGTCATCATTGCCGCTGCCGGTGGCGCCGCCCATCTCCCCGGCATGGCTGCCGCGCACACCGCGCTCCCTGTCATCGGCGTGCCAGTCAAGGGCAGCTCGCTCGATGGCGTTGACAGCCTGTATAGCATCGTGCAGATGCCGCGAGGTAAGCTAAAACCACACGATCTTTAAATATCTTTCTCGGTAAGGTTAACAATTGAACTGCAGGCGTCCCCGTCGCAACAGTCGGCATCAACAACAGCATCAACGCGGCCCTCCTGGCTGCTAGGGTACTGGGCTCCTTCGACCCAGCCATCCAGCGCAAGGTTGAGGCCTATGCTGAGGAAGCACGTGCCGAGAACATGGAGAAAAAGGGGGACCAAGCTGCGCGAGCTGGGATGGGAGAAGTACTTTGAGCAGATGTAGCTCTTTCCTCTCCTTTGAAGATTTCGTCTTTCAAAATTGGTTAATGAAGAACGGATTCTTTTGCAGCTATGGCAGGAAAATAGATGGGTTCGAACATACAATCGCAGCCAGGAATCATGGCACTCAGGAGCGATACTGCTGCCCTCACACTAGGCTAGATCTTCCCTACCTATAGCGGTAGTCCCTATGCCGCGCTCGCGCTCTTAAGAGTCATGCCTTATCAGAATGTGGTAGTAGCCACTATACGCGGGCTGAGGGGAGTCAGTCATTCGGTGAAGGATATCAGTATTCGTACAGCTTGCCTAGATAGTGCTGACGGGCTACTCGAGAGTTGGGAGATATATATCCATACCCCTCGACCTAGGCCCGAGACCCAAGCAACCCTAATTAGAATGACAATGAAGTCTAGACTGCTCTACACATATCGATTGTATCTATTTCAATCAATTCCTTAGGTCCTTTGACAAATATTCAGCAGCTGCGGTCACGAAGTACATTATTTGATCCCCTTCGCACCGACGAGGCCGATCCTCCAAAAGCACCAGAACAATTCAAAGGCATTCCATTCCATCATGTCTCAGGGTTGTAAAAGGGCCTTTTTGAATATGTTCATCAGGCGCTAGGCCTCTTCCCGCTAATAAAGGTCATCGGCGCTGCAACAGACTGTCGGGTAAGAAAGAGAGTGCTCTTTCCCTTCCACTGCACTAACGCGAAATAATAATAAAGGATCACGGCCGGTTCCATTCCAGCGGGATACCAGAACGTGAAGTAAAAGCACACAAGAGAAAACTGCGGTGCAACCATGGCAGAAAAGAAGAAAACCGACCAACACTTACAGACAGCAGCGGCAAAAAGGTCGCAGAAAAATTGAAAAACAGTCGCAAGCAGAAGGCAGAAATAAATGGCATGGCAGAACGCAGAGAACAAGAAAGGGGAAATGCAATGGTATTCATGTTGGAATACTTGCTTTCCCGCCCAGCCGAAAACGCCGTCCGATAGATGAAGCCGGGTATATCCAGCACCGTGATGCAACATGTACGAAGAAAACGAAGAGAAGGCCCCGGGTGAAAGCCGGTGCTTTGCCTTGGGCCATGTAGAAAAAAGAGAATAGGAAGTAACAAGAACGACTTTTGGGGTGGCTCAACTTCGTGATAGACATTGTGGAATGACTAGTGGCCCCCTTGCAAAGGTCCCATAAAGCTCAGTTCGTGGGTATTGATTGCAATTTCCGTTTTGTCAGAGGCGGGCGGGGACTCGCAACCAGTGTCGGAGGAGTCTCGCTCAGGCTCAGGCCAAGTGGCCACCATAAAGACTTGTAAGAGACAAAGAAAGGGAGGTTGGGGTCTTCATCTGGCTCCAATGCCAAACATGCCGACCCCGTAGCTCCCGCCTCGTTCGGAGAGAGGTGTCGACACTTTGGAAACGTGATCCTAGATCCCGGTCTATTAGTCGTCTGATATTCATTGTCGGGATCCTTTCTTCTTACCTTCTTTCGTTTCTTTTTCCCCGTTCCCTCGCCATTTGAGTAGAAACCAGCATCGGTATCGTCGTCGGCGTAACCCTCGCCGTATCCGACAAAGCTGTTGTCGTCATAATGTCTCTTGCGACCTCGAGTCGGGCGGGGCCGCTCTGTCTCTAGATGAGACCGGGGCGTTCCGATCGACTGACCGACCGACCGGCCTGCGGCTGGAGTAGGGGCAGTCTTCTTTCCTGTATCACCAGGTGCCTGCTGCTTAGCGGGCTTCTCATGGCCCAAGACATCCTCCCAGAAATCGTTGTTGGGGACCGCGCCGGGCGCCATTTGCATAGCTCTGGCCTGAAGCTTTTGCAGTTCCGAGTCCATATCTGCGACCTTGATCGCCTTCCCAAACACCTTCTGATTCTGCCACTCCTCCTCGGGCCATAGGGTCAAGTGTCTCAAACTGCCAGGAGCGCCGGGTTCCTGTTTCACTGGTTTGTTTCGACCCGCAAGCCCCAACCCCTTGAGCTTTCCTTCGTAAGACTTTCGCAGCCGGTTAATCTTATCTCCCGTCGTGGGGTCCACCCTTGCTACCGATTGCGCAACCGGGCCTAACCCGTAGAGGGAGATCAAATCCAATGAAGGATCTGGACCAGTCACAGTAGGCGCTATCAAGGAACGAAGAAGACAGTGTTAACAAAGTTTGATTGCCAAAAAATGCAGCAGGAATCACCCTGCAGGGGAAACCATGGTCAATTTCAGGGAGTCCTTACAGCTTTTGCAAAGATGGAAAGCCGAGGTGAAGTTCTTCTGAAGAGCATCCAAGCCAGGAATGACGGGACGGTGAAGGGATTCCTTATCCACGTCCATAGCATCCACATCTGCTGCGCCCTCAATGCCGGTCGCTGGATTTGTAGTTTCGGATTGCCGATCGTGGTCGGTCCGCCTATGTTCAGTTGCTTCTTGATTTGTAGACCCTGTCGAGTTCTGCATCCCCACACCAGGAAGTTTGCTCGAATAATCCGTCTCCTCCATAGACATCGCATTCGCTGGGTGACCACCCACGCTGCTGGCAGGAGTGGGAAATGAGTTCGTCGTGCTCATAGTCGGTTGCTGAGAGACCTGAGTAGACATCGGTGTGGAGGATGGAGGGGAAGATACCGTCGGGTGTTGCGCGGTCGTCTTATTTGGTGATGTCTGCGAGGATGCGAAGTTGGAGACATGACTTTGATCGCTGACCGACATCAACGGAGGAGATGTCGGGGTCTGGGGAATGTGATCCGAAGCAACAGGATGCCGGTGGCTCTCTTTCAGAGTACCAGAAGCGGGTGATGAGGGTGACAGAGGTCCTGCTCGGAAGGTCGACAAAGTGCGATCAGACATGAGCGTCCAGGGGGCAGATTAGCATGCACAGATGTTCAGAGCCAAGGCAGCCCTTGTTCCACGATCGAAAACAGCGAGTCACGAATCGTGAAGATTGACACGAGCGCTAGGCCTGGAGGGAGGAGGGGGAAACCCGGTCGACGGGCGCTCAGGCGGGCGAGCAAGTCGTTCCACGGCCGGCTTAGGTCGTATGCATTCCAGATTGGCGAAAGAGATCCTAGGAGATGGAGAACGGGATGGTCGGATGGGGGGGATGGGGGGTGGGTGAGGTTGAGGATGGGGATGGACAGGCCTGAGAGGCGCTGAGGATGACTACGGCAAAGAAGTTCTGTCACGTGACTGGGCCACTTTAACGGATCGACGAACTTAATGAGTTACTATAGATAGGAATAAATAGGAACTATAGAGATGGAACTATACACCAGAACTCAACAATGGAAATCTCTTGATTGTTTATGAAAACATGGTTCGTCAATCATGGCCAGCTCATACAAAGTGGGCTGATGGTTGGCAACGCGACTGGGGCGAGGAGGTACGTATATGTAGCAGAATCTTTCAGAGAATAGACATCCTGTAAATAAAAAATGGCCCGACTTCAGATACACCTGATTTACAGCGCCATTCGAATTTGTTCATGATTGATAAAATGCATTGGACTCGTTCACCAACTGAGCAGATACATCGGGAATATTCTGCTCGAGCGACGCCATGAGTTCGAACTGTTCCTGTTGGCTGAGCGTGCGCTCCCGCCAAGGAGGCACGGGGAATGGCTCATTGAAATATTGAGAGTACTGATCGCCGATAGAGGCCGTCCAATTCATGGGATCACAGGTGGCGTCAACGTACGCCAGATGGCTCGCGGTGGTCGAGGCAAGTGAGAAATGGGGATCCCAGCCTTGAAGACCCGGGACAATCGAAGGCATCGTGTTATAAGGGGTGTTGAGATCAACGGAGGCTTCCGGATACACGGCGGCCGGCGCACTGTATGTCTGGAGTGGATACTGAGTTGCGACACCTGGAGCTGTAGACGAGGCTTGCATTCCGAACTGAGGAGCTATTGGCGAAACTTGCGCAGATTTGAAATGATCATGAGCCATGATTGGAGGCGTGGTCTCGTGAGTAAAGGGGGCCGGATCCGCGGAGGGTCCCCTTGAAAAGACACCGGTAGAGGAATTATCACCAGTTGACGGGTTGGCCCGGTTGGGTTGTGAATAATAGGAGGCAGTCGTAGAACTTGAAGGGCTTGACATTGGTGGCGGGGTCGTGAGGCCCAGTGATGAGGTCGGGGTCGGATGGTTGGAAGGCGAGTGCACAACAAACGACTCTTGGGTGTTATAGGCTTTGAGACAAGCGATGATAAGACGTTTGTAGAGAAGCAAGGCCGACTCGACGCCTGGCCACCTCTCGGCCGCAAAGACAATCACTTCAAGCGCGGTATCCAGATGACCTTGGACTTCTTCCATTGAGTGCTCCTTTCGGATTTCAGGATATGAAAGAGTCCACAGGATAGTATTCAAAGCCATGAAAAGGGATTGGGTGAAGATCCATGTCATGTCAACAGAGCTGCTGACCATCTGTTCCCGGTGCATGGCAACATTGAAGACGGCCGCATCATAACATATTTTTGCAGCGTTGACGGATGGTTCAGGTACTTGGGGGGATGGCCGATACATGAGAATCACAATTGTGTTTCTCCGGCCTTGGAACCTATTTGCCGCGAACAAGTCAACCACAGAACATCTTGTGTAGCGTCTACTTGGAATCCATACCATTGCGCGTTCAGTCCGCTGCCATCATCATGTTTGGGGCATGACGCCACCCAGTGGTCGATTTTAGCCAACATTTGGGCGAACCACGGATCTTGGTCATCGGCCGGGGTGTCGCGCTTGTTGAGGTAAAGCGTCCGCCGAGCTTCCATCTGCAGCAGTCGCATCTTGAAAAAGTGGACTGCGATACACTTGGGCACGACCGGCTTGGCTCCTGGGACAATTCCCTCGGCTGTGATATGGCGGTCATCCACCAACTCGAAGAATTTCACGTCAATATGATCGTGGCTGACGCTGTTGCTGTTTGGGCGACCAAGGCTGTGGGCGAGCCCCAATTCCATTGACGACACGACCCAAAATAGCCTTCGGCGCATGTCGATCTCCAGGGGATTTAAAGGTTCCCCACTTCGAGACTTGGTGATGGTAGCCTCTTCGGTAAAGCCCAATTCCTGGCACAGTTTCACGGCCGTTCCTGTGACCCAATACGATGCTGTCCGGGTGGGTGTCAGTATGGAATACTGTGCAATCAGCACAAGGCACTGTAAGGCCTTCAGATCCATTAGTTTCAAAGTCGGCTCCAAGAAAGGCAAGGCAGCCAGATAGTAGCTGTCAGCTAAGCCGGCATATTGTGGGCTAAGCTTTTGCATACTGATGGCAATGACCATCCGCAGTTGAAAATTCTGGCAGGGATCCTTGGATCCGTTGAAGACATCTTCCACATCTTGCCGAAAGGTGGGCTCGTGTAGAGTTGGGAGCAAGGCTTGTGCTGTATAGAGCTAATCAGTCTCAAGCACTTGCACTAGAGACTGGTGGTATCCCAGGTCCTGGAAGACCCACGTACCTTTCGCGATGAACAAATCGATCAACTTGCATGTCAAATTCTGCGGAGGCAGATTGGGCTGAGGGATCGAGCTGATCATAGGGTATACCTTCGAGGTCGGTTTCGAATCTTCCTGCGCAAAGGCCGCCTTGATCTCTTGGGCCGTGAAGTCGGGCACAACATCTTTGATACTCTTGGAATCAGTGTTCTGTTTGGCCATTTCCATGACCAAACGGGTGATGGCAATCCCGCTGGAGGGCCCAAGATATCGCGGCTCGTCATTCTCTTGGAATCGGATGCGACCTGCGCCCCGGACCATCAGTTCGGCATCGGCAGAATGCTGAATCTGTTTCTCCGCCGCTGCGAGTTCCTTCTCTAATTTCCGCGCCTTCTCTCGGAGGGACACAATATAGGTCCGCGGGATGGTGGTGTCTCGAGTGGAGTCATAGTATACGCACTTGGCATCGCTTCGCACGCAGGGCGCACACCGAGGGATCCCCGGGTCGCATTTGGATTTCCGCTACAAAGAGTACAAGTCAGTAGATGGGGTTACGAGTGGTGTGGTGGCTCCACGGTACCTGTCTACACCTCGTGCAGGCCGTGAGGGTGTGCGCGATGCGGCCATCTGGCAGTTCGAGGGTGTGCGATTCGCCTGGAGATGGCTGCCCGGCGAATCCAGGTGAGGTGCCCGGTCGTGACTGGACCATTGCTCAGATCCCGCGACGTTGCGCAACAAACCCCAGTCGCATGGGCCGGATAGATACTTCTTCAAAGGGTCCAGAAGACACGCGATCGAGTACAGCGGGGGCCGTCGACATGATCCTTCATGCTCGATTGGGGCCAGACATGTGCCGAAACGGCGGTCGGATAAATGGACGGCAAACGAGGCGGCGGTGCAAGGGGGAAGGGTAAGGATGCTGCGGTGAGGGATGGCCCAAAAGATCCTCGCGTTCCTTGAGCTTCGGGAGCCGACGGTGTACAGTCAGAAATCACAGTCGGGCTCCAGCCAGCCTCGGGCCAGATCTGGATCGACGGAGAATGGGGCTGTGGAAGCGATGGCCCACGGTTGGGTCGGGCGGGTAAGATCTAGGTGAGAAGGCAGCTGAGAGGAGGTGAAAAGGGTTGAAAATAGGCGAAGAGGGAAGAGACAGAAGGGGAAATAGGAATCATGAATCAACGACTACATCCGGCAATGACGGAGGGGTGGAAGTGCCTGATGCCCCTCTTCAGGTCGATCGCGGCACATCATCCATTCCTCCACTCGCTCACATTCTCTCCCGCCATAACACAAGCCTCCCGAAAACACACTCCACATACACATCTTTGTTCTCACCAGGCTTCTATCACGAACTACCGCCCTCGGGTAAGGCTGACCCTCTCTCCTGATGCTCCTGCAATCGCTAAAACGCCCCCAGGCTCATGCAGGTCCTCCCTGGGCGCCGACGAAGGATCAGTCGGTGAGTTTATATATATTAATATCCATCGTACCTACGTGGTTGCTGTGCGGCCCTCGGGTCTGCCTGCCCCGGTCAGAATTGCATTGCCACCCGGCTGCTTCCATGGCTGGTTCCCGTGCAGGGGGTTTCCCTATCAAAGCGAACCCTCGCTGACACCACCAATGTAGAGAATGAGCAGCCATGCCCGCAACCGCCACGACCTTCCTGGACAACCCGCTGCTCAAAGTCAGCCGCCCGGTCGCCGCCTGCTCGCGATGTCGCACGGCGAAGATCAAATGTGACGGCAAGCTCCCCGCCTGCTCGGCCTGCGAACGCGTCGGGAAAGCCAGCAGCTGCTCCGGGGCCAGTGATGAGTTCGCCAAAGGCAAAGAGAGGAGCTATGTGGCCTCGCTGGAGGGCTACTGTGAGAAACTGGAGAAGAAGGTCACCCGACTCCGGGCCCGCCAGGACTCGCTCTCGGCAGAAGGCAGCGGCACCATCGCCCGGGAGGTGTCCATCACCTCCATTGTATCGGCTGGCCCGCCGGGCCCAGCCCACCGCAGAGAGGCCTCAGATATTGATGATCTAGTGGGAGATTTTGGTTTCCTGTTGGTACACGCCTCGAAACTCATAGAAAGTGGGCTAACATATATATAAATCCTCAGGTCAGTCAATGCGACCTCACGCGACTTTCGCGGCATCACTTCGAGCACCTCCTTCGCCAACCTGCTCCTCTCCGTCGCTGTCGTGGAGCTGCCCCCGCCACCACCTTCGTCAGACTCGCTTCCTGCGCGGCACGAAGCTATGCCCCTGCTCCAGCACTATTTTGACAATATATTTATCCAGCTGCCCTTCTTCGTCGAGACAAACTTTTGGACGTCGGTGGATGCAGTGTATCAGTCGCAAGGCCGCTTCGCCAAACCATTTGACCAATGGATGCTGCGCATGGTTCTCGCCATTGCGTCGGCCTCGGTGTCATATCATAATAATGATGAGAGCCACAAACGAGCGTTGGCTTTAGTGTCAGAGGCTCTAAGATACACCGAGGATGTTCTTCGCCCGGGCTCTGTTTCTGGGATCCAGTCAATCCTGCTGCTCGCTCAGTACTCCCTGGTTGACCCAGGGCACTTTCGGAGCTGGTATCTTGTTGGAATGGCCGTAAGGGTCATGGTAGACTTGGGTCTGCATCAGGATCCTCCCGCCGAGGTGCTATCCAACGCAGATCGGCTGGACGTTCGCCGTCGCGTGTTCCATTGTATTTATAGTCTGGACAGGTCTGTTATTTTTGGCCCCTTTGCGATGCAGATACTGATTTTTACTTTAGAGGAATGAGTGCCGCCTTGGGACGAACCTTTTCTTTCTCGGATGCCTCCGTGAATGTCGAGTTGCTGTCCGCAAACACATCGGGCCGCGCCACAGCTGACGATAGCCCTTTCTTCTTGCGAAGCCCACTGCCGGCAATACACATTGTGAAAATCAGGCAAATTCTATCGAACGGATACCAAGAAATGTATTGCAATGGGCGCGATCCGTCCCCACAGCCCTTAGTAATGACATGGACTCTGTGCTCTCGGGTGAGAGACTGGTACCACCAGCGGCCCCAGAACGCGCCCAGCCACTTTTCCCTCCTGTATAGACTGGAACTGCTATACACCATGATCATCCTCTTGTCACCTTCTCATCGATATCCTCTCCCGTGCGATTACAACAAGGCTCTCCTATTCGACCGATCCATGGACTACATCAGCCAGATCCACCAGGTACTGGAGAACCCCAGCATCCTTCCATTCGTGACATTCCTCGACATCCAACGCGTATACCAGGTGGGCCAAAAGTTCGTCGAGGTCTTGTCTGAAAACTTTGATCTCTTGCTGAGCGCCGCTGTGCCTCTTCCTCCCCCGGTGCCAGCCGGCACACCCGACCCGCCGATGCTGGGCGAAGAGGACCGTATCAACTGCCGTCCTCGCGCGATCCGCTGTCTGGCGTACGTGCGCGAGCTGATGAAATACAGTGCCCGGAAGTGGGACCTGTCATATCTGCTGGAGAAGTTCGAGCAGTCGTCTGCGCCGTTGGAGGAACGGTTGGTCCAAAGTTCCGTGGCGTATTTACCTGGCCAGGGGATCTACGCGCAGGCGCCGTCGTCGGGGTTGCCGCTGGCCGGCAATGAGTACTCGGCGTATCACTTGGGATAGGTATGAGGGGGGAGACTGTAAGAGCTGTGGTTTTGTTAGTTTTGTTAGTTTTGTTACGACCGATATGCCTCTGTCCAATACCCCGGCTTGTTGAATATGATCGAGTCAATCACTTTCCAACGGTTCTGTGACACATTAGTTTCGTATGAGTGAGCGATCCATTTTCCTAAAGACGGACTGGACCCGTGCCGAGGATCGCCCGTTGCTTGCGAACAGCACGGTTCGATCAATAAACTCATCAATAATCATACCAAAATAATTACAGCACGGAGTCAATGCAGTAGTGCAGAAATATATATCTCGATAGTCCCTCGTGTGAGTGTCGATCAACAAACTATGGACCCGCAAGCCTCCTAAGGGAGTGGCTGTAGGACTTGACTGGAGAAGGACTGGAATTAAACCCTAGAACCAAGCGTTGGGCGTCAATATTTGACGCCCTCGTGGCCAGAACCAAATGGCAAGCCCAACCTTATTATTACCCTTCCCTTTCTCAGCGGACCTCCAATCCGAACGGGGTCCGTCGGAATTGATCCTCGCAAGCTAGTGAACCTTGGGCCATAGGAAAAATGCAATTCATAAGAGCGGTATGCATTTCTGAGTAACCGCGGCCTAGCACAAAGGGATCTATGAGCTATGCGTCCCGTCCCTGATTAAAAAAATGATACCACTAGTAGTGAAGCGCGACAAAGGGTAAGAAAAAACGCCAGTCACGCCATTTACAGCGCCATTCCCGTGGACTCGGCAGTCAGCCAAGCTAATTAATCCTGCCCGTGTTGGTGGCAACGATGGCGACACAACTGACTAGCGCGAACGGCGGGACAGGGCTAAGACATTATGGATTCTACTTTTTTTGATTAGGGTGGTCCGTCCGCCTTGTTGCAAAGGGGGGTCCATGTCAGCAGTGGTACTTCTGCCGGTAGTTAATACGGACTTAACGTAACCACATAACTGGGGGGAAGGCTCTAAAGGGGCGCCACGATCTTGCCGCCAGCCTCGTGGGTGCTGACCCCCGGACCGGCAGATAGATATACATACGATGAGGGAGCAGGAGGGACGACAATTCTTTTATGTTGAGATGTGTCTGTTGTGAGTTTACGGATCGAGCCGACTGAGTTTGTGATCTTGCTCCTCTACCCACAATAAATCTCGCAAGGTCGTCCGGATCAGGGCCGACTCTCCCTTTCAGGGCCAGGGCCAGATGAATCGGTCGGAGATGATGCGGTGGCGCCTAAGCTTTGCGGTGGATAATCAAGATCGGGAGGGGCTTCCATCACTACCGTATGGAGTGAATGGCTTTGAACAGGGCAGCTGAAGTTGGTACCCATAAAAGGGGTCCAACTTGGTACGGGACCAGTTCCACTCTGGGCCAATCGGGGAGCTATGTGTGGCGGGTTCTTGTTAGGGGGCCACTTCCTCCGTGGAGTGGAGTGGGATCGCGGCAGCAAACCCTGGCGGACTTAACCATGCTGGGCATATGGGGTTGGCAGCTCCGGACTGATTGGCGGTAATGTTCCTTGGTTCGAGCTTATACTATTTGGTGTCGAACCTAAACAGTTGCTCCCTTCGGCATTTCAAATCATGAATACCACGATCCTGACGCTGAGGTCATGGCCCCATTTTTGTTTATTTTTTCAGATAATTACAAGAGACTATGTATTGCATGTAAACATAGTCCATACTGGAAGGAATAGGATCGCGTTCTCCGCTCCGCTCCTGCTTAGCGTGTTTTTCTCCGAGATCCTGTTTGTTTGTTTGGTTTTTTTTCTGTTCCATGACGATCACAGTGATCTGCCTTGAGCCCTGGGCCGGATCTGGTACCCTATCGAGCCCACCCGGACGTGTTCGGACAAGCTCTGGCTAACCAGAAGACAGCTTCGACGATAGTCAGGAACTCTCGTCTCCATAGTAGAATCGGGATGCAGATCATAATTTGCACGTTAACCCATCACAGTGAAGACGGCTAACACGGTTATCTCCGGATAAACACATCATTCCCCATCGAATGAGAGTGCTAGTGTGTCCCGGGATTGACTTTTGATGGATTCGGGATGTTGTGGTTCTCCTGTTGTAGAGCCCTGAACAACATCATCCGACACGTCGTTAAGAGTGACATGACGCAGTACAACGCCGCAGATGCAGCACCGTTTGTCCTGCGGTCTCTGGATCTTCTCATCGTGCATGGCTATTAGGCTTGACAGGATAGAGATTGTCCCACTCCTCACTAGGCCCTGACGGCTTTAGTCAATAGTTACGATACGGAGTTGACCCGCCCTACTAGTAACCCAATGGACAAAATCTTGCAGGTGGACAAGATTAAATGGAGTCTGCTGCTCGGTCAGCCCTTGGCAGGCTGTCCATATAAATCCTATTCCCTCTCGCTTTTCTCTCCTGTTCTTTTTTCCTGCCTTCTATCCTACAGTCACTCTTTTGATCAAACTCTAGTCACTCCTTTTAAGCTTCTATATCACCCTATTCACAATGAAGGCCTCTTTCTTCGCCGCCATGGCCGCCATGGCTACTTCGGTCATTGCCGCCCCTGTCGCCAACCTTCCCGGCCTGGGCTCCATCACCAAGAACCTGAACCTGAACAGCATCACCAAGGACCTGCAGATTGGTGACATCACCCAGGAGCTCAACCTGAGCAAGCTGCCCGTCATCAGCAGCCTCAAGGACCTGACCGATGCTGCCGAGCAGCAGAAGGCCGGCGGCGTGCCCACCGGTTCCACTGGCCACCTCCTCCAGGACCTGGGCCCTGAGCTCAACAACATCCTGGTTGTGACCGGCCCCAAGGTCGGCTCCCTCCTGATCCAGCTGAGCCCCGAGGTGACCGCTCTCCTCACCAGCCTGGGTCTCCCCGGCCTCGGTGCCCCTCTGGGTGCCATCGTTGCCTCCGCCAGCTCTCTGGGCGGTGTCGTCGCCGGCCTGGGCCCCCACGTCGACGGCCTGGTGACCGTCCTCGGTACTGATGTCGGTGCTCTGCTGATCGGTCTGTCCCCCGAGCTTGCTGGTCTCCTCTCCGGCCTTGGTCTCCCCGGTGTCGGCGTCCCCGTCGGCACTGTCGTCGCTACTCTCGGCACCAACCTGAAGCGTGACGGTGCCAGCACCGGCCGTATCCTCGGTGGCCTCGCCCCCCAGGTCAAGGACACCCTCCTGGTTGTCGGCCCTGACGCCCAGCACCTCCTTGTCGAGCTCTCCCCCGAGGTTGCCGCCCTGGTCTCCGGTCTTGGCCTGGCCTCCGTCGGTGTTCCTCTCGGCACCGTCGTTGCCACCGCTGGCAACGGCGTCGGCAAGCTCATCGATGACCTTTCCACCCCCGTCGAGCAGCTCCTCCAGGTTACCGACACCGACGGCAGCCAGCTCCTCGTCAAGCTGTCCCCCGAGGTCGCTGCCCTGGTTGCTGGCCTTGGCCTCCCTGCCCCTGGCGTCTCGGTTGGCGCTGTCGTCGCCACCGTTGGCTCGAACCTGTAAAGAGTGAGTTTTACTGGTCCGTTGATCATGATCTCCTCTTGCTGATTCTTGTTGGGATAGATCAACTCCATGATGATCTCGCAGCCCACCGACTTCAGGTCGAGTTCTGACTCGATCCCCTGACACCACGGCTCTCCAGGACTTCCGGTGCAGCAGTAGGACAGCGGGCCGATGGGCTATCTGGATACCATGTTACATTATTATGGAGGCGTTTTTTTTCTACATTCTTGGACATTTATCATTAACTTCTTCCTTGTTGATCAATGTCATGACACCCATAATGTAATCATCTTCCTTGACCAGCTTCCCTATTCTACGACCAGTTTCCCTATTTGACGACCAGTTTCCCTATTCGTAGATGGCGCATTAGGGTTTGGCAGACTAGGGGTCGCTCCACTTTTCGTCAGCACCAATCACGGTCCCGCCTGGGTCCGTTATCGCCGTCGTCCGCCACCCCTTGTGCCTTAGACTTTTTGACGCGCACCTTCCCTTCATCCGTGAGGCCCATTTCTTCGTCTTCTTGATCTTCGTCTCCGTTCTCTTGCTCTTTCTCTTCCCCCCTCGCACTCCTTTCCTCACTCCGATGTGTACTCCGTGAACCCTGTCCTCGTCCTCGCTTTCGAGTTTGCGTGCTCGACTCTTCCCGCCCACCCCTTCGCTGCAGGAACTATGCCCTCATGTCCGAAGGCGACACATTCGACAGCCCCTTCAGCTTGTCCCCACGTTCCACGGCTGGGAAGTTCACCGAACACACGATCACGGCCACTCTGATCGCGATCGCCTGGTACAATGCCATCGAACTGATCGTCCTCTGCTTTGCGACGTTTAAGCGGTATGGCGGGTGCTACTTCTGGTGCCTGCTCATCTCCTCGATCAGCATCATCCCCTTCGCGCTGGGATATCTCTTGCTCATCTATAATATCTACGACAACCTATTCCCGGTGGCGATGGAGCTGATCGCGTGGTGTGGAATGGTCACAGGCCAGTCCCTTGTCCTTTGGTCACGATTGCATCTCGTCGTGCACAACCCAGCCATCCTCCGATACACTCTTGCCATGATCATCACCAGCGCCATCATCTTCCACATCCCTGCCTCCGTTCTTGAGCTCGGCTCCCACTCCAATAAATCCTATTTGTTCAACAAAGGGTTCAGCGTCTTCGAACGCATCCAGCTTGTGGGCTTTTCTTTGCAAGAGGTCATTTTGTCCGCCATATACTCCTGGGAGGCAGTCCGTCTGCTCAGTCTCCGCCCTCGACGCGAGTACAAGGGCACCTTGATCCAGCTGCTGGTGGTCAATATGATCATGGTCTGCATGGATGCCGCCATCATCGGCGTGCAGTACTCCGGCCTCTTCGATATCCATGTCACCCTCAAAGCCATGTGCTATAGCATCAAACTTAAACTCGAATATGCCGTTTTGGGCAAGTTGGTCGTCTTCGCTGAGATGTCGGGCAGCAATTCGGCGCCTACCGACCTGTCGGATTTCGTGGACCTGTCATACCACCATAATAACCAACTCCCTCAGGATGACGATGATAGTCGCACAAGAAGTGCTGGCGAGAGTCCTGATCGCCGTGTGCAGATCTCCTCGAAGGATTCCTCCTCTGTGGCCCCGCTGCGTGTTAGCTACTGCATGGAGGACGACAGTCGGAACGAGATGTAATTACTCTCCGGATATATCATGAATCATGCAGATAGACGTCTATAGATATGCCAATAATAATGAATCACATACACTGATGATTCACCTCGAATGAGGGGTTCCCCTCCTTCTCCTCCTGCTCCGTCGGATCCCGCCGTGATAGAGAAGTACAGCCAGTGGCCCAATAAGTATCTGGCAACACCCATCCAAACCAAATATTATTCCTTCCACCACTACCTATCTAACTATACTTCCACCATAATGACCAACCTGACCCCTCTGACACCCTCCCAACTCACCGCCGCCGCCACGGCAGCCCTAACTCTCCAACTATCAGCCCAGGACGAGCACTCCAAACGCCCTTTCGTCGCCCTCCTTCTAGCACCAGACAACTCCACAATTTTATTATCATCCTTATCCCTCTCGCACGTCCGGCACGCCGAAAGCGAACTCGCCCGCAATGCCGCCGATAACTTCGCCTTCGACTACTTGGCCCGCTGCACCCTGGTCTCAACCTGGGAGCCGTGCGCCATGTGCGCGGGGACTATCTACTGGGCGCATATTGGGCGCGTGGTGTACCTTGCGTCGGAGAGTGAGTTGCGGAAGTTAACGGGGAAAGGGAATAAGGAGAATCTGACGTTGGATTTGCCTTGCCGCGATGTTTTTGACAAAGGGCAGACGGAGGTCGAGGTGATCGGCCCGGTGGTGGAGTGGGAGGAGAGGATTGTGCAGGATAGTAGGAGGTATTGGGGGCGGGTGTGATAGAGAGATCTATTCTTGGAGAGTGTCGTTCTCTCCGAGTTGCTGGTGTGGATAGCTCTTGTGGGTAACTCTCTGATGGAGCTGCTGCAGTCAGGTGGAACTCCTAGTATTGAGCCTAGCACATGAGGTAAGTAGATGTTGACTCCTCTACCAAGTCCAGAGACTCAATTGAAACAGATCCGTATTATTTATGTCACAGAGTGTAATAGATGGTTTCAACAAGGTATAATTGTTGAACCTCATATAGTTCAATACACCATATAGCCACGGGGAGACCGACCCAGAGATAATATGAAATCAGGGACTGGGGGCTACGTGCCGTCGTCACCACCTACGGAGTACCACAGCCCAGATTCATAGCTCGCCTCAACCTAGGGCCCTTTTCTCGGAAATCCTCCACGACCCTGTTTTCCTCCCAGTCCCATCAACACGCGTCCCGCCACATGCTGATTGCACCACACGCAGCGGCTTCCCCCGTGGCTAGACCAGTCAGGTGACCGAGGATCGACCCACTGCGTGGATCAAATAGTTTGTCTGGCAAAGGCAGTGGTCTCCCGCGCTATTGCCTGACCAGCGTACAATAATTTCTGGGGCTGCTTCTATGGTTGGTCTAGAACGGATGCAAATAAAGCTATTCCATTGACGTCAATCTGATGCAGCCAGCTGGAAGGATAAACAAGGCCCCACCATGATGATGGGGCGCGTGTGCCAAGATCGATCTGGAAGCTCCGTCGATCAGGCTCCATCCATCCTTAGTTTGCGATGGAGAGTCAGTAGTTCTCCGTCTTCTCCGGGCCACTCGTGAGCTGCACGCGAATCTTTCATTGTTCTTGCCATGTTTCTCGAACCATTGGGATGACCCAGCTGGCTGGCATCTCTGGCAATGGCATCCATTCTTTTTCTTCTTCTTTTTTCTCTTCCGCGGGTGCGGCGATCCGGGATTCACACTGACGAGGTACGAGGTGCCACGACACCATGACGTCAGTCGATCCTCCAATCTGGATCGGGAAAGAAGTTTGTTGTTGGAAGTATGGCCTGGCCTGACCTGACTAAGAGCGCAGCAGCAACACTCCTCCTTCCGGAAGGGATCACTGACTGACCATGATGCTCGTCATCCCTTCCTTGTCTTTTATTATTTCTCCCTGTCCCCCTCTGCCCCCTTCCCCCTTTCTCCAGATTTTCCCTCCTGACATACCTACCTTCATTCCAGTGATACCCCTTCTTTATCCCAACACCCCTAATTTCAATTCCCCTGTCCGTATACACTCCATCCCACCGCTGGGCCTGTGCTAACCCTGCCCAGTTTTGCTCTGTTTCTACCCTCAGTTTTCGTCTTTGGTTCCTAAGGATCCATTGCCATCATGTCACCCAAGGCCAAGGATGTGAACCGTCCCACGGACACCAAGCAGAAGGAGAAAGTCAGTGGCACCTGTGCAACCAGTGATGCGATGGCGCTGACGTTGTTTTTGTTTTTCTCGAGCAGGACATCAACCAGAAGCTGCAATGGTTTGGCATGTACCACGGTAAGCATCCTGCCCTTGAACACAATGGACCATGTCACTCATATGTTGCTTCGTAGCCTTCAAGAACAGCAAGCTTCCGTCGGTGGGTTGCGATCCTAAACCCCTCGAACTCGGAATTGACCTGACTCATCTCTCGCGAACAGAACAAACAGTGTGATGTCGCCCTGAACAGTGCCCTGACGTCCAAGGTCCTCACCTCCCCGCCGGCTGAGCTGTCCGCCGAGGGCAGGGTTCTGGTCAAGGACCTGCGCAATGTCATCGACCAGTCCAAGAAGCTGCTCTTGTCCAAGAACGAGGGTGAACTGCTGCAGGAGTTCATCTGGCAGTCCCAGCAGATCACCGCGGGACAAGTGCAGACATCTGGTCTTCCCGTCGACAAGGACAGCGCCAAGCAGGATGGCCAGAAGGCGCTGGAGGGCTTTAAGACCCTGGGAACTCTTCTGATCACCAATGGAGAATTCCGCAAGATCCGTAAGCTTGACTATCCCTTTGCACGGATCTAGATATTGATGACTCCAGTGAGCGACGCCACCATCCTCCTCAAGGACATTGCGGCAGATGCGTCGCAGAAGGCTGCCAACCAGGTCCGGCCATCGGAAGAGCAGCTCTCGCAGATTGACGAGCCTGCTGAGGAGAACGTCTGGCACGAGAAGCCCAATGTCTCCAAGGAGGACATGAAGTCCAAGTTCAAGAAGAAGAAGAAGCAACAAGTACGTTATGCTTGCTCCCAACTCGTTGCGTGTCTGACTTGAATCTCGATCAAGGACAAGTCTAGTGTTGCTTCCAGCAACGATGATGCCTCGGTGGCCCAATCCGATGACAGCAAGAACAGTCGTACTCGTGAATACGCCGAGAAGACCAAGAAATACCTGTCCGAAAAGGTTCCCAAGGAGCGTCGCGAGCAGGTCATCTGGCGTCTGAAGAAGATGGTCATTGAGATCCAGGGCCATGCTGACTACCAGCAAGCCATTGAAACCCTGCTGACCATGGCGGAGAAGTATGCTGGCCACACCAAGTCCGTTGGTCAGCAGAGCTCTGGCACCGTCAAGGACTTCCGAGCCACCGACAGTGTGCAGGCTGCTGAGAATTGTCTACGGGTGAGTCTTTTACATCTCGCGACAATATTCAAGTATCAATTGCTGATTACCCATTCCATAGACTCTCATCGAGCGCTTCGCTAACAACACCTCCTTGAGCGATTTCTTTGACTCCTTGAACAAGATCTACACTGATGCGGACAAGGATCCTGAGCTGCGGAGATGGTTCAAGAACGTCGACACCTACATCAGGTATATGCAATCCAATTCGTTGGATAAAACTGGACTAACTAACATGTGATAGGAAATGTTTGCGTGAGCAAGGGTTCATCATGGAGGACGAGGCGAACCGTCAGTGGAATGAGCTGTATGACAAGGGCCACTATCTGCTGCGTGAGCGTTACAGAGACCACACCAACCGCATTGTGGATGAGATCAAGTTCCTGGCGGATCAGTTCGACAAAGACCCCCAGAACAGGGCCCTCGCCGAGTCGATCCAGCATCTCTTCAGGGACCTGGGCCGGAATACGGGCGGCCAAGTGGTGTTTAAGCAGGACCTGCTCAAAGATGTGGGCAATGTCATTTTGCCTGGCATTTTTGAGAATGTACGCTACGTTCCAATTCCGCGTATCGAGGTGTCCGACCCCATGGTCGACGTGGTGGTCGAGAACCTGGTCGTTGAAAGCGACAACCTGATGCCCAACGTTGTCGAGTTTGGCAGTGACAACTACTTCCGCTGGGGCCGCAAGAAGATCAGCAACAAGAGGGATAACAAGATCATGATCTCTGCGTCTGGCATTCAAGCAGATCTGCGTGATGTCAGCTACTACATCAAGAAGAAGGAGGGCTTCCCCTCGATCACCGACAGGGGTATCATGGACATCTTCCTCGGCGGCGAAGGCGTCAGCTTCAAGATTGCTGCTTCCAACGCCCATAAGCAGGATAAGGAGCACTTCGTCAAACTGGACAAGGTGGACGTGACCATCAAGAACATGGACATCAAGCTGAAGAAATCCAACCACAAGATCCTCTTCAACGTGTTCAAGCCGATGCTCTTCCGCGTGGTCCGTCCCGCTCTGCAGAAGGTCTTGGAGGAGCAGATCCGCAAGGCCTTCAATGACGCCGACGCCTTCGCCCACGAGATTAGCACCGAGGCCCAGCGTGCCCAGAAAGCCGCCCGCGAGGACCCCGATAACGCACCGGGCATCTTCTCCCGCTACGCTGACGCCATCCGGGCCCGCATGCAAGCCAAGGCCAAGAAGGCCGAAGAGATCGTCCAGCGTGATACCAAGGTCCAGACCGTCATGACCCTCCACGATTCCATTTTCCCGGACATCGAGCTGCCCGGCGGCGTCTCCAGCAAGGCAACCGAGTATGCCGACCTCGCTACCAAGGGCGAGCGCTGGGAGTCGCCCATCTTTAGCATTGGCAACGCCGGCGAGTCCACCGACATCCCTACCCAGGAACCTATCACCCGCAAGGCCCATAACACCAATGGTACCACGGACGTTGCTGGCGCCGCCGGTGCTTCTGGCAGCGCGACCGCGGCCGCCACGAACGGCACCTCCAAGGTGTCTGGGTACCCCTCGCGTGGCTTCTCCGATGAAGTCGACCAGGCCTTTGTCAACGACAAGACCAAGACCGTTGGCGACGGTATCAAGACTACCAACGGCACCACCGCCACGAACGGGTTCACCGCGGTCAACTAAGCTGTGCTCTTATGTACACCGCAACATCTCTCGGTGTGGCTTTTGCTTTCCTTATGAGTCCCCTAATCCGTTTTCTGCTGTTCATTCCGTGTCTGTCTCTTTTTTGGCAAGTTGTATGATTTCCCCCACCGAGCAACATCGTGTGGATTTGTGTACTAGTACTTTGTTTTTTGAAAATTCTTCCGGTAGCCTAATGAATACATAATGCCGCCGCTGTTCTGCGCTTAATCTATTTAATTGACACGAATAAGATTGTATGCTAAAGCTTGTTCTTGTTAAGTATTAAAACCGACCTTCTGATAAAGAAGAATGTTTGATTGGCAATTGAAATAGGACTAGTCAAGCCTCCAATGTTCGCCAACATCTAGGAAACGCCCAACTTATGCAAGAAACATCTTCAACGTCATTCATTCGTTCGTTTTTACCCCCATTTCCCTAACAAGTACTTCCTTACAATCCGCAATAGAACTGGTAGACTCCTCATCCGACGCCTGAGAGCCGACCCTCAAGCCCTGACTAGACGAAAAATTCCTGTCCATGGAGTATGACTTGGTGAAAAGACTAGACAGGAAGCCCAGAGCAGCAACAGTACACATAACAGCCCAGACAATGGATAGCGAGTCCGCGTACAGCGACTCAATCAAGTGACGCCGCGAACTTTCCGAGGGCAGAGCCTTGATATACTCCACCAGACTCGATGCATCGCTTGCATACTGATCCGCGGACCGCCCCAGAGACGGGTGATTGTTGAAGTTATTCTTGATGCGGTTCTGAAACACCACACCCCCGATAGCCACGCCGACAGCCTGGCCCAGGACCCGGAAGAAGGTCGTCATCGTCACTGTGATGGACTGGTATGCCGGGTCGGAGGCGACTTGCACAGCGAGCATGACGGTTGGGTAGAGGATACCCAGACCGATGCCGGCGACTAGATTCAGACAGACCCATTTCGCGGTTGGGGTGTTGGCGTCGAGGAGACACAGCAGGCCGAGCCCCAACGAGGAGAGAGGCCAGCCGGCCCAGAGGGCCCAGCGGTATCGGCCTACTTTCGCGGCGACGATGCCCGTGATCACGGAAATGGGGGCAACGGTGAATGTCTCTGGGAAGACGGCTACGCCGGACATCACGGGGCTGAAGCCTAGCACGCCCTCGTAGTAGAGGGGGAGGTAGTAGACCAGTGCCCAGAGAATGATGCCGTGCAGGAAGCAGCCCAGGAGGTTGACCGAGACAGTTCGGTTGTTGAAGATCACCGGCGGGATTAGTGGGTGAGACGGGACGAGACGCTCGTACGCGGCGAAGGTGATTAGCCCGGCCGCACCGAGGATCAGAGGGAGGAGCGTGTGCCACGAACTCCAGGCGTACATGACGCCGCCCCAGGTGAGCGGGATGAGGAAGGCCGTGAGGGAAGCGACGAACAAGATAGAGCCGACATAGTCAACGGTGGCTAGCTTGTCTCGCAGCGAGACTTTATCGTGGTGCAGCTTCAAGAAGACGGGAATAAAAATCAGGCCCAGGCCACAGAAGGGAAGGTTGACCCAGAAGATCCAGCGCCAGCTAGCTGACGACTGCGTGAACCCGCCGCCGATGAGCGGGCCGACGACTGTGCCCAGCGCCCAGGTACCGGAGCGGATACTCATCCACTTGCCGCGCTCACGCAGTGGGATGAGGTCTGCGATGAGGATCTCTGTTAGGGCCATGATCCCGCCGCCGCCGATGCCTTGAATGGATCGGCCGGTTAGGAGGAGGGTGAAGTTTTGTGAGACGGCTGAGAGGATGGAGCCGAGTGTGAAGGATGCCACGGCTGTGAGGAGAACGAGTTTGCGGCCGAAGATGTCGGATGATAGAGAGAAGACCGGCTGGAAGACGCAGGATGCCACCAGGAAGGACGTGCCTGTCCAGAAGGCTTCTGTTGCTGTTCCGCCGAGGTCATTTGAGATGGTCTATATAGGATGCCAACGGTTAGCATTGGAAGCATATACTACGTATGTATGTATTGGATCGACATGGATCTAACCGGCAGGGAGACTGATACAGAGGTTGCATCGAGTGCAGCCACAAAGTTGAGCAGCCCTACCACGGCGAAGATAGATTTGAGCTGCCAGATAGGACGAAACGAGGTATCCTGAGGAACAACCGCCATTATTTCTCGGGATATAATAAGAGAAGAGAGAAAAACGAGGTCTGTAATCTGTGCTAGAAAGAACAGACAACAGGGCGGAAAGACTCGTTGTCTTTAAATATCCTCAGGAAAGGGCCATAGCTCAATGCCAACACACAATACCTCGAAACAATATTCCAAACTTGAGCCCGTTCCCTAACATAGCTGCTGCGGGTGGACAGGGCTAGCTGAGATCCTATTTACCCTGTCGGGATAAGACGAAACGTGATTTGGTGGAAACTGCACCATCTGAGCGGCTCCGCCGCGTTTCTGAAAGAACGACCGCAGAAAGATATGCTAATGGCTAGATGGACGCGACAGTCAGCCTCCAGGAGCACTAGGATGCACACGTTCGTGGCTCAGTGGAACTAGATCCATTCCCAGGCAGCGGGTACAGAACTATCAAGGTCTTCTTGTTCGGTGTATGCTTAGCCCTGATTGGCGCTCGGGGGTTGTGTCTAACTACAATCGGCGGCGATCTCCCAGTCAGCCTTACAACCCAGAATACCATTGAAGGGATCGGCAACGCCGGAGGCGCACAGATATGCTCTGTCACTAACTACAAACAAGGAAATATTGGAGACGCAAAGACTGGACTCACATTGTTTGCTCGCTAAGACTGAGGGTAAAACTCCCGGCTAAAGTTGAGAGATGGGGCCAATTGTTGATTCATTCATGAGGCCTGGCTATCCAGACTGTATCGGAAACACCGATGGCTATCAGCGACGCCATCAACATGGCGTTCCGCCTGCCAGCTCAGTTCCTCACGGAATTGCCGTGGAAAGGGAAATAGGCACTTAAAGCCGAGACGGTAACTACGCATACAGGTGATTAGGGCCGAGCGGCTGTTTCTTGCCCGGGGGGTTGCGCTAGTCCGGAAAGGGTTACTAGGTAAGTGAACAACCGACCACAGTATTCACAATTTGAATTTCATTAACAATAACCTCAGGCTATCTATGGTGGCATTTGTGTTTATTCCACTGAGCTTTGCAACATCATTCTTCGGAATGAACATCCAAGAGCTCGGAACTGGATCTTTATCAATTGGATATTTTTCCTTCTTGCCCTTCTTTCGGGTGGCTTATGCATCATTCTTGGAATCTACCTCATGTCTATGGAGAGGTATTTAAGCCTCATCAAGAGAGGAGCTGTTCGAAAATGGACAAGGTGGAAAGCTCGATCAGAGAAATGAAATGATGATGTAACGGAGAGAAATCTTTACCCAATGCAGGGATGCCTAGACGATGGACTGCGTGAATAAACCATTTGTGCTAGGTGGCCAAATGCTTGTGCTAGCGCCCAGGCGACTTTTATTAGTGGACTCTATTCCAATCTCAGGTACACGAGACGGGGAAGGTACTTAGCGTTCCAAAGTTGGAGTGTATTCCGAGTTGTGCTTCCATGGTTCCATGAAGCCTCCCAATTGCTCTATAACAATCAAAGAAGACTCAATTTCTGTCGCTACCTTAAAATTCAATTCAAATTCGACCAGTGACTTATATTTTATCCGTGAGCCTGTTAGCAAGGCTCGCCGATGGTAATTCATTTGGAGGAACTAAAGTGAGTGGTTTTTAGATTGTACCAACCAATCAAAACATCTAGAAATGAAGCAGTCGTCTAGACTGCACCCGGCGTAATCACTTATCGATTCCTCATTTTTGAGCATCTTGATACTCACACACCCCCAATCAACATGTCCAGATACGAAACAGCCCTCCGTCGCATCGACGAAGCGCATGCCTGCGACCCACGGCAAATACATGATGCGTCATCGCAGGGCCAGATTCCATATGAGCTACACTACGCCAACAAAATGACCTCATACCTCACCCTCGTGGAACCCTCGGCCTCAGAATTGCTACAGCTCGCCATTCGCGCCCAACACCTGCGCCGATGGGAACTCCCGCGCAGCGAGTACCCAGCCACGAAGATCGGGTACCACTCCTGGCGCGCGGAGCTGCAGCGGCGCCAGGCCACGCTGGCGGAGCAGATTTGTACGGAGAGCGGGTATAGCGTGGAGGAGGCGGCACGTATAGGGGCACTGGTGCGCAAGGCAGATCTGAAGAAGGGGGACCCCGAGACGCAGACTCTGGAGGATGTGGCGTGTCTGGTGTTTTTGGATGATCAGTTTGACAAGTTTGAGAGGGAGCTTGGGGACGAGGATAAGATTGTGGATATTCTGCGCAAGACTTGGGGGAAGATGTCTGAGAAGGGGAGGGAGGAGGCATTGAAGATTAACTTGTCGGAGCGTGGGAAGCTTTTGGTCGAGAAGGCGTTACAAGGTTGATATCAGCTTGGTACATAGACCAAGGCGGTCATTTGTTGCGATATTTACATTACTCGATAGAGGCTAATAGACACGGACTTCGAAAAAAAAAGGGTCGTGTCGCCCCGGGCTGGATTCGATCCAGGGACACTCAAGGGGACCAAGTGATGGGTTAGAGGAAGGCGCGAGCACGCACACACACAGTTTGGGGGGGGGGCCGACTAGGTAGGAGCATAATGTCTACCCGTCATTCATGCGTCCAAACCACTGCACCACCAGATGGTGTTTGGGAAATGCGGGAAGTGGTATATAAGGGAGCCTCGCAGTCACACACCTAAGCCTTAATATGGAACCAGGCAGGAGATTTGGCCTCCCCCAGCCTGAATAATGAAGCTAAATCGTAATCCGGGGAATCTCCACATTAATTTACCAAGACGAGTCAATAATTTCAATAGAGAATAGGCTGAACTGCTTTGCCTATTCCCTTTCGCTATTATTATACCCAGGCCAAGGCTCGGATCGGTTTATATCCCCTATTGCACAAGGGCCTAGGATGGGGTCGTCCTGACTCGTGTCTTCCGCGGTTCAACGGACGCCACTGTATTCGAGGACTTCATAGCCGGGCGTCTTCAGCATTGCGGGAAATGGCCCGAGCCTACACCTGTTATAGCTGTGGACAATACATCGTTCTATAATTCGGAGCGTATTACGTAGATGTGTGCGGACGCGGGGGTGAAATTAGTTTATCTATCGCTCTACTCGCCGAATTTGAATCCGATTGAAGAGTTTTCCCCGATCTTTAAAGCTTTATTAAACGCAACTGGACTGATTATGAGTAGATTTCGATCAAGGCTTTGATGCCTTTCTTGCATGGTGTAGTGTTGAGGTTGATGCAAAAGACGGGAGTGTTAGAGGTCATTTTCAGCACGCAGGCTTGAAGGTCGAAGAAGTCCTAGAAAGTTGCCAAATATATACATGCTCCGTCGAGAAATATTCCTCTATGCATACTCACGATGTAATGACTGTGTCGTGGGCTGCATCATTATTTCTTATGTGATCTTACTTTGGCATTCCCCCAGCATTTCCCCCCACTGGTAGTTGGCAGTCGGTCCGATTATGTGCTGCCACGTGTTATACAGCAACCTCAGAGGGTTTTTTTTTATAATTTGACCAAGCATCGGCTGTTTTCACAAAATCCGAGTCAACCCACAGAAGAAAAAAAATCGCATCAAAATCATGTCAGAAGATCACATTGAACTGACGGGTCCTCCGGACCTTAGGTCTACCAGAGGCTTGACTTTGCATCCCACCGCCCCTCCAGACACGTCAACATCAGTTACAGGCTCAGTTTTAGAAATGCCCTCTATTATAGCAATAGAGGAAGCCGAGACAGACTTGGCTAGTTCCAGGGGCCGAATGTTAGCTATCATCACCTGCATTACCTGCATCACCGGCATTGGCAATCTATTAGCTGGGCTATTGACTGTGGGGATTCCAGTCATTGCGAAGGACCTGCATATTCCGCCTGCACAGCAACTTTGGCCGACTGCTGCCTTCGCTCTCGCATGTGGCTGCACACTGCTTCCATGTGGTGCCGTTGCCGATGTTCTTGGTTCTCGTCGTGCATGTCTGCTCGGTGGGCTGTTACAAACAGCTAGTGCCCTAGGCGCCGGGCTTGCTGTTACATCAGCGCAACTCATTGCACTGCGGGTCACCGCAGGCGTCGCCGCCTCTTTCTGTCTACCTGGTGCTGTTGGCGTCGCCTCTCGCGTCTTCCCCATCAACAGCAGCCCGCGCCGCCGCAGCGTCGCGTTCGCAGCCATGGGAGGCGGCCAGGCTGTCGGCTTTGGGTTGGGGCTGGCATTAGGCGGCGTATTTTCAGATACTGTTGGCTGGCGCTGGGGATTTTATGCCACTGCTTTACTCAACGGTGCTGTGCTGGCACTGGGGCTATGGGCGCTACCACGTGGCGTTGATGGCGGTCCACTGAGTCGAGCATCGCTCACACGTCTCGTACATGAGGTCGACTGGGTCGGCGCACTGCTCATCAGTACCTCGCTCGCGTTTCTATCGTATGAGCTGGCCTCGGCCACTGGATCAGATGCGGCGCGAAGCATGCGAGAACCGTCAAATATTGTGATACTGTTCATTGCACTTGCACTCATACCTGCATTCGGCTTATGGATGCGTCGCCAGGCTCGCCTCAGCCGGCCGGCGCTAATTCCCAATACCTTGTGGTCTAATTTACCCTTTACAGCCACTTGCATTACTGTTTTTCTGGTCTGGGGCAGCCTGAACGCGAGCGAGCAACTGACAGCCTTATACCTACAGGATGTCCGAGGCGCTTCGGCTCTCACATCATCCTTGTATTTTCTGCCGGCGCCGATTTGTGGTGCATTGATGAACGTCGCCATTGGTGCCCTGCTCCCACATTTGCGGCCCTCAATAGCGGTACCCGCGGGGTGCCTTGTGAGTGGTATTGCACCGTTACTTTTGGCCACCCTTTGTATTATCGACGGGCCCGGATATTGGCGGGGTATCTTTCAAGCCATGGCCCTCAATCCATTGGGTGCGGATCTAATCTATACAATCGCGAATTTGGTAATGACAGCGTCGTTTCCAACCAGCACTCAGGCCATGGCAGGTGGTGTCTTCAACATGCTTGCCCAGATTGGGAAGAGTGTCGGTATTGCGACCTCGGCAGTCATTGCAAGGCAAGTAACAGCGCAGGCCGGGGAGGTAGGCACCAAAGAGGCGCTGTTGCTTGGCTATAAGGCTGGTTGGTGGTATAACTGTTCACTGGGGATTGCCTCCGTAGCTGTCAGCCTCTATGGTTTGAGAAGCGTTGGAAAGCTCGAGGCCAAAAGAGAGTGATGCCTCATTCCTCTACCTTTGGCTTCGAAACCATATTCTCTCGTGTACACAAGCATTGTTACTCGGCCCGTATCCGGAATTATCCTAATCTATATCTGGCAGTGTAAAGGCAACTCAGAAGGTTGGCGGGCCCACCGCCAGGCGTAGTGGAGTATTCTTCACGGGGAACAATGGGGAAAATAATGAAGTTGAGGCACCCAGTTCGCCGTTTAAAAAGATTAGAAACATCCCAGGGGTGGTCATATAATGTCATGTCATGTCATTGATCTCCAACGCCAGTCGCTAATGATGAGAGAAGATGTAAGTGGCTACAAAAATGCTTAACCCTCGACTCTATGCAGGTTTGGGAGGGGAAAGACCATCACTGCGCTCCACCAGTATCAATCAACCGAACCAGTCCAATCGCCGCACCAGCCGCAACACCACCGACAAAACACATCTGCACACCACCCCACACACCAGCCAGAACATTATCGCGACCAGTCCAGCCGCGCACAATGCAAGTCTTAACATATCCAAACACCAGCAGAGTCACGGCCATGACGCCGATACTCCAGTACAGCGCCACGATGACGCGCTCGGCGATGAAGTACGGGATGAGCGGAATGAATCCTCCAACGAAATAGCCAATTGCCAGCGTTAAAGCTGAGACCCAGGCTTGGTTGCACGCTGGCGCGGACTGGCAGTGGTGGAAGGTCAGTAGGAAGTTGCGCAGCCGCTCGCTCGAGGCGTGCAGGTCGGATGTGATGTCGGTAATGGCGGCGGAGGAGAGGCCGTACGGCGCGAAAGTATCGTGCACGATGGCGCGGGTTTGATGTGGGTCGTTGTCAATTAATTCTTGTGTCTCACGGACTGTGGCATCGTAGGATTCGCTAGACATAGGTCAGAGCAAGATCTAACTATGTAAATAGAGAATTGGGAAGAAGACTTACGCTTCACTCTTGGCTCCCACATACCCGCCCAGTCCCATCGAGATCGCACCAGCTGCTAGCTCGGCCAGGCCACCCAGGACAACAACCTTGGTGTTACCTAGCGCGGACAGACCTGCGCTCAAAGCAAAGGGCACCGTCAGGCCATCCGACAGCCCGAGAATGGCATCCGACACGATACGTGGATTGATACGCGCCCGCGTACTGACGCTGCTGCTACCGGTGCTGCTGCAGGAGTCGTCATTGCTGGTGCAACGTCCGAAGGTCTCGTAGTAGCGACCCGACTCAATGTCCTGATCCGAGTCGCCGCGGAGTGTATCATCGTCGTCAATGCGGGCGAGGAGTGGTTTCCCTGTTTCTGTTAATGATCTGGCGCGTCGCATCAGAGATGGATCTACTTACCGGAGACCTGGGTTGAATCCCGCCGGGGAAAGAGTTTCTGTTTGAGGAAGAGGAATGCCATATTGGGGGCACCGCGGCTACGATGGGCAGCTGTCTTGTAGCTAAGCTAGGACACTGTGGCGGTGGCTGACGTCAAAGGCGAGGCCAAGGAGGGTTGACAAGAAGGGATACGGTGGAAAAGAATGGAGGAAACGCTCTAAGACTTGACTCGTCCAGAAGTAAATAGTGTACAGAGAAGAAGAGGGCCCGGTCCCCTTTTAACCCATCCACCATTTGTCTTTCCACTCACCGATGTTCTCCAGAGCAAAGACTGCCAAAACGGGACGATGTTTTCATCCACGCAGGGGCCAGACGCCAATCAGGGCGATAGGAAAGGTCAGCGCTGAATAACAAGAAATAGGAAATCCGATGATGGTGATTGGAGTGATGACGACGATGACCATTAGAGCGCAGATCATTGGGTGGCGCGGTGGATCAGGGGAATCTACAAGGGATGAGGTAAGACACGCGGCCCGGAACGGGAATTGCTTCTTTCATCTGTTCATACAACTATCTCCGAGCCCTAATCTAGAACAGGCTGAGTCGCGCAGTGGATCACTCCTCCGGCCAGAGGCAGCGCGGTAACATGCACGGGCTGGACCACCCGGTCCGGACAGAGAGTCTGCAACGTCTCCCGCGCTGCCCGATCACGCTGCACATCTCCGAATTGCGGCAGAATGAGACCGCCATTGACAAAATAAAAGTTCACATAGTTGGTTGCTGGGTCATTGGATGCCAAATCCCCTAGACTCGAAGGGTCAGGCTCGTCCACAATGTGGATCTCGAACCGACGCCCCTTCGCATCGACCGACTGGCCCAGAATCTCCCGAATCCCTTCATGCACTTCCTGCCATGGCCGAGGCACACTGGCATGCGGTCGTGAGAGAACCACGACCCCCGGCCGGACAAAATTGACTTCCGCATCGACATGCACATCCGTCACATCCAGGTCCTTCTGACCAGGAAACCAAATGATTTTCTCAACGCCCAGCACGCGCCGCAACTCGGTTTCAATCTCCGTCCGCGACAGCCCGGGATTGCGGTTCTCATTGAGAATACTGCTCTCGGTCGCCAGTAGCGTCCCATCCCCATCGACCACCAGCGCCCCGCCTTCCAGACAGATCTTTGATTCCACGACAGTCACGGCAGACGGAGACACATCCGACTCGATGACTCTGCGCGCAAAGCTCGCATTTTCCTGTAGTTCCTCGGCGTTCATAACGGGCCACTCGAGCCCATCAGCGGCGCGCTCATGGTCTCCGATCTGGTCTCGTTTGCCCCATTCACTGAATCGAAAGTTGACCGCGAACCGGCCGCTTCCCTCGCTGCCGCGGACGTAGACTGGGCCTGTATCTCGCACCCAGAGGTGGTTCGTGCGGAATGGGATAAAAGATATATTTGACGCCTTGCCCGGATATGCTGTGGCTGCTCGACTGACCAGCGACTGTGCCTTCGGCACATCCTCGGGTCGTGTGTATAAGCGGACCGGTTCGAAGGCTGAGATGGCAGAGGCGAGGTTCGCAATGTCTGTGCATGCGTTTTCGTAGTAGGCCCCAGCTATGGAGACCTTAGAAGGGAAGCCGAGGATCGTTGCTGCGTGGCGGGAGGTTTCCGCTGGGTAGAGGTATCTCCCTGCGCTTTTAATCAAAGTAGACGCCATGATTCAATTTTTCCGCAGAGGAGAGATTATATGGTCAGTAAGACAATCAAGAATATCCACGACGTCTGGATTGATCCAGCGGAAGAGTCTCTTCGACTCGGCTGTCAATTCTTCGAATTCTATGTTCTGCGGGGAATAAGAGGAATTAAATATGCAAGGGTTCCTGTCTTTAAAAGGTCAAAGCACCCGTTTGGCGGGGTGGGCGGACAATCGTCCGCTCTCTAGACTCGGCGCAGGGCCTAGTCACTTCACACAACCCCCAGATATATATATTAATTCAGCTCACTTATCTTGCAGTTATAGCACCATGGGCATATCTACTTGTTTAGTTCCGAAGAACTGCAACACTGCAACATCTACATGTTTTATTTTGGGAAGTACACACAGATCCGTCGTTATTAACTATGCACTTATAAAATATCGTTTGTGACGAAAACTTTCTGTGGCGTAGACAGGGGGAATTCTAATACTCTAATTACATAGCAGACCAACTCCAGCGGCTCAAGAAGACAGTATCAAGGCAAGCGGAAAACGCGATTCCCTCATAAATCATAGCACATTTGCACCATTCTCATAGCGCAAGCATGAAACCTAGCAGACCGGCCGCACCGGCGAAGCTGGCGGCAACGTGGGCGGTAGGAGCAGTAGCGCCGTTAGTCGTTGTGGGCTTGCTGCCCGAAGCCGTGGTCGAGGTCGAAGTTGAAGTCAAGGTTGAAGTTGAAGTCGAGTCCGAGCTGTGGGTCGAGCCGTGGTCTGATCCAGAGCCACTGTTGGTCCCAGTCGCCGTGGCTAGAGGGGTAGAGGAGCCAGCCGTGAGAGAGGCGGAAGAGTTCGGGGGGATGAGCAGGCCAGCCGTGGAGTACGCCGCCCTGACTTCAGAGGAGAGGATAGCCAGGTCGCTAGCGGGCAGACGCTCCGCCCAGGCGGAGTTGTGCATGAACTCGTCCAAGACATAGTTGCCAATGCTCTCGATCTCCTCAACACTGCCATATAGATAGGCGCTGCTGAGCTGCTCTCTGATCGACTGTGGAATCGCGCTGGCCACGGCCTGCTCGACCGAATAGAGGGGGGCCTCGGTCATGACGGGGATGCCCACGCCTGCGGGTTCCTCCGTGATGGCGGGAGCGGCCATGGCCAGGCTGGAGAGGAAGAGGGCGGTTGCGACCTTGGCGTGCATTTTGGCGGTTTGTGATGAAAGAGGTAAGAGATAGAGAGATATTGGAGATGTGGGATTGGGATTGGAATTGGAGAAGTAAAATAAACGCAGAGCCGCGATGCTCTTAAATATCTTTCCAAGGCGGCTATAATTAGACCCCTTCGACCTTGTTGAGGCTCTGCTTAGCCCTCATAATGAGGACGAGATTGGACAAGCTACTTACTAGTTGCTACCGCGACGCCAATAATAATGGCAACCACCATGTTTCTGGCCCCAACTCCACTGGGTGGATACACAGCCCTAAAAAGCCCATTCCACGGGCTGTGCGCTCAGAGTCTACATACGTCAACAGAACGGTGTGGCCCCAAGGATGTTGGGGCCATAACCTGTCGTCGTCGCCGCCCGTCAGCTTAAGGTTATGGAGGGATGCCGTGGAAAGCTTTCAGGCCACCACCCCGAACGAACCCAGGTTCAATATGTAGGCCGACAAGGCGCCAAGCCAACCGGGAGAACTGGCGGCCTAGGCTTGTCCATGAAGAGAAAGCCGACGGAGTAGTTATCTTCCAACATGACTAGCGAGCGGATTGCCCCGAAGCTCAGCCTCGCCCTATGTTCATTCCTGCACTGCGCCAAGAAATTTCCCAGGTTGCTCTTACGCGATACTTCTTTCTGTCGATGTCATTGATCTAATAATATTGTTATGCTTATGTATTATTTTTTGCATTCAAACAGCGCGGAGATCGAGTTTGCGGGGATTATTTGCCACAGCATAGCCATCCAACAACGACTATCGGCCCTCCGCACGCTCCACCAGGCGATCCTCCAGTCCCATCGGCTCCCAGATATCTTTGGCCTTCTTGTTCTGCACCCAGACCACGTCGCCCTGCAGGAAGGCCACGACTCCGCCCTTACCTGTTGCACTGGCGGTGATGCGGAATAGAGGCTGTCCGTTTTGCGGATGTGCCTCACGCAGAGGCAGCATAATAAGCCCTTGCTCGGAGCACCAGCCTTCCAAAATGTCCTTGAAAGCAATCTCTTCGGCGACTTGGCCCTTGGGCCGTGGTGCCGGCTCGCTGGCAGCTGCCACAGCATCGGCAACAGCTTCATCCCGGGTCGGGAGAGATGGCCGTGTCGTGATGGTCGGCGGTGGCAGTTCGGCCGCGGCGCGATCACCAAGTTGCAAGGCGAGATCCATTGTCTGTAAGCCTTTCTTCCACTCGTCGTCGATGATCGTAAGCTCGTTGATACTCTCCGGGATTTGGGTTCGCCACCAAGAAAACCACGTGCCGACCTCTTCGTAGTTGGGATCGTTGGTGAGCCAGATGTGTAAAATCTCATGCCACTTGGGGAAGAACTCAGAGACCAGTAGCAGGCCCATCACGTTGGGCTGGAAGAACTCCTTCCAGCGGAGAACGTCTTCCAAAGCAGTCAGATCTTGGTCCTGCGGGTTCACGACGAAGTCTTCGCGGAGGTGATGGGCCAGACGTGGGAGCAGATGGTTGCGCAGACACACGTCAAACTCCGAGCCCAGTGCATCCCGCCAGAGCTCGATGCCGTTGATCAAGCCCTTGCGTAGGCTCCATGAGTCCAACACCACTCGGAACTTTCTCCTTGCATCCGACATAAGACCGGTTGGCTGTTTGGGATTGGTATGTCGTTCATCCAGGTATTGCAGCCAAGTAAACAGCCACCATGGGAACTGCCCATCATGCTCGGACGGGTGCCGGCGACTGCTCCGCGGCTTCCAGTTCTTGAGCGCTCCACTGAGCTTGGGAACAACCAGTTGATCCAGAACATTTGCATAAACAAAAAGCGGGATTACGGGCTTCCACGCCAGCACTAGGGATGTCGCAGCAGACGGGTCGTAGACATCCCAGTCATTCAAGAGCGCAGACCGTAGCCGTGGGAGCCAGAGCGTGTAGATCATTGTTTCGTACGGGGATGTGGAATGCCGCTGTTGGGACTCTTCACCATCGGTCCTGCGAGAGAGAAGAGGCTGAAGCCGGGTGAGGTTGGACACGAGGAATGTCGGGTCTTGGAGAGGCTCCCATTCTTCCATTGCTTGTCGGAATAATGGATGTATGGCGGCGACCGCCGTCTCTGGCAGCCGGTATGCATCAACAGCGTCTTGATAGGTAGAGTAAAGAGCTTCGAGTTTGCCCGTCATCTCGTCGAATTTCGATACAATGCTTTCATCATGGTCAAAAATGTCCAGCTCTTCCACCGCAGCGATTAATCCCGTCAGATGGTTGACCTGGGATTGGTATGCATCCAATTCCTCTACCACCTGGGCCTCTTCGAGTTCGATGAATTTCTTGCGTTCAGTCAAGCCTTTCCACTCGTCTGCAAAGGCCTCCAGGTCGTGCCGGGCTCGTCGGGCAATCTTCATAGCTTCGCCTTCATCCTGGCTGACGAATTCTTGTGGCGTCATCAGCCCAGCCGTCGAGGTCAGAACGCGCTGTTCCTTGCCCGTAGCATCGATCAACGATTTGAGTACGTTCGGAACCTCAAGACCTTCCATATCTGCCTCCATCTCGCGCGCGGTACGGAACTGGGGTTTTGTGCGTGCGACCGGTGTGCCCGTCCCACTGCGACTCTCCGTCTTGCGCCCCTCCTTCTTCTTCCGCCGCCGCTGTCGTTCCTCGTCTGAGCTGTCTTCGAACGCTTCGCCTCGGTGCCGGGCCGCCCGTTTCTCCTCCTCGCGAGCTTGCTTGGTTTTCTCGCGTACTGCACCCAGACCAGCCCCCTGCGGTCGCGCCTGCGCTTCGATCGGAGTGATGATACCCTGGCCACTGGTTCCGAGACCTTGGCCCTCCTTGTAGCCCATCTTGGCCATCATGCGCGCGGCGAACGAGTTTCCTCCTCCCACACCGTTTCTACCTCGAGCAGATTGGCCGCCTCGGGGTGGTCCTGCGGCGGTTGTGTTGGCCATGCTGCCCCGGGGATTGCGAGTTGCACTGCCCAACCCTCCCATGGTGGGAGGTGACTCGGAACGGCGCGACGCTCTCGCAAAACCCCGAAAGCCCGGACGGCCCTCCTCATCGTCGCTGGAGCTCATGTCAGCAACCTTGCGCTTCTGGCCCGCGAAGCCAGACGAAGGCGACTCCATGCCGGTGGTGTGGCTGAGAACGTGAGTGACAACTTGGAACTCACTATCGATAACTGAAATTCACGTGGAGCTCCGGCATCCGGACGAACCCTAGTCCGGCCGAAAACAAGATGACGTTACTCGGCTACTTCATACTTTCCCTTTCGTCCTGCTCGGCTTCTTCTTGTCCTGAACACTCCTTTTCTTTCCAATTTGACTCTTCCCTCCAGACCTGACTTTGTGTGTTCATAATGGCTGCTCTGCTCTCCAACTCGGCCCGCGTGGCTCTCCGCTCGGGAGCTTCGGCTACTCCTAAAGCTGCTGGCGTTGCGGGCTTGACCTTTGCCCGCGGCAAGGCCACCCTGCCGGACCTGTCCTGTAAGTTTTAACTTGTGTAGTTTGACCTTGTACAAGTCAATTGCCCTGTAGCTGACCAAATACAGACGACTATGGCGCCCTGGAGCCGTCCATCAGCGGCAAGATTATGGAGCTGCACCACAAGAACCACCATAACACCTATGTGACCAGCTACAACACTGCCATGGAGCAGCTCCAGGAGGCCCAGGCCAAGAATGACATCTCGGCTCAGATCGCCCTCAAGCCCGCCGTCAACTTCCACGGCGGTGGCCACCTGAACCACTCCTTGTTCTGGGAGAACCTGGCCCCGAAGAACGCCGGCGGTGGTGAGCCTCCTTCCGGGGCTCTGTCCAAGGCCATTGACAGCACCTACGGCAGCCTCGGCGAGTTCCAGAACAAGATGAACACCGCTCTGGCTGGCATCCAGGGTAGCGGCTGGGCGTGGCTGGTCAAGGACAAGCAGACCGGCCAGATTGGCATCCGCACCTATGCTGTAAGCGATGCTAGCTCCATGGTCACTATTAGTTTACTAAGTCCATCTACAGAACCAGGATCCTGTCGTTGGTCAGTTCGTTCCTCTGCTCGGCATTGACGCCTGGGAGCACGCCTACTAGTAAGAACCCTGTGATGCTTTCTCCCGAAATAATACTAACCATCACCCCAGCCTGCAGTATCAGAACCGCAAGGCCGAATACTTCAAGGCCATCTGGGAGGTCATCAACTGGAAGGCGGTGGAGAAGCGCTTCTCGTAGATCATTCCATCGGTGTCATTTGCCTTGGACTGTAACATTCTCCACATCTATTCAATCTACCCTCGGCAACCGTTTCTGAATTATTTTTTGCACTTCGAGTAGTATTGTAAGCGAGCACCTGTAAATCCCCTATCCTGAATTTTCCAAATGATGTAGTTCGCCGAGAGATAAGGGTCCTGCGTTAATATGGAAGCATACGCTGCTACTTAAATCCGTTCCATGACCTTTCCAATAGCCAACTTCACTTGCTGCTGAATATCTTTGATCAACTGGTCTACAGAGACCACTGCATCGATAACTCCAATGCTCGCACCTCTATAGAAAAGCCCGTCAGTGGATACAGCATATCAAACAGAGCACGATTAGACTCACGCCCAGACCGTTCGCCTCTGATCCTCTCCTTGCTTGATAGCATCGTTATACCGCCGAATGACTTCTTCATTGCTGACTCCACTCTGGGAATCGTTCCAACTGAGGCCAATTACAGCCCTGCCGTCATATTGCCTAGGGAAAACATCGGTAGATTGGAAGACATCATGCCGAGTCGACTTGATGGTCGAGATGGCGCCATCGCTGGCCGATAGGATTGATTGTTTCAAAGATGACGAGGCTGGACACTCCGAGGTTGCAAGAAACTTAAGCCCGATCAGCAAATCTACTAGCGAAAATGATTTGGTATTCTTACCCTTGTGCCCATGACAATCCCATCGGCACCTGCGAAGTATTCAGTACACCATTGCTCACTCACAGTTCAAGGAAGAGAATAGACCACTTACCAAGTCCCAAAGCAGCAACACATCCTCTGCCGTCTACAATCCCACCAGCAGCCACAATCGCCGTGTCCTGTTTATTTGAATACCCTGCCACCGCGTCTCGCACCTCAGGTAGAAGCGACATGAGACTAGCTCCTTGAGCCCACTGATGACCTCCAGCATCGGTCCCCTGCACAACAACAACATCTGCACCCTGTTCAACAGCATGCCTGGCTCCTTGCACGGTCCCAACCTGCACAAAGATTTTAACGACCCAATCACCCTTCGCCCGGATTTTACGAATGGCCGCTATGAGAGGCAGGTGGTCTGCATCTGACTCGGGGAAAGAAAGCCATACAGCAGCAACCGCATGCTTCTCGAGAATGGGGATCGCATTGACTTCGAACCCTGCTGGTTTGAACGTGATGAAACCCACGCCAATAGGCAGAGCCTCTGTCAATGAAAGGATCCCGAGATTGGCGCGAGTTTCTGCCAGTTGCGCATCCAGTCTGGCCAGCTGAGCCGATTCTGGTCCGAAATCGAAGCCTCCGCCAATGAAACCTGCGATACACGAGTCAATGGGGGATATTGAGACCTCAAAGCTAACAGGGTAGTGTGGGCCCGTGTGCGGCTATGGCAAAACATAAATAACATACCTAACCCCCCGGATCTTGTCACTGCAGCTGCCAAGTGGGAATCTGTGAACCCGAGCATCGGCGCATTGGCAACGAATGGCGCTGTCGTATGGGGAAACCAGCGCTTGAGGAGCCCTTCCTGAGTCTCTGGAGATGTCATGTTTGCGGATTCGATGCCTGTCCCTAACAAAAAGGGCTTTCGAAGGATTTGGTCAAGACTAGATGCAAGTGGGGGGAGATTGGTTGTATCCGAGTTCCCTATGTTACCCCTCCTCGACATCTACATCATCACTTTCCCGATTCCCCCAGAATTTTTTTTCCTGGAAAAAGAACAACAAACTCGCGATTTTTGCTCAATCTCCTCCATTGGACAGTCGGCGAACCGACTTGGCTCCACTTAGGCAGCGTTAAAGTACACAAATTCGACCGTACCGAGCTCTTCGACTTTCTTCAGGGCTCTCGGGAGCTAACCAAGGTCACCAATATCGACACTATCAATTTGGACAGATACTTTGCGTCCGATTTTGGTGGCAACATTTACACAGTGTCTCTACTACTCTACAGATTGGAAGGGTCCCGGGCGAACAAGGCAATGTTGTCGAAGTGTTGGCTGGCGAAGCGGGAAGCGACAATGCCGGGGCCCGTGCCGATTAGGAGAAGCGTTGTAGTCATGATTTTATTGTGAATGGTATTTGGAGACTGAACAGTTGAAAAGAGCACTGTCGAATACTTTCGTGAAAATCGTAGTGTTGGCTGGTATTCGTGGCGGGACATGGAGGAGCTGTGCAGCTGAGGAACTTCGCTCTGGCGGCCTGATAGCAAGCATACTAGTAGCCTTACATAGGCTGCAGATTTCCGGCACGATAATAGGGGAAATGATCTTGAGTAGTGGCACCCATCGACATCCTCGGATTCGATGTTCAAACGTAGAACCCTCTTTCTTGAGGGGTGGCTTAATTGCAGTTAAGCAAAGTCAGTTCCGTAATGCAAGAGAAACGTCTTGCTATCCAACGAATGCCGTTTAATACGGGGGAATGACGAATCCACTACCCCCATGAGGGTATACTGATCGGTTGGTTTCGCTCTCCATGGCAACTCTCTCCAATCATCATGTTGGACTGAGACCGCAAAAGTTCTCCGCTTTGTACGGCTGTGCCTAGTATCAGAGTATCAGACTAGTATAGTAACACTCGCAGCTGAATGGTGTTTCCGCCCCCTCTGTCCTTTAAGTCCCACCGGCTCCCGCTACCCGATTCTTCAGACTTCTCAACTCTTCCCAGCCGATATCCATACTCTTTTTGGCGTTAAAGTTCGTAAATTTGGTCTTATGGTATACAGAGGGCAACCCAGCCCAGGCTGCGCCTTATGTCGGGCTCGGCGCCTCAAGGTATGGAGACACTACCCCGCTCGGATAAGCCACTGACTCGAGTAGTGTGACCAGCGACGACCCTCGTGCTCGCAGTGTATCCGAGTAAACCGGGAATGCTCCGGGTATCGAGATCCCAATACCCTGCGATTCCATGACCAAAGCGAGGAGGTGATCAGGAAGGCCCAGAAACCTCATCCCCCGCAGAAACCGTCGAAGCCCTCAAATGGCTCAAATTTTTGTTCTATAGACGAGCCAATCTCGTTGATACCGAAGCCTATCTCGGTTCCAATAGATGCTTGTGCCACGTCCTTTATGCTCAAGTACTACGTTGGCAGCACACAGATAGAGGGTATGCTTCCGTACATACCGCATCTTTTAGACACAGACCCTAGCCCCGCACTACAAGCGGCAATCAAGGCCATTGGGCTAGCAAGCATGTCAAACGCACGCATGTCGGCGGAGTTGATGCGCGCTGCACGAAAAGAATATAGCACGGCTTTGCTAGCCACTAACAGCGCGCTACAAGATCCGATCCAATTTAAATCAGACTCCACTTTGGCTGCCGTGATGCTACTTGGCATGTACGAGGTAAGGTAGTCTTGTCTATAGCCAATTCTCACTCCCTCTGATGGACCAAATAGACAATTACTTGTCGCAGCCCAGATCTAATGGGTCGATGGATCAATCATGTACAAGGGGCGACGAAACTCATTGAGATGCGGGGTATTCAGCAACTGCAGACTCCAACTGGGCTACAGTTGTTCTCCCAGATCCGCTTCCAGATTGTAAGACATATTTGTTGAACTTCTTACCGATTCTAACCTATTATCTAGGCCCTAGGTCACATATACTATAAACAATACGCACCGCCTTTCATCGTCCAATTATCCAAAGAGGCGGCTGCCCACCACCACAGCGGATTCGAAGAGATTGAGAATTTCTTCGACATCTTAGTACAAGTCAGTAACCTCTCCGCAGAAATCCGTGCGACCGCTAGCAAGAGTTCGTCGATCGGCAACCCGGCACCTTTCATTCAAAAGGCGTTCCAACTAGATATAGATCTAGTATCATGGGCCACGTCCGTCAATTCTGCCTCTCGATACACCACCGTGAGTGCCCCCTCTACCAAAAAACACGACTATGAGCACCGCTCGGTGTACGGCGAAAGCTATCATGTATATCCAAACGTTGGGATCGCATCTATGTGGACCAATTACCGCCTCACACGCATCATCATCCACGAGATTATAGGCAGCATCTACGCCAGACTACTAAAATCGGGTGGTTTGCCAGAGGACCGCCTGATGGCGTTGCGGAGTATCGCGATCAGTAGGCAAATGGCGGAGGATATATGCGCCAGCGTGCCTTATCACTTCGACTCCGGGGATGTGGCCGTAGGGAGCGTGTTCCGGCTTATCTGGCCGCTGTTTGTTGCGTCAGATTGTGTGGGCACAGTTCCCACTATGAAGCGGTGGATAGTGCAGACTCTCGAGAAGATTGGACATTCGACGGGCATCCAGCAAGCCCTCACTATGGCGCGGCTTGTGAGGGAAGAGACGGAATTGGAATGGCTGTCTCGGGAGTTGGATAAAATAAATACGAAGATGGAATCCGTCTAGCCATAGATATATTAAACCCTTGATATTTGATGGCACCCTACTTGTAAATAATAACTATGAGCTCATACATGATAACTGTGGCAGCTTCAGCCACAGTGGCGCAGGCACCGGCCCGAAAACGTCAGTGTAGCAACGCTTCATGAGCTCTCACTCCCACTGCACACCATGTCCGCTGAGAGTCCGGGGCATAAGCAGGGCGTCAAAGCCTTTTTCGCCAATGCCCTGCGTCCGAAGAAATCCCGCCAGACCCTGCGCAAGAATGCCTCCACCACCGACCTGCGGCTGGCCGCTCGTCCCAGCGTCAATGAACCACCTCCGCCAATGCCGGCGCTCGCGCCCTTGGCGGCGCACCGGCTCAAGTACAAGCAGACGCATGCGCAGGTAGATACGCAACTTGGCGAGCGCCGTGATTATACCACCATGATCCACACGCTAGGTGTGCTGGACTCCATGGACGACTTCGGCCCCAAGATAATCGACGACGACAACCGGCCCCCCGGGGAAGGCGATATTGCCAGTCTGACACCTGAATTGTGGAAGGCCATAGCTCAATACCTCACTCCTGCGGAAGCGGCCAGTCTCGCATTCGCCAGTGTCACGCTCTACCGTCGTCTGGGACCCCGGTTCTTCGCGGCCCTGCGCCACCCACGCAATTACAACTATAGGATCGAGTTCCTGGCCGGACTCGACCGCTCACTCCCACACTATCTCCTATGTTTTCCATGCGCCAAATTCCACCGACGCACAAAAGAAGGAAGCGAGCGGCTCAAGCCCGCGCATGTGGTGAACCCGCTCTTCGAGTGTTCCAATGCGCTGAACGCGCTCAATCCGCCTCCACGAACGCGCATCACACACGGACGTATGATGCCTTTTTCGTTCGTCCAGCTAGTGATGCGCGCGCATCGCTTCGGGCCCAGCTACGGCCTCGAGGCCGAGTCCCTCGCCCGCCGCTGGACTCGAGATGGCTGGTCATTCCACTCGCGCTTCCATGTCCACGAGGGCCGGCTTCTGATGCGTGTGACGAGTCAAACCTTCGCCCCACCTGTCCTGACACCGTCACAGCAGCGACTTCTATTGTATTCCCGCGAAGACTACTGGCCATATTTCTCATCATGCCCGCACTGGCGCGATGGCGAGCTATTGCCTGCCTGCAAGTGTGCATTAGATCACATCCCCAAACCACGGCAGACATCCGGATTTCAGGGCATCGAGCACAAAGTCAAAGATCGCTGGGCGGGGCGGGTGCACGACCCGAACTCGCTGGTCACCCTCTGTAGCTTCTGCCGGCCTATGCGGCGGTGTCCTGAGTGTCCCACGGAGTATCTGATTGAGATCAAGCTCGCAGAGGACCACAGCGAAGCACGCGGCGTGCAGTTCAAGCAGGCGATCGTCGTCACGCGGTGGTGTGATCTGGGCGATGGTACCACGCCTGCGGGCAAGGAGTGGGGTGCTATCACCGGCACGCGAGACGATTATGACTCCTTCAAGCATTATGAGAAGCGCGGAATTGCGAGTATCTTTGAGGCGGCGTTTACCGCCGATACGCTGCCTGGCCAGCGTGTCATCTCTATGAATCCTAATAAGAAGAAGCAGGGTGAGAGTGGTGATGATTGGTATTAGAATTCTTATATTATATACTCCATTTTCGCCAATGTGTTACTTGGACCCTTTCGGCTCGCGGAGCCTTTTCAGGCGAAAGTTTTTCTAATGGGTATGATGTTTCAGGAGCATGGGGTTGTGGAAGACCAAAACAAAAAGTTTATGTTTGAATTACTAATAAATCTCTTTATATTCGAATGCAATGTGTACCCAGTGAGGTAGAGAAAGCTTTACATGAACTCTTTTGTTGGTCAGCTATCGAGACCTCTGAGAGACAGGGGAACGCTGCCTGAGCTGCCGAGTCTACGATATCAGGCTACGATGAACCTCACTTCGAAACCCGCTGAGAAAAGGCGATTGGCACTCAGCACGGTCGAACCAGTGTATATGTTCGATAGGGATATTTCCGAATGAGCCAGACTAAGATCTGAATTTGGATATATTAGGGCGCTAAGTTAACCCGTTAATGCCATAAGCGACGGTGAACACGAGTTTGCCAACAAAACCTCCCGCTGAATTGCCCCACACTACACACCTTGCGTTCATTATGGATCCCCTTTCTATCTCCGCCTCAGTTGCTGGCCTCATCACGATATCAACCCAGATCCTGGGTATTATCAGCGACTTTAAATCCAAGAACAACAAAGAGCTTGACTCTCTCGCGCGAGAAATCAACGCAGTCCGTGGTATCCTTTGTCAGATCCAACAAATCGTCCAATTCCAATCCGTGAAGCCCAACAAGAATGAAGAATGGCTAGGCACCCTCAATGCGACATTAGATAACTGCGGAGACGTGTATCTTGCGCTACAAACAGACCTGCGGGGGCTCACGTCACATTCCAAGCTCGACTCCCTGAAGAGCAAAATCAAATGGACGCTCAAAGACAAGGATATCCAGGACAGATTGAGGAAAATCGAGAGCTACAAGCTGTCCTTAGAGCTATTACTTTCGGTTCAAACGAGGTATGCATCCCTCTTCAAACAAGGTGGCACAGTGGGTCTCACGACAAACAGTACAAAAACGTCGAATATCGAGGATATACTTATCCAGATTCAGAAAAAGCTGTCATTGAAGCCTGCAGAGTCCCCCGCCGTTCGCACGCCACTGTCGTGGCGACGAAAACTGGCAGGATTTGAGGCAGGGTTCGCACTACTACAGCCGAACAGCAACAGCTCGATATCCTCTGATGTGCAGAGGAGTGGCGACTACGGGCAGTTGGATACTGACAAATCCTACATCATTTCTGGACCAAGAACAGCTGGCTGGGACAAACCAGGAGCCTATGGTATTACTCATGACGCAGGCTTCCATGCTCCTGATATCAACAGCCCGGACATTACGCGCATCTGTGAGATGTAAGTTTTCAGAAAGGCCTCTTTGAGCTTCTTGTTAAATTATTGGATATCAGAAAAATAGGCAGTCAGAAGGTCAGCCTGCTCTGCAACTGGCAAAAACAGAACATGGTCGTCACGTTTCTCCAGGCACATATTCTTTTCGAAGGACCATCGCAAGGAGATGTTTATTTTGTACAGTTGCAAGAACGCAAGTTTGCCTCATTCTAATAAATCCATAAGCTAACTTTTCCCAGCATTGGAGGACGAATTTCTTGCTCCGTCTGGAAAATCAAGTCTCATATTTGTGCGCGGTGTCCTAAAATCTTCAATATGCTTTCGTGATGACCTCCCTGAGCAGAATAATCCTGAAGATTTTCAGCTCGCAGTAGGGGATTTTGCCCTAAAGTCAGTAGGCGAGCGTCAGCATATTCTAGTGAATTTTGAAACCGCACGAGGTACGAAGAGTGACTTGATATCCAGTGACTTCCAGTACTCATATCAATAGACCGGGAGGCATTTATAATGCACTTTTACGCCATTCGATATCTTCAAAGAATGGCCGTTGCCTTTTGTACACCCAAGCATCTTTACTATCACTCTCGTACTAATGAAACAAGGTAAAGTCTAGCAACCACTGGGTCAAGAAGGGTAACAAAACTGACCTCTCTCATAGAGTTCAGCATGTGCAAGTGGGATACGCGGATGGCACTGAAATGTCCTATATCTATCCAAATATCTATGTTGAGCACAGTCTGGAGGACAAGTGCCCTCGATTCACATGTGGTGTGAAGATTCGCAAAGGGACCGTGTTATTCAGCGAGGAGTGTAAGAGACAACCTCCATGGCAGATGTGTCCAAATTTTGACATTTTCAGTGTCGAGCCTTGAGTTTGAAGTGGTCGGAGCGGAGACCATCGTTTTCACTAAGCAGGAAGGAAAGACCATACGTACCATCTCGTGTACCTTTGGGCATATATGTGGTAAGAAGCTCAAATTTGTAGAATCCGGTGTGGAAGATGATATTGATATTTTATTAGAAGTATTTAAGATATATTATCGGCTGAAGGACATCGTACGTGAGTGGGAAATGTTGAGCAAAAGGAGAGTTGATGAGTATGAGACGAGAAAGGAGTGGTGAGTCTCAAGCTGTACCTTGGACAACTTTGTATTTCATTCCTGCTAACGAGGAGATCTGCGACAGGAAAATCGAGAAACTTGAATTCAGGGAATCATTTTGCGAACCGAGAGAGCCATTTCACAACGTTCTCGTGGTCCTGAAATCAGATCGCTTCTACAAGCGAATGAAGATAGAAATCTTCAATGAAGAAGCAACGAAGACGCTAGCTTCCTGCTATGGTATGGATACGCATACTTTACTTTTTGCTTCTTTCTTACGATGATTTTTGCAGTGGTGATCTCTTCTATTCTATACCAGAAACAACATTTCCAATTGAAGTTCCCAATATTCCAGGCCAGCTTCTGGGATCTCAGAGATGGTCACGGGGAAACACTCGATAACTTCAAGACCGGACAGGTAAGAATGTATGGTGCAAATGAAATGAGGGTTCGCGTTGAACTGGAAGATTTGGTTGAGGAATGGGAAGAAAAGACCAGGGAGATGCAAAAAATGTTCTTGGCCGATGTAACTAATTGAAAGGATTGGTGCTGAATAACTATAGAGACGTGATAAAGCAATCATCTCCAAAGATCAGTTCTAGGCCGCAGACGCAGATTATGCTGCCTCAACATCTTCTTTGACTGGGAATCAAGGGTTGAAAGAAAATCCCAATAAATCCACTATATTGGTACGCGTATAATATGTGACTGTCATGTGTTTAAAGAAAGACAAGCAGAGAGGATACAATTTTTGATCAGCGCCTATACCACATTCTCGTCACCTGCTTCCTCCGCATCTTCTTCTGGAGAAGAAAAATACCTTGCAGAAGTGCCTCTGCAGTTGGTGGACATCCAGGCACATAAATATCGACAGGCACAATGCGGTCTACACCGCGTACAACACTGTAGCTGTAGTGGTAATATCCTCCACCATTGGCACAACTGCCCATGCTAATCACCCACCGAGGCTCAGGCATCTGATCATATAGTAGCCTCAATGCTGGAGCCATCTTGTTAACTACCGTACCAGCCACGATCATAACATCTGCCTGCCGTGGCGAGGCACGGAAAATAATGCCCAGTCGGTCCTGATCGTAACGCGGCATCGATGTATGCATCATTTCAATTCCACAACAGGCGAGGCCGAATGATAAAGGCCAAAGGGATCCTTGTCTTCCCCAGTTAACCAACTCATCCGCCTTTGTCCTGAGTAGCATAAGAAAGTTAGAACTGAATAAATCGGATTGCAAATAATTCAGTTTCGAACATACAAGAGATACCCAGCGGCTCCAGTTTTCTGGCTTTTGAATGGCACAGGTGTAGATGTAGAGCTGCTGCTATGTTTTGAAGATGTGCACAGGTATCGCGTCACTGCGATCGTTGTGGGCGAGGAGAAACACTGTGACCATTGCTTTAGATTCGAGCAACGGAGAATGCTTCGAGAGGGTGTATTCAAAAGCATGGTCACCAGCCAACACGAATGTCTTCTCTAGCACAAGCAGTCAGGTGTAAGATGCAGAATCAGCTAACTTCTCCTCCCTACGAGAAATTTTATAGTTATTTCCAAACAGCTGGCTTTAAATATCCAATGAGAGGTAGAAGTCCATATTCCATCCAATCAGTTGCACCCAAATTCGGCGACTTGGTGGGTACGAGTTCACCAAGCTCGCCGAAATTAGGACGCCGAATTTACTTACAACAATCAAACAACTGCCTTTCACAATTATTAAATGCCAAGCCGCAGTCCAGCAGTCAAAGTCGCCTGCTGTCTGTGTCATGACCGGCGGGTCAAATGCGACCGTAGTGAAGGTGTTGCGTGTTCCAACTGCCGGAATGCCGGGCGCGATTGTGAGCCATTTATTTCTCGCCGTGGACGGTAGGACTCAAATGACGAAGCCACCATATTGGTATTAATACGAATCCAGGAGACGAAAGCTTCCTATCTTACATACTGGAATAGGCCCGAACAGGAGTCTTTCAGAGACTTCTCACAATGTGCCGTATGAAGGAGTGGCGACTTCAAACCCACCCCTGGCCCTTCATCATGCTCAAGGAGATAGAGATAAGCGACAGCGAGAGCCCTGCTTCCCAGCTCTTGGGCCCAGCGGCAAAACGCCGTATGTTGGAGATTCTTCTAATCTCAACTACTTGATCCAACAATTTGGAAATCCCTTCGGGGGTACGGCAGAGGTTCGCCCGCTTCAGGACCACCTCCAAGGGGCAATGCTGGCTAGGTTGGGCAGGTCGACGACGCAAGAAATCGAAAGACTTCACGTATCTACCATTGAAACCCTTCAGAAGCAAGGGGTATTTGATCTACCGTCGCAAGAGACCAGCCAGGCCCTTCTCGAAGCTTACTTCCATTATTCACTTGCTGCGCTGCCTATTCTTGATAGGTCAAGGTTTCTTGTCACTGTCGAGGAGGGCTCATTTTCACACTTACTGTTGAATGCTATTTGCCTCGCTGCCACTATGTATTGTTCGGATTCCGTCATTGCTGATGCCGGATTTGTGTCCCGATACGCCGCAAGCCTCACCTTTTACCGGAGAGCCAAATTTCTTTATGATGCTGGATACGAAACCGACGCGATCGCAACGATTCAAGCCACATTTCTTATCTGCCATTGGTGGAGTGGCCTTCTAGAGCACAAAGACCCTTGGTACTGGCTTGGTATTTCTGCAGGAATGGCACAAGCTCTAGGAATGCATCAAGCGTGGGTCTATTCATCCTCTAACGTGGACTGAGGGCACTAAGAAATATTCCAGGAAGTCATACATTCGCCTCGAAGAGAAAGATCGAAAAATATGGCGAAGATTGTGGTGGATAGTATATGTCAGTTAATACCCAAAAAGCCTCGGATCTATAACTGGCCTAACTTTCTAGGTTAGGCCATGGACATCAACCTGTCTATGCTCCTCGATCGTCCTCCCCACGTACAAGGAAGACTTTGTAACGTTCCCCCTCTGTCGGAATCGGATTTTGAACAATCAACCGGGTCCAAAAAGACAGAGACTTTCGGTGAAAATCTCAATGAGGCAAATATCTTCGTGATAAATGCTGTGCAACTAGCTCGGACAGGTATAGCGTCCATTATTCTGTCTCCAGATTGACTTCTTTGCTAACGCCTATTATAGTTGATCGCTTCTTCACTATTAAATTTGACCAAGATAGTGGTCACTCACAAGATATCTGTTTAGAGCAAATTTCGTTGTGGTCCTCATCGCCGGAATTCAACTCTTTCTCGACAAATAGTAGTACATGGGCTATATTGACTCAGCTATTATACCAGTAAGTTGGCTTCGTTCCAAATCCTCTTTAAAAGCTCCGCATTCTGAAAATATAGGGAATACCGGCTAGTTTTGCATCGGAGCAACCCTAGGTTTTCTCTCAACACAGGGCCAGGCACACCGACATTCGAGATATGCACGGAGATCTCCCACATGCTGGAAATACTCTTGGCGAATGATCTCGTATATGCTGCTGCAGCTAGCATGTACGTTCCCTCAATACTAAGGCTCCCCAATTGTCCCGGGCTATGTGCTGAAGCCTTTCTCAGAATTGCCCCCGTGTTGTCAGTGCTTTCGATCTATATAGTCAACATCCACAGAGGAGCAAGTGGTGTCCGAATGATTTCCGAGCATCGCGCGCGCTTCTGCATGGTGATACTTGACAAGTTGCAAGATCGATTACCGGTAGTTGCAGCCTTCTATCCAATTTATGAGTCCCTGCTTAATCGGCACTTTGCGGGTGCACAGACACAAGATGGCACAAAGGTACCAGAACGTCCGGCAACAGGATCTCGTCAACTTGACGATGAAAGCAATCTTGGTAGTACGCATCCCCCTGGAGGCTTGTTTGATCAAGTCCTGCAAGAGAGCATGAGTACGACATTTCCTTTTTCATTTCCATTCGGCAACCTGTTCGAAGACGTCTTTCTGAGCTCACCTTCTCAGCCTACATCATACTGTGAAGATGATATTTCTTTCTCTTAGGGCGCATCGCTTGCTGTGACAGGCAGCGGACGCGCAGATTCGGCGTTCTTAGCGCGGCGCTGGCGACGAAAAATCATAACCAAGGGCAAGCACATTATGCGAGAAATCCAGATTCAACTCAGTCTCAATATGGATCAACACGGGTAGAAAGTGTAATTGCGCGTGATTATTTTTCCCGATGAACGATAACTAGTCGTGGGCTCTTATATAGACTCTTTAAATATTATAGAACTTGTGGCCTTTCCTTTTCTTGAACCGGTATCGGCTAAGAAACCTATCACGCTTTGTATGGTACTGGTGTATTGTCAGCCATCCTGTTTTGAAAGCCTGTGGTTGATTTTTAGCACTATGTATCCATGTATTGTACATTGAATCCCTATCTTGCCCCTCTGTAGATGAACGAGATCCGCAGCATTCATGATAGGAATATAATGCAAGCAAAGAATAGTAGCCATCGCTATTGCAAAATTGGAGGGCAATTACGGAGAAATCATGGCCCCCAAAAAAGCCGATTTCCTTGGCGACACTCGTGCGCGAAGCTGATTGCCACAGAAAAATGCGCTGTACCTGTCGCTCCGCATACGGCCCGGGATACCCTTGAGCGGCCCGAAACATGTCGTATAAAACGTGCAATCCAATTCGGTCTTCGAAACAGCTCGTGATCAAAATCCACCCCGAGAATGTCCAAATTGATTGAACGAGCTGTGGCATGGCTACTCCAAAACCGCAGAGGACATGACGCCGGCCTCTTCCACAAATCCGCCCCTTTCTCCAACCTCCCCGACCAAACCATAGTTCTGGAATGCAACCTGGGCCCCTCGGGGTCCAAAATCCCACCCAAATATGGATTCTTCCAGGAGGGCCTGTTTCCGACCCTCCAGTGGCCAGCACAAGATGGGGTGGTGCAGTATTTGCTTGTCATCGAAGATCCCGACGCACCCCTCGCTGACCCTGTCGTGCATGGCCTGTACTATGAGATACCTGCAGGAAAAACCCGACTGACGAACGAGGACTTCGAAATGATCGGAGATAAAGGCGCATTTACACTTAGTGGAGGCTTCAAGTACGGCTTAAATCGCCGCCAAACCGTTTACATTGCTCCCCGAGGATTGCTTGGACATGGCCCCCATCGCTACTTCTATCAACTTGTTGCACTAGGGGAGGAAATTGATAGGAGTAAACTGAGTGCTTTGGCTTCCAAGGAGGAGATCATTCGGCAGATTGAGGGAAAGGTTATCTCTTGGGGTGTTTGGCAAGGGATATGGGAGCGGACAGAATAAAAGAAGTGAAAGTACCTGGCGGAAAACACGCATTAGATGGATTCGATTGACTTATAACGCAAAGGAACTCGGGCCACTATCAATCGTCCTTCTGGAAAGTATGGAAATTCGGTATTTGGAGTGTATGACCAGCATCCGCTGGCTTCCGTGCACTCCAATTCCACCCCACTGCCTTCCCTATTAGCAGCTGCTGGTCACTACGGGAATATTAACTCCGCGCCTGCCATCGAGTCATAATTCCTCCTCTCCCGCCAAGACCAGATTAGAGAGTAGGAAATCCAGAGGAGAGCAGGAGACCTTAATTGGGTAATTAGAGATTGACGGCCAGCCACTTTATACTATAGACAGACAGGGGATGACGCTATAAATAGCTTTAAAAGTTGGCAGGTGGGGGGAAAAGGCTCATTAGACTGTGGGAGGCCTTAAGCCACTACATCATCTCTTTTGTTTAAGCCTCCTCCTTCAACCCCTTCCCCTTTCTTTTGTGAACCCCACCTCTCCGCACCGGAAACAAAAAGCCAGCTCTACATTATTGATCCCAAATCACCAGCCTCGATGGCGTTAATTGACATAATAGAGACTAGTATGGTCCTGTTGTTGCTATGGACAGTGGCCGAAGTAATTCGGCGCCTTTACCTCCATCCTTTGGCTGCCATTCCAGGACCACGCCTCGCGGCATCGACTTGGTGGTATGAATTCTATTTTGATGTTATCAAGCCAGGACAGTACATTTTCAAGATCCAAGAATTGCATAAAAATTATGGTATGTCCTCTGAGGTGGCGGATGAAAAGGAAAATATCTCATGATCGTCAGGACCCATAATCCGCATCACTCCGGATGAGATTCATATCAATGACGTTGGGTACTTAGACACTGTCTATGCCCCGTCGATGGTCCCAAGAAACAAATATGAGCACCAGCTCAGATCACTTCGCGTTCCCGGAGGGGTCGGAACGACGGCAGACTACAAGTTGCATAAACTGCGACGCGACGCGTTAGCAACCTTTTTTGCTAAACGGAATGTCCTTTTCTTCGAACGTCTCATATTAAAAAAGGTCGATCAGTTGTGTCAATTGATTGGACAACATGCATCCTCAGAAACTCCAGTCAATTTATCAGATGTCTTCTTTGCTTTCTCCAATGAGTATGTTTCTACCTAGCATATCCTTTAAAAAAAAATATGACGAACAGCTAATAAGAACTAGTGTGGTTACTAATTTTTTATTCGCCCACCAGACGGATATTCTAGCGGATGAAACCAAAGCAGCTGAGCTTCGTAGCAATAGCAAGAGCCTGTTACAGGGAATCCACTTGAATAAGCACCTCCCTTGGATTCCAGACTTCTTGGAGTCTCTTCCACATTCAGTCAGCAGACCGATGATGCCTCCCGGTTTGATTGACTTGTTTCATCTGTTTGATGTCAGCCGAAGTGTTTCCTAGACCTACTTTCGTCACTAACATATAAACCAGAGAGTGCGGGCCGAGCTGGTCGAGATCATGAGATCAAAACAGTCCAGAGCTGCGAGTGATAAATTTCTCGGACCAACCGGCAAAGAGTCCGTATATGATTCTGTTTTGGATGACCCTTCCTTGCCAGACTCAGAAAAGACTCTTCTTCGACTAGAACAAGAGGGTGCGTTACTGATCCTGGCAGGAGCTGAATCGCCGGCTCAAACGCTCTTGATAATATTTTACCACATAGTGGCAAATCCCATGATTTTTCACAAATTGCGCACTGAGCTCAGCACCGCTTCAACCGGTAGCTGGACAGAGCTGGAAAAGCTGCCATATCTTTCAGCCGTGATCGAAGAGGGCAACCGTCTCTCTTTTGGGGTGACAGCCCGAACTGCGCGCATTGCCCCGGAATCATTAACTTACTCTCCATCTTCACACGTCAAATCTCCAACGACAGCTTCTCAAACATATACTATACCGCCGGGAACCCCGATAAGCATCTCCACGTTAAGTGCGCACACTGCCGAGTCAGTCTTTCCTGACCCATTTACCTTCGATCCGGGCCGCTGGCTTGGAGAAGAAGGACGACAATGTCGCAAGTTTCAAATGGCATTCTCCAAAGGCGGGCGGAAATGTTTGGGGATTGAACTTGCTCGTGCAGAGCTCTACCTTGTGATCGCGGCACTGGTCCAAGAATTCGACATGACACTCTGGAGGACGGACGCAAGTGATGTGGCATTTCTACATGATTACCAAGTGGCAACGCCAAAGCTAGACTCTAAAGGAGTCCAGGTAAAGGTGACGCGGGCGGGGTCTGGAATGGAAATATGACGAATGAATATTGTAATGGAGGAATCTGTCTAGGTACGGAGAAGCACTGATGGGGGAGCATATTGTCATTTCAAGTAATGTACGATATACTACGTGATGTAATCGTTCTAGGAAGATTAGATCTATTCTTAAAAAATAATTATTTATCACTCGACCAGGAGAGGTGAGTGAAATATGTACCGTATATCCACATTACCCGGGTCATATACATTACACTAGGTAATCCGGCAATGTGTCTAATCTCCCCGGATCCTGAGAAGGTTTCCCAAAGACTAAAGGCGGAGAACGCTTACCCCCCCGAATGCGGGGATCCTACTGCATCGTGCACTTATAACAGGTTTGAGTAGTATTAATTTATGGGGATCCTTTGCAACTCTAGTCCGGAGAGCATATAAATCTGTCTGATCTGTTGTTCCCGTCTATATCTCCTTCCTCGTCCATAAGACTTGCCTGTACACGGAACATAGATTCTTGCATTTGGTTCAAGAATACATCATGCTTGGCAAGATTGCACTCGAAGAATGCTGGACAATTCCAGAGGAGTTGACCAACAATGATCCGGGCAAGTTCGTTGCGCCCGGGACGGGCTCCCGCCTGACCAGCGAATTGCTTGATATTCATGACATGCGTCTGAAGCAGATGGAAGAGAACGGTGTAGATTTTATGATCCTTTCGTTCAACGCCCCTGGATGCCAGGGAATCGCCAACAAGGCCATGGCCGAAGCCCAAGCTACCCTGGCGAATGATCGACTTGAAGCTGAGGTGATGAAGGATCCGGCTCGTTTTGCCGCCTTCGCGGCCCTGAGCATGCATGACCCTGCTCAGGCAGCAGCTGAGCTCCGGCGTTGTATGACAGAAAAGAAAGGGTTCGTCGGTGTGCTGCTTAACGACTACCAGAGCGCCGGTGCAGACGGTAATGAGATGCTCTACTTTGACCAGCCTGAGTATGATGTCTTCTGGAAAGAGGCGAATGATCTGAATGCCGCCGTTTACATGCACCCCCGGCCATCTAATAAGCTTATTCACAAGCTCATGTGGGATGGTCGTTCATGGCTGGATTTCTCGGCCTTGGGCTATGCGGATCGCCTGAACATGCATATTTTGGGCATTGTTACGAATGGGGTGCTGGATCGCTTTCCCAATCTCAAGGTGATCTTCGGCCACATGGGCGAGCATATGTGAGTTTATTATGGTCGACTTTGAAAATAGGATCTTGATTTACAGTTTGGCTCGAATCCAGTCCCTACGACCTCTATCGCATTGATCATAAACTGGATCGTGGTCGCTTCCCCAACATGCCAATGCGAAAGGACAAGCTCGTGAGCGACTATTTTGGCGACCAGCTCTTTATAACTACCTCCGGCCACTTCTCAACTCCAGCCCTGATGTGTGCCATAGGCCAGGTTGGTGCGCAATCGATTATGTTTTCCATTGACTACCCATTCGAGAGCATTCCGAACGCTTGCGGTTCGTTACCATGAACTCCCTCCTTGTAGCACAAGCCTTTGAGCTTTTCTAACGCATTGTCCAGCATGGTGGGACGAGCATGTTTCCATGAGTGTTAATCAGAATGACTACACCGGTATGGGCCGAAACAATGTTCTCAAGGTTATTCCGAGGCTCACACAAGAGCCACACAATCTCAAGCCGATGACACCACGGGAGTGCAATGTGGGGGGAATTCCAGCGGATAGTGTGTGCTATGGTTTGTACAATAAGTCGTGGAACAAACGGGAAGTCAAGGTCATCCCGTCGTAGCCTAGTTCCGGACTATTGATATAATGCACTATAAATAGGACTCTATACGCGGACTACATTGTCCGCTACCCGGGCTACATTGAGAATGGTTCACAGTGCATTTTTGCTACTGCCGGTTCGCAAATGCAAAGGCTTTATATCGCGACGATATTTCTTCTCGCCTAACACTAGTTACTCAATGTAACGTAATGGCATTATGGCGCGGACGATCTTTTAGGACCTCAATAATGTGGATGAAGCTGAGAATATATTACGTATCGAGAATATCAAGCTATGACTAGAATATAAATTCATCCTACTCGAAGAGATATCGCGCGTGAAGAAGCCAATAACACATGATTAGACGAAGCCATCAAAAACCAACCAAATCTCCCATAAAATAATAACTATAAGAGAAAGTCTCGCCTGAGCCAGCAGGAAAGACTTCGCTAGTCACAAAACAAACATTTCCCCCAAACACGCCTTTTTCCAAAGCGGAAACTTGAATATCAATATCCGTATTACAAAGTCGAAGACACCCTTCAAAATGCAGGAAATGGTTGAACTACTCTCTAGGAGTAGGAGAGGTAAAGAGAACTTGTGTGGGGTATCATATAACATAGAGGGAAAGAAGATGAAGAAAAAGGTCAAAAACGAGAAACTCGTGCGAGGAAGGATCACCCCCTTCTGGCCCTCCGACCCATATACCTCGGCTTCCGAAACTGCTCCTCATACTGACCCGTAGCGGCAGATGAAGGCCTCGGTCTGACAACAGGGGCATCCAAGCTCTCCACACTAAACGTACGCACAAGCGGCGAAGCGGAAGGTGAAGGAGAAGTCGGATGATCACTATTCTCATACGCCGAAAGACGCGACAGCGTACGCGGCTCTTTCATATCCGCCGAGGTTATGGGAGTTGCGGGCTCCGAGCGTTTCCCACTGACGCCTTTCATCCAGCCGAAGATACTGAGCGAGCTGGTGCGGCGCTTGTGGTCCATGCTGTGGGAGGTTGAGGGGCGGTTCGAGGTTGAGTTCGATGCATGTAGGGACGCCATGGCCATATTGTTTGATTCGGTGAAGGAGCGGGGGATGGTTTTTGAACCGAGTTGGTAGAATCCTTCCGCGGTGGTGGGGATGCTGGAGGAGTAGGTGTATGATTGTTGGCCTCCGTCGTGGTCCATTAAGAGTTGGGATGTAGGACGGCGAAATGCACTGGGTGGGTTTCTCGTTTTCGGGATGTTGGGCGCCGGGGCGCCGTCTTCAGGGTCGTCGTCCATGAAATCGTGGCCCATGGGCGAGGATTGGAGACGGCGAGATCCGCCGCCGGTGGAGCGGTTGAAGAAGCGGGGACGGAAACTGAGGCGCCGGCGGGGAGCTGGGTCTTGCTCTTTCTGTGGCTCGGCTATAGGAACAGGGATGGATACAGGGACGGGTTGTTGCAACATATCGAGGCCGTGCATGTCCAGCGTTGGGATGATGGAAGCCTCGGACTCGGTTGGATAGGAATCGATGCTGCGAGCATCGTGGAACGCAGCTCTGCTGACGATGCGCGCGGGCCCAGCCTGCGTCTCTTGGGGCTGACTTTCGTGAGTCCGCTCCTTCCGAGACTGGGGACTTTGCGATGCGGCTGCTAGCCAGTCTTGAGGTGTCAGGGGAGGCGAGGGGTCGTGCTGCGGCGGACGACGTTCCGGAGTAGCAACTTTGGGCGGGTTGGGGTTTCGCTTTTTGAGAGTAGCACGAGCCGGTCGTGCTTCCTCCTTGGAAGAATCCTTAGACCCTTGGCGATGGTGCAGGGAATCAGCAAATGATTGTATGTTGTTTGGGCTTCCGGGTCCAAGTAGCACGCTAGCCTTGGCGGCGACGGTGTTGAACGTGAAGATAGTGGGAGATTCGGCAATGGTCATTCCCAGACGAGGTGTATCGCTACAGTTTGTCTGCATGCTATCTGTGAGCTCACTGTTGAAGCTATGCTTAGTCGTGAGCGCGTCTGCAGACCGTGGCCGTTGCAGCCGCGGCCCGCTAAACAATGCGGTCTTCTCCGGCTGGGGACTTCTGTCGACTGCAACACTCCCATTCGAGCCATTGTGCACGCGGGCGTTGGCTGTGCTCATGGTGTCAGGTGTGGGAGGCAGTCGTACGCCCCCAAAAACCGTGTCCGGTTGCGGGCGTCGGCTAGATTTGAAGACGCTCTCAAAGCTGGGATTGTCTGTCTTCGATGCATCGGAGAATTTTCGGTTCTTCCGTCTGGCGATGATAGTTTGGGACATGTCGGGCCGTGACTCCATCCAGCGATCGATCTGTTCTTCTTTGCTTTCCTCTCGGTGCATCGGAGGCGCGTTGCTGTCCAGGCTTGCAGTGCTTGATAACGCTGCTTCTTGCCGGACCGGGATTTCGAGTTGGTCGAAGTCATCCCACCTCGACGGGGTATCGAACGGATTCAGTTCACTACATTCGCTGAGAACGCTCAATCGGGGCGACCCGGGCTCTGCTGTGTCGTTCAATGTCTGGAAGCTCTCCGATTTGGTAAGTTGGCTCACCGTCGAGCCGTTGGTCTCTGGAGCATAAAGACTGCGCAGGGTGGCCGTGCTTTTGTGGTCGTCCCGTAGAAATGAAGGGGCCTTGGTGAGCTGGCGAGGCTCAATAGATTGCTGCTTCTTCTGGCCTCGCTTGGATGAAGTCCTCTCCGGAATATCGACGACAAAATCCTGGGCTTTTGGCGTCGGCATGTCCATGACATCCACAGTAGACATCCGAGAGGATTGTCCACTGGTCTCGAGCTCTTCAATTTTGGCTTCCAGCTGGCAGATCAATTCCACAGCCTCAGTGACTGCTTGGTCCCGCTTGTCAAGCTCCCGGCGGAGTTGCTCGTTCGCGGCACGAAGCCCTTCGTTATCTTTTTTGACGGCCCGAAGCTCCTCCATCTCTTCTTCCAACTCATGCATCCGCTCGAGCTCATCTTCCATCTCCTGCATGCGCACTAGTTTCTTTTCCATAACACCCATCTGTTGCGCGCGATGGAAAACCTCGAGCTTCAAATCAAAGTTGAGCTTGTTGATATTAGAAATATACTGCCACTGGATGTTAGACAAGCTATAGAATACTTCGGGGTTGACCTACCTGGTCCATTTCGCGCATTCCCATTTCTCGCGGCTGCCTCAGACTAGCTGAGAGAGCATCGCTGATTTTCCGCGCCTTCTCGGAAGCACTGTCGTCCGGCACCCCGGCGCCCTTGGGGGTCCGCGGACCATTATCATCCTCCCAGTTCACAGACGCAGGCCCTCGGGAGCCTCGATGTGCGCGTTGTTCATGTAGTAGATCTTGTAAGAGAGCCGATGCAGGGTTCACCAATGTCGGGGTGCCATTCTCGGGGGTTTCTAGGTAGACAGCACCATCAGCATTCATGGACTACTGGTATGGGTAGAGAGACCTACTGCACTGCGGAGGGGTCCTTGTGCCGGAACCGATCGGCGACTGGTCATTCAGCCAAGAAATCTCGGTACTCATTCGCGGCGGCGTATACATGTTGCTCCGACCCTTGACGCGGGAAAGCGATGGATGTTGAGGACGGTCCGGTGGGTCTAGAGTTCATGGCCAGGTCAGTCACCGAAACAGAAAATAAGGGGAAAAACAGGAAAGAAGATATAGTGAACTCACGACTGGAACGGCACTTGTTCGACACGCTGCGAGTCTGCGGCGCGGGCTGGGGATGATATACGGGGATCCCGGCGGGAGGAGGAGCAGCTTGGTGCAAGGCACCAGAGCTCCGCCTGTGGGATTTTCGATCCATGATAATCGGTGCATCTAATCAATGCGCAGCATGAATAATTCCCCGGCTAGATCGATCCCTGGGAAGAGGCAATCAGAGACCCGGCATCTGTATTATTGGATTGATGGATAGACTGCAAGAAGCGAGGGATGCAGAAAATCTAGCAATCAGACAGAGCTCGGGCGAACTGTGGGGGCAATCCAAGGCTTGCGCGACGCAAGCTAGTGTGATTGCCAGTTGATGAGTCTGAAGGATGCGAACGGGGAAATAATCATGCCCCACAACGGCCTTGTTCTAGTTGTTGCTCTTGTTGTGGTGGTGGTTCGTGGTCGCGGGGGAGACTGGAAGGAATGACGATAAATCAAGGGAGAACCACGAGAAGAATGGAAAGAAAGCCTCTGGAATCAACGGCCATGCCCAATTGTGAGTCCCAGCCTCTCACTCAGGTCCTCCCCTGGCAGAAAGAGGGTTAGTGGACCGGGCTAACGGCCTCACTAACACCATCATCGCCAATCGGAAGAGGCCCGTGGAGCAAGACCCGTCTCAGATTCCCTTGCGCTGGGATTTTAATTAGTTAGTTTAGTTAGGGGTCGACAAACTCAGTATACTAGTTACAACTCCGTGATGTGATGTCTCGACTGTTTGATCATTGTTGTTTATCAGCAGTTAAGCTTCGTCTCCACATAGCTCCTGCGACACGTCCAGCGACACCTGTCAAGTCGGAATCCCAATCCACGTCACAATCAATTAGTTACTTTCGCTTCGCTTCTCTCGACCAGATGCGCATCTCCTTGGCCCGGTCATGAGCCGACCGGAATACTGCCAGAATTCATGTCAGTAAGACCCAAGGGGAAAAAGAAAGACCATGACCAACATTGCCGCTCCGTCTCATCCAGACCGCGCAGGAAATCCACGCCCTCGCCCATTGCTCCCCGCGGGTTATGGGCGTGGTCTGCAATCTCTGCCGCCCGTTTCTTAAAGGTCTAGAACGCATCGAATCAGCGGTTTAGACTGAAAAATAAGTAGCAACACGCATACATCACTCAAGACATCGACCATCTCCTCCTCTTCAAAGATCTCGAGGATGCGCTCGCTCAGGCTGTAGAAATGCGGGGCCAGCGCGCGCAAGTCCACGGTGCGAGGATCGGCCTTTAACGCATTCATCACTCGCTCGGACAGGGCGTCGGGCATGTCCAGCGTGACGAGACGGGAGGTGCCCAGTCGGGCTCTGGTGGTTGAGTCAGGTTACTTGCTGATGGGCATGGTCTCGGAAGAGGTCCCTACCCGATCGAGAGCATTTCCCCCAGCCATAGTGGGAGATCCATGCGGGTGCCGGCTTTGATCTGGATGGGGTTAGCACGGTCCAATTGATTTTGTAAAGACAGACATCTTCTCCCGGGTTGCCTTCGAGGATGCCCAGGCCGGGCACCTCCAGCTCGAAGGTACAGGGCAGTTTCTGGAGTGGAGGTTAGTTATTGTCCAACCAATATAAGAGTAACAATACATACCTGGGCGTCTGTCAAGATAGAGTCGACATCATAGTACGACATGATGTGGTCGAGCATCAACTGGAAAAAGAGACGCGTACTTTGGCGGAGAGTTGAACGCGTCCTTTGTCAGCAAGTCACGTAGTTAACTAACTACCGAAGTATACGACCATCCATCGCTCCTTCAATTTTTTGTATCGCACTCGTCCCTGGCAGAAGGGTAAATTCTGCCAAGGAACCCCTCAGTCTGTTCCACTCGTTGAGTCTCGTCCACCATGTTGCCGCTCCTCGATTTTTCTGAGGACATACTGCGCCTGATCGTGTCGCATGTGGACTTGCAACGCGATTTCGCGGCCCTGGCGAGGTCATGCAAAGTCCTGCACCGCCTGTGCGACATGAACGCTCGCCGGCGATATCGTCGTATTCGTCTTTGTTCGAGCGCCGACCTTGAAAGGGGCCTGTACATTCTCTTGTCCATGCTGCGCAACCCTCAGCTCAGAGACTATGTTCGTCATATCGAACTCGACAGCAATACTCTCTGGAATGACACCCTGGCCAAAGATCGCCAGCAGCATAAGAAGCCCTTGACGAACGAGGATAAGCAGTTACTTTTACAGGCCACCGAAGCAGCCCGGTTTCCTAAACCGATAGAAGAGCATGTGTTCTATTTGCTGAAAGTGATTGCCGAGGGCAGCAAGGCTAGCCCACTACCTTCCTCGCACAAAGATCGCGACGATGTGGATCGAAATATCGGCGATGCGCTGTGCGCAGTTCTGATTACCGTGTGTCCCAGACTACAGTCCATGGCCACAACGTGTCTGATGCGCACTCCGTCTATCTTGGATAGAAAAAGGGACCAGGGCGAAGAATTTATGCTCTCCAGGAGGCCGACTGAGCTGATCTTGCGCCGCTCCGGGGCTAAGCCGAGCAAATACCCGTTTTCAAGGAATCTTCGAGACATCACAATCATCCCGCACGGTCGCGGTTGGGCCAGTTCCCTTGGCTATCACAAGATTGACATCTGGTCAAGCCTGAGACCCATCATGGGCCTCCCCGCCATCGAATCGGTCACTATGCATGCTGTCAAATGCCCGGAATGGATGACCGCCATCGAGCCGGCCCACCGATCATCCAATATTCGTCGGCTCCGGTTTCCAAACGCGAATCTCGATTGGCGGATTCTGAAGCGGTCGATCGAGTCGTGCAAGGCCTTGACCGAGTTTACCCTGACGGCTGGGGTCCGTGAAAGTTGGATAAGACCCAGCTTAGTAGCGCCATTGCCCATGACATGTGCGCTCCTGAAGCATGTACAACGCTCGAGGTTCTTCACCTAGACATTGACGCCTGTGTTTCATCGAACTGGTATTGGCAAGAGTCTGACGACTATGAACTATGCGATGATGTCGGCTGGGACGATGAAATCGAGCGGGAAATATGGGAGGACAGCCACGAAGCGGAGGAGTCCCTCGCCGAGGACGGGGCGCATATTGCTGGAAAACCATGGCCTCTAGACTTGCGGGATATTGGTGTGCAGTCCTGGTCGCCTGGACTGGCCGACTTTCAGAAACTCACCCACCTGCGAATCGGCATCGAGGCCTTTTTCTTTCTGGCCCTGGGCACGGCCTGATTCACCAAGCCGAAATACGAACGTTTCTACAACTACTCTGCAGACCGAGTAGACAGCAGGCGCGTGCCGATCCCGGCGGATTCATGGACACTCGTCGGGAGTATCCCGCAGAGCCTGCAGTCGCTGCAGATTACGGGGTACAAAAAGGGGCGGTCCCCATTGTACGACGACCATATCACGGCACTGTTGGCGGAGCGCGAGAGCCAGTTGCCCAACTTGAAGACGATCGAGGGGCTGGATCAGCAGGTGCCGGTGGCCAAGAAGGTCGTGGCCAATCCAGCGCCCGAGGTGTGGTCGGAGTATGAGGATTAACTACCTTTCCACCTTCGATGGCAGTAGTAAACGATCCAGCAGTCACATTATTGGAAGTAAATCGTGAAAGAACCCCCGGGTCGATTTCGAGCAGGGATCGACAGTCTAGAACCGCCGGCCGTGACACTCCGTCACAGTGGCTTGGCTAACTCACTAACTGCGCAATGCCCGGTTTTTTCTTCCTCCTTCATGCTGACCCAAATTTAGCCATGGGTGACACGCGTGCGGCCACTAGTCGTTCCTGACCCGACTTTTTTAGTGCCTCTTCCTCCCTCCCTTCCCTCAAACCCAACCCAACCCACGACTCTGGTGACTGGGCTTATCATGGTGTACAGCGCCGTCGATCAGGTCGACTACGACCTGGCGTCCAACGCTTCGTCCGGCGCCTCACGCGACCCCTCGCCTGCCCCCGGCCATGCGTCCCCGCCCAGTCTCGGGCAGTTCATCCACTCCATGACTTCCACCGACTACGACATCGTGGAGGACGATGACTACGCCGCCGCCGCCGATCCCACCCCCGAACGCAGTCCCCGCCACATTCCTCCGCTCGATACGACTGTCGCCCGGCATTCCTCGTCCGATCCGCCCTTGCGAAGCGCCTCCAGCGACATTCCCGTCCCCCTCAGCCACCCGACTCCAGACCTGCAGTCGCTGCAGGGCGCCTACCTGGGGAATGTAGAGAGACTGGAGCAGAGTGCGGAGCAGCTGAGCTCCAGCTCGGCCGACATTGAGAGTGAGATCCGCAGAATGGACCAGGAACAAAAGAGACGATCCTGCAGCTCCGCGTCCAACTCGGTGAATCTCCGGAATGGAACATTCTCGCCCGTTGCTGCTGCTTCATCTTCCCCTCATGGCTCGATTCTTTCGGCCCCGCGTCAGCGCTCTGCATCCGGGTCGTACCTGGCCCATGTTTCGGAGTCGATCCACGACGAGGACGGCGATTTTTCCCATCTGGCCCCTCTTCCTGTACTTCCGCCGCCGCAGACGTCTGCGTACACCTCGAACGCCTTGCTCTACCAGAACCACTACGATGCCGCTGTGGCGGAGATCGAGCGCCCATCGTCGGCTGCATCGAATGATACCTACCAGGAAGCTCGAACTCTCTTTACTGATTTTGATGGCGTGCATTTCTCACCAGCGGATCGAGCCAACTCTCTAGCGCGCCGGATCTCCCTGACCAGACCGCCTCTGGCCAGCAAGCCGGAATCGTACAAGGAGCCGCAGACGGGAGAGCACATGGTATATTACCCTGCACCCGTGCCGCGCATGCTCAATCTACCCCCGAAACTATCCCGCAAACCAATTACAGACCGCGAGAGGCGCCGGACACAGCTTGTGGGCTCCGTTCCTGCCGAAAATCGAAAGTCGACGGCATGGCTACCCAGGCCTGACCAGCAACCCAACGCCGATCACCAGAACAAACGCCGACAGTCGACACCTCTACCGCATCTACGTGCGAGTGTTTTTCTTGAACAACAACCGACTTCTTCGCTCGACGTCGAGGTCAAGCAGGACTCCGCAGTTGCGACTTTGGACAGCATACTTGACGCCTCGGCACGCGCGCCAGTCTCGGCGTTCACTGATCATCCTATTGCTGGCCACGTCGGGTCATATGTTTATGCGAAAGCACGAGGGAAAGAAACGAAGAGTAAATGGAACACCATGGGACAACGTCAGAGCACCAACAATGGAAGCGAGCATGAGGACTCAAGCGATGAGAGACGTCCAAACGATGATTTGAATGAAGACTCTGATGAACAGGAGCATTCAGAAGATGGGGAACACACACCCGACCAAGAGGAGGAAGAGGAGGCAGGGTTCTTTGACTATGTCGGACCGCCAAATACCCTACTAGCGGAGCTGCAGCTACGGAAACACGAGATGCAACAACGGCGGCGGACGGCACTGCCCAGGCCCACGCATGGGATGCAAGCCACACTGCTGGAGCTGGACGATATGGCTCAAAAACAACATGCCAAAAGACGCCGGCGACCAGTCACTCTGGCGTGGGATAGTCGCGACACTGCAGATGACGACGACGTGCCGCTGGCCATGCTCTACCCGGACAAGACCGAAGCTGAAGTCGAGGAGGAGGAACGCCCGGCGGGACTGATGGAGAAGCGGCAGCTGGAAGAGAATGAACCGCTGAGCACACGTCGTGCCCGGCTACGGGGTGAGCCCATTCCTCAACCAGATCAATCCGCCCCAGCGGTGTATGAGAGTGAAACCCCCGGGCAGGAGGCAGACAGCGGTGAAGAGGGAGAAACACTTGCCGAACGCGTGCGACGACTTCGAGGACAGAACCCAGCCGACAGCGAATTCGCCAGTGAACTTCTAGCGGAATTCGACACCCGGCTTGGAGTTGCTCCCCAAGACGACGCCGAACCCGATAAGGAAAAGGCCGCCCATCATAATGACAACGACAACGAAACCCTCGCCCAGCGCCGTAGTCGACTCCAAAAGGAGAGCAGCGGCGCCCAGCGCGGGAATAGCAATCCCAACAAGGCACCCCGAGCCCATCGAAGCATGGCCGCCCTACCGCAGACGCGTTCGTCCCATGTTCCTGTTGCCCGCAAATCCTCGCACGATCTCCTCCAGCACACAGCAACACACCCATATGCAAACCCCCACATGTCCATGCCCATGTTCATGCCCATGCAGCAATTTTCATCCACGATGGCAATGGGGTACCCGATGCCGTCCATGGGCTATCCCATGATGATGCCACAGCAGGCCCAGGGAATGATGTATCCCAACGCCTATCCCTACAACCAGCTGATGATGGGCATGAATGGGATGTATGCCAATGGCTGTGGGCCGAACATGGCGAGACCGCCTACCGATCCCACACAACGTGATGTGATTGATCGCTGGCGGCAGAGCATTCGTTAGGAGTTTTTGTTGTTTTCATCGTTGTGGGGTGTTCTTGGCTTCTTTCTTTTATCAGGATATCCATGTAGAATACGGAGGGAATAGACCAGCTCGCTATTTTTGTTTATTTATTCGGAGTAGATCTGAGAATTCAGGCGTTGTTCCAACCCTATAAATACTTGCACACTAGGTAACACACTACGCTACCGACGCTGAAACGTACCATTGCACACCATGCGAAGAAACAATATACTACCTGGTCTGGGAAACAACACTTCTTCCTCCTTCTATAAGTACGGTAGGTATGTAGGCGATTTCGTTGGCTCTTCCATTGCTCAAAATAAAGGTTGGCAGCCCTGATGATACGTCGTTCAATCTTGGGCCTCATTTGGATGGTGGCTCGTTGGTGCGATGGGGGGACCCCGAGTCCCGCAAGTGCTACAAGAGCATGTTTATTGACCGGTAGGAGAAATCCCTTTGCTATCACACATCGGCTCAATGCCACGACAGATCTGTATCATGGGCCGGGCGGATGCTTGCGCTCCTACCCGGTGAACCCTGCCCAGGACCTCGAGGAATTCAAATCCAAGAACGGACTGGCAAATTCTCACAGGGTAGGCACTGAGGTGAGTGAGAGAACTGAGATTAGAGATGCGGCGAGGAGGGCCAACGCGATCTTGGGGTTTGATGGTTTTCGCTATCTCCCTCTGACTATGTAAATATGGAATCAAAACACAGTCCAGCTGGGCGGAATATTTACCAATGGGCTGATCCCTTCCAGAACACCCTCTGCAAGTTCGATAGCATGATTGTAAACATTCCCCGGCCGATGGTGATTGGAGTCCTGACCACACTTACCAGATGTGGTCATCAACACGAGGTGATGCAACCTGATCGGCCGCCGAGCACGTTTCCATTTTTATCTCGGACCGTGCTTCTCGATCGCTCTCGACACAACCTTTCTTTTTTTCCCCTGCGGCTCAACACGCGTCGCCGAATCGCTTACTTTCTCCCGGTGTGGCTTCTCTGGTATGTGTGAGACTGAATGCGCGGCCTGTTGTTTCTCTCTCTCTCTTCTTCTCTTTCACCGTGAGTCGGCCACCCCTCAGCACAGCGATTGAATGCCATGGACGACTCCCACTGCTGAGAACTTCGACTCGGCTCCTATGCCCGCTGTGGGAGGCCCTCAATCGCCCCGGCCACCATGCCCACCTTCGCCTACTGGCGCCGCGACCAACGCCGTTCTGCGGTACCACCCGCACCCCCTCTGCCCATCCCGCCGCCAACATCCTCGAAAGGAGGAAACGAGAGCCCTGTTGGCAGTCCTCTACAGCTCCCAGCGCTCCCAGATACCCCTATACTCACCAGGACACTTGGCGATGCTCCCTTCATTGACGTTCCCCCACCTCCAACGAGCGACTCGCGGCTCGAGACCGACACTGCCAAGCTAGATATCACTACATCCACAACAGCGCTCTCCTCGTCGTTCAGCCCTGCTGCTCCGTCTCCATTCACAGAAACGGAACATCGTCCCCATTCGAGTTCCGGCCCCGGGGAGCGCGATCGAGAACCGGCCCTGATCTCATCCGACTACTCCCAACTGCCCTTCCCGAGCCCAAGTCCACAGCAAGACCAGGCGAGCGAGGGCGAGCCGAACTCCAAGCCTAACTCACCTTTTCGTCGGTCTTTTGTTGGCGGGAAGGGATTACGCACGCTGCAGGCTCAGCCTGTGGACACACAAAAACGGTCGCCCACTGCAGCGGCGGGCAATACGGGCCACTTTCGTTTCAGGGCTTCACCCGACGAGTCATCCCCGGATAAACAAAACATGCAAAAGGAGTTTAAAGCAGAGGGGGTTGGTGCTGTGGCACGCCGGGCTGGGGATCGTGATATTTCGGCGGACCACACACATCACAAGTCCGGCAAGGCAATGCTTCATCTGCTAAACCCCATGTCTCTTCTTGCTCGCCGGAGATCTTCTCAGGTGCCCGGCTCGCGGACCGACGATGCCAACATTGGGGCGCAGAATTTGGTTCCTGCTATTCCAGACGACTATGACCCGCGAATTCGAGGGAATATCGTACATGACTTCTCTGCCCCTCGCCCGCGGCGCAATCTATCAGGACCAGATGCAAACACTCAGAGTGCACATGAACCGTCTCCGTCGCAGTCGGGAGGACCAGATCCAAAATCTCCATGGAGTGATCATCAAAAGAGACTGAGTGATCACTCACCAGTTTTTAAAGAACATTTCGAAGATGATCAGAATGTGCTACAAGTCGAGAACAAGGGTTATCTTCAGTCTACATTATTGACGAACCAATCTCAGCCTGGCTACGAGAAGTCGATACCCGTTTTTGCAAGGAAGCTTCCGTCTCGACTCCCAGACCAAAACGAAGACACCGCCAGCCCCCGGATTCAGAGCCTGCCTCGGATTCACCGAAGAAGACAAGCCCTCCGCCGGCGGACACTCAGGATCAAGATCAAGACACCATCCCGTATGTCCCTTCACAGCTCTCAGGTCTGCCGAAACATTTCAAGAGCAATGCCTCTCGCTTCAGTTTCGACATGAACGGCGTAGAGTCTTCTGTACAGGAAAAGCTTCTAGAAGAAAAACACAAGGAGAAAGCAGCCGCGCGCAGATTGGAACAGAGCTTTTTTGATGACTTTGACGATGACTTCGATAACGAAATCTTGGATGATGTCGACGGTCTCGAGGAGAGAATTCCCGGTGTCAATGCGGATGCTGATGATGATGATGACGATGATGATTACAATACCCTCTCGGTTTCTCGTGATGTCAACGGTGAGGTCAAGTCCTGGGCCGTACCTGGATTGTCACCTGTCGCGGCCAGCCCGATCACTCCCGCTGCTCCCCAGCCTAGCCAGTTCGCGTCCTACCAATATGAGGATTCCCCCTTTGGAGGGAATGCGACACAACAGTCACAGCAAGTGCCTCCCGAATCTTCGGAGACTAAACGACAGGGACACTTCTCCATGAGCAGTAATCCAGCCCAGACCTTAGAGGATGACGACGACGATCTCTATTTCGACGACGGTGATTTTGGGGACCTCACCCTTGCGGGAGATGATGAAAACAAGGTGGACGAATCCATCTTCGACGACGAATCGAACCATCTCTTTGCTCCAAACCCTGCTGGCGAGCATGTCGTTCCCATTCCTTCTACAGATGACGGAAAACTCCGCCGCAATGACTCAGTCGCGAAAGAGAGCGTCGTGGAAGAGGATGGCAATCCGGGTCTCAAGCATATGCCTAGTGTGGCCAGTGACTACCGGGTTACTGCTTCAATCAAGCGTGGACCCTTGGGCGAGCCGATCCCCAACATGGGTCCTACACGAGGCCACGGCGGCGTGTTGACAGAGCAAAACCTGGAAGTGCTACATCATGCGCTGGCGTTCGCAGCCAACGAGGCAGCCACTAAAAGCCGATTTGAGAGAACCTTTAGCGTCAGCGAGAAATCTATTGGACGAGACAGCGTCTCTGGCGCCTCGCAAACAGGCGAGCCGGGCCTCATGTCTGACGACAGCCGCCTGAGTCAGGCAGCCGATATCATGACATACGAGGACGCCTTCGAAGATTTGATCTACGACGACGATGCGCTGTACGATGACCCAATCGTCGCGGCCGCCAACGCCGAAGCACTGGAAAACGACGACGAAGGGTTCTACGGCCAGGAATTCGGGTTCTATGCCCAAGCGCACGGCGCCTGTGACTCTGACTCCGAGCTCACCAACGGCGGATACTTTGGCCCGCGTGGCGTGGATGGTATCTCGCGCAGCCACAGCGGCGGCGGCAAATTCCAAGAACCCAGTCTGACACCTATCACGGAGCGCAGCGAATGGAGCACGCGCAACTCGATGATCTCGCTGAAAGCCCACGGCGCGGGGCACTCCAACGCCTCTCTGGCCAGTCCTGGCTTGGCGCAGCTCGTGGACATGGGCAATCTCGACGACGAGATGTCGCTGAGTGCCCTCATGAAATTGCGCCGCGGCGCCTGGGGTGGTAGTAATGGTAGTCTACGCAGCAGTGCCGGCAGTCCGCCGCCACATACCCTGACTTCCTCGAATCGGGGCAGCTTCATTGCTGCTTCTGAAGCCAGTCCGACAGTCTCAGACGTGCGGCCATTTAGTACAGACGATGGTCTCTCTGCTGGTGGTCACACTAGCGAGAGACCGTCAACCGAGGCCTTTTGAGGTGCACGACTACTCCAGGCCTGATCTGCCGATCCTCGGAGTGCGGAATCGACAGCGCGTCCATCCACGACCTGGGACGAATGGCCGATCAGCGGAAACTAATCACGCATCAGCTGGACCATGCCATCTATCTCACTTTGCATATCCATACATCATTATAACCGTTTTGTCTTCCTTTGGCGACGTCATATCTGTTGTTTGTTTGTTTTTTTCACGATCTCACGAATATTTCCCTCATACTATCTTCTGCCTGAGCGGCAGCTAATACACGTGTAATTTCCTTCTACTCTCTTTCTTTTTCTTGCATCTATGATTTTGTAAAGAACCCGAGGGAGTGAACCCCTTCCTGTATAGAGCATCCTCAGCAGAATCATAAGACTTGAAATCATCCGAAATACGCCGTAAAAGATCCGCAGCCGGGTTTCTTCATAGCCGGCACAGATCCCGACTGGGCTGAGTCAGCGCACCAGCCACATCCGCCCGGCCCGTCAGTCTCGGCAATGATTCAGCTCACTGGCTTCTTGTTCTTTTGCCCTTTCTCCCCTGCGCCCTGTGCACTTCCTCTCCTCTCCTTTCAACCACCCCCTTGTTTTTGTTTGTTCAAAAAAGAGGTTCGGCTCTTTGATGAGTTCCGTGTGTTTACAGGTGCTACGGCAATAGTCGACACCTGCCTTTGATTTGATTCGATTTGTATGTTCGCCTCTTCGCGCCTTCTTGGGCAGAAAAGAACACCTTCGCCTCGTATGTGTTGGTCGGCTGACTCGTCCCATGGCATTCAGTACAGAATCTCGATTCTTCATTACGAATACTTTTCCCACCCCCTTCGATTGAGTTACGTCAGATCCTCCTGGTTCGCCTGAAGGAGAAAAAAAATCCCGCAATGTTCAGAAACACTGCTTTGAAGGCCACCCGCAGCGGTATGCTGCGCGGTGCTGCCTGCTCTTCATGCCGGAGAACCGTCCACCTGCCTTCGAATGTTCGCGGCGCCTCCAAGTCCTCCGGCTTCGGTTTGACGGCCCGCCGTCCTTTGGCTGTTGTCGACCGCGCTTTCAACGGCGCACGATACTATGCGGTATCTGCGGAGGAGACGAGCAAGGGAGTGGTAAGCTACAATAGCCTTTGACGATCGGTCGCGATCCATGAATATCTGCGCCGAAGACGAGAATTCAACAGACTAACGTGACGGCGCGCCTTTGTTTTTGCCTTTCGTGGAATACAGGACCCGAACGATTCCTTCCTCCAGGGAAACACCGCCAACTATATCGATGAAATGTATCTGGCGTGGAAGAAGGACCCGTCCGCCGTCCACATCTCGTGGCAGACCTACTTCAAGAACATGGAAGAGGGTAACATGCCCATCTCCCAGGCCTTCACTCCTCCCCCCACCCTTGTCCCCACCCCTACCGGCGGCGTTCCCCAAACGATGCCCGGTACCGGTCTCGCTGCGGGCGCTGATGTCGCGAACCACTTGAAGGTCCAGCTTCTGGTGCGTGCTTACCAGGCCCGTGGCCACCACAAGGCCAAGATTGACCCTCTGGGTATCCGTGGTGAGGCCGAGGCCTTCGGCTACGACAAGCCCAAGGAGCTTGAGCTGGACCACTACGGGTTCACCGAGCGTGATCTGGACGAGGAATTTGCCCTGGGACCCGGTATTCTGCCGCGTTTCCTCACTGAGAGCCGCAAGAAGATGACTCTTCGCGAGATCATTGGAGCCTGCGAGAAGATCTACTGCGGCTCGTACGGTGTGGAATACATTCACATTCCTGACCGCAAGCCCTGCGACTGGATCCGCGACCGCTTCGAGATCCCCGAGCCCTACCACTACTCCGTCGACGACAAGCGCCGTATTCTCGACCGTCTGATCTGGAGTTCCAGCTTCGAGTCTTTCCTAGCCACCAAGTTCCCCAACGACAAGCGTTTCGGCCTGGAGGGCTGCGAGACTCTTGTCCCCGGTATGAAGGCCTTGATTGACCGCAGCGTCGACTACGGCATCAAGGACATTGTCATCGGTATGCCTCACCGTGGTCGTCTCAACGTGCTGTCCAACGTCGTCCGGAAACCGAACGAGTCCATCTTCAGTGAGTTTGCTGGTTCGACCGAGCCGTCCGACGAGGGCTCCGGTGATGTCAAGTATCACTTGGGTATGAACTTTGAGCGCCCGACCCCCTCGGGTAAGCGCGTGCAGCTGTCTCTGGTGGCCAACCCGTCCCATCTGGAGGCCGAGGACCCTGTCGTTCTGGGCAAGACCCGTTCTATCCAGCACTACAACAACGATGAGACCACCTACGACTCGGCCATGGGTGTCCTGCTTCACGGTGACGCTGCCTTTGCCGCCCAGGGCATTGTCTACGAGACCATGGGCTTCCACTCCCTTCCGGCTTACTCGACCGGTGGTACCATCCACATCGTTGTGAACAACCAGATCGGTTTCACCACCGACCCTCGTTTTGCCCGGTCCACTCCGTACTGCTCGGACATTGCCAAGTCCATTGATGCCCCCGTGTTTCACGTGAATGCCGACGACGTCGAGGCCGTCAACTACGTCTGCCAGGTCGCCGCCGACTGGCGTGCCGAGTTCAAGCGCGACGTTGTCGTTGACATCGTCTGCTACCGTAAACAGGGCCACAACGAGACCGACCAGCCTTCTTTCACCCAGCCCCTGATGTACAAGCGCATTGCCTCCCAGAAGGCTCAGCTCGACACCTACATCGAGAAGCTGATCAATGAGGGCACCTTCACCAAGGAGGACATCGATGAGCACAAAAAGTGGGTCTGGGGCATGCTGAACGACAGCTTCGATCGCAGCCGCGACTACCAGCCTACCAGCAAGGAATGGCTGACCTCCGCCTGGAACAACTTCAAGACTCCCAAGGAGCTGGCTACCGAGGTGCTTCCTCACCTACCCACCGCTGTGGAGACCAACATGCTGCGCCATATTGCCGACAAGGTCAGCGGTGCTCCCAAGGACTTCACTCTTCACCGCAACCTCAAGCGTATCTTGAGCGGCCGCAAGAAGGCTGTCGACGAGGGCAAGAACATCGACTGGGCCACCGCCGAGGCTCTTGCTTTCGGTTCGCTCGTCGATGAGGGCTACCATGTCCGTGTCTCTGGACAGGATGTCGAGCGTGGTACCTTCTCCCAGCGTCACGCTGTCCTGCACGACCAGGAGAATGAGGCCACCTACACTCCCCTGCAGCACATCAGCGACAAGCAGGGCAGCTTCGTGATCTCCAACTCGTCCCTGAGCGAGTTCGGTTGCCTTGGCTTCGAATACGGTTACTCGCTGACCTCGCCCAACTCTCTGGTCATGTGGGAGGCTCAGTTCGGTGACTTTGCCAACAACGCTCAGTGCATCATTGATCAGTTCATCGCCTCCGGTGAAACCAAGTGGCTGCAGCGTTCCGGTCTGGTGGTCTCCTTGCCCCACGGTTACGATGGCCAGGGTCCCGAGCACTCGTCCGGTCGCATGGAGCGCTGGCTACAGTTGTGCAATGAGGAGCCTCGCGTGTTCCCAACGCCGGACAAGCTGGACCGCCAGCACCAGGACTGCAACATGCAGATTGCTTGCATGACCGAGCCTTCTAACCTGTTCCATCTGCTGCGTCGCCAGATGCACCGCCAGTTCCGCAAGCGTACGTGTCCTTTCTCTCTTCATTTTGAACCATTAGGCTAACTCATTCGGTACAGCTCTGGTCATCTTCTTCTCGAAGGCGCTGCTGCGTCATCCGATTGCCCGCTCTGACATCGAGGCCTTCACCGGCGACTCGCACTTCCAGTGGATCGTCCGCGACCCTGCCCACGGCACCACCATCGACGCTCCGGAGAAGATCGAGCGTGTGGTTATTTGCTCTGGCCAGGTGTACGCCGCGCTCGTCAAGCACCGTGAGGCCAACGGCATTCGCAACACGGCCATCACCCGTGTCGAGCAGCTGCACCCCTTCCCGTGGGACCAGCTGCGCGAGAACCTGGACAGCTACCCCAACGCCCGCAACATTGTGTGGTGCCAGGAGGAGCCTCTGAACGCCGGCGCCTGGTCCTTCGTCCAGCCGCGCATCGAGACCCTGCTCAACTCGACCGAGCACCACAACCGCCGCCACGTCATGTACGCCGGCCGCTCGCCCAGCGCCTCGGTTGCGACCGGTCTCAAGGCCGTCCACCTCAAGGAGGAGCAGGAGTTCCTGGAGGATGCTTTCTCCGTTCACCAGGAGCGTCTGAAGGGCGAGTAAATGTGCTTTGATCTCATACAGAGCTGTGTTGGGTTTCTTATGTTCCGTCGGTTGTGTGGTGGGAGCTAGCGTCAATATCTTCCTTTTGTACCACCCTTTGTGTATGATCTTTTAACTCTCTGTTGCTTTTGACACCGAAGTGCGTGTTGGATGTGCCCTCTTCTCGACGCCAGATACTCGGCTTAGTCTATAACCTACGGTACCATCCGGTGTTTTGTAAAATACAGGCATTTTGGCTTTGCATAGATTGGATTTGCTTGAATGGTTAGTCTTTAACCCGTAGGATTAATTGGTCATCCTACGTAGGTCATGTTCCTGGCAGATCTCAAATCCAAATAGAAGCTCCATCACGGGACTTAGATACACGAAAACCCAATCTGGGAACTTCGAGCCCCCCAACGAGGGTAAGGTCAATATTGATGCGGAGAAATGAAAGGCTCTTTTATCTAGATTGAACAATCGTACGCGGAAAAGGCGCCTCAACTCGGGAGGCCAAGGAGCTTGCAAAACGTATATAAGCCCGCACAGTCTTATCGTAGATTGTTGCCTCAGGCAGTAGTGTGGTACCTGGATGACATCACACTCCCTCGAGCTGTCCTGACTCAGCCATTGATGCCTGAATCAGCAGGTGACTACTCACCTGATCTTCTCCGCACTCAAACTTCCTATCGTCCGTCCACTTGCACTTAACGCCATCTGTCTATCTACGCGTTATCCCATGTTGTACGTGGTGTCAGACATTCCTGAGCCCCATTGGTTTCTCTGGATCTTCTCTCTTTTCACAGAACAGGGTCAGGTCCCCCCCTCCCGCCTTCTTCCCTCCCAGCCTGACCGACCCTGCTCTTGACCACCATGTCCGCCGTCCCTTCGTCAGTCCTCAACCAGCCTCCAGGCCAGGGAATCAGGCAATCATCCCGCCAGACCCGCACGAACCCCTCGCGCACTTCCAAGACCATCGGCCGGTCGTCCTTCACCTTCGGTCGCGGCTCAACCGCCGAGATTCCCGCTACACCCCCTGTTCCGCACGGATTCTACCCTGCCCTGACACATTTCACGGATGCCATCACCGCCCTGCCCAGGGAATTCCGCCGCCACAGCTCCCTGTTGAAGGAGGTTGATGCCAAGGCGTGGGCGCTAGAGGAGAATTTGCTGCAGCTGCTCAAATTGTCCTCTGAGTCGCAGCCTGTGCCGCATCCTCCCCATCCAGCGCCTATTGTGGGTGGTGTGGTTCGTGAGGACTTTTTGCCCAATGTATGTGTTGACTTTGCTCGTTTGGGGGGTGATCTTGATCTGATTTTTTCTTGTCTGTAGGACCTCGCGCAGCCCCCCGAAACCACCGAGAGCAAAAACCGTCGCCTGCTCCTCGACCGTGTGCGGCAGAACCTTTCCGATCTCATGATGACGGCCGACGAGAAAAACCATGTCATCTCCAATGCCAACGAGGAACTGGATCGCCAGATCGTGCGATTGGATGCCGTGTTCCCCTACATCGCGGGTGAAATCAGCGAGGAGGCTCGTCTGGGCAGTCTGGACCATTGGGCCTACTCGAACAAGAGTACCGCGAAGACAACGACCAACGAGCGCCCGCGTCGCGAGGCAGTCTCTCAACGACGGGTCTTGACGCATGCGTTCCACGAAGCTGAGGCTGCAACTCGTAGCGAGGCGCGTCGAGAAGCTGTCCTGGCGCGGAAGCAGCGTCGCGCACAAGTTGATATGGATTATGAGGATACACGGCCCGGCGCTCGCAAGACCGCCAGCGGAAGGGCCCGTGGTGATGCCGAGAGCGCGAAACGTCGGAGGGTGGAACGGCCAATGGCTATGGACTCTGCCACACCGATGGAGCGGTCTGCCAGCAGCGCAAACAACCGCGGCGGTGTCAGTTCCAAGGACGCAGCCGAGAAGAAACGGTCTCGCGCAACTAATCCGAATACGGCTGCGGCGCGCAAGAGACCCACCGCTACTTCCAACGCTGGGTCGCCTGTTATTCCTCCCTCGCCTCTGGTAGGAACTTTCAATGCTCCAGGAAGCGTGTCTAGCCCAGGACCCAATGCGACGGCACGACCGCAAGGCTCTCGCACACAGCAAAACGCCGGGCAGACCAGTAACGCACGGGCGCGGCCGACGTCCTCGGCGTCCAATCGTCAATCTAACAATAAAGCCGCCGACTCCAAATCCACGCCCCGAGAAGGAGGCATCAAGAATGAACTGGCTGGCGCCGATGCCCAGCGTGGCGATTACGACGGTGACGCTCTAGTCGCAGCAGTCAGGCGTGAAAATCTGGATACCAAGTCCGTCGGCTCCGTCGAGCCCGAAGCGAAGGGCCGCTCCTCCAAGACCTCGACGCCCGTCATAGGCACATTTGCCGAGTCCAACAACAACAACCAGTCACGCTCCCGACCCACTCGCAGCACGGATCCCGCGCCAGCCAAACGCACCCAGAAGAAGACTGCCCTCGCCGCTCAGGCGGAGATTCTGTCTGAAGAGGAATCACTGCATGAGGGCGACGACGAGGACGAAGAAGGCGAGCCGCGATACTGCTACTGCAACGAGATCAGTTTCGGGGAGATGGTCGCTTGTGATAATGACGCTTGTCCGCGCGAGTGGTTCCATCTGTCGTGTGTGGGGTTGACCAAGCCTCCGGGGAAGAATGGTGAGTTTTATATCGTGATCATGGTCAGGATGCATGCTAATTGTTTTCGTTTTTAGTCAAATGGTACTGCAATGAGTGCAAGGAGAATATGAGACGGAGTCGCAATGGGCGGTAGATAAGATGGATGTCTGTGGTTCTCGCTGGATAGTACAGGTACTTGGGTTACAGTGTTTGGGTACTTGGTAAAGTAATCTTCTAGAGCATTGCATTGAAGACGTGTCGTGTCAATCATTATCATTCTATCCCGCTACACTATTGTATAACAATCAAAAAGCACCTCTCAATCTCTCCACCAACCCCCCACCACCACCAGCGTTCCTTCTCTGCACACCCTCGTCCCCTTGCAACCCGGAAGCCGAAGCACTAGCCGCCTCCCCCTCCAACCTCCTCCTCAAATCCTCATACCGCTCCCTCTCCGCCGCGCCAGCACCAACATTCCCCGAAGCGGCATTCCGCGTCTCGCGCTCGCCGACTATCCACGCCGGAACGCGAAACCCATGACTAGAAGGCGAGAGACCCGGGAGCAGCTCTGCGCGCCACGCCACGCCGACGACCCACCCGACCAGTGCGGGCAGCAGTGTGCACGGGAACTGGGAGAGGGCGAGCTGTGCCGCGATGAGGTAGGTGGGGGATTTATCGGAGAGGAGAAGGGTTAAGCTGGGACTTGCGGGTTTGCTTGATTGTTGTTGTTGTGTGGTTGTTTCTTCGGATTGAGTTGTCCTCGTAGGGCCTGTCGTAGTTGTGCTGTTGGTTGTGGTTGTGGTGGTATCATTGGCGGAAGTGGTGGCAGTGCCGCGAGACGCAGTCGTCCCGATCCGATACCGAAACACATGCGGAATCACGGCATGGTACTGCGCCAGCAGAGCAAAGATCGCGGCCGTCGGGCCAGAAGGCAGGTAATTGAGCGTGTTGAGCGAGAGCGGGCGCACGACAAGCGCGAGCAGTATAGGCGGGAGGAAAGTCGTGTATGGGAGCGTCGTAAGAAGGAAAGTCTGCAAGATAGAAGAACACCAATTAGCCAATTCCCTTCTCCCCATTCATCCTCTTCCTCCCCGGTTTCATATTCTTCCCCTCCTTCGTCTCTTTCCAGAAGAAATTGGATGGTAAGACTAACCGCCATCTTCCTCTTCCCCCACGCCCTCTCCACCACCCGGAGATGATAAACCAGCATCGCCGCAAAAAGCGCCTCAGTGGAATTCGTAAACCCGGCAACCTGCCAGACGGCCGCGCGCCAGAACTGCGCGTAGGGCCAGAAGTGCGGTGAGACGTGGATGGCGGCCATGTGTTTCAGGTCGAAGAGGGAGAGCGCGATCGAGGAGGCGATCGTGTAGATCAGGAGGGATTTCGTGAGGGGCGCATTTGTTAGGCCAGAAGTGAGCATTTTGGAGGTCTAATGCAAGCATGCGCCGCTGGTTGGGAGGTGGATGATGTATGTAGAGAAAGGGAGTGAGGTGGAGGTGAGGTGAGGTGGATGGAAGTGGAGGGGACAGATGGCATCTGGGGAAAGGTCGTTGCCCTTAGGTATAACTACCACCTCTTATCTTTTCACCACCAGATTCTATCCTTCCTTTATATTTTTCTATTCCTGCCTAGTTTATTCTTGACTATTAGGAAACCAACTGTCATTCCCCAGAACCACCTAGAAATACAAGAAATCAGGTCTTGGTCGGAGAGTTCATATTGACCTTGTTACTGCGAGGATGATACCAAAAGCAAAATTATTCTCGGTCCACATCGTAAACTACCATTCTAGAGCTAAAATAGGGCCTTTGGCACATTGTTGCCTAGCGGTATATCTTGCAGATAGCCTACATTTAGGAGACGCGGCTCAACTGTCGCATGTTGCCAATCGATGATACAGTAATAACTTTTGTATGAATGTATGGTATATATGTTAAATTGACAAACGCCATTTCCCCTATAATGCCATTTCTTTTCCCTTAGCCTCCGCCAACGCCATCTGATACTCCTGCCCGGCATGCTTGAGCGCCTCCAAGGTCGGTTTCAGCAAGTTCGTGACGACCTTCCCGCCACCGGGCACAGCATTCATCCTAGCATTTAAATCCTTCTGGTTCGGTTTCCGGCCTGTGCTCTGCACCACCTGCAGCACCTTTTGCTTGATCTGCTCACACTGAACCTGGCGCTCCGCCTCGGCGTCGCGTTCCACGGCGTGGATGCGCTCTTCTGCACGCCGGAGCGACTCCGCTAGCGAGGTGACTTCGCCCGCGCGGTCGGGGTTGCCTGATAAAAAGGCCTGCCAGAATTGGTGCAGGAATTCGGTAGAAGTTGCGTGTGTTAATGTTAGCCGGTCGTACATCGCCTGGGATAGTCCGTACGTCTCGGAGGCGGAGGCCTCTGATGTCTGGGTGCGTCGCTCGCGGACTGCTTCTAGGATCTGGGCGAATGCTTCCTGGGTGGATTTCCTGCTGGCGGACACTTCTTCCATCTCCTCGTCTTCGTCGTCGCCGTCGACGAGCTTGTGGAGTTGGGTTGTGCCGCCCAAGGGGAGACTATGCTCGATATCCGTGCGGAGAGCCTGCAGGATCTGGTTTGGGTCCTGCTGCGCGAATTGTCGGTCCTGTTCTTCCTCTTGGGCCTGTGAGAAAAATTGGCTCTGGTCGCGAATATTCAAGGTAACCCGGTCCTGCGCTTCGTCGCCTCGCAGATCCTGTAATTGCAGCTGATTCCAGGTTTCCTCATCCAAGCCCGCGGGCGCATTCGGGTCTCCGTCCGCTGGAGCAACATTCGCCATGATCTTCTCACTGAGATTGTTCAGTGTGCGTATAATGGGCACTTTATCCATGCCGGAAGGCCGCATGTCCAGATCGGGTCGATTCCCACGACGCTGGCTGTTGTTGACCTCATTTCCAGCCAGATTCAAAAAGCCATGAATACCCGCTTCGCGCTCCGGCTCAGCCTCCTCGTCCGCACGGAGATATTTATCTAGCACGAGATCGGTAGCATCTGCCTCAGAGATACGCTCCCCCCGCAGTTTCTTAAACAGCCGACTCTGAAAGAACCGCGACCAAAACTGCTGTTCGGTCAGCTTGGGGACATTGTCATCGTAGACCCGCTTGACGAGCGGGTGTTGCGTGAAGATTAACTGAATCTGCTCCTTGCTGATATTCAAGCGAGTCACGTTGTCCTCCACGCGCGGCTTCAGCGTCGAGAGCACATTGTACGAGCCGCGGGTCTGGCCGCGCTCGATGGCATGGGCGCGCAGGAGATGTAGCCGCGTCGACCAGAACTGCGACATGAATTGCGCGGCGCTCAGGCTATCCGGTTTCGTGGCCAATGATTCCATGAACATGCTCTTGAGCGTTGGGTCGGTTTTTAGCAGAGACTGCTGCAGCTCCACGTCCGCCCGCAGCCGGTTATCATCGTCCCATGGGTTTTTGGATGCTCCTGCCGAGGAAACAGCATTTGCAATAGCCATCGCTGCTGACATGCCTCCTCCTCCTCCTCCTCCACCGGGGACTGGTGTCTGCGAAGGAGTCCCAGCCTTGACCGCATTGATCCGGGTGCTAAGTGCATCTTTGATCGCATCAGCCTGTGGACGCGCGTTTTCTCCGGCTGTGAATTGGAAAATATAGGTCTCGTTGGTATTGGGCGGGGCATTGGGTGATTGGACAAAGATCTTCAGCATCACTTTTTTAGCACTGGCAGGAGTTTGCTGTAGGTCTTTTTGTCAACGCGAGCAAATTAGCCATGTATCATCGGCGATCGAGAAAAGAAGACCCATACTGGTAATATTTGCCACGGAGATGGTGAGCGTGCCCGTGGCACCTCCTGCCGCAGGAATCCAGGAGATGGATTGCTCATCCTGGGCCATGGTCAGGGTGCCATCTCTCTTATTGTACAAGGCCGCTCCGCTTGGAGGTGCCATCGTGGCGTGGATGGTCGACAGCTTCCACTGTCCTGGGCAGTAGAAATGACACCGCCCATCGGGATGAGGAAATGTCCCACGGGTGCTGCTGAGGCAAGGAAGGTCCAGGAGCCTTGGGGCGAGTGTGGGTGATGAAGTTGGAGACGAGGAACGAGTGATTGATAGATACGGTCACATGACCAGGAACAGTCAGCTGTTGGGCTAGACCCTAGTTCTCTCATTTACTGTAGAATCAGAAGTCACTACTGTACAAATTTAAGTATCTACCCAGAAGGATATTAAAAAAAAAGGGGAGAATATATGAGAGTGTCCGAAGTTATGAATAACAACGCCATGCAGTAGTCAACTATCAACACGCAAAAGAAACGCTGAAGAGATCCCGAATGCTATTCAAAATCAAAGACAAGACGCGACCAAGAGCACGAACCCGAAGCCAGGAGCCAGAATGCCGTAATTCGTCAGCCAATTTGCGCGTCGCCATGCATAGATAGTCCGGATAATCATCAGTCATGATAGTCAAAACAAAGACAGAGATATCAAGGGTATAAGCAGAAAAAAATCAGAAAGCGCTTGTTTTTCCCAGGAAGAAATTATTTTTTGAACATGTAATGTCCGTAGATGCCGCCCACATCGCCCACAGCCATGGGGATCTTGCGCATGCCCCACCACCGAGCACCCACCTTCCAGGAACGGAAGCCATCGTCCACGGGCTGGTCGGGCATGGATGCTGGGTCGCGGACGTACCAGCCTCGTCGGCCCAGGTCCCGCACCGTCCAGCCAACGGAGACGCGCTGGGTCTTGGACCGCTCACGCAGAGGAGTGATGATCTTGTCGCTGAATTCGATGACCTGCAGCGGGTAGCTCTGTCCCGTCAGCAAAGCACACGTTGCAGTGTTGAAGATGGCGCCGAGCGTCAGCTGCGGCACCTTGGCAAGATCAAGATAGCACAGCGTGCTGGGGGCGTAAGTCTTCCGTGACCCAGAGTCCCGCTCCTGGGGTTTGAAGAATGAATTGACGTCCTGAACGGAAAGGTCGGCAGAGCTCAGGCCTAGCTCCTCCAAGTGCTTCGTCAGAGGCACCAGTAGCGGTGCATGTTCCGAGGTGACCTTTGCGCCTCCCAGGTTGAGGGAGCGAAGGGTATCGGGAAGCTTGGGCAGCAGTGCTGTGACATCATCCTCTTCCAGCAGACGGAAACGTGTCGGGTCTGTCAGGAGATTCAGGTACACCAGAGACTCGTTGACGGCCGGGTGGGTGGTCAAAAACTCTACCACAGCGGAGCTGCGAAGGCGCATGCAACGAGACAGGCTCAGATGCGTGATGCGGGCCGTTTCCGGAATGGAGAAAAGAGCCGAGTCATTGACTTGTGTGTGGGTGAGATCCAGGTGCGTGAGATTGATCAGCCGTGGCAACAAGAGATCAAAAATACCAGCCGGAAGGGTGCTGCATTCGTGCAACGAGATGCGTTTCAGATTGGGCATGGTCATGGGCAACACAGGGCCAGCGGTCAACGCTTCCTTGACGATATCGGAGAACGATTGGGTTGAGCAACCGCAGAAATCCACGGCACGGAGATTGGGCAGGCCCATGAACAGTTTGCGCACTATATCCACACTGATATCGCCTTCCAGATGCTCCTGCAGCAGACATTCCTTCAGGTTGGGCAGAAGATCAAGGCACTTCAGCAGCGTCTTCGAGGTCAGGTTCTGAATCTCGGCGTTCATCTGCTTGGTGCGACCCAGACCAACAGAGGTGAAGTGCGAGAAGTCTAGGCGGCGCACGAGGGTGCCCAGGGCCGGGTACTGCGCCATATGATTGAGTGCCTTGGAGAAGATGATAGAGTGCGGGAAGGTCATGTTCCTGTACAACACGCTCAGAGTGGCAGCGTGCAACGTGCGCGACGTAAGCAGACAAGAGACGAGGTCGACATTCCGGGGCGTGTAGCCATTGGGGGGCACATCCAACGCGAGGTGGGAAATGATTTGATCTGGTATCCGAATTTAGCACATGGCATTTTTCAGTTCGAGGCTCCAAACCTACCCAAAACCTCCGGCGGGAGCTTCTCCAGCGGAGATGTTCCGGGGGGCGGTAGAACCTGCTTCACTTCGACCTCGGGGGCCTTGAGCGGCAGCTCTCTGCCGGCAACCGTTGTCTCCCACGCCCAGCCACGGCCTTGCATGTTGCCGAGGTTGCGGAGATCGCTATAACTGCGGCTCAGGCTCTTGCCTCCCAGGCGAATCTGTTTCCATCCTAGGAAGCCACCGCAGGGGCAGCAGAAGTCTGGACTCTGCTGCATATCGACGGCGGGAACGTCGGCCTTCGGCGACTCCTTGGGGGAACCACACTGGTGGCTGTCGACGAACGACTGCGCAATACCTGGTCGTGGGTATTAACATCAGCAGCCATAAGAGAGAGGGAGGGGTACATACCGTCGGTGTCTTCTTTGATAGAGCCAAAGGATGGGCGGCGGCGGCTGCTAGACCGCGAGCCGTCCGGGGTGTCGCAGGAGGAAGGAGACGAGTCGCGCGAGGTGAAGGGGATATCACAAGTGGGCACGGTGGTGAAGCGAGGGATGGCCGGTTTGGCGGGAGCGGGAGCAGGAGTGACAGAAGCCATCTTGGGAGCAAGTGAGAGGAATGGCCCTCTATAAGGGCCCCAGCATAAAGTGGCTAGTAACTAGGGTGGTAGCGTGTGGACGGACGGGGCAAGAAAAAAGCCCAAAAAAATTCCGAGCAACTTCCCCGGATTCCACAGAGGCTTTTCCGGATTTTGCACGGGTCGTGTTAGGGCTCACACAGGCGGGCGGGGGGGTCGGCAGCACAGTCGTGGTGGGAAGAAGGAGGGAAAGGGAAGAAAAATGCGAAGCTGTTAGTCACGGAAACCCGAGGAACACAGCGGTTGGCTTCGGCCCACCGATCAGATTCGGCTCAGGGCCACTTTTTTGTAGACGAGCAGTGCGGCGAAGGGGGAGGCGAAAACCCATGGATCGCAGCCACATGGGGCGAACAAAGACAGCGGCCATGGTTATGGCGGACCGTCATCCAGCATGGTTCTGTCGAGTACAACTTGGGCACTCACAGCTACCCCTGCATAGTCCCAGTCTGCAACATGGCGTCAGAGAATGTTGATTTCCGTGACTAACGTGAACTCTACCCCAGAGAGTGGTTGGATTCCCGTTAGGTAACAACTACCACGCCATTCGTGTTCCCCCATCACCTGACCGGGTCACCTGCTCGTCCCATTGCGTCTACCACTCCAGCCGCCAATTTATGGCGTGCCTGCCGGGAGTGCCGGGCACGGCATGCGACAGCTGGGTTGGCAAAGGCTTGACCACGCTGGTCGTGCAGACCGGTACCAGGCGACCACCCCCGACAATGGTTCCCGGCTGGAGGACAGAGGACTCATATCGATTCCTCTCCGGTTTCTAACAGAATAGTCCTCGTGGTGGACGACGTTGACTCGTGACTCTCGATATACTGCTTTGCCAAAAGCAAAGATTCCATGTCCACTTCATAAGAGAGCGCATTGTCAAATGATACCATTCTCGATCCCAGATACCTCTTCTATTTCTGTGATAATCACCAATGACTCCTCTGTCGATCGAATCAATTGAAGAAACCGAAGAACACTGCACTTTTTAAAGTTTTACCTCCATTGCAATAGCCGATTTTCCTTATTATTCCCGAAGATCACCATAGGTCCAAACACCAGCAACAGTCCCGGCTCTCAAGACAAACTAAACTGTCTTAAACAACGGCTTCTAGAACTCCATCTGTCTCTCTCTCTCTCTTCCCCCACATATTCTATCCCAAGTCTTCTTCTTCTTCTTCTCTTCCTGTCTTCTTTCTGTCTTTCTTTTTGTCTTAGCATGTGGTTATCTTACCATGTGGATAGGTAGTGAGGTACGACTGTAAACAAAGTACATATCCGTGTATCCGCATCCGCCACAATGGGTCGTGCGTCATTGCCACTCATCAGTTCCCGCATCAGACTTTTATTGGGGGGTTAAGCCCATTAGGAAACGATGTGACGAGGACCTAAGCTTCTAGACTGACCTAGAGCCTCGTTAACAGCTAGCCTCAGCTGAAAACTTCTCTGAGCTTCCGCGTTTCTTGCCCCTGCATCTGTGCTCCCGAAACATTCCTAATGTACCGGCCCGGTAATCTACGACTTGCAAATACGATACGTGCGGGTGGAGTGAGGCAAGAATAGAACCCGCGAGAAAAGACATGGAGGGGATTTTTTCTAGATCTTTTATTTTTTTGGTAACAACAGAGATGCGGATTGCAAAATCGTATACTGCCATCCATTTGAAAATTTTCTCTATCGATAAGATAAGATAAGATAATGGCAATCAAGATGATATTCTGTCTCGTGACCATGCTGTTCTAATAATGATCATGATGTCGTCAACGATTTACCTTCTGTCGAATGGAGAAATACAAAAAATAGAAATTGGAGCAAAAGCCACCAAAGGCAATTCGAAAATTACAGCGAAACGTAAAATGGTCAACGACATCATCGATGGAATGGTCGGATCTGGTATTGGTATGGGGTAAGCCCACTGCTTGCGGACAAGCCAAGCTTGTTCGCGTCATGACACATGAATTGAAAAAAATGTCGGAAAAAGGATCCCAGTCTATGGAATAAGAAAAGACAGAAAAAAAAACAATGGAAAATCTGCGTTTCTCTGCAGTCGATCAAAATCCAAAGGATATCAGTAGTCCTAAAAGCCCAGAACCTGCCCCGAATTTCAAAAAATTTAAGGGGACATGCAAGATAAAAAGAAGAAAGTCTAGTGGTAAATAACGTGACAACAGGAAAGAGAAAACACAACGCCACCTGAAGAAAAAGCCTCGCAATTTTGGTTTCCAAGGTTGATGCGTGCCGCGTGACAGAAAGAAGGCTCGTCCTTTCTTACTCGACAGCGGAGAGGCCCTCGCCGTGGGTGACGGGGTTGATTTTGGGGTTCCACTTGAGCTCGAATTCGTGACCGAGTTCCTTGCGGACGGCGGCCTTGACGGCCTCGAGGACGTTGTTGAACACACCAAAGTTGGCCGGGTTGTTGGGGTCGTTCTCGCCCTCCTTGCCCTGGAAGACACCGGTTCGGACCAGGCAGGTGTTCCAGCCGTACATGTTTCCACCGATGATGTCGGACTGCGGGTTGTCACCGACCATGTAGATGTTCTGGGGCAAGCGGTTCTCGTTGTGGATCTGCTCCATCCAGGACTTGAGCACCTCGTCGGCGTAGGTGTAGGTGGCGCGCTCGGGCTTGCCGTAGACAACACGCTCAAGGTCAACGCCGGTAATGGCCTTGTACTGGGCTTCGATGCCGATGCGGAAGGCACCCTGGGTCAAACGGGGAGGACCCTTGTGGTCTGTGGGGAAGACCAGGTCACCCTGAGAGAAGTAGACGGGGATGCGCCGGGAGACGGGGTCCGAGGCGCGGGTCAGGAGCTTGCCGTCGTCGGCCAGCAGAAGATCCATGATGAGTTGCATGTCGGTGGCATAGTCGCGAGAGTCGGCAAATACCAGGATGGCGTCGAACTTCATCTTCGAGAAATCGCGGGGCTTGGCTCCAGCGCGGTCCTCGGGCGTGAATGAGCGCCACGGGGAGATGGTAGGGTCCCACGCCAGCACATCCTTGGGGTGCACGACGTTCTTGAATCCGTAGCTCTCCGCCACCTCACGGACCATGTAGCCCTCACCACCACACACAAGCACCGTCTCGTAGTACTCTGCCAGAGCCTGCATGGGAGTGTGCGACTGAATGAACTGGTCCGTAGAGATGGGTGCCTCCAGAATCTCCGAGAGTTGCTCGCAACGGGCGACTTCCGTCTTGCCACCACCGTTGGTCAACAGAATGTAAGGGATTTTGATGCCCAGCTCGTTGTCGCCGTTGAGCATCCGGAGGGCCTCCTTGGCCTCCTCAATGGGCTCGTTGCCGTGAGCCAGCACACCGTCAATGTCGAAAGCAAATGCCATGTTCTTAGCAGCGGCCACTTTCTCCTTGGACATGTCCTGCACCTGCGAGGCCAGGATGTCCCGCGAGACGGAGGGAGCCCCGGGTCTCTGAACGGTCGACAGCCGCGAGTGACGCGGTGAGCGCGGAATTGGTAGCGAAGTACCAAATGAGTTGCGGGAGCCACGGCGGTCCTTCATCGAGGGCGACAGGCTCAAGTTGTGCATGAATTGGGCAGCATCACTGATGGAGCTGCGAGTCGCGGGGATCTCGATCGTGTTGCCGCCCTCCGAGGGGATGGCCAGGCCGCCACCGCGCTGGTCGCGGGGCGAAAGAGTGTCCACCGCATCGGATGCACGGGGATCCCGGGGAGAGGGCTCGACTCCTCCAAAGTCGGCGTCATCGAAGCGAGGCATGATGGATGAGGAGATGAGGAAGAAGAAAGGATGTATAGAAAGGGAGGAAGTAGTAGGAAGTAACTGATCTACCACTTGAAGAGAAGTCACTGGGAGATGAACCAATGACCCGAATGCGGAAAGAGGAGGGAATGCGTCAGAAGAAGAAGATAACCACCGTCAATCCAGGGAAAGCAGCAGAGTATATATACAACGGGCAGATTTCGCGCAACTGATACGGAGCTGGGTCTCATAGGTCATTGGCGGGGACAAACGACTGTATTGAGACAAGGGGCTCCACCCACCGGGTATCGTCATTCCTAGGAATTATCGTCATCATTTGGCAAAGGACGAAAAATTTATTGTTGCAGCGGGATAGGCGCTCATGGTGGACCATGGGCTGGTGCTTGGTGTCGGGAGCGGTACCCAGTACATTGCACTGACGTAGTGAACACACTGTCTTGTCTGGTACCCGGTACGCGGACAGCCCTGCTCCGGAGGCCCGCCTTGGCGCTCATTGGTTGTGCTGGACCAGCGGACAGGGCCGGTGTGAAGCAATGCAGCACGCCGAGTGGGTAGGAGACAATCCCTCTAGGCCCGCCGCGTGCGTCGGATTGGATGGGAGCGAGTGTTCGCCCGTGGGCCGGGCATCAGATCGATGGAGCCGATGACGATCGGGCGGGTCAAACGCTCATGCCGTTTCGGCTGCGTGATGTCATTGCGGGTTTTGAAAATTACCGGAGGGTTGTGGCTGCCAAATAAAAAATACGACCGAAAGAGGAAGGATAAAAAAGAACACCACGGGGGAAGATAGCGAGCTGGAAGCGAAAGACATGAGGCGAAACCAGTCGTGAGTGGCAGGAGCTAAGAAGGGATGCAGCCGAGACAGACAAGGGAGACAAGCCGATCGCGGGAGGGGGGGTGAATGCAAACATACAAACAACAATCATAAAATCGAGACAGCGTCATCATTTCTATACCCCACCATTCTTCTTTCTCCTCCCCCAACTTCTCCTTTTTCCTATTCCTCTTCCCTCAATTGATCCATCCCCTACCATCATGTCCAACGGAAAGACCTTCACGCTTAGCAATGGGGTGAAAATCCCCGCCGTCGGCTTCGGGACCTTCGCCAGTGAGGGTGCCAAGGGCGAGACCTACGCCGCGGTCACCTGTGCCCTCCGCACGGGCTATCGGCACCTGGACTGTGCCTGGTTCTACCTCAACGAGGATGAGGTCGGCGAGGGCATCCGTGACTTCCTCAAGGAGAACCCCTCCGTCAAGCGGGAGGATATCTTCGTGACCACCAAGGTGTGGAACCACCTGCACCGGTACGAGGATGTGCTGTGGTCGGTGGAGGACTCGCTCAAGCGCCTGAAGCTTGACTATGTCGACCTGTTCCTGATCCACTGGCCCATTGCCGCCGAGAAGGACGGCAACGAGAAGCCGAAGATCGGACCGGACGGCAAGGTAAGGGCATGGTGTCTTGTAAGGAAGAATTGAGAAGCTAATTTGGGTGCAGTATGTGATCCTCAAAGACCTGACCGAAAACCCCGAGCCCACCTGGCGCGCCATGGAGAAGCTGTACGCGGATGGCAAGGCCAAGGCCATCGGCGTGTCCAACTGGACCATCCCGCAGCTGGAGCAGATGCTCTCGTTCGCCAAGGTTGCGCCGCAGGTCAACCAGATTGAGATCCACCCGTTTCTACCGAACAAGGAACTGGTGCAATACTGCTTCTCCAAGAACATCATGCCCGAGGCCTACTCGCCGCTGGGCTCGCAGAACCAGGTGCCGACGACCGGCGAGCGCGTCAGCGAGAACAAGACCCTGAACGACATTGCTCAGAAGGGCGGTAACACCCTGGCCCAGGTGCTGATTGCCTGGGGTCTACGTCGCGGCTACGTCGTGCTCCCCAAGAGCTCCAACCCCAAGCGCATCGAGTCCAACTTCCAGAGCATCACGCTCAGCGATGCCGACTTCGAGGCCGTCAACCAAGTCGCTGATGACCGCCACTTCCGCTTCGTCAACATGAAGGACACTTTCGGCTACGATGTGTGGCCCGAGGAGACGGCCAAGAACCTGTCTGCATAGACAGGCATTATTATAAAAAGAAAAGAAAAAGAACGAAAAACGATACCTTGCATGAGTGGCGGGTGTTACGAGGGAGAGGTTAGATGTGTAACGACCAACTATGAGATAGATGAATGGATATATCGTGACAGTATCCGCACGCAGTTGTCTAGTCTCTATGACGGTATTCTGGTCGAGTCCACTTTGGTCCCTTCATCTCATCCACCATGTCTTTAGAAGCCGATAATTATTGCAAAAATTTTCAATTTGTATCATATTTGTAATTTGAACTTGAGCTCCAGACCCGGGATGCAACAGGGCCAGGTAAAGAGATTTCGGCTAATCACCGGGGGCATAATCAATCAAGATTACATGCCGACAGTCTGTGCCTGAACCAATTATTGCACTCTCCCATACAATAAAAACAGTAAACAACAACAAACACTGTTTATTTCAAAGAATTTACTAGACAAAACCACTACTGCTCTGTACTCCTGCCCAACTGATACAGACTATATTCCTAGACCCCTCCTACAGCCTTACAATCGAATAAACAACGCCCCGGAGAAATAGTCCAGGAGCACACTGCTCCGAACGATGTCATCCCGCTTCCAGATCCACACCCCTGCGCCACTTTTTGGGTCGAGATCTCCCTGTTCTGCCTGACGCCCTAACCAATACTAGTCTATAACAATTGTAACAGCATTCGGGAGAACCCGGAGGCGCAACTCGCGTGGCCCGGGCTGCATCACCGAAACGCCGAAAGGCGGGCCGAACGAACCATGATGTACGTGCTGGGCTTTGTTACTACCTTTGACATGTGCCTATGGTTTTGGTACTTGCACTTGTACTAGCACTGTACATGATGTACATTGATATACATTGGATTTACATACTCGGCTCTGCCGATTGGTTCGTGGTTAATTCCCTCTTCCCGCCTTCCCCTCGGGCGTACCTTGCCCGTAAATGAAAACCTTGACGTGGTCCGTGTTTGAGGCTGTTTTTTTGGGTTTCCGGTGTGTGGATGTGGCGTCCGGGTCGGGGCTGATTTCATTTATTTTGCTTTTCTGTTTATCGGATACCGAGAGCATCCCGAGAAAAGAGGAAAGTGGCGGTTCATTTTGCCGGCGGTTTATTCACAATAAATTTACAGATGTATACAGTGGTTATGGACTGTCTAGAAGTATCACCAGCGCCATATCTGATGAATGATCCGACCACGTCAAGGAGACGTTGGGGCCATGCAGCTACCGAAGCCCAGAACAGTTTCGATGCTTAACTTGGACTGACGCTGTGGCCGAAGATAGCAGATCTTCTTCACTTCTGCCGGGACGACGTCATAGTACAGATACCAAATCAGGGTAAAAGATAACACTAGTTACACCACAACGCTAGTTGCTAGTAAATCAGTTGCGGGAATGGTAGCTATCCAAGGTATGTAGATGGTTCCACTAGTCAGTACTTGGAGGACTATTTCTCAGTTTGGACCCAGCAGGTCCGACAGTACTTCAAGATTTACATTGAAGTTCTACATTCTATTTACATTGACAGAATAATGTATGACTCTGCGTGATATATAGGAGACTAACTTGTGATCAGTGTGGAAAGTGGCTGTGACGGAGAGTGAGGCACAACATTTAAAGTTATGTATACTTGTCTCTCGCGCGCGGGGGTGGCTGAGACCCTGGGACTAAGGTCGAAATTATGTACAATCAAGAAGAAGAAAAGCAGGCCTTCGTCTGGGTCTTTTAGCTCAAACTTCGGTATCGGCCAGTGATCGCTCGATCGGCTCTTGCTGCCACCTTGCCTGGACTGTCTGATTCATGCGTGGGTCCTTCATATGTAACGCACGAGATAGATCCGTCAACTGCATTTCCAACATTCATACATGGATATACATCCCATATGTCTGATCGACACATCCATAGCATCGACAGTCGAATCTCGACAAGGCAATTATGAGAAACTGTGAATAACAAAGGTTGGCGAAAAGATGTTGTTGATACTATGTAAAGGTTGATGGGTCCATTATACTCAGTTCTCCGAACTCCTCCCCCAATTATATATATGCCTGCTAGGAAATAAAACTCCAAAACAGGGGAGAAAAAAAGAAGTTATACACACTGTGTCGATCACGCCATTTCAGGCAAAGGAGCTCGCCCCTCCGAAGTTAGCTCAGAGGGCTCGCTAGGCGGAAGCTCCGAGACCAATGGACGACGGTGCGGAGAAGTGTTCTCGCTGCGCTTTTTCCTGAGGAAGAAGAAAAAAATTGCGGCTCCTATCACAATAACCGCCACCGGAATGCCGATTCCAATACCGATCTTGGCTCCTTCTGAAAGACCACCACCGTTGCTACCACCACTGCTACTACCGCTTTTGTGTGATGATATCTCTCCCGAGCTGAGTGATAAGGATGTCGAGGACCTCGATGTTGTCGATGATGTCGCGGATGTTGTCGATGATGTCGCGGATGTCGTCGAAGATGTCGCTGTGGCTGTTGCGCTGTTTGCTTTGGGAAGATCGGACTTCTCCCATAGTATAGGGATCCCGTCAGCGTACACAGTAACTGAGGTTGATAGGGCGCTGGCGATGACGACGCCAGAGGAGGAGAGGGTCAGGGTGTCTTTGGCCGAGAGGGCTTGGGTGCACTGATGGCCACTGCCACCATAACTCATGCTCCTATAATAATACTGTAGCGTCAGTCGTGTTTTTTCGAGCTTATAGGGCAAAGCGAAAGGACCGCACTCACGAGGGACAACAAATAGCACCACTCGTGCTACCAGTGACATCTATCCCATCCCACGATCCATCAATCTCTGCAGCAGTGGCCCATCCGGCTGGACAGTAAATCCCCGGCGAATCTACCACGAGTAAGCGCATGGTCACACTATTCCGAGACGTGTCTTACACCAATACGTTCCCCAGTATGTCGCGTCACCTAACAGGCTTTCAGGCATAGTCCCCGTCGGTAAGCATTGGATGCCTGTAGTCCACCAGTGGCCATAGAAGGTGGTTGTACCAGGCACGTCGTTCACATAATAGACCACTGTGGATGCGGTCTGTAGGCATGATGTTGGTGGGGTGAAGGTGGTTGTCAGCGGGCCCCGGTTGAACCACTCCGTGATATCAGCGGTGGTGGACATTGTAACAATCGTCCAAAGGGAGTATTTGCACGGGTGATATCCCGATGTTCATGACGGGGAAGAGAAGTGAGGCTGAGTAGTATCCCCCTTTTTCTGGAGTAATACCCCATGCATGCATGATAGGCTCCAGCGAACCGCGCGAAGGCCGAAGGAGGGCTAGCGCGCACTAGTGTGTGATTATTTGAAGGCTCAACAGTTTGGGGAAAGATTTGGTCGCTTGTCGAGGAAATGGAAAGTGTTAACAGTAAACACTATACTCGATCGCAAACAAGCAATGGCACGCAGTCAATACAGCCCTATATGTTAACACTGTAAACACTCGGTAACTAGGTCTACTTAGGTATCTCAGACTCTCAGTTACCGTGTGTGGCTAGGCTGCCCAAGACAACCCTCTGCTGTACAAAGAAAGTACACATTGCCAAACGTTCTACATCGGGGCTTGTGAACATCTGAAGAAGACGAACGAATAGCAATTCAGTTCCTAAGGCTATACAACAAACACAGCATCGACGATGCCAAAAATAAAAACGCAATTGGTATCTACAGCAGCAGTAAAACCCCCCTACCAACGAATAATTTCAAAGAAGAAATGTGTTTACAGCCAACTAGTTAAAAACTGTGCAATCACGGCCTCGCTCGCACCCGGCGAGGCATGGGAGTCGATCCCGCGCTGATCTGGCGCTTCGTACCCTCGGCCGGAGCAGCGGGCGCGGAGCTCTTGGTGCTGGTGCTGCGTGGGATGCCACTGACAAATGAATGCTCCGAGGTAGTAGTGATGCTGCTGATACTCTTGGAAGGCGGAGCGGGAAGCAGAGACGAGCGCGGGGACTTGGGCATGAGCTTGCGGCGGCCTTTGGTTGGTGTGGACGGGGACCCCGAAGCAGCAGCAGTCGAGGTGGAGGAGGAGGAGGAGGAGGTGGTGGTGTTGGTGGGAAGCTTGCTTGTGCTGGTCGTGCTGCGATTGCCAGTCTTCACTGGGGTGCCGGATCCCATCGAGCCCGAATCTAGGCGTCGCACGCGTCGTGACCGTGGGGTTGTGCTAGCAGCAGCAGGCGGCGTGGTGGGAACGCTGTCAGAACCTTCACCGAACTCTGCATTTTGCTGAGTCTGGCTGCGATTGCGGCGCCCTGCAGTAGACGCTGCACGTTTGTCGGACCGTTTCGTGCCCGAACGCAGTCGAGATGCACCGTCGACGTCAGGCTTGGAATTGTAACCCTCCTCTTCTTCCTCGGCATCGTCTACAGGAGCATCTTCATACTCGGCCAGTCGCTCATCATTCCATGTAACGTTCTTACGAGGCTTAGCCGGAAGCTGGCTGCGAGCACCTTTGCGGTCTGAGCGGCTAGAAGAAGAATTGTTGCCGTCTGTCTCATCGTTCTGCTGTTGCTGGGCGAGGGCCTCAAGCGCGTACTTGGGCATCACAGAGCTACCCTTGTTGTGTCGAGTATTCCGCTTTGTAGCCAAGGCCAGCTCCTGTGCCTCAGTCCGCTGCAGAAATACAAACTCGGTTCCCTTGGCCCGGCGCAGAGCGATAGTGTTGCGCGCGGTAGGGCCCTTCCCAGCCGGGGTCTTTGCGCGTGTGCTTCGCCGGGGTACAGGGCTGGCAGGAGCTGACTCCTCGTTAACCGGGGCTTCTTCTTGGACCTCTTGTGTCTCCACAGCATATGGAGGAGAATCATCTTTGTTGGGTGAAGGTTGCGTTTTGATCGGAGAGGGTGAATTGGAGTCCAACATCTCTAATGCGCGGCGCGAGCGCGGTGTCGAGAATTCCGCTTCGGGAGACTCATCTGAGCTTGACGACTTGTCAACGACCCCCATGCCGTGAGTATTCATCAATGCCGCCTTCGCCGCCCGCTTGGCCTTGGCTCTGGACAGGAAGTCGTTGAGTAGCTCTGCATCCTCCCCGTCGAGACTGCTCCGCAGTGCAGAACGCACGAGAGTGCCTTCCTGTTCTTGCGTCAAGTCCTGCACGGCTGTAGTTTCGTTTGCTCGTGAATTTCCGGTCGGCGTGTGCTGCTCTGTATCACATGGTCCAGATTGTAGGTCTTCCGTGGTGTTTGTCTCAAAGACTATCGGACCCAGATTCTCAGCATCCATGGCCTTATCGTATATCGAATGTTTCGGAAATCCATCCAGAATGCTGAAGGGTCGAGGTGAGGCGTTCATAGCCGCTCCAACCTGGACCTCGCGGAGGCCCTTGTTAATATCGGCACCACCCACATCATTGAGGTCCGGCTGAGGTGCATGGTCCTCGTGTATAGCAAGCGGTCCATCTGGGAGTTTACCTTGAGGCGAATGTTAGCGGCGTATGTTCCTCAGCAAGAAACGAAACGACATGAAAACAAAACACTTACGTCTCTTCCGCATCCCCTCCGACTCCCATTTCGTTTCTAGAAACGACCTCCCACGCTTTTCAATCGCACTATCGGTGTCATCCCCCGCGCCATCCGGACCAAGACATAAGCGCTTCACGCCACGCGGATAGCTCGCGTCGGTTGTTGTCTGTGTTTGATTGTCTTCGGCCGCGCCGAGGGTTGTCATGCTGGTGAACGTCGAGCGAAAGCGCTTCCACAACTTGCGTGTCTTCTTGGGCCCGGCCAAGGGGGTGGAGGGCTTGCGGTCCCACAGATGGGGCACTGCGCGTATGGCCTGGATGGGGGAGAAGGTGAACGCGCTACCGGGGCCGGAGTGGTTTGGCTGGCTATCGATATTGTTGGCGTTAGTGGACTGCGAGACAGATTTTCATCGACTCGCGACAAGACATGTATGTAGGGGGTTGTGTGTTTGTACGGCAACACGTCTTGGAGACAATAGGGAGGCCAGGGCGCGTCTGCCAGGGATGACAATCAGGGCAGCAATGGTGCCAAAGAATCAAAGACATTCGGAGAAAAGATAGCCAGCAAGAATCCAGGAAAGTTGACCCACCATGGTTGTTGCGTCTGTTGGTTGTTGGCCATGTTGACGCGTGTGGAATGTGTCAAACCTGACTGGAATGCGCCCAGGAGACTGAAATCCACAGGGCGGAGGTGAGGCTGTGAGAGATAATCAAATCATGTAGAGAAATCGAGGTAAGCAGTACAACGGTTAAGCGATGCTGGTCACGACAGTGATAATTGATGGTGATGATGGAGCGTGTGTGGTGTTTGGTGCCGTTGGCTGGTTGCCCTGCCAACACTTAGCCCTATTCGGTCAGTGTACGTAGTAGTTACTCCGTACAATGCTTTATTAGCACTACGCAGTTGATTGGTTCAAAGGACTACAAGGAGTCCATTGAGAGAAATCCGCATGGTTGTTACAGCTTTATTTCACTCTAGCTCAAAGAGTTCTCTATTCAATTCACCAAAATAGGCAAATATGGAGCTCCGCGATCGACGGTCTCTGGGCAGAGATAGCACATTGTGGACATCTTGGTCCTCAGATGCAACAGCAGGTTCACTATCCTGCCGTGTGAGAATGCCGTGATCCTCGCCGTACATGTGTCTGTCCCGGGACGGGTCGACGATCGATGCACCGAACCAGGCCATCGAGTGGAAAAATCGTGTCTCATAATATCATATCGTAGGGCTAGCTGATAATCCCAGATGGACCCTCAAGCCACTCTAGCAAAAGCAAAGCACACCCCCGACTCACAGCAACTTCTGCTCCAAGTCCCGCTCATCAAACGGATCCCCGAATTCATCTAAACGGAAACACCAGTTAGTTCGTTATCCAGGAACCCTCACACTCAATCCCACCACCCAAGAAAAGATAAGCGAATGAATAAATGGAGAGCAGACATACTCAGATTAAATTCCTTATCAATCACATACTCCATAGCGCGCTGATACTCCTCCTGCGCCCGACGACTCTTCCACGCCGCGACATGCGGCTCGGAGCCCTTGCCCGCCGCGGCACCAGCACCGGCGCCCATCGTCTCCGGAGCGGCCTCAAAATCGCCGATGGGGAACTGCGACATTTGCTGTGGCTGTGAGCCTGGCGGGGAGAGCTCTGATGCGCCTGCCGCAGAGGAGAAATGGGTGCGGCCGGTGGGTGTGCGGGCTCCAGTGTGGGGAGCGTCGGAGTCGTCGTGGATAGAGTCGACGGAGGACGCCATCTCAGAGTCGCCGTCTGGGTCAGTGGGGTCTTTGGGGGGAAGGTTAGTTGAGATGTAGCTGGATGTAGCTGGGTGTGGGGATATAGAGGAGAGCGTGTATGGATGATGATGGTAATGATGCCGGGATGGATCAGGGAGGTGGGTTAAACTGGAAGGGAAGATAGATCAGACATACCAACAGCCATGCTGCACTGAATGATCGGGGGTACAGTGGGGAGTGGAAGAAGAAGAGTGTTGCTGCTTAGAAGTGACCAACTGACGATCTCCCCGTCCGGGCGGTGGCCGGCTGAATTCTCTTTTTCCTTTGACGCTTCTCATTCTTTATAAAACCTACTAACTACATGCTGCATTGATCCTTACTGGAAATATTGTCATTTGTCCCCTTGCCATTTTTAACCATCGCATCCATTCACTTCCTCCGTGTGCCATGAGCGCCAACTCCGCCGCCCCCGATGCGTGGGAAGACGAGGACTGGGAAAGCCAGGCTGATGTTGGTCTACCGCTGCTCTACTTTACCTTACCACCGGTATATATATATATATATATCTGCTGACTCCTGTATCACAGAAGCTAGATACTCAGCCTACACAGCCGGCCGAGAAGAAGGTCTCGTCGAAGGTCACCAAGGCGCAGCGCAGGGCGCAACAGGCCGAATTCAACCGCCAGCTATGGGCTGAAGCGTACGTCCATCTAATATCTGCGACACAAAAATACACACACCCAGAGAGAGAGAACCCTCCAGAAACCTGACTGAATTTTCAACTATCTAGCGAGTCCCCACAACAGACATTTCACTACCTCGAAACACGCTCAGATGTGCCACTGAAGCAGGACTTCAAGCCGACAGTAACACTACTCAGCCGCAAACCGCAAATAGCAACCCGGCAGACACCGTCATCGTCTTCCTCCGCCGCAACAGCGGGAATCGCGCAATTGGCATTAAACGGCGAGGACGACGAATCCGACGACGAGGGTAACAAACGGGCCGAGCCCACGGCCGAGGAGCGGCAGGCTATGGCGCTCAAGAACCGGGAGGAGAAGCAGCGGAAATACGAAGAGGCGCGGGAGCGGCTTTTTGGGAGTCCCTCAGCTACTACATCCGGTGCATCTTCGCCGGGAAGCACGACGCCGCCGCTGCGCCCGCAGGAGGGGAGAGGAGGGAAAGGCAAGGGGCGGGGTGGTGGTGGAGGTGGTGGGCGAGAGCGGGAGAAGAGGGATTCGTCTACGGCGTCGAGCAAGTCGAGACATCATCTCTACGATCCTGCTAGCGCGGCGAAGCCGAGTGCCGGGTTTGCGCAGAGACAGCTACATCGGCAGCAGTCGAATAACAGTGACTCGGACAAGAATGCCCCGGCCCCGCAGCAGCCAATACGCAGCCCGCGCGGGCCAGATGCGAGTGGGAGAGGTGGTTTTAGCAGATTCGCAAATCGGGGTGGCCGAGGCAGCTAGGATACATTGCGCGCCAACACGGGATTCCTGGCTTTGTTTCGTTCAATGCAATGCCCGCACACCAAGAAGTCTCATGGCAAACCGCGCCCCGAATTGATTGCATTGGCCACCTGGGATGTGTTCGGACGATTCTCTATGACAACCACGTCAGCGTGCGAACATTCTGGTGGGTAAGGGGGGCAAGAACTCACCGGCATATCGCTTATAGCTGTCGAGGTATAGCTCGTCCGTGCTTGTTGTCGCTTGAACATGCTCATTTGTCTCGAGTGCATTCACCCACGAGGCCCACCGAGTTCCTTCTTCAGCGTCTGGCCACCCTCGGTAGGGCTTCAAGACTCGCGACAGCCGAAGAATCCACGGCGCAGCCTGGACATCCACGAACGAGAGCTCCGGGCCCAAGAAAAAGGGCCCACGCGGATGCGCCACCTCGATCAATCTATGGATCGCGTCGTGGAGCTCCTGCACATGAGCAATCTGCTTCTCCTGGTCCTGTTCTTGAAGGACGCGGTAAAAGGTCGGTACAATGTGCCGGTTGATCTAGGGCCGCTGTCAGTGATGGCGGTAGACACGAAAAACAACAACTTACATGATCTGCCCATAACCGACAGTGGGCACGCAACTTTGCATCCGACGGCAGAAGCGCCGTCCCTTCGTTGCAGTCTTCGAGCTGCAGCCAGTTAATCAGCGAGAGATCCTTCAATCTGATCATGCAACCTTACATATTCTAGCAGCACCGTGCTCTCATAGCATCCCCAGTCATTGTGCCGCAGTGCAGGAACAAGTCCCCGAGGATTCACCTCCAGCAGGGACTCGGGCTTTTCGTACGGGTCCACTTCGATATATTGATATGGGATGCCTTTCAGCTCGAGGGCTATCCATACGCGCTGCACAAAGGGACTTGACATGTCCAGTCAGTCAAATATCCCAGGTATCGAGTTCCGGGGCTTACCAGAAGCAGCTCCCATATAGCTGGAGTTCGGTTTCGGCGCCATGTCTAGCAGCCGTTTCCGCAGCGAGACCGGTTGCTTTTGTATGGTACGCTTTGTTTGTGGTGGACATAGTTTGACCCTGTTGTACAGAGGATGTTGACTAGAGATGATTGACAAAGAAATAAATCAGCCAAGATGGACGATGGTGAAGAACAAGGGCGGCGTTGGTGAAGCAACTGTTGATAGTGACGTAATCGGCGGTCTGTCTCTGCGGGGACTCGAACGCACCTTTTCCTCCCCTTGCCCTGCCCCTTCAGCAGATATCTCTGCACACTATCCTTCTTCACCTGATCACTCTCCTCAAGTGTATGCGTATGCCCGCCAGGAATCCCATCATCCTTCCCATTCAGCCCATTTCCATTCACGCGTTGGACGGTAAAATACCTCCTCCCCTCGGAGCCGGGGTGGCCCTCTGGGAGCTTGGAGCTCGAGGCAAACACTTCATAGGGCATACGTAACTGGAGTGGGTTACCGGGGTTGCTGAAGAAGGTCTGCATTCCGGGGAACGGGCGAGGAGATGGCTCTTTCTCGCGGGGGCTTGGGCTCTCGGGCTGCCGGCCGGGCAAGTGCTCGGTGATTTTGATCACGACCTGGCAGAGATCGCGCGGTCGTTCCGTGCGCTTGCGTTTTTTGACGTTCGGGTTGTCGGGTTTGGGCGTGCCTCCTGGCCGGCCCTTTAGTCGACACCCCCAGTAGTGAGAGACCATGGGCCACCGTTTGTACTGTTGGGTGGAACGGTAGGAGTAGACGTTGTCGACGTGTGGGAAGTAGGTCTGGAAGCTGTATAAATTGGGTATATCAGCATGAAAGACCAGCCAGGGTGACGAGGAGGGCACGCATACTCTTGCTCGCTCATGGTGATCATCTCCTCGTCAACATTGAAGAGTCGGTCCCGCCAATATTCCAGGTCCGGCGGGTTAGGGATCAATTTCATGCCGTAGAGCTGGCCCGCATAATCCACCGAGTCCAGGCACTCCAGGTCCCTGAGTTCTGGACGGTTTGGTGGTGGCAGGGCATCCGCGTGGTTGTTTTGCGCCGCGCGCGCATTGTTTCCCACCGCTGCCGCGTCCTGCCCGAGATTGTTGGACTCACCCGTCTGTGTACCTGTCGTCGCACACTGCCTAGGGGGTGGCGGGACGTTGGTGTGCGACGGTGGGGAGTGAAACTGTGTAGGCATGAAGGTATTCATCGGCTCTCCCGGTCTGGGTGCGCGAACGAAGCCAGGTATGGTGAAGACGGGTACCACATCCTGCAGCGATTGGACCTGTCTTGATCTTCCAAGTGGCTGCTGGGGAATTGGCTGCTGGGGAATTGGCTGCTGGGGAATTGGCTGCTGGGGAATTGGCTGCTGGGGAATTGGCTGCTGGGGAATTGGCTGCTGGGGAATTGGCTGCTGGGGAATTGGCTGCTGGGGAATCGGCTGCTGGGCCCGGAAACTAGGGACTGGAGGGCGCTGGAGAGAGTCCATTGGGATGGTTGACGCGGAGAGTTGTTGACCGGAGGGAGATCAGTGGAGGTATACAGAGTAACCACCAACATTATCGATCAACTACTTCTTGAAGTATCCAATTATCTGGTTCCAAATCGAATACAATCATCCACCCTACAACCCCTTACCCGCCTTCTTCTTCGCCGCCTCGGAATTTGCAAACGGAAAGCCCGTCGTCCTCTTATCTGCCCCGGTCTTACGACTGATCCTGCCATCCCCACTCGCAAAAAGCACACACCACAGTCCAATCGCCGCCAGAATAGAGTATCCCGCAACCCCAAGAGCGAAGGTGCCCTGTCCACCAGCGGCGTACCAGGTATACGCATAAAAAGCAGCGACAGCGTGGAACACCGAGGTTACCATCAAGGTGGGCAAGGCATAGGGGGCCTTGGGATCGGAGTCCTCGGTCGTGACGGGCGAGGCGATCGAAGAGGTGAGCGGGATGGAGCCCGTGAGCATCACTGTGAGTGCGGCGATGGTGAGTAGGCTGATGCCGAGGCTGCGGGCGAAGTAGATTTCCATTGCTGGGGAGAGGAATTAGTTCGTACGCTAGATCAATACCTCAAAGACACATACAAGAAGCAGGACGCGCCTCATCTAGCAGCATGGCGATGATCATGCTGGGGCCGGCCATCAAGGATAAGCTCTGCAGCGAGAGCCATGCGGCAGTCGAGTAGGTGTAGGCGTGGAAGACCTGCTACTGGTCAGCACGAAACAACAAGCCGTGGGAGAAGAACTGACATCCATGATAATGATGTTGGTGGCAGGGGGGAGATACAGAGAGAGAGGGAGAGAGGAATGAAGTGTCAGCTGCAGCATGGAAAGACGAGGTATACATTCCCGACTGACGTCACCGTTTGCCTGGTTTGTACACAAAGCAGAAGTATAGAACGATAAGTGAGTTGTTATTGTAAAGATATTTTGTATTCATTTGTCCGAAGCCAACCCAAGATGTATAACCAGCGCCTCTCGTGAACCCCCCAACACCGTGAAATCATCATCGTCATCATCCCTGGTGGATATTGCTCGCCCGCAGATACCGCGTGAAGCTGTTGTCCGCATCTGACGGCGTACTTTGACTGCCGGAAAGAGCCTGCTGGTACCGCTGCGAGAGTGCATCGTCGTTGCCAGCCCCAGTATCCTCATAATCCTCGTCACTGTCGTCCTCTCCATCCGCCAGCCCCTGCTTGATGATCTCATCTTCTTCCTCGGCCTCACTCACAGTCTCCGGCTCCGGCGCTGGCTCCCTGCGTGGTCGGCGGCCGGAGCCAGAGACATTCATATCCTGCATCAGCTTTCCCAGCTCCAGTTCTCGCTGCGAGGCCTTGCTTTCTTCCCGTTCCTTTTTCTTGCGCTCCAGTTCCGGCTTGTAGTCGCGCTCGAATTCTTGGCGTTTTGCTTCCACGGCCTCAAAGAACTCATCCACCCCGTCGCCGGTCATGGAGCTCACACCCACCACACTCAGGTGTCGATAGAACTCCTCGAGCATGAGGCTCATGCTGTTCAGAAGCGAACCCATGTATCCACTCCCCGCGCCGAACCCACCAGCTCCGCCCTCTGTGCCAAAGGATCCCGATTCCTCTTCCTCGCGCAGAGCCTGCTGGAAGGCATCAAAGTCGGCCATCCATTCCTTTGCGAACTCGGCGTCCTTGACGTCTGTTTTGTTGAACACTAAAATCATGGGGAGTTTGGTCTTATAGAGAATACTGCAGGCGTACAGCATGTTGCTCATGAAAGTGCTGGTAGAACTGGCGCGCGGGGTGTCGATGATGTATGCGATGACCGTGGGGAAAGAGGAAGCAAGAGTCTCGAGCAGAATGCTCCCCGAGGCGCTCCAGACGAACACTTCGATCTGCCCCGGGGTGTCGACGAGGATATGCTCGATAGGTTTTGCGGACGGCTTGCTGGGATCTGGTGCCGTGCGCTTCTCCAGCAGGGAGATGATCTGGTCGACTTTGGTGGCGAAGAGGTTGAGCGATGTGAGAATCCCACCGTTGGGGCCCAGGTTGTACTGCTTCATCACTTCTTTGTAGTTGATCGAGTCGCGGATATCGATATTGCTGTCAAAAGGCACCGAGTGCACCGCGGGATCTAGGTTCATCACATACGGCACTGTATTCTTCGAATGCAAGTGGGAGTTGATGCGCTGCATGAAGGTGGTTTTGCCGGAGCCTGACGGGAGTAGTTAGCAAGGCCATTCGAATAACCTACAGGCAAATATAATCTTACCCGCCATGCCCACACAGACCACGGACACTGCCGGGGACGCCATGGTGGTGGTTTGAAGGGAAGAAAGTAATTGTTGGAGTGAAGAGCAAAAAAAAAAAGGATGTTGCGGGGAGAAAAAGAAAGCCATCTATCTGATCACCGCCTGCAAACGTCATTCCCGCTTCACTTTCTCTTCCTCACCACACCTCGCCCACCATGACCCTCGAAGACTTTGAGAAATCCCTGGTGGAGGATAAGGAGAGAAAACACGAGAAAAGCGACCGGGAACGACACCATCGAGACCGCGACCGCAGCAGAGATCGCTCACGACACCACCGTCATCACCGCTCCAGCAACCACCACGATTCCCGACACAGAGACCGGGAGAGCGAGCGCGAATCCCGGCACAAAGATGACAGTGGACATCGGCATAAGCGATCGCGTCACTCCGAGGCAGAGGAGCATGACCATGCGCATAAACGCCGACATCGATCCAGCAAAGACGAGGGCAAGGACGATTCCCCCAAGACCGTGGTCCAGGAGGAGCTCGGTCGGCCGAAGCGGGATGCCTGGATGGAAGCACCCTCCGCCCTAGAGATTGACTACGTGCATCGACCGGACACGACGCGCCTCGAGGAGGAGTCGAACAAACCTAAAATGCTCCAGGCGGATTATGAGCTCAAGATCCACGACCGCGAGCTCAACCACCACCTGCGAGACCTTAAGGAGGGCAAAGCCCTCGAGGATGTCGAAGAGGAGCCTGCGCAGCATGAGGTAGATTACACATTTGGAGACCCTGGGTCGCAATGGCGGATGACGAAGCTCAAAGGCGTCTACAGAGAAGCCGAAGCTAGCGGCAAACCGGTGGAGGAGATCGCCGAGGAACGATTTGGGGATCTCCGTTCATTCGATGATGCCCGGGAAGAAGAAATTGAGCTGGATCGTCGCAAAATGTACGGTCAATCCTACGTGGGCAAGGAAAAGCCCAGTGGCGAGCTGTTCCAGGAGAGGAAACTCCAGAACAATGTGCGGAGAGGACCACTGAAACATGTTCACGACCCTGAGCAGGAGCTTCAGGCTGAGGGCCAGGGCAAGAAGATGGACGTGGAGCCACCCTCGAACACAACCCAACATCTCGATCTCACGGCATTGAACCGCCTGAAAGCTCAAATGATGAAAGCGAAGCTCAGGAAAGCCCCCGATGCCGCCGAGCTGGAAGACAAGTATAATGCGGCCGCCGCGGCCATGGCCAATCGCAAGGAGTCCGACGTCGTGGTTCTCGGTGTGATGGAGAATCGAATGCTGGCTGGCTCCCGGAATGAAGTCAAGCCCGTCGAAACGAAAAGAGGAATCGAACGAGGCCAGGTGCAAGAAAACGAGGACATGAGCATTGAAGACATGGTCCGCGAGGAACGTAGGAACCGCGGTCAGATCGGTGGCGAAGGACAGCGACTGGCTGAGCGGATCTCGCGCGATTCCAAGTTCGAGGTGAGTTTTTCTTGGTTTGATGGTTATGTTTTGGTTCTAACATTCCCGTAGAATGAGCTAGAGTACATGGACGACAATGCTTCCAAACTGGCTCGACGGGTGCATCGATCTGAAATCGACATCAAGAACTCGACCATCAATGATTTCCGCAAGATGAATCAAATTTTGGATAACTGCCCCCTGTGCCATCACGAGGACACCAACACGCCGCCCACCGCACCGGTAGTATCGCTCGCAACCAGAGTCTTCCTGACACTCCCCACCGAGCCCGAAATCAGCGAAGGCGGCGCTACCATCGTACCCATCCAACACCGACGGAACCTGATGGAATGCGACGACGACGAATGGGAGGAGATCCGAAACTTCATGAAGAGCCTGACTCGCATGTACCACGATCAAGGCCGGGATGTGATCTTCTACGAGAACGCAGCGCAGCCCCAGCGCAAACGACACGCATCTATGGAGGTGGTGCCATTACCATACAGCCTGGGCGAAACCTCGCCGGCCTTCTTCAAGGAAGCTATTCTCAGCTCCGACTCGGAATGGTCGCAGCACCGCAAACTCATCGATACCCTCGCCAAGGCAAAGGAAGGGCTCGGGCGATCGGCATTCCGCCGCACGCTGGTCAAGGAGATGCCCTACTTCCACGTCTGGTTCGAGCTCGACGGCGGGCTGGGCCATGTTGTCGAGGACGAACATCGCTGGCCCCGGGGGGGACCTGTTCGCGCGAGAGGTCATCGGGGGTATGCTGGATGTTGCGCCGGATGTGATCAAGCGGCAGGGACGCTGGCAGAGGGGTGCCGATCGACGGGTGGATGGGTTCAGGAAGCGATGGAGGAAGTTTGACTGGACTCGTGTGCTCGTCGAAGGGTAGGATGGTAGATAATAGCCCTAGATTGGGGTTGTATGAACTAAACCGAAGTGGAAATTCCTCTGTACTGCCTTCTCAGTACTTGTATTCTGTTCCTATTCTTCTCCGGGCTCAATTGATGTTTCCCCGCTCTGTCCCTTCCCGGCGAGACTGTACGGGCTCCGACATGAAGCCATTCCCAGTGCATCTGTCCGCAGTCTGACACTCACTCTTTTCCTAATTGCGCAGATAGTTCAACTACAGCTAGCCAATGCACACGCCCCAGTATTCTCTTGCTGTATACTATCTCTTATCTGTCGCATTTACTCCGAATTATCAATGCGGGGGGGCTGCCCGATCTCGCGTGGGGCATTCTTCCACTGGTCTCGGCCATCTTCTTCTCATCCTCTCTCACTATTCTCTTCTGTGACTTTTTTCCTCTTCTAACTCATCTTGTTCTAATATTACTCTGTTTCCCTCCAACCCCTCCGTGCATACCCCGTTGCGCCGGACATCGCCGCCAGATCCCCCTTCCCCACCTTTCTTATCGGTGCGTCTCCGACGCCCTTCCGCGACATGTGTATCTTGCGCAGGCGAAATATATACATACCAGCATTGTCACGCAGGTCCAATTAACTGATTGATCTAGCTATTCCTACGCCAACATGGCCCCCAATGGCACTACTAGACCCAAGATTCTGCTCCTGGGCGATATCGACCAGTGCGTTGATCTCACTATAATCCTTTGCATGACTCAATGCTGATCTCGATAAATATAAAGCGCTCTTCCCTCCTGGAATGCACTGAGCGACCTCGGCGAGCTTGTGCGCCCAACAGCAACCAACCGCACCGAGTTCCTAGAGGAATGCCGCGCCGGCAAACTCGACGGCGTGGTCGCCGCCTACCGGACCTTCTTCTCCATTACTATCACAGGACTAGTCGATGAGGAACTGGTGAATGCACTGCCGAGTTCATTGAAGTACCTCGCCCACTGCGGTAGGTACCAGTCGTCCCCAATCCAACATCTATCATTTAATACCCCAACTAAACTAACCTTCATAAGGGGCCGGATACGACCAAGTCGACGTACACGCCTGCAGCGCGCAGCCCTCCCATCCGAGTCTCCAACGTGCCCACAGCAGTCGACGACGCCACCGCGGACGTAAACATGTTCCTCATAATCGGCGCACTGCGCAATTTCAACACGGGCATGCAAGCCCTGCGTGAGGGCAAATGGCGCGGCCAGCCTGCGCCGCCGCTCGGTCATGACCCGCAGGGCAAGGTGCTGGGTATCCTGGGGATGGGCGGGATTGGTCGCAACTTGAAAAAGAAGGCTGAGGCGTTTGGGATGAGGGTTGTTTATCATAATCGTCGGAAGCTGAGTGAGGAGCTTGCTGCTGGGGCAAAGTATGTTTCTTTTGAGGAGTTGTTGGAGGGTAGTGATGTGATTAGTTTGAATCTGCCGTTGAATGTGAGTTTTTCCTTTCTTCTTTTTCTGGCTCTCAAAATATACTGACCGGAGCAGAAACACACCCGCCACATCATCAGCAAGGCCGAATTCGCCAAAATGAAGGATGGCGTGGTGGTCGTGAACACTGCGCGCGGGGCAGTCATTGATGAAGCGGCGCTGGTCGATGCCCTGGATAGCGGCAAGGTGTTCTCGGCTGGGTTGGATGTCTTCGAGGACGAGCCCAATGTTCACCCGGGCCTGATGAGCAACCCGAATGTCATCCTGGTACCGCATATGGGCACCTGGACGAAGGAGACCATGACGGCGATGGAGGAGTGGGCGATTGAGAATATCCGTCAGGCGCTGGAGACGGGGACGATGAAAAGCCCTGTGCCTGAGCAGGCAGATCTGTAGGGAAATAGTAATCGTGCATGTAGATCAAATGGTTAGATGTAAACATGGGCGGTTAGTGTTCGTCGTACATAATCGCATAGTCGGACCCGATACGTCAATTAATCTTATCGTCCTCAACCTCAACCTACACCGCGACCCTCCCTCCCTTACAACATGGCCGAATACTGGAAGTCCGCAGTTAGTCACTCAGGAATCTCCCCTTTGGCCTGAATCCCTTACTGACATCAACCTAGCCCCGGTACTGGTGCAAGCAGTGCAAGATCTTCATCCGCGACACGCCCTTCGAAAAGACGCAACACGAAGCAAGCGGCAAGCACCAATCCGCGCTCAAGCGCTTCCTCCGCGAAATCCACAAGGACAATGAGATCAAGACGCGCGAGTCGCAGCGTGCGAAGAGCGAGGTCGAGCGACTGCGCCAGTCCGTTGCCGGGAGTGGTGGTGACTCCAAGGCTGCTGCGCCGTCGCGGAGCACAGTTCCACCACCACCAACAACCCGGAAACAGCCCGATCGACCCGTCAGCATAGAAGAGAGGAAGAAACAGATGGCACAGCTGGCGGATATGGGGATTGCCGTTCCGCAGGAGTACAGGGCTGATATGGCCGTGGCGGGCGAGTGGCAGACCATGTCCGAGACCAAGATCGATGACGAGTCGGCCAAGTTGTCGGTTGGTGTGCGTAAGCGCAAGCTGGAGGGCCAGGAGGAAGAGGAAGAGGACGAGCATGCACCGGAACCGTTTGTGAGCAAGGCCTGGGGCTCGCGGATGAGAGTGTACCCGGGTGCTCAGGAGGAAACGGACGAGGGCTTGGATGCTCTTCTTGCCTCGACGAAGGATATCAAGAAGACGAAGACTGCGGCGGAGACGGAGAAACCGACGGATGAGGCTGCTGGTCCAGATAAGAAAGATGGTGGAGAAGCGCACGCGGATGCGCAGGTTCTGGTCCAGGCTCAGACAGCGGGTGGATCTGAGATCGTGGAGCAGAAGGCTGAAGAGGAGGAGGTGAAGAGGGAAGAGACGGCGCTGGAGGTTGTGTTCAAGAAGCGCAAACCCAAGGTCATGAGGAGATAAATGACTGCTGGCCATTTCTGCAACATGATTGCTACGTCCCTCGTCTGGGACATCACCGACATCTTTGCTTCGGACCAGACCGAGACTGGTCTGACGACCACTGGCCGCCATGCTCATTTCACTTGCATTGCCACACCACCCTTCCCGCTGGGATACGTCCCTCGGATGAGACCCGTCGTCTGGTGTGGATCTATCTTGCGCAACCAGTGCATTGAGGATGTCTAACAAGGCAATCGCTAGTCAACCACTCTGCCGATCTAGACAATCATGCATCGTCTCTAGAGCCGCACTAGGATCGTATATAGCACAACTATAGTATACCCTGAATCAATCCCAGTCAATATTAACGAGAATACCTCCGCTACATTCCGTGGTGGCTGTATAGTCTTGGTGGCCACTCTGGTACTCGCTGTACTACAATTTTTTTTCCAAAGCGGAGACTCGACGGGAACAGGAAGAGAACAGCCGCATCTCTTCAACTTCGCATCTTCACCTCTTCCGCCCTCCATATTCCACCACCACACCCTCTGCCCTCAACCCTCCCTCTCAGATTGTTCCTCTCGTGCCGAGTAAGTCTCTTTGCCTCTAAATCCCCGTGCGATACCCCCCTATCACCGGCGTGAACCCACCTCGATCGCGCGCAGTTCGGTCTGCCCGCGCCGCCCCCGACATTCTTCTCCCGCTCCGTGCCCGCCCGTGTGGGAGTGATCCAATACTCTTGGACGCGTCAAAGGCTCCTTTCCTCTGGTGCGATTGTGTTTTTGGTCTTGCGGGGAGTTGTGAGCACGGGTGGTTGCTGCTGCGGTTACCCTGGCAGAAAGAAACAATTTGCGACAGCAACCCTCACAACCCCGGCATACGGGGGAATCCCATCCAGCCATGAACATGCCCTAAGCGGGTCTGGGAGTTACATTCAAGACTATCACGGGCATAATCATGGCCGCTTCCTAGATCTCTTAGCCCTGCAACCCATCACTGTTGCGACACGGAGGCATCGCAGTCATCGGAGTCCCGACACTGCACCGCTTACACTCCCTTCCCATTCTCCAAAGTCATTTGTTACGCACTACCTGGAGTGTGTCTTTCTTATAGTCACAAGCTAACACATCTAAAGTTTGACAGACCTAGGGAATAAATGATTTATCAGTTCCACCCCGATCGATCTGGCGTGCTGTCTTTGTCCAGCGATAAACCACACCTCCTTTGATCCTGAAACCCGACCGGCGCAAATCCATTGACCCTGATCGGGAAACCTCAATTGAACGTCCTACACCACTTGGGAGGAGGCTGTGAGATCAGAAATGGTGGACCTGACAGACTCAAGCGCCCCTCCCGGCAACTCGTCTCTCTCGTCGGAGACAGCCAATGCGCCCGCTACAGAGATTGGCCATCCTCCAATGCAATCTGTGGAAGAGACCTCGGGGAGAGAATGAGCTACCAGCGGAAAGCCAGCAGTCCGCCACGATGACCGAGCCGCCAGTCACAAATCAGCAGGCGGCAGATGGAGACAACTCGGTGCAACAGACCAGCGAGTCTACGCCGGTGACAGATGGGGCCGTACCCTCTGGTGGCCCGTCCGGTGCGACGGCCGAGTCGAGTCTCCCGGCGTTTGATACTTCGCTCCCGTCGGTGGGCTCAACGGCAGCAGAAGACCTGTCCCTTCCGGCCATTGACACAAATTTGCCGAGCCTGGACTCCTCTCTACCAGCCATTGGAACCGATATTCCTACGATGGATGGATTTCACCATGACGGACAGGCCAACCAGCATGCGAACCCCGGGAACGACCAGTCCGGGCACTCCAATGGCCCAGGCTCGTATCACCAACCATCCAATGGCACATATCCGTATTCGCAGAGCCCTCCAACACCGCAAAATGGGGGCAGCAGGCTCCGCAGCAGCATCAGTTCCAGCAGCAGCCTTACCAGCAACAGAGCCCGGATATGTACCACAACCCCGGGGGCTTCACACCCACCAACGTGAACCAGGGCAATGCGCCATCGACCATGCCCCCGATGGCCTCAATGGGCCAGTACATGGCTGGGTACCCGTCGGATGCGGATGCACAGATGCGATACCAATTGCCCGATGACCCGAGCAAGATGAGCAGTCGACACAAGAAAGAAGTCAAACGACGGACCAAGACTGGGTGTTTAACGTGTCGAAAACGCCGAATTAAGGTATGTGGTTTACTGACTATTGGTGCTGGCGGCGGATCCTCGCTTGTGCTGGGAACCCCGCCAATCGTTTATCGCCCGCATCCACCCACTTGTGAAAAACAATGCTAACGCCGACCAGTGCGACGAAGGTCACCCTGTCTGCAGAAATTGTGTCAAGAGCAAACGTGAATGCTTAGGCTACGACCCCGTGTTTCGCCCTCAGGCATCCACCCCGTCGGCCATCCAGCCTGCTGCGCCTAATCCCCCGCCGTCGTTGGTCGTCAACCCTCAAGGCCCTCCCTCGTCCTCCACACCCTCTTATCCCTCTGCGCCTCCAGGGTACGTGCCTGCGACCTCGCAGCCATACGCGCCCGCCCTCCAGTCCCAGTCGCCGAGCACCTCTGTCGACCAGTACGACCCTGGGACCACCATCGACCCTTTACTGGGCGCAAATCATTCAACCAACACCGCCGACATGCAAAATTCAGACAACCCGCGGCCTCAGGGCATGGAGCCTGTTTACAAATGTGAGTGCTGAATGAAAAGATTTTCGTGCACAAAATGAAAAACTCTTCGAACCGCCAACTAACCTATGGAATCTTACTAGCCAAAAACCTGCTCATGACTGACCTGATCGCTCTCCGCGGCATTGCGCCTCCTGCTCCCCATCCCATTGGCACCCTTCCACCCGGTCGTTTGGAGGAAATCCAGGCCGTCTTCTTGGCAACATACGCCCCAGCGATCGACAAGTTTCTCGAAGTGAAGTGGTACTCCGAGAAAGCGCTCTCCACCCTGATGGCGGACCAGCAACTCATGGCGGACTATTCGGCGCTGATCGATGCATTCAACGGATGGGACCTCAACGAACACGAAACCATCGCTCGCCTGGAGAGCTTTGAGGCCTCGGTGATCTGGCGGAGCATGATCCTGTGCCGCCAAATACCAGACGCAGTGAACGGGCAATTCGGCACAGACTGGAATCTGCTGGTGGCATGTGCGCGCCTCAACGTGATCGAAGCTCTCCTGACATGGAGCCACCTGGATCCCAATCCCTTGTCCCGGGACATGTTCAGGGATGCGGCCAGACCGCCCAGCCCGCCAGACCAGTTCATGCACCGCCAGCTGGATTTCTGGGACGAGGTCGGCGAGTTCCTAACGCTGCATGACGACGAAGCCAGCTCAGCCAAGGAGATCGATGACACGCTCTCCCGCTGCCGAGCCCTGCTGGACACGTACGAGAACCGCGATATCATCTACTCGATCGCCATCGCGCGCCATCTGGGACAACGCTGGGCAGACTTCCCAAACACCTTGCCCAAGGTCGGCTACACCAACGAAAAAGAAGCCGGCACCAAGCTTTACGTCGCACAGAAGTTCTTGGAAGATGAAGCCGAAGGCAAAGGCACCACCCAGATCTACAAGCGCATCTGCTGCATGGCCGTCCGCTCTTGGTGGTGTGCGCGCGAGTAGACTTTCTACTTCTCTTATTTGATACCTCAATATACCGGGTGTAGGGCACCCGGATGTACCCACACCATCTGATTTTGATACCAGAAGTGGTCTCTCGCGTCTCGCATGGATTAACTATGCGGGACCGAACAAAACCCAAAACAAAACAGCATCATCATGGTCCAGGCGTTGCGTTTCGACGATTTCATGTTCTACCGGGGGTTTTACCAGGGACTGGGCAGCGACAACGTGAGCGACTACGGACGGCGTTTCCGGCCTTTTTTCCCTTCTTCTACCCGTGCTCTTCTTGTCCGTGTACATTTTCTTTTCTTCTCTTTCTCTTCTGGATGGGATTTCATACCCGCTTTGGCCTGTCTTCAGGCAATTTGGCAAGCTTTTATTTTTTGCAATAGTTAGACAGACGATATCAAAGTGCTCCAAAAAAAAAACAGTTCAGATACGTTGGCACCCTTTATTTGTAGAGTTGGTTCAGTTATATATAATACATTATCTATAGACAAAGCTCACATGAATGATCATAGACCGGCCAATTACACCTCAACCCGGACCTTGATCTCCCCCATTCCCATTCCCACACCCCCCTGGACCAAGAATCCGACATCCCGCGTGGAATCCACGAGTTCTACCTCCCGCCTAACGAACCGGCCTGTATCCTGAGGCGTTTCCTCAGCCTCGACTCCGTCCTCGCTACTCTCGTCCCAGTCCCCAGCGTCGCCGTTCCCACCATTCCCATCCCCATATACGGGATCCCATTCATCTGTCTCCCAGATCAGTCGAAAGCTATACGGCCGGAGTCCGAAGAGTCGGGAGACAAGGGCTTTGATCTGGTACGTATCGAACGAGGAGGGGATCTCCTTGATGCGGATATCTGGGAGGATCGACGGGGCAGTCTCGGATCTGTTATCATCACCTTTCTTCTCTGTCGAAGACACAGCAGCAGCAGCAGTAGTAGAAGAAGATGATAATGAGGGCAGATAAAACGCCATCTTAACAAGTCTAGCAGCAACAGACCGCGGATGAATGATCCTGCCACTCGAAGAATCAGAAACCGTCGCGCGCAGGACACGCGGTTCGCCATATTGATCACAGAGAACAGCATAGCGAGGATGCGTCGCGAGAATAGCCTGCTCCTCGTCTGCGGGGGTAGCGGAGAGTTCCCTGGCTATGAGGGAGAGGTAGTACATCTCCGCGTTTGCACGGTCGGTTGCTTTGATAGGGCTATAGTTTAGGGTGGTCACGGATGGCGGGAGGCGAGACAGTGTTAGCATGAATGCCTCGTCGACGGTCATTGGTTTTGCAGAGGAAGACGGGGCTAGCGAGGGTGGGAGAGGTGATTGTTCGTAAAGTGGATTGCCTGAGAGGCGGAGGGTTGTTAGGCCCGGAAAGAGGGTTGGGAGGGTGTTGATGAATGTCCAGGTTGGGATGTTGTTGCGGGAGAGGTCGACGGAGCGGAGGGTCGATGGGAAGTGGAAGGAGGGGGGGTTGAAGTGTGTCCTGGATGGCGCTGATGTTGTTTCCGCGGAGAGAGAGGCGTTGGAGATTGGGGAGGGAGGTTAGATGGTGTAGGGTGGACAGCGAGGTGAAATCGTTGTGTTCTAGTATCAGGGTGGTGATGGTGCTGGAGGGAAGAGGTCGAGTTATCTCTACCAGTTCGTTGGCTGATACTGTGAGTGACATAAGTGCCGGGAATCGGGATGTCAATGCCGCAATCTATGATGACTTGGTCAGAAAGAGCGGATATATTTGGTCTTGACCACCTACCTCGTCCCACGTCAGGAGCGTGTCCTCCAGATGTAGCTCGGTGATTCCCTCAAAATTGAACCCTTCTTCCAGCGGCTGAAGTCGATTGCCACTGTGTATTCAAGTCAGTTTGACATCGAAAAAGAGAAGAGATGGGGAAAACATACCTTAACCTCAACCTCTTCAACTGTTTCAACGAATCGCAAATCTGCCACACATCGCGCCACCGACTCAGCAAACTCCGACTAAGATCCAGCTCGATGATTTTCGGACACGTCTGCATGATCTCCCGACAAGCCTTCTCAACCAGTGACTCATCGGGCTCGTAGGAGGGAAGCACTCCGACCACGCACATGCCATCCAGCAAGACGATGCGCAGCTCCGCCAGCTCGGCGAGCTGTTTCCGGATCTTGTCGAAGCCGACCTCTTCCACGACCTTGCCGCTAATCTCAATGGCATTCTTTTGCCCTGCATCACCCTCATCATCACCCTTTGCTGCTGCGTGAGGAGCAAGTTCCCGCTCGAACTCGGACGCATACTTGTCTCGCAGAGCCTCGACGAAGCCCCGCGGCGGGTCTGATGGCCTGGACGGGCGCACAAAGGACCCGGCTGTGGAGTGGCGGCTCTTGCCTGGGAATGAACCTTGTAAGAAAGAGCTTCGGTTCCTAGATTATGGAGGGTTCGACTCTTACAGGTGAAATAACGGGTGCCCTTATGCTCGCCTGCATGCTTGCCCCGGGTGGGATCGTCCCATTCGACACCTAGCCAGTCGCCGGCGGTGCCTTCGACGGTGCCGACGTAGCGGATAGTGCAGCGATGGCCATCGAATGACCTGCGCTGACCGACCGACATGTTGACCAGCTGTTTGTCGATATATAGAGTTGACTCTCGCATCGGATTCATGGTTGAGCGCAGACTCCTTACATAAGCCATTCCGACCACTTCTTCAGCGGCGACTTTCTCTTCTCTGCTTCTCTTCGGTCAGCAACAACGAGATGGATTACCAGGTATGTCCTTATTCCTCTGTCTCAAAATATCCCGTTTAATCTCTACAGTATCACTAACCCATTTTCCAGAACCGCGCAGGCTCCAAATTCGGCGGCGGCGGCGTTGCCTCCCATTCCGCCTCCAATGCCGACCGACGCGAGCGACTACGCAAGCTCGCCCTGGAATCAATCGACCTAGACAAAGACCCATACTTCTTCAAAAACCACGTCGGAAGCTTCGAGTGCCGACTATGTCTAACAGTGCACCAAAACGACGGGTCCTACCTGGCGCACACGCAGGGCCGGAAGCACCAAACGAACCTAGCCCGTCGCGCAGCGCGCGAGCAGCGCGAAGGAAAAGGGCAAGACCCCTCGTCTATCCCCGGCGCGATGGGCGTGCAGGTCAAGAAGCAGATGATCAAGATCGGGCGGCCGGGATACAAAATCACCAAAATCCGGGATCCGTTGACGCGGCAGATGGGTCTGCTCTTCCAGTTGCAGTATCAGGAGATCACGCCCGGTGTGCAGCCCCGCGTGCGGTTTATGTCGGCGTTTGAGCAGAAAGTCGAGGATCCGGATAAGAACTTTCAGTACCTCGTTGTTGCGGCGGAGCCGTATCAGACCTGTGGGTTTAAGTTGCAGGCGAGGGAGATTGATCGTCGCGAGGGGAGGTATTGGACCTGGTTCGATGAGGACAGTAAGGAGTTTTGGGTGCAGATTATGTTCAAGACCGAGCGCGAGGAGAGATTTAGTGGTGTGCCTGGTCTGGCGCCGATGCGCTCTTGATCTTTGCTTTGCTTGCTTTCGGCATGGGAAATTGGGAACCGGCGCTTTCTTGTGGTCTTCTTGTTTATACAATACCTAGCGATGGGCTTTTATCGAAATCGAGGAGAGTTTACAACACTCATCTTTTATGCTGTAGTACTGCTGATGGTACAATCCACCGACTACAAGATTCTACATGATGGGAATAAGCTGTCACCGAATGCTTTTATTGTGCTCAAAGATCCCGCGGTAACGATGCAGACTCAAATTGAGATACAACGAGGGTCAAATCCCTCCTAAGGCATGACAAGAGGTGAAGTGATTGAAAAGATCGTCTCACGCGAAAGATGCAGGACGTTAGATATCAAAAGGTGAAAACCAAAGATGGCGCTTCGGAGGTCATGATCAGTGAAAACAATATCGCGCTTGGAATGCTGGAAGACACTTCGTAGAGAGATCTGATGATAAACGAGAGCGAGCCCTGCCCACCCTTTCTTTCCAAGTGATGCATGCATTTAGCTCCCCTGGAACGCATTGAACGCCTTGTATGTGTACCCAATGAACGGCAGGCTCATCTCGGCCTCCTGCGCCTCCGGCATGGCGCGCGCCTGGGCGCGGTGAATGGCGCTGGTGTCCTCCTGGGGAATCTCGTCGATGGGGAAGTACGACACGTCGATGTTGGAGCTGAGTCGCGGCTCGAAGGGCGCGCGGATTTTCCGCAGCTGCTCCCACACGACACCGCGGAAGAAGGGGTGGTTCTTGATCTGCGTCGCGCCGCCATGCTGGCCACCTTCGCTGCCGATACGGTGCTCGGGATCGCATAAGAAACTAAATCCAGTCAGTTGTGTTGACAGTAGTTTAGACGGTGGGGGTCCTACCTCCGGATCAACGACTCCGATTCACGAGACAGGACGAGCTCCTCCGGGAAGTAAAGGCATTCTCTCCAGTTGACGATCTTCCGGTAGGTGTCGGTGGTATCCTCGGCACAGAACGGAGGCCAGCCCACCAGACACTCGAACATGATGGCACCCACAGACCACCAATCGCACAGGTAGGTGTAACCCTGGCCGTTGAAGATCTCCGGCGCAATGTAGTCGGGGGTTCCGACTGTCGAGTACGCCATAGCACGACGTGATTTCCGCCACGTGTTAATCTGTCCACGGTTCGACACGGTCAGGTTAATGGCATCGTTGAAATAGCCCGAGTTACGGTTCCGGTCCTTTGATGTCGAGTTCTTAAGCAGATTCTGGTAGTATGCGTTATCGTGAGTCTTCTTGCCTCCCGTCGAGAGACCAAAGTCGGTGAGCTTGACGTGTCCGCCACGGTCAAGGAGAATGTTGTCGGGTTTAATGTCACTGGGGAAGAGTTATCAGTTTTGAGCCAAAATGATGCAGAAAGGTGCTAACCGATGAAGGAAGCCAAGCTTGTGGACAGCTTCTATTGCCATCACCACCTCGGCCATGTAAAAGCGCGTGATGTCCTCAGAGAAAATTTCATACTTGATGAGCATGGTCATCAAGTCACCACCAGGCAAGAACTCCATCAGCAGATAGAGGTAGGCAGAGTCCTGGAACGAGGCATGCAGCTTCACCAGCCATGGGTTGTCCTTGGAGTCGGCCAGAATGTCACGCTCGGCACGGACGTGGGCCAGCTGGTCCTTCTTAAACATCTCTGTCTTTATGAGAGACTTGAGGGCATAAATCTTTCCATCGGTCTTGCGCTGCACCAGCTTGACCTCACCGAAAGCACCCTTGCCAATGATCTTGATGGTTTGGAAATTTTGCGGGGTCTCCTTGGTCCGCAGGAACCGCAGGAAGTCTGATTCCCGCTTGGCGATTGTATCAGCATCCTGGCTCTTTTTCTCGACAGGCACATTGGGTTCGCGAAGAGTCTTATCAAGATCCACCGACCTATAACAGACCAAAAATTGTCAGACACTACTCACACATGTGAAGGACTGATACTTACCGCATGTTGCGATCACGGGCCCGCTCGATGTTCTCATGAAAGAATACTGTCACTAGTTCCTTTGCAGCCTTGCCCCGCTTGTGAACATTCTCCGAGTATCGCTCCGGCAAACGCTGCAAGTCCTCGTTCTCAGCTGGTGGCCGGGGGCTGCGAGGCACCGGCGGGACAAGGTGTGCGGGCTGCTGGCCCTGGGCCTGGCCAGGAGAGCCGGCAGTGCGAGGGCGGGCAGGCGAGCCCGCCCGGTTGAAGAAGCCACCTCGGTTGGCGTTGAGGTCTTGGTTGGAAAATTGCTGGACCAGGCCATTGGTGCCATCATTAGGGCTGGAGTAGCCCATGCGAGACTGGTAGGCGGGTTGGGGCGATTGCAGTTGCTGGGCATGCTGCTGCTGGGCATACTGCTGCTGTTGGGCGTACTGCTGCTGCTGCTGGGGAGGAAAGGGGTTGGTCATGAAGTAGCCTGGAGCATAGGCAGGGTTGGAGGGGTCGACATAGTCCTGGGCCCCCTGAGTCTGGTAGATCGGCTGGGGAAAGGCGGATGGGGTGGTGGGATAGGCGCGGCTGTTGGGCCCCGCGTAGTTGTTGTTGCGGTCGTAGCCAAAGTTGAGGTTCAGCCGGTTGTTGTTTTGGTTGTTGTTGGGATTGTTAGGATCCATGATGGAAGCCAGGAAAGAGAGGGAAGGGAAAAGGGGAGGGGAGAGGGTAGAAGGAAGAAGAAAAAGAAGCGATGATTGACTCCTGAGCCACCGCTCCTTTTGCTCCCCGCCCCGCCGCCCGAGACAAACTCTAGCAACAACGGAGTAAGTATATGATGACCACCATAGCCTCTATACTTTTCTTGTCTATGGTTCTAATGTATACTCCTCAATAAATTAAATCTACCTAGTCATATCGTCTGCCATCCATTCGAACCCTCCCATCTTCCTTTCGACTCACCCCTCCTCAAGGGCAACATTCTGAGACCGGGAAATCAAGGGGGAGGGGCATGAGACTGGAGGTTGACCAACAGTTGTGCTAGTCACATTGCGAAACAGACTGCTTAGCTAGAGCACAGTTCCTGTTATTCTGTGTAGTCACTTTATTCACCATGGCGAGCAAGCACCAGTGGGTTATACTATAAGGCTATCATCCAAGACCACACAATGGCAGACTATCATATATACCTAGGCCTGCACCGATCTCGTCTCTCATATCATACTCCATAAAATCTAAATATCAACTTCTGCTTGTGCATTCATTCATCCACGATATATGATACTTTTCTGTTGATCCGATATCACATGACCTGCGGATCAACCTGCTCCCGTCGGCATCCTGAACTTTTTCCTTCCAGCTGCTCGGCCCAAGTACACTCTCCAGCTCAAACACCCAGGATGGCAGAATCCTCCAGTTCTGCAGCTGGCCCCAGCCAGCCAGCAGCACCCCCAAAGCCGGGCAATCCAGCTTTCAGGATGATGGGTACGTTGCGACCCAAACATTACTTAAGAGAAAAACCGCTAATCGAAGTGAATCTCGACAGGAATGCCCAATTTCCGCCTCCGCCTCCCCTCCCGCAACTGGATGATCTTCTTCACCATCACGGGCTCCTTCGCAGGCACCCTGATCTACGACCGCCGGGAGAAGCGCCGCGCGCAGCAGAAATGGTGCGAGCTCGTGGCCCATCTCGCCAAGGAGCCCTTGCCCGTTGAGCAGATGCGCCGCAAGCTGACGGTGTACCTGGCTGCACCGCCCGGGGACGGTCTGCGGATTGCGCGGGACCATTTTAAAGAATACGTCAAGCCCGTTCTTGTGGCTGCGGCGTTGGACTATACCGTTGTCGAGGGAAGACGGGAGGGTGATGTGCGAGCTTCCACTGCGGAAAATATAAGGAAGCTGCGGCGCAGGAATGGAGAGTCGAGTTCGGTTGTCGAGGAGGTCGGCGTTGAGCAGGTTGTTGCTGAGACGAGGAAGAGTATCGGCATTGAGGATGAGCCGGGTCCCAAGGGCGACCTGGTTATCGGGCGACATACCTGGAAGGAATATGTTCGGGGACTTCATGAGGGCTGGCTAGGCCCGTTGGATCCTCCGCTACCTCCGGCTGCACCAGAAGAGGTCCCGACTCCTGACGCTTATGCGTTGGAGGGCGCAGATGGCACCAGCGCGGACGACAAGCCCCCAACAACTGAGCAAGAAAAACCAGACACCGAAAAGGAAGAGAAACCCTCCAAGTCCGCCGGTCCCACAGCTGCATACATCTCACCCGCCGACTACTCAATCGCCAGCCTCCCGCCCACCCTCCCCCAGTCCTTCGACAGCTCCATCCCCGTGCCATTCCCCCACATCCTCGGCTTCCTCAACACCCCCAAGCGGATGTACCGCTACCTGACACAACGCTACCTCGCCGAGGACATCGGCCGCGAAGTAGCCGGGATCGTGCTCGCGACCAGCGCACGCCCCTACCACAACGATGCATCCAGCGCAGAGTCTAACTGGAGCGATAGCGCCAGCAGCGACCCGACATCTTCTTCCGACAGCAACAATCACAACAGCAGCACATTCACCGACCTCGCACCCCGCACAGCTGAGCAGCAAACTACCCTCAAGGAAGCCGAGACGGAATGGCACAAGTCCGTGCACAAGGAGAGTTCATTCGAACAGGCGGAGCGCGAGTGGCTCGACGACGTCGTTCTGGACCCTCGCATTTCCTCGCGCATGCAGCGCGCCGTGCTCTCTATTGACGACGAGGCTCGCTCGCGGCGCATTGCGAGCCAAGAGGAGTATATCCTCGGCGAGGAGCGGCCTGCTCCTGTGCCCTTCTGGCAGCGCATGTGGATTAAGTACGGGTATGGGGAGGATGAGGAGACGCTTAAGCGGAAGCCGATCTTGGGTAATATTGACGGAGAGGATGTGGAGTAAGCATTCGGCCCTTTTGTGACAATATATAGACGGTGGACGGACGGGTTGGTTGGGGGTTGTTGGTTTTCCCCTTTGGCATATCCGGATGGTCCTCCTCTCTCTCTCTACTCGGTTGTGTATATTATTTTCTGTGATATTAGAGGCGCTTGTTATTGAAATGTATATGACCGAGTCTCTACATTGAATCCTGCGTTGATACTGTAGTGGCTACGGAGTGCATTTCTCTACAGCAACTACAAGATCCAAGTGAACCCATAAATACTGGTACATTTCATGTCTGTTCTCTCTTACTAGGTACTTCCACAGAGACAAAGCCATATAGCCATATATGATCTTCCCCGTCGCTCGTCTCCTACATGATTTTCTTTCTCTCTCGCTTGACACCACCGTTCCTCTACCTCGATACTCACTCTGCCACCTAGGTAACCAACGCCCGCACCGGGAAACCTCCGCCAGACACGCATGACTGGCTATATATGGTTTGCCGAGCGGCAGGTAATCGTATGGGAATAATGTGGTCAGGTCTCAAACAAGCCGGAGACCGGTTTACTCCAGCCGAAAGACAGAAGACTCGGGCCACTTCTTGCTCGCCTTCTGTGCATACGCCGCCTTATCGCTGTCCCACTTATTTAGCAAGTCCAGCGCAGCAACAGCTTCGTCGATGGAGATGCCCGGCAGATCGAGGGTAGAGAGCAGGTCTTGCTCGCACTGGGCCTTGGATGCCGGGTTGAGGATCTGGCGGCCGTCCAGGGCGGCTTGCACGTGCGCAGCGCTGCCCTTGTTGGATGAAAGGAAGGACTCATTCCATTGCTCAAGCTTCTGGGATTTCGGGAGCAGTTTGTCGAACTGGGCGTTGACGACCTCGGCGACTTGCGAAGGGAGGGGTTCCGAGAGGCTGTCTAGGGCCTTGCGGAAGCGCAGAAGTTGGAGGTGGAGAGTTGGGTTGGAGGGGTCAATGGCGTGCGCGGCTGAGAGGCATTTCACCGCGAGAAGGTGCTTGTCTGGAAATGATGTGTCAATTTATGTCAATAATCAAGGGGAAGGGGGGCTCGTTCAAAACTTACTTCTCCGGAGGTAGACCTCGAAGCCGAGACACTGCGCCTCGATATTCTGGGAGCTGAGCTCCAGCAATGGGGTCAGGAACTTCATAACATCCTTCAGCGGCTCCTGGGTCTGGACCAGAGTGTTGCCGAGCGGGTCTTGGTCCTCTTTCTTCACCTCGCCGTCAGCACCCTTAGCGGTAGCCGAGGCGGCTTTCCGGGCCTCGCGCTTGTCAGCCTCGATTTTCTCCAGGCGCTGTTGCTCCTTCTTGGCCTTCTTCAGGGCCTTCTTCCGTTCTGATTCATCGGTGGCATCAAGCCCATTGGATCCACTCGGGATGGGCCCATGAGCAAGATCCGGCTGGTCGTGGAGGAGCAGATACGCCTTCACGGCAGACAGGGCCATCCTTGCATAAAATGGGTGCTCACGCAGACGGTCTTCCCAGCGCACCATGTCCACGTAGGCCCGGATCATACCCTTGCGCAGGGAAAAGCTGTGGAAGTCGAACTGGTCTTCTTGCCATGTCTCGAAGATGTTGTAGACAGAGTGGAAACGCTTGAGCGCGAGGCCCAGCTTCTTCTGTCGCAGGAACGCCTCTCCGTCCTCGGTCAGGAACCACACGCACTGCATTTCGTGAAGATCGCCCAGCGCGCCCCCGACGGTCTCGTTGCGCGTGAACTTGCTCATGTTGTCCAGCCCCTTGTCGTTTTCGTTGTTGCGGAGCTGGTACTTGGCTGCCTTGGAATTGATATACCGGTCCCTGTCGTCCAACAGCCTGGCCTTCTCCATTTCCTCTGCTGCCTTCTCTGGATTACCATAGTGTTTCCAGATGCGCGCCTTGGTCATTTGATATTCCACGGCCTTTGGCGAGAGTTCAATGGCCTTGTCGACGTACTCCATTGCTTTGGGCAGATCGCGACTGAGGTGGTAGTTGTAGTGTTGAGCCAGGAAATAATAGCTTGAGGAAATAAACTCGTTGCTGTCACCATTCGCTTTTGCGGAGCCATTGGACTGAGGGGCCTTGCCGGAGACATATCCCTCCACCAGCGTCGGCACCATGTCGCGCTTAGATGGGTTGGTGTAGAGGTGCTTGATGTTTGCGAAGAGCGATGGGACGCCCTTCTTGAGCATGCGCTGCATGTATGCATCAGCCGCCTGCTTGAACTCCTCGCCTTCCAAGAAGTCCAGAGGGATGCGCCGAGCAGCGTCACCGCGAGGGTACTTCTCCACCCACTCGTCGTAGAGGGCCTTTAATGCCTTGTGGTCGTCCTCCGAGATCCCCTTGGCCTTGATCAAGCCATTGTAATAAATAGAGTTCTCCGCGTTTCGTTCCAGAAGAGCAGTGTATGCTGCCTCTGCCTCCGCCTTGCGGTCTAGCCGCAGGAGGTAGTCCGCCTTCATCTCCATGACCGCAAGCACATCGGTACACCGGTAGCCGACCGCCTCAAGGTGTTCCAAAGCCTTCTCGAGGTCCCCAGACTCAGCAATGATTGTGTTCTTGTACAGAATCGCCTCGGAGTTCTCCATGTCGGCGATCGGCTGCGTCTCTTTGAGGGTGTCCTCATAGGTTGTCAAAACTTTCTGGGCCTCCTCCAGGTCTCCGGCCAAGTGGTGCGCAATGGCCAACGCGGTCCAATTCTGGCGGAAGCCAGGGCGAGCCTGCAGCATGGTGCTGCGGCTCTGAATGTATCCCTGGTAATCGCGCATCTGCATCTGGAGCAGGGCCAGGTCGCGCTGGATGGGCTGGGACTCGGGCTCGAGGCGCAGGGCAAATCGGTAGGCCTTGATAGCCTCCTCGTAGTTCTTCTCGGCGCGGTATAGCAAGCCGTAGACGTGCCAGGTGATATGCGACTTCATGTCGTTGCGCAGGGCCTCCTTGGCCAGGGCGAAGGCCTCCTCCGGCTGGCCCAGATGGCTCATAATCAGGGCCTTCATTGCCTGCGTGTCTCCATGCTTGGGGTTCTTCTTCAGAACCTGTTCGGCCGCTTTCATGCCTGTTTTGCAAGGGACGGAGGTGTGAGTGATTCGGGTCGGGGAGCGGCGGGAGGGAGCGACGTACCTTTCTTGTACTGCTTCATCTCGAAGTTGCGGACCACCTGCCGAAACAGGGACGCATCCTTGGAGTTCAATGGTTGCGGCATGGTGGGCGATGGGCGGAAGTTGAGTTGTGCGAGGAAGAAGACGAGGTTGGCTGTGTGTGGGGGGAAGAAGGACTTCTGCCGCTTGGCGCCGATAAGATAGGTGGACTCGACTATAGGGATTCTCGTATTACTATGTATGCAGGAACTCGAGGTGGTGGACACGAGTGGAATGAAATTGTAATAAAATGATTGATTGTTGTATCTCGAACAGATATACTGGAATTGGAGATGCTGAGGCCATAAAGAAGGGATAGTGTCTACCTAAGTTAGGGCTGGTGTATAGACTCAGGCGGTCCAGTCAACCCAGTCATCTAATAATACCTCTGGGAAGAACAATTGAATACAAGAATGAGAAGAAAGGGGACTCTCGTTATCCCAAACTCCAAACAATCAAACAACAATCCACACGGACTACCTGAATACACGAACAACACAAATCCAAAGAGCCAGTACAAAAAAACAAGAAGAGTGAGCAAGTGTAAGAGCAAATGTCACCCGATCATTTCATCCCTTCTGCTTCGGATGCTTATTCTTCGGGCCATTCAAGTAAGCCCGGTTACCGGCTGCATCGTACGACCATCGGCCATGGTTGTTCGGGTTGGCGACAAACCCTTCAGGGACGATGGGTTCCAGAAACTCGAGGGTCACCTGCGGCACATTTGCAGGCTTCAGGGGAGGCATGTGAGCGAGGATCTGTGGGGCCGTCGGAGTTCTTGTCCACGCCCAGCACAAGGGGTAGGGCAGGGGATAATAGGGAGATCCCAGGTTCAACGGTTCAATGTCATGGTCCGGACTCGTAGTGACAGGAGCCAGAACCGGGGTCAAACGGCTCGGCGGGGTCGGGGGCTTGACTTCAGGGCTGCTCATCTGGCGCTTCTTGGAGCGACACTCCTCAGGATTCTCCTCGGCAGCCCGTTTCTTGCCCTTTTCGTTGTCATCGATGCCAACCGCAGTGATGCTGGTGCGAGAAGAATGGATTGTATTCCCCGAGTGGCAGAGGCTGGGGGATGTGCTGCCGTTCCTAGCCGGCACATATCCACTTCCTAAAGTCGAAGTCAGTCTAAACTCGATGCTATGCAGTTCGGGAGTTGTTGCATACCATAGTCTCCAAGATCGCCGGCCTCAAACGTACGCGATCGCGGAAGACCATCCTCATCGAACTGCTTCGGATCGATATCGTGCAGAATACTAGAACCGGCAGCCGAAGGTCCACTGTTCTCCCCGGTTTTGGGGTTATAATAGTCGAGAAGATGGGCGCCAGACAGATAAGTGCCATCATCGGCCTCGAACCAGTTGTCGCCATCGATGAACTTGTCGAAGTCCTCCAAATATGCCGATTCGAATGATCCCATCTCCGCAGGAGACTTGAGGTTCATGCTGAGAGTATCCATGAGATTTGGACGTATATGTGAACCGTTGAAGAACATGGAGCTGGTGAAAATGATGGAAAAGACAGTATATACCAGAAAGAGTGAAATTAATCCAAATGCGGACCTCTTCCTGGATGGACTTCCTGAAGGGCGAAAGGAGGGTTTCGAAAATGAGAATGCGTCAGAGAGCAACGAGCGAGATGAAGGAGAATAGAAGGGGTTAAAGTCTGATGATGAGAGCAATGAAGGTGATAAAGGAGAGAAGAGAAAGGGCGCGTGCAGTCTGGGGCGACCCAACTTTACGCTGTCGATGGAGGAAGGCGCAGTTGAATAATGGGGATTTCAACTGTCAACCACGGAAGCACCGACAAACTCCCAACAGACAGACTGGCGATTCTCCTGGTCCGACTGGAGAGCCAAAACAGACCAACCGTCCCTTCCTTCCACCACGGTTTTACCCGGCGTCCACGCAGAAAGAACGACCCAGGATGCAGTAGAACCAGGTTTCGTGGCATGTCTGCCGACGCCCAATCCAGGCATGGAGTCAGTCCCGAAATCCCATGAAATTTGGATCAACTTACAGCAGAGTATGGAACAGTTGGATGGCCCAGTTGTTCGATATCAAGCCATGCCATTTTAGGCAAACCAGGTCAGACGGTTGGGAGGATTCATGGTCTGGCACGCTGTATCGACAGAGGTAAGGGTCCACGGTATCATCCGCGGAGACTCGGGGGGATTGCAGTTGAACCATGGCAATCCACTCCGCCAGAGAACCGCATTTCTCCTGGATCTCCTCCTCTGCCGTGCTTTCTGACAATATGCTGCCCTGTAAGTTGGGCGTGAGAACACGCCGCTGCTCACTGCGGAACGGTGCGCAGTCCAGCCACTGTGGCTGCAATTTGTGGATGGGCTTCGTATCTGCTTCATTACCAGTATCAGCCGACATCCCGGGAAAATGAAGTCACATCGGAAGGTATATCGCACCCTCTTTCTGACTTGACAGTGAGCCTTCTAAATCACAAAAAAGCCAGGCCAGGGACTGATTCAGGACGTTCTTGAATGCCCACACGATTCTCTCAAAGCCTTGCTTGCCATGAAGCATGGAGGGCAACCGCAGATTTAGCTCCACCACTATTCAAATTAGCTGCAGTCCGAGATACGATGTTTTGTTGGGACATACAGTATCTTTCTTTTCCATGTTTCCTGCCACCACTGCGACATGGTTTGCCGGACAGCCCCGTCTGCTCGAAAATCTCTCTACCAAGCTCGATTTGGAGAGTGCCTGGTTTGAATTAGTCGTGAAGATACATTCCATACGACCCAAGGCGCACACACCCTTTTTTAGCATAAACACGGTCTCTGATCCGGACCGGCCCTCGGAGATCATGAGAATATTTCCTGGACAGAATATGAGATTCGGTGTTTTGTAGATGGCAGATCTTGGGCATGGTCTCCACACATACCGGCTTTGATATAGGCGTTGAAGAAGTCGTGCTCCAGTAAGGCCGATGGCGGCATAAACACCCGCGCATACTGGGGATTGGCAATGCGGGTATCCAGCGCCGCCTGTACGCTCGCGTATGCTTCTGCTGGAAGGATGGCCTCCACCGTATGCGCGAAGGAATGGTTGTGAATAGTCGAGAAGGGGGATTTCGTGCTTGGGATCTGCTTGGGATCGACCCAGGCCGGGAGTTGAGTGACTGTGGTGAAGCACTTCTCCCGCCGTGACGCGTCGTCTTCGATATCGAACATGGCGTGCAGGAGAGACGGACGGTCCTGTGTATGCTTGGTGGTGGCGTAGGAGGAATATTTTTCTTCAATTGACGTGCGATTAAGCTCGGCCGCTTATCAGCGCGATGATCTCCAGATCTTGACCAGACCCTTCGGTCGGCCCAGATCGATGACTAGAAGTGATGCAAGTCAAACCCCAAGTTCGCGGTCATGCTGAGGCATCTATTTTGTGGCATTGGTGAGTGGGCAAGGATTGTGGACATACAACAGTGCGGTGTAGGGACGAAGGTAAGTTGCCCAGATGTGTTTACGCTCTGTTGATAACTGGGAGTAGAATAACAGCAGGATACGAAGATATCCGATTCAAGTCCTCTAACTAACTAACACACATAACAAATTTAGTTCCGTGAATAAAAATCTCCATCTGCCAAATACTATGTTTCTGCCTCAGGCATCACGATTCTTCTCTTCTCCGCCCTCACCTCCGCCGATTGTCTCTTCTCCAACTCCCACGCGAGCAAGCTCCTAGAGCTCGACTACTACCATTCAGTGGCCCTCCTCCCAGAGCATACGGATGCGCCTGCCCCGCGCCGCCATTTGCCTTAGCAGCGACACCCCCAGCAGAAGCCGGTGATGGCGCCCGCACCGCGCCGTGACCTCCTCCCCAAAGAGCTCTTCGCCTTTTCCTTCGGCAAGCTCAAGACTCAGAACTACCATGATCCGGCAACGCGCGCGCCGGGAACTCACACGTAAGCCTTTGAAACTACCCTGTCTACCCCCGCTTCCCGCTTCCCCAAGTCGAGCTTGCTTGCATATTGACCGAGCGTTCCTCAAATAGCATCCGCACCCTCGCATGGAATCCCACCGGCCAATTAATCGCCACAGGCTCCGTGGACCGTACCCTACGAATCTGGAACCCGGAGCGGCCCAATGTGCGCTACTCGACTGACCTGCGCGGCCACACGGCCGGCGTCGAGAAGGTCGTCTTCAATCCCGTGCGAGATGCAGAGCTAGCAAGTTGCTCGACGGATGGGACGGTGCGGATTTGGGACGTGCGCTCTAAGACGTGCGTGAGCCGGCTTGATATCGGCGGCGAGCCGTTTACGCTTTCGTGGTCGCCGGATGGGACTACTATTATCGCTGGGAGGAAGGTGGGTGACTGGCCATTTGATTCTTGTCCGACCCAACGACAGAGGAACTATGAACTGACGGCTAACTATTGATGTCTCCAGGATGATATCCTCGTCCCTATATCCGTCACATCTCCCTCCACACCCAACCTCCTATCCAATGGCATCTCAACCTCTCCCCCTACCTCCAAATCCAACGCATCAACCTACACAGCCCTCGAACCGCGCCCACAAACCGTCCAAACGAACGCCACGACATTCTCGCACCACGTCAGCACCCCCTCCTCCCCAGACCTGCACTTCTTCGCCACAACGGGCGACGGCACGGTCAAGATAATCTCCTACCCATCCTTCAACGTGCTACACACCCTAAACGCACACACATCCGCCTGCTCAGCCGTCTCCCTCTCCCCGCTGGGCCGCTACCTCGCCATAGGAGGCAGCGACGCACTGATCTCGCTCTGGGACACCACGGACTGGATCTGTCGACGGACATTGTCTAGCGAGAACGGCGGCGCAATCCGTAATGTCAGCTGGAGCTTTGATGGACGGTTTATCTGTGGCGCGTGGGATGAGCTTGGGTGTGGTGGTCATGGGCTGGAGATCTTCCATGCTGAGTCGGGGGATAGCGTCTATACTGTTCCCACTTCGGGGAATATCAATGCAGGCATCCCTGCTGTGGCGTGGCACCCGTCGCGCTACTGGTTGGCCTATTCGACTACGGCGGATGGGCCGGGGAGTGGGTTGAAAATTGTCGGTGCGGCGGGAGGTGGACTTTAAATCGATGGATTGGTTGGAGTGATTCTGCAGTGTAATGATAGATGCCAATTGTTTCTAACGAATGATATTTTATCGGATACGGTTCACGATGAGAGAAGAAGGCTGTTATTTCATTGCAATTTTTGATTATGTAGATGTAGATGTAGATGTAGTAAATCATTAACCAGCATATCAACAGGGAAAACATCCATTCCTCGTCAACAAGACGAGAAGATATGAACATCAAAACACCAAAAAGGAAAAACACCATCCGGTCATGTGTCATCACCCATCATTTTGCGCCGTGCCAATAACCTAACCTCACTGCGCCGATTCCGCAGGAGTTGAGTGGAGATATTTTGTTTCCAAACGAGCGCCATGGTTTCCGAATTAATGTATTATCAACAGAGTATCATTGCCCGGAATAACAAGAGGTCGGGAGATAAGGAGAAGAGGGTAGAGAGGGAGTGTTGCCCGGGATCACTTGGCACCCGTAGGTGGAATATGTGACGGGCTGTAGGGTTGTGGTGATAGCTTCAGACGCGGACCAATCCCGGCCGGCGGATTCGGCGGGTATCAGTCATAATCAGTCATAATCAGTCATACTCAGTCATACGGGATCTCGGTGGCAGGGTCGGTTGTATGACTGTTCGTGTTCCAAGAGACGAGACGGGACGAGCCCACCGATCTCGAGGTAGTTAGTCGACGTTCGGGAAAGACAGCTCTGGTCAGCCTTGTTTAGGCCATGACCATCCATCTGGGCAGGCTCACGTCGACCGCCAGTTTTCCCATCCGGAGGAATGGTCAGGTCCAGTCCCATTGAGGATATTCGCCCACTGGGCCTCGGTCAGAACCGTGCCAAAGTCCAAATTACTGTCTCCGTCCGCATCGGGATTTGGGGGCATGTTCCATCCAGAGGGCATGCTGAATGCACTAGCTACCCCCGAGGAGCCCATCGAGCCTTCTGTGGTGCCTGGATACATTTGGCCGGCCAACGGATTCAGATTATTAGGAACCTGGGAAGAAGACTCGGTGCCTGTCGGCGAGATATGTACGGAGTTCGACGTGTCTGAGGACGTAGTAGTGGGACCCTGGCTGGCGTAGTTTGAATTCAACTTTTGTTGCTTCTTGCCTGGGGAGTTGCTCTCGGTGCCGGTCATTGAGTAGGAGGTATTGGAGGAGGAATTCATTGTCGAGGGCGTGGGATGGTCGGACGGGGGGTTGTTCTTATCGCTCGATCCAAAGTCTGGTGAAAGGTCGACGTCCATGTCCAAGATCATGCCAGTCGCGAAATCTGGGCCCGGTTGAGTGACCCGAGGGAACACCCGCCTTACCTCGTGGGCGCGTTCCTCCGGATGCAAGGACATGGAGTCTTTGTGGCGGCTGGGAAGCGAAGTTGACATGCCATTATGTGCAGGATGTTGGCTGGTGGTGGGATGCGATCCCTCCTGCTGAAAGTCGGGTTGCGTGGGCTGGTCTGGGACGAATGTGCCAGGGAAAGGGCCCGCACTGTCACTACAAAAAGATTGCTAAACGGCAAAATGTCAGCGTCTTTTAGTAATTGGGTAGAAACGCCCAGGAGACTTACCATTATCTGCGCAGCATGTTTGGCGCTCTCCGCGAACCTAGGATTCACGGCTCGGATCCCAGTACCTTCAAGATCAACATCCAATTGAACAAGGAAGGACTCGGTCAAAGGGTTCTTCGACTTCATTGCGTTGAGTGCACCAACCACAAATTGTAGCGACGACTGGACCGTCGAATCGTCTGGCCGGGATTTGAGATATTGCACGAAAACACGCGCCGATATGTATAGACAAAACGACATAAATGGATTCAACTGGCAATTATCAGCGTGGGTTATTTCTTGTGTATGTGGCAAAAGCAAAACTTACATTCGTCAAGTCCATATGGCTGATCATCTTCATGGTACTCGATATCTGATTGGCAGCCACAAGACATCTCCGCTTACTTTCGGTAATGATCTGGTTGGGCATCTTATTCTTCTCGGCCTTGAAAATCGCCGCCTGATGAAGACAGATGGTCGACGTGTGAATGCTCATGTTGGCAAAGATGACATTGACATCCTCCATGCCAGATGGGAGTCGCAGATGATCGGGCAAGGACAATGCGATATGAAGGAGAATATTATCATGGCTGCGATGGCGCTTCCAAAACTCTCCATTCAGATCATGGTCGTTGTCTTGTGGGCTGGGGCGATGGATATGGAGGAAGTTCTTCCCAAAGAGACTGGCCAACACCACCACGCATCCGAACGGCGATAGCGTGGTGACTCCCTCGCCTGCCAGGATATCGGCAAGGCGAAGTGTTCGCTGGGGTTTGCTCTTGACAAAGGACTCCTCGGAGGCAGGCAAGTTCGTCATGATCTGCCATCTGCTGTCAGCCATCACTCAAAAAAATAAAATACATCAGACTCAAGACTTACGTCTTGCTCATCGATGAGCATGGGCCAGCCGGTACCAATACTTGCATAGCGGTCAGTGCAAAAGGCCATCCAGAATGTTCTTCTGCGTTCTTCGCGATCTGTCCAGTCTCGAGGTGGCAGTATAGTCTGTTTAACATCGAGACTTTCGCCATCCAGCCGGTTCAACCCCATCATAAGTGCTAGCCGCGCAGCCTTGCCGACACTCAGCCATGCTCGCGGGAAGTAAATCATGCGGAATTCATATGTGCCGATAAGGATCCACGTCTGACAGTGCCTCACACTGACCACGTTCTCCCCGAAGCCCTTCATCTCATCCATATCGGCATACTTGCGCGCTCGGTTGTAGAAGTGGACGTGTAGGAAATGATATTTGTCACTGACAGACGCCGCATGACACCACATCATGTATCGCAGACAGATCGGTGGCCGCATATGCGGCGCGAGGTTTAATGCCGCATAGTATCGAGGCCGGTGGATGATAGGGAGTATCGGGTGAACCTTCTCAAAGTAGATATAATCCCTGGAAAGACATTAGATCGGTTGTTTGGCGGGGTCTAGTATTCAGGCCACATACAACTCATCAATCACGTCCTGCGTGGGCAGCGGCTCTTCCAGACCCAAGCTGATCAGGTCCCACGAAGGGTCATCGGGTATGCTCTGTTGTGAAGGGGGAAAAACATCTGACCCGGCTGCGATGTGGAGGCCGCATTCGAGGTGGGCATCGATCCATCCATCTCCCCTGCCAGTCCCGAGATATCAGGCAAGGATATAAAAGAATCCTCATTGAGGGGCGCAGTGAATGCATTGTCATGAGGCTGCGGCACCGGCAAGGCTCGCTGGGTGGTGTCGGGATCCTGGCCTTTCAGGAGGGTCTCAACCTGAGCTGTAGAGATGACGAGAATGATTAGAAATGACCTTGTCTGACAAGCTGTCGCCCGGAATCTCGTACCTAATCGTGCCTCCAGCTGCTTGACATACCCCCGCTTCGGACCACTCTTTTTGCGCGCTTCGTCGTAGGCGCACTCGTGGCCCAGTCGCGAGCAGGTTCCGCAGCTTGGTCGCTTACCATCGCATCGCAGTTTTCTTCTGCGACAGACGACACAGGCGATGCGCTTGGAGCGGGGACCGGTGTTGCTGTCGCCGTAGTTGGCGGCATCCGCCGGGGCGGCGTGATCAGCCATCGACGCTGACTGGGAGAAGGTGACAGATGAGTACTCGGAAGGGTCAACGGCGAACAGGGAGGATGTCGGGTCTGCCATGGCGGGCAGAAGGGGGCGAAGATGTGGGCGCTGGCCGGAGTGATGAGGTCGACGACGGCAGGCTTATCGGTGGGGAGGAACCAGGAAGAAGATCAGCGAGGTTCATGGGATCCTGGTCCATCCAGATAAGGGTGGTGGCAGCGGAGAATGAGAATGAATAATATCACGAGAGGTGGCGTAGTTAGTAAACGGTGAGATAGAGACCCAGTTGGAGTTTCTTAGTCAATGTTCAGGTAAGGCTGGGCTGTCCGCCTTTGATGGTTGTACAGCAGGGTCTGCCATCCTCGACCCCCTATTAACTGAAGATTATTCTTCCGGCCAGTTTGCAATCGGTGGAGAAACTTCCATCGTGTTCTTCAACAATAATAATACGAACACGCACCACACCGTTGCCTGGAGGCTTGGCAGATCGACATGGTCGATCTAACCGAATACGGAGTGCAGTATGCTACAGTGGTGAACTACTAGACAGGAGTGAACTATACCAATAAAGGATCCAAAATAAGGGAGAAAGAGAGTACAGTATAATACAGATATCTAGTTATATCCACGACGACGTTTGCCTTGGTTGCGAGGCCGGGCATGCACCACCGCCTTGTTGATCTTCCACTTCGGGCGAGTTTTGTAGCCGGATTTGGTCTACCAACAGTCAGTCAAAGAATCAAATCCCATACAATGGGGACAACACATACCGGAATACCCCAAGGGCTCTTAGGATCCACATTACCCTTGGACTTGCCACGACCACCACCGTGAGGATGGTCCATCGCGTTCATGGCCAGACCACGAACGGTGGGACGGATGTTGAGCCAGCGCGAGCGGCCTGCCTTGCCAATCTGAGTGTAGTGGTAGTTCGGGTTGCTAGCGACGCCAATGGTGGCACAGCAGTCCTTGTGAATAAGACGAGACTCGCCGCTCTGGAGGCGGATGGTGATGTGAGTGGCCAGACGCTCCTGTCGTTGCCGTTCTCGCTGCGACAGGGGTTTCTTCTCAGCCTCAGCCTCCTCGGGTGCCATCGCCCAGTTCTGCTGCTGCTGCTGCTGCTGTTGTTGAGATTGATCCCCCTTGGCGACGACGGTGGCATGGGTCCCCGCGCTCCGACACAGCTGACCCCCTTTCCCTGGCCGCAGGCCAACATTGAAAATCAAAGTGCCCACGGGAATCATATGGAGGGGGAGACAATTTCCTCTCCAGGCGGTCCGGGCTGCCAGCACACCAGGATCCACGGTGCCACCCATGCTCTTCCAGAGATCTTCCGGGATACCGGACATGTAGCTCTGCACCACGTCGCCCGCGCGCATTCCGTCTGCGGCGATGATGTAGCTCACTTGCTCGGTCTTTTGATTACGGACCAGGGCAATATGCGCCGTCCGGCCGGGGTCATACTCAATGCGCTCCACGAGGTGAGGCCCCGGTGCCATGCGCAAGAAATCGACCGTTCGTATCCGACGTTTGTGACCACCGCCCCGATGGCGAACGGTGATTCTGCCCGAGTTGTTCCGGCCACCTTTGGCGTGGCCGCGCTTGGGGAAGGTCAGCTTGTGGTGAGGGCGGCCTTTCCACAGGTGATCATTGATCGGTCGCCGCAGATGTCGCACACCGGGTGTGCGAGGGGTGTATTTGCGAATCAGAACGCCCGAGTCACCGCGAGTTGGTGGAGGAGCGAATGCGGCCGATTGATCGAAGCTCGGTGTGGCCGGGACGCTCTCTTTGGACTCGACGACGTGGGCGTAGCCGCGAGCGGGAATAGAGGGTAGACTCCTGAACGGCAGCCGAAGACTCCGCAGAGCCAGTCGGGGCTGCAGCATAGTGGTGTAGGTCCGGACGTGAACTGCAATTGACGAACGCACCCGTCGGTGTTGACCCTGATGATGAATGGCAGCAAAAAGTTCAGGACTGAGCCACAGTCACGTGTGTCAGCCACCACCGCCTGTGGCTCTTGTTTGGGTCACCTGACTTTGGCTCTGTTGCCCGGCAACGCCATTGTTGATCGGGTGCACGATCGCGCTGCGCGTATCCATTACGGCACAGAACCTCATACCGCACGTAAGGGTAACGACCACGCCCCGGCATCATTATTGCTGGCATCACGACCATAGGCTCATATCGGTGCACGAGTAGAATAGATATCCAAATTGAAACAGAAATCATCGTCCGCACTGTTTAAATTCCCCCAATTCGTGATTCGGTCGTGTTGTACGCGAGTCTGTACTGGGTGGGCCTCTCGGTCCTGTTTTCCACGCTAAGCCCAGTCTCCCCCCAAACACCTCTCTCTCTCGCCTTCTCGCTTCCCACTCCATCAACATCGTTTTCAAGCTTCCCTCCCTCTCTCCTTCCCTTCCACTTCTTCTTATCTCGTGTTGTCCCTGTGGCTCCGGACTCGACGCGTGTCTCTCTTACTCTTCTCTCCCACAAAATCCCGCTTCTCACGCGCCATTCGGCCTACCAGATCGAGCTCTTCGCGGGTCTTGTCATCGTCAACATCACCGTGTATGTATTGTTGGCGTTAGCCAGTCATACCATCTTCAGCCACTCCAAACGCACTACTCGACACCCTACATTGTAGGTCCGTCGGATTGAACTGCATTTTCACGCGTGGTACGTGCACCTCGACCGTCTCGTCTCTGTGGTGGTCTCTGTGGTATTTGGTCCCCACCGGCCCGTCGACCGGAATGCTGATGAGACTCTCTCCCCGTAGGACAAGAATCATTATATTCCGGTCCCTTTCCTTCTTCCCCCTACGCGTCCTCGTCTCTTCTTTTCTCCTTGGAGTCCAACACAATGCCCCAGGTAAGTCACCCCTCTCTGTCTCGTGTGGGACAACCCACTTTTCACCCATGCAATTTTTTCCTCTTTCCTCTCCCTTCACAACACAACACCCACTGTTATCTGCCCCCAACTAACCCCAATGCAGGCCCGTAGCCTCCGCACCCGAGGCACGATGAATGAGAACGATGAAAACGGGCCTTCGACGCGTCTGACGCGGGCCAAGTCGGCTGCTCTCACTGACAGTGGCGCCACCAAGAAGCCCCTGCAGACCAAGCGGGCGGCCACAACCAACGCCAATGGGCCCCAACGTCGAGCGATGGCTCTCAAGGACGTGAGCAACGTCAACAAGGGTGATGATGCGGAGACCAAGGTTGGAAAGAAGGGCGCTGTCAAGCCTGGCTTGACCTCCAAGGCGACCACTCAGACGGGAGCGGTTCAGAAGCTCAGCCGTACCAACTCGTCACGAGCGGGGCCTCGAGACAATGTTGCCAAGAAGACTACCTCATCCGACATCAAGCGTTCAGGGAGCGGACCCGGTGCCATTGGGAGCACAAAGAAGCGGCCCTCGAGCCAAAAGTCGATCCCGGAGGAACCTGCGCTGGCTGACGAGCCTCCCCGCAAGAAGCTTGACAGCAAGATCCCCCGCGCCCGGGATGAAGAGGTTGTTACAGAGAGCATCGCGTTGGCCCCTGGCGTGATCGACCTGGATACTGAGGACCTGGACGACCCCTTGATGGTTGCTGAATACGTGGTTGAGATCTTTGATTACCTGAAGGACCTCGAGCTGCGGACACTGCCCAATCCCGACTACATCGAGCACCAACCTGACCTGGAATGGAAGATGCGTGGTATCCTGGTTGACTGGCTGATTGAGGTCCACACGCGTTTCCGTCTGCTCCCCGAAACCCTGTTCCTGGCGGTCAACATAATCGACCGTTTCCTGTCGGCCGAGGTGGTGGCTCTGGACCGCCTGCAGCTCGTCGGCGTGACGGCCATGTTCATTGCCTCCAAGTACGAGGAGGTCCTTTCTCCCCACGTTGCCAACTTCAGCCACGTCGCCGATGAGACCTTTTCGGACAAGGAGATCCTGGATGCGGAGCGCCACATCCTGGCAACCCTGCAGTATAACATGAGCTTCCCCAACCCCATGAACTTCCTGCGTCGGATTTCCAAGGCCGACAACTACGACATCCAGACTCGGACTCTGGGCAAGTACCTCATGGAGATCAGCCTTCTCGACCACCGGTTCATGGCCTATCCGCAAAGCCAGATCTCTGGCGCCGCCATGTACCTGGCGCGTCTTATTCTGGAGCGTGGACCCTGGGACGAAACATTGGCCCATTACTCCGGGTACACAGAGGAGGAAATCGACCCTGTCTTCCGCTTGATGGTCGACTATCTCCACCGTCCTGTCTGCCACGAGGCCTTCTTCAAGAAGTATGCCAGCAAGAAATTCCTGAAGGGTGAGTATCCTCTGGTCCCCTCTTTGGTCATAACTAACGCGTCTCGCAGCTTCAATCCTCACGCGTCAATGGGCCAAAAAGTATCACCACTTGTACATTGACAGCTCCCTCTCCGAACCGTACAATTCCATCAAGGACAGCGAACAGTAACGATGCCATTTACGAATGTGATGCTAGCCCTGTCTCTCCGCGATGCTGTCTTTTCACGATATCACCACCCGGCGCTCGCGACATACCCCGAGCAGGGAACCCGTGTTCCTACATATTGTTGGCATTTCATTGTTGCTGGTATCCAGTACCTTCTGCATATTCTTACGATGACTTGATTGAATTTGTGCGCGGTCGCATTTTTTTTTCTTCTTCTGTCCAAGGGGGGTGTTCGGCGCTCAGCCCTACGTGAACGGGGTTTTCTTTTCTGCTTTTCTGTCTTGTGTCTGCATGGGGCGTCTGTGTCTCGCCAGCCCTGATACCTTTTTTTAACTTTCACTTCGTCATTCCTGTTGCGTATGACTGGCGTCGGACTTGTGTTTTCTGTTCGGTTGTTTTCAGGTCGGAATCTTATCTCGTTGCCGCCGTCGAACGTGTGACCTACATGCCTCTGTTTTGGACAATTTTGACCTCTGGTTGGAGCATCGCAGGGCTCATGTGTGTTTGGATTCTTGGAGGAGAGAAAGGGAACAAAACTGTTGGGTTCAAGAGGTTCATATTGGATGTTTCATCTTTCGGGCTCCCCCTTGTGTGGTGTCTCTGGCGGAACAGGCAGGGCCAGCAGTAATGCGTGTTGGGGAGATTCAGTCTTTTGTTTTTGAGTTTTTTATTACTTTCATAGTCGGCTGCGCTGGATTTGAGTGTTTGGCGTAGCTTTGGATACAATTGGGTCTTCACTTCTATCTGTCTTGGTTTGAGTCCATCGTATACTCGTCTGTAGTGCTTGTAGTAGAGGTGTAGTGATTTAGCCGAGGCTCTCCCCATCACCTCCCAACAACGACCAACCTGCAACATACTCGGTCAGCTATAGAATAAACTCCCCCCGACAACGCCTATCTTCTACATCAACTCTCTGTATAACAACGACCATGACCTCCCCATCATGTCCCTTCTGCACAATCGCATCCTCCACCCCACCCATTTCTCCCACCACCGCAGCAGCAGAACCAACACAGCCGAGCACAGCCAGTCCAGTCCCAGCACCAACAACCCACCTGATTCTCTCGACAGAACATGTCCTCGCCTTTCTGGACATCATGCCCCTGACACGCGGCCACGTGCTCGTCACCCCGAGACGGCACTATGAGATGCTGGGCGATGTGAGCGTTGCTGTCGGCCAGGAGGTATGTATAGCTACCGAATCTCACAGATGATCCTGATCTGAGTTGTCTTCTGGGATGGTTGTTGTTCTTGTTTTGCTGTGCCGTCAGAAGACAGAAGAACCTAGTTGCTGATCTGGTCTTGTTCTGTCTAGATGGGGAAATGGCTTCCTATCTTGTCGAGGGTTGTCACCCGGACTGTCTTGGGAGAAGATGCAGAGAAGCATTGGAATGTTGTTCAGAATAACGGTACGTTTTTTATTTAAGTCTATCAGATCATCTGGAGTACATATGAGATGCATACCCTTTTGTTTTCATGCAACACCGAACACCTTATATCATTGGAAGAGATAGATACCACACATCCCTCAATCAGGCTAACACACAATCAATCAATCCAACCAGGCGCCCGCGCCGCCCAACAAGTCCCGCACGTGCATTTCCACATCATCCCTCGTCCCGCCGCGGAGGGTGCTTGGAATCCACGACTGAAACCGAGTTACGCCATGTTTGGCCGCGGCCAGAGAGATGATCTCGATGATGACGAGGGGGCCACTCTGGCGAGTGAGATGAGGGCTGAGCTTGCGCGCGAAGTGCAGAGGGTCTTTGAGGAAGAAGGGGTGGATTTGGATCTGGATGATATGAAGGAGAGAGGGAAGTTGTGAGTTTTGTCTTTTGTCTTTGTCTTTCTTCCTGTGATTGCGACCATTGTTGTATGTGTTTTGGTGCATTTTGGGTGCTCTGTTGGTTGCATGACCTCATCTTCGCTTTGTTTGGTGCGTGTCTATATCTCATGCTGTGGATGGTGAGGAGAGGTCAAGTGGCTGGATCCAATTGGCTCTATCGTGGTTGTTGTTGGCGATGGTCTCTCTCATGGCAATTTTTAGGCCGGTAAAGACTTATTTTCTGTTGAAAAACTATACCAAAAAAGTTAGTTGGTCTGCCAAAGCACAATGCAGTTCGAGTCTATACCTTCCGTCGGAATGCATTGAGATCATCGGCACTCATTCCCAGGCCATCAGCTTTGCTTCGAGCCAATGACACATCAGACACTTCTCCCTCCGGAAGACGACGGTAGGTTATGAGTCGGCGGGACCCTAGAAACAAAATCAGCGCTGTAGAAGACCAAGAAATTTTGGGGCATACAGTTATTAAACGGCTGAACAGAAACACTGAGCACCTCCAGATTCGGATGCATGGGAATCGGGAACTCGACGTCTTCGTCGTTGGCAGTTGGCATCCACATCGACAGACGGCCGTCGTTGACTAGAGTCTGTGCAGCAAAGTCCAAGATATCATTCTGCAGTGCCTCAAACCCGTACGGCTTTTTGGGAGCGATGTATCCCGGACGACTGGTGCAACACCGTTCGTCAGCTTCGCCATACCACAGAAAGAAATCCAGGAGGGAAAAAACCTACTAGTGAGCAGGAACACCATCGATATAAACGGGTTGCTTGCCGCGCCCATCTTTCATTCCCAAAACCCTCAGCCCTTCACGAACGCCATACGGCGGATCACAAACAACTCCATCGAGGAACTGCGCCCTACGCAGCGGGCTATTCGTAAGATCCGAAATGAACGCGTCGACAAACTGGCTCATGAGCCCATACTGCCGATAGTTCTGCAGCAGGCACATTTCATCCTTGCGCTCGCCCGCCTTCCCGCGGAACGCACGACCATCGATATCCGATCCCAGCGTGAGAGCCCCGAAATGCGCAGCGGAGACTATAAAGCTGCCTGTTCCGACGAACGGATCGAAAAAGAGCTTCCCCGGCGCGGCGTGCGCCATATTCGCCGTGACTAGACTCAACTCTGCGTCCATGGAGGTCGTACTGATGTATTTTCGCTTCTTCAAGTCATACTTGTCAACGGCGCTGCGATTCCCCTCCGCGATCTTGCGGCCTAGATATATCTTCCTCGGTTCAGGAGATTGTGATATGTCCTCAACTGCGGCGGCTTCCACGTCAGACACGTACTCCTCCATCACCCACCACTGCTGATCCGGATTCTTGAGCCGGATCGGGCCCGTGAAGCCGACATAGGAGAATGACTTGATAATTTCCATCTTGGCGGAATGACTCCGTTTTCCGGCGAAGCACTCGACGTAGAATGCAAAGGGGTGTCTTTTGGTACTGGGTCCACAGATGCGGCGTCCGGCGCCGCACGTCGGCGTGCACCTCGTCATAGGTGCTGCCTTGTCCCCAGAGCTCGTATATGTCTTTGGAAAGAATGCTGCGCGGGATTAGAGCCCGCGCAGCTGCTTCGTCTTTTAGTTTGACGATGCAGTATGGTGCCTGTGTGGACTGTCTTAACACGGTTCTGGTTCAGGAAATACATAACCAAAGTGCGAAGGGGCATAAATGGGAACTCAATGTTTGGATCCAGATAATGGACAGGAAATATCGATGAGATCTATCATACGTACGTAGTCATTGTAGGAGATGACCTCCAGGTCGATGCCGGCGAGAGTGGCCAGGGCCTGGATTTCTGGTAGACGAAAGGATTCGTGCTGCTGCGCGAACCGGATCAGATACTCCATCCTGATCGAGATTCTCTTTTGGTAGGTATATTTCTTGTGTTTTGTGGGTTTGTGTTGGCTCAGGTAACCGGGTCAAGCATTGCTGGCGGGGTGTGGTGAGGTTGAAGTTTTTTGACTTTATTTTTCATCTTCCGGATCAGACAGATTCTGGCAGCGCTCGCTTGGTTGACACGGCGTGGACTACTTTATTTTCTCTTAATGAAATGACCTTTAATTTAATGAGCTTAACAATAATATTTATGCTTACCGGGTGGATCGGATTTGTATTTATTGGCTGTCTACGGAGCCTGTCGACGAGCCTACCTATTACTACTACTACTACTACTACTACGAAAGAACAGCACCAGACCAATAATCAAGAGTTTGACTCAACAGCCAAATCTATAAATACTCATGTCCAGAAATTCCTCAGTCCAAAGAGAATAAGAAAATACCCACCGCAGTGTTCCATAAACCTATGCGCCATCCCATACACAGGGAAAAAAAAGTGAGGGCAATCCAGAGAACAAGTAAACTCCACCGCTATGCGCCAACTACCCGAAACATATGTCGTGACTCGTATCCCTCAACGGGAGTGACTTCTACTCTCTCATCGGCGGGTATCATATGGTGCTGCAAATCCCAGCCGGCTCGGCGGCAGAGCTCCGATACGACTACGTCGCAGTCACCCAGGAGGTCAATGTCGAAGCCGGTGTGCGACACAGGCTGGAGCGAATTAGTCTAAGCGCACAGTTGAGAGAGGGGATGAATGGGCGTACCGTGCGCGAGATATAGATCTGGGGCACATTGCGCGGCAGGATCCCGGGCACTTCTGCGACGGGGGCTACCTTTAACGAGGTGCCGATCACGATGACCAAATCGGCGAGTTCGCGATCGTGGTGCAGGAGACGACGACCGAACTCGTCGGGGAGATCTTCGCCAAAGAACGTGATATCGGGCTGCAGCGGAGGGTCAGTAAGCATGGGATGCAAATTTCAGAAGAGGTAGTTATCGCCAACCTTCATTACCCCCGGAGTCGGGATCTCATAATCCTCCTCATCCGAGCTGTCATCGGAATCCTTGCGGCTCTTTTGCTGCCCATTGGCACTCCGCTTGCGCTTTAGCCCCTGAGGCTTCAATGCATCCTCCGCGATTCTCTTTTGACAGGCGGTGCATTCCGGGATAGCACCGTCCTTGATATCGTTAAAGATCGCATCGCCCGAGACCTTGAAATTGCATTTCATACATGTTGCCGTCGCAAAGGATCCGTGACACTGTACAATCTTCTCGGGCAGAACGCCCGCGTTGGCCTCGATATTGTCGATGTTCTGGGTATAGTTGGTCAACAACTTGCCCTTATCCTGGAGCAGCCGGATAAAGCCATGGGTAGGCGAGTATTTCTTTTCCGTGGGCAGGATATCCTTGGCAATCGAGAAGAAGATGCTGGGATCTTCGCGGAAGATATGGATATCAAACACCTCTTGCGGGTCACTCAGGCCCAGATGTTCGAGCCGCGAGTAGAGGCCTGTATCCTTCGACCGAAAGTCCGGTATCCCCAGACTCGTGGAGATGCCCGCGCCGGTCAACACGATGACATTTTTGGACTCCCGAAGCAGCCTCACAGCGTCGTCGATCGTATTATACTGGGGCAGCTTCGGCCGCCGGGAAAATTCCCGAGAAATGGCAATCGCCAGAAGAGGGTGGAAGGCCTCGTCTGGCGCTCCGTCTAGGAAGGCCGGCGGTATAATGCCAAATGCCGTGCACAGCTTTTTGGCTGTCACGGTTTCTCGGGCGATGGTCTCCTCCACGAAGGCCGCCTTGCCGATCGCATGCAAGCGCTGGCGATACGCCGCTGCTTCTTCGAGGGTACATGCACCGGGGACTAATATCAGAGAACCGGATAGTTAGCTTGGGCGTGTCTCCGCCAAAGCGGGGGTCAAGGGAATGATGAGAACGAGACACAGAACATACCGAGCCCATCGCGAAGCTGATCATCGCGCAGCAACTGGATCGCATCGTCGGCGTTGGACAGCGTCTCCCAGGCATCGGAGTCGTCGCTGTCCGTGTCCAACTCGGACGAGAACCCCGCGTCTTGGGCCGCAACGGCATCGGCGGCCATGTCGACGGTCTCGATCTCGACGACCGGGGACTTGAGCGCCTCGCTGGGCTCAGTGGGCGCCGGTAACAAGTCCATTGCTGAGGAAGTCGAGAGGGTCCAGGGTCTTCGTTGCTCATAAATTTGTATGGGATTCGGGGGTGCATTTATCCGGGCCGAGGCAAGTGGCGACTCCGAAGTATACAGGGGTATACAGGAAGGGACTGCCGGTATACAGTATGCTAATAGCTAGAGAAGATCAAAAGGGAAAAAATAGTATTTCTATCTATGGTATCCTTGTTTTATGAGTCTGCCATCTCGTGGTCCTCGTCCGACTCAACATCCTCATCATCCCATTCCTCATCGTCTCCTTCGTCCTCGCCCTCACTGTCATCCATATCCTCCCCAAGCTCCTTATTCATCTCCTGCACCAGCTCCATCGCATGATCACGTAGCGGCTCATCCTCGTACTCCAATAGTGCGTAAAGCTTCAGACTCTGCATGAGCCATTCGCGGCTCGCAACCAGCGACGCATGCCGCGGGTTCTCCGCGTCTTCAGCATCGGCATCCCTGGGAGCCTGTTGCTTCTCCGCCAGCAGATACAGGCACCAGCCGCCCAGATACCACGCCTCCACACTCTGGTCATCCTCCAGAATCAACCGTTCAAGGACCTCCAGGGCCTCCATCTCCAGCGTCACCTCCATCAACAGCCGGGCCAAACTAATGCGCACGGCAAAGTCGGGCACGTTAGGGTCTTCTGGGGGGAGGTCTTTCCATAGCTCGATACTCCGTGTGAGCGCTGCTTGTGCGTCTTCGGTTCGTAGCTGTGATATCCGGATCGAGGCGAGGGTCTGCAGCACTTCTGGGGCGTCGGGCGTCACGAGGAGAGCCTCAGTGATGAGGGAATCGCAGCGCGATTCTGCGTCTTCTTCCCATCTAGAACAAATGTTAGTTTGACCAAATAAAAAGAAATAAAACGAAGCACGAGAGAAGCACATACGAAAGATCAGTCATGTAGATCTCCGACACGGCGCAGAGGGCATTCGCCAGTTTTGTCTTCTTTTCTTGAGCGTTCGCAGCCTCTGCTGGTGTTGTTTTCCCATCTTCTAAGGATTGCAGAGTCTGTCGGAGGGACGACACGCCCTTCTCAAACCACTGCACGCTATCCTTGCCACCCTCCTCGCTCAATTGAGCCAGCCAGAGGAATTTCTCTGCTCCTCCACCCTCCGCCTCGGATATTGAGCCATTGGGGTCCAGTTCGACCGCGCGCAGAAAGTGCTGGCGCGCTGTATCGATCTCGCCCAGCTCCACGTTAATCTCTCCCAGTAGGTTGACGGCCAGTCGTTGCGCTGCACTGTCCGCCGGCGCCAGATCCAGCGCCTGCTGTGCGACCTCGACTGCTGCCTCGGCCTGACCGGTTTGCAGCAGCACGCTGGCCTGGTCGAGTAATGTGGAGGGGTCGGGGTTGCTCATGGTGTTTTTGGAGACGGAGCCACCGGGGCTGAGGACGGATTGCGGGCGGGACAACTTGTTCTTCTTCTTCTGGATCTTGGGTTTTCCCATTGCCGAGTATCTGAGAATTGTGTAGAGAGGAAGAAGAAGAAGACGCGATAAGAAAAAAAGTTGAAGCTGGCGATTGATCTGTTTGACTGGTTTGCATGTGGGACCCTCTTCCTATCGATCCAGGAATTAACTACGTACTTGTCTCTCTCCGTACTTCCCTTTCCCTCCTCTAAGTCGGGCGCATACTCAGAAAAAATGGGCCGCGAGGACCAGGCCGAGGAGCGCGAGGTCCTGGACTCGATCTTCCCCGACGAGATCACAGGTGAGTTTTGTTCTGGGTCTGGTTATTTCTTGATTTCGCTCGCGCTGACCGAAAACCCGCGGGCAGATGTGTCCGAGCATGCATACAGAGTATCGATCAGTCTAGATCCGCCTGAGTTCGATGGCGAAGAGGCCGAGCAGCCCGTGATATACCTGGAGGTATCCTACCCAGAAGACTACCCGGACGTGGCACCAGACCTCAACATCTCCGCGCCGCCCAATGCCCCCAAGAACGACCGGATAGACGTCCAGGAAGACCGCGAGCGGCTCCTGGAGGCACTACAAGAAACCATCGAAGAGAACATGGGCATGGCCATGGTGTTTACGCTTGTGAGCGCGCTGAAAGAGAGCGCCGAGCTCCTCATGTCCGAGCGGGCGAACGCCGTCCGGGCCTTGCAGCAGATGGCTGCTGCGCAGGCGGAGGAGGAAGAGAACCGCAAGTTCCAGGGGACGCCGGTTAATCGGGAGACGTTTTTGGAGTGGAACGCACGGTTTAAGCAGGAGATGGAAGATGAGGAGCAGCGGAAGCGTGAGGAGAAGGAGGTCGAGGATAAAAAGAAGAAGGCGTCGGCGAGAGAGGAGAAGAAGTTGACGGGCCGGCAGTTGTGGGAGCGTGGGTTGGCTGGGAAGGCTGATTATGATGAGGAGGAGGACGAGGAGACGGTGTCGGCTGGTGTTGACAAGCTTAAAGTGGCTTCGTGAAAGACCATCCATAGACATGTTTATACGACCCATTCCATTACCCTCTATGAAGATATTCTTTTATTGATGTGTTGTTACGCCTCAGTATAATACAGGATATGGTACATCGACCAGGTGAGAGGAGACGAGGCCAGGTCGATGGGTCTTGGGGGGCATTGCACCCGCTGAATATGAAAGTTGCCCGTAAATGGGCATGATGGTGGTACTGAACATGATCGAGCGGCTCATCATGATCATTGGTGTATGATGCGACTGTTCTTCAATCACGACATGAGCAGTCAGCTCGGCGCTGTCAAAGACAGACGAGGGTAAACAACTTGTCGACAATATCTTACCTTTACTTTGTTTTGTCGAGAGGAGTGTCCTCGCAATGCGCCCACTCCGTAGCTTGGCCATGTATGGCCCATTGGTCCAGAAGTCTGTATCGGTGCGTGCTTAGCCAGGTGTAAAGCCCAGGTGCTTCACTTTCCTCCTCCATGTCCCTTGAAAGTCGAGACTAGAAGTTCATCCATCTTGGATCTGACCGTTGATCACACTGCCCTGATGCACTCGTTGCATGCTGACAAGACATGAAAATGACTCGTAGCGGCGTCGAAGGCTCCGGTAAAGACTCATCGCGGAAGCAGGTGGTGCTAGCATAGCAGTCCGCGGCGAATTGGCGGATCTCTCAAAAGCCGGGGAGACTATCTCTCGGACTGTCGTTCTCTCTCCTCTTTCTCCGCCAACTCGCGTTCTGCCAACACGATCTGCCACATCTTCTCCGCCATCTCCTTGTTCTTCATATCCTCATTTTTTGTCTTCTCCTTGACATCCCTAAACGCCGTGTAAAGCTCCTCAGTCCACCGGACCGAGTCTTCCATGTTGGTAATATCATCCCAAACGTCTTCATCCCCTGCGAACAGGAGCTCCACCTGTAATCGGTCCCGCCGATCAATCCATTTCTGACGCCTGTCGAGCTTGTTCCGAATCACCCCGCTAAGATTCCTCGGCTGCGGTTTCTTGAAGCGCAAAAACGGGACTCCGCGTGCACTGACGAGAACGGGGACACGGCGCTTCCCGCTCACGACCGGTCGAGGACGCAAGAAAATCGATTCGGCATCTGGATGCCTACGGGTGGTTTCATTTTGCTTGCGGATCCGCTCTTGCTTCTGGATCTGTTTCGGGCCTAGCTGTTTCGGCGGCTGTGATTCTGCCAGCTCCCTCTGCCTCGCGACATACTCGGCTCGGAAGGCCTTGAATTTTGCGAGAATTGTGGTAATTCGGTCTTCGTCGTGCTTATTTCCTTTGCATGCGGAGTGGAGGAGATCCAGCGTCTGACAAGAGATATGTTAGCCATAGGCCGTGGAATCATCACTCGGAGGGGCGTACTGAGTAGCCTGTCTTCAGGGCGTTCCTTGTCTGTGAGGGACTATTAAGGCCCTGATATTGCCGAAACTTCTGCCGCATCAGGGACTTGGCTTCCCCCAGCCATGGCGCGTTACCGACGGAGGGCGAGCATTGTCGCAGAAGTGCTCGGTATAGAGCCCGACCTGGCAAAACAAGGTGGTCAGCTCAATTCCAGACAATGTCACGGTCAATTAAGGCATACAAGCAAAGCGATGCACCCCCGACCGCTTCGGGACCAACACCTTATGCATCCCGGGGTGTTGCAGAGTCGAAGAGAGCAGGCCATGTGATCGTCAGAGAAACAGAATGGTCACGTGATAACCCGTATACTTCACAGCAGATTGGAAATGATGATACGATGGTTGCATGGAAATAAATAATGTTACATAGGATAGCAATAAATGAGTTGAACAACTGGAATTGGGGCTTTCAGGAGAACCCGCGCCGACGCTTGCTGTCATGCAGGACTGTACACGCTCTAGTAGGATCATGGATAAGGGAACAAGCAAAGAGAAAACAAAACAAAGCCGACCGTCATACTCCGGAACTTTTCCCTGGATTGGTTTTATATAGGAAATTCAGGGCTCAAAAGTTCGAGCCTTCCGGAGGCTGCGGCAGTTTCTTGTTGTTGCCCATGGCCATGTACCTATCGAACCATTAGTCTTGAGAGGAGACTCGGGAGCTTGTGGCATGTACCGTCGGAGCTCAATCAGGACAATTTCCATGTTGTAGTCGCGCTTCCATTGAGCGAGGCAGGGAAGTTTTGCGGGATCGACCTAGGGAAATCAATCCTCAGTAATGATCTTCTTCTTGTGTATCTGCTAACATCCTGCTCGTACCTTGCCACTCTGAGGATCGACGCAGGGCAGATTGACGCGAGAAACAAATTGGATGGTCGGAGGGTGGTCAGGGTAGTCAGGTCCGCAGTGGATGTTGACACTGTATATCCGGTTCTCGTGCACGCTCTGAGCCGGGGGTATTGAGTCAGTTTGGGAGTCAGAGAATAGGTGCAAGAAGGGACGAACGTGAGGCGGGCCGAGGATAGTGCCATTCCAGTTGCTCATCATCATGTCCTCTCCATCCGCAAGACCATAAGAGCACGCCTCTAGAATCCAAAGTTAGCGGACTCGGCCGAATCCCACGCGGGTTCCTGCTGGATGGCCGAACCTGCACCCAATCCTTTCTCGCCCTTCTCCAGCTCCTCCAGGAGTCTGAAATTTCTTGGTATTTTGGCCGACATGATGTGTGCACCAAAGTGAGTAGGTTGCGTCGAGTAGCAGGAAGAAGGAAGAAAGCAAGCATGAAGGAGGGGCTGAGATCCATTAGTCACTCTGGGTCACGTGCGATAAGTGCACGCTTATCGAGAAGCCACTGGATCATTTGTTGTTGATGGACACGGAGACTCTCCAGCATGCAGTGGCCATGTCCTCCCAATTCTTGCAGACGGAGCTGGCAAACCTCGTCCAGGAGTCCAGGAGAAAGAATGCCGACCTGCGAAATGTTGGTTATCCCCTGCCCGTCACTCTGGATTGCATACTAACCCCCGAGGAACCCAGGCTGCCGAGCAGTCGCTCAATGAGCTAAAGGCACTGCCTTCCACTTCGGAGGCTCAGATATCCGCAGGTGTGTGCATCCATGTCTGTTCTGAAGTTATTCGGCAGCTAACAAGCACCTAGATCTGGCTCGCCGGCCAACCTTCGTCGACCCGTTCATCATTGCCTGCCATACGCGCCATGCGAAGCTTGCGGGAATTGGCGTCATCTGTCTGCAGCGATTGATAGCGTCTCGATCGTTGCCGTCGGCCCGTTTGAAAGATGTCCTTGAAGGGCTCAAGGATACGACGAACCTAAGTAAGCGTGCTTGAATGTGGCCGACTTCCGTGATAGCTTCTGACGCTACCTCAGGCCTCGACATCCAGTTGAAGATTCTACAATCCTTGCCGTCTATCTTGCAGTTTTACTCCACTGACCTCAGTGGGGAGCTTCTCGCCAGCACATTGGAAATATGTGCGACCTTACAAGCCAGTAAACCCCTTTCAGTCTCCAGCACCGCGGCTGCCACGCTCCAGCAGCTGGTGGTATCAATATTCGAACGAGTTTCAACCGAAGACAACGTTTCCGATGATTCCAAAGCCACCACAACCGTCAAGGTGAATGGCAACTCGATCGAGGTGGCACAGTTTGCATTTGATGCTTTACAGGTTCTAGACGATCTTTGTCGTCTTATCGATGGTGACCAATTACGGTTTCTGCGCATCAAAAGCTTGTCGGTAGCTTTTGTACTCGAGTTGATCGAGAGTATTATCACCAACAGTGGACGCCTGTTTGTCGGACACCCTGAGCTGTCTCAAGTCCTGCGTGTTCGGTTTATTCCACTGGCTATCCGATATCTCTCCGAGAGACATCCCTTTGCTCAGACTATTCGAGTCGCCCGGATCCTCCTCGTGATTCTCAGGCGCCACATGTCTCTTTTGACAGCGGAGTGCGAGATGGTGCTGGGCCTGCTGATACATCTCCTCGAGCCCGATGGGACCACTCCCTGGAAACGAGTGCTGTGCATGGAAGTCTTCCGAGGACTGTACGCAGAGCCAGGAGTCGTGCGACAAATTTATTCATTGTACGATGGAGTCGAAGGCCGAAAGAATGTCCTTCGCGATCACATGGCTGCGCTTGTTAAGCTGGCTTCAGAGAAGCCCTCCTTGATCGGTGTCAGCAATCAGTCAACGGTTCCCACACGAGCCGACCACTCAAGATCAGCCACCGAGGACCAGATTACTCTTGAGACAGGTGGCGTTACCGGTGTCATCGGGACGACAGCGCCAGCGAACGAGACAAGCGTGTCCGGTATCAGCACCCAATGGAGTGTGCCTCGCACTGCATATATAGAACATCTCGACAAATCGGAACCGCCACTGCCTCCGGACACCTATGTCTATAGCCTTGTCCTAAACTGTATCAGCAATTTCGCGGAAGGCCTTGCCAAGTTTATCCTGCCCCTGACAGTTCCGGATTCAAAGCAAAAGCGCAAAAACCGACTCCTGAGTCCTGACCAAGGACCCGAATCTGCCAGATCATCCCAGGAGCTTTCCAGGGCTGATTCTTGGAGAGTGCAGTCCAACACACGGTCTAAAAAACCACCTGTCCCAGTCAATCCTCTTGATTTGCAGTCGCACACTCAATTTTCTGCCATCAAGACTTGCGCCTCAATAATTGATCATTGCTGGCCTGCGGTGCTGGCGGCTTGCTCCACATTTTTACATGCGTCATTGGACGATGAGTATTACCATAACCTCGTCCGCGCCTTCCAGAAGCTGGCACATGTCGCCGGTCTGCTCAGACTTTCTGTGCCCCGGGATGCTTTTCTAACAACTCTTGGGAAAGCGGCTATGCCTGCGAGTGTTGGCGGCCCAAAGTCGCAAGCTCCTGGGACTCCCTCCCCTTCTGGCTCGCAGCAAAACGATAGCCCTCAGAGGAGACGAAAGAGCTCAGATCTGTCGCGTATCAACTCGACTCCAGCAGATTCTCCGCTAACTTCATCAATGGAAGGGCCCTCGGTGACCTTGAGTACAAGGAATCTTCTTTGCCTTCGGGCTTTACTCAATCTGGGGATCGCCTTGGGTCCAACTTTAGACCAGCCGGCCTGGTCAATTCTCCTCGAGACATTACAGTACAGTGGACTGGTAATTGGCATGTCCACGAGTGCAATGGTCAAATCGGCCAGCGGCTCTGGGGAATCTGCCCCAGTTCCCGGGAATGATGTGCCCACTGCTAATCTCGGGGCAGAGGTCATTGCAGTTCAGGCAGCATCCACAAAGATGTTCGAAAGCACTAGCGACTATCCTAGTGCCTCCTTCAAGGAGATTCTGCTTGCCCTGTTGAAACTCTCTGCATTCACTGAGCAAGACGAGCCGCAAGAGATGGCACAGAAGGCGTCGGACTCTCCCGAGTCGCCTCAGTCCACCCGAAAAGCTGGTCGCTTGCATCAAACCGCCCGGCGTGTATCACACACGGTAGGCAGATCAAGGATGCAAGATGAGGAGCTAAAGTTCGTTCTGGAGAAAGGAAATGAGCTAGCCAAGGCAAATCTTGAGAGACTATCCTCGCTCGACGAAGAGGATAGTGCAGCGTGGCAACTTTTGACTCAAAGCCTCATTTCCATCTCGGTAAATACGGCAATTAGCCCCAACCTCCGCCTGCAGGCCAGTGGGATCTTGAACTCGCTCGTGTTCTTGACCATGAAACCAGGAGACGGAGCAGACCCGACGGTCCAGAACAAGATTCAAATGAGAAACTTGCAGACGCTCAAGGATCAGGTTGCCTCGCTTTATACATCACATTCGTCTTCGGCCAAATCTCTTCCAGTCACCGTCGTCGAGATCCACGAACATAGCCTGGAAGTGCTGGGGAGTATCCTGGAACAATATGCAGAGACTTTGGTGGATGGTTGGGGTCTTATCTTCGACCTGATTTCTGGTGTCTTCTACAGTGATCTTGAAACTGGTCAACCAACTACGGCTACGGCACGCAAAGCATCTGCTCTACCGGCCGGCCCTCGTCTGGTCCGAGCTGCCTATAAATCACTACAGCTGGTCGCCTCTGACTTCCTTTCTCTACTTCCGGCGCCTTGTCTCCTCAGTCTCGTGAACTCCTTCTCTAGTTTTGCATCACAGACCCAAGATTTCAACATCTCTCTCACCACCACCTCTTTCTTCTGGAATGTATCCGATTTTCTCCAGGGGCAAATCGAGCGATTCTCCATCGAGAGCCATGTTGATGCCTCCGTCAGTGAAGAAGAGCTAGCCAAATTGGCAGGGGGCGAGGAACCATCCGTTTCACGGAATTCACTCTGGCTGCTGTTGTTGCTGCGTATCGTTGATATCTCGACAGATAGCAGGCCAGAGATCCGAAACAGTGCGATTCATACATTATTAAGGATCTTCGATGCTTATGGACAGCAGCTTTCCCCGAAGGCCTGGCGTCTGTGTCTCAACAGAGTGCTCTTCCGGATGGTTGAGGAAGTCGAGAATACACTCTTCCAGTTCAAGGACAAACAAGATGGCCTGAAAGGCGAGGACCTCAAGTCGTGGGTGGAAACGACTGTCGTGATGATCAAGGGGGTTTCGAGTCTGATGACGAATTTCTTTGAAGTCATCGTTCGCGATGACAAATTCGATCATTCCTGGAACCGGCTTCTGAAATATCTCCAGGCGTTAGTCGATCTGCATCTGCTAGAATTCAGCGAAGCAACGTTCTCCAGTCTCTCGGAGATTCTTCTCAGGGTGCAAGATACGATCAGCAAAGATGCCCTTCAAAGTGCGTGGCGCCTCTGGGCGGATGGTCACCCTGCCGAAGACCAAGCCATGCTGGAGCTCGACCAACCCAACCAAGATGCCGCAATGGCCTACTTGCGTACTTTCCAGCAGATCTACCGTCTTTACAAATTTCATCTAGATGCGGAGCACATCGAGAAGGTGCTTCAGCATCTGCGTCTGCTCATCTGGAACTCTGTTTGCCCGCGCTACTCTCCAGACGTCGATCGCCCCTCGGCCGTGCAAGAACTGGTGATGGAATGCATCAAAACCCTCTGTCGGGAAAAACACGACTCGCAGCCAGCAATCCTGTTGTGTCTGGCCGATCTGTCCGATTCGGCGCTCTCGAAATGGAGCCTCGGGGCAGACAGCAGGCGGCCAGCTTTTGTGGCATTCTCCAAAAACGCCATCGATCTCATCAGCTGGTACATCACCGAGTTTGGCATCAAGAAGGACATCTTCTCCAATGGCGCACTTGCAACGGCTCTCGAACGCCTCAGCGCCCCAATCATGCAGAAGTACATGTGGCAAGGAAAAGACCGCGAACCTTTCCTCTGGCAAAAGGCCACAACTACATCTTTGAATGTCCTGCAAGTTGCAGTCCCCTACGTGGAAAAGCAGTACACCGAAGCCAACCAACACGAGACATCCCGATTCTGGCAGTGTGTCGTCGATATCACCCATGGCATCGTGTCAGCTCGCGGCTTCCAGATGCAGCAATTGTCGAGCACGCGTATTCTGGCCGACCAGTCCTTCGACATCTCCGCCTTCATTCGGCTGAAGACACTCATCCTCCCATCCCTAGGCGCCCCCGCCATCCCAGACTCGATCCGACGCGACTTTGCCTGCGCACTCTTCCACTCCTCTTTCATTTACGCCCCGCAACGCTTCGACCTCCCCGCCTCACGCATCGAGGAAGCGCCTCTAAAGGACTTCTACACCATCCGTCCAGGGCGCACCTTCGATCAGCCTCCAACGCTGCGCCCGAAGATCGCCTACGTCCTCATCGATACCCTCTTCGAGCTCGCCTCCAGCCCCCATGACAAGAACCCCAATGAGCCCTCCCCGCACACTCTCCTCGCCCGCTCCATCTCTCCCTATCTTCTCCTCCGCTGCGCCATCTCGCTCAAATCCTACATCGCAGACCAACCACTGCGCGGTCTAATGCCGCAGCCCACGCCAGCGCGCAAGGCCCTCTTACATCTTTTGCTGCATATGGTCCAGTTAAGGAGTGAGCCGTCTGCTATCCCGGACCCGCCTGCCATCCAGACTGTCTCTGTCGTAGCGTCAAGCGCCAAGACGAGGGGTTCTACGTCTGCGCAACATTCCCGTCGACACCTTGAATGGCTGTATCCGCTGGTCGTTGGAGCGGTGCAGGTCGCTGGCAAAGAGCGTGATGATGGGCAGGTTCTTCAAGCTTTGGGGAAGGTGTTGCAGGAGCTTGGCCTAGTCGAGGACGAGGATGTGTAGGGACGGACAAGCAAGCTAGGGCTGGCTTCATTATTTCAACGATAAATAGCCTGGAGTTGGATTTTCGCTCTTTCTCTCTCCTCTACTTTTGAAGATAAACTTATCTCTTTACGTGTGTACTAGCATTGAAGAATTGTCTGAATGATGAAAGAAAAGTATTGGCAAGGTGAAAAAGCTATTTCGACGCGCAAGTAAACACAAAACAAAGACAGTAGGTTGGTAGACTACAAGGTGATATCATGACATGACCGTGACAGGAAGGAGAGGGGCCTTGTTTCAAGGAAGGGGAGATTGATGGGTATTGAACAGAGCAAGCCAGCTCCAAGGCGATGAAGGCCTAGTGTACATCCATACATTGCACCACACTGGGCAAACTATGCCGCCGGCGCGGAGACAGTCTGGTTTGCACTTGGCTGCGGCGTAGCAACTGGGACTGATGGTTCTCTACCCGGCCCTGCAGTGGCAGATCCCGGGGGCAGAGCCTGCTGCTGCTGCGCTTGCTCGAGCAGGACTTGTTGTTGGATCTGTTGCTGCTGGGCGATCTGGGGTGTGGCGGCAATCTCGGGCGCTTGGCGGTAGAGCGCGATTTCGGATTGTTTAAAGTATCGGCGAGCATCTGTAGGAGTGGTGGAGTCATGTCAGTCACTATCACAGTGGAACGATGTAAATGATGCGTAATCGTACCTTCGTCGATCAGCACCAGGCTAAGGTAGTATCTCGTGGAGTACTTCTTGTTCACATCGCGGAATGTCGGGGTCAGGTCGAACCCGCCGAGGAACAGGCGGATAGGAATCGTTTCGCCTGCAAATGGTTAGCCCCGATAATCCGGAGAAATACTTAGGGTCGTTAGTTTGACACTCACCTCGTGAAGGCGACCCGTCCATAATCTGTAGATATCCGTATCAGCAACTGCTAGCAACAATAGGCAACCAAGCCACGATTCACATACCTCAAAGCGCACCAGAGTCTCACTCTCATTGTATTGATTCGGCGGCGACCCCGTTGTCTCGCGTCGAATAATGGACAGCTCCATATGCTTGATCTTCAGGCGCACGAGCAGGAAATAGATGCGGCCGACGATGACGTCCTTGAGATGGTACTTGGACTTGGAGTATTCAAACTCAATGTGCAGACAATCTTCGATGCCGACATCCATCTTGATGGGGCTGTTGGTCTCGGGCGGCATGCGATACGAATACACCCACAGGTCCTTCTCACGGATGACGTCCTGCATTCGTCGGGACACGGTCACCCGCACGAAGTAGCGCAGCTTGACATTGATGCCATTGTAGGACTCGTACTGCTTCTCGACATTCTTGAAGTTGAAGGGGAAGTTTTGCGGGTGGAGGAGTTCGCCGGGCGCTGCGAGCTCTTGGACGAGCGAGAGGAATTCGTAGTGATTGCCGCGGTCGTAGAACATCTCTGTGTGAATTAAACAGTTAGTTTCACAACATATACTCCTAGATACTGATGGGACATACCGATCGTGCCGATGAACTGCACCTTGATGCCAGTGTGCTCCAATCGCTTGCCATCCTTCGGTCTGATGGTCACCACGCCCTTAACGGACTCGCCGTCCATGTACAGCGGGACGCGCTCGCGGCGGTCCTTGTCGAGCTTGACATCGACGGATTGGCGCTCATCGAGATCTTCAAGGACAATGTCGATATCGACCGGGGTGGAGAAGAAGAGGGACGCCATGGTGCGAGCCCGAGTGGGTTGATGAGTGGCATGTAGCTAGCTCGGAGTGACGCCTGGTGCTGGGGTAAGGTACGGGCGGGCGGATCTGGGATATAATGGTTCATGGCGGTGAGGGAAGCAACAATCACCGGTTGTAGTTCAGTTGGTTTAGAGCGTCAGACTGTAATGGAAACATAATATCTGAAAGTCGGCGGTTCAACTCCGCCCAACCGGAATTTTTTTTTTGGAGATTATTTTTTTCTGTCTCACTAGATGCTAATGGCAGAGGACGAATTTGTTTTTAGGCATCTGTCTGTCTGTACTTGATGTCTGAGTGCCGCGGGTTAGAAAAGCAAGTGCTACACATTATCTGCGTGATGTGAATATATATTTCTGGTCCCAATGTTCATTCGTGTCAGTTGCTTTCAAAGATCCCACTCCGGTTATTAATATTATTCAAATCACGAGAAGCATACACATCCTTGCTAATACTTCCACTACATAATGCACCACTCTTCTTTATAGTGACCGCGTCCGGACTCGAATGCGATGCGAGCCAATTGACTTGCTATGTACTGAAAACTTCCTTCCCCCCCCCCCTTTTCTTTCCTTTGCATAGCAGAAATAGAATGCTCAAAGCTCTCACATATGCCAGCCAGGTTATTATTAGGTTTGCTGATGCTGAGCGGGTATTTAAGGTTGTCAGTGGTAGTAGTTGAGACAACAACGCACTGATCTCTGACGGTCTAGTCTAATTGCAATAGAGTCCCATTTCAATCGAGTCTCTATTGTCATCAAGGAAACCGGTTGTAGTTCAGTTGGTTTAGAGCGTCAGACTGTAATTGAAACATGGTATCTGAAAGTCGGCGGTTCGACTCCGCCCAACCGGAATTTTTTTTATTCTTTATTTGACGGTAATCCACACACGCCCATGTAATAATAATATACCAATTATTTTCTCTCTTTATACTACTTTTTCTTTCTTTCTGAATACGACGAATCACGCAATCCGGAATAACTTGCCCGTAAATACATCTCGTAACTAAGATTGCCTATGGAGGCCTGCTAAAAGAGTCGACAAGTAATACAGAGGCTTTGATTAATACTGGTACAAGATGAATTAAACTTGACTCATTATTGTAGCAAAAGAAACAAACACTTAATACTACATAGAACCACCAATGGGAGGAAGGTTCAGAACCTATCTGTTTGTTTGTCGGTTGCATCATAAGCACTAAGGGTCGTCGGCCTCCCTTAGTGCTTATGATGCAACCAACGACCATCCAACGACCGTATCGACCGACCAATCGAAGCAACGAGGATGTGTGGTTTGCCAATTTGCCAAACAAGTCAATCTTCCGAACCCGAACCACAAACCATTGCAAACGCAACGAGAGCTATATATAATTGCGGATATCCCATCTCTCACCGAGGGCTAACAAAGAAACCAACCACTGTTGAAACAGAAGGGATTCACGCAAAATGTCGCTCAAGCCAGGTTCAACCTTCGGCGACAAGTTCGTCAACTTCAATATCTTCCAGGCCACCTACAAACAAGTAGATGGCCACCATATTCGCGCCGACCTGATCATCCCCACCACACTATCGGCCAATGGACCACGCCCGGTGATTGCCCGCTTCCACGGCGGAGGCCTGGTAAGTACTGAGTAGATAAAGAGAGGCACACAAAGCTAACAAATAATTTCCAGACCCGAGGGGATTCCATCTACGCCGATTGGTTTCCATTGTGGCTATTAGAGCTTGCGCAGACACACGGCGCCATCATCGCATCGGCCAACTACCGGTTCCTCCCCGAGGCAACGGGTCTTCAAATTCTAGAGGATGTTGACGATTTCTGGGCATGGCTACATTCTAACAGCCTGAAAGAGGAACTGGCCTCTCAGTTAACTCCCGTTGAGCTCGACCTCGACCGGGTCATCGCAGCGGGAGACTCAGCAGGCGGCCTGCTCAGCATCTACCTCACCCTCACCTACCCCGACCAGCTCCGCGCTGGCACAGCGCAGTATCCCCAGCTTGCCTATGATCCCCCGACCATCTATCCTCCAACACGGAGTGCCATGATTCGCGAAGTGCCGGAATCATTCATTGACGAATATATCGCGACTCTCCAACCGGGATCCTGCGAGTCCTCTGATCTGGAGTGTAAACGGGTGAATCTGTCATCTGCAATTTCCCAGCACCGACGAGGTCGTGGGTTCTACCTTCGTGACTCGGAATCATCGCCGCATCGGGATCGGCTTTTCCAGCTCCCTCGGCTTGATCAGCCCGATGCACGATTGCCGCGGGGTGGTCTAGTGATTCTTCACGGCAGAGATGACGATGTTGTCATGCCTGCGGCGAGTGAGCGGTTTGTGAACCGGGCTAAAGTGGCCTTGAAGGGGCGCCCAGGCGGTGACAAGGTGGTTTTGTGTCTGCGTCCAGGAGGGCATGGGTTCGATGTGAATACCTCAGTACAGGAGAAATGGCTAAGAGAGGCGCTGGAAACGGCATTGGAGGTGTGGTTGGAGTAGGTAGAGTACTAGCTATATGCGAAATGTACTTGATGTATCAGATATGCATACCGGAGTTAGGGTTAGGAGGTAGATCTATGATGCCAGCCAAGAACCCGATATGTGGGGATTGCCTGCAGATCGAATCATGGAGGGGTAAAGGAGAAGAAAGAATCCACAGCTGAGCTCCTTCTTCCGTGTACCTATTTTCATCTGTCGAAGTGAAGTGAATTGAATTGAACATTGATCTGACTGAACCCCGGAACCACCCCCCGTCCTCCACCATGGTAGCCGAAACCCTCACCATCCGCAACAACTCCAACACCCCGATCACCCTGAAGCGCATCCAGCGCTTTACGCCTCCCCAGAAAAGCGGCGATGAGATCACCTCGCTAGCCAGAAACTTCAGCCGCCTGGTGACCAACACCACCAGCAATGCCGCGCCCGCCGTCATCCCAGGCGACGCCAAGCCCTTCGCGGAGAAGGAGGTCGACGTGCACCTCGAGCCCTTTAGCACCAAGAAGACCGAGCTGCGCACCTTCATCGACTCCGATAAGGAGCGCATGCGTCTGACCTTCGAGGCCGATGGCCAGCGGTACCAGATCCAGACGCCCGTGCCGACCAAGGAGTCGGCTACCATGAAGGCCATGGCCGAGAACCCCAAGCACCGCTTCACGGGCGTATACGCGAAGCCCACCTCCCTGCTGGCGATCTTCTCATCGGCCAACTTGAACGCATGGATGCACGAGCTGCGCGATGATACCCTCCTGTCGGCCCTCTCTATACCCGGCACCCACAACTCGCCTACCTGCCACACAGCGCCGCCCTCCGTGCGCTGCCAGGCCGTCAGCCCGCGCGAGCAGCTAGAGAACGGCGTGCGCTTCTTTGATATCCGCGTGCAGCCCGAGGCCCCCGAGGACCCGTCCAAGGACGGCCTGATCCTCGTGCACAGCGTGTTCCCCATCTCGCTGACGGGCAACAAGTACTTCCGCGACCTGATGAAGGAGGTCAACGGGTTCTTGGAGCGCAACCCGTCCGAGACGCTGCTCATCTCCATCAAGCGGGAGGGCCCGGGCAAGGCTACCGACCAGCAGCTATGCCGCATCCTGCACGATCACTACGCCCGCCCGGATAGCCGGTGGTACACGAAGCCCAAGATCCCGACACTGGGCGAGGCCCGCGGCAAGATCGTGCTGATTCGTCGCTTTGGTCTGCAGGACAAGCTGAAGGGTGAGAACGACGGCCACGGATGGGGTATTGATGCTGGCGGCTGGGCGGACAATACCCCCCACGCCATGACTCCCAGCGGCCAGCTCTGCATCCAGGACTTCTACGAGGTGTCCGACACCCAGAACATTGATAAGAAGATCAAGTTCGTCAATGCGCAGATTGACCGAGCCAGTGCCTGCTGTTACCCCTTCGGTGCCCTGCAGGGCCCCGGCGCGACCAAGGCGCACCCCTTCTATGTCAACTTCCTCAGCGCGAGCAACTTCTGGAAGACCGATACCTGGCCGGAGAAGATCGCTGCGAAGCTCAACCCGGCCGTCACCAATTACATTTGCAGTCGCCACGACGAGAATGACCGTGATTGCTCGACGGGCATTCTTGTTACGGATTGGTGCGGCCTGGACGGAGACTGGGATCTTGTGCGCTCCATCGTTGGCATGAACGCTAAGCTGCGTTTGAGACAGCAGCAGCAGGGCAAGCAGCAGCATCACCAGTAGATATATACCCAAAGGGGGGTTTGTCTGGAATTGGAAGATATTGATGATATAGTCGGTGATATCATATGGGTTCTTTTGGTATAGACATTTCTTGACACCAGATGCAAAATAAAACAAACAGATATTATACAACGATGGGTCTTACACGCTTCAAGACGAATCACTCTTCTTCTCGCCTTCCTCTGGACCCTTCTGCTCGTCCTCAAGCACGCTCCTCCGACTCTCCATAGTAAGGTAAAGACTCTTCCCGGCACCCTCCAACGTATTTGTAACGCTAGATCCCATGCTCTGCAAGGCCATGACCAGCTGTGAGCGGAGACCATCCATGCCGCCCTCAATGCTACCGATCCACTTCGTCTCATCGAGATCAAAGACCTTGCCATCCACGCGCGCAGCCAACAAGTTGAGCTTCTGAAGACCGTTCTGCACGATGGGTTCGTGGTAGGCCGGGTTTCCCTTTCTGGTGGGACCAGGGAACCCCGACTCCTTGGGTACGAGAATCGACAATGCTGCTTTCATGTGTTCCGGAGAGACGGTGGGGATCGAGAGAACAGCAATAGGACCAACAATAATGGTCGACATTTCGTGTTTGCCCTTCATATGCTTGATCGCGGCATGGGCGGTGCGAGACAAGTCGTGCGTCAGGGCTGGATCATCTTTCGAGCCAGAGAGGGCAGGGATTTCGGCAGAGGTCTGCGTCGCCGGGTTAACAGCGCTAGGAGGCTGTCCCAGCCCCAGCGAGGCCGCGCTCGGCCGGAAATACTCCACAATGCGCAGGGCCACCTCGAAGATGCTGGTCTGCACGGTTTGCAGCTTGATGTGGGGGGCCAGGGGCGCAGAGGTCCGGCCTTCCGATGCGATCTTCTCGTCCACTTTCTGCAGAGCAATGTTGAGTTCGCGGCGGATAGATGCCCATTCCATGGACTTGAGGTTGTTGTGCTGGAACAGCACCATGAGAGGGGAGGTGCGCAGCAAGGATGTGTATTGCCGCAGGAGCTGTGACCGGCGGTACTCTGGGTTGCGATGCGAGGGCGGCTGGGTAGGAGGGGATCGGGAGATTGGGGCCGGCGAATGGGTCATTTGTTCAATGGACGCGGCCGGGGTGATCGGTATGGAGGCCGCGGCGCTGCTGGCACACCGGGCGAGCCGGAGCTCATTATGTTGGCATTGAAATGCCTGTCGACGCAGCGACGGCGAGATGCGTAACCGGGGAGGCATTGTGGTGGGACGAGGTGAGATGGGAGGTACACGGCGCGCCAGAGGAAAAGGGAACGAAGTGGATTCTCGATATTTTTGGCCGCAGGGAGAGTTGGGCGGTGAGGATATTCTGCCAACGGGTCTGTCCCGCATTGGAAAGGTGGGCTTTCTTTGACTCATGGTTGTTCTGCTCTGTACAAACAATCCGGGCGAGCACCATTTATTCTTGCGATCATGCTGTCTCCCAAATCAGAGAAGCCCGAGCCGGTCTCGATTTCCCCCCTGCTCCAGCGCCTGGCCTATCCTGCCTCAGCGGAGATCCGAGTTAGCGCTGAGGATATTGCCTCTGCATTCGCTCTGATCTTCGAGGACCGCCTGTCGATGATTCAGACCGCAGCGCTATTGACTCTATTGCACTCCACGCGCAAGGACAAGGAGGCTGATGTCATTGCGAAATGCTCGCATCGGATGCGAGAGGCTGCATGCCAGGTGGAGAAGGACTCATTGAAGAAGGTGGTCAAGGCTCGTGGCAAACGAGAGGGTAACTACAATGGCGGATTGGTACGTCCATACAATGATGAATATGCACCAGTAAACTGATCATGTCTATTCAGTGCGATATCGTCGGCACCGGCGGTGACTCACATTCGACCTTCAACATCTCTACGACGGCCTCGATCGTTGCCTCCCCGCTCCTGATGACCGCCAAACACGGCAATCGCGCCCAGACTTCATTCTCAGGGTCTGCCGATGTCCTCAATGCAATCCAGCCCGTGCCTCCCAAGCTTACGGCGGTCAATGCCGAGAGCATGGTGAAAGTGTACGAGGAGACAAACTATGCGTTCTTGTTTGCGCCCAATTTCCACCCGGGAATGATGTACGCCGATCCCGTGCGCCGCTCCCTCGGCCTCCGAACCATTTTCAACCTTATGGGCCCGCTCGCAAACCCAGTCGATTGGGCACTGGAGGCGCGCGTTGTTGGCGTGGCGTACCAGGCACTGGGGCCAGTTTTCATTGAGGCTCTGAGGCAAAGTGGAGCCAAGAAAGCGCTGGTGGTCTGCGGAGAAGAGGACATGGATGAGATCAGCTGTGCGGGCAAGACAAATTGCTGGAGACTCTCCGAGTACCCCAACCCGGCGTACGACAAGTCGTCGGCTGGCGAGCAAGACTGCTCGAGTGACGAGGAAGAGATACCTCGCACGTTGGTCAAGCTCGAGACTTTCCAGCTGCATCCGTCAGACTTTGGTCTGCCCGTCCATCCTCTCACATCTGTGTACGGGCGGAAGATGCCCAAGGAGAACGCCGCGAAGCTAATGGCCATTCTCCGCAACGAGCTGCCGCGCGAAGATCCGATCTTGGAGTTCGTGCTCATGAACGTGGCTGCTCTGCTGGTCACCTCTGGCATTTGTGAGGCCGAGACCAGCAACATGGGCCCCGGGGATGACGGCAAGGTCATCACGGAGCGTGGGCCCGGCGGGGGTCGCTGGAAAGAAGGTGTGCGACGGGCACGCTGGACCATCGAGAGCGGCGCCTCTCTTAAGTGCCTGGAGCAGTTTATCGAAGTCACCAACCGACTCTGACCGGTGAAAGCCTTTTGTTTCTCTTCGGATATATAGACTTGTTGATTGATGCCCAGATTTGACTTACGAGGCATTCAAAATCTTCTTCTTGGGGCATATTTTTCTCTTCTTTTCTTGCCTTCTTGTGTATCTATCTATATTAGTGGATCTCTTCTGCAGGTCTTTACAACTGGATATATTCGGGCTATACGTGTGTGACGGGCGAGTCTTGGAAAAAAGTGGATTCATTATATTCCAAATAGACATGAACAAGTATTTCCAAGCAAGGATATGAGGACACGGACGATCTGACCAGTCTGTCCGAGTTTGGCTAGCCTTTTATTCCATCCATGCATTCGTGTCCCATACATATCTCAACTCCAATCGCCTTGAATGCATCATTCGTTAAGAAAGCAAGCCAGAAAAGTGGCGAGGTCTGCCTCTTTCTAAGCTGCCTCTCTCTCTCATAAAAGATCGAAAATCCTTTCACCGAGCCTCAAACTGAACCATTCTACCCAGAAAAATAAAAATTAGTCTATGTTCATCTCAAAACCACCCAAAAACTCACCGCTTCGTCCGCTCCTTGTACAGCACACGATGTCCACAATCCTTGCACCGAATCTGGTCGCCGCGCTTCAGCGGCACACGCGCAGAGCATTCGCCACAGAGATAGACCACGGAGGGAGAGTCGACCGCCATGGCGCCTCCGAAGCCGCCAGTCTCCGTGCCGAAGGAGTTTTGTTGGCCGCCCATCGAGGGGACTTGGTAGGCTTCGCGGGACATGTTGAGGAAGTAGAGGTTTATCGGCGAGGAGAAGATAGTGGATGGAGGTGAGCCGGGGAGTGAGTGTAGTGAGAGAGATGGTTGCGCCGAGTTCTTTTTCTTTCCAGAAGCTGGAGAAATGTGCTTAGTCATTCAGATGAGTCAGCCGGATTCAGAGTGCTTGCCTATCACGGAACCTTAGTCACCGCTTCTTACTCCTTCCACTTCCTCTTCTTCACTCTTTATATTGACACTAACCAGAATGCACATATACGTCGTCCATCACCACCTCCGCCTACGATAAGAAGACGGTTATTGATCTGAATTGAATCTGTCATATTCAAGAAACCATGAGTAAAAGTATGGATCCCTCATCTAATCTGGTATCTCTAGGAAGCAATGCAATCATAAACAAACAAAAAGCATCCCAGCGCCATGCAAATGAATGAACCAACGAGAAGAGCAAAATCTCTTCCAGAAACCCCCCACATGTACAAGGCGGCAGTTAATTACCAACCTCCTCCAATCTTCCCAGCCAGCTCCGCAACCCGAGTAGTATCGTTCGCGTTCTTCTCCTTGCCGACGTCGCTTACCACCTTGCGGTATGTAGTGTAGACAAGCTTCTCAAGTGGGATATCCATAAATCGTGACCACTGGCTTAGACCTTCATGGATCTGAGCTTCCTTGTCCGCTGCAGAGACAGGTTGAGGGGGTCCTTCATTCTCCGAGTCCGACTCCATGGAGTAGTACGCTTCATCGACGCGAGCAAGCCACGCGCGCTGCTCATGAGGGGATGGTTTGGATGCCGCAACAGAGTCCGTTGTGTCCATTTCCCCAGTCGCTTCCCTGGCATCTTCCACGCGGATTTGGCCACCGCCGTTCGTGCAGCCGCCGGGGCAAGCCATGACTTCCACATAGGCGTAATCAGACCCACCACCAGACGTGGCGTTGCGCGACATTGTCTGTCGTCGTGCAGCGCCGGGGAGTTTCGATGCCCGAGCAGGCTTGAGTTTCCGGACCAGGTTCTGGATGTTTCGGAAACCGTAGTAGCGGGCTGCTTTCATGATGGGCTGGCCGTCTTTGGAGTTAAGGATGTATTCGACAACATCGGCGTTGCGTCCGCGATTGGTGACGAGCTTGCTGTCAGGGTTTCGGGCTTGGAAGGTCTTCAGCACGTGGTGTAGGTAGCCTCCTGATGTACCGGTCTCAAGGTTCTGTTCTGCTGGAGAGCGCGTGGAAGATAAAAAGAAATCAAGGGTTTTCTCGGGGAATGATGGGGTGAAAGTCGGGGGTAGAGGCTGCAACGGCAGGTTCGGAAGTGAAAGGCCCCGAGACGAGGCCAAGGAGAGGAGCTCGCGCGTGGTAATGACGCAGTCAACATCGCGAATGGGTTGGTGTTCCTCGTTTGCTCCAGTTTGCCATGAGATGTCGGTGAGTTCCTCGCGACTAGCCTCCAATTTCTTGTCGAAACAGGGCATGAGCGCCAGGTGCCATATCTGCGAGGGTGGGACCCCGAGAGCCTTGCTCAAAACGGTCTTCAAAAATGTCCCAGATAGTGCTTGGGGCGACTTCAGCCGAGAGAGATGCGGCAGTATAAATGGATGCGTCTTCTCAGCATAGCATATCCACCCTGGACAAGCCGAAGACAGGATTGGTCGTTGGGGAAGCGGACTGTCTGAATCTTCGGAGCTGAAAGATTCCGACACCTCGTCTGCTGTGAGCACCAGCACGGCCTCCCGCATGATATTTGTGTCCACCACCCAAGTAAAGCCGCTGCCATGCTTCCCACCGGCCCGAAGACCTTGTGGGCCGCGCAGGAACTGGTCGATCATGTATCCCGCTTTCTTCTCCGAGATACCATATGTAGCTGCCAGACCGGCTCGGACCTGAGGGCTGACACTGGCGACGAATATCCTGCCTTCATCTGCTGCCCCGGTATTTGCAATCGTCGCGCCATGCGTCAGAGGTAGTTCTGGGGAAGAGTCGAGCGTGTTGAGGACCTCCGTGTGAGACTGAAGGGAGATGAGAACTGCCTCGGCAGAGGTGACACAGCCCGAGCAAGCCAAGCAGTCGGTCAGAGAGATCTGGGCAGGTGGGAGGGTCTCTGGCTGGACTTTGTCTTCGGTGGTGACTTCGTAGGCATTCTATGAAAAGCATCAGCACTTGCTCTCGACCTAGCTGAGAACAACAACAAACCTCCTCTGTTTTTGGCTCTTTTGGTGGGAGTGTTTCAACTGGTTTAATGCAGGCAACCCCCGGCGAAATGAAATCGTTCAAGTCGTCCGCAGACAGGATCGCGCTCATTGTGGCGTGATGCCGCTCTGGGCGCAGATCCCGCTAAACGATCACAGAAAGAGAGAGCAATGTTGGTAATTATTGTCTCCCAAGAGTCAAACGAATATGAAACAGGGACGGAAGAATAAGAATGAAAGTGACTGGCATCAATCACGAAAGAAAGAAAGAAAGAAAGAGAGTTTGTCATCCTCTTGTGGCGATATCGGGGCGATAAGTTCACCGCCTTTGTTTCTGCCAGCTGCTTATCATCTGCGCGCTCATTGGCTGTCGGTCAACTATTGAACCGTAACATCTTCCGCGAGAACTGTGTCAAGAATCACAGCTTGATGAGGCAGGCGATCATGTTCGCTATATTGGAGGAAATGGCGGATTCTGTCGACGGTGCGGATTTGACTTTTACAAATCTTGAGGAGTATATTGGGCAATCTTCAGGTCCGATCAGTAATGTTTCTGCATTTGCTTAATTTCCTTGGTTTTTGCATTGGGCAATATTCACGTTGTTTAGAATTTCTTAGGTTCAGTTGTACTTGGCATTGTGACAATGATCTCGATAGACTTCTACGGACAGTATGTGATGAAATGCTCTCCTATGTCCTTGTCCGCGTAGAGCGTCGTCTACCAAGACTCGGGCCATTTGGCTTCTTCTCCTCTTCCGAGTCTTCACTCTTTACAGCCGTTCGCTTCTTCTTGCTCTGTAATTTCGCAGATTTCGGCTTGGTCACTTCCTCGGCTTCTGAATCGCTCTCCTTTTTCACCGCTGCTCTTTTGCGTTTCGAGTTTGCCGGCGTGCCATTGGTGCTCTCATCGAAATCCTTGGCCACAGGCCCGGTCTTTTTCTGGACGGACGGTACCACTGCACTTGTCCGGCCGCCAACGGTGAGAAACGTGATCTTATCGCCATTGGGAAGAACCGCGGGTTGGTTCTTCTTCCCTTTGCCCCACCGATGTTTGAAGAGCCAGTGCTCAGGAAATTGCTCTGAATCAGCCAGTACATCGAGGGAGGTAGAGCAGACATAATGTATCGAGGTATGCAGTTCCTTGATCTGCTCGTCGGACAAGGTGTTAGAGTATTGTTCTGGGTGTATCTTAGCGTGATACAGAATTTCATCCCTAGAATCCAAGTCAACACCTGAATCTCAAACTTGACAAGTGGTTTACTTACCCCATCCAATTCCCAATTCCGCTGATATTAGCTTGGTCGAGCAAAAGTGCTTTGATGGGCACTTTCTTGCTCCGCAGTTTGCTCATCAACCACTCCGCCGACACGGTATCCTTATCAGCGACTGGATCTGGCCCGTTTTCTTTGAGGGGCGTGTGGTTGCGAATATCATCGGCGGGACAATCAACCAGTCTGATCCGGCTAAGACGACGGAAGTCCACAAATGCCGCCTCCGTCTTGAGCTCATCGCTGGTTTCCATCAAAAATTTCCAATATTTCGGCGGCCACTCCTTATCTGCGGGCTTGTCGGATCGGTAGTAGTATGTGTCGGCATCCTTGATCTTCAGCCAGCCGGCCATCCCAAAGTGCATCACCGCATGCGGTGGCGAAGACATGGTGATCCAGAAATATTTGCCTTGTTGTCCAGCACCTACGATCTTCTTGCCCTGCATAGCTTTCTGGAACTCGGCCGCGCTGGTTCCCACTTTCCCGTACACAATATCATCATGTTGCGTCTGGACCTTGGATAGGGTCTTCCCGACCAAGTGTTGGCGAATAAAATGCACAATCCGTGCGACCTCTGCTAGTTCCGGCATTGTTGTTGGAGTCAAGGGGGTGGATGCGTCGAACAAGGAGAGAAATGAGCTCGACACGAGAAGAGTCAGACGCGACACGCGGTCACATGATCATTTTAAATAATTTAGTCATCGTTATCGGCGATGATGTCGATAGTTAGACTACATCTTTCGACACATCTGGTTATACCACCCACATATTGAGCGGAAGTGTCTTGAAAACTCTTCTCCACCTTGGCATTGTTTCTGCCATTACTTCTTCCTATCCATCCAAACTGGAGTGGTTCTGGGCTACCAAGTTCAAACCAGGTCGAGACTCGGGGGAGGCAGCTAGTGGCAAGATGGCACAAGCTTCGTCGACGGAGGCTCCAGCGCTAACTCCTCAGTTCTGTTTTGATGAGAGGCTGCTTCGAGGTTTGTCTCAGAAAGCAAGCCACATACTTCTTTTGTGACCTACTGACGCCTTTTTTTTCTCGCTCAGACTTCCTTCGTCTCTCCAGATCGACCATAGATGATTCAATAACGCAGAACCTAAACGCCCTGGTCACTCCTGCCCAAGCAGGCTTTGACCCGTCCTCCACCGCTTCGCGGCAAACGGGCTCTCGGACCCGAAAAGCAATAGATCCCACCGCATGCCAGTCCCTCAAAAACAATGTCCTGTTCCCGTCATGGCAGACCCGATCTGACGTTCTCAACTACTGTGCTGGAGTCGCCACGAGTCCCGATCCAGATGATCCGGACTTGATCCTTCGACAGACTGAATCCGCCAAGGATCGCGAGCGAGTCGTAGATGAACGGCTGGATCCATACTCGGCTCGTTTCTTTCCTCGGGAGGCCAGGACGGAGTCTCTGGCGAACCTGGTGCGCAACCAGCGCACCGTCGAGGAAATAATCCGGGCAAGAACGTGGGGGTTGGTGACTGAGCGATGCAGTGACTCTTCTGCGACGTGGCAGGAAGCTTTTGATACCTGGCGCAAGAATCACCGACGTTGAAGTGATGATGACCGACAATTCTCCATTCTTCGGCTTGTACTACTCCATTCCATCCAGTGGATCTCATGGGAAACCATATATCACCTGCATATGTCCAAAAGCCTTTTGTATAGCATTTCCTGTTTCTTTCTGATAAGCTTGTTATATTAGAACTGAGGAATATATGATCATAACAAGGATAGTTGGACCAATTGTGTGTGAATTTGGAAGAGAACGGAAGACCCTCATAGCGCTAGACCACTAACTACCTCTCTAGTTGAATTTAGAGATTTGCTGTTTGACTGGGTATAACGAGAAAGATAGTTAATTAGGTAGTGGAGCCACTTAGAATGGAAAGCTATTGGCTACATTTGTATCAACCCCCATCCATTGCAATCATATACAGACACTCAGCCCGTAATATCATTCACGATGTCCTGAAGAATAGGTTTGTTCCCAAGTACGGTATTGCCACTCAAAAACTTGGCACCTTTCTTCGGCGGCATTCGAAGACTGTTGCTGCTAGCAGGCTGTCGAGAACCCAGTGGACTCAGAGGATCCCGCGAGGCCGGAGACTTCTTCAGTTTCGAGCTGGGACTGTGCTTATTACCCTCCGTAGAGTCAGGAGTTTGCCCCTCTATAGCATCGGTTGCTGCCGGCTGGAAGACGTGGTTGTCTGCGGCGCCAGGGGGCAGATTGTAGACCCAGCCGTTTCCTTCGACCAGACGGACGTATTTGCACAGAAGCTCATTGCCGTCGCGCAGGGTGGATCTGCTGCCGACGACGAGGAGCTTTGTGCGCGCGCGGGTGAATGCGACATTGACGCGGCGCCAGTCGCGGAGGAGCTCGCCGACGTGGTTATCGGAGTTGCTGCGGACGCAGCTCAGGATCACGATTTCCTTGTCACGACCTTGGAATTTGTCGGTCGTGTGCATCTCCAGCTCGGGCGTGTAGCGACGGAGACGCTGGCGGAGGAGAGAGAGCTGACTGCGGTAGAAGGTGATGACGCCGATATCGCGAGCGGGGATCCCGCAGGCGATGAATGCCTCGACGAGTTGCGCACAGAGGATGGTCTCCACGTGGTTCACTATGCGCTGGCCCTGTGCAGATTCGCGGGCTGCGGTGCCGAGAGGATCGGTGTTCACGAGTCGGGTCTTGGCGGATGGCTCGACCAGATCTCGGAGCCAGCAGCTTCCCTGCGCTGTGCCCAAACAGACTTGTCTTTGAGAGGAATTAGAATCATCGGCATGGAACTGCTCAAGGGCCTTGATATTCGGAACCTCCAGTGATCGCGCTGCAACCTCGGGCGTTCCACATTTCAGCCGACCCGAGTAGATCAGTGTGTTGGAGAGCAGCATAACCTCCTCGCACATGCGGTATTGGTGTTCCAAGTTGATCACGGAGCCCGGTTGCGCGTCAGAGAGCAGCTTGAAAAGACTGACATCAAGTCCTCCTTCCTGGGCTGCTTTGTTCTGCACAAGTGGCGGTAGTTGATAGTGGTCACCGACGAGAATGAACGTCCTTGCCATGCGGATCGGGCCCACGCAGACCGGAAGTGTAATTTGCGAGGCTTCGTCGACGATGCAATAGTCAAAGATGCGCTGATTGAAGATGTTTTTGTTGACACCCAGACAGGTAGTGGCTACCACTTGCGGCTTCTCATACGAATCCTTGAGCTCTTCGATGGTCGTTTTCGGAATCGCTTCCAGATCAGCAAACTGTTGCACGTCTGGATGGATTTTAGCTGGAGCACCAAGACGCAGAATGCGGATATTGTCGTCTCGGATCTTTAGCAAGATGTTGTCCACTGCGGTGTGCGTATAAGACGTAAGGAGAACACTCTTTCCTTGGGCCACTAGCGCGCGAATTATATGCGAGATGGTGGTTGTCTTGCCGGTCCCAGGCATACCTAGAACCAAGGCATAGTCCTTGGCACTCATAACTTTCTCGATCGCCTGCTTCTGATCGACGTTTAGGCTGTCGGGCCCAGAGATGGTGTATTGCGTGGAAGAGGTCTTGAAGACAGGCGCTTGACCCTCGATGATGAGCCGCCTCAGTTGTCTTGATTGAAACAAGTTGTTGTCCATCATACAGATGAGATTGTTGCGAACAGTGGCCATGCCATTGCTAAACTCATCCTTATCGATTCGGTAAATCACCTGTTCCCCAAGGCCCTCCGAAGCAGCATCATTAGGATCTCTGCCAACTTCCATGATGCCCTTGAATGACTGGTTCATGACGGGGTCGAAGTCAGCTGCTCGTGCTCTCGCATTGTGCAACTTCCTGTCCACAGCGACAGTGATATGCGTCCGGCTCACATGCACCACATAGCCATTTGCGAGCGCAAAATGGCCTTTCTCATCAGACACGACGATGGGCTCACCGACAGAAATCTGTGATTCTGTAAAAGTGAAGTTGGGAGATGCCTGTCGTTTGAGGAAAGTATAGCGATAGCGGTTAATTTTGGTGGCGTTGTTATCTTCGCATGCAGACCTCGGATCAATCAAAAGATCTCCAAAGCACCGACCCAGAGACTCCCGCTCGTTGCTCAACAATGTCCACAGCTCTCGGCGGGCCTTGACCAAATTGCCTTCCTCCTTGGTTAGCAGCTCATCCCACTTGCGGAAGAAATCGCTATCCTGCCGGTTGAGATGGCCGACAGCGGCATCAAAGTCGTCACCTAGAGCGCTTGTTTCACCATTGCCGTCCTCGCTCAGCTTGTGATAGATGAGGCACGGTGTCTTCGCATAGCAGTTATTGCACATGCGAGCTTTCTTAAGCATGGGTGGAAGCTGGAAGCGCTCACGAACATAGCCAGCGAGCCGGTTTCGCTGCTGGATCATTTGTTGGAGCTCGTGTCGAATGCCACGAATGCTGAGAGTCCTAGACACTTCAAGATAGTACAGGATCCCAAATGTGACCTCGACGTCTACAGCCAGTGTCAGCAAGTAACTTAGGTTCCGGGAAACCACCTGGGACGCACCATAACGGTCAGAAAGAAGTAAGGTATATAGGGCCGTTTGTGCTCTATGGGCCTGGTTCGTGTCCCTCTTGCCTGTTTTGAGCTCGAGCGGAACAACGAGGTTTTTTTCTATGTCCTTCTCGCGACAAGCAATCTGCACCGTGGCATCGATATTGCCCTTAAGCCCATACATCGGAGACCAGACGTGCTCCTCAACTTCAAGCAATTTAGTGATACTCAGATTGAGCTTCGAGCTATTGCGGTCCTCAACCATCGAGTTGGCCTATTGGCTGATCAGCAGGCATCCAATCATTCATTAGGCGAAAACGTGCCTGTGGCTTGGTCTGAACAAAGGCGTCTGCCCACGCTTGGATAGTGGGCATCTTGCCCATGATCTCCTCAACAACTTGAGGTATACTCATCTGAATCGCGTGTAGGTCCTCCACATGCCTCTGCATAACGGTTTCAACCAGCGATCGTAGGGCTTCCGTATTCCATTGATTAGCTTTCAGGGCTTCTTGGAATATTTCATGCAAAAACATTCCGAAAGCCTGTGGTTTCTCGAGAGCACCAAAGGCTTTGACACGGTCCTGAAGTACAGCGCGGCGCTGGCAGTCTATCGAGTCTGCCACAACAGTGGCGGAGATGAGGTGATCAGGATGCAAGATGACCATGTTTTGAGAGTTGTCCACAATGCACTGGCCCGTTACATCGAAGTCGCCGACCAGGTGAATGTACGAGTCTTTACTGCAGGGCGTGTCGAACCAGGATTCGCGCAGCACAATGACCTTGCGACATTTGGTCTTCTCGTCCTCGACGAGTAGTACCTGCTCCCAGCGTCAGTTGCTGAAATAGCTTCTGGGCGGATACAGGAGAGTGCAGACCTGCTCTGGTTGAGTACGTCCTTTCGGAGTAACATACGTGTTCTCGACAATGTCAACGATTTGATGACGTTTGATGGCCTGTCGGCCTTTCATGTTCTATGTATAATTGTCTTAGCACATATCTAGAGGTAAACCCACTAAGAGTGACACACATAGTCCTGCCCATTTTCACCCGTCTGCTTCATAGTCTGTTCAATTGCCTCTAAATCAAAATCATCGTCGTCAAACTCGTCGTCAGAGGATTCCGGATCAGGTTTCACAGATGTCTTCTGCGGTATTCCGTCTGATAAGTTAGCGCCTGCGCCAACAGTGACCGACCCAGAACTCTTGAAATATGGGTTTTCTTTGGTAGTTGGTTTCGTCTCATGGATCGAGCTGGGCTTTGCATCGCATGCTGCAAGAACATCCTGCAGGCTGCCTGGAAAGTCCCCGTATTCGTCATCGTCGAAGTCGTCTGAATCATCATGTTTTGGTTCGCCACTAGGAGCTTTTTCCTCAGGTACAACGGGCCCCTTCGGCCGCCACGATTGGGACTGTTGATTTGCAAGAGCTGACCAGCCTGAGGATCCGAATGAGTCGAATTCTTGACGCCCAGATGCAGGCGCCCTCGCCGGCGCTATGAACGGATCAGCGGAGGCTTGGGCCAAGTCGAGGAACTCCTGATCCAGGTCATCATCCCCAAACTCGGACGAAGAGTCTTGGAAGGCAGTCTTCTGATCAACATTAAAATCATCGCCAGGGACATGGGGTGGGAGGCCGTCATTGGCTGCTCCAGGATCTCCAGCATGCTTCCTATCCACCGTCGGAGACGACGAGCGACATCGCCTAGCATCCATTCGCTGTCGCAGAGGGGAAGAATTGGGCGGTGCCATTCCAGCAGACGGAGCAGGTCGTAGACTCTGTTCAATCTGCTCAAGCAATAGATTGATCCTCGACGACTTTGCTTTACCCGAGTCAAGGACATCGCTGTTTGTACGCCCGAAGATGCCACGGTTGGAACCGGGATCTTGTTTGTTGACGCGTCTTCTCTTCGCGCGTGAGGTGGGCCATTCCGCTGCACAACTTATGGATCGCCTCAAGCCCGAAGAATCTCGGCTGGTTCTGCCCGAAGCCGGTGTTTGAGGTGATGATGAGAGAAGGTTTCCGAGGCGGGGTGGTGGAAGTTGCTCGGAGCCATTGACCATGTTCTTGTCCATATAGTTATTCCACAACTCGGTAGCCAGATCATGCTGGGGTGTCTTAAACAGAGCCTGTATTGACTGGAGGTCCAATGGCTCTTTTTGCGCCTTTTTCGAGTTGCCGTCGGAAGGAGAGCTCGGAGACGAGGAGCCATGGCGCCGCTTTCTGCGACGACCCGCCGGGGTCTGTGATGAGGTATCCGGGTTCGAGCTGACAGGAACATGTTGCCAGATGACATGGTCGACCGGCGTCACTTCCGGGCCTGGAGCGGGATCAAAAGCGTCCTCGGCGTTGCTGATCAAGTCCGCGAGAGGAATTCGGTTCCCGGGAGTCTGTGGGCACTCCTTGATGGGCTTCGAGTCCTTTTCGGGAACTGCTGGAGCAGGAGCTTCAGCGTTGGTCTTGTCGGGTGATGTCTGCATCGGGTCCACCACTCCATTTAACCACGAGCTTTGGTTCTCCTTGTTGTCGTGGGCTGGTTTCACCCCATCCTTCGAAGTTGTAGTGGTGTCTTGCTCATTGGTGAAGCGGAAGGCGTTTAAAGCTCTGCGGGAGTTGGAAGATACGGGAAAGGAGCTGTCGTTCCCGGCCATGGCTTCATCTGGCAGTATCCAATCGCAAGAGAGCTCAAAATGGGTAAGAATACATTCTCGTGGCAAGCTTGGGGTGGATCCTAGTCAGCAATGGAAAAGAATTGTCGAATGGAGGAAAGTTTCCGCATACCAGCTGTTTGTGAATGCGATAGTTATGTACTGGGTCAGGGTTGTTGTTCAGGTGGGGACGGATTGGCCAGGAAAGAGGAAGACGCGACGCGTATCATTTGATGCCTGAATATGCCGCCTGAACGGCGAGGCATTAATCTTGGCCTGAAATATCAGGGCGGAAGGCGGCCAGCAAAAATCGCCCCAACGGGACTAGCGGTAAACCCGGTCTCCATCGGCTTGCACGGCTTCAATCGAACATCAACTCCAACCCCTCCACCTCCTTGCCGCTCCCAACCACAGCGTCAAGGTCCACCACCGTCAATTGGGATATTGAGCGCCTCGACCATAGACTGGGCGACTTGTTTCCGCCCTTCGCGTCCTCGATCCCAGAGCTCCCCTACCCCCGGTTCTTCCCGCTCATCTTCGTGTCCGCTTTGTCAACGGCCACTCTCCTCTACAACCCTCAAAATGGTGGCTCGGCCAGTGTCGCAAATGCTCCGCTCTCGCTGCCTGCTCCGCAGGCCCCAGAACATCCAGGCCTTCTCGACCAGGAGCAACCTGCGCGCCGCGGACCACGGTGACCACTACGATCCCCCAACCGGCTGGCTGTTCGGTGTCAAGCCCGGCCAGAAGTACGAGAAGGAGGGCTGGGAAGGCGTCTGGTACTGGGGATTCATTGGCAGCCTGGTTGTTGCTGGCGTCGCATACGTGTTCAAGCCGGACACCTCGTATGTTCTCCTTGTTCCCCTTGTTGCCGCACCCATCACTTTTGCGAAACCGCAGCGAGACCTCGAAAGAACCATGCTGACTGACTGCTGCAATAGGATACAAACGTGGGCTCTGGAAGAAGCTCGTCGGCGGCTGGAGGCTGAAGGCATTCTGGAGGACCCAACCAAGGTCCAGAAATAAACGCATGAAATGCAGGGTTTTAATCTGTACACTGTACATAGAGAGTGGAAAGGGCCTATTTTCGGTTGATGCCTGTGCTAAGTCGCGGATTTATCCTTCGGTTCTTTTCTTAGACTCGCTTATTGCATGTTTTCTTTCTTTTGTCCGCTATCTCCCATTGTCGTTGAATCCTACTGTACTACTCTATTTTCATTGAACCGGCTTTCATGTAGTAGTTTCTTTTCTCCTCCATATCTCTTCTCCCAACAAGGCTTAGTTGAGGGACGGGCATTGCGATGGTATGCAAATTCTATATGAGACTCTACGTGAACTACATGAGAGAGATTCAATAATCGGTATGCTGCGGGAAAGCAGTACAAAATAGAAGTAGTTTTTCACAGTGAATAACTTTGATAAATATCATTGTCAGTCAAACATACACAATTTATTAACGTCTGCAAAGAGATAGCGACTAGTAGCTAAATCTCATCCCACCGTTTGCGCAGAGAACACTCCCGGTGGACCAGGCAGAGTCAGGACTGCACAGAAGGGCAACTAGCGCGGCAATTTCATTGGCATATGCCGATCGACCTCCCTGTGATTGGGCTTCTTCTACCACGTCTGCCCTATCGATTCCCTTCCTCACCGCCGCCAAAGGGGTCATCATATTTAGAGTGGAGATGTTCGCTTTCAACTCTGGCGATGCAGCGTCCCAAAGGTCTGTCGCTACAGGACCTAGACACTTGGTAAGTAATTAAAGCAAACGAGCAAGGCGTTCACATACCCGGATTGATAGAATTAACTGTAGCTCTCTCCGCCAGCTCCCTAGACCACGTTCTTGTCATGCTCTCCAGAGCCGCCTTTGTGCCGCCATAAATGGAGTGACCAGGGGCGCCCAAACTACTCGCCACACTGGAGATGTTGATGACCCTTCCGCTGCGGTCGTGAGGCAGATAAGGGAGGGCAGCCTTCACCAGAAACAAAGGACCGCGGGTGTTTAGGTTATACATATGCGCGAAGTTATCCGCCGTACATTCTTCAAGGGAAAAATTCGCGCCGAAGCCAGCGTTGTTGACAATGATATCAACTTGGAAATTGGGGCTAAACGCTCCCCTAGCAGTTTCAATAACAAGTTTAGGGCCATCTTCCGATGCCATATCTGCTTGGACACAAATGCACTTGGTGCCATATTGAGACTTCAGCTCTGATGCAAGATTATCGGCCTTTTCCGCCGACGAGTTCGACACATAGTTTAATACGATGGAGCATCCTCTGCCTGCAAGCGCTCGGCAGATTTCGGCACCGATACCTTTCGTGGTCAGTAAACCCAACTCTTCCTGACACTAGCTTAGCTTCATAGTATACCTCTCGAACCGCCTGTCACCACTGCAACCTTTCCTCCGAGTTGTGTGTTGGGTTCAATAGTCGACATTGCTGCTTTCCCATTCGATCCACGTGCAGTTTTCAAATCGCTAAAGGGGGCGCAAGTTGGGCTTATATATGCGTTCGCCATAATGTCCATCCTTCTAGCCATTTAATGGTACCGTCGTCATACACGAAACTCTTCATTCAGCATCATTACACACAGGCAGGAGTAGGTTTAACTAGAAAGGTTCGGCCTGCATAGAGCCTGCTTGGATATTCTTCAAAGGCGGACTGATATCTTCTGTCCTAGCAAGTAGGTACAGGTCGGCTCATCCAGCATTGTCCGAATTTGGAAATTTCCCTTTCCGCCTATAAGGGCATCAATTTTTGCCACAAAGACGCCCGCGTTTTTTCTAGGGGTACCTCTAATTATAACAAGTTGGGTAACTACATCTGGATTTCATTCTCTATTATTTACGTAACCTCTGTATGCCCAACTTCTCCACTTGAAGAGCATTTGGAGGCGCCTTAAAAACAAAGAAAAATTAACACTTCCATAACCAATCGTTCGCTAGTGGTAAGGACTACACTATACATTCGAAATAGCCTGCGCATTCGAAATCTCTGGCTTCACCTCTCCTTCTTAGTTCCGTGGTTACGGTAAAATACCTAGAATGAGACTTCCGGCCGGCAGGATACTTTTGAAACATGATAGCAACGCTTGGGAACCTCTCCAAATCATGAGTGGTGAATTTTTGCACAAAAGGTCATTTACCACTTATTTTGCCCATTGCTAGGCTGGGATGCCCAAATGCTTAAATATAATGCCATTAGCTGTCCTTTCTACTTGATCTTTGACATTTTGGTAGAGTGAGCCTGATGGAAGAACCGCCCGCTTTCGATATCGTTGGTTTCGTGGATATTTGAGAAAACAACTGAGGTGCTAGGTTCAACGGCTTTGATCCGAAACGGCTCTTGTTTCAGCCTCTGGGATTTAGAAAAGGGTGTAAGTGCAGCATTATATGCACTGTATCCAGATTGGAATGGCAAAGGGCATGATGATGCGCGCGGATGTATGATTGACAACTATTTCATGAGACCTCTAGCGTAGGCAAAAGGGCTTGTGTGACAGCAATATGGGATCACATTGAGGTCAAAAAGTCAAAAAGCTGCTTTGCCTCAGAGATGGAAAGGTCCGACACTGGCATGCCATGGCTAGCACTAGCGCTGTTGATAAATACATCAAGTTCGGATGCCCGACTTGCGGGGGTAACCTGTATTCTGGTAATTCAAAAGACAGGAAGAAGTGAACATGTCCTCAATCAATACCGAATCTATGGATAGTTAACATGGTAGCGTTCCTGCATACTATTAGCCAAAAAAAAACACTGCTTTCATCTGATCACCAACATCATGGCTGATAATCAGTCCGCCGCTGCACTTACCAGCAGCCCCGAGTTCCATAAACGAATATAACAACGTAAATGAAGCTCCGTCATTAGCTAAGCATGATGAATGTAGGAGAGATTAGTCTGCAATATTACTCGCCGGCGAGGTTAATGATCTTGCCGCCATTACAATAATTTTTAACTTAGCAGGTGTATTATACGTACACTCCACGACAACCTTAAGAAAACAGGAATTGGGATTTGAGATCAACATAGGAGTCGAAAGTAGCAAATGCATTTCAGAATCGGCTATAAGTAGGAAAAACCAAAGTAGGAAAAGCCTAAATGAGGCGATACTCCACTTGTTCTAGCATTCTAGTCCAATTAAATCTACGACCTTTTTGACTAATCTTTACATTCACGCACAACCACAGAAACAGTGCGTTATATTATTCCAATAATAAATGTTTGCGTCCATGGTTTTGAGGCGGGGATTTGTTTAAAAGCTAGAAGTGGCACTGTCAATTTACCATAGCCCTTCAAGTAGTCGCGTAGTATTTAGGCTGAACAAGACACCAAATACAAACGCCAGACTTATTTACCTCTTTGACGCTATCACACCAACAATGGACGTTCCTCGTTCCTTTCATCAATCTAACCCCAAAATCAGCACATATTTTGATATTTTTTCCCGGAATTATCACCGAAGGAAATCTAAAATCAAGCAAGCATACAATTTTATTTCCGCCGCCCAGCGGAAACTCCTCATCGAAGCTTCCCGGCCAAACCAAGAGCTACGATTATTGGTTGGTCACGCCAATTTAGTCGATTCTCTTACTAAATACCTCACCGATATTGAGATCCGGGAACAAGATTGGTTCAACGATCTCCCGCGGTCGACAGCTATAGTCGAAGACTTCAATAAAAATTCGGACGCTGGAGATTTGGACACTGGAGGCTCGGATACTGAAGATTCGGATACTGAAGATTCGGACACTGAAGATTCGGACACTGAAGATTCGGACACTGAAGATTCATACACTGGATATTCAGACACTGGATATTCATGTGATCCACAGTCTGTTATAAGTGATAGATGTGAGAGTCAACTTTCACTATAACGAATGTACTTTGGGCACCAAAGCTTCCGGTCAACAACGGGCATCATCTTTGACCACGGTACCTCGAGGTCCACTAGAAGAGGGATAACAAGAAGAAAATTGAGGAGACACAGATTCGGGCTCTGATCGCGAGAGTATGAAACGTTTACAGGAGCTCAAGTTCAGTGAGACGCCATCGATACCATATTCCCCTCCACTCCCTTGTTAGGCTCTTCCCATTGCGACACATTAACATAGCGATGACTCGCCCATGTTACACCTCCGGGTATACATCTGTCCTCCTGAGCAAGGGCATCTCCCGCTTGATCTTCGCCACCAGATCTAGATCTATGTCGGCAACAGCAATCTGTGGCTCTTGGTATTCTTCTCCCAGTCTTGCAACGACTTCACCCCATGGGCTGACAATCATCGAATGACCATAACTGTGTCGCTTTTCGTTATGAGGGCCCGACTGCGCGGCTGCTATCACGTAGGACTGCGTTTCAATAGCTCTTGCTCGAAGGAGAGGCTCCCAATGAGCTTTGCCGGTGGGCATTGTGAATGCCGATGGATACGTAATAACCTGAGCATTTTGACGCTTCAGCGCAAGGCTGATTTCTGGGAATCGTAACTAAATAGAGAAATATTAAGCATAATCCGGTCGGGGAATAAACTAACGACATCAACTTACATCAAAGCATATCATCAGTCCTACACGCCCCACGGGCGTTTCGAAAGGACTCAATATTTCCTGTCCTTTCTCCACACTCCTAGATGCCATCTCATATGTTAAAAATTCCTCATAATGAAGAGCCAATCACTCACGAGCTCTCTTTCAGGACTGGACCATCCTTAATATCCACATCAAATAGATGAACTTTCTGGTAGCGTTGGGTGATTGCTCCCTTATCATCAATCCAGATGAGCGTGTTCTTGACTTTGCCGCCCGAGGCCGGTTCATGAATTCCAACATTAATGTGGAGGTTCTTTTGCTGGGCTTCTTTTTGCAGGCCGAGGACGAATTCACTCTCTTCCACGGAGCGAGCCAGTGAAACTGTTTCTGCTGCCGATGAGCCTATATAGTCCGAGGCCTCGGGCAGGAACAGTGCCTCGTGCGGTGTCAGCACATTTTTATAGTTTTAAGAGTCATCAAAAGAACCTTGGCACCGGCTGCAACGGCTTTCCTGACCAGAGTCTGGCATTGGGCCAGGTTGGTAGACATGCTCGCTGTCGAACAGAGCTGGCCCACAGCCTATCTCGTTGAGACGGAAGCAGTGAGTAAAATGATCATTAGATTCAATGGACAAAACATACTGCTAGCACCATCTTGATTTAGTTAATAATTGTATATCGCCAACAGTAAATACAGGAGAGTGCGTCACTATTCCAGGGCATGCGGTGATACGGCTGAGTCAGCTATCGCTCGACTCGCTCGTTCCCGCTCCATCCATTTTTGTCGCTCACGCTTCTTGAGCACCCACTCTCTCACCTACGAGAGTTCACTGTCGCCATGAAGAGCCTTCGGAGAGATTTCTCCTCGAACCCGCAGGCTGCAAATGTCTCCAGCAAAGTATTCGTGAGGTCGACCAAAAGTGGAAAGGTGCAAAAGATTGTCCGCGAGCTCTACTTGCGACAGGATATTCCATGCTCTTCAAAGCTGTGCACGATATGCCCGTCAATTGCGCCGGCCGACGCCAATGGAAACAGTAAGCATGCGATCACTTTTCATGTTGCTACTCGGTGCTAACTTTACGCTAGTTGCGCCGTTCATCCTCTCCGATCGTCCCGCCGGTACCAAGGCCTTCCCGCGCGGCCACTACCTCGTTCCCGATACGAATGCGCTGTTGAATGGAATGGATCTTTTTGAGCATACGGGGGCATTTTATGATGTGATTATTCTTCAGACCGTCCTCGAGGAGCTCCGGAACCAGTCGCTACCGCTCTACAATCGCCTTCTTGCCTTGATCAAGACCGACGAAAAACGGTTCTACCTTTTCTTCAACGAGTTTCGCCTGGAAACCCATATTCGGAGAGAGCCGGATGAGTCGATCAACGACCGTAATGATCGTGCCGTGCGCACGGTGGCCAGTTGGTATGGAGAACATCTTCGCGCATCATCGACAAAAGCGAAGAAAGAAAAGGCGGTGCCTGCAATTGTGGTCATTACCGATGACAAGGACAATCTTCGCAAAGCCGCGAATGAAGGCGTAACCGCCTTGTCCTTGTCTGACTATGTTGCCGGATTGGAGGACTCGGAGAAGCTGTTGGATATGATCAGTGAAGCCAGGGAAGCGCGGGATGCCAAAGGCTCTGCTCGTGGGCAAATGTTCTATCCCGAGTACTATTCAATGTCGAAACTCACGACTGGTTTGCGAGCCGGGACGCTCCACCAGGGTGTCTACAATGTTTCGCCTTACAACTACCTAGAGGGCTCGGTCAATGTTGCAGCTTTCGATAAACCGCTTCTCATTCTGGGCCGTGACAACAGCAATCGTGCGATTGCCGGCGATGTCGTTGTGATTGAAGTCCTTCCTCAAGACCAATGGAAGTCCCCTTCAACAAAGATCATGGACGAGGAAGCGGTGACCCGAAACGACAATCCAGAGACTGAGGAGACCGAGGCTGTGGTGACAGAAAAAGAGCGCAAAACTCTTCAGGAGGAGGTAAAAAAGGCTCATGGCAAGAATTCGGAGGGCAAGCCGCAACCAACTGCCAAAGTCGTTGGTGTCATCAAGCGCAGCTGGCGTCAATATGTGGGACATGTGGATTCGAACTCAACCGGGTCCCAGGCTGCTTCGGGTCGGCGGCAACAAACGATCTTTGTGCTACCTATGGATAAGCGGGTGCCTAAGATCCGGGTACGCACTAGACAAGCCGGTGATCTACTTGGCCAGCGCATTCTCGTCACCATTGATTCTTGGAGTCGCGATTCTCGTTATCCTAGTGGTCACTTCATCCGTTCTCTGGGAGAATTGGAGACGAAAGGTGCCGAAACGGAGGCTTTACTCCTGGAACACGACGTTCAGTACAAGCCATTTGCCAAATCCATTCTGGATTGTCTGCCTGTGGAGGGACACGATTGGAAGGTGCCTGCATCCAAGGAGGATAAAGGCTGGAAGGGGAGGCGAGATCTCCGAGATCTTCTTATCTGCAGTATCGATCCGCCAGGCTGTCAAGACATCGATGATGCCTTGCATGCACGACCCCTCCCCAACGGAAACTTCGAAGTTGGTGTTCATATTGCAGACGTGTCGCACTTCGTTAAGCCGAACAACCCAATGGACCTTGAGGCGAGTGTTCGCGGAACTACGGTCTACCTCGTCGACAAACGTATCGACATGCTTCCGTCGCTACTGGGTACAGACTTGTGCTCCCTCAAACCCTATGTGGAGCGCTATGCTTTCTCGGTTCTCTGGGAGGTGACTCCAAATGCGGAGATTGTGTCTTCAGACTTCACCAAGTCGGTCATTCGTTCACGCGATGCCTTCAGCTACGAACAGGCGCAGCTGCGCATCGACGACTCATCGCAGAATGACGAGCTGACCCAAAGCATGCGCAATCTTCTGAAGTTTTCCAAGATCCTCCGTCAGAAGCGTATGGATGCAGGCGCTTTGAACCTTGCGTCTCCAGAGGTCCGCATCGAGGCAGATAATGATGAAGTTGGTGATCCGCTGGCAGATGTCAAAACAAAAGCCATGCTTGAGACGAACAGTCTGGTCGAGGAGTTCATGCTTCTCGCCAACATCACTGTTGCTTCTAAGATCTACGATTCTTATTCGCAGACAGCCTTACTTCGTCGTCACGCTACTCCCCCACCACAGAATTTCGAAGACCTCATCAACCAATTGTCGAAGAAGCGGAATATGGAGCTCGATGTTTCTAGTTCCAGAGCTCTTGCCGACTCTCTCGACCGCTGCGTTGATCCTAAGAATCCTTTCTTCAACACCCTCGTCCGTATCCTCGCAACCCGATGCATGACCTCTGCCGAATACTTCTGCGCTGGGGCGCACGCCGAGTCTGAATTCCGTCACTATGGTCTGGCGTCGCCTATCTATACCCACTTCACCTCGCCGATCCGACGGTATGCCGACCTGCTCGTCCACCGACAACTCGCCTCTGCTATTGGCTATGAGGGCGAAGACGGACGCGCTGTCATCGAAGGAACCAGCACGCGCAGCAAGCTTGAGGACATCTGCCGTAATATCAACTATCGACACCGCAATGCACAGTTTGCCGGCCGTGCCAGTATCGAATACTACGTGGGCCAGGCACTCAAGAAGCGCGGTGAGAATTTAGCCACTAAGGGCGGTGACACGGGCACCGAAGAGGAAGGGTATGTGATGCGCGTGTTCGAGAACGGCGTCGTTGTCTTCGTTCCACGGTTCGGTATTGAGGGCGTGGTTCGTCTCGAGGACTTTGTGCTTCCCGGTGAATCTGGCATCCGATCCGTTGCGGAAAGACGCGAGCTGGCTGTGCATCGCACGACAGACTTTGATAATGAGGAGTACACCCTCCGAGTCCAGGAGAAGGGCCACTCGGAGAAAGAAAGAGGCATGCTCGTGGAACTCTTCCAAAAGGTAAAGGTCAATGTTAACTCGGTCAAGGAAGAAGGTCGTGGGGCTGGCAAGAGACGGGTGCGGATCTTGATCACTGAGGCATGAACAGCGTGTCTACCTTTTATGTATTCTAGAAAAGGGGAATTGACGCACACAACTACTCACTTTACTAAGTTTTACCACGAATTTACACATAGTATGTGAGGACCTGTGAAAAAATATAGAGGAAGAGAGATAGGACATTTTAGATATGCAAAAAGCTCTACAGACAGCGAGCGAAAGGGCTCATGACTCTACGTGGGTAGGGAACGAGTGAGCAGAAATCAGAGGTGACGAATGTTTAGGAGAAATTAGCTACGGAGAGAGCTCAAGCTCAAGTGAGTTGAAGGTAACAAACCATCCTCACTGATGAACACTTTTATCAGACAAGCAAGTTGATGATGAGGTGAATGTCTGAAATATCCTTTCCCTTTTGAGGAGATCACTCAGTCAATACTACTCACTCCTTCGTTTCCTCATTTTCATGATCGTGAGACTCCTTCTGTCTCCAGTCGTCTCTCTGACTTGCCTGATTTCTCTGGCCCTATCAAAAGCTGCGAGTTTCGACTCTAACGGGCTCCTTCTCTCATATCCAGAGTCTGATTAAGGAGGAGACAATAAAACTGCAGCAACTGTTATCATACCTTCAGAGGGTTGAGAGAACATCGCCTTCTGATTAAGCGGGTCTTAACTAGATAAATTTAAAAAAAACCATGTGTTCAAAAAATGAAGGTCGTGCCCGGGATCGAACTGGGATTGCCAGAATCAGAATCTGGAGTGCTAACCATTACACTACACAACCCGATCTGGTTAGATCAAAGTCTATGGTAGTCCAAATTACCCCTATCTTATTATACTTGATCATTTGTTTAAGGTTACGCGTATGTTCGCCTAAATTCATTCGGTAGAGATTTCTATTTATCTACGGCCTGTGATTAGTTCCTAGTGTACAAAAGATAAGAAAAAAAAATTAGATGAAAAAATAATGGGGGGCGAAAAAATAAAGGTCGTGCCCGGGATCGAACCGGGATTGCCAGAATCAGAATCTGGAGTGCTAACCATTACACTACACAACCTGAGTCAGTGGCCAAACCAGCCATTGAATTCTCATGAACTAGGAAGTTTTCCACTCATCCCAGTTATTCCTAGCATGATCTTTATTTTTTACATTAAATTACCTGATGCTCATTCCGAGGTCTTTTCAACCTTTAGTAGATACTCTAGGCCGGTTACGTCTAAACTTTCCACAAGTCCTGGTTCAACCAGACTGCGCTCGAGGGAATAATACGTTTAAATCGAAGCACTGGGAAAACCTGCCATGCTTTTCACATTTTATATACCCATCCTTCTTTCTAAAGATCTTAATAACCATGTTCATACGCGCTTTATAGCAACCATTCTGCGTACCAGACCGAATGGAGCCCACAACTGCGCATTAGTAGTGGCGGTGGACGTGGAAGTAGACAGGATAGTGGCAGGACGGTCTCGCTTTTCACCACTACCAACCTCTTCCGTTAGAGGCCCACTCTGGACGGCCGCTTCACGTCGCCGCTCTTCACGCTCCTGCTCGCCGACCTTCCAGCCACGGACAATCCACAGGAACAAGGAAGCGCCAATGTATGCAAATCCCGTGAAGATTTGAAGGTGTTGATAGGATGATCCACCGCCGGGAAGGTGAGCGCGAAGTTCCAAGGCAATAGGTTCGGAAACGGTGCAGGGTGCGACGAGAAATAGCCAGGTAATGCTGAGACCGGAGGGTAGGTCTCGCAGGCCGATGATTTCAGCCAGCACAGGCGAGACAGTTGCCCAATATGTACCGGAGACGGTGCCAACCAAGACAGCAAAGAAGCAGGTGACGCCCATATTGTCCGCGAAGATCCAGATAATGAGACAGAAGAAGCCGCAGCAGAAAGAGAGCAGCGTGGCAATGTTGATGCGGCCTAGGCGGTCGCTGAACATGCCCACAAATGGACGCCCCAGGCCCTGCCCCAGATTCAGGAGGGCTGAAACAATACTCGCCTGGTGCGAGGAGAGACCAATTGATAGTGCGAAATCGGCCATGCTAAACAGCAGCGATACGTAGCCCAGCATACTGAAGACTCCCCAACAGAGAAAGGATAGAAACTCCGGCCGGCGTAGAAGTGGGAAGTGAAATGCCGTCAGACGGCTGCCAATTGCTTTATTGCGGTCTCGAAGCAGGTTCGCACAGACTAGATTCACGACGCACGAGACGATCCCTAGCACACGGAATGTCCAGGCCAAGCCTATTCGCGGGATCATTGCGCCCACGGCTAGCGACCAGATCAAACCACCGAGTCCGGATCCTGCAGCCGTGATGCCCATGGCAACACTCCGGCGCTTCAGAAACCACTGCGGAGCAATGCTGACACTCCCAACGAACAGAAATCCCATCCCGAAGCCGAAGCAAACACCCTGGCTTAGGAAAATCTGCCATTTTTTCGAAGCAAACGAAGCCCCAATGAAAGACAGGGTCTCGAAGAAGACGCCGAGATTCAGCACAATGCGTGTGCCGCACAGCTGGATCAAGTATGTGGAGAGTGGGGCAATAAGTAAAGCACAGGAAATGCTAAGACCGCCTGTGAAGGCGTATGCGAGGACTGAAGTATTGGGGAATACATCATGGGAGAGATAGTAGGAGAGAAAGACGCCGTAACTCTGCGCATGGAAGTCGGTTAGCCGCGAAAACCCCACAATAGTTTCCTGATACTGACGCTATTGATTCCCCAGGTGTGCGCATTGATCCAGAAGACGCACGCGACACAGACCCAGCCATATCCACCGTCCGGAGGCAATGCGCGGTTGTCTTTCTCGTCTTCGTCACCGTCAGGTTGTGGTTCAGTCTGTGACTGCACATTGTGGTCTTGCCCATGTCGCGAGGTGTGTTCAAAATCCAAGTCATTACTGTCGTGCGAACGAATAATATCAATCGGCGTATTGTCCGCCATCGTGAACTCGAGGAATTATTGATTTGTTGGTCCCTGCGACTCTCACTAGTAGCTTGACTGGATCCGAAACCGGTATACCGTTTGCATCACGATATGGAGGCGTGCGTGGTATACACAAGAACAAGACAAAAAGAAAGATCCCGGCAGGTTATTATCTGGACGGTCTTACGGATTAATGGCCGAGATCCCTATTTATGGCATAAAAAAAGGTCCGGTGTGCTCGTGGGGGGTTTAGCCGCAGTTTCGGCGCCCGCAGGCCAATGACGGGGCCCAGTGGCTCCTTCAGCAAGCGGGACCACCTCCCCTGTTCTTAGTTAGTTGTCAGTGCTCTTGCCTCCACCAGGTGCTGTGCCGAGTGCCGGTGCGGAGAGCTTGGGGGCGGGCCGCCTCCCAAGCCGCCCTGACTTCAGATATAGAATGAATAGAAGAAAGTCAACAAAATGACTCGAAAAACATCTTACTTGATGCTAGATCTTGCCAGATAATTATCATAGACAAGTACTACTGTACGCTATAGGTGGAATTAAGTATGAAAGGGGCCGTTGGGCAGACTGGGAACATTTTGGCATCAATGTCTATACGATTTATGTGCGCTCGGGCGGTCAGTTGTATTGATTCCCGGAAAGCAGGAGATTCGTGTCCATATTGAGAACGAGCCAATGTGGTGGGGTACGGATTGAACGTACTTGTCAAGCAATGGCGCGATGAATTAGGGGGACTCTCCGTGCCTTTGGCCCTCTGCTCTGACTGTCCTGCGCGAAATAATAGCTGTCTTCTGTCTCACACTAGAGATGCGTACTAAAAGTATTTCAACACAATCCCGCAGCGTGAGGACAATCTGATCTGCCAACTTGCTGCCTATTAGGTTTCATCATGGGTAACGACATCTCAATTAAGGGCGCTGATACTCTACTAGAAGTTCGCACATTACCAAAAGGGCTGGAGTGGTTCTCGGTTCAATTTTGGACCATATAGGCTTTTGATAAGCTAGATATGAGCGTGGATGTTGATTATCCCTCAGTTGGGTAACTATGCTTTCCGTGCGGCTAGGGTTGTTTCCTCTGCTTCTTCAGCAAGTAGATAAGATCAATATGCACTGAAATTTTTTTTACTACACCCAACATGTTTGTCTTAGTAATTTTTCTGCGGAGATGCTAGATATGACAATATTGCTATCGCTAATAATCAAGAGGAGCTCTTTGTAAAATAATACTTAAGTTTTCCTCGGCCAACTTCTATACTTCTCCATATCATCACGTGTGGATGAGTCAGGCGTTGCCGCGCCAGTTGTTTGTTGTGGCCCCTCCCGTTGCGTTATCTTGTTGATATTGGACTCATCCATTCCTCATCCCTTGATTGCCCCCAAACAGCAGCAGCCATGATGCACAAATCGAGGAAAGTGTCGCCGCCCGGGCCGACGTACATGTCCAGTGACCAGATCGGTTAGATCCCCTGAGATCCGCTTAGATTCCCGTCTTGTGGAATGTTTATCCCGCTAACTCCCTCCCGAATCACAGCAAGCTACCTGAAAGATCTCCGGATGAATCGACCAGCTCGTCCGACTGGCTCGCGCCCATTACCAGGGAAAACTTCCCCTTCAGATCTCCAGGATAACCTTCCTCCGCGCGCGGCCTCCGCGTTCTCCATGTATCGGCAGACCGACGCAGGCGAGGACGAGCCTCGCTCCAGCAGCTCCTTGGCTTCTCGCCGCACCTCGACCAACCGCCCCAACTCGATTGCCTTTGACCCGCCGCGCTCAGTCTCCGGGCGCAGCAAGATCTTTCCTGCCGAGGTGTTTTCTCGCACACTTCCGGACTCCTCGATCCCCTATTATCAGGAAAACCAGCAGCGACGCCAGGAGAGAGAAGAGGCACGGTCCCTTCGGGATGCCCTGCAGCAAGTGGACCTTCAGGATGAGGGAAGTCTGTTCCAAGCGGCGCAGGATGAAGCTGCGGAGCTGGTGTGGGCGCACCAGAACCCTGGCGTGCCATATAAAGACCCCCATGGCCCTTACCGCAACCCGGATAACACCAAGCGATATTCGGGTCGGATTTCGAGTATAAAAGGCCCACGGAGCGCTGCATCCTCTACCAGAATTCCAAGTGGATCATCCGGCGGCAGCTCTTCCAGTCCAGATAGTCAGAAATTCTCGAGCTCCTGGCGTTCGTCTCTCTCCAAGGACAAGAGCTACGGGCCTTTGAAGAAGAATTCTAAAGTCAACTTTGAATTGCCTGCAGAGGAGACCGACGGATCGAAAACAAGAAATATTAGCAGTGGTTCTTCCAAGGGGATCTTCAGAAACCCAAATGATCAAATATATGAGGAGCCTCGTGATCCTCGCAACCCGGAACAAAATGGCCAAGCCAGCTTATTCGGGTCCGACTCGTCCGCTCTGAAGTCAAAGCCGCGCAATTCCCTCCCAAGAATGGGCAAACCTCTTCCTTGGCTGCGGGATAGAAGCTCCAACAATGACCGCCCCATACTAGACAAGATCGCCCGTTTTGACAGCCACAAGAACCCTCCTAGCCAGTCTCAGAACCCCGCCTATACGAAAAACGATACCCTGCCCAAGCAGCCTCCCAGCACTCAGGAGGAGACCGCACCTACAAAGGGAGGAATGGAGATCCGCAGCGACGACATCCGCGCAGCCACCAGTAAGAAGTTCAAAGACCGAAGTGACAACTTGCCCAAGCCTTCCGCGGTCAGTGATCGAGCCGGCCGGCCCATTGTCAGCTTTGATCCTAAATGGCAGCCGAGTGAGCAATCGCGGCCCAATCGTCAGGTTCGAGAGTCGACCTCTCGGGCCGCTCCCCAATCCCGGCGGCGCCAACGATCCAAGTATCCGAGGCACCCCCAGTCCCAGTTATCAATGTCCCGGACATCCAAGAACCGACTATCTCCGAGATTTCAGAGCCTTCTCGCCAAGAGATTCAGTCCGCAGCTAGGAGCAGTCAGAGCCAACAGCCAGCCCCAAAGAAGCAAACTTCCAACTCGCGCGGCCAATGGTACTCACCATACACGCGGAGCGGTGTCCCTACGGCGTGCTGCGAGTCCTGTTCGCTTGGAATCTCTGGAAGGATTGTAACCGCTGGAGGCTCGCGTTTCCATCCAGAATGCTTCACCTGTTTCCACTGCCAGACGGCGCTCGAATGCGTGGCTTTCTACGAGGAACCCGAATCCAGTCGTGCGGAACGACTGGCAAATGCACAACCACATGACGAAGAGGCCCACGTCCCGCGGTTCTACTGCCACCTCGACTTCCATGAACTCTACAGCCCCCGCTGTAAGAGTTGCAAGACCCCAATTGAAGGCGAGGTGGTGGTTGCCTGTGGTGCCGAATGGCATGTCGGCCATTTCTTCTGCGCCGAGTGCGGTGATCCCTTCAACCCACAGACCCCGTTTGTGGAGAAGGACGGTTTTGCATGGTGTCTCAACTGCCATTCCCACCGCACGGCACCGCGCTGCCAGGGCTGTAAACAGAATGTGCTGGACGAGGTCGTCATTTCTGCCATTGGCGGACAGTGGCACGAACGGTGTTTCGTTTGCCATGAATGTGGCGATGGGTTTGGGCCTGAGGGACGCTTCTTCGTTCGCGAGGGCGAGCCTAGGCGGACAGCGAAGGGGCGCATTATCGGTGGCCCGGTGCAATTGGCCATCTGTGAGAACTGCGAAGGCATTCGCCTCAAAGCTCCTGGGATGTGTTAGGAGTAACATGCTTGGCTAATGAGTTATTGATTTTATGATATTTAATAGTTTTGTGATTTTGGACGTTGGCCGTTTGGGATCCTTATTGATTGGTATTTGGTTTCTGCATGTGTTTTTATCTATCAAGCTTGTTTTGGAATGTATTGTTCTTTTTTGCAGTGCTTGCCGTCCATGGATGTCAAGCAGAGACTTCTTGCATTGCTTTCTCTGTTCTTCTTAGGCAGGCCACTCCGGATCGGCCTTGCGTCTGAAAACAGCCACGTACTTGTTGCCCTTATTCCGGGTGACCTTCTTCGACTCCTCCGTTTCAAACTTCATAACGCGAAGGCAAGGATCCTGCTCTAGCTCACTCTCCGACACACGCTCCCAAAGATCCTTGATTCCGCCAGAGACAGATTGCGTCTCCGGGTCGTGCTGGAAATGTCGCAGAATCCAATGATGGTACTCCTCCACGTCAGTAATGGTATACAACAATCCCCCCGGGCGTAGCACGTAGGCGTACTCGGCATTCAGGGACTCGGAGATGATCCGCGCTTTGTGCTTGCGCGCCTTGAAGTGCGGGTCGGGAAAGCAAATGAAGATCTTGGACAGCTGGTGGTGGCCGAAGAAGTTGGGGAGAAACTTCATCGTGTTGGCTCGGATCGCGGAGATGTTCTCGTAGTTGCCGGGGACGATGGCCGTCGTTGTGCCGGCTTCGTCGGCGGGCTTATCGGATGTTTTTTGGACTGGCTCCTCCTCCGCGGCGGTGGGGGCAGGAGAGTCTGAAGGTGTGGCGGCGGCTTTGTTCTTGAGGTGCTGCTGCTGTGTGCGGAGAAAGCAGATGCGAGAGTTCAGGTATTCGAGGACCTGGGTTCGGATTTCCATGCCTACTTCTGTGATTAGAGTGTGTCTAATCTTGTCTCTCTCCCTCCCACATGGGTCCGACTCACCAACCATCAGCGTCTCTGGCAATAATGGCGCCAGCGCAACCGTCAACCCGCCAAATCCGCACCCAATATCCACAATCTCGACATCCTTCACCAGTTTCCGTGCACCGTCGGGAGTCGTCTTCGAGGAATCCGGATCCACGAATGCCGGGTAATGCGACGACCAGTCCATATGAGCTGGACTCAGCGGACTATTCGCAGATTAGCATTCATTCATTTTTTTCTTTCCCAAATATATATATCTCATATCTTAGAAACGTACTAGTCCAGGTGGTGATCCGAGAAGGGATTCGCATGCGCGCGCTGCCGGAAGAACCGCTTCTGCGGCGCCTTGAAGCTCGCTGTCTCGTCGGAGGCAGCATTGGTCAATTGTTGGCGGTATTCCTCGCGCTTTTGGCGCTTGTACGGGGGAGGCGTTGTCATGGTGCTCTGTGTATGTGGTCAATTGGTGGGAGGAGAAAAGAGAAAGAGAAGAGAGAAGGTCAAGATCACGGCAGAATAATTTGCGGGATGCCCCACTCTGATCTACACTTCCAACTTCCACCTCTTCTTCGTCTTCTTCCTCATTCAACCCTCTCAAAAGCTACATTTTGACCACCGAATAAGCGACAATGGCCACCTCCACTACATCCGCAACCGCTCAACCCTTCCCTTTCCCACCAACCTACAACTTTCCCCCCTTCTTCACCCCGCAACCAAACACCACAACCCGCCACTCACAGCTTCACAAATGGTCCCTCCTAATCCAAGCCTGGTGCCGCCACCACCGCCAATACCGACTGAATCTTATCGACGCAGTTGACACGCCGCTCTTCCACAACGCGGCGCTACGCAAACGCCTGGATCTGCGCGAGGCGCGCGCTGTGGTCGATTGGATGTGTAGGTCGGAGGAGGAGGGTGGTGGGGGTAGGCGCGCTGAGTGGATTGATGCCGATGGCCAAAAATCGGTTGCTTGGATTTGGTGGCGTAGGCCGGAGGAGTGGGCAGACGTTGTGAGCGAGTGGGTTGAAGGGACCGGGCAGAAAGGGAGTGTGTTGACCGTTTATGAGATTGTACAGGGGGAGGGGTCTGCGTCGCAAGGTATTTTTCTCTTCTTTTCCTGGGGCGTGGGCTTAGAAGCTGACTTTGACTCTTTTTCTTCTGCTGAAGAGTTCCATGGGATGGATCTTGAGCTCATGCTCAAGTCCCTGCAGGTTCTGGTCAAGCGCGGCAAGGCACAGGTCTTCGGCAGCGAGGGCCAAGAGGGCGTCAAGTTCTTTTAAGGCTCTTGCATGTATGCATTGCAATGATCATGGATATTCGTTTCGTGACAGACCAACAAACGCTCTGATCGGTCATAAAGGGCGCCAGAAACAACAGCAAAGAGCTGCTAATGCTAATTACAACATATCTCAATAAGCCGATATGGAAAGGCTATTTGGACCCAGCTTAATCAACCGCCATCTCATCCGCCTTCCCCGCCATTTCCGCCATCTCCTCCGTGAGCTCATAGTCGTCTGCGGCTCGTGTCTCCTGCGACATGGCCATGTCCAACAGCCAGTCCACGCGCACGATGCGCGGCGTCTTGTGGATATCATGCGACACCTGCCGGAACCGCGGCCATAGGCGCGTATGCTCGGGCGCCAGGCTGCTGAGGAGAAAGACCTCATCCTTGACAGGCTCGTCCTCCATATCGCTGTCTTCGTCATCGCTTTCTTCCCGCCGGGAGTGCTTGGCGAGCTGGAGACGGCCGCGGAAGAGCGAGCATTCTCCGCCGTTCGCCTGCGCAATGGACTGGAACGCTTCGAATCCGCCGCGGATACTCTCGACGCAGTAGATGCGATAGCCCTGCAGGAGCTTGTTCTTGTTCTTCTTTGCTAGCTTTGCGGCATGGGCAAGAGAGAATCCAAACTTCGTCTCGGCCACTTGGTCCTTGAGCGGGAATTCTGCCGGGTTCAAGAGCTCGTTTTTCTTGAGACAGCTGGTGATGTACTCGATGTTGACGATTACCGGAGCATACGCCAGGGCGTTGACGAATTTTGGGGTTCGCAGGATCGACGGCGCTGCGAGATGGGTACATCTGCGCGCGTCTTGGACAACCATGACCCCAAGGTCTCGGAGGTGTCGCTGTGGCATTGTTAGAGGGACTGCATAATAGATTTAGAGACCGAACAAACAAACCTTGTCTGCATCTTCCTTCTTCATATTCCCCACCCACTTCTGGTAGCCGGTAATCAAAAGATGCATCGCAATTGGCGGCCGGGACTTCTTCTGGCGCTTGGAATCTGTCTGCTCCCCGTCGCTTTCATCCTGAGCTTCCACAGATCGCCGCTTCTTGTTTTCAGGCACCCGGTCCTCGTCCGACTTGCGTCGCCCACCGTAGACGACCCCTCCCACGCGCTTCTTCTCTTTCTCGTACAGGGCGATATCTGGAGCGATTTCGTGGAGTCGGGCAGTAGCTGCATCCTTGGACCTGCGGCTACTGGTCGATGACGGGGTATCGTTCTCCTTACCCTCGGGGATGAGCCGGGATCGTGCTGGTGTTTTTCTGGTATCTGAAAGCCGTCGGGACTTTCCCTTTGTCTGAGGCGTGCCGTGCGTTGTGTCCGCAATATCTTCGTCCATACTGTGTCCTTTTGGAGGAGGCTGTATTGAGGTGGTATTCTGGTCTTTATTCTGCATCACAGGGCGCCCGGGACTCGGAAGAACGGTGTCTTCGGATGGGAAAAACACCTGCTCGAGAACATCACGGTTTAGACGTGTCTGGCCAGCCACTTCTCCGAGATTTGTTCGGAGTGGGAAGTGGCTATATCGCGGATCAGAGGTCGGTAGCATCTTCCACTTCGCATAGCTCTCCTCAAGCCATAGGTGGTTGACTACCTCCAAGCCCCATTCCCGAGCTGCACTGCATTTCTCGCTGTTTCCGTGAGCTGTGATAAGGTGGGTATTATCTTGTTTCAATGTTTTGGTGCACTCAGCACCGGCCGCTGCGATGAGATTTTCCAAGTAAATCCTCGCCTCGCCGACGTAGTTTGAAAGACTAATCTTCAGTCCCTTGAATTCAGGGATTCCAGAGCGATCAACGGGGTAGTGAAGAAGCCGTCGCAATGGCGATGTATACGTATTGAAAGTCATAAGACGATAAAGCCAGGCTAGGTTGCCAACTTCTTTATGCAGTCTGGATGCTGTCCGATACGCCACACCTTCACGAAAGCGGCAAATCAGGATATCCGTATCATAGACGTTGGACGTGACCGTACCACCTCCGTGTTCGATGACCGCTTCGATGCTTTCCTGCAGACGGTGGCCAATGCCGAGATCTGAGGACAGCTGGACACGCTTCCCTTCGAAAACGCTCCTGTCGTTCTCACGAGATGACGAGGTAGGCAGACCGGATGGATCTGGTGTAGATGCACCGACCAGATCTTTGTTCTCATGCCACTGAATGGGCACATTGGGGCCAGCGCGCAGAATCTCCGGGTCGGGGAGCAGGTATGGCGTCTCGATAATGCGTCGACCGAGTTTCAAGCAGTCATCAAACCTAATAACAATCCAATCAGGAGTGGCCTTTTCTTGACTTCCATACTAGGACCTACCAGTGTGGCAGCACAACCTTGATGTTCAACTTCTTCGCTTTCACAAGACGCGCCTTATCCGAATCAGCACTTAAATCCACGAGATGCGTGACCATCAGAGTGACTCGAGGGCTGTAAAGCCCGCCTTTAGCCACCACTCCGCCGATAATAGCATCTTTGTCTCCCTCTGGGATATCACCGCAGGTAACCACCACATCGTTCAAAAAGAGGCGAGGATCAGGACTGTGCTGGCGCGGGTTGGCCAGCTTATTTTTCGCGAGCGATGTCTGCACCCACTGCGGTTTCACGACGGGGATCAGCGCGTCGCAAGCAGTCTCGTAGGCTTTGAAGTCGATGGTGTTGGAAATGATATGGGTGAATTGGGCAACATTCTCAAATTCCACGTGCTCTTCGACAATGAAGGTCTCGCCGCTGTTCTGGCTGACGGTTGTCGCGAGCTGAAGGTGGGCTGTCAACTAGGCAGGCTCGAGTCAGTGGGGAAGAACAAGGTGCGCACCTGTTGTGCTGTCTCTGAAGACAGACTCTTGGAGCAGACGATACAGAGATTGCACTGGTCGAAGAGTTGGAACTCCTCGTCGTGTGCCATGGTTGGGAGAGCGAGGGCTGAGTGGCTCGAGACTAACGGGAGAGAAACAGATTGCGACGCGCCCAAAACGCGCGAAGCCAACGCCTGCTCACGTGACGGTCGGTATACAACAAAAGATCATATGGTAGGTTCGGGAATATGGCTAATAGATGGTATAGTAGTTACTATATCGTTAACTACCTACACTGAGATAGGCGATTGGATATAGGAATTAGTTCTAAATGGGAATATTCCGAGAGGAGGTGTGTACAGGGGACTTGTACGATAATTCATCCTACCAGTCAAGCATAATTATACGACTAGGACAGTTACTACCCGATTAAGCAGACAAGATAATGATAATTATAAAAAAGAAACAAGAGCGCGATTCATTGTGTATCGCAGCAGACAGCAGCAAGGCATCGCCAGTCGGCAGTTGGCACCGTCACCATGCGACATCCTCGGCTCGGCATTATTGGCTCTGCCTTATTTCCCGGGGCCCCATATAATTATTCATGATCGCATCGCATCCCCAACCTCTTCACATATTATCAGTATCATGGCATCGCCCTTCCGCATCGTTGAGCATGTGGTACCCTGCCAGCACATTCGCGAGTATCCTGCCGCCACCGCGGGCGTGGACGACACGCTCCACCTGGCCGTGAAGCAGTACATCCCGCTCGACAACCCCGACCCGCAGCCCGGCGACGTGACGATTCTCGCGGCGCATGCGAATGGATTTCCCAAGGTATTTGTTTATGTGATGTACATAACCTGCAATATTTTCTCACATACCGTCTCTAGGAACTCTACGAGCCGCTGTGGGAGGAGATCCATGCTCGGTCCAAGGCTAGCGGCTTTCGCATCCGGAGTATCTGGATGTCCGATGTTGCGCAGGAGGGCCAGAGCAGTGTTATTAATGAAGATGTGCTGGGCAACGACCGTATGTCCTGGTTATCTATTTAATTGTCGCATACTGACCTCCCATCCTCGCTCCAGCTAGCTGGTTCGACCATCCGCGAGATCTTTTACACTTAGTCAACGTCAAGCGAGCGGAAATGCCCCGGCCCATCGTCGGCGTTGGGCATAGCATGGGCGGCGCACATCTGTCAGTGCCTTCCTTCTTTCTTTCAGTATCCATGACTTGCGACTAACTGTTTCCCTCCAGTGCACAATTATGCTTAATGCACCCGCGCTTGATTCACACACTGGTCCTTTTGGACCCAGTAATCCAGCGCCAGACAACCCAGCTAGACGGACTCAGTCTGCACAACGATAAGAAGCATGTCATCGCCAAAACCACCCAGCTCTCCACCTACCGGCGCGACCTATGGCCCTCGCGCCAGGCCGCCGCAGACGGATTCAAGCGCAGCCCATTCTATCAGGCCTGGGATCCGCGCGTGCTGGCTCGCTGGGTCGAGCACGGGCTGCGAGATCTGCCAACGGTCATCCACCCGCTCACCGAGAAGACCATCACAGATAAGGGCTCGACGCCCGTGACGCTGCGTACGCCTCTCCACCAGGAAGTCTTCACCTTCTCACGGCCAAACTACCACAACGACCCGAGTGACAACAAGCCCGTCAACCGAGTAACGCACCCAGACCTAGATGCCACACATCTAGGCTCATTCCCATTTTACCGACCTGAGCCATGGCGGATCTTCGCCCAGCTCCCGCATCTGCGCCCCAGCGTGCTGTACATCTTCGCCGGCAAGTCGGACATGTGTCTGCCCGCGATGCGCGCCGACAAACTGTCCAACACGGGCACCGGCATCGGCGGGAGCGGCGGCGTGGCTGCGGGCCGCGTGCGCGAGGTGTTTCTGGAGGATTTTGGGCATTTGCTCGCGCAGGAGGCTGTGAATGAGTGTGCTGATGCGGCGGCTTCTTGGCTTGCGCCTGAGCTAAGGCGCTGGAGGGATGAGGAGGAGAGTTTCCGCGCGGAGTGGAGGAAGAAATCGCGTGTTCAGAAGATGACTATTGATGCGGAGTGGTTGAAGAATGTCCCTGCGCCACCGCGGAGGCCTAATAAGACAAAGGCTGAGCAAGGCGGGGAGTCGAAGTTGTGAGCGAGTGCATATAACTAACCGCGCAAGAGGATAGGTTGGTGCCTTTTGTATATACAGACAACAACAAGCATATATGAGCTCAGCCCACGGGTCTGGGATTACGGTGACCTAGAATACAGTCATGACGAATTTCATTGTTTTCTACCGGCTATCTGTGTTCCTGTTGAAGAGGGTAAGTTCAAATAGAGGATCAGCGAGAGTAAACTCGATTCAGCAATCGTCAATCAACCACCCATTCCCATTTATAGCAAACACCTCTGCTCCTCTGCTCATATCTATGATTTTCAGGGCAGGCTCTCTCCCATCAGCAACGCCAAACAGAACGGATCGCAAACTGCCTGACAACATAAGACACAAAGCGCATCAGTAAAGGAAAGGAATGTCGGTATCTATTTTCGTGGTTGGTTATAATTGCACTTGGAAACAGCAATTCACGTATCCAGACGAGAGAAAGAAAATAAGCTTAGGTCGACTTCTTGTCTCTGGTCACTCCGTTCTCGCCTACCGGGGGCGAGGTGCGAATGACCTCGGGGATATGCCAGGCGCGCGCCCAGCGCAGATGGTATTCGTCCTGGCGCTGGTTCAGACAATGGCGGAGCCAGATGCCCCAGATGATGTAGAGATAAGCGCCGATGCCGGTCATGATGTGCCTTGGGAAAAGTCATTAGTTGCTGAACCACTTTTGAAAGATAATGGAACAAAACATACCACCAACCATGCCCCTCCAAAAAGATCCCCCACGGTAACCCGACGGTCCGACGCCACCGGCGGATCTGCGAGCAGAACTGATTGTCCAGATTCCAGATCAAGAAGCCACCCAGGAACATGCTCAGCCCGTAGCCAACCATAAACCACATTGTCTTGAGGGTCTTCATATCGCGCACGTTCTCATAGAGCTGGCGCTCCTTGGTCGGAACAGGGAGGCCCTTCTTCTCGCGGGCAAGACGATCCTCCTCCCGTGTCTTGCGCCATTTAGGTCGCAGCGTTTTCTCCATGGTATACACGCTCCGCAGGATGACGACCGTGGTCAGCAGCGCATAGGCGTTCTGGTGGAAGACTGGATCCTGGAGGTAATGGTAGTACAGGGTGATGAAGACGGCGAGACTGAGGAGGGAGACGGCGAGGAAGAGGCGCACGCGGGTGGGGCGGGAGTAGGAGAATGAGGCGTAGGCCATTAGGCAGGTTGTGTAGATCATGGAGAGCTCGTCGACTAGCTGCATGGGGTCTGTTGTGGAGGCGCATCAGTTAGCTATGGATGTGATCTATTGCAGCAGTTGAGCACGTACATTTCAGCGTCGAGTGGAACAGGAAGCTTCCCGTGCCGACAAGCAGATATCCGACGTAGGCGACCAGGAAGATCTGGTCATGCTGATTGCGGCGGCAGCTGATGATGCCCTTGATGCCCAGCCACATGAACAGCAGGTTCGTCAGGGTATTGACGATCTCAGCGGCGTAGACCGTGGCATAGTAGTCCTGGATGGGGGTCAGCTCTCAGCTTGCAGCTCGTTTGCCATAACATGACGTACCTCCTCGCACCAATTCAGCGTCGAGGTGACGGGGCTCCAGTAGCCCGTCTTGGCTGACGGGTATGGGATGAAAGGGAAGGGCATGTTTTGGTTGGGATTGCAGACTGCTGGAGGAAGAAGAAGAGGTGAGAGGCAACAGCAAACAGAGCATGAGTTCGAAAGAGACGGTGACGTCGATTACCAACACACCCGTTCATTGGCCGCGCGGCTGTCCGCGGCATCCGGGCTGAAAGCGGCTAGTTATGCAAACAGGTAAGTTATGCGGATGATGAGAGGAATGTCTATGAGAGGATCCAAATCGGAATTATCGTCGTATTGTGGTCTATTATTATTATTATTGTTGTTGTTGACCCAATGAATTGGTGTTCGTGCCGAGGTGCCTATACTCTATGCTAATCGGAGTGCCAAAACGCCGATCCGATGACTTCACCCTCGACCCTTGCACTTCACGGTTGTTGATCCTTTCAGCGAGCCCCATCGGACGGACGGGGTGCATCTCTGATCCCTCTTTCCCTCTCTCTCTCTCTCTCTCTCCACTACAGCCACCTGGGGGCTCTTGCTTCCTCGTTGTTCACGGAGTTCGTTGTCGCAGTTAAAAACTCCACGCCGACCCCGATGCCACCCGATGCAGCCTCGACTCTAATCCTCTCATCCCGTTGCTCTCTTCCCCCGCCACGGTCATTGCAGACCAGGCGCGATGTCCAATAATGGGACCTACGTCGTGCAGCCGGTGAAGGCAGGCGCCTCAACACGTATGGCCTCCAAACACCCACCTCCTCCCTTGCGTGTTGCTGGACTTCGTGCTAAACTGAATTGCTGAGTATATAGCATCCAAAACTTCCTTCCACTTCGCCGCAGGCCTCTGCTCCGGCCTTACCTCCTCCATTCTCCTCCAACCCGCCGACCTTCTCAAAACCCGCGTCCAGCAATCTCACAAAACCGCCGCCCTCCTCCCAACCCTCAAAGCCATCCTCTCCTCCCCGAATCCAGTGCGCGGACTATGGCGCGGCACGCTGCCCTCAGCACTCCGCACGGGCTTCGGGTCCGCTCTCTACTTCACCAGCCTGAATTCCCTGCGCCAAACACTCGCCCAAACCAATGCGCCCTTCGCCCTTGCTAGCCCACCACCCGGTGGTAGCGCCGCCAAACAGACTTCCTCTTCCTCGGTGCTTCCGAAATTGTCCAATACGGCGAACTTGGCGACGGGGGCTGTTGCGCGCGTCGCGGCGGGGTTTGTCATGATGCCGGTCACCGTTCTGAAGGTGCGATACGAGTCTGACTATTACGCCTACCGGAGTTTATGGAGCGCGGGTCGGGATATCCTGCGGACGGAAGGGATGCGCGGTCTATTCGCAGGATTCGGCGCTACGGCTGCTCGCGATGCACCGTATGCCGGTTTATATGTGCTGTTCTACGAGCAGCTGAAGCGGCAGTTTGCTTCGATGGCTCCAACGCGCTCTCCTACTAGTGACGGGACACCTCCGGCCAGCATGTCTTCGTCGTCGATCCATTTTGTGTCAGGTGCTTCCGCTGCGGGCCTGGCGACAGCAATTACCAATCCGTTTGATGCAGTCAAGACCCGGCTGCAGCTCATGCCATCCAAGTATGGCAATATGATGCGTGCGGTGAGGTTGATGATTCAGGAGGATGGGGTGCGGAGTCTCTTTGGCGGACTGGGGATTCGCATGGCACGCAAGGCGCTCAGCTCGGCACTTGCTTGGACTGTCTATGAGGAGCTCATTCTCCGTGCTGAGAAGCGGTGGGCGGCAGATCAGCAGATGAACCTATGACCGGATGATTGGCGGTGATGCCCAAAGCTCTATATCGGGACGCAACCGTCTCTTGCTGATTGTCGATTCAACGCAATCATTGTCACCATTTGATTTGTGGCATTCGCCGTGGCATTTACCAAAAGCCGTATATTTAGCAAGAAAAAGATGGCTGAATATATAGAAAGGAGCAGTGTTTGATGCAAGGAGCACAACAGAAGGCAAACAAACGAAGAAAGGTCATCATCTCGTGTCAAGCGTTGCTGGTCCACCACCATCAACCCATCGTCTTCACTCAGGGAAAAAAAAAAGGAACAACATTTCAAAACATCAAGTCCGGGTCTCATAGTAGAACGCAAACAAAACAAACCACCATCAGGTCAAGATCCACGACTTCCGGCTCGGGCTTTTCTTCCGCACGAGGTACATCTTGTCCTTGTTGCGGTCGTTGACACGGAGCTCGGTCGTGGAGCTGGAGGTCTGGGTGAGCACTTTGCCCTCGCGGATACGCTTGGTGTGGGAGAAGAGCTTGTCCTGGAAGTCCTCGTCGACCCATTTCTTGATGACGATGTAGTTGTGGTCGTGCTATAGAACCGGTCAGCCAACGCGCAAAAAATACGTTGCGAGGAAACCTACCACATCCCATTCCCAGGGGAGCTGGTAGGCCATCAAGGTCTCAGGCATCAGATGTTTACGATGGACCTGGGAGCGTTGTCAGTCACTGCCATTAGATAGAATAGGGGATGGGAACATACCCTGATCCATTTCTCCTCCCTCTCCTCGGGCTTCTTCTTCTTGTTCAGCATATCCTCAATCTGCTCATCAGTATAGCCAAGATCCTTGAGTCTCTCACGAAACTCCTTGTCTCGCTTGTCCGCCTCTTCTTTCTCCTTGAGTTTCTTCCGCTCCTGCTCAAGCTTCCACTCTTCAATAGCAGCCTTCTTCATCGCAAGTTCTTCCTTCTTTTTCTCGGCCTCCTTCAGCGCCTTACGAGCCTCTTCGTCCTTCAGCTCCTTCTTCACCCTCTCCCTCTCCTCTTCCTCCTCCTTCATCTTCGCAATCTCCTTCAGCTTCGCCTCCTTGAGCTTCGCCTTGATCTCGCTCTCCTGCGCCGCCTCGCGCTCCTGCTCCTCGAGCCTTTTAATCTTCCACTCCCGCTCCATCTCCCGTCGCTGATGCTCGGAGCCATTCTTCCGCTCAAGCCGTTGCAGTCGACGCAGCCGCTCACTGATCTCATCCTCATACTCCACTTCATCGCGGAGCAACCGCGTGTCGCGCGGAGCGTGCTGGTGACCTTCCAGCTCGCGCTCCAGCCTCTCAATCTCCTGTTGCTGCTTCCAGATCTCCCAGTCCTGGCGCATATCATTGCGGTCGAGCATGCGCTGGCCGACGACGAGATCATAGTCCCGCGGCAGCGGGGACACATCCCGCGACACGCCGCTGACCGCACGGCCCCGTCGCGGCGACCGGCCAAAGTCCTCGATGATCTCCTCGTCATTGATCCGCTGCTGTACCCGCCGCGGCTTGTTGCTCTGCTGGGCGTCTTGGAGCATCTCGTTGAATACCATGACGGTCGGCTGGTCTCGCGAGCGTCGGCCGCCTGTCGACGATGAGCGATGCACGCGGGTCGACACCGGCGGGACTAGGAAAGTCTCCGCGTCGCGGCGTCGTGAGGTCGAGCGCCGCCGGACGGAGGCTCGGAGGCCTCGGCCGCCGTGCATGGAGATGTCGGTTTCGGAGAAGTCATCGCTGTCGTCGTCGTCGATGACCCGGACCCGTTGAGGCATGGTGGTGGTGAACGTGGTTTAATATGGATGGATGGATGGATGGATGAAATAATGGGATGGAAAGAAGAGAAGAAAGTGCGTGACGAGGAGGGAAAGAGAGAAAAGAGGGGCAGCTGAAACGGAGGGGTGCGTATACGAACGGCTATCGGGGGCTGGCAGTAGGTATACTTCCTCAGTATGGGTATACGGAAGGACTCCTCGGTATCGTGCTTGAGTAACTACACTCGTACCCTTCCCGATGAACTGGGTAAGAAGAGAACACAAAAGAAGCAGAGCCCGCAGCGTATTTAATGTCAGCTGAACCTCAAGTCATGCCCATCTCGTCATCCCAGCCACCGCGGCTCCACTCCGTCCACTTGGTGACAGCAGGTTATTGAAGACCCAGGATGGAGAAGAGCATCACTTGTGCTAGCTTATCCTACTCTCTTATTCTCTTATTTTATCCTACTCTGTATAATGTTCGAGTACCACGGTTCTGTCGGGCGGAGCCACGGATACCTAGGGAAATCCGCTCTCCCTAACCGCCGCCTGCACCGCACACTCCACCGCTTGCCGCCCACCAGCCGCCCAGGACCCTCCCTGAAGCAAATCCGGCAGCGACCGAACAATAAGCCCCAATACCCCGCGGAGACGAACCACCTGGATCGTCCTATCGGCGACGCTAACCACCAACTGCATCAGATCATGCCGCGCCCGCCGATCCCAGTGGATGATCCCGTTGGGGATCAAGATGCGCGCCTCGTCTTCACAGGGCGAGTGTTGCTCGTCTAGCACGGCGGTCCCGAAATCGATCGCGTCGCTGGCATACACGACGTGGAACGCCGGTCCCACGCTGGCAAGCACCACTAGCTCCGGACGGTAAGTGACGTTGGGCGTGCAGCCGCCGAGGAGATGGGTGCGCGGGAACCCTGCGTATAGATGCAGGTGGTTGTTTTCTGCAGATGGAATCGGGACCCGCTCGAAGTTCGTGCCCCCTCGCATGCTCCCCTGGCTGTCCGGATTGTCTTCGATCCGCTGCCGCGGCGTTTTTGGGTCCTCGGACTGGAATGCCCAGTCGCAGAACCCGTGGAACAGTTGGCAGCGCAGGATCCGGAGCGGCTGCAGCGTGTACACGAAGTGCAAGTACTCGCTCGGGCTTTGGGTTTGGGATTCATTGCCATGGAAGAAAGGCGCCCAATTCTTCTCGACGAACTGCGGCTCCTCGTTGCGGATCGTGAGTGCAGTGCTGAAGTTTGAAAAGGGACGGTGAATCCACATGGCCCGTCTCCAGTATCCTTCGGGCTGTTGCTCCGTGGCCATGTTGAAGACAATCACCGGCTCCGCGCCGGACATGTCCTCCTGCAGGACGACGCGCGGGTCTTCGGGACCGAGAAACGTCATGTCTTCCTTCCAGTCCACGGGCACGTCGAAAAACCGCGGAAAGGTAACCCGCTCGCCGTTCCATTCGATTGTATAGTTCGGCAGGGGCTTCCAGTGCCTGTCGAAGACCCGCCCGCGCAGGAAACTGATGGTCGGCACCGCGAGATTCCCTGATGGATAGTAGATCACCCGACTGACAGTCAGGTATACATGCTGCTGGGGCAGCCAGACTCCCGAGCCAGCCAGCTCGGCCCAGGAGGCATCGACAAAGTCAAGAAATGGCAGGCTCTGATTCCGGAAGTCCCGTTCGATCTGTGGGTACTTCTGCAGTTCCTGGACAGCCAGCGTGAGGTTTTCCCGTAAAAAGAAACTCTTCTGTACACCGATCGCCCCAGTGCGTTTCCGACTATCGCAGGACTCGTCCAATTCGCCGTTATTCTGGAACCCAGCCAGAGACAACGTCTCCCATTCTCCTCCCGCTCTGTCGCCGGCATGACTGGTGAGGTAGTGTTCCACGGACTGTGGAGACAGCCGAGGATATTGCCCGTTAGTTTGGTGCCACGCGCCACACGTCATTCTTAATATCGAGGTCACTTACCGCTCGCACGGGCGTCAGGCGTAGGCGAGGGCCTAGAAGCCATAGCGCGAGGATGACGCCAATGGCGCCTAGGGCTATTCTCCAGGGCCGGATTGTGTAGTTGATGGCGCGGATCATTATTGCATCTTGTCTTGGTAGGTGACAACATGTAGTTACTATCTGGAAGGTCTTATATTAATTATTGATTCTCCGCGGTACCCGTTCCTGGAAACTCCCCGTTTAGGGCAGGGCCTGACTGGAGTCGCAGTGCAAGGTAGGTTACCAATGTCGTCCGCATTCTTACGAGAATCTTGGTTCTCCACGCTGCATTCCACCGGTGCCGATGCAGGCGCCGTTGCAGAGATAAGCTCATGGCCCCACCGCCGCTTTGGGCATGCCGGCTGTCGCATGGTGAAATAATTATCTTTTTGTCCAACGACGCCGCTGACAATTGTATTGTTCATTTATAGCACTACGGGCTATTTTGGGAAGATACTGATTGAGGCCGGCACGCTTTGTCCGTATTTGTCTCAATCACGTTAGGGCTGCGTGTATCGGCTGCTCATCTTTTCTTTTCAAATCCGCATAAACTCCAGCCGGGTATCCATGTAGTCAATACTTAGCGAGTAGTATAGGACTAGAACGAAGAGTATCGTTCGGTGCGAATGCACCGTCCTGCTTCTTCCCCCATGAAGCCAACTCCTTCGCTTCAGAATGCTGGGTCCGGTACGACCCTAGCACTCGATCACTCTCAAATCACTCTGTCGACAAACTTCGGACCCTGCGTCTCCACCAGACAAAGCAAGCAATTACGCTGCCAGGACGTAGTGACTGACGTCTGTCCCTCCTGATCTCCACTCCACTGCAAGACAATATTCCTTCACACCTTAATCACTTCAAGCCCTTCCTCCAGACTTGAGAATCTGCTCCAAATTCTCTCGACTATTCTTATGCGTCGTCTCATGATAGTGAAGCTTCTTCTCGAGATTGGTGATTTCCGCCGTAGACTCGGCGCTCTCACGTGCAAGACGCTTGTTCACTGCGTCGATGGGGACGTTGACGAACCTGTTTTTCTCTACCGTTAATCTGTATTCATAGCTGTGGCTCATCCAGTGCCTTCGAAGGAAAGAAGAAAGGGAGATGCTCACATCTTGCCCACGCCCTCATAAACACCCGTATCCGCCGGCAAGTCGGACAGCTCTTTCGATGTCAGCTGGAGCATGCGCACGTCGCGCTGCTTGGCTGTCATTTGGGACTTGGTGAGACTGATTTGTTGCTGCGAGGCTATGGCGCGGGCCTCGATCTCTTGGAGAAGCTGGAAGGTGGGGGAAAAACGGCGTGCGTTAGCTTATCAGAGGGATTTGTAGAGCGTAGTGTACACTTGGGTTGTGCGAGGTCTGGGTATTTGGAACCCGGGCAATGGGGCCGGGTACTCCTACTCACTTTCTGGAGAGCTTCGTTGGGGATCGACATTTTGTTTGGATTATTATGTAGTGGAATGGATTGGCGTGCTTGTTTTTGAGGGGCAAATGAGGGGCGGCGAGAGGAGAGTACAGGGGAAGATCGCCGGAACTCGTTCGATGTATATGAGGCGATTTGAGAGGGCGAAAAGAAGACCCGGCAGGACGTCTTATGGAATGATTGGTCGCTTCGAAGGGTGTTGATGTGGATAATCGAAGTTGAGGACGGAGAGCTACAAGTGTCGTGGGCGGTGTATGCCGGTTCAGGCGGTGAGATGATTATGCCCGACTTAGGGCAAGATCCGAGTTGGTACAGGTAACTCGGAAATGACACGATTATGCGTGATCCTTACGCAAATAGATTCAGGGTATGGGCCGCTGATTTCTTTAGGGCTGTTCACGATACGATATCGTTGGGATTATCTAATATCGTATATCGTATCGTCTAAAATCTCCAACGATAATTATCGTATATCGTATATCGTATCGTCAAAAATCTCCAACGATAATTATCGGATATCGTATATCGTATCGTCAAAAAATTTCCCACGACGATAATTATCGTACGATAATATCGTCGATATCGTTTATCGTGAACAGCCCTAGATTTCTTAGTCTGATTTTGGATTAGCTGGTAATATGTAGGAGAGATCGGGAAAGAAGGACTATAGCCGAAAACAATGGACCAAGCGCTGAGTTTCTGTTAAAGTCAAATACAAGCGTAGAAAATAGGAGAACAGTTCATTCAGAACAAGTAAACTGAGAGCAGAAGGCCGCCCGCCGTCTTTAATCTAACCAAGGTAACTGAAATCAAAATCCCGTCCAGCACCCAGCACCAGTAACTCAATTGAAAGAAATACAGAGATACAGGAGGATAATGAGGATTTCCAAGTCAGAAGACAGACTCAAAGAGATAGATAAATAGACAGAGAAAGAAGAAAAGGAAAGAGAAGGGGTTCTCGCACACCTGACTCCATTAAGCGTTGTTCCGCGCTTTTAGGATATCTCCCATAAAAGAAACCCTTCAGCATGACCGAGTTCCCTGTACTCTTAAGGAACGCAGTCAGCCAGCACACATCGGACCTCGCCAACATAGTATCATGATCATCGTTGAAAGTCATCACAGACCACTTAATAGCCTGGCTGCTGTTCAAACCAAGGCTCAAACTCAGTGCTGCTGACTTCATGGTGGTGTATATCCCACGACGGGTCCCGACCATCAGCCATATGCAGGCCCTGGTGGTGGTGATACACAGGGGCGATTTGTGTGGGGTAGTACGAAGCCGGACTTGGAGGCACAGAAGACCCCGAGGTGGTCAAGTAGGTGTTGGCAGCAGCGTCGTCATTCCAAACAGGGTAAGAAGGCGGCGTGACAAAGGCTGTGCCACTCTCAGCCGGAGGAAGGTCGCTGTCGTAGGAGAGGAGCTGGGGGTCCAGGTGGCTGGCCTCTGTCAGATGAGTGGCAACCGGATACATCGGCTGAGGTTGGAGCAGCTCGTGGTGTGTGGCACCGGGGAGAGCGGCCAGGGTGCTGCTGGGTGAGCCGAATTGCGCATCTTGGGGAGGAGGGCTAGGACGGCGGTAGTGCATGTCCATTTGCAGAGAGCTGGGGTGCACCATGGTTGGCAGACCGTGGGGAGCCTCCATGCGGCCTGGATAGCTCATGCTCCAAGAGCTGGGCATTCGCACAGGCTCTGCGTCAAAGGGAGTGGAGGTGCGGCTGCTGTTGCGTAGGCGGTTGACGTCGAAGCTCTGCCAGCGGCTGTGCAGGAGGAATGATGAACCCGGATTGCTGTGGTAATCGACATCATCCCAGTCGCTGGGGGTTGCGGGATCGCAGGTTGAGGATGGGGTGTTGGTCGCTTCGTCTGCACTCTGTCGTTTCCGAGCTGGAGGGACCTTGTTGTCCTTGGATGGCGAGAACTTGTAGTCCGGATGTGCTTTGGCGTGCTCGTCGCGCTCGATGCAAGCATATCGCTCGTATTTCTCGCGGATGTACTTCGGCTCCATTTTCCAACCCAAGCCACAGGCGCGCGAAACGGCCTGGTTATTGGTCTGGTTCAGATATCGCTTGATGCGATCCGTGTATGCCGACCTGTAGAGCATGAACGAGTTCATCGGCCGGGTGATCCTTCCCTTCTGCTTGACCTCTTCCCAGCGCTCCTCGAATGATCTGTTCACGTAGCTTTCGATGTCCTTGACGGGGACATCCGTCATGTGCTTGGTCAGCTCGCTCAGCGGCAGCGGGATGTACAATTCTTTTGAAGAAGAAGAATCGAACGAGGTGTCAGGCGTATCTGCCTCTCTGCGCTCGCGAGTTCGCCGCGCTTTAGGTGACCGGCTGAGCTTGGCTTTGGGAGTTGGCGCACGCCGGCGTGGCGGCGAGTTTCTTGGTGGCGGCGTTCCAACTGGACAAGGAACAAGTTCCTCATCTGAAGTTGGAGGGGGCGTATTGGTATTGGGGCCTGGCACGATCATCTAAGAAGTTCTGTTACCTTGGGCCGCCTTTCATAAGAATGATGGTACTTACCTGGGCCTGGAGTGGCATCGCGGGATATTGCAAGGCGGGCTGGAAGTATGGCGAAGGAGAGGCATAGAGCTGCAGATTGTTTAGCGCAGTCCTAGAGAATAAATATCACCAGGAGAGTCTTACCGTTGACACTGCCTGCGGCACAAACCCTGAATTGATCTCATCGCTTTGCATCTTGATCGGGTCAACCGTGTTGTAGAGAGGAGGATGTGGTGCGGTCTGTTGATAGATCTTTTCCGGCGACGGATCACCGTCCGTAGACCGGGGTGGCGAAGGAGGAATGGGAATGGTTCTGATAGTCATTTTGGAGAGGTTGTATCTGCGACCAGGAAGAAATAGAGCGGATCGGGTCAGATACAACCCGAATCACAGGCTATTCCGGAAGGGTCCCGGGGAGCAGAAAGAAAGAAGATGGGGAGATAAACTTCTAGAAAAGAAAAGGAAGGAGAATAAAAGAGGAGAAGGGAACGCCCGTCTGTTGTATGACGCCGGGAAGGGTTGTCCTGCATCTGAAAGCAAGACGGATTCTCAGACACCGGCCACGCAGAGGCCGACGGCCGGTGAAACAAACAGACACACAATCTAATTGGAGTTGCCTTTGGGATAGCCAATGCAGGCGTCCTCTTTTTCCATAGAAACACAAACGAAGAAGACCGACGTGTGTAAACGCGCAAAGAGGATGATGTTTGGAGAGAGTGGATAGATAGAGCCTGGGCGATCGATCCTCCCGGAGGCGATGAAGAATAAATAAGGAAACGACCGGGGACGGTCGCAAAGAGACCGCGATGGGGAGCGTAGGCGAACCGTTAGAGCCGGGGTTCACCCTTGACTCAAGCAGCGAGAAGCGGCACAGAAGATTGAGATACAGAATACGATGGCGTGGATCTATGTCCCTGGGTCACTATTAGTGCTGTATTATTATTTTCATTTTGTTTTTCTTATTATTGGTTTTGGGCTAATCCTTGTCATCTGGCCCGTCTTTGTCCTAGTCTCCTTCTCTGTGGTCGATTGGCGCGATGACAGCCTTGCCATTATTTTCATTCGCCCGAGCTCTCTTATTTTTTCTTTCTTCTTTATTTTCATTTGGGTTTAGTGATTGATTTTTATCTGGGGCGGCCGTGCAGTGCGCATTAGGATTGCATCCCGGAAGATGCGGCTGCCTCCTATTCCCTACCCTCTAAGCCCCAAACATTTGCTATGCTCTCCATGTCTTTGTGCCAAATATGGAGACGAAAGGGGGTGGTAGCGGGATATGCTGCAGGTCTTGACGTCTAGATAGTATCACCGAGTCAACTGAATAGGTCGGGGAAATATCCCGTGCGGTATGCTTTGCTCTGGACCGTTTACCAAATGTGCCCGACCACGGACCACTTCTTCTTCTCGCGTCGTCGCACGGCATCCGGGGATGGAACTAGACGAATGCAAATGAAAAAGACAGATGTACCGGGGTAGGGATCGCCCAGATTGGCGCTCCCCGAGAGTCCCAGAAGTTTGGCCCGGATGGTCAGCTTTGCGGCACGTATGCGAGAGGGAAAGCAGCTGCGCCGCCAAAAAAAAAAGCAATAATGCCAACTGCATATATCCGTTGGTCAATATGCGGGTCTCCCAATGAAGGGGGCTCTTTCTGCACATCCTATCCTGCTGATTCTCTGCTTCTCGATAGAGGTAAAGTTCGGCATTCTCCAGTTCCTACCTACCTGCCAAAATAGGGGGCGATTTTCAAATCGCGGACAACTGTCGAGCCAATCCTGCAGGTCATCAACGCGTTAACTGTCATTCTTTACGCTAAGGAAATAAATTACTAGCGGCTCGTTCTAGCGCATTGCGATCGCGGATCTGCTTCCTACCCTCACATAAACGCGCCGTCACAGTGTGAGTCTTAGGATATACTTCGAACTGGATTCTAGGCTGTTCGTTCTCCATCCTGTACAACATTAGACCCATGGATGGCGTCTAGATAAGGCCCGAGAGGGCAACAGTCTCAACGTCACGAGAAGGGCGATCATCATGAGTAGAGCGAACGGGCTGCTACGAATGGGCGAACTATGGATTTGGGACTAACGGGAGATAGGCTAGATTCGCGGGATCGGGTGACAAGGGGGTCTCCCCTAGCCACGCAGTTATACAGTAGTACGGATTGAGTTAGGGCTAGAGTGGGAATCCACCGATCGACGTAGACGCTGACAGGTGGAGTCAACTGCAGCCCGGTTTCCCCTTTTATTGGCCTGTTTTACGGGGTTGATGTATCCGGTGAACCCAACGGAATTTGACTGGAGCGGTCTCGCCCACGATCCACGGGCCGCTAGACCGCTAGGGCCTCTTTAAAAAGGGTGCCAGATCGGAGCCGGCTGCCGAGCCACGGCCGATCCCATGGATGGCAATGTGATGGGGACTACATTCATTTCCATCTGCCGACTTTTGCATCTCATCACATTGGGGCTGTGGTCGTCACGTGGCAGTACAGCCACCGAAACTGATCTGCACCCCGACACTCTTCCCTGTCAAAGTCCCCCTATCTGTATTATTATGATGGCCAGCATTGTCATTATTACCGGACGCTAAAATCCCGTGGAGTCTCAGTCTATGACAGGGCTAGACACATCGCGCCTGGCGCTTACTGGCTGCTTTCTGCCTCGACTCGCCGGAAATGGTCTAGTCGGACCAGGGCTCTTTCTTTCATGTCGACAACGGTGGGGGATAAGCTTGACTGAGGCCTCATGGCGTCCGCAGGAACGCCCAACCACGTTTTTCGCGATCCCCTCAGGCCCGTCCCTCTTTGTTGAACACGCATTCAGCCCGGGGAGACACTGCGCCTCTGCTCTAAACTCTCCGTCGAGTGGCTAATCCCCGAAGAGTGCAGCTGCATAGCCATGTGGTTGCTGACGGCCCAAGCGATGAGATCGGTCTCCGGGCTTATCTCCAGACAGTCCAATCTGCACCGGCTTTGCATCTGGGCTGGATGATCGTGGAGAAAACAACTCTAAATGTCCTAAACAGTCGTCTTCAGAGAAGCAGACATATGATACCTAGCCAGTTTAAGCATATTAGACAGGGACATATACCACTGACTCCCTCACGAAATCCGAGTTTTTGGAGACACAGACCAGTCGAAAGCCATCGGGGAGACGCACGAACCAGTGCTCAGGCCTCCCAAACCAATCATTCCCGCACTGCAGTTCTTGAACGATTGACAGCAAGGGTTCCCCACTCGGAGCCACTCATGGCCTTGCTTCCAAGACCTTCTGGAAGTTTGAGTAGAACTGCTGATAAGCTACTCAAGTCGGCTGACCTGCGCCCTTTTAGACAGAGGGCTTGCTCCGCGGTCTCACTCTCCGACACTAGTTGCGTTTCATGAGAGCGTCCTGGTTGTTCCTATTCCGGCGTTGTATCTAAAGATAGAGGATCCTCGTTTCATGGGGCTCATGTAGAGAGTTATTATTATCTTCATCATCTCGGGGAGATCATTATGAGAACGGTTTCTCTTCTGGGCCACGAGTTGATCACAATAGGACCGCCTTGTAGCCTGAGGCAATCATCTCCGATTGTCCTCCGGCTCTGCGCCTCTACTGCAGGGTTGACTGCCTGCCATCGCCAACAACTCGGCTCACAGGCCTTAATCTAAACAGCGACATGGCTTGGTCAAGGACAAGGGCAATCCTATCTGTTGAGCCCCTCAAGTTGCTACGTTCAGAGCAGAATGAGATTGGGGGGAGAGGAAGAGAGGAGAGGGAGAGAGAGGAGGGGGTGTTGGCAGGCTGGAAACGCCATAAAAAATCACGCAAATTGAAGGCTGCTATTCGACATCGCAGCGGCGTCCTCAACTTGGAGACACTACGGGTGTATTTGTTTGCCACACGAGTGGCTGTTATAGTTCGAGGAAGGAGGGTTGCAGACAGAAACGACGACTCGTGGCGGAGGCCGACGCCTGACTTGTGACCATTAGGGTCAAGATTGTCTGTCACCAACACTCTGGCGGCTATCGGGATTGGTGGAGATGGGCCGATAGTTCTCTGTCCTTATGCAACCGGCTAGGTCTTGCCGTGTTTGCCTCGTTGGCCAAGGCTCTCCTGCGAATAGCATTGCTGGCAGGCGTCGATCATCCAAAGGAATAGACGCCTCTTGGGGCTCGATGAGTGCAACCTTCGGAGATCGGGGATCTCCGCATAAATTGTTCCACACAGCCACGTGCGGAATGAGTGGTCGCCTACCTGTCATGTCTCTGGCAGCCCCCGTGTCAGGGAAGCCCACGCTTGACCGCGCCTTTTTTGACCGCGCCACATGAGGGTTGTCAATACCATTACATAAATAATAGCCTTGGAGCCGAACCTCGACTCATTGGGTCACTCTGAAGAAACGACCTGTCTAGACGGACCAGACGGAACATGCCAAAGAGGATAATACCAACTTCGTCTGTGCTTGACTAGGTGATGTTCCGAAGAGTGCGTCATGATAGTCACTCCAGGGGCAAAAGCTCTCGCACGGCAGGTCCAGAGATACAGCCGGTAGCCCCGACACAGTCAATGAACCCTAATCAGCCCGGGTGTGCCGCGTACTCCACAGACGATTGCAGTCACCTGCTCTGGCTCGTCGAAACTCGATCCAATGGTACCTTCTACCTTTGGTTCCCTGGCGCGAGCCCTCATTTTGGCTGTACAGGGCACCTGCCCGAATTATGTTGACCGGGGTAAGATTGCGTGATTGGCTCCCGTCACACTCTATCTGCCGTGTCTATGCGAGCCAGCCTCGATTGGAGATCCCCATCATCACACTCTACTTTAGGCTAGGCGGCTAACGGGTGTTTCCTATTGGAGTATAGAAGGGTGATTTGACAAGTGGAGTCATATCTTTAGACAGCAGCGGTTTCTTGGGCATCTGCAGCTTCGTTGAATAATTATATAGCACAATAAAAGAAAAAGTAACGCACACCAAAGAGCGAGATGCCAATGAACGCAAGTGTTTTCCCGTTCAAAAGCTCACCGCGCGAGACCTCACTATCGTACTAGCGCAGGTGCAACCGAAAGCCGGCCACTAGCTCCGGAACTAAATCTCGAACGGCCGATGCGCCAACGGCTGCTTTGACAAATTAAAGCGAGAGCCATGATCCACCCCCAGCGGGTGCGAAAGGGCCCGTTCATTCTTCACTCGCGCCGATACATACAGAATACAAGTCCAAACATAGGTGGTCTGTCGCCTGTGGACCTCCACGCCCCACGATTAGGGACGGGCCAGATCCGGAGGGTCGACTCCACAGGATCCGGAGATGAAGTGCTGATTAGCTGCGTAAAAAGCTTATTGCATAAGAACGGGAGAGAGTAAGAGCAAAGAAAGGTTTTCTTCTTCGCTTAGAAGCCAACTCAGATAGAACCATGGATGGGATACCCTCTCCGAATAGAAGAAGACGTTGACAATTCCGGAGAACAGACGAAGGAAGTCCAGTAATTGCGCCAGGACAAGCTCCGCATCTGCCTGTCACTAAGTTTGCGACCGTCTGTGTCAGCCGGAAGTGCCGAAAGGTTCTCAACTGCGGCTCATCGTAATGGGAGCGCCATTAATACCCGACGCTACGACGAATAAGCGCAAGTGTCGGGAGGATGGGGATCCCATTATGATTCCGCACCGGCACGGGCGATCTAGATCGGAGGTTCGTTTCGCGTGTCCGGGAGGTGGAGATGGAAATCTCCCCCCACTTTAAAGCCTCGCAATGAAGAATTAGGCATCTGATTGATTACCGAGAGACACATCATGACATAGGTATATAGAAGCGAAATTCGCGGGCAGGTGGCTCGGTGGAGGACAGTCCGGAATGGATAGGTCAACTGCTGTCGCCACGAAATTAAATCGAATATCTCGCTAAAATGCTTCGGGGTTGCATCGCGATGTCGAGTCGCGCGTCTAAAAATTGTTTGGGAAAAGCTAGTGCACTAAGATGAATTGCGGTTGCATTAGTACCTACAGATATCGTGGAGGGTTAGTTACTAGGGTTTCCATACAGTAACAGGACAGTAACAGTCCTAGCTATATCTCTGGCTAATAATTATAACCAAGTACTCATTATTAGGAACATGTCACCATCATTCGGGAATTGGGTGTTGGATTGTTGGCCCAGAAGTCATGACACGGTTGATGACGACTAGGTAGCCTTTCCCGTTCTTGGAAGTGACTCGTCTCGAGCAATTGTTTGCCACACAATAAGGAGCTAGGAAAACCAAATCCCAAGACGAGAGACCGGGTTTACCATGCTCTGAGCCACAGATTGTGTGCGCGCTCTGTCCATTCTCTTATTTAGTGCATTTACTATCTGTCTTTTGCTGCCAATCAATAACAGTCCTAGCTCGGCTTGCATGCGGATGTAGCAGTCCGGGCTGTGGAGGAATTGCGAATGGGGGCAGGGAGAAGTATGCAATACTTTTGTCTTTAGCTGGATGTCCTAGCGAGAAATTTGACTTGATAGTAGCTCCAATGATGTGCATAGTCGAGAGAAACTAGGGTTCATAGAGTAATGATGGTACAAACAAGGTCTATGTTCTCTCTACAACGCAGCCATGAAATACTAGAACCCAAGGCAGTATCAGTACAGTACAGATTCCTAGAAATGAAATTGTCTATTCCTCCAATTCCCAGTTCCCAACAACAGACAGAAAAGAACTCCCTTCCGATCGATGAGAAAAAACGCCCCTGAAGTCTCAAGCCCTGACCATCTTGATGCAACACAGGGGGAAAAAGAGAGCAAACGCCGACCGACAACAATCCTTCAATAATGCCCACAGGGCCAAACAGTTTTGAGGCAGAACGGGCAAGTGCTCAAATTGGCCGTTAGGAGTTGGGTCTTGTCGAACATGTCAAGTCAACCACCCATTGTATCACCACCCATTGCACCAGACAAAATCCAAACACTAGCAAGTCAACGGGACCTGTTAGTTCAAGAAACAGATAGGAAAGAAAAAGAAAACCATGTATCCTCAAATCTTCAAAAAAAAAAAAAACGCTTGGGGGATTCATCACATGTAGTCTCCGGGGAAACTATCTCCGGGTAGTCACCATTCGCTCACGCTTCACGTCAGGGACTCGACCACCTCCAGCCCGTAAAAGTCAAAACGAACGTCAAGAAAACAACCAAGGGATCCACAATTGCAACGTCTGCATTTGGCGCAGCGCAATTCGGCTTGCGGATACAATTGGACTTCTTGGGTTGGTTTCAAGCGTACATTCCCGGACGTAGAAGTAAACCACCCGCCAGAGAACTTTTATTGTCCACGAACGTGGCCGCCTCGTTGAGGCGATTGAGACGGATCATGATGTTGGTACGGGGGAGCTGCGGTGCCCGGTGGAGGGATGCGGTTCAGCGACGGTGAAGACATCAGGTGTGGCTGGCCGTTGGCTGGGTAGCCATAGCCTTGGTGCAGCATCGCATTTTCTCGTTGGCGACGCTCTTCCTGCTCTGGGGTCATGCATTTGACCGGTGGCGGGATTGGTGCATCCGGAGATCGGCGGCCCATGAGCTTCGGGCTCGGTTCGAGTTTGCGGATGGGTGGTAGCACTGGGGCGCCTGCCATGCCACCGGAAGTCGTGGGACGAGGAGAGTGCTTGATCGGGCTGATTCCGGACATGCCCATGCCATGAGAGCTGTGCGGAGGCGAGGAGTGGTGGTTACCATTTGGAGGCGCATTGGAAAAGGATGGGTAATGGCCAGACATAGACGGCGTGGCTCCGTGGCCGGAGGGAGGGCGTGGTGTCGCATAATTGCTCCATGCGGGCGATCCGTTGGGCGGGCCAGTATGCGGGAAGCCTGCGAGAGGGCCGACGTCGCGATTGCCTTGTGTAGGCGACATGGATGGTTGGTTGTAGATTGGACCTTGTCCAGAATGAGAAGATGAGGGTCGAGGGGCATTGAAAGAAGCAATGGGCGGCAAATGCGGAGCTTGCTGAACAGCGGGCAGAGTCCGATAGTCGGGACTCGGCTTGTACTGCTGGCCCATTGACGACTGCATCGTGCCATTCAAACTCCTTGAAGGAGAGAAAGGTGCGCGCAAAGGACTAGAGGACGGCAACGGTGTCTGGCTCGTCGGCTGAGCACGCCGTTCGGGAGATGGAGGAGGGTGGAACATGCCATGCGCACCAACAGGTTGCGGAGGCAGAGTCGGTTGCGCGCCAGGATACGGTGGTTGAGAACGAGGCCCATCCTGCACGTTGGCCAAAGCAGCGTGTGACTTCTTAACGGGCGACAGCGGAGTGTGATCGTCTTCCTCCAACTTGCGCTTCTTTCCAGCAGGAGGAACAGACGACGGAGATGCCGATGCGCTGAGTCGGAACTTCAGGGGCGGGATTTTAGGGAGGCTGAGTTCCTCTTCCTTCCGCTTGCAGTCGCGACAGACGAATTGGAAATCGTCTTGCTCGGCCTCTTCTTGCGAAATACCAAGGCATTTGCTGTGCTGCCAGACGTTGCACTTTTCGCAGGCAACACTATGTGTTCCATCGTCCAGGTTCTCGCCGTACACTCCACAGCCAGAGCAGTCGAAAATCCACTCATCCTCTTGGGACGTAATATCAGCCAAATTTTTCTGCTGCTTCTCCAATTCAACCTTGAGGTTCCGCGCAGAAACACGGGCTTCGCCATTTTCGAGCTTCTGCTGCTCCTCGGCAAGTCTCTCCAGCTCGGCCTCGTGAAGAATCCGCTTCTGCTCCCGGTCTTTGATACGTTGCTCGCGCGTCATCATCCGTGACTGTCTCTCATTCTCGCGATCCTGCTGCCTCTCTTGTTCTCTGCGAGCCTCGGCCAAATCATGCTCGCGCTTCCGAGCCGCCTCGGCAGCGTCCCGTTCAGCGCGCTCCTTTTCTTCCTTGGCAGCAAGTCGGCTCGACCGTTTGGCGCCAGCAAGAAGTTGCATGTTGAAAAGCTCCTTCTCGCGTCTCTGTTGCTTACGCAGCTGGGCCTCCTCGGCCTTCTCCAACACAGGCAGGACATGCTCTTCGATTCTGCCTCGCAGGTACTTCTCATCTGCGTCTTTGGACTTCCGAATTGACTCCAGGAAGTTCTGGTAATCTGCAAGAGTAACAGCCACACACTCCCATTTGGGCTCGGCAACGGCACCGTTGGTCTCCTTGTTCTCGTCGTCGGGGCCTTCTTCCACCTCAGCAGCAGCTGATTTGCGCTTCGATGCTCGCGAGCCTCGAGATGATCGACTCTTCGGCTTCTTCTTGGGACGTTGGGGCGCAGCAGGCACGGGAGGATCGGTGCGACGGTACATGCGGTTGTCGTCCAGAACGAAGTAGGTCCGACCTTCGGCATCGTAGCCAAAGTCTTCAACGCGCTGGTAACGGTCAGCGCAGCCCATTTAAAAAGCAAGTAAATAAAAAAGAGTCGCATACCCATTGCAGCTGCTCGCTCTCCTTCTTCTCAGGCATTTTGTCGCGAATGCGGTCCGCGTTCCAGAAGGTCCACACAGACAGCTGGTGGAGGACGCGAAGCTTCAGAAAGACATCGAAATCCAAAAACCTCAAGGGCTCTTCTTCGTATCCAAAGGGGTTCGGGTGGTGAGGCGTTTTAGCATTGTACTGGCGGCGGGTGTACTCGTCGAAATTGTCGAACCTGCGAACCGAACCAGGGGTCATTAGTGACGACTTTCATCAACAGATACAGCAGCAGAAACATACGTAAGACCACGATGCGACGAAATCCATTTGAGGAGGCACAGTCCAATCTCCAATAACTTGTGAGAGGGCTCGGGTTTCATGCATTCTTCTTCCAGGTCCTGTTGAATTGAAAAAAATGAACGTCAGCCAGGTCAGACCGGATGGTGAGCAGAGTGGCGACACAAGACCCAATCTCTGAGACAGCGAGCGATCATACCTCGATGTCAAACTCCTCATCAATCTTCATTATGTTCCCAAAGGTGACAATGTACTGCATGAGACTGGCAAACTCCCAGCTGTTCCTGATGCGCTGGAGCAGTCCAGGCGCCTCGGGAGACTGCTGTTTCTGTTTCTCGGGGAGAGGAACCGCATCGGAGCGGCTACGCTTTCGCGATCCCATCGCGGCGGGACGAAACCGGGGTGGGCCGGTGGTCTCAGGGTGAATTCGCCGCGCTCGAGGTATTGGCAAGGATTTGGGGTGAGCGGACAAGCCACAAAGTATGTGACTCTAGGAAGGCTGAGAGGGGCAATAAAAGCAAGAATGGGGATGGGAGTTGGGGTAGTGAATCGGGGCTTTTTTTTTCTCGTGTCGTGAAGGCAAATGGCGACAAGCGCAGAAAGGCGCGTCAGTGGTCACGTGATGGAGCGGAAAAGGGAAATGGGAAATGCGACACATGAAGTAACGTTGGTTACAACTGCTACAGAACGTCCCTGCGAGCTAGTATATGCATAGGTTTATTCCTATGGATGGCTTTTGATCGATTCAATCCCAAACTCACTTCTAGGCATTCATTCACTACAATAATCAATGATAGACCACAATGTACATCGCAGACAAAACCCAGAGAACAGGACAATGGTACAAGAAAAAGACGCGTGGTATCTCTCGCTCAAAGGTCTATCTCACATGGAGCCATAGGGGTGTCATCGAGGGGGAATAAATAGAAAGAAAACCGCGCCGACCAGAAGAAACCCGCGCCATCCGACTACCAGCACCACGAAAAGTCAAAGAAACACGGGGCAAAGGAAAACGCAGCAGAAAAATGGAGCACAAACATAGCATCCCACAAATGATAAAAATGCAATAGAGGCAGAAGAAAAAGAACAGTAGTTTTTGATCCTCCCATCCTTCTTTCACGCAGATGTCATCCCAGGCACACATTCTGGCCTTAATAGATCCCAATATAGAGTGAAAAAGAATAAATGTCACAGACGGAACGAAAAGAAGAAGGAAAAAGACAAATCCTGGGTTTTTTGGAGCCGAGAGCCCTGGACTAGGGAACGGCACATTTCTTTTTCTCCCTCGCGGGCAAGATTTGTCGAGTATGGACTTCCACAACTTTTTGCGCCTTTGCTGACCGATAATCGCCTGAAGCCTATCCCATGCATGTCATAAAATGGTTGTAATATCCCGAGATGAAAGAAACGGATGCAGTGTTCAATATTTTACATAGCCGGCGGGGCGCCGTCCGAGACGTTATCGGAGAGGTTGATGAGGAGTTGAGCGAGGCAGCGTTTGGTGGCAGCGTCATCGCGTAGTACGGACGAGAAGGTGGCATCCCGAAGGGGCTCGGGCAGGCACTGCCGCAAAGCCTCCCGGGCCCTGCTGTTATCGCTCAGGCTATATCGAGTGTGTTAGAATGGCGCCGCAACCCACCCAGAAATAAAACTCACCGAAGGAAGCAGCGCACGACATGCTTGAGGAGCCGGACTGTCTGTTGCTCCACCAGCTGCGTGACCATATTGCTGAGAACGGTGCCCACAGCGTAGAACCGCTCGTAGGTCGCACAAATGTACGCCAAACCGATGTCGTCCAGCAGGATTTTCTGCACGATGAAGATCGCCACGGTCTTGCTGAGTTCGGATCCCGTCTCCATGATGCGAAGGCAGAGGGGAATAATCTCCGTAGTGAGGAGGAAGTTGATAACGTCGGAAGAGTCATTCTTCACCAGCGCACCGATGACGCCCAGCGAGGTGAGGCGGAGGTACTCAAAGGGACGCGACTTGGATGTCGTGTTCAGAAACGGGTAGAGGAAGAGGGGGATGTGAGCTAGGAAACAGAAAGAGGAAAATGTCAGTATTCAAGTCGCCTCCGTCAGCGATTGTGGGAACGCATACCGTTCAAGAAAAGAGTGCGGGTCTCGTTGTGGGAGGCGACACACTGCAGAAGCGCCAGCGCATTGCAGACCCGATTTGATGCGGCGGCGGTCAACTGGGAAGGGTTGAGGAGCGGGTAGACTGAGATGATTTCCTGAAGCAGCGCGGTCATGACGCCTGTGCATTGCCGACCGTTAGCTTTTTCATCCGTTGCGATTTTCCCCAGAAAAAGTCTTACCGAAAGAGTGCCAAATCACCAGCGCAAGCTCTGGAACCTGTTCCCGTTTCTTGCTGAGTTCCATCAAGGCTGCCTCTCTGCGAGTCGGGTCCAGTAACTCTGCGACCCAGATGAACACTTTTCGGTTCTCCTCACTGATCCCGCCATCCATGACAGAGACATTAGACAGACCGGCCTCGCCCATCCCGCCAGCGCCGCTCTGCGCAGGATTACCAACGCCATTACCGGTCATGGCAAGGCGACCATAGTGTTGTTGCTGCTGCGCGGCAGCGGCGGCAGCCTGAACCTGAGCATGTTGTTGGGCGACCAGGGAGGCGTGCTGCTGCTGGTGCTGCGGCTGGTGCGGGTGCTGGGCCTGGTGTTGCTGCTGCTGTTGCTGATGCTGCAACCACGATGGATCCGCCTGGGGATATTGATGCTGATGGGAGAAGACGTGCTGGCTCTGCGCTTGGAGCATGGCGGCCGATGACTGATTCGTAAGAATACTCCGGAGGGTCGGGGGTCGCAGGACTGGGCAGACAAGGGTCGAATGAGTGTCTTGCAGACACGATGTGAGGTAGGCAGAGCAGGTCAGGCAGGTGGTCTCGAACGAACAGTCATTGGGTGGAAGTCAAGGGGGATGGGAGGATGGAAGTTGGAGCCTGGGAAGGGAGGAAGAGAAGAGAGAGAAGAACGGGCCGGGCGGAAAGGCGGGGAGCCAGTTTGTGTGGCCTGCGGGTCTGGCCACTATGCTCTACTATGCCATTGTAGTCAACGACATCTTCTCTGAGGATAGGAGTCTTTTTGTTATGGAGTGAACTATTCATTATTATTGTTTACTATCGTAATGATACGTTCTACTCGGTCGGCTCAGCTGTCTGCATTGCAGATGCGTGCTGTACGCACCTGCTGCCCAATGCATTTGCACGGTCTGCTTCATCATACCATTTTTGCTAATTACATCATGTCGCGCCATCAATTACAGATGCTGTCCAAGGAAAAACAGAGGGATTTCATATTTACATCGAAGAAGAAAGATCATCGCAAAACATCGCTCGGTCATAGGAATCATGGTCATACAGGAACGCCGTCAGGATGCATAAAACTCGATTCTACTCATTATCGTCAACGCCGTGAGCGGGTGCGCGATCGTCGTGACCGTCGTGTATCTCGAGTTCGTCGGTCCGAACTGTTGGTACCTGTGAAAGGAAGTCAGCAATGGGCTCAACCAGAACGCCTGGGACAAAGCATACTTGAATTGGTGTAATACTCCGAGTAGTAGTCGGAGTAGTAATCACTCGGGTAGGTGTGGTCGGATCTGTCGTCGTCGTGCTCGCGGTCTCTGTGTCTCTTCAATCCCAGACAGAGCGCAAGCGCACCCAGGACGAGTGCAATGGTGGCCCAGCTACCCCATTTGGATTTCTTCTCGCTGACCTCGCTGTCTGTAGCGGCAGCCGGTCGAGTGCCAAACCATGTCCGGCGACCTGGCGGTCGACTGCCGGAGTGGTGCGAAATGCGCTCTTCGACAACGGTCTGTCGTCGCCGGCGGTTGCGGAAACCCAGAGCTGCTAGCAATCCATCCACGGCCCCCTTGAAGCAACAGCATGCGCAGAGAAGCAGCAAAAGGATAATACCGAAGATCACGCCGATGACAATGCCCGCGATCGCACCACCGCTCAATCCACCACCGCCAACCGTGGCTTTGGCCCCAATCAACTCGGATCCGTCCGTGCTGACGGGCGCAATGAATCCCTCTGTGGTGGTGGGCGCTTCGGTCTGCGTGACGGTAGACATGCCATTACTAGTCCCGCGGAGTGGAGGCGTCGCTTGTGCTCCTGCTCCAGTGGTGGCGAAGGAGGAGCTGCCGACAACACATTCTCCCCTGACGCAAACCGAGTCCACGTCACAACATTTAGTGCCGCACTTGCTCTCGCCGTACTCATACTTGCAGGTACCACTGGCGCTTGGAGCCGGCGTCATGAGGTGACTGCTCCAGACAGATGTGACGGTCGACACCTCGGCCTCGGTGATCACGTAGGTGCTGGTGAAATACTCCCAGCTGCCGCTGCCACCATCCACACAAATCGCCTCGTTGGCGGCGTTGGTCTGACAGGCTTGGTTGGCGCTGCAGCAGTACTTGTCATTCCAGCCACAGGGATTTTCGCATCGTTTCTCGAGGTTGAGGACATGGTCGCCCACGAATACCGGGGTTGCGACCGGGTTTGCGACCGTCGATAAGGAGAAGCTCAGCAGGAGGGTGAGTGTCGAGAGCGCTAAGGTCGTAGAGAAGGTCCGCATGGCGGATAGAGAGCAAGGCAGCGCCCACGGATCTCTGGTATGCGCACGTTGCGATCGGAATGGTGGGCTGACAGGTGGGTTGTATATACAGATCCACCCACGTCGAACTGCACTTCAAGAGATAGAGAGAGAGGAACAAGAGATGAGAGTAAATTCCTCAGAGAAAAAAAGGGATACGGAGGAGAGACATGAGAGAAGGTAAAAAGAGAAAGACAGGTGGGATGGAAGATAATCTATTGTTGGTGTGTTTCCCAGCCACCCTGGTTCGTATACCCAACCACCCGGATTTCCTGCCAATGACGCTGTTTGTTTATTCCGGGGCTGGCCATCAATTAACCTGGATAATTTGACTGACTACTACGGGCTGAATATTACCTATTATCCATCTTCGCAACTAGATATACTATTATGAGACTGACATATGCACCGAAGAGACCGACAGCTACCCCTCCTGCGGTCGGCCGATCTGCCGGGACTGGACTCCCGCCAAAAGTACGACACCCGGGTATCCGGGCATGGAGTGATGACCATGTTGAGTACTTTAAGCGTGGCTCTCTGTTTATTATAAATGCTCCATTCATTCCATGGAATCCATCAAAAGCGAGCGCAACGATAATATAGATCTTGATCAAAAGAGTTCCGGTAAGCCTGCGAAGCTAGTCAGTTAGGGCTAGAAACAGTGCTTCACACCTCATCTTATTAATTACTCCGGCCCTCTTGAACCACACATACCAGAATGACCTTTTCCAATGTATGAGTATTAAGACGACTTCCGGGAACTCTTGAACACATTACCGAATCTTTGGAACAATAATTACCTGGGCGGTGCAGCTCCGAAGAGTCCTCTGAGGGTCGATGAACATCGTCCACGGGACAAGACGCTGCTCCAGATTCCAGCTGGGTTCTTAAAGTGCGAATTGGACGCTTTTTGAAAGATCTAAAAGGATTGTGGGTGGGCGGCTCGTCCTCCTAATTGTACTAAAACAGTTTCCTGGCTCGCGACGATAGAGATCTGGGAGATAAATGAGTTCTTGGTTCTTCCGTCCGGCGGTAGCATGATGAAATACGGGAGTTGGGAAGGGACACGAAAAAGCTGTTGGAGGACATACACATGATAAAGCCCAATGGAGAATGAATCCGAGGTGCAAAGTAAATGTGATCAAGATAAAGGATACGAAATTGAGTGATAAAAAGACTTCTTTTTGCGCTGCCCCCATCATCATTCTCAGCCTTTATTCGTTAACTAACAACGCCATTCCTAGCTTTGAAACTGATCTTCTCTTCCAGCAACCACTACCTTCTGCAACAATACCCTCTTTAACTGCTCTAGGTGAGCAGGTCTAAGTATATCCCTGCTTATTATATTCATTGCCCTCGTCCTTGTCTACTCTTCTAACATATGTTCCTATTACCCCCCTTACCCCCCCAAATCCCTCAAAACATCAGCCGGTCTGTACAAGAAGCAACCGGCGGCCAGGTTGATAAAGTAGTACTTCTCCAAACCAAAGAAGAGGATTAGGACGTAATAGTGGTCGTGATCAGCAAGTAAGCATGATCAGGCCCAATTTAAAGGGAGGGATGGATGTTGGGGGTTGACCAGTCTTACTGGCCTCATTATTATCGCTAACCCGGACATGGCCTGATATTCAATACCGAATTCTCTGCTGTTTTTCCGTAAGCCATTTTATTGTCAGCAATCCCCCACCTTCTATAGAAAATTAGCATTTCCAAGGACATATACCACCCCGCCTTTTGTATAAAATCCATTGACAGTCTTCTGGAGCAAGATTCACTATTGCTAGGCAAAGTCCCTGCCACGAGTGTTTATGTTGATTGGTCAATGATGAGCAAACAGCCCCTATTTTTCTTGGCAAGGGCGTATTCCTGCGTATTCGGCGTCGGAGAACGGAGCCCTAACACCATTCCTATTTCGGGACCGTGTCAATTTATCTACTCCGAACTTGCAGATTGATTTCTCTAGGCCTCGGTATAGACAGAACTCTATCTCCGTAGACGATATCTCTTTTTCCGAGATTAAAAACTCCCAGAAACAAGTGTCAGATAGTCGCGACATGACATCAGTTGTTTTGCGCTCCCATGTGAAGTGGATCCTGCGATCGACAATCAGCCCCCATGGGGAATAGCGAGTAGGAGGAAGAAACTGCCACCCATTTTAGAGCTGCTCTCTTCAGTTGACGCGAGCCTTGATTTTCTTTTCGCACATGCTTGACCGTCGCCCGCTATAAGATGCAAAACGGTTGCTTTGCTGTCTTGCATCATCCTTGAGTCCACCATGTCAAAATCCGACCTTGAACAGAGCTCAGACAGCGAGGCATATGCTTGGACAGCCGCACCAGGGGCTACTACTAAGCCGACGAAATGGCAACGGTTTAAAGCGCACATGAAGAAATGGTGGTGGGCATATTTGCTAGGGTTTTGCTGTGTTTTTCTAGTGGTGTTTCTTCCCCTGTAAGTCTCGATTCCATGGGTGATCGAACATATCACTAATTTTTGCTAGTATCTACGTGGGAATACCTCACTTTGCAGACTCATACATCAACAGCTTCCAATACGATGATAGTGGTCTTGCGATCACTAACCCTCGACCAAACGCATTCCATATCAGCCAAAAGAAATCAATCTCCATGGGTGGTGGGTTCAGTGGCAGCGGCTATCTGTCACCATTCAATGCAACCATTCGTGTTCCCAGCAGCGGCGAGGAATTTGCGGTCTTCCCTGTACCCGAGATCAAATTTGACGGCGGCACCACTCTTGACATCGACCAGGATCTGGACCTGTCCTGTGTCGAGTGCCTGTCGCAGTTGGCCGTTTCGGCGGCGACAAACAAGAGCTTCGCGGTGTTGGTGACGGGGCAACCTGATTTGAAGTTCGGCGCTCTGCCAAATGCTCATTTGAACATTCATAAAACTATGAACATGAATGGTAGGCCTTGACTCCTCCAGGTTACAGAGTGGAATGATGCTAATGATGTTTTGACTTTTAGGTTACAATGTCACCGGTAGGAGCTGATCTTTTCTATTGCCATCATAGCTTCCTAACCTTATCACTCAGAGTTCGTCAATGCTCCGGGTGCATTCAACGTCACAAGTGTAGACCTCTTGAACAATCCTGTGAACGGCTTCAATATTAATGCCACCATCTCTATCCAAAATCCGACACCTTTTATTGTGGAAATGGTAACTAAGAATTCGGGACAGATATAACCAGATGTACAAGATTGGCTAACATATATCAGGGCCATGTCACCTTTAACCTCAGCATGGCCGGCAAGTCACTCGGATACGTCGACCTCCCTAACCTGATGCTTGAACAACCTACCAGCAGCACTATAGTTCTTGGGCAGATCGACACGGGTATGCTCATTGATCAAGCTGTAAACGGCGATGGCGAGGGTTTTACAGTCACTATCGATGTCCAGGGGAACAGCTGCGATTACAATGGGCTGGACATTCCATATTTCGCCGCAGCCATCAAGGCTGTTCGTGCGTCAGCTACGATCGATCTGACTCAATATGCTTCAAGTCTATTTGGATAGAAGCTCATATACACAGCGCACATGTGGCTATGAGGCGGGTTAGAAACATACCAAACTTGTTACAGCAAATCTTCTTGTAGGAGAATCCTTCGCCATTATTATTTTTTTTTAAAAAGAAAAAAGCCACTGCACATACGAGAAATAAATATCGAGAAAGGTGCAACACCTCTGTCACCTGACTTGGCGTTGCGGGGGGTCCAGCTAGATGGGGGCCAAGATGATTTAATGATATCATTGTTCCAAGCCATCTCACCTCAATCACGCTCAATATGACAAAAGAAAAGATGATAGAACTACCCGAAAAAGACGCAGCTGCCCTTGCCACGCTCACTGATCTATGTGCCGAACAAGGCCTCTTGAAACGTGTTGGTTTCAAAGATGGAGATCGACCGGATGGTGTCACTGATGAAACCGCCCTGCTGTGAGTAGCCTTGAATTGTTGTCGTATAGGTATTGAACTACGTAGGCGTTTCTTGCAGGCAAATCAAATGGTGCCTTCCAATGCTCTTCTGCAATTCCAAGAGGCAACCAAGTTCCAAACGGCCAACAGCGTGCTTCGCCTATACAACCTGATCAACGTCGATGACTTTGAGGACACCAGAGGGATGGTAAGATGTGAAATATGTCTGCCCATAACGGTGGTGCTAACTGATTCTTCAAAGTATCCACATTGGACCGGCCGTCGTGATAATCAAGGATGGCCCATCGTCATGCTCGATTTGGCCTATCTGAATCAAGCTACAATAGCACACTGGCGCAAGACTCGCGATATACCACATGGCTGTCATGATTGCGACGATACCACAAATGTTACAGCTAACATGGCACAACGTGCTTGCGTCGTTCACGATTACTTGACCCGGTTTGTCTTTCCTCTTTGTTCGGCAATGCCTGACCGACCCAATCCATCGAGCCCAATTAGCAAATCCATATATATTTTGGACGCCTCTCCGCTTTCACTGGGTCAGGTCTGGAATTTGAGAGACTTTGCACAAGAGATTAGCTGGATTCTATCAACCTGCTATCCCGAGACAATTGAGCGCATCTTTGTGAGTCGCAAAAGATTCGATTGGCGGTGATTTCAGTGGCTGACTCGGCTCCGCAGATGTGTAACGTGCCATCATACTTTGCTCAGCTTTGGGCTATTGCAAAACGCTTTGTCCATCCTGTCACAGCTGATAAAATTCAAATTTTAAGAGAGGGAGAGGTATACGACACCTTGAGCACGCGCATCAGCCATGAGAACATTCCGAGTCAATTTGGGGGCAACTTCAAGTTCATAAATGGCATGGTCCCAGATTTGGAACCCGCAATTTGTCAAACCCTACGTTGGTCCGCCTCAAACGAAAACTTGCCGTCAGGGCCGATTAAGTGGACAGAAGATAGTTCAGGACAAATGAAGGCTGTAGCTACCGGAACAGCGAATGGGAAGCAAAGGACGGAGGAGGTTGCTGTATTGGAGCTAATTGGCTCAAGCTGACGAGTTCTACTTTTGTAATAAATGCCCTTTGGATCTGGGCTATTTATGTCTTTTGATAGGATCTGTACAACATTCCCCGACTCTGCATGGTTTGAACTTTCTTACCGCAAGCACTTTGGGAATGATCTACTATTGCTCATGTACTCTCGATTATTATAATTTGCAAATAATTACTGCATTATTGATCCTAAGATTCAGATACAGATTCCCCTATGTAGGTCAGCTCACCGCAGAGGCTACATGTCATTTTTTGGCGCCCCCAAGGCTGATGCCTAGGGTTCTCTTGGACAGTAGTAGTATGCAAATATTTCCCAAAAGGTCACTGTCAGATGTGAAGCTGTGTTCATTTTGCAGATATTGTTTATACTGAGAGAGAAGTGAGATTATTGACCATACCAAGGGGTAATGAGATGTCCAGTTATCATCTTCCGCTGATAGCCACGAGCGGGCAAATAATCAAAGAGGCCTATTCCATTCCATTTCAAAGTCATAAACAAAACTCCATATGGGTAGTCATTGTGATAAGAATCAAGCATATACAAAAGAACGATCAAAGTACATCCATCCATCCCAGATACATCACATCATATAAACAACCCAGCAACCCCGACCATCATTCCCAGCGCGAGGTCGTGTAGACTCGTTGTCCGGCCAGGCGCCGCAGCATTATTGCCATTGCCATTGCCATTGGCCTGCGCCGCTCCAGTCTGTAGTGTCCCACAATACCCAAGCTCTAAACCATGACAGGCACTCACACTCAAACTGGAGCAAACCGAGGTGGCCTGCGCCGAGTCCGTGATAGCCTCGACCGTCACGCCGGCACCACCTGCGCCCCCGACGGTGACTCCGTAGCGACCCATCAATGCGCCCGTGCACTGCGAGTACTCCGACTGACAGATATGGTAGTAAGAAGAGCAGGTCTGGGCGTTGTCGAAGGTCGTCGGCACATAAACAAACGGATACGCCCCCGCGAGGGTCGATCCAGTGATCACCGCCCAGGCAGCGCTGCTGCTAGTCGTCGCCGTCGCCGTCGCAGTGTTGGGAAACATAAAGCTGTTTCCATCCGTGGCGGAGGGCTCAGCCGTCAGACTGCCCGTGCAGCTGGCGCCGGTCGGGCAGCAGGCGATGTTGTTGGCGGAGTCACGCGAACAGATTGTGCCATCTTGGCAGCAGGCGTCGGCATTGCCAAGTTTCGAGCACGGATTGTATCCGCTGGGGCAGTTGTTCTCGGTTCGTTTGAGGAGTCGGAGCACTTCGAAGGCTCGTTGGCTGTTGGTCTCGGCGTTGGCGGGTGCGACGAAGGGGCTGTCTGTTTCGCTCTCGCTCGCTCGCGCGGCAGAGGCGAGGAATGCGGTCGCCAGCCAGATCCACCGCATAGCCCGCATTCTGATGCGGTGGTTGGATTCCGGCAAGTATGCTTCTTTTGTTCTCTTTGGGTTGCTTAAGCCGGGAAGATTGGCATGTCGGCGTAGATAGGCGTGGTAGTGGGGGGATAAACAAACTACCGGAAGAGGAAATGAGTGTCAGTCCGTCGTCAGGAAGAGTTAATTGATTGCCGGTGACAATGGAGAATAGCTCAATGCTGACCAGCTTAGTTTGTTGGAGAGAGATCCAACGAAGTGAGTGAACAAGTGCAGATTGAGCGCTGACCCGAAACGAGGCTAGTTCATCCTTGCCACGGCAACCGAGTTGGCCCAATCCACTTCCTCCGTTATCACTACCAACTACACCACCAATACATTACTCGTAACAATGGCCCAAACCACCATCCCGGTTGTGGACTTTGCCCGTTGGTCCTCCGACCAGTCGCATCGTCAGCGCGTGGCACAGGACATCGTCGCCGCGTGCAAGCAGGTCGGGTTCGTGTACATCGTCAACCACTCGCTGCCCGAGACCCTACTGGAGGATGCATTCCGCTGGTCGAGACTATTTTTTGACCTGCCGGAAACCGAGAAACGTAAGGCGCCTCATCCAGAGGGATGGGCAGTCCATCGTGGCTATTCTTGGCCGGGGCTGGAGAAAGTGTCACAGGCGATGAGCGAGCAGAATGACCAGGAACGGGCTGGGCAGCTGAGAGAGATTCCCGATGTCAAGGTGAAGATCCCTTTTCACATGGGTGTTTCGCATGCGATTTGCGAAGCGACGATTTCCAGGTTGTTTGTTGGGTCAGTCTGCGACACCTTCTGATGTCATTCCATAGGAAAGCTACGACATTGGCAGCGATGAGAATCCCAGCCAGCCCAACCAGTGGATTCCCGAGGATACACTGCCGGGGTTCCAGTCCTTCATGGCCCGGTTCTACTGGGAGTGTTTCCGTGTGGGAGGCGAGATCCTGCAAGCACTTGCCATCGGACTGGACTTGGAGGATGAGAACTATCTGCTAAAGAAGCATTCGGGCCACAACAATCAGCTCCGTCTTTTGCATTATCCACCCATTCCAGCCGAGGCCCTTGAGACCGAACGAGTGGCTCGCTGTCCCGCTCATACGGACTGGAGCTCCATTACGCTGCTCTTCCAGGATGACTGCGGTGGGCTCGAGGTCGAGGACGTTGCCTCTCCGGGAAGGTTTATTCCTGCCACACCGGTGAAGAATGCAATTGTGATGAATGTAGGAGATCTCTTACAGAGATGGAGCAATGGTGCGTGTCTCATCTTCCTCATCTTCCTGCGAGATGATCTACGGATACGCCCTAATGTGTGCAGACCAGTTGAGGTCAACCAGCCACCGAGTCAATCTTCCACCTCTGGCAGACCGGTTTGCCGGAGAGCAAAGGATGACCCGCCGACGCTTTTCCATCCCATACTTCCTTGCGCCGGACCCGGACTCCGTGATCGAGTGTATTCCGTCGTGTCAGACGGCCACCGACCCGGCCAAGTACGAGCCCATTACGCAGGGCAATTACAACCGGATGCGAGCGTCCATGCAGTATTAACCATTAGCATTACTACTTCCAATATTATCTATTACAATTTAATGATTCTAAAAGTTGTTCATAGCTCAAATGTTCCATCTCCCAAACCCTGACTAATCACCCTTCCTCACTCAGCCCAAACGCGTCTCTCTCTTCCTCGACGCGGCCACCATGTACGGCGAGCTGGGCAACAAGCTCGTACGTTCTTCCATCCGGTGTCAAAACTACCACTAATCATCCTTCAATCAGGTCCAACACGCCAAACGCACCCAAACCCTCGCCCATCTCCCCCCTACCAAACCGAGATCGTCCGCGCCGTGACCCGCGAAGTCCGCGACCTCGAACGCGATGTCGCCCGCCTTCTAGACCCCTTCCACGGCGAATTCAACCCCTCCGCTGACCCCGCCGTCGCCTGCGCGCTGCTAGTTGACCATCTCTGCATGCGCCGCAACAAGCGCTGTCTGCTGGCGTACCACCGCGTGCGCACCGAGAAGCTGGAGGAGCTGTGCTGGACGGGCGTTGATGTGCTGGAGCAGCAGCAGCCCAGCGACGCACCTGACGATCGCTCTACTGCTGCTGCGATGTCTTCCGGGACGGGACACAGCTCGCTCAGCCCCGAGGAGGAGGAGTATTTTCGGTTGTATGGCGATATGCTCGCGGCTTATAAGGGCCAGTTCACGGATATTGATCTGACGGGCTCGTTGGAGCCGCCGAGAGATTTGTTCATTGATGTGCGGGTGTTGAAGGATGCTGGTGAGATACAGACGGAATATGGGTATGTCTTGGTGTTTTTCATTGGGTTCTTTACTAACGGTGATGATGACTAGGGTGATCAACTTGACGAAAAATAGCCAGCTGTATGTGCGGCAGGGGGATGTGGAACGGCTCATTGCGCAGGGGTTTTTGGAGCGACTGAGCTAGATTTACGTTGTATGATACCCTACGATCCTATGAGACATGCATTCCAGTGGAGTTGATCGGTGGTGGAGCAAGTGCACCGTTCGTCGATCACTAGAACTAAGCTCCGAGCTGAATAGTTCACTAGTCAGTTAGTGATTAGTTCGTAATATTATAAACCAGAACCAGAATAATATGTTTTATCTCGTCGGTACCCGCTAACTTACTCCGGCGATAAGACCCGTTGAGTTAGTCAACCGTGCGCTATCTAAGTGGAGTGTGAATTAGTTACAACCTTGCACGCTTCTTGATAAGACACCACCATCTGCTCCAGGCATGTCCTGCATTGCCCTTAACACATGCCCGTGCTCCAACCTCGCGGCCGCAGCGACTCGCGCGCATCAGCCCTGTCCCGCCGAGGCCCCATGAACTCCAACGCCCCGGTCGCAGCAGAGGACCTGCTCGACCAGTCGCCCATGACGGCGCTGGACAGCAGCTCGCCAGGACGCACGGGAGCCGACGCCTCCTCCAGCTACACGAATAGCTCGAGCATGCGCACTCCCGGCCGATCATTCCACCACCGCACCTATCACGCAACCCTCGGTGAGTGTCACCTACTTTAATTAGGTACTTCTGGGTCGAGAGCGAATTTTACTGACCATCCAATTCTCCTCGTCAGACCCAGCCCATTATGCCTCCACCGGACTCCGCGAGCAGACCGCCGAGCTAGCGACGTACGGTCTTTCGCTGAATAAAAGCTCTCTCGCCAGACGAGATCGCACGAGCTTACCCCCGAGTCTCGATATATTTCAAGCCCGGGAGGCTCTGGTGCGTGACTCTGCCAGTGGCTCGTATCCCGCCGTTTATGAGGAGGACGAGGAGGAGGAGTCCCTCGATGCCGGATCTGCTCCTGTGGGCCGGGGCTCGTCTTCGTCCGCGCTGACGGAGATGATGCGTCGTCCTTCTACGGGTGCGAGTGACGACGGAGCTGTGACCGAGGATAATGCGTTCCCTCCACTGCCTACCATTCTGGATGAGCATGAACCGGAGGCTCTGAGTAACGAGCGTACTTCACTACTGTCCAAAACGAGGACGAAGTCTTCGGGCAATTATGGCCTTGTGAATGATGTGGAGAGCCAAGGTGGTTCTACCCCTCGGTCGTCGAACGCATTTATCAAATGCATTTCAACAATTGCGAAGTCCGCTCGAATACTCTCCAACCCGAAGGCATGGAATAAGCGCGCCCTTTGGAAACAGGGCGTGGTATATCCGATCAGTCTGCTTCCGGCGGTATTGCTCGGCCTTTTACTCAACATCCTGGACGCCCTATCCTACGGCATGATCTTGTTCCCGCTAGGAGAACCACTCTTTGCCGACCTGGGCGCAGACGGCATCTCCATGTTTTACGTCAGCACCATCATCTCCCAGGTAGTCTTTTCCTCCGGCGGCTCCATCTTCAAAGGAGGAATCGGCAGCGAGATGATCGAGGTCGTTCCGTTCTTCCATTCGATGACGTTTACGATCATGAACAGAATCGGCAAGGATAACCCCCAATCAGTCATTGCCACCACCATCCTAGCCTACTCCGTCAGCTCCGTCCTAACCGGTCTGGTCTTCTTCCTGATGGGAATATCAGGGCTGGGCTCGCTGATCGGATTCTTCCCACGGCATATTCTCATCGGTTGCATTGGCGGTGTCGGCTACTTCTTGCTTCAAACTGGAGTCGAGGTCTCGGCGCGACTGCCTGGCTCGCTCGAGTACAATCTTCAGACCTTACAGAAACTCTTTCACCTTGATACTTTCCCCCTTTGGATGATACCATTGTTCCTTGCTCTCGGTCTTCTTGTTTTGAAGCGATTCGTTCGGTCGAATTTTCTTGTCGGTGCGTACTTCATTGCTGTCGCGGCTGTGTTTTACATTGTCGTTGTCAGTGCCAGGGTATCTATGGATGCTCTGCGCCAGAATGGATGGGTGTTCGATGCGCCTTCCTCCAGTAATCCTTGGTACCACTTTTATACCCTTTATGGTGAGTTTCATGCCTCTTCAAAGACAAGTACTTGGCTCATCTCGAACCAGATTTCTCCGCCGTCGATTGGGCTGCCTTCGCAGATGCCATCCCCGCAATGTTTGCCCTGACCTTCTTCGGCGTGCTTCACGTCCCAATCAATGTGCCCGCTCTGGGCATCTCGACCGGAGAGGACAATCTCAATGTGGACAGGGAGCTCATGGCACACGGTGTGACGAATGCACTATCAGGATTTGCAGGTAGCATTCAGGTACGTCTTCAATTATCATCAACGGGGTATGCGCTAATTCAAGCAGAACTACCTGGTGTATACCAACAGTCTTCTTTTCATTGCTAGCGGTGGGGAGTCTCGGCTCGCCGGTCTGATGCTTGCTGCGGCAACGGCGGGGGTTCTTGTCGTTGGTCCGGTCATCATTGGCTTCATTCCGGTGATGGTTGTAGGAGCCCTGATTTTCTTATTGGGGATCGAGCTGCTACAGGAAGCCCTCGTAGACACATGGGGAAAGTTATCTCGACTTGAATATCTGACGGTATGTCATGATCCTTGGAGACCAATGTTGGATCTGCTAACTCACGTTCCAGGTGGTTATAATTGTAGTCACAATGGGCGCTTGGGATTTCGTTAGCGGAATTCTGGTCGGCATCATCCTGGCATGCGTGAACTTTGTGGTCCAAACATCTCGCAAATCCGCCATCCGAGCCACGTATTCGGGAGAAGTCGCAGGGTCCACCGTGCGCCGGCCACCTATTCAGCAGAAGTTCCTCCACGAAGCCGGACAGCAAACCCTCGTCATGAAGCTGGGCGGCTATCTGTTCTTCGGGACAATAGTAGACGTCGAGAGCACTATACGCGGACTGATCGAAGAGGAAGCATTCAAGCAGCGACCCATCCGGTTCCTGATCCTGGACTTTTCCCGAGTCTACGGCCTTGATTTCTCGGCCGCCGAAGCTTTCACTCGCATTAATCGTATCCTGCGCAAGCACAGCGTCCAGACTACTATCTCCGGACTGAACGTGGAAGGAGACGTGGGCAAGAGTCTGCAGAATGTAGGTCTCTTTGAACCTGAGATCGGCGTGCCTATCTTCGAGGACCTCAACTCCGCCCTCGAGTTCTGCGAGAACGACTACCTCAAAATCCTCTACAATCGTCAAGAGGCTCTCTTCCCCAAGTCCAACAGCAACCCAACCCTCCTCCAAGTCCCCGTCCCCGTCCCACCAGTGCCACAACACCAACAACAACAAACCACCAACCCAATCCTATCAGATACCATCGTCAGTTCCCCACGCGGGCAATACCTGCAGCGTGTCGCAACAACCACAATCCGCGAACACGAAACAACAGCAATGATGGCCGCGCCCGCCTGGTCCGCCATGCGCCAACCACTCCCCCTCCTCCTTCAAACCTTCCAAGGCCTCTCCTCCCAAACAGAAGACTTCTGGTTCTCCATCTGCCCCTACTTCACCCGCGAATCCTACCCCGCCTCAACAGTCCTCTACCACGAAGGCGACGTCCCGCACTCCTTCTACCTCCTCGAGTCCGGCATGCTGCGCGCCGAGTACGATCTCCCGCAGGGCCGGTACTTCGAGCTCGTCGTTGCGGGCGCGCCGTGCGGCGAACTGCCTTTTTTCAGTGATACCCGTCGCACGGCGACCGTTAAGGCGGAATGCGATTGTGTGGCGTGGTGTCTTTCTGCGGAGAAGTGGAGGGATCTCCGAGAGGAGCAGCCCAGGGCTGCGAGGGAGTTGCTTACCATTTGTTTGAAGTTGACTACCGAGCGCATGGATAGTATTACCTCGTAAGTTTACAGTCTCGTTGGATGGAGATTACATTGTGGAATATGATTTGCTGACTTAGGATTTTAGGTACGTTCTTACCATGGCGGCTTGATCTCTTTTGCGGGCGTTGCTGCTGTTGTTCGCTTTGTACCGTTCATTGGGTGGCATGCTGAGCGATCCTTCTTCTCTCTTTCCTTGTGGATATTGTTACCGATGTGTATATCTTCCGCATACATAGCAGTCATATTGGAATGACTCTGCATTTGTAAAGCATCTTTTGCATAGACATGCAGTTAAAGATAGAATATAGATCCCTACCATTAAATTCCGCAGTGACTATGTAAATGTTAGTTAGTCAGGCGACTACAAGTATCTCTAATCCATCCATAAACCAGAATTGGGTTCCGGAAAATATCCACAAGAACATCTTTTCACTCTAGCCATATTATCAAGATGGTCTGCACCCACTGCTGGCTATTGCCCTAACGCATCATATGCACTGCAACAGGCTAGGCTCCGGTCTTATAGCTTACTCAAACCACACTCTTGACTAACTGATAGATTAACTAACGAGTAGGAGAAGAGACTCGCGGTAGGCATCTAGAGAGAGATATTGACTATCTTGCACAAACGTCAAGATTGGGTTACTTTCTCAAGAACACCTGTTCACTTGCATGGTATCAGTTAACAGAGAAAAGCCATTGTTATAATACCGTAAAGTTCAATAGAAGATTGTAGAATATTGATGCACAGTCCACGTAAGCAGGGGCTGTTCATACCCGCAATTTGAATCCTTTGAACCAAGTATACGTGGAAAATTCGCCAATTGTAGCTATCCCCTCGGGCGTCCGGACCAGTCCAATTAGCGTGGTTTCAACTAGTGTCTTATTCTAACCATTAATAGGCAATACTAAATCTATGAGCCCTTATTGGATAGATAGCTCCACATAATAAGACTAGCCCTATGACTCGAATCCTTCACCAATAGCGAATCTTAGAGCTAGTTGCAAAAGGGGGTAGGTATACCGTGGGGGCCAGAATCCTGTATGGTAATATTATCCTGGACATTTATAGACTGCACTCGATCTCATGTCGGATTCCCGGGAAATAGCTAGATTGTTCTTGCACCTTAGCAACTGAAACCCCAAATTTCTGCAAAACACTCCAGTCTTACCACTATCCGTGACCGCATAGTCATAACCATGACATCTCAAAAGCCCATTGTAGTGATTGTGCCAGGAGCTTTCCACAAGCCAATCCACTACCGCAAGATCACGGCTCTGTTACGCTCTCAGGGCCATGAAGTGATTCCTTACGACCTGGCTTCTTGCGGTGACAACGTGGATCCAGAGGTGACATTCATTGACGAGGCGGCTGAGATTCAGAAAAAGCTAGTTCCTCTGCTGGACGAAGGCAGAGAGGCTGTGATTTTCTCGCACAGCTATGGATCTTTGCCGGCGACGCACTCTACAGAGGGCCTCACCGCTGTTGAGCGCGCTGAGAAAGGTCTCAAGGGCGGGATCATTGGAGTTGTCAATCTTGCGGGCTTTGCGTTTCCTGCTCGTGGGGTGGGGATCCTAGGGGATGACACTATTGTGCCACCTCAGCCGTACCAATCCGTTGAGGTAGGCTCATTCTTTGTTGTTCGCCATTAGCCACTAACTAACTAAAATTTAGAATGGTATCACTTACCTGAAAGAAGAAGCAAAACCACTGTTCTTCAACAATCTGAGTCCCGACGAGGCCGATACCGAATGGGCTAATTTACATCAGAAACAAACGCGGAAAACTTTCACCCGCTTCCCGCAGTATGTGGAATCGGAAATTAAGTGTCCGAAGTTCTATATTCTGTGTACGAAAGACGTGTGTGTCCCACCCGCGTTTCAAGAACAGATGGCCAGTCTTGGGGGATACACTGTCGTTAGACTAGATGCGGGTCACGATGCCTTTTTAACTGCTCCAGACGATGTGGTGGCGGTCGTGTCAAAAGCTGCTTCAAGTGGCCAGTAGATATTGTACCTACGTCTCGTTTCTCTCTCGGTTGTTCTTTGTCTCTAAACAACTCACATCAAATATTCAACGGCGAAGAACTTCCACTCCCATTAGCAATATACCCTGTAACAGCTACCCCATCGTGAGCGCACCTCTATTGGCTTTTGAGCAAATGCCAGATCTTTACCGCGGCCTAAATCTAGTACGTACAGGTGCATACTAGCGGGAGCCAAAGAAAAACTACCTCTAGATTCCCATTGCTGCAAGCAAGGTAAGCATAGGCACTTGATATGCAAAAGTGTATTGTATGCGCAGAGAGTCATGCCACGACTATAGCGGGTACAAGACTACTCGCTTGTTCTTAGGAGAAGGGGCGAAGAAGACAAAACGGAAACATAGGCCCACATCATCATTCGCTTCGGTGTGGCACAGCAAAGAGACCTCGCTAATTTCGTCCAGAATAGAGAAGAGGAAAAGCAAATAACGAAAGAACCTCAATGGTGTGACATTGTAGTTCATCTATACCTCCATAGGTCGCGATCGCTCATATGAAAAAAAGGGTAAAATGCCAAAAGTTATATACTACTCTGCGCTGAGAGCGAGACATGCGTCGACGGCTAGACCAACTCTGTTGTCAAAACTATCAGTACAAGACTAGAAATCAATGTGGGGACGAAGTACTTACCTTCCCTCCTTCATCTTGACCACGTCGTCAATGATATCGCGGTCTAGGTTGGGAAACATGTTCGAGAGGGTCTCGACGACAGTGTCATGTTCGGCACGTTGGATGCGGCGCGCTTCAGCGTCCTCGGCGCTGGCCTGGCGCGCCGCTGCATCTTGCGCGTCGAACGAAGGTGCCAAGTTCTGACGAACTTTCCCCCGTTACCTTCTCGCTCTTGGCGGGAACGCTCGTCGTCCACACGTCGACTGTCATCGTTGCTTGTGCGCGGGGGTTGGTAGACATTAGGGGTCAGGCGGGGCGGTTGAGGTGTTGTGGCGGGATGAAGTGGATGTTCCTGCGGCGTAGTGGAAGATCCGGAATCTGGCTCATCTGAGAACATGCGGCCGATGGTGGAGAGCGGTTTCTGAATTGTTCGTAGGAGACCGGCAACTGGGGCGGAGGATTCTTCGTCTGTTGACTGCGATACTTCTTTGCGGCTTGCTCCAGCTCCAGCTCTGGCTGGTGGTTGTGGAGACACTCTGGCAGGAGTGGATGGCTGGTCGGTAGGCTTATCTTCCAGAGACTCGGTTGCGCGGTTCTGTTGAGCGATTGCCGAGACGGCAGCTTCCACATTGCGTTCAAATTCTTCGTCACTGACCGTTAGGCTGGTGCGGTCGAGCGTCTCAATGAATTGAATGGCTCCGGACTGCGATGAATGTTAGCTGCATGGCTGAGGCAAATAGGTGAACAAGGACATACCAGAGAAGACAGGTAGTATCCTGCCTCTCCGCCCAGCTTCTCTTGGTTACGGAATCGTAGAATGTACTGAATGTTGGAGACAAGATGGTCCGGGTTGGCATGCAGCACCACATAGATCAAAAGCGGAACAAATGCATCGGCGGAGGTGTCGGCCTTTCTAGAGTTCTTCAACAGGCCGAAGATCACCTTGCAGCAATTCAAAATGCAAATAACCTTATCTCGAGGTGCCCGATAGCCATTAATTTTCAAGATCTCTGATGATCAGGTTAGAAGATCGTTTCATAAGGTCAAACTTGAAAGACATACCCTGCTGTGCCAGATTCAAAAACCTGCGCCCGCCACCGCTCACTGGCGCGATATCCAAATGCTCCTCACTGACCCAACTGTATATGCGAATTTTCTGGGCTAGAATATCATCTCGCTCAATGTCCTCCTGGTGTTGACCGCGTCGCCATGGACCATGAAGCCTCTCTATCTCTTTCCTTCGACTTCGGCTAGCACTCCTAGGAATGGTTGGAGGCGCTGGGATAGCCGGGGAAAACGTCTGCGAATACAGGCGGTTCATGACCAGTTTCTCCATTCCTTCCTTGGCGTTATCGAATTCACTATCCGACACGTCCCGCCAGACCTCGCAGATGGCCATTTTGTTGGTTATAAATGCCAGAAAATCGCTGATAATCTTGACCTGCTCGTGAACCATCCATTGTCGCTTGCCGAATTCCAGGAGGAATGAACGTAGGAATTTAGCCACGGGGTCGGCGGTGCGGTGACGCAGCTGCTCCAGGAACCGGTGAAAATCAAAGGGTTGGTCTGGTTCGGGCTCCGGTAGCGGTGGGGCAGTCGAGGCCGATGCCTGTCGAGTGAGCACTGGCTCTTCATGACCTGCTTGATTCTGAAGGAGTTTAGGGGCATTCGGGATGGACTGGTTGTCCGGCGATATAGTAGAAGGAGCTCCCGGTTCGACGGTTTTCATATGATCCAAACTGGACTTTCGCGGTGGAAAGTAAGACTGGGCGCCACGAAACTGCTCCGCCAACTCCATCCGAGGAGACATGATCTCGTCCTGGCCGGTGCTTCGCGCAGGGTCCTGGAATTGTCCCAGGATGCTTTGGATCTCCGGCTGCGAATCATTGTCTTCCCGAGCTCCTTCGCCTTGGCCGCCTCGTTTCACCTCATACTTGTTGTCTCTAGGCACATCCGGCAGCTCTTTCTCGGAGCTAGGCGCGGAGTTTGGGTCGCCAGTCGAGTTCGGCGCGGACGTAGGAGCCGCAGACGACGGTTTGAGGTATGCATCGTCTTTCTCAGGGGGAGGGGGTGGAGGAGTGCTCGTACTAGAAGACGGTGGGGATTCTGATGTGATGTTGGCCGAAACTGACAGTCCTTCCATTCGTTCGAGGGGCGGCTCGGGCTGAGGCGGGATGGAGGATAACGGTTGCGTGGCGGTTGGAGGGTTTGTCGCAGTCGCTCCGGTTTCCGAGGACTGGGATTCCTGAGCTGCTTCGACATTCATGTCGCTTGGTACCGGAACCTCGAGCTGCTTCGAGGCATCGTTCTGCGTTGCTTGGGGTGCAAGTTCAAGCGGGACGGATGGCCCGGAGCTCTCTGGTGCTTCCCCGTGGGAGATGTGGTCGTCCCCCTTTCTCGGAGGGGTCGAGGCTTCGGTGGTCGACATCAGCTAGGCTATGCATGCGCGCGCCAATGCTGAAAAGGTGGGGGAACGCTGTGCTCGGAAGCAACGTGGGGGGAAAGCTGGCGCATTATGATTATTATCAGTCGAGGGCCATATTGTTGACCCACGAGTGGATCATCGTTCGACCGAGGCCCGCTTACCTCTTTTTTCGCGTCGGAAGCTGGATCTGAGTAAATGTCACCCAGTCTGAATGAAAGGATGACCTTTCTAAGAGTGACAAGAATATCGATGGTCCATTGATTGGGTGGTCACGTGGATTGCTTTTTCCTTTCCATCATGTGCGGCATCTTCTGCTCACTTGGTGCGGCACCCATACACCCAACCCCAGAAACACAGCGTCTGCTGGTATCCCGAGGACCAGACAGTATCTGCACTCACACGGTTCACATCAATGGAGTGCAGTCCTGGCACCTCACCTTCATCTCCACCGTACTGTCACTGAGAGGCGACCATGTCTACGCGCAGCCTCTAGTAGACCCTGCCACGCAGTCTGTGCTGTGTTGGAACGGTGAGGCCTGGAAGATCGCCGGGGAGCAGGTCCAGGGCAATGACACAGAGCACGTCTTCAACTTGTTTCTACGAGCTGTGACACTCGCTGATGGTGATGAGGATCGTAAGCACGCTCTTCACAAGCTGGCCAATGCCATTGCGAGCATCTCTGGGCCCTTCTCCTTTGTGTTCTTTGACGCGCACAACTCAAGACTCTTCTTTAGCAGGGATTGCCTCGGCAGAAGATCTCTCCTGCAGGGGATTGACGAGAATGGCAGCTTGAAAATCGGCAGTCTCTGTGATGGATCTTCCTTGTCACTGGGATTTGAGGAGGTCGGCACTGATGGCATTCATATGATTGATCTGAACCCCGGTTCGGATCTGCCACAGGCAGGACAAAAGTCTATCACGGAGATGTTCAAGATTGAGACTCTGCCATGGAGCTCGGATCCACAGCCTCCAATTGGGCATGTGGTTAGTTCCGTCATATCAACCTGGAGAGCACCACAATTGACAACGCTACAGAAATCTCCACTCCCACCCATGAACATGTCAATTCCAACGGAGCAACCCCCGTCACTAACGACAGACTCTCAATTTGTCCAAGACCTCGAGACGCGACTCGGTGAATCACTGAAACTAAGAATCCAAAATGTCCCCGAGCCTCCAGGGTATGTTCGAGGCCACAGCGCCAAAATCGCTGTACTTTTCTCCGGCGGTCTAGACTGTACGCTGCTGGCGCGACTCTCACACGATCTTCTTCCTCTGGACGAACCCATCGACCTGCTTAATGTGGCTTTTGAGAATCCACGAGTAGTAGCAGCAGCAACAAACTCCAATCGTCAAAAATCTTCTTCTCCACCACCATCACCTCCCTCTATTTATGAAGCCTGCCCAGATCGAATAACCGGTCGTTCCGCACATCAGGAACTGCAAACCTCCTGCCCCGGCCGTATCTGGCGTTTTATCGCCATTAACATCCCATACGACGAAACATTAGCGCACCGGGACCAAATCAAGCGCCTAATGACACCCCACAACACAGAAATGGATCTATCAATCGCATGTGCGCTCTACTTCGCAGCCCGCGGCAAAGGCACAATCCAAACCCAACCCACCACCTCCGCCTCCTCGGCGGGAGAGGACCACTACACCACCTGCGCGCGAATCCTCCTCTCAGGGCTAGGCGCCGACGAGCTCTTCGCCGGCTACGGCCGACATGGGGTCGCATTTGCAAAACACGGGTTCGAGGGCCTTGTCTCAGAGATCCATCTCGACGTCAGCCGGCTCGGACAGCGTAACCTCGGCCGTGACGACCGCGTCCTCTCCCACTGGAGCCGTGAGACGAGGTTTCCCTACCTGGACGAGGAATTCGTCGCGTGGGTGCTCCGCGCTCCTGTATGGGAGAAGTGCGGGTTTGGTTTACCTTTACACGTGCCTCTAGAAGAGCAGCAGGTCGTCGACGACGGTGGCCGCAGGCCAGATGCTGAGAAGTTGGCTCTTCGGCTGGTTGCTGTGCGGTTGGGATTGCGATCTGTCTCGCTGGAGAAGAAGCGTGCGATCCAATTTGGGGCAAGGACGGCGAAGATGGAAACGGGGAGATCGAGGGGGACTGATACCCTGAACTGATCTTTACTTCTCTATCACGTTCCTCTCTGCACCTCATGCCCCAATCATATACATCCTTTCCAACACAGCATCCCCCACTACCTACCCTCACCCCCCTTACCAACATCAAAACAATCTCCAGCAATGATGACAAAACCAAGAATCAGATACTTCCGAAATCACATCCCCCTTCTTCCTCTCCTCTTGTCTGTGTTCTATTTTCTCCTTCCTTCCCTCCTTTCCCTCCTACACTCTTCATCCAAACACCCTATCCCATCTGTATCCACCCATCCATCCCGGACGGACGAATACATTTACTTTCCTGTCTTTTCCTAGGGCTGGACCGGATAGATGGCCTGCCTGCGTCCCTTTACCTTCTTTCGAGCAACAGCAGTTCCCGGACGGCGAGGGGCTCATTGAAGTTAAGAAGGTTCGGGCAGGGTCTTTTATCTATCTGGGCTTGGGGGAAGAAGGAAGGGTTGGGATGGGGTGGAAGAGGGAGGGACTGGGGAAGGAAGAAGGGGGATAATGCAGGCTTGAGAGGATTGTGGGAGCGGGAGATGGATGTGGTTGATGAGGGGTTGAAAGGCAAGTCTGAGCTGGATTATAATACAATCCCTGGACTGAAAGCAGCAACATCAGTCGATGTCGTTAATCTAGAGAAAGAAAAAGTGATAGAATATAGACCAGTACTACAGTCATTCTCGAAATCGCCTTGACCAAAACACACTGAAAATCTGTCTGCGTTATCTAAAAAGGATCTAGTGTCTAGCAAAAAAATGCGAGAGTCTCAGCGAATCAAACGTGAAGAATAGAACCCGTCCCGAAGCACAACCAAGACATATGGTCGATCGCGACACAGCGCAAGTACGTGGGCGGTACTCTGGGGGTAGCCATAGCAGATTTTCCGAGTTCCAAGTGATGCATGTGCCATTAGAACTTATACCATAACCTTCAAATCGCCCCACTTTGGGGGCGGTGGTGTTGGTCGGTCCCATATCTGAAACTGAAGATAAACAAAGTGTACCTGTGTCAGTTTCAAGATATGAGTGACTACTGTCGAATGATTTTAAAGAGTTGATTCTTTCAACCTTGAGGGTCTGGAGGCACTGGCCGCTGCTGGCATCCCACATCTTGACGGCGTGATCGTTCGAAGCCGAGGCGAGGAGCTTGGAATCGTGGGAAAAGACGACTGAGTGGACCCAGCCGCTATGGCCCTCGAGGGTCTGGAGGCACCGGCCGCTGCCGGCATCCCACACCTTGACGGTGCGATCAGGCGACGCCGAGGCGAGGAGCTTGGAATCGTAGGAGAAGACGACCGAGTTGACCGAGCCTCTATGGCCCTTGAGGGTCTGGAGGCACTGGCCGCTGCTAGCATCCCATACCTTGATAGTGAAGTCGTCCGAAGCTGAGGCGAAGAGCTGAGAATCGTGGGAGAAAACGACCGAGTTGACCCGGCTACTATGGCCCTCGAGGGTCTGGAGGCACTGGCCGCTGCTAGCATCCCACATCTTGGCGGTGTGATCGTTCGAAGCTGAGGCGAGGAGCTTAGAATCGTGGGAGAAGACGACGAAGTGGACTAAGCCGCTATGGCCCTTAAGGGTCTGGAGGCACTGGTCGCTGCCGGCATCCCACACCTTGACGGTGCGATCAGGCGACACCGAGGCGAGGAGCTTGGAGTCGTGGGAAAAGACGACCGAGTGGACCCGGTCGCTATGGCCCTTGAGGGTCTGGAGGCACTGGCCGCTATCGGCATCCCATACCTTGATAGTGAAATCGTCCGAAGCCGAGGCGAGGAGCTTGGAATCGTGGGAGAAGACGATCGAGTTGACCGAGCCTCTATGGCCATCAAGGGTCTGGAGGTACTGGCCGCTGTCAGCAACCCACACCTTGATGTTGCGATCGTACGAAGCCGAGGCAAGGAGCTTGGAATCGTGGGAGAAAACGACTGAGTTGACCCAGTCGCTATGGCCCTCGAGAGTCTGAAGATACTGGCCGCTGCTAGCATCCCACACCTTGACGGTGCGATCGTCTGAAGCTGAGGCGAGGAGCTGAGAATCGTGGGAGAAAACGACCGACTTGACCCGGCTACTATGGCCCCCGAGGGTCTGGAGGCACTGGCCGCTGCTAGCATCCCACACCTTGACGGTGCGATCTTTCGAAGCTGAGGCGAGGAGCTTGGATTCGTGGGAGAAGACAACCGAGTTGACCCAGTCGCTATGGCCCTTGAGAGTCTGGAGGCACTGGCCGCTGCCGACATCCCACACCTTAATGGTGCGACCAAGCGACGCCGAGGCGAGGAGCTTGGAATCGTGGGAAAAGGCGATGTAATGGCCCTCGAAGGTCTGAAGGCACTGGCCGCTATCGGCATCCCATACCTTGATAGTGCAATCGTCCGAAGCCGAGGCGAGGAGATTAGAATCGTGGGAGAAGACGACCGAGTTGACCCGGCTTCTATGGTCCTCGAGGGTCTGAAGGCACTGGCCACTGTCAGCAACCCACACCTTGATAGTGAAATCGTTCGAAGCCGAGGCGAGGAGCTTGGAATCGTGGGAGAAGACGACTGAGTTAACCCAGTCGCTATGGCCCTCGAAAGTCTGGAGGCACTGGCCGCTTCTGGCATCCCATACCTTGATGGTGCGATCGTTCGAAGCCGAGGCGAGGAGCTTGGAATCGTGAGAGAAAGCGACCGACTTGACCGATTTGCTATGGCCCTCAAGGGTCTGGACGCACGCACTCCAACCCTTTTCCATAGTTGGTTTTCTAACTATCCAAGCTGGTTCCTGTGTTTGGAATTGAGTCCTTGTTTTGCTGCTGGTTGGGCTAAATACCAATCCTGAAGCGTATACTTGAAGCGGCTGATTCTCAATAGCTGTTCTATGGTATCGGATAAATCGGCATGCATCTCGAACTTTATCAATGAGCTGCTCGTCCTGCGTTGTTGTCTAAAATAATTACGTTAAAAAGATCCTATGGCCGCACTTGTGGAAACAGACCTTTAGCAAACTCTCGAGTCTTAGCATCGAAGTTACACCATCTGATATGCTTCTTGATAGGCTAAGAGCCTCGAGCCAATGAAGATAGTCCTGGCGCAAGAACATCCCAACTAAACCACTGTCCAGAAGGTCCTCGATCGCGTTTTGGCTAGGACAGCATTTGTTTAGATGATCAACCCAATAGACACACGCATATCGTATTGTGGCTAACGGGTCTGGATCCGGCTGGTTGACCTGGTCGATCGGATATCCAGGGGCGACTAGGCCGTAGATATCACGTTGCAGTGTCCTAGCAATTGCATGCATCGACTTCGAGAAGATGGAATAGTGTACCTTTTCAATTCCGTTAGGATAGATCTCATCGGATGCTTTTCGCAGGAGAAAGTCCTTGGCTGACTGATGAATTAAGGAGATTGTCCGTTCTCTGAGCGAGAAGAAAGAGCCACAAAGCTCTATAATCTCTGCTAGCTCGTCTGTGATTTCTTTAGGTAAGTCGATACAGGACGATAATTCATCCAGCGTGATAGGGCGGGAAACGGTCATAGCAACGCCGAGAAGAGACTTGCAGAGCCCCGCATCATCTGATTCGCTGATTTGGTTGAACATTCGCCTATAAAGCTCATCAAGACCGGGCGGAAATCCCTCCAACTTCTTCTGCACGTGTCTCTTAGGGACGTCGGTAAGTTCCCTACAAACCAAGGCGACCCAGAGGAACGTGCCATTTGCCTTTGATATCAAGTGATGCTGGACCACATCCCGTATTTCGGCACTGTAATTGTTCCTCTCTGCCAACTTATTTATTTTATGCTGGATGAATGAGTTAACAGCAGCCGACAAAATGTCCTCGTTTAACTCAAGCCGAAGCTTTATTTGCGTCGTGTTATCGAGGTCTTTCTCAATGCTCGGCCAGTTGCGGCTAGAGACGATCCATTTCACGTGCGAATGAGCTGACGACTGCTGAACAAGAAAATCAAGAAGTTGGCTCAGGCCTGAAGTGCACTCGTCAAGTGCATCAATAATAAAGTAAGTGCGTTGCAAGTGCGCATCCTCTAGAATCTTAGTGAAGGCTCTGAGCAATGCGTACCATGCATTCTCTCCCTCGAAGGAGCCATCGCGAACATGGGTGATGAGGGAGGGTTGTTGCTGCACAAGCATATATATAAGTCCCCGCAGCACTGCTGTCGCATTATTGATGCGGTCGTTTGCAGCTTGGCAGAAAAAGAACGAGATGTTAATGTCATGTATAGCCACCTTAGATAGCTCATCAATAATCCCGCAAAGCAACATTGTCTTGCCTTTTCCAGGATCACCTTTGATCCAGAGAAGCTGGCCACATCTCGCGTCCCTCCACCTCTGAAAATCGACATGGTCGAGCACCCAACAATATGAGTCTCGGAGAAGACCACCTTTGTCCTCCTCGATTCGGGCTTTATCAAGGCTAGGATCGGTGGCGTTGAGAGTGTCTCGGCAGCGTCGGTCTTCCGCATTAGATAAGCGTTGCTCGGTCTTCTCTAGTGTATCCTTTTGGCTTCGGGATATCCTCACAAGCTCCTGAATATTATCGAAAATATCTTTTAGGGCCTCGTAAGATCTTTTCGCTTCCCCGGCCAGCTTCTTCAGCTGCTGCACACCTGTGGCGGACAAAGCCTTCTCAAACATTTTCTCCAGTTTTGCCTCTTCCTCCTTGAGGTGACCCAGTTTATCGTTCCAGCTGTCGTAGTTGACGACGCCCTTGAAGTAGCTTTTGGTCTGACTGCGATAAAACCTTATGACACTCTGCACCTGGAAGTCAATAATGAGGTTATACAGGTCCACCACACGTTCCATCAAGTCATTCTTCAAGCCAGACTTCATATCCTCGGGTAACAGTAGTGACTCCATCTCGACGTAGTAGCGCATTTGCGACGTGACATATGTAAATCCCTCCTTATTGGCAGTGTCGGCAGCGGCCGGGTTTTTTAGGAGGGGAAGGACGAGTGAGATGCCTGCCGTCACAGCCGGCGCATAAGGGACATCTTTGACCGCATCTTTGACGTATTGTTGGGCCCAATCCACAGCCTCGCCAATCTGAGCCACCCCGTCCTGCAGACCGATCTCATGTCCTAGCATTGTCACCTTAACCTTCTTATCTTCCATGTGTTTCAGACCTAGTTCGGCTATCTGTTTCAGTTTCTCTCTGCGCGCAGCCGCATCATGTTGGGGAATTTGGTTCCTAATATCTTCGGCGTCTTCTTCCTGGTTCGGGGCCGATAGAGAGCTCGCCTTAGCTATATAGTGTCATTAGCACGGCTGGGGAACAGGTTCATTACATTCAAGGCTACCTCTGATGAGCACTCGAGACAAGAGGTCCTCATATCTTGATACTAGCTCAGGCTTTTCTTGCTTCAGAGAATCATATGCTTTGTCCCAGAGAGAAGCAGGAGTAGATCCAGCGTCTATGGTATCTGCAGATAGGGGTTGGGTTGGATTCGGGTCGTTAGAAGTCTCATTTCCAGTCACTCCCGTAAACTTGGTTTGAGGCATGTTCTCGGAGGTGACGGAGATCAAGGTAGAAGGATCTGTGGTTGACCGATTGGTAACTGAAGTTGCAGAAATCGACCCTGTAACGCTGTCACCGTGGAGGGTGACTGGTCCTATGGACATCAATAGTGACAATATTAGTTTGGGAGTTTTCCCGTACCATCTAATTTTGCAGACACATTGTCATTTTGACCCTTTGCCTTCGTCGAATCTCCCTTCCAAAACCGCTTCAGCCGAGACATGGCACGTCGTTAGTTGCCTATAGTCGTTGTAATTGCCCCGCTTAGGCAGTAGAGACCTTTTCCATAGACGGAGGAAATGCAAGATTGATTCGAGGGCGTTTCAATGGTCGGGGTTTGATCGAAGCTAAACAAATGAACGTCTCTGTTTTAGAGATCGCGTTAGCGTCCTGGCCTTGGCGTTCCACGAACAAAGTCCAAAGTAGGTCTTAATCAGGCCGGACCGGTCCGCTCCTAGCGTTCCAAGGTAGCTTATAAAAAGATGATTCAAGAAATATGACTTTAGGATTAGGTTTACACTGCTTTCGCGGAAGGGTCTAACCTTGGTAGCCTCGAGCAGTAGTGAGGAGGTGGCCTCGCGGGCACCAATCACAGGTTATTCGGAATATTCATATTCCTGTATATTATAGGTACGTAGAGTTACAAACCAAAATTACATACCTGATGTCTTGTAAGTGCTTGGGTGATCCACGGTAGCTAGAATCTTCCACGGAAATGCAAACAGTTCAAACAAAAAGCATCGGTAGTGGATATCTCCCCTCTCTCATCCACGCGGCGAACGGCACCATCTTAATCACCGTGAAAATTGGAACCACTAATAGGATGCTACGACGCTTAAACTACTATACAACAAGGAGTTTGACGAGAGAGAACTTGAAGGGGCTTTCGATATGCTGGAGACGACAGTTAAGACCGCCAGCAAAACCGACGCCGTCAGCAGTTTCACGGGCCTCTGGAAAGGTCTACTACCATTTCCTGACCGCTACTTTACGAAATTCAAGGCATTTCTGCAAGTTTTCCTGTTTGAAACAACTACGAAATGATATGTGTGGTCATAACCGCCGCCATTACAAGCGAAAGGGAAAGGCAGGTGCTTTTTAGGAAGGTAGGGCGCCGCTCACGGGCGGCTACGGTAGGTTGGACTAGCTTATAGGATTGGATGTTTCCTTTCCATCAACATTAGCGGAAGCCCTTAGCTGCATTGGTCACTCTCCAACGAACCGTGGAGAAAAGGATCGACTTGTGGGGTCCACACTAACGGACCCGGCCGCACTATGATACATGTGATCTTTGGCTGGATGATCGACGGTTTCGTCCGATCACTTATTTCAGTTGACCCTTGATCCAGAAAAGGCATAGCGACTAAAGTTTTGGAAAAGCACAAACGGAGTCATTGCTCATGCATCATGACGTATGCCAAGGCTCGGAACTGGTTTAACTTAACCTACTTCTAAATCGATTCACAGAACATGTAACCTACCTGGGTAGTACTTCACGGGATCGAGGTATGGACTAGCAGTGTAACATGACGTAGATTTTACTGTACGTAGTAATAAAGAAACCTGTAGAAAAGGTATAAATAGAGATTTCTTCCTCTGTAAGGCATTAATCTAATCAACTTTCAAATTATCAACTTAAGTTACCAGAATCATTTCCCAATTTTGGTACTTTCATCATATCTTGAGTCAAGATACTCCAAATATTCGCCTTCCTGATATTCCATCAATATGGACGTTAAGATCAGCGACCCGGCAGAAAACGGATATTACACAGTCCAAAGCGGTGACACCCTGTCGAAAATAGCGAAAAATATTCTCGGCGACGCCAGCGCATGGAAGAAAATATTCGACGCGAACAGGCCCATGCTTGATCAGCCAGAGGAAGTTTATGCTGGAATGGTCCTTAAAATTCCACCAAAATGAGAGCCCAAAATTGGGGGATAAGACATCCCATACGAATGTGGTATATAGTGCAGCGAAGCTGGCGCTCGGCAGCCACGTGATATATTCTGGCCTTACAGACGGGGCGTCGAAATGGTTGGAGAGCGGAACTACTGTATCCTAGATTCTATCATCATACACATGCCCAATATACAGAAGAGGATATGCAACGTTCGATTGCTTCATTATTCTACTCGGTTGGTGCGCTCGGCTCCGTGCTGGCCGAATTCTACCCCGGTTCTCCTGTCGGTCTGTCAGTTCTGACCTGACATGCCATTGTGCGCCTTATTCTCCCGCTCCAATAGTTAATCGATATTTACCATAGCTTTTGATTAGCGATCAAGGCAAAAAAAAAGGCAATATGTATGGGATACTGTATGTACTCAACTATAGTTCTTAATGTCAAGACCTGCGTTTCAGAAATGTCCTCTAGCACTTTGTTCCCTTGCTCCCACCTTGTCAACCCACCAGCCAAGGAAGTTATGAAACCCTTGATCAGGATTGTCTGCGTAAGACTGCCAATGTCGCCGAATGATCCAACAGTCTTCTTTGACCGCTCTTTGCGATGCAAGGCATCGCTGATCGTGGACCGGGTAATAAATGCGTCGAATTGATTCAAAAAGAAATTTAAACATTGATGCTACCAACCCATGCCACCTTTATGAGCTACTACTCAGCCTACTCTTCAGGGCAGGGATAGATCACCGCATAACACTGCCCAGCATTCTTGCAACACGAACTCCGGACAATCTTCGAGTTTGCGGTGTTGCTCGCCAAAAACCCTCAATTTGAGCGCGCGAAATTTCGCTGCAGTAATTGCGCTACATCTCCTCTACTATCAGTCCTGCATACCGCAAGTATGCCTCTGCGTTTTGCCCCCTTGTGTCGATCGTGTCAACACACCATTCCAAGAAGGTATCGAGTCTTTGGCCAGAGGGTTTTTCGTAGGACTGCCAATGGCGCCGAATGAAGGCTTTTAGTTCAGGAAAGAACTCCCCAATGAGATTCAAGCCAGGAGAATATGGAGGCAGGTATACTAGCTTCACATCGGCTTCTGAACACACCCGCTCTATTCGGTCAGAGTGATTAAATGATGCGTTGCAGCCTGATAGCTCAATTATTAGGTACGAAGCTTATCATTCTATTTGGAGCAAGGTAATACAGTACTATCGACTCTATCACGGAGTCTCTTCAAGGTTGGCCGTCTAAACTATCCCTGAATATTGACTTATTTGTCTCGGAGGTTGCTACATAATCTGAAAACGTTTGACCTAAAATTTCCAAATGACGCAACACGGGGCAATTTTCATCAAGGGCAGCATTACCAGGACTGTGGAATGTCTCCTACCCATATCTCGAAATTTTTTGCTGATGGAATCGGTTTAAACAGGCTGCTAGGAAGTAAGGAGTAGTGAGTAGTTGGCGTGGCTGCTGCGAAGGTGTGTGATTCGTTCGCTTACTACGTATGTACGTAGCTTTTTTGCGACTGCCCGTGAATCGATGCAGTGAGAATAACTGCGAGCCACGCAATCAATTTGTGACGTATTTGAGAATATTATTAACAAAAAGAGTGCCTAAACATATTGTCCTCCTCTTTATATTCCATGCTGGGCAGAGCACCCAGCCTCTAAACTCCAACTCAATAATACTTTATATCATCCGAACTTCTCTACTTCGAGTATCTATCTAATAAGATGTCCACACAGTCCACACAATACGATAAAATCGGAAGCGGCTACAATTCCATCAAGCAACTGCCCTCTGACTTGCTTGACACTGCCACCCTACTCGCCCACCTTGGAAATATCCAGGGAATGGATGTACTTGACCTCGCCTGCGGTACGGGCTTCATGTCTGGCAAAGCAATTGAGCACGGGGCTCGACGAGTGGTTGGAATAGATATTTCGTCAGGCATGATTCAAGCTGCACGCCGCCAGTTTGAAAGCGATAGCCGCTTCGAGTTCTACACTGCAGATTGCAGCAAGCCAATCAATATGGGCAAGTTTGACGTTGTCTTCGCATGCTGGCTTCTCAATTATGCCTCCAGTGTTGAAGAGCAGTTGGCAATGTGGCAGAACATTCTCGATCACTTGAAGCCAGGTGGCAGATGTATTGGCGTGGTGCCGAATTTCGATATGCTCGAGGCTCCATTCCCTTCAGGGTATCAATGGGGAATTGAGGCGAAAGTCTTGAAGCATGTCCGTGGAGGCGTGAAGCTTCAGTTCACTGCAGATATCTGTCCCCACTTCACATTTGAATGCTATATGCTTCAACGAGGAGTGTATGAGTATTGCTCCCGGAAGGTGGGACTCACTGACATAGAGTGGCTGGATCCAATTGATCCGAAAGATCCTCGGATAAATTTTAAAGCTTTGTCACGCAACATGAATTCCCGGTGCTTTCAAGTCTGGTGTACAGACGAGTGAACGGCGTGCCCTCAAGCATGGAAGTTAGGGATGGCTTTATACGGACAAGTTGGTTGATATGATCATGGTAGAACATTGGTGGACTGGGTTCAAGTAGGAACCTTTGCTATCGAGGAGCGTGGGCTTACACGGCAATTTTATGATGCAGTTCAGATGGACGACGCAAATGAAGTCCTAAAGTACTTACTTTCTTACTATCTAACTGCAACGAATGCGATATCCCACTAGGGGGTCTATATCAGCATCAATAAGTCTTCCAATAGCAGGTCCAGTAGATATACTTCATCCACATGAGATTAATGCATGGTACGGTTGAGATACCCCATACCACGGGAGATGTTCTATATCAGAGCAAGCTATGAGTGTATCAAATAGTACACTACCAGGGCGAATATAGTCTAGCGGGATCAATTTAGCATCAAAAGAAAGGTTGGTTGAATAAGAGAACATGCGCAGAGGGCAGGTTGAAATACCTTCGAGACTTAGCGTTTAATACGCCAATATTCGGTGGTTACAGCATCAGAGCTGAGATATGATGCCGAAATACATACAAACTGTAAAGAAAGTTAATGTCTTGGCTGACGGTCGTATGAGATCATTCTTCATCCCGCATCAACTGAGCAGTATCAAATGGGGAGAACATAATGTAAGCAACAGACCCCTATTGGCCAATCTGCCTATCTAGCCGACCTCGAGAGCCGGAATTAAATACTAATCGGCCACTACTTTAGTCTAGCCCCGGTACTGGTAGGCTTGGCACGGCTATCTGTTTTGTGGCTAATTTCCCGATTTCCGGAAGTACTGTACAGCCCATGAACAAATCTATAGTCTACGAGATCATACAAGGGATGATGAGTATAGCGAGCGGAAATAATAAAATTATCAAGTAAACAAAACCAAAACAATATAGCCACGAGTCAATCCCATCTAATGGGAGACAGTCAGAACCGGCCAAACCCGAAAAGGAAACCAAAATATCAAAAGAGTAATAAGAATAAGACGAAAGACGTCCAGATGTGCGAACACATAAAACTTTTGTGCAGGGTTCAGGATCAGTTAAGACCCTGGACACCTCCTGTGGACGTCAAGTGAAATGAAAATGACTCGACCCACGCCCACGACAATCCCTGTAACCAGGAAAATGACAGAACATCAAACAATAACGCAGACGCATATCACATAAACAAACAACATCGAAAGACAAAACAACTATTGGTAGCTTTCCTGAGCCTGCAGCTTGGACTTGAGATACTCGATCTCCTGCTCTCGTTCAGCGAGCAGCTCCTCGAGCTCGGCAATGCGGCGCTCTGAGCCGGCCTGGCGCTCCATCTTGCGGGCACGCGACTTGCGGGCCGCTTCTGTGTTGCGAGCACGCTTGGCGGCAATGGGGTCGCTCTCGTCGTAGGTGACGGGGCTGAGAGGCTTGCGCGAGCGAGCATTGACACCGGCGACGGACGAGGGCCGGGTTGCGGGGGACTGCTTGGTGGTGGCCGAGGCAGTCCGCTTCATGGGAGCCGGCGACAGAGGAGCCACGGGGGCTGCAGGCTGCGCGAACTTGGGCTCGGCCAGCGCCGCGTCAAAGGCGTTCACGGCGTCGCTGTCGTGGAAGAGAGGCGACCAGGCCTCGTGGCCGGAAACCAGGTCGACGTCCGTGAACATCGGCGAGGGGTTCTGGCTGAAGTTGCCAGGCGAGTCGAAGGACGGGGTGCTGAGATCCGTGAACGAAGTCGACGGAGGCACCGAGGAGTCCATCATCAGGTCCTTGGGCGAGATGGTGCCCGTCGGAGCGTCGGTGACAAGCTCGACCCCGGCCTCTGAACCCAGCGGGAACTGGTCAAAGGCGAATGGGTGAGGGGACTTGGCACCCTCCATGAGGTCGGTCGAGGACAGACCCAGAAGGGCGTCGTAGTCAAAGTCGTAGTCTGTGGGAGCGGGGTTAGCCATGTGGCTAAAAATGCGATCGTCGGAGACGAAAATACCTTGTTGGATGTTGGGGGTAGACATGATGCGAGGATATGCGCGCGAGTGATGGTTCTTTTTTTGGTTCACGGCGAGGCCCGTGTTAAAATAAGGGACTGAAGGGCGGTTGGGGTGTGGAGAGTTCGAAGGCACCGAGGCTGGGTGACGCTTCAAGGCGTTGGGAGACCGATAAGAGGAAGACGGAGTCGACTGCTGCAAAGCAAGTCTGGCTAATCGAGGGTCTTGCACGGGCGATCCGGACCACTGTTGCTGCTGGAGATGACGTTGCAGCTGCAGAGTGAAGGAGTGTCGTCGAGCTTGATTCTGGGCCAGGAACGGCTGCAGGGCAGACGGTCTATGGGTTGTATTCACGAGTGCTGGCGCACGCGAGTCTCTGGGGCGAGGCTGCGGACGGGCGGGCGTGGTGGGGTAGAGCACAAAGTCCTCGGAGAGACTGTTGCTGTCTTCGCTGTTCTTGTTGATCGAACTGGGAGCCAAAGGCGTCGGGAGCGGGGGCGTGGGGAGCCATGATTGCTGGTGGTGATCCGTGGTGAACGACGTGACGTCGAACGGGGAAATATTGGAGGGGAGAGAACTTGAGCTACGCGAGGCGCTGCTGAAGTTCAGAGGTCCTAAGACTTCTGAAGAGTGGAGAGGAGAAGAGAGATGGGGGGGATCTATCGTGTCGTTCTCGGTGGAGAAAGACGGGCGCTGAGGCGACGAGGAGCTTAAAAAGCCTCCATGATGGATATCGTGGACAGGAAAAGTGTAGTGGTCAGAGGGGAGAATGGTGGGTTGCTGGTGGTGGGATCAAATGGTGGTTGTGTGGAAAAGATAAGCGGGATGGGAAAGGGAAGAGAAAAGAGCCAGGCATCGACGGGGGACTCAGGCACTTCTTATTCTCGCCGGGCCGGAACCAATGGCGGCGGTCACGGGGTGTGAGTCACCGCGATGGGGCCGTGGTGATTGGGTAAGCCCTAGGCAGCCGGGCCCACTGCAGGTACATCGCCCGCCGACGAGGAGTGTGCCAATACGAGATCACCACTGCGACACTCCCCGGACGACGATTACCATTACGACCCCGAACTCCGTTCTCTCTATCCCCAATCCAGTCCCCGCGCAGGGGCGAAGGCGCGTTTGATTATCTCCGGTCGCAAAGGACTACGGGAGACATTCCTGGGTCGGCTCCACCGATCCTTTCCCCTTTGCCTCCCCGCCGCGGGCTGTGTCCGTGGGCGGTGGTGCCCCTACAGTGCCCGTTTTGATCTTAGCCCTGCCGAAGGGCGTGAAAATTGACTTTGCACCCACCCCTCCCCCTCGGACATGGTTCTGGTTGAAAACTCCGACGCACACCGTGCTTGCTGCTGACCGAGCACACCCGCTCTAATTGGAGCCTCGTTTTTGGGGCTCGAACTAGGTTTCTTGGCTCGTCTGACCATTGCTGACGGGTCTCGTGGCCGATAGGATGCCATGGCGCGGAGATGGCGATTGATGGTCTCGAGTGAGAAACAGGACAACTGTCACTATCATTCCTGCGGATCTAGGCAGATGCTCTCGATCGATCGCCGGATGCCCGCCGGCGGGAACCGGTCCAGGCTACACTACCTGGTAGGCAGACATGTCTCTGCCGGCATTAAGATGAATCGAAAAGAGAGGTCAGGCCTGCGGAATGCCCGCTAAGCCTGGGACGTACATTGAGAGTGGCCTATTCGTAAGGATTATACAGCGATATTCGAACTCAGATACAGTGCGTCTCGAAACCGGTGCCACCACCCACACTCTTTAATTGTTTCTCGAACTCTAATGCCAACTCATCGTCTACATTAGGCATGGATACAGGTATATTGATATTCCTGTATCAGTATCAATATACTGAATTACCCTCATTAACAATACGTCGCCCTGTCTCGTAACTGAATTGGCTATCTAAGGCAACTAGAATTTCCCGTGGTAATGCAAAAAAATCAAACACGAGAGCCTGAAAGGGCGTCGAGAAACTGACGAGGTCACTCTCTGCCACTTCCCATGCCCAAGTGACAATTTGGAGGGTTACTTGTACTAGACATTGTAAAATAGTGACTGTCATTACCTTGCGCACCTGCAGACTACTTATGAACTGCTTATCACACTCCTCAGCCTGTCAGCCACATAGATTACCCTATGTATTTTGGGAATTGCAGGGGAATATTGGTAATTCATGCTAGTCAAGGGCTGTTAGTGGAGAATCTCTGAGCGAATCCTATTTGTATTCCACGGCTGACGCGATCATAACTCGTCTGAGATAGCTCCCCGTGATCCTTTTGTTCGGTTATTAGGAAGACGCAACGTTTTCAAGATCTCTCGTGCCGCAGCGTTCTGGCCAGGAGAAGTTTGGAGCACAGAACTAATCTCCTTGGCTTGCCGCGAGATGCGAACCCCTTCGCGATCTTGATCCAGTACGCTCAGGATTGCAGGTCTCAACTCCCCCTGGGCTATGAACGGAGCGTGGGCTCTGTTTGCCCATCTGCCAACGCCTAGCCACTCAGCTTGGACTGCGTAGTCGTAATCGCTTTGCCATTTAGGTAAAAGTAACTGGGGAACACCTGATCTATTGCAATGGCCATTGTTAGTAAACCGACTCACAGGGATTTTTTCCTCGTCGTACTCACGTCAGAGCATCATGGAAGAGGCTCCTCTCGCCACGGTGCACAATACAAGAGATGGCTTTACTGGTCAATAACAACGCGACGTCTGCCGGTTTCAGTTGCAACTTGCGCAGCCGACGGTGCGTTATATGAAACATTGCGTCAATCACGGAATGGACATCATCTGTTCGAGAGTCTTCTGTCTGGTTTCTGATATTTCACAAAACCTGGAGGTGCTCGTATTGCCGTGGAGGAATGCCAAGGAGCGTCTGTGCGATTTGACGTGCATCATCTCCTGTGAGACTTTGCAGGTCGATTAGGAGTATAGGTTGTCGGTAATCGGGCCAGCATTCTAAGCAGTCTTTCCAGAGCTGTTCTCGCCTGATCAATGATTGCGCGAGTGGTATAATTGGGCCACATGCTATGACGTTCGGGGGAACGGACATAGGATACTCGAGCTCGAGGGAAGAAGTGATGAGCACTGTGACCTCGTCTCTGTACCAATCGATAAGATTGACGGGGTTGTCCACACCATGATGTTGTCGACATGATTTCAATCTGCGTAAATGCGATGAGAACACCATTGTAAATGTCCTTTGTAGCCACAGGTAGGCATTATACGGAACAATGTACCATGGCAAAGGGGACGAGAATCCAGATCCAATGCTTTAGCCGTGTTAGTGCTAGGACATAAAGTACATGATATGTGGTACGTACGCGGGAAACTCCCGAATCATTCTGCCCGCTGGCTGCTGTGTCATGAGCACGTCGCGTAAATTACTCGCAGATAGAATCATGTATCGATATCCCAGCTGCAGCACTGCGTCATTTGCCTGTCTTAAAAGTGGGTCGATCACAACCAATGTTGGATCGACCGCCTTGATCACGTCGAGCATGCTGCGATACATTTGCAGGTACTTGGTGCCATTCCACGGTACTTGGGAGGTCGGTAAATCTTTTCGTGAAGCTGCAGCGCCGCGGAACCCGGGGGGATGCGATAAAATTGATAATCGATTCTCTTCCAATTCAAGCAACTTCGCATAAGGGGTTCCATTTAGAGGATGGAACCTGACCCGGGATAGGCCCGGAGGTAAATTCGATACCTCATCTTTCAGTTCTGGGAAAGACGCAAGATGAATATCTACGAAGGGATATTGAATAAGCGATTGGCATGTCGCTAAAACGGCCTTGGACTGCTCGTGATCAGAGTTGGTAAGGAACAGCACTTTCTGGCCAGCGCTTAGATAGGAAACGTCCGAACCCGACGAGGAAGGAAGTTGTGTACAAAAAGCAAGTTTGATAAATTTGAAAAGAAGAAAAGATATAACGAGACAGCACTTCATATCGTGCATACTCGATCGAGATGAGTTTGATGATTCTAAGGAAGGTCGTGGCTGTTAGTTATTGTGAGGCCTGTGGGGCTTAGACTTTATCAGCACATATGTAAGTGTAACGTACTGGAAGGAGGGCTTGCGATCAGCGTACTTAGCCAGAACTAAAGGGAATTGATAGGGATACTCGAAATCGATTGTTAAGATACCCCTCCCTCGGGAGGCTCTTTTGGAGGTGGGGTATGGTGATCTTGGATTTACAAGCGCATACATACTCGAAAGTACAGTACTATGCATATAATCTACGTAAGAAGTACTCGTCAAATGACAGGGGTACTTCGAAAAATCTCCCAATATAGACTAGTGTGTCCTGCTGTTGGGGCTGGTGAATCCAGCGAAGAGTGTAGTTCGTCGCACCAGTTTCGAGGTGCACTGTATATCAATATACTCTCACGGATTAGTTCACAACCCCACCTGTAACGCGCTCGACTAATCTTAAGTTTCGCCCTCAGCAATCCTTGTTAAAGTGTGTTGTCACGTTCTTGGCACACGCTTCAAGACATCAGTGATCCGATTGTCGAGTTCAATATGCAATTTAGACATCGTGGTGGTTGGTAAAGAAAGGTAGGGAGTAAAAACATTAGAAGACAATGACCATTAGGTGGAATATCCGTCAGATTGTGACGGGCCCTCACGAGCGTGAGCGGTGAGGGGTCGACTTGGGGGCGGTTACATATTCTACTGAATCCCCCTCTCCTTGCACTTCGTACGATCACGAATCCTTCTGACTCACACGCCGTACAAAATCGATCGAATAGCTTATTATGGCCAACAACCGGCTCCCAAATCCTAATCGATATATCACCGATAACGATGTAGATGGCAACTCCTTCTTTTCTACCGACTTTCCTGTATCCTTGGAAGTAGGCACGGAGCTTGGTGGCGGGCTCCAGAGGCTGGGCTACCAGACCGAGCGATCACCCGTCTCGCTCGGCAGCAAAAACGATCTCGACCACTACAAAACCGCCTTGCAGACCCCGGTCCCACTCGTCTCGCCAGGCGGCGGTGCTAACGTGTGGTATAACGACATTCCTCCCGGTGGCGAAGGCCCGATGCACCGCACCGTGAGCCTCGACATTATTATCCTGCTCATCGGCGAAGTCGAGCTCACCTTGTCTAACGACGAGGCCCGTACGATCAAGGCGGGCGATATGGTGATCCAACGATCCACGTTGCACCAGTGGCGTAACCCAAGCAAGACGCAATGGGCACGGATGGTAGGGATCATTTCGGAATGTCGGCCTTAAGCGACTGTGGACTACCACTCATGGCGTTTATTTGCATATTAAATATATGAGGGTTCGCGAGGGAACACCAACCGAGTGTTATTAGCGTCGCGATCGAACTAAAGGACAGTTGTATAGCACTTTGGGGCAAATACATCATCCAACGATCTACGACCATACTGTATTTGAATTAGCGTATTTCAGATTAAGATTCAGAAGTCAATGCATGAGAGTGAGGTGGTATCTCCGATTTCGAATATCGCTGTATCTAGAGAGCGTACACTCACAGAAATGGCATGGCGACGGATTACCCACAGTAAATTATACATTGATTCCTATACCTCTATCACTAGCATTTCAAAGGTGGAGAAGAGAAGGGAACAGAAAAAGCAAAGAAGAGAGACGAAGGACTAAATACAATAGTACACCAAACAATGTGTAAGATGCGCAAATAAGTTCTGAAGAGCCTGAAGCATCCGCATCAACAATCTTATAACTAGTCAGTAATGCATCAAAAGTTGGCGAATAAGAACATTGTTGTTTCTTCTTCGGGCTCCCAAATGAGAGACTCGCTTTTTATGGTGAAGTGTACCCTTCTGTTGCTGGCGTTGTTCAGTGGCAGGCATCTTGGTGAAGCATTCTCTCGACTCCCTGCGCTGCTAGCTATGTCCAGAGTCTCTACCTTGAATCATTCTAGGATACATGCAATACGTAGTAGGCTAGCTGGCTACGGCTACAACCAACAACAGTAATAATCGAAAACGGAGAAGATTCTATTAAGTATTACCTATCGCGGTGTAAGCCACACTTACGGGGCCACCTAGACAAGAAAAAAGCAACCACGCGCAAGACAGGCAGGCACAACGGGGTAGACAACATTAAAGAGGGCCAATTTGAGTTGAGCGGAACGACCTAAGAAGAGCAGAACCGAGCAGCAACTAAACCACACACCCTTCCTCCCTGCAGGGTATCGAACAGGAAAAGCAGCAAGAACAAGAACACAAAAAAGTAGTGGTATCAATCTAGTCAGGCGACACACGCACGTAACGCATAAACACGTCGCGCTCGAGTCACGGTTGCGAGACGCAGATCGTCAATAATAAAAGGAATGGAAGCAGTTGAGCAACAACTGCTGGCGACGAGACAATATAAGGACTGTTTTTTGGAGGGTTTGAGGTTTTGGATTGATGCAGGAAAAAAAAACGACAGCGGGTATCTTTGTGCCATTCTTCGCTCAGACTCCCAAGGGAGGACTGAGAAAAAGTGGCCGTGACGAGGCAAAGCAAACAAGCAACCAAAGCGAACGGGTAGATTCGTTTGTTTCCACACCATTGCGACTCAAGTCGAGGAACCGAGCCCATCTAGACTGCCGCGAGTTGGCGACTGGTAGGACAAGTCCCACCATCGTTCAAACTCGACGACACGTCTCCGCGGTGTTGTAATTCAAGCAGCAGCCTGGACCGGGGTTGAGGCAGGGATGGTGACGTTGTTGGTCTCCTCGGCGGTGGTCTCAACGGCCTTGGGGGTCTCCTCGGTGGTGGCGACGGGGGCCTCCTCGGTGACGGCAGGCTCGGCAGCGGCCTCGGTGGTCTCAGGGGCCTTGGCCTCGGTCTCGGCAGCAGCGGTCTCGCCCTTCTCGAGCTTCACGGCCTTGCTGGGCTTGCGGAAGATACCACCCAGCTTGGAGGACTTGCCCTTCTCCTTGGTCTCGCCATCGGTGGTAGCCTCGTTATCGGAGGTGTCAGCCTTCTTCTCCTTCTTGACACCCAGAGAGCCGAAGAACGAGGTGCGGCGCTTCTCCTTTGTAGCGGGAGAGACGGGAGTCTCCGCGGTCTCAGCGGGAGCGGCGGCATCCTTGGCGGCCTCGGCCTCGGCCGGAGCAATCACGCTCTCAGGCTCGATGGGAGCGACAGCAGCGCCCTCGACGGGGTTCTCGAGCTGGGGAGCAGTGCTGGAAACAGCATTCTCCTCAGCGGGGGCAGCGGCCTCCTTCTCGGACTTCTCGTGCGAGGGGCTGGTGACTTTCTGGAAGAAGTTGCCGAAGATGGAAGCGCGCTTGGCCTTCTTCTCCTCCTTCTTCTCCTCGTCCTTCTTCTCCTCCTTGGGAGCCTCAGTAGCAGCTGGGAAGAAAGGTCAGCATCTGTTTTACATAATCAAATCGCATCATGAACATACCCTCAGTGGCCTCGGTGGTCTCGGCAGCAGGAGCGACCTCGACGGCGGTCTCAGGGATGGGCTCAGCAGCAACCTCAGCCTCAACGGCCGGCTCGGCGGCGGCGGCGGCAGCCTCCTCAGCCTCGGGCTTGTCGTCCTTCTTCTCCTCCTTCTTCTCCTCAGTAGTCTCGTCCTTCTTGCCAAGCAGGGAGCCGAAGATGCTGCCGCGCTTGCGAGACTGCGAGCGGCTCTTGGCAGTGTCCTTCTTCTCCTCCTTCTTCTCTTCCTTCTTGTCCTCGGAAGCAGACTCCTCCTTGGCCTCAACGGGCTTCTTGACAGCGACGGCAGCCAGGCTAGGCTTGGTCAGCTTCTCGAGCTCAGCCTTGTAGCCCTCGCTGGAGGTGATGGTCTCCTTCTCGGCCTTAGCCTCGGTAGACTTGGTCTCGAGGGCAGCAACCCAGCTGTCACGCTCGGTGCCAGTGGCAGCCTGGAAGGTGTACTTCTGGCCGTTGACCTTGAAGTGGAACTCGTTCACGCCATCCTTGCTGATGTCGGTGACATCGGACTAAAAATTCTGTTAGATCGCAATCAACTGCACTCAGACCAATCCAAATCATACCAGGTTGAAGATGCCGGCGGGAGTGGCCTTGTCCTCCGCGCGCTTGGTGAAGAACAGCAGACCCTTGCCGGTCTGGCTGGCCCAGGCAGCGATGGGGTGGGCGGTCGCGGGCTTCTCGTTCTGGTTGAAGACCGACAGGTTCTTGCTCTCAACAGCGTCGTCGCTGAAGTAGAAGAAGCGCTTGGAGAAGCGGAGGCCCCTATTGGAAATCATCGCATTAGTTATTGACCTCAACGGCGCAATTTTCACAAAGAAAAAAAAAATCTTCACTTACTTGACCAGACCGGGGGCCTTGTAGCCGAGGGTGCCCTCGCTGGCGGGAGTAACTTCCTTGGCCTCCTCCTTGGCGGGCTCAGCAGTAGCCTCGGTGCTCTCAACCGCCGGGGTGGCGGTGGTCTCCTCAGCGGCCTCGACGGCGGTCTCCTTGGGAGCCTCGGCGGTAGTCTCCGCGGGGATCTCGACGGGAGTCTCAGCAACAACAGGAGCGACCACAGGGGTCTCCTCAACAGGCTTGGTGTCAGACATGGTGATATTAAAGGTGATTAGACCGTAAGACGGTGTATTAGGGTATCAAGAAAGCGGGTTTTGGGGGGTATCTTGGGGTATCTCAAAGGAAAGCAAAGAAAAAGGAGCTTCAAGCACTATGCAAGAGGAGCTCGGGGTATCACAACGAAGTTAGGAAAGGGGAAAGGGAGGGGGTATAATTTTTTTCTTTGCAGGTGGGATGGAGAGGGGGAGAGAAAGAAGAAAAGGGAAAAAGGAGAGCGGAAGGGAAAAGAAGGAAAGAAAAAGTCCAGCGCTTGTTGATGGCGCCCGAAGGGGTAAAGAGCTGCAGGGATACTTGGTGGGTCGGCTTAGCTAAGGCCCTTCAGGGGGGCTGTTCTGTTCATGTATACAGGTACCACACAGTCCAGACCTTGGAGTCTATTCTGTGACACCACTCTACGACTCACTACGACATTTCATATTCGGGGGACAACGATCAAACACTGTGTGGCGCCCTCTGCTATGGAATACTTTAACGATGGACAACTCCCCAACCCGTGACTGGCTTGGCCCGAACAATCCAATCCCAGCAGGATTCACCCGGTTCCTCCCACCATGCTCCTGTGATCGGCGATGCAGGTGAGATCGCCAGTAATTTGCGGCAGCTCGGATCCCCTTGCCGGTTTGACAGCAGCAAATTAAGGACAATTCTTGATAACTATTGCCTGTATCACTGGCGGTGACACTTGTCTCAGAGCGACGAGTGAGAACTCTATGCGGAGAAGAGAAGTCCGTCCTGTCCTGCAAAACTTCTGGCCCCCCTCGTCGCGGCAATAGTAGTCGATCCCTTGGGAGAAATAACAATAACCCTGCTCTCCTCAACACACCCCTGCTGAACCACCTCACCGACCCCATGACCATCACTATATCTGATATCATGATCAAGTGGCGTCCGTGTACAAACCCTGTGTGCTCGCCACCGACCAGCCGTGATTGTCGCAACCCCTCTTTCGCACTTTGCAACGATAGGCACGTAATGCTGCGATCTGGACGTATCACCGCCCATTTCCACGGTTGGATCCCCCGCCCACGACTGGAGACCGCCGTGATGTTCGTATCGATGACACAAAGTTTTGCCATTTTGACTTCAACGTACGTTTGCAACCCGGAATTCCAACTCTTTTCCGATTGTACCCATTTCAAGTCTCCCGACTCACGCGTGGGGCGGTTCAAAACACACTAGGATGACTCTAAATTCCCCCTAATTAAGCCCCTTTTTTCCTTGGGTCTAGGCGGCTCCTTGTCTAGAACTGAAAAACACGATGGCCGCGACCCACTTGCAAGAAACTAGACTGCGGTCCCGTGTCGGAGAGTTACGAGTGGCTAGCCCTAACTACTCTGCGCTGCGCTACTACTGTGCCAGGGTTGTAGCTCCCTAGTCCGGGTACCACGGTCGATAGCCGTTCGGCACCGTTCCCATGGTTCCAGCTAGAGCTCAGCTCTACATCGTCAGCGGTAGTCTATCAGAACAAGCCCCGAAAAATCCAGCAGCGATAGAAGAAATAACAAATAATGCGACCTTCGGAACATTTCCAGTAATGATAGGCCAACCGGCCGATCCACTCGCGGCCGGCAACCAATTGCACCCTATCACAACCCCCTTTCCCGGACTCCCTTTTTCACCCGTTGGGGGGCCAGCCTCGTGACTTGGGACGAATGGGCCAATGCCCGCGTCGATCGACCCTGGATGATCTTTGCTCGGCTCGATGGCGTGACTTAGTGACTTGGTTAGCGCTGCAATTGCCATGCGGCCGGAACGGCCACGAGTAGTGTATGGACAAGGAAGGAGGCGATCCTTGTCAATCATGGCAGGCAGGTATTGCATATCGTCACTGGGGGGGTAGGTGTCCACCGAGTACAGTAGTAGTTAGTGTATCGTGACAGCGCAGGGGAAATCATCATGTCCTCCGATGGACCCCTGTCTGTACCTACATCATCCTTTCCTTGTCTATGTCTCCCGAAGGGGGCTCCATCGTTCTAGCGCCCACTAGCCTACCCATCTAGACCTCCGTTAACCATGGCACGCTTTGATGAGGATGGGGCCCTCTGCCGCACCGTAGCGCTAGTTATCCTACACTTGTCTCTTCGAGGCAAACGGCCGGCGGCCCTCTGCCGACTCATTCCTTGTGCAACGGTCGAAATGCAACGAAAAAATAAAAAGCAAAAAAGGGGAGGCTCCACACAAGCTCGCGCCGGGCCTGTTTGGTGGCTGATCAGGAGAGCCAATCGAAGGCGCACACCACCATCGAAGCGCATGGAACTGTCTGGCTAGCAAATAACTAGTTCAGACTTTTTTATCTGGTCTCAAAAGTCAACATTCCATCCCTGGTCAGCTGACTCATATCGGCGCACATGACCCAACCAGGTCTCGCTTACGCTAGCGCCCCCTTGCCCCCTTATAAAAGGGCTTCCCGCCCACCGTCGTTTCCTCTTCTTTTTCTTTTCTTCTTCATACTTACCTTGTTTGGGTGGCTGCGATCATGAAGGCGGTCCACCACAGATTGGTCCCTGCATTGCACAGCGCGGCGGAACAGTTTGTTCAACGGCCTTCGGGTCATTGACAGGCGTATTCTTTGGCACTCTCATCCACTCTGTGGACCTTTCTTTTCATCAATGTTTGGGCCAGTGGCTCGATGTTGGAGAAGAGATGATCATATAGTTGACTGTAGTGTGTGCCCTATTGGTAGATTTAAGAGCTTCGTTCGGACAGCAGTGTACGCGTCAGGTTGCTGGGTTTGGTGTAGAGCTATCAGCTTGCTTTGGAGCTGCGTGCCGTCGCCCCTTGTTGATGATGGTATCCCCAAGTGTCCACCGGTCGGCCCATCGGTAATACGACCACTGCCTCCAGTCCAACAGATTCGATTCAATTGATAAACAGCAATATCTACTCTCCATTACTACTGACAATCAGCGTGACAAGCAGACCTCCCTATTTGGGCATGACGTGACTCAAAAGACCGGTCGCCACACACCTGTGGCGACGACCCCAACTCAACAACCTCCCTATAATTGTCCTCCCCAGTCTAATGAAATTTCAGTCTAATGATAACTTTTCTTCCACCCACCAACTTTTGATTCTATTTACAACACCATCCCCTGTCTGTCTATAGTATAAAGTTGCTGGCCGTCATCTCCATTGACCCATTCAAGCTCTCCGCTCTTCTCTGATTTTCCTGGTCCCCTAATTTGCGCCGAAGTGTGTTGGAATTAGTGTTAGATATTCGAAGTCTTCTGGCGTTCGTTGGTCTATTATCTGGCCTCTGATTGTTATGTGTGCGGATTTCCCACCGGTTCTCCTCACTGAAAAAAGGCAGCGCAAGAGATATACCTACCTACCTACTATTCGGCCTTTACGATAGATTGCTAGACACAACATCACAACAAAATCATGTAAATCTCAATTTGAAGGGTTCCCTATGGAAGTTCATTGCCGTGTTCCCATGTGGTTCTCCGATCACATTAGATAGAGAGAAAAGTTTCGACTATAGCCTGTCTCTTTTCACTCATCAAACTGGCAGGTAATGCCATGATCACGCGGGCCACAGTCACTGTCATCTCCTTCAAGAGACCTGTGTTGTCCATGGTAAACCATCCATGCCCCATCAAGGTTAGAAGACTTTGGGTTACATCCATTGCCATTAGCAACCACAAGAGGGTAGTCAAGACTGGTTTCTCCTTCATCAAAGGTATCTGGCTTTGAGCCAGAACAATACATGACAAGCGGCTTGACCTCAGACCAGTGGCTGCCTGAAGGCTTGCAAATACGGATCTTTTATTCAAAATTTTCAGTCAGGTATATCTCTCGGCGTGAGGCTTAGAAGCAGATAAGAAATACACACCCATGGATCTCCGCCAATGGCCGAGTCTCGAGTTGACGTATAGTGGACAACAAATTTTCCTGCGGTGGGAGAATAGACGTGATCATCGCCGCAGCTAAAAAGAGCAGAGACGAGCTGAGGTCCGACAAAGAGACAAAGGCTAGAAATAGAGAACTTCATTTTGTATACTCTGAGTTGATGTTGTTTAGGAAGGCTTGTGGAATTGCTTTTGGACTTTATGATGAAGAGAAGAAAGGGAATCTTCTTGTTATTTATAATAATGCCCATGCGTTCATTCTCATACCCATATTGTACCGCTTCGACCTCAGCTGGGGGATCCTCACAAATCTGACGAAAAAGGAGATGTGTATTAGGCAAGACTACTAGTTACCTCACTGATGCCCTATCAGGAGTCGCAATGAGATTGCTGGCATAGCCGCGTTGCCGGCAGCTGCAGCTGGGGCCAAAAACGCATTTCTGCTTTGAGAAAAAGCCTGCGCTCACGTTATCAAATAATTCAGCTATCCCCCATACAATGTAAATCGATTGGTTGGAGCTTACGTGGTATTCTAGCGAGATGATATCCAGAGTAACCTCAGGATTCTCAGCTGCAGGGCCACTGTTGTGGGCCACAGTCTTGTGGGGATCGGTGGAACCCCGTGTTCCTGTCAACCAAACGACCGCTCCCTGTGACGTTGGTCCTTGATATCCGCTCCTGTCGACGGGGCCATTAGGGGTGAAGGCTAGCCAGAGGCTGAGGGAGCTAGTCGTGCCTTAGCCCGATGTAGATAATTCCTGCGATCTAGATATAGAACTGCGGCTTCGAATGGACTGTATGGAGGTAGATCTTATTTTTCAGCTCGTACTCAACAATGCTACAGTCTAAATTTCAATATAGATATGAGGCTAATTTCTGGCCAGAGATATCCTCGTATAGTCTTACTGAAGAGCCATATATGCCAGCAGCCCTGCAGGTAACAAAGTTGCCGCAACTCTCATCGCGCCAGCAGTTGAAGTTGAAGTTGACTTGGTGGAGCCAGCACTCGTGGTCCCACTGGCCTGCGCCTCTCTCGCCTGCGCCTCTTTCGCTGCGTATTTGGCACACATGCCTTTGGTTACGGTGGCATTGAACTCCATGCCTTCAACCCAGACCTTGACGATGTTTCTTGTTGCGGAAATATCCTTCGTTGGGTCACCATCAACGAGAAGCAAGTCCGCACGCATTCCTTCTTTAATAACACCTCGGTCATTCAGCCCGAAGTACTGAGCCGGCATAATTGTTGCCGCATTAAGAGCCTCGACGGGGCTAAGTCCAACCTCGACGAGATTTTCCATTTCATCATGGAGGCTAGTTCCGAACTTGACCATCGCCGGCAAGTTCACCCCCGAGTTTGAATCCGTGCCCGCGATGATCGGGATCCCCGCCTTGTGCAAGATCCTTACTGTGTCAGCCGCCGGCGCGTAGGAACCCGTTTTATTCTGTTGTGGTATGGCGCGCATCATTGTTAGCGTTGGGCATACCACCTTGGTAGAGTTTCTGATCTTGAACAAGGCGAGAAGCTTGTCATCAATAGGCATGTCGAGTGTTGAGTGGTGGATTTGATCGACACCGGCTTTAAGTCCCTGTTCATATGACTCGTAGCTTGAGGTGTGTAACACGACCTGTTTCCCTTGCTTGTGTGACGCCATCACCAACGCGGCCTGTTCGGCTTGGCTCAATCCAGGCACTGGCGGGCTCCCACGGAGTGGTGCGCTCCCGATGAGCTTGATAAAATCTGCACCACCTTTGATCTGTCCAGCGACCCAAGATTCAGCCACTGATGTGTTGCCGATGAGGAGATCATCGTAATTGGGACTGATCAGGGCGGCATGTTCACTGCCGCTCACCGTGGCAAAGAATGATGCCGAAACAAGATATGTCAGTCCTTTGTAGTTGGTTAAGGACTGGCAGATTTTAGGAGAAAGACAGAAAGCATTGACCGAAGTGGTGATGCCGAATTGTGTCATGTTGCCCAAGTCATAACAGTCGGCCGGATGGGCGTGGGCATCCATCAGGCCAGGAAGTAGCGTCTTTCCCTGACCATCGTAGCTCTGGGTGGTGTTGCAAGCCTCGCCAGAACAAGGACCACCGATTTTGCCATCTTCGATGATGACTGTGGCAGGAGGTAGGAGCGAGGAGCCGTCGAAGACGCGAACGTTGTTGATGGCTATACGTCCAGGAGAGGCCTGGTGATGGCTGAGAGCACGTGCAGCAATATTATTAGCGACTTTCGCATCCCAGTCAATTTTTGAGATATCGTAACCAGGCTCATGGAATGGGCATGAGCGGGTTGTGAGAAAAAGAGAAGATAATACAGTGACGTAAAGAGCAAAGCCCCTTATGAACGCCATGATGATGACTGTGACCCGTGTGCTTATATAGTGATGGAAACAGGGGTGATATGCTTATGGGGTCAAGCACGGCCACTGCTTTTCGACGGGAGAATCGATTTTGAAACGGGAAGTTGCGAGGATTGGATCGCATATTTATATTGGCGACCACGTCAACAATCAACTGCCGCAGGCCTAGGACGAAATGTGACATCATCTAAAACAGCTTCATCAAAGGCTGGCTGCCCAATTCAAATCGCAGTAATTGCCTGTATTCGGAATAAGGCCCGGCCAGCTCCAGTCACCATCTCGCCCAGTGACACGCTGACCACGACAGCCCTGTGAGGCCGGAGTCCAATACGTATCAAGGACCGCGGCTCCATCCTTCAACTTTACGCATGTGCATGGAGAAACTAGCTCGTATAGTATGTCTCAGCCGAATCAGTCGCGCGTTGCAACCGCGGGTTTTATCCTAAAGCGGAAAGGCGTGGTGGTCAGTAGATGACCAGGCTGATGTATGTACATACTCCCTAGACCGTATTGGCTCCTGGTCTGTCTCTGTGCCGCACAAGGCTGCGTTCGCCGCCAAGACATAGGCCCACGGGTAGTAAATGGCGAAAGGCCCTGGGTATGAACTGCTGCCACGCTGAACATTGATCACGTGATCGCAGGCTTTTTCCCAAAGAGGAAAGGCGTTTATGACCCCAGCTGCAGCTGCCGGCAACGCGGCTATGCTAGCAATCTCATTGCGACCCCTCATAGGACATCAGTGAGGTAACTAGTAGCCTCGCTTTCTCAACCAGTTGCCCCTATAAGTGCCCATTGTACATACTGGTGCCGCACGGGCCCCAACGAGAATAAGTACCTGACCATTAACCTCGTGCTCACCCTTTCTCAAGATAGAACACTCCTGTGCACCGCACTACATGGAATCGACCCAGAAGATCGGATCCCGCGATGCGCGGTTGAAGAGCAGGGGTTGTCTTTCGTGTATTCGGATGAAAGTCAAGGCTAGTGAATTTGGGCCGCCGTGCTGGCGACGTGCCAAAAGCCATGAGACGTACTAACACGTTTTACCTAGTGCGACGAAACGAAGCCACACTGCCAGAGATGCCAGAATTCCCGCAGAGTATGCCCAGGGTATCGGGACCAGAACGCTTTCATCTTTCGGGTCGAGACTGGTCTGCCATCTGGCAGATCCTCTAACACAGTCACCGTGTATACGAGCCCTGTTCCCGTCTCAATGCCCACTGATTGGATTCAATGTGCGGTCTCCTACTATTTTCATAACTACGTATTGACGCGAACCAACGGCTTTCCCGGATACTACGACTTTCTTCCGCGGTTTTATGAATCGAATGTCGAAGCAGGATACTTTCGGAACTCAGTCGAAGCAGTAGCACTAGCAAGCTTCGCCCAAGTCAAGAAAATGAGTCCTACCTATTTCCGCAAATCCCGTCAATCTTATGGACTAGCCCTTACGCAACTCGGATTTGTGTTAAACAATGCTACTGAGGCATATTCCCCGGCCTCTCTGGCAGCGGTGGCCTTGCTGTGGATGTACGATGTATGCAGCCTTGCTAGTATTTTCTTTGGGATCTAAGTTGCTTTGGCTAATAGCAATATCTGCTACGTAGGTCATTATGGGTGAAGACAAGCTAGAGTCCAGAAGCCCGCACCGCCAAGGCCTACTAGAAATCCTGCGAACACGTCTCTCTTTGAATGCTTATGGTGAGAAATGGATCAACCGTCCCATCCTGGCGACAATACACATGCAGAACATTGACAAATCAACGTCCTCTGCCGGCGCGACGCTAGCTGTGGTTCCATCGCCACCCTTTCACCGAGGAGTCTCTCTCTTAGAAGAGTTGCTTCCGCGGGTGGCTAAGGTCAGCACAGCGAACGCCACACTGATACAAAGAACTCCTAATCAAGCGGAAGCTAGGGTGGGTCTTGGACACCTGCAGCATCTTTTTGAAGATTTGGAAACTTGGGAGAGATCCCTACCCGAAGAATGGTTATACAAGATATACCCTAATCCGATATCAACCGACAGAAGCCCATTCCCCTCAGAAGTTGTGGTCTTCCCTACTCTGTCCATAGGTGGAATGTGGACGGCCAAGTGGCTCGCACAGTTGTCCGTTCTTCGTAACATGGTACTGCTTGCGCCTATTGCACTCAAGATTGGCGTTCCATGCCCGCCACTGGCTGAGTTCCGGAAGCAGATAAAATCTATAGCCGCACTTCTTTGCTCTAGCATTCCCTATCTGCTTGGACATATCGCTGAAGATGGGAAGGCGAAAGGTACTGGGAATACACCGGCAATTGGGGCCTTCTTCGCAATACGGTCGCTGTTTGTTACGGCTCAGCTGCCCGGGCTGCCTGACGAACAGATGAACTGGATATTGGATCGACTGGGGGAAATTGGTCGGGAAAAGGGGATACGCCGGGCACTTATTCTCCGAGAGTCAATTTCAGGACGCAGACTAGCCAATCTTAGGCAAGCTCCCTGAGGACATTCTATTGTCATTATAAGATCAAGAGCGAATGCAAATGTCTCTCTTAGTTGCGATCGTGGTAGAAGTTATACGAGATGTGCAACCATGAACGCGTCGTACGAGTCGCTGGTAATCAACCCTTAATTTCCGCGCGATCACTGCGATTTTATTCTTTCTACAATCATGGCAGGCTTTTAAGGCCTCCTGAATGAGATCCTCGCTTTCATCGGGTTTTTTGTGCGCTGTGGTGGTGTGTAATAGTAGGAAAAAATTGGTAGGTGATAGAAAAATTATCATTAGACTGAAATTCCGTAAGACTGGGGAAGACCCACAACCGCGCAGCGTGAGGGGTCCGACCTGAGGGGGCGATTATAACCTGATTTTGAAAATTGCAGTACCAGTCCACGACACATACACACACTGCTACATTACCATTAATCTACAACTTATCCCAGCAACATCAATCACCCATCTTCCTTTACAATCCCTCTCCACCATTTCGAAATGCCCATCCCAATAGCCTCCTCCCTCGACAAAGAGACTCAAGCCAACCCTACAACGCGCCCAACCGGCTCAGCAGACTACGCCTCTCGCGACGCGCTCTCCGCCAGCGGAAACGACAACAGCAGCGGTCGCCAGTTCGGGACTAGGACGGGCGGCACCGTCAGCGCGCCGGGGTCCGATTCATCGCAGAATGCGGAGAGCGAGCGCGCCATGAGCAAGGAGGAGGCTGATCGGCTCTATGAGGAGAGGATGGAGGATGAGTATGCTAAGAGGGAGGGGGTGCGTGAGGTGATTGGATGGTGAGTGCCGTCGAGGGTGGATAAACTGTTGTCGGTGTGTATGTACTCTTTTCAATGGTGATGCTGGAAGGGTAACCGGTTTACGCAATGGTTACGACTTTGGTGTGTGATATGATATAATACAGATTGAGGTTCTAGGTAAAATACTGTGGTAGAATGGATTGCTCTTATGGCAGGATAAATGCTGGGCCCTTGGTTGCAAGATGCATTCGCATAGGCCTGGGGCTGATTCCCACTGCGAGCGAGAACATAGATCTAGAGACTGTGTCCTCTAACCATCTCAACAAATCTATTCGTGGACACTATATCACTCGGTTTAGGCACCTCTTGCTTCCCTCTCCGCCGCCGCCTTGCTAGTCAAGGCTCCCGTGAACTTAACGATGGGTCCGCCGGCCGATGAGTCAACGGGGGTGAGACTGAGGTGATCCCTTTACAACTGTCTTGCATACCACCAAATACAATAAATTTGACCATTTCCCGGACTCATAGCTGTCTAAGCCCCCATCCTTGTCTTCAGAGAATGAATACCCACCCCTCCCTTTCACCACCCGTTCCAATGAGCTTCTATCCCGCTCAGCCTGTGAGGGTGGTGATCCCCGCCGATATCACCCCAATCCGCACAGAACGCCTGATTCTGCGACTCTCGCAGAAAAGCGACGCGCTTGCGCTATTTGGATATCGATGCCGTCAGGAGGTGGCTAATTTTCTGTAAGCACGGAGGTTTCCATGGCTTTTGCAACCTTAACCCCCGACCGATCATAATGATCTATATCTAAACACTTGCTAATATCAAGCAACATCGACTACAGATGGCCCAAAGTCCCTCACAAAGAAATTAAAGAAACCGAAGATTACCTCGCCGGCAAAGCCTTCAGAGACCCAGAGGCCTCGGGCGCCACGGGTCGACGGTTCCACTTCGTGTGCATTCGAGCCGATGACCCCGAGCAGAAAGTCATCGGTACGGTGGGCATCAATTCTCTGCTCCCGAGCCCGTCGGTGGGAGTCGGGATCAATCCGGATTTCTGGGGAATGGGATATGCCAGTGAGGCTGTGGGGGGTCTTGTGGAAGCGTGGTCGAATCTTGAGAGAATGGTACCTCCAGGCACTACTACTACAGGTGCTGGCGCTGTGGGGGAGAAGCTATTCGCTGCTTGTATGAAGGAGAATGTGGGGAGTATGAAGGTGTTGCTGAAGAATGGGTTTCGTGTTTACGATGAGGTTGAGGCGGAGGGGGATACGGTGGCACTTTTCGATATGGACATGCCGCGACAATCGAATATATAGCCTTTTTTTTTAGGGTTATGGGAAATTGAAACATGTCAAGTTCCATCTAACTCGTATGGGCCTGGGGAGAAGTTAGGTGGTAGTTGATGGTTGGCCAGCTAGCGGCTTGGCTTTGTGCTCATCTTCAATATATATCTCCCTAACAACCCCCCACCCTGACGTGTTAACAGCACTCAAAACTCAAACGAAAACGAACCCACTCCACTCACCTACCAGATTGACATCTCTCCCGTTTCGGGAGACTCTACTGTCTACACACCATGGCTCGGAGTTCACCATTGACCCCGAGCACTCTACCTCCGGAGTGCGTGGAGGAGATCTTGAAATATCTCGACCTCGCCACCCTCAAAGCCTTACGTCTGAGTAGCCGAAAACTCTGTGCGAGATGCACCGGCCCCCGATTCAAGACATTTATCAGCCATCAAACGGTTGAACTATCCAAATCTGGTCTTCAATCATTTCGACAGCTGGCCGTGCACCCTGAACTAGGACCCGCTGCCAAGAATCTGGAAATTATGGCCACAGTCTACGATCAGACCCGACAGCGGAAAGTTATAGATAGATGGGGGCACAGTTTACCCGATGGCAGTCCAACCCCCTCAGGTCGCAGCAAAGAAGTGCTCGCTGAAGCCGAAAGCAACTTGGCTTGGCTGGACACTCAGCAACAACGCCAAGATGAATTGTCATATGACGAAATAGTCAAGTCTCTGGCCATTAGCCTCAGACATATCGGCCAGCTTGACCGTATCGGCCTTGACGCTGTCCTGGTCCAGGGCCGTGACGAGACAAGGACCACCGCCAATTCCCAGGCTAAATGGTACCCGGTCTGGATGCGGGCTGCGCGCATCTACTGCATCACCATAGAAGCTATTGCCCAGAGCGGCATAGCACCGAAGACTCTAACCGTATACCAAAAGACACCGCGCTGCAGTGTCCCACTATATGACATTGCTACCAACCGCGCAATGCGTGATCTGCCGGGTCTCAAGGATGCAGGCAAATCCATCGAGGATCTTGCCCTCAGCCTCTCGACCAAGGTCCCAACCGGAGCAACGGAGCATCCGCCTCGCATCCCCGTGGCATGTCATGAGGTTTCATCAGCCGTGGCGTCCATCGCAGGACTCGGCGAAGACCAAGTCCTTGAAGTGGAGGATTTTGGCGGACTTGCGCGGTTTCTGAGCGTCACGCCGAATCTCAAAGCACTCGAGATCCACCTATACAACACGCTCTTTAATCCCGTCATTATCTACCAATGGATGTTCAAATCCATCGCAACAGAAACCCGACTCCCCCTACTTCAAAAATGCAGTCTACGAGGCATCGCCGCCAGCGGAGACTCCCTACTCCAATTCCTGTCAAATCACCCGCAAATCACCGACCTTACCCTGAACCAAATATCCCTCACATCCGAAGAGACATGGCAACCCATCTTCGAACACCTCGTCAGCCGCAATACCCCACCGCTCAAACGCCTCCACCTCTCGACCCTGAAATCCTCACACCAAATGATCAACCTGCATCCCACGTGGGAAGAACACTCCAAGGAACTCGAGGAAAACTCCCAGTCGCAGATTTACTTCGTCCATACCAAAGAATTTCGTGCTGACGAGATCCAGCGCGGGCTGGAGTTTCGACCCATGCCTGCTGACTGGATGCAGGGGTCCAGAGGGTCGTATTCGTGGATGCAGTCTTTGTATAGGGAGTATGGTCCGCCGTGGGAGAGTGACTGGACGGGCGGAGGGAATGAGGATTGATCTGTTTCACTTATTTTCTTCGCTCTCTGTCATACATATAGATATACAATAATGAGTAGTTGGATTTGATAGTTGTCATATACCAGACCTGACCTACGACAGGATTCGCCGATGAGACGCCGAAATATTGCCAGATTAATATGTGAGAATAAAATAATAATAACTAGAAAGTAATACCATAGCTGAGGTTCCTCACATCGATTTCAAGCTGAAAAAAAAAAAGCCGAACAGTACTTACCCATCTCCGATTCGAACTGCCGCCACCTTCGCCTCTCCCCTTTACAAAAACAGCGACGATGACACCCTACCTCAAATATCATCGTGTAAAGAAAAAAAACTGGTAGCTTCTCTTTGATTGAGCGTGTCATCCTTAGTGCAGGGGCCATGCTAATCTTCTCTGTATATTTTCATTTGACCAAATGTCCCGAAGGACACTGGAGTATCCTTAAACTGATTTATATCCCCCTCCCGCTGGCAGAATTTGACCGCTCTCGGTGAGCTGGCTTAGTCATGCTTGTGCTCCGGGCCCGGTGATCGAGGTCAATCATGGCTCTATGGTGGAGGGGATTTCTTGTCATTGAAAAAATTTTTTTGGAAAAATAACAGCAAGAGGGAGGAATGGAGAGAATTAATGATTGATTGAGTGGAAACCAGAGGAAGGAAGAAGAGAAGTGTGGCCGCACGGCGGGGTATTCATTATTACTTGACCCGCCCAGGGCAGAACGAACTTTGCCCTAATGCCTGTTTTGGCTGGCCTACTTAGTAGTACTACTCAGGGAGGGGATAAGCCCAATTCTTTCCTCTCCAATAATTGAATGGATTCCGCTTGGTAGACATGGATTGAATGTAAACTCAAATGCGGATCGCGGTACAATTTGTATATTTTTTGCATATGCAAAGCAGGCAAATCGCTTTTTTTTCTTTCGAAAAGGTACATATTGTTCTACTTTTTGTCCATTGTAGATAATCAATTTGGGACTGTGCAGTCCATACTTTTTCACTATTGGAAATTATTCTAAACCGTCACTAATCTTAGGATTGCTGTATACTGATCGAGATCAACGTCACCTCTCACGTGCCATCACGTGACCAACCATGCGGCCAGGTCAACCAGACCCGAGACAGACCACGGAGTAACCTCTTTGGCGGGATCTCTTCACAACAGAGGCGTTCAGTCGTCTGTGTCCCTTCTTTACCAAGTATCAACTCTCAAGTCGTTCCTTCACTTTCTAGCTCCTTATTTTTCCCTCTCCCTGGTGGAAGGACACGGCTACAGGCAGCCTCCTGAACCATCATGGCGAAGCGTGATACCTTCTTCCGCTCGGCGGACATGAGCTTGACCCAGCTCTATATTGCCAACGAGATCGGAAGAGAGGTCGTCAGCGCCCTGGGTGAAGTTGGCCAAGTCCAGTTCAGAGATGTGAGTCCTTGGTTGTCCCTTCATCATTGTTAACTTGCCTCGCCCCCACTGACTTGCCATACTTGCCAGCTCAACCCGGAGACCAACGCTTTCCAGAGAACCTTCACCAAGGAGATTCGTCGTTTGGACAATGTCGAGAGGCAGCTGCGTATGATATAACCCCATCTTTGCTGGAGGACCGCTTGTTGACTTTCCTTCAGGCTATTTCCACACCCAGATGGACAAGGCTGCCATTCCCATGAGATCTTCTACGGAATTTTCGGATACCCTGGCGGCTCCCCTGGCCTCAGAAATTGACGAGTTGGCCGAACGCAGCGAGAGCCTAGAACAGCGAATCGCCTCCCTCAATGACAGCTACGAGACGTTGAAGAAGCGTGAAGTCGAGCTTACGGAATGGCGCTGGGTGCTGAGAGAGGCCGGCGGTTTCTTTGATCGGGCACATACCCACACCGAGGACATTCGCCAGTCCTTTGACAACGACGAAGCTCCTTTACTGCGCGATGTTGAAGGCGGCCGGGGTGCCAACGGCGATACTCAGGGCCAGCAGAGTTTCTCCGAGATGAACATTGGCTTTGTTGCTGGTGTCATTCCTCGCGACCGCATTGGTGCCTTCGAACGCATCCTCTGGCGCACTCTGCGCGGCAATCTCTACATGAACCAGTCGGAGATTCCAGAGCCTATTATCGACCCGACGACCAACGAGGAAATCCACAAGAGCGTTTTCGTCATCTTTGCCCACGGCAAGAATATCCTTGCTAAGATTCGCAAGATCTCCGAGTCCCTCGGCGCTTCCCTGTACGGTGTTGACGAGAACAGCGAACTCCGACGCGATCAGATTCACGAAGTGAACACCCGCTTGGGCGATGTGGGCAATGTGCTGCGGAATACCAAGAGCACTTTGGATGCAGAACTTTCCCAGATCGCGCGTTCCCTTGCGGCGTGGATGATTGTCGTCAAGAAGGAGAAGGCAGTTTACGACACGTTGAACAAATTCTCCTACGACCAGGCCCGAAAGACGCTGATCGCCGAGGCATGGTGCCCGACAAACTCGCTTGCCTTGATCAAGTCTACCCTCCAGGATGTCAACGACCGGGCTGGCCTCACTGTTCCGACCATTGTCAACCAGATCCGAACAAACAAGACACCTCCCACCTTCGTCAGAACGAACAAGTTCACCGAAGCATTCCAGACCATTGTCAACGCCTACGGCATCCCGAAATACTCTGAAGCCAACCCCGGCTTGTACACTGTCGTCACCTTCCCTTTCCTGTTTGCCATCATGTTTGGTGATTTCGGTCATGGGTTTTTGATGACATTGACTGCTGTCGCACTGATTTTCTGGGAGAAGAAGTTGGCGCGGACCAAACTTGACGAGATATCGCACATGGCATTCTATGGGCGGTACATCATGTTGATGATGGGCCTGTTCGCGATGTATACCGGCTTCATCTACAACGATATCTTCTCCAGACCTTTCACCTTCTTCTCCAGTCAGTGGCAATGGCCCCAGGACATCAAGGAAGGTGAACTGGTCGAAGCATCGCTGAAAGAGAAAAGTGGTTACCGTTTCCCGATGGGTCTGGACTGGAATTGGCACGGGGCCGAGAATGGGCTGCTATTTTCGAACAGCATGAAGATGAAGATGAGTATTGTACTTGGCTGGTCTCACGTATGTAAAGCTTTTTTCTGGGTACGCTCTTTGACTAACCGATGGTTGCAGATGACATATGCTCTTTGCTATCAATACATCAATGCCCGGCATTTCAAGTCCAAGGTTGATATTATCGGCAACTTTATCCCCGGAATGCTTTTCTTCCAGTCCATCTTCGGTTACCTCGTCATGACCATCCTCTACAAGTGGATCGTGAACTGGCCGGAGATACGCGTGGATCCGCCCGGTCTGCTCAACATGCTTATCTTCATGTTTTTGCGCCCTGGCACGGTCGACGAAGAACTCTACTCAGGCCAGGCCATAGTTCAAACTCTTTTACTACTCATCGCCGTTCTCCAGGTCCCAATAATGCTCTTCTACAAGCCATTCTACCTCCGCTGGGAGCACAACCGTGCTCGTGCCCTAGGGTACCGAGGACTTGGAGAACAATCCCGGGTCAGCGCACTCGAAGATGAGGGCGACATGGACGGCGGTTTCCGTGACAGCATGGCTAGCGACGGAGAAGGCGTGGCGATGCTTGCCCAAGACATTAATGAAGGCGAAGAGCACGAGGAGTTCGATTTTGCCGACGTCATGATTCACCAGGTTATCCACACCATTGAATTCTGTCTCAACTGCATTTCGCACACTGCCTCCTACCTCCGTCTCTGGGCCTTGTCTCTTGCGCACCAGCAGCTCTCCATTGTGCTCTGGACCATGACTATCGGTGGCGCCTTCGAACAGGAAAACCCCACCATACGAGTCATCATGATCATCATCACTTTCTACATGTGGTTCGTGCTCTCAGTGGTCGTCCTCATAGTCATGGAGGGTGTGAGTGCAATGCTCCACTCCCTTCGTCTGCACTGGGTCGAGGCAATGTCGAAACATTTCATCGGCGAGGGTATTCCCTTCATGCCGTTCAGTTTCAAGACGCTATTGGAGGAAGACCCTGTCGACTAGATAGGGATTTTCGTGTTTTTTGATGTCTCTATTCATCTATCACTCTTGGCATCCTGGCGGGATTCCTTCCTTATTCGCCCGGTTTTTTTTTATTTTTCTGTGTACTGTAAGAAAGTCTAGAATAAACATATTGTTTCTATTTTTTCCGACGTAGGACCTCTACTGGATTTTTGCCAGAAAGGTAGTATAGTCTTCCTACTCCGATCAGGGAACGGCAGGTATATATTAATAATTTTTTTTATTACATTTTTGATTTTCATTTCCACGAGACGAGACACAGGTCATACACCGCAGGCCTGGTCCCACAATTTTTCGCCATAAGGACACGCAGGAAAAGACTGCGAGCGGAATGAGGTTGTCGTGGAATCATCAAGCAAGGAGACAGGAGCACGATCTCCGTCCAGCAGTTATAACTCCTTCAAGCAACCAGAAATTCGCGATGCCAGGAGCTTATTTATTGTACTTGTTGTACATATCGATAACCTTCTGGACCTCATCCTTGGATCCAAGGAAGACACCGCTCCGGTCGTGGATGTGCTCCGGGGCAACTTCCATCAGCCGCTCCATGCGCGAGTTGACCGCCAAACCGCCAGCGTTCTCAAATAACATAGCCATAGGAGCACATTCGTACAGAATGCGCAGCTTGCCCTTGGGGCTCTTCGAGTCTGCCGGGTAGGCGAAGATACCACCGTACAGCAGAGTCCGATAGGCATCCGCCACCATGCTGCCAATATATCTCGCGCTGTACGGCTTCTCGTTCTTGCCGGTGGGGAACTTGAGGCTGTGGAAATACTGTTGGCACCAATCGTCCCAGTACATGCTGTTCCCCTCGTTGACGGAGTAGATGGCGCGCTTGGTGGGGAGCTGCATGTTGGGGTGTGTGAGGATGAACTCGCCCAGCGAGTTCTCGAGCGTGAAGCCGTTGACGCCGCCGCCGCGCATGGTGATCACCAGCTGCGCCGAGGCGCCGTACATGGTGAATCCCGAGGCGACGAGCTCGGTGCCCGGGCTGAGCAGCACCTCCGGGCCAACGGTCTTGCCGGGACCCAGCGCCGAGTCTGGCAGCTGGAAGACACCGAAGATGGTGCCGACCGACACACCGGCGTCGAGGTTGGACGACCCGTCGATCGGGTCGCAGACCACGGCGTAGCGCGCGTTCGGGTGCTCGTCGAACCGGATCACATCTTCCTCCTCTTCCGAGACGAGGATGCGGCATTTACCGGAGCCGCGCATGGCCGAGATAAAAATGTCATTGCCGATCACGTCCAGCTTCTTCTGGTCGTCGCCTGTCGTGTTGGACGAGCCGGCTAGACCCGTCAGGTTGATCAGCGACGCGCGCCGGATGTAGTAGGCGATCGACTTGAAGGAGAACTGCAGGGCATGGCACAGGAGTCTTGTTATCGAGTTGTTAGTTCTAGTTCGCTGGGATGAGGGAGCTGGCGCTGGGACATACGTGAAATCACCCGAGGCCTCGGGGTACTTGGTCTGCTCTTCTGTGAAGAAGCGAGTGAGTGTGACGATGTCGGTGTTGATGTTCTCTTGGCCTACAGGAGGCGCTGCGCTGCCATTGTCGGCCATTTTGGATTTATGAGGGAATTGATGGGGGTGAGGGAGGGAGGAAGAGATATTTTGAGGAAGAGGAAACAAGTTTTGTCTCGGCTCAGGGCTTCGGGGGGAAGAATGGATCTATATGGAACTGATGGTTGTCGTGGACCTCTAAACGTCACGGGGCGCGGAACAAAGTACTTGGAAGCAGGTCACTCGCCATAGTCGGGCTGCGGGGCAGTGACCTCACGCTGAGTATCCGTTGGTTTTCGTCATTCCCCGCCTGACCCTCGGCCGGTTTTTCTTCTTCCCGGTGGACCGGGAATGCCCGTGGATCGCGCTGGATAATGGGAATGCGGTGACCCGATGGAGAATAATAATAGATAGAGCCTTGTAGATCGTCTGAATTACTTAGACGTCAATGTTGGCAGGCCTGTCCTTTATCGACCGTTGTTGGGGGCTTTTTTTTCAACTTCTACTACTCGGAAGATCCCGATCCTTCTCTTGATTCCTCTTGCCGAGTGTCGGGATCGACGCCGCGGAAGAATGAAATCCCTCCAGTCTCAGGCAGGGTCATGTGAGCCTCATTATTAGGTAACTGTTTGCCTAACCATGCAGGTGTCAACGCTAGACGGCCTTGGGTTAGTCTCGGCAAAACATGGTTCCGGGGCGGGAGCTTGAAAAGTTGATTTTTTTGGTTTTCGCTTCTCTTCCACTCAACATGACAACACTCACTATTTCTTGATTCTATGGTAAGTTCCAACTGCTTTTCCTTCATCTATCCCCCTCCCCAGCAACATGATGATACCCATAACCATTTCAAACTAGAGTCTTTGACCCTCCGGGGAATGAAACTTCTGTTATTTGCACGTCAGGCTGAGCTTGTCACTCTCGCACTTTCTCCTTGGAAAACCCACACATTGTCTGTCAATGCTCAGAGCTAACTCGCTCTTATAGAACTAACCTAACATATCCATGCTATTACAATGCATCCAGGCAATTTTGTAAATCGTGAGTTGACCACCTCCCCGTCAATCCCAACATTCCCCCATTTCACATGATGAACGCTTTTTATAATATACGCTGGATTTACCGTCCAAGGCCTTCGGGCCGGTGACGATAACTAATGGCTTTACTGATCTCTCTACCTCAACATGAATCTTGTCACACAATCTCTTGTTGTCGTATCGTATGCTAACAGATGCGAAGATTTTCATTAGGAACTTGAGGCTTTGAGTGGTAAGCCAAACCGCCCATTTCATCATCGCATCCCCACCCCCGTCCGAAGATGAAGCGGCACTGGGCTCCGACGGACAACGTCCGGTCTTGATGGATATGCCTATTTTGTGGCAGGCCTAGAAAACCTCGCCCACTGAGACAACCCCAAGATATTCATGGTCTTGAGAGAGAAATGGTTATGTGACTAGTCACTGACCCTTCCGATAGGCAGTATGTTGCTCATCTCAACTCAGCTCTAGTAGATCCCCAGGCAAAAGGTAAGCGGTTTTTGTTTATTGTTCTGTCTTTTTCATCCGCCTTTTATGATGATCACCCTAGATGACGAGTCTTATCCGAGTTTTCGATGCAGACAACCTTCTTTTTTAATACCATTCATGCTTTCCTGAATCATTTCTTTTTTGAAAATTTCTCATCATTGCGATTGTCATGACATGTGCTGATAATCTGCTACAGATATGCCATAAAAAGTAGATGTACGTTGGACCTTGTCTTTCTTCCCTTTGGCTCCATCTTTCCGTGATGAATCGACACAACAAAAAGACAAGCATATGTCCTAGCCGGCGTCAGTCGGCGAAGACGATACATGTCATGACTGATCAGTCCCGAGTCTCCTGCCTGTGTCTGCAACGTCCAGCCAGTTCTCGATGCTGACCGATTATGAATAGAGACCTTTGAACCGAGGCTTATATGCTTTGTTCTTTGACTACTAATGTGAGTTTTTGACCCTCTGCTCTTTTTGCTCCCCCCCTCATACCATGATGAATCACATTCAATATTATCACGACGGTCAACATAAGGAATTTTTAATTGATGACCACCGCCTGTGACAAGGCATTTATCTGACACCCCTCATTCTACTGCTTTTTGCCGATCGCATGTGTTAGTGTCTCGAATACTGACAGTTTTGCCAAAGTGTTTAGGTTACAACTCGTATTTCGGCAGGCTTTGATCCTGATTAGCCGAGTTGCAAGTCTATTGTAGGTGGAGAGTATGATTATCATTTCTAAAACGAATACAATTTCCATCATCCCTATTCGTTCCTGGCATTTGTAGCCAAAGAAACTGTAGACTGGCCGTTCACACCGAGTCCCTGGCCCGACAGTCAGGGTGGGCCTTGTTTAGTGCCAAATACCCCCTGGCCTGTCCAGCAATTAATTATCCCTGCTAAATCCGGCCCAGATGCTGATCGCTATTCGATGTGCTTGGATGCGGGGGCACCGGCATTGGACCTCTCAGCGTGGACGATAGGCGCCGGACTCAGCTCGGCGTGTGATGAGAATTCCCAAGTTGCATATCACGGCCCTCGACCCTCCACTCGCCCGCGCCTGAAGGCTATTGGGAAAGTTTTGTTGTTCCAAATATAGCTCCCCAGAACCCCTCAAATGGGCATGTGGTTGTGTTCCTATCTCCATTTGAGCCCCCACTAACTCGCCCTACAGCCCGTTAGGGTTAACTTCGCTTTTCCCAGCACAGGCTTGCTCTCCGCGCCGCGTGCGCCAAGAGCTGATGCGAAGAATAGAAACCTGTGCCGTGCCTCTCCTATTAGTCGGAAATTACCAATAGCTCTTTTGTTCCCTTTCTTTCTTTGCACCGCTTTTTGCTGTTGGGATTCTTCTTCTTTGACTTCCCCTGCGGCGACCATGGCTTCGGCTTGCGCGGCCTCTTGAGGGATGCATTCAATATGAATAGGTGTGCTAACCCACTATTCTGGACTAACAATCTAAACGTACTGATGGCCTTCCTATTATTGTATCTAGCTGGCTGGCTTCAAATCATGTAGGCGACGAGCAGCCGTCCCCGATTCGTCGAGAATACGCTGTTCAGCCACCTCTATTGACGACGGCATTGAGTGGCTCTCAATTCCAGGGTCACGGTGCGCTCCTGACTCCCTTGTCTTCGACTTCTCTCTCCAGCCCATTCACGCTCACGCAGGGCCAGTCGCCCTGCGTTTCATCACCCGGAAATACTAGGTCTGCATCATCATCTTCAATGTCTTCCCGACAAGCGGCGGCATACAATGTTCCCTATAATCCTCGAGACTGGGGGCCTGCGGGTGGTGCTTCCGCACAGGGTGCATATCCTCCTATGAACAACATGGTGCGCATAGTGCCACAGCAGCATACTCACACAGGTCCGACTTTTCCACGTTCGCATACGTATAACGAAATTGGAGACTAACATAATCACCATAGAGATGTCATTATCACCCCCTCCTCCGCCATACTCACCTCCAAGCAACCAAAATCGAATGCAACCGGATTCTTACAGGCAACCCAACTACGCAACACCCTCTCCGGCAGCATCGCCAGCGCAGCATCAATTGAGAGAAGCCAACTTCGAATTGTCGCCGGATTACCAACGGCGTTCCGCTCCCCGGCCCCGTCCACTGTCAATGGTTCAAATGAATGATGTCGACTTCCATCGTCAATCATTGCCTCCGCCACCTCCACAAGGAAATAATAGATCAATCTCTCATAGTCGGGTCGAAGCGTATCAAGGTGTTCCCTACAATTCTGCCGCATCAAATCACATGTCTAGACAGCCAATCTCAGCTGCTCAGTACGAACAGCCTCAACCTTCGCCATCATTCAGGAGCCTTGCTCCAACGGGACCAGTGAGCCAAGAAGACCTAGCAATACGTCCCCCGGCGTCTCGAAGAGCTGTCTCTGCTGGTGCGGTGGTGAGCAGTGCGGGTTCTTCGCGGTCCACAAGCCAGACTAGAAATGGGTCTCCGTCGAACAGTGTTTGGGGGCCTGGGATGCCACTGCCGCCACCACCCCCAGGACCACCGCCGACGGCGAGGTCGGTCAGCGTAAGTGGCTCCTCAGAGTCATCTGCTAGAACACCGCAGGCTTCCGTTAGGGCCAGAGCTCGAGCACCGCCGATGTTAGGAACGGGATTGGGAAGTATTCCGCCGACGCCGGCCGACTGGGTGGATGAGGAGTATATCAACAATCGACCAGGCAGGGACAAGGAGCCATTGCATATTGACACCGCAAGAGCTGTTAGATTGCCGGAGCAGACAGACCACCCAGACTCGAGCGAGTCGGCACACCAGTCTCAACGGACACCTGGTAGTGGTGGTCTTTTCCGTAGCCCGGCAATCCGCGACTCGAGCGTCAAAGGTATTCGTGAACGCCGGATTGAGCGGCGCCACCGACAAAGCCAAAGTATTGATATATCCAGCGCCGTATCCTCCAGCGGCAATCCGTGGTCGGAAGCTCTGGATCAGATCAGACCGTCTGACCTCGTTCTCCCGGAGCCGAGTGGAAGCCCAGATCAGACGCGGCATCCGAAATCATCGTCCAAATTCACACCGCTAAGCACTCGCAGCCTTGGCTTGGAAGAACAGCACATTGCGTCGCGGTCTCGAGCATCCTCCACCGGCCTGTTTTCTGATCAGTCGTCCCACTCTACTCCCAAACGGGAACCGAGGTCTGCAGGACCAACTGCTGCGTTTGCGGATACACCTCCATTTTCACCAGGCGGCGAAGGTTCATCATCGTCTTACCAGAAGGCAGCGCCTCAGGCATTACCTCCAAAAGCCCTACCAACGCCTCCTCTCAATTCCGCCAAAGAGGCACCACCGCGCTTGCGTGCGCCGTCTCGAGGAGCAGAGGATCGCCCCGTTTCTCATATTCTGCATTTGCCAAACGATGCTGTCTCGATGATGATGCCCCTTTCACCTCGTCGGCCTATCACTCAACAATCACCGCGCCAGACCTCATCATTAGAATCAATTATCAAGCAAGACACTAGCTTTGTGAACGATGCGTTGGAGCGATACAAGGTCTACATCGAGAAAGAAGCTAATGCCTCAGACGAAGCGGGGGCTCTAAAGATCTTCACGGAATTCATTCTTCTCGAGTCCCAAATTCGACGGCAGCGGTACGCCAGAGTTTGGGAATCTGGGCCGATGAATATAGATGAGGTACGAAGAAAGCTCTTCGAGATACCGCCGCCTGCGCAACAGCCTCCTACACCAACGCCCGTTTTGGAGATCCCGCCCAATCGTGCTGGTCGGCCTGAATCGGCTTGGTGGAATAACTACCAACCGTGCTTGTCTCCAATTGTCAGCATGAGCAATGACGAGATGAGCTCCAGGGGCCGCGCGCCTAGTCGCTGGTGGGAATCGAAGACTGGTTCTAGCAGCGGCGAAGGAAACGAGAGAAAAATGCAGAGATCCAAACGCGAGTCCAAGTACATGGGCTTGCCTCTCGAGGCTATGCAGTGGGATTCGGAATTGACACCCTCGAAACTAGACGATGCAGGGGCAAATTACACGGGCCACAGCAATGCTGCTTATGGGCCTGATGAATATCCTCCCGAAAAGGCTGGCTGGCATGAACAACAACCCGGGAATTATAGTGGTCGATCGATGGAAAGCCAGAGACTTGATATCTCGCGCCTGGTTACTCTCCCTCCGCCCTATCCACGCCATCATCCTGCCGTGAACAATAACCATCCAGATCTTGTCAGTTATCGAACCACAGTGCGCTCAATTACCGATCTCTCAGAAATCAAGTCCACCAGACAGCGATACCAGGTCGACGTCGAAAAAATGATCCAGGAGCACCAGGACCAAGTCAGGGATGGCCATCGCCAGTTCAAGTCAAACATACAGGGCCAGATTCAGGCGGGCAGCCTCACATTTGCAGAGGCTGCAGAGGCTGAGGCGGCTATGATTTCCGAAGACAACAAGCGCGAACGTGAACTGGAGAAGCGCCAGCTGGATACGTATCAAGATATTGTGCTCAACCCGATGCACACGATCCTTACGGACCGTATCGCCCGAGCGACAGCCTGCATCAACGAGCTCAGCAGCAAACTATTCGATGATGCGCAGCACGAGACCCCCGACCAGACGCAAGGAGAAGGCGACGAAAAGCCCGAGCTCCTGGAGAAACTGACGCAGCTGAAATGGCTGTTCGAAGCCCGAGAACAGCTCCACCGCGAGGCATATGATCTGGTCAGCGACCGCGATGAGAAGTACAAGGCTGTTGCGCTACTGCCGTACAAGCAAAACAACAACGAAGAAAAGATCCGTGAGACGCAAGCGTTTTTCTCTCAAGATGCCCTCGACCGAAAAGTCGAGTACGAGACCGCGGCCGTTGACCGCTTCGAGTCCTTCCTTGATACTATCGAGCAGAACGTCGTGCGCGGCGTGGAAGTGCAGCTCTCTGCATTCTGGGACATTGCTCCGTCCCTCGTTGCTCTGGTGCAGCAGGTGCCCGAGCGTCTGGGAGGCTTCCAGGTTCAGATCCCCACGACCGAGTATACGGAGAACCCGAGCTACCATGCCCACCCGCTACAATACCTCTACTCACTGCTGTCCCATGCAGAGAAATCAAGCTACCAATACATCGAGTCGCAGACGAATCTGCTGTGTCTCCTGCACGAGGTGCGTTCGGCTGTCATGCGAGCGAACCGCAATCTCGTGGAGGCAGAGCGCAACCAGCATGGCGAGAAGGCCGAAGATGTCCAGCGGGAGATGCAGAATACTAGTTCGGAGGAAGAACTGACACTCACTACCGACCTCAAGGATAAAGTTGCTACTGTGGAGGGACAGTGGGCGGAGGCGCTGGGCAGCCAGATCCAAGGGCTGCGAGAGCGCGTACGGGAGCAATTGGTGTTGGAGGATGGATGGGAGGATATGGAGCAGTTGGAGCAGGAGTAGCTGCAATTCTTATGCCGTCATGTCTTTAATTTGTTTGTTTTTCCGCTACGATATCCCACCACGTTCGTTTCCCTCTTAGGGCATTCAGATCAACCATGGTTCACGTGACCGTCTTTCTAGAGTCTTCTGTCGCGGATCACCCAGCGCTTTCTCTTTCTTTCTCTCTCTCTCTTCCCTCCAGGGCATTCTCCCCCCCCTTTCATCCCAATTGTCCCGACTTTCTCTTCTTAACTAACCTGAAATTGTAAGTTCTCTCTTTTTTGTTCTTTTTTCCTCCTTCTCCCTCGCACACAATCCCTCCCGGCAATCCTCGGCCAATCTCTTCAGGTTGGCCTGGGGTCTAATTGCCTGCCCCAGATGATGAGATACCAGCTGGCACCAGTCTGAGAATTGATGGATTCGCTCCTTCTTCACTGCTGAATAGCTTTTACGTCCGGAAATACGCTTCTGGTCCTGATCCTGGTGGCATTCGCATGATTCCACTTTTTTTTCGGTTGCCGAGAATACACAAAAAAACATCGCTAACGCGTGATTTGTGTGATTTATAGAAATTTAGCTGGGCACCTGGCCGATTTGACCAACGGAGGAGACTTTTTTCATCATATCATCATGGTTCTTCACAACCCCAATAACTGGCACTGGGTGAACAAGGATGCCTCAGGCTGGGCCAAGAATTATCTGCAGCAGAACCTGTGCTGCATCACAGCCGAGGAGGGAGGCGTGACGGCCAAAGTAGAGCGTGTGGTGTCGATGGATGGCGACGTAGATGTCAGCCAGCGCAAGGGCAAGGTCATCACCCTGTTCGACGTCAAGTTGCAACTAGAATATTCAGGTTTGTAGATTCAAATTCCAATGCTGTTTTTGTTTGGTCTCTTCAAAGCAGCTAAAATAAGGTATTCCAATAGGCAAGACTACCGATGCCGAAGAGGTGACCGGCTCGATTAGCATCCCCGAGGTAGCCCACGACACCGAGGAAGATGAGTTCGTCGTATGTCCCCCTCCCCCTAAAAATCCTCTCGCCGGATTGTTTTTGACTTGAAGATAAGTTCGAGATCGAGAACCACGCCGACGCCGCTTCGAAGCAGCCAGTCAAGGACCTGGTGCGCTCCAAAATCGTGCCCCAGCTGCGCCAGGCACTGGTCAAACTCGGCCCGGCCCTGATCACCGAGCACGGCAAGGACCTGCAGCATGCTCCCGGTGTCAACCCGTCCAGCGGGTTCGCCGCCGCAAGAGTCCACCCGCAATCGACCAAGGAGTCCGCCGGCAGCACGGGCCAGACAACCACCTCGACGACGGGCAAAGCCACTGTCAACACCACGACCGTGACGGCGTCCGACGAGTTCCGCACCACCGCCGAGGAGCTGTACAACTCTTTCACGGACCCGCAGCGCATTGCCGCGTTCACGCGGAGCCCGCCACGCCAGTTCGAGGGCGCTAAGGCCGGCGGCAAGTTCGCGATTTTTGACGGTAACGTCACCGGCGAGTTCGTGAAGCTGGAGCCCCCCAAGCACCTGGTGCAGAAGTGGCGCCTGGCTCAGTGGCCCGCCGACCATTTCAGTACCTTGGAGATTCACTTTGATCAAAACGACGTCGATGGCGTCACCCAGATGCGCGTCACTTGGTCTGGAGTTCCCGTTGGCCAGGAGGATGTCACGAAGCAGAATTGGGACATGTACTATGTCCGCAGCATGAAGCAGACCTTTGGGTACGTCTTCCTTCCTTCTTCCTTTCCTGCACACGTTCCATCCGGCTCTTTGCCAATACGAGCCTTTTTCTTCCAGATCCACTTCATCATCAAGTTTCTCTTCTTGGTCCTCGTTGCTAACGTTTATCGTTCTTTTCCTTGGCGTAGGTTTGGCACTATTCTCTGATCGATTCCGCAAGCTTTCACTGGCTGCATGACTTGGTGTCTTTTCTTTCGCGCTTCATACAAAAAACAAAGACAAGGAGTATTAGGCAAACTCATTTACACACATTCCCTCCCTCACCCATGTGTCGAAGAGATCGACATCGTCCCCATCTTGCTGTCTCTTTCCCTTGGAGGAAAGAAAGACATAGCAAAACACGCACACACACCCTCATCCACATACTCCGGCTCTTTGCTTCGTTTCTGACCGGAGTTCTATTTTTTGTTTTCCCATGCAATTATTTGTTGGCCTGTCTGCAATAACAATAACCTTCATTGGACCGAGTCACGGGTCCAATGCTGCTACGATAGAGGAAAGTGATTTATGATAATGAAGTCAAGAAGAAAGAATGTTTCACGTATAGTTAAGATATCTCTCCACACGTACCGGTGCCGCTTGGTGGCTTTAACCAGCCCATCGCCTGCTTATCATAGCCTAGTTCCTTCAGGGCCTCCAGCTGAAGCTTCTCTAGCTCTTATTTCATAATCCCCCCCCCTAGAGCCGTTTTCTTACAAAATGGTCTATAGCGAAATGTGATCTTTGTGATTCATTCTCTTTTGTATATCACTACCCTTATTCTATGGGAATTTTTGACACTTACAGAGTGCGCTCAATCAGCTCAATGCCATAGTCCTCCTTCAGAGTCTTGATAAGAGGACCACAGATGTCCATGGACATAGGCGCAAGGACACCCTTCTTGGAGATAGTCCCATCAAGAACCTGCTTCACCGCCACACCGCAAGGAATACCAACAAGGCGAGCCATCGCCGAGTACCCAGCCGGGTTACCGTAGTCGCACAAGGTCGAAGTGCGAGTCTCCTTCGAGCCATCCTTGTTCTCGATCTCGAACTTGTGCTGCAGCATGACGAGATCGCGCTCCTCGGGACCATACTGCATCTTCTTCTCGAGGGTAGCGCAGAGGGTATCGAGCGGGTTGCCGCGCGGGGTGATAGGCTCGTCGGAGAAGAGGCCGATCCAGCGCAGACCAGCTAGGAGGCGGTTGCGCTCATCGTTGCTGGGGAAGGTCGTCTTGGAGGCCACGGCCCACTGCAGATCTTGCTCACTGGCGGAGGTGGCGCCGAGTAGGGCCTTAGTCGCGTCCTTCCAGGCGATGGGCTTGTCGAAGACGGGGTTGGGTTCATCGCTGAGGAAGCCCGTGTCGACGAGCACCTTGATCATCTCGGGGAAACCCTGGTAGCGCAGCGTGCCGCGGATGACGGTCTGCGCCTCGGGGATTTCGTACTTCTCGCGGAAGGGGGTCGAGTCACGGTTCGGGTATCCGACGAAGGCAAAGCCGGGATAGATAAAGTACGGCTTGGCAGTAGCCATGAGATCCGGACCGTCGATGCTGACTAGCTTGCCGTCCTGGTAGATCTTGGCGGCGTTGCGCAGGGCAAGAAGCACGCCGCGGCTGGACCAAGAGAACTTGTAGCCGAGCGGGTTGTCCGAGCACTCGGGGGCAGGGAGACCCCCGCAGAAGGACACAAAGCCCGTGATCTTGCCGCCGGCGGCGTGAACCTCCGAGATGGTCTTGACGGCGTACAGGTGGTCGATGCCAGGGTCCAGACCAATCTCGTTCATCACAGTAATGCCCGCCTTCTTGCACTCCTCGTCCAATTCCATCATCGCCGGGCTGACGTAGGAAGTGGTGACCACATGCTTCTTAGTACGAATGGCCGACTTGATGACCAATGCGTGGAAGGTGTAGGGGATCAAGGAAATAGCCAGGTCATTTTGGGACAAGGCAGCGTCGAGAGCGGCATCGTCGGAAACATCCAGGGAAATGGCCTTGGTGTTCTTGAAGCCCTCGCACAGCTTCTGGGCGCTCTCGAGAGTCCGGCAGGCTACGGTAACCTGGACGTCGGCCTTGCTCAGAACCTCGACGGTAGGCTTGGTGACTGCGAGAAGTTAGTCTATACTGAAGTGGAACAGTCAATTGGGGCCGTTGGAGCATACCGAAACCCGAGCCCAGCAGTAGAACCTTGGAACCAGCAATCGGAGCCATTGTGAAGAATGATTGATGATAAGAGTGGAAGAAGTTCCGTTCACTTCATCCCGCATTCTTTTCTGCCCCGCCGTGTGCGGTGGGTGAGTGAGTCATCATGGGCCGGTATCGGGGTTCCAATCGTATGTAATCGGATCTACAAGAGGTTCTATCGACGGATGGATTATTATTGAATGCGTTGGATATCTTCGGGGGATATAATCAGTCGAGGGCTAGAACGAGCCCCGAATACCACAAAACTCCACTGAATGCTAATGAACACCAAGATAGATAGACATGGGACAGAGACGAGACTAAACAGCCTTGACCTTTCCCTGCCGCAACAGAACGGCATCCGCATCCTCCTCACTCGTCGACTCCGGACTATCGCCGGCAAAGTTGCCCTCGGCGTCCGGGTTCTGGCGGGACTTGGCTATGCGCCGTTGCCAGGCCAGCATGACGGGCAGGAAATGCCACAGGTCGAACTCGGGCCACATTACCTCCAAGAACACAATCTCGGTGTTGTCGTGGCATTGCCAGAGCATGAAGTCGCTGAGTCGCTCCACGCCCGATGTGCGGATCAGCATGTCCAGTGGTGGAGTGCCCTTGGTCAGCATGTGGTCGGAGAGAGTTTGGCGGGTGATAGTCTCGGGGGAAATGTAGACGGGGTTTTCTGCGTCGGAGGAGGAAGAATTGGCTTGTGATGGGTTTTTGTTGGATGGTGGTTGTTGATGCTGTCCCTCTTGCTGGCCCCCTAGATGCAGTGTTGTAGAGGACGAAAAGGAGGACTCGGACTCGTACACTCGTGGTTGGGATCGGTCATTTCGCAGAATCGTATCCTCCTCCTGCGTCGAAGACTCCGAGGTCGACTCGGAGTCGCTATGGGAATCAATAGTTTTGCCCGACCCCGTTGTCTGCGCGCGGATATTCAGCGCAATATGCGATTCCGAAAAAGGCGCGCGCGCCGCCACGCCAGTCGGTTTCGCAGACCACAGCGGCGTGCTGTAATCCTCCACCGTATCGCGAATAGCGCCGGTGATCTCGTCGCGGGAGGTATAGGGAAAGCAGATATTGAGGATGCGGTCACCGTTGCGGCTAGTCATCTCGACAGCCTTGTTGACAGCTGCCAGGACATCAGGCTTGAGCAGCTCGAGCCGGCCCAGAACGCGAATTTGCGCACCGTACCGATCGAGCAGATCACCATGCTGGGCCATCTCCGACAGCTTCACCTTGGCCATCTCCATCAGCGCATCGACCTCGAACTTGGACCGCTTGAAATTCTCGATGCTGAACGCGTATATCGTAACGACTTTGACTCCGCTCTTGTAACAGACCTCGAGGATCTGTGGTTATCAGATATTATTGTCAGCCACCAAGGCAAGCCACACAACCAGGGGATAGCAAAGCTTTTCCGGGACCGTACCCTTGCCAGTGCCTCAAATCCCAGATTATGGCCCTCCACCGTCTCGATCCCGTGCGATCGTGCAAACCGTCGATTCCCGTCCATGACAAAGGCCACATGTTGCGGGATGGGACCCTGGCGCAGGGCGCCGACGAGCAGCTCCTTGAGGTTGGAGATAGCGAACTCGATGGGCGGCGAGGCGAGGAACCAGTTCCGGAGTCGGGACAGGTGCATTGAGCCCGCCATGGTGAGGGCGGATGTGTTGTATGTGTATGGACAAGCGGCTCGCCCCTCGGGGGTGGTTGGAGAATTCCAAGGCTGAGGGAGAACGAGCGATAAAAGAGAGAGAGAGAGAGCGGAAGGATGTTGTGTCTTGTGCGGGTGTACAACAACAACAGGCTGACGTGGTCAGTTCGGAGACAACCACCACAAATCAAAGGCTGCAATATTTTTGGCTGGCAAGGTTTTTTTTTTTTATGAAAAATGTCTTCTAGCCCTGCACATCCAACGGTCTGAGCACAACCCCGGAAGTGGCAAATGCGGGATCATCAGCCGCAGCAAGAACAACAGCACATCTTCATGCCGAGCCTCGGTTACTCCAGAGAACACCTTATGATAATGTTAGCGCTCGGCTTGAATAGTAAGTAACAAACTACATATACATAGAACGTGTTGTATAGAATGGAAAAAGACAAGACAGGCGACTACGGTCCCTTCGTAAGAGATTGACATTACCATTTCATTTACTTCTATCGAGCCCGGTGGTTCATACAGATCGTTTGTACTCAGATAGGTTTTTGATGTACTGGGTCGAGGCTGGAAGCTTAATGGGGGACCACTGCTTGCCTGCCGCAACAATATTCAATGTTATCAACATGAACTCGGCCTCCGGCCCCCCGAACAAAATGTCCAACACCGAATGTGTCTCTGTGTGGGATGATGGATCCATATTTTGAGCAACAGAATCAGTCAATACAGCTGATAAGCAACATAGAAAAACATGGGATATCTCTCAATACAGCTATATGAGCAAAGAAGCAGAAACAGCAATAGCTACATACAAGAAGCACCAGCACCAGCAGCACAGGGTATAGGCCAACTATAGGCTATAGATCCTTCCGCTCGCCATCACTCCCCGGCGTACTCGGCCCCGAGCTCGCCATATCCCAAGAGCCATCCTCAGATCGGCGACGGCGCTGGCCGCGCTCACGCATAGCGTCGCGAATGCGCGAATTGACATCCTCCAGAGGATCCTTGGGCGTATCCTTGGGCGTGAGGGGACTGAGTGGTTTCAACTGATGCCGCGAGCCAGGTCTGGGTCCTGCGGAACTGCTGCGGCTGCGGTCTCGGCTCGGGGGTCTTGTAGAGAAGAAGCCGATATTGGCGAGGTTGTAGAAGGATTCGTTGCGGGGGAGGGGTTCTTGGGAACGGAGCGGCACGCTGTCGTTGTCGTCGTAGTCGTCGTGTGTGTGGATGGCGGGGATATCATTGTCTTCCCGGTTGACTTTCCAGAATGGGTCGGACACGATCCGCGCGGCGTCGAAGTCTGGGAAGAGTTCTGGACCCATTGTGTTGATGGCTTCCGTTACGAGCTGGGTCAGGGCTACCCGTCTGGCGCGAAGCTTTACCAGGGTATTGGCAGATGAGGGGTTCAGGCATAGAATGAGTGGGCGTAGAGATTTGATAATGTCCATGCCCACCTCGCCGATTCGGAGGGCGGCAAAGGTGATTGTGGGGAATAGGATCATGCCGATCAACACTACCAACCAGAGTGGTACCCATTCTGGAATCAAGCCTCGGATGCGGTTGTGGTACGTCCAGTAAGTGAAGGCTGCGGTGTAGGACGCGTACACGGCTGGTGCAAAGGCCAAGGCAATCAATAGCTTCCAGGTGGCCATCACATCTCGGCCCTGCAGTTTGACTGTGGAGGCAGCTAGCGCTTCCTTGGACTTTTTGATCGAGAGGTATTTGGTGGCGATGAAGACAGGGGTGAAGAGGAGCAGACCGGGCAGAGTTCCAATGGTGAGAAGAGCCAGCTGGCCCAAGCGGTAGATCAACTTGGCAATGACATGGATGATCGAGAACTTGGCGTAGGCAACTTGATGGTCCCGGATGCCGAGGATGCGGAGCTGCTTATTATAGTCCACAATAGATCTTCGGAGGTGCACTATACGTGGGTCCTCCTTGTAGTGCTCATAGCCCTTGACGAGTCGGCGGTTTAGTTCGACAACCATTGGAAGAGGAAGCTTCTTCCCTTTGGTGTTGTACAACCGACGGGCCGCTTGGATGACCTGTCGAGAGATTAGCTGCAGCATTGGATAAGAAAGGCAAGATCTTACCATGAGCGTTTCATAGTCGGGACTGGTGACGGTGACAGCAACCAGACTTTGATAGATGATATCTAACAGTTTGCCCACCGACTCCCGTCGTTCGCCCTTTTTGAACTGCTCCACCAGCTCTTTGGGCACCTCGAGTGGGGTGCCAAATTCAATGACCGCCCTCGATCGGAATTTGTGTGCATGGAAATAGTTCATGCCGCAGGGAACGATCTTCAGGCCACAATTCGGATTATCTGCCAGCGTTCCCAGTGCCATCAAGGCCACACCCGCTAGATGTTATCTTAGCATTGATTGTTCACCACGTTTTCGAAACAGTTGACCAACCTTTAAGCGGCAACAGAGATGGGCGGTCATGACTACCACCTTCGGGGAAGATGCCCACACAGCCCCCGGCATTCAGTCTCGCAAAGACCGCCTCATAGACCGCCGTTTGATCCACGTGCGGTGCAACCTTGAACTTGGAGCCCTTGAACTCCGAGCGGTCCTGGTCCGACCCATCCCCAGTGAACTTCCCGTTGTCGTCGATGTCATCCCGCCCCGTCAACTGGAACAACGCATCCCGGTGTTTGAACGGTTTCTTGAGCACCAATTCCTCCGGCCCCCGAATCTCCGCAATCGCCGTACTGTGCGACGTCCCGTTGATCGTCGGCAGCGCAATCGTCCCTTCCGCTTCAAACCCCGGGCCTTCGAAATTGGTGCCGACTCCGCGCAGCAGAGTGGGCTGGTTGACCGGGTCGGGAAGATAGACGGTGCCGGTCCCGGGTTTAAGATTGTCCATTGCTCTCGCTACGGGTAGTGTTCCAATCATCCTCGCCAGGAACCCGATAAACTTGCGCCGGAAAGATTTGTCTGCGATCAGCCATGATATGCGGCGGTGGGCTTCGCTGCGGATGACGCGCATTAAAACAAGTGAGTCGACAAACTGGAGAGAGCTGCTGTTAGTTGGAATTTTAGGACTCAAATAGTGTCACGCACCTGGTTTGCATGAGGGGCAGCGACCAGGATGATTGGGCCGCGTCGCGGAATCTTCCAGGACCCGCGGGGATGGACCTCGCGGAAGAAGAGATCAATGAGCACGGAGAAAGTCCAGAGCACCAGATCGTACAGCCACCCGACAAGGGGCGGGATATATGGGCCTTTCGTGCCCATGGCGCCGTTGGGAGGAGAGGAGGGGATAGCTATGGGGCGCGGGTAGTGAGTGCGGAGGAGCTCGACATGGGCAGTGTCTGCAGGGAGAGAGTCAGTTGGCGTAGAAAAAAATAGAATAAAAGGATGATGAGCCCACCCGTGGGAGTTTTTAGTGTCACGCGATCATGGGGGGAGAGAAGAGAGAAGAAAAGTGAAAAAGCGAAGAAAGTTGGAGGGGAACTGAATCCGTCGAATCCGGCAGGGCACAGACCGTGGACCGCAGCTACATAGGAACCGTCAGCTTCTAGCTCCTTCTAGGTACCTACAGTACCTATTTTGCAGTAGTGTCATAATGGCCATACAGGATAAATAAATCAGAAAACATCCATCCCAACAATCCCCGACTTCTTTCTCTGGTTTTGTTGGGGTGATCGACAGCGGATCGATGGACACTGCAGAGTTGAGGCTGACCGCGAGAGGGTCAAAGGTACATGAAAATACTACGGAGGATCTTACGGCACAGAGGTACTGCTTATCTCCGGCTGCCCCGCAACTTGTCTAGATCTCTCGTCCTCCAAGCTCTCTCGCACTTAGACTTTCTCCTTCTGTCATCTCACCATGTCTATCAAGTACGTGCGCCCGCCCCATCTACTGCGGCTTCTTTTCCCTCCTTGCTAACCCCATTAGCTGGGTGATGCTCCAAGACCACGAAGGCTTCGTGCGTCTGCCCAACGAACGCCTGATCTACTCCTCGCCCCCGCGCACCAGCCTGACTCTATCCCCGCCCAGCGCCTACAAAGGCAAAGAAACCCTCTCCGTCCAAAGCAGCGCTGGCTGTATTCACCTCACCAACCAAAGAGTCCGTTCCTATCCCACCCACCCCCGCCACTTCCTAACAACCCAATCCAAACCAGGTCGTCTACCTCCCCGCCCAACAAACCGCAGACTTCCAGTCCTTCTCTTCCCCTCTCCTCAATGTCCACGACTCGCACGTCTCCGCGCCCTTCTTCGGTCCCAACGTATGGACAGCCCTGGTGCAGCCCGTATCGGGCGGAGGCATCTCACCGAACCTGCCAGCCGTGCAGCTGAAAGTCACCTTCAAAGAAGGGGGGGCCTTTGACTTCCATACAAACTTTGAGCGCATCAAGGAGCGTCTTGCGCAGGCCGTTGAGAACACCGATAGCGGGACCCGCGGTCTCCGCGGCGTGGATTTGACGGCTATTCACTTGGACGAGCTGCCGGCATACGATGCTCCGCAACATACCAGGAACCACTACTCGGGCCCGAGTGAACGGCCGCCTCCGCCGGCAGAATCGCAGAGTGCTGGACGCAGACCGTCGGAAGTGTCGCCTGAACCCTCCGAGCCCCCGCCATGCTATGAGGAAGTGCAGTCGCAGAGCGTAGCTCATGAGTTGGAGGAGCGGCTGCGACGCAGTGGTTGAGTAGCTGACCTGTCATTTTTGTTTTCTGGTCTCTTTGTACAGTATCATCTATCTCCATTATTAGCTAGCGATCCGGAAGCGGTTACTATGGCATAGTATTATTTAGAAGGAACCCCAGGAGTTCGGGCGTTTGACTTTCCCGTCGGTTCTAGAAAATCTAACAAGAAATTATTTCTTTTTTCCTATTCATTACTATCATAATAAGATTTAGTAGTAAAACAGGTAAAAACATCTGCCCGTCCACTTCCAGTGCCCGTTGTAGCAGCCAGCCAATCACGTGCGCCACAATTAGCAACGCCGACTCATCCCGATTTTCCTTCAGACGCAACCACTTCAATCTCAACCCCTACCCTCCCACCTCCATTCCCACGCACCACACCACCCAATTGACACCCGCATCCACCGCAATGGGTCTCGCCGACTTTTTCTCTGACGTCGTCTCCACCCTGGGCTTCGCCGAGGCCCAGGCTGAGGCGCCCGCCCAGGACGTCGAGTCCAGCTCCGACGCTGCCGAGCCCGCCGACAAGAGCGACGACGCTGCTACTGACGACAGCTCCGAGCAGGCGGAGGATACCCCCGAGGAGTCCTCTGAGGAGTCTGAGGAGTCTGAAGAGACTGAGGAGACTGAGGAGGGTGATGGTGAGGCTGAGGAGGAGGAAGAGGAAGAGGAGGAGGAGCCGGAGGATATTAAGCCTAAGCTTGAGGAGGGTAAGTCTCGTCCATATTGTCAATTGGATTATCCTAGGGATATTATTGTCGCTCTTGTGGTGTGGGATGGCTGCAGGAATTAAGATGGCGTCTGCTCAGTCTCAATTTCCTGCATCCGAACCACCATGACCCATCGCTCGTGCCAATGGCATGCCTACTACCATTGATCGGACATGAACCAGTTGCTGACCTGACTCGTTCCTTGTATAGACTGCGCTCACTCCGCTCAGTGCGCCCCGTACAAGCACCACTTCGACGAGTGCGTCGAGCGCGTCACCCGCCAGGAGGAGGACGAGGACCACAAGGGTCCCAAGGAGGACTGTGTTGAGGAGTGTATGTCCCCCTAACTCAATTCATCAGGACGCGAATGCTAATATGACTTGACTTGATTGACAGTCTTCCACCTCACCCACTGCGCGACCGCCTGCGCCGCCCCCAAGCTCTGGCGCGAGCTCAAGTAAACGACTCTTCGCGCGTTTACTCTCTTCGGGGAACGCCCGAATCCCTCACTTATCTGATGGCTGTCTGTCTGTCCGACAGCACAGCCTGCCGCCGTCATCATCATCAAATTCCTGGTTTGACACATTGGTCTTGTGTGGTCACTCCTCATGTGTGTTTTGCATATTGTGTTTTGTTTCAAGACAGAAAGAGAGATGGGAGATGGGAGAGAGAGAAGGAAAAATGATATAATAGACCGCCTGTCTGCTGCCCTCTCGCTTTCTCTGGTCTGCCTTGCTTGTACAGATAGCTGGTCTTTATTTAGTGTTACTACTAAGTGTTGTCGTTTTTGACAACGAATCTCATCTGTTTAGACCATGTGGTTTACTGATAGAGTAAATGGAGGAGGATACTGCTTGTGGAACAGATGAATGCTTGATTTGTTTGGGTGAGTCCCTTCGGTCGTATCAACATGTCCAATGGTCTTATATACAACAAACATATCATCGTAAGTACGTCCAGATAGATGACAAAATATCCACAGCCAAACCATATGAAGAGACATAGACACCTGATCCTGAGGTCACATAAAAGCAAACTAACAAGTGGGGGGGTATTTATAGTAAAGCAGGGCGGGCATAGGGGAATTGCTAAGGACACAACAGCTTTTCCTAGGGACACAACAACTTATGTAATACAGATGATTATATAATTTAAAATGTCATGTGATCTGTATTGGGATTACTACAGCAACATAATTCTAAATGCCTATACCAAAACTACAGCAACATCATTCTAAATGCCTATACTAGAGTAGTATAAATCTAGAGCTCTTCTCCTCCATCTTCCTAGGTTCTTCAATTACCTACCTCTCTACATCAGATATGGAGCCCCCTACAGAGCAGATCTTTGATAGTAGAGAGCTTCTAATTGCCTCTGTGCGTGAGCATGCTCTCTCCTACGGCTACGCTATTACGACGATAGCTTCAAATACGAATCGAAATATTACTCTTGGCTGTGATCGTGGTGGTAAATATCATGATCGAATCAATGCACCAGAAGGGGCAAATCGACGATTGACAACTACTCGACGGATTGGGTGTCCATTTAGGCTATATGGGAAGAAGATTCCTAATGGCGAGAAGTGGGAATTAGAGGTACGAAACCCAAGTCATAATCATCAAGCTAATAATAGTATGATAGGTCATCCATCTGCTCGCAGATTTACAGATGATCAGCTTCAAACAATCTATACTATGTCTGAGGTTGGATCAACGCCAAGTGAAATCCTTAAGGCAATTCAAGCAGACAATTCAGAAGCTTTAATTATAAAGAAGGATATTTACAATGCGCGGGATGCTTTACGAAGACAAAAGCTAGGTAATAATACCCCTCTTGAACTTTTACTAAAGAATTTACAGGAAAATTCGTGGAAATATTCTTTTAAGCAAGACACAGAAGGGCGTATCCTCTTTTTTATGTTTGCACATCCTAAATCAATCGAGTACGCTAACAAATATAACAGGGTTTTTGTACTAGATTGCACCTATAAAACGAATCGATATCAGATGCCTCTACTGCATATTATTGGCATATCTCCCTCAAATTCAACATTTAGTATCGCATTTTGCTTTATGCGGAACGAACAAGAAGAGAGCTATATTTGGGCTCTAAAGGCTTTTTTCTCCTTTCTAGATCCCTTACCTTTTGAACCTGTTCTTTGTACTGATCGAGACCTTGCTTTATTAGGTGCATTAAACAATGTCTGCCCTACATACCCACATTTACTTTGTATATGGCATATTAATAAAAATGTGACTCAAAATACAAAGCAGCATTTCTCTACTAATGACGAGTATCAAAAATTTCTACAATTATGGATTCAGCTAACTTACTCTACTACAGAGGATATATATGATTCTAGGCTTCTAGAACTAAAGAAGCAATTTCCCTTACCCCCTATTCGCTATATAGAGGAAACTTGGCTAATTCACAAAGAGAAATTTATAGTTGCATGGACACAGCAGTACCTACATCTAGGTAATTCAGCAACCTCCCGAGTTGAAGGTTCACATGCCTTTTTAAAAAAGCATCTAGGCGCTTCAACAGGGGATATGTTACTTGTATCTGAAAGGATTTCACAGGCTTTGCAAGCTCAACATGCTAAGCTTGAATATGACCTCGAAAGAGATCAGATTGAAAAGGTAATTGTACCCTCACAAGAGCTTTATGTTAATATTATGACTAGGACCTCTCGATATTCGATTCGTCGGATAAGTGAGCAAGTTTTAATAGCTAAAAGAGCTACAGATATTGCTCCATTAGGGCCTTGCAAAAATGGATTCACAAGAACTATGGGCCTGCCTTGCGCTCATAGAATTTTTGATCTATTAAAGCGCAATCAGGCTATTCCGTTGTCAGATATCCACCCATTCTGGCGAATAGATCTTGATCAGGGGGATTCAGATTATCGTCCAATTTTGGAACCTATGATTCCATTACCCAAGCCTAAAAAACGGAAGAGGGATGAAGCGCAGGCAGCTGAAATAATTAGTGAAGAGCCAATACAGAAGAAGAAGAAGGCGCCCCCAAAGTGCTCTACATGCGGTGAAGTTGGGCATACACGAAGATCATGTAAATAATAGAGAGCATGAAATTCAAATACAGTCACATGACAATTTCTACTTATATAATCATCTGTATTACATAAGTTGTTGTGTCCCTAGGAAAAGCTGTTGTGTCCTTAGCAATTCCCCGGGCATAGAGTAAGCTGAGCTGAGCTGAACTGAATGTCCAACACAGAGGGGTAAGCTTGCCAACAACGTATATAATCGCCGTCAGCATGGCATGACCTACAAATCAGGCTTCATCCTCTGGTTGCATTGGCGGTATGTACAAACGCCCCGACCAGATCATGTGGAAAGGAATGGAATGCTCGTCACAACGAACACACTAAGGGGCAGTCTGGTTCTGTGAAGGAGACGAATGGACCACGCCAATCTCAGAGCCAGCCTTGTCCGCATCTTCTCGCCCCGGACCGTCTGCGTCCGCGGTGTCCGGAACCCGCATCTCGAGACCACGATCGATATCCCACCGACGGCGCTTCACCACGCGCCCAAACAAGCCAATCACCATGGGCGGCGGCGCAGCAACAACAGCGACAACAGCCGAGAATATAAGCGCATTGCGCATATTGAACGCAGGATGCGCTAGCGCACCCGCCTTGAGCGCGTCCTGGATAAGAATAAAGCACGCGCCGAGCAACTGCCCGCCGGTCCAGCACATGGTGCTCCCGATCTCCGGTGAAAAGGGATATGTAATCTCAACGAGATACTCCAGCACAACGGGCAACAGCGCAAATGAGGACGCGCCTATAATCGCCATGACGACGTACGAGGGCGCAATGCCCGCGGAACTGCCGGGGGCAAAGATCAATCCGATATACGACGCCGCGATGATGGGGATCAGCACGCGGATGGTGCCGAGGTAGTATTTGAACCGGTCTGTTAGTGGCGAGACGATCGCTGCCATAACCAGGCCGACTACGATCAGGATGCCGCCTGCGATCCCGGCTTCGGTCTCGCTGAACCCGTGCGGGCTGAGGATTTGGTTCAGTAGCGATGATACGCTGTTGAAGAATCCCACGTATACGGAGAAGGGGATTAGGATTAGCCAAAACTCGAGCGTGCTGAGGAGTTGGCGCATTGCGGGGATGAGCGGCGTGCGTGGGATGGCGGATGCGGCGGCGGCGGAGGCACTAGGGGGTGTGGGTGGTGCGGCGGGGAGGAAGAAGGATGGGATCGATGCGACGCTTGACTTTGGAGAGTGTTAGTACTGATGATCATATGTTGCGGCGGGGAGAGGAGATATAGCTGACAATGACGGAGATATACAACACCATGTCCGGGATCTCGGACGGTTTAGTCGCCCACGCCGAATCAATCAACTGCCCCAGCGCTGCGCCCAAGGGGTTCGCCAGACTAGCCAGCGCCGTTGCGCTGGTGCGACCCCGATCCGAGAACCACAGGTCGCTGTAGCGCGTCGGCGCGCAGAGACAGAACCGGCTGCGCCAGGCCGATAAGGATCTGCCCGAACATGGCGAGGCCGAAGATGCCGCCGTTGGCTCTGGTGCCAGCATAGCGCAGCCAGTTGCCGACCAGCAGGAGCGTGGCGCTGGTGATGATGGCGGGTTTGGGGCCGCCTTTGTTGAGGATCCAGATGACGAATCTATGGCAGATTGAGTTTCTGTTAGCGGAGTCGAGAAGAGTCGATCGATCGCGATTGGATCGGATTAGGGCATGGCAGAAGTGACCTGCGCTCTGCTCTGGGAGGCAATGCGATAGGTACTTACGGGCTGGCGACGCAGAAGGCGAACTGGTAACCCGTGCTCATCCAGTTGATGGCGCTCTCCGAGACATCGAAGTACTGTGCGGCGGTGGTGGAGATGGAGGAGAAGGTGAGCCACTGTTTGGCGGATGTCAGTATACGCAGTTACCTTGGTGAGAGGTGTCTTACATCCCAACTGACGACGATATTCAGCAGCACCAGCTGGGCCAGCCCCCAAAAGCGACGCTTGTAGACCCTGTAGACCGGTCGCGTGCCGGCCGATTCGGACTCGGGGGAAATAGATGAGGTCATGATGGAGTGTGTACCATCCTCCCAGCACCGCAGTAGTAGAGGGGGTGAAGAAGAGGAAGGCAGGAAAACGCCATGAATCTGTTAGTCGTGAGCTAGCTCGGCCATTGTAAGCGATCTTGGGGGACGTGATTCCGAGGCTGTGGCGTGGTGTGGTGGGGTACCTGGGGGTACATCGAGACCCACCGCGTAATGGTTGCATCGGCAGGTACTCGCGGGTACCGCTTGCGGGGGTGTCTGAAGGGACGGACTCTTTTATAGTCCGACTGTTAGCATTACTATTATCGTCCGATTGTCAATCTTATTCCGGCACTAATTATCAGTATAGGTCGACTGTCTAATGATGCGACTAGGTACTGCCCCAGTGCCTCTACTGGAAAGGTTCAGTCGACTCCTACTTCGTATTCGCGACCTCAGGGGTCGGAAGGGACATAGATCAACATCTGTGCTGTCCAGATCCTGCCGCTACAACATTGTAGAAGCGCGTTGGAAATGCGCAACTGAAGCTTGAGAGAAATCGTCCCGTAAAGCTCCCCCGTGAAACTCTATTCAATTTACGGACTGCCACTCGGAAGGAAACTGGTAGGGGCTCGATCCCTTCTTGGAGAGGTAGCTGATGCGATACCACCTCACGCTGGGCAAGCCGTATTCATGGGACTGGAGAAATTTTTTTTGCTTCTCGTCTTTTTGAAGATCTGGGACGTCTTTTCACCAAGGGTTACACAAAATTCGATCATGATTTCTCGGGTGATGAGCAGATCTAAGCAGGAGTATATAGTGCGAAGCTGCTTCTCCAATCCCTGCAACGCCGTACATAGATGACCGTCGAACAAAAGTGATCATCCGCCCCGAATTCGAACATATCGTACCCCTTTAGCATCGCTCTCACTCGAGGTGTGTACGGATCGGTTCTAGAAGTTCATCAACAGAGCGCCTCATAGTCCCGGAGATGAACGTCTTACACCTTTCCTTCTCTTTCAACATCACAACATTGGTCGTTAACACGCTCCCAAATTACAGCCGCTGGGCGCGCGGTGTCCGCCACGATCTCCTTGACGGGTACATTAGGCGCACACGAAAAAAGGATAGATCGCTCGTCTACCTCAAGCCATGCACGAGGATCGTCGATAACCTCAATACCGTGCTCCTCAAGGACAACCTTATCCACGGATTTGTACTCTGGATCTTGGGCGTAGCAGCAGATTAACTTCTGTCGAGCATGTAGCCATTCGCGTAGGGTCAGGACCAATGCATGCTGGAACGCAGGGCCATGACTATTGCTATTTGAAATGCCTCCTAGTGCTACCGCCACAATCTTTTCGATGTCATGTCCTGCAACCGATGAGTCCAGGATATGCACAACTCTCTTGCACATTTCGCTTTCCTGCCAAGCCCGAATTTTTTCTTTGAAGTACGAGTTGAGATTGTCCCGGCTCGGGAGACTTGCATCTTGGGCTAGCTCTTTTGTACCAGATATGAGCTTCTCCGATTTATGATAAACCTGCAGGCTGCGGAGAGGACTTGTCCTTTCGGGGTCGTAGTTAGCACCTTCGTACAGCCTCCCGAGCATGTCTTTAAGATGTCCACGGCCGCGGTACAACAGCATCGGTTGTTGACTGTGCGGTATCAGCTTCGAGATCTACCGAGGGGAGGACGTTCTCGTGACAGACATGAGCCATTCTTCCACTTCCTCTTCCTTCTCTGTGCCATCGTGGCTCAGCTTCCAGGAGAAGGTTTCTCCTGTTCTGAGGGTGTACTCTATCGTTGCACCCGCCACGTCCTTGACCAAGATCTTATCCCCGGGGCCAGTAGAGCCCTGAAACTGTTCATAGGCGGCACGAATAGACTCTTTGGTGAAGAAAGGCTTTCCAGAGTTGTAAAGCTCGTCGATGCGAGCGAGCGCCTCGGCCCTGGTCTGAGGCGCGCACGAAGGGACACCATCGTGCCAATGTGATGGGCAATAAGCTAATACCAAACCCATGTGGGTACTCCAAATGAGAGGTAGAGATGTCATACGTATGTTTTACCTAGGAGCTGTGGTGTTTGGTTGAACGTTCCTGTCAGTATGTCCTTCTGTAGATCCCGTTCGCTTTTCAAAACAACGGGACGTGTCAACGTACGTGGTGAGGTGGTGAAGGACCCCACTTAGTAACAATCTGACATGGCGTGGGAGCAGGGATGTGACCACACTTGATGGGATTTTAACGGGACTGCGCATGACGGGACCACGCTCGACGGGTCTGCGCTTGACGGGACCGCGTTTGGCATCACTGCGATTGAAGACTGCGTTTGAAGACTGCGTTTGACAGGTGACACAGGGCATAGACTGTTGTAGATAAGTAGAGACTCTTCTTCGGTCTCTTCTTCCCTTTCTCAACTTGGATCTCCCGTCGACTACGTACTCAAATTGAATTCTTTATTGATTTTCTTTCTCGATCTGACATCCGGTCACAAGGGATAGATAAAACCGCCTGGCTTGAATAACTAGCCAATGAGTGTTCAAGAGTAGAGCAAAAGAGGACGAGAAATCTATAATTTCTTTTTCTTATCAGCTACGCACCCGTTGAGCCGCATGGTGGAGCCTGCATGCTGTCAAAAGCGTTGACCCGATGCATCTGCGTCCAAATTCGAAGATCTCGGTTTATGTAGGAATAACTATGAAAGAAACATGCTTAAAATGAATAAACAACTTTCAACAAAACCTGGTATCTCAAACGAGAGTAGAAATAAGAGGAAGGATTGTAAATGGAAATCATTGACTCCTGCTATAGACGAAATCGTAAAAAAGAAACCCATCCTGATGCGTGTCCCAAGGCAAGTAAATCCCCATTAATCGCGGAACAGCGAGGCCGACAGTCAGGAGGAAGCCATAGTATATTTTTGCGATCTAGATTTATCCATTGTCCTTGTTCAATGAAGATCGCCTGACACGTAGAGGTTGAATGTGAAGAATCATATTCGTGCCCGGACTCAACGTCGAGGGTGCATATGTTGGTGATTAGATATGAACCATCTTGAGAGAACTCGAGATCGTAGACAATTGCATCCGTGTTGAAAATCTCTTGTAGACGACCCGTCGCCGTGTCCCAGAGCCGCACGGTCTGATCGTAAGAGCCAGAAGCTAGTAGCTGGCCGTTAGGCGAGAAGGCTACTGAGAAAACCCAGTCAGAATGGCCCTCAAAAGTCTGCTGTAGGCCGCCCGTCGCCGTGTCCCAGAGTCGCACGGTGTCATCGTAAGAGCCAGATGCTAGCAGCTGGCCGTTAGGTGAGAAGGCTACCGAGGAAACCTGTTCTGAATGGCCCTCAAAAGTCTGCTGTAGACCGCCTGTCGCCGTGTCCCAGAGACGCACGGTCTTATCGTAAGAGCCAGATGCTAGCAGCTGGCCGTTAGGCGAGAAGGCTACCGAGGAAACCTGTTTCGAATGGCCCTCAAGAGTCTGCTGTAGGTCGCCCGTCGCCGTGTCCCAGAGTCGCACGGTGTAATCACCAGAGCCAGAGGCCAGTATCTGGCCGTTAGGTGAGAAGGCTGCCGAGGAAACCGTCCCTAAATGGCCCTCAAGGGTCTTCTGTAGACCGCCCGTCGCTGTGTCCCAGAGTCGCACGGTGTGATCCCCAGAGCCAGACGCCAGTAGCCGGCCGTTAGGTGAGAAGGCTATCGAGGAAACCCAGTCCAAATGACCCTCAAGAGTCTGCTGTAGGCCGCCCGTCGCCGTGTCCCAGAGTCGCACGGTCTGGTCCTCAGAGCCAGACGCTAGTAGCTGGCCGTCAGGCGAGAAGGCTACTAAGGAAACCGCCTCTGAATGGCCCTTAAGAGTCTGCTGTAGACCGCCTGTCGCCGTGTCCCAGAGCTGCACGGTCTGATCGTAAGAGCCAGGTGCTAGCAGCTGGCCGTCAGGTGAGAAGGCTGCCGAGGAAACCGTTCCTAAATGGCCCTCAAGAGTCTGCTGTAGACCGCCTGTCGCCGTGTCCCAGAGTCGCACGGTTCGATCCCCAGAGCCAGACGCCAGTAGCTGGCCGTCAGGTGAGAAGGCTACTGAGGAAACCCAGTCCGAATGACCCTCAAGAGTCTGCTGCAGGCCGCCCGTCACCGTGTCCCATAGCCGCACGGTCTGATCATAAGAGCCAGACGCCAGTAGCTGGCCGTCAGGCGAGAAGGCTATCGAGGAAACCCAGTTCGAATGACCCTTAAGGGTCTGCTGTAGATCGCCTGTCGCCGTTTCCCAGAGCTGCACGGTCTGATCGTAAGAGCCAGGTGCTAGCAGCTGGCCGTCAGGTGAGAAGGCTGCCGAGGAAACCGTTCCTAAATGGCCCTCAAAAGTCTGCTGTAGGCCGCCCGTCGCCGTGTCCCAGAGTCGCACGGTGTCATCGTAAGAGCCAGAGGCCAGTAGCTGGCCGTTAGATGAGAAGGCTACTGAGGAAACCCGTCCCCAATGGCCCCCAAGAGTCTGCTGTAGACCGCCCGTCGCTGTGTCCCAGAGTCGCACGGTGTGATCCCCAGAGCCAGACGCTAGTAGCCGGCCGTCAGGTGAGAAGGCTACCGAGTAAACCCAGTTCGAATGGCCCTTAAGAGTCTGCTGTAGACCGCCTGTCGCCGTGTCCCAGAGTCGCACGATGTGATCCCCAGAGCCAGACGCTAGTAGCTGGCCGTCAGGCGAGAAGGCTACCGAGGAACCCTCTCCCGAATGGCCCTTGAGAGTCTGCTGTAGGCCGCCTGTCGCCGTGTCCCAGAGTCGCACGGTCTGGTCCTCAGAGCCAGACGCCAGTAGCCGACCGTCGGGCGAGAAGGCTACCGAGGAAACCTGTTCTGAATGGCCCTCAAAAGTCTGCTGTAGACCGCCTGTCGCCGTGTCCCAGAGCCGCACGGTCTGGTCGTAAGAGCCGGACGCCAGTAGCCGGCCGTCGGACGAGAAGGCTACCGAGGAAACCTGTGCCAAATGGCCCTCGAGGGCCTGTAATTCTGCACTCCAATCTTCCACAACTCTTGGTAACTGGGATATCCAAGTGGGGAGCTCTGCTTTGAACTCTCTCCGAATAATTGACATTTGGGGGGCAAATATAAGTCCTGCGCAATAAACCTGAAGAGGCGCCTCGTCGGTTATGTGGCGATTTTTAAGAATGAATCGCTTTGCATCTTCAAGAAAGGCAGCTAGACGAGATGACTTTCTCTGCCAGTCAGTATCAAAATTTTGGTTCCAATTCAATGTCACTAACCTTTGCCAGGGACTGTAAAGCTGTAATATTTCCAATCGTTTCCGAAACCCATCCAAGAAGGCTCATCACCTCCAACCAATGCAAGAAATGAACCTTCAAAAAGTCTTCTATCAGTCTCCAGTTTATGCCGGACTGGTCACCATTCTCTAGATGGCGTACCCAGTATCGACATGCGTATCGAAGCTCAGATGGGACATAACCCTCAAGTACCGTCTTTTCAATCTCATTTTTCCTTATGCCCGGGTTTGAAAGACGGCATATATCTCTCTTTAATTCTCGATTCATACACTCAAGACAATCCTTGGCAAGCTGTGTATGACCTGCCAGTTCGTCAATCCAGAACTCGTCGGATGCTGAATGATCAACCAGAAACTCTCGAAACGAGAGATGAAGAAGCTGAACGGGGGCATCGCTCTCTTTTGGAACTGACACCACAGACTGGAGGGTACTGAGTCTGTATTGGATTTTCGTTTCGTCTGAGCAAATGAGCTCGGCAAGGGAGATGGATGAGAGTGGGCTGAAGAGAAGAACAATGGCACCCACGATTCGGCGAAAGTCATCCAACCAGTATTTGAGTTCTTTCGGCTCTTTCCGCGATACAATATGCTTTAAAACTGGGAGATAGATCCCGGTCAACTTTGAGTACTCGCCGTCAATTTTCTCCATCCTGTCGCTTGAGCGTGAAGATAATATAGCTTGCAGTCGGTCGTCCGGCAGTTCTCCCTCACAATTAATGAATCGATAAATTGTGGCGGCATAAATGAATAGAGGAACAGCCATATTTACTAGGGCCTTGAAACTCTCTTCCCCGGGCCAGCTTTCCGCTAGTCCGTGATCATCCTTTATCCTCTCAAGCCTTTCCCGGAGAAAGAGTGATATATCATGCTCGATAATCGACCTCTTAATTTGATGAAGAATGATCTCATCGTTGCCGATCGGTCGAAACCCTTTGATGATGGGTGGCTCTGGCCTACTGGTGATGAAGATTCGTAACTGGACATCTTTCAAATCGGTCAATTTAGGCAAAGTTGAAAAAAAACTCGCGACATCGGCTGGCACTTGACACTCATCCAGGGCGTCGATGACAAGCACTAGGATCAACGGGGAGTTTAATCCAAGATTGAGGCTCTTGAGTGGCTTGAAAAGCAATTCGTTGAATTGTTCCTGTGGATTGTTGCTTCCAATGCCACGCGTTTCCTTGATTGCCCTCTTGACTGGTTCCTGAAGATGAGGTAATCTTGCCAATATTTGTTTGGTAAGGGTGGTGAAGAGCCGTTTGGCGTCTTCTCGGTCTGTTCCACCCTTCTTGAAGAAGAAGCTGCCACCTAGCAAGCCCTCGTTGTCCAACCACCGAGCCACTGTCCGTGACACAGTTGACTTTCCTGTTCCTGCCATACCCTGCAACCAAAAGACAGCCTTCTTATCTGGATCGGTAGCCCAGCTCTTGATATCCTTAAGGAGTTCGGTTCGAGTCTCTTGCAGACATTCTTGATACTCCTCTCCGGTATTTGCATTATAATGAGCCTCCTCTGCAATCTTGAGCTCTGCGAGGACCATCTTGCCATCGAGTTCGTTGAGTGAGTCCATCATTTGGTCAATATTAGTTAGCGCTCTGTCCGCCTTTTCGAGAAGCTGCTTTCCCCTGTCTCTCTGTTCATGCCGGTCAACTATCTCAAGCCATCGGCCCAGATGTGACTCCGCCTCATCAATGGATTTTTGGAGATTGGAAAGAGAATCTCTAGAGATGCTCTTCCAGATCAACACGGCATGGCTGCGGTCATAAAGTGACTGGACTAGGGCAGCGAACGTTAAAATTTCTACGTATACCTGGACCAGAGCTGTCTCAATGTATTGATCGGTATTCGCGTTCTTTTGATATTCCTCCTCCACCAAGCTATACCGAGTAAGAACGTCTGCGAGAAAGGCGCAAGATTCCAGCCAAGCCACTTTCTGGCTGCGATAGTTTTGCGTCACCTAAAAGTCGCTTCTGTTAGTTTCTAGACCTTCAATTTTTTTTAATTGGGAAAATACGAGCATACAGTCAATCCCAAAGACACAACAGCCCAGACGCTGGTTGCGTGTCCTGTCGGATCAAATGCCACAGCTGCCTTGATAAGGTCCTGAAAGCTAAGAACAGCCTTAATGATCTTTTGGGCTGGTTCTTTAATCCTGGATTTTCTTTGGTCGATTTCATATTGGGTCTTCACGGTTTCGACTACCCCATTCAGTGCCTTTAAACGGTCCACGACACCGGGATCGGTGTTCACATCATTGGAGTCGTTGGTTTTGTCCGATTTTGGTATCAATATAGACTTGATAAGTTGTTGATTTTTGGGCTCGAGGTCATCAAAAGCGCGTTGCCACAGATCTGCTTTCCTAGCAGAGGCGGATGCATGGTGGATTGAAGAATCATCCACAGATTGATTCCTTTGTATAGACTGGAAATTGTTCTGGTCGTCCTTATCCGAGTGCTGCTTTCCAAAGAATTGTCTCAACTTTTCACGGACCATAGCTGACCAGGATAAATAGTCAGTTTGATTCTGTGAAGGGTTTGCTGTTTAAGAAATGAAAAAGGTAGGCAGAATCCAGGGTAGAGAGTGGGGTAGAAAGGGGGGTTCTGGCGCTTCTCGAGTGCACCGCCCCCCAACTGAAGGTTGTTTGCTTTTTCTGGGCAATCGAATATATGTTGGCATTACTCTGTACTGACTGATAGGTAGTAGCTACCTGAAAAAAAAACATCCATTTGAAACGATGAAGCTGGGCTTGCACTCCTCTGTACCTTTTTGGCACGGCAACAGGGCCCGTTCCTTTATATGCTGGGTAATTTCGGTCCTAGTACCTTGAAGACATTGAACGAAGAACAATTAGTGAGCTCCCTTCTCATCTCATTATATTTGAATATGCAGCAGCTAATAAAAAAGGAGTCGAATCATCCTCTAACAGTTCGAAAGACAATGGATGAGCTTGCGAGCAAATAGAAAGAACAAAACACGTTTGCAAAGAATCAATAGAATGAGAGTAGCAAACAGAGATTAGAGGGGAGAGCATGCATGCATCTATGGAAGGCCTATCACAGTACGAAGATGTAGAGTTAGACTTCGCTAGTAGGAACCTAGATAAGATGAACATTATGCTTTTCGAGAGGATCGAAGCCGTGCATCAATACATTCTAATTCAGCAACAGATGACTCATAGTAACGCTCTATAGTACGTGAAGGAGATTCTCGACCACGTTCTACATACAGTCTTCTACGCTTAGGATGTGATAGAGTCAATTCAACCTAGGATTCTTTAGATGCTTAGTCTACGTTGTATTATCCGTCTATAGTGAACAGATGATTCTCTTTACTAGAAGAAGATCAATACAGTCCGGAATACTTCGAATAATATCGGAATTTGACTACCCTTAGAGACCTTTGGGGGAAAAACCGCAAATACGACTCTAAAATAGCTTTTGAACATGTTTCAATTTGAACAGACAACTTTCATCTTCGACAGTCTACTTAGTACGTGTGACGCGATTGTACAGGCGTTACCTCTCGCGCCGTAGCGTCAATTACTATAGTGCTTATTACGATTATACCGTATACGTGCTGTAGCGTTTTTGTTACAAGCTGAAGCACCACAAGATTCTCTTTGACAAAATCATCTATGCCTACGAGGTCATCGGAGAACTTTCCCTCAGTATAGGCAACATTGTAGGTACGCCTCAAGTATCTAATGGCATATTGAAGCATAGTAAGATTACTTGCTGGATAGCTCTGTTTTTGAGATAAAGAATCCCTAGCTCTCAAATGACTAGCTCGCCTTCCTCGTTGCTTTTTCACTTTCGTAGCGGTAGAAGTTTTATAGCGGTATCGTTCTCGTAAAGGTATTCTTAAATTTTTTTTGAAGCCCGCTTTCTTTTGTCATGCAAAGGATATCCGTAATCCTCTCTATTATTCTATTCGCTATAGTCGTCCTAAAAGATATTAAAAACCCCTAAGGTGCCTAGGCCTTCTGAACCGGTTACTAAGGGAGTATTACTAGCTCGGAAGAACGGATAAAGCATGACTTCAAGATACCTAGACAGAGGATGCATCTTGATAGAGTTATCTGCATGTAAGTTGGAAATGCACAGGAATCCGAAGCTTGGGTATGGACCCCTTTCCTAGATTGATAACTGGGGATTAACAGCGTATTTGTATAGAGATCTTGTCTGTCGTACGGCTCTAGCTCGACCGGATCCGGGTATGTAATTAATGCTATATGTATGGATGAAGATATCTATCTCATGTTTGACGCCGCTCCTCGGCGCGATCCAAGATGGCCTCCCACTTCACCCTTAACTCTTCCATCTGCTTCCAACACTGACGCCCAAGCTCCTCAAACTTCTCCCGCTCTTCGCGAGTAAGGTCCACGGCGCCACGTTTCCTCCTCCGCAGCCGATCAGCCTCGACAACGGCTCTACCCACAACCCCGCCATAACCCCAACCATCAACTTCAGTGCAGGCGACGCTGCCACGACCAAGTCGCGAAGCAGAGGAGCCCCATTTGGGTCTCCCGCCGCCAGCTTGGTGATAGGGCGCCTCGGCAGCATCTATAGCATCCTGCGGCGACAGCGCCAGGAAAACCGGCGCGGAGGCGCCGGTGTAGGTGGACATAGTATGCCAGGGGGAGCCTAGCATGCGTGCGATCCAGAAAGCAGCTACCATGGCATACACCAGGGGCAGCGCGAGAGGAACAATTGCGGTTGCGCAGATACCTGGGTGGGAGACATACATGTTCGGGGTGGCATCGGGGTCGGAGGAGTCCGACTGAAGGAAACTGTCCACGGCCCAGGGTGCCGTGCTGGGTAGGTTTGAGGTCAGGGCCAGGATATCCGTGAGGGCCTTGGAGGATTCATATGGCGTCGCAGACCGCAGACCCTGGATATCCTCGGCGTGGAACGCTTTGCTGGCTGCCTCAATGCTAGACAACCACACAACTCGGCTGGGCCCATTGGATGCTCGTTTCAGCAGCGGCACGACATTGTGCGCGAGCATGTAGTGTCCGAACACATTAGCGCAAAATACCGCGCCGAGCGGCGGCTCGTCCTCCTTCCCGTCTGTTTGCTTGTCTGTCACGACGCCGGTGGGAGCAACCTTGAACGTAGGCCAGGTCACCTCCTGAACGAGATCGGTGCACACGCCCCATATGGCACGTGGCCAGTTAAGCCCGGACCAGCCGCCTATGCCGGCATTTAGGACAATGGCGTCGAGTTTGGACAGAGTGCGCACCAGCCGTCGGGAAAGGTCCCGCACGGAGACCAAGTCGCCCAGGTCGACATGCTCGGGGACGAATTGCACACGCGCGGCGGCGGAGGGGGACGCTGCTGACGCGCGGAGGTGCGCTTCCAGCCGTTTTTGGGTATCTTGGGCTTTGCGCGCACTCCGCGTAGTGAAAATCACGGTGAGGGTGTGTAAAGGGTCGGAGTGTGAGGAGAGGAATTCATCGGCGAGTCGGCAGCATATTGAGAATCCGAGGCCGCTGGATAATAGTTTAGTTCGGGACTGTGGGGAAGGAATTGAGGAATGTACCTGTTCGCACCGGTGACGAGGATGCAGGTGTTGTCCTGCCGGTCGCGACTCATCGTGCCTGGATTTTTGGTCGGTCGAGGCGCGCGCGGCGATTGGGTGTGGGTGATGATCATGTGACAGGGAAAGTACTACATCCAGCAGCAATAGTGTATATTTTGATTAATTGTTCTAATATTGGCCTGGTTAATTGAGGTGTACGATATCCTACTTCGGATAATAATATGCGGGTGTAGTTTCGTCGGCATACAGGTGTCTATATCGAACTTGGGGCAAGATTGCAAGTATAAAGTGTGTTCCAAAAGTCTGAAATCCTCTCTTTACCTACTACCTAGGCTAGAAGAGGGTTTCCGGCTTTTGGAACACGACTGTCGCATAGCCGGTACAATCCCAAGCAATATGAGCAAAAATGGGACAATTGCCCATCATGGCTGTCGCCTCTTCTACTCTGACGGGATCTGGTGACCCCTTCCTCCTCTACTGATAAGGCCGAGCAAATGACGGCCAGAGATGCAGGCAGTAAGACAACAACAATAACAAGCCCATCAGCCGCCTTTTTCAATTCGCCTTCTAACACTCATCTCGATGTCACCCGGCAGGACCGGCTGCAGGAGCAAATCACCTACTTGGTGGCGTATGTTGCTTACTTGGTGGCGCATGTTTCTCCATGACTTTGAACTAGAGCGAAACCTACCCTACCCACACCTGCTTTTCCAAATAATGTGTCATCATCCCAACCCGCGCAGCTGTCCATTGCGGCAACACTCTCCGCGAGACCCTGCAAGGAGGCGAAATTTCAGCCAGGCTGGTGGCGTTGTTGCTAGCGATTAGAATTTCCGGCGATAACCTCACAGCCTTGGAAGCGGGGGCAACTTTTTTCTACCATCCTCCACTTTCCCAAAGAGAATGCTGCAAGGGGCCAATGGCTGATTTTTGGCCATGATCACGGGAAGTTTCCGTCTTACGTCGCACACTAGCTCACGAAACGGGATCTACCGGCCGCTGAGGTGAGAAACGAGAAAACGAGTTGATATGATATGGGAGAAGGGGAAATACTCCCGCTGAGCGCCGAAGTGATACGCCCATTCACAGCTTTACCCACTCGACCGGGTCCGGTGTGGAGGAGGGGATGGCGACAGTCGGCGTTTCAGCCAGTCAGATACAATAATATGATCTGATGTCGGCTGCTGGGGGCTTTGGCTGCTAGCGTAGTTGTTGTGGGCTTGGCTATGATAATAATCATGCGAGTCGGGGAATTTTAGCGCCTGGCTTGGCTGGTCGAGGGCGTATCGCAGAATGATACTCGATCTGCCACCGATCCTCGCCACAATGGAGTATGAGGCTTTCGGTATTTTCCTGGAATTTTACTGCTACAGTAACGAGTACTTCACATGGATCCAACCAACCTCGGGGAGAGATTAAGCATCGCGGGGATCCTGAGCACGGCCACGGAGCTGGGAAGTTTGCTCTCCACTGACTGCACAGGGTCGACGTGGTTGGTCTGTGAGCGAGAGTGTATTCTCGATGGGGATAGTACATAGTCACCACCCCTACACATCATGTACACACAGCTGCATGCGCATCCAAATGATCCAACGCTCAGCCATCGGCGTCATTTGGGAACAAATAATGCGGGGTATCACTGCGGTTCGTACATTCTTCGTTGGTTCGTTCGTTGTCCGATAGCCGAGGGCGACTCTCTATCCTTTCTCACTGCCTAGAAACTCTATACTCTTTTCCCGCCTTGTCATGCACTCCCTATCACGACGATCCGCCAGGCCGGGTGACCGACCAAATGGAATCCTGCATCTGGCCGACTGGATGGGCTACTGACTAGGCCTCCCATCTCTAGCGGCCCGGGGATGGGGGGGGGGGGGGCGGAGACTAGATCCACTCCCACTGATGCTGCAGCATTATCAACCAACCCCTGCTCCCCAAGCATCGTTGCCGAAGCCGAGAACCCATTCAGTATACGTTTCTCGCCAATCGTCTCCCGTCCAGCCACCACATTATTATGATGCAGAGCTTCCGGGCAGTCAATGGTTAGGGCTTACCTTACGCTCCCGATGACCAGGTCATTGGGAGAGAGCAGTCGTGGGAGAAAGAGAGAGCCAAAAAATGCCAGCTCACCGATCTTTCCGCGACAAACCAACCAGACTAGACGGCGTTTTCATATTCGCATATTATCTCCCTGTTGAGTTTGGGGGCGGATCGGCGTCGCTATAATAATCTCGTTGATGGATATTCTTCCCCATGCTTTTGTTCTGGCCTTTTTCCCTCGCGGGGGTGTGAGTCTGGACCCTGAAATCGTCCCGCTCATGATGATTACTATTCTCAGCATGCCAGATTAATCCACCGATGGCTGTGCTAGGAAAGATGTTGATTATTGCCGGTTCAGGAGGGTCGATGGCCCAGCCCATGATCATCCACCGATGCCCCCTATAATAATAATGATGGTGGTCTTGCGTATTCCCTGACTTCTTGCCTCGTCCACTAATAAGGTTGTCCGATCAACGATCGCCGCTGTTTAAAATTGTACTTCGCGCGGTGGATCCCCACGTTTTTGTGGTCCGTACGTACGTCTTAAGAGTGGCGGAGGAGCCGAGGCTGTCCAAGACCTGTGATGAAGGGATCAATATGGCACAGGAGAATGATCCAACAGAGTTTGGGCTGGCGGCGGGAAGGAATGGCTGGAGGTGTCGGGGATCCACCCATGGTGAGATGAGATGCAAGAATCATCATCGCCGGTGAAGACGGCCCCTCGTCCACCGCGCCTTGTCCGCGGTATTATCTGGAGATAGTGAATCAGAGCGGGAAGATAAATCCTTCGCATTAGCCAAAATCATGATTCTATTTCCGTGCCCATGACCTTACGACCACATGTGCTCATAGCATTTATTCAGGATCTGGGATGGGAAACGTCCTGAACAATAACGACCTGCCTGTTTGGCGTGGGAGACCCTAAAAAGTGGAGGCGGCGCCCCTCCACAACGAACAGACCCAACCTTAAGGAGATTTGGCCACAACCGGAGTGGTGGGTCTAGGAGTTGACGAACAAGTATTGTTCAGGAAATGCACTGCCGCGTCATGGTCCGCGCCCCTTGCTGAACCACCTTTTGCCACACACCTGGCGCGTGTAATCCTGAGAGAAGAAAGAGGGCTCTACGGAGGGTGAACGGGATCCTGTGTCTGGACCCCGTTACAGGATCTGGAGAGAGATCATCATTAGCGAGCGAGAGAAAGAGAGCAACGGAGGAGCTCGGGCGCGGCTACCAGTTAGTCGCTGGGAGTCCCCGGTGAGTGGCTGAGTTTCCGAGCAGGCATGATATCATTCCCCTGTCGGGTTTTGTCAGAAGGGCCACCAGAAAGTTAGCTCTCGAGCAGGATGCGCGCCCTGGCTGGCGGAGGCCCATCGCAAGCGAGCCGGGCATCTGTTCCTGCTCACTCCATTACACCCCAGAAAAGAAATAATAATCAGAATAGGGGCCCGGTTGGGGTTTCAGATCCCCCCAAAGGCTAACCTTAAACCACGGTCGTGGTTTAGTTACCGTCAGGAATTACTCCTGGTACCCTCTGCACACGCCATTCCGTGTCCCGCCTAGCGCCATGTCTTGTCATCCGGGTTGGCCAGGGTGGGTCTGGAGTCTGGCACCAGGTTGGGTTAGCGGTAAATACCCTGGGAGGCAATCGCAATTTCGTCGGAAATCCCATGGATCACAGGCATGGCCACCGGGGATGGGAGAGGAGCAGCGTCGAGGAGAATAGGAGCACCGCAGGCGTCGCAGAAACGTCCTCGCGCCTGCTGCCCGGGGGGACGGGGTCGAATCCCACGGATCCGTCCGACGAGAACATACCCCTCCCCGTCTTCATCTCTGGGGATGGCGGAGAAATACCCGTACACCCGTATTACCAAGAATAAGGGTAGGTTTCCATCCGCGCCCGTTTCTGCCCTCTGGGAGGTTGTCAACAAGAATAATAATAATAAGACGACGGACGGACTCCATAAAACTTGCGGCTCCCCTCTTATCGTATATCACTTCCCCTCTTTCTTCTTCCTTCCTTCGTGTCTCTCGCTCTCCCCCCGTCTCTCGTTGATGACTGGATCGCAATCCGGACTGTCTGCATGTAACACTGGACCGGTCTCCCCCGACTCTTATCTCCTGGGCCCTCCGCCACCCTCACCACTTGATCTTCGCCCTTGACTTCGCGGGCCAGCGGCCAGAGGGAAACGATGGCGCCCGGCACCGGACGCGATTTCAACTGCTCGTGGGAGCATTGTGGCAAGGTAGGAAGCACCTCCTGGTGGTACCCCATACGTCGTTGGGACTGACTCCGGGGGTAAATAGTCGTTCAATCGCAAGTCGGATCTCTGCCGCCATTATCGCATCCACACCAATGAGCGACCCTATAATTGCGACGTGGAGGGCTGCAACAAGAGTTTCATCCAGCGCAGTGCTTTGACCGTCCACTCGCGAACCCACACCGGCGAAAAGCCGCATGTCTGTGACCAGGAAGGCTGCCAGAAAGCCTTCTCCGATGTAAGCACCTTCTTCGGACGATGAGATGGCGCAACTGACTGACCATTTTTGTTTGTCTCTAGTCATCCAGTCTAGCTCGCCACCGGCGCATCCATACGGGCAAGCGCCCCTATATCTGCCAAGAGCCGAGTTGCGAACGAAGGTGCGCGATGCCCATATGTCCCGTGGACCCCCCCCCCCCCCAATCTAACGTCTCGATATAGTTTCTGCCGCAAAACCACCCTCACCAAACACCAGCATCGCTCGCACCCACCCGGGTCGCAGAGTCGACCGTCCTCTGAAGAAACCGCGTCGCCGCACTCGTACACGCACCATCCGCCGGGGACGCTGTCCATGCCACCTAACGAGCAGTACATGCTCGCGCAGCAGCCCTATTACCCGCAAGCGACGCCGACTCCCGCGCACGAGTTCTACTCCCCGCCGCAGAACGTACCTATGAACTCGGTGCCGATGCACGACAACGCGGCGATCGTCCCGCAGAACATCCCCGTCTCGTCGCCGATGAGCATTTCGCCGCATGCGCCGCCCCCGCCGCAGCAGCAACATCCGCAACCCTCGCACCCGCAACCACATCCGCAACACCAGCAACAGTATCTCCACATGATGCAACACCAGCAGCAGCAGCAGCAGCAGCAACATCAGCAGCAACATCAGCAGCGCTACGATCAGACCCCGCGCACGTCCTACCTGCCGCCGGAATACCAGCAGTCTACGTTCCCTGCCCACCACCAAATGCCTGAGGGCCAGTCTATGATGGTGTCCTACCATCCTAATTTCCAGTATAAACCCCCTGCCCGGATCTTGAACCAACCGGAGGGGACTGACTGGGGTTTTCTGGGGGTAGGTTGAGAGACTTCTCATAGAGGATTTCCCGTGTGAACCTGCTATGTCCGTCACGACTCTTGTTTTTTTCTTCTTTCTCCCTCTCTCCCCTCTTCGCCCGAGAGACGGGGGCAGCGTGTCTATCGCCTCGCTCGCAGATGTGTGTGTCTACGTCTTGTCATGTATTCACACTCTTTGGTTTGGATTCTGGATTGTCTGGCGCTCTGATTTTTATTTTCCCCTCTGATTCCCCTGCCACTGTCTGTTCTGATATGTCTTTTTTCGCACTGTGTTTCCGTGGGCTGTCATTTAAAAGGGACGAGGGCAAAGGCGTTCCTTCTGTTAATCATCTGACTCTTTTTTTCCTTGTTGATACCTGGTCTCCGAACGTGTGTTTGTTGGTGTCTGTTGTGTTTTTTCCCAATCCTAGTGAGAATGCTATCGATACTCTAATTGGCCGATCACATTACACGCCATACTTTCTTGTCGTAATTAAATCCTGTTCGGTAGTCCATAAGCATTGGCAAATTATTCCTGAGGTCTCTCGCACATATTATTATTAATATGAGGTCCTGGTTTTCCTATCACCCCATGACTCGTGCGTGCCACGACCCACGACCTCGCCCCGGCAGACTCTGACTCGGATTTATCTCGACCAGGACCAAAAACCTGCTGGCCTACGCCATCGCCATCGGATCGCTTACAGATAATCTCCAAAATAATGGATTCTGGAAGGTTGATGAATCTCGGTCCGCCAAGACCGTAGTTTACAGTATCCTTATGTGGTGGCGGCAGGATTGATTCGTATCGAAACTGAGGTGATTTTTTACTTAAAGAGGCAGGTTCTTCGTATCAGGGTGCGTCGTAATGCAACATCCATTCCTCTATACGAAGGCAATTATCATCATCATCATCATCATCATCATCATCATCCTCGTTTTAGTCACTGCGAGGGTTGCATACCAAGAACGACAGACTCGCCACCCTCGCATTCTGATTCGTGTCTGATCTACTCTCGCTACTAAACTTTGCGACTAGCCAAGAGCTGGACAGCCAAGATGGGCCACTATTATTATTCTGTGTTCGTAAAACTGCTGCTCCCCCCGTCACCGCAATACTGTAATTAGTAATATAATTTCTCGCTATCGTAACTAACGAATCGCTATTATTATCGAAGAAACAATCACCCAGATATGCAGCCGAACCGGTTTTGCTAGTCGCATGCACCGAATCATGCGAGGAAGGGAGATGGTTTCCGTCCTTTTGCCTGGTGAATTTTTCTTTTTGGTTGAATTTTTTTTTTTCATTAATCCTCTTTCGGCGCAGGTTCTATGTACTAGGGTTAGTCGAGGAGAAGAGAAGTCACCCGATGGGACGATGTGGATGTAGATCGGTCGAGCTGTTGGCTGCTAACGCGCAGGCTTTCGGATTGCCTGTTGGGGGCCAGAAGGGGGGATCCCTGAGACTGTTGGCTGCCTAAGGCCCACCCCACGCGGGGCGAGAACGCGTATGTACTTCCAGTCAACCAGTGGACACATGGCATGAGATGAGGGAATTTTATTTTTATTTTTATTTCTTTTCATTTCTCTTTCTGTTGGTAGTAGATCGGCGCATGCAGACGCTGCTTAGCTTAAGCCAGTGGATCGTTCGTTGATCAGGGAGCAAAACAATTCCCCGCATTGGATGATCTGATCTGTACATTTCAGGGGACACCAGGAGTTCGTAGGAGTGTGATAACTACGGCAGGGCAGCTCTACTCTTATTTTCAGTCATTATTGATTATTATTCATAGGATTGTTACTCAATATCTCAGGGAGGCCACAGCGGCGATCGTGTCTGATAGAAATATATATATCTGACGATCCAATGACAATTCCGGATCGTTGAATATATCCCAACGAAAAACGGGCGCCAGCCACTGACGACGCAACCAATCCATCGTCCAGCTCCCTTACCCTCCTCTGCTGCATCCATCACCCATTAAGCCTCGCCATCACGTCACCTCTACTCTGTACAGATGAAACGTTGGCGCTGCAGGATGGGGGGAAGGATCCGTGGATGGACAGGCACAGTACTGCTAGTCTTTCCTAGGACAGACACTAAAGGTCGTACAGGGTCCATACTCGGTAGATCATAAATTACCCGATGCTGGGCAATTTTGATCAGGATCGTCATATCTGCTCTAGCATCGGGGCGGGGAAGGATTAATATGGAGCTGTTGTAGTTTTCGCACTAGCGCGGTCTGTCAGTTCACGCTGAACAACTTGTCAGTTTTGGTTTTTCCCCCTAATCTAACCTAGACCACAAAGTGCCAAGGCCACAGCGATCTCGGGTGATCGAAGACGGGCAATCGATCGAGGCTGATTCGCCCCCAAAGCGAGGTCGTTCGCCCGTTAGTCGTATGAACCAAGACCCTGTTAGCCGCTCATCCATGAATCACTCAAGACCAACAGTAAGTAGTTGCAATCGTAGTGTACAGCGCGATACTGTCTATACAAAGAACCGATATATTACTGTAGAAGATTTCCGGTTGACCCCAACCAAGACGATATTCCAAAGAGAAAAAGAGGAGCAGCAGGGATGTTCCCTGGGAGTGTAACGCTCTAGGGTCCTTAGTGACAGTGACATTCTCACTAACTAGGACTGATATGTTTAGCCGAGGAAATGACGCCACAGGGAGTGGATTGGGGAAATTCGGTTGCGGGCGTTGGCGCGCTGGTGGGCCCGACTGGGCGCTTGCGAGTGGATTCGCGGGGGTCTAGTGCTGTGCCGCATGGCATAAATTAGTGCTATATTTTAGTCATAGTATAAGAAGCGGAAGGGAAACGGACGAGCCATTCGGATTCAAGGATTCTGTTTACTCTATTCTACCATAGATCTGTACTACCGGTCTTCGAGGTACATCGTGCTGTTGTAAAACAATCGAGTCGCACGACAGCTGGACAGTCCCGGCCGGCGTCTATGGGCGATCGGAGGTGCACGGGGACCATCCTATCCAATGCGCAGCTCTGGATTGCCAAACTCAAGGAGCTTGGGCCGTCGGGCGAGCTTTACGTTAATTTAGTACTGGACTTGACTCTCTTGTCTGTCCACACATACCCCGTACTGTAACCGACCTGTACACCAGCGGGTCTTCGACTGGGGCGCGCTAGAAAGCGGGGGTTGATTGTTAGGGCCAAAGGGGATCCCCGGTGGGTGAGTGGAAGTGGACGATAACGCATCCCACGACGATTTGCTGGTTGCGGTTTAGCCGGTGACAAGCTTTGTGCGATGGAGCTAGCCCTGTGCAGGAGGGTTGCCCTGCGAGTGGGCGGGATACTAGCTACCAACTCTGTAGGCACGGTACGATAACTCTGGACGGGCCTGCAATTGGTGTAAAACCAGGTGCGAATGAATTGACTACCGGAAATGGACAGAGTGATAGCTGGGCAGGACACTTGGCGCAGCGAGAGAAGAGGAAAAGGTAACCGAGAATAATGGGAAATAGTAATGAGGAGATACGAGGAGGGGGAGAGGGAGGGAGTGCCATTGAAGGTAGCGGTACCTTGGCCAGTACCGTGGTTTACGTTGCGTACCAGGTACCTGTACCTGGCTTGTAACAAACCAAACCCTAATCAGTAACTTTAGACGAAATCGACGGTGACTGGTTGGGGCCGCAAAGTGACTTGGCTGCAAATCGCCCCGACACTCGTGGATGGATGGGAGAGAGCTATGATGGAAATAAAGCAAGCAGGGCGCAAATTATATTGTACCGGAAATAAATCCTTTATTGGCATCGCGAGACAAGGGCCTAGTGTTCTGCTCGTATGTCGCGCCTGCTAAGCATTCGGCATGCATTGACTAGTGATGGTCGGGAATAAGCAAATATGAATGCTCAGTATGGACATGTAGGCACAGCAGCATTGACTGCCCTGAATATGTATTCATCGTATCAACACATCTAGCTTACTATTCTACCAACTCACGACACCGCGCGCCCGATCGAATCCCCCCGCGCAGCTGCGTCCCAGGCTTAATAACCTTGCCCTGCAAGACGGTATACCGAATGATATTCTCACAGTCCTCGGGCCGCACGCGCGCGAGCCAAATACCTTGCGCCGCGCCCTCGGACTCATCAGCGCCCTCGCGACGACGATACACAAACACGTTGGCCGAGTACTTGTGTCCGCCCACGTGGCTGATGAAATAAATGCCTACGCCGCCCGGCCGCGTGTCGTCCATGTCGCGGTACAGACCCAGTGGGCGCAGGTGGCGCTCGAACTCGCGTTTCAGCAGCGGCGCGGACTGGCCGCAGCGAGCGTCGCGCGTGCGCTGCGAGCAGAGGAGGATGACGGCGGAATGGGGACAAGGGTGCGAGCGGAGAGGTGTGGAGAGGGTGGTGCTTGTTGCTGGAGGTTGTGGTTCTGGCGATGACCCGCCGTCGGGCTTAAGGGGTGTGGTCGTTGTCAGGGACGGATTGACAAAGTGCTCGATCAGATCCGGGGCTAATTGCGGCGTGACGTGCTCGACGACAGTGAAACTGGGGAGGAGGAGCACATTTGTCGGCTGCTTCCCTGTCTCGCACATGTGATATTCGTCCGGCACGGGCATATTCGAAGCGGATAGCTTGAGGCGCTGGATGTGAAGGTTAATACAGGTCTCTCCCAAAAACCAAAAGAGCCCAGTCACGCACCCCGTTGGTCGGTTCTATTCCACCCTTTTCAATTGCCTCCATGACACTCCCCTGCTCGTCGGCCACATCGCGCACCCAATCCGACTTGCCCGTGGCGACGAGGAGGTGCGTCGCCCACCCTTTCACCTGGCCATACAACTCGTCTTCTTGATCGACCTCGAATTTGGCGGGGTATTTGACTGTGCACGTCGCACAGTCGTGTAGGCACTCTTCTCCATCAACGGCGGGGTCGACTTTGGTGAACAAGTTGTCAGGTGCGGGGACGGACCGAAACCCCTCGGCGGCGAGGGCATTGTCGCCAACGGCGTCTGTGTCCTCGTCTGTGCGCGAGGAGGCGAGGGAGACGTTGGAGGAGCTAAAGAGCGAGCCCGCGCCTCTTTTGAAGAACTCCATGGCTTCAACAGTACCTTAAATAACCGCGTAGCCCACGAACAAAGCGCTGGATGGTAGAGTGAGGACAAAAAGGAGGGTGTCCGTCCGGCCGCGGGTCAGATCTTATCAATCGCCAGGTTTGCAGTCGCCAAGGCTTTTCGGAACGGGATACCGCATGAGTCAGCCCCCACTGGGACCCGATTGGTGTTTTTTTACGGAGTATCTGATGGTGTTACCCTCGTCCATTTCGGCTGAAGCCAATGGTATACGGCAGATCAGCTGCGTCTCGGGATGGAGCGAGTCGAACCACGCTACCTCCCGAGCTGCCCGACCGATTCGACTGCACCCGACGAAGTGAGCGCGACGACGGCGTGAGAGGTAGAGCCAGAGGCCTGAATGAGCCTCTCGACGGCGACGCAGCCGACGCAGGCGTGTTGACCGCCGGCGCGGTCTCATACCTAGATTGCGACTGGGTCTCCCAAGTAGAAGCATTGGACGACCGGAGACTGTCACTTCGTACAGACCCATAGGCGCCATCGTACCCATTATGATTAACAGTATCCGTATATCCTTCCTCGTCCGACGGTCCAATGACAGACTCGCTCCCTGCGTGTCGATAGCTGAAGCTATCGCGGATCTCATCCAGCACGGGCGACTCCAGAGGCGCCATGCCCCTCAAGACCTCGGCGAAGGTATGCATCAGGTCGCGGAACTCGGCCTCGTGCAGATCGCGCGACGAGAAGCGCGCGCGCTCGTAAAGACTCAGAAACTCTGCGCCTAGATCCGGTTGAATGATTTGCAGAGCCGTCAGGTGGCGGATATATTCGCGCAGACCCAACGAAGCAGGCCGCTGTAGCGCCTCGACCACGCGTGTGTCTGGGATCGACTGATTGCCAATGGATGAGGACGGGTCGAAGAGCTCAGGGTTGTGGTGGACCATATCGGCTGGGGCAAGCGAGACGGCTTTGGCTTCGATTAAGTTGGGCAGTTCCCGGATGACAGTGTGGTAGGGCAGGTCGGGCAAGTCCGGCGATGCAGGCGACGACCAGCCCGGGTGCTCGATCGTGCCCCACGGCGGGTGTTTGGAGTCGATGACGAGCGATTTGTAATTAGGAAAGCCGTCCTCATCGCTTGAAGTGTCGCGCGGACGGGCCTGGTAGGAGATGACGGAGCTGTGTGCCAGACCCTCCATGACCAGCCGGCGCACGCTCTTGCTCACATCTTCTTTTTCCACAGGGATCCAGGCCTTCGGGATGCCAGTGAGTGTGTTCCGCTTGGTGTAGATCCGTGTCGCGTAGATTAATAGCGCTAGGGCGAAGGTAATGAAATATGCGCCTGTGATGAAGAAGATGTTGGTCAAGCGCTTCGTCACGTAGCATTGGTAAATGGCGTCGGCTGGGGTGAGCAGGATGAGGCCGAATAGGATCACGGAGAGGAAGGAGTAGGCACTCGAGTTGAGGAACTGCTCCAGTCGGACGGCCATGGCCGTGGCATTGTTGTTGTTGTTGACTGGAATAAGAGGAAGGAGCTGCGACTCGTCGATTCGGAGTGGTCACATGATGGGGTCCTATAGGAAATCATTTACAACTCAATCCATAATTAAAACATCTCTATTACGCTACATGTCAATGCTGCTCAACGCTGAAGACCTCTTTCGGCACAGCCAGAAATCTAATCATCCGCAACAGCAACCTCATCGTCCCAACTCGGCTTGCCGCCCATCTGGCGCGCCCGGTTAATCACCCGCTCAATACCATCAAGACCCATCTTCAGAACCTCCATCTTGGGCCCATAGCTCAGACGCACAAAGTGGTGGCAGGGACTATCAAAGAGATCTCTGCGCTTGGCCGGGTTCAGATCAAAGAAGATACCAGGCACCACGATGACCTTCTCGGTTAGCAAGGCATTAAAGAAGTTCAGCCCATCAGAGATGTTGGCCTCCTTGGGCAGCGGAGGATCGAGGGAGGTCAAGTCCAGCCAGATGTAAAAGGTGGCCTGGGGCACGTCCTGGATGCGGAATCCAATCTCGGCGAGCCGCTTCAGCACGAAGTCGCGCTTCTCGCGGAAGTGCACCTGCAGCGCCTTCATCTCCTCACGCACCAGCGACGGCTCGAGCATTGGGATCGCGGCCTCTTGAAAGGGTGCGTTGGCACCGCCGTCAAGGTACGAGCCTGCGGAGCCTAGCGCATCGACGAAATCCTTCGGTCCGACCACCCACGCGATACGCCAGCCCGGCAGGCGGAAGCGCTTGGTGAGACCGTCAATTAGGAGAACATCTAGAGATATCGAGTTAGCGAAGGTAGAAAATAGAGGGGAGTGTAACTATAGAACGAACCGTCCTTATTAACATCGACCACATGCTCAGCACCGCTGATCGTGGAACCGTCGCAATCGGTGGTATAGTTGTAGCCACCATAGAACTCGTCGAGGATGAGTGTCGCGCGGTCCCGGCAAATGTCCTGGATCTCGGCTAGCTCGTCCTGCGAAACGACGTGACCCGTCGGGTTGCGAGGGTTAGAGGTTAGCAGCACCTGTGTGCCACGGGCGATTTCCTCAGCGATCTTGTTCGGGTGGATGTGGTAGTGGTCGTCCTGAGCTAGGGGAATCGGGATGGGAGCGATCTATATTAACCGCAAGGTATCAGTCTCGCTTTGGTTCCCTACAAGATAATTGGTGCAAGCAACTTACATTCTTGAAAAGTGTCAACATCTCCGAATACGCCGAGTAATCCGGGATAGGGAAAGAGAGGTACGAATTGCCCAGAATAGCCGCAATGCGAATCAGACCTGCGCGGCCACCGGGGACAATGCAGACATTCTCCCAGGTATACTGGCTCTCCTTGCCCTGGCGATAATGCTCATTGTACAGGCGCGCCACGGCAGCACGCAACGGCTTGATCCCGGCCGTCGGACCGTACTCGCGGGCGGCGGAGGTGATTGGGATAGAGGTCGGGCGTGGGAAACTGCCCTCGATCCCGTCGTCGGCTTCGGGGGCGCCCTGGCCTAGGTTGGCCCAGGCGGACGGGTCCTCGGCGAATCCATGCTCGGTCGCTCGCTCTGTGCACCAGACGACGCCCGTGGAGGCTCGCGAGGCGTCGAGGCCGGCATGCGGTCGGTGGCCCTCGTGGGCGGTGCGGAATTGACGATGGGTTTCGGAGCGTTGCTCTAGGGCAGTAGGGTCAGTGATGATGGTCAATCAGATACATGTAAGTATAGATCAAGGTTGCCGCAGCGGAATGCAGTACCGTTGTCGGACAGCCCCTTGCCGGTGGAGAGGCGGCGGTCGGTGGAGGGCCGCAGGATGCTCACTCGGCGGCCGGAGAAGGACATCTTGGCTTGGCTAGTGGGTGGATGGGTATAGTTCAAGGATAGAAAAAAAAAAGATGGGACAAGCGCCGGTCTCTGAAATCAAGCCTGGGAGAATGAAAAACTGAAACTGAACAGCTCGCCGATATTTAACCACCCACACCACCCAGGCTGCGCAATCCGGCCCCTCCATATCATTCGGTGGAATCACCGATAAGAGGGCCCCATCCCGGCTTTGGGGCGTCATGTCGGGCACGTTAATGCCGCAGGGCGACCTGCGTGAATTTATTGATCTGGTAGATGCCGATGTTGAATTGTAACTATAGTTACTGTATACTACTCTCAGTCTACAGGCGACGTGGTGACGGTGAAACCAAAATATAGTCAGTATTCCCGGCCCCAAATCAGGTCCACAAGAATCAACAGCAACAACAAAATGTATGCATACATCGTGGGTTCATACGTTCGTGCACAAGAAAAAGAATCAAACAGGAATATAAACTATTATTCAACGACCTGGCAGTAGAGTTGGATCTCGCCCACAAGGCCCTTGGCCAGCATGTCGCGATGCTGTTCGCGCCACTCCATAAAGGCCAGCTGGACTGCTTCGTCACTATCGATCGTGACAAAGTCCCCGTCCTCATCGCGGTAGCGAAGCCGGACCGTCTTATTGCCGATCGACCGGTTGGTGAACCGTGCTAGTTTCGCGTCCACGCGGTCGGTCAACGACCGGAAGAGAATGTTGGTCGCAATCACCAGCGTGACGTAGTTGTCTTCAAAGTTCACTTTCGCTTTGAGCTGCGTGGGCATGAACCCCTCGCCGTCCTCCTCCTCGGCCTCGGGCTCTTGAGACAAGGGGGACAGCTCCACAGACTGGCTCATGGCGTTATATTCCGGATCATTGAATTGATTCGGGGGCAGAGGTTGCGTATGACTGCGGATGGGGAGCTGGTTGTTGGTGGGCGAGTTGTTCTGGCTTCGGTTGACGGGAGCCTTCATGTTGGCCATGTGTGCAGGGATCGGTGGCACGGGGACGTTGTCCACCGTTTGCATCGTGTGCACTCCCATATACCGGCGGGACTCGGGGTTCTGGTTATGGTGGTGAATGTCGGGACTGCTGGCCGACCGCATCCGTTGGGTGGTGCCGTTCGTAGACTGTCCCTGAGGACCAGAGAGAGGAGGCAGAGATGGACGTTGCGCAGTCCGGCCGTTCGCTGGTGGGAAATAGCCGGTCGCGTTCGAGCCATCTCGGGATGCCACGCGAGACAAGGCTGGAGCAGTATACCGATTTGACTCTTCATTCCACCCGTTCGAGGCGCTCGTAGAACTGGTATTTTGGCGGCCGAATGAAAAGCCTGATTGGGAACTTGACCGTGTAGATGGTGTCTCGGCAGGGGAAAAGTACGAGCTGCTGACATTGCGGTCACTGGGAGACATATTCCCATTGTACTGGGTCTGCAGAGAGAGGGCAGGATCTTGGGGGGTATAACGCGCACGGCCATTCGACTGAGCGACAGAGTTTGTACTGCCACCGGTAGCGGACCGGGTCCTCAGGCTGGTGCTGGAGGCGTTCCGACTCATGGGGAACTCGGAGTTATATGTGGTCTCATCGGCGTCATACTCCTGCTGGTACGGGTTCGGCATGTTGGCCATATTCTTCATGTACGTAAACTCGCTGTCGGAGGTGCCGGTGTGGCGAGCATTGCGCTGCTCCGCCTGAATCAACCGTTGGTTGTCGATGTCTTTGTACCAATTGCGCATCGTGTCCTCGTTCTGATAGCGGATGATAAAATTGTCGACAACCCCAGGATCTCCTTTCCAGAAGATTTGGATGCGATAGAGGCCAGGCTTTTGGAGACAGACAATATCTGTCACATTCGCCATGTAGATTCGACCTTTCAACTGCAGACGGGCCTTGCTTCTATTAGCGAGATTTGGTTTGTCCTTGTTGAGAGTGAGTTTCGTCTTTTGCTTGTTGGGGTTGATATCTTTGCAGCAAAGGAGGATGCGTTCGAAAAGGTAGATATGGTACTAGTATCAGGTCAGTAAAGAAGAGAAGAATCTGCTGAGGGGGGAAAACCGCACCTCTCGCTCATTATCTTTGCCACTGTCTCCTTTGACCACAGAAAATGTGCCAAAGCGAAGGAGATCTCCAAAAGATTCCATTTTCAGCGTCTTCCAATCATCCACGCGCTCTGACAGTTCCACTACTGCCGCAGCTAGATGTTCCTTGTGGATTGCGTCGTTGGCTGAGTCCAAGACGTCCTGGATGGTATCGATGGCTTGTGTGATATCTGACTGGAGCTGCGGGTCCTCGGCCTGCTTGCGGAGTTCCTGTGGGAAAGAAAGAGCATGTTAGTCCGGATGTAAGCCGATACAAAATGACCAGGTTTGCTTACCAAAAGCATCAGTGGGTATCTGGTCAGACGCTGAAAGGGCTTGACGAAGAACCCGTTCAATGTCTTTGGTTGTGCAACCATCTGCATAAGATCTACATGGCGTGGCGCGGATTTGATCTTGTCCCATTCCTTCATGCAGACCTGGTCGCAGCGCATCTGATTGGCTATGAACGGCACATACTGTCGGAAAGCTTCCTCGTGCGTATAGAAGAGCCGGCCCCAATTTTGTGTCTCCTCCGGCAAGGCGTAATGTTGCTCCATGCGAATGAGAAATCGCTGAGCAAAATCGAGAAGGTTGTTGAGATTGAGGAAGATTTGATGACTCCCATCGCCCGTCAGAGCACCGGTCTCTTCCAGCTCCTTTTTGAGCGCCTGGAGGTTCTGCAGATGGTGAACATAGTCGCGTTCCGTTTCCAACAACTCCTTCAAAATATGTTCCCGCTTGGTGAGCTTCACCGTTCCTTTCTCGGCGGAGGGACTGGCTGCCGTTTCAGATGAACGCTTCAACGAGCCTTGCATCTCCAGGATGTCCACTACCCGATTGACCATCTTGATCACTTTGATGAAGCCTGTCGTGCTCTCGCCGTAGAGGTCCGTGATAAGAAAGCAGTCTTGTTGGGGGAATGCCAGGTCCTGCAGACATGCTTGCAAGAACTTGAACGTTGCAGCTTTTGGGCGCTTGGCCTCAGGTACCTTGGCGGGATCGATCTCCAGCTGTTCATCAGGGCCGGACGCATTGTAGATACTCAATAGCGGATAACCTTCCCGCAGACAGTTCCACAACGAAGCGACTGGATCGGTGTTCCCCCTAGTGCGGTCCTCTTCCTCCATCTCTTGCAGGTGGGACTCGAAGGTAGGAACCTCGGACAACCTCCTCTTCAGATTGACGCAGCTCTGGTAGATCGACTCCCCGCCGCGCCGATTGATGATATTGTCCTCGGCAACCGGGATGCCGCTCATCGCGGCGGTCTCGAACATGGTGATTCCTCAGGTTCCAAATATGAGTTAGACCAGCCAGGCTCGGTTGAAATCCGCACAGCAGATCCGGGATAGAATGATGGGACGAAGCGACGAGCGTCGGACGGCACAGAGGTCGATCATGGATTTTTTTTTCTCCGATGCGATGAGAGCTGTTTGATTAAGGTGTGCTGCGGGCGGAGGGGGAATGCCCAGTGGGGTGGCGATCGAGGTCTGCGGATATCGGAAGAGCTAGTTACAGCTCGGTCGCAAATTCGCTAGCAAAGAGATATAAACCCAGTAAGAGGTAATTTTCACCAGCCCGGGATCGAAAATCACGCGTCGCCCGGTTCTTGGCTGGGAAGGGGGAGGCGGGGAGGTTGGGCGTGCGGCCGGCCCCAATCGATAGGGTGAGTAATTTCAGGAGGTGTCGGGGATGCCGCTGCAGCCGGGCAGGCGTGGCGAATGACCAAAGGAGAGACCGATGGAAGCAGATCGAAGGAGGCGACGAAGTCACTACCCAAAGCCCCAGAAGGGATGAGCAGGGCAGAGGGAAGGGATTCGGTCGCAGGGGGTGGGTGAGTGAGTGGGATGCGATCGGGGGTTGACCGGGAGGCGGGAGGCGCCAGTTGCGAATGGCGATCAGGGGATCGAGAGGAGCTACTTGGCTCGAGTTGGACCTTGCCGACCTTAGGGGAGGGATAGGGGGATAGGGCTGAAGAACCAAAGGGAGCAAGCGAGCAGCACACGATGAGAGAGAAGAAGACAACCGAAGCAGAGTTGCCCAGGCGGGTTAGTGCCGGGCGGTGGGATAGTTGTGGAGAGGGGCACGTTTCATGCTTGTTGCGACTTGTCTATACGGAATAATACGATGATCAGTCGATCGGGTATGATTCTCTGCTCCTCTGGTTCGACTACGATGATGAGGATGAGCAGGATCATCTGTATGTCACTGGGCTGGCTCGAACCGGTACCTGTAGGCATAGATCCATACTGTACGCAGCCGAACCTAGAATCCTGAATAAGCAGGTTGAGCATCTCGGGTGGAGCCTCGCGGCGTGACGTGCTTTATTATTCTCTCTTTCTCTCTATCTCTCTCTCGCTGCCACCTCCCGATTCCACCCACGGCGGGCATGTCCTCGATTCCGAGTCTCTCTTCTGCGGTCACTTGCTGAGCTGCATTAAATCCTTTGCATTGGTCATGGAGGGTGAGGCAGATCGCGTCGCCCCGGCCATGCGGCTGCAGACCTCTTTCCCTTACCCCGTGTCGCTATCCTCCTCCTTCAAGCTAGATGAAGGCTACTCCGATGAAACTCGCAGCCAGACAGACAAAGAATCAGCATCAGACCAAGTGATGGTGCTGCCGGACTGGCTTCTTGCCCAGACCGAAGCTGAGAGAGCAGGTGAGTGTGGCACGCTGGAACCTCCAGTACCCAACAACAGACCCCGCCGTGCCCGGTCTCCCGCCGCCCTTCGGCTAACTGCAGACTATCGTGCTTACCCTCATCTTTCTAGAATTTGCCTACAGTGTCCTGCGATCGCTCCGGATATCCACCATTGCGGGCGTAGTCGAACGTTTTAACCCCCTTCTCCATATGGACCCGGTCATAAAGCTGCCCCCCGAACTCACCCTGGAGGTCTTCTCTTATCTTGAACCTCGAGTCCTCCTGAAAGCGTGTTTGTCATCGCGCTCGTGGCGCAGTCGGATTCTGGATTCTGGTCTCTGGAGATTGTTGTATATCAACGAGGGTTGGCGCGTGGACCTGGGCGCGATCCGCAAGTGTGAGCATGCCTTCTCGGAACCGCTCTCTCCTCAGGCGCGCAAGTCCCGCCCGCGATACTTGGAGATCGACCTCGGAGAGCCCAAGCAAAAGAAGCGCGTGCCACCGAGCTGGCTGGATTCACGAAGCGCTGAGCTCCATCAGCTGCCGGATGGCGATGCCCAAATCGAGGTCGATGATGATTCTGACGTGGAGGGTGATCACGACATGATCGATGCCACCGATCGAGAGGCGCCTTCGTCAAGCGACGGCCCGAGACTTGCCCAAAACTTCGTGCCTCCACTTCGTTCGCCCCTCGATCCGCCCCTAAAATCGTCTCTTTTCACGCGCTCCGCGAACGGAACCGCCAAGCTCAATTGGGCGCATCTTTACAAGCAACGCCGGCGCCTCGAAGCCAATTGGCAGCATGGTCGATACACCAACTTTCAACTTCCCGACCCATCGCGTCCCGAAGAAGCGCATCGCGAATACGTGTACGCCATTCAGTTTTCTGGCAAGTGGCTCGTCAGTGGAAGCCGCGATCGGACTGTCCGCGTCTGGGATCTTGAGACCAAGCGCTTGCATCACGCTCCGCTGATCGGACACGTGAAGTCGGTGTTGTGTCTTCAGTTCGATGCCAGCCCCGAAGAGGACATCATCATCTCTGGTAGCAGCGACCAATCTGTCATCATTTGGAAGTTTTCCACAGGGCAAATAATCCATCGGATCAAAAATGCGCACGCGGACTCGGTGCTGAACCTGAAATTCGACCATCGGTACTTGGTCACTTGTTCCAAGGACCGAACAATCAAGGTGTGGAACCGACGAGATTTGTTGGCGACAGATGAGGACTACCCTCGCATTTGTCACGGTGCAGGAGCGAGCTATCCTTCGTACATCGTGGATCTTTCAGACATTCCGCCCAATCTGCTCGAGGCCCGCATGGCCAACGAACAGATAAAGCCCGTGCCAGCTTACTCCCGCCTCATGAGCATGGAAGGACACGGTGCCGCTGTCAACGCCATGCAGCTCCACGGTGACGAGATTGTCACCGCGTCTGGTGATCGCATGCTCAAAGTCTGGAATATCCGCACTGGTGCCTGCGTGAAGACCCTGATGGGTCATGAGAAGGGCATTGCCTGCGTTCAGTTTGATGGCCGCCGCATTATCAGCGGTAGCAATGACAACACCATCCGCATCTATGACCACATCTCAGGAGCCGAAGTTGCCTGTTTGCGTGGCCACAGCAACCTCGTGCGCACCGTTCAAGCTGGATTCGGTGACCCTCCAGGAGCCGACGAGGCCCTACGCCTTGAAGCGCTGGCGGTCGAGAACGAATTCTGGAATGCCCGACGGGCTGGCCTGCCTGTTGACCTTGGCCCTCGAGCTCAGCGCCGGGCTGGCCGCCTCACCAATACTGCTGGCTCTCGCGATCCTAATGATATTCCAGCACTAGGCGCAAAGATTCCCCCCGGTGGAGGTGGCAGCAAGTGGGCTCGTATCGTTTCAGGTTCATACGATGAGTCGATCCTGATCTGGCACAAGGACCGTGAGGGTTCTTGGTCAATTGCCCACAGGCTGTGCCAGGCAGAGGCCTTATCCAATGCCACTCAAGCCCACATCGAGGCCAACCCAGCGGCTGCTTCTGCACAGCCACTCCAACTGTTGATGGCAGTTCCAAATGCACAGGCTATGATTCCTGTCGCTCCACAAAACATCAACAATAACAATGCCCCCAACCCCCAGCAGCAAGGCGCTGCTGCTGCTGCCCAAGGCCAGAACAACGCAGCCGTGGCACATGGCACCCATCACATCGTCCACCCTCTCCCCCAAGCCCTTCTCGCCACCGGCGGCGCCATGATCAACCCCGTCCTTGCGAACCATCATCATCACCACCACGCCCACGCCCACGGCCGTCGCGGCTCTCCCCCAACTTCCCGAGTATTCAAAGTCCAATTTGACTCGCGCAAGATCGTGTGTGCTAGCCACGACCCCCGCATCGTGGGCTGGGACTTTGCATGCGATGACCCCGACATCATTGAAGCGTGTCCGTTCTTCGGCAGCCTCTGATTAATTCTTTTTGTCTACTAATCCATGATGACTTTCACGGTTGTTTTCCCCTTACGATGGAGTTTGGTCTTCTTATTCCCATTTCCCATATCTCATTTCTGGGGTTCTTTTTGTTCACATAGCGCAGAAGGGAGAATAGTGGCGCATGGTGTTCAGGACAGGACAACATTTCTACCTATCCATGTCAATGTTCTTTAGCAGCCCCTTTTTTTCATCTTGTATGATAAGAATAATGGTCAAGAGATGATTATCTGCGCATGCCATCTATTATTCGATGTATTTGACAGGAGAATAGAAGTTGATATACTTCTTGACTAGAGTTAGTATTCATGCTTCACCAGATACGTGCCGAGGATGGAGACCGGTGCCATACAGACAATACCCATGCAAGAGTAAATATATACCATTAACCGTAAACTGCCCGTGCAGAATCATAGTCAAGTAATTACTCACAGAGAGCATCCAGCTCAACAGCGAAGAAACACACGGTAACAATAACCTCCCTTCCCATTTTCGTCACACATATACAAAAAGCCCTCTTGCGAAGATCCCCATCCAATCCCTGAAGAATGTATAACAGGAATAGTGCCTGAGTGTATAGATATGACAACCAACTCTCCAAAAAAAGGGGAGAGAGTCTTCACGATCCACGACCCAGTCGAGCAGGAAACACCTGCTGATACACATCCAATATCCAAGACGGCACTTGCAATCCCTGCCTTCCGAGATGCTGCCCCGGACCATTTCTGGCAACGCGAGACAGATGGCTCCGTGCTGTAGCGTATGTATCCCTCGAACTCGTCTGATCAAGCGGTTGATGCTCATGTTCGTGTTCATGTTCATCGTGGGTATCATGTCCAGGGCAAACGCCCATGCAGCAGCAGAGATAGAGCTGTGCTACTATCCAAGTCGAAAGGTTGAACGGTGCAGGTGTTTCGGAGTCGATTCTTTCGGGCATTGCAACGGTGGCGATGGTTGTTGGAATTGAACACGGCTGTGTATTTGAAGAAGAACCATTGGCGAATTGGTTGCTGGAGACTCCGACGCCTTGGGTTAGGACTGGATTGGCGGTTGGTGCTGTGATTGCGACTTCATTCAGTCGTGATAGTCTCCGGGGAAGTCTGAATGGGGATGCAAAGCCTGATTTGCAGGGATTGGAGATGAGAGCCGGTTCGGGGATAGCAGGCGAAACAGCACTGGCGGCGAGGAAATGGTGTCTCGCAGTGCGTTCGTCCCTGCGTCCCCAAGCAGGAGACGGAGCTGAAGTTGGAGCTCGGATATCTTTTGCATCTCTATCTTGGGGAACATCCTCAGTGCTGCCGTTTGCAGAGGGAAGACTTCCCAGATGGAAGGGGTGATCGTGTAGCTCTCGGGCTAGGTTCACCCCATGTCCGCTTTGCCGGAAGGGAAACTGGCCCTGCACGATCGTCCCATCTTCGGCTCGCCCGATACCCGCCACAGAATGCACGTTGATGGGATGTGGGTGTTGTGGTGATACAGGAGACGGCGGCGACAAGCCGAAGAAATGTCTCAAGGTGTCGCCATATGAGAGGACTCGATGACCGTCTGCACCACGCCCGCCGCGAGACGCAGAGAACCCGGCGCCTGTATCACGCTGTCGAGTCAGAAACTGGGCAGAGGTGCGAATCGCTTCTGGAGAACCAAACGAAGGGACCCCTGGAGGTGTGGGCGCCCTCACAGGCGGCGGATATCGAGGCTCGGCCGGCGCCACAGCCGGACCCAAATTGTTGCCAGGCCTTCTGGCAGCAGGACGACTCCCATCAGAGACAGCTTTGCGGTGCGCCAGAGGATCCGGCTTGCGAATCTCGTTTGAAATAGACTGGATCGCGTGATGAGGATATGGATCAGACAGCATCTGGGACCGCCAGTAGATCATCGGTCTGTGTGTTTGGATACCTTCATAGGGAGACTCCGTCGATGAGGGGCCCTGCGAGTAATCTGTCGGAACGAACATGGCCAAGTTGGCTGCCAGTCCGTGCTCGAAGGCGGAGATTCTAGGGACAGCTTCGCGAGATCGGGCTTCCTCGGTCGACGTGCTGGCTCGGATGGCGTTAAATATATACTTTTCATCGCTGGGATTGGAGTCGGAGGACCCGGAGATAGGATAGCGTGGTGCTGGGAACGTTCCGCCGGGGATGTTGCTCTCGCGACGAGTGCTGGATGCGTCCATGAAGGACTCAGGTCGCCGGGGCGTGCTCGCCCGGCGTAGGCGATCCATACTGAGAGAAGAATAAAGTCGAGCACGAAGAAAGAAGCAAATACAGGGAACAAAAGAGAGGAAAGTCAAGGGGTGTCCGGCAAGTTGATCGCTCTTGCCATGCCATGGGAGAACCGATATTATACAACCAACAGTCGAGTCAAGTCTATATGTACATTCTTGCGCATCAAAAGGGGGAATATCTCATAATCATAAGGGAGTGCCTGGACTGGGCATCGGCTTGCCCGTCACTTGCGCGTGTTCTTTGCGCAGCGACCGCAGCAGTCCTTCGATTCTCCGGCGCTCTTCTTGCTCCGCCTATATTGAGGGTCAGTGAGAGTATAACAGAAGTGGACCGGAAAGATAGCTCACCTTTAAGATCTTCATATTCTCGTTACGTGTGTCACGCATCATCTTCTTGAACTCGTTCTTCAGCACCATGGTCGAGGTGGTCTCCGAGGGACCCTCGCGACCCATGGATCCGGGGCTGTTCAGGTTCATATGATTGATACGTTCTTCATTGAGCTGCATCTCCAGTTGCTCGGTCCGCTCACGCAGGTTGTCGATAACGCCCTCAAACCGTTCGCGCTCCTTCTCGAACTCGATGCTGGCTTTGGTCATCGCCTCGTAATCATCCAAGGTCTCCCGCAGTTCCTTCTCCAGGGTATTCGCCCGCTGCTGGAGATCGCCGCCGCCTTGCTGACCCTTGAGTGTTGCAAGCTCCTCGGTGAGCTCAATATTCCGGGTGCTCAGAGCATCGATCTGGTTCTGGATTTCGGGGTCGACGGCGGACTCGGTGGCCCGTTCCGCACGAGAACCATAGGCACCGTCCAGCTCGGCCTTGACCATCGTCAGTTCGGTGGTAACCCGCGCGAGCTCGCTTTCGAGGTCAGTCGTCTCGCTCTGTACGCGATTGGCCTCTTCCTCGGCATGAGCGCGAGCCTCGTTGGCTTGTTGAAGTTCTTCTTCGACTTGCGCACGCTGGTCTAGCGCCTCCTTGACGCGCTCATCGGATTCGGCGCGGAGCTGCTGCATGGCAGCCTCCAGCTCTCCGACCTCTTGCTCGGCACGTTCACGAGCTTCTCGAAGCTCTTCGGCTGCCGCAGCTTTGTCTCCAGGGGTTCCGTCTGCGCGTATCAATTCCAGCTCGGCTCGAGAGGACTCCAGATCCCTCTGTACCTGCGTGAGCTGCTCGTTGAGGTCGTTGATATGGGCATCTCGTTCTGCATCCGACTTGGAGTTAAGCTCGCGCTGCTGCTGAATCTGGGTGGTCAGAATGCTCTTCTGCTCGAGAAGTCCGTTCACACGGCTCTCCAGGCCATCCACGCCAGTCTGTAGGTACGAAAGGAGCTCCTGTAGCCCATCCCCCTGAGATGCATCCGGAGGCGGAGGCAGTGTTGGAGAGCGCGTCAAGCCAAACCGGTCAACGATGGCCTGTAACTGTTTGTTGACATCGGCAAGCTGGTGTCTCCACGAATCCTCGGTCTCAGGAGCTGGAGCAGCCACGCCCGCCCCCGAGCTGAGGACGTCAAGGCCATTTTCGATGTACATCAAGTGCGCCTCGACCGTTGCCATCGGATTTACTGGACCACCATCACCCGACAGCTGCGGTGGCGAATCAAAGTCTCCATCGGGGTTGGATCGTAAAACCATATTGCGCATACGCTCACTGAGCTCTTCCAGCCTCCTCTCCGTGCTCTGCATGGCACCCATGCTCATTGGCGCCGAGCCGTTGGTATCCTTCCCATACCAACCCATACCATCCAGGTGCTCCGGTGTTCGGTACAGACTGCGGTCGTCGAATTCATGGCCATCGTAACCGCCCTCCGAGCCCCGGTCCTTTGGAGGCTTCTTCAACCCCTTGTGGGTCATCTGCAAGACACCCGCCGTATGCTCCAACAGCCGCTGATGAATCTGCTGAGACCTCCGTTCCAATCTCCATAGCTCCTGCGCTAGCTCTTCACACTTGCGCTGGGCGATCGCCAGTTCCGAGTCGCTTTTGTTTGACGCACCAGTGGCCCCGTTGCGTCCAAAAAAACTTCGGCTTCTCCGGTGACCGTTGGCACCATACTCCCCGCTGCTCCGCGGGCTTTCGGGGTTGTAGAGTCGGCCAAGAGATTGAGCTGCATCGCGAAGTTTGATTTCCAGGGCCAACTTCCGCTTCGTGCCTTCGATGCGGTTGGACAGTAGCTTGTTCTCCTTTTTGAGGTCTTCCACCTCCTCATAGGACAGAACCTCGTAGCTCATGCTGTCCCCCATGGCCGTCTCCGTGAGTAAATACATGGTGATCGGGTCGTTGGCGTTCAGGAGGGCGGAGCTGCGCGGATGGACCGAATTCAGCTGCAAGACAGAAAATAACTTGGTCAGTCAGATCCGTGATTTGTCTTCAATATAGACATACCGGGTTGTACCGCGAGCGGTCTCCATTTTGCGGGTTAAGGGCATCTCGATAGCCGTCGACCAAGGCTTTTGCGAGCGGTGGTGGCTGGCCGTCGGAGGCGGTTACGGTCGAGAGATATCGTGGGTCCCCGTAGGAGGACTTGCTAGATCGAAGGCTGTTGATATTCATAATGACCTTGGAAGAAATCACGGACGGGCGGGCATTATGGGTGCGTTGTTGGATCGTAGTCGATAAAAAAGACGCTTGGAGATCGAGCGGCGGGGAGAAAAGAAAGGGAGGATCGGCGCGGCTGAACCGGGCCCAGCCCAGCCATCGGTGCTGGGGATCTTCTTCTTGGTTAGTGTTGGTTCACGACCATGGACAGAAGTATCTGTGGAGTCTCCTTTGCTATTGTGATTAATAAAGGGTTATGATTCTTGGATACATTCATCGTCATTTCCATCCACTTCCTTCGGTACTATAGGCAAGCACGTGAGCACTCCACGGCTCTATTTCATACCCGCCAAGTAAACCAACCCTAACTAAACCGACGAACATGGCTCCTCTGATCAAACGCTGCCGGGTTCTGCTCTCTTAAAAATGAACTCATATGTCAAAATTCAAAAAAATGCAGGTGATCATGAACTGTACCAAACTTGAGGCTCAGATTGTGGTGGACTATACCTTCAGACCGATATGAGCCGACCAAACAGGCCTCTAGACAGTGGACTTCAGTCTTTTTGTATTAGACCCTTCGTGTGATCGGTCATTTGACGTTGACTCAACCCTGGAAGTGGAACATAATAGTGCACCTGCTAACGCTTTCGCATAGGGAACTCAGTCTCAATATTGATTGGCCGTTGCAGAGCGAGAACTGTTTCCAATATCAAGCAAAGGCCAATACAGTCAATCGAGTTTTGACAGAGGATGTGCCAGAACAAACCCAGGTCTTGGAAGCCACAATACACCGTATCGGGCTCTTAGACTCGAACCAAACATTGCGGAGCGCTTGTCGGTCTATACTGTGGCACACCGATCTTCATATGGGAAACATGTTTGTTGTTCCGACGAGTGTTCAAGAAGTATCCCTCATCGAATTCAAGTCAGCGATGATGCTTCCCGCATTACTCCAGGCCTCGGCGGAATCACGATTACGCAAAGGGCTCATTCCAACCACACGGCAGAAGAGAGCCAAGGTATTGATTTGCGCGAATGGTGTCGGAGGTTGTATGATGCCCCTATTCGTCCAGCCTGCCAAGAACTCATGGGCGGCTTACCCGTGGGCGGATCCTTTGACAGCAAAAACCCCACCCAAACCCGCGTTTGGCTGAGGTCTGGTCCCTACTGATCTCCCCCTATTGTGCCTCACTATCTGCTCCAACCACATGATAAACACACCTCAAAGATATCTACATCCAGAAATAGCATCATCTTTTTCATTTTCTTGGAGGGAATTCTTACCTCGTCGATTTGGACACTCAATACTCGAGCTACTTTCTGTGGCGTCGGGTTGTCATGGATCAGCTCTCCGCAACGTCCAGCGCCCCCAACTCCTGTGCGCCAAATGCCTGTGCGTTTTGTCGAAGCCAGAAGCGAAAATGTGATAAGCAGGTGCCAAAATGTAGTCGATGTGTAAAGTATCGTCATCTGTTCCTTGTTTCCCCCTCATTATCTTCCCTGCCCTCGGTTCGATCTTGTTAACGGTGCAAAAGGATGATGCTGGATTGCAACTATAATTGGTACAACGCGGAACAACACTTCAGCACACATCACCCTGTGTCGGATTTCCTCGTCTTTCATATACCAGTAATTCAGGATCATCAATGGCTTCCGGGCACCTACCAGTCTCTGCAACCTTACCGACAGAACATGCAGGCGTGTAGCCCGGATATCCATCGATTCTTTGTGAGATTGGGCACAACCACACTGGCGGGGGAAACTTCATCTCCTGACAATACTCTGAGGGCTTATTTTGCAACCATTCACCTGTGGTTCCCGGTCATCCAGGAGCAAATATTTCGGAGACGACTTTCACAGCTGCAGCATACCCCTCGCGCAGAAACTGCACTTCTCTTCTTGACTGTGTCCCTCATAATGACAGGAGAGACGGGAATTAACGGAGGCGACGATTACCAGAGCCAGCTCTACTATCTCTGTAGATACCTATTCTCTTTTCTCCAGTCTGTTCGCCCACCGTCTTTGGAATTAGTGCAGGTCGGGCTCTTGCTCGTGTTATATGAACTAGGATCTGCTCGTTTTCAAGCAGCATCTCTGAATATTGGAACTTGTGCAAGGCTAGGATACGTGCTGAAGTTAAACACTGATCCTCAAGAGGGCCAGGACTATTCATCATGGGCTGAGGCCGAAGAGCGGAGGAGGGTCTGGTTGGGAACATATATGCTGGACTGGTAAGTAAGCATGATGGAACACCAGCTTGAACTCTCAGGGCTAAGGAAGTGAACCTTATCACATGTAGCCTGATCAACCAGGTTGCGACGGATTTCCAAGCGCCACGTGCGGTGGATAAGCCTGTCAGTCATTTCCGACTCCCAGTAGACGACCGCGAATGGGAACATTTCCCAGAAGGGCCCGTCCAGTGCTTCTTTCAGCCGTCCTTTTCCACGCCGCTAGACACCCCTCTCTCCTACTTCGCCCGCGAGATTCAAGGCGTCCACATTCTCGGCCAGGTGCAGGCACTGCAAAACTTGGCAGATTCCGACTGCTTGCTACGCGAGTTTGGAGTACTCGATAATATTTTGATTCGTTTCATGGAGAAGCTGTTCGAGCAAACACCCGGCAGTTGGAAGACCCTGTGCGGCGCCAACGCAATTGCCTTGATGTGAGTAACCTCCTTCCATTCAGGGACCCGACACTTACTTAGACAGGGCTGCTCTCAGCCTTCACCGGATTCGAGTGGGGTTTGGAAATAGTAACCAGGGGGCCATGTCATATTGTTCTGAAGCGTTCCATGCGAAAACCATGTCTATTCTCGCGCTCTCCTCCATCATCAACATGGTATGGGACATTTGTTCAAAATTCAATGAGCTCCAGCTGGGTGATAAAATCAGATGGGTGCCGTTGCCGGCAGTTATATGTGCAGGAGAAACTGCTATCACTGCGGTTTGGCTGAATCGTCTTGATCCTGGGCGATCCCAATTGGATTATGAACCTCTCCGACAAACACTTTCGTATGCTACAAGAACCTGGGATCTTGCAGGTATGGTATAGATGCAACCCCGCCTGAGTAGTTGAAATATAACAGTTACCGATGCTGACTATATTTCCAGGGAAATATCTCCAGCGAATTGGATAAAGTTTTCTTACCCAATATAGTTCAACCGCCTTGATGCGAGGCGCACTTTCTGTGTATGTCTTTCAACTAAAGACTAGATCTTGGATAAGAATTCACAGATCTGGTGGTCGAGGCACCTGGTACTAATATCTCAATGCAGCAACTTTCTTAGCGAAGGATCTCTTCCTCTTACATTTCTCAAACGAAGGCGAAAGAAGCAGAAAGACGTGGCTGGTTTTGACCTGCACTCCATGGTACTCTTGAGGTTGGGTACCTATCGAACGCAATGGAGGACTCGAACTGGAACGAGGGAGCGAGAAAGGGAGAGATCGAGTTGGTTAGTTTCTAGAAAGAGGCAGTCAGGCGAACGCCTCCGACAGTACCTTTGTCGAGTGTAGATTGATGTTATTCCTACTACAGGTATGTATATATAATGACGAGGACTATAGATCAGTAATGCTATATCCAGAAACCGGAGGAATAAGTGCATGTAATGGAGTACATACATCACCCTGCTATACAAAGAAGAAGCTTTCACTGACTCTCATGATTTCCGAAACTTGTTTCCCATGGCTGATACCCTTCCGCCATGAACAGCTCCTGCACCGCCCTTCGTCGGATGCCGATATTTCCCCCATCGAAGATAGGCAGAACAATGGCCGTGGAGAGCAACTCCGCAAATGGCATCTCGAGGTTATACGCGGAGCTATAAATTCCGAATCAGATTCACACAAGCATAGAACTCGCAGATGTACTTACATGCCCACTGCATTGATGGCATCTGTACATGACTGCACTGACGCATCTGAGCAGTATATCTTCGCTAGCAGCGCCGGCTCCCGTCGCTGAGCATGCGCACCCTGACTCGACGCTAAGCAATGCGCTGCTTTCTATGTCAGATATCGTGACGTCTCAGTACGCATTTTGATATTAATCAAAAGATCCGCCACCGATTGGCGCTGACCGATGGGCACCGTGCCTCCGCGAGAGTCGCGTGAGAATGCCAGTGCAGCGTCAAAGACCGCTCGTTGAATGCCTACACCCATCGCACCCACCAGCATTGCTGCATTCTGGTCAGCTTGTTAATTCTTCATCTCTTTTGCATAGCATGTGCATCTACCAGAGATCTCGAAAGAGTGCATCACAATAGGAGCGCCAGTTCCAGGAGCACATAGAACATTCTTGGCTGGAACTTGTAGATTCGTATACTTGTGTCTGTATGAGCTCCTGTCCTCTGCCGCTGCGAAGAACTAACCTTGAGATGAGGCCCAGATACCGCAGTGTGGCCCGCGGTCTCTAGATGCTTTAGGATCCGAAAGCATCCTCGTTCATTACGCTCAATATCCTCCCGTGTGACCAGTACGATCATGATGAGATCGCGCGGATGGGACGCCCGCGTAACCACCTCTTCGTCGACACACCGGCACACCACGCAACTCAGGTCGGCTCCTTTGAAGTCCCAACCTGCAGAATTTGTCGCCCAGATCTTAAGTCAAGTAAGTTTAGTCCCAGCCTAGCACGGCACCTCCAAGTAGAAACATCTGTTTTGGTATACGCACCTTCTCTCCATTCAGAATCCACTCATCTCCTTCGCGGCGTGCAGTCGTCTGTAGGCCAGTCGCTCCAGGTTCTAGCCAATTCGCCTGCAGACAGATTGTTAGATTTAAAAAGCAGAGAACGCGAGATACCTACGACGCCAGCAGGCTCCGAAAAGACCAACGATGCAAGCGGTGAACCTTCACCTGAGAGGAAAGGGTCCAAAAATTCATGGACTGAGGGTCGATACGCCAGCGCCAGAGGGGTGAGGCCCAATCCGGTGCCGAATATTGTCAAGGAGGCGGACGCTTCGACCGCATAAAACTCCTCTACCAGAATGGCCGCTTCGACCAAGCTGGTACTGCTACCCCCGACTGCGGCTGGTACTTGGCCTTTGATGAGACCGGCCTTGACTGCAGCCTCGTAGATGGGTCGGAGAGCCTGAAACCGCTCTTCGGGTGTGGATAACTTGGAGTAGATGGCTTTAGCACCAGCAAGATGGGCGGAAGCGAAACTGCGCGCTGCTGCCCTTATTTGCTGCTCAGATGCAGAAAGGGTGAAATCAACCATCTTGGATAAGCAGATACAACCTTTGTGTATGTCAATCGCCTTGGCTGCAAAGGGGACGAAATCTTGTGATATAAATACCAATCACGCTTCTCACATCTGCGACCGTTGTCCAGCTACAATACTGACAGCGGGAGGCCGGCCACTAGTGCTGACAATGGCGGTTCTCCAGCTGCATTATTGACAGGGGGCGGCCGCTACTGCTTACAGTGGCGTTCAATGATGAACCCGATGGTATATTCCATCCAGTAAATTTTTAAAAGCACACTAGTAATCCGTGTACATCGTATTCCACCCTGTTCGATGTCCACGGAAGAACAGGCGCAGAGTTTAAAATTGATTGACCGATAATGTTGGCGTATCGAGGCAGGCAGCATGTTTTGACTTAGCACCATCGGCCGCTAGCGTACATGTTGAGGACGGTCAATCTGAGACAATATTTCACAATCATTTATAAAGTATGGGCATACCGTTGCCTTCTTCTAAGTGTTTTTATATATCATCAACAGAAGATTCTTTCTAGTCATTTTCAGAAAAATACGCTTGCATTCACGCAACTTCTTTTTCAAATAGGATTCCATGGAACCTTCATCTGCTCGCATGCTGCTGCTGCTTGGCTCCGGCCCAGGAGTTGGTGTGGCCATCGCGTCGCAATTCGCTCAGCAGCATTTCGACCGGATTGCTTTATTCGCGCGGAATTCCCAGCAGCTGCAGAAGGACCGAGAGGCGGTGCTCGCGGCGGCAGCGAGCGTCAACAGGACGGTGGTCGTCCGGACGTGGCAGGTGGACATCGGTGATCCGACCCGTCTGCAGCAAGCATTGGCCGAAGTCGAACAGTTTGGTACGTTGGAATGTGTCTATTTCAACGCTGCGCGGGTGGGAGGCAGCCTACTCTTCCAGTTCCCGTTAGAGAGCATCGAGGAAGATTTTCGGGTATTTGATACCTTCTCCACTTAACGGGCCACTCCAGTATATACTGATTGGAAACTATAGGTCTCGGCCTCAGCTCTCTATATGACATCGCGTTGGGCGATACCCCTTCTGCTTCAGAAGCCACAATCCCATTCTGAGGCAGACTGGAAACCGTCGCTGTTGGTGACGAGTAGTTTTCTTCCTAATGATCCGATCCCCGAGCTATTTGCTCTTTCCATGGTCAAAGCTGCACAGGCAAATTTGGTCAAGTCGCTGGCCAAAACATTCACACCACAGGGCGTGCATGTCGGCCTTCTAGTGATTGGTGGGGTAGTCGCGCCGGATGCCTTGGCTTTAAACCCAGCTAAGATTGCGGAACTGGCATGGAAACTGTTTGCACAAGAGCGCAAGGACTGGACTGCACAGGTGGCACTTCATGAAGACGGCACTGTCGATTGGAGTCCATCCGTATGATCAAATCAGTTAGGAGAACGTATGCACGGCACATAATCAGTCTCTTGGTTAGCACTCTCGTTACTCAATGACTTCAACTGATTGTGTTTCCTTTTATTTCTTCTGTCAATTCTCTTATTACTCCTATTATTTCTTTTCTTATTTCCTATGTTGAAAGCGTTGAGGACGAAGCATTTTGGGATGACGTGACGGGCTGAAAATATGTGATAATGTGATGCATGTCCAATCTATGTAATAGCACAAGAACAAATGCCCCATGGTTAGGTGGCGAGGCCCACAGGCTTAAGGCGTCCTGCTAAATAATGCCGATCTCATTAAGCGTCTGTTAATCACTTTGTCGCCGCTAATTGGGGTCTGTGGATATTGTTATTTCCCCCACTGTTTTGCAAAGGGTATAGACTGCGCCACACCCGTCGAGGGCCATCGGTATGGGCCCTATGGGGGTTGGGGGAGATAGACGCACCAGAAGGCTCGCAAACCTGCAGACATTTTCGGAAGGATTTTATCTACTCGCGATGGCCCTTGCGTGGGGATTGAACCGGAAGCCGTGCGGTGATGGATTGATCAATAGATCCTCGATGGGGCTTTCTCCGCGGTATCTGACAGGAGTATGATTCAAAGTACTCAGATCTTTAGTAATTCTATGCCTGACATAGTGCCCCTTGCGAACTATTTACCCCCTAGTGCTTTGGCTTGAACCCAAGCCCGATGTAACTCCTGAACAATCCACAACCCCTAATCAGCGCGCCTCCTAGGCGGCAAATTTGGTGTTTTCTCTTCATGTACAAGACGGTAATAATAAAGATTGCCTGTTGTAGTTCACTTAGTCTCGGTGCTGTACTTGGTGGTCTTGTCAATTGCTTGTCGGTTTTTGATGTCTTCAGATGAGGCAGGTCAATTCATGAAAATTTCAGAAGATAACTGAATCTCGTGCTTCATATGAAATGCAGTACAGAGCATCATCTGGATTATAATACCAAATACAAAAACATACTATGCGATGTCGAGTGGAGCGAGTCAAGCATCCACGGGAAGTCCTTGTGTTTCTCCTGACTCTTCTACCCTTCGATCCAGTCTATGGAGTGCGCCTAAGGCCCCGCCCCCAATACTACATATTGTCTATACACTACGAAGAATAGTTATTTTGGAAACGGTGACGATGGTTGGGGGCCAACCTGACACATGCACGCGGGGATTGGCAATTCTAGGTCATGCTCTAACACGTGTAGAAAGGCAATGACCCACTAAACCTGCGTGGAACATGCTCTGTCTTGTGGAAGACTTCCTTTTTTGGCTCTGAAGGATTGCACTAGTCTCCATTCCTTGTCGGAGCCTTGCCGATTAATGCATGAACCGAAAATCATGAGATAATACCCTAGACAAACATTCATATGAGGTCGAAGAAATGTATGACTCGCGGAGTATTATTTCGGGCGGCTGCATCCCTAAAATATCCAGTCGATCCATAGAGGAACGAGGCTCGCATTGTAGCCCAAGCTTGGGTGGCTACACTATTGTCACAGATCGAGATGATCACAATCAGTCGGCCCCAGAACCTGTGAATCGAGTCAAGTCAAGACAAGACCAAGGCATATTTCTATCGTGCCTGTGGATACAGACTAGATTATTGGCCGATGCAATGCCATGAAGTAATCTGAAAGATCGCTGTATATATAAGGCCTAGTTTCTCTTTATGTAGCTCGTATATACTCAACACATACTTCGTTCACTTTCTTTCTTCCAAGCTCTGGCTAGCTGTGGGATTCAGTTTATCTTTTTTTCTCTTTCGCCTTCTCTTTTCGGTGATCGAGGAGCCGTGTTTTAGTACCTTAGGACCGGTCGTTCTTGTGTTTTTCCGCGATGCGATTCCTTACCATTCTGACAGGGGCCTTTCTGGGTAAGTGTTCTTTCCTCTAGAGTTCATACTCTTGTCTAACTCAGGCCACCCTAGCTCTTCCTTCTGTAGATGCTGCTCCATTTGGAGCCGGCAGGGAGACGAAAGATTCCTTTGTCCCGTTTATTCACAAGAGAAACACCACGAAACTGCCAGACTGGCGCAAAACTTGCAAGGGACCGAAAAACCAGCAAGTTTGGAAGGAGCTACGTATGGATTACTGGTTGCATTCATTGTGAGAGCATTTGATCACTACCAAAGTTCCTGTTGGCTTGCTAATATCATCGACAAATAGGGCTGATGGAATTTGGGGAGGGACATCTACACCGGGCGCCAATTCTCCAAAGGACTTGACCTTCCCCCAGGGTATCATGAACCAGATCCCTAATTATGGCACAAAACATTGCGACTTGTACGTTTTCTAGCTTGTATTACTATGACATAGCGATTGGTGCTGACTAGCTTCGAAACCATAGTGATAACTGCGTCCTGAACTATCCTGACGGTAGCATGTGCACCGATGGCGAGGGACCTTCTAACGCCGATTTTAACGCCTTCTATTTATTCGTCCTGTGGGCAACTTCCAATTTCCAGCAGTGGATAAAGAGCCTCCAGGGAAGTCTCCAGGAAACGGTTGAAACTATTACAACTGGCGACACCCAGCTCTTGGCTGAAGAGTTCAGTCACTCAGATACAGGAAGTACTTCGGTGAGTCATGATGGCCGTGATTTCCGGTTGTATAACGCTAATTAGGCAATGCCCAGAATCCGACAAGTGAAGCGTTGATTATCATGTCCGCTATCTTTGGGGGGTTTGCGGCCGTCTTGGGAGGCGTAGGCGAGGCAGGTGTGGGTGCTATCATTGGTGTGGCTGGTGCCTCTGCATCTGTCGCCAATGGTGTTGTCTCGCAAATGGCCAAATCTTCTCCAAAGTTAGTTTGACCCCCTGATGCGATTGCCTGAAAGCAATGCTGATTGGTCTTCTAGTATTGCTGAGATGCAAGACACCCGGGAAGCAATCCTCAACCATAGAATCAACAGCGCAAGGGACGCGCTCATTGTTCAGATTAAGAACTACGGGAATACCATTCTGGATAAGCCAGTGGACGAGAGTCAAGTAGGATACTCCTACAGCGACCATGCAAACAGTGGGCCATCGGCTCTAAAGGGTGGTGCCTTTGCTAACCAGTATTCGGCGGACAATCATACGAATTTCGCGAACGACGTGAAAGGCACTTTGGTCAGCGGTTCAATCTCATGGATATGGGAAAAGGAACAGGTGTATATTGTGAAAGACTCCTATTCCATTAACGGCAAGAAGCCTGCCGACCTCGATCTCGACTCCGATGTTTCAAACCGAACCTGCAGCAATAACGGCACTTGTTACTGGTTCATCAAGAACACGGGTATTTCGGATCCGGCAGAGGACGTCTTTGATCCGGTTCCTGGCTTTGACAGTCTTCAGAAATGGGGTTTACAGCCTCTTGATGTGGCCATGGCTGCAGAGGCGTCGCAGAATGCAGGTGGATACTTGAAGAACTGGACTGTGCCTGAGACCCTTCCTTTCCTCAGAGGTTCACACGGCAGTAAGCCTCCTAAGGCTCTCATGATTAATCTACCTGTTTGTTCTTTAGACTATATGCATAGCTCCTGGCCCGATGAGAGCGATGCAGGAGACGACGGTCTAGACTGGGATGATTCTGTGAGTTAACTTCCTCTCCCTTGTCCCCTTCTTGTGAGTGTACTGACCGGGTCTCCAGGCATATTTCCGGGGTATCATCAATGATGCCTGCTTTAAGCAAACAGTGAATGGGAAGGGCTTTCCCTATGCTCAAAAGTCGGGTCCCACTGATTGGGGTGGTCTGCAGTATAGCCCAGGAAACACCCCTGTACCATCAGAGTAGCTGATCTTGTTATGCCTGTACTACTAAGAGCAATACATTTTTGGAGAATATGTCTCTACCTCAATCAAGTAGAAGGCATCATCTCTGAGCGTTCTTTCTTTCGTATCAACCTTTACGCAGATGCAACATCGAATCATCGTCTGGTACTTCAGAAAATGACGTTTGTGAGCTCTAGTCGCACTTTCGTACCTCATCGCCCCCGATACATAGCCGAGAAGCCACATGGGGACATCATGACCCAAGCTGATCATCGATCGTGAGGCTTTGTGTGAGTGATCGATCATTGGCCCCATTATGATGCTATTGAGTTGTTATCTTGAAGTTGAGAAGATCTTGACCCTAAGTCTGAAAATTTCCTGTAGAATACAGTATATGTATGTGGACATCTGTAACCCAGGCAGGATCCGAGATTAGTAGGAGTACTGCGAGATAACTTCTCTTGATATAACCTCGACGTGCGCCTTTCCTTGGTGATCATGTGTGGCTTGTAAACTGAATTTGGACCTTGGCTGAATTATTGTCTCCCACTATTTGCATTGAACACGCCCACCGTATCATTAAAAAACAGATACAGAATGATTGATTTTTGCCAGCTCGTGCCCAGACCAACAAATCGAAAAAGAATAATGGAAAGGATGCGGAATAAAAAGAATCAAGTAAGGAAAAGAGACTAATTGGTTTAATTCTTGCGAACAGGAAAAAACTGCACACCTCCATACCATCTAGGCTTTTCTTTGCGAGGGAGGCACTGGATCCACTGAGAAACACGAAATTAAATGAGTACTGAGGATACGGCGTGTGGTGAAGGGGACGGGGCGATGAACAGAAACAAGACCGAAGCGGTTCGAACTCGACGGCAGAAGAGGAAGATCACGCAGAAAACGACTCCGGTTGTAATGCTTGATATCAAGGCGGGGGGGAAGAGGGAAGGAAGGTATCGGACGATAGAATAGTAACTAGGGTGAAATATTTCGAGGGGCATATCGACGTGAAGGGAGAAGAGGAAAAAGATGGCGACGATTACATGATAATCGCCGGAACTGGACATGGAATGTTAGTACACATGAAAATATGTAGGGAGGGAGCTGAACCGACCATCAATGTTCTGCTTGATGCTCTTATGAGGCAGAATCGAGCCGCCATTGACGTACACCTCGTCGGCGATGGTCACGTCGTCGCCTAGAACGGTGACATTCTCCAGTCGCGCCCAGCGGCCGACTGAGCTGTTCCACCCGACGATGGTGGATTTAATCCAGGCGTGGTCCTTGACCTTGCTGTTCTCCATGACGACGCACCGCTGCAGACGAACGCCATCGCCAATCACCACGTTGGGCCCGATGACGACGTTGGGACCAATGCGGCAGTTCTTGCCAATCTTGGCCGACGGGTCGACCATGACGTTCCCGCCGTGCACAAACGGTTCGGAGGTAGCGGCCAGCTTCTTGGGATTGCGCTTAGCCAGCGAAGTAAGGTACAGGCAGGTGCCCGTCAGGAAATCTTTGGGTTGGCCGACATCCATCCAGAAGCCGTCCAGGTCAAAGGAGTGCAGCTGGCCGTCCTTGCAGATGGAGGGGAAGGTCTCCTGCTCGATCGAGGTGGGGCGCAGCTCAATGCGCTTCAGGACACTGGGGTTCAGGATGTAGATACCGGCGTTGATGCGGTTGCCAACGAACTCGACGGGTTTCTCGACGAAGCGATCGATGCGCGAGGCGTGGTTGGGCTTGTGCACGACGACACCGTACTTGGAGGGCTCGTCCACCTTGGTGACGACGATGGTGCCCTCTTCGCCGTGGCTGCGGTGGAATTCTGCGAGCTCCTTGAACGGATAGTTGCAGATGATGTCGGAGTTCAGCACGAAGAAAGGCGAGTCGTCCTTGCCGAGGATCTTCTCCGCCAGCTTGAGCGGGCCAGCCGTGCCCAGCGGTTCCGACTCGACTGAGAATTCAATGCGCACATTGTACTGCTCCTCGTACTTCTTGAGGGCCGCGACCATGACATCTGGGCGGTAGTTGACCGCCAGCACGATGTCGGTGACACCCGCAGCAGCCAGGCTCTCGACCTGGTGCAGGATCATGGGCCGGTTCCCGAACTCCACGAGTGGCTTGGGGAGAGTGAGAGTCTAGACAGGAGGCATATATGTCAGCCAATGCTCCGAGTTGGCGATCTGCAGCCCGTCACTCACCAGGGGACGCAGACGGGTCCCAAACCCTCCGACGAGAATAAGAGCTGGCGGTGGTTAGTATGGTTGTTTGGATCCATTCGGGCGTCGTACATACCTTTCATGGTGAATTATTAAAGTAGTAGAGACCAAATTACAGAAAGGGGTGAGTCGGAGTAGTACTGGCGCAGCAAGCAACAATATACCAGAGAAAGAAGGGAACAGCTGGCCCCGATGTATTTTTATCCGGTCGGCACGTGATGGCCGGAGGGGCACGTTTGCAGATAAATAAAGGGGTCCGGTGGGCCAGACTTAATTCTACTTCTGTCAGTGTCTCAGATGCCCACTCTGACTGGACGGGGCGTGCATCTAGCTCCCCCGGAATCAAAAGAGCCGACTATGCTGGATCCGACGGGCTGCAACAATAGGGGCACAGACTCCCCCGTCTGCGGCACATCGCTTCCCCCTTACTGCGTGTCCGGGGGCAGCCGCCCACGTTGTTGCACACCCGGCATTCCTGGCGCATCACCGCCTGCTCCATCCGTCGCACCCACGAAGCGCAACACCCATTCGCGGACGCGCCCGACTTTCTGCAGTGACAGGTCAATCGGGGCATTGCTGTCACGAGGATCCCTGGGCGCATCGTAAAATCCGCCTGCATCCGTCACATCCACTAATCTGCGGTGCAACAGATCGAGCGTCGTCATGCCTCGACGCAGACTCTGCCCATAAACGCGATCCCGGAATGAACTCAGCCCTACGGTGCGCAGGAGGACAATGTCCCGAGCGCGGAGAGTGGCCAATGACCGACTTAGCCGATCCTCCTCGTTCACCGGTTTTTCGGGTGGCAGCCAGAAACTGACAGTAAACCCAGCTCGTGTTTCGTCCCCAACGACCAGCTCGACAATGTCCATTTCTCGTTTCCACTGTCGCGTCACCACGCGCCGCCGCGGGTGCACGGCCAGCACCCCGACGAGGAGATTGACTGTCATGGTCTGTGGGGCGATCGAATCGAGGAATCTAGCAGAGGGGAGATCCTGCAGATCTGTAAGCGGGCCCAGAATCCTGGGCAGGCGGAGAGGATCGAGCGCCTCTGCCTCACCACCGGATGAAGTGCTGCCAGAAGTCTCCAGGCTGATGGTGCATAACGCACTTTCCTGCATGGAGTCCTCGGTGCGCATCCCGGAGATGGATATTTCAGAGGTCTCATGAACAGCAACGGAATGCTCGTAAAAGTCGGACAGCACAGAGTCTTCCTGGTCCGCTCTGAATGCGTTGTTGTGGATAGCATCCAGATGATTGGTATTCAAGAACAGCGGGACTTCTGGACTCTTCACCGCGTAGGCCGACAATGGTTGTAGAACTCTCCATTTGACAGGGGGTTGGTCCAAAGACTGTTGTTGCTCGTCATGTGCATGCGAGTCTTGAAATGGAGGCGTGGGAGTATTCAGAAGCCCATCCTCGTCCCAGTCCAGTTGGTTAGACAAGGGTGCTCCCATGAGAAAGATGTTCTTGCGAGGCATATTGTCTTTCAGGTGCATGTCTTGTCGATTCAAGCTTATTGAAAGCCACGTCACCTCGAGACCTTAATCTCATCCTTTGTGAACAGTGGATTCACAATGGCTTCACACAGAAGCACGTTGAGGGCGAAGCAGCAAGGTGGGTGTCACGGTCTTTGGTGACCTATCATCACGGTGGTCTGGATGCTGCGCAGACCTGGTTGTCTGTTGGGCCTGAACCATGGGACGCCGTGTTAGGTCAATCTATACATTTTTGTTGGGAAATGCGCAGACTTGACACGATGAGCTGGTGCTCTTTGTGGTTTGGCCAAAAAAAAGTGGAGAGAGAGAGAGAAAGAGAGAGAGATATTGCTATGATCTGCACATAGTAAATCCGTAGGCAGCGACAAGAAATCATGCCTTAGGGTATAATAGTCACGTGTCAATTTCGTACGGCCGGTCGGACGGGCCTAAGTGGCAACTGACTTTCGCCGCATCAAAGCGGGAGCGAGAGTCATCCTCTTTCCTTGCCTCTTCTTCACATCTCTCCCTATTGGCGATGGCAACCCTTTTGATTCAGCACTGAACCGATTCTTATTTTTCTTTGCCTGTACATTCCCTCCGTCCCAAAGGCGCCGATTTCACCACTCGAACGCGGCCAAGTGCCGCCGGATAACGGACAACCATGGCCTTTCAAGTCCCGATCCCTCGGCCGGTGAGGATAACCCGTCGTCGACTCTTGAGCCACATTTCATCGCTGACTTCCGCATCGCACCAACAGAATGTCGCTGCCGCGACGTCCGATCTCTGGCCTACGATGTCGAGCTTCTTGGCCGCGCCTTACAAGCAGGCCGGCCGAACTTCCGCGGCCAACGCGGGCGAGACTGCCCAGCGGAAACCCAGTCGGAAAGAGAATGCGACGGTACGTAATGAACGACCACCGTCAATATTTCATCTGTGCTGACGATCATAGGTATCTTCCCGCGCGTCGTTGCCCGACTGCCTCGACACCGTCTCCCTTGAAGCTTTGAAAGCGAAGGTTCTCGAGCGGCCCGCGCAATACGGATGGTCATCGTCAAGAGGAGGTAAGTGTACTGCAACAAAGGCCATTAATCTCTTAGGTCTAACATGATGATTCTGATAGGCAACACGCTTTGGACTTCCTCGACGTTCGCACAAGCCCGTGGGCCTTCCCTTCCGAATGCTCGTTCCTTCTCAACTCTCACACCCTTCGGTCTCCACCCTCTACGACCGGCACCGAAGGTCAGGGGACTCTCGAAGATCCAGCAACAACGATTTCTGTTTGGAGGAGTGTCGCAGAATATCCTGGCCCAGAAGGAGAAGACCGCGAACAACAACCCGAACAGCGCAACTGCCCAGAATGCATTCTACCAGGCACTTCTGCGCGCTAACATGCCTGCGATCGTGGTCGAGAGATACCGAAGCGGCCAGTTTGCCAGCAACCCGTCGTCCGAAGCAACCTACATCAAGGCCCTGCAGCGTGTGGGTGGCGTAGAATCGGCGGCCGTGGCAGGACAGAACCAAAATCTCGGCCCTGACCAGCTCCAGGCCGTTGGACAGGCAGTTGCAGCACGGAACTACGGCGGTCAGATTGGGATGGCCACTAAGCAAAACGGCACCGGTGCCAAGGAGGCGCCACTCTACGTTGTGGTGGAGGAGTCTCTGGGTAGCACGGTGTTCCGATGGGTAAAGTTTTTGCTCTACTTCGGCTTTTTTACCTACATGTCTCTCGTCATGGTCACCATTCTGGTCGAAACCACCGGCGTGATGAAGAACATCCGAGGTTCGCAGAACAACGAGGCACAGCCCCAGCAGCAAACGGTCCGGTTCACCGATGTGCACGGTTGCGATGAGGCCAAGGATGAACTTCAGGAGCTGGTCGAGTTCCTTCTCAACCCCGAACGCTTCTCGTCTCTCGGTGGCAAATTGCCCAAGGGCGTCCTCCTGGTCGGTCCTCCCGGTACGGGTAAGACCCTGCTCGCGCGTGCCGTTGCTGGAGAAGCTGGCGTTCCATTCTTCTACATGTCCGGATCCGAGTTCGACGAGGTTTACGTGGGTGTTGGTGCCAAGCGGGTGCGTGAACTTTTCAATCAAGCCCGTGGCAAGGCTCCGGCGATTATCTTCATCGACGAGCTGGACGCGATTGGTGCGAAGCGAAATGAGCGCGATGCTGCATACGTGAAGCAGACTCTCAACCAGCTGCTGACCGAACTGGATGGATTCTCTCAAACTAACGGAGTCATCATCATCGGTGCCACCAACTATCCCCAGTTGCTGGACAAAGCGCTTACTCGACCTGGTCGGTTCGACCGCAGGGTCGTGGTCGGCCTGCCGGACGTCCGCGGCCGCATGGACATCTTGAAACACCACATGAAGGAGGTACAGATCAGTACTGATGTCGACGTCGCCGTTATTGCTCGCGGCACGCCTGGCTTCTCCGGTGCTGATTTGGAGAACCTGGTCAACCAAGCTGCAATCCGCGCCAGCCGTGACCGCAAGCCCAAGGTCGGCCCGCTGGACTTCGACTGGGCCAAGGATAAGATCATGATGGGTGCCGAGGCTCGCAGCCGCATCATCCAGGACAAAGACAAGCTCTTGACGGCGTACCACGAGGCTGGCCACGCGCTGGTTGCTTACTTCTCGCCTTCTGCGACGCCGTTGTACAAGATCACCATTGTGCCTCGCGGCATGGCCCTAGGTGTGACTCACTTCCTTCCGGAGATGGACATGGTCTCGAGGAACTACATGGAGTACCTGTCGGACATTGATGTTTCGATGGGCGGCAAGGCAGCCGAGGAACTGATCTTCGGACCGGACAACGTCACCAGTGGCATTTCAGCGGTATGTCAACTTTCTCTTACGTCTGGCATATTCAATAACTAACGTCTTTGTTCTAGGATATCCAACAAGCAACCGAAACGGCATTCACACTGATCACTCGCTTCGGCTACTCCAAAAAACTGGGCAACGTTGATCTCTCAAGCAACTACGAACGCCTCTCATCTGAGACCAAGCAGGAGATCGAAAGCGAAGTGCGCCGCCTCGTCGAGGAAGCCCGCGCCCGCGCCCAGAAGATTCTGACCGAGAAGCGCAGCGAACTTGAGCTCCTCACCAAGGCGCTGATTGAGTATGAGACCCTCACGAGGGAGGAGATGGAGAAAGTTTTGAAAGGCGAGAAAATCGACAAACTCAGATCAAACCCCAAGGCTCCGCTGAAGCTGCCTGATGCCCTGCTCGATGCGAACCTGGGTCCGTCTTCCGCTGGTGCTGGGAATCCGCCTCCCGCAGCGGAGTAAAAGCAAAGCTTCATGTCAATCTCAACGCCTTTCTTTCTCTATTCTTTTTCTCCTCTCTTCTCCTCTTTCTTCTTTTATCCTCTTTCCTCCTGTATTGTCACATTTACCACTTTGCATCTGTGTTTCTTGCCTCACCTCATCCAATCAAACCTTTTGCTGTGCATCCCCCGGATCGTTCGGGCGTCTCTATTATTGAAACTACCAAGCTTTGACCCCCCTTTTATCTTCTGCAAAAAGCGAGCTAAAGTGGAAAATCCTTTATTATATGTCCTGTGTACTTGTACATACTGTTCTCTCCCTCTGTATGTGTATGTGTATGTCTCTGGCTGTTGTCTACCATCTTTTCACTCAGCGTACAGATAACCACCCTCTCCATTATGAGCTGCAGATCAAGTCTGCAGACAAGGATTCAACAAATGGACAAAGACTTAAAGCGAAGATAGATTCCTTAACCTCAAAAGTTTGGGATAATACGCAGAGGCACAATCTATGCCCATTACTGATGCGGCCAATTCTCGACACCCCCTTAGCTCTAGAATGGGGTCAATGTTTTTCTTGGAATGAATGCATGTGATGGGTGAGAATTCTGGAGGGGTGAAAGAGGTAAGAAACCAAAGATGATTGGAACGGTAGGCAGACCGCCAGGTTTCCCCGTGCGGCTCTTGCGAATGCTCTAGAGAAACCGCTGATGCTGTCCTAGTCGGACGCTAGGTCACATTTACTACACACAAACTTGAAATAAAGTGAATCTAATCTTCCTATGTTTTCATAGTACTCCCCCTCCCCACTAAATTTCTCTACAATGACGAACCCATATGAAGCGGACCCAAAAGAAATCCCTGCAACCGACCTGTACGCAGACGTGCCCTTTATGGTCGATACTGCCCGAAACCTAATGATTTTCGCGTTGATTCCCAGCATGTCAACTCCCAGACTACAGACTCCTTGAAATACTGGGCCTCAGTTCTTAGCCTCTGCACTAGATACAACCGAATTTACCCTGCTGACGACGGTGGTCGCGATGTTTTTGCTCTTGGCAGCGTGATTGTGACGTCTAGTCATCTCCATGCACGCGAGGGCGCTCAATATACCGAGATTGACTTCTCATACGCCGATGCAAATGAGGTTCGGGCAATTGCTCTGGCAAAGACCGTTCTAAAGGATGTCAAAGTTCCAGAAATATACTTTGCTGGCAAGGTACTTACTCTTGCTATCCGTTATCGGCCTCAACGACTCACATCTCCTCAGGTCATTGGTAGCCAAGTGCTCGTCCAAGAAAGGCTTCCAGGTGTTGGATTGTCTGTCGCATGGCCGTATCTCCCCAGTGACCAGAAGAGGTCCTACAAAGAACAGGCCAGGAAGATACTCCAGCAGCTTCACAGTATCAAGCCCACAGCGAAGCTTCAAGCTCGCTCTTACGTGGTGCCAGACCCCAACATACTCAGTAACGGTCGTATCCACCTGTTAGAAGGGGACATCCTCTTTTCGGGCGACAATCGTGATTTGGACATGAGCTTCACGCATAACGATTTTACTGTGTCTAACTGTATTGTTGACAATGGCAAAATCTCGGGGCTTATTGACTGGGAAATGGCAGGCTTTTTTGGCTGGAAGACAGCTGGAGGAGTCCACCATCGGATCAGAACACCACAACGAGAACATTTCGTGAATGCCAATTTGAGTAAGGAACAGCTCCAGGATATGATGTTCTGGAATGACCTCTATGAGGAGGGTATGCCGGAGAATTGAGCCACGGGGCTGTCTAATCTCCAGGGGTCATTTGTATGCTATTCAATCCATTTTCTTGACGCCATATTAGTTATTAGCGTCATAATTCCTAGGAGAGGCTATCAGGTTTGTTCCATCACTCGGCTTTGCTGCGGGCCACTTAAGCTGACTCTGAGTTCTTGAATCAAATCACGTATCCAGTCTTCTTGGTGCCGATTCCGGCTGCCTGCAACTCTTGAGTGGTACGCGCGTTCAATAGAGCGGTTCAAATGTGCATGTTGGTTGCGCGGAGTTAAAGGATGCAATTCTTCATCTTTTTTAATTTGAATACATCCACCATGACCAACCGTGTTCCTATTGAACCAAGTCATTCAACATGCCAGTCGGGCTGTACTTGAAATAAATAGGTCATCCTTGAATTGAAGCTCTCCATTTGCAGTGAGTACAAGGCATACCCAATTCAAGGATCCGTTGGAACCCCACAGCTCAAGACAACGGCTTCCTCAACGAAGCCTTGACCGGATTCGGACTCTCAAAAATCTCCGATATCTCCTCCAAGGTGTGGTTCTTAGTCTCCACAGAAACAAAATAACTAACAGTCGCTTCAAACAGATCCCAAACAATAAATACGATGTAAGTATACCAGCCAATTTTTGCAAGCGCAATCGGGAAACAAAACTGATTGATGAGCGTGAACCCGTGCGCAATAGAGAAAGTAAGGCCAACACCTTTGCCCCGAGTCTCATAGGAAAGAGCCTCAACAGGGTACAACGCCTGCAGCGGCGTCATACCGAAGTTATAGCAGAATCCAAAGATGAATATGAATGCAATTCCAGCAGACGCAGCGGGTGTTGCTTGGGTGTGTGCGAAAATGCCCGAGCCGATCGTGATGCATGCGAAACAGATCGAGCACGCGACAGCGGTCCAGATGATTGTCGGGCGACGGCCCATTCTCTCAATCTGGCTTGCGCCCAAGTATGAAGCCACCGTCGAGACGATGGTGTAACCGAGATTGACATTTAGCACTTGTTCCGAACCGGTGATTCCCGTGGTAACCAGCATCGCGGGCAGGTAATAAGTGACGACTGCATTGCCAGAGCATTGGCCCCAGATCCCTGTGATCAAGGCATTGGAGAACCGCCATCTCCCCGCGCTGTTCTTGTAGAAGTCGCTAAAATCCCACCAGCGCTTGTCGGAGCCGGAAAGCGAGATGAATTCTCTGTATTCCTGCAGCTGTAATTGGACAAGCGGGTGGTCGGGGTTTCCTTCGCCGTGGTAGTATGCCAGAAATTCCTTTGCTTTCTCCTCCTGACCGTGTGAAAAGAGCCAGCGGGGAGATTCGGGAAAGAAAAGAACTGTTAGAAGCACGATCCCTGGACATATCATCTGGCACCACAGCGGAATCTGCCATGATTTGTTGCCTTCGTAGCCGGCAGATCCTCTAGTGACGCCAGCGGCGACGAGCGACCCAACTGCGTAAGTGCAGTTATAAAAGGCCATGATGATTCCACGGTATGCGGGTGGACAGACTTCCGCACACCAGATTGAGCTGGTCGATCGAATAATGTTGACTCCGAAACCGAGGAAGAAACGACCGGCAACGAATTGTGGCACTCCGTGCGACAGGGCAGATACAAATGTGCAAGCGACAACGATCACACAGCCGATGAAAGTGCCCCATTTCCTGCCACGGATGTCGCAGGCTGGTCCACTGAATGGTAATGAGCAGATTGCTCCAACGGTGTACATCGCCGAAATGTAGCCAATTTTTGCGCCGCTTTTCTCGATGCCGAATTGGTTCCTGAAGGAGTCTAGAGCTGGCAAGGATCCGAAGATAGCGCCATCGTAACCTGATCCAGAGTTAGTCCATCATAATTGGAAAACAATCTCAGCATGATTATGGCACTGACCATTCATTGTCGAACACAGAAAAGCAATCACACAAAAGACATATAACTCCCTCAGATTATGCGACCACGGTGAGGGCTTCTCCCTCTGGAGTGCGTCAATCAAGGCTTGACGAGTTGGAAGACTTCCATCATGACTCGACGTTTTCTCCAATGGCACCTTGTGGTCTGTTATCTCTTCATCTTGGGATTGCAGAAAGGCCATTGTGATCTGAGGATAATAGTTCGAAGGCCCGGTTAACGATTCTCTTTGCGTTGGCCAGAAGCATCCACATGAAACAGGTCTCGAGCAATGACTATTTATTCCACCAGGCTGATCTATCCGATGATCAGTCCGGGGAAATCTCATGACAGAGCAGCGTTGCTCCGCCAAGGGGCGGTCCAATAACCGCTCCCCCAGCCAGCATCTAACCCTACCGCGAAAGGTTCGGGTGGGGGAAACCCCCGTCGCTCGGGCGAAGGATCCCCCCGACGTTTGGAAGCACACTTTCCTCGCTATTGGATGGGACCGCTCCCCATTATACTCCTCTAAGCCTTTTGTGGAAGCCATGGATTGCTGAGTACAGATACTGTGGTCGAGTTGAAATTTGTCTGATTCTTAAGGTTCCGGCATCTAAGCAGTTGAAGATAATTTCTCGTCCCTCTGGGAAGCATGAAAATGTCTTGAATGTGTTCAAGTAGAGGATATCGGAAACGCGTTATTTGCGCATATGCATTATTACTATCACAATTCCTTCAACATGTCTTCCGTCAAATAAGGCTGCCGAGACCATCTTTGGTGCAATTCATCACGAGAGAAACCTTTCTTTGCCCCGGCAATAGCAAAAACCGCTGTAGCTATCACCACATCCTGATCCAGTTGTGCCTCGATTTTATGCTGAAGGGTCGGAATGAGCGCTCTTGGCTCCATCAGGTTTGTGTTTGGGTCCGACTTCAATATCTTACCCCCTATTTCGCCGGTGGTGCTGAGGATGCTCTTCACCCCGCTAACAGCAGCGCTACTGAGCATGAGCGAGCTCTCTTCGGTTTCAACAATTCCCCCATGTTCGTCTCCATTACTCCAACTCTCATCCAAAGTTTTGATTCGCCGCGGCTGTTTCGCAGGTATTGCAAAGCCACCTTCAACAAGGCTGAGCGTTTGAGTCTGGGCACTTCGGATGCGGTGTATCCTGATATGCCAGTCAGGCCATTCGTTGCAGGGAGGGATGAGAGTAGTTTCGATTTCTGTTTTGTCTGTCTTCCACGGCTTCCAAACACTCTGAAGGCACTGTATCTTCGAGCCTTTTAATAGGAATGTCCTGACTCGGGGACCGCTAATTGTCTCCCATCGGGTGGCCCATGTTTCTCCCGCGTCTCGACTTGCGACCAGTGTATTATCTGGAGCTATTTGAGCCAACAAGCCTCCAGTCGGAACACTGAACGCGAATGCTGATGAATATGCAAACTTGCTGTATTTTGCTTGTGTTGCCTTGAGAGGCCAAACGCAGAATTGACCACCGGAAAGCATGAAATGATGCTGGCTATTGGGGTGGTCACACAGAATCTGAAATGGTGCAAGTAGCAACTCAACACCGGAGACAGACTGTTGTTCAAGCGAGGCAGAAGACAAAGGATGTGGAATCTCAGCGACGGTCCAGAAATTGTCGTCTGATCTTAGCGCAAGGCACACAAAGGTTTTCATGGCCCAGTAAGGTGACTGGGGTGAGTTGTAGTCTTCACACATGAACATGTTTGGGTATAGATATCCGATAGTCAAAGTCCCATCGATGGCAAACATATCCTTTGAATGCGCCGCCCACCATCTAAGGTGTCGTAGAAGCATGCCTTTGACAAAGCCGACAGATGTGTAAATGTTTGAGCTGTCGTAGCACTTTGCACAGGCAAAGGCTGCGTAGAAGGCCCCCATGGCAAACCGATACGTCAATGACCGACCGAATGGAATTGCTGCACCGTCCTCATCGAAGAACCGCCAAAACTGACCAGCAAAGTCTCTCGCTTGCTGCCGATACCGGGAGACTCGGTCAGGATCCGAATCAGCGGCAAAGAGAACGTACAGCAATTGACTGAACTGAATTGCAAAGCTTCCGGAATAATAGTCTGCCTGGCGACCGTAGGCTTGTTGGTCTGTATCAGCATCTTTCCTCCAAATTCCATCAGCAGACCACCCATTCCCAATATCAAACTGGTCAAGCACCCCAAAATCCGCGTCGATATGGTCCTTGACATTTTCGTAAGGCACGCCCAACACACGATAGAGAGCAAGATTCGAGAAGATCCGAAACCACCGCCAATTGTTGACTGGCATTACTTTGCCATTGAGACCGGACAGCCATTCACACAAGTGCGCGCGACTCTGGGCTGACAATGGCTCATAGAATGTTTTCGGTGCTATCAAAAGTGCAAATGAAATCGGCTCGGCTTCTACCATCCGTTGGTCCCAGTCTCCTATCGAACCCCAGTAGTCGGGGTGTTCGGGATTAACTCCATTCGTAAGTCCAGTCGCCAGGTGTTTGGCATAACGGGTGATATCTGCATGGATTATATCGGTCGCTTCAGCGACTGCAGCTGCAATCGCCCAAATTGGCCGTGCAAACCCTTCCAGTTGGGCAGCGGTCTCGTCAAAATGTGCTCCAGAATAGACCGGCAGCTGGACGCGTGATTTTCCAGGCGAGAAATACGGTTCGAGCGCATGGACGAGTGCGTTTGTCGCGATAAGAATGTCCTTCCGATCGCGAAACTGGTTGTCAGAAAATCCTCGAAGCGGTGGCATTTTGGGGGACTGATCTTGCGTCGGCTTAACCAAATTCACTTTTTAGATCTGGGATCAGTCTTAGCTTGAAAGATCATACTCCACAATATATTGGCCAAGCAAAAATGGAAGGTCCTGCCGCTAGCATTATTGTGGCCGCCAAAGGCGTCGGAGGATTCTTTCCCCCGATCAATGGCAGTGTAACATCGCGTATCAGCACGGTTTCCCCGGATTTTGGGACCGTGCGATCAAAACAAAATTGAGCCCCACTTGGGGGTGGAGACGAACCGGGACACTCGTGTTCGGACCTTTCAGATCGATAAGGGTCGCTACTTTCCCCGCCGCCCGATGCATACAAGTCCCGATTCACAATGGAATCGCCCGAGGTCCGCGAAAGCAATACGCAGCAAGCAGCAGACGCAGAAACGCCTGCGTGTCAGTCATGCCGAAGCCGAAAGCTGCGCTGTTCTAGAGAACTTCCATCATGCAGCCGCTGTAGTCGTCTTGGTAGGCTCTCACGGCTTTAGATCCGAGTGTACTTGAGACTGACTAGTGAAAGGAGTTGTGTGCCAGTACGATTATACGAAGAATAAGCCTGGTGTGAAAATCGGCATCATTCAGACATTGACGCAACGAGTAGGTGCGTAAGATTGTGCTCCATAGGAACCTCAGCGAGCCAACAAGATGCTTCACAGAGTGTTTGGAAGCCGAATTGGAGGCTGTGAGAGTTCAGCAACAGACGCCTAGCAGCCTTCCAAGTCCAGCAAATGCAGGCCATGATGCAAATGCCATTCGAGGCCTCGTTTCCTCCTTGATGGAGGATTGGTGGGAAAGCCATGCAGTCCGGAACCAGTCATCACGACAGGATGTGAATCAGGAAATTGAGGACGATGATCACTCACAATCAAGGGAATCTACCATGGCAGCTTCTTACCAAGCTTCACGCAAGAGAAGACGTGCTGAGCCTGATAGGCGAGAATGCAGCACATCAGCAGCCCAACTCCCACCGGATAAATTGGTCAACGTGATACTCGATGCCTACTTCTCTGTAGTCCATCCGTTCATCCCTATTCTCCATGAGATGCTCTTCCGGTCTCGCCTGCGAGATCCGACTGAGCGACCCAAACTCATCGTTGTGGTCCATGCTATGATGGTATGCGCGCTGCGGTACGTTGCAAATGAGCGACTGTCAAGAGAATGGCTTGAACAGTATCCGGACGCACTGCAAAAGTCAAGAGAGTTTGTTGTCCTATCCGGCATGGATGGACTATCCGTAGAGACCGTGCAAGCATTAATCATAGTGGCATTTGTGCATATCGGTGACGGAGATGCCAACAAGGCTTGGCCGATGATAGGAACACTGAGCCGCGCTGTGGTGTATTTGGGTCTTCATTGTGAACCAGAAGAAGACCAGCCAGGGGAGCCTTATCTCAAGCCTCTTCGATGTCTAGCGTCAGCTCGAGTGTGGACAGAAGCAGAGGAGCGACGACGGGTGTTTTGGAATGTGTTTCTGCTTGATCGGTTCTGCTCGACTGTCACGGGGTAAGTAACTTCGTTACTTTTGTTGGATCTGTATGAACTCACATTGGTCCTCATGGATACTAGGTGGAACATGAACCTGTCCAGCGAGGATATCCAGGTTCGACTGCCCAGTGACGGCTTGTACTGGGCTAAAGAGGAGCCGGTCGTCACGCCGTTCTTTAACATCTGGGATACGTCAATGTACAAGATCGGAAAGTCTGTCTCTTTCCTTCCTAGTCACCTTACATGTCTGGCAGACAGAGACAAGGAAGTTGCAACCACGGCAACAACATCGGAACGCGTCTCCCCTGTCGCCCAGGCTCCTGAGACGCGAAACATAGATGTTTCAACCATCGGCTCATTTGCCTACTGTGTTGAAGCGACTGAGTCTCTCAACCGTGTTGTCAAGTTTTTCCTTCAGCGACCTGTCAACTTTGATAGCAGGCAGGAGTTTAGTGCTTGGTTGACAAGGTTCAAAGAGTTGGATCTTCAACTGATACAGTACGTGTACTCACTCTCCGGGATCATTATTTGCGGCGTACTGAGTAACATCCAGCTGGAAAATGTTTTTGCCTCGGCGATGGAAAGACTCCAACATTTCGAAGGAACCAGCATTCGTGCATATGGATCCAAACCTAACTCTGGCGCACATCACCCATAACACGTCAATGATCCTTCTGCATCAGAGCATTGCGTACCCAAGAGCATATGTTCTTGACAAACTGAAGTTAGCAAGTACGGCTAGCGCAGAAACATGCCAGCTCGCAGCATCGGAGACAGCCAACATCGTTCAGAAGTATTTGCAATACACACCATTTGTTGGCTTGGTCAATCCACCATTTGCATTTTGCACATTTATCAGCGCTCGTGTCATGCTTGGTGAGAAGGCTCTCTACTAATGAGATATCTATAAGCTCACGTTTTTATTGCTAGTGCACTCGCATATCCATCACACTGAACTCCCCAGTGCGTATGATGTTCTTCTGTCGAGTCTCCAACAGATGTCTGCTCGTTGGGTGTCAATGAACCCCAGCTTGAAGCTGAGCTCAGAGACAAAGAATTTTGCCGAGGGCCTTCTTTTCCAACTTCAGAATCTTCAAGAAAACGCAACATCTGCTCCACTGACTACAGACGCATTGGAATACATTACAGAGGTTAATCTCGCATTGGGAATGCAACCGCCTACTGTTAACCCAGGCGAGAGCCAGTGGCTGCAAGAGCGCCGGGCTCAGCAACGCCATAGCATCATTCCGGTCAATGGAAGAGGATCTCATTATATCAACAATAGTGGGCTAAGGCAGGCATCCGATCAGCACAGTCCACTAAGCCACACGTATGTTGTCCGAAGAACTGTTTATTATTACTCATTAATCATTTTCATAGACTACATACGCCTTCCTCAGGATCTTTGCATAGTGGAAGGGTGCAACGCCCCCGTCACTCTTCAATACAATCTGCAGTTGGCTCATCGTACATGGCGCCTTTACCGCAACCTGAACATAGAGCGGAAATTCCGTTCAATCACGTTTATCCTTCAACTCAAACTCCTCCGCCTGTTGCGGACAGTCTGGATAACTTTGGTCCGTTGTTTAATTTCTTGTTGGAACCGCAGTATGTGGATATGGATCGGATCATTAGCTTTCAAGATTCATTCATGTGTTGATGGATATTTTTATTCGAAAATCTACGTGCATCTCATGCAAATATTCTTAAATCAAATCGTTTACCAGCCACTCTATCCAATTAACGTCCGAGACATGTCTGAATACCACTACCTGTCCGAGGATCCGCCCGCTCGGACGCCGGGAGATGGATCCACCCGAGGGCCATGTCGATGCATGAGGGCCAATGGCTGCCTGAAGTAAGAGAGGAAGCTCCTCGATCCTTTAAAAAAGTGCAAATTCCATGAATTCACTCTCGTGTGGCTCAAGTATAGTTTTATATCTGCAACGTGTTTGTCTTTCTTTTTGCACTCGCTGCCATGGCTCCTGAGATTATGGACTCGTCTCCTCCCGGCAACGGAAAGCTCACAGTGAAAGTCATGACCGAGACTTCCTCTTCAATCGAATCGACTGACTTCAAAAGCTTGAGGGCAGATTTTGCGCCTCTTTTCAATCAGAATAACATTGCCAAAATACTCAGCGTTGCTGAAGCATATCTAGGGGATAACGTAGGCTTGACGCAGAATTAAGAACTTCATTACAAGCTGACTTCATACTTAGGAGTCCCCGACAAATTTTCCGGAGACAGTCCCTCAGGCTGGCTCTAATCAAGGGATATACCAATGCAGAAATGCTAGTTTCTGGACATGTGGGTTCTTCCCAGGGAGTCTATATAGTCTCCTCGAGAGACTACGAAAGTATCCTGCAACAAGCAATTCAGGAGACTTTTCCACTTTGTTCAACCAAAATCTTATCACTCATCTCACCGATCTATGCCGCAAATGGTCTGCGCCATTGAATGCCATGTCCTTTCGGAAGGACACTCATGACCTCGGTTTCATCGTTCAGCCCGCCCTTCAAAGAGACTGGGAGCTGTTTGGTCGTCAAGAGAGCTTAGAATCTCTGCTCAATGCAGCCCAAAGTCTTGCCAGCAGGTATGACGCTCATGTCGGGGCTGTTAGAAGCTGGGACAGCTTTTCAAATGCGCATCATAACATCACGAGTATGGAGGATGATTTTTTGGTGATTATTGACAGTCTGTGCAGTAAGTTATCTACAGTTATGAACAGTACAGAGTAGTTACGTTCATGAGCTAACGCGTTAATCCAGATCTTGACCTTCTTTTCTACGCTGGTAACTACACGCAAAACCCTCATCTCATTTCCATCGCATCAACCCACGCCACCACCCTTCTCTCGACCCATCTCCGCAAGGAGACTATACCGACCAAGGAGACATGCTACTCAACCTACCACGCCGCAAACCTTTCTCCACGCACGGGATCTGTTAAGCGAAAGCTCACGGCGCAAGGCTACTCTGATGACTCGACCTGGGCCCGTGGTCAAGCGTGGGCGATCCTAGGCTACGCACAAGCATATTCTTGGACCAAAGAACGAAAGTTCCTAGACGCTGCAATAGGTCTTGCTGAGTACTTCGTGCACCGACTGGAGACATCGCCCAACGTGGTTGAAGAGGACGGCCGGGGGCGATATGTGCCCTTGTGGGACTTCGACGCACCTATCACTTACACCACTGTCGATGGAAAGCAAGCCCCATTGAGAGATGTTTCTGCCGGCTTGATCACTGCGAATGGGATGCTGATCATGTTTGGACAGCTCTCCGGCACGGGTGAATATGAGTCTGCGAAGCGGTACTTGGATTATGCCTTGCTTATTGCAAAGGATACTATCGCGTTGGCGTATAATCGCGATGAAATGCGGCTGGGTCTTGATGAAACGGGCGGAATCCTAGTCGAAAAGGTCAATGGGAACCGTTTTGATGCGATCTTAGGGCGTTCAACTGCTAACTTCAACGCGAACCATGCGGATCGGCATTGGGATCATGGGTTGGTGTATGCGGACTATTACTTCCTAGAATTTGGAAATCGCCTGCTAGATATGGGGTTGATTTGAATTGACTAGATATGACGGAATTGTTTTTTTTTCCTTCACTTTCCTGTAACCTATAACTTTAGTTATGATTAACATAGCACTTTATTTCCTACTTCCCGAAATTTCGAAACTTGAATCTACTTTGCATGTATTCATTTATAAAAAAAATCAAAATCGACTAGAGCACTCAGTGTACTCCTAAGCATTATTTTCCGCATGTGTCAAAGTCTCATAAGCCACAAAAAGACCATTATCCTTCGCCGGCCGCTGCCTAACCGTCAAATTCCCAGTTTGAGGCATATCAAAACCCAACCTAAAAGAGAGGGCATTAAACCCAACTTCCGTAATCGGACCTAATGTAAGGCTCAGTTTCCCACCGCAAAGCCACGATGGTACCGCCACTCCATTAACGAACTGCGAATGAAATCCCAAGCCGTACCGCAATCGCGTCCCCACATCCGTCTGGTACAGGTCAGTGGTTCCTTGAATACGACAGGTCTCGGCCACGTGTGCAATAGACGCAAATGAATATCCGGTGTGCTCGAGATCACGACATGTTTCCTGTGCTTGGCCGTCTTGGCTAAAGACAGTTTGGTTGAACCACCAGGCGATTATTGCGTCTGGGGCTGAGCTCTGGCCGCGAGCTGCCACTGGATACTCGCCGTCACTGGTCATGTAGATTGATGCTGGGACTCGTTTGAGGAACCAATCCATAGCGGTGTTCCAAGTGTCGGCGTCTTCGAGGAAGACTGACATGAGGATTGCAGCTTCGGTCATGACTAGTAAAAGTGTTAGTTTAGGTCAATAGTCAGGCTTATGCAGCCTTACCTAGCTCCCAATTCGCCACATTGTGATCGGTCCCATTGACAGTCAATGGCATATACACATTACGCAGCATGTTCCCAAACTGTTCAATACCATCCTCCGACCACCCAGCATCCGTATACCGAATCAATTCACCGGCTCTAGCCCATACAGACCCCACCCAACCAGCCTGCAGCGGGGAGTTGGAGTTGTTATGGCCCTTGATGGTGGACGAGTATGCATCCATAATCTTAATCGCCTGCTGAGCATAAGACTTCTCACCACCAACCACCCAGGCCAGTGCATTCCCGTACGCAGCAATAGAGTCATTGCGCTCGGCTGTGCATCCAACATCCGGATCGGAGTAGGGACCGCACTCGACCGTCGGGACTGGGGCTGGTTCTTTTGGGTTGGCTATATTTTCATCATTGAGCAATGCGTTATATGCATCCATCCAGGGTTGTTCTTTATTTTGGACTTGCTGTTGGATGAAATCTAGCTGCGACTGGCTGATCATTGCTCCTGGATGGACCCATTTGGTGGGAGCTGGGGCTGATACTGAGGGTATACTCGCACTATGGCCCGGTAGAGCGCTCATCGCGACGAGGTACAGAAACGTCTTGGGAAGTAGCATTTTGAATAAGCTGGCATCAATTGGACAACTCTGACAATGTTAATCTTATCTCCAGGTCCTGATGTGGGGTCATACTGCTCTCCATTAAATACCTGATCTGCTTTTGTCAATTTTCGTTAGATAGTTGAACCCTTTGGATGCAACGTTCCCGCCGTTGATCGACATTGAGGAGAGCCCCGGAGTGCGGAGGAAGCATTGGCCCGATCGTCACACTCCGGATCAAGGGACAGTCCGAGTAGTAGTCTCTTGCGAATACCCCGATAGTGGGGTTGTTCGCATGGAAATTGCAACTCCAGTTTACCATAGCTCCCGATATGACTGTGATCTGCAAATGTGGAATTAAATCAGTATTTAATAGGAACAATCTTTGTATATTCGCGTCGTTCAGGCTCTCCCATCTTCAGAACCTGGTCCCGACTATCAATTGATTATGATGACTCTCGGAGCCCTTCGATATGGCAGTGCCATTGCTCTCGTAGCAGGATTGATTCAGCCCTCTCTCGCAGCCGACATCTATTTGGATTGCAGCTCGGCTGCAACAGGCAGCGGCAGCAAGTCCATTCCTTTTAATTCGCTTGAAAAAGTCAATGAAGCTGTCCTAAATGCCGGAGACTCTATATACATCAAGGCAGGGACAACATGCACCGGAGTCTTGTCACCACAAGGAGATGGCACACAGGACCACCCCATCATTCTGACCAGCTACGGAGATGGCCCTCAGCCCATTATCAATGGTTCAGGGGCAGCTGAGGCTGTCAGATTGACCAACCAGGACTACTGGGATATCTCCGACATTGCAGTCATCAACCCTGCGTCCTCAATTGCGTGGAGACGGGGCATTGCTGCGACTTCCAGCGACGGCACCGTCCACTACGGTCTTTACATCCACGACGTCACTGTTTACAATGTGGCCGGTGAGACAAACAAGGCAACCCAATCTGACGCCTATATCGCCTCCGCTGGTATCCTGGTGAACGGCACGGAGAATGCAAGCCGCTACGACGACGTACAGGTCTATAACAACACAGTCTACGACTGCGGCGGCGGCGGAATCAAAGTACGCGTCGGCCAAATGGACAACCGTGGGCAAAATACACACGTCTACGGCAATTACATTTCCTACGTCGGCGGCGACGGCGTCGTTGTATCCTATGGCGAAGACACCATCATCGAAAAGAACGTCGCCGGGTTTCTTGGCCACGGCAAGTACCCTTATACCGGAGGCAACTTTGCAGGTATCTGGGTTCTAGGTTGTCAAGATGCGGTGATGAGATTCAATGTTGTGCACGACTCACTCATGTCGGATGTCGACAGCGAGGCATTTGACTGTGACTGGGGCAACGAGGGCACCTGCACGGTTGAGTATAACTACAGCCACGACAACGCGGGCGGTATATTCCTCAACTGTGATGGCTGTGGCACGCCCGGCGGCGCAAGGCAGATCGTTCGGTATAACGTCTTCCAGAATGATTGCCGGATGTACAGCAATGGGGATGGTGTGCAAATGGACTTCTATAACAACGTGGTATATTGTCCTGAAAAGGAGTTTGAAATTGCTGTGCCACCGCATGCAAATTTGTCGAATAATATCTGGGTTGGTACTGCTAACTCGACTTTGCCTACCGGTGCCTCGATCGAGTGGCATGCGAATTTGTTTCAGACGGTTGCTATGCCGGTGAAGACCGCTGGTAGAACGGGTGATCCGCGGTTTATTGATCCTGGTACTGGCACGGACAGCCTTGACTCAGTCGGTGGATACAAGCTGCATTCTGGGAGCCCTGCCTTGGGTCTTGGGGCTTTGATTACTGATAATGGAGGGCGAGACTTTTGGAATAACAAGGTGTCGTCGGTGAAGCGGCCGAACATTGGAGCATACAACGGAAGGGGGCTGTGATTTGAACGTTATTTCACATCAGTAAATAAGTGAGATATTGTATTTGAGCACAAATTGAACATATTCAAACTCGTATCACATTGGTAAGATAAGCTCTGTATATGATTAGGTAGATACATCAGGCTCTGTTCTCTCCATAATTGACCTCCCACTTCTTGAAACTCGGCATACGTATGCATACCCACGCTGCGCTATGATCTACAAATCAAAAATCAGGTTTGTATCTAGGCAGACAAGGCAGCTCCAATGAACATCACGATGTGCTCATAGGAAATGAATGCCTGGTTCGGAGGATAGTGGAGCATGATATCCTTGTCTCCTCCAACTCCACCTCCACCTCATAATTCTACACCGATGATGTCATCTACCCATTCCATCAGTTTGTGCTCAACAGGGCAGCCCCAGTATCACTGACGCTATCACTGACAGCTATCTCTTGTTATCTGCTCTGGCGGTAAATCAGACAGAAACTGTTTGCGTTTCCTCTTGGTCAATACTACTAAATAGAATTCTAATTTACAAACGTGGGTAATAAATCAGAGCTGAGCAGAAATATATATTATTCACCGAACTCGAATGCAGAAGTACAAACACTTACTCTCAACATCAACAAAATAAGATCGTATATAATCTTTGATAAGTTTGGAAATTTTGGATATACATTCATCTGCCACTCTCCCCTCTCTCCGCACAGTAAAAAAGTACCAAAAATAATAGCTATATACAAAAAACAAGATAACAAGTCCACACACAGATCATAGACAGACACACCATCATCGCCGCTCCCCTCTCGCCTTCTCGGAAATAACAATCGAGCATCAAGTGAATCAAAGAGGAAAAAAAAGAGATATCCCATCATAACGGTCATGAATATGGATGGGGGCCTATGATGGCGGAGACGCGTCGATTATGCAGGACAGACAGACTCTTTTCTATCCCTAGCGCCGCGGTCTATTTGTGTATGTATAGTGGTGGTGGCGGTGATGGCTGGTGGTTGGGGGTGGGAGTGTGATGTGAGTATGTATGCCTGCCGAGTAGTGGCCCGGGTGAAATCAACAATGGAAATAGAAAAGAAAAGAAGAGGAAGGTCGGTATTCGAGTCCTGTTTGTGGAAAGCAGAGGACTGACTCTGGATACATTCCCCTTCTTTACTGGTATGTATGTGGACGGCAGGTGTTGGTGGTAGGTAGGTGAAAAAGACGCCGAAATTCGGGTTGGAGGGAACAGGCGCTTGGATGGTGATATGTCGGATGGAAAAAGGAACCGAAAATTATAAAGGGATGCACGCTTATGCTCATTCATCGTCGTCATCATCGTCGTGAGACTCCCGGTCCTTCCAACCGCGTGACATCTCCACAGCCTTAGACCAGGTCTTGTACATGCGCTCTCCGGCCTTTTTAGAGATTTTCGGCTTGAAGGTAGCGGTGTTGGCGCGATTCATGTGTTTGAGATCCGAGAAGTCCTTCCAGACATCGATGGCGAAGCCGGCGGCTATGGCGGCGCCTAGAGCGGTTGTCTCATGCATTGCTGGGCGGTCGACAGGGATTTGGATGATATCGGCTTGGGTCTGGGGAGGTGCGGAGAATTAGTATTGAATCGGATGAAGAGCAAAAAAGGGAGGTGGTTATTACCTGCATGCAAATATCGGAATTGCTCATGCCGCCGTCCACGGCCAATTCCGTTAGCTTCTTGCCGCTGTCCATCTCCATGGCATCGAGGATGGCTTTTGTTTGGAAGCATGCTGCTTCCATGGTTGCGCGCGCGATGTGACCACGCTGGGTGTGCTGGGTGATGCCGACTACGGTGATATTAGTGTCAAAGTCCAATCGCTCGTTAGAACGCAGAAAGAAAACGTACAAATTGTCCCCTGGGCATCGTCGATCCAGTAAGGTGCAAACAGACCACTAAATGCGGTCACGAACACGCAACCACCGCTGTCCGGCACAGTGGCAGCTAAGTCGCTGACCTTGCGGGAATCCCGGAAAAAACCCAGGTTGTTCATCAGGAATGACACGCCGCTGCCAGCCACGGCTACGCTACCCTCCAGGGCATAGACGGGCTTGCGATCTCGGCCGAGCTGGAATCCCACTGTGCCTAGCAGGCCGTGTTTGGAGATGACGGGTTTCTCGCCCACGTTATAGAGAAGGAAGCAACCCGTGCCATAGGTGTTCTTGGCCATTCCAGGAGTGAAGGCGCAGTGACCGACCAGTGCGGACGCCTGATCACCTAGACAACTGGTGATGCGAACACCCTCCAAAGGCCCCTCGGCGACTTCGCCGAATCCCTCCCGGTCAGCGGAGGGCAGGATATCCGGCAGCCGAATCTTATTGCGGTCGATATCAAAGAATTTCAACAACCGGTCGTCATACTGTAGAGTCTCGAGGTTCATAAACATGGTGCGGGATGCGTTGGTCACATCCGTGACTAGGCGCTTGTTTCGTGGCCCACCATTTAGATTGTAAATGAGCCAGGTGTCGACGGTCCCAAAGGCAGCGCGGCCCTCGTCATACGCGGACCGAACGTCGGGGAGGTTATCGAGCATCCAGCGCAAGGTGACCGAGGAAGGATATGTGGAGAGAGGCAGACCGCAGATATTCACGAGGTCATCTGCGCCCGGCTTGGTCTTGAGCTGGCGCACCAGCTCCGCGGTCCGGGTGTCGGTCCAGGTGATGGCATTGTGCAGGGGCTCGCCGGTCTCCCAATCCCAGACGATGATGGTTTCTCGTTGACTGGTGATGCCAATGGCCTCGATATCGAATTTGGCGTGGCCAAGGGCGAGGAAGGACTTCATCGCCTCCTCGATACAGATGTAGACGGACTCGACAAGCTCGTAGGGGTCGTGTTCGTGCCATCTTTGAGGGGAAAACACATTAGTGACGGTCCCAGCAATTGGGATGAAAATGCATCGATCACATACCCTGGATTCTCGTGGATCTGGCGGAACTCAGTCTGGTACTGGGCGATGGGGACGCCCGTGCAGTCGAAGATGATGAAGCGAGTGCTAGTGGTACCCTGATCGATGGTACCGATAAACCGCTCCTTCAGGTCGTCAGTACGGCGGGATTCATCCTGCAGCAGGGACCGGTTGCCGTCCTGCGACTCTTCAGGTTGAATCACAATCGATTCGTCGGCGGGCTCAGAGTCTCCGTCGACACTGGCAAAGTCCAGTTCGAAAGGGTTTCGCATCTTCCGGAGGATATCTGTGCGATAAAGAGGGAGCGGGTGGTGGGTGGCCGAGGAGAGTGCGCGGGGGTTGGTGGTGGTGGTGTTGGTGGATTTACGTCTTAGAAGAGAGGATGACGAGGGCTACACGGTGGCGGTGGTCCGTTACGGAAGGTGGAGCGTGACGTTTAAGTGGCCAACGGGAGGGCGAGGTGGTGGGGAAAGAAAGCGAGATCAGACTCCGCACAGAGAGAGTGAGTGAGTGAGTGAGAATTTGTGAAGAGGAGTATGAAGAAGAAGAAGAAACAAGAGAGGAAAAGAAGAGAAGAAGAAAAGAAGAAAGGAAAGAAGAAGAGAAGAAAACGAGCAGGGCCAGAGAGACAGAGGGAACAAGCAGCGGTGGGTTGGTCCCCCACTTTGCCAAACCTGCTCTGTCCAGGTGATCACGACTCATCTCCACTTCCCAACCCTTCCGTCCTTTTTTGCGCATCGTCGAGTACTATTCTAGACCCGGGAGACACGGGATGGGCGCGATGCCGAGTCTCCTATTCGAGGAATGAACCGGAGGAATTGTGCATGCAGCCCAGGAACCATACTTAAACTAGACGACCGTAGCTAGAGCTCGGCTAGAGACAGGAAGAAGGCCGATCCATCCACCTCGCCCAACCTTCCCTGATCGCCGCAGACATCATCTGACCTCATCGGGGGCATCCTCTGTCCATGTATGCGACACAATGATTTTTTTTATTATTAAAACCCTACCATTGCGATCATGGAAAAATTCAACACTCTCGAAACAAATGAAATAATTCAGTGTCCGCCCGAAGCGGGTTCTGCGGATATTCTACAGGAATTCACAGGAATGCAAGAAGATCAAACAACCCCCTTTTCTACTCGGACTCCTCCTCCTGGCCCAGCTCAGCCCGGCGGCGGGCATCGGCCTCCTCCTTCTCCTTCTTCTGCAGGAAGATCAGGGCGTTGATCTTGTCCTTGATCGTGTGCTCCGAGCTGATGGTCTGCTGGATCTGCTCGCGCCCGATGAGGGTGGCCACGATGCTGGCACCCACCACAAAGGTCAGCACGAAGCGGTACATGCCGTACCAGTGCGGCGCACGGCCGGCGGCGGCGGCGCGGGCGTCATTGTAGTACAGGAAGGTGAAGGCGAGGAACTGGCTGATCAGCGCGTACTCGACGGGGAGCAGCAGCGTCGGCCAGGCCACAGCGGGAGCCAGGACACCGGCGGCGTAGCGGCGGTAGCCATACTTGCCACCGTAGCCGGCCCATTCGAGACCCCAGTGGATGGCACCGAGGAAGGAGAGGATCTGGCAGACAATGAATCAGTCATGCATAAAACAGGCGGTGGGGACAGTACGAGGCACTCACCACAGCGCCGTAGCCAACCTGGATGGGCTCCAGCATGTGCAGCATCAGCTCCGCGGTCTGGCCAGAGAAGAGCAGACCGTCACCCGCGACCGCAGCGCGGTTGATCTCATAGGAGAGGTAGACAGTCTCCATGGAGGTGACCAGGTAGGGGACGACACCGGCCATACCGATGGCGAGAGCCTCCTTGGGGACCTCCGCCAGGCTGAAGGTATCCTTAATGACTTTCTAGACTCGCAATTGCAATCAGCAATGCTCTTCTAGAGCTCATTGATAGCTCAGGTGCAGGGAAAAAACATACCGCCTCGGACTTCATGCCAGCCATCATATCGACTTCCTCGTCATCCTACCAGTCGATCGGTCAGCCATTGGACATGCTCCTCACCCTAACGGGCCTTGTTGTAACATACCTTAGCAGAGGAGGACGCATAGCGCACCAGGGCGGTGGTGACGGGCTTGTGCGCGGCGAGGGCGAAGCTGGGCTTCACGGTCGGGCGGATGGCGCGAGCGGACGAGGTCAGTTGGGCCTTGAACATCTGGTTGCCCAGAGCCGAGCGAGCCACAGAGGCATTGGAGCTTGAGACTGCTCGGAAGACCGAGCGGGCGGCGGTGTTGCGGTACATGGCGGGGAGAAATAGCTTTTTCGTGGAGATCCGGGTTAGCAACGTGCAAGCCTCGGATATGGGAGAAGCAGAGTCCACGCACCCAATTGAGCTGGCAAATATAAGCTGGGGGTGAGAGTGGAGAGTAGAGAAGGGGGGGTGTGAAACCCGGACACAGGAGCTGAAGATGGCAGTCGGGGAGGCCGTGAAGTTCCGGGGAGAGAGAGCAGTTGAGATGAAGTTGTGGTGACCACGAGCATCCGGCGGACCGGAGCGACCCGAGTTGCATATGCTGCCTCAGGCTGACCGTTCGGAGCAGAGCACGTGACCACAGGGGCGCAGCCCTAGCTTAGGTAACGGCATTCTGGGGGAGAGTGACGTATTTAGGCAGTTGAATGCACGGGAGTAAACAAGCGTAGCCTCCAGTATGGGCAGACTCCGTCAGCATTAGCATTGGCACTCACTACTGCGAGCCTTGGAAATGAATGAGACCATATCGCAGGGGGTCCACTAGGGGCCATTCCCCGGAAAAGGGACGTGAGAGTTCTTGTGTTTGTAGTGTAGATTTGGCGGCGAGGCAAGTACCTTGCCCGTACCGCCCGACGTACCACCGCCCGTAAACCTGCTGCTCCACGTCAGTCAGTCACGGGCTTGGAGACCCTCAACCCAGCTTGGATCAATTCCCTCCCCTCGCCTTCTCTCGCCTCACTTCCTCTCCCTTTCGAACACAAATTCCATCCATTCTTTTTCCCTCGCCTCCCCTAAATCCCGTTCCTTCGAAAGCTGGGTATCCTGCCTCGGTATCGCGTGCGGCCTGCCTGCTCTACTGGATGGCTTGAATTGCCCCCAATTGCGACAGTTCCTGAGGCTGAACCCTGTTCTACGTGAGCGTCTCTGCTCTCACCATCCAGTTAAGACGGTCACTGACGAGCTCTAGACCTGGCATTAGACTATCACCGACCACAACCCTCCCCTGCCCCTCCCCCCCGGCCATAGAGCCCAATCCCCGGGCCCGGTCAACGGCCGCCCCCCGCAACCATGTTGGAAGGCCTGGTTGCTAATCTGCTCAACCGATTCCTCGGAATATACGTCAAGAATTTCGATGCGAAGCAGCTGAACATCGGAATTTGGTCGGGCGATGTCAAACTGCGGAACCTCGAGCTGCGCCGGGAAGCGCTCGACCAGCTTCGCCTTCCATTAAACGTTGTCGAGGGCCATCTCGGCGAGCTTACCTTATCGATTCCGTGGTCCAACCTAAGAGGCAAACCCGTCAAGGTCGACATCGAGGATGTGTTTTTGCTCGCGGCGCCGAAGGAAGATGCAGACTACAACACCGAGGAGGAGGAACGGAGGCAGCATGCGCTGAAAATGGAGAAGATTGAGGGCGCGGAGATTCTACGCGAACAAAATGCGGACGGTATGAGCCAGGAAGAACAGCGACGGAACCAAAGCTTCACCGAGAGCATGGTCACGGCCGTGGTCGACAACCTTCAGATCTCCATTAAGAACGTGCATTTTCGCTACGAGGACTCGATTGCCTCTCCAGGCCACCCCTTTGCCGTGGGCTTGACCCTGAAAGAGCTCAGCGCCGTCAGCACAGACTCGGAATGGAATCCTACTTTCATCCAGTCCACCTCTGGAATCACACACAAGTTGGCAGTTCTCGGTGCCCTCTCTGTCTACTGGAATACAGATGCTACGCTGTTGGGAACCGGTAGAGGCTCTGATATTGGCGCCGAGGCTCAGGGGACCAGCCACGAAGAGTTGATGGAGAAATTGCGGACCGCAATTGACAGCGACGAAGGCAACCAGTTCATGCTTCGCCCCGTGAGTGGACGTGCTGGTCTTGAACTGGACAAATCAGGGAAACACGACCGCCCCGCAATCAAAGCGCGTCTCCTGTTCGATGAGCTGGGTTTTGTCTTGGATGACAATCAATATCGCGATGCTCTGATGCTGGTTGATCTGTTCCATTACTTCATCCGCCACCAGGAGTACAAAAAACTCCAGCCCAAGTGCTCTCCGAAAGAAGATCCTCGCGCGTGGATGAAGTTCGCTGGAGACGCGATCCTCAGCAAAATTCATGATCGCAATAGACGCTGGACCTGGGACTACATCAAGGAACGCAGAGACGACCGCATAGCCTACATAAATTTGTTCAAGAAGAGGAAACGAGAAGAGGCTCTTTCTTCGGAAGAAACCAAAACCCTGGAAGCACTGGAATGGAAACTTAGCTACGAGGATATAAGGTTCTGGCGATCGCTCGCAAGGAACCAGCTGCGCAAGGAAAATGTCGGAATCAAGAAACCCGCCCGCCAACAGACATGGGGCGAGTGGATCTGGGGCGCCAAAAAGGAAGAGGACGAAGAAGAAACCACCATGACCGAGGAGCAGCGGCAAGAGCTCTACAACGCGATTGACTGGGACGAAAAGAAGGCAATCTCGGAGAGCGTCGATGTTCCACGGGAATGGGTCAAGTTGCAGGTCAATTGGAGTCTCCGCGCCGGCAGCTTCACCCTGAAACAGGACCCTCACGGTGCTGCGAATGAAGTCATGAAGCTGGTGTTTGACAATTTCCGTGCAAAAGCCCTTCAGCGGCCAGACTCCTATCTCCTTGATCTGGACCTCGGTGGCTTGAAAATGTACGACGGCACCACTCCCGGCAGTCTCTACCCCCAAATCGTGAAAGTGAAGGATTCCCTTCCCGAGCCCTCCAAACGCGAAGAAAAAAGTGGTGAGGATGATGACCTTGCCTCGGAAGCGAGTGCAGATGTCATCGAAGATGAAGACAGTCTGTTCCACCTGCAGCTTGAGAAGAATCCATTAGACAGCGACGCAGACTCGGCCGTCAAGGTCAAGCTGAAGAGTATTGAGGTCATCTACAACCCTCGATTTTTGGTGGGGATTGTAAAATTTTTCGAACCACCCGAGCGACATATGGAGTCTATTGGAGCACTTTTGGATACTGCAGGTGCCACAGTCGAAGGCCTCAGACAGCAAACCCGAGCGGGACTGGAGTTTGCCCTGCAGGAACACAAGAAGGTTGACGCGCAGTTCGATGTGCACGCGCCTTTGATCATTGTTCCGGAAAGCATTACGCAGGAATCTTCGCTGTGCTTGATCCTTGATGCCGGTCATGCGAGTGTCAACAGTGAACTGGTCGACCGCCAGGCCATGCGAGACCTTCAATCCAAGCAGAAGCGGACATACGAAGCGGAGGACTACAAGCAATTAGAGCACTTGCTTTACGATCGCTTCCTCATCAAGCTGGATTCCACGCAGCTCCTGATTGGACCCGGCGTGGATGCAACAAAAGCGCAGCTCAGTTCAGGTGTCGAGTCCAAGAACTTCCATATCATTGACCGGATCAACGTCGACTTTGTGCTGGAGATGTGTATTGTGCCGAAACAGACCCAGCTCACGCGCACGCGCATCTCGGGCCATTTGCCAGAACTTCATGCCTCCATGTCGGACACCAAATATAAGGGATTGATGAAGCTGATCGACATTGCCATTCCGCACTTCGAGAATGATAAACCAGCGTCTGATCCTACATCACTTGAAGCCAAGAAAGAGGAAACAGCGCTAGCCACGAGAGCCAGATCGTCCTCTTTCCAACCTCCGGTCCTCCCTGTCGTCGACGAAGATTTCGAGGCAGATTCAGACAGTGAACAGGCCAAGAAGAGTCTGGATACACCGACTAACATTCATCGCCGAGATTTCGAGTTTAAATTCACCGTTGGCCGCCTTCGCGGGTCCTTGTTTCGGTCCAAGTCGCATGATATGCAACACGATCAACTGCTGGTTGAATTGGTCGCCGAAGGGTTCGAGCTGGACTACTACATGCGTCCTTACGACATGGTTGCTGAAGTGGTCCTGAAATCACTGAGTGTGGACGACTATATTGAGGAAAACCCGGTTCCTGAATTCAAGAGGATTATCTCTTCGAAAGGGTTTAACGCCGACGAGGATAAGGATCTTTTCCATTTGAAGATGGTACGGGTCAAACCCGAGTCTCCAGAATTTGAGTCGACCTACGAAGGAGTGGCGATGAATCTCGATATATCGGTCTCGACAATCAACCTCGTAGTGACACGGAAGACGCTCCTCACGCTCCTGGACTTCATACTTCTCACCTTCACAAACCCTCAACAGCCACCTGCCCAAGACGATCAACCCGACAAGGCCATACAGGAATTGAACAATACCGATGAGCAGCCCCAGCAGGTTGGGAAACTGCGCATCAAGACCAATCTCCAGAGTATCGCGCTGATCTTAAACAACGATGGCGTCCGCTTGGCAACTCTGAGTCTCAATACTGCAGATGTCGGCATTTTCCTCGTCGGTCGTGCCATGACCATCCAGTCTCGGATAGGAAGCTTGACCTTGGTCGACGATGTCAACCTCGGTGCATCGGAGGAGTCGGACATTCGACGACTCATGACCATCGAAGGCGACAACTTTGCAGACTTCAAGTACGAAACCTTCGATCCTGAAAGCGATACTTATCCCGGCTATGACTCTGAGGTCTATCTACGGTCTGGCTCCATTAAAATCAATTTTTTGGAGGAACCCTACCGTAAGATCATCAACTTCTTGGTCAAGTTTGGCAAAATGCAAGCCATTTTCAATGCAGCCCGGCAGGCAGCGGCGAACCAAGCGAACCAGTTGCAGGAGAACGCTTCGCGAATGCGGCTTGATATCGTGGTCAAGACTCCGATCGTCGTGTTCCCACGAGTGGTGGCAGATGACCGGCCGCGAGATACGATCACGGCACACCTCGGTGAAATTTATGCCAAGAACGAATTCGTGCCCATGGACGACTCCAAGGACAGTCCCGCAGTCAACGTGATCTCAACTGGCGTTCGCAACATCCGCCTTACCTCCAACTTGCATTTCAATGGTGGTGTCTCGGAAGAGCTGGAAATGATCCAGAAAGTCAATCTCGAGTTCAGTATCTGCTACTTGGAGCATCAAACCGACAATTCGCGACCGGATATGGAGGTCGAAGGTTCTTTGTCGCCTATCAACCTGCGCATCTCGCAAAGTCAACTCAAATTTTTGTTGGCTCTTTCAAAGTCGATCCCGGCTGCATTTGCGACTGATGCTGAGCAACAGGAACTTGAGGCCATGGAGTCTCTGCCTTCGTCCGTTACTGAACCCACACGCGAGGCCACCTCAAAAGCTGTACAGGCCCCCAGTGATGGCGAAAATCAAGAAGTATGGGTACGACTTGATATGATCTTTAAAGTGGACAGCGTTGGCCTGGAGCTTATTCTAGGGACCGACAACCAACCCGTTGGCAGCTTGGAAGATTCTAGTCTTTCCAAGTTCTCCCTCAACGACACCAGAGTCAAGCTGCGCATGTTGACGGATGGATCGTTGGATTCGGAGTTACTGATTCACTCGTTCTCGATCCGAGATAGCCGTCGCCAGGACACGAACAAGTTTAGGAACATTATGTCACTCATCAACAACGACGTTAAGCAGCAGTTCATGGCTAGCGTTTCCATGTCCCCTGGTCCGGAGAAGCATCTCATTGCGATGTTGACGATTGACAGCCCTCGCATCATGTTCGCCTTGGACTATCTCTCCGCTCTGCAGTCCTTTACGCATTCGGCATTTGCATCGGACGAACCAGAGGAAATTTTCGAGGAAGAAACAGAATCCCCTGAAGAATCCGACCTCGGATCCGTTGCTGCGAGCGTCGACCAAGCATCGACAGAAACGTCAGCTGGAGACAACCAGGCTGAAAAAATGACCGTGTCATTTCGGGCGAACCTGGTGGATGCTCAGGTTATTATGGTTGCGAACCCTGCCATCCCTCACTCCGAAGCCATTGTGCTTGGGACGAAGGAGATCCTCATCTCTCACCAGAATGTCTCAACGCTGCAGATTCAGAAGGTTGGTATGTTCTTGTGCCGCATGGACAAGTTTGAAACAAGCCGACTTCGGATTCTGGACGATTTCACCGTGGAACTTTCTGTTGATAGCCGACCGCAAGAAAAGGGATCTGCTTTGACCTCCATCGAGGGTCACGTAGAGCCACTCGTTCTCAGGTTGTCGCTGCGTGATATCTTGATGGCAATTCAGATTGTCAACAAGGCGTCTGAGATGAGGGCTCGCAATGCTCAGCAGGTCGAGGGCAGTGATGCGAAGAAGATTGCTGATGGAAAGGGCACGAGGGCACGATCGGCGAGCAAGACGTCCTCGACTATAGCAACCCGCACCCGGCGCCGCCTGAGCCAGACGATTGAAACCGTGGACAAGAGCGTTTTACCGCAGACCTCGGCAGTCCTGAAGCGCGAAGAATTATCGGCCAAGATGGATGGCCTTCGTGTGATTCTTATCGGAGACCTGCACGACTTGCCTCTTCTCGACTGGAGTGTCAAGGGATTCACCGTGAACGTACGGGACTGGTCCTCTACGCTGAGTGCAGACACAAATTTCGATACCTATCTAAATGTCTACAACTTCTCGAAGTCGGCATGGGAGCCATTGATTGAACCGTGGCAACTGGGATTCCATATGGCCAAGGAGGTCAACCCAGATGTTCTTTCCATTGATGCGTATTCCCACAAGAATATGGAACTCACTGTCACTTCTGCCACGATTGCTCTCGCATCCAAATCCTTCCAGTTCCTGTCTACGGATGAAGATGTTCTCTCTAAGCCAAGAGGCGCTGATGCTCCTTATCGGATCCGCAACCACACCGGGTTCGATCTTAGAGTTTGGGCCGATGTCAGCGCTGGGGAGGACGGTCCTGCCGCGAAGCTCAGTGATGGAGAAGAAGCTCCCTGGCGTTTTGAGGATTCCACCGCTGTTCGAGAGACACTTACGCCCGAAGGCCATGGCGGTGTGGTGGGCGTGAAGCTGGAAGGAAGTGGGTTTGACAGCATCGCCCGAATTCCTGTGGTGCGAGAAGGAGAGGTCATCTACGGGTTGAAACCCAAGCAAGATGGTGTCCTGCACCGTTTGCTTGTGGAGGTCACGCTGGGAGCCAACAATGTCAAGTATATCACCTTCCGATCCCCGTTCCTCATTGAGAACAACACACAGATCCCCGTCGAACTGGGTGTCGTCAGCCCTGGTGAAGGCAACTTGTTGAAGATCGAGAAGATTCTCCCAGGCGATGCTCGCCCCGCCCCCGTTGGATCAGCATTTCTCCATTCGGTGGTTATCCGGCCTGACCAGGGCTTTGGGTATGACTGGTCAAACGAGCAGCTGTTTTGGAAAGACCTTTTGCGCCGGCCAACGCGAACGGTCAAGTGCGTCAGCGAGAATGGACAGCAGTCGCCTCCTTTCTATTTCCAGGTCAATGCAACCTACGAGTCGAAGGACTCACTCACAAGCACGTACCCCTACATGCGTGTTCGCATTTTTGCACCCGTGGAAATTGAGAACCTACTGCCTTATGACTTCAAGTACCGCATTTATGACAAGAACACTAAGAAGGACTGGACAAACTTCTTGCGGAAGGGAGGTGTGAGCCCCGTTCACGTGGTGGAGCTGTCTCACTTACTCCTGCTGAGCATCGACCTGGAGGACACCGTCTTCCGTCAGAGCGAATTTGGCATCATTAACGGGAATGCTCAGGACTATCGCAGAGAGCATACCCTTTGCCTGAAAGATGAACACCATCTGCAGTTGAAGCTGAACCTGCACTATTTCAACATCCCCAATAGTGGAGGCGCCTTCAAGGTCTCTGTCTACAGCCCGTACCTCATTCTGAACAGGACCGGTCTCCCCATGGATATTCAAAGCAAGGCCTTCCTCCAGTCCGCGCGAAATGCTGCTGGCCAAGGACTCAGAGTTGACCCGAGAGACGGAGGCCGTGCGCTGCCGTACATGTATTCTTACTCCACGGATGACCAGCGGAACCGATCTATCCTAAAGGTCGGTGACTCTGCATGGAGTAAGCCCCAGAGTCTCGAGGCCATCGGCAGCACCTTTGAAGTGATCTTCCCCGACCGGACTGGCAGATCTGAATTTCACTCCGGAGTCTCTGTTAACAAAGGCGAAGGCAAATACAAGCTGACAAAGGTGGTGACCATCGCACCGCGGTTCATTTTGAAGAACAAGCTTAGCGAAGATCTTCAAGTGCGCGAGCCCGGGTCGTCGAATGTTGTTCAGATCAAGAGCGGTGAATTGATCCCGCTGCACTTCCTGCGACAAGTTGCGGAGAAACAACTCTGTCTCTGTTTCCCCGGTGTCAATAATCAGTGGTCCTCGCCGTTCAATATTGCGGATGTCGGGACCGTGCATGTCAAGCTGGCTAAGGCGAACCAGCGACAGCGGTTGATTAAGGTGGATGTCATCATGGAGGACGCGACACTCTTCCTACACTTTAGTCTCGAGACGCGGAACTGGCCGTACTCGATGCGCAATGAAAGTGACATGGAGTTCCTCTTCTACCAAGCCGTGAGTGGACTATTCATGAAAAACTGCTATTTTTCAAAGCTAATTTAACTTGCCTTTTAGAATCCAAATGTCGAAGATGATGAAGACGACCGAACGAGCGGCTGGCGGCCGATTCGGTATCGTTTGCCGCCGCGGAGTATCATGCCTTATTCTTGGGACTATCCCGCGAGTAAGAACAAGTCTCTCGTCTTGACCTGCAATGGGAAAGAGCGCCATATCAGGCTTGCTGAGATTGGTAATTTGATTCCGATGCGCGTTCCACCTTCACAGCAAGGCGGATACCAGAAGATCATCGACATCAGCATCGTTGCCGATGGGCCCACTCAGACTCTCATGCTGTCGAATTTCAAGCCTTCCAAGAGTATCTACAAGCAGCAGAAGGCCCAGTCCAGCACGAGCACTACTGGGTTTGAAGTCAAGGAAATGAGTTCAGAAGTGAACTTCAAGGCCCAGCTTCGTCTGGGCGGCATTGGTATTTCCTTGATCAACCAGAATCTACGGGAGCTGGTTTACCTCACCTTCCGGGAAATCGAGATCAAGTACAGGGAGTCGAGGCTGTACCAGACTCTGAACACGACGATCAAGTGGATCCAGATCGACAATCAGTTGTATGGCGGCATTTTCCCAATCCTGTTGTATCCCAGTGTGGTTCCCAAGACCGGAAAGGAGATGGAGGCGCACCCGATCTTCCACGCGATGGTGACTAGGGTCAAAGACGACTCCTATGGTGTTCTTTACATCAAGTATGCCACACTGCTTCTGCAGCAGATGACCCTTGAGCTAGACGAGGACTTTGTCATGGCCATGCTGGACTTCGTCAAGATCCCTGGAGCTTCGTGGACCGAGGAGCAAGAGGAGGGCGAACTGTGTGAAGAGGATCTGAATATTCCAGAACCACAGCAGGAAGACGCCGGTCAGGATGTCTACTTTGAGCTTCTTCACTTGCAGCCCATGCAGTTAGATATCTCTTTCATGCGGACTGAGCGTGTCAATGTGGAGGATACAATCCAGCCGTCCAACCCGCTGATGTTCTTCATCAATATCATGACCATGTCGATGGGTAATGTCAACGACGCGCCTATCCGACTCAATGCTCTGATGCTGGAAAATGCCCGTGTCTCCTTTGGGCGCTTGGTCAGCAACGTCCGCGCGCACTACACACAAGAATTCTTGCGTCAAGTCCACATCATCGTTGGTTCGGCTGATTTCCTGGGTAATCCCGTCGGTCTGTTCAACAATATCAGCTCCGGTATGGCCGCCATCTTCTATGAGCCGTACCAAGGCATGGTCGTGACCGACCGACCCCAGGAGCTCGGCTACGGCATTGCAAAAGGAGCCACCTTCTTCGTCAAGAAATCCATCTTTGGATTTTCGGACAGTATGGCGAAGCTTACTGGAAGTATGTCCAAGGGTCTTGCGGCTGCGACTCTGGACAAGGAGTTCCAAAACCAGCGACGGATGTCCAAATCTCGTAATCGCCCCAAGCACGCATTGTACGGCATCACGGCTGGCGGTAATGCCTTTGCAACTAGCTTAGCTAGTGGAATTGGTGGGTTGGCCCGCCATCCATTGCAAGGTGCGGAGAAGGAAGGTGCCCTGGGATTTTTCAAAGGTGTTGGAAAGGGTGTTTTAGGTCTGGCCACCAAGCCAGCCATTGGTGCCTTTGACCTAGCCTCCAGTAAGATTCTTTTTAAACCAACCCCTTCACTCACATCTACTAACACAACTACCCCCTATCACAGATCTCGCAGAAGGCGTCCGAAACACCACCACCGTTTTCGACGCAGAGGGCCTCGACCGCGTCCGTCTAACCCGCTTCATCGGCATGGACGGCATCGTCCGCCCGTACTCCCAGCGCGAAGCCCTTGGCCAGTTCTGGCTTAAGACCACAGACGACGGCAAGTACTTCAACGAGGATTACATCGCCCACCTGGAACTACCTGGTCGCGACATGCTGGTTCTGTTGACGTACGCGTGTATCATGCTCGTCCGCGCGAAGAAGCTCGACACTGAGTGGGACATCCGGCTTACGGATATCCAAACTATCTCCAAGGAACGCACCGGCATGAGTATCACGCTTAAGGGTGGCGCAAACGGGCCCTTTATTCCTGTTCAGGAGGAGAGCGCCAGAAACTGGCTGTATAAGCAGATTGCTATTGGTGAGTGCTGTCTTTCTTTTGTTTCCGTTGTTGATGATGAGGATGAAGCTAATAATTTTGGATTATAGCGGTCAATGCCTTCAATGAGAAGTATAATTCCAATCGAGGATAGAGGAGGATTCTGAGAGTCGTTCACGATTTCATGAAAACGCAAGCGATAAGACCGATTGGGTCTTCCCTTTTGTCTCGTTCAAGTACATACGTTTTTCTGTCTCCTTATATGGTTTTTGAGCATTGGCTGGTTTTTCTTTTTTTTTTGGGTCTCTTGTTCATTCATGTACACAGCTATCAGTATTAATGTCACCGTGGTATTATGCTCAAAGACAAAGCCTGTAAAATGGATTCCCCTAGGTAGTGACAGAGTAGACGCTTCGAACTGGCGAGAGAGATCCCGGGATTCATGCCCTGACAATTGTGACCATGATGCTGGTCAGTGCTTGCTAGATCCGAACCTTCTGTATCCCTGCAATGCACACGAGAGAATATGTACACTCCAAGCCCATGGCCCAAAATGAACACCAAAGCCAAGCAGTTCATCAGGAATTCCTCCATCTGAGATTTATGTTGATTGTGCAGATAGGGTCACGGAACAGCTTTGTCAGGGCCCGGTCGTTGCGCCGTGTTCTTGATAGTATGCAAAAACATAGACGGAAAACAATGTCGTCCCTAGATATATCATGCTCAGTAGTCAGAGCTGAACATCATATCCCACGACCTACACAATTGCATACCTAAGTTGGCTCCTAAACCATAAACCTGGAAGAACAACCATAGCCCATCCATCTACTTCAATATCCAAAAGCCAACCTCACTACACCCAATGCAAAATCTCAAACACCAGAAAAACCTTGCGACACAAAACGATGAGATAATACTATTTTGGGGACAGCCAACCTCCCAGTAATTATGTACAACACGAACATGCAAACAAGAAGCAAAGGAAAGAAGAGAAGAGACAGAGGAAGGAACCAATAATCAAAGAGATCATGATGTTGTGCCAGGTGCTTATACTTATACTAATTAAGTAGACTCACCAAATCAAATCAAGTCCACGAATGGGTGCACACACATCACACACATCGACACAAGCCACCACCACCCAGCAGCCATCGTCCAGATATGCACTCCCCTAAGAATACATTGTATTGCATCGTAGCTTGGATAACAAAACAAAACACCAGATTTGTTCGTAGAGGCAGAGCTCTCTCTAAGCAAAGTAGCTCTTCCAGAGAACACCCGAGAGATCTTCCAGTTGATCAGACGTGAATGCCTAATTGTAGCGCGTTCGTTAGCATATGTTCTCCCCAAAGTAGAAATTAATGGGACTGCTTACCTTGCAATCAATGTGCCAAGTATCCTGTCTCGTCTTCTTGAACTCACTGATAATCGACTTGACACTGGACCCCACAATACCGGGATCATTCGCCGCGCGAATACTCAGCGTTGTCAGAGCCTCGGGCATCCACTGTGGCGGCGGGCTGTTATAGGGAAACGCTTGGATCAAAGCGCCCAGGCCGAGCACCGCGCCGTGGCGAGCAATAATCAGACGATTGTGCTCTGGCGTCGGGGTGCCGGTGCCGGACGATGCAGCAGACGAAATACCGGAGCGGAAGTTCTTGGGTTTCTTTGGGAGAGGATTATCGGCCAGCACCTTTGTGAAGCGGCTCTGGAAGCGGCGGACGTTGGTGTCGCGCAGGAAGACGGGTGAGCAGCGGACCATGCCGGAAAGGGTGGCCGAGGCGCCGGCGCGGACTTCGTGCTGGGGATCCTCGAGCATGGAGGCGATGCATTCGAAGAGCTTGTCGCGGTCACCGGAGTCCAGGAGGAAGAGCCGGCGGAAGTAGATGATTTGGATGTTGATCATGACGCGCAGACGCTGGTGCCACGACGGAGAGGTCTGGCCGATGTGGATGAGGGTTTGGATAAATTGGGATTCCTTTTCGGCGGGGTAGGGGATATTGGGTAGGTGGCGGAAGACGTGGTATGCGAGGGATTGAAGCTCCGGGTCTTCTTTCACGTCCATCATATGTAGGAGTTGCGCAGTGAAGACCTCGGAGAAGAACGGTACGAGCTGCGAGCACTCGTGAGAGGATAGAGTTGAATCTAGCCAGAGAAGAACGGTTTTGCTGCCAGAAGTGTAGGAGGACGGTGTTTGGAGACCAGGGGTCCGCAACTGCCGCCACTTCTCGATCCGATCGAAGACACCACGCACCATCTGCGAGAACTCACTAGACGGAGAATAAGGGAACATGCCGACCGACGAAGACGACTTCTGAGCATCGATGAGATGCTGCAAGTCAGGGTACGACTCGTGATATCTAGTGCGGTAGATAGTCGCCAGCGTCTGACCCATCGCCTCCCGCACTCCCTTGTAGGGGTGATCCAGATGCGCCAGGAAGTCATCCACAATCGGCTTCTCCAGTTGGAAATGCCACCCAGCATCGATGATGCACTGATGAAGCAGGTTGATCTTCGAGCTCTCCTTGAAAGCTGCGTTGGTCGTCATATCCAGGCGGAAGCTGGCCAGCCAGTCCACCAAGGGCCAGGCACGTCGCGGATCGCGGCACTGCAAGATCATGTGGAGGAAAGTTGTCCAGTAGCCGGAGTTTTCAGGAGTGAGACCATCGCTGAAGACCTTCCTGACAATGGGGAACGCATACTCCCACACCAGGGTCCGCTTCTCCACGTTCGTGTCTGTCACAGAGCTGATCAAGGCACCCAAAATCTCGGATGTTGCGCGATGTTGGTGTTTGTCGCTTCCATCTTCATAGACGCTTTCGATTTCTTCCTTAATGTCCTTGAAAGAAGCGGCCGTGAGTCCATCCCGCAGCATAAGCTCAAAAGCGTAGAGAAGCATCATGGCGCAAGACATTCGGAACTTATCAGCGGAGGGATCACGCGGCTCTTGCTTCAGATACATGAAGAACTTGGAGAACCATTCCCGGGTGAACAGTTTGCCCATCTGGACGCGCACATTCCACTCCACATCATCATACTCGATGTCGCGTTCCACGTTGGACTTGTAGGCAGGCATTGTCTTACCCCACACGAGCCAGCCGGGGAAATCGTGGTCGATGTAGTACTCGGCTTCGGGTTTAGCAAAGCTGGCCAGGTACTCTTGAGTCCACCCCTTCTCAAACGCCTTGGTAGCCACCTTGATCTTGGATGGGAACCGCTGGTGACCGAGGATGTAGTTCTTGTACTCGTGAGTGCAGATGGCGCGGACATCGATCATCGTAAATAGGGCAATCAGAGCCTGGGAGTACATGCCACGCAGGCCCGGGTGGTCATCAATGGACCCCAGAGTCACCAGCTCGATCAGGTTCGCACTGGCAACGTAATCGAACCGAAGACCCATAGTGATCACAATTGTTGCAGCGCGACTGGCAATCTTCCAATGCGACACCCGAGCCAAGTTCACCAACTCCTCGGCCAGATCAGCCTTCTTTTTCTCAATTGCAACGCGCTTCTTGTTGATGGCAGTCCTCTTCTTCTCGATCTGCTCGCTGACGTTTTCGCTTGGCGCAATCGCCTCCACTATGCCCTGATCCAAGATGGCCATCCGTTCCATGGCGCGACCATAGTCCATCACCTGGAAGACGGCACCCGAACAAATCTTTTGAACTGAAGGCTTATCAACGGCGCTGGCATCGATGAAAGTCTTGATAAGCGTCGGAGTAAACTTCCAATGCCGCCCAACAGTCTTTGCGACGCTGCTCAAAAGAAGAGAGAAAAGTGCGCCCTTGATTCGGGCATGATCGTTCTCTTTGACACCTTTCTGCAACGCTCGCATAAGAGGCGGGATGATGAGAAGTCGCGAGCCCCAAATCGCCTTGAGCGCAGACTCGCCGGCGTTTTGAGCGTTCCGGCGGGTCTCGGTGTAGAGGGAGACGCAGGACTCGGCAAGATCAAGAAGAAGGATCTCGTCGAGCTTGGACCGAGGTCGCGGCGCGGCATTGTGCCGAAGACGTTGCAGGTGGTACACATTGGCTCGACGCACCAATAATGCTCGAGGGTAATCCTTACGAATGCCACTCATCTTGTAGGGGTGAATATCGGCCGCCAAAAGACGCGTGACTCTGTCCAAGACATGGGCAGACCTTTCGATACCCACATCGACGAACCAAGACCGGAAGGCAGAGTACAAAGCCCCAAAGCAGGTCACGTCATCTTCTTGCTTGTCTGCCAAAAAGCGGTGGACGTCATGCAGAATCGAGCCGGCCCGTTCCCGGATTTCGTGGATGGTGGTGTACAGCGAATCTCCTGCCTGCAGGGAATAGCCAGTTGGATAGGTGAATGTCTCTCTGATCGTCGACTCATCCGAGGTATCAAGAGTGCCATCCGGATCGTCATCGCCAACACCATTAGATAGCTCTGGATCATCCACCATCTCAAAATCACTGGATACGGCCGAGGCACCGTTGGATATCTCCTTGGTTGTTGTTGAAGCCGCTTTAGGATCGAAAAGGACCGAGACGCCAGAAAGCAGAAGCCGCAGAAGGACGAGATTTCTGGTGACTTCATCCGACCAGTCCTTGCCGCTTCCATCGCGTTTGACACTGGAGGTTTCATTGGTCAAAGCCGATAGCTGCGACAAAGCTGTCTCCGCCTGGCTCTTGAAAACATCGACTGCAAACTCCAATTCCTCACGCTTCGGTACATGCCACTTGATATTCAAGTTACACACGTCTGGCCGGTAGCTCCAGTGCTCAGGTCCAATACCATTCGCGATGACCTCGGGCTCGTAGAGAGAGTAGTCGTTCGTGTACGTCCCCGTAAGGTTGAGAAGGAGATGGTGAATAAAGTTGGAGATGTGAACAGTCGGGATGCCACGGCACTTCTGCTGCATATAGACGGCAATATCGAACAGCTCCTGTCGATGGGCAAGCACAGCGTCGCCAACGTGCACAACACACATGCTGAGCATGCTGACGTTCCAGACCAAACCGCGATCTCGGGGCAATACATCCGTTCCCGTCGTTCTGGTCGACCCGGCTCCATTGTCTTCAATTTCGGTGCGGATCGCTTGGGTCAGGACTGGAATAAACCGCTTGAGGGCCTTTTCGGGGTTGACCTTGCACAATGCATTGCAGATGAAGGCCATGGCATCGCGAGCTTGATGGATGACGTGATTGGAAACAAAGTCGACAATTTTTGACAGGGCAATGTCGTAGTACTCTGGCGAGAGAGAAGAAAGCAGGGGCATGAAGGTCGCGGGCAGAGTGTTCACGATATTCTCCTCGGGGGACCCGTTGCGTACTCTGGTGACATCAGGCAGGTTCTCCAAAAGGGTGAAGACACGACCGAGAAAAGAGATGGTGAAGTCTCCGAAGCTACAGGTCGAGGAGCGCAGGATCATCTCTTCTGTTTCGTCATCCAGCTCCGTGTCATAATTTAGCTCAATGCCCGCTCCCTGCTCTTCCATTCTCTCCATTTCTCCCGAGATCCATTGCAGAGCTAGCATGTTACAGTTGATGTCATCCCTTCCTTTCGTCATATCCACCATGGGGATGTTGTAACAAGCGGACTGGATAAATGACAAAGCGTGCAAGGATTTGTCCAGGTCATTGGCATCGATTCCTGGTAGTGCAAGACCGAGGAGAGTGGTCATGTGGCACCGATAGCCTTTCGTTCGGGTAATGACACGGGAAAGTACTTGCATGGCTCGAAGAGATGAGGCCGTGCGGTGGACTTCCACCAGACCCTGCAGAGCAGGATAAATTCTCTGCAGTGCTCCGGGTAGGATAAGATGGGGCTCCAGATAAGCCAGACCTTGCAAGGTTGACAGAGAGAAGGTCATGGCAGTGCTACTCTTGGAGTAGATACCCATAAAGATGACATCCCGCAGACAAAGCACGAAACGACGCTTCAAGGGCTCGTTCAATCGTCGCTCGGGCGGGACTTCCATCTCTCCGCTCTGCTCACGGTTCCAACGCATGACGAAGAAGTCGGTCAGATAATACGCCAATTGCGACAGAGTCTTCGTCCAGCTTCCTGAATTTGATGGGTGGAAGAATGTCTCAACAGCCTGGATCAATCCCTCGAGATGTACCAGAATGGAGTCGCTCGATTCCACACAGGCCGGAGACAGCGACATCACGATCCACCGTGCAATGTGGTGAGCAACGGGGTGTTTCCGTGAATCACGGTCCAGCATGACTCCCAGACCCGAAGAAATATCCACCAGGGCGCTATACGGCGAAGTGGACTGCCCCACAGGGATCTCCAGAAGCCGCAGAATGGCAGTGAAGATGAGAGACGACTGCTCCTTCGAGAAAACGCCATGTTCGGAGAACGGGATGTGCCCTGCCGTCAGAGAATCCCGAGCGAGCCGAGAGAAGTAGTCGAGGTATGTCGTATCGAAGGTCTTGGAACGGCCGACCAAAGACCACAAGTGAAAGTGTGTTGGCAGGTAATGATGCGGTAGTAGGTCTTCTCGCTCCGGCGGCGGCGGCGTAGTTGGAAGCATCAAGTTAATCAAGCCCACGACAACAAAAGCACCCTCGGAAAAGGACGTTGTATAGTGCGGAAGGAATTCCTCCAACATATCAGGAAGCTCGCACGGGTCAATGAACAATTGAGCAAACGCGCAGAGCTTCGTCAGGGTCTTGATATTCCGTTTTAGGTTGGTCGAATGTACCAGGCCGGACTCGGTTGGAAGAACAAAAGCCTTCAACTCTTTGTAGAGAGGTCGCCAATCCAACACCAGGTCCTTGATGGGTTTCAGGTAGTGCTTGCGCCTGTACCACGGTTAGCATCGAACGTCATCCCTGCGACGACCGACTTGACTGACTTTGTGAGCAGCATGAACATGCTCGCGAATCGCTCGGCAACACTGGGGTCAATTCCAGGGGCGAGAGACAGCTCGTAATAGAGCTTCACAAGGTGGATACGCTCCTTGCGAGTGGGATCGAACTTGAGAGAGAGCCATCCTCGCAGCTCGCGTGTCCAGTGTACGGCCCCGGGGCTGAAGTCCCCAGCCTCGACGGCAATATAGAGCTGCTTCAGGATCTCTCGGAGATTCCGTTGGCGTGTTGACTCGTCTTCGAGCTGATATGGGAGGTATTGGAAGTATGGGTAGGTACGCGGTCGCACGCGGGCCTTGGGCTCGCCCTCGCCGTTGATTTCCGCGGGCTCACCACCTGGCGACGTGGCCCGCGAAATCTCTTGTCCATGATGAAAATTGTCCGAGGTGAGGATAGCCTTGGGGGCTGAGGCGTCCATAATCGAGCGTGGGAGGTGTGAAGGGAGGGAGGTCGTCGAACGACACGAGGCAAGATGGGGCGGAAGAAGTAGCCGCAGACGTCAGACGAGCTCTGGGGGTCGAGGTGTCAGCCACTGGGATGCAATATACAAACACGCAATGTGTCCGGAGGCGAGACGATGGCAGTCACCGAATCCCAGGAAAGGCGTACAGTCAGCCACGAAACTCAGAAGGGCCCTAACTCGTGAAGCGCGCGGAGGTTGTTGATGCCGGAGCGTGTGCAGCCTCTCTCACGGGGTGCTGGCGCAGTCGTCAGATCAGGAGGAACGACGGCAAAATAAAGCTGCACGGAATCAGACAAGATGGGAGTCAGCGCGGACAAAAGTGAGGATTTGGCTGCTGGTTCCGGTCGGGCAGGAAAGAAGCTCAGGTTCGACCGGGCGCAGCTAGAGTGGATGACATAATTCCGCGTAACAACCACCCAGAATAATTATACGAAGCACGTCCACCGGATACGAGATTGTTTAGAAGTCCAAAAAAAAAATATATAGAAATAGACCGAGCATAATCGGCTCCTTTTATAACGGCAGGCGGTACTTTTACAGAGATGGCGCAGTGGTCATTCTCAGCCGCGCCGCAGACAGGCAGACGCAGGCCTTACGCAAGCCAGCCTGCCTAATCGCAGTATCATACACGCGGTTATGCTGGAGGAAGAAAGGACCCAAACAGCACTCCTTGGATCAACGCATACCCCACCATGCCCTGCACTGCGGTGGTGAGAACGCGGTGGTATGCTTTCGGACTCGAAAGGCTGTCCACCGCACCCGACACCAGATACCAATACCACAAGGGATACCCAGACGAGATCCGGTTGATGATCTGCACATGATAGCTCGTCAGCGCCAGCACCGCCAGTAGACCTTGTGGGATGCTCAGCCGAACGAGCATTGATCCGGGGTGGTCCGGAGAGTGGGCGTGCTCGGACGCACTCATTGCCCATACTGAAGACCGGCAAAGGAGTGCGATTAGGGGCGCTGCCAGCAGAAACAGTGGGAGGTTCGAAACCGTCCAATATCTCAAAAATCCGACATTCCTAGCCCAGAGATCAGTCATGTTCACGGGATACGAGAGAAGAAGTCACTTACCAGTAATGATCCTGGACCCAGGCAGAGATGCTCGGCACGGTCGACTCGCACCAAGGTCGAGGATCCGTGGCAGACGCACAGTACACTCGCCAGGCCAAAAATTGCGGAAAAATCGTCCCCAAAGCTACGATGCAGCCGCCGAGGACGACAATTCCGAGGCGAATCGTGTTGTGCAGCGACAGACCTTGACTAAAGGTTCGCCAGACCAGCACAGCTGCATCGTACGCAAACAGGAAACCACTGAGAATCCCATTACTGCGAACCGTGGTTGCCACCGCAAAGAGGGCGGCAGAGGTCAGCAATAGGAAATCTCGCGACAGAGTCTTCCCGTTATACCCCGCGATGAGAGAACATGAGTAGAGGTAGAAGCCGGTGATGTTGAGAAAGGAGAAGGTCGACTCTGGATTTGGAGCGGAGAGAAATGCCCCGGCTGGGCAGATGATGTGTAGAGCCGCAGACAAGAAGCAGATCAGCTTCTGGGAGATGGTCGTGCACCCGAACACATTGGCGGTCAGGCCGTAGACGGCGAGCACGGAAACGTAGTGGGCAACATGGGAGAGGACCACCCCGGCCAAGGCGATGTTGGCTGGCCCGCCCACGCCGCCGGATCGTTCCACACCTGTCACCACGGCGCGTGAGTTTCGAACTGATATGATATGCCGAGGTCAAACCCCCAAGTGCGTACCTGAGATAAAAAGCGCGAGAATCTTCGAGTAGCCGTAGCCAAAGGCCCATTCCTGTTCAAAGACGTAGCCCGTCTCGGCGGTATGCAGGAAATAGATGGAGTCCCATCGGGCAAACTTCAATGGCACCGACAGGGAGCCGACAATGTCGGTGGGAGCACCCGGCTCGGCGGAGATGAGAGAGGTGGAGGTATCATAGCCCAGACCCGGGCAGGCCGCAATGACGACAATCAACACGGCTTTCCAGAGCCAGAATGCGACTGTCAAGCTGTGGATGGGGTTGTCTAGGCGCAGCAGCCGTGCCGAGACGGCGACCGGGCGCTGGACGGAGGCCATTAATGTATCGGTATGAATTATCCTCCAACGCGTTAGATGTGCAGTGGAGCTCGTTGTGTTGCCGTGTTGGATGGAGCTCGGAGATGCATAATTAGTCAGCGGAAATTGTGCCTGTTCATTGGGTTATGCAGGTTCTGTGTGAAGAGTGAACTGTCGTATAGATGAACAAGTATTGGTTCAGTGGCTGCTGCTAGACCAGCCCCGTTCAGCCCTATCCGCATGACCTCGGTATCGCAGTCCATAGTGCGTAATCGAGAGGTGCCTTGCTGAACATTGACCTGTATCAGTCTAGAGTTTGCAGTGGGGCCTCGGGACCTCTATCCGCCCGATTCCACAGCTCGCAACCATGTCTCGATCAGTATGTTTTCTGTTGAATCAGAGAATCACACCGAGCAGCAAGAAAAATTCCTGCAGCGGAACGTGACATTCTCCACCCGCTTTGTGCCCCCACCGGTGCTGGACACATTCTGCATGTATGAGTCCATGAAGACCAGCCCGGGATAATAAGGATGTGACGTTGATCCTTTCACGGGATTGACTGATCGACCGGAAGCCGGAAGGACCGACGACCGACGGGGTATACTCTTGTAGTTTGTACCTCTCTCGCCTTCCTAAAACTTGCCGACCGCCCACTACGACCTGTTTTTTCTGCACCCCTTGCGTGGCGCTGACTGCCAAGAGCCTCATCGTAACCGTCCGTCTGGGCAACACTTGGACAACGACAACCCCCTTCACTACTTACATCCCTCCCCGCCACAACTGACGACAGCGCTGGATGCCCGTACCCTGTCTGATCGGTCTGCTTTACTCTGGGACGGCTATTCAGCTGGCTCTGCGCGAGTCCAAGACATGCTTTTGAATCTTGGACTCACCGCGGATGCCGCAGCTGCCCATCTGGACGAGCTGATCAGCAGTCCGCCGGAATCCTCCCTCTTCTCGTTCTCCGCCCTTCCCTTCCTCGGACGAGGCGCATCCTCTGCTCGCGGGAAACCCTCCGATGATCGAATGTCCCCGGCATCCAATATGGCAATGAGTCCCATTGAATCGGTGCCGAGCGATGGAGAGCAAGAAAACTCAGCACCACCACCGCCGCTCGCTCGGCCTCGGACCAGTCACTCCTCCGCTCCGCGCAAATCATCAATGCGGCCCAAAACATCCTATCAGCTCGCCCACCCCGCGGCTCATGCACGCCACAAGCGGTTGAAGATTCGCCCGAAGCTGTTGCTGCAGCTACAGCAGGTGTCACAGACTCCCCGACCATTGCCCATCTTGGATATATTGCCCTCAACCGTCTATCGACCACGCTTGGCTCGCAAATTCCCAGGCATGTTCCGTGGCAAGAATGGCTTGGGCCCGAATGACTTGATTATCGTCAGGAGCGAACTATATGAGCGGACAATGTCAGGTATCCCCGAGAAACACGTGAGCTCGGAAGATGAAGGTGAAGACCACCGGGATGTGGTGGCCACGATCTGCCAGTTACTCCAGGAAGATGCACGATCCAAAGGCAAGGCGGAAATGTGCCTAACATTTGGACCCGTTTGGGAGGCGACGCCGTTGCCCAGTGGGTCATACGAGTTCGTTGCCCGGACCGAGGCCGGGTTGCAGGTCATGCGCTGGGCCTTGCGCGGTAACAAGAACCGTCGAGTGTCGACATCTGCGGGATCACAGCCCCGCGAAGATACCAAGCGCTTCACATTCAGCGTCATCGACCCGGCTACTCGCCGCCATCCCGTCATCGCTTCTATGACCAAAAACCAGCTGGAGGTGTTTGATGAATATTCCAAGACGGTTCGCTCCAGCCCCGGCCTAACAACGCCCAGCTCGGGCATGTCGGTAGTCAGCGACGCGTCTGACATGGACGCACCGCTCGATCAGGATGTGGTCACGCTCGACAATGGCCTGCGGACCCTGATTATCGTCACCGGGATCTGGGTGGCTTTTCGAGAAGGCTGGTCGCATAGTTTCAGCTACAGTGACCCGGTCTCTAGTCCAAAGGCACTTGCGTCCCCAACAAGCTCAAAATCCTGCCCCCCTATGACGGCGAAGACTGAGCATGATGTTCCCCCGGTCAAGGAGATGACCAATGTAGACAGAGAATCGACTCATGTCAGCAAACGGTGTATGCCCGTATCAAGCATCCGTCGCTCCAGCACATCCCCTTCTGAGCAGAGTAAGCAGAATGGCGGTTTATCTCGACGATCCAATTCAACTGGCGCCGCATTTATGGAACGAGCTAAGCGACGTGCAGCGTCGGGGCTGAACAACCGACTGAATCGGAACAGCATGATTCCAGGTCCAACGGAGCACGGTCACAATGCCGTTGTCTCCCGGTCCAGCTCTCTACGGCAGAGTTCAATCAACTCTGTGGATCGGGCTCCTTGGTCTGGTCGACCGGAGACAGGAGCAGAAATCAACAGCACAGCTTCCAGGGCCATGAGAACACCCAATGAAAAGCCACCAGAACCACACACGAGGCGCCAGCATGAGCGATCTACCGAATCGACCAACCTAGATGTCAATAAAAGCACGACTCAGTCCAAACGACGCCACCGTCTTAGCTCTTTCTTCAACGTCTTCAACCGAAAATCGGAGCATTAAACTCTATCAATCCTCTGATTCATCTTTTATCTTCCGTCTTGCATGATACCCACAGTATCTTACGCCGCGGCTAGATCACTTGTATCTCTCTCTTCCGATCAGCATTTCTTGGAGACTTCACTCGCATTTTTGGTTTCGTATGGGGGCATGGCAGGTAGTTTCTTAAGCACGCAGTCTTTTTCCTTCATTTTCTCTCTCCCTCACTCTCTCCTCCTCTGTTTATCGACCTTCATATCATCTCATTTCACTCCCCATCCACCCATTTCTTCTTTTTCTCCCCTTCATCTTGCATCTTGTATATCTGCATGAGATCACTGGCACGCATGGGAGCATACATGTGGTGTGTTCATGTACATGGGCAACCAATCTATCCCAGTACATCACAGACTCACAGTTAATAAATTTTGATTGGAACAGATGTACACAATATCATTTACAGATGTGAAATTTTCGACATGGACAACGTAGTGTAGGTTGATGCCATCTGGAGGGAGAAGCGAGACCAAAATAGCCAGGCTTCTTAAGCTCGAGGTCGTCAAGGTAGATGGAGGAAGTCTCGGTGCCCGCGGTAAGACTACTGATGATGCGCGGGCTATTCGGCGCATCTTACACTAGCAGCACGAGAGAAGCGGACACCTAAGTTCGTTTCTAACGACGATTGTGTTGTTGAGGCGGAGAAACCGGACGATTCGAGCCGAATCGACCGCCAGTTTGTCTTAATAAGTATTCAAACTGCTAGGCTGCTAGAAACGGTGGTGCTCTGCGACTACCAACCAGCAACAGTCTTGGGCACGTACGCCTCCTCCAAGTACCGAATTTCCTCATCCGTCAACTTAACCTTAACACTCTTCACGGCCTCATCAATACGAGCTGTGCTACTCAGCCCGACAATAGGACACATATTGCGGTGGCTCAGTGACCACGCCATAGCAATCTGCGCCATGCTAAGCCCTTTCTTCAACGCGACCTCCTCAACGCGGCTGACAATGATCTTGTCAGCCTCGGACTCACGGCTACGGACGAGCCGTTCGATAGCTCCGTCTGTCTTCTCACGGATGCTTGATCGCTCGCCCCAGGGCCGGGCGAGAGCGCCCCGAGCCATCGGCGACCAGGGAATCAGTCCGACGCCGCTGTCCAGGCAGTAGGGGATCATCTCACGCTCCTCTTCGCGGGCGATTAGGTTGTGATAGTTCTGCATCGAGATGAACTTGTGCCAGCCGTGTCGGTCGGCGATGTTTTGGAGAGTTTGAAATTCCCATGCAGCCATCTGAAAAGAAGTAAGCACTGCCAATAAAAAAGATCATGTATACTACATAGTAAGTAGCTTCCTTTCTGGGGAGTCCATACCGAGCTGGCACCAATGTACCGCACCTTTCCGCTCTCTACAACATCATTGAGCGCCTTCATGATCTCCTCGCGCGGCGTGTCCCGATCCAGCCGATGAATCTGCAGCACATCGATGTACGTACCGAGTCGCTGCACGCTTGCATCAACCGCATCAAAGATATGCTTCCGCGAGAGACCCGTGCGATTGACAAATTCACCGTCGTTTGTCGCAGACGCTGAAATGGGCGGAAAGTTGCCCTCGTCGTCGACGCCGAAGAAGCATTTGGTCAGAATGACCACACGGTTGCGCGGGATGTTGAACTGCTTCAGGGCCTTGCCGATGATTTCCTCAGACCGGCCATGGGAGTAGATGTCTGCCTAAAAGAGAGTTAACTGGTGCGTGCCTACATTTTCTTCAAATATTACCGTGTCCCAGGTGTTGATGCCCTGTTTATAGGCGTGCTCGATGAGCGGCAGCGCCTTGTCCTCGTCTAGCACCCAGTCTTGCCACTGGCTGCTTCCGTACGACATAGTCCCCAAAATGATCTTGGAGATCTTTAGGCCGGAGTTGCCCAGACTGTTTTGTTTGTAACACACACTTGTCAGTATATCGATATGGTCGCGGCGGGGCGCGGGGCTGTTTACCGGGTGTATTCCATTGTCTTCTCGGACATGATGTAACTGAGGGTCGCTAGGGTTTCGTGGTATTACTGGAGAAAGGAAATCGTCAATTTTATGCTCTTTCTGCCACTTCATGTTCATGATATACTGGGCGAGGGACAGATTATGACGTCTAAGCTGCTAGTCAAGGACAATGGATAGAGCACCACTCACTCACCAAGCTCAATAGATCAGTGGCGCACTGAATGAGGTGAAACTCCGAGAGGATTCGTCGGAAACAGAGTAGAAAGAAGTGAAGAGAATGAAGGACGTTCGGGTCGATCAAGACCATTTTAATATAATCATTGCCCCCACTAGAGTGACTACACTGCCGATTGCGTTTCCGATGCCGACCAGTACCCGACAAGCTTTGGATGTGCCGGAAGTATCGGATTTAAGCAAATGAGGGGGTTATGTCCGGTTTCCTGCAACATCAAAAATCCCCGCGTTGTACAATTTCTCCAATAGCTGGCACTTTGGAACATGAGAAATCCTCTATATACACCGCATAACCGGTTTTGCTGACACCGCCGCTTCAGTTTGTGCTTGTATAACGCGCAGGAAAGGACACTAGGAAAGATATATATCAATTAGCTTCATGACCTTTGCTAGAAAGATCTATACTAAGAGAAAATACCTTTTTGCCAGGGAACCGCGTGCGCCGATGTCTCCGGTCGGAGCTTCCACTCGATTAAATAAAAAGATAAATAAAAATAGGATCCGGCATACCTGCCGCGCCCCAAATGGCCAAAATACTTATGCGCTCGATGGTATTTGGCACAAGTACTGCTCTCCAACTGGCAGGAGTGAACAAATATCTGATGGCCCTCATGCCAGTCCAAGTCATTGGTGGGATTTGGATTCAGCTCGACCCGACGCCCGGCTTGATAGAGAAACTGAAGTTTGAGACTCTCTAGATCCCGGAAGTATGTCCCGATGAATTCGAGGATGGGATCCCATGTTTTGCCATCAGGAAGGCAGAGGCCCTTCATAGAAAGCGAGACAAGGTGTTGGTGTCTCTTGAGAAAGTCGCAGAGGACGGTGACAGTGACCGGGAAATAGCTCAGATGGCAATGCTTCAGTTGGTGCAGATGGACGTTGTTTGTAATGCTGGCGAATATTTGATAGTAACTCCTAGGAACTGAGCACGGGTAGTAATCGTAGTCATAGTCGAAATAGAGATATAGATCCAGGATATTGGTCATAGACTGTAGTAGCAGCCCTGGGTTTTGACGACTACCGCCGGGGAAGACCGATAGTGATTTCTTGAAGAATTTCTGCATATAACCTTGCTTTCCACTGTAAGACTTCCAACTAAGGCCTGAGAGGTGTACTCCAAAGCGTTCCATTGGCAAGGAATTGCCTTTCAAGCCATCCCGGTGCATCTGGGCGAGATAAGTAGCGATGTCCACTGCGGGAATGGTGCAACAATTAGGTGGAGGTCCACCCCCATCAGGCTCCAGTCTACCATATATGTCCAATTGTCGCACAGCAGAAGTGCTTCTCGCCACAGCAGCCAGTGTAAGAAGGGATACGTGCGATGCCCACTGGAATCCAACAGGATACCAAAAGTCAATCTTCTTTTCCTTCTCTGGTGTGACGGCAATCCAGGGTTGTAACTTGATTATGTCCAGCACCAAAAACTGGTCTAGTGCAGTCGCAAGAGTTTTAATGACGAATTCATCCGATAGGGCATCGCGAGCCTTCTGCTGGCTTTTGAGCCACTTCACATTCTGCGGCTCCCAGGGTTCTCTGTTTCCCCAAATCATTTCGAGTAGCCGGTCGCTCACATTCCATCTTGCGAGTGATGGTCGCCAACGTTTACTTGTGATATAGTCTCCGTGGTGGGCGTAGAAGACAGCTTTTATTGTCAGACGTTGAACTGTCTTTCTGAAGACAGGATGTAAGGCTCGTGCAGCAAGATTTTGGAGACTAGTCTCTGTGAGGTCTGTTTCCGCGTGTGATGGCACGAAGGATAAAAAGCGAGGACCGAGACACCGCTCTGCGGTGTGTTTGCTCGCAAGGCGGAAGTTTTTGATAGTTTCGAGATCGAGGTATTGGTTGATATCGTCGAAGATCTCTGGGGGGATGCGATTCCAAGACATGATTAGACTCTCGGATGAGGATCGGTAGTGCTCATTTGGGTTCCATTTTCCTGTGAAGCAGCCTCTATAACTTGGCATATCGCATGTTTGCTTCGAGGTGGTGATTCTTGGCAATCGGGCAATCGGGCACCGCGAGTCTGCACTAACGATTGGGGCCAGAAAGATGACGCTTACAGCAATTTGCCTTGCAGATCAGTGGGACAAATCTAATTATTTAATTGCTGTAGATACTGGTTCTGGCATCTATATAGACGGAGCTTGCCCTTCGCCGTCCTTATTAGTCTCTTCCGTGGAGTTTTGATTTCCGCGATCCTTGCCTTCCTCGACATATTTCTCGCCCTCATTATCATCCTGTTGCTTCTTGACATTGCGCCACTCCATAAAAAGACCGCCGAGTATAGAGAGGCAAACCATGATGAGCGCAACTTGAAAGCACACACAGAGCGAGTCATTATAAGCTTTCAAAACCCTGTTATGGTACTGAGATGGGATAACGTTAAACAGGCCCGTGACGCCGGCAGCTTCGATTTGCTGTGGTGTGATGCTTGAGATGCCAACAAGGCGCTTGGCGAGTTGTCCATCGAAGACGTTCTGGCCGACTGAGACGAAGATAGAGCCGAAAAGCGTTTGAGCAAAAAGCATGAGAGATGCACCGATCGATACTTCGTTGCGCGGTAGTACTGTCTGTGCAGCCATGTTGGGTGCCTGGAAGCAAGCGCCTAGACCAAATCCGTATATAATCTGATACCCTATCCATTGGCCCTCGGATGAGTTAATGTGGAGAGTTGTAAGCACACCGGCGCCAACTGATGAGAGACAGATGCCGGAGAGTAAGAAGGGCATATAATAGCCAATCCGGGTTGTAAGCACTCCGGTAAGAATGGACGAAACGACCAACGAATGAACCATTGGGAGGAGGTGGATGCCGCTCTCGACTGCCGAGTCGCTTTTGATGGTTTGAAACCAAATTGGAAGAAAATAAACTTGCGCCTTCACATTAGCCTCATCTTTATCTAGCAATGGGCAGACTCACTTAATAGTGTCTGGTGTGCGCCAACGCAGCAGCTCACCCAGAACCCGCCAGCAATACTGCGCTGCATAAAGATGTGCGGAGGTACCGTGGCTTGATCCGACTTCCAAATCTGGATCAAGAGAAAGGCGATCAAAAGTACAAAAGCGACCACAAGTAGCGCGATGATACGTCCGTCACTCCACTATATAGGGTTAGCTTAGTTGGCTCTACGTAACAGTTATAGAAACTTACGCTATACGTGAAGCCGCCCCATTGTAGAGCCAGGCACAGGCATATCACCCCAGGGAAGAGAGCAACGAGGCCCTCGATATTGAGATGCTGCAACTTTTCTTTCCAAGTGTCGGTGGTGGAGGAATGACTTGGAACACGTAGCAAGAAAAGGACAAACACCAGGACCATGCCTCCCAAGGGGAGATTGATATAAAAGCACCATCTCCAAGTGACGTTTGTGGTAAAAGCACCACCCACAAGTGGGCCGATCACCGATGCAATGCCGTACACGGCACCAAATAAGCCCTGGTATTGGGGTCGTTTCTGTAACGGAACGGCGTAGACGATAATGGCAAGCTAAAATCAATAGTTTGAGAAATGGCTCCCAGAAGAGAAGGAGGAATACATACGACACCAGACTGAATACCTCCGGCTCCTAAACCAGCGATCGCCCTGCCGATGATGAAGGCCAATGAATTCGGTGCCGCCCCGCAGATCGCGGAGCCAATCTCGAACAAGACGACGGCTGAGATGAAGGTGAATTTGACATTCAGGAATGTATACAGTTTCCCGAATACCAGAAGAAAGGTGCAGTTAGTGAGTAAATAAGCAGTGCCATACCACCCAACATCATCCGCGGCGTGGAACTCGTTGGTGATTGCAGGGGTGGCCGTTGAGATGATAAGTTTATCCTGCAAAGAAAGTTTATCAGTGAGCAGGTATGCATTGATAGAATACAAGATCACCCTGGGTCATCGAACATACCAAGGCCACTAGAAACATGCCAATGAATATGGATATCATCAACAACGCGAGCTTGAACCCCGAAGGATAGGCGAAGTCGACTTTTTCGGGGGATCCCATCTTACCGTCAATTTGAAAAGCACTGCGGTTTATCGATTTGATGATTTATCGAGACAGATGGTACCCTTTTTAAAGCCCAGCGATTTTTACGGACGGTGAACCCATAGTAACCCACGGACCAATCAGGACCTTCACTGCCTGCGACTGTCCGACCGTCCGCAGCCTTGGCGGACCGGTGGCCTGAGGCTGTTTTTGACATCACTCCGGGCCTCTTCTCACAACCGTTACTTGCCTGACTTATTTGATCGAATGAAGCAAATCCTGTAATGATGTCTCAGTCAACTTCCGATAAGAGGAGACGCGACAAGACGGTCCTGAGCTGCACTTTCTGCAGAGCGCGCAAGTGAGTCCGTCCATATTATGTGGCTGGTATGATTGCGCGTTTTAAAGTAGATCTCTTGCAGAATTCGTTGCGACAGACAGACTCCCTGTAACGCTTGTCTACGGCGCAGAAAGCCTGAAGAGTGCAGCTATCCCTCCTCCGAGCAGCAGCGAAAAGATGCCATCGACTACAGACCTCATGTCAGAAGCCAAGGAGCTCGCCAAAGAATTGCCCGTCTGGAAAAGCTCGTCACTGAGATGAGAGACATGATGCAGAGCTCTGGTCAGCAATTAGAAATTTCAGACCAGGGACTTATTGACCACGTACCGTCACTTCCTCCTTCCGATGCTCACGCGACAGAAAACATGGGCAAATTAAGCCTCACAGATGGCCATGCAGTCTATATGGGCAGCTCTCATTGGGCCACGATTTTGGAAGATGTGAGAGTTCTCTATAACTCTGTAAAACGTATTCTGATGTGTTCCAGATCCAACAACTCAAAGACGAGCTATCCGACGATGACTCGGACAGCGTCATAACTCAAGAGTCGACAACATTCCATGGATCATTAGGCACTAAGATCTCTCTTCTCACTGGTGTCAGCTGTCTTCCGAGAGAAAAGATTATGGCCATGATACCCGCACGAAAAGTGGTCGACAGACATGTCGCCCAGTTCTTCAATGCTTTCGACCTCGCCCCTGGTAAGTCTCAAGTTGAATTGTTGGATTCCGCACTGACATGACAACAGTAATACTACACCGTAATAAGTTCCTTGCGGAGGTTAGAATTCGACGAGACAAATGTTGATTCGCTCATTAATTCTCTGTATAGTACGCAAACTTTTGGAAAATCCTTCAGCCGCTCCCATTATGTGGGTAGGACTCTTGTTTAGCATGATGAGTACATCTGCATTCCTTCAGCAGCAAGAAGTTGAGGCTCTAAAATTGTCCAATGTGGAATCCCAAACCATGCTTGAAACATACCGAACTCTCACCATCCACTGCCTGGTCGCTGGAGATTACCTCCGACCGAGCAGGTATACCATCGAAACACTGACATTACATTTTGCTGTGGACCAAAACGTGAACATGGACACAAACATTGGAAACTGGGTCCTGATTGGTGTCGTGATTCGGATCGCATTGCGTATGGGATTGCACCGCGATCCATCCCACTGGCCAAATATTAGACCATTACAGGCAGAACTTCGACGGCGGATCTGGATTGCCCTGTACCAGATGGACTATTTCACCAGTACACAAATTGGACTTCCACGTATCATAAAGGACTCCCAGTGCGATACACGACCGCCCGCGCACTTGTTTGACGACGATATTGGCTTTGAGCACGACGAGATTCCACCTGAGCGGCCGCTGACAGATCATAGTCCACTCTTACACATAATCCAGAGAAATCCTATCATCAAAGTCTCAGCAGAGATCTATGATACTGCTGAAGTAGCGCCGCCAACCTCCGCTACTATTGCTGTACTAAGTGCTAAGCTCCAAAAGGCTATCGATGCCCTCCCCGAGTGGCTCAAGTACAACTCTCTGGAAACAGAAATTGCAGACAACCCCGTCACCATCCTAAATCGGATGTTTCTGGACATCCTCATTCAAAAGGCCATTTACCTCCTCCATCGGCACAGCTTCATGAAAGGATCTGCGGGAGAAGAAAGCACAAACTCCAATGACATATGCATCCAATCTGCGCTTGCAATTTTGGAGCATCAGAGAAGAATGAGCGAAGAGACTCAACCCGGAGGTCTTATGTTCAGCATTCGTTGGAAGGTAGCTTCATCGCTCAGTCATGATTTCCTGCAAGCTACGATGATGCTGTGTTTCGCTCTGAGCAGAATCAATAATGGAGATGCTGGGATGTCAAATTCCTGCGCTCCGCATAGGCGAGATGACATCGTAGAAGCCTTGACTAGTGCGAAGGCCATATGGGAGAAGAATGCCGACCGGTCTGTTGAGGCACAAAAGGCAGCCAAGGCCATCACGAAAGTGCTGAAACAAGACCTGGACAAATCGAGCATGTCCGCTTGGACTCTTTCAGGTGGTAAGGAAACCTGCATTATTCTAGTATTGGATCTAATGTTGGTCTCCCCATAGGACTTTCTGACCAGGTGCCAGAGATAGCTCCGAAGAGCCAATTTGGCGGTTTCGATTATGGACAGGACATGGCTTTAGATCTATCCTTATTTACGGTCAACGATGAGATAGCGCCGTTCGAAAATATGCTGGACGACTTCGTCAGTATAGAGAGAGGTTGGCCTGAAGACATTTCGAAATTGTGGCCGGATCAGGCGCCTCAACCGTTTGATCAAGGGGCTTATTATGAATGAATGCATAGATTGGAGCGAGGCTATGGATGGTTTTGGTCTTGAATTTTGGGTCATGATGAATTTTCAAAGAACAGTGCGCGATTCTCCTCATGGGCTAGCCATTCTTGGAACTTGAGCAAGGCTTGATATTGAGGAGACAGCTTGTTCTGGGTATTGTTAGCATTAGATCTGAATGGATCAGGCAATGAAGATCCCACCTTCTTATCATATTCCATCTCGGCAAGAGTCTCCCCCTCGTGCTCGAAAATCGGATCCCATCCTGTCTAACGGTGAGAATCGTCGGGGGCCATGATGGAAAAGCAAATACACACCAAAGCGTGGAGGACCACGAGAAGGAACGATTTTGCCCTTTAACTAGCGTCAGTAACGGGGTTTTCTGTGAAATCACGATGGACATGCCTTCAATCTCCCTTGAAAGATCAGTGGCTCCATGGCCGGGCCGGCAGTAAACGCGAAGGTGCACACTGCCTCGGCACTCTTATCCTCAAATGATTCGAGGAGTTTATTCAACCCGTCATTTCCCAGTGCTTCTAGGAAATATTTACTTCCAAAAAAAGTGATCAGCTCTCGTGTCTAGTCAATTGAGATTCAAATACGGACATATATGGCCCCGGCATCTTGTTCATAGCGTTGAATTCCAGCGCGGAATCTTCCACCACCACGGGCCCATCGATCTGTCCAAATTAGCTCCCATAAATCATCAATAGGAGCAAGATACAGTGTTACAATCTTGGATGCTCGTCGGCACTTATCTTTCGCAATCTCCTCCAGAGTGCCTTGGATTTCTGGGAGGTCTAGCGCTATATTCTTTACTGGGACTTTGTCCCCGAGAATAGCTTTCGCCTCGGCGACCTTGTTGGGATTCCCAGTCACGAAGGTGCAGGGCTTCATATTGCGTCGATGATGTGATAAGGGCGGTCAATCGAAGCGTTCTTCGTGAGAGCCAGAACGCAAGGGCTAAACCGATAACGGTATAGTGTGAATCGAACCAGAGATAAGATTCTCGCTCATGCATGAAGTAAAAGTAGGTTAGTTCATTTGCAAGGCCCGAATTTGCATTAAGGATAATTATGAAAACAGTGTAACTCCAACTCAACGGCATCCGATAAACTGAGATACGGCCTCGACACCATCAACCCGGTAACAGATTGGGTGGGAATAACTTTGCTGGTCATGGATCATATACGTGTCCAATAATTTAGTAGCACTAGTATCTTGACTAATTTTAAATAGAGGGTATAAAAGCGGAGAAAATACTCCTTGGAAAGCCGCAGGACGCTACCTCATTGACGGATTCATATCAAACAACCCCGAATTATGCCACAGCCCATCCAAACCACTGTCAAACCCCGTTGACCACGAGGCATCAATAAACGGCCACTGAAACATATCAGTTTCGAAATCGTGATGACCACCAAGGGAGGCATTCTCTCTCGACAAGAATTGATCTTCGCTTCCGAGCTCAGGTGGCGAAGATGGTCTTCCATGAGTGTAATGCGGAGAGTCATGGGATACAGCGGCATTTCTCCGGGAAGTTTGCTGTTGCTGGTCGCCGTGTGGACGAGAGCGGATATCACCATACTCATCTAATGTTCCTGCCAGTGCTAAACGACGCGGACTATGCATGCCAGACTCGGGGTGTGTTTGGTTACTTTTCACTGCTTCGTAGAAGCGATTTGCGTCTTGGACGGTGCGCCACTTTCGGTTGTCTGTTAGTTATCACCGTGATTCGGAAGGAAGAAGATACCCCGCGACGAAAAGAAAGGAAAGGAAAACGTACCCAGCTCCGACCAACAGGCCAGAACCTACTCAGTCGCTCAAGATACTCCAGGTTCTTGCTCTTCTCTTCCTCGGCTCTTTCAAATCCGCCAGGGTACCGATGTGGTGCGATAGTCCCGTACATATTTATGTGCGCGGCGACGAAGACGCTGAAGCCTGAATATGGCGTTATGACGGGAGCTTCTGAGGCTTCGAGGGCGGACAGGACTCCGCCGATTTGCTGGGCTGCTTCGAAAAGCTGTTTGATGGTGCCCGGTTCGCCCGGTATGCCATCGCTGGTGTCATGAAAGACATCGGAGTGGGGTTTCAGGTTAGAAAGGAATCGGTCCCGGTGGAGGAAAAGTACGCTGTCGCCAGTCAGTTTGGTGTCTACATCTTGTTTCGGAGATATGGCATGCCTCATGAAATAGACCAGATTGATATATGCGAATAGCTCGCCATATCCAAGAGCAACATGTGCCTGGGCGCTGGTGGCAGGGTATCTGACCGTCGCGTCTTGCAGAGATCTCCACTCGTCCAGCTCTCCCTTAAGCTGTTGCCAGGTCAGATGTAGGGGTGAACCAGCAGAGTCGTCTGACGACAAGGAAGCCAAATCCCGTCGGTGCTCATTGGCAAACCGTAAAATGCGTACGAAAATGTCAAATCCGCGCGTGACAATCGTAAGCCCATGCTCGATGGTCAAATTCGTTGCAAGAAGACACTTCTGATTCATGTCCACAGGCATTAACCTCCTTGTCGGGGAATGGTCGAATGTGAAGTCCCGGTCACTGATAGGAAGCGGTACCGAGATCTGAGAGAAGGATAATGCGAAGTGCTGTCGGGCTCCGGAACTAAGCTCGCAATCCTGTGCAAAACAGCACCAATATGTACGAACAAGTTGTTCATACTGTATCCGTGAGGCATGGAACTCTTGGGGGTTGTGTTCCATGCTGTCGTCTGACATTTTCAAGAGCGATTGGATCATGTAAGTGGCCATGCCTGGTATGATTAGCACTTATCCAGTGTCTCATTCCTTGTCATGCCTACCACTGTACATCCAAGCTTGATATGGTCGCCCAGACCCCCATTCATAAAATGAGATCATGACCAACGACTGAGCAAGAAAAAGCGAGGGTGCCTCGAGCACACGATGCGCAAGCTGCTTCCTGGCATAGTCCGCATACGTCTCCTCATCGTCCAGTTCATGGATGGGCATGAACCGCACACAGAGAGAAAGTAGCGACGCAACGAAGACTGGGTCCACCGACAGAGGGCTAGCGGATATATCCGAGATGAGAGAGGGATAGTGCAGGAAATTCGCGACCGGGAATTTCTTCCTATAAGTCTCGACGGCGCTGATTACTGTGGCTGGGGAGAGAGCCGAAATGGGATTACCGGATGCATCTTGATTCCCAGGAACAACCTGGGGAGTGCTCCGATATGGAGCCTCACTGCTGCCAGTTGCTAGAGATGCTGTGGAAACGGCCTTTCGCTTCCTCGTGGTTCTTGATGGAATGCTCTTTTTCCCCGAGTTGAGCTTTGATGCACGCGGGTCTGTCAAAACACAGGAGGGCTTTTTGGTCCTTTGGCACCGCTGGCATGGCGGGACCCCTTCATGCACACATCTGACCTTTGCTTGACTGTGTATGGTGTCAATTCCGCAGACAAAATTCTCTCGAGGATAACCTACCGACACCCTTCGCATGATATTGAGAGTCGCATGGAGCCTTGGACGTAGTAAGCCTTGGCGGGAATCTCGGCTCCGGTTCAACAGGCAATTGGTCTCGACACCATTATTGTTTCATGAAGAAGACCAAAAATGACTAGGTAGTGCTGGGAAGATGAAAGAGAAGGGTGAAGACAAACTCCCTAGAAATACCAAACCAATCAGGTGATCTTATTTGACACCTTAGCACTCAGGCATATATAATGGTCATTAACTAAGTAAGTTAATAGTGTTAATTTAAGTTCTCTAGTTATATAGCAGATATAAATATCTAAAGGCCAACTCCAATCCATGCATGCATGCAAAAAAAAGAAAACAATTAGACCTCCATGTCCTTGCAGGCCACCGTCCACTGCTGCACCCACGCATTAAACTTGTCCACTTGCATCTCATCTGTCGCCCACGACGTCACAATCCGAATCACCGCCTGGCCATCATCCAATTCCTCCCAGACATAGAACCGGAATCTGTCCTGCAGTCTCCGGACAAGTCGCTGAGGTAGAATGACAAACACCTGATTTGTCTCGGTTTCGGCCAACAGCTTGTACCCCAGATTCTCGAAACCAGCCGAGATCTTCTGCGCCATCTGATTCGCATGTGTCGCCAGCTCGAAGAAGAGATCGGACCGGAAAAGCTCCAGGAACTGCACGCCCAGGATCCGACCCTTTGCCAGCAGAGCGCCGTGCTGCTTCAGGTGAAAAATGAATCCTTCTGCGAGCGCTTTCTTGACGACAATTGCTTCGCCGAGCAATGCACCAGCCTTGGTGCCTCCGATCCAGAAGATATCCGTCAATTCATGGACATCTCGCAGGGTCATATCGTTCTTCTTCGAGCACAGTGCCGTTCCCAACCGCGCGCCATCCATCAAAAGGAGCAAATCGAGCTGCTTGCACAGCGCAGAGAGCTCGCTCAGCTCTCGTTTCGTGTACACCGTTCCCGTCTCCGAGGCATTAGAGAGGTAAAGCAGTCTTGGCTTCGCCATATGCGGATAGAACTGGTTGTTCTGAAACGCCTTCTGCAGAAGCTTGGGGGTCATCTTCCCATCGACCGCGGGGACAAGGATAAGCTTGTGGCCCGTGGCTTCAATGGCACCGGCCTCTTTGCTTGCAATATGGCCGGAGTCCACGGTAATTACGGCTTCGTAGGGCCGGAGACAGCTAGCGATGGATATCAGATTTGCTGATGTCCCGCTGGGCACGAAGAAAATGTCTGCTTCCTCGTCGGTGCACCCGATCTTGTCGCGGATTAGTTGCCGCGCAGCATCACTGTATTCATCGCCCCCATAGGCGACTTGTTGTGTGGAGTTTGTCCGAAGCAGTGCCTCGAGGATCTGGGGATGTGCGCCTTCACTGTAGTCGTCCATCAGGCTGTATGGAGGACATGTTTCCTCTTGGCAGAGGCTTGTTGAGGGCATTGTGATTGGGTATGACAAGAAAAAAAATAACACACTGGGCAATACTGAGCAATAGCTAAGGGGACTGAAAAAATGAGTCAAGCGTGTGTTCCAGACCCTAAATATCTACGTTTCTGGGTCTCGGGAATAACCCGGGATTTATTCCCGAGATTTATTCCCGAACTATGAATTAGGTAATGCTTTTTCTCTCCCTGGAAATCAATTTTGACCTTAATAGACAAGCAAAAATGACGTGGAAATAGTCCATTTGGAAATGCTCAATTGCTCCTTTTGTAACTGATAGCTCATTTCCCCCGAAGACCGGGGTTCCGGTGTGAAACTCAAGAGAGTGGGCAGTGTCACAGCGTGGGTGGAAACTGGGTATTTATTCCCGAGACATGGAAATGCGAATCCCTTGCCTCCAATTGTTCCGGTGATCTTAAGTAACAGATGGCTAGACGCGGGTGGAACGCGGCTCAGAACTGGGAAGTTACATGTCAAGTCAGATGAGACGCCTCGGAAGGGCGTACCTACAAGGACAGTGCTGTTTAGATCGGTAGGTAGACCAGGGGTGATTTATCCCGAATAGTTGGGTACACATAGATAGGAAAACACAAGATATTGATGGAGCTTCAGTATGGAAGGAAAGTGCATACCCCGCAGAGTTGTATATCTGTGGGTGGAATTATAAGACAAGTCCAATTGAAACCACCAATTTTACCTCCAAGAGGTAGGAAAACTAGTTGCAAGCATTTTACCACCTTCAGGTCGTTTCTGCATCTCCAATCGGATATAGTCCTCGTCGTCACGTCATCAATTCACTATCTAGAACACTGCACATATCCTTCCGCCACTGCATCTGCAACTATATATCTCTAACCCTCCGTCTTGAAAGCCGCCAGACGCGCCTTGATAGTCTCATCCGAGTCCTGGGAATCCAATTCCCTTAGGACGCCGGACCCAACATCGTAGATCAGGCCATGAACCTGCAGTCCGCGCTCCTGGATAGCGGTCAAAACGACGCTCTTCTGCTTGATGACATTCAATCCCTCGCGGACATTAAGCTCAACGAGCTTCAGTGCAGCCTCATCAGCAGGAAGAGACTGCAAGAGATCCAAGTTCCGCTCGCGCACCTGGCGCAGCGGCAGAAGCCACGGATCCAGCACACCGAGCTGCTTATTCCCCAGCGCAGCCGCGACGCCACCGCAGGCCGTGTGGCCGCAGAGCACGACGTGCTGGACGCGCAGGTGGTGCACAGCGTACTCGATCACGGCGGAGGAGCTGAGGTCGCCCGGGTGCAAGACGTTCGCGATGTTGCGGTGCACGAATACGTCACCGGGCTGAAGGCCCAGCAGGGTGGTCTCCGGGCAGCGCGAGTCCGAGCATCCGATCCACAGGATCTGGGGCGACTGGCCCTTTGCGAGCGTGGGGAAGAGGTCTGGGTGGTTGCGCGCGGTTTCCGCGGCCCATTCTTTGTTCAGGCGCAAACCTGCGGCGTATTTGTCTGTGGAGGAGGAAGTGTCATTATTGGGCTTGTTGTGGCCTGAGCAGGAGAGAGGTGTGCTAGTTGAGAAGGGGGAGATGCGGTTCCATGCGGCTTGGGGGGTTGTGGGGGGTGGAATGAGTCGCGCGGAAGAGGCCCGGGGGCATGGAGTATTGCGAATGATGCCTGCTGTGCGCGCTAGAAATTCCCGCCGCGGAAGCAGTCTGGACATGGTGCTCATGAGGAGAGGGAGAGGGATTGAGGCCGGGTGTGGCGGCGAAAAGACCCGATGACGGAAGGAGCTGCGGAGACCAGCGGTTTGAACGGAGGATGATGGAAGGATGCCACCGGCGAGGTCCGATTACCTCCAGCAGGCTCTATCCGGCGGGGGGAATGTCTTCTCGGGTGCTTGACAATGATGTGTGTTGGGGAGGGAACAAGGATGGGGAAGTGGGAAAAGGAACAAAGAATGCCAAGGATAGCAGGAAAAGAGAGCGAGTTCGCCTGCGCACGTACCTTCAGCCATTGGGAAGTCGGAGTCGAGGATGAATTAAAGGGTATAGATATAGACGAGGGAAGAGACACAAGGAGGATTAATGGAGAAAGAAAAAAGGTTCGAGAGCTGAGTGCAGGAATGGGATGGAGGGGCAGAAGAATTGGGCGAGATCGGAGAGAAACTTTTGATTGGTGGTTGGCTCTATAGTTATAATCATGGCTTCATACATAACTGCAACGTTAAATACACACTTTTAAATCATCTATGCCCACCAAATTCAACGAAACATACTATCACGCAGCACCTCCCCGGCCACCGACACTCAGCAAGGTCTTCTTCTGCTCCTCGCTAATACGCGCTGCTGGTAAGGGCCTCCCTCCGGGGACTGTGGGCGGAGGCAGGAACCCAGTCTCCACCAGGTAAGAGGCGTACAGACCAACCAACTCTTCCGTGACACCGGCACCGGCTGAGACATCGACGCCAGACCAGACGGCATCGGCCTTGAGGGCAGCGGCGGCGTTGGTGTCATCCAACTCCGGTGCCTTGGTGTTGGACGGGAGGTCGGCGGTGACGAAGTGGTAGAGGGGCATGCTGTTTGAGGGTTAGCTTCTGCCGAACAAGAAGAAAAAGAAAGAGACTTACAGAGCATGCTGCGAATCCTTGTCATTGTGCTGACCATCATTGACATACTGCTCGAGGGCCATCGACCAAGGCACATAATCCACCTGCGGAACATCGTAGCCGTACAGCTGCAGCGCGCCGAGGAACTGATTGAAGCGCAGTCGCGGGTGTCCAGTGACATGGGCCACACTGATCGGAGCCCGGGGCGGGTGGAAAGCACAAGCGATGATGATACGGGCCACATGGTCGACGGGAACCATATTCACCGTATTGTGGATGTTGGGTCGGGACGCAAGTTGGACGCAACCCTTAAGCATACGGATGAGGAAGTCGTCCGTATTCGTAGTTCCGGTGGTAGAATCGCCCAGTACATATCCAGAGCGGATGATGGTTCCCTTCAAACCCCGGCGGCCAGCTTCGCGGACAAGATATTCTCCCGCCCACTTGCTCTGGCCGTAACCCGTTCCAAGCCCGACACTGCTGCCTTCGAGGTCATCTTCTTCGCTGATGCCATTACCGCCAGCAGCGATGATCCGCTCGGATTCTTCGACGTAGTGATCCTTGTCGAGGGCGCTAGTCGAGCTGACAAAGGCAAACTGCTTAGCTTTGCCGGTGGCACAAAGCTTTAGCGCATCGATCGTTCCCATGACATTAGCCGGCTTGAGAGTTGAATACGGATAGACCCAATGGACGAGGGCTCCATTGTGAATAACTGCATCGACACGGCTAGCCAGGTCGTGCCACGAGGCCTGTGAGAGACCAAAGCGGGCGTCGCCAAGGTTACCGCAGACGCACTGTAGTCTAGTGGTCCATGCTTCATCCCAGAAGCCGTAGGCACCGCAGGTAGCGCGAAGACGATCCAGAGCTTGCTCGTTGCTCTTAGCGCGAATCAAAGCCACAACCTTAGCGGACGGGGCCTTGCGAGTGAGCAGGTCACGGAGAATATGCGCGCCGAGGAAACCGGTTGCTCCGGTGAGGAAGATGGTTGGCTCACTAGAGAGCATTGCATCAGTGCGTTCGGGGAAGGTTTGCGGTAGCTCATTTACGAGCTGGCGGGCATCCTTTGAGTATTCATCGTCGGGCTCACTGGCGGCTTGAGAGACTTGAGCGGCCTTGGGATCGTCGCTAGTCGCGAACGACTCGAAATCCACCAGTCGGTCAATTTCACTAGCAAAGCCTTTGAGGGTCGGGCTGCGGAAGATAGCATTCATGGAGATATCGATGCCGCGCCACTTACGCCGTAGGTCAAAGAACATCTGCTGGGCCAGAATACTGTGGCCGCCGAGGTCAAAGAATGAATCAGTGGGACCAATCATGCGAGCGGTGACATTAGGAATCAGCTTAGCCCAGATCTGGGCAAGAGCCTCCTCAGTCTCGGACAGGGCCTGCATGACGGACGAACGGCGACGCGGTGCCGCCGCGCTAAGTTCCTCCGTATCGGGGAAGGGGAGGGCTGGCTTGTCGATCTTGCCATTGGGATTCAGCGGCATTCTCTTTAAGGGAATAATCACCGTAGGCACCGCATAAGCGGGAAGCTTGCTGCGAAGGTGCTCACGAGCATCGTCCCTAAGAGGCCGGAAACGTCGAAGCAAGCCAACCATGCCATCGGCGGAATCATCATCCTTGAGACCCTTGCTCTGAAGCCAATCGGCCCACTTGTTCATATCAGGCACGAAGTAGCTCACTAGCGTAGGCTCCTCGAATTTGTCTCGACGCACCAGGGTGACATTCTCACGGACTAGAGGGTGCCGCGAAAGGTGCGTGTCAATTTCTCCAAGCTCGATTCGGAAACCACGAATCTTCACCTGGTCATCGGCGCGACCAGAACACTCGACGTCTCCGGTTGGGGTGTATCGGCCCAGATCACCGCTGCGGTATAGGCGGTCACGGGGACCAACGTAGAACTCTCGCCAGGGCTCATTCTTTGCGGACGCAGCCTTGTCCTTTTCGATCCAAACTTCAGGCTTAACGAACCAATTTGTCAAGAACTTCTTCTGGTTCAACTCGGGGGACCCCAGGTAGCCCTCTGCGAGACCAGCAGCACGCACGTAAATTTCACCCACCTCGCCAATCGCACAGATACGCGTAGGGTCGAAGCGGTTAACCACGAGCATTTGCACATCCAACATTCCCCTGCCCGAATAGATGTTAGCATTGAATCGTCATATACATCGCAATGGCGATCTTAATGGAGGGGTAGGACACGAACCGGCCTGCGGCAATGACATCCTTGCACGTATCGAGGAATCCTTCTTGGCTGGCGTAACTAGGGATTTGGTAATAGCTAACAGCCCGCTGGGTTTCCGTAGTCCCATACATGTTAACGATAGAGACGTTCGGGGCCAGTCCCTGGAGGGAGCGACAGTCACGCTTGATCAGAATATCCCCAACGAAGAATGCGTGGTGAAGAGTGGGGAATTGTGCAGAAGCACCGCCCACAAGGATCTGGCCCATAGCAGGGGTCAGATGGGTGACGCTGGCTTCGTATTTCTGCATCCATTCGGCCAGCTTTTCATTCTGGATATCTTCCCGAGCAGGCACTAGGAGCTGTGCGCCTAGGAACAACGGGGTAAAAATGTCTCTTTGGATAGGATCATGGGCAATACCGCTTAGCATCGTGAACTTGTCGTTGGGGGTGAGGTTAAAGGTCTCCGACATCCAGGGAAAGTAATATGCGAGCGAATAGTGGCGGCCAAGAACGCCCTTCGGGCGACCCTCCGAGCCAGACGTGAATGAGAGTGTCGGGGTTGAGTCAGGGCCCACGACGACACCAACAGATTTGGACTTCAGCTCAACCTGATTGGCGAACACATCCTTGCCGTTGATCAATCCGCCTTCGAGAGTGCCATCATCCAGCAGAGCCAGAGCGGGAACTTCGGTCCGGAGCTGAAGATTTCCATTAATAAAGGAGCGGACAATGTCGGACAGTTCTCCGGCGTCTCTTGTAGCCTTGGCAATATTCACTAGGGCACGAGGACGGGCCACATCCAGGTAGATATTTTGCCGCTCTGGCGGGTACGCCGGGTCGATAACGGAGAACGTCGCACCGGCCTTCAAGATACCCATGACAGCCACGACGAGGTCTACACCACGGTAAGCATAGACCATCACCACCTCCCCTCTTTCGATGCCAGATTGCACTAGGTGGTGTCCTAAGATATTTGACGCCTCGTTGATCTGCTTGTAGGTGAACTCGCGGTGAGGAGACGTGGCCGACTTAGTCTCAACAACGCATAGCTTGTCCGGGTGGCTCTCTGCATTCGCGGAGAAGATATCGTGGATGGCGCCACGGAATTTAGACCAGTTTAGGTCTGACGTAGGATCCGGCAAGATCGCACGCTGGTCCTCGGTCATCAAATCAATCCGGCCAATTGCTTCTTCGGGATTTGCGGCAGCATTGCCGGCAATCTGAGCTAGTTGCTTTAGGATAGTGGCAATCCGTGCGCTTGAGAAAAGACGCTGGTTGTAGTATGCACCGGCAGCGGTCGAGCCCGGCGCAACATTGACCACTAGATCCGTGGTCTCGAAGGTATTGGCTGGGTATTCCTGGGAGGCAGCGGGGGCATCGTATGCGGCAAAACGGAAGAGGATAGGAGCGCGCTCCGATTTGGACTTGTCTTGGATGTGCGAGCGCAGACTGCCCAGTGGGACGATGTCGGAAGAGCCTTCGCTGAACGCCTAGACGAGACGGGTTAGCAGAACGGTTGTGGGAGATCGATGCATTTCGTACCTTGTCTACTTTGGCATAGAGCTGGAGGAAGGTCTCGGATGCGTCAATGGGCACCCGCAGCACAAATGGGCGGCCATCATCACCTAGGCTTGTTCCCACGGAGATATCCTCGTCGCCCGTGAGACGTGCCACGAGAATCACAAATGCGGTGAGGAAGACCGTAAAGTCCGACGTGGATGAGCCGGAGAGCTTCTTGAGCGCCAATTGAGTTTCCTTAGGCAGCTGAATCGATTCGAATGCCTCGATGGCTCTCGAGTCGGCCTTCTGGGAGTCCGGGTAGTCTCGAGTCAATGGAGAGACGGTCAGGTTGTTGAGCCGTTGGGCCCATCGCTCCAGGCGGTCCTGCAATGGACCTGATCCCACAGCCATGGTTGCAGCGGGAGAGAAACAAGAGTGAAGATGGTGTGACTCAAATAAGTCGAGAGTATGAGGGGCAGCAGAAAAAGAACCGGCCGATCTCGCCGGGACGGTGATTGGACCAAGGCGCTCACCGCTGTTAGCTCAGCGTTTTCATGCCTGAGGATCACGCTCGGGTCAAGGATGAGTTGACATCATGAGAAACTGGCCCCATTCACAATTAGGATTGTTTCGTTGTCTCCCTTCCTCTAATCATCCTCCCTTCCCAACCCCTATACTCCGCCATTCCTGGTGCGGCTGACCCCCCCCGTTCGGACCGCTGCGAGGCCAGGCGGCTTTTCTTGCAGGAGACAAGCTTCACGGCTGTTGTTCTCCCGCGCCCGACTTAAAACTCCAACGCCGCACCTCTCTCGAAACACACCTGCCTGACTGGTCGTTCGGTCGAATGCGACAAAGATGATCCTCCATCGAAGTACCGCGCTGCTTTCGATCATCGTCTTTGTCGCTCTGCTCCTATTCATCTTCTCCTCCTCCCCCATCCCTGAACCCGTCAGCGAAAAAGTCTCAGGGGCAGCCAACTATGTGCGACCAAAACTGCCATCATTAAGCCTAGGCCACTTCAGCCTGCCATCGTTCCAGCCTCCAGCCCACGAGGCGCCACCAGAGGAAAAGAACAGCACCAGGGGAGACTCGAAATGGTTCAGCGACTGGCAGTGGCTGAACCCGTTCTCCTCATCCGTCACCTTGGATGAGGGTCGCTCTGTCCTCCCGCCTCTGGCCGATCGTCGTGCCGTCTACACATACTTCAACCCGAACTACAATCCCAATAAGCATTCGGGCCAGGATCGGGGAGAGGAAAAGAAAGCGGATTTTGAGCTGCTGCTGGCCTGGCGTCGGGCCTGGTATGCCCAAGGTTTCCGGCCCGTGATTCTGGGCCCTGGGGATGCCCAAAGGAACCCGTATTACGAGACGATTCAAAAATTGAAGCTTAGTAGCGAGGCTCAGAACGAGGTATATCGATGGCTGGCCTGGGGCCACATGGGATCGGGCTTGCTAGCCGACTTCCTTTGCTTCCCTATGGCCCGGTACGACGATCCCCTTCTGTCTTATCTACGTCGCGGCAGCGAGCCAGACCATATTACGCGCTTCGAAAACTTCAACGGTGGCCTGTATGCAGCGGAGAAGCACATGATCGAACGAGCCATCGCGGAGGCCGCCCAGAAGCTGGACGATAAATCTACGTCCATGACGGACCTCATGTCTCCGGAGATTTTCCGGATTGAACAACCTGCTCCGCTGGCCTTCTACCGATCGTCGACAATCACCTCCAAGTACTCAGGACTGGGCGAGAAAATCAGCAAGAACCCGGCGGCTGGCCGCAAGGAATTGGTGCAGCTAATCAATGCGCACCTCCACAACACATTTCAAAATGGCTTCCCGGCCGGACTTGCCGTGCTAAAACCTTTCCCCAAGTACACCACTGCCCTGGTGGAGCCGGCTCTGCGACTGGCCAAGGCTCTTGTGCAGTGTCCGGATACCCCCATGGCGGACTCTTGCCCGCCCAACCTCCCCGATTGCCGCCCTTGCGGCTCTGGGAAACAAACCATGCGGATCAGCCAGCCCGCGAACTACAAGAACACTACATTTCTCTTTACGATTGGCACCCTGCCCCATCCGTACACCCTGATCAGCCTGCAGAAGAGCTCCGAAGAGATCACGACCCGACACATTCGCCGCGACACGGACCGCGACCCCTGGTTGTTCGAGGTGACGCGAGATCACCTCGGAGACGACCTGGGCGGCGCGGCCCGCGGGAGCGTATTCAAACAAGTCGTTGCAGGTCCGGAAGCCATCGGCTCATCCCTGTGGATGACCGTCGAGTCTCTCCCTGGCGAGGCGGGCACCGGCCTGCCGTCCGATCTCCTGGATGAGTTCGAATGGCAGCTTGGATTCCAGATCCCCCGCGGTGGCAAGGCTGACCCCAAGATCGAGGGTGGCAAGGGCAATCAGGATAAGCCCCAGTATGCCGAGAAGGAGAGCTTCCAGTTTGCCAACCCGAGCGAGCAGGGGATTGCGCGGGAGTATGAGTTGATCCAGAAGGCGCGGGAGGCGATCAAGAGTGAGGAGATAAGCCGTATCAGCATCAAGGATGTCGCCGAAGCGTGGAACCTGGCGGACAGCGAGGTGTGGCGATTTGTGAAAGCTTATCGGTGAGTGATTTATGATCTACTAATTCCTTTGTGGATGCGGGCTAATCCCTGTATGTGTCTTCAGAGCACGCTTGGTGGTGGAGCGACGCAAATGGCAAGAGCAAGAGCAGGCGTTTCTGAAGCCGCCGAACTGAGTGTGGGATGGTGCTGTAACCTGTCTTTTTGCTTGTTGTTCCGTATATCTCTGTTATCTTGTGTGTCTGGGGGGGCGTTGTGTAGAATACTTGATTAGTTAGCTAGATCGGAGCCAGATAAGCGCCCGCGGTGTACCCGCGGGGGAACCGGAGGTCGCCACTCCCCGCAATCCAGGTTTATCGCTTCATCTCGGTCCCCCCTCTTTGACTGTACCACTTGGGAAGGTTGAACCTCTAGGCAAGTCGTCGCGGTAGTGCCTCGCCACACATCAAATAAATACTCGAGACATCATGGGCCGTCGCACCTGAAACCCTCATTCTGTCATTTTGGTTTACTTACCCCGTGAGAATTCATCGAAATGGCGCCCGGAATCGGTATCCACGAGGATTCCGCGGCCGCGGTCGAGAAGGTCACTTCGCTGGCCCAGCTGACCGAGGACTGGGACGACGCCCTCCGCTTCTACGTGAATGGCACCAAGGTCACCGTCGACACAGCCAATCCGGAGGTGACGCTGCTAGAATACCTGCGCGGTATCGGTTTGACGGGGACCAAGCTAGGATGCGCCGAAGGTGGCTGCGGTGCCTGCACGGTGGTATGTACTGCGTGAAAGGAATATATATATTTGACTGAACTCGGCGCTGACAACCAATCGCATAGGTCGTGTCGCACATAAACCCGACCACGAAGAAGATCTACCACGCTTCCGTTAATGCCTGTCTCGCCCCGCTGGTCAGCGTCGATGGGAAACATGTCATCACCGTTGAAGGGATTGGGAATGTCAAAGATCCCCATCCCATCCAGCAGCGGATCGCGGTTGGCAATGGGAGCCAGTGTGGTTTCTGCACGCCCGGGATTATCATGGTACGCCCAGCCCTGTATTATTCCGGCTAACGAGACTGGAATCGTCCGACTAACTATGTATCTTCAAAAGAGTCTTTATGCCTTACTACGAAACGACCCGTCGCCCTCCGAGCATGATGTGGAGGAAGCCTTTGACGGAAACCTGTGCCGCTGTACCGGCTACAGACCCATTCTCGACGCCGCGCAGAGCTTCAACAACAAGAACAATAGCTGTGGCATGGCCTCGTCGAATGGAGGATCGGGCTGCTGCATGGAGAAGAACGGCGGCGGCGGTTGCTGCAAAGGGTCGTCCGCGGGAAATAAAGACGGCGATGAGAAGGTGGAGATCAAGTTCCCACAGCCGGATTTCAAGCCCTACAATCCCGACACGCAACTCATCTTCCCTGCAGCGCTGAGGAAGCATGAATTCCGCCCACTGGTCTTCGGCAACAAGCGGAAGAAGTGGTATCGGCCCGTGACCATGGAGCAATTGCTGCAGATCAAGAGCATCCACCCCGAGGCGAAGTTGATTGGCGGTAGCTCGGAGACGCAAATCGAGATCAAGTTCAAGGCGATGCGCTATGCTGCCTCTGTCTATTTGGGCGACATCCCAGAGCTGCGGCAGTATGAGTTCCACGACGACTACTTGGAGGTCGGTGCCAATGTGTCTCTGACAGACTTGGAAAACATCTGTGGGCAAGCCGTCGAACGGTATGGCTCTGCCGCAGGCCAGCCTTTCGCAGCCATCAAGAAGCAGCTGCACTACTTCGCTGGAAGACAGATTCGAAACGTTGCCTCCCCTGCTGGTAACTTGGCTACTGCTTCCCCGATCTCCGATCTCAACCCGATCCTGGTGTCTACAAACACGACTCTCATTGCCAGGTCGCTCGCAGGGGAAAAGCACATCCCCATGACCGAATTCTTCTTGGGCTACCGCAAGACCGCTCTTCCTCCGGATGCCATCATTGCCAGCCTTCGGATCCCGATTGCACAGAAAGGCGAATATATGCGCGCCTACAAGCAGGCCAAGCGCAAGGATGACGATATTGCCATTGTTAACGCCGCCCTGCGTGTCTCTCTCTCGGAGACCAACGACGTCCTCAGTTGTAACCTGATCTTTGGTGGTATGGCGGCCCTGACCGTGTCTGCAAAAAACGCAGAGGCCTTCTTGGTCGGCCAAAAATTCCCCAGCCCTGCAACGCTCGAGGGCGTCATGAATGCATTGGAACAGGACTTTAATCTTCCATTCGGTGTGCCAGGTGGCATGGCCACATACCGCAAATCTCTGGCACTCGGCTTCTTCTATCGGTTTTACCATGACGTGCTTTCTGGGCTGCAGGTCAAGTCATCCGACCTAGACCCTGATGTCATTGCAGAGATTGAAAGAGCGATCTCTTCGGGTAAACAGGACAATGAGGCTTCGATCGCCTACCAGCAGAGAATTCTTGGGAAAGCGTCCCCGCATGTGGCGGCCTTGAAGCAGGCCACCGGCCAGGCCCAGTACACCGATGACATCCCTGTGCAGCAGAACGAATTGTTCGGATGCATGGTTCTCTCGACCAAAGCCCACGCCAAGATCCTCAGCGTCGACGTCTCCGCCGCGCTGGAAGTCCCCGGAGTTGTGGACTACGTCGATCACAACGACCTGCCGAATGCCGCAGCCAACTGGTGGGGCGCACCCGTGTGCGATGAGAAGTTCTTCGCGGTTGACGAGGTCAACACCGCCGGACAGCCGATTGGCGTTATTTTGGGACTTACGGCGAAGCAAGCTGAAGAAGGCATGCGGGCCGTCAAGGTTGAATATGAAGACTTGCCGGTGATCCTCACGATTGAGGAAGCAATCGAAGCGGAGTCCTTCTTTGAGCACTATCGCTATATCGTGGACGGCGATACCGAGGCGGCTTTCAAGGAAGCCGATCACATTATCACGGGTGTCTCACGGATGGGTGGTCAAGAGCACTTTTACTTGGAGACACAAGCTTGTGTGGCCATTCCAAAGCCGGAGGATGGTGAGATGGAGGTTTGGAGCGGCACCCAGAATCCCACTGAGACGTATGTTCCCCAATCAGCACGACTAACAATCAATACTGATCTCGAATTTTAGACAAACCTATATCGCTCAAGTGACCGGTGCTGCTTCGAACAAGGTTGTCTCTCGAGTCAAGCGACTCGGCGGTGGTTTCGGTGGCAAAGAAACACGGTCCGTCCAGTTGGCCGGTATCTGTGCTGCCGCTGCACACAAGACGAGGCGGCCTGTTCGCTGCATGCTCAACCGTGACGAGGACATTCTGACTTCTGGTCAACGTCACCCGTTCCTCGGCAAATGGAAGGTCGGAGTCACCAAGGAAGGAAAGATCTTGGCGCTTGATGCTGACGTGTATGCCAATGGTGGTCACACGCAAGATCTTTCCGGCGCTGTCGTGGAGCGAAGCTTGTCTCACATTGATGGCGTTTATCACATCCCCAATGTCAACGTTCGCGGCCGGATCTGCAAGACCAACACGGTTTCCAACACTGCCTTCCGTGGCTTTGGTGGTCCGCAAGGCCTGTTCTTTGCCGAATGCTATGTTTCCGAGATTGCGGACCATCTAAACATTCCTGCTGAGGAGATTCGCGCAATCAACATGTATCAGCCTGGTGAGAAGACGCACTTCAACCAGATTCTCAAAGACTGGTATGTGCCCTTGATGTACAAGCAGGTTATGGAGGAGAGTAACTACATGGAACGCCGGAAGGCTGTGGAGGAGTACAACAAGCAACACAAATGGTCAAAGCGAGGCATGGCTATCGTACCGACCAAGTTCGGTATCTCCTTCACTGCGCTCTTCCTGAACCAGGCCGGTGCTCTTGTCCACATCTATCACGACGGGAGTGTTCTCGTCGCCCACGGCGGTGTTGAAATGGGCCAGGGTCTACACACGAAGATGACCATGATTGCCGCCGAAGCGCTCCAGGTTCCCCTAGAGGACGTCTACATCTCCGAGACCGCCACCAACACTGTCGCCAACACATCTTCAACCGCCGCATCGGCCAGCTCCGACTTGAACGGCTACGCCATCTTCAACGCCTGCGAGCAAATCAACGAGCGCCTCAAGCCCTACCGCGAGAAATTCCCCGGGGCGCCCATGTCCAAGCTCGCGCACGCAGCCTACTTCGACCGCATCAACCTCTCCGCGAACGGCTACTACCGCACCCCAGACATCGGATACGTATGGGGCGAGAACTCGGGCCAAATGTTCTTCTACTTCACGCAGGGAGTGACAGCCTCAGAAGTGCAAATCGACACGCTGACCGGCGACTGGACCCCGCTGCGCACCGATATCAAAATGGATGTTGGCCGCACCATCAACCCCTCCATCGACTACGGTCAGATCGAAGGCGCCTACGTGCAGGGCCAGGGCCTGTTCACGACCGAAGAAAGCCTCTGGCACCGCGCCTCGGGCCAGATCTTCACCCGCGGGCCAGGCAACTACAAGATCCCGGGCTTCCGCGATATCCCGCAGATCTTCAACGTTAGCCTGCTCAAGGATGTCGAGTGGGAGAACCTGCGCACTATCCAGCGCTCCCGTGGTATCGGCGAACCGCCTCTGTTCATGGGCAGTGCGGTCTTCTTCGCGATTCGCGATGCACTCAAGCATGCGCGTAAGGAGTGGGGCGTTACTGACGTCCTCTCGCTTGTGAGTCCTGCCACTCCTGAGCGTATTCGCGTTAGTTGTGCGGATCCCATTGTCGAGCGCGCGAGAGTGATTCCCAAGGAGGGCGAGAAGAGCTTCTTTGTCGCCATCTAGATGGGTGAAGGTGGAATGATAGTCACGACTTGCTTATGACCATCGATGGATTTGTATATTTGTTTCCTTTTTTTCGGTCTTCTTTCCGAAATCTTGTTTATAAAGATCAGATTGAATTTACATTGTTGAGCAATACCATGTTGGAGCTGTAGATTTTGTGGCTATTAAATAGTGTTTGAGATAAGTGTATTTGACCTGATCTTTTCGCATAAATGGAAAGCCATACGTGGTTTTACATTGAAACCTTGGCGTCAGTGGCCATCTAAGAACTAATCGCTATCTACTGCTGTAAACAGAAAATACTCGCAACCTGAGGGAAAATAAATTCATACTCAGTCAGCTTCAGAATACGCAATCCGCCTCGGGGTGTCACGACTACTTAGTTCCGGAAGAGTCCTCTGGCACTTCAACTGCGTTCTCAAAAGATTCTGCACTTGAAGCAACACTCTCCGCGGACCGGGTTCGTCTCACAAAGCTGACGGGGTTTGAATCCCGCTCCTCTATCACTAGTGGTTCCTCCTCTGGCTCAGTCACGAACGCATAGCGATATGGTTTTCGCGAATGCTCAGGCGATTTCTGGTCTCCTTCCCCGGGCCCACGTTCGATCTCCTCCGGCTCAAGGGCCATAGGCGTTCCCTTCTCTCCTATTTGGGTCTCTTCTTTCTTCTCAGTGTCCCCGTCCGTCGTACGCTTCCACACCGTCTCTTTTTTCCTTTTTGTATTATGTGATATCTCATCACTGGCTTTAGCATCGACGTTCAATCCTTCCTCGCGGAGCTTTGATCGGATTTCTTCTTTCCCAGCTTCTACTCTTAGTTCATCTTCGAACTCTTCGAGTCTGCGGCGTACTTTTGCGTTGCGGAGCTCCTCTTCCAGCTGTTCTCTCTTCTGTTGGAGCTCGAGGATTTCTAGCTGTCTCAACCGTCGATTAAGATCTTCCTCATACCGGCTTTCAAACTTTCCAGGAGCCTTGAGGTCATCCTTTGGATCGTCCTTGGGCTTTTCAATCACTTTCTTTTCCTCGGCGGGTTTTTTTGGTTCCTTTTGTTCATTTTTCTTCGGTGCCTCACCAGAATCTTTGTCTTTCGTGATAAGGGCCGGTCCGGAGAATTTATCGATTGCTTTTTGAGAATAAGGGAGCTTCTGATAGATCGATTGTGCTATTTTGGCGTTTTTGCCGATAATAGACTTGTCTTCAGAAAGAGATCGACGGAGTGCATTTTGTACCATGAGGTTGTTCCATCGGGTAGCGACACAAACATCGTTCTCTGGAGTAGGTCCGAATTTCTCCGCGACATCTTCTAATCTTTGGAGTAGTTTCCGGCATGATTTGTCGTCGGTGGCAAGCAAGTACTGCGAAATAATGGACTCAGAGGCCCTAAGATGATCTCCTTGTTCAACCAGGAGCAGCTGGTCTAGCTCCTTCAATAATGGCTGAGGATCTTCTACACGACAGATAAGCTCGCGTAGACACGTTGACCTAGTTTTGAAATCTCCAAGTTCGGTTGATGTTTTCAAGATCCAATTCAATGAATTATTAGGTGGAAATTTTGGGTCGGCGGCCGGCCAGCCCGGATTTTCAGAAGCCATGGGTATGTAGGTTGGTAGAGACCATTCATCCAGGTCAAGCCCAGGGAACTTGTTGAGGCACTTCTGTCTCTCCTCTTGATATGATGGGCCGGGGTTCCGTAAGTGATCAAGATATTCTTCTGCGAAAGCCCATTGAAGATATGGTCGTGATCGCATGAGATGAGGGCTGTGTTGTCGGAGTTTCTCAGCACAGAGATTGGCCTGCTGTGCGCACCACTGGTCATTTATGGTCCGATAGATAGATCGGGACTGACTGCTAGAAATGCGAAAGTATCGCAATTCCACCATGATGGACAGAAGAGCAAGCTCGGTTGATTCGTCATATTCATCGACTGACCAGTCTTGCAGCAACCGCTCAAGTGAACCTCTTGTGTAGGTCTTCGCGTCTTTAGCCTGATCAAAGAGGCGCTCTGGCGTGTCCTTGAAGAAGTGCGCGAACGTTTCCCACGGACCAAGGAGGCCAAACATGGCAATCAGAAGGTCACAAAGCTCCCAAATACGTCCATCCATGAGCAGGTCATCATATAGATCCTGCCAGACCTCTGAGAAAAGGTTCGGTATTGCAATTTCTTGTTCGCACATGATAAAAGACAAAATCTCGGAGAGCTCGCAAATGATCTGAACCTGCAATATTGTTTACGGCATCAGTCGAAGTACAAGATGATCAAGCCGTGCATTTTACCTCTGTAGGGTCAATTGGCATCCCTCGGGCAATTGAGAGACGGTCCACGTGTCGAGAATACGCCCGCTCTTCGAGGTACTGCACAAAAGAGTGGAAGTCGAGTTGAAGGAGTTCCAGCTCTCTCGACGATAGACTTTCAAATGAAAGCCTTGCCCGTAGCTGAAGCAAATTGATGTGTGTTTCGTAGAGGTCTCGGCCAACTGCACCGTTGCCAATGGGAATGCATTTGGTCCTCTTGGGAGGGTGCGGTTGTCGACTCGATATGAAGTCAACCACTTGTTTGTAGGAACCCTGCTCAAGCAATAGATTGGCGTATCCGATGGCCACAAGAGGTAAGTCTAGGTGATCTTCCAGATTTACTCGAAAATAGTCGAGCGCATCGTTGAAGTGACCCCATCGTTTCAATCGCGACACTTCTTCCAGCTGGCCTTCGATGTCGTCCACCACGTCCATGGAGAAGTGCTCGGTGATATCTCTATGAAAATGCGAGGGCATCTGGAACCCTGGTATGTGCGTGTAATTATCTAATATTGACACCTTAGGGAATTCTCTTCCCAGGGCTCTGATGGGGCCCTGGATTTTTCGTGTCTTTCGTTCTGTTCATTGGCCTCCTTGGCGGCCTCGACGGTGTCTTGTCTCCAGGGTTTCGACTGCGAATGTTCAACGTCCACCTCAGGCAGCCTGGAAGGCTTTCCGTGCAACTGGTTGACAGGACGTGAAAACTTGCCGAGCGGTGGCTGTAACTTTGGAAGGTCTTGCCCGGTCTCAGTTCTATCGCGCGAACCTCTCCGACCGCCAATACGCTGAGTCGCCATGATCAATTTAGAAAGAGTGCGACGTTTGGATCATACACCGGTCAAGATGTGCGCGACGAGGGTTCTTGAACAGACAGCATACTATTATGGACCGTTCTCTAGGGCGACGAGAACAGCGATTGTACCAACTACCAAATGACCAACCGGGCTGAGCTGAGGCTGACCATGCAGGGAGCGGGGTCGAGTTTCGTGCCAAGGAGGGCTGTGATGGAGGCTGTGACGGTTTTGGTGCCGTCGCCTTCAATCGCTCCGCAGCACCTGATTCTCACTAATAGCCGTGGACGCCCGAGTGCCTCGAGGTTCTGCGTTTGTTCTCGTTGTCGGTCGTCCTGCTACTATCAATGCACGTCGTTCCGCCTCACCCTATCCGTCGACCTCCAGCTCGATTCGCTCGCAAGTATGGGTCAACTTTCAACTATTTAGACCGCGCTGCAAACGTGAGCTTGTGTGACCAGGCGCTGGGTAAGGTCCGTATCGACTGTGGGCTCCGACTTTCGAAATCACAATGGGGGGTGGCAGGCCCAGTCGACAACCAAGCCGGGATTCTCTACATGGATCTCACCTTCGGGCAAACCAAAGACAGCCGCTTGACAAGCGCCGTGGTCGAGATTAGCCTCGAGGATCTGGAAGATCTGCGAACAGGGAGCGATTATCAAATTGAGCCGGAGTCAACCCCGAGAGACAACTTGCCCGTCCAGACGAACGAGGAGAACAGGGTGATGGTAAACGAGGTAGTGGAACGCATTATCCTGCGTTTGCTTCATTTTACCCACTTTGGCCCACGCGAACTGTGTGGTGAGCCAACGAAAACAACGACCAAAACAACCAGGCACTTGACTCCCAATGTCAACGTTCTTGGCAATGGCGCCGGTGGGCTTGGATTGGATCAAGAGCAGACTGTTGAACAGACCAGTCGCTGGCTCTTTACGGGTAATCTACACCGAGGATCGAAACTTGGAGCGGGCCAGAGAAGTATACTGTCCCGCACGCTCAGGTGGGAGCTCTCCGAGGATGATTTTCAACCCCAGCCAATGCACAGCAATGTGATCCAGACGGGGTTCGCGCTTGAACACGACTGCAGGCCATTTTACATCCGAGTAGAGATCCAAGGCAAACTACAACGAAAACATGGACGATTCAAAAATAACATGAAACAGCTACTACGGTTCCCATCGGAATCCAAGAAACGTCAGGGAACAACCATGACCTTGGTTCTTCCGGACAGGAGAATGGCAAATACACGGCGACTGGATGCCATTGCACAGGGATTGCCCTACGACATGGAGCGGGCGAACTTGGAAAGCGTACGGGTGCAACTACCTTCTGCGTTGCCTGCATCTTTTCAGGAAGCCGCGCCGATTTCCCAGGGTCAGACAGCTTCTCAGTGTGGCTTGCCGGCATCCTCTAAAGCAGAGCGACCCTCAGCAGCCACGGCTCCGCTCGAATTACCACAGTCTCAGGGCGAAATATGGCGGGGAGGTGAACTGAACGAAGAAGGATTTCGGGAACCTTTGGCTGAACAGGCTGGATCTTTGAGGCCGGTACGAATCAGCTCGAAAAGGGACTCGACTGAGGAAACACTTTCACAAGGAGAGTTGAATGAGCTTGTCTCCCAGCTCGCACAGTTCCCCGTCTTGCTTCGGATCTTTCTGTGGTTGGTTTCTATGATAAAATTCGCGCCGAAAAAAACGCCAAAAAAGAGTCTTAAAGGCGATTGACTTGAAATTCTACACACCACGCCAGCCCGCATTGGCGTCGACATTTGCTGGCAGCTTCCTGGAAGTGGGAGGTCAGCAAAGACCCAAATTTGAGCATCACTGAGTACCGCTTCTGAGACCACTAGGAACCATTGGGCCACTTGAAAATTTGCAGTCAACAGATACTTCGTTGTTACTTCTCTGTTTGCATTTACCTACGGTGCTATGCTGGCACTTGCTTTTCTGGCACTTGCCGCCTGGTGGACGCAGATGCTTAACCGCGACATTACTAGGATAAAAGGGAATAGTGTAAGACCATAGCATACCAGCTTCATTAAAGTTCTCAGATATGTTGCGAACGGCCTCGCTAACAAGTTTGTGCAACTTACCCTTGTATCCATGAGGATCGAGGAACGACATTGCTTAAAGGAAACATAGTTGATCAGTTTGGCATTTACGATGACTTTTTCTCCAAAGTGAGTAAAATAAGGGCAACGAAAAGCCCAGAAAGCGTGGTGAAGGCAACAGCGTTGGTGGAAACATTTGTAGTTCGGCGTATTTCATGTGGCTCGGTTTGAGGGAGCGACGGGTGAGCAGTAAAACGGAAAGAGCAAGAAAGAAATGCCAGACATTCTTATCCGGCTAATTGAATGCTCTTCTGAACGCCAGAAAACGATAGCCTTACCTAATTAACGACTCTTCACCTTCGACCCTCCTCTTCTCTCCTCCGCCGCAGCCTTCTTCTCCAACCAAACCCCCACCCCAAGCAACAAAAACATAGTTCCACAAATATAAACCTGCGGCTTGCCCTCTCCAAACTCGGGATCCGTCGCCAAAGAACCAGGATAGAAAAACGCGCTCAACTGCGTAATCCAATAAAGACTGCCCACCCAGACTGCCGTGTTAAGGTGCAGATTTCTGATCTCGGGCGTAGAAGCCGGCCGGAAGAGATAGTATAGTGTTGTTAGGCCGAGGACTAGCCCCATTGACATCGTCTGTCCGTTGTGGAATTTCGCGTGCGGGGGCCATCGCGCGTTGTAGATGTGGGTTTCGTTCCAGTCGGCTACGTAGCAGCCCAGTGAGGTTACTAGCCCGACCAGGGCAATGAGGGTTTTGCCGAGAGGTGCCATTTGAGATTGATTGAAGATTCCTTATAAAGAAAAGAGAAAAGACTTGGAGACTGGTGAGGAGAGAAATCGGAGTATGTACAAGCTGTACAGGGTTGGACAACTTAAGAGAAGAAAGGGGAGGTGGACGAGGGGAATGGATGAAGGGTGGAATGACGGATGGCAGCGGAATGCGGCGACCCGACCCCGCCATGAACAACCACCGTTGGGTAAATAACTACTCCATGATGCTTAGGAATTAAGCAATGGGTTGGCGGTTTAGATTGAAACCAGTAGATTATTGAAAACAACGCTATACATCCAGAGACTGACCGGCAAACCAAGCAAAAGACAAATGACCCGCCCGCTCCAATAAAATGCAGAGACATAATACAGACATCACCGCTGAGAAAGCTCAACGCTTCGCGTCATATTCCACGCTTCACATCATATTCCACGTAAGCACTCCCCCTCACAGCAGGCGCAGAATCAACCTTCAAAGCAGCGTTATATGCCCTGTGCCCCGCAAACCCATACTTCTCATCATCGAACGACACCGGCCCGCCCCGAGTTGGGACGGCGGGAGCCGTAGCCACTTTAGCAAATGAATCATGCTGATTCTGGGGGCAAGCCGTTAGCGGCACCTCCATGAAGTCACTGGCGGGGGCGGGAGCTCTAGGAACAGGATCAATAGCATGGCCGCCACCCTCGCCACGGTTCCTGTCGTGACCCCAGAAGAGGATCATCGCGCGGGTGGCGCCGATTAGGGCAACTAGTACCCAGATGGCGAGCACCGCGGTGGCGATGATGGCTTCTTGGCGGACGCCGTCTTGCAGCTTGCTGACGACGCTGACGACGACTTGGCTGATTTTGTTGGACGTGTCGGAGCCTGCGTCGGCGAGGAAGCTGTCGGATGGATCGGAGGAATTTGAGATACTGGCTGCGGCGCCGGCGGAGAAGACGCTGGAGGGTAGGAGAGGGAAGTCGACGTGCGCGTTGTCCGAGACCCAGGTCAGGCCCTTTTCGATGCCGGCGATTTTGAGACCGATCAGACACTGGAAGACCTCTGTGATGGGGTCGTACAGGATGGTTCCTTGGAAGGTCTCGTTCAGCACACCCATGGTCTTGTCGACGAAGGCGTTGAGCGTGTTGTTCACTGCGTGAGTACTCGTGTTGACCCAGCCGAAGACGTTGTCGTTGATGTCGTTGTTCATGTTTGTGATGGCCTGGTTGGCCCCATTTGCCCACGCCACGGATGCGTTCTCCAGCGAGGCAACGACTTTGTCTGCAAAAGCGGTCACCTCGCTGCTCAGTTCGGGCACTGTCTTCTGCACGGCGCGCAGGAGAAGCCACTGGCAAAGACACCCGAGGAGGCCTGCGACACCAAGTGCAAGTACGAACAGGGCTGGCATCGTAGTAGCGTAGGCGATGGCCCAACGCACGAGGATCTGGCGACGGCTGTTGCTGAACCGGCTTGCGGCTTTGATTCCCGCGGCTGCTGTGTATGGACGGGAGACAATGTAAACCACGTCCATGGGGTCGTGTGCCTCCTTGCGGACGAGTTGGGATCGTTCCTTCATTGATCGCCAGCGCCGGATCTCTCTCCATGCCATGGGGACGCAGGCCAGCACGGCCGCAATAAGCATGACGATAATGAAGATTTTGCGGGCCAGGACGGCGATGTCGTCGACTCCCTTGAAGAAACTGTTGATTCCATCGTTATCGCCGCAGAAGGTCAATTGTTGCTTTTGGGGGACTGGAAGCACAGTGCGATCAAAGCTGTAGGTTCCCAGGGACTGATTGATCAGGCTGTTGATCTCCTGGAACGGCGTGCGGATAAGACCCTGGACAGCGCTGTCCACCTCGCTGAACGTGGGGATGGAGGTGTTCAGAGTGTTTAGTTTCGTGTCGATCGATTGGGGAAGATGGATGTTCTCGAGCGCATTCACAGAGGTGTTGAGGTTCAATGTAGGAAGATGAGCACCGAGATCGTTGGCGGCCGTGTTCACTAAATTTGCAAAGTCTTCAAGCCCGGTTTCGAAAGTGCTGACTGTGGCGTCAATATCGTGGCCAATGGTCGACAGCGTAGAGTTCAAAAAGTCCAACGCATCTTCTATCAGCGCGATTGCAGCAGACACGGTGCCGTGCACGGCCATCGTGATGAGACAGAGGTAAGTCTGGTACATGAGTTTGACGATAAAGACAATTATTTCTTCGACGCCAGTGATGGTAAGCAGGAGCATAGATTTGAGGCCATTCACGGCTTTATCAAAGCCAGTCGCCGTCAGATCGTTGACACCCTGGGAGAGGTAATGCGGCATCGAAGCCATAGCGCTGCCCATGGATTCCACAGAGGTGCATGAGGATAGCGCTTCGCGTTTAGCCGTGGCCATGTCGTTTTGGAGGCTACCAATGGCTATCAAGACTCTGACCAGCACCAGCAAGAGAAGAATCGTCCAGCGATTGATCCATACTTGCGACAACCGAGCTCGCAGGCCTAGGTAAGGTGTGAGGTCGTCTGGGTGCAATGTGGTGATCCGCTCTCGGTTGGGATCGTGCGCTCCGTATGGTGGCAGAAGGGGAAAGATCGATCGCCGGGATCGCGAGAATATCATTTTGGAAGTTGTTTTATCGAGTGCACCAGGCGTCGAGCGAGGTAGGTGTTGAAAAAGATGTCGTCGGGGACAGATTTGGCCAAACGTTCAGCAGCAGAAGTCGAATCCACGATGAGAGGAGCAAAAAGTCATCAAAAACAGGAAAGGAGCTGGAAGAAAAATTATGTGTCCAAGGAAATCAGCGTGGTCTATTGAGAAACCATAGTGTATATATTAATAGCAGTGAATGAAAGGGATTCAATAAGGACGTGCCGAACAATAGGACCAAGAAAACTGAGAGCGCTCGACAGAGCGATGAAAGAGACAATAAAAGAAAGCAAGAACAAGGCGGAAGGTACCTCGGAGTTTCTTTTATTGGGCACCAGCGCGCCAGTCGTAGACCAGATCGCACCGATCGTCTTATAAAGAAGCTGGTTTGGCCGGGTCGCAACCCCGTGTCGATGAAACGACCACCTCAGGGTGGATCAGGCGGTCCATGTCGAAACAAAGAGGTTGCCAAAATAAAGTCTTCAGGATGAAGATGCTTGGTGGAAGGCACTGTTTCATCTTGCAACACGGCGCGTAAGTGGCTCTGGTTGTAGTGGTGAAGCGCTGTGCGGACCCAAAAAGTGCGCGCGGGCGCTTAGCGGGCATCGTTGCTGGCCAATGGTTGGGAGTCCGCAGACGAAACTCGAACAGCACGCGCTGAGACGGTTGACGACTCTTTGGTCTCAGCTGTTTAGGCAGCAAGGAAGTCTTTGCCCAGAATCCTGTTTCTGTGGCGCTCTTTGTTCCATTTCCCGTTGGCAGTCTGTAGACTGTGGGCAGAGATAGGGTTAAGAGGGACTCAGCAACCCACCTCAATCATGTATCGATGCAGGAGAAATCCACTAACAGCATCTGAATGCTATGAGCGTTATTATTCCCTGTTTCTTTTTTATTAGAAAACAACAAGCTACACTTTATCGTGGCTGATGGCGTTTGGTACCCACGTGACCCGATTCAACACTTGAGCATCTACAGCCTAACTTGACAACATCACTCGACCAAACTGAATGGGAGTGTTTTATTCTATATTCCATATCATTACATCATAGGCTTTGTTCGATTTGTTGTGTACTTCTGTTTCATACTCCAAGTACAGATACAGAAAATTAGAGATGAACTATGGGTAACTTTGAATATATATTTCAAGCCACGGGACATATTATGTACTGCATACTTCCGTCAATGACCATCAATCAAACCTGGCTAATTCAATTTCTTTAGCAAATATAACATTTTGAAGTTCTGATTGTGCACCAGCTTCATTTACGTTTTGCTCGAGTACCAGCTGGTTGTGAACAATAAAGCTTAGCAGAGCTTGTCTGCCTGTGATCCGCTAAACGAGACTATCTAGGCAACTGACGGGCTGTTTGTTTAGGTGGCGCACTTTGATATCTTGCATCCGTTAACCTCATTCACTGTCAAGATTCTCCCTTCACACAATCTTCCGTTCACGCCTGTATTCCCACACATCAGTACATACCTTTGTGAAACAGCCCGGTCCGGGTCGATGGTGAAAGCGGACTGTGAGTATCCCCTAGCAAGAGAGGTACTGCTGCATTTCATGCAGACAGACCACGGCCGACGTCCACTTAGCGTGTTGCAAAATCAACACCGCTCTCAGCCATGGGTACCAGAGAGAGCACCGTTTCCCAGAAGCCGCCCGATAACCTGCACCTTCTACTTGAGGCAGAAGGATACAGCCTGGTTCTTAATACTGAGAAGAGCCTCGTGGAGACTCATGGAGACTCGGCCGAAGATAGCCAGTCTGCCGACTGTGTCTTACGCCTTGAAATTCACGGCATGGACAGCACTCCAGTGCTGCATCTGAAGATTGCAAATTATAAGCCTGCCAAAGACAAGGGCCTGTACGAAGATGGCATGGACCGGACTGCTGGAATAGTCTTCTTCCTCTTCCAGCTCCCTGAGACCTACCCCGGAGGCAGGGCAGAACTGCTTCGCATTGTTCGGGACCTATGTGATGAGACTCCTACTCTCGGGGTCACAAAGATCGTTCCAGGGCGAGCGGCTTTCAAGAAATTTATCAAGCGATCGCGAAAGCACCCCCAAAAGTGGGAAGATCCTGTCTTTGTGAACAGTATAAAAGTCGATTGGAAACGGAAACGCCCGGGCTCCGAAAGACTCTACATCCGTGTTGTGTTCCCAGGAGCGGAGGAGGGAACTAATATTATTGTGCTTGACGAGAGCTCAGAACAGCTAAAAGCCGTCACTTCTGGCGATCTAGTGAGGCCAAAATTTCCAAGTGCACGCTCACCCTGTGAACGAAAGCTAATGTACAGACGATAGCCCAAATTTATTGATGCATTCATCCTTCCCCTTCGCATCTATCTTCGAAGATGCATGTTCAGGAAACGGTATCACGAGGAACTAGCCCGTCTCCAGAAACGAACCCTTGCGATTCACGAAGTAGCTTCACAGGATGGCGAGGACGCAGAGTTGAAGAGCACTGGGTCCACAGACCAGGCCTCTGAATTGGAGGTGACGATGTCAGCGCCGAGACATGGTGACTGCGCTGCCTCCACTACTTCCTATCAAACTGCCCACAGCTTTCTTTCTCCCTCGACAACCACTCCCACTTCTCCTGCTTTCCACACTCCTATTGTGCATTTGCAGACCCCTTCCGTCCTCGATATCTCTGAAGAACATGAGCCAAGCAGCATACTTGAGAACCCTACCTCGACTGGAAACATCCACACATCTCCTTCTCAGGGCAAGAGTCCTCAAGGTAAACAAGACTCACGCCAGCTCAACCTACTGAAGCACCCTTGGCTAACAACCATTACAGATATCGACCACGGCACCTCCATCATGGAAGCCATATCTCACACCCCTGGAAATATCTACAAGAACCACGATATCCATCCTTCTGAAGAGAAACAACAACACGATCATACCAGCATACCAGGTAAGTACAACGCCTCCCCATGCAACGCGTGTATGACAGAGCGATCAGTAATTCGAGAACCAGATCTTCTCGAAGAGAGCAACATCCAAGCTGAGCAGACTGAGACGAGCACAAACATTAAGCCGTTCAAACAGTTCACAGACCTTCGCAAGGAATCGCGGACTGAACCGACTACACAACCAGCAGACAGCAACCTCAAGCTTGAGCAGAGAAACACCAACGACGAGGAAAGCCAGTCGGACACTGAAGTTTCGATCACTACTGCGACACAAGCCGGCGAAGAGCCAGAGTCCAGCATGATGTTTGAAACAAAGCCCCTTTCGAAGAAGGCAAAGATAAAGAAATTGAAGAAGAGTCGTAAGAGGAGATTTCGAGGCAAGAAGCATCGCGCTTCAGACAACTCGCCAGACAATGCTTCGAAGTCTGATACCGAGACAGATGAAGAAAGCGAACACGATGAGGCGGCGGATTCCCCGCGGGCTTCCCAAGTCCAGTTTGAGACCAGCCATCTAGCCCCATTGTCCGAAACATCTCCTGGACCATCATCTGCTATCAAGAAAGGCAAAGGCACGAAGCGCATTTCGAACATTCTTATCCCGGTTCTGCAGAAGTCATCTACTGCAACCGAGGGACCATCGCCGCCATCTGATCCCAAAACTGTCCCACAAGGACAAGATCTGGTCCGTGAGGACCGTGAAACGAGAACGACACCCACATTGACGGCGTCACCAGAAGAAGCCACGCCATCGTCAACCACCACACTACTAGCCACCCGCGGTGATGACGCCCCGACGTGCAGCCCATCCAGGGGCATGGGACTTAGCCAGGACAAACCCAACGCAGCAGGCGGCTACCTGATAATCCAAACGCCGCCGGGGTTTGTCTGGGAGCTGACTTCCGTCAGCTTCCCATGCGCCAAGATAGACTGCCGTCAGGCGTCTAACCTGTGGGATGGCCAGTCGGTGATCTGCCCGAAGTGTGGGCCGTACTCCCTGATCCGCTACTGTGGAAGGGATCACCTTCGAGAGGACGTGTCGCAGCACTGGAACCACTGCGACAAATACTCGTTCCAGCATCCCTGCGTGCCGGGGTCTGTCCCACCGGAAGTTTTGAGCGGATCGCCTCAACTTCCATGCCGCCACCGGTGGGACAGCCCTGAACGACATCGCCAAGCGATGTTGTTTAGCACGGCACGCAGGGAGGACAGCGACTACGTCCTCTTTGCGGAGTGGCCCCTCGCTACCGCCGCCGGAGGTGATTCTAGGGAGTACAGGCGTCGTTGTTCGCCTCAGGCGTTCCTTGCGGTTCGGTGGGCCGATCCCGTGGCGAGAGATCGGTTTCGCCGAGTGCTGGCGATCTGCCTTTTCTCAGCCCTCGAGGTGCAACCCCTCGTTGGCTTCATGTTCCGTCTTGTGCGCGACAACCTCCACCTTCGGGGCCTCTGGTCTGTGGAGGTTGACCACATGCTGCGATCTCAGATTCGTCGCGAGCATGGCGTCAGCCTCCAGCCGCCCATTAAGGGACAGCACCATGCCTCCGAGGCGGAGTGGGTTGGTCTCGACACTCGTTCCCGTCGAGACCCAACCTACGTGAACGACATCCCGCTCTTGGGCAGCTTGGGAGGTGGGTTCCGGCGCCTGTGCGACCTGATGGAGTCCCGGTTTTGGATTCTGCGGGCGAGCCGGACCACCCACCCTTTTGTCCAGAGTGTGGATGCTCGGACGCGTGGAGAGGGTTTCGTGGGGGTCCGGGGAGAGGAGCGCCGGACCTTCCGACGGGGTGAGGGTTGGGATGGTGCCGGGACAGGACCTCTGGAGCTCGAGGCGGAGCCCTAGTGGCCGAGAAATTGGCTGGAGGATTCCTGGAGAGGGCCCCCGGGCCATGGCTTGGGGGGGGGGGGGGGGGGGGCATATCTGCGATGATACTTCCGGGGTTGGGGGAGGCGAGATTGTTTTTTTGTTTTTCTCTTGTTTTGTCTCCCTATGGGGGCCCAGGGAGATGGTGATAATAATAAATCGAGGGCTGAGGGGAGCAATCTTCCAATCTCGTAGATTCCAGTAATGGATAGATCATCTTACCTCGCTATATCCATGAGTGAGCTGACATGATTCGTGTCAAAACCATGTAGGAAGAGGGGTATACTATGACTTCAATTATGTGGAGCTAAGCCACCTGTTTAGAGCTATAGATGTGCCAATCCCGGTACATACAAGGTATACTCTGATTGGCTTCACTGTCATTCTTTGCCGAGTTTTATCTTGGACCCCACGAGGTTTCCCGAGATTCAGCCCCCGTTCCTGAAAGCTCAAGGTATCATCTCAGCCAATGAACCTAAAATCAATCCCGCGCCAAGGGTTTTATACGAGAAGACTAACCCCTTCTTTTACTCAGCCTTTAATTAAAGCAAAGATCTTCCTCGCGGTGTGATTTGACATCGCACTACGGAGGCGTACCTGGTTAAGCTAAAATAAGCACAAGCACAGCCCTGTGAGGCTGGCGAGTGACGATCGCGCCGTATTAGTTAACGATAACTCAAACTGCCAAGAAATTACATCTGTGATTATCACTATGCCATTAGTTAAGCGAGAACTAGCTCCGTTGAGATGCAGCTGCGGTCTCTGTACTATTTCTGTAACAGACAAGTGTCGGACCATCCTAAGATAGAGGTGATAGGGCAGGCGCGAGGATATGCCAGAGCGGCCACTCGTAATGCCAATGGATTAGGAAACCTGGATGGAGAATGGCTACGGAAGAAAAAACCTCAGTAAACTGATTTGGGTATCGCGGTCGTTCGCAAACCATAATACTATATTAGTTAAGATAAATTCAGGAACAGGGCTTGGCATCTGTCTGTCAGGCCCGCTGCACTACTACAGGAGCGGACCTGCCAAGCACGGGACATTACTCCAGGAATAGACCTGCCAAGCACTTTTAAGACGACGCAGCCAATCCGTGAGGGCCAAGGGTTGCTGGGCTATGCGCTCTTCACAGCCGCCAGGGTGCCCTATTCCTGATCACTGTAACCCTAATTGAATTTTCTAGTTCCCGCGAGATGAAGGCCGACACAGAACTCCTTTGACCATAGGGGTCCTTTTCTAGAGTTCTATAAGATGGGCTTTATTCCTGCACCAAAGAAGAAGCGCTCATTCTTTTTAACTTTGAGAGTACTGTTCTCTAGTCCCAAGAATTTCTTCTTGACCCATCTTCTAACAACAACACTTTCCCTACCGACCTGATATTATCACCGGCGTTCGAATCATGCAATACGCAGGGTTGGTGTCTTTGCTAGGTGTGTCTTACCATTCAATTATCCAGATAATTGAGTCTTTTAAATACTTCTAACACCTATCCTCAGCTCTCGGGGCTGTAGCCCTTCCCGGTCACTATGTACCGCGGTCTATTACTCCGGTACAAGCTTTAGAGGTCCCAACCGCCACGACATCGGCGACATCAGCGTCCACACCGGCAATGTCTCAGCTCATGGCTGAAGCAACGAAGCTCTGTGATCCCATGCAGATGAACAGGGACAATTGGAATTACTTCCAGATGGACTACTGGCTTGAGACCCTGTAAGTAACCCGGACCTACGCCGGTGGCTAGGATCTAGAGGATGGTCAAAGACAAGCTAATGCTGCTGTCAGGTCTTATGACTTTCCTATGAACATGATGAATGGCGAGGAAGTTCCGTCCACGGCGGATTTCGTGAAATACCTCGCCATCTTAACTGGTAACATTGGTAACTTCATATGCGAAGTGAACGTCGACTGCAACATCAATGTTCAAAACATGGCCGATTGCGAGACCGGAAATCCCATCCAGCCTCTCATTTACTTCGCTATCAACGCGATGGTGAACTTCTATGACTGGCAGGCTGCAACTCGTGCTGCTCTACAAACACAATGGATTACTTTCACCGGCAAGGCCGATGCAATGGTGCAGGACTTCACGGACCACGATATCGATGAGGTATGAAGCACTCCATCTCTCCGGCTTGTCGCATGACTCCGGGTCCAATCTATGAACAAAAATTCTAATCTCGATATAGGACAGCACCAGTAGCTTCCTCACCATCGTGGGCGCGGTTTTCAGCGCTGTAGCGCCTTTTGTTGCGGAGAACCCGGCGCTTGATTTCATCACTGGTGCTGTCGCTGGCGGAATTGGCGTCGGGACCAGCATTCTGGGTGCCACTCAGCAGGATGCAGCCCAAATGTGGGTAATCCACGACTTCAATATCTCTATTTCTTCGCAAGCTAACATAAATAGTCTCCAACAAGAATTCACGAACATTGCTACTCTCGAGGATGCTATTTACAACATCACTAATATCACGGACCGGGCTATCGAAAGCCTCGCTGTCGGGGTCCTGAACACTGTGCCGGACAACTCAAACTCAGAAAATGGCGCGCAATGGAACTCCTTAGCCAGTAGTGCTCCACAGGTCCTTGCGGGTGGTGCTTTTGCTGAGCCGATGACGTGGGACGAATACGATACAACCGCATCTGACTTCTTCAGCAAAATTGCGGTCTACGCTATAAATCAGTGCTGGCAAATGGAATCGGTTTTCATCGCTAAAGCTAGCGTCGCGACAGGCGATGTGATGCCTAAAGATATGATACTGGATGCGTTGGGCTCAACTAGTCGCGTTTGTGACCCGGCTGGTGGTGATCTTTGCTATTTCTTCGTCGTGGCCCAAGATACCTCTCACACCGATTTCCGGGATGATTGGTTACAAGCCAAGGGTGTGGACAAAACCAGCAACTATGGTGTTGACGCCTGGACGTTTTGCCAGGCTGCTGAGTGGTATCAGGCCAAGTACGGCTCTTACCTGATGGAGCCTGTGGACGCCAATGACTTTTTGTCCGACTTCCAAAACAGCGATGACCAACCCCCTGGCGGCCTCTATGTCAACCTGCCTGTCGTTGTCTATGACAATGCTCCCCAGACTACTGTAAATACATTTGGAGAGTCGTGGGGCGTCGAGGCCATGTTCCTCGACAATCTCTCCACCTACGTCGGGCAGCTCAATGGCTGGCCTTATGACAGCCATATGGGACCCGCGGATACATAGCCCATTCTGTACTTGTTAATAATAGGAAATCTAATCTTAGTTACTTTCTTTAGATCGAATGCTTCAGTTGAAGAATATGTTCCTTGGCTTTCTAGAGCCCTTCATCGCCCCGTGAGTAGTAATGGAAAACCGATAGTTATTCGCAATCGATCAACATAACAGAAATAAATGGTTATCAGTTTTCTCTCCGAGCCACCACCGAGTAAAATCCAAGAACGCCGATAAAGCACAGAACTAGCGACCCAGGACCCTATACTCTCGTAGCGATCCCCCTCGCCTCGCATGGGCTGCCCCCTATGGCCCAACCCGGTTCTCTTCGCCAATTAATGAATTATGGTGGAAGTTTTGTTCGAGGCGAGGTTCCATTGCCATCGTTACCGAAAAGTACACGGGATATGGGCTTTTGGCTCTAGGGACCCAGGCAATCTTCCAATCTCGTAAATTCCAGTACTAAGTAGATCATCTTACCTCGCTATATCCACAAGTGAGTTAACATGATTCGTATCAAACCCTTCTATATTCTTCAACCGCCTAGTCTAATGGCTCATATAAGCCGGCACATAATTACGAGACGCCCCCGTTTTCACTGAATATACTTCTTCAGGCCCCTCAGCCTCTCCTTGGCCGTCTCGAGCACATCGTCGTTCTTGCAGACCGCAAAGCGCAGATAGTCCTCGGCAATGTGCGAGTTGGCATCGGTGTAGAACTCCGTGGGCGGGATGGCGGCCACACCAACCTCCTGAATCAGGAACCAACAGAGTTTGAAGTCTCGGGGCCGGTTGGCCACATGCGGTGGGAACGGATAGTCGGCCGGCAGCTTGACTGCGGCCATGTTGGCGAGAACGAAGTAGCCACCTTCAGGGTCGGAGTACTGTACGACCATTAGTTGATGCCAGTGGTTATCAATCGGGAAAAAGACATACCGGAATGCCAAGCTCATCAAATACTTTACAGAAACGTTTCATCTTCTGCTGCATATCATTCCGGCTTTCATCCCAGAATCCCTCCTTGTCGGCCTGCTCGAATGCGACGGCGGCTGCTTCTTGCAGGGGAGACACACTGCTATAGCAGATGCGGGTGTGGGCACCGGCAACGTACTTGATGAGATGCTCAGGACCAATGAGGTACCCAACTCGCCAGCCAGTGGCGTAGAAAGCCTTGCCGGCGGAACCCACGGTGAGCGTACGCTCGTACAATTCCGGTGACAGGGTGGCGATTCTGGTAAACGGCACATAGAAAAGGCGATCGTACACTTCATCAGACAGAATGATCAGATTGTGCTTCACGCACAGATCTCCAATACGTTGGAGCTCCTCGCGTGAGAAGACCTTGCCCACGGGATTGTGGCTGTGAGAGATGTTAGTTGCCTGTCCGAGAGAATGAGAGCATCGATGCTTACGGAGAGTTTAACACCTATTATGGTTAGCCATCAAACGCAGGATCCGTTGAGCTGGTTTTACTTACAATCATTTTTGTCTTGGAGTTGATAGTTTTCTCCAACTCGTCAAAATCAATAGTCCACTCTGAAGCAGGAGAGGTCCTTGTGGCACCGTCCTTGGGTGGGTGAAGGGGGACATAACGGATTGTGCCACCAGGCATCTCGATATTGCTGATGTATCTTTTCTGAGGTTAGATGACGGCGTACCTTCTTGGGCTTTTGACTACTCACTGGTCAAAGAACGGTTCGAAGATAATGACTTCATCACCGGGTTCAATGAAACCCATGAATGCGCTCAGCATACCTGGTAATTGGGGATATGGTTAGTATACACATTTGTACGATGTGTGTCCAGTCTCACCCTCATTCGCGCCCGTGGTGATGGAGACCTCTGTCTCCGGATTCAAGGTCCTGCCGAAGAAAGGCGAGTATGCATCCGCAATGGCCTTCTTGAGACGAGGACGGCCCTATTCAGTGTGAGAACTCTGCCGAATGGCCAATAGCCTCGGGCGATCTCTACCTTTGTCGGGGAATACTGGTTGCATTCCACCCGGTCCAGGGCATCCTTGGCCGCGTCAATAGCGAACTTGGGAGGATTGTAACCACTGTTTCAGCCTTCTGGTCAGTCTCCCACAACTTTATTTTCATGTATCGGCCACACCCACAAGAATCCTTGGCCCATATTCACAATCGGCTGAACGGGCGAGGCGGCCGCGGCTTCGTTCACGATGGACCTAGTGCTCTGGTCAGAATTTCACCGACTTTCTCCGTCAATTGAGCTGTAATACACACCAGACATCTTGTCGCTGTCCGGCCACTCTCTTTGCCGGCTTAAAAGGGTCGGGTCGCACAGCTGTTGCGGACATTGCTCTTGCGCCGAATCCGGGGAGGCGGGGTAAGGCCGGGCTGAAGGAGATGGGGATCGAGGCTGCGCGGTGGGCAGTAGTCGATTTAAAGACAGAGACGAGTCGAGTGTTGCGACCCAGAATCATGAGTATATGGGAGGGAGGGAGGGAGAGAGAGACAAAGAAAGAGAGGTGAGGTGGGAGTCGGAAGAGAATCGGAACGAACTGCGTTCATTAATGGCGTGCTCGGAGAGAGTCACGGGCACCACCAACTAACTTGTGTACGACGGAGGCAATTGGAATAATCACTCTTCCACTAGCTACGTACTTGGATTCCCTTTTTCCGACGACTCACACTCCCCAGATTGTCACTGCCATTCATTCAGGCATCAAGGCAGAAACGTTACCTAATCGGTATCTACAGCGCGTCGCGCGCGTCAGTCAATCGACAATCAGTTGATGAACCACGAGAACCCTCATCCACAGTCATGGTCTCCTGTCCCATCTGTGCGAATTCGGTGCCGCAGCTGAAGATCAACGACCACATTGACTCCGACTGCCAGAAGTTCATCGAAGACCCGGCCTCGTCCCCGACTGACCAGCCCGGTTCCCAAAAGCAAGTGGCTAGCATTTTCCAGCCGCCGTCCGCACGCAAAGCCTCGTCTCAGCCTAGCGTGACCAAAGAATCACCGTCACGCCCCCATGCATCAACCCCGCGCTTGAATGGCAAGAGATCCTTTGTGCAGGAACCGGATACGCCGCAAGACCGAGATGGATCAAGCCAACCGAATGGCGCATCCGCAGAGCCGCCGGCGAAACGCGCCAAAGTCAGTGCCTTTCAGAGAGCCGCTCCACTAGCAGAGCGTATGCGACCTAAGACGTTGGATGAGGTTTGCGGTCAGGAGCTGGTTGGTTCGAACGGAGTGCTTCGCGGACTTATCGAGCAGGACAGAGTTCCGAGCATGATACTGTGGGGTAGTGCGGGCACAGGAAAGACGACCATTGCACGAGTCATCGCATCGATGGTCGGCAGCCGGTTTGTGGAAATCAACAGCACAAGTTCTGGTGTTGCGGAATGCAAGAAGATCTTCTCCGAGGCTCGGAGTGAACTCGGTCTAACCGGCAGAAAGACGATCATTTTCTGTGATGAGATTCATCGGTTTTCCAAATCCCAACAGGATGTCTTTCTGGGACCGGTCGAGAGTGGACAGGTCACGCTCATTGGTGCCACAACCGAGAATCCCTCGTTCAAGGTCCAGAATGCTCTTCTCTCACGCTGCCGGACCTTCACCCTGGCCAAGCTCACGGATGAAGATGTCACTGCTATTCTCAATCGCGCACTGAGGGTAGAAGGCCCAAACTACTCGCCCTCGGCACTGGTCGACGATGAACTGGTGCAGTATCTCGCTAAATTTGCCGACGGTGACGCCCGAACCTCTCTCAATCTCCTCGAGCTGGCCATGGACCTGTCCAAACGCCGAGATATGACCAAGGAGGAGTTGAAACGATCTCTAACCAAAACTCTCGTTTATGACCGCGCCGGTGATCAACATTATGACACCATTTCAGCTTTCCACAAGTCTATCCGCGGGAGTAACCCGGATGCAGCGTTGTATTACCTTGCTCGCATGATTCAATCCGGGGAGGATCCGCTGTACATCGCCCGGCGGCTGATCGTTGTTGCGTCGGAGGACATTGGGCTTGCCGATAACACCATGCTCACTCTGGCCATCTCCACTCATTCTGCTGTTGAGAAAATCGGCCTTCCCGAGGCGCGAATCAATCTAGCGCATGCCACTGTTGCGATGGCCATGTCGAAGAAAAGCACACGATCATATCGGGCTTTGAACAATGCATTTGCGGCACTGAACGAGCCAGGTGTGGCGGGACTGCCGATTCCCATTCACCTGCGGAATGCGCCCACGAAGCTCATGAAGGAGCTTGGGTACGGCAAGGAGTATAAATATAATCCGAACTATGAGAATGGAGAGGTGGTGCAGGAATATCTACCCGACCAGCTCCAGGACCGGACGTTCTTGGAGGATCTCGACCTGGGGACAATGCGAGACCCTGATCTGAGCAGGCTCTGAGCTACACAGTCCATTTCTATACCTGACAGAGGGAGTCGACAAAGGTGGGATTGGCGGGTATACCAACAGCGGATGCGCGGCTCCACCATCATCACACATTACGAAACACACATTCGACTGCGCTTACCGGACAAAAGTCTTATTCTTGCCGGTACTTCTCCCAACAGGGACCGGGGTCGAAACATGGTCAATGCGAAGAATCGCGGAAAGGTATATGAAGTAACGGCCACTTTGATCTGCTTATACACAGCCGAGTCCTAAGAGGGAAAGCACTATGCCGGATTGGGCGACGGCGAGGAAGTGAGGAAGGGAAGTCGCGATGACATCGACAGTCGTCGTACTTGACAGGATTGACAGGATGACATTTGGTTTCCTTCATCCGCTTGATTTTTTTGTTCATCCTCTGACCGCAACCTCTTCTATCACTGGAGGGTTGTCAGCGGCCCATGGTCCCAAATTTGACCGTCCGCGACTAACCTGAAGTCAACCTGGGCTCTCCAACCGTCGTATATGATCTGAATTCGCTTCTTGACTGTTGCGGTTTGCTGGGAACACCAGATCGCTGGACGACATCGGTGATTTCCGAGGCCTTTGACTCTCCACAACATATCCACATTTTATATCTCCAAATCTCAAGTACCATGGCCCATGAATATATAATTCCAGGTGACTTGTCTGGTCCTCGGTACGACTTGTTCGCGCTGTCCCTCGAACCGGCCCCGGTCCAGTCGGACAGTTCGGTGTACTCGGTAAGTTCGTTCCGCTTGATCTTCATGCTCATGACGGTGTAGCGGTTCTGGCTGTTCTGAGGAATAAAGCTGATCCCTTATTTGCTCTGTAGGCTACTGTGCCTTCACCAACACAGATGACAACCAGTGGGCACATGCAACAAGTTCTGGAGGACCCTTCATCAAGCCTGTCACTAGGACCTGTATCCGAAGACCCAAACGAGTCCCCCATTTATATTGAACCTACGCACAATGAAACTGCCCCTTTCCAAGGATTCCCTTATTACCCTGAACCTAGCCTGGCCGGTCTGGTTCAGGGTGATCCCTTGCAAATGTATGGAGCGTCCGAACCGCAACAAGGCACTATCTCTCGTGATAGCCAGACTTCACCAAGTCTAGCAAGCCTGGATGCACCGACAATTCAAGGCATGGCGGCCTCTCTGATGACGCTATGTTCGCCCAGACTAGCAGTATCTATGCCCGATCCCATACACCGACCGTATACGTGGCCCATGAGCTCCCAAGATTCTTGGAACTGCACCGTCGCCGATTACGACTATGCCCAACATGCGTTCAGGAGTAGTACAGGAGGAGTGCAGGAGCCCCTCCCTCCCGCCGGTTCTAGTTTGCATATCATCATCGAGGACCCGCGAGAGAACCCGCGCGGCTATCGTGAAAGGCGGATCCGATCCAAGGTTGATGTAGAGAAGCAGAAAGAGAACACTCGTTTGCTCAAAATGTTTGGTGGTGCCTGTCTTTGGTGTTACCGGAGTAAGAAGAGATGCGAGCCTGCCAATACCTGTCGCTCGTGCGCGTCGAACCGGCGGAAGTGTATCCGGGAGTCTTCGCAGCTGTCCCTGTTTGGTCCTACCGTGGAGCTTTCTGCGAACGATGGTCTCGCCGCTTTCTTGTTAAGCCCGCCTTCCCGTGAAGCGCTCACCACGCTGCGGGTGCTGAGCAACAAAATCCTCAAGCGAGAGCCAGGACTGCGGGTGGTGATGAACCTCCGCCAAACCGGTGATGGGCATATTCAAACGTGGGCGATCGACCTGCGCGACGCCCAGACAGCTGTCTCCAGTGTGTGGGGGCACCCCGTTGCTGCATTTATTGCTGAAGCAAACAAGTATGTTTGGTGCACTGAGCTGGTCAAGTTCGAAAAAGCCTACCATTTGCACCCGCTCGTGCAATCCGCCATCGCCATGGCGAGGATGTTCATGACCCTTCGCTGTCTGGGGCAAACCAATATCCATGTCAGCCGGTTTGATGTTGACATTGCACGACTGACTCTGTTTTATGTACTGGTTGTCTGTTCTCGGGACCTAGCAGAGAAGTCCGAGCGCTTCGCCGGGATTCTCTGCGAGGCATTGCGTCGAAAGGACCTGCATTATGGCTTTAACAATGGAAACCATGAAGAGGTAAACCCCGTGAGCCCGATCTGGGCCGCCACCGCGCTCTACTATCGGGTTGTCACTGGGCTGCTGGACCTTCACACCTGCCTCTCTATCGCACCGATCTTCAATTCCTTCTCCTCGCACCTAGAGGGTGTTCACAGTAGCCTGTGGAGCATTCTGAAATGGGTTTCGCCCTCCCAAGAACCCTGCGGCAAGGGCTTTTTGACTGCTGCGCTCAACAATGAGATTCCCGTCCTCCCGTCTCGCGAATACTTCGACCTCGCTCTCTGGCTGGGACCTTCCAGCCTCGAGCCGTTCGAGCCCGTGGTGTTCAGACGATATGCAGATCCTTTCTCGGAGACATCCCATGCCATGGAATCCTTCCTGGAAGCAGCGTTCACCTGTCCCCCAGTTCACCCCCAGCCCAGTCCCGATAACAGGGCATCTCCACGTGCAGCAAAGCCCACGGAGACAAACATGCCCGACGATGCTTCGACGAACAAACGCCTGAGGATGATCTCGCCGGTGCGAAGCGAAGATTTCGATCCGATGAACCCAGACTCTTGGCCTAGCCATGACGAGTCGATGGCCCTGATTGACGAGTTCTTCGGTGCCATCACCCCGAAGCCGGGAACGAGCAGCGCGGACGATTCCAACGAAAACGGTGTTTAGATGAGATCAAAGAGCAGCATAAATCCGGTCCGAAGATTTGGAGGAGGACAGTATTGCTTCTTGTTGGTTGTTATTTTTACCTTTTCCTAACTCACTGACTGTCTTTCCGAGCTGTGATTTATTGATTACCCGCGTGTACCATAACGATTGAACAGGCGATGACCAAAGAGGGTCTGTAGAGGCGTCACGGATTATTGGCTGGACTGTGTCTGTGGCTGTACAATTACGAATATCCAATAGCTCATTATTACCTACATAGGTCTGACCTACTACCATTAATCTTACTATCCTAATCTTATCCAGCTGCATGTAGTTTTATGGTAAGCGTTAGGTACAAGTGGATCCATTCCATCCGCGTCGCGTCAAGAATCTCCCTCTCCACCGCCAACACCAACCTTCCCAATCCCACCACCACTAACCATGGCCTCCTCATCCGGCGGCCCACCCTTCGCCTCGCGCTCCTATACTGGCTCAAAACTACCCGATCGCTCTATCCCGTCCAATGCCATGCCCTTCAGCGCCTCTTCGTTCTCGCGACACCGCGGCGGCCTAGGCGCCACGGCGCCCGCTGATTTCGGGGCTGACCCTTCCAAGCAGCCCGCGCAGCAGGGTGGCAATGTTGTTGCTGGTGGCACGCCCGGCTCGGCTGTGCAGCTTCAGGCGCAGAGCCATGGTGCGCATGGGCAACAAGATGCTAACCCGTTGAATCGGTTGACAGAGGAGCAGAGGGAGGAGATTAATGAGGCTGTGAGTGATGCATCTCCCTGATACACAATGCACGGGGAAACAGAGAAAGCTAATACAACCCCCACACTACTACAGTTCACACTCTTCGACCTCGACCGCGACCGCCACCTGGACTACCACGAATTACGCGTCGCCTTCCGCGCACTAGGCTTCACCCTCTCGAAACAAGAGCTGATCTCCCTCCTAACAACATACGGGGTGCCTCGTCCCCAAGTGCAGCAACAAGCCCAGAACCCAAACTCAGCCCAAAACCAGAACCAACAACAGGCACAAAATCAAAACCAAAACTCATCGGCCAAAGGCTCAAACCCCCAACACCCCTCCAACCTCCTCATGCCCCTATCCTCGTTCCAAGCAGTCACAGCGCTCAAGATCCTCGAACGCGATCCGCGCGACGAGATCCTGCGCGCGTTCGAGCTCTTCGACGATGGCCAGAAGGGGTTTATTGACCTTGAGGATCTGAGGCGTGTTGCGCGTGAGTTGGGCGAGACGGGCCTTGAGGAGGAGGAGCTGCGGGCTATGATTGAGGAGTTTGATCTGGAGGGTGTGGGTGGTGTTACGAGGGAGGCTTTTGTGGGGATTTGTTGGCAATGATAGTATCACATGGCTTGTTGTTGCTGTTACTAGGACGGACGGGTTTAGGGAGAGTGGGTTTATATCGTACTATTGGGACCGTGTCGAGGTCCGAGAGAAGTGTTATGGTTGACTTTGTTGCTTGGATGCATGGATTTCTTGGATGGGTGTTGGGTCTTTTTATTTGATTCTATTCTTGTGAGTCTGTCTGTGTTGCTTTCGGGAGTTCGTCTCGTCTTGTCTCTTGCCTTGATCTTGGTCTTGCGAGGTGCCAAAGCAGGGATTGTGCCAATGGATATATGCTACTCTTGTCCTGTGTTTTTGATTCTACTTTTCCTGTCGTTTTCTTCCGCAGTGAGATATTCTTTTAAGATGGAGAGAAAGCCTGCTCTGTGGTAATAACGAGTACAAGACCCAATCTTCGAACTTCAGATGCAATGTATGTATTTGATATGAAACTGGCCTAGCCTGACTCAACTCTCTTCTTCTCCATTCCGGTAAAGAAGCCGGACAGAAAATAAACAAGCCATAGGGTAATCAAAAAGCCTACAGCCCAAAACGAAAACAGTGAAAAAAATGATATATCGCGCCGACCAGTATCCCAACCCCGAGTCCCGAGTGCAGTGACAAACAGAATAATAAACAAATCATCACAATCACGAATAATGCACCGGTGGTGGACCGCGCGGCACATAGGGGTATGGCGGGGGCACGTTCTGGTATCCGGCATTAGGATAGGTGTCCCACTGGGACATCTGAGATTCCATCTGGGGGGATGGGACGATGGTCGTGGAGCGCGAGCAGGGTAGCGACCACCGGACGGAGCATAGGAACCCGTTGGCGGGGGAGCACGATTACGCATATTCTTGCGAGCGCGCGCGGCTCTGCAGCGCGAAATGATGCACGAGATGATAGCCAGTAGGATCAGGCCGCCAACGCCGCAGCAGATCCCAATAACCAGGCTCTTGTGGTCGTTGATCCACCCCAGCGCCGAGGAGCCCTCGCACTGCCCGTTGCTGCAGCGGCCGCCGGAGTCGCACGGCGTGCCGTCGAGGTAGTTCTGGTTCAGCGACATACACGTGCTGTAGCCGTACTCTGCAGCGATTTCGGGTGCGCCGCAGACGAGCTGGCAGCTGGGGGTGTCGGTGTTGTCGCAAGCCCAGGTGTCGTTGCTGTTTAGCATGCTGCCTAACACGGAGCGGCACTGGTAGTCCCGGCTGGTGCACTGGCCGCTGGCGCACTGGAGTCCAGCGCCCGAGGAGCCGCAGTCCGTGCCGTCTTTCTTGAATACGTCGTCTGGGCAGGCACCTGTGGTGCCCGTGCAGTATTCGGCGATGTCGCATTGGCCGGTGCTGGGGCGGCAAACTGTGCTAGCGGGGGTGAACTGGCAACTCGTGCAGCAGCTGTCGTTGGAATCGTCGCAGACGGCGCCGTTCTTGAACTTGCACGTCGTAGCGTCGCAGCAGGGGTCGTCGCCGCAGTTCTCCTCGCCGCCGCAATCGCATTCCTCGCCAGCCTCGACGATACCGTTGCCGCACACGCTGCCCGTGATGGTGACGATGCCACGGTTGTTGGTCAGACAGGAGGACTTCACGCTGCTGGTGCCAATGGCCGAGCAGACGTTACCGATGGTGCATTCGGAAAATGCCGAGACACCGGGTGACGCCGATGGGTTCATGATGTACTGGCCGCCGGCGTTGCAGGTCGTGGTGCTCAGCGGACAGCACTCATTTTTGGACTCGTACCCGGCGGCACAGGTCTGGGTATCGCAGTCATGGACCGCGCCAAAGGTGTGTCCTGTCTCATGGGCGAAGATCTGCCAGCTAGACCCGGCAGTTTTCACCACTACATTGGCGCCCGAGACCGACTGGCCGCCATCGCTGACAAGCTGATCGTTGCATAGCTGGCCCATCCATGAGACGCCGACTTCGTCCTGGGTTTGGCAGTCGGTCATGAGAGTCCAGTAGGCGTTGCCATCCTTATTTTCTGACCGCCACTTGGAGAATTCGTTCAAACGCCAAGTGATATTGCCGCTCTGACAGTCCATATTCCACGGGGTGGCCTCGGCGGCTGTCGTGGGGCAGTTAAAGGAGTTGATGGTGAGATTCTTCAGCGCGAGTGAGACGTTGAAGGAGTCTTCATAGACGTTGGATGCCGTGTTCACCGTACTGATGATCCAATCCCTCGCTGCATCTTTGGCAGTTGTTGTCGTGTTGCCACTGAACGTTTGGGTAAATTTACAGTCGGTGGCCACACCGATCAGAGCAACCTTCTTCGTCTTGGGGCATCCCGCCGTATTGCCAATGCTCGACTTCAAGTTCACATTGCCAGTGTTCCCCGATACGCCGCCAATATCCGATTGTCGCTTGCTCAGGCCGAACAGGGAATTCAACGAGGTGACGCCAAACCGGCCATTGCCCGCCTGGTCAAGCCCTCCGCGGAAAATGGACTTTTTGAGGTCTGCATTGAAGTCCAGCTCGTGTGCCTTACAGCTTTCCTCGGAAGAGGCCAAAGACCGTTTGAGTTCCTGATGCGTGGCCTTGATCATGTCCGAGTCACGGAAGACCACCATATACTCGCCCTCCCGATGCTCGATATCCGCATCGATCGGGCGCTTCTTCTGTAGATACGTCGAACTCAGCTCGATGTGGTGTTTGTTGTGTCCGACACTAAAGGCCCCATCAAACAACGGGTCTGCGCCATCCCTTCGCACCGTGATCCTGGCCCATCCAACGGGATTCCACCTTCCTTTGCCCGACCCTTCCAGGGCGCGGCCCATAAACACCTTGAATTCATGCCGCTGCAGCGGCTCCCCATGTTCTATACTGCCATCAGGGTTGAGGTACTGTACGTAGGCATCCTCCGCGATGATCTCGTGGTTCGGCTCGAGTTCCAGCTTGATCCGCTGTGCGCCGTCGTGCAGGTCAAAGGTGAGATCGAATTCGGAGAAGTAGTCGATGTAATGGGAGGAGGTGCCGATCACTGGATTCTCGATGGGTGCGACATGGCGAATGGCCTCGAAGGCCTTGGAGTGTGCTGCCAGAGGGTGTCAGTCAGCGTAAGCGCCGGGGGGCGGGGGAGGTTGGGCGTTACCGTCAGCCTGTGTCCAAAAAAGGGAGGCTACGCTGGCGAGAGGCAGCAGTCTCTCCAGAAGCCTCATGGCCAAAAAAGAAGGTCAGTCAGTGTCGACCCCGAGGGGTTTGTTGACGGTGTTAACGAAGGGACTCTCTCTCCAGGTGACAACGTTTAGGGTGCGACCGAGACCATTGGAGGAAAGGGTAGTCTAGGGTGTAGGGGGCCACTCGTGATTAACACAAGGGCGGAAGGAGAGTGAGAGCGAGCGCGAGAGCGAGAAGGGGATTAATCAAGCGAGGGATATTCGAAAAAAGACTAAGGGAAAGAGAGAAGGAGAGACAGAGAGGGTGAGAGTGAGAGAGTGAGAGTGATGTGACAGCCAACATGCCAAGGTCGCAAGATTCCTTAGTATCCGCCACACTCCGAGGCTTGTTTCTATATTTGTCCGGTGCCTGGTGGCGACTATCTACATTAATCTACACTCGAATGGTACATCTCGTGTGCCTGCCATGCAAAATAGGGAATCCGGGCCTCACATCGTGGACACATTTTCCCGGGCAAAGGCTCGTCTGTCTCATCCCAGGTGTCTAGAATGTCATTTGCGGCGCCCCGTGGATCCACCGGTGGAGTACTAGATCTGGGAACAGCACGACTCTCCTGCTGCCGAAACATCTTTCCAATGTCGCGTCCGCTACTTTGTTTCTGGTCCCCGGCACTTTCCACTAAATTAGTCACGGCGATGTTCATGAGGCTGAGAGCCCAGCCAGCCTTGTCCGGGTGAAGCTTTCGGAACACCGGCAGCACAGCCTCCTGCACCAGTCGCTCAGCCAAGGCATCAATGTTTTCGTCCAGCGCAAAGACGAATGGTGGGAGCGGTGCCGAACGCGAGATACGGTTGGCGTTATAGGTGCGCCCGATATCACTGTCTGGCGGAAGGCGAGGCCTCGTGGAAAGTCGCAGGGTGCGAGGATGGGCGAGCCACCGTCCTTGCGGAGTCGTGGGATCGGTTTTGTCGAGTAGATCTGTCCTCATCCGTCGGATGAGACTCTTTGCTAGGACTATTAACTCTTGCCGCACGTTGTCCAAGCTGTCGAGTCGACCGTACGAATCCTCGATGCTAATCTGGGTCGGCAGATCGCGGGCTTCGAGGACTTCGGAACTGTCGACTCCATGAAGGATGTTCCACATGCGCATCCCAATGCCTTTGGGGGCACCCGGCCCCCCGAGGATCTTTTCCAGCGACGCCGGGCCCATGCCGGGGAACAGGCGCACATCCCTCACGGTGACCTTGTCGTTCGTTGCATCATCGCCCGCGACATGATCCTTCAACTTCTGCGCCAATCGCGAGCCAATCCCAGGAATCTTGCGGATCTCATGCGCATCTAGAAACCGAATGATGTTGCTCTGCGAGTCATTCTCGGTGGCCACGTAAGGCGGTAAAAGCGTCGTCTGGCTGTTCGGCTTGTGGAGATTGCCCACCAGCTTAGCCAACAATTTCGACGTCGATATCCCTCCCGTAGCGGTGTAGCCTTTCTCATGTTCTAGCTGAGCTCGGAGATACCCAGCTAAATGGGAGGCAACCCGCAGCCTCACCTCCAATGACGACAGGTCCAATGAGTGTGCGCTTTCAAGGCCCCCAAGGCGCGGTGGATCCGTTTGGCCCTCAAATCGGGCGGCATCGTAAGCAAAGCCCACTGTCGGGTCTGTGCGATCCAGATGGAAGAAGGAAGTTGAGAGACCATAAGGATTCAGAACCCCGATGTTGTAATCGATCATCTCCGTCACATCGAGGGAGAGCTAGCCAAACCGGTCATGAGAGGCATATACTACGAAGTACATAGTTACATACCTCATCAAAGCCCAATCTCTCGACCCTGCCGCCCCAGACAAAGCCCTTGACAAAGAGGTACAATTCCTTCGAGGCATTGCGGAATTTCGTCAGGTCTTCGCCGAGCACTATGACCACATCGGGACAGATCCGCTTTGCGTCGCGGATCAGCTGCAGCTTATGCAACCCTCGTTGGCGCGCTTCGTAGTTGCACGTCACGACGATCTGCTTCTGCTGCACGGCGAGGGGTAGAGTTTTGAGGATCGGCTGCTCGACCTCGAAGACGGAGGCGTAGAAACAGTCGTAATCCTGGATGATCAGCGGAGGTGTCGCGTGGTGGGCGGGGGAGAGGTGGCATTTACCAAATGCAGGACTATTCGGCTGTCGTTGCGCACGGGATATGATGCCATGAGACAACGTGGGCTGGTGTCTCATGCGCCGATGACGCGGATGGCTGGTGGCCATGATCGACCGCAAAGAGGAAGACTACAGCGTGTCACGTGAGGCGATATATTCTCCGAGGGAAGACCAAGAGACGATTCTATTAGGCATCGATTTGTGCTATATATGATATGGACTGTTCCAAGATCTAGACTTGTCCATACGCTGCCGGTATCTTTTCAGTCGCAGTCTGCGTTTCGGGGAGATGATTACTAAATATAGATACCGTAGCATGCGGTGAGCTCGTGAATGTCAAATGGTAGTGGCCTTCAGCAGTCCACTGTGGCAACCTAGAGGAAATAATTTCAGGGTAGACGTGCGCTTCTATACTCCGTAGATGCCCCCTATGTCACTAGTCTTGCGCCCATCAGTTCTAGTGCTCGCTCGTCGGTGCTCCAGCCTAACTTGGCTGCTTCTAAATATAGAAGTGGATCTATTTTCGGTCTAGAGCCAACTAATACACCCTCGATCGACTGATCCCCACGGGTGTTACACTCTGGCCTTTGAACTGCGAGTTAATAACTAGAGATCGATAGGCCATCCTTATGAAGTTACATACTACTACGCACCGATGATATTATTGCACAATGCACCCCTGTCCGTGACTTGGTCGCCACAAACGCCTCTTTTTTTCTTTTGGTCTTCTACTTTCTATTCTTAGTCCCAACCAACCAACCCCCGCCATTGATTGATTGACTCGGAAGCGCCGACCTTATTCATCCCCTTCTTTTGTCCGGCTGACGGCACGGAGCAAATCCTTTCTTGTTCCTTTTCTTTGATCTTTCTTTAGTCTATGGGGGGCGGCCTCAATAATAATGACATGACACCTCCGTCGCATCCTCTCTATTCGTCGTCTGCCTCCACGCCCTCACACTCTCACTCTCACTCTCACTCACTCACTCACTCACTCTCACTCTCACTCTCACTCACCTCTCACTCTCACTCTCACTCTCACTCACTCTCACTCTCACTCTCACTCTCACTCTCACTCTCACTCTCACCCACCTACACTATCCTTAATCACTACTACCACTGCCACCACAAGCACTTCAGCAACCATGGCCTGCAGTCTCTCAGCCCCGCCAAAACCAACAGCCATCGCATCACGGCCGAAACTCTCTCTCCAAACATCCTCCCTGCCACGCACCTTCGGCAGCTCCTCCACAGGCCTCTCATTCTCCTTCGCCGCGGGGTCCAGTGCATCCCCCACTGTCCGCAATACATTCCGAAATGCCTACGATGTAGCTACTCCATCGTCAGCAACGGCTTCTCCCTCCAGAACAGTACCGACACCAACAACAATACAGAGTTCTGGACTGGGACCACGATTCAGCACCTCGAAACCACCCTCTCCATATGTCACCACCAACAACAGCAATAACAACACTAATAACAACAATAATAACAACCCCTTCACCTATAATTACCGCAGTCCCTATCCATACCAACAACCACTGGGTGTGCGAAGCATCCTGCGAAATTCACCGCTCGAGCCCACGGCGCACCGACGCTCAGGGTCTATCTCTGCGACGAGCGTAAATGGCGCTGCTGGTGGCGCCGGTACGCGGCGGGTATTCTTCCCTGCCAAGAAGCAGGTTAGCTATCGGTATCCGCTGGAAGAGATTATCCGCACAGAGCGATATACGGTGTCGCATTTTGACCTTGTACTTCAGGAGGAGGAGAAAGAAGAACAAGAGGAGGGGCATGAACAACGACAGAAGCAAGGGCATGCCAAGCCAGAAACCGAGCACCCAACACCTGAACAGGAAGATGACGACTCGGATTATTCCACATTGTCACTATCAGAAACCAGCGGGTCAAGCGAGGAATCCAGCCCTGACGACGGACAACACCACACTTCATCTTCACTGTCCAAGACGGAGCGCAAGAAACGGCGTACAATGCGCTTGGAACGCCAGGTCCGGGCCGTTGCGCTGCTGGATGGTCTCCAGGCGGATGATGCTTACGCTGCCTCTACGCCACAGACACCTCGCCAACGACGGGTGAAGCGGCGGCGCGAGTGGAAGTGGACGTTGGGATCGGCAAATCCAAATAACCCACAAAGTGCTCAGAATAATGTTGTTTCTTCATTGGAGGTGGCACAGCAGAAGTACACACCGGTGACTACTGTCTTGCCATTTGATTTTGACCCGGCTGTCTCCAAGGGCCTTCTCGAGCCCACGGAGTTAGAAACGCGGTGTTGATGACGCTTCTTTTACATCTTATGAATCATGTTCCATGTCATATAGAAGGCGCGGGTTTGCATTTTTGTACATATTTACTACTTACTCTCTGGTCTGTTGATGATACCTGTCCTGTTTGTCATCACGATCATAATAATTACATACATTCCCATTTGCAGATCATACTCGGTCCATCCGGTTGTTTAAATGCACTTATTTCTTAAAAGTCGCAGCCCGGATGGATCTCTCACACTGCTGGCCGGCCTTGAAAGAGGGCTCCAACTTATCTATCTACGAGCTGGAAACTACAGATGTTGAAACTTCACAAAGCCCGTTTCTCTGTCAATGATATAACAGCATCCGTCGCTCCTTTGTCTTCTTATCAGATCAAGATCAGAAGGTGTCTTGCTGCTACGGTGGGAGGTGTTGGACTCTACATGTCTGGGCGCACTGCTACACACTGCTAAATACACAGGCAATGCTATATCCCACAGAATTGAAAACTAGCTCTCTCATCCAAAGCCGCGAGGTTAGTACCTACGATACAAGATTTTGATCGAGGAAAATACAAATTGAGAAAGATCGAAAACTGATTTAACATATTTTACATGGTCTCCAAAGATCACCTAACCGGTGCTCTGCGTTCTATTTCTTTCGTAGCTTCGTAGCATCAAAAGGCCATTAATCAAAAAGCAAGGATGAGAGACTATCTAAAGAACGACACCACCAACGCCTCAAAATCTCTTGCAGCTCGAATATTAATTTCCCAGTAGTAAACAGACGCTCTGTCAGGTGAGCTCATTATACAACTCCAGCAAATGCCGACTGGAATCCCTGGGGATAGTAGCGCTCGCTTGGCGCGCATAAAGCCTTAGCGATCACGTTCAGAAGGTTATCATTGTTGCTGAATACTGCATAGTTTCTTGCCTTCAGAACATCTGCCACAACATCGGCTGAAGGCCAGAGTTTACCATTGGGCTGAATGACATCCTTCCATAGTCGGTAGCGCTCGGTCGAACCCTGCAGTTCCGCAACAGACATGACCATAAAGGTCATCGCCATCGAGAATGTGTCCACTCTGTAGTCGTAGGCCGCTCCGGTATCCGACTTCATGGCAAGAATTTCTGGAACAGCTGTGTGAGATTCAGATTCATCCGAGTAGAAAAGAAGGACCACAGACCTGGGGCAAGGTAACTTTCCGTGCCAACATCATATTGCTCGGAAGAGGAGGTCTCCCTTGATTGATCGAAATCCATAAGCTTCAGCGTGTCGCCATCCTTCAGAAAGTTCTCGGGCTTAAGGTCCCGGTGGATAATGCCTTCACTCTGGACACCAGCCACCGCATTGAGCATCTGCTTGAAGGCAGCGTTCACTGAGTTCTGATCCGAGTAAGATCCGAAATTGGTCTCCAGGGAGCCTTCGGAGACGTAAGGCAGGATCAACCATCCGTAAGGCCGTCTCGGATCTTCCTGATAAACGTAATCGATCACGGGAAGAACGTTCGGATTGCTGCTGCATTTCTTTTGCAAAATACCACCATAAATAACAGCGTATCTTTCGCCATAGCTTCGCTTGGCGATCACAGTCGGTTCAGGGTAAGGTTTGAGCGTGGCCTTGTGAATGGCGGCAACATTTACCGCAATTTGCTCCCCCAATACCAGCCTGTTGCAGCCCCATGTGAGCGTTTTTGAGCCCTTGTCGTAGTCTGCTAGTGTTACCGAGTCAAGTATAGGTACATCGAGCTCAGCACCCCCCTCGCCCTCACGCATGGTCTGATAGTCCTGGTATAAAGGCCAACTTTGGATGAAATCCGGTACGTCACGCTTGACAAGTCCGACATGATGATGGGGAGCAGCAATACTGCTTGCCAGGAAGAAATATAAGCCCCCTAGGGCGAGAGGAAATCGGCTGAAATTTTTCATCTTGGTTAATGTGCAAGCTAGAAGGAAAGAATGGCAAAACCGCTTCGGAGATCACGTAGTAGGTTCCGGGACCCTTTCTCTTTTATTACCGGCCCATATAATTTGATTTACCTCTCCGCCCCAAATCATGAGAACCGCGTCCGCACAGTAGATGTTCATCAGAGGTTCCAGGCTATGTGATAGATCCAGGCGGTACACCCCTAATCCTTCACCCTGATCGTCTCTTTAACTTACCGGATATGTCTCGCATAGCCTCGTGGCGCTGCCTTGTACTGACACCTGAAACGGGTTATTGCCAGGCTGAGTCGTTCACATTAGCAAGCTGGCCTCGATTAGTGGAGATGGCAGGCCTGAAGTGTATTGAGAATCCTGAAGGAATAGGATGGGGTCTGCTGAGGACAATGATTCGCACCTGTCAGAAGGCTGAAACGGAAATCCACTCCATAACCTATAATTTCCCGAAATTAAAGTAGCCTTTAGCAGGGATTTACCCAGTTTCTGTCAGGAACACCATAGTGGCTTGCGCAAATCAATCTCGCCCCACATCGGCGCATTGTCTGAAGGACTATACCGTTTCAATGAAGCATTCGAAAACAATCCTGCTGCATCCCATGTAGGATGAGATACACTCCACAGGCTTTTGCCGTACCACACAGATCACCCCCTAAAATGGACCCCAAAAAGAAAACACCGTATAAAGAATGTTGGTCCTAATCTCATCCGATCTTGCTTTTTAGTCTATAGCGACATTTCGGCTTCGTCAATATGCTCTATAAAGGGGCTGCCATGCTCCTACTCCCCCTTCTGCAGGGGGTCAGCGCAGACTGGACCACAACTATCACAACCATCCTCACCGTATCCAACGGCTTCACTCCCGTCGTCGACTTCACCACGACGTCTAGCTTTAACAGCAAGCATAGTCACCGGGAGCAGTTCAGCACGATTGTTACGGTCCCCAATGGCATGATGCCTATCATCCACTACAGCTCTATGCCGGCTCATAGTGCATCGTCCGGTGGATCGCTGGCGCCGCCGAGCTCAACATCTCGAAGCTCTATACCGCTCGCCCCTAGCCGTGGCTCTTCTAGCTCATCGGCCAGCGAGACTGTTCCGCCAGAGAAGACCAGCCCTAATTCAAACGCACCCACAAGTACTCCTAGATTGCCTAGCTCGGGCTTGTACGGGTCGTCCATCCCCCACCCAGGTGGCCTACCCAGCTCGGGTCTTCACCCATCGGGTAGTGCTTCGGCTACTGCTCTATCCTCATCGTCTAGACATAGCCAACCCACACCCGGGGCCACATCAGCTTCAGGAGCATCGTCTGCCGGTGGTTTGGGCTCAACTTACGGAGCCTCATCTCAATTCCCGTCGGCTGCGCTTTCTTCTGCCCCTGATCTCAACTCACTTACACCAACGGGTAGCTCCTCGGCTGAAGAATCTGCTATCCTTGCATTTGGGCCTACAGGTGCTCCATCTTCGGCGCCATGGGGCACCTTGACTGTTCTCCCTTCCGGTACTATTACCGGAACGCCTGCGTATTCGGAGGCCACCAACATTGCAATCTTCCTAAAGGGATTCTATAACAACATAGGCCTACTCAAGACGGATCCTAAAACCTATAAGAAAAATCTTCAAGATGTTGAGAATCAAGCTGAAAATTACCTCTCGAAGATTGACTACCCTTCGGAGAAGTCTCCTTGCTCTGGGTCCCTTAGAAAGAGATCTCTCTTCGGTGATATTGGAAACCTTGCCTCTAGTGCAGCCAATGTTGCCGCAGGTGCCGTGAACGCCGCCAAAAACATCGCGGAAGACGCAATAAGCTGCATTAAGCCAATTGCAGATGACATGATCAAGACCATCCCCGATGATGTATCCAAGTTGACGGATGATATCGAGGACACCGTCAAGAAGGGATCTAAATACCTGGATGAGATCAGTAATATTCTGAATGACATGGAGAACAAAGCCAAGGATGATGAAAACGAAAATTCATCGTCGAATTCTGAATCCTCCACATCCTCGTCTTCATCCAGCACGTCCTGTTCATCAAGTACAACGTTCTCTGACTGCACGACAACAACTGTCTTGGTTTCGACTTACTCCACCGGAGCAGATGGTTCGACTTCTCCATCAACTAGCACAAGTACCACGACCACTTGCAGTACTGCCACTGCCTGCCATGCTTCCCCGACCTCAATGGCCACCACCATCACTGAGTTTGGATCCTGCAAGCCCAGACGCACCACCAGGCTTGTACCCCCCGGGCTTCGTCGAACCCTTACATTTCATCATACACATCTTCCGGAGGCTCAGCTGGCTCTGCAGGCTCTGCAGGCTCGGGATCTCCTGGTTCTAGTGGTTCTGCTACCTCAGTGGCGTCTCATACATCTCCCTCATCTTCCTCCGGAACTTCCCTTGTCGGCTCAATACCCCAGTCTTCGGCTCCAGGCATACCCCCCTCATCAAAGCCAGCCTTATCTCCGGGAACAATCTCATCTCCGGTGAAAACTTCGGCTCCTAAAACCACATCCACTTCAAAAATAACGTCGACATTGCCACCAGCGCTTAGCTATTATATGTGTTTGGAACAAGCAGGCCCAGAAGTTAGCACACCTTACTGTGCTTGTTCAACAGTAACTGAGGGACAAACTTATTCAGCGACCGCCCCTCTCATCTCAGGAGAGTGCTACGAGTACACCAGCTTTCCATCCAAGATCACCCTAACACCAAGCTGGACTCCGACTGCGCCTACAGCGACGCCAGTGCCCTTCATCACCACTGAAACAGATGGCGAAATACTCTCTTATCCGTCGCAAATCTTTCAAAATTTTGCTACAGAGGGGGTAGGCGCACCCGTGACGCTGCAAACTCCGTCACCAAGCCAGACCAGCGGTAACGATAAAGGCTCGGGCGAGTGCCACAGTATCGACGATGCCTGCACCAGAGCTTATGAGCAGTACGTAGATGACACAGTTTATTCATCCTACACATCCTACACAGCGAATATTGAAAGTGGCATCATCGTGGATGCAACATTCGGCACAGCAGGCTGTGCGGCTATGTATTCATGCGATAACAATGACTATGGTTTTGGCATGACCGGACGGCAGATCAAGGCTGCGTAAGTCAATCCTCCTACAAAATTCCGTGAACTCACTGACAATTCTACCAGTGTTGAGTATATGATGGCAAATGACAGTGCCAGTAAATGCGGAACGACATATCTGTCGAACTCCTGTCAGATCACTCTCAATTACTGCACCAGCTGCTCGGCCACGCAGTAATGGTGGGCATGCTTACATGAAGCACGGCTAATACCCTGTCAATGTTTCCCCCTTTTTGGCGTCTCTGTGTACAGACATTTTGGGTATTTTTTCTAAATTATTTCAGGAGTCATGGTCTTCTTACTAGATAGATATGAACTTAAAAGGCTCTAATGAAAACAATGCCCTTCTAAATTATCATGTATTTAATACTACGTTGGGCAAAATTTCAAATCTTCAATTGGAAGCCATTGGTTAGCTACAATGATATAGTTAACTAACGTAATCCAACTAGTAAGCCGGGCCACCCCAAAACACCATACTAAATGTACTACTTCTAGAATTCGATATTTCAAGAACCGCAAATTAACATTACATGATTGTTTGCATGATATCATTTATAAGCATATGAAATAGTATAGACTTCAATCAAGACTAAAACATTGTTTAAGTAAGTTACCAGAAAAATTCATTACGACCGATCTGAACCTCAAAACATCGTAACTCTTGCAAACATTATAAATAGGGCAGATGCGATCTAAATAGCATAAATGTATAATGAAAATTTCATTTTAAGCCATAGTTTCCTCCGATATCGAGTTGTAATTTATTGCATCTACTATAAACAGACGGGTGTGGTGTTATAAATAGCTTTAAAAAGTTCGGGGGAGAAAAATGATGATTAGAGATTAGACTATGAACAAAAGAAGGAAACGGTTGAAATTCTCAAGGGTCTCTAGTAACTCGATTCTATTTCAGTTCAGGCTCAGTGGTCTAGTGGTATGATTCCTGCTTTGGGAGTTCTATCTAAAATGCAGGAGGCCCCGGATTCGATCTCCGGCTGAGCCCAACTTTTTTTGTCTCCCATTGTCTTTCTTCCTTTTTCAGTTTATTCTATTTTTAATCTTTCTAAATCAGAACACTATTATTATGTACCCAATAGTTAGAAACAGCTAGCTAGGCTTTAAGTTCCTACACCTGTATCATAGATCGAACTCATAACCATGGTCGTTTTCTAAGGGCGTACGTATTGATATTCCGTTATCCGCATATCCACCTCACTAGGTCCATCATACTTTACAGTAATGGCTAATTGTATACGCTTTTCAATAGAATCGGACGCATCCGGCATATTGGGGATAAAGTAGATAGAATCATGGGTGAAATTGTATAAAATTGACCTGCGTGTGAATTGACTGGTGGGGGTGGCGCACCTATAACAGCAAGGACGGTGTGGGAAGCATGTCGCTATGACCAGATAACCATTGGAGAAGCCAAAACAGCGGGCCGACCTAGACCCTTAACTAGTCAAAGTGGGATGTTGGCGAGGCTATTCCATTAATCATGATTGCTTGGAACACCAACGTACGGTGTAACTCGATCAAAAATTGGAGTCCTGCAGAAGCCCGCGGGATTAAGTAAATCTGCAGTACCCTTTCCTCCCCCTCAAAGAACCGGAAATAGTAGAAATCATCGAGCTAGCTCACCGGACTGGCTATATAATGAAGAGGTTCACCTATAGGCATGCCCACTGCACATACTCATAGGGCTTGGAGGTTCCCAGTTTAGGGGGTTCTCAAACCAAGGGATGTTTCATAGAGCCCAGGGCTCTCTACTTGTTTAGGCGTACAACCTCATTACTTCTACCCACGTTGATGATAATGGTCTCAATTGCCGTTACGATCATAATTAACATATCCAACCCTTGATAAACTCATTCATCCTGTTTTGCATCTACCCACCCACTCACACACATACAGTATTAAGTCTCTGTCTCAACATCCGGCTCCCTCCCCGTCAAACCACCCGCCCCAACTTTCTTCTTAAGCTTCCCCAGCGCGAACTTAGCCTCATCCTTTGCGAAGAGCGCATTCCTGGCCGGCTTCCACTGCATCAGCCCCCGCTGCTGTCTCTGCTCGCTGCGCTTATTCGCCTTGTTGACGTTAGTCGGGCTACTAGCGCTAGCCTGGGACGACGACGCCGTCACACCACCAATACTCTTCCCACTGATAGTACTGAGAGTCGACGGACCATTGCCATTGCTATTGTTCGATGACAGAGACATCCGGTCCGATTCAGAGGTATCATCCTTGTCCTCGGGCGCGCGGTCCTCGTTCATCCCGTTCTCCATGTTCGAGGGCTGGCCCTCCAGCGGTGGTGGATTGACCGGGTCGTGCTGCGGACGGTCACGGCCTGGTTCGGCGACTTTGCGGCCGACGGAGTCCGTGTACGCGCGCGGGTCTTCGCCGAACGCGCCGCTCCAATCTTGGCCCTCGCGGTCGATCCAGCGGCGGCGCTCGGCAGGGTCGGCATGCTTCAGCACGTCGCGGTTGTCGATTAGGGACTTCTCGTGCTTTGCTTGGACTTCTGGTGGGACTTCGATGGATACGCTGCGGGACCGCACGCCCTCCGACATGCATGCTTCCCAGGTCTCGAATGTCTCGCGAGAGTCGTTGTCGACTACGAAGCGTTCGTGCGACTCGTCAATGCCCGGCGAGAAGCGGCACTGGAATTGCAGACGGCCGACTTCTTTTAGGTCTTCCAGGCCGGGCACTTCCTTGGCGCGCCAGTTGGCTTCCGTCACGTAGTTCTGCGTCAAGCGGGCGCCTTTCTTGGTTGTCCAGATCGGGATGTCGATGTCTGTGTCTTCGTTGTCGGCTAGGTGTTGCAGCCACAGGATAGCATAGGCGGCTGGGCCGTGTTTTCCCGGATGATGGACCTCGAATACCACCGGGGATCGGTATCGGTGCTTGACAGGCATGCGCAGCGAATCGCGGAAGCTCACGTCAGAGGTATCGTAGATCGCATCGTTGCCGTCCATGTGGCAGACGTGCCGGGTGATCTTGCCGGTACTGCCGCCGGTACGCATCTTGATCTTGGCGATGCGGCCGTAGTTCTTCGCGACGATCTGGTGGGCAGAAAACTCGAACGTCCCGACGTCCCAGCCCAGCATGTTGGGGGGCAATTTGGTCTCGACGTGACGGAAGAGAAGCGAGATGCGGACGCGTCCGAATCCAATCCCTCCGTCGAGGGGATACCACCGCGTCACTTGCGAGCTGGTCTGGAAGATATCGGATAGCTTCAGTGGGACCACACCAAGGATGGGGTCGTGCTCGCGATAGCGCTGATCACGCACAGTGATCGTGACGACGGCTGACCTCCAGTCGCGGACGAACCGCTCAGTTCCTGCATTAAAGATCGGCTTGGAGCTCACTGCTTTGGGACGGGTGCGGTAGGCCTGATTTTCGTGATCAGTATTTTGAGGAAAAGCAAGATAAAAGGTTCGAAAGCACTCACTAATTGATCATTCAACAAAATCGTGCAGTAGCTCGTTGGAAGAGTCCCGCCCTCTTCCTCGGTATTCTCGCCATACGCCTTAGCGGGCTCGTACTCCTTGCCCTTGCGGTTTCCATCGCTGCCATTGATATTTGCCAGTTGGAGATTGACAATCTGGTGCACCACGATGTGGACAATACCGCTGGGCCAGATAGGATCCGGGGGGTGTGCACGACAGCGTCCTCTTCTTCGTTCTCGATCGTCCCCTTCTCATCCTCAAAGGTAGGATCACCCTTCATATTCTCAGGCAGATCCTTGTTCTTCCCATCAGTCCGCAGCTCCGGACGAAGCTTTGGTTTGCCGAAATATCCAACTTCCCAGTGCAGCTGGCCCGGCATCTCGCTGCCTTCATCCAGGCCCTGCAGCTTAGACACCTGGGGGAACATATGACCCGGGTGTTGCAGCATTTCCCGGATTGGCAGCTCGACTTTGCCAACAATGTCGTCGGCAGAGTTCCGGTCCGAGTCCCAAAGCTCGACGCTGAGGTTCTCGTTCGCCTTGACCAACTCCGGCGTCACGAGTAGCGCAGCAGTTTCCTCCCATATCGGGTTCAGGTCGTCGGTGATCACGCGCGTGCAGTACATGGGCTTCCCGTATTTCGAGAAGGACAGGTTGATGTACGGGTCACTGCCGCCGCCTTCACTACCACGTTTGTCCTGCTTGCTCAATCCGACTGCACGGTGGATGCGAATCCACATCACACCCAGCGCCAGAGTGTCCTTGTGAATGTCGTCGCCCTTGAGCATCATCGAAAGATCCATCGTCATGGACTTGGGGGCTGCAAACATAGCACTTGCCGCGGCGATGGAATAGTTGACGAAATTCGAAATCAATGGCAAATTGAGGATATTGACTCCCCTTCGAACCATGGGCATACAGCCTGCACGCACGTGTGGGACACCGACCAAGCTGAAAGTAACCTCTTTCATAAACGGTGGCTCGGGCATCAACTGAAATCGCAGGCGAACGGTACCGACCAACTCGATCAACTCGACGAACACAGGGAAAGGCACGCCGAAGAGTCCTCGGATACCCAGATAGAAAACCAGCTGCATGTGCATGTTCCGTGCCTTGGACGAGGCAGACTGGCCAGTAGGCTTCGCGTGGTAGGCGAATGCGGCTTCCATGTTGTAATAGTCACCTCCTTCCTCGGCGGCGGCCGCTTCCTGGGGATCTTTGTTCTTCAAGTTCTGTTCGCGGATATTCTCCTTCATGTGGTCTACATGGTTGTCCGGAAGAGCACGCATGCTGAGAATCCGGATTGGGTTGCTCCCTTGGTCAATTTCAGCAATGCGAACGTTCTCAACCACACTCGGTGCCGAGGCCTGCATGATGTCTTCGATGGTGTCCGCGACGGGAGTTAGCATCTCAGGATTGACCAGTCCCCAGACGACACCAAGGAAGCTGTTCATCCACTCCACGGATTCGGGTAGGAGGTTGGCGGTGGCCTTTGATATGATCAGCTCGATTCAAATTCCTTCAAGACCCGGACTTACCATCTGCCCACGAAGCTGCTCACTGCTCCACTCCATATCTCGACCACTCCGGATGACCTCTTTCACCCACAACCACACGCCCGTTGAAATGCATGCTGCCAGTGGGATAAGACCCCAAAGGGAGCCGCCGAAGAATCGCCCGAGAATGATGATCGCGAATGGAATGGCAATACACAGAGCTGTGGCGCGCTTTTCCAATTGATCGAACATTGGTTTGAATGAGACGGTCGGCGTGGGGTGGAAGAGGATGTTCGTCATCTCACCGCGAATGGGGACATCCGACGTTGTGCCCTCTGCAATGGGATCTGGCGGCGCCGTGACATCCTGCTCTTCTTTATACTTGCTCAGCTCCTGATCCGCGCTCGTTTTATGTTCTGTCGGTCGCCCCAGGTTTGCATTGGGGACTGTCAGCATGGGATCCTTGACGGGTTCCATGGCGCTCTGGTCCAGATCCTGTACACCGATTTCTTTGCCGGTGGTTGGATCCGTGACGGTGCGAATCTCGGATTTGGGGGCTGTGCGCGGCCGATGCTCCATCACGTCGCCCTCTTGCTGCTGGCCGCCCTCTTGCTGCTGGCCGCCCATCTTCTGCTGGCTACCATCTTTCTGCTGGCTACCATCTTTCTGCTTGCCATCCTTTTTGCGCTGTGCTTTTTCCTGCTTGAGTTGCTGTTTCCTCGCTCGGTTGTCCTCGTCAATCTTCTGGTCTCGTTTTTTTTTGTCGGCGTCGAGATGCTCGACGAACTTCTGCACCGTCGGAATGGGATTGGCCCCGCTCCAATGCTCGCCGACATGATGCCGCTGCGGTCCTTCGGGTTCCGGGGCGGTGGAGGCCATGCTTGCAATGGACTGAGCTGGTTATGAAAAGATGGCCAATAGTGATGTGTGTGGCCGGTAAGTACCAGCAGCTTCAAAGCACCTCCCCTTGGTCAATAATAGCGTCTGGGAGTAATTGCACTCCAGTGCAGGCAGAGGCCCAGCCCTAAAAGTGGTACCGGTTAGCTGCCAGTGGCACTACGTCATCGGTGGGCACTGGGCACGACGGGGATGACGATATGGAGTGCTCGATCATTGATTGCCCTTGACATATTAATTTGCTGATCCATCCCTCCCCATCGCTTGATTCCATTGCATTGGCGGTCTTGGCGATGCGCTCATCCCAGGCTGGCCATAATCAAGGCATTGGGGGCCTGGACCTGCCGCCGGGGCTCGCTTTTCTCCAGTATCTCTCATGCTCCCTTGGGCACGCGACATGATGTCACTAGGGATATTCATGACTTCAATACCGAGACCGAAGCGGTCGCAACTACCATGGATGCTTACGATGGACGATCCCAGTTGGTCTCGTTCGAGCGCATTCTTGTGTGGGACAGGCACCGTCACTCGTCGAATGAAGTCGCGTATCAGGCCGGCGATCGAGTGAGAACCGGCGATCATGGTAGTCGATCGGTAGTCGATCGGTTGACCGATCACAAATAGGCACTAGTGATCGAACAGTTCATGCAGCTGAGCGTAGTACGAAGTGTATGTGTATGCAATGTGGTGCTGGTCGTGTGTTCTTATCGCCACGGGATCAGCGATCTTCACTTCCTCTTCCTCCTCCTCTTCCGCTCTTCCCTGCAACCACAACATCTTCTTCCCCACGATGTCAACCCCGGAGGAATCTCCCGCCCAGCGAGCGGCGCGCCTGCGCCGAGAGCGCCGCGAGACCAAGATCAGGGATGGAGGATCACAGCGGCTGAACAAGATCACCAGCCTCGCTGGACGGAAACCCCAACGTATGCAAACACCTCCCTTCCCTTCATGTCCAACCAACCCTTTCACTCTGCATCTCACAATAACTAACACTCCCGTCTCCCCAACAGCCCACGATGAATCCTCTCCAAGCCCCCAGCCTGCTGCCGCCAGCGCATCCCCATCCCCCCGCGCCTCAAATCCGACCCTCGCCCTCCCCCCAACCAGACATGCAGTCTGCAGAGAGCCTCCGCGCCCAGCAGGAAGCCTTTCGCGCCTTGCTCCGCCAATCGGCCCCCGAGCCCGGCCAGGACCAGCAACAACCAGGCGACATGCCAGAAGACCCTACCATAAAACTTCTCAATTCCCTCCTCGGCGCCATGCCCGGTGATCCCAACGCCGCCCCTCCTCCCGGCGCGCCTCCCCAGCCCCCAGGCCAGCAGCCGCCAGGCCTCTCACCTGCCGACATCGCCTCCGCACTCGGTGTACCACCCTACCTAGCCAATATGCTGGGCGGTAAACAGCCGCCGACGGAGCAGGAGCAGAAGCGACAGCGGGTGTTGAAGACGTTGCATGTTCTTTTCGCGGTCGTGGTGTCTGTGTACTTGCTTTTCGTAATCGGGAAGTCGGTTGCTACCTTTGGATTTCCGCCGCCAAAGCCCGCGACGGCTCAGAATCCCTGGACCGTGTTTGTTACGGGGGAATTGGTGCTCTCCGGTGGGAGGGTCCTGCTTGCTGGGAAACAGGGTGGTCTCGGTATGGCGGTGCAGCTGGTTAGGGACGTTATCCGCGATGGAAGTCTTGTTCTGTTTGTGCTCGGCATGGGCACATGGTATCATAGCGAGTGGCAGACTGCTGCCGTGTACTAGTTGAGATGAGACCAATAGTTTGAAATGGAGGTTGTCCTGCATTCCCAATTCCCAGTTGGAACGCTACATACGAACCATAATCTGTACTAATATCTGCATCTTTATTTATCAGCTATATATCAAGCAGAGGAATCACCCTGTCCCCTCTGAGCAGGTAGAACAACATTCCTCAAAACACCCATTGCCGCCGCATCTAGTCCCCAATCACCCACCCACTGCTCCATCCTCGCCCCGTTCTTAAAATGCTCCGACAAATGATCAGCCCTCACCCTCCAACTCGGCAAAGCACACCCACAAAACCCACACCGGCTGCGAACAATGCCACCGCTGCTGCGCCAGACATCCAGATCAGGAACTGGCGGTATCGTACACCCGTGGAACTTGCGCAGATGTTGCCATAGGTAGTCCTTGCGGCTAAACGAGCGCTCTGGGATGGGTTTCTCCGCACACACGGCGAACTCGTGTTCTTCCAAATGGCCTGGTGTGGGGGATGTAACTTCGCAGAATGGGCATGAGCTTGGTTGTGACTGGGATTTGGTTTCCGTTTCTAGGCCCCGGTGCAAATCGTCGAGAGAGGGCGTACAGACCCAGAAGTCCAGTGGGAGGTGCACGCTTTTCTCGTGCCGGGTCCAGTCGTGGCGCTTGCGGAAGGACTGTGTGCAGAATGTGCATTGATATTGGTGCACATTTTGAGATGTAGATGCTCGGTCTTTATGTCGTTTTCGGTGTGTTGTGTTTCTCTTAGGGATGAGTGGGAACGGTAGAAAGGCCCCTTCTCCTCCAGAGGATTGATAGCTCCATGCCGAGGAGACACTATCCGATGCGGAGGTCTCGGATGCCCTACTCCCAAAGCTAGAGGCAGAGGAGGGTAAATGAGAAGACGAATCCTCGAAATTGAATAGATCCATTGCCGACCCATCAATAGAGAACGGGTCCATTATGTCAAGCGGAGCCTCCATCGACTCCGAAGCAATAGCGTCCTGGATAGCAGACTCAGAAACCGGCTCATCTTCTGGCGGAGACGCCTGCCAACGTTCCATCGGGGTCAACATAGAAGCCAGTGTACTAGTGACCATGGGAGAACCGGCTCGAAAATGCGAGTCTGCATGGACGGACAAGGTCTGCAGTTTCTGCTTCTGCCGCCGGCGCGCATTGGCGAGCCACGTTGAAATTCGTTTCGCGGAGAATCCCGTTTCACGAGAGAGTTGTGCCTTTTCGGCTTCGCTGGGATATGGGTGCGTTTGGTTCTGTGAGAACCATTCCCGTAGCACGCGCGCGCCTTTTCGGATAAACTGCTTCGATTCTATGCGTTCTGTGGGGGATTCTATTTGGTTGACGGGTTGTTCTTGTTTAATCACCTGGAATTAAAACATGTTAGATGTCATTATCGTCGTATTTATACAAACACTCACTCCATCTTCCGTGTGCTCGGGCACGCCGTGCAGATGGCCTAGCACGGGGGAGAATGTTTCGAAGCCAGATGGAAGGCGCTTTTCTCCTTTGGCTAAGCTGCATTCTCGAAACAGGGCCACGCAGCTGGAACAAGACGTGATGGGATTCGGATTTGCTGGTGCAGTGCGAATGATCAGACACTGTAGCCTGTGTCTGCGGCAGTGGCTGCAAGGAACGGAGGGACGATATGCCCCGTCAAGCCACTGCGAGACGTTGCCAAAAGCCCGTGTGTTGATTGGGTTCATTAAAAGAGGCGACGAAGCGGTATTTTGAAGTTGTTGCATTGGTACATCCATCTGATTCGGTTGAATCACGGTTGAAGAAGGCATGGGGGGCAGCATGGGATCCTCCCATTGCGACCATTCTGTGTCCGCCGGACTCGGTGAACAGAAGTAAAAGTCGTTCAAAGATCTCCAGTCAAGACTAGACTGTTCGACCAACCAATTATCGGAAGCATTCATGTCCAATATGCTTTCTCCTGGGTCCGGCATGGACGGTGGCAATTGACTGGACTGAGCCGGGACTTCGGGAGGTTGCTGATCCATGGAGTGCGGTGATGTGCAGACTTCAATATCGAAAATACCCAAGCAGCCACTTGCAGCCGGCAATAGATTCGGAACAAGCAACAGTAGTCAGTGGTTCATGGTCGATTGACTCACTTCGTCCGATCTAGCCGTTCCCGGTCTGGATTTCGCCGCCTTCCAACGACATCGATGACTAATCTATATCTATAAAATGACTGACTAGTTAGAGCATTTTTGCCAATGCCTTTATAAAACATGATCAGTCATCGCTGCAAGATAGCCAAAACACGTCTGTTGAGGTGATGAATGCCATCCCCCCTCGCTCGGGTAGCCCTCATAGACAGTCTACTTGTGGATAGTTTCGTCTTCTCCTTCCCAGACAATGCCAGCCCAACTTTGAGCTTGACCTCCTCCCAGCTTTCACACGAAAGGGAATATGAAAACGTATCGGGGGACGATAGCAGCTGACGTTAAGGTAAATAGTCGCTAATTAGCCAATAATCGTGATTCGGAAAAGTTGCATCGTAGATGTCCGTCGCTTCACAGACATCAATAACACGACTCTAGGGCGGGATACCAGGTGGGCATTCAGTTACAGAATTGATATTATATCCGTTATGGATTTACTCTGACTGGCTCAAACTATGGAGTAAACCAAACTGAGTGTGTTACACTGTTATGAGTTATTGGAGTCTTTTAGGCTGTTCGCAACATAGGTGATTTCAAACCAGATAACGCGTATTCAATTTAGTCTAGTAGCATTAATAGCAAAACTGTCGCACTAATTCCAAGTACACCTTCTCCATCTGCCGCAGACTCTCAACCTCAACCCATTCTTCCTTGCTATGCAATCCTGCCCCTGTCGGCCCGTATACAATTGACGGAATGCCTGCCTGGCTGAGCAAGGCTGCATCACACCAGAACGACACACTTTGAACTGCAGGCCTAGTTCCCAAGATAGTAGATGCACAGGTGGCTGTTTTCTCGACGAGAGGATGGTCTGTCGCCAGTTTCTGTGTTGGACGAGACAGCGTGACTCGAGGCTCTCCGTATCGGAACCGAGGATTCTCTTTGGAAATGTCACTCAACAATCCATTCACATCTTCCAGGATCGCTTCCTCCATTTGACACGGTATAGTGCGGAACTCGACAGTAATGGTGCATTTTCCAGGATAAGATGATGGCTCTTCACCACCCCGAATCAAACCACAGTGTAGGGATGCCTGTCCCAGAGTGTCGTCTACGGGCAAGTGGCGCTGATACTGCTCCAGCGCGCGAAGGAACCAACCTGAGTGGATAATAGCGTCTTCTCCTTCATCGGGCCTTGATCCATGTGCAGCAATTCCAAAAATATCGACTTCCACCCACAAGAAACCTTTGTGGGCAGTTGCAATAGTACCTCCAGTCGGTTCAGCAACGATCGCAGCATCGGCACGCCAGCCAGCAGCTAGCACATCTTGGGTTCCCTGAGATGCATCTTCCTCATCCGCGACAGCAGCCACTATCACATCTCCTCGAGGCACATGGTCGCCGGCTTTGATTGCCGACATGGCTGCCAGCGCCGCTGCAAGACCGCCCTTCATGTCCAGACTCCCTCGTCCGAAGACAACCTCCTTGTCATCTTTCGTCCCAATCGACCCGGATAGAGGGTCCTTCTCGTAACTGGAAAGGCTGACAGTATCAACATGGCCATTAAACATCAAAGATTGCCCCCCTCCGCTGCCGCGTATAATTCCCACGATTGATGGTCGTCCAGCCACGGACTCGATTTTGTGATACTCGATGTCTCGATGCGCAAACCATGAGGCGAGGTAGTTCACGATCTGGGTTTCTCCGGCCCCATCAGCTACAGATAGTGTTGGATTCGATGAATCGATGCAGGTGAGCGCCTGAGTCAAAGAAACAGCGTCATCAATAGACACATCCTGAGGGATCTGATAGTCTCGTGTGCCTTCCGTGGCGAGAAGAACAACAACCGAGTCTTTGTTCAGAATAGATGGAGCGTCCTTCGATGTAGCCAAGTGTCGTATTGCTGCCAACGAAGCCCCTCCGCAAGGCCCCGCTGGAATCGAGTGCGAGGAAAGATACTGTACTGCGCGATGTGCCTCGTAGCATGATACTGTCACGCAGGCATCAACAAGTTGCTGCAAGTCAGACCATGCCGTAGCTGACAGCGTGCCACAATTCATTCCATCCATGATGGTTGCCCCTGTCCGCACTGTGATTGATTGCCCAGCATTTAGACTAGACGACAAGCACGGAGCAGAATCGGGCTCGACGGCGACAACTGCCATAGTGTTTTCCTTTGATTTGCAGTGTCTCGCAACGGCGTGAGCAAGACTCCCAACGCCCACTGGAGTAACCATAACGCTTCCAACAAGGCCAAGTTGGGCCAGGTGGTCTTCAATCTCTGCTAGCATCGTCGAATAGCCTTCCACAATCCAAGCAGGAACGTCTTCGTATCCCTCAAAAGCCGTGTCTTGGATCAAGAGTGCACCGGCCACTTGTTTAGATGCTTCCGCACCCTGCTTCACGGCTTCGTTGTAATCGCCGGGGACAACAATCACATTGGCACCCTCTTTTGCAATAAGATTCCGTGTGGTGTTATCCATATGCTGAGGGACAAATATTTGGGCTTTGATGTCCAAAAGTCGAGCCATGAACGCAACGGCTCGTCCATGATTTCCTTCTGTCGCCGCTACCAGAGTAGTTGACTTTTCCTGTGCTTTCGTCGAGAGTTCATTCAAGGGCATGGTGGAAGGAAGATCGAGATATGCTGCGATAGCGCGATAACATCCCCAGGATGCCCCAAGGACTTTGAAAGATGGTAGACCGAATCGATCGCTCTCATCCTTCACGAACACAGCCCGGACACCCAGCTCAGTTGCGAGGTCACGGAGTGGTACCAGTGGGGTTGGAGCATAGCCGGGAAGCGATCGATGGAATTGCTCAAGGCCATTGATGCAAACGGGTTCTCGCTGCTGGCCTGCTGCCGAGGAATTCACAAAGACTGGCCGGCGTGACATGCTATGTATTTTCTGTCGCGGAACTTTTTAAATCAAAGGTGGACGTGGGTGTGCCGTTCCTTTAAATCTCTCTGTCGTTCACTTGGTGGGCCCCGGCCTTCCGAAGACATCTGAAACGCCTTCTGGTGACATCGGCTCGAACGGGGGCTCGGCGGGACAACACCAGAGAAAAGAACCAAAGAAAACAAAGCTTTGAAGAATTTGGTGGGCATACGGAATATTTTTACCCCCGAATGAGAACCCGAACCTTGACAAGTCGGCTCGTTACTCTCCCGATTCTTGGGTTAGCTTGCGGAGAAGCCGACCTTGGCCGCCGCACCACACACCCACACCAAATCGTCCACAATGTCTCGGGTGCGCACGAGGAACGGCTGCTGGACCTGCAGGGCTGCAGGCTATAAATGCGACGAATAGAAACCTCGTTGTTGTCGCTGCACCAGACTAGGGATTGATTGCCAGGGATACGGAATACGATGTCGATGGCGACAAGTCCAGCCATCGCTCTTTCCTAAACGCAAGAAACCATCATCTCGATCACCGTCCTCTTCATCTACAGAAGATGCTAGTTTCGGCCTCACTACTATTGATTCTCCAGCTGCCATGCAGGAAAATAAGGCTGTATGCACTGTAAATCAAGCGAACAATCATCTCGTCTTCCTCGGCCTTCACTCCGATATCGATCCCTACCACCGTCGACTGCTACACCACTGGACCGAATGTCTATCCGGCTTTATCACGGCGTCTACGTGGCCTGGAGACGTAAATCCTCTCCAAATCCACCTCGGTGGCACAGTGTTTGTCCCTGGCGCTTTGCAGTCTATCGTACTGTCGATGTCCGCTCGCCATTTGGCTCTGCTTACAGCTGATGGTTCCCATGCTCTGACAGCCTACCGACATCAGCAAAACGCCATCAGTCAATTACAACAGCTTATCCAACATCCTGTCTACTGCTATTCAGAGACGACTCTCGCCGCTGTCATGATGATGTTGGTATATTCCCGTCTCTTCGCAGAGGCCGAGGGCGTCTCTTCCGCACATAACCATCTTCTCGGAGCCAAGGCAGTTATTGCACGAGGCTCAGAATCTGGATCCCCGTCATCCTCGTCTACTAGGCGGTTCCTAATAAGTTTATTTGCATACCATGATATTCTCTCCTCTATATCACGCTGTGCGAAGCCTTTTATGGAGTATGCGCCGGACATATCTACTATCGAAGACGCAGCATCTCTCCTCCGAATTTCAATGGTGCTCCATCTTGTAGCACGCATCAGCCTAGTACATGATATGAAGACGGCCAAAGGGATCGCACGTTCCAGAGATTTTGGCCCTAGTGATGACCCTGACTTTCTTGCTGCCGCGATCGAGAGAGGCCTTTTAGATCTGGAATACCCTATAGAAGGTCATTCTGATCGAACACCCCACATTGAGTACACCGCACAAGCTTATCGCCACGCAGCTTTGGTGTATCTCTATCGTGTTTGGCACAATGTTGGCGCGCCACATCCGACTACATTAGATCACGTCCATCATTGTCTCAGTTTCCTCTCCCAGGTCCCGACAGCTTCCCCACTTGTCTCTGCCCACACCTGGCCACTATTTACCGCTGGGTGTGAGTCAATTCTACCAGCTCAGAGGCAATTCGTTCGGTCCCGGCTAGATGACATGTTCGTCGCCCGTCGATTTCCCTCTCTGAAGAACCTGAAGAGCGATATTGAGAATGTTTGGAGAAGAAAAGATGCGGCTCATGAAACGTCAGGGCTGGACGGCATGTCGCGGGTGGATTGCATCCAGGTTCTTCTGCAAGGCCACGGGAGAGAGGCCAATCTAGCATAACTATCCTGCCAACGCCAATGAATATTCCGAGAAATTTCCCACCATCAGTAATATTAGAAAAATTCCTTTCGTATACACCTATGGTTTCAATGAGAAGTCATGATCGTGAGCTCCCTTCAAGTAATCGTAGCCATCGTCCACCCACTCCACGCATGGCACCAGCCGGCCCCAATTGATCTTTCCGACCAGGCTCTTGGGAAGCACAAACTTTTGATCGCTACGATACCAGTTTGCAAACTGAATCGACACCAGCATGACTCTGGGGTCATCAGTCCGGTTCGGCATTCCCGCGTGCCACAGGCGGAAATCCCGAATGATCAACGATCCCTTTGGCAAGCTAGGCTGGACCCCCGGACTAACCTGCTTCCTGCTCTCAAGCAATGACTCTTTCACCTTGTGCTTAGCGCCGTGGTCAAGCACGGATTGATCTGTGTCGATATGGCTGCCCAGCCACACCTCCGTGGCGCCGTTCTCAGGCGATGTGTCCACGAGATTGATGTTGACACAGTATGCGAAGGGCATACGGGGCATGTCGAAGTCAATATCAATATGCACAGGTTGGCGGTCCGTGGCTTTGAAAGCGGTGTTGGCGCTGTAAAAGCGCATCGTCGGATGCGGGCCGATCATGCACTCGATTACAGACGTAGCGAAAGGATTGGCAATCACGTCTTCGAAAATGTACCCCGGCTCACAAACTGGCTCCTGCTGGATATTGCCGGTCTTCTCGCCAAAGTTCCGGTGCGTCTCTGCTAGTGCATACAACTTCTCGGCTTCTGGTACCATGCGTGCATTGAGCGTGTCGAGATGCGAGGGGTTGACTGCGTTCTGGAGGACGACAATGCCGTCCCGGTGCAGGGCTTCGATGGCCTTTTGCAGGTTATGAGAGCCTATCTCCTGTGAAGCTAGCTCTTTCGGTGTGAGCTCGATGAGCGTGACCTGGGGATTGGGAGCGGTCATAGTTCTGGCCTTTTCCCGTCGCGGAGTTGTTGCGGAGTTGTTGCCAGAGGAGGCAGTTAAACGCCTTGATGTCCAGTGCGAGGTTTATATAGTCGTGCTGGTTTCATACTAGTGGGGATGACCCGTTTAACGCTTGAGAAGGATGCGACCTCGTTTCCAGAATCATGGCTCGCTTGTCTGACCCCTCTCGCTGCGGTCCCTAGCTTGCGTCCCGACTGTTAAAATTGCCTGTTTAGGACGAGGTGGGGCTGCTCGGCGTTATTCTAATTGGCGGCCGCACTACCCCAAGGAGATACATCATGGGCGGAGTTGATAATGGGAGTTCCAATAATTGGCTATGCCCATGGAGATGCTGCTGATTTTGGTATTCGAGATTCAGATTACCCCCGGGTTGTTGGTTGGTGACACGTCTAGTAGATGTAACATATATATCTCTAGTGGAGCGCCGGTTGTCGTGCCATTTATGAAGTGCCATTTATGACTTTACGGTCGGCCCACTCTGCTTTGTTCTCCTGGCAAAAGTGTCACCCGCCAAACTGCGAAGCGTTCCTGATGCGTCGGCAGCGGCGACATGCCAGAGCCTCTCAGTTGTATTCTCGGTAGCCATTCCATATGCCATGAACAAAGTCGAAGGAAACTGGAGAGATAAGTTGGGGTGTCTTTTTGCAGGACTGAGCTTCAGTTGTGCGTTTTACTGCTTCTTTTGTCTGCCCGAGACCCAATATCGAACTTTTAAAGAGTTGGATATCCTTTTTGAGCGGTAGGTTCCAACCCGGAAGTTCAAATGAAAACATCTTTGACATAGTTATATATATTTTATCGCTAAAAGAGGATCGTAAAGATAAGGTTTACAAAAGAACTGTTAGATATGCTTCTGGTGAACCTTGAGTTGCTCTATGAGCGAGTATGCAGAATATAGGAATTACTCCCTACCAAATTTGATTAAGTGGCATTTGGATCGAGCGGTTTAAGGCGATTGACTCTATGTTACTTTCAACTTTTGCACTCACGCACACACACTAACATATCTTTGCAGAGAAATCAATTTCCATCAGAGGCGCGTCAAATATGCCAGCTATCGATTTTTGAACCTTTTTTTTTTTAAAAAAAAAAGTAGATAATGCTTTTATTATGATAGATCTATGTGGTGGTTAGTTATTGTTTCTCGTTCTTTGTTCTAGTCACCGATCAGCGAAAGAAGTACAAAGATTTGGTTAGTTAGGTAAAGATGATATTAAATATTAGAAAGAAGACTTAAATAAAGATTTCCATAAAAGAGAACAAATAAAGCTCGACAGTTGGCGACGCCGTCTCCGAGGAGAATTGATTTTTAGCCAATCGCCTTAGACCGCTCGGCAAACTCCCATTGGATGGAATTTAATTGACAGAGCCTCTCCTATGCCCCACCAAACTGCCTGGTTTGATGGTGGGTCCATGGCAATCTTCATTCCCACACTACTACTAAAGATATGCATGTAGAGATGGAGATAGAAAAATACTAAATGAAGAATAGAAACCGAAACCCAGATTCTGTTACCCGAAGGGTATATGCACATGCATCATGGACGAAGATGGACCCACCAGGCTGAAGTCTAGGCATTTGGTACTGTCACTTTCCCCCAGTTGAAAACCAGGTCGACGGGTTATGGGGCTCAAGAGTTCAGCCTTCCGCGCGTCTCCACAATGGAATTGCCAACACAGCCTTGTTTGTGCTATGGAGCCGAACCCTCGTACCTACTTCTTGGTGTTTTTCTTTTTGTTTTGCGGGATAATAATTAAACAAACAGTCTCCATTCTATGACAAATATTGGAATGTGACGAAGCAAATAGTCCCTTTTATTCTGGTTCGGCAGTGGATAGGTCAGTTACATCCCGCCAATCAAGTCAACTCCGGATTTGGAAGCGACCTTTTCGGCCCCAGTTAGAGAATTGAGCAAAAAATACCTGACCTTGGCACCCTGCAGTGCATGCTGACGCACCATTACGCTGTCAATTCTCATAATGGATATTATCTCTCCTTCTGAACCCCTTTCATCTTCTAGAGAGATGATTGCCATGCGCTATGCGCATATCACACCTATTCCGCTGGCTTACGCCTAGAAGATTATTCTTTGTGTGTATGGCCTTGGCGACTGCTAAGCTTTTGTATATGTTCGTTCAAGAAAATGCGCAAAGACTGAAAGAGCGCGCGAGTGGGACTTATGACCATCGTCGCCAGACGGTTGAGAGCCTGGTTACTCTAACTAACGCCTACGCGTCAAAAACCGCTACTTCCGGGGTCGGCGTGGTCCTCGCATCTATTCATACTGACAGTTTGGACTGGTTGCTCGACTACTGTAAGGAAACGTGAGTCGCCTTCTTTATCTCAAAGATGTGGAACATTCTAAAGCGATCGCAGTGGCAGCACACCTTTCATATACACTGGCGAACGGCCCCCCGAACCTGGCCTTCTTGTTGCTCCCACCCTCCGCGGTCGCGAATCTCCAGCCTATCTCTCCTACATCGTTGACTTTTACGACCGTCTCCCCGACTACTCCCTTTTCGTCCACGCATGGCCGGAGCAGTGGCATAATGATCTGTTCGGAGACCGCACTATGGATACCTTGAGAGTGCTCCGGTTTGAGTCAGTCGATGCCCGCGGCTATGTCAACCTTCGTTGCGAACACAATCCAGGCTGTCCGGCAGGTGTATGGCCTCTTACTCCATCTGAAGCCGATATTGAAAAGGGCGACATTCGCGCACAGTTTGCCTTGGCCTATGAACAAATATTTAATGCGACCCGTGAGCAAGTTCCAGGCGAGCTTGGAAATGTCTGCTGCGGTCAATTTGCCGTGAGTCGAGAACGGATCCAGGCACGGCCCAAGGAGGACTATGAAAGGATATTGGAGTGGGCGGCTACGACAGACTTGACAGATGATTTCGGGGTGGGATGGGTGCTTGAAAAACTCTGGCATGTCATTTTTGGCATGGACCCTGTGTAGTAAGTTCTGCTTTCCCTCTCCCAAGCACGTTTAGAAACCCACCTTTCCTAACGGCTCTCCCTCAGCTGCCCTCGCTATGAACAATGTCGCTGTGATAATTATGGGTGGTGTGGGCCATTGCCGTCAGGAGAGACGTTGCAGGCTGTGACGAAGCAAAACCGTTGATAGAACTGGAACCTGGCATAGATATCCATGAAATTAAGAGAGCTTATATTGGCAAAAAGGATTTTGTTTAACGCCACAAAGCGAAAAATCTTGTTGAATAAGGAATAACCTCAGAATAGCTGTTTTCCTGTATTGGTATTTTCATAGAAACCTTACTGAATAAAGTACATAAACTCTTCGCTGGTAACTATATGCTATATCCATGGTAGCTGGAACTTTCCTTGCAACCCAACCAAACGCCCACATGATTCATGACTACTTAATTTAACTGTGAAGGAAATAGTGATTAGCAGTAGTCACAGATAACCAGGGAGACTTTCTGGTATGATATTAAGAAGGCCCGCGATGTGGCTTTTGGAAACTTTCTCGATTGGATGTAGATTTATGAGGATCGGGACCATTGTTTCTGACAAGTATGGCCGACAGCAGCCCCCCGGTTACAGTTCTCTCTTCCTAGAGCAGATGAAAGATGCAAACAGGCCGATTGTGAAGGGCGACAAGAGAAACGGAGATTGGATCATGCTGAAGAGCGACAGAATTAGGCCGAAGATGGGGTGGGGGAAACAGGGAAGGGAGCGCAACCTCGACCACTTTCATGGAATACTTGCACTATTGTCATATCCTACTCTCCACCGCTTAGAGTCGAAATACCCTCTTGCTTGACTATGGGGACAAAAGCTTTTGCTACGGGGTACACTACTCAACGCGACTAGAACCGTAGTCGGGTAGTCTGCATTTCGACAGCAAGCAAGTTACAGTTCCGTGTGCAACTGCCTCCAGCTTTCTGAGGAAACCTGAGCACGATCTTTTGCTTTCTAATTACACTTGAAGAGAATTCTAGACGATTCGGTCCTCTGTCAATTAGTAGTGAGCAAGGTCTCGTGACCTACGAGCGGATCGTCGTTGAAGACCATATTCGTGATATAAATGCGGGGTTACACAAAATAGATGCAACCCGAGACGCGTTCGGACTTTTAGATGGAATTCGGTCATACTCGCTAACTCTAACTGTTGATTTCCAGAAGTACTTATGCAAAAACATAGGATAGATTCCGAGGTTCATTAGGATCCCAACATCCCCAAGGCGTCCTCCGACTGTCGTAGCAGGGAGCATGCCTAAAGTCGAAGAACCCGATAATAATATCTGCCACAAATTCTTGCCAACGCATTTCCTTGCCAAAAGCCTTCCGCATCATATCACAGCGAACAATGATCTGCCAGCAATACTTGAGGTATCGAGAAAACTCCTCGCGATTAGACGGGTGGAACGGATCGTGCGGTATCTCAAGTCTTCGTCTGGGTTCATATCCTGCGAGTTCCATGATGTCCATTGTCAGCTCCATCGGAAGCCCCTTCTTGCACAGAATCCACCGTACAGAGACCACGTCGGATACAGCTGGCTGATAGTTCATTGAGCTATCCAGCAAGAGGAATTCCTCAATTGACACCCTTCCGTAAAGTTCAACGGGACGGTCAGATTTTTTGGTGCATCCTGCCCACTTTAGCAGTGGGCTGGATTTCCGTGCAGGGGCTCATAGCCTGGGAACTGTCTGTCTGCGATGCCGAAAAATTGTCGGTGTGGATATGTTATCACATCGGAATGCTTCCAAGACGCGGTGCATTCTCGTAGCATGCGTTGATAAAAACTAGTGTTGCGATAATCTTTTTCATCGGTTCTCCCTGATGCTGTGTCCCACATCTCCGGGAAACAATAGACTATGTTGAGGCAGATATAGGCGGACAGTGCATTTTTGAAAAGCTGGTCCCAGCCAATGTCGTAGCATGGGTCCTGTCAAGGCCATTTAAATCATCAGTACATGTCTATATCCAAGGATTCTGAGGCAGAATCTTAACTACTTTGCAGAATCCGATGAATGCCCTTGCGGCGACTTACATTACATTGGCACTCGCTGAGAAGCCACCAATACTTCAGTCCAATCTCTGGATTGGCGCAGATGCGCAAGACGGCATCCATCTCGCCGTAAAGGATCAGGGTCTCTACTAGTTGGAGTTGAAAGAAGGCATCTCTGTTGAAACGAAAGAACTCGTAACAAGGATTCCGTCTATATGATACCAAGAGCCCGGACATTTTTCTCGCTTCATCTGGGATAGGAATACACTGACACTCTTGGTCACGATCCTTGAGCCAGCAAACCGCTGAAGGGCAACGTGAGTCATAACCATAGTTGCGCAGTCGACGTACTGTGGGAGTGATTTTCTCGACGATACGATCGTCAAGAATGATATCTTCGTGACCGGGTGAATCGGATGTTTCTGAATACTTCTTGCGCTCGCTGGCCGAGTGCTCGTCAATCGTCCTTGCAAAGGCTTCCACGAAATGCGCGATCTCTTTTCTTGATTCGGTTTACCACAAGGTCGAAGATTCGTTATCTCATACAAAGAAGATTGGGAGCGGCCGTTTCGGAACAAACCTTTGTGCCATTACAAATTTGAGACCAAGAGAGTCCACGGGATATTGTATGCTTGATGGGCCATTTCGAGCTGGCAAAATCTGCGCGACAGTTGGGGGCGAGAAAGGAAGCGAGATGGACTCGCACGGAGAGATGCTTTTCCGGCCGGAACTCAGCAGGGCAGCCAGATCAAGAGAGAACGATGAAAATAATCAATATAAATGCCATAGACGATGTCAGTTCCAAGTCAGAGAAGAAAAGAACCAATAAAAGACGAGTTAGAACTATCTATATAAGACATTTTCAGATAGCCAAGAGTGCTGCTATAACGAGAACGAGTGTATTCCTTGATATCATCATTCTGTCTGGGATTGCCTTCCAAGAAGCAGCTGCCATAGCGGGATCAGGAGCCGCTTTGGGGGCGACAGAAACACAACCAGAATTCATCCAATTCGCGGAAAAGTAATAGACTTGAATTTACTTTATTCTCAATCTACCACATCTAATTCGCTAAACTTAACCCAATTCATACCCATAAACCAGCTTCGTACGTCGGACTTTACCTGATATTCGGTTTCGTGTATTATACAATGGAACATCAATATCACAATCATTATTTTCATCTTCATTTGGCTCAGAAGCAACCTCCTGTTAAAGTCTAACCTAACATACAAGAAAACTCCATCTATATGGATATACAGGCAAACTCCGTCCGTGTCTTTGTCTGTATTAAGTATATTAGGCTGTACCTCTTTCTCTTCTTCTTTCTAGCTTCAAGGTGCTTGTTGGATGACGCTCATTTTTCTGTGAAGGGCTCAAGCCAGAAAGGGATCTAAACTGACTAGGCCAAAAACTGTGGATAAGAAGCATAAAGGGAAAAGGCGAGACTAAGATACACTGAATATCAGGGGGTGCTAAAGATCCACTAACGGATCTCGAGGGTTGGACGGAGCTCAATCCACAACCGGGACTCAAGCCCTGGGGGTGATCAGGAGCAAGAGGGACGAAACCTAAATTTTACAGCTGGCAACCGTATGTTGACCAAGCTGACAGTGGATTGATGAATACAGGGATCAAGAGGAAGTCGGAAAATTGATTTTAAACGTGTCGAAGGCGAAACAAAGTGTGAAACGAAAAGAGTGTTGTATTATCACAGTAACGTTAGGCTAAATAATTGAACATATGGGTGAATCATAAGGCCACTCGCTGTAAGGCGGTCCCCGTTCTCACAGGAGCGGCGAAGCGATACGGGTTTGGCCCGTGACATTTCTATCGAGATCTTGTCCCTCACACTGAGCTTCCGTAACCATCAAGGGGCCAGGTTTGGGTTTTGCCATCAATGTCAGCTGTAACCGCGCCGCATACGTTGTAGATGATATACAGTAGCCTTAGCTAGAAAGGCAGAAGAATATTAATATTTGAGATCAGCATAAAAGAAATAGGTCAAGGAGAGGTTACCTCTTTAGTGATTATGTTCTCCAAATTGACGAGAGACGTGTCTTTCCATCGGTCATAGAGAGCATCCAGATCACAAAATGGAATAGTCATAATAAGTTCATCTGGTGATTGAAAGGCGTTCGACATAATTTGTTGTGCTGTCGCACTGCTGAAGTACTTACCAAACCCATACTTCACTTGAGTCGCATTGGCAGCCTTGGCCACGCCCAACATATTGAGACCATATTTCCCCAATATTTTATCATCAGCACCATAGATTGGTGTTGTATCTGAGTAGGTAGTGCCAATAATACCAAAAAAGTACGCTGTATTCCCCTCGCAGGTCCTTTGGAAACCTTCTGTCAATTGGATGTCACAGGGAGGACCTGTAAGGCCAATGATATCGGTAGACAATTTAACGATTATAACGTTCTGGCTCTGCCACAAAAATGAGATGGAAGCGTCCCACATTCTGCTCACTGCTGTTTGGTACATAGACAGATCTTCGCCGGTGCCAACACTGCTGCTAGCGAATGCACCACCATGTAAAATCGAGGCGATGCTATTGTTGGCACTCATGTAGTAATAATTGTTCGTAGGATCATTCGTCGCGGGATCAGTGAGGACTTGGGTAGCAGTGTTATTGATGCTCTCGATAGTACTGTTGATCTGGGCAATGACATAAGTCTCGACGTCTGCTAATGAGTTGAGTTCATTTTGAACCCTAGTGAGGTAATTGAGATTAGCTGGAAACAATCTAATCCAAGAGCTTTGATCAACTAACACTGCCTCTGCACTTGGCAGCTGTCCAGTAACAATTCCATTCGCCATTGTATCTCCTCCGCCAGATACTCCAGCCGCTCCGCTGATAAGGAGGGCTTCGGACGCTATACCAGGGAGAAGTTCAATGGCCATGGCAAATCCACCACTAAGAGCACCGAGAAGTCCAGCCATCAGAGTAAGTACCCATGTGTCACTCTAGAAGAAAGGGTGAGTGAGTATATCCTTTTGTCACTTTCAAAGGCCTTTAGAGCTTACCGTTGGAAGTTTTGTTGGTAAAAAATCGTTGACTAGGGCACCCGCCTGCCCTCCAAACTGGGTCCTGGTCCAAGCGAATGCTGCGATGACCTCATTCACCCAATTATGCCAGGTCTGAATTGCATACAGAACATAGAAATACCGAGCACGTGAGGCATCACAATGAACTAAATTCACCTCGCAAGCTTGGTCACCCTCTAGGTTGCTTTATGTTGCAAGCCAGCCATATCAGCAATCAATATATTCGACAAGGCATGGGAAGACGTACAAGCCGCATGAGAATTGGGATATTCCAGTAACCTTTGACTCTATAAGCTCGACGAAGGTACCTGTGTTGCCCTCAGGGATATTCTGCGCTCTACATTAAATTTGTTAGTTAGACAGCTTCGAAAAGAGAGTTTCCTTTTGCGCTTGAAACATTCACTCACAAATCATCCAGAAAGTCATCCATCTTAGAATCATTCCATGCTTGATTCGTTCGGCCCCCTTCCTCACACAACGCAGACCAAGTAGCCTTGGCCGCGGCTGTAGACGAGGGAGCTTTGATGGTTTGCGTAGCCGACGATGAAGCAGCATCTTTCACACATATAGTGAGCTCTGTAACGTCGAGACCATCGCAGGTGGTAACTAAAGCGCCATAAACAGGGAATCCCAATTTGTCCTTGCCAAACTGGTCTTGGCAGGAAGCACTCCAGCCATCACATCCCCACGTTTTTGCATTCGAGTCATATGAACAGCCATCTAAGGAGCTCGGATCCCCGTAGCGGGTGCCGTAGTATAGGTTTGGCAGATCAGCATCGTCGTTGGCGTTCGTAACTGTTCTTGTCGAGTTTGCTCCATTGCACCAGTCGGGCACTTGGTCATCAGAAACCAAGTAAGTTAGCCACTTAGTTTTACCATCCGCTATCCACTCGTCAGAACCGATTTCGGCAATGATGATTGACTGAGTTGGGGCTGCCGCTGCGTCAGAAATAGTGGCAGTAGTGGTGGCCCCGGGAGTTATCGGAGGAGATACCGATGTCGACTTCCTTCCTGGGAGGGCAGAGGCAGGCCAGATAGTCACCGCGACAAGTATCTGAAAGTATAATAGAAATCGTAACATAATTCTGTTAATAGTATAGTGAAATATTCCAGTTATGAAGAAAGAGAAAAGACAGGTGTCGGGTTAGGATGGTACGTTGGTTCGACGAGGACCTTAATATATGTTCTCTAAACCATGGTTTCTAGCTCAAAACATCGATTCTTTAGAGCAATACAACTCTCTGCCCCCCCGCAACTCCGCTGTCCCCCGCAACTCCACTGTGACGACTGAAGTTATCATGCGTTGATTGGCAAAACATCTCAAATACTTAGATAGGATTAGCGGACGGGCGTGAAAGCGGACCCAAGCTAGATCCTGCTCTTCGGCTAACAATAGCAGCATTGGAAGCCAAGACTACTTTAGAACCTTTGTTATCAAACATGGTCTTGTTAGGTATTTTGAAACGGTTATTGGCTCTAGCCATATATCACCCCATTTGTGATCGCGACGCTTTTAGGGACTTAATATGGCTATGCCGGTCCTTGTACGAAGTAATGATAAAAAGGATCATATATGCTGTGGGGGGCTAAAATCCTGCTAATTTCATAGGGGCGGCCCCCCACATGCAGTCTCTCCAATGTCCGGAGTGACCGTTCGGCGGCTACTAGCAAGATGCGGAAGTGCTTGGCAGGGGCGAGGCAGGGGCACTGATCATTGTTTTGTTTGCTAGAGGGCCATAAGGTCCAAAAGTATTAGTATAGTCGTGTCGCATCCCGCCCCACAAAAAATTGGTTTGTAAACAACCCACTAACTTCAACTATCCACCTCTCTATCAAGAGTGTCGCTTTAGCACTAAAATTAGTAGAAATCGAAGACCAAAGGCTGAATTTTCCCCTAAGACACGCTAAGCTATCATTTATAGCCTTTAGAAAAGGGATATCGCCTATAAGAATTGCGTATGATAATCACGTGTCCCGTAGCTCAATTTACTATACAAAATACGCTTCTATAACAACGCTATAGTCAAATCAAGGTCCTTGAGTGGTTGGCCCTAAAAGTTTAATAACTAAGCACGGCGCTAAATATTTTAGCTAGCTCGCTACTACCAAGTTACTGCGATTTCGCGATCATTCCTGATCAATAATATGGGATCGACTTCTGTCATGGTCCGTTCGATCGATTCGGAGGAAAGTCTCCGTCCGTGTCTCACTGGTGGGATTTTAGCGGTAAACTCAATGCCTCGCCCAGGTACTCGCCCCCAAGTCGGACCCCCAACAGGTCGGACCCACAACATGTTGGGGTCCGACTTGGGGGCGAGTAGTTGCATTATTACCAAGAGCGCTCTCTTTGTTCCTACTTTGATCAGTCTCATCCTGTAGCAACCTGACGCTTACCGTGAGGGGTCATGCATTAAACACGTTAGCGATTAGTTTCACATTCTATGTATGATATTTAAAACGCCTGCTTGTGACTCAGCATCCTTTCTCTATTTAACGTTACTTGATTTTAAGCTTCTTGGGGGGAAAGAAAATGCATCACTAACCAGTCTTTCCACGGCACTCGATCTCTCATCTTCTGAGGGTTCATCCTTGTTAAACTTTCGAATGATGTCGCCTTTGGAGCAGGTTTGTTGATAAGCCTATTCTTATTGAGTTTTTGACTAAATTTAGTGAGTTGTGGGGGTTATGTGGCCTGTGTGGTGGCAAAATATGCCAAGACTTTCAAGAATCTTTGAGCAAATGTCCTGCCGGAAAGTCCCACTCACGGTAATTCTACGCACGGGAGTTGCCGCAGGCATGTTCTACCAAGGGGCCAGGAATGTTCGCACCGCTTTCAGCATCCAATCTAGGGATATCGGCATTAAGTTCGAACCTTCTTTCGTGTCAATGGCAATTCTAAAGGAACGATGGTGGAACTAGTTGTATGATAATACAGATGTTTCTTTTTCTGGGGCAAAGAAAGTCTGGGGAAACTTATAAATAGTCATGGACATACAGCTGACAATTTACGCATTGCCCAGTCAAAATATCAACACAGCGGCAAGGTTTGGTCACGGTATCAGACTCAAAACATCAAACGCATCAATCTGAAGGAAGCTCACAGTACTGATTTGACCGGGAAGTTTTTCTAACCAAATCTATAAATAGACACAATATAACACAAGCTTCCAATTTTGAAGGTCAACTCTGACTTTTGGTCGTGGATAATGTGTATGATCAAATATTTATGTCATTCTTAATCAGGAACAGATGAACACGTTCAAACTCCGGGCAAGAATGTTCAGAGACTTGGCATTGGAATGATAGCCGCTCATTGCCTTATTGGGCGAGTCATCGAACCTTCCCAGCCACAACTTCCTACCTCTGATTCGTCGAGCTGCAGTGCATAGTACGTATCATTCCTTCCAGCCACAAGTCAACATCTAGACTTTGCCGATTGCAATACCTCTTCAGCGGATAGTTACTGCAGTGTATAGAGGCATATGGATGCCAAAGTTGTAGTGATGTCCTTTGGATTGATGTACTCGATTATGGTGTAGGTCACCAATTCTTGAGGTAAGCAAATTATATTTCGAATTTGATATACGGTAAACAATGAAGAAAAATAAGCAACATGAAACTGAAAATCTTTTCCAAACTTGGTCTCCCGCCAATTCGATAGAGAAAACAGGCACTTGACACGTCAAGACGGACTCTACTCCGAGGGTGTCATGAAATTCAAACCCCTTTTGCAATAGAAACGCGCCTGATTCAATCATCATATCAACAGATAAACCTGTTCTCATGACCTTCAAGTATGCCGTGGCTTCGATTATTTTTAGTTCTCTCCTGTTCAGTGTATAGTCTGCCGGATGCGGCAAATAGGAAAGTCTAGCTCCCCCGTTGCCCAGGGCGATCCACGTCCAGGGATTCGACGAAGACGGAAGGTCATATTGCTTTCAGCTAATATCATAATATAGTAGAATGTATTGATTTGTTCGGATCATCCGTACAAATTTATATAACTGTCTTAGTTTCCCATCCACAATGCCCAAAGAAGAAAGAACCCTTATCCAGATTTTTTCTTCCCCGAGCAGAAGAACCATCTCCTCAAGTGATCAACACAAAGCCACACATAATCGAAAATCCTACCAGACAAATCGTCGGTCACCATCCCTTCCAAAATGCAGCTCACCAATGCCGCCGCGCTGGCTGTCGCCTTCCTCACCCCCTCCGGCCTCGCCGCTCCTTACTTCGTCCCGACGAGCGTCACTGTCCAACTTGCCAATGACCAGTCCGGCGTCAATGCCGACATCGCTGTCCCTGCCGACGGTCAGGCCTACTCCATTCAACAACTCTACGGCAATACTCCTGTCGCCGCGCAAGGTCTTGTCTTTGCCTCAAGCGCCCAGGTTGTCTCATTCCAGGAGGGAACTTCCTGCACGATTACTGGGCAGACTAGCCCCAGCGTGACTCTGAACTCCCAGAGGACCTGGGAGTCGTTCGGTGGCGAGGTGGACTTGTGCTCTGCTTTTATCACTTGTGTTTGCGAGGGCATGTAATGAAATATAATGGGGTATAGTTAGAATCGGAGAATAATGGTTTTGTTCGGGGGTTTTCAATTGTTTGCATTCTTGGCTTGGACTGCCTGTTTATAGCATAATACCTAAGTTACATGACAATCTTTGTTTGATTTCGTTTTTCTTTTTTCGGCTATATGTTTCCGTTTCGACGGATTTGGTTATCACCTTGGTCGAGGAACCATGCACGAAAAGACGCAGTCGTGGACAGTATTCAATTTCTGTTCAACCTCCTAGGGTTGAGAAGTAGAAGTATACCACACCATCATACGGACATAGACAGTTGGCTACGTCGATCTAATATCAACAAATAATTTGCGTTCATCCTCTTGGCTATCACCTGTCATAAGCCTGCAGTATGTACCGTTAGCCTTGAATCATGGATAGTGGTGGGATCGTGATAACTCTCACCGGATTCGCACGATCCTCACCACATTTCCTACTTTGTACTAGTCGATTATTAGTTGGTTCCGCCCCCTAAATTGTTGAGCATTCCTAGATTTATTCTACGTAGTAATCGGAGATCTATTCGTTCGTGATTTGCAATTTCATTTTGGGAAGTTGTTCCAGCTTGATTTGATACAATGTTCTAGACATGAGGGCGGCACTCTTTTCTGTGATACTATTTTAGTTTATGAGGACCCAATTTTCAGGAGACCAACCAAGAGAACTTGGCTAGTTGATCTAAAATAGTGTTTTGGGGGCCATTGTTACGGCCAATGCAAAAAATCCGACTAACTAATATTGGGTGTATCGCCCGGCCTTTTCAGCTCCAAGAGTTCTTAGTTCTCTCTTATCTCCGTAACTCAAGGAAATCATTTTTTAGGAGCGACCCTTGAAAGCAGCCTGGATGGGCCTGCCAGAATGGGATCAACAGCAACGCCGCCTCTACCCCTGACAACCACATTTACTCCTCCACGGGGATGCCTCCATGATCTCTGGGCTGCCATGAGCGGCGGCTCAACTTGGATGAATCTGGGACCTATCAACACCGCCGAATGTCTACCGTCAGGCTGGGCTCCGGCCTCCTATTTCTCGCCTGGAGTTTGCCCGAGTGGATATGCCATTGCCAGTAAATCAACCGCAGGGAGTGGGACGGCGACGCAGACGATCGCAACATGCTGCCCAGTGTGAGTCAATCTGATTTTCATAGGGATTCTGCATGTCTCTTATTTTTTTGGTCCTAGTGTGTCAGGAAGCACGTATTCATTGCGAACGACGAGTGCGCAAGTGCCTGCATTGCAAACCAATGAGGTCTGTGAGTGGACACTACCATCGTACATCCAGACCACATACAACTACACCTGGACAGATGGGCGAGGCTCGACATCCTCGGCTCTGGGCACTATGGGAGGCAATGGAATCTTCAATGCATACGGTATCGAAATCCGGTGGCAGTCGACTGACACCGGTTCAGTGCCGGCCTCGGCAACCGTAACAACCACACCGACCAGCACAGATACACCGTACAGTGTCACCAACGAGGGCTTGTCAACAGGTGCCAAAGCAGGCATCGGAGTTGGTGTTGCGGTCGGTGTGATTTTGGTCATTGCCCTTACCTTTGGATTTTTTCTATTCCGGCGACGACAGCGCCAGACACAGACTCTTGATTCTTCGCCAGATGTCGGTGGACTGGCTGTGCGAGCTGCTAACCAGGCACCCGTCGAACTGTCCGCGGCAAGGGATAATAAGTCGTTCGTTTATGTGAAGCCAGAACTGGCTTCAACCTCACTGCTAGAAATGGCGAGCAGCCCCGAGGCATCTCATTCTCCGTCGCCTGAAGCGGCCGAACTAGATGGGAAAATTGTCAGGTGACTAGTGCTGATATGGACACGGCGTGGATATGTATTCTTAATCTGTACTATATCATTAGAACTCCTCAAGAAAGCCATTTTATGAGTAGTATCCGCAGATCATTATCAGGCGGTGCGGGAGAAGAAGAAGTGTGTGCGTCCAGTACAAATGGTATACAGTGGTACCCAAGGCGCCTAGGCGGTGGACTGATTGTCGATCACCAGATGTTCCCGTCTCTTCTTTTCAACACCTCTACTTCCTTCCTTCAAGCATCTCATTTTCTCCACCACGTCAATGCTCAGAGCCTTGACAGTCGTCGCCCCGTCGGCGCGGCTCCTCTCTGGGCCTGCAGCTTCCATAATAGCTGCTTCAAAGTCCGCTTTCAGCGCAGCGCATGTCCTGGTACGACCTCCATCATTCGCTCTCACCACGACCTCATATCACCAGTGCCTAGAACAAAACTAACAATTCCCCTCTAGAACAACACAAGAACCCCCATACTCCGCCACGCTACAATCCTCCAACTTTCGCGCGCCTTCACATCCACGTCACCGACACGCTCCCCGTCACCCTTCCGCCTCGCCTCAAACAAGAAACCCACTCCCTCTCCCACTCCATCAGCCGAAACTGAGCCCTCAGCAGAAGACATCTACAGCGCTTACCAACCAAAGCGCCAATGGCCCCCAGACATGTCCAAGCTCTCCCAGAAACACCAGTTCCGGCTCGAACGCAAGTACCGCCGGCGCGCAGCACTGAAGTATGCGCGGCCGAAGTTCATCAAAGGCGTTACCCTGGCGCAGTGGGTCATTATTGGATGTAAGTGTGTTTGCTTTACATTGTATAATCCGATGGCTGCCAGGCTGTCCGATGTTACATCTGCAAAAATGAATATGAGAATCAAGGCTGACAGGTCCGTGTTAGTTGTCGCGGTCTATGCGATTCTATTTATGGACTGGGATACGAGGGAGACGCCGTTTGATGGGGTGAGTTTTTCCATTTTTGTTTTCAATCTTTTTCATTACATATTCCTTTTTACTGCTTGCAGCTGAGCTTGCCAGTCTGAGAACTACAATATGTTATGTGCAAGAAAAGAACTAATTTGGTTTTTTTTTTCTTTTCTAGCTTCGAGAGCGCGTCTTCTCCAGTATCCGCTCTGTGTTTTCCAGTCCAGCACCCCCTAACCCTGTGCGCAGGACCGGTGAAAACAATAACTCAGCCTCGCGGAGTGAGTCGGAGTAAAGTGATACCATCTTGTATATTATGGACTATACCATACCAATCCCGGGTGTTTACTACATTCTCAGGGCCATTTTGTACAATACTACTGAGCTTCCCAACTTGCATGTACATTGGAAGGAAGACAAAAGGACTTCAATAACGAAATTCCGTGACGATTCATTCAATCTTCATCTCTGTCATCGATCATGAGCAAGTCCACTTGTGGAATACAGGTGTGTCTGTCACTGTAGTACGGACAGCATAGGAGGTACATATAAACCACTCTCCGTGCGTTCACCTGCTGTAGTGTTCCCAAATCTGACTTCATCATATCATGTCTGTCTTCCAGGGTTTCTCTGGATCAGAAATTAAAAAACAAAAAAATGCAATCCAACACCACAAATGCCAACGCCAGTGCAAAAGAGGTCGAAGCAAAAACAGATCGAGGGAATGGAGGAATTTCTTCCGTCGAAACATCGAATCGCGACGCCAAGTCATGTCAAAATACAACAAGAAGAGAACAAAAAAAAGAAGAGAGGAAATTCGTCAAATAATAGAGCGGGGAAGAGATTTCCTGTGCTCAAAGCCAGCTGCGCAGGTCGCTTGACGGGGTCGTTGGGCCTTTGGCAGGACTGTTGTTGGAAATATCAAGAGCCAGCTCCAGCTTGGGCGGCTTCTCATCGAACAGACCCTTTTGGGGACTTCCGGGAGCAGACTTTTTGGGAGACTTGGTCGGCGAGCCTGGAGCACCGCTGCGAGGCGGGCCCTCGCGAACGAGCGTGTATGGCCAGCCATCGTCTGCAGCGGCTGCCACCCAGGTGCGAAGACAGTCGTGCACAGCAGAATAGAATTTCTCCTTGCAGGTGCGCAGGCTGCAGCCCATGACCTTCTCAAATCCGGAAGCGCGCAGCTCGTCGCGCAACTGATTGCGCTCATCGCCAGTAGGCAGTGAGGCGATTACTCCGTTCAGAAGATCCAGGTGTGCAGCGAGATAATTCGTAGCATCCCACTCGACACCGCCGACATACGGTGCCGCCGGCACAGGGGGGCGAGGAGGCGGGAAGTGTCGCTCGCGGAAGGGGCGTGTATCCGTTGGTGGATTCTCGGTGAAGGGGTCATTACTGGACTTCTTAACCAGCGGGATCACGTTCAAGTGGTGCAGGAAGATCCAGAAGACTTCTTTGGTCACATTGGTGACTTCTTTACACCACACGCGGTAAGGTCGCGACTGGTAGATGTTGGCGATGAAGGCCACTGGCTGGTTTTCTTCTGTTGGCAAAGGATCGCGCAGGTAGGAGAGAAGCTGTTTTGCCTTATTGGCTGCCGTCTCGCCGGACGGTGCCACAGAGAGCTGTGTGAATAAAAGGTTGATGATGATACTCCGGGTGGTAAACTCGCTGGGGCCCTTCTTTTCCTCGTCGAAGAGCATCTTCAGCAACGCAGGGAAGAGCTCGCCTTCGATCTCTGTCAGACGCGCCAAGGCCACAGATGTGGTGCAGAGGCCCTTCAGGCAGAGCAATGCCTCGTGAAGAAGCGTGTCCTCATGGTCCGCTCTGGGCAGAAGGAGTTAGCCACCAGCCATGATCATAAAAATTAAGGGCTCATACCGCCATTCCACTTTCATAATGCGGTAGAGAAGCTGTACGATCTCATGCATTCCTCCCTCTGCAATGAAGCTATCGACCCAGCTAACAGTCTCGTTGCGCAGAAGAAGACGTAGTTTATGGATCTTCCCTATTTCAATCATCTCCGGCTTCTGGATCTCTCGTAGATAGTGCACAAAGTCGGACGGGTCTGCTGCAGTGTCCACTGCTGCGGCCTGAGAGAGAGAAGTTGTCGATGCAGCGGGCGTAAGAGTCGTATAGACGCCCACGGGCTGAGAGAGATCTACAGATCGGGGACGATGATGGAAACTTCCGCTCTCCGGTCGAGGCTTCTTGGTAGGCGACGAAGAGCCTTTGCCGAAGTTGAAGCCGCGACTCCTGGATCGTGAGCGTGAGCTCTTGCGGTCCTGAGATTCCTTCTCCTTGGACTCATTTCCCCGGCCCCGCCGGCCATCAGCCGTGCCGCCGGCGCTGTGAGGCGTAACATTTTCTGTGCGATCCTTTTGGATGAAGTCGGCCTTGATATTGGTATCAAGAGACCGCATCTTGTCCCTCATGTTGTGAGGGATATTCCTCGCATCCTGACTCAGAGTTAGCACAAATATAACATAACTTCACGTGCGCGAAGGCCGACAAACTAGTAATTTCTCAAACTCGCTTTCAAGATCCTTTGAGTTTAGGTGGTTGTGCACATCAGTATCCTTCTCCTTCGCATTGAACGCGGAGATAGCAGCTTGAACACGAGATAGTCGCTTGGGGTTAGAGTCCTCCTTTGCAGTGGCCCTGTCAGGCCCGTGTCCCTTCGAGCTGTTAGAAACATCGCTCTCACCCGAGGGACCACGCTGCAGAGATCCGAGAAAGTCTTTGATCTTAAGGTTCTCTGACATGTTGTCCGACTTGGGTCTAGGCTTTCCATCAGGTACCTTGGCGAGGGACGGTTGGTGGTAGTCATAAAAATTTCGCTGCTGGGCGGGACTATAGCCCTTGGGCATGTAGAGAGACATCTCCTCAGCCATACTGCGTCTCATGTGCGCCGACGGCTGTTGGGATGACGACCGGCTGGCCGGCGTGGACTCCTGTGCCCAGATCGGGGAGGGCATGTTATCGATCAAATCGGTTGGGCTCCGGTTCTCCTTGTCACGGCTCTGCTTCAAGCCGTCCGCCTTGCGTCCACGCTGGGACCGTTTCAGCATGGCGGAAAGACTATTGGATGATTTGGTCTTCTTGGGCTTGAGCTCTTGTGGCCCCTCGTTGCCCGGTTCCTCCGATTTGCTGTCCTTTCTCTCCATGTAGTTTCTGAGAGACTTCAAGGAAACCGCACTCTTTGTCTTCTTGTGTCCAGGGCCCTTGGCCTCTTTGCTTGATTTGGGGGTTGGCAAGGCACTGTCGCCCGCATCGCGGTTGGGAGCTATCTCGCCCAGCGGCAGCTGGCCGGGGGCCAGAATGACCTCTTCTCCAAAGGGCAGAGGGATCGTACCCGAGGGCTTGCTGCGGTGCAGCGGGAGAGAGGTAATCGCGTCATCCGCGGACTGGTTCCTTCTGTGAGGTTTCATGATGGCCCGAAACATGGACGACTTATTGGGCGTACGACTGGCATCGTCGAAGATCTGGGGACCGGAGTTGTCACTGGAGCCCATTGCTATCCACCGCTGACCAGCACCTGCGGATAGGGGTCAGTTGTGGTTGTTGTCAGACCGGATAGATACAGCGTTGTTGAACTCACGGGATTTGTAGCAAACAAATGCGGCAAACAAGAAACAAGACAAGATAACGTGAGAAACCACGACAATGCTGGAACCGGAAACCAATAATGCAGAGTGGAGAGAAAAACAGAACAACAGAAGAATGGCGGATGGGCCGGAGATATGTATGAAGAAGAGGACTACTAAGTGCTGCCAACAGCAACCGTCATCTCGGAGATCCACCGGGGCAGACTAGCGATCCTTGGGGTTGGCTGGTGATCTAAACACCGTGAGGCGGCGGTTGCGACGGCAACGGGTGATGGCGGTGAGTGTAGAGGATGGAGTCAAGGACACTATTCATTAATCTATTGTTAGTCTGGCTGGATGGGACTCATTATTATTATTGCGATGTTCTGTAGTCTTTTTCCGGTTGTTTGCTGCTGGTAGTCCGTGGTTATTATTGAGTTGTATTGGTCGACTTTGTCTGTATACGGTATCCACAGGAATATATCTCAACAAGACCACAACTCCGCACCATCCTATCCACCATGCAATTCAATAGTAAAATATCCGAAGACAATAATTCCTCGAGACTATTGCTCGTGATTATGATTCTGCAGTGGGGTTTAACAATCGTCAGGAGGGAACTCTAACTAACCACATTGTTGTGGCTCCGATCGCTGTCTCACCCCGGACGCCCTGCAACCCTCCGCGATACACCCGTTGTATCCCCGTTTCAACCCTAGACCATTCCCCGATCTCGATCTCCTGATCTGCCCGTGTGAGCACATGTCGCGTGTGCGACTTCAAATGCTCCGGATCCAGTGGGACCACAGTCCCGCCATGGCTGGCCGTTTGCGACCTCATCATTCCAGAGGGCAGCAACATCAGTTCAGGGATCATTGATGCACAGCAACAAGTAAGCTGAGAAAGTACCCAGGAAAACATCATCAGGGCTGAGCCAATTTTGGTTCTGGTTACGTACCTACGTCAGTTGCTTGAGCGGTCTGGCCAGTCTGTTCAGCATCATTCCATGATTCGGGCAGAATCGGGCTCATTCGGTCACCCACAAGGTTTCTTGTTCTGACGAAACGATCATGGCCTGACTGCCAGGAACTTTCATAACTACCACCCGGATCCCCGTTGCTGAGAAAAAAAACTATCCCTCCCACGCTCGTCATGAACTGCCCCTCGCGGACCGACGAGACCCTCGACCATCCCGGCTGGAACCAGAACCCGCCGTCTCTGAGCCCGGACACCACCACACGCCAGGACTTCAATGGCATCACCAATTCCCGCGTCCACCGCAAGCATGCAGCGAGCACAGGCAGCACAGCGGGCGAGGACACAATGGCGATAGATCCATGGCCACACATACAGGACGAAGACCCCGCCATCGAGAAGATCCGCGACGGCGAAGTGGTCGCTGCTGTCGCCTCGGGGTGTCAACAACCACCCTCGAGGTCCAGCGGGTCACCACCTCGCCGTCCCTTTGGAACCTTTCTCTCAGATTCTGCTCTGCACTGCGCCCGCAGCGTCGCCAAATTCGGCCGCTTCCTCGGGCCCGGGTTTCTGATTGCTGTTGCCTATATCGATCCCGGAAATTATGCCACGGATGTTGCGGCCGGCGCAGACTTCAAATATGCTTTGCTATTTATTGTGCTCTTGTCCAATCTCTTCGCGATCCTTCTTCAATCCCTGTGCATCAGACTGGGTTCTGTCACCGGCCTCAACTTGGCGGAGAACTGCCGGCAGCATCTTCCGCGATGGCTGACGATTATCTTGTACGTCTTTTCAGAGGCGGCAATTGTGGCCACTGATATTGCGGAGGTTTGTCTCTCTTGTTTTACTATTCTGTGGAATTATCGATAACTAACTCCCTTGACAGGTGGTCGGATCGGCCATCGCGCTGAACCTGCTCTTAAAAATCCCGCTGGTGGCCGGATGCGCCATTACCCTGGCGGATGTTTTGTTTCTGCTACTCTTCTATCGACCCAATGGACCGATGTGGGGGCTCCGCTTGTTCGAGTTCTTTGTCATGGCTCTTGTGATCGGGGTTGTCATATGCTTTTGCATTCAACTATCTCTGATCAAGGACCAGTCCGTCGGGGAAGTCTTCCGGGGCTATTTACCATCACCGGTCATCGTACAGTCAAATGGGTATGTTCTGATCTCTGGACCCGAGTGAAATCTCACTGACATGACACTTGCTAGTCTATACCAAAGTTGCGGCATTCTTGGTGCCACCGTGATGCCGCATTCTCTATTCCTCGGAAGCGGCGTGGTCCAGTCACGCCTGAAAGACTTCGACGTTACTGCGGGATATGTCGACGCCACAGTGCCGCTGGGAAGTACCGGCGGCGAGGTGGAGTATCGGCCATCGATCCATGCAATCCGTGGCTGCATGAAATACTCGATCATCGAACTGAGCTTATCACTATTTACCTTTGCGCTGTTTGTCAACAGCGCTATCCTCATTGTGGCGGGCGCTTCACTGCATGGTGTGGCTGGCAGCGGCAACGCCGACCTCTTTGGAATACACCGACTTCTCTCTCAGTCGATTGCCCCGGCCGCTGGCCTCATCTTTGCCTTGGCCCTACTCCTGTCGGGAATCTCTGCGGGCATTGTCTGCACCATGGCGGGCCAGATGGTCAGCGAGGGAATGCTGAACTGGAGCATTAAACCCTGGATGCGACGACTCATCACCCGGTCTATCAGCATTGTCCCCAGCATCATTATCGCTGGCGCTGTTGGCAAAGACGGGCTGGACAAGACTCTGACGGCTAGTCAGGTTGTCCTGAGTATCATCTTGCCATTTGTCTCAGCGCCGCTCATCTACTTTACCTGCCTCAATCGGTACATGACGGTGCCGGCCGAACAAACCACTGACAGCGAGGGCGAGGTGCACGGGGGACAAGTTCCCATGCGGAACAGCCTGTTCGTCTCGGTGGTCGCCGTACTGGTGTGGGTGTTGATTGTCATTATGAATATTGCATTGCTGGTGTTACTGGGGTTGGGTGAGACATCCTAGAATAGATAGGAGCTACAGACTCCTTCATTGCATAAGAAACGATAGATCATGAATGAACGCTGCATTATTTGATACCACATCCCTAATGGTATATGAAAACGAGTCAGCCCAAAAGGGCAGAGTCCACGAATCGTAAACCCATAATCTCCCCAACTCCAAACACAAAACACAGACAGCAAAAGTAACTATCACGCCGTACCTCCCGCGGGCTCCTTCAGCTGCGCGTGCTCCGGCGGCTCATCAATAAATTGCGGCGGCGCAACCTCATCCTGCAAGAAGCTCGGCATCGCACTCTCCGCCATACTGCTCTCAAACATCGACTCCTCGCCCAGAGCCTCCAGCTCAGCATCCAACTCCGCCTCATCCACATCCTCTGGCACATCATATGCGCGCGAGATACTCTCCTGGATCTCATTGCCGACCTCCATCAAATCGGCCATCTCATCCTGCATGCGCTCGATCTTATCGATATCAACCTTGCCATACTGCTTCTTCAGCTCCTTGGTCGTCGTCTTCATTGCGTCCACAGTCGTCATCACGTTCTTCAGATTGTCCTGCATCATCCCCGCCTGCTCCATGTTCCATGATTGCTGCGAGAGCTGGTCCCGCTGTGCCTCGTACTGCTTGCGGCGCTGCAGCACCTTCAGCGCTTTTTGTCGCAGGGCGTTCTTACCGGGCCCGTCGCGCATCTTGGCGATTTTGGCTTGGTAGGTTGTCAGCTCGGAGTTTAGCGCCGCGAGCTTGACGTCGATGCTGGAGACGCGGTTGTCCACCTATTCCATTGCAGAGGTTTAGTTCATGGTGCGCCTTTATCACAGATCAGGTTGGGGACTTACATTGGAGATGGCGCCGTCCAGAGTGGGCTTGGGAGCCGCACTCTTGGTGCCGAATAGTCGGTTCATGGTGGTTGCGGAGGTCAAGAGGCAGCAGCACCAACACTCTCCGTTGGATAGCGACGTCAGTGGGGCCTGAGGCGTCCACGCCACGTGATCTTACACCGAGTTGGGAGTAGTTATTGAGAGTTAGGTAGAGCAGAAGAGACACCGAATGTACAGTAAGAATAGCTCCAAAAGGACAGAGTCTCATGACATAGTTAGTTACGTGCCCGGTGTATGGCCCGGCTGACCAACCACCACAAGTACCCGCGACCTTTTGGACCGCCTGGATCACACGGGAAATCCAAGTACCGAGTACATGCTGGGTTCCCCCTCGTGGGCAGGTGACTAACTTGCCGAGTGAGATCCAACCGTAGCTTCACTTGTTGTCGTCCCGACCCTAGTTAGTTCTTATACTCTCCCTTCCTCACCACCTGATCGATCGCCTATCGGCCCAGGTCGATCCCCGCTGATTCCACCGTTCCCGCCCCTGCCCACCTAAACTCTTCCTTCTCATCCCAGGGGCCAGACCGATCAGCACAGTCTCCCCCCACGACGGGCTCTATCTCTCTTGCCCTCGCTTCGTTATCTTCACCCTCCTGCATGGTCCGTTGACTCGGCCCAGCATTCCACGACTCTCCCGGCTACTCTCCACCGGGGTTTGTCTGTCCAGCCCAGCCCAACCCCCATCCAGTCACATCCCACAAGGACCGAGACAACGAATTTCTCCCCGCTTTCTTTTTCTTCGTCATTCACTTGCATCTCCAACAAGGTACGTTGCACTCAGCGCCCATCATCTCAGCTTATCTTTCGTTCCCTCGACTTGTCCACTTCCCTCTCTCCTGTCTGCTCCGCATCCCGCGAGGGCAGCCGGAAGACACCATCCGCGTCGTGATTGATGCCACCGACCAGCCCCGCTGACATGGTCCCTTTTCGCCAAGCATAGCGCTAGCTCGCTTCGATTCTGTTGATTCCATTCGACCTACCTCCCACCCCCTTTTGATGCCGATTCGCGTCTTCGCACAACACGCCCTGAAGACCCCGAGATCCACCTCGCCCGGCCCTGAGTGACCGGTCTGTGTGTGTGCGCACACTCCGGAAGGTGTGCATTCGCCCTGCCGCGCAAGGCCCTGCAGACCCTCCTCCCTCGCTTCTCTGCCAACAACATCCCGTGTATGATAGACCGCTCCGTTGCGACACATCTCGGAGACGAACGGACCGGACGACTCCCTTCCATGAATCATTCTTCCCGACTATATAATCCACCATGTTCTGGCGTTTTGGGGGATATGCAAGTATCTCCACTGTCGATACCCTGCTCGAGAAACCAGAGGTCACTCTCGAAGAATTACTGGATGAGCCGGAGATCATCCAGGAACTGAAGCAGCATAATTCGAAACTCATAGAATATCTACGCGAGGACCATGTCTTGAAACGGCTTATGGACTATGTTACGGCACCGAGCCTAGTGAATGATGGTGACGACGAAAAAAATGACATCGACGACGATACGCACGAAAAGGCTGGGTCCGAGAAGGAACAACCCGATGTCGCCTCCCAGCCAGCTGAGCAGGAAACCAAAGAGGCCGATCCGTTGAAGGATGTCCTAGATTCGGATGATTTGGACAAGGTCGAGAAGACCCGTCTGAAGCATGCGTATATTGCGTGCGAGATTCTCTCCTCCGAAGCATGGACCATCCTGGAATCCATAATGGAAAACCAATCGTACTTGCGCGACTTCTGGGGGTTCCTCCGACGACCCCCACCCCTGGACTCGCTGCAGGCGAGCTACTTCACGAAAGTCAACGAAACCCTGTTCGATAAGAAGACGGAGGAGATGTTGGACTTCCTGAAATCCTTGGATGGAATTGTCCCCGCACTGTTGCAGCATATCGACAATCCCATGGTCATGGATCTACTGCTGAAGATTATCAGCTTGGAGAAGGCTGAGGGTGGCCAGGGCACCGTGGACTGGCTGAAAACTCAAGAACTCGTGCCTACGTTGCTTTCCTTCCTCTCGCCCGAATACCCTGGTTCGGTTCAAACATCCGCAGGCGACTTTCTCAAAGCCATAATCACCATCTCCGCAAACGCCAACCCGAACGACCAGTCGTGTATTGGCCCAAACAGCCTGACCCGCGAGCTGGTTTCCGAAAAGTGTATCCAGCAGTTGATCAACTCAATGCTCGGTGGGGGCAACCCGCTCACAGTAGGCGTGGGTATTGTCATCGAAGTGATTCGCAAGAACAACTCTGACTACGACCCTGATAATATCGGCGGACCTGAATCGATGCCTACCCCATACGATCCGATCTATCTCGGCGACTTGCTCCGCCTATTCGCGCAGCATATCCCCAATTTCATGTCCTTGATCCGAAGCAGCAAGCACACGGTGTCCGACGGCTTCAATGTGAAGACCGTCGACCGGGAACGATTGAACTCCGCGTGGGGTGCGAAAATCGAACCGCTTGGATTTGACCGCTTCAAGACCTGCGAGCTGATGGCGGAATTACTCCACTGCAGTAACATGGGTCTTTTGAACGAACCTGGAAGTGATGCGTATGTTCTCCAACGGGACACCGAACGCGAGAAGTTGATTCGTGAGGGTGCTTTTGATCCCCACCGCGACGATGTTTCGGGTATTGATTACAACGACACCACGGCCGATTTCACCAATGGATCGGCACCGGATTCGGGCTCGCCAGAAGATTTGAGAAGCTACGAAGTCCATCACGCGGGTGAAGAGGACGGTTTTGAGGATGTTGGTTCATCAGGCATTCTGGTCGATCACGATAAATCCGAGCCAGAGAAGAGTGCCGATGTACCGACAGAGCCACAGCAAACCTCTCAGCCGGAGACTGAGTCTTTTTCCAAGTCTGAGACTGAGCAGACTGCGGAAAGCGCTGCCAATCCCGAATCATCTGACCGCGCTTCCCCCACGGCTGATCTCGCTGATCAGATCGGTGGCATCAAGCTTGAAAATAAACCGTCAAACGAGATCCAGGTCTCTACGCAAACTGTACAGGAGACGTCCGCTGCGCCTGCCCTCCCTGAAGACGTACCGCCCCCTCTCTTTGCAGCGAAGGAGGAAGCAGCCAAGTCAACTTCGGCTCCTACCAATCAGGCCCAGGAGGGTGAACCTGTCCAAGAAACTGAATTCGCAGATCATGTCCACGAAGATTCCGCCGATGAATATATACAATTGGACACCGATGGTCGCCCTGTCGTGGGTGATTATTTGAAGATCATGTTTGTGGAGAACAAAGTGGTGCCCACGATACTGGTAAGGTTGACCTTGTGAGGAGTTAATACAACGCTTCTATTCTGACTGTGACTTCTAGGGCTTCTTTTACCGCTTCCCTTGGAACAATTTTCTCCACAATGTTGTCTACGATGTCGTGCAACAAGTCTTCAATGGCCCCATGGAGCGTGGCTACAACAGGGCCCTGGCCATCGATGTTTTTGACACGGGTCGGATCACGACCGAAATTGTTGACGGCCAAAAACGTAGCGATGAGGCCCAGCGCACCAAGCAGATCCGACTCGGCTACATGGGTCATCTCACCCTGATCGCAGAGGAAGTGGTCAAGTTCAGCGAGCGCCACCCGCCAGAATTACTCTCACGATCTGTTATGGACAGTGTTTTGAACCCGGAGTGGATCGACTATGTCGAGCAAACCCTCTCCGAAACCCGGGAACGAGACAATGCCATCTTGGGCGGTGTTCGCCCGGACATGTCGGTTGGACCTCGCCAGACAGCCGCGAACAATGCCGGTTCCAGCCAGAGCTTTGGAACCTCTTCAGCCCTGGCGGAAGCGGGTCTGAATGGCGGGATTGGCGGTTCGGGGTTCCAAGGATTTGACATCAACCAAGGAGGGGTATCTGGTGGGGCATTCGGTGCAGGTGGTGGTACCTCGCTGCTCAGTGGCTTTGCGAGCTCCAGCGACGATGAGGATGAAGATATGGAGGACCAGGACGACAGAGACTCTGGCAATGCCGAACTAGGCGATTCCGAGAATGTGGGTGATATTCTTCCGACAGATATCGAGCTGCGCGTGTTATGACTGCAATGCGAGCTCGCCATGCCTCCCTCGACCTTGCCCTTCCTTTGCCTTTGCTCATGTAGTCCCGGTGTTTCGCACCGGGGCATTGGTCTCCGCCTCGCGTGTCATGCCTACGGACCGAGCTCTCATCGGACTTTGAGAAACAGCATCGAGCGCCATTGGCAACTCCTATGTTCTCTTATTTTCACCTGAAGTGTTCCGAGTCCGTGATCTCATTCATGATAACGCGATGTTTTCTCACGGCAGCCCATTCACCCAGCCACTCAATACATTGTCATTGATGCTAACATAACTCCTTGACTAGGTATCCACGAATTCCACCAGTCAGCCTATCCCGATCCTGCCTCCACCTCCTGCTCCATTAAGCCTTGGTCCCTCACGCGCACGTCGCCAGCTCGCCGCGCGCCTCGCAGCGCAGAAGCAGCAAGTAGCAGAAAATGCCGATGCTGAAGGCGAGGATAGAAAGGCAGAAGGCGAAGAGAACCGAGACTCATCCTGGCCCACCAGGAACCCATTTGTGATAGCCGGTGTCGATGACGACGCCGAGGGCAGCATGTTCCCCAATACGGACTTCGCCACCAGGGAAGCCGACCAGACTTTCTCGCCCACTTTCCCAGAACCGGGCTTCAGCCCCCCGACTCCCTATCAACGGGCTCATCAGAAGACGACGCCGACGGCCACGCCGAAGCCGTGCGCCGTCGCGTCCGCGTGCCCTTGGAAGTTGAGGATGACGACGACGAAATGGGTGAGATGGTCGGACCCAGCGGGACAGGGTTAGTGGACTCTGACGATGAAGATGAGGCCATCATCAATGAATCTCTTGGGTACTCGAACTTGACTGGCCCAGCGCGGTACAGTAATTTCCGCCGCTCGCGCGCCGTGGGATCGCATTTTGAAGATGATGACGATGCCCAGAACGATTCCAGCGACGGAGAGGATGATGGGCTGGTAGAAATCATGGTTCCTGGCCGGAAATCCTCCACGTCGAATTAGACCTCTTCGTCCTGGCTGTTCGAACATTTCATCTGCATGCATTCTGCGCATTTCTTGGTTTCGCGTTTCCGCTTTTCTTCGCTTTTCTTCGACAGTGCTGCCCGCAATGGGGAGGATACCTACGATTGATGAATTGGGGGGGGGGGGGGTTGCTTCTCTACTTCGCTACGGATTCGAATTATCCATCCTATCCCCACATCATCACTTTGTGCCCTGGCGTCTGTATATACTTCCTTCTATCTCATCTCAGGGGTAATCTTGCTGCCCTTCCTGCATTCTGATGATTCCGAGTGCCTTTCTTTCTGCAAGTTTGCCGCGCGTGTTTTTTGTTCTTGTTTTCCCCTGTGCATGCATCACACCCTCTGCGGAGTGCTTGACGAGTGTTATGTTTCTTCTTGTTCGTTTCTGATAGTATAGCTGGTTGGATGGTTGGTTGGGCGAGCTACGTTGTGACATGTACGATAGTTGGTGTGTTAGTTAGAGATGAGAGTGAATTGAAGTTTTGGTCATTGATTAGATTAGTTAGGAAATACCGCTGTAGCCGGGTCCTCATTTTGTTTGCGGATGATACCATTTCTTCCACCCAACCACTCCGTGACAGGACCACATTATTCTCCTGAACCTCGCCCTTGGGACCCCCACACCTGCACCTGAAGCCGATCCCGAGCCCGGCTCCGCGTCTGGGGCGGCGATGCTGTATATGAAACCGCCCGAGGGCGTTTGGGAGCAGACTGGCGCGAGGGCGGGGCTCTGGCCGGTGCTCTAGCCGACGCTCCGGCTGGTGCTGTAGCTGGTGCTCTGGCTGGGGTAGGGTCTCTCGCCGGCGCTGGGTCTCTCTTCTTAAAGAAGATAGCTGTATCCTCGAAGCCGAAGTCGAAATCATCGACGTCGTCGGCTGGGGCATCAGGGAGGTCTAGATATTCGAAGAGCCACGATCTGACCCTCTCACTGCCTGGATGATGGGCATCGCGGGCACCCGGCTCCTGCTTGACCTGGTCCGGCTCATCCTTCGCTTCCTTCCGGATGATGATGACATTGATGTCCCGCATGAGGCCCTTCTTGTAAAATAAGGGATAGAGCTCAGTAGTATGTGACTCCTTATTGTATATTTGAGAGAGGAAAACCGGCTGTATTGGCTTTTTTGTGAACCCGAGCGCGAGCTTGTATATATCGTCGGGCTCCCGCGAATACTGCCCGAGGTCTGGGTCTAGCGCTGGTAGGAGTTCCTTCTCTATGAAGTGATCAAACCCCTGGACGAAGCAGCTATTGATTGGGTGAGATATGACACCCCCGAAGCTCTGTGGCTTCCTCTCCTTCTCCGTCGGAGCATCCTTCCGCCATATCCAGAAGGAAAGACGAGCCCGTAGCTGCTGTGGGGGTTGAGATGAGGCCTGAGAGAAACTTGATGGGGTCTGTGGAGTCACCTGAATACGCTGGGAGGGGGCAGCAGCTGCAACACCTAGTTCCAAGAACTGGCTGGGTATATGCTGCCCAAGCTCCTGTTCACGATCGGGACAGGCCGGCGTCGAGGAGGTAATGAGGTCATAGTATTCGGCGTAGGGAGGGATATCGGTAGGCCGGGAAGGCATGATAGTGGTTGGGAGGTTGATAGGCTAAAAATGAAAGAATAGTAGATGTAAAGAATGTAGTTAACGATATGAAGAGGACACTTTAATAGAGCGAATTTCTATTAGCTGAAGTCGAGTAAATTCGAATGTGAACTGCACCTTATCATATTTGGGACTAATCTCCTTAGTGCTTGTAAACAGCACACAAACTGCATATCATTTGTAAACTGGTCTGCATACTACCATCCACGCTATCCACGCTATCAACGGGAAGTTGCTTTAGCGATATACTAGCCTCAAATAGTTGCTCCGGGCTGGGCTTCCGTCATATAGGCATCTCCCCGACTAGCAACCCCTTGATGGCTACACATAATGCAGACAACTGCCGCTTGTTTGCCTTAGCTGTGTTCTTGAACCGAGTCAACTGGAATGCTCAAGGACAGAAACTTGGGAATAATAGGTCTACATACAAATAAATACCTTGCTGTAAAAACTTTGAACAATTTACCCAGCGACTGTCGTGCTTGAGCCTTCTGTTAGTGATGGTTGACTAGTGACTCTTCACGTTAACATGGTCATTTCTCTTTAAGTAGATATATAAAGGTTTAGAAGTCTAATGGTATACTAATTTACCTTATCTATATGTGTACTATGAGAAATACTATAAACGATCTATTTAATAGCCTTATATCTTTGGGGACCGTATACTTGCACTACCTACCGCATTATGTACGGTCAAAAAAAGTGGGACCGATCGCCCGCAACCCGCAACAACTTTTCCATCGAAGATTTAGCATCCCTTCTTCGCCATCGTACTATTGTACGGATTCGCATGAGAGAGATATACTTCTGCTCTCTATAGCACATTATTTTCAATGGACATCTAGGCTTGACTCCACTGTCTCAGATCAGAAAAATGTCGACGTCTCCGTCGGCGGGGTGAGCTCCTATATCAGAAACCGGAACAGACCACACATCTAACATTCCACTCCAGCTCCTCCCCCTCCCTAGAAGCTCACACCAAACTCATAAACTGGGTCCGCAGCCACGGCGGTTCTATCTCCGACAGCGTGCAAATCTCCCAAGACTCCACTCGGGGCGTGCACCTCCAAGTGAAAGCCGACTGGCCGGAACCAATCCCCAGAGAAACACGGGTAATCAACGCACCGGTGGGGATAACGCTATCCTATTTTAATGCCATCGACCACCGCCACCAATCATCCTCCAATGGAGTATCGTTTTCCAGCCACGGCGTGGTCTTCCCGCGTGCATTCATTGACGCCGTCGGGCCCGAGGAAACCACGACCTTTTTCCTAATGGGCCAGTTCCTGCGCGGCGAAAGCAGTTTCTGGTTTCCGTATCTGCGCACGCTTCCCCAGCCGGGCCAGTTGACTACGCCGCTGTTTTTTGGGGAGGAGGATGTGGATTGGATTCAGGGGACGGGGATCCCGGATGCGAGTGTACAGCGGTTTCGGCTTTGGGAGGGGCGGTTTGATGAGTCTATTGCGAAGCTTGAGGAAGTAGAGTTTGAAGATGTCGACTCTTATACTTGGTGAGAATATCCCGGTTTGGTTTGTATCTGGGATCGAAGTCTGACTGGTTGGTATCTAGGGAGCTCTATCTCTGGGCTTCGACGATTATTTCCTCTCGAGCTTTCTCGTCGAAGGTTCTATCTGGTGCGGTCCCGGATGGGGATCTCTGCGATGGGGATGGGGTGTCTGTTCTGCTGCCTCTGGTTGATCTGCCGAATCATCGACCACTGGCCAAGGTTGAGTGGCGGGCCGGTGAGAAAGACGTTGGGCTATTGGTTCTGGAAGAGATTGCTCCCGGACAGGAGATTTCCAACAACTACGGTCCCCGGAATAACGAGCAATGTATGTTGGTTGCCACGGTTGTCCAGACACTAAACTAATATATTGGCAGTGCTGATGAACTACGGCTTCTGCCTCGTCAATAACCCGACCGACTACCGGATCGTCAAACTGGGGGTGCTGGTGAGCAGCCCGCTCATGGCAGCCAAAGACCGACAGCGGCAGCTGTATCCCGAGCAGGCCACAAAAACCGAGGACCCGTACTATATCTTCAGCATCCTCTACCCGCTCCTAGCCCGCGATACACCGATGGAGCACACAATCGTCTCCCCAGCCCTGTTCAACGCACTCGCCGTGATGGAGGGTAATCCGCGCGAGCAAGATATGATCGAGATCACCGAGTCTGGGATTCGTATCCCGCCTGCTTACGGAAATGGACACAGCACTCTTGCAGCATTGAGTCAGATCAGCTTCGAGCTGATTGCGCATATTGGGTTGCTGCAGGACAGCGCGGAAGGACTCCCAGTACAACCAGCCAATCTGAATCAGATGCATACGCAGATTTACCGCAATGGTCAGATTGCACTCGATCAAGCTGCCCTCATCATCATCTCGTGGACTCTCACCCGAGCAAGGGAGCAACAGCGAGGCGAGACCTGGGACGATATCAAGACCATGCTGAACGAGCACATGGCCCGTATACCCGCCGACCTCCTGTCCGAGGAAATCCTATCGCGCATCCGGGTCCGCATCCTCGAGCGCGAGTCCATCGTGCCCAAGAACGGAGTTCTTTTCCGACTCACCGAGCTATTTACTCTCCTCCCGACGGAGATGCAAGGTCCCGGCCAAAAACACTTTGACCACGTCTTCGACCGCGCAGTACAGGTCATTCCTGTCGTGCGCAGCGTGCCGAACTTGCTTTTCGGGACGCTGCTTTGCTTGCTGGTTGCCACGTACCGCTCACAGGTCCCACTGCCAGCGCGCCTGACTCGATGGTTGGAGTTTCTTTTCGAGGCATATCCCCCACCATCCGTGGCTGGTCCTGATCCTGCCGAGGATGAACAGATGGATACGCTCCTTGCGGCGTTTGATGAGTTTGTGAAAGTCGAGAACGCCCAACCATGGGCTGCTGATGATGGAGTTACATGGTTGGTCAATGATAGTGGGTGGTTGGATGTGAACTGGCTGCGGTGGGCATGGTGGGTTGTTGAAGCAGAGACAGTGCTGGTGCCGCCGGAGCCATTGCAAATACTGGGTGGTGGACCAGTGCAGATGCTGAGACAGGCGTGCTTGTATGTACCTTAGCTATGTATTATGTCATCGCCAGTACCTCCTGCTGGTTGGAATGAAGGATCATGACTCAGCAACATCACATGACTCCTCCCGTCCAATCACAGCTCACGTAATCCGCAACCGCAGGAATTGCCCAGCAAGCCGTCGTCCTTTCCCTCTCCATGACCCCGTTGGATTCCCACGCATTGCCCTCCTTCCTCCCCGTCAATCCGTCATCATGATATCTCGAGCGGCGGCTCCCTCCCCTTCCTCCCTCTCACACCTGTCTTCCCGCTCCCTCCGCGCCCAGGGGGCGGCCGCCCGCTCTTTCGCATCCGTGCAGGAGGCACCTCCCGTGCGGCACTATGGCGGGCTCCAGGACAAGGATCGGATCTTCACAAACCTCTACAATCACCATGGGGCAGACCTCAAGTCGGCAATGAAGTATGGTGATTGGCACCGGACCAAGGATATCATTCTCAAGGGCGATGATTGGGTGAGTGTCCCTCCCATTGTGGTTAGGATGTCCAAAAAAGGTCGCAATTGCTAATTTGATGGTGTGAATAGCTCATCTCCGAGCTGAAGGCTTCAGGTCTCCGTGGCCGCGGTGGTGCTGGTTTCCCCTCGGGATTGAAATACGTAAGTGGGATGGGAGAGAGTCGGACAACAATAGCGGATGGAGCTGACCAGTGGTTTCTTCGCACCCAATTAGTCGTTCATGAACTTCAAGGATTGGCAAAAGGACCCCCGACCGCGGTATCTGGTCGTCAATGCAGACGAGGGTGAGCCCGGAACTTGCAAGGACCGAGAGATCATGCGCAAGGACCCCCAGAAGCTGATCGAGGGCTGTCTGGTGGTGGGCCGGGCCATGAACGCCAACGCCGCCTACATCTACATCCGCGGCGAGTTCTACCACGAGGCCACCGTCCTCCAGCAAGCCATCAACGAGGCGTACCAGGCCGGGTACATCGGCAAGAACGCTTGCGGCACCGGATACGATTTCGACGTCTACATCCACCGGGGAATGGGCGCCTACGTCTGCGGTGAGGAGACATCATTGATCGAGTCGCTCGAGGGCAAGGCCGGCAAGCCGCGCCTGAAGCCGCCCTTCCCCGCTGCCGTTGGTCTGTTCGGCTGCCCCAGCACCGTGACCAACGTCGAGACCGTGGCCGTGACGCCCACCATCATGCGCCGCGGTGCCAACTGGTTCTCCTCATTTGGTCGCGAGCGTAACGCTGGCACCAAGCTGTTCTGTATCTCGGGCCACGTCAACAACCCCGTCACGGTGGAGGAGGAGATGTCCATTTCACTTCGCGAGCTGATCGAGAAGCACTGTGGAGGTGTGCGGGGCGGCTGGGATAATTTGTACGCCGTTATTCCCGGCGGCTCGTCCACGCCCGTGCTCCCCAAGTCTGTGGCCGACGACCAACTCATGGACTTTGACGCCCTCAAAGACTCACAGTCCGGTCTGGGCACTGCCGCTGTCATCGTCATGGACAAGTCCACCGACATTATCCGCGCCATTTCCCGTCTGTCGACCTTCTACAAGCACGAGAGTTGCGGCCAGTGCACCCCCTGTCGCGAGGGCAGCAAGTGGACCATGCAGATGATGCAGCGTCTGGAGAAGGGTAACGCCCGCGAGCGTGAGATCGATATGTTGCAGGAGCTCACCAAGCAGGTCGAGGGCCACACCATCTGCGCTCTCGGCGAGGCCTTTGCCTGGCCCATCCAGGGTCTGATCCGTCACTTCCGGCCGGAGTTGGAGGCCCGCATTCGCCAGTACGAGAAGGAACTCGGTGGTACTCCCTACGCCGGTGGCTGGAACCCGGAGAGCCGTGCAGAGGGCAAGCTGATCTCCCCCGGCATGTAAACGGTTTCCCAGCAAACAGCGTTTGTTCTAAAAAGCGAACCGGGACAGGGTCCAACCAGTCGGCTTCCTCTCAAAACTAGATGGACGCCCTTTATTCTAGTCTTGGGGGCTTTAGCGGTTCTTACATCTTTTTGTTTCTTCTCCTCCTCTTGACCCTAACCCCTCCTGTTTCCTATGTCTCTTCTAAATTTCCTTGTCTCCATGTACAGTTGTCGGTAGCAAATTTCATGCAATTCATGTTTTCGCCGTGGTTCAATTATACGGTAGTGTCTTTCTGGCTGGATGCAATAAACATTAACCTTTGTGCTCGAGGTTCTATGAAATTAAGCGCATCAAAAACACTGAGGCTTGCCTCCCTGAGTTGAATCGGCGGAACGAATGCTCGCCTTACCTCTCATTCTCCTCTACAGGCCTGATCTCCATGCGAACAGCACCCCTATCCATCACCAGAGCATCCTTCCTCTCATCACAATGCACTCTTATCCTCCGGTACTTCCTACACTTGCACAATCCCATCCCTCTGATTCTTCTTCGTCTCAATCCTAACCAGCCTCTCCTCCCGCCACTGCATCCCACGCGCATTCTCTAACCAAAGCAGCACCAAAGCCGCTGCCATCAACAGCCCCAAAAACCCAAAACACCACCCCCAGCCCATCCCCACCAACATCTGGTCAATCACCGCCGCACCGACAGCTCCAAGCCAGCACCGCACCAGATTGCATGCTGCCGCCGCCGTAGATGCCCTGTCCGAGAAGAGATCCACCAGCAACGTGTTGAGCGTATTCAGCGCAGAAATGAAACACAGCCCAATGATGAACTGCAGAACCAGCAGTGCCGCTAATGGAGCTCGCTGCTCCAGCACCCAGCCGTATGGCAAGAAGGCCGCAATCCCGAGTGCCATCAGCGGGAAGACGGTTTGCAGCCGCGTGCGCTCAATCGGGAATGCGCGTAGGTCGTCGCCTTTTTTCCGGTCTACTGCGAAGTTGAGCTTGCGCGCTACCCGGCGGTAGTTGTAATCGACTAGCTTGCCGTTTAGGATGGCGCCGATGCAGGCGCTGATTCCTAAGGGGCTGGAGGATTCGCAAGTTTGTTAAAGGCCTTGTGTGGGTTGGTGAGGATTGGGAGTACTTACATGAAGCATAGGCCGATCTGCAGCTCGTTGAATCCATATAATCTGCCGAACAAGTTCGGTACAGATGTTAATAGTGCAATGTTGGAGAACATGACTAGCCCAATGTACCAGATGATGATGATGGCATCTTTCTCCAGCAGGATGGCGAATGAGTTCATTGGGTTCGGGAACGAGATTCGAGTGGACCGGTTATGCTGCTGCGCGTCGGAGCCCTGGGTTTCAACTCGCTCTTCATCGCCCTTGTCATCACCGTTCTCGTTTTGTCGTCGCGCAGCCCAGTACTGAAGCAACGACATGCGCCACCACTCTCGCGGCAGAACGCTGCCATTCCCAACAATCTTGCGCGCGGTCTCTGGCATGGTCACTATAAAGAGAACCAGATACCCTCCGCTGATGATAACCAGGAACCAGAAGACACTGCGCCACCCCAAAAATTTCGCCAGCAGCCCACCGATCACAGGCCCCAGTGCAGGAGCAACCATAACCCCTGCCGCCATGGGACCAATGTATTTGCCGCGCTCAGCAGGAGTGGCAATGTCAGCGATAACGCCATATCCGAAGGACACAGTCCCGCTACTGCCGGCGCTCTGCACACAGCGCAGCACCAGCAGCGCCGCGAAGCTATTCTGCAGCGCGAGCCCGATGTTCGCCGCCGTATACACAGTGAACGCGAGGATATATGCCGGGCGCCGCCCGCCGGAGTCGGAAAACGTGCCTATGAAACTGGGCGCCAGGCCCTGCAAGATCATGTACGTCGTGATGGTGAGGTTAACCAGTGCAGTGGTAAGGTCGTAGTTTTCTACCAGCGTCGGCATCACCGGATAGTAGATCTGTCCTGATAGCGGGGAAAAGAATGAGGCCAGTGTGACCATCAACACTATGAAACGCTTTTCGTGCTTGCTGAAGGCTGAGTGTGGCTGTTCTTCTGGTTCTCTTGCTGTTGTTGGGGTAGCCTCCTTTTGTGCTTCTGGTGCTGATGGGTCTGAGTCTCCGCATGCTGCTGCTTCCGTCGGTTCGTCCATCACGATTATGGGTTTATCGTTTATATGGGTGATTATGTCTGTCGTCTCGGCACTTTGTTGTTTCTTTTCAGCATGTTCGTCCTCGCTGCATCGGGTTACACTCTCCACTAGGCCATCCGGCTTGACTTCTGGGTCTTGTGCTTGGCTCATCTTGTTTGAACCAGAGCAGCAGGTAGACAAGATAGATGATAATATTCAGTTGAGAACCAGATCAGTCTTGCCCTGAGACTCTAGACAGAGACGGCAGTCGATCTGGTGACTGTATTTTGCAGCGCCGACAATTATCGAGAACGAACGTCACAAGCAAGCACCGTCCCGCCGTTGAGAAATCAGGCAGAGACCAAAAAAAAAGAAGAAGAAACCCGTCAGCCAAGCCCGATGCCAGACAGCTAGTATCCCTCTCGTCCGGCCTCTTAATCCGGGCCTAGTCGGACAAAAACCCCGTGGGGTGCCGTGCGTTCGTGCGCAGATTACTGCCTGTATTCAAATTCCAGTGCTGAACCACACTCTATCTTTCGGACAGATGGATCAGACGAGTTTGTGAAACCACGGCTTCACCTTCGCCCCTGAAAACGAGAAGTCCTAAGAGAAAGAAAAGCTGGGGAAGAGAAAAACTAGACCAGTCTGTGCACTGGGTTGGACGACACGGGATTGCGATGGTTCTTCGTGTGTTCTAACTTCTGTTCCTGTCGGACGAACCAGGGGCGAATACAACGCTATGTACCAGGTTTGAAGTGAAGCTCGTCGAGAACAAACATGCGAGCTTTTCTCTTTAAATTGTTGCCAATAATGAATAAGAAAGCGATTTTTTTGTAGGTGTGAAGATGATTGAAGCCCCGCGCTTTACTTGATGCTCGACCCAATCATCGCATCCCGGGGCCGGGTTGGCGGCCGCTACCGGCATTATGTGTAGATACGGTCTGGTTGGCTGTTATATATGATGTGAAAGTCTATGAAAAGGAGTAGAAAGTAATAACAATTAGAATGGTACTGAGAGAGAGACCGGAAGGCAAAGCATTCGTTTTCAATATGGCTTGGAGAACGGAGCGGGTGTACCGTCACTGCCAAGAATGATCATTATGCTGAAGAATAGGTCCCACCTGAACTATCCATATTAGAAAAGGCAAAAGAAATTGCAGCAAGACCAGATCCTTGACTCGAATGTTGTGTGGTGTCTGCTTTCAGGATGCTCCACGATCAACTTCGACTAATTAACTACAAGCACCGCCCGCAGTCAGAGAGCGAAATGATTTGATTTCGTTTAGAAATGTAATTGTACTTTGATGCAGAATAATGAGCGACCTTAACCTAAGGTTGTACCCATCCTTGGCTCTGTATCCAGCTCAGCATAATCTGTCCTCGTCGCGCACAGACTCATTTTCCGGAGATCATTTTGCAAACTGAAGCGGCTTACCGGCCTAGCGTAGATGAGACTAAGACTCGAGGCGCCGAAGTGGGTTTGGAGCAGCACCTGCAGATGTTTTTCTTTTAAACGAAACTCGCTGTGATTCGCTTTTACTGTGTAGACCGAATGGGATTGAGGCGCTTGATGAGATCTACATGTAGTTAGATAAATGACTTGGTTAATCAGAGGCACCTGCTTTATCATATGTGCCTTTGATGGCTTTTTATGATTCGCCACCTATCTTGTAGGTATTATTGTTGGCTGAGGCACAGAACATTTCCAGATTTCGGAAAGACTGCAGATGATGCGCGTCTAACGTTGCAAGCGTTGGATCCTAGCAATGTAATCAAACCCCATGTAGCCAGATAACGATGTCATCGCCATTTCATCCCAACGTCATATAGTAATTGGAAGTTGAATCTAGAGGCTCTAGGCAGCCCAGTAGTTGATAGGGACCCCATTTTTATATTCATTCGAGAAGAACGGGAAAACTCCAAAATAATCTCTGAGCTTCCACAGTGACCGATCATAAGTAAGGCTCGCTTTCTGGGGCCCGAATTATGGTGTGCTGTTGTTTTCTTTTTATTCGTGATTATTGGTAAACAAATTGTGCTATTTGTTGGATATTTTGGGGCCAATAATAGACGAATGCATCATGACTAACTCTGCACAAACCTACACCGAAAGCTGAGCCGCGGCTCCACCGGGGCTCAGTCCAATGGCGGCTAGATCCGCAGTAGCAAGCTATAGGCTGGACGCTTGGTAACATAAGCTCTTTTTGGCAACCCCACCAGGTTGGGACCCTTGGATGCATTCGGTGGCCCCAGAGGTGGTTGGTTGGATCCGTGGATATCCGAGCGATGACTTGCTTGATACGAGGCTAAAAAGCTACGGGTCGCCCACAAATTTTTTTCTCTCATCGCTGCTGCCGGTCATCTATTACATACTCTACTTTATCTCTTTCTGCTATTCAACACCTTAAAATGGCCAAAGTTGGCAATTTAGCCCTCGATGGGGAGGACCCCCGTCTCCACCACGAAAAGGAGCACGCACAAACGATCGTCGTCCCTCCCGAGTACAGCTCAGACGCGATTCGCCCGCAGCATCGCAAACTGCATGACACCAGCGTGACATTCGAAGAATATATCTACTATGCTAGACGAACCCGCGCCGAGGAGGATAACCAGCCCAAGGCAGAAAAGGAATCTGGGATTTTATCGATCATCTTCCCTCCTAAATCGGACGGAGGCGTGAAACAAGAAACGGAGCATGTGTCGCGAGATGCCACTGCCATTAATACTAGTGATCCGTCGAATCGCATGACCATCACTGACGAGGAGTGGGCTAACGCATCCCGGGCGCTTCGCACCGCCACCCGAGGTGCGATCTTCTATCTGATCACTACCGATATTCTGGGACCGTTTGGCTTACCTTATGCGTTTGCTACCATGGGCTGGGGGTAAGTCTGCGTTCCTTGGGGATGAGAAAATAGGTGCTAATACAAGCTGTTAAGACCCGGTGTGGCTCTTTACACGGTTTTCGCCGGCCTCGCTGGTTACTCTGGATGGCTTCTCTGGGAGACCTTCCTCGGTCTGGACTCTTACCAATTTCCGTTGCATAGTTTCGGAGACCTTGCTTTCCGCTTGTACGGACGTCCGCTACGATACCTGTTCAACGTCCTACAGAGCATCCAGCTGATCCTTAATGTCGGTCTGATTGTTATTTCCAACGGAGAGGCTCTGTCCCAAGCGACGCAATTCAAGCTCTGCTTTATTATCTGCTGTCTGATCTGGGCCTTAGTGGGATTCTTCCTCGGCCAGATCCGTACTCTCCAGAAATTCGGATGGCTGGCTAATGCAGCTGTCTGGTTCAACCTTATTTGCATGTTCATCACGATGGGCGGAGCCGCTCACTCGCCCCCAAACTATGCCGGCTCCAGCCAGTCTGCCGGCGCTAGCATCGGTGACGGCTCCTCCGTTAAGCCAGTTCACGGTGTTTACCCGCCTGTGATGACCACTGGCGGGCTTCCCGATGCCAGTGATTTTGCCGCCAGTGTCAGTGGTGCCATGCAGGCTATCTTTGCCTACGGTGGTGCAATGGTTTTCCCCGAATTTATGGCCGAGATGAAGCGCCCTAAGGATTTCCTGACTGGCATGTGGGCGGCACAGGCCTTCATTTACTTCTGCTACATGCTCTACGGCCTGTTCATATATGGGTATCAGGGCCAGTACACGATTAACCCGACCTACCTTGGAATTAGCAAATATAGCATCCAGACAGCTGGCAATGTCTTTGCAATGCTTAGCGCATTGATTGCAGCGGGTCTGTATGGCAACATTGGTCTAAAAGGTAAGCCCTCCATGGAAAGATTTCATCGAAGCTTGACTAAATGTTTTTCTCAGTCCTCTATAACAACGTCATGGTCGAAATCTTCCGTTGCCCTCCCCTCACAACCACACGTGGCAAATGGATGTGGTTTGCCTTGATCCCAGTTTACTGGGCCATTGCCTTCATTATCGCTGCCGGCATTCCCAACTTCTCCGGACTAACCTCCGTGGTATCCGCGTTCTGTATCCTGCACTTCACCTACACTTTCCCACCTTTGCTCGCAACTATGTTCTGGATTAAGGAAGCCGCAATGGGAGATGGAGAAGGGTTTGATCCTGTGACGGGCAAAACGGTGCGACATGACAGCGGTGTCAGACGTTTCATCCGTGGCTTCTTGGCCCAGAGCCCCAAGCGGATGATCTTCAGCGTCTGGAACGTGTTCTACTTCCTTGGTGCCTTGGCTCTCGCAGGCCTTGGTGCTTATTCCGCTATCACCAGTCTGATGTCGGCGTACGAGAAGAGTGTGACGACCTCATTTACGTGCACCAGCCCATTGGATGGGTGAGTGGTTTTGGTGGCACATACAATATATATGTCGGGAAGCTATGTATATGTGATTATGGGGCGGTTCAAGCATTCGTGCATGTGTATTTTTGACACAGTTGTATTTAGTTTTTGGTAGCTGCAACAAAAGTCATAGTGCTGGAATGTACAACTTTATGATTCACTTTGACATCGGCGGATCTAATAATTATATGCAGTATGTCCTCCTTGATTCCAGCTACTCCATTTTGGCGGATCACACTAGGCCTGTCCGTCTTGCCGACCAGTGCATCCATCGTCCTAGAGCAGGTATTCAAAGGGCTTGAGATTGCAATGCGTAATGCTATCAAAGGATCATTGCCTCACAAATTTCATTTGTGTATGTATCTATGGATGAGTAGGCGGCGCAGTGCAGGCACCTGCCCCCTTTCCCGCCACAAAGATAAGGAGAGGTGCCAGCATCAGCCCAACGAGCGTCTAAAGAGTATCACTGAAACAGCAACACTCTAGACAGTCTGATGATGGACATGTCATGCGATTATAACAGCTCCCTTCTCTTTCTTCCTCGCTCCAGCGCATACTCCCTAAGCAGCCAGGTTAAGGGCAGAACCGCAGAAGACCCTAACACGGCACCAATAACGAGAAGGAAGAGGTAGTTCTTAAGCATCCGAATTCCAGGAGCTTGGACTCTTTGAAGGTCCCAAATAGTGAAGGCACACCAGATGAAAATACAAGGCGCCAAAGGATCATGTGGTGTGAAAAGGCCAAAGATATCCGAAGGAGTAATGCTGTCACCACGGATGATCGCGAGGGCGTGAAACAGAGATACAGCACCGGAAAGAAAGGCCAGTAGTAACAGAGTCCACGAGATATATTCAATATCGGTCCTTGTCTTTTCCGTAGAATCTTCAGGTTGAGATGATGACGGAGGTGCGAGCTTTGAAACCCCAAAGACCATTGCCGGATAGCATAACAGTGCCGTCTCCCAAACATAAGCCGTGTCACCGAGAGAGATTTTGCCATCGAGTAACCGAGACAACAAAACCGTTGGCGGAATTATGGCAGCCAGTACAAGCGTCCAGAAGCATGCCCGGGCTGTTAGTATTGAGATCGCTCTCGGGATCGGGTAATAGAACGATCGTTTCTGGCTGATGAACGCATAGACTGACATGTACAGCGCTCCAATGACCTCATAGCCAAACAGATGAGCCATGACTGTCCATAGAATAGCACTATAAACGAAGAGTTAGACTTGTGATTAGATGAGTCGATATTACTTACCTGATAAGGGGAGTCATCACCGCACCCACCCGATACGATTCAATGGTCCATACTACTGTGAGAGCCAGTCTCAAGACTCTAGAACGGACCTGTGTATCTTCATGCAATAGAGGACCCACCGACGATGTGTTCGATACCGTATCCAATGGCGAAACAATCCAGGAGACGATCATGGCGCAAGCAAGTAAGAATATGAACAGCAGCGTTTGACCAGGTGCGCGTTGAAGTGGCTTCAATCGTACTTCGTCATCATATCCCCATCTTTTCTGTCTCATGGGTACCGGAAGAGCCTTCAATCGCGGCGCGGGACTGAAATGTGAGGCTACCTGATCCATTATAAATTCGGCGGAGAGTCTTGGGGAGACCACTAGTTGAATAAATCGAAGCACCCTGTTTTCAAGGATATGCATTTGTTGCATTTGGCGTGCTTCATTATAACTCTCTTCAGCTCGGTCTCTACGACCGTTTTGAAATTGCTGGAAGGCTTCACTGATAGATGCATCGCTGGGACTAGGTTCTTCTTGCAAAGTTTCCGCAAGGATATTTGTTAGCGCAACGGCGCTCTCAATTGCATGACTCCCGCCAACGCCGGCCACCGGATGCATCTGGACAGTGTCAGGATCTATCAAACGAGCCGTCGATACTGAAATGGGTGTGCATCCCCATATGCGCGGACTTACTTTGTGAGCAGTATCTCCCAAAAGAACGATTCGTCCACCAAACCACTGTTTCAACACACCCTCCTCAAGCGTTAGCATGATGGAACGCGTCTTGCGTTTGTAGAAATCTCCGAGCGTCACTCCTTCAGCGACTTGGTCGTTAAAATATGTCTTTACTAGCTTCTGCTCATCTTCTACCGTGTACCGTCGGCCGTCTGGTCCGGGTATGGGCTTATCATTTGGCACAAAGAGGACCCAATAAGAGGTTCCGTTCAGACCTGGAGCCACAAGATATGAGCGGCCGGAGTTGACCGTTATGTAGAAAGTATTCTGACGCACGCGCCGGATGTCTGGAGAGACGCCAAATACGCAGCTGTAGGTGCTGGATATAGCTGTCCATGACGTAGTTAGTTATGGCTGGCTTTATAATCTCGATGAAAGCCATGTCTTACATTTTCCATCTTCTTCGCCCAGAAGATCTGATTTCTGTTCTTGTGCGATCCGCCACATCTCTCGTCTGACCATGCTGCGGACCCCATCCGCACCCACGACAATGCTTCCAGTCCAGACAGAACCATCTTCAGTAAGTACACTCACCCCAGATTCCGTCGGCTCGACTCTTGTTACACGTTTGTTCGGATAAATCTTTGATTTATCGTTCAGATTGCCATACAAGGAACGGATGAGATCGCTACGCGCGATCGAGGTGAGACGATATCCTAGCCTGGTCTCTTCATTAAGCTATGCACTCTCCATAGACGGGAGTCAAATCTAGGAAATTTCACGAAGACTGACCTCGCCATTTGATCATTTCCGTGATTCTCAAGATCAAGGAGCACATTCCCAGTTGGACCGCAGCCGCGCAAGGACTCAACCTCGACGGCACGTTCCATCACTGCATCGTAACAGCCTAGCTGATCTAATATCCGCATGCCGTTGGGCTGCATCGCCAAAACAAAACCTAGGTCTGGACCTATAATCGGCGATGATTCGAGTAACTCATAGTCGATCGCATGTTGTTCGAGCATATTGGCCAGGGAGAGGCCCGATACGCTGCCCCCCACGATAAGGACTTTGAATGGAGCCATCGGGTCTTGAAAATGGCCGTCTGAGGACGTTAGTATCCTCTCAGTCTCTGATGGATGACTTCAACCGCGCGAAATGCTACTCTGAAGTCAGAACGAACTTTAGGACTCAGGACAGTTCGCAGAACAGCCCCGAAAAGGCAGAAGGTGGGTCCGGGTCAAGAGGAGGAGGGCCACAATTCTCAATTCTCAAGCCGTGTTCGGAGTTCATATAATAGCTAACCACGTTTCGCCAGCCGCGCTCTTTATATGTCAGAGGAAATGATCAGGCGCCCATATTTACTGACGGGGCTGAACTTCGCCTGCAGATCAATGGGGGCCAAAATACCCGACCAGAAGTTGATGTAAAGGGCCCAGAGTTCTGGTAAGGATCACGTACAAGCACGTGGCTTTCCATCTGTTTACGCCGCGTTTTCTTCAAGCTTTTGGTAAAACTACATGTGGCCTAGTTAGATTTAACCAAGTCTGGCTTTAGCCCTTCACATCCATATCGTACTACTGCCTCTCTATTAGTAACGGTCATCTAGTGCAATTTATTTTTAGGCACAATAGGGGGTAGCACTAGCAAAAAGGGGCCGGATATAAACCGTTTTGTTCTCTGTTTATAAAAGACACCCCCGAAATTTGCGTCCAAGAAATGTAGAGCTTAGACTCGGCGCCCGCCATGAACCTCCTCAAGAGCAAGTTGCCAAACACGAGATGGCCTTTTTTCATAATGATTAGTTTTACCTTGTGTATCGTACTTGTGAAGATCTGAAGGCACAAGCCGGATTACGTGATCCTGTTTGTCGTTCTTTGTTGCTCTTCTGTATTTAGTTTGTCTGTTTCCTTTTCCCTTCTGTTTCTTCTTCTTCTTCTTCTTTTCTCTAGTTTGAAGATTTTCGTCGAATGTCACTTCTTCCTTTTTGTTGAAACTGGACCCTCACAGTACTAATCAGTTTTTCTCGGCATTCGACGACCTTCGCGATTTACCGAGAGCACGAGGATTTTGCTCATCCTAACGACGACTACGTCCAGCCTACTTCGAGTCTAAACTCAAGTGTCACTCCGACTGCCACCCCAAGTCCGGCTATAACGAAACCCTCAAGGACCCGCTATGCTGTCGCCATATTTATTGGCTCGAAATTTTATTTAAAGGAAGGTGCTGAGGAGGACGACGACCATGTGTTCTATGTGGGAGCTCGGACTTTGGTTTATCAGCTGCTCCATGCAAAGCGTACAAAATTCAGTAGTCCAGTTTCTGTTGTGGTTCTGGTCAACAAGGCGGTGCGCGAAAGCAAGCGTCAGCGACTACGGGATGACGGTGCGATAGTAATCGAGGTTGAGGATGTTGAACACTCCGTCGAAATTGTAGTCGACCGTTATGCTGAAGTGTTCAACAAGTTACGAGTCTTCGATCCTAGCATTATGCCATTTGAAAAGGGTTGCCTTGCTCGATGCGGATATGGTCATCACTCGGCCACTCGACGCAATCTTTGAGGACCCTGCTTCTCAGCGCGTCCTAGTCAATAAGAACGCGACACTTCCACTTGACCCCAACTTGCCTCCGATTCCTAATAGCTATGTTCTAGCTTCGACGCCCGACATTGCTTATAGGCCATTTGGCTTTCCTCCTAACCTAGCCGCTGAGGACAAACGCGACTATTTTAGTGCTGGCGTTATCGTGCTCTCACCTTCGACAGAACTCTACAAACTTTAGCTTGCCGTCCTCGACCGTAAGGACTTGTTCGATGGTTTTTGGCCTGAACAAAATCTCCTTAACTACGTCTACAACCGGGATGGCCCGATGCCCTGGGGAAGTCTTGATCTTTTTTGGCATCTTCCAGGGCCTACCGCAGCTGATTTTAATGCTGGCATGGCTATTCTTCACTGCAAGTTTTGGAAACCAGCTTCGGATCCGTGTCAGCAGAGTGCGGTTTCTCGAAGGTGGGAAATGCAAGGATACTGGAGCGGTAGGGAGGAAAATTCGGAAGAAACATCGAAGGATAGATCGGAGGGAGGGTCGGGAGACTTGAGGAAAGTCTAGTGCGGGCCACAATACCCTTTCCTTGTAAATGTACATAAATAATCTCCTAATTACTGAGGCCTCAGCATATAAATTAGTTAACGATTTTTTTTCTTTTTGAAACGTAGTTACGAAACATGTCTTGGTGATATTAGACCTCAGGGACCAAAAAGATTTCAAGGATCCCATTACTTCCGCAATATCGGATCAATTCCGCCCTTTCTTCATAAAGAAATCCGATGGCTTGTGTATACACTATGATCCTTGCGGGTAGTCATACGTCGTATAATAAGGCCCAAAACCCACAGGAAGATTCCATCAAAATCTAATGCCGATAGGACCAAAATATGTGAAACCGCTTTCCTTGACCATCGTGCCCAGGATTTGGGGCCATTACTTCGCTGCCATTTCCTCAAGACCCAGTACGCGATGCCGCGATATAGAGAGGCAGAGGGCCAAGGAGCGAAGTGGGATGAGGCTGAAGAGGGAGAGGAAGGAGGGAAGGGGGGATAAAATATAGAAGGCAGACAGACAGACAAATAAACAGAAAACAAAGGCCATACGGGGGCCTGCTTCAACCATAAGGGAAGTTCAGCCTAGTACTACGATATATACTATTACACTGAGAAGAATGATCACTTAATTGAATATATTTTCGAAGCTACATAAGTTATCATCGCCGCTGCCACTTTACTACTTGACTACCTCAGTGTCGTTGACTACGGAAATTTCAAGACAAACCCATAACAAAGACACATGAAGTTCGCAGTAGATCAGCTAGAATACAGAGGAACAGCCATTGGGGAATGATGAAACACAGGAAAGAAGAAAAAGGAAAGAGCAGCAAAAAAGGCCAACAATCATCAAGCTCATCCTCCACGCTAACGGATCACAACATGAGTTGACCAATCAAGGAAGTAAAATAAGAAGCATGTGCCAGTGAAAAGCAAGCAACGCTGCAAATTGCTCCACCTCTAGTAACTCGATCAGCATCACCGTCAGCCCCCATCCATTCATTGAAGCATTCAACATTCAGCCTAATGGCCACCCGCCATAATAACCCCATAGTACCGCCGACTCATCTCAGCGGTCTGAATAATCCTCGCATCTCCCGTGAGAGGCAGACCTAGGACAGCAGAAGACTGGACAGACTGCACATCCTCATGGGCAATCCAGCCGGCAACGGCACGGCTCATCTCTTTAAAGGCAACGCGTTCCTCCAATCCCTCGACTCCAGAACCCTTAACACGGTCACCCATAGCGACGAGGGCGTTCACCAGACGACTGAGACGCGTAGCATCGCGACGACCGCTTCGAGAGGTGGTAAGGCGGAGGAAATCTTCGTACACACCTCCACCGGCAGCCCAGCCGCGCATCTTGCGCTCAGGCCCGTCGCCGAAGCCCGAGACCAATGTGTCGAGGGTTGCGTAGTCGCGCTCGATGATGGCAGTTGGGCCAACGATGCGGCAGAATGTGGCGTGGGCGTCGTTCCAGTGTCTGCCGCGGATCAGGCAATCGACTTCACGAGCGGCATTGCCGATGTCCCGCGCGTAAAGGGCCTTCGCGACCCAGATCCAGGGCTCGGGGAGTTGGAGGGTCGTTGTCAGAAGGTGCCAGGTGGGATCGGGGGAGCCATCGGCAGAGAGGGGGTCGGGGAGGTGTGCCGCGAAGCGGGCGAGGGTTTCTTGGACGGCGCGCTTGCGATCGTTGGATTGGGAGAGGTGGAGGAGGACGAAGAGTGCCGAGGCCAGTTCGCCGCCGGCGCTCAGCTCCGATGCATAGTCCCACACGAGGTGATCGGTTTGGATTTGATCAATGTTGATCGCGGGGTGATGTCCCACCACGGCGGTAAGAACATGGTGCAGCTGGAAGGAAAGCCGGTTGGTCAGGCGGTCGCCCGACACCGACTCCGGGAGGAGGGCGGCGGGGAGCTGGATAGGGGCAATGTGTGGGCGGGTTGCGTTGGTTGCCGAGTAGGTTTTGAGAAGCACCCAGAGCGGTGATTCGCAGCCAAGGGTATCAGAACCGGGCTGCAACATGACACGAGAACGGGCCCCATGCGACGGATAAGGGAAGGAAGACTCCTGTCCAGTGGCGAGGTCGGCAAGATACCTGGAGACGGCGGCCTCAATTGGTTCATCCTCCGTGATGCCATACCATAGACGAAGACCGAATGCCTGGAACCAATCCAGCTCGAAGCGCTCAGTGAAAGTGAAGGACGACGCTCGGTCCTCGAGCGCACCTCCGGACTTGCCCTCGCTGCGGAGCGCATTGCCCGCGACCAATTCGTACAGAGCACGAAGGGGCTCGCTCATCTCCGAGGAAACGTTGCTCTGGTGCCACACCTCGATCTGGTTCGCCATGTCGGCCCGCGTGGTAGCATCTCGGCCAATCTGTGCGACCACAGTTGCCAGGTGCAAGTTCTGGCTCTCCACGAGGGTCTTGCAAGCCTCCTCAACTCGGTGGGAGCAGAGCAGATGGACGGCGCGCTCTTCCGGAGAGCGGATGGACTCCAGGTCATGAGCGTGTTTCTCGCGAATGATCCCCTCCCACAGACGAGTCAATCGATCCTTCTTGATGCGGTGCGCGAACTTCGTTCGGAGCTGTGGTGGCACACCAGCGGAGATGTCGTCCTCGATATCATCATTGAAGAGGATGTTGGTAAGCTGCCAGATCAACCGCTCGTCGTCGGATTGGGCACGGCTCGACGGGGACTGAGTGAACTGGTGAAGGTCGACTTTGTCCAAACGAACCAGGGGCGCTCCGTCAATGTGATGAGTATGAGATTGCTCCTGTTGCACCTCAAGCATTTCCATCGACTGTTCCAGTTGCGTCTCAGTACTCCATCACCGAAATTATCAACATGGTAAAAGGAAAACTTACATTGCCTTCTTTGTTGTACGTCATGACCGCAACGTCCCTTCCCTCACTTACAACTGACAGGCGTTGAATCCAGCGCTCTTCCGCGCCGGACAGTACTTCCGAGAGGTCGCTCTTGGCGCAAACGATCGAGTCCATCGGGCCCCAGCGCGGCTTGAAGGAGTCATGAAAAGCCGCGTCGGACTGGCTCATTTGCTTCGTGTCGCCCGCAAAAGTCTTGGGTTGTTTGTTGTAAGGCCACTGCAAGGAAAGCAAAAGATGTTTTAGCTCGAATCTCAATTTGGGAAGCTATCTGTGTAGGGGATGAAAAGGGTGGATGTGCTAGATACATGAGAAGTGCAAGACAGGATATGACCAAAGCAATATGCATGAGGTGGATGTAAAACCAATGTGAATGTGCAGGAATTGTAAAAATAACAAGAGAGCAACAGGGGGCTCAAACCTCAATGCCTTTGGACTGCCGCCCAGAAGCCTTCAGTGGAGACGCAGTATGCTGCTTGCGCGGCTGCTGAAAAAGCGAATTCATCAAATCAATACTGTTCGAGAAGCCTTTCTTGGGCGAATCAGCCGACTTGGCGGCATCAGGTGACGCATCGTGAAGCAAAGTACGATCAGTGAACGCATTTGCCTGGATCTCACGAAGGGCGTCGCGGTTCTGCTTTCGGGGACTGATAGTGCGCTGCAACTGGTCGGCCCAATCACCACTGAGGTCAAGCCGGGGCTTGCCCGGGGTGCCAAAGGGCTTTGAAAGGGGCTGGGTGGATTCCAGGTCACCATCGGTGCTCTGAGAGTCATCCCGCTCCACGGTACGATGAGGATTGGGAAAGGAACCCGCCATGTCCATTTCCTCATCCTCATCAGATCCAACTACCGAATCGCCAGATTGCTGGCTTTCGGTGACGACGTCATCGTCGTGTTCAGTAGTTGAACCCGTGGAGCCGTCCTCTAAAAAAGACTCGGACTCGGCTTCCGAACCCATCTCCTGGTCATCAGCTTCCATTGCCTGGCTTCCGAACGAACCGGGGACGAGCTTGCGCTTCTTGAAGTCAAAGGTGTCGTCGTCGACACCGGCCATCGACCCGACGAACGACTCGTCGAGGGAGGAGAAGGTCGCGGAGTGGTCAAAGCTCGGGGGGTGACGGGCCTTCGGGGTGCCAGTGTCAGGAGGGCCAGCACTCAAGGTGCTCTGGTTGAGGCTCTGGCCTTCTTCTTCCTCGTCGTAGTCAAGCCCATAGGTGGTAAAATGGGGCACGGTGAAGACCCAGGTGCCGGTCTGCATCTCGTAGTCAATGAACTCGGTATCGGTCACTTTGCGCAGACGGTCGATGTGTTTGTCAAAAAGCGGGCCACTGGTGAGAGGTGAAGGCGACTTCCTGTCTCGGCCACGTGGCCAGGAGTTCTCGATCCGAAGGGTGGACGGTACATTAAGTGCCTTACCCATAGGAGGCTTGTTCCCGTCCTCAGGGTAAACAGTGATCTTGCGAACGCCAATGTCGACAGTCTTTCCGAAGATATTGTCCAGATCGACAATTGTCAGGTCGACAGGTTCATTGAAGGTGACCTGGCCGCAATTCTGACGACCGACGGTGAAGTCAACAACACGCTTGAGCTGGTCACGGCTCATCTTGTTGAGCTCGGCACGCGAAGGCTTCATCCAGTACTCGCCGGGTTTCGGGTCGCCACCAGGAGTGAAGGACAGACGCTTGATAGTAGCATCCGTGGCGGGAGTGGTAGGTTCACCATTCTCTGGAACCACGGCAAGATCACGGCGAACGGATTCCATTTCGGGGCGGTCGCCATGCGTAGCACCGTCAACGCCATTGAGGCTGCCGTTCTTACGGATTGAGCGAAGGAAACCAAGTTCCTCAGGGGTGGGCTCGGGGGTCGTGGATTCCACGTGGATAACCTCATTACCCGCAACGCTGGGAGAGGACGAGTCGAAGCTGACCTTCTTCTTCAGCTTGTCGGGCTGAGCGGCATCATCTCCGTTGGTAATCGGAGCAGGCGACAAGCTGGCGGGACGGGTGAACAGATCGCTACGCAGACTGCGGTCAATAGTGAGCCGCTTGAGGCTGCCGCTATTGCCGCGGGCGCTGCCGCCAGTCTGGAGGGCACCAGGGGACAGAACACTGTCGGAATCAGGATCGAAGGTCTTGCGAAGATTGCTGGTTGAGTAGCTCTTGCTGAAGCTTCGGCCAAAGCTGCCGTTAATACTGCCACGCATGCTGCTGCTACCGCCAAGGAGACTGCTACTGAGTCCGGATGGGGTGCTGGTGGTGCTGGAAGGAGAGCCATAGGTCGAGTAAGAGAATCCGTATCCCTGACGCTTGGGCGGCGTGATCAGACGGTTGGCAGCATTGGGGGTAATCTTATAGACAGGCAGTGGAGTTCGCTGCTTCTGCTTGATGCTGGAAGAGAGAGGTGTGGCCAGGGGACCGGGAGTGGGCGCACTTGGGGTGGGGAGACCGGAAAAGATAGACTGGCTGCCATAGGGATTGCCTTCCAGCAGAGATGCCTGTAAGCTTCCAGGGGCTGGTTGCTGCTGTTGCGCTTGCTGCGAGGCGCCGAACATACTACCTCCACCAAGGCCACCGGCCTGCTGTTGCTGAGTCTGGTTGCCACCAAAGAGGGAGGAACCTGCACCCTGGGAGGCGGTATTCTGCCCCCCGAAGAGGCCGCCGCCGGTGCTACCAGTCGATCCTCCAAAAAGGCCACCGGGCTTCTGCTGCTGTTGATTCTGAGAGCCGCCAAAAAGGCCACCGCCGGTCTGCTGGGCCTGAGTATTGCCGAAGCCCCCGAAGGCACCACCGCCAGCGGAACCGGTCGATCCCCCGAAGAGTCCGCCGGGCTTCTGTTGCTGCTGGTTTTGGGAAGCGCCGAACAGACCACCTCCAGTGCCAGCTTGCTGGGGTTGGGCACCACCACCAAAGAGTGATCCGGTCCCCTGCTGTGATTGCTGCTGAGGCTGGCTTCCTCCGAAGAGAGAAGACCCAGTTGCTGGTGCACCGGCACTAGCACCAAAGAGACCGCCAGAGCCCTGTTGCTGCTGGTTGCTTGCACCGAATCCACCACCACCGAACAGGCCCTTGTTCTGGGTCTGGGCTTGATTCTGCTGATTTTGACCAAACCCGCCGAATGCGCCCGTTCCAGTCTGCTGCTGCTGACCGCCGCCGAAGGCTGATGTCGTGGCAGGGGTTCCTCCAAATGGGTTCGCAGCGCTGGTTGTCTGTGTTCCGAATCCACCACCGCCAAAGCCAGTTCCTCCGCTACCACCAAAGGCCGGCTTGTTCTGCTGCTGGTTGCTGCCGAAGAGTCCGCCGGTGGTGCCGCCAGTGCCGCCAGTGCCACCGAAACCTGACGTAGCTCCGGGAGTGGTGCCAAAGCCGCCAGCGCCAGCGGTGCCGGTCGTGCTGCCAAAAAGGCTAGGTTGAGATGTCGCGTTTGTAGTTCCTGCACCGCCGAAAAGGGAGCCCTGAGGTTTGGCCGCCCCGAACAATGAATTGGAAGCGTTCGCGCCGAATCCACCGGTAGTCTGGGTCTGGCCACCGAAGGCGGGGGCGCTGGTAGCTGCTGCACCAAATGGCGTGGCGCTAGCACCAAAGCCAGTCGTGGGTTGTTGTTGCTGAGTACCAAAACCACCAGAGCCGCCGAAGGCAGAGGAGCCAAAGGCGCCAGCTTGGCCGCTGCCGTTACCGTAGCGGCGACCCTGCTGGTAGTCCGCCAGGCGAAGTTCCTCGAAAGAGAACTTATTGTAAGGCTGCATGAAACTGATGCTCTGGTAGTTATTCATCGTGTTGGAGCTGGTGTCCTTCTCTGAAAATGGGTTGAACGGAGTCCCGCCGGTGCCCTCGCATGTCGGCGTCGCACCTTGGAAGGCAGTCCCTGTTCCTGTGCCAGCGCCGAAACCAGTGCCAGTCGTACCGGTGTTGGACCCGAAGCCGCCGCCAGTGCCAAATCCTCCACCGGTACCGGGCGTGGTAGTGGCGCCAAAGCCTCCCGTTTTGTTGCCGAACATGCCTCCTGCTCCTCCCGTATTGGTATTTCCGCCAAAGCCGCCAGTGGAGCCGAAACCACCACCAGCACCGAAGGCGGTGTTTCCAGCCGTTTGATTCTGAGCGCCGCCAAAGAGGCTGGCGCCGCCCGTGTTGGCGGTATTGGTGGTGCCGAAACCGCCAGGACGGGTGTTTTGGCTGCCGAAAAGGGAGTTAGATTGATTTTGGGTGTTGGTTCCGAATCCTGGATGGAAAATAATGTTAGCATATTCCAGGAAAAGAACATCCAAAAGAAGGTTTAAAAAAGTCGAATTCGCAAGAAACAAGGTAAGGCTCTCTGGTGCAGATCGCTCAAGCTCCAAGGGTAATCGCAAATGTGGCCAATAGCTGTAATCCATCGTTCACAGAGGGCGCAGCGACTGCGATACGCGAAGGATCTAGACACGGGCGTGTAGAGAGCGAAGTCGATGTGGAACAACCAAGAGAACAACCCGCGGACGATTGAGAAGAGAGGGATCGCGGAGCTCCATAACTGAAGCACGTACCTCCGCCGGAGCCAAAGCCACTGGAAGTGTTGCCAAAAGCACTACTACCAGAAGTGCCACCAAAGGGGGAGGATGTCGATCCAAAGCCTAGAAGACAGGGGTATCGGTGTCAGAGAGAACTGGTTTTCTTCTGGTAGCTCAAACAGGCCAATGCTCTTTTTCGTTCCCTCTCTTGTCGCGGTGTTGTCGCTGAGCGTCGAGAAGATCCGCAGGATACGAGTGGTGAGGGTGGCGCCGCGCGCGAAGGAGTGTGGTTGGAGTCGAAAATATGTATTTTTTCCCCACCTCTTGCGCGTGCGGTCTTCGCCATCGTCGCGGGTCGACGTCAGGAGCACCGGGTTTTCTTGGTCTCGAGGCCGACAGGGGAGCAAGAACAAAGAAAATGCAAACAAAAAGACAATGCGAAATACAAAAGAGGCCATGCAGGAGAAACAAGGAATATGATAGACCTACCTCCTCCGGTATTGGAGCCTCCGAAGCCACCACCAGTGGTCCCGAAGCCGGAACCCTGCTGCTGGTTGTTCTGACCGAATCCTCCAAAGCCGAAAGACATGTTGTCTGGGGGGGTTGGAGTTGTCGAAGCTCACGACTTCATAGGTCGAGGGGTTGCGCGCAGGATGTGAGGATGGCTGAGGGCGAGAGGGGCGGCGTGGAAGAAAGAGAGCGCGTGGAGGAGGAAGAGGAAGAAGGAGAGAGAGACGCGACACAGAAAAGGGCTCAGGCTTGTTGGCCAGCGAAGCGGCTTATGTCAGCCACGGACTATTGTGGTCCGTCACGTGAATGAATGCTGCCTAACTAACCGGGAAATGAGACCATGTGGTGGTGCTTGTGGGTTGATTATGCACTACGACCCTATTGATGGAAGGTGAATGCACCGAATACACTATACAGAACCATATACTATTCACACCGCTGCTGAAACGGACAGAAGGGAATCTCAAGTACAGTATGGAGAACAACAACACGCAAGAAACTAAGTCAAACATCCACGGTGGCCATACACAGGAGTGGCAGGCCTTCATGTGCGTTACCAGCGTGATTGGCTTTTACAGGTCTTCCACCTCCAAAGTCTTCATAATCATCAAATTCATCATGACCCGGTTACGCCTGGCCGCGGTCGGCGTGCACGGTGGAGATGATCGTGTCGACCACCGAGGGGTCCGAGAGCTGCAATGACATGTCAATATTTCACGCACCACACTAAGGGGGAGGATACAGCACTTACCGTCGAGGTGTCACCAAGGCTATCCTCCTCACCACTCAGAATCTTCCGCAAGATACGACGCATGATCTTGCCACTGCGAGTCTTGGGAAGGTCATCGACGACGAAAACGGCCTTGGGCGCCGCGAAGGGCCCGATCGACTTGCGCACTTGCATCATCAGGTCCTTGCGCACCTGGTCGGTAGAGCCGTTGCCCTCCTTCAGAGCAACAAAGGCATTGACCGCTTGGCCAGTGAGTTCGTCGTTGATTCCGACCACAGCAGCCTCAGCCACCATGTGGTGCTCAAGCAGAGCAGCCTCAATCTCGGCAGTGGACAAGCGGTGGCCAGACACGTTGACCACGTCGTCGACACGGCCACGGATCCAATAGTAGCCCTCGTGATCGCGACCCGCGCCATCACCGGTGAAGTAGTATCCCTTGTACACGTTGAGGTACGTATCCATGTAGCGCTTGTGGGCGGCCCAGACGGTCCGAGCCATGCTGGGCCAGGGCTGCTTGAACGCAAGGACACCTTCCACATCGTTGCCGGAGATCTCCTCACCGGAGACGGGGTCGATAATGGCGGGCTCGATGCCGAAGAAGGGCAGGGAGGCGCTGCCGGGTTTGGTGGGGGTCACACCACCCAGAGGGGTAATGACATGGGATCCGGTCTCGGTTTGCCAGTAGGTCTGTATATTCCACAGGTTAGATACTAAAACAAGTGTTGGGAAGGGAGCGAACGAACATCGCAGATGTGGGCTTTCTCTTTGCCGACCGCCTCAAAGTACCACTTCCAGACCTCGGCTGCAATGGGTTCACCGACCGAGCCAAGGATACGCAGGTGCTTCATCTCGTGGTGGATGTGCTCGTTCCCAGCACGCTTGAGCAGACGCAGAGCAGTAGGGGCGACGTAGAACTGTGTGACATCGTACTGGTCGATGACATCCCAGTAACGGGAGCAGTTGGGGTAGGCGGGGGTACTCTCGAACACGACAGTGGCGCATCCCAGTAGCAGAGGAGCGTAGACAACATAGGTGTGGCCGGTAATCCAGCCGACATCGCCACCGCAGAAGAAGCGGTCATCGTCGTGGATGTCGAAGACGTACTTGCCGGTCATGGCGGCGCCGAGCAGGTAGCCGGCGGTGGTGTGCATGACGCCCTTGGGTTTGCCGGTCGAGCCGGATGTGTAGAGCAGGAAGAGCGGGTCCTCCGAGTTCATGGACTCCGGAGCGATGTAGTTGGGATACTTCTCGACCTCCTCGTGCCACCAGAGATCCCGACCATCGGTCCAGGGTACCTCGGCGCCCGTGCGCTTGTAGACCAGCACATTCGTGACATCCGGGCACTGCTTGAGCGCCTCATCGACAATGCGCTTGGTGCCAATCACCTTGCCACCGCGCTTGCCCTCGTCGGTGGTAATCACCACCTTGGAGTGGGCGTCCAGAACACGATCCCGCAGCGAGTCCGACGAGAAACCAGCGAAGACGACCGAGTGCACCGCACCGATACGAGCGCACGCCAAGAACGCAACGACCGCCTCGGGAATCATTGGCAGGTAAATGGCGACCGTGTCGCCCTTTTGCACACCGGCGCGCTTCAGAGTCCAGGCCACCCGCGACACCTCGCGAAGCAGCTCGCCGTATGTGATCTTGCGGCCCTCATTGGGCTCGTCGGCCTCGTAGATAATGGCAACCTTGTTGGGGTCTTTGAACGCGTGGCGGTCCACGCAGTTGTATGCCGCATTCAGCCGGCCCTCGACGAACCAGGCATTGTCGCCGTTCTCAAAGGAGCCGAAGTGGGTGGTCTGGAAATCTTTTTCAAAGGTAAGGAGGTCGCGGGCCATGCGGGCCCAGAAGGTGTCGGGACTGCGGATGGACTCCTCGTAGAGCTTCTTGTACTCGTCGAGATCTTTGACATGGGTGCCGCTCGGGTGCTTGTCGTGGAATGCCTTGGGGACGTGGAATGTGTCGACCTCGTGGGCCTCCAGCACCTGCGGGGGTGAGGTTAAATCGGCCCGTCTACAGCAGAGAGATAGCTCCGTTCACTTACCACGTTGGGCTTGGCTTTGGGGTCGTCTTGCGACATGGTTGGGGAAAATCCGGGCGCAACTGCAGTGGGTGTGGAATGGAAAGTTCTCTGGAGGATCAGGTCGCATTAGCGGGGTGAACGAGCGGTAGGTAGCATGCACATAATAAATAGAGCGGGATCATTAAGCTCGTGGGAGTGGGGGGGACGGGACACTCACCGAGTCGGGAGAGTATATGGGGGGTGTGTTCGAGAAGGAAAACTGTCGATGTCGGAGAGAATATGGAGGGAAATCGAGAAATGGAGAGAGCCAAGGAAGAAAAACGAAGAGGAAGGACGAAGGACACCTTAATATGGCCAGTGAGCCCCGATGCGGCCGTGCTCGTATTTACCGTACCCGGCCTGTTACGTCGATCAGCTGCGACCAGCACGACAGGATGTCGATGGAGGGACTGGCCGGTTATGGTCTATCCGGCCAATAAGAGGGGCTCCCATGGTTTAATGCTCCTCTTTTTGGGTCTGGTCAACTAATAGGAAAGCTAGCAGTAATAAAAAAATGACTGTGCTTCTGTGGGGAGGCCAGTCCGTTCCGTTGCTCCGGGGAAAGATGGAGTATACCCAACCAACTCACTGAACCGCCTGGCCTAGAACTGGCGAACCATCCGTCCGAAATCGCAGGCCGCATTCTTGTCGCTTCTGCATTGCCGAGCTACGCAGGGGACGTGGCTGATCTACTGCTGGATAGACTTCCACGGTGGATCGTGGACACACTCACGACTGGCTTCCCTAGGCCGAAAACCAAGACCCGTTTCCGTGCCGTGTCTGACAGTTGTTGGTCCGCCGACAAGAAGAACATGTCTCCCCTGTCTATGTATCGCAGTGGTAATTGTGCCCCGGATTGTATGGCATAGTCGCCACCCCCATGTCATAAGTCGATCCGATGATGTAAAGGAAGAGCAGCGCGAACCCTAAACCGCTTTCTAGTAGCCGGATCCTTCGCGGGCATCACAAGGCCACCACTCGGTTCGAACAACGTAGTGACTGATTATGTAGGGTGTCAGTGCGCATCTACCAACATGCTAGGTTTGAGCCCTCCTCGCCCACACTGGGTCTAATGTAGTCAGCATCAAGGTTCGTCGACCCTTTCCCCTTTTGGGAGGTCGGTGATGATCACGGTTCTGGTTGGGTTGATCCCGGGACAACTCCGGCGGCCCTGTCTATCAGTCTATCCCTGATATCATGATGATGGATAGTCGATATATGTCAAGTCGCCACGAGCGACGTGGGAATACTAAACCGATCTCGATCGAGTCTACCGCTGCAACGACACACATCCGTGTTGTGGGAGGAGTTGAGTCGCGGGTGGGGAGCACTTTGGGAAATTGTGGGACGCGGAAGGATGTAAGGATGTCAATAATCACTTGCACTAGCTAGTCCCATTCCCCCGAGTTAACCGTTCCATCTGTTCTGATTGCGATCTCCTTAAACCGACACCACAGTAATAATCAATAATACAACCTTAGACACATCCCGATGGGCACCTCCTGTACCCGCACACCCATACATACCACAGTAGTACGCCTGGATGTTACGAGGCTCGGCTCCACCGTCGTATTTTGCATTGCCAACGCTCGCGAAAAACAAAAGCCCGCCCAGCGCTCCATCGGGACTAGCGAGACGGGATCTGTTTTCTCCTGGGCTAAGTACCTACACCCACCCCGAGAAAAGACCGTTTGACGAGAAAAAGCCGCACCCTGCGATACCCCTCGGTGTCTCACCAAGTGGGGTCCTGTCCAGTCAAAACTGCCATTAAATGTCACCTATTGGTAGATGGTGCAATCTGGAGCCCTTTTCATTGATCGGAAAATATTGAGTAGGTACTGTGCCAAACGACGGTGAAAGTTGCCTCGGGTTTTCCGGGTAGCGATTTGGCGGATCCTGCGAGAAAGCATTTGCATACTTGCTCTGCTCCTTACGGAGTATAAATAGATTACCAATGTTGGTTGTCTACCACAGTGAAACAGAACCGAACCCCTAAATTGGGTATTTATTTACCGCGGTATTCAACCAGGCTGGCTATGAATTATTCCGGTCCGGCTGTTGCCCTACTCCACCGGGCCTGATCGTAGTGTACCACCGCCTCGAGCAGAGCTTGCGTGCCAAGAGCACTGAAACCGTCAGGATCAAGAGATCATCCAGGATACCAAACCAAGGAGGAGGGAGGGGAAACTAACTCATCGTCTTAGGAACAATACTCCGTCGGGTTTTGGCTGACACCCTCACGACATGGCACGAAGATCACCGCCTTTGGGCAGTGCTTGCTGGTGGTATACACGCTGTCATGGCCGGCACCACTAGTCATTGGCATCGGCTTGACGTGGCCGACGAGCTCGTCGGCCACGTCTTGAGTAGATGCGCCCCAGCCTGAATCAAACTACACGACCGGTGAGTCGGTGTCTAGAGTCCAGTCAACAGCCACGCCCTTACCGTCTTGAGAAGCAATCTGAGCAAATGATCGCAGACATTCTTCTTGAACGGCATGCACGACGCTGTCTTGAGGTGTCGGATATTAAGTGTGAAGGTCACTTGCGAAGCAATGATGTTGATAGATGGACGGCACCTTGATGATGCCTATTGAAGCGAGCACATCCTGTCGCTTGGCAATATCATTCGAGGCCGCGATCATTTATGACACAGCAAGCAGCGGGTCCTGTCGCGCACTCAGAGGCGTCGTGCCCGTGTGTGCGCATCTTTGACGTGGATGGTAAATGTCAGTCATTGGTACCCCTGCGCGCCTTGGACGATCTCGGTCGGCCGGTTGTACTCGGGCAGAATAGGCCCCTGTTCAATGAGAAGCTCGAAATTTGCACCGAGAGGGCAACCGGTGCGTGCATCGCTTGTACAGGGTATGTCGCCTAGATACCCGTGTCTTTCAAGCTTGGACCGAAGCGTTGCATTGGGATCATGGATGTCACGGAGATCCCATGCCTTCTGGATCGGGATAGCACCAGCCCAGACGCCGGAGGAGCACATGGACTTGGGGGAACTGGGCGCTCTCCTCACTTCGAAATGCAAAAACAGATTAAGACTGAGCTGATAGAAGATCAGAGAAACTTACTTGGTCCAGTTGACAACCCCAATGTCATATTTCGTCTGAATTCCATTTTCATTCACTGTGCGCGGGACCTGCAGCGCAGCCAATGGTACCAATAACTACATCATACCGACCCCCGCGAGGCTGCGTGTCGAGATGACTACCCATAGCAATCATCGGTGCGGCCGATTTTGGCTGCCGGTCCGGCTCGCAAACATGTTACCCATCTGGTCGACTGAGAGAGTGCATCCCAACTTCTTGATCTCGGCAGCAAGCCACCTAACACGAGCGTCGTCATCTGACAGAGTGAGACTGGCCATGCTGGTTTCAATTGGGTTTCTAATGGCGAGTCAGAGGGGATTTGGCAATGGACTAGGGTATACTTACTCGCCATATCTATGGGCGCTGCCCCAATTGCATGTCTCGTCTGATGTTTGCCAGAGTCGATCGGAGTTGAAATTCAGACCGGATAGTGCTTGGATTCGAGTGGTCGTAGAGGATTGTCGGGTGGGATTGAAGGGGGCGCCAGTTGGGACTCTTGTGCTGTCTATTTTCGGGTTTGACGGCAAGTGACTGAGCATAGAAAGGCAGTGAAAGAGACTTGGCTAAATTTGCCTTAATTAGAGTCGCGGGGTATCCTGGCTCTCGCGCAACGCACGACTTGCCGATATATGCACGTGGCACGCCTTCTTTGAACAACCAGTGTGGTCAGCAGCAGACAGAAAATACCTACAGATTGCAATAAGCAGACAATGATATATCCAAAGAAAATTTGTGGTGGAAACGACTATGATCAAGGCGATCCGCGGGGCAATCCGGGGCGCGCGCCGTCCGACAACATGCAGAACCCTAAACTCGCGTTGAGACAGGAACAGACTAACTTTTATAACACAATAAAAAAGTCAACATTCGATAATAATGATGTGTCATTCCAGATGATACTTGATTCCAATAGCGAGTGTCCATAATCAAAACCGAAACAAAATAAAAAACATCTCTCAAAGTGCACGTGCATCAATTCCATCCCAGACCGGATAAAAGTCACATCCTCTCAGTCCATCTGAAGCACAGCAACAGAAACACCAACACCCAAATCTTCATAGTCTATCCCATCCACATGTTCCCTTGGGTTCCTCTTACCGAGGATACCCATTCCCCCGACAGCAGCTGCCAAAACACTGATCGCCTGAGAGCGGTTAATACTTTCGAGCGGTATACGCATAGGTTCAGGAATACCGTTATAAGATGGTGCTGATTCGTAAGTTCCCCTATGGTACTGATACCTTTCATCACTGCTGGTCCGTTAGAGGCATTTGCCCGCATGTTCAGAGAACACCTTACGCAGGGTATGTTCTCGAAGAATCACTGTCTGAGACTCTCGATCTGGCATCGCTGCCAGAGAAGAGAATGGAGCGAAATTTGGACTTGAGTCCGTTGGTTTCCTTTCCAGTCATATTGAGAGTCTTTGTGTGTGTATTGTTCTCTTATTTTGAGAAATTGTAGCTGTTGTTGGTTGATAGCGTTGGGTGAAGTTTCAAAGATGTTCTTGGAATCTGCCCTGCACTTCCAAGCTCTGAGAAATTGCAAGGAGAGAGGAAACTTGGGACCCTTAATATATCCATACCCTCAGATATTTCGCTGATCTCCTAAATTTTGATCTTCATTTCACCATGACGCTCCGTGGGGTACAACGATGGCCCCAGGTGGAGCCCATATCGGGGAGCGCCGATGTCCATCGATAACCCTGGCGCGTTTGAGATTAACGAGCAGTAAAACATCACAGTTAACGACCTCGCTTTGGATCAGCGACGGAAATAAAAAAGATGGACTTTATTTCCTGTGCAAACAGATTGAAACTCGATCATCCCGACCTGATGATTGGCGCTAGCCGCCTCTGGGATCAGCCCATAGTCTCAACCTTCCTCACTCGATCAAGGACCCGTCGGCGCAGCCAAGAAGCTGTTACCTAATTACTTTCCACTCGTCTGTTTAGGGCAGTTTCTATAATCATATTGTGAAATGATGGCAGATGGAGTGACAGGACTAGTTTGTGCTTTGAGGGGGCTACATCCAGAGACATATCTAAAGCTTGGCTGTATACCAGCAATGACAGACTGTCCGGCCAAACGTAAACGAAACAATTGATGCCAGGTATGGTACTTCAATGATGACTAGGCCCCTGACTCAAACCCCCACTGCTAGTTTCACCGCCGCATGCGGTGTCCCAATGCGAGCTTCAAATGTGACGATCGTGAGGTGACCTATGTCATGATCCTCGGTGGCGCACGCCTGTGAAATGGAGGCGGAGTGAGAATAAAGTCCTTTGCGGCGCGAAAACAGAAAGGTCAGAGTAGTCAATGGGAGCAGTCAAGTGACTTTCGCGCCATACTCCGACGGAAACACACCAAGACCTTACACAACAGGCACACCCATAAAGTCTGATGAAAGTAGCTCGAAAAGGTTCAGAGTACCATACAGGTGGCGTGTTTATTGTTACATAGCTATAATGAGAAATAATGTCAACTGAAATTTATGTTCACAACAACCGTGATCTCTCGCATCAGAGCCCTTGGGCGAGACATCCCTACGTGGCCATAATCACATTTATGTCGCTCAAAAAGAGAAAATGTAAATAAGACTGTTTACATGGGACCGTATTAATATGTGTATGAGAGATACCGGCAGTAAATTCAAAATCAGCCTAGATCCAACGGCGAACGAGAATAGTAGGTATGCACATATTGGGCAACTAAGTTAGGACGTATGAACTCCAAGAAATACCAAATATTTGATTATTCGGGTTGGGTATGTTGATATCTGTAAGTTACTTCACTAGGTATTAGCATCTTTTCTATCCAAAAGTCAAGCCTTGGAAATTATGCCGTACATATTTTCAGCATAATCACAAGGCCAGGGATCTCAAGGGCTCAATTCTGGAAGATCCTATTCCATTAAAATTTCCTTATCAACTTGTTTGCTTCAGCTCTCACTGCATCAAGAAAATGCATACTCTCCCTGTATTGCTGGATATTTAAGAGCCCTGGGTGCCTACCTTAGAGGACTATCATCAATTATCTTTCTCTCTCTCTTTCTCTCTCTCTCTCTCTCTCTATTCTTTCTCCATCTATCCACACAATAAACTTTCAACATGAAGCTCTCAACTCTTTTTCCCCTAACCGCCCTAGTGGCTTTTGCAGTAGGAGAAGATGTCTTTCTTTTTCCACCCATTACCCCTTGCTTGGTAAGCGTTTTTGATAAGAGATCAAAATTGCGGGTGCGCAATAAAGTACTTACTAACTAAATTTGCGTAATAGCATCAGTGCAATGAACAGGCCGCCGCGGTAGCAGGATGTAACTCATACTTTGATACTGGATGCACTTGTCCGAGTAAACACTTTTTGAAAGCCCTTGCTAGCTGCATGGGAGCTTCATGCACCGCATCTGAGGTGGTTTGTATGACTGCATTCCCTGATGGCCACTTTTGAAAATTGGCTTTTGAGACACTACTAACATTATGTGCATAGCATCTTTGGACTTCCATGTTAAGAATTGTGATGAGCCAGTTGCATGGGCATGGTCTGAATAAAAGAGTACCTAAGCAAACTCTGTTTTTCAATTCTATCATCGTCTTGGAAATTTGATATCTGGATTCTGATTTGACCCATTAAACCGCGCGTACAACGTATCTGCAACCCATTTTGTGTTTCACGGAAATAGGGTCATTCCCTAATCAAATCATGTATGTCCTTGAAAAATATTCTCTAAAATGTAAAACAAAGAAGGATTAGAGTCGTGGAACCCATTGTTTCATTAAGCCTCAATTGACATGTGACTAGGAGCGTTTTTTGAAAACCAATTGGCACCCATCCTATGTTGCAAAATTAGCACACGCCACCAGTGGAAACAAAGGCAGAAGACAAATCAGTAGTGAGTCCTACCATTGGAAAAAGGGTGGCAAATACGCTAATCTCCTCCGACCTCTCCGTAGCATGATGGTCCCAATCTAACTCCAGCGCCGCTTTGCCAATCATACCTGCCATCGATAGTGGCACATACCTCCTTGCGAGACAGTCATGTGGTCCCGCTCCAAAAACTAGCCAGTTTTTGGTCTTAGACTCAGCGTCCCCAGATATCCAGCGGTCAGGATTGAAAACATTGGGGTTGGGGTAAGCACATGGGTCATGTAGAGCTGGGTAACAGGACGGGATCACCATAGAGCCCTTGGGGACGGTGTAGTTAGGCGTAACGGGGAAGTTTTTTGTTGCAAGATAGGGAACGAAGATGACAGGTGGTCTGTGGCGAAGGAGCTCCTTGATAACTGCGTTGGTGTAAGTGAGTGACTCCAACATCGGCAGATCAAAAAGTTTGTGTCTATCACCGCCACGTGCAGCGAGGTTCTCTTCTCTCAGTCGATCAAGTACATCGGGTCTTTGAGCGAGAACTTGGAATAGCCAAGTGGTGGCACTGCTGGATGCATCCTGAGATGCAAAGAGGAAGGTGAACAGCGTCTCTCCGATTTCTTCGTTTGTGAATTCGCGGATGAGATTCGTTGGTTTCTCCACCTCAGCCTCGCCCGCCGCAATTCTCTCGCGATATCGCTCAGAATCCATCATATGGAGCACCCAATGATCCACGATGCATGTGGGCGTTGCGCCAGTCGCCATATTTTCTTTGCATGCAGCCGCACATTTTCCGAACTCGACATGGATAGCATCGGCCGCCCGCTTCCCTAACCAGGACTTGGTGAACGGGATATATATGGACAGAGGAATATTAACTAGCTCAAGAGCAGCAGTAGCAAGGTAAAAATCGTCCGTTATTTTCTTGACCGCATCCTGAGATATGTAGTCACCGAAGAAAGTTCGGCACGAAATTGCACAGTTGATCTCGCGGAACATGGCCATGAACGCCATAGGCCGCTCATGATTTGCCTTGCTGGCGGAAACAAATTTGTTAAAGTAGTCCGTGAATACTTTCTCTTGTGCCGGAAGGTAAGTCGCCAGGGCCTTATTGGTGAATAGAGGAGTTAATCCTCTTCGGTACTCGGTGTGGGCTTTGCCCTGAAGAAAAACCCATGCTCTGTGGCCTAGGATATCTTTTGCGATCGGAACTATGCAGGGCTCGGCGTATGAGGGCGACTTGAAAATCTTGTGGGCTAGGTCTCGGTCGGAGGCGAGAACGACGAATCTGCATAACGCGTGAGCAGTTTATCCAAAGTTTTCTAAGTTTTGGAGAGATGACTTACTTGTGGAAGACAGACACACAACTTAGAGGGCCGCTCGCCCACTGGGTAAGATACGATTCAAACTTTGGATGGATTGCCTGAAGGAAAGGGCCCGTGAGTGGAATTTTGAATCGAGGGCCAGCGATGGAACCCTTGCGCTTGATATATATAACTAGAGACTGTATCAGCTGGGCGAAACACTTCCCATGGACATTGAATACCTTGGTCATAGATTACCACGGCAAGTACAAAAGCTATGACATATTGCCAGGTAGACCATGCCATAAAAAGACCGGACATAGTGCTTTTCAAACGAGCATTCCTAAAAGCCCAAATTTGTGGCTGAGCATTGGAGGTGTTGGAGATCTCGGTACCCATATTGATGACAGATGACAGATTAGAATTGCCCACAAACAGAGGAGCGAATGTTTCTTTTTATACTGAGTTGCTCTTACAGACTTTGTGGTTTCTCTTGAATTCATAAGTTCGATAGTGTATTTAAGTTACCCAATTGGGACTAGACCCCGAGCGAGGACGAGATAGGTACCGGAGTCTAGTGCGTTTTCGGCCAGCGACAAGGCCCCAAAGGCCCCCCACACTCTACTAAGCAGAATTTCTCCACCGCAGGCTGTTTTTATCCCTTTGGTTGCTCATTTTCATGAACTCTACCTCTGCAAAAATGCGCCAAACTCTTCGTCGGTCCTGTGCTACATGTGCCAAATCCAAATGCAGTTGTGACCTCCGTAAACCGCGTTGCTCTCGCTGCCTTAAGCGTCAGCTTCAGTGCGTTTATGCAAATGAACCGTCAACGGCCTGGCCGGCAGCTTTTGGGCAGGGGAATAGTGAATCGATAAAAACACTTGATGAATCCAACATTTTAACTAGCTATAGATTCGGGGGTCTCGATCCTTTCGATTCGTATCCACAGACAAGACTACCCAGGGAACACGTTCAACGTCTCATCCATAGCTGTAAGTATCGTTCCGACGTTGTCGATTCGAGCGTAACTCACCGATTCAGTTCTTCATAAGATTGCTTTTCAGTACTATCCTCTCGATATGAACCCAGTCTCGAATCCGTTTCTTATCTCTTGGTGGCCACTTGCTCTGGGCGACCCAGCATTATTTCACGTATCGCTCCAAACAGCTTGTCTCGATGAGGAACTGCTAGCTCAGAGGGGCTTTCGAACCTCGGATATTCTCATGGCTGACTCTGTGACTCTGCTTCGGCGAAGAATTGAGGACACGACACTAGCCGTACAAGACGGGACTTTGAATTCCGTCATTACCTTGGCCACAATTGAGGTGAGATACTCTCCAGAGCCTTTGTGAATATGTATCTCTTTACATATAAACCCGACCGCTAACACTTTGTAAATCATCAGTTTGGAAAAGGCAATGTTAATGTTAGCGAAATGCATGTTGATGGAGTGAAAAGACTAGTCCGCATGAGAGGTGGCATAAATGCTGTAAAGCAGACCAACCCGCTCACTGCAAGGATGGTCAGCTGGTAAGTCCGACCTTTATCACCAATGAGGTCAGCCATTCACATGATTCAAAGGGTATCGATGCTCATTAAGGGCTATCCTCAATTCGAGACCCAGGATGACCTCGGCATTGGAGATGGCATACCTCCTGTTTCAGAATGGCAGCTGGACTTGACTACCATTGGTGATAATTTACCCGAACTTAGCAGTGTTATTAGCGACCCTGCAGTCAGGAATGTCTTCATTCATCTCCGTATCCTCTTCCAGCGGGCGCGGCGGATACCCTTCACACCCTCCTGGCTTCATGACCTCACCTGTTTTGTCGTACATCGACTACTACTCTCAGCCCCGGACACGGGAAAATCTCAGTCAACACCGACCACAGAATGCATTCGCCATGCGATCATTCTTTACATGTTTATTACCCAAGGACCGACGTATTACTCCCATGGAGTCATATTGAATACACTTGTCACTCGGTTTATAAAGCATCTCAAGCAGCTGGAATTGACCCCTCGTATACGCGATTCCCTTGATGTCTGGCTTCTTGCAGTTGGAATGGTGGCCTCGTTTGATACTACTCACTATGATGTGCTGGTAGGGAGAGCTCGAAATTTAGCAGCTCATCTATTGCTAAATAATTGGAAAGACGCACTCATCTATATCAAGAGTGTCTTGTGGTTGGAGACTGAGGAAGGCGAAGATATGTTTCGGCCGCATTGGGTCCCCATTCTTGGTGCTGCAAATGCAGAGCAGCCGGAGTTTACGGTCTCTGTTTCCAGTAAGATATACTTGTCTTCTGAGGAAAAATAAACAATTATCCTGGCAACAGGAAACAAACCTGCATTGAAGAGAATGCCGAAAGAAAACTTGAAACCTCTCACATCTATCATCACATCCTCTAATATCGTTTTATATCTCGTAAGGTCGAGATTCTCTGACCTTCAGAAGGTGAACTGCACTGAAACTTTCGCGATTTTCCCTCCAATTGGTACTGGTAGGTCCTTAGAGTAATCACCCACTAAAGTGGATACCCCACAGGGCTTCTACACCACCCGGGATCCATGAGACATTCCCACTTTTAGCGACAGCCATGAGAGTAAGAGATGAGGACATGATGCTTCGAAGGTCATACTAGAGACCGTGATGGCGATGACCGACAGAACGGACGTCCAATGTTTTCGGATTGCATTCTACTCCTGATTCAAGAAGAGAATGAAGAAGAGTTAGATCTTCCTTGCCCAGAGAGCCAAGCCTATCGGTGTCGGACCGATTGTCATGGAACCCGGAACTGTCGGCCAATGTATCAATGTGAAGGAGTTGGCACTCCGCTAGTACTAATATGGTGCCTATCTTGCCTGGCCATACCTTTTGGTTTTTTCAACCGACTTACTTTCCTCGCGATGTCTAATATGGAGTCTATAACTAGCTACTATGAAATCCACTGTATATCATCACACAAGTCCAGAAGAAGTCTTGTTATTTCAGGGCAGTTCTGTCTGCCCTACGCGGCCAGACTTGGAAAATTACGACGCTTTGTTAATATATCTATCAACGGCTGTCCCGTTGGCTCCACGCACAAGTTGTCGCATCTAGTACGTAGAAGCACTTACCTAAAAGGCTAGCACACTTGACCACCTCGATGAACCTAGAGAACCGCGAGTAAGCGGTGATACCAAAACCCAAAAAATTAGCCGCATAGAAAATAAGCTGCATGGTGACTTTTAATAGTTCAATATTAGTGTTTCAGAATAAAGTTTGCCATTACGTCGTTCACTCAAACCTTGCGGACCGGAATTAGAAATCCCAACGTAGATGCCTTATAGGTCCCCCATTATAGTTCCGAATAACCCTGGTTCAACGCACGATTCTAATTTAACATGGCAATTATGCCGTGATTGTGGGTTCTTCGAGGGGTGGCTCTTTCCAATCAGAGAGGAAGGCACATGGTACGCTTGATGGCGGTTAGTTAAGTATCCATAAAAAACTCTCTTATAAACATCTTGACCGCTCTACGTTCTAGAAAATTCCTGGGTTATTACACTTTTCTTTCAGCTGCACAATCAGAGATGTTAGCCCTGAGTCCGCAGTATGAGGCAACTTCTTAACACGCTACTAATTCTGTGGCTGTTTCTGATTTACGCCGCCGCTTTATCTCCAAGTATTCATCAAAATTCCACTCAAAGACTACCAGAGTGTCCTGTGAGTGCCTCTCTCATGATGATCTGTCTCTATCTGACCCTTCAAGCTACAATGTGTGGAGCAAAGCACTTCAATTACTCACTGCGCGATCGCGGATATTGAGTGCCAGTGCGACAACTATAAATCAAGATCATATATAACAAGATGTGTGGTGAATAATTGCACTCTTCAAGATGCCTTTGGTAGGTTTCTCACTAAAAATATCTCGTGGTCTAAGACTGATAAAGCTGAAAATATTTTCTAGAACTAGCATATGTCTGGGCACAGGACTGTGACCGACCTCATAACAACGATCACGTTTCTATGAGAGCGGCTGCAATTGCAAGTGGTGTGACTGCCTTTCTCATGGTAGGATGTCGTATAACAGCAAGATGGTACACTGTCCGTCTTTTTTGGTGGGATGATTGGTGCTACATTATCGCCGGGGTAGGCCCCCAGGATACGATACTTTGACTTGAAGGACTTACAGAATCAAACAGCTATTTTCTATGATACTCGTCACTTTCGGCAATCTCAGTGCGTGGAATCTTTTTCGAACAACGAAATCTGGTTACTAATGAAGAAGCAATAGGTGTTACCGACGGCATGGGATACCATCTTTATGATCTTAGATTCACCTCACTTTCACAAGCGCAGATGCCGTTTATCTGGTGTGAGTAACTTGGGTAAAATTGTCAATTTATCCAACGCTAATTTTAGTCTGTCACAGATTACCTCTGCGAGATCTTCTACTGCTTTGTGATTTACTTCATCAAACTATCCATTCTCTGGCTTTACCTCCGTATCTTTCCGAAGGGGGTATTCCACAGATGCGTCATTGCCACAATGGTCTTCGTCACTCTATCCGTGGTTATCCTGATTCCAATGGTAATTTGGCAATGTGTCCCGATCAGCGCAATCTGGGATCTAAAGCGCAATGCCGCGCAGTGCCTTAGCATCTCAGGAGTGGCCTACGCTAATGCGGCTCTCAATGTTGCCACCGAGATTGTGATATTAATTCTTCCTATACCTCTTGTCTACAAGATCCGTGTCTCAAAATCCACAAAGTTCGCTCTATATGCACTTTTCAGTGCAGGAATTTTGTGAGACACCCCCCACCTTTCCGGCGAAATATAATAGAAGCTAATATTTCTTCAAGCGTTATCGCTACTGCATGTGCACGGATACCAAGCCTGGCACATGTTGACGCAGTTAAGGACCCAACATATTTGATCCGCGGTCCTTTTTATTGGTCATGCGCAGAAACATCAGTGGCGCACATATGTGCAACAGCACCAACTATTCGGCCATTATATTTGAAATTGCGGACTATGGTTCGGCAAAGAAGAGATCAAGCAGCAGGCTCCGATTGCCCGGAGGATGGCCCAGCCTTGAACACATGCAAGGGAGACCAAGAAATCTCGGAACAGTGGGCAAAGGATGACGAGAGTGACAGCCAAGACTTGAACTATATTGTTTAAAAACGGTGCTAGAGCATATAGACCTGAAGCCGCGAAATCTGCAGAACATTAGTACACACTTATATACGATATATCAAACTCATCACCAGACGAGGCGATGCTTAGTGCGTATTCACAAAGAGCGTCCCAGGGAGTCTGGTAAGAGCTTTATTCTTTACTTGAGCCTGTTAAACAGTTGAGTATTGCCTTGAAATGTCCAAAGAGTTATATTGAGTTGCGCTTCAGAAAAACAGAGCACCTTCACAGTAGCTAACGTCCGATTGCTCCTATTCTACATAATGACCCCAGTTCATTCCAATCTTCAGAATACTTCATCACCGACTGAGGGCCTTCATGTTCGATTAAATACCCCAATTTGCATGCAGAAAATGCGACCTTGGGTTGAGACTCGTAGAACCGGTCATACTTTGGGTTCAGTGCATTATTCAGTGTCTCCACCTCGCCTTGAGGGTGGATTTGAAGCCAGGGGTGAGTGCATTCGATGCCAACACACGACTTCAGAACCATCATCATAGCATCAAGTCTAGCCACGACTTGCCTCAAGGGCCGTCGGAGAAATATTTTTTTCTTCTGGGGCATTAAAAATATCCCGCGTATTGGCAAGAAGATTCTCCATTTGGTATTCGTCCGTCAACATATCGTATAGCTCATGCTCGTTCGTGCACCAGACGGAATAGTTGATGCTATAGTCATCTGCAACAATGCGTAGTCCCTTGTATGTATTGTCGTGTTTCCCTTTCACTCCCCATCCGATCTTCTTGTAAGGCAGCGTACCCTCGTACGGGGCCGCATCACCCCAAAGCTCAACGTTGACGTGTTCACAGCTCTTTTGGGATGGCTGGTTCACAATGATCGGAATAGCTCTGCCATCTAATTTAGTCCTCATTGGTAGTCCGAATAGCGTCAACGAGGTAGGCGCAAGATCAGTGTGCGTCGACACTGCGTTGGTCACTTTCCCAGCCGGCACCCCGGGGCCGCCGCGCCACACTAATGGGATGTTGATATCTGTCTCATAGCCAGTTTTCTTGCCGGGGCCCATGCGGTGCTGGCCAATATGGTATCCATTATCGGTTGTATAGATAATATGGGTATTATCTAGAATCCCATGTTTTCAAGCGCGGCGATAAGCTCGCCAACCATATCATCTAGACCTGCGACACAACGTATGCGACGACGATACATTTCGTCTAGTCCATCCACGACAGACTGGTTTTGATGAGGCATATTCAAGAGCCAGGACGCACCACTGGCTTCCGTTGGATTCCAATTTGGAGTTCGCGGGACTTTTTCGTTCGCGAACGCGTTTTCCCATTATGCCTGGGGAGTGGGGAAGAAGGTCTCGAGAGTGGTGGAATTAATCCCCATATGGGGCACTGCCGGAGCAACAGTCAGGGAAAAAGGTTTCCCACCCTCAACGTCCGTGTCAAGCATTTCTAAGGAGTTTTTCGTCGTGATATCAATAGCATGTTCACCCGGATGTGCCGTCCACGGCCCGTGGTTCTTCGCCCAAAATGTATCTGATAGTCGTAGATCCCGGGCTGCAATAAAAAGCTGGCAAGATTAGTAACAATGACAAAGGGACGCCATATCTCGACCATACTTGCTACTAGTCCATCCTGGGGCCAACGGGGTCTTGGTAGTTGTGAATGGCGCGACCGTTGAGGAGTTTCCCCACATAGTACGTATTGGCGCCCCTTTCTTGGGGCCATAAAGAAAGATAGTCATTATTGAGGCCTTGGGTGATAAATTTCGGATAGCCCCCTATACAACGCTTGACACCTTCTAGCAATATCTATGGTAGAAATAATGATCTTATCCATGGCATTTTTACGTCTGTGACATTGGTATTGCTGTTGTAATTAGCCAGTATTTTGTCTCGTGATGAGTTCGAAGCCTTACTGGACGCATTTCCCAGTAAATAGACTGGCCCGAGATGGGCAACAGAATGCGCTGATGCAGTAATGTTTTTTAAATATGACTCCGTTGCGTCCAACCTTATCCTTGATAGTGGGCATGAAATCCATGGAGTTCATGAGCAAATCAATCGATATTATTGAACTGCTACCTGACAATAATCCAGTTTTGGTTCAAATACCTTGGTCATCAATAATAATGAAGAGCACATTTGGCTTCTTTGGCATAGCTGCATGGTTGGTGTAGTCCAACACACCATCCACAGGCTGGAACGTTAGACCCAACTCGCGGCTGTATGAACATTTACCATAAAATAACACAGCCAGCACTGCTGACACACAAATCAGGTTGGTAGATGCTCGCATGTTGAATACTCAAACTCCTGGACTTTCGAGAGAGTAGTATGACTGGAGTGGAAAACAGGGAGTCTCCGCAAGAGAGGATCATCCCCAGACGTCATCACATGATCGAGGGCCAAATGTGATAATATCAGGAATAACTAATTTTTTCTCCTCTTATTCAAGTATAATGAGCCCGTGGCCTTGCATTTTAGTATGTAGTCTTAATCTACCTCGGGAGCTCGAAACGTATTGACTTGGTACGGCGATGGGTACCCTCTCTTGCCACGCCAAGATTACCATCATCCCCCACTCGTTCCAAAAAAAGGGTTTGGGGGCTAATAATCTGCGAGGTGAGCACTACGCGTACAACTGCTGTGGCAGATTCTCTCCAATACTATCTTGTGAATCTGCCCAGCTCATTCTCATCGCTTCTCACCCATAGTGATTAAGGAGGCTAACAAAAGTTAATGTCAATGTGCTAGAGAAGCCTAATTATGTTCCGCTATTCATATTGAAACTATTCATCAGCAAGAAAATCAAAACAGACTCTGTTCGCCCCATACGTCACCTCGTCGAGGGTGAGACGAGGCAGATTTAGAGGGACGATTGGGTCCCACAAGCTTGGATAAACAGCCTCTCGATAAGCTAAATTCCTTAGGCAAGTTCCACAGTGGTAGTAAGTGGCAAGTAGATCTGGGGCCAAAAAAATCCCTTATTACTTCATCGTAGCAGTTCAATATGTTTCAGCAGTGGGTTTGCCATGGTCTTTTGAAGAAGGAGCCAATTTCAGCTGAGAATGCGAGGTCTGCTCTTTCAGGTCGAAAAACTATAAAGCTGTCTTTTCAAATAGAAGTTGACAGCATTAACCACAACAATTTGCAAATTGGTCTACCTATTTATTCCAGCCCATTGAACACAACTACAAAATATGCAACTCGGAACTATTCTCCCAACCACGCTTAGTTTGGGCTTCATTCTTTCCACGGCCGCCCTCCCACACATCAAGCGCAGCAACACCTGCACCATTGCTCTCCAACTCCACAGCGAAGATCTCCCCGGAGGTGATCCTATGTCAGGAGCAGGAGCCAACACGGCAATATTCGACCACTATGGCCTCTTCACGTATCCGAATGGTTCTCAGTTCACATTTCAGGCCTACCAGAAGAACCAGGATGACTACTGGATTTACTCTAACGGTACGTATACCAACGGCACTAGTTGGTCCGTTGGTTCGGGAGACTACGGGCTATCAAATTGTGTTGCTCAACTTGGAAGCACATTCTACAATAGTGAAGATGTTGATGACTCTACGTGTAAGACATACAGTGGCGGAGGCCCTTTTTATGCTGATCAAGGTTGTGAGTGCTTTTTTTATTGTTAAGCCCGAACAACCATTTGTGTAATAGTTCTACACTCATCGGGGATCCTAAGTCAATAGACGTTGCTTCGATAGACCTCGGGCTTAAAGGAACGTAAACCAGTTGGGTGTATTCGACCATCCGCTTGGGGCTCTGGGCCAAGAAGCCCCGGATGAAACGTCTGGTACTGTTGTCATGCCACAGAGAAGAGTTTAGATAGCAAGGTAGAAAGAATGGTGATTTATTGTAAGAGAGGATGCAAGCGGGTTGATGAACGGGGTTCCAGCTGTGAGTACCCCGGAATTCGCTGAAAGTACCTTGCCTATTTGGACCCACTCCTCTGGATACTCAAGCGCGGAGCCTGAGGTTATTGCGGCAAACATATCTAATATGCGATTATATCTGCCTACAAATTTGGGGCCCTGCCTGTATGGCCTAGTGTTTAGAAACCGATTGAGATGTACAGTTCCGCCTGGGTTTGATTGAGACAGGCTCGGTCGGACCTCTGACATTCCGGGGAGGTCCCACCGCAAGGTACCCTTTATGGCACGTGACTTGGTTTAAAGGGTCGCATGAAAGACCGGCCGGCTCCCTGCATTTTTTGCTCGGACAACTTTGCGGACTCTTCTTTTTTTTCTTTCCTCGCTCAAATGGCCCGGATCCCCAATAGATCTGCAAGCCCGGAAGAGGTTCGAATTTACGTTATACAGGCTCTTATATCCAAGCATAATGCAAGTCATGAATTTGGCGAAGAAACTGCCCGCTTATGGCAATTAGGGCGGGGTTCTGAACTTCATGATGCTAAATTGGAATAATTTCAACATTTATTTGGGGTAGAAGTTGGCTTATGCCTTTTCCGAAGTGTCTGTGAGGACAGACAGGATGCTTGGGCGCAGTCATCTATAGGGCGCTTGCGCAACCGTAAGTTGCCTATAATCGTTTATATTGACTCATTTAAAAATAGTTATGTGTATTATATCTTTTTTGGCAACTCTTTGGTTCAACACTTTGCCATTACTTTGGGGCCATACAGGCGATACAACCCGTAGGTGATTCTAGTGTGCATATTATGACTACACTAACCTTGGATAGCAAATCTCCCGCTGCTTCTTTCTGGTGTATGCGAAGCAACTAGTGCTTGTATAAGACCCAATCTCGATCGTAGTATGCTGGCTCGTGGTATCATAACTTTTTGTGCTGGTTGTTTATCTGCTATAACGCGCGGACAGTAAATGCATCCTTCGGATTAAACGCTGATATTTGTTTTCATGTGGCAGTGCTTGTAAGTGATTTTCATTATCATAAAAATAGTAAAGGTGAATGTCGTGCTAGGGTCTAGCTCGTCCGAAGAGTCATACTCGCATTAAAGTAGCAGATAGCAAGCTAGCTGCTAGAAACGAGTGAGGCGGGTTTAGCCTCTAGCGTCCTGGCGGTGATCGAGCTGGGAGCGAAGGTCCCCTCCCTCCTGCTCCGATTCCTGAGCGTAGTTAAAACCGCCAAGTCGGAGATTATCCGTCCGCAAGAAGATCTTTCGACGCCATCACATAAAGGCCTCGATGCTCTTTACCAGAGCAAGTTATCAAGACCGAAAGTCAAAACTAGGCCAAAAGCATTATCAATACCCGGAAAATATCTGTGTGGAAGCAAATGGAGCTGATGTATCAACTAAACAACAAGTGACGGGAGAAGCTTCCGGGGTCGAAATTCTACAAACAGACAAAGAACGAAAGGCATCAGATCAGAGCTTCTGCACGGCCCAGACCTGGCTCGCTATCTTCACAAAATCACGCTCCGTAAAGACAATGTCTTCCTCTGGAAAAACAGCCTCTCGCAAGAAAAGATCCTCAAAGGGAATAGTCAACTTTCCACTGGCTCGAGCATGACCACCCTTTTCGGTCACAGTCACCGTCTGTTTGAGCTCACCAACAATCTTCCCAGGCTCATTTCGAGTCGCTCGCCCAGTCGGCTGCCATAATTCAAACGTAGCCTCCTTTCGCGCTTTGTTCGTAGACATAAGGAGGGCAACTTTGACATCGCCCTTTGATTCGACCAGCCACAGCTTCGCATTGCTGCGCAACTTTGTTTTGGACTCGGAAAATGCAGCCTCGATAATTAAGGTTGGGAATTTGTCGCTACGGCTCTGTGGGAGAGTAACAGGGCAAAAGGACTGGTCAGGTTGCTTGCGTCGTGACGTTAGATCGACATCGGCGGATCCCACGTCGTGCAATTCATCTTGAAGACCGTCCTTCATGCGGGATAGTTTGATGATCAACCCGCTGACGAACTTCCTGGAAATTTGCTCATGTCCCCTCGTCGGCATTTTGATCAGGAGGATTTGTGAGTGTGTATCGTAGGAATCGAAATATTTGAAACACTCTGAGTCGATATCCTTGAGGAATGTATGTTCATCCAAATGTGAAAATATTACATATTGGCTCCTGGTTCCCACTTTATCTTTCGCGAATAGATTCAATTCTGCGTCAATGGTATCCCAGAAGCGTTTCTTCCCCCGATACTCGTATTCACTGGTCGAATAGGGAAGGCTACCAAGGATGTTACCATTGTTCCGAAGATCTGCTGTATTCACTGGCAATCCCATTCTGCCAATATTGTGTCTTTAAAGAGAGATGAATCAACAACCGAGAAGAATCTAACCAGTCCAATGGCTTAATGGTGCAAAAATAGCTTCCATTAACTCATAATGACATAACTGTAAACCCGACAGCCCAAGACGAGTCTCAAGTCAAGGACCAGAATTTATGTAAGAGAAAGATTTAGCTACGGGTGTAACATCTACTCTGCATGACCAATGCCCAATGCGTCCTCGGCACCCGTGCTGCTTTGAAATGGCGACGCGAGTTTCGGTATGGTACAATTTTCACTGTATATTCAAAGTAAAAGGATGCTCAGATCGTACTCCACAGTTGCTATGGGGACTCGGTCTCAATTTCCTTTGTATCTACGGGGTACGAGCTTATTTACTCCGTTGAGAGCCTGGTCTTGGCGGCCTACGACTTGGGAAAATCTCAACGGCTTCCAGCCGCTCAGTATATTCACCTTTTGTTAAAAGTTGGTTTAGTATCCAAAGGTTCGGGTAAACTTCAGGACAGAATTTGGGGAGCTGCAATTGACATTGTTGAGTGCCATATCTTATATATTGAAGGCAAGAGAACCAGTCAGATGTTTAATTGCTGTGAAGAATTGAAATTCCTGCAGGTCACATACAGATATTTTACCCCTCATCAATAGTTAGTTACTTCCTATTGTGTATCAGTCATTTATTAGTTAGTAGGTCCTCTAAGTTGTTGGGTATTCCCAGTTTCATCCGAATCAAAGATTTATTTCTTCGTGATTCGCACTTCCATGTGAGCCGTCGTACGTTTAAAATTTGACAATTGCTATTGAACACTTTCTGGGAGCCGATCGCTTCCCGGACTGGCATGCCGCCAGCCGTCAACAAGGTTACATGATCAATCGAAGGACTGTTTAGATTTAGATTTTCCCACGAGCCAAGAATTGGTTAGGAATTGGAACATGTTTTGCACGAAGATATTCTGCAACATTTTTGCCCAATGCATCATATGTTGAAGTTGAGGAAACGCCCCGATCAAGGTGGTCTTTCAATAGAAAATGCACCGCTGCGGAAACAAACAGATTAGATATATGGCAGGGACGATACTTAGTTTTCGTCAAAACATACCTTGAATGTTGGGGAGCTCGAATCTCTCAATTCGCTTCCCATTATAGTCATTTTGTAGCAGGTCCTTGACTCGCTGAACAGTCAGCAAGGACCGCAGCCATAACCACTCATCCCTGTTCCGAGCATAGAACCCAACATTACAGTCGGATCCCTTATCTCCAGAACGAGCATGTACGACATAACCAAGTGGAGTTGTAGTGGTTGGTCCGAAATCGCGCAACACATCCACCTCTGTGGGACCATCCTGAACATCTTGCTCGAACTGATAGGGAACCGTATCTTCGGGGGCAGCTATAGGCTTTGACCAGTTGCGCGAAGGTATGTGAGCAACATGATTGATCTCGGACTGTGGAAAGATCGTGACAAAATATTCAAAATAGGGCTTTGGCAATCCTTGTCGATTGTCGATGGCAAAGGTTGCTCCAGGGTAAGTCGACATAATGATATTCCAGCAGGGTCGAAGGAAATTCTTGGGTGTGAATGTATCTTCTGCATCAGCTTGGGCAAATATGCGGATATCAACAGTGGCTTCATCTTGGGAGGCTGGATTGGGCTGAGCACAACCCGAAGTCGTGATTTTGAGAAGTGAAAATTGGCCACAATCTAGGTACGACCGAAGCTGCTTCTCCAAAAGGGATGATTTTTCGAGGATATCAAGGCCAACAGCAAAGTAATGAACCTCCGCTTGGAAGCCTCCTTTTGCTGTAAGGCCAACCTTGCTTGTGGGGGGCGGCTTTTCCCATTTGATGTTGTTCACAAAGACGGAGTTTGGACCATCAGGTTCCATCTTGATCTGATCGACGATTGCGACAACATCAGAGTTGTAGTAGCGCTTCCCCTGGAGCTCGTAAAGAAGTTGTGAACGACAGGTATCAAAGGAAACTTGGCCACCGCGCGCCAAGCTCTCGTGCATACCGATCGAAAAGGTACCATCCGTCCGTATAGTTGCAATAGGCAAGTTGAGAAGCGGGTTGCTACCTTGTGGAAGGGATTTAAAGCCCGTGAAATTACCACCAGTCACGTAGGTAGAACACTCAATCAAATGCCCAGCGATGAGAGAATGGGCTAGTTCCTCGTAAGAGGAGTTTGTCCAGCCATGCCAAAATGCCGCCGCTGCCATTGTGGGTGCAGCATCTGCCACACGACCACAAATAACAATATCGGCGCCATTTCTGAATGACTCGGTAATGCCCCATGATCCAAGATAGCACTGTGCATAGATTGGCTCGTATTTCCAGTCGTCGAGATACTGCCCGGTGGTAATATTGCGAAATTTCTTTCCCTGCTGTCGGTGCCGCTGAATTATCTCAAAGACTTCGTCCCCTTCCACCCAGGCTACAGTCAGGCTCAGATCTTTCTCTTTAACGAGATTCTCCACGGATTGACACAGCCTGAATGTATCTGAAGACCCCGCGTTCACTGCAAGTTTTATGTCGCGCGTTGCGAGTGATGCGAGAGCCGGCTCAAGTGCTTCCAGAAATGTATGTTCAAATGCAGCTTCTGCTTGCACGTTATCCATGTTTGCAATCTTGCTGCTACCTCGTATGGTCATATTATACTCGGACATCCAATCCCCGACAATGAAGTCGACATTTGCATGACTCGCTGCCTCTGCCAGGTTTTCCGGTAGATCAGTGACTGCCCCGGAAACGGAGATTACTCGCACGGGTCGACGGGCTGCTATGGAGCTCATAGTTCCTGTGTTCCTTTGAAGTTGAAGATACGAAGACGAATAGAGAAGAAGATCGTAGTGTACTCAATCAAGTATCGACAGATGAGATGATGCTTATTTAAACTTCACAGTGCGCGGTAAATAAATCACCAAGGTATCGTCACAGATTTATGAACCACACCCTGTTCTGTGTTGGGTTCTTGACCTCGGTAATGGGAATCAACTTCCCCTCAAGACAGAGTCCGGCCAACCCCCAAACCCCCACTTGGGGCCTCCGCTAAGAAGCCCGAACTCGATTGAGGCAAGAGGCCGAATCCCATGGGGGCAACACGCACATTCTATTTTGCCCCGGGTTGTGGGGGATAATTAATCTCATCCGGATATTCAACAAAGCATTGACTAGACACTCATGCAGGTGCCTCTACTGTACCGCCTTTCCACTTGCATTGCTGAACTGCCAAGTACACAGATCATCCCATACTTCAGCCATGTCTACTCCTGAAGGAAATCGATACAATTATCTGGTTGTGTTTTTCGCAACCTTGGGATCCATCACTTATGGATTCAACAATTCAATCATGGGAACGGTCCTAGATTTAGACTCCTTTTTCAATTATTTTGATCTCCCCGAGACTGGTCCCAAGGCTGATCACACTCAAGTTATCATTGGAAGTAAGTTGGACAGTATGAACTAGACTTTCTGAAAATAATACTAACTTTGAGGCAGCAACTCAAGGAATATTCTATGCCGGAGGCATTATTGGATGTGGTATAGCTGGCTGGATGGCGAATCGGCTGGGCCGACAACGGGCTGTGCAGGTGATATGCTCGCTTTGTATTATCTCCGCCATTCTTCAAGCAGCTGCGGTACACATTGCAATGCTCCTGGTAGGGAGGCTTTTCAATGGTGCCGGGTGAGTCTGACCTCGGCGTATTGTAGACAAAGTTAAGGTCGAATTAATGCTGATGGCCGGTATAGATCGGCAATGATCAATGTGGTCGTTCCCCTCTATCAGTCCGAGATTTCCCCTCCCGTTCATCGAGGAAGAATGGTCGGGTCTCATGGAGCTTTGATAGTAGTTGGATATGTAAGTTCTTCTCGAAATCCCATTTGAGGCCTGTCTGACCACTTAACAGACATTTGCTGCATGGACTGGACTTGGATGCTATTTTGAACAAAACCCCCAAATACAATGGCGCTTGTATCTTGCACTTCAATGTGGGTTGAACTCCCAAACTACCTCTTTGGAAGTTAACCCTTTTTTCCAGGCGTGGCACCATTGGTATTACTAGCCGGATCTGCTTGGTTACCGGAGTCTCCTCGCTGGCTGATAGCTAACGGCCAGCTTGAAAGCGCCCGACAAATTTTGAATCGACTACACGGTGACGGAAATAATACAGAAACTAGCATAAGCCCGGCTGCTCTTGAATTTAGTCAGATTGAGAGTCAACTTGAAATCGATTCTCGGAGCTCCGCCGGCTTGATTACTATCCTCAAATCCTCCTCGCTTAGGAGAAGATTCCTTATCGGCTTCTTTGTCCAGTAAGGATTTTCCTTCCAGTGCCCTACGAAAAAAGGAACTCACCATTTTCATTGCATAGATGTCTCGCTCAGTCTACTGGTGTGTTAGTGATCAACAACTATCAAGTCACTCTATATGCCGGACTGGGGCTTTCGGGCTGGATGCCATTGCTGCTTTATGGTATCTATACTACTTGGGCGGCGATTCTTAACTACGCCGGAGCCCTGATAGTCGATCGTATTGGACGTGTACGAATGCTGTCCATTGGAATGGTTCGCATCTCTTTCCTCGAGGTGAATCTTATTATTCTGATGCTAACTGTAATTAGGTCGGTTGTGCCTCCATGGTAGCATGTGAAGCTGCTATGGTTGCTCAGTTTGGTGGCGGTCCCAACAAAATCGGAAATGGGTTTGCAGTCTTGTTTCTCTTCCTTTTTGTCACTTTTTACGGAGGCTGTGTCGACGCAATCAGCTATGTATACTGCTCGGAGCTGTTTCCGACCAATATACGTGCACAGGGTATGGGATTCTCCGTCATGGGTCTATTTGCTATGACTTTACGTAAGTTGTTTCTTCTAACGTAATCAACCACCGAGTGACGAATACCACCGAGTGACGAATTTCGTCGAGCGTACCGTTAAATTTCAAGCTTTTCAACCACAAATGTATTAAATCAGACCATATAAAAAGATAAAACAATAGCTATTTACTAGGACAATTTCTTATAGTATGACCAGTAGTCCCGCATCCACTACAGCGTCGTGGAGCTCGCTGGCGAGGCCTTGGCGTCGTCTCAGCGGCCGGCTCATTAAGCTGTGTATCAAGCTGTTGCACTCGATTCTGACCTTCCTGTACAAATAAAACAAGATCATCACCAAGATTACCACGCTTCCTTGCCCTCTTTTGCATTTTCCGCTTATTCTCACCTTGTAGAACCTTGATTTCTTGTCGAAGAATAAGGTTCATATTCATTGCCATCTGTGCAGCTTTTTCAAGATGTTGAATATGAGATACTGGACTACTAGAAAGCATTCGTTTTCGAAGGCTTCTCTGTAGACTGCGTACCTTGTGATCGAGTTGGCGAGGATTCTGAGGTGTTTGAAAAGCAGAGGAGACTGAGCCTTCAACTTCAACAAGAGGTGGTGTTGGTGTCCGAAGTTGAAAAGTTACCTTTTCAAGAACCCGATCTTGATCTAGCGGGTTAAGTCCTGCACCTGCAAAACCACTGCGTATATTCTCCCTAGTAAACACCTTTTCGCGAGCAGGTGGATAGAGAGACAAGAAATCCTCCTTGTCGATATGGTTGTTGCCGGCAACCATCATCTCTTCTACTAGTTTTCCATATGCGCGCTTTAGCGGACCAAAAACACCAACATCAAGTGGTTGTAAAAGATGAGAGGTATGAGGAGGCATGCAAAGACAGATAATAGCATTCTCTTCACAGAATGCGTCAAAATCTGCAGTTAGATGACTACTATGACCATCAAGAATAAGCAACCGCTTTGCACCAGTTGAATAGGTTTTAGAATGTGGTTCAAACATCTCTTTTAGCCAGCGGAGGCCAATTTCATCTGTTGTCCAGCCATTCTGACTTCTTGCGATAGCATAGCCCTTATTGAAGAGAGCAGGTTCTTGATACCAAGCAGCGTGTTGAGATCCTGCTTTCAAGATGATCCATGGGGGTATAGATATCCCCTTTGAGCTCACACATTCAATAATTGTGACCCATTCGCGATTCCCCTGAATAACCCTACGGGGCCTTTCACTGCGATCGACTGCAGTAATAACCTTAGAGGTTGAACAAAGTCCCATTGCGAAGCCAGTTTCATCAAAGTTCCAGATATCGTCCTCGTGGATACCATGTTCTTGAATAGCCTCGCGTACGGTCGCAAACCATTGTTTAATAATCTTTGGATCCTCTTGCTTTGCACGCTGGTACGTGATCCGCCGATTGTATCGTGTGCGCAGTGCTGGATGCCGTTTGATAAACTTATATGCCCAGTTGACACCAAGGGTCGTAGTAGGATCTCCTGTGCGCTCGCGAAGCAGGATCTGCGCCATTCCCCGTAGAAACTCTGGCCGAATTGAAAATCCTCGCTTATCTGCATCTAGCAGCCTCTTCGCAAGGACTTCTTCTTCAAGAGGGTTTAATTTATGACTGTTGGCGCGTGTTTCTGCGCGTGATTTCCTACCGTTGAGTCGACGGCGAAGCGTAGCTTCAGGCACACTAAATATCTCAGCAGCCTTTAATTTTGATTTGATTTTTTTATTTTTGAATGCAGAAATAGCCATCTGAATGCGATTTTCTTGAGATAGAGGCATTTTGTATAGTGGTGGTGAAAAATAACGCGTCAAGGAAATGATTGTAGGAGATGGACGCGAAATTCGTCACTCGGTGGTATTCGTCACTCGGTGGTTGATTACGTTAACTAACCTTAGACTAGAAATTGGACCAGTACTGACCGTTTTTAGTGTATACCCAGACAGCACCGGTAGCCTTCGACTCTGTTGGTTGGAGATTCTACCTTTTATTTATCATTGTACCACTTGTAGGTGTCCCGTTCTTGTGGTTTGGCTGTCCTGAGACGAAGGGAATGACTCTGGAGGAGATTGGCGCTCTTTTTGGTGATACGGTTGCCACGGATGTTATGGGTCCCGGCGATGGGAAGCGAGATGACTCTCAGAGTCGATGATCTGAGCACAAGAATGGAAATGGTTGAGCTTTCACCGCATTTAGCTCTATAAAGCCTCCCAATGAATAGAAGTTGACGAATTCAATTTACCAATTCCTCATTGTTTTTCGATCAGCTCAGAGCGGAATTATGGGGTTCAAAAGATACCTATAGCTCCCGGGGGGGACGCAAGTCCTCCATCCACATTCAAAGGAGCACTAGTGAAAAAACTCCCATTTCTCGCACTCACATATCTGACAGAGCCTGGCCATTTGACAGGCATATTGCACTTCCGCCTAGGTGCCATCAAGGTCTTCTGGTTGTAGCATTTCGACATCACAGTTTCTTTGGCTGAAATGTTGGGGCCGACCAATAGACCCGCTCATAAGTTCTTCTTGCATCTGTAAGCACCGCCTTTAGCCATAGATGCGAAGAGAAGCTGCTTCTTTTTTTTTTTGGCTTACTCTGATTGACCACCAAAAACGTCTCCACTTTCGCGTGGAAAAGGATGTCCATATCTGACCTTCGTGTCCTAGGCATGAAACTAATACATGGATCATATTCTTTGAAAAAGCAATATGACAATGATGTCAATCAAATTTGAATATCTCCTAAAAGAGTAAGTTGGGATCCTACGTCATTGGTCTTCGAGTAAGATTTGGAGCACCCGCGAACATTATTCTCCCATGGTTTACGGAGCACTTATTAATCGGCCAGCATGCTTTCTCTCAAGACGACTTTCAAGTTGACTTCATCAATTGTCTATTTTAAGCCTCTTCTCATTGGTCAACATGTCTAGCGAGAACATCTCCTTCCAAACCTCTGATGATGTGAGCCTCCGAGGTTGGTTTTACAAACCCAAGGAAGCCAAATCTCCGTTGCCATGCTTGGTTATGGCACATGGATTTTCAGCTCTTAAAGAAATGGATCTGAATACTTTTGCTGAGTATTTTGTTGCTCACTTGAATCTGGCCTGTCTGGTATACGACAACCGCGGTTTCGGTGAAAGCGACACCAAAGCTGGGCAACCCCGACAGGAAATCCTCCCTGCACAACAGACGAGTGACTACTCTGACGCTATCACGTATGCCCAGTCTCGGTCGGATGTCAACGAGAACAGAATTGGTATCTGGGGTAGTTCTTACAGCGGTGGCCACGTCCTTTGGGTCGGTGCTGTCGATCGACGAGTCAAGGTGGTTCTTAGCCAGGCTGCCATGGTGGATGGCTGGCGCAACTTTCACCGCTTAATCCGCCCGGATTTTGTCGGCGGCGTGAATGAGCTATTTCAGAAAGGTAAATGGCATATCTCCGTGATGTACAGTGGCTCATGAATCAACAATTGCCAGATCGCCTGGCTCGCGCGGCGGGAGAAGCGGCCGCCACCATTCCAGTTGTCGACGCTGATCCTCTCAAGTTTTCGGCACTCCCAACCCCTGACAGCTACGAGTTTTTCAACGGATGGGCCAAGAAAATCACGTGGGAGAATAGGGTGACGGTGAAATCGTACGTCCCATTACGTTTGGATCTGCCGTTTCTTGGAGCTGATATCCATTCACAGTATTGAGGCTTTACGCGAGTACAGCCCATCCGCTCATATCAGCCATATCTCTCCTACTCCCCTCTTAATGACGGTCGCTCGGAATGACGTGATCACGCCTACCGATCTGGCCCTGGAGGCGTATTCGTGTGCGTTAGAGCCTAAGAAACTTCACGTCTTGCCTGGTGGTCACTATGACGCGTATTCCGGGCCGAACTTTGACCAGAATGTCAGCTTACAGGCGCAGTTCTTGCAAGAGCACCTATGCGGCGATTAGAGTGCGGCAACTCCTCCATTGGCTCTTCAGAGTCTCAATCTATTTGACTTTTATATACGTATTTGATCTATACTCGTCTCGTAAATTTTCCATTTGGGTGTCATCAGAGAATACTGGATGGATTAGTACGGGAACGACAGCAAGATGCGCAGAAAGAACATCCTTATGTTTCTCCTCCTTCCGTGCTATTTTATCGCTGGCAAGGCTTTGACTCTGTGCCAGGTTGGCGATAAGAACGAAAAAGAGAAAGAGGAAGCTCTGACAGGCAGCAAAGATACCTCGTGATCTACACGGCTGCTGTCGGATCAGGCTTAGTAAAACTACATTGAGCAAACAATGCAAACAGCAGCACAGCTCTTACCTGCGCAGCTCCAACACAGAGCTCAACAACAACAATAACATACTTTTACACTTGTCCATCCATACCCACGCTCGAACCATGATCTAGCCCCCCTCAGCTGCCCGAGACGTCCTCGGCAGCACCAACAAGTAACAACAACATCCAGACATGGCCGACAACCGCGTCCCAATCAACTACCAAACCCCCAACTTCCCCTCGCTCTACTATCCACTCCCCGGCCATTTCAAGCACGCACACTACCTCTACTACACGACCGACATCTGGCGCTTTACGCTCTACTGGACGCTGATCTTTTACGCCGCAACGCATCTCACCGTCGCCGCATACGCGGTGCTGGTGCATTGTCGCAATTGGAACATTATCTGGATCGTCCCCCTCGTTTATAGTATCGTTGCCGGCGTGGAGGGATTGTTAGCGGGGAGTATTGTGGGGCTTATGTGAGTATTCCATTTCGTTTTGGTTTCTTTTTCTTCTACTCCAAGGGCAAAGGAGATACCGTACAAGACGATACTGGAAGATGGATGTGCTGATCCGAAATTGATGGACTAGTATTGGTGCCGTTTATGAAGCGGGAAACTTTAGAATGTCGACTTGGTTGCCCATGATTTGGGGCGGTGTCAACGTTTTGGTTCTCATATTGACCAGCTTCCCGATGCAAGGCGGTCTTTGAGGGGGACACTTTCGCTCTAGGTCGGATTTGGGTTGACCATCTCCTCCGCCTACGCTGATGATTGTACGGAATGCCTTCTACACACGGAACGGACAAACAGAAGCAGTGCGCCCTGCTTGCTCAACCCAAATAATTATGACCCTGAGCTACACTTTACTCAGAAACGAAGGCGATCAAAAATGGACAGTCGCATTCACGAGTATAATGGTTATGAAACATTCAAACGCCTTCCTATTATACATTCGGATATCGCTGAGCCGAACAGCCATTCCCATGTTGTGTCCGTACGCCTATTTTGCAGAAACTTATCTTCTGTTGCCGTCTGGTGTCCCGCTTCCATGCAATCCAGGTAGCCCAGCACCAAATGCGCCCGGAGGTCCAGGCATTTGCGGCATCGGGAAGCCCTGCGCAAGCAGCTGTTTCTGCAGCTGTGCCATGTCGACATTCATAGGCGGAGCACCCGGTGGTGGTGGACCTCCCATCCCCGGCATCATTGGGAATCCCGGTATTCCCTGTGGCGGAGTATTGCTATGCAACTGTGGGGGTTGCTGGGCAGACAGCAGAGCAGCCAAGCGACCTGGATCCATGCCCGGGATGGCACCAGGCATGCCTGGCAGTTGGGGTGGCGGTGGAGGCTGCGCAGCGCCAATACCTGGCAAAAGTCCCGGTACATCCGGCTGAGGAGCGCTTTGGATACCCGGCAGAGAAGGTGCGCCGGGTCGTCGCTGGTCGACCAGGCTGTCTGCTTCGTCCTGCATTTCTTGTTCCTCTTCCTCGCGCATCTGTTTCCGGCCAAAGCCGCGACTCCAGGTCCCCTGGGCCTCGGCGGCCTCTTCGCCAATGTGGAACCGGTCTTTCAGGTAGCTTGTCTCTCCGGGACGGGCGCGAGACCAGAATCGAGTAAAGTTGTCTTTTGATCCGGACGCCAGGATATGGCCCAGTGGGTGCCAGTCTAATGACCAGATCGTGGCGGCGTGCGCGTATTGGACGCGATGCGCTGGGTAGATCACCTGCGCTGGGGTGTTGGCGGGGTCTGGGCTGTCGTACGGAGCTACCGTCGGCATCTGGCCGCTGGGCAGATTCGGTTCATCCAGTAGATAATGGTGCAAAGATCCGTCCTCGCTGCCGGTGGAAATTAAGTTGCTGTGAATCGGATGCCACGTCAATGACGAGAGTGGTTTCTCATGCCCGCGTAGAATGCAAATATCCCGCATCATGCGTAAATCAAAGACCCTTGCCGTCTGATCTCGCGACGATGTCGCAAGCAGGTTACTATTCACCCGAGAGAAGCGCGTGGTATTGACGATATTCTTGTGGCTGTGGAGGGTCGTCAGGCACCGCGTCGTGCGCGGATCCCAGAATTTGACCTGGTGGTCCTTCGACCCAGACACCAACAGACCCTTTGTCGGATGCCAATCGCAGGACTTGACGTCCCAGTTGTGTCCAGACAGCACGGCGTCGCAGGTTCGAGAGGTGAAATCGAAGATCTTGAGTGTCGTGTCGTCTGACGCAGACAGGAACTTGGTATCGCCGGGCGACCACGCCAGGTCCCGAACGGCATCGTGGTGCGCATCATCAATCGTCTCGACGTTGTTAAAATTCGGCCGCCAGTATTTGATATCGCCTCTTTGGCCGCCAGAAATCAGCCAGTCCTGGCTATGAGAGAATGCGATCGAGGTGACACCGGCTTGGATTTGATCGTAGTGTGCCTACCAGATATTAGTACATCGCAATATAAGAAGAGAATGGGGCAAATCGTACATCCATGACCGTCTCAAAGTTGAAGGCCGTTCCGTTCCAGAGCATGAACTCGCCCGTATGTCCACCCGTCAACAAGCGTCTCCCTTCGGGCGTCCATCGCACCACGGTAATGGGTTTCTTCGACTTTCCAATCGACTGATGTAGGTGTCGTACGGGGATGCTATCGGCTGGGGAATGGACTCGGGCCATGGGAGGGAGCATCTAGGAAAAATCAATCCAACTGGTTGTGACCGTCAAGGCTCCGTGCACACCTACATCCACTGTGAAACTCGCGCTCGGTCGCTCAGTCTCCATGCGGTGGCCTCCTCTGTACCGCGGGCGCCGCGTGCGCATCCATTGCACCATCGACGAGCCGTAATCCGTGACGAGTCCTGGCTGTTGTTAGTCGAGCGCGCGCTGGGAATCGCAACCTAACATACGTGGCCGCCGAGGTCCCACCGGACCGCTGTCGTAGTTCTTCGTGAACCGGCCCCCGGCCTGGTCCCCATGGTCGTCGTAGTAGGCCATACCTGTGTGTGGTATGTGTGTGCACCGGGGAGACTGCGAGTAGGTTGCGAGGGGAGCACGGAAGTCTGCTAGCAGGGCACGTGCTGATTCCGCCTTATCTTTGTTGTTGCGCTATGATGCTCGTTCCCCCGCCGATGTCGAGCCCTGGTCTATTATTCTCCTTGTGTCTCGCAGGGTTCTTCTTCTTCTTCCTCATACCATGCGAGGGCATTCTGCATTCTTGCCAGTCACCTGAGTCGCTCGTGATTCTCTGCGGGCTTTCTGTGGATAACTACGACCGGACCTCTACTCAGCTTAGCTCGGCTCAGCTCCCCAAGACACGGGAAGTATGGCGCAGACCGAATCGACGGAGACGGCGTCGTCTCAATCGACACATGCAGCAGCCGATACGACTGTAAACGCTGCGCCGAACTCATCGCGGTCCCAGCCCCGGCGCAGCAAATATCGACATGTGGCTGCCTATCACTCGCAGCTGAGACACTCCAGTCTCAGTCGCGAGGCGAATGTGACGCCCAGTTTTCTGGGGTTTAGGAACCTTATGGTGCTGGTCCTCGGTATGAGGTCGGATCATGTGATATAGACATTTGCTGATGCGAATAGTGGCGATGAATCTGCGATTGATCATTGAGAATTTCATGAAGGTATGTGCTTGCAACCACAAATCCAAGGTACGCTGACAGCCAGCACAGTACGGGGTTCTAATCTGCATCAAATGCCACGACTATCGCCGACAAGACCTGGTCTTGGGCTCGATTCTCTTCGCATTGGTGCCGTGCCATTTATTCGTGGCCTATCTGATCGAGTCGGCCGCCGCAGGAGCAGCCAAAAAGACCATTGGCTTGCAGAAAAAGACCGCCGAAGAAAAGGAATACGACCAAGAGGTGTTCCAATCCACCTGGCCCTACACGGCCTTCCTGCATACATTAAATGCCACCCTGTGTCTGGCCGTCACCAGCTTCGTGGTCTATTTCTACATCCACCACCCAGGCATCGGGACCATTTGCGAACTGCACGCCATCATTGTCTGGCTGAAGAACTGCTCCTATGCCTTCACCAATCGGGATCTGCGTCTCGCGCTGCTCAATCCATCCGCGGACCCGGGTTTGCCGGATATTTACTCGTCGTGTCCATACCCACGAAACATTACCATTAGCAACCTGAGCTACTTCTGGCTCGCGCCGACACTGGTCTATCAGCCCGTCTACCCGCGCACCTCATCCATCCGCTGGTCCTTTGTCGCGAAGCGCCTGGCAGAATGCGTAGGTCTCTCGGTATTCATCTGGCTCCTGTCGGCGCAATACGCGGCCCCCGTCCTGCGCAACTCGATCGAAAAGATCGCCGTTATGGACATCGCCTCCATTCTGGAGCGTGTGATGAAGCTGTCCACGATTTCGCTGGTCATTTGGCTCGCCGGGTTTTTTGCCCTGTTCCAGGCCCTCCTCAACGCCCTGGCTGAGGTCATGCGGTTTGGAGACCGCGAGTTTTACACGGATTGGTGGAACAGTTCTAGCCTGGGTATGTATTGGCGGTCGTGGAATCGACCGGTATACCTCTTCATGAAGCGACATGTCTATTCGCCGCTCGTCGGCCGGGGCTGGAGTCCGCTGGCGGCGAGCGGGATGGTGTTTGCACTGTCGGCCATTCTGCACGAGATGCTGGTGGGCATCCCCACACATAATTTCATTGGTATATATTCCCTTTCTTTTCTTTTGATTTACTATGCAGCTACTGATGTCCGTCCATTCAGGAGTCGCATTTGCGGGGATGATGTTCCAGCTACCCCTGATCGCCCTCACCGCGCCTCTGGAGAAAATGCGCGATCCGTTGGGCAAGACGATCGGGAACTGTATTTTCTGGGTGAGTTTCTGTCTTGTGGGCCAGCCGCTCGGGGCGCTGTTGTACTTTTTCGCGTGGCAGGCAAAGTACGGCAGCGTGAGCAAGATGCGGCCGTGATGTTTGGAGAGATCTATGGGCGATTGCATACACGTTGTAGCATTTTGATCGGATCATTGGTTAGTTATTTCAATCATGTCTGACACATGTTGACTGGCATAATCACAATCGCATTATTGTTGACAGAAGCGAAAATATATTTCCTACGACAGTTTTCAAAAAAAAAAAAAAAACAGTTCAGGCCACCTCAGTAACAATCATCACGATGGCATCTCATGGACACCCATCGAAAAAAATCCCCCGACTCGGATAGATTGAAGCCCCGAGCCACTGTTCGGCAGAGCCAGGGCCCGGCTCCCCGGCTCCCGCTGCAACTTAAAAGCATCTCCACATCCCCTTTCAGGTCCAGTCTGTCCAAGTCCTCACTACAGTCACAATGGTCTCCTTCACGATCCCCAGCAACTACGGGTGCGCTCATTGCTTCTATATCTCTAGCTCTTCCTAACTAACTCCCCCTAGCGCCGTCATCGCGGTCGCCCTCGGCGCCATTCCCGTCCTCGGCTTCATCCACGGCGGAATCACCACCAGCTTCCGCAAGAAGGCCAAAGTGCCCTACCCGCACTGCTACGCCACCGTTGACCAGTGCAAGGAGAATGTCAGTATCTCTCTCTCTCTCCTTTTTATGTCACTAACGATGAATGTCCGTCCAGGCCTCAGCCGAGCAGTTCAACTGCGCTCAGCGCGCCCACTCCAACTTCCTCGAGAACGCCCCGCAGACTATGCTCTTTACCCTCGTCGCTGGCCTGAAGTACCCTGAGTATGCGACGGCCATTGGCGCTGCGTGGGTGGTGCTGCGCTCGCTGTTCCTGTATGGCTACGTCTACTCGGGCAAGCCGCAGGGTAAGGGACGCATGATGGGTGGAATGTTTTGGTTGGCGCAAGGTGCGCTGTGGGGATTGAGTGTCTTTGGTGTTGGCCGGGATTTGCTGTAATACTATCACCTTGTTATTGTCGTTGTCAAGTAATTGAATTGAATACTTGACTGTATTTACTCCGACGGAGAGTGGATCTGGATGCGTAAATGTAAAGCGGTGAAGTGGTGCAGGGGAAAAAAAAGGTTCCCGCCATCGCTCATGAGTCCTCGTTTGCTTCACCTCATTTCAACATGTCCTCCAAGTCGCACTTGACGTACGGCGCTCGCGCCCGTACACATCCCAACCCACTGGCTCGCCGACTCTTCGAGGTCGCCGAAGCCAAGCAGAGCAATGTGACGGTGTCCGCCGACGTGACCACCACCCAGGAACTGCTCGACCTCGCCGACCGTACGAACATCCATTCTTCTCGGCCAGCTCTCCCTTCGCAGTGGCTAACAGCAATGCTATAACATCCAGGCCTCGGCCCCTACATCGCCGTGATAAAAACCCACATCGACATCCTCTCCGACTTCAGCAGCGACACAATCACCGGCCTCCAAGCCCTCGCGGCGAAACACAACTTCCTGATCTTCGAAGACCGCAAATTCATCGACATCGGCAACACCGTCCAAAAGCAGTACCACGGCGGCACACTCCGTATCTCCGAATGGGCACACATCATTAACTGCGCCATCCTCCCCGGCGAAGGCATCGTGCAGGCCCTCGCGCAAACCGCCCAGGCCCCGGACTTTCCGCACGGCCCGGAGCGCGGCCTCCTCATCCTGGCTGAGATGACTTCGAAGGGATCGCTCGCGACGGGCGCGTACACGGCTGCCTCGGTGGACTACGCGCGCAAATACCCGGCGTTTGTGCTGGGATTTGTTTCGACTCGGTCGCTGGGTGAGGCTGAGGGTACTACTGTTGCGCCATCGGAGGAGGAGGACTTTGTTGTCTTCACGACCGGGGTTAATCTCTCGTCCAAGGGCGATAAGCTCGGCCAGCAGTATCAGACACCACAGTCGGCTGTTGGGCGCGGTGCTGACTTTATCATTGCCGGGAGGGGTATCTATGCTGCGCCGGATCCTGTTGATGCGGCGAGGCAGTATCAGCAGCAGGGCTGGGCGGCGTATCTGGCGCGTGTTCAATAATGACCTATATATACACTACGACAAACTTTAGAAAGCATACCATAGCTATAACGATGCCGCCGTCGGATGGTGGCTCATCCGCTTTACTCCCTATCTCGTCATCTTGCCGACCCCAGCCCGTGTTGGCGCCGATCATCCTAGCTTCTCCTCACTCTCCCCTCATGCGATGTCCAATCAGACGGCCTAGACTGCGCGTTGAGTTGTTATCACCGACCCACTGGCCGACGGGCACAATGAGCTCTCAGATAACGCCACATGAAGTTACGACCGGCCGGCAGAGGGGAGGGGAGGAGGATATGTACTATGCCCCCTTCCCCTGTCAACTTCTTCGCATACCAACTTTCCCCTTCCACTCTTCTAGCCTATACCTAAACCACTAAACACCAGCTCAATGCCCGACGAAGACAAAGCAGCGGGCTATTCCTCCGCCGTGGACGTGGAGAAAACCACCAAGCGTCTGGAGAAGCACTCACATGATGCCGACGAGGCGCTCAAGGCTTTCGAGGGCATCCAGGGGGAAGCGCTCGAGCTGGACGAGGCGACGAATCGGCGACTGTTGAGGACGATCGATTGGCATATTATGCCAATCATGTGTGTGATCTACGGGATGAATTATCTGGATAGTATGTTATACATGAAGATCTGGCTGTGAAAGAAGGTCCGTTCTGACTGGGTCTTCTCTTCTGTTAGAGACTACACTCTCCTATGCGAGTGTGATGGGGATCAAAACGGACTTGGATCTGGTGGGAGATCAGTACCAATGGCTGGGGAGTTTGTTCTACTTTGGTATCTCGTCTTACTATTTCATGGCAATGCAAATAGTCGCTCACGATGTATATTAGGGTATCTCGCCTGGGAGTATCCGACCAGCCGCCTCCTCCAGCGCCTCCCACTGGGCAAATACTCCGCAGCCTGCATCCTGATCTGGGGGTTGATTCTAAGCTGCTTCGCCGCCGTGCAAAGCTACGCGGGCGCCATCGCCATCCGCTTCTTCCTCGGCGTGTTCGAAGCGGCCGTGACGCCGGGTTTTGCGCTGTTGACTTCGCAGGTCCGTGCAAGCAACGCACCCCTAGCCATAATAGCCAAGTCACTAACCAGATGCAGTGGTACACCAAACGAGAACAAGGCAGCCGGGTCAACATCTGGTTCAGCTTCAACGGCTTCGGACAGATACTCGGCGGGCTCGTGGCATACGGGATCGCCGTCGGCACCGAGAAGCACGGCGCCGCGATCGAGTCCTGGAAGATCGTGTACCTGGTCATGGGGTTGTTGACCATCGTGCTGGGTCTGGTGTTTCTATGGGTTATCCCGGATAACCAGCTGAATGCGCGGTGGCTGAGCAAAGAAGACCGCGTGCTGGCGGTGGCAAGGGTGCGCATTAACCAGCAAGGTATCGGCAATAAGCATTTCAAGATGTATCAGATGAAGGAGGCCCTCCTGGATCCCATGTCATGGGCTTTCTTTCTCTATGCCCTGTTGGCGGATATTCCGAATGGGGGGATCAGTAATTTCTTTAGCCAGCTGGTGAGTTTGTGTGTGATTTTCTCCCATCCGACCACTGATCTGATTCCCCTCAGATCACCAGCTTTGGATATACCGAAGAGCAGAGCCTGCTATACGGCACGCCCGGCGGCGCGGTCGAGGTGATTTCGCTGCTCCTGAACGGGTACATCGGGCACATCACCGGGCAGCGGATCCTCGCCAGTCTCGGCGGGCTGGTCGCGTCCATCGTGGGGATGGTTCTGATCGTCGCGCTCCCGCTCTCGAACAAAGTCGGGCGTCTGATCGGGTACTACATGACGCAGGCGAGCCCGACGCCGTTCGTGGCGCTGCTGTCCCTGATCTCGTCGAATGTGGCTGGGTATACGAAGAAGACGACCGTGGCGGCAATGTATCTGATCGGATACTGTGCGGGGAATATCATCGGTGAGTCCAAGTGTCTCCGCCTATCCTTGTCGGTGGGAGCAGGAGGTCGTGTTGGGTCAACTAGCTCGGGTTAGTTAGCAGGTACTCGCATGTCGTGACTAACTCTCTCAACCAACTAACTAGGACCCCAAACCTTCCGCCCCACGGATGCCCCGCGCTACGTCCCCGCCGAGATCACGATTATCGTCTGCTGGGGCGTGTGTCTGTTTCTATTGGTCGGCGTGTGGTTCTGGTATAGGCGGGAGAATCGACGCAAGGCAGAGACTCGGGCCCAGCCAGGCTATGTGCGCTTGGAGAATCAGGAGTCAGTATTTATTTATTTTGTTGTTGCCATGATCACCGCTGACAGTCGTCTAGATGGCTCGATTTGACGGACCGGGAGAACCCCGAGTTTGAATACTCGCTGTAGTGGTTAGTGACAGACTGAGTTAGGGCTAGTCGCTAGGTCCATACCGAACTAGGCACATACACGGAGTAAATCCCTGCTGATGATTGCCAATGACGGAGGGCCCCGCCGGCACACTGACAACCGTAAGAATAGAACCCCCACTATTATCTACATCCATTCCCCTTGAGGCAACGATGGACCCCTGCAGGTTTTGACGCCCGAAGGAAAAAAATCCAGGGCCCACCAGCTAGTATCGTCTCAGGCACGGCGTCTAGCGGTGTAAAACCCCTCGTTTCATCGTGTGCTTTTATTGTTGTTCTTTGCTTCCTCAACTTCTATTCCTTCGTTTTGATTTTCTGCTACTCTCAATCCCCGAGGGAAGCACAGCCCGCCACCATGGTCTATGCCTAATCTGATCGTGGATCGACAATACATTCACCATGTCCATCACATGCACCCTGCACATGGACGCAGAAACCTTGTTGACTTCCCTGCAACCAAAGTCAACTACAACAACCGCTGCTGCCATCGCCGTGTCCGAGCTCACGCCATGCTCCCCCACGGACTGCTCCTCCCCCAAGATGATGAAAAGGGTTGATCCACCACCACACCTGGAATCACCGCCGACCTCAGCAAACCACTCGCGCCCAGGCTCCCGGAGCACCGTCCGCTCTCGCCCAACAAGCCGGCGCAGCTCGCTGCATTCTGCACGGCGGACGGTCCCAACTGCTGCCATCGTCCCCGTTGCGAGTGTCTCGCGCACCACGCCGCAGGAACGCCGCGAGTCGTTGCTTGCGCTGCACCGCGAGTCGGTTAGGCTGTTCCAGGACCAGGAGACGAATCCGTGGTCCTTGGAGGATGTGGTCCGACGGCCCTCGTCATCGAGGAGGGTCTCGTCGAGTTACAGACACAGGCCTGAGCCGCGGACGTCGTCAGATGCGGGCTCAGGCTCGGCGCCGCCCTCGCCTATTGCTTCGTCCTACTCCAGCCGTGCAACAGACCAGCAGCACGGCTATCATCGCCGCTCTGGGAGCTCTGCCGCGCCTTCTCGTCCCTCGCGAGAGAGATCATATTCATATACTCTCCCGGGTCCGGCACAAGACCATGCACACGGACAAGAACCATTCCACAGCCCGTCCGCCTCATCAGTCCATGTCCCCGCCACAGTGATGGAATGGACATCGCCCACGACCCGCCGGCGCGAATATGAGAAGATCGACCGCGCCAGCCGCGGCGTGCGCGGGCTGTGGCGCCGTGTTGCACCGCGCTGGTTCCGACCCGATGATTCGCGTACTCCCTTCTTCGAGGAGGGGCGGTCGAGTCGGAATCGCGAGGGTAGCGTGCGCAGGTTTCGCATGGATTTGCCTGATGATCATGACTATGAGCGGACTGGCTCGACGGCGAGGCACGAGGATGACGAGGAGGATTGTGGGCTTGACGAGGAGCATGGCTCCCATAATGATAAACCGCATGTGCGGATAGTGGATTGTCGAGCCCGGAATCTTTCATCCCATGCGAATGCGAACGAGGGTCGTCGACGGTGGACTCCTCTGCGCTCGCGGACCGCGCCTTGAATTGGTTGTCCTTTTCCCATACGCTCTCTTTTCTTTGCTGTTTTGCTATACGCAGCACCGGTGCTGTGTAAGCACCTTGCCCTATCCTTATGATGATACCATGATTTTTGACCAGAATGCCTGCATGATCATTGCCCCATCCCATTATCATTGCTGTTTTCGTTGCATCCATTACCTACATCCATTGCAGATACCCTTGCATCGCATCGCATTACATCATATCATACCCCCAACGTGGTTTGCCTGTTCCTTGTGTGGCGCAACTTTTACTGATGACATGTTTTTGTTTTTCTGTTTCCTTCCCTCTCTTTTGTTGTTAACATTGCCGAATCAGCGCCAATACCAACAGCAAGACCGAGATCAAGATTGAGATACCCTTCTGATTACTACCGTAAGATGTACATACATTCTGCGAATTGTCAGATACCGGCCTCTGATATACAGATGAGGCCGTTTATGTTTATGTTTATGTTTGTCGCCACTGTGGTGTTCTCATTGGATGAGATTATAGACCTGGGTAGGACATATAGTAACCTAGAGAAGACCGAAAGCAAGAGCCACCGATTTGGTATTGTAAGAGCATACGAAAGAACATTATATATTCAAAGTAAACAAGCAGCAGAGTACACAACTCAAACCCAAAATCGAAACGCCATTTCCCATCCCTGGTGGTACAAGGATCTATGCTCGGGGTATATATCTCATAAAACCACTTCTGCTTCAACACTCTGCTGTATATGGATGTATGTGTATCACAGTAAATCAAAGTCATCCAGCTTCTCGCGATACCGCATGATGTTCCGCTTGATCTTGCTCGAATCCACCCAGGTGACGAAGTCCTCCATGTTACGGGTGACCAGGAAGGCCGGGTCGGTGACAACTTCTGTCCCAACCCGGACGTGGCCCTGTTCGATGAATGTGGTTGCCTTTTGAATTATGTTAGTACTTTCGTGCACATTGATATCTCCCATCTTTAGACAAAGGGGGGAGGGGGGAAGGGAAATCTCACAGCCTTAATTGTCTCAACCATCCCACTCCTCACCATCAGCACCGCCAATCTCCGTCGACAAAACGCAGACACTGTAACCTCCCGCTCCACCTTCGAAAGACCCGCCCCCTGCTCGCGTGATTGTTTCAGAATCCCCATCCGCCACAGCTTCTCCAGCAGTTCGGACTCGATCTTCTTGCGGGTGGCGTCGCCGTCGGGATCGAGCGCGGAGAGCTTGTGTGCGAGTTGGCGGAGTGAGCCGCAGAGCGCATTGTATTTCTTGTAGTCCATGGGGTCTTGCAGCATGTATCGCTGCCGAATGTGGTGTTCGCGATGCGAGCCATCAGATTTGTAGGTGTGGAAATCTACTTTCCGGAGGAGTCTGCCGTTCTGTTAGGATTTGAAGATTCTCGTGCGGAGGCTTTGGTTTGAGGTGAGAGATTGTGGGGAGTGGGAGGACTGGAGAGGAACATCAAAGGAGTGAGGGGAAAGCACATACTTCTGCTCATGGTGCTTGAGTTGGCGAACCATTTTGGCGGTTGTTTTGCGTCACTGGGACTTGAGAGCGAGGTGGTTGTCTGTCTAGAAGTTTTGCGATAAAAAATGAGGCGGTGATATTCTGCCACTTCTACAAACCACGTGACCACCGGGCCAATATTCTTCCTGCGGCCACCTAATGTGCTCGATCCCGAGCGTATTTACTTCGAGAACTGTCAGGATTGTCCTTCATTGCCGCCAGCAATTTCCCTTCAAAGTCATCGGACATACCCAGGTTGTCCACCCATCACCCCATGACTGTCGCTTAATCCTCAGTCGCACAAACTCGCTCCTGCAGCAAGCTCCGACACCCAAGGCCTCTCGGAGGTCATATCTGGGCTGAAGCTTCTAACCCTCCCAATTAAATATACTCCGAATTCTATGAGTCGCGCCGGCAGCTCTTACACGCAATGCAGTGGTACCGGTTTCTTTTCGCGCTAGCGGTGGTGTTGTTTTCGGTGGTTGTGCTCGCCGCGGAGGACTACTACAAGATCCTGGGGCTGGACAAGTCTGCGTCGGAGAGGGATATCAAGCGAGCGTACCGTACGCTCAGCAAGAAATATCACCCTGATAAGAATCCGTGAGTTGCTCACCACCCACTCGATGATCACATCTTCATCCTAACATGTGCTTTCTTTTGCTTTGCTACAGCGGAGATGACTCGGCACGCGACAAGTTCGTCGAAATCGCGGACGCATACGACGTGCTCTCAACCTCGTCGTTACGGAAAGTCTACGACCAATACGGCCACGCGGGCGTCGAGCAGCAACGGAAAGGCGGTGCCGCGGGCGGGCAGCCGCATGATCCCTTTGATCTATTCTCGCGCTTTTTTGGAGGAGGTGGTCATTTTGGACATGCGCCGGGACAGCGTCGGGGCCCGGATATGGAGATGCGAGCGACACTGCCTCTCCGTGACTTCTACAAGGGGAATGAGATTCGATTCATAATCGAGAAACAGCAGATCTGTGATACGTGCGAGGGCACCGGGTCCAAAGACCACCAGGTGGAGACGTGTGATCTGTGCAGTGGACGCGGTGTGGTGATTAAGAAGCACATGCTCGCGCCGGGCATGTTCCAGCAGGTACAAATGCAATGCGACAGGTGTGGCGGACAAGGCAAAAAGATCAAGAACCCCTGTCCCGTATGCCATGGCAGCCGAGTTGTGAGAAACGAAGTGGAGATGGCTGCGGACATCGAGCCCGGAATGGACAAGGGCCAGCGGCTGGTATTTGAGAACGAGGCAGACGAGAGCCCGGATTGGGTTGCCGGCGACCTGATTCTGGTTCTGGACGAGAAGGAACCACAGCTGGGATCGTCGGACGAAGAACGCACAGACGGCACGTTCTTCCGCCGCAAGGGCAAGGATCTGTTCTGGAAGGAGACGCTGTCTCTGCGAGAGGCGTGGATGGGCGAGTGGTCGCGCAATCTGACACATCTGGATGGGCATGTGGTTCGCCTTGGACGCAAGCGCGGCGAGGTTGTGCAGCCGCTATCTGTTGAGACGATTGATGGTGAGGGAATGCCGCATTACTCGGAAGGTCATTTGCAAGACCTGGAGGCAGAAGACGATTCCCCTGGCAAGCTTTACGTGGAGTACACGGTTGTGTTGCCTGATGAGATGGAGAGCGGCATGGAGAAGGAATTCTTTGCCCTGTGGGAGAAATGGCGCAAGAAGATCGGTGTCGATCTGGCCAAGGATAGCGGCCGGCCGGTGCCTCCGCCGGCGGAGGAGGGCAAGGACGAGCTGTGAGGAGATATTGAATTCATCTTTGTACATTGTAGCCGTTGTTCTCTTTTTCGCTGCATGCTCTCGAATTGGCTGGGCTAGATTAGATTTTGGTCTTTTTGCTTCTCGCTTTGGGGGGCCTGTCAGAACATGAGCGTATATAATACAATAGAACTGATGTCTGGTTCTGCTACACTACACATCTTGAGTCGAAGTATCATTATTTTCAACTGATGTCATCAAGATGATTTTTCCCTTCCAGTCAGTGCTTGGATATATCTACGTGTCCCAGAACAAGACATTATGACTGCATCCTGAACACGAGCCCATGACGATAACTCGCCCTCTTGACAAATCATTGCAGTTTCACTTCGCTTCGACGCACTGCTGACATCAAAAGGCAAAAATTTGGAATGTTTTAGCTTCAACAACGGTTAGGCCGTTAGGACCGCAAAGTTTGTTGACCACCGGGCAGTTGCCATCAGAAAACGGCTTGAACTTAAACGGAAAGTTAGTGGCTGGTTAATTAGAAATAAAATAAACCCAATTATCAACGTTTGTTGTTCTCGGTAAATAATCCTTAGTCTGCAGCGGGAGGGTCCCAGAGAAAACCTCGTCAATAACAACACCATTCAAGAGCCAGGAACAAATCCGGAAGGCCAGATGTCTTTCGAATATATCATAGGCAGACTGTTTAACTTAAGATTCCGCTTCTCTTCTCCTCACAAAAAACCACTGTTATGTAGGCCATTTCGTGCCCCCAGCAAGCAACCCCCGCCCTGGCACGAGCCCGGAGAACCCACATTTCTTCGCTAGCAGGCTTGCATTAGGGCAAGATGCAGGCGAACTGCGAACTCACTTCGATCCCCACATCTCTGGGACACCGTTTGTCCGGTGCCCTTAGCTCACAGCGGATGACTCGGCAATTCCAAATCGAACACGATACGGGCGATACTGTATGGTGAGACTCGAGGCTGAAGCCTGCGCAATGACGCCTCGACCCAGCAAGCGATCTGCAGTTCTCCCGAACAGCACGAGGGGGCGCTACCCACGAGGCAGGATCCTCCGCGTCGGGAGCTCAGACCCCATCCTGTCCGCCACATGTTCGCATGCACAAGAATAATCCCCATTTTTCGAGCTGCAAAGGTAAAACCTGGAAAAGACTTCCGGGACCCGGAGCTGGCCAATGCACGATGCCCACGTTATTGATGACCCCCCAGGGTGCAGGAAGGCGAGGAGCCCTGACCTCTGGAAGTATCCGATTATGCACCCCGTTGCCTGAACTGTGAGACCCGACCTAGTGGTCAAGTCTAGATCCTATCGGAAAGGCACCGAAGGCAATGCTCATGACAAAAAAACCAAGAAAGTATTGACAGTTTCCACATTGGTAAGCTTGCATGGGTGGCAAGGTCCAACGGCCGGCCGTTGCCTTTCATGACAGCTGCGATGTGGATCCTACATGAATCATGTTCCGTCGAACGGACCATTCGGACGTCAACAGACGGTGTAGACAAGATAGATATGCTGGTCTGAGAGAAAACGGAATAGTGTAGTACCATTCGTCAATTGCCACACTGTCTCTAGCTAGGATGTACCATACGGGAAGGATTACAGCGGCGTTCTCAGTGCACGTCGGGGATCATCAGGGCCGATCTTCTGCAGGATGATCGAATTCCCATTGCCCGGATGGTTTGCGTGCAATCATGGATGGCACAAGGCAACTTGGGCCCAACACCTGCAGTATTGCAGCCAGGCCGAGATGGGCCGCCGTTGGCGCTGACACCGATCGACAGACTAAACCACATGAGCATCTTGTCATGGCATCCCGCAGGACGGTCTCGGGGATATTGTGGCCATTTTATTTTTTGTTTTGTTTCCAGCGCTCCGGGTCAATGGGGCGCCCAGGTTTGCAATGGCATTGTTGGAAAAAGGACGCCTGTACTTGGCACTATTGTGCGACTGGGGCTTTGTCTGTGCGACGGAGAACGGATCCACCGGTTCCCCTTGTTGACCGAACAAAATTACAAGAACGCGAGATTGGAGAAGTGAAAAGCTTTGACCGCTACAGACTCCACGCGAACCAATCCATTCTGTCTAGACACGGGAATCCACTGACGGCTAGATGAAGATCAATGCATATGAGAGAAAAAAAAGAAAAGAGAAAAAGGAAGCGTGGATCCCGGGCCCAGACGCAGCCATGAACCTCGGGAGTTGAGCGCCTCCGGATACTCTTGTTTTAGCGCGTTCGCAACTCCCCTCTTCGCACCTAAGCTTCATATCACGTTAGCCTTGCTCGGGTCCCGATTAGAAATATGGTTCCTTCGCATGTTTCTGTCGTGGGGCCGTTACTTGCTAGTTTTTGAGCCGCTGGGCAACTTTCTCTTCTGGTGAGCGTGAGACGTGAGACACGCACGGAAGAGACGAACACGCGAGGAGAAGATGCGTCCCTTATCTCTGGACAATGGCGTCACTGGCTATGGAGACATGACCGCTGATACCCAGGAGCCCATTGCTATCGTGGGTCTTGCCACGCGGTTTCCCCAGGATGCGACGACGACGGAGAATTTGTGGGAGCTGCTGTTGCAAGCACGGACTTCATGGACCCCTATTCCGCGCGAACGTTTTAACGCGGATGCGTTCTATCACCCTGATCCAGAGCATGGCGGGACTGTAAGTATTTTCAGAAAATTATTCAGGGCATTGCTGACCATCAGTATCCAGTTCCATGTTCAAGGAGGACATTTTCTTGCCGAAGACCCGGCATATTTCGATGCGTCCTTCTTCAACATCACCAAGAATGAACTCCTGACCCTTGATCCACAGCAGCGGCTCGTGTTGGAAAATGTCTACCATGCTTTGGAGAATGCCGGTATCCCATTAACCAATGCTGTTGGCTCGAACACGTCCGTGTTCGTAAGCGGATTCAATCATGACCATCTCGGAATCCTCAACACTGATCCCGAGACGACCTTGAAGTACAAACCAACGGGTGCAACTAATGCCATCCTTTCAAACAGGGTCAGCTGGTTCTTTGACTTTAAGGGGCCTAGTATGACCATCGACACTGCCTGTTCCAGCAGTTTGGTAGCCCTTCACCTTGCTGTGCAGAGTTTACGGGCTCGAGAGACTCACATGGTAAGCTTCGAAACGTTGTTTTACATCTGAAGAAAAGGGTTGCTAACAGTTCCATACCAGGCTGTTGTCAGCGGAGTGAGCATCTTGGAGAATCCTGTAGAAACCATTGGTATGAGCCACCATGGTTTGCTCGGATCCCACGGTCGATCATTTAGTTTCGATTCCCGCGCCGAGGGATACGCCCGAGGAGAGGGTGTGGGCACCATCGTGTTGAAACCCTTGCAGAGCGCTGTGAGAGACGGCGATACCATTCGAGCTGTGATTCGCGGCACCGGTGTCAACCAGGATGGCCGGACCCCTGGTATCACGGTTCCCAGTGCCGATGCCCAAGAGAGACTAATCCGAGAGGTTTATTGGAAAGCCGGGTTGGATATTGAGCGGACGCGGTTTGTAGAAGCTCATGGCACCGGCACCAGCACTGGCGACCCTATTGAAGCCGGAGCTCTAGCACGAGCATTTAAATGCCGACGTGATACTCCGCTCTACGTTGGAGCCATCAAATCCACAATTGGACATTTGGAAGGTGGTTCTGGGGTCGCCAGCATTATCAAGTCTATTCTCATCTTGGAATCTGGTATTATTCCGCCAAACTTCGACATGCAGGAAATTAATCCCAAAATCCCTTCGACAGAGTGGGATATTACATTCCCCACGGAAAGTATATCGTGGCCATCATCCGGCTTACGGAGGGTATCGGTGAATTCATTCGGAATTGGAGGTACCAATGCACACTGTATTCTCGATGATGCCTATCACTATCTTCACGAACGACAGATCCCGGCGATCCATCGCACCAACCCTCATGTCCCTACAAAAGATAACATCAAAGGCCAGCTGCTGGCCATATCCGGCCTCGGGAACACACGGGAAGCCATCACCGATCCTGCTGACGAGAGTGACCACTCAGGAAATGGGTTCGTCTTTGTCGACACTCCTACAAGCGACGGGTTCTGCGCCTCTCCGGTCCTTCGCTCCATGAGAACGTACACAAATCTCGCTGATGTGCCGCGGGTCTTCCTCGTCACGGCATTCGACGAAACGGGCGTGAAGAGGACTGCAACAGAGTATGCTCATTATCTCAATGGCAGGATAGCGCAATCTGGAAGCCATGGCGATCTTCTTGACGATCTATCCTTCACTATGTCGAAGAAGCGCACTCAATTTTCTTGGAGGAGCTTCGTTATGGCCTCCACGATCAAGGAACTTGCGTGGAATCTTTCGGAATGCAACTTCACCAAGCCTGTCCGAACTGCCAAGACACCGGAAATCAGCTTTGTCTTCACTGGCCAGGGCGCTCAATACCAGGCCATGGGAAGAGAGCTCATGGTATATCCAGTCTTTCAGAAGTCTTTAGAGGAGGCCTCGGAATACATTCGTCGACTGGGCAGTCCTTGGACACTGATTGGTAAATTGAACTCCTTTCAACGTGTGCGTTCTATTTACTAACACAGGTATAGACGAGCTCTTGGCCGAAGGAAAATCTTCGCGAGTTAGCCTACCCGAGGTCGCCCAACCCCTGTGCACGGCGTTGCAAATTGCCCTTGTCGATCTCTTGACCAGCTGGGGAATCTTTCCCACACGTGTGATTGGGCACTCATCTGGTGAGATCGCCGCTACCTATTGCGCTGGCAAAATGTCGCGGGAAGCAGCGTGGAAAGTCGCATACTATCGCGGATACGTTTCGTCCAAACAACTAGCAGCCAACGGAGCGATGATGGCCGTGGGTCTAAGCGCATCACAGCTCCAGCCATATCTGGACTCTGTTCACGATGATTGCATCGGAGAACTTATCATCTCCTGCTACAATAGCCCAAAGAACAACACCGTCTCTGGGGATGAAGCCATGGTGGATAATCTGAAAAAGCTATTGGATGCAGATGGAGTCTTCG